CCGGCTGAACAAGCTCAGCGCGCACAGCCCGATCCTGCAACGCCTCCCGGACGCATGGCGCCAATTCACCCAGTCCAACACCCCCCGACCACCACGACCGACACATAGGAAGACCAACGCAAACCGGAGGAAACCCCCAGCGACAACCCGGCTATGCAACATGGCACTGAGGTCAGACCCCCTAGACGAGCGCATAACACCGCTCGCGGTCCCCCCGTGGAAGAAGACAGCGGCGGACTTCAACGGTCGACTCACCATCACCCCAGCGGTGAAGGGAGTCACCAAGGAAGCCGCCGCAAAGGAACACAAAGCAAAGCTAAGTAACCTCAGCAGACGCAAAGACACCATCACGCTATACTCTGACGGTTCTCTGCTCACAGAGAACAACCAGAGGCGCGTAGGCGCAAGCCACGTCGCGCTCGGCCACAACAGCATTCTCTTTGGAAGGAGAATCCCGATGAGCCAACGCGCCGAGGTCTACGACGCGGAGATGGCAGGTCTCTCGTGGGCAGCGAGAGACTTAGAGGCCTACCTGCAACAACCGGACACCCCCCCCACACGCGACATCTACTTCTTCGCCGACAACACATGCGCCATATCTGCTATCTTCGAAGCGAGACCGGGACCGTCACAAGGCCACTCACGCATCTTCCGCGAGATCATCATCCGCCTCCTCGAATCCAACCCAGAAACCAAGATCACCATTGCGTGGACACCAGGCCACGAAGGGATCACCGGCAATGAACTCGCCGACCAACTCGCCAAAGACGCGACCGCGATGCAACCCGACAACAACCGATCCACGCGTGCAAACGCCCTGCGCAGAGCAAGGGAAAGAGCGATGAAAGCGTGGACCGACGAGTGGAAGAAAAAGAGACCGACCGGTCGCTTCGCGACCGCCAACCGCCTACCACCAAAACCCAAACCGCGAAAGCGGTTCCTCAAGCTACCGCGCGAAGTGTTCGGACGGGTACTACAGTGCCGGTCAGGACACGGGTTCATGGGCGAATACTACAGACACCACGTCCCGTCCGAAACAGTCGAATGCCCGTGCGGCGCGCAGTACCAGTCGAGGAAACACATCCTCCAGGACTGCCCGCGGTACGAGGCGCACCGAAACACCCTCCGAGAAGCCAGCGAAACGATCGACTTACCTACGATCCTCGGCACAGACGACGGCATTGACGCACTCGCGCGCTTCATCGAGAAGAGCGGCGCGTTCACGAAGACAGGAGAACCACCCGAGGCTCCGGAGGAAGGAGCAGCAGAACAGGATGACGATGAAGAGGCCGCCGCAGGAGACGAACGCGGAGGAGACGACACAGAGCCAGAAGAAGACCCGGACGGACCGGCCGACGAGGACGAAGAATAGACGGTACCAGCTGCACGGCGAAGTACCGTCCCCAAACCCGACACCCCCCACACCTCCGACACCCACTCGTGCACTAGGGGAACAAACCCGGCTTGCGCCCCTAGGAGAAGACGACGCGCCGACCGCGGAACGCGGAGTACTATGAAGATTTTCCTTTTTTATTCATTTATGCCTATCTATTAAAGACCTATGCGACCCGGACAGACGAACAGAACCGCATACATAGAAGCTACCATAGACTACAGAACGATACCGACCCATTACTACCTACCTCTCCAGACTTTACTCCTACCAGTACAGCCCCGAACGGGACGACGACCTGGGTGGCGCGTTTAAACGCCCACTACTGTACAGGCCGGCGTCCGCCGCGTCTTAGCACATGTTTGCTTGCAGCGGTTAATAAATGCTGAGTTCATCATCATCATCACATTCAGCACTAGTGCACGAGTCAGCCCTCCCTCATCACTTCAAGCGGTTCGAGGCCAGAGACGTACCGGTAGACGGTCGCCGTCGTCAAGACCTACAGAAAGTAATTCATCCAGTCACACGCGATAATCCTCGTCATCGCGGATCACATCCTCTGTGACGACCACTCCGGTGAGCGTTCCGGCATCCTTTGACCCCGATTGCGCAAGAGTAGATAACGCATTCGAGCGGAATGCCATGTCTGAAATTTGGCCAAGCCGGATTGTGTTGGGTAAAGAGCGTGACGTGAGCTTCGTGGCAGTGTTTTCTGACCAGGCGGCCCCAATCGCCACACGAAATATGATAAGCAGAGATGAGACTGTCTGTGAGTGTTGTCAGCGTTGCTGCTAATCTGGATGCCAACACCTACCTGGACCTGGCTCACTACTTGCAGGAAAAGGCTTCCAACAGGGTTTCCGATACCGAATGGAACTATGAATAGAACTGCGAAGATAGAGTACATCAGGAAAACCCCCTTTTGAGAATTCGTGAGAAGTTATGAATATTGTGCAGAACAAAGCTAATGTAGACACATTCTACGGAACATAGCTAATGATTGATGCATTCTACAGAACGTAGCTAATGATCGATGCATTCAGCAGTATTATTGGAATGAGCGAAGGATTGCTGAGAATGCCATCGAGAGGCTGTACATGACATAGTAATATCTGTCTCAGTGTCAAATAAGTGATATGGACCGAAGAACATTGATAAAATCGTATCAATTCTACGATTCAGTGTACATTACATGAGTATCATAGTCCATTCAAGTTGTACTTCGACAGCTCAGACTAATCTAGAAGTAGTTAACATGGTTTCCTCCACTCAAGGTGCAGGGCTGCGGGACAAGGGTCGTCCTGCGCGGCCCTGCAAATGCGGCACGACTGCGACTGCGCCCGCCGGTCTCTGGCCCTCCTCCCCGCTCGCCAATCCCTACTGTCCGGCCAGTTCCTCCCCGCTCACTCACCCTCGCACCCGCCTAGTCTTGCCGTGCACCGTCCCTGCCCGCTGCTGTGGACCACAGGTTTTGGATGCGGTGGTAAGGGGGTAACCAACGTCGCCCGTGATGCAGCACTCGCCAAACCAAATGTGAAGCCATGGAGGTGGGATGCTCACCTTCTTGCATTATATCATCGTATTTGCGACAGCCAAGACGCCGTTCATGATCGCACTCGTACTCAGATGGTTTAGCACGACATGAGACGGCACGGGCAATACACTCACATCGTCCGCTAGGCCAGTGACATCTAGCTTCATCGCCGCTCGACTGGCCCTCTCCACGTTGTCTACCGCCGCCAACGCACTCGTCACGTCTGTCCCACTCGCCGTCACCACGGGCAAGCCCAGGGGCGACGGCCCGTGCACCCCTCCGTCGCAGTACACACCCCCGTTGGCATCATCCACGGTTATGCTCATTCGGAGGTGGTTCGAGCAAGTTCGGCTCTCCCTGTCGCGCTCGCACCTCGAGCGATCCCTACCCGATCCCCTTGATCGCTCGCGCTCGGTCGGTACAGGGCTCCCGCTCACTGTCTGTGGCTTCACGTTGAGGATCAGCTTGTCGAGGCGCCAACGGGGGCGGGCGGGATGTTCGGGGTGGGGACGGAGTTGTACCCGCTTGCGGAGGACTGAAGAGGAGGCGGGAGTGAGGAGAGGGACGCCAGGTCGGGCAGCTTGAGGGAGCGCTTCTTCTGGTGGAGAGAGCGGTGGAGGCGGCAAGTTGTTGTTTATGGGGGATGCTCGGGCAGGGCTGCCGCGGTGAGCGAGCGCGCTGACATACCTTTTGTGTGCGTGCTCAGCCGCGCTCAGCCTTTGTTTGTCGTTTCTGCAGAGGCCGGGCGACAACGAGGTCGCGCTGCTGCGCCGTCGACTTGACGCGGGGCTGGACGGTCAAGTGGGCATCCGGGGTGGAGGTGGAGGATCGACGCGAGAGTCGCGCGCAGAATAAGTCCTAAGCGCTCAGTTCGGGATCTTCCGATGTAGGCCGCATAAGGCAAGTCCGACAGCGCTTGCGTCTGTCCACTGCCAGCGCGGTCCTCGTCCTGCCTTCACTCCCTCCTCCACGGCCTTGCTCCGCGCCGCTCGCCCGCCGCGCAATCTCGAGAACATCAAGCGCGGCCGTTCCGTGAAGAGACAGGCCCATCATGGGCCTGTCACAGGTATAGGTGAGCCGTAGCCTATCTGACACGTCAACACGTGTTTAACGCGACACTTTAGCAGTACATAACAACACTAACGACGCCGCAAAAGCATCGTTAGTGTGCTCAGTGCTCACGAAGGACGCGGGTGCAGAGGAGAGGGCTAGTGCAGCTGAGGGGCTGCATCAAAAGTATGTTGTACGTCCTATCTGCTCTGCTGACCTTCCTCCTAGGCCAGCTCAGTGCACACCACCCTCCGTGCGGCACTGTCGCCCTCTCTGCGCACCACCGCCCTCTCCGTGCGTCGCCACCCTCTCCGCGCCGCGTCACCGCCCTCTCCATGCGTCACCGCCCTCTCAGCGCGCCCTGCCTCGCTGCCACTGCGCGCCTCGTCGCCACTGCGGTCGTTGTACCCACTGCCATATGATATAAAACCCGCGCCGCCACCGCTGTGTCTGCCCCCCGTGCGTCTCTCTCCGGTGTTCACTTTGCCTGCTAACTCCGACCCTGACCATCAGCTGCACCCGTCGCCCCTTCGCGTTCGCGCCAGACGCGCCGACAGACGAGGCGGGGACCACAGCGCCGACAAGAATAGCGCTTCCTCCCCGATCGCTCCCGCGCTGTATACCGCGTCTTCCGAACCGCGCCCGGCGACAACTGCTCCGTCCAAACATGAAGTTGCCCCAACAATCCGTTTGGCTGAGTTCCACCGTCAACAGCCGAAGTGCTACCATCGAATCATGCATTCGATCTTCACGGTGGTGCGCTTGTCTGAATCTTCCTTGTGTGTTTTCCCTAACGTCTGTCTCGTTCAGCATTGGACATATTCTCCATGCACTGTCACAGCCAGGCGAGGAGGACGCTTTTGATCGGGATCAGATACCCGACGAGTAGTACCGGACCAGATGATGAATTCATCACAAGGACACTCGGAATAGATATAAGGCTACCTAGTTGTACCTCGTTCGTTCGTCATATTGTACCTGCTCTGTCTAGTAGATAGTTTACTATGGTATCTTGCAATCGATCTAATGTTCCTAAAATTTCCTGTGTGTGGCACGACAACATGAATAATGATGAATCATACGTGCTATATTCTTCAATCCGTGACACATAACATTGAGGTAGGTACACATAATGCACTCACATAGTCAATATATTGTCTGAAATTCGCAAGAAATTCGTACAGAAGTTTAGGGGGGTAGCTAATTCCCTATAATATTCCGAACACGTGAATAGTCCAAAATGTTCATTATTCCATACAATACTCCGCAATTTGACATATTCTGAAAAGGGCCTTTTCCTGATGTAGAGCGCGGCGGATTCGACAACAATGGCGACGATATTGACGTAGGTCGATGTGTGCTGTGCCCCCATGACCTTGCTCGTCTGGTATCGGTAGACAAGGAGTCGTCCCGCGATAAGGAACGTGACCACGATGTTGAGCGCGAGGGACATGACGTAGTACGAGAGGGTAATGTCGACGATTGCAAAAGGCGACGAGTTCCTGATACCGACCAGTGCCGCGATCCCCAAGGCTGGACGGTGATTAGCTCAGACCATACACATATACGCTTGTCGGCATACCTATCGATGCAAGTAGCATTAGACAGGGCAATACCAAGAGGAGGGTGGTCCAACGCCTCGACGTGTTCTTGTAGATGACGAGAAAGCGCCAGACCTAACGATTGCACTGAGTCACTTGCGACTATCCGAGGAGAAACGGATCAATCGACATACCAGAAACGCATCCATGAACCAGTTTCCAACGATGAATGCGACGGTGGAAATCTCGTTCACGGGGTCGCTGAACATGGCTTCTTCAAATGCAGCAGGGCCTCCGGGAAAGTTGCGGTATTCAACGAACGCTTGCTGAGTAAACTTCGAGTTGCCACCGACGAAAAGCGAACCGAAGGTGAATATGATGGAAATGAATGTCAAAAGGAAGATTTGTCTCCGCATGTTGCGATGGTTGATCTCCTTCACTAGCAGATAGAAGCACATCACAAACAAGGTGAGTACGACGCCATAGGCAACGTTGCTGATCAATGCCCCTGTGAGCCACATGTCCTCATTGAAGATTTGATAAGAGGTTTCGTTCGGTGCCCATGAGCTATTGTACATGTTCTACGAATCGGTGAAAGAAAAGATACCACGTCAGCCAGTAGACCCGTGGTTTCAGAAAATCTGAGACTTACGATGACAATGGATGTGTTACTAGGGCGCCACCAGTGCCGGGAATATGCGTGAAGGGATCTACCTCCCAACAGGCGGGTCGTGTCATGCATTTATAGTAAGATAGGGCTCACGCACAAGCATCCAATGTTACCTAAGCAAAGCGTGACGGAACAGTGTAGAATCAATGACAATTCAATGTTCACTTTGTGCAGAAATCAGTTCGCACAAAGTTGTTTGAATTCGCGTTCATCACAGGACTGTGCCAAGGATTTTTCGATTCAGGATTGTTTACGAATTGCATTAGCTTTCTCGTCCGCACATCAGAGGCCATACCGTACTAGGAAAGCGAGTAATGAAATTGATGGACATAAGCGCTCGTGTACGACAGGCTAGCCGCCGCTGGCAGCGATGGCCGACAGTCTCGCGACGCGACGCGCGACGCGATCTTGCAACGCAACGGCGCGCGTCGCGACCTTGCAACGCAACGCGCGACGCGACTTCGCAGCATAAGGCGCGAGACGCAACATTCAATACTTGATACTCGTTGCACCCACCATAATGCCGAAACGTCGCCTCGGTAACCTGAAGAACCTCGGAGACCATGCCCACATCCCAAGGAGCAAGCGACAGCGGCTTGAACGCGAGCGGCGGGTAGCAGAGTTAAATGAGAATGTGAATGTGAGTACATACTGTAGAGCTGCCGTTGTACACGTGAGGATTGCTTACCATCTGAATTTCGTGGGTCAGTGCCAGGTTGAGCCTGCCGGGTCCGATGCTGAGGTAGTAGCCAGCAGTTACGGTTCGAGCCACGAAAGTCCCGCCGGGCATGGCGAGTCACCCGCGCCCATCTCCTCCGAGTTGCCCGCACCCGTTTGCTCGCCCGGCGCGTCCATTTGCTCGCCCGCGCCCATTCACTTGTCCACGCCGCCTCGTCACTGCTCACCTGCTCCTGTTCACTTGCCTACACCTACCCGCTCGCTTGCACCCATTCTCATGCCTGCGCCTGTTCCCTTGCCTGCGCCCGTTTTCTTGCCTGTGCCCGTTGTCTCGCCCTTGCCCTCCGAGTGTGATGGGCCGCCTGACAGCGACAGCGAGTCCAGCGAGTCAGATGCAGACAGTGACATTGATGATGAGGATGATATGCATGTCCCTCACACGCACCTTTCTCCTCCCTCGCGCCTTGAAGCCCGGCGCGCATACAATGACCTGGAGGCTATGTTGAGACCACGGAGGAAGACAGGCCGTGGGTACAAGGACCCAAAGCTCGAGCGGCTCCTACGGATGCGCCTCGAGTTCATGCGATCGTTTCTGTGGCTGTTCATCAGCCCAAGTGCACAGAACATCGTCCAGAACATCAACAAAACTCGTACCGGTGGTTCTACATGGATGGCTGCATCGATTCTCGCTGCGCGGGCAGCAACCCGTGGTCCGTGGTTCGCGCGTCAGTTGCGGTCATGGACACGGAAGTTTATTGAGAACCGGTCAGACTTACCCATCAATCGCTATGGCACGTGGAGCAGTAGTCGCATCCGGGACGAAGACTTTGCGCAAGAGGTTCAGCTGCATCTTCAAGGTGTCGGGAAATATGTGAAGGCCATGGACATTGTGTATTACCTTGATCGCACGGAGGTGAAAGCACGTCTCGGCCTCAAACGGACCGTCTCACATGCAACAGCCAAGCGATGGATGCAGGTTCTGGGTTACCGCTGGACAAAGGCCCCGCGAGGGCAGTACGTCGACGGTCATGAGCGTAAAGACGTGGTGCAGTATCGCCAAGAGGTCTTTCTTCCTCGTATGGCGGCTTTGGAAGCACGGATGCTCACCTGGTCAAAGGAGGGTGATGAAGAATATGGACCGCACCTCGAGCCCAAGGATGTTGTGATGTGGAAGCAGGACGAGTCGCAGTTCTACGCACATGACCGTCGCAAACTGCGCTGGGTTCACCAATCAGAAACCGCAACACCGGAGCAGAAGGGGGAAGGCGCATCTTTGATGGTTTCCGACTTCATCTCGGCTGACTATGGCTGGCTACGGTCACCTGATGGCACAGACGCAGAGGAGGCCCGCGTCTTGTTCAAAGCTGGTGTGGGGAGGGATGGGTACTACACAAGCAGCCACTTCGTCAAGCAGATGGAGCATGCAATAAGCATCGCGCAGAAAAAATGGCCCGATAAGAAGCACGTCTTTGTGGTTGATAATGCAAAAACACATTTGAAGCGGCCAGATGGTTCTCTATCCGCCCTCAAGATGCCGAAGAAGATTCCAAAGGATGGTGCTTGGCTTGTCGAGGTTCAAGTTACAGACGCCGATGGCCGTACGGTGTATGGGCCAGACCGGAAACCGCTAAAGAAGAAGATCAAGATGACGAAGGGGCAATTTGTGAACGCGGACGGTGTCCTTGTCGAGCAGGACCTGTATTTTGGCGATGGAGATCCGCGGGGGCCTCCTGGTGCATTCAAAGGCATGGCGTACATCCTTGAAGAGCGCGGATTTCACAACGCCCATCAAATGCGCGCGCAGTGTAAGAAGAAGTTCGACGATTGCCTTCCAGGTGCGGTGGAATGTTGCTGTCGGCGTACACTGTATAATCAGCCAGACTTTGCATATGTGAAGTCTGAGCTCGAGCTGCTGTGCAACCGCAGAGGTGTTGAGCTTGTTGTTCTCCCGAAATTTCACCCCGAGCTCAACTTCATTGAGCAGGTGTGGGGATACTCAAAGAGGGTATACCGTATGTACCCGCCGTCTTCGATTGAAGCTGATCTCGAGCGCAATCTCCTCTCTGCGCTCGAGTCTGTTCCACTCAAGGTCATGCGGCGCTATCATAATCGATCTCTACGGTTCGCTGACGCATATCGCAAAGGTTTGAATGGTTCACAGGCTGCTTGGGCAAACAAGAAGTATCATGGACACCGTCTCATTCCTGACACTATACTACGACACTTCGATATAGATACTACCACTAATCTCCTTTGAAAGCTAGTCTACTGTACATAACCTCATATCTACACCGTATATAGTCCTTACTGTACAGACATCTGTGTACCTAGCCCGTAATGCACAGTCGATCCTCGACCAAATCTGGCCGTTCCGGGCGCCTGGATAACCCACTGTGGCGGAGGTTATCCGTGCCTGTAACGCTCCTGTCACAGGCTGTCACATTGGATGCCTTTGCGTGAGCCCTATCTTAGGATGGGCGGTCGGGGTCCACGCCGTACATCAAGCCAGGGTCTTTCGCACAACAGATGTTCGCAATGATGAAGAACTGACAAGCTCCTGCAGGATAACGGGGCAGCTTCGGAGAGAACCGGGCGGTTCAATTGCTGCCTGACCGAGAGGAGGCTACCTAGGCTGTGCTGCTTTCCACCACTAGTATCGTGGCAAAGGGGAGGCAGGTGTCACTCGTAGCAATGATCTGGCGGAATGATAACGAGCCAGAAAGCTGGTGAAAGCGAACAACTTCCTGGACATTGCACGACTCACGAGGCTGTCCGTATCGTCGACCGGATCATGTCATATCAGAGTTCCCGCATGCCAGTCTGTGTACGTCTTGCTGAACGTGTGTGAGGCTTCTTCCTACTACTAGTCCGTCTATCCATTGGCTGGAAAGGTCAAGATATGATAGTCGCTGATATTAGTATGGTACACCTGCATCAACGTCCGGCCCTGGCAGATGCGGATGGAGGGGTGTGTCTATTATCGTCCTGTCAGTACGAAACTTTATCCGATTATGTAACGTACGACATTCTTGGCAGCAGCTTGACTCCCAGTGATATTGCCGTTCGACCTCAGCAACCCGCTAGGACCGGCTGCGACTGGTTCGCCCCCGTCGACGCCTCTTATGGTATGGAAACAACAGCGCCGCCTCTGCCATTGCCCGATTCCCGACGCAGGGGCCTTGGAAAGCAAGGATTCTCCACCAACTGTCACGATGCCAACCGAGAATAACAGAGGACAGCACTGGGCCGGAACACGAAGGACGTCGTTTGAGCTGCAAGTATGGCTGCCATATGGATCTCTCTTGCATATGTAGAATTTGTGATGAGCGGTGCTAGTGATCAATGCAGATCTAGAGACTAGAGGGCGCGAGAGCTGAGTATTCGATAGTATTCAGGTGGAGCCATTATTCTACACAGATCTTCGCTCGCCGTTCTTTCCCTAGCCCATACGCCCATCGCCTACTCTTCCGGACACCTGCGCCTGGAGCTATATCGTTGTGTCGGTTAGTTCGCCGCCGCGCACGCGCATCTCTCCTATAGCGGACACAAGCAAATGTGCAGTAGCCTTGTCGTAGATCTGTAGTCGAGTTTAGCTTCTCGTACTCGTAAGACGTTTGCTTTCGACTACGCACGCACCTCGCATCGAGCAGAAAGTGTACTTGCGTTAGCGGAATTGGTGGTACCGACCACTGTTCGCAACTCAGGAGCGGGAGGAAAGGAGGAAGCCGTACATATAATCGCCCGCCTTCACACAGAGTGTTCTGAACGGACAACGAGCACGACGGCGAAGTCCGCGCCCTTGCATGCGCATCCGGAGGGTCCACACAAGAAGGTGGCGGGGTACTTTCGGAGCAGTTACTGCGTTGGCATCATGACGCACCGCACCGCGGCGTACGACCTATTTTGTGCGTTCGAAGGTGTGAAACGGCAGAGTTCACTCTCTTCCATCAGGGATAAATGCGCATCAGTAGGGCAGTTCAGGTCGTGGTCTAGCCCTAGCTCTTCAGTGATGTCGGGCTCGTGCGCCGAGACAGCTGTGTGGGGGTTGGTGTCATGTTAGTCATTGCTGACGACTGACTCGGGGGCGACGCACCTGCATGCGGTAGAGTATGCAGGAAGCTTGTCTGAAGCCATAGGAGCAAAACTGGACGTGGTGCCAGCGAGTCAAAACTGGACGTGGTGCCAGCGAGTCTGTATCATGCTGGCAATGAGAAACTGTGGCCGCTGGCAACACACGATGCACGCTTGTGTTCTGAGCTCCGGGTGACGACGTCTCCAGAGTCTGGCATCGAGATCGATCGGTGTGAGCCGGAGGCAAATGCGTGACGGTGGTGTACACACGCACCCATATGTTACACGCACAGATCAATCTCGTTCGCGGGTCTGTGCTCGGAGACTCCGCTCGCGAACGTCGGGAATGTTGCTGTGCCTGGCCGTCGGAGCGCCAGGCGACACTGATTGACACGTGACCGGATCCGGTTGGCGGTTTATCTAATTTAATTTACCGTGACTCTCAGTTTCGTCCAAGTTTCGTCACAGCGACCGCGAGACCTTTATATGTATCTAGGGCCTGGGAAGTCGGGGCATACTGGCAGTAGCGCTGCAGTTCAGTTCTGCCTGGACCATGGTGAGTGATGTCTTGTCGGTCAACGTCCGGAGGCAAGATGTGGGTCGAGTGGGTGACTAACACGTACAACGTCAGCGAGATCGCACTTTACAACTTCGCGTCAGTTTCCTTTCCAATCCAGGTATATGTCTCTGATCCAGGGATATTGGTCAACGCAGCTATGGCGGCGCAGTGATGAGACCATCGTCGCACAGTCCTCCTCTTCAACACAAAGCTTCCGCGACCAGGTCAACAACTTCCTGTCCGGCTACGCGAACAACAGCGCAACCCCCTGGACGGCGGACGACTCGCTCTTCACGGTCTTCTTCGGTATGTCGCGATGCTTGCCTGTGGATTTCAGTTCTTGACGAGCCATAACCATGTCCTGCAGGGATCAACGACATCGGCAAGTCCTATTATTGGACCAACGAAACCCAACACAGAACGAATGCGCGCGTCCAAGCCTCCTACTTCGAGCGCCTCGCCCTCCTGCGCTCCGCCGGTGCACGCAACTTCCTGCTCCTCCAGGCAAGCCCGTCTCCCGCTCCACTTCACGGCACACGCTAAGGAATCATCTACAGGTCCCCGACATCGGCCGCACGCCGAACCTCCTCAACCAATCCGCACACACCCTGCCATACCAGCCGAACAACGCGACGCTGCAGTCGCTCGCCGCGCTCGACTACAACGCACAACTCGCGGCGAACGTCGAGGTCTTCAAGCGCAACTCGAGCACGCTCGGGATCGCGGTGGACGTCAACATCCATCCGACGCACCAGCTCTTTGATTTTGCGCTGGATAATGCGGAGGTGCTGGGGTTCACGAACGTCACAGGTGAGTTGCGTCCGGTGATGGCAGTTGGATGATGGGCTGATGCGTGACAGCGGGGTGGTGGACGGGGTTGGCGGACCAGGATCAGTACTCCGCGGCTACGTACTTCTGGTGGAACAAGTAGGTTGATTCTTCGACTTGCTGGTGCGTGAACTGACGACCTGTCACTTCCGCAGCTTTCATCCAACTTGGGGAGTTCACGAGTAAGTGTCAAATAGCCGTCTACTTTGACTATCACTTACATACTTCTGCGCAGCATCCTGGCACATAGCGTCTCTACGTTCCTGTCGAAATGGTCTGGGTTGACCTAGATACTTGGGGTTTACAGATTGATGAAGTGCACGACTGTGTTTCGCAAATCAGACTGGATGGCACCTGGCACAAATTTCGAAAGCACTCACCTAGGTGAATCCAACAATAATCTCGGCCTGAGGCGCGAACCTGTGTGTATCTGCACTTCAAAACCTTCAGTAGTCTGGTTTCGCATGACCGGTTGCTCAATGGTCGAGAGAATGTACACCGGCCGGTGACCATGTTACCTGATGATGTGGTGTGGCTATATATATGCGCCACCACCAGTCAGATAAATAGCCTGTGCCTCTCGGGAAAGTTGTTCATCGGCCGAACCACCCCAGTTATTTGACACGCTCTATGTATTGTCATCCGGCGCACGCGGCAAGTTGTCAATGTACGATGCGGTAAGGTCGAAGAAGGTCCACAGCAGTCCATGAGTCGTGATGCTCCTCAGCGCGCTCACTCCCAGTCCACGATACAGCCGCGCGAGGCCGAGCACTATTGGTTTTGGCGAGTTCGGGTCGGGCCCTGGATGGATTCGTTTCACGCTGCGAGGTGAATGTTGGAAGTGGATGGACGCACCTCGTATGAGCCGGTGTAGAGTCTCAAGTACTCCCCGTTTCTTCTCCCCGGCCAAGGCACGCTGCTGCACCTTGGTCTTCACACTGAAACCGTGTCACGGGTCGGAATGACGCATGCAACAAAAGCTACTTACACGTCAAGAGGGTAGATGAGAGCCCACGAAGTGACTCCCGCTAGCGAGCCGCACATGAATGGCACAACCGATGGAGGGATTGGCATCCAGTGCGGCGTGGGGCCTTGCTCTCCCGATGACAGACGACCCATCAGATGGCGCATGCCGTCATACTCAAAGAAGTACAGTCCTGTCCCCATCGTGTCGCGCACTGTCATATCCTCAATTGAACGGCTGTGCTGTGGGCAGAGGAATCAGACGTACCAAAATGGAGACGGAACCCGATATACAGTCCCCGCAGGCCATACAGCTGGAAGATATCCTTCACCGCATCGAGCGTACCCGGGGCTTTGACTATTCGTACGCCTTTACTAGCGGCGATGGAGTATTCTAGCTGTCGCCGAACCTACAAAGACGGTGAGTACATCGAGTGCGACACGTTTTCGCCGTGCAACAACTGACCTTGACGAGTTCAAAGGCTACAGCATCGTATATGCTACTGTGTGAGCTCATAGTGCCAGTACTTAGGGTCTTCCAACTTACGTGCGCTCCCGAATGAGATGAGCGATCCACTCAATGCACCCCCAATACCTCCTATCGATGCCACACTCCACACTGTGCTCTGTGCTGGCCAGTGGCGGTCGTGAAAGTACTCCTTCGTGCGAGTGTAGATCGTGAAGCTCGCCGCACCTGTCAGTTCCCAGACTCAGTGAGCACCGACTGCAGCACTCAACCAAGCCAACGACGCCGAGACGGGGAGACTCACGGACGAACGAGATAGTCATGAGTGGAATCCATAGCCCGCGGTAGAACCCGACGACTCCCTCCTCCCTGTAGACCTGGATCGCGAGCTTGGGCACAGTGACCGGCGTGCGGATGGTCTGAAGGCGGGACTTGATCGAGTCAAGCTATCTCGTTCCCAATTCAAGAGGAAATGTCCGTGAGTAGGGCAGACTTCCTTGGACAGGGATAGATTGACGCGCGAAGTGGACTCACAGGGTAGCCCGCGAAGGTCGAGATGTAGCTGGCAGAGACGGCACAGACGACCGCCTTATTTCGTCGGAGAGACTCATTGAGTGCAACCGAGTCGAACAGGTACTCCGACGATCTGTTATAGCCAGGCCAGCACCCGTTAGAGCAGCAGACATAGTGCGGTGTAGCGCCGCACCTTTTCTCACTCATAGGATGCAGTCACCAGGCCCAGATGAGTCCAGTTCCGTGCGGGAGCACGAGAAATGATTGTTGTTCAGTCGCCGGGAATCTCAAGACCGTTCAGAGTGGGAGCGGGAGGCTGGAGGGGAAGTGCGGTACTCGATGTCGGTGGGCGGCCGAAGGAGACATTGGGGAACAAGCGCCCATGAACCGGGTCACAGGCTGCCCCGGTCTCTAGAGTCTCCGACGTTCAACGTTCCAGCTATTTTCAGAACGTTGGACAGTCGCAAACGCGCGCGACATACGCTGACCAAGAGCCCCGCTCTTCGAGAAGTTGGAGAAAGCGGCGCTCACGCCATCGCGCCGCACCTCCGCACGTCTATGTTCGCTTGAGCCTGTTTTGCCACTGCGCGGGACATTGAGATGCGTCGCGATCACGTTTTCTCGTGGTAGTAGATAGTCTACCATATGCATGCCAACTATGTACATACAGCACTCCCACAATTGAGCTTGCATCACGGCTCGCTGCCTCGGATATCCCGACGCCCGTCGCAAGCAAGGTCGGAAGGAGCCATAGACGCGTTTTGTGAGTTTATTGGCTCTGCGTCTAAGGCGCACGGGATCGCGTCGCGCAGGCCGTATCATACACGCGAGGGCCGCATCGTCGTGCGCAGGTTCTGGCCTACTAGCTGTGCAGTGGGGAAGAAGAGCGGTGCGATGGGGCGAGTACCGCTTTCTCCAACATCTCGAAGGGCGGAGTGCTTAGTCATCGTATGTCGCTCGCGTTTGCGACTGTCCAACGTTCTGAAAATAGCTGTAGGCGATAGCCACTCGTCTTGCGCAGAGCGGGTCTGGATTTGCTTTCGCGGGTGAAGCGCAATACGTCACCATCGTGGTAAACCTCTGACAAGATGAGCGAGAAGGGTCTCGAGGGGACTGTAAACTTGGCCTTGTGGGGCGAAGCCAACGTACCTCCCCTCCTTCCATTTAGATGCTACCACAGCACCCGCCTCTGGTGAGCAACGTGACAAGCGGTTCAGACAAGACGGCGATCAATGGAGTACGATGAGTCGTTGTTCAATACCGTTCGGTGGAGACCTGACGGCCTAACGGGAAGTCTCCTACATCTGGCCCCTGTGAGTTCTCGATCACAGACAGCTCGCTGGCGATGCCTAACCGCGACGGTGTTTCTAGTCCACACTCAGTGAAGAGGCTTGGGTGTTCTACGTGGGGCAGGCGTCGAAGAACTGCGCTCAATTCGTAGAGGTTTGGAGTATGCAGATGGATAGCCTGATTCTCTTCGTACGTCCTCCATGCCATGCGAATGAACGGATGTGGGAATGATTCAACACTGCACGCTGCTCTTTAGCAGGGTGAAACCACCTAGTAATTCGCATCGTGTTCATGCTATGGACATCGGCATCCCGCGATCTTCAGACAGTGGGCCCCGATCAGGGTCTGACCTATCACGTACGCCACGAACCTCACTGAGGGTGCCTCGGGTCCAATTTGGATGTCATACCAGAAGAACTAGAGTATATCATTCTGACAACGCGCATCTGGACTTGCGTCGGCAGCTAGGCACAGTTCGGATCCAGAACTTGGCCAGTGTGAGCCTTCAGTTCCATCTAAGTACCGTAGAGTCGCTAACATATCACAACGCGGTTGCGATCCCTGTAGACTAGCAGCATCGCCGGTGCCTGACCTATACTACGCATGGAACCAGTGACAAGAAACCGATTTCATCTGGTTAGTGTCCGCGGACGTCAACAACGCTGAACATATCAAAGTCACACTGCGGCCATCGTGCGGTTTGCGTGCGGTTTCCATTTGAAACGGCAACTCCAGGTTGGCACCTCTAGGCTCTCGCGAGTCTCGCTCGATCCTATGCCCGAACGCACTGTACCAGCAAGTTTCACTTTCTGGGACATGATGGGATTGGCTTGGCAACAGCCTCACATTGATGCGCTGTGCTCGCCACAGACTGATGTACATCGATCAAAGCCCCTCATTTGTTCCTGCTGTTCTCGCAGCTGTTGTTCTCTCTTCGTTCAAGTCAGGACGCATCCCTTGTAGAACCGCTCCCTAACCCGATGAGTCAAGACCCTTACACTAGGGACTATGCAACGTAGGGACATACACTAGAATCCTCCTACTCTCTTCTTCGCAGATTTCTTCTTCGCTGGGCCCGGTCTGCCACCATGTGGTCCAGGAAGGACCTGCGTACTCGCAAACGGAATCTGAGAGGAGGGCTGTGCATCCCAGTCATCCGCTGGCTGACTGCCCGCCTGCACGATATGTCGCTGGTCATTCGTCCGCGCAGCTTGCATCTGAGTCGCAGGAAAGGCAGACCTCGAGCCGAAGGGCTGACTGCTGGCGATCGTAGGTGGTGCAAGACCAGCAGTTGGCACTACGAGAGGTGGCCGCTGTGACTGCATAGCTCCCTCTCTAATCTGCGTCACCGGACGTGAGGGCGCGTTCCTCGCCCAACGAGGCGAGGTACTGCGCTGAGCTGTCGTGTCGTATGGATCTTCGTAGCGATAGGTCGAGGGGTCGCCGCCGACGTCCCATTCCTTGAGTAAGAGGCGGACACCAAGCGGCGCCAGATGTTTGTTCTCCGTCTGCTTCTGCTCGTGTGTGTCTGCATCCTTCGTGTAACGATAGTTCGACTCTCTCCGCGCAGGATGCAGGAAGCCAAACTGCACATCTGAAGGCTCCATATCGCTGAGAGTCATAGCCTCCGTAGCACGCGACATCGTCTCCATGGCGGCGTCGATATCGAGCTCGTGGGGTTTCCGAAAGCGCGAGGGGGAGAAGACGTCGGTGGACAGATGGAGGTCCAGGGTGAGCTGTTCGCGAGCCTCGGCTTCCCGCCGGAGGGACCCAGCGGGTCGACGGCCGTCAGGCGATAGATCATAACGAGTGAGCCTTTCGAGCGTCTCCGCAGGGTCTTCTCGGAGGTCAACGACCTGTCGTTGGACGAACGGCGTGATGTACTGGTGCCAAGGTGCTTTCCGTGCGAGTTGTTTGACGGGGATGCGTCCTTGCTTCAGCGCACGATAGCCGCGCTTTGAGTTGAGCACACTTTCGGTGAAGAGGTCGTTCCTTGAAAAGTTCGAGGGTTCGGGACCGCAGCGGTACGCAATGTCGAAACTGCCCATCGCATGGTCTATGAGTGTCCATGACATTGAATGAGATGTAACGTACGTCGTGAGTGCGTGCTCAACTGGCGCATCCACTTCCTGCCAGAATATTGGCATCTTGTCCAGTAGGTCATACACAGCATCGCGAGGGACTTTGGCAGCAGGTTTCTCCATGAACAACCCTAGAGAGGAGGTCAGGCCCTGTATCAGAACGGCAATGGCGATCATACGTTGATAAGCCGGCCGAAAGTCCGCTTCACTGAACGTTCGCGCTCCTAAGGGCCCATCGTCCAAACCAGACGCCTTGACTTGTTCGTCTAACTCTTCAATCTCCTCAGACCAATTCCGTTGCATGGGCGCAAGCTCCGCAGACTCCTGCGTGTCATCGAGCAGCTTGAGATGCATCGTGTGAACCGCTCCGAGCTCAGAAAGCTGTAGCACGCTCAGCTCCCCCGTGTTGGCGCTATGTGGATGCTGAAGGAAGACATGCCCGAGGTTTCTGTCTTCCTGGGCACGCATAGGAGGCAGATAATATGCAGGTGAGGCCATCTGTATGGCGGAACCGGAGCGCGATACGTCGTATACAGATATCAAACCATTGCGTTGCGAAGTCAGGTATGTCATCGGAGCTATGATAGGTCGACGTCAGCAATAGTCAAGGATTGCGACGGTCGGCGTACCTCTTGATAGAATCCTGGTATGGCTCTGCAGTGTGCGGTCGAAGTTCCGGAAGTGTTGGACGCCGAGGAGAGGCTTCTTCGGAGAGCGGATGTCGATCCACAAAAGCTCGTTGGTCGTCACGAGGCGGATCAAACCGTCCTTCTGGTGGCTCTCGATGCTGGTGAGCAGGGCACCGGACTGGTTCAAATGGTAGAGGTCTACTACGCTGTCTTCAGTCTGCAGATATTGTCAGCAATGTTGCACAATCACTGATGGATGAGCTTCTAACCCTGAAATCGAGACAGGATGCGCTTCGTTCAGACATCAGCAAACAGCTGTCCTCATTATCCCACGTTGCGACTTTCCAGAGTCCCGGATTCAAGGTTTCGCTGCCTTCATCAGTCGTAACGTGGACGATTTGCCTGAACAATCAGTCAGCTATTGACTGATGCTCTCAAGCAGTGACGAGCCATCGACTCACAGTGACTTCTGACCGCCCGGCGCTGCACATTTGTAAACGGACCCGCTGTCGTTGACAAGGATAGAAAGCGTTCGTTCAGTGGCTGGTAGAATCATATCCGCAATAGGACGATTGCCGAGGTCAGCATGAGTGATATTCACGAGCTCCGTAGCCTCTATAGTCGATGTTTGCGCATCCGTGGGGCGTACGTCTAATAAAGTCGTCGAGCCCATCGTTCTGACGCCGAGCACCGTCGCTGCATAGTCATCAGTGACCCGATAATGGTTGGTGGATGGCTGCTAACCTAGGACATAATCCTCTTCCTCCATGGACTGCAGAGCAGACGCTTTCAACTGCTGGATGGGTGTCTCGAAGCTGCGTATCGGCTTTGCAACCGCGTCAAGCTCGACGAACGCGTCAACTCTTGTATTACGTCTCCTTGAGTACGTCACAGGTGATATATCTTAAATTGCAGGCCTTTTGGTCAAATTTTGGCCTGCTGCTAAGGAAGTAAACTTACTCAGGTCGAGATACGAGTCCCCCATTGGGAAAGCCAAACAAGTGAGACTTCTGCCCGCGTTCCTTGCACATGTGAACGTTTCAAGCATGCTTCCGCGATATGGGTCGAACTCTTGGAGGCTTTGGGTAGCGCGTACATCTGCTGCAATTTCGTCCCGCACGAGCTCGGCGGACATCTCGAAGTCGGGGTAGTAAGTTCGCAGGAATTGAACCTTATGAATGTTAGTATATATGCATGCAATGGTCATATATGACCCATACCCCTTGATCCGCACGTTGCGAGACAGACATATCATGGCGAAAGGGTCGCTGGAGGGTCTCAGGAAACGCCTGCACCGGCTCGTACAAGGGCACAACCTTGCGCTCTGGAGGGCAGAGGTCAGATACGCCACAGAAATGAGCAGTAGAACTCACTCGGGTTCTCCTGGACTATGAACGACCATTCGAGCCGCTGCCCGTTCTGGTGAAGTGCCGCCGCACTCAAGGACCCATGCTCGACCACCGGATACGTCCAGTGAGGCAGAGGGTCGCGCGACTTCCTGCCCTTTGTGTTCTCGGAGGTCTGCGGCGTATCTCTGTCATCAGTCGGCCAGCGATCCATTCCATTTGTGGGTCGTCTGTGGTGGGCGAGAGCAAGAGAGTTGTGTGCAGCTGAATTTGACGTCGGTCGTCAAAATGACGGAGGAGCCGCGGGAGGAAGGGCGGTGTCCGGAGTCCGCCACGCGCCCGCCCAATTTCTCGTAGCGCGCGACCGTCCGCTGCACTCATCCCGACTGGCACCATGCACAGACTCTGGGCTCTCGCCCAGCGGCCCCGCCTCCCATGTAGAACACTCCACTCCACCACCGTCAAGAGGGCAGCCCCTGCAGCCGAGGCTAGCTCCTCGACGGCCGTGGCGAAGTGGACACCGACGTCGGTGCGCACAGGTGTAATTGCCCGCAAGCGAGGCATGCTGGTGATGTGGGATGGCCATGGCGCTCGGTTTCCAGTGACGGTGCTTCAGGCAAGTGCAAATCATATCATGCGCTAAAGCTCTGTTGAGGTAATGGGACTATAGCTTGAGAACTGCCAAGTCACGGCGAACGTCAAGACAGTCCGGAAAGACAAATCGGAATACCATGCTGTTCAGGTCGCAGCTTCGGACAGGCGGGAAAAGACCACAACGAATGCAATGCTTGGACACTTCAGGAATGCCGGCGTGCCTGCGAAGTATATCGTGAAGGAGTTCCCCATTACGCCGGACGCACACGTCCCAGTTGGTGCGCACTCCTGTGCGACGACTTCTATTGCTGTGGCTTATCCTCTCCTCAGGGACAACCTTGTCAGCTATCCACTTTGTCCCTGGGCAGTTTGTGGATGTGATTGCTAAATCGTAAGTAGCTGAATCGTTTACCGTGCCTTCGATGCTGAACGTCGCAACTAGGATCGGGAAGGGTTTCGCAGGCACAATGAAGCGGTGGAACTACAAAGGTCTCCGGGCTAGCCATGGTGTATCCGCTGCACATCGTTCACAAGGTGCCATCGGTGCCCACCAGGTATGCACGAATGTTTCGCTCTGCAACATACTCTCTCAAAGTGTGCCGTAGGATCCTGGTCGTGTCTGGCCTGGCAGGAAGATGGCTGGTCGTTTGGGAGGCGAGCGGACGACGACGCAGAACCTTGCCGTCGTGCGTGTCGATACCGAACTTGACCTTGTCTTCGTACGCGGGTGTGTGCCCGGTATCGACGACGCACACGTCATGGTGCGAGACGCGAAGAAGAAGATGATACAGACGGCCCAGCACGAGTACGCGAAGGGTAACATGGAGAAGATCTTACCGAAGGGGTTTGAAACTCTGCCCTTCCCCGCGGGTACGAAGGAAATGGCCGCGCAGCTTCCTCCGGTGATCGAAGCGCCGACACTTCGTCGCAGTCCATTTATTCCTCAGTCATAGGTCGTGCATTAGCCTTCCCGTAATATTATCTTCATGGGCATACTGTATACGTCGTCTGTGCGTCGAGTGCATTGCGTCCATCGCAGTCTTGTCTCAGAACGGGGCCTCGGGCTATGGTACTCTGGGTTTGATCCGGGTTACCGAAGAGGGCAGTCGTAGATCGTCATGCAGACTTCCGCCACCTTGCAACCTGCTGCTCGCCGGCCCTGGCGACTCGGTGGGCAAGCCCAATCTCTCCAGCCATGTCCGAAGACCGCTTGACCGTGCTCATCGCCTCGTACAACACCAACCTCCAGGCTGAGCGCGGGCTGCCGCAGGATCTAGTAGACTGGCTCTCGCCCACTCTCGATACCTCGTCGCTTCGCATCGAGGAGGTAGAACACCCAAGCCGTGCACCGGATATCGTTGCTGTAGGCTTCCAGGAACTTCTACCCCTCCACTACGGATGTGAGTCGCCTACCCCACCCAGTTACTCGACTCATGTCTGACCGCCCGGACCAGTCGCGGGCCTGTCCAAGTCCGTCATCGAGAACAGAAACGCGCTCATCCTCTCACAGATCGAGGCGCACGCGCCGAACAAGGAGAAGTACGCCCTCATCGCGACCGTCGTGAACGTCGGCGTCGCACTGCTCGTCTACGGGCGCGACGACGGCGTCGCACGGCGCGTGTGCGACGTGCAGACGCAGTGGACCGGATGTGGGCCCGCGTACCTCGGGAACAAGGGCGCGGTGGGCGTGCGGTTCCGCGTGGCGGGGAAGGACGGCGGCGTGGGCGAGGTGTACACGTACGTCGGTCGTCTACTCGTGCGTGTACATAGCGTGATGGCTTGTGGATGGATTGAACAGGTTCGTGTGCGCGCACCTGACGGCGCATGGGTACAACCTGCCGAAGCGCATACATGACTACCACTATATCGTTAACACCCTCCTCTTCCCGCCTCTGCCCTCGTCCGACTCCGAGGCTCCCTCGACGATCTACGACACCTCGCATCTGTTCTTCTTCGGCGACCTCAACTTCCGCCTTGCCATCCCGCCGTCACACCCACTAGCGGTGTTGTCCCACGAGGAGCTCACGCGGAAGCTAGTTACTGAAGCAGACCGGGAGGCCCTGAAGGATTGCGACGAGCTCCACATAGAGCGTGACGAACGCGGCAGCTGTTTCGTCGGCCTCCGGGAGGGTGAGTTCTGGAAGTTCAAGTGCAGCTACAAGTACAGGCTCGGGGAGGTAGACACCTTCGAGTACGTTCATTCTACTTACCCTGCGACCCTTGACTGACCTGTACTTCGACAGCCGCAAGCGAACACCAGCGTGGACAGACAGAATCATGTATACTGCATATACCGACTCCCCCGACCGTCCACGGGAGTCCACGATCCAAAACATGCTCTACACGACTATACCCTCATATACCACCTCCGACCACGTACGTTTCCCAGCCGTACTTTCACCCGTATCTCACTAACCATGCCACCCAGAAACCCATCGTCTCCCTCCTGCTCCTCCCACCCTCCACCTCTACACCAGAAACCACACAACCACCCACCCTCCGCCTGCCACCCCACTTCAAGCCCAGCCCCGACCCCTACGCAACGCTCAAGCGATATACAGGCCGCATCCTCGGACTCATCCTCGGCTATCTCTGGTGCCTGCTCACCCTCGTCGGCGCGGGCTCTACCGTGTTCGGCCTCGGGAACTTCATCCTGGGCCTCGGTGCATGGGGCTGGTGGCGGACCAGAGGGCCTGTGTTGCCCTGACTAGTGAGGTGGTGTCGACACTACTGATGGACTGTTGTTGGATGTCGGACGGAAGGGAAGTTATGTATGTCTAATATATTCGCTGTATCCGTCAAGTTGTAGCGCGAATCGTGTACTTAGAACGTACTGTTACGATGGTACATACACTATCGGTACGTTACAGGGTTTCTACTAGTAACACTATGCGAAATGGTACAAGTACAACACGAAGAGGCGGCGGTCGGATGGAAACAATACGCGCCAAGAAAGAGTCTGAAAGGAAACAGTGATCAATGCGAGGTGAATAGAGACGGATCCTCATGCTTCAAGCTGGAACGGCATCCGCGGGCTTCACATCTGCCTTCCGACCCCGCCCTTCGTCATCCACCTCCTCTATGACAATCAAAGGCGGCTGCAAATCCACAAGGGTATCTTCACGCTCCAAGTGGGCACGCGCCGGCTCAGAGGCATCGCCCGCACCAGCAGGCTCCTCGACGTCCAGCGGCGCAGCCCTCGGCAAGCGGATGAACAAGAGAAGGACCAACGCGAGCGTGAGCGAGCCGATCGAGAGCACGAAGACCGCCTGCGGGAAGGTCTTGACCGTATGCATGAACGTCACGCCATACAAGAACGGACCGACGACCTGCGAGCTGTCCTCCTCTCAGCCTCCTCCCATCCGCCAGGCGTGAACTCGAAGCCACTCACCAAACGATCTGCACGACGCTCAGCGCGCCGAACAGCTTCCCGAGCTCCTTCCCGCCGTTGCGCGTGTACAGCGTCGTCGCGACGCTGCTCACGGACGGCCCGAAGCCCGAGCCGAACGCGCCGAGCACGGACCACGCCGTGAAGACCACGCCCGAGGGCGCGAGCACCATTAGCGTGTATGCGGCGATGTCGAGCGCGATCGAGCACCGCGCGAGGTTGAGATCGAATGTGAGCGAATGGGGGTGTGACTTCGGGGAGCTGGTGCGAGCGGCGGTGGGGGGAGGGGAGGAGGGGGAGGAGGAAGAGGTGAGGGGCTCGTCGGGCTCGGTGGGGAGTTGGACAGGGGGAGTCTTGGGTTGGAATAATTTAATAATAACTGGGGATAGTGAGGTGAGTGGACGTAAGTGACAGAACGGATGCAGCACGTACTAGGTAGGCAAACGGTGAGGTGGAAGGCGCGTGCGGCGCCGACGATGCTGGTCCAGTAGCCAATCTAAGCAGCGATGCAGGCCGTAAGAAACCGACACAGTGAAGAGCCCAGGGAAACCCACATTCTCGGAATTCCACCCGAACATGAGTGACATGTACTGCATCTTCGAGGTGATAGATCCCTGTAACAGTGCGCACATCAGCATCATGCTCACCTTTGTGAAACGTATCGACCCACGATGAGCATCAGCACGAACCCATTCGCAAGTGCGACCAAGAACAAGCTCCAATCGCGCTTCGGCGTCTTCAATGGGTTCGCCGCCTGCGGTTCGCCTATCCCCTCAGGCAACAACAGCGCAAGCGGCTCCAGGAACCCGAACACGCGGCGGAACCACGCCTTCTTCTTCGTCGTGGCCGCGGCAACGACGCGAATCCGGCGCGCCTGCTGGAGCTGCATTGGCGAGAGTGACTCGGGGACGACGAGCCAGACGAGACACGCGAAGACGACGTGCACCGCGGTCGCGATGTAGAAGACGTTGAGGACGTTGTGCGTGCGGTTGATGACGAGCGAGCCGAGCGTGGGCCCGACGGAGATGCCGATGAAGAGGAGCCCGATGAGCAGCGAGAAGAAGCGAGCGCTGGGGGAGAGCATCAGTATCTATGAGCGCGAGATGGTAAGAGTGGGGATGTACCGCGCTGCGGGCTCAGCGGTATCCGCGACATATGCGTGTATGGCCGCCATGACAGTAGCATAACCTATGCGGCATCTCATGTCACTACTTTCGCTGAGTGCATAGGATCATGAGAGTACTCACTACCCAAGCAGCCGTCAACGAAGGGACCAATGAGCAGGAACCACATCCCGCCAGGCAATAGCCTGGAGTACTTCGCCGTCGAGATGAAGGTCACGTCCGTGATGAGCATGCCAACCACAGCGAGGCTCATGATCCTCGTACGTCCGTAGCGATCGGAGATCTGCAGGAGCGGTAGCAGAGAAGCATATATGCGTCGATAGTTAGGTATCTGTGCGCATATATGCTGCCTGCGCGACGTACCGAGCCCCAGAAACCCGTAGTGAGACAGCCGAGGATACCCATGGTGGTGAGCATCGTGAGGGAGAGTCGGGACACTGCCTGCTGCACGTCCGGGTCCGTCACACACAACTCGTACGGCCTGTCTTTAACGGAGAACCTTCATGTCAGTGCTCACCCGTCGGAAGGTGATGCTGCGGGGTGCTCACTGAACATTGAGATGGTGTTCGCGACGACCTCGAGGGTCTTGTTCGTGTATTCGGGCTTGTAATGGTCGCACGCGAGCTCAGTGTAGATCTGGATACGCGGAGCCAGGGTCATGGACATCGCGATCGACGAGAAGGGCACGCCGCTGATGAACCTGAGTCGCCAGACTGTGAACGACTGCACTCGCTGCAACACATGGCTACTGACCACCAGGGCGAGGGACGCTTCCACCAGGGCAGCCCCTGCCTCCACTCGAGGATCGCCGCCTCGAACGCGCCGTCGTCCTCTTCGTCCTCCTCCGCGACGAGCGTGTCCTCGGCAGCGTGGTGGTGGGGGTGGACGAACTCGTGCAGCAGCTCCGCGGTCTCGTCGTCAATCTGGCCGTCCGGGTTGATGAGCACATTGGGGCCGGTGGGGAGGTACGGCACGGAGACGACAGAGGGGTTGCGCGACGTGCGGGGGCGCGAGAATGCACGGCGGGAGTGGGAGCGCGAGATGGCGCGCGAGGGGCCGTTGGACGGGGGACGCGGGTCGGCCATGTTCGCGGGCGAGCTGCGAGGGGCGGAGGGACACGCAGGGGGCTACGGCGGAGGCGCGGGAGGCGAGGCATGGTTTATGAAGGCGGCGGGTGAGCGGGATATCGTCAGCAATGAGATAGCGGGCCACGCTTCAGGCAGCGTGTGCAACAGCCATGATACAAGCCGTGCAACTCTGTCCCCTTGCCGCCCCTCCGCAGGCACATCCCGTCGACCCGATCCCCCGGCTCACCCTTCCCGCCCGCTCACTGACGAAAGCATCATCGAGTTCGGATCCATCTCGCACACGGCTAACGGTCTGCGTCTCCTTCTACTGCCTCGGCGGGACGGAGGGGGCAGCTGGCGGCGCAGACAGAGCGATCATCGAAGCTGCGTCCACGCCCCCTCCACGCCACCCTTGACGCCTCTCGCAGCAAGTGCATTCAATGGTGCAAGGACTCTAATGTAATTGCACTCATAAAGTATGCCGATGCCCGCGTTCTCGAGCTCACAATCGCCTGCCGCAGCACTTGCCATTACTTCCCAGATTCCAGGCACGCCGAACTGCCGGTCACATATTGCACTCAGATAGCGAGATAGAGCTACTGGCAGAACGCCGCTGCTGCCTACAGTAGCTCATCACTCCAGCATGACATTCGCGGCGCGATGGTCAAGGCGATAGTTACTGGTATTGGAGTGCTGACGATGCGGCGGCGTTGCTAGATGCGGCCGAGAGACCCTGCGGGACGCGCATTGTCGTTCTCAAGGTGTTGCAAATCATCGACAGGCTCCGTCTGAGAACGATCAGCCCTACAATGCTGTGGCAACGTCATTAGACCCTCTTGATAGTTTCATGGAAGGAACCACTCACAGCTCTCCCCGCGTCCCTTGCGACGGTTACCCAGGGTAAGTTATCACAATGAGATTGTGACTGAATAGCACAGGATTTAGGCGGCCACAGACCGGCCACAGCGTTTCGGAGAAGCATGCCATGACCGGGCAAGGAACTTATGTTACAGGATTTGTGACTTCTTCCGTGCATCTTTCTAACACAGCAAAGCAACTTACGACAGACCCAGAGTAGATCTCCACCATCATCATCCATGCAGCAGTTTCGCGTCAACCGACTCCTGTGTGAGGCCTTCTGCGCCGTCGCGAACCTCAATCACCTTGCTCACGTCCGCCTGTGTCCGCGGGCTAATAAGTATGCATGCGCTCTACACGGAAATGCAGTACGCACCGTGTTCTGGAAGTCGATGAACGCGCTCGCGTGTAGCGTCAACAGGCTCATCTCGCTTGATCTCGGCGCCCAGTTGATGAGCACGAGCGGGAACGACTTCCGGCCATCGTCATGGTTCAGCTCATGCGAGAGCAGGACGTATCGCGGCGCGTTCTCCGGGAGCTCTGCGACCCAATCGCCCTCATCAGCGTCCGTTCCGCGTCCAGCGGGGATCGGCAACGGGGGACGTGCCTTCGGCGAGGTCGTCGATGCTGATCTCGTCAAACTGCTCGACCTCCTCCATGATAAGCTTCTGCTTGTTGATCTTCACGACGAGCGCGGCGCTCCCCGCGTTGCGTCGCGCGAAGCGGAACTTGCGCAGCGAGGCCTTGAGCTCCTGGGGGATGTCGACGGTGTGGGACTGTCGCGCCCATCAGACGCCATTAGCTACACCATAGATGCGATGGACTCGCCATGCTTGCTGGGTGGGGCGGTTGGTGATGAGGTCGCGGTGGGAGGAGGATCACGGTCGCGTAGAGGACGAAGCAGCACGGCAGCACTGCTCGATCGGACAGGATGGAGATCAGATCGGGAAGCTCTATTAATTGGGACCCGGAGCGCCCGACCAATCAGGTCGCGAGGATGATGCTCGACCTCCACTCTGTGGACTTTGTCTCGTAGCATCCACTTGTACGAGCATCGCAAACCCGTGGCTTCGCCACGGGTTTACGGGGCAATTTCTTCATTCTGTGCTTCATGTAACTTTTAAGATTTCATGCTTATGCAATGCCAGACCTGGGCTTCGCCTCAGGTCTGGCGGCGGTTCTTTCATTCTGTGCTTTGTGTTACTTTGGAGGCTATATGCTTATGCAATGCCAGACCTGGGCTTCGCCTCAGGTCTGGCGGCAGTTCTTTCATTCTGTGCTTTGTGTTACTTTGAAGGTTATATGCTTGGGCATTGCCAGCCCATGGCTTCGCCACGGGCTGGCAGCATTAGTTCATTCAATGCTGTGTGTTAGTCTTCATGCTTCCCGGCCTGTGGTTCAGTGATATCTTTGTCTTCTCGAATATAATCTGACATTTCTTACTATTTCCCGGTGCTGGCATGACATTCCCTATTGTCCTGGTATCCTATTGCCCGGTACTGATTTCCCGGCGCTCACAATATGTTCAGTCTTGTGATTGCACTTTAATTGAATGTTTCCTGGCCTGTGGTACACATTCAGCAATTGTCTTCTTGAATATGATCTGATGTTTTGAATATCACCACTGTTTCATCCTATTATTTCCCGGTACTGATATTCCCTATTGCCCGGTACTGATGTGTCCTGTTTTTCCACTACCCTCAGTACTCACAGGTCCTATTTCCCGGTACTGAGTTGTCCTGCATTGCGCGCGGAAATCCCGCCTCGGGGACAGCTCGGGCGGGGGTCGCAGGCGCCGGGGAGGAGAGAGCGCCCGACCGGTAGGTGGCTGAGGCCACGCGGCGAACGTGGACGCCATGTGCTCTCCATGTGCGTTCCACGCGAGTTACGCGCGCCACAGCAACACCCTCGTCCCATAATGTTATAGATAGATAGATACATATCGCGGAGGCCGTCGGTCTGAATTTCTCTACGGGCTCGTCGACGCTCTAGGGCATATGTGAACACGCTCGCCTTGTGGGCAGCCTCCGCGCCCGGAAAGGGGCCGCCTTGATTACGCAGCGCGCAAGGTCAAGCACGCAGCACGCTAGAGCCGTTTTATCTAACTATCTCACAGGCTGTCTACGTCGTCTTCCTCCTCCTCCACGGTCTACGCTCGCAGCGTACGCGTTAACCCTCGAGCCATGTCCAGATCGAGGGACGCACCAACGTTCGCGCGTGATGCGCAACTGACATCGAGGAGTCGCTCGCGTGCGGCCCGTAGCGTGTCGGCTTCCCACCCGTTCCCGCCTGAACCAGAGGTCGAGGCGGAGGTATTCATCCATCCTGAAGACTCGGCGGCGATATTACCGCACGGACATGATGTGCAAGGGTCTTGCACAGAGGAGCCCAGCGGGAGTGACGACACAACTCTTCCTGAGGAGATCGACGTGAAGCCGTGGTGGAGGAAGCCATCCGCCTTGTGGTGAGCCCCTTGCCTGTCGTTCTCTATCCCATTCGCATGCTCATGTGCGCCGCAGGATCCTGTTCGTCACCCCGATCCTCACCATCGCACGCGCGTCGACCCAAGCTCCCCGCGTCGAGATCTACATCCAGCTCGCGTGCGACGCGTACAAGCCCGACACGTCCGCCGGGCGTTCTCTCTCCACGCTGCTGACGCTCGCAGGGGGCTCGGAAAGGTGGAAGTTCTGCTCGTCCGACCCGGACGTGCAGACTGCCGTGGCGCAGCTCGCGACTGCGATGAGTATCGCCATGGGCGTCCTCGGGTGCTTGACGACTGCTTGGTGGGGTTCCGTACGTGCATGTTGTCACTCATTCAAGTTGCATCTTGATGACTGAAGCGGATGTGTATAAGTAGATGTCTGACCGCCGCGGACGCACGCGCATCATCGCCATAGCCATGACGGGTCAGATGATCGACGCTCTCGGTATCCTAGTCGTCTGCACGTTCTCAAAGTTCATTCCTGGCGGATACTGGGCTCTCCTTGTCGCACCGACGATAGCGGGCATACTCGGCGGCGTCAATACTGTTGGTGCTACGCTGAACGCGTACATCGCTGACTGTACTGATCTCACTACGAGGTGCGCATCCAGCCCAAAGAACTTGTCGTGTATGTTTCTGACGATACGCGAGCAGATCCCGCTACTTCTCCCTCGTCGTCGGCCTCGTCTTCGTCGGCTACAGCATCGGGCCCACGCTCGGCTCCCTCATCATCACCTGGACAGGCTCGACCCTCTCCGTCTTCTACTTCTCCACGCTCATCCACGGGCTCTACGTCCTCGCCGCGCTGTTCGTCATCCCCGAGTCGCTGTCCGCGGCGCAGATGGACGAGTCCCGCAGGGCGCACCACGAAGAGGGCAAGCAGCTTAGGGACAAGCGGGCTGAGGGCGGCATTTCGGCGTGGGTGGGGAGAGCGTTTGGGTTCTTGAGACCGTTGGCTTTGTTGTTGCCTGTGACGGCGGTTACGCCTGAGGGGAAGAGGAGGAGGAATTGGAGCTTGTTATTGCTCGCGGCCGGATATGGGAGCATGATTTCTCTGAAGGTTGGTTCTCATATGTGTCTGACGGGCAAAGGAACTCAGACTCATTGACCACAGGGAGATATAACTTATGAATATCAATATATGTCGCTGACGTTCGGCTGGACGTCGAAGCAGGTGAAGAACACCCAGGTCTACTTTCCGTTGATGACTGACGCATTACTCGTCTAGCTGGGCTACTACACAAGTGCCCTCGGTACTACACGCGCCATTTACCTCATGGTCCTCCTTCCATGTACGCCCGTCTCTATCACCTCCCTTCAATCTCATAACCAATAGACCCTCTTCCCAGTCCTCATGGCACTCCTGCAACGCCTGACCTCGGGGCGGGACCACCCCACGGGTACGATCGACCTCGCCATCGCACGGGGCTCGCTCGTCGTCGAGGCGATCGCCTACGTCTTCATGGCGCTCGCGCCGACCGGCTACCTCTTCACCGTCTACGCCGTGATCAGCACGCTCGGCATTAGCTTCACGCCCGCGATCAACACCGTCGCGTCCGCGGTGTACAGCCAGCAGGGCGGGAAGGAGCTGGGGAAGCTGTTTGGCGCGCTGGGCGTCGTGCAAACGATATGGTGCGCAGTTTCATTCGCTCGAATGTGGGGGCTGACGAGAAGGTTGTTGGTAGTTCGCAGGTCTTGGGTCCGTTCATATTCGGTGTAACGTACATGCGGACGGTCAAAACAGCGCCGAAGGCGATCTTCGTCGTGACGATCGCGGCGTTGGTCCTGTCGTTCATCACGCTCGCGCCAATCCGGCTGCAACATCATTCGCATGAGGCGTCGGGAGGCGATGTTGAAGGTCAGACGGTAGAGGAAGGCGATGCGGTACTGGACGTCGATGAGCGTGCGCCGCTCATCCCGCCAGAGGAGTCAGAACGCGGCAGGAAGGTTGTCAAGTCATCATATACGCAGTCATGAGAATTTGGGGCACAGTCATTGGGATGTATGCTAGATAGACTTGTAAGACTAGAGAAGATTGTTCAATCACAGTCTATCTCACGCGCGAGCTTCGGTGTCAGCCGAGTACGAGTCAGTCTATAGTGCTTTGTCAACGCGTATAGCATCCCATTATGCCCGCTAACACCCAGCAGTTGCCCACGACATACACCAGACTCCGAACCCATAGCCCAAAGAATACGTTCTGCCCCAGGAACTCCAGCTTGTACGCCTCGCTCAGCCATAATGCCTGCGTACCGACCCATACTGCGACATACGCAAACAGTTGCCTCCGAGACATCCGCAGTCTCGGTATGAGAAGCGGCAGGAAGAGCGTGTACCAGAGGAAATACTGTACACGGGTAGAGGTCAGCCGGGATTACAATGGAGACACTGAATGTCGAACACACCTGCGAGGTGCACACTTTGTTGAAGACAACAAAGACGACTGTCTGTACGAACCACGCAAACACGAGGTCCTCGCTGCGCCGCCCGAAAAGCAGTCCCGCACCCAGCGAGAGCCCCATTTGCGGCACGAAGCTCGTCAGCGGAGAGCTCAGCAGGCGTCTCCAGAACGGCATGCCGAGCAAGTCCGCCGCGGTGGAAGATGAGGGGTATGTCAGGTAGATGAGGTAGAAGTAGGGGGAGAAGTTGTGCCGGTGGTCCAGCCGGTGGAGGTGGTAGAGGTAGGATTCGTATAGGAAAGGGTATCCCCATCTATCAATTCTTGCTTGAGCAAGGGTATCGAAGAAGGGTCAAGATTGTACTTACATGGCATACATCAAGGCCCCAAGGCCAACAAATGTCGCCACGCTGAGAGCAGTGAAGCGCAATGTCCGCGCGTTGACCAATACGCTTAGCCAGTTGCCGCGTCGCTGGTTCTGTCCTGCGCTCCCGCCAATAACACCAAGGCACGCAATCCCATAGATGAACGGATAGATCTTCCAATGTGTACTCAAGCCTAGAAGGATGGCAGTAGCGTCCCACCTCCCCTTGAGTGCGAAGTAGAGCGTGGAGAGCACGAAGAGCGAGAGGACAGACTCGGACGAGCCACGGGTTGAGATGGTGAAGACGAGCGGGCTGAGCAGGTGGGAAGCAACTAGAGCAGTTGCATAGCGTTCCGCCGTCCATCCACCATCCCGTGCCTCCGCACCCTCCTTTTCCTCTGCTTGCGAGCTACCCTGTTGCTGATTATTGACCCTTGAACTAGTTGTAGGCAGAGTGTTTGACGTCAAGAGGTTGTACATCAGCACCCCCGCTAGTATGTCGGCTGCCGCGAACAGATACTTCCCGAACGACGGGTGCAGCCATTCGTTTGGAGCGAGCAGCACAGCGAGGAGCGGGGTGTAACGGTAGGTCGCCCGTGTATATGGACTAATTTCGAGCAAGTCAGACGAGCATGATACAGTCTCTTCGAACAAACTCACTCGCCAAGCCGCACCAATTTACCGAGAGGTCCTCGCGCATAGTTATCCTCGGATGGGTTTAGCAGGAACCTCGCGGCATCGCTGAAGACGCGGTAATCGACGTCGGTGTACTTGACGACGGAATGTGCATCATGCCATTCACTGTACAATATGAGGACGACTCGCAGGGCAGTCGAGATGACAAGCAGCTGCTTGAACGAGGGAACAAGTTGTACAAGAGACCGCTGAGCCATCCTCAGTGCATGGTCGCAGCACAATCGAAGGCGCGCAGCGGCATCCGCCCGCGACGCGTTGACGCGTTATTCACGTGCTCTATGAGCAGACACGTAACTTAGCGTCTTCAGTGCGTTGCACTGCAGTTACAATACAATGACACATGGTCCACGGCGGATTCACTCTGGACGAGACTGGTCTAGTAGATGGTCCGAAGCTCAAGACGTAAACCGATAACATAAAGCGAAGTAGCGACAATGGACTAATATGCAGGAAGAAGACCAAGGATCCCGGGTGCGGACACCCTCAGAGCATGCGGAAGCACTTGCCAGTGAGAAGTCTCAGATCTGACAAGACGTGTGAGTGTAAGCACGGCAAGAGCGGAACATGACACGTACGTATTGCGAGACCCATCGGAAGCCCTCTCCGTACCCCTGCCTCTGCACGACTGAGCACATAAAGATCTCAATCGGGCGGATGTCGTTGAGAGGGACCTTGCCCTGTGCACAGCGGTTGAGGTAATAAAGAACAGATGTGGTATTTACACATACCTTGCCAGTGGTCTGGTAGAGACCCAAGTGATGCCTGAGCTCCTCCTCGCTTACAGCGCCAGGTGCGTCAATCTTGTTGCCAAGGATGAGGAAAGGAACTTTGGAGAGCTCCTCAATGGAAAGGAGAGCGTCAAGCTCTGCCTTTGACTCCGCGAACCTTTCAAAGTCAGCGCTGTCGACAAGGAAGACGATGCCGTCGACCTCGGGGAAGTAGTCACGCCAGAGCCGGCGAGCTAAGCAGCTGTCAGTGACAGTCGTTAGACCAATGTATCCTCGACGTACCTTGCTGGTGACCACCCAAGTCGTATGTTGTGAACTTCACGTTGCCGATGGCAAGTTCCTCGGACGCTAGGCGCCATTCAGTGGGCACGCGCGAGCGAAGTAATGCATAGCCACTCACTGGGGTGTAGCGTGGGCTGCAGAGTGGCAAGCCGGTCATTCTTCAGCATATGAAGCAAGGTCTGCAGAGAAGCTCGTCAGAGCAAGGAACCCAAGTCTACAACAAGGGTACGCGCACCGTCTTTCCGGCGTTGTCGAGACCAAGGAAGAGGATTTTCGCATTCTTGTGCAGCAGACCTGCATAGGGTCAGCTATAGCACTACAGCATAGGCCAGTAAGCAGACCCACCAAGCTGTGCGAGGACATCCCAGAACCAGTTGATGATGAACATAGTGTCAAGAGGGTCGTTTGGAGAGCGCGGCGCCTGCAGTCGGCGAGCTCACCATGCATTGACGTGTTGTCACGCGTCACACAGTGACACGTAGTGCCCTGACGTCACGTTCGAGAGTAGTGTGGATTCTGCCAGGTTCGCCTCGACAGTGCCTTGCCAGGTTACCGCCCCCGCACGCCGACTAAGAACTGACCAACAATGAACAGTGCACTACTTCATATTTTTAGAGCTACTACGGACATGGACAGCGGACAAAACAATGACAAAACTACAAGGCATTCAGGTTGTAGATACAGAATGTAGGGAAGATCTGACACTCAACAGCACCATACAGGCTCACGAAGAGCAGGTGAGAGAGCTCTTAAGCCGCCCAAAGTGCATCAGTCTCTGCAAACCGAATCGCCGTATCCTACGTGGTGGCGAACGAAGAGGATAGGCACTGTCTAAAGGGTTGCATGAGAGATGGCGTCGTCCGTCGTGCAAATTTATACGCTGCCATCTGTTTGTCAATATTTGGCATACGTGGCGCTCCGAGCCCGAACGGCAAAATCCTCCTCGATATTGTGCACGGTGCGGAAGTTCGCACTGAACCCGTGCACATCTGGTCAATACATAAGGTAGTACTACAATTCCTCTATCCATTGTACAAGAGGTGCAAGACCATCGATGTCGTCGGACTTCTCATCCACCACTCCGTTCGTCTGCTTCGTGTTCACTGAGGTGCCCACAAAGACAATCTCGCCTCCTTCCCATGCGTCGAATCTGAACTCGCCATTTCCACTGCACTCCAGTCCGCCCATCTCAGACTCGGCGCCCTCTGCGCCCAAGCCTTCGATACCGACTCCGCCAGCTTGTGACGCGCGTCGCTTTTCAAGCTCCCGCTCGAGAATTGCCCTTGCGCGATTGACGGCGAGTTGCCCGGGTGTTGCCTGCGCCGTGGATTTGAGCAAGTCTGCTTTGTGCGCAACAATGATTAGGGCTGGCGTAGGCCGTGAGGGAGGGAGTGATGCAATGGCGTGCAAGATCTGGTGCAAGTGCCTTTCGAAGGCAGAACGTGAGGGCATACACTTGCTATGGGATCGCGAAGAACGTACTCGGCAACCACTGCACCATTTCTAGACACTGTGCTTGAGTCCACAACAAATGCGATACCCTGAGCATCCGTCATATATTCCCGGAACTGATCGCGGATGCGTGGGTGTCCAGGAACGTCGACTACTCGTAGAGACTTGTCTTGCAAATGCATGCTCGAGACGTTTGGTTGCATGGATGTATGTGATGGCAATGTCTGTCTGTACACAAGCTGAAGTCGTGCGCGTTAAGATGTAGGCATAGTTGGTGACACTCGGGGACATACCGACGAGAAGATGGCAGTCTTTCCCGCGTCAGGTGGACCAACGAGTAATAAGGCATCGCCTCGTAAATTGGATTTCCTGCGTGACACGAAGGCAACGACTAGGAGAGCGTTGGGAGATGCCCTGACCAGAGGTATGGAATACAATACTCACCTGCCAGGAGTATCACTGCAACGGCTAGTGATGAGAGTACGAGGAATTGAGGCGTGAATAACGTCGCAAGAGATAGAACCTCCGGTTCAGGTACATGCATGCTGTCTTCTGTAGGATCCATGTTAAGTGGTGATTCGGCGCGACCAGGGACGCGTCACACTCCGTGGCTTGCTTCCGAGTCGGGCGAGACGTTGTTTGTCCTTATTAGAAACGGAAGCCTTTGGACAACAGACTACAACAGACTTTCTCCCAGATCGCGATCGCACTGCGCACGTGGATGAGTGCACGAAATTCTTGTGCCTTCAGCCACCACTGCAAAAGTGCATACTACTCGGAGGTCGCGCACTTACTCGCCGCGTACGCAGGCACATCACATCCTACTCATCACCACTCCTGTAATCAAGACTAATGGCGGTAGTCGCGGCCGAGGCAGGACCCAGCAGTCCCCCTCCTCGCAAGCGCGCTCGCGTCGATCATGGAGGGCCTCAAAAAGCCTCGCAGCCCCGCCTCTTTGCACCGTTCCGGGCACTTGGGCTCATCACAAATGATGTGCCGTTTGTCATGCAGACTCGCTCTCACAAAGGCGCAACGGATGGTCCAAGGATACATCTAGTAACTTGTCTGGGGAGGTCTTGGGCAATGTGGGAGGGAGGCAAGATTGGGCTTCTGTTCGTCGGTGAGTTATGTACTGTCCCCTTGTATAGGAATGCTCAATGTAACTCCATGTGTTTCAGGACCTGACGCACCCGAGCGGATAACATGTCTTGCCATGGAGGGCAACTCCGTATGGGCGGCGAGTGGACCTCATGTCATACAATACATTCGTGGTAAAGAGGTGTGTTGGCACTGGGCAAGATTGTTTATCTGGTCTAATCTTGGCGAAGGTCGGAAGGTTGACCAACCCACTCGAGACAAACATCGCCTCAGTCCTTGTTCTCGGCTCCCAGCTGCTCGCCCTCACTGAGGACGGTACTCGGATGCTCGTATGGAACGTTGATAGCGGGGGTATGCCTCGTGTAGCCTCATTGTGTCCTCTGTTATTCATTCTTAACCTGCAGAGTTGGCGGCCAACGTCCAGTTCGACTCTGACTTCGTGGCTACCACCATGCTGCATCCCTCCACCTATCTGAACAAGATCCTCGTTGGAAGCAGTCAGGGCAACATGCAACTGTGGAACATCAAGACCCAGTACGTTCTGCATCCTTAGCTATAAATATATTGACTCAACGTACCTCTAGAACCAAGATACACACATTCTCCTTCTCGTCCCTCGCGACAAAATCGACGAAACAGGTTAATCAGCCTCCAGCCGCCATCACAGCACTCGTTCAGTCGCCTGCTATTGACGTGGTCGGCATAGGCTTTTCCTCTGGGGAGATCTCAGTCTACGATGTACGGGCTGACGAGCGGCTGATGAAGATGACCATGCAGGACGGTGCTATACGTTCTATGTCATTCCGCAGCGGTAGGTCTATCCTTCACTACTTCTTGGGCTATACTGATGCATCACGTCGTAGATGGACAGCCGGTTCTAGCTTCGGCATCTACCAATGGTCATATCGCGTTGTGGGACCTCAATTCTGGGGGTCAGTTACTCCACCTCATGCGCGGAGCCCATGACGGCGCGGTTACTGCCGTGGAATGGGTTCCTGGACAGCCTCTCCTCATCAGCTCTGGGGATGACAACAGCATAAAGGTGTGTATAGCTGCGAGCTCACTTACCTAGGCGTCCAGCTGACAATACATGTCGTTAGCAATGGTTCTTCGAGTCGCCTACAGCACCACCGCGATTGCTCAAATTTCGCTCTGGACACCATGCACCTCCACATCTGATCCGATACTACGGTGACGATGGGAAGCAGCTGCTGACAGCATCTACGGATCGTAGTCTGAGATGCACCAGTGTCGTTCGAGACTCGAGGAGCTTCGAAATGAGCCAAGGTGTGTCTTCTTTTCAACGGGTCGATCTCTATGTCTCATTCTTCCTCCCACAGGCCATCTGGCGAAGAAGGCTACGAGCCTCTCGATCCCCTTGACGTCGCTGAAATTCCCACCTGTGATCGCTATCGCATACTCGACGACAAGAGCGAAAGACTGGGATGACATCCTGACCGGACATGCAGAGGAGACGTTTGCGCGGACATGGACTACGAAGGACAAGAAGCTCGGCAAGCACGTCTTCGGCTTCGGTGATGGAGGCAAGAAGGGTGCTCCTGTCGGTGCTGTCACCGTAGGTCTTCATCACAGCGCATTGCACCCATCTTTATGACCAAGTGTCCATCTAGGCTGTATGCGTATCTGCCTGTGGTAATTTTGGCCTGACCACGTCGTCAACTGGTGCTGTCTACATGTACAACATGCAGTCCGGCATCTTGCGCAAGACATTCAGCGTTGGAGCGTGCCCGCCAGAAGCGGCGAGCAGGCCCAGCCCCTCATCGACGACAACATCGAAGAAGAAATCGCAGGAGCGGTGTATGACGGGGCTGGCCACCGACGCGCTAAACTCAGTAGTGATTGCGAGCACGCTGGATGGCACTGTCAACGTGAGTCCGGTCGTCTCACGACCCAGGTTGCCCCACTGACCCCCTGGTAACCAGTTCTTCGACTTCCATACAGCAAAATTAGAGAAGACGCTCGTTCTGCCTTGTTCCGCGCTCTCCATCGCTCTTCACCGTGATAGTGGTTTGCTGGCTGTCGTGTGCGATGACCGCGTAGTTCGTCTGGTGGATATCGAGACAAGGATAGTCGTCAGAGAGCTTCGGGGCCACCGAGGCCGCGTACTCGATCTGGTAAGTGTCATGCCCTCCTGCATACCGCGTCGCCGGCACAGAAGCTGACTTACATACACATAGACCTTCTCTCCGGACTCAAGATGGCTCGTCACAACCTCGTTGGATTCCATCATTCGCACCTTCGATATCCCGACAGGTCGGCTCATCGACGCCTTCCGCACGCCCAGTGTCGCCACTAGCGTGGCATTCTCCCCGACGAATGATTTCCTCGCGACATCGCATACCGACAGCGTCGGCGTGTACCTATGGTGGATAGATTGTTTTCTCGCCTTTCCTCATATTCTCATTTAGTATGATAGGGCGAATCGTGCTCAGTACTCGGACGTGACCTTCCAGAGTGTGTCGGACGAGGAAAATGTCATGAACGTATCATTGCCATCTATGCAAGGCACTGCGGAAGATGAGGGTATGCCCTGCTTGCTATGTCCCATGCCTCACCTTCCACTCACGCACGTACAGCACTTGAAGCCCTATCCTCCCTCACCCTCGTCGGTCAAGAAAAGCCCACAGATGTCTTCCTCATGCCCCCACATCTGGACGGTGACCTGGTCACGCTCTCCCTGCTACCACGATCTCGTTGGCAAACCCTCCTCAACTTCGAGGTCATACAGCAGCGGAACAAGCCGAAGGAGCCTCCCAAGGAACCAGAGAAGGCGCCGTTCTTCTTGCCGACATTGCCTGGAGTCGAGGAGAGGTTCACGATCCAAGAGCCGCAGATACAGGAGGCGGAGAAGAGCAAGACGCAGACCAAGCGGTTGCAGAAGGCTGCAGCCGTGTCGGAGAGTACATTCCATAAGAAGCTCGCTGCTGCTGATCCTGACAGTGATTGTGAGTATATGCATGATGTATGGCGGACAAAGGGCCTTAACTCAATACTTTCTAGATGAGGATTTCTTTGCTTATGCGAAGACTCTGTCACCCGCTGCCATGGACCTCGAGCTCCGTTCGCTCGTTACTCTCGACGACTTTCGGATGTTCCTGGCTGCCCTGACATCCCGCCTCAAGTCACATCGAGACTTCGAAGCGGTTCAGACATTCCAAAGCGTCTTCTTGCGCATGCATGGAGACGTTTTTGTCTCAAATCCAGAACTTCAACAGGAAGTGGAAACGCTCCGGGCTGTCCAGCGGAAGGAGAGCGAGAAGCTTCTGGAGCTGCTCGCGTCTTCAATGGGTACTCTCAGCTTTGTCCGAGATACTATGTAATTCTGTAGCACTCGAAGGAATGTTCGCGTGGATATCTTTGTATAGCCTACTGTCGTCTCGTATGTGCCACTGGCATGACTCGCGATAGTACAAGCAACTCACTACGTGGAAGACAGTGATCGGAAATCTTGTCAACGATCTCAGATTTACTAACAGCGATGATATGTAAGATCCGGATCTTGCTCGCCAGCTCAACTTGCCGAGTGCCTGTCACTGGCAGTCTGTCAGTCACCGTAACGGTTCACCCACCTACCACTTGGCTTTTGAGCCAGCACGGCTTGTTGTAGCTCACAACGTGAACATTGTATCAATCTGGGACTCGCGCACTAAGCCCTCCGAATACCTCGCAATGGTCGAGTTTGCCATGGATCCGTCTGCTCCTCTGGCAGTCGGAGTGAACACATTGCTTACATGCGAGTTCGTCCTCCCTGCGCTTCGTATCCGCTCAGCGATGACTGACACCCACATTGTGTCTAGCTGTCGCCACTGGTACGCTGGCGGGCGCATATGGATTGCTTAAGGGTTCAAGTCAGGTTGGGCTAATGATCACAATCGCTGGGCTGAACGGTGGCGTAGCTGGGGCTACATTCTTCAGTACGTCTAGCTCAAACGCACAATAACTGACCATTAGTTGACATGCCGTAGGCTTTCGCGAGTACGTCGCCAGCCCGATCCTCCTCACCGCCCTGTCCGATACCCACTACTCGAGACGAATACGGGAGCTTCGAGAGCAACGGAAAGAGGGTACCCAGCCAGGAGAGAAACTCAGTTGGTGGGATATGCGACTGAACAAGGTTCCCGACACGGCCGCGAGCGGAGCCTTCACGGGAGGTGTGTTGAATGCCTGGAAACGTGCGTTATACTTCGTCCGCTCCCTTCGCGGAGCTTACAGCTATTGGATCTAGGGGGACGACCGGGTATTGTACCGGGGATGGTCACTGCAGGCCTCGTTTGCACGATGGTTCAGCTACTCTATAACGAGCTCGGCGTTGCGAGGATCAAATATGTCTCGAGGAAACTGCAGGCGTCCCAGGCACCGACACCTGCGTCTGCGCCGCCTCAGCATCCACCCGACCACGATTTCGAGCCACCAAGAAGCGTGTCCGAGCGGATCTTCTCCATGCTGGGATGGCATAAAGTCTCTGACGATGACTACCTGGCCAAGCTGAAGCTGAAGCGGGAGATGTACCTGCGTAGGATAGCTGAACTGGAGCAAGAAAAGCAGGAGGCTGAGCAACAAGAGGGGACGCGCGACAGGCCCTAGCCATAGCATAGCATTTGATAACGCTGTTTTGGGCTACGGCTAGGTTACGATGTATGTTCTGTTGCTATTCTACGAGCTATCGCTTCCGCACCCATGTCCCACAATTCGACAACACCTTTACCGTCCCGCGTCAGCCCTCCAACCGCCATTTTGTCTCCAGTAATGATCAAAGCATTTATTTTGGTGATGTTTTCTGTGCGGCTTGTCCATCTCACACTGCAGCTGACCGTTGGACTGCTTTCATTTTGGGCATCCTGATGCTCAATAAAGATGTGTTTGACCTCGCCCAGCAGAGTGCATGTCACTACTTGATGTGGGTCGAAGAAAGCACTGGAACAGCTCTTAGTATCAATGTGCACCTCACGGGGAGAGCTAGTAAACGCACGTTGCCACAACAGGCCCCTCTGCGACCTTAATCCATGTCCCCTCAGTGTCTACCAAACCCTCCCATTTTCGTCTTCGCTTTTTCTTGACGTGACCATCGGGACACTTCTCACCGCCAGTGCCAATGAAAAGCATTCCGTTCGCTGTGCCCGCCGCGAACATACCAGTCGATGTTATCGCTGTAGACAAGACAAATGGTGGAGACAGCTGTAGGCCAGGCTCATCAGAAGCACCAGAAGCGGAGGCTTGCGCTACGGAATATATAGAGGTCAACCTGACATAGAGGCACAGGTGGGGATGTGACCTACCAACGTCCAGGTCCGAGAGTAACGTGCGCTGCTGGAAGTCATGGTGGAGTAGCTTGCAATCATATCCTCCGCTGACCAGCTCGCTTGGTCGGTCGGGTATAAAGTTGATCGAGCCGCATATCTAGAGGCATTGAGACGACGAACGAACATTCATGGCACTGAACACTCACGCTTGTATGGTGCGTGTTCATTCTGCTAACTTGGCCAGTGGACAGCTCAACGACTCCTGCTGCACCATTGTCTGTGCTGAATGCCAGATAATTTCCGTCATAGCTCAGGTTGATCTAGCTGAATGTCTGTACCTTAGCGTTCGACCTACATTGTAAACTATCATGCACTGACCTGATTGAGGACATCCTCGTCATCTTCTCCTATAGAAAATGCGCCGGTTGCGTCTTTCGGTGTGAGAATCATCTTTTCCGGTGTCTGGTCGAAGCGGACTATTCGCGTTCCGCTTGCAAAGTACCACTGTCCTGGCTGACGACCTTTCGATCGGGAACAACATATTGAAGAGATCTCCTCTCCGAGTGATGTGATCGCTCGCGCGACCTTTGTGGAGGATTGTGAGTACAGTCGCACGGTGCCATCCTCTGTTGAATCGTTGCTTCAACGATGTATAGAACGCTCGAATACGTGGACTACGCACCTCCGCCCACGAAAAGGGCGCCGTCCTCCGAGAAGGCCAGGGAAGACACCGCGCATGGCACGTCGACTTTGTACAAGAACGACATGTTTCGCAGACGCGTTATGATCAGTATAGTCTCCGTTAGATATCTGGTGCAAGGGCAAGCGACCCCGAAGGGATCCGGAAGAAATGCCGGCGGTCGAGGTCAATGCCAATGTGCAAGCGCCTCAGCCACAGGCGCGTCACCGGTGGACCTTCCATATCCAGGATCGCACGACGCGCCCATCAGCCACACTCTAGTCGCCCCGATAACGCAATACCGTCTCTCGACTGCGAGGAAACCGCGCAGGCATTACGAACATGGGAGGTCCATCAGCGACACAGCACGCGCCCAAGTCTCTCCTCGAACTCGAGGATCTACTCCGGGATGACATCAAAGTGAAGGTGGCTGGTGAGAGGCTTCGCGTTTCGATACGAGAATCCAGACTGAATGAGCATGTTCACCATGTAGGTATCGATGGTAGGCAGTGGACTACCATGTCTGAGTACAACTAAGCTCAATAGACGTGCGTAGTTGACGGTGTCCTGAGGGGCAAATTCATGGTATGTATTCGTCGTGCCGGATATCACAGGGGTTCTAACTTCTGGTGTTCCGCAGTCCAAGGAGAAGTTTCTCAGTGCGGCGTCGTCTGACGGGTTCGGCTTCTGCAGCGTTATATTGTGCGTATATGTCGGAGACGTCGTCGATTGCCATATGCTCAGTCTGATTGTGCGCAGTGGATGGGACATACATGATACCGTTTACTCAAAGGAACTACTCATCTCGAACAGAGCGAACGGGTACAGAGATCTCCTCGCGATCATTGACCTGTCAACATACAGACGGATACCATGGGAGAACAACGTCCCGTTCTTCCTCGTGTCCTTCCTCGACCCGGACACCAAGGAGCCTATCTGTGCGGATCCCCGCGGTGCTCTCAAGAAGGTTGTTGACCGAGCCGCCAGCAAGGGCTGGCAGTGTTACGCTGGTTGCGAGTATGAGGTCAGAGATACTGCTTCCTTAGCCCCCTCAACTCTGACTAATGGACATCCTTCCAGTACTTCCAATTCAAAGGTAGATAGCCACTGCAACCAGCTACTCGATGTTGTTGACGTGGTATGTACGGGCCAGAGACACCACACAGCGTGCACGAGAAGAAATACACAGATCTACAACCACTCACCCCTGGGAGTAAGAATTGTCATATTATCGCCAGCCTTACGTCCTGACCCCCAACAGTGCATGGATACTCCTTACTCCGGACGCAATTGAACAACGACTACTTCCACGACATCTTCGACGAAAGTCACAAGTTCGATGTACCTCTGGAGGGACACCGTGAGTGCTGCCATACCCGATCGGTGCCATAGACACTGAGCATGTGTGCGTCAGACACGGAGACGGGTCCGGGCGTGTACGAGACGGCATTGGCATACACAACCGCACATCGCATGGCCGACAACGCTATACTGTTCAAGTACTTAGTCAAGAGCATAGGCATGAAGCATGGGATAACCCCCAGTTTCATGGCGAAGCCATGGGGAAACGTACGTTTGAAAGACATGAGTGTTCTTGTCCATCCTGATTGATCCTCCGTATAGCTTCCAGGATGTAGTGGGTAGGTGCCTCATTGATTCAGAATTATTAGGTGAATTCTGAACTTAGCCTCGCCTCTCCCGACCCACAGCCACATACATGTCTCGTTACGCGACGAGAGCGGGAAAAGTCTCTTCGCCGTCTCAGAAGCGGAGCTCAAGACCGGACGCGCCAACGCAGCCTACGAAGACACGAAGTTCCTCAGCCAAGAAGGCGAATGGTTCCTCGCCGGGGTCCTCGAAGGTCTCCCCGACGTCATGCCCATGGTACAGCAGATCCGTACTCCCCACGTCTCCCACTCACATTCCTTTGTCCCAGCTCGTCCCAACGATCAACGGCTACAAACGTCTCGTCGGTGGCGAGGCCTTCTGGGCGCCCAACGCAGTCACCTACGGCTACGACTCGCGCGCGGCGTCCGTGCGCATCATCGCGCCGCCGTCCGTCCCGGCCGCGGCGACACGCATGGAGGTCCGCGTGCCCGGCGCGGACATGAACCCGTATTTTGCGTTGAGCGCCGTCCTCGCGCTTGGCATGCGCGGGATCGAGAGGAAGATGAAGCTGCCGGGCCCGCCGGTCGGGCAGCTCACGTTGGAGGATAAGCGGAGCGGCAAGGTAGCGTGGATAGTTCTCAGTGTTTGGACGGAGGTCGCGCTGACTGGGTCGGTGCAGGTGAAGATGCTCCCGCAGTCGCTCGAAGCGGCTACAGAGCGCATGATGCGCCCCGAGAGCATCGCGCGTGAAGAAGCGGTGTTCGGGAACGACTTTGTGGATCACTTTGGAGGCACCCGGCAACATGAAGTGCGTCTCTGGAACGAGGCCGTCACGAACTGGGAAGGTACGCCATTAGTGAATGTTGTTCATTCATGTCCTCTCACATCATCATTCTAGTGGAGAGATATCTGGAATTGGCCTGAGTATATCTGTACAAGGGTGTCATTGTATGGCACACTGTATCATTGCTTCACAGGGGTTGTCTGAGTACACTTACCGTGGTTTGGAGGGAAGGAAGGAGGTAGTGGACCCACACAGAAAACGTATATTCATTGATTACGCGTGTACTTGTCAGGCTCGCTTGAACGATGACATATCCTGCGCCTGCGAACGAACGTTTACATATGTCGTGCACCGGGAAGGGGCCTGAGGACTGAGGACTAAGCACCTGCACGATCTATGTGTTGAGTATATTGCAGTCGTTATTCTCCAGATGTCAGTAGTGTACAACTCCGAGACGCGCGCAGTGATAGAACGCCTTTGAAGTATGGTATCACGCAGCAGCAGGTTCCTGAGGCTTTTCTCGCACGGTGTGGAACCAATGCAAGAAGTGGGTCACATCCTGTAGACGCGCACAGTAAGTCTAACAGCAGTGTGCTATAACCGACATTGACGGACCTTCGCGATAGTGCTGTCCATGGTGGACTCCGCGACGAAGGATGGGATGTTGCCTCCAGGCGTGCTGGACGTCGCCATCCGCCATTCGACCTTGCCGTTGTCTAACTCCTCCAGAAGTTCGACGCTGACATAACGGCCTTTAACGCCCTTCTCTTCGAGCTTAGCTAGTTCTGCATCCTCAGACAGTTCCACGGGGATGGAAACAATGAGCCTGTGCGAGCGCGGATGATATAAGCATGAGCAACAACACCGTGGAGGCCGCGCACGCACCCTTTCTTCGGAGACTCAGCGACCAGATGCTTAGTCTGTAGAACAGTGAAGACCCTAGGAGACACTGGCGGCGGGAAGGTATAGTAGAGCGACCATATGGACTGGGTCGGCGAGATTTCCTTGATGAGGGTCACTTTCTTGATCTCCGACACATACCTGTCAGGATCGATGTTAGCACACGGCACGATCGATCTCGGCGTCGCGCTACAAAGGTCGGAGGACGGGGCGCAGGGGGACTCTGACACGCACTGCATTTCATTATTCGCCTTGTCCTCGCCCAACTTGCTCCAGAACTCGTCGAACGTCGCGTCCTCCGGTGCGTGTTCGCTGATTCGGCAGTGCCAGGGCGCCCCGTCCCGCGGGCCCTTGGGGCGCGAACATGTCTTCACGAGGCCCTTGTGGAACGCTTTGCCATGTTTCCAGGATTTGGTCGACTCCAGCAAGGACTCGCCGAGGGAGACGATCGTCTCTTCGGACGGCAGCTCTGGTTCCGTTCGCCGTCAGCTCCCAGTAGCGCAATCTCTCGCGGAGCAATACATACGCGACAGCTTGACTGGCGTTATGGAGAGCTGGTAATCGGTCGACATTGTGGCTCAAGACGATGCACGGGGCTCAGGCTAGGTGGCGGTGGAGGTGAAGAAGGCCTGTGAGAACCGAACGGTAGCATGGCTACCGGGATGGCGGGGGTGTTCTGCATTGGTTGTGCAACCCTATTATTAGGTTTGTGAGGGCTTGTGGCGGTCGCAGTATGCTCGCGAACAGCCGCCGGTTCCACGACATTGTCGGACGGCGGCGAGTACTCGAATGCAGTTCAGTCGTGAGTGCAAGGAGCGTCGGAGGCGGTGCGTAATATTGGCTACTCGGGGGAGCAGTGACTCGTCCATTCCAGCCATACCGCAGACATATGCAGCAGTGCTACAGCCTCGACTAGCCGACATTGAGGTGAACAGCCACCGAGATCGCGGAGGGGAGATGGTCGTACGTAAATGGGGGAGGAAGGGAGGTCGTCCGAGTCCGCACTTGCATGACTGGACACTGCGCCCGGCGCTCGCAAACTCACGCTGTGCGCTGCTCCTATATAGCCGTCCAAGTACCAGGGCGGTGTGCAGTCTACTCCTCACACGTCCTCCCACACCCGCTCTGATAGTCGCCCGTCATGGCCTCAGCGTCGACCACAACGTCGGCGGGCCTGTCCCTGTCCCACCTCCTCGACCGTCCCGCCTGGAACCTACCCCAGTGGCATGGACCGCAGTATGTACTCTCCCATTGACTCGTAGACGCGGACGCTGATGTAGACCAACTTGTTTGGCCCAAAGCGCCGACGAGTTGAACGGAGTGGTGGACAAGGTAAGATGCCCTCTACAGGACGTCTGCCTGCCCAGTGTGCTAACTGCCATCACAGCTCGGGGACCTTGACTTCTCTCTGGCACTGCTGCAACGGTACCGCAATGCGCTGCGCCCCATACACCGGCTAGCGCCCGACATCCTCCTGCTCATCTTCCAGGGCATTGCGGAGGAAGAGGACGGGCCCCTCCACCCTTCATATGGCTCCGCACCATGGGTCTACCTCGCCCACGTCTGTCACCGCTGGCGAGAGATCGCGCTGACATGTGCCGCGCTCTGGACACGTCTCAGCACGAAATACCCGGACGCAGCGCTCGCATGTCTCGAGCGGTCGGCAGACGCGTCGTTGTCCCTCATAGTATCTGCTTCAGCGACCACGGAGGCGGCCTCCCAGGTCATCAATGCTGCCCTACCGCATGCTGCACGAATACGCCACATATACCTGCCGTCGATATTCATGGAGGAGGCAGACCTCCGTGAGCCGCTCGAGACCATTCTACGGTCCCCCGCACCCGCGCTCGAGGCGCTGCACGTATACAAAGTCGGCATGGACGGCGACTGTTTCGCCCTCCCGACGATGTTCGACCGTCACACGCCGCGACTGACTACTCTCAGATTGGCGTATGCATACCCAGAACCAGGCAGCCTGACATACACCAGCCTTAAACGGCTCTTCATCAAAGGGAAGAAACGCAAACCAATCTCCATGGAGGTTTCGCAGCTGCTGGACATCCTCGAGGCGTGCCCGGAGCTCGAGGAGCTCCGGACGTGCAAGGCGACGTTCACGTCCTCTGCCGCAGCAGACTCCCGTCCCCCGTTGCGGCTCGACAATCTGCGGGTGCTCGACATCTCGCGGTGCTCGGCGTCCGTGGTCGCGGACCTCTTCAGCCGGCTCGCGGTGCCCGACTGCGCGACGCGGTTCTCCGTCTCGCTCGAGCGCGCGGCGGACTTCACGTTCCGCTTCGGCCTGCCGGACAACCTGGAGGAGACGGGGCACCTGCCCGAGATCACGCGCCTGCACATCGAGTACACGAGCGCGAACGACGTCGTGGTGATCCACGGCACGACGCGCACGAGCCCGTTCCAGATCCTCGCAGCGATCCCGCAGGACAGCGACATCGGCGAGATGCCGACGGTCGCGGGCCACCTGCTGCTGAGCATCGTGCGCACGCTGGACCTGTCCCTCCTGGAGGAGTTCACGATCTCGGAGACATACTACCACCGCGCGCACCTGGGCTTCACGCGGCGGAGGTGGATTGAGGTGTTTGAGCGGATGCCGCTGCTGAAGGAGCTCCATATCCGGATAGACAGCATCAACGATGCTGGATTCTCGAGGGCCATCCTTGCGGCGTTAGCGACACCGGGAGAGGTCACTGGGAGGCTACTATGCCCGAATTTGGAGGTTCTGACTATGACCAACGACAAGACGTGGTCGACCCTGCAGTGCTACCTCCTCGCCCAGCAACGAGCTGAACATGGCCATCCAATCAAGCGGTTGTCGATGCGTCTGCCGTGTTACGAGAATTTTGAGGATATCGAGGACACGGACATACCGGCACTAAGGAAGATCATCGAGGTCGTCGACCTCGATCCACCGCTGGTTATGAGAGTCCCGTTCCCCGAGGTGTCCTGGTGAAGTTGTACTTGTACGTTTCTTCGTTTGTAAGATACTTTGCAGTCTGGATGCTTCTACACTCGCTCAACGCATAACCCATCTCAGCCACACTTAGCCCTCTCATGCCCCTTAGCTGTATTATTGTACTGTATCGAAGTTGGATCATGTAGATAGTGCGTTTTTGTATATTAGTGACGCAAACATGCAATATGTGCAACCGTGGAGATACGTTACACTGAGAGCCGTGGAGTGTGTCAAGCAGCAGTCCGTGCCGGCGCATCCTGCTCCGCAGACGCAGGTGCATTGAGGTTCACGAAACCGAAATACCGGCTGCGCCCCAGTGTCGCCACGTCTCTCGGCAGCTTTTCACCCCTCTCCAGCACGATGCCGATAAACTTGCGTTCGCTACGCATGCGCGTCTCCTTATAGAATCGCACGTACCCCGGGACGAGCGCAAACAACGTGTGGTCGCGGCCCATTCCCACCTGTGCCGCAACAAGCATGAAGCATGAGTCAACATGTCGAGATATGGAAAGAGAATCGTGACTTACGTGTTGCCCAGGGTGGAACTGGGTGCCTCGCTGCCGCACGAGGATGTTGCCTGGCACGACAAACTCATCTGGCCGTGCGGAATGATTATCATCAGTCGGGCGCGCGTGCAACGAGGCGGGGCAAGGCAGGGTGGGCGAGTCACACACCTGAGAACTTCTTGACGCCTAGCCGCTTCCCTGGCGAGCCACCATGGTTGTTTGTGCTCCCTCCAGCACGTTTCGTGGCCGTCCGCACGGACCCCAGGCCTGTGGCGGAGGTTCGTGGCTGAGCGTTAACATTTGCACTAGTCTGTGCAGGACGTACCTGTCGGCGCGAACGGGCTGCGCGCAGCCTTGGCAAAGCGGAGGAAGGACATCACAGACATGCTATGAGTCAGAGGGCCCAATACGGACGCGGTGTGCACAAAGAATTGAGGTCCGAGCTAGTGGCGGAGGACAAGGTTGAGGCGTTGTGGTCGAAGCGCCAGTCTGCCACTCAAATCACGGGGTTACGTAATCAGGCGACTGCATAAAGACGCGGACCTGTGCAAACCTCGCGTCCCACAACCAGGTCGATTACCTTCACGTCCGCGCATATCATCTGCTACAATGGTTCTCCTCGTCACCTCCGACAACGAGCAGTTTGTTGTGGACAAGGAGGTCGCTGAGCGCAGCGTCCTCATCAAGAACATGCTCGAGGGTGCGTCTGTCGTCGCGCTGCGCGCCTCTTGTCTGTGCTGATAGCGATGGCCTGTGCGCAGATGTTGGCGAGAGCGACCAGCCGATTCCTCTCCCCAATGTTTCTTCCAGTGTCCTGAAGAAGGTGAGTGAATGCGCTGCGCTACTCGCGCAGCGATGCTCATAATGCGGGTGTGGCGTTCTCATGTGCTCATCGATCTAGGTCCTGGAGTACTGTGAACACCACCGTGGCGAGCCCCTGCCGACTGCCGAGTCTGAGCAAAGCCAGGATGAGAACCGCAAGCGGACAACGGATATCAGCGAGTGGGACCAGAAGTTCATTACTGTTGACCAGGAGATGCTCTTCGAGATCATCCTCGCTGCCAACTACCTCGACATCAAGCCCCTCCTGTGAGTCGAATTCGCGATCATTGTGCTTGGAAGCACTCGAACAGATTTTCTGCTTCAGCGACGTTGGCTGCAAAACAGTCGCGAACATGATCAAGGGAAAGACGCCCGAGGAGATCCGCAAGCTGTTCAACATCGTGAACGACTTCACACCCGAGGAGGAGGTATGTGGCTCGACAGCTTTGGTTGACTGATGGCTGATGTACGGTATTGCGCAGGCTCAAATCAAGAAGGAGAACGTAAGTATTGGCTACTTTCGTGACACCAGGATAGTCATCTAATTGCATCTGATTTCCTAGGAATGGGCGGAGGACCGGTAAATTTCGACTCCGTGGCTGTATCATCACATATGTCGTCTCGCTCTCCCATCTTTCCGTAATGTCGTCGCGTTGTATTGTAGTGTGTAGTTGAACGATTCTATTCGCCTCAACTGCTCATCCTTCTTTTGATGGACGTGCGTGAAGTGGGATGAGGCAACGCCTGGCCATATCTGTTCACTGGCTCTCGATGAGCTGCCAGATTTTGTCGTGCACAAGATATCAAACTCAATGTGCAGTGGCTTGCGAGGCATGCTCGAGTGACTGGGTGACGCGACGCGACGCGGTCACACGGGGTTCCATCGCGCGCCGCGTGACGCAGTCCACGGCAGACGACGCGTCACGTCCGCGCGTCACATCGCTCTCCTTGGCCTCTGCACGCATGTCTCGAATACCAGACCTCCCTGGCGTCCCCATCCCCCACCGCTCAGACCAGGAAAAATGGCTCAAGCAGACCGTCGCCAGGCTCTGTCAGCTCGAGAACGAGCGGTAAGACGCGCGACTGTGCCACACCCGCTCAACGACTGACCTTTGTTACGCCACAGTTTCCCCGGCAGCCAGCCAGTCAGCTTCGCCATGCCCGACTTGCAGAAACTGGACACGAAAGAGTGAGTCTTGCATGCTTGTATGCTCGTACAGCCAATTGAGGCGCGTTCTCACAGCTACTGGGTCTGTGAGAAGTCGGACGGCGTCCGGGTGCTGCTCTTCGTCTACACGGACATCACAACGAGTGAACAGATGGTTTTTCTGGTACGTTTCTGGTCACAGACTGTCTCCAGGATGTCACTTAGTCTCATATGCGACCAAGATTGACCGCCACAATTCGTACCGCGAACTGAGTGGCTTCTACTTCCCGCACTTTGAAGACCCAAGGAAGCCGCTCCGCAGTACCATTGTCGATGGTGAGCTAGTCACTGATGTCGACCCCCGCACGCGTCAAGTTTGTACCTTCAGTCTCTCCCCCGGAATGTTGTGAACCTCAGACCGTGTCCTTTGTCTGGCCAGGAGACGCTCCGTTACCTCGCATTTGACTGCCTGGTCGTTGACGACCAGAACGTGATGGCAAGACCGCTGGACAAGCGCTATGGGGCAAGTCAGACTGAATTGCTCAGGTCGTGTGTCCGTTCTAATAGTGCTATTCTAAATAGCGATTGCAGATGTGGTTCTGCGAGCCGTATGCTAAGATGCTACGAGATCATCCCCAAGTGGCGAGGGACCATCCATTCCAGTATGTGCAAGTTCAGCACAACGTTCACGTCGAGCGCTAAAAGTATTCCGTCATTCAGCATCAAAGTGAAGCAAGTGAAGTTGTCATATCACGTCGACGACGTCTTCAACATCGACCTGCCCGCGCTGCACCATGGCAACGATGGACTTATCTATACATGCGCTGAGACTCCTTACATCCCAGGGACTGACACCAATATGTATGTCCCAAGTCCATCATCTTCGCGTTACGCCTTTCTCATGCGCTGTTCAGCTTAAAGTGGAAACCTCCTTCTGAGAACTCGATCGACTTCAAGCTGGTCCTGCGCTTTCCACCCTTATCCATCCGGTCACCCGATCCGGACTTCCACGCGAAGCCCGTGTTCGAGTTGCACGTGTACTGCGGCGACGAGCGAGGATTGCCCAACGAGCGAGGAACGCCCAGATACGAATTCTACGACGTCATGCATGTCGAAGACGAGGAATGGGAGAGGTTCGTAACGACCACCTGGTGTCTAAATGCAGATACTGACGTAGGTGTGCAGTCTAAAGCGATCGGGCGAGCAGTTGGATGATCGGATCGTTGAAGTACACTGGGACCCAACAAGGGAGCGCTGGCGAATGATGCGCTTCAGAGACGACAAGCCGGCCGGAAATTACAAGACTGTCGTAGAGGCCATCATCAAAAGTATCGCCGATGGCGTTGAAAAGGACCAGGTACGTCGGTCACGCTCAAATCATCTGCCACTCAGGATTGTGACCTATTGTGTACGCAGCTCCTCGCTCGTTCTGCCTTCATCCGCAATGCGTGGAAGGTGCGCCATCAAGAACCACAACGATCAGGCGGACCACCTCCCCCCGCCAAACCGCCACAACATAACGCTCATCCACCCCAGTCCAGCGCTCACCCACCCCCGCCAGCAAACGGCCATGCACCTCCTGCAAACAGTCCCCAGGCAGAGCCGCGCTACGGTCCCCTCGCCCAGTCACCCTGGAGCAAAGTGTCCGGTCCGGATATGATCGCTGGGATGTACAGGTGATCGCCCGCGCACCGTGCTAGCTAGCCGGCGGTCACCGTGAACGAGTGCCGCCCTCTGGCTAGCGTGTCTGTGCGCCACCGTGCTCTCTCCCGCACGTCCGACACCGGCGCTGATGTGGTGCTTGATGCTGGCGTTGTTGCGCGAGACCACACAAGGCGCGACCGCGTGCTGATGTCGAGGAGAGCGGTACATGATGGGTAGCTGGGCCCACGGAGATGACCTGGAGCCGACTACGACCGAGGTGCAACCTGACTACTACTAGGCCCTGGCGGTGATTGCAGTGGCGCGTCATCGGTGGCTCGTCGCAGTCGAGTGCAGCCTCGTGCACGGCGCGGCGGTGACCTGCCATGCGCAAGCGGGCACGGCGAAGGGCTCCTGTGACGCGGGGGCGGGACGCGGCGTTGGTTTACCCAACTCAAATTCGAACACAGGACGATCGCGCTGGACTGGATTCGCTCGAGTAACTACAGTACACACGCGCTACGGTTGTACCCTACATGCAGACAAATATCGTACGTCGTAATCGTAATGCCGTGCCCAGGACCGCTGCACCGCAGGGGCATGATGCGCGTGTCCGGAGCTGGGTCGTGGCAGTTCGTTACGGGTACGGGAGCGATGGAGAACACTGGACAGCAAGACGACGTCGACCCAGGAAAGCAACACGCAACGCAACGCGACGAGGGACGGAGATAGCCAAACAATGGAATGCATGTCTATCGTTACAGAGGTACGGGGAGACGGGAGGCGGGGGAAAGAGGGGACACTAGTCGGCTTTTGCGCTGCTTTGAGCATTCGTAAAACGTAAAGAAGCGTGAAGATTCGTAAAATCAAGCGCTAGCGGGGAACGGGGAGATGGCGTGAGTAAATGGAATGCGCAGGGAGGAGGACAATGTGTAAGTTAAGACCATCTAGGCTGAGTGGACTGGCAAGAGTCCGTGAATGCGTCGAGCAGGGTGACGGTGAATGCGTGAATCCAGAACTGAAAGCGACCAGTGTAGGCGGAAGCGCCAGTGAATGCGATGCATGTGAGCAGATGGAAGAGAGGAAGTGGGTAACGGATCGAGTGGATGCAAGACCGGAACAATGTTCGTTGGAAGATATGCTAGGCGCTTTGGCGCGTTCGTGGGCGCTGTTCGTGGACGTAACACTGCATGAAAAGCACAACCATCAGTCAGGATGGAAGGTCAAATTGAGGTAAACGAACGCGTCGTACATTCAAATTCAGAAGGAGACGCCTGCAGGCGGGCATTGCACGCCTTGAGCGTGCAGTCTTGCCGCGTATGTCGCTAGTTGCGTTGTTGCCGGTCGGAAAACAGAAATCGAGAACGGGAGAGTTGGTTTGTGCTGTGGGACATCGCGGGGCATCGTGAAGGCGGACACAGGACAAGACGCAAGAAAATAGGAAGGCATATGTGGGGCGACTCCAGCCCCCCTCCGCTTCGTCTCCATCTTCATCTCCGCTCACTTGCTCCTCCCAAGATCACAAGACAGTACTTCGTCTCGGGGGACTCGAGTTCAGAAGAACAAGTCGTCCACGTCCAGCTGAGTCTCGGAGAAGAACGGGGGCGGGACGGGCATAGGAGCACAAGTCGCGATGTCAGCGAATGGGTCCTCAACGATTGACTCCCGTCGCTGGGGCGCGCCGGAGACTTCATCCTCGACGAATGAATAGCTGACAGAGCGAGCCACACCAGGGCTCGCAGCCGGGCGACGCGCCGGCGAGATGAACGCGGTGTTCGACGAGATGAACGCGTCCATGAGGTCCATGCTATGCTGAGGAGGCGTCGCAAGCAGAGCAAACGACATGGACTCGGGCGTACTGTCGATGGAAGAGAATGATGAGTCCGAAAACTCGGCCGAATGGGTGTAACGCCTGCGCTGCGGCGTGCTTGGAGCTAGAGTCAAGTCGGCAAACTGGGACAGGGGTGAGAGGGGCTATATCGAACCGCAGACTGATCAGCATTCGCTCAAACAAACTTTGCGGCCACAGAGCGGGACGCGGGCGGAGTAGCGGGATGGCAGGGGGCATTATCAAATGACACTAACCTCAGGCGAACCAACGCCAATCACGCCCTCCGTAGCCATGTCCGCGAAGTATGGCGCAAACGGCCTCGAGATTTCGGAGGCAGCGACACCGATGTTCGGCGTCGGCTGCCACGCAGGGAGGACCGTGTCCGTACCCTCGCCGGGCGCTGGGGCGGTGGGAGTCACACCGTCAGTGCCGGGCTCCACGTCTGTGTCGTTTTCGGAGGCGTCCGTCATGGTGCGATCACCGGTGGACGCGTCGTACACGTCGCGCTGGCCATCCTGCACGAGCCACCAGTCAATGTCGGCGAGGACGCGGCGGTTGCTGACGTCGGAGCCGGACGACCGGCGAGGCTGGTGTGGGCCTGCGCGCGTTTGGGGCCCGCTTGAGAGGGACGAGGGGTAGGCGTAGGGACCCCGACGCGTAGGGGGGGACGAGAAAGTGCGGCGCAGAGACGGCATACCGAATGGCGACGAACAAGACGGGGACGGCGAGGGCATATAACACAGCAACGGGAACAACAGCGACAAGTAGGGGACGACGGCGACGACAGGGTCGAAGGGTATAAGTCGACGCTCGCGGCGGGCGGGGGACGAGGAGACGTGGGAGGAGGGCGCAGATATATACGAAAATTCGGACGCGTGCAATCGGATGTGCAGTGTGAAGTGGCCTGGCGCCCGCCCGATTAGGCAGTCGGCGTCCACGGTCTTGCCATGTCTGGTCCGCTTCTCTCCCTGCTCTCTGAGCCTCTCTGAGCCCAGTGCTCTGAGCCTCAGTGGGGGCCGCTGCCCTTCGCTGTCGCCCAGCCAGCGGCGCACTGACAGCCTTCGCTCGGCCTCCCCCGCCCGCCAGCCCAGCCGCTTCCAGCAGCCACCCATCCGCGAGTGGCGTCCATATCGCTGCGCCCACCATGCGACCGCTACATCGTCCGTGCAACTCTAACAAGCCGTCCTCGAGGCGGCGTGTTCTATTCTCCTCAGCGTCCGCCGCCCAATCATCGGCACCCCTTACCAAACCGCGGAGCACCGTCGCACGCGCGCTTGCCCGAGACAGCCTCCTTGTTTTGCTGAGTCGTCTTCGACGCGTCCTTGTCTTGTTCTCCTTGTTCATCCTTACATTGTCTTGCCCGTGCGGCGTTACGCTGCGCACCTGTGTTGCCCTCGGATCCTTCGTGTAGCTTCCTGTGCGCCGAGCAATGCAACCATCACATCCTCTGCGAACTCTTGTCTCGCACATGCGTATGGGGTTCCACGGTCCAGGAACGCCATTAGCGGGCTCCCCGGCCTCCCCCCGGTCAGCAGTTATCGCGGCCCCGCGAACTCGCCATCCAGCTGCGGACAAGCCCTACTCGTGCGCTGATGCGCCCGACGTCATGCCTGATCGCCATGTGCTTGCTCGACATGTCGTGCCCATGACTGCTTTCAGCCACAGGCGCGTCCAGCGCGTCGCCCGCCGTCCGTTTGACGTGTCGCTGCCCTCTCATGTCGGCGAATCCATGCTGATGCTCACTCGTCGTGTTTCAAGCCGCATTTGACGCGTCAATTCGCATGATGAGGGTCCCATCGCGCGTCGTTCCACTAAGCGGGGCTACACATGCAACTGCTGTGCTCCTCAGCTTATCCCCGGGCGCTCGAAGTCAATCCATCGTCCTTCCATTACCTGCAATCAAACAATATAGGTACCCTGCCCATCCCTGATCTGTCATGGTCGTGAGGCAGGCTCTCGTACCGACCTCTGTATAGGTGAGTGTATGGCCGGCATTCTCGCGCTGCGTTACGACCTGACCTTGCTCCATGCATATGCTGAACGTTGGACGCTCGGCGTCGTTCAAAGGCCGCCCCCAGTCGCCGAGGTAGACACAGGGGGGACGCCACTCCGCGGCCGACGTGGGCTGGATATGGATGCCGGACCGAATTGCGGTCATGCATCCGCCCAAGATATCACTGGCTATACGTGTCTATAGGGCAGGTCCCAATGACAGTACTTCATGGAGCAAACTGCCACGATGCACGAGGCTACGTGCCTAAGTGATCTACATGCTCCACTCCATTTCTGGAATGCACCTCGACTTGCGATTAGCCACTGGACCGAGGGCACAACCAAAGTACCACTACCAAGCCACTACCGCAGCTTCTTTCGCAGATCAATTTGTATGATGGTAGCTTTAGAGTGCGTCTTTATCCAATTCCTCGCACTAGCCCGCACTATGCCTTTGCAGGCCACGAATTAGGTGTGCGACGCCGACCTGGGGCCTGAGACAAGTGGCGTCCCGACTTCCGCATGAGTCCCCGGCACGGTCAACAAGCCTATTGTCTCGAGAATGGTTGGCCAGCTGAGCAATAACGACCCAGAGAACTGGCTGAGCTCTCTGCCGCAGGGGTCCATTTCGACGATGATCGTCCAGGCTTTTCCGGATGGGTGGGTGATGGACTATGGTGGTTTATCATCGACCATGCAGGCTCACAAGCTCAACGTAGAATACACCGGCATAGACGAGCCCGAGCTAGCAACGCCCTCAATGACGTATCCCGTCTGCCCAAGTCACTAAGCCCCAGTTTCGCGGACTTATATAGGAATCCGCGAAAAAGATATTCTCGCAGTAACTAACCGCAAAAATACCAGCATACCGGGGACGCATTCCCTGTGATCTACCTCATGAGCACCACTCACCGCGTGCTCTGTACATGTACCAATGGTATCCGTGCTACATATCACAGATGCTCAAACACACGGATGTTGATTGGCTCGCTGATCTCTAAGCCCGATGAATCTCACCGACGGCACCGACGCCTCGCGCCGGTGTATTTCCGGATATGGTAGGTCCTGTAGATTGCTCTCGCCGGCTCATCAGTCTCGGTCAGCAGAGGTCAGCAGGCACAGTGTAGAGAGCTGCGTTGACCGAGGCCTCAAGCAAGCAATGTTTTCAAGCAATGGAACTCGCCGTGCCAACACATGGAGGAACACACCACCAGTCGTTTCTACGGTGGCCCCTGGACCTACGGTGATCCTTGGCAATTGCATGCAATGGCACGACCAGTAGACTGAAGCTATTGAGTTAAAAATACAGCCCCAATGGTGGAACGCGTGCACACCTGCGATAGCAGGACTACAAAACATTTGATCTCTCAAAACAAGGCGTGAGAGATAGCTCGATGTGCAGTACATCGGCTGTGTAGACTCATGAGTGGTAGTGGAGTGTCTACGACTGGGAGAAACGAATATTTATTCCGGTATCACTGCAGTACCGATATCTAGCGGAGAGCCTTTCGAGTAAAAGTATGTATCCATTTGATCAGTATGTAATTACCGCAGCCCCACTGAGCTAAATAACAATATGTTCTAGCATCCGACCGTGGTCATCCATCGCTCCTTGGCGAACGTCCGAATGGACCTACAACTAGTATGCAGTAACCTTCGACGTCAGTGGACATTTGTTCCCAGAAGGGCCCCTATTACTGCTGATTCCATGTATGAATAGCCGGGTCTTACAAGACTTCGGATGAGCTTGAGAGGTCGACCCGTGAACATCGCGAGGTAGACCTAGTCAGTGAGTGGAAGGCTGACTCGACAACGCGACGCAGTGCCATTCAAAGGGCGGGGCGTTGTCCGGCGGTTAATATTTTAATCTTAGACACCTGCCGAAAATGGTAGGTCTTGTAGAAGCGCTCCTCGAGGCGGCCACCCCGGCCCGCCACCGAGTCTCGTCAGAGCTCTTGCCACCATACCGTGGGTCGCGAAACTCAAGCCGATAAGCCCTCGTATCTCCCTCAGTTCGTTTTTGCTCCTCCACCCAAATTCATAGAATAGATTAGAAGCATGCCTCGACTCTTCTACGGCGCCCTGGTCACCCCGACTTCACGTAAAGAGTACCTCGCTCTTCCGCATTCACTTCTCTGTGTATCAGACGCTGGACAGATTGCGTGGGTCGCTAACAATGTCCTACCGAGCGACCTGCAGAACGAGCTCGCGAGACATGGGCTGTCGGACGACCCGAATCTGGATCTTGTAGAGCTCAAGACGGGCGAGTTCTTGATGCCGGGGTTTATTGACACACACACCGTGAGTCACAGCATGAGTGTTGATTGTATGTTCTGATGTGTTGTCCGCAGCATGCGCCACAAATGCCTAATGTCGGCAGGTGCGTCTTCTGGTTCGCAGATTGTGCTTTCATTGATCAGGAATTATAGCGGCCAGCAGTATGAACTCCTCGATTGGTTACAGGAGGTCACCTTCCCTATGGAGGCCCGATTCTCCGACCCAGGTTTTGCGCGTACAACATACGAGACTGTCGTCAGACGCAGCATTGACTGCGGCGTGCGTTTTTTTTATCGCCGTGAATGAGTGGTGACCGCTAAACAAACTTGCAGACAACGACCTGTTGCTATTACGGCACAGTGCACCTTGAAGCAACGAAGCTCCTTGCGGACATAGTGCACAGTCGTGGTACGTTTATACGCCCTTGAACATTTTTGCATTCTCATGTGCGCTCCGTCAGGCCAGCGAGCATTCGTCGGGGTAGGTTAGTCTCCGCCTATCATACCGCGCGGGTGCCCCCCTGACAATTCGCAATGGACATGCTAGAAATGCAACATGAACCGTGAAAGCCCGACATACTACATCGAGCCTTCTACGGAGGAGTCAATATCAGCAACCCGCTCCCTGATCGAACACATCCGCTCCTTACCTGCATCATGCCCTCCCGACTCTCCACCGCTCGTCCAACCCGTCCTGACGCCACGCTTCGCCATCTCGTGTACGTCTGACCTCCTAAGCTCACTGGGCGATCTTGCACGGTCAGACCCGACCCTCACGATCCAGACACATATATCGGAGAACGCGTCCGAGATTGCATATACAAAGGTGTTATTCCCGCCGGAGAGCTTGCCTCCCCTACCACCTTCGGCGGGCGAGGCGTCCAGGAAGGCCAGGGACACATACGCAGGCGTCTATGATGCATATGGACTCTTGAGGCACAACACCATTCTAGCGCATGGCGTGCATTTGGAGGACGTGGAGATAGAGGTCATCAAGGCGCAAGGCGCGGGTGTCAGTCATTGCCCGACGAGTAATTTCAACCTGAGTAGCGGATGCGCGAAGGTAGGGGCGCTCTTAGACAAAGGCATCAAGGTCAGCCGGCCTCTTCGCCGCCGTGTTATGGCAAGCTCACTGCTTACGATTCGTAGGTCGGACTAGGCACGGACGTCTCCGGTGGGTTTTCGCCCTCCATACTCCGCACGGTGCAAGACGCCAGCATATGTTCCAAAGTCGTCGCCATGTCCGCTCCATCCAAGCCCGACGACTCGGACGGTTTCACCAACCGCCAGCTACCCGTCGCCACCCTCCTGCACCTCGCCACGCTCGGCGGCGCCGAGGTCTGCGGGCTCGGCTCGCGCGTCGGGCAGCTGGCCCCCGGCCGTGCATTCGATGCGCTAGTGGTGAGCATCCGCACCGACGTGGGCAACCCCGCGGTGTGGAGCGCGGACCTCGATGCAAGACTGGATGTTGCCGCGAGCGGCGGAGAGCTCGGGTACGAGGGTGGGCGCGGTCAGACGGAGACGGAGGAACTCGAGGGTATGCTGGAGCGGTTCCTGTTTTGCGGGGATGATCGGAATGTCCGGAGGGTGTATGTGCAGGGACGGTTGGTCGGCGGAAAGGAGTACACGATGTAGATCTACTGCGGGCGTTAGATATAGTAGATGGTTCAACGTTTCGGAGCACAGTTCGACGTAGACGTAGAAGATGTCTGTTATCTCGGTGTTGCGATCAATCTACCTTCCACAAAAATGCCCACAGTAACTGCCACAACCTTGGCCAATGCCAGAATGCTGCATAAAGCTTGAGCATCACAGTCGTACGCGTGCATGGAAATTGAAATGCTATAGTAGTGTACAACGCGTGTTGAAAGTACAAAGACAGGATGAGTTGGTACATACATGGTACATACTTTGCCGTCTAAAATACAATGGATAGATTACAAGGTCGATGCTGCACACTGAGAGTCCTCGTAGTTGCCAAACTCCCACTTATAGCAGTCCTGGGAGGCAGACGACGTCATTGATGAGAGAACGGTTTGCCCAAAGAAACCGAGACACTCACCATGCAATCCACCTCCTCCCTCGCTATAGGCACGTCCAGCTGGATGCCGTCCTCGGTAGAGTCCCAGCCATCCTCCACATCCGCCTCCAACATGTCCACGATCACCGTCTTGATCCTATGCGTCAACACGTCCACGCGCCATCCTAGCTTGCCCACCGTATCAAACACGATCGTCTTGCCAAGGTGGCACCCCGTCTCGAGCGCGTACCCGCCCTGCGCGCAGAGCGACAGCGGACCGGTGCACGTACCCTGAGGGATCGGGTCGGCGTTGTGGTAGACGTGCGTGACCGACGCGGACGGCGGGAGAGGGAGGGCGAGGCGGTGCGCGGCGAGCCGCTCGCCTGGGGCCTCGAAGGTGACCACGGGCAGCCCGAAGGTCGCCCCGAGCAGGGAGGCGAGCGACCCCCCGAGCGAGTGCCCGACGAGCCAGATGGTGGAGGTCGGGTACAGCGCGATGAGGTCGTTGACGAGGTTCTGCGGGTTAGCTGTTAGTAATCCGTTTTCTGGAGGTGAAGGCAAGTTGAAAGAGCTCTCGCGTAGTCCTCGGTAGCACATATGACGAAAACTTGGGAGCGACGTCGATGCCAATCGTCTGGTACGATGCAAAGGGAGACCTTGGTCAGACACGGGAAGGGGCCGATCCCTTTGCAAGATGCTGCACACAGCATACAACGCCGTAATCATGACGGTCTGAACAACTTTACAGCGGTGCTTCGATGAAAGCAATGAATTCGAAGAACAATGGATTGCACCACTCACCACGCCGACATTATAGAACAAACTATCCTCGACCAGCGCCTTATTCAAGCATCCTTCATCGCAGCGCCATTTCTTCGCATAGCACCCGCACACCTGGCTGAACGTCCACGACAGGTCCACCCGTGCACAGCAGCACGAGAACAGCAGGTTATCGTTGAACTTGTCCTTCTTAGACGTCGGGCCCTGGAAGGGGAGCGTCGTGCCCTTGATCGAGAGCACGACCGTCGCGTTGCCCGGCGAGAGGAAGACGTGCCCGCGGAACCCGTCGTCGGAGTCTTCCCAGCCGAACGGGAAGCTCTGTGTGCGCCGTCAGCGAGTGCAGCGCAGCGAAACAAAATAGCATGGGCATACAGCATTCCAAGTGACATCGATGTCATACCAGTTCTTCTGGCCCGGCAACGCATACGCGTTCCCTGTCATCCTGGCGAGCTGCGAGAGCGTATGCTTGTCCTCGATATACGGCCCCATCACCTGCACCTCCTCCCACTCGACCGCCTCGCTCGGCTCCCCGCGCAGCGTGCGCACCCGGGCGCGCTGCAGTGCCTCTGGCGAGCGCGGCCGGTACACCATCATCGGCCGAGTCTTCAATGAGAACGTCGGTGTGTCTGGCTCATTCCGGAGCGAAGAGACGTCGAACAAGCTCTGCGGAGAGTCGAGGTCGAAGGTGCGCGCGAGGGTGTACGCTTCCTCAGGGACGAACGAGATCCCCGTCGGCTCGGCAGCCACAGATGATGCTACAACATGAGCATAGCACAGCAGGAATGGGAGCAAGATTGTCAGGGCGTGCATAGTGTGCGGAATAAAGACATGAGACCGCTGAGCAGGGGACCAGGATCGCAACTGAAGCTGCGGAAGAGCGGGTCAAGCGAGATGCGATCTTGACATGATCGGATGTCTCTCCGAACGAGGCGGAGTGCGATCCCCCACACGAACCGCTACAGCTGCCTGCGCGACTCTAACGGCGATGTGGCCATGACCGTAGTCGTGACTGCTGCACTGTATGGCAACGTGCGTCGCACGCAGACCGTGCGGAGATCAATGTGAGTTGAAGCGACCCAAGTGCGCACAACGCTGGACGTCAAGAACGGAAGGGACATTTCACCAGAGAGCGTATCGCCCAAAATCATCATTAGAGTACATCGTTAGTTTTCAATATACCAATAAGTCAGCACTGCGATGGTCGAGTCCAGGGTCCATGCGGAGATGTGAGATGATGGCAGACAAGGGAGGCAGCAATAGGTGACAGCAAGCGCAGGAAGCAGGTGCTATGATCGTGTCCTCGGGGAAGCCTTGCTAGCATGCAGATCCTTGATGTCGAAGAATATGCTAAAGCAAAACGCGAAGCATAGTAGGAATGCTGTAGCCGTCCCCACGTTGTATCCATCGCACCTGGACCACGACGTCAGCTTCACAAATCGCACGGCAAGGCTTCGCGTGGATCACTCACCAGCCCAGATATCCACCAACCGGACACCTCTTCCCTAGCAGGATCACAACGAAGACGACACCCCACACCAACGCCATCACACAGTCAAACGCCATCTGCACCTTCAGCTGCTTCCGCGCACGCTTCCACTGCGCCTCCATCGCCAGTCCCGCAAAGATGCCTCTCCTTCTCGGGGCCCTCTTCCTACCCGCACCACTTCCCTCGAAAGTCCCAGGCACGCTGCCCTCCTCGCCCTCCTCCTCGTCTCCCCATTCCTCTCGATCTCTGTCCCTCCCACCGCCTCCGCCAAACATCGTCGGGTCAACAATCAAGTTCACTTGCACGCCCTCCCCTGGCCCACCTGCGCCTTTCTTGTTCTTCTTCCCCTTCGGCTTCTTGCCCCCGGGCAGGCCCTGCACCGGGAGCACCATCAGTCCGCCAGGACCCTGCTGACCAAAGGACGAGTCGAGCTTGCGGTCGCGCGCGCCGCAGCAGCACGGGTGGATCATGTACATGTAGATGCAGGCCAGCAGGGTGATGAACGAGAAGACATAGAGCACGTAGGCGGGCATCTTGCCCTTAGGCGGGGGCGTTGAGGTGGTCTTTATGATCTGCAAGGCGGTCAGCACAGAACATGTGGCGCGCATATATGCGGGTGTGGCCAAAGAGCGAGGCTCACCAAACCAGTATACACCGACGCGATGCAGGCCGCGATCACCAGAAGCACTTGAATGCACCTCACGGCCAACCTCTTCTTCGGCCCCTCCGTAATCAGCTTCCCCTTCCCATCCACGCTCCCCGCCTTCTCTTCGTCCTCCTCGCCCGGCGTCCCCACCTGCTTCCCGCCGAACTCCGCTTGCAGCATACGCATGCGCTCCTCCTTCGTCTCAGGGTCGACGGGTGCGTCCGCCTCGGTCGGGTCCGAGCCCCACGGCACGAGGTCGCGCGAGGAGCGGTTGTTGTAGGACGGAGGCGGGGAGAGGGTGTATGGGTCGGAGTCGTAGTAGTCGGGCGTGGGGTAGGCGGGGTCGAAGGGGGACAGTTTCGTCGCGCCGGGGCCGTGGCCTTGCAAAGACGGAGGGGACAAGGGCGGTGCGCGAGCCTTGTCGGCTTCGTACCACGCTCGGGAGAACGAGGGGAAGGCGGCGATGTCGAACTCGGAGTCTGTGCCGGTACCTGCGACGCGAACATAAGGATCGTAGTGTCCACGGCCGGAGGCCGACAGAGAAGGGTGGCTCCGTTGCGGGAAGGAGGGAGGGGGCATGGAGAATGGCCGGCGGTGAGGTACGCGAGAGCCGACCTCGGACATGGAGGGTGCACTCGATGCTGACGGCGATACGAGGGAGGGTGCTTGCATGGAGTCTGGACTACTCGCCAGAGGTCGACCGGCGCGCGGTGATGGAGGATAGGAGTCGTATGCGTTGAAGTCCGGCTGCGGATGTGAGCTAGGTTGCTGGCGCAAGTGCGCTGCGTAGTCTGCTAGATCGAGGGCTTCCATGGAGACGTCGGACGGTTCGCGCTGTCTGCTAAGGTATCGACCTGGTTGAAAGGTATCAAGTGCGTCATTGTCGACCGTCTGTGGCATAGGAGGAAGAGAGTCCTGAGGATCTGGAGACCAGGGACGTCGGAAGCGAGAAGAAGGCGGAGGAGTGTCGAGGCGATAGTCAGAATACATTGTCGTCGTAAGCAGTCGTAAAGCGTCGTGAGTTCGTGGGGTTCGTTACTGAGATTGGGTGGTCTGGGTGAAGGGTATGTGCGCGAGGGCCTGGGAGGCGGAGGTCGTGGTTGGCGAGAGCAGCGTCGGATGGACGGGGATCGTCGCTCGCGCAGGCGGGCTGTCGCTGGAGAGCCTTGGGGGAGGAAGCGCACTGTGCGGCGTCGCGTGTGACAAGCTGAGGCACGTTCGTCACACCGGACCGATCGGTCTCCAGTCAAATTGGTCTCCCGGGGACCTCGGTCTCCAGATCATCGCTGCCCACCGTCCGACCGCACAGCAGGAGTTGCAGACGGGTCTGTGTGCGATGTATGCCTGAGTGTGTCTTGATGAACTCCGGCTGCTAGGAGCTGCGTACAGAAGCAATCCTTGGTTCTTCTCGTTACCCGGATCACTCATCAAGCCATAGACTGATTCTATGTCGTGCTTGCGCGCCCTCCCACAACAACTGCGTGAGGAAACCTTGGTCGGCCCTCTCTTCGTCTTTACCACCCCGACGGACCGTACGTCGCAATGAGTGTGCACCCCGAACTCGACACCGTCCGTCGAGCAGCTCTGATCGCGCGAGTCTATGACCTGCGCCAACCTCCGACCTATCTGTCCGCACCTATATCCGCCGTCGCGCGTCATACCACGCAGAACCTCCGCATCATCCTATTCTCGCCATTCTTCGACCAGGAGGCGCAACCTACTTCCAATGAACGCGATGCTGACTCCGGTGACCAGGCGAAATACGAATTCTCGCCGACCGGGCATTGGGATGATGTGCAGAAGCTACTGACATACGTCTACGTCCAGGCGACGAAGGTCGCACAGGACATGAACAGGGTGCTCATGGACATAGATGTGCTCTTAAAGGTCCCTCGAGAGTCGTTCGATGCAGAGCTCATCCAAGACGCAGAGCGTACATATCGCAGTGAGTGGCCAGCCTCCTCTTCTCATGCACCGGCACTGAACTGTTGCCAGTTGCTCCCCTCTATCCGCAGTCTCCTCCATTACCTGGTGAAAGCGACGACCGCTCGGACATCCTGGTTCTTCAGCCTGAACACCACTCGCACTCGCCCCGCCAATCAATCATACCAACCCCCTCAGACCCAACACTCCCTCCGCTGTTCCCCATTTCAGCCCTAGGCGGGACGTTCGACCACCTACATGCAGGGCACAAGATCCTCCTCAGCATGGGGGCCTGGATCTCCCGCGAGAAGCTCATAGTCGGCGTAACAGGTTCGCCTGCCCACCCGCGCACTCACCGTCCCTCTGATAACATCCGCATAGACGACGTTCTGCTCAAGAACAAAGTGCACAAGGAAGTCCTAGAGCCGCTGCCCGTCCGCACAGCACGCGTGCGCGGCTTCCTCGAGCTCTTCAAGCCCGGGCTCCAGTACGACGTCGTTCCCATCTCCGACGTCTACGGCCCTACCGCATGGGATCCGAACATCCAGGCCCTCGTCGCGAGCAAAGAGACCCTCCCTGGCGCTGCCTCCAGTACGTCCATTCTCTCCGCCCGATAACACTCATCTCACCGGTAACACACCTACCCGCCCGCCAGTCCACAAGCACCGCGAGGAGAACGGTCTGCCCGCGCTCCGCACCTTCGTGATCGACGTGATCTCGTCCTCCGAGGCGAGCCTCGACGACCGGGACGCGGAAGCACTCAAGAACACCAAGATGAGCAGCACCTTTATCCGGCAGTGGATCGTCGAGACCCGCGCGCGGATCGACAGAAGCCCCCCGGCCGCGTCTTAGCGCGAGCTTGTGCGGCGGGTCAGGGCGGAATCGAGATCCCGGTGCCTCTCAATCTCTGCGTGTACGTAACGATGTTGAACCTAGCTGGAAGGACGATCGGGGCGGAAGCAGTCGAAGTATGATAGACATGCTTCAGGAGCAATGTATCAATTAGGGTATCCCAGGTGTATCTCCGTAAGTACAATGAATTACAGACCGCGCGAGTGCTACTACTCCTCCAACGCCCCTTCAACGTGGTTGCGTGTCTTTGAACGCGTCCCGGACCCTCCTACTCACAGGTTCGGCAGGACTACTAGTAATAGTGTGACATGAACGAATAAGCAGAGAGAAAGTAGGTGCTAGAGATGCTCGAGATACAATGATGTGCATATGTGTGGTCCGACCAAGCCAAGAACTGTCAATGTCAATGGAAACCCAAAAGAAAACAGAGAAAATAGAGACTGTGTAGGTAGGTGAACGCGTCGCTGCCAGACGGGGGATGTCCGTCCGCACCCGTGTCCGTCCAGCATAAGCCATGAACATGCATTTGGTATGTCACACGCACCGGTCCCACATCGCGACGACGGCGACAGCGGTGGAGCCCATTATTTCATCCCGTCATCCGCTACCGGAGCTCGCTCGGCCCCAGGTCGATGAACCTCGTCATGCGCTTCATACCGCGGATGGCGACGCTATCCCGCACGCCCTCCATAACCGCCGCGAGGTCGTCCAGCTCGTCGTCCTCCTCTGCCGCCTCCTCCATCGCCCCCTGCGCGTGCCGCTCGCACAGCATGCGCCCGTCCACCTCCCAGTACTCCACGAGCCGCTCCGTGCAGCGCGGGTGATCGCACAGGAGGTGCTCGGGGTGGAACCGCTGGCCCGAGTGGGACACCGCACACGGGCCCTCGATCGGCTGCCCGCACGAGGGCGCGGCGCATAACGAGTCGTTCGCTTCATGATAGTGATAGGCACAGAACGGCTTCCCGTCCAGGACGTAGAATGTCTTGTCCGGGAACGGTTTCTGCAAGGCACGCATCTCAGCATAAGATCGAGCGTCCCCTGAAGAGTTAAAAATGGACGCACATGGCACTTGTGGCAATTAAAGCACTCGCGGTGGTACTTGCCCTTAAGCTGGCCATCAGAAGAGGACACCGCCTGCTTCTCAATCGTGAGGTTACACCTTCGGCACTGCAGAACCAGTCAGCCCATCAGCCCTCCCGCCGCACGACCGTCGCACGTCGTCCAGAAATAAACGCACCTTCGGCAAATACATATTCTTCCAACACCGATCGCATAGCACGTTCCCGCCCTCCATCTGAATCCACCTCCCATCGTCAATACCCCTCGTACACCTTGCACACGCCCTCTCCTTCTGCCTGCCCTTCCCGGTCTTCCCCAACGTAGGGCTTGTATGCGACCGCACAGGCAGCTTCGGCGGGCGGTTCAGGCTATCGCGCTGGCCCTCCGGCAGGAGCGGTGCAGTCTTGGGCGGCGGGCTGCTCAGGGGCGAGGGCGCCTCCTCGAACAGCGTCTCCATCACACGGTCCAGGGCGCCGGTCGACTTAGCAGGTCCGCGCGACGCGCGCGAGTCGGAGAGCGTCCGGCGGGGCATTGGCGGTGAGCTCGGCGACGTCACAGAGTACTGTGACTCGGAGGCCATGGACGGAAACCGGATCTTGCCCCCGCTGGAGGGCCCCGCTTGAGGGGGCACGGATGTGTTGATTGGCGGTAGCTTGGGCGAGGGGAGCGTCTCTTCGTCGTCGTCGTCCGCGTAGGCTAAGCCGCCATACTCGGAGCCCGAATCTGAGTCGAATGGGGGAGAAGGCGGGCGTGGAGATATCGGTTCGGGGCTGTCCGATGGTGGCTGCTGTGCCTTGAATTTCTCAAAGAACGGCAGCCTGGGCGTGGACGGTGCGGTGGGAATCGAGGGTACAGCGGGTATCGGTACTTTCGGGGGCTCCAAAGCTGGAGGGACGAAGCGGTCTCGTTGGGAGGAGTTAGACAAACCTCTCGATAGGCGCGGACTGGGCGAGGTAGAGACGTTCAGCGCGAGATTGGGGCTGGTGGGGGTCGTAGGCTGTGTGCGTGACTGAGAATAGCCTGGAGAAACAGGAGACTTCTGCGAGTGGGGCGAAAGAGTGGCCGGAGACAAAGGAGGAGTAGCACCCAAGCCTGTATACACGGTATTAGCAAATCATAATCGCTGCAGGATATTGCATACGCACCATACTGCGCAGCGGAAACGACATCAACAAACTTCGGTGCATGAGCTCGTCTACCATCCATGCCCTGGGCCTGATCCATGAACGGCGACGCCGCGCCCGTATGCCTCACCATGCCTACAGTCAACATGGCTGCATGCGCTGCAGCGGCGAATCCTCTCCTCCCCACACCCGCCATGCCGGCTTCCCCTCCGATTTTCGTGTCAATATCGGGAACGGGGGAGCGAATGGCACCCGGCCCCGGCGTCGATGTAGACACGCGGGGAGGGCCCGGTGTAGAGGGGGGCATAGGCGGGGGAGATCCATTGCCCAAGTTGGATGGCCGCCGGTCGAAAGGCGGCCTGCCGGGCGCGGAGGGGGTCTGCGATCGCGCGCCGACACTCGATGTGGAGGGTGCGCGCGCGCGCATCGGCGGTTGAGCGGGGGGAAGACTTGATGTTGACGGCATACGCTGCCGTGGTGGTGGCATGCCCGGGTCGGTCGCATTAGGCGGGAAGCGAGGCGGGAACGCATGCGCAGAAGCGGGGCCGTTGTTGCTCTTGCTGGTGGAATAGATGACTTCGAACTCGTCGGTTGGCGCGCTGCTCGCTGCTCTGCCGCGCCCCGGAGGGGCAGACAACTGAGATGGTGTCGGGGGACCTGGTGTTCGCTGCTGTGCAACGGGAGGTTGGGGTTGGGGCGCATATGGTGAGGGTGCCGGACTGGAATGGGCGACTGGGCGGGCTAGAGAGGGTGGTGGGGTGGCCCTGAATCCCGGTGTTGATGGTGTCCGGGGTGGTTGTAGAGCATCCGCCATAGGGTAGCCTCGTCCTGGCGTTGGTGACCGCGAGGACACGGAAGGGCTCCGTGCAGTGGGGAAGGGAACATCCGTTGGCAGGGGTGGTGTGCCAGCGAGAGGGGATCGCATGCGTTGGGACTCGGGGGATGCAGGCCCCGACGGAAAGGGGGTTCGGGACGCACCATAGTTGGAACGACTTGAGTCTGGCTCAGGCGTGCGCGTACTGCGATACGAGCTTGTCGAAGGAGCGCGCGGGCGCGTCCGCGGGCTGCCCGGGGCGCTGGAGAGACTGGCATGGGCGTTTGGTGCGCTCACCTGGTGGGAAGTGACGGGCTGCTGGGCCTGCACGGTCCTCGGGGCGAGCATGGACTGCTGGGAGTGGTACTTTTGCGGGTCGCGCTCTATGGCAGAGAGGGGGGAAACGAGGGACTTGAAGGTGGGCATGGGAGGCACGGGCTGGCAGACATGGTCTCCAAGCTCGTGGATGGGGACGGGCTGGTCGCAATTTGAGCATTTGACGGAGGGCAGAATCTGGGAGATGCGGCCTGGGTCAGGCACGTTCGCCGGGTTGAGCAGCTTGGCCATAAGGAGCGTGGGTGCAGCGCTGGGCTGGGGGTAGTATGTCGGGGAAGAGAGGAGGATTAGACGGAGGGAAGGTAGGGTAGTCTAACGGGTATGTGGGGAGAGCGAAACAACATGCGAGCGAACACAACCAAGTCCATCAGACCACCAACCGGGCGTTGCGTGCCACTTCCCGCCAGATCTCGCAGCCACCGCCTAGCGTCTTCTAACCGCTCCTCCTTTCTCGGCCCAGGCCCGACGACCACGCTGGCTCACTTGACGACTGGCCAGACACGCTGGGGCGGGTGGGCGTGCGCAAGACAACAACGGCGGCCATACGCGGCTAGCAGCGTCGAACACACGCATGGCCCGTCTCCATTCCCAGACCACGTCTTCGCCACACCGTATGGCGCCGAGTCGCCCCAAATGGCTAAGCCCATTCTTCCTACGGCCTTGATCCGTTCTGCCCCAGAGAAGTTCTTCTCGTATCGAGATCGTCTTGTAATATTCGGGATGTCGTCCCTACCCCGCCCGCAGATTCAGATCCTCGCTGTCACCCCGCCGTCCCGCCCGCCCTTTACGGCAGTCCTCTACTCTACCGCGCAGATCGCCTGCGCCAGCATGCCGCGGCAGATGCGCTCAGACGACCAATCCCGCGGCACGATTCGTGCGACCCGTCGTCGAATGATGTGAGTGCCAAGCTCATATGTATCACCACCGCGCGCGATGTGCAACGAATCACACGGCGTCGTGTGCGATAGTCTCCTCGCCTGACATTGGTCGAGCTGGCTCACTTGTGCGCCACACGAACGTGCAAGACATCGGAACATGCGTGCAATCTGTCACGAGTCCCGTCAAACCATGCGGTGAGTTGTGTCTTCGGGCACGACATTTGGACTATGTACCAGCGTCAAGACGAGGAAATCGGCAGGTCGGGAACTTGAAGCCTATGGCTTGAACCGTCGAAGAAACGCTGGGCTAGTTCTGTAACAAACGGTCAGCTATGTATGTGTACTGCGCAGTTTTCTGCGAATATGAACCATAGTAGACGCTCTTCAGGCCCAGGTCTTGGCTGTTACAGTGGTCCTCGGACGCCATGTCGGTGCCACCCACTCAATCCATTTATACCATCGAGGTGGCTTTGCCATCGCAACCATATGCGTGGCACCGGAGATAGTTCGCTCCGTTCGAAATGTAACCTTTATTGCATCACATTTTGTCCTGCATTCACGAGGCCCTCTGATAGTCATCCGCCAGGCCAGTACTAGTGCCGAATCGCCGGTTTGTAGCGCAACAAGGAGATGGCTTCGAGACACCTTGAAGACACCGCTGGTGGCAGACAGACACCTTTGCGATGTAGACGAAGCATAGCTGTGAATAGAAGTCGTGTCTTCCAATGGGAACTGCACTGTTGGCCGCCGCTGCCCAAAATAGAAGGTCCTGTCATTTCAACGCACTGGTCGACAGCGGAGGTAAGGGAGGTACTTCCTACCGGCCCCGCAGAGCACGATCTTCGAGGGTGTTCGTCGGACGCATGCAAGCCAGAAGCGTCTGTTCTGTAACAGAGGATCAACGAACAGCCCGGTGCATCCACGACCCCGGGGCACCGTTGAAATATGGAAGTCAGATTGTCTACTTAATTTCGCACGTCGTCCTCGATGTCGTCACAGTACGAGATGTATTCCCTTTCACGGGTGTCAATTGCAGCAATGAATTACCCCCACATGAAGATCAGGAATCCTGTGGATGGGGACGTCGACAGTCGACGACAGATCTAGAGGAGCCGCTCCTCTCAGCATGACTGCAACAGGGCTGCCTCGTATACTCCCAACTTTGATAGTCCGGCTCGGGTTTAGAGCCCCCAAACGCAGTGTATATATATATCAATGCGACGGCAGTTAGAACATTGTGGGTCGTATCAGGAATGTCAACGCGTGTACGCGCTATTTTGAGTAGCATACGAACCCCCTCACCCCCTCACGCGGACCCGGATGCGGTAAGATTTGGTGTTGTCGACGTCAATCTCATTGCAAATGCAAGCTTACTACGCTGTGCGGATCGTCCGACTGGGGCGCGGTGACCTTCGCGAGAACTCGAGAGGCGAGTGCAGTGCGCAATATTCTGTCCCCGCTTCCTACATTTTACAACATGAGTCTTTTTTTTTTTTTTTTTTTTTTTTAATTCACCGTGTTTATAGTCCCTCGCCCGAGGCAAGATGCGGACACTAATACATCATAACGGCACGCTAAGACCGTTCTACTCGAGCCCCATTTCCCCTTACAGGTCCCTGCCGGAATCTCCTTTTCACGTCAACTTGAGCGCACCGGCGACGCTAATTGGGCGGTCCTCCTGTAGGTAAGCGCTCCGGTCTTCATCGTCATGGCCCGCGTAGGTGCGATAGCAACATCCCAGTGATGGTACAGAAAGGTGAATTTGAAAGCGGCGCACCGCCGGGTGTTCACCGGGTCACTTCCGGCACATGTCTTCTTCGTCTCGGCCAACCGCTGGCCAACACCCAGACAAGTGGGTGCGGTGCGGAAGGCATTGCCCCTATCGCACTACGAGCAACGTCGGGAGTCTATGGGCGCCAGCGGCATTAGTGCAAGGCGGCCAGCTTCCCACCCAGGGCGATACGGGTGGGTGTCACTCCAAGAGTCCGTCGTCGTAGAAGTCGAACCTACGGACACGACTAGATAGCCGTGCCCTCCATCCACCTCCCTCCAGAAAACGGCTTATCCCACCCGATACAGCGTGCAACAGCCCATACGAATTTACCCCACCCAGGCGGAGGGGGAATCTAAACCTTCCTCGCTTTAAGCCGATTCTCACCTGGGGATCAGCTTGCCTCCTACACGGTCGTAGACCGGTGCACCGGACTCTGAGAGTACTCCCGGGCATTCAAAGTAGGGGCTAGGGCACGTTAGGCATGCAGAGGCCAACGGGGATCAGCTTGCGTCGGGCCTCTCGCGCAGACTCTAAGAGTCTCCTGCAGCGAGGGAATACACCCGGACTAGGGCGCGTTACTAGAGAGACCTAGCGAGGGGACGTCGGGGGTTTAACGAGTTGCGGTCCATGGCACTCGGTGTCGGTCGATGCGTCGTGGTTTGGGTGCCAGCCTCCCATTGATCCCAGGCCACCCCGTAGGGCAGCCCGGGCCAGGGACTCGGCGATTGTTCGCGATGTGTCGAGTTTGTCGTACGTAGAGGTGTCGTAAAGACTGTGGGGACCGAGTTGGACGGGTCTTGACACTAGGGGAGGAGGGGAACGGGCGAGAGATGGGGCAGATGGGGGCCGATAAGCGGGCGCCTAAAGGTAGATGGTGGTGGTACGAGGTCAAGGTGCGATGTACAACATGAGTCAATCACGCGAGCGAGTGGTATTGACCAGTTAGGTCAAGATAGTCAGTCTATCCAGTCGGTCTCGGAACTCGAGATCTCGTCTCGCAGTCAATGAGGCAGCAGTAATTCAGAAGCGCATTTGAATTGATAGCCACCATAAGCCGGGTGCAATGTGTGCATCCTCAACGCGACGGTTCCCTCGCTCGCAATGGGTGGGTCGGGATCCTGCCTGGACCTGCGCCAATTGTATGATTGAGTGTTTGTCGAGCGTCGAGCAGTCCATATGTGGACGATGATTTCGTCATCGTCTAATTACACGGAGTCACTGGTGGTGCGACACGGCGCCGCACTGCTTATGCTCGACGAGCATCAAGCACTAGTGGCTCTCAGGGTTTCTTCGTTGCGTACACATATTCGACTCCGATCGAACTCCCGACGCTGTTTGTGAATCATACAGGTGTCTGACGACCATGATATCGACACCGCGGTGGTGAAACTATGTCGTACAGCACAATCCCACGCAACACGGCATGCCAACGTCGAAGTGTGGAGAAGGTCGATTGATTGCGCGAGGTATCTGTGAACCACACCTTCTGAGGTCGAGAATAGATAGATGTGTGCCAACCGGGGCGTGGTACGCACCCATGCGTATGTTTATGACTGCACTGGAATGAGACGGCCTAATCATGCATAGGTCAGCGGATCAGCGGTGCGAACGTCACTCTGCCAGATATCTTCATGCTGTAATCTGGAAAACGCGAAGGAGCGAAGGTAATGGAAGGCGTGTGGATGGCAGCGGTGGTTGGGGAGTGGCGACCAATGAGAGCGCGAGCGAGCCATATAAAGTCGCACCAACGCTCCGAGTATGCTCACGGGAGAGCGCTTCTCGTCCGTATGTGAGAAACCGACCGGATCTGCAAGAAAGGTATTGCGTCCAGCCTTTGTCACATATGAGCGCATAAGACGGCGAGGGCGGGGAAAACGGGTGTCCGAGGCATTTTCATCAACTGATCTGCACACCGAGGTCCCCGCCCCATGTGAGAAATACCTCCTGTCGAACAGTGTCAAGTCGCACGCTCAGGGACTGTGCGCAAGAAGGATGATGTCGCTGCAGTCATAAGACATACTGACGCAAGGTGCAAGAAGGAAGTAGAAGGTAATACTATGCGCATATATGTAACCCACGTACCATGTAAACCTAGAGACACATGGCTTGCGTCTCCCTTCGAATAGATGTCGCAGTGCCCACACCTGCAGCAAGAGCATCAATAGCATCTGCCACCTGCGGAACCGCCGCGAATTGACCGTGGATGCCCTCTGTGTAGCCTGATATCACGGCGCACCTTCGTACGCAATACAATAGCGGTGACGTCGTAGATGCAGTAGACGCGGTGAGATCATCCGCCTCTGCTAAAAGAGCGTGAGCGTGGTGCCGTCCACGTCCCATTACGTTACAGTGCAATTTTTGTCAGAAGGTGTTGGAACGACCAAAAATAACGACTTCAATGACCCACCTGTACACGTGGCGTACCACGTACAATTGCGTCGCGGCCTGACAATTGTGCATGCGCTATTTCAAGGTTTCCAAAGCGAGTGTGAAGAGGTGGACCAGTCGATGACGCCAGTAGGTTCCGCTACTGACCATGAAAGGTGCTCCCAGAAATACTTAGTTGCATCGAGTCTAGAACATCACCGAACTTGACAAATTGATCCTCACCGGTGACATCCCCAGTTCTATTCAGTCGCCTGATTTCAGTCCACCTCCTAGCACCGCTGACTAAATCGGAACCTTACCCTGAACTTACGCAAGCAGGCCCACCGCAACCCCGCGAACGCAACGATGCGGCCTCGCGAGGCCCTGAAGCAAATTGAACTACTCCAAGGGTCATCAACCTGTTCCTGGGCCGGAGATAAACGTCAGCACGAAACGGACCCTTGAATGCACAGGTGCGTCTGTTCCTCCCGTCCTCTCGGATTATCACTGGAAGTATCGTTTATGGGAACCGACTAGGGGACTGTCGAGCGGACCGTCCGCCGGAGGAGCGGACGTCGGATGACAAGATCTCGGAGATCGCGCATGACGTGAGTATGGGCTTCGTGCCTGAGGCTAAGCCATCGGACTGCTTCGATCTAAGCGGGAACGTCTGAGAGGGGTGTGATAAGACGTATCAGCGATGACAAGATGTAGTAGCCGACTGTGTGCATGTTCTCGACGCGTTGATTCTACATTGCAGTGATCTTGTCGGCTGTGGGATGCTGAACTTCGGTCACTCGGATCCATGCGTTGTGTTTAGACCACGATGTGAGTGCACGCGATTTCCATCGGTGAAACACTTACAGGGATCTTCTGCGAATCGTCCTGAGATAAGTAACCATGACTGAGAGGTTTGTGCGCATCCATCGCTAGCGCTGAAACGCAATTGCTGTGGATGTACCCGTTCTGAGATTCTCCATGGCTTCGTCACAAAGGACGGACATGGCTGAACCCCGGGGATCGCCCTGATACTATAGCTGACTGCCCAGCGATTCCGGATGTTTGGGGGTACTTACCGGCGGGACCGAACGACAGCACCCGACCAGGTCGAATCTCCTGTCATGTTGTCAATCTGTACAAAGGTACGCAATAGTCAATCTTACTCCGACAGATATTGAGCACGCACCCATGAGGTCCGACAATCGGCGTGGCTGTGTCCTCGTCCCGCGACCATGAAGTAGGCTAATGCACAAGCTCGAAAGCAATCGCGATAACGAGGAGACGGTTATAGAGACAAACATCAGGAGAGCCAACACAGTACGACATTGCAAGAGCGCAGTAAAAGCTATTAAAGTACTTTAAGTCTTCAGCCAATACACCCCACCCCGCCTAAGCAACCGGGTCCCAAGACAGAAACACTAAACATAATGCACACTACATCCCAGAAGGATAATGGTATTGCTGCTGAGGTGTGTGCGCTTGAGGTGACGACGCGGGTTGCATCCCGGCGTCGCCCCGTTGCTGCTGCTGGAACTGGGGCAGCTGGGGCGCGAACCGGGCGAAGAAGTGGTCCCATTGGTCTGCAGGCATCGCACATGTCAGTCAGCGTCACGGCGTGTACAAGTCAAGAGTACATACTCCACTCGAACATACTGTTAGGAATACCCTCCATGAAGGCAGTATCCGCCATGGCGAGCTGCTCGAGCGTGTTGGACGCCTGGGGTACATCCAACACATTCATCACCTGCACGTTCCCGGGTAGCGATGGGTCGTTCAGCACGGGGTTGACGTTCGAGTAGCTCCCGTCACTTTGGGGGTACTGTACCATGGGAGCATCTTGCTGCATCTGCTCTTGCGGCCGTTGCGATGACACCTGCGGCTGTTGGTGCTGCTGCCGGTCCTGTCCCGAGCTCCCGGCTACCGACGCAGACGACCACGCCGGATAACCGGAGGAAGAAACGGACGAGACGGCGAGGTCATTGCTTGCTCCAACGCCAGACACCGCATCCGCGGGCATCTCACCTTCAGTAGCATCTCCGCTGATAATTGTGCCCTCCGGTAAATGTTCATCGACCTCGCCCTCTTTCGGCTTCGTGTGCGCGACGAAGACACCTCCACCAGGCCTCGACGGGTCCTTCTTGAACACCAGCGAATTTGTCAAGGGCGGCTTACCCTTAACACCGCCCGTCGGGTTCAACGCGGGTAACGCGGTCGGGTCCTGCTGACCCTGCGTTGCCTCGTATAGGAGCGCGATGATCTCCGCATTCTATAAAGTATGAAATTGTCAGCAAGCGAAGCACATTTGAGTCTGCGACCATTTGTGGACGGGCCTTTCGTCGTGCTGACATATGGTCAGGCGAGAGAGAAGCCTCCCACTTCCGTATACAGTCCCGGAGCTTCTTCAGCCTCGCTTGCGCTTCTGGGTCCCGTCGCCTCGCCCATGTGTGATACTACCGACAGTAAAAGGGTGAGGGCGATGCATGTGAATAGGCAATTCTGAAACGCACCTGGACAAGCGCACACGACGTAGCACAATAAGCGACCAATAACCAGACGTCATACAGCTGCTCGTGCGCGTCGAGCCAGTCAATCACTTGGCCCGACAGTTGCACAAGCTCCGTCCACTTCTCGACGGTCAGGGCAAACTTGAGATGCGCAGGGCACGCGTACGATATACGCATGAAGACGCGCCAGAAGAGAATGTTCACGCAGACGTAGAACATGAAGAGCAACCCTGTCGCGGCGCCGGCAACCGTGTTACTTTCCTACCTTCGAGTGAGAGGCTGAATCTACTCACCAGCGTTCTGAGGTGTGTCGGGGCCGTGGAACCGTAGGTCCTCAGGGAGCTTAGACTTCCATGCGTCAATCTCTGCGAGTAACGCGTACAGTTGTTCGTCCGTAGTGACGGTCAGGCCAGCAGGACTGGAACATGGACAAGATAAGAACAAACACGGCCGGAGCATAGACACAATACGCACGTGTATATTGCCTTCATTACCCTGCCCAGTACAACGCTCAAGCGGACGAGCTCGTCGAGGTACCTGTCATTCGGGTCCCCGGACGACGGCAGCCGTGCATCGCAGTCCTGGACGTCAATCATGTACGGATGCCCATAAGTCAGACTTATCCTAGAGCAATGTGTCAGCGACCAGGCATGGAAGCCAGCGTCGGTATCAGAAAGAAGCGCACCAGCGGTCGCTTATCACGCAGATGCCCCACAATCGTCGCCGGAGCTCGATGTTCTGCTTGACCGACTCTGCGCGATGGAACCCGAGGTCCTGTCCCTGTAGGCGCACATAGTCAGACCATCGCGCGCAGCGACCCTGGTCGGACACGCACCATTCGGATGGCGCATCCGAGCCGAATCCACAGAGCAGAAAGGGCATTAGGCACGAACTGAGAGTGACAGTCACCGCACATCGCCAAGATCAGCAAGGCTTGCATGTTGACCGTCGACGCCGTGCTCATGACGTCCTCTGCCTTGATGAGGCTGTTCACGGCGTAACGTATTGAGTCGTACACGTTCTGGGGCACATCCCGACTCGCCGCAGCGATCAGGCACATTGCATACAGCAGCACCGGTGGTGGAGGGCTGCTCGCGATGAACTCGTCGCGCGTTACGATGGGCAGCATGGGAGCGACGTCGGTGAAGTACGCGTTGACGAGCTTCTCGACAACGTCTCGTTCAATCCGCAAGTCGACTGGTTTTGGAAGCGCGAGCTGGAGTTCGCCTTGCTGCGGTTCATGGACGCGAATAACGCCATCCCCACTTGTTGAACTCACGTCCCAGGAGTGGTGGTATCGCATGTCGAACGACTCGTACGCGCGCGACGAGATCATCGCTTGCGAGTGCAACATGTAGGTCGCGGAAGTCGGGCCTATATGCGCCATTAGAATGAACAACGCGGGAGACGGTGGAGATGCCGCTTACCGAACACTCTGACATCTGCGTTCTTCCCGTTGTCGGCCTGCGGCGAATGTGTACTCCGATCACCCTCCTTGTCCTTCTCCGCTGCTACCTGTGCCGCCTCCTCCTCCAATTTCTTCTTCTTGAACCGCGTCTCGGTGATTGGAAGGAAGAACGTGCATTCGAAGCCGTACTGCTTGCAATGCTGACATACGGGCGGATCGCTGTCGGAAAGGACGTCGCATCTGTGAAAGGGAAGTAGGCGTCAGCCCGCTCGAGAAGACGGTAGCAGGTATGGAATAGATACAACATGGCGGCGAAGAGGACCGTCCGGGGGAGGACCATGAGGGCGGCGGGGAAGACAACGCAACACCAACCTGATCTTGCGACTCCGGCAGCTGTCGCATGCGCGCTGAGTCTTGGTACGCTTCTTGGTGTCGACGACGGTGGTTGAGGAGCCCTGCGTCGATGACGTGCGCACGATGTCACCGCTAGAATCTGTTGGATGGCCTTGATTAGATGCCCTGGGATCGAAAGGACCATCGGAAGACTTCCTTTTACGCTTAGTGCCCGCGGTGGACGCGGATGGTGGTGCAGGCGACGGGATAGCGGGGCTGCGCGCGCTGCTCTCTGGATGGCCGGACTGGGGGCTGCTGTATATGTGCATCATGCCCGAGGACGGGTAGGACGGGTATGAAGGATAGCCATGCTGCGGGTATGAGGAGGGATGATGGAGGGCATACGAGTAGTGAGCAACGTGGTTCGGCATGCCCGAGGGAATGTGTGGGCTCTGGCCGTTGGCCGGAGAGGGCGCCGCGGCGGGCTGGTGGAAGGGCGAGGGCGAGGATGGGTACGGATTACCATTCACTGGGTAGGACGGGTTCATCACGTAGGCGGGGGACGTGGGCCCGGGATAGGGCTGGAGATGGGCGGTGAAGCGAGGCGCGTCGGGCGGAGGCTGGTCGCGGACGTTGGACAGGCGGGACGCTGGGGACTGGCGGTTGGTGCGGAGAAATGAGCAATACAATGAAAGACGCACTACTGCGGCCGTCCGGGTTGTCCGGGGGGTCGGATGGGCGAGGGAGAGCGGAGGGCTGCTTGTTCCGCGACTTCCTCGGCTTTGGCTGGTGCGTATCAGCGCCGTCGTGGGTGCTGTTTGAGTTGTGGGGAGGGGCACTGGCCGGCTTCGGACTAGGGTCCATCCCAGATTATAAATGCGAGTGATTATTATCCTCGCGGCCTCTGCACAAGCCTGCCCAGCGCTCGATCAGCCTCCGCCACCCGCGCGGCCCGCACAGCACACTCACGCACCTGGTCGTCGTCGTGCTCGCTGTCCGTGGGCGGTGTGCCGCGCTGCTCGCTGTCTGGCGCGTTCCGCAGTGAGGACGGGTGGGAGGGGCGACACGATGCCGAGCGCACTCTGTCCTGCCGTTTCAAGCTCAACCCGTCTTTCAAACTCAGCGCCTCCACGTGAGCCCCCTACGTCATTTGCCTGGCGGGCTGCCGGACGGCTGCCGTGTCCCACGCTCGGTGGGCGATCGTTGTGCCCGATATGGGAAGTCCGTGCGGCCTGCGCGCGTGCAGACTAATTGAGCGTGCACCGCCTCGCGTGTCCCGTCCGCTGCTCGCACGCGAAGCCTCGCCCCTGTGCCCGCCCCTAACGCAGCGGTGGCGGACGCTGGGCGGACGTGGGCGGCCCTCCGCTGGCCATCTGGCACCCGCGTCATCGGGCCGTGTCATCCTGGATCATGCGATCCCATCGCCCGATCTCGGAGGCGCATCTTGGTCAGCAGCAGATGGCAGCATCAGGATGCAGCGCAGCCCCAGCGAGCCCGATCCATCGCCCAGTCCCGACGTTTCTGCGCGCCGCCACTCGCCCTCTGATCGCTGCACCGCCCAGCCCGCACCCACCCCCGCCCCCGTCCGCTGTCGCGGGCAACAGCGGCGGCCCCCTTCCGCGCGGCCTCAAACTCGTACGTACACCGCCCGCGTGTCCGCACGTCTACGCCCCAGAAAATTGCGCGGCGTTCTGTCATCAGAAAAACCCCCCGTGCGCGGGCTCTTCTCCTTTCACCGTCCCACAAGCTCCTATTCCGATTGCCTGCCACGGCGCGTAGAATACCGAAGTCGTTCCACCCTTGATCGCAACACTCAATTACATCTGGCGTTTATCATCCCCAGAACACATCAGGCGCCCGTCAGGCACCAGATTGACTCGCTCAGGCCCATCGCCTGCTCCCTCGAAACGGAGGCGTCCCATTCAGTGAGCCGGACCCGCTCGCACAATGTACCGTCGGACATTTCGGGCCCTCGCAACTTTCTCCTTGATCACACTAGCCGAGCAGGCAAGCACAGTTGTCGATGCCGCCCTTCAGGCACCAAGAAGCCTCTCGCAAGCGAGCAGCGTGTCGCAGATCGAGAACAGAACACACGGCTAACATCCCCCGAAAACGTACGAACAAAGTCGATAGCAGTCGAAGACACCATACTACAGACAGAAAATAATGTACCGTATAATACCTATCGCAGAACTGCCCAAATCGATAGCAACCATCCATGCATATATCTATCCAGCAACACTGTCGCCACACGTCATTGTACCTTCATCCCCCGGCCCTCCTCCATCGCCTCCGTCCACGCATCACCGACCGCGCTTCCACCCTCCGCATCCCGCAACAAACCTGGATTCACCTCTCGCCTGTCCTCCGTTGCGACCGCCGCTGCATCCAGCCACGAGTAGCCCGCTGGTCGGCATAGCACATAGATGAGGTTGCGTCGCCAAGAGCCATGCGAGAACGGGTTGACAGGCGCGGGCCCCGGAAACAGCGACTTGTGCGCTTGGTTGCGTATCTATACGACCGCAATCAATAGTGCCCTCGCAATCATTGGGCTCGAATAGCCTAACGCACCTGCTCGATGGTTGTGACATTCAACAGCAGCAACTGTCGCACGGTGACAGACATCCATCAGCAAACTCGTGTTCGACTTGGCGACAAGTGGGTCGTGAAGCTGTGAGAGCAGCACTCACCCTCGAGTGATACAGCAGAAGTGCCATGACGGGCCAGATCACTAGTACCGACATCACAAACCCCGCCGCGCTTCCAGCACCATCAGGTGTCTGCAGCGCCCTCCGAAAGCTAAACCGGAACGGTGCTTGAGTGAGGAGGTATAAGTGGATAGCAGTCGTGCAGATCACGAGGATCAAGGTTACAACCTGCAGCAGTGGCAGTGCCCAAAACGTTAGTACGACAGCGTTTAGCATGACAGCAGTCGGAATGTGGCGGTGTAACATGATAGAGGCATGTCAAGGTTTCGTGACTCACCGCAGACGTAAGGAAGGTGAAAAACGTAGTATAATTGCGTTTGCCAACGCAGTTGTTCACCCACTGGCAATGGTGATCGCAACCTTCCACGCAATTATCGCACTACACGTAGTGCGTCAGCAGTGCACCGAATGTTCCTCCTAAAGACATGTCCGGGGAACGCACCATTTTGCAGTGACTTGACCGTGGCGGCCGGTACGTTCTGCACGTCTGGCAATATTTCGTACGAACGCTAAATCATCGGGGAATCAGCGACCACATTTGCGTTCAGTCGGAAGCACGCACGTCTCCGAACGGATTCTGATGTCGCGAGGCAAAGGTGCGCGCACACTCTCGCTCGACATCTGCGCAGCGTACGGCGGGTCAAGATCCAAATTTCTCGGTAAAATCCCAGGGTCCCTAAACGCCTAACCAGCGAACCCCGGGTCAGCTCAAAGTCAACGCCGGCCGCGCATCCACCAGCCCCCGCACACGCGACTCACCGTAGCAGCCATGCTGGAGATCGTCAGCAGACACATGTATGCGCCTATAATCGCGACCGCTGGACTCTCGTTCTGCCACCACCATGCGCACGTCGTCCCGAACCATACGCCGGTAATCGCGAGCACGACCGTCAGCGACGCCACGAACGCCCAGGGGGCGTCTCCTCCTGTGAGGATGTGCCCATTTAGGAAAAATCGATTCCTCGATGGGTGTCGCTGCCAATTGCGCGCAGGCTTTCCTGTGCGTGAGTCTACGGCGGGTGTCGCGGCGAGTGGCAAACTGAGGTCCGGCGGGGAGGGATTAAAGTCCAGCGAATGCGACGAAGCCGAGTCGGGCGGTGGCGACGGGCTCTGCTTCCGCCGCGTTTGCACGTTCAACTCGAACGTCATCCGCGCAGCCGTCGCAGGCGAGACCGGCGACGTTTGGCCTGTCCGTGCGTTTGCCTGAGGCACGGTGAGGCCAAGCGGGCTCGTAGGACTCGTGTGCGCTGGCGACCGCCGGCTTCCGTCGCTGCTTATCCCGCGTTTGAAGATCTTCTCGAAACTCCCGCGCAACATTCCGCTCGGACTGAGGCTCCCGTCGTGCATCCCATAAGGGGCCATCTGGGTATTCACAGATGGTCTGCGCGGCCCAGGACCTATGGGGAGTAGTGGTTCTCGACTATGCTTCACCGTCGCTGTCTTCGATGCTGGGCTCATGGGGACGTTCGCATCTTGTGTGGAATGTCCAATGCTGTCCGTTGCTTCAGAGACATCATGATCTTCCGAAAGCCGACTGAGGCGCACAGCGTCCATGACAATAGGTAGGTCGGAGGATATCGCAGAGCCAACACTCGATCGGCGCATTGTGGGAGTGGTGGGGGAGGGTGGGGGATAGATGGGGCGCGAGGGGTGAAAGAAGGATGCAGGAGGAAGGATGCCTCCCGTGTGAGTTGAAGTACGCACAGGCGGACGGAGCTGGAGGGGTGGAGAAGACACGGACGAAGGCAGACCTGAGGGTGTCACGCCAGACTCGCCAATGTGGCTCACGCCGTGCGGTGGACGCGAGTGCAACAGCTCTGTAGAGTTTGGACGGCTCGGGGGTGCACTGCCCGAAAAGCTCCCGCTAGGTGGTCGGGTCATATTGATGGAGAACCTCTGCTGGCTCGGACTCGGGGACGGTGCAAACGGCAGCTGGCTGATGCGATGAGACGTAGTCGGTAACGAATGTGGGGTCGCCATAGCGAGTGAACAAAGTGGAGGAGACTGTGTCGAGGTCCCGAATACGATTTAACTGAAAGACAAGGAGCCTGCCGGTGCATGCACGGCACGAGGATTACCTGGGAACGGGATTTATCAGCTCCTGTGGTGACGGCAAGGCATGGTTCCAGGGAGGCAAGGAGCAGAACGCACCGGATTCTAGGAAACCGGCTAGGAAAGCAAGTCCTCTGCCTGGAGACTTTGCTGCGCTGCCTAATTAGCAGGGTCTCTGCCCGCGGGATGCAAGCTAGCTATCTCGCACAAGCGCCCACGGAAGCTGTCCTCGCAGTGCTTACATCAGCAGCTCCTGTGCCGGCGCTGCAACGATGTTGGATTTAATATTGAAAGCCACCGTGCCGCCGGAGAGTAACGCGCAATGAAGCACAGCAAGATCTGGTTTCAAATGTCCGGTAATAAAGCTACACGATCGACCATTCCGTGTATGACAAACAGTCCCCTCCGTATGACGACGGAACACAGCACTCAAGTACTCATGAACCACCCAACCACAGCAGTCTCTTCACACCGTATTCCATTTTAGCGTACACGCTTGTCATGCGTTGCGCATCTGCCAGGCTGAAAGCGCGCAGTCAACTCAGGGTCCTGTGCATTAGTGGTCCCAAAACATACCTGACGATGTCCTCTTCGGCGATGAAATTATCGCCTTGCGCGCCGCCCGCTTCCACACATGCCTGCCGGATCGTAGACACAATCATGTCTGCTGCCTGCTTGCAATTCGTGGCCCCTGCGAGTTCGTCTGCAGGCTCGATGAAGCTACCTGTGTCGCGACGCGTTCGCGTTGGATCAATGGGCAGCATCTTGAATGCTACAAACGACGAATCGCCTTCGGCGACCGGAACGGCCGCCTTTGACAACAGAGCCGACAACGTAGGTTTGCGCTGGGGTGCCGGAGCGCTCGCTCGTCTTGACAGGCGAGGCGACAGAGGTGGAAGATCCGGCACCAGTGGGGAAGATAGATCGAGACTGTTGCGTATTGAATAGCTTGTGACACGAGTGTCCTGGCCTACATTACGCCAGGTGACGACGAAGCCAGAGTTCTGTTCAGGATCACGACTTGCTTCTTCTAATGGTGACAATATGTAGGCGCCTAGACGTAGTCGAGTCAGCATCTGCCAAATAAGCGAAGGTTATACGGACCTTTTGTAATATCCTCTATATCCTTCAGTGGTACACGGGTATACATCTTTACCTTTTCCAGGGTATAATCATAACTCTGGGGGACATATGAGCAGATATTGGTGCCTCGAACGTGACATAACTTACTATGATATATAGAGCCTTCATGGTCTACAGGCCGTCTTTGAACATTGGGATCGACAATATCGATGCACGGCACTCACCAGCAACAGCACTTTTTCCTCGAACTTATCGCCAACCTTCGTGTTCAGCTCTGTGGGCGAGAACACGGTCCACCCAGACAGCAAGCGCTCTCCTTCGGGTAGCACACGAGACACGCATGTCGCAATGGCATCCGCACGGATCTTCGAGATGCGGATGAGGTCCCTCGGGTCGCTCGATTGCAGCCTGTTCAAGAATTCTGAGAACACGGAAATGGTGCGGTTTCCCAGCATGAAGTCGATGACCGCTTGACTGAACCAGTCAGCGAACGTCGAGGCGTACATCCTGTGATCTATTGAGCGTCATGGTATGTGACGTCCGAGGACATGATTACCTCGCTAGGGAGTTGACTCCGTCGTTCAGCATCCCAGTCAGATCGCGCTTGCCTGTTCTCGTGTAATCACCCTACGAGCGACGTTAGAGCCCGTCATCATATGTTATAGGCGAGACTGGCCTTTAAGGCAGAGGTACCAGCGCTGAGATATCATCAATTACACAGGCGCGAGATGACCGTAAAGATCATTACTTACTATTCACGACTAATTGCATCGCCGTTATTCGCCCAAGCTGGCTTCATGGTCAGCAACATCAAAACATCGAGAGACAAATAGGCCAACCGTCATTGAAGACAATGTCAGTTTCTGTTCGGGTGGCCTTATCCTCTGAAGGGTCAAGCAACGCCACGGCACCAAGTTGACGATCCAGTACATGTCGTGCGAACGCCGACTGCGCCAATGTCAGCCCCGGAGAGCCCTTTGCGGACACGCCTGTCTGTCGCTTACCTCCACCACATTCGTCCGATCCAAGCAGTCGATACAATTGACCCGATATATGCCATGCTGACGCGACATGATAGTGTTGTTCGAGATCCAGAAGTAGCTTGCGGAAGAAGCGAGATCAGTCTGATGATAACAAGGCCCATAAAAACGAAGAGCATACCCTTGGTTTTCGAAAACGCGCTCTAGCTGGGTAATGAGCTTCGAGATGTTCTCGTATCTGCGTTCGTTAGAAAAGCGCTCTAGGAGGGCCAAACCTGACGACTCACTTCATCCCCTTCGTTTCTGTGTGGAAATCGTATGCATGGTACCTGACATATACCGTCACACACCAGACGGAGAACACAAGAATGGAAGCTGCCCACTGTATTTGCTTGTCATCTAGCTCCTTCACATAGTCACGATAGGCGTCAGTGACTTGCGCTTCCTTTCCGTGTTGCTCGGCCAGGTTGACGATGGTCTAGTGGTGACTGTGAATAACAAATCTTCTCAGCCGATGAAACAGGGGGCCGTACATGAGGGCCGTAGACGGGTAGCGTTTTCTTGAAATGCCGGCGGATAGCATCGAGATTTTGGTCATGAGTCCGATCGGGCGCAAGTTGAGGGGCAGGCTTCAGGCTGTACCCTTCTTGCTTCCAGTAAAGAGGGACTAGAGACGTGAGTTGTTTGAGCGCCCGTTTCGGTTGCGAGGAAAGGGCTCTTACTGGATCCGCGAATTTGAACGTGGCTAAATACATTCGAGAAACCCTCACGCTGTGTTTTATGCGATGTAAACGTAGGTGCCGAATACGACCACAAGTCGATGACTCACCTCTACACGCATTATGGTCTCCGTCTCAACAAAGTTGGCTACATTTGCATCGTCGTCTATCCCCCGACGCTGGTATCTCAGACCCGCGCGGTCCCTTGACCTCCTGGACACGACGGCGTAGTCAACGAGAGCTGCATCGCCCTCTTCCGAGGCGACAGGTTCCCGAGGGACGTGGAACGAGGCAATCTGGTAGTAGCCCTGCATGATGGGTAAGACGTAAGGGTGCACCTGTGCGAGACTCGATTAGCCGGCTGTTGGTCACCTCGAGACGCTGTATTACCCCAGCGTCGATGAACGGCCTAGAGAGCCATTCATTCCACCAAAATTGACGATCCACTCTGCGCCACAAAGGCAGAGTCGGCGACGGCTCGGCAAGGACTTCGATCTTCTCGCCGACTGAACTGAGCCTCTTGTTCTCATCTAGAGCATTGAGTTCCTCGAGTAGTGCACTCTGTGTCTTTGCCTTCGCGATCATCTCGTGTTTGTGTTGGAGGGATCTGGTGATATCTGCAATAATTCTGTAGCGTATACGGTACAGTACAAGTAGTTTTGCGTACCGAAAGCATAGGCAAAGTACATGCCGCCCTTCGTGTATTCTCGAATGACCTCGCGTAGGATCTTGTCCTCGAGCTCGCTGCGCTTCTCCTCCTGTGTAGCAGGCGCGGGAGCGGTCGTCTGCAGTATAGATTCTACGACCTGTGCAGGCTCGTCGTTGTTCTCCTTCATCATCTTGTCCAGAGAGAGCCGAGCATGATCCTCGTCTGCGTTTGTTCCCGTCTCGGGATCTTCGTCTGCATCTTGTTGTTCTGACGCGGTCGGTGCTGCAGATGACCGCTTGGGTAGCCGATTCCAGAAAGAGAGACGCGCTGCAAGGGTCTTCGCTACCGACTCGGTGTTCACTGAAAACGTCGATGGAGCTGACGATGCAACAGACGTCACAGATGCGGATGGCGAAGGAGGAGCACCTTCTACTTTCCCCTGCTCATGTTCGTCGAACCCGTGAGACGTATGAGGAGTCATGATCTTGATGTTCGGCTCTGCTGCGAACGTTACGCGAGGAGGGGGTGTCCCTGCGTTGTTGGGAGACATGACTGACTTCGCGGAGAACAGCGTCTCAGCGGGCGTACGTTGTGAGGCACTGAGGAGCTCTGCGTCGACAGAGGGCGTCTCTGGTCGAGACGTGGGAGGGGCGAGGGAAACGCGAGCATCCGTGCTGTTGCGAGCAGCGAGAGAGGATAAGATCGGACGGGCGAGGTCTTCGGTAAGCGGTATGGATGTAATGCCCTTCACGCTGTATACAGTGTGCCTAGGGTCAAACACTAGACTGGTATGAGTGATAGCGTCTCGTGCTATAAGCAAAAGGCTCACGATGTCCGACTTCAGCCCGCGCCGTTACTATGAGCAAGTAGGACGCTAGACAATAATCTCAGTAGCACGCAACACGGTCGGACACGTTGGATACAATACCGGTGAACAAGCTGAGGATCCCCACGATCCCGTACACAACCACGCTTTCCGACCAGTCGATGTGGTCGAATTCCTCTCCGTGCGGTAGCTCCTCCACAGTAGCGTTCTTCCCCCAGGGAATGCAGACGTACGACTCCACATGAGTCTCGCTCAAGAAATGTGGCCTCAGCAGGAGTCCGCGGTCCGTGGCTATGATGGCAATGTGTTCGTGCGGACATGGGTGAGGGAGGGGAGGTAGAACGTATTTCGGCTGCAGGCCCGTCGTGTGCGATCCTCCCGGCGCGGTACTGGCAGGATTCACTGGAGATGCCGGGACGGGATTCTTTGAGGAACCAGCCCTGTTGAACGAGAGCAGCCGTTTCATGACTTGTAGTCAGCAGTCATGAAGTTGTGAGGAAGGAGAGGTGAGAAACGGGAGCACTGCGCGTGAGCCCGCTCCGAGTCGCGAGCACGCGATGACATCAATTAGGCAGCCACCAGTCCGTATAGCGAACCGGAGAAGTTCTGATCAATCTTGTCAGCATCTTGTGTTCCGCTCGGTGTCCATTTGCCACACTCGTGTCTCATCCACACAAGAGGCTGATGCGACGGCGGCTATCCCACTATACATTGAACACAGCACCACGGTGATAAGTTTTATGTTCGTCAGAATACAATGGCTACAATAAACATCCACGGGATACGACAACAGCTACGAATGTCAATCTCAAGCAGGTGGGTTGGCAGAGGAACGGCCCTCCACACGCACACCGTACCCGTAGCCTGCTGTCCCAGTAGGGCCGTTGTAGTGCATCTCCGAGACGTCGTAGTTGCCTGTCGAGTGGGGGTGATGAGCCATATACTGTCTTTGGCGCGAAGCAGGACGTACCAATGAACTTCCATCCTTGTTGCTGGACATGGTACAGGTTGATCGTGTTTCCAGAGAAGGCATCGCGATGGCCCGCGGCGTAGATGCCCCTCCTTCCGAGTTCTTGGGCCTCCTCGTCCGTCAGGTCCCACCGGTATCCTTGGTCCAGGACACCGTATGCGAAAGTGCTACCGGAGCCAACAGAGAAGAGATCGCCTTTGAGCCGCGTGCCATCTGAATCGACGTAGAATATGGCAGGACCCTGTGACCAGATATCAGCGATGGGCAATCTCCACTAGAGGTGATCGAGACGCACCGTCTTGTCCCAGCCACAAATCATGGTGCCCTGACAGTGTGTACATTAGGTTGTAACATGAGAGTTCACGTTACCACGACCTCACCATACTAAGACCCATGCCCTTGTAATTGTAGACAAGGTTGCTCAAGTATTTACTTGCGGCGGCTACTGAGATTCGCTCGCGGTTGCGAAGCTCGTGCAGGCGGCACTGCATACCCAAGTATGTCTCCCAGTATTGACAGTCGGCTAGATTTACATGAGTTGAATTTCGGGAGGACATCGACAGGTGAACATACCGGCTCCACCAGCCATGGTCCCGAGCAGGTACGGGTTGATCTCAATGACTTTCTTGACCGTCCCGGATGCTGAGCACAGACGTCAGTCATTGCACAGCACGAAACAGTCTAAGTACACACCAACGTAGCTCCCAGCAGTAGCTCGTGAATCCACAGCGACGATAACTCCGCCTTGGTATCTGAACGCGAGAGTCGTCGTTCCGTGCTTGATCTTGATTCTGCAGGACGGGTCTGCGTGGTCGTCTGTGTGCAATCTCAAGAATGCCGAGGGCTAGAGGGCTATTATAAAGCAGTCGAGCATACTACCAGGAATGCTACTCACATCCGGAACTGTCGGGACCATGAAGTTGGGCGTGCCATGCGCTATAGTACCAAAGCCGGCCTCAGAGCCCCACATGGAGTCGGAGACGTCTTCCTCATCAGCGACATATTCTTTGATTCTTCGCTGCTCCACTGCAGTCCCGGTGGTCGAGAAGCGATCTGCGAAGGAGTTCATGGCTGGAGGAATAGAGAGACGTGAAGGAGGGGATGACGCGGCCAGACGCGTCGCAAGTCCAAGAGACACGCGTAGGCACGTGCACACGATCGCTCGCGCCGCGTCTACGACATGGGCGTCTAAGGTACCGTATTACTGTAGCGTAGCGTCCGAACATTCTGCTCCTGAGACGACGGTGGTGTCTGCCGACGGGCTGGGAGGACGTAAAGTTAGAGAGATAGCTCCAATTGCATCACTGAGCGCCATTTATAAGCACCACATCGTCTACCATGTCATTCGAAGTGGACGCAGCTCGTTGGTAGTACCAGCCGATGATACTTCTATGCACGGTACCCCTTTGGTGTGTAATATATGAAGACGGCCCGCTCATTGGCATAGTTGCAGTTAAGTATCCCGTACCACTACGCGACCGTCAGCCGTAACCGGCCGAGTAGACGAGTTAGTTGGGCCCCGTTCAAAAAATATGAAAACCCCTAGAATAAGCTGCCGTAAGTGGTGACCGTTGACATGTTGACTGCCTAAGCACGTCCGTCATACAGCGCTGCTTTTTGAAGACTCAATCATGATGCTGAGATATCACGGATCACAGACCCATGTAAGTATTATACTGTACAGGACACTGGGACACCCATAACCGTGACATGGAGTCCCCTATTGCAAGCTACGCACATTTCGATTTTTTGCCTCGGCAAGTCAGTGGCCCGATACAGCCTATACAAGATAAATTATGCAGCGAGAGCAGTACACGACACGAATAAATAATCTGTGCATAGCTTTCGTCAGTATTATGACAGCACAAATTGAGCGAAGTTAGTACGTACATACCTCAAAGGCCCGGCGGAGCAGTCCATGCTTGCATGCAGTATCACGCCCCAGCCATAGCGCGCGTGCTTCCCTTCTTCCGAGTCAATGTTCTACGTTGTTGACACCGGACCCGATCGGAGGTCTCTTCATGGCCCAGGCAAAATTCCAGCGAGTATAGATATGCGTGCGAAGCTCACTCAATTCCGCAGTAGCTTCTCGACACATCTGATCTACACTCTCCGGAAGATATCCTTCGCTATCGGATAGTGATCACCCCCGTCAGGTATAAATGCTCTTCGGATAGTAGTTCGAAAACTCTCACCTCAGAAGCAGAGGGGCCAGGGTGGAGATATACCTCATGCAATTTTCGCGACATAGCTCGGAGAGGACACGCTCTCGTTCGTCATCTGAACCGCAGTCAGTGTCGGGTAATTCACGGGCGAGGAGGAATAGAAGCTACCGTATCTCCAAGGGCCCATGGGAATGAACTCCTTGTGCCAGCAGACGTCCGTCAAACAGTCGATGGCTCGAAGCCACGTCGGACTCATGGACGGCGAATCGATGTTCCCCCCACGGTTCTTCATCGCGTTATAGGTGGCGAAGAACACCTTGTGAAGCCAAGAAGTACCAGGTGCATCTGGATCCGTGAAGGCCATTGGCCTCTGGTTTTCATCATACAGCTGTTGCTCGCCGTCCGCTAGAAGCAATACACCACCAGGCCGCAGGGTTCCCGCTAGCTCACGAAGTAGCCCAGGAAAATCGCGGATCTTTTAAGACGGAAGATTAGTGCGTGCGGGAGAAGGCGGTCGAAACAGACTATACCCCTGCCGAAATCGCGCGAGCGTGTACGACATCGAAGGAATCGATGTAATGGAGAAACCCAAGGTTCGCCTGAAGATGTTCAGTATGCCACACCGTTGTTCACATGATGAACCTACATCGTCAATTTCGAACCTAAGAGACGTTCAATGGTCTGTTCAAGGCCTAGAATGCGTCAATTCTCACCGGCAGTTGCTAGGTTGTTTACTATGAAAAGATATGAGGACATGCAGAGGGCAGCTGACTACTGCACATACCCGTCTATTCTCGGTGGCGCCAGGTCAATGCCAACCACGTCGCAATGGGGAAATTCTCGGGCCATGTCTACTGCCCTGTGCGAATTGTAGGATCAGGTACATGCATACAAGGAGTATCGAGAACTCGCCAGCTCCCACTCCCAGTACCGACGTCCAATATTGTAGGCCGACGGTCGGGGCGCGGTCTCAAGGCTCGCCACACTAATTCTGGGGCAGGATACAGCCGCCCAAGGATTAGGGTGTATTGATGATGCTGAACGTCTAGGCGTCTATGCTCTTCATGATCCTGATATGACAGGCCATCAACGTTATCCAGACAAGAGCATGCGAGATGGCTCTCACCGCAGGGAGGAAGTATGTCTGCGATGTTGTCAGCGCAAGGTACGAAACGCCTTGCATGGCACTCACATCATTCTGACTGTTCAATATACGCCCGTACATGGTACGTAGCTGAAGGGGGGGCTGTTCACATTCGTGTTTCGGTAGGGAACGTCAGACGTACCATGAACCTCTCGTCTACCGATGAGCTGAAGGAGTAAAGAGAAGGTGCGGGACTGCCCGTCCGCACATCAGACATTGTTGATTCGGTATCGTCGTCGTAGTCCTCGGGAGCGTTCGAGACCATGTCAATCGCAGCCGTGTGTATGTACACTGGAAGGGCCAAATGGGTGAGTGTCCGCATGATCTTGGAGCAGAGGACCTCCGAAGTTATATAGTCCGGAAGGACCTTGTTAGCGACTCAGGATACGTACATTGTTGATGAGTACTCGAGTGCCACTGGGTGCCGGGTCCGTCTAACTTGATACCAGAGCCTATCAACGACTTCTACATGTCGAAACCGAGCAGAAGAGCGCGCTTGGATGGGAGAAAGGCGTGTGTAGTGCGAAGATGCTGCTGGGAAACAGGCCGGGTCGGGCTTGGTACGAAACTGAAGCACTTCTGTGACTCGATGGCTAGCCCGGCTCGAACTCAGATAAGACTGTTCTCGGACAATTTGAGTTTGCCCAAATCTCCGTTCTCCGTCGACGGGTCGCGTTCAGTGATGTTTTGATGGGTGATTTGGCCTAAGCCAACAGTGCAGGACAGGACACTGGCAGCGGGCGGTCGGTGGCGTTGACCCGGGAGGCCTTCTCCCTTGCAGCGTCGTTGCCACCCACCAGGACCTCGGCGTGTTGTCACCGGCTGTTCCCCTGCTCGACGTTCACATGAGACGACCCGGGCCCAAAACAGGACGCGTCGAGTGTCGGCGGAGACGCGTCGATGACTCAGCAGCTCAAATGGTGATCGCCTCGAGGCGCTGGTGCGCGATCGTCTTCCGCCGCTTGCAGCTTGACCTTGAACAAATCCGTGACATCTGCTCTTCTCTCTCGACTCTTCTCGCTCCATCACCATGTCCGGCATCTGCAGAGCACGTCTGGCCGAAGAACGCAAACAGTGGCGCAAGGACCATCCATTCGTACGCGGGGATAAGTTTGAGTGGCCTCGGGTGAAGTCTGACTGCGCGATGGTCTGCAGGGGTTCTACGCCAAGCCGGCGAAAGCGGCGGATGGATCCATGAACCTGCTAGAGTGGGAGGTTGGAATCCCGGGTAAACAGGGGGTATGTTCCTATATGATTGCCCACCCAGCAAGACTTTTGAGACGGTATTTCTCGGATGGATGCAGACGCCTTGGGAAGGGGGGGTATATAAACTCATGATGATCTTCCCGGAAGGTGCTTGAGCTTTTACGTCGGCGGTGATGCGCGAACTCACAGTAGATCCCAGACTACCCGTCAAAGCCGCCAAAATGTAAGTATCGCTCGTCTCGGGAGAGGACGCGGACGCTCACCTGATGCAGGCAAGTTCACTCCACCACTCTTCCATCCTAACGTCTACCCTTCTGGCACCGTCTGTCTATCGATTCTCGATGAAGAGAAGTCATGGAAGCCCGCCATCACCATCAAGCAGGTACGTCTTTACCTCCACGGGCGGCGAGCCATCGCTCATGTTTGCCTAGGTGCTGTTGGGGATTCAGGACCTGTTGAACGACCCCAACGTGAACGATCCTGCACAAAGTGATGCCTACACGATGTTTAAGTGCGTATTTGCTTCGTATGATCCTCTGGTTCGCTCAATTGGACATGTATTCCCAAAGGAATGACAGAGTTGCCTACGAGTACGTGCTTCGGCTTCGGCTTCTCATGATGAAAGATTGATTCCATTCACATAGGCGGAGAGTGAGGCAGCAGGCCCGAGAGAATATACCCAAGTAGTAACAGCATGCAGAATTTTGCCTTCGCTGTGTATTTTGCCTCGTACTTATCTTGCTGGTGTATATTCATAGGGTTTCATTGGTCTCGTCTGCACTCTGATGATGGCCGACAAACTGGCGAAGCCGAATACTGTAGTGCGGTCTGTGTTCTCAAAGCTCAGGACGCAGCATGCATAGCTCAGAAGTACATCTACTATACATGTCTAACCGGGTTTGTGCAGATTCGAGCAAAGGCCCATCAAGTCGACTAAACCATCAGCTTGTCGATAGCCAGCTTGATTGTCTGGATTTGGCTTGAAAGTTCCTTGTTTTCGTTCGTCGTGATGCTAGCAGCGATCACAGGCCTCGAAACACCGCAGGCACGACCCAGAGCCGCCTTCGATGCCACGAAGACGTAGGGGACGTTCTGTAGACACAATTCAGCAGAAAGAACTCGGCTCTGATCGAGAGGTCATACCTTCTCCTCGCACAGCAGAGGCAGGTGAAGCAAGATCTCCAGAGGCTCCGTATCAGCCGTCAGGATGATGACCTCTGAGATACCTCGATTGAGAGTCTTGGTGGCTGTAGCATGTAGTGTGAGACAGCGCTGCGTAAATCTATGTCGTCCACGCACCTTCGTTAGCACCCTTCTTGAGCTGCTTGAATTGTGAAGCTCTCTCAACCACATCGAGGATCTAAAATATGCGGTCAGAGAGTAGCAGCAGGATGTATGCGGAGGCAGACTTACCTGGTCGTTGAGCTGGGCATTAGCCATGGGCCATGCTTTGGGACGAGATGACGGGTCAGACATCTTTGGTGGTGGTTGGTTTTGCGTACGACCTCACTTCCTCGGATCCTTGGTCGGCAAACTGTTCAGTGGACTGCGCAAGCAAGTTGGAAGAAAGCAGGCGCGAAAAAGCAGGCCAAATTCTTGCAGCGCGGTCACGTGAGGCGTGATGGTGGAACAGCCTGGGCGCTTGCATGACGCTCTCCTCGCCTCCGCCATATTCCTTGTCTGATTCTCGACGGACGGCTGCACGCGATATCCATCGTGGAGTCCAGCAAGAATCGCTCAGACTTGGAATTACCAGAGTGAGATCAATACGTCTTGTCTACTAGCTCAATCCTTCCATCTTGCTCACGTACCACGATCATGGATGCTCCTCCGCCGATCCTCAATGTCCATACCCCTGTGTCGTCCTTCTCAATAGTCCACACAAGTAAGTCGACCACAAAGCAGCAAGCAATCATTCTTACAGCTGGGTACTGCAGATGATGATACCCTCGAAAACTTGTTTGAGAAGCTCACCACTAAGACCCTCGTTGAATTCACCGGTCGGCGAGTCAGGCCAGGCTGGGTGAAGTACTCGTGGAATGATAGTATTTGGAACCTTGATGACGGTGCGTCCTCTAGGATTTTTTCAGGTCAGATACTCACCAGCTTGCAGACTCCGATTATACTATCTTCATGTGGCGACACAAGTCTGCTACGCCTGAGAGTAGTCAATCGCCGGTTCTATATGTGCGGAACCCAGACGAACCCCTGCCTGCACGGCCAGCATACCGGAATCCGTCGTTCTACATGTTCCGTAACAAGGCTTCTGGGCCATCCCCCCCGCTTTCAGCCAGAGGGTCTACGAAGTCCAACAAACAACCCCGGAAAGCCTCGGAAGCCGCGAAGGCTAAGGAGCAGCCGCCGAAACACAAGCGTGAATTCGAGCAGTTCCATAATGAGAACGGGGTGCGGACTATCATGGGTGGCATCGGACCTGCGAAGAACGGTGCGCAGTATGCAGTCGCTGGTCCTGAGTCGTACTGACTTGAAGCTCAGTCCGCATGTTGCTCAAAGCCGGATATCGGCATGTATACATATCGCGAAAGTTCGCCATTAAGCATGGTTTTATACCAGCGGATGCTGCCCCTGGCCATTATGGCTACGGCGGATTGGTTAAGTACGTACACTATCTAGAGTTGGCATCGACTTGTGCTGATACAATGTCCAGCATCGGCAAATGGCCAGTCACCGTCGGCCGTGCGAAGACTATGCATAGTGTCTACCTCTCTGAGGAGTCTCACTTCGACGTGGTGTTGGGTCGCTCTTTCATCGAGTTGCGCCAAGTAAAGTTCGATTCCGTGGACGCGACAGACGTTGTCTGCGGGGATACGGGAGAGAAAATTGACTGTGAACTGATCATTTTGAAGGACGGAAAGGGGCAAATCGTCACTGTCACCTAATTTACACGGGGATCGTTCGTTCCGATTTGCTTTGCAATTTGACAGAAGTGGCCATGGGCTGCTGGTCAGCCGGACAGTATGTAGTATTGCATATGATTTTTGTTTCATGACGGACTAGTGTATATATGCCACCCCTTCCAATCCATGTCTGGACGTTTTTCTAGCTAAGACTCCTGACAACTTCACTGCAAGCCGTTGAGCACTGGAACACGAACTCGAGCACCGTCGGGGCAGAGCGAGAGCGCGCCAGATTGAGTCGGCTGTGGTGGTAGCGCCACCGTGCACGTGCTTTTCTCTTGCGCGTAGGACTGAGACTCGGACCTCGACGGTCGTCGGTCGGTATCAGTGTCACCTCTCACTTCATGGCCTCCCTGAGCCAGCTGCTCAGGCCGCTCCCTGCAGCGCGCAGAGCCTACTCCGTCTTCTCCAAACCGGGAGGAGGACGCTACTTCAACTCGGCCAAGCCTCCAAAGGTCTCGCCCGGGACGAGCAAGGGCAAGGCCGACGTATCAAGCCCGTCGAGCGAGGCGGTATCCGCGAAGGATCATTCCTCATCTCAGCAGCATGGCTCGCCGCTAGCCACGGAGGGCTTGACGTCGCCCATCCGTTCAGCTTTGATGACACCCATCCATCCTGTATTCAACCCGCAAGACCTCAAGCTCCATCAATTCTTCTCCTTGCATCGACCTCTCCTCCTTGCCTCTCAACCAGCATCCACCATCTTCGAGTCGTCACCACTACCGCTTGAGGCCTCGCTTAAGTCAAGCTCGACGTCTGTGGATGGCTTCGCTGAACCGCCTGAAGTCTCCGCTGAGGATGACGCGGACACCGCGCGGCAGCTTGCGAGAGCCATGGTGGTGAACAGGATTGGGGCGTCGATGACATGGGAGCAGGCATTGCAGCGCCTTGGGTTGGATGTGACCAAAGGGCGAGCGGAGGAGGTCAAGCTGGCTGAGGCCGAGTTTGGGGTGTACCTGGATAGTACGAAGCGGAAGCGGAGGAAGAAGATGAGGACACACAAGTGAGTCACCGTCCTAACTACGTGTTGTAGGATGATGCTGAATTAATTATCAGACTTAAGAAGCGCAGACGGGTATGATCAACCTTATATTCTTTCGGGCCATACCCGTATTAACGAGCCATTTGTTCTAGTTGACGCGTATGAAGAACCGGCATCTCAAGTGATCGCGATAGTGGTTCGGACAATCCTATTGCAGTGCCATTATCATAATGGAGTCGCCTCCTCTTCAATGATCAGTTGACTATTTTACTTCCCGCTCATGCTCGTTCGATTCAGCAATGCCCTATGCCGTATGAGGTTCGAAACTGATCCCTTGCGAGCAGTGATCCATCGTAAGCCATGTCCCGTCCTCTGATTCTGAACACTTGGCTACGAGACTGGTCGTTGAAAGGTGAGTTTGATGCACATGATATTGACGAGAGGGCCCTCACGGTTTTTGGTATCGAATCGGTTCCTTGCTTTCGATCTGCCGGTGACAGCGGACGCTGGTCAGTGCAGTCGCTGCCAACCTTCCGCTCGCCCGTTCTTGCTACTGAGGATGAAACAATTCTGCTGCTGCCCCAGTCGATTATCTGACGACCTCTGGCGCCGTAGAAGAACTCGCAACCCGGTTCCTGCGGTGATTGTACCGCTATTGGTGAGTGTAGAGACTCAGTACGGTCTACAGGGCAGGACAATACTGCTGTCAATACGAGAGTGACAGTGAGAAGCCAAATCTTCGGGACGCGCAGCGTGTACGATCATTTAGAGCGGACAATAGGTAATTGGTTGATGGGCCACTCCTTCGTCGATAGCTTCCTCACCTTCATTAGAGTCAAGGATTGGAACCGCAATGACTCAATATGTCACACTCCGTATTAACCACCGGTACCCTGCCTCTTTGTCCGAAGCTCGATCGAGGACAATGCCACTGCCTCAACTTCCTACACAGCAACTGCGCCATCCTCCGCATTTCACCGGGAATCGTGACCAACGTCACTACGTTTATCACTGGTAAGTAGAAACTCTATGTGCGCTTGATCACTGGGGTCCTTCGTTGCCGATCAGGTGTGTAAGGAAATATGCATCTGTTCACGGCATTCAAAGTTCACATAGACAATACTCGTCGGTCACCATTGTTGACATCACATTGGTTGCATCAAGCTTGCCAGAACCACTGGAGTTTGTTCATGGTACCTGCCAGTTGAGCGAACACAGCCGTCTTGGGCGGTGTTAAGCGCCGGTATATGTAGGTGTCTCCTGCCTTTTTAGTGCGATTTTGACTTCGTACTCTCCGTCACAGAACATCGGCAATATGTGCGAAGACGTCCGCCGCTCGATAATCAGCATGTACGGCATCTTTCGGACGATACCGCGCAAGGTACCGCTTACCATACTCAGAGTCCTCCACAGCTCTCGCATATGACCCAAAAGACTGTCCGCCCTCTCTATCCTCCTTCCATAATGTCTCGAAGACGACGACGTCCAATCCAGTGTGCACCCATTTAGGCAGTCGGCGGCGGGCTACAAAAGCCGAGCAATTCCTTCGAACATACCAGACCCACCATCTCCAACAAGCCAAGACTTCGCTGTGCAGCCCCAGCTCAGGACGCGTATACCGGATAGATGCCGCAACCATCGCCCTTCACCACACCCCGCTCTCAACCGATCCCCTTTCCGTCTTCCGCTGCATCACACGCTCGCGACCCGTGGAACGCGTTCCGAGAAGGTTCGAGCTCCAGCTCAAGCGCACAATCCATGTCCTCACGCGGCTCGTCAGACATGGTCTTCCATATGGACCCGGAGTCCACGACACCAGGGAGGCGACCGTACTATCAACCGTACGGTGGGGGTCATGCGCCAGCATACCTCCCGCAAACCAGCGCTGCGCCACCGCCCTTCCCGAATATGAGCACGCGGTGTAGTGGTTGTAGCCGCCAATTCATTCCGCGCTCGGATGTCGCTGCCAGGTTGAGGTTGTGTGAATACTGCCGTGCCCCGCCTCGGGCACCGGTACAACACGCTGCCCCAATGGACCGTGGAAGACAGTATACCGAACGGTCACGACGCGAACATCGGCCACGTTATGCTTCTGTAACAAGCGACGTGGCTCTGTATGCCCCTAATAGTAGCAATACAAGGCGGCAAGACCGACATAAGGGGATACGCCCGACGGGGCCCGCGCCTGCGGCACAGCCCGTTGGTACTGGTCCGTCATTGCGTTTCTCTTGTTTTTTCTTTGCCAACTCAACAACACCCAGACACCACGGTCATGGGCCGGTTCTTCCCTGCCGCTCTGGCAGAGACGTCTAACGACGCCCTGCTGGAGAGTCTGGGGGAGGCGCGCCCAACCAGCGCCCCGCACTCCGTCGTCCCTCGATCGAGCGCAATGCGTCGCTCAGTATGGAGCCGCCGGTAACAGCCTGAGTGCCAATCCAACATCCTTGGACGGAACTGGCGGAGGAAATGGGCACCACGGTCGTGCGTGCGACCTCCACAATGGAGTAGAGTAGTGCTGATTACCCATCGTGCAAGTAGCCATGCGGCCGGCCCACACGGACTTTTCAATTCCCTTCAGTTCCTGCATCCTAACATCCCCGTGCCCTACCCTCCCCCCCCCCAACAACGATGTAGTCATAAAACGCATTCAGCTTAGTAGCACACTTCCGTCGGACATGATACGATCTAATGTATTGGCACAGTACAGCATTGCATGTATTACGATACTCGGTTCACATATATAGCCAATGGCGAGCAACCAAAACATCCTGAGGGGTCTACATAAATACAACAGTATGGAGTCGAGATCTACAGTAGTCTAGGTTTCCACGCGTTCTATGGTAATGCGCCGGTCAAGCAAAGGCTGTACGAGGAACGGATACCGGATGTCGCTCGAAATTCCGCTCCAGTCGCCATAGAGCAGTACCTTCTTCACAGCAGGGAAGCAAGGGCAACACAGCATCGCGAAGTGAGATTGCATGCGCCCCCAGTATCCCGAGCTCTCCGGCGAGATCATCATGTTCGGCTGAGCGTGCAAGCCGACTGTAGTGAGGAGAGGAAATGTGTCCTTTTCGTCGTCGAAGGTAGGGATGGCGGTGAAGTGGATGTAGTAATTGAGTTCCGTGATGTGGGGACACCCGCGGAGGATGAAGGATAGCCAGTCGTGAACGAAGTAGCTCAGGTAGTGCCCGAGCTCAATGGTGCGGATCTGCTCGCCAAAGGACTCCCAGAACATCGACAGCACGGCGACGTCCTCCACAGTATCTATGATGATGTGCTGCAGAGCAGGCATAGACCATCCACAGGTCTGCCTCACGAGCGCCGCGTTCAGGCGGAGGAAACGGAGGGTCGTGAGGGACGAAAGCGTGATGGCGGTGCCGTTCACGGACAGCGACGAGAAGCGGACGTACCCGCCCAGGGAGAGGTACTGCACGTTCGGTGCTTTCTGGAGGACGTCTCCGAGCAGGTTGATGCCTCCAGAGCGAGCAGCCTCGTTGACGTGCCACCAGTCGACCCGCTTCAGCGAGGGCATCGCAGGGCACTCGGCAGCGAACTCGAAGCGCGTGTCGACGTCTCTCCGGGTCGGACCCTTGCGCACCAACACCTCGAGGTGCGGGCACTGCTCGAGCATCTTGTTCGCCTCGAGAGGGCGAGGGCTCACCGTCGCCGAGCTCATATACGGGAGGCTTGCACGGCGCACCCACCGCCCGCACCCCGACCCGTCCCCCAGAAGCGAGCTCATTTTCTCCGGGCACTCTATCCAGACGTCCTCGAAGAGCAGGTCGAGGGCCCACGCTCGCCACTGCTTGCAAACCTGGACGAGCGCGGACTTCGTCTTCTTCGTCACGGACTCGTCCTCGGCCTCTAGCGGTATGGTCTGGAACGGGCTGTACGAAACGACATAGAGGCGTGTCGTCAACGGTGAGAGTGTCGAGAGTCGAAAGATGTGGAGCCAGAGCTCGACTGGCAAGGACGGTTGTGGGCCAGAGGAAGACATTGCACCAGGGAGGATGGAAGGTAGTGAGGCTGAGACGGCGGTGGCGCGCCTATATAGCTCTAGTCGAGTGTAATACTGGCGGTGGACTGACTGCTGCTGGGACACGACCAGACAACAGGTTTTGTACCACCGCAACGGCTTTCTGCAATACCCGGAGCTGTACTCTAGCTATGGCTGGAACCGCCAAACTCTGACCCCTCCCTGCCTTCGACGGTCTCCCTCCCACCCAGACTCCATCTTCCAGACCTCTCGGTACCTCTTACTTTCCAAAGTGGACTGTACCTCGCCATCATGCAACAGCGCTCCGAACATCACTAGGTATTCAGGCCACTCGTGTTTCCAATCTCCGTGGTCGGGGAGGGTCGCTCCGGGAGGAGTAGACGGCATCGGTGACGCAGGAAAAGCCGGATCGACCGAGCCTGGGAACCGAGTGCGCAGGTAGTTTGCCGGAGACTCATAGAAGATGTCAGTCTGGTCCCTGTATGAAGTCAAATTTTGGCCTCTAGAACACAGTCGATCGGCACGGGCAAGACCTATGAGAGACGAGGCATACGCACGTTATGGGAGGCTCGCAGCCGAGAGCCCAGAGTCTTCCCGGGCTGGCCAGATCCGGCCTGTGCAGATACGCCTGCCACGGAGTGGAGTGGCAAGGCATCAAAAAGCCCACAGAATGCAGTTCCTCGGATGGCAAGTCTCCCAGGTAATGCACGACTTCGATTTGGCTTTGCGAATGGAAGAGCACGACGTATACAGCCAGTGGCAACGTGGTAAGGAGCAGTGCTCGGTGAGACTTCCGGATGGAGACGGCCGCCGGACGACCTGAGCTACGCGGCGTTACGTCCACGAGTGACTTGGCAGCGAGTATGTGCATCAGAGGAAGGAGTGGGTGGATGAACCGCCACTCTTTGTGGCCTGCAAGTGAGTACACGCCAATCGTCCAGCCGATCAGTCCCAGCAGCACCTTCAAAGCGGGGTTCGGGGACCACATTGCCAACCAGGCGCCATGTAGAACGAACGGGAGAGCCGAGGTGCAGAGGATGGGGATTGCCTGCGAGAAGTAGTAATGCCACTGGCTGATTCCGTAGAACAACGAAACCGAAGAGAGATTCGTGCGCAAGAAGTTCAGCGGGGTGCATGTCGGAGAGCCATAGTATGCGGAGTCTAGGAGGAAGACAGCCAGAGTCACAAGCAAGCTAGAGCAGTGTCATTGAACAATTGCGTTTCGCTTCGGCGGTATGTCTCACCCTACGACTGCAACGTTGAGGAGCAGAGAGGCCAAATGACGCGGCTGGCGACGAAGCCGCCAGAGAAGCAGGCCTGACATGTAGACCCAGATGACAGCGTTGGTGGGCCGGACTGCACAAGCCAAAGCAGCAGTGGCCAGAAATCGTCGTATGTCTTGTCTGCATCACCTCATGAGCAGCGTGTCTGCGTTTGCAGAGAATTCTTACTTGCCTCTTGGGTGGAGTGGTTGTATCCCAGGGATAGTGGCTGAGTGCGACGGTGGTTAGGGTGGTTTCCAAGGAGTTGGAGAGCGAACGTGACAGCGAGAGTACGTGGAAGAACGATGTGAGTGACAGGAAGAGCTAAGTGAACGGGTCATTGAGTGGCAAAGAACGAGCTGCTGAAATACGCACCACCGTAGGAGCGTACTGAGGCCCTATAATCTTACGGGCCAACTCATCCACATAGACATCGGTTCCTGCGGCTAAGATGCCATGCAGAACTTTGGGAGCCCATATCTGCAACCTGTGATGAGTATGGAGATCTGACTGAATAGCTGGGAGGTGGGCTTACTAAGAGCTTGGTGGCATCAAGGCCACCGAGTCCAAGAGCCCAATAAACGGGAACATTTAGGGCGGGGTAGATGATACTCCGAATTGGTTGGGCGGTAAGCCATTCCCAAGTGAGATTGCCATAGCCAAAGACAAGGTGATGTGCGACCTCGAGAGACTGGAAGTATTCGTCAGGTTGAAAGAATGTACGTGTCAGAAGTGCGACAGAGACTCGAACAGCTAGAGCGATGGCAGTAGAGATTTGCATATGGTCAACTTCATCGGCCAGGCTCCAGCTCATCCGTAGTCTGCTTCAACTAAGGGGTCGAATACCGCTCGACTCCTTAGCGGAGTTACATAAGCACTTCGATCTCCGCAGCGCGTGTGTAAATCTCGTCGCGCGCGACGCGTCGCCGTTAGGCTCGACGCGTTCCCCTATACTATCCTCGCTTCGTCGCTCTCTACCCTTCATGTACCGTAGCCGTCGATAATCAATGGAGACTCGGCTTTGCGCGGGGACGCTACACACTCATGTACACAATTCAGCTCACCCAAGGGTCTCGCGTTCTGCCGCAACATCGCCTCGAAGAGCCTCCCCTGGGACCCTCACGACACTTCGAACTTGAGGGCATTTGCAAGGCTCTCGAAGGGATCGACGTGTTCGCCATAATACTAATGGGACCCGGCAAGACGGGCTTTCCCCTCATCTACGTGATTGTCGCTCAAGCCATCGCGAAGGATCCGGAGCACTGACTCACCGTGGCGAGGAGCTCACTGCTCGGAACGTCCGGGCGTTGATACGCGCAACGTCATTGGACATTTATGCGGACCGCCTGGCTGTACGGCTGCCGGGCGGAAATTCAGCGCATGCCGGCGTTGGCCATCGCGCTCATAGGTGCGCTCACCATGAACACTGCGTTGATGCATTGGTGGCACTAACCTTGATGCTTCAGGGAACCCCTCTGAGTGACTCGTGCTCGATGAGTTCTCCACGAGTATCGACGCTAAGATGAAACGTGAGATGTGGGGTACACTCAGGACAGTCGCAGTGGACAAGGCTATTGTCGTCACGCTACGTGAGTGCCTGTGTGGTCGTGCGTCAGTTTGTTACTGACAGCGTCGCTGCAGACTCCATGGAGGAAGCGTCCGCACGGGCTAAAAAGGTCGGCATATTGGCGAAGAAGATGTTAGGTGAGTCTGCATGGTGGCCATCCACAAGAAGACTGAGGTCGTGTTTGCTACAGCTGTGGGCACAAACGATGCACTGGCCCAACGGTATGCCACCTACGAGGTGCATTTATGTTGCCCGACGTGCGAGGAGGTCGTCCGCGCACAGGAGCTCATGCCACAAATTCCCGGAGTGCGTATGGCAGACGACGTCGCAACGCGCTTGGAAGTGCGGCTCGAGACAGACATGTCCCTTGCGCGACTCATCGGGTTACTCCCATTGCAAGAGGACTTCGCGCGGAGTTCACCGTAGAAAGAGCGGGACTGGAGAGCGTGTTCTTGAAGGTCATCCGAGAGAACGATGTGCTCAATGCGGACCGCTCGACGCCTAGGCGGAGGTGGCGGAGGACTTGCTGATAGTGGTCAGCCATTGTCTTGCTCGAAGCCGTGGCTCTCGTGAAAGCTACGTCGGTACTGTCACGGTCCCAGACTAACTTAACAAGTGCAAGCCAGCCGAGTTAGACTGTCGGCTTCCATACGAGTCGACACCCGGGTCGCACGGGTAATCCTCGCATAGTGCAAGGTTGACGAGATGGATGAGATATATGAAAACCCCGAGACCGACATGGCCATGTAATTATCGCACCTGCAGTACTTAGCAGGCTAGTAGTGGCCGATTATATCTTAGATGGATCTAACACCAGCCACCGGCAGTCCGGCCATAGCCACCGGCAGCTCTGCCGTAGCCACCGGCATTGCTCGGCCATCACAAAATGCGTCCTCCAGGAGTCGAACAGTGTTGCGGGCGCGTTTTGAAGCAGACCCTAGACGACCGCCCTCCTTCCCTCATAAAGGTCGTCCTAGTGGGCTGCCTACGGGAGACTAGCTCATCCGCGCGCCGGCGTCGAGGAACTCGAGTTCGAGTTAGCGCCGGCGTGGATGCGTAGATCTCGATCTGATTTAAGTACCAGCCACCACTGGCCACCACTGGCACTGGCACTGCGCTCAAGCCTAAGTTGAATACCTCGTAGTACGTCTGCCTCTCGAGTTTCTATCACCGAACTGGTTGCACAGGAAGGCGGCTTCGAATAAGAACCCAAGGCGACTAGTTGTCTCCGTGGCGCTGTACTAGACAAGCCGCTGTAATTCCGGTATTATCCTAGGCCTGGGGATTCTTTAAGATCTTGCGCCGGGAGACCACCCTCGCCAGGGTGTAATTTTAGTGTATTTGGATGAGATTTGCGGTGCCTGGAATTCGCGAGCCTCATCAAAGTACTCCGGCAATGATATCGTGTATCAACAGTGATGAACCAGCTTGAACCAGCAGCTTCGGCTTTGAAAAATTCATTTTCGATGGACAGTTTCTGTCGAGTCAGAATCCATTCCATGCTTCTAATGCGATTACTTCCTTCCACGATCTATGGACTGTATGACAAGGCCCGAAAATAGGATGTCCGTGGCGATGTGTACAGTAACATAACGAATGATGATCACAATAAGAGTAAGGAACGTGACCTCAACGTCCATGTGTGTCCAACAGGGTCGATCAATGCCGTCGTCGAGACTTGCCAGACTTTGGGCAATCAAGGCGAGATCTGCTGCGGACATACTGCGTTCGCGGATTCTATTCTGTCTACAACTCGAGCCTAGGCTCCGATATTCCAACGAGTACGTCTTTTTGAACGCCCCGTCAAGGACCGAATACCAACAGCGAACGCCTACACAGGCAGCTCGCTCTTCATTCCGACAGGCATGCCCATGTCGTCCTGACTGTCTACGACCTTCTGGATGTCAACCGCAACCGGGCGCATGGCAAAAGACTGCTGCTCCTGCATGGCGGTGCGACGAGATGAGACCCCGGAGGATGTCGAAGGGTGTGCCCGTTGTGCCCAGCCGAGACCAACCCGTACGTTGATCATCATGAACGCGATACCGGCGATGGGGCAGAGTGTGTCCACAGCGGTGTACTGCAGATTGCTCTCCGCCTGGTACGCGCCGAAGAAGAATACGGTGTACGAGCTGTTGAATCAGTCGACATCATCAGTGCACGGCGACGAGGGCATAGGACTTCTTCTAGACGCACGTGTATAGGGCAGCACTCTCCACAATTGTCACAAGGACCCTCTGGAGGATGCACTTACGTCAGCGGGGTCTCGTACAGTAGGTGAGCGAGAAACACGGACCATAAGGCTAGTACCACCTGCGTACGCACCTGTGCGATGTCGGGAGCGCCACACTTTCCAAGCGATACCGACGGAACTGTAGACATTCGTCCTGCATCAAATAGTTAGCTTTGCACGTATGCAGATTACATTGTACGCGTACACAAAGGTGAAGGCGTAGTCTGCCGACACCCAACGAGCGAGGGACGCAATGAAGACGGTGTTTCCCGATCCCACCTGGGTAAGCTGATAGATGACACCAGGACCAGCGACTGGTAGAGGCGTATCAGCACAGGTGCAATAGGAAACGATAGCAAAGCGAACGTACCACACAGCCCCAAGATGGTGAGGCACGGGACAATGATTACATAGTAGTTGTAGCCCCAGACGATCCAAAGACGGTAGATCTTGGTCAGAGCACTTCAGATAAGAATTGACGAATCCACGGCGCAGCACATACGAATAGGATGTCGCAGGTGATGAGCGTGGCGATCAGGAACCCAATTTTGACGGGCTCCGTAGTGAGAGCCAGGTCCGAGTAGTAGAGCAGCGCCGCTTGACCTCCCATGAAATTGACGAATGCATCGAAGAGGCGAATAACGGTCATCACCCAATGCTAGTCGTCGTCAGCTCCCCAAAGATCATTCATGTATAGCACGACTCACCCCAGTGACGGTCAACAATACGAATATTGACCCGAGCAGAACGGGAGTGAAGTACACAGACAGCGATCTTGCCCCACCGGCCCGTTGTGACCCAGCACGACTGATATGGAGATATATGAAAGTGAACGCCAATGTCAGGAATACACCATAGAGGAGGCTCTCTAAGGCCACCGTGGCCAGGTTGACGCTGATCAGAGGAAGCTGCGCCATTCTGCAAGTCTCAATCCAGGGTGACCAGCGACTCCGGGAAGCAGGGAGGTCTGTGCCGCGAAGTTAGCTGGTGGTTTTTATAGACTGCCTCCGTAGGTGGGGCTCCAGAGGAAAATTGTCTTCTCTGGGTAAGACGAGGTTGATTCGACCGTTCGACCGGATCTTCTCGCGGTCTCTTCACGACCCCGTTTGCGCATTGCCACAACAGCTTAGTACGGAAGTGCTTGATGATGGCCTAGTTATCGACAGGCGCGTCGCCATGGCTAATATGATTGCGTTCTGCCGATCTAAGTCGAAAGACTCATCTGACCTTGAGATCGCGCGGGGCTCACTGTTCGCGGCATATTCGGCGCGAATAAGTACTCGGAGTGGTTTGCCCAATGCCCCGGCTGCAAGAATCCTGCGAAAAGGCGTGTTTTTGTCGAACATGCTGCAAACATGCTTCCGATGCTGAAACTCATCATAAGTAATCTGAGGATGTTCGGAGCCCAAACATTCTCAGGAAATGTTCCCCACGGGGCACCAATCCTCGTAGTGCTTGCAGGGCTTCAAAAAGCTAGTTTGCCCACAGTGAGAATGACGGATCGACCACGAGGAATGCAATGCAACGAGATGCAACCGTGACGCTGCCGGACTGTAAGAAGCGACGACGGATCATCCAACCGTGCAACTAAGCAGCACATCTTCTTTGCAGACCAAAGAACGTCGCGATCTTCGGCATCGGACGGAGCCTAAAATAGTCTAGTCAAGCCGACAAAGAGGAAACTACTTACTAGCTTGGACTGCGCTTGAAACCATCGAAAAATTCTGGCTAAGAAGTCAGATATTTTGATCTCGTTGACTTGCGTCGACCAGTAGAAGATTCTGTCAACGGATGGTCCTTGGTTTTCAAGTCGGCATGCCATACTTATCGCGTAGGCATGGGGGTGCCATATTAGATGCCAGCCACTTCGTTGATCGCCCTGCTTCTCGAACACTGCTCGAACACGCAGTTGATGATGGGCAATATCCAAGCGCTTCAGCAAAATTTGACGACGAGTTCTTCTAAATGAAATCCAATTAGAAGCGAAATCGGTATCAGATGATGTAAGGGGTCTTAACGGAAGCCTCGCCCACGCTAGGATCGGGATCTAAGAGGATGGTCCCGCCTGGTTGCTCTGGGCTGAGCGCTGGGGCTTGACAGAACGTGGTACCAGTGGCTGGGTGGCCTTGTGCTACGCTCTGTCCATCTCGGTGTCCAATCGACGTCTGCGTGAGCTGGTGAGTGGAATCTCGAGGTTATATCTCCAACATCCAGGCAATCGGTGTCCTGACCTTCTCCCTCGCCGTTCAAAAATTAGTAAAGCCCGCCGTCGCTGAGCAAGCGGAATCGTTGCTCGATATTCCACACTGATGCCACGCTGGAAAGCCCACTGATCTGATTGGTGCGAAATAGAAATGGTTCTGCCGGATTGTTCGCGCGGTGTTGACATCTCCGCGCGGCGCGGTCGAAGATCCACGTTTAAGGGCATCGGGACTGAATCTCGGACGGCATTCGACGATGTGGAGTAAGTCTCAAACCAAGCCCCTCCACACGGCGCACGTGAGGCGTTTGTGTCGAACCTAGGAGTTCAAACGATCGTCAATCTTGAAGTTGTAGCGTCGTCGCCCGTCGATTTGTGTGAAGGGTGCAATTTATACTGGTCGCTAGGATGACTGAGGCGCAGGTCTGTCATGGATGTCGTGCAGGAGCCACAAGTAACTTCGGCCCCGTTGTTCAGAATATTAGTAGACTACATGTTACGACCACGGCCAGGCGTTCTCACCATTACATTCGCTCCGCTCTGAACTTAGAGACCTTCCTCTCCTTATTACCACCCTCGCCCGCATCGCCTCGACGCTGAGGAGCGGACTCCTTCACCTCGGCCGCCATGACTACACCCGTACGCCTGCCACCGGCTGCCACGGGGTTTGTTGATGCAGACATAGACCGTGGCACTGACGCCTGTGGTGGTTGTGCAGAGGTAGGGTTTTGAAACGAAGGCGAATCCAGCACGAAAGATTGGAATGGCGGCGGTTGTACAGACGTACTTGCCAACCCGGGAGGAATGAATGATGGCGAGTCGACAACCATAGGCGGCATGGACGATGTAGCGGTCGTCCGCGGAACAGACCCGGAGGGCGGGCTGAACGAGGGCGAGTCCACAATCATACTAGGCGTCGTCGGAGCCGATCCTGGAGGCCGAAAGGAAGGCGAATCGACAATCATAATGGGCATCTGGTCATGCACTCCCTTCCGTCGGATGGGTTCAGGTATGACGGCGCCATTGTCGTTATGTCGTCCGTCTGTAGGGCGCGAAGAAGGCGTTGGAACAGAGATGGGCGTGCCCGGCTCAGGGGAGGTCAGTTTCGGGGACGAACGATCGGACGTCATCTGCGGTGTCTGGAGGCTCGGCGAACCCGTAGAAGACGATTCGCGTCCCTGCGGCTGTGCGAGGCTTAGCTTGAACTTGGACACCTTCGACTTCGGTTTCGACGGAACGGTCGAGTCTTCTGTGGACGCAGAGCTGGGCGGTCCAGGTAAAGGCGCGGTGCTTGCACTTGTACTTGCGGCGGCAGAAGGCTGTGGACCGATATTCGCAACGTCTCCCCGTGTAAGCAGCTCGACAATCTCCCTAGCTTCCTGCGTCACGTCATCGTCGCTGTCGTCGCCGACGAGCTGACCGCTCTCAAGCTTGCCCATCCGCACGGCCTTCTTCAGGCTAGAGGTCTGAGAAGATGGGAGTACCGATGCACCAAGGGAGTGTGAAGCGAGGGTGCTCGAAGACGGATGCTCGGACTTGAAGCGTGATGCGGAGGGCTTGGGCGGGGGAGATGCAAGAGTCGCGTCGAGAGGCACTTCCTGTACACAATTTGAGCTCTCCGCCAGTGTGATGCACAACAGTACTCGTACCGGTTGGTCCCACTCGTTCGCATCCTCATCATGAGAGTGTGCCCGCATGGCACTGTACGCTTGCATACCAATTGTCGCACGTTTTTCGTAATAAGCTAACACAACCTCCCGCTGATGTTGAGCGTAGTCGAAGTCTTCATCCTGCCATATTACTGGTTCCCCGTCATCGCTCATCTGCTCGACATCGGTAGCATCGGAATCCGACAAGGGCTCGTGCCCTGTCTGCTCGTCCGAATCGACGTCAGAGCGTATCACATCGCCTTCATCCGAATCAGCGGGGACAGGTGAGCCCGGAACGGACTCATCGTCAGAGTCCGGTTCGCGCTGAGCAGGGGGCTCTGCTTGCGCTCCTCCCGGATGGCGTTCAACGACGTCCATCTTCATGGGTTGGTTGTTCATCTGCGCCCGAGTCAAGAGAGACGTCTTGCCTTTGCGTAGTCTGTCCAATGCGATGTCGCCCCACTGCTTCGACTCGTCTTCAGATGTCGCCTCGTTGGAAGTACGCTCTCCAGGTGCATCCGCGAACGACACTGCCTTCTTCGACTTCCCTACCTTCCGCTCCTTCGCCTCCAGTTCGGCCCCCTTCTCTGCATTCTCCTGCGTCTCGATGACGTTGCGCAACAAGGCCTTGCCCATCTTCTTCTGCAACTCCCTTGCCTTTCGCAGGCTCTCCAGTTCGGTCTTGGCCGCCGCCTTCCGGTTCTCCAGCTCGGCCCGCCATCGTTCTCGTTCAGCAGTCTCTTCTCTCTCTTGCTCAATATGCTCCTCATCCTCCAGTAAGTCGAGAATGCGCTCGCGCTCCGCTTTTCTGCGTGCTTTCTCTGCGGGTGATAGTGCCCAATGTGGTAGTAGGTCTGGGTCGTCAAAGATTGGTGGCGAGGCTACGGAAGCTGGAGGAGGGAATGGAGCAGTGTCCTCCTTTACGGGCTCCACAATATCGACGATAGGAAGCCCCTCCTCATTCAGTAACTGTGACAAGATATGAACTGTGCCGTTCGGGGTATGCATGGCAAGGAACGTACCTCACCCTTCTCGTTCCGCTTCTGAGTGCCAACGACTTCCCCGAGGTCACCGTCTCCTAGAAGCTCCCCGAGTTTTTCGGAGATCATCTTCACTTGGTCGGAAGACAGCTTCTGGCCTTGACTGCTCGCATCCTCAGGCGAGATTGAATTGAGCAGCGCCTGTAGAGCTGCAGTCGCATTAATTGGCCTGCGTGATTGGCGATAAAGTGACCGGATACCTTCTGCTCTGCTTTCATTCAATTCTTTCTTAGAACCCGTCGCAGCAGACGAGGCCATGGCTGAGTGTAACAGTAAAGGTGGATGTGCAAACTTGGAGGTGCACGCAGGTCCGCCCAAGTGATCCGTCATACGATCGAGATCTCGCTCTTCGGCAGTCGCCGAGCTCAATTTCTGTACCGCAAGGCTTCCGTATTCCCAAAGACCTCCTCGCAGCTCGCCTCGCCCTTTCAATCGGCATAGCGGTCTATTCACATATCTAGTCCTGTCACTATGGTTGTCTTACACGCGGAGCCGAGCTCATCCTCGACCACCCACAAGAAGAACAGGCGGAAGCTGAACAGAAAGGCCTCTGCAAAGTCTGCAGATATCCAAGACGAGGAGATGGGCGACGAGTCTGCCGACATCACGGAGGTCGTCCCTCAGATTTTGGCCGAGCAGGGGAAACAGCAAACCGGGGACGACGACGAACTCATGATTGATACCGATCCCTCCTCATTACCTACCCAGTCTTCCGCCCCTGCATTCCCGCCCCTCCCCGCTTCCGCACAACGAACGGCACTGAAGTCCGAGATGAGGAGAATACCGATACCCCCGCATCGCATGACGCCGTTGAAGAAGGATTGGGTGAACATCTTTTCACCGCTCACGGAGATGCTGCAACTACAAGTGCGGATGAACGTGCAAAGAAAATGTGTTGAGATCAGGGTGCGTACGTCGTGTCTATGGGACTCCACGTAACTCATCTCAGTCTGGACAGACGTCAAAACACACACAGGACATAGGTGCCATTCAAAAGGGCGCCGACTTCGTCAAGTCGTATGCTCTGGGCTTTGACGTGAACGTGTGTATCATCGCATCCAAACCGATGACGCTCTCTTACAACACTTTGTTCGTAGGATGCCATCGCTCTTCTCCGACTAGACGATCTTTACCTCGATTCGTTTGAAATCAAGGATGTTAAGACTCTGCATGGCGATCACTTGTCTCGTGCAATTGGTAAGCTCAGAGTTTCAGCCGTCAAACATTTCGTCGCATAACTCATCGGGCTGGTCCTTCGCAGGGCGAATTGCTGGCCAGGACGGCAAGACGAAGTTCACGATCGAGAACGCCAGCCGGACTCGTATCGTCCTTGCCGATACGTGAGTTCCAGCTCTCTCTTTTTAACCTCGCTGATTGACATCCGCTCTTGTAGTAAAATCCATATTCTGGGATCATTCCAGAACATCAAAATCGCCCGGGACGCCATAGTGTCGCTCATCCTGGGCTCGCCGCCTGGTAAAGTCTACGCGGGCCTGCGGACGGTCAGCAGTCGTATGCGGCAGCGAGCTTTGTAACTCAATCTATCTTCGTGATGTCTTTTTGTGGATCTAATAGCATGGATATTTCATCGATTGGGTTGACGTGCCTTATCGTATCTTGAGTGAAGGCCCGGGATATACGGAGTAGTGTTCGTGGGAGGTCAAACTGTGAGACACCACCGAGTTTGAGCCCGGGCGGAGAAGATTAGACAACGGGCACTGCGTATCATGTCATGCAACGCGCAAGAGGGCGAGAAAGACCTCAGGCCTCAGGCCTCAGCCGTCTGACTTGCGTTTCGGACAGTGTCTGTCGCAAGCTTGCTGCTGACTTACAGTGTATTCGACAGCAACAGTAGCTGAACACTCCGTCTATTGTATCTGCATTTACCACGCGTCGGACAAACTTCGTTTACCAGGGACGCCCCCGCCCCCTCTTCTGGCGCAACTTGAATGGCCCTGGCGTAACTGGCTCTGGATCCTCTGCCACTGCCGCCTCTGCCATCAAACCCCTCGGTCGCTCAGGCTCTTTCCTTTGCATTTCCATCCTTGCGCTTGCCTCCTCTTCTTCCTGCGCACTGGCCCTCCCCTTCTCCACAGCCTTTGCCATCGCTCGATACTCAAGGGCCCTCATATGTGCTTCCCGACCTAAAGCCATGGAACGGGCCACCCCCGCGGATTTCTCTGCTCTTCTCGCAGCCGTCTCGAGCTCTTCAGGTTCCTCTTCCGCTGCTCGTGCTGCCGCTGCCTCTTCCGCTGTCAGTGCTCGTGCTGCTGCCGCCTCTTCCGCTGCTCGTGCTGCCGACGCCCTTTCCATCCCCCTTGCTGCATCGACCTCACTTGCTTCTTCCTCGACCTGTTCCAAGTCGTTCTCCGTCTCCGCCTCATAGTCCATATCGTCATCCGTAGTCTCATCGCAGTCGCTCGAGTGGTACGAGTAGGTCTCGTCACTGATGTCGGAGTGGTCAATGTCCGCGCCGTCCCACCACTCCTTGTGGTCCTCGGATGCGGGCGGAGCGCGGCACTCGGTAGCTGCCACCGCGCGGAGGATGTGCATGACGAGCGATGCAGCATAGGGACGCTCCCCGCGCGCCATTTCCTCGAGCTTGTGCTCGAACGCGGAGTCTTTCGTCAGTTTGTTCCAGCGTTGTACGAGTAAGGCGACCTCCATCTCACGGACCGGCGCGTGCCTGGTTTATATCTCGTCGTCAGTCGACTGGCCAGAGGGTAATGCGGGCAGATAACGTACCGCGACGTGAATGGGCTGAAAAGTTCGTCAATGATGTTCGTCTCACTGAGCTGCCGGCGCAAGAAAACAAAGGCACGCTTTTGCAGGTCATTGAGGCCGAGCTGAGAGGCCTATTGTCAGCGCGATCAACATATACATTCGGATCTACGCACCTTGACGGCCACATCGTACAGTGCTTTGCACGACGACGGCGTTGGTCTGTTCGCATACGACTTCTTGTAGTCGGCCAGGAATGAGTCCCGTTCCTCCTTGCCATCGCTACTCAGAGGAGCAAATACGACGATCCCTGTGTATAGGTAGTAAATGAGGGCTTGCAAGCTATGGAAGTGCGGATGAGACGAAGCGGAAGCACGTTGACAGACAGACGTACGTTCGATGTGCAACGCTTCTCAACAGAATGTCTCCTCGCTTCGTATCATCACCCGTCAGGGTGCAGATAGTACTGCCTCCTTCGCTGGGTGTAGCTGCAATAGCGTCCTCATCGATCAGGACTATGGGCTCTTCGGTGATATCTGCCTCCCAGTCGATTGCAGTAGGCAGAGAGTCGTGACTTTTTGGCGGGTCTGGTTTGCTGAGGATTGGCTCAAAAGGGACCTCGTCGTCGTCGTAATCGCTTTCGTAGTCGCTGAAGGCGGTGAGGTCGTCGACCGCGCTACTGTCAATCCCCAACGGAAGACTTTCAGGATCGTACAGTGTGCCGTCCAGTAGCAAAAGCGTCTCCTCCCACGCTGCATGTCGATTTCGAGTCAGTCTTAGTATCACAGTCACAGCGAGCCGTGAAGCACGCACAACGTTCGATCTCCTCGCAAGGCGAGACAAGAAGGTCTCGTGGGGCAAAAACGCTCAGCGGCTTCGTCAAGGTCCCGTCGGGTCTTCGTGCGGAGAAACCAGTCCAGCGCACGGTCGGGAGCTCCTTGCTCTCGAGAGACTTGTGCAAGAGGTCCAACGCATCCTTAGATACGCTTGCTGGCGGTGGTGCGAGGCGAGTTAACTTCAACACTGCCATGACCACCACTGCATTGTCGCGTCTCATGGGGACGCATCCGTCCATAAATTCCGCAGAGAGGATGTTATCCCATATGCAAATGCTCCCTGCGGTGAGAACGTCTCTGCTATCCCGGAAGGAGAACCATGCAGACTCGTTGTCCCGAGAACGTCCATCGATGGTCACTTCCATATGCACAGGCTGCAGCAGGTCGTCGTTCGCGTACAGACCTAGATCAGCGCATGGTCCGTGGAGATCGCTCTGGAATGCGGATAGTCTGAAGAAAAAGCCTGGCCCGAAGGCGGCGGTGTCGTACTGGTCAACACCCGAGTCCGTATCGACGAGGTTGAACATCGCGCGGAGGTTGTCGATGCGAAACTGGAAGACCAAGCGTTCTTCGCAATGTTGGGATAGAATGCTCGCCATGGCGGAAGGCAAGGAACAGAGGACTAATGACCAAGTCGATGGCGTCCGGTCAGTCTCGGTGAGAGGAGGGATTGAAGCGAATAGGTGCTGTATAGCACTGGTGTGTATGCCAGGGTCTAGACTCACGTATAGCCACGTTGTCTACGTATCCAGGGTTCTGCCAGAGGGAAGACTCGTGGGCTATAGGCGAGGGCCGCGAGGCCGCCACGACGCCGCCTTTCGAGTTCTGATGAACGCCACACACGCGCTATTGACGCGTTGTTTGGCACCACCCACGCTCGCCAAACCCAACATGCCCGCACACATTTCGCGTGTGCCGACTCTGCGCATCACCGTCATGTTCGCCTTGAGGCTGGCTTCCTTCTTGCGGCAAAAAGGCGTACTCCTTCCCGCAACGGTTCTGATCTGTATTTTATCAGTTTGCGCTGCCGACCCGGAGAAGGCCTGGAATGGATTCGTGACGCCTGGCTCGACCGGCCCCACCACATTCGTTCCGTACTATGTGCCTCCAGGCGCTAGGAGCTATGATTCCTCTTCTCCTTTTCTGCACTACTTTGGGAAGTGGAAAGACACGTACTCATCTGCGTACGTTCAGAACACTCTGCGGTCGACCTCGGATCCTGGCGCATCTATGACCTTCAGCTTCACTGGCACCGGCATCGAGTGGTTCGGAAATCAAGATGCAAGACATGGCATCGCGCAAGTGTACATTGACGGGAGGAAGATGCAGGAAGTCGACGCCTGGAGCGCGAAGCCTATGAAGCAGCAGCGCATCTACTGGGACTTCGACTTGTACCCTGGCAGGCATACGATCAAGATCGTCAACATTGGCCAGAAGAGCGCCAACGCTACCGGCACACTTATAGACATCGATGCATTAGTCGTAATCACTGGTCCGCAGCCTGACTCTCCCGACGTGGAATACCTGGATACCTCCGCTCGGCCCATCCCAGACTATCCGCCTCTCTTTGACTTCGTATCTGAACCTGACCCAGACAAGGAGTGGACCTTGACGGAGATTGGAAACACTGGTGTCTCCGCCATGCAACTCTCGATCGTTTCCGAGACTCATGCACTCGTCGTGGACAAGGTGGAACACAATCCCCTCACTATTGACGGTCACCCTGCCTGGGCTGCTCTCTATAATCTCAAGACGCACTCTGTCACACCTCTGTCCGTGGAGTCAAACTCTTTCTGTGCTGGTGGCACTTTCCTCAGTAACGGCACGCTCATCAACGTCGGCGGCAACCCCGTCGTAGAAGACCACACTGCTACCGCTGACTTCGGTGACCTAGATGGCTTACAAGCCGTACGCGTCTTTGAAGCATGCGATCTTGAGGACGTATCTGGCTGCAGTCTCTACGAGAACCACGACCGCATCCGCATGGCTACTCCTCGCTGGTATACTACTGTGCTTCGAATCGCCGACGGCAGTGCCATGATCGTAGGCGGCTCGCGCAAGGGTGGCTGGATCAACAATGCGACGGTCAATAATCCTACTCTGGAATATTGGCCTCCCAAAGACATCGCTGGATCGCACGGGCTGCCTGTACGTCTTCCCTTCCTGGAAGACACCGTTGGGGCGAACCTCTTCCCGATCGCTTTCTCTCTGCCAGACGGAACGGTGTTCATGGCAGCCAACCAGGATGCGATGATCTACGACTGGAGGACGAACACAGAACGCAGGCTGCCCCGTCTCCCAAATGGCGTGCGCGTTACCTACCCAATGGCAGGCACCGCTGTCCTTCTCCCTCTCACGCCCGCGACGGGATATGCTCCAGAAATCCTGATATGTGGCGGTTCAACCGTAGATGACGCGCAACCCGGCTATCTGATATCTTCGCAAGACCCTGCCTCGGCGCAATGCGTACGCATGCTGCTCACCGAGGCTGGTATCGCCGCCGGCTGGGAGGTCGAGCGCATGCCAGAGGCGCGCCACATGCCCGACGCGGTCCTTTTGCCCACAGGCGAGGTGCTCATCGTCAACGGTGCGGGCTCAGGGATCTCTGGCTATGGCAACGTTGTCGGCCAGATCGGCGCGTCGAACGCGGACAACCCCGTCCTGACGCCGGTGCTGTACGACCCTGCGGCTCCGCCTGGCGGGCGATTCTCCCAGGAGGGCATGCCGACGAGCGACATACCGAGGATGTACCACTCCGTGGCGACGCTCACGCCTAGCGGGGAGATCATGATTGCTGGAAGCAACCCGAACCTCGACCGGAGCGAAATCGAGTACGGCACCGAATATCGGGTCGAATGGCTTGGTCCGCCTTACATGGCCAAAGCAAGACCTGAGATCGTCGAGAAACCTGAGATCATCGGGTTTGGGGAAGACGTGACATTCAGCGTGGCTATCCCAAGCAGTTCCCAGGGTGTAGATATCAAGGGTGAGTGGCATCCCTCGAGTAGCACGTTGTCTTCCGTTGACGAACGTCCACTAGTGGCACTCATGGACCTTGGCTTCGTGACGCATACTGTTCACGCCAACTCGCGGCTTGTGTATCTCGATTCGTCCTTGTCTGAGGATGGGCAGACGATCACTGTGACTGGTCCTCCGGATGGCGGCGTATATCCTCCTGGACCGGGCTTCTTGTATCTCGTTGTGGATGGCGTACCAAGTGTTGGCGTGAAGGTGATGATCGGTGATGGAGAGGATCCACCGTTTGACGGGGATGCGCTTGCCAAGTGAGTTATCATACTACGATTAGGATTAAAGGCTTGCTGATGGCGTCGCCATAGCATGCTGGCCATGACGGAGGTCGATCAGTATGAGAGCAGCAAAAAGAAAGGCAAGAACAAGCATAAGACCCCGAAGTCGCACGCAACCTGAGCCTCGAGCGGACCCCAATGATGACGACTTAATGTGAACACCTCTAATCTACAGACTACTACTCATTCGCTTTGTTAGCTATCTCCGTAACTTGTCTACTCTAGAGCGTGGTGTTTGTGTTCTATCGATCGATGACGTCCGCGTTGGTCTGCACCAAGTCTACCTTCAGATGCGTGGTGTCAGAGTAGCTCACCAACACCGCCTCTCCGCTCCCGAATATGTCTATCACGGATATCGACGTGTTCCAGCATTTGCCATTCACCACCACTCCTTCCGCGCACTTCAGCTTGCCACTTCCAAGCAGGTTTGCGATGAGTCTCGAGATGTAGCCTCCGTGCGAGACTACGAGCACGTTCCCTGGGAGGGATTTGCGGTGCATGGGATCTTGCATTATGAGGGACTCGACGTAGGTCAGGATGGTATTGTTCCACCATCGTGCGGCGCGCAGGCTGAAGTCGCTCAGTTGTTCTGCGTTGGATGGGGCCGTACCGCGCCCCTCGAGCTTCTGTCCTTGCCAATCTCCCAGATGCTGGCCAACTACTCTGAGAACGGCAGCTTGCAGAGGACGAACAGTCAGAACTCACCCTTTCTCTCAGTGCATCGTGCTTCTCGAGTGGCACTCCGGGGTGCTTCTGCAGTATGATTTCTGCAGTCTGCGGTAATACAGCACCGTGTTAGTCGCTCCGAAACGTACTTTGCCTTGATCTGTTCGCACCTTAGCTGCTCGATTCAGATCACTACTGAATGCCCTCTCGAAGGGGACAGTCTCCAGAGCGCCAGCCGCCAGCCGAGCTTGCTCTATGCCGGCGGCGTTCAGCTTGGTATCGAGTTGTCCTTGCATGATGCCCAGCCTGTTCTCGTCTGTTTCGCCATGGCGGACGATGTATATCCTGGCCAGAACCGCTGCCGCTGCCATCGATGTCAAGAAGCAACCGTGGACAACTGTAACTGGCTTCAGATGTATCGTGAACGTAGCACGGTGCCGGCCCGTGTGGCTGAAGTACAACTTGTGCGGATATTGTTGCGACCGAAGCCTGCATGCATCGGCTTACTTCAAACAACGCCACACATGGGGTGCGTGGCCAGCGAACAAACAAGTCCGACGGTCGATCCGCAACCATCTAGTGAAGGCGTGAGCTCAGTCCTATTGAGCAACTCAAGCTCTGCACTTGACTATATGTTGCATCATTCCATTGTGCTGAGAATAGCCCGTGTATTGCCAACAATAGATCAGCCCCCTTTAAATGTAGCGAGCCCCTCTGTCACAGATCGATGCCACGACACGCAGAAGTGAGTTGTGAATCGGGGATACCATACGCTGTCTTCTCTCTCTACGTACGAATTGACAAGAATATGTAGATCTGAAGTGCTACAGTCTGCCGGCCATTACGGTCCATGTAACCGCCTATTGATATAAATCATCACTGTCCGTACCGCACTGTTTTACACATATTACATTGGTGAATCCTTCCAGTAGTCTCGGGGCAAGAAAGCACCCCGCCTGCCCGATGGGCGCCGAGACCATAGCCAAGAACCCAGGGGAGAGCATCCACTACCATCGGGTGCGCCCAGAAAAGAGTCTTTCGGTCATCGTAGCAGGTCTTCGATCTCCGAAGAGACGTTCTTGACGCGATCATCGGAGAATGTCGAACGGAGCGACGACATGCACTGCTTGACAGTAGTAAGTTGCTCCGCGCTTGGTTTCTGTCCCCTCTCTTTGGCGGCGTACAGCTGGGGACATGAAACGTCAGTCATGGAAACGGGACGCAGAACATTCCATCCAAATGAGCAGAACGACGGGCTCACGATATTTCCTATCGCCACCAGCGCGCGGTACGCCGCCTCCGGATCGCTCTTCTCCTCCTGAAGCCCATTCAAAATGAGGTTGTACAGATACGCGGCCAACTCCGGCCCCAACGGCTCTTTTAGGCCGATGCAACTGAGGCTGTCCGAAGGTCAGCTCCACGCGGCCGAATACATGTCAACAGTAGGACTCACTTGAACATGATGGTCGCGCATGCAACTCGCTGAGCCTTCGTTAGATTGCTGTAAGGCTGCTGGACAATGTCTTGCAGCATCTACCAAGCCAATCCTCAGCACCGGCAAAGCCCACGAATACAGTAGTACTTACCGATTTGACCCACGCCTCATCATCGTACAGAGTATCCTGGAAGGTGTTCACGAGGGCGCGTAGGAAGAAAAGCGTGTTCGTTTCCCGTGATCGCGACAGCGGGGTCTCCCAAGGATCCTTCCACGACGACGCGTTCATCATGGCTGCGAAGAAGCGATGTTTCAGAGGTGTGTCCTGGGAGAAGTTCTGGCAGAATGCAAGCAAGAGGCGACCAAGATCCATCACTGAGCGTAGATACGTATGAGACCAACTGTATGACGGGGAAGCTGGCTACGCACCAGGGAACAACGACTCCCGAGGCCATCGCTCAAGTAATGCGCTTATAGCATCGAGGTGACGTGGCGTGGGCGGCTTTGTGCCGGGCGGTGGGTTGTTCCAATGCGCAAGCTGAGAAACCAGAGCGGAGAGGAATGCGAAGGACTCGTCGATGCGGGTACGCTCTTGAGGATACATTGCCAACGATGAAGTTGACTGGAAGTATACCACGTCAGTACCGGCGTTTCTGAGATATTCCACTACACGTACAATCTCGTTCCGAAGGCTTTGATCGATCTGGTGCAACTTCGCCTGCATCGCCGAAACATTTGCTTGGCGGAAAGCCAATGGCGTGCGCTGAAGGTCCTATCAGCACCGCGTTGGAGGAAGACAGTCTCGTACGTACGACCGGGATGACTTTCGACGATGTCGCAGGGGCAGGCCGAGGAGGCGATGTAGAAGGCGTCACAGATGATGCAGTCGGCGCGGCACGGTATCGCGATGCACCTTCACGTACATTGAGCATAGCACTGATGGACGTGGACGCTGCGACGTACCCGTGAAAGGATCCATGTAATCCTGTCCGCGACCCGCAGCGCCCGCTTGCGCGGGCTGATACCGAGAACCACCTAGAGCGTAATCAGCATCCCAAGCCAACTGAGTGCATTCAACTATACCTGTGAATGGATCTGAGTACTGGGGCCCGCCACCTAGACTCACGCCACCCGTGTTCTTCTCGATGAACCTCACGACCTCGTCTAAGTAAGACATTGGAAGCTCGTGAGCGTCCAGGAACCGCTGCGCAGCTACATATGGATTCTCTGAGAGCTTGTGAGTACGCATACTACCTCTAGGCTGGAGATGCATCTCACCGGTGGCATTGTAGGGTAGCTTGAGGGGAGGCATGCCTTCCTGTACATCGACATCAAAGACGTGATCATATTCCTTCCCTTCGTATAGCTGCTTCCGCCCGGAGCCGACGGCATCCACGACGTCGCCGATCTTCTGCCAACTGGACGACGCGCTGTCCCACTGAAGCCGTCATTGTCAACACACCACCCACAATTGAACATAGTGGATATATGCGCATGCCTGATGGGCCTCCACGTTGTCTCCGTTCCGGATCATCTTCACCTCGCCAGGTTTGTTGCCTATTCAAAAAGGCCCTGTGAGCATCTTTGGTGCAGTGCCTCGATAGATAGACGCACCTGGCGAGGAGAGCGCCTCCAAGCCAGGCAGATCCGACTTCTTGACGTCGCCAATCTGCTGCGCGGGCAGAGCTTGACTCGCGACTTGGTCGTCGTAGGCCTTCTGTTCTTCTCCCGGGAGCTGACGGGAATCGTCATGACTGAAGATGCGCACGACACCATCGCTGCATCCTGTCACGATATCACCGTTTGGCATGGTAGATACGGACCAGACGGAGATGGCAGGGTGAACAATCGTCTGGGAACACTCTCCATCTGCTCCAAGTCAGACCAACCACTTGGGCTATGCAAGACCGGATGGTACCTACCTCTCCAGATGCGCACTGTACGATCCTCTCCTCCCGATACAATGTCACCATTCTCCAATACAGAGATACTGTACACGAATGATGTATGTCCGGAGAGGGTATGGACAAGGTCGCCTTCCATGGTCCATATCTTGATCTCACTGAAGGGATGACTTACCTCGCTGAGCAGCAACGGTAGAGATTGCAACTTACCTGTCGTTCGAACACGACGCAAAGCCAATGTCCGTGTATAGTGCAAGACCGCGGACCGCTTGCGTATGCCCGGGATACGTTCGGATGTTTTTCTGCTGGCTCCACAACTTGATGGTATTGTCGGCTGAGCCTGCACGATAGTGTAAGACACACATGTCGCAGGTACGATCCGTTCGACGGCGTACCTGTCAGAAACTGTTGAGAGTCTATGGCCAGCACTGCCCATACGGATTGCTGGTGCCCAGTGAGATCATAGAGCAGCTTGAAGTTCTTCCAGACCTTAGCCGTTCTACGACGCGTCACACCTCCGTCTCCATTCGTCTCAAACGGGGATAGACATACCGATCCCAAGATCCAGAGATGACCAACCCGCCCGGCGCAGAGTCTAAAGCGCATACGTTGTCGGTGTGGCCGATGAGGGAGTACGCGGGCTCGTTTGAGTTAGCCGAGAGAGCGAAGACGTTGATAACGGTGTCTTGTCCTCCTGTCACCGCATATCCTAGATTGCCTCACCTGTAAATGCATACATGCGAAACAAGCCACACCCGGATGATCGCTCACCTAGCGGTTCGTCGGGTGTGGGTGGGAGGTATGTTACGGCATTGATGTATCGTGAACCCGCCCGCAGGGTGACGGACTGGTTGAATCCTGGGGCATCCGTGTTCCGAACCCACGAGACCGCGGTGCTGTCCCGCGAAGCAGAGAGGACGAGATCATTGGTCGGGGAAGCGACGGCCCGCACCTAGAAGGGTTGAGCTCGCGCGCACGTCGAGACGACAGAGACGTACGAACATCAGCAGTGTGACCAGTGAGCGTCGCCGAAAGCTTGTAGGGCATCGCGGCAGGAGTCGGTGCTCGTGAGGGAAGGAAGAGAACGCGCGATGGTCGCGGCCGGGACACCAGAAGACTTATCTGGCAAGAGGAGAATTGAGATGCAGCCAACTCGTCCAGACCTGGATGTCTTCCGACGGCCGAGCGCGAGCGCCCTTGCCACAGCTCTCCTGCCCACTGCGCTACTCCTTACAGTGATGCCCTCACTGTCTGACGGTGCTATTACGGCCTCACAACGGTATACAGCGGCACAGTACCAGACTGAGTACGCTCGGGCACACTGAACAAACGAGCCGGCCACGCGTACACTTTCCTCGGCGGCGGCTTACGCAGCGCGAACTCAAAAGCCGTGACAATCCAGTCAAATACGTTCTGCATCGATTGATGAGAATTACGACATAGTCCCTATACAGCCCGCCAGTACACAGTGTATTCAATACTCCAACCCGTGCGATCTGCGATTTAGCCTGGATTTAGCTCCGGAGGAGTAAGTTCGCATCTACCACACACGCAGAATGATCACGATCGTGGAACGAGAGAAGATACGAGATGTATGTACACCACTCTAACGAGCCCCGGACCCGTGCGAAGGCGGTCCCAGGGAGATACGGAGGTGCGTAGTCTATGCCTTGCACCATTCTTCATCTCCTGCGAGGGCCTCACGAAACAGATCGTCGGCCGTGGGTGCGAGGTACGACGACTTGCGAAATCATGAGGGGATGGCGGAGATAAAATGCCTTACTTCCTTATATATATCCCCTTTAGGGCAGGCCCCATCTCCCGAAGATCTCCCCGTCTAGATCTGGCCATGATGCCTTCGCACACATTCCGCCTTTCCAGTCGTTCAACTGCCCACCGAGGGCCAGGCCATCTAGCCACTTTCCCGGCCCTAGCCTGAACTCTGCCAACGCGAGCCACACCCTTGGTCAGTCATGGGAGGGCGCAGTGATCGCGACGACGCGAGAACCATCGCCCTGAGCTACTTCTCTAACTTACTCCAGGCCTGCTCCAAGACCCCCGTTACGGATACACATGCGTCGAGGAAATTCTGACCCTGCTCTAAACCAGCTACCCTACGAAACCTGCGCTGACATATGCTATGAATCAGGGTGACAACTGATCATGACCTCAAGTGTCGGCCCATCTCCTACGCATGCACCCGCTCATATTGTTGATTATGGTCGGAGCCGCAGGTTGCGCATGATGCACAGGGAAGTACGCCTGCTCATGTGGCTGCAGCACAGCACTCACTGTTCCCCGTTTTATCCTACTACCCAGTGGCCGGTGCTTACAGTAATGATTGGTGACCAGCCACTCGCTCTGGTGCCGATACCTGTGACATCGCCTCTTCATCCTCGCTGGCCCTGACAAGTCGGTTAGATCCTTGGGATCCAGACGAACTGACGGAAGAACTCGCTCGTAGACATGCCATAACATTCGAGGGGCCTGACGGCTCTCCGCTTCCCTCGGGGCCTCACCGGCTCAACTGCGCCATGGTCCGCTGGACCCCATAACCTGTAGCCCGGTTCGCTGGCCAGGGCAATGCCCTTGTCGGGTAGGAATGACCCTCTGCCTACTGCGGATAGAACTGAATGCTATCGGGAAGCTCCTAACCGCAACTCCGACCGCCGCATGTTATCGACAGCTGTGAGCTCTGCATCTTCTGTCCGTGACAGATGAGGCTCTGCATCCCCGTACGTCTCATCTCGTGAGTACGAACTGCAGCTAGAATACTTGGCTAATACACTGCCTCTGACATTCGCCGCCTTCGTGGCTTTTGCGGCGTTGACAAATCGAGAAGCCAGACTGCCTACACTGCCCTCGACACTTTTGGCAAGGTCAACTGGGGACCGGTGCCCGACGACCGGGCTGTCTGCCCATTCAGCAGGTGCAATGCTCGTTGTGACAATGTTATGGCGTCAGGTGCGAATCTGATAAGACGTGCCATCTTGGACCAACATCTAGGTCTCTCCGGGTGCTACTGCACGCGCGACGCGGTCACGCTGATTCAGCGCTTCAATCCGGTGCCAGACGACAGGATTACTTACACACGCAGTACGTACGTCTTAGGTCTTTCAGCTCACATCCTGCAAACCGTATATATATAGACCAGGACAGCCGCGGTGGCAGCAGTTTAGCGTAAGCCATCCTTTATGCTGGGGTCATTGCGGAGGGAAGTGGTTCAGAAGCCACCACGTCGAGTACGTCCAACGGCAGTGAAACTGGCATACCGCGCCTTGATCTCAAGTAGTTTTGTCTATCGAATTGCCTACAATGCAGTAATGGCGAATGGCGTGCGATGTATGCGCCAGGTGTTGAACAGGTGGCGTACGTCCACCCGCAGTCGTCTCATTGCAGGGAAAACACCCGTCCATCGAGGTGGTGAAGCTTTGATGTGATAAGAGCGTTCTTTCAAGCCATATAACCCCCGTAGTCTCCTTATGGATTGCACAGCTATTGATACGACAGTCGTAAACAGTGTACAACATGTGACGGACAACATCGAAGCCACCAAGGAACTCTGAGAAACAAGCCCAGGATTTACAAAGCACAACAGAGGTCCCAGCATGATCACAGGCAGATGCGAGGCAGGAACGAGGCGTATTGACACAAGCAGCTAGTCTCCGAGGTCGACAGCAGGGCCGAGCGAGATCTTCACTTTCTTGCTGGGTCTGGTGTGGAGCTGGTTGGGCGTCTTGCTATTTCGGCGCTTCAGTCCTCCGCTACTAGCCTGGTGTTCTATTCCGTCAGGTGGAAGGGGACCGGCTAGCTGACTCTCTTGCTGCGTCTGAGACCCGAGGTCCCCTTGGTGCTCCTTCGTTGCCTTCACGGAGCGATGATTGTGGTCCCCAGCTGGTGTATTGGCTGCCGCATTATCGGGCTCATCCCTATGAATGCGACATATCGTCAATACAGCAGTAGACATAAACATGCTGGCCTTGTACATCTCGATGTCCCCTCCGACTCTCTTGCTGTGGGATTTGCGCTTTGGTTTCTGAAATGCATATGTGCATGAGGAAGCCACTAGAAGTCCTGACGGATCACATACCAAGTCCGAGAGACCCAAGACTTTCTTCTCAACCTCAGGGTCCGGGTCGAAGTAATCCTTGTATGCTTGGCTCCGGGTAGATGCGCTGACGAAGACATATCGAGGCTTTTGCATCGTTTTCCGGCGCTGCGTCTGTCGACCCCTGGCCTTGTTCTTGCCGTTGTTCTTGCTCTGTCCAGCCTTAGGCCCGGCGTCTGAGGTCTCCCCTGCCGGGGCGATGAACCCTGCAGGAACGACTGTATGCGTGCGGCATTTCAATCACATACGACGTCGGCGCACCTTCGGCCTCAAGTCTCTTGAAGACTTGTCCTGCGACCGCAGAATCACACGCTATGATGCTCATAAGCACGCCAAATACACATCGGTAGTCCGGATACACACCGATGAGCTTCGTGAATGCAGACAGACAATCTGGCTTAGACGTTTCGAAGACCTTGATGGCCCTCCTGTATCGCGACATCCGGCGGCAATACCATATTCATGCTAGAGCCGCGCTCACCTGAAGATCGCCAAGTCCTTGAATCGCTCCATCATTCGAGGGTAGAGGTCATGTACCACGATGAGTTCCCAGTTTTGGTCGGCTTTCACGCGGCAATCGAAGCAAACGAAGCGTGCAGGAAGCCGTTTGTCTTTGGCCGAGCGAAAACCCATGCACCTAAGGGGCAATGTCGGCGCACCATGTTGATGCAAATAAGCGAGAAAACCTACCACATGTGGAACCACTTCTTGCAGTCGCCTTCGCATTTGACGCAGTCGCAGTCTTCCACCTGTATAATCCCATCAACCCGATTGGAGCGTAGGAAGCCATACGTCACACTCACGGCTACTCCACATTCACATTCCACGACGTCTACCGTTTGTCCCTGGGCAGCGCCACCCTGAACTGATTCAAGTCCGGTTCCATCAGCGCTCTTGAATGAATGAATCGAGTCGACGCTGCCAGGAATAATTTGCGTATCTAGTTCTTCGAAGAGGATCAGTAATCCATGCACCCGCCCCGAATGTACTCACCGAGCATGTCTGCGTCTTCACCAGTCGTGCAAGCGTTGATGATGAGGTCCTTGATCAACTGCGTGTCGATAGAACCAGGCTCAGGAATAATAGGAGATCCGGATGACATCGACTCAGGAAGCATGTCGGAAGGTGGCAACGAGCTATCGACAGATGCGATTCTCTTAGCAGTGCGATTCCGAGCCCTTGGCTGCGGGGTAGGAGATGGCGAAAGCGAAGGAGACGAAGTAAGCGGCGAAGCGGCAATCGCGGGAGAATGAATAACTTGAGTCTCTTCCAACTGCTGAGTTTGTTGTATGGGCTCTTCGGTGTGCTTTCCACCCTCCGCCTGTGCAACGAGCAATTCAGTTAGACTTGGAACATCTCAGGCTCGGCGGAGATGTCACCAGCTGCGCGATTTCATTGGGCACGTCCTCCGCACGCCCGGCATAACGGACCTCTTCAAAACGTCCGCTTTGCTTTCCCCGGGGGTCATAGGGTTGGATATTCCCTTCTTCGTCCCTGATGCCAATGGGAGCGAAGAACTCAACGCCGGAGTCATCCGCTGTCCCTCCGCCACCGCATGAACCTTAAGGTGAACGCTGGAGCCGCCTTGCAGGTGCCACAACGATCAATGACCTACCTGGAACGAAGTCGGGATCCTCCTCGCCATCTGCATCCGCATCGCACATACCATCATCCGCATCCCAGACAACCTGCCGGTCCATAGCATCCCGACGCTGTATTTCCATCTGCTGCATCCTAGCTGCCGCCTCTTCGGTAGGCGTCAGAACTGGGGCTGCGTGGGTGTGACCCACCGTTGTTCCCAAAAACGGTGCATTGTTGTCCTCCGTAGATGGCAGGTACCCCGACACCGATGCTATGCGGACGTTCACTCCGTGGTATCCGGTCTGAAGCGACCCAATGTTGCATTTCTCTGGGACCTCGGACTTCTCGTGGGTAGTAAAGAACCACCGATCCTTCTTGGCATCTCCAGCGTGGAAATGCGTCGGCTCATAATCGTCTGGCGTCTGGTCATTGTAGAACAGTTTGAAGGTGGCGAACCGGCGTTCTAGTGTGTCAAATCATGGGCAAAGGTGGTTCGGTATTCGAGGAAACACAGAACTTACTCGGCAGAGCATCCATCTGGGTTGTCGCCTGGATCAGATTCTTAATCAATGTCTGAGAATTCCTATGTATCAGCGACCCACTGCTGTATAATCTAATCGTTACGTACCTTCAAACTTCTTTTGACTTCCCCGAGGGTCGGCACTCTTCCTTGCCTCGTCGCGTCTGACACAGGATCGAAGGTCTTGTGTTTCCCGTGAAGTGATAACCTCTCCAAGTCAGCATCGAGTGTCATGACCGGGACAGTAATATCTGTTCCGGGGATCTTATGATACTGTCGCTTAACATTAGTAACGTAGGGCGCATATAGTTCATGGTTATCCTTACGTCGAAGTTGAATGTGTAGGCTTCGACGATGCTAAACACGCGTCTCATCAGTGCGACATTATCGGTGGAAGAGTTGAGAATGACTTGTTTGGATCGTCGTTGTCCTTCATATACAGTCCGTTAATCGAGCTACCAGCATCCTAAGGACCGAGGGGTACGAACCAGGAACACCGCCATGATGAAGCTACGAAGGTACTGTTTCTGAAGCGCATCAAATATCCCATGCTCCTGGACATATGTGTTCCAATTCGATGCGAGATATGCATGAACTTGGATGTATTCACCATGTAATCGAGGAGTTTGTCGGCCTCTTCTGTGAAACCACGGGTGACGGTCATGATCTTGAATCCGCTCACGTTCCGCTTCCCGTTGTCGGACGCAAAAGATCCTGGAGTCATCGAAGGCTGCGAAGATAGCGATGCAGGGCCAGAAGATGTCAAGTAGCCTGCAGTGCCATTGCAATCAGCCAAGGCCGTCCCGGGACACGGGGCCTGAACCCACATGTCGAGAAATTCTCGGAGGGAAGTAGGTTCCTGTCACAATACGACAGGCTCAGTAAAATGGACGCTACAGTGCATATATGCGCCCATTCCCCACCTCAAGTATGTGATACAGCCTAGGCTAGCTTTGAGTAGCGTCTGCACCGATTGCAGACTTTGCTGAGCGGTGAGAGAGGCCTTGTGGTTTCGTGAGGCGTTGATGTAGCCCGCAAAAAATCCCACATACCTGTTCTTGATCCGGGCGAACTGCTAGGGCCTGCATTGTCGAGTATACGATGTCGTTGTATGCGGGTTCACGGAGAGAAGCGCCGGACGTACGCGAACGGCCTTTGAGTCGCGTTCGGGCGGAGCTTGAAACGCGATCGCGTCTCGACGCGTCGCGCTCACATGCTCGCGATCGCTTTCGTCAGTCATGGCCATCTGGGGTCTTTGGGTGAGGGCTTGCATTCCCCGGAGTCGCCCACTATCGACACGTCAACTAATGAGCTCGTATACACTCAGGTCATCAATAAGGCTGGGGGTCTAGTTTACCAGCGCAACTTAGGAGGTCCCAACTCGTACCCTCGATCCATTGCGACCCGCTGACGGGAGAGACAGATGGCCTGCCTCACTTGACCTCAAACGAGTACCTCGTATTGGCGGGCACACTGCACGGTATTCATGCCATTACCGCGCGACTATCTCCAACAGGGACAAGCTCTGGAGCCAATGTCATCTCCGGCGAGACGTTCAAATTGACCATTCTCTTGACAGCCACAGGTACGTACGGGACATACATGCACCATCTCCGTACTCTGACTTTCACCGTGTTCCTTCTAGGGACGAAGTTTGTTCTCCTCACTTCGCTTGCTGAGAATACGGCGGACACGGTGCTTTCGAAAGTATACGAAGCTTACTCAGACGCGGTCATGAAGAATCCCTTCCACACACCAGAAATGCCAATCCGTACGGAGGGCTTCGATTCGCGGATCACTGCGATCATGAGCGGATGAACTACATTCGCATTGTACTTATATACTTAACTCACTATACAGGCAGATCAGGAATATGTTGTACTGTTCTTTCGCTGTGACGCGCCCCATGAAGTGATCTTTGGCCATGGTACTTTAGCACGCATTTGAGTAGGTGCATTTCTGCACGTACGTATCCAGCCACTTGCGCAGGGGGAGGGGGAGAGGTCCGGAGTACTGCCGTCACGGAAGTGCGCCGCCTGTCCATGTCAACAGCTGTCATGGAATCGTCTACAGAAGGTCCCCTCCTTGTATGCGCCCCCTTCCTTCAGTCACGGACCATTGCTTTCACCTCACACTCACCACCGACTTCGGCGAAGTCAACAACATTCAGTGATTTATTCCACGACCTGATCAAACATGCCGATGCGGAAGCTGGCGACCACAGGTACTATCCCGCCAGGCTCGCATGTCCCTGAGACCGCTAATTTGACAGTGATTGCTGCATACAGTGACAGGAGAGAAGTCGGTCCTGCATCACAAGGCCCGTGCAACTACCAAAGGCCTCGACGCAGATGAAGACCAAGTCGACGAAATCCAAAATGACGAAGAAGAGCAAGACGGGGATGAGAAGTGAGCAGCGTGATTCCAATGGCTACATGCGCCCGACTGACGATGTGCTAGCGGTATGCTCGAGATGTTCACCATGCTACAAGCGTTCCAGAGTGCGTATACCCATGACTTAGTCCGACTTCAGTGATATTCATGACCACCAGAACGCAAGGCGTCAAAGAGCTCGACGCGGTCGGTGGCGTTCCACACGAAGAAGAACGCGCTATTCACGGACGTCCGAGCGACCGTCGACACGCTCGTGCGTGAGGGAGCCACATATATGCGCGTTATTTCTTGTCCATAGCATAGAATTCTTGCATGTTGATCGGACGATGCTCTGCCGCAGTGATCAATGCAAGACGCGCCTCGCAGAGCTCAAAGCGCAGGAAGTCTCCCAGGAGAAGCACTTGAAGGACCTATCCGCTTTACGGAAGAACCAAGAAGTAAGCATACGTCCACGACATTCTCCAGCACGGACAGCGCTGAGCCATTGACAGAACACCGTGCGCGACTTACTCAAGACATACCCTGTCATGATAGAAGACCTCTCCCACCGTCGAGCCGCTCAGATCAATGAGTCGAGTGAGCTACGTGGGTAACCCCGGATGCACGGAATGCAATGCACGATCCTAAACCGAATATTTTAGTCGAGGGAAATGCGCAAGAGCGGCAAGAGTCCCGTAAGAGACTAATTCACCTGGCCAAAGCAAGGGCGGATGAGATACTCGAGAGACAGAAGGTGCGGCCCTTCCACCTTTTCTTCGGACTTCGTGATCACGTCCAAGGACTGCAGCTAGCAACCGATGCCACCGCTCTTATCAAACACTACAAAGCCTTGTTGCTGGCTTAACCAGCCATGGCTAGACATAACGTGTGTCGAACACACATGTTGCTTCAGGTTCGGTTTGGGAAGGTTGCAATGGTGTCGACCTGCTTGCCTAGGGAAGCTGACGAACCAAGAACGACCAGGATTATCATCAATATGTAGCATTAGTATACATCAGAGTGTCCCGGTTCTACTGGACAATCATCAGAAGAGAGCTATATGCAATGCCGGAGTGTTCCTCACCAAGTCGTCCACCGAGCGACCTAAGTGAGCTATAGTCTCATCCCGACTCCGCAATAGGTCGGGCCGCAATCCAAGGTATTCAGACATGAGGACACGCAGAACGATGTTCCAACGTCTCATTGTCGGGATATCCAACGCCGTCGCGTCGTCCTGTATTGATATTGGTCAGCCGCTGAAAGCCAGATCACACTCGCACAGTTCGCACCTTGATGGTATGCCATACGCTCGGGAACGGACTCGCAATGACGTGTAGAATGCTGACACCGAGATGCAGGAACGGTAAGTGATCGTCCTCAATGCCGTACCCATTGAAGTTGCCCCTCCGCGGGACGAAGAAGCTCTTCCACTGGGCGTCGGCCTGCCCACCGTAGTCGAATGCACCGCTCTCGCCTAGGCGGCGCTCAGCAGACGCCATCGCATCAAACAGCCATGCGGTCTCGGTGAAGGACGAACGAATCGACGGATTGGCCGCACCGAGTAGGTCGAGGAGGATGAAGTCCTCTATGGTGTCGAGCTCTGTATACATGGATGGTAGGAGCCTCCGCTTGGCGTAGGGCTCGATATAGGTATTCGACCACTTGTTCGCCAGGTGTCTGTCGTACATAGATGAGGGGTGAACACGGGAAACAGAAGCAATGGTCGTACCTTGCGCCATAGATGGAGTCTGTATGAGTCCAATCCTTAAATGCCTCTTCGCCGTCAAAGAAGACAAGCTGCAGAGTCGTCTCGGCTACGTCCTCATCGTCCTCCAGCCCGTCTTCGAGACGTTGTTGTCGCAAGTTGAGTAGCGGGTCCAAGGCTTCTGCTAGGTCCAGCATGAACGCACATGGTGCCGCGGAATCGGTCGCGCCTACAAACTGCCGCGACGGAAATCCATGACTTCTGACTGCCTGATGGCCAAAGAATGCAGACGCACTTGGCTCTGGGGATACGTTGGGAAGAATTTGCTGTCGAAATGCGCTGCGACAACCACCCTCCGGGACGCGGACGGGTCCTTGGTAGCTATGACATTCGTGAAGCGCTTCTCTCCGTACGGGGTCGTGTCGGTGAACGTGTCTTCTTCCACATGCCAGTTGAGGTTCTTCAGCGTGGAGACGAGGTAGTCCTTGACGAGAGTGTTGTTCTCCGTGTCTGGGGGGCGCGGGATGAGGATCCTGGACAAGTGGGAGGAGGGGTTCGCGGGGTCGACATTGCGGACGGGATCCGGAGACGACACGAGTGCAGCAACTGCAGAGGATGACAGCTCGGTTAGATCGCGCCTACCAAGCTTGGACGCGGATGCGAAGGAGTGCGAGGCGATGAGAGCTGAGCAGGTCACAGCCCACACGCAGAGCCATACCCGCGAGCTCGCACTGGCCAACATCGCCCGCCACCGCAGACACGATAACTGTATGGAGAAGTGGTGGAACGTGCATATCTACTAGGCGCCTGCTTGTATTAGTACCTACACAGCCTACGTCCTCGTAGGCAAACGCGTTTCGCAGTCTCTTCTACCGCGACGTCCACCATGGTTCCCAAACTCATCTCTGTCGACAAGAATCCCGACAAGTGGAGGCGCATCTACCACTTGCAGCTCGCTGTGCGACTTGTGTTTGCCCTGGTCGGGCCGGGGTACATACATCCCGACGAACATTACCAGAATGCAGAGGTCATCGCAGGTCAGCATACAGATGTCGCTGTTCTGTTGAACCATTACCGAGCCTCATGAACATTGAATGTAATCTAGGCAGACAACTCGGGGTGTTCACGGCTCGGACATGGGAATGGGATCCAGCCTTCCCCTGTCGTTCTATCATCCCAGCCGCAACCACCATAGGCATACCCTATACGATGATCTTGAGGTGGATATGGTGGAACCGTGAGCCCTACAATCCACTGTTTCGCCTCCGTGCTCATGCGCCACAGCGGAGAATATCAGTCCTCTTGTGATGTTCCTGACCGAAAGACTCACGTTTTTCTTTGCATCTCTTATACTTGGTAAGCGAAACTGCATCATGCAGCCGTTTCTCGCCGTAACTCGTCATCCAGATCATACGGTCTCTCAGCTGGTGTTAGACCCAGCAGATCGTTCGCGTGCTCTGGCCCTCCTGGCATCCTCATACGTGATGCAAACATTCCAAGTTCGGCCATTCTCCAACTCGATCGAGGCCATCCTAGTCGCACTCTCCTTGACCACCTTGAAATCGCTCACCGAGACTCAATGGAACCGAGGTGTAAGTCCTACTATCGTTGTACTTGGCCGACGCGATGCTAATAAGCCCTGCAGCTAGGCGCCTTTGCCCCCGATCTCATCAGCCTCGCAATCTACGGTGTCCTGGGCGTGTTCACGAGGCCAACATTCCTTGCATTTACTCTGCCTATTGCCATCGAGGCTCTCGTATGGACATACCGCCGTGCCTCCGCTGCTACCTCTGGACAACCATCACGAGCATTCTGGGTATTCTGGCTTCGACTCGTCGGCCTGCCAATGCTGCTTGTTCTCATGTACACCCAGTGTTTCGTCTTCGTTGACACCTTGTTCTTCCGGGGCAATATCTACGACATGGTACTGACCCCGCTGAACTTCTTGAGGTACAATCTCTCGTCAGACAACCTGGCTGAGCACGGTGTCCATCCGCGCTGGCTGCACCTCATCGTCAATCTGCCTCTGATCGTCGGTCCTGGTTTGCTCTACTACGGTATTCGCGCAGCTCGGCAACTCTGGCGGCCAACTCCTACCCCTCTGCTTTCTGAGAAGGGTGAGAAGCCCGTCGAGGGAGGTACTGTCTTCAGAGGTATGTGAGGTTAAGGATCTGGCAGGATGGCTAGTGACATCACCTTCACAGCGCCATTGTATGTCATAGTCTCCGCTGTCACGATCTTGTCCGCCTTCCGCCACCAGGAGCCTCGCTTCCTTGTCCCGCTCTTGGTCCCATTCATTGCACTAGTCGCACAGGATTCGCAGCTACAACGCCTAGGAAGGCTGTTCTGGGTGAGTCACATCATCCAACAGTGGAGCGTTCGTCTGAATTTCCGGGGCATTGGCACAGGTATCTTGGATCATATCCAACATGGCCCTAGCAATTGTATTCGGGTTTCTGCACCAGGGTGGAGTCGTCCCCTCACTCATCGACCTGCACGATCGCTTGCACGACCTCAATGCCAACGCACCTCCTGAATTCAATAGCACGCTCGCTAGCGTGGTCTACTGGAAGACATACATGCCGCCGTGGCACCTGCTCGCCGTCCAAGCCGAAGGCAAGCCGGCTCCGTGCCTAGCTTGTTGCGCGAATACTAACCCTCGTCCAGATGTTACTTCCGGGAGATACGTTTTGACCGACCTTGCGGGCGCGTCGAGCGAGACCATGCTCAAGCACATCGTCGGCACGCCGGCTCAGGAGACTCTTGTGGTGGCTCCTCTGTACGCAGAGTACGGGCTGCCTCAGGGGAAACGCGACTGCTTCGAGCTGGTAGACAGTGAATTCCCGCATCTCGACCTTGATCATCTGCCGGAGGCGATGGCGCAGGGATGGTACGACGGCATGACCTTGGGTATCTTCACCGTCGATACGACTTGCCTTGGTTCTGAGGACGCGGCGGTTCAGTGAGAGGTAATAGATCTGTCTCGTAGTTTCTTGCTTCCGTAGCGTTTGGGCCGTCGATTGTTTTTGTCTTGCTCTGCTGTCGTTCTGTACCGTGTTTCTCAAATTGTACCAGTAGCTGCGTACGCGTTTCTGCTATCTGTAGTATGCACAATGAGGGTCCTCAATACAATTGCTTCTCTTGCTAGACTGCTACTGTTACATGATCTCCTTCCTAGTCGTACACCGCATCCAATCCGTTTCGATCCTCTCGAGAGTACAGAGCGCGAGAACTAGATACCTCCAAGCATGCTACGTGACAACTAGACGGGAATGTTGGCGAACTCGGACTCGGACTCGGACTCGGACTCGTCGTCCACTTGCTGCTGCACGATGTTCAGACCGCCGAGAAGCTCGAGCGTGTTGAAGATCACCCTCAGCGCGATGAGGCCGAAGGTGTTCGCGCCGAACGCCGCCTTGTTGCGCGCGCTGAAGTCCCATGCCAACCAGGCCTGCGAAAGGCCATATCGCAACTCGCCCGTCGTCGGCACCACCTCCGACGTCTGGTGGAAGAACTTGTTGCTGATGTCGCGCGCCAGCATCGAGGCATGCACATTCATGTTGTGGGTCCTGTCAGACCGCCAACGCTTCTGCGAACATTTGGCGACGATGGTGCCAATCGCGGCCTCTTCTTCGGTGAGGCGCATCTCGGGGGCCTCAGATAGTGAGTGCGTCATGCAGATGAAGCGCAGCTCTTCCGCGTATCTCTGGAATAGCGTTGACATTTCCCCCACCTCGCCTTCGTCGTTATCGAAGTGGCGAAGCTGCTCTTCAATGCATGGCTTCAATTGAAGTGAGATCGCGTCCGAGAGAGGCCTCGTCTTGGCATTCGGAGCCGTCGCGGGAGGCAGGCTCGACGGGTCCAGCAGTGCGATATTCCGGAACATATCGCCCAGCGCACGAGTAGAGATGTAGTAGTCAGTGTCACGAGGGTTGGGATCCTCGGCCTTCAGACCAGGTGTTAATACCAAGTATGATGATTTATTCAGTATGCATACCTGGTGCCAATCCGGCTTGTACGGGATCAACCGCCTAGGGGCATTGAAAGCGTCCACGGGTACACCATTCTTGGGATAATCGACAGCTTGACTGCACAACTGGGCAAGCTCCAGACACTTGTCGTCCTTTGTACCATACTAGTTGAATGTTGTCAGCGCCCGAAAGGTCATGACGCATTGCGGATATACCTTCGATTGATCTTACAAGACATTTGTAAGAATATGTGCTTGTAAATCACAACTGCAAATACGCACCTGCTATGACCAGATGGTTATCTGAGAGCAGACCCTACATACTGCTCATCAGCGATGTTTGAGCGAAGACCAACAATGGACGGACGCACCAGGACATCTGAATTCAGGTATTCGACGACGAAGTCACAGATATCATCTATCGTACTCGGGCGGTTCAGCAGATTTGGCGGCACAGATTCGTAGCTCGCCGGGTCCGCGTGTTCAGTTGGAAGCAATGGACCGTAGTGAATGACCGAGTACGTGTCGCTGAAGCAAGAGCGAAGAAGCGAGTCAGGTCTAACTGGCTATTGCTCAAGCATACTACTCACCCGTCGAGGTCACCACCTCCAAGGCAGGATGCAAGAGAACGTTCCCCTATGCTGGTCGTTGTATCAATTGGAAATTCACAATGTTCGATTACATACCGGTCGACGGTAGGACAACAACATTCTTGAGGTTGCGGAAAAAGCATACTTTATCTTCCGGGGGCTCGCCTATGGCGTAGACTCGCTGGACTAGTAAGACCCGCACTCATCAAAATGAATGGCGAATTGGCGCAACACACAAGACTCACTATCCCCAGGATGCATCGTAGGACTCCGCGTGATGATTACTGAACCTGAAGACATAACAAGCATGAGTTCAAAAGTGACGGAACCATGCGACACAACACTGACCTTTGATGTAGGTAGGTTGATCATCTTCTGAATGCTGGATGCATGCTATGTGGATTATAAAAGGGCGTGGGTATGAAGTAACATTCGACGCAAATAAGAATCATACCAAAGATTTCACCGTCTTTCAGCGAGTATACATTATTGACGCCTTCCTGCTCATACGCCGGCCCCTCGTCCGCTACTCCCACCAGCAAGTGACTATCTGGTATAGGAATCCTGGCGCCATGCTTGACGTCTCGGAGTACGTGATTCTTCGCGAAGTGGATGAGACGGTCGATGAATGGATCTTGCAGTACCTTGACGTTCCTCTCGTGTTTGAAGCCCATGCCGATCGAACGCAGGCCTCGTACAATGAAGTCTAGACCGAAGCTCGTTCCAAGTTTGTGCGCTTTCAGGAGGCCCACGAAACGCTCCATTGAGTCACTCGCGGTATGAATCTCCATCTTTGTGCGTTCTTGGAGTGTAACGAACACTGGCTTCTCCACCCCACGGTCTTCCAAGAGCGCAATTAACGGCCTTATCGTGAGAATTAAACACAACGTTTAAGCTAAGGTGTACTCGCTGCTGCACGCACCGGTTCAGGTATGAGGTGCCAGGTTTGTCGAATGCTCGAGCGATCTCGACCTCGCCCACTTCTTCATCCAGTGCCCTGAACTTGTTCATCGATGGCCTCAGGCGCATCTTGACACCTTCCAACCGTTCGTCAATTGCGACCATACCCTTGAAACCTGCAAAGAGAATGAGCTGGTCAGACTGTTCGTTATGTGATTGGACAGAGCGCACCTAGGAAGCGGATTTGATACTATAGAGAAGTGGTTTTAGCTCGGTGCGTGGAACAGACGGCAGAACACTCACGGCAGACGGCTTAACCGACTTCTTCTGTCGACCATCTGGCATAGCTCGACAAAGAGCGTCCCAGATTCTATTGCCAAGCTCGACTGAAATGGTGCCCACTCCATCTGTGAACAAGTATGGATCTTTTCCTAGATCTTCGACCAATTCCCACTGGTCGCGCGTCACAGTCACAGAAGGGTCTGTCGCGGTAAATGCCTGGGCGATACGTGCTGCATACTTAGACGGATGCTTGATAACACCAGAGAAGTCGCCAAGACTGTCGCGAATCTCCTGCGCATTCACGTATCCATGCTCGTGATGCATGAAAGGATTCATGAACCAGACGGCATGCTCGCGCAAAGCAGACTGCGAGTAAGCAAGGAACTCGAATTGACGCCCCGCCAGCTCGAAGCCATTCTTGAGAAGGCCGCCCACGCGGTCCTGGAGAAGCGAGGTACCGTCAACCTAAGTGACGAAAGATTAGTGATGTCTCTTCCGAGGTTGAAGGGATATCACCTCGCGTGCCCAACGGTACTGCAGGCGGTCCTCGTCCCTGAAGTCGACTCTGATGAAGTGGTCCTGGTAACCTTGGTAACGGCGGATGACACGATTCGATTGGATTACGTATGGACCCTCCAAGATCATCCGCGTCGGAGTGAATGTGACGTGATGACAAGGGAAGTATCCAGGAGGAAAAGGGAGCGGCTTGAAATCCATCAATGGCAAAGTGGGCCGTACATGTTCGAAGCACTGCGAAGGGCTCTCGCAGCGCGCGTCACGGCAACGAAGTGCATCAGTGAAAAGGCGCAAAACATCGGCTGCGCCCGCCTGGTCCCGCGCATATAAATCGTCGATGGGCCTTTTCAAATGAACAAGCAGGTCTTCGGTATGCAGAAGTCCGTTATGGAGAAGTGCTTCGATCTGGAATGCGACCGCCCAGTCAAATTTGCGCACCCACTCACGGACCAAGTAGAGTTGTCTGGGGGAGAAGAATCCGCGTTTGAAGGTGTCAATCGTTACGAGGATGGGTTCCGGAAGACCCGCGATTTTGCAGAGATTTGCAAAGTCACAAATGTCCCGGTCCTCATGCATGATGACGCGGATGTGATAGGCGTAGGGCGCAGCGATGGCATGCGCTTCGTTGAGACTACTAAGGCGTTGCCGGTACTTACGGGTGTCCCACTTGGCGTCTCCCGTGAGCTCGCGATTGATTCGTTGCTTTTCCAACATCGGTGGAGTTAGTAATTCGAAGACTACGACTGTCAACGAGAATCAGTATGATACTAGACGCGGATGGGTGACTTGTACACTGACATCGGTTGCCACAATCGATGCCCTTAGCTATCTTGCGGATGTTGGCGAATGTGATGGCAATGTTGTGGGCAATCTGTTCAGTCATCTGGTCGCCCATCTACGCGAGTGTAGGCCAGTTAGTGTCTGCTTACGACGGTTACTGGTGACGTGGAAACTCACCTGAATGCGAATCAACTTATGATCGTACTCGAACCAGAGAATACCTGCGCCCTTTTCACGGTGGCTAATTTCGAACTCGTTGGAGAACGCGCGCCCTTCGGTGGGTTTGGCGTCAACAGGACGATAGAAAATGCCAAATTGGATCTTGTCGACATGGATTGAATGATCAAGTTGGCGCAGTTTGTCTTCTCGTTCTTCTTCTATCTCCGGGGGGAGATATGGTGCCTTCTCCAGGATTTGTTGAAGGCCATGGTTGGGTCGGTTCTTACTCCTGAAGAAGCGGATCTTGCGACCGTTCAGTTGAACGTCGATATCGGACTCGTGAAGGCCGGGGTTGTGGAGCCACCTCAAGAACCTATCGCCGAGTTTGCGGCTCCCCAGAGACAAGATGCCTGTACCATTGTGCGTTATACCGTTTGGCCCTTCATTCAACGAGACCTGGAAATTCCTATAATTTTGCCCGATCCAGTCAGTATCTGTTCCGCGATGGACTGCTCAGACGTACGCCGGGCGATCCTTCGGGTCTGTTGGGTTATAGAAGTAATCGCTATGCAGAATCGAGCCAATCTTGCGTTTGACCTCCCAGATAGTGGCGTCGCGCGAGATGTCACGTAACTCGATCTCCATGGACGCAACAATGCTCAAGCGCAGTTGACGTAGGAGGCTGTGCGTGCGCAGATGGTGACAGAGTGAGACGATGAGTGTGGTGGGTGCTGAGGAGAAGGGCTTAAGTAGATGGGGGGTCGGTCAAAGCAACGATAGAGTTCGCGATGCATTCTCCGCCGCTTTGACTGTGGCACGCCTAACACGCGCTCGGTGGCTGTCGGTGAGAACAGAAGCGCAACACGCGGCGCGTTTCATCGCGATCACGTGCGACGCCACACTCGCGTCGCTGGTGGCGTCGTACGAGCCTTGTACTTGTGACAATGTCTTGTGAGACTCAAGTACATCCCCCAAGAACCAGAACGATGGTCTTTTTGTAAGACGGCGTTAACATACAGAGCAGCCAATAAAAAGACACCGCGTAACTCGAGAATCAAAAACGACCCAGAAAGCGTTACTTGTATGGGATCCCTGTTACAAGCTTAGAACAAATCATGTTATGCAGCAGCGAAACGTACCGTTTTGCAACTGTAGATGTCACTATCAATAAGCATACGAGCAGACATTGCCACGCGACTCACCCTTTGGAACTCGTCATATGCTGTGCTTCTAACGTTCTCATGTGCATTCCTCACGATAGCCATCATCCACTCCGCCGCTTGCCTTTCCGCGAGGCCAAGCGCGAAGCGATCCCTCAGCCGTTTGATGGTCGGCTCTCCCTTGAATGATGGCAGCTGCGTGTCCAGCATCATCTGCACGGTGCTCACGATCTGATCTGCATGGGGTCTGATCGCCAGGAAGGCCTTCACTGTCAGCTGCTGGAACATCTGGTAACCTTGCGAGTTCCGCCCTCCCATGAGAACCACCATCTCGTGGGTGAGTTTGAATGAGTTGGGCTCAAACTTGACGCCCTTTCGAATAACAGGGATTAACAACCTAACAAATGCAAAAGTAGAAGGACTTACTCCTGGACGTAATGGGAGGAAGCAAGTCAGCTAAGTCAAACATCGAGGCAAATCCGCCGAGCACTCATCTATGTCGAACAAGAATCCAAAATCTGCGTATAAACATCTAAGCGCTGTTGTCTCGTTCCATGACAGGCTGGATCCCTCACCAATGTGTACGATATGGCCTTCCCCGTCGATCATGATATTGCCGTTGTGTCGGTCCTTCACCTGAAGAATGTAACAAGCCACCGAATACGCCGCCATGGACTGTATGAAGTTCAAGCGAGCCTTCTGGAACTCGATGGTATCCTCGCCGCCGTACTTTGCGATGAAGAAGTCGAGCAGATCGTTGACCTTCGCCCGGCCCATCTCATCTCGAGACGTCGAGTTGGGCACAACATCGATGACGCCACACTGCATGGCAATGCTGAACTTCGGAACACTCTGGATGAATGAATAGAACATACCCCAGGAGCGGTAGCAGTGACGCGGTACGGGTAGAGATAGAGCATCAATCCGACGCTGGTGAAGATGTTCTTGAACATCGCGATGACCTGCAACGCCAGCACGTCCTGCCGACAGTCATCGCCGACCTTGAAGATGGCTTGTTGCCAGACGTCGTACTCCTCTACTCTTGACACTTGCCCTTCGCCTTCAACGACGCTCTCATCAGCCTCGATCACAGCGCGTTCCTTTCGGACTTTGAACGTTGCCATGAAGGGCGCCTGGTCTGCTGATCAGTACCGGCCTCCCCCACACGCCCATATTCCCGCACCTTTGCATGGCTCTGCAATGGTCTACCAGACTTCTTGTCAATATCCACCACAACACCGTCAGGGTTGCTAGGCAGATAGACCCCGATGTCCACTTCGATCTTGGCCATCTCCTCGTCGATCTTGGCCTGTGAATCCACGGATGAGTGCAACTTCAGAGCCACAGGCAGCAGATTCTACGAACCTTCTTCTCGGGTTTGGGTCGTCTGATATACGGCTTCAGCTTGCCCGATATTGACGTGATCTCATTGAAGAATCCGAACTCGCGCTCGTAGAACGCCTTAGCTTCACCCGAAAGTGACATCACTACACGATCGGTCATGTCGTCTAACATAGGCTTCATCGGGTCCTCCTGAGGGTCTTGTCAGTAGCAGAGAGATTGTGCATAGCCAGTCGTACTCACAATCTCTCCTCCATCATCCTTGTAGCAATTCGCTTTCATGTTCCATATGATCTGATGGCAGAATAGCTGGGATATCTTCGCCGTCTCGAAGATGAAGCGCTGCACATAGCCTACGCACGAAATCAACAACTGTGAGATCGAGAGGCGTGATCGAGGCGCACCCAACGGATCATGACGAAGAGCCTGTACAATCTGAGGAACGAAGAAGAACGTTAGGTCGACTGGATGCTGCTCCAGTACACGGTGCGCATATTGGAGGAGTATGGGATCGTTGTGGTATCTCGTCTCGAAGAAGTTGACGGCGAGGATCGGAGGGATAGGTTCCCATAGCAGCAAATACTGGGTTGTCTACGTCAGTGGTGAGGTTTATGATATAAGCACACCGACCAACCTTCAGGTCTCGTCGCAAAGTCTGATCTAACTTATCTCCAACTAGATATCGTAGGGCTTCCGGATACTGCAGGGTATCTAGCGTACTGGACCGCACGAGATGGCCAACTTCTCTGTCGACTGTCGGATGATTGAATCGCTCAGCAAGTCCAAGAGCAATTGCGGGGTCCAATTCCCAGGTCTTTCGAACAGCACTGGTCCATGAGCTCTGCACAGATCGTGAGTGGTTATACAAACACCCATGAATGACATTATACGGCTTACATCCATCATAGTCTTCTCAATGGACACAACATGGTCTGGACCTCGTTTCGGGTCGTTCGTCGGATTCGACCACACTGTTAACCTTGCGATCTCGTTGTCTACGAGGAGTCGCAGAGGCAGGTTGAGATTCTTCAGGGACGCAATGTACTCTGTGGGAGGCTAAGTTGGTAGATGTAGGCACTGGCATACTCAGTTACGCACGAGAGGCCTGTGAAGAGGACTGCCCAGGGTTCAAACTAGAAATGGCTTGGTACCCTCTGATTGAATCTGTATGCAGATGGTTCAGGAACTCCGATAGCAACTTGATGTCGGCATCGATCTGCACGCGGTTAGAGCCGTAGGACCACCTGTATTTGGGTGAGCGCGACCCGTATCGTCAATATGAATATACACACTGAGGCCGTGTGCTGAACCACGAGAAGGCCGCCCGATACAGGTTGTACCGAAGTTGATGCTCGCAGAAGATATCCAGGTGGGAGGTCTTGAGCGTCTCGAAGCCGAACAACAAGAATGAGAACCGCACTTCGCGTGCAAGTGGGTGTGTGCTTTTACATATTTAGCGGTCTGCAGCACATGAGAAACTCTGCACCTCACCTGTATGACTTATAGGCACGAGCCGAGGCCAATGCGAGCCGTTGGAGCAGGAGCATCAGACCAGGCTTCCGATACCTAGCAGCCTGCATCCTACTGAAAAGTAGTTGAAGGATGAGAGTGTGCGGTGACAAGAGCCTGCGAGCGCTCGCAGTGCTGCGGTCGATGACAGTCTTGTCGGTGGGATTATACTCAACGGGATGAAGGAATGGGTCTGTGTAGCTTGAGCGAACGTGAGCGCAAGTCATACCCTTGGTGACACGACACAAGAACATACTCGAGTGCCTTGGAAAACATTCCTCTTTCGTGCTTGATAGTTGCGAGCCAGGCAGAACCAATCTCAGACATCAAGGCGACCTCATAATCAGGCTTCTCTGCAATCACCCACGACCAGGCTTCAATACCGGCGGAGATTGCAGACGGCGTGAAGGCCTCGAACGGCAGTGCGACGAGGTAGTGTAGCAGATCATACTCATACTGCAGGGTTCCATTAGCGCACGGCCGAGGGTAGAAACGTCAAAGTCACCTTATCAGCATAGATGAGAGTCGCAGCGCATCGGAAGAGGAGCCGCTTGAGATCGCGGATGGCCATCGGATGCCTCTTCTCTCTGATGTCTTCAGTAGCACGTATAATCTTGAGCTTCAGCTTCTCTGCCTCCAGGTCGGCGACAGACTCAGAGCTAGTGATGTGATGTTTTTCCAATCCTATTCACAGCAAGTCAGCTTGACCGACTAACTGATTGAAGACCGTCCTTACCATCCATATGCCCTGCTCTATATCCATTGACTTCACCGGCAAAATAGCCCTTCGACGCTATCTGACTGGCAATGAGTTTGGCGCTATCAAGCTTCCAGCTCGACATTGCAGATATCGACACTGAATTTTGTCAACGACGCCATGGCGTAACTGATACTTGGTGCATACTCAGCTTGCGGTCAATGGGCCCTATGGCTCTGCCGTATTGAAGCGCGACTGAGGCACCCAGTTCCGATGCCTCTGTAGCAGACAATACCTGGTTGACCGCGAGATATTTCTACATTCGCTGTTTAGAAGGGCATCTTCATTTCACAGATCAAGAAACTTACCTGCAACGTGGAGTGCAACTCAACCGGCGCTCGACCTAGGGCCAACTCAAACCAGCTGTTCGCATTCCTCTGCAACTCCGCTAGCATTTGATTACGCGCTTCATAGTTGTCGGGGAGCTTTAACGTAATGTCGGCACGGTCAGAATGATAGATGTACTCGGGATTGTCCTGAACAGGCAAATCAGCATGGAATACAATTGCGCACGACTGTGAAGGTACCTCGTCCACGAACTCGTTCTCGCATGCCCGGCGTAGTAGAGTCAAAACCTCCAGAATGGCGAAAACGAGGGGCGGGTCACACATAAGGGATGGGAACGAAGTGATGAGACGATTGAGGTATCTGGAAGCGATGTCACGAGCACTGGCAATACGATGCGTACTGGCGAGGAGCAAGGAGCGCAACTGAAACGGAAGTTCCTGGGGTAGAGCCTGCTTGGCCGCCTGCACGTTGAGCTCGCCAATGCAGCCCCGAATGACCTAGGGAGGGACTTCAGAATACGAGGGTATGAGACGAAAAAGAGAACCGACTTTCTCGGCCACGGATTCCATGCAGGCCTGCAATGAGGCGTTCTTGTTCAATCCATTGTTTACGAAGAATGTGACCAATGACGAGGGAAGCCCCGCCGCTGATCGCATGTTCTCCAGATCATGCATGCAAAGCAAGAAGATGACCTGTCCGGGGAGTAGATATCGTATTTCGCTGACACGGATTGGTATGTGCTTGGCCAACAGAGAACGATGTTTCGATATGACCTGCAACATAACGACGATCAGTCCCCGAGTCCTAGTAAATATATGATGCGCTCACTGTCTCGATGTATTCTTGACGTATGACCGTGTTGTATTCAAGGTCGCTGACGATGGTATCCTGCGCTTCTTCCAAAATGAGGGGAGGCGTCTTCATAGCGATGCGAGCCAGGGCGGGCTGCTGCCAGTCCATCGCGGATTGTTGCTTCTGCTCACTGGGCGTCGTGAACTGGAACAGAACACACAAGAACCACATGTTGCGGAACAACGTCACGATGTTCGAAGGCGCATTGGGAGAGGGACAGAAATCATCGTGGTTCAGAAGCGCGTCGATCGGTAAGAGCAGCGATGCCAGTTGCTCGATCATGTCTTCCATCTGCATACACAAGTTAGTTACATGACAAGTGCGCCAGCGGCGATCTCACCTTCGCTAGATGGTTGGAGATAGCAACATTCTGGATCGCAACGCCTTTGTCTGCGAAGAGCGTCAAGAGTTCCACGAGGTAGATATCGTAGAATTCGGGCCTCCGGTGCAGTTCTTGTGCCAGGCGGGTCTGCGCGGCTAGGACCTTTGTGACGTCAGCTAACAGCACGATGTATAGGACACATTCAAATTACCTGATTATTAGAGAATCTCTGATCGTCTAGATTCGCGGAGCGATTGATGCCGGAGAAGGCGCAGATGATGTCCACGAATGAGCTTTCCGGCGCAACTAGCGCTAGATCCACTAGGTTGTATGCAATGGCTGCTTCCACAGTGGGCTCAGCTGTTCGCAAACGTTGCAGCAACATTGACACCGTAAGGCGAGTCACCTACGTCTTCGTTAGCATTGTGATAAGCACAGAATGGATTGCGTTCCACCTCTTCAGATTGGAATTCGAGTGCCAATCGAGTCGCAATGGAGATGCTACTGATCCCGACCGTCCTTTTCTCGTCTTCCGACAATCCACGCAAGCCGATTTCTACTGAGTGCAACGTCGAGATATCGGTCATGTCTGTCACCGTCGAGGCATGTGAGCTCGTGCCATCGATAGTCTCCTTGCTTGTGGCAGCAATGTAGTTGAGTATGGAGTACATGTACGACATGACCTGATCGTCTCCCGGAGCCAACTAACAAGACGTTAGCTTTGTCAGAAACCAAAGGGTGCATATACATACATTGATGCAGAGGGCGAGGCACTTTGCAGCCGCTACCAGCGGAGGTGGCGTCCGCGTACCTGAGATGAACTCAAACTCAAATATAGACAGTGGCGACGTGACCCAGCGACGGAGGTGTCCAGCCATGTCAAGAGCAATCTCAGGGAAACTGACATAGTCAGCGTGGCTCGAAGCCGACAGGCTGTGACGTACTTGCGGACCAGGATGGCAATAGACTTGAGTGCGGCCTCGCGTACCATGTTGTCGCATGCGGGCGATTCAATTCCAAGCAACCGTCTCAGTCGGTTGTAAAGTCCTTTGTCGAGTTCTCCCAACGCAGTTGAACACACAGCCGCCAATTTCTGCCAATGTACAGCTTCAGCACACGTTCGCGTATGGAGGTACGCAGGCGGCATACCAGACTCTCCGACATTGTTTCCCAAGCGTAGCTGTCCTCCGATGGCTCTGTGTCCATTTCCTCGATCTGTACCAGCAGGGTGGAGAAAGACTTCATAGCATAGTCTCGCGTCGCCTTCAGCGTCTGCCTGCAACCTTCATCCGATACTGTGTTGTCGGCGATGGCACTTCGCAGTAATGCCTGCCATGCCTTGTTGGCGGCGGCCGCTTCTACAAAGTCGGGATAGCCGGGATTGCTTGACATGGTTGCGTTGCCCACTGCCTGTGCGAGGATTGTCCACTCCGCCTCTGTGACGCAGCATACGATGAAGTAGCCGCTCAGCGGTCTGCCGCGCGAGACGTATCGAGTGAACAACGTATGGATGTATTGTATCTGGTCCATTTCTTCTTCTTCTGCGCCGCTCGGTACTATGTCGATGAGTAGCCGATTCAGCCGTTCAGCGACACCGACGTCGAATAGCGCATTGAGCAGTTGAGACAGAGTAGACCATTCTTTGACAGACCAATTGAATGATACGGAGATAATTGCCCTATAGAATCCGTGGAAGGCGGGGGCAATCTGAGTGAGGATATCCACCGCTTGAAACGGATGTAAGAACGATTTCCGAAAACTCTGCCACGAAGACTCACCCTCGCCGGTTTTGAGCAAGCTCACTATCTTGTCGGTGAATCGCACTATCGCGTCGAATGCATGCCCACGATACTCCGAATGAGTATTGGCAATCTGAAGTAAGGCAGACACCGTAGAAAAGACGAGCTGATCAGGCAGTGCCCATTCTATAGTCGCCCATATGAGACACCGAACCCAAGAGTGACGCTGCACTCACCTTCCCAGAACAGACATTGGTCGAAGTCGATGTAGGGAACATCACGCAGGATGTCCACAAGCACGGGGACTGTTTGCTCTACGTGCACGTCGGGCAAGCTTACGGCGAGTTCCGCGAATCCAATACTGCATTGCACCCTGGAGTTTGACTACAACAGACCTGTAGGCAACGTAGCATATATGAGAAGAACGTGCTCACCATGAAGACTCTCGCTTCCTCAGCATCCTCCTCTTCGTCTGCATCCTCCACAGCACGCGTCTCAACATTCGACGTCACCAAGTCTATTGCGGCCGCAACGTCTGTATTGTGTACGTCTTCCTTTGCCTCTCCGACATTGATTGCGAGGTCAGTCAATATGAGTTGACGTATGTTAAGCTCCAAACTACACGACTCAAGTCAAATGGGTCCCGTAACTTTGAGGCAGCGAGGTCACTCACCAATCCATAGTGCGTCAGAGAAAGGATGGGTATCCAGAGTGTAGTTTGAGCCGCAAAGAATCGAGAACTCGAACCCAGTGGGATGGTTGCAGCTCACACGCGTCAAGACTCAAGATGGGCCTGAGCGCAGTGAAGACGTCGGTCACTTGGGTCCGGGGAGCAAATGCCCATCCGGCGATCAAAATCTGGTGCAGTGCTCCGTTTGGCAACTCGATACAGTAAGATGATTTGGAAGTACTTAGTGAATGTTGCGGGACACATGGCAACGCCATCATAATGCTACGCACCCACAGGCTATTAACAGCAATACCGAAGTGGGTACGAAGCTAGTGACTACATCCGTGTCCTCGCCACAGTTTGTAAAACGCTTTGCTTTGTGCATGGATCCACTTTGCGTGATCATGAACGAGAAATACAGGGAAAGCGATGTATCTACATCAGAATCTTGGGCAAGCCTATACCTATTGCAACAGTACTACGTACAGTTCCTTCCATTGGACTCAAGTACAGGGGTCAGAATATCCACGACTAGCAGTACAGATGATATCACAATTAGTATGTCAATGCCTCAATAATCCCGTCAAGTATCCGCAAAGAATCCGGCATGTAGAACTTTTCGAATTGCATGGGGACAGGCATGCTATGAGTCTGTCAGATCAGCCATGTAGGAGACTAATAGAAGAGTACGTACTCCCATCCTGTGATCAGCTTGACCGGCGCGTTAAGCTTCAAGAAGCATCTCCTCTGGATTTCCGCGCCAATCTCAGCACCAACGCCGCCCACACGACCAGCTTCATGGACAACGACGAGCCTGCCTGTGCGGTTGACACTCTCTGCGACAGTATCGACATCCCATGGGAGGATGGTACGCAAGTCTATGAGTTCCACCTTCGCACCACGCACCGACGATGGTACATGCGACGAGAGTTTATCGGATGGGTTAGCGAGCATATGCAACGCAGTCTCGCAGTGATATATGGGTGTACCCCAGGAGAGCACAGTAAGATCCGAGCCCCGAATCAGCGTTTCCGCTTTCGAAAGAGGTAGTTGATAGTCGCCCACAGGCACTTGTTCAACTGGACCAGCGTAAGCATGCGACTAGGTTGTGTGATTCGGCACCTTTATGACCTACCCGCAGAGCGATACAGAATCTTGGGCTCCATGAAGATTACTGGGTTCGGGTCGCGAATAGATGCAAGCAGTAAACCCTTTGCTTGAGTAGGAGAACGAGGGATGACAACCTGACAAGGCGAGATGTGAGATAATACGTGATCAGCGCGAGTCCGAGCAGACCTTGATTCCTGCTGCGCCCATGAAGAATCCCTCGGGACTCTGGGAATGATAGTGTCCACCATGTCCAACCGCCATCGAAGGGCATCGAATGGTAAGCGACCCAGCGTCAAATTGACCATACGAGCGGTAGCGGTATTTCGCGGCTTCGTTGACGATCTGTACTCTCGATAGTACCCCTTATGAGCGGAAAATATCAGTGCAGCATACCTGATCAAATGCGGGGAAGATGTAGTCGGCGAACTGGATCTCAGCGATTGCCGTTTGGCCCATAGCCGCAATTCCTATCCCGAAACCAGCGATACCTTGTTCGCTCAGCGGGGTATTGAATACCCTCTCTCTGCCTGAGGCTCATGAGTCTGGTTCATAGTTGAAACAAAGCATGTGCCATACCAAATTCCTCTGCTAACCCCTGTCAAGGTCCGTTAACTGAGCGCATCCTGAACTCCACAGCCGTGTATGCTCACCATTGTACATCGGAACACTCCACCAAAAGCCACATCTTCACCGAACACCACCGCCGTGTCATCTCTCATCATTGCATTGCTGCAGAAGGTGTCTATGGGGTAAGCTCCGCGAATATAAATAGTAGCCAGCCACCGACCTTAACGCGTCGCGGACTGCTTGGTACATGTTCATCTTGCGCGTTTCGCGCCCCGCGATAAGACTGTCCGACGACCCCGATTCCTGTTCATCTGTCCAGTGTATCCCTGCCGTGCGGAGGGCTGAGTCGCGGGTTGTCCGGAGAAACGAGGATGTAGCTACAGAGGGGAGATGGCCACCAGCCGGGTGAGCCACGGTGGCCGTCGAGTTCCATCTGCGGACGCGCCGCTGGTTTCATTCAGCAACGAATGTACGAAGCGTGCATCGATGCTTACATGCAACCGTGCAAGAGTTGCTGCTCGCCATCGCCCCGTCGACTTGAGAGAGATCATGGTGGCTGGTACCAGTGAGACTGGTTCAGCGCCGGCCCTGGTCATCCGACACAAGAGGCCAAGTCCCTTCCGGATCACGTCCTCGCCGTCTTCGCCATCTGGTCGGCCCAAGCTACCCACTGGCCGTTGCAGCCTCACATCCCGTGGGCAGCATGGAAAATGACTCGACCTTCGTTGCCCCCGAAGGCGTGTACTCAGTGACGGAAGAGCACAAGCCGACAGTCTCGGTGGGCCAGCATACAGTCAACGCGGTCCCCATCCTCTACCCCACACGCCTTTCCGCAGTAACTGTCCGCTACCCCACGAACAAATCTGTCAACTCGCCGGTCTTTACGCAGCTGCTGGGAGGGAATCGAGAGAAGGAGAGTAAGAGGGACAAGGACAAGGACAAGGTGCCCTCCAAGGCGGAGGATGGCCTGAGCATCTCGAGTAGCGAGGATCCAGACGATGCTTCACCAGACGTCTCGACGGCCCCAGGGCCGGAGAACGTGAAGACGTCGCCCATGGTCGGGCATGACATGCCCAACAACATCTTCTCACATACGCCTGCCGGCAAGAAGAAGGGGACGGCGCGTCCCAAGCACAACATGCGGACTACATCCTCCACGTTCATTACCCGCTTGCAGAACGCGGATAATCTGCATAGGAATCTGCAATCGAAGCAGGGGGAGACCACCTTCCTGTTCTACAATGCGGCGAAGAGCTTCATATGGACAGAGGCGGGTACCAAGGCGAAAGTGAGTCGTCGCTCTGCTCAAGTATGGGGTAAGTGTTGATGGTGGAATAGGACACATTTGCCAGGATCCATTTCTCAGCCCATCCCACTTGTCACGATGTAAACCTCGCAACGGTGTGTCCGGAACGAATAGACGTCATTATCGGGTTCAACACCGGGGATCTTCTGTGGTTCGGTGAGGCGTGCACCGTTTCGACGAGTATCATCTAATGCCTTCTAGATCCGATGTCTTCCAGATATGGCCGTCTGAACAAGCAGGTGTGCTATCTCCCTCAGTCCCTGCGCCACCCAAGAATATGCTAACGTGTCTCAAGGGTCGCATATGTAGCTCCCCATGCACAGCAGTTCGATGGGTGCCTGATTCACCAAACCTATTCCTCGTCTCCCATGCCAACGGCACCATTCTCGTATACGACAAGGAACGCGAGGATGGTGCATTCGTCCCGCAAGAGCCAGGGGCGCCCTCTGGGTCCGCGCCTGCTTCGCCAGTAGAGGGCACTGCTTCGGGCTCCTCCATGGGAGAATGGGATCCGCTAGACAGCATCTTCGTGACCATGCCACCTTGGCATCCTGTCACTGCTGGTGGTGTGATATCCGGCGGAGGGAAGCAGGACAAGGATAAGACTGCCAAAAACCCTGTCAGCCACTGGAAGGTGTCTCGTAAGAGCATCGTAGGTCAGGGAGAAAATACTACGTTGTGTATGCACACTAACACGAAGGATGCCAGACTTTGTTTTCTCACCAGACGCAAAGTTCGTCGCCGCCATATCTGAGGATGGCTGTCTCAGAGTTATAGATACCATTGCGGAACAGTGAGTCGTCTTACGCGCTTTGTGACGGATGCTCTGGCGCTTACACGTATGAAGGCTTGTCGATTGCTACGCTTCCTACTTCGGTGCTCTCAGCTGTGTAGCGTGGTCTCCAGATGGGCGTTTCATCGTCGTGAGTTCCCGGACTACGGTATTGCTTGCAAAGACACTGACTGGTCACTAGACTGGAGGTCAGGACGATCTAGTGACGATCCTCTCGCCATGGGAGCAGCGAGTCATCGCTCGCTGTCAGGGTCATTCCTCATTTGTCTCTGCCCTCGCGTTCGATGACATTCGTTGCGATGGTCGCACCTACCGGTTTGGCAGTGTTGGTGAAGACAACAAACTCATTCTGGTACGTACATACTGGTGGCCTTGTTGAGTTCTTCTCTTCATACCGCATACAGTGGGACTTTTCAAGCGGGGCACTCCATCGACCCAAGGTACATGTGAGTTGAACGGATGCCAACGCTCATTTCGTGACTGAACGCTGTTGTGCAAAGGTCTCGCATCAACAACGACTATCGATGACCTCCTCGTTGTCTCTCGCCCTCCGTAGACGAGGGGAGTCCACACTATTCCTATCACCCAACGGTGCAGAGCCCATGCCACGCTACCATCCCGCGCCGTCTCGTAACGAGGTGGCAGTTGTACAGCCAGTGCTTGTGAGTGTCCACATTGTCGGTTAGACTGATCGCTCACAGGCTGCAGGTCAAACACATCGGTGCCGATATGCTGACCGACATCATGTTCATGTCTCGAGGCATCCTCACGGCGTCCAGAACAGGCCACATCAAGTTGTGGATCAGGCCACTCGTGGTGAAGCCACGTCATTTGCGGCACCAGAGCGCATACCGGAGGGACTCATGGGTAGACGTTGCTGCTTGATTCCGCTCTCCATTCGCTACCGTTATCATTATTCATCGCATACTATATTTTGACATCTCCCTCAGATCTTGCTTTCGACCACCACGTTCTACAGACTGAATTTTGCATCGCTGCGTTATACTGATAGCCCATGGCATGGGATCAAGCATGGTTCTTTGCATTGCGTCGCATCGGACCCATGAACACGGTGGTCCCATTTACGACGTACAATCTCAACGTACTGCTCCTCGCTGTCAGCACTATCTGCGCACCACGACTGCCCATCTCTCCAGCAACTTGTTCGTCAAGCACGCCGCCTCCCAGCTAGCAAAGAATCGTTCCCCCCGCCAGTGGGCGACGCCGTGTTGCTGGACGAACCTCTCCGTAGCGACCCTGTCTTCTTCCAAAGCATGCACATACGCATGTAGCGAGCTGGCGTACGCCTCTGAGATGTTGACGATGGAATTGACGACCAGAGGGTTCGGACCTGCCGTCAGAAGCTGCAGAATTTGGGGCAGAGACGAGAACAGTGGGGCGGGAGCCCATGGGCCATGCTGATTTGTGGGGTGAACCTGCTTCTGGGAAGTCTGCTTGAACCCACTGCGAGGTAAGAACGGTAGCGCAGCGAGGACGAAGTTGTTACTCGGGAAGGAGGCTGTTGTCCCCGGGGTCGTGAAGACGAGAGTCAAGCTGGTTCCGGGTACTAGGGATGCCTGTAATTCCTTGACCGAGCTTTCCATGAGGGTATATGCGACTCCGTCGAGGGAAATGGCCGGGGGAAGCGCCGCAGAGACGACACTGGGCAGCAGCGGGGTCTTTTTGAGTTCCACGTTCGCAGATGGTGGCTCGAAACCCGTATATGAATGTTTTTCAGAAGCATGCCAATTGACGGAGAATGACTCTGGCGCTTGATGAATGCTTGGGGTCACCGGGGTTACATGTTGACTTACCTGGTACCATAGCTGACAACGAACCCTACGTTATAGCGGTCCACGCTGAGTTTCTTAAAGTCTGAGGCGTCATATACTATGTGCACTCACCCGTGACTTCGGCGGCGACAATTGAGCAGAAAACAACCATCCTAATACGTCGGCCCACAATGCTCGTTCCACGCTGAGACCAAAGGTCCAGTCCTCCACCCGCAAACCATCTCGGAGTAGGCCAGGAAGGTCAAGCTTCGGATGTCTGAGTTCTATGCGCCCGCTCAGGATGTCGTCCACCAGTGTACCAAGGGGTAGGCGTAGAGTAGTGCGGCGAGCAGCGACAGCTCTTTGTACCAGTTTGACGTAGGACGCAGGCCAGAGGGAACAAGTCGGCGTCAGGATGTAGAGCAAGGCTTGGAGCAGCTGGCGACTTTCCGGCGCGCGACGAGCGCGAGAGCGAGATCTCCGTGAGGATATCGCGTACAGAGTGATGACGGAGATTACTGCTGCGCATATACAGCTACAAAGCCAGTGACGAGACAAGAGTTCTCTTGCCAATGCGATGTCGATCTCACTTGGTAGTGGAAGCCTAGACAAGGAAGAGTACAGTGACAGAAGCCGGTCGCTGGCCTGCAGGGTACGCCCTTGAAGATACGCGACACTGATTGACGGTAACATTGCCCGGAAGCAGAGGAGGAACAAAAGTCGCTGTGGCGAGGCGGAAGAAAACAAGGTCAACTCGTTCGAACTTCCGACGAACAGGCCCTGTTCGGCCGTTGTGGCGCGGCGAGTCGGACCTCCGGAGACGGCGGCCCGGCCCGAACATGACTTCAGCATCCACTGGGTGATCGCTCACTGACAGCGCCGGCGCCATAGCGAGCAACCTCACTTCGAAATTGGATGTATTGCTCGACTTGCTGTATGCATGAGTCATATCGTCGTCGCATGCAAGGACTGTACTCTTGTTACAAGCTAAATTACGGGACCGTCTTTGAAGAGGAATTCCCAGAGAGCGGAAGGATTCGAATAATCATGGTGAATGAGGGTCAACAGCCACCGCTCATTGCGTACGCTATCCAAGAGCTTGCGCTCATCGGAGCCGGGCGGATAGAACGATGCCCATTCTTCCCAGATTGCGAATGCCTCGTCCTAGAAGGTTCACCGATTCAACAGAGACGTAACAGCGATGACTGTGGGGCGTTACCTTCCAGGAGAGGAACGACTCTTCCTCGATGATGGTCGTTTGTGCGACCTCTTGGCCAGGGAAGATACCCCACGTAACGGCATTCCTACCCTCTGGCGACACAGTGGTACGTAGTTCGCCCTTATGACGATTGTTAACCCCGACTGTCTCATCGACGAAATGAACTACTCTCACCTTGACGTTCGCCGCGTAGTAATCAACCCATCCTTCGCCCTTCTCTCTGACCTTTCGCTCGATCTCCTCAAGATCTTTCTGCTCTACGAAGCACTCCACGAAGCACTTCTGGTACACATATCCGCCGCGCGGACCCCAGCCCACAACCTCATCCGTTGAGCTTGCACCATTTATCGTGGGCTGTGAACCGACGGTCCACCACCCCTGCTTCGTTAGCCGCTCGAGGTGCTCGATGATCATGAGAGACTCGGGTAACAGCGGAGTAGGGGAGAACGGTGTAGTAGCGATTTTGGAGTGGAGGTGGTGGAGGAACATGGTTGTGAGGTCGTTGAGTGTTCTGGGATTGCCCCATTGTTCGATTGCTTGGTTGCGCTAATAACGGAAGCTCGGATTGTGTGGTTGATGTTGTGGAGGAAACGCACTCACAGACAATATTGAGCTTCCCCAAAGATCAGTTTCACCGTAAGCAGGACTCTTATAGTCACCGAAACGACCGTTCGGGAAGTCGTCCCAGCTGGCCGCGTTATTCAGCTCGCCCTTGCCTGCCTCGCCTTCTGGCTGTGGACCTGCCACGGCGAGGGAAACCGCAGCAGAATCTGCCGCGCGATGAGGGGTGATACTACGTTCGTCCAGCCCTGCCGGCGTGTCCTGGGATAAATACTGAGTTGTGGTGACCTTTGGAGGTAAAGGTATCGTGTTATACCGTGATGAGCTTGTTTGCAGATTTCAGGCTCCCACCGATCCAACCGAGATCTTCCAAAATGCGAACGATGCTCTTCTCAAGGTTGAGCGTGCAGAAGTGCAAGCCGCGAATATCTCCGCTGGCTATCATTTGCCGAATCATCTTTACCGCGAGATCGACGCCATAGTCTTTGACTTTCTGGTCGTCATTCTGCCGTGGACGGTCAACACCTGGTTATGGACATCATCGCATTGGTGGACGCACTCGTATTGGCACAAGATCTGCCATGAGCTCTAGGGGCACTCGCGTACCGCATAACTTGGTCATGCGCAAGAAGGATGCGTACGTTTGAATAGGCATTATGCCTGGGATGATGGGCACAGTGACGCCTTTGAGAAAGCAAACCTTAGCGAGACCACGTCGGAAGCCGTAAGACAACCAACCTTTCTGTCGCACTCTCTTGACCCAGGCCAGAAAGCCATCGACATCATAGAATAGTTGCGTGATAATGAAGTCGCCGCCAGCGTCGATCTTCTGCTTCAAATATTCAATTTCTCCTTCCTCCTCAATCTCTTTGTCAGGATGACCGTCCGGATAGGCTGAGGTCATACATTCAGTATTGTTCGGTGACGGTGCGAGAGGAGAAGAGACCTGCCACCCCGACGCAAAAGTCGGACGCAAACTCCGGAGTGGTCTTGATGAAACGGACAAGGTCTACGGCATGCGTGAAGCGTGGATCCGTGGGTATCCAATGTTCTTGTCCACGAGGGGGGTCTGCGAGAACGTCAATCCAGAGCGATCTCATTCAATCGCTCCCCATACCTCCTCTAAGAGCTAATATTGTCTTAATCCCACGAGCCTTTGCGTCCTACAAAGACAGCTCGGCGTCATGAACTATGTTATGCCAAATATGTGGACATACCCGCAAAGCGTCTTCAATCATGCCCTTCTTCATGTTTGTACATGTCAGGTGGAGGATGGTATCGACACCATGCTCTGATTGAGTTATCCCCGCAAGCTCTAGACTTCTCTCTTTCGTGTTCCCACCAGCTCCCCAAGTTATACTCAACGTAAGAGGATCGAGGGTGACCAAGCGTGCTATCCGCGACAGTAGATTCTCAAATCCCTGACATCTGCCGTGTGAGGGTCAAGCTCGGTGAACATCGCAACGCACAGACCTGGTCAGTCTTGGGCGGGAAGAACTCAAAGCTTAACCAGGGACGATCCTTGTCATACTGAGCGATCTTTTCGGTGAGCTTCATGCTTTCGGGCGTGTGCACGCGGGCAGGGAGCGATGGTGGGTCAGACTGGAGTCAGCCATCGTCGTGTGCGAGCCGGACCATACAACTCGGTCAAGTCCTCCGGGAAATCGAAAGCGCACGATGGTCACGTGCGCCCATTTACCCCGCCGATCGTGTACCTCGCGGCGGCAGTCATTCCCGGCGACCTCACCGACTGCTATCTCCTGCTCATTACCAGAGGCAGCGAGCGAGTTTCTGACCTTGTGTACTTGTCTTCCACTACACTGTCACAGCCTTCTCCAACGACGACTCAGGATACATTGCTTACACTATGGCAACCTCACCCGTAACTGCTGACTTCTCGTCCCCGCCGCTGAAGCGCAGCAAGATCGTTCTTCTCGGGGACCAGAGTGTTGGAAAGACGAGTCTGATCACTAGGTGTGTAGCATTTCTTAGCGCATGTGCTCTTCTTGACGTTACCTCCTCCGCTGCACCGCATTGCGGCTGACCATACTTGTGTAGATTCATGTACGACACCTTCGACAACACATACCAGGCAACAATAGGAATCGATTTCCTGAGTAAAGCCATGTATCTGGAGGATCGGACAGTACGGCTACAATTGTGGGATACCGCTGGGCAAGTAAGCAAGATCTTGTCACTAGCACGCCGAGAAGCGCTCTGACGTGGACTTAGGAACGGTACCGGTCGCTCATACCGTCGTACATTCGTGATTGTTCCGTGGCTATCGTTGTGTTTGACATCACAAGTGTGTATTATCACTGTGCGCGTGAAAAATGTACACTTACGCTGCGTTGCGTTGCAGACCGACAGTCATTCATGTCGACGGAGAAGTGGATAGACGACGTACGCTCAGAACGGGGGAACGACGTCATTATTGTGCTCGTTGGCAACAAGGCTGATCTTTCTGACAAGCGGTAAGACATACTCTGGTGCTTGCGAGATGAGTATTCATTGCCTCACAGACAAGTGACGCTTGAGGAGGCCAACCAGAAGGCGGCACAGCTCGAGATCATGTTCATGGAGACGTCCGCAAAGGCTGGGCACAACGTAAAGAGTCTCTTCAAGAAGATCGCCATGGAGCTTGTCGGCATGGAGAAGGAGACAGAGGTCGCGGAGACTCAAAACACCAGTACGTCACCACTGGACTCAGGGCACTTCGTTGCTGAGTCTGACGATGTGCGACACAGAAATCGACGTAAAAGCACCACCAGCAAACGAGATTCCCGATGCATCTTCTTGCAATTGCTGACCGGTCAGATACATCTTGTATTGAACTGTACTGCTGGATTGCTCTTGGCTATGTTGCACTGTAAGTACTGTGCATTAATATCTATTCGTTTCCTACCGTCTCGAACCCGATGTTTGCTAGCGTGCCGACAAACAGTGAGTCTGTGTGGTATTATCTGCATAAATATCCGAGGAGAACTGGAGTATGACCGATAATTGCAATGAGTTAGTATACTGATACACTAGGATTACAAGTCGTCCCACTGTAACGAACACCGTTTACTGCGTTTCTCAAGGTACTCATCCCCTGTTGAGAGTATTACCCGCGCCCTTGGGATGGGTATCCGTGTACTGTGCCCATTTCTCATCCTTCTGGCGTTTCTCCTCCTCCTTCTCTTCCCCAAATAACGCGCCATCCTGTTCAGAGTCGAGGGCAAGCTGCTCCTTAGTTGTGAGACGCGCCTCGGATGCAGGGCTGAAAATCAGACGTCAATCTGAATGCGAATCGTCTATCCGGTACGTGAGTGTACTTACCCTCCTCCTGTGATGATGTTCCCGCGCTGCTGCTCCAGCTCAAGGTATTCATCGATGGTCATAGTAGGAAGGCGGTGATCAGGATGGAAGACCTGCTGGCGGAGCTGCTCGCGATTGGGTGATGACGGCAGGATCGTGAACGGTCGTAGAGGCTTGGGTGTGTGGATGAGCATGCAACGGTCGGTTCAATACGTTGGTAACTACCTTTCCACTTGAATCGGTTAGCGGACCTTTCCCGTCGGGCCCACCTTGCGGTAGAGGTGCGTCCAGCCTCCACATGTCGTTGTTTTCTCGGTCCTTCGAGCGACGAGGATCATCGGAGGCTTCCAGAGGGCGAGACGGTGCGCTACGGAGGAGTCGAATTTCTTGTTCAAGGCTTTGAAGCTGAGCATGCGCTTGGCCATAGGTGAGGCGCAAGAGGAGCAGAGTTGCCTCTCGAAGAATGTCTTCCGTATCGTCATCGTCGTCGTCATCATCAAGCCCAGACGGCTTTACCGATGAATCAGGGAGTAATGAAGCAATGAGCTCGAGGTCGGAAGATGGCTCGCTAACGGGCGCTCCATGATTGCGACGTTTGCGCACTTCCTGTATGTAGGTTCAGCAGATCGTCGCCACATGGTGATGCAGAGTATACCTGTATCCTTGTCTTGATCTCCTTCTCCTTCTGGTACTGCTTGATCTTCAGCTCCCTTCGCTTCTGAGCATCTGCGACTGACGAGGCCGGTTGGGTGTACAGCGCCTTCTCCGGCTCGGGCACGATACCATACGTCTCGAGACTCGAGAGGAAAGTACGATACAATCGCTTTGTGGAACATCAGAGAAAATTTTGCTTTATGAGCATAACGGCTCACCTGTGAATATACAGCGCGGTCCAACCTCTCTTCCGGATCCACGGTCCTCACACGACCAAGGGCTTCCGCCAGTGCATATGGCACGAGCAGATACACCAAGTCTTTGGTCGCTATGTCCTCAAGGAGTTCGTTTTCACTGAAGAGAGACAGCGCAGTAGTGCGCAATTGCAGGGTCCGCAAGTCAGCGACAGTAGACCGGACGAGTTCCTGCAGCCTGGCGTGGGTGAGTTCATGGAGAGGGCTCTGACATGTGCACTCACCTGAGTCTCGTCCTGCACTGTAGGCATATTCGTTGCCTTTCCAATCGCACTGAGTGCGCGGTGAAATAGAGTTGAGAGCGGGATGTCAGACATGGTGGTTGGTGACAAGAGGCAGACTGAGACTGCCGCCCGCTTTCCTGGCGTTGCGTTAGATCGTAATCTGGAAGGCCCTCAGATCACGTGCACCGTGTCGCGTTCTGCGGCTTCGCGTCGGACGGGCGCTTTCCGCATTCTAGCCTCGACGCGTCCCAGTCGCGTCCGTGCGTTCGCGTTCGCGCTACCATCGACTGCCGAATCTTCCCCGACGCGCTGTGCTCGAGACAATGAAACGTGCTCCGGACGCTGACGCTCCGGCTCCCGCCAAACGCAGGCGTGCCTCGCCTAAACGCGGCGATGACCTCTCAAGCGACGCAACATTCTCCGACACCAGCTACGAGTCAAGCGGAGAGGACATTCTTCGTGACGGATTGCGCCCTGATCGATACGTCTCCGGGACTGTACACATGAGGTGGCCACCTGTAGGTAACCGCATGATGCTCATCCTGAAGACATCCACTGGGTTGAAAGTCGGCATCACGTTCACGGGCAAGTGCGCTCCATACTTCGCATCGCTCGCATGCGACTTCCGCGACCAAGTGAAGATTCGAAGTCACGGTGCCGCGATCACGCAAACGGAGCAGAATGTCTCACTGTCTCTCCTCTACGAACGAGGCGCGTCGTTAATGTTCGTCAAAACGCGTAACAACGCACGGGATGGCCAAGTCGTTGACACGTGGAGTCGTAAGCATATTCCATCGTTGAATTTGTGCCAGAACTCACCACGGACGCTCTCATGTGTACTCGTGTAAAAGTCGACAAGGACTTCGTGCAGCCGTCGCAGGTCAACGGCGATGATTGGTACAGCACTCCACGGCCAGGGCTACAGCCCACCGATATTGTGGGCCACAATGATGCTATGAATGCTGAAGCAATCATTCCCAGAAAAGGGGCGAATGACGACACCGTTGCTCCGTCTCGCGAAGTGGTCACGTCGCGCCTGGCTGCTTCCACTAGTGGGTTTTCACCTTCTGTGCAGCTCGCAGCCACTAGGAGGTCTACTTCTACTGTCAAACCAGTACAACCCAGCGCCAACGCCAAAGTAGAAGTCGATGCACGTAGTGCTGCCGACAAATCGAGCAGTAGATCTGACGGAGCTACCGCAGTTACTTCTGGAGCGTTGCCATCAAAGGATAGCCCAAGGCCTGAGGCAGGCACAGCGCAACCTCCTCCAACCGGGAATGTTCCTCGGCCTGATAAACTGGCTTCCAAAGTAGCCTCGCGCGATGCTTTCAACGGCCCCTCGCGGCCAGCAGAGAATCAATCACACCAAAAGGACAATGCGACGGCTCCCTTCAGCAAAAAGGCAGAGAAGGCGCGTCTACGCAAGCTCAAGAAGCAATCGCGAGCATCTGGTCAGGAACAGCCGCAAGCACAGTCTGAAAGGTCTTCGCCATCTTCGACTACGCGGCCAAGTCATGGTTCTTCGGGAAGTGCTCCTCCACAGATAGATATTGCTCAAGCGCAGCCAGTAGAGCCTACCGGCGAACGGCAAGCTATCCCCATGAAGGCTACAGAAACTAAACGACCAGTCAGGGAGGGAAAGCCAAGGAGCACTTCCACCATGCCAGAACCCTCTGTCCTTAATCGTGCTGGCACTGCAGCTCTTCAAGAAGCTGCGATAACGCGCGGTCCTTCAGAACAAGGTCCTAGCACCCCCAAATCGAAGCCTCTGGAACTGTCCCCCAGATCGGTGCCCTCAGTCGCCTCTACCCGTGTTACCCCAAAGAGAGAAACCGCGGATGCTTCGCCACTGTACCGCGTGGGGTTCCGCAGTGAATACGTACGCGAGGAACTGCCACCCCTTGACATGTTTGTCTAACATCTCATCCCTAGGCATATTACACGCCCCTGGCTAAAGTAGAGTCCAGAGGCAAGATGTATAACATTGCTGCCGTTGTCACTTCCGCGGGGTTAATCTCGCAAACCTACACCGGCGGTGAGTAACGTCGGTGAGGTAAGCGGTATAACTGATGTTCACTATGTCGCTATAGAGTCTAAGGCTGCGCTGAGTCTGACGGACCCGTCTGTACATGAAATCAATGATTTCCCGGTGAATCTGTTCGCCAAGGGAGCTGACCAACTACCGGAGCCCGCACGAGGAGATATACTTTTGATGCGGGGTATCCTGGTGAGCCCCTCCATCAATCGGTCGTTGTGACCTAGCGCTCAACTCGTATAACAGGGTGATTATTATGGGCGGAAATGTGGGACCGCTCCGTCGTACAAGGCATGGTCATGGGCTATTGTCGACCCACGCGCGCGGGAGTCGATACGGAAGAAAGGAGATATCAACTTCCAGCCTACTCCGTCCGAGTTGCAGCATTGCGCCGGACTCGGCGAGTGGTGGACATCCGTCGCCCCTGTACAAGACCTTGGGGTTATACACCAAATCAGGCCGATACGTACGGGCAGGATACATCGTCTTATCAGTGAAGCATCCCCGACTTGTGAGCCAGACGGTTACTTCGATTGCACCGTAGAGGCAAGCGACTCGTCTGTCTCCATAGACGCTTTAGTCTAACGGCCTACCACAGGTTTTGTACGGCCACGCGAACAACAACGGTATCTACAGTCTCTACGTGACGGACTACACGCAGAACCCCGCGATGGTGCCCCTAGAGAGAGACTGGTGTCCGCCTATGCTCTCCGATAAGGTCCTCAAGATGGAGCTCTTCCTCGAAGCCGCGATCAAGGGGCCGGAGCTCAAGGCGGGCGGATACTACTTCATCGGCAACTGTCGCATGAAGACGAGTACCGGAGGTCAGTTAGAGGCTACGTTCTCGCAGGTGAACAAGATGCGCAAGCTGGATGACGACGCCCTCGAAGATGAGCCCCGATTGGCTGCGTTATTGCAGTAAGCATGTCCCATCGCTTGCTGTGCGCTCGAGGTCGTTCATGATATGTAGACGCAAAGCGGAGTGGCAGGCGAAAGTCGAAGCCAATGGCGGCGCGCACGAGTTTCCTCATTTGCTCTTCGAAGAGACGGAGGAGAACAAGCATTTTCGCTGCACGGCAGAGGTATGAGCAAATCCCTTCTGTTCATCCATTCTCATCGAAAATTCGTCGCAAGGTGCTGTTCGTATCTACAAAGGACACATCGTGCTACTTGTACGTCACGGACTACACGCGTCGTGAAGATCTGGCCCCCGTCGCACCCACCGTGCCCCGAGCGCTCCAACTCAAGGACCGTATTGTCAAGATCGCTCTGCATGATGATCAAGCGGAGACAGGAAAGCAGCTAGAAGCGGGCGACTTCGTTGCTATTCGTAATCTGCGCCTGAGGCCTACTGGGTCGGAAAAGAAGCTGACAGGACGGCTGGGAGGGAGCCAGAGACTGTTGAGCAAGTTGCAAGTGAACAGCCCGAACGACCATGAGCTGAAGGTGCTAGTCATGTGAGCAGTTCTCGCGAAGTCAATAGCCGTGGCTTATGGTGTGGCTTCGTACATTCGATATAGGCGCAAAGAGGAGTTTGAGTCGAAGAAGAATGCCACGCATGCTGCGAAAGGAGGCCCCGAGGGCAGCAAACGCAAGAAGAAGGCCAATAGCATTCCCGAGAAGCCAATCGCCCCCGAGACCGGGGGGACAACTGTTTCGCCTCCGCCTGCAAGACCTGCCGACGCTTCCTGCCCTGCACCAACCGAACTAGTAGAGAACAGCAGCATCAAAGCAGTCAAGGAGAAGACTATTTGTCCCAACAAATTCCGCGTTCGCGCGCGGATTGTCGACTTCTATCCCCCGGAAATATCGAAGTTTACGACGCGAAAATGTACACAATGTCAAGACGAGTACGTCGTTGTGTCCTCATTTGTTCATGTAATGCACTAATGGCCTCAACAGGAGGTCGTCCACTCAGCGCGTTTGTCCCGTCTGCGACGATGCAATGGATCCCGACAACAAGACGTCAGTTCGTTCATACTGGTACTTCGCGCTTGAAGTACAGGATGAAGAGGAAGAACGCTTGCAGATTTTCTCCTGCGACGATCAGGTCGGCGATAGTCTTCGTCCCGATGGGAGTCTAGCCTAACACGCATCACTTCCTAGTGCTCAATCCTGAAGGGTTTGGACCCGGCAGACTTGGAGGGAGATGACAGGACCGTACAGGAACTTGCGGACCGTCTTCGACCTCTTTGTGGAGGCCTTCTTGAGATTCGCGCAGGAGTGCCGCAACGACGAGCGCAGGAGCTGCCTTTCGAGAGTCCCTGGCTATCCTTGGTGCTTGGCAGTTACGCGTCAGGGGACGAGGATGATCCTTCTGCCAGACAGTACATACTTCTGGAATGTACCGTGGCTGCATAGTATTCTGCTACATACCAATGCCTCTACGCTGCCCTCTCCCGTGCTGTGGCCAGGCCAAGTGGCTGTTGCGGGCGTGTTTTGCGTGCATCACATTGGCTGTGCCAATCAGCTGATGGACGGGCGCCTTCCCGTTATGGGCTGGGAGGAGAGAACGCGCCGGTGGCAGCAGCGACCACGTCGCTCTCTCCGTCTGGCTTCTCATCTTGCTTTCCCGCCCTCCCGACCAGGCGGATATGCGTCTCCCCTTTACTCTCATCCTCGCGCTCCTTGCTTATGACTCGGTCTTTGCGACGGCTGCAAAGCGCGACTACTCTACATACGACTACTATGTCCTGGAACATAATCCTCTCGCGGATGCTTCGCTGGCCGACTGCGCGAGTGCGCTAGGTGTCGAGATTATGGAGCGGGCTGGGGAGCTTCAAAACCACTGGCTCGTACGGGCCGAGAAAGACATCTCAGCACTGGACAAACGGCGAGCCGATCCGGTCATGCAGACACTCGAGGAAATCCAGTCTCGAGCATACTCAGCGTACTCCGCGAGGAGTCCGGACGCGTCTCATGCAAAACGGATAGCTTCTGCGGTGAGGTATCTCTCTCCGCAGACCCTTCGGCAGCGTGTAAAGCGTGCACCGCCTCCTCCGGTGGAGGACAGTGGTTTCCCGAACATCGCTGAAGTATCTCAGAAGATGGGTATCGCAGACCCAGAGTTCTCCCGACAGTGGCATATCGTCAACGAGAAGCATCCCAAGAACATGATGAACGTTTCGGGTCTATGGGAGATGGGTGTTACGGGCATAGGCGTCATTGCCGCCTTAGTAGACGACGGGTTGGATTACACTAGCGAAGATCTCGCACCGAACTTCGTAAGTGTCCAGACTCAACTCGATCGACCATCAAACTCATGCCTGCGAAGTATGCCTATGGTTCACATGACTTCAATGACCACACCGACCTGCCCACTCCCGTGCTGTCCAACGATCACCACGGTACTCGGTGCGCAGGACAAATAGCCGCGGCGAAGAACGACGTCTGTGGTGTCGGTATCGCGTACGACAGCAAAGTTGCCGGTCTGCGTATCCTGTCGGGCCCCATTGCCGACGTAGACGAGGCAGCCGCCTTGAACTATGACTTCCAGAACACGTCTATCTATTCGTGCAGCTGGGGACCGCCGGACGATGGCAGGTCCATGGAAGGGCAAAACTATCTCATCAGGAAAGCCATGGTGAACGGTATTCAGCATGGGCGTGAAGGCAAGGGGTCGATCTTCGTATTTGCCAGTGGCAATGGTGGGCGGACGGATGACCAATGTAACTTTGACGGTTACACGAACAGTATCTTCTCGGTTACTGTCGCCGCTGTGGACCACCAGGGTCTCCACCCCGACTATTCCGAGGCTTGTGCTGCCAACATGGTTGTAGCGTACTCGTCTGGCGGCGGAAATGCAATCGTGCGTATGGCAGATCCTTGCCCGTTTGCCGCTGCTGAAGCAATGTTCAGACTACCACTGACAGAGGTGCGAATAAATGCGCTCACACCCACGGCGGTACATCCGCTGCGGCGCCAAATGTGGCTGGTGTCTTTGCGTTGTTGTTGCAAGTGAGGTGCGATGCAATGACCCCCATTAGCTCCAAACGTATTCCTAATGTGTTGCCAGGCCCGACTTGACATGGCGTGATGTCCAGCATCTCTGCGTCAAGAGCGCGTTGAAGATCAATCCGGACGACCCTGACTGGGAGAAGACAGCATCCGGCAACTCCTTCAGTTACAAGTATGGCTACGGCGTCGTCGATGCCTACAAGCTCGTCGAGGTTGCACGCGACTGGCAGCTTGTCAAGCCTCAGGCTTTCGTCGAGATGCCTGCTATCCAGGTCAACAACGGATCGATGGACGTCTTCCAAAAGGCGGAGGGTGGTATCTCAATCGCCCCTGGAGGTGTCACGAGCGCCATGGCTGTCAGCCAAGCGCAGCTCGACAGTGATAACCTCGGGAAGCTGGAGCACATCACCGTCAAGGTCTGGATCACGCACTCGCGCAGAGGCGACGTCGAAGTCGAGCTCATCAGCCCGAACGGTGTACGCAGCATCCTTGCTGCGAGGCGCTACGGTGACTCTGCAACCACCGGCTATCCGGGGTGGACATTCATGACCGTCAAGCACTGGTAAGTGTATGTTCCTCCCGGCTGTTACCTGATCTGACCGCAGTGGTAGGGATGAGAACCCGGTCGGCACATGGACCCTCCGCGTCTCTGATCAGGCGAAGGAGGGTGAGTCGGGCGTGTTCCTCGGCTGGACCATGAACCTCTGGGGCTCCGTTGAGGATGCCACCAAGCCAGTCAAGATCTACGACGTACCCCACGTCGACACGGTCCTTGCTCCTGGTTCAACGGAGCACACATACCCGTCTACCATTATCTCTCTCCCTGCTGCGACCTCGACGCAGTACGCGAAGCCGACTGCCCACCTTCCCGGCGACCACGACACCTCCGAGGGTGATGCCAGCAAGCCTGCCTTCCCAGGTAGCGGTGGTAAGCCAGCCGGTGACGCACAAACATCGGCGACGAGCACACCAACGCCGGACGAAGGCTGGTTCGCGGACCTGTCTAACCTCATGACCAACCCGCTCTGGTTCTTCATCGCCGTCGGGGCTGTTCTAGCCTTCGGCATCTCCGCTGGTATCTACTTCTGGAGACGTCGTGTTCGCATGAGGCAGCACTACACCACGCTGCCTGCCAGTGACGACGTTGCGATGAGCTCTATCGGTGGCGGAGGCGGTGGGGCCGGAGGCCAGCGGACGAAGGAGCTGTACGATGCATTTGGCGAGGTTTCCGACGATGACGAAGGAGACGAGGAGACACGGTTACACGCTCGTGGTCCCTCTCCCGGCGTCAACCTACATACTGGATTCCTGGATGACGATCCGTCCACTGCAGGCATGACACCGGCACCCTACAGGGACGAGCCAGATCCCGCGACGGAGCGGAGCCATGAGCAAGGACATAGTCATGAGCGGGCTGAAAGTCCGGCAAGTGGAAGTGGCAGTGGAGATGGTAGCTGGGAGCATGCCTCGGAGACACGGTAGTCTCATTGTATGACACTCTCGGACTCTTACATGTGTTGTTGTTTATCGTCGTATTAATGTGGAAATGTGGTATTTATGTGCTACAGATCAGTACAGACAGCAGAGCGACCCTTCAAAAACACAGCAAGACAGGAAAGTACGCAAAATACAGCAACGAGTATCATTCGTCCATAGAATCGACGAAACGCAGTTTCGAGTTGTTAGCAACCCGGGTCCACACGTCCATGTCCTCATACTGTGGGGCAAGTTAGTCAGGTCGGCAAAAAGATACCAATTTGAGGATTTACCTGTACGATCGTCTCCATAAGCTGCGCCTCCGTGAAACCGCTTCTCAGCACACGAGCACGGATATCTATCATGGACAGTTCATCTGACTCTTCCTCGTCCGAGCTCTCCGGTTCATCATCGACGTCCATGTCGTTCTCGCCCCTGGCACCTTTTCTTGACCGCTTCGTCCTCCGCTTGCGGCGTTTGCTCTTGCCGCATGCTCTCCTGTCCGCCGCCATATCCTTAATGAGATGATAGATCTTGCTGGTGGCGGACCGATCCTGGTCCCGCTCCTCGTCTTCATCCTCGTTCAAGCTCTCCTTGCTCACCTCCATCAGTCGCAGCGCCTCATTCACGTCCTCGTGGTCTACCCGGTCTGAGAACCGCAGACGGCAGAGAGCTTGTGCAAGTCGCAGTACACCGAGCAGCGTACGCGCGGACGTGTACGTGTGCGACTTCTTCTGTTCCTCGTCGTCCTTGGACACCTTGCGTAGTCGAACATAGGACTCGACCACGTAGTTAGACACTTCTGGTGGGACCGTTGGTCTGTGTTGTCGGGCCAGTGCAATATAGTGGCTACGACAACATGAGGTCAGCTTCATTCAAGGTCCAGAATCGTGGACACGTACCGGACGAGGGTGGGATCGACTAGGTCGTAGTCTAGCTCTGGATGAGTGTTATACATATGCACATGGGTGACGTGCTGAGCGAGCCGTTCATCGTCGTCCCGCGTCGGTTTATCCAAGATCAGGAAGAGTAAGTCGAAACGCGACAGCAGGGCGGCCGGCAGATTGATGTTCTCGACTGGAGAGAGTTTCGGGTTGTACCTCCCGTACAGCGGATTTGCAGCTGCAAGAACCGATGTTCGTGCATTGAGTGTTGTGGAGATACCTGCTTTCGATATCGAGATCGTCTGCTGCTCCATCACTTCGTGAATGGCTGTCCGGTCGGATTCGTCCATCTTGTCGAACTCATCAATGCAGCAGATGCCATTATCGGCGAGAACCAAGGCGCCGCCCTCTACAAGCAAGTCAGTCGTCAGCATGGAGAGGACAAGCAACAACCTCACCGAGAACCATCTCGTCCGTAACAGGGTCTCGCATGACCGCCGCTGTGAGACCAACGCCGGAAGAACCCTTGCCAGTGGTGTACACTCCTCGCGGTGCGACTTTGGAGATGTACTTTAGCAGTTGCGATTTTGCCACACCCGGGTCTCCCATAAGACAGACATTGAGGTCGCCACGGATCTTCATACCATCTCCTAGCGTCTTCGTCACGCCGCCCACCATCAAGAGCAGTAACGCCTTCTTCACGTCCAGGTGACCGTAAATTTCTGGCGCGATGCTCTGGGCGAGCTTAATGTATAACTGTGGATCGTCCTTGAGCTGGATGATCTGTCGTTGGATCTCGGGTGTGATCTCCATCTCACTGTACTGCTTCTTCAGTTGGTGAATATGGTGCACCTCCAGGTACGTGTCTGTCAAGAGACCGGCGCGCACAGCTTGGAAACCGGTATACGGGATGGGTAGGAAGATGCCACCGAGGTGGACAACGTCACCGGGACTCGTTTGGCGGGTGAGGCTACCGTGGACATGTATTGTCATGGATCGCGGAATATGACCAACAGGCACTTGATCGGCCTGAAAACAACTCAGCACTGCGCGACCATGTGAGACGTACAACACACCATCTCCTGAATTTTGACTTCTTGGAAAGGGCTGAAGCGACATGCTCGTGTCTGCATATGCAGTGAGCCATGAATTCCGTTCTTTTTACACTCCGACTCGTTTTGGCAGTCGAAGATGGGCGTGAATTGCTTGCTAGAGACCTCCTGGAACGTCTCGGAGCCGCAGACATCGCATGTGTACGCATTGACCTTGAGCAGTGGTTTGACTTCCGACACACGCGTGACGATGCCACGGACAGTGATCAGCTTGCCCAAGTGCGTGCCCTTGACTTCACGCACGGCCATGGCGATATCTGAACGTAAAGGGCGGAAGTAGAGGTTGCTGAAGCAGCCGGTGAATGAAAGCAGCCAGACATGCGAAGGTAGACGCACTATCGTCGCAGTAGATGCTCTGGGAAGCCCGCCTGATTTCCCTCTAACCTCTCATTCCTCTCTCGTCGTTGATGTAGTATAACGTCAATGACCTCGTCGAATTCGCTGATGTCCTTGGTCGGGACCGGCATGAGGCCGTCGACAGCCTCGCTGAAGAGCATCACATATCGACGCGTATTGCGGATGATCCGTGAAACGAGTTCTGATACCGTCTTTTGATGCTGCGTTCAGAGTTAGCATGTATCCGAGCAACAGAGTTATTGTGGGCGTACCTCTGAGATGTCCTCAAGGTCTATGATCAACATTTCTTGTTCACGGTTCGCAATTCGTTGCTATGACGCAATCAGATTTTGGCATATGACGGGCAGAGCAGATGGGCAAGAGGAGGTCGAGAGCGAGGTGGCCCCAGTCCCTCCACATCGAGCGATGCGAACCTCAGGAGACTACGACATGTCTAAGACGCGTAAGAACCCCAAGAAGCACATTCCCATTGACTGCGCAACGATTGAGATACGAATGTCGTTGAGGGTGTCTCATGTGCGTTCCTTCCCTCCTTCGCGTCTCCAGAAGACTGTTCTCGACTCCCGACCTTCCCGAAGTAGAGGAACAAAGCATACTGAGCACGTACCAATTGCTCCATATACTTCAAATTCCTCCCAGGTATCGGTGCATCATCATCGTTGTTGATGTTGATGTCCGCAATACCGCGCGCGATGTCCTTGTCTTGACTGACGAAGGAGGACAGGAAGTCCTGGATTTTCCCTGCTGTGCATGAGTTTTCGTAACAAGAGCGGAACATAATAGCATACGTACCCTTCTCATCTTCATAGTCGACGTCTATGGTGACAACGGGGAGAGACATCGCGGCAATGTGGTCGAAGGCAGAGTCGAGCGCGAGGCGGAGGGTGACACTTGGGCGTGTGACGCGACGCGACGCGTTTGGTCACAGCGCGTCGCGTGGCCTGTCTGCAGAAATTCCAGGCGCTCAGAATCAGTGTGACTCTCAGACACAAGAGTGGTAGCATCACAACGATCCAAAGCGATGGATAGCGGAAACACAAAAACGATCGTACAAAACACGTAACACTGGATGACTATATACACATCTCGGCACCATGCTCTAACCAATGCAAAGCCTCCCGTGCCTTCTCCCTCACCTCGTCCTCCATCGAAAGGTTCAGACCCGCTGAGTACCTCGCTACCGGGCTCATGCTCATCGCACCTCCCGCATAGTCGCCAATATGCCGCAACGTCGAGTCAATACCGACATCATGCAGCGCCTTGTGACTGCGCGGGTTCGCCTTAACAAGCTCGAGGATGCAGCCGACGGCGGGTCGCCGGACCCCCACCTTGCTGTCCGTGAGACACTGCTTCAACGCCTCTAGGAGACGCGTGTTAGAGAGGATGTTGTCTTGACGCGTAGGACTGTTGGCGATGTTGGCCAGTACACATATTGCCTGTGACCCGCAGAGTTAGCGAACAAACATAACTTACTGGGACTCCCATCACGTACTTGGTGCAGAACGTCGTCGTTGTCCGACTGCATGCCCAGCGCCACAAGCCCCAGTACATCACAGCCTATCTCATGGAAGAGCAGTTCCACGTCGTCCGTGCCATCGGCTATGTGGCGCACGACATGGAAGGCTTGTTCTTGGACTGCAGGGTCTGGATCCATGAGCAGACTGTGCATGACATTGGGGTGAGCATCGGCCAATCGAAGGGACTGGTTGCAGGAAAACACTCACATCGCGAGGTTATCCCAACCGATGGCGTCCATGGTCCTACGTTTCAGATCCGAGGATGCATGGTATAGCAAGTTCTTGACTGCCCACAAGGCGTTCAAACGGAGGTTCGAGTCGCCTGAATGCAGTAGCTGCATCAGTCGCAGCAGCAGACCTTGGTCCAGCAGGACCTACAGTGACCTGTTATCAGACTGGGAAATATCCTCGACAATTCCACCACTCACATCGCGCAATGGCGAGCACTCGTTGACAAGGTTGCAAACGACAGAGGACGCGGCGAACGTGACTTGTCTATCCTCATCGTGCTTCTGGAACAGCCTGTATGCCGCCATGCCCACCCCACTATCGACGATGTTCGTACGGAGGACGGCGACAGATCGGCTGATCGAGCGCACGCATTGACATGCTGCGTACCGGACGCCGACGTGTGGATGCGCAAGCGACACCTGTATCGCTGGTACAAGCCCGAGTCCATCTGTCACTTCACAACGGATTTTGTCATGGAAGAGCGAGATGGCCGCAACGGCCATGAAGGCAGCCTAGTATGATTGTTATGGGAAGTCGGCTGGAGCCATCACAGCAAAGGGCACACCTCTCGGAGACAAGACACGCTCTCGAGCTCATCTTCTTGCCACTCGGGACTCTGGTCGGTTGGCGTGATGTCCTTGATGAGCTTCGCAAGTTTGTCAAGGGATCCCCGCTGTTCAGCAACTTCGCAGAGCTCCTTCTTGTCCTTTACGAGTCTATCTAGATAGATGTTGTGAGCAATCAGCTGCTCCCGTACGTCAGATCCCTCTTCTCACATAGTATGAAGGAAGCCTTAGTCCGTGTCTGCGGCGTTTCAGACTCAGACTCGATACAGTGGTTGACTGCGTACATCACAGTCAACACTGGTGAGTCGTCCACAGTCAGGGAGTGATTGCCGAAACCTGCCCGAACGATCTGCGTGGCGCTAACGAGACATCAGTGAGAAGAGTGCGAGCGAAATAAGATGGATCGTAGACTCCTCACCAATGACAGGCGGCCAGACGAACGTCAGTAACACGCGACCGACAGAATGAGAGGACGAGAGACAATGTTGCTGAACATACGGTGATCGTGAGCACACCACATAGTATCATAGAGCAGGTACGTACTCTCTCGCTCAGACGATGACTTTGCCAGACCTGCAGCAACTGTGGCGTTGTCTCGCGCTAGACATGCGATGGCACTGAGAACAGCTTCTTGCATCTGTAGATACAACATCGTCAACAAGGATAGCCAGAACAAACAACTGGTCTGTACCTTGGTGTCCTTCTTCTGCAGTAGAGCCGTCAGTTGTCTCGTCACCCAGGCCCCTTGTCTATTCGGCGATTTGGTGATGTCCAGCCTCTCCCATCCGCGTTTGCCTTTCACCTCTTTCATTCGCTCTACCGAGGGCAGCCATTCGGAAACGACAGTCTGATGTGCCTCGTTACGGATAGCGGATCCAAGCAGCTGTGCGATGGGTGTGCTGATCTGGAGTGAGGGGTCGGTTAGGAGTGGCAGGCAGATGTCCAGGATGTCAACCTGATGTCAACAATCAGCATTTTTTCGAGGACGATTCGGCGCTGCATCTGCATCTGTACATGCGCATAATCCAAGATGCTGCGACTAGCACCATTCACTTGTTGGCTCAGTCTCTAGATTGTGGCACCTACCTGGAAGAGGTAGTCAAGAGCCATTCTCGCTTCGTTCCGTACGTCGACCGGGGCGTCATGTCGTAGCCCCCATTGTGAAGGCCCTACAGCATCCGCGATGGCCACAGCAAGGGCTCGCAATCCACGGGCCAAGGCGGCCTTGAGCCTTGGAGACTCCGCCGGCTGGAAGACTGAGAGGGCATAAAGGAAAGCTTGGTGCGCATTGAACCTCAGGAGTGAGCGCAAGGAATCCGAGGAGCCTGTGCAAGTCAACAACGTAATCAGCGGTATACTGAACGAGACATACCGTACGACAGGGAAGCGATAACATGCGCCGCTTCTAAGCGGACTTCATTGTGCTCTGCTAGAGCGTGGGGATCCGCCGTGAAGAGTGGATTCCCGACGCATTCCACTAGTCTGGTATGCAGTCAATCAGCCGATACAAAGGCTCAGTGAGAAGTGGGCTTACGCAGCTATGAATGCTTCGTCGTGCGCCAAGGCGAGTTTGGCTGTTGGGTTGCCAATGACTGAGTTCTTTGCGCTCTTCAGGAGAGCGAGATTCACGGCATGGATAGTCATGATGGATAGATGATATGGGTGAGGCAATTGTTCATTGCAGACTTATGTACACAGATATACCCGGGCTAGAAGAGCCGCTTTGGCCTGTGTGTCGAAGGTGGTGGCTGAGGGTAAAAGCCACACGAGTGCTCGATCGGGCCGATGTACGCGCGGGAAAGCAGCTTGTCTCGATCGTGTCAGCAGCCTCGACGTCCCAGTCAAGCTTCCTCAAGCCTCTATATCCACTCGACTTGGCCAACTGGACACTCACGAGCAGCAATGGGTCAGAGCGACGATCTCTATGCCGTAGCAGGTATGCAGTCCATAACACAGTTGTTCCGGGTTCACCTTGAGCAATGATGTCACAATCTGACCACGGGCGGGTAGACTTCTGCTTGGTGCCAATGGGTACAGGAGAGTCGTCGGTCAGTATATGTTTCCATGTGCACCTAGCGAACATAGACTCACGCCGCATGCGCCTTTGAAACGCACGGATGCTCGTCTCTAGGTCGCTGAATATGTGGCCGAGTGCGTCAGGGTGCTCGAGAAGACCGGATTGAAGTTCAAGGTACGGGCTCCTGTCCGCTCGTACGGGTCTAAGGCTCATATAGAATTGCTGTGCAGATGCAGTAAGTGACCCATATTGGATGCCACACGTTGAGAATTCCGCTCAGATTGGCCTCCAGCGGATACGGAACCAATCTAGGTGAGACACGGCGGTGGCTGCAGCATCCACTGTCCTCATCGTCTCACATCGCAACTGCTTACAGAGGGCCCTTGGTCGGCGGTTATGCAAGCCATTCACGACTGCCACGCCGCAGTGCACGCAAAGGGTGCACCTCGCATCGCGACCGACATCCGGATTGGCACGCGGGTGGACAGGGAGATAGAACCTGGCACTGGTAACGATCACAAAGTGAAACGGGTTGAAGAGATCCTTGCGAAAGACCAAAAATCTTGATTGACGACGGGGAATCAAATCATGTTGGATGACAGGGATTTCACGAAACAAGATGGAGGCCGAGTAACACGAAGACCGCACATATCAAGGTGTTGAAACGCACTGGTAGTCGATCGACCCGACTCGTTCTCCCTTGGAGTCTCAACACACCGGTATGCGTACGTACAATGTGCAGAACGGCAGCACAATAACGGTTCCGAATCATGATCTAACACCGACATGATCTGGCTGGGTTCGTACGTCGTACAGCTCCGCTGAACCGCCAGTGGAGATGTATTTAAGGCCTCTGGTAAGTGTCACTGACGTTGTCGGATTCAAGTACTTAGCCAATTCGCAAACGAACGGTCGCGGAGGTATGCGTGTCAAAGGCAGGACCACTGTGTCCTTGATGATTTCACATGGACTCTACACGCCGCTGCTGTTGTGAACGTCGGAATAATGCCAGTCACGGTGCTGATACTGCTATCATAGCGTGGACTTAGTATTGTCATTGGTCGACCAGGGACATGGAGTTTGCACTGGCCATGCGATGTGCTTGGAAGAGGTTCTGACTCTCGTACCGGTACGTACTGTACACTTAGGCACTGCCATATGACTAGGCTAATGAATCTTCAGTCTCGCATCTCAGACTGTACTGAGAACATTCAACACTTCTGTTGTCCGCCTGAGTGAAATCCGGCGTCCATCTTTCGGTGTTCACAGACCCTACCGTTTGCAGGGGTACATGATACTAGGCATGGCCTGGCATGGCTAACAACGAACCAGCCTTGGCCGGTCCAAGTAGTTTCCTTGAAGCACCTTTCACTGTCGACCTCTCTTTCGACCTTTCTTATTACTTGGAAGCACAGTCTTCCATCTCATTACATTCAACACTTCGGGTCGCTCCTGCAACACGCAGCTGCTGTATCAGATATTCACTCAGCTTTTCATCGCCAGTCTTGCCTCCATTGCACTCGCTGCATCTGTTTATCTACGGAGTCCCCGTGCTGTCACTGTAAGTTTCATAACACCCTACTCGGCGGGAAGCATAGCTGACCTACTGTTGATGGTTCAGCGTAATTGGCACCTGTAGCGAGCCCCTCTGTGTCACGGAACGAGTAGATTACTGTACGTCTGTCCGTTGCAATTCCATCCGGCCGCACGGCCACGGTACAGCAATACTATGAACGCTGGCGTTACAAGTGTTCTTGGACTTCGGGTCCCACAGCCGTGCACGCGATCTCGGGACATTGTTTTGGGCTTGCTTGCAGGAGCGAATGGGTATCGGGTATCGCCCTCAAGATGTATGCCATGTAATGATCCTATTTGAGTAGATCAGGAGACTGAGACTGAGCCAGGCCACGTTAACGTTACTGGTTGGTGCTGGCAGTGGCACGGTATACGACTGGCAAGAGCTGGGCAAGAGCATAAGTCTGGTCTGACATAAGCACTTGAGTTCGAGAGGGGGTGCCTCGCTGAATCATGATTGACAATGAATATTGACTGCTTGCAGTGTGCTTGCACATTTTTCTCAGCTCTGTGGGAGTGGTTTGAGCACGGCGGCCATGGATCGACTGAGAGTGCAAGGTGGCGTGACGATTTTACCCGAAGCGCGCCTCGGCACGCGTCCCGCGTCCTGCCCATCTGCCTCTGCCAGCGACACGACCACCATCTCCTTCTCCTCCTCCACCATGGCCTCCCTTGCACGGTTACGGACTGGCATCGCCCGTGCGCGTACAATCGTCAGCCCCTTTTCTGTAGCGTCGGTGGGCATTCACTGACAATCGCGTCTCCCAGCCTTTCGCCCGCACCCTCCAGACAGCAGCGGACTCGACCACGCTGCAGGACGATGCGTCGCACTCCGAGCCTTTCGCGGTCAAGCTCCACGAAGAGTCTTTCCGAAGCTCCAAAACTGACACCCCCTCTCTTGACCTGACCGTCACAAAGGACTCGCTCCTCAAGATTTACAGGGAGATGGCAGTCATCCGTCGCATGGAGCAGGCCGCGGACGCTCTCTACAAGCAGAAGCTCATCCGTGGTTTCTGCCATCTTGCCATTGGCCAGGTTTGCCTTGCACTCTGCGCGTAGTGTTGGGTGCTTACACTCGCGTCTTGATACGGTATGACAGGAAGCCGTATCAGTCGGCATGGCCAACTCCCTGACACCCGATGACAACATCATCTCTTCCTACCGTACACATCCTTTCGCGGTGCTGCGGGGCGCCAGCATCGTCGGTCTCCTTGGCGAGCTGCTCGGTCGCCAGTGCGGTATCTCGAAGGGCAAGGGTGGTTCTATGCACGTCTTCACGGAGTCGTTCCAGGGTGGACACGGTATCGTCGGCGCGCAGGTTCCGCTCGGTGCGGGATTGGCGTTCGCCGCGAAGTACATGGAGAAGCCCGTCGCTACGTATGCCATGTACGGTGACGGTGCGAGCAACCAGGGCCAGGTGTTCGAGTCGTACAATATGGTGCGTTGATTTACTCGTTGTTCTTCTGGTGATTACTGACGTGGAAATGTGACTGTAGGCCAAGCTGTGGAACCTGCCGTGTGTGTTCGTTTGCGAGAACAACAAGTACGGTATGGGTACCTCCGCGGAGCGAAGCTCGTCCAACACCCAGTACTACACTCGTGGCGACCTGATCCCGGGTATCCAGGTTGGTCCGATTGGGCTATTGAACGAATCTCCTCGTCTGATGCGTTGGATCGCAGTGCAATGGTATGGATGTCCTCGCGGTGATGAAGGCCGTCCAGCACACCAAGGACTGGGTCGTGAACGGCAACGGTCCCATTCTCTTGGAGTTCGTTACCTACCGTTACGGCGGTCACTCGTACGTGCCGCTCATCCATCTGGGTGAATGGGAAACTCATCATATGTTGCGTTTGCCAACAGGATGTCCGACCCCGGAACGACCTACCGTAGCCGTGACGAGGTCCAGCGTATGCGCAGCACGCACGATCCCATCCGTGGTCTGCAGCGCTACATTGAGGAGTGGGGTCTTGCGTCCGAGGAGGAGATGAAGGTTAGTAGAGGAATATTTCACCTTGACGATGCACAAGATTGAACACATGTTGGCAGAAAATCGACAAGCAGGCGAAGGCGGATGTCGACGCTGCCGTCGAGGAGGCTAAGGCCTCGCCCCTCCCGGAAGAGGACAAGCTGTGGACCGACATCTACGTCAAGGGTACCGAGCCTTCGTTCATGCGCGGTCGCGAGCGGGAGGAGGTAAGCGTCAACGATTCGTGTTCCTGCTGTGTGGTCCACTGACCGCGACGGCAGATTCACTACTACTGATCGCCACATTGGTGGAGGTGATTTGGGCTGGTCGTCGTTATGTTGTCGTTATTATGGTACAGTAATATAGATGCCCTGTGCTAGTGATAGCCCTTTTTGCATGTCACTTTGGCTAGCGAGGCATTGCCTACTACTATTGAGGCCCTTTGAGGCCAGACTATCAAGCTCGATTGCGCGAGGTAGGATCGGCTCTCCGAATCATTTCATTGCATGCTATAAGCGACTCGCCGGTACATTGACAACTGTCCCGTCATCTGCTATGACTTTGAATCGCACTAGGATGCTTCTCAGTGGACTAGTTTGTAATTCGTGGGCCAGGTGTACTCACGTATTGTGAAGGGTTCACCCTTTGCTTTCCGTATGCTTGTAAAGTATAGCGTGCCGGCGCCTGGTATAATCGTAGGCTTCCTCAGTAGTCAGCAGAAGAACAGGAGAGAACGTACGCTTGTGACCTTTCAACCTAAAGCTCAGGTCGACCATGCCTTGCATAAGACGAATCTACACCGAATATCAAGAGCGACCGTCCAGTATACTGAGCGTAGCACGTACCGAGCCGTTGACCCAAGGATCTCCGTTCAGCCACCACACAGGCTCGGGACGCATCGCCTCTCCAAAGACCTCCCTGAGCTCAGGGCTCTCGCGGACGGTCTCCATGATCTGACGCATGACCGAGCTCGAGAACTTCTCCTGGTTCTCACTCCATGCCAGGAACGCCGCCCAAGCGCCCACTCCTACTGTTGAGAATGCGAGGATGATGGGCCATTTTCTCTGGATGCATGGCTGCTCAGTATGCATGATTGTAGTGTAGATTTGTAGCATACCTCTAATGGAGGGAGGTCTCGCTCCGGCCGCTTGTAGTATTGCCTGGGCTTCGAGGCTTCGGTGAAGGACTCTGGGGGAGGCAGGTCCTTCGGAGGCGGTGGCTTGGGAAAGTCGGACGTGGATGCGTATGTGCGCGCACAACTCTTCGTGAAGGTAGCCCTGTGGCTGGCGAAACATCGCCGGGCGAGGGCGGCTGTGACAGCCTGAGATACCGAGGTCATGTCGGAAGCAAGACTTGCAGACTCTTGTCGCCAGAGGTCTCAGTCAAGCCAGCTATCAATTCGGTGCCTAGCAGATAGATAGGAGGCCTGAAGATCTCAAGTCATGAGCAAGTCTATGCAGGAGCACGTCGAAGTGGACGCCTGTGGACGCCGGAAACGCGTCACGCGCATCCACGACGCGTCGCGGCGACGGGCGCCTGCACCTTGCCGCACGATGAGTGCAGTCACCGTGTCTCCCTCCCGGCACACCTCGACCGCCTCTCCTCAGCCACAGAACCCCATTGCTCTACGACTCTACAAGGCACTCGGCGCGAACTTTGACGACGCTGCTACACGGGAGGCGCTCCAGACCCTCTCCGAGCTATATGCTCCTTCGTCATTCGCATACCCGCCTGCAAAGAGCAGGGACGTGAGCAGGGACGGCGACGATGCTCAACTGGATGGTCTTGAGGACGGAGATGCACCCAACGGTTTATCTAGGCCAGCGACCAACGGCGTCCGCATAGCAGAACCTATTCCGGGGGATATCGCTGCGCGAGCGAGGAGGAACCTCAGGCGCGATGTCGAAAGCAGGCTAGCAGAGTCAAGTCGGAAGTTTTTGAAAGCGTTCGGGGAGGTGGACAAGGTATGTTGCAAATATTGTTGCTTCCGGCTCGTAGTTTGGCTGTGTATGCCTACATTTGCGTCTCAACTTCTCGAGCCGCGTACCTTGACTATACGACCCCATGCTTTCCAAGCGGCAAGTGCTAGCTTCATTCGCGCTCTGGCCCAAACCGTGCGAATTCCTCTCCGGATGCGCAGAGCCTGAGGCTCGAGAGGATGAACGGTGGTCTGATCTTAGCTCGCCACTTCAAGCGTACATTCTTGATGCTTCTGTGTGTTGATCTGCATTCAGGCCAAGGTGTCAAGACAAGTGCGCACGTTGTTCAGTACCCACAGTGTGTCTACGAATCAGGCTCGCACTTTTCATGGACCAAATGCGAACCGAAGATGATGGAATACATGAGTGTCTTTCAGAACATCTCAAGCCTGCTGATGGTGGGGCTAGGCGGCGCATGGGCTGCGATTCTCCCACCTGGCATGTCCAAGCTATGTCTGGACTACATTCGAGATGATTCTGAGAGAGACTATTCGAATTTACTTAGCCGCGCATAGTCTACAAAGGCTGTCTTCGGCTGTCGGACGATTGCCCCACCCCTGCCCTCTGATATGCATGTGCTCTCGCATACTGCATCGTACGGGACGCTCATGCTCATCATCATAGCAACTAGACACCCTGCAAGAACATCTGAGCGCTATGCGTGTGCGCTGTGATGAGGCGCAGACACAACTGGATGAGACCAATGACGCATGCAAGTCCCTGCTCGATCGAGCCGGAAGTCTGCGGGAAGAAAGGTCAGTACAGCCTACGTTTTCATGCGGGTGTGGAAATTTCCTCATACGACTACAGGCAAGTCATCACGACGCGCCAGTCTATCGTTTCGCTGCTTTTGGGCCGGTTTACGCTGGACGAAGAAGAGAAGGAGGCGCTGACATCAAGAGATGTCCCGGTCGACAAGCGCTTCTTCCGAGCCATGGACAAGGCGGAGAAAATCCGAGACGATTGTCGTGTGCTGATGACAGGCGAAGATGGGCCGACGCCCGCGGGGTGCGTCTCGCCGATTCGTCCTCCTTCAGGAAGATTTCTGAAATGATCGACCGGCCGTTTGGCGTACCCAGGGTAGATATCCTGTCTGCCACATCCAGCTACTTGGAGCAAGCGTATCAGAAGATATTTCGCTGGTGCTGCTTTCAGTTCCGACAAATGGGGCGGGATGCTCAGCTCGAAGTCGGGCCTTCTATGCGGGAGGCCGTGCGTAGGCTTCGCGAGCGCCCTGAACTGTTGACGTATGTCCAGACGCGGTGGTTTTTTTGTCGCGATGACTGAACATGACGCAGCGAGGCTCTCACGTACTTGTCGCATACGAGGCAAGATACGCTCCTCACCGCTTTCACCAATGCTCTTACCCGCGGAGGGCCTGGCGGGTTGCCACGGCCGATTGAGATGCATGCGCATGACCCGCTCCGATACGTTGGCGACATGCTTGCGTGGGTGCACCAGGCCATCGCGGCGGAAAGAGAGTTCCTCGAGAGCCTCTTCGATGTGCGCGGGGACAAGCGTATGGTCGGTAGTATCCGGAGATTCGCTGCTAGTGTGGAGGAAGAATGGATGAGCGAACTCATGGATGCGGCGGTGGGGAAGCTGTGTACACCGTTGAAGGTTCGTATATTCTTGGGTCATGAAGCTTTCGTCCCCGAAATGACGACTCGACGTATAGGTCAGGGTACAGCAGACCGTGCGCTCACAGGAGAGCAGCATCACGTCGTACAAGATTGCCAACCTATTGCAATTCTATATGCAAACGATGCAGCGAACCATCGGAGAAGAAGCGATTTTGTCCAAGGCCTTGAAAGAGTAAGTCCCATAGCATGTCCTATGACGTACATTGTTGTTCTGACCACCTGCGCGTGCAGAATGACGGATATGGCATTCGAGGTATTCTTTGACTCAGTTGACAGCCAAGGCCGGTCGCTTCTCCGTGTTCCGCCTGTGAGTGCAATGCCGCCGGTGTGTCGGAGTCAACCGGTTTACACCTATATGCAGGACCTGGACGATACCAGCCTTACGCCGCACCTGATCATCCTCGATCATGCCCAAGTGCTGCGCGAAATCATGGTTGTATACGATTCGTCATTGCTTGGGGACGAGACCGAGGAACAGCTGGCCGCAGGGTTCAGGGATATTTTGGACAAAATGGTCGACCCCGCGATCGAAACGTGTCTGACTTCGTCGGAAGAGAAGAGGAAACATCGACCAACTTGGGACAAGTCTGTCTTCGTCTTGAACACGTTGGCGTATCTACAAGGCGTCATCGAGCCGTTCCGATTCACCGCAGAGAAGCAAGGCGTCATACAAGGTCTCATTGAGACCAAAGTGCTGCAGTTGACTGAAGAACACGTGGGTATCTGCGTTGCTATTTCAGTTATCAGGCTGACCTGCGCTTCCTATTGTCGGGCTTCAACCGGATCAGTATAGGAACCTTCTCAAGGAGGCTGGGCTTCATGACGTGGTCGCTGCGATTGAGGGTCGTCAACCAAGTGTATGTTGCGCCAGCGACCCGGTATACGCCATGCTGATGAGGTCATGTTGTCCCATAGGAACCCCTGTCGCGCATCCCAGCGGCTCAGACCTCACGGCTGCAGACAGCGCTGCGCGAGTTCTCTCGTTGGCTGTCCGGACCGGGTGTCGTCGAGTCGCCGCGGTTGTCGCAACTGACACTGCAGACTCTGGCGTCACGGGTGCATCAAGCGGCATTGCAGCGCTTGGCGGAGGCGTATCAGCACATCTGCGAGGAGGTGCGCCGGCCGGAGAACAGGTACGAGGCAGCGGCGACGTTGTTAGGGAGCGAGCGGCCGTTCGGACAAGTGCACCTGCTCTGGCAAATATTCGGGCTCCAGGACTAGGGCCAAGGCTGGGCAGGCGAGAGTCGGTGCGTGGACTGGCGTAAGAAGGCTGGCTGAGGCCTGCTGAGGCTGAGCGAGAAGTACCGGGACACGGCGCGCGCACTGGTGTGGGAGACATTTCCGGGGAGACGGCGAGGAATTGGCAAGGATGCAGGCGGTGTCTACGTCAGCGGGCTAAGTTGAGGCTAATAGGAGCTTTTAGCGAACTTGCAATCGATTGGACTCCGGTACGTAGGCTGTCTGGCCGTCCGCGCTGGGGGCCGAGTGCAGGGCGCGCACTAACTCTCCAAGCGTGTGTGGCATGTGTGTGGCAGAACTCTGAGGCGCCGTTGTGGCGTGTTTGTCTGTGGCGGGCATGTCCTCGCCGGTGGCTACTATCGCTTCCTCAGGCTCTTTTCCTCTTGCTTCATCCTCCGTTCGCTGTGAGAGACACGATTCCAGCTGTACTTCTACAGCCATGTCCCATGACCAGCAGGTCGCCCTCGCCCGCCCCGACCCCATCCGCAGCGAGTCCTCCCATCTCAGCAGGGCCGCGCGGCAGGTCGTGCCTCCGTTTCTGCAGAAACTCTACGAGTGCGCACACTTCTCATTCTCTTTGTGTGATAATACTCATCTTTCCGGCTCTGTCTTGCAGGATAGTCAATGACCCTAGGAACGACGAGCTGATTCGCTGGTCGGAGAATGGCGACTCTTTCTACGGTACGTTCACTCAGACTGATGTCACCTATGGATGCCATAATGCGCGCATTAGTTCTCAACCACGAGCGCTTTGCACGCGAGGTGCTCGGTCGTTGGTTCAAGCACCAGAAGTTTACGTCCTTTGTCCGGCAGCTCAACATGTACGGCTTCCACAAGATCCCCCACCTCCAGCAGGGCGTCCTCAAGAGTGACACCGACACCGAACCATGGAACTTTGAGCACCCACATTTCCATCGCGGACAGCCCGACTTGCTCTGCCTCATCCAGCGCAAGAAGCAGCCGACGAACACCAGCGCGGAGGACGGCGATGCCACAGAGGCCGCCAGTACATCTGCATCTCACGCCGCCTCGCCTGGGCAAGTCCTGGACATCAATAACATAGTCAACGGGATTGCCGTCATCAAGCGTCATCAACAGGCTATCTCGGCAGAACTCAACGCGTTGAAGAAGTCCAACGAGATGCTGTGGGAGGAGGCGACGCTTGCGAGGCAGAGGCACGACAAGCATCAGGATACGATTAATCGCATTCTGAAGTTCTTGGCCGGAGTGTTCGGCCACTCGACGGATTCGCTGAACCACAAAAACGACACCGGTCATTCTCCTAGCGTCGCTTCTCTCGCGCGACAGAGACTCCTGATCGGTGATGGCAGGGGTGGCAAAGGAGCGAAGGCTGTTGAGGTTATCGATGTCGCTGACGACGACGAGGATATGTATGTGCACCCGCAGGAGGGCGCAACACTGCCGCTTGCTGGTAAGTTCCCATACGACCTCCTACATCAACTCGTGTACGAAATCCAACGCCATGCAGGCCAGGTGTCTTCTGTCGAGTCTCCGTTGATGTCTCCAACTCCTTCCACCGCCCCCTCAGAAACATTCTCCCCTAACATCATGGAAACGACACCGTCAGGATTCGCCAACCGACCGACTCAGCCTACAGAGGTATTGTCGAGGACAAACACCAGCAGCACTTCCAATCACGGTTCCGCGACAGACGTCCCAGCACGGTCCACTCCCACACCCCGTGGCGTCCCTCCCGAATCCACTTTGTCGCCATCGACGTTGGCCGCGTTCGCGCCGAATACCGCGGGGTCCGTTCATCCGGAAACCGCCTGGCAGACAGCGATCCAACAGGTCCTCAACAATCCCCAGCAGATGCAGCGCTTGATGCAAGCCCTTGCTACGCAGCAGGGTTACCCTGTGGGGCCGCCTGACGCCAACTTCGCCCCTCCGCAGCAGTCCTCCGCTCAGTTGACACCCTACACTCCTGCTCCGTACGATTACAACCGCTACCGCACAGAGCTACCCGTCGCGACCCCAATCCCTCCCTCGACGCTGCCGCTGCTCAGCCAATCCATCCCCGCTCACGACGACGGCCCCTCGCTGGAGCCGTTGTTGGACGACGCTACGCGTCTGCAGAAGTCGTACGGGGATGCCATGGATATCGAGGCGGACATGGACGTTTTGCAGACGAGCCTGAATTCGCTGATCCAGGATTTGGGCATGGACCCGCAGTCCCTGCTCGCCCAGAACCAAGAGCGGGAGCTGCAGGTTCGCCAGGGCGGTGTTCCATACATGAACGGCGTAGGCGCTATTCATCCGAACGCAAATGGCGTACAGCAGAACGGCATTCGAGCGAACGGTATACCGCACGACCCCCCTCTCCTCAACGACTACGACCATCATCATCACGATTCATCGTCGGACCTCTTCCTCGAGTCGCTGCTGAACGGGATGGGTCCAACCGGCGACTCAAGTGTTGACTATTCGGATGTCACGGACCGCTTCGACCCTGCGACCCAGATCGACGGTACCACCGTCGGTGACGCATCGACGGAACAACTCGCGGCGTTCCTGGACGAAGTTTCGGACACGGCTTCTCCTATGCCTCATTCCCCTGACGTTGCGCCTGTCCCGCAGAAGCGCAAGTCGGATATGGCGGGTTTGTCATTACCTGCCTCGAACACGGTCGATCTCACACCAGCGGGCCCGAAGACGAAGCGTAAGCGATAAATATGTGTCATTACCGTTACTGTATTAGACTGTACTTGTATCTGTACCGACCTAGTGTATCCTAGAACCGTGAGAGGAAAGGAGAGTGCGTAGCTAGCGGGAACACGAGCGCAGTACGTAATATAATCCATTACTCGATTTCGACAGGCATGCTCGTGGGCTGAGCAATTGGCGGAGGCGGACCAGGCGGCGGCATCGGGTTCCCACTCGCGTCAACTAGATCGGCGCTGAAGGAGGACAGGATGACTTCAGTTTTCAGAGGTGCGGTCGCGGATATTTCTTTGTCGATAGCTTGTAGCCGGGCGTGTGTACGCATATCTTCCTCTTGGGTTTCCTGTATGTATTCCTTTGGCGGTTTTGGGGCTAGAGGCGGTGGTGGTGGCGGAGCGACTGGTGCTGCATAGTGTGCCGCGCCGTTGGCCAGAGGGGTCACAGAGGAAGCAGGATGTGAGATTACGCCGTTCGGAGGCTTCGCTACACGATCCTCGGCTTCGTACATCGCCTTGAGGCGGGCCTTCTCTTCTGCTGCGGTCAGCGGACGAGAGCCTGCACTGACGGGCGGAACAGGAGGCGACCGAGATGAGGCTGGCAAGGCTCGTGAACTAGCACTGAATGAACCGGAGCGTGGTGGTGGTGCGGGTGGTCCGTTAGACCCATACACGGCTGTATCCTGAGCCTCAAACCTGCGCCGCAACATTTCCTTTTCAGCAGCGGCGCTCGACATCGCTGCAGCAGGCGGTGGAATGGTCGTCACGGGTGCCGGGGGCTGGTACGCAGGAGACCCTACCGCACTCATTGGAGGGGGCATGCTGTGTGGTGGGGGTGCAGGCGGTGGGGACGCCATCGCCGCTGCATCTCGAGCTTCGTAGTCGCGTCGCAGTCGTTCTTTCTCCGATAAATAAGCAGGTTGTGAAGATGAAGCAGATGAAGCAAAAGGAGGGGGTGAGCCACCGACCGTCGGTGGAGACGCTGGCTTTGAAGGATAGAGAGCGTCGTAGGGCATCGGCCCGGATGCAGGTGTCGAAGGTGATACGCCGAACGCTACCTCCTGCGTGCGGTCTACGGCAGCTTTGGCCTCGTAGAAGCGGCGCATGGCGGCCTTTTCCTCGTCTGCGGTTAGATAGGTAGGCATGCGGCCGCGAGCAGACGGAGGCGTCTGCGGCGAGGAACGGTATCCTCCTGAGCTGCCTTGTGCCGGCGGAGGCGTGCGAGGCGCAGGGCCCGCCGTGGGCTCTTGGGCTCTCGCCTGCTGCGAAGACATGGGTGAGTTGGAGGTAATTGAGTCGCTCCTGCCGTGGAGAGATTCTGGCGGTGAGCTTGTGATGGAGCCATCGAGACCCTGGGCGCGGGCGACAGCTGCTTGCGCACTCTCGAAGAGCCTGGCCTTCTCTTCCTCGGCCGTGAGCCATCGTTTATTGGGCCTCTGAGTTGCGGGAGCCGGGACTGGCATGCTGACAGCATCAGGCGGAGGCGTAGACGGCGCTGATGACTGCTGTACAGACTTTGACGTGTCAATCAGGGTGACAGTCCATGGACGCGAAATCAGACTTACTCCGACAGGACTGAGTGGACGAGGCACGGGCACGCCCTGGACCCTCTCGACGTTCGCGACAGCCGTCTTGTACAGCTTTGTCTTTTCCTCCTCGGCAGTCATCCATCGGCGCGATGCATTCTGCGTCGGTGCAGTCGACGGACGAGAACCGCTGGACCCACTGCCCTGAGCGCGACTAGCATTAGCAGCCCTCTCCGCCGCCCTATGCTCTGCGAGCTCCGCCTCATTCAGATTCGTCACAGTCAATCTCTGACTGGTCACCCTCGCGCTGCCGGCACGCGGACGCACGAAGGCAGTCGTATCGCTCGCATACGGCGCAATCCTCCCTGGGCCCGACCCCGAGCTCGAGGCGCCCAGGCCCGGCGTGCCCCCAATCGTCTGTGCGGCATGCGTCCCAGAACGTTCCGGCGGGCTGACGCTCGACTCCTGGTCATTCATCGCTTTGGCTTTGACACCAAACTCGTCGGGCTTGCCGGCACCCGCAGTCCCGTTCGACCGCTCTGCCGGCGCGGTGTTGTACTGCCCGACGGACGGACGTCCGATGACGACGTCGACTTGGGAGTTGGCACTCTGGGCGGTAGACGGCCGCCCCTGGTTCTTCATGATGGGCTGGCCGATGAGTGGTGGCGAGGACGAGGATGAGGTCGTCGAGGGGACAGAGCTGGGATTGCCATGGGGAGAGGAGACATTGGGCGCTAGGCCGATACGCCTAGACAATGCGTCAGTTTCACGCAATGAAAGTGTCCTTGACGAAACTTACCTCATGGCCTCAATCGATACAGGTCTGTGGGCGCATATGTCGGTCAGTAATGCTCAACGCGAGACTCCTGTGTTGTGTACGCACTTTGGCCAGTTCGACACGACTATCGGGAGGTCAAGTGAGACGTGCGACGTAGTAGCCATGAGAGCTTTCACGACAAGGTGATAGGTAATGTCGATGTGCCTCGCGGTGTTGAGAGTTGTGGACGTGTGCTGGGTGGGGATCGTGACGAATAGGTCCGCCTTGTGCTGCATCCCGCCAAAGAGCGCAGCATTCAGAGGTACCCTCTGCTCCGCAATGTGCACTACCTTGATGACTGGCGCACCCTTCTTGCCAGTGCTCTGCGGGCCTCCGCGAAAGACAGTCGTCTCTCGGAGTGTGAATTCGAAGCCCCGAAGAGTGTCCTTGTACATGTTGTCCGCTTTTACGGTCGCACTGACTGTGACACGGTCGCCAGGACCAAAACACGTACGAGTGCGCTCCACGATGAGAGTCACGTCGCCTTGCGTATGGTTGCGTGTCTCTGGTTGCTGGTAGATGGGCCATGTCGAATGCAATTCATGCTTGTCAATAATGATCGTCGATGAAGCAGTCGTGATCGTCGGCTTGTCGCGCCGCAGCAGGCCCCTGCGCCCGTAGGTTAGACATAAACAGCATGCCGCTGGCAGACCGCGTACCTCTTGCCCTTCAAACACACTGCTGCAATCAGTTCGTACCTTATGCCAGCTGATGTTGACGCGTTAACCGACGGTTTGACGCGCGAGTTGGGTCTGGGCAACTCACCGCCTTTTTCAAGCGCGATACTGGGGGGTATAGATTCTGGTATCCGGATGTAGAAAGGAAAGTCTTGCTGTAACAAGGGTCAGCAATAGCGTCGCGGGTATAGGTGGTGAGGCGCGCGCACCGTATGCAACGTGCCGTACTCTTCGCTTGCTTGCCATACGTTGATGGGGCTCTGGCCGACATAGTCGTAGAATGTGTTCCCGCCGGGCAGCACCTCGACCTTCTTGAGCTCGATGCGGACCCACTTGGCCTTCACTCCCTGGCCACCGACGCGGACCTCAATCGCCTGCAAGTACACGGGGTGTCAACCAGTGGTGTGTTCTACAGGGTAGACGTGTGCTTACGCCCTTGACTGCAGCCTGTGGACGGTCAGCGCCGCCAGGTGGGATGCCGGGGTAGCCTGGGCCGGTGGTGAGGGTGCGCGTCAGAAGCCCGGAAAATCAGACGTACCCTGGACGAAGTCAATATTCGGAGGAGGCCGTAGTGTTCTGGAGACGCCAGGTGAGTACTCGGTTCGCGGGCAGAGCGGCGGCGACGAGGGACTTACAGCTTTGCGAGCGACATGGGGGTATAATATGGTAGAGGAACAAAGGCTGTTGACGCTGGGCACAGAGAGTCCGGAGATGGCGGCCCTCGCTCGCGGTTTCACGCCTTCGTCGACCACACCTCTCGCCTCCCCCGGCGCTCCCACTGCATCAGTGAGCGGCCTCCCACGGACCTCGCTTCCCCTTCCGGCCACCTGGAGACCGCCCCGGCAGACACCGCCCACGCGTATACGGCCGCATCAGGCTGCTCGACGCGCGCAATTTTGAACCCTGCCCACGTCCCCATACTCGCTCTACCATGGCCTCCAGCTTCATCGGGTTCGCACCCTCTCCATAGCCTCCCACGCAGTTGCTGATGCTACACGGCACAGAAAGCCTATTTCTCTTATTTCTCACTCAGATGTACGATACCGGGGCATCCTAGCGGGCATCGACCCGGCCGCGTCGACCATCCAACTCTCCAATGGTGCGTCATGTTCTGCACGCTGCGTTCCCAGCGCTGATGGTGTGTGCATCAGTGTTCTCGATGGGGACAGAGTCGCGGCGGTCAGTGTCGGTCTCTATCTGGTTTCCATGCCTTGTGATGAAGTATTGCGGATGTCAATGAGCATAGCTCGACGATCCGAGAGCGCATAACCATCGTGTGGATTCCGCTGCCTTCCTTCTGACTCGTTCTTTCAAGGTGCCACTTGTTCTGCAATATGCTGACGTGTCTCGTCTCCTAGGCCGCCAGAACAGTTTATTCCACCCGTGCAAGAGCCCTACCAATACATCATCTTCCGTGCCTCGGAAGTGAAGGATCTTGCAGTGGATGAACCGCAGCCACGGCGAAACGTCCATGATGACCCTGCTGTCCTCGGGGTGAGTCCTGACCCCTTATTCCTGAACATCACAACAATGATGAAAACATTGACGGATGTGAGCTTCGTGCTCAAGTAACCGAGAGCGCATAAATCGTGTGGATAACCCGTTGCCTTCCTTCTGACTTGCCATTCTTATATGCATCATGCATCATAAACATTTTGCTGATGTCGGTTTAGGCCTCTGCCCCGATGCTGAACAACGGATACCCCACTCCTTACCAACAACCCTACTCTCCCCAGTCCGCAGCCCAGGTCCCCCAACAACAACAACCACAGCCCGGAAGGCAACCACCATATCCGGTCCGGCAACCATCGACGCAACCGTCTGTTCCCCAGGCGAACGGTACGTCACCTGCAGGGCCGTCTCCGCAGAGCGGGCAAGCGGCGGGCAGCCGCGGCCCGCGCAACAGCGCTGTCCATTCTGCGACAGCATCCCTGGAGACGGTCGAGCGTGCACTCGGTGACCTACGCGTCTCTCAAGCGACTGCGAATGGTGCGCCCATACCTCGCTCCGGCGGCCGGCGCGGCGGGCGGGGTCAGGACTACAAGACAGGCGACCTGCGCGTGCCTGCGACGGACTTCGACTTCCAGGGCTCGAACGCGCGGTTCGACAAGTCTGCCATCTCGCCGCGGGGGACGCCGAAGAACGATGGCGAGGCCGAGGGGGGGAAGGCCGAGGAGAAGTCTGCGGAGGATTCCGCGTACAACCCGCAGAAGTCCTTCTTCGACTCTCTGTCTTCGGGGAGCAACGGGCCTCAGGCAGACGCGCGGGGCGGTCGTGGGGGTCGCAGGGGAGGCGGGAGGAACAGGAGAGAAGAGGAGAGGGAGCGGAACGTTGCAACGTTTGGTGAGCCTGGCGGGGTGGGTCTCATGGGGCCTGGTCAGTACGTCGGCGGTTGGGGAGGATACGGCAGGCGAGGTGGAGGAAGGGGCCGGCGAGGCGCGGCTGCTACTGCCGTTGCCCGTTAGCCGTGGTAGGCTTTGCATGGACTTGTGATAGCATGGTTCTCTGGTGCAGTGTTTGAGGACCTGTCGTTCGTGTGATTTGTTCTGTGATTGTTCGATTCCTGGCAGTGCCGTATTGCAGACACATCATCTTTGTGCATCCACTTGTGTCAGCTAGAGCAGCTGATTTCCACACTGGTCCCTAGCGTGAGTCGCTTCCGAACTCACATGAGCTGAAGCCCTAGATAATGAATGGTGCTATTATTATGGATGAATGAGGCCCCAGTCATTATGGTGGCAACTTGGATCAGAATGCAAGCAGGGATTGATGCACCATTTTCATTGACATCATCAACATTGACAAACTAACATCCTCTGTGTGGTGTGGCTCGTTGCGACGACATCACACTCTGTGGTGGTAGCTCTACATGCGAAGGTCTGGAGGAGTTGAGCCAACGCAGCGGGGAGACGGACTGATATTCCCAACAACGACACCTTCCATCTTGGGATGCACGAAGCGTGGGAACAATGCAAACTTAATGATGGGAGCATTCAGCGCTCACCGTCACTCGCAAGATGGCTCACCACACACCTCCCGCCACCACTCCTGCTCAGCCTCACCGGCGACCTCGCGGAGGAGGACCTAGGAAGACACAGAAACTTCTGATATAGGTAAGCAGTGTTGCATTTGGGGTCATTGAGGGATGAAACGCACTGGGCTCTGAGACATACTACGATGTCATGCACTTCGTCCTTGCGAGGACGGCGGCCTAGAAAACCGTTAACTGATCCATTTTACTGCCTTATTCGGATATGGGCCCGAGCGAGCTAACATGATGACCGATACAGGAGTACACCAACAACTTGCTATCATGGCCTCTGTCCACGACGACAATGACACATTTACAACTGAGAGCAACACGGATGCGCAGGTGCAGGAGTTCTGCGAAGTAGTAAACGACATTGAAAACGGGCTCGCGTCGGTCAGGGAGACCATCAAGTCCCTCCAGGAGAAGTTCGTCCTTCGCGCCTCGCTTGCATCGCGTAGACTGACCGTGGACTCATAGGCACACAGCGTCTCAACTTGACACGAAAAACGGCATCTCGCTGCTATCCCTCAAGCACCACTCGATGTTGTCCTACCTCCAGTCACTCGCACTCATCTCTTCGCGACGTGCTGCGGGAGATTCATTGAATGAGAGGACACAGCCTACAATGCCCTTCGCAGCACCTGAGCGCGAGGCACGGGGATCGGGAGCAGGCGACCGTGTTGACTCGGTCATCGAGGCCCGTGTCGTCCTGGAGAAGATCAAGGTATTAGAGGGTCGTATGAAATACCAGATCGAGAAGTTGGTGCGCATCGCCGAGGAGGCACCTTCTGCCGATAACGCAGCCAACGGTAAGATCGCCCTACATCTGCTTACGAGTGGTATGCTGACTAGACGTCCTGCAGACCCTCTCGCGTTCAGGCCCAACCCTCAAGCCCTCATGGACCAAGAGTCCGAGTCAGAAGACGAGGGCGAAGTCCGCGAAGGCGGCCAAGAGCGTGGCGGGATTTATCGTCCTCCCAAGCTCGCGCCCATGCCCTACACCGAGCCGCGCGCCGAGAAAGACAAGTCGCGCCGGCTCCCCGTGCCCAGCGCGCTCTCCACGCTCGCGCACCTCGACCCGTCCAAGCCGTACATGGAGTCGACCTCCGGCCTCGGCTCCACGCCTGCGCTCATGTCCGCGCGGGCGCGAGAGCTGCAGCGCATGACCGAATTCGAGGAGGAGAACATGACGCGGCTGGTGATGAAGAAGAAGGACGCGCGCAAAAGGAAGATGGACGAGACGGACATCGCGCTGGGAGGCTCGGGCGCTGCGTCGAGCAGGCGTGGGCGGGGTGGCGGTTTCGAGGATGAGTTCGGCGACATTCTCAGATCGGTGGGGAGAAGCAGTAGGGGCGCCGTTGGCGATGGGTACGAAGAGCTGCGGCAGAGGGGCAAGAAGCAGAGTGTGCTTGTGCGCTCGAGGGCGAGGTCGGACGATGTGGATGATCTGGGCGATGATGGGCCGAGGGTTAGGAAGAGAAGTCGGTTCGAGCAGGAGGTCAAGGCAGCGAAGAAGAGGATTCCGACGAAGCGGAAGTCATAGTGAAGATCCTACGTGTAGCAGGCTTCATGCTATCTCCTGTCAGTGATCCAATAATTCGTTGAATGACTGCGATTAGATCAATTGGTCGTTCTTGAGTGTTCCTTCCAAGTTCCTTCTCATCATGAAGCTCGCGTAACATCCTACGCTGTCAAAAAGTCTGTCCCAATAAGACTGAATGAATAAATCAATTATGCAGCCACGACTGAAATCACGACACATCACAGACGTGGATCGTACAGTAACTCTAGATAAATCCATGAGGTGGTGCCTGTCCATGTATGCAAGAGTAATAGTCCATGCAATGCCATCCATAGGCCCCCCCAACCCATCGTAGCCTATGCACTCGCGGCGGCGTTAGCAGCCAGCATCTCCCTCTTCAACGCGATCTCATCCCTCAGCATCGCGATCCGGCTATCCAGCCTCGAGCTCAGGTCGACCTGCTGCGTCGCAAGCGCAAGCGCCTTCTCGAGCCCTCCCTCCGCCTCCTTCATCGCGCCCTCCCAGACGCCCCGCTTCTCCGCCTCGCCCAGCTCCTCCTTGCGCACGTCCGCGTGCGCCGCATCGACGCCGGGCACGCCCTCCGTGCGCGCCTGCGCCTCCTTGAGCGCGAGCACCGCGAGCTCGAAGAGCGCGACGCCCGCGACCCACGTGCTCACCTTCACCTGTGCGTGCTGCGCGTGCGCGTCGGCGAGGAACGCGCGGGCGGGGCCGTACGAGCCTGCGGTGCGGTGCGTGATCCCGAGGAGGAGCGCGCGGATCGCGAGCTCGTCGGGCGTGTCGAGGTCGGGGGGCGCGGACGTGGGCAGCGCCGTTGTCGCTGTAGACGGCGTGGCCGCTGTGGCCGAGGGGATGAGGGGACTCGGGATGGTCGGCGGGGGCGTGAATGCGCTGAGCTCGGTGATGTGCGCGAGCGCGATGTCATGCGGGATCCGTGAGTGCGTGTTCCAGACTAAGGGAGATCAGTGACCGGTGGCAAGGATCAAGGTGGAACATACAGATTGCGAGCTCTGCAGATCAATGGATAGTGAGTACTGAATTTCGCCGCAGGGCTAGTAGTCTCACCCTCTGCAGGACTGATCTTCATGACCGATACGTAGTCGTCCTCCGATCCCATGAGCCGTGCTGCCTTTTCCTTGTAGAAAGCCACTGCAGCAACACGGTTAGCCGTGCCCTCAGATCGAGCCATTGTACGCACGCTTCTTCTTGATGAACACCTCCGTAGGCAGATCCTTCCCGCCAATCTTCTTCTTGTCCAGCAAGGCGGGGATCTGCTCAAGCAGCTCCTTCGCCTTGTCGAGGTTACCTAACGATACATGGCAGCCTGCCCGCCGCCGTGTCACCACGCGTTCTTCCACCTCATAGTCAGGAGAGCAGGTAGTGGGACGCACCAGCAGCGATAAAGTAGTACGTCCCATGACTCCAGCTATTGACCTTGGTCATGTCGATGAACGTGTCCGCCGCCTCTTGGTAGCGCCGCTGCGAGAGCAACGTCCACGCCAGCTCGAAGATCAACTTTAGCAGGCGTCAGTGGGTCAATCCGCGGTTGGGAATTAGGGTTCTGGACTCACAAGACCGTCAGCCTGGGCAAAAGTATGCGGACGCTCGGGCTTGAGCCCGTCCTGGAGGACCTTGATCGCACCCTGGGTGTCATAGGACATCCGTAGGATCTTCGCCTGCACACATGGCATTCAATGAAGGGTTCCCCTCGATGCCACTCCTCACGCACCCTATTGAGGATCCACAGCGAGCCTTCGGGATACCTGGATGAGAGCCTAGTCACCGCAGGTGAGCACCCTCCCAGCGCGCCAGCTCAAGCAGCGCGTAGCACATACTTGTCCACGATCGCACCGTACTGTCGGAGGATGTGCTGTTCATCCACCTGGTACCCCGAGAGCAGGAGGACGACGCCGTGGTACGTCATAAGCGCCAGCCTGGATAGTTCGGAGCCGCGAAGGCCGAGCCGGCGCGTCCGTCAGCGAGCCTCACCCTATATTCGAAGGAGCACCCGCACGCCGTATATGCGGACGTGCGGGTACAGGGGGAGAAGGGCGTGCGGACGTACCCGGCGAAGACACCATGGACGTCGGTGTGGTTCGCGGAGACGGCGAGCGCTTGGAGAGCGAGCTTGCGATCGCTCGTGAACCCGAGGAAGCCCACCACTCCTCTGTAGGATCATTACAGGGCGGATGAGACACCGGCGCATCGGAGTGGCAGCGCACGCACCGGATCTTGGCGGGTAGCAGGGAGAAAACAAGGTTGAACAGCCTGCGTGGAGGGATCAGCGAGGCTATACGGGCGCACGACCGCTCATCTGGCGCTCACCCATATCCTGTACAGCGCCGTCGTCCATGCTGAGCCTTCCCCGGGGTGAGACGGAAGGAGTGGGTCACGCACCGAATGCAGTCCCCGAGAGGATGAGCTCGTCGACGGAGCCGCGCTCGGCGTGGACGCGGGTCTCGAGGGAGAGCGACGTCATGCTCGGGCTGAGGCTCGACGGCGTCGACGCGCTCGCGCCGCCCGTAAACCGGCTGAAGAAGCCGGAGCGCCGGGAGAGGATGCTCGCGGGCGCCGAGGGCGTGGTGGTGCTGGTGCTCGCGACGCTCAGCGTGGACGACGCCGCGGAGGATGCGACGGAGGGCGTGTTGCTCCGCGGGGGCGACGTGGCGGGCGTCGCGTAGGCGTCGAGCCCGTGCGGGTAGACGGTCTTGTAGAGTCTGTGGGGCGGTTGCGTGAGCGTGAGGAATGGGGCGCGCCCGGGGGACGAGGGCTGCCGACGCACTTTGTGAACTTGGAGTGGGCACTGTGGGACGGTCAGATAGGGCTCGGCAAGGAGGGAGAGGGCTCTTGACCTGTTGAGGGAGTACAGACATTGCAGGTACCCCATGTAGGACTCACTGTAGACAGCGGCATGGTAACGGTCTGTCAGAGGAACGCGGCTACAGCGGTTCATGGGACAGACCTGAGGGCATGGTTCAGACCAAGGAGGATGACGGCGTCGGAGTTGAGCAGTTCCCATTCTGTGCCCGGAGGGAATTGGGTGGTGCGCTTCGCGTACTTGGATGCCTTGAGCTGCTTCTTGGAGCCTGCCTCCGAGAGCGAGAGACAGCGCTGGGCTTCGGCGAGGAGCGCTGTCTGCGAGGAGGTCAGAGATACGGGCAGTGAATGGAGTCTGCGCAACTGACCTCCATGCCGAGTGCGGCCTCGAGAAAGGCGCACACACCGAGGCCGAGCTGGTGGAAGGGGCTGTCCGAGTCTACGAATATCTTGCGGGCATTGTCGAGCTCGTTCTGGAAGAGGTCGTCGAAGCCGCGGGTGGCGTCGGTGAGCTGCTGCTGGGTGCCGTCGTCTGCGGAGGCCATGGTGGTCGGGAGAGAGATGGCAGGGTGGGCGGCCGGACGCGCATCAGCCACAGGGGCGACGCGTAAGTAGGCGCGTCTGGCATGGGAGCGCGTCACGCCGCCCGCCTCGGCGATGCCCGGTGGACGCCGGCGGACTCCTGGGGCGGCGGAGAGGCAGCAGCGGGCGAGCGGCAGACGCCCGCCACCGACATGAGCGACGTCCACGCGCGGATCTCCGCCTTCGAGGCCCTCGCAAGCAGCCCCGCCGCCCGCAGCCACACCCGGCCCCTGTCGCCCGACGCCGCCGCCCGCTTCGACCCCATCGTCCACTCGCCGTCGCCGTCGCCGCCCGCCCTCGGCCGCAAAACATCGCTCATCGACCTGCACGACTGGGTCCTCGACGACGGCCCCCGCAACAGCCCGCCCACGCCCGCCCTCCCCGCCAGGCCCCGCTCCACCGCCCCCGTCGCCAGTCCCCGCCACGTCGCTGCGCCCCTCATCCACCTCGAGTCCCCGCCCTCTGCCCGCCCCGCTCCGCCCCTCCCTCCCCGCACGCCGTCCTACACATCCCTCCGCTCCGTCTCCGCGTCCTCTGCATCCACCTCGGCTGCAGCGTCTCGCTCGCCCCCTGCACCCCCGCCGCGCAGACCGCCGCCGTCGCGGGCTTCGCTCTCTGCAGATCACTCGTACCCGCCCGCGCTCAGCCTGGGCCTGGCCATCCCTGCCTCTCCCTCCCGCCACGCCCCTGCCTCCTCGATCTCTTCCTTCCACTCTGTCTCTCTGTCCTCCGATGGCGGAGACCCCGGCTCGCCCTCGACGCCGAGCAATGTCGCCCCATCTCCCTCAGACACCGTGAGTATGGCAGAATCCTTTGAGCACCTCTCCGTGTGTTCCACCGCGCCCGAGCTCCCCCGCCGACCGCCCTCAGAGCCACCAAAACTCCCCCAACGCCCGCCCTCTGTCAGTCCCAACGTCACGCCCAAATCGCTCGGGTCCTCTCCCCGCCCGCCCTCCGCAAAACCCTCCCCTCCACCGCGCGCCGCAACCACAAAGCCGCCGCCACCCCCGCCGCCCCGCCCCCCGTCCTCGCGCGCATCCACGGGCTCGTCCGCCTCTGGCACCTCCACGTCCCTCTCTTTCTCCGACCGTGCCTCCGTCTTCAGCCTCAGCACCTCGCCCTCCTCTTCCAGCTCGCACCTCGGCCCAAGCAGCTCCTCCCTCGCCACACTCAAGCCAACCACCAAGTCCGCCACAGTGCCCAGCCCGCTGCCCTCCCCGATTCTCTCCCAGCTCACGCGCGCAGCCCCCGTCCCGCCGGCCGCCCGTCGGCGATACGAGACCCTCTTCGCACGGAACCTCTACGCGCAGAACGCCGTCAGGAAGGACATCGCCTCGCCGCCGCCCGGCGCGCGTGCGCGCAAGGCTGCGGGCTGGCGTGGGCTGTCAGTGGACCTGCTGACGAACCCCGAGCCCGCAGCGACGGAGCAGGAGAGCGAGGAGCGTCTGGACGGGGAGACGGTGCGCAAGATATGGGTGCGCTCGAAGCTCGAGCGGAGGACGCTCAAGGCGATATGGTGCGTCGCCCTCCCTTACATTCTACGCGCTGCGTTCATTTATGCGGGACGCCGAGTAGGTCGGACTGCGACCCCGCGGGTATGGGCTCGCTCGACCTCGAGGGCTTCGTCCGCGGGACGTGGCGGATCGACGAGGAGCTCCGGCGCGCGCAGTTGCGTGACGGGCTCGGGCTCGGGCTCGGGCTCTCGCTCGGTCGCCACGGCTCGAGCGCGAGCGCGACGGCGCGGGGAAGGGCGCGTGCGAGTAGAGGGAACACGCGGCTGATCCTGCGATAGCAGGCCGTGCGGGCGAGGTAAGGGGACTTGTGTTGATGACGGACTGATGCTTGTGAAGGATGCTTTCGATGGCTGTCTGGCTCTGACGATGTAGCGTATATTCATTCGGGCTGGGTGATGTGCAATGGACGTATACCCGCGCATATTGACGTTCTTCCCATGTGCGTGCACCGTGTATCGGGGATGTGCAGCTCGCATGTATGTGGCTGCTATGCCATACCGCTGACGTCTCGTCTTGCTCCGTCTCGAGACACTACCAACTGAAGCGCTCAGATAACTGTAGGCTCCGAGGCCAAGTCCCAATCCTCCTCACTCTCGCGTGATGCACTTCTCGCGCAATTGTCGTCGTCGGCTTCGAAGGAAGCGAATTCAAGAGCGGACACTTTGCTTTCTTCGGCGTATCCTCCCTCGTTGGCGTACTGCGCCTTGCGGATGCTCAAGAAGAAATGGGAGAGGATGAGCGGCGTGAAACTGCCAGTAGTGCGGAGAACGTGAGTCTATAACCTGTAGGACGTGGCAGGGTACTGACATGGCGTTGAAGATCGAAGTGCTTTCGAAGATCTGCGACTTTCGGGTCAGGACATACGCAGAATGATGGTCAGTATGACTGAGGGATCGGCTCACCATCGTGACGGTCAAGACGGCGTCGGCGAGGTTGAGGAACAGGTGCACTCTACAATGCAAGATCAACAGGATCCGAAGTATCATACGAGTGTCAACACCACCGACATGAAGTAGATGGCGCCTTTGAGAGAGTCAGACAGTGAGTTGTAGTGTGAGGACAGGCCGACTAACCGTTCAGCAACAGTCTCGTGACGACGCTATCCCCTTCCTCGGTCCGCCTCGCGAGGTCGAGCAGCCCGCCCCTGGTCCTGTACCAGGTCAGGAAGAGGATAAGCGCGTCGTGGATGATGTTGAATATCCTCGTGAGGATCTTCACTGCGGACATAGACATACCGTGAGTAACTCTCAGCCCCCCGGGGTGATGTAGCTCACGTCTGTGATCACGCAGTCAGCCACGGAGCATGCGTAGGGATCTCTTCACAGCGTTTGTGGGGCACTTACGCGTCATCAAGGCCGGCTGGGACTGTGCTGTGCATGGCACAGTACAGGGGCGGAGGCAAGGCTTCCGGCGTCGTCCGTGAGTAAGTGTACTGTAGCCCGCAGCAGTACTGTAAGTCCGGGGTCTGCCCCATGGCAGCGGCGGTGCTCACGATGCTCGTGCCGAACTGGAACAGAACCAGGGAGGACACCAGCGCGGGGAGCTTCCAGTCGGAGACGCAGTGCTCGAGCGCGTAGACGCGGATGGCAGAGAGTACTGTGACGGCGTCGTCGGATGGGGTAAGCCGTCAGTCAGTACGTGGCGTTCGCCGGAGGTGCGTAGGTGAGCACTCGCCTCCGCAGACGATCAAGAGGATGCAGGTGATGGCGTTCACGATGTGCAACATGGCGTATGCACTGGGATGCAGACTGAGCCATGGAAACGAACGTGATGGGGCCGTGGTCGTACCTCTGCGATGTGCGATGACGTAGCATGTGAGCTTGTCTGCTCGCTCAAGGAATTACTGCCAAAGTACTGACCTCGCAGTCCTCCTCGTCGAGGGCTACCAGCTCCAAGACCAGGTACGGAACCATAATATAACGGTTCACGATGTAGAGCATGCTCGCCCCAGAGATTTTTCGCTGCCATATCAGCTCGATGCTGTCGGAGACCGTCAGGAGGGTATCGTAGAGATACAGTGCTGGCAAAAATGTTTCGGTCACCATAGCGGCTGCACGGCAGGACGGAGACTCGGACGTACCTGCTGCAGCAACGGCACAGCGATTCGTGGTCACACTGTGATCGGGGCGTTCATTGTCCAAACTGGTCAGTGGCGTGGCCCAAACGTTCATGGCGAGTACGTACGCCAGAAATACAACATGGTCCATGCGGGCTGTGAGACGGGCTCAGGGGAAGGCGGGTGTGAAGACGTAAAGCTAGAGGACCGCTGGGGGTAGGCGACCGACCACAGCTTCCCATGCAAGAGACAGAAGCACGACGAGCGAAGAGCAGGATGCATTGGATGTGTGGAAGGCGTCGGCCACCTTCCACTGACGGGCCACCATCGACCCCACGGGCAGTGCTTCCGACCACGGGTGCCTTGAATCCAAGTTCTTTCAATTCAAACTAGACCGCCGCTGGCCTCCTACTAAATAGGACAGGTAAGATTCAGAACCTCCATGCATGTCGGGGCAAATACCTGCAGTTCGACGTCGACATGGCTCGCCGGATCTGCATAGCTTGACACAGCGGTAGGCAGTGTCAGTTCAACTCGATGATGAAACCGAGAACTTGCCCAGGCGTTTCATGGTCGCGGTAAGGTTCGCGCCCGTGTGGACCTGTGGCACGAGGCCGAATTTCATTGAACTCAGAGCTTGAGCTTAAATTTGCAGCGGTCCCAGCATATACGTGTAATCCAGGGTGAGTCCTTGGAACATTCTTGGACGGCGAGTTCTTGCTAATGCTATTGTCCCCACCAAGCACCTCGAAGCACCCACTGAGGTATCACTGATCAAGTGTTCCCATTGGAATTTCTACAGTCCGATCGTCAGAGCGGTGCGTGGATTTCCAACCCGAGTCTGCGCCCACCTGACTGTGAATGGACTCTTTCCATCAGCATAGTGCACTTTGCGGATGCTCGGCTCGACGAAATGCGACAGGATCAACGAAGCAAATCTGGACGAGCTGCATCACACTGCGGCAGCTCATGGAGCCACGGCGCTGCTACTGTAGACAATAACTTGAAGAACGATTGTGCAGAGTTGATGGCCAAAGTTGACTCGAGGGAGCACTACGGCTCCGGAAATTGACGAGTGATTCGAATGGCCGTTTGTATTGAGTGCCATTGTAATACCCAAGACCAGGCCTGAAGGAAACTTGGGAACGCACTTTCAAGTTCACTATATTGTACAGTTGTTGTAGTATCCCGTCGTCCGTGGCATTACCGCGCTTCAATGTCCTCGACACCTCGCTCATAATCTCCCTCTGTAGACAGTGTACCCCAGTTCACTTTGATGCCCTCAGACAGTGCCTCTTGGTCCTCCAGAGGTTGCGTGCCTCCAAGACTTGGGTCCGAGATTTGACTCGGTGACGATAGTTGCCGGTTTCTTGCATAGTGAGCCTCACGGATGCTGAGGAAGAAATGCGAAAGGATGAGAGGCGTGAATCTCGAAGCAGAATTAGAATCAGTGACATGGCGCAGGCCGCTAACTTATCACAGACGATGATCACTACTCACATCTGATTGAATATATAGCTGGAATTGAAAGTCTGTACAGATAGTGTAGTATCAACGACTCGACATCCAGTGGCTCGAGTGAAGACGACTTCAGAGCACGTACCCCTGTTACGGTTAGGACAGCATCGAGAATGTTCAGCACAAAGTGCACTCTACATCGCGTCATGAGTGAAAGTGCCCGTTGTTGGACTCGGAGGTGCGTCTCACGTACATGAAGTACACAGCACCTGTAATTCCGGGTCAGGAACACCATACAGCAGTGGACAAGAAAGGTTGAGACAGACCATTTAGTAGCAGTCTTGTCACAATGTTGTTACGCATGTACATGGCACTTCCGTGTTCTCTCAACTCCCCCCTTATTTTATGCCACGTGAACAGCAAAATAAGGGCGTCATGTATGATATTGAGCACACGAACGGCGATGGTCACTGACGCCCTTCATCAACGTCGTCGGTGAGCAGCGATGCAGATCTGCTACTTACGTCTACGCCAATCATCAGGGTGGTATGAAGACATCAATACGGCGGCTGAACATACCCATAGTAGAGATTGGCTGGGACGGTATCGCGCACCGTACAGTGGAGCGGAGGTGACACGACCTGTGATCTGTAACGAGAATATTCGTACTGGCATAGATGTACATTAGTAGTCAACTGTGGTTGAGGTGGCAATGGACACCTACGACGCTCGTGCCGAATTGAAATAGCACAAACGAGGTGACCAATCCAGGCAATTTCCAGTCAAAACCGTAGAAATTCAAGCTGTAGACACGGATTGCCGAGAGAGCTACTTAGGCCTGTGGTCAGAGGCAATGCCGTCACGGTGCTAGGTCCTGTTTCACCTGCAAATACAATGAGTAGTGAACATAGTATGCCGTTCGACGCCTGCGATATGATGTACGCCCTTCATGGCACAGACTCGGATCAGACATTACGACAGGTCTGCAGTTGAATCGGCGCACCGCTGTAGAAACACACGTCAGTACACGCTCATTCAATCATGGTGAGAAGGCCTCACTGCACAATCAGTCTCTTGTATCAAAAGGAATTGCAGAGCGATCCAAGGAAGCATGAGGTATCTGTTCAAGATGTATAGTGCACTAGCTGAAGTAATCTTGCGGCACCATATGAGCTCAACACTGTCCGAAAACGTGAGCATCGTGTCGTAGAGGTAAAGGACTTCCAGATGAAAGCCAGTGAGTGGTTTCCATGTCATCGAGCCTCTAAGTAACCCACCCGTGGCGGCTACGGTGCAATGATTGGCGACCGTTCTGTGCAAAGACGTATCGCCAGTGATCAGCCACTCGGACGCCGTTGATCGTAACGTGCGCCTCATACCCTAGTTGTACAGTCCGTTCCATGTTCTTCGTCCGAATTACTCTTCTGCTCGGTGATGAAAGGACGTGTTGATTCCACCGCTCGTAGCACGAAGAGCTTTATGAGGATTCCTGTGAGGGTGTATCCCAAATTTTGCCGCTCTGTTGCACTGCAGCCGATGATGCTAGGCATGAACGTGCGCTAATCTTCTGAGGCCACAGTGCATGAGTATGGCAGATGCCACAAATACAAGGAACCAGGTTTCCGGAACTAAGCCCCGAGCCGGGCATCCCCAGGAAACGCCAGACGAAGACCACCTAGTAGCGCCACTCAGCATCCATTCAACGCGGTAAGAGATACACTCACGCAACAGTGGAAAAATCATGGACAGGTGCCAGCGGTGGGTGCATCTGCTAGCGATCAGCACAGCGTGGCTTGCACATAGCCGGAGAACCTAAAAGAACAAGGTCAATGCGGTCGTATCATGTCTTACAGTAAGGCGCCACTAGTACATATACTGTTCTCGGTTGATCCCGTATGACAGCAATGCCCGCCCGAGTCGCCGGAAGCTGTGTATTATATGTGAAGGGAGGCTTTTCCAGGAGCCTGAGTGAGTCAAATCTGCGAAGATTGCCTCAATGGAAGTGGGGCATCGCGGAACTGAGGGTAGTGTGTCCTACAGATAGTACCACACTATGATACTAGATGATCATCGCACACTCCGCAGTCGGTATACCCCGGCTGTATGGGAAACAATGATGCGACAGCGCTTATGGATGTCAGTACGCCGACAATTTGAACCCCCCGCGCGCGCGACCGCGATGCTTAGGCCCCTACCAGAAAGGACTCGGAGAGCCAGGCCAGATTCATGACTGCATTCATTCCCAATCGCACCTTTGTAACGCAAGCTTGCCTGGATATGTGGCACCTATTGTTTTCAGCTTTCCGTGTCCGATAACAAGCCACTCACAGTTTCATGTCGGCCTTGGGGGTTGGACTCGGTTACACCGAACGTGTTCGCCCCGCATGGAGATGCATGACTCACCTTCGATGGTCTTTGCACGGAGAGTCCTCATATCGGGGGTGCAGCGCTGCAGTGCAGCAGGTACTTCGTCACTGGGGTAGGTGGCACACTACTAAGCCGATGGTCCGCTCAGTCATTCCTACGTGAACGGGGTGCTATAAAGCGCACTGCCACTCGAGACGAGAGCTGTGGTAGCAAACATCAACGTGCTTATCAAGTAAGGATACTCGTTCACTTTTGAACACGTACCTGAGTATCACGACGGCTCAGCGGTTCGTTGTAACTGCGAGCAGACCGGAATTCTGAGTTCGCCGAGGTCATCACTGTTCCTCATGCGTGTCCCGTAATTTCCTACAAGTCCGTCTGCCCGAATATGGCATAGAAATGATAGGTCGCTGTGTGGGCTTCGATGCTATATGCTCTCCTGTGAGCGTGACCGTTACATCGCACTTGAGATTAACCCGACGCACCGATGCCCAAGAGCGATCGGGACAGTGTCATCCATCGCACAATACAGTGGAGACGGCAGAGTTTGCAGTCGGTACCGAGCCCACGTGTACTTCACGGTCGGAAGCATCAGTCCGCGGGAAGAGCTGGGCAGTGAAGGCAAACGCATACAACATCTGTGCTGAATTGAAGCAATACGACGGAGGTCACGAGAGCTGGTTATTTCCAGCTGAAGCCATAGAAGAGTGAAAACGCGGAGGGCAGAGAGGGCAGCCCTGTCCGGCGCGAAGCCAGAGGAAGAGCTTACATTACAGTCTTGCAATGTGTGCTGCACATTGCAGGACAACCCAAGGAAGCATGAGGTATCTGTCCACGATGTACAGAATACTCGCGGGTGTGAACTTGCGGCACCATATAAGCTCGGCACTGTCGGAGAAGGCCGGGTGAGGATGCCGTCGTAGAGGTACAACACTGCGAAATAGAATTCAATGAGTAGGCGCCAATTCTTTGAGCACAAAATAAGCCCACCGCTCGCAGACGCAGTACAGAGATTGGCAACCGTCCTGTCAATGGAAGCAGCAATCAGACACCCGACCACGGACAAGACCGCAGCAGCATACCCCAGCACTAGCACTCGGTCCATGTCGTTCAATCCAACGCTCTTCCGCTCGGTAAGTCGCCATGCTACAAGACGTACCATGTCATATTTATGTGCTCTCCACACTCGGCGTGGACGTGTGTGAGCCTTGTGGCGAAGACTCCATTCTATACGGGCAATACGAGATGCTCCACCGTATGAATTACCCTTACTATCCTGGATGCCCAGTGACCGCAGCTAATCCACAGATCGAATTGAGGAAGTTCCGAACATGATGAAACGGCCCACAGTTCAGATGGACTCGCAACAGAATAAGACAAAGGCTTGCTTGAGATGCACATTTGAGAGTGCGACTCATCAGAATAGTACCCCTGATCACGGTGTCCCCGTAGCTCTAAGACGCGCAAAGATCATCGAGTCAGCACATCTTAAGAGAAGGAGCGCATTCAAGCACACGCTCACCAAATGGATGTATTTCCTCAATTGCGTAGCTCCGAGTCAGCGCGCCTCGCTGAGCATGGTTGAGGTTCGTCAAGTGTTGTCATGATGAGAGCCGTGACAGACGATGTCTGGGCGTAATACTGGCAGCATCTTTTCAGGCTGTTCTCTGGAATTTCCAGTCAAATGGAGAGCTGCCCTGGGCTCAAACTTGATTGTAACGCCAGATACATGTACACCCGGGCGTAGCTGCCAGAAGCCCAAAGGTTGACCATCCTTACTGAGCTTGTCATCGTGAAGGCTGAGTCGCAGCAGCTACATACCCTGCCGTACGCGTAGTGCTGTGGCCATATTTGCTGCAGCAGCCGGAGGGGACTGCTTTAGCGGACGTTACAGCAGTGGATGGACGCATCTGTAAGACTGTATAGTGTTCCAGCCACTGGCACACGCTGCCGCGCGCGCCGGTGGCGGCGACGAAGACGCGTTGCGGACGCGCCGTCACGGTGTATTGCGCGTGAACACACTGCCTGCCACCGCTATGTCCCTTCACTGGGGGTGAACAGCCACCACTCATAACCCGCATCTGTCGTGCCTTTAATCCTTCCAATGCTAGGTACGCGTCTTTCCTCGTGCTGGGAACGCAAACGGTCTGACAAGCCAGTCCTACAGTTGTGGGTCTGACGGGTGGGATAGCCACCGGCAAGTCCACCGTGTCCACCCTCTTACGCGCACACAACATCCCAATCATCGATGCCGACGTCCTTGCGCGCCAGGTTGTCCTTCCAGGGACGCACGCGCTGCAGAAGATAGTCAAACACTTTGGGCAAGACGTCCTCCAACGCGACGGTACCCTCGACCGTGCGAAGCTTGGCGCGATCGTATTCTCAGACGAACGTCAGCGCAAGGTGCTGAATGGGATCGTCCACCCCGCCGTACGCCGCGCGATGCTCTGGGACGTCATCCGGTGCTGGTGGCGTGGCGAACCGCTGTGCGTCCTGGACGTGCCACTGTTAATTGAGGGTGGACTCTGGCGATTCGTTGCAACCGTCGTAGTAGTCTATTGGTGCGCCATTCTTTGTGTGCTTTCTATACTCTCTAGCCACATACTAATATGCATCGGCGTGCGCTTCAGCTCCCCAGAAATCCAGTTGCAACGGCTCATGGCGCGAGACAGCTCGAGCCGTGAAGCAGCCATGGGTCGCCTGAACGCTCAGCTTCCCATTGGAGAGAAGGTCGACTACGCTGACATTGTCGTTGACAATTCTGGCTCGCTGCAAGATCTTCAAGGGCAAATCGAATCCTTAATTGCCAAGTTGCGCCGGAGAGCTGGTTGGTCATGGAGGATAAGCTGGCTGTTCCCACCCTACGGCCTACTATCCGCTCTATCTGTGCTCGCGTGGAAGGCTATCCGGGGGAAGAAGGCGACGCAAAAACGGACCATACGCCCGTGATGTTATGGGTCACGCACTGATCTCATGTTCGTTGGCAGCTTCATGATGTGTAAATTATGTCGAGGTGCTACCAGCGCGTGCTGCAGTTGCAAGTTTCTCCGCAAATTCTCTAGACATTCGGCGCATATAGCTTACGTGCGCTTTGTACTGAGGTCCTGTTATCAATCTGAATACACGAATGGATGTTTTGCTGCATTGGACGCTGAATATGAGTTCGAGCATCTGTTCTTACAATACCAACCTGCTGGCCCGTCAGCGAGCCCGAAAGGACTGGTTTTATCCACAGAAGAATATATGCATGATCATTACGGAAGGTTCATGAAGATCAAATGGTCGAGTGGACACAACTTCTAGTTGTAGGTCCTGGCCAGAGTCCGTGCGGGTAGTAGATCGCTCAAATCGCTCTCGGCGGGCCCCTCCCTCGCCCCTTCATATCTGCGCCAGCACCATAGATCTGCGCCAACAGCCCGAGTACGCCTCCATCCGCCATCCCATCATCGTCCTCTTCGTCCCTGACCTGACTACTCGACGTCCGCCTCCGTGTGTCAACGTACGACTCCCCCAGCCCGCTGCCCACACCACCGTCCGCAGCGAGCTCCTCTTCAGGGATTGTGTCCTTCGTGGTCTGGTTCGCCCGAGCGGAGGGGGGCTGGGGCATGATGCTCCCCTGCGAGTCACCCAGTGCGACGGTCTGCGCCATGTCGAGGCCAGCGGCGCTCTGGAAGATCGTCGACGTGCCCGTGCCCATTCCCCCGGCTGCCGCAAGCGACCCGAGCCCAGGCCCACGCGTGCTCTGCATCAACGTACTTCCTCCACCACGTCTCCGTGCCATTACGCTCTGGCGCGGATCCTGCAGCGTCGCATCGAGGCCGGCTTGGCTCTCCTGGAGCTGACCGAGGGCGGGCGCGCCGGCATCGGATGGGCGGCGGAGGAGCCGACGACGACCGAGCCCCATGGGGTGCGCGGCGCTGAAGTCGGCGATGCGGCTGAGGTAGAGCGAGCCTGTGGGGTCTGCAGGCATCCACTCCGGGTGGGCGGCCTTGAAGTTGAGGAAACTCTTCTCCATCTTTCCCTCCTTGGACATCAGTCGCTCGTCTTGGACTTGTGTAGGAGCGCCAAACTAACAAGAGTGTAAATCGAGGGATATAGGACAAGATCGCGCACGAGGGAACATACCTTGATGTTACCGTGCCGCTGGAAGTCGAATACCGCGAAGCTGCACACGTAGCCGAGGCCGTCGATGTGCACAGTGAACTCGCGGAAGAAGTCCACAATGGCGGGTGCGCAGGGCGGGAGCGAGTACCACAATACGAACGGCGTGAGGATGACTGACAGCAGCTCCTGGGCGAAGATCATGACCTTCATCGCGAACAGTTCGCCGAACTCCTCGTGAACCTATAATACCAAAACATCAGTGCTTTGCTGTAGCGATCCGCTCCGTTCTGCCGCACCTTCTTGGAGTGCAGCTGGCCCCTCCACTCTTCTGGCATATAGTGCGTGTATTGTATCACGTCCGTCATGAGTAGCTCTGGATCAAACACACGAGTCTCCTCCGGGATCATTCCGCGTGCTACGGCGAGGATGGATCCGAAGACGGTGATGTAGAACAGCACAGTACGATGCGGCGTTATTTCGAAGTGAAGAAAGAGATCGGGATCGATCACGGACGCAAGCAAGAGCACAGCGGCGAAGGATCCTGCAATGAACGCCACGAATCTGTGAAGATATGTTAGAACTGTGACCATGAACTCGGGTGGAACAGCTTACCGGACGATCAGTGTGACCTTCTCGTTGGGGAACTGACCGATGTACATAGTCGCACTTGGGTATGACTCGTTGAGACGCCGCTTGAAGAGATGCGGTAGCTCATTGAACTCGCGGAACTTCCACTGCGCAAAAGGCGTGTAGCGTCGACCACCGATATTCGAAGGATTGTTCTTGTATTCCTGCACGGCTAGTTCAGTCAACGGAGGCATATGACTCAATAACCATTTGACTTGCCTCGAAGTAGCGGAAGAACGAATACATGATCAGGTAGAGTACGATGAAAGGAGCGAAGATGGCGTTCAGGATCCCCATGAAGATGAGCCGCCTCCTCAGTCTGGTAACTCATCAGTGGCAACTCTGACGGCAGTTCTGATCAGGTGCGTACCCTTCAATCAGGACCGTCCTGTTCTTCGACTTCAAGAACACTTTCCTCACCTTCCCCCTCTCGTCGAACAAGTACTCCATCAGGCAGAACCGCAAGTTCCACTCAAGCGCCCTCGTAAGTACGCGTCCCTTACCGTCCTCCGGAACGGTGACGAACCGTTTGAGGAAGGGTGGCAATGGTACGCGGAGATCCAAGAGCTCCTTGTTGAATAGGGCAATGAGGTAGTTCTCCTGCCGCATGATACGGTTTGCTATGTCGTGCGCATCAAGCTTGGCGGTCACTGACTGACCTGCGCCTGTAGACGATAGTGCCGTTAAGGGATTGTCTTCGCGTATCGCGCCGATGCGTCGCACAACTTCAGGCCAAGAAATGGTCTGAATGTCAGCCTGTGTGATTATCCTGCCGTTAGTCCTCGCCACCTTGCCAGCGGAAGCCTATACTCACGTCAGGGATATGAAGCAGGTATGTATAGAACCCGTACATATCCACGAGACGTAGGATGCCTAGGGCATAGTTCACAATCTGCCACGCGAAGAAAGCGGTGAAGAGGACAAAGAATAGGAAGGTGAAGCCGGAGAATCTGTGTACTCTGTGAGACTTCGTCCACAAATGATAGGCATAGTGTATATACCTCGAGACACAGCGATCTACAATGACGTCGCCCAATCGTGTGACCTTATCCGGTCGTATGCGGGAGTAGTCTACGCATCCCAGAAGGAAAGTTGAGAACCCTATGACGAACCCGACTGTGCTAGTCACAACGATCAGTTCTAGGAACATAGAATTGAGCTCGAGGATGACTGACAGAAGGTTCAACCCTCGAGACATCGCTATGCTGTAGATGCCCTTTCCCTCATAGTAGTAGTACGCCTCTTGCAGGAACGCGTCTAAGTTGTACACATTGACCCAGTTCCATAATGCGCGTTCGTGAGCATCAAGGCCACGCATCCTTGGATGACGCTCATGTGAAGGTCTAGGTTGTGGCGTGTCGTCCACGTCCAGTTCTGAGGGTCGTGGCGGGATGGACACAGGTGCCCCATTCGAGGGTGTAATGGGCGGCGCAGGAGGTACGTGCCTTCGAGAGCTAGAGTACAGTGGCTGCCTCCTCGTTTCCTTCTCCTTTCCCTTCGGACTGGTGGTAGGTGGAGATGCCGTTCGCCTCGCAGCACTAGATGGTACGGCTTCAATCATGAAGTTCTGTGGCTCCTCGTCTGACGAGTCTTCGTCCTGCTTCGGGTCGGCCTGCCGGACATTCGGCCTCAGTACGTTCATCTCGGGGTTGTCACCGCCCCAAGCCACGCGCCGCTTTCCATTGGGCTTTGTCTTGCTCGAGCGCGACATTGTACTGCGGCTCGCATGGCCAGCCTCGAGGTCGTGGTCCCCGTCCGCGTTATCTTCTTCGTCCCCTTCTTCTAGGACGGACTGGTTAGCAGGCATGTAGCCCTGATAGGTCCTTCCCATGGGATTGAGCATGTGAAGGAATGGCCGCGAATTGCTTGTTCCGGGGAAGATAGACTGCGAACCGTGAAGAGATCGTGAAGACGACAGCGGTCGCGAGCTAGAGGAGGGGGGTGGGCTTGACATGGTTCCAATTGTTCAAATACACAAACTAGTGGTGACTGGACATGTACGCCGTGGTCTCTGCAGGCTCAGAGGAGAGTTGCACAGGATGGTCAGTGTCGGACCTGCCGCCTGCCTCGGGCTCAAAGACGTAACACACGCAGTTATTGCCCGTAATACTGCTACATTAACTCCATATATAGTAGTTAACTAGCATGTAACCCCAGAATGGAATCATTTCAACGGACTCTCGAGCCGTCTCATTCGCGCTCCCGAGCTTCAGCTGTGGGATGTCTCTGACGCTGTCCTTCGCCCGGGTCCTTGCTCGAAGTCACGTACCTTCAGCATTGCGACCGCACCGTCGATTATGTCTGCGACGACTGTCAACATCTCCACTGGATCCTGCTGTACAGCGGTTCGCCACCGAACTGGCTAAGCACCAGCCATGCTACGGGATTTCTGCCTCCTATGTCAAGATTTTGACCGAGCCTTGTCAGTTCTACCAAAGCCTTCTGGTAAGTACACACGCTATATTGAGACACGCGACATCAAGCTTACCTGCATTGCAGAATCTCATTCGCAACGCGCGACGGAGAATCTTCATATCTTCTCTGTACATCGGGTCGGAGGACGTGGAACTGGTGCGCTTACTAGTGGATGCACTGTCTGCTTGCATTTTCACATCACTCGTACTCAGATCAAAGCACTGGAAGCATCACTTGAAGCTAATCCCGCCCTCCAAGTGCACATACACCTCGACTACAACCGGTGCACACGACCCGAGCCTCTGTCCACCGCGCACTTGCTTGCGCCTCTCGTGCGGCGGTATCCAGACCGCGTACATGCCTGGTTCTTCCGGAGTCCAAAGCTGAAAGGGCTAATGGCGCGTGTGATGCCTCCTCGCTTCAACGAGGGCTGGGGCGGCACTTGGCATCCAAAGATATACGGTGCCGACGACGACCTGGTGATATCTGGGTAAGGAAGTACGCCTCTTGCCTCCGAATTCATTGCCCGTTTATCTGGAACCAAATGGTCGTCAGCGCGAACCTCAACACGTCGTACTTCACCAACCGTCAAGACCGATACGTTCAACTGACTGGCCAGCCCGAGTTGGCTGACTACTGCTTCTCGTTCCTAGAGCAGGCCGCTAGCTTCTCGTATTCTCTGCTACCGTCCTCCACAGAACAAGATGCTTATGTGTTGTCTTGGCCTCACAAGGATTCACATCCCCATCATTTCGAGCCGAAGGCGGAAAGAATCCTTACAGCATTCCAAGAAGCCCAGAAGACCCGCGCCTCTCACAAGCTGGCCTCCCTACTCTCCGGGCCTTCTAGTGCTCAGGGTGACACGGACGTGATAGTGGTGCCCATCATACAAGCTGGGCAATTCAATGTTCGCGAAGAGGAACGATGCCTGGCCATGCTGTTCCAGCATCTCTCGGAGCCGTCATCGCCCACATCGCATTATGACGGACCCTTAGTGGATCTGACGAGCGGTTACTTTGGCCTCTACAAACCGTATCAGAGCCACGTCATCAATTCGCCTGTGGCATGTCGCGTCTTAGCGGCCAGTCCAAAGGTGCGTCAGAGTTCGCTCGGTCTTTGCGTCGTTGCTGAAAGGCACATTAGGCGAACGGGTTCTACGGCTCCCGTGGTGTGTCTGGCAGGATCCCAGAAGGCTACACAGTCCTTGAACGAAGATTTATGAAGGCCGTCCGCGCGGCTAGACGCGAATGGCCTCCTGAGCAGCCCCTCGAGGACCGGATTGAGTCGGGCGTGCAGCTCAGCGAATGGGAAAGAGAAGGTTGGACGTACCACGCCAAAGGTAAGCATCATGCTGTTGCGCGTGTTCGTGGTCCCTAATCGCTGTTGCAGGCATATGGCTCCGACCAACGCCTTCAGCGCACCCGTGCCTCACACTCTTCGGCTCGACGAATCTCAACTCGCGCTCTGCCAACATCGACACAGAGCTTTCCTTCATGCTTGTGACTACTTCGCCAGGCCTACGCGCGCGTCTCGCGGAAGAAGTTGATGGGCTCCGGTCGCATGCGTATCCCTGGCGGGGTGCGGAGAGGAGGGTGCGGCCGTTCTCTTGGCTGCTCGCGAGCGCGTTGTCGACTCGTCTATGATGAATCATCCGTTCCAGGCCTCTACTAGTAGAATAATGTCTCCGAGTCGTATAGCACATACTAGCCTAGGGATCGTCTAACGTCAGGATACCACACCACAGATCATAGACAAGGTGCTACAATGAATGAGGGTCAGCCAAAAACCACATCATGACGATGTATTGAGCATCACCTCCTTATGTCGCTGAATCCGTTGCTGGCGTTCGACCACTCTCGGCTGCTCGCTGTTGAGTTGCCTTGCTTGCCGCCCCTGCATCGCCTCCCCGCTCGTTTACGTATTCAAACTTGCGCGAGTCTAGGGTAAACGTCACAGGTCCCTTGTAAGATGACAAGGGTATGATTATTGCGTGTCAGTGACGTGAACAGTCACTAGTCAAATCAGACATACCTCGTTCGTCAGGCTGACGTTCATCATAGCGCCAAATCGTCCGGCTGTCCATTGAAGAGGCGATGAACGATCGCTCGTTCATAGCATGAGGAAGCATTGAAGTGCAAGAGGACTAACACTTTATCTTGTCTGGCTTGTACAATGCCTGCATTTTGTCCAAAAATGACGCATACATTTGCCGGCCGGCCTCTGTACCCTGACGACCGATCAATCGAGAAGCTTCACGCACATATGCTCGGAACTTACCATTGCTCGATGGAAGTCTGGATTGCTGCTTCTGTGTGTGTTGGCGAAGAGCGTGAACTGCGAGACACAGAGAACGTCTCCGTCTATGTCCTTGACATTCTTCTTCCACATGGCTCCGGAGCCGTCATCAAATATCCGGAGCTTCAGGCTGGTCCGGTGGTAAGACGTGAGTGAATCGTCTGACCAGAGGACGACTCGCACATTTTCTTACAGATCGTGTCAACATCCTCGGTGGTGTCGTCTTCACTATTAGGGCCAATCTGTCGCAAAACCTAAGGATATGGTCTTACCTCTCCCTAGCCCGACGAGGACCATAAGCCCCTTTGAAATCGACGACACGACGTTGCCGTCGACTGCGTCCGTATGAGTTCATGCGATAAATTGAATTCGTCGGATGAATCGACTTCGATGAAGTGAGTAACGCTCACCGGTTACCGAGGCTGAGCTCACACGTTGCACTACCGCGCGCATTATGAGGCTGTTATTTGGAGACTGTTGTCGCGTATGATATCAGATGTAGATGCGCAGAAACCCGAGGTCGGCCACGGTGTAACGACGTTCGAGTGAACGACGACTCCCTTACTCGCAAGAGCAAGGCTCTCCGAATCCCAGGTCGGAAGTGTTGCCGGGCGCCTTCGCACTTGTTTGGCGTTGCTGTTAATCTCACTTGGATCTCACCCAAAGTGGGTAACCTCGGTCATCGGGCGCATCACCTGCGCCATGCCAGCAAGATAAGTACATACATTGTACATATAGCAGCGTGGCCAGTGTAAGATGCAGTTCAATCGAGAAACATGGTCCCAGAGGCCGTCAAAGGGGGGGTTAAAGCACGGGAGACAATAAGTACTGAAGGGCTCATATCCAAGTAAGTGCAGGTCTTCTCCGCTGTGCATGCCCGCACTTCAAATGATGTTGAGTTAAGATGTTAGGTGTCGCGCGATGGACTGTCATGCTCAGGCGCGTTCTCCGGTCAGTGAACGTGTGCCGCACGTGGTCGCGAAGCGGCTACTAGTAGTAGTATGAATGCAGCGGAAGAGTGGACCGGAGACATGGCCTTCGGTGCGGTGAGGAGATGGCGAATCGACCCTCCGGCTGCTAGTCCGAGGTCGTGGGCAAGTCTCACGCGGTAGCCGTCGAGTGCCGGACGTTCGAGTCCGAAATGATAGACAGTCTCGCGCGCGGTGTCGCAGTTCGGGCATGTGGCGAGTCGAAGTCGACTCGCTGGATGCGGTGGAAGTGTCGTTGTAGAGGGGCGTGCTCTGTTCCTAGAAGCTGAAATAGGATGCTCGCATGACGTCGCGGGAGCTTCTCCGCCAGCTTCTTTGAGGGAAGGCTTGGCTCGACTCTGTGTTCACTGTTACATATGGTACGATCGCGAGACTTCTACTAGTAGAACTTCTGTACACGCCTGCGGTGAGAATTTCAGCCGGCTTGACAACTCGGCGCACAGTTGTTCTTGCGCGCCGTTGTTCCTGAGGGTCGCGCGAGCAAGGTCTCACCGCCATCGCTGGCGGCATTTCGAGTTGTTGTTGGCTGTTGTGGACCACCGAAAGACCTGATGCGGAGGTGATCTCGATCCGATCGCAGAGTCGGATCACCCCGAGGAGCGTGGAAAGGTGAGATCCTGATCTACGCACATTCTTGAACCGAACGGGCACTCACTCGTAACGTTCCCCTCGCACAATGTCCGAGTCAGTCGTCATAGAGACGAGCTTGGGCGACATCCAGCTAGAGCTATACTGGAACCATGCACCAAGAGTAAGCCCTCTTCACTGGACATCGCGGATGCGCTCATCCCAGCACTCGAGTTTCTAGACGTGCAAGAACTTCGCGGAACTGACGAAGCGTGGATACTACAACGGCGTAGTCTTTCACCGCATCATTGCCGTGAGTAGACTCCGTGCGCTGGCTTGTAGGTCCTGAATGACGCTTGCCTCAGGACTTCATGGTACAGGGCGGCGACCCGACAGGGACCGGCCGCGGTGGCACTAGCATCTACGGACAGAAATTGTACGTCTACTCTGCCTAGAGCGACATCCACATTCATTGAGTAACCCATGTACAGCGAAGATGAGATACACCCAGAACTGCGGTTCACGGGAGCAGGCATTCTCGCTATGGCCAATTCGGGACCCAATACAAACGGTACGTCATCCGCGTCCTCATCTGGGTCCCCGACTCAAGGCGGCCCGATGCTCTTAGGATCTCAATTCTTCATGACTCTAGCGCCCACTCCGTTCCTCGACAACAAGCACACCATCTTTGGTCGCGTCAGCTCCGGGATGCGGGTGCTTCAGAGACTTGGTTCGGTCGCGACTGATGCCCAGGAACGGTGAGTACTAGCGCGACGGCAATCAATTCTCATTGACTCATATTGAACACGTAGACCTCGGGAGGACGTCAAGATCCACAAAGCCCGTGTTGTCTGACGGCGTAAGCTCTCCGCCTCAGAATAAGGGTGTGCTTGAGGTTGAGGGGACTAGGTACAAACGGTACGCGTATGTCCGGAAGACGGGGTGACAGGGATGTGACATGAAAAGATTGACAACGACTCAGGTATATTCACTAGCTGCTTGTGCAAGCGTCACCTGATGCCACCTACGAGCTCCGCTGGCATTTGTACATGTAGTATGCACACTAGTCACAGTAGTCAGTAAGATACAGGGCGACTCACGAAGCGCCATCTTGAGATGCGTGTGTTGTGGTGCTGGTGCAGACATTGACTACGATTGACTGAAACACCTCAAGGTAGCGTTCGAGATGTGCCGGTTGGTGATGCCTGATGCCGGTGACGACTCGGAGTCGACAACCGGATCTGCAGCAGGAAATCAACTTTCATGACAATCGCAGCACAGGTCACAAGCTGAGGCGACCAACTGAAAGAAAAGATGAACGTGTATGGCGGTCTACGTAGCCAGTGAATCGTGAGCATGCAGTCTCGGGATGGCACACGAGCACCGCCTGGCCAACGTCGCCTGACGGAACAGCATAACGGTAACCTGCCCTAGTCTCCGTTGGGGACCAAGATAGCATGCAACCAACTGAAAACCGCCCGATATTTCAATCTCGGTCAACGTACAGCTCATTGCAGCGGACATCAACTCTAGAGCACCAGGCCAACCACGCCTAGTACCAACAAGACGCCAGATGTATTCACGGAATTAAAGTCGGATCCGCTGTAATTACATGACGGTCACTGAAAACGGTTCTACTCACAGGTGCGTCAGTCAGCGGGAATTGTGTATAATGATGATACGCACAGAGGGAGGACCCGTGTTGCTGATGATGCCAGTCAAAGTTTGCACGATATCGGCCGCGCCCTGTTCTCCGGGAGGACCGTATTTCTTCTTCGACTCCTGGACGGGTTTGGGCTTTGTGTAGCGGATCATGGACGGCTCTTCGACGCGCTGATAGCCAACGTATTCACGGGAGCCGGGGGGATACGGGTTTTGTTTGCCGTGCTCGGTGTCTGGTGGGACGTATACATCCATACTCATCCCCACGCCGTCCAGACCTGCGGGATTGAGCCGAACGGTGGCTGGTGCGGCGAAAAGCTGCGTCTGTGCGACGCGGAAGGTGGTTGCGCCGCGCATGGCATCGGGTGCGTCAGGTGCTGCTCCCAAACTACGCCAGTTGATGGGATCCTTGTTTTCGGCGAGGGCCTTGTGGAGGTGGGGAGTCATGCCGGCGAAGCTGGCGACGTAGTCCCCGCCGGCATGGCCTCCCTGGCCAAGCAACCGCTCGAGTATGCGTCCTGGCTGGGGCTCCGCGAGGATCTTGGATTGCAGCATCGAGGTCCTGGCGTACACGAGCCCGCCGTACAGCTGGGGCTGCTGCTCGATGACGCGGGAGTCGTGCGAGCTATACTCCTTGAATGCCCGGGACATCAGGAAAAGCTTGTACTTATCGGTTTCCGCTGCCTGCCTGTGCCGCCAAAGGCTGCCCCGCTCGACGCGAGGGATTGAATATCCCTGCTCCTTGGCGGCCCTCGCCTGTTCATCCAGCCAGTTGAGGAACGCGGGTCGCATCTCCCGGAGCTTCTTGAGATAACGCTCGAACGCCCTGTCCGTCATGGCATAAACGTTGGGGATCGCCTCGCTCAGCTCCTCTTCTTCCTCATCCTCCTTGTACTTCTTCTGCTGGTGTACAGAGGGACGCGAGACCATAGAAGGCTTCGTCTGGACCGGCGGCTTCGTCGCCAGCCCAAACTCCGAATCCACATCCCACCGAATCTCTGCGGTAGGACCCAACCTCTCTCGCCATGGACCGTCCGCCAGCCTGGGCGTGAGGCCGACCTCCTCCCACATCTGTATCCACCGAGTCTGCCGCTCACCGCCCTTCCATTCGGTCTGCTGCGCGGTGGAGTCGATTGCCTGGACGGTCACGTTTCCCTTGCGCCGACGCAGCGGGAGCGGCCTCTTCAGGCCCCAGTTTCCGCGCTGTGCATGGCCGCCAAACGAGGTGTAGACTTGGCCTATTGAGGGATCGTAGGAGGCAAAGCGCGACTGGCGTAGGAGCGCGGCGAATTGCGACGGCGCCGGCGTCGACATGAAGGACCGCTATGAGCGAAAGCAAGTCTTGCCAGATCGGACACTGAGGAGGGCTTTTTGGCGCCGCGTCGGCTGATGCCGGGGCAGGAGCCTCGCCGGCGCTGTGATCCTCAAGTCCTTGCCTTTTGGCCCATTCTTTTCGTACATATAAACATCCTTTCATCTCGCTAATATATCCAGAACATACGCACGGAAGGGTGGCTGGAAACCTCTCAGAATGAGGGCAGAATAAACTTTACTGTCCCTAGCTACGTGCCATACGCTCAATTGCGCACCTCCGATTTCGAGTGAAGCCCCTAACAGCTCGTCGAGTTCATGCAAGTGTTCCATGTAGCACAGCCTGTCATTAACTGTCAGCTTGTTTTCCCGCCCAACTGCGGTATGCGTCAGGGTTGTCTCGGCTATCGCACGAACCCTGTTACTGTACACGCTCACTACGCGACTCTGTGCAATAGAGAAAGGCGTCTGTGGGAGGCCATGCAGGCGCCTCGCTGCACTGGTCCAGGGATGCCGCGGGCAGCTAGCGCAGCACGCGAGTCGCAGAGCAGTGAAGCAGCGTTCCCGCCGCGCCCAGCGTCCTGCAGCGGGAACCTGAGTGCGCTCGCATATTCCGTAGAAGCAATGATTATGCAGTGTTCGTCGCCCTTCGCTGATGGATGACATGATGAACGCCTCGGGCGCTGTACCTCGTCGCACGCGGTCTGGGCCCTCGCACATGCCGGCCTTTGCAAGCTCATGGTGGAGGCTGGATAGTCCTAGGACGACCGCAGAATAAAAAGAATAGCAGATTTACAGAGTGCTGCGGACGAGGGAAGCGGCGGGTGCGGGAAGAACGGAGACGAGTTGGGAGGCGGGACGGGCGTCTGCTAGGCGAGCGGGCCAAAAAAGAGGAAGGTAGACAGAGGAGGTTGCAGGTTGCCCATCATCTCCACGCCCGCCCGCCCTCCTCCGCCGCCCTCATCCTCTCCATCTGCTTGCTGGAAAGGCTGCGGCGCCGTACGGCCTTTCGTCTTCACCTCGCGTGCACTGGCCGGCCTCGTCCAAAATAACCTCGCTAGAACGGCATCTCTCAGCCGCGGTCTGAAGCCTAACTCGGCATATGGATCGAACTGTACCCCGCAGGGCTTCGGCACTGGGCATGTCGTCCTCAGCGTCCCCCGACATGTATCATAGACCCTACCCTACTGTTCGCACTAATCCGCCGTCCCCGCAAGACGGCACCTTCGCCCAGTCGTCCCCGCCGCCATGGGGCAGCGCGCGGGTCACGCCTACCTACACTCCCCCGCCTACTCCTCCGATACACTACCATCCCCCGCCGCCTCCGAGCCCATTGCCGGCGAGCAGCACTGCCGAGAGCGCTCCGACGATATGCGGCATGCCCTTGAAATACTTCTCGTGAGTGATCTGCCTTCTTGAGAGGCTATGACGCGTGTCTGAGCCTATTCTGCTGTCTCGCAGCCTTATCACGCTTGCCGTGCAGAATGCCGCATTGTCCATCGTCATGCACTACTCGCGAGTCTCAACGCCTGCGGCTCAGTCGTATTCGCCCGCCGCGGCAGTGCTGCTCAATGAGCTGCTCAAGGGGTCCATCTCGTTTGTCATTGCCTTCCTCAGGGTCGCGGATGCCTCGGACGCGTCGAGGAGAGGAGTAATGGGGTGGTTGTCGGCGTTGCAGAGGGTGTCGCGAGAGATCTTCAGCCCGGACTGCTGGAAGCTGTCAATACCGGCTCTCCTCTACGTGGTGCAGAACTCGCTCCAGTTCGTCGCGGTTGGCAATCTGCCCGTCGCCACGTTCCAGGTGACGTACCAGATGAAGATCCTTACCACGGCCGCCTTCTCCGTCATGTTGCTTCGCAGGAAGCTCAGCTCCACGAAGTGGTTGTCGTTGCTGTTCCTCGCCATCGGTGTCGGTATCGTGCAGATTCAGTCAAGCAGCAGCAGCCACATCCCCTCCAGGCAGAACCATCCGGTCGGCAGCGCCCACGAATCTGCACCCTTGCACATACACATCATGAGCCCGCTGAAAGGCTTCGGGGCTGTGACGGCGGCATGTTTCACTTCGGGACTCGCTGGCGTTTACTTCGAGATGGTGCTGAAGAACTCGAAAGCCGATCTTTGGGTACGCAACGTCCAGTTGTCATTATTCTCCTTGCCCCCGGCTATCCTGCCCATCATTTGGAACGCGGATCCGCGGATCTACCAGGACGGCATCATTGCCTCTGTTTTGCGCAACTTCGGCGGTTGGGCATGGGCGACGGTGTCGGTCCAGGTGCTCGGTGGACTGATTACGGCAATCGTCATCAAGTATTCGGACAACATAATGAAGGGATTCGCGACGAGTCTCTCCATCGTCTTGTCGTTTTTGGCATCGGTCGCGCTGTTTGGCTTCCGTATCACCCCTTCCTTCGTCATCGGCTCCACTACGGTCCTGGCCGCGACGTGGATGTACAACCAGCCCCCAGGGCAGGAGCTCGTCGCCATCACCAACGTCTTGCCCGTCATTCCCGGAAAACTGGAGAACCCCTCGACCACCCCCGTCAGCCCCGATGCTCCCATCATCGGCCAGTTCGACAGGAAGGATTCATCTCCGTTCGGGAGCCCCCGCGTCACCGCCACCGCGCTCGGCCTACCAGGGGAGAAGCAAGACGGACTTGGGCCGATACTCGCTACGGACCGATACCTCAACGCGCCGTACGGTTCGCCCTTCCCGTCACGGACGCCGTCGCCGATTCCGACATCGCTATACCCGAGCTCGCGGAACGCCTCGCAGACGAGCCTCGCCCCCGCGCGGCGGCATCCCCAATAAGCACAAGCGATCATGTTGTTGAATAGAATACGACCAAGCCTATCTAACGAGCCCGATACGATACCCGCCCCAGAGACTTTGCAGTAGACATTCACCGTGACAATGCCCACGCCATCCTCCGCCCCTTCTTTACGAGATCTATTACAAGTTAGCCCATCCAGTGCCGTACACCGCATACTTTCTGCCCCTTCGTGTTTATTCTTCTCTAGTTCACTGGAGGCGTGCGTATAGTCTATACGCGTTTCTGTAATACACCACTTTTGCGGACACGGGTGTGAGCGCGTACACGCGCACATGATTCTGTCCGTTGTCCAAGTCGATCGCGTCTGTGGGCGTCTGACCTGAACTCTCCTCTCATCTGTGTCTTCCAGCTGCAGGATGTCGGTCGACCTGGAATGGGACAAACTTGACCAATCGCTCGCCGCCTCTCTCATTGAGGTGCTGAACAGGCAGCTCGCGACGACAGCGCGGCCGTCGTTCATCGGGCCTATAGAGGTCGCCTCCTTCGACTTCGGCACCGCGAGCCCGGACATTGAGCTCGTGGACATGCGCGACGTCTACCGCGACTTCCTCGAGGACGACGAGGAGACGGATGACGCGGAGAAGGACCCCGTGAAGGAGTCGCAGTGGACTGACGACGACGATGACTTCGAGTGGGTTTCGAGGAAGGCGGTGCGCGGGAAGGTGCTGGACGAGGATGTGCCGGCGTATTACCCACTACAGCCGCATGGTATGCGGTATGGGAGGGGGACGGGGCTGGATATGTTCAGCTCCACGCCGTCACTGCGACCGGGGTTGCATCCTGCCCTTACGAGCTTGGTTGACCTCCGACCGACGTATCCGTCACCGAGCTTGTACGCGTCTGCACTCTCTGCTGCGTCTCCCCAGTTGGGTGGGGCATCACGCCCGAGGATTGGGCAGAGTGACTCCCAGCAAGAGGTCGTCGAGGTCCCCGAGGAAGGCTCGCCCGAACCGCCGTCTAAGCCCGACGGTGTGCAAACGCCTCCCGCACCGAGCCATCCCAACCTGCAACTCCACTTGCACATCACTTGGCATTCTAATCTTCGTCTCACGCTTACGACATCCCTGCTCATCAACTACCCGTCGCCGATGTTCATGTCCCTCCCCATCAAGCTCTCCGTAACAGGAATCATCTTCGACGGCGAAGTGGTAGTCGCCTACGAAGGCGAGCGCCGCCGCGTACATCTCTGCATCCTCGACCCGCTCGACCCATACTGCCCTCTCTCCAGTGACCGTCCCAAGCGCGACATCACACCCAACACAGGGACACCGCCAGAGACGGACGACGACACGCCCCCGCCCGCGATGTCGTCCTCCCGAACAGGCAAGCCGCTGCCGATCGGCCAGCGACTGCTCCCGTCGATATACATCGAGAGCGAGATTGGCCAGGCTGACAAGCATGTGCTGAAAAATGTTACGCGTATAGAGCGCTTCATCCAGGACGTCGTCCGGAAGACGGTTGAGGAGGAGTTGGTGTTCCCGAACTTCCATACGCTGGTCCTGGCGGATCCAGCGGCGCAGTCATAGCAATAGTGGATGTACAACATACCGATACAGCAGTAGCCTACTAATACACCGGATGAGATACCCTGTTACAGCCATTTGCTCATATACGGTCCGTCCAATTCGTACCCGAGCCGCCTGTAGTAATCTCGAGTACCAACGCCTGTGCAGGAACGGTTCAGCGAGCAGAGTTAAGAGCGATAGGTAGAAGACGCACCTGAGATAACAGCCAGCTTCACACTCCCATGCTCCTCCCTCGCTATTCGCTCCGCCTCCTCCATGAGCAGCGTCCCGAAGCCCTGGTGCTGGAACTTCGTCGGGTCGCGTCCATGCACGGGCACCGCAGTGCCATACACATGGAGCTCCCGCACGATACTGCACCCACCCTCGTCGCCGTCCCTTCCCTTTTGTCTGACGAGCTCCGGGCGGAACGTGCCCTCGTCGGAGCACTTGCGCAGACGAAGCAGCCCGATGAGGATGTCGCGCTCGGGGTCCTCGTACGAGAGGAAAGTCTCCCAGCCGCCGTTCGCCGTGTAGTCCCGCCGGAGGAGCTCGACGGACTCGGGCCGCACCTTGTGGTGGATCTCGTGGATGCCCACTTCACGGAAGCGCACGTCCCGGCACTCGGCGCCGAAGTCTTTCATCCGGTTGAGGGCGAGCTCGCGGAGGTTCCCCGAGTTTTCACAGCCGCTTGTGACAAGTGGAAGGGGGATGTCTCTGCGCGACGTGCCGTCAGTAAATACGACATGCGCATGCTCGGTGGATCGCTCACCGCTGTACACGGTATACACGCGTCCATGGTGGTACGAGTGCTAGTATCCGTGCGACCACGTCAACGAGCACATTCGGCGTGTAGTTCTTATACCTGCCCGTCCGCCACAGCTCATACAGTCCTGTGCCTCGGATGACAAGGGTAGGGTAGATCTTCAGCCCGTCGCTTCTGAACGCAGGGTTCTCGAAGTACTCCTTGAACTGTTCGAGGTCGCGTTCGACACCGACGTTGGGTAGATCTGGCATCATGTGCGCGACGACCTTGAAGCCTGCATCCTTGGCGAGGTGAAAGGACTCGGAGACGGCGCGGACTGTGTGTCCGCGGTTGGTGTCGCGTGCGACGTCTTCGTACACGGATTGAACACCAATCTCCAGTCGAGTGCAACCATAGCGAAGCATCTGACTAGAGGGTCGTTAGGGCTTGTTCAAGCAAAAAAAAATCCTTGGTATTCACCTGAGATGTGGTCTGAGGCAGTAATCGGGTCGTGTTTCGATTGTAATACCAATGGCTTTTGACTTGCTCTGCTCCGAATACCGGACAGCCTCGTCCACATCGAACCCAGTGAAGCCAGACAGTGCGTTGTGTAGTTGTGCGATGAACTTGTTCCTGTAATCTTCTGGCATGCTCATGAAGGTCCCGCCCATAATGATGAACTCGACCTGTGTCGGGTGTTACGAAGGATAGGGGATATAGCGAAGATACGACATACCTTGTCCACATTGTGGCCCAAACTCTTCAACTGTTCCACTCGCCCTCGCGTCTGCTCGTAAGGGTCGTACCGTGCCCGGATCGCTCTCATACTTGTGGGCTCGTAGCCTGTGTAACTTTGGGTACTGTAGTCAAAGTCCGAGTCGGGACCTCCTGGACAGTACCTACACGGAGTCAGAGAGTACTCGATCGTAGGCGGTAGTCCAAGTACTTACACGCAGATGTTACCGGTCATTGCAATGTGCGGACATCTGTGCGGCTTGCACATGACGGCAACCACTGCAATGCCACTCGCCGTCCGGATGGGCCGTGCCTTCAGTTTGGGGAGGAGCGCCTTCTTGTAGTCGTCTGGAATGGCACTGATGATGTCCACCAATCTCGGGACCCCTCCGAAGCCATACTTCTTGCTCATCTTTGCCCTCAGCTCGTTCAGCGAGACCGTCTGATTTGCATCGTGGGCCTTGATGAGTTCTGCGGCGATGGCTGAGGTAACACGCAACAACGTCTCCGCCTGGGAAGGACCTGTGAATGGATGTTTATTGGCCGAACGCCGCGAAGACGGTCACCAACCTTCGGTCTTCGTCCTCTGGACCATCTTGCTTCGCTCAGTTGCGCGCGAGAGACGTTGGATTCAAGCAAGCGGAGGGCCAGATGGGTTTTATTTGAGGGAGCCGGAGAAGGCGATCGAGGGGATCTGGGGATCTCGGAGATGGGCGCGAAGCCGTAGCAGCGGAGTCGATCACGTTCCACCGAAAGCAGGTCTGTTGACAGTCTACTGATGACTGCCACTCTCGTCTAACCCATTGGTCTGGCATGCCCCCTCCTACCTCCCAGGACGCCTGGCTCGCTGCTCGCCGCTTCGGAGTAGTCATCGACGCAGGCTCGTCAGGCTCCAGGCTGCAGATATACAGCTGGAAGGATCCCCGCGTCCAGGATGGAGGGAGGGCGCAGACGTCGCTCCCAGCGGTCGAGAAGGGAACGCAGAACGGGGAGGACTGGTCTGTCAAAGTACAACCTGGTGAGCACAGGTCAATTGATAGTCCAGTACTGGTGCTATACACCGTAACCGGCGCTAGGTATCTCTTCCTTCGGCGACAACCCGGCTGGCGTGGCAGGCTACTTGGAACCGCTGCTCGAACATGCACGTAGCCATGTCCCACCGTCCTTGCAGCCGTCTACACCTCTCTTCCTCCTCGCCACAGCGGGGATGCGTCTCCTAACGCCCCAGCAGCAAGCCGAGGTCCTTCGAGCCACCTGCACATACCTCAAGACGCACTCAAACTTTAGGCTGGACGACCCGTCTCCGTTAGGGCCCTGCGGCTCCAGCGTGCGCATCATATCTGGCGAGGAGGAGGGCCTCTTCGGTTGGATAGCGGTCAACTACCTTACGGATGGCTTCTCGGGCGCAGGCGAGCAGCCCCTAACCTATGGCTTCCTGGACATGGGCGGCGCCTCGACGCAGATTGCCTTCGAGCCGAGCACGGTTGAGAGCGACAAGTCCAGTGACAACCTCATAGACGTCAGGTTGCGCCTGCTGAACGGTAGGGAGGTGCAGCACAAAGTCTTCGTCACAACGTGGTTGGGCTATGGTACCAACCAAGCGCGCGAGCGGTATGTCAGCGCAGTCGTGAATGATTACCTCTACCACTACCCTTCTGCATCTCCTTCACAACTCATCCCGGACCCATGTCTACCTAAAGACCTTCGACTCACGGAATCCACGTCGTCTTCCGCGACGTACACCTTAGTAGGGATGGGCTCCTTCGATCGATGTCTCTCCCGGACCCTCCCGCTGCTCAACAAGTCCGCCCCATGTCCGGACGCTCACTGCCTATTCAACGGTGTCCCGACGCCGCACATCGACTTCGCCGCCGCGCACTTTATCGGCATCTCCGAGTACTGGTACTCCTCCGAGCACGTGTTCGGGTTGGGCGGTGCGTACGACGTCGTACAGTACGAACGCGCGGCGGAGCAATTCTGTGGGCGCGACTGGGGAGACATCGTCCGGAAGCACGAGCGCGACAAGACCCGCTGGGGAGAAGGCAGGCAGACCATGGGCATGTGGGGCCCAGAGGTGGAGATTCCCCGTCTGCAGCTGCAGTGCTTCAAGGCAGCGTGGCTAGTCAACGTTCTACACGAGGGGCTCGGCATGCCGCGTATAGTCGACCCTGGGGGTAACAGTACGTCCGGGCATAACGGTGCACAGGAGGTGGAGAAGGAGGCGGCACGGAAAGGTCTGGGGAGCAAGCGGCCTGCGTTTCAGAGCTTGGATACTGTGGGAGATATCGCCATTAGCTGGACACTAGGGAAGATGGTGCTCGAGGCAAGCAAGGAGGTGCCTTTAGCCGGAAAGGGCGATAGACCTATTGTCGATCCTATGGAAGACCTTCCCGAGGACTCCCACTTACGACCGAAGCCGCCCTTCTGGCGTTTCGACGCCATCGAGGACCGTCTCTCGGACCATCTACCTCCGTCCCTGAGCAAAGAGACGTTAGGCTTCTCCCTAGTCGCCTTCCTATTCTACATCGCCGTCCTCACGCTCTTGTTCGGCATGCTCTACCGGATGCGGCATCGCATTCGGAGCACGTACCGTCGATACACGCGCACGAAAGAGCGGATGTTCACCCAAGACGGCTACGCCATGGAAGGCGGCTTCGCCAGTCACCCACGGTCACCCTCTCCCTGGACACCCTCCCCGACCCGGCTATCTTTCCAGCAAGCCATCCGCCCGATCGCGCAGAAGCTCTCCTCGACGCTGGGCATAAGCACGAGGCCCTCGAGCGTCCGGGTCAAGCTTACCGGGCCGCCCTCCAACCACAACCGATACTCGCCCACACGGTCCTCCCCTATCCGCTCCAACTCCTCGCCTTTCCCCTTCTCCCAAACAAAACCCCAGCCCGGCCTCGGCCTTGGTATGGGTGGAGGCCTCGCCCCGCCTCCGCCGGGCGACGCGAACGGCTCCGCGTCGTCCTTCGCGCCCACGCCCGGCTCGCCGCGCCTCGACGGGTTCGCGGTATCCGTGTCGAACGGGAGCCTAAGTTCGCTGACGTCGCGCTCGCGCAACTCGTCGCAGATGAATTTGAGCAGCGTTGCGGGGAGGGGCGGGAATGGCATGGCGCGGACGGCGAGTGGGGGCTACGGACAGATGGCACGGACTATGAGTGGCTCGCATGGACCTGTTGGTAGTTTATATTTGGATGAATGACTTGACTAGACTGGGGAAGTCATGCATGAGCCTGAGCTGTACGATGTATAAACTCGAGATCTTGATGCAGTGATGAGGGTGGGTACCGGTTCTGCAACTAGGCACCCTCTTCAAAATTCCACCGCATGTATTCACACTCGCTGCCATGCGCTAGTATTCTCTGCTGCAGCAAGTACACGAATGCTCGAGTGAACGGCCTTATGAGTGCTGGCCTTGTATACCCATCTGCCTATTAATATTGTGCAGTGACGTTGCGCGTCGAATCCTGTGTTCCATTTCGCCGTCCATCTGCCAGTGAATGCGCGGACTAGGCTAAGCAGCACCAGACAATTTAATAACACTCGCTAATGTCAGCCGCCCTTCCGATACGGAGATAGCGACAAGGCAGTAGCAAGCATTGCCGCATGCCAAAGACCGTCACTGACGGTACGTAGCACCCGACTTACGCTACTGATATTCATCCCGAATTCACGGGTATTCGGTGTCCTTGACTCCCAGGGGCGCGTACATGCATGCTTGTGTGCTCGAGGCACGTTCGGGCCCGCTTCTGCACACCGCGGCCATACAAAGGCGAATAAACACCGTGCTGTAATGCCCAAATTATGCCCCTCTCGGAACGTCATCGCATATTACCTTCGCCGAAGCGGCGGAGTCTTCCTGTCCGTATGGATGCTAGTTCTGCTGGTGCTTATCATCACTAAATCCGGGTTGTCGAGGGATTCGAAGTTGGAGTGCTTACCACATTGACGGCGAACTTCTCCTGATGGAATGCCTCCGTGCTCCTATCCACCGATGCGGTATGTAATACTGAGATCCGTCCGCGTACGCAGTGGATGCTGCCGGCCGATCAAACCGGTCATTCAGAGCTGCTCCAATCTGCTACAATGCGGCGGAACGATCATCTCATGACGCCATACTACGTTAGGTCAATCTCGATGGCCATTAAATGGGTAGCCCTGCGACATACGGGGCTAACTTGAAGGTATGTTGCCGAACTTGAATTGTCCAGATACGTTCGCTAGGGTGGGCGATTGCAGCGTGGCATTGCGAATGATCGTCCGGAACTCATGAAACGGCTCGTTCACGATTCCTAGACGTGTGCGGCAATATATGACAAGATGCCTGACGAGAGCTAGTAGGATTAGTATGGCGCTACTCATAGTCAAGGCATAGCTCGAGCGTGACTGACCGATTACTACAGGAGTGCATTTGCAGAATCCGTCATTGGCCATCTCGTCAATATAACAACACTCGCCGCTCCGTTACGAAGGTCGACTAGGGACTTCACGCCTGGTGGGACTCGGAGGGACTGTCGTTGTCAATGCGGCCGCACAATTTGCAATTTGCCAGTGACATCGGTGCTCCGCCGAACATACGCGATAGTCAGATAAACCATCATACAGGATCCCTGTGTGAGCAACGACAGACCCGTCGACGTCACTCACGGCAGAGTGACAGCACGAACATCCCAGCGGGCATGTGCAGTTTGTGGCTTTCTCCCACTGTTGCACATGCCTTCATGCACGCCTGGAGAGGATCAGCACCCGTACCACTACACGGGAGGTAACCCCTACTCACCTCATGTGCAAGCATGAGACCTTATGCTGCATTCGATTCGAGAACCAGCAGTGGCCATGAGGACGAATGTGCACGCAAATGTGGTATACATTGAGTAGCATCATGCAGGTACAAAATCAGAGCAATACAGCATGCAGGAGTCTGCGCGTCATAACAATGTGATATACAGCAACGAACCGAAGTCCCGGATAGATCGTCACCCTCTCTTTGACCGTGTACGCGTGCCACCTGTAGATATGGACGGCGCTGCGGAGGCCGGGGGGTTGTCATTATTCGCCCATGGAAGCAGTTTGCCTTCAGCGGCTTGCTTAAGCCGAATGATTTCATGTACCCAGTTGCTCTCGTTTGCCTTGTCGAAGGCGATGTCGTGCAGGCGCTGTTCTTCATCATCACTGAGGAGTTGAACAGAGGGACGCTCCCCTGAACGCCACAGAAGCAGCTGAAGTACGGCCTCGTGCAACAGGATATTTTGACAGTACTATGTCGAATTAGCATCAGATATCAAGCACCCATGAGCTCGCTGTAAGGATCTAACCGTTATTTGGTCTATGGTTGATAGATTTTTGTACGACAGCTTCGGACGCGGCCGTTGGATTCCATTGGGTGCGGACAATTCATCCCTTTCCGAGATATGCAGCTCTTCCTCGACGGGATCGCTCTAGACAAAATGATTTGAATCAACGTCAAGCGGACACTCAACCTACTTGCTTACCATCGCGGTTGTTCTCTCAGCTGAAGTAGCTATATTATCGTAGCCACCTGATATCGGTGGCCGTGTAACCTGCGACGATACTTAGTTGACGCGTTCGAATTCGTTAGAATCCACCCACATTTAGCGTAGTCGCTGTCGTTTCACCGAAAACGGGCTGCAAGCAGAAAGGTTAATGACAACATCAGTAATGTAACCGTAACAAGGAATGTCACACCTCATGTGCATTAGCGTCGGCATCAAGCGTCAGCTGCGAGGGTGGCTCCTCAGCTCCCGAGGCTGTGGGCTATCAAACACGGGATGGTAAGCTCATCGATGTCGCCAAGACGCAAGATAGCCCGAATTACCTGAGTCTTAAGGTCCGCCGGTTGTCCCACAGGCGTCAAAGCTTTTTCAACGGGGCTGTCCGCGGACGGAACCTGGAGGTGAGAGAAATGTATCAGCGGACAGATAGATTGAATACAGAGTGTTGGGGGGAAGCTGGGACCTCACCTGACTGCCACCCACAATGGCGCCGTCTTCCGCAGGCTGTGGGCCAATGTCCGGGTCGCCCAGTGGGACTCCTAGAGCACGCCGCTTCTCCTTCTTGGTAGCCCAGCGCCGGACCAGACGCAGCAATGCCTCTACCTCGTCTTGCTTCAACGATCCTCTCGTATAGCCCGATTCGCACACCGCTCGTCTCGCGGCAGCCCCACGCATGAATTGGTCGTGACGCTGGTTGGCGGGCTCGAAACGGCCGTCGATGACAGCCTCTAATACCGGCTTGACGTACTCGAACTGTTCCGTGAGCGTAAGTTCCTCAAAGTCCTCCAGAGGAGGCATTGGCGGCTCCGGAGTGGGTGGACGCAAGGCATCCTCGTCTGCAATCTCCATGTCAGACGCATCATTTCGCAGTGGAGCAGCTATGTCGTCGCGTTCCTCTTCTAGCCCGTAATTAATTGCATCACGTCCTAGCTAGTGAGTAGACTTACCGTTAACATCATGCAGCAACGGGGCAGGGAATAGGGCACACCTTACAGCTTTTGAAGTGCTTGTCGTACACCGTAAAGAACCAGTCCGCGTCGATGCTCTTGATTACACCGTCATAGAACTCTACTTTGAAACGAGGCCGTTGTTTGTGATTAGGAGGCGGGATATACTCAAGCAGCTTTGCTGGCCAGTAGTCTGTGAGGTTCTTCTTCTCCTTGGCAAGGACAAGCTCGCCGGGCACTTCGAGAGATGGATCACACGGCGGCGCACGCCAGGGCTTTTCCTGTACCCTGGCCGAGTCCTCATCATCAGACGAGACATTCTCCTCCATGGCTTTGCGGCCCCCTATAGATGGCGCTTTCACGGAGAAAGACGCATCTTTACTGAAGTGACTTGAGAGCAACATTGGCAGCCCTTCGTTCGCGTCTTCGTCCTCTTGCAGCATGAGGTCCCGAGCCTCCTTCCATCGCGTGTCGATATCCAGCTTCCTCCGTTTTCGGGGTAATGCCTGGACGGCAGTGTCCCGGTCCGCAGCCTTGTAGTTTCGCTCAGTGAAGCGGATCCTACCGCGACGAACCATGGGTAAGATGTTCGATGGAGAGGGAAAGGCAACTGTTAGATCCCCTTGTGCAGTGTCACTGAGGACGCGAGGGCCATCACCAAACAGGGAGACCTTGACCGGATCCCGAGGCCGTGTAACCTGCAAATTTGCTAGGTGAGGGTCCGGCAATGAGGATGAGCAGAGGCAAGAGCACCTTTGCAGGCCACCAGTACGCGTCACCATCGTGTACGTCGCCACTCTCGTTGATGACCTCGCCCGACCCGGCTATTTTGACCCAGGCTAGTGTCCCAAGCTTGCTCAAGCTCCACGGCTCGTCGTCTGCAACGCTGCTCCCGGGTAGAGTGGCCACAGAGTCGGTGCGACCGAGGCCGCCTACAGTCTTCGCAATTTGAGACGATGTAAGCGAGGTCAGCGTGCTAGCAGACCGGGCGCGTCTCGGGGGTGGCATAGTCGACGCTTCGGGACTGGGAGAGGACAACGGTGTGAGGTCGCTGTCGTCGAGGTCGGATAGGGAAGAGGTAGACGAGATCGATATAGCACGTTTACGTTTTGTGGGGATGTTATTACTCTCGACGGCGTTCGATTTCCCTTTCCTAGACGCGGTAGCCGACGGCACCTTCGCGGGAGGAACGCGCTTCCCTCCGTCCGCCTTCCGACTGTCCGCTTTTCTGCGCAAGGGACTCTGTGGCTCCGCCACTGCGTCATCTTCGGTCTCGTCCTCAGACATTATTACGGTAGGGCTTTCTGCACGACTTCCGCTTCCGCTGGGCTTCTGAGCAGATATAGATGCGAGGGCACCGAGACTAGGTCTCACGCGTTTCCCGACGCTCCTCTCTTTGCCTGGCGACCCATCTGAGGATTTGTTCGGGGATGAAAGGCCCCGTCTCCTGCGACCATATGTGACCTTCACCGGCGTCCTAGGCTTGGAAGGCTCCCCAAACTCCCGACCATCCGACGGTGGCGGTGAGCTCTCCAGCTGAGCAGCCGCTAGCTGCGAGGCCTTCTGAGCGGCAGCACGCGGTGGCATTCCTGAGAGCGACGAGCCGCCCTCGGCCCTTCCGTCGGTTCGATGACTGTCGTGTCAATTATCGCCGTAAGCGATCGCGCGACTTGGACCCTGGAGCTTCTCTGACGATAGCACGGCTATAGCGATATGTGGCAGTGAATGCAGTACACACTGCGAGGAGGAGCTGTTAGCAAGAGTGAGAGGAAGCCTGGAGACCGTGCGGAGGAGGCGCGGGTGATGGACGGACACGCCGCCTCGGTGACGAGCAGGCGGAAGGCGCGAACAGGCGCCCACAGCCTCAGACGCGCCTGCTCGACGCGTGCCGTCACATTGTGTCACAACACATCCTGTGATCGCGCCGTGTCGACTGGTTCCAGGCTCGAGTCTCTGACGAAAACACCAATTACAGAAGTCGCCACTACTTTCACAGCAATCGTTGACGGGTGCAAATTGCCACATTTCGTGGACGTCTGGTGCCTCAGAGTATCTCGCGCATTCACTACCGTTCAACAACTTTGTAGCTGGAATTGATGATCGCCTGCCGTGATACAGTCCATGTTCCAACTTGGCGAGTCATGTCTACACTACACGTTGGTATATTTACACCTTGACAGTACGAATAGCGGAGACAACATAGTATCATAAACCCAGAGAACAGAAAGATCATCCAAGTCCAACTTCACCGAAACATTACGCCTAAGCCAAGACAACCAAGGCACCAGTGATCCCAGCGACAACAACGGCCAAAAGACTGGAAAGGTGGAGGTGAGTGGCGCCGCTTGTGGTGGATGTCGTCTGTGCGTTTCCAGCGGAGCCAGACGCGTCAGAGGTTGCTGCGCCGCCCGAGGCGGCGACCTTGGACATCCCGGATGGGGCGGGGGTGGGCGTAGGGGTGTTGCCAGCTGCCTGCGAGCTACCCGTCGGCGCAGGGAAGCCGTCGTCCGAGCTGTCGGTCGGGAAGTCACCGAACTCGGGTGTCCATGTCGCAAAATCGCCCGTGGGCACAGGCGACGTAGAGATGGCGGCAGCACCGGTAACGGCAGCCCCGCCCTGAACAGCGAACGGCGCGACAGTCTCCGTAACGGTCTGCGTCATCGTGAGGCCGTCGCTGCCCATAGCGATGACGACGTCCTCGCAGACGGAAATCCCATCTTGGATATTGCAGCTCTCGTACATCGCGAGGCCAACACCTTCGTCAATGTAAGTCACGCCAGCAGTGTTTGGGCCGACGACAAGCGTAGCTAATGATAAATTTCGTGAGTATGTTGGGCTCAAGAGATTGGCGGAAAATGTCTGTACCAGGTCCTTCAATACCATAGTCGTCCATACCAGCGCTGGAGACACCAGGGGCGATGACATAGGAAGTCACGCCATCTTGCGATCCCAGTAGGTTGGCAGTGACCGGCTGGGGGTCGAAACCGGGAATATATAGCGAGGTGAGCGCCGACGCGTCTATGAACCCATTGTCAGGAAAGCGGACAACGAAGAAATGTGAGACTACTCACAGCGTGCGTAGACAACAGCAGAGAGGATAACCGTGAAGGGCAGCATTTTTTTAAGGAATGGCGTGAGGAATGAATGAACGAGGTCAGGACGGACGCGTACGCGCTGGGGGGTCAACAAGAGCAGTGCACAGGGCCTAGCAGTGTTAAGTGCCGACTTTTATGACCATACAATGCCCGCCCTCGGTGCCTGGCTTGTTCATGCACATGGCATCACCTCCGGGTGCCGGCGTTGTTAGGAAGTATTCAGAGCATTGCTTGGCGGTCTCGATTGATGGAGTCCGACTGAGAGTCACTGTCACCGTGTTGAGAGCAATCTGCCCACGATCCTCCCGTACAACCGCGTGGCCCATCACAGGCAGCAGAGCTCTGGACAGGGATGGGTAGCATGGGTAAACCAGACCGCCTCATATGACTCACTGAAGGCCTCTGAAGGCCCGGGACTCATTTGCCGGCAAACCCACCTTGGCTGGCAACCAGGTACCGAGGGCGACGATACTTTCCATATCGGTGCGCCAGGTGCAAAACTCTAAATGGGAAATACCGACCGCGCGGCCAGGCCCTGATTACGAAGGATTATCGAGTCGGCTTCCGCTCGCCGCGTGGGGAGATTTTCCTCGATCAAAGCATCAGCGGCGGTCAGCCTGGGCCCTGGCCCTGGCTTCAACGCTTCGAACCGCGAGCAGCCGTTGAGTAGAACGTTGATCGCCGATGCTTGAACTGATCGACAAAGCGCCACATACGCCGCATACTACTCGGTCGGAATGCTTGATAGGCTGCCCAATTACACAGTCTGCCACTTAGAAGCAGGCGAGTGGGTATGTTCGCCGCAAGGATGCAGTGAACGTCGCGACGAAAATGACCGCCGACTCGGAGGAGGGAACGCGGTGCACGTGTGAACCTGACATGACAGGAGTATGATGCGCGATACACGGACTTTACATGATGCAAAGTTGTGGCAGACCTCAAGGAAATGCAATGTGCGGGGCATACATTGTGACAACGTTCAGAGGCTCCCCGTGTATCACATTCCGAGTCGAGCTATGTAATACCCTGATCGTTGTTGGTCAATATGCAGTATGCTCAGTGACAGCGATGAGCAAACCGACATGTCTGCTCCTATGCGACTACCGCGAAAGTACCTACCAACCCTGCAGCAATCACGGTGAGAAGGCTGTGCGCGCGGATGGTAAGAGCACCGTTCGTGTTTCCGGTGGGGGTAGCAGTCGTCGACCCGGACGTCTTCGAGGCGGCACCAGACGAAGATTCGGAACCGCCGGATGATAGGGAGCTACTGGCACCATCAATTGCAGAGGTGGATGATGACCACACGGCGGGAAAGGTCCAAGTTGCGAAATTGCCGGTGGGTACGGGCGAGGTCTGAATGGCGTCGCTGCCGGAAGCTAGGCCGCCACCTTGAACGGCAAATGGTGTCATGGACACCGTCCCTGTTACTGTGTGGGTGTACCCAGAGGAGCCCATCGCAACGACTACTTCCTCGCAAACAGCCTGCCCGTCGGTAACCTGACAGTCTTCGTAGACGGCCACACCGATGTTTTCGTCTACGTACGTGACAGCTGATTCCATATCGATAGGCCTCTGTGGCTGTAAACGCACATAGGCGGAGTCGATCGAAATGCAATCTCGAAACAAATAATGTGGCGAGCCGACGGGCTCGCCACTCGAGCCGGTCTCTGGGCCCAACTAGCTCAGTGGCTGAAGACAGGCCGGCCGGCGGCACAGCAAACGGATCGGTCAAAATTCAGATCCGATCCTGCATTGATCCTGCACGCCTTTTTGATGAGGGGCCCATCGTTATGGAATCAGCTGGAATGCAGCGGTGCTCGCGCCTAGGACGAGTGTAGCTAGCGATCGATTGGGCCCCATCAGTACGTACAAACTGCGCAGCAGATATTAGTCTCTTACCTGGGCCATATATTTCGTAGTTACTGGGACCAAAGCTGTCGCTGGGTACGCCTGCAGCGATGACATACGAGGTCAAGCCATTCTGAGTACCAAGCAAATTTGCAGTCAACGATTCTGGAGCGAGCATGCCAGGAAAGTTCAGAGTTGTCAGAGCCGAGGCATCTGGTTCAGGTTGATCGGGGGCAGCGTCAGTCGCTGAAGCTGCTCCGTGCGAAACACTCACAACTTGCATAAAGAATGGCAGATAGAATGACAGTGGTAGAGAACATTGAGAAAGAGCGGAAAGAGCGAAGGGCGACTAGACGATGCGATGGCGGCCAACGGGAAGGTGGCGGGCGGATCGCTGGGTACGTGAAAGAGAACAGGCTCACATTAGCTGCGAACTCGGTATTTGTATTCACAAGAAGACAGATGCGCGCCAGACTGCCATAGGCCTCGACCACGGGGGAACTATGTTTGACAGATGGCTCTCGGACATCCTGCCAGTGCATTAAATGGAGCGGCGTATACCGATCAGGCCCAAAGCCAAGGTGTATGTGCCGCAGACATATACTATTTCTGATGTCAATACGATCACGCATAAGAATGGCGGCGAGTACACTCTAGTGCTGTACACCGCGTACCGCGACCAATAACTAGGTTGCAGTTGTGCGTCATAGCCTACTCAGGCCTCAGGCGACCGCAGTGAAAGCACCAACCATTCCTGCAATGACCGCGGCGAGGAGGCCAGATGAGTGGAGGTATATAGCGCCGCTGGTGTTCGCAGTGGAAGTGGGAATGGTCGACCCGGACGTCCCCGAGGGCGACGACGAGGCCGTAGAAGCAGACGGCGACCAGGGTTTTGACCCACCCAGAGTTGAATACGCCGAAGTCCATAAGGGGGGCTGCGTCCAAGTCGCAAAGTCGCCAGTCGGAACTGGGGATGTCTGGATGGCATCGCTGCCGGAGGCCGAGCCACCACCTTGCACGGCGAAAGACTCAATCGGCTGCGTCTCTGTTGCCGTCGTGGTGAACCCGTCCGAGCCCATTTGGATGATGACTTCTTCGCAAACGGCCTGTCCGTCGACGAGCTGGCAGTTCTCGTACATGGCCAAGCCGAGGGTGTCTTCTACATACGTGACTGCAGCGGTACTCGCGCCGACGACGAGGGTGGCTATATGTGTTGTGAATTAACATCGGAGAAGATGCGCTACTGGTACTGTCTCACCTGGTCCGTAGAACCCTTGTTCATCAGGGATGCCACTGGTGGACATGCCCGGAGCGATGACATAGGATGTCAAACCATCCTGAGTACCCAGAAGGTTCGCAGTGACAGGCTGAGGGTCGAAACCAGGGATGAATAGCGTCGTGAGAGCAGACACGTCTAGAGTCAGGGAGACCTGTTAGTGGGCTTTATTCCATGGTCAGATGTGAGCCGTACTCACAACGCGCATAAAAAAGGGCTGATAGAACTGCGGAAAACGACAGCATGACAATGATTCAACGAGCGGGAAGTGGAAGGAATGACGTCGAGAGAGGGATGGCGGCAAACCTGAAGTTCAAGGTTGCGAGCGGATCGAACACAGAGAGACCTGACAACCTGGTGATCAAGAACTTTATAGGGGACTTCGGTACCTGAGGCCTGAGGCCCAAGCGACAACTTTGGCTTGTTCGTAGTAACTGGGCCTCCATCGATGCAGCGCGCGGACCTCTGACGGATGCGGCCGGCCGGCCGGAGGACTCTGGGTGAGTCATTCGAGACGGACGCGGCAGCCTGACTCGGGGATGGGCGGTGGGTTACGTATAGATCCAAAAGAAGCATGCCCTTGAGTATGCCCTCCGAAACATGGTCCCCTTAGTGGTGACGGAAAGTGGAACTCGCTGGAAGATGAGTGTCACAAAAGGGATTTTCGAAGGACTGGACAGTGGACAGGACCGTGACAGTCTGTCAGGCCTTCAGGACTACAACACCTTCCAAATGTAGCATGGTGGCGAAGGCGCCTGCAGATCGCCTGACCTGACAGTGACAATGTGGTCGAGCGCTATGTCACGATTGTCACGACACTAGTACTGGCTGGTACCTAACTTATGTACGATCGGTATTATTGTGTTCCACGCCACGGACTCGACACTAGTAGTCGTACAGTAAACATTCGACTTCCACACGCCCAGAATTACACGACGAAAGAGAGCAGACCAGAGAAGGCAATCAGATACTAAGCCAGCGCGAGGACGGCGTGGGACGGAGTCCATGCGAAAACGGTGCAAGCGACACATGTGTAAGGAAGAAACGATGACAGGAATATGTGATCTACAGAGACTCGGAAGTACCAGGACTGTCATGAAAGCGATCGACCTTGACCATCAGATTGATGCAGTCGAGGCTGGGGCACGCTGTATCCGTTGTCTGTTTTCTCTGGCAAGTAGCCGGGGCTGCTGTCAGCGGAGGGAAGTGGAGAGTTCCACATGACACGCGGCGTAATGAGGCCGCTACCGCCGGCACCATACACGAAGCCGTTGCTCAGGCCTTCCATGCCATTTGAGGAACCTTCACACAGCGTTTCACCGATCTGCCTTTGTGGAGGACGTCGATGAGATGAACATACCTGGAACGAGCATGCTATCCCAGAAGTCTGCGCTTAAGATGCTATCCATGGACATCATGCTCATGTCTGGCAGCGACGGGTTTGGGGCCATCGTCGGCGGGAACGTCGACATGTCGGCCACGGGGCCCATCTCTCCATTGCTGAAAAACCCAGCGAATGGATCGGGCCCATGAGCGGGAGGCAGCTGCGCTACGTGTCCATCCTGCTGCGACAAGTCCATATCCCGAGACGCAGACTCGTCAGTCGCCGTTGACGTGGCCTCCTCGTGCGCTTCCGAAGGCTGCACTGCGGAAGGACCGTGAGCGTTTGTGGTGAGGGGAACTTCGGCGCCGGTCCTCGCGGAGATGAGAGCGCGAAGGAACACGCTGTAGAGCGCTGGGGTATGCAGAGAAGCGACGGCGACACTCTCGAACGCGTCGGCGACGCGCTGGATGACGGTGATGGTCTTTTGCTCATGATCGAGGAACGCTTTGAATTCGGGGCGCAACAGCTGAGGTCAGGTCAGCGACCTCCTTGACACTCGCGGCGAACGGGCTGGCTAGACTCACCTTCAACAAGCTGAGTACAGCGTATGACCCCTGGACGAACAGACAATCGGGAGCATACTTCAGGTATCCATGAGCACCAAACTCGTCGCATATCACGGTCGCACACTCGACGGCACTCGAGTGGCACCGTGCAAAGAAATGCCCAATGTCCACCGCGGAGCGCTGCAGGGCGTTTTGCAGTCCGAAGGAATTCATTGTGAGCATCGCGTAGTGGAAGTAGAACTTGCAGGACAGCTGCGAGTACTTGCGCGACCACTCGGTCTTCTCTCCTTGGTCGATCTTGCGGATGCGTAACCACTCGTGCTGCCAGGCAAGAAGTTGAGTTTCCATGGTCTTGATGACGAGCAGGTAGTCACAGTCTTCTTGCAGACCAGACGACGAGCTCGTCCCTGAGTACAGGAGGTCCAGGCTTCGAGTAAGTATTCGTTGAAGATCCTGACGCCATGATTAAGTCAGGAAGCATTTCCGCTGCGGCACGACCACTTACCACCATTGCTGCGGTATGTGCGTCGGACGGCATGGCCAGCAGCGATTGCGACCATTCTAGGGCGTTGCGGATAATGAAGCTAGACACAGACGTGGTCAGATCTACTCGAGTCAGTGGTGACGGACGTCGTCTGCACTTACTCTTCCTTTATCGTGTAAGGCTTCCCCATCTGGGCACTGAAGCTTCGGTCGAGGATGAAGCATACTATCCACGTCCGTTGTCGGTTATGAATCTCTCGCTCACGAGCACGAGTCTCGTCTGCGAGGTCACTGGGCAGGTTCGTCGGCCGGTGCATGTTGAGATCGATCGCCAATCTGCGAATGATAGGCAGTTGAGAGATAGGCAGTTGAGAGGCAGACGTCAGCTACCTTTTCAGGACCAGTGAAGCATGACACGTACCTGATACCCATGCCAAGTAGCATCCACGTCCGATCCTGTTCATACCTCTCTACAGGGCCACAACCCCATAGAGTATTGAGCAGATAGGCTTGAACAATTTCCACGGACTTGTATCCCCTCGCCGGCACATTGAACGCCAGCTTCTTCGCTAGCTCAGCCAGTCGAGGGTAGAGCTCCGGGCGTGTATCGTAGAACCTAGCGGCGACGGCACAAACTGGGTACGACCAACACGCTTAAATAAAGTCACGTGAGAAAAGAATGGAGGCTCACTGGTGGTGAGCAGGAATGGTGACCGTGAACACACTAGCGCTGGGGTGTGGTATTCGGGATCGAGTAATGCACAGTGTACCTAGTGGAAATGTCAACCATTGGGGTAATGACCGAGCTGTGTGACCCTTACGTTCATGTGATCAAAATATCTACAAAGGAGCGATTGAATGAGATCTCCCCGACGAGTGGGACACACAGGACGACTCACATTTTGAAGAGGGTAATGACCTCGTCAGTACTGACGAAGGTCAACATTTCCGGCTGGATTTGCCGCTCGATGTATAACCGCCTCAGTGGCAGTATGCTCATTGGCCCTGCTTCCCGCTTAGCCGCCACCCACACACACCCACATCCATATAAGGGAATGACGCACCAGGTTTGAAGTATAAATCACTAGCTACGCCCATCCTGTTAGGCTCCTGCTTGTGTGCCAGCATCGCCGTGCTCGCCAGATCACTCTTTGCCCCAGCTTGCGCACGCCGGTTAGCCAAACTTGCTTCCGCCAGCAGCCCGAGAGGGTTGAGGTTATCATCTGGGAGCGATGGAAGCTTCGGCGAAGGAGGCAGTTGGTCTGAGGATCGTCGTTGGGTGTGTTGTATAGTCGCGCTCGCAGGTCTGGGCGATTGAGGGGGTGAAGCTAGCAAGGGATGCGTCTCGCCGGACGGTGGTGGCTGCCCCGCGGGCGATGGTGAACGCGACGGGCCGTCAGAGGGTGGCGCGCCGAGCGAACGAAAGATGGTGTCGAGGGTGCGCTCCATCTTGCGCAGTGACCTAGTGAGGATCTCGTGCTTTCTATCGTACAAAATAAGAGCATTATACAAATGGGGAACGGGAAACCATACTTCGTCGAGCGCTTCCCACGATTTGACTCCTCGAAGACACACTCATGGTTCCCCGCCTGACAGCGCTTGCAGGGCGGGCCATTTTCCGCGCCGACGCACTTCATCTTGAGCCGGCGGCATACCATGCACGCTCTGATAGCGGGGTGATGATGTGAATATAAGAGTAAAGGTCAGCGAGGTGACGCGCACCGTGATCCTCGCGTCGACTTCTGCTTAGGGGCATCGTCGCCCTTATCCGCTCCCGGGCTGTTGGCTTCGTCGCCGTCATCGTCCTTGCGGGACTTCTTCCGGACGTCGCCCGACTGCATACGAGTGGGTGAGGCCGGTCGTTTGCCGTTCAAATTCATATTCGACGGTCCTGGAGTGGGTCGATGGTCTGTGGGAGGCGTCGCAATGGTCTCCGACGCCTGGGAAGAGGGTGACGAGAGATTCGCTGGTACGTTGAGCTGCGGCGGATGCAGGGGTCGGTGTTGGAACTGTGCGTTGGGATAGTATTGTGAGCCATACATCGAGAGCGCAGGATCAATCGGAACAGAGGAAGAGGAAGAAGGCGAGTGTCCCGGCTGTGCCTGTTGTTCCTGTCCGCGCTGGGGGAGGGAGGAAGTGGATGCGTAGGAGGTCGGCTGGGGCCTTTGGGTGGAGGGAGGGTAGTATCCGGGATAGTTAGAAGACGCTGACATTATGTATACGGTTTCCCGAGCGAGACTTGCGGGGTTTGCTTTGTTTCGATAGAGTTATGAACGCGATAGTGAAGCCCAAATCCTCGCGCAACACGCAGCCCAGATCGACTCTTCCTGGGACAGCTACCGCGCGGTCGGAGTGGCTTCACGAATGATGGTGTCTTCCGGGCAGGTGAAAGTGGGCACCAGTAGTGTTTGGCGAGTTGCAGCTCCCCACTAAAGAGAGCTCGACCAGGAACAGATCGAGATGAAGTGGGTGGGATTGACGAAAACTGCCGTTCGGCCGACGCGACTCGGGAAAGTTGGGCTGCGACGACGACGCCCACAGCACTGCCAGAGAGGTTGAACGGCGTGACCGAGCGGGAGGGAAGGAGAGCGAGAACGCCTGGAAAGGAGAAAGGATGAGCTGAGGGCGTTTGCAGGAGAGTTGTCCTTAGACTTTGTTCGATTGGCGAGGATCCCGACTCCGGGCGTCTCGGAGTCCGCACCCATAGACGCCCATATCAGGTCTGCCCTATTTGGCAACCTCGTTCGTGTTCACTAGCACTCGCCTTCTCAGTCATTCGACGAGCACTGGGACAGCTACTGTCGAGCCTGCTCTTATTTGCATCAGTCTCTCGTACTTCAGAAGGGAAATCCCGTTGGACCAGTCGCAACGTCCTACCATACCATGCCTGTATATCGAGACTCGTGACAATGACGACAACCCCGGATGGCCTTCCGACCATCCCCGACTCGGAGTACACTGCACTCGTACCACTGGTAAATTCGGGATTCCCCACGTTCTGCAATGACTCAAGACGATAATCATGTTGCGTTGTATACTTGCAGACAACAGTTGGAACTGATGCTGCGGCACCTCAGGGATTACATGATACACAATCATGCGAAGCGACAGCAGTCTAAGTGACTACAACGCCAGCGTTATTAAGAAAGATATCTACGGCGAGCTGTACATACTACATACGTAGTGTCTGGATAGCCGTGTAGCGTGCTGAGAAGAGGTAGCTCTGCGGATGGTCGGCATAAGACAGCAGACACGAGGGATATATGATCCCCCCCTGCAGTGTCTACCAACTGCCTTCATCAGTCATGTAGAGCAATCCTACGTCAGTTTGTTGGCTTCTCTGACGGGTGCTTGCCAGTCGATGTCTACTAATATGTACATCGTCGAGTTGATATTATAATACTTGTATACTATACTATAGTATCCCAAGGTCGGTATCTGCTGATACAAAGTCCTGGTTGACAATATCATCAGTCTGAGTTGCATAATTATAGTACATGCGTATGCAGAACATGGCCTGTTGCATCATCGTTGGGCAGAGGCCGAATGAACACGAAAGAGGATGTCTCTGCGGGAACACTGACAGGGTGGCCGGCAATTTAAAGTCCGCTGCGGGGCGCCGAAGCGCACGTCGCGTCTGGCTTGACGCGCTTCCAGTTCCAACCTTGTCGTCGCCCTCACCCGGGCGCGCTCTTCCTTCCTGCCACCACCATGTCCTCTCACCACCGACCATTACTACAATTAGCACCCTCGGTGCAGACAACAAAGTACGGTTCTCTTTCATATACCTCCCAGAAACTATCTAATGCCACACAGAGTTGTGACGACCACTACCACCACTACCACCTACGCGCCCATCCCACTGCCTCCCCTCCCCGCGCCCTCGTCGCCCAAAGACCCAAAGACATACCCACTCCTCAATGCCCATCTACCGAAGTCACTGCGAGAATTCCGGTTGGAGTTTCCCGGCGGAGCCAACGCCACGTTTCGCGATGGTGAGGTTGGCGAACAAGCGATGCCTGAGGAAGGTGAGGTCGTCGGTGGCGCGCACTGGCGGATGCTACGGCATGACGAAGATGGAGAGGCTGCGAAAGAGGTAGGCCTCATTGAAGCTATCGAACGCTATGGTCGAAAGAGGTCGTACAGCAACGAGGACAGGATGGAGGGTATCGAGACGATCTCCGGCGTCGTGACCAACACCCCGCCACGAAAGAGGGCGAAACCTGCACCGCTGCAACACATTCCTCCTATGAATGCAGCCGCTCCCCCATCGCCTCTTCCCTCACCTCATGGTTCACCACCACCAGAGAGTATATGGCCATCCGCTCCGCCCAGTGGACACTCCTCACCCCAGCCACCCCAGGCGCCTATACAACCTGACCTCTCCCTCACCACTCTGTTGGCCCTCCCCGCATTGCTCTCTCATTACTCCAACCTCCCTCCGCAATTACAGTCCCATGTACTGCTCACCTTCCTTCGCCACTCTCCGTTGTCGGTCCTACGAACATTGCATTCCATCTTGACACCCACATTGGCGCGCGACTTCCTCACCATCTTACCGCCAGAACTGGTCTCGCATGTTCTGAGCTATCTCAGCTTCTCTGACCTCGCTCGCGCGTCCCGCGTCTCGAAGGCCTGGCGCGCCATCATCGACTCCGACCCTGTCCTCTGGCGTGACTTGCTCCGCAGCACAAAGATATGGTTTGGGCGTGGCTCTGAGATTGCATTTGCGGATGCCATCTTCGCGCGCAGGCGACGTCAAGGATTGCCTGCGCCTGGTGCACTGCCTCTACCCCATCCGTACAAGATCCTATTTAAATCACGACACCTTACTCGGACGCGCTGGGTGCAAAACCAGAACCCGAAGCGTATCACATTCCCTGCGCACGGGCGTTCGGTAGTAACATGCCTGATCTTCTCTCATGGACGCATCATCTCCGCCTCGGACGATCACTCCATTCACGTCTACTCTCCTGCTACGGGAGAGCTGCTGCGCTCACTGGACGGTCATGAAGGGGGCGTATGGGCGCTCGCGGCAACCAAGAACACGCTCGTGAGTGGGTCGACCGACCGGACGGTGCGTATCTGGGATCTGGAGACGGGGCGCTGCACCCACGTGTTCGGCGGGCATACGAGTACAGTGCGATGTCTAGCGATAGTCAAGCCGGAGATGATTGACGTTGAGAACGAGGGCGGTGTCATAACACGAGAGAAGTGGCCAAAGCGTCCCCTTATCGTGACCGGTAGTAGGGACCATTCGCTCCGAGTGTGGTCGCTACCAAAGCCTGGAGATGACGAGTACCGTTGCTACGGAGCGGACGACAACGAGGTTGACCCTTCTGAAGTGAGTGTTCGATTAAGACTTTGCGCCGCTCGGTTTGACGGAGACACGATGCAGGAGGACGTGGAAGACAACCCGTACCACAAGCTCCATCTCGAAGGACACGACCATGCTGTCCGTGCACTTGCAGCACGAGGTCGAACGCTTGTTTCCGGTAGCTACGACTGCACCGTCCGGATCTGGGACATCATCACGGGCACTTGCAAGTGGGTCCTCGTTGGCCATACACAGAAAGGTGAGTGTCCGCGAACTCTATGTTATTGACTAATCTGACATGCCGTGTAGTGTACAGCGTGGTACTGGACATTCATCGCAACCTCGCGTGCTCAGGGTCTATGGACGGCACCGTGCGAGTATGGAACCTCCAGACTGGCCAATGTCAACATACTCTGACAGGGCACACGTCTCTCGTCGGTTTGCTCGGTCTATCGCCGTCCTACCTTGTCTCCGCCGCTGCCGACTCAACACTGCGCGTATGGAACCCGGACACTGGAGAACATCACCATACACTCGCAGCCCACAACGGCGCCATCACGTGCTTCCAGCACGACGAGTTCAAGGTGCTCAGTGGAAGTGATGGCACGCTGAAGATGTGGGACATCCGGGACGGCTCGCAGGTGCGCGACTTGCTGACCGGCATCGTCGGCGTGTGGCAGGTCGTTTTCGAGGGCCGGTGGTGCGTGGCTGCGAGCAACCGGATGGATTCTACCGTCCTGGACGTGTGGGACTTTGCGAACGAGGAGGGCGACGAGGAGTGGGTAGGTGAACCACCCGGCGGGCTGTACGATGAAGATAGTGACGAGGAAGAGGAAGAGGACGAGCAAGCGGAGGTGGATGCCATGGACCAGGACCTCGATGGTGATTTGTGTTGCATTTGAGGATAACACACGGAAGGTTGACTGAGACATTGCTACAGAGGAAGAGGATATTATGGCGACGTGGATGCATACACCCAAGAAAGCGGAGGGTCCGGGGCCTTCCAGCCGGGCGTCAGCCATGTCAGCATCGCCGTTCGAAGGTGACGGCCCTGCCATGCAGGAGGCCGCCGCAAGAGCTGCAGCACAATTGCTAGTCGGCGGTAGTGGCGCTGGCCCATCGACTTTGGCACGTCTACCTCCGTCCAACGAAGAAACACCAACGCGGCCGCGGATACGAAATATGGGGCATCGCAGGCGGTGACCTGCTACGCATACCTCGATGATGATACCGCACCTTGAACCTCACTCGCATATACTGTATTTATGGCCCTCGCATTACCCTCCGTTCTGAATCAGTCATGTCTTGTGCATATGTTGGGCTTTGTCACGATCTTTTCTGTGATATTAGTGTACTGGGACATCTTCCGTGAGATGTTCTGTATGGAATAGGATGTCATCCATAATTTCGAGTTGCCACCCATAGCATGTGTATATCCACCGCGGTGGTAACTTATGATCGTTCCGTGTGGGTATTCCTAGTAGCCACGAATAGGCAGCGCAGGAACGAACTACTGTAGGCATAGGATTGTGGCGTAAACACACAGAGAGGGCATTTATACACTGGGTTCGATCCAGGCCTGTAGAACAAGCTTTACATCGCCATTCTTCTCGACCAACAGCTTCTCAGCCTGACTCCGAGTAATCTCCAGCTCGTGCACCTGTGATTCGGTGCAGTGAGACTCGCTGACTCCGTGGGTCCTCAGGCCTCAGGTGCTTACCAGCAGATCGACGTCTTCCCGCTTGAGCGTAGTGCTTTCTTTGGGCTTCGCTGCGGGCTTGTCTAGGAAACCATTGCGGAATGCGTCTTCCATCTTTCCCTTCGAGTACGCGTGTCCATCGGCGAACTGGTATTCTCCGCTCGAGTGTTGTTGTATTCAGTTTACAAGGAAGACAACGCACGTTTACGATGACCTCCGGTTCGGGACGTCCATTACTCCTCACAATTCCTGACATAGCGATTGACTGATTCCAGGAAGCTCTGGAATGTCCGAGTTGAACGCGTAGGCAATGGGTGTGGACGACCTTGTGCTGCTAAAGTCAAGCCCGGTGGCTGCAGTCGATCGAGTGCAAGATTGCAGAATCACGTGATATGTAGATAGCCCGCGAACTCGTAAGCAGAGATGCGCGACACGGTCCCGCCACACACCTTGACTCAAACCACCTCTCTTCTACTCTCTCGCTGCTTTTGTTGTCTACCTTTCTATGGACTCTTTTGAAAACCTTCAGTATGAATCTGCCTCGTCGTATGGCGGCGGAATGGGCATTGTGGACGACACTTCGTCCATATACACCACCAATACGAACAGCCAAAGTCAGGTATCCGTAGACCTGGAAAGCTTGTCTCTCACGGACGACCGCTCGTATGCGTCCTCGAATGGTCATCAGAACCATGTGCACACTGGAGTGGTGCGGACGGACGAAGACTTCGATGCGGTCCTGGATGATTTGAAGGATGAGGGTCAGGTTGACTTACCGCAGCACGCCTGCAGGTGAGTAGAGTCCACGCGTCTCTTCCCCGTCTTCTAACGCCTGTGCATGTAGTTACTGCGGCATACACTCACCTGCCTCCGTCGTCAAGTGCCTGATCTGTTCGAAATGGTTTTGTAACTCGCGTGGAAACACTTCAGCCTCGCATATTGTCAACCACCTTGTCCGTGCGAAGCACAAGGAGGTCATTCTCCACGCGGAAAGCCCCTTGGGGGAGACGGTACCTGAATGTTACAACTGTGGCAGCAAGAATGTCTTCATGCTCGGGTTCATCCCCGCTAAGAGCGATACCGTTGTTGTGCTGCTTTGCCGGTATGCATCATCCCTCGTGTGACTCCGTCAAATACTGATATTCCATGTCAGCCAACCGTGCGCAGCCATATCCAAGGACATCTCGTGGAACTCAGCTCTCTGGGCCCCTCTCATTGACGACCGCTCCTTCCTGTCTTGGCTCGTGAAGCCTCCGAGCGAGACCGAGCAGCTTAGGTCTCGTCAGATCTCCTTCCAGCAAATCAATCGCCTCGAGGATCTGTGGCGCGAGAATGCCAACGCGACCCTCGAGGATCTCGAGAAGCCTGGAGTAGATGATGAGCCACAGCCGATCCTCTTGCGGTACGAGGACGCATACCAGTATCAGAACATCTTCGGCCCCTTGGTCAAGATTGAGGCAGACTACGACAAACGTCTCAAAGAGTCCCAGACCCAGACGGACATTTCTGTCCGCTGGGATCTCGGTCTCAACCAGAAGCGTGTGGCGTGGTTCTGTCTTCCGAAGCTGGAGAGCGGGGAGGTACGATTGGCCGTGGGCGATGAGCTTCGGCTCAGGTACGCTGGTCAATTGCACAAGCCCTGGGAAGGCGACGGTCATGTCATCAAGATCCCGAACAGTGAGTCCGGTCTCATTCCATTAATGAGCCATTCTAATAGCCTTTCAGATGTCTCCGACGAGATTGGCTTGGAGCTTCGCAGGTCTGAGGGTGTGCCTTTGGACGTAACCCACAACTACACTGCGGACTTCGTCTGGAAGTCAACGAGTTTCGATAGGATGCAGCTTGCCATGAAAACCTTCGCCGTCGATGAGAAGAGCGTCAGCGGGTATATCGTGAGTGTCACACTCCGCTCTAGGCTTGATGCAATGTTTATTGACGCTTTCACAGTATCACAAACTGCTTGGGCATGAATTGGAGCCTCAAGTTTTGCGCACTCAGATGCCGAAACGTTTCTCGGCGCCAGGTCTCCCGGAGCTAAACCACTCGCAGATGTATGCTGTCAAGAGCGTCTTGCAGAAGCCAATCAGTCTCATTCAGGGACCTCCGGGGACGGGTAAAACGGTGACTTCGGCCTCCATCGTGTATCACCTTGCCAAGATGAATCCCGGTCAAGTCCTTGTTTGTGCGCCCTCGAACGTCGCAGTCGACCAATTGACTGAGAAGATTCACTCCACTGGTCTCAAAGTCGTCCGCTTGACTGCCAAATCGCGTGAAGCCCTGGACTCGTCTGTCTCGTTCTTGACCTTGCATCAGCAAGTTGCCAATAACACGACACACGTGGAGCTCCAGAAGCTCATCCAGCTCAAGAACGAGCAGGGCGAGCTGAGTTCTAACGACGAGAGGAAGTACAAGACATTGATTCGCCAGTGCGAGAAGGAGATCCTGGGCGCTGCTGATGTCATCTGCTGCACCTGCGTCGGCGCTGGCGATCCGCGCCTCAGCAAGCTGAAGTTCCGCACAGTACTGATCGACGAGGCGACTCAGGCTGCGGAGCCCGGTACGTATTGTTGCTCTGATTGGCTACGGCGAAAGAGGTGTTAATTCCGCTTCCGTGTAGAATGTATGATTCCTTTGGTTCTCGGATGCAAGCAGGTCGTCCTTGTCGGCGATCACCAGGTCAGTGTTGCGCTTTTACCTCCGCATCGTGGCAGACTCACAGTGGAATACAGCAATTGGGACCGGTTATCATGAATAAGAAAGCGGCCCGCGCAGGTCTCACGCAGTCGCTCTTCGAACGTCTGGTAGTCCTGGGCAATCGGCCGATTCGTCTGCAAGTGCAATATCGCATGCATCCATGCTTGTCCGAGTTCCCATCAAACATGTTCTACGAGGGCACGCTGCAGAACGGAGTTACGGCCCCCGAGCGTCTGAGGAAGAATGTGGACTTTCCATGGCCGGTTCCTGACACGCCGATGTTCTTCTATCAGAACCTGGGCCAGGAGGAGATCTCGTCAAGTGGGACGTCTTTCCTGAATAGGTATGTGGCGCGCTCCCGCGCTCCTTACGTATGTCCGTCAATTAAACTGTACTCGCTGAACAGGACCGAAGCGTCGAACGTCGAGAAGATCGTCACCAAGTTCTTCAAATCCGGTGTCGTTCCCAGTCAAATCGGAGTAGTGACTCCGTACGAGGGTCAACGCTCGTACATTGTCAACTACATGCAGTTCAACGGGTCGCTCAAGAAGGATCTCTACAAGGAGATCGAGGTCGCTAGCGTTGACGCCTTCCAGGGACGGGAGAAGGATTACATCATCCTTAGCTGCGTTCGAAGCAACGAGCACCAGGGTATCGGTTTCCTCAACGACCCGCGACGTCTCAATGTTGCCCTCACGCGTGCCAAGTATGGTGTCGTCATTCTCGGTAATCCGAAGGTTCTCAGCAAGGTGAGTGACTACTTATATTGCTTTGTACGTCTTCTCATGTGATTCCAACGTCATCCCACAGCATCCGCTTTGGCACTATCTCCTGACGCATTACAAGGAGAAGAACTGCCTTGTCGAAGGACCTCTAAGTAACCTGCAACCCAGCATGATTCAATTTAGCAAGCCACGGCGCACGCTTTCGAAGGCTATGGACCAGTTCCGTAGACACGAGACCAGCGCCCGTGACTATCTGGGCAGTGGCCTAACAGGCGATGGTGCGCTTATATCTCCGCGTCCGTAGATTGACGTGTGTATCTGATGCTTCTTCTACAGGTCGCCGATCCGGCACTCCGAGCCGCTTTGACGCTAGCTTCTACCGTACACATGACGCCCTGGGCTACATACCCTCGGATGTCCAATCTCTGCGCTCCCAGGCCACGTATTCGTCAGGATTGCCCATGTTTGCCGCCAGTGGGCCCTTCGGCCCGGGGCTGCAACGTCCCAATGGCGCAAAGCGGAGTACCTACGGGAGCTACGCCAGTTCTATCATCTCGCAAGACGTTGGGACTGGTGGCACGGACACCGCGAGCGTCATTGGCAGCGCTATTGGGCCTTCAGACCGCTCAGCGAGCAGCATGGCTTATTCGCAGTCTGACAGACTCCGACGCCGCTCGTCGTTCTCATCGACTACGGGAGCCTCCGACATGGGTAGTCTATCTCAGTACGACTATAAGAGCCAGGACGATGGCACCGATTTGGACGACATGAAGTCGCAATACACCGGGACTCAATCTGGCGTTACCGTCTTCTAACGCTTCGGCGAGACACAGGCGTATCGCCTTTGATCGTGGCTGACCGGCCGGTCGTCGTGCCGCCAATGATGCCTACTGCCGTTGCTTCGTCTTGCATCATCCCCGTTCCTCCGTCTCTCCGGTATGTGGGGAACGTCGTCTCGCTGGCAGGGCTTGGCATATTGCTGAACGCCGCGTATGACATGCCCGATGGCAAGTCCGCTCAATGGCGAAGCCTTTGCTATGCTTCCAGCGCGGACGCGGGTGTCAGTACACCAGGTGCATGACCGCCATGATCTCACACCGAACCCTTATGATACATGCCGCCATTCCACATGCATGCCTCCCCTTGATACGCCAGTACGCCCGTGATGCATCGTTGTATCGTAGTAGTCAGAATATGTATGTATGACCATTGTCTTGACCCGCATGATATGCAATAGAGTGGACAATTATACTCACCGTCGTGGCAATGAGACGCACGGATCTGTCGGCCAGGCAGGCAACAAGAACGTGGACCGGTGAAACTGTGTACATGATAGGGGCATTGGTGGTATGGACAGGGGCTACAATTCGACGGATGTGCTGAATAAAGTTACGGGCAGGGGTATGTACGAACAATGACACGACGACTATGATACCAGTACATGTACAGGACACCATGAACAGGGGTTTACACGCTAGGCAAAGACTTCACACTATACTACTTGGGTTGCAATATAACCATTAGCCACAGATGTAACACTACGCCGCAAGGACTGAATTTCATAACTGATGCATTAGACTGATCAACGCCGCCCCTCGTGCTCCTGCCGAGGCAACCGGGAGCGTACCGATGGATCCCTGTCATCGGGTCCTAAGCCGCTGTGGGGGCTGTGAGGTCGGCTACCGTACAAATAAGGCGGCGAAATAGCGTACGCCCCAGGCGCATGCTGCGAGCGCGATGGAGGCCTTGAAGCGAAGTATCCCGGCGGTTGCACAGGGGCAGGTAGATGGCGCGTTATGCCGGGATGAGGGAAGCCCTCTGCTTCCCAATGGTGGGAGAGCGGAGGAGATCGTGGTGGTGGTAATGGTGGGGGTGGGTCGAGGACGACGCCTGTGCCGAGCCTAAATGCACTTGATCCCGGCGCAGACGCTGACCCGGCGGTGGAGGCGTCTGCGCGCTGCATTTTTTTGGCGGGCTGGATGGACGGGACTCGTGGTGGTGGTGGTGGTAGGGGCTGGGATCGGGATTGGTCATGGCTGCCACAGAGAGTGAAGCTCGCCGGGAGGACACGCCTCCCGATGATCCGGCAGGTGTGGACGGCATGCTTGAAGACGCGTGTGGGCTAGTAGGATAATATGACGGCTCTGCGGCAGGCGACGCGGCCGTTGCGGTGTGGGCTGAAGATCCCTGCGATGTGGACGGACGGGAGGATGAAGATGGACTGCGTGCCGCGGCCTGCCTGGTGTGCCGGTTCAGGTGGGAAGAGGACTCGCTGCGAGCCGGGATCGGTCGGCTTGGAGGCATGGCATGGTATAGCGACGGAGGCATTGATGGAGGCGGCGCCGCATGATATGGTGTTATGGCTGTTCCCTGAATCGGCTCGACGCGCTGGATCGGAGCTGATGAAACAGGAGCGGTAGGCGCAGCCATCCGTGCCGCCGGTACGGGAAATGAACCAGCAGTTAGACGGTTCACCAAAGCCTCGAGCTCTATCACCTTGGCCTTGAGTTCATCATATTCAGTGCGTGTCACGTACTTCTCCCTTGTCGAGCACCATCAGCACAAGAACCGATAGGGAGTGGCAAATACAAACATGGGCTCTATGATGTGCCACTGACACTTCTGTGGCTCCCCGCGTCGGGTGCATGGGCCGCATGGTTGTGCCCTGTAAGTCAAGGCATTATCCACAATCAGACCGAACCCAAGACGGAGATGAGATTGACACCGACCTATCACACTTGATCTTGCGCCTCTTACATTCTAAGAGTCCGCATCGATATCCGCGGTATCCGTAGCAGAGATGGGAATGGAGGAAGGAAGAATGATTGAAGAGTACGCGCGAGGAACGCATGTCCGGTCAGATCAATCTCACGGAGCAACTCTAATTGTGAGGGGCCGCACCTGTGCAGCTGAGGGCCTGACGGCGCCGCTTCTTCTTGGGTGGTTCGTGCACGTCGCCTTCTGGGTCGGAGTCGTCCACCGATCGGCGAGCACCTGCGAGATGTTCGGGATGAGTGGCCAGGGAGACAGGCGGAGAGGACTCACCGAGGCTGCTTCCCGACGCGACGGGATAGGTTGGCGACTGCAGGTGGCCGTATGCCGAGCCGCTGGGGGCGGTGGGACTCTGTGGGTGCGGGGATGGCAGCGGGAGGCCTGGATGGAGTGCACGGATGGGCGGGAGGGTTGTCTGGGAGTGCGATGGCCCGGGTCGGGGGGGTGGGGAGAAGTCGGGTTCTCCGCGGGCACCTGGATGCGTGTCGGGGCGATCATAGGGCGAGGATGTTCGGGAGTGCATGGCTCGACGGGTGCGGACATGGAGAGCGTCGGGCTACATGGATGCGGGGAGGGAGGATTTAAGGGCTGAGCGAGGGGACATGTCTGGGTCCCGTGTTCAGAGGGCCCCAACTCGGGTTGCAGACGATCTAAAAAGAGGATTATATGTCACGGCGAGGCTTGTGCCGATAAGATGTTATCGACTCACTGAAATCGCAGAAAATGCCGCCTGTGACTTGATAGCTCGTGTACCTGTGCGCCTCAATGATCCGGCTGCGACGATGCCATCGGTAGCCCGTCCTTGACGACCTTGCCCCGTGATGGCCTCCCCGCCCCCGCTGCGGCCCACCAGCGGCCACTGCAGCCCACCCGCCGGCCTGCCCCTGCCCCATCCGCGACGGCCACTTCGCCTCGCATTGCGGGCCTGTAGCGGACCCTGTGAATGTCTCCGGCCAAGGGCGCGGACGCGAGGCAATAAACTTTTGAGTAACATCCTTCGGCAGCCACCGATTATCCGAGGAGGTATTCCGCGCAATCTCCGTTTCAGATTCAACGCTTCTGCCCACGAGGCTGCTCGAGCAGCGTCACCCTGCCCCTGGCCTCCGCGTCGCTGCCAGTATGTTATAGCTGCCACTGCCAGTGTCTCCGTCCCCCGAGCACTCTCCCAGGGCCTGTGCCCCCCGATGCGTCCTAGCCCGCTTCCCCATCACCATTTGTCTGCGCATATCTCCGTCCGCTGCACATCCCTCCCATCTCCGCGCATTAGGCAACTCTGCACTGCCCCACAGCCTAATGCTGACGCCTCCTATCAACCCAATCAGGCCAGTCTGCACCCCCCGCAGCGGCCCCGTCGCGAACACGGCCACACATGGCAACTCCTGCGTCCCAGCAGCGCAAGCAGGCCTAGCTGTTCGAATTCGCAACCATGTCGCCATGATCCGAATAGTACACAGGCGGCTCATGGCCTGCCCCGGCTGAGTTGTCATCTCTCCACGCTTCCCCCATTGTTCACCTCCGACGGACAGTCAATAATGCGGCCGGGAGCAGCATGCTTGCCGTGTACACATCCCTGTAGCACACTCGAGAAGTACAGCATCCTTGTGAGCGTAAACGCCGTTCTAGCGCTCATGTGACGACAGCAATGCGGCCGTCTCTCTCACAGCTTCGCAGTGCCCTTGCCAGCGATGTAGGTCGTTCGCATGCTCATCTGCTCCCGAGAGCAGACCATATTTGATTCCGCGCTCGCGTCTGTCTTCGCCCATGCGTCACAGACTCAAGGATCTTCCGCGCCGCTCGTCTCAAGCAGTATCTCCGCACATCGGTTGGTTAGATCCCATTCGATAATGTCGTGAACCAGCGGGCTCTGTCCCTGGCTCAAGTTCAAGCCTTGCTCATCTGGAGAATGTCCGTCGATCGATCGCATGCGAGCCCACTCCGTGTACCTGCCTTTGGTTAGGCTCGGACAACCCTGATCTACTCCATGACATGGGCCCGTCCCGTGAACTGCATGCTTGCAGTGATAGCACAATGCACGATTGTGCATCGGTGAAGCACGGGCACGCTTGCCGAGCTGGTGCAATCTCTGCGGGCCTCCGAGCACGTTTAAGTCGCGCATTTGTCGCGGGGGCTGTGCGTGACAGCGAGTAGAATGCAGCAAGTCAGCCCATTCACTGAAGCTATGGGTTGTTCCGGTAATGAGGCCTTTCGTCATGGCGGTGGTTTCCGCCCAACTCCCGCATTCCGACGGCTTGAAAGACGTGCTACGCAATGCGGTATGTTCTCTGGTTCACTCCTACCGTTAGTGTGTGCGTTGATCGTCTTGTTCGCTCCAGATGTGCCTCCGTTAACCGAGCCTTGTTTGGCATGTAGCGAGATCCTGACGACGGCTATTCTCCGCCTTATTTATGTTTTGGAAGGAGCTGTGGTCAAGGCCCCTTATCACAGCTCATCAATAATCCCCATCTCTTGGCCTTCGCGCAACAGACAAGAAGGCTTTCACTTCACTCTCTCGGCAGTCTGTCGGCCGCTCGAACGGACCGCGATTTCTGGCTAATGGGGCCCGGCAATGGGGGTGATGAACCGCTTCTCATTGCGTAGGTCAGTAAGATCCGGGCCATTCAGCCCTCAACACTGGAAATCTTGTGGCACACGACGGGTGGTGCCGACCTCAGGGTCCATCATATGCCGGCTTGCTTCATGAGGACGCCAGAGTCATTGTGACGACGGACGGAAGATCGCCCTAACCGCTCCGCTGTCGTTCTCTTCCGACATCGTCGTTAAGTCCGCAGGAGGCTCCGGGAACGGTACCTGGAGGCGATTAGGCGTTTGTCCTCGTCTGCTGTTCGGGACGGTGTAGAAGCAACCAAATACTTCGACGTAGATCTAGCAAAAATGTATGTGCCATTGATTTTATCGATCTTGTCCGTGAACTAACGGCTTTATGCTTCTCATGCAGAGAATGTGGCCGATTCATTGACCATGCCCAGAGATCACTCAGCGGATGACGTTATTTACATCCGTACAGAAGACTAAAATCCTATATGTACAGCCTGCGTGTACCATCTCATTGAATATGAGCGCTCAGTGGGCATCGACGTCTCTTACCGCGCTCGGCGGGACACATACAGTCTTTCGAGAACATCTCGCGCCCGGACGCAGGGTCGAGTAAACAGCTCCGTCGGTTCCATGTTTTCTCCTTGCGTCAGCTGATGAGTGTATTCTGGGCGCCGGCACGAGTCTTGTTGAGCCTTCGCGCCGCGCCAATGTTCTACGGACACCACAGCAGCAATATCGGTCCATCGATCCTTCATCTGTAGCTACACCTTGTCAGCAAGACCGTACGGCTCGCTCCGTGCTAACGGCAACAACTTCGTCGACACGCATGTACGGCGAGTAGGGGTGCACTAGGTGAGTCACGTATGCCCTCATCCCGTGTACCGTGCCTGCGGCTTACTTGCTTTGGCTATATAGTAGGGACCGTGTCGTTCCTCCTCTAGCTTCCTGTTTGTGATCCGGACGGGACTCGGAGCTGCCAAGGTAGATGCTGTCACTTCGACACAGGACACTCAGAGAAAATTTCTTGCGACCAGAGTTGCAGTCTCGAGTCGGGTTCAATTGGCGTTCTACAGACTGTGCCTAACATGGCAATCCATCGTCGGTCTGTCTGCGTGTGCGCGACCCAGGACACCACCGCATGGTCATCGGGCCTACTGAATGCCAGACATAAGTTCTCTAGACACACCCAGAGCTATTCTATGCCTACAGCCATTCCCGCGTACGTCTGCACCTTCGCACATTTGCGCAATATTTGACCGACGTCTCGCTAGGATCCGCAAGCGGCAATGCGAGGGTGTGAGTAATCCCTGTTTCAGCCACGATTATCTCACTCGTAGTCTGTAGCAGAGCGGCGCGTTGTATCGTTACGGTAGCCGCGAAGGCGTGTGTGCGAAACAACTTATGAAACCTTGTTCCTACTTCGGGCATGCAGTGGACTTCCCGGTCTCAGAAGCCTGCAGCAGGGCGGCCGGTAACACGCCCCATAGCGCACGGTGGCGTTCAACGTGCCCTCGGCTCCGTCTGCAATCCTTGCGATCGATGGATGGCGACGCCGGATAGGTCTAAACGCGAATGGACGACAATAGGACAAAGCTGCCCATGCCGGGCGCGCGGCCACCCTGTTGGGCTCGGTATAGGGACCGCGGTGCACTACTCAGCGAGCAAGTAGGTTCATCATTTATGATCGGTAGGTTGGCCGTAGGGATCCGTATCTGATATGTCCCAGGACTACGAAATCTACACGTGCAATACGCCTGTCCGATCCGAGTCTAACCTAATGACGAGCGAGTGAGCTACTTCGCCGGCGCCAGCGAGGTATTGCGATCCAGGATCCGTGCCTAATAGTCGAGCGCCGTAGCAATGGCGTGTGCTAAAATGCTGTAATGGTGTAACGTATCAGCAGGGAAGCACTGCTGCAGAAGGCAGTCCGGAGGTAACGCACTTGTGGACGGTGTATAGCGGGTGCAATGTGTTTAGCCAACTGGGGGTGTGCACATCATGTTAATGAGGCGGCACCAGGGATGTGCCGCTGTCAACTCACAAGTAGCTCGACACGGGCTCGCACGGGGCGTCTTGGGTCGTCATGGACGGCGTGCCATTTTCGTACGCCTCGCAGTAACCAGTGATGTTGACGTACCCGAAGGTGGGATAGTTGTCCAGCAGGGTGTTGAACACCGGGCGCGGGTCGAAGATGCGCACGCTCGTCCCGCTGTGCGTCGCTTCGAACAGCCCCGCGTACGCGATGAGCTGGTCGTTGTAGTCCGCAAGCGCACCAGTGATCTGAGCAACGGCGGTTGGACCTGCTTCGATGAGCAATGGCGCGCGGTTGGTGGGAGGCACCGTCAGGAAAAGGAAATTCCGGGCTCCGGAGCCGTACAGAGTTTCAATCTGTCCCAGGCGTATGTATTCTAGGGCTAAGCTCAGGGCTTCGCTGCATGGGGCTAGTAGCACTGACCTGGCTGAACAACCTGTCCATCAGGATCGTGTGGAAGGCCGGCTGCGAAGTGACGTTCGTCTGCACAACGATGCAACCAACGCGCCGGTTAGCGTAACCCCGTGAAAGCCGCTGATATGGTTTACCCAAGCATATGAGTTGCCCTACATTGAGTTGGAGGTTACCGTGCGGTACGCGCTGAATACATATCGGATCATGACGTACCACGTCATTGATTCCAATCCAAATGGCAAAGAGACTGTTGGAGCTGTCCCATTGGGCGCCGTACGGCTTTGGCGCGAGGTATTCCTCGAATTGCGAGACCTGGTCTACGATGGACCTGCGAAGATAGCTGCGGTTGAAACACGGACACTCGGACTGATGGTAGATGTCTTACAGGACAGTGGGCAGGTAGGGCGCGACGAGCGCAGCGTCAATCGTCGCGCCTCCAGATGCCAAGTTGAAGACCTATCGCCGGCCCATATATATTACATTACGACACCAAGGCATCGAGACTGCTCACCTTGGTATTGGTCACATTATACGTCCCACCTGCATTCTCTCAGCCGAGCGCCCGGATATAGCGACGGCTATGACGGAGGAAGCTTACCGAGGTATTCAACCCAGTTAGGGCCGTTTGACGAGGTCTATGGTATCATGGCATCAGTCTTCTAGATACGAAGGCAGAGGTCTGGTGGCCCGTTTGTTTGGCACTCACGTAACCTGGGTTGGTGGAATTCACGCCCTCGGAGATGTTGAAGCCATCTGTGGTATATGAATCGCCCAAGGTGAACAGGAATTGGGTTGAATTCCAGTACAGCTGCGCCGATACGGCCGTCGCCGCGGAGAGAAGGCAAGACAGGACCCCGAGCTTGTGCAACATGATCGCGTAGGGTTTGACGATACGTACGTGCCCGAAACGCAAAGAACGACCGTAAGCCCGCTGACTCTGGCTCCGTGCTCACCCTCTTATACAGCGTCGTCGTCGCGCTGATTGGCCGACAATTGGCCGCGAGCTGAGCACAGAGAGGCTGACAAGAATATGTGGGCGAAACATCGGTTCAAAATAGACAAAATGTGAGAGATGGTCGTGAATCGTGTGCGGACAACGGCGGCAAGGGGTCGCGCTGGGTCAGCAGACGACACACGCAGTGTGATCAGCCTGGTCTGAAAGTGTCGGGTGACCGCGAGAGTCGGACTGCGCGCTGGGCACGATGAGTTGGCTGCACGGCCGGAATATTGCCATGATGGGAGCGGCAGACATTCCCGTTGCAGCACGGACTTGCCCCTTGAGCACGATGACGCCGACGGGGTCACAGGAGCCTGCCATTGGCCTGCCATCAGGATGCAGTACTCATGCCGTAAGATATGGATGGCCGCCTCTTCACCCGCTCGCTTCCTCCTCTCCTCCCGTCCTGTGAGAGCGATCGAGCTGCCCGAACGCTGCTCCCGGTCACAGCGCGAGTCAACAGCACTCGCATCCCAACCGTATTATAACATACTTTTTCCGCGAAAAGGGGCTCGCTACAATCCGAGGGCGCAGTACAGTACGTCAGATTCATAACGAGCCCCGTGTGGACACGTAAGTCTCCTGTGGGCAGAGTATCCAATTCATTCAACCTCCTAGAGGGACGCGACGCGGTGGCCGCTGCTGGTCGGTGAGCGCTTACTCGAACATCGCGCGCGCCACCTTTCTCAAGAGCACGACTGCGACATACTGCACGCGGAACCACAAAGGAGGCAAAATTTAGAGGGGCGTTCATGTGGATTGCTATACGCACTAGCCTGCACATGAAAAGCGAAAGGAATGGAGAGACACGACACGGTGGCCGCTGCTGGTCGATGAGCGCTTAAGTTGAACATCGCGCGCGCCACCATTTTCGAGAGCACGACTGCGAAGCATTGCCCGCAGAGCCACAAAGGAGGGCACTTCTAAGGGTAGTACTGCATTGCGCAAATTATGGGCATTTTTTTGAGAATACTAGGGCATGTTTGAATGCGCGGGACGGCAGTCTTTGCAGCATCGCAGGAAATAATGATCTGGGTTACGTGAAATTTGTTGCGAGCGGAGCGAGCATACATTGCCTAGGGGGTGCAGCCCGGAGCCAAACAACTACAAATTTCACGTAACCCAGATCATTATTTCCTGCGATGCTGCAAAGACTGCCGTCCCGCGCATTCAAACATGCCCTAGTATTCTCGAAAAAATGCCCATAATTTGCGCAATGCAGTACTACCCTTAGAAGTGCCCTCCTTTGTGGCTCTGCGGGCGATGCTTCGCAGTCGTGCTCTCGAAAATGGTGGCGCGCGCGATGTTCAACTTAAGCGCTCATCGACCAGCAGCGGCCACCGTGTCGTGTCTCTCCATTCCTTTCGCTTTTCATGTGCAGGCTAGTGCGTATAGCAATCCACATGAACGCCCCTCTAAATTTTGCCTCCTTTGTGGTTCCGCGTGCAGTATGTCGCAGTCGTGCTCTTGAGAAAGGTGGCGCGCGCGATGTTCGAGTAAGCGCTCACCGACCAGCAGCGGCCACCGCGTCGCGTCCCTCTAGGAGGTTGAATGAATTGGATACTCTGCCCACAGGAGACTTACGTGTCCACACGGGGCTCGCTATGAATCTGACGTACTGTACTGCGCCCTCGGATTGTAGCGAGCCCCTTTTCACGGAAAAAGTATGTTAGTTGTTTGGCTCCGGGCTGCACCCCCTAGGCAATGTATGCTCGCTCCGCTCGCAAATACTACTACACCGTATACCGACTCACGTAAATACGCTTCTGCGCCGCTATCGGCCTGTGATTTCGCCTTATCTCGCATTAGAATTCGATTAGGACGGGGATCTCCCAGCGCGACGGACTTACATCGGAATCTCCGTTCCGCCCGGGTCACTGATCGAGCATCACTCGCTCGCCTCAACGCCTCGCCAACACGTTCACCACGATTCTCCCGTCCGGGCAGCCATGATCTCGGTGAGTTGTCTTTATGGCAGCTGGGCTCCGGCTCACCGCACCCCGCTGTTAGGCTTTCTTCATCTTCAATCAGAAGGGCGAGGTGCGTCACAGCCATGAACGGCTAGCCCAGCTCCGCGCACTCACCGCTGTCGTTCGTCATACCAGGTCCTCATCTCGCGACTCTACCGGACAGACCTCAAGTGCGTCTTCTTCACCTCCTGCCTGCGGCTCGTCTCACTCGGCACACTGCGCATCCCAGGCGGTCAATCGCGGACGTGTTCCGGATTCAGGTCGTGTCGAACAGCGATGTGCGCTCACCCATAATCACCCTAGGCTCGACTAGCTTCTTCCATGTACGTATCAACAACCTGTACATCGTGGCCGTCACAAAGTACGTTCCATTCCTGATCATCCGCACACTCGGATTACCCGCCTGCCTCGCTGACCCAAGCTCCACGCAGGTGCAACGCTAACGCTGCACTCGTGTTCGAGTTCTGTTACCGCTTTATCTCCATTGCAAAGTCGTACTTCGGCAAGGTCGATGAAGAAGCGGTCAAGAATAACTTTGTGTTGATCTATGAACTCGTCGATGGTACGGCACCTACCGACATGACATGTCTGGCGAGCGACGGGAAGCTGACACGTCTCAGAAATATGTGACTTCGGCTATCCTCAGAACAGCGAGGCTGACACACTCAAGTCGTATATCACGACAGAGAGCGTCATGTCGACAAACATAGCACCAGTGCGTCGCGGTTCATATGGGATGTGCATGCCAGACCTGAGTGCCATGTAGGAAGAGTCTTCGAGAATCACTGTGCAGGCCACGGGCGCGACGAGCTGGCGTCGTGGAGACGTCAAGTACAAGAAGAACGAAGCCTTCGTCGACGTCGTGGAGAATGTCAACCTCAGCATGAGCGCCAAAGGTGCGCTCGTCACCTCGATGAGCACATTACGGACTGGCGTTCCGAGGCTGACACATGGCTTTAGGGACGACACTGCGCGCGGACGTGGACGGGCACATCCAAATGCGGGCCTACCTTTCCGGGACGCCCGAGTGCAAGTTCGGTCTGAACGACAAGCTGGTTATTGACAAGAATGAGCGGGGCACGGCGGATGCTGTCGAGCTCGACGACTGCCGGTTCCACCAGTGTGTGCGGTTGAACGAGTTTGATTCTACTCGCACGATCAGTTTCATCCCGCCAGACGGGGAGTTCGAGCTCATGCGGTAGGCTTTATTTGACTCGCTTACAGGTACCCAAGTGGCATACTCACCCGGTGTTGAGATACCGAGCAACGTCGAATGTCAAGCTGCCTCTGAAGGTCATACCCTCTGTCACGGAGATCGGCACGACACAAGTGCAGTACGTCGTCACCATCAAGACCAATTTCAGCAACAAGCTGTCCGCAACGAACGTCATTTTGAAGATACCCACGCCTCTGAACACGACCAGCGTTGACTGCAAGGTGGCAAGCGGGAAGGCGAAGTACGTCCCCGCCGAGAACGTGGTTATCTGGAAGTAAGCGCTCATCTTCCACATGCTAACCGTGATGCCTTACGATGTTCGGCAACCACAGGATTCCACGCATACAAGGCGGGCAGGAGGTCACCTTCTCCGCCCACGCTGCGCTGACGAGCACGACAACCCGGCAAGTATGGGCGCGGCCGCCCATCGACGTCGACTTCCAGGTGCTCATGTTCACCGCGTCGGGCTTGATCGTACGCTTCTTGAAGGTGTTCGAGAAGAGCAACTACCAGAGCATCAAGTGGGTGCGATATCTGACGAAGGCGAGTGGGTCGTACCAAATACGGGTATGTCGTCTGCATTTTGTCACTGTGTGCACTGGTTGACCGTTCGTTCGTCCTCAACCCAGTTCTGAGTCGCTGCATATTGTGCTCTTCTCTCAATTCTACCTCTATCTCTTTACACACATGTACAATTAGGATTACATACTGCTTTACTGGAGATTTCGTTGCTGCTTGGGCACGGTGATTCTGGCGCTTAGTGGACGCGGTTGTCACATGACCGGCGCGTCGGGTGACGTTTCTCGTTGGAATCTGGATGTGGCTGAAGTTTCGCTGAACGTTGATGTCCCTGCCCACCAACGAGCGCAATGCCGGCATCCGCACGCAAGAGCAGCGTCGGTGGCGCCCGCCGCCCGCCACACAAGTACATTCCCTATCGCGCAGATGACTTCCAGCATGGCAAGAAGACTGGCATGGCCGTCGCGTACGTCGACCACCGCTCGGACGAGTTCGAGCCGTTCGACAAGGTCATGAGCCAGGCGGACCAGCGGACGCCGCCCCGGGTGCAGAACACGCGTAAGAAGAGGCAGACTCCGAAGCCCAAGACTCCGAGGACGCCGGCCGTGCAGGAGGTGGATGTGGACGGGGAGATGTCGATGGAGTTGGAAGATAGTGAGTGCTTGAGATTATGAGCCGTTCGGTGGCTGGCCATACGGCCCCTGACCTAACTCACATGGCGCATATAACTAGGTATACCGAACTCGCCCTCTGCGTACTTCTCCAATGCACGCGTGAATACGATCACGTCTAGCGTACAGCGGGTGGGCTCGTCTTCGCGGCCAGTCGCACACTCCTCCGACGTCGACTTTGACAAGGTGCCCTCCCCGCGCGAGTCGCCCGCCTACTCGCACAGGCGATCCCTTTTGCAGTCAAGGAATTCTGGCCCGTCGCACTTGTCACAATCTACAGTGGCACAGGATGACGATGAGCCCGCGGATGACGGTATGGAGTATGGAGGCCCGGACTTCGATGGCGGTGGAGGCTTTGATTCAGACGAAGATGACGCTCCCGCACAGTCCCACCACGGATCACAGCAACATTCTCAACGGCGTTCGAGTGTGCATACATCCAGGCGCACAAGCTTCGCTCAGATGGACCAGGAGGACGATGAGGAGGAACAGGCCGGACAAATGACCGATAACGAGCCTACCCCGAAAGCAAAGGGCAAGCGACGCGATACCGGAGATGAGCCCCAGCCGGACTACGACATGGAGGATAACATCTCGCGCGGTCTTGCCGAGGTCGATCAGGAGCCCTCGGATGAGGAGGATGTGCCCTTGCGCAAACGGACTGGACAGGATCGCGGGGATGATGACAGCATCGAGAAGCATCAGCAGCCGAGCAAGAAAGCACGCACGGAGAACGAGGGTGCGAAGAAGCCGCGCGGTAGGCCGAAGGGGTCGAAGAACAATGTCCTACGAGAACGTGGGTTTCTCAGTGCTGACTACCGCTGTGTCCGATACTCATGTCCGTCCCGTTAGTCACTCCCAATGATGAGAACACAGATGGTCTGCGTCGTGGGAGGCGCCATCGGTACAAGCCACTCGATTGGTGGAGGCTCGAGAAAGTCGTATACGGCCGACGGGAAACTGGCACGTCGTACGTGCCGACGATTAAGGAGATTCATCGGATACCGAAGGAGGAACCTCAGCCATTGGGTGCGAAGCATCGCAGAAAGCGTCCGCCGCGCAGCAAGAGCAAGACCGCCGACGCCGAGGGGCAAGGCACGCTGGTGTACAATCCCGAAGAGGGATGGGACGAGGATACGCAAGCCGAAGCTCCCATCCTTGACTACAAGACGAAAGAGGAATTACGGAAGCGTAGGTGTCCCCTGTGATACGAGGCATCATATGCTCATAACTGTCATATAGGCATTGCATTCACTGCGAAGATGATCACTCCGAAGGCGGCGGCCAATAATGATTTCTACTTCCAGAAGGTCTTCGGCGACGCGGACTTCATTGCCGCTGGCGAGCTCATCATACCCCCAGATGGGCAGAAGCCTACCAAGAGCACGAAGGACAACACCTTCGTACGCAATCTTCCCGCTTATCAGACTCTAGCGCACTCACGTCATGACCATAGGTGTTTTATGTCATCGAGGGTGCAGTGAACCTCACAGTGCACAAGACAAGCTTCATCCTCGCTACAGGCGGCATGTTCTTGGTCCCGCGAGGTATAACTTTGGGCATTCCCCTGTCCCGAACCACACGTTGACGCTCAGTTCGTTCGTGCAGGGAACATGTACCACATCCGGAACATCTCCGAGCGCGACGCAAGGCTGTTCTTCGCTCAGGCACGCAAGGTTTCAGACGAGGAAATGGAGGAAGATCAGAGGCCCATAGGAGCTCGTAAGAGCCGTGGGTCATCTGGGTCGGTTGGTCCTACGACCACTGTCCGCTCATCATCGGAGCCGCAGCCTCCCGCGGCAGCAGCAGGCGCGGCAGCCCTGAGGCGTGCTACGTCCTCCAGGGCAAAGTGAACTGCTCGTGTCACTGTATTGTGTGGCTCATCAGTCCTATGCAATCACCCTCATGCCGTATGCGGTCTACTGATCGTAGCTAGTCTTCGCATCTTGTATGATTATATGGATATGCCATTTCTATACTCCTCGAAATGTTGCGCGCGTCTCAGAAAATTGCATGTATCCAGTGCTAACAAATGCCGATGTAAGTGTATTCAATTCTGCGAGTTACAGTACGGTGGTAGAGATTGACTTGCATGGATGCCAGTATTAGGTCGAGAGCAGTGCAAATAGCAAGTGAGATGAGAACGAACGAGATATGACCACCGTATATATGACGAAATGAGAACGGAGATGAGGGGACGACTCGTATTCTCAGAGGAACGACGAACGTTGCTTGGGATGCAGACTACTCGAGCGGGCAGGGAAGTGGTCACCTCTGTTGGACAAGGAGTCTCGATAACCCGAAGAGGAAGATTGAGGTGAGAGATCCAGATCCTCCGAGAAAGCAGGCACGGGAGGAACCGTATCAGGTACAGAAGGGAAGGCATCGAACAGAGCACTATCCAAGCCACCTGAGGCCAAGCTACTCGAGACAGACACCCACGACATAGGTCGTTCGTCTGCACCAGCGCTAGGCTGCCGTACCGTACGACTATCGGCGGCCAGGTTGAGCTGGGGAAGGGTAGGCATCGGCTCAGACCTGCGCGGGCGCACGGCGGTCTTAGCGGAGAGGTGGGCGTCGTCATCTGGATATCCCGCGTTCAGCAATGAAGGGCCCGAGTCTTGGCTCTTGCGGATATGGAGATGCTGCTTACCAGGGGACGCGATGACGACGGTGTTGCGGTTACTCCGCTTGTTCCATAGACGGTCTGCAAACGACGTCGCGCGTGAGAGGCCTTTACTCGGCATCTTCCACGAGCGACTCGAGCTCATCACCGAGCTAGTGTCCGATCCTACAGGATCGAAGCGCGGGGATGGGGGTGTGGCGAGGACAGAGTCGTCCTCCGACACCTCCGAGCACACGCTGTTGCGGGGGTACGCACCCGGCATGGGCATGAGGCCGTCTTTGGCACTCGGTCGGCGGGAGAGGATAGTCGAGAAGTATCGAGGGCGTGGACTCTTTGGGGGGACAGGTGGTGGTGTGTCGGATAGCAGTCTGCTGCGCGGACGCTCCTTCGCAGGCGTGATAGGCCCTGGGGTCTGGGGCTCAGTATCTGAGACCATACGACTACGCCGCCGATCCTTGGGCGGAGTGATAGGGCTCGGTGGGCGAGGCCCTGACATGGAAGGGAACTCTTGCGCTGAGTTGTACTCGGAGCTACCATGGCCATCGCCAGAGGTAGAAATGTCGTCGGCAAGGGACGGTTGTTCTGGGATCGTGACCTCGACCCTGGGTGCGGACACATTGCGCAGAGCACTGGCAGAAGGAGGAGTGGAGGGCGTAGCATGTCCCGCGGGCAGCTTCCTTGGTGAGCCAAGCCCAGACAGCTGCCGCTCCAGCAGCGCTGCGTCCGCCAACAGATCGGCAAGGTCAGTGAATCCCGGAGACTGCGGCGAGTCGAGGGCGACCCGCAAGTCAGAGACCCGTTGCGCCTGCGACGCGGCATTGCCATTTGCACCTTCTGTCACCTTGTGGTGCACGACGGCACGGAACGAACCGGTAGTGGTCTTTGGCGTCAGCGAAGGTTCGACGAACTTGCGAGCGGGATCGTCAGGCGATTCATCTACTTGCGAGGGAGAGATGGGCGAGACTGGGACGAGCACGGCCCGTGTCATGACAGGCGTTACGACTCGTGTTGGCCCAGTGACAATGACTGCATCTTGGCTATCCAGCGCCAGCGACTGATTCGCGAACTCTTCGACGTCCACTGCGTTGGTCTGTACTGGGGTCACGACCATCGACGGTACGGTTTCGGCGCTGGGGAAGGCGACACTGTCTTGAGGCGTCGGAAGCTTGCTGGAACTGGCTGTCGAGGAAGCCGTGGGCAATACCGCTTCGTCAGTAGTCACCTCTTTATTAGCTCCCTCTTCGACGTCATTGCGCCGCAAAGCGGGCGCAGACACGCTCGGCTCATCACTCGCAGCGACTGCCAGTGACGATGTGGCCACAGTGACGATCTGATCCTGCACGCTAGACGCGGGATGCGCCTCCGCTGCGGATGAGACGTCCGATGCAGCCGGGGGGTCACTTGGCTCTGCCTCTGGAACGTCTGCAGGATTACCAACGGGATGCTCATCAACCTCGACCGCTGCGGATGGCGGCGGCTTGTCTACGGCTGGCTGTAGTGTAGCAGACGACGACGGCTCCCCTTCAGTACCATCGTGGATCGCCTGAGGCTGTGGTCTACTTGAAGGAGCGATAGGTTCTCGAGAACTTGACGGAGCTGCTTCGCCTGAACCAAGAGGTAATGGTGTGTCATGGTCAGACATGGCTTCCCCAGTCGCAGGCGCCGCCGGTGTGACCGGTGAGGAGGTATGAGATTTGAGAGAGGCGTCCCCGGGCTCCTGCGACACGACGACTGGGGGCTCAGAGGGTTCAACGTCTTCCTGGCCTTCGGGCAGCGATTCAACGGCAAGGGCAGGCACTTGAAACTTCGCGACCATGTCGGAGACGCTTCGCCGGCGCGCTTGCAGTGCCCCGGACTGGCGCGGCGAACGAGGCGAGGCCAGCTCTTCAAGGGCAGCTTCAAGAGTGCCGAAGCCCTCCGCTTCGCCATCGGCAGTAGTGGTGGTGGGTGAGACAGAGCGAGAGGAAGCGCTGCTCTGGAAAGTGGCTGAGGCGGCACGACTTCTGCCCGGAGAGCTTGGACTAGTAGCTCGCGAGGGATAGGTTGGAATTGGTGCAACTGGCCTGGATAGTCCCGGAACACGGTTCCCAATCATCTCGCCTCGACGTCGGGACGACCCATCGTCCATCGGGAGTGCACCCAGCCCAAAACTACCTCTCGGGACGGGGACAGCACCTTGCTTCTCGAAGGAGGCGATCTTGTCTCGTAAGCTACCTGGCGGGCGTGTTGCATTCGAGCCTGCAGCGGAATGCTTCGGCTCTGCATGACTGGGTCCCGCATTGCGCTGCTGTAGTGCTGCAATACGGTCCTTGAGATTCAGGGGCGGTATGGGCGGTTTCGTAGTAGCCCTGTAAGACAAAAAGCTGAGATGCCATCCAGGGCTGGCGCCGTGCGTCGCACTCACATCGACCATGAACGAGCGAGAAGGACGGTGACCGCTGACGACCCGCGACTGCAGTACTACACTTGTCCGTGAAGAAAACGACGGCGGGGATGATGGTGGTTGATGCAGGGAGGATGCGTGATCGTACGCCGAGCGCACGCGCCTCTTCTGCAGCCGGCGTTTCGCTTACTGGTTCAGCTGAGTGAATTGCCACAAGCCACCGCCGTACATATGCAGTCCGAACAACAACGTCCCGGCGATCCAACACAGTATGCGAGTGGACCGTGGTCGCCGTTAGTTCGAACACAGTGCTGGTGTCGTAACAAGGTTTTAATTGGTATCTATAATACAAGAGGCGTGGAATTCGCACGGGAGACAAAGAGAGCATATGATTGGCTGAGAGACGGACACCGAGCGCTGCCCGAGCCCCGAGCGCTCTTTCACCGCGCGCGCTGCGAGAAAGGTCATCGTCGCGTCTCTTCGTTGTTTACCTCGATGATCATTTCTGGATTTGAATGGCTGGTGACGGGGCCTAGCGGGCTCTGCTTCTCAATATCTCCGAGTGTCCTGCACGACCGGAGAGGGGAGGAGACGCTCAGGAAGAGCCCGGGGAGCATTGTGAGCGCGACAGGGAAGGTTCACTGATCGAATTCATTCACAGCTCATCTGCCTCGATTCGGACACGATAGTCCTTGAGGCTTGAAGCTTGAAAGCTTGACGAGTGGTACCGTCGTCATCTAATGGCCCGGGCGACGAGACAGTGCTCGACGACTTGCTGACGCCGGAACGTGCTGTACGTATGCAATTTGTTCTGCTTTGACTCGGAAGTACTGATCTGGGAAATGGTTTGGACGAGCGAGAAAGGAACATGAGAAAGCTGCCTAGCAAAGGAGAGGTAAGCAAAGAAAGATGAGTGCAGATGCGTGCAAGCAAGCGAGCTAAATGCGGGCCCAGCATGCACGCAGGCGGGCGAGCGAGACGGTGGGTGGTCACACACCGCGGGCGACAAGACGCATAGCGATCGCGAGCGCAAACACGACCAACGAATGGACTGCGAGCGCGTAAGGAAAGAACGGGCGAGGGCGAGCGGAGGTCAGTGGACGAAGACGAGTCAGCGGTGGTGGGGGCACTGCGGCAATGCAACACACGGCAATGGCGAGCACGCAGGACAGATGCCCGGTGTGCAAGCGCAGCTGGCGAGTGAATCACAACCGAGTACAGTGCAGGTGAGGGCGAGGGCACGGGCAAGAGCAAGGGCGAGCAAATATTGGTGGCAACGGGCGGGCGCGAGGGCGAGTGAGTGGGCAAATCAGCAATCGGCGAGTGCGAGTGCGAGCAAGTGGGGAAGAGGGGCGAGAGCAGAGCGGGTGCAGGCGCAAGTGCCAGTGCGCCAACCAGAGGCAGGTGAACTCTTTATGATGTTGTAGCTTGCGACTGCGCTGGTGCATCCTCGAGGACATGTATGTATACGCAATTGACTGGAGCTTTCCGCTTTAATCATAGGATGTTGAACTCAGCAACTTACGAAGGCCGGGCCATCACTTAGACGGGCCCACGAAGCCGACTCGGACTCCCGGAGGCCTCATTGACCTAAGTAGGTATGGACTTACTTGAACGCTGACAAGAATGTGCGAAGGATCTCGCTAACTCTGAGTTGTTGCCCGGGAATGCCTGCTGAATGTATATATAGCTGAGTGGCAGTTCAGCATTAAGCTATGGGCACAATGAAAGGTTCGTACGTCCGTAGCGTAGCACGGGCATCGGCTAGTATGTATACAATATCAGTGTTCTCGAGTCTACTTGACACGCGATCGGAACGCTGCAGCGGCGCCGCCCAGGCCTGGCTATCCAATGGTATGGTACATAGGTATACAGTATCAATCACTATCACTAGCGTCGCCTGAGTATCCTAGGCCTTTCGACAGCCAGTAATCCCGTTTGCTACTCGCATCACCTCGGGGTGCCTTACCTCTGGTGCCTTTGGCAACTGACACACTGTCCTCGTCTTCCACCACATGCATACTATACTCCTGGACGTCCTCTGCATCCTCGTCGTCAGTCGTGAACACAGTATGGATGGCCGATTCGCGTCCAAGCCGGCGGCGCTTCCGCGGTGGCTCCCGGCGATCATCGATCCTGTACCTGCTCTCTTCCTCCTCGTCTTCTGCCGCAGATTTATCAGATGCAGGCGCAATGTCAGCTTCTTCCCAAGCCGTTTGCACGCTCGCTTTGTGTTTGGCATTCGACTTGCCATTCGAGGCAGCCTGCGGTACCTCTGGTACAACGTCTGCTCGAGGCGTGATGCCGAGCATGCGGTGTAACACTCTCCGATCGAAGACGTCTTGCACCAGTCGTCGATGATTGATGGTCTATCACGCGAACATTGAGACAAACCAGGTCGGAAACACAGAACAACGAACATACCTCCTGAGTAACACCCATAACCTTCGCGAGAATGCTTAGTTCCTCCCCATTGATCTCGTCACTGAGGGGGACACGCCGACGGTTGCGCTTGGCACTGATCCAGTTCGCTTGCAGATATGCAGCAGTGGTCATGATACCATGCGCACCTGACAAAGTTGCCCTAACCTTCGCAATGTTATACGAGCCACGCGAGATGTCGTTCGCTGTTGAGGTGTCAATAGATGGCCTCGCATGCAATATGCAGTGGACTCACTAGGGTCACCAGGGTCCTCAATAGAGAGGAGTTTCGCTTGCCCGTAGTCGAGCCAACCCCTCCTTCGTTTGTTATAGTATGTGCCTCCATCGCGCAGTGAGATCCCAACTTCCTTGTAGTTGAAGTAACATCCGTAGAGCTCGAAGAACTCCATGACGAGGATACCCAGGTTCTTAGAAGGGTCTATCTCTCCTCTGCGGATCTTCGGGTGCATCTGTAGGAAGCTGATAGCTAAACAGACGATGCTGTAGCTACCGAGACCGCCAGTGTAGACCTCGTTCATGCTGCGCTGGGCAAGGAACGACTTGATGACCAGCACAAGACTGCGGAGAGCAGGTAGCTCTTGCAAAAAGTGCCTGATCATCTTTCCGGCAGCGACACCATTGATTTGGTTGACGCTGATGTCGACCGAGAAGTGGCCATGCGTGGTCACGAACTTCACAATCGGTACCTTCGCCTTCGCGATGATCTTGACTCTGTCCGTGATCCCCGCTCGTCTCATGGTATTCGCAAGCGAATGTAGAACGTTCTCCTTGTCGCTATGTGCCATGGATTGCGAATGGACGACCAAGTCAATATCCCTTAGTGGCTGTGAGATGGGTATCACGGAAAGGGCCAAATAGTAGCACGTACCCAGTTGGAAGGTACAGTTTGGTCTCGTAGCTACCGAAGGGGAGCACTTGCGCGTCGGGAAACTTCTCTCTGATAGCCCGTGATATCTGCGCGACGATGAGGGACCGCACTTCGTCCTCTTCGAGCGTCGGTGAGATGTAACGGACGAAAGCCTCTACGTCGCGATGCAACCTACAAGCCCATACATCAATGCGGGCATTGCACCATAGGTCTCTGATCGAGACATACATTTCGGCGACGTTCACGCAGCTTTCCCAATCGACGTCCGCTGTCCATGGTGCCTTACGAGAGGCAGCCGCAACTCGTTGCTTCTTACTCGCGTATTCATCGTCCAGTTCGAACTCGCCCGACTTCCTTTTCCTCCCCGCATGGTCACGCTCCGAAGCCCTGCTCTTGCCCTTATCCCACTCCCGAGTGGCAGGTCGCGCCTCTTCTCTTTCCTCTGCCTCATCGTCGAAATTGAGCGCTATGAAGTCTGCCTCCTCGAAGGTGTTGCGGCCCTTCTTCTCTGCGGCGCCTGGTTCTGTTACAGTGTGCGAATTGGATGGTCCTGCTTCTGCCTGTGTCTCCGCCTCGCGCTGTTCCTTCGCCTTGCGTCGACGAGCACGGCGATCTTCTGGCCGTCGTTCCGCATTTGATCCCGAATCTTTTGCGGTTGATGTGCTGCGTGACGGTGGCTTAGACATGTATATGATGCGATAGTGTGTGGTGAGGAGGAGGTCGTTGGACGGTAGGGTACATAGGCGCTGGGAGGAAGCCACAGGTTTAAGATTCGTTCACGATCGCGGCACTAATCAGAAAAGGAGATTGTTTGGCAAGAGCTTGTGATCCAAACATACTACGCCCGGCTGCTGACCGGCGAGCACCGTCTTCTTGAAGCTCATGCGGGGCTGGCCGTCTCTGGTGAGACGCTGTTACTCGACTTACAGGCATCATGCGAACAGACTGGAGCCGAAGAAGGGGGACCGCAGTATGTGCTAAAATATCTGGCTGACGTGCTTATGTTCATGTCGCGCTTAGTGGTGGTGGCAATGTCGGGCGGCGTAGACTCTTCAGTCGTAGCCAAGGTCCTCAGCGAAAAGGTACTATAAATCATCAATCAGAAAAGTGGTTTTGGCTTACAGTCTTACGTTAGGATTATGACCTATCTGCCGTCTTCATGCGGAACTGGGACACTCGGGACGAATCGGGTACAGACAAGGGCTGCGAATGGGAGAAAGACTGGGAGGATGTACAACTTGTCTGCCGCAAGTTAGACATACCTTGCAAGATGGTTCGCATGCTTGACTGCTATGATTTGCCACTTTGAACGAATCCCGACCAGGTCGACTTGTCTCGTGAGTACTGGACTCGCGTCTTCGAGCCATGCCTCCAGATGTGGCAGAAAGGCTACACCCCCAATCCGGATATTTGGTGCAATAAGTATGTCATCGTGCACTGTTCCCAAGATAGGTCTATAGCAAGCCTTATTCTGTGCATAGAGAAGTCAAGTTCGGGGCTCTGGTACGCCAACTGACCGAGGGTGACCATTGGCTTGCTACTGGTCAGTGTACTAGTCGTCATGTGGCGAGATTCGATGTTCAACAATTTCTACAGGACACTACGCAAGCAAGGAATGGGTTGCGCAGCGTGCGCCCAGCGAAGCTCACGACCCCACTGAGAGCAGTTCGACCTTCCGCCCGACCCTCGTGAGACCAAGGGACAGGACGAAAGACCAAACATATTACCTTTCAGCCATCCCTGAAGAGAGTCTGGCGCGTGCCATCTTCCCACTTGCCCCTCTCACCAAGCCTGAAGTGCGTGAGATCGCGCACAAGGCGGGCCTGTCGACCGCGGCAAGACAGGAAAGCATGGGCATATGCTTCGTAGGCAAGAAAAGAAGGTTTGACGAGTTCCTAGGTTTGTGTAATCCCGTCAACGATGCGTCGCCAACTGAAGCAATATCTCAGAGCAGTACATTGCTCCTAATCCTGGCTGGATCGTAGACCTCGAGACAAATGAACAGCTCGCTCGCCACCGAGGACTATGGCAGTACACGTTAGGCCAAAATGCGCGTATATCGGGGTTACCTCACAAAGCGATTGTCGCGAGGAAAGACCTGGAACAGAATACCATTCATGTTGTGCTTAGACCGTAAGTCCAATCAATCTTCACCCACCACTGGACTTCCTGAGTTTGACGTTTCGCAGAGATCATCCTGCGTTGTACTCCAAAGGCTTGGTCGCATCAGGCTTCCAGTGGATATGGCATGACTCTCCGCCCTCTGCTTTAGACACAGACGACGGTCTCCAGTGCCGAGTAAAGGTCAGTTACCGTACAGTCGATGCCGCCTGCACCGTTCGCCGGTAAGTGGCACTGTCATGAGCTGGGATCGGGATACTGAGCAATATAATCGGAATTTATAGACATTCAGAGCAAGATGTGCTCCAATTTACCTTTGCGGAGCCCCAGAAGCACGTCGCCCCGGGACAGATCATTGTCGTATACGATGGAGATCGTGTGCTCGGGTGTGGAACCATCATGGAATGCCTCTGATGCATAATTCATTGATATGCTACGCATTGGCTAAGTACAGGCTAAGTGCGCATGTCCACTTGAGCCCCGTGGTCCATAGCGGTCCGGGTGAGTCCGCCCCGAGTAGGCGTTCTCGACTCCTATTACGTGGATTGTGCACTGCTGTGACGACGATACTTCTCTACTATACCGTAATGAACAATACGATGTGGTATATTTGAAGCAGAAGGAATATAAGCTTACCGCATGAGCTGTGCCTTTGAATTCGATGCCCAAGGATTGACGCACTGGACGACGCATCCGCCACAGAAATGGCGATAGACGCTATGTAACAGCGCCCGCTACACCCCTGCTGTACTCCTACGCTCACCTCGATCTGTACATGCTGCTTTGAGACCGCTGTCTGGGATTCACTGGTGATACTAGAAGGCAGGAAATATCGGCCCATCGTATAGCCTTTCCGGTCCCGCATGTTCTGGAGGTAGTGAACGCGATAGCTACTCCTCGAATGACCTCTTCACATCTGCCGTCGACAGATTTGGCTTCCACAATGCGTCCACGATTGATAGTCTCCTGGACAAGGAGGACGTATCATTAGAGGCTATACTGGACGAAGATGACCTGCTCCAGGAATGCAAGGCGCAGAACACGCGACTCGTCAACTACTTCCAGCGGATGGACGTGCTGCAGCGCTTGCTTGGCTACGTGACGGGACAGATTGAAGGGGAGGACAGGGGTCGATTCAAGTGAGCCACGAGTTCATTCTTGCGCGTTCTGTGCCAATTATCTGGTCGGTGGTATGACACCTATGATTCAAGGTACCCTTATGTGTCTACGGAGGTCCTGTGCAGCGAAATATGGACCATAATAGAGACGTGCCTCAACAACCACGAGCAGTTACTCATGCCGTTTTGGGAGACCGTCCTCGACAGGCCGCCAGAAGACATGAAGACGCAGATGGTCATGGCCTCCCAGTTCGCCAAGATTAATGCAGTCTTCCTGAATAAAAAGCCAGCGGAGGTGAACGCGTTTCTCTTCCTCTCACACTTGTGGAAGTGAACCTGGAGCTCCGTGCTCAGATGCTTGCCTTCATTCGATCGCAACCAAACGTCGTCGAGCGACTCCTGCGCCACATCGAGACCCCCGCGTTCGCAGACCTGCTCATTAGGATCATCCAGCTGGATGAGCAACCCGCCGGTGCCGGCGTCCTCGAAGTATGTTCTCTTCGCTTTGCAGTATACCCTACCGCGAATTCCTCTTACCCCAAGGCGTACAGTGGTTATCGCAGGAGAACCTTATGTCTCGCCTCATCGACCTGCTTTCTCCTGCTTACAGCCCCGACATGCACACGGTCGTCTCAGAACTGATCAAGGGCATTATCTCTATGGCTTCTCCTTCTCCTGGCGCTGGCATTGCTGATCACCAGGTCCCGCCGTCAAACTGCTTTGCCAGGGAGCTGGCTCACCGCGACAGCGTGTCCAAACTGGTTACCTATATCCTCTGTGACTTTGGGCCTCCGACCCTACCCGAAGCCTCCGAACCTCCTGGAGCTGGGACAAGTGAGGCTCACAGCTCTGGGTCGAACAAACCTGATCCAGAAAGCGCTGCGTCGTCTGTCGTGCAGTCCATTTGCATCATAATCGAATTGATCCGGCAGAACAACTCGGATTACTTTGAGCCGTACCTATTCCACACTCTGCGAAACAGGCTCATTCAGGTCCAGCAACAGCTGCAGATGAATAGGCAGGGCGGTCGTGAAGCGCTCGAGGCTGCGTTCAACGAGATGGTCAACCGTATGGGCGTCGTGCACCTCGGTCCACTACTGGAGATCATGTGCGACAAACTGGACGCATTTCAGCTATTCCTTCGGGAGCCGAGGTCTATGGTAACGCACTTGTCTGTAACAAATTCCCGGTTACTAATGCAACGTCCAGAATGGTCATGTCTTAACTACAGTGGGCGAGCTGACGCCGTTAACCTTCGAGCGTTACCGGATATGCGAACTCTATGCCGAGCTGTTACACGCCTCAAATATGTCGCTGCTCAACCGACCGCGAGAGTACGACAATCTGTACGACGCCACCGGCCGGTTACAGGGTGGTTTGTCCGCATTGGAACAGTTGGCTCAGGTCATCGCTGTAGGCTCCGGCGGCGAACCGAACGAGGATGACATGGACGACGAAGAGGGCGAGGATATCGAGCCTGCGCACGACTTCCCTGTTCATAACGCGCAAAACGACTCTTCGTCGCTTCTGGACTCCGACGAGGACATGAGCGGGGACGACGAGCCGGGTAGTTCCGACGACGACGCTATGGAGGAAATCGCCATGTACGAGGAACCGCGGTCCAACATGAACAAGGACTCTGTGTTGACAGCATCTCCCTTGTCCCACTCGACCCCGCTGCTCTCATCATCACCTTCCGCCTCGTCGTCGTCGTCACCCAGTCTCCTCCCACCCGCCAACCTTGTGTCATCTCCCGGAACCTCCCCCGCTGCATCAGATGTGTCTGGTATCACGCTTCCCCGCCAGAACTCATGGAATTCTGGCTCGGACACAGACACACACTCACGACCACGCTCAAGTAATTCTCGCCGGAGCTTCCGGCGACAGAGTGTTATGGACAACCTCGTCAACGGACGTCCGGTACTGGGCGAAAGGCTGAAGCAGCGGTTCCTTAAGGCCAATGTTGTGTCCACCCTCCTTGTGAGTCGACGACGTGTACCATCTGAGCAAGTGGACTGACGCTAGGGCAGGATCTTTTCTTCGACTTCCCCTGGAACAACTTCCTTCATAGCGTAGTGTACGACCTGATCCACCAGATCCTGACGGGTCGCATTGACGGTGGGTACAACCGAGAGCTCACAATAGCGCTGTTCCGGGACGCACGGTTGATGCACCGTATCATCGAGGGTTCAAAACGGAATGACCAGGAGAGGTCCGTGGCACATTGCATCTCCGTCGCGTCGCGATGCTAACCCTGCACACCAGTGCCAAACCGAAGGGCGTCCGGCTGGGCTACATGGGCCACCTGACGCTCATCTCCGAGGACGTGATCGGCGCGCTCGAGCACTTCCCGCCCGACCTGCGGCTGCTCGCCGCGCAGTACGCGCCGCAGCCCGAGTGGGACGAGTACGTCACGGGGCGGTACAAGGAGACGAAGAAGAAGGACACGATCCTGCTCGGCGGGGGCAAGCCCGTCGTCGCGCCGGGCATGCGCAACGGCTCCGCGGCGTGGAAGGTCGACGAGGCGGACACGGGCGGCGTCGCGGCGACGGCGGCGGGCCGGGCCGAGCAGGAGGGCGAGGGCCAGATGAAGGGCGAGTTCCGGCGGACGGCGAAGATGCGCGAGGGGAGCGCGGACTTTGGCGCGATGGACGACGACGACGAGGAGTTTTCGCGGGCGGGCCCGCCGCATGTGAGCGCGTCTCCCTTCTCCCCGCCCTTTGCAGTGTCCCGTGCGGCGTCGGAGGTGTGCTGACGATCGTGGTGTGATGTGTGGCAGTTCGCGCAGTACCTGGCGCAGGAGATGCAGTCGGCGGAGCACTTTGAGGCGGCGGACGAGGCGTCGGACGATGAGGAGGAGGACGGTGGGTGGCTGGCCCACTCGACGTTCGACCTCCGCCCGCCGCCGGTCTCTGCGCGACAGCACGAAGCGGACCGGAGGCCGCTGAGGACCAGCGGGTTCGATGTGAGTCATTGCCCACCAGGAACTTATTGTGTTTTGCTAATCCTGCCATAGGATGCCTTTGCACCATCTAATCGCCAAAGCAACAGCGCGCCCTTTGAAGATCCCTTCGACGACGTACGTGCACTATCTTTCCCCGTCCGTATCCCCGCTGACCTCCCCGCCGCAGGACACCTTCGGCCCCTTCTCCGACTCCGCGGCGGCGAGCGGCACAGACCCGTTCACGTTCTCGTCGTCGTCGTCGTCGCGCCTCAGCGCGGACGAGCAGGAGCACGAGCCGGAGCACCTCGAGGACGCGTCGTTCGACTCGTTCGGCGACTTTGGCGACTTCCAGAGCGCGGAGAGCGGGTCCGCGGACGGCGGCGGCGCGAGCAGCTGGAGCTTCGCGAGCACGTCGAGCACGGGCTCGTTGGACGAGTTCGGCGGCGGCGGCGGGTCGCCCCAGGGGAAGACGGAATGGACTCAGTGAGGTAGACGGCGAGCGGGGGGTGCTTCGTCCGTGAGCCCTGAAGACGGAACGCGGAACTCTGGTGTGCTGTGCGTTTAGGATATGATGCGAGGAGTGCCTGCGTGTTGTAGTTACGAAAACCCATGTATTGCGTGCGCCGCGCACACGACGGTTCGGTGTGCTGCGCGCGACGATGTAACGGTAGGTAGTGTGTGTGTTCTGCTATGTATTCCCGCTAGATATCAGGACTACTCGAGCGAGGTCGTACGTGCGGTGTCGCCGAGGAGGGATGGTGCTAGCCTACCCACGAAGAAACGAGCCTGTCTAGTGTCGTGACGAATAGTGATACAGTGCAGCGGAGTGTCTCGCGCTGAAGCGTTCCTGGGGTGAACCGTACAATATACTTAGCAGTATAGTAGCGTCTGGCGGTGTCCAATGGTCGGGCATGAGTGGTCGTGGGCGCGGCGAGCGGTGTGTGCGGCTGTGAACTGAACCAGCGGCGATGCGCATCCAGGCCGGACTCGTGGCTGGCGTAAGGCGGCGTTGAGGCGCGACGCAGGTAGATGTCGAGTGAGGGATGGTCCCGGCGCAGGGACCGGTCACCGTTGAGGTTTATGTCCGTGTCCCTCGGAAGATGCGCTGCCGGATTTAGACATCGATTTGGAGTCGTTCTTCGCGGGTCGTGGCGCTTTCGTGTCGTCGGCGGGCAGGGACTGTTCGAGACTTGGAGATGTGCGTCCGAACAAGAGCACGTAGAGACTCACCTCGAGCACTACAGACTCGTCGGACTCGGTCGTCGAAGCAGGCGACTCGGGTCGGGGTGTCTGGCGCCGGCGGGCTTCTCGGGTGGTGCGGGCGATCGCGCGCTGGGCACGCTCCTTTCTTCGCCTGCGCTGGCGAATGTTGACCCACACGACGGTCGCGACGACTCCGAGGATCACGAAGACTACGGAGGAGCGGGGAATCAGCCGAGGGTGGGCTGGCAGTGCCTGGGCGACGCACCAATGACGATCACCACGGCGATGACCCAGCCGCTGCTCTCTGGCGAGGGCGGTGTGCCGTCGTCGTCCTGGTCGTCGCCGTCGCTGCAGGGAGGAGCGCGTCGGGTCAGCGCTGCTCGGAGCGGGAGGTTCAGCCACCCGAGAGTCACCTGACTTACTCTCTTGTGATCGGGCGCGCTGCTGCTGCGAGCGCCCAGGGAAGGAGGGTAGCGGGAACGGCGGGGAGAGTGCGGAGGCGCATGGGTTCGGAGAGAGAAGACGGGGAGGATTGGAGGCAGAAGGGCACGAAGAGAAGATGCGCGAGAGGCAGTGGTGGAAGGATTATATGATAGACTGGTGCGCCAAGGAGGCGGCGCCCAGAGATGTGCTTGGCGAGCCAAGCGGGGCTGTCTGCCACTCGTTCGCGATCTGCCAACATCCCGCCAGCCTCTCCGAGCATCCTCCCCGCCGCGTCGCACCCCGCCCACCCCGCCGCGTCGCACCCCGCCCACCCCGCCGCCAGCTACCTGCTCGCAGCGCGCCAGAGACTGCCAGCACGGCCCCGGTGCGCGGCAGACATGCGCCTCGGCACGCTGGGTCTGGAGCGACCGTCGACCGAGGATGCCCTCACGCCGAGCGTGTGCCGCGTCCATTCCGCATCGTCCAAGCCTGCGAATGTGCGTCCTCGCTCTTGTCCCGGCCTGGGCTGCGCGCGCAAGGACGCGCAGCAGGGCACGCGTATGATCTTGGTCCACATGCAATACATATGGGTTCGTGCCGCGTCGCCAGTCGCGGACGGCATAGTATAAGGTGGGGCTGATGGCACCCGCTGTCTTTCTGGTGCCATTGCGCCGTGGCCAACATAGGCTGCCAGGGACCTACAAGTAGCACCGCGGGCAAGCCAGGTTGTTCGAACTCCGAAAACCCCTACGAACATCGGTCCCGCCTGGGAACCTTTACGGATTCCGAATGTTGTCAGAACATGCTGCGAACATGATGCGTTTCAGCCGATTTCAGCATGTTCGGAGGCCGAAAATGCGTGTTTTCGGCGAACATGCTACGAACATGAGAAATGTGGGAGCATTTTCGGAGTCAGTCAAGCTCTCCGAAAAGGTTCCCATGTAGGACCGATGTTATTAGCATTTTCGGAGCCCGGAAAACCTGGTTTGCCCGCGGTGTAGGGCGCGGTGGTCGAACACGCCTCTGCTGCGCTCCGCCCGTGATCGCTCCTGTTGCTATCTTCTGCACTGTGTGACAGCGTTGCGGCTCGAGTGCGACTGGGCCTGATGCAGGACGAAGAGACGGCCAAGCACGACGCAGAGAGCTCGGCAGTGCCGGGGGCAGCGGGCCGCGGAGTGCGCGGCATCGCGGCATGCACGCCGCTGGGCTGCGGGGTCTCAAGATGCGCCCGCCGATCGCCCGCCCGCCGGAGCACGTGCGCCGCGCGATCGCTGGGCCCGCTTGGGCTGGCGGACGGGCCGGCGGCCCCTTGCCTCTGTCCACTGCCAGAGTCTTGGTACGTCTCTGCTAGCGCAACACCCTCTCCTCCATTCGTCACATCCTCGGGAACGAGGCACTCCAGATGCTCGCTCTCGCCAACCGCGCCAGCCTCGCCGCCGCACTCAAGCCCGCTCTGCTCTCACGCCGAGGCTTTGCCCAGACACACGCACGCAGGATCGCCGTCGACCCCGCTGCGTTCGTGCAGCAGGGCAGGAAGGTGCGTCTTCCGTCTGCGGCTATCCGTGCGCGAGCGCGGCGGACATGGCGCGGACGCTGAGCGCACCAGTCAGATTGTCGCGATCGGCCGCAACTACGCAGAGCACATCAAGGAGCTCAGCAATGACGCGCCCAAGGAGCCCATGTTCTTCCTCAAGCCGACCACCAGCTACCTCCCGTCGGGCGGGAACGTCGAGATCCCGCGCGGCGTGGCTGCCCACTTTGAGGGTGCGTGTGTTCCTATTCATTCCATCCTATCCAGACGTTCAGGCGGGATGTGAGATAGTCGAGCTTGGATTGGTCGTGGGCAGGACGGGGCGGGACATCACGCAGGCGGAGGCAGATTCGCATATCGCGGGATACGGTGCGTACACATGTCTGCATTCCAAGATAGTCCGCTTATGCGTACGCGCCGCGCCAGCTCTTGCCGTGGACATGACCGCGCGGAACATGCAGGACGTGGTCAAGAAGAAGGGCCACCCATGGAGCGCGGTCAAGGGGTTCGACACCTTCACTCCGATCAGGTATTTGTCGTAATCCCGGCTCTTGCCCGAGCCCGCTTCCTGACACGCCTTGGCCCGGTCTCGGGCAGCACGTACATCCCGAAGTCGGCCGTGTCTGACCCGGACAACCTCCAGCTGACACTGAAGGTATCCCTCCACATCCCTCCGCTGGCGACGCCCGTAGGTGACCCCGCCGTTCTGCGCAGGTCAACGGCGTCACGAAGCAAGACGGCAACACCAACCAGATGATCTTCAAGATCCCGCGCATGGTCGAGCACATCTCCTCCATCATGACGCTCGAGGTGCGCCCCTCCCCCCCGCCGACACACACACACACTCACACACACTCCCGCATGCAGTCGGGCGACCTCGTCCTGACGGGCACGCCCTCCGGCGTGGGCCCGCTCGTCCCGGGCGACCACGTCACCTGCACGCTCGCGGACGCGACGGGCACGCAGCTCGCCGCGCTCGAGTTCCGCGCGGTGCAGCGCGAGGGCGGGTACAGCTTCCAGCCGTGAGCTGCACTAGCGAAGTACGGGCAGGGTAGACCTAGGGTGTGGTACAGATCTATGCGGCGCCGGTTGCAGGTCTTAGAGGTCCTTCAAGTTGTGTGTCTCCGCGACTGGCTTCGTGTGTCTCGTAAGACGCCGTCTAGTCACCAGCAGCCCGCGAGCTCCACGAACCCCGTGTGTACCCGGATATTCGAGAGCGGCAGCGGTACGTGCGTTACTGGAATGGTACGTGTCTGGTACGTGCGCTCCGGTCAGAAGGCGGTTCATGTTGCCGAAGGTACACTCGGAAGCGAGATAGACTTGGACAGGCCAGTGGTTGACGGGAGCGCTGCATCTTATACAGACGCTACAAGGGAACAGAACTTTAGACTGAAAGACAACTGTGTACAACTCCTTAAACCTCTAGAAGCCTACATGGTGCGCTGCGCACTGCGTCGGTGACGAAGCTGGGTTCGGGCAAACCTCCAGCCTATGGTGGTTTGCCGGCCGGTAGTGTCAATCGGTGCACACTCGCTATATCCTCGTGGCGAGTCGCTGAACGAATGACTTGACATTGGAGCCTTCGATACTTCACTCGTCGACATAATAATCCCAATCACGCGGCACTGCAGACATATGACAGTGAATTTTAGGAACCTCCTCCGCAATTCATAGATTGCTTTTCTCTCAACTCGACTACCTACGAAATAGTTGTGCGTAAATTTGGATATGATAGCTACAGTGGTAGTCCCGCACGAGGGGACCTTTTGCTTCTTCTCGTTGTTCATGAGATCATGCACGACAGAACCAGTAACCATGCGAAGAATGCGAGGGATCGACCATAAACCCCAGATGCAAAAATAGGTGCGAAGTCTTCAGGAGATACGACAGCCTCGAAAACAAGGGAGACTGCGAGCGATATTCGTCATGACCCGGGGAGCAAGGCCTACGCCTTCATGAGCCCCTTCGGATCGTACTTGCCCATCAGAGACTTGTGGAGGATCTGCTCGTGCAGCGCCTTGCCCGCGGGGACCATCGGGAAGACGTGCTCGTTCGTCTCGACCATGCACTCGAGCAGGACCGGCCGCGAGTTGTCGTACTCGAGGAACTCCTTCATCTTCTCCGGCAGCTCCGCCGCGGAGCTCACCCGGATCGCGTGCACGCCCATCGCGCGCGCGAGCGCGACGAAGTCGGGGTTCTTCATGCGCGTGTGGGAGTACCGCGCGTCGTAGAACAGGTCTGCGGGCGGTGTCAGGCGAGTGGAAGGGTGTAGGGTGCAGGAACGACGTACCTTGCCATTGCAGGACCATGCCCTGGAACTCGTTGTTCAGCACCATGACCTTGACGCCAATGTTGTACTGCGACGCGGTTTGCAGTTCCATCGCGGTCATGCTGAACGACGCGTCTCCGTCGATGTCCACGACGATCTTGTTCGGCGCACCCACCTTCGCGCCGATGGCTGCGGGCAGGCCAAAGCCCATCGTCTGCAAGTCTCGTCGTCAGCATGTCAGCGGATCGCGCGGTACGCAGCCACTCACCCCCAGACCACCGGAGGTGACCATGCTCCGCGGGTGCCGCCACCGGTAGTGCTGCGCGGCCCACATCTGGTGCTGGCCGACGCCCGTCGTGATGATCACGTCCTCCTTGCGGTCCGCCGTCTGTCTGTCCAGCTCCTCGATGACCTCCTGCGGCTTCACCATCGAGCCGGGCTTGTCCGTCGATTTCACGTACGTGAACGGGTACTCGGCCTTCCATTTCTTGATGTCCGCGAACCACTGCTCGCGCGACGCGGTGCGGATCAGGGGCACGAGCGACGCCATGTTCGTCACGACATCGCCGAGCACGGGGATCTGCGCCTCGACGACCTTGTTGATGTTCTTGGGCTGGATCTCGAAGTGGATGATGCCGCCCCGACCCTCCGCTGCGGCCACACGCGCTGCGGGCGCGAACCTGTCGACCTTGCACGTTACACGGTCGTCGAACCGCCCACCGAGGGCGATCACGACGTCGGCTTGCTGCATCGCGATGTTCGCGTATGCCGAGCCGTGCATGCCGAGCATGTGCAGACTCTTCTCGTCCATCTCGTCGAACGCACCGAGGCCCTGCAGACTGGTGGTCACAGGGATGTTGCCCTGCTGCGCGAGCTGCTTTAGCAGCTTCGGGCCCAGGGATGACGAGAGAACACCGGCGCCAGCGTAGATCAGCGGCCGCTTCGCCTGGTTAATCATGTTTGCTGCGCGCTCGATCTGAATCATGTCGGTGGGTTGTTCGGAGGAAAATAGGGGGTTTGACGGCAGGCCGAGGGGACGGCCAGGGGTAGTCGCCTTGTACGGCAGAGGTGTCTTCAGCATGCCGGCTGTGATATCCTTTGGCAGGTCTACCAGAACGGGACCAGGGCGACCGGACGTGGCGACCTTAAACGCCTCGTTGATTCTCCGCGGAAGTTCAGCGACGTCCTTGACCATGACGTTCCACTTGGTACATGAGCGCGAGATGCCGATGATGTCGGCCTCCTGGAACGCATCCGAGCCAATAAGAGATGTCGCGACCTGTCCAGAGAACACGACCAGCGGGATACCATCGCTCAAAGCATCCTGCATGGGCGTCACGACGTTTGTCGCTCCGGGACCGGAGGTCACCAGCACGACACCGGGCTTGCCTGTGACACGCGCATAGCCCTCGGCCATATGGCCTGCTCCTTGCTCATGCCGGGGCAGAATAAAGTCGAACTGGGGCGAGTTGTAGATCGCATCGAAGACGGGGAGGATCGCACCGCCGGGGTACCCGAAAATGTGCTTGACGCCATGACGGACCATCATCTCGTGGAAGATTTGACCACCTGACAGACCAACGAATGAATGGTCCAGGGGACCCTCAGGATGGGGCCCAAGCATGGGGGGAGGCATGGGTACGTTATTCTTCGACGGCACCTGCTGGAACCCAGGCGCTGGTGCCGGACGTCTACGGAAGAGTTCAGTAGATGCCAGACAACACGAGCCTAGCTTGGCTTACACTCCCTCTGTTGCAGTAGCCTCACGGGCAGTAGAGCGACTGATATTGCGTGCATGCTCTCTTACTCTCGACCTTGCCTCGAGCATAGACGAGCTTGTGCTGGCCGCTGTCGACCGATTCCGGGCAAGGGTCATGGCCGGAGCCGCTTTTGCGGAGGTTGGGACGCGCATTCTCGAATGAGTGAGAGGCATGGCGTCGACAACGACGACGAGGGGGAGGACGGCGGGAGGGAAGATGCAAATTGAGTCAGAGGACTGGATCTGCTCTAAGGCATCTATAGCACCTGAGGCGCTCGAGTCATGCATTCGTCAGCTGACTCCTCCATTACCCCACACCCCGATCCGGCAGGTCCTGTATTCATTCTCTCCCACACCGTGGCTTTCCCAGGACACAGAGTGTCTGCTTTCAGCGGCCGCAGTGTCCTGTGATGCACAGCAGACACTAGCCTACAACGACAGCCGCGTCTCACCTGGAGGTGCGTCTCCCGTTAGTCCATATCCCGTTAGTCCACTTTAGTACACTTCCTCATCGCAGAATGTAAGTCGAGTCCGGTCTGAGGACTCGCGTACAGCGTGCACCTAGGTCCTCAAGTTTCAATGACGCAGTGATAGACAACGCCCATCCTCAGCCTGTCACGAGTGGCAAGGAGGTAACTTATCTGCGTCCTAGCGACCTCCAGCTCGAATTTGTAGTGACCATGAAGAGCGCCAGAGCGACGTCACGCAGCAATACTAGTACATTCAATTTCGTCAAATTGCTAATCTACGATCAACCGTGTGCGGTCGTGGGGACTCCCAACAGTGATTAGCCTACCCTTTCAGCGTTAGTGAAGTTCTGCATGGCTGCAGCCCAAGGCTGTCGACTAGACGGTGATCAGATCGCGAGCTGTGCGTCCAAGTCCGGCGTCATGTCCAATCCAGGTAGGATTTTTGTTCCGTTCATCGGTGTGTCGCCATGCTTCGGTGCTAACAATACTCCCATAGATGATACTGGTCCTTCCGTATGGGAGGAGCTTCTCCGGAAAGACAACCTCTGGGTTGGACACGGTTCTGAGACTGCCTTTGCGGACGCTATTCTAGCGCAGAGAAGACGGCAGGGGCTTCCGCAGCTCGGTGCGCAACCTCTCCCACACCCGTACGAGATTCTGCACACATCCAGGCAACTCTCCCGCACGCGGTGGGCGGAGAATCAGAGTCCCAAGCACGTCAGTGTCCCTGCTCACGGTCGATCTGTGGTGACGTGCCTCCTCATCTCGCAAGGGCGCGTTATCACCGCGTCGGATGATTCCACAATCAACATCTACTCCCTGCCAACTGGTGGGCTCGAACGCTCGCTGAAGGGCCATGGCGGGGGCGTATGGAGTCTAGTCATAAATCGGACCACCCTCGCAAGTGGATCGACTGACCGGTCCATTCGTGTCTGGGATATTGAGTCCGGCCGTTGCACACACACCTTCGGTGGCCATACGAGCACTGTTCGTGCCCTTGCGATTGTGCGCCCTGAACCCACCGATACGGAGCAAGACGGCGGTACAACCGTCTCAGAGAAGTGGCCCAAGCACCCGCTCGTCGTGTCCGGCAGTCGAGATCATACCCTTAGAGTGTGGGCTCTTCCAAACCCTGGAGACCCCGAGTTCCATTCACCCATGGACGAGCATGGCGGGGTGAACGACGATCCCGTATGGCATTATCATTACCAAGTCGCCTCCAATTGACCCCATTGATATCACAGGAGCAGAATCCATACCACAAGCTGCTTTTGGATGGTCATGAACACGCAGTTCGTGCATTAGCGGCGCGCGGTCGAACAGCAGTATCTGGCAGCTTCGACTGCACTGTCCGCGTATGGGATATTGCGACAGGCACCTGTAAGTGGGTCCTCGTTGGCCATACAGAGAAAGGTACATTCACGTTCCAACCGTGCGTCAAGCGCTCAACAAACTCACCGAAGTGTCCTCGTAGTGTACTGCGTAGCACTCGACACGCGTCGCCAACGCACATACTCGGGAAGCCTGGACGGCACCGTGCGCATATGGGATCTCCAGACAGGACAATGCCTCCACGTGTTGACGGGCCACGAGTCCCTCGTCAGTCTCGTCGCCCTCTCCCCCTCCTACCTCGTCTCCGGCTGCGCCGACGGCATGCTGCGCGTCTGGGACCCCGACGCGGGCGCGCACCTCCACACGCTCAGCGGCTCGCCCTCCCGCGGCGCCATCACGTGTTTCGCGCACGACGAGTTCAAGGTGCTCGCCGGGAGCGACAGCACGCTGAGAATGTGGGACGTCCGGAGCGGCGCGGAGGTGCGCGACCTGCTCACGGGCGCGGTGGGCGTGTGGCAGGTCGCGTGCGAGGGCCGGTGGTGCGTCGCGGCGAGCAGTCGGAATGATCGTACTTTCTTGGATACATGGGACTTTGCGACTGGGGAAGGGGACGCGGACTGGGTTGGGGAGCCTTCGGATGGTGTGTACGACGAGTATAGCGATGAAGACGATGGGAGCTGAGCTGATGAGACTGCATCGCGGATTCCGTCATGCGTATCTATGGTCGTAGTGTGAAACATCACCCAACCTGTTGGATGTCGTCCGCGTACGCACAGTGTGCCACAGTCCATGATATCGTACATTCTCAGTGCTACTATTGTTGACAACAAGAAAAGAAACAATCTACCAGCTACAACAAACCTGAGGAGATCAAGAGCAAGATGCGACGTAACAATGGGATCGTCTCTGGGTCATAACAACCACCGCCTACGAGGTCTTCGTCGTTGGAGGGGTCTCCAATATCGCCTGAAGCATCGCCGTCCCGACCTTCTGCGCGTCCTCGAACCGCGGCTCAAAGAACTCCGCCGTCTCCATAAATCGTCGTTGGTACAGCTCGAAGCTGCCAAAGGATATGCACTGGCTCCACCCGCGGGCGGCCACGACGAACTCGAGGTCGTTCGCGCGGTAGGTCGTGTCGTAGAGCGCGGCGTGGATGGCGTGGTCGAGGCGCTCCTGCGACTGGAAGAGGTACTCGGACACGCCGAGGAGCATCCGGAAGAGCGGCGTCGCGGCGAGGTCGAGGTGCACGAACGGCTGGATCCCGAGCGCGGCCCAGCAATCGACCATCGCGAGGAGGGACAAGTGCGAGTTCGCTAGGTGCGTGTTCGGCGGGGCGTCGCCGGTCCCGTTGCCGTTCGCCTTCCCGTTGCCGTTCGCGCCGGAGCTCCGGCCCCGCCAGAGGCTGAACCGGTCGAGGATGTCCTCGCTCAGGAGGATCGGCGTGCGAACGGCGCCGCCGCCGTCGTGCGCCTTGGTGCCGAAGACCGTGTCGCGCGCGGCGTAGATGCGCTTGCGCATGCCCGCGTCGTCGCCCATGATCATGAGCTTGTAGATCTCGGTCGTGCTCCGCGCGAACTGGTCGATCTGCACGCGCGCGGACGGGTTGAGGATCGCGAGGCCGGCGTAGACGTGCCACTTGTTCGAGTAGATCCGGAGCATGATGTTCACCTTGACGGTCTCGATGCCGCCGACGGCGTGGCCCGTCTCCCAGGGGTACTCTTTCTCGTTCGCCCATGCCGTGCCCATGCTAGCGAGGGAGATAGTGTCAGACCGCAGCGCGATAGCGAGGAGACACCCCGGGGAGATGGGCTTACCTCAGAAAGGCAGCATGGGTGACTGCCTGGGTGTTCGCGGTGACGATGTCATGGTCCTCGTAGGAGAGATAGACGTAACGCGATTTGAGTGGACGCAGGATGTTCTCCACCAGTCGGAGCGCCCATTCAGGAGCCCGGTGCTTGATGAGCACCTGGAACTAAGACATGAGGTAGGGCCCACTGCTGTACACTGCGATACAACTCACCAACGGCTGGCCCAGGGGCGAGACTGTTGGGCCGTGCAGCGAGTGGCAGGACACGATGTGGACATCCTGGGGGAGGTACTTTTCGAAGGCGGCCTTTTCTGGGGCCTTGACGGACGTCTGGCCTGAGACGATGGCGCCGACTTTGGTCGCTACGCGTCGAGAAACAAGATTTAACGTCCGTGGGAAGAGAAGCGCGACAAACGCTGGACGTACAGGGTCCATACGTGGCGACGACGCGCTCGATGAACTCGGCCTCCACCGAGTACATGATGAAGTCCGCTATCCGCGACACCTGGTGCCCGTCCACCAGCACCGTCACATTCGCATTGTCTGCACCCGACGATGAGCGACCTGCTCGTGGCCGGAGAGCAGAGCGCCTGACTCACCCTCGTACTTCGCCTTAAGCGCCTCGTATTTGCTCGGCTGGTCGCAAACATAGATCCTGGGCGCCGATGCATAGCATGAGCACCGCAATGCATGGAGAGCACAGAGGACCTACTTTTTCCATCCCCCTTCGTAGAGGAACTTTGCGTACATGGTGCCCATCGAGCCCATGCCGATGACGCCAATGGCGGGTTGCTCCTCGACGGGCGAGTCCGGGGAAATGTCAGTGCGAATCATGTCGAGTCAGGTTGCTGCAGGTGTGGTGATGGTCGGCGTGAGCGAGCGGTCCACTCTTATAGGAACAGCGCAGCCCGGGGGGGAAGGCGAGGAAGCTCACCTCGGACGCACGAATCTCCAATAGCACTGGGACAGATGTATGCGGGGTATAACTGGCAATGTATGGGCGGCGCGATCAGAGTGCGAGGAGACTATCTAGACGCGGGCCGGTGCGCGCCAGGTCTGCTGTGACCGGGTCCCACCCGTGTCTGAACAAGGTTCCGCGGAGCGTTGTGCGCGGCCGTCTTCGCTGCCCAAAAGCTGAGCGAATACAGTAACACGAAGTGTCTTTGCTGACAGAGAGGAGTAGTCAGCCGGGCAGAGATGCGCAGGGCGGGCTCGCTGAATGTGCCCCGGACAAGGACGAGACGGAGAATGTAGCACGAGCAGTCGATTCGTCCTCGGCGGGAGGGGCGCTCCAGACTGCAGACAGCGGGCGTAGGCTGGGCGTAAGGATATATACCACACCAGATCCCGGGCGCAGTGCAGATCGCGATCTCGATGCACCGGTGGCTGCACTCCTCGTCCACGGTCCCGCGAACAACAGCGGCGAGCCTGTTCTCATCACACACCCAACCCGGGAACTGAGCTCATTGTCGCGCGAGGCGTCGCGGTCACATGCACCAGACGCACCGCACCCTGAGAGTCGAGCGCCCACGTTGCTCGGCCTCATCGTCGACGTTCGTGCGAGCGCGGCCGAGGCCTCCATTCTTTCATCGCCCCTCGCCTCCATCGATGACGACGAGAACGGCTCCGAGGCACTTCCGAGAAGCTCGCTCATTGACGCCTCGACATCTCGAAGACGAAGAGCATCCCGGTGAGAAGCGGTAACACGGTTCGCGAGAGCCCTGCATACTCAATGGGCTTTGTGGCGCACGCACAGACTTCTCCAGACAGGTGCTGCGAAACTATATCATAGACTGAAATTAGACGGGTATCGTCATTCGCGTCTATTGCATACATAAGGGGCTGTGGTATACGAAACATTAAGTTATATGATACAGATATGCGGCACCGCAGAGGATATATATTAGATGGCTCACGTCCACGACGCACAGACTCGCCCCGCTTGATAGCCCGCACCCCTTCGCACGTTTGCGCCGCATCCCCATCACACCAGCGCCTTCCGCCCAATCGCGACGGCCACTCAAGCAAGAGCCTGACTCGCACAAGTAAACGGTCCTGGGAACTGGCCACCCCGGTAGCCTGTGCAGGTCCCATCAGCAACCCACCGCAAGTCCCAGAAACGACGGACGCACCTTCGACGATGCTGTCGACGCTCGCGTAGAGCCCAGCGACCATGATGAATGCACCCATCTGCGCGGGAGGGAATGAGTCTAGGGTTAGGGTCCTGCATGCTGCAGACACGCACGAGGATGATCGACGCCCAGAACACCGTCTTGCAGCGCTGCCACGGCGTCGCCCACCGCTCAGAGCGCGGCGTCAGATGGAACCAAAAGATGCCCTGCACGCCGCGTTATCGCGCATTCAGTAGGGCTTTGTGCGCGCGTCGGGGACAAGACTCACGGATATGCCGTATGTGAACCAGCTGCGTGGAATGTGGGAGAGCGAATGGGGGTATGAGTGAGTACGGCGTCAGGCGTTGGGAGGAGGCGCGCGCGTATGCATACCTTGCGAAGAGCGAGGAGATAACCCCTAGGAGGTCGTTGAAGAACGGGATTCTAAACAGCGCGCAAGGGGGAATCAGCGATTTGCCCTGAACGCAGCGCTCGAACTCTAAGGAAAAGAGATTGCAGCATCGATGGCGAGCCAATCCGACAGAGCGAAGTTCAAGTAGCGCACAGATCCTTCTCACTCCGCGTGCGAACGCCCATCCGTCGCGCTGTCGTGCCACCTTCCCTGCACGCACACGCCATGTCTGCTACCAGCACCCTGTATTTGTTGAGACGTATTGAGGAAACGGCCACTCACACTTCTGCGATGACAAATGCGACGGTCCAGATAGCGAAGCAGATTCCAATCCACGTCAGCCAGCCAGTCCACGAATGCGCGGTCATGTGCCGAGACGCAACGCCGTTGCGACGGAACCTGCATATAGCGCACAGTTGCGATCAGCGCTGCTCAACCAGCCCATCTGTATGCAATGATAGCTTACAGTCTGACGAACACCTGAAACGCAGCGCGGAGACATCAGCACTGGTCGACAAACACCCGCGACATGACAAACTTACCAGCTTCGCGCAGACATGTCCATTGATTACACCCGCAATCATGATCGTCGGTAACGCAATGCCATACGAGATTCTGCGGAGCGTCATGCCTGTGTTACCCAGGGCGGGCGAGACCGTTTCTGCGCCTGCGTACGCATATACGACGATACCGACGACCAGGTAGAGCGTCGTATCAGCGATCTGCAAGAAGTACAGCGCTTTGACAAAGTCCTGGGATACGACAAGGGGTTATGTCAGTCAGTCCGATCGGCATAATGAGGATTCAGGGATGGACGAATGGGGGAAGAACGGATGGAGAACAGTGATGTCAGTGGTGGGCGAGACTGACCTTGGGTTCCTTCATTTCCGCAATAAACGTAAAGAATCCGACGTGTCCTAATACACCAAAGCAGTGAGTCCGAAGCGCTCGAGCACGATAAACGGCGCTTGATACGGACCCGCGTATGCAAAGATCTGTGGAGGAACGTCTATTAGGCGCGCACGTTCTCGCCAAGGCCAACCCTATTTCGACACTTACAATGTCCGTCACGGCGAGGAAACCGCTCGCGAAGTTGAGGTTCGCGGTAACGGTGACGCCACCTTGGTGTCCTGCGACACCGACACCGATCATCGTGATCATAACGGCAGCTTAAATGTGCAGCGCTCAGCAAATGGTCGTGTGCAGCATAGCCGTACGTTACTCACTGACGATAGAAATGAACGAGGCAACACTGAGGTATGAGATTCCGTCCAGTGTTCGCGGGATGGTCAGGACAAGGCAAATGATGGCAGAAATGCCTGCCCAGAGCACGGAACATGATGCACCGGCGGTAACTGTTCATGCAATGAGCTACTCTGGCCTCATAGCACGGTTACGAGGATCACTCACTGGTGTCAAATGCGATCATCCCAGTCAGGACGTGACTTCCGCAGAGGAAGACCATGAAAATGACCTGGGCCGCGCCGAGGACCTCGCGGCCGATCGGTCCCGCAAGGATCATACCCGCATCGGCCATGTTGTGTACGTGCGGGTAGCGTAGCTTGAACGCACCGATCATGTAGCCCGTGACAGTTGCAATCCCTCCGAGGCTGATGACGAGGATGCAGCCCGCAACCATGCCAAGGCTCTGGAACACTGAGGGAATCGACAGGATCTGATTGGGAAATTAGTGACATGATGGATGCGCACACATGAAGAATAATTCGCGTACCCCAAGTGACACAGTTTCTGCCAACATGAGTGCCGCCGCTTTCCACCACACCATGGTGCGGTACTTGACTGCACATACGAGACGTCTGTTAGTGAGTGAAGAGACGTAGAATGCTGTTTACGCACTGTCGGCAGACGCGTCATCTCCGTAGACATCAAACTCATCGGCTTTGACTGCGCTTTCCTTGTTCGTCTGCTCCGTAAGCCCATGCTTCTCGTACGCCCCAGTGCCATTCGGCACTCCGTCGTGACCGCTCATCGTGGTGAATATCGGGTCGTTGGATCGTCACTTACACTCTGCGCGGGGTGGGGGAAGGTGGGGGTCGCTTTTAGGGCGGGATGGGAGGTTGGGAAGAGGTAGAGATAGCGAAGGCGGTGGCCGTCAGCCATTTTTCAATTTGATGGTCTGCGAAGAGCGTCTCGCGAAGATGAAGTCACCGGCTGTCGGGGCAGGGAGGGAGCCACGGCTTGTCTTCGTCAAATCAGCCTTGTCACCTCCCTGCCAGCCCCACGACCGCCCCATAACGCGCCCACGTGACCCTGCCTGCGCGTTCAGCCGAGTGCACCCGGGATCGGCCGACGCCCTCTTCCCCGCGTGAACTGCGGGTGCGCCCGCCGATTGCACGATCGCGCTCCTCCCGCCGGCCCCCTCTGCTCGCCCAACATGTCCGCGGAGCCGGTAAATGCGTGCGTCCACCGCCAAGGCCCAAAACATCCCGAGTTTCGCTCGCGTGCACGAGACGGTGTGTGAAATTTTCTGTTCTTCATTTGTGACGCTTCGAAGGACGCGACCACACTGGTCATCCGCCGAGATCGGTCGAGGCGCCATATTCAATTGATTGACCCACACCCACCTTGTCATATACGGGGACACCTTCGTAATGTGTCTGGTGAGCATCAGCTGTGTATTGCACACAGTTCTCTCAGCATTCTATGCAACGCGGGCAGACAACAAGAGGCGCGCGCTCACCGTTCCACTCATCACCGCAGTTTCATTGATCGCAGGTCGAGAAGCCGACAGGTCGGATGTCGAAGCCACGGGGTTCAGTGTACGCCCGAGGCGCTCAGGCCACTGGTATCTACCCCCATCTCAATGCCGCAGAATGCTATATACCTTGGAATTATCAGTGAGGTGTGTTCAAAACGCAGACCGTGCCAATTGTCCTCTTACCGCATGGTTCCAGACTGGAGGAGCTGGGGTTTCCCTCCGAATCTGTCGTGTACATAGTGTTGAGAATGTAGACGAGCGCCGGCGCTGGAGAAGTCCATCTGGGTAAGCGAGCACAGACATCGCCTCGAGTCCCTCGACAGCGTTCATATATAACACGGTTCATGTCGCACTATGGGTCGTGATTGACTCAGTCGACCCTGCAGCAAGCTGAGTGAGTCAGACGTAGATAAACCAGACGCGGACTCACCACTGGGCATTATCCAAGTCACCTTCCGACCCGTAACTCATTCAGCATCTAGCTTGCATGCTCACCGCCCTCTTTGACTTTCAACCGCAGATAACGGAGCCCTGCAATGCAGAGCTGGGCCAGAACAGCCACCGCTAGCACTTCTCACATTCGAACTTCGCGACAAGCAGAGTTACCGACAAAAACGCAAGGCTACTTATGTTGCCGCAGAGGGACCGTTGCACTGGGTGTTTTGGAGTGCTTGAAGCTCGGCCCGGGCTGTCTCAAAATCGTGAGCTTTTAAGTGATGCTCGATGAGATGCCTCCTTGCTATGCGAATTATCCATGAACTAGATGAACTAGATGTAGAGTAGAACTGAACGAGCCATGACAGTGAGCCGCTGCCTCTCTCGCATTATTCGTACCATTTTTCAGTCTGCTTCAGCTGTCCCCGCACCCACCGGTGACCGTAATGACTGCTCATGCAAGAGCTTGGTTCGCGCACGTAAATGGGCCCGCGAACTGGCTGCCTCGGTAGCCTGCAAACATACCTCAATCGCGGACATATGTTCGGAAGATCACACAACGTACCCTGGATGATGCTATCGATGCTCGCGTACAAGCCCCCGACCATGATGAACGCACCCATCTATGCGGAAGGAATGAACCTAGGGTTAGGGTTCTCTGAGATAGCCATTGGCCGGGTTACGAACCAGGATGATGGACGCCCAGAATACCGTCTTGGTCTTCTGCCAAGGTGTCGACCACCGCTCAGAGCGTGGAGTTAAGTGGAACCAGAAAATGCCCTAAGAATTTCTGTTAGTGAGAATGGTCTGTTCAACCACGGCCCATGCGCCGCAGATCATCGGACATGACACCCACAGAGATGCCGTACGTGAACCAACTACGCGGATGTAGCATCAGTCAACAGGAACACACAGAAAAATGGTTTGTATTTCTACCTTGCGAAGAGCGAGGACATGACTCCCAGAAGGTCGTTGAAGAACGGAATCCTGCAGAGCGTCAGCAATTTTGTCCGTGACCAAACCCAAACAAGAACACTCACAATTCTGCGATGATAAAGGCGATCGTCCAAATCGTAAAGCAAATTCCGACCCATGTCAACCAGCCTGTCCATGAGTGTGCAGTCATATGCCGAGACGCGACACCGTTGCGGCGGAATCTACGTGCATATGTCAGAATTGTTAAACCTATCCGCTTGTATGCGCCCATATGCGTACAATCTAATGAACACCTGCACATCGCGTCAATACCGAACAGCGAACTGTAACCCGCTGAGTGAACTACGAACTAGCTTTGCGGTGACATGTCCGTTGATCACTCCCGAAATCAGGATTGTCGGCAACGCGATCCCGTACGCTACCTTGCGCAACGTCGTGCCCGTGTTACCTAGCGCAGGAGACACCGTATCCGCGCCAGTGTATGCGTACACGACGACGCCTACAATAAGGTAGAGTGTCGTGTCTGCAATTTGTAAGGCGTAGAGAGCCTTAGCAAAGTCCTGTGAGGAAAAAGGGCCGTCATGGTCAGAATTGGTTCTATGCATGGATGGTGTGGAGACGGTAATTGGGGTACGCAAATTGGTGTGTACGGTGCCGATAGGACTTACCGCTGGGTTCTTCATCTCCGAGAGGAACGTGAAGAATGTGACATGTCCTGTGACCAGGGATTATCCAGCTGGCCGTGAAGAAGGGCGCATGGCACAAACCAGAGTATGCAAAAACCTACGAGGAAAGAGAATGTAAGAGGTACGTTCTCTCAGAGATCCATAAGGTACGAGGCCTACTCACAATGTCCGTCACAGCAAGGAAGGCGCTGGCGAACTTAAGATTCGCGGTGGTGGTGACGCCGCCATGATGGCCTGCTACACCAACCCCGATCATCGTGATCATTACAGCAGCTATATGCGAGGAGTCAAGCAGGTGACTATGTGTCTGATGCTCCGGAGATACTCACTGAAGACCGAGATAAAGGAAGCTACACTAAGGTACGAGATGCCGTTAAGGGTACGCGGGAGGGTCAGAATGAGACATATGATCGCAGCAACTGCAGCCCAGAGCACCGAGCATGAAGCTCCGGCAGTGACTACAAGACGTCGATCAGCTCACCAAGCACCATAGATGCGTGGGAGACACGTACTGGTATCGAAAGCAATCATGCCAGTCAAGGCATGACCGCCACAGGAGAAGACCAAGAAAACGACTTGGGCTCCACCGAGGACTTCCCGGCCGATTGGCCCCGCGAGGACCATGCCTGCGTCAGCCATATTGTGAACGTGCGGGTAGCGCAGCTTGAATGCGCCGATCATGTATCCCGTCGCAGTCGCGATGAGCCCAAGGCTAATTACGAGGATGCAGCCTGCCACCATGCCGAGTGTCGCGAAGACGGAGGGTATTGACAGGATCTGGTGGGCTTTGTGAGACAAACGGCCGCAGATTGGTTAGTACACGAAGATGAATAGCGTACCCCTAAGGACACCGTCTCTGCCAACATGAGCGCGGCTGCTTTCCACCACGACATGGTACGGTATTTTACTATACGGGCGAGGAATTCGTGAGCGGGGAAACTAATAGCGTGTCGACATACGCACTGTCCGCATGGCTTTCGTCTCCATAGACATCAAACTCGTTCCCTGGCTCTGTCTGTCCATGCTTCTCTGATGACCCGAGGCCGTTCCGCGCCTTGTCGTAGCTTCCCATGGTTGCGAAGTACTGAGGCCTTTGGAAACAAGTGCTACCCTGAAAGCTGGGCTCCCGAGTGAGTTAACACCGTTTCGCACACGGGGGGACACAGGGCGAGAGGGAGGAAAAGAGAGGAACTGGAAAGACGAGCGAATACGCCATTTTATGGTCCGGGGTAGAGCGCCGCGCCAGTGCCCGGCCATGCGATGAAGTCAGCGCAAGGTGCGATCTGTGTCTCGGTGAAGTACGCTCCCATCCAGGCTGATGATCCTCCCGCCCTACGCGCCCACGTGACCCAGTCTGCGCGTCCCTCTCCGCGATCTGCATCCGCGACGCGTTCCCGACGGCTACTCTTCGCAGATACGGCCTTGCTTATCTCCTGTGCCTACTATCTTCTCTCTCAACTACGTGAGATTCGTCTGAGAGAGATAGGCTCAGTGCCGAGGTCGCAGGATTTCGACTGTCGCAATTGTCGCTCGCGAGCACGAGATCGTGAAATTTTCTCCGCCCGCAACGCGGCGCATTGCGCCACAGCGAACGGATGTCTCGAAGTGTTCGATCGCACTGGCATCATAGGGCGGGGTAAACCATTCCATCGAGTTGGCCACATGCGTGCAGACTGCGCTTCACTTCACGAGCATCTCCAGTTGAACAGGTGTGCTCTCACTCTTGGCCCGCTATTATTTACTCAACCTTCTCAATGGCTGACGAATAGGCGACATACCGGAGATTGTGCTTGCTGTACGAAGCGTAAAACCTCTTGAAAACCCAATGAAAACCAGACACCGCGGCATCTGGATCCGAACAGCGGCGGAACGACAATCCTGTTACAAGTCGTATGAGGGCGAAGCCTCTGATTGAAGCATACATATTACTGTACACACAATATGCAGTACATACAGCATTGAGCCAGTCAGATCACACTTACAATGATGTACATCCACTCCGTTCGACATGTCCATGCTGTCTCCCTCACAACCTACTCACCACCAACTCACAGGTCGCGCAGGCTGCGCCCGTCATACCGTGTCCCGTTCTCCGCCATGCACCAGTTCAGGCGCATGCACGGCGGCCACAAGCCCTCCGGCTCATCGCCTGCGTCCTGTAGCAGCAGTGCAACTACACCATGCGCGGGGACCGCGTGCGCAGTGTACGTACGTACGGCTATCCCGTTTTCCGTGTGCGTCCAGAGGTCCTGTGAGTCGTATACCGAGTTCACATACGCAGAGAGCCGCGTTGCGCCAATAGGTTTGGAGTTGGGTCAGTATCGCTGGCAAGGATCGGCTAACATGAGCAAGAAGGTGAGGCTACTCACGCGAACCGAGTACTGCCGACCAGCCTTAATCCAAGGCGACTCCGTGAGGTTGAAGGTAAGATCCGCTGGCTCATCAAGTGTGTTGAGCTGCAGGCGTCCGTTCAGACCTCTGTTTGCATGATCTTTGGATGAGTTGGCACTTACCAGCATGAACACAGTACCGTTTTCGCTCTGGCCACTCCAGAACTGAGCCGGGTGCGTAGCATTGTACGTCCAGTCAGGCTGAGACAATGATGCGTCCAGGGTCAGCATGATGTCAAGCCGTAGATGAAGCACACAAAGGACTGACGTTGATACCCCAACGGAAGGGAATGACGCTAGTCCCGACCACGGGATCCTGGTTGATGGCGACGATCTCCTCGTTCTTGAGGATCGACAGCGTTTCGTCAGATGCGGAGGGCAGCTACATCCATGCCGTGTTTGAAATCCCGGTATAATTATTGGGCAAGGGAACTCACGTCTGTGCCAATCAAGAGAGGCGACTTCAAGAGGGCCCATGCCGTGAAGTGTGTCTTTGCCTCCTCGTACGAGAGTTCGCCGTTGCCCCTGCAGTACATGTGCGTCAACCAAACGTCTACATGCCGGTTCATCGCAAATCTACTCACACTTCAAGCTGCAAATGACCACATCGTCAAATATGGACATACAATTCGGTCGTTCGGAGAGCTTACCATGTCCATATCATTGTGCGAATAGAAATCATTGGCCCAAGTGATGAACGAGTTCCTGGTAACCCGCTCGGTTATGCTTTAGACCACAAGAGACGTAGTAGAAACATACCGGTTCAAAATATCCATAACAGACCCCCAATTCGCACCAATGTCTTCGGTGGTCTGCCGTGCAGCTTATTAGATGACACCCGCAATAAGTACTCGCAGTACGAACCCTCCAGCTCTGACTGATCTTCTTGGCCCATAGCCACGGTTGTTCCTGCACCGAGATCACAAGATTAGCAGACTGGAACGGGTATGACTGATGCTAAGGGAGATACCTCTCCCCACTGGCACAAGGAGAACAATATTGGCGGCCTGCCGGTGCTCTTGGCAAGGTTCTCGATAGCATCCGCCATCCGTTGGAACTCTGCACTTAACTGCATCAGTGACCATGCTCGAAATTGTGTTCAGTCGTCAAACTGACTGCCGACCATGCCCTCCTTGATAACATCATCAAATGGTACTAGCCGCAACGTCAGTCAACCCCATCTGACAAGCAGCAACACCCGTTGAACGCACTAGCGCAGTTGTCATACCTGGTTGGACACGCGTTCAGCACGAGCAATCCCTAAATTAGCAGTGTACTCACTTCAATAGATCGAAGTTCCAGTCGTCGCGGAACAGTTTGATATCTCTGCAGTGCATTCAGGCATCAGACGTAACGCGGACAACTCCGTAGACATACCTGTCTTCATTCTGGAAGGAACCCGGGTAGATTTGGCAAGTAAACCATCCGGAGTCGCTGTACTAATCATACGATTCGCACGGGGCGTGTAGCCGGCAGTAATTACGGTACTCACTATTCCTGCTTTGCTGCGACCGCAGTCTGACGTCAGAGAATTTGTATAGAGCGAATGACGATGCTGCACTCACAAACCCATGTCATGAATCTTGTCCGTCAGTGTTCGCATCCCAGACGGGAACTTCTCCGGGTCTGATATGAGACGATTCACATCAAGCTCCACACTATCATGACGAACACGCATGATACCTACCTTCGACGATGTCCCCATCCGAGTTGCGCTGCTTCTCCGAGTAGCAGTCATCGATGCCGACGTAGTTGTAGCCAAGGTCCTTTCGGTATGCAGTCAATACACAGAACATGATACGGAAGTACCCGACACTAAGCGTCGATACGTACGAGAAGCCCGTAAGACTTCATGAGCTCCGCAGTCTTCAGTATCTTATCCTCGTTAATGTCGCACTATCGATTGGGTCAATTCTGGTGTGCCAGCGAGCGCACAATTCAACGCACATAATAGGCGTTCCAAGCTATCGCATCAAGCTCAGTCATCCGGTTCCTCTTAGTAGCATAAGGAAGGTGTCTCACTGTTGTAGCCCATGACTATCCGATCACAACGTCAGCACGCCAGGGTTTGACAACACGAGACGATAAAGACATACCGGGCAGCCGGCCGGGTCGTTCATCGTCAAATGAATGTCTCCTTAGAGGCGAATGTGCCGAGTGACCAGGTCGCCATAGATAGCCTGAATAAACCAGTAAGGCTCCTATGGCTGCCACGAGCACGACTGTCACGACGGCAGTCTTCAGCACCGCTAGCCGGCCTTTTGACAAGTCCTTAGCAGGCCTATACAGCGATGGCTTTCGAGGGTACGTACTACGGCTGACGCCGCGCGAGGGCAACAACGGCTGTGTTTCCATCTTTCTGCTCAAAACTTCACTGTACACCATTGTCAGCAACTACGGACGTAGTCGAAAGCCTGTGCTAGTCTGCCCGTCCTAGCTGAGGCTCTCACGTTGAGCGATGCGTACCGTTCGGAACAGTGTGTTTAAGTTCTGATCTCCAGATTGGCGGCCAGATACACGCTGTGTTTCCAAGGCCAACAGAGCCTAACCAGGATCGTGCAGCTGTGCAAAGGCGGGATAGGAATGGTCGATTGGGTCGGCTGAGCACAGCTGAGCAGTGAGCACACTGTCCGCTTGCGCGTTGCGTCGCAGGTGTTCTCACGTCGACGCTGCGCTCGGGGCGTTGCCCCGCATGACGCAGGGCGTGGGAAATGACCAACCCCACGGGGACATGCAACGTTTCTGTTGCAGGCACAAATTCAGTAACTGCTTTCGGGTGCGAGTGCAATGCATTACAGTAATATTGCTACGGAAGAACAAACCGGACCCCTCAACGCATACCAAGACATCGACAGCATACCGGAACCATACAAAGTAGGCACAAGCACGTCGCGGAACCAAAACTCGTGGTCATTGCAGCACATCAGAGCACTAGTAGCACCTTCATAGCCGACGAGGATGACAAATTCTACGGGCCACGGCTTGGCCATGGCGCGACGTAGAATGTTTGTATCCTTGCCTGCTGGCATGATGGTGGCCTATGACATGCCGCTAAACCGCCTCGTGGACGGTACAGATTCAGAGATACGGCGAGGGCAGTAGGTCGACGAGGGTCAGGGTCCTCCTCGCAGCCTTGCAGGGTCTTCTGACAGAAATGTATGTATTGTATGGTAGCCGCCACCACCCGGGGTGCGTGGCTTCAACGCTGCTTCTTCATAGCCGAGCGAAGGTGGCACTGTATGTTTCAGCATACGCAGAATGGACATTCAACGCACCGGGCGACCGAATGAGTTTCGCTGCCGTTGAGCGCGACAGCGAATTGTACCGTTCGAACTCTTGAGGATGTCCAGGACATGTTGGAGACTGTCGTCACTAAGTACCACATATCGAAGGATCGTCGCCCCAGTGATCGTTGATCTGATCATACGTTCCGGCGGGATGTACGGATGCAGAGGGATGCGGTCGTCAAACCCAGGAGGGCCGGGGCCGAAGATCTGAGTCAGGTCGCTCAGCGTAGAACGCAATCTCCTCGGCGTCCTTCCGGACACAGCGGCCTTTTACATTGCATGTAGCCTACCCGGTCATAGCGTTTGGCGATTCTGGAAACAAAGTAGTCTGATGACGGCGCTGTCAGGATCAATCGCTCACCTGAAGTCGCCTTGAGGCGCCTCGAGGTCCTACACGCGTACGGAGAGGGCAAAATGCCCGATAAAATAGGTAATCTTGCGCCCTAGACTTCGGGTGCAAGAGCCTCAGACAATGCGCTGTACGCCTGCTGCTGGAGAAGAGGGTATACGCTGCGAGGAATGATGGGTAGCGGGTGGCCGTCTTGCATGCTGCTACCCCAGATGGATAGCCGGGGAGTAGGGGGCTGCTACCTGCAGACAGCATTGTTCCTGACACTTTCGGCAATATCGAGTCCGTCGGGGCCGATCTAGAACGCACGCAACGTACCTCTCCTGGGCACATTTAGCCATCGAGTACCGGCAAAGGCTTGTCGCTAGAGATGCAAGGCCTCCTAGGCATGGTGCATACCCACCAATTCAGCGGCGTCTCCCTACTGTGGATGAACTCTAAACCGTGTTCTTCTCTACCGCAGCAAAATGAGCACTCACCGAGAACCCTATAACGATGTCTCCACACTGTGCTGTTGTGCCACTGGGTTTAGACTGACCGGAAACTAGAGCGCCGAGCGATACTACTTGCTATGTGAGCTCATCATCTGAATGAGTCATCGAGAACCTATGACGCACCCAATTCGCTGTTCTTGCGCGTACGTATCTATTACTGTACTGTTATCAGGTTGTGCCGCGGAGTGTACACGACCCCTACCTGCACGCGACCTCGAGGCTTCGGAACGTTAAGTCCGACACAATCGTGTTCTATCCGTAGGTCCACCCAAGGTCTACCGGCACGACAATTCACGTTCCACCACATGTTCAGTAAACCTCCGAGCGACCGGAGAATTCGCCCCTCGGGAGGCGTCCACGAGAAGCCGAATAGGACGCGAAGATCAGGAGCACGGTGGACGGTGGACAGTGGTGGACAAACGAGGCATGCGATGAGGCGATAGACTCGTTCCACAGGAATAATATACGCTCAGCGTGTAGATGCGTGGCACGGTATGAGTATTACGCAGCGCGTACAGAACAATTGGGGAGATCAGGTGCGTCCGGGGAACCAACCTCCTGTCGGGCAGATCCTGATCGATACGGCGTCGCACTGGTTCTGGTCGTATACCGTCGCGTGCCGAGTCCACGTTAAGTCCGCTGAGGAGTGCAATCGGATCGATGCTAGACGGTACTGCACGATCAGCGAGCATGACTGCAAGATCCTGCGTGATAGAGCCTTCCGTAGAACAAGTGATGTGCAGAGCTGTGCTCACGCCTTCTGATCGTACACGATGAAAAGTGCATGATTCCAGGTTGTGTCTTGCGCGGTCCGCAGTGACTCGAGCGATTATTGCATCTTGAGATCGCACCCGGTCAGCCACTCGAATGTATGTCAGCAGTATAAAGCAAAGGAGACTCACGAGGTCGTGGGACTAGGCCTCGTATGCCTCTCTTTGGACAGCTTCGCCCGACACAGAGGTAATCACGTCTGACCGAACGTGCGATCAATTCATCAGGCTTGCCAATACTGCTCCAGACTGCTCCTCAGCCGTGAACAGGTAGGCCAGGCAACTGCGCACAACGCACACATTACGGGCTGCTGAGCCCAGAAGACGGCATCTCCTCGGGCGCCCAAGCCCACGCGTCCACAGTGCGAACTCTGCGTGAGCCCAGACGATGAAAGCTTATCAGCCAACTCCCAGGGTGACTGCGGTCTCGACGAGGTGGCGATGGAGCGCCGGCAAGGGAGACGACGAACGCGGCTGGCTTCGCAGGGCCACCACGCCCGCCGAACACACCTACACGTCCCCACCGTGCAGGCCTCTCCATAACGAGTGTCTTCTGGGCGCATGGTGCGAGTCCACGCCGTGTCGAGATAACGAAGCCTGACGGCGATGCTCCGTCCGCCGCACTGCGCAGGCTCCCGTGAGAGGCATCCTCGCCTGTGGAGGACGCGTGCGGGAGCGTTTGAACTCTGTGCGACAGCTGCTACTAAGCGAGCCTGAGGCGAGGACACGGAGGGAGACGAGTATGTTGCGATAGGGCTGTTGTGATACGGTGGTCGGCGGGGGCGCCGGAGACGAGTGAGCGATGGCGTCGCAGCCCGCCCGGAACGAGGCTATCGTGAGATGCGTCGGGCACATACAGGTAAGCGGGAAGGGCAGGGGTTTGATTTCCAACTGATCGTAGTGCAAGGTGGGTCTCTTTCATGAACGCAAACAAGGGCATGGAGTAAGGACCGCGGTGGGTCAATACCGTAAACCTGTCACAGCAACTGTATGTTCGGATCGTCAAGTCAACAACGGGGCGTCGCGTGAGTGCAACCAAAGCACGACTTCGGAACACACCGTATAACCAGGCTATCCAATGAGTAGCGTTGCATTCCGGCGAGCTTGTGTCCACAGTTCTACTCGAGGGAAGAGTACCTGTGCAAACGTGAACAACGTGAATAAGCTCGTGAGCGACAGCCTCGGACAATCATATGGCTTCGATCGGTATCACATCGGCCCTCTTCACCAAGTCAGCGGAGCGTCATCTCCTCTACGTGAGTCACAAACGAAGAGGAAGTGGTGAACAAGTGCGTAGCTCCTATCCAGTATGTACCTGTTCGGCTCGGCGAGGGACACGGCGGGCTTTCGATGGCTACTCTTCGGGCAACGTCGCCTCGGCGGGCTGATTTAGCGGCCCAACGAAGAGCCTCTAGCTCTTCCGCCCGGAGGTCTGTACCGCATCCTTCGCTCACAGCGGGGTCCACACTCCACCTAAACGCCCCACTCGAAATAAGCTGCGCTGTTGCTATTTCGAGCGCCAAGATCGTCGCACAAGCTAAATCCTCGGTGGCCACTCCGCGTCAGCTCGGAGTGGAGACGCCAATCCAGGTCCACCGTGCATCGTCGGGCGAAGAGCGATTCAGATGCATCTAGATAGCAATCGCAGATGGAGAAGGACCCACGGTTCGGTGGCACGCCGCGGGTGGACGTCCATAGCTGGCCAGTAGCGATCCGTGTCCGTGAGCGAACGGACGAGCGCGGGGGTATGTCGGTAGGTTCATCGGGATCACCAGTCGCGATGGTCTGCACGCGCGAGGAGGGCGATATACACGAGGGTGGGCCAATGAATACCGGTGGACGAAGGGAAGCCAGTACACGCTAGAGGGGTATTGGGTGAGACTCGGAAGCTGTCATTGAGCCAGGATCAAATATAGATTACAGACCGTCTCCCGAGCGAAGAGAGAAAAGGCTAGCAGAGTGGTCACAGAAGACACCCATTCCATTTTGACGAAGACTGTGTTGGTTTTGACCATGGACTTGCGGTGATGACAGGTGACGACTTTGATTGAATAGGGGCGTTCCCCGCATCCCGACCAAAACCCGCGGAGAGCAGATCCTCTCGTATGCAAAGCGGCTCGAATGGCGGACGTTGTACAATGTATGCGTTGACCTCACCGGGTCGCCCCGCGAGGGCGATCGGGATCGGGGGAATACGAGATGCACAAAGTAACGCCAGTCGGCGCGCTTATCCGGATTGCCCAGCCCAGAACCAACGTACCCAATCCAAGATAGCAATGATAGATCGAGGCCGCGAGCCCTTCGGCCTATCGCTGGCCAAGGGGACACAAGCGAACCCAGTCGCGATCGGGGAATGCGAGGCGCACGGCCCATAGCGAGGTCGAGATGTCCGGACACGCTGCCTAGAACAGTATCTCCTAGGACGGAAGACCGTGTGGATAAGATTGAGTGAACGTGAGCATCCCGGAGCGCTAGCCCGGCGAGCTATCCACGGAGTCATCTGAGAGTCATCTGTGCAGTACAAGTGCAGTGACTGGCCAGCTCGTCCCAGAGCGTGTCTCATCGGCCATCGCATCGACAATCCGGGTGTCCGGATGCGCCTCGATGTGGGTCAACAGTTGATTGAGCTCGATTGAGGGCGATGGGCAGGGGAGAGGCTGAACGTGATTCACCGGGGCGCGGCTGGACTGCGAGTGTTCAGTATGAAAGCCAGAATGGGCAACCCAGCCGGGCCGATCGAGGCGGGACGGGTGGGAGATGCGATCTCGCGCAGCGGTGCATCCATTGGCTGCGGCGAGTATGGGGTCGACGTGTGTGTTGTGCACAAACGCTGCGGCGGCACTGCAGCCCGGGGCGCGTAAGGCAGACTCGCGAGAGAGACGCGTAGGTGCCTGTGGCGAACATCCGGGATCGGGCGAATTTGGATTTCAGCGCGTGTGGGGGCACCGTGCTCATCGGAATGAGATGAGATGATGGAGGCGGGAGTTAGCGCGGGTGGAATTAGAGTCTTGCTTGCGGGCATGCGGGTGTCGTGCTCGCAGACGGAACTGAGGGGCAGCGTCATGCGCCGCGTAGCCCCGCCCGTGCATCCGGAGGACGAGGACCACATGAGGTGTGCGAGAAGAGGACAATCCATAAGTTCAGTATGAATGAGCCGGAGGATAGAAGCTTGCAGGCCGCGGAAATGGATGCTGCTAATAGCAAGGCGAGCGTCAGCAGAGGAGGCTGTATTCGGGAAGAGTATCTGCACCGACATCGTCGGCGTGGTGTCATAGAAGAAGGTCACGTCTAACGCTGAATGAGCGTCTGGCTGCAATCGCTCTGGCTGACGGATGTCGTGCGGAGGTCGATCCATAGATGTCGCCGGGAGTGCTGTGATGGGGTGGGAGTGTCTGATTCAGCCATGGCGTTCAGTAGGCCCAGTCATTTCCAGGAGCCGGGAAGAGTCTGAACATGCGCGGGTGCGATGACCAAGCTCAGACTGAGTCAGACACGGTGCAGTGGGCCTCCTCGGGGACCGCATAGAAGATCAGGTGGGAGCACGCAAGACATGACGAAAGCACCGGTGTGGCTGGACTATCGTTGTCGGACGCCCTGGTTAATCGGGTGCAGCTGGGCGCGCCACAGCTGGCACGGATATGTGGATGAGAGATAGGAACTGGAGGAGGTCACGTATGATGAGGCTGTAGAGACGACGCGTATCCAACGGACGCTCGGCCGAGGAGTCGGGGCATCCCGTGTTGTGCATTCGGACTGAGATGGCTCAGCAGGGTGCTGTGGTTGGGCCGGCATGCGTGCCGGGGGTGTTGCAACCGGCCTGTGACTGTGGCCTGCGCGGTGGTCCGGGACGAGGGGCTATCGATGCCGTGTGTGCGGACGCGTGTGCTGGGCCTGCACGCTGGATCACAGGGGCAGGCGGCGAGGGAGGGAGGGGTAGTGAGAATAGGGCAGCTGGGAATCCACGTTGCGAGTGGCTGGCTGCTGCTGTGGCCTGCCGGCGCGATAGGCGTGCTGCCCGAGTACTGACTGCACCCGTGGGAATCACAGGGCGTCGCCCGGAGACCGCAGGCGCCGGCAAGATCGGCTGCCCGATTACCAACCCGAGCGAACGCTGCCCTGCCGACCCATGCCCGCGTATATAGCCCGCCCCGATCGCCCTGGCCCTCACCGTCCCTCCCCCGCGCCATGTCCGCCACATCCTCCCCGCCCCCGTCCCCTCACCGCCAAGCACGCCATGTCCACCACTCCCCGCGCTCCCACTCCCCCATCCCCCACATCGCGACCATCCTCCCCACCCACCACTCCTCCATGTACGCCCCCGCCACGCGCGCAGCGGACATCTCCCGCCTCCTAGACCCCGCCTATGCAAGCGGCTCCTCGTCGTCCAGCGCGTCCACCGCGAGTCCGACACACCACAAGCACGGCCAGACGCGTGCCTACGTCGACCGCCACGGCGACCTCCACGACCCGGACTACCGCGACTTCCCCGTCCTCCCCGCAACGCGCACGACCTCCGCCTCGCGCCGCCGGCGCACCAGCCACGGCGCGCGCTCGCGCAGCACCAGCCGCCACGGCGACCGCCACTACTCGACCGCGTACTCGATCGCGCGTCCAGAGTGGGAGCGCGACTGGTCCACCGAGGCAGGCGAGGAGGATGAAGACGTGTTCGACGACGACACCGAGTCGCAGTCGCATTACTCTCCGTTCGCGTCGCACGCCGTTCCGCGCCGCAGCGCGACCGTTCACTCGACGCCTGCGTACCGGTCATACGTGCCCGTGCCGTACTCGGACTACACAAGCGGGCCACAGCCATTGTCCTCATCGCCTGTCGATTCGCTTGACGACCACTCGCCGAGCATGCTGCAAGATTCACCCTTGTACGACTCACCCTTCCTCGCGGACGACCTGGAGGGTGAGTCAGAGGAGAGGCGTCAGAAGAAGTCGCGTAGGTGCAGCGGCAGCAGCGCCATTCTGGGGAGGAAGAGCTCGAAGAAGAGTAGCTCTCAGGTCAAGGAGGTCACCATGGAGGCTAGCTCAGAGAAGAGCGATAGTGAGCATGTTGCTCAGCAGTTTTCGGTCGATGGCGAATGCGCCGACGACGTGTACGTGTTTCTTCACTCTTTGAAACATTCCTATCAGTCGCTCATCCGCCTATTCTCTAGGCCGTCTTGTTCTGACGTGCTCCGTCAACAATGGGCGAGGATTGCCCTCAGCGTGAAGTTCAGCGTCTTCCGCGCGCGCCGCCGTCTCAGGTCTCGCAGCAACGCGCGATCTGATACATCACGGTTTCCAACATAGAGTCCCGCACCATATCTATTCCGTTCAACACCTGCATTCGTGCACCGGTCCTCTCCACCACCCGAGGCATTTGCCGCCTTTCCAGGCCCGAGGCATCGCGAAACGGCGATAGACCGAGCCGGCGCGACGCCGCTGCTCACGGTTTCCGGCCAATATGTTCTCTATTGCCGGCTCATAGGCGTCACGCGTGCGATCGTCTACCCCGTCCATCCGCATCGTCTCATTCCGTTTTCCATTCGTCCGATCTTCGTCTTCTCCCAGTGCCATATCGGATTCATCTCGGCGACGGTTCTTCCTCACGCCATATTTTCGTCTCTTCGTGCGTCCACACGAATCGCGTGCGCGCCTCAAGGTTTCTTCGCGAATGCATCGCATCGCATTGGCCGCGGGCGGTATCCTCATCCAGATATACCCGGCTGTGCTGACGAGTTTCACCGCTCAATTTTCCTTCGCCTTTCGAACATTGGAACAATCTTCATCTTCAACTCCCTTATGCCCCCACGTCTCGAATCTCGATCTCATCATATGTTTCACGCATCTCATCACCCCATCTATCCCGGAGCACACGATATTTTTTACGAAGCAAGGCGGCTCTCAGAGTGGGAGGCCGGCCGGTGAAGAGCAGCATGACGAAGCGGTCCTGGCAGTCGCGGTGGGGCCAATGCAGTGTTTGTCGTACATAGCCGTTGTAGTAGGAGTAGTAGTAGCCGATCATGTCGAACGAATGAGAATGCGATGACCAACGACGCCCACGGATCCGTTCCGAGGATGACTCTGCGTGTCTGGTCTGTTGCCAGTCCGGTGCGAGCGGCTCGCACCTCCGACCACTCGGCGTGCCCGCATTGCCTTGCGCCCGCTGAGTCAGAGCGACTCACGGAGGACGCGTCGCGGCGCGGTCACGTGTACCGCGTTCCTCGGTGTCCGTGCCCGATGGGGAACGCGGGCCGGAGGTGGAGACGCTCCGTGCTCATTATGTCGCAACATCTCCTCCCGTTCCAACGCTTGTTCAGCCTCCTCATGTTTGCTGCAGTATTCTCCTCCGACGCCAATCCTTTGGAGGGTGCCTGCAGACTACCCACCGCCGCACACGTCACCTCTGACACAATCGCAGGTGGGCGTGTCTCTCCGCTTGCCCACGGTTGGCAGGAACGCGCGGTGGGTCTTCCCAGCTGCAATGCGCTAGCCGCACCTGGCTCCTGCGAGTCTGCAGCTGCAGACTGCGGGCGAGCAACGTTCCTCCGAGCGTAAGCCTATGCTGCGTGCCGCGCCATCCTCTGGGGCACTATCGCCGTCCGTATACGTGCGCTCGCCGGGTCGGGTGATACGCCGTGCGCAGGCTGCCTGGACATCCGCGCGCCCCGTGAGTCCCGTAGGCATCGATGATTGCTCGCGCTGCGTCATTGCTCGGCCGCGATACTCTGTACGTGTTTTTTTACTGTCTGTGTCGCATGCTGGTTGTGTTTTGACATTTCGAGAAGGGGTCGAGGTCTTCGTGCATATGACCGAGGCTTGTCGCGCGCAGTCAAACCAAATAAAGTAAAGCGCACGACCGACAAAGTGTACACCCTCGTATGCGATCATTTCTGTTTGCATGTTTTCGCATAATCGCCCCCTGCCCAGTGGTCTAGTGCGTGGTCTATGTCCGTTCACGGAAGAAGACCCACGACGAACTACTACAAGTACCAGTGCGATCATACTTGCCGGCAACTGACGTCACTCGCGGAAATAGAGTAGAAGGTTTGTCCGTATCTATAAAGTATCTCCGTCTGCGCGTTGCGATCATACTTAGACGTGCTATGTTTAGGACCTCATGGACGCTGCGATGGTCGACCTGGGTGGACCTCAAGCCTGCCTGCAGGTTTCTCTTCGCCTCCTGGCCTTTGCCTGGCCCCGTCGAAGTCTTTGTCGCAGGATGACTGTCTCCTACGGAGGACCATTCGGCCCTACACGTTCCTCCTGTCCGGTCGTAGGTTGCTGCCATACCTGCATCGCACTGCACGCCGAAGTCTAGGAACACGACGTGCTCCGTTGTTGCGAGGTACGTGATTTGCGTCGTGGCCTTCGCACGTTAGTTTCTCCGTCAAACATATTATTTCGAACATCTTCTCTGTACTTCTGCACGCCGCATCATACCCTTATCATATCCGAATGACATAGCGTCTTCCTGTGTCATCCCGAGGTCCCTCCCGCCTTTCTCTCGGGTCGCTACTTGGTAGGGCTCTCCGAAGGTCGGAATCATCAATTGCGGCCTATTTCCACACTCTTTCTGTTTCGATTTGCGATGCGCGACGGGAACCAGCGTACAGTGGGTGGGACTGATACCTGCATTTCCGGTTCGGCGCCAGGTTCGTTCATTTCATACTGCCTGTCTGCCAGTTTCTTACTCACAGATCGTCGAAACTGTGCGGTGCAAATGCGCTCCGTCAGTGTGTGCGCGCGGTGAATCTGCATGATGGCGGTGGCGAGCTTGGCTCAAGATGTGCGCGCATCGTTCTGACCCCTCATCACTGTCTCGTCGGCTGCTTGGCCACAACATGACGCAAGCTCCGCACAGGTACTTCCATTAAGGGGGTGTGACAACATAGCCTGACTTACGGTCACCGGGGGCATCGCTATGTGACCGACTACTAGGAGATAGGATTCCGAGGCGCGGTAGTGGAAGGACTCGAAGTTCTGGGAGCCCGCGACATTGCGCAAGCCTCACAACCATTTAGTAGTATGTCTAGTATCTCTCTACTCTCGGAATCTAATCCGCGACTGGCGAGCAAGGGATTCAAGGATGTTGATCATATACATTGTCAAGATTTCGATACCTTAACTACTGCTCTAATGCTACATCAACTATACCGTCCAAACTGATATGCCAACACTGTGAGAAAGATGATCATGACTATCGTGCGGACCTAGGCAAGAAAGCGGGGCGAGGAGATAACAAAAACTGCTTAGTAGATACATCGTAGATAGCGACAGCATGAAGATGAAGGGCGATGCATACGCGACCTAGTGAACAATATAAAGCGAGGATAGTTTGGCAAAGCAGAGAGGTCACGACATCGCCTGCTGAATACAATTCGTAAGACCCGGCGACGCGTCCACCGAGCACGCCCGATGCGTCTCGATGAACTCATTAAACGTCGCGAGCACGCGCAGGCTCGGCTGCAGCTGCTCGAACATTCTCGAGTACAGCAGCTCCTCCTGCTTGCGCGCGTGGACGAGCGCGCTCTCGCGCACCGCAGACACGGCGGTCATCACCTCTTGTTCGTACGCAGGCCGCAAGAGGACGGATAGGCGGTCGCAGAGCTCTTCGGTGTATGGCGGCGGGGCCGCGGCCGCCGACTGCCCGAGGGTGATGCGTTTGAACGCGGCATCGAGATCTTGGATCGCGCGCGTATTCGCGGTGTGCACAGCGGCCTGGTCGAACCTGGCGTGCTCAAGCTAGACGGTGAGCAAGCCGGTCAGAGCTGCGATAAGTAAGAGTGTGCCGGCATGTCGGACGCACCTTCGTCAAACGCAGGCTCAGATCCTCGTGCTCTGCTTTGAGCTTGTATGCCTCCTGCCACCACTGATGGTCTCGCTCCTGGAGAGACCGTACATCTTTGCGCAACTCGCCCAGTCGCGACAAGGCGTTACGTATCTCCCCTTTGACTTGGTCATACCTCTCGCCCATTGACAGTGTGAGGGCAACCGTGACGTTCTCGGTGTGCTCGTCGAGGGCTGCTTGGCACCGGGCGACCTCCTCGTCGATGGCCTTCTGCACAGAGGCTGGAACGGTGCGGTCCAGCTCCTCCAAGAATATTCGCAGGTCGTCTACACGGCTCTCCATTTTCACCAGACGTTCGGAGAGCTTGGGCTTGCCCGGCTCCGCCTGCGAGGGAGGCTGATGGCCTGGCACCTCATGCTCTGTAAGCCATCTGCGGAGGTCTTGCATTTGCTCATCTGGGGAGTATTATGAAACCTTGGGCTGACAGCTGTGCAATTGTGCTTACCCATGGTCACCATCCACGCCTTTGCCTCCCTGACATACTCCTGGAGCACTTCTACATTTATGCTTGAGGCTGAGCACAGATCGAGCGGGTGCTTGGCCAACGTATCGAGCACATCCTTGAGGCGCTTGTCGGCTTTGTCTGCCTGTCTTCGATACTCGCCGTATGACTTCTCCAGCGGCGCACGTGCGTCGTCGCTTGCGTCCTGCATCCTTCGTGACTTGAAGAGTCGCTTTACCTTTTCGCGCATGATGTTCGCCTCGGCAAGCTCCTGTTGATATTGGACAGCCTTGTTGATGTTCCTGTGCAACATAAATTTTAACACTAAGACTGACAAATATAACAAGGCTTACTTCACAAGCGACTTCCATGTCAAGTTTTGCGCGTCAGGTATGAGCTCGTCCAACTCGGTGTTAGCAGTAGGGAGTGTATCTTCAGAAGGACTAAACGTAGGGTCGTCGAAGGCATAAGACGGCCTGCGCACTGCGGCTGGTGAGTCCAGCATCGGCGCAAATGGATTACTCATTTCTTGGTGGTCCTGAGTGGCAGTGCTAGAGTGGAGGACACTGCTGGTCATGATAGACAGTGGCTGCTTTGCAGAAGGATCAGCAAAGACATGGATGCCTCAGAGAACACTCATGGACTTACCTTCGACTTGTCCCGTGCCACTATGCTATTCGCCCCTGAGGCAGACGCGATGGAAGCCCAACCGTTATCCACGTTGGCGCCCCACGTATCCCCTGCATTGCGTGTCGCTCCCGCTTCGTCAGCTGAGCTCTCAGTTGTTCCCCATGTACCCCCTGCATTCCCGCTAGTTCCCAGCCCGCCAGTGTCCCATGCGTGACTACTGCCCCACCCAACATCTTCGTTACCTGTATTGTTGGCTTCGGCCCGGGGTAGGCTGTTAGGCTTTGGTAGCGATCTTGCCACAGCGGGTACTTGCACAGGTGCAGACGTACCGGACCCGCCGCCGCTCGTGTCGTCCCAGCCTCCGCTTCCAGCACCTGCGCCAGACCCCCAGGCACCAGGGTCTCCCCACCCGCTTGTTGACTCACCCCATCCGCCAGTCGAGTCGCCCCATCCGCCCGACGATGCTCCCCGCCCACCCGCCGATGCGCCCTGCCCACTCGACTCGCTGTTCCCCCAGCCTCCTAGACCAGCGGAATGACTTGAGGCGGCTGCAGGGGCTGCCTGCCTGCTCTGTCCCCACGAATGACCGGTGGTATTGGAGGTATTCCACCCAGCATCTTTGGTACGTGCGGCACCACCGCGCGGTCCTGTCGGTGCGCCGGCGGGCGGACCTCCCGTTGACCATGAACCACCGCGGTCTCTAGGCGGCGCATTTTGCTAGATAATATATCAGTAAAGAGCATTAGTTGTAGCAAGATATGCGTGCTGGATATTGAATCCTGACGCGTCTGCAACTCCGAGATTCTCGGACCAATCAGACACGACGCGCCAGGAGCGAGTGTATTGCTTGATATAAGACGAAAACTCACATCTCTGGTCCTCGGTGGTGGTGCCTCGTTCCATCGGGGTTCACTGGGGTGCACAAACTCACAGCTGAAGCCGATGTTCCTGCACCCACCATTTCTTGGCGCGCCCTCATCGTCATACCACTGAAGAAGGCGCGTAAATGAGCAGGCATGCACGACGTGCAAAGCTGACCGCAACGACAATTCACCTTACATCTGGCAAACGGCATGTCGGTGGATCGAGACGAGACCCGGGCCAGCGTTCGAACCGTCCACTCTGGTACTGTACGACTCGGACGCGCTGGGCAAAGGTGGCACTAAGCTAGCCACAGTCGCGCCGCCGATCTGTGATTGCGGTTGATGCGGGAGCCCTCCGAGATGCTTCAGATATTCTCAGTTGCGCAAGATGAAGGACAGAGAGGGTGATCGCGTCCAAACTGTTGCAGACGGCAAAGCGAGGGTGCGGTGGGTGCACTGAATGAATGCGAAAGTCGCGGCGGGTGAGAGACATCCGATCCGGATCTGGTGAATTGTCTCCGTTCAGACGCCCGGGCGTACATTGGGCGTCTGGTCAACCTCCCTCGCAGTAACGACGCAGTCGGTGCAACTTGCGTTCCGCATCCGTCCACTCTAGTGCACTCAGAAGCACTGATCACCGAGCATAATACGAACCAAGTATAACCATGACCGTGCGCCATCGTGTCTTTGATCTCAGATAAATACTACTAGACGATGCAAGGTCAACGCAATGTGCGGCAGACTATGTACAGCAGAGTAGGAATGCAATGGAGAGCAGCGGCTGCCAATTCAGCGACGACCTCTTGGTCTATCTTCCCATATATCAACAACTTCCGATTCGTGAGTCATGACAGCAGCGTCCTTGCGGATGGGGTTTACACGCGGGTAGACGAACTATAAGAGTGGTTCAGCGAGGATTTGGAAAGCACATAAAGTGCGAAGCGCGTACCTTCTCATCATATTCATGCAGGACCTCTGCCGCGATGATCGCTTTGTCCTTGATCAACGCGTCGTATGCCCTCGTCGTCATACTCAGTTGTACACTGACCGCGCCCATGACGCAGAATATCAACATCCAGTTCGCACTAGTCCAGGCCGTCCAGAGGAGCGCATGCACAGGAGAGTAGATAGCGAACAGGTTGCTCTCCAGAGGTCCCGGGACCCACACCTCCAGCTGCTGAATACGCTCGGTGTCATCGGTGCCACTCAGCATCTTCTGGCGGTCCTTCGGGGGGCTGAGGTTGAGAAGGAATCGTACAGAGATCACGAAGCCACGCCATAGATGACCTAGCACGGTCCGCAGCAGAGGGCCCACCCGGCTGGGCTGCCTTTCTGTGTTGGTCTCGGATGGGGTGCGTACACTCCGTGGACGGGATACGAAGGTGGCATGCGGGGAAGATACGGGGTCGGTGGCTAGCGTGAGGTTGTATAGCCTTGTGCGCGTGAAGAGATACAACGTGTTCAGGATAGCGGCGGCGAAGAGGAGTATGCTCGCTGGTACCGTCTAGCATCCTCAGTCAGTACGGCCGTATTGAAGATTGAAAGGAGCACGTACCCAGTCGAACCAGGGGTCTCCTTCCCCCTCTCTATACATATCTTCCCAACCGAGATCGGAGTCGGGCACCTCCCGTATGCGCGACACACGCACGCAGAAGTGTACAAAGTGAAACAGACCACCAATTAGCTGTGCAGACGTTTTAGGTTTTGGTCTTGGGAGGTTGTCGGGAAATAGCGAAATCTCGAAGGCAATCCACGAAGGGATAGATGTGATCCTACGCGTAGACGTTGAGTATATGCAGGACGGAGGACGCATACTAAACTCACTTCTCAACAAGACTTTTCTTCCGAACTACTCGTTCTCTCCTCTTAGCGTTGGGGGTGCCGTACCCCGGTGATCCAGTGGCGGGACTGCCAACATCACCCTGGCGCAAGCCTCGCAGCCGCCTATTCGCGAGAGGCGTCGCGTATGGTGGCGGCTTGTACGACCTTGCGGCTTCCCAGTCAAAAGGAGTCGAAGCAGATATTGATGGCGATGTCACTGGGGAGTTGCCGTAGACAATACGCGTACGCTGGGGCGTGCGGACAGGTGTGGTCGGCGAGGCTTGCGAGGAAGCAGAGGCATGCTGTCGTGGAGATGCTGCTACATTGGCATTGTTCGTTTGCGCGAGACGTCGTAATGAGGACATGATGTATAGTGGCACGGTCAAACTTGTGTGGGACGAGAGCAAGACTGCAGGCTGGACGTGGCCTACAGACTCGAGGCGCCGCAACCGCGTCGGACGCGCCGCGCAGATCACAACGCGTCCGCCGCGTGACGTCCGGAGCGCTGACACGTCACACCTTCCTACCCTCGGTCACGCTCATTGTTGTCCAGTATTGCGAGGAGGGCTTCCTGCCCTCTGTGCTGCACAGGAAAGCCTATATGTGACGTATCAAGTCGCTTTCATGGTAATCAAGCTTTGGGAAAAGCCAACTGTTAGAGAAAACGAGGGTCATGGCATGTGGCTGTGGCTGCACGTTACATCGTGTCACAATGGAAAATCCGCGCTCCGGACACGTGTAGGGGATATTTATGTGTATTTGCACACCAAATTCCCTATTATAGGACAATGTTGAAAAGCAACCATACCGTGCCCCCCGCTCATCTCTCTTCCTCCTTCTCCCCATCTTCCCGCCCGCTGTATCAACAGCTGACGACCCTTTCCCCATCCTGAACACCGACAACGCGTAACCCCCATCCCTCTACCCGCTTATCACCATTACGTCTACTCTTAGAGCCCGTACCTCAACATCCTTGTCGCCCTCGAACTCCGTCAGCGTCAGGATGGCCCAACCCTCGTCGTCTCATAGAGAGCGGGAGCGGGAGCGAGGAGAGCGCAGCAGCTCTTCCCGACACCACCACCATCGCACCATCTCATCCACCACCCTTCTCCTCGTCCTCTCGCTCGTCCTCGCGGTCCTCGCGGTCATGCTCTCTCTCCCGTCTTCGCAGACCCCCCGCGGAGAGGCCGCTACCACGGACCCGAACAGCCAAGGCTTCTGGGGCATGCTTACCCCTCAACGCACCAAGGCCCTCATTGCCCGCGAGAGCAACGTTGCCGTCCGTGAGGCCGAGGTCGCGCGTCGCGAAGCCGAGCTCCTCGCTGGCGCTCCCGGCGGTGTCATCGCGACTCCCAGCCCTGTCAGCTGCCCTCCCTGCGCTGCGGTCGTCGAGAGGGTCCCTGAGCCAATCCAAACTGTCATCAAAGAAGTCGTGAAGGAGGAGTCCTTGACCCCGCCCGGGTGGTGGGATCAAGCGCGTATTCGCGCTGAAGATATCCTCGACCGTGAACTCAAGATCGCCGAGCGCGAGCGCGAGATCAGCCGGCGCGAGGAGGCGGTCAACAGGCGCGAGCACGACGCGTCTCGTCGCGAGACTTGGATCATGGAGCAGCTAGTGTGAGTGTGACAGTTCGCGTTTTGGGCATGTCACACTGATTAGATTGTCGATGCTCTAGTGCATTGAATAATGAGGAGCCGATTGTTGAAGAAGAATACGTCCAGTACGAGCCGGCCAACGCAAGACGGAAACCCAAGGTACCGCCGCCCCCGCCTATTCAGCGCCGCTCCGAGCTCTGAGACGAAGGGGGATCGTACTCCATCTATGCCGACAATTTCTTTTTCGCTCTTGTGTACAAGTTCGTTGTCTCCGTCACGTCCTCCCCCTCCTTCGTCGCTGGGCTTGGGGGACCACGGTGCTTCAAGCTTTGTCCCCCTTGTCCTTACTGCAAATGATAACCCTTCTGTGTCTGCTGGTGTAACGCCCAATACCTATCCGCGCGCGAGACGCGTGGTTGAGGACAACGCGCTTTCCACGTGATGGCTACTACTGGCACCGTCACGCCCCTCACGCAGTGAAATCGGACGCGGGCGGGTTATCATCTTGCATCCCCCTCTGTTTGTGTAAAGGAACATCACTGACACGCGTTCTCTGTTTACAGAATCCCTTCCACAACGCTGCCCCTTATTATGACTATGATACTCCCTACGATGCTCCCTACAACGCTCTCCCGCCTCCGCTCGTTTTCACGGAGACGGCCGTTGAGGTAGCGGTCGAAACCAAGACTGTCACCCACACGCTTAACCAAGTCGTACCGACCCAAGTCAGTAACCCGCCACCTGCGAACACTCGTCGCGCCGCTTCACCCACTCCGCAAATCGTCACCCCTTCGTCGTCCACTACGCACATCCCTCGCACGACTGCCGTTGAGGTGGTTGTCGAGGAGCCTGTGATCGTAGAACCGGAGATCGAAGAGGAGCGCACCATAACGGTGAAGCGGGGCCCACGCGCGCGACCCCCTGCCCGCTGGTGGGGATGGTGATTTGGTCCATCGATGCGATGAGTTTCTGTTACGTGCGCTACGAGCATTGACGTCTTGATCTTCGCTGGACCTATTTGTATTCCCGCTTGATAACCTTCCCCCTCTTTATCGGGCAGTGTTTATTTGCTTCGCTGCTGACAAGCTGTACTACCATGCACTGGATGTGCTCCATCTACCTACCGAACCCCGCGCGATACCTAGCTCCCTCTTGCTTCCCCTCCTAGACATGACGCGACACGATTACCTGATGGATGGAGGTCCACTCAGCACGGCAATTCTAGTTTTCGCTCCTTCTATTGTGGTATTACTTGATGACAATGACGAGTGGGATAGTGTAGTTTACTTACTAGGGCTACCTAGGAGTCCTCTGTGTCAATACACTGTGCCTCGTATGTCTGTTTGGTGGGCATTGAGTGTGTCCTTTCACTGTCAGTTGAAGCCTCACGCAGGGGCGGAGATGATCTTAGGGGCCGGGCGATCGGAATCGACGTTCGCCATGCTTCGGAATCAGATTAGGCCGTATGGAGGACGCATGGGCACATTGCTGTATCAATGACTGCTGCCAGGACTGAGCACACCGCTCGCCACAGCGAACTCGCAGCAGGGAGGCAGCGGACAAAGCCTGATTGAGGCAGCCGGGTGACTCCAACTCGCACAGTCGCACTCGAGTGCACGCCGCGTCGCCTCTTGCGCGCTACCGCCACCAGCAGGCGGGACAACGTAATCTCGCAGCCTCCCTTTTTACTTCCCTACTTATCGCCTTCTGGGGTGCTTCCGACTCCTCGATTCACACATCCTTCACTCTGGACAAGCTAGCACGACAGTGGCTATGGCCACCTCCTTCGCCGCATATGCGTCACAACTGCTGAACAGGCCGCAAGCCGGGACTTCGAGTCTGTCGTCATCCCAGCCTCTCTTCTATTCTTTCTCAACCGAGAACGGGTCTCGTGCAGGCAATCCCGAGGACGCTGATCTTGACGACCTTGACGACCTTGACGATCCTCATCTGAACGCGATGAGCAGGGACACCATGAGGGGGCAGCGGAGTAGAGTGGACGAAGAAGACGAGGATCCCTATTTGCGGCTAGACGAGGAGGAAGCAGGCATGTCAAGACATCAGGCGCAGTCTGTACCTCTCCTTGGTGTCTCTCAAGACGATGGTGCGAAAGGCTGGCTTGCGCACGCCTCACCGCTGCGCTCGCCATCGCCTTCACCCTCGTCGTCCTCGGTTGACTCCGGGCACCCGCCGCCAGATATCATGGCGGCGACGTCCAGACCACCGATACGCACCGAACGAGTACCTCCACCCCTGCCTCCACCACGAGCGGAGGTCGCCCTTTCTTTGACTGAGTCGCTATTGCCTCGGGATGGACGGACGCGACCACTGGACGTCTTCTCACTCCCGGATCCCAGGTTTGTCCCAAAGAGTAGACGGAAGTACAACGACTCGTCGTGGACAGCAGCCTGGTGCGCAAGCGTCGGCACATGTCTGTTCTTCTCCATCCTCGTCCTCTTCCTCACGCGTCAACCCGACAACCGCCATCGAGTTATCCTACCATATGTCACCCTTCTGCATACCGTCCCCTTGCTCACGATACTGATCTTCACGAGTGCATGTGTGGCCTACGCACACGTCCTTCTCCTACGGATATTTGTGAAGCCCGTTATGATCGCCACTTCAGTATTCATACCGGCTACATTGTTCATCTCGGCCATCTGGGCGTTTGTGGGTAGCTTCATGTGGGATGGGAACCAGGAACCAACATGGGGAGAGACGGTCGGGTAAGTCGCAGTCGCTCCTTAAGGTGGTATTTGTGCTGAGCCAGTTGCAGTCTCCGTTTATTCTCAGTAGTGCCTCTAGTCCTCTCACTACTCACTGCGCGGCGACTGCTTGACCTTCCGAGGGACATTCATACTGCATCCTCATTGCTCACCCTGACTACTCGGCTGCTCATCGCGAATCCCTTCCTCCTCGCGCTTTCGCCCGCTGTCCTCCTTGCATCTCTGCTGCTCTCCATCCCGTTCATCACCCTGGCCTTCCGCTTGCTCCTCATCGGGTACTTCACTCAGGCATCAAGCACATCTGGTTTCGAATGGCACGTTCGAGGATGGGCAAACTGGTCGATAGTGGGGGCTCTTGGTGTTTGGCTATGGAGCTGGGGCGTGGCCCGTGGCTTGCTCCGTGCCAGCTGTGCGGCGACGATCGGTGCATGGTACTACGCTGAGTACGTAATTTAACACAGTTACACCGATGTCCTTCGCTCATGGACAACATCTACCATTAGCCCCTCGTTACCTCCTCCGCCCCCGACTTCCACGCACACCATCCATGCTGCGATCACACGGGCGACGCAGCCGTCCCTGGGCTCGATCGTCCTCTCGGCCCTGATCCTAGCGGGGATCAGGCTTCTCGGCTTGCTGACGACAGGGCTGCGGATGCTCCCGTACTACCTCCCGCCACATCTCCGCTTCATGAGCGTCGGCGCCGGTATGCTGGTGGCGTACATGGAGACCATTACGGGCACCCTCAGCAAGTACGCCCTGATCTACGTCGGCCTGACGGGGGATCCGTTCTTCCCAAGTGCTCGGAGGTCGCGCGCCTTGACGGCTGCGGTGGAGCATTCGTCTGCGATCAATTACCGACGCAGGTTCAGGACTGAGCGTATGTGTTTAATCTGTTCAATGATGTGGCGTTGCTGACTGTCATCCACAGCGCCTCTCACGCTACTCACTGTCGCGCCGCTCACGCTGACATTCCCGTTTGCGCTCGGGACGTACCTGTTCGTTGCACATACTCTGAACGCACCGGACCAGGCGTTGTTCGCGGCGATGCTGGCCGGTTGTATCACTGCTTTGGTGGGCTCGTTCTGCGTCGGCCTTGTGAGAGATACGTAAGTTGTCTTTTACACTTCCATTGCTGAATTATACTGAAAGCGTTTGTTGGTCAGCGCGGACACGCTCTATATTTGCTACTGCATAGACAAGGATATCGGATTAAGACGCAGAGACGAAGTCTTCGAGGCGGTAAGTCTCACAACATCATGGCTGCGGAATCACTCCTCTGATCGCAATCTTGTGTAGTTCGAGTATCAAAGTGCCAGGCGAGCACAACCGGCGAATTTCCGGGCGCCACCGCAACGGATGCCTGAGCCGCAGCAACCTCGCTCTCGCCTCGAACCCGCGGTGCAGATGCCGCCTCCACGGGCGGAGACTCCAGATCCTTTCGAGCAGTCTCCCACCGAGGAGGAAGAACACCCCTACCCTGACTCGATGTCGCCCTCTTCATCCGCATTCAACTCGAAGTCCCGGCTGCCCCTGAGTCGGCGTACGAGTATGCTAGACCCAGTCCTCAGCACTACACTTCCGCCGCATCAGGAGAGTGACGAGGACAGCATGCAGGATGAGGACCTGCCGCTGTTCCCCGGCTCCGATCTCTTCTGATATACATACGCACTGACTGTCAATGTCGTCAAGATCCCTTCATGTCTTCACGGGCCATTCTTATGTATTATATCTTCATCTCGCTGTCGACCAGGACATTGTTAGCTCGTTGCATCCTTGGTGGTACGTAGTCGGATGCTGCCGTCAATCCTGACATTGCATATAGGTATGTTCATAGACTGATACTCTGATCTCATGTTGTGTGAATGCTCTGCGCGCGGCCGTTGAAGGTGCGCTGACTTCTGAAGATCTGATATGGTGCTATTCAAGTGCAAGTATGTTCTTCACTTGATTGCGTCAAGTACAGCATATTGTCAAATCGGAGAGCATATATTGAGTGTGACAATAGATCCATCTCGTTCTGACCATACTGTAAAAGCGCAAGGGGGAGAATGGCGATTTTGGTATACAGGGTTGTTTGCGGGATCGAGGTGAGTGAACCACCTTGATACGCATACTTCGTAGCGATACGAGACGATCTGAGTATGCCTTGCGGCGGTTCATGATGTAAAAGAGCGGAAAGGTGAATGAAGGATATCTAAACCAGCTCGACGTAAAAGAAGAAATGACCTGTAGAGATTGTGTAGAGACGTCGGTCAATCATCTGCGTATCACCGCACCGCACGTCGTCCAAGTCAAAGCCTCTCTACCTTCCGGTGCCCAGCGGTGCTGCCCATCCAGTGAAGCTTCAAATCTCACGGCCTGAGATGCGATGCGTCTGTCCAGATTCGGTCAATAGAATTGTCAGAGATGTTGGCCCTCGGTTTTCATTCCGGGTCGACCTGATGGAGACCGACGCAACTGGCAGGTCTATGTCGAATGGAGGATGGCTTCGCCGATTGTAAGAAGCAGGTTGGCCGTGCGCTCTGGGCCGTTTGGCTCGTGCGGAAGGAAGCGGCGAGTCCGCCTTAAGAGGGGTGCAGGATCTGCGAGCGGAGGAGGCTGTCGGCAAGGAGGCTTAGATGGAGCTTCTTGGCGGGAGACTCGGAGGGTAGAGTATTGGAACCAAGGCCGGGAGAGAGCGTGGCTTCAGAGCTGGCGGGACGCTTGGCTGAATCTGGAGGCAAATCCGACTTTGCACAAGTCTGAGACAGTTTTTGACCTTTCAAAAGGCAGTTTTTGACCATTTACGACTGTTCATGACCGTAAAATGATTGTTGAAGAAACAACCGTTGAAATGCTTTGTACCATCGTCTATGGGATGCTGGGGGTCGCTCGAGTCGATGAGCCACAATCCGTGAGCCGGGGGAACGGGTCGTGGCTGGGGACGGATAGCGTGCCGCGGAGTTGACGAGCTGTTGACGAGTCTCGACAACAACTCGACAAGGCGAACGGCGGCGACCTCTTGCGTTTGCCATCCACACGCTCAGCTTCACACTGTGTTTGACTTCGTCGAAATGCTTTCTGGAAGCCTTGTATGCCTTCGTATGCGTGCGATACGCTCGTCCCGATATCTCTGACCGGGGTTCTCTTCCGTCGAGCTGCTGCTCTCGTTCGCTGGCGACGTCGACGACAGACGGTCACACGGTGTATTCCCATGGTCCTGAGGCACGCATGGCGTGGAGGGTTCCTCTCCTATGGACTGTGCCGTTCGATCCGCAGCGGAGAACGCAGACGTGCTGGAAACGGTTGCGCGCCCCTCGACCGCAAGGGCAACGCATCGACACTGTTGGGGACAGCTTCTCGGGCTGACAAACATGATCTTCCTCTTGGGCTCGTTGCGGCTGTCATTCGACCTCTGTGTTTTTTCTCTGGCTGGTGCGATGACACTGGTCAACTAGTTCCGCAATAACACTCAAACGAACGAAACTTTGCCTCGAGCTCGCGCTGTCTCGCTTGATTGTCGACTGTCTGCCGGCTGGTTGATATCTCGAACCCTTGTCATGCGCATACTTGAAGCACGCAACTGGGGCATTACACCCCCTCGAAATCCTGCACATCAACAACAAAAACATGTATTGTGCCAGTGCGCTCACTGCGATGAATGATCATCGGTACGTCTGTCGATATACACTTGTCGTCGTCTTCTGTACGCGAGGGACGTGCTTGGTATTTAACCTGCGACTGCCCACCGGTTGCTAGGCGGGGCTATGGTAGCGCATGGCGTGCAATGTTGCTCTTGGGGCTCTGGGGCTGGCTGGGACTTTCATCACGCCTTGAATGTCGGGCTTGTTACTCTTCAACCTTGCTGTTGAGGCACACAGCTTCAGCACACGGTGGATGCGTAACAACATGGTTCGAGATGACTCGCCTCAGCCGCAGAAGCCCGCCTTTTGCGCGCCCTTGTGACCTGTGACCCGACGTCACTTTCCCGATATGGGATGACCGCCCTCGACGTCGGAGTACTTGGCGGCGACGAGATACGCTTGCGCTGCCATGCTGTTTGGAGAGAGAGTCGTGTGTGGTGCCCCACTGCACACTTTCTGGTACGCTCCAACAACATGGCTGCATACCGGGCAGGCAGTGTGGGGTGCACATTGGAGGGCACACAGTACATCCGAGTCGTCGCGAGGTCACTGTCTGGCCAGGACACCATGCAGATAGCAGGGCACTGAACTAGACGTGCCCCTTCAATACCATGTAGTGCCTGAGCTATATGAGAGCATCCCGCGGTCTCGCACTGTCGAAAGACTTCCAACACCGTCACGTTCGAACAACGTTGCAGCTCTGATGACTCCGACTCTCACCTGCATCCTTTAGTTTAGGTTAACCTTCGTTGCCTCTCATTGACTTCCTGCGATTGGCCTCTCAGATGTGCAAGAATACCAAGTCTGGCGAAACGAGCCAGGGATCGAGGAGAACACCGCGTGGTGCTCGCGGAAGCAAAGTTTCGTCGTGGATTGCGCGCGGCGACTTCCTGCGCGCTCATCTGGACGGAACTGTCGCTGCAATAGGCAAAGGAGCAGTGATCGCCGACGCGTACTCTGCATTTTATGGAGGTCTCGCTTCCGTCGACCCTGACATAAATTGGACTCGTCCTCGCCCGACCCATTCTCATCCCTTTCCCCAACCTCCACCATTGGCCTTCCGCTCTTCGCCCCGCGCTTTACTCCTACACTATCGATTCTCATAGTCTGAATTTATGGGGCGTTTCTGTCCAACGCCTAGCCCTACATTCGCTCCTGGCCATCCACTTCCGCGCGACTCAGGCCGCCTCCCTGCATATCGCGAGAGCCACATGCGGCGATTCCACCCATATCCTAGATATCCCCAGCCCTCGTGGCAGCAGTACGAGCATTTGATGGTACGACTATGATTGTCGTTGATATTGACGTCGCCCACCTGCTCACTCAGAATCCCATAGCAAACCGTGGACAATCGTCAGGATAACCCCTCAAAGATGCGTGGGATATGTCTTCGTTGGTAAGTCGGGCCTACTTTACTCGTCAGCGAGTCTCATAGTGCGACTTCAGTTCGTCATCGACGAGGTCGAGGAGGAAGACCTGGCTAACTTGGAACGAGCGCTCTCGAACCAAGTCCCTGCGAGCAAGCGACGCCGTCGTCTGTCTGCATTGGTCATTGTAAGCTATTCGTTCTGTGCGAATGGCTTGTCGTTCTGATAACTTAGTCTTCTCCATTGTCCAGGAGCTTGCACTCGCCATCAAGCATAAAGTGACCTCGCACATGATACGCTCGCCAACATAAGCAAACCATCATGGCGACCGTCTGGTGCGACCTGGACCAGACAACTTCAAAATGCTCACGAGTCACGGAAAATGTAGAACGGACTTCTTGGTGTATCATAGCTCTCTGTTTTTGGATTTGCTTTGTCACTCTCTTGCTCTGATGAATATGCTGATCTTGCTCACGCTTTCCATACTAATACTGCGTCATCTCAATTGCTAGTTCGTGTATCATACGCAGTCTTGAAGTTGAATGGATAGACCACGCTCGCTGATGTTGATGTGACTGTTGTTTGGACCAGCCGTTCTCGGTAGTGGTACGTTGCGAGGCGTGCTTCATGGGCCCTTCGACCGAGAGTTGGCAATGGCATGGACGTACAACGGAAGCATCGAGGCTGGTCTCAAGCAGCACGAGCTGTGCACGGCCGGCCGCGGCCTCGCCGCGGCAACACGTCGTCGTCGGTCGACACGTCTGTCACATTTGACGTGACACCGACGCACGTGGTACGTGTTCCCGGGGTTCCCCCACGCGCCTTCGCGCCGCCGCTCAGCAAGCACTGCTCCTGAACCACATCTTCGAATCCGTCCTCTCCTCTGCTCGTTGATAATTGCAGGCAGCTCCACATTTCTATTACGCCAGGTACCACGACTGCCAGTCACCGGAAGATCCTATACGTTGTTTGGTGACGGAGTCGTCATCCGAACTGGAGGTGCTGCACACGAGAAATATCGGGGAACGGAAGCAGTCGAGGTAGCAGGTGAGCAGTGTCAATACTCAGCACTGATTCTGACGCTCATGCCACGCTGCCTCGCTCCAGAAGCATTGTCTTGCATCTCTGTAGCTTGTGCCCAGAGAGCATGATGCAGCACGAGGACAATGGACCAGTGCTGGAACTATTCGACGTGGTCCACGACGAACCCTTAAACGAAGATGACGGACAGTCTTCATTCAGCCACACCATTTCCTCCGTGAACATATCGCACGCGTCCGGGCATTACGCGTCTAGTCCTCTCACGCTGGAACACGAGGTGAACGCCTTGGATGACCCCGGATCACATTCTCCGACTTTGCTGCAGGACGTCGAAGATTCAATTCCGCCCTTCTCTGTAGAACAGCTTGAGCACGACCTCGTTGCTCTGCTCAAGCAGAATGATTCCACTGTCTCTTCTGCACTGCTCAGCGTCGCAGCGCAGCGACAAGGGTCGCAACCGGTCGCGGGCGAGCCTTCCGCCCTCACAGGCAATCCTTCTATGACGCAACTTCAGAACTTCGATGCCCTATGTCCAAGCTTCAGTGCCCTGGCTGCGGTGCTCCACGCTGTACAGACGGCAGGCGACCAGAATGGACGGCCAAACCATGATTTTGTCTCATCAGGGCCGGACTTTGGACCTCAACCTTTGGACGAGGACCACGCGAAGAAGCGGACGCGGAATGCACCTGCGTTTCATTCCTTGACCGTGGACGAAGACATACAAGGCCTGAGTGGCATCAGCGGCGCGGGCAGCGGAAATGCGAGTGGGACGGATGGTTCGGAGTACCTATACGACGAGGAAGGAGAAAGCGAGCGCGACGTGGACGCAGACGTCACTATTGGTCGAATACGGTACTCTTCGTCTCCTGATCCTGCGGGCTCTGCCGCAGAAGAAGACCCGTCACCCGTCCCGAACGACTTCACCGACATCGGCGATATCATGCATCATTACACTCACTTCGACCAGGATGACGAGGACGATGAAGTGGATCAGCTGGACGCCGAACTAGCGTCGTCGCCTGTCGAAAGCAATATCCTGGCGCTACCCCGTTATCACCCTTTGCCACGGCCAGCCGCCCATGACACAGCAGACGCTATACCAGAGCTTGACGAATTGGAGAGTGATGGCGAGCAGCTTGTGGCGTCGACGTCAAGAAGTGTTGCGATTACTGGTACCGCAGAGAAGCCATCGAAGAAACCTCAGGAGAGGAGAGAACCGGAGAAGGGCGCTCAGGCCCATGTTTGCGAGGAGTGCTCGAAGACGTTCAGTCGCCGGAGCGACATGCTTCGGCACACGCGCATACATACAGGCGAGCGACCATTCGTATGCCCGGAGGCCGGCTGTAGCAAGACGTTCATCCAGGTGAGTGTGTCGTCTCTCATCTGCTGTTTGTTCTGACACCGTCCCTTAGCGGTCCGCACTGCATGTACACATGCGTGTCCACACTGGAGAGAAGCCACATATATGCGAGTACCCCGGTTGTGGTAAGACGTTTGGCGACTCCAGTAGCTTGGCTCGACATCGGCGGACGCATACCGGGAAGCGGCCCTACAAGTGCGAGCACCCTGTATGTGACAAGACCTTCACCCGTCGGACAACCTTGACCACGCACATGAAGACTCATGATCCGACTTGGGAGCCAGACCCCAATATGTGAGTGACTCGTCTCCTGTTCTAGAACACGAAACTCATGGTCCCACAGCAAGTATAATTTTAGGGCAAAGAAGGTCAAGCTCGACAATGCAGACCAAGACCAGGAGCTGCAAGATTCGGTCCGGACACTCTCCGCGTTGCTCACACAGGGCGAACCACAACCTGGGTCATCGTCAACGAATCAACCACTCGAACCGCAATTGGCAGCAAGTATCGGTGAAGAGCTCGCCGCAGCTCTCGCAGAGGCACAGGCCCAGATTTTCGAGGAAGACGACGAGGATGATGACGAAAGTTCCGGTCAGGAGCTGGGCGACGGCGAGATGAATGGTTCCAATACAAGCGGAGTCGGAGACGAAGGCGGTGCGCCTTCAAGGGTCGAACGCGAGGCGCCTCTCGAGATACACTTGCAGGATACGTTGGGAGGTGACGATGCGCTCGACTTCGCGATACCCCTTCGGAAGCGGAAGACGGACGATGTAGCGGCTGCTGTCACTGGTAAACGGAAACGATGATTATAGCAGAGACGTCAACGGTCCGAGTGCCGAGTGAGCCATATGTGTGAGTATCCCCCGAGCAGACGCAGGCAGCGAGCACTGTCATGGTCCAGCTTGTACGTGCATTCGAGTCTTTTTCTTAAGCCCCTCACGAAACTCATCCACTGACATCGTCTTGCGTGCTCAGCTGCGTATGGGCGCATGACGGACCCGACGAGGTTCGTCAAGGTCGTCAGCATGCCGCAAGTAAATCGCTTCCGTGAGCTGTTTTCTCTCAGATCGACTAACGCAGCTCGCTTGCTCGAAATCAATATCATGTTGACCGACTTTGTGGGCAGGTCGCAGGCCATCTGCAGGACACGTACTCAGCGGTACTGCCCTCTTCCGCGCAATGGAGCCGGCTCGTCGACGACTCAATGTACATACACTCATGACTTGAGCAACTCATGAGACATCGATAATCAAGGTCCATCATTTGTAATAATGTGTACCTCCGCGTTGGCGCGCAGATGGCGATCATTGCACTCTCCTTGCTATCGTACTACGTGTAGCGAGAACGTCCCTGGCCTCCACTACGCATGTCATGATTCTGAACGTTGTGCGGGACTGCCTAGCCAAACGACAAATTGGCGATAACAATAATTGTTAAATAAAAAGATTTTCTTTTTGGGCTCAACCGAGAATTGAACTCGGGACCTCGCGCACGTGACTTGGCAAATTTGGACTTATTGCACAAATTCGTCAGAAAACCCGAAGCGCGAATCATACGACTAGACCATTGGGCCGACGTTAACATGCTCGCAAAAAGTGGCCATACACTGCAGAGAAACACACTGGATGGGACGGCACCCAGGGACTGATATCCGTAGCTTCGCTTCAATTATTATTGAAGGTGATCGAGAGTGTATAAGTATAGGGAATCTAAAGTCCAATTCTCAGTAGCAGTCAATCGAGTACTATGTAGTAGAGTACTGGGTCGTGAATAAGCATTGATCCCAACCGAAGAATCATTGCCCATCCTACCCATCCAAACACGTAGTCCATCCAGATCCGTATACATCTACTGGAGACAGTCACCCACGCTACTCGGTGGAGATCACTGCTTCTCGGTGTCACCCCGTTGCGACGACTCTTCTGAAGCGCGTGTCTCGCCTTCACTGCCCACGTGCTGGTCGAACTTCCACGCCGGAGCAGGGCCGAGGAGACGGCCGGGATGGAAGATGTTCATGATCCACATCGCGAAGACGATCATGAGCGCGTCCATGATAACTGCAAACGACCCCTCAGAGCAGATCTACGCGGGAAGAAGGACGAGACACACCGAAGTAACGCTGCGTGCGGATGATGTACCCTTGCCAGCCGTTGGCGAGCTCGACGGTACGGTACCACGAACTGTTACAAGTCAGATAACGGAGGGCACCGGTAGGGTGGTGATATACGTACCGGACGTAGATGCACGCGCTGCTGAATGCGAGTGCGCCGACCATCTGCTTCGTCTTGGAGTCGAGCGTGTATCCAGTCTTCTCGATCGGGCGGCCGCCGATGGGCTTGTTGTAGAGGTATCGGAAGACGAACTCGGTCGCAAGCAGCATGTAGAAGGTGATGGCGACTACAGAACCCATGTGAGCAGCCGGGATAGCAGAGCTTAGGGGCTGGCGTACCAGTCTGGAATATGATACCGCCCAGCATCGTGTTTCCACCAGGCTTGGCACTCTTGTTTTGATTCACCGCCGCGTCTGCACTCGCGCCTCCCAATGCCTGGATAATGAGGGCAATAATATCCTATGGGGGCGTATATCAGCACGGAGTGAAGACGCATTGCGAGCACACGTACACAGCTAATGAACACGATCGTGTCTGACAGGAGGTTAGATACAAGACATGCACAGAAACAATCCGAAGGTATACGTACACCACCTCGCGCTGAGCCTACTATATTGCTGCCCGAGGCGATGGATGACTTGACCCAGGGTTATGAAACTTGCAGCGACGAGGGGAGTGGGTGCCAGAATCGTGCATACGATCCTGCAAAGGGGTTAGCGGACTGGCGCGTTTGTCCAGCATTGCAACTCACTGAATGAGGTACGGTGTATTAATATGGATGTTGTAGGAGGACCACAGGCGAGCGCCGTGCCCGATAAGTTCCATGATGCCCGCAAGAACCACGGTAAAGAGCAGCCACCACAGCCGGTAACGGATGGCTTGTACTAGGTGGAATACTGATCAAAGTCAAAATGGGTGCCTGAGAAGCTATGTAATGAATAACTCGACGTACTTGTAGACAATGCGAAGAGGACAATGAACAGAATGCCGATCCACGCATCCGGCGTATATCCATACGGCGAGACGGCCGTGTACGTCGTTGCCTTCAGCTCTGAAAGATTGAGAGCGTCAGTCTGGATCGTCACATAGCGAAGCGGCGTTCGCACCTTGGAAATGCATCTTTGCGCAAAGGAAGGGAAGGAAGCGGCGGGGAAGCTCGCTGATCAAAGCAGGGTTCGTGGACAAAGAGGTGGATGTATGGAGCGCGAGGTCGGCGCGAGGCTGCCTCCGCAACCATGCCGGCACTTGGCTTGCGGGGCCGCTGGCCGGCAATATGTCAGAAACGTCAGACGGATGACTCACGCCTCCTCCCAATGCGGGGCCAGGGGCAGCGGAGACCGGTTCACCCACCCCGAGGAGCCCACCGCCCATGGGGCTAGGGCGTCCTGATTGGCTGAGCGGTCGACAGGCAGGCGTCTGCACCGCAAGGCACATCGCTGGGCACTCCGATCGAGGCGAATGTTCCTGATCTCGATCACTTCCCTGGCTGCCTCAGGCGCCCTTGTCCCGTACTCAGTAATACAGAGGCTGCGGGGGCGGCAAAACCAGGCCGACAGACTTCGGACACTCGACGACAAAAGAACGACAGGTTTTAAATTAGAGAAATCCAAAAACAACAACTCTGAAATGCACGGTACCACAAAGGTCGAGCCCGTGCCAGCGTTCTAGAGAGCTCGGCACCGCCGACGCCCCATCGCACTAATACTGTTCCTTGGAAAGCCCGTTGTCTGAAACCATCCCAAATTCTGCTTCGGAGCCCTGGGACTTCCCCGCTTGCATGGTACCAATGTTCTTGTCCGCTTTCCAATCGACACCGTAGCCCAAGAGACGGCCCGGGTGGAAGATGTTGAGCGTCCACAAAGCAAGGACGATCATGAGCGCGTCCATGACCACTAAGAAACTGTCAGTTCACAAACGAGGCGAAGGGCATGAGGTCCTACCGAAATAGCGCTGCGTGTGGATGATCCTTCCTTCCCAACCATCACCGAGTTCCTTTCGTCAACATCAGTTAAAGCTCATATGATATGAGGATTGGACGGGTGACGTACGATACACCGATACCATGTCCTAACATTCCGAACGGTCAGTAAGTGCAACAAAGTCGCGAGAACGTAGCGTCACGTACCGAACGTAGAAGCAGAGACTGCTGAAGACCAAGGCCGCGACCATCTGCTGCATCTTACTCTCGAAGGTGTACCCAGTCTTGATGATTGCACGGCCGCGTATCGGCCAGTCATTATAGCAACGCAAGAAGAACTCGGCGGCAAGGCCAACGTAGAATGTGATAGCAACTAGAAGACAATGAGTTAAGGCTAACGGCCACATCGAAATGTGCGACTCGCCAGTCTGGAAAATGATACCAGCCAACATGATGTCGCTACCGCCCTTCGGGCTCTTGTTGTTGTTCACAGCAGCGGCGGCAGCAGCGCCGCCCAGAGCCTGTACGATAAGCGAGATGATGTCCTACAGCCAAAATCAGTATCAAAACCTGAGAAGCTAGCTCGACAGCATGAACATACGCAGCTGACGAAGACGATCGTATCTGATAGCCCATATCAGTTTTCTGCTGCGGAGGATGGACGGGAAACGTAGTTACGTACACCGTCGTGCACTCAATCGGCTGTACTGCTGCCCGAGGCGGCGGATGACGTGCCCGAGGATTATGAAGTTGGCGGCAATGAGCGGAGTCGGTCCGATAATCGTGCAAATGATCCTGCGAGTAGACCTGTGAGAACGACGCTCCGCAGGAAGACCGCCAGTACTCACTGCATAGAGAAGGCCGTGTGCGAAAGTACGTCGTACGACGCCCACAATCGTCCTGCCCATCCGACAGCTTCTAGGATGCCCGCGACAACCGCGGTCCCGGCCAAAAACCACATGCGGTACCGTACAGCTTGAAAGAAATGCAAAACTGACGTAAAAATCAGACTGTCAGATGTTGGGTCTCCACCGTCGAATGCACCACTGGCATAGCTTACCCGTCGTCAGAACAAAGAGGACAACCATGAGGATGCCCACCCATGCAGTCGGCGTGTACCCATAAGGCGATATCTGCACCGACTCAGCATACCCTATTCAACGCTTGTGCTCAGCACCATGCAGTCTCGAGTAGAACAGCCACGCCAAACGCGCAACCCACCTGACAGACTGGCACCAGCCCACGGATGGGCACAAGTAGGACAGAGAGGCATGAACGGCGAGGGTCAGAACAAAGATGCACGGAGCTGGCAGTGTTGAACAACTTCATATAAGAACCCTAGCGACCCGATCTCCACGCCGCAGCTTGCCACCAGGCGTAAGCTAGCATGACATTCTCGGAGGCATCAATATGACATATGAACGTTTCTGGCCGCGGCTGGGTTTGAGCTGGGTGCAGCAAGGATGATACGGGCGGCGCGAACTGGGCATACCGATGTGCGCACGAAGACACTGCCACTTGCGGGACAGCTTCTGTCTTGATGGCCGCGTAGCTGCCTGTAGCTGAGTGGCTTCAATGAGAAAAGATATGTAGATCAACAAGGAGTCTCGGAGTAGCTGATTTGTTCCATATGCGGTAGCATATATCGTGGACGCCGCTGTCGTCGATCAACAAGAATATGATCTCGAGTGGCGGTGTCGATAACGAAGGGTGAATATGTTGGATGGACAGGATAACGAGTTGGATGCGCGGGATGCCGGACAATGCAAGAACACCGGACGGGATTCGAAGGCTGAGATGCAGCGGTCACTGAGCCACTGGAGACGGTGCGTACACAGAACTAGTAATCACATTCAGAATACTGTGCGCCGACATAGACGCAAACGAGTAGCATTGCAAGTTCTGACACTCACCTTATCATTGATAGACCTATCACTCTCGACGCGCACTTCCTTTCAGCCGCAGTCATGAAGAGATGGAACGCCTGGGTATGAAGGCGTTCCACCATTGTCACAGCCGTCTTCATACTTCCGCGCATCATTTCTCACGATAGAACTCCTTGTGTAACCAATGTACTGTCGCGCGACGTCGGCACAGCGCAGCACGTCAGTGGGGATACGGGGGCGGTAAAACCAGGCCGACAAGACGTCGGACACTCGACGACAAAAGGTACATCATATCACATTCAAGAACAACAATTCTGAAATGCACGGTACCACAAAGTCCGAGCCCATGCCAACGTTCTGGAGAGCTCGGCACCGCCGACGCCCCATCGCACTAATACTGTTCCTTGGCAAGCCCGTTGTCTGAAAACATCCCAAATCCTGCTTCGGAGCCCTGGGACTTCCCGGCTTGCATGGTACCAATGTTCTTGTCGGCTTTCCAATCGACACCGCAGCCCATGAGACGGCCCGGGTGGAATATGTTGAGCGTCCACATAGCAAGGACGATCATGAGCGCGTCCATGACCACTGAGAGACTGTCAATGCACAAACGAGGCAGATGGCACGAGATCCTACCGAAATAGCGCTGCGTGTGGATGATCCTTCCTTCCCACCCATCACCCAGTTCCTTTCGCGAACGTCAGTTAAAGCTCATAGTATGATATGAGGATTGGACGGGTGACGTACGATACACCGATACCATGTCCTAACATTCCGAATGGTCAGCGAGTGCAACAAAGTCGCGAGAACGTGCGCGACGTACCGAACGTAGAAGCAGAGACTGCATCAGGAAAATACCCCCCTGAGAATTCCCGGGCAATGGTCGATATTCTCGGGAATACTCAGAAGGTCAGTAATCGACCATCATTCCGAGACTAATATCAAGAATTCTCAGAGCAGTGTACACCTTGTGAGAACGTGCCAGTAATTTCTAAGTAAATCTATTCCGATACCAGTGCAAGTGGGGACAAGTGATATTTCGCCGAAAGCGTGGAATGGCGCATGCAAGTCATGGCGCCATTCACGCATGTATTGGGCACCACCATGCGAAGTTCGAATAGTAGACATATCAATTGCGATTTGGGTAAGGTACTGTACATCGCGCGCATCTCTTGACCGCCTATCTAAGAGTAGCCTACATGATCACTCACCCACCTCCACCGCCGAGTCCGTCACTAGCACAGAGAGAGCACGTACACATCCGCGTTTGCTGTGAGGTGCATGTCCGAGTTGCCTTGCAAATTATGCGTCCACTCACAAGGTGGGTAAGCCCGGCTGACCGCACCCGCCCGAGGTTTGAAAGAAAGGGGCTTGCGTATGGTATTTGGTTGAGTCGGTGGCGCGTAGGTAACATACAAGGGAGGCGAGTGTGAGCATTGGATCTGCCAGTCCGTCGGCGCGTCCACGAAAGAAATTTTGAGGTTTCCTGTCACTGTCAGTCGCGCCGGGGCACCGACTCAGATGTGGGGTCGACGTACAGGAGTGGCCAGGGGTCCTAGCCCCATTCATGCCCGCGGCTGTGCACGGTGCACCCCTGTGAGACGCGGGACACGTTCTGCTGGAGGTTCTGCGTGAGGTTGGCGAGGATCGGCGCGTCGGGATAGTCCGTGAGCACGACGAGGGAAGGCGGGCGGGCGAGGGTGGACGTGAGGAGCGATAGCAATGCACACCCCGCGCCCAACTCGACCACTGTCCATCCGGTGCGTGACTGAGGGGAGCGCGGGAGGGGGCGTACATACCAGTCTTCGCTTCCAGCGGGATGAGCCCGCGCCCGATGCGCTCTGCGAGGAGGAGCGAGGGCGAGAAGAAGTGGTCCGCTTACAGCGTGCGCCATGTTCGCCTGTAGGGCACGGGCGTGTATTGTGCCAGTGATCAGTCGCGCCGTCCTTATCACGGGCAGAGCAGACGCACCTTCCCTGTCAACGGTGTCGTTGTACAGCCACGCGGAGGCGTCCCCTATATCATCCGAGTCCATTTTGGCCGGGTGTGTTGATTGTCGGATGAAACTAAAGTCGTGGGCGGAGGGGCGACGTCGAGGTGCAAAGTACTGAGCCGGGGACTTTGAGTTGCGTGCCAGCGGGTTGCTGTGTCACATGACTCTTTGCCAGGGATCCGGCGACTGCCAGGCGCCACGTCATGCCTTGAACCTTCCCACTCGCATTCTGCATTGACAGTACTGCACGACCTCCTCCCTCGCTACTTCGTTACCGATGTCAAGGCGCAAAACACCGAAGTTGAGTCCCTCTCGTCCTCCTCAGCGCGTCAAAATACAGCCGCCCCCTGGATATCCTCAAGGATGCCGTCCAGGCATGGCACGACAATCGCCTTCTCTGGTGTCTTTGCAAAGCTCATCGACCTGCTGCACTCCCCCGCGACGGACCCAAACGCGCTCAAGTACGTGAACACACACTCGCCATGTCCGAGCGCCCTGTTTTCGCCGCGCGCCGCGCGCAGCTCCTCGCAGACAACGAGGCCACGAAGACGCACGTCTTCTGGAAGGTCAAGAAGGTCGCGATGGAGAAGTCCCTCGACATGTACGATGAGGCGGACACGCCCGCAGAGAAGCTCGACGACAAGGCGCGTGAGTGCAGGATGCTGTTCTTGAGTGACGCGAGCTAGGCGTGGGCGCGCGTGCGCGATCATCGATGTGCTCACACAGCTGAACCAGGAGATCATTGGCCCGTACACTCTCGGTAAGCACGTCATTCTCCCATCCTCCCCTGGTCGACATGGAGGACATGAGCACTCAATGGCATCTCGCTTTGGTGACAACTGCAAGTCCGTCCTTGGCGACCTCACCATCCTCACCGGCGGCCAGGTTGTCACCAACGAGCTCGACATGAAGCTCGAGCAGCTCACCCCCGACATGCTTGGCTCTTTCGGGTCCATCACCATCACGAAGGAGGACACCATTGTCCTCAACGGCGAGGGCTCCAAGGATGCTATCCAGCAGCGCTGCGAACAGATCCGCTCCCTCATTGCGGAGCCCACGACAAGTGAGTATGACCGTACTAAGCTCCAGAAGCACCTCGCGAAGCTCTCGGGCGGTGTCGCGGTCATCAAGGTTGGTGGCTCTTCCGAGGTCGAGGTCGGCGAGAAGAAGGACCGTTACGACGATGCCTCAACGCCACGCGCGCGGCCATCGAGGAGGGTATCCTCCCCGGCGGTGGTGTCGCTCTCCTCAAGGCATCCCTCGCCCTCACCAGCAAAGCTCCTGGCTCGCAGGCGACGGCCTCGCCCGACGTCAAGCCCATCCCGACCGCCAACTTCGACCAGGACCTCGGTGTGTCCATCATCAAGCGCGCGCTCTCGCACCCCGCACGGACCATCCTCAAGAACGCGGGCGAGGAAAGCTCTGTCCTCGTCGGCACCATGATCCAGCAGTACGGCGCGGAGGACAAGTTTGCTTGGGGCTATGACGCGAGCAAGGGTGAGTGGGTGGACATGATCAAGGGCGGTATCGTCGATCCCCTCAAGGTCATTCGTACCGCGCTTGTCGACGCGGCCGGTGTTGCGAGCTTACTCACCACGAGCGAGGCGTGCGTCGTCGAGGCTCCGGAAGAGAAGGCTCCTGCGGCACCGGGCGACGGTATGGGCGGCATGGGCTTCTGAGCGGGGTGTCGTCGTTGAGTTGTGGGCGTGGATCTCCTTCCGCGTGACCGATAGGCGACTGGCTCTCTCTTGCAGACCTGCACCTCGCCGCATGACTCGCGTGGCTCATCACCCTCGCAGGCGGGATGCTCGCCGATGATGGCACGGTAGCGATCGGGAAGCTTGAGGCGCACGTCGGCGAGCCTGGCAGCGGGTTCGCGCTCGTGAAGGACTTCTCCGTCGTGGAGGCGCGGCGGCGCGCTGGCCTGACCGTGTCGGACCTCGAACTGCGCAAACGTCAGAACAGGTTGGCGGCGTTCTGGGATGCGGTGAGGGAGATGCTTGAAGAACCGTATTATTCGGGCACACGGCGTGACACTGAGGTCGGCGAGAAGAAGGGCATAACACTAGACAGATGGGCGTGGCTGGATGGGTGGGGCGTGCGGATGCGGTGTTTGCGAGGGTCATGGCTGGAAGATACTACGCAGAATGTAGAGACCTGATACTGTAGCTACTGTAATAGATGGTCGTCAATATCATTTATCTGACCCATTATCATGTGCATATGAATCCGTGCTGTGAATATGGTCAGGAGAGCTGAATAGTACCTGCATTGTATGCAGAAACACCAAGTAATGTCCAGCTACTGCCTGAGAAACCTCGTAATTCTGACTCGACGAGGCTGGACATGGCTATTTCTGCGGTTTATCAGATACGAGGTAAAACTCAATATTACCGCGAAAGCTTGATGATTCTTCAGTGTTTACGGTAATTCTCAGGTGGGTTATTTCCTGATGTGCTGAATACCAAGGCCGCGACCATCTGCTGCATCTTACTCTCAAAGACGTACCCGGTCTTGATGACCGCACGGCCGCGTATCGGCCAGTCTTTAAAGCAACGCAGGAAGAACTCGGCGGCGAGGACAACATAGAATGTGATAGCAACTAGAAGACAATGAGTTAAGACTAACGGCCACATCGAAATGTGCGACTCGCCAGTCTGGAAAATGATGCCAGCCAGCATGATGTCGCTACCGCCCTTCGGGCTCTTGTTGTTGTTCACAGCAGCGGCGGCAGCAGCGCCGCCCAGAGCCTGTACGATAAGCGAGATGATGTCCTACAGCCAAAATCAGTATCAAAACCTGAGAAGCTAGCTCGACAGCATGAACATACGCAGCTGACGAAGACGATCGTATCTGATAGCCCATATCAGTTTTCTGCTGCGGAGGATGGACGGGAAACGTAGTTACGTACACCGTCGTGCACTCAACCGGCTGTACTGCTGCCCGAGGCGGCGGATGACGTGCCCAAGGATAATGAAGTTGGCGGCAATGAGCGGAGTCGGTCCGATAATCGTGCAAATGATCCTGCGAGTAGACCTGTGAGAACGACGCTCCTCAGGAAGACCGCCAGCACTCACTGCATAGAGAAGGCCATGTGCGAAAGTACGTCGTACGACGCCCACAATCGTCCTACCCATCCGACAGCTTCTAGGATGCCCGCGACAACCGCGGTCCCGGCCAAAAACCACATGCGGTACCGTAGAGCTTGAAAGAAATGCAAAACTGACGTAGAATTCAGACTGTCAGATGTTGTGTCTCCACCGTCGAACGCACCATAGCTTACCCGTCGTCAGAACAAAGAGGACGACCATGAGGATGCCCACCCATGCAGTCGGCGTGTACCCATAAGGCGATATCTGCACCGACCCAGCATATCCTGTTCAAGGCTTGTGCTCAGCACATGCAGTCTCGAGTAGAACGACCACGCCAAACGCGCAACCCACCTAACGAATTGCCACCGGGATTGGCACAAGTAGGACAGACAGGCATGACTCACGGCGACGTCGAGAACAGAGATGCACGGAGCTGGCAGTGTTGAACGACTTCATATAAAAACCCTAGCGACGCGATTTCCACGCCGCAGCTTGCCACCGGGGGTAAGCTAGCATGACATTCTCGGAGGCCCATCACATATGAACGTTTCTGGCCGCGGCTGGGTTTGGGCTGGGTGCAGCAAGGATGATACGGGCGGCGCGAACTGGGCATACCGATGTAGACCGATGTGCGCATGAAGACACTGCCACTTGCGGCACAGCTTCTGTCTTGATGGCCGCGTAGCTGCCTGTAGCTGCGTGGCTTCAATGAGAAAAGATAGCTTAACAAGGAGTAGCTGATTTGTTCCATATGCGGTAGCACACATCGTGGATGCCGCTGTCGTCGATCAATAAGAATATGATCTCGAGTGGCAGCGTCGATAACGGAGGGTAAATCTGTTGGATGAGTTGTTGAGCAGCCCCAAAGCAGCCCCGCTGCGATTTGCTGTGGGACTCTACCCTGTGTTACAAGCGATGTTCAACTCACTCGTCGTTCACCCGCCTCCTGTTTCCGCACGCCATAGCCAGAGTAACTTCGGGCACGACGGGTCATTCTTTCCCTCCGGACCGGGTAACGAGTTGGATGCGCGGGATGCCGGACAATGTAAGAACACCGGACGTGATTCGGGCTTCGAAGGCTGAGATGCAGCGGTCACTGAGCCACTGGAGACGGTGCGTACACAGAACTAGTAATCACATTCAGACTCTTAATACTTCCGCGCGTCATTAATCACGATAGAAACTCCTCGTGTAACCAACGTACCGTCGCGCGACGTCGGCATTGACAGCGCAGCATGTCAGTGGGGATGCGGGGGCGGTAAAATCAGGCCGACAAGACGTCTGACACTCGACGACAAGGGTTAAATCAGATCACGTTCAAGAACAACAATTCTAAAAGGTACGGTACCACAAAGTCCGATCCCATGCCAGCGTTCTAGAGATCGGCACCGTCGACGCCACGTCGTACTAATACTGTTCCTTGGGGAGCCCGTTGCCTGAGAGCATCCCAAATGCTGCTTCGGAGTCCTGGGACTGCACAGCTTGCATGACAATGTTCTTGTCGGCTCTCCACTCGACACCGTAACCCAGGAGATGGCCTGGGTGGAATATGTTGAGCGTCCACATCGCAAGGACGATCATGAGGGCGTCCATGATCACTGAGAGCCTGAGTCAGTTCACAGACAAGGCGGATGGCACAAGGTCCTACCGAAATAGCGCTGCGTGTGAATGATCCGTCCTTCCCAACCATCACCCAGTTCCTTTCGTGAGTGTCAGCTATAGCTCAGATGAGGATTCGACCAATAGCGTACAATGCACCTATACCATGTCCTAACATTCAACATAGTCAGCAAGTGCAACAAACTTGCGAGAACGTGCGTGACGTACCGAACGTAAAAGCAGAGACTGCTGAAGACCAAGGCTGCGACCATCTGCTGCATCTTTTTATTGAAGACATACCCAGTCTTAATGATCGTACGGCCACGTATCGGCCAATCATAAGAATAACGCAGGAAGAACTCGGCGGCGAGGATAACATATAATGTGATAGCAGCTAGAACGCGATGAGTTGAGGCTCAGCGCCACATTGGGATATGTGATTCACCAGTCTGGAAAACGATACCAGCCAACATAATGTCGCTACCGCCTTTCGCGCTCTTGTGGTTGTTCACAGCGGCGGAGGCAGCAGCACCGCCCAGAGCTTGGACGACAAGCGAAATGAAGTCCTATCACCACAATCAGTATCGAAACCTGAGCTACTAGCTCGACCTAGCTCGACAGCGCGTACATACGCAGCTGACAAAGATGATCGTATCTAAGAGCCCATATCAGCTATTCGCTACGGGGGAGCGATGGCTGGGAAACGTACACCATCGTGCACTCAGCCGACTGTACTGCTGTCCAAGGCGACGAATGACGTGCCCGAGGATAATGAAGTTAGCGGCGATGAGCGGAGTCGGTCCGATAATTGTGCAAATGATTCTGCGAGTCGTCCTGTGAGGAATGCCACCCCTCACATGCGTGACAAGCACTTACTGCATTGAAAAGGCCGTGTTTGAATATACGTTGTACGACGCCCACAATCGGCCTACCCACCCCAACGATTCAAGGATGCCCGCGAGAACTGCCGTCCAAACCAAGAACCACATGCGATATCGTATAGCTTGAAAGAAATGCAAAACTATGACGGGCATCAGCATGCTAATCGCCCTGGGTTCACTGTCAAACGCATCGAGACTTACTCGTAGTCAAAACAAAGAGGACAAGCATAAGGATACCCAGCCATCTAGCCGGTATGTATCCATAAGGCGATGCTTGTACCGACACGGCGTATGCTGTTTGAAGAGTGGGTCTAAGCACCACGACGCAGTCTCGAGTAGAACAGTATTGCCCAAACGCGCGACTCACCTTGCGGATGCATGATACAAGAAGGCAAGACAGGAGAGAACAAGAACGGTGAGTATGAGAACAAAGATGCAGAGCTAGTTTTGAGCGGCTTCATATAAACCTAGCGGCCAGGGATCCGCGCCGCAGCTTGTCACCGGACGTCAGCTAGCATGACACGCTCGGATGCATCGCCCAGGAACGTTTCCTGGGCGCAGTTATGTACGCAGCTGGGTGCAAGGATGATACGGGCGGCGCGAACCGGACAGGTGTGCGTACGACGACACTGCCATGGGAAACACGGCTTGTGCTTTGATTGACCGCGTAGCTGCGCTTTCGATGAGAAAAGATACCGTAATACTGAAGGGTAGCGTTGAGAAGCTGGTTCATCCCAACAGTGGCAGTATTTTGCACGGCGTTGTCCCTTGATCAAAATGATCTCGAGTGGCGGTCTGTGCTGCGGCTTGCTGTAAGGACTCTACTTACTGTGTAAAGCGAGCGATGTTTCACTTTCTCGTTGTTCAGCCCGTCTCCTGTTGCCGCAGACCATGGCCTAAGTAACGACGATGGATCGTTCTTTCCCTCCGGCGACGGGATGACGAGTTGGATCGGCCGGTGTGTGGGATGCTGGAGGGATTTGAGCTTCGGGGGAGGTGCGGGGGCCACCCATGTCACCGATCCGCTGACAACGGTGTGTACACAGAACAGTGATCACAGTCAATATGTCGTGCGCCGACAGGACGCCTAGATGCAAACGAGTGGCATTCCATGTTCCGACGCCCACCTTACCATTGATAAACCTCCATTCGCAGTTCAGTGTCAGCCACAGTCATGAAACGGACAGCCCGTGACGGCATCGGGGCAGCGACTGGACTAGGCAGCATCAGTCCTACAAAACGCACAACAGTAGGCACTACCATACGTACATGTAGAAGTCACCATGGTCTGACGTTTGCTAGCGCCGCAGCCTGCTTAGTGTGAACGCCAGTAAGGTTGGGTATAGCCTCGGGGCCCGGGACACTTGCATGACTAGTCTGATCTCGTCCCGCTGCCCTACTTGCCCTGCCGGTGTGTACCCCATTGCCTGATATTCCCTGATATTCGACCCTCGGCCTGATCACACTGACGACCTAGAGGCGAGAGTTGTGACGCATATCCTTTGCGAAAGATCCTGGATGCAATTGAGCCTCTTGGTCATGATGCGTAGACACTGACCTGTAGTCAAAATCAGGGATTCCTCGGAGTCAGGTGCGTCAGATATGTCATTCGCAGGCCCTGAGACAGTGCAGCTACAACAGCCTGAGCGCGGGCTAGATTACGGGCTTCGTCCCGGCAGTGAAAGATTACCGACAGTTCCCAGGTGAGCCAATGGGCGACGGAAGATACTGAGTTCGGAATAGGGTGTAAAAGGTGTTCATAGACCACTTCATCGGCGAGATGGACATGAGGACAACGCATATAATGTTGACTCTAAGGATATTGAGGAAGTGGACTGGATGAGGGGGAACGAACGATTTCCAGACCCTACACGCTACGTAGCGTGTAGCGTAGCGCTTAGCGAAGCATCGGCGATCGTGGCAAATCGGATTGTAGCGGATAGCGGATCGGGTTGTAGCGTAGCGAATCGGGTTGTAGCGTGTAGCGGATCGAGTTGTAGCGTAGCAGATCGAGTTGTAGCGTAGCGGATCGAGTTGTAGCGTAGCGTGGAGCATCGTGTAGCGAGCGACCTGGGATATAAGAGCCAGCGAGGCTGCTGTTGCCTTCTCGTTCCGTTCCCTCCCTTCGACTGTGCCTAGGCTTCCTCGCCGACACACATTCCTCCTGAATACGACAGCCTTACTCTCGCTTACTTATTCGCTGCCACTCGGAGTCTTCGCCGATAACTTACACCCACTTATCCCTTTTCGTTGGGATCTTAACTTACAGTGGCCTTGATCGGGACCCTCGCTCGTTTCCCTCCGATCGCTAATGCTCTACTGAGAGCTTCTGAATCAGTAAGTCGTCACAATAAATCTGTCAAAGTCTGTCATTAATTTGGCCATATAGCATCTTATTCACTCGTTTGGCTCGTTTGGTAGGACAGTCTCGTTTTGTTGTCCACTACTATCACTGATCTCCGATTCTATCATGGTCTTGTACCCATGATGTGTCATGTTCCTCTGTCCTTGTAAGTACCCCCATTAATGTCGCATTGTCTTGCCCGATACTTACTCCCCATATACCTTCAGTATTGGTGAAGATATCAAATTCCACTCGTTCATCCTACACCTATCGGCAACATCCTGTATAGGCGATGTCAGGTAAGTATTCTTGCTGAAAAAGCACCTCGCTTTAATTGATATTTGTCGCCTACAGCCTCACAGCGACAAACAGTGGCCAATCCATGCACACGAGGTTCATGCCAGAGGGCTGTGAACAGGGGGTGTGCACATAGTCTCTGCCGCCAATGTTGCCTGGCAACCTCTAAGCAAGAGTACCAGCAGCGAGCTCAAGCCTCTGAGCCTGAGCCAAGGACTAAGTGGTGCCGAATTTCGACCCATAACTATGTGCCACCGTCGGGCTCTGTCCCTACTGGCGCGCCAGCTCCTATTGCACCATCCCCTTCTAGTATCGCTGTCCAGGAAGCTGTGGCTGCCTCTTCGCGCTTGGAGACCCAAGCGCCTTCAACGAGTGCTGAACCTGCTCCACAGGAAAGGGTGAGCTCTCACGCCAACCCAGCCCCTAGCCTTTGGCAGCAAACACCACCGGGTGCGATTGTCGCTAACCTCCATCGCGACGGCCAGGCAGCTGCTGCTGCCCAGCGGAAGCTTGCTGCTGTGCAGGCTAAGAGCATCGTCAAGAAGCTCTCAGTCTGTTTACTGTTGTGGACGAAGGTGAGTCTGTCGGAGTTGGTGTGTTCTGTGAGTATTGCTCATACAGATGTCTCAGGCTGGCGACGAGTCGACGGCATACAAGATTTCTGTCGAACCGCATGCCCCTATCATGTTATCAGCGTATCCGCACATCGTCGATGCTCTTGCACCTCCCCATCTTCCTGAGTCCTTACCATCTGTGCCCGATACTCCCCGCGCACCTGCAACCGATCCTTCGTCTGCTCCATGTCCTCCAGTGCCCAGCCCTGCTCTCTGCGTTGAGGTCTTTGATCCTGCGCTTTCTCGCTGGGTCGTCACTGCTGTCAGCGATAGTCTTGGTGTCGATCTTGGGTCTCGCAAGGCCGAAGTCCTCCTTCGTGCATGGGCCCCAAACCGCAAGCTTACCAATGTGGACTGTCCAGGGCTCGCAGGGCATCTTGAGCGCCTGTATGGTATCCGCTGTTCCACCGATGGTTCGTATGAGCGCAAGCGGGCTGCCTCTCCACCAGCTGCTACTTCCAGCAGCAAGCGGATTCGCCTTGCTTCCGACCCGCTCCCAATCGCTCCTATGAACACTCGAAGCCCAGCTCGTAGGGCCACAACCTACTCTGGCCATGCTGCGTCGTCGCCCGGTCCAATCCTACACGATACCGGCCGGAGTCTGCTTCGCTTTCATCAACCCAATAATCCCCAGCCGATTCCCTCCTCTTTCTATCTATCGCTGAACGACTTGCCAACCATTGACGAGGAGTCTGATCATGAGGTATGTTTCCCCATCTCATTCTCTTTGTTGTCACTTGTGCTGATTTGATTCTGTACCTAGGGAACACCGAGTACGACTAGCGCCAGTATCGAGCAAGATGGTCCTGCGAGCCTTGCCAGTGTGGCCATGGACAGCGGCGATGCCAGTGTGCTGTTCCCGTCCCGCTATTACTTCGCCGACATCTACCATGGTGCAAAGCGAATCGACGAACTCCACACGACGAGTGGCTTGTCCGTCCGAGATGCCTTCGCAGAGGTCTTTCCGAAGGCGCGCTATGCGGAATCAACGTGGACAGCTGCTAAGCGAGTCCTCCGCAAGGCGACCGAGGCCGAGTGTGCAGAATGGCTTGCGAAGGGCAAGACAGCCAGCACTTTGTTTACCAACTTTCGGAGTATCGTACAGGCGCGGCAGCACGAGCGACCCCTGCCCCGCAGTGCTCGGCGAGGACAGACTCTTCCACCTTCTACACCTGGCTCCCCAATGGTCGTACTAGGCAATGTCCCAACAGTCGAGAGCCATGGCCTGTTTGCCCCTCTGGGCGAGCGAAGCACCAGTGTCGATGTGCAGCAAGGCGAACCTCAGAGCAGTCGTAAGTCGTCTTTTGCATATCTACTGGAGATTACGAAGAGAAGTTCTAACCTGGCACCACATTAGTAGATCGCCAACCTGCCGAGACTGCATCTTTGCAGGTCGGTGAACATGCGCCTGCCAACACGAATCTGCCTGTCGATGCGACTCTGCCGACGATTGGCACAAATCCGAGTCTGCCAGCAATCGACACGAGTCTGCCAGCAACCGACACGAGTCTGCCAGCAGCCGACACGAATCTGCCAGGCGATGCGAACATGTGGGACGACTTTGCAAAATGGCAAATGCTCACGAACCTGCAGGCCGGCACAACTTTCCTCGCAGACTCGCCGATTGAAGACCAGATTTTTGGAGCTCAGGCTAGCCAACAAGTCGTACCTGCAGCTCTTTCTCAACCAGGTGCTCCCTATTACTCGTTCCCAATCGACCCAGGCTTTCGCTTCGACCCATTGCCTAGCTCATCTGTTATCGACCCTCGCCTTACTGAGGCAGCCGATGCAGAACTGGCCCACTATGTCCAATCTGGGGCCACCACTGGCGACTCGGAATTGTTTGATACCATTCCCTAGATTCCCCAGAACCATCAATATGTGTAGCATATCACCCCATCGCATCTAGTGCCCATACCGAATCGTCCAAGGGTAGTTGTAGCATAGCCACATAGTCGCCCTCATACATGTCCATATACCACATATCCACACATTCGCATCTTCATTTACTCGCATACCCATACCCTCGCATACACATCTACTCGCATACACATCTACTCACATATCCACACACCCAGATACCCATCTACCTAGTACCCACATAGTTGACCTTGCATACTCGCATACCCTTCCAGTCAAGCTCACTTGTTTGATACCTCCACATTGACGACTACAGCCTAGTATCCCTTACAGTACAGCATCATAATGATTCAACTTCCCCTTGAAGTCACAATAGCGACTCACAAGATATCCACCATGGATTGGTGAGGCCAAGGGAAGGCAGACGATTGCTAAATGGACCCAAATGCACATTGGCAAACCTTGAGCAATGGTATCGAAAAGCCAGGCCAAGTACAAAGTAACAAACGATGGGGCATGGCATCGAGCAACAGCAAGTAGCACTGGTAACTAACAATGTAGGGTACACAGGTAGCGAACATGGAGCAGCAAACAGCAAACAGCAAGCAGCGAGTAGCGAGCAGCAGACAGCGAATAGCGAACAGCGAACAGCGAGGAGCGGGGGGCGAGGGGCGAGGGGCGAGGAACGAAGGGCGAGCAGCGAGGAACGAGGAACAAAGGGCGAGCAGCGAGGGGCGTGTGGCGAGGAACGAAGGGCGAGGGGCGAGGGGCGAGCAGCGAGGGGCGAGCAGCGAGCAGCGAGGGGGAGGGGCGAGCAGCGAGGGCGAGGGGCGAGGAACGAAGGGCGAGCAGCGAGCAGCGAGCAGCGAGGAACGAAGGGCGAGGGGCGAGCAGCGAGGGGCGTGTGGCGAGGAACGAAGGGCGAGGGGCGAGGGGCGAGCAGCGAGCAGCGAGGAACCAAGGTCGAGGAGCGAGGGCGAGGGCGAGGGGCGTGAGGCGAGGAACGAAGGGCGAGGGCGAGCAGCGAGCAGCGAGGAACGAGCAGCGAGCAGCGAGGAACGAGCAGCGAGGAACGGGGAACAAAGGGCGAGGGGCGAGCAGCGAGCAGCGAGGGGCGGGTGGCAAGGAACGGGCAGCGAGCAGCGAGGGCGAGGGGCGAGCAGCGAGGGCGAGGGGCGGGCAGCGAGGGCGAGGGGCGAGCAGCGAGGGGCGTGTGGCGAGGAACGAAGGGCGGGGGGCGAGGGGCGAGCAGCGAGCAGCGAGGAACCAAGGTCGAGGAGCGAGGGCGAGGGCGAGGGGCGTGAGGCGAGGAACGAAGGGCGAGGGCGAGCAGCGAGCAGCGAGGAACGAGCAGCGAGCAGCGAGGAACGAGCAGCGAGGAACGGGGAACAAAGGGCGAGGGGCGAGCAGCGAGCAGCGAGGGGCGGGTGGCAAGGAACGGGCAGCGAGCAGCGAGGGCGAGGGGCGAGCAGCGAGGGCGAGGGGCGAGGAACGAAGGGCGAGCAGCGAGCAGCGAGCAGCGAGGAACGAAGGGCGAGGGGCGAGCAGCGAGCAGCGAGGGGCGAGGGGGAGCAGCGAGGGGCGAGGGGCGAGCAGCGAGGGCGAGGGGCGAGCAGCGAGGGGCGTGTGGCGAGGAACGAAGGGCGAGGGGCGAGGGGCGCGCAGCGAGCAGCGAGGAACCAAGGTCGAGGAGCGAGGGCGAGGGCGAGGGGCGAGCAGCGAGGGGCGTGTGGCGAGGAACGAAGGGCGGGGGGCGAGGGGCGAGCAGCGAGCAGCGAGGAACCAAGGTCGAGGAGCGAGGGCGAGGGCGAGGGGCGTGAGGCGAGGAACGAAGGGCGAGGGCGAGCAGCGAGGAACGGGGAACAAAGGGCGAGGGGCGAGCAGCGAGCAGCGAGGGGCGGGTGGCAAGGAACGGGCAGCGAGCAGCGAGGGCGAGGGGCGAGCAGCGAGGGCGAGGGGCGGGCAGCGAGGGCGAGGGGCGGGCAGCGAGGGGCGAGGAACGAGGGGCGGGCAGCGAGGGGCGAGGAACGAGAGGCGGGCAGCGTGGTGCGAGATGCGCGGTGCGCGGTGCGAGATGCGCGGTGCGCGGGGCGAGATGCGCGGTGCGCGGTGCGCGGTGCGCGCAGCAAGCAGCGGGGGGCGGGAGCGGGGAGTGTGGGGCGAGCAGCGCAGGGGTGTGCAGCGAGCAACGGGGGGCGGGTGGCGGGCAGCGAGGAGCAGCGAGCAGGCTGCATGCGAGCCGCGGGGCGTACATGCGGTGCACGCGCGGCGCGGCACTACCCCAGCTTGCGGGCGCGGCGCGCTGGGCGCGCCTTGCTCTCCGCCGCCCAGCTGCAGCCAGCCGCCCTTTCCGCCCGCGAGCGCCATGCCCGGCGGCTCTCGCGGGTCTCCGCGGGTGTGGGTATTGGCGCGGAGCCAGGCGGGCGAGGAGGCGGGCGTGGTGCGCGCGCGCGGCGTGGCGCGTGGCGCACCCGTTCACCACCCGTGCTTGCGCGCCCAGGCATGTGGGCATGCATATGGGCTGGGTGGGCGAACGCACACGCGGGCGGTCGAGGGGTGGGTGCGCGCCGTTCGCGGGGCGCGGGGCGCGGGGGCGTTGGGCGCAGAGGGGGGCAGTGGGCAGCCCTGGCGCGTGCGCGCGCGGGGCAGCTGCTGGGGCGGCAGGTGGTCCGAGGGGCGCGACGCGCCGACGGCCGCCTCGCGCGTCCCCTTGAGAAATGCAAGCCGGGCACGCGTCCGCTTTGCGCGCGCGCGGCGAGGGCGGTGGGGGACGCGCGGCGGGAGGGCTGCGCTGGCGGCGGCGCCAGCGGTGTAAGCGCACGGCGCGGCGCGGCGGGTGCGATCCTACCGCGCAGGCGGCACGCGCGACAGCGCGGAAGGGCGGCGGGCACGGATGCGCGAGGCGGGTGCGCAGTGGGCAAGTGCGCGCGGTGGGCGGCGGCGGGGTTGGGGCGCGTGGGGTGGGGCCGCGGGCGCGGGCAGGTACCGTGCCGGGGGGCAGAAGCGGTGTGGGGGCGGTGCGCGCGTGCCAGGAGCTGAACACAGCGGGCGGGTACGGCGGGTAGGGCGCGCGCGCGCACGGGGGGGCTGCTGCGGCCGGCGGTTAGGCCTGCCTGCGGAGCGGGGTCGTCGTTCGTCCCCGAAGGGCCAGAACAATGCCCACTGCACTCGCAGACGGGCTGCCGCGGCTAGCCATTTGTGCTGGGGGCGGCGCGGGGGGCAGGTCGAGGGGCGGGAGGCGCGACGTGGCGGGTGCGAAGAGCGGTGCAGTAGGCGCTGGACAGGCGCTTCGGGCGGTGGCGTGGTTCGGGCGCCTAGTTGCGCTCCTGCGGCGGCAGCTCGAGGCCTCGCACTGTTCGCGGCTGCCCTACACGCGCTTTTGCCACTGCGTTTACCCAGCGATGCCACGATCTAGGCACAGACCGAAACTCACGCCTGCTGAAGCTGCAGCCCGCGACCAAGAATTCCTCAGATTCTGCGCCGATCTCGCAGCAACATCTGCTCTACTCCTGCTCTACTCCTCTGCCGACCCTTCCTTTCGCGCCGAATTTACAAACGAGCTCACCACACAAGCCGCAGGGAGAGCAGTAGAACTCGGGGCCGACCCATTTTCCGAGTTTCTGCGCCAGTCCGGCGCTGCATCTGTGTGGCCCCACCTCCCAGCCGACCTTCGCACTGCACTCGATCACAGAAAACACGAATGCGCGGCCAGGCGCAAAGAGCGCGCCCGCGTAGTTGCAACGATGGGACTCAAGGAGCGCAGCGACGAGGAAAAGCTGGCTGCTCTCGAGGCGCAGACACAGCAGTACAAGCTTCCAAAGCTTCCGAACTACGGCTATCCAAAGAAAGATTACTGGGTGGGCGAGAATGCCCAGAGCGCGGCAGGCTGGAAGGGCTATGTCAAGAAGCGGCCGGCTGAGGTAGACAAACGCCTGGTACTGGTTCCACCTTGAACACACATGCATTGAAGTAACTGATAACTGGGATTAGCATCCTTATCCAGTACTCACCCTCGATCCAAACCAGCTCAAGCTCATCATTCGTGCTGATGAAGGCGCGGTGGTTCGTGATGCCGCGACTGGTGAACTTGTTGCCGTTGTTATTCGCAACTTCTGCAAGGATGCCCCAGTCCTCGACTATGTGAATTCAACGATCACTGTAGCTTGCGACTCGAAGCGCGACAGCCGGGTTTGTGTCTGAACCTTGCGCCTGCGGCTAAGTGCTGAGTATCTCTCACAGAAGCAAGACCCGGGGACTCTTGTCCTTGCTGGATACTCGGCAGGATCGCGCAGTGCACCAATCTTTGATTGGTGCCACAATATTGAGTTGACGAAGCCCTCGGCGGAGTTCATACAGAGCCACGAGATGGCAGTATCCTCTTCCTTTGCAATCTTCTACAACCTGGCGTGTGCCCAGCTCCCTGCCGAGCTTCTTGACGATCTCCATTCGTACCTCGAGACAAATGGCTTCCCCCGCATGGATGCAAACGGGGCAATCGGCACGAGCGAGGATGGCCGCGGTGAGTACTATGTGCAGAGGGGTGAGGATACCATTGTGTTCTGCCACGAGAAGCTTGCGCCACCATCAGGTGTGATGGGTGTCAACTACGCGCGGTGTGTTACTCCTATTGAGCCCCCATCTTCGCTAAAAGCTGATGTGTTCTGCAGACACATGCACCGGGAGACTCACCCACACAAGTACGCCTACTCGTGGACAACGGGCCGGACAGCTGAGGTTGGCGGACATTTCTATGTCTCAGAATATGGGATCAAGATCGAGCAGTCGGCAAACACGTTCATTGCCTGGCAGCCGCGCCTTATGCATGGCACCAGCCTCATTGGGAACGGGCCAAACTTCTCACCACCATATGCTCAGCAGGGCCTCAGCATTGTCAGCAGTGCCCGGCTTGCTTCCATTTGGCAGAAATACAAGGGCAGCGGGTTGCCTCAGCAGGAAGCGGCAAAGAATGCAGTGGCAGAATATGCAGCAGATATGGAGAATGACTTGTTGTAATGTAGAGGTTGCCTTGCAACCTGATTTCTTATGAGGAACCTCAGCCGTAAGGGTGTAATTGGTCCCAGACCAGCATAAGTGATGACAATGACAATGACATTTAGGGCTCCAACTATAATATATTGTATATATACTGTATATATACAGTTTATATAGTATGATCTCCAGCTATAATAGTCATTTCATTTCCCTACTTAAACCTCAAACCATCACAAACCAGTGTACATGTTAGTGTTCAAGATGATGGAGAATGTTTGTACCACCTCAATATGGGTACTGTACTACATACTGTGTAGTATAATCCTGATATAATGATGATTTACTTGCTGGTTTTGGCTAAAGTCACATGAGATGTCACAAAGGTTTATATGTGGCTTCACTTCTCTTGTAGATGTTCAATCATATAGTAGCATCACTTAGTACTAACACAATGCTCCAGGTAGCTGTCTAGATTCAATCACACCAATGATTTTCAGGCCTAATCCTTGCCTATCAGTAAGATTAGACATGCCAGTCTCATATGCTTTTCCGCATGTGCTGTTGTGCTCACCCACACCAGTCTCATTCCAAGATACTCAACCTACCAGCTGATCCAATGCCTCGAGAATATCTCATGTACCATGCATTTGTCATGACTTGTTCAGAAAGACAAAAGTCATCAACTCTAGTATCTCCGTAGTCAATTAGGAGAGTTTCTGTTATGTGAAGAGCTCTATGCCATGTACTCCAAGATGTATTGGGGATATCCATTGCACAAAGTCCAGATATTTAGGACCCAAATTACACTGTCTCTGATCTATAGAATCAGTGTCTGGCTCTGAAAAAGCATCTATGGCATTGAGAACCTAAGTCTAATGACTAATAGAAAAGCAACATTGGACACTGTTGTAAGCCTGCCGCTTACCACAGATCATGACACTTACCATAATGGGATGTTGTGCCATATGTATGCATCCCCGGATTTGCTTCCGCTCTCGAACCAGGTCATGGACATGCTCCTGAACCACGGCCTCATCTCTCTCTGCTCCCGCTCCCCTCACGTATCTTGCTAGCTAGATCACACTCCCCCCGCCTATAGTCGCAATCATAGCCTGTTCCTGTTTCTGTTTCCCGGTCCGAGTTGAGTGGTCCTGCCACACCTCCAGCAGCAGGCCTTCAACTGTCCTGTTGACCCTAGGCAAATTTGAATTGTAGCTCAATCATGCTGACATGCACAATGGTCCTAGGAGCTTTTCATGAACATGAACAACAGCCTAATAAATTAACAGAAGCCTACATAGGTTCTCAATTTGTCAAACTGGAGGCCATTGTAGTTCACACAACAGGATTCCACTCCCTAGTATGCTGTAAGCACATGTTTGAACATAGAACACAAAAAAGAATACAATGCTATCCATGCTCTCCCCAATGTCCGCAAATCATTGCAATAATGAGTCCCTGTGCTCAATAGTGGTCTAATTTCTACCAATATTGAAGCTCCTGTATTACTATACTTGAAACCATATATACTGTATATATACTATACATTCAAGATGCACGGATCCTGTATGTGTACAGATAAAGTATAGGGTAAAACCTGTATGTATACAGTATGTATATATATTGTTGGAGCCTTAACTTAGTGTGATGTGCACAAGACAGGAAGTCTGCAGGGGAATCATACACAGGAGGGGGAGTCTGTGGTATGAGTTGAGCACCAAAAAAGGAGTCTGGGCTGTGCAGCATGTTATACAAGGAGTCTACAAGCAAAGTTGGCAAGGAGCCAACCAGCTGCATGCCAAGGAGTGCACATAGATGCCAGCAAGTGACAAGCCCGGGAACTGAAAGATGAAAGCAAAGCTCTCAATGGTGCAGTCAATTGCATGCATATGAGATAGTAGCCCAATAGTAAAGAGCGGTGTCTATGCCTGGGTGTGTGCCACCAAGTTAGGTGTTGCATGCATGGCGCGCAGGACTCTAGCAGCAGCAGGAGTACAGTTTGTATGGTAAGTGAGGTACAATTATAGAGAATACTGTGTGCACAGCGTAACAAACAGAGGGGTGTAATTATTGAACTTGTTCTTGTATGATGTGGTATATATGGTTTGGACATGCTCCGCTATATCTGCCACAGAAACAGGTGGGAGCAATTGAGAAAGTGGGGCAAGCAAATATGGGATGAGATCAACAAATGTGTGCAATTTGCTCCTCTGCGGGGTGGGGAGGCAAACTTATGAAGGGGAAAATACAGTAAATCTGTAGCTTAACTATACAGTATAATCAATGTGATGAACAAGGAGTGGTGTGGCTAGCCTGAGGCAAGGCTACAAAAGAACACTACAGGAGCACACAGAGCACTGTAGTAGAGGAGGACTTACAACAGATCTCTTAAGAGCTGAGAGGGAAGACTCAGAGGCACAAGACAAGAGAAGAGACCGCTACATTCTAGGGCGTATCCAGCCCGGTATATATACACATGAGAGAGCCATCACATGATCGTACAGTAAGCGTAACAACGTAGAGTCATAACGGAGCAATATGGTGCAATGAGCAAATACACAAGGATGAGGCGGTATTGCACTATGAATGGAATGTCATGGAAAGGACTGGAACAGCGATGTGCTCGATGATGCAATACAATGCAATCAAGGAATGTGGTGAAACATGCTGGAAAGCGGTGGAATGTTCCATCAAGGTCTAGATCTAATCATGTGCTACAGGTCTGGATCAAATCCGAAAAGAATGTACGTAATATGTAGCATAGTACGCCATAAGTCCATAGCAGGTAAGGATAAGTCCTATCCCGTGTGATAACACCTAAAACAGTTAGTTCAACACAATGAGCAGGTGCAGTGTGGGTACAGTAACAGTGCAGTAATATCACACTGTGTCAGTGCACCAGCATCTGGGCATGTACACACCCAGAAATTTTGACAATAAATCTGTTAGCACTGGGATTCACAAGGCAGCTAATTTATCTGGCAATGTACAAGAATGAAACACAGCTACTGCTCTGCTAACAGCCAAGACCGCTCTAGCTTGCGGGGATGCGCGCCATGAAGGGCAAGCTCGTGAATGGTGCGGCAGTTTCGCTGTTTGATGACTTCATCAAGGAAGAAATCATAGCGATCCTCGCGCATCTCCCGCACTATTGAAATAAACCCACCAAACCAAGCATTGGTCATCTCTGCTGCTGAGGAATTGAATCGCCATACCCCTCCGTCATGCAATTCAGGCCACCGTGCAGGATTGCAGTGAAACCCACAAAACTCGTCGGACTCCTTGTGCTTGCTCTTCATGTGGAAGACATCTACAGGCAGTGCTGAATTGTCAAAGTATGTGTCACCGCTGGCCAGTAGATGCTTCTTGAGCTGGCAGGCGCTATCGTAGAAGATGACACGGGGAAGCGAGTGCTGGGTTGGGAATAAGCGGCGCAGAAATACCTAGAACCCAAAATTAGCTGTATGAAGGATTCATTGATGATGGAAGCCTACTTTGACCCCGCTTACTGCTTCTGAGCCATACATTGTCATCCGGCCAAGGACCACCCCACAAGTTGCAACACAAAGCTGCTCGTTGTGAGTCCACCGCCGGCCAAAGCGAGCGCGGACCTTTGGGCTGCTCTGTGTGCTGGCGCCGGTACCACCCTCTTCATCCATATCAAGTTCATCATCGAGCATAGGATCGTCGTCAGAGCTGCCGTTGGGGTTACTCGGCTGCCGCTGCCCAACTCGCTCCAGCCGCTGCCGCAGCTGAAACAGCGCAGATCGCTTCGTGGTGTGGGCGGTTTCGATTGCACGATGGGACTCGGTAGTGCATGTCTTGAAGCCCGACTCTGCATCGTTCTCGCACCCAAGGATGCTACATTGACGCTCGTAATTGATGTGGGTGTCACAGAAGCGGGCTCGCTGGGAGAGGAGTCGTCCCTTGCAGTCGTGAACCCCACAACATGGCCGACCAACTGTAACACCATCTGTGACAACTGCTCGCATCGTATCTATCCCAAAATCAGCCTCGCGAACAGCTAATCAATATAACTTGGGCTTACAGAGGACACCACCATCCACCTTTTGGGCACAGCAGCGATCACAGATGTGATTCCATTGCTCTTGACCAGGGCCAACCATTGCCGTATTCCGCTGCAACAAAGCACTGCTGAGTCGTATCGATTGGTTGGTATCGTTTTGAAGGACAAGAAGAGTTTCGTGCTCATCATGGTCGCGTAGGAGTGCAAAAAGGAAGAACGCATCGGATACCATCGGTCCGTCGAGTCTCGGCACAACAGGCCATACGAGAGGGAATTCAGCTTCAGCTTCCCAGTGTTGTTCCTGGTAAATCTTCGCATTGTTCTGTCCCGAGACCCTTGATCGAGATGTCAGTCCTATGTCTACTAGCGGACAAAGCTGGAAGGAACAATACCAAGCAAAGACCATAGAAGCCGAAAACTGCTCGCAAAGTGTAGCCTCGATATATGTGTGTTTTGCGACCTCAATTGATGGTGGGACTCCAGGGTAGTAAGATCGAAGGCCACGGCGCTCGTGGACATAGTAGTCCGGGTAGTACCGAGTAAAACAAGCTGTTGAATATAATGAGCTACAATCGAACAAAAAATGGGAATCAAAACATACACCGGCATTGGGCAGAGTATGCGACAACTGGGATAGGTCCGAACTCCCGAGTGAAATTGACACAATGCAATGGAACAAGCCGAGTCAGTTTGCGCGATTCGTCAGGACTTGTTCCTTCACTGGGTTGATGGCTCGGAACAATTTTGCAGTTCGAGTCAAGACAGACCCGGGTGCGTGGGTATAGATCATGGAAGCCTGGTAACATTAATCGTACATGCCAGCCAAGACTGTAATTCGAATGTAGCGTACCTATTCCTTGAGGGATTCCATGCTTCGCGAAGACATCGAGAAGCTCCTTAGAGCGACACTGCTCAGCAAAAGTACTGCTAGTACTCGCCCAAACAGATTTACGAAGCGCGCTCCAGCACCGGTCGATGAGTGCACCATCTGGTAACTCGCATGACATATGCAGAGCGCTAGCCAGGAATTTCTTGACATCGGAGGGCAAATTCAATGGGGGCTCGCTATCCGTGCATGGCGAGAACCATGACAGCCGCTCTTTGAGGCACTGTAGTAGACGAAACAGAAGGAGAAGTGAGTCAATGGAAAGGTGCTGTACGATCTCTGGGCATTGCTGAAGACAAGCCAACAGACTGAGAACTGGCATTCCAGCCACCGATTCCCGACAAACAAGTGTTGTGGTAAGAGATAGACAGCAGTGGGCAGAGTCGCACCGAGCGATGGTGCAACAAGGAAAGGACAACAAGCCACAGCGAGCGAGCAGGCTACCACTCAGTGATATCCTCGCTTAACAATAGCTCGTGTTTGCCCGATCACGACTGGGCACCAGGCTCCAAGTGCCCTGGCATAGCTCATAAGAGATGTGATTGCCACATTTACGAGCAGTGATTCATCGTAACACAAGCTCTACTAGGTTTATTGACCATTTACATTATACTAGATACATTGTGCAACAGGCGAGGGTACAGACAAGCGAGGTGAGGGTGACACGACAGTAAGGCACAGCATGGTAGATAGGCAATGAGACAGTGAGCAGGCAACGAGACGATAGGCAGGCGAGATGGTACTTGCAAGGCTACGAGCGATGGAAGGAGTGGGTGAGACAGAGGGTGAGCGAGGGCAATCAACATGGCGAACATTCAAGGCGATGAGAGATGGGTTGCAATATGGTGAGGAAGGGTGAGGACAGGGCGAAGGACAGGCCAAGGACAGCGAGGTGAAGGGTGCACAAAAGGCGGCCAAGACGATAGCGAGCGTGGCGATGTAGCACAAGCAGCAGGTGGCACACAGCGAGGTGAAGGGCGGGCGAGGCAGCGAGCGCAGCGCGCGTGCAGTATCCTTCTCGCCCAGCTTCGACAGTATTGTGTCGGCATCTGTGTACTCGCCTGGCTTCGAGGACACACTCGTGGAATCGTCCGTGTCGCCGGGTGCGTCTGCACACAACCCCTGCGTGATTTCCGCAGGAGCCCCGTCACTACATTTGGCAACGACGACGACTCGCGCTTGCACTCTGGCGAGTCCGCACAGTAGCGTGCGACCGACACTGCTCCCCATCGGCGAGCTCCCCCACCCTGTGTTCGTCCCGCGCTGGCCCAGGGCGAGACGGCCGCAGGTAAGACAGCGGGGAAGGGTGACAAACGAGGCGGCGGGGAAGGGTGGCGAGGCGGCGGGGAAGGGTGGCGAGACGGCGGAGAAGGGTGGCGAGGCGGCGGGGAAGGGCGACGAGACGGCGGGGAAGGGTGGCGAGGCAGCGGGGAAGGGTGGCGAGACGGCGGAGAAGGGTGAGACGTCGGCGTCGGGATGCGAGAGATTGAGCGCGGCGATGGGGGCAGCATGGCCAGGCCGGGGCGCAGCAAGGGCTGTCTTCGGGTCGTCACAGGGGTTAGCCGCAGAAAGCCTCTTGAGAATCCCCGAGTGCGTGCGACGGTCGGTGGGCGCAGACAAGGATCGGGGTGCGCCCGTGCAGAGCGCTGCGCAGGCGCTAACGGCGGACGTACAGTGCGGAGTGAGGGGCGAGCGTGCGTGCGGGCGACGCGAGGACGGGGCGTGACGGGGGGCGGCGGGTGCGTGCGGGCGATGCGACGCAGCCGCGAGATGCAGGAGGCGGCAGCGGCGGCGGCGGGTGCGGTGAGTGCGGAGGGCGGCGGCGGCGGCAGTACTTGTGCGGGACGGATCGGCGGACGCGCGCGATGGGTGGACGGAGCGGCAATGCGCGTGACGTGACTGGGCGGCGGGTGCGCGCTGGTGTGAGTGGCGGTGGGTGCGTGGTGTCGGTAGCGGTGGCTTCAGTGGTGAGGGCATCGCGGGTGCGGGAAGGACGGCGTCGACAGCGCCGGGCAGTGAGGTGGCAGCGACACGTGACGAACGCGGTCGACGTGGCGAGCGCGGTCGACGTGGCGAGCGCGGTCGACGTGACGCGCGCGTGGGGTACGACCGGTGGACGCGACGCGGGTGGGCGGCAGCGGGGGGGCGACGCGGGTAGGTGTCTGAAGGGCGGAGAGATGGTGGGCGGGCAAGGGGCGGGGGCAAGACAGCAACAAGCGAGGTGACGCAGAAGGGAGGCGATAGGGTGGCGCGAACCAGGGGCGGGCGACGCGACGCAGAAGGGTGGCAAGATGACGTGGAAGGGTGGCGAGACTACGAAGATGGAAGGGGCGGCGGAAGAGTAATGGGCACTCACCTATAGCATGCGATACGCGTGGCGCCGAAGCGTGGAGGGAACGATCGGCACTGGCGGCCCCAGCACATGTGCATGAGGCCGCGGCCACTGAGGCCGATGCCGCAGCCTAGGCGCAGAGGCGCGGGCTGGGCGCGGCCCTGCAGCGCGGGGCGGGGGTGCCGACGAGCATCGGGCAAGGTGGCAAGGGCCTATATACGGCGGTGAGTACCCTGGGCTGTCTAAGGCACTAAGACAGTCGCTAAAGGACTTACCGACTTGCACGCCGGCCTCGAATCGCTACACGCTACAGCTCGACCGAGACCAGAATCGCTTCGCGCTACGATTGAGTCGGATTGCGATCGCTACGCTACGAGCAGAATCGCTGCGAGCGGCGCTCGACTCCGCCCGGAACTGGCCGGACGCTATACGCTGCGGGCGCTACGCGCCCGCAGCGTGTAGGGTCTGAGATTCGTACTTTCCGGGATGAGGAGGCGGGACAGGCGGGCGCCCGGTTTTGGTAAGTATGTGACAGGCGGACCCGGGCCGGAGGCGATAGGAGGAATGTGTGACGCATGCCCCTAAAGGGCAATGGCGTCCTCACCGTGCTCTGGAGCCTGCGCTCATCGTCCGAATAGTTCCGTCCGACCTCAGCCTCTACCTGGTCTCGGTCCCGTGTTTTCACCCAGTTTAAATAGCGGCCAACCAACTCTACCGCTCTCTCACGTCTACCTTCTGCTCCATCGTCTGAACCGCCATGTCTGGAGAAGAGCCACCGAGCACTGACATTATCACATTGACGCGGTCCGTGACCATATGCATCTCGCGCTCGGTGGGATCGCGGTCACTGATGGAACCTCTTCAGCCATGTATTGAGCCAGCAGTTCAATCTCGGTGCCGTAGCGACCGGTGATCTCACCCTTCTCCTCACGGCCATCCAGACGACGTCGAAATTCATCGCCACCAACGTCCGGAAAGCTCGTCTGATCAACCTGTGAGTGCGTTTACACGTCGCTATACATGGTCGCTCTGATGCGCTGCAGCATCGGTCTTGCTGGTGAGACCAATGTCCAGGGCGAGGAGCAGAAGAAACTGGACGTACTGTCAAATGACATCATGATCAACTCCCTCCGCGCGTCCGGGAAGACTGCCGTGCTCGTCTCCGAGGAAAACGACGAAGCCGTCATCATCGAGGACAAGCACAAGGGAAACTATTGCGTCGTGTTTGACCCGCTAGATGGCAGCAGCAACATCGACGCCGGTGTAAACATTGGTACCATCTTCGGTATCTATCGTATCGTAAGTATTCTCCGGCGCCCGCTCGTTCTCATTGGCTGAGCGTCTGTGCAGAAGTCTGGCTCAGTAGGAACCATCGACGATGTCCTGCGACCCGGAAGCGAGATGGTCGCGGCAGGTTACACCATGTTGGTCACGCGCAGACAGTTTGCCGTGCGTATTTAACCGAGCCAACAGGTATGGTTCGTCGGCGAACATGGTGCTTACAACTGGCAACGGTGTCAATGGCTACACACTCGACCCCTCGCTCGGCGAGTTCATCCTGACCCACCCGGACGTAAGTCCACAAGCGTTGACGAGAGATGTCCAATTTCGTCTAACGCACGGCGATCCATCTAGATCAAGATCCCGCCTCGGGGCAAGATCTATTCCTTCAACGAAGGCAACGCAATGTACTTCCACGAGCCCGTCAACAAGTACCTGCACAGCATCAAGTACCCCGCCTCGGGCAAGTCCCCGTACAGCGCGCGGTATATCGGCTCCATGGTGGCTGATGTGCACCGGACGCTGTTGTACGGAGGTATCTTTGGCTACCCCGACGACAAGAAGTCCAAGAGCGGCAAGCTTCGTATGCTGTACGAGGCTTTCCCCATGGCCTTCTTGACCGAGCAGGCAGGTGTCATTTACGCTTTTGGATTGCTTCCGGTAGCTAAACGATTGTACAGGCGGGGGGTCTTGCCACCACAGGCACGAAGCGCATCCTCGACATCACGCCAACGAGCATCCACCAGCGCTGCTCTGTGTTCCTCGGCAGCAAGGAGGACGTCCAGGACTTGATGAAGTTCTACCAGCAGGGCAATAGTGAGGCGTAAAGGAATATGCAGGAACAACGATCGTGTATACCAGTCGTATGTAGTCAACTGAAGTGCAGCTGTACTAACTTTCAATGTATCAACAACGACATACTATTGGCTGCCTTACGTGCAAGAGAGCGACAGCGGCCTTAGCGCCAGATGGATATCGATATGGAAGAGCGCACTACGCACATTAGCCTCTCGAGGGTAATTGTACTCAGTGGCGACGTATACGACCCGCTGCCCGCAGCTGTATTGCGGTACCTGCGTGTGAGACTATACCTACAAGTGGTCAAAACAGCGCACTGTCGAGCTGTGTTGAGAATGCGGCGTAGGCAGCTGGTACGTATGATGGACGCTGCGCCCTCTGACAAGCCGTGGATTGAACGGCGCGCGCCACAGACAAAGCGCCCACAACAAACAGGGCAGCCAAGCCGACTTGGGTACAGCCAGGACCTCCCGCACGTCCAGGGTCTCTGCGGTGCCTCCTGTTCTCCCCTCATCGCCCGCCATGGCTTCCAGACCCCAGACGTTCACGAAGGTCGACCTCACTCCGCGGAAGCACCATGGCTATCAAGTGCTCCTCTTCATCCTCGGGACGCTAGTCCCGCCTCTGGGTACGTACCCTCGTCCGATGCCCGCCATGTTGCATCACTCATGAGCGACCTACGTGTCTTGCAGCCGTTGCAGCAAGATTCGGCATTGGCACGGACTTCTTCATCAATGTCGTCCTCACGATCTGTGGCTACATCCCGGGTGAGTCTCGGCGCCGCCGCCGTTCCGTCACTCTTACTGAATGCCGGCTGCAGGGCATGTCCACAACTTCTACGTCCAGGTAACAACCCGCACTGACGATTAATCGCTGCGCATACTCACACCTGCTCCAGAACATCCGCAACAACAAGAACCGACGCCGGACGCCGAAATGGGTAGCGAAGTGGGGGCTGGTGGACACATCAGACATCCAGCGCAAGGAGCGACGATCGCAGTGGGCTTCTCGCTACAATGATCGCCTCCCTGCATCTACCCTCCGGGACCAGCCGTACGCGGAGGGCCAGGAGGGAAGTTCCAGTGTGGATCTCGCGTCGGAGAATGGCGACGCCCGGCAACACACCAACGGCAGTGGGGAGTTCTGGAGCCGCAACGAAGAGCAGTACTACGGGGGATCCGGCCAAGGCGACGCAGGCTCGACCCGGTGGCGCTACCCGGCCAACTTCGAGGACGCTGCGCCCGTGAACCAGAAGAAGAGCAAGAGGAGCAAGAAGGACAAGAAGGATCGGTGGGCGCGGACGGAGGACGCCTACAGCATCACGGACGGCGAGGCACCGAAGCGGAAGAAGAAGTCCAAGAGGAAGAGCCGCCGTGCCACGGACGACGATGACATCGTCTCGCGCAACTCGTCGACAACCGAGTTCCCGGAGGATGCTGAGGGTGGCCTGTATGGGCCGTCGACGCGGGTGGCAGAGCCGGCATCTCATGATTCACGAGGCGGCGTTCACCCCACTGAAGAGGATTTGCTGAACCAGGAGGTCTGAAGGTATGTCATGCGCACTGGCATACATTCCTGTCTGATTTATGCTACTCGCGCCCCATGCTGTGCAGTGCCTAGAGTGCACTCCGATTCCTTGGGTTTCACTCGTTCCTCACCTCGCGACTGACCGGGCCTATATGGCCGTCGATCTGTCCTACGCTGCGCGGACTCGAGACATAGTAGCGCCATATTTATCGTATGTAGATACCAGATCCTGGGGAGTGTACGCTAGCGTTAATACCTGCATTGCCACAACTCGGGACAACCTTACCAGCGAGACCAAACAATGCGATATGGGCAAGTCTTGTGGCCGGATTGCCATGGTTATTCGATCGCTGTATCGGAAGCTATGGGCCTCCAAAAGGTCGTCCCCCCGTGTGCTGGGCTCGTATATGTATCCGCCTTCACTATATGCAGACGCTATTGCACCCACGAAGCACGAAGATCACTGGCAGCTTTCTTTGTCGACGGCGCGCCGCGCAGGGCGTATTCCATTCAATCCGCTCCCACTGTGGCAGCCCGGGCTATCTTGGACCTGAACGCATGTGCGTTTCTCGACAATTCCCACTGAGAAGCAACTGAGAAGGGTTCCCATCATTATTCTCGGCACGCCATATAAGATGAAGATCCCGCGACGGGCAGGGTGCGCCCACGAACGCTTCGCAGACGCTCCTGCTTCAACTTCGGTTCCTTCCTTGGTTGAGTTTGCGCAATGTGGACGCGGCTTGTGCAGAGTTTGGGCGCGGGTCTCCTCGCTGCCCGGGCGTCGTATGCGGCGGTGCTTGTTGACTTCCAGGTCGCGCAACCGCCCCCGTTGCCCTCGAGCGCCCAGCAGTGCACCGTACAGATTCTTGAGTGCGTAATGGAGGTTTGTAGTATACAGTTGATCGTCCAATGCTGACATGGTTGCACCCTGGAGGCGTACCTTCGGGAATTCCTATGGAGAGTGAGTGCAGTGTCCATGTAGTACGTATCTGCTACTACCGATGTTAATGCGTATGTCGCAGTCCAGAAATCGTTCAATACACGTACGTTTTCGTATCATCATATTGTACTTCGGCGCTGTCAGCTTAGAAATTGCTAGTCCCCCAACAGACTGTGGCGAGGTTGGTTCCTGGGCTGGAATTAGCCTCAACTTCACCGTGACCTCCAATGGGACTCAGTATGATCGTCTCGGTGAGACTGATTGAAACTACCTGGTAACGTTGCGCAAAGGCTCATCCGTCTTCACAGGGATCTTCACCTTCCAGAATGTCGAAAGTCAGTCCGAGGTGCTCGAGATACCTAGGAGACGCTCTGACTTCATAACCCAGTATGGAGGACCTCAACACCGGAGCCTACCACCGACGGTATCATCTGGACATATCTCAAGGACGCGACCCGTTACCTCCCGCTCTTTTCGGAACCAGGTACCTTCATTTTGGAACTTGACAATATACTTGAGACAGGGCTGAACGGCCAGTATGCCTGTGAGTGCTGCAAACTTCCCAGTTACTCGGGTTTGACCTCAGTAATTCGAAGCTACGCTCACTGCGACATTCTATGCTTCGTCTGACGAGCATCCGGCGGCGCCGCGTGCCAATACCATCATTCCGGTGACTACCTTGGCAAACAACACTGGAGATGACGCATCCGTCCCTCCAGTTTTCTCTGTGCGTCACTGTCACGCGCAGCAGCGCCCTCGGTCTCACTTCATGTCTATTCAGTTGAATGTGACAATCCCTCAAAACGCCGTGGCGGTCTACGCTGAGCTCTACGCCTCTGGTAATTCCGCGGAAGAATTCTGGGTATGTCATCGTGATGCGCGAGATGGTGATTAGCTGACAGCCTCGATAGTACTACAACGTGGCTAGCGAGTATTTGGGTGACCTACCGAGCGGTTTCACCTATGGTTACGGTCCATTCCGCGAAGTCCGTATGCTCGTGGATGGTCAAGTTGCTGGTGTAGCATTCCCGTACGTCACTTACTGACGAAGCTGAGGTGAAACTCGACTCAGTCTCATGCTTCTAGATACGCCGTGATCTTCACAGGTGGAATTTCGCCCACTGCATGGAGGTTTGCAACGTCAGTTGGCTGATATCCGTACTTAATACTCATCTTGTCCTGCGATTAGGCCCATAACATCATACGGTGCCCTCGACCTCCCCACCTACTTCATTGACCTCACGCCCTTCGTGCCGGTTCTGACGGATGGGCAGCCGCACAACATCAGCATCGACGTCGTGTCCGCCGAGACCAACCACACCATCAACGACAATTGGTATGTCTCAGGCAACCTGCAAGTAGTCACAGACTCGTCGTCAAGCCCGACCACCGGCAATATCACCGCATACAACGTGGAGCCGTATGCCGAGACTACGACCACGGGGACCCTCGACGACAATGGTGATTTGACTGTCACTGTGACTGCTAAGCGCAGCATCCAGATCCAGTCTGATTTCACGAGCGGGAGCGGCGAACACACCTCCGTCACCTGGACGCAGAATCTCGATTACTCCAACACGCAATCCTACCTGAATGGCTACTTGGTGAACGTACGTGTCCGCAGAGACTGAACCCGAAGATGTTAGCTGACAGCCCATGTATTCTCGTAGAACGTTGCGCAAACTGCTACGGGTTCCTTCCTCTCCACCCACAACGGAGTATCAGTGTTAAGCGACGACTTCTCCTACCCCCTGTACATCAATATGACCTATCTGAATGACTCCTACGAGTCGTGTAAGAGGAGCTTCCCCTTTGGTACATGATTCTTGCTCACAAGACCTCAGGGACTGCCGAATTCGACCACTCGTATAACCGCGTCTCGCTGCCGAGTCCCTTTATCCTGGGTTCCACGATCAACGAACGGCAGACCGCAAGTAAGTTTCGAAACACTGTGGTATATGTATCTGTTGGCACTCAATTCCACCCGTAGCCTCCTCCTTCGTGGTATCAGCCAGTGGCAACTATGGCAATGGCACGAACGACGATACATTCAGCTACAGTGATGACGACGGCAACACGTATTGGCGGAACGTCGGTGCTGCAGACAACAACATCACCTACGACAGCGTGGGCGGTTCCCTGTCGGGCGGTCCATTCTCGCTCCCGTTCTCTGCCCCGATGTCACAGGGAGTATTGGCCAAGCCGAGGCTGCCAGGGGGAAAGTGAATTATGGGATGACTAGCACTTGCGTTCGTCGGACAAAATAGGACATTCTATAGCGTCGTTCAGTGCAAAGACTTCATTCTCTCGTCGTCTGTCATTCAGCGCTAAATTCTACGTACAACCAGCCTACGCACAGCTGCTGTACCAACGTGTACCCCGACGTCCACTCGCCTCGTTCTTTCTCGGAGTGCCCTCTAACGACTCGTCGTGACACACTGACTACAACACCTCGGCAAAGCGATGAAGCCCGCCTGCGCTCCGTGTTGAACGGTATGCAGCCCCGTGTTGAGACGGTGTATTGCTTGTCTAGAGCCGATCTGGTGAAGATGGAGTCTAGCTGTCTTGTGGATGCGTCTAGAAGAGACCGACAACCCTGCCGTTCTGAGGATCAAGCCCAACTTCCCAGAAGCCTGGTGCAGAATGAGCAAGCAAGTAGGATAGGATACAATAAGCTGAAGACATACCTGGACGCGTCCCGAGACCTGGCATTGTCTGCATGTCACCACACAGCGGGTAGAGGAAGCCAGCGCCAGCCGACAACCTGACCTCACGAATGGGCACGGTGAAGCCTGCGAGGATTAACTCAGCAAGGTGACAAATCGACCACTGAGGTGACTCACCAGAAGCAACATTCTTCAGCTTCGAATCGTGTGAGAACGAGTACTGGGTCTTAGCCATACAGACTAATGAAACGGAGTCGTGAGTACTCATGCAGCCAGACCATACCATTCCAACTCACTGGAGAGGTTGCCAAAGCCTTGGCGAGTGTAGGTCTCGATCTGCTTTTGCGCAGTCTCGCTGAGGTCGATGCCGTCCGCGCCGTAGATCTCCTTACAGATCGCCAGAATCTTGTCCGCGATCGGGAGATTGAGGTCGTACAGGAACTTGAAGTCAGACTGTCCTTCGCAGGTGGCAATGACAGCCTCCGCCAACGCACGCGCACCAGCACCACCCTCCGCCCAGTGGTTGCTCACGACAGCAGCGTCGGCACCTCCGGCTAGCGACTGCTGACGAACAAGCTCAAGCTCGGCAGGTGTATCAGACCTAGGTTTCATCAGCCGATGACCTTGTCTGACTGACAATACAACGCGACATACGAGAATTGGTTGATAGCGACGATGACCTTCAAGCCAAACTTGCGCGAGTTCTGGATGTGCTTGACAAGGTTCTTGCAACCTTCCTCGAGCGTTCCGAGGTTCTCCTTGGTGTACGTCTCATGAAGCGGCTTGCCAGGAGTTACGTCAGGTGCACCGCCGTGCATCTTCAGGGCACGGGTTGTGGCAACAATGATGACCGCGTCCGGGATCAAACCACTCGTCCGACACTTGATGTTGCAGAACTTCTCCAGACCCATGTCGGCTCCGAAACCACCTTCTGTCAGGACATACCCGACACGGTCGGCGGAATCGCCTTCCTCAGTGCCAGCCAGCTTCAAGGCGACCCTATCAGCCAGGATGGAAGAGTTACCGTGCGCGATGTTGGCGAAAGGTCCAGCGTGAACGAAGACGGGAGTACCCTGCAGCACTCTCAGTTAGGCGTCGACAGCGTAAAAGTCTCGCCGTACCTCCAAGGTCTGCATCAGGTTCGGCTTGATAGCATCCTTCATGAGGACAGCGAGAGCACCGCCGACACCAATGTCATCAGCAGTGACAGGCTCTCCGCGCTTGCTGGTCGCGACGACCATCGCACCGAGTCGCTCGCGCATATCCTCAAGGCTCGTGGTCAGCGCTAGCACTGCCATGCACTCACTGGCGACGGAAATATCGAAACCAGTGACACGCTCATGGCCCTGCTCACTCGGAGCCTGGCCGACGGTGATCTTCCGGAGGAAACGGTCATTGACATCGAGGACACGGTTCCAGGTAATGGTGTCGGGGTCGACATCAAGACGTGCGAAGCGGTTGATTTCCTCCGGCGTGAGGTCATCCGGATTCGTCTTGTCGATACCGAGCTTCTTCAGACGCTTGAACATGAGCGGTGCGAATTCACGCTTGCCCTTCTTGGCCGGAACAAGGCGGTTGTACAGACCCTGGCAGAACGTCAGGTACGTCTGATTACATAGCATGGCAGCTCATTACCTTGTCAGACTGGGTCGCCTCGTGAAACATACGAGCGTCCAGTGCGGCAGCTACACCTCTTGTGAACGCGAGTTCTCAGCACGTCATTGCGTAATGAAAGACATACCCAGCAAGTTGTTCGCAGCGGTAACAGCGTGAATATCACCAGTCAAATGCAGGTTGAACTGGCCACTAATGTCAGACGTTGGGAATGGTCATTTGGATGCAGACGTACCTCGTCCATCGGGATGACCTGGCTGTAACCTCCACCAGCTGCGCCGCCCTTGATACCAAACGTGGGACCTTGACTGGGCTGCCGGACGCAAGCAAACGCCGGACGACCAAGGTGCGCTCCAAGGGCCTGCGCCAGACCAATGGTCGTGGTGGACTTACCCTCGCCCAGCGGTGTTGGCGTGATACTGCACACGGGTCAGAGCTAGATGGTTGTACACGTAGCGTTGAAACTTACCCGGAGATACAGATGTACTTGCCATCCTTGCGGTGGGCCAAGCGGTCCAGCACGCTCAGTTCTACCTTTGCCTTGTACTTGCCGTAACTCTCAAGCTCATCGGGTTGCAGACCGATCTCGTACGCAAGCTGGGTGACCGGCTTCGGCGTCTGGGCCATAGCGATTTCGATGTCGCTCGGAACCTTTGGAAGAATCTCGAGCTTCAAGGGCTTCAACTTAAGGTCGCGCTCCGTCTGCCAGAGACGCTCGGCCGAACGAAGAGTATTCGCCATCAACATCGCGACCGTCATTGGGCCTACGCCTCCAGGCACAGGGGTTATGTACGACGCGACAGCGGACGCGGAAGCGAAGTCGACATCACCGACGAGGCGCTGACCGGACTTCTTCGTGGCGTCTGGGATGTAGTTCGTGCCAACGTCGATCACCACGGCGCCTGGCTTCAGCCACGAGCCTTGCACGAACTCGGCCTTGCCAATGGCAGAAACGAGGATGTCCGCATTCTTCACAATTTCCGGTAGGTTCTTCGTGCGGCTATGGCACTGAGTGACAGTAGCGTCCCGGTTCCTAAGCATGGCCGCGACGGGGCTCCCAACGATATCGCTACGTCCAAGGACGACCGCCTGTGAGCCAGCAATAGAAACACCAGTAGACTCCAGAAGCCGAATCACGCCCGTGGGAGTGCATGGGGTGAACAGTGGGTCGGACGCGCGAGAAGAGAGGTGTCCAATATTGTAGGCGTGGAACCTGTGTAGACCGCGTCAAACACACGCAAAACATACGATTTGGCACACTGACCCATCAACGTCCTTCTCTGGGCTGACGGCCTCCGTGACGGTCCGCTCACCGTCTGCACCAACGTGCGCGCCGAGTGGAAGTTGGACCAAAATCCCGCTGATGCTGTGGTCGTCATTCAGCTTCTTCACGATGTCGACAACCTCATCGACCTCGGATTCGGCAGGGATGCTGACGTGCTTGAACTTGATCCCGACCTCCTCTGCGGCCTTTGCTTTCATGCGCACATACACCGCCGAATCTGGGCGCGCACCAGCCTGGATGATGGCGAGCTGTGGCTGGAAGCGAGGGTGCTGGGCCTGCAGAGCGCGGATCCGCGCGGCGACCTCATCGCGGATCGACCTTCATGCACACGAGTACGGTATGAGTAAACGGTACGGTGCCCAACGTGCTAACTCGCTTACTTTGCAACGGCAGTGCCGTCGACGATTTTCGCGCCTGCAGCGGAGGCCATCGTACGATAGTGGAGGTAGGAAGGAAGGGACGGGCTAAACACCCTGAGAGATCGAAGAGAAATATATCGCATCGATTTCCTTTTGAGGAACGAGTATCGTTCACGCGCTGCAGTGAATGTTCCCAGTCCGATATCGTGCCAAGCGGCAAACGCGGGCGCGCGATAGCTTCACGGGTTGCAGCGCTATGCGTACGGCATGGGTTGGAGGCAAGGCAAGGGCGCGGATGGTGTAGAAGAGACGGGGAGCCAAGGATCGCTCATATATAGAGCATCCACGGTAATATTCCTGGACGCACGTGAACTGTCCCACGCTCGCTCTCGGCCAAAATTTGGACGTGCTTGCCATCTCACTCTCGTCAGACCGCTGGCGTCTTGTCCACCCGCACACATCACATCACCTATTCCCCTCGCCTCTCGCCTACTGGCCAACGACTACTCGTCATGAACACCGCGCAGGCATTCCAGATGTTCCGCTCATGCAGGAGCACTGTTCCCGTTCGAGGTCCGGCGAGATCCGCGCTCTCCACCGCGCGCCGGAGAGCAGCCACAGCTGGCGTACGGTACTACTCTGACGACAAGTCGAGTGCAAGCGAGACGTCCGAGGCGAAGGCAGAGAGCAAGGAGGGACAGGGCGAAGCTGCCAGCAGTCCCTCGGCGACGTCGGAATGCGAGGAGAAGCTGAAGAAGAGGGAGGCCGAAGTCGTTGACCTCACTGTGCGCTGTCCAGCATCGCGTCCAATGTGCATCTGCTGATTTGTCTTCATTGCAAATAATCAGAGCCGGTTACGGTACCTTCAGGCGGACTACTTGAACCTCCAGCGTAACGCCGCGAGGGAAAAGGAGCAAACCAAGGACTTCGCCATCTCGCGCTTTGCCTCCGACCTTCTCGAGACCGTCGATGTCCTTGCGCTCGCGCTAAAATCCGTTCCTCCATCCGCCCTCTCCCAGTCCTCCGACGCGTCGTCACCACAGCCGCCCGCTCCCGCAACGCCGGCTGACAAACCAGCGGAGGCCTACCTTACCGAGCTGCATACCGGAGTAGAGATGACACATCGACTGCTCCTGCAGACTCTCTTCAAATACGGCGTAAAGCCGTTCGACCCGACGGGTGACAATTTCGACCCGAACCGACATGAAGCCCTTTACCAGGCCCCGATACCGGACAAGGAGCCCGGCACTGTATTCGACACCCAGAAGATTGGTTATATGATCAAGGACCGTGTCTTGCGTGCAGCCCAGGTTGGTGTTGTCCAGGATCGGTCATAGTGGTGATCGGCGCAGGTGGGAGGTGGGAGGACATGATCGTCGTGTTCGTAGTAGTGGGACGAATGTCAGTAGGACGGGGGCTCCGGTAGAGCGTACATTACGGCATTGATGATACCTAATAATTAACGAATCTCGACTCCGAACCTATCTCTTAGTTGTGTGATGACATCCGTATGGAGAGCATTGGCTTCGTCGTTTGACAATGACCTGTCGTACACGTCAACAAAGGGTAGTACTAGAGGTCTGACACGTACTTGTCCATTGACCTGTAGTTTATGCGGTAGCAGCGACTGGTACGCTGTGTTTTGGGATGAGTAAAACCATCAATCTACGAGCGGTTCAGCCAAGTAACAGATAGTGGGGGCGACCATGGCTCACCATCTTGACGTCCTCAGCTAGATCACCGACGACATCCCGCACAAGGTCGAAGACGTCGTTGTCGTGCAGGCCTTCGGAAGGTAACCAGAAGCTGACGTCTTTGTGACATGGCGGATACTTGGAGTAGGACTTGAAGGTAGAGATCTTGCCCGGCGTGAACTGGTCGAGGAAGCGTGAATCCGTTGACCAGAACAGGCGAATGTCGGGAATCGCAAATAGAATCATAGCGATACGTTCCAGACCAAGCCCGAACGCCCAGCTCACGTCATGGGGAATATCTAGGAATGAAATGAGAGGATATAGGAGGATGTATGGTACAGTCATTCTCACTGGCTAGTTGGAGGGTTCGTTGCTGAACCAACCCACAACCCAAAATCTCTATCCACTTGCCGTGGAAAAAAACTTCAACTTCGAAGCTCGGGCTGGTGAAAGGGAAGTAAGCCTCGATCCAGCGCACCCGCAGCGGCTCCTCTGCCGAGCCAGCGCGTCCACCGAACAGCGCCAGCATGAGACTGTTCAGCGACAGTTTAAGGTTCAGGACCATACGCTCCGCGTCGTGATTAGAATAGATGCTTGGTATTGGGTTCGTAGGCGATGAATGGGGGACGTCCTCGATGACGATATTCGACTGTGCGAGGTGCTCGGAGAGACGTGCGTTGTCCTGTTCCAGTTCTGTCATGCCCTCCGGAGTCGACCGGAATACGCGGGCGCCCTCCATCTGGTGGAATACCGGGTAGTGTGTCGAGTCGATCTCGTCCCGACGATAGACGTCCGAGGTCAGTAGCCACCGCCTGTCTCCTCGCGCGAAGACCTCCACTTCGTGCGCCGACGTGTGCGTACGGAGCATCGATTCATTATTGATGTAGTAGCTGTCGCTGAGCGCACGCCCAGGGTGGTCAGCCGGGAAGCCCAAGTCATCAAAGTTCTTCGCGGGCGTCACAATTGGCGAGAAGCCCGAGTGCGCGGTGAAGTTGTTGAAGTGCGACTCGATGAGCTCGCGCAAAATCCCAAGGGGGTGTGACGGCTGCAAATAGAGCTTGCGCCCAAGCTTCTCCGCAATGGCGGGTGTGATGTTCGTCTTGTCGTCAGTGGGATATTCTTTGCCGAGGAGGTTTGTGGTCGTGGGCCGACCGGGTGCAAGAGCGGATCCACACCTTCGTAGGCCAAAGGCACATAGTGGTCGTTGTGCTAAGCGGATCCGACATAGCGTGATCATCATCTGAACTGGTCTGCAGTCCCCTTGTGAATCCCGGTGCACTCCAAACGAACAATTGGAACACACCTTGCCCGCCGACCTATGACACTATTCTCCCTCCTATGGACTGGGTCCTCCCGGGCCTCTCGTCTATCAGCATTCACAATTCAGTACATGCAATGCGAGAGAAGACTTGGCGCATGCCTACTTTATCACGAAAACTGAGACGCGTCGACGATGTGAGTACTATACACGGGCCGCCCGCGGATGCGAAGGCGTGACGGTGACGAAGACGCGTCTCGTCACCCGTGACCGTACGCGTCGGTATCACCGGTAGCACCCGACGCAGACATGAACCACCGTCTTCGAAGCTGCAGGACCGAGCAAAGCTCACCACAGAGCCCAAATGTATTATCCAGACATAGCATACGACAAGAACAGCAACAAGAAGACGACATATGATACACTCCTCTATCTGCGGCTAGAAATGGCCGAACGACTGGGCGAAAAAAAGAATGACGACTAGTACGACATGAACTAAACAGGTTGTAAAGCAGGCGAGAACCTAACGGCCATAGAACTATGATACACATATATATCAATCTGTTGATGTCGATTGTAGATTCTGATCACTCGACCACGCAAGTGGTGAAAACGATGAAACTCTACACCAATAGATCCATCTTCTCGGGGTAAGCCAGCTTTTTTGGGGAGCGCAGGCCGCTGCAGCGACGGCGGACGACAAACGCGAGATCCTGACACATGCCAAGTCAAGCAAGTTAATGGGGACAGAAGAGGAGGACGCACAATAACAAGAGCCGACAGCCTACGCCGGAGTTTTTGCGTCGTCGGTGCAACTGGCAACGCGTTTTCGAGGTTCATCAGATCCTCCTCGTCGACCTCTTCGATAAGCGGCTGAGATTTGCATGAAGCGTCTACCGCGACATCGTCAATATTGAGTCACTCACAAGGGGTGTGGGCTGCGCGACCACAGGATTTTCATCGCCAGTACAACAGTCGCTGACCATCTTTGAAGGAGATAAGACCAGAGGCAGAGGGTGGCACACATCATGATGAACGCACGACGTCCGCTGGGTGGCGCGAAGACCTTGCATATGGATGGTATCGCAACGTGTAACTCTGGTGGTAAGGCGGGAGCCGGCTGGTGTCATTGGCAGCGGCAGAGGGTACAGGGAAAGCGGAAACAGGCAGCTGAAAAGGGTGCATTCTGGGCAGGCTATAGTGTAGAGAATGTGATATAGTTGGTCGGTGGGGTCTCTTGAGAAGACCAAGAGAGCGGAGGAGGCGGTGGAAGGACGAAGAGAAGGAATGGATCCAGAGAAGGTCAGGGTGCCTCAATTATAACGGGTAGATGAGCGGCATTCAGGAAACGTAAAGGCGGCACGGCCTGGGCGCGGCGCATCAGGACTTCTTTTGCCCATTGGAGGCAAGGATGCTACCAGAGAGCGCGCAAAATGCTTCCGCGGCACCCACGACGAAGACTTGCTCCTGATCCCGCAGCCTGGTCGTTCCTCAGTGATATGCAGCACGTCTTGCGCCCCGAGAACAGCAAAAGCCGAATCCAGTCGCAGTCTGTTGTTCCTTCAAGCTGTAACTGTGTGTTCCCAAACACAAGAGGTCCTCGCTCAGAGGGAACGTCCGTCTTGGGTAGTACACAGGGTCGGTTCAAATGTGGCCTCGGTCCAGGTATGTGGCTAGCTAGGTCATCCTCCTGTAAAGCCAACTTCAGCAAACGAAGAAAAGTCAGCATAGTGCACCATGGAGCGTCGCCGATGCTTGCGACCATGCGCGATGGGAAAGACGAGTGCGGATCAATGGCAGGGCAGACATCTGCTCCTTTGCTCTCTGGTCCGCTCCGCTCTGCTTCGTGAGTACAAGTACACATCGAGCGCGTTTGACTGCGCTCTCAGCTCTTGTACGTCCTCCCCATACTGGAAATCAATACCATGTCCTGCTCAACTGGACAGTCGCTGACCACGCTAGTGTCCTGAACGCGAACGTGACGTGACGTCGCGGCGTCACATCACGCGCAGATAAGGCGCCCCGCCTCCCAGAGCCAGGTAAGACTCAATCCATCATGAAGCAAGTAGCGTGTGCTCAATCGGTGTGCCTCAAAGTGCATGAACCATCAAGAAGAGCAATGGGAAGTGTGCGTTCAAGGTGCAAGACCGGTCTGCATCCAGCCCCACGCGATATTGCATGTCAACGAGCCTCCGTGGCGACTACGCACCAAGAAATAATCGCCAGCATATCGACACCGCCAACCCAGCCCATTCCATCGGAATCCCATAGGCAAGGGGGTCATAAGCCAAGACAGAGACTCACCAGTACATCTTCATGTCGTGAGCGTATAATATATGCATTTCACGTTGATATCCGCAGGTTGAGGGGGAGTCATATCCCCGTCTGCACGGTGCAGATGTGCGCAGCACAGGCTCGGAGAGCGTCCAAGAGCTTGAGTCGGAGGAGAAGACCGGTGAGCGAGTGATTTATGTAAACAGCGACGCGTCGGTGTCGGTGTCCATTGCGAAGTTCACGGTGGACGAGGACTGCCGTCCATCTTCTTCGAGAGGGCCAAAGAAACGCAGACAGCAAGCAGCAAGAGCAAGGCCGTGTGATCAAGAACGCGACTGAGTTACAGCACGCAGCGAGGGACTGCGCAGAACGCCTATCGAAACGAGAAAAGTCTAGAAACTTGAAGGAAGATAGTCGCCGGTATTTGGAATCAAAGGCCCCTCAGCTTGGATGAGAGGCGGTGTGAACTCGTCGATTCTGCAAGAAAATGGCCAAGGACGAAGACATGAGAAGAGCGATTGCGTTCGCTTGGGAGCCTCGATACGAATCAACTCCGCCGTGGCACGCGAGATGGGCCCCCCGGGCCACCTCCCGCCTAGCCGACGCAAATATCGCGTCCTCTGGCCCACCTCGTCGTCAGCACCGTCTAGAAAAATCTCCTGGTGGTTCCAGCCGCTATTTCCCGCTCAGCGTATTTTCGTGTCTGGTGGCAGAGAGTATGCTGTGATTGTGGCCAGAGTCAAGCCGTCCGCCCTTCTGAGTCTGGCCAAGCGCGTCGCCCCATCGCCCGAGTCTCCTCCCCTACACACTGGCGACAATACCACGGGCCCTCACCGAAGAACCCTTCAAACGACAAAGCGACAAACTCCGGTCGCCTATGGTCTCTGGATCCTACTGCCTGCTTTCGCTTCAAGTGACATGAAGATCCCCCTCCGCGCTGGACCAACTCTGTCAATGTTGCGACCATCTTCGCCGATTCGGCGGCTACAAACGTCTTCTCTGGCATGTCACGCTCAGATATGGATCCTCCAGGATGCACCATTCTTCCCTACGGTATCCTCGGCACGATTCCACTTGAGGCCTCAGAAGTGGCAGGCGACGAGTGGGAAGGACGCGGAGAGCTCAGAGTAACAGCGCGAGGGATCGATATCTGATTCGGTGAGTTTGAGATACTCCTCCCCAATTACCTCTGACGATTATTGCGTACATCTGTTAGAGACATACTACGGTTCATCAGAGGCCCAAGTCGACGCGGACACGGCTACAGAATGCCAGACTATGCCAAAACCAATGCGTCAACGTTGCAAACATCACGGGCCTGACCGACGCAATTCTCAGTCCATACGGAGTTTTGTCCACCCTCCACCCCACGCCTACCGATATAGAGGGCCAGTATATGCTATGTGTACGCGACTCCATTCCGCCTGCGTCCGACGCGTGAACGACGTCCTGCTAGTGATCTTATCGCCATGCACGGAAATACGCAGAGTTGGATGCCATGTCCTGCTCGTCAACATCATATGATTCTCAGGCTCATCGATGGTCGGGAGTCCGCTTGGAGGCGGCCGAACGTGAGGACAAGACTACCACTAGAGGTGAGCGTCGGCGACATCTGAGAGAGACGGAGGTTGTGGCATCGTCCGTCCGTCGCAACTGATCTTCACAGGGCGCTACTGTGTTGTTCTCTTGATTTTCTCCGTCGTAGGCCGTGGATAGGCACTGGAACTTGCAGGTACAACCAATCTCACTTTCGCACTGGCGCACGCAAGGCGCGCACGCGCCGCTGTTGTCGCAGTCATTCCTTCCACGTTCGCGTCTCTCTGCACCAAGGACCTCCATTAATAGAGAATCTTTCCGTTGTGTACGATGTACATGTATGCCTCTTCATAGCCTCAGTTCGAGGACAGCATTTTCACCACAGACACCTCGGTTCATCTTGGTCCGCCTATCCGTCTTTTCAGTCTTGCGGCTCGAAGCTTGAGCGTATGATATCTGCGGGCGATGTACTGCTCGACAATCTCTCGAGCATCCCGAAGCGCTGGAGCCACAGCGTCCAACAGAGCGCCCGGTCACACGCATCGTCGCGGTGGGCGCGTCGGCACTGGCGCTAAAGGTGGTTACATCTGTACACTGCGGCTTCCGTCACTGAACGGACAGTCTTTGCTTGCGACCATCACGACCTAGGTACGGAAGGAGACCTCCAGTGACCTGGCGGTATTATCTTCAGGCATGCCGTTGAAAATTAAGATCCCGAAGCAATCCTCGCAGGTAAGCGTCCTTCCGCCTCAGTGTAGCATTGTGCATAACGCGGTGAACGTAGGCTCCGGAGTCGTCACAATCCGCGAAGCCGAGTAAACGGCGGGTGGACTCCGATTTAGATGACGATTACTCGCGAGAGGCGACAGAAGAGCCTGTTCGCCCTCGACCGAAGAGGTCCAGGACATACGAGAGCAATGGGGCTGATGAGGGGGCTGTACAAGAGGGGGGAGACGAAGCGGATATCAACGTGGATGTTGTAGGCGATGAGCAGGTGCCACGCGCAACAAAGCGCGATCCTTCCTCATCGACGTCCCCGCCACCGACCAAGACTTCGAGGAGGAGCTCAAAGTCGACGACGTCGGACCGGAGAGGGAGTACAGCGGGCTCGAGCAAGCCGAAGCGGAAGACACGGCAGGTCGTTTGGACTGACGATGAAGATGACGATGTGGATCCCCTCGGTCTCACCGCCATGGATCCGGACGACGATGAGTTCGAGCCCGAGCCCTCCGTCTCCAAACGCAGTTCGGGGAAGACGAAAGCTGCGAAAGGGGGCGCCAGGTCCAGTCGTACCAAGGCGAAGGTGGAGGAGAAAGAGATAGTTATCCGGGACGAACGTAAGCTCCCTCCCCCAGACCCACCAGCGCCCAAGGAGAAGCCCTCCACGTCTCGCATACCTCTGAAGCGCCCCCCATCCTCTGAGGATGCGGAGGTCCCTGTCGAAAGCTCGGCAGCTACTGGGACAAGCGTGCCAGATGACCCTGCGTTGAAGGCCGAGGATGCGGAACCGCCGCCTCCCAAGAAACGCAAACTACCTCCGATCAAGAAGAACAAGACTTCCACTGGGCCTTCAACTCCTGCTCCTGCTAAACCACCGACTGCTGTGTCCAAGGTGGACAGTAGCACGCCTGCCAAAGACCCGAACGGGCCCGTGGGCGTGGCGGCGAGAAAGCCTGCGGCAGCCATGGGCGCCGCAGACTTCGACTTGCGAGATGCGAGCGTGTATGCGTCCCTGTTCAACAAGGTATGTTAAGTCACTGCAAGCCCCGCACTCAGAGACTGATCGCACCTTGTTGCAGCCTGTTAAGCAGATGCCTGATTCGGGGCTCAACCGAAGGCAAAGAGAGGAAGACCGAAGGAGATATCTCAACAAGTTGCGCGACGAGGCGAGAGCGAAACGGACCGAGGAAGTTGTATGTGATCTCGGTTCCACCGCGACACTGTATCCTGATTGTGTTCTCTTTCAGAAACGCGCATTCGACTTGCAAGCCCCGCATGACAAGATCATGCGTTTCGAAGAGAAGTTACGTGCGCACAACTCGATTGCGTTGTATCCCAACGTGTTGGGCGCGTTCTGGAAAGACCCGCGACGATAGTCCTTCAATGCCGGTGGCACTACATGTACAACACTGCTAATCTGCATCGGATGCTACAATGGAATCGTTACCACACCCCGGTGACGCGGCGTTGGGAAATACACTATGTCGAATTGGAGCTCTCCTGTGCTAGTGCGTCCCGAAGGTTGTGCGACAGCCTGTCGATCTGATCAAAGCAAGCGGTGAACCATTTCCGTACGTCCTTCTGTGGACCTCTTGCCTCCGTTGATGCGCCTCCTGAGGCGACCTCCGTCGCGCTTAGCGCCGGAGGCAACATCGGTGAAAGCGCGGACCGCAGCTCTTCTATTGACTTCGCCAATGGAGAGATCGCTGAGGCAATTGCTGAAGGATCCTGAGGCGCATACAATGTAGCGACGGTGTCCTCCAGTGCTACGAGGATTGCATGCGAGTGGGAAGGAAGCGAGTCGAGGATGACGCTGCTTGTCGGTTCTAGTGACGGCTTTGCTAGGATATCCAGCTGCACTCGCTTATGCAGCAGGGTAGTGAAGCGGATAAGGGGCTGTATCTAAGGGCCAACCTGTCAGACGAGAACAGCCTTGCGGATGCACAGACATACCTTTTTTGTACGCGCCAACTCTACCTCCGACATCTTTTTGCTTGAGCCCAATCCGAGGTCGTCGAGCTCATCATCGAATTCGTCGAACTCGTCCTCGGCGTCGTTGTCTTCAATCATACTGGTGACGTCTTGGAGTGAATCCTCCAGCATCCCTCTGTCGGAAGCCCACCGCTTCTTCACAGCGGCTCGGTTATCCGCAGGCAGATCGCGCTTCGCTTTGTCAACCAGTTCGTGCACCATGCCAGTGTGCACCAGATGATCATCGCCGTCTACTAGGAGGGTATGCCCGAGCGCGCTCAGCGCGATGCATACTTCCCTCACGACTTGTTTGACGTCGGATGCGAGCGTGAGGCCGTGGGCATCGAACAGTGTCGCGCAGGTCGCGATTGCGGATATATTGGTGGTTAGATCCTGAAGCGGACCTAGCGCCGCCCTGTAAGCCGGTTCTTCAGCGCGGAGGCTGAGTGTAAGCTTCGTTGTCGCCGCGTAGATGAGCGTGAGCAGGGAGAAGAGGTCTTTATGCAGGACCGCCAGCGCAGGGGCCGAGGCCGACGGCTCCAATGGTGTCTCAGTATTCTGCTGCTTCATAGCATCGACCGCGGCAGAGCATGTGTCGATGCATATCTGCAGAGTAGCTCGCGCTGTTCTCTGGGATCAGTCAGAAGGAGTACTTCAACTATGTATATGGCTAGACTTGCCTTTGTCTTTTTCTGTCATGTTCTACGGTGGTCACAGGCTATGTAGCTGTAGAGATATGGCTGGCTTGCAGATAGGTTTTGACGGACGGTGGCGAGGGCCTGCAAATCGGTGAGATGCGACAAAGATGCGACTCGGAATCTATCGCAGCGTACACGTGACGATCCGTCGGTTGAACAAAATGCAGCACTTCTTTCTATCACCACGTCCCCAGGCTACTGAAGATGTCCCCTTCGGGGTGACATACGAAAAAATTGGAACGATACAGAGAAGATTAGCATGGCCCCTGCACAAGGATGACACGCTTTCCCGGAGTGGTAGATCTACGGATCTCAATATTTATTTCCCTTTTTCTCTTATAGGAACCCGCGCAGTCGGCGCGGACGACACAACATCAGTGGTCGTCCGCGCGATCTTATACGCAACTCATACCAAGACCAAGACCCTCCACACGGCAACGTTGTGGAGGTTTGTGTCGAACCTACGTCCGTGCACCTAAGTTTACTTTATCGCTACGTTGGTCGATAGACGACCCAGCCAGACATGGCATCTGCGCAATGGGATCTGCATCATAATAATACCGAGCATAGTACACTACCGATACAAGTGAAAGGACTAAGCAACAAGACGTTATGCGGCAACCTCTGCTGTCGACGATGTAGCTTTGGGTTTAGAAGCAGTAGTGCCTTTGCTCCTCCCCCACTTCACAGTTGCTGATGTACCATCCAACTCAAACCCATTGGCCCATGCTTGTGCAGCAACTTCTGCAGATGCTCGGTCCTTGAAATTGATGAAGGCACATCTACGAGAACTGTTCAGTACACTACAAAGAGATCACGATACACGACTAACCTCGACTTCGCGACATGCACGATAGACTTGATCTGTGAGGGATCGACGGTAGACAGAGACTGCACGACGCGTGTACGAATGCTCTGCTCGGTTGCAGAGGCGGGTAACAATGTCAGGAATAGAGACATCTATGCAAGGGATCAGCAACACCGAGCGGCTCAGGAAACAGGAAGAGACATACGACAGACTGATCTTCTGGAGGCTGTAGTCCCATCGACGCCGCATGTTGGGTCAGGATCTTGTGTGCGACAGGGTCGTTGCGGCCATGGAACCGGTCCTGTATGTTCTGTTTCGAGAGCTCGTTGTCCACCGGCATTTCATGTCTGATGGCATCGTTGAACGAAGGTCTCGCACACGCAAGAAGGCAAGACGCACCTGTACGGACACTCCGAGCCACGGCTGCACTCCCCCTTTGCGAAGAACGAGCAAATGTGTGGGCGGTTGCGCTTGTAGTACGGGTCCGTGCGAGCAAGTTGTTTCAACATCTCTTTCCCCGCAGACGATGCCTTCCCCGTGTTCAACAGAGACTTGTTTCCATCCAGCTACTCCTGTCATGAGTACACGCTCAGAGGCGTCACAAATGGCACGTACCTTGCCCTCCAGGTTCTGCGCATAGTACTCCCTATTGACCTCGCTCGTCGGAGCCTCGTTCTGTATGCCCAGCGCCGTGTCCCTCACTTGCGTGGGCAATCCGTACTCGAGGTCGAGCAGGCATGTCTGGCAAACATTCTTGATCTTCGCGCAGGTCTGGCAGATCACGGTTGTTTTGAAGCGCATGCCCGAGCCAGGGTTCCAGCGGAAGACAGTGAAGGGTCGCGCGCATGTGCCGCATGATCGACCATACTCTTGTTTCGACTACATATGTATGCCATAAGAATATAGCGCGTAACACCGTAGTGTCCGACGCACCATCCGCACGAATGCATTGTCTCCCAAACCTAGAGAACATCTAATGTCAACATCCAACGGGCGCCCGACAATGCGGTTCAACGTACACGTCTCACACAGAATGGGGAACTCGCTTTGCTCCCAACCTGCCTTATTGATATCGAGCTTGGGCATTGCTGCGAGGGATGTGTGTGCTATAAAGAGCTGGAGAGGGACTTGACGGCCAGTGTAAAGATGAAAGTGGCGACCCTCTTGTGGCTGAGCTCAGAACCATGCACTCTGGCTTAGTCAGCACGTCCACCGAGCCTCTCGGGCAGACTGCAGCTAATGCATATGTGTGCATTGCATTCTTGACCGACTGGGTGTATCCAAACATCATGCTGACCAATGCAACGTCCAGAAGACTGAAGTGCAATATCATACAAGAGCAACAAAAAGTACATTGCGATAGAGGACTATTTGACACAGTAGTGCGAGGTTCGGGCCAAGTTATCTAGGTGTACTGCACCCTCAGCGTCAGGTCGAACGGCAGGGTGCTCGCCGTGACCGTGATGTAATCCCCGTCGTCTACGAGTGAGGACACTTTCTTCTCTAGGTTCGGACGCGTGAGCGCCTCGAGTTGCGGTGGCGCCTGGAAGTAAATCTGTTTCGTCGAAGTTGCCATGGACGGCTTCTTGACTTGGCTGTAAGTCAAAGCGGAATATTGAGCACAATTTCACGAGCGAGGAGAGGGACAGACATACACATCCTGCCTCTCAACCAGCATTTCTATCAAACGCTCTACGGTCCATTCCTTGCTGATGGTGATGTCCAGAGCCTGTCCACCGCAAACGGGGCAATCATCGCGTTTCTGGTGTTCGAAAGTGAAGGAGTAGACGCCGTCAGTCCCGATGAGCATGAAGTAGTTGTTGAGGTATGCCGCAGAGGAAGTAGCGATCTTGAACGCCTCATTACAACATGATGCTACGGCCGTCATAAACACCTCGGGCGGAGGAGACGAGCCAGAACATACCTGCAATGATAGCATTCGTGGAGGCGATGGCTGGGATGATGTTCTTGACGACACCCTGCGTGAGGGACCATGTAACGCCCTCGATTTTAAATTCCTTCGCACGCGCAAGGGCAGTCTTGTACAACCAGCCGATATGCTCTGGGTCATCGGTGTCCATCTTTTTGTCTGAATCATTGTTAGAGGGCCTCCCTAGCTGCGTAGATTGTTTGGGTCACCTACCTTTGAAGACTCGCGGCCACTCGAGGACGGATGCCCACTCTATGCAGTGCTCGGGTAGACGGGGCGTATTCGCGATGGTACAGATGGGGAACGTGGTCGGTTTGTTCAACATATCCAGAGAGCACTCGTAACATGATGTGACGGTTGGCAGAATGACACGAGCTTGGCCCTTGAATCCTATGACGGAAAGTCAGTCGCTGGCGCATGAATACAGTGGGTCGCTGCGCACCTTCCGTACCACCATCGATGAGGGGCTTCAGGCTTTCTGGTTCCTCCGGGTCGACCATGTTGACAAGGGTTGCGTTGATCCAGCGACGTGCCTCTACAGAGTCGAGACCGCAGATGACGAGGTTGAATTGCATGTAGTAATCATCGTCCTTGTCCTGAATCTTTCCGAAATATCTGAGGCGACATGAGAGTACAAGGCTGATCGCATAGGGCAGACTTACGGAGTGACTTTGACTCCGGGAACACGATTCATGATGAACTCCGCGGCAACAATTGCTTTCGGCTGGCCTACATCCTTCGGGCTGCGAGCAGATCATGGTTCAGTCCCGTCCTAGCACTTCAAGACGAGCAACATACCGGAAGAGGAACTGGCGGTTGAGATTACTGATGTCGATCGTATCCATGTCGATGACATGGATGTCCTTGAAGCCAGACAGTGCTAGGTTCGCGAGGATCTCGCAGCCCAAGCCTCCCGCACCAATGACAAGAATCTTGCTTTTCTCTCGCAAGAACTTCTTCACCTGTAGTGAAAGCTGAGAACGATGATCGTTGTGGATGAACGATATGACACACCTCCTCGCCCGCGAGGAAGGAGGGATCTGTACGCGGACCGGGTCTGTCAAGGATCTGGTCGACGTGATAGTAGCGATCTGCCCAATCCGCCGCGTTTCCATTGCTTAGCACTGCTGCGGTCGCCATGGCTCAGGACAGAGAGGGAGGATGTGAGGTGGACGAGGACGAGGAGGCCGGCGCTGTGGCACACCGCACTGGCACGCGTCAAGCGGCGCGACGCGTGCGATGTAAGCAGACGCCCACCCCCGATGCGGATCTCGATCACCCCCGCTGCAGGGACACTCCTCATTTTTCAGCCACAGCGACTTCTCGCTCGACTCGCGACCATGGCCCAGCCGGGGAACGTCCTCAACTTCAGCGGGCATCTTCATCTTAGGAGTCGACTGGTGCTTTCTATACTGAGCGGTAAGGCCGTCAAGATTGACCATATTCGTTCGGAGGACAAGAATCCTGGTCTGAGAGGTGGGTGCATCGCGAACTCGGAGGTTCCTCGTCCGAATTTGACTGTCACTTCCCAGACTACGAGGTCAGCCTGCTTCGCCTACTAGAGCGCATCACGAATGGCACGGTGATTGAGATATCTGTGACCGGTACGTCCTATACATGCCCCGGGAACGTTAGCTTACATGCCATATGCAGGTACTGCACTCTTGCTGAAGCCCGGGGTGATAGCAGGTGGACCGGTGACCCACGATTGCCCCTTGTCACGCTCAATTGGCTACTTCCTTGAGCCTGTAATTATGCTCGCCCCGTTCTCCAAGAGGCCTCTGCAACTCACGCTACGAGGCATCACGTCCGACGACCGCGACCTTTCGGTATGTGCTGAATCAGTTCCCTGCAGGTCTCATCTGATGTCTGTTCAGGTCGATCTCATTCGTACCGTGACACTACCACAGCTACAGGCATTCGGTGTGTCCGACGGTCTAGAGTTGCGTGTACGTTCTGCCCTTCGTCCTACGGAGGAAGTCTGTTGAAGAGAAGGAATAGATCAGGAAACGTGGTAGTCCACCCCTTGGTGGTGGTGAAGTCCAGTTAATATGTCCAATCGTAAAGGAGCTCAAAACACTCAACTTCGTGGAGCGGGGCAAGATCAAGCGAATACGCGGTATATCGTGAGTTGCTGTACCGTCAATGCGCCCACAATGACACTCTCATGCTCGCCGATCCTAGACATGCTGTCCGCGTCAACCCGCAATTCTCCAACCGCATGATCGAGGCTGCTCGGTCGGTGCTGAACCGCTACATCCCGGACATTTACCTTTACTCCGACGTCTACAAAGGCGAGGACAGCGGCAAGTCTCCAGGCTACGGGCTCTCCATCCTCTCCGAATCGACTACTGGCGCAATGCACTGCGCGGAAGCGCTCTCCCAGCCCGGCGTCGCACCCGAGGACATCGCCCTCCTCGCCACCCGCGCGCTCCTGCAGGAAGTGCAAAGGGGCGGCTGCGTAGACAGTCACCACCAGACTCTCGTTCTGCTCTTCATGGTGCTCGGCAGCGAGGATGTCGGTCGGTGTAGGATGGGCGAGCCCACAGCGAGGACGATCCAGTTTCTCAGAGATGTGAAGATGGCGTTTGGGACGACGTTCAAGATCGTCCCGGCGGAGAAGAGCGACCCGGCCTCGACCGAGCTGGTGTACTCGTGCTATGGTGTCGGCTATGTCAACGCCAACAGGACCCTTTCATAGTCATGACGGTGGACATTTCCTAATGGAGCGGGAGCGTCTCTTTTACGCTACGAGATGCTACATGATCACATCAAACAAGGGCACGCCGCGGGGGACGAGATGGGAGGAGCTTTGAGTTTGTGTAGCGGTGTCTAGCTTCGCGTTAGGAGGCATATGTACCGAGCAGTCGTCCGAGCGGCCTCACTGTCACCACGGGATATCGCAGTTGTGCCCTGCAATAGCGAACTGATGTACCAAGCCTTGTATTTGCTACCTATATATGATAGCAACTTGTCCAAAATCTCCGTAGTCCTTCCCGCCGCCCGCCATCACCAACCACTGCCTCAACATCGGCCACCCGACCTCGAACCGCGCACACAACTCATCTGTATGGTGTTCGCCGTCCAGGAGCGGCAAGAGCTCTTTCGGATAGGCCGGCGCCGTATGCAGCTGCGACTGTGCGTGCACCTGTGCCACCACGGGCGCGGACGGCGACCGCTCCACGCGCGGACGGAGCAATCCTGGATGCGCGGGGAGCAGCGACGCCTGGCCCTGGTCGCTCGAGCCCGTCACAGACGCAGCGGAGGGCTCGCGGGTGGGCGGACGTGGCGTCGGCGGGACGTGGCTCGTGGCCACGCTCGAGGGGACGGTGTTAGCGAGACGCGGGCTGAAGAGCTGCTCGAGCGCGTTCGACGTGGACTTGCGTACCGTCGTTGCCGCCGTCGTCTCGCGGTTGCGCAGCTGCTCGAGCGACGACTCCGCTGCGCTCGCGCGCCGCGCGCGGTGCGGGACGACGGGCGTCGTGGGTGCGGATGAGTGTACTGTGACCAGCCCAGCCCCGGCAGTGACGACCTCCGTAGCAAGCGACGCTTGTGCTCGACCCCGGATGGGCATGGTGTCGCCTTCTGGGCGCAGTGGGCGTGGCGGAGAAGTCTGGATGGTAAAGCTCTTCCCGCGTTTGCGGCCGAAAGAATGGGGTAGACCTATTCGTTCTGCCTGTGGCGTGCTCTTCTCGGGGAGAAGGACAGGCCAACGATGCACTCGGCGGAGGAAACCCTGCGTATGCCATGAACTCGCTTCGAGGAGGGCGCTCGGAGATGTGTACTGACCTTGATGACACCAAAGCTTGTGAAGCGGCGTACGTCTATGTTATAGGACTGTACGTCGTACTCTTGCATCCACTCGAAGACCGTCTTCCCCGGTTTCAGGCGCGAGTAGAGATGTAGCAGCTTTGGCCAATCGGCGATGGGTTGTCCTGCAATAACGTCATGAGCAAACCTCGCCAATGCAGTTCATTCAGACGAACCTGGCTTTGTGGTGTACGGACCGCATTCGTCCCTTACATGGGTCTCGTCGGCGAGCCACTGAATCGTCGTGCACAGTGTGTACATGTTGGAGTACTGAAATATATCTATCATCATGACTACTTGGTAGTACCTAGTATACACGCGTTCTCTCAGTGACTACGTCACGTAAAGAATGAAGCTCAACGCACAATAGATGTGCAATGGCCTGTCGGGTGAGATCCACGTCGCAGTCCGCCAGTCGTGCTATGCGGCTGATATGGTTGGTGCCGTCGATGTATCGGCAAACCTAGTACATCGTCCCTCCTCGACGCCATACACGACTAGGAAGAGATGCTTACCTTCACCATGGTCAAATCCCAGTTAGGCTCAATGCGTTTCTTGATATCGATGAGAGCTAAAGGGACCATCCAATCTTTGACTTGAGGCGGATTGGGATAGAAAGGGAAGATCTTCAGCTCAATAGAGTTAAACTTGTCGAGAGGTATGGATGTCTCTGAGTACGAATTGAGATCCTCGTATAGCTGCTCCAGAACGGCATATATGGATGGCGAGCTATCTGGTTCGGAGAGAAAGCGCGACTCTAGCTGCAAAAGGGCGTATGAGACTCTTATCCATACGGCGAGGAAAGGTAGACGTACCTCGCACGCTGACAAGACGCGGCTAACTTTGCGGACAACCGGCTCATAGCAGCTCAAGTCTGCGCTGCGCTCGAAGACGAAGCAGAGATTATACCGGAAGTAGTTACGCTCGTAGTGACCTTGCAGCTCGACGGGAAAGCCGATGATCCTGTGTCCCTTGGTCGCGCAGATCACGAGCCTACCGCAAAGTGAGCTGCGAGGCATGACATATCTCGATATGTCGTCGAAGTGGAAGAGAGAGCGGTTGGACGAGACGGAGCGTTTCCGCGGACTGAGGTAATGGCGAGAATCGAAGCGCGACGCAGACGGGCTGTCGGTGACGGTGGGCGACGGTGTCGCTGGGGTAAGGGGCGCAAGGGTATTGGACCCTATACCAGTGGTAGGACCAGTAGCGATGAGGCCTTCAGGTACTTGGTAGACGATTTTGGGTCCTTGGCGGCTGTCAAAGACAACGTAGAAGACCGACTCTATGCGAGGAAAGAACGACCCCGACGAAGCCATGATCCAAGTCCTCCAGATACATCCACACGGACAGAAACTTATCCTTGATTCATGCTATACGTCGCCAGATGGCAGCAGTATGAGTTCAGACCCCAGAGGTAGTTGGGAAGAGGCTGGTCTCGCGGCGTCGAACCTAGGTCTCGCGCCGTGTCGCCACACCCACTTGCAATGCCGAGTTTGGCGTGAGCGCTTGAACGTCGCCCCGGGTGCGCCGTGGCGAGCTTATGTAATGCGCACCGGTCTTGACTTCAGCTTCCTGGTCGTCTGCTTCTCACACCGCGTACTCGATAGTCGCACCGACGTCGAGTAATTTTGCAAGTTCCCTCCGTTTGTCTTCCGCTAGAGTGTATCACTCATGTAGTATGTACAGTACATATAATACTTCGCTCCCTACCGGCTTGAGCTCGGCCCGGTTATCGGTCCGCGTCGCGCGGTCACCCGCACAACCACGCGCAACCGCCGCAACGCGCTCCCCGAACCAACCGGCTCCCGCGAATCATATACACACGCTTCGTTTGCCAACTACTTACATACTTAGGACGAGATCCTGACACGGCGCGTACCAATGATATTTTGATTGAGATCAAGGCTGATTCGTTATTCCAGTGCCAATCATTGAGATCTCGAGATCCTGAACGACGAACTTAGTAGGGCTCGTCCTTGCCTCGTCCTCTGGTGGGTGCAAGGTCGGTGTTATCGACGCGTTGTCAGTAGGCGATGGCTGGATCAGTCGGTTGTCGGGCTTGATCCGGATCTGAGGCAACTGCCTTACGGGTCAGGGGCTCGGCGAACGGACGAACGGGCGGCAAGAATTGAGCACTCTTTCACTTGGTCTCCTGTGAAAAGTATGTCTCCTTGGACGGTGGCATGAGCTAGGAAGACACGGACGCCCACAGTGACACTGGATCTTGACATATCTACGGACTACAACAACTGTAGCAGCCCTGAGGTGTGTGTCTCAGAGCGGCATGAGTCAGGGATTACGGTAACACTGATATGTTGCGGCAGTGGTTCATCTGCAACGAAGCTGCTCATATCATTCGTTGTGATCTCATCTCACATTTCGACTCAGCCGTGAGTTGTTCAAGCTTGCGATTGGCTCTAATGGGTAGGAGAGCATGCGAGATATTCGACGCTCATCAATCATCGCAGTCTGGGCTCTAGCTCCGCCGACTGCTTATGTCGTTTACCTTGGTTCGGCAGTCAGAGGCTCAACGATCGATGTCAGGTACAGGACAGATTCTATCCAACAACCTGTGCGATCAGAATAGTGCCGCGAACAGTACCAGCCGGATAGCAGGCAAAACATTTTGCATTGATGCAGCGAACATATGTCGGAAGGATCGCTGCCAAATCGCTGCTGCAATAATCCTCAGTGAGTGGTTGACCGTGCAGACCAGCATATAAAGGGGAGCCATGGTCACTATGTCCTTCAGCTCCTCTTCTCCTTCTGAGCTCACCGAGTAGGTTGCCGGCAAGTAAGCATCCAGCGAATGCACTAATCTGATTTTTGTACTGACCGTTACATCCTCCTCTAGCCTTACTCTTTATTTGACGACTCGCGTTCCTTCCGTACTCGTAACGACCTAGTGCGCAAGGATCAGATCATCATGCGTTACCCCGCCCTCGCCTCTGCCGCCCTTCTGGCCACGACGGCAGGAACCACCCTCGCCCTCCAAGTCACCAGGTAGGTCTACCTAGCTGGCGTAATAAATTTTCTCCACTGACACCATCCTTCCAGTCGCTCGACTCAGGACGCCCTGATAACGGAGCGCGGCTACCACGATGACCTCGTGTCTCGAGACCTGGAAGTGCGCACCCTAGAGGCACGTCGGCGAAATAAGCCGCCCCCTCCTCCTCCACCTCCGCCTCCGAACACCCCTACTGGTACTAATGGGCGCCGCCGCGGACGGAGGCCGAGGGACTACCACGAGATCGTCGAACGTGGCCTTGACGCGCGAGGGCACCCCAAGCGCCCGCCCCTACGCCGCCCTCCGCCTTACACTCCTCGGCCGCGGCCTTTCACTCCTCCTCCCAGCCCGCCGCCATCACCTCCCATGCCGCATCCGCCTCCGCCGAACATTCCGGGGAGGCACCACAGACGCCGTAACGACTACGAGTGGGTTGTCCGCGAATTGGACTTCGACGATGGCGAACTACTTGAACGCAGCTGGGAGATAGATGAGCTTGACTGAGCAGCAGTGGACTGTTGACTAGTGATGTACAGTGGAACGTGAAGAATAACGATCATGTGTCTAGGGATTGGCGAGGACTAGCGGCTTTTGACATTCAATACAGACATGATAAAGACTGCTAAATGTTGGCGATTGCGATTATTGAACCGCCTAGTTGCAGTCGGTAAGTAATGTCAACGGCCAAGTCTGTGTGCTCTGCGATGCGTCAAGAGTATATCGCAATAGGCTGCGAAATCTGAAATTCAAAGTACCGACCACATTCTCAGTACGATCCGACGGCTAGATCTTGTCGTCATTCAACAGATATATTCTGACTTGCAGAATGCGTGTAAGTCTTGGAAACCGAAGGACTCATGGATTACATGTGCCAGACGACAGCGTACGAGACATTCGCCACCGGCAATTGGGCCGCGCGGACGTTCGGAGGTCTCTGGTATTCAACACATTCAGGATGCATGACTAGCGTACAACTCTTCGGTAATACTTCTCTCCAGATACACTTCACGAGTCGAAGAACTTCGCCTGTGTTGCGGATGAATCATGAGTATTGACGTGCCTGCATATGGTTGTAGTCTGATACTCACGAAGACGCGGTGATGAACCTTCGAGCCCTCCTGCTCAATGGCGGCAATTTCCCCCGGAGTGAGATCAGGAAGCGTCTCCGCAGCCAAGTACTCCTTGACGCGGGATGCTTTCGAACTCGTCCTAAGGTCAGAGTCAATATGATCCTCGTGCGATTCGGAGTCGCCGGATGTAGACGTACAGTCATTAACCCACCGGTGGGTCAGTATCGTCTGATGGGCCACCTTCCCAATCCAGCAACTTTTGGAGCTATATTGGGCAACTGCAAACATTTGCTCCACTTCTAAGCGCGCTCTCGCCCGGATTCTTACCCAATAGGGAAGGCGGCCCATCAGACGATACTGACCCACCAGTGGGTTAATGACTGTACGTGATGGCAGGAATGCCCTTCGACCTCAACCAGAGCTGCAGGACTTGTCCCTCTGTAACGGTGGTGCCGGCCTCCTTGCTCAGTCGTGCGGCAGCAGATGCGAGCACCGGGTCGACTGGACCACCCTTGAAGCGCACAATGGGCGTCAAGCCACCATATGACGTTGGGGTAATGTTGTGCTTCTTCATAAACTCGATCACAGGTTGATCGGCCTTGAAGACGTAAGGATGGTACTCGATCTGCGGAGCGCATCAATGAGACGGAGACCAAGTCCGGCATCGGCGCGCTACTCACCTGGTTGACCGCCGGAATGACCTTCGCCGTCGGTAGGATCTCCTCGAAGTCCTTCACGCGGAAGTTAGAGACACCAATAGACTTCGCCAGTCCCTCCTTCTGAATCTCCTCGAATTGCGCCCAGATCTCAGGCAGAGGTGTCTGGTGATTGATAGGGAAGTGGATGAGGAAGAGGTCGACGTGGTCCGTCTGCAGTTTCTTCAGAGACGCAACGAGCGTGTCGCGGACCGTCTGCCCCGCCGGGATGAGGTTCAGCTTGGTGGTGATGAAGAGCGACGAGCGAGGTTTCCCCGCAGTGGCGATGCCAACGCCGAGGGACTCCTCGTTGTTGTACACCTGCGCGCCGTCGAGGTGAACAACGCCGATTTGGATGGCCTGGCGGACCGCGTCCTCCGCGTCCTTGGAGTAGAGCGCGGTACCCGTACCGAAACCCAGCCAAGGGATCTTGTTACCGTCGTTCAGGGTGAGCGTAAGGGACGACATGATGGACCGCGAGTTGGGTGCGATGGATCTCGTGGTGAAGCTCCTGAGGAGAGACAGAAAGGACATGCTCAAGACGATGCCAGCTATATGCGCCCTCCAGGACGGCATGACGCCCCTTTATCGGCCCGATAGAATGGAATGCGCTGCGAATGAGCAAGCGGCCGCCCTTTCGCATGACATCTTGGGCCTTTCAATAGCCTTTCAATAGCCCGTTGTCTTTCTCCCACTCTTGACGCTGACATGACTTCACAGGACGCGGTTCCAAGAGGAAGAAGCGGTCCCGTTCGAAGACATGTACATATTCTTGTCTTCCCAAGCTCCAGACTGGCGAATTCTGTCGGCATGCCGGTGCTATTATGAGTACATGTGACGCGAGTGGTCCCACATAAGTACGGTGGTCTCGCGGAGTAGCGGTGGGCCCGCGATGACGCCCGTGTGAATGCGACTGTGTGTCTTGCTCGGGAGGAGGAGGAGGAGGAGGGGGGTCCATTTAGCCACCGGCCGATAGCGCCGCACGCGCGTCTCGACTTCTTGACGGCGACAGCGCTCACTAGTACAACACGTAGCAGACGTTGGCCAAAACAGGAGTCGAGATGTCGCCGCGTAGAGCTATACGTCCGTGATATAACAGAAATTCTAGGTCGTGGACTCGGACTGCAGAGTGTCGGAGAGACTCGGCTCTGGCGGGCGTCTGCAGCTGATCGAGGGCGCCCTGCCCTGAACTTCGCGTACGCGTCATAAAACGGCTGCGACAGCGTTGTGTCTCTCATCTTTTAACAACTACACAGGCGCTAGCATACCACATGTGGGATCGCCCTCTCGAAGGCGATTCTTCATCTCTCAGCAGCCTCAGAGCAAACCCCACGATCCACTCTTTGGCCGGTCCTTCTGGCATCACGCCCTGTAGATAGAACGGTCACCTGGTGGTTCCGACAATTTCTTCTCACTTGTTCAGGTCCAGTGTACTTGTAGCTAGTCAAGAATGCATTCCATTGGTGCATACCTGATGTTGTGGATTCAGTGAACAATCGCGATGGTGCACCGGTGATCGATGATGATGGTGACGGCGTTGGCGATCGCGCACCGTGCACTGCGCGTCGACGTCGACGACCGCCCGGGCCTCCTCGCCTTCGGCGCCTGCTCAGCTTCAGACTTGTCCAAGACAGGACAGTACCATCGTGTCGAGCTCACGTACTGACTAGTACTGACTCGTCAGTAGAGTCGTGTCCGATTACGACCGTGGTCCGGCTAGTAGTGGCGTCAGTACCTGGCCCTCGGGCTTGGAGTTCTCGCGACGTCGAGTAGTATATGTACATGCAGCCATACTATAGACGACACCGCATTAGCCTCGCCTGAATCTCGCAACAGGCCCGGGGGTCTCAGGCGTAGCCCGTAATCTAGCCACGTCATCGACACCGCATATGCCCACCGGAGTGCACTCCGTCACCAGGGAGGCTGGGCCCATCTGACTGTGACCTGAAACCGACGGCGAGCGAGTGGTTGCATTTTCACCAGCGGAAGCGGTCTGGCCAAATGAGCTGAACCAAGGCGATTGGCGTGATCACAGTGACACTCGAGCATGAGGTCAGGCAATGGGCACGATAGAGATTCTATACAGTGCGATAGATAGGGAGCGATGCAGAAACCGATTGACCGATGAATCGATGAAGAGCTGGTCCTCAGTCACTTACATAGCGACGGCCGCGGTGCCAAACCGGAGTGTTATTTGGGGGGTAGCAAACGCGATTGAACCTCATAAAATTTTATACAAGGGGCTGTACCAGCATCATTGTCGTATCATGGAAAAAATGTGATCCTGGAGACCAGACCTCTAAGGGAACAAGGGCGGTCTAGAGAAGGACGCGTTGCGAGCGGAACCGTTACTTCGGGCGCTCACTACTTTCCTGCTTAGGGCGCAGATGTGGACCCACAAAGTCACGTGGGCGCGTTGTACTGGTTGCGCGCCGTGGCTCGAGGACCCAACTGTGTTCAACTTCTGCACGCGACCGCTCCGCCACATCTTGTCTCAACACCCTTCATCTTCGGAATCAAAGTCAATCTTGCTAGTAGGAGGTTTATCGAGGGTCTGCAAAGGGTCTTTGGCAGACGAACACCGAGGTGAGTGTCCGCCGCTACCTTGACACGGATCAGGCCGGTCCTAGAATACAACAACAGCAGCGCTAACATCGCAACCACACGTGTACTTAAGGCCACACGAGCACATTCAAAGCGCATCACCTCGCCCCATTCATCTTTGCTATGTATATCGACGGCTACTCCGCTTGGATTACCGTCCCCGGGCCTGAACACGAGCTCCGCGAGTTCGACGTCGCCGTCGATGAATATAACCGAAAATCAACATGTTGGATCCCAAGCATAGAAGGAATGGTAAGCGGCAACCATTGTCACGTCCCGAAGCGGAATCAATTGTGCCGCAGAGATTCTCCGTGCATTGGATGGATCACGGCCACAGAATCGCCACCGCCACATTCATAAAGTTGGACGGCTACACCGTTCCTGGACATTTCCTGATGGGCTCGGGCGAGGCTGAGCGGTCAGACATTCGAGTGGGCATTACGACCGTGAGGCCGTTTCAGTTTCAGAAGGTCCCAGAGGGTATGTACACTCAATGTGCGTGCATTGTTGCGTGTCGACCCGGCCGCAGTCTATATAGGTGCTATTCCGAAGGACACCGATCCCACTGAGCTGGGCACAATCATTGTCAAGATTAAGCGTGTCTCGATCGTTGGCAAGCAGGGGAAGAATGCTCCGCTCGTGCCGAGGCCACCAATCGGCGGGAAGAGGTCAATAGGCGCGGAAGATCCGGTTGGGATTGGGTATGTGGCCTACAATGCAAGCCATCTTTGACTAATCAGTCATCTCCCGTGAATCATAGCTACGGAAACGAGGAGATGGGTCATGTCCAGATGCCTATGACCTGGAAGGTCAGACCATGGGACAGGTCGAACCCCGGTACATACGCGACATTCATCTTCCGTTACCGGACACGCCGTACGTCCCCTTCATTGAACTCAAACCGTCAGTATCGCTGATGTGGCCGGCGCTGTCACAGAGTTTCTCATCTCCCAGGGCATCATGTCGGAGTCGGATGTCATATACACCAACGTACATGCCAGACAGGAGAGCCCATACTTCTCCACCGAATGCGACGACGACTCGGAAGAAGACGACGCTGAGTCTGTCCCTCCGAGCCCCACCGAGCCATCGCCGCCGTCCACTCCTGCGCTCTCGGTCAGGTCAGGCCTTTCGCCCCCGGGGCGTGTCCCTAGCGTGAGGCCTCCGAGCCGTCCGGTTTCAAGTCGCGTACGTGATGGATGGATAGTCTTTCATCGCCGTTGACTGACCTGATATTTACCTTTCAGAGCTTTTCTCTTGGGGAACCGCCTCGACCTACATCCACATTCCCCCAGGCACCTCCAAGCTGGAACCCAACGACGCCTGCACCGCTGCCTCATCCCATTGTGCCGAACTATGGTCCTCCCCATCCACAGGACACCGCCCCGAGTCCCCGACCCAATGTGGTAACGAGGAGAGTTGTCTCGTACGACGCCACCACCACGAGGGCCGTCAGCGCTGCCTACTCTCCGCCTGAGAGTGTTCCAAGCACGACTCCCCCTGCACAGGATCTGGGCGCTACGAGGACTACCACCATCCACAGGTCTGGTGCTGTCAGCTACTACAACCTCAGCGCCACTGGGTCGCAGCATAGCGTCGCCAGCTCCTACGACCTCGGCGCCACCGAGACCTACGACTTCAGTACGCTCGGGGCGTTCAACGTCGGCGCTGCTGGGCACTTCAACATCAGTTCCGCAGAGGAGTACGACGTCAATGCTGCCTATGCGCACGGCGAGGAGCCAAACCCCTACCACTATGACGAAGACCCGAACGTCTATCTCTCGTATCCCTACGTGAACACCGGCTCGTACGACTCCGCCAACAACTCGTACGACTCCAGCGCCGACAATTCCTACGATCACGGTGTGACCGGTCCCTATGACCCGTCGAGCGTGATCCATTCCTACGACCCCGACACGCTGAACATCGCCAATCACTATGGGCATGCTCCCACAACCTACCAACCACAGGAGCAAGCCGCCGAGGAACATCACGTCGAGGGAGCTGGCAGCATCCTTGCGCGGGCGGCAGAAGCTGTGAAGACCATGCCATCCGGTTACGAAGGTCCGCCAGTCGAGACTGCGCCACCTCCGCGCCCTCCCAAGGAGAAGCGGCCTTACTCGAAGACCCGCCCGGGGCCTTCGAAGTACCTTGGCCAGGGTCCCTACAAAGACTTGGCACCGAAGACTGCTCCTTCTCAGTCCTCGCCTGAAGCTACCGAGGGCGGTAGGAGTGTATCCACCACCTCCTCACAGGGCTCGAGTGCTAGCAGTCCTCAAGGCCCGCCCACAAGGATGCATGCCGCTGCCAAAGCTCAGACTGAGGCTCAAAAGGCCCAAGAAGAAGCTGTTCGCGCGGAGAAGGCGCGGCAAAGGGCAGCCAGGTATTGCACACCAGCTGTCCCCATTCCGGAACACCTGGTCTTCGTCGATGCGGACGGCGGAGAGCTCCCTCCGCCATCCCCGACTCCAATCATCCCGACTACTCGCAACACGTCGGGGTCATCTCGTCGCCGTTGAAGAATGCTCTCGACAAGTTTCCATCAATCTCACTCACCTATCTCATCGCCGTTATTTGCTCATCGTTGTCGTGCATGGTCGTCTGCTGCAGTCCGTTGCTATCGCTTGTCCAGTTGGTTTAGTCGAAGTAAGAATCGTTGTCGTGCTCTGCAATGGGTCTGTCGCTGCATGTATTGTGTCGCGCTTTGTGAAACCGCACTCTCCTTATGCTCCCGCTTCCTTGTTATTCCTGTTATCCCGTTATGTATCCTCGCGATCGAGTTGTCCCCGTTATCCTGTCATGTAGCTGTGGCTCATTAGCACTGTCCTTACTCTTACTGCCCCGTTATCGAGATGTACTATGTCACTCACTGTAATGTCGTTCTCGCGGAATAAAGGTTGATGTCGTGTCATGTTCAGTTGTTCGAGAAACACCTTTTTCGACGACGAGAGAAAGAACTGGCGGACTAAGCTGAAGGAGAGGCTGAACTACGTCTGAAAACATGCTACCGCCCGCGCGCCAGTACTTGGCAGCCGTGCGCCGTACGCGATCGGATCTACGCGCATGTGGCGAGGAGGCGCGGCATGGCCACTCAGCCTGAGGCTCGCACTACATAGCTCGTTGCCAGTGCTCTGACGACCCTCGACGACCGTTCATGATATCCGTGTCACAGCTGTCTGGCCTTCCAACATACGCTTCATCATCACCGTCTCGGCTCAAGACCCTGTACTCGGATTTCTCCCGGCAGAAGCAGTCAAACCCCACGTCCTACGCTTCGAATGTCGAATGGTGGCGTCGCACACTGGAGGCGGTGGTACTGAAGGGTTGGCTGGCAGACTCGGGCTCCAATTCCGCAAATCCTGACAGACTCGTCCTTCACGCCAGAGGCTCTACGCTGGCGGATGATTTCAGGTATGAGGGTGTTGGAAAGCCGTTGGGACTACCCACAGTCTTAGTATGTCATCATCCTCCTCGCCTGTGTGCTGTCTCTCATCATGCCCACACTAGCGTAGGCCGAGCTGTGCGCATCAAAAGCGTACTTCTCCTTGCCGGATTTTCTCAATTCTGCGAAGTCCGTCTACGACCCTGGCTGGCTACCATTACGGATAGCGACCTACGTCGTGGGCAAGCCTCTGTGGTGGGCGCTCAAACAACTCAGCATCGTGAGTTCGGACGATAGTGTGCTGGGAGACGCCAGCTATAACGAGCAATGGAGGAAAGTTAGAGGCGACTATGTTCTACTGAGCGTGCTCGAGAGGGCCGCCGACAACGTCATACAGAGGCAGTGGAGCAAAGGCGCGCTTTCTCTGGCCGATTCGTTGTATAACGCCGAGAGCTTTCGGAGAGAGTTCGCAGCGCATGCATTGGACGACGTGGTGCTGTCAGAACTAGACATGCGTATCCTACTGAGATATCTTGAACGCGACAAGAAAGTCCTTGTCACACAAGGAGGGGTACGTCCACTACTCCTCCGAATGTACTGTGCGATTGACATCATGCTTCAGGTCATCAAATTCGTGGAGCCCCAACCAGCTGAGCCAGTTGAGATTACCGCGGTGGACGCCGGTGTACTCGAATTGAAGACGGCAGTAGACAAGTTGCAGGTTCAGGTCGACAGCATACAGTCTAAGATTGGCCAGTTGAGTATCCAGCTGTGGAGTCCTCTTCTATCTCTGACACGAGACATCGTACCAGACGGGCAGATCAAATCGCGACTGCTCTCCGGCAGAAGAGGAAGGAGATTGCGCTTAGCCACTTACGTGCTCAGAAGCAGTTGGAGGCACTGCTGAAGCAACGACTCGGCTCTCTGGACACACTACAGTCTACGCTCCTCCGCGTGGAGCAGTCTGCAGGCGACGTTGAGGTATGAGGTTCTGGTTCATAACACGAGAGGGCATTGAGATGACGTCGATTCCGACAGATCATGAAGTCCTACGAGTCATCCACCACGACGCTTCGCGCCATTCTCGCGCATCCTTCACTCCAGCGCGAGAAGATAGACGAGACTATGGAAGCCATGACATCTGCCAATGCCGATGCGAAGGAGATCGACGACGCTATTGCCATGGGTACCGACATAGCGCAAGCCGACGTTGCCATCGACGATGCTGAGCTGGAGGACGAGTGGAAGGTTCTTGTTCAGGAGGCGGAACGGGAGGGCGCTGACAAGGCCCAAGCCGAGCAGGCGCAGAAGGAGGAGGAGGAGGCGCGGGTGAAGCAGGAACGCCTCGCCGCAGCGGCGCTGCAAGTTCCATCCAACAAGCCAGCACCGGTCGAGGGAGAGCCGAGTCATGCGTCGCTTTCAGCAGACAGGGTTGCTGAGTAGGACGCTGCTCAGTGATCATTGTTTCTCGAAATATTATGGATCCGGAGGATAGTCTCCCATCGGACTCGCATTGCTCCCTGCATTTCTCATGTACAAGTATTGCAAAGTTCTCGACCCAGGTTTGCACAGGAGTCCCAGATTCCACTGATCTAGTATGATTACACCGGAGTATCCGTACTTATAGTTACATGCGTTCCTATTGTAGACTGTCCCAATGATACATCCACACAAACCTGGCGTGTATCACTGGTCAAGAACCTTCTAATATCCACCTTCGCCTGGAAAGTGACTCTTCCTGTCTGCCTCGTACAAGCCGTAAATGCTATAGGTCGGACTCTTGTAGTCCGCGAACTCCTCCGGGTTCGTATGTGCCAGAGCCATCTGCGCCAATGAGGGCATCGGCGGCGGGGAAGGCACGCGCGGAGGCTTGTCATCCGTCCTCTTCCTCATCGGCCTGTTTCGCCCACTGCCAGTTTCCGCCGTGCTAGTGGAGGGCAAAGAAGTCATGCTCGAAAAGTTCGCCAACATCAAGTTGCCCAGACGCGCGCTTGCTTCCATGTTCGGACTGAGCATTTGGCTTTGCGGGCGAGAGCGAACCTGGCTAAGCGGACGAGACTTGCGACGCTCTCCAACGAGCGTGACCGAGTCTTCTAGATGAACAGTCGTCGGCCGAGAGAGAGGTGCCGGGCTTGCCAGTCCAAGAGCCGTAGCAAGGGCCTTGGTGTCGCGCTCCCGGGTTGCTTCGGTCTTCAGCGCGGGGGACAGAGGAGGCAGAACGTATTGCGAGTCGTCGAACGGATTGGCCTGAGTGGCCAGCGCACCCATGGTTGATGACGCACGCAGAACTGAGCCGGGAGCGTAAGGAGCCTTTACGCGCGCGCGACCCTGAACCGAGCTAGACTTCTTGAGGGCTGGAGCAGGTTGGGGAATGACAGCAGTGCTGAGACGAAGACCATCGTACGGATCCGCATCGCCGTGCTCTGCACTTTCCTCCTCTTTGTCGAGCGAAGCAAGCTGAAGGCTGCGTCTTGACCGCGATCGACGCCGCGTCGAAGCCTTGGAAACACTGCGCTGCAAGAGAGGCATGCCATCCGCAGTCAATGGCGAAGCACTCCCAACCGCGATGCCATAAGCCGACTGAGGAGTCCCAGGATAAATCGATGGGGACGCAATAGAAACGCGTTTCACTGCACGGGTGATCTGCGTCGGTGGGCCGTGAGACGGCTTCAGGTAAGAGGTGCCATTCTTAGACATCTCGAGGAAGCCACCGTCCATGGATGGCTTGACAGTCGCTTGGGCTTGTGTCATAGTCTTCTCTGAAGCAGCCACCATATCGAACCCGTGCCTGGCGCCTGAGGTCAAGGGGGTCTTGGTGAGAGAGGGATGAGAGTAGTGCGTCCAGGTCCACGCGGCGTTACTTGGAGGCTGCCCAGAGAGCCGTTCCTTGCCACCAAAAAGCGATTCTTCGTCGCCCGCAGCAACTTGGTCGGCGAAAGGATCCTGCAGAATCGGAAGAGATGGCGTAGGACAGAACCGCTTCTTGGGGATCATACAAGCTCGCCAGATGATGAACACCAGTAGAAGGAAGAATGCCCCGCCGACAGCTACAAGCACTATGATGACGGTGGAGACGTGCCCGGGCGGCGTAGAAGCGGGCTGACTAGACTGCGCATCGTTTGACATGGTATGAGTAGCGACGGCAGCCAAAGTTGAGGTGAAACCGGTAGCAGCAGCGGGGGTAGCAATCGGCAGCGGCGAGAAGCCTGGGGTGCGTTCAATACCGTTGGCGACAGGCGTCGCGGGTGCAACCACAGGTAGAATACCAGTATGGACCGGAATGGTGCCGTGAACGGTTAGGGTGGTGAAGCCCGTGCCAGCCACAGCATCAGCATGAACATCGGGAGCGACCTTGGAGGATGTCTGGCGGGTCTTGGACCTGGTGCTAGTAGGTTTGGCAGACCTGTCGGAGAGAGTCCCACTGTCTTCATAGTCTTCGTCTAGGTATATTGGTATGGGTGGGTAGGCATACACCGTCCTGCCCACTTCTCTCGACTTGTGACTGCTTCTGGGTTTCTCGTGCGCCATGACGGAGACTTAAAGGAGAGTGGCAGGAACGAGCGACGACCAGAAGCAAAGCATAGAATGATGAGACGACAGCCTGTTTGCAGCGACCCGCACTGAGGACAGCGTTGTCGACGATGGCGACGACGGAGGCGAGGTTGGCGGAGAACGTGAGGCGGGCGCGGTCGCGAACAACGAACAGACCCATCACGTGCGCTACTAACGCGTGGCGAAAGCGCCCATCATGATCAGACGGATCCGCGTCGCGGTCGCGTCGGCCACTGCGCGCGACCCTACGACCACCGCTAGCGCTGCTTCCGCTCGTCGACGCCGTTGTCTACCACTTTTGTGTTTCTCATATCTCTGGGGCCTCTCTTTTTGTTTCTTGAATGTACTAGCAACCAACCCACGCAGTCTTCATCTAGAACCCTGGTTTTCGCGATTGTGGCACCTTCGGGCAGGCTCGTATCTTCTATAGAAAGGGCCTCAGACAGCCTCAGACATACCACGACGAAACCCCGAGTCTGGGACAAATAGGGGACTACGTGATGGACGCGTCGACTTTGTCCGGGTGGGTACGACTTCCTCGTCGTGTGCATCTCTCGGCTTAAAAGACACATCCTCCAATGAAGTGAAGAGACGCAAGCCACACAGATCATCAACGCCGTACTTCCTCAGCACGCTGCCGAGATTGAAATAGAAAGGCAGAACGGTGTTCGCCAGACGCAAGTGCACGATGGATCCAGTCGACAAGAACTAGCCTCTAGCTCGAGTCAAAATGGCAACGTACCTCAGTATCACCACTTCGGTCTAGCCTCTACACAGACAGACTCGCAGGGAGACGGCGCTCCTGCTGGAGGAGGCTCGCAGAAAGAGAATGCCCCGACGTCCTGTGAGCTTGACAACCAAACGTTTCGCTCCCCCGCACGATCCCATTCTCCTGGTCCGAGCAAGCGCTCAGAACGTGTGAGATAGCTATGTCCCTCATATAATGTAGTGCTAGACTGATTCGTAACTCTCGTGGTCACTTGTCATAGGATATCGACACCCGTAATCCTACTGGTACTACGTCAACTGCCAAGTGTTCGAGGGCGACCGCCAAATCGTCTAAGCCCATCCCGCTTCCCGTACCACAAAGACAAACCCATGCCGAGCGAATAGACACGACGTCTTCACGAGATGCGCATCGGTCACGGAGACGGAGGTCCCCCTCACCTGCTTCCCAAGACTCATTCGCTGGACCTCTACCCCCTGAAGAGGCACAGAAGGCCTTTGTGGCAAATACGAGGGTCTTTCACGTCCCGTTGTCCGAACTACAAGAGTCAAATGTCGACGATGCAGCTGCGCCACAGACGCCGTCCTCTGTCCGAACAAACGACAGTTACTCGTTCCGCAACGCAGAGAGAAGGGTTCCTCTGCCTCCGCCTCCCCGTCCGATGCAACATACTGGTGCGATCTTGGTTGCAGAGACACCTTCCAGTTCCTCGCGATCCAATCACTCCCAAAGCGTAGCAAATCAGACTCAACTTGTCGTGGAATCACCGAGCGCTGCTCAGCAAACGCAGGTTGACACGCAGCCCACCGACGAATCCCAGCCCCACGCACAGCCTCGAGACTCGTTGTTTGGCTCCTCCTATCAGGGGGCGGAGCATGCGGGCACGCAGGTCTCGTCTCCCATTGATGACATCTCGACTGAACCATCTTCGTCATATGAGCGAGTTCTCGGAGCCGATTTGTATGCACCTAATCCGGAGGCGTATGCCGCCACCCAGCTGGCTACACAGACAAGTAACGTGGAGGCGACCCAGCCGGCAGGTGCTACCCAAGATGCTGGCCCGTCTGTAGGCATCGACCGCTATGACCCGTTCAAGTCCGCATCCCCTGGTCCTTCCGTTGCTACTACGAGCACGAGGACCGTAGGCAGGGGCCTAGCTGGCCTAATCCCCCAACATCGGAGGTGGCAGTATCAGATGGAGGGAGCTGACTCATCCTCGAGACCTGCCCGCGCTGCGCCCAGCGACAACCACCATCGTGTATTACAGATCACCCATGCACAAGACACGCAGCCATCCGACACGAATGCGGTTCACGGCAGTGCTGCCACGGACGTCCCGCGAAGACAATTACCTCTTCCTCAGCGACGTCGACTGCCTTCTCCAGTCACTCTCCAAGAGGCCGATATTGTTCCGGACTCGGAACCCATGGACATGGATGCAGCGCGCTCCGAGCCTGGACGTACCGTTGATTCACCGTCCGATGACACGCCGCAGCCGAGGCCGGATTTGCCAGTCGAAGAAGTCCCGGATTCTGTCATGACGGACGAACATGTATATGGCGAAGACGAGGAGGACGACGTCCCGCTCGCAGTACGGTCCGACAAAGGGAAACAGAAGGTGTCATCGCACTCTCGTTCACCTACGGTCAGGGGTTCGACGGAGCGCGTGCAGCGCCGCCTCGACACCCCTGAAGTTGTGTCGAGCAATACTCCCAAGGTCGTTTCCGCGGACGTCAAGCCCTTGAAACAAAAGGGCCGTGCTCTGCCAAGTCGCTCCCGAGACACGAGTGCGGCTCCGTCATCGAAAGCATCGGAAATCACTACACCTTCGACGGCCACACGCGCTCGCCCCGGTTCCTCCAAGAGAAACGGGAATAAAGCTGTCGCGCTGGGTCGCGGCCGACATTCACGACCGAAGTCGCGTTCCAGGACGCCAGCCCTTGCGCTGAAACAACGCAGGCCTTCGATGGGAGCGTCGTCCGACGATGCCACCGCGGTGAGCAAGGACACCGAGTTGATCCTTCCAGGAGGTCATGACGAAGGCGATACTGAGCTCGCTGATGATGACTACATGGATGATGATGACGATCCGTTGCGATTGAGGCCCTCGGCAGCGAAGCGGAAGCGCGTTACCTCTGTCACGTCTAAAGGAGTGGCTTCCAAAACGCTTGCCCGAGGCGGGAAGACGTCAAACACGCCCCTTAGTCGATCTGCAAAGAAGAGGAAGGTGTCTTCCTCCGCCATCGTAGACGATGCATCATCGGCCACGCGAGTCTATGCGTTGTGGAGGCAGGACAACCACTACTACTCGGGAACGGTATATTTGATGTCATCTGTGTCTCCTCCGCGCTACGAGATTCACTTCGACGATGGTACCCAAGACGTTGTCGACATCACGAAGATGCGCTTGTGCAAGCTCCTGAAGGGTGATAACGTTCTGGTGCTAAAAGGCCAGAAAGCCGTCGTGGTCGACGTGTCGCGCTTCGACTCCGACCGAGTGGCTACAGTCGAGATCGATAACGGAGAAGAACTCGACCGCCTGGACCTCGAGGTCCAGGACATCAGGATCGCATCTCGCACACTCAACAGCGCCTGGACAAATAGAACGCTCGCTGTCGAGGACGTGTGTCCTGTAATGAGGCCACACGCACTCAAGAATTCTCCTTCGCCATCGAAGATGGCCCTCGGAAGTGCTGCTTCCACTAAGAGCGCACGCCGGCTGCTCGGGAAGACGGGCTTCGTGGTGACCATGAGCCCTAGAGTTGACGAGTGGGAAAAAGAGAAGGACAAGATTATGCAGGCCATCAAGGGCGTAGGCGGGATTGTCATCGACAACTGGACAGACGTCTTCGCTATGGAAGGCGCTCTTAGTCAGAGCGGCAAGCGTTGGATCGCCAAGTACGACGATATACGATGTGTTGTCCGCAACGACATCCAGCGAGTGTTCCTTCTGTCCGATGACTACAATGCGAAGCCCAAGTATCTGATCGCTCTCGCTTTGGGCATACCATGTTTGGACACCAGCTGGGTTCTGCATAGTGTTGGCGATGTGAGTTACTCATTCGATGCCCACCGATTTCTCGTTGACAACGATCGCAGGGGCAAGAGAAGGATTGGCAACAGTACCTGCTCCCTGCGGGCTTATGCGAATCTCTCGATACCCGTGTGTCGCAGCTTGTTGATTTTGACTGGGGCAACTCAGTCGAGTACCTTCGTGACGTTACTGGAAATCAAGCTGCGTTGAGATTGTTCGCGGGGAAACGCGTTTTATGTCTGGCTCCCGACTATGTGCCCGTCGCGAAATCCAGAAGAGTGAGTCATCGTCTGCTTTTCTGTACATGCCGACGATGACCAACCTGATTCGCTGAAGAATAACTCCGACGCTGACAAGGCCAAAGAGGCGACTCGCATGGTACCCTGCATCATTCTGGCGATGGGTGCTTCTAGTGTCGAGGCCGTCCCGGACGTCAAATACGCATCCGCGAAAAACCTGTCTGAATACCACTACGTTGTTGTCAAGGACCGCGGGGATATAGGCCGTGTCGCCTCTGGCCCGAATTGCGTTCACTTCGGATGGGTCAAGGACTGTTTGATCGCCGGACGTTTGTTGCCTCTACCTCAGGATTAGCTCCCCCCAGATCTTGCTTCAATGTGTCGCCTTGAATCTCCGTCTCGTATGCTTGTCGAATGCTCTAGCTATCGTCTATCCTAGTCTGCATTGCTGTCTTGACTGTTCCATGTAGTACTTTATCCCCCGACTCGATGTGTATTGTGTATATACCGCGTGGCTTGCATACCTTATTGAATGGCCTGAGCTTGTAGACGATTGTGTATCATATGCGTAATGGAATGCAGTGTGCTGCAGTGGCCGTATTCATGTAACGGCGACGCTAAATAAGGACATTCACCAGTGTGTGATTACAATGCGTCGTGGGCTTATGCAGACGCAGTACTTACGATGCGTCATGGTCACTCCGATAGTCTCCTCTCGACCCAACGGAAATGGCTCTCGATCCGGACCGTCCAATACAATTCACCTATACGATATGGGTGCACCGCGGTCCCGTCAACCAACTTTCGTTCAACGACGGACAGTTGCATTGAATTATGTAGCAGCGAACGCAGAATGCATGAAAACAAGAATAGCGCGACTGATTGACTAGCGAGTACACTATACATGAAGCGTCAAATGATAGCATGACAGAAGTTCATAGTTCATGCCGAAGCAGACCATTGTGTGTTGTCTGCAAAGCCCACTACATCCGCATATGCCGAATGATTATCGATCGCAACCTGAGTGACTAGTACGGTCTCACTCAGGCCAAGCAGATTCGCCGGTGTGGCAAGGAGCTCTCCCAAAGCTCTGTTCTCAGAAGAGAACATAGCCAGGAGTTTGACTCCTATCATCTCGATGAACTGCAGTCGAACTGTGATCAGGCCAACTGACTGGTCGGACAGGGTTAAGATCACTGACCAAGTCTCCCGCATGGAGGCGTGAGCAGAAGCGGGCGAAGTGCTGACGATGTGAGTCATTGGCAGCCGGATCAAGGGTGAGGCGAGCAGTGGTACCCTCCATCTGGAACGTTTGTAAGACCGCAGGTGCATGTTCGCTCTTGTAGAACTTCCCGGGCGGGCCCACGGCTGATTGGGGGCCCAGATTTCCCAGCAATGAACCCGGAGGATAAATATCTTTCAGGCAGACGGGCACGCAAATCGAGTAGTCCAAGCTCAAGGACAGGTGCACCGCGTATTCCATGGACCTGCAGCCGGGTGTGAGTGACCGGTGTACTTCTGACGAGGAGCAACAGCTTACGTCGACTCTTGAGCCCTTTCATGAACTGGCTTTCCGTTCTCGGTCAACGTCACCTCCTTTCCCAAGCCACTGTGAGAGCCTAGAGATCAGTCATCGGACATGTCTATCAACAACAGTCTTGCACTTACAGAGGTCCGAAAATCGTAGACATTTGCCAAGCCGGGAATGGGCGTTTTGGTGCGGCCTCTGGCATGGGCTCTGGTGCAGCCTCTGGGGCGGCCTCTGGAGCGGCCTCTGGAGCGGCCTTTGGGGCGGCCTCTGGAGCGACAGAGGCGTTATCTGGTTGCTTACTGTTTCTTGAGGGAGCCTGAACAGCTGCTTGTTCCGTAGCGACGGATTGTTCAGCGACAACGGTCTCTTCACTGGTGCCCTCCGAGCGCACGGTCTCCTGGACCACGGGTTCAGTTTGTTGCCTGCAGAAAGTCAGACCTGGTTATTCAACATACACACACATATATATAAGACACTTACCCGCTGGTCACCACTGCCGGTGGTTGGGGGTGATCCGGATCCGGCTCACCGTGCGCATCGACGTCGTCCTCGAAATCAGACAGGTTCTGCGCATCGGTAGCATTGTAGCCAGCCTGCCGGAGGAGCTCCTCTCCAGTCGGGGGCGGGGGCGGAGGTTGCATGAGATCTGGCTCTACTCCACTGTCTGCCATGGCAGGGGCATCTGCCACACCTCCCCCAGCGCTCTCTTGCAGTGTCATCCTACCCCGCCTGCCTGGGGGAACTTTACCCTTCACCGTCTGTAACGCGCCCCCCAGAGTCGTGAGCAGCGACGTGCTGCCAGTGACGATCCCTAAAGAGTTCCGCCCAGGTCCCGCCTTTGAGCCTGACACGCGCCCACTCTTGCGCAAAGGTCCGGTCGACGAGCTCATGCCAGCCTGCAATGACCTCGTACCCGCACCATTCTGCCGCATATATCTCTCCTTGGTAGACATGGTACCGCCCGACGGCTCGCCTGCATCGAGGAGCGGCTCTTCGTGAAGCTTTACTTTCGGTTTGCGAGCACGATGAGCAGGCACAGGCGGCATAGAGTCGCTAGGCGCTGCTGCAGGTTGTGACGGCTGAGCTTGCAAGAGCATCGGGATACCAAACAGAGAAGGGCTCGATGCTCTTTGACCCGCATCATCGGGCCCAGGAGACGAGGGAGTAGAGGGGTACTGCAGTTCAAGCTCGATTTGCTGTTCTACGGTGGCATCCACAAACGACTTATCGGCCTTGCGAGAGCGAGACGGTCCGGACGCCGACAGTCTCTCGTCCGTTGACGATACCCCGCGAACGACCTGTTTGCGCCTTGACGACGCCGAGCTAGCATTCCAGTTCTTCTCGGGCGAGAAGTTTTCGGCCATTGAGCGTTTGCGTTGCAAGCCAGAGCGAGTGGGCGTCTGTACGTCTTCCTGACGGCGACGCTTTGCAGAGGCGCCTTGGAGTTTCTCTGACGGACGACGCTTCCTCTTAAGTCTTTCTTCGTCGCCTATGATAGACTGCACCTCATCTTCCGACTCGTCCGACGATTTCAAGCCAGTTGGTGAGGAAGCCTTCTTGCTTTCCTCGGTTTTTGCTTTGCCTATGCGCCCCAAAGGTCACACAAGCTACAATACAGTGGTCGCGGGACTTACGAGGAGGAGGAGCAAGCGGAACGAATTCTTCACCCACTCTGAATATCCGGAGATTTCCCCACTCTCGCCCATCGGTGTTGACGCGTTGCCAGAAATCATGGATAAAATGTTCTGAACCACCTGAGAACGAGTCTGGTGGCTCCCAGCTGCAACGATTCCGTCAGTATGGGTGTTACATTAGAGAACATCTCTGACGCACGTGTTGTCTTTCAGACCATAGTTCTTCCACTGGAGTACGACAATCGTTACATGCGAAGTGCAACAAAGGCATGAACGGACGGACCTTTACAAAGTAGCTCTAGGAGAATTTTAGCGCATAAACTCATATAATCTAGAATCTTTACTGACCCACACCTTCCTCCTCTGAGGTCCTATGATGAGCTTTGCGGAATGAATCGCCTCTGGCACATATTGGACATGAGACGGCTACGTGTAGAGAACGAAGGCTACTGACCAACTTCATACTCCTCATCCGACATCACGATGCGATGTCACAAGCAGAAAAAGGGCGTTCGATACGCGCTGCGCCGACGACGAGGGAGATGAGAGGCTGAGTTGCGCGGCGCTCAGCCTGAGTCGACTAGTCCCGAGTCGCGGTCGCGTTCCCGCCTAGCGCCAGCCGAGCGGGGTGTCTTCGCCCAATATGGATTAGGCGACACGGTCACGCGTGACAAACGCGTCGCGTTGGCGTTGACACGGGCGCCTGTCTGCTACCTTGCCTCCTCCCGCCTTGGACGCGTCTCCCCTCACCATGCTGCGACGTGTCCCCATCACTTCAGATGGAAAGGTCGTCGACCGCCTCCAGGAGAGCTCCCGCATAAACAAGCCTTTCAAGCCCCCCACTAGCCTTGTCCAGCGCAATCAGCCGACGCGCAAGCGAAAGCGAGCAGACTACAAGGATCAGCAAAGACAATCCGATGACTCTGGCTCGGAGGGTGATGAGGCACCCAAGAAGAAGAAGAAGAAGCTTGATAAGAACGGCTTCCCCGAGCGGCCGCGAGATAGCAATGTCGTGCACTATCCCGTGTTCAAGGTTAAGCCCTTCAGCGAGGTCGCCCGCAGGTTCTCTATACCAGAGATGAGGACCAAGGATGGATCCGTTGTTACTCTCACACGGACCAATGCTGCTCTCGGTATCCGTCCACTCGCCAACATCATTCCACGACCCCTGCACGACCCGATGGAGGATCATGCCATTGTCCTCTACGACCCAACTGTCGATGACAGAGAGACTGATGAGGAACGCAGAGAGCGCGAGAAGGAGGAAGCTCGTGAGAAGGCCGCACAGGAGGCTCGTGAGAAGACTGCAGGTATGTACAACCCGCATAAGAGTCTGAAGGAACTCCTCGGTGGCGGCAAGGAGAAGAAGAAACGTAACGACAAGGTCGCTGTCGTCATCGATCCCCGTCTAAGCAAGGTCCTGCGCCCACATCAAGTGGAGGGTGTCAAGGTGAGTCGATCTTACATTGCCTTGCGACACGCCGCTCAATTGCACCATAGTTCTTGTACAGGTGTACGACCGGCATGGTGGTCGAGAACCAGTATGGATGCATCATGGCGGACGAGATGGGTCTTGGAAAGACCTTGCAATGCATCGCCCTCATGTGGACGTTATTGAAGCAATCGCCACGGGCGGGCAAAGGCACCATCGAGAAGTGCATAATTGCGTGCCCGGCTAGTCTCGTCAAGAATTGGGCGAATGAACTTGGCAAGTGCACATCACTGATCTACAGTGTGTTCATCTCATAGCATACAGTTAAGTGGCTGGGAAAGGACACTATCTCCGCGCTCGCTATCGACGGGAAAGGCGGGAAAGCCGAAATGCTAGAGAGAGTTGCGCGGTGGGTCGCAGCGGGGGGCAGGAATGTGTCTCAACCAGGTATAGTCAACGCGTTGGTTCTGAACGGTCTCACTGAATGCAAGTCCATAGTGATGATCGTCTCATATGAAACCCTGCGCACACTTTCTGTGCATCTCGCCAACTCTACCATTGGACTGCTGTTGTGCGACGAAGGACATCGGCTCAAGAACTCTGGTTAGTCGCCGTTTTCGTTCGGCCGCGACGAAGACGAGCCAACATTATGTAGAATCCCAAACTTTCCAGGCTTTGAGCGGTCTGAACGTGAAACGACGCGTCATCCTGTCCGGTACCCCAATTCAGGTCTGTCCATGCAAACCTGCACCGTGGCTACGTAGACTGACTCGCTCAACTCATAGAACGATCTGTCAGAGTATTTCTCCCTGTTGAGCTTCGCGAACCCGAATTTCCTGGGGTCGAAGAACGACTTCAGGAAGAACTTCGAGAACGCCATCATCCGTGGCCGTGACGCTGACGCCAGTGATGCAATTAAGGCAGAGAGCGAGAAGAAACTCAAGGAGCTTGGCGCGCTCGTCTCGAAATTCATTATTCGGCGCACGAACGATCTGCTCTCCAAGTACTGTGCGTATTCGGAGCTCCTCTCACGGGCATCCACGAAGGAGGACTGCTGTTGACTAACATCTCATTTCTTGCCAGTGCCGGTGAAGTACGAGCAAGTCGTCTTCTGCGGCCTCTCCGAGTTCCAGCTTTCTCTATACCGACTCTTCATATCGTCGCCAGAGATCCAGGCGCTTCTTCGAGGTGCAGACTCTCAGCCGCTCAAGGCGATCAACATCTTGAAGAAGCTCTGCAACCACCCCGAGCTACTCGATCTTCCCAAGGATCTTCGCGGCTCCGAGAAATTGTTGCCAGCAGACTTCACTGGCGCTGGTTCGAGCGCACGGAGCAAGGGAAGAGACCAGACGGTGCATTGTCAATGGGGTGGCAAGTTCGTCGTATTGGAGAGGTAGGCAATGGATGTAGCAATTCTCCGCGGAACCTTAACAAGCCACCTGCCAGGTTCCTGCACCGCATACGCACAGAGACGACCGACAAGATCGTATTGATCAGCAACTACACCCAAACGCTCGACTTGTTCGAGAAGCTCTTGAGGAGTAAGAAGTAAGCCACCCCACTTCGACCTTGTTGCATCTGTCAATTAACTTGTCTTCGCCCATTATCAGGTATGGTTATTTCCGCTTGGACGGCACACAGACCATCAACAAGCGCCAGAAGTTGGTTGACCAGTTCAACGACCCCGATGGCAAGGAATTCGTCTTTTTGCTGAGCAGCAAAGCCGGTGGATGCGGTATCAACTTGATCGGCGCGAACCGTCTGATTCTCTTTGATCCTGGTTAGTTCTCTCTGTTCTATTCATCACACTTATTGACAGCCTCCGGAAGACTGGAATCCTGCTGCTGACCAGCAAGCACTAGCTCGAGTGTGGCGTGACGGCCAGAAGAAAGAGTGTAAGTCTACCCCGCTTCCTGTCTGTAACGACTCACGCGAGAGGTGTCCAGGCTTCGTATATCGCTTCATCTCGACCGGTACTATCGAGGAGAAGATATTCCAACGGCAAGCGAACAAACAAGCGCTCTCGTCTGCGGTTGTAGACGAGAAGGAGGACACTGAGCGCCACTTCTCCGTGGATGCCCTTCGGAAGCTGTTTCTCTTTAACGAGAAGACGCTCTGCGAGACGCATGAGACATTCAAGTGTAAGCGTTGCAAGGACGGGAGACAGGTCATAAAGGCTCCTGCACTGCTCTACGGTGACGCGAGCACGTAAGTGATTTAGAGTGTTGGCGCGGACTCACTGGATAACACTGATTCACAGATGGAACCACTTCACAAATACTGAGCTCAAAAACAATCACGACGACCTGTTGCGCGCTGAAGTCGGGCTGCCCGAGGTGTCTTTTGTTTTCCAGTATATCAGTCACTAGTGCTGCATGGTCCTTTCGCGGATCACTTTACGGTTTGCTACCGGCCGATGGACTCTAGTTTAGATGGGTATAGGATTTGTATACTAGATGTTGTAACAACAATCAATCAAATAGAGCATTCCTGTCGATGGGAGAGCAATGGGCTGACTATGGATACAGCTAATGTTACACGTCGAGTATGTTGTGTCCTGCAAATCCAGTGATGTATACACGGTAGCTCGCTTGGAGAGGCTATGTCACAACCGCGTCCCAGGTCCCCCACTCGCCTGCCACCCGCCTGACTTGCACCTTCTCCCCCGCTGCGCCGAAATAACCCGCCTTATACCAGGCCTTGATCTCTTCCTCCCCAAATGGACCGAATACTTGTCCATCCTGTCCGGAGCTGTCAGGGACAGCCCACCTGTATTCGTACCTGACGTCGGCGGAAGGTGGCATCCACGACGAGTCCACGATGCCGGAAGAACGTACAGAGCGTACGAGCTCCTCGTAGGTCTTCGAGTATACGTCGGTGTCGCCGAACCCCATGAGGGTAGAGGCGAGATGGGTGATGTGGTCAATCTCGGACGGCGCTTTAGGTGCCTTGTCGACCTGCATCGGGTCCTCTGCAAGGTCACCTTTGCGTTTGTTGTTGGGCTTTCCACTGAAGAACAACGTTTAGGGATGCTCATGACCAAACGAGATACCGTCACGCACTTTCGTTTACTTGCGCCACTCTTCTTTGCTTGCGCACCCAACCGTTGTAGTGCCTCCAACACAGTCTCGCCCTTCTTCAGCATCCCGACCAGCTCCTTCTCGATCTGCGGCCTGCCTCCCAGTTGCCGCATCTCTTCCTCCTCAGCTTTCTGCTTCTCTTTCTGCTCCTTCTCCCTGAGCCTATGGTTCCGTCGCGTCTTCTTGATCTCTTCCTCGTCCAGTCCTTCCATCCAGCGATCGTGTGCCGCATGTGGGTCAAACGTGCGGACGTAGGTCCCGTCCTCCGCAAACTTGCCCTCCTCCATCTCCTCCCGCATGTTGAAGGACGAAAGTTCGTACCCCATGCCTGCCTTGTTCCGCTCTGCAGCGTCCTGGTCATCCGGCTCCTCGCTCTCCGACTGATCGGAGTTCTGCTCGTTGAATTCCTGCCCTTCGATATCACCCAGCCGCAAGAACTTCGTCTCTTTCTTCCCACTCTCCTCCGCCTTCTCCTCCTTCTCGCCCATCGCAAACATGTCTTCGTCCTCATCCGCCTTGTCGGCACCAGGGCGTCTGCTGGGTACCACACCCTCTCCATCATCACTGGAGTCAGACTCGTAGCCCTCGGTCTTGACACGCCCCCTCCGTTGACGCGTCTCAAGGCTGGCGTCGACCTCCTCCGCAAAGTTGACCGGATCGTCTTTCGGCTCGACGAATCTGGTCTTCTTCTGAGGGCCTTTGGATGGCCCTGGAACGTCGTCACTGGAGGTAGCTGCGCGTTTGCGTGGTGGTCGTGCTGCAGCAGACATAGCGATGGAGTATGTATACAAGAGAGCAGTGTTGGACTGTCAGCCTAGGTGTCATCTCATTCGGTTACGGTGGGCATGACGGTAGTGATGTGTGCGCCTGTTTGGAGTGTGGCGGGAAGCGCTGCACCCACAAGGCCCTACAACGCGCAGGCTCCGATGGCATATCATAGAGATACAACGACTACTTGGAATGCTACTACGTTACGATGCGGATCTATTTCTACAATGAGCACAGTCCCAACGCGATCACATAGCAAATTCCAAAAGGTAAGGCCAATGAAATCATAGCGCCGTCGAGTCCGCCGACACACCGGCCCGCCTACGCGACGGAGTGGTAACGTCCTCGGTGCCAGTCGCACCGGCACTGAGTAACCCCTCCTCTTCAGCAGCTAATGACCGAGAGCTTCGACGGCCGCGGTATGTCTTCTGTCGGTAGATGAGAGACTGTGCAACAATGGTAATGTCGAATACGAGCGTGCCGCCGCTGCCCAGCAGATATCTACATATTTTATCAGAGATGCTCATGCATGATGTTGCGAGGATATACGCACGGAATACTCTCTTTGATGAATGCACTCGCTTCCGGCTCCGGAAGCCCTAGCTTCGGAGACGTGAGGATGGATGCGACATAGAAGAAGTTGCCCAGGAACGCAAAAATGAATAGATATATCGAAAGTCCCTGGGATATGATGTGAGCCATCGTATCAAGTCGTCGAATCTGCTTGTATTGTTCATACCTCCACAGATTTCCGGACGAACTGAAGTGATGGTCAGTATCGCTTCGACAGATAGCGTTGACACTTACATTTTTCCATATTTGAGGTAATCGCGACGTGAGATAAAGCGTTGTGCATATCCAAGCCGATATCCGTCCAATGATGAACTCAGTGGAGCGCTCAGGTTGCTTGGTGGTGGCTGTATAGTCCGTTGGTTCAGCAGCACGCTCAAACATGGCAGTGGGATCAATGTCCACAGATGGTGCATGCGCGTTGTCGTACACAGCGGGTATCCCCTCGCCAAATGTAGGCAGGGTCGCGTCTGCACGGGGAAGCACATGCCCCGTTCTTCCGAGAGCTGTGGTCGACGGAAAACCTTGTTGACCATTCAACAGCGTCCCGACCCCGAACAATGCCCACCCTCCCAAAAACACCATGCTCGCGCCTTTCCGACTTGCTCGCGAGCTCCGCCTCTGCGAAGCCGACCACTGTGCCTCCTCTTCTGTGGAAACGTCGCGTGACAATGATCGTCCCCGCACGAGCAGGTCTGGCTCCTCGACCTGGGGAGCTGCGCTCATATGCAAAGGCGCGTGTATCCTGCCCGGCGGCGACGTCGTGCCTTGCCCATGCCGGCCTACACTTCCACCGCGTTCTTGACTCCAAGAGACCTTCTTCCGGCGTCCCGGGCGACCACCCTCAGAATGGAAGCTATCGGCGAGACGTGCGAGTCCCTCTTCATCAACGTCGTCCTCTTCTTCCGCGAGAAGCTCCCGTGCTTCAACAGCTGAATGAGGGATACGCTCAAGGCTATTTCGATGCCATCGAGCATGCTCCTCCTGCTCTGCGACGCGAGCGGCAGCCGCTGCGACGTTCGCTGCTACATTGGAGAGTGCGCGATAGTGCGTCGCCTCGCGCTCGGTGGGAAGGCGGTGGGTGGTCGCAGTTGAGGTCGTTCGGGAGCGGATTGATAGATAAGGCGGCTGCTTCGAAGCGGATTTGTACCGATAGTAGAAGTACTGGCTGAGAAGGCTGAAGTCGACGAAGCAGAAGTATGTCGCTAGCCACGTCTGCACAATTGGACTCTAGTGAGCATACAAAACAAGCACGAGGATGCGTAGAACGCACTTGGAAGGGCAGTTGATGGGTGAGGATGCAGCCAATAAGATTCGTGGCGTCACCTAAGACGCAAGCGAGCACTGTTATGGTGCACGACGATGGCTCACTTAAACTACACACCTAGTGCCCAGTTGAGTAGAAATGGCAGTGCAAGGCCGTCTGCCGACTGCCTGCGGATGTTCTCGATGACCTGACTGAGCTCGCAAGTCAACGACGCGCGACGATGATCTTGAGGTGACTCACGGAAATTGGGCCCCCAGCCAGCTGGCTATCGACGCCCAGCCAAGAACATCACTCAGACTCGATGACCCGAACATGCTCGTCGTAGCATACAGCGCCGTCGATGTGGCAGACGACGAGGAGGGTGTCGGCTGAGAGGAAAGCCAGTAAGGTGGGACAGTCGGACGACCGCTCGACCGCCTCACCTGCTCCGATCGGAACGCGCATACCATATTTGGTAGTCAGGGATCCCTCACCGTCGGTCTGTCGCTGACCACCACTCCCCGAGACCCGTTCGACGCACATCGGACACAGGCCGTGGACGCTGGAATGCTGAACACATCCGCGGCCGACGCAGCATTCCCGCAGCACGCGCTCGCGCTTTGAGATTCAGAACGCGTTGGACTTGTACCCGGAGGACACGCGTATTTACCGCGTCACGCGCAGTGCGGAGAAGTCGGGGTCCATCTCACGCGAGTGGGTGCAGCAACTGCTCTTGCGGTACTGCCATCGTTCTGACTGTCTCAAACTTCTCCCACTGCAACAGAGACAAGTGTTCGCCGTTACGCACTGCCGAGGACAATCATCATGTCCCAGGCCAAGGCGCAGCGCAACGCCAGGACTCTAGGAGCCACTCCGGACGAACTGGTACGTACGCCACAGCTATATTCTCCATGCGAACATTACGATCCTGAGAGATGATGACAGCGGATGCTCGTCCTGGATTACCTCTGCCACAACGCTCGTTCCAAGACCGTACAGGCGTTCACTCACGACAGCGCAGTCAAGTATGTGGATGCGGACGGAGACGATATCATGCCGGCGCCCGGGGAAATCACGTTTGACGATGGATTGCGGCTTCGTCTGGCCTCCGGGGAGCTTCGCGAAGGTAGGATTTCTCCTGAGTGTATGCCAGCCTCTCATGCAAAGTATCTACAGAGATCCGTACATGCATCTTGTCGGGACAGATAGACGAAGCCATCGAACTCCTCAATCGGTACTTCCCTTCCGTCCTCTCGGAGAACACGGAGACTCCACCGATATCCAAGACGAATGGTCGCCTCGAATACATACCGTCTACGTCCGTCAATCCCGCCCACCTGTTGATCAACCTTCACATACAAGGCTTCATCGAAGCGGCGCGCTCAGTTCCTCTGCCTTACTACCCCCCGGGGGCCCAGCCGCCGACGTCACCCATCACAACCTCCACGAGTGAGACCACTGACGAGGACAAGGAAATGAGCGATCTGAGGGCCACAGAGCGGCTGCTACACCGGGCACAGAACCTATACGCCGAGGCAAACCGTCTGCCGGCTGCCGAAGACCGTGGTCAATATCTCCTGGAGCTCGGGAAAGTCGGCAGCTTGCTTGCATATGTAGTCCCCGAGAAGGGACCAGTGACGCAATACCTAGGTCAAGACAGACGCGAAGCCCTCGCAGACTCAATCGACAGCGCTATATTGTGTGCGTAGTCTTCAATCTGATTCTTGATGTGGGATCCTGACTTTCTATGATAGATCGAACAGGACAGCGGGTGGTCTCCAAGCTTGACTTGGCCGCGCGCCAAACGTCTGTGGTCTGGTCGATGCTCCACGAGCAGAAGATCAAGCCTCCTCCGCCGTCCGGCTGGCCAGAGGGAGTGGCACCGCCAGGGATGTCGAGGCCGGCCCCTGCACCATCAAGTATGTCGTCTAAGAAGCCGTCCGAGCCGGACGCACCACAGGTACGGCTACTACTTCTCGTCGAGATAGGGTGTTTGAGCGATTCTTCCAGGCGTTTACCCCGTTCGATCTGCAATCTTACTTGGATACGTCGACTTGATGTCAGGACGTCGACGCTCGACATTCCTCCATCACACTATTGTTTGGATCCGGGGATACGGTTACAGTAGGGTTTGCAAGTATGTATGGACTCAAGGTGTTAGTAGACCTGTACGGTAATGAGCAAATGATTCGCTGGGCAATGACGCGTACCTGCATGCTTCACATCCTTGGGTAGCCATGCAAGCAGGATAAGAGTCTCAGAAATCCAATGACAGATTGCTCAAGGCGACCTCTAACGATACCACACCGACGATATCAACATCTATCCAACGACCCTTGTTAACACGAGACACGATTTCCTCTCCTACTCCCGTTCCCTTCAGGCCGAGAACCTTGAGACGGCTCCACCTGTCCCACTCGACCCTCTCTAGAACCGACTGGCTGTCTGCATGAGGCTTACTTAGCCAGTTGTTGAATGAAATGTCCAACACTTCGATGAGCGGGCATACGCGTGGTAGGCGGAAGATGGGCGAAGGCGCAGGAAGCGCGAGCAACGCCAGGTGCGTCAACGTTGGTGGGAAAGAGAGCAGTGTATTCACCGGCAAGGTGATAGAGAGGAGGATCAAAGTCTGCATTGGCTGTGGTACACGCTCGTCAAAGGAAGGCGAGTCCCACGAGTCCTCCGCATCGGGACCGCCCTCTTCCGCTGTACTGTCAATCTGACTGTGCGCTGGCGAAGCATGCGATGGCCTCCTCGTTTTGAATACGTTACGAGGCAACGAAGCGCGGGGTCCTACGACGACGAGTTCGCCGTCGACATGGCCGCCACTCTCCGCCAGAGCAAACAGCTTGGTAGTGGGAAGAGGATCGTGTACCGCTGACCAGCGCATGAGGTCTCGCCTAAGATGTCCGGGGAGGTATGGGATGACATCTTCGGCAAATGCTTCTGACGCATCTTGTGCCGAATACAGCGAGTCGAGGTATTGCAGACACAGCAAGGTCAGGCGAGGTATCGGAACCGCATTATGGCCAGTGGGTGGCAAGAGTTGCGAATAGATGAGCGACAGAGCGTTGGAACGCCACGCACACTCGGCATTTGCCTGTGGTTCCCCGCCTTTCCTCCTGCTATCATCATGGAAAAGACCACTCCAGCTCGGAGGGGGACGTGGGCCAGGCACGCGGCCCCTAGGATACGCATATTCGAGGACGCCTGCAGGACCTAAACGCAGGGGGGGCGATGGACGGACAGTAGCTGGTGGCTCACGCTCGACCGCCCTTGCTGCATATATCTGATCGAACGGGAGCGTCGGATTGCTGGTCGAACTGTGAACGGGTGCGCGCGCTTTGACACGCTGTATATTCTGCTCATGGCGATAGTGTTCTCCTCTAGGAATGAGATCAGGGTATGTAACGATGCATAACGATGGAACGACATACCTGAGTGTATGGAGCAAATTGTTGACCTGTCGCGAATCTGGATCGCGCGTGGCTGCTACAGACGGCATCGAGGGGTAGTTGGCAGAGCAGAGACTTGAGTTGAGATTTGGGAGGAAGGTGAACAAACGGCGATCAGTGCGGGCTTTGGCTGCGTTCGGATGCAAGTCTGAGTCAGCTGGAGAAATGTCGTCGGCCGCTCGTGGGCTCGAGTGGCGCCGGATTGACTACGTAGTACCTCTGCTTGAAGTTGCTGCGGTCGATGCGGAATACTGATGCTATGTAGGTCCGAGATCTGTCGCCAGGAGCCCACTAGCATGAAAGCTGCAGAATCGAGTCTCACACAAAGACAGCTGCCGTCGTAGACTTCAAGCTTTATGAGGTTGCCGATCCCAATGTAGACGAGCAGCTAGACAACTTGCACAAGATATCTGCCATTTCGTGGGATCAATGGAACAGAGGGGACATCGTAGACTATAGATGGGACGTCCAGAGACCCACGACGGACATGGACGACCTGAGGACCGCGCAACAGACCAGCGAACAACAAGCGCCATCGAGCGGCGTTTGCCACATTTGGGCCGTGGGAACAGATTGAGGTACTGTATAGTAGCTTCCAGCCACAGCGCTCCAGCCGGACACCGTACTACCGCCCAGCACTACGTCGGTCCTCAAGATCTCCTAATGGCCCCCTCCACTACGTGCGTGTATTCGCTTGATCATCGTTGCGTCGTGACTGACTGTAGTGGCCGAACTCTAGCGTCCCAAGTGTCGCGGTGCGTTGATCTCGTGTCGTTAATGAGATGTATGAAAACTGAACTTCGTGCACTAGGACATTGAAGTCCCCGAGACTCTCCTCAAAAAGCGCAAGCAGAACGAAAAGGCCCGGGAGGAGAAGCTTGTGGCAGCGGCTGCTGCACGGAAGGTAAGTGTGTGACGATTCGGTTGGAGCCTTTGGACTTGCTTTCGTGATGCATACTTTCACTTCTTGGCTAGTGGGATCTTATCTTCGCTGTGCTGCTAGAAATATACCATCTTTCGGGACTGACTTTCGTTCAAATCCGTTATTATTGCATATGCGCAATATGATACTGACCACCTGAACATTGCAGGCGGCCAAGGCTAAGCGCAAGGTCATCTTCAAGCGCGCTGAGGCCTATGTGAAGGAGTACCTTGGTCAGGAGAAGGAGGAGATTCGCTTGAAGCGGGCAGCCCGCGCTGCGGGCGACTTCTACGTGCCTGCACAGGCGAAGGTTTACTTCGTTATCCGTATCCGGGGGTGAGTAGCTTACTATCGGCGGTGCTCAGTGCCTGACTCTGAATCATCGTAGAATCAACGAAATTGCACCAAAGCCCCGCAAAATCTTGCAGCTCCTTCGTCTGCTCCAGATCAATAATGGTGTCTTCGTCAAGGTCACCAGGGCGACTGAGCAGATGCTTCGTCTCGTCGAACCTTACATCGCATACGGGTACGTAGAGTCGTCTAGCAGTTGGTGCTGCGTTGTCTCATTATCATTCAGCGAGCCGAACTTGAAGTCCGTTCGTGAGCTGATATACAAGCGCGGCTATGGCAAGGTCGATAAGCAGCGCATTCCTCTCACGAACAACGGCGTCATTGAGGCCGCGCTCGGCAAGTACGACATCCTTTCTGTTGAGGATCTCGTACACGAGATATCCACCGCCGGCCCCAACTTCAAACAGGTGCGTCGATTGGACTGATTCTGCTTGGCATGTCTCACAACATGCACGAATCAGGCGTCAAACTTCCTTTGGCCCTTTAAGCTTTCCAACCCGACTGGTGGCTGGAGGACGCGTAAATTCAAGCACTATGTGCAGGGCGGAGACTTCGGCAACCGGGAGGAAAACATCAACAAGCTTGTCCGGCAGATGAACTAGACGTAGGGTTCGGCGTTGCCGGCTCCGGATGGAGTTACATCTCGCATGCATACATCTTCGATTCGTAGACCATGCTCTTCCTGTTGTATGCAGTACTATGACATTCATGAGCGCGAAACTACGAATGTTTTGTCTCTAATCACTACGCTAGGGACGATAGCAGGGTGCGCACAGAACCGTTGGCTCTAAGCCAGGAAGCATCACGCAAGCTGTACCATTTAGTACTCATAGTGAGAGTCCCGTTCACTATGTCGACCCGAGGGTCATGCTTGTGCGCCGTGTCAACTTGAATACTAGTACTACGTAGCGCCGGTCGTGGTGACCGGCGGACTACTGAACTCGCGTGACTGACTGCGTTCCCCGACACTAATTTTTTATGCGCGATCCACAGGAATGAAGCATTACTGCTCGCTTTCCATTTTCATGACTTATTCTTCCACGCTGAAACGAGGGAGGTGCGTTAAGGCGGGCGCTTATGGTCCCTTGAGGCTGCAGTCGCGTGACCGACGCGTCCTTCCCGCGAGTGAGTCGCGTCTCGACTTGCCAGTGGATGCCTACTCCCCAACAACTTATGTCTCGATCACAACGACCGACGGCTTTTGATGTTTCCTTCCCAGACGAGGCTCGTCACAGTCAGGGCTCTGTAGGAGCGCAAGACGATGATGGTGATTGCTCAGTTCGCTCAGGCTCAGGCTCAAGCGCGTCGAAGCGAAAGCAGCGCGATGACGCCGCCTTGGATCTGGTAAGTCTTCCCTCACCATGCTCTGGACAAACAACCTATAAGTATCCAGCTTCCCATTGCGGTCAAACGCAAGCTCGCTGTCAGACCCAAAGACAGACTCAAAGACACACCTGGTGAGCGTCTACACTTCGATGCATCACAAACAAGATGTCTGATGCATATCAGACCTTCAATATACCCCGGATCCTGCGGACATAAAGGAGACAGGGGATACTGTCATTCTGGGCGAGGATCCTGATGACTTGGGCGGTGACGGTCTTCCCGTCCGAGTACTGTCCGAATTCGCTGTATTCGACCCGAAGGAAGGTTATCACCTATATTCCCTCAGCGATGAGAACATTGGCCAACACAAGCTGCACGCCGCGGGTTTTGTTTCCGCCGTCTACGTAAATGACGAGGACGAAGGCCAGGAGGATGATGTCGAGGGCTCAGTACAACGCCTACGGACCGCTCAAATCGAGCAGTACAGCCTGGATTATGAAACGAGAGATGAGTGAGTGTTCCTTGATGGCTCCACATGTTGTATCTGACCACTTCCTCAGTCCACTCTATATTCAATCGAAACACGCATGGTACCAATTGCGCAATCCTTCGGACATGTATCTTGTACACCATCGCGCGTTCTATCGGCCACACAGGGTTACGCAAATCCTGCTCTCTTCTGCGAAGGAAAATTTGGGTCTACAATGGGACGAACTCATCGAACTGGCGACGACCATGAGAGACCCCCTCCTTGGAGTGAGGATTCACCCGGATGACTTCCTTGCAGCGGTACAGTCGTACTTTGGCATGGTCACAGGATATTTATGATTGATCACTCCCCTTGCCAGGTTCCACTGATCTCAGTGATCCTCTCCGAGATTCAGCATGGTGGACGATTGAAGAGGGTGCCTGCAGTGCGTCAACTCCTGGAGGGCAAGGTGCCTATCTCGAGGCTATCTATGCCCGAGGCTATTCCCGCTGCCTCCACTGGACGACAACACCGCCAGCTTGGCAATCACCCGAGGATTTTCCATCAGGTGAACAACATAGACCTTGCTGTCCTCCGCCCGGAAAATCAGAACCCGACGCGTGTCACTCCGCTCATCGAACAGTTAGCGCGAGGGTGGTTCAACGAGCGCTTGTTTGTGGTCGGCGCGAAGCTCCCAGAGGAACACCGTGAGATCGAGGCAAACCGCGCCCACTTATGGATGCGTCAACGCCTCGGCGAATACATCGAGCGCCAGATGTCGAAGAAAGAGTCGAAGAAGAAGCGGTTTGATAGCTATGCCAACGGAGACCGAATTGTCGACGAGTTCTGGGGAGCTGTTCTTGTCGACGGTGTGAAGTATTCGGTTTGTTCGTTTCCATGTTATATATGCATCCGTCAAGCTTATTTGATTGCCTAGGTTGGCGATACCATCCTGACACCGCGAGGAAGTTATGAACAGCGCAATGAACGCGCAGCGGAGATGCCGGAGGACTTGAAGGATATACCAGCGGATGCCATCATCAGCGATTACTTCTGGTAAGTGTATCTCTTGTGTGCTCACCAAAGTGACGAAGAATGAGTAGAAATTGCTAAAAAGGTTTGGACGCATCATACATATCAATCAGCGGCGAAGGAAGATGCACTTACAGTGGTTCGATCATGCCCCCCGAGGTATTTTGGAGGAGCTAGCTGATCCACGGGAGCTCTTCCTATGGAACTCCTGCGGCGAGATCGACGCTGATGAGGCCTATGGCAATGTGGAGGTTCTTTATAGCAAGCCCCCAGGTGCGCAGCTCCGAGACGGCCGTGCTGAATCGTCATCCGTCTTCTATTGCAAGTGAGTACAACCCATATCGCTATAGACAGCCCCGTGACCAATTTTTCATGCAGCTACCTTTGTAATGAGACACTTGCAACATTCACGTCGGTCTCTGAACAAGATTTGTCTTTGCCGCAGAACTGTATGCCCCCGGACAACTGTCCGCCATGCATGCTCTCAACCCAGCGAGAGCAAGAGCAGACGGTGACACCCATAGGGAATGGGATTGCTTACCGCAGCCACCGATTTCACAGGCACGACTTCGTCCTGTACGTCAACACCACTCCGGGCCCGGCGAATATCGGTCAGATCATGGACTTTGTGGGGATAAAGGGTAGGAAGCGGTCTATCCGATCTGCTGTTGTTCGAGTCCTCGGCCGCATTGACGATATCATGGGCATTTGCCCAGAGCAAAAGGATCAGGTGCGTTCCCCTCATACTGTACTTTACTGTGTGTTACAACCCAATCTGGTATCTCTCACACACTGCACGCCCGACGTCGTGAGGCAGTGCGCGCCTGTCACGTCACGGTGTCATACCGGTGCGCGACGGATAGATTGAGTTGTAATCTACAGTATCGATGTGCGTGTCCTTGCTTACATTGCCGTGCAGCAGCATCTGTTCATGACGGAAGAAGAAGCTGAGGTGCCCGTCGAAGATCTGTTGTCGCCGTGCTTTGTTGTACCGGCTCACGCTCTCACTGATGATGGTGAGAAGCGTGAATGGCTTTCTTCGTCACCCAAGCATTTCTATGTGAAGTACCGGTTCCCGACGATGTTGCCGACGAGGTGGGCGGATAGGACGCGCCTCGCGCATGACGATCTGCTCGTCTGCGCTGAGTGCTTCGAGGATGACAAGCAGTGTTCTGAAGACCTGCAGAAGTTCGCGCGGACCCAGAAGCGCCGGCCGCTGCGCGGCTTTGATCCCTTTGGTGGGGTTGGCGCGTTTGGGCTGGCGATGGAGGAATCGGGGTGTGTAAAGATGTGTCAATCAGTGGAGATTTCGCCTAGTGCGGCCCACGCCTCACGGTTTGTGTAAGGCCTGAAGTGATCTACAGTCTACTGATGTACTCTCACAGGTCAAATTCACCGCAGATGGTCGTACACAATCAATGCTCCAACGTTGTACTGGAGTATGCGATCAAGGTTTCCAAGCATCACAAGCTAGAAGTACCCAAGGAAATTGGCAATTCTCAGCAGCCTTTGCCTGTCCCTCCCAAGCCTGAAGACATAGATATCATTGTGGCAGGCTTTCCATGGTATGTACTGGTTGTCTCATCTATCTTACAAAGTACATGCTCTGATGACATTTTAGCCAGCCTCATTCACGCCTCAACATGTTCCAGCATGCCAACGACCGCAAGAGCCTTCTCATCCTCAATCTCTTGTCATGGGTTGACTTCCTAAAGCCCAGATACTGTGTGTTTGAGAATGTGCGAGGCTTTTTGAAGTACAATCTCCATGCATTCCAGGCTGGGAAACACCAGGTTGAGGGAGGTGTAGATATGGGTGGGCTGAAGTTCCTTGTGAAGGCATTGCTGGCCATGAGGTATGTGTTCTTCACTTGCATGACCTTCAAATGCATTGACACTGCCAACAGATACCAAGTCTGCTTTGGTCTATTACAAGCTGCTCACTATGGAACACCACAAGCAAGAGTGAGGTTCTTCCTGATTGCAGCTCAGGACACATCTGTTTTGCCATCACTTCCTCAGCCCACTCATGATTTCCCCCTGGCTGATGCTTTGCAAATGAAGTTCTCCAATGAATCTCAAGCCCAGCCAATCAACACACAGAGGGGTTCTGCATTACACCACTTTGTCTCTGTTGATGATGCTATAGGTGACCTCCCAAGATTCCATTGGTATGTCTATGCCATCTGTGCCCATACTATTCAATTGAGCACATATTTCATAGGAAAAGTCCCCAGAGAGCTGATCCAGCTGGGGATGGGCTTGAGCTCACCTGTGAACAATCCCAACACCACTGTGGACTTTCTGGCCATGAAGTAGAATATGAATTTGCACCAAGGACAGTGTTCCAGGCAAGGTGCAGGAGGGAACAGAGTAAAGACCTTCAACACTTCACAAAGGTTCCTCCACCAGCCACAGTAGAGCGGTGAGTAGTGATCATACATAAAAGTATATCATTGTTCATGGTAGTAAGCTCAGTGTTGTGAACATCCCATTGACATCCAAGGCAGACTACAGGAGTGAGTGTTGTAGAAGTTAGCTGCAGTTGGCCAACAGCTTACACATATCACAGGTTTGAGGCCAGAACTTTGGCAATGGCAGTTTGCCAACCCATCATCAGCAATAGCACGCCAAGGATTCAGACCTGGTAAGTGTTCATGATAGGAATAATAGACTACTTGGCTGATATAGTGATTACAGGGCTTTATGGACGTTTGAACAAGGACGAATGGTTCAACACAACAGTCACCAACGTTAGACCCACTGCGAAACAATCTTGGGTTCTGAATCCATATGTAGGTTGTGCTGCTACTGGACATAGCTGATTGCTGATATTCACTTGAAGTGCCGGCGCATGGTCACTGTCCGAGAACTTGCTCGTTCACAAGGGTTTCCTGACAATTTCATCTTTCACGCAAAAGACGGGGATGTTACAACAGTGAGTCGGCAGATATTTTTGACCTTGGACACTTGCCAACTCCAGTCAGATGCACAGGCAGATTGGAAATGCTGTTCCATGGCCTGTTGCCGCAGCCATCAGCCGGGAGCTCTTGGGCGTAATCTTCAGGAAATGGCAGATGGACAAGCAGACGGCCGAACCCATAGAGGATGAATGAAATCCGTGTATCTCTGCATATATCTAGCTCTCAGAATAGTAGCATTCATCATGAAGGATCAGACAACATCGGCATAAAGGCATGACCGACAGGAAGTATCATACATTGTAAGATAATTTCCACCAAGCACCACCACATACACACCGATATAGCCATTGCCTCTCCCAAGCCCGCCAACTTGCAGAACTATTCTGCGCTTTGGGATCACTGAGATTCGTCTCAGATCTGCCCTCGCAAGATACACAAATGGTGCTCATGGACGGGCGAAGCAACAGCCCTTTCGACACGACGTCCCGCTGCTTGTCCTTGAGGTGTTGATCTACGACGGAGAGTCGAGCCACCCCGTCTACGAGATCGCCCGGCTTGATGAACAGACGAGCCCTGTTGATCCCGCCGCAACCTGCTATCTTTTCTACGGCCCCACGCAGGGCGCCCGACAGGGACGGATGTGGTACACCGCCGAGAAGGGTTTGCTGGAAGTCGTTATCTACTGGGAGATGAGCGCACGGAGGTTAGCGACAAGGAACAGTCACTGACCATGCACGCCTTGAAGGCTTTGATGCACCTGAGCGAGGACGCCGCCCATCTGCTCCAAGTCGATCCCGGAGCAGTCAACGACGTCCAACAGGACGTCTCGAGCGATTTGCGCGTTTTCGCCTTTCGCGGTGAGCAACGCGACGCGATCCCGAAATCGCTTGACATGGCCCAAGATCATGCGGATCCTCCCTAGGCTGTAGGGATGAACGAGATGCACAAGAGCCGACGCGCTCAGCGAAGAGTTCGGTCGACCGCCTGTCGGCGTTATCGGTCAATCTCTACGACATGAAAACAGACACGCGACGCACCATTAGTGGCGAAAGAACTAAGATCGCCTGCGAGAACGCATTCCCTCAGAACGCCCTCGACGAACTCGATGAACCAAGTGGATAGGCAGACGAGGTGCCATATATCGCCTGTCGACGCAGAATCAGCAACATGTACTATCAACGACGACTGAAGACGACTCACCAAGATCGTAGATTTGATCTTCGTAACACATCGCAAACGCGCTGTAACACGCGGACAGGGAGCATATATCGTGTATCGCCCTCCACCGCGCGAGAAGGCTCTCTTTGTCCGCTTCATCCGCACGACGCGATTTCGCCCTACAAGGATCACAATTCGTCGAACGAAAGACGACCCTTTACTTGAACTACTCACAGAAAGACTTCGCCCGCGACCCCAAGGACTTCCGCCGTCCAGACGTCGCGCAGATTCGGCGACTCCTTGGTTAGAGAGCCGAGAACCTCGCAAAGAGTATCAACGACGGTTTGAACGTAGACCGCTGGCGAGGCCAATGCGTGGATCACGTCTGAGGAGCTGCTCCTCGAGCGTATGGCGGCGACGAGAAGATTATGTGACTCGGCGACCAGCGCATTCGTCAGCGGCCTAGTCGGGTCAGGTCGTCGGCGAGGGAGTGCGTGGATGGAAATGTGGGAGTCCGAGAAGGTAGAGGCCGCGACACTGCAGAGGAGGGCTCGGTTCGGCGAATACGCCACGTTCGCAGGGACTGTATCAACGTGTATGCAGGTAAGCGATGTCGGTGTCTCGATTCATGCTGTACAACGTACTCGCTCGGCACGCCCTCGTCATATCCGACATGATAGGAGCTACATCCCAATTATCATCTACGGACAAATCGTGCCTTCGACATGGTCAACCCTACGTTCACGGCTTCGCATCGAAATACGCACTCACAGCTTCAGTACGTGCATTGTCCCGATCGTTCCTCCCTTGATCTTTCGCTTCATGTGCGGGACGTGGCCGCTCAGGTTCATCAGACCGACGAGCAGCGAATCTCGCGAAGGAGACAGCAATGTAAAGTCGAGCACTCTATCGTCGTACGTCTGCCGCGCGTCGAGATGGGGGATCTGCATTAGGCGCGTCAGCAGGTCTCTTCCAGATCGACGGTCTGCGAGCGTACCCAGTCAGGAATGTGAGCATGCTGCGACGGAGGATTCCGTTTAGCGAAGGAGACCAAGAGGAGCTCCGATTTCGGCGCCCCAGTATCTGTTTCGATTTCAATGGACGTCATTTCAGTTCATCGGAATGTCTGCGTACAACAGGGCGCATACAGTCACCGAAGTTGACAAACGACGCGGCCAAGTAAGGCTTCGGCGGCCCTTTCGAAGGAGGTACAGATATGAACGTTAGGTCCGTCAAGTGATGGCTCGGACAGGGTATAGGTGACAGAGGCCTCGTCAGGATGGCTAATATGAACTTCATGAGATCGCGAGTTGTTCGGAATGATGCCAGCATACCTCTCGATGTCACCTTCATGCTCAACCTCACTTCACAGACGTTGATCATCGAGTCTTCGCCCCATAGATCCCACTCGGGCGTCAAGGGGACTTCGTAAGAAGGCCCTACGTCGTTGATGTCTAAGGGCATGTTGAGGTTCATAGCGGTATATGTTGATTCATGGACGCGCTGCGGCGGGAGAACCTGCGAGCGCGTTGCGACCAACAGAGTTGTCTCTGTCAAGACGTCAAGAAAGAGGTCAATGGTTGTTAAATGCGTCGAAGGCAGGTTCATACCGTTGTAGCCCATATATATGGAAGCAGCCACACAAAGATTGGGGCCAACAGACACGGGCAAGGAGTCATCCTTAGGCCGAGTGTCTTGTGTATAAGCGGTTTGTAGCAGAGACGCCTTCATGATTTTCAGGGTTGTGGTGAAGGGCGGGAAATAGCAGACGGCAATGCAATGGTCCTGTGTCACCAGAATAAGTACACTGTGCTGGAGTGGACCTAGGGGACCGCGAGGTGGCAAGCGTGTGGACTTGCCGCTCTCTGTGACTATCCACTGCGCCGACGTCAATGACAAGTCATGAATACGAACAGGCGGACATACCTCGCGCTGTGTGCTCGTCCATTCTGCAGTAACAGGGCCGGCGCCCTGGTCAAAGCTCCAGAACTCGCGGACTTGCCAGCTATCGAGCTGTGCGCCTTTATGCCAGAGACAGCCTGCCCCGTCTCCGCCGCGGCCGGGAAAGTGCGCGAATAGCCAGTCCTCATTCGAGGATATTGAGACAATGGTCGGAGGTTCGTAGTTCCCGGGTGAAGCCATGATCTGAGGCGCGGAAGGTAACACAAAGTGTCTGGAGGATGGGAAGTGACGCGCGAGCACCAGAGGCTCTGCGGGATGAGCGGTGAATATCATAGAGGACCTCGACCACACCAGCGGTCTAGGCAGACAGTCAGTTTGGTTGATATGACGCTGCGTATGCAGACATTATGGGCGTACCTCCGTGTGCCTTCGAGCGCATGTGCGAAGTCCCACCATCCGAGCTGCCAATGCGCGTCCTCTCTGGCCTTCCCCTTGTGGCTGGAAGACAGAGTCAACTTCGCCGGCTCCTGCATCGTTCTCCGGTCAGAACTTCCCAAGCATGAAAGTTGAGCTCAAGCGTGTCGGGGCAATAAGGTAGTACAAGACTAGATCGAAATTCCGATCGTACCAACTGGAAGGCGCTCGCTCGGACATGGCCGAAGCCACTACTCACTTACAAGCTTCAGTGCGATCCATGAGTCTGTCACCACTAGGACTCAAAGAACGCCAAAAATGGCGGTCAGACCTTGCTCGCGAGTTGCAATGGTCCTCGTTGAATGAACACACGACAGATGTTACATGCAACTATCGAACTATTATTCGTCAACTTCACTAAATAATGTACAAGGCGTCTCGGAGCGATGTACAGATGCGCGTACTCGTACAGTCAAGGAAGGAGTTGCTCATCATTATGTAAACTATACACATAATCCTTTGACTAGGACCGTGGCGACGTTCTTGCCCCTTCTATGGCAAGGGGTTCGGTTGCTTGGCGACTTGCAGTTTGTGCACGTCCAACTATGTACCAATTGTCTTTCTTCTCCTTTGCGAAGTACCGGTGGGTCATTCGCCAGCGTGATCCCGACTGCAGCCACCTGAAGCTTGCACGGGGCCGACGAGATCGTGGCCACTGCACGCCCGCCGGTCAAATCAAAGCAGTACACGTCTGGCGGCGTTGCCTCACGCCATCCTAGAGGAGACAGTCCGCAAACGCAAACGCTGGATTTCATATGAGCGAATATAACAGTCAGTCCTTGCGCGCTGGGCCTAGCAGTCCCAAGGTAGCAGTGATGGTTCACGGCGATTCGGGAGAGTGTATGGCGCACGTAGCCATCCACTCAACAAGTATTGCTGCCGCCCTGAATCGCGTGCCCTCACTACACCATACGCAACTGCAGCCGCCATTCGCGCACCACCTGCTTCGGTGCGCTGATACTGCCGAGGATACGCACCAGTGTCCGCGCAAAACCGTACGGCAAGCTGGTTCTGGTTGAATGTCGAGAGACTGTCCCACTTGCACTTGGGTACGATGATGCGGGGGCGGCCAGGGTAGACTTGGGCGTGTGCCAGGGTGAACGGGGTCCGTGCCTCAGTAGACCAACTAAGACCGGATGCCTGCATCTGGAATGCAGGCGTAGAGAGAATCCTGTGGAACCGGTCTGCTGCTTATCAGTGAGAAGCTCCGGAGAGAAGGCACTGCACGACGTACCGTCGAAGGGCGGAGATCGCACCGTCAGAGAGTTTGAAGTACGAGCGTAGGCTTCGATCCGGCGGACGGGTACTCGCAAGACCACAATCGAGGGCGAGCTGGCAAGACAGTAAAACACCCCCGGAGCTTTCAGCCTCCTGTGCCGCTGGGCAGCCCCTTCCACTTGCGATCCGTGCCTCTTGCAAGTTCGCGACCAAGAGACAAACGGCGGAGATGCGTCGGTACTTCACGAGCGGGCGCTGGCGCGCCGCGGGGCGGAAGGACCCCCTAAGGTTGCCCAAAGTCTTGCCAGCGTGTAAAAAGCGGATGCATGGGACCTTTTCGTCGTCGGCGGGCGGCGTACTGGATGCAGCTGGCGGGATTCTTGAGGGCGGCTTGCAGGTGGCCCCGCGATGCTGAAGACACAGGCCAGCCGGGAGCAGCGAGCTAGGGAAGACGCGGGGGGTCAGCACTCGTCCCCAAGGAGCCAGAGTGAAGCCCATCTCCGCGCCTGCACGCTGGCGAGCGTTGTCCTGGAGGTGGGGGAGGCGGCCGCGGCGGCGCTGAGCAAGGCTGGCCTCGCGTTGGCGCGGAGGTGCAGCCACCGCGGCCAGTCCGGGCGCCTACTTGCGGCGTGCAGCCCGAGCTTTGCGCTCCATGCCCGAACGTTGGTGCGCGCAACCACGAGCGTTCGTCTAGAATTGTCGGTACCTAGCCAGAAATACCTCGCTCGTACCCATGTTACCATCCGCAAACATCGCCAGGGATTTGGACGGGGCGCATACCGAAGTCCTTCTACAAGCATTCGCAGATCGCATTCTCGTCCTTGTCACTCAGATTGGCAAAGTGGGCACCTTGGTGAGTGTTGTCTCGGTAAAGAGGCTCGCAATAGTGACAAAGGGTCAACCTGACAGATACAAGCAAGCATCCCGGCTACGACTGCTCTTGATCCCGCACCACCGCCCGACCCATCCGAGCCCAATGTCATACCCTTACCACCACCACCTCCCGCCATCCAGCTGACGCCGCTCCTTGGGAGTGCCCCTTCGGATCATATGCACACGCTGCATTCCTTGTATGTTTCGCAGATCGCGACAGTGATATGGACGGAAGAAGTCCAGGAATTCATGGAGGCGGAGCGGCGACCTATAGTGGTAGGATTGGCTTTGCGAAAGACCGCCGAGGCAGAGGAGGATCTAGGTCTGACGGTCCACGAGAAGAAGGTATTCTACGGAATCATGGAAATGGTCCGGGAGCTCGTTCAGCGGAACTGATGCCGCACTGGACCTGGGATCCTGTAGGGTACTGCTCAAGTTTACCGAAAGTGTCGAAAATTCGTTGAACATACCTCAGCTTTGCGAAGTGATGCTTCACTCCTTCTCCACTGCCGCACGTATGGCGTTCAAGTCTACGTCAGGCTCGCCAGCCGTGAGTTTCCGTTCGCGCTCCTGTCTCCATCTGTCCAGCTTCCATTGTACGAGGGCTCCCAACCGTTGGTCTTCCGGGAGAGCAATTCGAGGGTTGTTCTCGTACAGATAGTAGGCGAACACGCCAGTGAAGATGCCCAGGAGCGGATCAAGGGTGCTGTACGACTTGTCAGCGGACAGAGGGCCGAGTCTCGCAATCACGTACCGTGAAAGCAGAGGTGCCATCTCGAAGTCGAAGTTGGGGTAGGCTGCGCTGCTAGTCGCGGCGGCGCGTCTTCAAGACTTCACCTGGCCGCGGGCGCTCCGCTGTCAGACATCAGTTATGAGATCTCGTATGCAATGCGACTGACTAGATAGGACGGTGGGGACGTCCGAGCTCTTCTGCCGGGCGCAGGCTAAAGGATGAGTGGATGGTCGTGCGGCCGTCGGACGTGCCGGGCGAACATGAGGGATCGTCGGAGTGACACGGGAGCTTTGCGGGCGCGCGGAAACGTGACCGCCGCCAGCTCGTCGTGTCCGAGTCCGGTGGCTGCTCGACGTTCCAGTCACCAAAATTTCTACGACGCGACGTGCTCTCCTCGTCGCCAGTCTCCTCATCCGTGCAGCTACCTCTGAGGGCCTTGCTAGTGTCTTGCTGGGATGTCGGCCGCATTCGATCGTCAAATTCGCCCCATCTATGGTAGGTCGTTCTGTGCTACCGACCGTGCACCTTACTGAGGCACTCTGTGTGACGTACAGAGGCACTTGACACGGGCTCGAACAAGTCGGCCATTCTAGCGTGCAACAAGTTGCTCAAGAAGCATCCCAAGAACGACCTAGTCAAGGTCCATTCTCATTGCCTCCTCCGCTCCGTGTGTACATCCCGACGTTGACGTCCATGTGACTGTAACCGTAGGCCCTGAAAGCTCTGGCCCTCGTACGCTCGCAAAAGGTAGAAGAGTCGCTTGTGGTGTGCGATGAGGTCCTTGCAACAAAACCCACGGACGAGTCTACCCTCGCCGCCATGATGCACGTACTCCGGGGACTGGGGCGACGTGAGTACCTCGTGTCACCGCGCTACGGCACTCGCGCGTAACCGTTCACTGCAGACACCGATATGGTTACTATGTATGAGGACGCATACAAGCAGCAGCCCACAAACGAGGAGCTGGGTTCGCAGGCGTTCATGGCCAACGTCCGCATAGGAAACTGGAAGGCCGCTCAACAGGTGTGTGTACATCTTGACTCTGCGTGCATTGTTAGGTCCTAGGCATGCACAGACGTGAGCTGACATGCGTGCAAGATCGCCACGAAGTTGCACAAACAGTTCCGCGACGACCATTACCTGTACTGGAGCGTGATGAGCGCTGTGCTACAGGTGCGCCCGGTCACCATCATCATGCTGTTACATCCTCAACCTTCGTTCCTAGGCTAGCGACCCTACGACGCCTCCAGGTATCCGCCCCGTCCTCTTCAAGCTCGCTCACCGACTAGTCGTGTCGGCTACCACCCCATCATTCTACAATGCCGATCGCTTCTACCTCCACCTCATGATCTTACGCGAACTAGAACTGTACGATGAAGCATACGAACTGCTGAACAACGACATCGGCAAGGCCATATGCGCGTCTAGCTTGACCGTTGATGAGCTCAGACGAGACATCTGGAGACTAAAAGGCCTCACCGGGGAGGAGGGCGCACGAGCAAAGGCCCGGATCACGGAGGCGAAGTGTGTTAGGTTGTCGGCAAGTCGTTGGCGGCCGCTGACGCCTTCATAGAGACAGGAACTGGCTCGAGTTCCTCGCTGTCCTTGACGCGACGTTCGCGGGTTCGCAAGACGATGTTCGCAGCCAAATTGAGGAGTCACGAACACTGTTCGATCAAATAGCAAAAGATGATGGGAAGTCAGACCGGTCAGGACGTTTGGCTTTGCTCGAGCTCGAGAAGCGCGCCGTGGCCCACGGGATGTCAACGAGTCCGTTGTCCTCGATTTTGCTGTTATACCTGTGATCTAATCGTTCTTACAAGGCACCGCACATATTACTGAGCTTCTCCAACACTACTTCACCACATTCGGCGACAAGCTTGTCTGCTTCGAAGACCTTCGGCCGTACGTTCATATAGAAGGGGACGCGCTGGCGGAATGGACGAACTTCCTCAAAGCTCAGTCCTCATCATTCGTGAGTTGCATTGCATTTGTGATTTATATTGCATCGGACCTGAGTGTGCTTTCCACTACCACAGACGTCGATCGATGTCCTCAATCACTTCATCAATGCGCAAAAGCTGCTACGGTATAATCTATCAGCGGCTAAGGTCACGGCGGAATCAGAAACAGCACGCGCCGTGCTGTACCTTCAGTCTTACCACGATGCGCTCACGCTCGGGAAGGATCTTCCGGACTCCGAACTGCAGCCAGCGGACGACCTCGCCCTTCTATGCGGTCAGGCATTCGTCGGTGCATGGAGGGCGGGCAGAGATGCCACGCATCTGTACAATGCTGTGTCAGTGCTGGAGTATGCGTCTTCAAGAAGTAAACAATCGTACAAAATCCGCCTTCTCCTGATTAGGATATACCGTTTGCTGGGTATGTACTTGGGCGACTACAAATCTTCATGTGGGATGCGGCGAATTGATGGTTGGATATTAGGCGCGCCTTCACTGGCTTTGGAGCACTACCGGGGGATCAATGTGAAGCAGATCCAGAACGACACGCTTTCTCATCTGATTATGACGAGGGCGACGCTGTTTTCCTTGTCGTCCGTTGGCGACCTGACATACTCTTCCGAAGCTCTCGAGTCAAGCCAGATCTACATCAGCAACTCACAAGAGGTATATGATTGGTTCGGATGACGAAGTGCCGCAGGAGCTTACATTCTTTCCTCAGACTGCGGAATACACTGTCAGGGCATTTGCGGGCGAGAAGTATTCCCAGGTACGAGACACGCCTTGCATATGGCTGATGGCTTTGCTGAGACCACGCAGCTTCCCGAGTTCATCCTCTTCGAAGAACGTCTGGACAATTCGCTCCAACGAGACCTCACCAAGGTCGAGCACGTCAGGATGCGGATTACCCATGAACCCCTTATTTCGGACCTCGTCGACATGGAATTGATTGAACTGAAGTTCATCTTCGATCGATGTATGTCTTATCAAGTGCTAATGTGGGTCTGATTGACAACACTGCAGTGAATCTAGTCCACCACGACAACCGAGACTTCGACGTCATCCCCAACTATCAGCCTCGCAGCGGTCTCTCGTTCCATGAGCAGACGCTGTTGTTCGACAAGCAACCAGGGGTGAGTGAGATGCGCTGCTCAACCAAGGCTATTGCTTACTGTTCGCGGTACGCAGTTAGGCTGGCTTGCAACCTACCTGAGGATCTACATCAAGATCTTCCAGTCTGCGAGCGACCTTGATGACACCGTCGAGGACAAGCTGCTTATCGGGGACCGACCGAAGCCCAGTGTAGACCCTGACACCAAGTTGCCTCTCAAAGAGCGATTAGCCATGCGAAAGCAAGAAGAGATCGACGAGGTGCGTCATGCAATGCTCATTGAATCCTACACGTGATGGCTGATGTACGCGTTCACCAGCTGACTCCAGAAGAGCTGTTGTTCCTGGAGTATGCGACCGCCTTGTCAGACTGGCTTTCTCCATTCCATGACTACATCCGACCGCCACCGGCTGCCGTCCTTGCCGAGGCAGCGAAGCAGACCGAGCTGAAGACGGGCTTCCCGCTGAAGGGTTACGAGCCACCCAAGAATGGCACTGTCACGAACGGGCATGCCAAGAAGGCTGAGGAGCCGCCGACTCTTGTAGACGCTCCGGAGCTTGTCAACAAGTTCTTCGATGGTATGCGTTGCATCCTGCTTGTTCGTGATTTATGTTGTTCACTGACCTCCACTTGTAGACATGAGTGCGCGCTTCAAGGAGGCTCTCGATGCTGGCAGTCTACCGCCAGAGCTGCTGCAGATTGTGACCTTGACGCAGGAGGTATGTTATGCCTCGACGATGACTTTCTTGCCAGTGCCTGATTGTTGTTGTAGGGTCTTCTCGTCCTTGCCCTTGGGTCACAACGTTTCAAGCCTGCTGCCGTCATCAAGCAGTACAGGCTAGGGGCTGTACGTTGTCACGCATCACATGTATAGTCTACTGCATACTCACGTGTTGTTCAGATGGTACAGATCTTCAAGGACATCCGGGCGAAAGCCATCGCGGTCCTTGAGGAGATGTCGGCAGCTTTGGTCAAGCTTGCGGAAGAGGGCGCAACGATCGACAGCCGGAAAGCGTTCGTCGAAGCGTGCAAGCCCGTATGGGGACCAGCAGGAGTCAGTCCGCTTGTTCCTGTCTTCCTCAATCATTCTCTAACTTCCTCCGCTCCACGCAGCTTCTGGACCATGACTTCGTGTCGACCATTTCCAAGAAGGTCACCGAATCGCGAAAACAGGTGCTGGACGGCGTCGGGAAAGGCGTGGTCCGAGTATGCAAAAGCCATGCATGATATTGTACATGCCTCCGCTTTTCAGCGATGGTGTTCTCTCTGGGCATATCCATCATGTAACTATCGCGCATTTGGTATCACCACTCATAGACGTCTGTTGTGTCGGTGCGTCGGCTGCCTCAGTCGACCAAGCCTCGCGTGCCCATGAGTGATTCAGGCGTCCTAAGAATTAAGTAGCTAGTTGTATGTATATTGTCGGTGTAGGTGCTCGCGGAAGGGGTCGGCAGGTGAATTGAGTATTATGTAATATCTGGTATCATTGCGAGCGGAGCGAGCTGGGAGCGAGCATACATTGCTTAGGGGGTGCAGCCCGGAGCCAAACAACTACAAATTTCACGTAACCCAGATCATTATTTCCTGCGATGCTGCAAAGACTGCCGTCCCGCGCATTCAAACATGCCCTAGCATTCTCGAAAAAATGCCCATAATTTGCGCAATGCAGTACTACCCTTAGAAGTGTCCTCCTTTGTGGCTCTGCGGCCAATGCTTCGCAGTCGTGCTCTCGAAAATGGTGGCGCGCGCGATGTTCAACTTAAGCGCTCATCGACCAGCAGCGGCCACCGTGTCGTGTCTCTCCATTCCTTTCGCTTTTCATGTGCAGGCTAGTGCGTATAGCAATCCACATGAACGCCCCTCTAAAATTTCCTTCCTTTGTGGTTCCGCGTGCAGTATGTTGCAGTCGTGCTCTTGAGAAAGGTGGCGCGCGCGATGTTCGAGTAAGCGCTCACCGACCAGCAGCGGCCACCGCGTCGCGTCCCTCTAGGAGGTTGAATGAATTGGATACTCTGCCCACAGGAGACTTACGTGTCCACACGGGGCTCGCTATGAATCTGACGTACTGTACTGCGCCCTCGGATTGTAGCGAGCCCCTTTTCACGGAAAAAGTATGTTAGTATACTAGTATTAGTAAGCATGGGCAGCGGGGCGGGACTGGGTGCGTGACAGTGTGACAGCACGCGTCTTCTATGATACACGCACGGTCACGTCACTGTGTTCATGCGTCGCGTCGCGTTTTCGCTCTGATCGTTCACTACCTCCTGATCTCTCCTCCATTACAGCAAACGAAGCATGAGTCAGTGTGAGCAATATGAACTGTATGCGCGCGATGATGCTGAGTGGCGTTGCAGACGGCGAAAACCCGTTCTATGGGAACGCAGGCGGCGGGGGCTACCTTGCAGGGGGTTCGCCCTTCGGTAGCGCAAGTGGTAGTCCTGGAGGGCTACGTGTGAGCTTGTGTTGAGCACTGTAGTGTCGAATTGAGCTGAGCTTCACATAGAAAGCAGGGGCTCTCCACTCTCTTCGGCCAGTCACAATCAAGCAACTCCTCAACGCCACGCAGGCGCACTCGGACGCGGAGTGGTCGATCGACGAGGTTGAAGTCGGACAGGTAAGCCAACCTGTGGCATGTGGTCTATACACTCTTACTGACATTTTTCGCAGATCACAGTCGTAGCACAAGTTGTCTCGATCACCAGCCAGACAACAAACTGCGTGTACTGGCTAGATGACGGGACGGGGCGGATAGAAGCGCGGCACTGGGTTGATGTAGGAACGGAAGACGATGCAGAACGATGGGGTGGTATTACGTACGTTCTATCGTCTGGCAGTTTTTTGGCTAGCCCCTGACAGCCCGCAGCGAGAACACCTACATCCGCGTCATGGGCAGCTTGAAGTCGTTTGGGAACAAGCGATACATCAATGCAACCCACCTCCGCCGCATCAAGGATCCGAATGAAATCCAGTTCCACATCTTGGAAACCTTCACTGTGTACATGATCTTCCAAAAGGGCGCGGTATGTCGTCAGTCTATCCTTGGGTGCTGAGTAGCTCACGCGGCGTCTAGCCATTGCGCCCAAGTGAGGCGGGGTCTAGAGCAGCAGTTGCCAATGGTAACGGTGCTGCGTCTGCTTATAACCCGCAATCAACGGCCGCAGGCGGAATGGAGCAATACGCTCACTTACCTTCGATTCAGCGGCGGATCGTAGCGTTCATGATGTCGCAACCGCAACAAACCGAGGGCACCCACGTCGCTGCTATTGCCCGCAATATTGGCGGCGACGCAAACGCTATCAGGTTCGTTTGTGAGTTTGCTTCCTGGGACGAGACTGATAGTGACCGCGCTCGCTTGCAGCGAGGCCCTGGATCGGTTGATGGACGAGGGTCACGTATTCACGACAATAGACGACTCCCACTTCGCGTTGTCGACATGATGGGTCGTGCGAACGCTGGCTTGGGGTGCGCCTGATGCTCATGTATGGTCTGCCGCATGTATTGTGAATGCTGTCTCTGCTGTCGTGTACCCGATATTGTAGTTCGAAGGTCTCAGTCGCTATCGAAGACGCTGTACGTTACCACTGTGTGGACCTGTGCGACTGTTTGAATGTGCAAGCCCAAGGTCGCTGTGGAACTCGTCGTGCAAGTGATCGGTGCGGCCTGCGGGCCGGTGCTTGCTCAGTGCAGTCTCCTCGCCACTCTCATTTCATCTCACCGAACTTGCGTCTTCCGTCACCCAACCGACCGCAGCCTCAGTCGACGTCCGCGTGCGGGTGCGCAACATACGCTGTCGCGAGAAGCAAGCACCCGACGCGACCTGTTTTACGCACGACGAATTGAACGCTGGTACGGCCCTGGTCTGACTTAGTAGTAGTCTGACCGCTTGCGTCGATGATTCGATATCCCAAGGTCACCAGACTTCGCGATGAACATTCCCGCTATATATCCCGTCATGCATGCGAACATCGCGTAACTCTGCTTGCTGCTCTCCAGACTCTCCTGAGGTCCTGATGTCGGCCCTCCTACGGACTACCTCACGACGGCACTGGACAGGACAACGACGAGCAGCACCTCTCGATGCGCTGGTCTCTGGGCGGCCATTAGCAAGTATCGGTGGAAAGGGAGGGAGCTGGCGATATAGCAGTCAATCCACAGGGCAGAGTGCGTCTAGTAGTGCGCGGTTTACATCGAACTACTTCTGGGTCGGTGCATGCGCATTCGTCGGTGGTGCTGCAGCGAACGCCGTCTTTCAACTCGTGAAGAACAGAGAGCAGCCGCCTGCGACTGGACTGAATGACAAGTACGGCTCTCCGGAAGACTTCCAGCGGGCAATTCAAGAGTTGCGGGATACGTTCCCTGACCAGGACGCAGTGTCGACCGATCCGGATGACTTACATGTGCACGGGTACTCCGAGAACGATTATCACCCAGGTGCGTGGCGCATTCTGTTATGTGCAAGGAGGCGCTCATGCGGAAATACAGGCTCGTCGCCAAGCGTGGTGGCGTTCCCGAAGTCGACTGAAGACGTAGTGAAGGTTGTGAAGATCGCGAACAAATACAAGATGCCGGTGGTCCCTTACTCCGGAGCTACTAGTCTCGAAGGCAACTACAGAGCCGTATGTTGTCACGGTCCCGCCAACTGTATCATGGCTGATGGACGATACTCCATGATGTAGCCCAAGGTCGGTGCTATATGCGTCGATGTGTCTGGCATGGACACGATAATAGAGATACATGGTCCGTACCGATCGACTTTCACTCGCTAGCTAGCTCAACCTGTCTATCTCAGAGGCCGACTCGGACGTTGTCTGTCAACCGGGTGTTCATTGGATGGTCCTCAATGACACGCTGAAGAAGAAAGGTAAGGTCTCAGCATCTCGTCTGTAGCTTTCCTTCTAATCGCATTTGAAGGCATTCCGCTGTTCTTTCCTGTGAGTGACTCTGGGTAATGACCTTTGGTAGCGTTCAGACCATTCGCGTTGGTAGCTGGATCCTGCGCCAGGAGCGACAATAGGGGGCATGCTGAGCACGGGCTGTTCGGGCAGTGAGTACAGGTCATGATACTATCCATATGCAGTCTGACATAGAGGCGGTAGCTAATGCCGTTCGATACGGTACCGCGAAAAGCGAGTGGTTCCTGAACGCGGTACGTACTGTACTATCAACATTATACACTGGTTTGTGATGCTGAATAGGAGCCAGACTGTTGTTTTACCGAACGGCGAGGTCATCAAGACCCGGCAGCGCTCGCGCAAGTCGTCTGCTGGATTCGACACGACGAAGCTCTTCATTGGCGCTGAGGGTACATTAGGGATTATCACTGAGGGTACGCTGCATTCTTGTGATATGCGCTGGATCGGTGTGACTGATTCGGCATTCATAGTTACAATCAGGCTCGCTCCTTTGTTGCCGACGTCCGTGGCGGTAGTCCACTTTCCCGACGTGCGGAAGGCCACAGAAGCCGTTTGCGAGGTGATGAACAAGGGCGTCGGCATTCGTGAGTAATAGCCCCATGTACAGGATGTGATCTGACTCAATTACGCCCGCGTCTGGCAGAATGCGTCGAACTGTGTGACGACGACTTCATGCGCGCCACAAACACCTACGGCATGTCGCTACGGAAGTACCCGGAGAAAGACAGTCTGTACTTCAAATTCCAAGGGCCGACGCAGCGGTCGATCAAGGAGTCGATGGATATTGTCCGCGACATCACGAAGAAGTACGGTGGTTTTGGGTTCGTAACGGCCAGTAACGACAAGGAGGCTGCGGACTTGTGGATGGACCGTAAAAATGCGTTGTACTCGGGGTTGGCGCTCGTTCCTGGGGCTCGCGGCTGGAGTACGGACGTCTGGTGAGTATGATAGCTATGAGGGCTTGCGCTGTCTGACGACGGAGCCTCTGGACAGTGTCCCCGTGTCGAGACTACCGGATCTCGTTTATGAAACGAAGAAGGATATACAGGATTCCGGTATTGTATCGACTATCGTTGGTCATGTGGGAGATGGTAAGTGGCAAAACTTCATGTCTCGGCTGGGTCCGTCTCAACATGTTGTACAACATCTAGGTAACTTCCATGCACTCCTATTGTTCAAGAACGAAGAGGAGCTTGGAACCTGCAAGGAACTCGTGCATCGAATGGTGGAGCGCGCGATCGCGTTGGATGGAACTTGTACGCAAAGCCTCTCCACCCCTTGTGATTTGCACTGAACGCGGATGCTATCGAACAGGTACGGGCGAGCACGGAGTGGGTCTCGGAAAACGGAAATACCTGGTCGACGAGCTCGGCGAGGGCACCGTGGAACTCATGAAGACGATCAAACGCACGATCGACCCGTACAACTTGTTCAACCCAGGGAAGGTGAGTCAGCCTGCCGACTGCCTTTGTCTTTACATAGTTTGATCTTTATTGCGTTCTGCAGCTCTACCCAGATGCTTCTCGCGCAAAGAGTATGAAGCAGGAGCCGCAGCCCAGCGTGGCGCGTTCGGGATCTGCGAGCGCCTAGCGTCGCCGGACGTACATAAGAGAATCACGGATGCTGTTCTTTGTAGATTTCTTGGATATAGCCATACATTGCGTGTTGCTCTTTCGAGAAGAAGAACCACTGTGGGCTGCGATCCAGATCCTTATTTTGATCTGTGATAAGATCTGAGGCCAACATTGACCTTCCCCCGACAGTCCGTGCTATCCCTTTGTGCCTTTCTATGTGACATTTGCTTCCGCCAAAGGCCGAATTTGGTGGCTCTGTGAGCGGATTGCAGTCTCTAGCAGTATCGGAAGGACTCACGCGATCGATCTCTTCGTAGCGTTCCAGTCAAGCTTGCCCGTAGCATGGATGGCATCGCCAGTGGGTCCTCATCTGACCAGGTATATGGACTCACAGATCTCTCGTCTATGTAATCTGACTCAAAGTGCGTTCGTTGTCTAGCAGAACCTACCATATGCTTCAAGAGGAGCTCTCCGACCGTTGACGCTTCGTCAGATCCTAGAAGCCCAAAGAGCTCATTCAACCGCTCCCTTTGTCTTGGATAATGTAGAACTAAACGCGGTAAGCCACCACGGACCTCGAGATCAATAACTCGGCCATTACTGATGTATCTGCCACGTAGATCACGACAGTTGCCCATCTTGTGCGGGCAGACCCGCCGGATGAGAGCAGGAACAGATTTCATGCCAATTACACACTATTGGACGGCTCAAAGCGGATCAGGGCGACGGAAATGTTCTCCGATGACCACCCGGCTTCGAACCTCAAGCTCTCGGATCCGCACGTACACAAATACGTGCGCGTAGTAGGCAGAGTGGACCAGTTTCCGCCGGGGGCGACGAATTCGATCAAGGTCATCGCCATCCGGGAATGCACCGACCCACACGAGTACTTCCATCACTTCCTTCAATGCTGTGCCGTGACACAGTGCTACAAATTGGGAATTCCAGTATGTCGTGTTCAGCTTCAAGGAATATCATGACTCACTTCCTCTGGCAGCTACCGACTGTGTTACCACCTCTACGCTCCGACCGCATCGAAGATACAACAGTGAATGACGACTCATTGATGTCTATCGACGAGCCGACAACCGCGCCGGAGGCACACCCCCACCTCTGGAGCGACCCCTTATCCCATCTTAACACTCTCCAGCGGGGAGTCATTTTGGCCATGCTGAACAACACAACCGCCGACGGCATGTGGGTCCGCGAAATCACCCAAGCCGTCAGACACCTATCACTCAGGCCCGAAGAGATTGGGTGAGTGGCATTCGATACTCACATTGACCGCTCACTCCCATATTCCTATCTTCTCGATAGCGATGCACTCGACTATCTCGCAGACGAGGGGTACATCGAATGCCCGATACAGAGCAACATACAGTACTGTGTGCTCACGGCCAAGAGTAGATCGGCTAGTGGACAATATCTGCTTCCTGCGAACTAGGCAAGCTTAACGATACCCATGGGATACATTGGGTCATAGAGAGAGAAGTATCACGTCTTGTATTTGTACCGCACAACGGAGGCTCTAAATTCACGGATTGGTTCGCAGTAGACGTCCGATGCTATGTTTGCCTGATAATCCGACGCATGTGTCGACTCCAAGGCACATTTGCGCTCGGTGGTTTGCGGTCACAGAGGGGCTTACAGCTCCGTGGCCATAGTCCGGCAACTGACCTTGTCCCAGGCATAAGAAGAGTCTCAAGTGAATCCCAAAGTAGTCAGCGCAGATGCTTGATTTCGTGTACAAATACAGTGCGTGTCGACTCTCCGTGCCATCCCCGGTTGCTGCTCGCGGTCACCATGAACCGCGCGGCAGGATCCACCACTGGCATAGCAGCGTAAGCATGAAGTACTCAGAGTGAGGTATAGCAACGTACACATCTGCGAAATGAAGCCTCCGTGGTGGCCGGGTATGATTTTGAATTGCACACCGCTCTTCATCTTGCCTGACGCGTCGGGCTCGCCCGCTTCTGCGACGTTCCACAGCCGGATGTTGTCATTGGACGCGCTGCAGATTACTGTCAGCAATGCGTAGCATCGACGGCCAGCGCGTATACACACCAAGCAATGTGCCTCCCATCCGGGAACGCAACCACACACGATATCACTCCCGAACTGACCGGGTTTCTCAACGTCTTCAAGATCCTCGGGGTCCCCGGGCGGCCCGTCTGGCGCACATCCCACGCGTCCACCGTACCATTCCTCCTGCCCGCATAGATCTGCGCGCCGTCCGCGCTCCAGCACGCACTCACGCACCACGGCGGTGTCTTCTCGCTCATCCACAGGCGGCCGACGCCACGGCCCGGCGCGTTCACGCGCGTGTCCCAGAGGATGACCTGTCCGTCGATGCTGGCAGTCATCAGGATGTCCGGCGAGAACGCGCTGTACATCGTCGAGCCGACCACGGGCGGCGCGTTCCGCGGCGCGGGAGCGCTCCGCCCCGTCTCCTGCGCGTGCGCGCCGGGGAATGCCAGCCGTGGTGCGCCCGACTGCGCGGGCCTCTGCGACTGCCCGTCAGGCTCCCCATCCGCGTCTGGCTCGTCGAAGAGCGGGTCGTACGACATCTCCGACTTTGTATCGTCCTCCATCTTGTAGGCCGCGTCTAGAGCTGCGGGGGCCCCAGATGTCATGGCGGCTTGACCGAAATCCGGAGCTATGTGTTTCCCTCGAAGTGTCGGGGAGCTCCAGTGGTGTCCGTCGTACTGCCGAACTACCGGGCGCACGGCAATGGCTGTGAGCTGTGCGCTGTGCGCCGTAAAGTTGCGAACACATTGGCCCGTGTTGAGGTCCCATTGCTAACACGGCAAATCGTAAGTTCGACGTTGACGAGGGGTACACATAGTCGTACCAGAGCGGAGCCGTCCCACCCGGCACTGAAGAAGCCCATCTCGTCGTGCTGCAGTGAGAGACCTGATATTGGCCGACCGCGGTGACCAGGCATGCAATGAATGAGCCGCCCAGGGTCATGGCGGACGGTAAAGAGATTGACGTGACCTCGCTAGTAGAAGACCTGTGGTTCAGTTTCGCACCTCTGCCACTGCAGAGTACTCACGTCCGACCCTGCCAGCGCCCACAATGCGTCCGAGTGCATTGCCAGACTATACACCGGGCACAGCACTGGTTCTTCTGGAGGCGCGGCCGCATCTGGAGGAGCAGGGTTCTCCCACCAGCAACGTATCTGGCCGGCCTTCATGAGGCCCTCTATGACACTGCAGTGATGGCGCTGTGGGGCGGTAAGGAATAACTTGCCGTTAACGGCGGAGAAGATGTCGTAGTCGCGCACATAGCCGTCGTCGGAACCGGTGAGGAGGTGCGTCATGCACGCGGAGGCGGCGAGTGAGTGGGTAGGCACTGGATGTGGGATGGCACAGATGGCTTCGACAGTGTAGGAGCGGGGGTGCGTAAGAGAGGCGGTGATGGCTGCGCGACGGAGAGAGGCGGGAGATGTGGGTCGAGCAAGGAGGGTAGGACTGGGTGCTGCGAACGTCTTAGGACATGTCTTGAGGCGTGCAAGAGCACGTACCTTCTGTTGGAGAGGCTTCTACGGAGGACACTCCTGTAGCAGTTCGAGGGACGGCAGCACTCGCCTGCCCTGGTGGTCCTGCGGGTAGCGGTGGAGGTACAGCTTCTTGGACGACAGGCTTGCGCAGTTGTTCGTCCTCATCTACATCGTCGTCGTCGTCACTCGATTCATCTGAAGGAGAGTCCTGCAGCAGATAGAGTCCATGTGTGTGCATTCACGAACGACGGGAGGACTCACCTCATCCACCTCTGTGGCCTCCGCTGCAGCCTCCGCCGCAAGGTCGCCCTCGAGCGCGTCGAGAATCTCATCGTCAATGTCGTCGTCTCCCTCCGTGGTTCTGTCAAAGTCGGCGTCGTCGAGTCCAAGGCCCTCGTCCTCGGAGCCGCTGTAAGCCATGGTGTTAGTGGCAACGACCTGGCCGTGGCCGACCATGGACTGCTCGATCGCGCCTGGGTGATCGGTCCGTGGGCGCTCCGTATGTCGCGGCGCTCGCGGGGAGGTCGCTTGCTCCATACCACCATGGTCCTCGCTGACTTGGGCAGGAAACTCAATGCGGCCCTTTCCTCCCTCAACAGGGCCCCCGTCGTCGACGAGAAGGTACTCGCATGCATGCTGACAGAAACATCAGGTACTCACACAGGCAATCCAGGTCCTAGATGCCCTGCTCAAGGAGGTCTGCGCCGCGCTCCTGGAGTCGGATGTCAACGTCAAGCTTGTCGCGTCGCTTCGTCAAAAGGTCAAGGCGAAGGTAAAGGCATCATTTGAAGGGGGAGCAGATAAAGGGAAGGAGACGAATAGAAAGACCGTCGTGCAGAAGGTGCGCGGATGCCCGCACACCGCTCGACTCGCCTGTCGCTGACTATACTTCCAAAGGCTATCTTCGATGAACTTGTACAGCTAGTGGACCCTGGCGTCGAGCCATACAAGCCAAAGAAGGGGCAACCCAATGTTATCATGGCTGTCGGTCTGCAGGTGCGTCCCTCTCCCAGTCCCTCTTCTTCAGCTTCTAACCATCTCCTCACAGGGTAACGGTAAAACGACAACTTGTACAAAACTTGCCGTCTACTACCAGAAGCGTGGTTTCAAGTCCTGCATTGTCTGTGCAGATACGTTCCGTGCGGGCGCGTTCGACCAGACGCGGCAGTCCGCCACCAAAGCCAAGGTCGCATACTTCGGTTCGTACACGGAGACAGACCCTGTCGCTATCGCCGCGCAGGGTGTCGCGAAGTTCAAGAAGGAGCGATTCGATGTCATCATCGTCGACACGTCCGGGAGGCATAAGCAGGAGAGCGAACTCTTCCAGGAGATGGTCCAAATTGGGGAGGCAGTCAAGCCGAACATGACGGTGCTCGTCTTGGATGCCAGCATAGGTGAGTCCTCAAGTAATGCGCATCGAGTAGGCAGGACTCACTCATACCCCAGGCCAGGCTGCCGAGGCGCAGGCGCATGCGTTCAAGGACAGCGCAGACTTTGGTGCAATCATTGTCACCAAGATGGATGGTCATGCGAAGGGTGGAGGTGCCATCTCTGCGTACGTTAATCACCCCTTTGTGATCATAACTGGAATGCCTTATATCTTTTGATAGTGTTGCTGTGACCAAGACTCCCATTATCTTCCTCGGTGTCGGCGAGCACTTACACGACCTCGACAAGTTCGCACCGCAACCGTTCATCTCCAAGCTACTCGGACTCGGCGATGTACAGGGTCTCATGGAACACATGCAGGACATCGCAATCCAGAACCCGGACAAGCAGAAGGAGATGGCGAAGAAGCTGGAGGAGGGCAAGCTCAGCATCCGGGATTGGCGCGAACAGATCCAGAACGTAATGAACATGTACGCCGTTACATTCTTCACCACCCGAGCCCTCTAACAGAGCTTTCCGCAGGGGCCCCATCTCCAAGATCGCATCCATGATCCCCGGTCTCCCGCAAGACATCATGCAAGGCTCCGACGAAGAAGGCGCACTACGGATGAAACGCATGATCTACATCACCGACAGCATGACCTCGCGCGAGCTCGACTCGGACGGGGCGCCCTTCCTCGAGCACGGCAAGGATGGAAAGCCCGTCGGGCTTACCTGGCGCGTCACCCGCGTCGCGCGCGGCAGCGGCACGTCCGTGCGCGAGGTCGAGGAGCTGCTCTGCCAGTACCGCATGATGGCGAACATGGCGAAGCAGGCGGGGGGCAAGAACGGCTGGCTCCAGGCCGCGCAGAAGATCCAGGCCGCAGCAGGCGGGCGGGGGCGCGGCGCGAACGGCATGCCGACCCCCGCGCAAATACAGGCGATGCAGCGCTCAATGCCCCCGGGCATGCTCCAGCAGATGCAGCGCCAGATGCGCGGTGGCGGTGGTATGCAGGAGATGATGAAGGCGATGATGCAGGGACAAGGAGGCGACCAGTTCGACATGGAGGAGATGCAGAGTGCGTTGTTTCTCCCGGCATCATTGCTTCGCCCGTACTCAGTGGCTTTACGCAGAAATGATGTCGCAAATGGGTGGTCTCGGTGGCTTGGGAGGCCTGGGCGGTCTGGGCGGTGGTATGCCAAACATGGCCGATATGTTCAAAATGATGGGCATGGGTGGTGGAACTCCCCGTTAGATATCTGTACTTCGCTCATTTGTACGAAGCATGTCTGCACACTAGGTACTGTAGCATATGGATTTCCGTTTCCCCTTATACAGGCTCCGCGTACAGAGAGCCATGAATCTTTCCTTTCAACGTCCCCAGGCTTGCCGATTGCGAATCGAGCGGAGGGCCTCACACATCACACAATATATGCAGCAAGTCGACTCTCCTGTTCCTGAGATAAAAGTACACACAAAGGAACGACCACCACAGACCCCGCTAGCTATAGGACATGGGCGAACAGAGCAAGGAGGAATGGGACGACGACTCGACCACAACCGCAGCAGCGACCACACAACACAACACAACACAACGCGACAACAACGACAACACAGCAGCGTAACGCGCGACACCCCACCACGCAGCAACAAACGCGACATCGCGACATACAGCACCCTTACTTGCTCTCATCCTTCGCCTGGAACTCGTGCAGAACAGCGAGGGCCTCGTTGACTTTGAAGGTCATCGAATCGGTGTTCTCGAGCAGATGGATAAGCTCGGCATTGTCCATCTCCAGCAGCATGCCGGTGATCTTGCCAGCCAACTCAGGCTGCGACCTATAAGGATCAAGCATGTAAGCAACAGTCTATCGTGCGATCGAACAAAAAGAATACGTACGCGACGATGTTCATGTAGATGTGCTCACCGAGCATCTGCTTCGCCTCCATGGGAGTGACAGAAGCAAGCGCAGCAGCGGTGAGCGTAGGAGCCTCACCCGGTGCAGCGACAGCCGGCGGCGCCTGGCCAGCAGGAGCACCGTTACGAGGCTGGGCAGGCCTGTTGACCTGAGGGCGTCCAGCAGCGGGCGGAGCACCAGCGGGAGGGCGGGCAGCAGGAGCGCCCGGCGGGCCAGCAGGGCGCGGAGCAGCGCCGTTGGGAGCCTGGCCTTCGGCGGGGGGCGGGGCACGACCACCGGGAGGACCAGGGCGGGGCGCGCCGCGGGGGTAACCAGGCATGCCGGCGTAGGGCGTAGGGGGGGCTTGGCCGTAAGGACCAGGCATGGGCATGCCGGGAACCTGGCCGTTGGGAGGGTAGCGAGGGCGCGGAGGCATCATACCAGGTTGGCCGTAGCCCATCATGCCACGGCCACCCTGAGGGGGGAAACCAGGGCCAGGCGGGTAGTACATCGGACCGTTGATATAACCACCCATACCGCTGGCAGCTGCCTGCTGCATGCGGATCTGGTTGCGCTGCGCAATCTGGCTCTCGAGTTGCTGCCTGCGGACCTCGCGGCGCTGCGCAAGGGAGACGTAGAGGGGCTTCGAGCCGATCATCTTGTTGTTCATCTCAGCAACAGCCTTCGTTGCCTCATCAGGGGAGGAGAAGCAAACGAAGCCGAAGCCCTTCGAGGTACCCTTCTCGTCGCGCATAACCTTTGCGCTGGTGATGGCGCCGAACGGCTCGAACTCGCCACGAAGACGTTCGTCGTCGATGTCGTCCTCAAGGTTCTTGATGTATAGGTTGACGCCCTGGTATTTGCTCATCTTTTCCATCTTTGCCTGCTCGTAAGACTTCCGCAGCTCCTCCTCACGCTCTGCCTTCTTTTGAGCGCGAGTGACGAAGAGCTTCCTCCCGTTGTGCTCGCTGTCGTGGAGGGTCTCAACGGCCTTCTGCGCCTCCTCGTGGGTCTCGTAGTTGACAAACCCGAAGCCACGGCTCCTGCCATCGTCATCCCTCTGGACGACGGCGGAAGTGACGTTGCCGAACTGACCGAAGAGCTCCATGAACTCATCGTCTGTCACTTCGGGGTCGACGTTCTTGACGTAAACGTTGGTGAACTGGGCCTTCATCTCCTCGATTTTAGACTGGCGCTCTTTCTTCGAAATGTGGTGGCCGACGTAGACCTTCTTGTCGTTCAACAGCATACCGTTGACCGCCTTGATGGCGGTTTCGGCAGCCTCGGCGGTCTCGTAGTGGACGAAACCGTAGCCCTTGGAACGACCATGCTCATCCGTAGCGACCTTGCAGGAGAGCACATTACCGAAGGCGGCGAAGGTGTCGTGGAGGGCCTGCATAGACAACATGAGTCGTGTTACAGCAGGAACCTCCACACACACACACCTTGTTATCAATCTGCTCATCCAGGTTCTTGATGAAAATGTTGCCCTGGCCGGTCTTGCGCAGAGCAGGGTCACGCTGGGACCACATGATACGGCTTCAAGAAGTTGCGTCAATCAGTTCCTGTTCAGACGCGCCACGTCGCCGCAGAACTCACCAGGCACGGCCCTTGATCAAGGAGTAGTTCAACTGCTCCAGAGCACGCTCACCGTCGGCGGCGTTGAGATAGTTAACGTACGCGTAGCCGAGCGAGCGACGAGTGACCGCGTCACGGCAAACACGGATGCTGCAATCACGTCGCATGAGCAAGCTGCGCGACCGACAACGCGATCGGCACGTACCTCGCGACGGGCCCAATCATGTTGAAAATCTCGAACAACATGGCCTCCGTAACGGTAGGATCCAATTCTCCAACGTAGAGAGAAGCAGACGGGGAGGAGGACATCTGCGGGGGAGGGGGGTTGTATGCGGGGACGGGGGCAGGAGGGGGCGCCGTCGCCTCGGGGACGTGGCCCTGAGGGACTTCCTGGGGCGGGAGAACAGCGGTGGCAGACATGGTAATTTTCTTGGGGTTATAAGTGGGGTCGTTACTGCTTTGTGGACTTTTCTGCGACTGCAGATGGGCGGTCGTCAGCCGGTTGCAAAAACGAACAAGATGGACGGAAAGCACGTACACAGGAGGCGACAAGGCAATGGATTTTTCGAGGTTTTATAGAAAGTTTTTTTCGTTTAGCTTTTCACCTGCGCGGGGAGGATGAGCAGGCGGCGGGCCACAGCGGACGAAGACTGACCTTGGATGATGGCTTGAAGAAAGCCGGACACTGCATCAGCACCTATATAGGTATCAGTTCAAACTCCGCCCGATAGTTAGAGCTTTTGATCAGCCACAATCGGACAAGCCATCGCGATCTTCCCACGGGGCATCCTCGGGCCATGTACGCGTGCTGGCCACACGCTTCTCCTCCACATTTGTTACACGCATTTCATTGACCAATCGCACGTAAAACATTGGCAAGAAAGGCAGAAATCATTGTCATAACTTAGCAGAAGAGCTACATAGGTGTCCGAAGCGTCCCAACGCTAGCCGAATCGCAAGCACCGAGATTTGTCTCAACCCCTCGTGAAGTACGCCTTCGCGCCATGAGTGGCGAGCTCGGTCTTCGCCTAGATATCAAGCAGATCAATACCGGCACGCCAAGAATAGAGATCAATGGACGAACCTTCTCCACTGAGTGGCCCGCGCTCTTGTGATGTGTCCAAATCTGCATCGGCATTGTTAGCGCGATTCAAGCTTGCTATTGTCCGCAGAGGCCTTACCTGGCGATAATAATAGGCGTTACCTACACCCTGAATGACCCAGCCTACTGTTGCAATGGTGCCCAAAATGGCTGCGACGAAGGAGGGCTTGGCGTACATCTGGATCGTCTGGATGAGGCCCGCAGACCCGGTGCTGTAGCTGAATCAGCGTATCATTCGGTGGCGCAGGGAGGGAGTCTAATACCCTGGTATCCCGATGATCCTGCACAGCAAGTCAGCAAACGCAACACAGGATATGCGAAGGAAGAGACATACATGTACAATGAGAACACAAGGTGGAAACCACAGAATACGAAGTAGAAGTCTGCGCCCAGTTGAGATGCCTCGTTCTAACATACAAGCCATTAAACGTACAGTAGTATAGTGCTTGCTCCTACGAGTATGAGTGAGCATTGCGTTTGGTGTACAAGTGAACCGTGCCCTACCTTCATGTATCCATTGTAGATTGGCCTATGACGAAGCTCGTCAATAGAAGCAGAACGAGACGTTGTTGCGCTGCATACCTGTACCACATGAGGAACGACAGAGGCGTAATAACGAACAGGTAACTGCAACATTGCCACTTGAGTTGCAGCATATACACGCGCCCGTCTCAGGGACATACCCTATACTTGAGCCCAGGTCGCTTCCACCACCACTTGACCCAGACGTAAGGATAAAGATGCACGCAATCATGTTGATGATTAGCGTCCCGAAGAGGACAAACCAGAGCTGGTAGAGCCTATTGATCAATAGCCTGTGCTCTTCCGGGATTTCATCCTTGATCGAGTGGAAGATGACAGGGTAGACTGCGCGGACAAGGACGTAAGTAACACGAGCAACACTTCGACAAGTACTGCAAACGTACACTTTGGCCAGTTATTCCTCCCAAATCTCCTGATGTGCTCGGCTTTCTGAGTCAGCTCCTGCTCTCTCCTCTCCAAGTCGCGTTCTCTTTGGTTGATTTCCGCAAGACGAGCCGCATGGTTAGGACTTGGATAGCTGGGTGCCGGTGAGGTGCGCTCGGTGGGGTCATCGAACGGGTTTGCATCGAGCGAGTGCGTGGACGCAAAGGGGTTTTCGGCATATGTACCTATTCGCTACGTTGTCAGAATGCGCAGAGGTAGTACGAGCCATACGCACTCATTTCGAATCGTAAATGTGAAGGCAAGTGTAGAACGCAGCGGTCAACGCGTGCGGAGGCGTGCGGAAGGTGAACGGTGGCAGTCGCTGCGCAGGAACCAGTCCCAATTTGGTCGCCACAGCGCCCACCGCATCTGCCCCACCGCTTCGCTCCTCGCCTCACTGCCTCCTGCTCGCGTCTGCCACCAAACTGATGGGCCTCTCGGAGATGACTGTCCGTCTTACTGAATTGTGACTCTCAGCGCGTCTTGCAATGCCATGGCCTGTCTGTTTCAAGGGCGACGACAGATGCTGTGAACGAGTGTGGTCTGAGGAAGACTTTCTCTGTGCGTGAATCCGAAACGGCGGGCCCTTGGCGATGAAGGACACCCAGAGCGCGTCTCTGATACTCGTCCAACAACGTGCGCCGAACCACTGCTATGACATCGTTTCTCGACTGTTCTCGAGGGAAAGAAGATCCCGTGCTAGTCTCGTCCAGGCTAACCTCTAGCAGTCTGTTCGACATCTATCTCGGGATACTTGACATCAGGCACAACTTGGGCACAACCAAGGCGGTAATGAGCCCGCTGCGACCATTCGTCAAAGGCGCACCGCTTCTCCGTATGGCAGGCCAATTGCTCCATATCTAATCACTGACCTCGAGCTCGTTCGCCTTATCATGGCTGGTGTGGGAGGGAACATTGAGTCGGACTCCCCGCGCAGGTCTTCCGTCCTCCGTCTTGCTCTGTGTCGCTGCTAGCACTACTGACATACACGACATGACGCCCCGACCGCATGTCCTCGAGCCCATAGAGTACGGCAATGCAGCATCGTTCTGGGTCGAATACCCCTCGGGGCTGGTCGACCTCACCCGCGCAGCGCATCTCACTGCGAAGAAGGAAGACGAGACAGTCAAGACCAGTAGCGCCCACCCAGAACCTCCTCTGCAGAGCAGTACGCATCTCGAGATTCCGGTCGACGGAGAACGCGTCGTGCGGATCGCCAAGTCGAAGAGCGCGATCGTGATCGTTGACATGCAGAAGTACGTTCGCTACACTGTCGATCGTGCAGCGCATTGATCCTGACGTCGATCTACCTTAGCTTCTTCCTGCATCCTGATCTTCGCGACCACTCGACGGGACTGAATTGTGTCATACCTCTCATGAACGTCGTCCCCGCCTTGCGCACACAAGGCGTGAAGATCCTATGGGTGTAAGTACCGCATTCCGCCGGTGCAGTCGACAGGGACATCATCTTCTCGCCCACAGTAATTGGGGACTGACCGAGCACGAGCTCACGACCATCCCGCCATCCCTCGTGCGGAGTTTCATGAAGAACGGCCGAGGCGGCTTTGGCTCTAAGCTCCCAGAGCCATTTGGTCGGTTACTCATGCGCGGAGAATACAATGCGGACCTGTATGGCCCTCTGCATCAGCTCTACCTCGAAGGCAAGAAGGAAGACGCCGATGACTGGATTCACAAGAACAGGTCAGTCAAGGCGCATCGTCATGCTGACCCACTCATTGACAGGCTCACATACGTTACGTAGGATGAGCGGCATCTGGGGTTCCCAGACAGCCCTGGACCTGTATCTGCAGGAACACGGCATCACAACGCTCTTCTTCGCCGGCGTGAATGCGGATCAGGTATGCCATGCGACCTCGCTTTCGACTGGCGCACACTGAGTGTCCTTGTCCCGATAGTGTGTCCTCGGAACATTGGTGGATGCGTACTTCAGAGGGTACGATTGCATCGCACTACAAGATTGTATAGCAACGACTTCGCCCACTGGGGGATTAGAGAATGTGCTCTACGACGCGACCAACGTATGTACTCAGGATTGCTCCTAGATGTAGCCTGCTAACATTCACCAGTCTTACGGTTTCGTAACGGACACGACTAGGGTGGAGGAGGCAATCAAAAGGCAGGCATCGTAATCCATGTACTCGTGCTGTACATTATATGGGACATTTGCTACGATATCGAATACACTACTATCAGTGGGATATGCACATTGGACACCGTCCGTCCGCTCTGCGCCGAATCCGATCAAGATCGAGAGATGCGGCCCGTGCTGCTGAGTTGAGGCATGCATTGTGTATGAACGTGCACATCATTCCCAGTGCTCAATCGACCTTCTACTGGACGAGCGATGTCTACTAGTACAGTCGTCCAAACGAGCAGCTCCTGGCCAGGATTCGCAGGCCTGACGCGTCTCATCATATTGTACGCACACCACGGCGTTCTGCATGCTGACTTCATAAATCACTTCTGACCATCTCCTCACGTAGTGGCGATTCCTACTCTGCCGTCGGGTACCACGCAGGCGGACCGCACCCCACAGAGGACGACCCTCTCGGTATCGAGTTCCCAGGGATCACGTATGCCGAACCGGGCGAGCCCAACTGGGTCGGGCACCTCGTCACGAACTATCCGCTCGCGCCACTACTGGTGTATGACTTCGCGCGCGGCGGCCATACTCTGGCTGGGGTGCGACAGCAGATCCAAGGCGACTTCACGCGGCATCTCGTGGAGAAGCCGGACTGGTGCCCGTGGAACGAGAACGACACGCTCTTCGGTGAGAATACGCGTGAACGACATATCATTGCCAATTGTGCTGAATTTGTACGATTGTACGATGGAACAGTGACCTGGGTGGGCATCAACGATTGCGCGTCAGTACGAGTACCGCGTGGGGCAGAGAGCATATGTGTACTCACCGTTTATGCATCAGGTTCGCCACAGAGGCCACAATACCGAAAAACATAAACGATCTCTTTGACCTGCAAGAGGAACTATACGAGGCCGGTGCGCGTAACTTTATGCTAGTCGACGTCCCTCCCGTCCATCGCAGTCCCGCAGGTACGTCAGTCATCCGAGTCGCAACAATAACCCTACAACGTCAGGCTTAAACTATTCACAGGACTGAGAATGAGCACTCCCATAGTTGACGGCGTACGACGTTCACCGCGCCTCGAGCTCTGGAACAGACTGCTCCTCGAGGGTGCACAGCAATTCGCAACGAAGCACGAGCAGGCGACCGTCCTGTTCTACTCCTCCTGGGCCACATTTTCGCGTGTCATGGACGACCCGGCGGCGCATGGGTTCACGGAGGAGGATACCAAGACGCGTGCGAGTCGCATGTGGGTCGACTTCCTTCACCCGACCAGTCATATGCATGATATCGTTGCTCGCGACGTGGCGGAATTCTTGACGAAAATCGCGGCCCGCGAAGAGTCTCGTGCATCATCCGAGACATGATGTCCTGAGGTGGAATGTGAGATGGGAAACGATTGCAAACCTCTGTGTAGTAGCACCTACAGTATGGTGCGATACCTCATATACGACCGGCCACCCCCTCAGAAAGGTCGTGCTCAGAGTCTGTTTCATGTCAGGTACCCCTGGCCTAAGTTTGGGGCCCCAAGCACCTGGTAGTCATCTCGTACAGGATGCTAACCTGAAGTCGCCACTGCCGGTGATCAGAGTCTGGTAGTGCTCGGGTTCCCATCCGAATAGAAATACAATATACGAAGCAACGCTATGAGCACACGGTTTTCGGAAATTGTATCATCGAGACTTGGTGGCCTGCTTCTTCCACTCTTTCTTCTGAGACGATGCAGCAGCTTTGTTACCGAAGAGGAATCTAGACGTGTGTTTGTCCGCGCCTGTCTTCTTGGAGTATCTCGAGGTACCCTCGAACACCAACTAGTAACGTTTATGAGCACCAGGAAATATAGAGCCGACAGGCGGACGCACGACCCAGAATCCCCAGAGGCAGACAAGCGCTGTGCCCATGGACACGAGTAGCCCCAGAGAACCGACGGACTTGGTGTTATATGAGATGACAGAGATGAAGGCGCAAGCTGTAGATAGTGGTCCGAGTAACGGGTGGCCTACACTACCCTGTCCGGAGGAGTAACTTGGCAATGCCGCCGATGAGGGTACCTGAAACGAATATGAGCACTGCTGGATGAGATTCTACGTGCGTGCGGATTCGCACATTGAGGACGAGTGCGACTGCAATAGCCAGCAACAGGATACCGGTTTGCAAGCAGAAGAACGACTCCAGAGGCGTGAGCGTTGTTCGCCGTTCGAGCTCGCCGGTACTCGCGAGGAAGAGCAGGAAACGAGGAAACATCAGGAGCGGGGTCGACGCTGCCACTAGCCTGGGATGGCGTGTCAATATTCAATACCTGCACCACATTTCATGTATCGACGAATACTCACACACCTGCTGCTGTGTACGCCCAGTAGACCACCGACTCAGCATCTCGCGTAGTCCCCAAGTCTTGGGCGGAGTCTGAGTCTTGGGGCTTGTCCGAGTCGCGAGCTGCTCGGTTACGCTTGGAAAGGTCCTCCAATTCGATGCTGCTCATGTCGTCCAGCTGAGGTGGAGAGTAGGACTGTGATGCTGCGCGCGAGCAGAGATTGAGAAGCGCTGCAGGGCATGGTGGACACGTCCGACTGCATCCCAAGTGTAGCGCTCCGCAGCGGGCAGCACTGGGCTCGGATATGACGTCACTGCTAGACCTGTCCCTCATGTTCACAAAGGTTCGCTCAGCACTTTGGCCGTCTGGGAAGCACCAAACGGAAGTAAATATCAATGCAATAGGATACAAAGTGCGATAACATGGTGTGTAGTCAACAGCGTTGATGCAGAATGCGCGAGAAAATGTCACCGATGCAGAGCAAGCAGCACAATAATATGCTCCGAATATCATCACCAGCCTCCAGAGCCCCAGCCGCCTCCGCCCCCAGCGTCGCCCTGTTGGATCAGAGCAGCTCTTGCCGGATGTACACCAGCTGGGTTCGGAGTCTGGAAGCCGCCACCGTACGGTGTCCGTGGGGGAGCACCGTACGCAGGCGTCGCGGCGCCCAGCGTAGACGCACCCGGCACCTGCCCACCTGGCCCATAGGGGTTCGGTGTTCGGCCCATCTGGCGCACGGACATATGCCCCGGTGTTGCATGTCCGGCAGCGGGTGTCCGTGCAGGTGTGCGACCGCCAGCACCGTAAGGCGTCTTGCCGCCGCCCAGGCCGCCACCAGTCCGTCCAGACTCGTGAATGTGTCGAATCTTGAACGCATCGCAAAGCTCAGAGACACCGGTGGCCGGGGTGTCGAAGAGGTAGTACGCCTCAGGCGTGACCCTGATGGGCTGCAGCATCATCAGTATGCATCGTAGGCGGAGAGAACTAAGCCGAGACTTACCCATGTCTGGACTGTTGAGTTTTTGTTCGCCAAGAAGCACAAATTGAAGTGCCCAGGACGTTTCCGATTGATGGTGAAGCCATACGCACTCCTCGTGGGGTTCGCAGCCACGTAGTTCTTCAGGAAGATATCTAAGGGGACCATCAGCAAGGTGCTGCTCAGACATCAATGGATGGACGTACGGAGGTCATCTTCCGAACCGTGCTTGAACTTCTCATGAGCCATCAACTCCTCCACCTTGCGAACCATGGCTTGCACATGGTTGACAATCATCTCATCCAGATCGGAGTACTGGTGTTCAGCGTCTACGATGAGCTTTGTGCCGACAGTTTGGCCAGTGGGATCAGCGTTCGGTTCGACGATGTCTACGTAGCGGATGTCAGAAACAATGCACAAGATCACTTCCTTCCGGGCGTACCAATGTGCTGGAAAAGCTTGTCGTCCACCTTCCATGTCACAGCAAGGTGATCAATACCCTTCGACGACGGCCGGATGACCACATCGCCCCGTTGCTGCTGGTCGAGGAACACCTCCGCCTGCTGCGCGTTGAAGTTGTGGAAGTTCGGATGCTTGATGACCCTCCGCGTCCTGTCCACCTCTGCGCGCTTCTTCCGTGCCTGCAGCTCCATGTCCCGCTCGTACTGCTGGTGGTTCCATCGCTCGTCATGCCTCACCCGCCGGTACTGGCTATCGCCCTGGAGAAGGTCCGATTGCCGCGAGGACAGCTCGACCCAGAACGAATCCGAGGCGAGGTTGAGCTTGACATCGATGATGACGCCCTGAATCGTCTTGCCCTTCTGCACCACCGCCGAGGCATCTGAGACGTGGTCGTCTGAGATGTACTGCGATGTGATCATACCGTCGATGCCCGAGTCCAGGCGAACGGCGACGAAGCTGGGCTTGACACGGACGACCAGTACGGACACGATCAGCCCGACACGGAGCGTGCGATTGGTCTCTCCGGTAAGCATCATGAGCACCTCCGGGGGCGTGGGCCGGGTGAACTTGTCACGGAGCTCGCCGAATGATCGTATGAGCTCGGCGCGGATGACGTTGAGCGTGTGCCGCTTCTTGTCCTGGTTCGTCTCGTACATGTTGACGGCGAAGTCGTCGAGGTTAAGCTCGTCCAGCTTCTTGTCAGCATCGTTGTCCTCCATGATCAGGGATACGACATGTGAGGGATGCTCGTCGTGGATATCTTCTTCATCTAGTTCCAAAGCATCGGTGGCCATCTTCCTGGCAAGCTCATAATCTTCCGGGTGTATGCGCGTGTTGTCGAGAGGGTCAGCGACATCGACATCCTCGTTACGACGGCCTTTGGTAGACTTGAGCTCAGCGTCCTGGATGATGCGAAGGAAACCCGCGGCGTTGAGGAAGATCTTCGTCGTCAGCAGAGAACCTTTGACGAACTGGTCGCGGTTGACGAGGTTGCCGCCCTGTGACGAAGTGTCAGTAGTGTTCTATACAACACGATCAAGACCACTCACCAGCGAGGCGATCTTCTTTGCCAGAAGCTGAGCTTTTCGAGGGCCCAAACCGCAGACAAACGGAAGGAGGAATTGGTAGTACGGATCGGTCACAGCCCGGTTAACGTCAACTCCGACCTTGTTCGTAACGTCAACCAGAACCCTTTCAAGCGCTGACAGGAGCTTCTCAACAGGGATCTACTCTGCCATTAGACGTGATCACCCAACTCAACACGACAAATATACGTACCAAGTTCTGGTTGTCTTCGTCGAACATGATAGCCTTTATGTCAGCACCCAGGGCGGCGTACTCGTTCAGCGGGCTCTGCGTGTATCGTGCCAATCCCACGCAGTACCTCGCAAGCGGGGCAAGGGCACTGAACTCTCCTTCAGCCCGCTTGCTGTTCTGGTACATGCGCGCAACCTCATCGAGTACGTAGATCACCTCGATGTTGAGCGATTCGTCTTGGCCGATATCACCGGTCTCGCCGTTCGGCTTGTTGACGATCTCCTTTACTCGCTGCGCGAGCTTCGCGGTCGCGATGCTGAAGCCACCAATAACGATGACGTGTGGTCGACGTCTCTTCAGCATGTCGACAAACTCGTCTCGCGACTCCTGATCCACTAGGTTGTCCAACCGAGTGTGCTCACGGAGGCGGCCGGCCTCGTCCATGAAGACAATGTGGATCAGGTCCTTGTGTGGCTCACCCTTGCCCCACGACATAGCGAGAACAGACGGTGTTTCTCCCGGTGTCATGTCGTCCGTGGCATATGGTGCAATATCGATCCTCTGCAAAAGAGCACTATTAACGACTGCGCTGTTTAGGTGGCTCTCGACTCACATCGCGGAGAATCTGTGAACACTGATCTGCAAGGAAGTCTTCTGCTTCCTCACGGATCCATTCGCGAGTCCACTTGATGCCGATGGGTATGAGATGCTGCTCTAATGCCTCCTGAACGACGCGAGAGCGCTCCTCGTTCCAAGCGCGGGAGTTGTCGTTGTAGGTATCCGAGGAGAATGCATCGTTGAGCAATCGCTCAAAGTTCGCCTTCGCGTCAGCTGGTAGGCTGATGGACACCGTCACCAGGTGCTGCGACTCGGCTTGCAGGATGTGCAAGAACTGCGCTGACAGAAGCATCTCCGCAGCAGGCTTGTTGTGCAAGTACTTGAAGTTCTGTAAAGAAGTGAGCGATACTCATGTGTGCTACTCCAGCGGAAGACCTACAAAGAACGGATGGTGATCGTCGATCTTCGCAGTGCCACGTTCTGTCGGTGAGACAGAGACTACCGCGTCAGCCTTGAAGGCCTCTCGAATCTTATGCCTCAACAAGGGATCCTTGCCAATTTCCGTGGCAAGAATCATACGCGCACGGCCTAGAAGCTCCTCGGGTAACTGCGCGCGACTCGCATCAGGGTCAGCGAACTGCTCCGCGTAAGCCTGGGGGTTGAGCTCAGGATCCTCCACGAAGTGGGTATGTTCCTCGGCAAGGAAGTTCAGAACTACTTGATGTGGTTGGATTCCATAACCCTATACACGACGATGAGGACAACATCAAAGCCTATATGTCAGACACTCACCTCCGCCAACTTGGAGGCGATACTCTTCTTCGCCAGCTCGTAGTGTGAGATACGACTCGGCATCTTGTGCTTCTTGATGTCGATCTGTTCCTCATCATCGTGGAAGTGAAGCTCAACCCTGTTCTTCTTGTCCTCCCGGTACTTCATGCTCAGCCATTCGGTAGCATCAGCAACCGTCTCGACCGTATCAACCCGTTTCCGGACTTCGATCTCATAATAGTTGTCGGACACTCCTAGCCGGCCGTAGAGAGAGTCCAGGGCACTGCGTCGCTCCAGCAACGAGCAGAATTTCTGACCCAGGGTGTAGACGCGCCAAAGTTCCTCCAAGCTGAGCAACTGGACCTCGGCGTTAAGTTCCGCAGGGTTGAAGTATGAGATGTAGTCCCGCTTGTGGGTCCACACATAGGGCACCTCAAACTCCTGGACGAACAAGAAGCGCATAGCACAGGTTATGGCTTGAACGAGATCTGGGAGGTAGCGATGGAACTGGCCATCTCCACGGAAGAAGTCGCGTTCCTTGCGAGTACCGAGCCGTGTGATGACCCATGACGCAGCGTCATCCAAGTCATTCTCGGTCAACGGCTTGTGAAGGGTCATCGTGGATGAGGCTGATAGTGCTGAAGTGGCGAGCTGCATGCGTTCAGGAGTGTCGGTTGCTCGTATCAAATCGTCGTCCTCGGTCAGCATGCGCGCACGGATCTCTGAAGGCTCAAAAACCTGCAGACTGGTTAGTGCAGGAAGATAGGTCGCGAAGCGGCGCACGCACATCTTGGTACTTCATCTCCGGCTTTTGCTCCTCCTGATGAACAGGCTCCTCGTCTTCGGCTAGGGCCCAGTCATAATCATGGCCGTCACCGAACACCTCCTGTAGCTCGTCCCATGTACTATGAAAGTTAAGCACATTCTCAGTATGACGAGATGATCTGGACTTACTTCGCATCTATGCCTCCAAGTTCCGCGGCTCGCCCCAATGCTCTTCGCCTGGCCTTCTCTTGTCGCCGCCTCTCCCTCCGCCGCTCTTCCCGAGCCTCCTCATCCATAGCGCCTCCCACCTCTTCCTCGTCTTCATCTTCATACTCGATGAAGTTGTCCATATCGTCGTCCATGTCGTCGTCATCGTCCCTGCCAGCTGCGTTCCTTTCGTCGTCCCAGATGTTCTGGATATCCTGAATCTGAGGCAGCTCCAGGTCATCGTTGTCAAGATCATCATCGGATGGCTCCAAGACAGCCTTTCGTTTCGACGACGACGGCGCGGGCGGTGATTCCGAGTCTCGCGCACGACGCAGGCGGGTTAGGCGATTGCGAGAGAACGAAGCTCCTGTGTTTTCTTCTAGCAGCTCTAAGTCGTCCTCCTCAAGTGCCTCCTCTTCCTCCCGGTCTGGTGGGCAGAATTGCCGTTAGTCGCAGATAACGGGAATAGACACGGACTACACGGACTGCGATGGTGCTTCTTTCGCCTCTTTCGCCGTCTGCGTCTTTCCTCCTCTTCGTCCTCCTCATCCTCATCCTCGTCTTCATCAACAATAAATCCCTCTCTGATGCGCCGCTCCTCCTCCTCGTCTTCTTCGGGCTCTTCTGAGCTATCGTCGGAGCCGCCGCCGCCGGGGGCGCCGACTACCTCTCCTTCGTTTTCGTCCCCAGGAATTTGCATAGGGTCATCCTCCTCGGCGTAGGTGGGGGCAGCTGGGCCGGCCATAGGGGAAGACATGATAGCAGACACAAATGCCACCCGTCAGAGTCCCAAATAACAAGAAGACCGAGGTCGTGGTCGAGTTGAGCGCGCTGAGGAATCTCGATCGACGCGTTCAATTGGGCACTGCCGCACGTGATGTCAACAAGAATCAATTGTCACTATGCTATGCTACTACTTACAGTATGCTGTATTCACTGTTACTATGCTGCATTACGCACATACTCGACGGATCGACAACCGTCTGCGACCGGGTCAGTACTTATTCACCATGTCTACTACGTCCACCTCCGATGTCCACCTGCATTTCCTGCGCCTTGCTCTCGACGAAGCACGCAAATGTGAACCAACACCGACTGCTTTCTGCGTGGGCTGCGTCCTCACTGCGACTCTCACCGACTCGAGCGAGCCTATCATCCTAGCGCGGGGTTACTCTCGAGAACTGCCCGGAAACACTCACGCAGAGGCAAACGCGCTGACCAAAGCACGTAATCTGTCCAAGGGCGAGATGAGGGAGCTACTGTCCTCCGCCCCGGAGGATGTGACCATCGAGGACGTTCTGCAACATGCCGATGTATACACAACCATGGAGCCATGCTCCGTGCGTACTTCCGGTCTAGCACCGTGCGCCGATGCTCTCATAGCAGCCAAGGCACGCAGATGTTTTATCGGTGTGGGAGAGCCGGATGACTTCGTGCAGTGTGAGGGTGCAAGGAAGCTCGCGGATGCTGGGATTGAGGTCATATGGATCAAAGGCTTAGAGCATGAATGCCTAGCTGTCGCTCGGAGAGGACATCAGTCCGATGCGTAAACAGGACCGTGCCGTGGGGAACGCTCAAACGAAGAAACATGGGCCTTTCAAAGGTCAGTTCAGACGAGCTATGCAGGAGTTCTGGCTGATAGTACCAGTACATCAGACATCTCTCGCCGCCATATTGTATGTTACCGGGTTTCGACAGCACACGGCAATGAAATATCATTCTATACAACCTTCCATCCCATTCCTTACCTTCGTGGGCCTTCTGTTCATACGTCGAGAGCCGTTTAACGCGCTTCATCTTGCGATCCGCTCGCCGCCCGTGACGGGAGCTGAAATGCTACCCAGGAATTGCGCCATGTCATGAGCAACCACGTCGTGCATGTTGCTGGTCGGATGCAGACGATCAACCCATATAGAGCTCGCAGGCCTACGGACGTCGTCTTTGCCGAAACCGAACGTGGTCGGGTCGTCCAGCACCTTCGTGAACAGATGCCAAGAAGAATATATGAGCACCGTCGCGTCGCCATGCGAAGCAGCGAAAGCCGCCGCTTGGGTGCGCAGAGTAGTGTTCCACAAGGCAGTTCGTGGAAGCTTGTCAGCGAACATGCGCGCCGCTCTCTCCGGGCTGGGCCCTGTAGCACACTGAACGTCAGCGACTGGACGACTCGCAGCGGGAACGTCGTCCCTACCGCTTGGGGATCTCTCGATGGGAGGAAGGTCTACGAACATGAAGTTACGGGCGCCGTGCTCGTACAGTTTGGCCTGAAGTTTGAAGAGGTCAGAGACAACGCCCGGAATAGTCTCGGGTGTCTCGTAGCTTCATGGACTGCTCAGATGAGGTGTACGTATAGTTTATAACATGATCATTACCTGCAATCATTGATGCCAACCCACGTCGCTGGAGTCATTGAGTTCACGCCCGCAGGTCAAGAACAACAGAGACCTACCGAATAGTGTATCTTGTTCTGTCCACGGTGCCCAATGCGGTCTCGGAGCGAGGTGAGGTATAAAACCTCTCTCAATCTGTCGCCGCACACCATCGACGCGGTCCCCGCCCAGCGCATAGTCATAGACAAGCATCGGGCTCAGAGCGTGCTCGGTGATGAGATGACCGACCCAGTTCGCCTTGCCCGGCTCAGCCCATGTATACCCAGGGAATTCTACTCCGAGTGGATTTTCTAGTGTTGGATGCGGCGAGCGATAATCATAGCCGACATCACAATAGGACGCCCCACTGAGAAAGGACTGGGATTAGTCGACGCCACACAGGTAGGGCCTGTGCGTACAAGACCACTAGATGCTTGAGGGTCGCATAGCCTCGCCAATGCGACCTAACAGCCACGACGTTCGAATCGAACGTGCTCGAAAGTAAACCAGCCATGCTGTTGAAGATGGTGAATTACTATGACTCAGTGTGCAGGCCAGAGATGAGGAGAGTCACACTGTTGTAACTACCACTGGGACCCACATTCAGCCGTAGCGGAAGCGCCCATATCCGGCGCTTAACCTGCCAGAGAAATTCGCGGTAAGCCTAGCCACTAGACGCCCATAACTTGCTCCCAGCCATCACAACATGCGTATAGACAAGTGCTACTTTTGTTCCAAGAGCGTGTATCCAGGACATGGTATGCCTACTTATGTCCCACTCATGCACAGATCAATCTGACTATACATCAGGCAGTGCGTTCGTCAGAAACGATGCCAAAGTCTTCCGTTTCTGCACCTCGAAGTGAGCACTATTTTTAGTCTGCCTTTGTGCTGAAGCTGATTTACCTGTGATGAAGATGTAACAAGAACTTCAAGTATGTGTCTTAAACGTAGCACTCAGAACAAATCCTGACATTGCTCGCAGAATGAAACGCAACCCAAGGAAGGTACGATGGACGAAGGCGTTCCGTAAAGCTGCCGGGAAGGAGATGACGATCGTGCGTCACTTTCTGGGTCATTTGCTCATGCGATGTACTCACCACCATAAAAGGACTCTACGATCGAGTTCGAGAAGCGCAGAAATGTCCCCGTACGCTATGACCGCGAGTTGGTCGCGACAACGGTCAAGGCGATGAAGCGGGTTGCGGAGATCAAGCAGCGGAGAGAGCATGCCTTCTGGAAGAACAGGTGCGCGATTCCGTCAATTTTTGATCTGCATGCAGTTGAACGACCTACCAAAGGATGGCTGCGAGCAAAGAGAAGCTGCGCGCGCACAGGAAGAGGAAGCTGGAGGCGGCGAAGAAGGTTTCTGTCAAGCTCACGGAGCCCATGGTTGTCGAATCCCCACAAAAGGAGAAGGTCCGCGAAAAGATCAAGGTGTCTGCAAAGTCCCGCAGTGCCTTGATTCCCGGCGAGGGTCGTTCGATGGGCATGGAGGTCGACTGAGCTCCTCGTCAACGCCGTTCCTTACCATACGTCTCATTCTTTATATGGCCGACCTTGCTTTCTGTCTTGCTACACGCTCCAGCACTTCTCTACATGGTATGCATGATGTATATGATACAGTGATACATGATATGGCTGTTGTACGTGTATTCATACAGGTGAACCTCCGGTGCCTGCTGTCCGCAAATGATGGTCTACTTCTATCGCTGCTTATACTTCGCCTCGTTCTCGTGCCGTACGTTGGGGTCTAGCTGGTTGTGCAGCCCAAGCAAGGTCTTGCTAACCGCCTCGCTTGCACCGATCATCGGTTTCAGGACCGCGATAGGCACCGCGCGCACGACAGCACGGACGGGTCCCTATAAGATGCTCAGTAAGGGCCAAGAGCAACTCAGGCATGTCATTTACCTCGTTACCGGATCTCTCGTACACCTCCATGGGCACCGCAAGGATTGTCTGCGCCGCAGAATTGAAGTTCCTGCTCAGACTCCTGTACGCGGACTGCATGCCCTCCTGGACATTCATGGGCTGCTCGGCATACCGACTGATGAGGTCGCTTTCCTCCTCGTCTCCCAACTGTCCACCCAGCTCATCCGAGAATGGTGAGCCGGGAACCGTCTCCGCCGTGATCGGGTCCTTGAACTGTCCCCCGATGACATTCTCCGCCTGCTCGAGGATGACCTGCGTGCCTGTCGCGAGCCGCGCACCGAGTTTGATCGCTTCCATCGCAGTCGACTTGACGAAGGCCGTTGTCCCTTTCTGCAGACCTCTGACCACCCGTCCGTCCTTCTTGTATTGAGCGATGGGCAAGAGCACAAGATCCGCAACCCCAGAGCCGACGTTGACTACGGAACGAATGGGAGCTACGCCGGATATCACGTCCACCAATTGCGTCGCCTTCACGTCTGGCGTCCACAGGTCGTTCAGGAGGTCGAAAAACCTTGGCCATCCGGTGATCTGGTGAAGTACTGAGCTTAGTGTACCAAGGAATGGCGGAAAGTGCCTACCCCAGTCAGAGTAATATGTCGAAGGGTCATCTCTGCGCCATCGAAGTGGAAAAAGTTCATAAGCTCAATCGTCCTTCCGTCACGAAGTGCCCTGTAGTCGACCCGTCTCGGCTTGTAGTCAAGCTTGATGTCTACCGGGAATACCTCCGCTTGTTCTGGACGACCATGTATATCAGGTCAACCTTCTACTTCATTAAGCGACTTACGGAAGTAAATCTCGTCCTCTGGATCCGAAGGTGCAGCAGGGACGCTCTCCGGGTCCTTGAAGCTGAAGAACTTCTTGAGGAAGTCAAGCGCATCCTGATCGACATGAAGTCTGAGGGGCAAGATCTTGGCCTGCAGAGTGCACGCGTCAGCGCATGCGACACAAGATGGATCGGTCAAGCCTTACGCGAAGCCTCGCCTCCTCCGAAGGATGGTCAGGGACGGGATGGAGAGTACGGAGCTCTACGCGGACCATATCCGAGCCAGTCTCGCGGATGTTCCCTCGGGAGTCCGAGCGGAGAGACGTCAAGAACTTCCTCCACGTCGACGTCTTGATATGGTCGAGGATCTCGATATCCTCTATGATCACCAGTGTTCTTGAGACAAGGTCCGACGCAGTTAAGTATTGGTCGTATTCAGCGTTCAGGCCCATCAGCCGGAATTCGATGCTAGGGCCTTTCGACCGACTCATTCGCTTCCGACGTGTGCGACCTTGACCAGCAGTCCCCTTTCCGGGGGAATTGTGGACCGTCTGAGGCTTCAGCGACTGCCAAGAGCTCTGACTAGCTGTCTCCAGGTCTTCGTTCAGCTCCTCGTCGATAGCCGCTATGAGTGCGCCTGGTTCGAGCTCGTCGATGTTGTGCTCCAGTCCGATGTAGACCGAGTTGAATAGGAGAGCGCTCGTCTCCTCGACACTAGGATCTGGTGTTTGCCCACTGGCGACGAGCTGTCGTATCTTGGCTAGCTTCTTCCGCATCTCCTTTTGCTCTTCCTCGATGATTCTGCGTGTACGCATCCAGTCATAGCCGTCATACAAGAGCAGTGTGATATCGAAGTTTTGCAGTCGAACTCGGAGAGTCGTTTCCCCATAGCTATGAAGATTTAGTGTCAGTCTTCCAAACAGGTCCAAACATTGATATACGCACCTCGAGTCCCCATCAACCGAATCCGGAGACATGGTGTCAAAGTAATGTTCGATAATCTGTAAGCCTTCAGGACGCAGCATGCGGACCGTCTCTCCTCCATATGTAGAGGTGTTACTGCCTTCATCATCTACGTCACCAGTTCCCAAAGGGACGTCTACATTGGTTTCGTCGAACTCGTCGTCATCCAGTTCCCGAAGGCCAGCAGCTGCGCCGAACGACTCGTCGAGGTAGTCTGGGTTTGTCGGAAGGTCGTCGTAGATCATATCCGGTGCTGCACCGACTTCGGGCAGCTGTCGGAAAGCGTGTTCGTCGAGTGAAGCTATGCAGTAGCATCCATGTCAGTACGGACATCTCCTGTAGGTAACGGGACGTACACAATAGACCGCGTGGGTCTGATGTCTGCGAAAGACGCGTAGGTTCACTGCGCTTCCTGGGTGACGACCTGACACGTCCTCAGAGTAATGTAGGCTAAGTGGGCGTTGATTAACTTACGGTATGTCTGGAGGTGGCGCAAAGATGGAAGTGAAGTCGCTTATGAAGGCAGTCAGGGCTGTCAGAGTGTCTGCACACAGGTGGACTCGTAAGCCTCCTTGACTGACAGATATCTTCAGAGCTATTCAGTATAATTCGTGACTACAATGCCATGAAAAGACTAACTCTGGTGTCTGCCGGGCCTGCATCAGTCAAGCGAGCAAATCGGAGCTTGAGGTCGACCAGTTCAGCGAGCAAGGCAAAGCCTGCTCTCTGCAGCCGTCCATCAGTTTCGCGAGGTTCTTTGTGACCATAGGACGAACCTTCCAATACTCTGCGCCAGGTGATCTCGCAGTTGGATGCCCCACTTTCGCACTGTCTAGCTGCTGCGACATCACTTTCACGTCGTCCACGAGAAACAATGATACTGCAGGGATATCCAGGAGGAATGTCAAGTCTGGCGAGGCTCCTTCGATGACGGTTGAGAAGTCGAGTTCCCCGATGTACGGGATTAATGCGCCTCGGTATGTCGGACACAGAGTCTGAAGAGAAGTGTCCACCACCTTGACAGACAACCGCGTGCGCTCGCTCGGAACAACCGATTCGAAGGCCTGGAGGTATTTCCATCAACGACGTACCAGTTGTGACTAGTCTCGGTACCTACCCCTGGAGGTGCTTTCACGAACGACGCCAAATCTGATGTCCAAGCAAAATCCGGATGCGCCGTGAACGTAATGCCACGCAGGGTAAGTTTCACCCTGGACTCCTTCGCTGTTGTCTCCGGCACTATCAAAGAGATAAAGCGGACCTTCACGGCCGACGCTTGAGCAGACAACTGAACATGCGTCAACGTCAACTGACTCATAGTCACGACAAATTTGACTCACCAGGCTATAAGGGTGGGTGAGCGCAAGCATTGAGGCTGTAGAGCCTGACTTGGTGATTTCACTGACAGTGATGCCCCGGATGCCGACTGTCAGGACGGTTTCATCCTGTCCACGAAAGCGGTCAGTACATGAGCAGCATTCGCACGTGGACTCTGACCTTTCCTTCCGGCTTCAGCTCAACCAGAACGTCGACGTCGTTCAGCGAGACATCAAAAGGTCGAACAGTAGTTGGGCTCTCTTGCAAGCGCGGTACGAACAATCTGACAGTGCCTGCATCCAATCCAATGTCACAAATGAAGTAAACGGAAGAGACCTCTCGTACCCTCTCCAAGCGTGATTTTGATAGCAGTCTCATTAGCAGTCTCTTGCGGTCTGCTAGCAAAGCTTCCGCTCTCAGCTTGGCTACTTACACTTCTTGACTTCGCAAAGAATCGGCTTCCTATCAGACTAGAGTCCCTGCTGTCTGCACGCTCAGTGCCCGTATCGAGAACAGGAGGTTCGCCGAAGGCAGCCTCCATCAAGCGAGTCAAGTCGTCGGCCCATAACTGAAGGCCATCTAGAGTGGGCTTCGAGAGTTCGATATGTATCGATGGTACGTCGATGGCGAGCACCAATGAGCTGACTTCCGTAGACGGGTCGTGCGACAAGGTCACATTACCGCGTCGGACTTGCAGGGAAGGGCGAGAGACAGGATCTACCACAGATGCGTCTGGCGATATACTGCCTCCGAACCGCATATGTTCCGTCGTGCCCTCGCTGGGACGACGCGACGGGCCAAGTGAGAGGATGGCCGTTGCCCTAGAGGACGACAGAGGTGCATACGAAACGACTAGACGGTGCCACTGCGCATAAAGCAGCGCATTGTCCACTTCGCTCGTGGTCGGCTCGCCTGTACCGGTTCCGGCAAGGTATGGATCTTCTGGTGGAGCGAACCTGGTCGTTGGGCGATCTTTCTCTGCGGGTTTGCCCGGCGAAATATGGAGGTCGTGCAGGTCGAGGATCAATGCTCCTGATCGTGGTGGACTCAGAGGAGGAGTATCGCGTATCTGGATACGAATCGCGGGGAATTTCATTGACATAGTGGGCCCTCGACCACGGTTTCTATGTGTCCTGACCTTGCTATCTACGTCAGTCTCGAGTCCTCCAGCCGCAAATTAAAAGTACAGACCTTTCGCCAATCCTTCACGCGCTCGGTAGCAGGATCAACGCTGTGCTTTGGTCCTTGCCGGTAGTCATACTCCAGATCCAAGTCGTCCAGAACTAATTGTTCGAGCCTTCTCCGTTCTTGTTGTTGCTCCTCCGCAGTCCGTGCCCCGAACCCGATAGCAGCCCGTGGGGTGGAGGGAGGCGTATCTGCGTCGTCGTCGTCATCCATCATGCCTTCATACGGGTACCCTGGCGAGGGCAAAGTAGATTGTGCAAGGGGAGATCTCGACGGAGTCGCAGCCTCCTTCAGGAACGACATGGTCGCACTCTCGCCATGTTGTGGGTCACCACCTGATACTAGCCCGAGGTCAAGGAAGAGATGCAGCGCTTCGAAAGCGACCTCGACATCCGGGCTGCCATCTTTGCCGCCCCGACTCGACTGCGACTGTGTTGCATGACTGCGGAACTTCACACTGATGGCTGGCCCGGCAGGTCGTAGTGCTCCAGAGGAAAGGGACGGCCGCCCTATGCCGACATGTCCAGGAGACGTTGACAACAAACGAGGCATTGCCCTAGGCGTGGGCGGGCTGGCAGATGACGGCATGCCAGGCTGCGCCCGTGGAGAACTCTTCGGACCTGGTGTCTCCTGCCGGAGGGTTGGATGTTGTTGCACGGCCTTGCTCCGCCAAACGGAAAGCTTCGCAGCTGTGCTTCTTCGAGAAGGATCCGTCCAATCCAATATGTCAAACGACGGCATGCTGCTATTGTGCACGTCTGCTGAAGGCGCGTTCGAATGGTCTCGAGGATACTGAGACCGTAAATTCGGGTCTGTAATCAAGACCGGATATGCATATAGCTCCGTTGACGGACTGGGAGCCCCCAAAACGGGCTGATGGAGGAAAGCGAAGACCGACAACTCGGCGAGAGTCAGGTTCACTGACAAGTTCACGGCTGTGCCCTTCTGCGACCTCGATGTCCTCTTGTGGGCGTGCAACTGTGCAGACTCGCCGCGACTCGGAGTCGCAGAACTCGATGATGAGATGAAAGCTGTGGTAGACAGCTCCTCCATGTGAGCGCGAACGTATCCATGCGTCATCTTCGGCGGCACAAGGGGGCGAGAGAAGAACTCCGATGATCCACGGGCATCCAACGCTCTAGAGCTGCTCGATGCTGGGAGTAAGAGAAGGACGATGCCACGCAGACGAAGCGTCCCATCGAGAGCGGGAATGGCCGATGGCTCGGGGGCACCATCTGAAGTGGAGGGGGTCCGGCGTGCAGGAAGTGGGGAATGCAGCGACCAGACATCAGCGATGTCCAGGATGCTCCGGACATGCCGTGCGTTGAGGGCAAGGGCAATAACCCCCACATCCACAGTGACCCTGAGCTTCTCGTCCGGAGTCCGCGCACTGCTACTTCGGCGATGGCTTCCCTTTGACCCTTCACTAGGGATTCTCGACGATGAAGGAATCCCGACGGCTGGCGTGGGCGAATGTGCAGACAATGGCGGGGGCGTGTACAGACGGATAGAGATTGGATCAGAACCGAAGGAAGCGACGATTTCATCCTCCACTTCCGGGATGCAAGCGATGGGCTGTGGTCTCTGCGGAAAGCCGGCACCGGGTGGTGACTCTGATGACGAGGTGAAGTCGCCCGCTGGCGGCTCGCTAGCTGCTGAGAACTGCGCCTCGGGACTCGGTGTACCATGAAGACTGCTCTCCACGGGCGCAGTCGACACAGCGCTCTGGTACATACTGCTCGAGACCGATGTCGCAGGCGAGACCGGCCGAGGAGGGAGAATCGCTATAGATTGTGACATGAGCATCTGGGTTTCCTCATCCATGTCCGACGAGTCTGAGTATGGTGAAGGAGGGGTCGGGGGGCTTTGAGGGGACGCAGGCGCGGCAGTGGGCGTCATCCGAGATGAAGGTGCACCACGTTCTTGCGTAGGGGTCATTACTGGACTCGACGGGCGGAGGCAGCGCGTAGTCACAGTGATCCCGCTGACGGTAACGCCGCGTATACTGCCCTGCGAATCTTCCCGGCTGCTTGCATCTGTTCTCTCCACTGAAGGATCCGTCTCGGTCCCGTATCGAACCTGGGCTATTGACAGCGTGAAACTGGCTTGCTGCGGATTCACTATTGTGACCTTGACATCGTCCGCATCGAATGCGAAGCGTGCCAGGAGCTTCTCAATGAGCGTTGCGAATATTGAGACACCGGGTGGCTCTAGCTCGCTTTGGGATAACTCTTCATCAGACACAAAGGGATCTAGTCCGCCAGGAAAGACGTCCTGTCCGGTCTGTAGTGGACTTCTCGACCCGCCGTGAATCGAACCACGAAGCGTCGCCTCGTCGGCGGGATTGAGCTCCTCGTGAATGAATGACTCTGCGACAGATGCCACTGACTCGGCAAGGTCGAGATGTGATGCGGTGACATCGGGTGATTGAGGTGCGAGATAGAATGTCAGATGAGGTGATTCAACTGAGAGACCGATCGTAGAGGTCAACGGGTTAGGCCATGGAATGCGCGCCGTGACCTTCCCAATGGAGCCGTCGTGCAGTTCGAGAGGCAGCCCAGATATGAGCGAGTTGATTGCCTGATGCAAAGTCAGAACCTGCGCCGACGCTGGAGGGGAACTCACGCACGTCGTTATTAAGCTCCAGGTCTCGGATCTGTACATAACCTGACCCGATCTGAGAGTCCACCTGCTGAAGATCAAGCTGCCCAGGCTTGAGTAGGTGCCCGAGAGAACGCTTCAATGCAAACGAGATGAAGCGTCTCTGGATCCCGGATGGAAGGGATAGGTCGATCGTGGGTAATGAGGGAATCCATGATGTCCACGAAGACATCGTGCGGGTCGTTTAGTTTCAGTAGTCGTATCAATGGTCAGAGTATGCCGAGTGTGATATGCATGAAAAGAGATGGAAAGTGTATATTCAGAGAGAATGCTGAGCCGCAGCCGACGCGACCTCGAGAGTCAAGGTGGTAGAGTGGAGCATCGCAGCGCAGGACCCTCGGGCAAGGCTCCTGCCCCTCTGACGCCCGACACGTGATGTCATTCGCGCTCGCGTGCTCGAGATGAGACGCGCTCTGCGTGAATAATGTCGTGTTTTGAATCCCGAATGCCCAGAGGACCTAGAGGTATATGAAGGGAGTGATGCAGTAAATGGTAATGCATGTCTGTGCTTTTTATATGTTATTGACGAGTCCAATGTAGCACTGGCAGCGATAGATGGCTATGATATATTCCGAGCACCGCGAAGGTCCCCGAGCTGGAAGCGCCCACAGCAAGCCTGCGGTTTGTCCTCCGCCACCAGTGTCTCGAAACCCTACCTGACCTGCCGACTTAGTTGAACCACAGAGCTGGCTTCTTCCGTTCACAACTCGTAGGCATTATGCAAGCCGCACTTCCGAGGATACTAGTAGTTGGAGGAAATGGTTTCCTCGGTAAGAAAGCAACCAAGCGTAACGGTCGCTGGTACGCTAATGCTACTCCTGGTGGACAGGCTCCGCTGTTTGCAAGGCAGCCCTTGCTCGAGGGATGGAGGTGACGAGTATTAGGTACGCTTCCGTGACACCCTCGTACGTATGAACAGGACATGATGGTTGTCGCAGCTCATCCGGGGCACCGTTCAAGACACCCAAAGGGCATTCCCCCGCTTGGGTCTCTAAAGTGTTGTCTCATCCATGCTTCCATGACTGCAGGTCCTGATGGCGCCCACATTACAGGTAGACTGGCAAGCTGCGGATGCGATGAGACCCGAAACATACTTGCACCTCCTCCCTGGTGCGACGGCAGTAGTCCATACGCTCGGGACGCTTCTGGAGGACACACGTTACAAGAAGGCGCTCAGCGAGGGCAACATCCCGGCTCTTGCTGGTATTGTCGCTTCCAATGTGCTCGGTAGTGGGCCGTCGAGCAATCCGCTTGCTAGCGGTGAGGGCAGACCGAACAGCTACGAGTCACTGAACCGCGATGCTGGTACGTCTTGTGAATCATGGTAGTACACACCCCGCTCACAGACACCCCTAGCCATACGAGTCTGCGAGGCATTTGTGTCCTCGACGCCTTCTGTTCCGCTTGACGGACCGCGACCTTTCGTGTATGTCTCAGCGGAAGACATCTTCCGACCATTCATCCCCGCGAGATACATCGAGACAAAGCGTGAAGCGGAACTGCAGATCAGGCACAAAGTAGCCGGTAATCCTGACTACCGGGCAGTGTACATACGTCCAAGTAAGTCTAGGTGGGGATCACTCGAGTGATTATTGACGAATGTCCGCCATAGGCCTCATTTACCATCCCCACTTCCGCCCGCTCACGTCGCCAATCGCCGCAATGCTCGACTTGTCCGCAACGATCCACCGCACAGCGCCGCAGGGCCTGCCTACGCCCTCCGGTTTCTTGCGGTCACTCGCATCTACCTTCCCCTCTTCCTCTTCTCCGCAATCTCTTATCTCAGCCTCACCCTTGGACTCAGTCGCCAACGCGTTGACAATTCCGCCCATTCACGTCGACCATGTCGCCGAAGCAATCTGCATCGCGGCGGATACTCGGAGAGTGGACGTACAGGGCGTCGTCGATGTAGCGACGATGAGGGGGCTCATTGGATGGTCACAAAAGGGTCAGACGCAGGCTGACGTGCATATACGAACGAACGTGTAGCATGTTGTCATAGTTCGGCCTGTAGCGTAGTGGTGTCTTCGCAGGGCTAGGAACAGGCAATCCGACTTCCTCCGAGTATCTCCATGCATGATGACTGATGTGAGGCGTCTCGCCCGCCGAATGAATTGAGAATGTGGTAGTGCGCGGCAGGGAGGGCGGCGGGCGAGCGTGACGAAGCTGGTCGGCGAGATGAGGCCCAGCCTGAGGGATGCAGCCATCGCGTGATCGCAGTAAGCGCGGCGGAAGGCGGGGGTACAAGTCGTTGGGGAGCCCGGCTGCGCGAGAACGTACTCACCAGTGTCCAACCAGTGTCACCGCACCACTCTACGTTCCCTACCCGCCGACGCAGACGGGGCCCTCCCAGGCAGACGAGGTGAGCCGTTCGCACCAGCGTTCCTATTTCGCCCTTTGACGCCGGTGGTATTCCCGCACTTGCGCAATCGATTCTCGAACGACTCTCGGCCTTGCACCGCTGCCCACAACACAGGTCGCCGCGCTCGGGTCCGTCGCAGCACTTGGACAGGAAGACGACCACCCACGTCCTCGAGGCACCTTTATACGCTCCGCCTCGTCCAATCGTCGTGTGCATGTCTCTGTCGGGTCTTCTCAGCGCCTCCCTTCGGCCGAAGAATGTGGGCACCCATCGACGGGCCTTCCGATCATCCGCAATCACGTACAAGGCCCTCGCATTCTCTCTGAACAACGTTGCGTCGAGTGTAGTGAAGCCTGAGGCGACCGCTGACCATGGCGAGGGCAAAGTGCTGCGAATGCTCATGTTCGGCAAGCCCGGTGCGGGCAAGGGCACGCTGTCGGGGCGACTGGTGAAGAAGTATGATGTCTTGTCTCTGTCGACGGGAGACCTACTTCGACAACATATCGCTGAACGGTGAGCATTGCATTGCTGCCGTCAGCAACGTCCATTGAACATTTCGAAGGACGGAGGTTGGGTTGATGGCGGAAGAGATCGTCGCCTCTGGTGGACTACTGCAGGATGATATCATGCTCAAGGTCGTTTCAAGCAAGCTGGATCTGCTTCATAATAAGGTGCATTCGGAAGCATGTTTTGAGTCCACCCTCATCACTCATCTGGTGTTCGCCCAGCACTGGCTGCTTGACGGCTTCCCTCGTACAGTTGGACAGGGTAAACTGTTTGATGACCATCTGAGGTTTGCCACTTCAGTTTCCATCAGCCTCTTCGATGTGACCGAACTGCTTTCCTAGACGGCGAGGAACGCCTCTCAGTCTGATCGTCAACTTGGATGTCGCCGACGAGGTCATCCTGAGTCGGATATCTGACCGCTGGGTTCACCTATCATCTGGTCGCGTCTACAACCTGTCATATAACCCGCCCAAAGTGCCAGGCCTTGATGATGTGACAGGTGAACCTCTTACCAAACGACCTGACGACAACCCGGTACTTCGCTTCTCCGAGCCCGTCCAAGTGTTGTCTACTGACGTGAGCCATCTTACAGGCTGTGTTTGCTCGTCGGCTGGAGAAATTCTACGAATCAACGTCACCTCTCCTCGACTACTACCGGGCTGAAGCTCCCCGATCCGGAGTGAAGCTCGTCACACTTTCTGGCTCGACATCAGACGAGATCTGGCCGCAGCTCGAAAACGTCGTGCGCACGCACTTTCCGCACGTGAAGGAGCGCGCGGAGAGCAGGGAGCAGAAAAGGCGGACAAGCCTGAGTGAGGCTGTTATGGCTAGAAAGGACCATGTCTCGAGTGCTCGGGAGGAGTCTTCAGCTGGGCAGCTGAAGCACTGATGCGCTGGTTTACGTTTTATGCTTGGATATCTTCTCGTTCGTTCCCTTGTTTCGTCGTTGCTCTTTGCAACAATGTTTGTCGTGCTTGGTGACGTGATGCCCCTATACTACCGATTCCTCGATGCTCTAGCCTGCTGCTACGTTCGTTTGTATTGCTAGCGTGGCTATGCATACCTGCTTGCTACATAGATATACGTGTTTTGCTCTCCTCATGCTCGCCCATGTCACCTCAAAGCGTACCTGTCGAAGCGTTAGAATCGGCGAAAGCGGAGAAGGCGACATTGGCACAGCACTCTCACATTTTCACAGTGTAGAGACCCTCAGGGAAGCCTCGCTGCACTTGTTCATGCACTAGTGTCAGTCGCGCATCCTTGAAAGCCTTCTTCCATGCGAGATCAGACCTGGGGCGTTATTGTCAGTCATGAGAGGTAGCATACTGGGAATGCATTATACCTCGTTATGCTCGAGTCAGTCTCGTCGAATACGCTCCGTGGTTCCTCGTCATCATCAGCGCAGCAGTTCTCCTTCACAATGATGAGGCTCTTGTTGGGATCCCGCAGGGAACTTCGGCTTCTTCGCAGAAAGGCTACCAGATCCGCGTCGCTCAGAGAGCCAAGACACCACTGGCACCAGATGATATCGAACGGATCGTCGAGGTCGCTGTGATCCGGGATGTATCCAACGCGGTCAAGGAACGTCGGGGACCTTGACGGGCGAGAAGGTTCGATCCCCTGCAGGGTATCCTGGATGAAAGAAACGCTCTTCGTCTTGGCTGAGATGCCTTTCCATGGAACAAATGTGGCGTCGGCCTTGCCAATTATGACTTCGCTTGCGCGCCCTCGAGAGAGGGCCTCTTTGACAAGGCTTTCTACGGGCTCGACTAGGACCACGTCGGATACCAGGTGTAGGAGTACGTCTGCCGTTACACGGCCAACCCCTGCGCCGACGTCCAGTGCTCGTGGTCTGTGAGATAGTTCCTCTGGTTCCGCCAGCGTACGAATTGCGGATGGTACTATGGAGAGCTCAGGCATGAGGTACAGCAAGAACTGGCGCGACCCGAGAGCGTCGATCCTTGGCAGGGACTAGAATGCAATGGGTTATTGTCCATTGCGAAGAGGCAAGCAAAATGGACTCACACCTTCACCAAATCCGCCTACACGCAAACGACATGATTATTAGCATTACCGTGACCCGAGCTGCGATGGGTGCTCACCGAGAACGCCATCATAATTGGCTGGCTGGCTGGCCCAGTAATCTATGCCGGCTTGCATGTCAGGTTCGGGTACAGTGCTGTCTTCAATCATCGTATGGAGATCGTCTTTCTTGGGTAGCGACAGGCGCGAGAAGGATGCAAGGACTCGGAGGTAGAACTTGAAGGCGATCTTGCGGAGGTCCCGCCACCGCGGCCACTCGAGCGATCTTACTGCACGATCTGTGACCATCAGCTGTGACAGACGCGTCTCATACGCGTTACACTACGCGTCGCGTCGAACTAGCAATTGTACACGCCAACAGACGCCAACGGCCATGTCTTCCACTGCTCTCGATGATATCTGGAATGAGCCTTTAGACGAGCCCCCGCATCGGGCACCGTCCCCTATTGACCTCACCACAGACGACCAGTCGCCTCGCCCTCCCAAAAGACCACGTTCGTCGCTATTCCTCGACTCTGGCTCCGAGGATGAGGACCCTCCTCCGCCTGCACGGAAGTCAGTCCCACCAAGCACGGAGAAGTCGGAGATTGACGCAATGTTTGACAACCTTGATGCGGAGCCAGACGCGTTTGACGGTGACCTTCCTCCTGCGCTTGACCTCGACGCGTTGAGGAAGCAGGAGGACGCGAAGAACGAGAAGATATACAAGAAGCCGTCTGCGCTGGACCTTGATGTGCCCGATACTAGTGGGACTGCAGGAGGAGAGGGAAGGAGTAGAGGTAGCGGGAAGGAGAAACAGCCAAGGAAGCCCCTCCCGAAGTTGGACGAAGCGAGGGTGCTTGGGCCTGACGGTTTCCCCGCTCTGCTGAAACACGCGAAGACCTTCAGGCCCAAAGGGAAAGGCCACGAGGTGCGTTCCGCTCATTAATTCTTTGCTGCCTTGAACACTCAGATATCGGTATGCTAGGCGGCGGATTTGAATCGACTACTTCAGGTTTACCACTACTGGACACACAAGATGCATCCTAAGACTCCGTTTCGCGAGACGGTTAAACGCGTCGAGAAGCTGTGTCATTCAAAGCGGATGCATGTGAGTACTCCGGGTTGCACCATGCGCAGATATTGACAGTACCGTAGGTTGCGCTGACCGTCTGGCGCGACGAACACAAGGGCATCAACAGAGATCGCAAGATCGACCCCGACTTGGACGAGAGTAGTGATGACGAAGAGGCGAGCAACCTTAAACTCGGCGCAAATGACCCTCGAGATAGCAACGAAGTTCGAGACGATGATGATGTACATGACGGAGAGCGTGCATCCTCGCACCCGCCTTCCCACCCTCCATCCTCTGAACCCCCCTCCTCTGACGGGTTCGCTGACTTCGACCTGGACGCGATGATACGCGAGGAAGAAGAGAGACAAGCTGCCGAAGCCAACGCTGGGCGCATTGGGCCCGTCGGCACCAGTGCTCCTCAGTCCAAGCCTGCGGTCCGGGACGAGGACGAAGCGATGTGGGACGCTTTCGATGACGACGTCCCTCACAATCCTGGTACCTCTACAACACCATACGCGACCATACCAACGAACCCGGATCCAGATGAGGACGAAGACATGTGGGATGTCATCAGGGAGATGGAAGCCGCAGAGTCGAGCAAGGCCAGTGCGCCATCCGAGACCTCCGGGCCTGCTAAGGCGAGTAGTAGCTCACAACCTGCCACGAATGACGAGGGTTGGGATGAGATGTATGCGTAACATATCTCTAGCGTAGAGACATACTACGTTAGTGCGGGACTAGTACCTAGTTGATTGGAGGCGCGGGTCTGTTGTTATCTGGCAGCCTGCAGACGTCAAGTCACTTTGCCGGAGTGGTTAACGGGATCGCCTGCTATATTTAGCTGCCAGCGGTTGGGCTTTGCCCGCGAGTGTTCGAATCGCTCAGGTGACGCGTTTTTGCTATCCCTTGCCGTGGTGGTACCTTGCCGCCGAGTTACTCAGACGTATGAGATACGCGTCGCGCGTTCCTGCCCTCAAGAGGGTCGTGTCAGTACTATTCAGAGTCTGCCTATTACGCGGGTTCTGCGCTTTAAATTTTTTATGGTCGGCAACGGAGACTAGCGCGTTCTGTGGTTGGGGTCCAAATCACGCTGCCCCTCGGAGCACTACTGGATTCATGCCCTCTATCGTTTCGGGGTGAACATGGTTTGTATCTTTGGTGGACTCACCTGTCAGTACCAAGTTAGAAGGATGCTGGCAGAATTTCAGGCAGAGCTTGAGCGCTCAGGCGCTCAAGATGAGTAGCACTTGCCTAATCGGGTAACAAGATGGTGCAACCTCATACATCGGGACGCACTTCGGTTTTTTGCGCAACTGTCCTTGATTCAAGTTTCCTCGGTGCGATCCCAGTGACCAGGAGCAAGGCAAAAAGCAACAAAAACTATACCTGCCCCAGTGAGGCTCGAACTCACGACCTTCCGATGTGCATCCGAGAATACGCATTTTTCGTAACAGTCGGACGCTGTAACCAACTCAGCCATGGGGCACATGGTACCAAATATTTATGAAAATCCCAGAGCTGAAGTGTCCCATGCTAACCACAGAGAGGGGAATTTAGTCACTATGGCACTTTGATGGCACTGATAATAGAAAGTAGAAGGGGAAGAAGCTACTTATGATAGCACTATATATAGGTGGACAGGGACTCGACAACGACAGATGGTTCCCTTTCTTTTTGTCGCTCCAAACTCTACTGTACACTACTCCCGAAGCTACGGCCGACGGACATGCGCAGCGACCGGGGAAGTCGAAGCAGGAGGAAGAGAGTAGCACAGTTATTTGATGTCTACATAGAGCCCTGCCCTCAGCGACATTCAATGGAACAAACGAACAAAAACAACCTCACCACGGCATCACAGCAATTGAGCCAGACGTGGTATTAGCAGACCTTTGCTTTGACCCGTCCTTGCCACCGACCAAACCACGTAAGTTGTCTTCTATGGCGCAACATGCGCGCGGGCCAACCATCAACGCACACGCATTCATGAACAGCTCGTGATCGCTCTGACTGAAGTACTGAATGCTAGGTGACAATGCGGTCAGGTCGGGCAAGGCATATTGATGTACCAGTCGGCTAGTCGAACTGCTATTTGTAGCATTGCAACACGGGCAGCATGCATAGTTGATTATACAGGTGTCTAAGCTACGCACCAACATGTCAGTGTGTGAGTTCAGGCCACGAGATGAACACTCACGATACATGTACGACGGTTGAACGTTGAACGGCGGCCCTACTGACAGATATCACGCGCTGCGTTCTGCGATAAATTGCTTCGCGTATTCAACGAACTGATCGACTTCCGGTTCCGTGACAGCGTTGTAAAGTGATACTCGGATCCCTGTAGAAATCAGTCAGTGCCAATGAGGTTTGACAGTTGGATCTGCCAGACTGACCTCCAACAGACCTTTCAAGGACAGTGTGAGCACGAGGAACTGCGAGAGCAAATGCGATCATCATACCTGTGACCTTTCAACCCCATCATGCCCGCTCGCTCGGCACCCTCGAGGAACGCCTTCTCAGCGTCCGGCCCGACGACCTCGAAGACGACGTTCATCCAGCTGCCCGAGCCCTCCTTTACCTTGCGCTTGAAGACTCCCTTCTCCTGCCCTTCCCGCAGCACAGCATACACCTTCTCTGCTTTCCGCTTGTTCGTCTCCTCATAGTGCTTCAAGCCTCCATGCCTCTGCATCCGTTCGAGCACGAGACCCGAGATGTACATCGGGAGCACTGACGGCGTGTTGTACAGGCTCCCCGAGTCTGCGAGGGTCTTGTAGGACATCGTGAGCGGGACAGGGCTCGCACCGAGCTTGGCTGCTGCGTCCACGTCGACGATGCAGTCTTCTCGGACGATGAGGATTGTGAGGCCGGCAGGACCAATATTTTTCTGGGCACCAGCATAGATGATAGCATGGTCCGCAAGGTGCGGAATGGGCCTGCACATGAACGACGAAGAGTAGTCCGCGACAAGCGGGACGAGCCCACCGTTCTTGCCCAGAAGGTGGAACGGGAACGACGCAGGCGACGCGTCTTCGTGCGAGAACTCCACGCCATCCACCGTCTCATTCTCGCAGTAGTAGATCAGCGCAGGGTCCTCCGAGAACTTACACGCGTCATGCGGCGGGATGATGTCGAACGCCTTGCCGCTCTCCGAGAACGTACGCGAGTCGACGACGACGTTCACCCGCGCGCCGCCCATCCTCTGGGCTTCCTCCACAGCCTTCTTGCTCCACGAGCCGGTGACGACGTAGTCGAGGACGGTGTCCTCCGCGGCGCGCTCGGGGTGCAGCAGGCGGTGCCGCGCGAGCATGTTCAGGACGACGGCGGAGAACTGCATCGAGCCGCCGCCCTGCGTAAAGAGGATGCGGTGCGTCGGGGGCACGTCGAGCTGCGTGCGGATGAGCGACTCCATGTTATTCACGAACGCCTGGAACTCCTTCGAGCGGTGCGAGAGCTCGGCGATGCCGATGCCCGTGCCCTGGAAGTTGAGCAGCCCCTTGGAGGCCTCCTCGAGGACGGACACGGGCAGTGCGGACGGGCCTGCGCCGAAGTTGGCGACTCGAGCATGTTCTGAGCTCATGGTTGTCTGTGCAGGGAGAGGAACGGTCGAGGGTAGACAGGGATGGGGGAGGAGGATGAATAGGACGCACCTGTGTATATGGAGTACTGTACCTGGATCTCCAACGTAAAGCACCTACCGGGCGTCAGAAGGCTGCGTCTCAGGATGCTACGACTGTGCCTTGTGTCGTGAAATGAGAAGACGTTGCTTGCGACTCGTGCTGCAGGTGGTGGTCTGGTTGTGACTCGACCGGAGGAGTGCTGAGGCCCGGATGGCCGTCGTAGTCGAGACTCGCCATAATGACGCGAATATGTCCAGTAGATGGCACCGTGGTGGGCCTCGCTCGGGCGATATACACATGTAGGGCAGCCAAGGAGGCTCAGAACGCGCATGGATGCGAATCGAAGTCACAGAACATCATATACACTCAATGAGAACGCAGTTCGCGACATGCGTACACAGATGATCATACAAGTACATCCGGAGCATGCCCGGGCACAGTGACACTAACTATAAAGCAGAACTATGCGTAAGAGTACGTATTCGACAGCGTCCATCGTAGCGGGAGACTTTGAAGGCAGTGAGCATTGACAAAGGAATCGGTAAGCTTTAAGCAGTATTTGTACAGCGACGAACACGAACACGAAGCAACGTGAGCTGGAGGCTAGCGAGAACGGCGACTGAACTATAATAACAATACGTATCGGACAGCATGAACAGGACAATCGTGGTGGTACATCAACTCGTAATATGGAGCGTCCAGGTGAAAACATGAAGCAACGGAGAAGATCCAAGGATCAAGCGAGCGATATCGCAAGAACAACGTCGGCCTCAATCCGACAGACGAGTATCGATGGCAGATTCTTGGTAGGGAAGATGAAGGCAAAAACAATAAATGAAGTGCTGCGAGACTGGATGAGGCAGCACGGATAGGGCGAATAGGCAGGGCCATGGCTAGGGGCGAACAAGAGGGCCAAGGATTATATCAACGGCTTGTACGCGTATATCGGCTGGGTCGGATGTGTAGATTGGGCGAGCGGAAACGATCATAAGTCATCTGGCGACTTGCTGGTGAGGGACGTGAGGATAGGCAGCGAATACGGGAGGCTTGAATAAGATTAGATGGCGTGCAGGCGTGAATTGGGTACGGTGGCGACGCATATGGTCGCATAATTAGTCGAGTCGTCGCGGACGTCACGGCGAGAGCGCGTCAGACGGTGGCCAGTGGTCGTCGAGGTCGTTGAGGGCAGGCCGAAGACCAAAGAAGCGGACGTCGGATGGTACGAAGGCCTCCCTGATCGGCGTGCGTGGCGTCGACGGCAATCGATCGGAAGGTAGCAATGCGTATACGGGCAGCTCCAGCAGGTCTGGTGGCGCGTAATCGGGAGACCTGCCGGGCGGGTGCGCGAGGGGGTTCGATCGCAACGATGACTTGCGCGTACGTACGGGACCGCTGCAGGGCGGTGTCGTGCGCATATAGTCACCCATTGGCATGGGGAGGTCCGCGATGTCCATGGGAAGCGTGCTCTCAGGCGTCCGGTCAAGTTGAGAGATCCATGGGATGTGGTCAAAGAATTCGGGTCCAGCAAGAGGGGACACTGGACACTCTGTTCGCAAGCAATGGCGGCGTCGAGGAGAGCGGACGGAGTTGAACGTGACGTTCCGACGTCTCTTGTTGTTGACCGAGCTACACGAAGGTGTAGGCTTGGACGCCTAGGGTCGCGTCAGTGAACGACGACACACGTCGAGTGCACTGGATCTTACCTGGGATCTGCTGGCGCGGGGATCGAAGAGATCAACGGGTGTCGAGAGTCGAGGAGGGCTGAAGAGCCGCCTTTGCGGGAGTGCGCGCTGATGGAAGCGTGATGAGTCGATGGGTCCAAGTGGACACGCGACGGCGGTTACGATGTTGTCCTGCGGATGGGGCGAGGGTGTTGCTGGTCGACGCGATGAGGAGAGCAGACGCGGGTTGAGCGCGGAGCGTGGCTGGGGCGAGACGATAGGGGCGGCCATGGCTGGGATGGCTGGGGGGTGTTGAGACGTGTTCTACAAGCGTTGAGGCGGTGGGCTACGGATACAGGTGGAGAGAACGTTGCAGTTATATGGATGGAAATCAGAGGGAAAGAATTGACATTGTCCGGGGCGCGCTGGAGAGAGGACAATGGGGAAGGTGAGATGGCGGGCACGCGAAGGCAGCGAGCCTAAAGAGGGGCCGAGAAAGCCGCGCGCCGGGCAAGCGGTGCGGATCTGCCAGACGCGGTTGTGGCGACTGCAATTATCGGCGTGTGAACGGAACACCCGCGAGATGGGCCGATGCGATGGCTGCGATGCGCACACAAGCGGCGCGAAGAAGACGAGCTGGGACGAGGTTGTCAGGGGCTGCTGCGAGCGGGGGAGCAGAGGGGCGCGTGTGTCGGCGGTCGCGTTGCGGACGCGAGTCAAATATACGAGGCCGTGGTGGAGGCGGTTGCGAGGCGAGCAGAGAACTTGCAGAATTTTGGAGAATTTTGGAGAATTTGGAGAATGCGGCGCGTCCACTGGGCCCGCGCGTCGTCACACCCTGATGTCACGCGTCCCGCCGGCAAGCAAGATCTCCCCGATCCGTCGTCCGACTCGCGTCCCATCGCGCGTCTCCCAGCATGCAGCCCGCGCGCGTATATAGTACGCCAACAATTGTCAATTGTCTGCGTCAGCACACGGGTCGCTCAGCAATTGTGAATTTGGGAGTCATCCAACACGCATGAAAACACGTTGACTCACCGTGGCACTTAGCCGCAGACTATAGCCTAACAGTCCCACGGCGTTCATTGGTGTGATAGACGTGCTAGATGCGCAGCCGATATTTTGTTTCCGTTGAGGACACCTGCGCCACCACTCCATCGCCCGAATGGAATTCTTGGGATCCATCATGGAGCGGAGCGCGACCGGACCAGAGCGACGGACCAGGCGGAGGATGACTGAACTAGCACGGGGATCACGGCATGACACGTCCTCCAGAAATGTTAGTCTGTAGACGCCGAAGGTCTATAGCACGGCACGCACCGTGGGCACGAGGCTCTGGGTCGGCCGACTCTACATGTACACGTGGTTCCAACTGCGTACTCACGCCGCTGCGACAGCTGGGCGATCGTACGCACCTACCGCCGCTTGCTAGTTGGCATCGATCGTGCGGAGAACTTTCACCTGCGTTGTCCCGACATCTACAGAGGTCGCGCCCGGTCAGTGAACGGATACAATCTCCGCCCAAACAGACTTAAGTTGACATGGAGACATAGTAGCAAATCGGCGTCATGCATAGTATCGCATACAGGACTCTCCATCGTACGGTGGACGTCCACTCTACTAAGCGCATGCTAGTGCACCGCTTGTGGCCGACGTCGTGCGCTCGCCGCTGCAACTCCTCACTGACAGTGACCGGAGAAAGCATTGCGGCGCTCGACCGGTGGATCTCGTCAACACTCAACCGGGGACTTACCTTGACGGACACACTGCGAGGAGAACATCTGTCTGATCTCTACGTTACACTGCCCACGCGCGACGCTGCCAAACTGAGGCAGCCATATCTGTGCAAGACAGGCCAAAGCCTGGGCTACGGACACCACCTTGTCTTCTTCCACCCCCGGAATCCCGAGCGCGTTCTGCGGTGGGACGGTACGGATGCCGACTTCTGTCCACCGGAGCCGTTCAGCCGGCGCATGTGGGCGGGCGGCAAGATGAAGTGGAACGAACCGCTGTCCGTTGGCGAGAAAGTGATCGCAACGAGCACGATTGCCTCCGTGGAAAAGAAAGGATTTGAGAAAGGCACGCCGATGGTGTTCGTCAAACAGAAACTCGAATACCGGAGGAAGCATGCACAGCATGCCGCCATCGAGGAGGAACGCTCGCACGTCTACCTCACTGCCCCGGGTAACAGGCGAGGAGTCAGGACGGGTGCGCCATTACCATCGCAGTCTATTTCATTCCTCGTTGATTCAGTGGTCTTGATATCACAACAGTTGACGGCGTACCTGGGGACCCCGATTACCGATTCGAATACCTACCGAGTGCCACCACTCTGTTTCGGTTCTCCGCTCTAACTTTCAATGGGCATTTCATCCATCTGGACCGTGAATACGCCGCAACGGAGGGATATCCTGGTGAGCCGGAGCAAACAGCCTGTACCCCGGACAGCACTTATAGTCCTGCAATAGAGCGACTTGTACACGGGCCACTCACCGCGCTCATGCTCCTCGACGTATTCTCGATGCAGTTCCCGGATAGCATGATCAGCAGCTTCGAATACCGAGCTGTAAACCCTTTGATCGTCAATCGCAAGGTTGCAATATGTGGCAAGAAACATACAAGCAACAACACAGTGCAGGTGTGGGCGGAGGACGTTGAGACAAAGGCAATAGGCATGGTCGGCCAGATCAACTTGCACAATAGCGCCTGAGCACCATATGTGGGTGTATCTGTAACGTCGTGTACCACCGAAATAGTGTTCTCCATCGTCGAGCGTCCCGGAGTGTGAGGAGTGAGGAAGCCGCAGACATGTCGATCGCCGCGACAGCGGTGAGCGCTTGAGCGCCGACCGATCTCGAGACGCGTTGAATGATACACGATCACGTGGTTACGCGACTGTGGCTTGTTTAACGCGTTACCACGTGATGCACGTATACCTGTGTTTAAAAGGATTCAGCGCGCCGCGACCGCCTCTCAACCTCTCTTGTCCGCCCTCCATCATCATCACCCTCTCACTCTTCCTTATCAATATCAAGTATGTTTCCCCAACTGTATAACGCTGCGTCCTATTGACAACACTCGCGTAGACAATAGCAATGGCCCCCAAGGTGAGCTGACCTAGCCACATCGGAAACTCGTGGAAGGGTAACTCAACGCGTCCATAGCCTGTTTCCACTGCCTCGAAGGCCCCTGCCTCTACCACCGCATCCAAGGCTCCCGCTAAGACCGAGAGCAAGGCCGCGAAGAAGACTGCAACCAAGCCGGCGGCGGGTGGCGACGGAGAGAAGAAGAAGCGCCGCAAGGCGCGCAAGGAGACGTACAGCTCGTACATCTACAAAGGTACGCATGTCGAATGTCGTGATGATTGGCGGTCGTATCTGACACGTTGATGACGCGTTGTAGTCTTGAAGCAGGTGCACCCCGACACGGGTATCTCGAACAAGGCTATGGCTATCCTCAACTCGTTCGTCAACGACATCTTCGAGCGTATTGCGACGGAGGCTTCCAGTAAGCCCACTCTTTCAATGTTCGATGCCTAGCTCCAGCAGGCTCTTGCAGAGCTCGCGTCGTACTCCAAGAAGTCAACCATCTCGTCGCGAGAAATCCAGACTGCTGTTCGCCTCATCCTCCCGGGTGAGCTGGCGAAGCACGCGATCTCGGAGGGCACGAAGTCTGTGACAAGTGAGTCGTCCATACATCCGCCACGTACGTCGTATGCTCACGACGTGTTCAGAATTCTCTTCGTCACAGAAGTGATCTGTATTATACCGGTTTACGTTGTCTATCTCATGTCTGTATTTCTACACTATGGTACATTCCTAGGCCTATGACGTCGAGCATATGAAAGATTTCTGTGGTTCATCGGAGTAGCAGAGCAACTGAAATATGTGAATGAGGCAGTATATTGTATGACTGCGAGCTGCTCAGAACCCTGGTTGTGGAGTGTCAGTGCGAAGGTTGACCGGGGAGCTAGGGTTGACTTACCATACTTATTGCCTGCCTCCTTCCTATTCCTCCGTCCCTGCGCGATCCTCTCTTCCAGAGCATCCCGATTCTGGTACGCCTCTGTGAGCAGTGTGGACAGTTGATGCCGAGTTCGTGCTCTGCCACCAAGAGCGGCACCCTGCAATAGGTTTTAGCACAGTCGTCGTGTAGAGCGGACAGCGGAATCTTACCTTGACATTCATCTTCGGTGCAGCAGGCACATCCGCTCCACCCGTCGTCAACGCCTTCTTCTCTTCTATCTCCTGAATCTCCTTCTTTGCCCTCTCCATCTCTGAGATCGCGTTGACCTCCTGAGCGCCCTCGGTCTCGAGGTCCTCGAAGCCTTTGCCTGCGCCTTTCTCCAGCGCACGCACGTGGTTGTCGTAATCCTTCTTCCACTTGTCGTAGAATTTGCGGTAGTATTCGGGATCATACGCAGCCCAAGAGCCAGAGGGTAACATATAGTAGCCAGGATACGGGTCCTGGGGCGTAGGATCTGGAGGGGCGAAGTCCTCTACCTTGGGGGCAGACGAGACACCCGGTATCAGAGGCAGTTTCGGTGCAAAGGATGATGGTACGAAGGGTGTGGGGCTTGAAGTAGATGAAGATGCAGCAGGCGAGCCTACAATATCGTGAACAATCAGGAGCAATGTGGATCCCGGGATAAAACACACCTAATGAGAAGAAGTCGACGGCCGGGGCCGAAGTAGCAAAGCGAACCGCTATCGGTCGCTCTGCCCTTTCCTCCACAGACACATTTGCCTTGCCTTTGACAAGAGACGGCGGCAGGAATGGTAGCGAAGATGTCGCCTTAGGTGGCTCTGGTTCGTCAGCACCGTCTGCGGACACATCCTGGTCATCCTGGTCATGGTCGGGGACGTCCTCTACGGTTGCCGACTTGGACGACCGTACCGACCCTGTGTTGAATACGAGGCCAGGTCCACGACCGGCGCCGAGCACACGCTCCGGAGCAGCAGGTACTGGCGCCTTGTTCTTCGGAGCCGGCAACATGGATAGCAAGCCTGACGAGCGTGCCCCAGGCTCTATGCGAGCCTTCTTCGTAGGCGGTCCGTCATCATCATTCTTATCATCTTCTGGGGGTAGCTCGGGCAGGCCAATGGTTATCTTCTTTGACCGTTTCGTTTTTGGAGGAGGTAGCGAGAGACCGCTTGCAGATTTGGAGCTCGAGGCAGTAGCGCTTGTTCCATTGGATGGCGGCGGGAGGGCGATTGACGACTTCTTCGTAGGTGGGGGAAAAGATGCGGCTAGAGATGACTTCGAAGTGGTCTGAGTAGTCTGAGTCTCGTTGTCGCTGTCGCTGCCGTAGCCTTCGACGCCGAGCATGGCGGTGAGCGTCGGAGTGAAGTCGAGTATGGGCGTCTGCCTGACGCAAGCGCGTGATCAAGCACCTTGTGCGACGCGTCTGCGACGCGCTCGCCGCTTCCAGTCGGTGGCTTCATCTTCTGCAACGACGCGACCGAGAGCCGACACAGCATAACGCGATGGCGAGCTTTGCATCCTCGCCCGCACCTCGTCGCACCGTCGCGAGACATACTCCCACACGTCAATCTCCGCCTGTTCGAAGGAAACGAGCAAGCCAAACGCCTGGACCCTCTCGCCTCGCCACTCCCTATGCAGGTCGTCATCCAGACCGCCTGTCCTCTGTCATGGACGACGAGTCCGAAAAGTCCGGCATGGACGTGGACGACGACACGGAAATTCGTGGACTGAAGCCCGAGACCATCTTCGCGAAGTCGCCGGAGCTTACCGCCACATTCTACTCTCATCTTCCAGTCGAGGTGAAGCAGGTGCTGAAAACAGCAGGTAGTGTCGAGCATTGTCCCATGTAACACAGATCATATTGAACGCTCTGGCACTCTGCAGACTTCCTCCGGGACGCCTATACTGGCACTGTGGATGCGTTCACCGGATATGCTGTGGTTTCTTCACAACAAACATGTTTTGTTTGGAAGTATGCCCAGGTATGTTATGTCCGGCTTGATACTTTTCAGTCGCGTTCTCATCAAGGAAAGGCATTGACGGGCACCCCGACTTGCTACATCTTTCTTTGCCCCACAGGTGGCACCAGCTACCCTATGGACACACCCTTCCATGTTCTTGTTCCGCATGGCCCGTCTCGTGAACCCGGACTTATCATCATATCTCCGAGAGGTCAAGTACGTTTCTGGGATGGCCTTGGTCCTGGTCTTTCTGGTGGAGATAGCTTCGCGTTTTCGATCATTGAAATGGAGGATGGTGAGACAGTGACCGCACTGACGCGCGCCGACGTATGTCTCAAGTTACCGCTGCCTGATCCCCGAGACTCATAACTTGGACTAGCCGCACACATACCTTGTCTCAACTTCCTTCGGTAAACTCTGGCGTCTCACCCTGACCGCCAGTGGGGGTGGACACAGTCTGAACTTTCACCGGTTTGGCCGCTCTCAATCAGGACTCTCGCTCACGCGTATCATTCCTGGGCTTTGGTCTGCACCCAAGCTCACACCTCAGCCGGGCTACGTGAATAGCATCGCCATTGGCGAGCGAACCTTGGATGGCTTGGGTCAAGATATCTGGGCAATTGTCGACCTGCGTGTTCAAAGGTGGAACATGTCATTCGAAGGATGGGAGGAACTGCTCCTCGAGAAGGATGTATCCGGCATCACTGGTGCGGCCATCAGACAGGCATTCCCAACTGCTCCAGCGGACGATGCAGAACTGAATCTTGAGCTGCTGGACTTGAAAATGGATGGGTGAGCCGCTGGTAATGATACTGTCATTGGAAGCTAATCATGATTTAGTTCAAAGGACCTGATCGTTCTAATATCTTATGCGGGCGAAGAAGACCCTACAGCAATGGATGTGGGCAATAACCCTAGACGAATCTACGCTATCGTTCGGCTACAAAGTACCGCAGACGGCTTCAAAGTAAAGACTGTACGAGCGGTGCCATACCAGAGTGTAAGCATGGCTGTTACAGATCAGAGGCTGAACTGAAAAATAGTCTTGTATGTAGATCTCGACCTCCGGCGCCCCTATGCACCCTCGATTACAGCGCATTCATAACGGCGAAGTGTTTGCCATCCAGTTCGGCGACGCCGTGACCATCTGCGCCATAGGTCAGTACCATCTTGCCCGTTTTGTGTTCGATCTAACGCATGTCAGATGCGGAGTATATGGACAGACTCATGCTAAAGTCTGCTACTGACCGCACGCTGGGTGTCGGGGTGATTGACGGAGAAAGCGAACTGCTTATTCTCACCGCCGCTACCTTGATGAAAGCCTACATCAATATGAAACGTGTGGCTGAATTTGAACCTAAGTAATGCAGATTACTTTTGTCCGACTTTCCCCAGCTAACACTCTTTTGGCAGGACGGGTCGGGCCGACCTCATTCAGTCTACAATGACACAAGCAATTCTCTACGGTTCTCATCCAGAGGTGGACTCGTACCTCGCTTCGCCGCCTTCATAACTCATCGTCATTTCCAGAACCCCCTGCATTTCAGTTTCCCGCCAGAGATTGACGCAGATGCTCTGATGTCTGGAGCCGAGCAACTCAGTCTAGCCGTGTTACAATCAGGTTCGACCTTTTCCAGGCTCTGATTATTGTAGACTCAATGTTCGCTTCTTCATACAGACTCAGAGATTGTGCGGCCCAATCACGATTTGCAGGCGCAGATGGTCGGCCGTAAAGAAAGACTACAGTTCCTCATCCGCTTTATCAATGAGAATGGTGTCTTAACGAAGGTGAAGATCACACTGCTGCGTGCGTTGCAGTCTCATGGACGAACGGTGGCTTTAGATGTCCCAGCGTAGCCGACAGAAGCTGGCTACAAATGACGAGAAGCTCTATGCAGCGCGTCAGCTCTGGTCCCGTCATGCAGAGTTCATTGGGTAAGGTGGACCACCATTCCTCAACAAAGCAATTCACCGATGTAACACCCAGGACGGACCATCCGCGCACAGTGTTGTATGATGCTGTGTACGCTTACATGGAGTCTGTCGAGGAGGGCTACCATGAAGACTACGTCAGGGCCTTCTTCCGACTGAAGGTCCACGACATTGGCGGCCTTCTCCCACATGTCATGGAGACTGTCCGCCAGGCGTCGCGCGAACACTCCCAGAGCCTGTTTGACGACATCTGGCAGGCGGACGAGATCGTCCTTGTAAGCATCGAGTTCATCAGGCGCATTGCACCGCTGATCGCAAAGAGTAGACGATCCTCCAGTCAGCACTTGATCACCGCGACCTGAATAAGGGGGTATATGGCCTCGAGTATCCACTCATCGATCCATGGACGAGTCATCTTACGGCATGCAACATCGTGGCGGAACTATTTGGCACTACGGACAAGCTCGTCGAAACGCCGACAGCAGATCCGGATGCAGCGGAGTCTAAGAGTCGACCAAGATCACAGCTCCCAGAGTTGGCTGTCTTGCTCTTCACTTGCATACAAGAGCACCTCGATTGGCTTAAAAGGCACGCTGCCTCATCTCTTGCGACACGCGGAGGATGTTAACGCCTTGATAGCCCCCTCGCGCATGATATAATCGCGGAAGCAGATCAGCAACAGCAGGACGTCGAGGACAAGTTCCGACAATTGCGGCCCGCCGTCCTAGAGACACTACGTAAGGTGCTCCACCGGATACACACTCGACAGTGGTATACTCACGATACTATCCCCTAGGACGACATGGATTCGCAAGTCAGGCATTCCAGCTGGCAGAGCAGTACCGGGACTTCCGCAGTCTTGCGTCGCTGTGCAACAAAGATACTCTTTACCCTCCACAGGACAACCCGAATGCGGCGCGGATCCGGTTGTACGTCGACAAGTTCAAGCAGGACTTCACGACGGAGTTGTATCGATGGTACATCGAACATGGTATGTCCCCATGTTGGCCCCTAAGAGCGCTGTATCCCGACGCGATGTCCATTCAGGGGAGTTGCGGACGCTGTTTGCGCAAGAACACGATCAGTACCTTGACGAGTTCTTCGCCGAGAACCCTCAGCCGGACATCTCGTGGGTGCATGACCTTGGCCAGGCACGATATGGCCCCGCATCGGACGCACTGCTTCATGTGGCAAGCCATGCGAGTGAGCTCGAGGTCAAACATGTAAGTTTTTCCTTGTGGTGTCCGTGACATAAGAGATCAATCGACTTTGTCTCTCCAGCTTGTGCTTAGTATCGGGAAGCTCTCGCAGCTTGCGCAACTGCACGAGGAGAACGGTATAGTCAACCAGGATGTCCTGGATGGTACGTCCGATCCTGTTGTCTCATACGTCTATTTGACCTTGGCTGCAGCGTTCCATGATGGCCTTGACTTCGTCAGCGTACATGAAACATTGCTTGAAGATCTCAAGTCCGCCCTCGCCTCTCTGCGCGGCAAGCAGCCGTTAGAGATACAGATCGAGACCATTACGCAGGCGAAAGTGTCGAAAGTGTTCGATTGCGTGGCATTGCAAAACGTACGACCTCATATAGTCACTGGTGGCTAGTGGTTGATTGTAGTCCGCAACAGGTCTTCCGCCTCCTCGTCCGCCAGCTACTACAGGGCAAGGCGTTGTCTGCAGAAGACGTTGCTGACGTCCTCAGCTTAAAGGATAACACATCGAGTCCGGAGGGTTTTGCGACTGCTCTGCAGATCCTAGCTCGCGCGCAAGTAAGTTCACAACAGTGCTCTCCAGGACATCACTCATGCCGTTTCACAGACCATCCCTGATGCGCGGAAGGTATCCGCCTTCCGCAGCGTCTGGAGGCGGATCTACATCCATGACGAGTAGGTTCATCAACATCCTCCTGTATCGCAAGCTCACCCTAATCCTTCCCAGCTGGGAAACCATCCGCCATACTGTCACCGTCTCCGACGCCGAGCTCAACGCGCGCTTCCGGGGCACCGCGCTCTACGCCGCACTCCAAGCGACGCTACTCGCGCCGCACCCGCCCACAGGCTACGTCTCCTCGCCCACCGAGGCACTCACTGTGCCCGACCCGGCCGAGATCGCGCTGCGCTGGCCGGGCATGTCGCCCGACGAGGTCGAGGCGGTTGCGGACGACTGTCTGAGGGAGGCGGAGTATTTGGGGGCACTGAACTTGGAAGGGATGTACCAGAGCATGCGGGAATTGGTTGCGGAGGATGCGGGTGCGATGTAGCCATACTTACAGCAAGTCTCGTCCCATACCGTTTGAGGCCATAGTGTACGTAGTGTCTGCGAAAGGGGAATGAACGTCTGTGTTACCCTTTCTATCCCCGTTGCTACTGTTGCCTCCCGCCCCCAAACGGATCCGCGATCCTCTCCATCGCCCTCTCGTACGCGAGCCGTGCGCCGAGGAGCACGCTCGCCCAGTTGCGCCTGCGCCACTCCACGCTGTATGCGCGTTGGCGGTCCGCCTCCTGGTCCGCCCACCGCCTGTAGAACTCGGAGAGCGCGAACTCGCTGTCCTCGGCGGAGCACGCGTCGGGGAGGCTGTCGAGGAAGGCGCGCTTCGCCGCGTTGAAGCGCAGGTTGCTCTGCACGGTCGTCAGACTGCGGTGCGCGGAGGAGGGCGGGGTGTGCTCACGTCGGTCCAGAAGACGTGGTTGTATGCGTCGAGCTGTTGTCGTTGCATCTCCCACTGATATTCTGTCGTGTCGCCCGAAAACTCCCTCAGTGAGTACGGGTGCGTGACGCCCGTGCGCGGCTCGGACACCGCATCGTCGTAGATGACTGGCCGGAGGTTCGAAATGGGATCGGAGGGCCCTATGATGTACCCCCGGATGAGTGTGGCATGGAGGCGGCGTGCGTGAGGACGGAGCCCGCGAGAGAGCATGGCCGTCCGGAGGAGGATCGACGGGCGGGGGTCATGTGATGCCGACTTGGCGGGGGACTTCAAATGTGAAGTCAAATTCATTTTGGTGAGGGCATTGGGGTCCAGACAAAATGAAGGACAGAGAGAATGCAAAAGGATACATTCAGAGGCTACGGTTCTAGGGACATGCAGACCCTGATGAACAACCCGCTACAACCTCAGTGTCCACCCGTCGCCGTCTCCGCTGTATTCTCTACCACCTCCTCGGTCTTCTGCGCGTACACAGATGTTGGCTGGAAGGCCCCGGCAGCCACCCACGAGCCCGCAAGCAGACCTAGCAACACCCAAAGGCCGCGAACCTCATCTGAGTCTAGAGTCCGGGAATGCGACTTCTCTCCAGAGGTCTCCGTCTTCGCGGCTACGTCGAAGGCCTGGTCGGCGACCTTGGAAGGCTTGAATGACGTAGGGAGGTTCAGGTCATCCACTATGTCTCGCCAGATGCTCTTGTTCTCGGACTTTGCGGGGGTTGTATCCTCCTCCACGTAGGCTTCGTCAGAGGACAGGCTGTGCGTTGGACCGCCGCCGTGGTGGGTGGCGGAGCCTGCTACGGCGACCATCTTCGGTGCAAGCGCCCCGGAGTCCGTAGAAGGCTGAGCCTTGGGAGCGGAGGCGGAGGCGCCCCAGAGGTCTGGGAGCAAGGGCTAACATGGCCGTTCCGTCAGTACTTCTTCCACGCGTCATGGGAAGCGGACGCACGATTTGTACAGGTGTCTCAGGGTCTGGCTGCGAGACGTCTGGGAGCGCGACTCTCAAGAACTCCCTCGGAAATTCCTTGGGCATCGGGGGTGGTTGGGAGGTGGACGGGATGCCTGGCACCTCTGCCGTAGATGCGTGGCGAACCTGCTTGGGGACGTTGGCAGAGACGGCGGGGCCGGGGGTGACGGACTTGTGCTGGTCATCCTGCCGGAGGCGGGTGACGAGGGTGGCCTTGTTGCCCTGCCTGGACGAGGGTGAGTGCGATACGGGATAACGCGCTGGACATACGCACAGGGAGAGGCCGCGTCTCTTGGCCTCCTTCTTGAGCTCGTTGACGGTCTCGGACTCCCATGACTTGGTGAGGAGGACCGTGGAGACGAAGCTGCGGCGGGCGGGCACTGTGCGCAGGGTGCGCTGGAGGGCGGTGCGATGCATTTTGGCAAGAGGGAGGACGGGTCGACTGTCGGGCGCGTGCGGCAGGCGTTGGTCCGCTGGTGATGTCACCGACGCAAAATGCAGCCCGAAAAAGCCGCCGATAATGCGGCCGCACGTGATCGCAGCTCGGGCCCGGACCGCTCGCCGCCGGGGAGGTCGCGCGCGTCGGGGCGGGCGTCCTCGAGCATCGCGGCGACGGCGAGCAGGGCACACTGCCGCACAGGGCGAGCAGCGACCGCGTTCTCTGGGACATCGCCATCGGGATCGCGGCTATCCAGGCTGATCAGAGGGCTGAGCGGCGCAGAGAGCGGGGAGCGGTGTGACTGGATCTCGCCTCGTGTCTGCCCGCCTCGTGTTTCCGACCCACTCGCGCCTTTTGAGGCGTACATGATCCTGGCCCGCGCTGCACCGTCCTGCAATCTCTCTTCATCTCCCACTCACGTTCCCCCTCTCTTAGGTCACGGCCATGATTCTTTCTCCAGCGTGCGTGTCCCCCGTGTCCTACCCTCCCCATTCCCGTCCGCCCTGACCCGACTTCGCCATCACAGTGCGTCAAATGCAAGCCTCCCGTCCCAGGGCTTCTGGGGCAGGTTCAAGACTCCCAAGAACAAGGAGCAGCAGCTGCCCCATAGACAGCCAGAGATGGCCCTGGCAAGGCAGCGCCTCCTCACCCTCGCCTTCGGCGACATGGAGACAATTCGGATGGTCGGTCTCGCTTAGATTTCTCGTCTAGATGCGAGGCTAACTTGCACGCCCAGCTACCGCCGACCTTCATGGTATGTCTCCCTTGGCACTCACTCAGGCTGCGATGCCTGACCAGCTGTGCAGGAACTCGACGGGCTAGCTCGAGACTGGGTCAAACCTCCCCCAGATGTCATGTACAGTCTCCGAGTGCCGACCGAGTTTGCGTCCCTTCATGCATCAGTGAGTAGCATGCGTCGTGTGCCATGACTGATCGCTGACTGTATGCGCAGCGACTGGTTGCAGGACCGTATATCTATGTGGGTATATGCGCTGTGGCGTCTCCCATATCCATGTTTACTCAACTGTCCGTGGCTTGCAGTTGACTGGAGAGGACTCCTACCAAATTGCGACGATGGGGGTGCAGGGTCTACGAGTAGAGATCGTCAGCGACGGTCCACCCCCGCCCGAGGATGAGCCTCCGTGAGTTCAGTACCACTGTTCCAAACTTCCTATAGCTCATGAATTTGCCGCTGGACAGTCCGCCGCCGTACGTGCATACTTAGTTTCTTCTAGGCGCAGATCCTGACGAACGATCTAGGCCTCCGCCTGTGCTCGAGATGCCAGCGACCTTCAGTCTGGAACTGAGTCCTGGTCAACAGGTTGCGCTAGACACAACCGTGACATCTGACGAGCTCGACATGGCGCGCATGGAGGACGGCACGACGGTTGACGGCTCCTTTTGGGGCAAGCTCGACATCGTGCACTCGGGCGACACGCACCAGATGGAGTTCTCCGGAACGCGTCTCACGAACACGGAGAATGTCTCGACGGACCTCATCGTCGACGCACGCGTCATCAACAAGCTCGCTGCGGTCGCGAAGCCCTCCACGGCCAAGTGCCATCTCAGTGTCCTCGCGCCGACACAGCAGTACGTCGACGTTGTGCTCTCCCTATCGCCCTACTGGAAGCTGGGCATCACATGGCCGCCGGCGGAGCCGGTTGACGAGAACAAGTTCAAATACTTCGTGCGCGTGCACCCCGGTGGTGCGATGGAGCATTTTGAGACCGAAACGACTGTAACGTCCCTGTATTACGAAGCAGTGTAAGTGCTTCTCGCCGATTGGGTCGGGTCCGGTTTGCTGACGCTATGCAGACCCGATCCCGCTATGGTAGAGCCGACCGAATTTATCTCTCCCAGAAATAGCTATGCAATGTCCTTCCAGGACTTCGTGCCGCATCTCTTCAACGTCATGGGCCAACTCGGCTTGTCTCTGCGCGCCCGAACCGACTTTGTCCAGTAAGTACATCGATCTTCTTTGACCGTTCCCATCCTGACGCCACTCCGTCCCGTCTTCCAGAAACAATATGAACGCCTTGACACAGCACCGGAACATCGCCTACAGGTTCATGAGCCCCGCCAAGATCGCGTCCGCGGTGGACATCTCCGTCACGGCGGAGAACTGCATTTTCACGCGGCTATTCCTGATGTTCCGCGGCGTGTCCGACGACGAGATGACCCTGTTTTCAGGCGCGGGCGAGAAGGAGGCGCTGGCGGTCAACTGGCGTGCGCACGTCGCCTGGACGGAGCACAGCAAGGACCCAGAGCAGTTCCGTGTGCTCGAGATCTCGATCCTCGAGGTGACGTAGACGCGGCGTGCCGCACTGCGCCAGCCTCATTTATTCAGTATTTTTGGTGATTGTTGTGTGTTCTCCTCGATTTAGCCTCTTGATTCTTTCTTCTCTTCGCGTCGTTGTTGTCTTCCGCTGGCATCGCATCTGTCTCCTAGGTTATCACGGCTGCTTCTCCTTTCTCCCCATCTATATTGTCCAATCCTGGTCCTGGTCGCCTCCCCATCCCCACCTGTAGTCTTATTGCTCATCTAGTCTCCGTCTTGCGCGCGCGCCTTCGGCGGTCTCGTGCGGATGCTGCACTGCTACCTACAGTGTATATCACGCTTTGGAATACGTACGTACGATATACCTCCTCCCACCACGGACAGAAGTCCCCCTGCTGTCTTCGCTGTCGTAGTAGTAATGATCATGACCATGTAGCGATTCCTTTCCCGTGTCTTCTCCTGATTCTTCTCTCCCCCCTCTCTATCTGCAGCTTCGTGTCTCCAGGGTCTCCACGCATTGTAGTGTTGGCTGGTCGAATGGTGCATCAGTGTGCTTTGGTCAGAAGCCTGGTCACTCACGAAGTGGAGGGACTGTTATGCAAAACCTCCAGGATGTGAGGTGATTCTGGATTGTACATGTCATTGGGTTGCAGGTGCGAGTCTCGTTACACAGCGTGACAGGAAAGCAAGCTACACGAAACAGCGACGATACAAATAACGATACAGGCGACATCGATTCATCACTTCCTCAACCGATCCACACCCCGCAGGTCCCCGCCCCATGTCATCTATTCCACGGCGGCGGCGAGAAGGGATGCGGACTGGGCGAGGGCGTATGATACATGTTCATCGGGTGCTGCCCCGAAAACTGAGTCGGCCCGGGCATGAGGGTCTGCATGATGCTCTGGCGGCTGTTCATCATGTTCGGAGGCATCATCTGCTGGCCGTTCATGTTCATCTGCGCCATCTGCGTGGCGACGTTGCCCACCATGGTAGGCGTGGCCGAGGAAACTGCCGTGGGCGGCGCAGGGGGTCTCCAGTTCTACACGACGTGAGTAAGGCGCGTGGTTCGGCAGAGCGGAGAGGGACTCACGTATTTTTTGCCCTCCCTGTAGAGCTCGTCTAGCTTCTCGTCGAACGTGTCCGCGGACTCGAGCGTCTGGTAGCCCTTGTACAGCCGCAAGGCCGACAGCGCGTCCTCGATGGAGTCATGCGTGTCCGTTTGGATGTTCTCGCCCAGGACGAACCAGGCGAGGAACCGCAGGGACAGACGTCGCTGTCGACTCGGCAAGAAGTACAAGTCAACTGTATCGATAACCTGTTCGGGAGGGACGAAGACGTCTGAAACGCTGTAAGCACGCCGCCGACCCTGTACTGTGATTGCAAGAGAGGAACGCACTGATTATTCGGAAGTCCTTGGACAGCCCATGACCGATGAATATGCAACCTAGGTCTACAAGAAGACGAAGCTTCTTGTACACCAGCTTCAGAGGTGTCAATGTATACCGTGTCATGTGGGGATCGAGATCACCGACTACAAACGCGTCAATGCCTAGCCCCATAAGCAGTAAACGACAGGAAGACCTACATCGTATGCCAGAGAACTCTGTCAGATAATCGACGATCACCTCACTCGTGTGGATGTGGTCGTCGATGAAGGGAAGCCCTTCACTCGGCCCCTCGCCACGCAGCACGGAGACACGCGCGAGGCTGAGACGAGCAGGGCGGAGCACCTTCTTGGTGCCGTCCGACCGGAACTCGGTCTCTTCCTGCTGCATGGACACGAACTCTGCATCGATAGCGACCAGTGTCCCGGGTTTCGGGAGTTCGTCCGGGCGGAGGGGCTTGTGCTTGACGTACTTCTTGTCTCGGGTCCTGCGCAACGGAATTTTAGAAAAATGGCACGAGGAAAAAAGGGGAGAGCACGAACATGGCGATGTTTGTGTCGCGGCAGAGAATCGAACGATCGATGGTCGTGGGCAGACCACTGAAGTCAAGTCGTTGGACCAAGTCGACACGTTCCAGGTATAGGACGCAAGGAACCTGTCAAGGGGATGAGCCAAAGCGGAAGCCCTATGAATGTTCTGTCTCACCTTCCAGTTAGACGGGAAGCTCAGCGCTTCCTCCTCAGCGATGCCACGAACGACGAAGTCGTTTAACAGATACCAGGAATAGTCATGATCCTGGTCGAACGTTCTCTCGGTGTCCGGGACTGCGGCTAGGTGAGCACCGGGTCATTGGTGTGAACGTAACACACTCACCTTTCACTATGGCCACCAAGTGCGACCCCTGGTCTTTCGTCACGACTTGCACGACCATAGCCTGCGCCATACATGAACGAGGTCAGGCACTATCGAACCGATACAAAAATAACACCTTACCCTCAAGTCGTATATGGCGCCCTCAGGGTCCTCCATCCCCTCAAGCTGACCGTGCAACTCGACAGAAGGCTTGAGGAACGTCTGGTTTCGATTGTCCCTCCAGACTTTGTGAGCTTCTTCCGAATGACATGCCGCGTTCACGGCGAGGAGGGGCGGCAGGTCTCTCGACCGTATCGACCGCTTCGACTCGAAGGTCGCGAAATGCTTGCAGGTCTGACACGTTGCCTTGTGTGTCGTTGGCCGGAGGAGAGACGTCCGAAGGAGAGACGCGAAGTCTGGATCGACGGATGGCTCGTTCGAGAGTGGCTACATGCTTACACAGTAAGTATTTTCGAACACACCCGAGGGGCAGTTCTCACCTTCCGAGGGTATATCATGTCAATGACATGTGTCATATTCTCCTTCTCTCTGACCGCCTTGCAGTTCGAGCAAGTGATGACGTTCTTGGCGTCGATACCCACCAGTTGTGTAATGGGTGCGGGTGCCGGGGAGATAAGGCCGGGCGACATCGCCGGTGAGGGGATGAGCACCGGGTTATGGGGGAACGAGTTCCCCTCCGAGCTTAGGTGGTCGACCAGGAAGCGGTGGAACGACTGGATCATATGCGCGTAGCTCAGCTCGGCTGTCTCCCGTCCGAAGTCTATTAGCTCAATGGCGTTGTTCACTGGCGAATCGTGTCAGTTACATGTCAGACGATAGACAATAGGGGCTTACTTTGTGCCAAGAAACCAACAGTCTTACAGAAGTTGCTCGCCTGACAGTTCGTACCCCGGGCGTCTTCAAGCATGCGTACCACAAAGCCTAGCTCGCACAAGAGACAATGCTCCCTCGGGCAGTCAGTGGCGATGTGAGACTTCGCGAGCTTCCGGATGGGGAGGGTGTAGTGCATGACCTGGACCATCGCGTTCGTATACGAGTTCGAGATGTGCGTCTCCAGTCCGCTGTAGTCTGTCCGGTTGTAGTACCTGGAAGGTGAGGTCAGTCTAATGCGAAAATACGTGCTGGCGAGACTTACGCGAAGTCAAAATCTTCTACACCGAACTTCGAGTACTCGATCTCAACCTTCCGGTACGGCCTCGGGATGACGTCAGGATCGTACTCGTATATCGGTGTGTCGAGTTCCGACTGAACCGCTATCAAAAGCCGTGCAGAATGAGTGAGATTATCGTAACATACCTCTTGTCTCCCTTTACCACTTCTAAACCTCCCGCCAGGCCTGCGCGGAGCGGTGACAGCAACGTTCCGCCTGCCCCGGAGCTCCTTCGGCAGCGCGGCATACGCGACGTTGTCATTGATTTTCATGGTGTTAAGGATGACCTGCGGGATCTTCGGAGGAGGTGGGTAGTGAAGTCCGTTCGATATGAAGTCAGGCGTCCATGACGAGAGGAGCTGCTCGTTGTAGTGGGGCATGCCAATGATGTTCAGGGGTCTATCATCCCGATTGAATATCTACTCCAGATGCAGGAGAAGGGACATACGCACGTCGTGTCCGTCCAATCGATCTCAGGTAAGGGTTCTGGAGTGTCTGCCCACTCTATAGGTCTCCCCTCAAAGCCATTGAAGGGAATGCTGGCGCCTTCCTCGGCGGCAGACATGAGATGTACAGCACCATCAGTGTCACCAAACGCTAGGTAAGCCCCTGTAGCTGAGACCGCTGTTGCGGTGATGTAGGAGGGCGCGTCGAGCTGCAGGCAAATTGTTGAATGCGCCTAGAGGATGCAGTCTCATACATGATTACCTGATAGAATTCATTCACGGTCGGGTTTGATGCATCGACAATGTTGACCAGGCCTTGATGCGATGTAATGGCAAGTGTAGACGGACGTTTCGGGATTATGTTGATGAACGCAGGACCGCTTGCAAACGGAAGGGGCGGCAGCGGCTTTAGCGCACGAATATCGTACACCTTCACCAGCGGGTCGGGATACGGTCGACCCTGTCTAAGATTGGAGTTGAGATACAACACTTCCAACAGACGAGTAGTATCACCTTGTGCCAAGACCAATAGTGTAGATATAGTTCCCGCTGGCTTCAAGACCCTGTATGCCGCCTATGTGGGCCCGGACAGAGTTGCCGCCGTCATGCCACATTACATTTCGAGGGTCGTGCAGCCGTAGAAAGCCATCGGATGAACCTGATACAAGATGCGTGCTAGGATACAAAAGGTGTGTTAGCACAGAGGATACAGGGGATCTTTGCACCACGGAACCCGTGTGCGAGTTGAGGATCATGAGCTCCGGAGTCGCGGTAGCGATCCCAAACATGCTGGTGGTATTGCAAGACATTGCCGTTACAGATACATTGGCTCTACTACACAATGAGGCCCGTCTCAGAGTAATTGAGGTAAAGTGAAGGCGCACCGGTGATTCCACTTGTTCACTCCGCCCTTCCCCCATGCTCCTACGCCTTCACTGGCCACCCCATACGCGCGGACATTGGAATCGCTCGCGACAATCCTCTTGACCGCGAGTCCACCCCCGATGGGAAAGGTGACACCCCGCATCCCCTGCGGGGTGTAGTACGCCGTCACGATTCCTGAATTGAGGCCAGTCCATAGCGTGTCCGAGACGGGGTCGAACGCCAAGGCAGTCACGGGCAGCGGAAAAACATCGCGTTGGTAGGTTATTGGCGCAGTCTGGCGATACGTGGTCGCCATCGCTGTCAAGGTGGGAGAAACGCCAGCCTCATGAACGAGGAGGGAGAGCGGTAGGAACAGCTGAGGGCAGGCGCAGACAATGGAACGCGCACGAGTCGAGTGAAACAATTGTAGCGGCGTGTGCGCGGATCTGCCATGATCACGATCATCTCAAGGAGATCTCATTCTCTACCGCCATCACACTTCCACAGCGCTACTATCCTACATCCTATGTACGGACTTCCTTCTCGTCGTGTATGCGACCTCCCTCGTCAAGTCAGTTGTATGGGGCCAGCAGCTGGTGCGTAAGACTGATAGTGGCTATCTCGCGGATGTCCTTGAGCTGCTGGATGGCCTCCGGAACCGTCTTCACCGTGTTCCAGTGAGCCTAGCATGCGAACTGCACATTCGTAAGTGTCCCCACGGCCGCGACAGAGCCACTTACGTCCACAGAGGTCCAACCAATAACCAACCCCAGCGTGTCATCCTTCTCAACAGTCGGACCCCACACTGCAGAGATCGCACCGTAGCTCTCGGGCAAGGCATTGACGGCCTTCACAAGCTCGTCGACCTTGGTTTCGAGCGTCTCCTTCGAGACACCGGGTTTGACCGTCATGTACGCGAGTTCGGTTGCAGGGGCTTCCAGGGCCTTGTACGGCTCAGCGAGCGGTTGGATGTGGATGACGTCGGGCGCACCGCCCATGAATCGTCCGCAGTGTTGGCCGAGAATCGGATATTGCACCGAATCGGCCCGCAGGTTCAGATGGTCCTGCAGCTCTTCCCAAACTACGCGCATGGTGCCGAAGTCGTCAGCCCGGATCCATACATGACAAGATATCCGTCCTTACCATTGTAAACGTAGACTTGCTTGGGGTCTTCCGTTTCCTGCCCATAGTAGATCCTGGTCGTTGATCAGCTTCTCGTCGATCTCACATGAAAGATAGGGCACGATCGTACTTGATGAGGCCCTTGCTGCTCTTCAGAAGATCAAATGCAGGTTGGACGAGGCTCTTGTCCTTGGGACTAGCCAAGAAGGCCTCGGCCACTGGCGCAACAGCGACTTCGATGCAGGGCAGTGCCATCTTTGTTCAGTGAATAGTGCAGCTGCTGGGAATGCAAAGACGTAGGGTGCGTCGGTTTCACGACTGGGAGGAGTTATATATACGTGGTCTGCTGAGCTGTTCTGAGTTCAGAAGGCGGCCGGCTGAGTCACGGGAAGTCGAGACACCAACATTAGCAGCATGCGTGAGTCGAATGAGACGATTTGGCATCCGAGTCTGCCCTGATTACGATCACCTCACCTGGACGATCTGCGGCCAGATCGCCACACTATCATCCGACACTGAGTACTGAGATTCCAACACATCCGAGGAAGGCTTCCTCTCGAGATACAACAACCTGAATATCCTACATCCTTCATGATTCCTCACGTCCCTTCCTGCTCGCCACAACCCGTCAGTTGTATGGCTCCAGCAATTGGTGAGTGAGGCTGATCGTGGCAATCTCACGGATATCCTTCAGGAGCTGGATGAGCTCTGGTACAGTCTTCACCGTATTCCAGTGAGCCTGCGATACAAAGTCAATACCTCAATAATCCCCATGGCCTAGACAGATACTGGCACTTACTTCTACAGAGGTCCATCCAATAATCAACCCCAGTGTATCGGCCTTTTCTACCGTCGGTCCCCACACAGCAGAGATCGCACCGTAGCTCTCGGGCAAGGCATTCACTGCCTTCGCAAGCTCATCAAGCTTAGTCTCGAGCGTCTCCTTCGAGACACCGGCGTTGACGGTGATGTACGCAAGCTCGGTCGCCGGGGCTTCCAAGGCCTTGTATGGCTCGGCGAGAGGCTGAATGTGGATGACCTCGGGCGCACCGCCCATGAACTGCTTGCAGTGCTTGCCGAGGATGGCGTGTTGCACCGGGTCCGCCTGCAAGTTCAGGTGGTCCTGCAGGTTCTCCCAGACTGCACGCGCGAAGGGAATGCGGTAAGCCCGTGCCTTCTCGCCCCCGATCGTGACATATGATGGTTCACACTCACCGGGATAGACGTGGACCTTCGTGGGGTCTTCGGTCTGTAGCCCGTAGTAGATCCTGTCAGCGTTCGTGATCAGCGCTTCAGCGACGAGCGTCACGTCGATCATGAGTCTAAGGAAGCTTAGTCCTACTTGATCAGACCCCTGTTGCTCTTCAGGAAATCGAAGGCAGGCTGAACGACACTCCTATCCTTAGGACTGGCGATGAAGGCCTCATTCGCCGGCACGGTCACGACTTCGATACAGGGCAGAGACATTCCGGGTTTACCGGGTTATGAGGCTGGGAATGGCAAAGTGTACGGTGCGTACTAGTAGGACATATACGCGACTAGGGTCTCCCGCTTATAAGGTGTTCCGAAAGCTAGCTGTGTCACGGGCACTGGCACTTGGGATATACTCATGCAATGGGCTCGATTACTGATATGCATACCGGTCTTTGTGAAAGGATGACTGAGCCGCTGCACAGTCCCCTGGGATGATAGGCCCATATGTATGTCCACGGACTCGGCATTCCGTTCCGCGGTGCCACGGTGGATTGAGCCTTGGGTCCGACGTCTTCCCAGTGTCCTATTGCACTAACAAGAACCATACACTAGGCCACACCCCCTAGACAAGTTAGGAAATGTATGCTCGCTGCGCTCGCAATGAATGCATCGTTCGAAGTCGTGGTTCGCGACACCGCTGTACATTCAATTTCAAAAAGGAGTTTGCCCCGAGCAGCCCTTCACAATCAGTCAGAGATCATCCGTATGTTAATCATGAACTTATGTGGCGTCGTTCCGCTGAACCTTCCATTCAACGTGAGGAGGTTTCCATTTAGCCAGCGACACTGTAATCTAACCGTGATAGTACTAGTACGGCATCATCTCAAGGGCACTGAATCTACAAGCATAACGACCGACGACGATAAAAGTAAACGCATGGGCCCCAAAACTATTGTCAGAGGCTACGAGACTACACCCTCATCTGCTACTTGCGAGATAATCTCAACAATTCGACTAAACCAGCCATTGATGAGGCCATCGCTCGTACGGCGTGCGTCCCACTTGAGCTGGAGCTTTAGCCTGTCGTCGAACGTATGCAACAGGAAGTTCGCGACCCGCGGGTCGACCTTCCCTGCCGAAATCTGGTCCAAGATGCGGATCTCCGCGCTGTGACTCGTCGTCCCGTTCGTGGTGCCGTTTACATGAGCTGTCTTGATGGGATAACGGATAGGCAGGACGCTCTTGAGGTTGCCCATGCTGCTCATGTATGGTATGCTGGGTTTGCCTTGAGCCATGTAGTTCTCGATGGCGATCGCACCATAGAATCGACAAAAGTGCCAGAAGTAGGGCGAGTTCACGAATGTTTCGCTCCGCTCCTTGTATTGTCGCGCTGCGTCCCAGAGCGCGTCACTGCCGGCGGACTCCAATGCAGCAGCGCGGGGGACGGACATCACGACTGGGTACATGATGAGGCGGGTGGCCGTCTCCATCTCTCCATTGCTCGTCACGCGGGGTACCTTGGTGTTCAAGTCCAACGCCGAGAGGCATTCGAAGTAGTAGGACTCCTCGTCGCTGGAATCCTCATTAACGTGTGCTGCTCTGGGGTGCTGCACGGACGCGAAGGCGCCAGCGACGCTCGCAAGGTGGGTGATCGTGACGCCCTGCGCCTTGCAGGCCTTCAGGATGCGTGTAGTGTCGTCCGCCGACCACGTCTGACGCACGAGGCGAGGTTGGGGGTTATCCTCCGAGATGAGGACGGCAGGAACAAGGCCGGACAGCGACTGGCGAAGCTTGTTAGCATAGTGCGGCATGAGGGACGTCCGTAGAAGCTTACCTTGTTCCTGAACTTGACGAGCTCATCGAACGCAGCCTTCGCTTTCGCGAGTTCGCTCGGGGAGATGTCGTCCATGTCAGGATAGAGGTCGTTCAAGGACGGGGGGATCCCCACAATCGGCGTCTTCCCAGCGAAGTGCGCGGCGAGCTCACGCTGCGCGCGCCCAGGGGTGGCGAGCAAATCCAGTATACAGCGAACGAGGTTCAACCGGCACCGGCCGTCGGTGATGAAGTGTGGCGTCATCAAACCCAGGATGTACTTCCCAGAGCGCGGATCAATGTCGCGCCCCCAGCAGAGGGAGCACGTCCCGTTACGCAGATCGAGCGCATCCTCAGGCTTCACGGAGAACCAGTGATCGTGGAGGGCTTCCGTGGATGTGCCCTGGTCGTGGAATGCGTGAAACTCGATCTGAGCTCTAGCCTCGCGAAGGGCGTGCGCCTGAGTAAGGGGGGAGGTGTATACGAGCTCCGGGAGCTGTGTGGTGCTGTACGCGACCTTAGACGCGAGAAGGGGGTGACGTAGGCGGAGTGCGGCATAGGCCTGCACGACTTCGTCGTCGGTGATGGTGTGTTCGCCAGAGCAGGCGAGAGGGACGATGGAAAACGAGTCGATGTATCCGCGCGAGCCACGCATGAGGATATAGCCCAGTTCGGCGGCCCCCACTGGCCTGCTGAAGGTCGTCGTGGATTCACGGAGGTGTACGTACGGGGGCTTTCCGTCGGCGGGGAACAGCGATTGAAATCCAGTGGATTTGTCGGGAGCTTCGGAAGCCATTGCTGCAGGTGCGCGTGCTTGTGGGTGAAGCAGCGGCAGAGCTGGAAGGCGGTCTTATAGCGAGAGCCTCGCAGTGCGTTTCAGGCGTTCAGCACACCGCATCCTCGGGCGTGAAACAAACCCTGAACGCGCGCTGCACTTTCACACACAGAGAGGACGCTTCTTCCTAGCAGGGACATCAGAACTCTGAGGCAGTGTCCACCTAGTACTCTCACATACTACAAACCTCCACTTCCGTAAATTGGTATAAATTGGCGATTGGCCATTGATACCAACTACCCATCCGACTGGCTTTCATATATCCTGACCCTACAGCCTGATGAGGACACGGTGACAATATGTAAAACCTAGAGCGGCCAACCTGTTATGCGAGGATGCAATCAAGGACGTACCTGACAATCCCCGACTCCTCTTCGGCGCGGCGCCCTCTGTCAGGTAGAAACGCTATTCCGCCCGCGATGCTGTACGAGATCTCCGCCCATATACGGTACGCGTGATACCACATAGGGAAATTGTCCACATCGGATTGTTATACCCGCGGGATGCCTGAGCGCGGCCCAATAACCTCAGAATCATACTACCGATATTCATGGATCCCGACACGGACAAATTGAGGTCATGCAAGCCTCTTTCATTCTTGGCGACATTCATATTCAAGTCTGAGAAATCCAAATGAATCATCGTGACAGTAAACCATATTGTCTCTACCATTACAATCGTTTTGCCTCTGTACTCCCGTCTCAGCAGACGGTCTGTAGACATCCACTTTGCCTTACCATTTCCAACGGCCGGCTCAGCCAGTAGCTCGTTGGCGTCTACGCCGTCAAAGGGGTCTTCGCCATTAGAGCGAGGATGTCGTAGCCAATGTTGGCGGCAGCGATCTGCGTGATCTCGTCTTGAGTGTCGTAGCCTGCACGATACCATGGAGGTAAGTCTAGAGATTCATGTCTCATCTCATAGATACGTACCAGGTGCAACCTCTACGATGTCTGCGCCGACGATCTTCAAGCCAGCAAGACCCTGCATGATCTTCTTGATTTCCTACAGTTGGGACAACGTCAGGTACGACTCCCTACTTGTGATCCATTGATGTTTACCCTTGTAGTGATACCACCGATTTCGGGGCTATTGAACGAACAATCAGGTGAGGAGCGATACGATAACCTTGTCATCGCTTACGTTCCAGTGCTGTCAAGCCCAGGAGACCGTTAGCGTCGCGTATGATTTGGCGCAAGGCGAAAGGACATACGCAGGGGCCATGCCAGGGTCAATAACGTCAATATCCAGAGTGACTAGACGTAGCTCGTGAACATTAGCCTGAGGCTGCTCAACTCGAAGGAGAGCAGCTTACGGTATACAGGGTTGTCCCCCACAGTGTCCCGGATCTTCTTCACAACACCTCTCCAGCCGACCTCCTCGAGGTCATCGGCGTGCGAGATGACGAAGCCAACCTCGTAATCGTTCTCGTAGTCGTCCCAGCTGCTGAGAGCGCCCCGGATGCCGACGTGCTGCAATCAAACGCGAGTGAGTGACGATCAGGCGTAGCTGAATGCAATCACTGACGATGTTGGAGTTGTTGGGTGCCAGGAGACCCTCGTTATGCGCATACCAGAAGTAGCTGCCATGCGAGACAGGAACCTCCTCACCCGGAAGCCATGGGCTACCGCCCCATGCCCTCGGCTTCCATGTATCGATGTGGCTATCAAAGTGGATGACGCTATCACAAAGGACGTCAATCGTTTGTCGCAGTGAACGCAACGGACAAAGTCTACCTGACAGGGCCGTAGACCTCCGCAACACCACGGAGCAACGGGAGAGTGATTGTGTGGTCACCACCGAGGGTCAGCACACGAGGGTGGTACTTGCCGTCCTTCGCGAGACTGGTGCCCTCGAAGGAGCGGAGGCTGGTCTTGGAGAGCAGCATTTTGTTTGCAGCTTCGAGCTGGCGCAACGCGACCTTGTTGTCGGTGTAGACCATTGCTAAACGGCCATGCTCAGTGATGAACGTGTATAACGGGTTGGACATGCACTCACGAACGTCGCCGCAGTCAACTATGTCCAGGTAATCGGAGACACGGATCTTCATGGGCACGTTAATCCGCTCGATGCCCAAGCGACGGGCACCTTGCCGAATGCCATTGGGGCCGAACCGTGCTCTGCGTCCGTGTAAACACTCTGGTACTGGTTTGACACTTGAATGACTCACCCAGGTCGGAAGCTTGTCGCAGTGTCAAATGGAGCACCTATGGAGGACACCCAGTGAGCGAGGGCACTTGTATGGCCAAGCGAACATACCGATGACAGCGACATCATACGGGCTCTCCGAGTCTACACCGAAGCACCTGAGAGGCGCGGAACGCGCAAAGGTAGTGAGGCCGTTCCAGGACTCCCTAGTCCATGCCTCCTGGTAGATACCCTCCGACGAGAAGAGCTGCGTGAAGTTGACCGCCTCAGGCTCTTTCTCGTACTCCCACGGCGGTGACGCTGGCATGACCTGTTGTTGTCCGAGGACATGGGAGCTCGCAAGCACCAGAGCAAGTGCTACAGTTGTCGTGAGCGTGGAGAACATCGCTACGGAGGGAGACCAGCGGGGACGACTCGGATGCGACCGCCCTCGGTGCTCATTTATGAGCTCTGCTAGGGCGATAAGCCGCGTCGCAAGCCAGATAGCGGTATGGTATGCAGTGCATGCCTTTTTTTTTTTTTTTTTTTTTTTTTTTTTTTTTGGATGGCTTTATATGGACCTTGGCGCACGACAATTGGTCGTCCCCTACAGTCCAGCCAGCGAGCGGGCAGCGCCCGCCAATGCTTACCAGGGAAAAATGCAACTTTACGCACGACTCTTTGGAGCCAGTGTGGGACTCTGTTACCCGTGATCGTCATCGATCCGACAGACTTCCGGGTCAATACCCACTAAAACCCTCGGGACAACGGTCCAGTCTTCCGGGAGGCCGAGCTCATCTCCGATAGTCGCAGTCCAGGTGGACCAGACAAGTATCCGGGAGGTGGCCAGGCCGCCAAAGCTTCTTCTGGTGGCGACCAGATCAAGCTGTAGCCTCCTGTTGATGGAGGCATACCATCGCCGAACCACGGCGGCAGATGAATGTTGCCATCCCGGGTCGTCCCCGTGTTCAATCACTCTCTCGCAGCGTAACTTCCAGATAAGGTACGCCGCTTCGGATACCAGTATTCTCCATAGCCGGGAGAGGGATTCTCTAGGCTTCGTCTTAACGTTGCGCGGGTATTGACCTAGCCCCGCGGCCAGGATGTCGTCCAGTGTTGGCTGCCGCCAGTCTTTGGATCGTCGGCTCCATATATTCTTGGTGAGTGTCCATATTATGCTTTGGCCCCGGGCGGTGCATCCCGCCTGGATGTGCTGCATCGACTCTCTGCATCCACATGTGGGGCAGTCGGCCCGTGATTCGAAGCCTTGGATGTGGGACCAGAAGCTCCCAATTTTATGGGCTTCATGCATGCATTTCCATAGGAAGTCTACGATCTTCTTGTGGAAGTCTTTATGTCGGATGCTTGTCCACAGTTCAGCTGGTGTGGCTGCGCGCGTTCCTCCCACTTTGACGTTTACAATGGTTCGTTGTACCTGGGTTGCGGTGCGGGACCGGTCATGGATGCGGAGGTTGTCTCGTATCCCTCGATACGCAATTGCCTGTGTGAGCGTCGTCATCTTTGCTCCCGACAGCTCAAAGGCGCGGTTTACACTAAGGTCAACGGGGCGCATCCGCTCTTCTTGAAAGTGTTTTTTGGCCATGTCATGAGCGTTATTGCGAGCTGTGAGCTCGTCGGTTGACGAAGGCGCGCTGAAGATAGTTGGGGCGCACCGCTGTCGCAGGTGATTTACCAGCGCTCTCAGCACCGCGCTGCCGGCAATTCCGATCCAACCTCTATCCTCCCAACGGGGGAGACGTGTTGTCATGTCCTTGGCCAGCTTCATCGAGGAGCTCGGGAGGATGATGCGGAGAGGTGCATCTCTCGGCGTGTCTTTCACTGCTTGGAGGGCAGCCACCGCTTCTCCCAGAGGGTGGCGTATCGGCTGTCGCGCGTCACCGCCTGGGTATACGAGAGATCCAAGGCCTTCTTCACTCGGGCCGTCCTCGCTCAGGGAGAAGACGAAACCGTAGTCAAGGGGCATGGGTTCCGCCTCTCGGGGGAAGAAGACTTTTGCCACTGGGCCGAGGATATACACCGTCCTCGCCTCGTCTTCCACGATACGTCCACGCTTGGCCCGAATCGCCGGGGGCTCATTATGAACGTTCGGGTCGACAAAAACTCGGAAGGCATCCGCGACTGGGCCTCTGCTCGTGAGGGAGGGGTCGAAAATGATCTCGCCTCCGGATTCGAGGGCTTCCTCGTTCCGACCCCTGCGACGGCGCGTTAAGGTGAGTCCGTCTCCAGGCGATGATTGGTCTGGGTGCCACTTTGGGCGTACTTGTAGTAGGAGGAGCGCGGCGGCTTGGCAGCATTTCTGTGGATGTTTACATCCACGATTGGAGTCCGAGATACAGTCCTGGCATTCGCAGTCCTCAGGTACGAAGTCATTTGAAGCCGCTCTTGCCGCTTTAAAGCAGGCCCGATGGGTCAGTTTCAGTAGGTCTGCTACTCGGAAAACGTCGTGCTTGTCGCGAAGGCAGTCGCTGACTTTGGAATTGTTCAGCAGCCGAAGACGTTTCAATGCGCCCAGGTGATACCAGATTGGTAGGGATTGCTTCATGTTCGCGCTTAGCTTTACCGCCGCGAAGCTCACATTGAATTTCTTTGCCGTGGACAACATTCTCTTCAGGTATTTCGGAAGGGAGGAGCGGTTGTGTAGAGCGGGGGACCACGATTGTAGGAATGTGTTGATCTGAGCGTTCCTTCGGATGGCCCCCGCATCCTTGGATACAGCCTTACTGAAGAGGACGTCAACTGCGAAGGCCCATCGGGGCCTATCTTCGGTGAGAGTCAGGTATCTCTTGACCCACATGAGTTCTATTGCCTCGTTTCTCGATGTTATGTCCAGGAGGCCAAGGCCCCCCTCCACTATGGGACGTGTGAGCGTCGACATCGCGACAGGCGCCGTTTTCGCGCCGTCCCAGATGAAGGAACGGATTTTCGCCGTCAGGGCGTCTTCCGTCGACTTCGGCATTCCTTGCACAGCTGCCAGGTATTGTGTCATGCCACCTGGACCCATTTGGACGATATGGCGCTTGCCGGTGAGGGAGGGGTGGCACTTGCCCCATCGTTCCAGGAAATTGTCCACCTTTGTCAGGGTGGGCGTCCACATCGCTACTTGGTCTACCGTGTTACCTATCCATGCGCCAAGGATGCGCACTGCCTCTCCATCCCTTGCAATTCTAATGTGTTCTGGGATCCTGTCCTCAGGGCGCGATGGGTCTATGCACCTTGTAGCTTGCAGGGATTTGCGGTACTCCTCGGTGCCTACCGGGACGACCTCCGTTTTGTCGTCGTTGAACTTCGCTCCCGAGGCTGTGCACCACACTTTTAACGTGTTCCACAGGAGGTTCCAGCTGTCCTGTTCGCACAGGAAAGCGGACGTGTCGTCGGCGAAAAGCGTGGCGATCAATTTCTCTACTACACCCGGTATCTGGAACCCTCTGAGGGATGAGCGACGTAAGGCACATGCCAGGGGTTCGATGGCCAGGTCGAACAGTAAGCATGACAGAGGGTCGCCCTGGCGGACCCCTCTGAAAACCCTGAACGGTGAGCTCATTTCGCCGTTAAGGATGACGACCGTTGATGCATCCGCGTACAGGCTGCGTATGCGTTTAATGAAAGCGGCGGGAAGGCCGAATTTCTCTAGCACACGCCATAGGTAGTCATGCTGGATCTTGTCGTAGGCTTTCTCCTGATCGAGGGCGATGATCGCACCATTTTCTTCAGTCGCCTCTGCGTAGTCGACCATTACACGGCACATTTGGGTTTGGTCTGTTATTAGTCTTCCAGGTATAAAGCCCGCCTGGTCGGGGTGGATGATCTTCGCGGCTTCTCGTCCCAGCCGGCACGCTAGAGCCCTTGTGTATACCTTGTAGTCTGAGTTCAGCAGGGTAATCGGGCGATAATTTGCGATGTCACGCTTATCCTTCTTCTTGTAGAGGGGACACATCCAGCCATCTGCAAAGCCTGTACCATTGCAGATGCCATACCTATCGATGTCGCGGTACAGCAAGCGCATAAAGTTAAGACAATTGAACTTATGCTTTGTTTTCGATGTACACCATGTCCACCGTTCGTGCAAGGTGAGCCACAGTTCGTATGGGATACCATCAAGGCCTGACGCTTTACCCGGGCCAGCCTTCTTTATGGATTCCAGGATCTCCTCCTCAGAGAGTTCCGGAGTTAGGCTTGCTGCATCTTCTGTTGGGAGGTGCGCGGTTATCCCATTGAGGGCTGATAGAATGGACGCCTCCCGTGTCCTAGATGTCTCTGGCGAGTCTTGGACAGAGTCGGCAACTTGTAAGTTGTCGTGATAGTTTCTTGCCAGCTCAGCCATATCTCGTGACTTGGTGGCATATCGTATTGGTGAGGAGTTCGGGACTTGCAGGGAGTAGAAAAGGTCTCGTGGCTTCCTTTCTTTGTTTACCGCAGACCAGTACTTACTCGGGCATTCAGCGTTGAGGATGTACCTCGCGGTTGTTGAGGCCTGTACCTGGCCGTGGCGTTTCCGTTCTAGGCCATGCAGTCTGTCGCGCAGAATCCCGACTTCTCTTTGCTGCTCACTGTCATTACTGAAGGAGGTGGACGAGCTTATGGTTTGTATGTGATCGCGGGTCTTGCGGATGGCTGCTTCCAGCTTGGGGACCTTCTCTCGCATCCTCCTCCTTGCGGCGGCTCTCACTTCGTCTTTAAATTCCTTGAACAGGGTCTGCGGATTCGCATCGTCGGTTCTATTGTCACCGACAGCTCCTTTGGCCTTTTCCCACTTCTCTTCGCCCAGGCGGACAGCGGTTTCCACAAAAGTCGAGTCTGAGAGTAGCGTGGCGGGCATAGCCCATCGTCCTTTCCCGATGTAGGGGGCGGCTGCCGCCGTGATGGTCGCCGTCACAAGGCAGTGGTCAGTCGGGACGCCAGTGGTACGGATCTCCCATGTTAACGCGCGGGACAATATGTCCCTGCTGGCGTATATACGGTCGAGACGGGAGGAAGAGGACCCCCCACGTTGTGGGAAAGAATAGTCTTTCTTTGTTGGCTCACACAGGCGCCAGCCATCGGACACTCTCACTGTGTCTATGAATTCCTTCAGACACTTCACCGCGGCACTCGGGTCTTCCCTCGCTGGGAGCCGGTCAATTGCTTCTTCGACAAGATTGAAGTCGCCCAAGACAATGTCTGGCTTCTTCGTATTCGCCCGGAGGAAGTGGTCTCGGAGCGTTGTCCAGAAGGCTGCGTTCTCCGTATGGCCGTTCGGAGCGTAAACGTTCAGGACCGTGAGGGAGCGGTCCGCGTGCCATCTCATGCGAAGAAGCAAGGCTCGGCCTGGTACGATATCTTCGGTTTCTATCCCACAGGTATCTACTATTTCGCGGTTAAGTGCGAAAGCTACACCTTGCGCTCCTGTGGAGTTCGCAGACTCGCTGTTGAAGACACGAACACGTCTGCCGTATAGTCTATGAACTTCGGACGTCAAGTCATCATCCAAGTGCGTTTCCTGTAGTGCCAGGATACCGATTTTCTTCTCTCTCAGGAGCTGATTGATCTCATTCCACTTGTTATTTCGGGTTCCAAATAGGTTACCTCGTCCGCATATGTTCAGGGACCCGATCATGAGGGACGCCTTCGTGTGGCGACCCTTCTTTGCCCGCTGCGCTCCGGTAGCGGGTTGGGGGGTATCGCATTGTTCTTGATCTTGAGGAAGAGTTGACCGGCCGCCAGTAGGTTGCCACGGGGGTCTACTTGCGGTCGTCCCACCACCAGGTTCCACCAGCGGGTCCTCGGAGGGCCCTTGGATGGGAGGCAGGGGCGCTACTCGCCGTTGGTGGAGAGGTGAGCCGGTTGCCGTACGATCAGCCATGTGTGTTTGTTCAGATTGTAAGTTCGCCGTTGCTTATACCGTTCCCCTACTACAACGATTGCAGGGGCCGTAAGCCTCTCCTGGGCTTATCAGGGGACATGCCTGTACCAGGCTTCGCCATACTAAGGCTGGGCATGTCTAGTAGTGCCCGCGCTGAGTGAAGAAAGTCTCCTCGGATATCAGTGGGCTTTCCTGTCCCGAATTCGGTCAGTATATTTGGGCCACACCGAGCACCGGGAGGTGTTAGTGTTCGAACATAAGCAGTTGCAGACTGGCCTTGAGTGGGAGAGTTGCGAGAGCATCCTTCCATTCTAGTCGTCTGCCATGTGAACGTTCCATAATGACGGTACTATTTCTTGTGCAATTAAAGCAGGCCGGGTTATTCGAGAGATTTGAGGACGCATTGTCCGCGAAACGTATTCATAACGTGTCAAGAAAGGTATCCAAAGTACATGGGCTAGCACGAAGAACAGACAGTGTTCATGTTATTGTGAGAGAACGTTCCATCGCACGCGAGTCGTGCGGAAAACTATCTACTTCTTGTTGTACCAGCTCTTCCCAGCCGCGCGCGCGAAGGCAGCGTGGGTGGTCGCGTCGATGTTCTGGCCACTCCCGCTCGCCGCTGCGTTGCCTTTGCGGCCCCGGTTGCGGTCGTTGCTCTGCCCGCCACCCCTCTTAGCGTTGCCGCCACGTTTGTTGAAGTTTCCGCGAGCGGGAGCAGTCGGCTGCTGCTGGCCGTCCTCGGCGGGGCGCGGGCCGTACCAGTCTTCCAGCTTGGGGAGGTCGCACAGGCCTACCTTGTGGTCGGTGGAGTGGCACAGCGTGCACCGGAATTCTTCGGTGAAGACGATGGCCGCGGCTCCGCCCACCATTCCGAAGGGTTGTCGCAGAACGGCTTCACGGAAAGTCGTCCAACCGCGCGCGTTTAGAGTCGGCGGGTCGCAGTAGATGACAAAGAGGGGGTTGGGCGTGCCTTTCGAGAGTTTTCGTGGCATGACGCGGACCTTGATTGATTCGACGATCGACCTGAAGGCGTCCTTTATCGGGGTCTCACCCCACTTGCCTTTCGCACCAGCCCTCTTGTCGTCCTTGATCGTGTCGATCGTGGTCGAGAAGAGAGGCTCCCGCAGGAAACTCGCGACGACAATCTTTCGTGCGATCGCGGGCTCTGTCGTCATGAAGGCTAGCGAGCCGTCCAAGATGGTGAGGAAATCCGGAGGCGGCGGAGGAAAGCGCATGAAGTAGACGGAGATGTGGCGCGACGAGCACCATCCGAAGCCCGTCAGGACAAGTTCTTGTATCTCGGAGATGTTAGGGACGAGGAAGCACCATGGGCCCGTGTTGTCGACTTGGCGTCTGCCAGGGGCCAGTTCTGGTGCAAGCAGCCTCTCGGGGACGCCGAAACGGTAGCGAAGGAGCTCATGGAGTAGAGAGATACGCGTCCAGTACTCGTTGTCGCGATCGCACGCCCCATGCGCAGCAAACATCACCAGGACGCAGTGGACGTTTGCAGCTAGGGCCCGCCATTTCTTCACCTGGGCCTCCGACTGACCCTCGAACATACCGTCCGGAGTGCGGAATTGGATCCGCCGCCATTTGTCTTCTGGTTCGGCCGTGAACTCCACGGTTGCCCAGTCGATGCCGCTCGCAGGACCCTCAACAGGGTTGTCAAGGTGGTTGAGGACATGTTCAGCATGGTCGTCAAGAGGGTCAGGCGGTGCCTCGTTGTCGAAAATGGCCGGCTGAAAGTCGGGGAGCATAGGAGATGGAGGCTGGGGGGCCGGCTGGAAAGCGAACTGCGGGAAAGCTTGTGGCTGGGCGGCCGGGTTGACGGCCGGCTGGGCGTTTTGGAAGATCGGAGGGTGGGTGATCTCGATGCCATCTCCTTCGATGCTCATAGCGTCCACGTCGATCGGTGAGGGGCGTCTATCGTTGGCGGGTCTGACCGAGACGTACGTGAGTACCGACGCTCTGGACTCCGCCCTGTCGCCTGGCTGTTGTTCGAAGCGTTGAGCGGGGGCGTGGCTACGTGGGCGCGGAGTGGTTGGTAAGACAGGGGCAATGGGCTGTGTCGCGTACGTCGGCCTTCGTGGAGACTATGGTGGGCGAGGCTGTTTAGCATGTATCATGGCCTTACGACGAAGCGACTGCTTACAGGAGCGGCAATGGGCATCTGACGGCCCGACGAGCCGGGGTAGGGTTTGTACCGCAGGCTCGCGTTCTCGGTGAAGACTCTCCTGGGCCTTCCAGGCTCCTTGTGCCATGGCGGGGCAAGGATACTTCCATTAGGATCGCTCGATAGGTCGACGTTCATTGCGAGGAAGTCCTGCGTACGCGTGCTCAGCCCGGGCTGTGTTCCCTGGGTCTGGTTCATTATGCCGCCGGGTGCTGACGGTGGGAGAGGTTGCGTGGGCGCGCGAGGAGGGGCATTTGTCGTGGTACGATGTACGGGGGACACCTCAGACAGACCCGGCGGGGGGCTCCTGTAGCTCCTGATCACGTCGTCGAAGGAGGCTGCGTAGAAGCTATTATCGTCAGAGTGGGCGGCGTCCGACGGGGGGCCACCAGATCTCCGTGGTGACGCATTCGGGCGCCAGTGTGGGTCGGCTGCCATCGGTGGGTGGTTCCAGATGTACCCTCCGTTCACCGGGTCCCATTCGGCGAAGGGGTGGGCGACGGGAGGTGGTGGGAAGGCTAGGTCGATCGTCGAGCGAGCTTGGAGCTGGCTGAACTCCCCGCGTTCGTTGTTAATCATCGTGGAGTTAGCGGCGGGGCCGTGATTCATAATGACCGCAGACGTGGTCGTTGGGGTTGGCTTTGCCGCACTAGACTGCACGAGGAGGGGGCCCGGAGACTGCTGGAGTCTGACGACGGGTTGAAGTTGAGAAGACTCGCCGCCATCCTCCACGCGTTCGCGCGAGACACGACGACGTTTCCTGCCGTCTTGGCCCGGCGTCTCGTCAGTGAGAGGCGGCTGCGGGGTCAGAGGCGGCTGTTGCGCTGCCGCTGCCGGGGGCTGCTGCGACGCCGTAGGCGGCGGCGTCGACGGGGGCGGGGTGCCTTTGCATCAGGAAACTGTGCATTTTCTGACGGTATGTACATCTGAAGGTTGGCTCTCAGAGAGCATCAGAGCATCAGGGCACTCCAGACAACACATGTTGTCAGATGTTCTCATTTTGCCTCAGATGGTGTCAGACAGTGTCAGTAACACAGTACATCAGACGGCACATATCACACATTTCGTCAACAAACAACCCCTGCACGTAATTTGGCATAAATGCAATGGATATCAAGTCTACTACAATGATTGTAATACATATACATCTGCGTATTGGAGCGCAGCATGTAAGCAGGTGTTCACCGACCAACTCAAACAGGTCCTCGTAGTCGTCAGCACAGGCCTCGGGCACGTGAACACGACGCACCGGCGGCAGCACGACCGCGCTGTGCAGAACGCACAGCTCGCCGCTTTACGCCGCGAGGAGACACGCGTCCGGGAGCGCATCTGCATGGGGATGTGGCACGATGGACGCGTGGGTGGACTGCATCGCGGGGAACGGCGTGATGCGCGAGTTGGGCGTGGGCGACGAGGTGTTCGATCGCGAGGAGGGGCTACACATCGTCAGCGCGGTGTCGAGGGGCAATGCCAGATCATGTTCTTGATGTCTGGATGACAACGTCAGGGTGGGGAGAGCAGAGCAGAGTCAGTGTCACCTACAATCAGTGTGACCGGAACAGTCAATGTGGCCGACCCGGAGTGGCGGCAAATAGAGAGCAGCGGTGGCGAAGAGAGAGTGGTGGCGGCAAAGAGAGAGCGGTGGTGGCAAAGAGAGAGCAGTGGCGACGAAGGGAGAGCGCAAGGGAGAAGAAGAAAGCACGAGTGCGATGGAGAGGACATGAGGGCGAAGGGAGACGTTACGATTGCGGTGTGTGCCGCTGGGTATACTCACCCACAGAATCACAAGTCCGGTGCGCGGGACGCCGCAGTCGCGGTGGCTTTGAGGGTAGCCACCTCAGGCTCTCAACGGAAGGCGGAGACCGACGCAACAGGCATCAGCGGGAGCGTTGACCGGCAGATCCAAGCGAGCGTCCTCGACTGCGCTGTGCGCCGACGGATCCGTCACCGCAGAGGGAGTAGCCGGCCGCTATGGTGGAGGGTCTGCGAGACAGAGTCTCCCGCGGCGCGGCACTCGTCTGGTGTGCAACCGGGGCTAGCGTGGAGAGCGCGTTCGAGGTCGCGCTACGAGTGTGAGGATCAGCGCAGACCGAATAATGGGCATTGACTTACCCAGAAATCTTGCACTCGGGCCCCAGCCAACACGATGGCGAGATCGGCGCATTAGACTGCCCAGCGGGGCGCGTTGAGTGCGTCAACGGACACGTCTGTGCGTGGACTCGTCAAAGGCTGCGGCTGTGACTGTTGAGTCGGCGGGAGGGCGGAGGGTGGGACGTAAACAGTAATAATGTCAGCATTGTAGAGGTATACGCACCTCGTCTCGCGCTTCCTCACGTCCGCACCATCCCAACCCCCTCCCGTGCTCGCTCTCTATCCGCATCCGTACGTCCGGAGCCGCGCGCGCCAGTCGTCCGTCGTCATGGTATGTCAGGGTTATAAGGTGTAACATAGGCTGAGGAGGCGGTCGACGAAGACGTCCGTGTGGGCTCATCCACGCGCGGGCGGAACGTCCGGTGCAAGTCGAGGTCGAGCAGCAGAGCTCTGCCACGTCGGAGGGTCGTGCCGGCGAGGGCCCAAGCAGTGCAGGATAGGTCGAATACGCGGGTCAGTCAATGGCAGGATGGGTGACCAGATGACGGGTGGATGTCCGCGCGAGCGAGCGGGAAGGTGCTTGGGTACGTGAATGTCGATGTGGAGGAGGAGAGCACGACTCGCAGGCGCAGCTGAAGTGCTAAGCGCCTCAGCCACTGCGACACGTCAGTGACGCGCGCTTGCTACCATCCTCTCGCTGCACTTCGCCACACCTCCACCTTCGGCCTCGGCACCCCCATCGCCACCTTCGCTTCACTTCTACCTACCTCGATAATACACGTGCAGGTCCGTCCGCAAGAGACGTCGGCACGTGAATCAACCGGCCACGCGCCCCACGATTGCGTGGCCCAGCAGCCACAACGGGCTCCAAGCGACGCGCAACTCCAACGGGGGAGGGGGGTGAAGGATGGTCGCGAAGGAAGGGAAAGACGTGGGTAGAAGGCAGAGTGATCAGGTGAGTACAGCTCTTGTCGTCTTGCGACCTTGCCTGGCAAGTGCAGTTGAACGAATGCCAGCGCGCGCAGGTCTCCCCCTAACGTCGACGTCGACGGATTCGTTCATCTCGCCTCTCTACCTACTGTCTACTCGTCGTACAAGACCTGGGGTATGGCTGTAAAACCCTATGCGTCAGGTGCGTACACGACATCGCTGCGCAGCGCCCACAACCCCATCCACTAATATCAATCACAGGACGTATACCTTACCGGGGCTTGAGCATTTTAATCAATTACCCTCGTTTTGCTACGACACTCTTTCTTGTGACGACCCGTCGTGGCCCCGCGGCACATCCTCCAACTCCCTCAGCCCGCCTGAGATTGTCTTCCCTGGCACGGGTTCCGCGTCTCCGGGAACATTGCCATGTTCTGTCTTGCCCTTGAATGGGCTCACGCAGTTCCTCTCGAGGCCGACGAATTGTTTTAACCGCGTGACGTCCGACAAGGCGTCACGCTCTTCAATTAGTTCCAACGAACCGAGGTCCAGCACGAGTTCTTCAGGCCAGAAGCACAAGATCTCGCACCCAACGGACCCTCAGCCAAATCCTTATAGGCCCGCCGCCGAAGATGAGCGCGCCTCTAGCTCGAGAAGCCAGGCCGCCAAGCACCGGCGCACCAGCCCGATGAGCTCACGCGCGAGCACGGCGGACGACCCGCACGCGTCGAGCAAGGTCTAAGCTTATGTGCTCGACAAACAGAGTCTTGATGTGCATGGGCCCACCGGGTAGCAGCGGGCGCGAGCTTAGTGTGAGTGTTGCCGTGGAGTGCTGTTACGTGTTTGTTGGTTCGTTCTCTTGTGTACTCCCCATGTATATACAGTAGTATGCCATTAGAGCTGTCTACAGTGACGGAAATATATTGTTGTTGAGCATATGACATCTGAGGTCACTGAGAGTCTGACACATTGTCTGACCACTCTGGACCACTCTGAGACTTTCTGAAGATGTCTGAGAATTCTATCTGACAACAACAATTTGCGAAAATTCGACACCTTGAGGACTGGCCAAATGAACCGTTCTGATGTGATCTGAAGCGTTCTGACCGCTTATGAAGCCCCTGACAGGGCCTGTCAGAGGAATTGCACGAAAACCTGATGTGTCGCGGTTCGTGGTTTTCTTCAGCTTCGCAGCCTGCTTCCGAGCCGCTTTCTTGCTTTTGGCAGTTTCAGTGGTCGGAGCCTGGGTAGGAGGCGCGATGTCCAAGGGCGGGAAGCTCGTTTCGTCCGGCAGGGCCTCCGGGATCGAGAGCGCCTGCGTCTGCTCTGAGTTGGAGGTCGGGGCTGCAAGGCTGAGGTAAGGAATCTCGCCAAGGACAAAAGTTGGCCGAAGCCTTGGGGTGCGTGGCATACCGTCACTCGCCGGGGCCGGCGGGGTAGCGGGGCGACCCGCCGTGACGTCGGCGAAGCTCCTAGGGTCGTCAGAGGCGGGGGAGGTACGACCGTTCTGAGGGCTCGGGGCGCGACTATCGGCCTGTAGCTGTGTTATTGCCGTGGTCGTATACGGCAAAAGGGCCTGACATACCATTTTGGCGGTGAGGCCTGTGGACGGCTCGTTTTCGCCAGGCTGCGACGCGTTCTGGGAGACGTTGGTGTGCATTGTTACTGCGTAGGTGCGAGAGTGACGGTTCGAGAAGAGCGTTTTGGGTGTGATGGGGAATGTGTCCTCTGGTTTTGAGCCTGAGGCGGGAGTAATTCAGATTCTCGCTCACTCACGGAAAAGGCATGGCGTGACGGTGGTACTTGCCGAGCACAGGACGTTACGGGATGGACAGGGTCGCGCCGTGCTGTAATGGCGCTTGAGGTGAGGCAGCCGTCGCCGAGGAAGTGTCGTGGAGGATGGGGGTGTTCTGCTGCTGAAAGGCGGTTATCTTCCCGCCCGCATCCTCGTGTTGCTTGCGCTTCTACCATGTCGCTTCGGTTTGTTTCCTCTCGGCCTGCTGAGGGATCTCTCGTTTGGGTAGTTTGGCTGTAGGTTTGGACGAGGGCTCGTACTTCTCTCAAATTCCGTTCGTTGGGATTGTCTAACATGCCGAGCGCCCGCCACGGCATGTATGTCCGCGCCTGCTACGTGGTCGGGAGGCCGCGGGGGATAGTACGGGGAGTTACCTGAAAGAGCTTTGGCGGTGAGAGGCCGCTGTCATTGCTGCTTCTTTGCGCATCAAATCGGGGCCTGGCTGTCAGCCAGTAGCGCGTTTTTATCTTTGACGGGCGTCGTTACATACATTTGACAGAGTCTCGTCCGCTCAGATCTCCTGCCTGCCGTTATCCTACGCATTGGTGATATTCGTGATTCTCTTTGCGAGGGAGGGGATGTCGTCCTCTTCTATATCGAACTCGTACGGGTTCTCCTTCTCGTTTTGGAAAGCCGGTCTCTCGGCGAAGGAGGGGTGCGGCGGAGGGAGGTTTGGGAGGTTGAAGTAGTGGTGCTGATGTGTGTATCCCTCTAAGTCCCCGAGGGACGCCCATGGGATCGGCACGCGTAGGCTGCACGGCTTATCGGCGCCAGTCACTATGAACGTGACCCAGTGCCTACGTAGGTCGGAGATTGCCGAGAGGTTCCCTAATCCGGACGTTTGGGCGTCCGTGGAGAAGATGACACGCCTTCCTTTTTCGAGCTGTTCCGCCGGGCGTTCGTCAATCGTCCAGGTGAGTCCTGGACCCAGTCCTTTCCCGACGATGGGTAGAGGGAGAACTCTGACGGTGATTGACGTGTCGTTTGTAGGTGGGAGGGAGAAGGATGGCAGAGGGAAGGGTTGTCTTCTCTTCGCCGCAATGCTCCTGGAGGTTGTTGATGCCGTCGAGGCGGCTCGTTTTGTTCGATTCTTCCGCTCTGCTGGCATCTGCGGATGAGGGCGACGGGTGCGTCTTTGCTTGGGGCTCGTAGGGTGAGCGTTTATTCAACGTCTGCTCCTCCCGTATTTAACGCACTCATAGAGCGCCTTCCCGGTCTTTACGTATTGTGCATACGTATCCTCTCCAGCGCCTTCCAGTGGCGTATCAGACACTGTCTAACGCTCATTTTACGTCAAGCGCATGCTTTATGTGTTGTGTAGACCCCACCCGTGGCCTGGGCAGGGGGACAGAGATCCAAATCGTATTGTGGCCATGCTCGTTGGGGCATGGCAACCTGTATGCGCTGGCTTGCGTCCGCTTTTGTGCAGTTGCCATATTCGGCAACTGGTGATATGGCGTTTTTCCGGAGAGGTGCTGTATAGTGTTTGGGGTGGCACGGTGTGTGTTGATTTGCTACCTATTGGGGTGGTTTCCGTAAATAGAAAGTCCTGCCACGGATCTACCCGGGGAGGTACTGTATAGTTCGGACGGCGTGGTGGGGTGGCTGAAGCTATACAGATGGGTGCGGTGTGCTTTACAGTTTCTCAATGGTGGCTGAACCTTAAAAAAAGGGGGGGAATAGGCGCTATCTACGGTACATAGGCGCCTCATTGCGGGTAGGTCTACCGTTGGTGATAGACCTTGAGGCGAGAAGGGGCATCTGGAGCGTATGAGGAGTCTTTTTGCACCGGTGGAGGGGGAGGATTTTCCTCGTCTCATACGGGTGGGCTGTCTTGCGACAGATGGAGTTGCCTCCGGCCCTTTGCAGGGTTGGATGGGTCTTCGAGGGTCGACCTCATCCTGGGGCAGCGACCGTGAGGTCCTGAGTCCCTTATAGCGCATGTTAGCTTCATCCCGAAGGACTACTAACCCCCCGGGACCACGAGGAGGTCTCGAGTTCTGGGTGACCGTGGTGGTGCCTATGCAGTGCATGCCTGGGGTACCGTCGCGGGCGATATCACAGAAAGGGCTCGCGGTGGGAGGCGATAAGCAGCGGCTCTGTGTCGGCCTGCACTTATCGCCCAACGACATGCCTGCCGCGTCGATCATCCTAGATCGTTCTCATACCGCTGATATCACGCGCCCACACATTGGATGACTCGCAGACCAGCGACGAAGAGCATGGATATTATACCTATTTGCAAGCTAGCTACAGTGCATTACATTCATAGGAGCATGGCGTAGTGAGACAGACATTATACAGTCATAGACGTACGTACGGGCAATGGTATCCTACAAATACAGTCGAGTTACACCTCTATCGAGTCTAGTGCTGTACGGGATGGTCCAGGAACTGACAAATAAAATACCACTTACTGCCGTCCAAGTGAGCCCATGAAGCTCGATAGGTCTAGACCTTCGTACTCCTCCTCCGGAGGCAGGTCTTCCAACCCCTTTAGGACGTTCCGCTGCCCGGGCAATGCCTGCAGCTCCTTTTCTTTCTTCATCGCCCCGGCCGATTCTTCATTCTCCGTGGTGCGTCTGAAGAGGTCCAGGACATGGTCTGTGTCCATGGACGCTAGGCCAGAGTTCTGCTGCGTAACAATGGAGTTGGCGATGTTGAGCTTGAATCGTTGCAGGCTATTGGATTTTGAAGTCAGCGCAGCCCATAATATAACGTACAGAGGCGACGCACCCCATGATCTTCTCTTCCAGAGTACCCTTAGTGATGAGCCGGTAGACGTTGACGACTTTCTTCTGGCCTATACGGTGGGCACGATCCATGGCTTGGAGATCCTTCATCGGATTCCAGTCGTGCTCCACGAAGATGACCGTATCGGCACCCGTCAACGTCAGTCCAAGGCCACCAACATGGGTCGTGAGGAGGAGACAGTCGATACTTGGGTCAGAGTTGAAAGTTTGGACGATCGCGTGGCGCTTGTTAGCGTCGGTGCTACCGTCCAGCCGCATGTAGGTGACGGCAGGCATGTGCGGCTTGAAGAGGTCCTTCTCTATGATGTCCAGCATCTGTTTCATCTGGCAGAAAATGAGGACGCGGTGCTGCGAGAATGCTCCCGACGAGGTTGGTTCGGCGTCCGCAAGCTCGGACTTGGCAATCTCTCCAGATACGCCAGACCCCACGCCGATCCCGCAATCAACGAGGAGTTGTCTGCAACCGACGCTTGGTCAGCAACATAACGGTATCGCCGCAGTGATGATACTCACTTCAGGGCGAGAAGCTTTGGCGCGTGTTGGATGTCGCTCAACTTGGGCTTGTCAGCTTTATGCCCAGCATTCGCCAACGCATCGAGGATGGCCTGCTTGTCCTTCAGCACGAGTGCAGGGTGATTACACAGCTTGCGCAGGTATTGCAGCGACTGGAAGACGTGCTGTTGACCCCCGCTCTGTCCCTTGTCGGAACGCACGACGTCCTCCGCTGTTGCGCCAGCCCGTGACCTCGAGAAGTCGTCGTAGAGATACTTCTGCAAGCCTGACAACTCGCAATAGTAGTCCTGTATGATCTTCGGCGGGAGGTCGTTCAAGACGTCTTCCTTCAACCGACGCAGAAGGAATGGCAGGACTTGCTTATGTAACGCCTCGAGCGCAAGCGCAGCTGTATCCATTTGTCAGTGTCCATCCCACTCGCTTCACTATACCCACATACCTGCTTCACCGTTCTTCGACTTGCCATCTCTGTTCGACAAGATAGGCTTGCTGAAGCGCTCGTTGAAGGACGTCTCGCTGCCCAGGAACCCAGGCATCAAGAAGTCGAACAAGCTCCAGAGCTCCAAGACGTTGTTCTGGATAGGCGTCCCGGACAAGATGAGACGATGATGCGCACGGATGCACTTCACAGCCTTGGTGAGCTTCGTCTTCGCATTCTTGATGATGTGGCCTTCATCTAGAATACAGTAGTGCCAGTTGATATCCTCGAGGCTAGTGATGTCGTTGCGCACGACTTCGTACGACGTGATGATGACGTCATACTTTTTGAGCCTCAACAGAAGCTTGCTCCGCTCTCTCGAGTTACCGGTGTACATGACGGGTTTGAGATTGTCGGTGTACTTCAGGATTTCGTAGTACCAGTGCCCCGTGAGCGTCGGCGGGCAGACGATGAGAGACGGAAGGTGGACTGAGTCGGGCGACTTCGTCTCCTCATGCTTCTTAGCACGCTCATGATGCTTGCTTGCCAGGATGCAGATGGACTGCAACGTCTTGCCGAGACCCATGTCTGGAATACAATTGAGTCTTTACCCCGAAAACTACGGATCATGAACGTACCGTCGCAAAGGATACCGTGTAACTGATACTTCGCAAGGAAGGCGAGCCAGTTGACGCCCTCCTGTTGGTACTTGCGAAGCTCAGCCTTGATCTTGACCGGGATATTATACTGCTGTACTTTGCTGCCGTCCAACAACTGCATGAGGAATTGGCGCTCTTCGTCACGACGCTGGAGCAGCTCCTGAGAGAAACCTGGGGGATCTGGCAGACCGGTCTGAGAGAAACATTAACGACGTGGCCGTGAGTCGTGCAGACCGTCAAGCTGACCTCTAATGGAACCATCTTCACTAGTGACGCAAACGTATTGGTCGCCGTCGCGCGGATGTCGTCGTCCGGATCGCTCATCCGACCTAGGACAGGAACGACCATGAAGATGACGTACGGCAATGCCTTCATGTCCAGCCTTTGTACGATGTCTGTAGCAGGCGTGAGCGAGTGGCGTCGCACATACGGGGATGTTCACTCACGATAAATTAGCTCAGTGGCACCCTGCCTGTTCGAGAGGTTGACTGCGTCGCCGAGGAAGGGTATGACCGTCTCAATGACGGCCCGCATAGCGTCGATTGTCATCGTATCGCACATCGTGGCGAAGCACTTAGCAGCTGCCTGTCTGATGATAGCAAAGCGACTGCGAAGAGCGAGGATAATCATGGGGAAGATGTCGGTGAACTTGGGCCATAACGACTCGTGGAACGTCGGTACGATGGCCTCCAAGACGCTGAACGAGTCGATGACGTCCTGCCCAGACTGCTTTTCGAGCAACTTGTCCATCTTCTCGACGTCGTCTGCAAGAAGTTAGTCTTGGCGTATTCTAGTCAGCGACGGTACTCACCGGTCGAACAGGCACTGACGAGGCCTCCGGCCATAGACTGCCACATCTTCGGTACAGCATCCAGCAGTCGAGCTCCAAAATTTTTGGACAGCTCCACGAAGGCAAGTTGCGCGCCTCTGCGCGACAAATGTGCCCTCGCAGCCTCCTCAGGGGTAGGCGCGCTCTTCTCTTCTTTGGCAGTGCTGTGCGAAGCCGATTTGGGAAATGACAGAATGCCCGCAAGCGTCTTCCTAGCATAAGCAAATGTCGGAGTCTGGTCGGTGTCCTGGCAAAGGAAGGTACAGAGGTTCTTCACAATCTTGTCCGGAGGCTGGGCCAAGTCGCGCTGCACACAGAAGTCGACGAAGGCGGCGACTGCAACTGCTGAACGGATCTGCAGATCGACGTTGTCCTCGGTCTGAAGGGCGTGGTTATAAGTCAGATGACTCAAAGGAAAGGTCTCTGTGCTTACCTTGATGCTGTTCATGATCCCTTTGACGATGGGGCTAACCTTGTCCGGCGTACCCTTGAAGGCAACGAAGGCCGCCGAAAACGCAGCCGACACGCGGACGTCGTACTGCGCCTTGACTTCCACGTACCGTTCAACGCTCGCGACGACCTTTACGCGCTTCTCTTTGATGATAGCGAGCTCCCGCTTCTTCGTCCGACCAAGACTGGCCTTAAGCTTGTCGAACATCTCCCCTACCGCCTCCTGCGCCGTCTGTACGGTGAAGCAGCCTGGCTTCGTTCCGGTGATATCGACCTCCGTGCCCAATGTTGGTATCGACGATTGGGGCAACTTGCAGTCATACGCGAACGATTGCAAGAGATTGTAACATTCCCCATGGATACGAGCCAGAGTGAAGGCCATCTCGTGATATGCCGCAGGAGGCTCCGCTTGTAGCCAGGAGAGCGTCTTGTCGCTGATCTCAGTAGCCAGGGTCGACTTATCGATGAGCAAGGGAGCTGAAGGGCCCTGCTTAGCATCATGCTCCTTGGCCCACTCTTCGGAGATAATGGCAGCCAGGAACTTCTGAAGCATACTTGTCGACTCCAGATAGTGAAGCAAGATGGGGCGGAAGGTATCGTCAAGCGAAAGGCCTTGGGTCTGCTACGACGTAGAAAACATTAGCAAGGCATACCATGTAGATTCTCATTGTGAAAGTACGTACATTGCTTGGCCAGGACGCAATGATATGCGCCAATGCCGATGCTGCTGCAACTCGGGCCTTCAGCACGGTTTCGACAGAAACAAGCGCCAGGTCCTGCGCAAGCATATTCTTATCGACGTTATGCCGCTCGGACACGCCGTCCTGTTCCATCGCGGCGGTTGCGTCATAGAAAGCCGACGCGTCAAGCGGCAGCCCGAGAGGGGTCATCAGGACAGCATACCATTCTAGTAAGACCTGCTGTGTAACCAGAGACTCTAGCCAGCCATCCACCGAGCTCAGGATGGAGAGAACGAGCCGCCAGGTGGCTAGAGTGGTATCGCGGATGTCGCTGCGCTCCTCGACAATGAGGTTCTGATAGAGAAGACGGAGGTACGGGAGAATCATCCAGTCCTTCGGAAGAGACGTGACTGTCATGAAGGTCTGGAGCGTGTTGACTACGGCGAGTCGAACATTGGCGATGGTGTGGCGGAAGAACGGGAACAATGTCGGTGCAAGCACCGTGATCGGGTGCCTATGCCACCCGTCAGCTTATACCACTTCGAAGTGTTAGGCTACCTACGATCGCGTCTGGTCGGCTATGATCTGAATGACTTCGTCATACGTGACCAGCTTGCCTGAGCGCGTTATCAGCAGGAGTCACGGGTTGATGGACGGGATGGTGCTCACCAAGCAGGTCCATCACTGCACCGACGCTGGAACTCAAATCATCTTTCATATCGCTGAGACAACTCCAAAGCACCGCGAGTACTCGCGGTAATTCTTCGGGCAAACGGTCCACGAGATGAGCGGCGACGGGGAGCAGGCAGGACGCTGCAACTGAACGGACGTCATCATCGCGGTCGCCCAAGCTGTACGTCGGTCAGCAATGGGTAAGTATGGTCATGGTGTGCACGCACCCTAGGACGGCGGCATCGACCACGCCTTTCAAGACATCTCTGCCATCCTGGCCATCATCTTGACCGTCTTCGGCTTTCACAGCGCTCACAAGGTCGCTTCTGACGGCGACCTCGTACTTGATGCCCAGCAGGCCGGCGTGTCGAACCTCCCATACATGACTCTTGTCGGCGTTTCTGTCGGGCCCTCGGGTCTTCGCAAGCATGGGCTTCACAGGGACTGGAAAATCCTGACGGATCATCTGAAGCAGAATAGAATGGACGTGTAGGACGGATCTTCGAGGCATGTGAAGGAGAAGGGACGCAAGAGTCTGTGAGACCGTCTCTCGTACGGGTGCGACGACCTTTACCGTGCATTAGCTGCCTGCCACAGGTCGGAACACGGGTACATTGCGTACCTGGTCCGAGACGAAGTCGCCGAATCGGTCAAGCACAAATATGCAGAGGAACTTCACGGCAAGGTCATTGCACCACTTCTCGTGCGCGAGCAGGTTGTCGTCCCAGCTAACTCCAACTGTGGATCGTGACCACAACGCGTGAGGTCAATCCCGTTTGAGCGCTACGATATACTTACCCTGCATGCCACCGTATTTGCCCTGCAGCTTCAGTAGCTCCCTCAGTGCCATCGCGGCTCCGTGTCTCACTTCCCATGCAGGGCTGAAGAGGTCAACCTCCAGTATCTTGGCGAGACCGTCCCACACCCAACGACCCTGTGGAACCTCCAGCGCTTTCGACTGCTTTTGCGCTTTGGGTGACACAGCCCCGCCCTTTGAAGGGTCAATGACCACTTTCTCCTGGGAGGCAGTATCCCGCAGTGAATTATCACCACCGGCCTTGCTTGCGGCGGCCGACTGATCGTCCGCAGCAATGAGACGAGCCCTACGAAAATACTTCAGTATCATCAAGGTGAGTGGAAACAATTGGGGCGCACTTGGACTGGCCGGCGGGTGCTGCGCTGTATTTCGCACCGGCACCTTGCGCCGGCGGAGCAGGGGCTGCGACGAAGGCGTTATTTCCAGGCTTGCGCTTGCGCCTCAATCGATTTCGCTCACGCGCAGACAACGCAGAGTCGTCTGCCATCGTCACGTCCTGAGTGACAGGAGCTGGGATGACGGGAGTGCTGGTTCCAGAGCGGGCTGGAGGCGACGGCTCTTTCTTGACCTTTGCACTTGATGATACGTCGACAGGCGAGATGCACGTAGACTCTTCCTCGGTCTTCGGGGCTGGCTCCATGTCAACGTCTGGATCGCCCTCGTCGGCAGCCAGCTCCTTCTCGATATCCATGTCGTCATCGTCACCAAAGCCGTCCAGGAAGTCTAAGCCGAGGCGACCCATAGCCTCCTTTCTGGCCTTCTTGACTTCGGACGAGCTGGCAAGGATACCGGTGGGTTTCACAAATTCTTTGCCGGACGATGCTAGTAGTAGAGTACCCTTCTCCATGAGCTCGCGCACGGAGAAGGATGGAAATTCGGGTGGTGGATGTACGGAAACATCGCGCACGGTGTCCGCGTCTGGCCCCGGCTGCCAGAGTGGAACTAGGGAAAATATCTGGGAAAGCGCTGTTGAGGCGGCTGAACGGGTTTCGTACGATCTTGAGTGGAGGCATGGTAGTATCTACAACCGTCAGTTAAATTATTGTGGTATGCGTCAGGGTATGGATTTCACATACCCGCGCTACCACCGCCATGAGCTCCGACCAGGCGGACTGGTCGGCGAGGTATGCATGCTGGCGGGTAGTCTTGACATCGTCTTCGACGATAGAGACATCGCCGATGACGCTCTTGGCAGCTAATTGAGCCAACTGTTTGGCCGCTGTTGTTCTGACGGAACTGGTTGAGCCGGTGTCGAGGAGGAGGAGGAGCCGGTCCAATCTGGAGGGGGCCGGTCAGTACTACTACACCTGCCAAATCTGTGCGGCGGAGCTTGCCTGGAGGTCATGGCGGGTTCGGGCGGCGTCGGACCGGAGACGCCGCGCTAGGGGATCGAAGGCAGTAACGGGGTTTTCTCACGCCCCCTCGCTGCAGCGACTGCACCTTTTAACACCTTGTCTCTGTGACGAAATTTGCCGCCGTCACGCGTGACCATCAGCTTCGGTCATCTGCAGTCGGCGCGTCACATGTGACCCATTGCCTTTCACAGCTTCCAGAGGTGTTCTGCTGCCCCATCATGCTCAAAATAGAGAGCCGTGCGCATCCCGCATACGCAATGTTGCCCTCCTAGGCTCTGCAGTGCTCGCAGGACAGTGCACGAACGGAGCAAAGTTGTGGGCGCCAGCCGCCGAAGTGATTCGATCAGCACATTTGGCGTGAGATCTGCTCATATCGTGATCTGGATCTCGGCCGCTGTCCGTCTGGGATGCTCCTCCGAGTCGCACATCGAGACTTGACTTCGTGCCACCACCTCCGCCTCCGCTGTTTGCATGGCACATCCTCCACCTCCGCCGCGCCATACCCTCACCGGAAAGTCTCTCACCCTTGTATTCTAGGCAGAGTTCACAGCACTGGGCGTTACGATGATGTCAGATGCGTGGGCACAATCGCTCGTCCGCGAGCTTCTATTCCGGCTGCGCGATGATAGACTCGCGTTTCAAAACGCAGGTGAGCACGAATTACATGGACTTGGTGAGCGATTGTTCTGAACTCACATAGTCTCGCCACAAGCGGATGCCATACGGGTTGCCCTTGGTTCACTGGAAAGCGCGAGCTGGGATGAACATACGTCAAGCCAACTGGATGTGGTCATCCATTGGGCGTACGAAGAGATGCGGGCATCGCCTCGCGCAGACGCTCTTGTCTTGCGGATGCTCTATACGGATGCGTGCATTCTACGCTCTCTAGGCGATGTCCTACAGCTGGGCTCGACGCAAAACCAAGTCCTAACTATGTCGTGTGTCTCCAGGCTAGACCATGCTATTGTAATTGCTGGCGCTCCAGGTGAAAGAAGGCTGGACATCATCCTCGACCTGATACTCGAGGTACAGCAACGCGCGTTAGGATTCGTCGCATCGTCATGCGACCTGGAGCATCATCTGGACGAAGTCAGAGTCCTTTCGACCACAGCGTCCAGGGCTCTGGCATCGGCACCTCATCAGGTCCCTCGACTGGACAGTCCACCATCTATGCTGGCTTTCGTACGTCAATACTCCCAACGACCTTTTGTGATACCGCGCTATATCACCGATTGGCCTGCTCTGAATGAGCACCCGTGGAGCTCACTTGACTACTTGCAATCGATGGCTGGCCCAGGGAGAGTCGTCCCGGTGGAAATAGGTGACGACTATCGCGATGACGACTGGACGCAGAAGATGTTGCTGTGGGACGACTTCCTCGACGCTCTCGACCCTCGCAAGCAATCCACACGGGAGAAACGGAAACTGTACCTCGCTCAGCACAATCTATTTCTGCAGTTTCCCAAGTTGCGCAACGACATCATAATTCCAGACTACGCATACGCTTCTCTACCGGCACCGAAGGCGTTCTCTGGCTATGTTCCGCCCGCCAATGAGGAACAGCTTGTTCTCAACGTATGGTTAGGACCTAGTGACATGACATCGCCCGCACACACTGTAAGTCACGGTTTCACTCAATTCGCACAAATCTGCTCAGTGGTTCTGATTGCAGGATCCATTCTTCAATCTTTATGGTGCGTTGGCGTCACACATGGTCGTCTTTTTACTGATTTAAGCACAGCCCAAGTCGTGGGTCAGAAGACGGTCTGGCTAGCGCCTCCACAAGCGACTCCGGCCATGTATCCTTATCCTCCTCCGAGCGGTAACGCGAGCGATCGTACTCACAATCCCGCGGCAAACACCACTAATCCCTGTATGAGCAATACGTCGAGGGTCGATGTTTTCGCGCCACGTGGAAGCCAGGATGAGATGCCGTTGTTTTGGGAGGAAGCAGTTCCGCACGCGATGAGCGTGACACTAGAACCGGGTGATTTGCTGTTCTTCCCGCCGGGCTGGTGGCATGCAATGCGCAGCGAAAACACTAGCTTCTCGGTGTCTATGTGGTTCTAGGCTTTGCGGTTTGAGGTTGTACGACGATGACGAGGATCCCAATCCATACGATTTTCATCAGTGCTTCCAGTGCAACTTGTAGGATCTGGTGTGCCCGTCACGGTGTAGACCGTCGAGACAGACGTGCTAGAGATCGAGATCTACATATGGCTCGGTATCGCCGAACTATATCCGAAGTACTCCGCCGGCGCACCTCGGCGCACGAACACGGACTCGGAGCACTGCGCTGAACGACTGAGCGGTCTCCAGCAACCGCACTCCACCTCTCACAACCAATCTCTCCTCATTTTTCGCACATTCCGCTGGCTGGCTCTACACGTAGACAATCATACCGCATGCTATGACCGAAGGACAAACTAGACCCAAGGTGAAAGAGATCAAGTCCGTCTCACGATCGAACCTTGCCTCGCAGGGTCAACCCCATAACCTCTTGCTGCATTAGGGATGCATACGACCGCCTCTTCAATGTCTCCCTGAGCCTCTCGAAGATCAAAGACGCGGCCCTGGGCGGCCGTCTGTTTCAAGCAGCGGACGACGCGCCGGGCGTTGCTGGGAGGAGTCTGGCTTGGAAGGTACGACGCGCACACTGCTAGTGCCGTCGGAAGCGGCCTCGCCCGTGCTGACGATGAGCTTCATCTTAGTTGTTTCTTGTGCAAGCAGAGCCGCTGCAGACGAAGGCGGATGTGATCTCTGTTTCCCCGCTCGAGGTGTTGCGTGCCGCGCGGCATCAGTACACGACATTGTTGCTAGAGAAGATGCGGGCACCAGACGGTAGTTATGAGGAAGGCCTGACCATCCCTGGCAGTAATGAGCCGCCATCGAGGGCCGCTCAGACGCGCCTGGACCTGTCGAGGAACAACCCATTGAGTCTGGACGACCAGGTGTGTACAGCGCCCCGCCCGAAGCGTGCTACTCATGCATCACCTATAGAACCCATGGACAGAGTGGTTTGCATCAATGGAGCTGCGGAAGGAAATTCTGAAGGATGTCGAACGCACGTATGTGTTCACGTCTCTGCACTGTGCGGTGATATGAAATGCCTTCTAGGTTCCCCGACATCGGCTACTTCCGCGACCCCGACGTACAGGCTCAATTGACGAACATCCTCTTCATCCACTCGAGCTTGTATCCAGATATAGGCTACCGTCAAGGCATGCACGAGCTGCTCGCCCCACTCTACTATGCAGTAGACTACGACTCCCTAGATGAGAAGGACTCGAGCCTCGACGATAGTAACGTCAAGGACTTCTGCTCGAGAGCATGGATCGCCGCGGATGCATGGGCACTGTTCTCCTCGGTGATGAATGGTGTCGGCCGGTGGTACGAATGGCAGGACAGGAAGACCACCGAGAAATCACCATTGGCGTCTCACGTTCAGCTCAACGCCGGTTCTGGCGGGTCCTCGATGAAGCCGTACGTCGCGCCGATCGTGGAGGCGTGCAATCGAGTGCAATCGACTTATCTCAAATCGGTCGACCCGGAGCTCTGGAAGAGCATGCAGAATGCTGGTACAGAACCACAAATATACGGAATGTTTGTGTTCACGACAAATTCCGAGTCAAGCAAGACTAATGTATGTGTTACAGACGGTGGTTGCGCCTGTTGTTCACGCGCGAATTCGACATGCACGACTCAATGATACTCTGGGACGGGTTGTTTGCGTGCGATCCGTCCTTCAACCTGGCGGAATGGGTGTGTGTCGCGATGCTCATTCGCATACGCAACAAGCGTAGGTGCTACGCAGTGATAATTCACAGACGGTATCCTAACATCCTGGTAGTCATCCCATCCGACTATAGCAGTCAATTGACTTTCCTCCTGCGATACCCTTCGACACCCGGTGATACGACCTCTGGGGAACTTACGGTGCACCACGCAACCCTTTTACTCCGTCAAGCTCTCACTCTGCAGATGTCACCGAGCCCGACAACAGGCGTCTCCGTCATCCACGAGAACCGTAACCTCTTGGACATACCTGTGGAAGTGCCCGAACCACCGCCGCCGCCGGCGCGGCGCCGCCCGAGGCCGGGCGACCGGGGCCAGTCGTTCTCTTCGGGGAGTGGTACGAGTGCACAGCGAGGGCTGGGCGGTAGGGTCGGGCATTCGCGTCAACAGTCGAACCCGATGGCGCTCCCAGAGATGCTGGCTCGTGGTCTCCTGGAGCGGGGTGAGAGTCTCGGGATCAACAAGACTGTTATGAATGCGGTCTCGGAGCTCAAGGTATGTGAACACTGATCAGCAGAGCCGCCTGATGCTGACTCGAGGTGCCGCAGCGCAATCTGCCAGACCTGGCAAACTCGATCGGAAAGCTTCCTTTGTCTCCACAGTCCGCTTACGCCGCATATCCTCTCCTCGACGAGAGGCCCACAACTGAGCGTCGTTCTTGGGAGTCAAGTTCGCGGTTCGAGGTCGAACGTGAACTCTCAGAGCTGCGCAAGGTCCAACGACGATTAGGGGACTCCGTGGAATGGATCGTCGATACCCTTCTGCAGGACGAGGGCGACGCGAACAATAAAGATACCATTCGGAAGAGGAAACAAGAAGCACTGGAGTCGCTAGCATACGTCCGGGACGTCCTCAAGAGTAATACCACGGACATACAAGAGGAACGTTTGATCGGCGAAGAGGAAAGAAAACGAAGGGAGGCAAAAGAACGGTCAGAGAAAGAGAAGGAGGATGAGCGACGAAGAGACATCGAGCGATCTACGCCGAAGCTACCACAGCCTGCGGCCGCCCCCTCTCGGCCGCAGGGTCTTGTGACGAGTAGGAGCTCGTCCGCCATTAGTTCGTCGCATCCAGGCATTGCTCGCTCTCCACCCAAGTTCGGTACGATCGCATCCTCACACCCTTCCACCCTGCCATCCCCACGCATCCCCCCTTCGCTTGCGGCACCGCAGAATCCCATTGCACCGTGGACTTACACACGGTCAGACTTCTCGAGCAACAGCTCCCCTATTACCTCCCTTCCCCGGATCCCCCCGCCGACCTCGACGGCGCAGTGGACGCCAACTCCCACAACACCCGCATTCCCGCCGCCATCCGCATCGCTTTCGGAGGTGCCTCCGAATGCTTCGCGCGATCAAGCTCCACGAAGAGGTGTCGAGCACGACCCCCTAGGGGCCCTGCTATAGCAGAAAGCGAGTGCATGTCGTAGCTAGCATCCTGTACGGTACTGTAGAATATACTCGACTGTCTTGAGGACGGGGCTAATGGCGTGCGTGCGATTGGACGAGCGGCCGGCGTCTTCGGACGAAGCGACGCGGGGAAAATCACGGGACACGCGCGTTCGGAGGGCGACGGAATTTCGGTCGTCACTGACCGAGGCAGGCCTGGGATCCGCGTAAAGTCGAGCCAGCTCTCCTTCATCGCTCTCACAACCTCGGGCTGGTCTGCGCGTGCACCATGTTGAGGACAACGTTGCCGAGGGCACTGCGTGCCACCAAGAGGCCCTTCCACTCCTCTGCGCCCGCCCACAGGGTCGTCGCGACCAACCCCGTTAAGGCTCAGGAAGTCCCGGTACGCTGATTCAGGAAAATTAGGCGGGTTGACGATGCTGACCTTTCCTGTGCAGTCATGGGCTTCAGGAGACTATCCTTTGATTGAACACGAGTACGATGCAATCGTTGTGTAAGTAATGCATCGCACAGATCCATGCTCTCGCTTCTCACGCAATGGACCTGCAGAGGTGCTGGCGGTGCTGGTCTGCGTGCTGCATTCGGTCTCGCAGAGGCGGGATTCAACACGGCATGCATTACCAAGCTGTTCCCGACAAGAAGTCATACCGTCGCTGCTCAGGTATGCAAGTGTCCGACTGCTCGATTTGACCATTCGCTGACATCATAGGGGTGAAGGGTGGTATCAACGCTGCGCTTGGTGTAAGTGCAAGATCATTGTCAGTGAGAGACAGGAGCTTATGTCTGCATGCTGCGATGTAGAACATGACCGAGGATGATTGGCGGTGGCATATGTATGACACAGTATGTAGTCGTGACATTTCGCCGCTATCAGCAAGCTGATAGCGCCCACTACCAACCAGGTGAAAGGTTCGGACTGGCTGGGTGACCAAGACGCGATCCACTACATGTGCCGAGAGGCTCCTCGCACTGTTATTGAGGTGCGTAATGCGTGCGTGTTCAGCGACGCAACGGCACTCACACCACTCTAGCTGGAACACTTCGGCGTCCCCTTCTCACGAACGAAGGAGGGCAAGATCTACCAGCGTGCATTCGGTGGTCAGTCACTGAAGTACGGCAAGGGTGGTCAGGCCTACCGCTGCGCGGCTGCCGCCGACCGTACCGGTCACGCCCTTCTGCACACCCTCTACGGCCAATCTCTCCGCCACAACACGAACTTCTTCATTGAATACTTCGCGCTCGACCTAATCATGCAGGATGGCGAGTGTGTCGGTGTAATTGCGCTGAACATGGAGGACGGTACGCTCCATCGGTTTAGGGCACACAAGACCGTGCTTGCGACTGGTGGTTACGGCCGTGCATACTTCAGCTGTACCAGTGCGCATACTTGCTCTGGTGACGGTAACGCCATGGTTGCCCGTGCGGGTCTGCCCCTTCAGGATCTGGAGTTCGTGCAGTTCCACCCCACTGGTATCTACGGTGCTGGCTGTCTCATCACCGAAGGTTTGTCTTGTTATATGCTATGCACATATCCATGATTGCTCATTCTCAACGCTGTTTGACAGGGTCCCGTGGTGAGGGTGGATACCTCCTGAACTCCGAGGGTGAACGGTTCATGGAGCGTTACGCACCCACCGCGAAGGATCTGGCTTCTCGTGATGTTGTCTCGCGTAGTATGACGATCGAGATTCGCGAGGGTCGTGGTGTTGGTCCTGACAAGGACCACCTCTATCTCCAGCTCAGCCATCTTCCTCCAGAGGTCCTCCACGAGCGTCTCCCTGGTATCTCGGAGACTGCTGCCATCTTCTCTGGTGTCGATGTCACGAAGGAGCCGATCCCGGTGTTGCCCACTGTCCACTACAACAGTAAGTCGCCTTGCGTGCGTGCTTTCACGCACTATGTCTGACTTGGCATCTTAGTGGGTGGTATCCCGACGAAGTACACTGGTGAGGTTTTGACTACCGACGAGGTACGCTTTCTACATTTGCTACGAGGAGCGGTGACTTAATTGCCAAACAAACAGAGCGGCAAGGACAAGGTCGTCCCTGGTCTCTACGCTGCCGGTGAGGCTGCATGTGTGTCGGTCCACGGCGCGAACCGTCTCGGTGCCAACTCCCTGCTCGACATCGTCGTCTTCGGTCGTGCCTGCGCACACCACATCAGGGATACACTCACCCCTGGCAAGCCTCACAAGGAAATTCCTCAGGAGGCTGGTCTTGAGAGTATCGAGTTCCTCGACAAGATTAGGTACAGTAACTTCCCTTCGCTTGTGGTATGTGTCTTCTGACTGTAAGAACAGGAAGTCCGATGGCCCTCTCCCCACTGCGAAGATCCGGCTCGACATGCAGAAGGCCATGCAGGCTGACGCTGCTGTCTTCCGGTAAGTGCAGCCCGCTGTTCGACTTGCGCGCGGGATGTTCATCGTTCCACAGCACGCAGGAGTCGCTCGACGAGGGTGTGCAGAAGCTCCAGAAGATCTACCAGAGCTACGACCAGGTCGGCATCAAGGACAGGAGCATGATCTGGAACTCGTAAGCGTTATCGCTATGTCGAGAACTTGTCGGATTATTGACATGGCACCTGCATAGTGATCTCGTTGAGACCCTCGAGCTCCGTAACATTCTCCAAAACGCCGTCCAGACCATCACCGCTGCCGCCGCCCGCAAGGAGTCCCGTGGCGCGCACGCACGCGAGGACTTCCCCGAGGTCAGTTTTACCCCCCAACGTGCGCATAGCCTGTACTAATCTCCCGCGTTCAATACAGCGTGACGATGAGAACTGGATGAAGCACACGCTCACCTGGTTGCCCGACGCGAACAAGCCCGACGTTGAGATCAAGTACCGCGGCGTCATCGACACGACGCTCGACGAGAACGAGTGCAAGCCGGTGCCGCCGTTCAAGCGTGTCTACTAGACGAGTGTATGGGACGCTGTATGTCGGATTGAGGCAGACTGTTGTAGTTATGTGTTATCATAATGCATCCTTTTCACTATCGGTTCGTGGTACGGCATGCACACAGTTCAAGGCATCGATGAATGGTTAGAGATGCTGTGGTCCAACTGGCGCGGATAGATCGCCAGATGTGTTGCAGTTGCCTGCACGATTGTCAGCCTTCCAGTGTCAATGGGCCCGGCTTAGGCTTCATTACCACAAGTCAATTAACATCTGACTTGCACGGGCATCGCATGGAGGCAACTCCATTATTCCAAGCATACTAGTGATTTACAAGACTGTAACAATCCAACATAAGGAATCAGAGGAAATTGATACAACGAGAGACGTGAGCTTGTCAAAAAGACGCAGTCACAGTGGACTGAAATCCACCAACGGCATGAGTATTACAGGATCAGAACATATCCTCCGTCGGGCCCACCATCCTGCCCATAAACTCCGAGCTGAACCCAAACCAGCTACGCTCCGACGCAGGCGCGTGTGCGTGCACCGCGGAGAGGTCAGGCTGGTACATAGTCTGCACCCAGCTCGACTCCGAGACATCCGACTCCGAGAACTTGTCGATGTCGCTGTCGGAATGCATGTCGTTTGGGGTGGGAGAGTGCGACGCAGTCCAGGCATTATGGAAGGCGAAGTCCGAGAGTGCGTCTGGTATGGACAGGTCTGAGGGCTGCCGCGAGAGCGCCATTGGGGAGGCGATGGGGAAGGACGCGGAGAAGTCGAGGGTCGGGAGGACCATCGAGCGCGCTGGATCGATCTCAACGCCTATATGCCAGTCGGGGTGCACGGACTCCTCTGAGGTTGACATCGTCTCTAAGGCGTCGTCCATGGCCTGCTGCTCTTCTGCCTCGCGATCCTTCCATACCTCCTCGATGGTGCACCAACCTTGGCCGGCTTCGCCGAGCACGCTGCGGACCCGCTTCTCGTCCCAGCCCTCGAACGTGAGTTCTAGGAGCGTTGCTAGGCCCGACGGGTCGCCGTGTGCCTCGCACTTGACATTCGGGCTGTCAAATACGCGCGAGGCGTCCAATCGAGCGAACAGCGAGGACACGCGCAAGGAGTGGATGTTATGTGTGCCATGTATGCTCGCGAGGGCTTGGATGGGGAGGAGTGGGTGGCTCGCAGGCGAGACTGAAAGGGGCTGGCGGGACTCGTTCGCAGACGCGGCGACGGGAGCGAGGGGGATGAGGAGGTGGGTCGTCACCTCGGGGTTCTCGAGCGGGACGGCAGGGAAGTAGTGCTCGAGGTCGGCCTCGCGCTCCTCAGCGGTGGTCAAAGCCTTCTTCACCTTCTCCGTCGTCTCGCGCGGGCGGAGCATCTCCTTGGACTTCTTCGTCTCCTTGCCCTTCACGGTCTTGTGCATGCGCATCTTCTCCTGCTCCTTCCGCATCCGCGTGTCCCAGTCAGCCTCCCAGAGTGCGCGCCCGGTGATCGGGACGTTCTCGACGAGGTTCTGGAAGACGGGGCGGCCGGTGGAGAAGTCGCGTGCCAGCCCCAAGCCGACCTGGCTGACGCCCCGCGGGACGGCGGGTGCCTTGGGCAGGCGGGGAGCTTGCAGTGGGCGGGAGAGGGTGAAGCGCGCTGAGGAGGAGAGCCCTTGCTGGATGGAACGCATCTGCGTCGGCCCATTGCACAGGGAGCGACTAGCTCCGGGGACGCTGCCGGGCAGGCGGGAAATGCCCGGTGTCGTCAAGTGAGCAACAAAGCGGGATAAGATATTGCGGGTCTGCTTGAAGACGGCTTGGGTGGTAGAGGTCGGTTGGCCGACATTGGGACGAGGAATGGATGGGACGTGGATTGACCGAGCGTGGTTGGTATGGAGGAGTGTGCCTCCCCCGGTGGGTTTGAGGGCTCGCGCCCCGTGCGATGCTAACTGCATCGTGGACCGGCTGTAGAAAGCGAGCCTCACGGATGCAGAGTGGATGCAGGGATAGTGGTCGTCGTTGAGGGAAAGACGGACAGGCCACGGCTCGTGCTATATGGATACGGCGGGGCGGAGGTGTGCCGCAGGCGTTCGTCAGCGAGGCGGCGCTTACATAACGAGCCCCGATTGGCCAGTCGATCTTTGTCCCGCACAGCGGTGCAGCGCCACCGACGACGCGTCCAGGAATCAGCGAGCGCAAGTCTCCATCCCCTCGTTACCAGAGGTTACCAGCGCCTTGCTCTTGAGTATCCGAGCTCATGCTGCGCGCTCTGTTCCACGAATCACGGAATGTGACAAGAAGATGATGTGACCTGACGAAGTGCCTGCTACACCTAATCTCGATCCCAGCACGGGCGCCTGTGCGATCGTGGGTGCACAACTCAGTCCAGCGCGTCGTTTGCTGACATGCACGCCATGGCTCCCGTTATCAGCCCGCACCGTGTCCTCGCCCACCCATCCTCACCCGTTCCTCCTCTCACATTCCTAATCCACTGAGGCTGATTGGCTGTGCCCGGCGACAGAGTCGTGAACGTCGTGTCCGCTCGCCTCGGTGCATGAGTGCTTGGGTAGACATTGAAGTAGCTCGGTGTTACCACAACTCGCTCACGCAGGCCACCCGACCATGAGCTCTCATCATGGAGAGAACGAGCCCTTGCTGGGTAGCAGCTCAACCAGTCAAGGTCATTCTCATCCTCCCATCGTTCGTGATTTCACCCACCTAGAAGACGTCGCGTCACTAGATGAACGGACTTGTGAGTTTTAACGTACGCATACCTGTCGACTGGACTAGAAATATTCCCTGCAGTGGCGGAAGAAGAGGTGACACCTCAAGATGACGATGTGTCGACGAAACGGCATCTCGGTGAGCTCACCGCCGTCCTAATTCCTAGAGGCAATCCGTGACCGGTCGTCGGCAGGGCTAACTAGCACTGTCTTTCTGATATTCAACCGCATCATCGGCACTAGGTAATATATCAACTCCACTGTCTCAAGGCGGAGAGTGTCCTTACGGATGTTGCAGCATCTTCGCTACACCAAGTGTCATCCTCCGTGCCTCCGGGAGTGTCGGACTCTCCTTCGTCATGTGGCTGTTGGGAGCAACGATCGCTGCCTGCGGTACTGCCGTGTACATAGAACTGGGGACTGTATGTCAATGTCTGCGGAGTATACCTTGGATGAATCTGACCGTTGATTTTCAATAGGCACTGCCAAAGAATGGCGGCGAAAAGAACTACCTAGAATACATATACCAGCGGCCCAAGTTCCTCATGGCCTGTGGCTACGCTGCATACGCCATGCTTATTGTACGCTTGGCCAACGAATACACCTGGCCTACGTTTCTGACGATGCGATTGTGTACTAGGGCTGGTCCGCAGCAAACGTCAGCGTCTTCGGAGAATGTATGTCCACGAATCTATCACTTCGATTTTCATACTAACGAAACCATTACCAGACGTGCTGCACGCCATTAACCCCACGCAAACGCCGCCTCCAATAGCTACCCGACTAGCCGGTGTCTTCTGCATCACCTTCGCGCTGGTCATCCACGGCACTCGCCCTGCATGGGGGGTCCGCTTGCAGAATGCGCTAGGCGTCCTGAAGCTCATGGCCCTGTGCGCTATTGCTCTGAGTGGGCTCGCTGCACTTGCCAGATTGCCAGGGTTCAAGCTTGACGAAGTGAGCTACTTGAAATCAGCCCTCCTTCCTTACGCGCTGAACGTATGTTGGCCGACAGCCACCGCGCAATTTCGAGTGGTCACACATGTGGGAGGGCAGTGGTAAAGGCGGGGTGAGCGCCTTCGTAACCGGCCTTTTCACCGTTGTCTGGTGCGTCTTCCCCGACTACGCCTCCCTTGCAGGTGTTCCGTTCCTGACATGCACCGTACCACCTAGGGCCTTCGTCGGGTACTCCAACGCGAATTACGCCCTCTCCGAAGTGCGCGACCCCGTGCGGACGATCAAGCTCGCGGCGCCGCTCGCCGTCTTCTCCGTCACGATCGCGTACCTCCTCGCGAACGTCGCGTACTTCGCCGTCGTACCCAAGGACGAGATTCTGGGCAGCGGCCGGATCGTGGCAGCACTGTTCTTTGGCAAGCTGTGGGGCATTGGTGCGGAGCGGGTGAGCTCTGACTCGATTGTTCAATGAGGAAAAAGAATTGTGCTAAGCATGCACGCAGATCGTGGCTGGGATAGTGGCAGTGTCGACGTTTGCGAATATCATGACTGTCCTCTATACACAAGGACGAGGTGCGCCGTGCGTCCGTGACATCTTACGCTCGGCGACTCACAGGCACCGCGGAACACAGTCATCCAAGCCCTCGGGCAAGAAGGCATCATCCCCTTCTCCGCCTTCTTCGCAAGCAACAAGCCGTTCGGCGCGCCCCTCGCGGGCCTCTTCGAGCAATGGTTCGTGACCACCTCGCTCGTGCTCAGCGTCCCCACAGGGGACGCCTATCTCTTCATGATCAACAGTACGTCCCTCCCCTCCCCCTCCGCCCACCATACTAACGCCCCTCCCAGTGATCACCTACCCGATCTCGCTGATCAACATGTTCGTCTCGCTCGGGCTGCTCTACCTGCACACGCCGCTGCGCGCGCGGCTCAGCCCGGGGCTGCACGCGCTCTGGGCGCCGCCTTTCCGCGCGTGGACGTCGGTCGTCGCCGTCTTCTTCCTCTCGAACGTCTTCCTCGTCCTCGCGCCGCTCGTCCCGCCCGCACCGGGCTTCAAGGTGTACGAGAACCTCCCGTACTGGGTATGTATCCCATCTCATTCTTATGTGTTGTGCTGACGACCGTGACGTGGGTAGCTGCATGTGTTGGCGGCGGCGTCGATCTCGCTGCTGGGCGTGGGGTATTGGTATGTGTACTGGCAGTGGTTGCCGCGTCGGGGAGGATACAAGCTTGTAAGGGAGTGGGTGAGGGAGGATGGAGCTACGCGGAGCGTCATACACAAGGTCAAGCTATAGATAAATCACGGAAGCTCTGCCGAGGGATGTATTACGTTGCTTCATAAAATCTCATGGGACTTGGGCTGCACACTGTGGGTTTGTTCAGGGTACAGCGCCCTTGACGCAAGCAGTGCACCGACAAATCAGCGGCACACCGAGGCTGGCTGCGAATAACGACAAAGCACCGTCCGATGAAATTCCAAATGACGTATGTACACAAATACAACTGCCGGCACGACGGGTACCGACGAGGATGAAGCGAGAAGAACGAACTGCAGTCGCACATTACTGGCGCAGGCGAGTCTAAACCGAGGAGTTCCGGGAAAATATCGTACTAGGAGAAGCGAATCGGGTGCAGTCAGAGGTCGGATGGGGGGATGGGATAGGGGATGGCGACCGGGATGGCGATGGGATGCGGACGTATAAATAGCAGTGATAAGGGTAATTGCGAAGCTACCAGAGACCAGCAGTGCAGGAGTGAGCAGCTCGAGCGGCGATAGCAGACACCGTTCGAATGCAAAGACAGCGCTCGTGAGCACTAGAGGCTGCTAGACTTGGTTGGATGCGATGATGACGGGGACGACGGATAGTAAGTAGGGAGAGCATATGGGCGGGCATAGGGCATAGACCGTACGTATATCACCAGCTCAGAGCGAGCAGACCGGCCACGTGTCAGCGAACAACCCAAGCAACACTATATGCAGCGACAGAGTAGGGATTAGTAGTAGGCAGGATCGCCTGGGTGGCAGCGGCAGCGCGCAGAGCTGACGGGCCGGAGGATAGCAAGGGCGCAGATCGGCCGAGGTGATTAACTGGTACAAGTAGGGTGCGGGGTGGCCGTGGCGCGCACGGCCGGTGTCGATGTCGATGTCCGTGTCGATGTCGAGGAAAGCGATGTATGCACAGCGAGTGACGGATGGATGGATGGTAGGTGAGAGGCGACGATCCAGGATTATACGATAAGGGAACGCCGACGGCCGGCGAAGCAGAAGGGGGCCGGCGGTCGACGTTCATTCGAGGCGGATTGAAATGGTACAGCGGGGGCCAGGTGCAGGGACACCCCGAAATGAGACTATATGCAAAGGAGAGTAAGTGCGGCGATACGGCGGACATACGACGAAGGGGCGACGGCGATGCGAGAGACGGTTGGGCGACAGAACTTGCTCCAGTCGCCTTCGGTGGGACTCCGAGGGAGGCGCATCCCGCTATAAAGGACAGCCTGCAGAGACACCCTGACGGTGCTCTCCCTGTTTCACCGCTCGTCGCGCGGCCTCCGTGTTTCCGCGCAGCATTTGTGCCGCTAAGTTTTGTCGGCCCAGAACGGCGCCCCGCAAAGCTTGCAGTAGCGGTCGCTCGAGCGCGCTATAATACACGGCGATCCGGCGCTTATTCAGGACCAGCCTCCGGCACTGGTGTGCTCTCCTTATGCCGGCTGATCTTCTCAACTCCAGCGCCGACAGCAGTCAGACGGGCACGCTCCTGTGCACACAAAGACACGAAGTCAGCACAAGGTCACACACGACGGGTGAGCAAACGATCGTCGCGCGACGCCCGGGGTAACTCCCAGACACGCGAGTGTGGCGACGGATCCAAGATACAACTGCAAACCGGGCGCACCTCGAGCTCCTCATCGATGTCCTCCTCATCCTCCTCCTCGCCACTCCGCGGGCTCTCGATATCCTCCTCGTCGGCCTCTGCGTCTGCGTCTGCGTCGTTGCCCTCGCTCGAGCTCGAGCTGGACTCCTCGCTAGCCTTGGAGCTCACGCTGTCCGCACGCGCTCTTGCTTCGTCAGGCTGGCCGGTGACTTCGGCGCGCGACTCTTCCTGCTCCTGCGCAGGCGGCGTACGCGGATCGCGAACAGTGTCCTCGCTGTCTCTGCGCTCCGTCTCGATCTTGATCGCGCTCGACAACCTCTCGAGCGTACTGTGCGAGTGACCGCGGTGATGATGGTGATGGGCCGGCGGCAGCGTCACTGCCTGAAGCAGGCGCTGCTCACTCGTGGGCGTACTCCTCCCTTCCGGAAGAGGCGCGTTGATTTGGGTCGGCGAGGCCGACAGCTCCTGCCCGAGGGCAGTGTCCTCCTTCCCGGCCGGCGGGTCAAGGTCGGATCCACTCGCATGGGGCTCCGTCGCAGGCGGCGTTTCCACCGCCGCGCTCGTCGTCTGCTCAGGCTTCTGCTGCTCCTGCTCCTTGCGTGCGCGTCGCTTCTTCACCCAGGCCATCCCGCTGCCGTCGTCGTCATCACCCGCGGAACTAGCGCGAGACCTTGCGGTTGTTTCTTCGTGCGCACCAATGCTGACGCCTCCGCTCGACTGGACCTTTGACCAGATATTCGCGCCAACACCGCTAGATTGTACGCTGCCCATGCCTCCAAAACCCCACTCGACGAACTTGGGCTCCTCGGATCTGATGATACAACAGTCAGCACATCTGAACTGGGAAACAATAGACTGCTCGGCATCAACGCACCTGACATTGGCGAAAGGGTTGGCGTTGTTGTACCGCTTGGCACCGTAGACACGGCCGTTCAGCAGTCTCGTGCCGTTCGCACTCCTTGAGCGAGGGCGACCGTCGCGGCCTTTTGCGCCCTCTGAGGCCGCTTCGCGCATCTCCGCTACACGACCCTTCTTGTTGGGCGTCGGGTCGCCTTCGCTCGACCAGCGATAGAGGGGCGTGCCAAAATCGGACTCGAGGCCCTTCTCGCGCTTCTTCTTCCACTTCTTCTCCAAGGGTCTGGGCGAGGTGATGATGGGATAGCGGCTGTCCACGGTGGAGCCGCCTGTGCTCTGGGGCGTGAGCGGCACCATACTGTTGAGGCTTGTGGTGGAACCCGGGGTACGGAGGTCATCAGTCGACCGACCCTTGGTCGATGATGATGCTAGGGGCCCCAGAAGCGGCCTGAGGAACTTCCTCGACCATTTCGCAGAAGAGCTATTTGATCTCCGAGGAATGTCGTCGGGCAAGTCGAGGCTGCACGGCCGGGGCGAGTGGGGAAGGACGTTCCACTCGCCGCCGAGCTCGGACGGTGTCGAGGCCGGGAAGACCGCAGATTGGGGGGTGATGGTGGCAGTGCTCGCCAGCGTGGGCGTCGAGCCCGACGTGGTGTGGTCGTGAGGACTGAAGAGGAGGGAGCCGGAAGGCGCCGACTTGATCTTGGCGTCTTGATCCTTGAGACTAAGCGTACAGGGCTTGCCGGCGGAGGACGCATTGAAGCTCTGGCTTGGCTGTTGCTCGTTGTCATCAGCGGCGTCGTCAAGCAGGACAGAGGGCAGGCCGAGGTTGTCGTCGTCTGCGATGAAGACGTTGCGGCGGGGGTCGGGAAGGGGCGCGAAGCGGATGCGACGCGAGTTGGGTGCTGAGCCGGAGCGGGGTTTGGGCTCATGGGCATCGTGGGGTGGGCGACCCGGGCGGCTTGACGTGGTCGCGCTACTGGATGAGTAGTAGTCGGAGTCGGTGGCGAGGTCAGAGGCGGAGGACGTGGATGAGGAGAGGGATGGATTTGACGGAACCAAAGGGGGCAATGACGCAGGATGGTGGTACGGGGAGGCGGAGGGCGACCGGTTGATGAGTATGCCGTGGGCGGGCCCGTAGTGCGCCGGGGAGAGTACCGCAGCCATGGCGGGGGCGAGTGGGGAGAAGGAAGGGGCAAGGGCTGCTATGGAGAGCAGGGGGGAAGGCGAAGGGTCGGGGAGAGGGTCGAGGGAGTGGCGGGTGAAAAGGGAGCTGCGAGGCTCAGCCTGGCTCAGCACGTCGCGTATCTCGCTCCAGTCGCGCCTCACAAGACGGCCCCTCCTGCCTTTCTCGGCCCCCAGGCGCCCCTCCCCTCTCGATCGCGCTCCCCGGGGGCCCGCCGCCCACAAACACGTGCGGACGCTGCGAATCGCGTCCAGCTGACTCCGTCGCCGCGAGTCTCCTCGAGCCCGCCCTTCCTCCTCCCCGACAGCCTCCGCCGCTCCCTTCTCTGCCTCCTCCTCCCCGGCCAAGAAACAAGCTCCTCCCGGCCCTCGCCCCGTGCCCGCTCACCCCGATCCATCTCATTCCCCCTCTGCCATCTATCACACCGCCCGTGCACGAACAGGAGATGCCACCTATCCGCGCAACAGCCTCGCAATTCGTCCCGCGTCTTGGCCAGCGCTCCGAACGACGCGTGTACACGAACGTGGCCTGCGCACTGACGCGTAGGCGCTGCCGCGCCCGTAACCAACTACTAATCGACCGTTCCGAAACAAGAACCCGGTTCTCGCGACGCGCGTCGCCTCGGACACACCCAGGGATAGCACAGACCGCTCGGTCGTCTCCTCGGTACTCTCCTACCTCCATTGTCCCACATTGTCCCTTGAGCTCGACTTAGGACCTCACTTATCCCGTATGCTCTAGAAGCTCGTCGCTGTGGGTTCAGGCTGTGCCGTCTCCAGTATTCTCCAGAGCTTCTCGCAAGCTTCTCTCTCCATTTCACCACTCTCCGCCTAATCCGCAAAGTGAGGTCATCCCGCGCCCCTTCATTCCAGCTCTCTCTAGCGGCTTCATGAAGGCATGATCGGGCACCGATCTTGCAGCGTGCCCTTCACCAATTCCCAAGCACATGCGAAGCTGCACCCGGGCCCGCAGCAGGCCCTGCATGTCGCCCGCTACGTGACGCTTGACGTACGTGCGCGCTTCTCTCTCGTCAACGTCTGTAGGCGAGCTCGCGATGTACTCTCACTGCGTGCATTATGTGCATCTATGAGTGCTGAGCGCTGAGCATGCGGGCGCATAGGCGACGCCCATAGATTGTGCTGATAGCTTGCTTTCTCTTGTCAGCACCACGACCACCCCGTAGCAGCCTTTAATTCAAGGGTACGTTCGCCGTAGCTTGGCATTCCAGGCCCTATCTTCTGGTGAGTGCGAGCTCGCATTATTTCTTCTGCCCGCGACCCCGACAACCGGGAGCCTTCGCCCGCAACCCTTGCAAGCTGAGGCAAGCTGGCACGCGATCCCCCGCCTCAGGAGTACCAACGACGATTTGCTTCCGCGCCCCCGGCTGATAGAACGGTCTGATTGCTGGGTGTGGTGGCGCAAGGGGAATACCGATCCACCGCGACCCCGTGGGGAAGCTATCGGGGTCCACCTCCGGGCTCCGTATTGACGTAGCAGAGCAGGAAGACTAGGTCACTCCTCTGTGGTACAGAAAGCATCCATCTTGGCTTCGCGCGCCGCTGACATTGTCTTGTCTGGAGGTGGCTGGCGGGGGTGGCTCGGCCGTCCTGATCACATCTCCTCTGCTCACCAGGATCGGAGACAAAGCACGGCATTTCCCGGTTCCTCACTCCTCCCCCGCTGACACCCTTGATTGCGGCGATGACAGGGTGACAACAGCGGTGATGCACCCGGGGGACCTTGCAACAGATTGTGGAAGATTTTTGTCAGGGAGGACAACGACGCTGACAATGTCCGGCGATTTCCCTGCCATCTCGCCGTGCTTCGTCAGTCGAACCTCAGCCGCTCCTACGTACTTCAGTACCATACGAACCCTTGGCCCATCTGTGCGTTTTCTCGCTTATACCACAGCATAATGCACACATGTCTCTACGCGTCGTATGGGTTCGTGCAATGTACTGAACGTATGCTGTATCACACGAGGCTCGCGTGGTATAGAAGCTCAATAGAATGCTCATTGACCGGCGTTCCTTCCGCGATGCATGTCCATCGCGACCGCTGCCGGCACATCGCAGCCACCAGTGCACCGTACAGCCCGGACTGAGTGCGCTCGCCCAATCCAACCCGCGCAAATGTCGCGCGACCATTGGGCCAGCAAATGCACGTTCATATCCGTCCACCCCTTGGCACTTGCTTGATCCGCGCGCGGGGTTCAGCGTCCTCTCGCCTTCGGCGCGTCCAATGCACGCGCCCGCCTCGGTCCCCTTGGCTTTGCTCGCAACCCGCACCCTAGCGAACGCGAATCTGCGCCAGGAAATTTCGGGGTGTCGTATGTAGGCTTGAGTCTCGTAAGAGCACGTTTGCCGACGCCCGCGGATTATGTCGATAATTCTTGGGAGGAGCTTGGGTGCGTGGCGTGGCGGCGGGTTAGCAGGATCGATGCAGGGCACGCGAGGCACCGCGCGTCACGCAGATAAGACGAAATCTGTCCGCAGCGATGCCCAGCGCACGTCGCGTCGCGTCGGACGCGCGCGCGGACGATGCCCGAGCGAGATGCGCGGGCAGATGCTTCCGTGATTGTTCGATCGGGATCAGGGCGTGCGTATGTGCACCGACGCCCGCGGCTCGATGCGTTGGCTGCGTCGTTGGCTGTCGTTGGTGAGCGTGTTCGCCGTGCTTACGATCTCGCTGTGTGATGGCCGTCGACTCGTCGGTGTGGTCGTTTGCAGACGAACCCGCGAAAGTCCCGAGACGGGCACGCGCGATCCCCTGCCACCCCGTGCGTTCCCATGCGGTTCCGGTATGTTCGGTCTCCGAGTGTGCTGCCCATCTGCTGGACCGTGGACGGACCTGTCTGACTGCTTGCATTTGTCCGAAGTGCCTCCATCATGTAGCTGGCAGCGGCATGCGATGACGACGCTGCTGCCCTGGGCCTGAGCTAGGAAAGAGTCCGCTCTCAGTGGCAGCAGCAGTGTTCGCTGAGCTTGCTATAGTCTAGCTTCTACTGCCCACCTTCGACGGCCACGACACGTAGCACCGTGCGTGCTCTTCTCTTCGATTTCGGTCCCCTCGACTTCCGAGATGCACCCGTGTGGCACGGGCAGGCATCTAGCTCAGGATCGCCCTCCGCGAGCCCAACCAGCGCTCTGCCCCCGCACCCTCTTTCGCTGCCTTTCCGGGAACCGCTCGCCATACGCGGCAGCGCGACGATCTTTTGGGGAGTGCGGCCGACCCAGGGTAGCAGTGCCTAGTCTGTTTCCGTTGCTACCGCTCGCGCTACTGCATCAAGCCCCGGGCCGTGCAGGGCTTTGAGTTTCCTGCGTACATATCAACCTCGGAAGTGCAGCGCGCGGGGGCTTCCGACAAAACACCTGCCGCATGCGGGTGGATCGCCGCGTTTTCGGAGGTAGCGTGTACCGGGGGAAGGGAACCTTTGCAACTGACATCAGAGCTATGATAGCAGGCTTTTGGCCTGGCGGTGGGAAGACGCCAACCTGCGGGTGTATCGAGGTGCGTGCACACTGCACGTGCGTTGCGTACATTGACACCCGCCTCTGGCGCCGTGCGGTACGCGGCGCCACAGCTACGGACTTGGATTTAGTTCTTGTCGTGTGCTACTAGTACGCAGCGCACACGCCGATGCCTGTCTGACGGTTATGTGGACGGATGGCCACCTTCTGAGGTGAGTCTTATCACTCCCATTGCTATGCTGACGGAAGTGGCCATAGTGTATCGGCTTCCACTAGTGTGCCAGCTGTCCTTCCACACCAACTATGCCTGTCCAATTCGTCCACCGGGACCGGCGTGAAGACCACGAAATGGGGCCTTCGGTGGTTGTCTTCCGTCGTTTCCCACCATTTCGCCCCAAGGCCCTGAATGACAACGACCCGACTGAACCCTTCGCAATATCAAACGACACGTCACCGCGGCCACGCTCTTATCTTTCGGTCCTGCCACTGAGAAGACGCACCGCCGCCAACGTGCGAGAGCGTGTTGACGCATTTTCCGAGCCCCCCGTCTGGAGAAGGCCTCGAGGCAGCTAGTAGATGCTGGGCTCGTTCGTAGTAGGGGCTTGTAACCCTTCGCCTCTTCTACTAGAAGCCCGGCGAAACACATGTGGGCTGCGAAACGCGTTCACACGATAATTCGGCCTCGATTTGCAAGAGATCGTCGTTCGACGGTTGGGTGACTCCGTGGAAACAGCGAACGTGTCCGCCTTACTCGGGATAGCATGTGGACCCACAGATGTCCACATGCAGGGCAAGGTTCGTTCCTGCAGTTGAAGCCTAGATCAAAAAACGGCGACTGAGTCCTTGCTATCGTCCTCGAGCTCTCAGTCCTCGCTGCACATGGACAGTACGCTCCCCTTTGACGAGCACCACGCGATCTCTAGGTGACAGGTGTATCCCGACGCGGTCTCCTACGCGCTGAAGCCCCGCCCGTAATCAACCACCCTGATTTCTGTCTCTCGGTGCGTGCACAACGACCGATCCATTCCGATTGATCTGCTAGACGCACGTAGCGCACCATGTCTGCGCCGTCCCTATCTAACCCTCGTAACTTGCTTGAACGACGGATCCGTCTTGGTTCGCAGGAACGTTCGGACCATGCAGACTTCTAGCGTGTAACCGTCGTTAATGAAACACTGAAATTCGGGCTCGAGGCGGCCAAGACACAGTTGAACCGCTCTATGAACTCCTATGGCCTGCACGTTCGTGCATTGACCTAGTATGAACTCACCCACAAACCCTGCCCCAGAATGAATGCGCCCACAAACCCTGCAGAAGACTGGATATTACTTCGTCCTTGCTGGTATGTGCTTCTATCTGTGCCACTTGTTCATCTTACCTGTCTCGCCATACAGGTTCTCGCGGACTGGACGCGATAAGATCGAACTCCGTGCACGATCATGCCGTACGATGCGACGCAGGACCACATCTAGCGCTTCAACTAGTGCTTCTCATTCATCGACCTACGAGGCGCTGAACTGAGAGGACCTGGGCCCTGCTGGCCAAACAGTAAGTACGTCGGACTGCAGTTGCTTGTCACCCGTGGACAGGCGAGGTGCAGTCCCGTGCGTTCTACGCGCCTTGGCTCGCGCTTCTCACTGCTGCAATAACTCAATGGCTGCTCGCGCCTCCCGTCGTACCTGCCTGACACTCTCCTTCTGGGTCAATGAAATCCCAGGCATTCCTACGTGGGCAGACTTCTCAGCGCGAGGCGTGGAATCGACGGCGCGTATGGGATCCCGTGATCGCGTTTGTATGAAAGCTGGTCAAAGGGAACTACCCACTCCACCCTTCCATGTGCCGTTGCGTGAGTCTTGACTGGACGCGACGGCTCTCTCACATTCAAGCCAGCTGCACCATCACGACTTTCACCTCGATGCTCATTCCGGCAACGATAACGCGCGTAGAACTCAGCGGATCACACGCGAAGCACAGGACACAGAACCCACCACGGCGTCGCGTTCTCCTGGTTTGCAGCAACAGTCACTGCATATCCATGTCGCAACGACTTCGCGCGAGAAGATAGGCCTTGTTAGCAGTCATGCGACCTCCTCGTGTGCGCCCGATCGTTCATACAGAACGACACGGTCCCGCGTCCTGTCGATCGCACCATCCCGTTGGCCGCCTGTCCTTCATTCAGTTCTGGCGAGGCCTTTCAGCTACTCAGCGCCCGGCGCTCTGCCCTTGTCCACGTCAATCAATGCAGTTCTGTGGGCCCCCGGAGATTCCGCAATGACGGCTTTTGTGAGCCTCCTCCCAAGGGCGATTTGAGCGCATGGAATGCAGGCGATTACGGTCTTGTCGCTGGATCCGGATCTTCTGTGTGCCATCTGTACGTTCTATTGTACCTCGATGCGCAGGCGGTGATTCTCGATAACATGCTTTCAGCAAACGTAAATCCTGACAATCGACTCCAGTGCAAGGATGTCCCGCAATGCACGACACTTCAAGTCAAACGCCAGCGCGCTTTGAGATGGTATGCCTAGGCCTGTGGATATATCCCTGTCAGGTTAGTGCCACGTCTAGTACAACAGACGGCGCTCTTTCCTTGTGGTCATCAGTCGCCAAGTCTTGCGAATGAGAGCTGGATTGTATTGATACTGTCCTTCGCCCTGCAGCATGTGTATCGATATTCCCATCTAGCCCGGCCTACTCATCGATCTGCTTCAAATTCACTCATTCGATTGTCAATGGCCCTGTAGCAAGACTAGCGATGAGGCATTTGATCGTTGAAGGTCGGAACGTAGGGAAATGAAACGCAGCAGCAACCCGGAACGCGATGACGCTGGAGAGAGCGCAAAGGCCTATCTGCGATTCGCTCACGTAGATCGATCCAATCGTTGTGCCTCCGGATCCCAACTCGTATGCGTCACTGATAATCTGCACGTTATTGGAATTGCTCCTGGTGGGTCGATCTGCGGGCTAGTACTTTCTACTCAGCTTGAAGAGCAATTTGAATACGACTATACAGTACTGGCTCACTTCTATCAGTAGGTGAATCTCACCATGCGCCTGTCAAAGCAGCAGACCGGAAATATTGGTTTTCCACTCCGTATCGTTCTGCCATGATACGAGCAAGTCGTCGCAGCTTGAAGTTCTCGGCCAGGGCGTGCGACGTTGAAGTGGCAAAGTACGGTACGCACACGAGCGGCTAATTGCGCAAGTACCGGTGGCTGCTGGCGACTCTCCTCCATCATCATGTGCATGAGCAGTGAGCACGCCGCTCCAAGTCTTCTCCGTCTAATCAGACATGGTGTACTCGTACGGATGTTTGCCCGCGCAGCTCTCCTTGAGACCACATTGACGGGAGTTGGCATCTGCTAGGTCCAATGAAAGACTCCTGAGTTGCATAAGTATATCAGCCTGCACTGGCAGATGTGATGTGTCGTTTCTGAACCCTGTACTGACAAGGTGCGCTATATTCTATCTACTACAACCTTCGGCGCGTCTCAGCTTCCCTCTACTCCAGTGCAGGAGAAGAGGTACCAGACCCCAGGATTACGATTCAATGCGCGCCAGGACGGTCCTTGCCCGACATAGTCGGAATGACCGTCCTCCCCGGGGAATTACTCTACCTATAGCTACAGAGACCACAGCTAAGCACTATTTTAGGTGGGGCACCGCAAGACCGTGCATCCAGCAGTGTCAACGCCCCATCACAACGGTATTTCGCTAGGCGATGGTGACGCTGCTCGGAATGCTCCAGAGTAGCCACCCTCGACCGACGCATCGTCGCGAACTTCCCGCGACAATCCGGTGGACGAGAAGCCACTCAAAGGTCTTGGGCGGGCGATAGGTCCGACGTCGTTGAAGATGAGAACGTCGTCAATGCATGTGTTGGAGGGGTGAAGACGAGACCCAGCCGCCGTACCCCTCAGCGCGAGGGGATGGTGGAGGAGACCAAGAGAGGGGGGATGATGGTCGGAGGCGCAAAGGCAGGTCTTTTATACGGAGGATGAACAAGGCTGGCATGGACAGAGGGTCTCAGCTTCTAACTCAAACCGTGTCAGCCTGTCTCAGTGTCTGGCATGTCGCGGCGCGATCGAGCATAAGGCTAGCACAATAGACTTCATCTGCTCTCGATGACGCCGAACTGGTGGTGAAGATGAAATGCATTGCATCCCCCACCCAATTAACCACCATCATAGTTAGGGCGTATTTATGAGACCGGTCGTGCGCGGGAGGATAGAATGAGGTGGCAGCGCGGTGATCAGGCTACGCGATGATTGGCTGCGAGGTTTCCGAGATAGGCAGGCTTGTCGTTGGGCAGAACACCCGAGAAGTCGGCCCTACGGATGGTGCGGAGCTAGTCATCATTGTGGCGGATCATTGGTCTCAGACACCTTCGGACCACGACACCACCCAACCTGGGACGTGCAGGCAGCGCAGGCCGTTCAAGATACCGTGCGTTGAGACCAGAGCAGGCTGACATGTCGGAGGGCAGAGCAGTGGCAGTTTACTGTGCCTCATCTGACGGCAACCACCCGGCGTACGTTCGGGCAGCACAATGTACGTGGTAGTACGTCGTACATCGCTCCGGGTGACAGTACTAATGCAAAATATCTGGTGATCGTTATACTACAGCCTTGGGTAGAGCTTTGGCCGAGGCAAAGCGGCCGCTCATATATGGCGGTGGCTCGAAGGGGATTATGGGTGCCGTCTCAGGGGCGGTACTGGATGCTGGCGGAGAGGTCACGGGCATTGTCCCGTATGCTATGGTCGCAGCGGGAGGTGAGGTGGACCAAACGCAGGGCAAGCGAGGTCCTACGGTGCTCCTGCAGGAGAAGGGTCGGGAGAGGGTTCGTAATCAGTCTTCACTTGGACTGCATTCTAATCAATCGCACATCCATCTAGGTTAGTACGGTAAGTCTCGCTCCGTTCACATACACATTGAGCGCCGCTCTGAGCAGATGCTGACAGGTTGTCGTGAACACGATGCACGAGCGCAAGACAGAGATGGCGAAGCTGTCTGCATGCTTCATCGCGCTGCCCGGCGGGTTCGGCACTTTCGAAGAGGTAAGCTGGTAGGCCGACTGCCCTGCTCAGCTACAGACCTGACAGCCTCACTATATCGCAGCTTTTTGAGGTCATCTGCTGGTCTCAACTAGGTATTCACGAGAAACGTGTGTGCAGATCCTCTGGGCGATGACGCTTGTTTGCATTTGATCTTACCACATACAATGCAGCGATCGTCGTGATCAACGCGTTAGGCTTCTACGATCCTATCCGCGACCTCATCCGCAAGGGCGTCGAAGCGGGCTTCATTACTGCAACGAACGCGAACCTCGTGCGATTCGTGGACGGGCCCGCAGACCACGCAACGCACGAAGATCTGGACTGGGGAAAGGCGGCCTTGGACGTACTAGAGAACTGGACGTTCCCGGAACGGACACATTTCTACGACTGGTCCAAGATGAAGACTGTAGGCGGGGAGAAGATAGGGGAGGCTCTCGATGCTGTTTGAAGTGTGAAAAGTATAGCAATGCTCATCCTCCATTGGACATCAAGTTCGCATCCCATAAACACTGCATTATGTACTAGACGGCTACCACCTGTATAATAAGGACTGCGTGTACCGTAGTACGGTATACACCGGTCAGGGGGCGCCAATTATGTACCATTCCTAAGTGTCCCTCCCGAAGATGATAAAGATAACAAAGAGCGTGTGCGATGCATCTAAAGGAATAGCATAGGAACTCCTGGAAATAAGTTGGCAAATCATATACTGGCGCGTTTACGGCCAGCCCTCCTCGCCGCTCCGCCTCCCGCGGTAGTTGCATTCGATGAGGAGCGGCACCACGGCGTTGTCCTCCGGATCCCTGTAGAAATCCAGCAGCGCCCATCCGCGGATGCGCACTTTGCTGCCTTTCTCGCCCGCCTGGGACGCGCGGAGGTTGGCCTGATGGCCCGCGCTGCCGCTGCTCAGCATGTCGATGAGCCATGTGCCCAGGCGGCCGTTGACACCCTCGACGCCGAAGCCGAGCTTAGGCCATCCGAAGCCCCTCGCGATCGTCGGCGGGAAGGCTAGCGGCACACTCGCAGCAGAGAAGAACGAGATGGACAATGTCGGGAATCCGGGGTCGTCCTTTGGTGGGACGAGAACCTGCGTAGCCAGCTCGGTCTTCTCCGGTATTGACAGGAACGACGGGATGTTGTACCTAGCGGGCGTGCATCAGACCTTTGCATTCCGCAGGAAGTGCCTTCGGATCAACTCACCAGTCCTGTGTCCGCACGAGTGTGTTTTTGCACTGCCAAGTGAAGCCTTTCTTCGCGCTGTCTGGCCAAGCAGTAGGATGTAGGCCCATCCCTTCGAGCCCACGATCCCACCCAGCGCCATCACCGCCGAAACGGCTGAACATGACTACCTTGCCGCGCGCCTCGCCCAAAGTGGGCACCCTGTTGTCGAGGAACCACATGTCTCTGCCGCCGGGACCATTCATAATCTCATCGTGTACAAGCTGAGAGAAGGTGGTCGACGGAGTGGTTGCGAAGTCTTCTTGCTTGATCGACATCACGATGGTCTCGCGGCAGGTCTTGGGCGTGCTCAAAAACTCGAAGAGCGTGGACAGGATATTTTGGAAGGGCTCCCGCTGCGGGTAGATTCCGTGGTACGCGATGAGACGCTTATTTATCACGGCCAGACGTATGTCGATCACTCGGATACCAGATTGGAGCTGCCCTGCGAGAGGCGTAGAGAGCGACTGGCATTGAGAAATGGGCCAGCCGTAGAAAGCCATGCTGCAGCATATACTTGAATATGCCCGTTCACACGGAGCGCAAGGATATACTCACGTATCGTGCGTTCCTGTATGCCGGTACTGTGGTGAGCAGCACAAGGATACGCCGGGGTTACGCGATACATACCTGGTAGGAGCAACGAGGACAGAGGTAGGGAGTCCGGGAAGTCCGACAAGAAGGAAGCCAGATCGCGACGCGGTAAGATGAGCAACAGGTGGTGTTTGCGAGAGGTCTTCGAGAGATCAGCCAAAATATGGGATGTAGAAGCATCCCTACAGACCTTGCATCGATAGACCCGCCAAGGACACTCCTCCGGTACATCGACTACCTTCCACATCGCGCCCAGCGACATGGAGAGCCGGATGGTGTATGCATTGGGCGAAGCGGTCCAGTCCTTCTCGGCCTCACCGCGGTTCGAGAGACTCGAGAGTGTGATGTCCGAGCGCGACGCTGAGATGCTAGTGCTAGTGGAAAGGGAGGGAAGCAGGATCCTCGATTCGCTCCGGCCCTTGTTCTCGCTATCCCAGACGATGATATCGGAGGTTTGGTTGACGATGGTAAGCTTCCGCATGCTGGGCACGCCGCCAGCAAAGAGGAGGGCCACGCAGGAGAAGGTACGAGCCCACGGGAGTTGCGCAGCTCGTGGTGGGCTATGGCGACCGCCGGAAAAACAAGCTCTCCAGGACGCGCGGACGGTTGCAGCTCAACTCGGCATGCAATGAGGCCCTCATTACGCCCCCGTTACGTACGCAACGCGACGCGACGCGCGTTCGCGGTCACGAGTTCCCGGATCGCGTCTTGTCGCGTACGTCCATCTGCCAAATATTGAGCTGAGTCTGCTTCTGGCGCGGACACGGGTTCGACAACATGTCTGACGATGGAGAGGTCGACAAGGCAAGTCTCGGCTGTATCGTGAAGCCCCGCATCCCACGAATTATGGTCCGTGTAGGTGCTCACCGCGTCCGTGCACGATGTGAAGTATGTCATGGGCCTACTGCGCGGTGTGCAGTTCGAGAACGTGAGCTGACGGTCAGCATACTTGCGCGCTTTGCTTGCTCAGAGTATATGCGGGATTGATCTCAGCGAGCGACGATACGAGCGACGTCTGGCGGGCTCTCTGTTACCGTCGAAGAGGCTCGTACTTTGCTAGGCAAGTACAGTCGCCTCTACGTTCCATAACCTTGATTCAACCTTCCGTAGCCACTGCATTTATCTTCAAGGGCATCTTCGACGAGTACTCATACCACCCTGAGGCTGAACCCTCCTCCCAAGCTCAGTCATCTCAGCCGGCATCACAACCCCAAGAGGAAGGAGAGCCCACCGCTTTCGAGGTCCCGCTCAACACACTCATAGAGTGCCTGAGCATATTCGGTAACGCAGGGTCCTCATCGTCGAACACGAAACACAGGCTATGGCACACCGGGAACTCGGACCAAGAGGATAACCAAGAAGAGGGCTCCTCGAATAGGGCCAACTCGAGACAGAACAAGGGCCCTGCTAACGGACGCATAGACCAGTATTTTGGCGGAGACAAGGGCACGGGCATGCGGTTGTCGTACGTCGGTGCGGGGCACCCGCTGACACTGTTCATGTATGTGCTTTGTGTTCGATGCGCCACCTTGCGACTGATAGGCCGCTTGTATGCGCAGGGCGGAAGATGCGAGCGGTCCAACTGCTACATGCGAGATTACGACGTTCGAGGCCGAGCCGATGCTGGAGCTGGACTTCCTCGAATCCCCTACGTGAGTACGGATGGCTATACCACGGACCATGTACCAATGACCCTGGGGCTAGCGTCCTGAAGATCATTCTGAAGGTGAGCCGACTCAGAATGGGCCATGCCAGGCTATTGACCCAGCATCCAGTCCTCATGGCTGCGCGACGCGCTCTCCGAGCTCGATCCGACTTGCGAGAGGTTGACCATCATCGGTAACCCGCCCCCGCCAGGCAGAGTTGCACGCGTCTCCGGTCCGCCAAGACTGCGTCTGCAGGCGGTAGGCACGTTCGGGAGCACCGAGGTATAGTCATAGTCGACACGATAAAGGTCGGCTCTGAGAGGGGTGCTGCCACAGATGGACTATCCGAGCGACAAAGAGGTGCTCGAGACATGCGACTGTGAGCAACAGGTCCGGTTCAGGTAAGACGCAGCGACGCCTGCTGTGAAAGCTGATCACGACCTGCCGACAGCTATGTCTTCAAGCACATAGCGTGTGCGTCGCGAGCCCTGCAGAACTCGACAAAGACCTCGTTGCGAATAAACGAGGAGGGCATGCTCAGTTTGCAGCTCATCATGCCCACTGCTCGACCCCGGCATGGAGGCAACAATACGGATGGATTTATCGAATTTCGAGTGAGTTCCTTTAGGGAATAACTGCGGGCCATCACTGACGCGACAACAGTGTCTACCTCTCGATGACGACTCATGACACGCCGTGGCTTGCTGATGTAGTGAAGACTCACCGTTTCGCCCTTGTATTTTCGGGATTCCACCGGAGATAGGCGAGCATAAGACGTCTATGTAGCATTACTCACAGCAGCAAGGATGTAAGTATGTGTAACCTAAATCAATCCCTCCAGATAGCCTGCAGCTGGTTTTGAAGGTTTTGCGAGACTCGCCTCTGCCCGAGGACTGGGAGCCTTCGCGGGAGGCAGGTAGTCGGCAATAACGGAGTCGAAGTCTGCCGGCGGTGCTGCTACTCGGACATCAAGTCAGTCCACGGAGCGGTCTCGCAAGGTCAATGAAGAATCCCTCACCTGGCGGTGTGCGGGCCTTGACGGATGCCTCCAACATGTTCCTCACAATCAACTGACGCACGGCGGCTCCATCCAGCAGCCGAGGTTCCTCCTTTTTTGGTGGCTTCGTCTGGTCACCGCCAGACTTTGTCACGACGTCCGAAGGTGTCTCCTTGTATGTGCCCATAGGTCCGCTCGCCTTGCCCAGGTGTGTCAGAACGTCGCCCTTAGTCAGCATACCTCGCACGCCGGTCCCCTTGATCTTGTCTGCGTTCTCGATACCGTTTTCTTGGAGTAGGCGCAGGACGGAGGGGAAGAGCGGGCGCGAGCTCTCGGGGTGCATAGAAGGGCGAACGGGAGGAGGGGAGGAAGGTTGGGCATCTTGTTTGTCGGGAACCGACTGCGGAGGGGAAGGGGTGGAGGAAGAGGCTTCCTGCTTAGGCGGAGGTGGTGTATCCTCCTTTGGCGGCTCGAGGTTGGAGATGTCGTCACCCTCCTCCGCCAGAAGAGCGATGGTCTTCCCAATGGGGATGCCTTTCGTGCCGTCTGGTGCCTAGCAAAGATGTCGGTCAAGGTTGTGAACATGGAGGAAGGAAACATACCAGAATCTTCCCCATGATGCCCTCATCCTGCGCCTCAACGTCTATTGTTGCCTTGTCCGTCTCCTGCAGCACGTAGAACGTCTTAGTAGCCTCCCGTCGGACAACTGTTCACGCGCTCACGATCTCAAGCAGTACGTCTCCTGCTGAGAACGCCTCTCCCTCCTTCTTCTTCCATGACGCAATGTTTCCCTCGGTCATTGTGGGGGACATGGCAGGCATCTGGAAGTTCGACACGGCGAGACGCACCGCAGACGTCTGCAGCCCTGTATGACGCGTGAGCTCAGCGCTTCAGCAACACAGTAAATGAAGTGCACCCACATCTTCGGCTCGTGCCTGACGCTGCGGCGGTCTTGCACAGGAGGCGCAGGGACTGCATCGAGGCCGACGAGAGCGAGCTCGGTCTGGGTGAGGCTGAGATGAGAGTGGAACGCAGGCTGGACGGGATCGGCCAGCAGTCCCGCCTTCCGGCGACGCGTCGTGAGATCATACCCACGTGGCGGGTGTCCGGCGGGCGCGAATAATGCGCAGAATAAAACGTACGATGCAAAACATGAAATGAACAATATCCTCGTCGCTCGGCTGGCGGATGGTGCGGACAGCCTCCTCGATGCGGTATACGTGTCCTCTCTCTCTATCGCGACGGCCGACAACAGCGGGCAGGTGTCCGAGGATGTGTCCGAACAATTCTGGCCTGTGGCGGGAGAGACCGGTGTCCAGCGCCTAGCTGGTTCAGACTAGGCAACGTTTATCACCTACCAACACCCACAACTATCGCGGGCCAGGACGCAGCTCTCGTCGTGCAGGTGGGCTGCCTTGGCACTACCTTCTTGGGGGATATCGAGCTCAAGGTCTGTCTGTCTGTCTCCTGGCTGTGTCTTCGCAAGTCGCTGACCAGAGGAGTTGCAGACCCATACGACAGGGGTGACGACCGCGCAGGGCTGCGCGTTATCTCACTGCCATGTACTCTCTTCCGTCTCCTGCTCTGCTGCAGCGGACGCGTGCGTATGGGACGAGGTTCTTCCATCGGTTCGGAATGTGAGTGCGTACCGCGTTCTGCATTACTGTCCTCTGATAGCCCCCGGTGTAGCCACTGTGCAACACATCAAATACGGCTTATCCTTGTGTCGTCTATCGTCATTACCTCCCTGCTCTTCCCTGCTATCGCTGTCTACACCTCGCCGGAGACCCATTTCTTTGCTGGCTTCACCCTACGCGTGCTCGACTCCTTTCTTACAACCGACGACATCTCCAGCTACTTCGCGCAACACGATCTCCGTAACCTATGGGAAGGTCACAACACACTGAGACTGCACGACGACTCCGTCGCACGCGCGCAGTGCGGCATGCAGAGTATCTTGCGCTCTGAACGACTCTTGCTTGGCAGTGTATCGCCGGAGTATGGTCTGGATGCTTTGGACCGCGACACACTGCTATCTGCTCTAGCCCTCGAACAGAGGATCTCGAAGATACTATCTCAGCGTCACATACCTTGCTTGAAATCGTCCAGCGGCTCCTGCTTCTTCCTGAGCCCTCTAGCCTACTGGGATCATGACGAGGCTGAGCTGTCCGAGGATACTAGCATCCTGGACACAATCAATCTATCGCACAACGTGACTATCTCTGGCATCCCTATCAGCCCGGAAATGGTCTTCGCTGGTCGAGAGCATGATCCCAGCACGTCCAGCATGGATAGCGCCATGTTCCTAGCGCTCACGTACTTTTTCCCGGATCGCGACTGTCTTGGAAACAACGGACATATCCAATGGCTGCGGGTTCTCAGAGAGGCAGGTGGGCCGATGGGAGACCTTGTCGTTCAAGCTCAGCCGCCCAGACTCGTTGCGCTAGAGGTGAGTCTGGTAATATGTTTTGCGACGACATTCACAGACGGTTCTGCATAGTACGACAGAAGTCTTACGACGAAGAGCCGCTTCAGCATCCTTTCGGCATTCTGCTACGCTGCATATTTGGTGTTCGTGGTGTACTGCGTAAGGTCTATGAGAAACATGAAGACCGTACACTCTCGCTTCGGTCTGGCAGTCACCGGCCTCGTGGAACTCATTGTCAGTACCATAACGAGTCTGAGTGTCTGCGCTCTGGTAGGGTTCAGGATGACTATGGTACCTTGGTATGTCTATGACCATTAAACATCTGGACCAAAGTTCTAACCTGCTATCGTAGGGAGCTATTTCCAATCATTGTGATGTTTATTGGAGTGGAGAACATGTTCCACATCGTGCGTTGCCCCTTCACCAATCTTGCTGCGGCTGACGAGGTAGCTCGTAGGTCGACGCGGTGCTAAGGACGCCCGTGACGATTCCCGTCAAAGAGCGCACGGCTCAGGGTCTGAGCCAGGCGGGTACATCCAACACCCTCAAAGTTGTGTCCTACAACGCGGTGCTTGGAGTCATCGCCTTCTTCTCCAGTGGTGCGATCCGCCAATTTTGCGCTTTCTCTATCGTTGTTTTAGTGGCGCATTGGTTCCTCGTGCATACCTTCTTCGTCACGGTGTTATCAATTGATATCCAACGACTCGAAGTGGGTACACGTCGCTAGTCGTGTCAGCGCCTGTTAACTCACACGGTTTCTGCAGTTGGACGAGCTCCTCCGTCAGGATATAAATATATCGCCTTCAGATAAGGGAAAGCCCTCAATATCACCTACCTTACCTTCACCCAAGACCTGGAAGCAGGCGTGGCTCGCCGCACAGAACACAATACGTGGCCGTCCCGGCAAGAATATCAGTTTCTTCCTGGTAAGCATACGCGTTCACAAGCGTCGCTCGATCTGTTGACAACTTCGCATAGCTTTTGGCAATTGCGGCGACACTGTACTTTGCGACTACACCGTCGTTCATGCAGACCAAGAGCGCTGCTGCTCTTGCACGACATCCCGTGCGCCAGGTCCCGAAGATGACAGCCACCGACAAGATATCCCCTGCATACCGCATCTGGCAAACCTTGAACCCGATCGACGACACCATGGTACACGTCCGCATAGAGTCGCCTGCAATTCTTGTCCTTGCGCCTGAAGAGGACAAACAGCCTGACGTCCGCTCTCCCGGCGATGGCGAGAAGGTGTCCCGTGCTCGCGTGAGCAGGCTGTCGCGCTTGTGGACGCGCACCGTTCGGGATGTCTGGTGGCTCTTCAAGATTATGATCGTGCCAATCACAGCGACGACGGTCCTGCTCTACGCTCTTCTCCTATATCTATTGAAGAACGCCGAGCTTCTGGAGGCGTCACGTCAGCGACCGGAGATAGATATCTCGAGCTCCGAAGAGGCGTCTGTGGAGGGAGAGATCTCGTTCGCTACGCTACCACGGGCCTTCCCTACCGACGTGGATACGATTGCAGCGAGCAAGAACGGCAAGGTGGTCGTGATGCTCGGGCTGCAGAACGAAGTCGTCGTGTGGAGGAGCATGTCGCGCACGAACATTACGGTTGACACCTCTCCTATCTCTCTCGGGCGCACAAGCTGGCCTTCGCAAAGCACTACCCTCACGGCGGTCACGGTCAACGAGGCAGGCACGCTCTGCGCCGTAGGCTCTGCATCTGGTGCCATTGGCGTATGGTCGATAGAGCGGGACCATGCCAAGTACATCACACAACTCACGCTCGACCCCACGACAACCGCTGCTGTCGCACACCTCCACTTCGCCTACTTCCAGTCTCGCCCGCCATCGCCTGCTCGCCCGCTCACACCCACACCACCTACCCCGGAGACTACTCTCTACCAACCTGTCGTCTGCCTGTACAGCGCCTACGAGAACGGCACGGTCGTCAAATGGGACGTAGCAACTACTCCTCGCGCTCGCTACGTTGCGCCTACGCGCTCTGCTACTGTCAACAAATGTACGTTGGTGCCTGTCCACGGCGACGAGCGCCTCCTTGTCGGCTTCGCCTTCGACGACGGGACTTTCGAGCTGTGCGACCTCGACCGGAACGACCAGCTCGTGGCTCGTGAGTGCTGGATCGCCGCTGGCAATCCCCAGGACTTGGTCAACAAAGTCGATGCTTGCGTCGTTGAGCTCGACGGCCAGCGTCACGTCATCATCGCCGCTGCCACTCAAGCGGGCGTGGTGTCGCTCTGGGATGCTGGTTCACGGGAATGCCTGTTCATCATGGAGGAGCCCTTCGGAGACATCAATCAGCTGCGGGTCACTTCTGTTACCCCGACGAACTGCTCAACTTGCGGAGAACTGCCTTGCGAGAACTTCCTCATTACGTTCTCCGTAGGTCAAGTCGTCCTCTTCTACCGAGCCTACCTCTATCTGCCAACAAGGAGATGTTCGTGTCCCCGCAACCAGCCACAGCCTGCGCTGCGCACGAACATGCTTGGACATCGTTCGCGGAGCGGCAGTGCTACGTCGGTCGCATCGACTACCGGGACGACAACGCCTGTGGGTTCACGTTCGCGGGTACCTTCCGTGTCGTCCTCCAGCTCTGCCCTCAGTGCCCCCATGTTCCCTGTATCTGCGCATGGTGTTCATTCTCGTAGGGCATCGGAGAAGGAAGGTTCGCGTCGTACGCATGACACGTTCTTCGTCCACTCCGACTGCGACGAGTCCGATGCACACCCTCTGGGCCCCGTTGACGTTACGCCCGCAGCCGGCTTCCTCTCATCCCACCCTCCGACATCCGTATGGCAGAGCCTAATTGTAATCCGCGTCGCAGAGACCATGTTCGAGAGAGGAAGCTGGGACGTCGCTGGAGACAAGGTCGTCGGCATCCGCCGCAAGCCGCGGTCCAGCTTGCTCATGCGACGCACGGACGCGAAGGTGAAACTCAAGGAAGAACCCCTGCACGGTCTGAGCAACTCTACGCTTGAGCGATGGGAGCTCTGGACTTACGACCCCGAAGAGTCGCGCTTACATGCGGCGCCGCTGAATGCGCTGCGTCGCGGACCTGAGGAGCGGGTCATGGATAGGCGGCGCTCGAGCCAGGACGTTTCATCATCCCCGAAGCGCATATTTGTCCCTCGACTGCACTTCACTCGTGTCACACCGATGGTCGCGACTTCATCGAGTTGCATCGCTGGGTTTGGGAACACTGTCGGTCTCTTTAACATCAACTCGCGACCGAAGGGTGGGAGGCGGAGGCGGTCCTCCGGCGAGGACGTCCAGAGTAGCCCACCCTGATAGTCCCGTTGTCTGTTCGCCTTTTGATTTGATACGTAGAGCACGATCTGTAGCATATCTGTGACATAATTTCTTGTGTATACATAGCAGTGTACGTAGTGTACATTGTATTCTGCGGCCGGTGAACTGATGTTTGGCTTTGAGCAGGTACTGAAAGTGCTGATGAAAGCATGAGGGGCAGTGAGTCCTCCAGATGCTCAACTGTGGCTACATACAAAATGGACGCGACTCGGTGTGTGACTGCAATGATGATCTCAAGGGGCTGGGCCCATTGTGATGCTGCCCAGTCCAGCTAGCTGCCTTACCACAAGACAGTCACTTGCATGCCTGTGGTATCCCTTCATGCAGTCCGGATCCCTCAGCAAGTGTCCTCGACGAGGTTCGCCATCACCCAACGAGACATCAACCCGGCCGGGGAGGAGATGGGTGTGTGCACACTGATCGCCATCTACTTGCTGCTAACACATATAATTCCAAAGCGCAATGTCTCGTCCTCCTGGGTGCGCCTGCTACCTTTGACCCGCAGACAAGATCACAACCGATCGGTCTACCGTGCTCTAGACTGTATGTCTCACACCGACGAGCGAGTAAAAATGGGTCAGTCAGCTGTGTCGACACCTCACTCTTCTCTGCCCTCTTTCCAAACGACCTTCGAGACCGTAGCCGGCGGGTTCCTCCCCTTGTGCCGTGCTGACGATAGATGAACTTGTACCTGGTGCACAACGATCCAGAGCGGACGACACTCGTCTCCTCCAACGGGGTGGCGCAGTACCAGGTGCGGACGATACAGAAGTCCCTGCTGAGCGGGTCAGCGGTGTCGACGATCATCCGACCGGCCCCGACGGCGAGGGAGAGCATCGTCGCAGAGATCGAGTGGAGGGCATGGGGCAAAAGGCCGATTGTCCGGAGCAACGTGTTCGACGGGACTGCCCAGGAGCTGCCTGTGGACGAGCTGCTCTTCAAGTCGTCATCGACGAAATTCAGCGCGTGAGTACGCTCGCTATTGATTGCTGAAATTGTGTGCTAGGCGACCAACGGAGCGTGGACTCTTGTTTAGTCTTCGAGATCTCTGCCACAACAAGCGATATTTCCTCGGGAACGACGATCATGTTTATTGCTGGCGGGTGGTCAAGGGCATTGGCTCCGTAGTGAGTGGATATTATCGCTTGCTTGCGCTAGATGTCTCATCTATGGATAGCTTACTTGTAAGAAGACTGGAGAAGAGGTCGCACGTTTCACAGAAGACGTCGTCGAGGAGGGTTTCTTCCGACGCCAGAAGAAATGGTTCCTGCAAATACAGCCGTCGACGCTCGATATTGACATGGTCGTCATCACGTTCATCATCATGGAGAAGAGACGCAGGGACAAAGTGACGGACCCTCTCGCAGTGCGCGTGCTGGAGCACGATGAGGATCCTGGAGAAGGTGGTGGGATCGAGGGCTGAGGGAGTGGGATAGGCGGATTCCTTGAGTGCATTTCTTTTGGGTTTTATGTTGGGTCATCATCCGGGTTTGGGGGACTTTCATCATCAGGGACTGGAAGGATTCGTTTGTTGGGTTTCTTGTAGTGTTTGGCTGAACTCACATCGTAACTGGGCAGTGCATGAATACACGGAGTACGAACCAGACATACCAGCTATCGTCGTGACCGAGGAGGTACTCGAGGCATGTGACCGCGACGCGCGTCGATACATGACGCGTGAAGGACGAGTGTACCTCATCTTGTACTATGCTATGGTATCGTCCCTCCTTCCTGCTAACTTCTGTTGTCATTGCGAATGCTTCGGACTTCTCATTCATCCAGTCGGGCCCCACAGCACTACATAATCCAGTTGTCGGTTTCGCCGCAGAGCAACGCGAAACTCACCCATCTCCACCGGGGGACCTGTCCCTCTTATCAACGGACAGGTTCGCGGTCCTCGAACATCCCCTCTTCCCTGATTACCACGTACGCATCAAGAAGTCCGAGTTCTGCGATGGTACCGTTGGGTGCGTGCGTCCCCTTTTGAAGTTGCATGTCTAACAAAATCGATTTAGTACATACACGGGATATATAGATATCCAGGCTAGGCATCTCTTCTTCTATTTCTTCGAGAGCAGGAGTGATCCTGCCAAAGACGATGTCATCTTCTGGACGTCCGGAGGCCCCGGATGTTCTTCGTCCCTAAGTCTCTTCATGGAGCTCGGTGCGCAATACCATCGCTTTGCTTTACACGCTTTGCCATTGGTACTCACCACCTCTTACAGGGCCTTGCCGAGTCACCAGTCCTGACAACACTACCTTTAACCCACACTCCTGCAATGAGCATGCCAACGTCTTCTTCGTAGACCAGCCCATTGGCGTCGGCTTCTCGTACTCGGAATACGGCGAGACAGTTGTACGTATATACTTTTACTTGTCTCGACCTTTCAAGTTGTCGACCGAGGTGCGTTTGTAGAACACGACTCCGGACGCAGCCAAGGACATCGCAGCGTTCATCGCGATATTCCTTGAACATTTCAGTCAATTCGGGGGCCGTGCGTTCCACATGGCTGGGTCGTCCTATGGTGTATGCCTCGCATTCCTTCTCATGCATCGTGGATCATTGAATTCAGCCGTCCGCAGGGCCGCTACATCCCTGCATTCGCCGCAGAGGTTTACGGCCAGAACGCAAAGCTTATCGAAGCAGGACTTATGCCAGTCAACCTGTCCTCCATCATGCTCGGTCTGTCTCTACTTCGTCCTAGGAAGCTAGCATTGGATGGTCTAATTACATGTGGGAAGGTAACGGATGCACTGACTGGATCTCGATGGTGCCGTCCTGGTATGACATGGCGTGTACGCCCGCTTCCGTTGCACCGATCCTGGATATCAGGTATGGACCGACATGTCCTGTGGCCCGGGGCTTCACTGAGTGAATTTCATAGTTCGTGCGTGCGGATGAAGCAAGCGGTGAGCGCATTCATAGTTGTTGCATTGCATGCGCGTCATTCTGACGGTGACAACAGGTCCCGCGCTGCAAGGACGCCCTGCAGAAGTCTTGCATCGACAGCTACGACAGCCTCAGTTGCGGCGCAGCAGACATGTTCTGCCAGACAGAGCTCAGTGGCCCCTTATTGATCACCGGTGAGCCCTTTCCGTTGGGTTTTAGAGCTATATTGCTGACGTTAGTGTCATAGACTACAACATATATGATATCAGCAAGCGATGGTAGGCGCATGAGAGTAAGTTGATGTATGAGACTGACCTTGACTGACAGCGAACGTTCTCTCGCGCTCTGCTATCCTATCACGGAGTAAGATGTCTTCCAACTGCCTCGGAAGCCTAAACTTATTGCTGGTCCCTACATCGCACAGAAAGATAACATCGTATCTTGATCGGCCGGATGTGCGCGAACAGATCGGCGTGGACGCGCTCGTCAGCGCGAACTTCACCCTTTGCAATGACGACGTGCACGCGGCTTTCTCTGCTACTCAGGATCTGATGTTTCCAACACGACACTACGTCAGCGCGCTCTTGGAGCGTGGAGTACGCGCGTTGGTCTACGTCGGCATCAATGACTGGGCCTGCAACTGGGTGAGTTTTGATTGTGTATCGGAGTTCAATTTGGTTACGAGCAGATGTGTCTGCTACAGGTCGGGAACGAGCGCATGTTGTTGGACTTGGAGTGGACAGGACAAGATGCTTTTGTCAAAACGCCGCTCAGGGAATGGACTGTAAACGGTAATGTTGCTGGCTTGACGAGGCGCTCTGGCGCTCTGACGTTCGCGACCATGTATGGCGCTGGGCACATGGTACGTGTCGTTTTTACAACTATCACACGGCCCTGGGTATCTGATGCTTCAACAGGCTCCTTATGACAAGCCCGCAGAGTCTCTTGAACTGACGAAGCGATGGCTGGCCGGGGAAGAGTTATGAGACCACCGTGTGGGAAGGCTTGTGAGATCCCATGTTCATGCAAGGCGTATAGACTAAGCTCAAACCAAGAGTGGCGCCTTGATTTTGTTCACGGCTCGTTCCTTAATCGTTCGCAGAGTCGACGCCCTTGGCTTAGCTGTGGTTATGTTCGTTCGGATAGCGGCGCACATGCTGGAGTACGAAGGGCACATCGAAGATGGTTTAGGCGGTGGGATAGACGGCGGAAGAGAAGTGGTGGATGCAGGCTTCATGAGCATTCCTTTCTTCCGGTGTATATTGGGCTATCGGAAGACCACTTATCGCCAGGGACTCCCGGGCCATTCTCGGGGATAGTGTTGGGCTCGCCGACTCTCCCCATAGATTGGCAGTACAGAACTGGGTGAAGAACGTGTTGGTTACACTCTGCTACAACATACGCTCATGGTGATGGTAACAAAGGCGTCGAGACACAGTCTGAGACTCTGAGGGTGGCACTGACTGATGAGGTACTTCATACACTGTCATGTGACCGCGACGCGACACCGTTATCGTACGCGCCGCATGCGCCCGGCGCCGCCCATGGGAACTCGGCATTTCTTCCAGCTGTGTCGCGGATCCGTCAGACTCTGAGCGCGTTCATAAACCGCACTGGCGCAGCCTGCTCAGACCTCGTCTGCCACCATGCTCTGGCACCGTCTCTCCTGTCTCCTCGTTGCCGCCGTCGTCGCCAGTGCTACCCAGTTCCCGTTAGTGCACTCAAGCGTCAAGGCACAAAATGTCCCAGGCGTTGGCTTCGCTGCAGACCAGTACGACGCTGGTCTCTTTACGCCGCTGGGCGACCTCTCCGCTCTGTCGACGGACGAGTTCACGACTCTCAGTCATCCGCTCTTCCCGAACTACAATGTGCGCATCAAGAAGTCCGAGTTTTGTGATGGCACCGTGGGGTACGTGTACCTACTGTAAGGCTTACTTATGTTTTGCTAAGACCCAATCAGGACGTACACAGGATATATAGACATCCAGGCTAGACATCTCTTCTTCTACTTCTTCGAGAGCAGGAGCGACCCCGCCACGGACGACGTCATCTTCTGGACGAATGGAGGCCCGGGATGCTCCTCGTCCCTAGGTCTTTTCATGGAGCTTGGTGCGTGCTTGTATATCAACCCTTGTGTGCGTTTGTGTTTGACATCCGCTGTCATACAGGGCCCTGCCGGGTCACCAGCCCTGACAACGCCACATTCAACCCATACTCCTGGAACGAGAAGGCCAACATCTTCTTTGTCGATCAACCTATCGGTGTTGGCTTCAGTTACGCTGAGTACGGAGAGACGGTCGTGAGCATAGCGTCCATTTTACCCTCTACTCTTGATGATCAAGACGCGTTCCGCAGAGCACGACCCCGGAAGCAGCCAAGGATATCGCCGCATTCGTCGCCATCTTCTTCGAGCACTTCAGCCAGTTCAAGGGACGTGCCTTCCACATGGCCGGCGAGTCCTATGGGGTACGCTTTCCATACTCTATTTGAAGGATGGTGCGACTTACAACGCCTGTCGCAGGGCCGCTACATCCCTGTATTTGCGGCAGAGGTTTACGACCAGAACGCGAAGCTGGTCGAGGCAGGTCTGACTCCTGTCAATTTGTCTTCCATCATGATAGGTGTGTTTCGTTCCATTCGATGCTCGGTCGAGCTCAACGATGTGCTTCTCTGTCTAGGCAATGGATGTACGGACTGGGCCACAATGGTCCCATCGTACTACGACATGACCTGCAGCCCAGCTTCAGTCGCTCCCATTATGGACATCAGGTCTGAAGCTGCATCTGTCGCTCGTCTAAAACGAGATTGTTGACCAGCATTATGCAGCTCGTGTGTGCGTATGAAGCGGACGGTGAGTAATTCCCCACTTCTTGTCACCCTATGATCTCACTATTATTTTGGATGTCGTTGCAGGTGCCGCGCTGCCAAGAAGCCCTACAGAAGTCCTGCGTAGACGCGTACGACAGCTTTGGCTGCTCGGCGGCCAATCTATTCTGCTCGGCGGAGATCATCGAGCCCTTCTTTGACTCAGGTAAGACCATGATATTCATGAGTGCCACTCACTGAGATGCTCACTTACTATGCTCTTGAAGGGTACAATCCCTACGACATCAGCAGGCTATGGTAAGCCCCTTTTCATACCTTGGTGCCTCATGTTGATCACTGCTGCAAGTGACGGCCCCATATCCGATACCCTCTGCTACCCGGTCACAAAGTACGTGCTCGCCGCCCGAGATGGAACTGCAACACTGAGTACTGCCGTTCTTACTGCACAGAGCAATTGGCGCCTATCTTGACCGACCGGATGTTCGCAAGCAGATTGGTGTCGACGCGTTCGTGACCGCGAACTTCAGTAGCTGCAACAACGAGGTGAATGCGGCGTTCCACGCAGCAGACGACCAGATGTTCCCGACGCAATTCTACATCGGTGCGCTCCTCGAGCGTGGCGTGCGTGCGCTGATCTACGTCGGCGCGAATGACTGGATTTGCAACTGGGTGAGTTCCTACGCATGATTGAGAGGACCTCAATACGATATGAGCGGGTGTGTCTATTGCAGGTCGGCAACGATCGCATGTTGCATGATCTGGAGTGGACGGGGCAAGAGGCATTCGTCAAGGAACCGCTGAAGGAGTGGACAGTTGACGGCACTGCTGCTGGTCTGACGAGGAGTGCTGGTTCTCTGACGTTCGCTACAATCTATGGCGCTGGGCATATGGTGCGTGCCGTTCTCTCGCGACCGAAGGCTGTCGATGGAGGTTTCCTGATGCTTTCCCAGGTTCCCTACGATAAGCCCGCAGAGTCCCTCAAGTTGACGAAGCGATGGCTGGCGAATAAAGAACTGTGACTTATCTGTATAGCAAGGCTTCTGAATTTCAGCCGATGCGACGGACATAATACATTCGGTCAACACAATAGGCTCGATGAACGCCATAAACTGCGGTATCTGACTGTGGCCCGTGCTGAAAATGGCAGTGCCCTCCGCCGATGACACCACATCTTGCGCGGGGACGAGTGATCAATTGCCTTTTTACAGAGATAAGGCACGGCCACGACCCCGACAAACTCAAGTTCGAATTCAACAGCTGACCATCAAATAGACTAGCGCTTCCTCGAGGCCGAATGCATTATTGTGAGAGTACGTGGCTTTTTCAGCTCAAGCACTGGCAGTACGAATTAGCAGCGCACTGTCGCCTTACTATCACTACAGTGATGTACAACCCAGAGTTCGCTAAAGGCGGGTGGATCCTAATGCCTCGCGGCGCCACGATTGTACGTTTTTCATCGCATCCTCGCCGCTGTATGACGCTATTTCCACATATGCAGGCCTCCTGGTAACGCATATCATGCCAAGTTGGGTGGCGAGATACTCGCGGTTATCACCCTTCATCCAACCTTCCGGGCGATATCTGCCATTTCTAATCAGCTTGCATCGTAAGACGTAAGTAGAAATGCTACCGCTTCGTATGAAGCTAACTCAACCCGAAACGCACTGCGAGGCTCTCAATAAAAGACCGCCTTCCAACCAGCTCTGACGCTGCTTCCCCCACAAGCGCGCACACCTGCAGCAATGGCTTCAGCTCCCGAGAAATCCACTCGACTACAATCGCTGTTCCCTGGTGACGGAAAGCCCCCGTACGTACACCTCCGTGAATCCACGACGACCTTCAGCAGGCCAATGGGGACCAATGAACTGTTCTATAACCTCATCCGTGGCCCGCGCGGATACCTCGACTCGTTCTCCATCGTCCCTCTCGCCTGCTCTGGTGAACACACCACCACCGACGACGAAGTCGTGCAGGCATATGCCGCACTCCGCCTACGTCACCCCCTTCTCGCGTCTAAGGTCGCGTACAGCACCACGCAGCTCCCGGAGCTCGTATACACCTCCCCCCTGACTCAGGCGCACGCCCTTCGCGAGGCTAGAGCTCAGATCGAGTTCCACGCGTTCCACGACCAGGGCACATCCACGGAAGCCCTCCACGATCACTGGTTCTCCGTGAAGCCTGAGGATGCGCTCGATCTGCGCAACGGGACATGCTCCCTCTACTGGGGGCGCGACATTGATACGCGCTCTGGGAAGTACATCCTGGGTTTGATGACGCCACACTTCATCACCGACGGCCGGTGCCGATTGAACCTCGTTCGCTGCATGCTGGAGTTGCTCGCCAGCCCTGGGCGCGCGCAGCGTGAGCTCGCGGCGCACTTCGCTGGGAAGACGCCGATTGTGGGGATTCCCCCAGCCTTGAACGATCTCTGTCCTAGCATGGACGACACCTCCCCGAGCGAACTCGCGAAAGCGAAGGCTGCGTTCGATGATCTTGTTAAGTTCAGGAGCAAAGTGAGCTTCTACGGAACCATATGCCGCAGTATGCTAACGAGCTTCGCCAGCCGCTGTCCGGCCTTGTTCCTGACGTCCCCATCTCGGAGGATGACCCGCAACCTCGCTTCGTGCGTCAGACGTGGTCGACAGACGACACTACACGCATCCTGAAAGCCTGCAAGGCGCAGGGAGTCACGATCACCCATCTTGCGAGCGTCGCTGGCGCCTTCGCCTCCGTACAGCGCCCCAGAGCAGCACACGTTAATGAGGGTTTCAGCGACGAAGATTCCTACTACTTCGAATGCCTCTCGGCGTTGGACTTGAACACCAAGGTACCCCGCGTGACGAGCAATGGAGAGATGGAGACGGCCACCCGCCTCATCATGTACCCAGTCGTGATGTCCGTCCCCCGCGCTGCTGCATTGGAATCCACCGGCAGTGACGCGCTCTGGGACGCAGCGCGACAATACAAGAAGCGGAGCGACACATTCGTGAACTCGCCCTACTTCTGGCACTTCTGTCGGTTCTATGATGCTCGGATCGAAGACGAGAACTACGTATACAGGGCTCAAATGATGCCCGGCAAACCCATCCTACCATACATGAGCAGCCTAGGCAACCTCAAGAGCGTCCTGCCTGTCCGCTATCCTATCCAGACAGCTCATGTAAACGGCAATACGAACGGGACGGCGAGCCACAGCGCGGAGATCCGCATCTTGGACCAGATTTCGTCAGGGAAGGCCGACCCGCGGGTCGCGAACTTCCTGATGTATACGTTCGACGACAGGCTGAACCTCCAGTTCAAGTGGGACGCATGCCGTACGAGCGATGGTCTCATCGATAGCTGGTTTAGTCGAATCGTTGAGATTATCTCGCAAGTAGCAGATGAGGGTGCGACCTAGTCTTTACTGACAATAGTCTTGGGGCCCATGCGTCGTGATGTTTGTAAAATCAGTGCCTTGAAAGTTGAGATGGTACCGTACTAGTACTGTCACGGTTTGATTCCAATGTTGCCGGCTAAATGGAATCAAACCCTCCTCTGTTTGAGAATGGATGGATAGCGGTGTCGCGAGCCAACGACTGAGTCTGCATACGACGTTGACCTCGACTCGGAGCGATGCGGCATTCATGGTTGGGCCTGTGAATAGGCGCCACTGCGCTCGGAGTCGAGGCCTCAGGCCTCAGCCCAACGCGAACTTTCGAGACGCCGCTCACGGCCATGATAACCCCCATGGGACTTCTGGGTGACAAGTCTATCCATTCATAAGTCTGTCTCTGACAATACCTCGTCCTGCCTGGCCACGTCTGCACAGCATGATTCTGTGCGCAATGCGGGTCCTCGCCGTACTCGCTTTCGCGGCTCTCCCGTACGCAGTGTCCAGCAAATCGACTTTCGATGCCAGCGGAGCGCAGAGCGTCCATTCGTTGTCGAACGCTCCAGACGACCTGGAGCTGCTCATAACTGATACGTTTACGGTGTTGAGCCATCCAGCGTTCCCTCGGCATAGCGTCCGCGTCAAGAAATCCAACTTCTGCGATGGGACCGTCGCGTACGTGTACTGTGCACGTCACACGTGTACATCTCACTTATCCTTGGCATCGTCCTAGTGCGTACACAGGCTACATCGACGTCGAGGCTCGCCACTTGTTTTTCTACTTCTTTGAGAGCAGACGTAGTCCCGATGACGACGACGTCATATTCTGGACGAACGGCGGTCCCGGAGGGTCATCTGCTATTGGTCTTCTCATGGAGCTTGGTTCGTACCCCAACAGAACAATGCGTACGTAGCAACGTATCAACGACTGTTATGTCTGCTCTAGGTCCCTGCAATGCGGTGAATTCCACCAACACGGAATTCAACCCGTATGGGTGGAATGATAAGGCAAACATCTTCTTCGTAGATCAGCCCGTAGGAGTTGGTTTCTCCTACGCTGACTTCGGTGAGATTGTTGTGAGTGTTATCCTGGAAAGTCAGGTCTTGGTCACGTAACTTGAAGGACCCGTGCCTTCAAATACTCAGAGTACTACGGAAGAGGCTGCCGTGGACATCGCCGCCTTTGCCGCCATATTCTTCGAACACTTCAAAAAGTTCACTGGAAGGCCATTCCACATGGCCGGGGAGTCTTTCGGAGTAAGTCACATTGTGGGTCACACTCATGCTCAGGACCCATGTCAGACGTGCAGGGCCGCTACGTTCCGCTGTTTGCAGCCGCGGTCCTCGACCAGAATGCCAGGTTGGTTGAATACGGCATACCTCCCGTTAACCTGGCTTCGGTCATGATTGGTCAGTCTAGCCCACGCCGTGCTGATTACTTCCCCACTGACTCTTCGCTTAGGGAATGGGCTCACGAACTACCTTGACATGTTGCAATCCTACTACGACATCATGTGCACTCCAGCATCTCTGCCGCCTGTGGAAACCATAAGGTATACATTCATTCCACTGGTCCCTGAATCCAACTGATATGACGCCTCACTGAAACAGCGCTTGCGTACGCATGAAACAAGCGGTGCGACAGTCACTCACTACGTTATGGAAACTCCGGTCCACTTAAAGGAGGTATTATAGTTGCCACGTTGCTACCAGATGATCAAGCAAGCATGCTTTGACGTGCTCGACAACATCGGGTGCGAAGCAGCTCAACTGTTCTGCGACTCAGAGGTTACATACATACCCGGGGGTCAGTGCCTTCAGTCGTTGGATGTCCGCTTTCATCAGGAAAAAAAATGTATGCTAGGTTGTACAATATAGTCCATATTGTATCCATGACGGTATTGCATACCCCCCTTTATATTGTCACTCATTGCTCTCCCTGTCACACCTATTGCATCATATTGCAGCATATTGTCACTCATTGCTCCGCCTGTTACACCTATTGCAGTATATTGCACTCCGAGTAGTTTACGTTGTACTGTATATCCCATCATATCACCTTCATTGAGAGTAATATACCTCGCTGGTACAGCCTGAGCATTTTCACCTGACATGTTGCAGTCATGGTGTTCGCCATGATTGAGCATTTTGCATCATGATTCATGATATGAGACATTAGAATCAGTGTATTAGGATAATGACATAATTAGGTAGGTGGCTTTACAGTACTATTAATGTCCGTGTACGAGAACGACTGAAAGGAACACCAAATGCCGAAATCACAAGAACATTAGCAGGAGAGGTATAAAAGGAAGAGCGACTGTATGGGAATAACTGATATGCATTGCTGTATACAGTACTCAGACGAACGGTTGAAGCAGACTCAGAGCTGCCCATTACGAGCCTTCGCCTCCAGGGCCTGACGAAGCCCAGCTGTCAACGCGTCACGTGAAAGCGTGGTCAGCCTGTGACCGGCATCCACGCTCTCGGCACCAGAATGAAACCTAGTAGAAGGAAGCCGTCAGCGAGTCTGTGCATAAGAGCAAGGCTTATCCATACCGTCCGTTCGAATGGAGCAGCTTACGAATGTCAAGTAGGACCCCATGAGCGTCGTCACCCATGCCGTCAAATGCTTCCAGATTCGCCTTGTGCGTCTTGTACACGGGATGGTATTCATTGACAGCAAATGCCCGATCAGCGTGTATGCCGGTGCCCCACTCATCAATCCCACACTGAATCTGTCAAGCAATGCATTAGCACCTTTGGCGAAGGGATGTGTCGCAGTGCCACGGCTCACCGCTGTCAGCACAAATGCGATGGTCTCGATTGTCAAAGGATCAAAGAAACGTCGGTAGCAAACCCCTTCATCGGACTTGTTGGCGAACCACATGATGTTGATGGTCTTCTGAATCATCGGATGCCGGTACATCCCCTCGCGAGCTCCAAAGTCACGTTGCCCTAGAGCAGGTTCCTTCGAGACAGTATGTGTCATCTCCACCAGCACACTTACTATACCATGAGAGTACGTACCTTATAAACAAATGCAGACTCATACTTGAGATTCTCTGCACGCTCACGGTTTCGGATGATCTCTTCGGGCACAGCATTGTCGCTAAAGCCATACATATTCTCGATCAGGGATTTGATCTTTGTCTTGAGCTCACTACGGGTTTGGCTTGTTCGTGCCATGATCTATGGGACAATATGTCATCGCAATCGGAACACAACAAATAGAAATCATACACGTACTATCCGGAGAATACTTGGGCTGGCCGCATATCTCCCTTCAAGTTCTCGGCATGCCTCGCCCCAAGCGAGCTGTGCCCAACGCATCTCGAGCGCACTGTCCGGGAATGGGTTGATTGTTGAGACATGGCAGCGGAAGATGCTGCACGCGATTGTCAGTATTTGCTGCACATCTTCAGCGTAGTCCTTCTGACGAGGTCGTCCAGAGTGGACTATAATAGGCTCGGGATAAGGATACTCTTCATGTGCATGACATGAATGACGTGAGTTCCTGACAACAAACACAATGGAAGCACGAAGCTTACTCTCGCTGCCATTCTCCACATCCGAGTCACTACCGTGCTCGCCCTCCGCATCTTCCTCAACATCTTCCTCAGCCTCCTCGTCGGTGAGGCGGGGCTCACGATCCATGGAGGGCACCCGACGGCGCTGGATCAGCGGAGGAGAGGATCGCCGCTGCAGGTCGTCCTCCTCAAGGAGCCCGGGCTGAGGAGAAGACCGACGAGACGACCGGTGAGAGGAATGATGAGAGGAACGACGAGAGGTACGATGAGAGGACCACACCTCATCCTCGTCGATCCAACGGTCTTCCTGTACAGCGTCGTTGTCGAAGTCGTCGGCCGGCGACTGGGTGCCTTGTCGATCATCTTGCACATCAGGCTCTTGCCAGTGCATTGGATCTGGGCCGTCTTCCTCGTCATCGTCCCTGGGCTGTGCGCGACGCCCTTGCATCAGATCCGGGTCGTCTTCCTCGTCATCATCCCTAGACCATGTGCGACGCCCTTGCATTGGATCCGGGTCATCTTCCTCATCAGCATCCCTCTCGTCATCATCGCGGGGCCGTGCACGACGCCGAGGCACAGTCTCTTCTTCATCTGAGCTGTGGATAGCTGTGGACCGCCGATAACGAGAACCTGCAATCACAAGCTTAGATTTATCAGGACGTCCGTGAGACTTGTGATGAATACTCTACCTCCACGCCGGTCAGTGTCAGTGGTGTCTTGCTGTGTTGACCGTGTTGACTGCAGCTTTGGAGGCCTTTCGGCCACAGGACTTCGAGCTTGAGACTGAGGCCTGACATTCGCCGAGGCTGAGCGTTGTTGAGTGGCGACAGGCGTCTGCGGAACCTTCCCCGCCCGTTTGATAAGGTTTCGGAATGGTACCTGCCCAGGCTTTGACACCGATGTTGTCACCGTGCGTGTTGTGAACTGGGTGGAGAATGTATATGCACTGCGATCCATGATGTAGAGTAAATGGCAAATACTCTTACCGTCATGGCGGCACTACTGGTACTGGACTTGCGGGGCTTCTTCGCAGCTTGTGAGCCTGACTGCTGATCAGCGGCTCTCTTCTTCGACTTCTGCGTATCTTTGGCTTGTTGTCTCTCATCTATAGTGGATCTTTGTATGATGGAACTGACGCAAATGCAAACACTACTCACCAAGCTCACGTTGCTTCTCGGTAGGTCGGCGGTTACGTTTGGATGGTTTTGGTGTACTCGAACGGCGGGCTTGTGACATGGTTGACAAGGCTGACAAGACACCGGCTGACAAGACACCGTCAGCGGTAGAACAGCAACACGAAGTTAGGAGGTAGAAGGTAGAAGGTAAGATACAAGGGATGGACAATGAACTTGATGGCCAACGCACCAAGGTTCGTGTGAAGCAGACGTGGACCTTGTGTCTTGAGCCAGCCACGCGAGTGTGGCACTGGATTTCGGCAATCTGCTGGGGTCCTAGTCATGTGGGTACGAGAATGCTGAGATCCTGTATTCACAGCTTACGTTTGTTACACTGCTCGACTCATAGCAGCAGCAGCGCCGCCTACACGTCCTCACACTCTATCCATATCATAACTCACATCTGCAGACCACTATGCCAGTGCGCCGACATTGCTGTGGCTTCTGTAAACAACGGTTACCTACTGCAAAAGGCCTCCGACTACACATACAACACTCACCTCGCTGCCGGCGCAACTGGTTGCGAAAAGTCAAGCGAACCGCGCAAGCTGTTGCCGCCGCACAGAACGCCGCCGCCGCGCAGAACGCTGTCGCCGCCGCTTCAGCTGCTAGCCCTGGACAAGAGGAACCTCGGGTTGTCGAGCCTGAGGATCTCGGCCCTTTTCTGCCAGAACCTGACGGTGCTGGCAACATCGACGAGCGACCTAACCTATCAGCGCGAGTCGAGGATGTTCCTGAAGATGAAGAACAAGCGTACCGTTACGTTGAAGCATACCCTGGTGTCGTTGCTGAGATCATCCGCGATGACAAGACCCTTTTTGAGAAGTGGCGCGACGAGCGGGAAAGTGCTGGTGTTGACGAGTGGGCGCCGTTTGCGGACCGAGAGGAGTGGGAATTGTTTAGGTGGCTGATCAAGAGTGTGGGTCAGAACAAAATCGATGATTTCTTGAAGTTATCGCTCGTGCGTACCTCGTTGTGACTTCATGAACTGCTCAATAACACAGACTGAATTTGTCAGATTCGACGAGACTGCAAGCTGTCTGCGGAAAACAAGTATCAGTTCTTCAAGAGCATCGATGACTTACCCACCGGTGTTCCTTGGGAATGCGACATTATAACCGTGCAAGGTGATCGAGTTGGCGAAGACGGCAAGTTGCTAGAGGAGGAGCTGGAGCTATGGCGACGCAATCCCGTCGACTGTGCACTCGACCTCATCGGGAATCCTACCTTCGATGGCCATGTTGCATATGGACCGGAACGAGTCTTCGCAGATGAAGACGCCACCATACGGCGCTACGATGAGATGTGGACGGCAGAGTGGTGGTGGACGATGCAGGTGTGTTTGGTGCGAGGATGTCTCTGAATAGAACAGTGAGCTTATCAGTACCTCGGACACTTTAGGGAGCACTCCATCAGGAAAATACTCCCCTGGGAATTAGCCTCAATTGTCCGAGATTCCCAGTAACGGGCAGAATGTTTGCGAATACGGAAATATTCGTGGCTATTATGAATAGTAGTCTAGGAATTGTACTGCCGTTATGGCATGCCAATAATAATGTGTTCTGCTCAGTAATGACAGTGTCATGTATATGAATACAAGATCCACCAAATAACAAAGCATCACATCTGAATTTGTTGCGAACTCGGAGGACCGACTTCAATACAATCGTCTCCAGTAATCCTGCCATATATTGCTACCCAGTTGATTAATTAATGTACATCAACTATTGACTACTGGGGTTAACCGCTTCGACCACCGTCCATGCCCTCACAAAGCCAAACTCCTCCCATTCTGCGGCGGCGGCGTGCAAAGCACGGGGAAACACCGGGTATCCGACAGCTGACCCGTACCCTTCACGGAGGGTACGAGTCCTACGCGAGTCAGTATGGGTCACGCAGGAGAGTGGGCTCACTGACAAGTGAGCACATGGATGCACACATCAGCTGTTGATACCACCCTGGCAGCACCGCACGTCATACAACAACACTCGGTGCATCTCGAATCATCATGCTCGCTGACTGGAAGTCTGATGTCACGGCGGCAAACAGTGATGATACAGAGGGATGATGAATACTCACAAAGAGCGCGGTACAGGCCATTGCTCACGATTTTTGAGCGTGAGACGTAAGACACTTGCAAGGGAAGAACAAGCCACAGAAGGGGTGAAGAGGCATAGTACTGTACTGCGAGAGCTTACCTAGAGTACCGAGAAGCTCGCGCGGCGTGGCGCGCGAGCATGATATCCGTGCTTGTTGATGTGTTGGATGGATGGAGTCAACATTCACATGGTGCGGAAGGTCCATGACGACGTACGGGGCGAGCCGCGAGACTAAAGATAGCTGCTTGACTCTGCAGGTGACACAAACTTTTGTTGCTAAGACCATACTCGTGGTGCGAGGGGTTTGTGTCGAACCTACGGAGCCAGCCGCAGCCCGCGAGAGTCGAGACACAAGATCCTGTTGCTGTTCGAATGTGAGACGCGCGCGAGGGGAGAGCAAGGAATGCCTGCCTGTCTGCTCTCTCAACCTCGTCTCTACCCATGCCCGCCGTTCGCTCGCGCTCAACCTCGTGCGCGTGGCATGTGTTTGTCGGCCGTGCCTGCGTACTGGGCATTTGCGAGTGTTGTGAGGTGCTGACCCAGCCTTAGAGCCGGTGCGCGACGGGCCAGATGGGGATGAGCGCGAGGGCAGAACGCGAGAGTGCGAGAGCAAGGGCAGGACACCAGAGCGCGAGGGGGACGAGAGCACGAGGGAGCAGGGGCGAGGCCGCATACACACTGCCAGTCTCGAGGCTGACTGTCAGTCTCGAGACTCAGGGCGGCAATGCCGGCGGGCTCAGGAGCGCAGATGGCGGTGGCGAGGTTGCTGAGGTAGGCTGACACTGGGCTGCCAGCTTGACACGGCGCGCGAGCAGCGAACGCCTGGCAGACGCAAAGGTCCAAGCGCTCAAGCCGGGATCTTCCGATGCGGCCCGCATTAGGCAAGTCCGACAGCGCGCAAGTGCTGAAGCGCTGACAGCTCCTCCTCTTCACTCCCTCCTCCACGGCCTCGCCCTGCGGCCGCTTGCCCGCTACTCGCCCGCGCAACCTCAAGGTCGTGAAGCGTGGCTGTTCCATGAAGAGACAGGCCCATCAGAGGCCTGTCAGAGGTATATACAGGTGCGCCGCGGGCTGTTCGACACGTCAACGCGCGTCCAACGCGACAAGTGTCGTTGGTGAGCTCTTGAAGGACGCGGGTGCGCACTCACTCCGAACGCTCGAAGGTGGTCCATCACTCCCACTCGCCCGCGTCTCAAACGCAAACAAGAGGGCTGCGCAAACGCGTCCAACGAGCGGACGGTGGGCGTGGCCACGACGTCAAGCGGGCCCCGGGGAGAAGGCAAACAGGTGAGTAGGGTGAGCGGATGGTCGGCGTCCACGGGGAGCTGCGTCGTCGCAGGGTGGAACACTGTGGGCTTTGAGGTAGGGTTGTTCACCCTCACGCTTATCAACACGCCGTCCCTCGACTTTGTCGAGGACGCCACGTATCCTATGGTACGTAGACGCGCTCTAAGCACATTGTCCGAATCTAACTCCTTTGCAGGCGTGAACGGCGCGGACGGGGAACCCGCGGCCTCGTGCAAAACTGTCCCGAGGACCATGTCGAAGCCCTGCGCCCCTCGTCGCCTACCACACCTGCCCTGTGAGTGCACGCGCATCGCTGCTGTCGGCTACTACCATCTGCTGAGTATCTGGAAAAACAGGTGAGTTGGAGGGGCCCACAGGACGTGCTCGTGTTCCACGGCGCGAAGCGTTGGCCGATGGTCCGCAGACCAGTCTGAGCTAAGCATCGACGACCCAAAGCTGAGCGTCACGGAGAAGCTCTCAAAGGTACGTGTGCAGATGCGTGAGTAGCTCGCAGTGCAGGTTCGAGGCGAGGTGGGCATGTGCCTCCGAGCGCTCGCAGGGGCACACAAGACTGGAGCGCACACGGAGTAGACTGTGGTACTTCAGTTAGTAGTGGTAACAATGTTCAATCGCATAGGATGTTAGACTGTATATTGCCCTTGTATGTACTTCACCTAGACAATATACTGTTTTTCAGTGCCATGACTTGAACGAGTGTGAAGAATATTCAATTGACCTCATTAATATATTGTGCATACACCAGAATAGCTTGACAATGTATGCGTCATGCCTCCGAATTCTGCGGTATTATTCAGAATGCATTCTTGGACCCAAGGGGACTAGGGATCATTGTGAATTATTGGAATTGGACGAATGCATCATTTTACTGCCCATTCCTATTAATCTGGCGGAATTGTTGCCTAATTCGTCCTCATTCACTGGAGAACTTTTTCCTGATGTCCCACAGGGTGCAACCATTGCACCTATCATCCTCGCATCTGACGCCACCAAGTTGACAAATTTTGGGGGCGACAAGAAGGCATGGCCGGTGTACCTATCTATCGGAAACATATCCAAATCAATTCGACGTCAGCCATCGCAGCGAGCAACTGTTCTTGTCGGATACATACCGGTTTCAAAGCTCGAGTGTTTCCACGAATCCACGCGCAGTCTGGCCGGCTACCGGCTCTTCCACCACTGCATGTCACGAATGCTCCATCCCTTGCGCCAGGCCGGGCTTGAGGGCAAAGAGGCGACGTGCGCCGATCGTTGCGTTCGGAGGGTCCACCCTATTCTCGCTGCATACACAGCGGATTACCCTGAGCAATGCCTTGTGTGCGGCTGCAAGGAGAACAGCTGTCCACGGTGCACCGTACCTCCTTCGCTGCGAGGCGAACAACGCTATAGCCCGCCCCGCGACGTCAAACAAACGCTACAGGCACTACACGACCACGCGAACGGCAAGGAGTCAGCGCGCTTCACGTCCGAACAGTTGCGGCCTGTGTACGAACCATTCTGGGCAACACTCCCACATTGCGACATCTTCGCGTCGATAATGCCTGATATCCTGCATCAGCTACACAAAGGAATGTTCAAGGATCACTTACTATCGTGGTGCACGTCCATAGCAGGCAAGGACGAGATTGATCGCCGATTCCGTGCGATGACAGACTTCCCCGGTCTTCGACACTTCCGCAATGGCATATCGCACATCTCGCAGTGGACCGGCCATGAACACAAGGAGATGCAGCGCGTCATTGTAGGGCTCTTAGCTGGGGCGGTTCCTCCCGAGGTCCTCGCCGTTGCTCGCGCGCTTGTCGACTTCATTTACTATGCCCAGCTTCGCTCCCACACCGACACATCTCTTGCTCACATGCAAGCGGCCCTCGACACCTTCCACCGTCATAAAGGCATCTTCGTGACGCTGGGAATACGTGAGCACTTCAATATCCCAAAACTTCACTCACTACTGCATTACATCGAGGCGATCCGTTCGCGGGGCACTTGCGACGGGTACAACACCGAGTTGCCCGAACGATTGCACATAGATCTTGCGAAGAACGCGTACCGGGCTAGTAACCACCGTGACTACACCGAGCAGATGGTCAAGTGGTTGGGACGTCAGGAGGCCGTGGACTTGCACGCAGCCTACATCACTTGGCTGAAAGTTGCAGAGGGCGGAGGGGCTCAGTTGAACGATACGTCAGCAGATGGGGAGGGCGCACCTGATGACTCCGAGTCCCCAGACCCTGCTGCAGCTCCTCGCGTCATGTTGGACGGCGGAAAACGTTCCTACGTGATGGCGAAACACTGCCCTTGTCCGAACACCACGCTCCGTACCCTCGTAGACGATCACAAGGCGACACAGTTCCTGCCTGCGATTACCGAGTTTGTCCACTCGAGGTTTCCTGGATGCCGACTCCAACCGAATGATATGGACCGGTACGACGTCTACAAGAATATCTCAGTGACCTATCCCGCCGACCCGCATAGCGACACGACTCAACTTACCGATCGAGTCCGAACGGTACCAGGTAAAGCAGCAAGTGGTCGAAAGCAGACAGTGGGCGCCCACTTCGACACTGCCTTCATTGTTGATCCTGAGCTCGCAATCGATGGCGGCGGCCGTCAAGACCCGCGCTCCGTCACCGGTGAGTACACACTCAGTTGGAAAGAACTTGCCTGATGTAGCAGTAACTCTTCGCAGACACGAGGGTCGCGCGTGTCCGTGTTCTCTTTGATCTTCCTGAGCAGTTTGGGATCTTGCCGCACCGCCTTGCATACGTCGAATGGTACACGCCTTTACGGCGCAGAGATCCTGGCACAGGCCTTTATCTCGTTTCTCGGTCAACGCGCAACGGCGGAAGACCTAACGCAAGCATTGTTAGTGTCGACAAGATCCGCCGTGGTTGTCACTTGATCCCAAAATATGGTAGGACAGTAGACAAAGAACTCACGATGGATAACGCCCTCGATCTTGCTACCGAATTCCGTGTAAATTCGTACATCTCCGTTGACCTTAGGACATTACCAGAGTAATAATATTAGCACGGACACTCTATTAGACGTGATGTTGGATGTTAAATACTTTCCGTGCCTATCCAGCTTAACTTGCGTTGAGTACAAATCGGACGGGGCCTTGAGACGGTGCCCCCGTTCATTGAGGCACTCCAGAGTTGGCAAGAGCTGCAAGCCTCAGTCCGCGAGCGCTATGCTGCTGGTGCCGCCGAATAAGCGCCTGTCTTAACGTACCTCCCCCACTTCAGCGTGGGCGATTAAGGGCCGAGATTTGGAACACTAGCAGTGTGCCCATGTTTCGTGTCGGACATGCAAAAAAACAGCGTTGGCAATCGCAGTTGCTCGCGCAAGTTCAATATTATTGCTGAGCAGCAGCGCCACCGCAACCGGCGCTTCCGCTGTCGACGCGCCCAAACCGACTCGGTGCTTCTGCGCTTTCCTTGCCACTGTCCACCATCTTCTCCCACTGTGCCTCTGCGTCATACGTTGGCTCCAACGTTCGTCTCCTACTTCCTTGCGCACCTTGCAGCACGGCAATCACCGCAGTCCGGGCCAGCTATGCAAACAGGACGCACAAAAACACCTCGCCTTTCGTCGCGCGGTCTCTCCAGCACCCACCTACCCACTATGCCATGAGCCAACGACAGGAGGAAATGCAAGCTTCATCACTTCTGACGACGCGACGAGGACAACTAAGTAGGAGAGGCACAGGACATCAAATCGGTGAGTCATTGACGCTTTTGATCGAACATTTGGGCGGCGCGCTCTCCTCCTATCCCCCTACCCATTCCATGCGGCTGGCTACGAAGTGCACATAGACCTTGCCCACCGCAGACCAGCGTAGATGTACGCGTTGGGGATCGGCCCGGGTGACGCATCCGCGGTCTGCGGGCAGCCTCTATCCACTTCGTACCAGTGAGTGCACATCATCCCTTTCCCCATGCTCTCGTCCCACTTCCCATCCCCTTTATTTGGTCTGCTGGGCTGATTCTTCTCTGAGTCTCAGACGACAGGACTTCCTCCTCACCGCCTCCTCAACCCGGCATTCTCCGTGGCACGCTCGCCGTTTTGCGACACTCAACTGTCGGCGCGCCCTTTCACTCACACTGTCGTGCGCCGCTCATGCCTGCTCTGCAGCGCACCGGACACGCGTGTCTCTTCCGCCGCCTCGATACAGGCGCGGTCAGCCTCACCACCATGTTCCGCGCTGCCTTCCCGAACACGAGTGACGACACGAAGAAGCTCGCAGCGAACTGGGTGCGCACCTCCTTCGACCTCGGCGGCACGAACAAGGGTGACCGCTCGTGCTTCGCCGGGACGTGGGTCACGCCCTGCGCCCTACATCGCCGTCCAGCTCGTCGATGACTACAATGTCTACGATGCCATCCCCGTCCTTGCCAGGGCCGAGCCGGACCCGACCGTCGTCTACCGCCGCTCTACGCGCGCGCAGCAGCCCACGCGCGAGCAGTCTCCCGCCGCAGACAAGGAGCCCAGCCGTGCACCCGCGTAGAAGCGCAGAGGCCTCGCCGGCGACGCCTGCGTCTAAACACGCACTCGCGTCCGTGCCCACCTCCGTCGCCGCGCCAGCTGCGGTTGCGCCCACTGTACCTACGCCACCTCCGTCAACCACCAGGCAAATTGAGACACCGCCCAGGCGGTCGACCCGGCATAAGAGCCCGCTTCGCCTCCCTCCGCGCCCCTGCCGACTCGGACACTGTGGAGTGCACGCAGCACTCGCAAGACCACTGCGATGCCTGCGGCCGCCAAGGAGGAGCTGTCCTACGAAGTCACCGAGGCGCTCATCGCGCGCCGCAAGGCGGGTCGCGAAGAGGAGCGTGTGCGGTGCGCCGCCGAGCCGGAGGAGGAAGATGAAGAAGAGTTAGAGCCCGAGTCTGGCGCGGAGCAACAGAAGGTGCCGAAGCCCGCGAGCAAGCGGCCGCGCAATGATGGGGAGCTCGATTGACTTCGAGGAGCCCTCGGGCGAAGGTGGCGAACGCGCCATTGCGATGAACCGCAGGGTGTCTATGCTTGCGAACCTCCCTCCAGAACGCAAGTCCCCTTGCTTGGGGTGCCCTCGCGTTCGCCGTGGGGTGGGGAACTAGGTAAGTTTTAATGGCCTTACGACTATCTATCGATATAGATTCTGGGAGTGCACCGGGGTCCGCCCACCCTGCCTGCGGGTGGCCGAATGCTGTAACCTGTCCCTCATGTGTCTTGCTCTCTGCTGTGTAATAGTGCGCTCTTCCCCTTCCCGCTGAGGCGTGTCATAGCCACACAATGAGCCTGTGTCGTCTTGTACATAGCTGGTCATGTGTTATAATAATAAGGATGTTGTAATGCTATCGGTTTCCTGGTGAACGACATCACAAAAATTCATTTATACGATTTAAGAGAGGTGGGCACTCGTTGTATACCATTACAGGGATTGTCAATTATATACATAGCACCAGGCTACACCGAACAATGCGATATATGACTGCTACTGTGGCAGTGGTGTGCGGTTACCTGGTGCAATGGGGTGCAATGTTGCGAACACTCACGACTACAGCGGCCCGGGGAGCCTATGTTAGCCATGTGACACTGAGTGGGTACAACGGGCCCAGAATTTTTTTCCTGATGTTCTCTCACATCACAACGTCTTTCTTTCATAGAGCTCAATCCCTACGATCTCAGGGAAAAATGGTAAGCCAAATCAGCCAGCTGCCAATATGCGCGAACCATGACCTGCCATAGTGACGGCGAACTTTCGGACACACTCTGTTATCCCATCACCAAGTGCGTCGGACTGCCTGCGAAGGCTGGCATGCCGCGGCGTCGAGTTTTGACTGACATGTTGTCTGCCCCAGACACGTCGTCAACTACCTCAACAACCCAGACACTCGCGCATTGCTTGGTACTGATCCGACCCCAGAGAACTACACCGCCGCCGACTGGGAGTTGAACAGTCGTTTCACGTCACACCTCGACCAGATGTTTCCAACTCAATACTATCTTGAGGCGCTCCTCGAGCGGGGCGTTCGTGTTCTCATCTATGTCGGGGTGTATGACCTGTTCTGCAATTGGGTGCGTGCCGAAGCCGTGTTCGCTGGTTCCCCGGAAGTCGACTGAGAACCTATTCATGTCAACTGAATAGGTTGGAAACGAGCGCATGACACTGAACATGCAGTGGACCGGTCAAGCGGAGTTCGCTGCGCAGCCTCTGCGTGAATGGAAGGTGGACGGGACCGTCGCGGGGCTTACCAGGAGCGCCGGCCCGCTGACGTTCGTCACAGTATACGGTGCGGGGCATATGGTGGGTCGGGATCGGCGTTGTTGCTCCTAGACTAACTCGACCGCTATGTTAGGTTCCTCATGACATGCCGAAAGAATCGCTCGAGCTCGTCAATCGTTGGATAGCCCGAGATCCGTTGTAACCTGTACAGGAACCCAATCATTTACTGTGGGCTCACTGGGGTCGCCGGTGTACGCATTTCACGTGCTAACCTCGACTGACAATGGAATGGAGATAGTGGGCGATTAGCTTGTTGGCTTTTCGTTCATACCCCACAAGGAGGATGACAGCGTGACAGAAAAGAATCATTATGGTTCATGCGTATCGGCCTGTAGCTGCCAGCGTGCTCCTACATTCCGATCACTTCTCCGCGTTGAGACAGCATGCCATTAAACCAACATTGAACCGATACATAACTCCACCGTCTGCGCCCCCAGTCTCTGGTAAGTTCCCGCTTTTGCACTTCCGCCGAGAGCCTGCCACGTTGATGAACGTATCTATTGTGCTATTTAGAACGGCATGGCCACGAGCAACAGCACGTTTTCCATGTTGCTGCACATGGACTCGCAAGATCTGGTACCATAGTCGACGTTATACTTTGTGGCTAGGAAGGCCGATCATTTCATGATGGACTCGTCGCTGAGTGGGTCAAGCTTACGTTGTGCTGATAGAAGTGTATACTAGCCGGGACGTACGCAGGACCGTCATAGTCGACGTCAGGTGAACGACATGGCGCGCTCAAACAACTCCCGGCGCTGCGCTGCGCTCTTGAAGGAATTTAAGAAGGAATCACCGTTTGATTCTGCGCCGTCAAGCGGGTATGAGGTCCAGTACTTACTGGATGAGCTGTTCTGCGCACGGTTCTTGTACAAGCAGATCTGCGTAGGTGAGTGCATCGACCCGAAAACCTGGAGCGCTAGTACTAGTGTTAGACATTGACTGATAAGCACAGGCTTCTGACGGAACGCGCTGCAATTGGACAAAGTGGAACTTCTAGCGACGCAATCTCTTGGCCCCGTGTTGCCCCATCAGTGATGCTCGCTGATGCCAGGCGTCGGGCAAATCCCGATTGCGTTCACGATCGACCGTAAAAACCGAGACATGGCTCAGCCTATCCCTCCGAGTACTTACATCGCCACCTCGTCGCGAGCTGACCTCCGCTCCGTCGGTCACTCCGGCATTTACTTCGTCTCGGTTTTGGTGTCCGTCGACCTCTGGTCCTCGGCTGAGTGACACACATACACACGCCTTCGTTGATGCGTGCGTACTGCTCTGGACTTACGGCATGTCCACCACGGCAGCAATTGATGCGTTCGAAACTTTGTGAGTGTGCTACATAAATCTATGTTCCCTTAACTGTCGCTGACTGCGTGCGTAGCTTCGTGACAAACTGCCTCATCGCTGCAGCCACCAGTGAGTGCCATGAAGAGTGCTGTCAACGCGTGTGACTGACCAGTGACAATTGAACTTCAGCTCTTTACGTTTACGACCGATGCATCAGCCTTGATCAAGAAATCGAGCTCGTCTGGCGGCGCAGACTCTCCGTGGCGACCATTGTATATGTCCTCATGCACGTATCCTTATTAGTCAATATCGTGACAATCGTGGCGCTCCTTGTTGTTACGGGCTGCGATGTAAGTGCATTATTACGATTAATCGGGGCCAAGACTTATAGTTCCACAGAGGTTCGCCGCCATGGTCGTTAAGTTTCAATCTTGATTCACTGAACTCTGACGTCTGTAGCGGGTATATCCTCGGGATTACCGGAATAGCATGTACAATAACATTTCGCTGGGCCATAGGAGGTGCGCAGCATACCGACTGCCTAGCTGGCAGAAGCTCATTCATTTATACGCAGCTATATCAGCATTGCGTGTCTACGCTATCAATGGCCGTGCAATTGGGGTGCCCTCGGCCATCATCTTGCTATTCTTGATGTATACTTCGTATGATTTTGTAAGCACAACGTATCGGATGTTTAACGAACACTCAACACTGTCAGCCTAGTATAACGCATGCAGCCTGTACAAGCTGAAAGCACCCCCGCCTGTCGGCTGCCTCATCTTGACAAGCATGCGCCCGACGGCTCAGCAGTAAGTCGCCCGCTTGGTCATTTTACGGATTAGTGCTGATTGCGTCGAACGCCTCAGCGGATGTAAGGTCTTCAGCTTCGGCAGATATGGATGCTCTTGTGTAAGACTGATCCGCCTTCCTTTTCTTCAGTGAGAATCGCCGGGATTGTGTGCGCAATCGTCGCCGAGGTGCTGGTTCTGGTAGCCACTTGGCGAGCAACCTACAAGGTTAGACAGATGGTGAATGACTCCAGCATGAGGAGGTCGGTCAGTGGATTGTTGCTTCGAGACGGTGAGTATCTCGATATCACTTGTATGGTGGTTGTGACTTACGAACGGAGTGTAGGTACAATCTACTTTGGGTAAGCAGCTAGTGCAGACATCAGAGTTCGAGGTACCTGCTGACACCGTGTACCTGCAGTATGATCGTTATCCTCTTCATCATCGGCGCCATATTCGAATACACAGTCGTAAGCATAATTTCCAGGACATTAGACCGTGGACTGACAATGATACCCAGACCGACATCTCGATTACGGGACTGACCTATGTGTGCGTCCCCGTTCCATGATGCTGACTACCACAATATTGATCAGGAATCATTGGATAGACTGCAGGCCATCTGCATTACGCGCTTGTACGTCAACCTCCGTCACGCGGCAAGCTCCACGGGCCATACGAGTCCGTCAGGCATGTACGAAGTCGAGATTTCGCGCGTCCTAGGCTCCCTCGACAGGTCGCTTGTCTTCGTGCCGTCAGACCTCTCCGCCAGTGAAGAGACGGACTCCCATTATACCCTGGACACGATTGCGAGCATGGGCGTCAAATTTGACAATGTTGAGATGACGGACATGGCGAATCTCAGCTCTTCGTTCGACTACAACGTCACTCCCGCGCCACAGCTAGAAGCGGAGGTCGAGGTTGCGGCGGCCCATGTAGTCACGGATGATACTGTATTAATACACAACGAGGTCTGACATGACCACTGGCGTTGGCCCGGGCTGACGACTAGCGACGTAACGCTCGCTCTTGCTGGTTCCACCATTCCTTGTCACCGAAGCTTTGTCGGAACCCTGGACGCTGGGTTGACGCCAGGTATCTACAACACTGATGACATGTGCCTAGGGCCGGATGAGTCTTTCTTCGGTACTACGGTGTAGATACTAGTAGTAGCCTAGTCTCATACCAAGACCCTCCACACGGCGGCGCTAGTATGGAGAAGGGGTTTGTGCCGAACCTAAGTAGTAGCCTGTCCGACTCGGAAACATTTCCAAGTTGCCATCATTGGACAAGGTGCGCGGCGTGCGCCCTTGCTAACAGGCCTGAAGATAACAGAGTATCTAGGGTGTTCGTCGAGTTGCAGATGGGCCAGGACCATAACTGTACCATTCTCATGGGTGAACTCCGACTAGTCTTGCGGCAAGACCCTGTTCACACGCAAGGGAAGTTTGTGTCGAACAATGGGTGGACATCCGAGTCTTTCCTCGACCTCCCACATCAGCGAAAAGGCACGAGAAATAGCTAGCTATGGATTACTTACATATCGCTAGAAACCTTTGCCAAACCGGCTATGGTCGCTCTAGCCTGAGCATGTACCTGTAGAGGTTGTTATGGAACGAACTGGGGCTGTCTTTCCAGCCATACAGCTGTCGTGAAGGTCGTCCGGCAACGTGAGGACAATTGCAGTCGCTGGCGCAACACAGGCGCGGGCCATGGGTCACCGGAGCAGATGTCATCTGTGATGTGTCAGGCACAGGCAAGGGCCATTGGTCTGCGTGTACGACGTCATATGCTGCTGGCCCGGGCCAGTGCGGTCCTTACCTGGCAAGGGATGGACGACAAGCAGCCTGGCCAGGTGCGCCCAAGCGGCCGATGAATGTGTGGGCAGCGTGCAGAAGAATATAATCTTTGTAATAATGTACAAACAGCGAGAGCAAGCAACATGATGGGAGAGCAAACACGGGAGCACAGGCAATACTTACAGCGCGAGAGCAAAAACGTGAGGATTGGGAGACAAGCAGTGTTCAGTCCGAGTCGTTCTTGAGGATACAAGCAGTGGATTGGCGATGGTGCCGGACGCGTCGCTGACAACAGGGCTTGCATCAGACTCGCATCAGTTGATTGGGGTAAACCTTACCGATCGGCGGCGAGCTCAAGCTGGCGCAGGGCGTTCCTCGGCATCAGGGCTCCCAGACCCAGCATTGGCACCAGAGCCAGTCGCGTCACTGGCACCATCCGGAGTATCACCGGGGGTTCCAGCCTCTGTAGCTCCGTTGTTCACGGGGGCGTTGCTAGTGGCTTCGCCCGCAGGCTGTCGCGCCGGGGATTGTGGACGGGGGGGTCCTGTGGTCGCTGCATTCCGTCGCCTCGCCGCAATCAGCTCCATTGTCGATGGGCCGGCCATCAGGCGATTCGTGTTGTCCTGATGACCTGCACCAAAGACCTCCCTGGGTTCCAGGATGTTAGACGGGGAATCTATGGTCGAGTAATACTTACTCGTTATACCAGAGTACCACCTCACTTGCCCAGGTCTCGTCTTCGAAGAGACCGAGTATGTTCTCGTAGAACGTACGATACACGAACTCGCCATCATTCTCGCACCACTCCAGTTGCGAATCAATCCCAAAGCGAGACTGCAGAGTCATGCAGTTAGGCGATCAGCTAGGATAGAAGTAAAGAACTTACTAGAGTTGCGACATATGCGATGGTCTCTGGAGTGCAGACTGATACGTCGTAAACCTTGGCAACGGACTTCCTCCCAGGGCCCGATCGCAACTTGGACGATTGGGCAAGCGGGGCCTTCGCAGTCTTTGGCCCGGTCATGATCGCGCGGTAGACCTGTTATGGTGCAGTTCTCGGCGCCGCAAAGAACGGTAGATAAGATAAGAGTGGCACTCACCGACGACAGTACAGGTGACTTTAGGCAGTCGACCTCAGGTGTTTCGGCCCAGTAGCCTTCTTCGCGGTATAGTAACGCGGGGAAATGGCCTGCTGTGATTTCCACCCCGCCCTCGAAGGTGTTGTCGCAGAACCTACATGCCAAGACACTCATTGTAAATGCAAAGCGACGTGGGAAATTACTCACTGCTGTGGATTGGTGGCAAACTGCCCGCGCAGTGCGATCGGGCAGAGCAGGCGCGCCGTCGCCAAGTGATGGAAGCCTCGGGTGTGTTTCTCATGGTCTTGCTCAATGCTCGGGATATCCTCCACGTTCTTCGGCAGGAATGACAGAATGCAGTTCTTGACCTTGGTACCGTCGTCCGATCGAGCTTGTTTCTTGTGTTTCTCGCACTCAAGAGTAAGTCAGTATTATGAGCTGCTGTCGTGAGGTGAAGCACGTACAAAATGAGCAACATAGCCGACAATTGTCTCATTGCCACGCGACTGCTGGAGTGTCTCGTCAAGCCCCGGGATGAGATCAAGGAGCATCTTGTAGTGTTGAAGATTCTTCGGAATGTCGCTCACATTGCTAATTCACAGCATATATGCGCATATAGCGACACATGATGTGTGATGTATTAGTCAGCAGGACTCGAGATGCAGCAAACTCACAGTTTCTTGAAATGGGTCGTGTCCCATTCCTCAGGCGAGAGGCCATGGAAGTGAACACCACATATGATCACGTTGAAGAGGTTCACAAAGGGGCCCATGCACCGTGGGACAAACCGCGCAGCCTGCTTCCACGGCTTGAGCATGAGTCTATCGAACGATGAGCTAACCGAACTGAGGTAACTGATCGGAGATAAGATCGAGTACTTACTTTTCTTCTGCAGTCGGCACCGACGCTCGTATGGCCCGAATGAGCTTGCCCAATGGAGAGCGGTCGGTCATGATGACCTCGACAATTTCTTCAACTTCTTGATTCTCGTCCTCATTTTCCACGGGCTCGTCAAAGTCCTGCCGCATATAGTCGCATATAGTCAATGAATCGAAGACGCGAAGTAGGCTGACGCTCACATCAGACGATTCCTGCCTGGGCCCAGCACCTCGGCTGTTTCGGGCATCGTAGCCATACCGGGAGTCGTGCTGGCGCCCACGATCGCTTCCAAGCCTAATGTCATATTCTCGGTGAAACGACATGGGATTAGATAACTTACTCTTCATCGTCAAAGTCATCATCGTAGATGACTCGGGTGCGCTTTTGCTGGGGACGAGGCTGAACAGAACCTGGTCCCTGGGCACGCTTAGTGCCCTGGGCCATTGGTGCGCGGGAGGAGGGAGCCTGAGAGCCGTAAGCCATACTCGGTTAGCACAAGATCCAGGATCTGGGGAGATGGCTGTTGGAGATCAAGTCGCGATCGGTGTCTAGGTTTTCGCGTCTGCGCGCTTTATGCTCAGTGCTGCTGAATTCAGACTCAGCTGGCAGCTATGACGCATTCACTTCACCTGCCAAGTATGGCCGTCGCGGAATTCAGCACATTGCTCTCATACCACCATCATGTCTCTGTCCCCGGAAGATGAGCCCACTCCGCTTGATTATGACACTGCTCGTCGAGTTACTGTTGCTGCGCGCGCTGTCAAGGGACTCGAAGAGATCAACAAGAACCTTACGGCGGTCAGAGTGAAGATGAAGAACCTCAAGGTCGTCGCAGCTAACATCAAGGCTGGCGAAAGCCCGACCATCGCACATCCACGCATATGCTCAGTCTCCCGCACTCTGATTCGCACTGCATCTGCCTGCATTCTCGTCGCCGACGCTCTTCTCGACAAGGCTCCCGCTGGTGCTGAGGACGACATTGAGGCACTCCGCCTCATCTACCCACAACTATCGGGTCTCCTTGAGGTCGCCATGTCGGAGGTGGATGCATTGGATACCAGAGGGGTGCAGGCAGGTTATATTGCGATCCAAGAGGAATTTTTGGCAGGACCTCGGTATGTCAACCGCCTTCTACTAGTAACTACAGACAGTACACGTGCTCGATCCACAGTGCTCGGCACCTCATATTGCCGAAGTGCACTTGTCTTTGCCATATCCACGGACCTGTAGGCGGCCTCAACTCAGCCCTCATGGGCCCCTCATACTTCGCCAATGTTCCACGGTACGATACACCTGGACCACTCCACTACATCTTGGAGGGAGGTCGCAAGGCTGGCGGAGGTGTGGAGGGGGCTGGGGAGTCAGGCCGTGCAGCGAAACGCAAGCACGAGGATTAAATTTCATTGTTCAGCAGAAAGGGAAGTTGTACGACTAAGTTACATCGGTGTACAGTAGAGACTAGAGGACGTAGACAACATGCAACACACAAAAAATGCTCGATGAAACAGGTCTTGATGGCGGGGTACGAGAAGCACTGATGTAAGAGACAACGAAAAGGAAATGCCACGGACCAGATGCAGCCATATGCGGGGCAAGAGGCTCCTATGCTCGAGCACGGTGTCCATGAGAGGGAATCATCCCCACCCGACAGTGAACGCGCGGCGGCCGGTCGGATGCAGGCAGACATACGAGGTAAAAGTGACATGGGGGAGTGCCCGCGCAGAGCCCTGCGCAGGCGCTAACGACTCGCGTGCAATGCGATTGCGGGCGAGGTGCGTACGGGCGACGCAACGCGGTGAGGGATGCAGCCGGCGGATGCGCATGATGGGTGGGCGTGGCGGGGAGGTGAGGTGAGGGAGGCGGCGGCATGACGCGGCAGCGGGGAGCGTGCTGCGGGCGGCACGACGTGGCGTGGTTGGCGGAGGCGCGGCGGGCCGCTGCTCCCTGCGATGTTGTCGAGCTATACTGCCCCCGACATGGCGGGCGGCGGGGTCCGCGGGTGCGGCAGCGTCAGTGCGAGGGAGGGAGGAGGGGGCAGCGGCGGTGGACGGTGGCGGTGAGGAGAGGACGGTGTGGGCGGTGTGGGGGCCATGGGACCCAACACTTGCGACGGGGCACGCCGCCTTCGAGTCCGAGAGCAGTGCAGGCCGTCCGTGCAGCTTGCGCGACGGGCACCCTGCGATATTGTCGAGGCCAGCAGAGCAACCTATCCGGGACGAGCAGCTCATCACCCGGCCTCCGTGAGGGGCCAAGGCAACCGTGACATCGTACGGACAGGCGACGGTGGGGGAGGGCGGGCGACGGCGTTAGCGACGGGTGTGCGCGGTGGTGTTCGTCGCGCGCACGACGGTGCGTGCAGGTGGCGCGAGGACGCGGCGAGGAAGGCAGCGGTCGGCGGGAGCATACATTGTCTTTGCTGTTAGGAATCCTCTTGTGCGGGCGACGCGACGCGACGATGCGGACAAGGACCGCCCGCGGCGCTAACGTCAGACGTGGAGTGCGGGCGACACGAGGACACGGCGAGGCGGGCAGCGGCGGCGTGACGGGGCAGCGGCGGCGTGACGGGGCGGCAGCGGGTGCGTACTGGCGAGTGGCAGTGGGTGAATTGGCGAGCGGCGGGTGGGTGGGGGCGACGCGACGCGGTGAGGGATGCAGTCGGCGAACGCACGCGACGGGTGTACGCGGCGGCGGGGGCGGGGGCGGGGGCAACACGGGCGGGGGCGACACGGGCGGGTGCTCTGCTGGTCTGCACAGTGCTGGCGGGCGGCGGCGGCGGGTGCGAGTGACGGCGGGTGGTCGACGTGGCGGCACGTGACGAACGCGGTCGACGTGATGAGCACGATAGACGTGTCGGACGCGGGCGGGTGGCGGCGGGGGCGACGCGGGTGGCAGCAACGCGGGTGGGTGACGGCGGGGGCAACGCGGGTGGGGGCGACGCGGGCGGCTGGTCTGCACACCGCACGCGCCCCTGCTCCATCCCCGTGGCCAGCGGCATGCCGCGCAGTGCGCGTGGGGGCGATGCGAGGTTGGGCAGCTAGGCGTACCAGGAGCGCGATGGTGGTCGGCGAACACGCGCGGTGGGTGGGCATGGCGGGGGATGGTGGTAACCGCACGATGGCGGACGCGGACCGGGGAGCGCCCGCGCAGAGCCCTGCGCAGGCGCTAACGACTCGCGTGCAATCCGAATGCGGGCGCGGTGCGTACGGGCGACGCAACGCGGTGAGGGATGCAGCTGGAGGATGCGCACGATGGGTGGGCGACGGGCGTGGCGGGGAGGTGAGGGAGGCGGCGGTCGGCGGCGAGGGAGGAGGACGGGTGGGCGCACCGTGTCTGTAGTCTACTGTGACTGTACGCCGTCCGGTGTGGATCCTGGTTGTCAGAGACCATCATCAGGATCGCGAGCTCGTCCAGCCACTCCCCCGGGAGCGCGATGCAGATGTACCCGCTGCGTGCGGACATGTCAGCTCGCGCACACCTTCTGTGCGATGAACGCACCTAGTATGCTTGATCATCCACGCCATCTTCTCCGTGGACCCCTCGCTTGCCGCGATGATCAAGTCGCCCTCGTTCTCCCGCCCCTCGTCGTCCATCATCACCACGAACTCTCCGTGCCCAAACGCGTCCAGCGCCTCCTCCATACCGTCGAATGCAAACTCTGCTCGCGCAGGCGCATCAACCGCCTGTGGCCTTGCAGAGTGCCTCGGGAGCTTCGGTGCGGGTTGTGAGTCGCCCTCCATGGGAGCGGTGCGGTCGAGGACAGGAGGGCCGGGCTGATGCTTGAGCGGTGTGGGCGGTGCGGCGGACGTGGAGTGCGGGCGACGGTGCGTGCGGGCGACGCGAGGACGTGGCTAGGCGGGCAGCGGCGGCATGACGGGCGGCGGCGGGTGGTGCGTGGCAGTGGGTGAGTGTTAGCTAGCGGCGGGTGCGTGGGGGCGACGGGAGGCGGTGGGGGGTGCGGTGGGTGGGAGGACGACGGCGGCGAGTGCGGTGGGTGGGAGGACGACGGCGGCGAGTGCGTGGCATCGGTGGCGGCGGCATTGGTGGTGAGGGCATCTCGGGCTCGGGGAGGACGACAGCAACAGCGGTGGGCGGTGAGGTGGCAGCGACACGTGATGAACGCGGTCGACGCTGAACGCGTATGGCGTCTCGGGGAACGGCGGGAGGTTCGCGGAGGCGGGCATGCCGGACTCGAGGCTGGACGTGAGCGTCGGCGTCGGGAGGCCCGCGTGGCGGTCGAGGATCGCGAGCGCGAGCGGCGCGGGCTGCGTGCCGGAGCGGCCGGAGCGGCTCGAGCTCTCGCCGGAGAACGAGGACATGGAGTGCGAGATGGACGCGCTCGGCGCGACGGGGAACATGAAGTCGAGCAGGTCCGGCGAGTCGACGGGCGTGTCGCCCGTGCCGGTGACGGGCAGGCGCGCGGTGACGGGGACGATGCCGCTGGGGAGCGGCCCGAAGTGCGTCCGCGTCATGAACGGGCGGGTGTCGGACGTGCGCCCCTCGGGCGAGCGCGGGACGAGCACGGAGTGGGGGCGCTCGCCGATGGGGAGCAGCGTCGGGCGCGCGCTGCCGCCGGTGCGGTGCACGGACGAGTCGGAGCGCAAGCGCGAGACGTAGGTGTTGCCGAACGCGGCGACGGGGCTCGACCAGTGGTGGACGCGACACGGGTGGGCAGGGGCGGGCGGCGGACGCGCGGCGGCGGACGTGCGAGTGCTCTGCTGGGTCAGCACGAACCGCACTTGCTGAGGTCAAGTACGAAGGGCTGGGGTACGCTGGGGGAGTGTCAGCGGGCATGGGAGTGGGGCAACGTCAACAGACGGACCTCGAGACCCTCCGGGTCAGTGAAGAACTCCTTGCCGGCGGGATTGCGCACCGATGTGGAGGAAGCGGGCGTGCAGGCGTCCGCTTGTGTGTCCCGTGGTCCGCGCCAGGAGTCCACTACTCGCCGGCGAGCTAGCAGGGCATAGCACCGCATCGCAGCAGGTGCAAACGTGCGCTGAGAGTGGGGGAATACCAGTGGCGATTTTCTGGGAGATGGGCCCCCTGGGGTCCAGCTTTCGCCGGTCCGAACCAGGGGGGATGCAACGCACCACCCTGGGGTCCAGCTGGCTAGCCGGTCCAAACCAGGGTGGGGGTGTATAGAGGTCGATCGAGGGCACGGCGAGAGGGGGACGCTGGTCGAGGAGCGGGTCGTCGAGGACTGCGGAGAATGAGATGAGGTAGAGGGCACCTGGAAAACGGGCTTGAACTGCGAGAACGGGAACTTGCTCTGGGGCTGAGCGGGAGTGGGGGACGTAGGCGAGTGCGTTCAAAACTATGTGACGGCTTGTGAGTAGCAGGCAAATACTGAAGAACCATTGCGACATACCGGCCTACATCCCTTGTACCACCACAAACTCCCGTCAGCTCTGCTGCTTGCTCCCTTCCCGCGCGGTTCTTTGCCTGTAATCACTGGCTGGATGGATTCTGCACTGGTCGCAAGTCATTCTTAACAAATGTACTACATAACATCTTCAGACACGTACCTCTTCGTGCGTTCATCAAGCCATCGGAATCTTGATAGAACGCTCGCCGTCGTCAGAGAGGAGTGGAAGTGGTGCCTAAGAGAGAGAGCGGGCGTTGCGCGCCAGTCGTCGGCTGGCCGCTGCGCTGGCGATTATGCGGTCACATGACCCATCCGCGCAACGCGCGAGACGCGTCCAAGTCCTGGCGAGTACCCGTCTTACCTTCCTCAGCCATGCCTGAGACCTGCTTTGGATGCGGAAAAAACTACTCGGACAGCGCTATTGGGAACCACCGCGTCAAATGCGCCAATCTCAAGGAACTCAGCGTGTTAGGCGTCCGCAAGAGAGCTGTGATCATGAAAGCGAAGTCGTCGAAACTGCCGAGGAAAAGCGTATCGCAGGACATTCCGCAGGAGAGAGCAACGATCAGGCAAGCGAGCAATGAGGTGAGTCATGAGCGTTGTCTCTGTAGTACATACTCTGATTTTATCACAGTTTGGCGGAGCTGCAGGCCCTGAATTTGTTGAGGGCTCATCCCACGAAGTACCTCCGACGCCACCGCCTGCTGAACCACTTGAGCCCCCGGCACCGCCGTCTCCTCCGCCACTTGCTGTGAGTCGCTCTGGTCGTGTCAGACGTCCCCCGCGTGCCCTCCAGGACTTTCTGCCCTCATCGACGAGTGGTCTTCCTGCGCATATACTCGCACAAGCCACGGTGACTCTTCTGGCGCGCGGGGCCGAGAGTGCGAATGCTCCTGTCTCGCCACCTGCGTCTCCCCAAACTACACCAATGGATCGCACAGCATCCCCCAGCCCTCCTGCCGTGCCGGAAGCACACGGAACAACACCAAATCACTTCGGAGTCTACCGCCGCTATTTCACAGTCCCTCAGCGCGAACCTGACGATGAGGCAAGTCTCCTTCAACTATGCGACGACACGCTCCCGGTCCCTCATAAGCCGCGCCCCGCTGGAGCATCTGTTCGCGGGTTTGGTCGCGCAGTCGTCCAGCGCGTGCGCTCGGCTCCTCAGCAAAAGCCTGGGTCGGCCAAACCAGATCGCGGCAACTGGTTCTTCCCATTCCTGAATCCCAGCTCATTCCTTCTCATGGAGTGGGCGCATACCGGCTCGAACATGAAGTCAAACGCAGAGGTCCAACGCCTTGTCGACGAGGTTATTCTCGCCAAGGAGTTCAACTGTGACGACCTCCGCGGCTTCAAGATAGCCCGCGAGACTGCGCGGCTTGATGCGCTCGATGTCGCCAACGATTCGCTGCAGACTGTAGATGGCTGGCGGAGGGTTTCAATCTCGCTGTCGGTCCCAAAGGAGCGCACGAAGTATGCTTCTGAGGCTGATGCCCCGCAGTTCGTCATCGACAACGTATACGTGCGTAGCTTCCTCGACACCGTCAAGGAAGCAGCCAGCGATCCTGATGCCACAACGTACAACTGGATCCCTCACGAGTACATTTGGAAGCGGCCTGTCGATGACTCTCGTATCGACGCGCAGGGCCGACCGCTCACCGAGGATGTGCGGATGTACAGCGACGTATGCAACTGCCAAGATGCGCTTGACGAGGATGCTCGGATCCGCGCCTGGGCCCGAGACCATTGCAACGACCCACCTGGCGTCGAAGTCGCAATGGTGCCTATCATGATCTGGTCCGACTCTACACATCTCGCCTCCTTTGGATCGGCCTCGCTCTGGCCTATTTATGTGTTCTTTGGCTTCGTGTCCAAGTATGTACGAGCAAAACCGAATTCGTTCTCTGCACATCATCTCGCATACATTCCAAAGGTCGTGCTCTAGTGTTGCGTCTCACTACATGATGCTGACTTGTGATCACAGTTACCAGACAGCTTCCAGGATTGGTATGAACAAGTTCACGACAGTCCAGCGACAGAGGAGACACTCCGATTTTGTCGCCGCGAGATCATGCACGCGATCTGGACTCTTCTCATGGACCCGGAATTCAGGAAAGCATATGAGGAAGGGCTGCTGTGGATGTGTGGGGACAAGATCCTCCGCCGCCTCTTTCCACGGTTCTTCACTTACTCCGCAGACTACCCCGAAAAGTGCGTGACGTGTGGACCCAAAATTGAGTCGCAACTCACTGAATAGCATTATAGGATCCTTCTTGCATGCATTCGCTACCTGGCCGAATGCCCATGTCCACGCTGCTATGTCAAGAAATCCGACATGCGATTGATGGGAACAAGCAGGGATCTCAAGCAGCGACAGGACCACAGTCGCATCGACACTGAGCCGATCCAGTACGATATCAAGGCGACGCGGAGTTGGATTTTCAAGGATGGATACAAGCCCAACAGCAAACGCATCGACAAAGTCCTACAGTCGCGTTCTCTTCTGCCGATTCAGGTGTGTTAGGTCTTCATTGATACCACCTCTTGTCACTGATCGTCGACCTGAGCAGAGTGCATTCTCGAGATTTTCACAGAGCCTTCCACGGCCACTTCGCTTCAATCATTATCGCCTACTCGTCGCTGATGTAATGCATGAATTTGAACTCGGAGTATGGAAGGCTTTCCTCATCCACCTCCTTCGCATTCTCTTCCTTCTCCGCCGTCTCGCAGTGTTCAACCGGAGGTAAGCCTGTCATTGTCCCATCGTCTTCATTGCATTGACTCGGTCTAGGTTTCGCAAAGTGCCAACGTATGGTAGTGACACGATTCGCCGATTCAGCAACAATGTCTCTGATCTCAAGCAAATGGCTGCACGCATGTACGAAGACATTCTGCCTGAGGTTGGCAGGCAGTAGCTCATCAGCGGAATATTCATACTGATACCCTATATTCTATAGTGCATCATCCCTGTTGTCGACAGCATGCTCCCGCCACCCCATGATGACATTGTCCTCGATGTCCTGTTCGCTCTTGCAGAGTGGCATGCCTTTGCCAAACTCCGCCTCCACACCGAGCGCACCCTTTCGCTCTTCGAAGAATCCGTCAAGACTCTCGGCAAGGCGATGCGCAGGTTCGAGACCATCACGTGTCCGGCCTACGAAACCAAGGAACTGCCCCGAGAGACTGCAGCGCGGGGTCGCCGACAAGCTGCCGCAGCCGCAAAGGCTGGATCAAAAGGGAAACAGAAAGCTGCCAGTGTACCAGTCTCTCGCACAGCCCGAACCGCAGGAGGTGCTCGCATCGTAAAGTTCAACCTAGCAACGTACAAATGGCACTCTTTCGGTGACTATCCATACTTGATCAGAGCGACAGGGACGATGGACATATCGTCAACACAGCATGTGAGTGACTGAACAGTGATCGGTTGGTGGTCCCTGACCGATAGCACTGGATCACAGGGCGAACGCGAGCACTGCCGCATCAAGCGATACTTCCCCCGGACGAACAAGAGTAGTAACTTTGCATTTCAGATTGGCAAGAGGCAGCGACGTGAACGCCTGCTACACCAGATCCGAAAGCGTTCCAGGATCGCGCGGGGGCAGCCCTTGCCCCGCCAAGCGCCAGTCCGCTCGACAGCAGAGGCTCGAGGAACAAGTACCAAGCTTCACGTCCCAGACACACGTCGTGGGGCTGTTCTTCCTTTCACAGACAGCGAATTCCTACCCCCGACATCGCCTGAGAGCCGATATCAAATGTCGGATGAGCAGCGATACTGGGAAAACATTCCCATGTGGTTGCAAAAGAATCGTGACGATCCAGCGACAAAGGTATGTCATCATATTGCTGAACAGTGCCGTTGTTCGTCTAATCTTAGTCTCACAGGACTTTCTCCCGCACCTCAAGGACCACCTGTTGGGGCGACTGCTCAATCTGGAGTACAACGGTGACGAGGATCATGGCTTCGGACCTGCGGAACGCCGCCGTCTCACCATTGCGAAGGACCGAATGTACCTCCACAAGGTACTCCGGGTCAACTACACAACGTACGACATGCGACGCGGACAAGATTCTATTAACCCGAGGACGCACCCGAACATCATGCTCCTCGCACATGAAGACGATAATGCCGCGAGCGAGCACCCGTACTGGTATGCACGAGTCATTGCGATGTTCCACGTCCATGTTCAGCTCGCCTCCACCGATCCTTCTGTGCCGGACAAATGCCAGAAGATGGACGTACTCTGGGTGCGATGGTATGGACGAGATCTCACGGCACCCGGTGGATTCAAGACGCGTCGTCTGCATCGCTTGGGCTTTGTTCCAGACGACGACCCTTATGCCTTCGGCTTCCTCGACCCAGCACTCGTTTTGCGAGCATCACATATCATACCGGCATATTCCTATGGACAAGTAAGTGACCTCCTGCCGCCATCGCCATGCGCTCGACGTCCTGAGGAAGACGACCTGGACTATATGTACTACTACGTGGGCATGTGAGTCGACTGCTGATAATTTATGCCTTGAGCCATGCTTACCTACTCCGCAACCGTTCAGGTTCGTTGATCGTGATATGTTCATGCGATACTTGCCGGGGGAGGCACCCGGACACCAAGGGACTGTGTCGCACAGCCACATAGCTGCAAACCGGCGGCACGAGCGATCACAACCGGAGGCTGGTCCAGACGATGACTCGTCAGAGGACTCTGACATTCCCACAGGTACAGCCTCAGAACCCGATGTGCCACGCGGTGACACATCGCTGGCAGTTGCGCAGGAAGCTCACGAGATCGAGGACAATGACAACGAAGATGTAGACGAAGACATTGCTGGTGAGGACAAGGAGCACGAAGAATTTGATTATGGCTATGGCTCGGACGGCAAGTCGGACAGCGCAGAGGACGAGTGGGAAGACGAGGACGAGGACGGAGACCTAGGTCCTGAAGATGGGGAGGTTGATGACGATGACGAGTACACAGACACAGGGTTTGCGCATCTGTAGTGTTCGCCCTGTTTGGTATGTTGTCGTTGCCGGCACTTGAATGTATTCTGTTCGTCAGACTCTATCGCGCCTCTAGCACTGCCACGGTAAGTCGAAGCTCCCTCGTACATGGTGCTCCCCTGCCACGCTCTTACGATCTCGTGAAACGCAGTCGTATCGCTTGCTTTGCAAACGATTGACTTTCCAGCCCAACAATTATCTTGCAGACGTATTGGAGTCTGCACAACGTGCGTATGTCTAGCCATCGCTGCTGCGAGCTGACATAATCTTGATGGGTAAGCTATATATTCGGTCGTCATCACAGCGCTGTCCTGACCTTGATTCTGCCTTTTCGCTGATGGCCATCATGCACCGTCCAAGTGTCTTGCAGAAGGCTATGCTCCTGTTGCCTCTGGTCCTGCTGCATGCAACGGCGCTTGCCATAGGTTCCACAGGGATAAGGGATTCTGAGGCTTGCGCCACTTCATTTGGCAAGACTTTGCCGCCATTCAGATTTGGCGGCCGCGATGACAGGCGTAACTTCGCTGCTGCGTTCAAACCAAAGGCATTGTTTGCGAGCATCGCGCACACTCAAAAGCAGGATCAGTTGTTCGTACCAACGCCGGGCGGCCATAAGCTCGATAATATCTCCACGTTTCAACACACGACGTTGCTACATCCCGCATTCCCGCATCACACTGTCCGTATCAAGAAGTCGGACTTCTGCGACGGAACTGTCAGGTGCGCGGTCTGTAGACTGACAATCATACGTCGTTTTTGACCGCGAGTCCTGTTGTAGAGCCTATACAGGATATATTGATGTCGAGGCCCGTCATCTATTCTTCTACTTCTTCGAGAGTAGACGAGATCCGCTCAAAGATGACTTCATATCGTGGATGAACGGAGGCTCTGCCGCAACAGGGCTGTTCATGGAGCTAGGTGCGACTCTTGCTTGTCTCTTCTACCCGTTGACGTACCGAGACGCGCGATTGTCGTCGCTAGGCCCCTGCCTAGTTGTCAAATCAAGCAGCACGGCTTACAACCCAGATTCATGGAATAGCAACGCCAATATGATTTTCATTGACCAACCGGTTGGAGTCGGGTACTCGTACGCAGAGTACGGGGAAGCAGTTGTAAGTCAAGGCTCCCTACTAGAGCGCAGTACCACCTGAGGGTTATCCAACAGAGCACGACATTTGAGGCAGCAAAGGATGTTGCCGCATTCTTCGCGATATTCTTCGAGTACTTCTCTGAGTTCAGCGGCAGACCGCTTCACATGGCCGGGGAATCCTATGCTGTAAGCACAATCAACTCCGCTGCACGTCTATATGACAGCGAGTCTCAATTCGGATGTCCGATCAGGGACGTTTCATTCCTGTCGTGGCTTCAGAAGTGCATGACCAGAACCCTCGTCTCGTTGAGGCCGGTATGCATCCAGTGAACTTGAGTTCCATCATGTTGGGTACGTACAGGGTTCGCTTCCACAACTAATTTTTAATACCATCCTCAGGGAATGGTCTGACGGATTTTGAGTCGATATTCTCCGCGTACTACGACATGCGCTGTACCTCAAGAACCGTACCACCCATACAAGACATCAAGTGCGTTACACCCCTACTACAAAGGTCATAAATGAAACAACAGGCCCAGGTCATGCGTTCGGTTGAAACAGTCAGTGAGTAACGTTGCATGTACATCCCCAGGGAATCATACCGCGCATCTCACCCACCGCCTCGTCAGCTAGCCAGATGCGAGAAGTGGCTGAAGGAGTCATGCTTTGACCGCTATGAAAGCATCAACTGCAAAGCCGCAGACGACTTCTGCGAGCAAGAACTCCTCGCTACGTTTCCATGGGGTTAGTCTGCCCTCCACTTGAGAGCTAACGCTTTGGGGCTGATGGCGCGCAGGTGTGAATCCGTACGACTTGACTATGCGATGGTGAGCACTAACGGAACGTTAATCGCCCTGGACGATGACTGAGAGTCCCCAGTGGCGGCGAGTGGAACGATACACTGTGCTATCCGGTCACAAAGTGCGTGTGTGGCGTATTCTGAAAACTTGCCTCTGAACACGCCGCCCGTCCCTCAGAGACATCACGGCATATCTAAGCAGGTCTGACATCCGCATCCAACTCGGTGTCGATCCTACAGTGCCGCCCAACTTCACGAACATCAATCACGGCTTCCTCACCACCCTCTGGGCCAATGGAGATCGGATGTTCCCTGCACACCACTATGTCGCTGCGCTCCTCGAGCGAGGAGTCCGTGTGCTGACCTACGTCGGCGTAAACGACGTCCTGTGCAACTGGGTAAGCGATGACGGCTATATGATGTTACTGAACTTCATGAGATTTGTAGATCGGGCAAGAACGTATGACGCTCGCTATGGAGTGGAGCGGCCAGAAGCAGTTTGTCGGGCAGCCCCTCGAGGAGTGGACTGTAGAAGGCAGAGTCGCAGGAAAGACGAGAGTTGCCGGACCACTCACCTTTGCGACTATCCACGGCGCCGGACACATGGTCTGTCTATCAACCTGACCTCTGCAACACATGCTCACCAGCGCGCACATCATGTAGGCACCTTATGACAAACCAAAGGAGACGCTAGAAATGGTCCAGCGATGGCTTACGCAGGAGCCACTATAAGAACAATGTCTATGCGCTGGCCAATACGATCGAGAGACCACGAGCTCGAGATGATATCCTTGCCGAGACCTACGGCTCACGGACGCGAAACACGAAAGTGTCATCCTTTAGCATGACTGTAGATGCGTCTAACTGTACAACATGTTTTTGTTGCCTTCTCCCGTTTCCTACACCATACTTGACTCGCTACTCAAGTTCACGATGCGGGGGCGGCCTTGCTCTTGCCATATGTAGGCTCAATCTTGCGACTCGAGTCCATGAATGCGTTGATATCCGCATCGGTAACCTTTGCTTTCCGCTGTAGAGGTGCGTCGGTCGCTTCAGTGACAAAACTACGAGGATGGTGGGATCGGCACCAACCTCCTGGAAGTTCTTGATGAAGTCTTGCAGGAGCTGAATACATTTCGCCTTCAACTGGCCGGTCAACAAGCGACCAGCTCGGTACTCCTGCATGGATAAAGTCAACGAGTGCCTCTTCAAAATGGGCATAAAAATACGCACCTCTCCTAGCTTTACCCATTCCTCCTCGTCCTCCATGAAGAAGCCCAGGTACTGATACGCAACATCCACATCCGGGTTCCCGCCCAAGCGCCTATGCTCCTCCTCCGTCTCCTGTCCCCCCGAGAAACCATGGCGGTTGATCTTGTTCTTGATCTGCGCAGGCGTGTCGCTCATGTAGATACTCGAGTTCACGTCCGACGCGCTCATCTTCGTCTGCGGGCCCTGGAGCGCGGGGAAGAACTTGGAGTGGAGGAGCGCGGGCTTGGGATACTTGAGCTTGACGGCGACGTCGCGCGTGAGGCGGAAGTACGGGTCCTGGTCGATCGCGCAGGGGATGAGGCAGGGGATGTTCGAGACGGTGCCGAAGATGTGCGGGAAGGAGTTGGAGAAGGAGGGCGCGGCTTGGATAGAGGCGAAGTGGATCTTGCCGATGTTGTCGCTGGAGGATTGTAGGTTAGTCGCTTGAGCGCCGAGGGAGCAGAGGGATCCTTACGAGTCGTTGAAGCCGAACGTAGCCTTCGCCTGGTTGATGGTGATTTGGCGGGAGATCTTGGAGACGTTCCTGTAGAACGCGCCTCCGACGTAGTCGTAGTCGCTGAAGATGAACGTCTTCTTGAGGTCGAACCCGACGGCGATGATATCCCGCGCATTCCGTCGTGCGAACTCGTACGTCTGCTCAGGCTTGAGCTCATGTTTGAAGAGAAACTTCTCGTCGTCTGCGGAAGGTTTTCAGTACGCATCACGATCGGAGTGGTCTGTGACGCACCAGTCAATTGTACGACCAAAGGTACATCAAAGACGTCCTGCAACCATCTCGGCTACCCTCAGGACAGAGTCGCCCCTACAAGGCTGGCGGAAACGCACTTTGTGAAAACGAAGGGCACCATGTGCCCCAGATGCATGCTATCGCTACTCGGCCCCCGCCCGGTGTACAGGAAGAATGGCTTTCCTTGCTCGTAGCGATCCAGAATCTTATCGAAGTCACTGCAAACGAGCTCAATCCTGGAGGAACGATCATAGCTCTGGTATCGACGCACCGGTGCGAGAAGAACATCCCTCTCTTCAGGAACACGTGTGGATGATGGCCCGTCAACCGCTCGAATCGCTCCAGGACCGCCGCATCCACCCTCCGCGTACCGAACTGGTCAACGAGCTTGTCGTAGTCGATCGCGAGCTGCTTGCCATCGTCCGTAACGGCGCCCTCGACGTCCCAGGGCGTGACGACCTGGACGTGCGCGCCCTCCTGAGCTGGTTTAATGGCCGGGGCGGCTGCGCCTCCGTCGGCTGACGAGGTCTCTTGCGATGTTGTAGACACTTGCGCGAGCAGGACAGAAGGTGATTGAGCGGTCGATGCGCTATGGATCGTGAGCCATATGCATTAGAGAACAGATGCATAGCGTACTCGTCTAGGGATGCCTTCGCGAGCGAAGATGTAACATCGGCAGCTGTGGTAAAGGGCAGGTGAGTCTCCGGACAACTCGTCGGGCACCACGAGAGAAGGACCTGTAGTCATCTTGACCTTTCGCCTCCGATTATGCTCCTGTTCAGGATACAGCAATGCGCTGCGGTGGTATGAGATCAAAGAGCCAAGGCCTTTGTTCGGGCTGAAGCTGCTCGGAAAATGACTCGGCAGGCGACTGAACAGACTCAATCTCAGGAGATCTTCCCTCGCTAGCTCTCCCCTTACGATCGCGCCGGAAAACCGACGTCAACGCGGACTTCACGCAACACACGCGATGTATACACGATTAACCGAACCAATGCTTGTGTATTTGATACAATGCTAGTGAACCTACGACAGAATAAACATATGTGTACTACCTACTAACGGATTTAGACTATGGCATGCAAGGGAATGGGAGGACAGTGTCAGCTTCATACGGCGGAAGGTCCATAATTTTGTCGATTTCTATCCGTCCGCGCCGCATGCCCGTGGTCCAGCCACCCTCTTCCACCACTCCACCAAGCAGGGAGGGCGATCGAAGTCGGATGCGACGGAGCGGCGCGGACGAGCGCGGGGGAACGCTCATGGTTTCCGGAACTCGCACAACACCGTATAGATGGTGTTGAACGCGGTATAGATCTCCTCTCGAACCTGATTAGGCCGATAAGGAGACATGGTCAGCAACAACTCTGCGAACGATGGAGTCATGTCCATAGGCGAGTGAAAATTACCTTTGCACCCGTGAGGACGATCTTGCCCGAGACGAAAATGAGCAAGACGACCTTGGGCTTGATCATACGGTAAATGAGACCAGGGAACAGCTAATTATCCTCGTGAGCCACTGGCCACTACGTCACAAACGACAACACCACTTACCTCTGGCTCATAGCTACTGAACTGTCCGTGGCTGTACGCGAGACCCTCCAAACGGATGGGGAACTTCACGTCACAACTGCCGACGATGTTCTGGATCTTGAACTCCGAGAACTTGGCGTCGAAGCCCAGCTTCTGGACGATTCGAGCGTACTTGCGCGACGCAAGCCGCGAGTCGTCCTCGCTCTTCGCACCGGTGACGACCATCTTGCCGGACGCGAAGATGAGCGCGGTTGTCTTCGGGTCGCGGATACGCATGATGACCGCGGCGAAACGCTACAAAGTGGAATGCGGATAGAAGTCCGACATTCACACTGGATCAGAGAAGTGCAGTACAAACCTTGGGGTTGTACTCGGCGTTGCGCGCATGCAACGCAATCGTCTTCAGATCCAACCGACAGTCCAGGTTGACCGTCGCGACGATGTTTTGCAGCGTCGGGACGATGCCTTCGACCGCAGTGATATGTTGCTGCTCGAGCGTGAGTGGCGCAGGAGTGGCAGGGACAGCGCTGGGACCCGGTGTCGAGGGGCCGGCAAGAGGTGCTGGCTGGCTGGCAACGACCGTCTGAGAGGACAAGGCCGACTGAGGCTGGGTCTGTGCCTGCGTCTGGCTCTGAGGGTATAAAGACGGCGGTTGCTGCTGCTGCTGCTGAGCCTGCTGTTGCGTTTGGTAGGGGTTGATAGAGGGCACGGCATTCGGAAGTGCGAGGTTGCTCTGACCAGAGGGACCTGGCAGGTAAGGGTTGGAGGAGTATGGAAGCGCTAGGCCGGTATTGGCAGCTTGCTGCTGCTGGATCTGCTGGTAGGGCTGCTGTGCAACGTTCGCCGGCCGAGAGAACGTCACTTGGCGCGACGGCAGGGCAGCGAAGTTGTTAGACATGATGAGAGGGTCAGAGGAGTGTGTACGGCAACCGAGAGGATGGGTTCAACAAAGTAAATTGCTGAAGACGCAGAAGCGCGAGCGTGGGAGTAATCTCGGTAGCACGGGATTGGGCAAGAGGGCGGTTGGCCCGCGCGAGCCCGCTCTTATATACCTGACGGCTTTCAAACTCCGACTCAACTTCTGACGGATTTATAATCAGCCATCACCAAATACGGCATATCTTTGTCCTGAGGAGCGCCCGTTGCCACCGCTGTTCGACGTGTCGTCGTTCTACTGCATCTTGTGCACTCCCCGCCCGAAGAACCAAGCTCGCTGCACCTTGCTTCGCTCCCGTTCCACTGTCTTGTCCTTTTGGCACTCGCTGTGCATGGATATGACTCGACTGACACGTTTTGCGGCGAATATCAGGCGCTGGCGTCCCAGGATTCGCGGCTTCTAGCAATTTTACGTGATGAAGACCATACGGCGCACGCTACGTGACAGCGGTGTTGTCTTCTTATGTGTATGGCGGGCGTCGTCGGTATGCCGCGAGCGTGCCGCGCTTGTCGACATGGGCATTGTCCAAGCCCTGTCTACGGTGCGCTGGCAGTCGCCAAATCCGGTGGCCACGCATTGACGCGCTCGAACCTAAACGTTCAAGGGCTAAAGCGCTGAAGATGGATCCTGTTGAGCACATTACACGCATTAGAGCTACTGGTGTACACGGTATATAGATACAGGTATAAAGATATCAACCAAAAGTCACAATGTCCTCACCGAACGTGTCCATCTATCGCTCACTCGTACTCGTACTGCTCGCGAGGTTCCTCCGGCACTGCGACGTTTCTCAGAAGTGGGTCTAACGACGCCAGCTCGTCCTTGATGTTGACTCGCGCGAAGTCATCAAGCTCTTTGAGCAACGTCGCAATGATTTTCTTGCGGCGATGTGAGCTCGTAAGTCACCTTGGAGCGAACGTCTTGACTCACCTTGAGCTTGTTGTCGATCTGCTTGACCGTATCCCCCAAGCCTGTACTCCAACTGGGCGGTGGGCTTCCCAGCGCACCTCCGTAGAGCACGTTCCCTCCACTCCCACCTAGTGCAGCCGGAGTGCCCTGCCCGGAAGCGTTGGCAATACCCCACAAACTGGCTTCTCCCTCGTGTGTCGGCGCTGTCTCCGCGCCTGCAAACAGGTATGAGACACCTGGATGAGGGGAAAGCAACCCTAGAGGTCCCATCATATGGTGGCCAGAATTCGGGAACGGAGACGGCCCCAGGATCTTCGATATCTTATTGTACACCTCAGAGAGGACGTCGAGCAATGAGAGCAGCGTTTGGTGGTAGTCGAGTGGAAAGGGCTAGAGTTGGAGGCAAGTACGGTCACAAGAAGCCCGAACAATAGATGAACGAGGCACGCACAACATGGGGCATTGTGAGATATGGTGCATCGGACGAGTCCGCAAAGGAGAATGCGTAGTCGGTAGCGCCAGGCTGCCTTTTGTTTGGCCTTGTCCTGAACAAACGCTAGGCATTATATACGTATGAGCTAGATATGCGTGAGGACAGAGACCAGGGCACGCACCATACGTGGTCGATCGTTCTCGTCCTTATCCCTCGGAACGTCCTTCAGACCCTCATACTCGTTGAGGACGTTGGAGAAACCGCGCAGCAGGTCTGCTGGATCCTTCACATCAAACAGGTGGGCAAGCGCCATTCCTAGCATAGCAAATCGATACGTTCTGCGTGACTTGTTTCACAATTGCACACATGGTTGGACAGTACACGAGCACGCACCGGTTCTTCATGGCAGTATTTGAGAATATTCGTTCAAGATCACTCTTGGTGATGAGAATTGTGTGAAACCAGTGTGTCCGACTGAGCACGGCCGTTCAGTCTCTGCCAGCGAGAGACCGACAGACTCACGTACCCTTCGTGCACGTTGCGCAGATAGGTCAGCGTGATGATTCGTTTCTTCACGAGTTCCCTCAACATCTCAACCGACGTCCCTTGCGCGAGCGAACCATTGGTCGCCGCAGAAGCGCCAGAGGACGTGACGGAGGGGTCAGACCCGCCGGACTGCACATCCCAGTCGCGGGGCAGGGGCATGCTGGGCGCAGTGGGAGTTGAAGCAGACGCGAACTGCTGGCCAGTTGCCGAGGATACGCTTCCGATTTGGGCAGACGGATCCCTAGTCTTGAAGGAGGAGAGAAGATTCTGGGCTGACGACTTGCGGCGCATGCCCGGGCGGGTCGCCATTGAGTCGACGGGGATCATGGGGGGAAGAGGAGTGGACATGGGCGTGCCCGGATTGTAGTTGAAGGCTGCCGACATCCTTCTCTCGATCGTCGCCAGTATAGACCTTTCAGCCCAATTTATACTGCACTACATCCTCTTTCTTATCCCCATTCATTCGCTACTTACTCCCATCAGTCTGCCGTAACTGTGGGAGCACATCAACGCGCCCTCGTGCGGCGCGACCCATGCTCGCTCGCGTGCCGATCTTTTTGCGATCTCTGCCTCCTCCGCATCTTGCACCGCGCCTTCCACTTCCTCCGTCCCCCTTCTCCTTTCCTCTGTCTGTAGCATAGTACTCGCCATGACCGACATCAATACCGTCGCCAAGCAGTTCACCGATTTCTACTATACCACCTTCGACACGAACCGTGCCGATCTGCAGGGCCTCTACGTGCGTCGACCGCCTCCGCGTTGATTAACGCGATCTTTGCAAACGAGTGGTCCTGATGAACGCCTCTCCAACGTTGGTACAGCGACCCAACTCGATGTTGACGTGGGAGGGCAACCAAATCTTAGGAGCCTCCGACATCGCCGAGAAGCTCACCGTAAGCCTGACTATCCGTACGACGCGTCCTTATATTGACCAGTCCCTCGCACGGCCGCTAGTCGCTCCCCTTCGATAAGGTGCAGCACAAGGTCACCACGCTGGACGCGCAGCCGTCCGACCCGACGCTGTCGAACATGATTGTCAGCGTAACCGGCCTTCTGCTGGTGCGTTCGGTGTCCCCATATAGCCTCCCCCGAACTCAGACTATCCACATCCCTGTAGGTGGATGACAATCAGCACCCCCTGCAATTCAGTCAGGTCTTCCAGCTCGTTCCTGAGGGCGGCAGCTTCTATGTGTAAGTGTGGCGCAGCGCTGACTCGACCGCATACCGACTCATGGCGCCTCAGCTTCAACGACATCTTCCGTCTCAACTACGGTGCATGATCCCAGGCTAGGCCAGGAACAGCACTGGTGGAGTCCCGGAGCATCTAACAGTATGAATTGCGAACTGGGTAGAAGGAATTGGAAGGTTGTACGTCAAGAATTGTTGTTGCTATAATACATTCTCCGTGTTTTGTAATCCGGCTGTGTCGTAAGACGCTCAACGCTCAACGCCGATCATCTCCTGGGGTACAAGCTGAACACTGAATAGACCAAACGACATAAGGGAGTGTACATGAGATCCCGCCAAGAGGGAGGAAGAGAGGATTCTACGGCGCCAGCATCCATATACACCGGGTATTACTATAGTACGCATTATGCGACGGCGACAGCTGTTCAAAGGAATTGGGAAAGCAGGAAACCCGTCAAGACCTTGCAACAGATCAGACGCCAGCAACGATCCTACACAGCCGCACGGTCAGCGACGTTCCTGAGAACACAGAACACAGGGATCACTTACTCTTCGGCCTTGTTGAGTGCCTGTACCATCGAAACGCACTCCTTCCTGCGGCTGACGACGTATTCAGACTCCTTGAGCAAGTCATCGAGCACCTCTGGCTTGTACAGCTCTTGCAGGAGCTCCCGCTGGAGGTTCTCCTTCGAGTGGTTAACAAGCGTCAAGGTGATGGCCTTCGGGACCATATCAATCATCTCGCGCTTGACGATGTTGAAGTACGAGTGGATGAGCAGCTCTGAGACAACAAACGTTCAGCGACGCTCATCAAAGATGTCGGCAATACCTACTGATGACCTCCGTCTCCATCGTCTCCCGCTCGTTCAAGGCAGCCTGAGGACGGATGATGGATGGCGGCTGTAACGCATCAATCAGTCAGGTACACAGGAGGTAGGGCAACTCCGAGCTCACCGCATCCATCGCAGCGACACCCTTCTTCTTCGGCGCGTTCTTGCCAGCTGAGAAGAACGATCCAAAGAAGCTGTTGTCCTGCTTCACCTCGACGTCGAGATCCTTGTTGTTGTTGACTTGGCCAGGGGCAAGCTTGCCCGTCTTCGGGTCAGGCGTGGACTGTGCCGGCTTGTTCACGCTCAGCCGCTCCTGCACGATCGCCATGGCCCTGTGACCATTGAGGAAGTCCGGATGTGTCGTGTTGACGTAGCATGCTTGCATACTACAAAGGGCACATCAGGCATCGCCGCGAACGTCCACGACAGAACTACTCACGACACGAGATCTGAGACAAGTTTGGTAGTGGGGTTCATGGAGGTCTTGAAGAAGTTCACGACGACGGAGTTGAAGCGATCGCGTAGGGCTGGGAACCGCCTGAACGCTTGCTATAACACGGCCCGGTCCAGGTGTCAGGGGAGCAATTAGCAGACAGAGCACATTAAACGCACGATCTTATTCAAGACCTGTCCCAGGATACGAATCAGCTCGTCGTATACGAGCTGACAGCACTTCAAGCTGGGGTCCTCCAGTCTCTTGATCTGCTGCTTCACAATGACCTCGAAGGCTTGTGTCCCGACGAAGACAGCGGGCGTTGAGCCCTAAAAGCGATTGCGTGTGAGCGTCATTCTGGGATCTGGCCTTCCCACTTACAGAGGAGTTGTATAGCATGGTCCGGATGTCACCGTCCTTGACCAAGTCGAAGGGGTCGATGGTTTTGATACCATTGTTGAACAGCTCATGGAAGACGAAGCTGATTCGAGCACCACCTGACAGTTCGTTCAGAGAGAGGTCGTTCGTGTTACCGTCGATCACCGTCCGGTATTCGGAACAGAAGTCGGTGATCACGGAAAGCACAACATTGGCGGAGCTGTCACCAAGGGTGCCACCCAAGCTCAGCAGCTCAGCGTTGTATTTCTGCAGTTGTTGTGAGATGCGCGCCTTGATGTCTGGCAATGTCGCGCGAATGTGCGCCATGAGGATCTAACGAGCAGGATTGTAAGAGAGCCACCTGCACGTGAAGCATGACGTAGAGACGTACGACATTGAGCTTCCGCGCCAAGAAGGGTGTGCCGCAGTACTGCGCCTTGCCCTTGTACGAAGGATGATTCTCGAAGTACTGTCTTTCGTACTCCAGAGCAGCGCTGATGGGCTTGTTTGAGTCGATATCACGCTGGCCGCGGTTCACCACTGGGACGTAGCCCAGTCGGAGAGGAATGATGCGCCCAGCAAGGATGTCCACGACATCCGTTCCGGCATCCCTTCACGCATTGTTAGGCAGTATTCCAGCCAAGATTTCGTCGTACTCACATCAGGTCGACCTTCGTCAACACACCGATTGTCCGCTGACCCTCCGGATCCACCTCCCTCGCGAGCTTGAGACCATCTGAGTTGGCCAAATCCGTGTTCGCGGCGGTGACGGCAAGGATGATACATGCAGGCTTCGAGATGAACTTCAACAGCATGTCTTTGATTTGCTTCTCGATGTCTCGCGGCTGGTCGCCAACGGGGACCTTCGTCAACCCAGGAAGATCGACGAGCGTTAGCGTGAGGACGTTCGGCGAGTATATCCGCAAGTTGATGGGCAGTGGTGAGATACCCGCGTTCTTGCCAGTCTTCGCCTCCGTGTCGCGAACAATCTCTACCCGAATCTTGTTGAAGTCGTAGAATTTCTCTCCCGGCAGGTGTAAGAATTCTCCCCACTCGTCGGGGTTGGCATTGGGGTCCTCGCTTTTGATGTTGGCTATGTCAAAGCAAGTGAGCTCGATAGGCGGAGCGATGTGCGTTCACGGCGCGTACCAGCCCCATTCGTTTGTCCAGTCGGTTGTCGGTTGATGAGTTGGAGGACCTAATGCTAGTCAGAGATAGTAATGCTCGAGGCAGACGATATACTCACCAGTGGTCGTCGTGTCACGATACCCGTGCCCCGTGGCAAGAAGTCCCTCCCTACCAGGTTCTATGAACGAAACAACAGACGTCACAAGCGTTCAGCATCACTGGTAACACGACACACCTCAAGCACACTACTCTTGCCACTGCTCTGACTTCCGAGCACGCAGATCTGCGGGAGGTCTATCTGGGACGCCGAAGAGCCGACAGCAGAGAAGACATCCTGCAGCTTGTTGATGACGCTGACAATCTCCGAGCCGATTGTGGTGGTACCCATGGTGCAGACGAGGGAGGAAACAGAAAGAAAGGGGAGGAAGAGATGGAGGGAGGAGACTGCGTGCAAAGCGTAGCTGGCTGTACTGCACAGGCAGGATGCGTGTGGCCAACTGAAACTCCGCCGGACGCGCGTCGCGACTCTGCGCCGCGCAGCGGCCAAGTCTTTCCCTGATCCCTAACACAAGGCTGGCAAGCCTAACTAATGCTTCATCTGTATGCTCCTAGTCACAGCACAGCTCATTGGACAGCCAAATGGTACATCAAACCGTCGTGCTCTTTGAAGTGTACTCCGAGCGAGTCGCATGCGTACGGCGTCTGCTTTCCCGCAAGTCGGCGAATGTTCACCTCCTCACCTGGGCCAGCGCTGGCCGCCGAGGCATCCTGATCACTGGCCTTCACGCTCGGCAGGCTGGCCCTCTGCGTGCGCAACGACTCGACAATTGGTGCCTTACTGACATATGTGGCAGCCCCGAGGGTGATGATCACGGGTCGCGAGCACGCTGAACAGTCAGTTGCGCAGTGCGAAAGAGTAACGGGCCGATGCGTGCGTGGGTCCATATATAACCGTAGCGACATAGATGAAACGTATGCACCCTTGTCCTTCGTCTGCACCACCAAAATGTCCGTGCTTACTGCCCTAGGTCTCTTGCTCTCTGGTGCCTCAGTCGCTGTCGGCTCCTTCTCGAGCCCACCAGCAGAGCTCTACTCACCTCTGGTAGCTGAAAAAATTCGGACGACCGCTCTCTCACCCCCGAATCCTATGCAGTATCCTCAGTACACGGACCGTACGGTCGGGGATTGGCTCTACTTCAGCCCTGACACTTGGACCACTGGGTTCTTCCCTGCTACTCTCTATGCTATATATGACCGTGCCCAGTCTTGTCACTGGGGAGCGGATAATGCTTCAGAGTGGTTGGCCTTGGGTCGTCAGTGGAGTTCAGCAGAGGTTTCTCTCGAGAAGAACAACACATTGGAGCACGACGTCGGTTTTGTCAGTTTTCCTTTCATGGATGAACTGCAGGTGTAGGTACTGCTCCCGCATGGAATTATGCCATTATTGACTTGTAAGCTTGACAGAAATCCAACGAACCAGACGGCCATTACTGCCATCAACCAGTTTGCGGCGGATCTGGCTGCACGGTTCAGTCCGATTGTTGGGTGTACGAGAAGCTGGGACACGCCGAATCCTGTCGACTTCGAAGTATGTGTGCCCGCATGTGTCCCTCGTGCAGTCTATTTACGACCTTTGTCATGGAAGGTAATTATCGACAACATGATGAACCTCGAGGTGAGCACCTGGTCCTACGTCTGTTGAGTCTGGTCATTCATACTCGTTCTAGCTGTTCTTTGTATCTGCGGCTCTCACAGGCAACCAGACGCTAGTGGATATGGCTGTTTCTCATGCGAACAAGACAATGCAGCACCACGTTCGTCCAGATGGTAATCATATCACCGCTTGAGGCTATCGCGTGGCTAAGAGTCGTACAGGCTCTTCCTTCCACGTTGTCGAGTACAACGCTACAAGCGGCGACGTGATCGCAAGCTTCACGGCTCAAGGATATTCAGACTCGAGGTAGCACAGTTCACCTGGAACTCCTCTGGCACTCGCTCACGAGTATTCGACAGCACTTGGAGCCGAGGCCAAGCATGGGGAATTTATGGATTCGCCAATAGTAGGCACAAACATCCATCGATCGCTCGCTCCGTGGCTAAACGTTCCGCAATAGTGTACATGCATACAAATATTACTGACTATCTGGAGACCTCGCGACGTATGGCCTCCTACTTCCTCGATCACCTACCCGACGATGGTGTGGTGCCATGGTAAAATTGTATTGACTCGTGGCTGGGACAATCTGACGAACGACGTACAGGGACTTCAATGCTCCGCTAACGCCGCCTAGACCTGCGGATTCCTCAGCGGCCATGATTGCGGCTAACGGCCTCATACTCCTCGCTCAACAAGAGGCTTCGCTGACGCCATCGAACGCAACAGGATATCAGTATTACATCGAGGCTGCCATCGACGTGTGTCTCCACTTCGATTCTGCTGTGTACCTCCATCGCTGACATGTGCCTCAACAGCTCTTACGGGCCAACACGGAGCTTGCCTGGCAGCCGTCGTGGCAGAGCTTGCTCGCGAACGGAACTGTGAACAATCCTGACCACAACAACCTCACCGGTATTGTGTATGGTACGTGTCATTTTGAGATGAAAATTTTACCGAATGCGCTGTAAACATGTGTTATCTGCAGGTGACTATTACTTTGTGAGGGCTGGCAACGAGCTGCTAGCTATGAACATTACGACGTGCCAGCCTGGGCCGCAGACGGTAAATAATGGTTCAAGTTCAAGTTCAAGTTCGAGTTCAACTTCAAGCTGCTTACCGCTGCGAATACTACATGCCAAAGTATGGTGGCTGCTGCATCTAGCCATCGTTGTAGTAGTTGCAGTAACATGATAGTTAAGGGTTGGATGTCCCCCTAATGACGCTCGTCAGTGTGTTCGTATAAGGATGTACATACCCATCCGTCACGTTCCGTGGCGCAACATATCGACCCGATGAGATCTAGGAGGATGAGCTCCAGCACGTGTTGGGCGATCGAGATCCAGATCGTACCGACACTGTCATGCCTTACGAAATGTAAGCTTGCGCGCCACCGCACTCTGACTAAACGACCATGTCCGGCGAAGCCTTCAACCCAAATCCCATCGTTTTCGCCACTACTAAGTCGTCTCGATCTCTTCCTCCTGGTGTCAGACTGAACTCCCTCTGGCTCGACGACGGTGATCACCGAGAGGAAGAATCGGATGACTCGAATGAGGCTGAGGCGATAGACCAGGATGAGATATTCGGTGTGTTATCCCTTCATGTTGCGGACCCCTTTGTGTCTAACATCGCTCAACACAGAGCTTATACGCTCTATCTCTGATCCTGAGCACCGGAACATGTCCCTTGAACAGCTCGCAGTGGTCTCGGCGCCTCAGATCACATTCGATCAGCGGAATCCGGACAGACTCACCGTCGAGTTCACACCCACAGTGCCACACTGCGGAATGAGCACATTCATAGGTCAGTTTCATTCAGCTTGGCCCAGTCTTGAGGAGGGTCTTACACCGTTGGTTCTCGCAGGTCTCTCCATTCGTGTGCGGTTGCTCCGGAGTCTTCCTCACCGCTATAAGGTCGACATCCGCGTCAAGCCCGGGTCACACCAGAGTGAGCATGCCTGTGAGTACAGTCACATTGCGACCGAGTCCTGCGTCTGACAACAGTCAGTGAACAAGCAGCTGAATGACAAGGAGCGCGTGGCGGCCGCGCTGGAGAACCCTGCCCTGTTGGAGGTCTTGGAGCAGTGCTTGTCGACTGTTGGGCAAATTGCAGACGCAGCTGCGTTGTGACATGACCTCCTTTTCCATGACGCTGCGCCTCGGATGCCACGACATTATTCCGTTCGTATCGGCGGTCATATTGATACGTCGTGTACTGTACACCCATATTATAACTCATCTGTTGGAGCGCGGAGCCAATCATTGTAGCCGTAGAACGTGGTATAGCACTACTATAAGCATTTGCATAACGTTGCATATCAACATGAGAGGTATCTGAATCTACTATGAAACGAGCAGCACGCTGCATGTACGGGTAAGACTGATGCTACAGTGTGGGGAGCATTGCGGTAGGGAATCATAATGGCTACAGGGTGTAAAGGAGATCGCAGATGTGACTGATACAAGGTGATGGATGGTGATGGAAAGCAGATATGCACGAGAGCGTAAGCAGAGTCAGAGAGGAACTGGTTAGGAGGAACGGTACACGAAACAAGCCATGTTATAGTCGTGTATGAGACATGGGCGTCAGTCGTCCAGGAGGAAGTCCCAGTCGATGGCGACTTCCGGGGTGCGCTTAGCGCACCAGCCGAGACCGAGGACACGTTTGCACGCCTCGCGACAGCGGGCCTCTGGTTCACCGCGGTGCACATCCCACATGCGGAACATGACGTGACCGGCGGTGTGCACGATGACCTCGTCCTCCTCCGTGCCGCCGCTGATGTAGCCAGCGTTCCAGCGCTCCTTCTCGGAATACACACCGGCATCGTCAGCGATGTAGATGTCGGAGTACTGAGGGATGTGTCTGTCGAGCGCGGCGACGAGGGACGGCCGGCGTGACTGGGTCATGCAGACGTTCTGCATGATACGGTTGGTGAAACCCGCGGAGAACGAGACGCGTTTGCAGTGCGCGGAGCGGTGGATTCGGCCCCTGAAATCCGAAGGCAGCCAGATCGTTACGTCCGCATCGGATGCGGAGTGAACCTCGAGTTGAAATTTTGTGGGACCTGTTGCGAGGAAACTGCGGCACTGAGACCGGGGTCAGACAACTGGGATGGTCGCGAAAGACGCGCGGACTACGTACGACTTTGACCTTGATGCACTCGGAGATTTCGCTGCCAACGTACATGGACAGCCGATGGTCGAGCGGTTGGTTACGGGCGCGATAGTGCGGGAGTACGAGGGACACGTCGATTGGGCGGTGCTCCGACTCCAGCGCGAAGTCCCACATCGAGTGGTCGCCCGCGCCGCGATAGCGAACTCGATGTGAGCCAGTGGGTTGCTCGAGCAAACACTCGGAGCCACAGTGGGATCTCGACTCCTAGATAGTGGGGCATCACGATGAGCACGAATTTGACTGTTGGCACGTCGATCGGAGGCGCACTCACGTTAGAGGAGTGAAACCCAGGCATTATAACTGCGATAGAGAATATAAACTTGCGTAGATGGAGAAGACGAAAAAGGGCGCGGAGGGACGGCGCACGAGCAGTTGCATACAGGGCAGACTGGGGCGATTGGCTCGGTCTATATACGTCCGGGGGAGGCAGCGTTCAGTAGGACGCATTGTGCCGGATTAGGCAGTGCTTGTGTTACGGTTGCGCGGCTGCGTGCAGCCATGTGGTTCTTTTTCTCCGACACCATTCTGATTGGACTGCCATGCCGTTGTCAAACAATTGCCTGGGAACAAGGCAAACATCACAACAATAAGGCGTGTATGCCCAAAGATACCGAAGGCCGTTTGCGGAGCCTGGCTAGACGCGGACCGTCCAAAAGTCAATGTAACTTTCCCCCATGCACACTTGATGCTTGCAGAGAAGCTGGCCTCGGCAGTCTCGCAGTCCGAGGATAGTTGCTCCGAAACGAAATCAAATTTCAAGATACTATTCACTACAAATTATGTGACACGTCCGGAGAGCGCGGTTCCGCAACGCGAGACGCGCATGAAACGTTGTCTGCCTTGCCTTCTTCCCTCCGTACCCGAGACAAATGCGGGGTCTGTATTGGGCAGTCCTAGGACAGCGTGTAATACACGACGCACAGCTAGTCGAATGTACTAGTACACTAGCACTGCGACAGGCGTGCACCAAGATAGACCCGTCTATGGGGCTGACTGAAGCTAGTGTCCTAATCCGGTGCACAAAGGAGAACAAAATTTTCTTTTGGTCAGCAATGAAGCTTGTTCTTTTGCACATTGACATTCGTGGGTACTATGGTAGTACCATGCCAGGTTACGACACGAAGTGCTAGCGCGTGCGACTCCATGTCATGAGGACAATGTCTCCAGTAAGACAAAGATCAGTCACCTCTGGCACTACGTATTGTCGAAGGTTCGATGGCGAGCCTCGAATTCTGGTCTGCAACGGATGCCGACGTCTCCGGTCACCGGTGGTTCAGGAGCGTTCTCATGGTAGGATGTAAGGAAGATGTTGTATCCTGCAACTGGAGTTGACCGGATGTGAAGGAGAGTCCGAAAGCATTCGAGCGGCAGCCGGAGTCCGGTACGCACTAAAGTTACGGTCAGATAGGCTGATCAAGAGAAGCTGGCTCACTTCGCAGGCCTGTGTCATTCCACCATCGAGCGCGCCGTCAGCCTGAGTGCTCTGTCGACGTCGTTGCCGCCGCTGTCACGTTGGGCCGCATGCACAAGTGAAATCTCAGCGACGCCATCGAGAGTCATCAAAAAGTCCGTTCTGGTCTGTTATGGCTTGGGACAGTCTCTGAAACAGCGCGCGACGGGTGCAAAACCGAGTTGACTGACTAATGAGGAAATCGACTTACCTTTTGGAGTCCGGTGCGACGGTGGTGGCTGCAGGTCGCGGGCCACGATGCACGTGCTCTCGTATGCGACGCGTTTTCCGCTGGAGCGCGTCTCTTCCTCGTACTCGACTGTGGCTCTCGGTCTCGTTACGACTGCGACGCACCCTAGCCTCCTTCCTGCTGAAAAATGCCGCCCAAGGTCTGCTGGTGGCCAGTCTGCACGTACTTATGTCCCTCTGATCTCCGTCGCATACAGCGCAAACGTGCGGACGCCGGTGTCTCGGAAGCTGGCAGCACCTCGACGCGAGCTACTCGCTCCTCCACACGCGCCACAAGGAGTAGAGCAGCCACCGACGAGACGGAAGGAACGCCTGGGACAGACTCGCTCGGAAGTGTAGAGGCACGTCTCCCGCTCCTGAACCGTAGCACTGTCGCTAACCCTTCTGTGCGTAGACTGCCCCGCAAGCCAAACGAGTGCGGAAGACGACGACAAAAGCAGCAGCAGCACGGACATCCGCAAAGCCCAAGGTGCCACCGGAGTGAGTCGTTGAGTGTCGGCTTATGCGTGGATGGAACCCTAACCACACACCGTCCCAGTACCCAGGAGGTGATATCCGGTCCCCCTTCCGAGCTATTTATGGCTAATTACGTACATTCTAGCCACGAGCCGACGTCAGGTAAGTACTGCCTCCTGTCTCCTTTCTGTCGTGTGGGCAGCGAGGCAAGTAACAGTATACGTCTTATACCGACCACTCTCGTTCCCGCCGAGTTCAGTCTCGAACTTGGACAGCAGTTCTCGCTTTGCTGTCACGTGGCAGCCCTTACTGTTCATGCACATATCATCCCTTCTGTGCTGCATTCCTCACAAAGGCGTCCTCAGTACACAGGAGGCAACATCGACCACAGCTGCGATACCCGCAAAACCTGCGAAACCTTCCGCACCGGCTCCATACTCCGCTGCGTCTGCCATATCACTCTTTAATTCGTACGCCGACCCAGATGATCCGACTGTCATTGGCCCGGAGGGCTTCGAGCGGCTCTGCTCGGACGCGGAAATCTCGTTGGAAGGCGCTCTACCTCTCATTCTAGCGTGGCAGTTGCATGCTAGTGAGATGGCGAATATCACCAAGAGTGAATGGGAGAAGACTACGTCAGAACTTCGGTATGTGTTAACGTATAATGGAAGCTGGCATATCCTTCTTACCGTCGGATATCAGAATCTCGAACCTGACATCACTTTCGACTGCCCTCCATGACTTGGAGGACCTGCTACTCTTGGACAAACCAGCACTGAGACCGCAGGCGGCTGATCCATTCCCGGCCAAGAAGAAGTCAGCTGTATCGTCGCCCGCTTCGTCTGATCCTTACAATCGTTCCCGGTACCACGGGTATACATCAGACACAAGTAAAGCATTCAACGAGTTGTATGCCTTCTGCTTCGCACTCGCCAAGCCACCGTGAGTCCGACCAGTATGGTGCGAACGTAACACAGCTGACGTTTATCAAGACAAGCGAGGAATATAGACATGGAGGTTCGTTGCGTATATTCACTCAGTGTATACTTGCTAACGGCATTGTTATCCATCGCAGACCGCTAGCGCCTTTTGGTCGGTCTTGCTAGTGCCCAAGTACCCTCTTATGGCCGACATCCTTCAGTTCATCAACGTATGTATGGATGAGCGACAGATAATATTCATACTGACGTCCTTGTGCAGGAGAAGGGCACATACAAGGGTGCCAATAAGGATCTATGGACGATGGTATGTATACATTCTATTCCTCTGGGCAGGACGGCCTGTCATCACTGTGCTCGCGCTCGACATATAACTGACGGCATCGTCACGATTAACCAGACCTTGGAATTCTGTCGAGCAGTTCGGTCTGACCTATCTAATTATGACCCCGAAGGCGTGCGTAATTCTCGATTGACCCCCTCCGCCCCCGTGTTACTCACGTACATGATGTGCCTGTAGGCCTGGCCGACCACGCTGGATGATTTTGTCGCCTGGAAGAGCAGCAAATCGAGCGGGGATGCCCCCGTGCAAATCGATGACTAGAATGCCTCCGTCTCCCATGAACATCACACGGACAGTACATCTATAGCCCATCTCTTAATGATCTCATGTCGCTATCGGTCGTCTTTCGCATATGTATGTATCCTCCTCGTTGCTGAGGTCTCCGGTTGTCCGTACTAGTATCGTGCGCACGGCATTCATTAATCATGATACTTGTCCCGGCATTTGAAAGACATGCATTTGATGAGAGAAGTTCGCTGTGAGCTACTGATGTAAGGACGGAATATGTAAACGGGTCTCCCACGCGAGTGCGGTGGTGAGTTTTTCGAGACGGATGTCGTTCAGTAGCGGGGCTAACTTATCAGAGATGCGTAAGTGAGGGGTAAGTAGAGGTAAGTAAATTACTTACTTACTCACCAACTTCATGATGCCACAATGATGGCATATAGAATTCCCACGCTTCTTCGCTCTTACTCTCATACTCACCGTCGATATGTCTAGTAGAGCAGGCGGGCTCTATGGCGGCATCCAGTTCTCCTCTTCGAAAGCATTCATCACCTCTGCTGGCTCTCAGGACGCTCAGGGACCCGTGAATGCACCAGCCAACGACAGAGGCATCACGCCTGCCGCCTCATCTTCAAGAGAACAAGCACCGCCTACCACCAGCGCGCCCGACGCGCCATCGAGCACCAATCCCGCAACCGATGGAGGTGCTTCGGTGAAACCCACAGCCGGTATCTCTCCATCTATGCAGCCTTGGTGTCGTAGAGCTCGTTTATTCACGAAACCGTCGTCCATGCTATCCCTCAACGCTCGATGATCCGGTGGACGCATCCCGCCGTCGCCAGGATGGTCCGCAAGCCTCGCATTCGCGCCAGTCCGGCGCAACCCAATCCAGAAGGCGAAGGCACCGGCGACACGACTCCCCGTGGGTGCTACGGTTGCTGCAGCACAAGCCGCCGCCGCGTCCTCAACGGCAATGATCTCAAGCACGGCTGTCGTCTTCGCCCCGCCGTCCCTGGTAGAACAGCCCAAGAAAGAAGATGCCGCGCCGGGTGCTCACCCGCAGACCCAAGGATGGGGAAAGAAAGTCAAGCCGCCGTCTATGATCCTTGTTGAAGATGTCAACGGATTCAAGGCTCAGCACGGGGAGAGACGCGGCGGGGGAGGCGGCAAGAAGAAAGGGAGAAAGGTGCGTAGTTCACGCTTGTATCAAGTAGTCCTCTACTGACCGATATCAGAACAAGAACGCGCCCGTCATCGCTGTCTGGGATCCTTCGGAGGCATATGACCCCATGCGCCCCAGCGACTACAATGAGTACAAAAATTATAAGAGGAGGGAGCGCGAGGAAAGGCGAGAACAAATCATAGCGGAGCGTCGGCGCGCAGAAGAGCGCAAGCGAATGCGGCGAAGTAGTAGCTATTCTGATAGCGGCTCTGAAGATGATCGGCCGCGCAAAGCAGGTGCGTGGGTCTGTCATCGACGTGTGAAGACATGCACTAATGGGTGCCTATGTATTCAGGCCGATTCGAGGAGCCCGAAGAAGATTATGACCGTCCCCGTGGTTTGGGCAGCAGTATCCCGTCCGTTCCTCCTCCGGCCGCGGTTGATGTGAACCTCACTGGTGACGAGGCCTACCAACGACGCCTTGCGATGTCAATGGGTATCCGTCCTCCGGCGCCCGCCGCACCCGCACCTGCGTTCATATCCCCTGTGCCTGCTTTTACCCCTCCGGTCGCCACCTTCACGCCATCGGCCTCTAATACGCCACCCTTTGCGATGAGTCCTCCCCCTCAACCGCCTTCTGCAGATATCAATCCGCTTCGCTATTCTTCCGCACCAGTCGCAGAGGACGACGAGGACGAGATCCCAGGTCTCAATATTCCTCTGCCTGCGCCCACTCTCCCTGCTGGAGAGGCGGGAGAAGAAGCATTTCTTCAGCGTGCTACAATGTCACAGATGGGCGCACAATTTGGGCTTCCTTTTGCCGCTGAGAATGCCCCGCCCTCACTCGCATACAATCCTTTCGCTCCGCCCTCCTCTGTACCGCTGCCGCCTGCTCCCGCGCCAAACGCTCTGTCTGAGGACAAGATTCGCAGCAGCCGAGAGGCGGCCGCAGCGATTGCTGCCAAACTACGGGCTCTGGCGCCGCCCACCGGGTCGCCAGAGCCCTCGTCTTCGGACTCTCCGAAGGCTGAGGACGCACAGCAGAAGAAGTGCGTATGCGGCATGGCTTTTCATGGACGGCTACTAACCAAAGCGCAGACCCGACCCTCACGGATTTGCTGCACGCCTCATGGCAAAGTGGGGACACAAGGAAGGCCAGGGCCTCGGTGCAGACGGAAGCGGGATCGTGCATGCTCTTACTGTCGAGCAAGTTGCGGGGGGTAAAGGCAAAGGCAAGGACAGTAGCAAACCTTCCGGTTCTGCCTCGAAGCTGGGCCCTGGCTCGAAGATGGGGAAGATTGTGAACCTGAACGAGGACTCGAAGACTCGCGAAGATCGCGAGCGGTTCGGAGAACCCAGTCGCGTCGTCGTCCTGACCAACATGGTTGGTCCTGAAGATGTCGATGACGAGGATCTCAGCGATGACATAGGTTGGTCTTCGGTGTGCTCATCGTATAGAAGTCGACATGTGAACTAATGGTGTGCTTCTAGGCGGCGAGTGCTCCAAGAACGGCACGGTCGAGCGAGTAATCGTCCACCCTGTGTACCCGCCTCCGGACAACCCCGACGAAGCCGTGCGCATTTTCGTGCTCTTCGCGGGCCCTGTTGGCGCCTGGAAGACTGTCAGAGAGCTTGATGGTCGTTATTTTGGAGGACGAATGGTCAGGGCACGATACTTCCCTGAGAGTCAGTTCAACCAGTTCGACTTTGATGCTCCATTGTAGTCGACTGCATGATGTGATAGTCTTGGTGTATGTAGCTTGCTTGGTAAATACTCATGCTTGGTTGATATTCATGTGAACGTTTGAAGAATCACGTCCTCCATGTGACGTCGTTGGCCTAATCATTCTTGTGATACATGCACAATGAGACTGGGGATCGATGTACGCAAACGACAAGGATCTACATGGAAGAAACGCCGAAGTCTACGTTCACGGTGCGGGTCGGTACGAATTCTCCATCTCAAAGCCCTTTAGATGATCTCCTTCCACTTGGTCAACCTCATCACGAGCGGTCTCATCAGTGTCCGGGTCATGGGCGAGTGATCCATCAAGATTACCTAGCACTCGCGAAAAGCGTGCGCTAGACATCTGTGACGGGCTCGATGCTAGGGTACCGGTGTGGGGCGTGAGCGCGGCTTCGCGCAGGTTGAGGAAGAAGCGTGAAATTATGATCGACTCCAGCCTGATATGTTGTTTAGTGTATGAAGAACCTTCATCACTAGTAAAAGCCATACATACGTATAGGTTAGCGGAGTCGTGAAACTGTTGCTCTAGTAAATGACACAATGCAAAGTGTAAGGGCCAACAAATGAAGGGAGAACGCTCCGTACCTTGATATGATTCAGCACACCGTTGACGATGAGTACTACGATGATCATGCTGGTAGGATCGTTCATGAACTCCGCTTTCCATATCATTCGTTCACAGGTTACTTTACCCGAAGTACATTGCACCTGAAACATCGTCACAGTAGTGTCAAACGTGCACGGTTCTCTCGGCGTGGACACACGCACCGTCTTTGAGTAGCAGCGTTGTTACGGGGAGCTTCATGCGTAGGCGATGAGCTCTTCGCTCCATTCCGTACACAGTGCGCCAGGTGACCACCAAAGCTAGACTTTCGGCCACAGTTGAGCATACTTGCCCCGTAAGCCATACTGTGATGCGCATTGGCAATGTTTTATTACAACAGGACTGTGGCATGTGTAGGGAGACTGCAAGCTTACCTACGCTGTAATACCGACTCTGTCAGTACGGAGCAGTCTTGTTAGTAGCGGACCATTGACCTTTGAACGACCGCGTTGGAGTTTGTCCACAGAATGACACATCCGACCGGCTGCGGAACGGGAATTGCCACCAACGTGAAGGTCTTGTACTACATTCACCCGTCAATACTTCAACGTTGAGCTATACGCGGTATACATACTACATCCAACGATGTTGCCACCAAGGACAACACGAGAATGACCGCAGGGCTGTGCAGCGAGCGGCCGTTGATGGCATAGGTACGCAGCGCGGAGATGGCTACGTACAATCGTTAGGGGCATAGCGAGTTAACACTTGATAGCACGATACCTCCGGAGCTGGCATGAAAGATTGCCGCAGCGATGTTCAGTACGACTGCTAATAAATTACCGCTGTGATTTTGACGCAAATGAGCCTTGGCCTTTGCTGTTCTTCAGAGGCATATGAACGAACCTCTTCGAATTGAAGATGGCAGAGATCAGTCGATGCAAGGCATGAGAATTCTGACACTTACTTGACAGCCCGTAACCGAGATCATGGCCATGTACGTCCAGAGGTAGAGTATTGTGGACAGTTGCATCAGAAAACATAGCCCCGACGCTACTGACAATCGGCGCCCCGAGCTCTGTCGAATCTCCTGCCCAATGGTGAGGACACGATCATACATGAATAGAGCTTCGTGTCGCGCGTGTGGTTAGCCGACAGTCGCCGCCATATTCTAGGATGAATCAGCTTACCACACGCAGAAACGGCGCTGCAACACGAGATGAATCTATGTGCGTTCCAGTCATCAAGAGGACGATGGGAGCAGGTGCAGAGCCACATACCCCATATCTAACGTGGAGGAGAAATTCTGTTCGGCGGGGATTGTCGCTTGCATGTCGGGGATACAGGGAGATGCATTCGTTCCAAAGCTTGAGCGTATAAACGCAAAGGCGGACGCCCCGCATCTAGATACCACTGCGGCCAAGCATAATTGAGTGTCGTCCAATCCTCAACTCACGACATCATGGTCATGCCTGCCAGACCATTGAATGTCTATCTCGATGCGTCGCCTCTGGCTGGAGTACCATTACTGGAATACCGAATGAGGCTGTCCTCCTTGTCCTACCAGTAGTCGGGGCTCCTATATTAGCCACGCAGTACAGGACACAGAATAGAGTCCACACATGATGGAGATGCGACCTCGCCATGGCTGTTCAGCCACCATTTGGCAGCATCTATTCTGAAACTGAGTGTTGCGACGCGGGCAGGGAATACGAAGACCTCCGTCTAATTCGTAATCAAGACTGAATTCAGATCACCGACGCCGCCGGCCACGCTCATTGACTTGAACAGCATGGGCGGCGTGGTTTCTGCCACGTCCTCCGGCTTTGCATTCCACGTATCGCAGCCACGCATGTGCTTCGTAGACACAGCATGGTGCAGTCGGCGTAGCTTACGGCAAAAATTCAAATCCCGTGGTCAATACAGGCTGGCAACTTCATGAGCGTCCAGTGTCCTGAATCCTGATTCGACCTAGAAGACCCACTATACCTCCAATCGCCTAGATCAAGCAGTGACATTCATGTTCAGTCCGTCCTTGAGTCCGGGTGTACTCAGTGACCGGCTATCTTTGATTGAGCGCACTCCTCTTTGCTAGTGAATTTTGACGCGGCAGTTCCGATGATCCGGAGCTGAGCATCATCCTGAGGAGCTATAACGATCGAGTAGCGGTAGAGCTATTCGGTGCAGGCTCGCTGGGCAGCAATGATGAGTGTGGAAGCTATGAATGGACAGCAGGCCTCTAACGAGAAACCAGCGAGAAACCACGCGGGGCTAACACGGTCACGTGATGATGGTACGCGAGGCAGACGCCCGGCTGACACGGTCTCCAGTGTCCACACTGTTTGTGTTGAATGTTTGCTCGTAGTTAGCGGTCAACTATCAATGCCAAGTCATCTTCATCATAGGTTACCCCTGTAGTTTCCTTCGTGCCGTGAGGTATGTATACATGGACATACACACAGTCAATCTAAATTACATCAGAGGCCAGTCCCCAACAGACTCTATAGCCAAGTACCACAAAGGACGGGTATGAAGTCAGTAGTCGTCAAAAGACTACTAGACCAAACAGCGCCTGTCGATCCTTCAGTTTAATCTGGGACGACATCGTTGACCAGATACTCACAGTGCCGCCGCATTGCGTTGCCATCAAACGGCTCTCGCGCACATATCCAACGACCCCTGCTTCAGCGCCAGGCTGGCATCGAGGTCGGACGAGCGCTCGGAGCTTGCCATGTTCAACATCGCTATACCCTCGGTCTTGCCACCCATGCTTGTGACATATAGGGCGAGAGCATTGTCAATCACAGCACCGTCGCTCGCGTATCCATCAGACCCGAAGACAAGTGAGCCGTCGAGGGTGCCTAGGACGCGCGAGAAGGAAACGTGAATCTGGGAATCCTCCCCTGGGAGTGTATTTGATGATGCAGCGTGACGAAGGTTGATGTACAAGTGCGTGATGCAGACGGTCTGCAGTCTAGAAACAAATAACCGTAAGCGTCAACGGTTCCGGGACCCGACCCGAACTTACACGTAGGTCAGCGACGTGATGGAGACGTCAGTCTATATACCATCGTCAGTATAACAAACATGATCCAGACATCTCGACCTACGGCCACGAGTTCCAATACGGCGTTGGCAATGAGAAGCAAAAGAATGACGCTGTGAACAGAGAACATTGAGTGGTCACGTACGCCGACGCGCGCAAGAAATTGAGTTACCCGAAGTAGACGGTACCTGCGCATGAATGCATGGATGAATGATCATTTCGGAGAATTAGTGGCACACTTACCGTCCCGAAGCAACATTGCGCTGACCGATGTTTTTGTGCTCGAGCTATCAGACGCTCTCCTTGCCCTGTACGTTGCGCGCCATGTAGCCGCCAGGACTAGTACCTCGGCGACGGCCGCACACACAAGACCAGATATCTTCACTGTTCAACGGGATACATGCGGTCAGTACCTGATTACAGCTAGCTGCATCGACGAGTTGGATGCTCACATCCGCTGTAATGGACAAAGTTCATGAGGGCATGGTAACACGTTAATGAATGCCACGACTTACTGCTGGACATCCGGTTGCATGGCTGAAAGGAGAATGCAGTCAACTGGCGGTGGTGCCGGCTCCTTGAACAAGCTACTGGCATTGTACTAAATCCGATATCCGTTCAATATCGATCCAAGGTATCCGAGGGAACGCACATACGAAGTCATAGAGTGTATAAGTCAGGAAAAGAAGCAAAATGGCCACGGGCATCCCCAGTTTGCGACCATTGATGGCGTAGACACGCAACGCCGATATACCTGAAGACTGAGCTCGCGCGTGTCAGAGACGGGGAGTCTGAAAGGGCACACCTCCAATAGCCCAACGGAATACTATCTTGGAGGAAATCTCGGTAATCCCAAGAACATACCCGCTGAAGATGTGCAGGTTGAACAAGTGCGGTCCAGAACAAAACGGGGATGAGACTCAACGCCTGTCGGACTGCGTTAGTCAACTCAAACCAGGCATGCGTATGATGCCGTACTCACTTCACAGCTTGATGTAGCAAGGAGCGCCACGGCGCTCCAGAGGGTGGTGAACATGGACAAATGCATGATACCGTATACCACGGAGGCTAAGGACGCTTTGCGCCGCCAAATGAGCTCCCACTCTCGATCGAAGATGATGCATCTCTCATAAAAGTAGAGAGCTTGAATTGCGAGAACTCGTCAGTCGCGTGAACGGAGCTACAATCTTAGTCGACAGACTTACTGCAGGCTACAGAGAGGATACAGTTAGCTATAAACCTGGGTGTGCATGTCAGCCTCGATCACATAGAGTTCTGCATGAAGAGAACGTACGAGGCGTTGAGCGCAGCGATAGCGGCTTCCGTAGGGGTCGACATAGTCTTAACTCAGTGTACAAAGAGCTAGAAGCCGTGCGGACGCGTGCATATCGCGCAGGCGAGAACCAACGGATGACGGTCAATGGGACTGAGAGCGCCCCGTCGAGGTCTGGTAATCCGTGCAAGGGTGGACGCAGGAGCAGACCTCGTTCGCATATGTACCACGATTCGTCTAAAAGCAGATTCTGGACTCACCGGGGGTGCAATTTCGCCCTGGTTGATCGAGCTCGTGGCGATCACCTGTACACATGTTTCTCGAAAGTGTCGTCAAGCGGATCGAAGCCATTCTATCAGCGGTGTCAGTCCGCTGATCGGCGGACGATCTAACGTATCTACTGTCATAAGTAGGGTGGGCACAGGAACTATCGAGTATTAGTAGTGACATACTAGAAGGCGACCAGTGTTCAGTATCGGTGACTGTGATCTTGTTTAAGGCGTCCTCATAGTTCATCAGTCCAGGTCTGTTGCAGCTTGCAGAGTGTCTCTTCTTGCTTGGACGAGTGTGGTCTGAGCAGAGCCGCCATCGTGGGTGGATGGTCGACACTAGACGTGGCCAGGCCGCCGGCATCATGCGCTTCAGAACATAGCTGGAACATAGCGACCCCTTTGGCGAGCAATCATATTCAGGCCCATGCGCCACAGCGATCAGAATTACTCACTAAACTTGTGTGTCGCGCGTTCGGACCTTCGGCGATAGGCTGCTTGCCTGCTTCTCCCGGAGGCTCACACGCAGCACTTACCGTAGCTGTGCACATGTGCATGGATTTCTTTTGATGAGCCATGTGCGGGGCTCGCATTGCTCGCATGGTCTCCTACCGTACGCGGTGTCGAGGTCAGAACAAGGCCAGAAGTCGTCTCTGAGAAGAGCCTGAGCCACACAGTACTCCCTTGATTGTGGCAGGACCCGCGTGTACATCGTACAGCGCATGGGGACGCCAACGGTATCCACGTACTAGTAGTGCGCCCGTCGGAGCCGTCCTCATGCAAATCCGACAGCCGTGCACAAGCCGTGCAACACTACTAATATTGTTGCCATGCAAAAATCTGAAGACTAGTGGCGGTGCCATCTAATACCGTCAGGGCAATGCTAGTTCGAATCAGGGCAAGATACGAGAATGACGCGAAGCAGTCTCGGAAGGGGACTTATCGAGCGGGTGCTCATGTTGGACGTCCATCTGCGTAGTTTGCGGGCTTGTCGGCGAAGATTACCGATGCATAGAGACTGTAGTGGGTGTAAGGAGCAGACGTGCATTCCAGTGCGGGCGCCATAAGTTAGTCGCTACTTGCCTAAGGAGTGGTGTGATCGGTGGATCAGGCTAGATCGGGCCACCACATCCCGGGCCGTCTTGTCTTCAAGGTGTTGAGTCAATGTTGAATACGACAAGAACGGTACGAATGACAAACTCGCTCGCCAATGATGTTCGTATGTCAAGTACAGTAAGAGCCTGGCAGTCAGGTCATATGGCAACGGGACCTGTCCCGGATGGTGTGGCATAAGTATCAGAATCATCAACACTGTCATTCGCGAATCGCACTCGACGCCCGCATCTCTTGCACGTCCATAGATGAGTCCTATAGTCGACCTTCGCATCTTCCATTTGACTACTATTTAGGCCAGCGATCCCGCTAGACTTCCCGCAGCGCGCGCGAATTTGATGTCGGATGCTTGAGATGCGTCGAGAGGTACGGCGGCCCCAAGCCTTAGGACACTCCCATTGACAAGGAGTGCTGGATTTGCCGCATACAGGTGTCACAGTTGTATATCGATGGAGCTGATCCTAGATATGTAGCAGCACGGCCCGTCGGTCATGGTGCGAACAGACCACTTACTGTATAGCAGCAAATCCGTCATTGTTCCTCTCTCCACACGCGCGCCGTCCAAGACACCAGGGTCTCGGAATGGACGGACCAATGTACGTGAACGATGATATATTTGTCAGCTTTCTGCTTCGCGGAAGCGAGGTTCGAATGACATGGAATAACCTCTCGCAGCCCACGGCTGTGCATCGTGGCATCACCCGACATATACGTGCGAGTACGGTCGTCCCTGTGGAGGGCAATCGCATCTGTTCAAGTTGACGGCGACCCTAGAGCGATAAGTCTTGGATAAATAAGGATGCATAACAGATACGACACCGGGAGGTACTTGTTATACATCCAATCTACGATGCAGGTCTTGCGGGGCGAATACGAAGCGCGGTGCCATCTGACCGCCCATGACCGCCCATGCCAATCCGCGGCCTTCAGTGCAGTGTCACAAATCTACCACATACACACTGATCAGCACCACAATACCACATCAGGTAGGTAGCATATAGAAACGAAAACTCACTTTCGAAACCCCACGGAGTGGAGAGGGCCCTTGGGATACATCCAAGGTCAAATGACAGCCGAATCGAGTTCGCGCCGGCTTTCACTGTTGGCAGGCGCCACGATACTGTCCGATTGTGCACCCGAGTACTCTAGGTCCCGTTCCTCCATCTCCTCTTCTTCCGGTTCAGGATCAGGATCAAAATCTACGTCCGTGCCCGCGAGGCTTCCTACAACGCGCGTAAAACGGAGGTCGGATGCTTCCGATGCGTCGCCACTTGGTGGTCCGTCGGATGGAGAAAAGTTCGCCCTATTCAAGTTCAAGTAGAAGCGTGAGAGTAGGACTGTTTGCAGTCTATGCAATGCCTTGATTCAGTCTGAATCTCTTCCGAAGCCCATTCAACATACGACATCATGATAGGCACCAGACTGGCGCCAATTGGATACTGCAAGGACAACATCAGCATGGAAAGTAAGTGTACAATTTAGCATCACCAACAGCGGTCGCACTCAATATTATGTCGACTATCACGAGGGCAAGGATTGTGCTAGGCAAAGTCAACTTCAATGTGTCCAATCCGACCATATACTCACATGAAGTAGAGTGTGCCTTGATAGCATGAGAAGAGAAACGTCAGTTATAATAGACATGCGAGTGGCCCCTAACTGACCATCTCGAAGCAAAAGCGTTGTCAGCGAAGTGCTGATTTGCTGGCTCTTAGCAAGTTTGGCCGAGTGATATGTTCGGCGCCAGGTCGCCACCGCCACCAACAATTCCGGTATGCTAGAGCAAGCTTCCCCGACAAAGAACACTGCAAATGTGAACGGAGGAGATTCACAGTCAGTCTACTACATGGAAAGTCAGTGACGATGCGTTATACATATACTATGCCCCACATTAGTGGAAGTGAATGATTAGATCAAGGTGTAACACGCACTCTCCGATCATTGTGTTCTTGCTAGGGTTCTTGATCCACCCAATACCATAGCCGAAAGGGTCAGGAGGTACAGTGAACACAAGTTTCACGTATAAGGCATGCTGATGACCACTGCATCGGAACCTCGTATGCCCAGTCGATAACGAGAGGACATACGAGATCAACCACAATTGGCATCAGGAAGAGCGCCACAATGGTGCATGCAAGCAGTATAGAGCGATTGCTGATGGCATATGCGCGCAACGCCGTGAATCCTAGAAGACGTGAAGCAATTAGTCCTAGTAAGAACGTGTCAGCCACTCATCACTCACCACTATTGGCAAAGTAGTATAGGACGTCTGCGGATGTCCTTACCATGGTTACTATGTAGTAACTGCATAGCGGCTCAGTGAAGTGCAGCGTAAAGACTGGACAGGGATGACCTCTAAAGAACGCAAATTCAGCACTCCCGCAGTGTGTCGAAACGATTGTACCCTACTTCGCAGCCCACAAATTCTTCCACCACATACGCGAGGAGGGATGTCGCCGCGGATACATGCAATAGCATGTATAGGCCGGTCGCTACTGACATCCTCCGGCGTCGCCATATTAGGTCCACCTCCGAGTAAAACGTGAGGCAGCGGTCGTAGGCATAGATCACTTCGAATAGGTCAGTAATGTCATACGCGACGTCAATTAAGCTCACCCAACGCAGCCAAGCAGCAATAGGCATACAAGAAGCTAGTTTGTGCCTTCGTTAGTCGTAAGGCAATACTGATATGCAACTCACCCCGTCTCTATCTCAGTGTTCACTTCTGCTTGCACGCTCGTCGACATCTTGTGGTCCAGCATACCTGGGCGACGAGCAGCATACTTATAGGCGTTCAAAATGATGAAGTCCGTATCATATCTCAATCTCTGCAGTGCACACTCCGTTATCCGCTCCCAGTTTGTCAACTGAGGCAGCCTCTGAGCGGTCTGCATCCACGTATAAGCGCTGAGCCCTAGGAGTGTGTCCCATCATAGCTGGACTACGCTACTGGGTATGACCCCATTGACATGGACCACTTACGGCGTGACCGGCTTTAGTCCCCTGGTGGGTGCGCCAACGTTACCCGATGAAATGCTTCGTGACCTGAGTAGACGTACCAGGAGAGAATGGTCCTTGTAGTGAGATACATGATCTCGTGCCACACCCCACAGCTTCGCTGCAGAGTAACAGGGCGCGCAATCACCACTTCCGTGGCCCTGTGACAATTGTTCAACTGGTTGACCGGAAGATGCTGACCTCTTCTCCCGCCAGTCAAGGAACACATCCAGGGCGTACGGTATTTCGTCGATGTTCGTCCTGCCAATTTGATCATCTGCCAAACAAACGTATTACATATACAATACCAGTACTGTTTCAGTACTTCTTTGACCTTCTCCGTCCTACGTGTACCATCTATGCTGCGCCAAATACGATCTGCCGGGCACAAGGTGTTCATCGGAGGGTCACCAACTCTGGCAAACCACATATCTGTTAGCGAAACAATCACAGATACCACATGTGGGAAACCCAAGCAGAAACGAGGCTTACCCTCAGCGGAGGTCGGGTGGATCGCTACGGTATCATCGAGGTCCTTCTTTGTCGCACCCATCTTGACAGCGACACCGAAGCCCTGCATGACCTCGTCGCTGCCCAAGCCGATGATGTGGATGCCAACGACCTTTTCCTCAGGGCCCGTTACGATGAGCTTGTACATGGACGGCTCCTTGTGGTCTTCGTCGATCATAGAGAAGTAGAGAGCGCGGAAGTTCGACTTGTCTGCGTGCAATCACAAGATTCAATCAGCGGGTGAGGGGAATCGAGGTGCGCAGGGAGACGTACAGATCTTGATGTTCTCGGGGCCATACTTTTCGCGGGCTTCGGGCTCAGTCAGACCAACAGTGCCGATGGTGGGGTGGCTATATGTGCGTCAATACCGGGTTCAAGCGCACAGCACGAGAGATACGCACGAGAAGACGACAGTGGGGATGTTAGTATAGTCGAGGTGATCGGTCTTGTACTGCTCTCCGCCATACAGCCTGTTGCTGAGCCGCCGGCCTGCCGCAACGGCTACAGGCGTCAAGAGGGCCTTGCCACTAACATCGCCCAACGCATAGACGCCGGGAATCTTGGTCTCCTGGTACTCGTTCACGACAACATTGCCCTTCTTGTCGAGCTCCACGCCTAGCTTCTCGAGGCCCAAGCCCTCCGTGTTCGCATGGCGGCCGATCGCCCAGAGCAAGCAGTCCACCTCGACCTTCTCGCCCTCGGCCGTGTGCAGGGTGAGCGCCTGCCCCTTCACGCCCTCCACCTTCTGGATGTTGGAGCCCTTGTGGAAGTTGATGCCGGTATGCTCCATCCACTTCGTGAGCACCTCCTGCAGGGACGGGTCGAACGTGCGCAGGACGGTCTCGCCGCGGATGAACATGTGCACCTCGCTCCCGAGCGTGTGGAGCACGCCTGCGAGCTCGACGGCGATGTAGCCCGCGCCCACGACCGCGACGCGCTTCGGCTGCTCCGCGAGGTCGAAGAACCCGTCCGAGTTGATGCCCAGGCTCGCGCCGGGGATCTGGCCGTCCGAGGGGATCGTCGGCCGGCCGCCCGTCGCGACGACGATCTTGTCGGTGGTGAGCGTGTAGGAGGAGCCGTCGGGCCGCTTGACTTGGACGGTGGTGGCAGACGTGACGACTGCGTTGCCTTGGTGTAGCTCGACGCCCTCCTTGGCGACATTGTTGTCGTAGATGCCGTTCAGGCGGCGGATGTATGCGTCCCGCTGTGGCTTGAAGGATGCCCAGTCAAACTCGGGCGAGCCGACGCCCGTGCCTTTGAATTTGTAGTTGGCAGCGTGACGGGTCTTCTCAGCGATATCCGCTGCATGCCACATAATCTTACAGACGCGTCAGGAGATATGCCGAGCTACATGGCGGCTTCTAACGCACCTTCTTGGGGACACACCCGACATTGACACATGTACCGCCCAACTTCTCCGTTGCCTCGATAAGGGCAACCTTAGCACCATACGATGCTGCACGGCGCTGTCACGAGTCCGACCGGCGTTATAGTGGATCGCAACTACCAGGGTCGGAGGACTTACCGAGCCTGCTACACCACCACTTCCACCACCGATCCAGACAATGTCGTACTTGTCGCGTCCTGGTTGCGTGACGGGAGGCATGTTCGGGGAAGCGGAGGTTGTGATAGACCTAGAAAGCTATAGAGGGGGTCAGAACTGATGCCTGAATCATATGAAACCACACGGCGTACGACGGATAGTCTGCGAGACGCGGTGAGGGCGGGAGATGTTATGATGCCTGTACGCGTCGAAGAGTACGATTTGAGCGCGGATGGGGAGAAAGGGCGCGATGCAGATAAGGCGGATATGGCTGATGCTCGTGCGGGGATCGATACGGATGAGAAGAAGACGGTGGGCCGCGAGGGGAGGGCTTTATAAGGCGGGGGACGCGCAGAGCATGTCAGCGACGTGCAGAGGCCAGAGAGTGTCATATGACGTGAGCGCTGATGCCCTGTGTGGCGACAGTGCTCTGTAAGAGTCCCCTTCCGCGCTGGGCTGCAGTGGGTGTCGGTATACCTGCGCACAGAGAGGCTTACAAACTGTCCGCGGGATGCCTCGCACTCGCGGTACAGCAAGTACATCGACTCGCGTAATTACGCGCCTCTGCAAATCCGCACCAAGCGCCCGCACGTGGGCGTGCGACGAATGGCATCATTCCCGACTATCCCGGACATTCACCTTGATGCGCTCTTCAAGTGCTCCGCTATATACTCTGCACAGACAATCTCTTTCGAGGACCAATACTGCGACCTCGCGCTTTGCAGGTTACATCTCTATGATATCTGTGGATGCAGTGTCTTGTCAGCGCACGAAATCCAAGTCCAAGTTAGTGCCCAGGGCCGCGCCAGCGGTCAGACATTCTCCAGAACTTGGACGGACGGCCCACCAAGGTAACCTATCGGGCCCGTACTTTGACCAAGTGATACACGCTAGCTCACTTTTATCGATTGACGACAAGAGCACGATGGATGTATCTGACAGTGATGCAGCCCGATGTTCTTTCTCTCTGAAGAGCCCAACGAATTCAGTGAGTACAGTGAATTCCTTCGTCCGACAGTACATGCTGACTCTCGTCAGATGGACGCTGACAATTGCTGTATCCGAACCACGTATCCATCACAACCTCAGTTGGCCATCTATAGGCTTTGTATAGGCTCTTGACTGCGCTCACTAACAAAACGTAGTGACTGGCGGCCGCTGTAAATGTGGGTTCCTTTCCTACTAGTACGAAGAGCCGTGACTACGTACCACGCGTACACCACGCTATCCACACCAAGCGGTCAAGCTCCTTCAAGTCCTCGTAAGACTAAAGTGGCTCGTAAGCGGCGCGAACAGAGCTCGGAACCGGGATGAAGTGCAACGTCCTTGACCAGTGCCCTCACAGCCGCGCCCGTCGCCGGCGCATGGGGGTCATACTATATGACATCCCGAGACCTGACTTCAAGCGTGATCAGAGGACCTGCGTTGGACCTGCGCGTTATGTTAGAAGTCAACATCGGAGCCCCAAGGAAGGCGGGTTTGTTCCCATGGGCTACGCCGTTAAAAAGGCTTACTGGCGATTGTCTAAACGTCCGCGCTGTGAATATGTATGCAGTGGCCTTGCTCGCGATAGGCGTACTGTCCGCCGTTGTCTATGAATATGTGCTAAGACCTTTGCAGCTTGGACGAAAACGGCTGCCTCTCCCACCGGGTCCGCCTGGGCACTGGCTCTTCGGCAATGCGCCTCCTCCTCCATAGTGAGTGCACCACGTTCGTTGTAGTCTTCTATCCATTGACAACCCCCCCCCCTCCCCCCCCTCGACAGTGCTTATCGGTATTATGCCGATCTTACCGAGAAATATGGGCCAGTGGTTTCGCTGAGGTATGGCAAGCGGATCATCTGCATTGTTGGGCGCTACCAGGTATGTCATATTCTCGGTCTCGGATGTCGTTAGACTGATATCGACGGTGCGTGCCAGGCCGCTACAGACATCCTGATCAAGCACTCGGGCGAGACGATGGACCGCCCACGGCTCATTGCTGCTTTCGAGATATTGTCCGGCGGCTTGCGGGTCGTCCTGACCCCGGCAGGCGATAGAATCAAGCGGTACAGAAAGTGCGTGGCTCTTTGGCTGGTGTGGAGTGGTGTACTTATGTGTTACTAGGGCGCTGCACGCGTTCCTGGCGAAAGACGTCGCGGAAAACTACAAGCCGATGCAGACCAGGAATGCAATGACCTACGTTTGGGACTGCTTCACTAGGCCGGAGGAGCACATGGACCACTCCAAGCGGTCCGTGCATCCCCTCACACTGTCACCCAAGAGATGCTCATCATTCCCGCAGGTACGCCGCGAGCATCGTGATCACCCTAACCTACGGCAAGACGACCCCGACGTCGTACTCCGACCCGGAAGTGCAGAACATCAACCGCGTCGCGCGCCACTTCGGTGCAGCCCTCCGCCCGGGAGCGCACTTCGTCGACACCTATCCGTTCTTGAAGTATATTCCTGGTTACCTGAAGCACTTGTATCGGTACCACGAAGAAGAACTGGTGTTCTTCCACGAGATGATCGCGGGCGTGAAAGCGAAGCTAGTACGTACTGTGAATAACAGAACGCGTGACTCTTCATCGGACTCATACGTATCTGCTGTGATTGTTTTGCAGAGTCGGGGAGAAGCGTCAGAGTCTTTCGTCGCCTATTTGCTGAAGGAACAACAAAATCTTCGGGTATCGGACAACGAATTGGCGTACCTCGCAGGCGCGATGTTCGCTGCAGGTTCTGACACAGTGAGGTTGCCGTACCGTGCGTATGTCCGGGACACCTACTAATGCGCTTCACATTTAGACAGCATCTGCCCTGAGCGTCGTGACCATGGCTGCCGCCCTCCATCCCGAGGCGCAAGCTCGCGTCCAGGCGCAGCTTGACAAGGTGGTCGGGCGAGACAGAGGTAAGCTCCTTTCCACCGGAACCTGCAGTTCTTCGGATGCTTGTTGACTCCGGATGAACAGCACCGACGTTCGAGGACGAGGACATGCTGCCGGAAGTGACGGCGTTCTTCATGGAGACGGCGAGGTGGCGACCACAGTTCGCTTCTGGTGAGTACCCAACGCGGAGACGTGTCTTCTGTGCAGAGCGATGACATCTGTGCTTTCAACGCTTCAAGGATTTGCACATAGGGCCACTAAGGACATCATATGGGTCAGTTCCGAAGCCCAGACGTCTACTGTACGTTGCCTGTACCAGGCAATACTAACAGAGTTCGTATGTAGAAAGACTATGTGATCCCCGCAGGCGCAGAGGTCATCGGGGCCCACTGGTACGTCGGCAGCCTTCCTCTCGTACGGAGAGATACTCAGCTAACAACCTACTGTAGGGCCATTGCACGAGACCCCGATGTATATCCCGACCCAGAACGATTCGACCCGCAGCGCTGGCTCGACGAGGATGGACAGCTCCGGAAGGACATGAGATACTTCAGGTTCGGCTTTGGACGCAGGTGCGTGTCCTGTAAATCACCGTGGCAGAGTGACCTCTAAGTACAAGTCGTGGTGGGCAGAGTATGCGTCGGGGAACACCTCGCTGACAAGTGAGTCCAACGTCAATCATAACAGAGATTGTTGAACGTTGAGGCCTGACCATCGTTGATTTCACCGGCTAGCTCTGTCTTCATCAACACCGCACTCATGCTCTGGGCGTTCAACATCACCGAGGACCCCGCGCGGTCTATCGACCCGGACGCCCTGACTGACGAGGCGAACGTGTTCCCGCAGCCCTACGCGGCGAACTTCACGCCGAGGGTAGATAGGCTCGAAGAGCTCTTGAGGCGCGACGACGAGTGAGGTGGATAGGTGCGGATGAGAGTCGTCGGACGTACTCGATTCGTGTTACATACAGTACGTGCGTGCACAGATATCGTCATTACAGCTGGATACATGTTGGCTCGGGTATCCCGGATTTTCTGGTATTCGAGGGACGAGACGGCGTGCATAAGTACTACGGATCACACGATGGCCGGGGGCTGCTATCGTGGAGGTCAGGACTCAGCACAATGCCTGGATGATATCCTGCGCCATCGCATGCAGCAGGTTGAGTATGCATTGCAAAGGGTGCATATAGCCGTCTCAGTGCCCGGGTGACGGCAAAGCTCCGGAAGCACAGGGTGGTCATGGACCGTAGATGGTATTACCGTATTGTCTCCAACTAATATATACGGGGGCAAGTGGGAGCATGCTGCGTGCAATGCATGGGACTACTGACTCGGATGTTGTACATAGAGGATTGGAGCCGAACATACTAGGCGTAGATGAGGCGCACCATGCACCAACCGCACGACCGATGACCAGTGAGCTAGACTATAAGCGATACGCTCTCAGGGGCAAGCCAGCGGGCACAGCAATTGAGCGTTCCACATCCAGTCTGGCGCGCTGCATTCCACAAGGGTTCCACCTACAATGCTAAGCACGAATGCTCTATCCACTCTCAGGGGGAACTGGTACGAAAATGGCATAGTCCACAATATGGACTGTATGCATGAGCGCGAATTTCGGAGGGGCGGGCATCGCAGCAGGGGAACTTAGCATCCCCGATAAGCTGCAGTTGAAGTTCGGGCAGTGCATGGCCGTGCGGCAAACAGCCTGAGCCAGCCTGAGCCGCGGGCGAGCCTCGCCCCGCCAAGGCCAGCGACAAGCCAAGCTGCACCTGGAAGCACCCGACTCGCTGGAGACAACGGTCCGAGCATTTTAGACTTTGAACTGACCCTGGTCCGGTGTGCGCGCGAATCTAGTGCACGCTCGCACCACCAGACGCGCAGGGAGCATTCGCGCAATAGACTCGGCTGAGGCGCTATAGCCAACGCGGGCGGCAGGGCGCAGAGGGGACGAGCACGCACCCGATGACGACCGCGCTAGGCCCGAGTCGCGGGGGCGATCGGCCTGATAGCGGAGGATGGCGGTCGAGGCGCGGGGCTGGCTGAATGGCGAAGGCCTCGGTGTGGGAGGTGTGCGCTGCGTGCTGCTTGGGACGACACGGAGATAGCACCCGAGGTGGGGAGGCGCGCTTCTGCGGCTTCGAGGACTGGGGAAGCGGTGTCGAGACCTGGTTAGGCTGGACGGCTGCTCGGCGCGCGGAAGGCGGGGACGCTGCTTCTCTTACGCTTGCGTTTCGTGGTGGAGGGCGGGGAAAACGTATACCTGTACTTAGTACGGTGGCTGCGCTGCCCGGCCTAGGTGGCTTTGGACGCGCTTGGGAGGTCCTCTGTGGTCTGGATGGTATGCGTGATCGGTAGGCATGCGAGGGTATCTGTCCGCATCGCAGGCCTACGTCTCCCGACGCGCACGGGAATAAGGTCCGACGAGCACCCTGGCACGGAGATATCGTAGTATGTTCTCTCATCGTGGAGATGGTTGACACCGGGGGTAATACGCGCTGAAGTACGAGCACCTTGATGAACACGGTATGCACTTCGAAGCTTTGAAGGTCGGGGTGCCTCCATCCGCATCCGAGGCGTCGGTCATACTTACTAGTTCGTGCGCTCGATTCACATGTCGAAGGAGGTTTTTGTCCCGGAGCATGTGGATGACGCCGAGATGGACACCGGGGCAGGTGTTGGGTAACCACCGCAGCAGTGTACCTTGGCTGTACATAATTGCGGCGAGGCCTGGACGCGAGAAGCGGGGGAATGACAAACGGTGTTGAGTGAGTGAGTAGACGTCGTGTGAGATATGTTGCAGATGTACACACTCACCGAAGAGCCCCCTGATGAGGCTGCGGCGCTGGTATGGACGGTGTTCCCGCCCGGTTGGCAGGGCGTCCGCTGCATGGCATGCATATGGGACATTGGGAGCAGCAGCTGCGCAGGGCTTGTCGGGTATGTGCTAGCGGGGTGACATATGCAGCTAGGAGCGACAGCGAAGATGGACGTGGTAGCCTCGGGTTGGGCTCGGGCAGGCAAATGGGAGAGATCAGGATGGGACGCTTGGGTGCCGAGCGGCGACGGGCGCTGGGCGATACAATTTGGGGCGTTCTTGGAGGCCGCTGCAGGCCTCGGTCGACCGGCCGGTCCTTGGCTGCGACCCGAACACCGCGCTGTGGAGTCTGGCCTGATCGTCGGCATGCCGGCGTCCGCTGGGTCTGCGAGCGGGGCGGCGGCGGCGACCAGCGGCGACCGGAGGCAGCGACCGGAGGCAGCGACCGGAGGCAGCGACCGGAGCGTGTGGCTGGTGCAGCGGGCGGTGTGGCGTGTGGCGGGCAGGGCGGCGCGGTGTGGCCCAGGGCGCGATCGACCCCGCAGGAACCGCGTGTCGCCCCCGTACAAGGCAGTCGGTCTCCGGGGCCGCGGGATGACGTGTGGGGTCTGGACGGAGACTCGGCCGGGCGCGGCGGAGACCGGGATCGGCACACCAGATCGAGGCCAGTGAGAGCGCGCACGAGAGGCCCTCTGGCGGCCCTTGTCCGCTCTCGCCTGCGCTCCTCTTGCTCACCGTCCACCATGGCCGCCACCGACGCCCACCTCTGGGCTGCAGACGCGAACGAGGCCATCCACCTTTCGCTCGGTAAGCCCCCGTTATCCACGTCGCGACGCGTCTCACAGGTCTCCCAGTACGCGCCGCCGCAGACAAGGCCTCCTTCAATTCGCGCGAGCATTACGAGGGCTTCAACCCATGCTTCACCTATCCACTCTTCGGCGAAGACGAAAAAATATACGGCTACCGCGATCTCCGTATAGATGTGCGTATACGCGTCTGCCCCGCCTCCTGTCCTCCTCAACTAACTCGGCCACCAGCTCAAGTTTGCTTCCGGTTCACTAGCTCAGTACCTCAGCATTCAGCATTCCGACAAGCTCCCCGCAACATCCGCCGTCGATGATATCGAGGGCACCATCGCCAAGTCCATTCCTCCAGGTACCCATATTGGTGCCCGCGCGCGTCGTGCCTCTCACATGTCTCGCTTGCTTCAGGCTATTATACGGACGAAGCCGCTTTCCTCAAACGCGTCGAGGAAGATGCCATTACATTCACACCACCCGGGACCCGCGCACACAGCTACTCACGACGGACCAAGCCCCCCATCGGCAAGGGTAAGGAGAAACTCGTGCGTGAAGTCGAGGATACAATAGATTTCGAGGTCTATCACGTATGTCGCGCGTTATCCAGCCAGCGTCTTTGCCACTGATTCTAGTGTGGTCTCAGTGCACCTGGAACACACCAGGGTTCAGGGAGCTCCATCGCCGCATGCAGCTCTTCATCCTCCTCTACATTGAGGGCGGCTCTTACATCAAAGAAGAAGAGGATGTCTGGCAGTTCATGGTCCTGTGAGTCCCATTGCCCTTGCGCAGCTCAGCTCGTGCTACTGTCTCTACCCCGAACCAGCATCTTGGCTGAGCCGTCGTGATGCTGTCCGCACCGCGTCGTTGCCAGCCGCCTCGGGCGGCAACATGCCTGGAGTTGGCCTGGGCCTGTTCAGGTTTTCCCGCGCTGCATTTGTCTGCCTCAGACCCTGAAGGTACCAACGGCACGCCACCGCCACAATGACAGGAGGCTAGACTGGGCGCAAATACGCTGTCCAATCTCCGCGAAACCTCGCATTGGGTCCCGAGGAATAGAGTATTCAGTGAATCCACGGAAGACACCGCTGACTAGCTACGGTCTTCCGTGGGTTGTCTGGACGTGCCTAGCCTACCGTTTCTGGGCTCGAAGATCCCGCCCTATCTCACCTCCCGCTATTCCTGAACCCTCGCATATCTTGCTGACACTTCTGCACCTGACAGCTACGAGAAACGGAAGCGGCGGGGCGACCCCTCCGTATCAACATACCATTTTGTCGGGTATTCGACACTCTACCCGTTCTACTGCTTCCCCGAGAAGGTTCGCCTTCGCCTGAGCCAGTTCGTCATCGTCCCGCCCTACCAACAGGAGGGCCATGGTTCCGCGCTGTACTCCGCGCTCTATCGCTACGTCCGCGAGGCGCCCGACATCGCGGAGCTCACCGTGGAGGACCCTGTCGAGGCGTTCGAAGACCTGCGCGACAGGAACGACCTGAAGATGCTCCTCACAGAGCCCACGTTCATGCGGGAGGCGCTGGGCGAGGGATGGGAGAGCGCTACGAAGTCGTCGCAGAAGGCGAAGGGACATCGGTTCCACCCGTACGCGAACGGGAACGGACGCGGGGATAACGGGCACACACCAATGGACCGCCTCGCGGAGGCCTACGCGAATGGGCACGGCCACGGGAACGGGAACGGGAACGGCCGTAGCTCGCCGATGCAGTCGCAGATCCAGGCGGTGGACGAAGGCCTGCATGCCATCGCGAACGGGAATGGGGCACAGAAGATGCGGGCGAAGGGGAAGCTCGGCCCGCCTGCGGACCGCGCGTGGATGGAGCGGCGGCGGGTCGAGCTGAAGATGGCGAACAGGCAGTTCTCGAGGCTCGTGGAGATGCTCATGCTCCGGTTCGTCGTCGTGGAGGGATGCGACAAGCGGCTGGAGCGGGCGTATAGGATGTGGGTGAAGGAGAGGCTGTACCGGTTCAACTACGTAAGTGCCTATGGTTCTCGTTGACGAGACGAGGGTCATGTTAACATTACTTGGATTACGCAGGAGGTGCTGGCGCAGTTGGACAAGAAGGAACGGCAGCAGAAGCTGGACGAGACGTTCTGGGCGGTCCGGAAAGACTACCAGCGGATACTCGCAATGGTCCAAGACCCCTGAGCTGGCTGCCGTCCATGTGCGATGCAACTACGGCACCACAGCCATCAATTCGACGCGCGCGAGGGACACGACCGGGAGTGGAGGACTAGCATATAAGTAGGCCTGGGGCACAGCACCACTGTCGCAGTGGCTGCGAGTAATTTTGTGGTATATCGGTTATCGGTTCAGCGTCAGGTTCAGTCTCTCTGGCTTGGGTTTCCCCTACAAACTATCTCACATTGGCGAGTACGATGCGTCCGCGCGGCCGGAGTACATAGTGTATATACTTTTTATGGCTGCTCTCTCAGTTCCTCTGCGCGCGCTTTTTGAGAGACGATTGGCTAGTAGTGTACATGGCAGTGTGGTCCGATGGTCGCGGTCCAAGGACGTTGTTGTGAGTCACTATCTGTACATATGTACTTAGGAGGCGAGTGTATGCTAGGAATTGACGGTGCAGAAACTCGAATCTCGACGGAGACTGGACGGGTATGCGAGGGTGAGTGGATGGTCGCTAGCCGAGCTTCGAGAGGCCACCGTACGCTGAACGTGGCCACGACTCTCATGTTCACTCTATTCACTGTGTCGTATTGGTCACCCATGTCCTCGACTTGCCTGGTTTTTGACCCGCCACGAACGACGCGTAGGCCGTATCATTTGTCTGGCTGTTGAACAGGAAGTTCTCCGCGCAGAGACCGGCTCTTTGGTGACGACTCTCACCATCTCACCGCTGCGCATCCGTCTCATCGCCGTTACACAATAACACAATGAAGCGAGCTAGGAGCTCCTCTTCCTTGGCGGACTATGCGTCCTCAACGCCCGGAACCAGCGACGTCGACGGCGCCTTCGACTCTGAAGACGACAATGAGCCGCAGTCCTCGCCCTCCCGCGCCTCCTCGCGCCTCGACGCATATACAGACGACCGCGACGACGACGCGCCCTTCGGCGAGTCCACCCCGGGGCTGATCGCGCGGACCGCGTTCGATGCGTACTTCGCCCTGCATTCGCGCCCGGCGCGCACCTCCGCCGCGGTCTTCAGCCAGCTCGTCCCCGCGCTCGACGCCCCCGCGTACGCGCGCGCGCTCGCCGGCTCGAAGGCTCTCACGTCGCCGCACCTCCTCGAGAGCACGCGGCTGTGGACGGACGAGCGGCTGCGCGCAGGGTTCTTCGTGCAGTGGGCGGACGAGCTCCGCGAGGGATTCAGTCTGCTGTTCTATGGGTACGGGAGCAAGCGCGCGGTGCTGAACGCGTTTGCGAGGACGCTCACGAAGCCGAGGAACGTCGCAGGGAAGAAGGAGCGCGGGGGACACGTCGTCATCGCTAACGGCTACCTGCCTGGCTTCGCGCTGAAGGACCTGCTCAACTCTGTCGAGGCCATCCCCGCGCTGCAGGAGCTTGACGCACAGCAGACGGCTGCAGGCGGGGGCGCCGACGCGCAGGTGCAGCGGATCTATGATTACTTTTCTAGTGCGGACGGGGATGAGAGGCTCTATCTGGTGATACACAACATTGACGGCGCGGGTCTGCGCGGGTCGAAAGTGCAAGCCGCCATCGCCCGCCTTGCGCGTGCACCGCGCATACATGTCGTTGCATCCATCGACAATGTCCAAGCCATGGGCCGTTGGTCGCTCTCAGAACTATTCGCGCGTAAGGCAGCGCCGTCGTCCCCGGCCCCTCAGGAAGATACCTCCAGCAAACGAAAAGGCAAAGGCAAGGCGCGCGCCGTCGATGACCAGATAGAGGGCACACAGACATCCTACGACGTCCCACGACGTGGGTTCGCGTGGCTCTGGCACGACCTCACTACGCTCGCGCCGTATGACGCTGAGCTCGCCTCCGCGGACCCATCCTCCATCACGGGCGCCTCGTCCGGTGGGCGGCGTGGCCACGGGGCAACTGCCGCGGCGGGTGGCCCGAAGCTGGTCAGCGAGACGGCCGCGAGGCATGTCCTGGCGAGCGTCACGCAGAAGGCGCGGAGACTGTTCGTGCTGCTGGGCAGCAAGCAACTTGAGCTCATGGCGTCTGCGGCGGGTAGTGCTGGCCCGGGCGCAGGCGAAGCGGGGACCGCGGGTCAGGACGCGGCGTATGACTACGAACGCTTGTTCGGTGCTGCGAGGGAGGAGTTCATCGCTACGAGCGATACGGCGCTGAGGGCGCTGCTTGCGGAGTTTAGGGACCATGGATTGGTCGTGTCGGCCGTCGCCCCCGTCGGAGCGGGTGGGTCAGGGGGAGGAGAAGCCTTGTGGATACCAATGAGGAGGGAAGCATTGACGAAGGTTGTAGATGAACTGAAGAAAGAAGGGGCGTGAGGTAAGGTAAGTTCTTCCGCCATTCAGCGTGGCCAGTGTTCTGACCCTGCGGCTGCACAGAGCATGCATGAAGATATTCTCATGTACAGTAGTTCAATGCTAAGCAATCTAGCTTGGATATGGTGTCTCAACCCCCCGCACACAGGCATACAGTGCGTATATCACTTCGATGTCAACCAGCAGATGGAGCATACAATAAACGATAAAAACGAGCATGTTGACAAGAGGACATTTCATTTTCATCACAGTTCGTGTATCCGGGTCACATCCTGTCTCCTCCTCATGCTTCTGCCTGTGCTGCTACCTCGGTTTCCGGCAGGGCCTCGGTAATGTCACCCTCCTTGGGCTCAGCGCCATTCTCTTTGCCGTTGGCAGCTTCCTCGGCACCTTCTTCGGCCTGCTCTTCAGCATGCTCGTCTTCTTTGGCATCGTCGCCGCCATCCTCCTTCGCGCCCTTGCTGCCCATGACGGTGGCATTGATACTGTCGCCGGCTCAGCATCACCGCCCAAGACACGGAACAAAGAACACCCACGTTATCATGACGTGCACCTTCTCCTTCTCGCCGTCTGCGCCATCGGCGTTCTGGAGCTCAATACTGACACGTTTGGACCCCTTCCAGCCGTAACTGCCGGTCGCGAACGTCGAGGGCACGAGCGTCGTCGTCCCGATGAAGCCTGGGTCCTGGGACGCGACCGTCACGGTCTCCTTGTTGTCGCCGGCCGCATCGGGAAGCGCGGGAGGCGTGTGTGTGATGTTGACGTGCAGCGGCATTGCGCGGTTCTTGAACTGGGATGCGGCCATCGTGGTCTAGATTCCGGACTCGGTTCACCATACTGCTGGGCACCGCCGCGGGGACCACGCACCTTGGGACCCTTCTTGCCGCCCCGAGCGCGACCCTTCGTAGGGCTGGCCGCGCCCTCGGTCTTGGGGGCCTTTGCGGACCGGGTGGTGGGGCCGCTGTGCTCTTCCTCGGCGGCGCGCTTCGTCCCTGTGGCCGGAAAACGACGTTAGGACGGTGTGCGCGGGGGCGGGGATCGGGGGGACGGACCTGCCATGGTGGTGTTAGAGGTAGGAGGACGAGCAGAAAGAGGGGGGCAAAATGTGGGAAGGAATACGGAGGATATGTGGCTATATGTGGCTCTTTAAGGATGTGTGAAATAGGGTGTTTGCACGTTGGACGTGTTTATTCAGGTCACGGCGGCCCCATGACGACCGCGTGCGCGTCCGACGCGAGTCGCTGACGTAACGCGTGTCAAGACGCGTCTGTGGCGTCTCCCCAGCTGCGTACAGTGACCTGGCCTCGCAGAACAACAGTGTGGCTCGGCCCAGCCATCGCGCGGGCAAAGGGGATCCAGGGTGACATTTAGCTTTGGCATTACAGCGATGCTAACAAAGCACAAACAGTACATACGCATCCCATCAACTTGATCAAGCAGCCAAGCTACCATAAACCGTAAAACGTGCATATCGTATCATACAACCCTACATCCACATTACCGCCTCGAGTCTCGCCGATACCTGTCCCGCGAATCAGACTGTCGGAGATCCCTGGGATCATCCCTATCCCTCCGGTCCCGCGAGTCGTCACGCGGCTTCCTATCGTAGTCTCGGTCCCGCCTGGGAGGCGTGCGCGAGCGTGATCGACGACGTGGGCTGTCGTACCTGCCCCTCGGCGGTGGAGACCGCGAATCAGGCGGAGATACTGCACGGCGACGGGGAGGCGGCGAGTCGCGGCGCGACTTGTACCTATCCCTGTCCCGATCGCCGTCGGTCATCCGCACATCTCTGTCGTCTTTGCGGTAGCGCGGCGGTGATGGAGCTGGGCGCCTATCGTCGCGGTAGCGTGGCGGGGGAGAGGGGGACGGACGCCGACGTGGAGGTGGAGGTGGAGGTGTGCGCGAATCCTGCCCACGGTCGCGGCGTGGCGGGGTGTGTGAACGGCGTCTCCGGTGTGAGCGTCGGGAATCGTCAGAGTCGGATGCGTCAGAAGAGGTAGGGTCGGAGTCAGAGTCGGACGAGCTATCGTCGTCATCCGAGTCTGAGTCGGAGGACGAAGACTCCGCCTCGAGCATTGCGCGACGCTGCTCCATTATGATCTTTGGCGCATTCTGCAAAAGTCTGTGAATAACGGCATCGTACGAACGAGTATGTAAGGACATACCTTCAAGTGTTCACGCATTTCCTCCGTGACTGCACCGAGGCCGATACTCGTAAAGTAGTTGATAGCGAACCGGGTGTCCTTCGGGTTGTCCATGGGGAACATGCCCCTGCAAGCCATCCTCACCTCCTCGTCTTTGAAACGCTCGACCGAAGTCTTGAGACCCATCGATTCTGTAACCTCCTGCATCATAATCTTGATGAAGATACGACTACTCGAGGTCGTATCGTCCTCTGTGAGCCTGATGCACTCGAGAGCCGCCCACGAGACGGAGTCGGTCGCGAAGAGGTGCCCGAAGAAGCGTGCAATATTGCGCAGGCGGTTCGTCTCGTAGCGGTGGATGGTAGTGTAGTAGTTGGTAAACGCCTCCTCGAAGCATTCGTTCCACACGCGGTTGATTTTGCAGAACCGTTCGCCGACGAGGCCGTAGAACGTAGAGTACGAGCGCTCTTGCGAGCAACATTCGATGATCATGTTGCACAACTCGATCTGTGGACTCCGGTCAGCGACGTGACCGCCAGCAAGCTCTTCAGTCAACATACCTCCTGACCCTCTTTGATCTGAACCTTTAACAACTTATGTACAGCTTCCTCGTAGTTCAATGCATTCATGATCGTCAAATAGATCACACGGCGTAGGTTGATGAGATTCGTTTCCGTGCGGTCGTCAATACCGGCTTTATCTTCGACAACTGTTGCTACCAATTAGCACACAAAAAAGACCAAGAGATAGGAGACAGGACATACCTTCTTCGTCTTCCTCGTCGTCGTCTGTCGTCTCTTCTGTCTCGCCCTCTTCGTCATCCGAGCCCTCGCCCAGGATCTCAGCCTTGATAGACTTGTATCTCTCTTCATTGTCCACGTAGTTCGGGTCGAACTTAAAGATATCTGTACGTCATGTCAGCAATCGCGAAATGAAACCCTGATCGAGGACATACTTAGTCCCTCCTGCACCTGCAGCTCCTCCTCGAGCTGAATCTGATGCGTGATCTGGTCATCCTCCTCCACCAAGTCCAACCCCTCCGGGACAATCGGGTTATCCTTGTATTTGTCTTTGCGGACCTGCATGAGCACCTCGATCATGTACTGCACTCGCTGGCTGATCGTGCCCTCGTTGAGCACCGCACGGAAGCGCTCGAAGACAGTTGCATTCGCCTTGGGCGAGTTTTCGGCGAGGAAGGCACCGACTTCGCGCATGAAGCCGACTGCAATCTCGATAGAGTCATCGGTGGGGCGTTCGAGAAGGAGCACAAGGATCTGAAGTGCGATGATCTCATGCGCGATACCTTGGTTGACCAGGTGCGCAATGAAAGTCGTTGTCGAATGGCACACAATCTAGACGTATTGGTCAGCACATGTAGCATTGTCCATCAAACGGTGGTACACACTTTGTCGTTACGCTTGAACGCCCTCCGGAACTGACTGATCAGCCGAGTCAAGAGTAGCTCGCCAACCTGAGGAAGTTTCGTGTTGATGATGGCCACGAGCGCCGCGAATACCGGCGTGAACGGCAAACTGGATGACTGGGCCTTCATCACGCTCCTCGCGAACAGGCCTCGGCCACGGATAAGGTTCTCTTGGAAGAGCTCCGGGACAATGTGCTTGATGTTCGCCACGTTAACTCGGTTGACAATACCAGTGATGGACTTGCGCAGCGCATCCCACGAGAGGCGTTGGTACTCTGCACCGGCCTTGTCCTTCGACGCCGCCTCCTGCATGGCGCGCAGGCGAGCCGGAGGCATGTACACACCACCAGACTTCGTGTTTGTCAGCTTGGCAAACTCGGCTTTTGCATTGGACTCAGAATCCTTCTTGTCGCCATCCTTGCCCTTCTCGCGCTCCATCTTCTCAAGCTCAAGGGCGGCCATGCGCGCCGCGAGCTGCCGCTGTCGCTCTGCGCGTCGCGCAGGGTCAACATCGTCCACCCTCGGAAGCTCAACCAGGCGACCCGGGCCTGGAGGGGAAGCTGACCTGCGCCGACTCGAAGGAGGTTGCTCCGAGTTTTCTAGGGAGCGCGACCTACAATGAAGGGTGAATTAACGAAAGTTCTTACTGTACAATGATACCGCTCACCTCTTGCGCTTTTGGTAGGGTCCGTCCGAGGCGTTCATGGGGGGCAGAGTCGCAGCAGTCGCCATGGCGGAAGGTGAGTGTGTCGCAGTCACCGACAGTGTTGGTCAAGCAGTAGACCGCTGAGCGCCCGGGTGTTTGCTGCTGTTTGTCAGCCTTACCATTCTCGGCACACAGCACCTCGTTAGCGCCCGGTCTACAACTTGGCCACTCTGTTCATCGCTTGAGTTCCTGGAGCGTGCTCACTCATTGAAGGTGCAGGATGCGGTCCGAATCGTCCTCTGTCTTCCTCTTTGACCGCCTTTGTATCGTACGCTGAGGTCGTGTGGTGGCTCCGTTGTGCTCTCCGGAAACGAAGCGCCCGTCTCGTCATCTATCGAGCAAGTGCAGTGCTCCCCAGCTCGTAGCTCTCTATCACGGAAGACCACCACGATGTCCGGGTCCAAGAAACTGCCAGACATTGAAAGGGTAGGTGTTATGGGTAATGTCATCTTACTGGCTGCTCAAGTCTGCCGCAGCTAAGCAAGACAGTGGTGAGGGTCTTGGGACAGGTACGGCGTATCAACACCAGACAGCTGCTTCTGCGGATCTGACCTATCCGCCTTAGAATCCCGGGCCTTATACATTACAAGGCAAAACACGCTTCATACCGTTGCTTTAAAGCTTGTCCTTACTTAATTGCAATACAGGAACCAACACCTATCTTGTGGGCGAGCATAATCCATACATCTTGGTAGACACCGGCGAGGGTCGAGAGTTGTACCCGGTCTTGCTGCGAGATGCTCTCCTGGATCCAACATCAACAACACACGCCGATAAGCCCCACATCTCGGATATCATCCTGACGCACAAGCATCACGATCACACTCTGGGACTACCATCCGTCGTCTCCATCTTGCGCCAGCTATGGGAGGAAAGACATAACTCCGATGGTCCCCCATACCAACCTCCCCGGATACACAAGTTCCCTCTCCACACACCGTACGCGAAGTTGCAAACTGTAGTGGACATGCTGAAAGCCATGCCCGGCACATACGTCCCCGACCCTTCCGGCAATGTCTTCCACGAGCTCAGTCACGGGCAAACGTTCCCCGTCACCACGTCTGCCGCTGACAAGTCGTCCTCCGTCCTCGAGGTGCTGCACACGCCCGGTCACACAGCCGACTCGATCTGCCTACACTACCCAGTGGAGGAGTCGCTGTTCACAGGCGACACCATTCTCGGGCACGGCAGCGCCATCTTCGAGGAGCTCGGGCCCTACATGGGCACCCTCCAGAAGCTCGTCGACTTCAGCGACAACGGCCTCAAGTTCGGCCCCGTGCACCCCGGCCACGGCCCTTACGTAGAGGAGGGCTTCAGGCAGGTGAAGATGTACCTGCAGCACCGAGTGGCGCGCGAGCAGCAGATCCTCCGTCGGCTGGAGACGAGTCCCCCCACGGGGCACGAGTCGTGGACGACGTGGGCGCTCGTCTCGAAGATCTACGCGGAGTTCCCGCGCGAGCTGTGGGAGAGCGCGGCGAGCAGCGTGGACTTGCATTTGCGCAAGCTGGAGACGGAGGGCCGTGTCGAGTGCCTTGGGGGCGATGGCAAGCATACGGAGTGGGAGCTTGCACCAGGTGGGGACTGATTGTTGCACTCGGTGGGACCTCAGGAATCATTGTCCTGCGCGTAGGAAAGAGGAAGGGTTGTACATTATAGGACGTGTAGCATTTCCATTGACATCACTAGAAAGGAGAACACACAGATAAATTACAGTGCATCGAAGTTGATATGGTGGGAAGCGCGTCTCCTCTCCAATTCGTCTTCCCTCTGGGTCGTAAACGTCAGACAGCGATGCGCAGCGTGTGATCGTGGACTCTCACCTTCTCGTTCAGATGCAGCACCATCACTATCGCTGCCAGTATACCGAGGGTAGCGATGACGGTAAGGGTCACCCACGGGATCCACTCTCCCGGCCGCAGATACAGCTCCCTCCTCCACGCCTCGTTCTCCTCTATTGGAGGAATGATAACGACCTTTGAATTCGGAATTACACCCTCCATGTTGATGTAATGTTGCTTCGAGTGCTTTGTCGATCCGACAAAGAGGTTCTCGATGTAGTTGTTGGTTCTGCCGAGACCGAAATATGAGTAGGGTGTGAGGAGAGCGTGATATGCAGTCTGCGGAAGTTGGCCGACTGAAGACAGGTGAGTGGGTGGTCGATGTGCGGTCTCGAGCATCACGTACCAGCAGCTGCGGACCGCCTTCCTGAGGTATCAAGTACAGTATACTTGTATGTCGCGCCCGAATAGCTCACACCATACGGCTGCGGCATCGTCAATCGCTCGGACTGGCCAACGGATGTTGGCGATGACTTACATGATACTGAGCAGAAGTGTTTGCGTCTCTGCAAATAGAACTGCCACAGGCCCCGTTTAGTACTGGGACACAGGTCAGAATGCATCTCCAGCAACGTCAGCACGCACACATACCAATCGCTTTGAGGAAGAACGCGTCGTAGTAGAAGTTGTTCTGGACGAAGAGAATGTGACCCTCGCCCTGCGTGCCGGTCCTTTGGATCATGATATCAAGGCTCCCCTACAACGCGCCAGGTCAGCGCCGAACGTTCATCGCGTAAAATGCATAACGCTCACATCTTCATCCATGTCGAAGAAAGCGACCGAACGGGCGTCGTGGATGCCTTTGAGCGGGTCTATGCCTTTCTTGACCACACTCCAGCCTCTCCGGTTCTTTGTGCTAGATCCGCAGCCGGCAACGCCAGGGCCACAGGGCTCGGATACAGCCAACTGAGGTGTGTAAGACGTCTGAGAGCCTGAGCCTGTCACTACAATAGCGAGGATGTCGGGAAAGCCATCTTGATTTGCGTCACCGAGCTTGAGAGAGACCGGCAGCGCTGGGCTCTGCGTCGTATCCATGACGAGCAGAGAAGGCTTGGAAGGGAAGATGTCCTCCAGAGGGATGCGCACCAACGCCTGAGCATTCAGGTCAGGATGTATGGCATATCATGGGATCCATCGGCAATACTCACATCGTTGTCGCTCCGGTCACTCAGATCGAACCGAAAGTCAGGATCGGCCGTGCACAGCTGCTCGGGTGGTCTGCACACGCGCTTTCCGTTGCGAAGACCAGAGTCAGTTGTTGATGCACAGAGGGACAACTGCTTGTTGTATGCAACGTTGATGTAACAGTTCGATCCGACACCGGAGCTAGAAACTGATGCACAGGTAGCGAACACCATGTCAATGGTTCCATCACGATCTGTGCTATGAAGTCAGAAGAAAGGCCGACGATTTAAGAGGTTGCGCGCACCAATGTCAGCAAAAGAAATTGACTGTGCTCCTTTTGGCAGACGGCCGAGTTGGGCCAAGAGGAAGCCGTCGTCCTTGTTGTTGACCCAGATCTGGAAGTACTTGGAGGCGGTATCCGTGTCGTCACATACGAGGAAGATATCTACTCATGACTGTCAATGTGAATGGGTCAATCGACAGGTCGTCGACGCACCTGCTAAGCAGTCGCCGTTTAAGTCTATGGCTGCGTTGCTATGCGGATTCGACAACGTGCATTGCGCTCCGTTGAATTTCGGATCGACACTAACCACATACACATCAGACGAACTGGCTCTGCAGAACAGGATTCAAACGTACAGATTGAATATGGGGCTGTTCTTCTGCGACACGTTCCAAGCATTGTCCCATACTTTGAAGGGCGAGCTTGACGAGCCGCCTGGGGAAACACCAAAGAGGTCGATCTTTAGGTCTCCATTCATATCCATGGGTATAGGCTGGGCCATCGTAGATGGTGGTCCTGAGATTGGGTATAGCTCTGCGTGTAGTGTAATAAGTAATTGGTCAGCGTGGTAAGAATCACGTAGCTCGTACCGAATGCGCCGCCAGACTGCGCCCTGTAGAGCTGTACTGCGAGCTGACTGGTGGAGGCAGCTTGGCCCAAGACAAGTAGGTCAAGCCTGCCATTTTGAGTGAAGTCGCCAGGGATAACGTTGTATACTCTTTGAGGATGACGGAACACGGCAGATTTCCTGAACGTGTACTCCTCTGGTTGCTCATTAATTGAACATTTGATTGCCCATGGAAGCGTTGCGCACCATGGTCCCACAGGTATACTGACAATGTCTGCCGGTCGGATGCTAAGCCAAGTAAATCCAAGCTATATTTGTGAAACTAAGTACATCGTCTGTACGCGTCGCGGAGCATGCTCACAACTGATCCCCATTGAAGTCCCCGAACGCTATGATGTTCCCATCGTCATCGACACCCATGGACCCCGCTCCGAGGAAGGCATTTCCTGCGAATCTCTTCGGAGTGAACGGCCAGATAGCACATGCATGCAGCGCAAGGCTCAGCACTAGCATGAAACTCGTGTGAGGTCGCCAGTGCCGCATTATTCAAGTTCTTGTGTCCTGCCTTCAGCAGAAGATCTGCCGTATGCGGCCGTAAGTCGCCCCACTCCAGATACAGTCGCGCTCCAGAACAAGCAACGGCAGAAACAATGCAACAAAGCTAGGCCTGCATGCGCCGCTACGTTGTTCAGTCCCAGTATAGAGAGTGGAGGTGAACGGAATTGGAACGGAGCGCTCGAGCGAGGGGCTACAAGCGCCTATTGTGGCGTGCGTACATCGCGCGCCTCTTGAGCGCGTTCCTTCGACTCAGTCGCTAGATCTCATCCAAGCCGTCGCTCGACTATTCGGCCACACAAGTGCAAGATGCTTCAAAATCATGCCCCGTATACCTCACTTGGTGTTCGCTACAGTTGCACGCGAGACATCTCGTGTCGTCAAGAACCACTGTAGCAGCTCGTTCAGCAACCCGGACGTCGCATGTGGCTCTACTACCTCTGTGGTGGGCTGCGGAAGTACTACGCCTTACAGGCCTGTTGTCAAGCAACACCAGTCAAGGTAACCACAATTAGTAGCTGACGATCTGCAGGCATCCGTTTTGGGTCTCTTGAACTAGGATCCGTGGCCACTCAGTGGCGTATTACCAGCCTTGGACCTGGCCTGCCGGCGCCGTGGCCTCTGTGTCGCACTGCTTCTGCCTCGTTACCACGACGACCAGGAATACACGAGCGAACACAAGTTGCCCCTATTGGCAAGTCGTTTGTGCACACCGCTTTGTGTTGCACCCCTCAGAACGCGCATGACCAACCCTGGCCTTTGTGGCCACGCTCGCGAGCTACCGCTAATTATGAAAGTCAAAGCGTCGCATCCCCCTTTTCCCGTCTGTCTATATAATGGGCTTTCGATGTGCGTTATGTCATAGAAAGTACCAGCCTCCGTTCGCTCAAGACTCAGCCATGTCGAACATGTCACCCCCGTCGCGCAAGTCGCGCAAGTCAGCCCCGATCACCCTGCCAGCCTCCCCTGTGTGCAACAAAGTGTCCGGAACACCGGTGCGCGTAAGTCTTGATCCACCTCGTTCGCAGCGTCCACCATGCTCAGGTCTATACCGGTACCGCAACCACAGTTCACTCCCTACTCAAGAAAGAACACGTATCAGGGATCACGTTTTTCTCCGATCGGTCCATAACGACGTGTATGGACGGACGGAGGCTACGGAGATCGAGCGACCATCTGGAGATGGCGTGATCCCTCTGGTCATTGTACGGATCTCAAACCTCCTTCCGGAGACGGCGTTCTCCGTCCATACCTATACATCGCACAGTTCTCCTACTAGATGTATGGTCTCGCTTTGCGTCACTTTCACTACGCCATAGTATTGGTACTACCAATGGAGCGATTTTACTGAGCAGCTCGAGCACGCGTTCATCCGAGGAACATGACAGAACTGACATTTAATGTCGCTGATAACATAAGCCGGCGCAGGAAACGAATGTAGTAGGGATGACGGGGTCCATGAAGCTGAAGATTAAAGAAGCAATAATGTGCACCAATACGAACTAAAGTAGGATCTAAGTAGCCTACTACAATGTCTAAAATATAGAAGGGACCACTGCCGGATCATGTATCTGCGGCACTTGAATCAGCCTGAGCCGACTCGTTCTCCAAGTCGTCAGCGGCGTGCTCATGCTCGGCGTCGGCGGCGTGCTCATGCTCGGCGTCGGCGGCGCGCTCATACTCGGCGTCGGGGTCGAAGGGAGGATCTGAACTATCCGGGGGCATGTCTTGAAGGAGACTCTCAAGGAGCTCCATTTCTTGCCGGATTGTTGCCGACGACATAGTCGCAACAACAGGGGCCTGAACTTCTTCGGCGACCGCGCCCGCATGTCGGCTGTTTGAGCACGGTAAACGAAGCTGTAAATCAATGGAAAGATTGGACACTTACAGCCCAAGCTTGAACAACGCTTTGCGATAGCGCATCCAGGCCGGCTCGTCTGCGAACTGATTGAGGACGGCAAGGAAGTTGTCGTAGATCTTGTAGTACCGCTTAGTGAACTGCGCGCCCACATAGCGGCCGGTCCGGTACATGCTCAGGCCGTGGTAGGTCTACATATCAGTGGGATTAAAGTTGGTGAGTCATGACATCGTGCCGACAGCCAACAGCGCAAACGTACAACTGTACATCAGCAATCCTGTCCATTTGTCTAACGTCATCTAAAGCCGTCTATCTTGTCTTATATAGGCAATTAGACGAAGGAGACAGATGAGGCAATACGAGCCAGGTTTGTAGATCCCTCTCTAATTCAAGGCACTGCGAGGCATTGAAGGCTCTATGAGTCATTCATTAGGCACACAAGAGACCTACCTTAGCACGGAATTCAGGCCCACTAGTCACTGTTACAGAACAAAGCAGTATATTCGAGCTGTAGCTTAGACGGCTACTAGGACGAGTCCGTAAGCTGTGAGGTCGAGAGAAGGCTAAATTAACCCGTACTAGAAGCGTTGAAGTGTAAGTAAAGTAGCGCAGAGTGCGTGACAAAGCAAACCAATGAGTGACTGAAAAACAGCATACAAAAGAATGGCGGGTATAATCGTATGTCCAAGAGAGTGTCCCGTCGCTGGCAGATCACGACTTGCGTGCATCATACACCTGATTGTCTTGATGGGCAATGTTCGGGCTTGAAGCTCTGAACATGGCACCAGATGCTCATAGAGAGTCTGCGTCCTAAACAAGAAAGCGATCATCAGCAAACGGACAAGTACAGACCATGCGGAACATACATCTTCGATAGTACTCATCGAAGTCTTGTTTGCCTTCATATAGTACTCCTCGTCCGAATACAGATCGTCGTCATCATCGATATCGATAGCAAGAGACCTCGATTTGGCATCCTTGAACACGATGAAGGCACGAGCATTGGACAGGATCTGCGCCCATTTCGCATCAGTGAGCTGCGCGATGGCATTGCCAAATATCTTGATGTTTGGTCCGACCGACTTCTCGGAGAACGCATCCTTGCGCTCGGGCACGATCTTGCCATCCGCGACAGCAAGCTTCCATGCTCGCTCGGCCTGCCATTGTGCACATAATGTCATGAGTATGCAAGCACCATCAAATTTCGATTTGCGCTATAGACGTACTGCGGCGGCGGCAAGCATGAGTGCACCACGCGGATAAGCGACTGGCTTCTTGACCACACGATCGATGATGCGCAGATGCTCCCCAAGCGCATCAAGGATGACTGGGCTTTCGAAGCGGTTGACGCGTCTCTAGTAAACCATTGTCGCCATGTCAATGAGCGGTACTATGAGCAGCCAAATGAATGGCATTACCGCAATTGTCCGTAGGTCAGGCATGAACTCGACCTCTCCGAAGAGATAGGGCTTCCCCGGCCCAATCGCAATCTTTGCACACTCCGCGCGATCAAGCGGATCACTAATCCCTTCGTTTTCCCAGAATCTCTGGACTGCAGCAATGGCATTAGTGCCGACCGTAGAGCGCCAAGTGTAGAGGCGCTGCGTAGACTGAGAGAGGTCGCCGGTTCAGCGTGGCAACAATACATCGGACCTCACAACAAAGTCTACGTACCAGTTCAAAAAGCGGAGTACCTGCCTCGACTAGGTACCCGAGTTCGGTATCCGGGAACGTCTCATCCCAGAGTCGTGTGAGTTCACCCGGGAAGTTGATCACCTGAAGCTCCCAGGGATTGGCGAGGCGAGCCACTATCTCGATGAGCTTCGGCACGAATATCTTGTTGTACCTCGATAGTGTACCAGGCGGCAGGTCATCATTTGTGATGCGCCGTCGCTTTTCCTTGACACCGCTGGTCTCAGGGAGGTCCTGCTGCAGACGCGCAGCATCCCCGAAGTCGCTGGGAAGGCCAACAAAGCCCTTACCCGGAGCCACTTCAGTTAACATACTAGTTATAATTGACTATTTAGCCAAACATAACTAGTCATCCAATGACTATAAGTCAGACTAGTAACCTTATAGTATACTAGATACAGTAAACTAGATACCACGACTAGGCACTATTGACTACTTATGTTTGACTAGATGGTCTAGATACAGTAAACTAGATACCACGACTAGGCACTATTGACTACTTATGTTTGACTAGATATGGTCAAACCAATACAATTGACTAGGCATAAATGACTGGATATCGTTGACTAGATGTGGTCGACTAGATTCGGATGTCTAGGTATGGCCGACTAGATTTGAATGACTAAGTCTGTTCAACTAGATACGGTTGACTGGATACAGTTGACTAAATTTGCTCGACTATGGGATATCGACTAAAAGGTCTATGAGATGCATGACTACGAAACATAGACTAGTCATAGCTGAGTACAAGGAGACTACCAAATTTGACACCACCGGCAAAAGCGTTCAAGTTCGACTGCCCGCCGTTCATGGTCCTGATCATCGCCCTTCTTAACGACGGTACCATCATGACTTTGTCGGTTGACCGTGTCCTGCCCTCGAACCAACCCGACAACTGGGACCTCGCCGAGATCTTCGCGTACGCCGTCGCCTATGGCTTGTACCTCACCTTGTCTACGTAAGTTCGTCATCTCGTCCTGCGTCGACTGTATGCTGACATGCTTCCGTTTATAGGATCGCCCTTGTTGCTATTTGCATCAAGACGACCTTCTTCTATGACAAGTTCGGTGTCTTGTTCGAATACGGTGCCATCCAGGCGACGAACCACAACGACCGTGTCCTGCGTTCCATTGTCTACCTCCAGGTCACCATATGTCTGACTAGTTATGCACGACTAGTTATGTACGACTAGTTAAGTACTACTACTTATGCCCGACTAGTTGACTACGACTACTTATGTCCGACTAGTTAAGTACGACTAGTTTAGTACGACTAATTAAGTACGACTACTTATGTCCAACTATGTACAGTTGACTACCCATATCCGACTACCTTTGTATGACTACTTAGTTGTTGACTATTATTGCTGGAGTACTCAATGATCCTTGTTACTATGGACGGATCAGTCATTATGGAGAGATTGAAGTGTGAACAGGTCGACTATTAGTCATAGGTTAACTAGTTATTCATGACTAAATAATCAATTATAACTAGTTATGTTAGCTGAGGCTGTTGTTACCCGACCACCATTGTTGAGGGGCCTGGGACGCAGCAGCAGCATGTGGAGCAGTTGTCCGAGTCAAGGACTTGTTATTGATGCCGACGGAAGTCGGCGAATATTCCTGTTCAACACCCTCAGCGGTGACGATGGGATTAGGACCAACGATGCCCTGACAATATGCATAGTAAGTCAATGAAGAACGACCAATTCAGACCACTCGCCTGAGCGGTGCGACGGGGCTCTTCATCGACACCACTATCTATGGAGTTGTTGCTCGATTCAAAGCCTTCCGTACCAGATTCACCAATCGCCTCGCCATGGACTGGGTGCTGTGGAGCAGGCTCCTTGTCGGTGGGCCCATCATTGGGATCTACAAGAGGCAGCAAGACATGTGGTCAGCGATCCAAGGTGCCCAACACATCCCTAATGCATGAAACGTCACCGGTAATCGGAGCCTGTCGGCGGCGGGGCCTGGTAGACTTCTCAGGGCCGTGACTGTCAGCAGGCGCTGGAACACTACGCGTGGCGGTTGCAGGCTGGGGCGGCAGTGACGGTGGTGTGACAGGCAATTTTCCCTGGAGTCCTTTCCACGACACGAGCATCCCTGAGGGGTGTGCCGGCTTGAGCCTCTTCGCACTCGGCTCAATTGGAGACGCCAGCGCCATGGGCCTGGTCAACCATCAACGCTCCAGTTAGCAGAGTGCGTACTAGTATCCAGTGAATGATCTGAGTGACTCAGCCACGTACAATGTGCCAGTCGATGGGGCCAACTTGCGTTTCCCGGACGCGCCAGCCTGAGGCTCATTGACATCCTTCGGCTTTCCAGCACGGGCCGCCACCGCTGGCGTAACTCCGACAGATGTCGGAACTTGGGTCTCGGCCAGGGGAAAGTTGTCGATGTCTGACCGGGTGACTTTCTTCGCCCTTTTCTTCTTCTTTGACGGGGCCTTCTGTGCCTGAAGGGGTGTATCTGTGAGGATAAGTGTTGCACCATCGTGCAGATCAACGGTTAGAATCCATCAGGTCAGCCCGATCAATGGACTTGGATACCTGCACTCTCACTGTCGGAGATCTTGTCATTCATGGCCGCAGAATCGTCTCCAGGAATGGCTGACAGCAAATACAAGCAATTATGAGCATGCATGATGGCGCAGAGAGTTCAAGTACAAAGGACGTCACCATTCACTCCGAGTCCCCCTTGACCCGGGGACGCGTTGATGCCCGCGGTGTCTTTTCCAGTGTTGCTGTCGGAACGGGTCGACCGTTTCACAGCATACTTCGGAGGTAGGATGCGTTGGGCCTGTTCTTCAGCGTCACGTTGCTGCATATCATGCTGAACCGTCGCAACATTCTGGATAGTTCTAGCACGCGCCTGCGCGGCAGCCTTCTGCGCAGTGTCTTCTGCCTGTTTGGCCTGGGCCATCTCTTCCTTGGTGCGCCGTTTGACCTTGTTCTCGAGGTCGGGTAGACCTGGACGCTTAAAAGCGTTTGTGGCACGCGTACGGCGTTCAGAGGCCGGGGTATCTGCCATAACTGGGTAATCGAGGGATGAAATGAGCGGAAAAGGACGGTAGAATGAGTGGGAAATAATCAAAGAAAGGGCGGGGTATGCAGTCGCAATGAGAGTCGGTGGTGGTGGAAGTAGTGATGAGGGAGCTGCAGTGTGACGTGGCAGCGGACGTGACTGAGTCAGCAAGCGAACAACTTAGAGACGGTTGTTGGCAGCGTGACTCACCCAAATCATGAGCCAATCTGGGCACGGCCTGCAGAATGGGCAGACCGCTCAGCCGTTCAGCCCGTGCCTGGGCATTGCGCCACTCACATCTAAGCCTTATCAGCGCGCGCGCAGAGACAACACCAGCGTGCTCACCTCAGCCCTCTCCCCCATCGTGTCCTGAACAGACAGCAATCTCAGGTCTCCTACTCATTGCGCGAAGACATGGATCATTATTCTGTACAAATCCACTGTCATCTCTGTGGAAAATCGTTTCAGAATCGATCAGGACTCACCCAACATCGCAATTCGACCCATGCCCAACCACCGACTGGCCCCGCTGCAAGGGATCATGAAGATCCAGTCGATCCACTGCAAGTACAGCATGCAGACAATGGTGACAATGCCTTCCCTAATGAAATGCCGGCCCGGAGGGTTGAAGATCGACAGGGCGAGCCAGCCGCGGCGCCGGTGAGGTGGACGCGCAGACTTCATCCTGCACTGAACGGTGAGTAGGCTGTGTCAGCCCGGATTGAATCACATACCAATCTCGATGACTGTAGCATTGCCGTGCACTAGGGATGGCAGTAAATTCCTCGAGCTGGGAGCCCCACCGCCGCCACGCGACAAGCCCACTAAAGGCGACTGGGCTCCGTTTGGCTCTCGCCTCCAGTTTGAGGTGGCGGAGTTCCTGTACAAGAAGAATCAGATGTCGCAGAGAGACATCAATACCTTGATGGATCTGTGGGCCGCGTCGCTGGTCGAGTATGGAGGCCAACCGCCGTTTGCGAATTCCGCTAACCTCCTCGATACGATCGACGCAATCGCGCTTGGTGATGCACCTTGGTCGAAAATTGAGCTCAGCTATCAAGGACCACAGCCAGAAGGCGACGTACCATCGTGGATGACCGAGACATACGTTATCTGGAAACGAGACACCCGCACTGTGGTCCACTCGTTGATCGACTGCGAGGACTATAACGGCGACGGCGAGTTCAACCTTGTGCCGTATCAGGAAGTGAATGGACAAGGAGGACGACGACTCACCAACGTTTTATCAGGCAACTGGGCGTGGAGGCAGGCCGTGAGTCACATCTGTCGAATAAGGTTCTGCTGGCCCAGCGGCGGCGCCGCGGCTTACGGACTCATTAACAGGACAGAATCGCAGAAGATCCGACGACCCACGGGTCGATGTTCGTACCCATCATTGTGGGAAGTGACAAGACCACCGTGTCGGTTGCGACGGGGCAGAACGAGTACTACCCGCTTTATGTCTCCATCGGCAACGTTTCGAACAGTGTGCGGCGGGCCCATCGCAATGCAGTCCGTATTGTTGCGTTTCTTGCCATAGCCAAATGTACGTCCCACATGTGCTCGAGTTCTTACCTGAACCGCTTGCTGATGGATTAAGACAGGTGAGAAGAAAGACAAGAATAGCACCGCATTTCGTACATTCAAGCGTCAGTTGTACCACGCCAGTGTTTCTATTGTTCTGGGCCCTCTCCGTCCAGCGATGTCCACCCCGGAGGTCGTGCGCTGTCCTGATGGTCACTTCCGCCGTACCATCTACCAAGTGGGACCCAATCTCATGGATTATCCAGAGCAGGCACTGGCAGCCTGTATTGTCGAGGGGTGGTGTCCTGTGTCAGTACTTCATTGCTTGTGCAATCGTCGCTGGCCGCACCTGAACACGATTCCTGACGTGCTGCCCATTGTAGATGTCCCGGACACTGCCACCACCTGGACGACGGTTTCACGCAGGGCCGCCGAAGCCAGGAGTTGACGGAGGAGCTCGTCCGACGTTTGGATGCTAAGCAGCTATGGGAGGAGTATGGGATTGTGGCGAACGTCATTGTAAAGTCATATTCGCTCGAATGGTGACAGAGTTGCATACTCACTTGTCCGTACCACTAGCCATATACGAACGACTTTCCGCGCGCTGACATCCATGAGATATTGTCCGGTGATCTCCTACATCAACTCATCAAGCCCTTCAAGGACCATGGTGTCGACTGGACCATTGAGTATTTGAAGATTGAGTACGGAGAGGCGCGAGCGGCCGAGATTCTGGATGAGATCGACAGACGGTCAGCTCAATCATACTCTCAATCATATGTACTCACATCGATGATCATCATGGCAGAATTGCTGCAATGCCGCCGTTTGTGGGACTACGCCATTTCCACCAAGGGCGGAATTTCAAACAGTGGACTGGCGACGATTCCCGCGCACTGATGAAGGTAAGCCGGAAGCACGCTCGGTGCAGCAACACTTCTCACTTGCACTGAACTTTGTCACTTACAGATCTGGCTTGCGGCTATCAAAGGGCTGGTTCCACGCGAGATCGTATGCATGACTCGCGAGTACCTAGAATTTGCCTACCGAATCCGGCATCCAATTCAAACGGATACCAAACTCGATGAATGTGAGGCGCACCTTGCTCAATATCACCATCACCGCGAGTTTCTCCGGCATGCAGGGGTTAGGCCAGAGGGCTTCTCGATCCCACGTCAACATTCCCATGGACATATGCCTCGTCATACGTGGAACTTTGGGGCGTTGTATGGCCTATGTACGTCTCTCACAGAGAGCAAGCACATCAAGGCGGTCAAGGAGCCGTGGCGGCGCTCAAACCGCTACCGTGCTCTCGGCCAGATGCTCACGACCAATCAGCGGCTTGACAAGCTCGCCGCGGCGCGTGTGGACTTTGCCGCGCGAGGCATGCTCGAAGGTACCTGCTTGTCGGAAGCTGTTACCACCTCGCTGTCTCGATCTTCGCCGGGTCCAGCAGGGCCTTTCGCTGCTGATCTGCCACTCGAAGATCAAGCTGACGAGCTCGACTATCCTCTGCAAGGTCCACCGCTCATTCCGGAGCAAGCTCCTCAGCCGAACCCGCAACTGCCAGCTAGACCCGCCGGGCCTGGCGCCGCGGATGATGCACAGAACAACGTGAATCGCGCGGATGGACGGGTAGCGGGGGCGGATGACGATGACGATGATGAGGGAGTTGTGGAGGGTCCGCCTGTCGAGGCATTTGTTGTTCTGGCGCGTCAGCGAGGTACGTCGTATACATCGCTTGGATCACTGTGTATTGCTCACCATGCGCAATCATTCAGCTAAGGGATATCCCAAATTGCTAGGTGACCTTAGCGCGCATATTAGCCGTCCGGAGTTCACAACGTGCATCGGACACTTCCTGGCTCAACAGCTGCACGAAGATCCCGAAGACGAAGATGTGCTAGCCACCTATACCCTTCCAAACCTACGACTCTCGGTCTATCCATCGGCAGTCGCCACATTCTACGCTCCAGCAGATCCATCTGGTCCTGGTGGGATGCGTCGCGAACGCATTCGAGCCACACCGTCTTGGCGGTCGGAAGGCGCACGCTACGATTGCGCTTACATCGTGAAGGACTCTGCTCAGGAAGGATTTCGGGGTTTGGACGCCGTACGTATCCGCCTTCTGTTCTCGTTCAAGTTCAACGGCATCTTGTATCCATGCGCCCTCGTTGAATGGTTCGAACCGATTGGCGATGAACCTGACGAAGAGACGGGAATGTGGATGGTCGAGCCAGAACTCGATGCTGATGCACGGCGACCCTGCCAGGTTGTCCATCTGGACTCTATCTTCCGTGCCGCGCATTTACTACCCGTGTATGGTGAAGACCCACTTCCTATTGGTTTCCGCGCGCAGGACTCACTCGACGCGTTTCGTGCATACCTTGTTAGCAAATACGTTGATTATCATGCTCATGAACATGTCTTTTAGTACAGTATCCTTGATGTTCTGAAATACATACCATGGGTGACGCAGGCGGGTATCTATAGGTGGGTTCGTGTAGCTCGTCCACCGCAACATCGAACATCACACGAAGCGCGCGGATGTATGAGTGTCGCGGTCAGACCATAAGCGCTCGTTTGAAAGTACCTCGCTCAGTTCAGCGTCGAAGAATAAGACTTGAGCTTTGCAAGGTGCATAGTACATGCCAGATTCATGTGCGTCGTGCAAAACAATAACGTCGGGAAGCGTCGTTACCCACGCAAGTTCAATAAGTAGTCTTGCTGAGCAGCCGTGCCACCGCGACAGGCGCTTCGCGAGCGTGGCACCTGCGACCTATCCTTACGACTTACCATGACCATCCCGCACGACCATCCCGCACCCCACATTGCGTATTCATTCCTTCGACCTCTATCTGATTCCTTTTCTCCTAACTGTGGTCAACCATCTCGACTGGACATCAGAACTGCGCAGGCACCGCGCGAAAGCACAAGCATTGCAGGACTCGAAGACTCGGATGCCAGCTGCTGGCATGCCCGGAATTGGAAGGCGATGCAGGAGGCAGGAGATACGGAGCATATAAACACAGTACGTATCTCGCTCGCTTCGAATTTAATGAGCGGCCGTCGACTATGCGTCCACATATCCTCTTCTCCTGCTACCTTATTCACTTCTATCACCCGTTCGCAAGCACATGGAGACTTTGCGCACTGCAGCCCTGCGTCGATGTGCGCGTTGGGGATCGGCCCGGGTGAAGCATCCGCGGGTTGCAGGCAATTATCTTTGCGTGTCGTGAGCGGATGACAGTGTTTTTGTCATTTCCAGCCTTTGTAATCATCGCCTCCTCTGATACTAGTACGCCGAACTGATCGTCTTGCGAGACAGGTAGACAGCTTTCTCAGCGCCATCCCGGCACCTCTCCACCTCCGAAACAATGCCCGCCAGCGCGGGTGCGGCAACGTCGGCCTGGCGTCCTTGGCGTGATAGAGGTTGACCGCGCAGCGCATCTCCTCGTCCTCCTCGAGATCGCGCAAGAAGAGCTCGCAGTCTTCCTCGACCTTCTTCTTGTCGCGGCCACCCATGGGGCCGACAACGCCGCGGTCGGCGCTGGTGTCGCCCTCCTCGCTGGCCTCCCTCGCGATGCTGCGGAGGCGCCAGTTACGGGGCTTGTTCTTCTTCAAGCGGCAGTTGGGGTACGCCTTCTTGACGAGGATGACGTCGGGGACGCGGTGCACGGGGAGGGAGGCAAAGGCGTCGGGGACGCGGTGCGCGGGGAGGGAGCCAAAGGCGTCGGAGTTGAAGTTGGCATTGGTGAGGTAGTAGCCGAGCGCGGCGTCGCCGGGCTGGAGGATGGCGCCGAGGTGGGTGCGGGTGTGGAGAATCTGTGAGGCCACGCCGCCGTCCATGGCGTCGTCCTCGGCGCCGCCGCCGGAGGCGAATGCGCCGCTGAGGGCGACCTGTGCGTCGGCAAGAACCGACTTGCCGCGCATCTGGCCGGAGGGCTCGACGTCGAGGACGGTGAACTCGACGAGGTCAGCGACCCCCGCGAGGGACTCGAAGGGCGTGCGCAAGTACGACGCATCGGGGATATCGACGAACTGGAGTGTGGCGGGGTCGAGGAAGTGGAGGCAGGCGGCGTCCACTATGTGGTGCTGGTCAATCCTTACAAATCCCTCGGAAGAAGCAGGCCAACACGGGTCACGCAAACCGAAGGATGCCAACCTGCTCGACTACGTCGAGCTCAGCATATCAACAAAGGGTGCGTGCGCAACATCGCTGTACTCGAGAAGCACGCGGCGATGTATAAGAAGCGCGAGCACACCCATCCACGTATGCATCCCCCGAGCATGCAGCTCGCGATGCTCGCCGCGTCGGGAATGGTCCCTCGGAGGTGCCCTCTGCGAGCCCAGATGCCAGCCGTCACGCACCACCCACAATTGGCACACCGGTGCTCGTACCAGACTCGTCGACGTCGATGTGCATCGGCGAGCACAGGGACTATTGCCCGTCGAAGCAGTCCGAGCTTATGGATGCCCTCGGCGACACAAACGGGTTACGGGTTGTTTGCCAGCCGCGGGAACAACTACTTCTCATACTGGGCCGGCTTGCCATGCCCGTATAATCCGGACGACCTCGCTCGCACTACAGGACGCTAGCGCCCCTCGCGATGAGCCTCTTTCAGCCACCGCACAGCGCACTTGGCGGCGCGGTGCAGAACCGCACGTATGTACGTCAGTCGCGAGCTCGTGGCATCTAAGCCCGCCTTTGCCAGGAGTGTTGCATGTTAACAGGACTCGGAGATTGATGCAGAAGTCACACTACATACTATACCACACAGCTTTATATACATGTACATTATACGTTCCTAATGCTACATAGTTACCTCAGAAGGCTCACCACAGCGGTTTGGCGCCAATTTGCGCCTTCGCGCGCGGTGAGTTTCCTGCAAGTTTGCTGTTAGACAATACCAGACGCGGAAGGTATGTGAGACAGCCCTTAGACCGCTCAGAAGGCGCTAGAGGTGCTAGGACACGTCAGGCAAATGACAGATTTGCTGATGTAAGGATGCTAGCAATCAACGGATGAGAGATGGGCTTGAAACGCTCTTGATTTAGACAACCGAGCGCGTTGACGTGACTGAATGCCAGCTCGAATATCACCTCCTCGATGATCGAGTTCTGAAAATGCCCAACGCGCTTCTCGGGCTCCTATCCAAGCCGCGATAGACATGTCAGTTACTACTACTGCTAGTCTCCGATGATGGACACTTACCTTGCAATGGAATACACTCCGCTGAGTCAGCGCAATACTGTCTTCAGGTTCGGCTGTACTTAACGGCTCTGGTCCGAGCAGAAAGGCAACCCACGCGCGATTGTGTTCGACCTCACCCGCTGAACGAGGTTCCACGTGGAGGTTGTACTTGTTGTGCAACTTCGACATGACGATGCGCTTGAGACGGCTGCGCATGTTCGACTCCTCTTGGCGAAGCTGTGCGCGACATCTGTCAGATGCACCGCACGATGTAACCAAATGCACAAAGACGTACCAAACGGAGCCTATCCTTGACGAGTGGGTGCTTTGCCTCATCGACGCTGCAAGTGATCAATCCCTCCTTGTACTTCGCTTGAATGATCGTGTCACGCTCGCTCTTGCTTGGGAAGGGAGTGACGGTGACGAAATGTACCTGCAGGTCGTTCTTCACAACGTCAAGGAGGGTGCTCAACTCATCGTCTCCACGGGAATCCCGATAGCGTGGCCTGTTTGCGTTGTGTTGTTGCTTCCGCTTATGGCGGCGTTCTGCGGCTATATCCACGTCCTCGGCTTGGTCATCATCGTCCCGCTCTGAAGACGTTCGCTTTGGAGCGCTATGTTGGGCAGCAAATGAGCTAGACGGCGATAAGGAGCTTTGAGGCCTGATTGCTCCCGGTGCGGGCGACACAGAGGGTCTATTCGAGAGAAGGGGAGGCTGAGAGCGTAGGATATGACTTGGATTCAACGAATTTACATTCTGGATGAGATGTAAGAGGGTTGGGTCGAGCGAACCTGTCTGAGATGCAGGTGGAGATACAGCAGATGGAGACGAAAATACGTCCATGGTAGAAGCTGTCAGAGGTGGAATGGAATGCCGATGCGGACCCATGAGAGTTTGCAGGCGGCTGGATGAAGGGCCGACAGGGTGGACGGGCTGAAGACGGGCTGAGAACTGCTTTCCGAGTCCGGTTTGAGTCTCTCCGAAGCCCTTATAAACCATGCAACGTACCGTGTTCGTGGTGAATCCTGTGCTACTCCCTGCTTGATTCACTTCGGAGGCCTGCACCTGGGCCCGGGGCTGTGTGGGTCGTCGGCCAGCGCGTATGTTCTCTTCGGTGAAGTCAGGGTCGTCCGAGTCGTCACCCTGTTCCTGTGCTTGTTCTGCACGAGAGAGACCCTGGGGCGCGGGAAATGCACCATTGCCGACATGGTCATACATCTCTTCTGTGTATGCAGCATTTTCATTGGGCTGGGCTGATTGTTGGATGAGACCGGGTCGCATGTTCTCGAGCAGCTCTACAATACCACACAGCGTCAGAATGAACCCAGTAAAAAGTCATACAGACGAACCAGGGTCTGCATTGGCTGTAGCGTGAATGCGACGCCTTGATCTCCGCGGTTGTGAGTTGTCCTCTGTTGCTATCACTGGCTCAGTGCTTGTGGACTGCGACACATTGCATCAGGATTTCGTGTAATTCCTCTGAGGGGCCCTGTCAGGGGCTTCATAAGCGCTCAGAATGCTTCAGGTCGCATCAGAACGGCTCATATGGCCATCCCTCAAGGACTCGAATTTTGGCAAATTGTTGTCGTCAGACAGAATTGTCAGACAGACTCAGACAGCCTCAGAGTGGTCAGATACTGCATCAGACTGTCAGAGGTACAAGCTGTCATATATTCAGCACTCAGATGTATTGCTCGTAAATGTGACAATTGTTTATCAGCTACACTAGCATAGTACTTATATACAGTTCAGTAGGCTCGCGCGGTACGCCACACGCCCGTGCGCATCATAGCGGCGATCCTCCTCGTACTCGCCCCAGTACTGCAGGCCATGTTGTGTGGCGCGCTCCCGTCCATTTGCTGGGTTCACCGCGCTCGTCTGCGTCGTTCTCGATGCAGCTGGCAGCGGGCGCATCGAGGTAGGATATGCACTCGGTGGCATCACTCTTTCTCGGGCTGGAGGGTGGCGTGTTTGTCTTCAATGGGCCTCTATGCATCGGGCTGGAGCCTACCAGGTTGCCTCGAGCTGTCAACTCCTTACGCACCGCGCTGGTGCTTGGCGGTGGGTGCTCGGCGGGAGCTTGGTCATCGTGTAATCTTCCTCGGCTGTCTAGGCTGCCCTGCGCTTGGGCTTGATTCATTGATGTTGTGCGTAGCCAGCTGCCGGCGGAGTCGTTGTTTGACAATGAGAGAGCGAAGTACTCATGGAGGACGGGTATGGCGAACTCACCCTCCGCGTTGAACGTCGCAGACCCATGTGTCTCGTACACCTGCACGGGCTCCACTGCTCCTCGAACGTGCTTGAAAGTGTCCTGGCTCTTATCGCGTGTGAGGTTCAGCAGTGCCCGGCACGGTTCCTCAGGTGGTACATTCGTGAGCTGTGTGATGTTGAGCCGCGTGAGCTTCTCGGAGGTGCCCGTGCTCGCGGCGCCGTGGACATTCCCCTTGGAGGGACGCGCGCTGTGCTGCGTGTAAAACCCAGTGATCGAGCGGATGGAGAGCGGTGGCTGTTGCCTCGCCGACAACATATAGCGGGACAGTCGTCATCAGCGTGTTGCATGCCTGAGGTGACGGACACAGACACTCACTCGCATCGCCCTGCTCCGACTTCCGACGCACTGACCTTCCACACTTCGCAGCTCCCGCGCTCGTCACGACCACCCCGCCGAGCCCGCCGTGCTCTTGACCTACAACTATTCTCTCCTTGAGCTTGTGCATGGTACGCGATCGAGGGGCGCGCGGCGGGTTGATACACGTGCCGACTTTTCTTGTAGACGGGCCCGCACGTACGTTCTCGAGGTAGGCGGCAAGAGGGCAATGGTGAAGCGAAGGTAAGACGGCGATGAGGGTGCTGAGGCCGAGTGTGGACGTGCGGAGAGAGGAGGGTAACAAGCGCGCTTTCTGTGGCGTGTCGTGGCAGGTCGTGGCTAAGGCGCTTAGCACTTCAACTGCGCCTGCGGTCGTGACTCACAGCCTCCAACATCGTCTCACTCAACCACAGCCGCCGTCGGACCACCCCACCCACTCTACCTGAGCTCGACGTTCAAGCCCGACACCGCATGTATCAACATGTGCTAAACACGACGGATGCGAGGGTGGCACTGGAGACGGAGGATTCGGGCACGGTAGGTAAGTGCTCACACTCGATATTTGCTGAGTTACCGCTTCTTTGCAGGCAAGCGAGTGAACGTTGTATTCGTTCACTCCTGATCCTCACTCGCGCACCCGACTGCTTGATCATGTTACATGTATACACACGCTCCTGCTCACTCCCTCACTCGCGCACCCACCTGCCCACCGGCTTACCCGCCTCTCCAACCTACCCTGTAGTGCCTCCGCCTCCGCCGGCCGACAGCGAGAGCACGCGCGAGCGCGCTTTCGCCGCCGCCGCACTCAAAACAGGCTTGGACGTCTTGTTATGCAGCCACGCGGACTCGTAACCCGACGCTCTTCTGTTCAGCAGGCTCTCTGCGATCGCCTGCGCCTGCGCACTGAGGTTGGGCTGGCTCGATAAGTGCATGACGCCCGCGGGGCAGCTCCTCTCCGATAAGCTGAACACCCTGGTGCGTCTTCCCATTCGCAATCGGCGCGATGGGCATCGTTAAATCGTCCATCCCCTCCGAGACTCGAGTCGCTCGATCCTTCCTTCAAGTGCCAGGTTCAACACAAACTCCTCACACGTGAAAGGGTCTTGCGGCGAGACTACTTCAAGTGTGCCGTCTCTGCACGTTGTGTGCACGGACGAGCACGCGCGGAACATCTTCCTTGACCGCTTCCTCTGCGGCACGCCCCATAACTTCGACATGACCAAGGCAGCGCCGCAGTGGACAAGTGGCACACATGGCCTTGGACGTACGAGCGCGGGTCGAGAGCGAGCGCGGGGAGTGGTGATGGGATGGTAGGATGTGCACGAGTGCAAGACTACCAGGTAAGCCGTTGCCCAATCTTCCGTTCGCGCCGATCCCTTCTCTCTCTCGTAACGCGTCCTCGAACGCACTCTGAGCTTGTGCAGGACCCGTGTCCGTGTCATCGAACACAGGTCACGTCGATTACGGCAAGACCACATTGGCAGCAGGCATCACCAAGGTTCTCGCTGAGCAGGGTAGTGCACAGTTCAGGTACTCTGATGTCGACAGGGCTCCCAAAGAAAAGGCCCGTGACGGACGCTGCCATTATTGTTGTCTCCGCTACTGATGGTCAGATGCATCAGACCCAATAACATCGCCCCTCGACACAGCGCTGACGATGTGTAGCTCCTCCTCCGAGTCGTGATCGAATACATCATCGCCCACGCCCAACTCGCTCATCACGCCGTTCCCTGTGATGCAGTCCACGCGTCCGTCGTGCCACGTCTCCGCGCAGATGCGCTCCCGGACATGTACCTCCTCCTCGTGGCGCAAAGCGGCGAGCTGCGCGTTCTGCACAGCGCGATCGTGCTGCTGCCGGTGCGTCGTGTTCACGCGCCCAATGCCCGTGCCAACGATCTCGACGATCTGCTCGAGCTGGTTGGTGAACACCCGCCTACATGCCACGCTCTGATATGTGCATGTATATGTATTATGATCATTATGGCAGTTTTTAAATCCACTGCATTTGTGCCAATTTACGTGCAGGGGGTGTTTTTCTGACGAAATGTGTGATATGTGCTGTCTGATGTACTGTGTTACTGACACTGTCTGAGACAAAATGAGAAGGTCTGACAACATCTGATGTCTGGCATGCCCTGATGCTTCTGAAGCTCTCTGAAGGCCGACCTTCAGAGGCTCATACCTTCAGAAATTGCACACTTTCCTGATGTGGGACGTCCTGCTGGTGCTGTGCGACCACCGCGACCACGGCCACGGCCACGGCCACGGCCACGGCCGCGTGGCCCGTCCATGAGAGGTAGGTAGTATAGCCAGTAAACGAATGAATGCCAAAGGGTGGAGACGGTAGTGGTATTGAGCTAACTTGGACGTGGCGCGAGACGACGCGAGACGACAGGTGATATGCCTGAATCGGCGGCATGCGTTATCACTGTGACTTCGCTGTCAAACCACAAACCCACCTTCGCAGTTTCCAGCTCCTGGCATACTATCCATCCTCGGTCGCCGCAACTCTTGCTTGTCATGATTTCCCGTGTGCTTCGTCGCGAGTATCCAAAGGCTGGCTGGAAGTTTAGTCAGCATCCTACGCCCTTCGAAGTTGATTTTGCGTCGCAGGCACTCAGCGCGGAAAAGAAGGCGGCTTACCATCCGTTTGCTAGTCTGGCTGAACTCGAGATTGCGAATTGGATTCTTGACACCGGGCTGTCACAGAAGGCAACAAACAAACTTCTTCGCAGTCAGATGGTGTGGATGTTCTGCGGTTCGAGTCGCTTGTCGCTGACAAAATGATCAGTACCAGCATTGTCGCCATTCAGCACCGGACTATTTCAATACATTCCACAACAACCGCACCTTCCTCAAGGTTGTCGACACGCTGCCTGGTCCAGCAACTTCATGGAATCTTGCGGAGATCACCGTCACCGGGACACTCAAGGATCGCAGGGGGAAGCCGCTTACGGAGATCGTTGATGTGTGGATGCGGGACGTTGTGGAGGTGATCAGAGAGCTTGTTGCGAACTCCGAGTTCCATCAGGAAAATACTCCCCTGGGAATTAGCCTCAATTGTCCGAGATTCCCAGTAACGGGCAGAATGTTTGCGAATACGGAAATATTCGTAGCTATTATGAATAGTAGTCTAGGAATTGTACTGCCGTTATGGCATGCCAATAATAATGTGTTCTGCTCAGTAATGACAGTGTCATGTATATGAATACAAGATCCACCGAATAACAAAACATCACATCTGAACTTGTTGCGAACTCGGAGGACCGACTTCAATACAATTGTCTCCGGTAATCCTGCCATATATTGCTACCCGGTTGATTAATTAATGTACATCAACTATTGACTACTGGGGTTAACCGCTTCGACCACCGTCCATGCCCTCACAAAGCCAAACTCCTCCCATTCTGCGGCGGCGGCGTGCAAAGCACGGGGAAACACCGGGTATCCGACAGCTGACCCGTACCCTTCACGGAGGGTACGAGTCCTACGCGAGTCAGTATGGGTCACGCAGGAGAGTGGGCTTGCTGACGAGTGAGCACATGGATGCACACATCGGCTGTTGATACCACCCTGGCAGCACTGCGCGTCATACAACAATACTCGGCGCATCTCGAATCATCACGCTCGGTGACTGGAAGTCTGATGTCACGGCGGCGAACAGTGATGATACGGAGGGATGATGAATACTCACAAAGAGCACGGTACAGGCCATTGCTGGCGATTTTTGAGCGTGAGACGTAAGACGCTTGCAAGGGAAGAACAAGCCACAGAAGCGGTGAAGAGGCATAGTACTGTACTGCGAGAGCTTACCTAGAGTACCGAGAAGCTCGCGCGGCGTGGCGCGCGAGCATGATATCTGTGCTTGTTGATGTGTTGGATGGATGGAGTCAACATTCACATGGTGCAGAAGGTCCATGACGACGTACGGGGCGAGCCGCGAGACTGAAGATAGCTGCTTGACTCTGCGGGTTTTGTTGCTAAGACCATCCTCGTGGTGCGAGGGGTTTGTGTCGAACCTACGGAGCCAGCCGCAGCCCGCGAGAGTCGAGACACAAGATCCTGTTGCTGTTCGAATGTGAGACGCGCGCCAGGGGAGAGCAAGGAATGCCTGCCCGTCTGCTCTCTCAACCTCGTCTCTACCCATGCCCGCCGTTTGCTCGCGCTCGACCTCGTGCGCGTGGCATGTGTTTGTCGGCCGTGCCTGCGTACTGGGCAGTTGCGAGCGTTGTGAGGTGCTGACCCAGCCTTAGAGCCGGTGCGCGACGGGCCAGATGGGGATGAGCGCGAGGGCAGAACACGAGAGTGCGAGAGCAAGGGCAGGACACCAGAGCGCGAGGGGGACGAGAGCACGAGGGAGCATCAGCAAACGTGCAAGTTCCTTAGCCGACTTAAACGGCGCTTACGTCGCTTTGTGTCTTACGTTCTCTTAAATTCCGTCTTAGCAATTTGCTTGAGCCCCTTACGACGCTTGACAAGCTTGATCGACGCGAGCCCTCCCAGCCACAAAATAGGCGATTCTCTCTAAGCGCTACCAAGAGTTTGTAAGGAACTTCAACGGAACAAGGGGAACAAGGATGTAAGTAGAATCAAGGGCAGCGGTAAAATTCTGTACTGAATCCATTGATATGTACTGCGTGGCAGACGAACATAGCCTGCCAGAGCACAGTCACGGTGCAACTATCTACCATATGATACATGAATACGTGTGACATGTACCATACAAATGCGCCGCAACGATCGTCTCACCCGGTGCGTGTGCGACGTGCAGACGCAGTGGACCGGATGTGGGCCTGCGTGCTTCGGGAACAAGGGCGCAGCGGGCGCGCTGTTCTGCGTGGCAGGGAAGGACGGCGGCGTGGGCGAGGTGTATACATACGTTGGTCGTTCGCCCGTGCGTGTACAGTCTGCGGATGGATTGGACAGGTTAATGTTCACACATTTGATGGCAAATATACGTACGTACCCCGCGTCCCATCCCCTTCCTGGCGAGACATTCCAGCACACCATCACCGCGCCATTCGCGGGACGTCGATACATTACATCCAGTGAGGGTTAGTGTCCGACTCGGCATCCGTCGCGGCTCGACGACTGATGCGTGCACGAACGCTGAGCTCTCAGCTCGTCACGCGTCACGTCGCAAGTCTCCCCCTTACGCATGCCCCGCTCGCCGGATGTCGACCGTGTCCTTGCCTGTTGCGCCGAATGGCACACCTCAGCGGATCGCATTGCGTCCGACGCCCAGCTCGCCGGGCGTAGATCTGTCGTGTCTTCGCACAAAGTTGACATTCTTGCCACCGCGCACTGGCAGAGTGCTCGTTCAATAGCACGGCGCGAGACGAGCTCGCGCTACGTGTCCAGGACTCCAGGGCTGTGATCTGGCCATCTCCGGTCAGCCTGCCGAAGTAGTTGATACTTAGCCTAGTATCCCGAGAGTTGAGCCTATTGTGGGTGTTAGTACTTCAGTGTAAGAGTGGCTTGGGAAAGCAAGTGCAAAGTTCGAAGTTCAGACGCGCAGCCGTGGCGGGCGATGCGTCCAGTGTTTGGTGATGTTTGCAGGATTTGCCACGTCACCGAACTCGGTATTAACTTCACACAGGTTGAACCAGTGCCACGGTGACTTCCGAGTCTGTCGCCTCCCCTCGTCTGTTGAATCCGGGCATACTTGCTACGGCACATTGCCTCTCGAACATCCCTCTTTGGCCGGCCTCAAGGGGCACACGCGATACAGACACATCCCCGTCGTCCAGCGGCCAGCCGGCACGCTCAAACACCGCAGCCACGACAAGCTCCAGCAACGTGGGGAGATCGTTGCTGGAGCTAACGGACGGCTAGAGGAGCAGCGTGGGCGCGAGGGTACGAGGGTGTGGCAGTATGGCCACCAACAAGGTGAGTGCCCACGTTGTCGGCCACAGGATGCCAGCCCCACCGTCTGCGAGCCGGCCCACGCCTTCCACAAGCCGCTCCCCATCATCTACAAGCCCGGTCATCCTGCGCACTGGCCCGTCGCGCCCGAAAACACTGAGCATGAATGAGGCATACATGAGGCCCCTCGCGAGCCCGACAGACTGCAGCCCACCACTCTCACTCTCCACAAGCCCCGCCCGCCATTCACGAGTCCGGGAACATCGGCGACCGCGCACGAACCCCCTGCACACCAATGCGCCAAGTACGCAAACGCTAAGCACAAGCCCTCCGCGAGCGAGCCCTGGCCCGCCGTCTGTCAACCGCGCTCGCGCTTGGTGAGCTACCCCCACTGTTCGCTAGCAGCAGCCCGATGTACGGTACACCGACGCGGCACGCAGGAGTCCGCCGATGACTAGCAGCACACCCTTCATGCGCTCTGTCTCACCGTTGGTGAGTTGGCCGCGCGGTTCAGCAGGCCCCGCCCGCCGAGTATGGGTCCGCCGTCCGTCAGCCTCGCTGCCATCTGAGCGCCGCCGATTCACGCCGCGTTACTGCACTTCCCCACCGACCTCCGCCACTCCCTCTGCCTGCCCGCTCATCTGCGTGCCGACCCGCGGACGTGCCCGCGGACCCGCCAACCCGTGTCAACCCGCCTGTGACCCGTACCCGCAACGGCGGGTCTGTACCCGGGCGGGTATGGGTACGGGTCGAGTCAGATACACCCATGGTCATAAGTCATGTACTGTACATTCGTAGCATCGCCGTGTCGGATCTCATTTGCGTACAGTACATTTGTTACATCGCCAGGATTGGTTTCCGCATTGTCCGTAGCATGCTCTATCCCAATCTCAATAATACTTGATGAATGCTTGAATATCATGAGTGCCAGCTTGTTTCCCTTACACGATGTCTTAGGGCTGCTTTTCGCGCTTAAAGCCCAGCTTAAACCATCCTTACTAAGGGTGTCAAGGGCTGGCACCTTAATCAAGAGAATGGATGTTCTTGATTAAGCACCGTTCCTTGAAGTCCTTATCCACTTAAAGTGCTTGGTAAGGCCTTTAAGCACGGAATAAGGAACTTGCACTTTTGCTGATGAGCAGGGGCGAGGCCGCATACATGACTGCCAGTCTCGAGACTTAGTACTTAGGGCGGCAATGCCGGCGGGCTCAGGAGTGCAGATGGCGGCGGCGAGGTTGCTGAGGTAGGCTGACACTGGGCTGCCAGCTTGACACAGCGCGCGAGCAGCGAACGCCTGGCGGACGCAAAGTTCCAAGCGCTCAACCGGGATTTTCCGATGCAGGCCGCATTAGGCAAGTCCGACAGCGCTTGCGTCCGTCCAGCGCGCAAGTGCTGACAGCTCCTCCTCCTTCACCCTCCTCCACGGCCTGTGGGCCGCTCGCTCGCCTGCCACTCGCCCGCGCAACCTCAAGGTCGTGAAGCACGGCCGTTCCATGAAGAGGCAGGCCCATGATGGGCCTGTCAGAGGTACAGGTGCGTCGCGGTGTCTGACACGTCAACGCATGAAGGACACGTCAACGCATGAAGGACGCAGGTGCGTACTCACTCCGAACGCTCAAAGGTGCGCCATCACCCCCACTCGCCCGCGTCTCAAATGCGAACAAGAGGGCCGCGCAAACGCGCCCAACAAGCGGACGGCGGGCGTGGCCACGACGTCAAGCAGGGAGAAGGCAGATAGGTGAGTAGGGCGAGCGGATGGTCGGTGCCCATGGGGAGGGCTGCGCCGTCGCGGGGTGGAACACTGGGCCCCGAGGTAGCGTTGTTCACCCTCACGCTCGTCAACACGCCGTCCCTCGACTTTGTTGACGACGCCACGTACCCTATGGTACGTAGACATGCGCTTTGCGGGAAGCATAGACAACGCCGGCGTAAGTTACCTCTTCGCTCCCGAAGCACATTGTCCGAATCTAACTCCTTTGCAGGAGTGAACGGCGCGGATGGGGAACTCGCGGCCTCGTGCAAGATTGTCCCGAGGAGCATGTTGAAGCCCTGCGCCCCTCGTCGCCTACCACATGTCGCCCGCCCTGTGAGTGCACGCGCGTCGCTGCTGTTGGTTACCGTCATTCAGATTTTGTGGTGCGCCTCCGCCAGTGCAGTGTTCATTCTTTGTCGGTCATCGCCCGCGGCCCCTATGTCCATGGTGCGCAATACACCTGCGGCTTGCTTGCTAACGGTGCTCGACGGTGCGTGCCTTTCTTCTCGCATATGTGTGTCATTGTACTTCATACAATATTGTCCGTCCTGCCCGCTGTGCTTGCTTATTCCCAACCACCGCCACACCGCTGAACTCCCAATTGCAAAACAGCTGTTCTGAACTCTGATCATCTATGGTGAGTTGTCACGTTCGCGTCCGTATTTGTGCACTGACGATTTCACTCAGGTCACGCTCTGTTGGGTGATGCAAAGGCTATGGCATAGATAGCTTGGTGAGCCATGATTATCCTTGATGGACGTTGCCGCTGACTTCAGTGTTGCAATCACACGTGTGAGTTTCGGTCATGGTGCTTGTCAAACACCTTGATAGACATGGAGTAGACTGTAGTTCAGGTAGTGGTAACAATGCTCTGCCATAGGATAGATTTTAGAATGTATGTTGCCCTCATAACTGTCATTGTGTACTTTACCTAGACAATATACTGCTTTTCGGTGGCATAGATTGAATGAGTGAAGAACAGTCCATTGATCTCATGAATATATTGTGTATACCCTAGAATAGCTTGACAATGCATGTGTCATGCCTCCGAATTCTGTGGTATTATTCAGAATGCATTCTTGGACCCAAGGGGACTAGGGATCATTGTGAATTATTGGAATTGGACGAATGCATCATTTTATTGCCCATTCCTACGAATCTGGTGGAATTGTTGCCTTATTCGTCCTCATTCATCAGAGAACTTTTTCCTGATGTCAGCAGCTACTGTTCTTGGGCGCCGTATCAGGAGGTCGAGGTTGATGAGCAAGGAGTCGAGACCGGAGAACGCTTCTTCGAAGACATGCCGTCAGCGGAATGGTGGTGGGAGATCCAGGTGCGTGGTACACTCACCATGTATAGCAAAGTGACTTTAAAACTTATGATTGGAGCGACAGCAACACCTCCCAGAGAAGGCTACTGTCGCCCCTGTCATTTTGGCGTCCGACAAGACGCAGCTAACACCCTTCAGCGGGGATAAACAAGCGTGGCCAGTCTACCTCACCATCGGCAATATCGACCAGTCGGTTCGTCGATCACCTTCGAAGCGGGCAATGGTACTGCTCGGCTACCTGCCGGCAACCAAGCTACAGTGCTTCCCAAAGGCACAGCGTTCCCTGGAGGGTTATCGCCTCTTCCACTACGCAATGAGCTTGATGCTCGACCCGCTGATCGTGGCCGGGACCCGCGGCGAGAAGATGCCTTGCTCGGATGGCTGGGTCCGCGAGATCTACCCCATTCTCGCAGGGTACATGGCCGACTACCCTGAACAATGCCTTGTAGCGTGCTGTAAGGAGAATCGATGCCCTACCTGTCTCGTCATGCCGAACGACCGGGGCGAGCTGGTCACTACGTGCTATCGCGATCCAGTGTCAACACTCGCGGCCCTTCAAAACCCTTCAAACGACCGGGATTCCCCTTACATGCAGCAGGGGCTTCGCAACGTCCCAGAACCCTTCTGGGCGAAGCTCCCTCATGCGAATATCTTCGGTTGTATCACGCCGGACATGCTCCATCAGTTGCATAAGGGTGTGTTCAAGGACCACTTCTTCAAATGGTCGACGACAGGTGTCGAGTCGGAGATCGATGCTCGTTTCATGCGCTATCCGCCGTACAACAATCTGCGTGTATTCATCAAAGAGCTCTCGGCCATTTCGCAATGGACAGGGAACGAGTACCGTCAAATGGAGAAGACGTTCGTTGGAATCCTTGCTGGATGTCCCCAAGTCCCACGCCGTGTCGTTGCTGCCATCCGATCCCTCATGGACTTCATATACCTCGCCCACTATCCCATCCATTCGACTTCTTCGCTCAGGAACATGCGCCGCGCACTTGAAGACCTGCATCGACACAAGCAAGTCTTTGTGGAGCTTGGATTACGAATGGATTTCAACATACCTAAGGTCCACTGGCTCGAACACTATGTCGTGAGCATCATCCGCGTCGGTTCATGTGCCGGATTCAGCACCGACATTTCTGAACGTCTGCACATCGAGTTTGCAAAGCTCGGTTATCGTGCAAGCAGCCACAAACAGTACGTCAAACAGATGATTGTTTGGCTTACCAGACGCGAAAAAATGCGACGGCTCCAGTCGTACATGCGGTGGGTCGAGCGCAAGACCGAGGAGCAAATCGTGGCAGAGATGATTCAGGCTGCAGAGGGCGATCATGATGCCGCCAATCCAGACGACTCAGACGCAGATGTTGACTCATCTGAGTCGGATGGGACAGCGGGCTCGGATGACGAGGCAGGCGAGACGGAAGAAGCGATGGATCTTGTCGAGGATACCTTGGTTGTTCGCCGGCGTGTTGGGGTCGAGGACGTGCAGGCTGAGAGCTGGCAGTCATTTGCGGAAGTCCCTGAGCAGGACACACAGGGCATTGATGAACAGGAAGTCAATGAAGAGGTAGGAGCACGAGTACAGCCATAGATAAATCGCAGTGCTGACAATGGATATGGCAGAACACGCCGTTCGGGGCATATAGAATCAGCAGGCTCCCAGGTGTAGGCGTCTTCTCGGGGCGTGACATTGTACGCGCACTAGGCGCTGAGTCATTCGAGGACGCATTATTGGCCTTCCTACGCAGACAACCCCTCTATTCTCCAACCACGCCGCTGCATCTACTCGACTATCACTACCCGCTGTACAAGGAGTTTACTCGCACCCTCCCTTCTCTCCGTGAAATCAAGAACGATGATTTCCGCGACCGTGTTCGGGCAATTCCGCGGACAGCGCAGCTTCCTGCACGGTATGACACCGTATTGTACCTCGAGGATGCAGACATAGCAGCAAACATCGGCGTGAAAGGTACGTCGATGAGCTCTATACAGTTGTACCCTCCTGAGACTCTACATTCTCAGGCTACCGTATTGGCCAGGTTCGAGCGATCTTCGCTCTGCCACCTCATCTTCAGCGGATGCGGCTTAATGCAACCCGTGCTGATACCCACCTCGCATATGTCGAGCTTTTCACTCCATTCCTCGACGAGCCAGAACGATGGAGCAAGCTTTATCAGGTCTCACGGTCAGTCCTTCGTGGACGCCGTCTTGCAACTGTGCTCCCACTGCAGCAAATCTTTCGGAGCTGCCATCTGCTACCGGATCCCAAGGCGGAGGTGATAGAGAGGGATTGGACTTCGGATACGGTATTAGAGCTATGTGAGGACTTTTTTCTCAACGAGTTTTGTGATCACCACATGTACGCCTTTGTCCAATAAATACCATTATATCCGCCCTATTCCTTGAACCATGTCAGTGACCCTCCGGCGAGATGTCGAGTGTACTCATAGATTGATAAATCATGTGTATGACGTGTCCGGGTCAACCCGATCGAGCAAGCAACCTCTCTCTCTCCTTGCCACCATGTCTGACGATGAGCTTCAGCCTCAGATCGATGTTCGCCAGCTCACTTCCGATGACGTTCACACCGTGAAGCTCCTCATCATGGCTAGAGGTCCAGGACCAATCAATCTGGTGTGTATTTCAGACGATCTGTCTGGGACCGCGTCGCGTCAACTTCACCTCTATGTCAGACTCTCAAGCTTTGCAACCACGATAGACCTGGCCGCGAGGCTACAACCCCACTTGCACAATTCAATACGCTGCAACAAGGGTCGCAAGATGACGGGATTGGAGCCGCGAGCGGTGAGGTTCCACCTGGGGGCTGGCCCGTTGACTCGCAGGGTTTGCCTACGACGCAAGCGATGTACGCGATGGCCAGTCTCCCATGGCCGCCAACGTCAGACACTCCAGACGCAGGCAACAATGCACCCGACACTGCAGCCATTCAAATGGATACTATCGACGACTCCGCTACTGAGACGGACAGTCAAGCTCCCGGTGTGCTCCTGGTTGGTAACATCATCGCTGACCGACGTTGGTGTAACCACCTCAAGCACGATGCTAGCATTGCTGAGGGGACAAACGGCAAGGTGCAGGAAGGTCTGGGAGGGCCGGGAATAGTGGTTGACGCAGTGGTGCCAATGAGGCGTCAGGAGGACTGGCCGCCGTCGCCTGCGCCAGCTGTGCGGGATCTCATTGACAATGATCTACCGGCTCCTTGGGTGCGTGTACACACTTCTGTGCTTTCTCATTTTCCTTACAACGTTCATCCCAACAGCACACTCCCCGCGCAGTCCGCGTCGCTAATGCAAACATCCTTGCTCGCGACGTAACACCGCCGCCCGCCGAAGTACCTGACCCTCGGACCCCAAGTAAGGTCTCAGGGCAATATGGTACCGAAGCATGGCATCAGGAAAAAGTTCTCTGATGAATGAGGACGAATAAGGCAACAATTCCACCAGATTCGTAGGAATGGGCAATAAAATGATGCATTCGTCCAATTCCAATAATTCACAATGATCCCTAGTCCCCTTGGGTCCAAGAATGCATTCTGAATAATACCACAGAATTCGGAGGCATGACACATGCATTGTCAAGCTATTCTAGGGTATACACAATATATTCATGAGATCAATGGACTGTTCTTCACTCATTCAATCTATGCCACCGAAAAGCAGTATATTGTCTAGGTAAAGTACACAATGACAGTTATGAGGGCAACATACATTCTAAAATCTATCCTATGGCAGAGCATTGTTACCACTACCTGAACTACAGTCTACTCCATGTCTATCAAGGTGTTTGACAAGCACCATGACCGAAACTCACACGTGTGATTGCAACACTGAAGTCAGCGGCAACGTCCATCAAGGATAATCATGGCTCACCAAGCTATCTATGCCATAGCCTTTGCATCACCCAACAGAGCGTGACCTGAGTGAAATCGTCAGTGCACAAATACGGACGCGAACGTGACAACTCACCATAGATGATCAGAGTTCAGAACAGCTGTTTTGCAATTGGGAGTTCAGCGGTGTGGCGGTGGTTGGGAATAAGCAAGCACAGCGGGCAGGACGGACAATATTGTATGAAGTACAATGACACACATATGCGAGAAGAAAGGCACGCACCGTCGAGCACCGTTAGCAAGCAAGCCGCAGGTGTATTGCGCACCATGGACATAGGGGCCGCGGGCGATGACCGACAAAGAATGAACACTGCACTGGCGGAGGCGCACCACAAAATCTGAATGACGGTAACCAACAGCAGCGACGCGCGTGCACTCACAGGGCGGGCGACATGTGGTAGGCGACGAGGGGCGCAGGGCTTCAACATGCTCCTCGGGACAATCTTGCACGAGGCCGCGAGTTCCCCATCCGCGCCGTTCACTCCTGCAAAGGAGTTAGATTCGGACAATGTGCTTCGGGAGCGAAGAGGTAACTTACGCCGGCGTTGTCTATGCTTCCCGCAAAGCGCATGTCTACGTACCATAGGGTACGTGGCGTCGTCAACAAAGTCGAGGGACGGCGTGTTGACGAGCGTGAGGGTGAACAACGCTACCTCGGGGCCCAGTGTTCCACCCCGCGACGGCGCAGCCCTCCCCATGGGCACCGACCATCCGCTCGCCCTACTCACCTATCTGCCTTCTCCCTGCTTGACGTCGTGGCCACGCCCGCCGTCCGCTTGTTGGGCGCGTTTGCGCGGCCCTCTTGTTCGCATTTGAGACGCGGGCGAGTGGGGGTGATGGCGCACCTTTGAGCGTTCGGAGTGAGTACGCACCTGCGTCCTTCATGCGTTGACGTGTCCTTCATGCGTTGACGTGTCAGACACCGCGACGCACCTGTACCTCTGACAGGCCCATCATGGGCCTGCCTCTTCATGGAACGGCCGTGCTTCACGACCTTGAGGTTGCGCGGGCGAGTGGCAGGCGAGCGAGCGGCCCACAGGCCGTGGAGGAGGGTGAAGGAGGAGGAGCTGTCAGCACTTGCGCGCTGGACGGACGCAAGCGCTGTCGGACTTGCCTAATGCGGCCTGCATCGGAAAATCCCGGTTGAGCGCTTGGAACTTTGCGTCCGCCAGGCGTTCGCTGCTCGCGCGCTGTGTCAAGCTGGCAGCCCAGTGTCAGCCTACCTCAGCAACCTCGCCGCCGCCATCTGCACTCCTGAGCCCGCCGGCATTGCCGCCCTAAGTACTAAGTCTCGAGACTGGCAGTCATGTATGCGGCCTCGCCCCTGCTCATCAGCAAAAGTGCAAGTTCCTTATTCCGTGCTTAAAGGCCTTACCAAGCACTTTAAGTGGATAAGGACTTCAAGGAACGGTGCTTAATCAAGAACATCCATTCTCTTGATTAAGGTGCCAGCCCTTGACACCCTTAGTAAGGATGGTTTAAGCTGGGCTTTAAGCGCGAAAAGCAGCCCTAAGACATCGTGTAAGGGAAACAAGCTGGCACTCATGATATTCAAGCATTCATCAAGTATTATTGAGATTGGGATAGAGCATGCTACGGACAATGCGGAAACCAATCCTGGCGATGTAACAAATGTACTGTACGCAAATGAGATCCGACACGGCGATGCTACGAATGTACAGTACATGACTTATGACCATGGGTGTATCTGACTCGACCCGTACCCATACCCGCCCGGGTACAGACCCGCCGTTGCGGGTACGGGTCACAGGCGGGTTGACACGGGTTGGCGGGTCCGCGGGCACGTCCGCGGGTCGGCACGCAGATGAGCGGGCAGGCAGAGGGAGTGGCGGAGGTCGGTGGGGAAGTGCAGTAACGCGGCGTGAATCGGCGGCGCTCAGATGGCAGCGAGGCTGACGGACGGCGGACCCATACTCGGCGGGCGGGGCCTGCTGAACCGCGCGGCCAACTCACCAACGGTGAGACAGAGCGCATGAAGGGTGTGCTGCTAGTCATCGGCGGACTCCTGCGTGCCGCGTCGGTGTACCGTACATCGGGCTGCTGCTAGCGAACAGTGGGGGTAGCTCACCAAGCGCGAGCGCGGTTGACAGACGGCGGGCCAGGGCTCGCTCGCGGAGGGCTTGTGCTTAGCGTTTGCGTACTTGGCGCATTGGTGTGCAGGGGGTTCGTGCGCGGTCGCCGATGTTCCCGGACTCGTGAATGGCGGGCGGGGCTTGTGGAGAGTGAGAGTGGTGGGCTGCAGTCTGTCGGGCTCGCGAGGGGCCTCATGTATGCCTCATTCATGCTCAGTGTTTTCGGGCGCGACGGGCCAGTGCGCAGGATGACCGGGCTTGTAGATGATGGGGAGCGGCTTGTGGAAGGCGTGGGCCGGCTCGCAGACGGTGGGGCTGGCATCCTGTGGCCGACAACGTGGGCACTCACCTTGTTGGTGGCCATACTGCCACACCCTCGTACCCTCGCGCCCACGCTGCTCCTCTAGCCGTCCGTTAGCTCCAGCAACGATCTCCCCACGTTGCTGGAGCTTGTCGTGGCTGCGGTGTTTGAGCGTGCCGGCTGGCCGCTGGACGACGGGGATGTGTCTGTATCGCGTGTGCCCCTTGAGGCCGGCCAAAGAGGGATGTTCGAGAGGCAATGTGCCGTAGCAAGTATGCCCGGATTCAACAGACGAGGGGAGGCGACAGACTCGGAAGTCACCGTGGCACTGGTTCAACCTGTGTGAAGTTAATACCGAGTTCGGTGACGTGGCAAATCCTGCAAACATCACCAAACACTGGACGCATCGCCCGCCACGGCTGCGCGTCTGAACTTCGAACTTTGCACTTGCTTTCCCAAGCCACTCTTACACTGAAGTACTAACACCCACAATAGGCTCAACTCTCGGGATACTAGGCTAAGTATCAACTACTTCGGCAGGCTGACCGGAGATGGCCAGATCACAGCCCTGGAGTCCTGGACACGTAGCGCGAGCTCGTCTCGCGCCGTGCTATTGAACGAGCACTCTGCCAGTGCGCGGTGGCAAGAATGTCAACTTTGTGCGAAGACACGACAGATCTACGCCCGGCGAGCTGGGCGTCGGACGCAATGCGATCCGCTGAGGTGTGCCATTCGGCGCAACAGGCAAGGACACGGTCGACATCCGGCGAGCGGGGCATGCGTAAGGGGGAGACTTGCGACGTGACGCGTGACGAGCTGAGAGCTCAGCGTTCGTGCACGCATCAGTCGTCGAGCCGCGACGGATGCCGAGTCGGACACTAACCCTCACTGGATGTAATGTATCGACGTCCCGCGAATGGCGCGGTGATGGTGTGCTGGAATGTCTCGCCAGGAAGGGGATGGGACGCGGGGTACGTACGTATATTTGCCATCAAATGTGTGAACATTAACCTGTCCAATCCATCCGCAGACTGTACACGCACGGGCGAACGACCAACGTATGTATACACCTCGCCCACGCCGCCGTCCTTCCCTGCCACGCAGAACAGCGCGCCCGCTGCGCCCTTGTTCCCGAAGCACGCAGGCCCACATCCGGTCCACTGCGTCTGCACGTCGCACACGCACCGGGTGAGACGATCGTTGCGGCGCATTTGTATGGTACATGTCACACGTATTCATGTATCATATGGTAGATAGTTGCACCGTGACTGTGCTCTGGCAGGCTATGTTCGTCTGCCACGCAGTACATATCAATGGATTCAGTACAGAATTTTACCGCTGCCCTTGATTCTACTTACATCCTTGTTCCCCTTGTTCCGTTGAAGTTCCTTACAAACTCTTGGTAGCGCTTAGAGAGAATCGCCTATTTTGTGGCTGGGAGGGCTCGCGTCGATCAAGCTTGTCAAGCGTCGTAAGGGGCTCAAGCAAATTGCTAAGACGGAATTTAAGAGAACGTAAGACACAAAGCGACGTAAGCGCCGTTTAAGTCGGCTAAGGAACTTGCACGTTTGCTGATGCTCCCTCGTGCTCTCGTCCCCCTCGCGCTCTGGTGTCCTGCCCTTGCTCTCGCACTCTCGTGTTCTGCCCTCGCGCTCATCCCCATCTGGCCCGTCGCGCACCGGCTCTAAGGCTGGGTCAGCACCTCACAACGCTCGCAACTGCCCAGTACGCAGGCACGGCCGACAAACACATGCCACGCGCACGAGGTCGAGCGCGAGCAAACGGCGGGCATGGGTAGAGACGAGGTTGAGAGAGCAGACGGGCAGGCATTCCTTGCTCTCCCCTGGCGCGCGTCTCACATTCGAACAGCAACAGGATCTTGTGTCTCGACTCTCGCGGGCTGCGGCTGGCTCCGTAGGTTCGACACAAACCCCTCGCACCACGAGGATGGTCTTAGCAACAAAACCCGCAGAGTCAAGCAGCTATCTTCAGTCTCGCGGCTCGCCCCGTACGTCGTCATGGACCTTCTGCACCATGTGAATGTTGACTCCATCCATCCAACACATCAACAAGCACAGATATCATGCTCGCGCGCCACGCCGCGCGAGCTTCTCGGTACTCTAGGTAAGCTCTCGCAGTACAGTACTATGCCTCTTCACCGCTTCTGTGGCTTGTTCTTCCCTTGCAAGCGTCTTACGTCTCACGCTCAAAAATCGCCAGCAATGGCCTGTACCGTGCTCTTTGTGAGTATTCATCATCCCTCCGTATCATCACTGTTCGCCGCCGTGACATCAGACTTCCAGTCACCGAGCGTGATGATTCGAGATGCGCCGAGTATTGTTGTATGACGCGCAGTGCTGCCAGGGTGGTATCAACAGCCGATGTGTGCATCCATGTGCTCACTCGTCAGCAAGCCCACTCTCCTGCGTGACCCATACTGACTCGCGTAGGACTCGTACCCTCCGTGAAGGGTACGGGTCAGCTGTCGGATACCCGGTGTTTCCCCGTGCTTTGCACGCCGCCGCCGCAGAATGGGAGGAGTTTGGCTTTGTGAGGGCATGGACGGTGGTCGAAGCGGTTAACCCCAGTAGTCAATAGTTGATGTACATTAATTAATCAACCGGGTAGCAATATATGGCAGGATTACCGGAGACAATTGTATTGAAGTCGGTCCTCCGAGTTCGCAACAAGTTCAGATGTGATGTTTTGTTATTCGGTGGATCTTGTATTCATATACATGACACTGTCATTACTGAGCAGAACACATTATTATTGGCATGCCATAACGGCAGTACAATTCCTAGACTACTATTCATAATAGCTACGAATATTTCCGTATTCGCAAACATTCTGCCCGTTACTGGGAATCTCGGACAATTGAGGCTAATTCCCAGGGGAGTATTTTCCTGATGGGGGAGCCTCTTCGTGGCACAAATACGCGAACGGCGCCGAGAGGTTTCCGCGGCGTGGGCTAGAATAATCCCCTCAGACTCACTGGGCTTGCCCGAGCACTCTGACAAGAGCTTGACGTGCATGGAGCGACACGGAGTTCCTACTCGATCGTATTCCAATGTTTCTTCTATCTTCCCGCGTGCTGCTATTGCTACACATGTACAGAATGGGATAATATACATGTTTGACTGCCACATCGATTCGGAGATAATGAGAGCAGCCTTCCCCCCACTCACAAGCGGCCCTCAGTGCTCAATGCTCATAAATTGGCCGCCGCCATGTAGGACTCGTCCTTTGCTCTGTGCAGATGGAGACAGTCCTTCCTGACCGTGCTGTACAGACACGACAGGAGATTGCTGTGCCATACGGAGACTGCAGCTCCTTGTTCTTGAGCTTGGAAACGGTGCCTCCGCCCGGTTGCGCCCGGAGATCTGCTTACTGTACCGCGATCAAGTCTCCACAACGCTCTCCAAGGAACCGCGTACTCAGTAAGGCCGGGCCCGGTCCGGCTGATATCGTCTCTCCACATGGACGCGTTTGGAGCCTCAGGCGTTTCCTGATGCAAACCACCGACGCCCGTGTCGTCTCTCCCTCCAGACATCCGAGAGAAGGTCGAAGAGGAACACATGCGAGGCTTCCGCCCACGAGAAGCCAAACACTTGCACAAAGCCAACGTCGTGACTCTCGTGAGTTACGCGAAATCCCAGGGGTTGGACTGCAAACGCGGCAGGCACAGCCGTGATATCATTCGGTTTGTTGTGCGTACACGAATGCCTGCTGGGTCTCATGAATGTGGCTGACAGCAGCACGTTGCTTATAGAATGGTCCATCCGGTACCTTACCTATTGTGCTTCTGAGTGAAGATAACATCACTGGTTCCAGTGGTCTGTTGCCGTCGATGCACGCTGCTGTCTATACTCCTTCGTCCCAAATGAGTAAAATCCTCAACATGCGATCTTTCCACCTTGTGCTTCGAATTGGGGCCGGCAGAGAAGCTGGGTTCCAAGGACAAGTGCTGTACCACGGTGTGTATCGCGCCTCTGACGCGCAGTTACTGTTGCCTCCCGAGAGGCTCGCGTCGTTGTCTGCGGAGGTCAGTAGCCACGCACGTTCCTTGCTGCTGGGACACTTTCTGAACCACGCTTCCGTAGGATCGACGCAACATGCTTGATTTCTTCAACAATAGTCGACTCAAAGAAATGAAATCAAAGGCTGAAGGCCGCGGGGAGCCCAAACAAGATGTGGCGAATATTCCTGACGCAGATCTGGAGAAGCTGTTCGAAACGGGACAACAACGACTGGCGTTGATGGTGCTGAAGTGCTTGAGCTTCGACAGCACATTCTACAAAGAATTGATGCATGCGGACGCTATAACCCTCATTCCAGTCAAGACCGTTGGAAGGATATACCCGAACTGGGCCAAGTGTCATGCGGAAGAAATGGCGACCGCCGCGCAAGGGTTGGACGTCGGACGACGGTGATACGGTAATTACGATGTCTAAACGGACGTTGCGAGAAGTCTTGAACGTTATGTACTATGCTCACATTCTATGCCACTATGTCTATGCATCACCTTGTCTCGTGTTTGTCTGTCATAGCCAAATCGCTGTGGTGAGTACTTGCATCTAATTCCAACACGCAGTAACAGTCGTCATCCACGAAACGTAAGTAGCGTTCTGATTCATCAGCGTATGTTGGGACTGCGACCGCCCCGTTTACTGCACTTTCGTCTTGGGCCCCTCGACACGCTTCACCTTTAGCGCGCCGAAATTTGTGGCCACCCGCTTGGAGAACAGACCCATCAACACTACCGCGCACAGAGCACGGGCGTACTCCGGGTCCACAGGCTGCACCTTAGCGACCTCGGACGCCGAGTTACCCAACCACCCAAGCGTCACCGTATGAGCGTCAGCCCAGAACGGTTGGGCGTGCGTCAGAAGGGCGTAGAGACCTGTGATGAACGGCGCGGCCCAGAGATCCGTGGTCGTCCAGCCCCAGGGGAGCATCTCCGCGGGCGTGGTGAGCGTCAGTGCGTACGGCTGCAGGAAGGACATCGTGTTGACGATGAAGAAGCCGCCATTCGCAGTCACCTGAAATCAAGCAATGAATTGGCATCAGGTGCTATATGCTCAAAACACAGCACACCAACCAAGGATGTGACGAGCAGGGACCAGGGCGAGGTAGCCACAGCTTCCGTTGGGTGGCCCACGATCATGGGCGGGATGAGGTTGCACAGCAGGAATGCACGGGTGAAACCGTCCAGCAGCGAAACAGGCAGCTCCGTCTGGAACGATGGTGCGTGGACAGCGGGCAGCTTATCGACGATGGTTTGGACGGCCGCCCAGAGACCCATGCCAGCGCCCGATATCATGAAGGACGCGGGGATGCCCAGAGCCGGAGCTGGGCAAACGCATTCCGTCAATATACATGGCGATGCGGCAGTCAGCCAACTAACCCGATATCGCTTCCCCACCAAAGACCACCAGCAGCACAGCAGTCAGGTCCCTGACGAAGGACCTCTCTTGCACCTCCGGGACCGACGCGTCCTGCGTCGCAGCCTTCTTCGTGACGTGCTGTTTGTGCAGCTGCTCCTTGATCTGCCGCAGGGCGATACACGTCCTGAACGCCGCGGCGACGTCGAGAGCGGAGAATCGCAGCCCAAGCCACGTAAACGGCGCCAGTGGCTGCAGGGCCAACCTGTAGACCTCGACGATGGGGGCGAGGAGGAGATCCAGCATGGCTGCGAGCAAGTGCTTCACAACAAAAGGATGAAGGCCGTCCAGAGACAGGCCTACCTAGCGATGGATGTAGATGAGCAAGTTGTCCGCGGTCCGCATGTTGACCTCAGACATTCATATACGGCTCCCCGCATCGGTGTGGCGGCTCATGCACATGGCCCGAAGGCGAACGTTCAGCAAACGTTCGCCGAAGATTGTGCGGAACGTCATATGGGGTGAATGCATGCAGGTTCAATCATGGTACAATGGCGTAGTGGCTGTAACGGCCCTATACCGGGAATGTGAGGTGGTCTAACCAATCAACGGGTTTTCTCGTCTGTGCGCTGGTTCAAGGCCGTCCCCTCCAGAAAACTTGGTAGCTTCGGCTGTCCACCGCGGAAGCGGAGGCACGGCCTGGCGTAATCTGTCCTTGACTGGCCAGGGAAGCAATTCCGCAACCTGCAGGACGCGCCGAGTTAGTCTTAGGAGATCAGGACGAGCCGTCTGTTCGCGCAGATGATCCGTGCCCCTCATAAACCCTTTTGTTTTTGCTTTCTTCGAAGTTGTTTTGAAATGCTAGCGACTTCCCTCTTTCTGCGAGTTACGGATTCTCACCATACACGAGCAACAAATGAACACCACACAAGGTTCCAGGCGAAAGAAAACATCAAATTACAAGAAGTCGGAGTATAACTATGCACAAGGGCCCAATGCCGATATCCATCCACAGCAACCACGAATGTCCGTGCACGCTCCCATCTAACAGCACTTGCTGCCCTGGTTCGCGTTGGCGTCCACACTCGGCGCGACAGTAATCGAGTCGCCTGCTGATGGCTTGATCGGGTCCGCGGACTGCTCCAGCGACTTGCTCGATACGATGCGGTAGATGTCTATGAGATACAGTGAGCCAAGGGGCCTGAATGTTACCCCGGCGACACTCACCAGTGAGGATCGTCTGGAATGCAGACTCGACGTTGGAGGCGTCCAGCGCCGATGTCTCCATGAAGGACAGGTTGTTCTCGGCTAGGGCACACCTCAGTCATCGCCGTCAGAAGATCGCAGGCTGGCACGCACCGGCAAAGGCCTTTGCCTCGTCCGTCGGGACCGCCCGTAGGTGCTTCAAATCGCTCTTATTGCCGACCAACATGATAACGATGTTCGAGTCTGCGTGGTCGCGCAGCTCCTTCAACCACCGCGTGACGTTTACGTAGGTCTGGTGCTTCGAGATGTCGTACACGAGGAGCGCGCCGACCGCGCCGCGGTAGTACGCAGCAGTGATGGCACGATACCGTTCCTGACCAGCTGCAGGGGTGCCATGTCAGCGAGGTGCTCCGTACGATGATGGTCGCAGCGTAGTGGAGGATGTAGCCGCCCTCTCCTCGTGGCTCTGGCTGGCTGCATTACGCAAGCGGAGTGCACTCACCAGTGTCCCAGATCTGTGCCTTCAGTGTCTTGCCATCCACGGTGATCGAGCGGGTCGCGAACTCTACACCAATCGTTGACTTCGTTTCCAAGTTGAATTCGTTACGCGTGAATCGCGAGAGCACTGAGGGGCGGTAGCATGTCAACCACGATCAGAGCGCGGGGCGTATTTGGCACATACGGTTGCTTTACGAGAGCGCATGCAGATGCGATGTCAGAGCAAGCCAATGTAGTTAATCCGGGGAGGGGACGTACGACTTTCCGACACCCGAGTCTCCAATGAGGACGACCTGCACGGAACGAAGCCATATCAACCACCTGAGCTGGCGCGCAACCACACGCATCTACTGACCTTGAAGAGGTAGTCGAAGTTGCTTCCTTCAGCCATGGCAAATGTGCGTATGTAACAAGAATGCGGAAGTGGGCAGGAGCAGGTGTGAGCGAGGAGGCAAGAGTTCGTGCAGAGGAGACGCGGCGGAGCGAGGCAGCAGGGGCGGGGGCGGTGAGAAGGCCGGCGGACTTTCAACCTGTTGATACGCCTGGGCAATCGTTGCAGCCCACCCCAGCGCCTCCTCCCCTGTTTCGATCCTCTAACACCCTCTGTATGACTCTATCGGCCAGCCAGTAAGATGCTGCTCGCTGCAGGCTCGCAGCGTCGCCGCTGCGTGTCGTATACGGTACGCGTCTAAGGAAGGCTCAATACATGGAAATTCCTTGTCATGGATGGCATGATTTGTCCATCACTTCGCTCAAGGACAGTGCGTCTGCGGCCAAAGCGGTGTAAGACTGACATGTTATTGTCATACTCCCATCAACGGACTCCGAGGAGGACGTGATGTACTGAGATTCAACGACTTCACCTAGATCTCACTCAGCCACCACACCTTTGCTCCAGCAAAGTGGCGAGGCGGCTCGGGCAAACGCTCCGGGCAGCTCGCCAACCTGGTGCAGAAGCATAGCACGCGATCTCGATAGGAAGTGAAGACGCAATGCAAGGCGGATGCTGTGTCTTTCTCATCCGTTCGACTCTGCCGCCTCGCAGAACACAACCCACTCGTGTGTACTACAACAACCCGTAAGGTATGCCACTATTACAAGATTCGGCGCGGCTTGGCTTCCCTCCTCACCAGCCAAGGCGAAGGAGGTACTAGACTCCAGGATCGCGATGAGATGCGCGCCCGGACGGATCACACCCGACTGCCTCGGGATGACCGTCCGCCCTGGAGAACTACACTACATTACAGGCAACTACGGGATGCTACTCTAGCAAAAGCACCACAAAACCGTGCAAACCAAGCAACGCCGACGCCCCGTCACGACGGTATTTCGCTAGGCGATGGCATCACTCGAGCTGCTCGCAGAATAACCGCCATCGACCGACGCACCCTCGCGAACCTCCCGCAAGGATGCACCAGTGGATGGGAAGCTATCTGGATGGCCTCGGGCGAGCAGGAGGTCCAATTCCGTGGACCGAGCGAATGCGCAAGCCGCTGATCATGCACTTGGGGACGGGACAATGTAGTCATCAGTGCTCGCTCGAGTGGGCGAAGAGGAGGAAGAGGAAGACTCACAAACACCAGACCTCGCCGCCGCACCCGTTCGACCTGAGGGGATGATGAGGGAGAGGAAGAGAAGGGGGATGGCGGTCGAGCCACAAGGCTCGCTCTTAATACGCTGGACGGGCGAGGCGGACGGCGGGCGAGGGGCCAGCCTCCGACACCCAGTTTCTCGCTTCGATAGTGTCAGTCTCGCTTTCCGGAGGGTCGGTCCTTCGCGATTGAGCGTAGTATGGCTGGCTTCGCCGACTCTCCATCACGCTCAACGAGCGACGTATACCCCAAACCCAGTACTTCCTGATTCATCGAGCCATCGAACTTGGGGTGCTGTCGTACCGATGCCAATATATGGTCTGACTGTACTGGCACTTACGATGATACCCTGTTGGAGATGATCAACACACATTACGTGCGCAAGGTGACAAGGAACACGTATTGTTCTTCATCTCTCATGGTAAGTGCAGCCACTCAATGTTGTGACCGTTCGGATGTCACACATTGGCAGGAGTCCTTGCGAAGTACATCCTAACATTTTCGTAGCCAGAACCAATCGACGAGCCACTAGCGGAACAAATGCGATGATACACAGAACGGGTAGACGAAGACTACACCAAGTATCATACATGACACAACGAATCAACAAACTAGAATTACAAGACATCCACTGCCCTAGTCGACTACGGATACTTAGCCTCGTCCCCAGCTACGGGGCTGTGAAGTCGTCCAAAGCCTTGCTCGCGAGCCCGTCATCGCCAAACGACGAGTCCATCCCCGAGCCGCTGCTTGGCTCAGCGCCAGAAGAGAACGGTGTGTTCTTCCGAGAAGGCGGCTTCGTGCTAGGACCACTACCCGGCTTCTCCGAGGGCAGCGCCAGCCGCGCGTGTAGGGCCTCGTATAGTTCGCGTCGCGTCGGCCATTCCATGTCGTAGTTGCCACGCGCCGCAAGGCCATCGTAGTAGTCTCGGCGGACTGACGGTTCATCTGAGAATGCGCGACTGTAACTGTTCGGAATGTGAGTAATAGTGCATGCGCATCAGGCGATTAGGGACGCACCGGCCAGCAGCAAGTGCGGGGGCGGCAGCGGAGGCCAGAGCTGCGGCGCAGAACAGAGCAGAGTAACGCATGTCGATGAAGTAGGGGATCGAAGTGAGTCGTGAAGTGCGTGCAGTAGGACAGTGACGTAAAAATGCAAGGCTGGCGATGCCGTCTCGTCAGCGACGTCAATTGAAGACGGGAACTGAATGAACTCACCGACCAGCACCTTGCTTCGTTTGTGAGCTCGGAAAGTAAGAGTGAGCTGGAGTTGGAAGCAGAGAGATGCCCACCTTTATACCAAGCTGGTTCATAGCCGTGCAGTGTTACCGGAGAATAGCAATTGGCAGACTCACAAGCAAAACATCGTCCCATCTTACCTCTGAGCATCCGGCGGAACATCACATGGCCATCTACCCAGCTATCCAGTCTCATTCTGAGACGATTCAGATGCCGTGAGGGTCACAAGTATGTTACTTTCCGCGAGAATCGCCGACTGCAGTAGCACGATACTAACTCAGTATCACTGCTCAGACTTCGCTATCAAACAACCTGAACCGCTGTGATATTGCTAGGCTGCAGGATTTGTCTCATTGTGAGGCAAGCATGGAATTTAAGTCATGACTCGTACCAATAAAAAGGTTTTGCAAGGTCGCGAGGTACGCGTGCTTGGCATCCACGAAACGAAGTGGGAGTGAGCCGACGGTCGCTAGGATTGAATATTGAACCTCCGTGAGGTATGCTTGCATGCAACGGACATGGGCGCGGAAGTCCAGACAACGCACAAACTTTTGAGCTGCCTAGCGTGAAAAGCTCGGGGACAGTGAGGCGCCGTGCCTAATGACTTCCTACTCTACGCTGCTAGCGACAGCAGACGTAGATCGGCGGCTGTAGGAACCAAAAGCAGATGAACCTGTCGACTCGGAGATTATCCTGCTTGTACTGTGCGAGACATACTTGCGAGTCACTCAGACGAATCTGTGCCTGAATGACATACCATAACGCGGCGTCGTCATCACAGACAGACAGACCGAGACATCCTCCCTCGATTAAGACACCATCATGATACGTACCCAGGATTCGAGTGATGACTCGGACAGACACGGTCCCAAACACACGCCAGCGCAGCGTGGAAGGTCTCGACTCGAGGCTACTCACTCAACGACTTGCATCCTCTGTAAAAGATGTACAGTTGGCAAGTTCATGGTGGAAGCAAGTGCGTAGGTCACGGTGAACACCAAGTGAACACTGAACGCCAGAGCACGAACAAGCACGATCACGTGGGCGTGTCAAACAGTTGGAAGTGAACGCGTAGAGCCACTGGCGCCGGAGGATATCCACTCATGCCTTGAACGCGTTCGCGATGTCCATCAGTATACAAGACACGATGTATGTCTACAAGATTTGTTTTTCTTGCTGAACAAAGCTGAGCTGGTTTATACAGAAAAGCCATTCGGGAGATGATCCCAATCATAGATCCTGAGGAGGACTACCTCACGATCGCAGCCGCTGAGGAGCAAATGTCAATAACAGAGGAGGAGCGCAGGAAGGAGATGGAAGAGGCGCAGTCTCGCGTGCGCTGTCAGTCTTCAATTTGGCCGCTGATGTTCTTGTGCGACCATGTTTAACCTGTGAGCAGCCCTTGCACGAGTCCTTGAAGCGGCGCGAGTGTCCTCTACGCGGCCGTCGACGCTTCCCTCCGCCGAACAGCATGCGGCGATGCTGAACGAGCTGGATGAGACACGACTGTCAATGATCAAGGCTATCAATGACGCTGAGGGTGCACTTGCTGGGAAGGAAGCTGAGTTGGCTCGCGTTCAAGAGGAACTACGCAATTTGAAGGAGTCAGATCCATCTTCAGAGCACAATTTGGATGCCACCGTGTAAGTCTCTTCGTTACTCTCATTATGGCCCCTTCTCAATCGCCTGTATCCATCAGTCTACGTCTGGCCATGTACAAAGGACTAGGTTTTGAACCTGTCCTGGGACGGGACGGGCGCGTCGCGAAGATGCTCGTTCGTGCGTCGCCAGAGTTTCTATCACATTCGACCCCTCGCTCATCTTGCTTACTACCCCAGGGTCCATGACGGGCGACGTACATTGCGTCAACTTTGACCATACAAAGTCTGACGCGGAATACGCTGATCTATTGTGGAAGCTTGCCTCGTCATAACGGGTTGCTCTCCCAATCACGTAAAATGGGAGGGGGAGGGCGAAGTGGAAGCATGGAGAACCAGGGATATTTGCTTAGACTGTGTACATTCATAATGTTGTACTCATACTTACTGTATTGGCTGCTACAGCAACCAGCGACACCTCAGAATGCAAGATATAGTGTCAAACGAAGAACGTGATGCTATATGTATAACGACAGTGCAACAACATGAAGCATTCAAGAGATGTCTCAAGCCAACCCATGAGCAGCCTATGTCATCAGTGTCAGCTTGGGTCAACAAGGGCATGGAAACTGACTGGGACTGACCTTCACCTCGGGCCTGACGATCCAGATCTTCTGCGTTTTGCTCTTCTCACCAACCTCCTTCACCTTCGCCTCGATCGCATTCTTCTTGACTCGCTGCTCGCGCAAGTCTTGATATACGCTCTCAACGATGTACGCCAGGTTGCTGGTGGCGAGCGTGTTGATCTTGGCCAGGAGTACCGGTAAGTGTGCTTCGGGGAACGCGGTCTTCGGCGCGGGCACGGGCTTCTTCGGTCCTCCTGGTCCGGCGGTCGTCGATGATGCCGCGGCACTGGTAGGGGTAGACGTAGCTTGCGTGTTCGGGCCAGCAACTCGAGATGGAAGGGCGGGTACGGCGAAGTCGGCGCGCTCCTTTATTGTTGTTGAAGCGGTTGGTATCTCTACGGGGGCAGCGACATACGTGAATGGATCAATGGGATAAGGGGTGTCTGGCCAAGCGAGACCTATAAGCACTCGAAGCATTCGGGACACGAGGGATGCGACGCACCATTGAATAGTTCGATCCGATATGGCTCGAAGGGCTCGTAGCTACACCGACCAACGGTTGACTCCCAGCATGGGCCCTTTGTGAATGGCACCAAGGGGATGACAACTTTCCGCTTCTTGCTCTGTTTGCTTGCTTCCAATGTCGTCTTCCGCTTAGACGGAACGTAAGGGACGTCCAGCAGCATCAAGTCCGGGCTGTCAGCACGCCGCTCTTCCACGGGCGTGCCTGGGTCCTCAACCTCATCATCATCCACCAACCAACTGTCCGTGTCGGAGTCGTCTTCGCCTTCGCCGTCACCCGCCTCCTCTTCGTCTGCATCTTCGACGACGTCATCGCCCCCGCTCTCTTCCTCTCCTTCCCATTCTTCCGCACTGTCATACCCGTAATCCAGAGCGAGCACGTCCCGGCCAAAGGGCGCACGAGGCCCGACCTCCCGGGAGCTGCGAGTCCACGTTCCGAAGTAGCCTGGGCGGGCATCCTCCGTGAAAATGAGCACTTTCACGGGCGTCGCTCGTCGGTCACGTAACACTGAAAGCAGTGCGCGAACCGTGTCGTCGTCACCCGTCACTTCTGCCTCAGTCAATTGAGCCATGATGGACCGGACGGAATGTGCAGAGTAGGTCTTCATGTGAGACTGAGGTTGCCGTCGGCGGGGTATTGGACAATGGGAGATGTGGGGCTGAGAGATAATACGCTGTAGACGTTCTGTAATACAATATCTGAGAATCCTGCCTACGGGACGACGATGAAGACGCACCATTTGCATCCATTCGACTGACGTCCACGTCTGACCCGGATGCCTTGGGTATCTCTTCTTCATCCAACACAATGACATCGCCTTCGGTCCGCACGTTACTAGCATAGCGCCGTCCTCGTGCCTGTTCAAACCAATTCAAGGGTGCGATCTCCGCATCCTTCTTCACGACAAACGGTCTGAACGTCTTGGCAAAATCTGATTGACTCGTTGACGGACCCGCCGTCTGTGAGTTGCCAGTCTTTGCAGATCCCGATGAATCAGATCGCTTCGCAGGGGCAGCCTTGGCTTTACCGAAGAAGCTAGCCATTATGGACCGTGACTTGCTTCGTGCCTCCTGCTCCTTCTTCTCCTTCTCTGCCTTGGCTGCCTTCTTCTCAAGCTTCTCCCTTTCCTGTCAGGAGGGTCATCCTCCTAGACTCTCCGTTATTGAGGGTGTTGCGTACCTTTACCGCCTTCTCGGGGTCCACAGATTTCTTAGGTCTGCCTGGGCCCTTGGGCGTGCCGACCTTCTCCTAGATGCATAATGCATGAGCAAGTTGAGTAGTAGTGTGGTCTGGTGTCACTCACCCCCTCTGCATCCTGCGGTTGCGACTGAGCTTTGGATTCATTTTCGGCTTTGTCAGGAGTATCAACCTCTTCCGCGCTCTGCACGCTCGGCTTCGCCTTCAGAGGTGTCCTAGTCGTGTTCTTGGTGCCGAGCAAGCTACTGCGCGCGTCGTCTGATAGCGTGCCGAACAGGTCTTGAACGTCTTGTTTCGCCTGGTGCAAGTCAGTCAACGCTTGTCTATATGACTGGCAAGTACACATACCTGTCGCCGCTCCGCCATCCGAGCTTCGAGCTTCTCCCTGACTGCTTTGGGCAGCCAATCCATATGCTGATCCTTGGTCTCCCACCTCCAGATGTTTAGCGCAGCAGGGACCTTGCCCATTCCCTTGGTACTCTCAAGCCCATAGTTATTCCTTGTGGCCACCGCCTTGATAGCTCGTTCAATGGCATCGAGAGGGAGGACGGAAGATGAATCAAGGATGATGCCATCGTCTTCATGGGTTGGTAGCAATTCGCCCTGTATATGTTTGGAGAGTGCATGGATAGTCTTGTCGCTATGTGACGAATATCAGAATAGTACAGTAAGACAGCGGATGTTCATACCTCTCATGCACTAGTTTGACGACCAGAGGTAGATGTTCATCTGGTATCTTCGGCAGGGCATCTTCCTTCCGTTCCATTCGACCTTCAATGAATTCGCGGAATCTAACGATGCCTGCCACGTGCCAGCAACATGCATCAGCACTTCAGTAGCAGAGACCAAGAGCGTACATACCTTGCATGGTTTCCGACATCTTCTCCAGAGGCAGTGGTTTCTGTTTGAAGACCAGCTTTCCATTCTTGAGCTCGACTAGTGATGCCTTGTCGGATTTCTCTGTGTGCTGCTCAGAACACGTCGTGAGTCTGAATATCATGTACAGTTCTAACCGGCTGCATCCGTGAGGTCCACCACGGCTAAGGGGTCTTTTGAGTCTATAGAGCATTCATGATACGTAGCCCACGTACTTGGCTGAGTGTCTGAGGCGGACATTTCGCGACAGAGCCAGGAGAGCGCGTTCAGTGATGAGAGATGTGGAAGTCGCGAAGAGACGGCCGCGCGCGTCGACCCGAGTCGCGTCTTGTCACCGTGTGACAGACTTGTGACACCTCGCGTTCAGACGCGTCGCTGTGACCAGCCACGGCCTGCCAGTGAGCGTGTACAGTAGTCGCGTCCACGCCAGTTGCCAGTCGACCTCATAACATGTCTTTCTTCCAACCGCAAACTAGGTCTGCACCACAGAAGCAAGCTGCTGACCCACAGCATCAGCCATGGGTCGAGAAATAGTCAGTCTCTCTGCGGCGGCGCTCCTGTAATGTACTCATTGCATACTGGTAGTCGTCCGAAAACTATCGACGACGTCTCCGCTCAAGAACACACGGTTGCTGTTCTCCGGAAGACGTTGACATCCTCAAATGTGCGTGGTATTGATTGTCCTTGAACCGTTCGGCACTCACAGATAACCGCTAGCTACCGCACATGTTGTTTTATGGGCCACCCGGTACGGGCAAGACATCCACTATTCTTGCGTTGTCGCGGCAGCTATTCGGGTATGACCACCACTCTCAGCTGTCTATATTGTATCTTACATATCTTCGTCAGACCTGATAACTTTCGTTCGAGAGTGCTAGAGCTAAACGCGTCCGACGAGCGAGGCATTGCCATCGTCCGCGATAAGATCAAGAACTTCGCGCGGCAGACACCTCGCGCACAAGCTGTTTCGTCCGACGGCAAGACGTATCCCTGCCCACCATACAAGATCATCATCCTCGACGAAGCGGACTCCATGACGCAGGATGCACAAGCAGCTCTGAGGCGAATAATGGAGACGTACGCTCGAATTACACGCTTTTGCCTCGTATGCAACTATGTCACCCGGTGAGTTAGCCTCCCGCATGAGAAGACGCTTTCTGACGACAAGGGTCAGAATCATCGACCCCCTTGCCTCTCGATGTTCAAAGTTCCGGTTCAAACCTCTCGACTCTATGTCCACTTCCACTCGTCTCGCCGAGATTGCATCTAAAGAAAATGTCCCCGTCACCGACGCTGTCATCTCTGCGCTCATTGATACCTCCCATGGTGACCTTCGCCGTTCCATCACATACCTCCAGTCTGCCTCCCGCCTCTCGATGTCAACAGACCCTCCAACGGACATCATACCAAGCGACATCGAGGAGATTGCAGGCGTCGTGCAATCCTCTGTAATCAATAACCTTGCAACCACGTTGGGCGTCGAGCTAGTTTCTAGCGATGCCATGGACGTGGACAGTAGTAACGGCGTAAAAGCGAAGGGCTTTGACGCAATCAGGAAGACGGTGAAAGGAATCATTCGACAAGGATACTCAGCCTCGCAGATCATATCTCAGGTAAGCCCACTTGTACTCGCTGACCATCTTCAGCGCATTGATGGACTTTCTCAGTTGCATGACCTCATCATCGAGCATCCTACACTATCGGGAAGGCAGAAGGCTAAGTGTGCTTTGGCGTTCGCTGAGGCGGACAAAGCCCTCTGTGACGGTGCCGACGAAGAACTCTGGATCCTTGAGGTTGCTCTGAGAGTGCACAAAGCACTGTCGACATGACAGCAGCCTTTCTCTTCCGAGTCTTCGTGCCCTTCCTTGTAGCCTTAGTCTGTTGTCATCTCTGGCTTTTACTGTCGCGCTCTATACCTTGCTGCCAACGCACTCTGCCCCCACACAAGCAATCAAGATGCATCTCGCAAGAGTCGTCACTATTATGAGTACAACAGTACGATGCAAGGACGGACAGCTTCGTTTTGTATGTCACAGATGCACGACATTCAAGCAGGTAGGACGTGAAAAGACATGATGAGACAGACAGCTATGCTACGACCGCAACCACAACACTCGCCAACAACCATCGTCACTCAGCCTTACCGGAGACCGGCGGTGGCTTTTTGGAGCGCACGCTTGATGCCCAGCTGCGCCTTCCGGAGCTCGTCCGCCGACGAGTCCTCGATCTCGAGCTTCTCCATCGCACGCGCGAGCTCCGCCTCGACCTGCGCCTTCGCGCCGCGCTTGAGCTTCATGCCGATCTCAGGCGACGTGATCGTGTTCTCGACCTGGTGGATGTAGCTCTCAAGGTCGGACTTGGCCTCGTGCCGTGCGGAGAAGTCCTTGTCCGCCTGCTTGAACTGCTCTGCGTCCTTGACCATCTGCTCGATCTCAGCAGACGAGAGACGGCCGACCGAGTTCGTGATGCTGATCTGCGCCTTGCGGCCGGATGCACGGTCCTGAGCGGTGACCTTGAGGAGACCGTTGGCGTCAACCTCGAAGGTGGTGACGAGCTCGGCCTGACCACGGGGCATGGGCGGGATACCGGTGAGCTCGAACTCGCCGAGCAGACGGTTGTCGCGGCATTGCGTGCGCTCGCCCTCGTATACCGGGAAGGTGACAGTCGTCTGGTTGTCCTCGACCGTCGTGAATGTCCGCGACTTGTTGGTAGGGATCGGGGTGTTACGGGGAACGACGACACCGAAGATGTCGCCCTGCATGGCGACACCGAGCGACAAGGGAGCGACATCGAGGAGCACAAGGTCCGCGGTCTTGTCAGACGTCTGGCCAGTGAGAACGGCAGCCTGGACAGCGGCACCGTAGGCAACAGCCTCGTCGGGGTTGATCGACTTGTTGAGCTGACGGCCGCCGAAGTACTCGGAGACGAGCGACTGGACCTTGGGGATACGAGTCGAACCACCGACAAGGACAATGTCGTCGACCTTCTCACGGGGCATCTTCGCGTCCTTCAGTACCCGCTCGACAGGATCAATAGTCGACTTGAAGAGAGGGGCGTTGATCTCCTCGAAACGAGCACGGGTGATGTTCGCTGAGAAGTCCTCGCCCTGGTACAGCGAGTCGACCTCAACCGTGGTCTGGGTCACGCTGGACAGGGTACGCTTGGCACGCTCGCAGGCGCTGCGCAACCGCCTCAGGGCACGGGCATCGTCGGAGATGTCGAGCTTGGTCTTGCGCTGGAACTCCTTCTTGAAGTGATCGAGCAGGTTGTTGTCGAAGTCCTCACCACCAAGGTGAGTGTCACCGGCAGTCGCCTTGACGGCGAAGACACCACCGGTGATGTTGAGCAGGGAGACATCGAAAGTTCCTCCACCAAGATCGAAGATGAGGACGTTCCGCTCGCTGGTAGAGGTACGGTCGAGACCGTAGGCAATAGCGGCAGCCGTGGGCTCGTTGATGATACGGAGAACGTCAAGACCAGCGATGGTACCGGCATCCTTGGTAGCCAAACGCTGGGAGTCGTTGAAGTATGCAGGGACGCTGATTTCTTTGCATGAGGCGAGGCTTTTCATGGGTGAAAAATTGCAGACTTACGTGACCACGGCCTTCTTCACGGTCTTGCCGAGCTTGGCCTCCGAAATCTCCTTCATCTTGGTCAGAACCATGGATGAAATCTCCTGCGGGCTGAAGGTCTTCTCCTCGCCAAGGTATTCGACCTTGATCAGAGGAGAACCGTCCTTCTCAACGACCTCGAAGGGCCAGTGTGTCATGTCCTTCTTGACGTCGGGGTCGCTATATGGCGCATGAGCGGCCGCTTATTAGCAGAGCGATGGGGGCAGAGCTTACTCAAATCTCCGGCCGATGAGACGCTTTGCGTCGAAGATCGTGTTCTTGGGGTTCATGGCGGCCTGGTTTTTTGCGGCATCGCCGATCAGACGCTCCTCGGAGGAGAAGGCGACGTAGGACGGTGTCGTGCGGTTACCCTCTGCTCAGACGGTGAGTGTCGCTCCCTGCAGACAACATCCAATACGCACGGTCGTTGGCAATGATTTCGACCCGGTCGTTTTGCCAGACACCTACGCAGCTGCAAGGAGAGTTAGCATCCATGCGCCGCGATCTCCGGCCGGAGAGCTCACGAGTAGGTGGTTCCGAGGTCGATACCGATAGCACCGTCGAAGATGTCCTCCATTTTTTGGGCTGGGAAGGGAGAATGAGCGAAAGGGACAGGGAGGGGTGCGAGGCAGAGAAGGAGGCGGTGAAGATGCGAGCGAGGAGAGGGCAGTAGAAAAAAATCGATGCCGCTGAGGTAAGCGGAGCAGGCGCGCATCCTCGCGTCGCCATTCGCCGCGGGCGCGTCTGCCTCTTGCGCTGGCTCCTGGCTCACGCTCCTGGTGGCGGCCTCACACCATGTCCCTCCCAGCAGCCCACGCACGCCTCGCCGCCCGCGCACGCCTCGCCGCCCATGCACGATCCTCGCGGGCCACGGCCGCAGTGCCCACCGCAGCCCAGCTCAGCCTCAGGCGCGGCATGTCCGCACCAGCCTCGGACCACCCGCCTCTCGAGACCCAGGAGGACTGGACACAGTTCCAGCTCCAGAACGCTGAATACGAGTCTCTCAGTGGGTCCTATCCGCACCACCCCCAAGTCCGCACTGACCGCTCCCAGTCTCCTTCTACTCGGACTTTGGCTCGACCCAAAAGCGCGAGAACAGCTTCCAGCCGCACCACCCTCTCCACCGACCGACCCCTGGACAGAGCCTCACCGTCTCACATCTCCTCGCCGCAGGCGCTCACATGGGCCACTCGCAGTCGCTCATGAACCCCCACTTCCTGCCATATGCATACGGTGTGCGCGCGGGCATCACTGTCATCGACCTCGACCATACCGTGCCCCTGCTCCGGCGCGCCGCGCAGGTCGTGCGAGCAGTCACCTCGAGGGGTGGCTCGGTCATCTTTGTGGGCACAAGACCAGACCTCCGCGCGGTCGTACGGAAGGCGGCAGAGCGTGTCGGCGAGAGGGCGTTCCACCTCGGCGAGAAATGGTTCGCCGGTACTCTGTCGAACAGATTGGAGATGTTCAACCTCGTTCGAACGGAGGTCAAAGAACAGCTCATCCCTGACCTCGTCATCTTCCTCAACCCCATTCCGAACCTCTATGCGATCAAGGATTGCTCTGCCCACCATGTCCCGACAATCGCTCTCGTGGATTCGAATGTGGACCCACGAGTCGTGACGTACCCAATACCTGCGAACGACGAGAGCACGAGGACAGCGGAACTGGTCGCGGGTATTCTGAGCATTGCGGGTCGCGAAGGTGTCGCACTGCGTCGCGAGGATTTGGAGCGACAAGCAGCGCGCGCAAAAAAGCTGCAGAGAGTACGAGAGGCGGCCCTCAGTCGCGGGCAGCCAGAATAGAGTAGATATATTATATTCATCTAGTCACTACTGGGTTTACGCGGAGGTGCCAGCACCTGACGTCTGGATTTCGTGCCAGTATTCTGTCGGTGCGCGTTAGCATCGTTGACTGCGAGACGGCTACCAACAACATACGTTCAGCTCTTTCCAACGCCCTGACGTTGCCCTTCAGCTTGTTGATTGTCTCTATATACTCGTCTTCTTCGACACTGTCGTAGACAATTCCACCTCCTGCTTGCAGGTAAGCCACACCGTCCTTGAACGTCATAGTTCGTATCGCGATGCAGGTATCCATCTCGTCATCCGCGAAGTCAAATCTGCCAACTGCTCCTGCATATACCCCACGCCGCTCCTTCTCGAGCTCGTAGATGAGCTCAATCGCCTTAATTTTTGGAGCACCTGAGACTGTGCCGGCTGGGAAGATGGAACGAAAAGCGTCGAATCTAGCGGACATGAGTCAGTGCTCCAGCATGGTATCGCAAAGGCGCCATACCTCGTTTTTCCCTCCCGAAGCTGGCCAGAGACCTGGGACGTCAGGTGTGTAACGTGGCTGAACTTCTCTAGCCGCATGAGGTGGTCAACCTTGACGGTGCTCGGTTGGCAAACACGGTTGACATCGTTGCGCGCAAGATCGACCAGCATGATGTGCTCTGCTCGGTCTTTTTCCGAAGACAACAACTGCTGTCCCAGCTGTTCATCCTCTATGCATTTTGTCGAAGGTTTCAGAGATTGTCAAGCAACATATGAGCTGACCGACCTTCGATTGACAGACCTCTCCGAACGGTACCCGCGATGGCGTGGTTGAACACTTTGTTTTTCTCCACCTTGCAGAGCGTCTCCGGACTGGCACCGACCAATTGCAGCTCGCCACAATCCAGATAGAACATATATGGGCTCGGGTTTACTCGGCGCAGATGGCGGTAGGCGTTGAATGGGTGCAGAGTCGTCGGCCTCGCGAGCCGTTGCGAGGGAACAGCCTGGATGATGTCGCCCGCCACGATGTGCTTCTTTAAATCAGTGACAAAATGCTCGTAGCCCTCCTTCCCCACGTTCGAGACAGCCCTGTTACCAAGAACGATTGGCGGCTGCGGGACCTCCGGAAGCGATGAACTCAGCACCATCTTCGCCAGCCTCCGTGCCTTCGCTACAGCGGTCTGGTAGATGAAGGACAAGTTTACGGCGCCCGCGGTGCTAGGACTGAACACATGGGAGACGACCTTGACACTCTGGTAGAGGTGGTCGTAGATGAGGAGCGTGTCGACGAGCATGAAGATGGCCTCTGGGATACCGAGGGTGTCATTCAGCTCGCGCTTCGTCTTCGGCTCGAAATGCTGGATACAGTCGTACGCGACATAGCCAATCGCGCCGCCGGTGAATGTGGGCACCTCGGGGAGCTTCACGTATCGGTAGACGTTCAGCTCCTTCTGCAGGGCTGCCATGGGGTCACCCGTGTTCTCCTCATTTGGACCTGTCCGAATCACCTTGAACGGGTCTTTGTGCAGCGTCCAGTCAGTGCTGTCAGACAAGCCCGAGTCACGCTGAGTACTCACCTGCCCCCATGAAACTGTACCGCGCGATCTGCCCGCCTGCTACGACCGACTCGAGGAGGAAGCTGTACTTCGCATCCTTAGCTATTCTCAAGTACGCAACACATGGTGTCAAGAGATCGCCAGGGAGTTCGACATAGACAGGGACGCAATTGCCGCGCTTCTCCTTGAGGATGATCTGCTCGACGGTGGCTAGCGGTGGGTAAGCGGGTAGTTTCTTTATGACCACGTTACATTAGGTGCATATCCAATTCAAATGGTGCGGATGCTCACTTGTGGGTCGACAGGCATGGCGAGGATGCGACGGTCGCGGGAAATGCTTGTGTGCGGACGGATGAGTGCATGTTTATGTACGCGATTTCCATTTTGATCGGGCCAGATCTCGAGTCAGACGCGATCATCCTCAGCCACATCCCTGCCTCAAAGTTGCAGCCACCTTGTTTGCACCGGCGAACACCTCCATCACTCGGACAGGACTCTCCGCCCACCCTAGTCTGAAACCCATTTGTTGTGGCGGCGTGTAAGTCAAGACAAATGGCTCAATACCGCCTTGTTTTTTGCATGAAGTCTACCATGTACTGAATCAATGAACAGCCGTATACCGCGCCTTCGTCACATACGACATGATTACACCGCGCTTTTCCTGCAGTCAGACCGAGATTGAGGTCATCGTCAAGATGTACTGCCCCTCCGTTAGGGTATGACCTCGCTACTGCGTCTGCGTCTCCGATCGCTGACCTGTCTGGCCTTCGAAGTAGGCGTCTGACGTTGAGATCAACATCGACGAGACGCTCTTCAGCGTCCACGTGAACCCATACTTCCTGCGCTTGAGCTTTCCTCATCCCCTCAAGGGCGACGAGGACGCCTCGGCGTCGTATGATGCAAGCTCGGGGTACCTAACTGTCACCCTAACAAAAGAAACGCCGGGTCAAGAATTCAAAGACCTCGACTTGCTAGCCAAGCTGCTTGCACCCCGTCCGACTGAACAACAACAGCCCGTGATCGAAGTGCTTTCCTCGGAAGATGCAACTGCGGACGCCGAAAATGACATCGACGAGGAGCTGGCTCAACGGGCGCAGCAACTCACATTAAAACAACAAGAAATCCTGCGAGGTGAGACAACCGCCCTGTTCACGACCAGAGGCATGCTCATACGTGATGTAACGTAGCTGCAGAGAATGATTGGCAGCTACCACAGGAAGTCCCCGAGCCTCTTCCTCAACTGAAGACAGCACCAGACTACCGGTACGGCTTCATGGACATGCATACAGGTTACCTCAGACACGTCGCACATACCGAAAATGAGGTCAACGAGCTCGGTGGCGATGCTGAGACGTGCCCACCAAGTGAACGCCGGGAGCGGCGCCTGAAACACGAAGACGAAAAGTGGGACGAAGAATACTATATGTATGTAGGTCAGCCGAACATGGTCAAGTGACATAGCCGACGGTCGTGGTCGAGCAGGGCAGATTACGTCGAAGATGAATACATCCAAGAGCTATTGCACTGGCAGAATCCACATACCGGTGTGTCCGATGACGACTTCCAATACAGCGAGGAAGAAAACGCGACGATGCTCCGTCTTCCTCGGAAAGAATGTAAGTGGGCGTCGGAACAGCGTCTGCCTTTTTCGCCGGTTGACGCTGCCGCCAGACCTCGCCACACCACAGCAGACGCACAACCTGTACCTCACCCTTGTCACACTCCTGTTTTCCTACGCGTATGACTGCCGCACCACCCAACATGACCCGACACCCGAGAGCGCCTGGACACTGAGTGTCCTCACCCCAGCATTCTCCGCGCTCGATCCAGCGCCATACTCTGCCGACCCGCCACCCCCCAATCTGTCCAGCTTCTCTACGCAAGAATTGTCGGCAACATTCGCTGCGTCCTATCGTCGTGCGCTCGCCTTCCCCCTATACCGCTCCTGGAAATTGGCGGAAAGGTGTCGCGCGGACGTCGCGGCGCTCCTCGGACGAGGTAAACGGGTTGTCGCGAGGTGTCTGTTCGAGATGAAGCATGTCCTCGACCACCACGAGGTATACTACGTATACAGCAAGGTATGGACCGACGACTTCTGCGTCTGGACACTAGCATATGCAAGGTAACCGTAACTGATCCGTCAACGTGTCAATTTGTTTGTGTATGCTGACGCGCCGGACTAGTGACGAAACTCTGCGTGAGCTGGCGGCAGCGGTGAAGCTGCTGAACATGGAGAAGGCGATGATCGGTTGGGATATCGACGACCTAGAGGGGTCGGCCCGGGAGGCGATGGAAAGGGAGCCCGACAGCGATGACGAGTCCGAGTCCGAGATCGAACGCATGCTCCCTGCGCCTTTGTAGACATCAACGCTTTCTCCCCCGTGGATGTTGACAATCGGCGATGTCTGCACTCCTATCGCTGGCGTCTGCCTGTACTCCTGATTCAGGTCGGTAAGAACTCGTCTTTTTTAGATCGCGCTGCGTCTGTCTCCGGGGCCCGACTGTCAAGAAGATCGGTCGGCCGCCTTACTGAGAACTCGATCGCCTTGCTTCAGAGCCGGTCGTTCAACATCGCCGCTGCGCATATCCACCTCTCCGTCCTACAAGGAGAATTGCATTTGTACAAAGAAGCAAGCTTTCAGCCCAGCCTGCTCTCACGAGATCGAGAACCCCGCAGATGCCGGGTTGCTGCAATCTATTCCCTTGGGTGCTCTTGTCTGCATCTTCAAAATTGTTTACCCGTGACGCTGAAGGCCGCTCGAACGACTTCGACAGATGGGCGTGAAACCCGTTGTGGCATGGTGGGTGAGAATGATGTTCTTGCTTGCTCCTCCGCCGTCGATATAGCCATCATCTCGTCTTCTTTGCATCGCTCATCAGCAACAGGATATGTCGTATCTGTCGATGATATGCAACACGTGTGAGATGGGGCTCGACAGCAAGATTCCTTCTCAACGAAGATAGAAGGTGACTCCCACCGTTGTACATATACATACGTCCAGAGTACTGATCATAAGGACCAGCTAATTTCCGCGAATACACTGCATTCCTTGTTCCCAAAGGAGGTACGAGAGCAAATACGGATCCATCATTCCCTTCGGTAGGTCAGGTGGACGAATTCCCGCATTCATTCTGTCAATGTCAGAAAACAAAAAGGCTTTGGCAGATGGATCCCCGTACCATAGCATGCCTTCGAGGCTGCCGGGATGTGGCCCGACTCGGGGCTTTAAGCCATTTGGACACGCGGTTGTCTTTCAATGTGCGCTGTCACACCGCCCAAGTGACGTCGTGGTGAGTTTCTTGGCTCCCGATCTGCATGCATGGCACTATGCATATATGGTTCGAACATGGATGGCCGATGAACGGGCGGGAGGAGGCTTGGACCTGCGCCAAACGAATTCAGAGAACAAAGGAGCTTTCATTTCATATCGCAAAACACAAAAGGTTACCACGGTCCAACCGTGCATAGGTCGGCCCACCGCAGAGCTGCCTGCTTCATGGTGCGAACACATGTGGTGTCGAGCGTCCTTGTCTTCGTGGGCGGGCCGTGGCGGACGGAGAGTCGTTCCGCCTGCGTAGATTTGGATCTCCAGACTCTCGGGACCGAGAGATTGATCGGCGCCTGTCGTTGGACGCTCCTCTGGCTCCAAAACGGTCCGGGACAGCGGAGAGTTGGTGTTCTTTGTCCGGAGTTCATGCGCGCACACCCATCGCGGGCACTGTCGCCTTGTGCGTGACAAGCCTGAGGACGGAGCATCGGGACGGGTCATACGATGCACGTCTCACGTACGGCGGCTGAAGGGATCATAGTACACGCTATCGAAGGCACATCGTATGGGTCAAGTGAGCTACTGGGAGTCGGGAACCAGTACATATAGCGGTGGGAAGCGGGCGGGAAATTCGCGCAGTGAGTTCAAATCTTGTGCGATGCCTTACTTGGGACGTGCAGGGGGCGTGCTGCGGAGAAGAGAGGTATAGTGGGCTTAAAGTGGACTGTAGAAGGCGTGAAGTAGCGAGAAGTAGAGCCAGAAGGTGAGTATTAGCTTCAGCACGGACCCGCATGACGCTGTCGACACCGATCTCTTCCGAGGTGACGACAGAAAGGCTCGGGACTGAAAAATGTACTTTCTCCCTCTTTCTGCAACGACAGTACTGTCGGATGGTCCGAGGGTCACGTATAGCATCCGAAAATATGGCTACCAATGTCACGCACCAACACGTTGCCTTGCCCACTGCGTGCATTCCAAGCATATTCCTTCCTGGGCGTTCCGGGAACAAGAAGGTGGATGAGCAACTGTTCTGATTTCCAAGACCATACCGCCGGCAGCACACTTCAGACCACCCTAACGAGATGCTTCCCACTCAGCGAACCCTGCCGCATGCATTACGAGTCGATAGCCACTGATATGCTTTCATATTGGTCAGCGATTACGATCTGTGCGAAAGCAAGCTTACCTCGAAGGCGATGGGAACCGTCTTTTGGCCAGCCCGACGTTCTGCTCTGTCATGGCACGTACGCCGTCTATTTCTAGTTGACGGCCATCTCGGCGATTCGCACAGCGTCGACTGGAATGTGCATAGCCGTGGGCGAGTCTGTGAAAGCGCACAACCGTTTTCCAAAAAGCCCAGTTAATCATGTTCCAGGATGGTATCAAGGGGGAGCTTTTCAGGATGGATGCTGCATCTCAACTTGACCGATTAAGTGATGACTGAACAAACCTAGATCCAGCCCATCTCGAGTGAACAGCCTTGCAGAGTAATATTCACAAGTAGGTTGAGGATCAAGTAGCCACTTCTACATACCTTGACGTGTCACTTGGCCGATTGACATGAATTATTCAAATTGGCTTTGCGTTGTCAGCGAGCCACCGGTGGCAGGTAACCTTCCTTCGAGCACGATCCCTACTAACAGTGACACGAGCCTGAGTGCGAGGGTCGACGGTCGCACTCGGACAGGTGTGGGGCACCTCCGGTCGACTCATCTAACGGTTACGCGTCGTGTTCCCGCCTCGCCACCCCAAGCACCAACGACGGCCCGGAAGCTTATGCCCAGGAGGAATGATTGCGGTACCGTATCCCAGCGCGCCGCGTCCACCTGCAAGTGGCGATTCGCGAACGCTTCCTCCGCCGCACGGCTTGTCGTGAATGATAATACGCATCCATTCGCGGCGACCCGGACCCGCCTGGTGTCTCCGTCAGTACCCACTCGGGCGACAACATCGCCCAACGCGGTCTCCCTGCGAGGGCACGGGCGTCAGCGTATACGTTCTCGCGTACCGACTGACATATCGAAGGGAAGACGACGTACGACAACACCGGAGCTTTGATTCGCATCGTCACGCTCATGACCGCGCGCGACGCGTGTCCCGCGCCGCGTCTTGCGTGCACGTAGTCGCTGTCCTGCCGCGCGACGATCAGATCCAAGCAGACGCGTCGCGAGCAGCGATGGGCGCGGCGCCTCGACGGGCTTCGAAGCAGGTTGAGGAAGCGTGACAACCCTGGCATAGCGACTCCGGTCTTCGACTTCGCTGATGGCGGCGTCAGGGCTCCACGGAATTATCGATGGTGCATTACGACTACGGGAGAAGACACACTTCGGAAGGTGATAGATACAGAAGGCGTGACAGAAGGCGTGCCATGGAGCACATTAGCCGGGGACGTAACTCGTACAGTGGACAATGAGGATGTCGTGAGGTATGCGTATGCGAGAGGCTTGTCCGATCGTATGGTGGGTCAGTGCAGAGTATTATAGGCTGGCTACTGGAGTCTGGGATGCGTGAGGTGATGCAGAGTCTAAGTGAAGCAGGTCAATAATATAGAGCAAATACCACAGCGACGCAAGTGCAACAAATACAGTGAAGTCAGATGATAAGTACTAGGTGCATGCAGAAGGCAAACATCGGAATGCCAGGCATTCGTGTCGGCGTTGATTGGTCCAGCTTGAGAAAAGCTTGTTCGTGGACCCGTTAGCCCCCGAAGTCGGCCCTGCTACGCTCGAGTCGGTTAAGCCACCAACTGAGAATGCGTTAGCAAGGGGGCCCTGCGGATGAGTGATCACCGCAATGCAGCGAGTCGGCGGGGCCGAGCGTGATGTCAAGGACACGTCGCGAGACGTGAGGTTGTTGAGTTGAAGGGCTAGGGGCCGCGCCGCACCTAACCGCGTTGGACGATCTCCTTCTTCCGCCCCAACCCCCATAAGTTCAGCATGGAGCTATTCCTGCGCGACTTCGCCTCGATGCGCGCGAGCTCCTCTTCCCAAGCGCGTACATGGTCGGGCTGCGGCGGCGTATGCCGCTCCTTCGTGTTCGCCGTGCGTTCCCTCTCCCTCTCCCTCTCCTGTCTCCCGAAGAACAATGCGCTCTCGCCCAACCCTGATTCCTGCTTGACCGCGTCGTAGCCGCGCGAGCTCTTGCGCTCGTGCCCATGCGAGCGCACCTGGCGATGATCGCGTGATTCCCCACTAGACGTCGAGTCCACATGCGCGTTGCGGTCGTCCCTCGTGCTGAACATCGCGAAGTTCGACTTGTCCCGCGGACCCGCCGACGTATGCGGCCGCTTCGTCCCTCTCGACGCGCCCTTCTCTTTGCAGTGATGTCGATGCCTCTCTGGCTCCCGCATGTCCGGCACCGCCCCGGGATACGTCTTCGCTTGTCCCTGCACGGCTAACTCAGCCTGGACGCGTTCCTCATCGGGGTCGTGTCGGGAACGCCACGGGCTCTTGCTCTTGCTCCTCCCGCTACTGGTCGCCTCGCGTTGCTCCGCGTACTTCGCGAGGGCTAGCCGCCGCTCGGCCTCGCTCGTCGCTGCAATTGCAATCTCGCGTGGCTCGAGCTCGAGCATATCGGACCCGCCGGGCCCCACAACGCGTAATGAAGCGCGAACGAAGAAACGCACCGCTGCGCGAGAAGTGTGCATCGTCTCCCCGAGCGCCCATCGGCTGTGGGGACGCGACGTCGGCCACTGCAAGGTGGAGGTCTTGGAGAACGTACCCAGACGGTCGCGCGCGAAGTCGGTGTACTCAGCCGTTAGGACATTAGACGTGATCGTCCTCGCCGGAGGGTCACCATAGTGAGAGGCAGACCCAGCAGAGGACGGCGCGTGAGGGGATGCAGATGCTGGTGACAGAAGGGGGCGGCTAGAGGACACGGACTCGAGCGTGAATTGGCTAGATGATGCCGGGACTGCACATTCGTGGTCATGTAGTGCAGGAGACAAGGTGGAGGTACTGGAGCTCGGTGTGGGAATGTCGTCGGCATGGTAGGGGCTCACGGTGGGCGTCGGAGGGGGCGACGAAGTGGGTAGGCTGAGGAGGTCAATTCGACGTTCTATCGTGAGAACTGCGCTACGGACTGAGACCCCCGGGTCGAGCGGCTGGACAGTGACCGACGCGAAGATGATGTCATTCGGGCCGATGGGGTGGTCAGGCGTCGAGACGTTGTAGCGCACGACGGGTGCTCGCGGCTTACTTGTGTACAGGTATGGAGATGCGGAGGACGCGTAGGGGGTGGAGAGGACGTGTGAAGGGACGTCGTACCGGATCAGCGCGAGGTCGAAGTAGCGCAGCAACCGGTGGCCGACACCGGTGATGGGGATGTGGTCAATCGCTGTCATGGAGAAGTCAACACACGGCGTCAGGAAGACGATGAGATTGACATGGATGTGTGATGCAAGCAGACGGGAATGACAGATGGATGCGCGGCAACACTCACTTGCCTCGACGCGCCAGAACGTGCGGTAGACCTGGAAGTTGGCAGTGCTGAGTCCGGCCGTGCTCTTGGGGAGTGTCACCTTGAATGGAAGCTCGAGCTCGCCGACGTCTCCCCAGTCCGCGGAGGAAGATTTTGACCAGAGCACATTGGTGTGGTCGACCAGGAGGGTGGTGTGGACGGTGCCGCGCGAGCGACTGACGCGGGCTTCATAGCAGCGGACGGAGATGGAGATGGCCTTGGCGGGGAGTGGTCGTCGGTCCTCGTCTAGCTTCGTGCGCACGACTGGGGCGCAAGTCTGTCAAGGGTGAGCGGGAGAGGGAGGGCGGGACGCACTGCCTTCAACTCTGACGGGGGTGAGGCCGAGGTAGCCAGAATGGGGGAAGTAGCGGGAGGAACATGGGGCGCCCCTCGCGGTTGCGATGGACAGGGTGACCATGGGGGGAGGGGGGCGACGAGGGTGGGACGGGGCGCATTTGTATTCTGCGGCTAAGAAGGCTGATTGCTTGTTTTGCGAGCTGATTGCGGCCATGTTGGCAGGCGCCGCCATCCTGCTTCTCCCCGCCGTGACGCGCCTGTCACGCCCGTCACCTCCCCATCGAGATCCCCCGCCCCACGTGTCGCCCTCTGCTCCCGAGGCCCGCCCAGCGCCCCCGCCACCTGCTGGCAGTGGCTGCCACCCCCGCCGCGCTCTCGCTCTTGCCTCCGCCCACCATGCCGTCCCTCTATGTGCCCATCCTCGTCTCGGGCATGCTCTTCACGGTGCGTCTGCTCGTCCGCCCGTCTTCGCTGCACTGACGCAGCACAGGGCTCCAGCAACTCCCTCTGGAGCAAGTGGCAGGTACGCCCCTTGCTTGGCTGGTGCATTCCATCACCTCACCATTCCTCAGGATATGCAATGTGTCGAGAACTGCAACGACCCAAACCCTGCGCATCATGTCCTCTACGAGCAACCGGTCTGGCAGACGCTCCAAATGTTCCGTGCGTCGATCATCAGCTCCTTGCACTAGTGTCCTTGAGTCTGACTTCTGTGGCCTGAACGCTACAGTCGGAGAAATGCTCTGTAAGTGCTAGTGTCTATACCTGCTACCCACCTCCCGCTTTTGCATGCATTCGTCCACGCACTCCCACGAGCCTCCGTGGCAGGCCTTGCCTAATCCGTTTCCCACCAAGGTTTCCTGCCCGTAATATACGCGTGGTTCGCGTCTAGGCGCGCTCAATCTCCCGTCCAGCTCCCTACCGAGGAAGACCAAGAACCAGCCCCCGGTTCCAAGGCCCAGATCACGGCCGAGCATCTCCATGGCTGGAAGATCCTCCTCCTGTGGTTCCCTGCAGCCTGCGACCTTACCGGTACCACGGTAAGCAAGCCCTGCACCAACCCTGCATCTGCTTCCGCTACTCACCCAGTACATTTCGGTCCTCCTTCGGTGTTCGCGCAATCAATGTCACCCGACATGCCCGGCCACCTGTCGCCTGTCTGTCCATTTCCCAGCTGATGAACGTCGGTCTGCTGTACACACCGGTCTCGATCTATCAGATGACCAGGGGCGCGCTCGTTCTCTTTGTTGGAGTCCTCTCCGTCATCTTCTTGCGGCGCAGGCTGTGGCTTTACCAGTTGAGCATTGTTCCCACCGTTGTTCCCTCTCCGTCATACTGCCGCCCAAAGTCCTGGTACCTCTCCTTAAGTGCAAAATCTGACAAGTATACATAGGTGGATCTCTCTTGTCACCGTCATGGCAGGAGTCTCGCTCGTGGGTTATAGTGGGTCCATGATTAAGGATGCGGTGAAGGAGGAGGGCTTCGCTGGTTTCGTGCGCACGGGTGCGCGTCTGTTCGATGATCTGCCTGCGCCCAAGCCTATTGAGGAGCCCGAGATTACGAAGGTCCTAGTCGGTCCGTATACCATTATCCGAAGCCACAAATTCGCCGCCTCAGCGTTTACTGACGTTCTTCACGCGGTCCAGGTGTCTTCTTCATCCTCTTCGCGCAGGTGTTGTACGTGATTTCCGCGTACCCATGTCTTCTTCTGCTGATATCTCGTCCGACGCTACGCGCGTCTGCTTCCGCACTGCAGCACGGCGACCCAGTTCGTCATCGAGGGTACGTACGCTGCCCCGTCCCGGTCGACCGAATAAGGTGCTGACTAATCCTCCGTATTACCGGACATCTGTTGCTTCTGCTTCCTGCTAATGCTCTCCGCCCATCGCCACGCCTGCTGACACCGCATCCATCACATCGCCGCGCATGCAGAGAAGATCCTGGCGCGTTATTCGGTCGCGCCGCTGGTCGCGGTCGGCTACGAGGGCCTCTTCGGTGCACTGACCATCGTCCTCGCCATGCCCCTGCTCGCGCACTACTCGCAGGTCTCGCCGTTCTTCGACCTCCCCCGGGGTTGGCACCAGATGATCGACACACCGTCCGTCCTCTGGAGCGGTGTAGTGATTGCATTCTCGATCTCGCTGTTCAACTTTTTCGGCTTGAGCGTCACGCAGCATGTGAGCGCGACGGTGAGGAGTCTGACGGACACTTGCAGGACACTCAGCATTTGGGTCGTGAGCTTGGGCCTTGGCTGGGAGCGGCTCATGTGGCCCATCTCCGTGCTCCAGGTCGTCGGCTTCGGGCTGTTGGTGTGAGTGTTTGATGACTCACCCGTATCAGGTTTCTCTCATACACATCTGGCGCGTATTTAGATACGGAACGGTGTGTTATTTTTGCAGGCCTTTGGGCGAATGCGTGCTGACTGGCATCCTTCACAGTTCCTCTTCAACAGCCTCGTCAAGCCTCCCGCTTTCCTGCGCCCCGCGATCGAGGTCGCGGCGGTGCCCGCGCTATCCGCAGGGGAGGCGGAGGAGGCGCGGGGGCTGCTCGCTGAGGATACTCTGGATGAGACCGCCGCGCTGCCAGCGGACCTCGGGCAGAGCGGCTTCGATGCGCTGCCTCCTCACGACCGCTCCTCGGGCTCGGAGGCCACGCCCGCTCGGCGGTAGGCCGGGGCCCCACCCCCCACCCTTCTCTCGCCTGTGCTGACTGGAACATCCTGCAACGTGCTTATTTAATGTCGCTTCTGCGTGCTTTCCTGCTTGTCTCAGTGTCTTGTGTACATGTGCTTTGGCTGTTATTCGGAAATGTGACACCGCCTTGTGCTGCTCAGAAGCTCGGAACGTGGTCTTAGTTTGATTTTTCTGGGTAAGTATACAGGTTGCCGCGCGCGGTGGGCCGTGGCTGGCGCTGCGGTCTTCGTGCTTCCACCCTAGCCCGCGCGATACCCAATCCGACAGCCGTGTGCGAATGATGTGTGCGTGTGACCCAAAATGGCCTAGCGTGCTCGAGGACGTCGAGATCTCGCCGCCGCGCCGATGCGAAGTCAAAATCAAATCGGCTAGCGTCGTCGAGGCTGCGATGATCGAGATCCGCATCCGAGTCCGCGTCCTCGAGCCCGCCCCGGTTTCGGGCCTCCCCCGCTCGCCGAGCGTGTCCGCATGCGATGCAATCTCGTCAGGGTTGCGCATGCCGGATGTCTCGATCGGGCTTCCTCGACACCCGCGACGAGTTTCAATTGGATCGAAATCCAATATCGAATATCATATCTCATCGGGATTGTCACGTCACGATACTTACGTCGAAAACAATGATCTGGTCGATTCGTTGTTCCGCAGGCCTTGCAGAGCTGACGCGGGGGGATCTAGAACGCGGGGGGATCTAGAACGCGGGGGGATCTAGAACGCGGGGGGATCTAGAACGCGGGTGTTGCTTGGGCGTTGCCATCATGCAACTCTGCTCACGCGATGCGCCTTGTAATTGTCGCTTCACGGTTGAAATGCTCCTTTCAAGTTGGAGTGATGCCGCAGCAGTACCACCAGATACTCGGAACCCCGAAGCCATGTATTCACGGTGCCATACCACCTGTCGAAGGGTGCAGAAAGGGTTCGTGATACGCCCTGCGTTCGGACATGCGCCGTAATTACTACTTACTACTGCACGCGATGTGACAGACGACCACCCTGTGCTTCCGCGTCGTACTGCGAGCGCCTCCCCGAACAAGTACCCGGGACATGGTGAAGATGTTTTAACGAATGGAGACCCGGTTTAATTTCCGTTGTCATGACCGCGGTACGTACGTACACGTTACGCTGCAGTTTCTGCACGGGCGGTCAGAGCTAACCGTCTCCAGTAGTACGGCCCCGCGCATGTAGGGCCCGGCCTCGCTAATGCACGGCGTAAGGGTCTTCCTTCTTCACAGCTTCTGACTCGCTGCAGGCTACGCTAGCCCAACACTAGCCAAACGCTAACAGTGAAGGATTGTCCGCGTCGAACGCGAAGACCGGAATGGCTCGTCGGCCCAGGCTCTATTTTGACAGTTAAATCAAGGGGCGTCAGAGATTCAGATCGGGTACACGATGCCTAGGGGGGAGGGGGGGTGGTCGACCCTTCGACCGCGTCCAACGACAAAATGTACCAATAGTTACGAATAAGGTGCAACCCTCCCCCAAAAGGCAGCTGATGAAGTCAGCGGAGGGGAAGATGTCCGCCGATGGCATGCCGGAGGTCAATATCGCGACGCTTGCGATGCGCCGAGCCCATGTTCGCGCTCAATGCTTGTATTCTCGGTCAAAGACGCATCACTATGTGCTTGCGTCGCGGTTCGGGCCATAGGCGCTTACCTCTCAGTCGCGCGCCTGTAGCTGAAACGCCGGCTCGGATGCGCCAACTTTGGACTACCACCTATTTAGCTTGTTCGGCATCGTCTCTGCGGCGGTCCCAACCCCGTCTTGTCCGAGTACGAGTCGCCCCATAGTATGCAAGATCTGCGAAGAGAGCCGGCTAACCACAGTGAGGTCATCAGTTCGACGACGATATTGTATTCTGGACCTCTGGTCATACTTGAACATGCGATCGCACATCATGGACAAGCACCCCAACACGGAGAAGAGCAAGGAATTCGTATCTACTACACGTTCCTACGGTTCACACAATGAGCTCCTCTTTCGTAAGTAAGCGCGATACGAAGGGCAAGCCGATCGTGGAGAAGGACGAATGTGATGGGAAAGCGGCGGCAGATAAGAAGGGAAAGGCTGCTACTAAGGGAAAGGGCACAAAGAAATCAGGTGTGGACACTTCGGGTGCCAATGAGAGCTGTCGAGGAAGAAGGGGAGGCAACAGTCGGTCATACCCGGTAGACTTGAAGGCTTGGGTGACCGCTTTTTTGATCAAATATATGCACTTTTTTGCGCGACCGAGGGGGTGGGGGGGTGGTACTCGGTCCTCGACCGCTTTTCGAAATAATAATAACCGGGGGTGGGGGGGTGGTAAGCCAGGATGGCGGATATTCCGGATATACTGGCATTGTGTACGAGAATTTACTTCCTGACGCCCCTTGCCTTACGTGTAGATTCGCAAAGGCTGTCCTGATTAATCCTAACGTTTGCACACACGAACCGTGATGAGTCTACCTAGCGTTTGTTGGAGCCGTCTGCCAGCGAATACCCCGCATGCGCTACAGTATATAGTCACACAGCATCCGTGAGTGCGCGACGATCATGACCGGAATTACTGTTTCTCTGTGCATTCCTGATTATTGACGGCGCGAAAGTATCCGTGTACTGCCAACATAGACGGTGTGCGTGACAGGAAGCTGGTGCCACCATCAACGCTGGAACTCCGGATCCTTAGGCCTTAGGCCTTACTGCCTTCCTCGCTGGCAGGGAGACACTTCAAATTCAAGACAGCCACTGGCGTACGATGATAGCGCATCACAGGGTGCCCTCGTCATGTCCATTGACTCAGCATATTTCGGGCGACGTGACCTGCGTAGCACACACCGTAAGGAGTACTGAGCCTCGAAGACTAGCATACAGGGTCCCCGTCTGCCGTCTTCCGGTCTCACTGGGAAGAAAACAAGAGTGGCGAGTCTCCGGGCTACAATTTATTGCCCGATTGCACGGTTGCTATGTACCGACTCCTACCCACGACGCGTCGACGCTCTCTCATACTGCTGCATTTGCCGTAAAGCACGTACACCTGGTGTAAGTCCATATGCGCGTGCGTCCCCTCCGAACGCCCTGATAGGCCCGGATCGCTGCACAGTTACGGAACACGTCCACATACCATCATCGGTGCGTTCATTATGATGGGCCCTGCACACTCGGTTCCGGGGTGGGACGGAGGTAATAACGGCTCACAATATTAAATAAGTGTGAGGCTGCCACAGTGCATCACGGACGTCACACAAGGAACGATTTCATGATGAGGTTCGCGTATCCTAGAGACCAGGAACAGTAGAGACCTCATTTGAGCGTCGGTGCCCCCGTTATGACTTCCATTGCTCCGCGTGAACATCGAAGGGTGTCGGCAACAGGACTAGAGTGTCAAGACCCTGTGGAGGCTTTGAGCAGAGTGACACTGTACCGGCCATACGTTTTTCTCGTCCTCAGCTTCGATGAGTATCACAGCTACTGATTGGAGTCGCGGTTACCCTGGAGAACCGCACTCACGCCCGCAACATACGAGATAGAGAAGACGGCAATGCGCATGCTTCTATTATTGTGTGTATGAGTACAGTCTGCAGAGCAAGTCTATGAGCTCCTCTACTAGTCCATTTTGACCCTCGTTGGTGGCTCAATGAATGTGGTCTATCGATTCATAATCAACAGCGAACTAATAGACTGCAAGACAGGGACGTACCGTGACAAACTTTAGTACCTCATCGATGAGGATGACAGGTGCGCTAATGTACAACACAGCTTTCCATTCGACCCAGTTCAGCGGCGCGATGGCGAAGAGAGTCTGTCGAGCACCACGGCATCAGTCAGCATCCCATGCACCCACGCACAACAAGGGTCACCTACCGTGAAGAAGGGAATGTACAAGATAGCGACATGCAGGAGCATGCTGAGCGTGATCGCGGCGACCAGGAAGGGGTTCTTCCAGAGCGGCAGCCGGAGCAGGCTCTCATTTTCGGACAGCGAGTTCATCGCGTTGAACATCTCGATCGTGACCAGTATGGACAGGCTCATCGTCGTCGCGCGGTGCGCCATCTCGTTCGTGAACATCTCGCAGCCGATCTCGGGGAACAGCGTGGAGCATTGGTGGAAGTGCGTCTGGAGAACACAGCATTAGCCACCTGCAGACCCGAAGGGCAGACAGTGAGACGTACCAGGTGCCAGAAGGTAATCTGGGGACCGCCAGCGTAGTACATGAACCACCAGGCGTAGCCGCCAACAGTCGCGACGCCGACGTAAATCCCGATGATCATGTACCGCGCGAACAGCCAGGGCCCGACGAGGCGTTCACGGCTGTCTCGTGGAGGGACGCGCATGATGCTGTGGTCCGGAGGGTTGAAGCCGAGAGCGGTCGCGGGCAGGCTGTCCGTGACGAGGTTGACCCAGAGCAGCTGCACTGGGATCAAAGCCTCGGGCATGCCGAGGAGGACGGTCAAGAAGATACTGACGACCTCGCCAATGTTCGAGGAAACTGCGGATCTTGGTCAGGTAAGACCAGTCGGAAGTGGGTTGGACACTTACTGAGGTATCGGATGAACTGCTTGGTGTTGTTGTAGATGAGTCGGCCCTCCTCTACAGCAAGCTCGATTGTGGCGAAGTTGGAGTCAGCGAGGACCATGTCTGCTGCCAGCTTGGCAACATCAGTCCCGCTCCCCATCGCGACACCGATATCAGCCTTCTTCAGCGCCGGGGCGTCGTTCACACCATCACCGGTCTACCAAGACAGGTCAGCAAGGATGACCGCACGCACCCGCGAAAGTGCACCCACCATAGCCACGACAAGACCCTGGCTCTGCAGGAGGTCCACAAGCTGGCTCTTATGCCTCGGGTCCGTCCGACAGAACAGACCCGCCCGCATCACCGCCGCGAGCTTCTCCTGCTCGCTCAGCTCATCGAACTCGCGACCCGTGTAGCTCTTGCCCGTGAGGTCCTCGTCCGGCCCGAAGATGCCCACCTGCCTGCAGATCGTCTCCGCGGTGCCCTTGTTGTCGCCCGTGATGCAGATCACCCGGATGCCCGCGGCCTTGCAGTTCGCGACGGCGGCGGGGACCTCGGGGCGCGGCGGGTCGAGCATGCCGACGAGCGACACGAAGACGAGGTCCTTCTCGAAGTCGCCGGTGCTGTCGGGGCGGTAGCGCGCGGGGTCGAGGGGCAGGTTGGCGGCGTATGCAAGTGCGAGCGTGCGCAGGCCCTGCTGGCCGTAGGCGAGTGTCTGCTGCTGGATCGCGGCGCGGAGGGTGGGGGTCAGAGGCACGACGTCTCCGCCGACGAGGGCGGATACGGAACGGTCCAGGATGGATTCCGGCGCGCCTTTTGCGTAGAGAATGCCTTGGCCTTGCTTGCTTGCGAGGACGGACATCATCTTGCGGTCGCGGGAGAACTCGAACGTCATGATCTTGGGAATGACGCGCTCGTAGAAGTCGTTCACGGCGCTCGCACGAGCTGCTGGGTCCATGGTTGAGAGGGACTTTGTGAGCTCACCATCGGGGCAAGGGAGCTTTTCCACAAGAACCTTCAAAGCAGCTTCTGTGGGCTCCCCGACATTGGTGTAGGATTTCTTATCCTGAGAGCGAGACAATTTGAGCGTGACCATGGGAACGTGTACGGGCGAGGTGTACTGACCGTATGGTAGACCACCTTGGAGTCATTGCAAAGCGCACTGATTTCGGCCAGAAGCTGAATTGGCAGCGAACGAAGTTCAGCAGAGGCCTCTTTGCCATCAGCAGACCTAACCGACCCTTGAGGCGCGAAGGTAGTCCCCTCCACAGCATACTCCCTGAGGCCGCCAGCGTTTCCGACCACGAAGAACTGCGCACGACGTAGGCGTTGAGTGCACTATTCGGCAACGCGACGAACTAGACTGACCTTGGAGACGCTCATCTGATTCGTGGTGAGCGTACCAGTCTTGTCCGAGCAGATGACGTTGGTGCAGCCGAGCGTTTCAACACTGGGCAGGTTCCGCACAATGGCGTTCTTCTGTGCCATCTTTTTCGTGCCCAGCGCAAGACATGCGGTGATAACAGCAGCCAGGCCTTCCGGGATAGCAGCCACGGCTAGCGCGACGGCAATCTTGAAGTAGTAGACCGCGCCCTTCAACGCGGAGCCGTGCGACGGGTCCCAGAAGTGTTTGTAGTTCACAATCCAGACGAGCACGCAAATGACGGAGATGACCTTCGCGAGCATGTCGCCGAAGTCGTCGAGCTTGCGCTTCAGGGGTGTCTTCTCGCTAATCTGCGAGGTGATGGACTTGTGGATGTCGCCAATAGCCGTCTTCTGACCGGTGAAGACGACAATGGCCATCGCCTTGCCGCTGACGACGCTCGTACCCTACAAGGCGATGTCAGGGTGTATTCGCACGACAAAAGCGGAGGACGTACAGCGAAGAGCATGTTCGTCATGTCTTGTTTGACGGCTTTCAGGTCAGCCACAATGTCGACACTCTTGTTGATGCTGGTACTCTCGCCCGTCAGGATGGCCTGGTCCACACGGAGACTCGTCGAAGAGATCGACAGCAGGCGACAGTCTGCAGGGACCTTGTCACCCACCGCGACCGAGATGATGTCTCCAGGGACGAGTTCCGAGGCATGTATGCGCGCAATTTGACCGTCGCGGTAAACCTTGGCCTCATCCGGGGAGTATTCCTTCAAAGCCTACGGTGCCGAGACTCAGGCGCGCAGCCCTCTCGACTATGCTCCGAACACTCACCTCAATGGCCTGCTCCGCGTTGGTCTCCTGGATCACGCCCACGGCCGCATTGGCTACCAAAATGAGGAGGATGACCAGAGGCTCGACAAATGCACTCCACCAGGCCGAGCCGTCCGACTCCTCAAAGAGTGCTAGCACGAATGAGATGACGGCGGACGCGAGAAGGATGAGAACGAGCTGGTCCTGGAACTGCTCGAGAATGAGTTCCCAGATTGGCGTCGAAGGCTCTTCCGGAAGCTCTGTTGGGCTGTGATGAGTATTCGGCTGATGAAAGGCGCAGCAGGGGTGCTCACCGTTCTTTCCGTAGAGCTGGGCATGCTTCGCGGCGAGGTCGGCGGTGAGGCCGCGGGCGGGGTCTACGGAGAAGTGCTGGAGGATGGCATCAGATGATTTTGTCCAAGGTTCCTCCATGCCGACGGTGGTGCAGCCGGGGACAGAACTGGGGATGGCGTGCTTGGGACAAGCGGGCGCGAGTGTGTGTCTGAGCCAGAACAGCGATTGACGCTTCTGTCCACGCGTCTCTCGTTTTAGGCAACGCACTGACGTGGCACTTTCCGCCACCCGCCCGACACGACGCACCCAACGCCGTCACGGCCGCCATCCAAGTTGCAGCGTATTGCGCAGCGGTAGCCTATGTGGTACCAACACACGATCCAGAATCAGCACACATTCGTCTTGTGCATCACGACGTCCCGATGATATCAGGAGCGCGCCGAGTCCATCGCATCCTCACTTGCATGCCAGTGCTGAGTGCTCAGCCGACTCATCTAAATCCACATGTCCCGCAGTAGCATGTCTGACACGGTGCCGAGAGCCCCTCGGCACATTCCCAGCTTTCTGTCTGAACAGCGGTGCACCGCCGCTACTCCCAGTCTCATTTTCAAGGTGTGCATGCGCAGAATCTTCATGATCTGACATGTAGCAGAGCTGGTCTGTGCCTGCCGTCAGGTAGTGGAAGATCTGACTTCGAACCTCGGGCGACATTGCGTAGGTGCTGTGACTCCTGCACACCTTCATGACCCGGTGAGATACAAGTTGACGGAACATGGGGCATCTTGCAAAGTGCGTGCACGCGAAGTTGTCTGTACCGACCACCATTGTACGGATAAAAACAAGTCTGACTTCATCACAGTGACCTAGGTTCCACAACGAAAACGACTGGCATTGGTAGGCAAGTGAAAGCACATGTGCTCCCCTCACAGACTCAACCGAACCTGCATCACTGTTTTGGATCCTACGACCAAGACCTCGTACCTGGTTTGTGCCCGCTTGTTGACCGCTCATCCCGCCTTCCTCGTATGGACTGGAGCTCTGCTAGGTATAAAAGCCGCAAATCTCTATCAACGACCCTCAGCTCACTCCCTTTGAGCACACCCACAAGCGCAGGTGCTGGACAGTGAGTACACTCAACACGTCTTATATGATGCCCGTCACTGACAAGTCCATGGACTAGCTTTGCATCCTTCGTATTCACGTCACTCTTTCACCGCACGTTGACCCTCACGCACCGCTCCCCTGCCCGACCTTTACGACCAAACGAGTTCGCCTCTCAGCATGCGTTACACCACCGTCTTCTCCGTCGCCGCATTCGCAACCGCAGCCGCGCCACAGCACTCGCACGCCCGGTCTACGATAGATCGCAATACGCACCCCGCGGCCACGATGCCGACGTGACGTTCGACCCACGCGGTTCGCATGACCCCCTCGAAAATCTATGGGAACGCGACCGTCATGAGGCTCTCGTCTCGCGGAGCGGTCTCCAGCCTCCAGAGCCCCAGTGGCCGCCCGAATCCGCCCCACCGCCTGTCCCGCCACCCAAAGACGTTGATCTCTCTTCCCCGGACGAATCCTCGCAGACGCAAAGCAGCCCTCCGGAGCCATACCTCCCCGACTATATAGACGAGTCGTACCAGCCATCGCCCCCGCCGAGGCAGAGACCGGAACAAAAAGTGCCGGAACGAACAGTGCCAAAAGGTCCGCGCCCCCCCGCCCAACAAATCGTCAGCGCGGCGGCGCGAATTGTACTTGGGAGCGCTGGCGGACCTCCTCGCGCGAGATGGCAATGCGGTGTTGCCGAGGCTCAACCCAACACTAACGGCGCATTTGGAGGTGGCAGCCCTCCGGCGGTTCCGCAGGCCCCCCCCCCCCCCCCAACTCTCCGATGAACAACCCGCCATCGCTGGGCTCTCCAGCATCAGACGCGGATTCCGAGATGGGCGAGGAGGACGCCATGAGCCCGTCGGAGTCCGCGTTCGGAGAGAATGGTCCGTCCACTCCTCTGGGAACCCCTGGGCCCGAGGATGAGGCTCGTCCCAATGGGCGCAGGCCCGCTCCTCCACCGGGGTCGCCTCTTGTCAATGGAGTAGGACCTTTGCCTAACGGATCGGGTTCCAATGGTTCTAACGGGGCAGGGCCTCACCCTAACGGATCCGGGCCCACTAACGGAGCCAATGGATCGGGCTCTCGTCCACCGAACGGACTCAGGCGTCGGTCTGAGATGCACGAGGTTCTGGCTAGGATGATCCTGGACGCGTTGGACTGAACAGGTTTTGTTCTAGTAAGTTACTCAGATTCAGACTTCGTGATGTTGTAGTGGACGTCTTGCGACAATATTGTATCAGTAGTGTAAGACACTGAATCGCACCAATTGGTGGTATTGCTCTGTGGTCTGAATTGCCTCAATGGACAGTTTTAACTTTTGACCTAACCCGATGCTCGCTCTTGGAACATGCCATCCTCACGTGAAACCCGCGGAGGAGGAGGAGGAGGAGGCGGGTCCATTTAGCCACCGGCCGATAGCGCACGCGCGTCTCGACTTCTTGGCGACCCCACAAGCTACCGTGCAGTTGGGCTCGAGCGCGGAGATCGAAGATCCCGAGACGCGCCACCCTGGAGGAGGAGCGACTCCGAAGCGATCGTTCTACACTGTACACACTTCTGAGCCATCACCACCACATCTCATGTCCCCACCACCATGCCAAAAGCACACAAGAAAACCCGGAAGCTGCCCGTAACTGTCAACGATCCCCGTCAGACACATGCAGCAGTACCGTCCGCATCATCCAGCAAGCCAACGGCGACGCGCACTGTTATTCGCCGGTTTCACGTCCTCATCAAACGGCGGACGCAACTAGAGAAGGCTATCCAACGTGGGGATGCAATCATGGATGGAGTCGAACCTCGCGCGGCGCTCCGAGATGTTGAGCAGGAGATCGAGGAGCTCGGTGGACTGGGTGCGTACCAACGAATGTCCAGCATCGGTCAGGGCAACGATAGAGGTGGGGGGAGCGAGAAGGTCTTGATTGAATGGCTCAAGGAGATCGGCGTGCACAGCGCGGCAAAGGAGGCCAATAGGAAGTTGCAGTACGTATGCCGTTGTACTCCGGATATGGGTTCGACTTCAATGCATTGGCCCTATAGAGTACTTGAAGTGGGAGCTCTCCTCCCAGACAACTATGCGTCATGTTCGAGCTGGATTGAGAACACACCCATTGACCTTCGTTCGCGACATCCGTCAATCCAGGAGCAAGATTTTCTCCTCATGGATGAAGGATCGAACCGGGAGAAGTGGGACATCATCAGCCTCAGTCTGGTCGTCAACTTTGTTCCCGATGCTCGAGACCGAGGTGATACTCATGTATTTGATCTACCTGAGGTGTAGTGAACTGATGAATGAGGCAGGAAGGATGCTTCGATTAGCACACTCCATGCTCCGTCAAGGCGGCCTGCTCTTCCTCGCAGTGAGTACCCAGGTTGTCTTTCTCGCGACAGTGGAGTCCGACTGACTCGGATCGCTTGTCTAATCCAGCTCCCTTTACCTTGCATCCTCAATTCTCGCTATATGACACCGGAGTACCTTGATGGATTACTTCAGACGATTGGTCTGTCCATCATCAAGAGCCGCTGGAAAGAGGGTGGTAAGATGGCGTACTGGCTTCTTCGTAAAGTAGCTATGATCGCGCCGGCGGCTACCAACACGAACATGTATCACAAGAAGACAGAGCTACGGAAGGGCAACAGGAACAACTTCGCCATCCTCTTGTAATTCATGTGCGGCGCAGCTTCGGGCGTTGTAGCAGAGTAGCTTAGCAATATTGTATCCTAGTAATTGTAGCAATACATCGGCCTAATGACCGGTAGTAGTACTCTTAGACTTGTCATCGGTGTCAGGATAGAGCTGCAATGAGTCGAAATCAGACCAACAACTCGATGAAAACGTGACATGACCATGTACATACCTTGCTTGGGTTCATGATATTCAGCGGGTCGATCGCCCTCTTGATGGTCTTCATCAGCTCAACTGTGTCTGCGCCGAGTTCCTCGACCAAGTACTCTTTCTTGCCGACACCAACACCGTGTTCACCCGTACCTAGATTAGGAGATTGTCATCAGGCTGGTTTCTCGTAATGCAGTATAATACGTTGTGTCTCGGCACGTACATGTACCGTCCATCCGTATCGCACGGCGTACAAGTCGGTGCACGGCGTCACTGACGGCATGCAGCTCTTTGTCGTCCTTGAACAAGATCAACGCGTGGAAGTTACCTAAAGAAAGGTCAGCCAATTGCAGAAGCTCCTACTGGCAGTACGTCAACCACTGACCGTCTCCGACATGGCCAACGATGGTGGACCTGAGGTTGTTATCCGCCAAATCCTTCTTCGTCTCAGACACAAGCTGCGGCAACTTCGACGGCGGTACGCTGTCCACGCATAAACCATTAGCTCCTACTGCAAACGCACATTCTAGCAAGAAAGACAGGACTGACCAGACATCAGTCGTCCAGCACCGCGCCCCGGGCTCGCTGCCGATCGTGCTGATCAGCGCGTACTTCCTGCTCTCCCAGAGCTCCTCCGCCTCCTCGTCCGTCTGCGCGAACTCAAAGCGCGTGCTGCCGTGCTTCGCCGTCGTCTCGCGCACCGCCGCGGCGGTCGCGCCAATCGCGTCCTCCGAGCCCTGGATTTTGAAAAAGAGCGTATCGCTGATGGGCAGCTTGCGCGAGACTTCGCCGGCGGTGTTGATCGCGGCCATCACTGGGCGTACGGGTCAGTTTGTGAGGAGTCAGTGAAGGGGGAGAGTGAGCTCACTCTTGTCATCGAGGAGCTCGATGCATTCTACGTAAATGGGGATTCAGTCACGGATAGTTGAGTGGTCATGATCAGGTACGCACGGAGATGCGGACCGTTCGGGCTGTTGAGGATCTCCTGGACCGCACTTACCGCGTGCTGGATGTCAGGGAATTGCGCCATGGCAACTCTCGTGGGCACCACCGGTGCCAGTCGGAGAGTAGCTGTACGAAACTCTCAGTACCCGCTTAGGATGGTTGAGCGCAAGAATAGGTGTACCTTCCGTAACGATTCCCAATGTGCCCTCGGCGCCGATGAATATCTTGGTCAGGTCGAAGCCGGCGGACGACTTGCGTGCCCTCCGACGCGTCTTGATCACCTTTCCGTTCGGCAGGACTGCAGTCTTGGAGACGTCAAACGCCTATCATACTGGTAGCAAAAGTGAGGCGTACTATGTTGAGGAACCATTCGCCCTTCGCAGTTCCGTACCGGACGGCGTTCGCTATTCATTCAGTCAGCCAACGGTTGATGCGGTCGCGAGATTGACCCGAGACATACTCCCTGAGCATCCTGTACCAATCATTCCGCCGATGGTCTGAATGATAAATCAGACTTGCGCCGTCGAGGAGATGTCTCACTAAGTCCTCACCGCTCCAGGACCCGGGTCAAGCTGCAACGTGGTTAATGTCAGTGGCGATATTAATAAGGGAGCACTGACCGGGAAGAATAATGGGATACCCTTGTCTTTCAGTGTCCGGTTAAGCTCTTCCCAGGGAACGCCGGCTTGAACCACCACATCGCCGTCACCCTCTGTGAAGCGCTTGCGAGTCAGTCCGCGTTCACGCGCAATAGCACTTCCTGGCTTACCGTGGATCTCGATAATCTTGTCCATTCCTGACATATCTATGCAGATGTCCCCCGAGGGATACTGCCGCAAGTTCGCGTATCATGAGTATGAGCCGCCTGTCATATACATTCTGCGTACCCCAGAGAAATGACCCTCGAGACTCGTAGCGCCACTGTAGGGAACAATAGGAACACGGTACTGGCGCGCTATGTTGACGATCTTCACCACGTCCTCTGTGCTTTGTGGGCGGACCACAACAGAGTGTGGGGACGTCGGGTGGTACGAGTTGTCAGAGTGACCGTACGTCGTGAGCGTGTCCAGATCAGTCATGATAGCGTCCTCCCCCGGCAGGGCCTTGCGCAGCTCTTCGATCGCCTGCTGTACCTCCTCTTTCGAGGCGTACTGGTGCGACCCAGGAGGCTCCGGAAGTTCGTCGTGATTGGTTGTCTTCGCCGGGCGGGCGCGGGCCTCGTTACCGCCATGACCAACATTCGCTCCATCGAGGCTTACGCTCCCATTCTGCGTGTAGACGTAGTTTGACAGTGCAAGAGCAAGTCCCGCACCCAGGATCACGCCCTCCAGCATTCGTGACCTAGGAGCGGATGCAGGTTTCGGTACCTGCGCGTCGGATGACATATATCTGGCTGTCTGTCGCGTGCCATGACGCCCAACCAGCAAAGGTAGCGTGTGTGTCTTTACGCCGCAGTGACTGGTGGCGGACCGACTAGCTGAAAGCCAAGAGACGGACATTCTGGGTCGAGAGTGAGCGCGGGAGTCTGACGTAGTGATACCGCCGTACCCGGAATATGTATGCGGCCAGGTAAATACTATAAGCTCGGCTCAGCGCCCACGGAGGCCGTCAGTGAGGAGAGGCAGGAGGCACGCAAGTCGAGAGTGACTCAGAGTGACTCATACACCAAGTCAATAGGTATGTTCAGGAAACCATTCAGAAGCACTTGCATCCCGTCTGGCTTCCGCTGCCGACCAGCTGGCATTCCCGCGATCGACGTTGATGCATGATGCGCGTCTCGCCATCACGTGGCGACGTGTAGACGCGTCCGCCAGGCCTCTCCCTGAGGCGACCTCCTCCTCCTGCTCTTGCCCCTTTCCCCCCTTCGTACGGTAACACAGTGCATACGCACTAATGCCAATTGGGGATACACACGCTGCGATCTCTCAGGTCAAGGACCTCATCGGCCGACTGCAGTCCCCCGTCGCAGACCTCTCTGTTCTGCTGCACCTGCTCGCGGCTCCTCTCGGTTGTATCGGCCTCCTCCCTCCGCGCTACCAGAAATACGATGTCGAACCTCTCCCAAAAGATAGCCTCAACCTACCGCGGCACGTACCGCTCCTTCAGCGTGCCTTGATAGAGCACGTAGTCCCTACCTGGGAGGCTGCGCTGGTCGAGGAAGATTGCTATGATCTCGTGGAACAATACTTCTGTCCAGACGCGATGTCGTTCGCGTCTAGTGCTGCGGGGCAGGCGGCTTTGCTTGCGTACTCTACGATCCTGTCTTCTCCAATTCACGACTCCTCGATCCGCCTTCTAGTGAAGCTGTGCCGTGCGTATCCGATCGACGTTTTGCACTCTGTCGTCTTCTCGAGCAAGGGAAAACTTAACGAGGTGGCATGGGAGGATTGCGTACGCAACATCATCGCTTTACCAGTCAAAGTCGCAAACGTCCTGGGTGCAAGAGGTGGCATACCTGCCTCGCTCCAATTTGACACCTACTTCAACAATGTGAGTCTGCGCTGCGAACGCCTCATATACACCCTGTCCAGCGACTCCTCACGAGGTTCGTGATAGTGCGATGCATGTCACTCACAATTGTTAAATGATCGTCGCAGGAGACACGTCTTCCGTGAACTATCTCCTCACCAAGCTCGTGAATGTCGGCGTCTTCAGTGCTTCCAAGGCCGCTCTGTCACAACCGTCTTTCTTCGAAATTACACTCTCCACCATCCGACATCGCCTTTCAGACCAAAACGGTACATATGTAGTCTACTGGAGAAAGACGCTGTCCTCGTTCTCATCATCCCTCACTTTGCATTCCGTGCTGACAGCACTCTTCTCGTCCCTACCGGACGTACCCGATCGACTCGATACTCGCCCAACCACTCGTGCATCGGTGAAGCGCGAGGCCGTTCTTCTAAAAGAGCTGGTGGGGAGGCCGACAAAAGACAATATAGATATCTTGGATGCTGTCAACGCCATCGCTCTCAGCAGAGATTGGAACGAAGCCCATGCCCGTATCTTCGCCTGTTGGTTCTGTGGTGCGCAAAAGGGCTGGTCAGACAAAGAAGGTACTTAAACATCTTCTCTCGTTATCACAATCCCATTGATCCCGGCCCAAAGTGCTGGATGTCGTTTTGTGGAAAGTGGTCGATGTGTGGACTGATGTGTATCACATCAAACATTCCCTACTGTCTCGACACCGATGTACGTCCTCGTCTTCTCACCATCTTCCAGAATACTCATTCGTACCATACAAGATGTCACCGCACTGCTCTTGCTCATACTAGCTTCCTTCCGGTCCGACGCTGGTAGCTCCGCACCGTTTCAGACACTCGCGTTCCACCCTCCATTCATCACAGGCGTGTCTATTTACATCGGGCACCTCGACCCGACCGTGCGCCGCTGCGGTATGCTCGTCGCGGAGGAGGTCGCGCGCGGCGCGGGGAAGAAGCTCGACTTCGACGACTGGACGGGCGACCAGCACGGCCGCGACTGGTGTCGACGGCTTCGCGCGCTCCTCCAGGGACGTGACGCGGATGCAGACGTCGACCGCGTGCTCGACGCCGAGGATCACGACGCCAGTGGGAACGCGCGCACCCACGCTCCGAACTCGAACTTAGACGAGCACGCTGCGTCGTCGGGCCCCGCAAAACCAGGCAAAGTGGTCATCCAGGACGTCGGCTACGACTCGGACGACTCTCTCACCGGGTACGCGTCCCCTGCTCCGTCATCGCGCTCGGCGTCGCCCACCCCGTCGGAGCTCGCCGAGATTGAGAAGGACCCGTCGCTGAATGTCGGGAAGCAGAAGGTCGCGCGCCCGGTGTATCTAGCGCAACTCGGAGAGATGGTACGCAGTACGTCCGGGATGCGCTCCGACCAAGAAGAGATGGAGGCGCAGAAGATCGAGGTGGCGTTGAACGTCGCCGAAGAGCTGATTCGCCGCAAGAGGGCGTATGGGACCGAGCTCGGTGGGTTCTGTTACTGTATGTCAGCGTTCCTGTGCTCATGGCGATGTGGTTGCAGAGGAGAACGCTGTCAATCTTACGTACGGCTTCCTTGCTCTCAAAGACAACTACGATCTCGACGGTTTCGATGAGAAGCGACAAGCCGTCCTGAACGCGTTGGTGGCGTCTTGTCCTCGCAAAGCTGCCCCGTAAGTGGTCAACAGCACGGTTCTCCCAGCCGCTGAACTGATTCTAACCGATCCAGAGCTTTGATCGAGCAGTTCTTTCACAACCAGTATTCGACCGATCAGCGTTTCGTCATCCTAAATGCTCTCGCAGTAGGCACAGCAGAACTCGCCTCATTCCCTCTCCCCTTGCCCTCCGCAACTGCCAGTCCCAAACGTATATTGTTCCCCAGCAAGCAGCTTCCGCCTGCTCTACACAAGAAGTACCTTACCGCCGCCGATCGACACAATGCAAATGACCCGGTTCAGCTCCTGGTGGACGACATCAGTCGCAAAGCGATCGACAGCGGCAAGGAGGCCACCGCGGACAGGGTCCCTGAGATCGTCCGCGAACGGCATTTACGCATCCGGAAACCTGCCAAAGTAGCGGAGGTGCCCCGGGGCGCTATAACAACAAGACGCCTGCCTGGTGGGGTAAATCACCCGACGGACACAACGTTCAAAGAGGTCGCGGCGGAGTGTTTCATATGCCCTCTGATAAATCGTTTCTGGCTGTTCCTGCGCGACCAGCAGACGCGGGAAGAACGCACGATGCATCAGCCGGCGCTCCATCGCTATCACGGAGCAGGGACGGGCCTCGTCCTCAGTGCGATGGTGCTCGCACGGTTCTTGAGCACACTCGCGGTGCTCGTGCACGCCGCGAGGAATGCCCCGGAATGGCTGGCTGTCGTTGCACCGGATGCGCTTGAATTGGCTGTTACGCTCGGGACCAGGCCCGTCTCTGCCATGGAAGGCGAGGACGAAGATGAAGACGACTCCCAGGGACTGAGCGGTGAGGCGCGGAGGGGGAAAGGCAAAGAGGCAGCTGTAATGAGCGCTGCTCTTGAACTCGCCCTGATAACCCTGGATGGCTGCATGGACCTGGACGGTGGCCGCTCTCTAGGGCTGGACCACACTGCACTGCTGCTCGGCACAGGGGAGTGGGCAAAAGATATCTTCTCGAGCTTAGATCAAGGGGAGAGGATGCTCGGCGAAGGTGGAGAGCAGGAAGTTAGGCTCAGAAGGGCCGCAGCGGGGCTTGTGCTCAAAGTGGAAGAGCTATCGTCCCGGTGGAGAAGGTCCATGGTTGACGTGTAATCTGGATGTGATGTATTGTGGGACAGGTGCGCCCGTAGATTATTGCGCAGCTACAATCTGTGCGACTGATGATTACGCCAGATTGGGTTTCGCTCCGGCCGTGTGCTCGCAGACATTGTTTGGGCAACGGCGCGTTCAGTACCTGGCTTCGACCGACGTACGGGGCAGACCTCACTGTCAAGTCCTGCAAAATCCGCACTATTCGCACATATTCAGACTTGCCGCGGTGCTACGCCCATGTCAAGACACTCCGTGGCGCTCCGCCACTATTGTGTGCGCATCTCACTTCACCGCCAGACCTCGCTATGCTTGGCAGAAGGATTGACGTGTAGCGCAACTTGATCAGGGCGGTGTCTCTGCGAGCGGCACTGGACTTGCTACTGTCGTCGTGTACGGCGAAAATCCTTCTTGTCACGGTACGGTCCCGGTTGCAGCAATGGACCACGTATGATCGCCTAACCACCGGTGTTCCGAAGGCACGCAAAGATGCGCCTTCCGCCCTTTTCTCATCTCTGACAACTACAGCGGCATTGCTGAGCCCTCCTTCGAGGCCTGACATTCACGAACATTGTAGAACCACTGCATAGTGAGTCGTTCAATGGCCTAATGACATTGATATAGTATGGCCACAGGTTCCTCCCAGGTCCACGATTTCTACGTCCGCGATTTCTAGGGAATACACAGCCTCCGGAAACATCGGCATCATGTAAGCAGTATTTGTGCGCCTCATACTGCACCCTGACTTTTGACAGCCGTGGTTAGGCGCGAACAGCGGGCGGTGTCGTCTGTAATAACGTCTCCCGGGCCCTTCTCCTTGATAGCCCTGGCCGTCGTGTCTGGACTCCAAAATACCGCGGGGAGGGCGCGAGCCAGAGGTACGCTCGTGGTTTCCCAGGACGACCGTTTTGAAAAGCTTTCCGTGGGACTGTGGTGGTGGTCGAATACGCGCAGCGCGGTGTTAGTTCAAGTTCTATGGGAAGTCGCATGTTGACTTGCTCTGCGTGACGAGCGCCCCATTTTACGGGATGAATTGAGGTGGGTTTCCGTGTTCAATGTCAATGCTGTGAGCATGCACCTCCGTGGCATGTCCAACATAAGATGTGCGTCATGACTGATCCAGCACTTGCTTTGTGTGCGAACATGTCGAGAAGCTGGTCAATGAATGTAGCCACCTCCGCGGATGAGATTCGCAGCAGGCTACGCCGCCTGATCGGTGTGTTTCCATTCACAGGACGTTCGGCAGGTCCACTTTCTGACATTACGCTACGGTGAGTCATGTTCTCATGTTGCTTCTGTGCTTTCTGACGTGAATGAAGCTTGAGGATGCCACGAGAGCGACCACCGGATTTGTGATTATGAAGTGGCGGGACAAGTCTGTCGTCGGCGAGCGAAGAAGGGCCGATACTCGAATCAATAAGGGCCGCCTGCTGTCAGCTTAGGATGTGCACAGTGGAGCGAAGCGACAATCAGGCTATGATTAATTTTCTTTGGACCTAGGCGGCGTCGTGGCGAATACGGGTCCATGAAGTCTGCAAATTGGTGCCGGAATGACATTACCTGAACTGTTATTTTAGCCCGAGACAATTTGCGCTACTCATACTTTTTGATCATCCTCCGATGTCGACTCAACCGGCGACAATTATAGCGCACTGGACAGGTATAAAGGACTTCCCCCTTGCTCCTTCAGCATACCAGAGACATCACCGGTCTTCTGCATTGTCTCCTCCCCTTCTTTCTTCCTCCCTCCCTTCTTTCCCGATGCCTTCCATCCCAACCTCCAACGCGTCCTTCGATGATGATGCCGAGAAGGGCGTGGCTAGCATCTACCCTGGAGATATCGCCATCACCTTTAGCAACGAGAAGAAGGACGTGACCATCGAACAAGTCCTCCCCGTCGCTGCAGCGTCTGAGACAAACGAAGAGCTAGCTGCTAAGCCTGTACAGACAGCCAGCAAACCGGCGAAGAAAAAGGTTTCGAAATGGATTTTGTGGCAGTTGTGGTTCAATACATATCGGTCCGCGCTCATCTTGTTCATATCCGCGGGCCATGAGTTTACTGAGTATGCATTCAGGAAACTCTTCACTATCGTTTTCATTGCCAACGTCATCATGTTCGGCTTTGCTGTCTCCGGTCGTTGGCACTATGCCAGAAAGTATGGCGGCGCTATGGCCGTTGGCAACTTCAATGTTGCGGTTCTGGTACGGAACGAGATATTCGGCCGCTGTTTGTATCTTTTTGTCAATACGTGCTTCGCGAAGGTGTGTATGCGTCTCATCCATATCTGAACGCAGAGCTGTGCTTAATGATTATGATCGCACTAGTGGACACCTCTTCGATGGCGGCTCATGTGCACCTCTATCCTCCAGGTATCTTGCAGGCCATTTCAGACGCTGACTACATGCCAACAGGCGTTCTCTCTGTAGCATCTAGGGGGAATCCACTCCGGCTGCGCGATCTCCGGCATCATTTGGCTGATCCTGCGAACTGTTGATGTTTTCCGGGCTCACAAGGAAGAGCATGCCGTGGTTCTGGCGTTCGGCGTCCTGACATGCGTCACAATGGTGATCACAGCAGTTGCGGCTCTTCCGTGGGTTCGCAACACGCATCACAAGTACGTCTTCCGTTCTTACCGAGCGAACTCAATCTGATATCTTGATAGCGTCTTCGAACGTTGGCACCGTTTCATGGGGTGGTTCTCATTGGTCCTGACTTGTGAGTGCTCACCGATCTCACCGGAGGTTATGTCCGCTAAGTGACCGATCGCGGTTTGCGCACAGGGATGTTCGTCCTGCTCGGCGACCTATGGGATACGACAACCAAGCAATGGAATCTCGGCGGGGAGCACATTGTCAAACAGCAAGACTTTTGGTATGTCATGTGCATGACCGCCTGGATTGCTCTCCCCTGGATATGCACGCGTAAGGTCCCCGTCGAGGTTGAGCTTGTGCGTTTATCATCCTTTGGGGCGTCGTGTACTCTGCTGATGCATCTTTCGCAGCCATCCAACAAGGTTGCAGTCCTGCGCTTCGAGCGGGGCATGCAGCAAAGCTTGCTGGCGCGCATCAGCCGAAGCGCGGTGAAGGAGTACCACGCCTTCGGTATTATCTCGTACGTCCACTAGTATGCGACACATGAAGCAGCGCTCATCGTCGGTGTAGAGAAGGGACGCACGCAAAGTATCACTATCTTGTCTGCGGTGTCCAAGGTCCGTCGACTTCTGCGCTGCTAGTAGTATGAGTCTACTCTCATATTATTTTTCAGGCGACTTCACACGTAGCCTGGTCAATGACCCGCCTAAGTACATTTGGACCCGTGAACTCAAGGTTTGTGACCCGTACCGATCTAAGAAGCAGCAGGATTCTTAAGTCGACTCCGCAGTTTGCAGGCGTCTCGAACACATCGGCGCTGTACAAGCGCGGCATCCGTATCTGTACAGGTACGGGCATCGGGGCCGCGCTCTCTACGTGTATACAGTCGCCAAATTGGTGAGCCAACATATCAATAACGGTTGAGCCGCGTTGCTCACGACCATGAAGGTTCCTCATCTGGATAGGTACCTAAATACAATCTCCCCAATCTGCGAGATCTCTCATTCCATCTTCATGATAGGCTCGGATCAGGAAAAGACGTTCGGTCCGACCATTAGCGGGCTCATCAAGAGTAACATCGAACCGGAGCGCTACCTTCTATGGGATAGCAAGGTGCGCGGTGGGCGCCCCGACACGCGGAAGATCCTCAAAGAAGTATACAAGTCTTTCAATGCTGAAGGTACGACATATCGGCTCCGCTGTATGATGCTTTAGCTGATGGTATGTTCCAGTCGTGTTCATCACTTCTAACTACACTGGGAATTCGGAAATGATGCAGGTAGGCGACTCAGACCTTGTCGGTGGCCATCTCTCGATGTCTGACACGTGTCGTTTCCAGGCGTGCAAGGAGGAGGGCATTCCATGCTTTGGCACACTGTGGGATTTCGTAAGTGCAGATAGATCTCTCACAGGTCGAGGCTTACAGGCATATGGTTGGGGCTAGTGATCCACGTTCTCTGGCGACCACGCACGTATCGCCCCTTTTCAGTTTCTTGGAATCTCGCACATACAATTGCTGTACGTCTGATGGAAGTTACCCATAGATGCCGACCACTGCAGCTTAATGAGGGCGCGGCGAAAAGAGGCTTAGAGCCATTTACGCAACCTAGTAGATATCGCTGGTGATAGAATAGACCTACCTGTATACACTGCATGGTTACAACGTATTGCAATACATTCCTGAACACACTCCCTCATTTGATGCTCTCATTTATATCATGCACGGTGCTTACCTTGGGTCTGGATTTGAACGAGGTATAACTGAACCCGATTCCAGGCAGCAGCCTGCTGCCACTGCCAGTGGCGCGTCTGCAGCGTGCACGTGAGACGCGTCGCGTCCGTGGCTGAGTGTGACGTTATGCCGCTACCGTGCTCTCTTGCGCATCCTTCCAGCGCGCCGTCGCTTCACCCCAAAACGACCACCGTGATGACCGACAACTTTGCCGTCGCCGCCACCCCTCAAGCTCACGCAGCCGACGTCGAGTTCCTCGTCCGGCGAGGCATGACGAAGGGCTATCAATTGATGTCACTGCTAACTCCGCCGCTGTACGCTACGTTTGCGCTGTCTCGTTACGGGAGGGCACAGTTCTCCGTCAATCGTCTACTACGTGCCACGTGGATAGGGGGCGTTGCTGGTGTGTCATGGCCCTCATCTATGTTGCGAGTTGGTTATGACATCCCACATAGGGACAGCCAGTGGTGGCGCCTTCGAATATGCCAGGACTGTGTACTCCAACCCTGACAAAGTCCGCGTTCGACGAATAAAGGCGGCGTATGATGTGAGCGTGTCTCACGTTATAACTTAAGACGCACTATCAAACCTCAGGCTCTCTGCAGACGTCCTCAATACGAGCCGACGACCATTCCACTATTGGCGGAATCCTATTCGCAGTCTTGACCCCAGCCGTAATCTGGAAGAGAGCTAGCACAGTGAATCGTAAGTCAAACATTGATCTTGTTCTTTTCTACCGCTCATGGCATCGTATAGTGATCCTCGGCGGTGCTGGTGTCGGATCCGCTGTCGGTCTATTCGCACATCACGCAAGAACAATCACAGGCGACCCTGCGCCCGTGGTCCGCATCCCAGAGCTTCCTCCTACACCTACTGAGCCAATCCCATAATAGGATACTTGCTCTGCGAGTTTATTCGAGGACCCAGTTGCGCCAGAGACCATCATAACTCATCACAGATGCCGCAAAGTGCTCCGAGGCCTCATGGAATCACTCGAACGAGAGGCTAGCAGCCTAGTCGCCTAACGGGTGCAGCCAGGGTGTGGCGCCCTTTCGCGTCAGACTGTGAATGACTGAACCAGACATCTGTTGCGGTCCCGAGAGTGCGCACCCCTGCTGTCAACAGCAAGTGATAATATCGAAAGTATAGCGTTAATTTGTTTCGTTCACTTGTTGTGCCCACTACATCGTCAATTTCTACCTTCATCTTTAAGCCTTCCGTCCACAATCGGGTGTATAACCGCAAGGTCTTCCTCGTCGTCCTCCGCTTTCGCAACCTTTGTCTCTCCCCCCGCATTCTGTTGACCTATAGGCCTCTTCCTCAAGCTCGACCCGTCAAAGTGATCGACGGGACTCATATGTTCCCGACCCGTGATATGGATATTGTCGCGGTAGTGCGCGCGAGACCAGCGCAGCGCCCGCCTCGCCGCATGCCTCCACTTCTGGACGACGCTGGGCGAGGGTGATCGTTCACGCGAGCCTGGCGTTCCAGCGTCGGCGCCGAGATGATGTGGAGTCTTAGAGCGGGAGCGAGAATGAGATTGCGAGTGCGAATGCATGTGGCTATGGTGAGAATGGGAGCGAGCGTGCCGATCATAGTCTTTGCGCCGGGCTTTCTCCTTCGAGATGACGCTTTGTGTTTGCGGGTGGAGGCACTCGACGGTCGAGACGTCCGCTACGCGTGACATGCGGTTCACATATCGGCAGCCTGTCAACGGTTGAGTTCTCGTATACTTGATTCATCTGTGGAAGTACACACCTAGCAAATACTTGCGCACAAGCTGGCTCATGAGCTGGCCGCTCTCATCATCCACGAGATACCTATTTCCCTTCAACGCCAAGAACCCGTCATGGCCCTGTGCCATATACTCTCTCGTAATGGTGCGGTACTTCCGCCCGCCCTTCGTGCGCGTGATCGGCTCGCCGTCCACTAGCGGCTGCCCAGGGGTTGACGCGCCGCTGCTCGTCGCCCCAATCGAGCGCAGGCTCGTCATGGACGCGTTCGCAGAGGGCACAGGTGTGGGCGACGCGCTCGTGCTCACGCTCCCACTCGGCTCCTGCAGAAGCCACACCCCGAGAACGCGCTGGCCGGGCGGGCGGCGCGAGTCCCAGGAGACGCGGAAGCCGGAGATGACAGGGAAGCGTCTGGGGCAAGCTGCTCAGTACGAACTTCAATGGGCGAGAGAGGGAGCCAGTGACGCACCCCTCCTGCGCGGGCCACGTAGAGAGCGATTGTTCGAGGGCGTCCCAGATGGCTTCGCCGTCAAGTTCGAGCGCGACGATAGGGTCCTCGAACGGCAGGATTTCTAGGATGTCGCCGAGCGTCACATTTCCTGCAGAGTCGTGTCAGCCAGTTGGGCGAAGTTCGCAATAGGCATACTTTACCAGGTCCGTAGATCGAATCGCCACGCAAGGTCCCGGCGCAGATCAAAACACCGTCGGACCCGCCTGCCATTTCAGGAGCCTCGTCGTATGCATGTCGAAGGACGTCCGCAAACCAATTCCCGGCCACTGTCTATAGAACGAACGTTGCTCAATGACGATGGCAAAAATGGACGGGAGCCCGGGAAGGATAAGTAGATGGCCGTACCTCTTGAACGCGGATCAATTGTGAGCGCAGATCAAGCTCGACTTCGGTCTTGCACGCGGGCGCTTTGAGCGCGTCAGAGACAGACGACAGGATGGACTCGAGGAGCTTCGCGATGCGCTCATTCTTCTTCGAGCCCGGCTGCGTCGCATGTCGTTTGCCTGATAACACGCGTGGGGATGAGGCGCTTTGCAACTATATCGTACACGTCTACCTCTGATCTCCTTGATAACCTTGCGCCGCACGCTTCCAGGAGGCGTTTCGAACAACTCCAGCGTGAACTCGCTCAAGTCCCTGAAGTCAGTGCCGCTCTTGACGATGAGCACGTCGCCCTTATCATCCTCAGCCCCGAGCACTGGGTGCGCCAAGTCGTAGCCCTCCCAAGCGGTTGCGCCGTGCGAGATGTAGTAGAGGTGGTCATGACCACCGAGGATAAGGTCGACGCCGTGCTCGTTGTAGATCGGATGCTCCTCTTGAGCTGCAGGCGAGGAAGCACGCAACGCTTTCGCTAGAGCGATGTCCTGCAGCCAATCGGCGCTCAGCGATTTGTGCGTCGATATGAGAGATCGCACTGACGTTAGGCACTCTGATAGAGAAATAAGCGGCAGACAGAGAAATTGCGGCGACCGACGCACCGTGCGTGAGTGAGAGCTACGATAATGTCGCATTTGTGCTCTCCGTTAGGATCCCGGAGACGCTTAGACAATTCGATGCCGACTTGCGCCATATCTCGGTATCCGAAGTTCTCGGGCCATGAGGACACGGTGCCAATCCACTCTCTGACGGCAGCGAGCACGTAAAATAACGGATCTTTTTGGTGAGGCGCACTGCGCTATGCTAAGAATGGGGGTCGACGCACTTCTCTACGAGCCCTATCACGCCGATACGTACGCCCGCGCGCTCAAGCATGTGGTATTCTTGTACGTGTTCGGGGATGCGTGACGTGGTAGTGTCGATTATGTTGCTGAGCAACCACGGCTGTGGCCTGCTGTGAGTACCGGAGCTCTAGCGCGCACTAGGGTGAGAAGGTTACGGACGAAGCTCGTGTCCTTTATCAATTCAGACAAATGAGGGTAGCCTTGCCGCGTAGGGAATATTCAAGCTGTGTGGTATTGCATACACTCGACACTCACCGAAGTCGAAGTCGTGATTGCCTTGGAAACGTCATGAGACCTCAGCTACATGGAAGCAATCTCGCAATGCCGAACCTGTCATAGACACATCCGGGGCAATCGCATTCAGCACTGGAACCTAATGTGAAGCCGTTAATACTGTTGCGTCGGGCGCATGTTATGAAGCTCGGAAAAGAACTGGTATGTCGCTGACCATATGACTTCCTCGTGTGATGGAGCTCTCGACGGAGGGCGAGAAGACATCGCCTGAGAAGAGAACGAGTCCATCGCGCTTGCCGTCAGATCGCTTCGGCCATTGGTCGCGCAAGTCGTCGAGCATCGCAGCCCATTGTGTGACGTCGATCGTCTCTGGAGATTTCGGAGACAACTTGAAGGGTTGCACGCGATAGACATCGTTGAAATGAATGATGGGAAGGATGGCAGCCATGGTCAGCGATTTGTTTTAGGATGCAGCACGAAAAACGGAAGCGTGTGTGGGTCTACGAGACAGGACACCTTGCCCCCGAGGTTGGGACCTATATGAGTGACTAGGTCTCTCGCTCGGTCAAGGCAGTACGAACGAGGATCGACGGACACACATGCCACAACCGCAAGTGGCTGCCGGCGGCATGTCACGTGGGGTGGTCCGGGTCGTCGCAGGTGGCTAGGAGATACTCATTTCGGAGCGGTAACTGTGGTGTGTTTTATTGCATGACTTTAATTCATAGCCGTTATTGTAATCCTGGGCTGAGGTGGTGAGCAGGGACTTGCATGGGAGAGCCGTCGGGGCCGGGCATGGCTCGGGGATCTTATGGTGGGTGGCGCTCCGATGATCTCGGGGGCGATCACTTGATGGCCGCGACGTTGGCCGCGACCGGCTACTCCGGGACCATTTCCCGGGGCGGGGCGGGCTGACATCCATCCTCCACCGGCGTTGCTCACTGGAACTGCGTCCCAACTCCCACCATGGCTCCTGCCGAGGGTGCCGTCGCTCTGCCGCCCTCTTTACCTTCTAGTGCCGTGTGTCTGCCGAACCCGTCCATATAACACCGGGACAAGCTGCGGGACGGTCCCAGGCCCTACAGGCGTTGGTACCCTCGCCACGCATCATGCCACCGTCAACGCGCTCTACACTCATTGACGAGGAAACTGCCAATCCTGTAGCGCACCAGGAGTCTGTCAAGCAGGAGAAGGAGGTCGAGAAAGATCTCGAGGTCGCATATGGAGCCGCGGAACCGCGGTATCCCGGCAGCGGCACGGCCGAGGACCCATACATCGTTGACTGGGATGTAGATGACCCAGAGAACCCCTTCAATTGGTCGAAGACGCGAAGATGGGTGCTGACATTCGAGGTTGGTTGCATTCAGCGATTAACACAGCTGACCATGGCTAATATTTGCTAAATTTATACAAAACCTATAGCTTGCTTATGCAACATGGACATCGTCATTCTGCAGCAGCTCATACAGTGCCGGTCTGCATTATTCTACCATAGACTTACACATATCTGAGGAGGTAGCCCTACTCGGAATCTCTTTGTTTGTGCTCGGGTTTATTTTTGGGTAGGCGACCCTCAAATCTGCTTCAGCAGTGGATCGCTAACCAAGCAGAGATATTCAGACCATTGCTATGGGCACCCCTCAGCGAGGTACGTTCCCTTCGGCGTAGAACCACTAGGTAGCTAATACAATCTCCCAGATGTACGGACGCGTAAGTCACGCACACTCACCCGCAACAAATCGGTGAATTTGACTACTGTATTTCCCCAATGAAGCGGATAGTCTTCATAGTCTCGTATACCGCATTCACCCTCCTACATCTCGGCGGCGCCCTGTGCAAGAACGCCGCAACACTCCTAGCTACCCGACTATTAGCTGGTATGTTCGGCGTGTCGCGTAAGTATCACCGAATCCCGGTCTCCATCTGTTACCTCCTCTCACGGACAAACGTCAGCCTTCACGAACTCTGGTGCTGCGCTGGCGGATATATGGCTTCCTCGGGATCGCGGTGTCGCGTCCTCTTTATATGCAAGCGCACCATTCCTCGGACCAGGTAGGAACCCAGTCATACTATGCAGTATTGTCATGTTTTGACAGTTGAGCATAATCCAGTCGTCGGGCCAATCATCGGTGGTTGGGTGTCCACTTCGCACCTCGGCTGGAGGTTTAATTTCTGGATAATGTTCATGGCCTCAGCTATAGCCTTGCTTGGCTTCGTCTTCATCTTGCCTGAGACTGTGAGTCGCTCCAGTTCTTCAACATGGCTACACAACCTAACTCCGACGCCCCGCGCTCTGCTGTGCCCTCCAGTATGGACCGGTGTTGCTTAGATGGCGGGCAAGAAAGCTGCGGAAGGCAAGCGAAGGCAAGGCTATCTACGTCTCGCGCTCCGACGTCGGCCGCTCACGAGATCGGCTCGCGCACTTCCGCACAAACCTCGCGCGGCCCTTCCGTACGTCCCACCTTCTCCAGTTCCCTCATCCACTGACTGACTCACCCATAACAGTGTTCATGGCGACCGAGCCGATTGTCCTGCTCTTCGCGGTCTACGTCGCGGTCGCCTACGCGATCCTCTACGCCTTCTTCGCCGCGTACCCCATCGTGTTCCAGCAGCAGCGCCACTGGTCGCCCGGCCTCGGCGGCCTCGCATTCATCGGCGTGGGCGTGGGCACGACGTTCGGGATGTGCCTCGCGCCCGTGCAGAATCGGCTGTATTGGGCGGCGATGGCGAAGAGCCCGACGGGGCGCGCGCCGCCGGAAGCGTGAGTCCGCCCTTGTGCGTTTGCGAGAGCTGGAACTCATGCGTGTTTTGCAGACGGTTGTATTCGCCAATGTTTGGCGCCGTGTGCTTGCCTGTTGGGTTGTTCTGGTTTGCATGGTCAGTGCTCTTCCTAGCTTGCGTACTTTAATCGAGTTTGAAACGATGGGCCTCATCACAGGACATGCACACCCTCGCACCACTGGATCCTGCCCATCATGGCGGGCGCGCCCTTCGGAACCGGCGTAGCGTTGGTCATGCAGGGCGCGACACAGTACCTTATGGACACATACCAGATTTACGCCGCCAGTGCGCTGGCAGCGACTGTCGTCCTCCGCTCGATCTGCGCGTGCTTCTTCCCGCTCGTGATCCCCATCATGTACAGGAACCTTGGGGACCACTGGGCGGGTACCGTGTTCGCGATTTTGACGGCGATTTGTATGCCCCTGCCGTGGCTTCTCTGGGTAAGTGCTCCGCTTGCTTCAGGAGGATCTATGGGATTGAACAACGTGATTGTACAGGCGTACGGCCCTGCGATACGAGAGCGTTCACGCTATGCCATTAAAGATGCCGTTCCCTCTGGTGGTCCGAAGAATTGACGAAAATATTGCTGCGCCTGTAAGATCCCCTTTGGGTAATTCACTGACGCACTGAGATGATGATACGATGATGAACCGGAGGACATTTTTACGCCTTGATTATGGTGCACGACTGTTCGCACAGGATGCGACGCTAGACTAATTGTAATAGATGTTTTGAGGCCGCCCTATTTGTTCCATACTGCGTGTGCTCGCTGGATTGTTGTTCATGTTCATGCCGGATAGCTCATGTTTGAGTCGTGCTCAACCTCCGACCGACGGTTGCGTCGCTTTCAGAATGCTCATTTAATCATCAAATTCGATCATTGCGAGGACCGAGGTGCGGCGACGCGATCACGGGATCTGCCGGCTGACAGCGGCGCGTTTGGTTCGGATGCGAACAAACGCCCGTACTCAACCCTCCTGCAAGCGTTGGCTCTGGACGTCCGACAAGGCCAGCCCACGCCCATGGCCTCCGCACTCACATTTCCTTCAGCTGGGACCTCATCATCTATCACCCTTGATGTGCCACCTCCGTCACAGGAACCCTATGTCGCGCGGGCTACGGTGCCGAACGTCTTCGTGATCCCACCCGAAGAAGAGCAGGACGAGAACCCGCCGTTCTGTTATTTCGATGCCGCAGAGGCTGAGCATGAAGTATACTCTACGACGCCAGACCTTGAGGCTTTGGAGACTGCCCTTCACTTCTACCAGCAGATCGACAACCGTGCGCCTACGTTCCGCCGGTCGCTGCAGAACGATTCGCAGGAGACGATCGTGTTGCCACGACGAGGGTCCCTGGCGGTGATACGGGAAAACACTCTCGAAGAGAAATCGCGGAGGAGGGTGATGGATGAGGACGTTATTGAGGTGGTCAAGCTGCGGAGAAGCGAGGGCAGGAACGACGCGGGCGAGATACAGGTTCAGGGGATGAAGAAGTCGAGGACGTTCAAGCTTCGTGCGACGGAGGCACTGAAGTCCATTAAGAACGTCGGAAAGATGCCTCGGCGGACGTCTGCTTCCAGCAGCACGAGTTCATCGGGCTCGGGGGAGAACGTTCGACCTGGACGCTCGTCCGAGCAGGCAGCATTGCCAGATACCGTACCGCGGCCCAGTACTCCGAAGCTCCCCCGCCGGAAGTCACTCACCCTCTCTCAGGTCTTCACATTCTCCCAAAATCATCGTCCGGTGGCTCCAGAGGCAGACCCAGAACCGCCGACATGCTCGCCAGACGTGGAGAGGGCTAGGCATTCAGAAGGGGACATAATGCGGGAAACCTTACCTCGCCCGAGCAGCCCCAATCTTTCACGCCGCAAGTCGCTCACGTTCGCCCAGTTCTTCACCTTCTCTCCTAACCACCAACCAACTCTGACGGAATCTGACGTCGACTCGTTAGGCATGTCTGCAGAAGGCAGTCCTCTGCCAAAGAGATACAATATGCAGACCATGCCCGCGATCGCCTCTCCATCCAAGGCTCGCTCCCGCCCGTTACATCCCTCCCCGTCGATCGAGGACTACGGGCAAGTGCGCTCGGCAGCACCGACCACTCCCGTCCCGCCCTCACGACTTTCGAAACGGAGGTCATTCCGGAATAGGATATCCGTTCTAGATCTGCAGAAGCTCTTCACTCAGGGATCGTCGTCGGCCGCTCCTGAAGAGCCGGCGCGCAGAGAGTCTGACACTGCGGGGTCATCGGAGCTCGCGGCGTCCACCTCGACGTTTTCTTCGTCGTACTCCCTCATCTCCGCTGGGTCCCTTTCCGAAGACGAGCTACCGAGACGTAGCGAGGATCGGGTACCGTCAGAAGACCCTTTTGGGGGCGACCTTGACACGGAAATGCACCTGGATTCATTGCATTTCGATTCGTTGCACTTTGACCCGGACGAATTCTGATTCAGGTAGATTCATCTCGGCTGCGCTCTGTCCTTACGGCCCGTGTTTGCAAATTGCAGATGGGCATCGCACACTCACTTCATATCTCATCACACGGACACGTTCTCACAGATGTACGATATACACCAACGTAGCGCGATCCCCCGCATCGCATCTTGCATACTCATGATTTTCACCGCTTTCGTTCGTCCGTCATCCATCGACCATGCTATACTCGCGCTATGTAGCTCACCTCGCTTTCACCTCACTATTGGCTTCGCTTTCTAACCCAAGTATACCATTCAAGATTCATATCCATGTTGGCATGATACGTATTTATGAGTACCACATGGCCCTGTGTAGATATGTCGACGCTCATCACACTATCCAGCTCTATTGGATTCTCCGCCTCAGCCAGGCGCCTCCGGTGTAGGTCTGATAGGTACGTGTGGTCTCTGTGGTCTGTGCGGTTCATGCGCTCTGAAATACTACCAAGATCATGCCGATCTCGTCAATCGTGAAGGCGGCAGATGTCAGAGGCAGTGGTGCAGTCGACATTTAATGTGCCTGTTTGCCTGTGGTCCTCGCTCGGATGAAGCGCTGCAGGTGTAGTGGTCGTGGGGCCTGGGCCGCTGTAGGTGGGTTTGTGGGAACAACATCTGGTGCTACCCGCAGCCATGAATCGATGCAGTCCTGCATGAGGTGAGCCTTACGATGGATGGTTCGATCGACGTCGGATAAACCAGGCAGTACTGCGTGGTCCTATTCAAAGGATAAACCAGGCAGTACTGCGTGGTCCTATTCAAACCGCAGTGCGTTTGGTAGGGAAGAGTCGGAACTTGATGGCTCCCGCCATAACTTGGCGTCTGTGCAAACAATCATCATTTTGCCGGGCTTACCAGGCACATCTGTGTGTGAGTATGGGTCCAACGGACCACCCGGGGTTTCAGGATCCCCGAGCAAGCATAAGCCTCAGGCAGCTATTGGCCTATCCTCGCACCTGCTGGGTTGGTACCACTGCCCCACGCCTGCACAAGCAACGGTGCTGAATTTCAGACAGCACAGCAGTGCGGGTCACTGACGCCTTTTCATCCCAACAGAGTGCATGGTGCCTATCAGATGCTGGCGTCGGCCCCGGTGACCACCTTCAGATGGTAGTCTACTTCAAGTTCCATGGCAGCCTCTCAACTACTAGACCAGCCAGTCGAGGCTTGGCGGTTGGTCATGCGCAATTCTCCCACAGTACGGCACATTCTTGTCTTGTTCTCAGCGTGACGGTTCAATGGCTCGATCCCTCAGGTATATAAGCATGCGAGTCTACCTCGCCGCCGCTGCGATTGGCCATAACAGCTCACGGCGATGTCGGTGACAGGCTCTGGATATGCCAGTGTAGCTTCCGTGCTAGATTCAACGTAAGTGACCCGACAGTCCTCATCGAGTCGCCAAATGACTGACACAGAAAACGGATGTCAGCTTCGTTGTCAACTGTTGCAATGCGGCAGCATACAGTGAGCAGCAGTCAATATGATTCTGCAAGGCTTTCCTGATTCGAACATGCAGCGATTTATACATACGATCGCTGCCTCACCTGCTGGTGGGAGGTCAATCTTATATGGCGGCGCCGAAGTGGCATGTCAGTTGCGACTGGCTCGTACCTGCTGCTCCATATATCCATCACACTGTTCCTTTGGGTCGCCATGGTAACAATATTCGTGACAGACTGCGAGGTAAAGTGCAGCCTTCTCCGGTGACTGCACACTTGCTAACGTTTTGCTAGAGGTAGAACGATCTGACCTCTTCAATGTCAAGTTGTACTTACCAACGCTTGCCTGATGCAGCTATTATCCCATGAATGTGGCAGCGATATGGGCCGCTGCGATCTTTCATTTCGCTAACGGCGGTATGGACTTCGACTCTACCATTGTCGTATCTGCTTACACTGCCTTCGCTTACCTATGACAGCTTTCACGGCATTGCGTGCTTACGCTATTAGCCATCGCTCCGTGCCACTTGCGGCTGTCATGTTTCTGTTGTCAGGTGTGGATGTAGCAATGGATATCGTAGGTCTCCTTGTCGTCGTCTCCTTCTTGTCACTCATGCAATCTGATCATTAGTATCAGGCGTTCACCCTTGAGGCGATAGATTGGCCCCAGCCTGTTGGTTGTGTGGTCACGGTCGGTGATAACCCCACGATCGATAGGTGCGCTTGATTTATTGGACTGCAGATTGGTCGCGCCCGTATTGACGATGCGTATCCAGACCATGTGCGGCCATCCACATCTTAATGGTAGTGAATTATACTGACTAGTGATCTGCCTTTCCAATACTGCGACAGTATATGCTTCAGGGCAAGCGTCTGTTGTAATCCCTGAGGTGTTGCTTTTGGTGGCGACCTGGCGCCATGCCTATGGCACGGCGAAGCTTGTAAAAGACATACCATTGAAGACTCCTCTTACAACGCACCTAATCAGAGACGGTTAGTAATTACTATGGTTGTGGTGGTCATGTTGTCTGACCTCTCCCCTCCCGCCATCATAGGGACGTTGTACTTCGTGTGAGCTTATATAAGTGAAGGCCATATTGGGATACCGGCATTGACGTACCTTAGTGCGATTTTAGCCCTCATGGTTCTCAATGTCATTCTCGACGCAACCTCGGTGAGTAACTTACGTTGAATCCATTGCATAACGTTCAGCCATACCGAAGCTATCATTCTAGACGGTCAACGGGGTTATTATTCCTATTATATACGCGTACGTATTTCACCGTTCGGAGATGTTCAGTAGGTTTGAGATAGTATACCTCAGGCTCCAAACCAGTTTGCTCTCGCACTTCTACATCAATCTGCACAAAGCAAACAAATCGATGGCCGGCATACCCACCGATGTATCGCAAGTGTCCGACCCCCGTTTCGCTCGTGTGGTAGGAACACTCGCTGGCTCGCTCGCATACGGCAAACCGAGCTTCCCAGAAGACGGTGATGTAGACGGCGATTGGGAGATGGCTGCCGATGAATATCTAGCAGACTTGCCAGACGTCCAGCAACCGGCGACCGCCAGCGATAATAAGCTCCATGACGATGAGGCCTATGCTGCAGATCATATCAGCATAGGACACTCCTTCATAGAATCAGTTCCGAGAGTCGAGTTCGGAGTCGTATAGACGCCCTGCATATGGCACTTTGGATTATAATGTACCTTGTAGCCCCCGCAGAGCGGAGGATGCTCATCTCTGAGAGATTCATGACATATGCCATCGGATTTGTCTACATATCGGCTGCGCCAGCCACGGAATCATGCATCGGCTCAAATCGGTATTGTTTCAACCGTTTGGCTTGTTCAAACTTCAACTCATCCTGTTCAATTTTTTTGTCAGCAATGCTTGGCCACGTCGCGTGTCACAAACTCATGTGGACTGGCATGGCCATGGCCTCTAACCCTCGACACCCCATGTCACGCCGTAACGTGGTCCGCAATTGTCCGTGAAAGTCAGAGGTATTGTTATACACATGCTGGAAGGGACAGGACGAGGTCGCGCAGCAGACGCGACATGATTGTGCTCAGGCCTTTTAGTACTTCTCGGCAAGGACTGCGAATGCAAGTCAGATTGAGACAAAGAGCAAAGTAAGTACACGTACTCAAAGCGACGAGGGACGTCCAGCCGGTGAATGGATGACTAGAGAGCCGAGTTAGCAATGAAACATCGAAGGGGTGGTGAATTGAATGTACCTTCTCATGCCCTCACCCGTGATGGGGTCATATTGCTCCCACACATAGCCAGTTCTTTGGTATTCCTGCACGGGTCGTATAAGCCTCTAGTACCAAGGCAAGTGTATATGAACCTACCTTGAAGACGTTGTCCACAACATTCCTTCTCAGCTCCGAGTAGATCTCCTGTGCGCGTGCCTGGTACGGGCCCTCCTGGGCAGCATATGTCTGTGGGTAACATCTCCGTCAGCACTCGCGCCTCGCGTGTGTTAAATGGGATACATACTGTGTACAGTGACTTAAGAGCGAGGAAGTTCATCTGAATCCAGATCGGGCCCTTCCAGTAGTTCTCGCCCTTGCCGAACTCGGGGTGGGAGATCGAGAGACTACGGAGACCGTACGGAGACCAGAGGTGCTCCGGGTCGCGGACTATATCGAGGATGGCGCCGAGGTGAGGAGAATCGGGCGACAGGAGGCCAAGCAACATCGGGAAAGTGGAAAGGTAGCCTCTGTGGCAGACGTGGTAGGATTCGTCTACCGAAACTCGTCAACAGGTCGTCTGAGCATTGAGGAATGACCACCTACCATCGTTGTCCACGCCAACATCGCAGTACATCTGGTTCTCCTCGCTCCAATGCAGATCTACACAATCACGCAAGATCAGATCACCCAAACCCCGACACAGAAAGGCCACGAACTCACCATCAATATTCCCGATCGTCGCCTTTTCAATCTCCTCAAATGCAGCGGCGTCGTCCGCCTCCCCGATGAACTCCGCGATCTCCCGCATTGTCCGCGAGAAGAACGCCATCCAGCTGATGAGATCGAGATGCAGCTCGCCCGCGTGCGGTGGCCCGCGCGGGTAGTCGTCCATACCGCTCGTCAGGACGTGCTGCTCACTGCGCCCGCGCCAGCGGTAGGCCTCCGTGCGCGAGCGCGCCTTGCGGCCGTACTGCTTGATCTGCCCGCGCTGCGTGCGCCGGAACCAGTCGTAGTGCCGTTTGAGCGGGGCGTAGATCGACTTGAGGTAGGAGGTGGCCATAGCGTGGTCCTTGATATACATGCCGCCGGGGTGGGAGGGCAGTGAGTCGGTGAGCGGGATTTGTTCGCCGGCGCCCATTCCCATGTCCATCCCTAGCTCTGCGTCTGAGAGGCCGCCCGAGGATTTCAGACGGTGGATGAACGCAGTAACGGCCATTGCGAGAGTAGGTGGGTTTGCATTGGTCGGGACTTGCGTCTGGAACTCGGCTGGGACCTGTCGTTGTCCAGATGAGTAGAGATTTCACGGCACCAACAAAGCTCAACGTACTCTGCTGCGGGCTTCCTCCCCAAGGATCTGTTCCCGCGCAACCCAGCCATCCTCATCAATCAGGTTGATCCAATCCTTCAAAATTTCGAGGCTAACACCATGAGCAAGATGAATGCACTTCCCAACTGACCCAACCTACCTAAGATCATTATCATATTCGCCAATATGTAGTAGATGGAACCCTTCATCCCTAGCATGAAAGGATGAGAGAGAGGTATATGCAAACTAGGTCGGTACATACCAGTAAAACCCTCTTGGGAAGAAACTTCTGCTTGGCGTTGCTGTCAACAGCGCTTTCGGCTCAGTCAACCGAGCGCCCTCGTCAATGTCCGAGCTGCTTTCAGAGCTGTCATCTTCTTCCTTGTCCCACTCGTATCGGAAGCCTTTGTTCACCATCGAGGTGCCGTAGAAGTAACCAATACCTCCGATCAAGTTGGACGTAACAGCTTTTGAGAATTCTTTCAGTGCCTCGGGGTCGGTGGTAGGATAATCCGCAGGCACGGGGAGAGCGGCGTCGAAACGCTTGTTGTACTTCGAGAGCAGGGCTGGAATCCCTTCGTCGAGCACGGTCGCTAGAGCAAGGTCTCAGCATCGGGCGCATGCACTAGCTAAGGTTGACTTACCATCCAACGGCTGCTTCGCGCTCTCACTCTCGTAATAAACGTCAAACTGGAAAGGGCCGTCGAAGAGCTTCTGCACTGCATATAGGTTGCTTGCGGAGTACAGCTCGTCTGACAATTGCAGGGTGAACGATGGATCGGGAAGACCTTTGCTTTGATCCTGATACGCCCCCAGCACGTCGCGGGCATGGTCCAGTATATTCTTCAGGATGAATTCTAAGACCAGTTCAGTCGGTCTGCCGATCAAGCGAAGGTGTCATGAGATACCTCTTGCTTGCCATATAGTTCCAGGCTGGGCGCGGAGGCCGACATAATGAGTCTTGCCTATGCGGTGTGCATGATCGTGTGCAAAGGGACCACTTTCGACGTGTCGGTTGTTCGGTCCTGGAAGCAGTACGTTGACGGGAGAGCGCTCACAAGAACAAGCTCACTAACCGTCCACAATGCGGATGGAGAACTCGTCCAAGTCCGGAGAGTTGCCCATGATCTTGAAGGGCCCGTTGAAACCCTGTGGCTAGCGTGAGGCAAGACTCGGTCAACGGTGGAGCACGACTGACGTTCTCGCTTTCCTCGTTTTCCATCTCTAGTCCTCCGAGACCTTCCAATCCAGCATAGAAGACGGCAGATATCCGACTAGGAAATGCTTGTTGTCCTGTCTGCTCGTGTTGATCGGCCAGACGGAATGAGGTACGCACCTGAATTGAGCGGCTCTCCTTTGATGCGTGCAGCCCAGCTGCCGCCGTGCTCTCCCCCTGGTACTTTCAGGAACTCAGTCGTGATGACAACGTTATTGGGAGCATCCTTGATGACTTGTACGCCGCCTTCGCGTGCATCGTACTCCGTCCAGGTGTAACCGCTCAGGCCGTCTCCCTGATCACAGCCATGTCGTGCGCCTGAGATGGTTGTCAGAGTTTCCACCCATGGACAACGAATATGACCAACGGGTGAGCGACTGGTAGTCTTGGGTGCCATACCACAAGAGACCTGTCATGAGTGACTGCGGGATTCTGGGCCTGAGCCCGAAGTAGAGGTTGGAGCGGTATGCGCCCCATAGCAAGGACGCAGAGTCGTTGCCCGACTGCGCAAAGGCGGTGGGGACAAGGGGCAGTAGAGCCCACCAGAGACGCATTGCTGGAGGTCGACGCGTACGGAGAACGTGGCGGGCGTCTGCAGGTGATCGTGTCCGCCACTGTCGCGACGCGCTCAGTCGATGTCCATAAAAGGCAGGTCTTTAGGAACAGACGCGCGACTGTCAGGCCGCGCATTGACGCCGGCGCGCGCGCAGCTATAAACATGGCTCATACCCATGCCCCTTCCTCCAGGCCCCCATACTCTGCCGCGCGACTCGCGGCCCCCGCTCATTTCTTCTCTCGCTTTCACCGTCTCTATGTCTGACGACGAACATGTCGCCATATTCTGGGACTACGGTGCGTCAGACGGCTTCTCGAAGCGTCGCCCGAACCGGGGATGCTGACTGCCGGTTTACGTGTACCAGAGAACTGCTGCCCTTCGAGTAGTATGACCGGTTACGACATCGTCAACAATATTCGCGAGATTGCACATACTTATGGAAGTGTAATCCTCTTCAAGGCCTACCTAGAACTGTCCGAGCAGTCCCCAAAGTCTACTTTGCTACGTTCAGAGTTACAATCATGTGGTGTGTCTCTTACGGACTGCCCGCACAACGGAAGGAAGGATGTTGCCGATAAGATGATGATAGGTCGGTATTCCTGCTTCGTAGCCTCATCATGCTTCTCAACTCAGACATCTGTACCCAATCCAGTGGACATGCTTACCTATGCACTGGACACTCCCGCGCCAGCGACGATCGTCCTGATATCCGGCGACAGAGACTTTGTCTACGCAGTGTCGGTGCTACGACTCCGCCGATACCGCGTCGTCCTCGTCGCACCGCATACGACCCACAACAGCCTCAGATCGCAGGCGACTGTCGTTCTCGACTGGAGCACCGACGTCCTCGGGAAGGAGAAGCTGCCATCGGGTCTTCCTACCCCTGCGGAACCTCCGCGCCCCGGGCACAGGAGAGCCCAATCCTCCGTGAATCCGGCGCAAGCTCAAGGTTCGCCTCTCGCAGCGAAAGCTTCGCGCCGTCTATCCTTCCGTGATGCACCCTCGCAACGCCCTGCTATCGAACCATTGCAGAATCAGGCGAGCTCGAGAAGCCCACGTGCGCCGACGACACCGCTGCAGGCAGCGTGGACACCTGCTGAGGTCGATACGGCGGGCTCAAGCGGCAGCCTGCTGCGTCCCCAACGGTCGGCTCAGATAGGGCTGCCTACCCCGTCATCTGACTCAGGCTCCGCTGGCCTTGGACCAAAGAGCGTCCCTGAAGAGGCTGTCGACTCCGATTCCGGCGATTCACTGACGGATGGTATCGCGGATCTGAACCTTCACCTCAAGAACTTCACTAGTAGCCGGACGCCTTCTAACAACTCTGCGTCAGTACGTGTAAACCTCAGCAAGATCGCATGACGCTCCTGCTGACGTGCAGCTCTTCGTGTTAGCCGTACATCTCGGTCACTCCTGTGGAGGAATGCAAAGCGGACGAGCGACCCTGGCAGACCCCGGCCAAGCTCACGAGCACGCGATCTAGTACACCTGCCATTTCCGAGGCATCCGATGCAAGACCGAACGGGGTCGTCGAGATTATTCGGCGCCGTGAGTCGCCAGTCCAATTGAAGGATCAGTTCAGAGGCAGCAACGACAAAGCACCCGTCGCGATCACAGGAGCAGCGCAAGCACCTATTTCGTTGAACTCGGGCGTGCCCCTCATGCCCAGCATTGCACCGATTGCAGAGCGTACGTCTGCCGTAGTTGACATGCCTCGTCCTACCAGTTCCCCCGCCAGTGCGGCCCCAGCACGATGCATCGGACCCCAGGGTGTCCAGGCAGAGGATGCAGCGCTCTCAGATTCACCCGCTTCATTCATCAACACTCCTGCGCGGACACCGGATATGGATGTCCCGCCTACGCCCGTCGTATCATTGCCTTCGGTGGTCCCCGCGTTCGATAGTACTGCGCGCGCGGAGGCTACCCGGGCCTTGCTTACGACACTCGGCGAACGTCCATCGCCCTCCCGGGCGTCCCCTTCCCCCTCCAACAGCCTTGATTCTACGGCCGAGATAGCCATTTCTTGGCTACCGCCGCACTTCGCCAACCTCGTGCGCGTCATGGCAGACATGCATAAGGAGTCCTCGCAGACAGAGCTGTCACGCTCTACGGTCAACCTCCGGCTCTCCCAGCGGTATGGCAAGAATGCGTATACGAGCGCCGGCTTCCCGAACTTCAGAGCTTTCTCCACCGCTGCAGAGAGCCAGAGCCTGATCGTCTTGGGTGGCATCCAGGGCGGGGCATGGATGAAACTCCACCCGGACTGGTTTGACAAGGATTCCGTGTAAACCTTCGTTTAACGGCTTTCATGTTGGCCCCTTGCCCGCACTCTCTTTGCATACTGCAGGGGGTTGCCATATCATGGACATCCTGATACGTTCCAAACGCACTGTCGATGCTGTATTATGCTGTCTGAATGTATTCACGCTCACTGCTCTGTTGTCGCAATGTTTTATGGTCTCTGCTGTGTTTGCCCTATTTGTATAGGTAGCGATGTACGTATTATCCTGAATCACATACACCTCACAATGAAATGTCCAAAGTTCCGATGTACGACTCCGTACCTTGGTCATTGGACTGCAAAGCGCTGCATTTTCAGATGACATCGCCTTGAATACACCATGCCAGGGTCAGCGAACCCTGTGGCACGATAACGCAGAAACTAGAGTGAGACTAATGGCCAAGTGTAGTCCATGTTTTGAGTACGTCGTCACATTGTTCCTCGATCGCGTCAACGACACGCTCAACTTTCTGAATAGTGTCCTCGTCCAAGTCTGTTGTCTTCTCTAACGGACTATAGACGAGATCACTACTTAGAAGTTCCTCGCAAAGACCAGCCTGCGTGGCAGTCGATGTCAGCTTGTTGAGGTCTTCAGGCTGGCAGATGAACTGAACAAGGGTCAGCCAAAGTGCGGAGTTACTTCGTACTACTTACAGAGACCTCCGCGTCGCCCTCTTCCGATATCGACTCCGTGAAGTCTTCGGCACCTGCATCAAGCATCTTCTCGATAAGAGTTTCCAGTCTCTGCGCGTATGACTCGTCTTTCGTTAGTGCCACCTTGACGAGACCTTGACGAGTGAACATGAACTTCACGGGAGCCAGGCGTGCCCTTGGACACGATCAGTACCACTTAAGCGATATGGGTAGTCATCGGAACGCACCCATTATCCATGAGCTGCAGCCGTACCTGTTTCATGGTTCGGTTCACGTTGTCTGATTGGCACTCTCTGCAAGGTGTCAAGGTAACGTCTAACGTGCAAGGAAAATCAACGTACATAATCATGCCAACAGATCCAGGAGCCATAGCTTCATAGACCAAGTACTGGTCTCCTCTCTCTCCTCCACCGGCAGCTCTCTTGAGGGCGTTCTCAATGTTCTCCTTCGGCACCCCTTGCGTCTTCAGCCTCTTGAGCAGCGCAGCAAGCGTCATGTTTATCTCGGGGTCAATGCTCCCACCTCCATCTATCGTATGCAGGACGTCGGAACAGCAGTTCAAGAACAGGGATGAGAGCAAATATGCGCACTTCGCACCGCGACGGCAACAAACTTTGTAGGGTGCGCTCAGCGAGTCAGATTAGCAGACAGTTTTTGTTGGGTACATACTCTGGCCACTCCGCTATGCAGCTTCCCCCTCTCGCGGTCCATGACACCTTTCGTTCCCTTGATCTTTGACCACTGAAATGACGCTGCGGTCAGCCCGACTGCCTGAGATCAACCCAGAAACGATACTGACTTTGTTGTGTCCAGAAGCACATATACAGGAAGTATGAAGTGGTCTCCGGGAAGTCGTGGCCAGCAAAGGCCGTAAGGCCGGTCGCAACAAGTTCATGAAGTCAGGACGACTCGACGAGGACCGATGGTGGCGGCAGAGTGACGTGGAGACCGTACGAAGGACAACACCGGCGTCTAAGAAATTAAAGCAACCCGACGGACAGATCTCAGGCAGATGACATGATTTTACTCGTTTCGACTCAGATTCAACTCATGACATGCATGACACTCTCACCATGGACATGATCGCGCGAACGATATATCGATCGTGTCATTGTGACATTCTACTGTGAGGCTAATACTTTTGTATATCATTAGGGTATACGTTAGTGGCCATACGGCTAAGTCAGTACTTCTACAATATCGTACAGCTCCTTCATCGACGGCCCTCTCTAATGCTATAGTCTGCGCAGCAATCAGATACATCATCAACAGGCAGCTCGTCATAAAGTCATCACATTGAGCCCAGCGGTGTCGGTACAACACTATGCGGCGCGTTCCTGGATCTCCGCCTTCTTACAGAGGGTACTCGTACTCGAGCGAGACGTGTCCGCGGGCTGCGTCTGCAAGCCTGCCTCAGCGGCACGGACGGCGCCGACGAGGTCGAAGTGGAAGTAGGGCGTGTCCTCGAGGTCCAGTGGCGATGTCTCCTCCTCGAAGTGCCGCTCCTCTTCGACGACGTTGGGAAGCTTCGACTCTTCGTCTTCCGCCTGGGGTTTGTCCACTCGGTGGACAGCCTCTTGACCGCCGCGGTAGGGAACGACAGCAGCGATCTCTCGAGGGATGTTCGAGATGGGGACGCCAGTGCCAAAGCCCCCGGCGATGAGTGCGCGGCGGACCCATGGAGAGAGGATAGTCGCGAAGTGGAACTCGATAGTACGGTCTGCCCATCTCTCCACTTCTGTTCTCGTATCAATCAGAGCTTGTATCGCGGTGGTGTCAATCTGCGAGCTGCAATCGATCGTGAGCAAGCGGCGCAAAACCCATGAAAAAGAACGTACACTCCGGAGAAATCGAAGACGATCGCGTGCAATGTGGGCTTCTGTATGTTCTCAGCGTTCTCATCGTGACCGGGTCGAGGGCCAGGATCGTTCCACGGTCTGTCACTGAGCTTGATCGCGCTGATATCCCTCCCGCGGCGCATTTTTTCCTTCACATAGTCCACGATCGCAGTGTTGAGCAACGCCGAGTTCGGGTAGAGCACACTCTCCTCGAAGCGGTACACAATGACGCCTGGCGTGGGAGGGGTAACCCTCACACCGGACTTCCAGAGCGACGGCTTCGGGTTGAGGGGCACGTAGATGTCGCGCGACTCTGCGTTGGGCTTCTCGCTGCTGCGGAGCTGCACCTTGCCCATGAAGTAGCCGCGAGGCCGGGCAAGACGTATGAGGAGCAGGGCGAGGGAGGCCGCGATGGCGGTGTAGATACCGTCTTCGATGGTGGAGAAGACGGTGGTAAGGACTGCCGCTGCCCAGATGATGAACTCGAGAGGTGACACACGCCAGAACGAGTAGACTTGACGTGGGGTCGCGACGAGATCCGCGACGGCGTGGATGATGATCGCGGAAAGACCAGCGTTCGGGATCCAGTAGAAGGCGGGAGTCAGACCATAGAGCGCGACAAGGACGATCACGGATTTGATGATACCCGCTGCCGGGGTGCGCACTCCCGACTTGGAAGACAAGGCCGAGCGCGAGAACGATCCGGTGGCAGGGTAGGCGCCAAACAGCGTACCGACGGTGTTCGTCACACCGATGGCGATGAGTTCCTGGTTCGGGTCGATCTTGTAACCGTTAACGCGACCAAAGGCTGGTGAACGTCATGTCAGACCCTTTGTAATATAGGAGACAGCAAGACGTACATCTCGAGATAGCGATGTGCTCAAGCACCAGAATGATCGTCGCGACAGGAAGCTCGCTGGCCAATGCGGAGACCAGATCCCTGTCAATCTTCGGGGGGCCAAGATGCTGGAAGCCCCGAGGAACAGTACCCAGAACCTTGATTGGGTATGAGCCAGACTTCGTCGCCCGATGCCGGCAGTACAACCAGGATGCGATGGTCAAGATGATGATCACGAATGCGTTCCTGAAGACCGAGATGAAGAAGAATAGTCGTTCTGAAGAGCGGTGTTGAGTCCACTGTGTCGAGTGTCAGGAAAACGAACATACGTCTCCTAGGGTAGCGCTTCGTGGAGTAGGTGCACGCAAAGCGAATCATATACAAGCACACTAAACCGGTGATTCCGAAGGCGGCATCGAGCTTGGTTTGTGGTAAAGCCTTCAGCGTGTCGATGATGACCTTGTATGGGGCTGTACGGGTGCTAAAGATACGCATGAATATGAGGTACCTACACCATGGACAGGCAACTTACTTTACACTTGACAAGCCGAGCAGGCCAGGAACTTGGCCGGAGACGATGTTGATGGCGGAGCCAGTCATGTATCCACTAACAGCAGGCGCGGGAATGAACTCGACGATCCAACCGAGGCGAAGGATCCCGAGGCCGAGCGCGATGAAGCCGCAAATGAAGGCAACAGTCGTTGCGATTTGCGTGTTAGCCCAGGCGCCCGGGTGGTGCTTGTCGACGTAGGCAATAATTTGCGCGACCGTCTGTGACATGACGGCGACGGGACCAATCGACACATCCTTGGATGTCGCGAAGAGCTACATACTTCTCAGGATGGAGCTGCGAAAACTCAGATTATGGGAGACATACCGAATAGACCAGCGTGCCGACAAAGCTGGAATAGAGTCCGTATTCGGCAGGGAGTGACGCCAGCTACGACTGGTCAGCATCCGGGACATGAGAACAACATGGCGCATAACTAACTTTAGCATAGGACATGCTCTGGGGCACGGCGACAATACCGACGGTGAGACCAGCGATGAGATCTCCCGTGAGCCAACCGAGGTCTGGGTGGCGGGAAATTAGAGAAGGCCATGCAAAAGACGTCCAGAACACATACTGTATCTGGTGATCCATCCGAATATGGGGAAGAGGCTCGTCAGGTAGTCGATGGCCTGTAAAACGCAATCAGTGCTTCGCGGGAGGTGATCGACGGGCAGTGTACGCACGTCTCGTTTCGGGTCGGGGGACAGACGCCGGATCCAGTGCTCGACGGTGACCACGGGGACGGGCTCTTTGGGATGACCGACCGCGCGTTTCACCGCGTTTTTGGCTGCGTTCTTAGCTTCGGTGAACATGGCAAAGAAGCAGAGGCGAACAAGAGAGCGGGGAGCAGAGGCGGCGCCTTTTAGGTTATAAGATCGGCGGCGGCCTTGGAGCGCGCAATTTGGCGCAGGGATTCCGTTCTGCCCAGGGGCAATGGCAAGCGCTCGCGGGGCAGTACTTTCCACCGGTCAGGATGCCAGTACCAGGGATGCAGGGAGGATTGGGCTGGGGCAGACCTTGGGCAGACCGGAGCTTCAGCAGCACTATGGCGCCGCTATATGTCTCAGAAAGCCGTAGCCCGTGTCGCTAGTCGAGTATTCGGAATTGATGGGCAGGGTTTGGCGGCGAGACCGGACATTGTTTTCCTAAACAGACGGTCGCTCAGCGGTTGATCAAGAAGCACGCAATCCTTGCAGGCATTGCGAGTTTTCGCGCCACCACCGCGATCACGTGCGCATCATTTAACGCGGTTCCCCGCGTTCACCGCCCGCCGCGCGCCTTCCATCAGCGCTCTTGGGCGGGCAAAGCCGCGACTGAATGGCGATGGAAGCCACTGTAGGCCATCGTGCGACATCTCTGATGGGCCATGGACCAAAGCGGCCGTAGTGCGGCCAGGGACGCCGCCCAAAGAGGCAACTGGCGATCGCAAACCTGGCAGCCACAGTGGCCACCGTCAGCCACAAGCCTGTTAGTTTTCCCCGAGGGTGGTGTGCCCAAGGTGTGCCTCTTGCGACATTCTACTGGCGGTGAGCGCTGAGCTTCAATAAAACGCCATGCTCAGACAAGGTAGGAAAAGATCAGGCTCCAGGCAAGCTCCAGGGACATGGGATCATATCGCCAGCGCGTTTACCGTCAACCAGATCATCCACCAGGCTATGACACCGGGTACGAGCCCACGACTCGTGAACGCGTACCATGAGACTCCGAACGTGCATGGACAAGTCAGTACGCGCATTAGGCTCGTGACCAGCCGTTTCGAACTCCGATGAGCGTTCGAAGAACGGCTGGTACAACTGGTAGGCGTTTACGGGGGTGCCATATTTGGTACCCCGTGTGAAACGGGACTTAGAGAAATCGCGCACAGTGTCCTTGGTGAACAAGTGCAGTCGCTGGCCCGTCTTGCGCCGTTTGTTTCGACGTCGACTCTTTGGCGATTGTAACGCATCCACGCTATAATCATCATTCCCGCCTACGACTGAATCGAAAACAAGCACATTTGGCGGCGACAAACTAAGTACAGCTGTCCGTCAACGGATACTACGACCTTCTGCCAGTGGACTGGTCCGGCGGCGCCGACGCACGCGATGAGAACGTTGCCCAAAAGGAGTCGTACGTCGCAACAGCTGGTTGGTGAGTTAGTATTCTTGCTGTTTCGTTGCTTGGTAGGCTGGTGGATTGGATGGACAGTGGCCCGGGGCCAGCCACCGGTTGAGTTGGTCTTCGGACGGGTTGAATGTTCGGTACGCTGGCGGGCTGGACGCTGAGTGTGCGGTCGGGCTGGATGTCCGGTGCGTAGGCGGCGTGGGCAATCGGTATGCCGGTGCGCTGAACACTCACTGCGCGGGCCGGGGTGGTCTGCACATTCAGTGCAGGCTGAATGTTCGGTGCGGGGATCGACTGGACAGCGTAGGGTGCGCGCACAGACTGGTCGGAGGGTGCGCGGGCGGACTGGACGTTCGTGGTGCAGGTGGACTGGACATTCGGCGCGCGGGTGGACTGAACGTTCGGCGCGCGGGTGAACTGGACGTTCCCCGGTGCGCGGGCAGGCAGGACGTTCAGATCAGATTGCCTGCGCACTGATTGTTCGTCAAATATGGCATCTGGCCCACCCGCAGTGCCGGCTTCGGTGCGTGCTCGTTTTGTCGGCCTTGCGACCACAGCTGGTTCATCCGGACCGTGTCCAGAGACCGCGCCCATCGAGGGGTGGCGCGTGTTGGCACTGGTTGATGGCTGGTGCATGTCCGTCGAGGAAGGAGCTGTGGGAGTAGCGCGCTTCGTACCGGCCTTCGGCGTGAACGCAATATCAAGTGTTGCAAGGTGGGCCAGCAAGTCGTGGCCATACTTGTCCCACCATATCCAGGATGGCTTCAGCATCGCAGTGAGGACATCCTGCGACTGGTTCCCCACTGAGGCAAGGCGTTCGATCGCGGTGTCGTCCAGAATGGCAGACGAGTCATAGAGGCTGGCTGTGTGGTCGCGGTCGTACACGCTGTCCCTCCACTCGTACAAAGCCAGCTGTGCCTCAATGTCCGGGAGGCCACATACGACTCGTTTCGCCTTTTTAGTTTGTTGTATTGTGCCTGGTCGCGTGCGTTCGAGGAGGCTAGGATGGCAGATATCGCAACACGGCCCTGTAGTGGGTACTGGACACGAGAATATCAGCCACTGATCCTCTAATTAGTAGAGGTTATACAGTGCTACATACCAGTTGACGTTGGACTCTCAAACGCTTCAGCCCAGACTCGCCGGCGGCACTTCACGCTCTGTACAAAAGCGAGAAGCCCTTCGTCCACGGCCTCGAGGTTAAGTCGCGGTTGTTGACCCGTCGGTATATTATCTTTGCACGACGTGCCACCGCGATTGACCCCGTGGGCGTCCGCATATTGCTTGGGTGCTTTAGCTCGGGCCTGCGGTGTTTTCCTCTTCCTTCCTTTGGCTTTGGCTCCGCCCACATTCTTTGTGCGTTGCATCGTTGCCGCTTCCGAGGACGCAGGACCGTCTGGCGTCACTTCAGCTTGCGTGAGATCAATGGAGTAGGCCGACCGCTCAACAATAAGAACTGCAAGCCCCCTCCGACCACGGCCCCTCGCGGCACGTCCCGCACGTTGTATGAAGTTGGAAAACGTGGCTGGGAGCTTCCACTGGACGACAATGTCTATATCTGGTATATCGCATCCCTGGCCAAGGTATGAGTAAGTTTTGACGCATGATGCACATCGAGAACTCACCATGCCGGCGGCTTCAGTACAGACAAGTATCCTGATACTCCCATCTCGGAACGCCTCCATTGCCGCTGTACGGTACTCCGACGACAAGGTTGCATTGAATGGGCGAATGACCCCTGCGGATACTGAGCCGTCAGAGCGTTGAGTACGTGTTTCGAGTTTCTGGGCCAGGTAGTCGATGATGTCGGTCCCAGTATTGATGTTGTCGACATAGATCCAGGTTTTTGGGATCTCCTCAGCACGGGTGAGCGTTTTCGGGATCACAAAATCAAGGTCCTCGAACGTCTTCAGTGGATGTTCAGCGGCACGCACGACAATGGTGACGTTGGGGCGGTCGTTGCCGGCGTTGAAGAAACGACTGCCTCCCTTTGGGAAGTGGAGTTTGCCGTGGATGTCACGACGCACGCGTGCCGTTAAGGTTGCTGTCAGGGCAATGACAGGTGTCCCGCGGGGAAGGAAAGCCCGGATGACACCGAGGGAAGCGTACTTCTTGCGGAAGTCGGCTCCCCAGTGTGAGACGCAATGTGCTTCGTCAACAACAAGAGACAAGATGTGTCGGGTGAACCGTGGGTTCCGAAGGACCTTCTTGATGAAGGTACGTGACTGTAGCATCTCTGGCGACGCAAGGATGACTTGGTACTTCATGTCAAGGATCCGCTGCAACGAGAGCATGAACATCTGCCGGGTACGGTAGGTCTCTGATGCCATTAGCGTACCTGCAGAACGAGTGGAGAGCAGGCGCCGTTCTGGCTGTTGACCGCGACCGCGTCGAGGTTGAATTGGTCCTTGAATGTTTTGACCTGGGATAAGTCAGTACGTGTACTGGTTTTTTGGGGATTTGAACTGACCATTTCATCCTCTAGGGACAGCAACGGCGAGACCATAATGGTCACCTTTGGCTCGTCGTGAGGCCATAAATGTGCACCAGCTACTATAGCTGTCTTGCCCGCGCCTGTTGGGGCCTGAATCATGGCATCAACCCCCTCAAGCTGAGATTGGATGCCTGTGAGCTGGAATGATTGAGGTGCCCATCCGTAGTTGTCTTGGACGAGTTTGCTTAACGTGCTGACATCTTCTTGTGACAGAGGTTCACGCTGAAAAGGTGTCGATTTTGGCCCGGACGGTCTCTGGAGAGGGCGTTGACGACCTCTGGGAGTCTTTCGGCATGGGGCCAGTGACATGGCTAGGGTATGTGGGAGGCAGATGTGGGAGGGGGGACGGAAAATGAGTGTGTCGCGGCAGCAGTCGCAACAGCAGTGGCGCTCCCGTCGCCACACACCGATCGTGAAGTCCAACTTGTCTATTCGTACTCGTCTACACTGTTACACGATTATCTAGCTTTGCCTATGAGCCATCCACTGTCGACGACTTGCAGACAGATATGCCGTCGGATCCCCATGTCAGTAACAATCCACTCACTGTGGAGGGTTTGATAGTCATGTCACCACTCCCGCCATCCTCCCCGCCGTCCTCTCCGCTCTCGACCCCACCCCAGTCACCTGTCCCATCGCAACGATCTTCACTGGATGGTCTTGCTGAGCCAGAACAAGATAGCCACCTCACATCCGGCATATCCGCGCCATTCTTAGCAGAACCGGAGCCTCAGGCGGAAATTGCAATCGGGCCCGGGACTCCTATTGCTCAGAGCTCTACCCTTCCGGCAGCGCAAACACCTGTTGGACGTCTTCCACAGGCCAGTAGCAGTCCAGGCCCCATCTATTCCTCCCCAATTGTGGGCACTCCCAACACAAAACGGGCCATAATCCGCGCGAAGGCCCAGAAGAAGCGGAAGAGGACATTGGAGCAGCGGAAACTTGCCCGAGAACAGGGAGAGATTGCAGCTGCAAATGCAAGCTATCAGGCCGCCATCGCTGCAGAGGTTTCGAATCTCACGTTTGGTCGTTCGCCGGAGGGACATGCAGGAGGTGGTAATCAATTGGAGGCCCCCGTCGCACCAGAAGATGGCCCGCTGGCTGGAGTCCCAATCCGTTCGCGTGAAGACGTCCTTGACGATGCACTTGCAACACTCCAGTCGAATGGGTACACGTGGGGCGATCTTGTCTTGTACGTCTCCAACCCGTCTTCAAAACGAGGCCTTGAGCGATACCGAGGCATGTTCGACGTCCGTGGACGTGTTCAGACGATCCTTACCTATTGGACGTCTTCGCGCAACAGCCTCACTGGCCGCCAGGCAGTCCATTCCTGGGTGATGGACTACATCAAGACGTCTATCGCCCGAGAAGCATCGAAAGCGACTCACGACGGTGTGCTCCAATCACGGAAGAAGGTCGTGAACGAGAGCTTTGTCCTGGACTTTAGCTTGACACAGATCTATCACCGTCTTGCGGAGCTCTGCCCGGTCATGACTGAACTGTTGAAGGCATTCACAATGACCACACGACAGAAGAAAACACTCACTCGAGACTCTGCGGAGCGTAATGACCTGGTATGAAGCTACATACTCAGTATATGGTACTGATAAACTCAACACGGTGTACATTTGGCAGCGCGTTGGTTCCGCTTTGATGGGGCTGCTGGGCGAGCGGAGTCAGCGAAACAGTTACGGCCGGCATGTGGTTGGCCTTTACCTCTATGCATCCGGTGCACAACGCCAGAGCATCAGCATACTGTCGCACATGGGTGTGTGCAGTAGCTATACGACCCTTGCTGGTGTATCCCGGCGTTCAAAACCTGTACGCAAAGAGGTCGCAGTCGCGGGTCGTCCGAACTCCAACGAAGCCTCGGAGGATGAAGGCAGTGCGTCTGACCACCAGTCCCAAGGCGATGAATCCGACTCGTTGTCTCAGGCTGACAATGATGAAGACGGCGGTGCGGAGACACAGCCTGTTGGTCCCAGCGGACTGGATGTCTTGGGGATCGGGCCAGCGCCGCCAGCGACTGTCCGAGTCGGTCATGACCAGCCAGATTGTACGCAGTCGGGCGACGCAGCTGGCGTGCAAGGTCTGAATCTACTCAACGCGATTGATCACAACAACCCCGACGAAGCTCCTGTGGGCGCAGAGGAGCTGTCCCTTGAGGAGAGGGCAGGGATACTCCGGCGCCTATCCGAAGCTTGCCGTTCCAGTGCACGGAGGGAGGCGCGTCTTCATGAACTTGGACACGTCTACGACAATATCAACTGGATTATTCATGCAGCTGAACAGACGATGGGGCATAAGGACTCCATGGAGAATGGCACCTGCGCAACTGTCTTCCCGCTCTTCGGTGCCTCTCGCAGCAACATGCGTACCGCCGACTTCCTTGCCGCTTTCGACAACGCTCCTCCACTTTCACTCGACAACATCCTTTTATCTGCAGACGACACTCGCACGCTCACGGACATGCTTGAACACACTGTGTTGCGCATCATCGTCACCCACGGTGGACCTGAGTTCGCCCGATTTCAGCCCGATGTTGATCGCACACTTCCACGCACAGCCGAACGCATACCAATGCACAAGACGGATGTCTACCCTCTCCGCGCCATGAACATCGAGGAGGCGAGCATAAAGGGCAACGCTGAGGTGCTGGAGACCATATTTGGTGAGCTCGGACATGATCTGAACTCGGAATCCTTCACGGAGACAGTCAAGGTCATCTTCGGCGATCAGCTCTCTGTCGCACGGCTCAGAGCTGTTATTCACAATCGTGCGGGCCACGACTCGATGGGGAGGTCACTGCTCTATACGGCTTTTGCACCAGGCTTCTTTCACTACCAGATGGCCGCGACGTATGGCTTCCTCGAGACGCATTGGGGCAACCCAAGCCTAGGTCACCATGATCCAGCATCCCTCTATTGGCACAACACTATTCTCGATCGCAAGCCCTTCGTTATTTCCAACCGCCCGCCCTATCGCGTGGCGCGCGACCTCATTTTTCACTCACTCTATGGTCGCGTCCTCCATTGCCTTGAGCTCGTCACCTCATGCAGCAACCTTGACGAGTATGCGACTGGTACAACCTTCGACGACCTACAGAAGCACATCCGCGAAATCATCTCGCAATTTGCAAATGCGTCGGTGGTCTCCAAGCTGCGCAGCGCACGCTCGCGCGAACTACTGCGGACGAGGACGCTCAACGCTGACGAGCATACTCCTGTGTTAACGCAAGGCGACATGGTTTTTGAGAACGCGTGCCTCTTTCTCCGTGACGCGCTTGTTCTCCGAGAGTTTGCGGACGCAATCAAGGCGGGAGACTCCGGTCGCATGGTCATCATTCTCAAGGTCTTCGCGCTGAGTTATCGAGGGAGCGGACGCACAAAGTACGCCCAGGAGGTCTTGCATGTATTGCACAACTTAGCCTACCTCTGGCCGAAGCCCTTGTGGTACGTCACGATGTTCTTACCATAGCCGCACGCTGGACTCACACATGGACAAAGTGCCATCATAATGAATAATTGGCTCGTCAACACGTCAGGTAAAGCAAACCATTGGTATCCTGTTGACCTGTTGCAGGAACATAACATATTCTGGACGAAGGTAAGCATGAATCTGCAACTCGAAGTCGTGTGTTGTGCTTGTGCTGATGTCAAACACAATGAACGATGTGGCAGACCATCTATAATGCACAGGGAAGCGGTGCCTCATGGGATTGGCTCGAAATGGTCTCACCGTGCATCAACGTCTTACGGCAACTCGTCACCTCAATGAACAACGCACTAGGATCGAAGCAAGGGGCCAAGCACGCTGAGCCGGACCTCCGCCGCGACTTGGAAGAGCTCCGGCGCACGCTCGCCGCGGCCAATGTGTATCGTGTTCAACCGGGACGGATCATCGACGGCGAGAAGGCGGCTACACCAAACGTTGTCACTGAAGGGCTGTCGCGACTCACTGGACCTCTCGCAGAGTACAACGCGATGTTCGCTCGGTTGAAGAAGCGCCGCCGACGAACATCGCCTCTTGTCGGCGCCGGCTCGACTGACACCATGGAATCAGTCTCGTCGGGCCGCTCAGCAAGCGATCCGGCATCTCACCCAACTGGACAACTACCAGTAGTTGGCGCCGAATACGATGAAGTCGGAGTAGAGGTTGACTCAGATGACGAGGGTGATGTTGACGAGGCTGAGGAACTCGAAGGCTGGCTACAGCCTGAGCAGCTCTTCACGCTCGACGACGAGTCGGATATTGACTTTGACTTTGACTAGATGTATCAAGCGCGAGGATTAGCTTTAATAGACATTGATGTGACGACGAGTTACTAGAACATTTGGAGAGCATCAGAGGACCGCAGAGTCGCCATACTGGCAACGCGCGATTTCTCTAAGTGTCGTTTCACACGGGGTACCAAATCCGGCAGCGCGTTAGGTACCCCCGTAAAGGCCTTCCAGTTGTCCCAGTCGTTAGAGTGCTGCTCGCCCATTCAAACTCCGCCAAAGCGAGCACGTGCACTCTATCGTGACTGGTTTACGAGTCTATACGCGCATAGTCTCGTTTGCCGGGGCGCACAGTAGAGCCATACATATATGTCAAGGGTACTCACATGGGCCCGTAACCCGGGCATCATCTCCAGCCGCCGGACCAGGCACAGCTCCATGGTTCTCGAAGCATATGCGGTCTTTCCGGGACTGCGCCTAGCACATCAACTCCCACAGAGCAAGTGGCCGACTGTCCCGGAGTCCTCCTTTACGGTACCGGTCCATATCGAGCCACAGTGTAGAAGCGTGCGTAGTATCATGCAGACCACCTCGTACCGATTCCAACCGATGAGTGTGGCCGTCAAGGACGCGTCGAGCAGCTGCGAATGCCCGCGATGCTTCACAGTGCTATCTGCGATAAAGCCGAGTTACTTCACTTCTCGTACGTACATACCTGGACTGCATGTTCTGATACGCGGGGGAAGAAGACGACCTCCTGTTCCACCGCCGCCAGTTCTTCAGAGCCGTTTTCGACCAGGCGCAGGGCGAGGACGCACAGAACCACAGCGCTGCCGCAGAGGATTGCCAGGGACAGCGCGTAGAGGATGCTCCTAGGCTGCGGCCGCGCGACTGGGGCTGAGCGCGACGAACAAGTCCAACGCAGATGCGGTGGCGCCGGGCACGTGGCATCAGGCAGGCCACGCCTGGTTTTGAAGCGCGTTGCAGCCCACCACTCGACCAGCCTCCTCGTCCTCGACCCAGCAGTGCGCGGTGCGCCTGTATCACGACATCCATCACGCCCACATTGTACGATCTCCTTCCCACCTAACTAAAGCCCCTTTTTGCCCCAGCAATGTCGTTCATCCCGCCCAAAGCTGTCCCTCTCGTGGCTCCTGGCCATACGCGACCTGTCACCCACCTCTCCTTCTCGCCCCTGCAAGACGACAGCACGTATGTGCTCATCTCCAGCTGCAAGGACGGGAACCCGATGCTGCGCGAGTGGACGGGAGACTGGATCGGCACATTCATCGGACACAAGGGCGCGGTATGGTGCAGCAAGCTGTCTCCGGACACCTCCCGCGCCGCTTCGGGAAGCGCAGATTTCACGGCGTACGTGCAATTTACCGCTGCTTCTGCGAGGCGTGTATGAGGCTGACGGGCAGTGCCACGCGATTAGCAAGATCTGGGACTCCTACTCCGGCGAGGCACTCCATTCCTTCCCCCACAACCACATCGTCCGCACGGTCGCAATCTCGCCGAACACCTCCCATCTGCTTACCGGCGGCCAAGAAAAGAAAGTGCGGATGTTCGATCTCGGCCGTCCTGATGCGGAGCCAGATATCTTCACCGAAGGCGGTGCTGCCACAGCACACGAGGGCACGGTCAAGAGCGTTGTATGGGTAGGTGATCATACCGGCGTATCGGCTGGCGAGGACGGCCTTGTGAAGTGAGTGCACATGGTCCCACAAAGTGTGATGCAATGGGTTCCGTGGACGGTCCGCTTATTGGTGGCTTTATCCCAGGTGGTGGGATCTGCGAACGCGGAAGCTCACGACCAGTCTCACGTTCCCGGCTCCGATCACGTCCATGGAGCTCTCACCACAAACGAACCGTCTGGTCGTCACGTCTGGAAAGACCGTGTCCTTCATCCCGGCATTGCTCAACGGAGGCCAGACTCACAGCCTTACGCTGCCGTACGCTCCATCGTCTGCGTCGATCCACCCCATCCTTCAGGATCGATTCGTCACTGGCAGCATTAGTGATGAGTGGGTCCGAGTGCACGACTTGAGCGGAGAGGAGCGAGATGTGCTCAAAGGTCACCATGGTCCTGTGCACTGCATCGAGTACAGTCCCGACGGGGAGATGTTCGCGAGCGGAAGTGGTGCGTATCTCAGGTATATCGCTTGGCAAGGATCTCCTCACTAAAGCCGAACCGCAGAGGATGGTACAATTCGACTCTGGCCAACGACTCCCGGGAAAAGCTATGGTCTGTGGCAGGGCACCCAGGCCAATGGCGGTCCATAACCTATCGTCAAGGGTAATGTTGGTAAACTAGTGTACATCGTCGTTGGCGTCGCTCTGGGGTCCCTGGTCGTGTGGCAATATGTAGGTCGTGTGGCGGTACCTGTCGTTCTACCATCCACTCTAGCATCAATAATGGTCTGTACTACGATTGCTGTCGCACACATCCGCTATCATGATAATCTCGCATTCGTTAGACTGGAAGGATTGCATTCTTCACCATCTGATCCCGCGAGATGACTGGCAGTGCGCGCGCTGGATTACCGTTGTCCGCGGATGACCACAGCAAAAAAGGAATGATGAACATGCATTGTCCTGAGAGTGAATGATAGTGATACATAATCCGGCATTGTCCTCCGTGTCAATCCGTGTCCTATTTGCTAGTGCCCTTGCGCGTCATGAAGGTCCTGAGGCAGATAGAACAGCGGCTTCAGTACACCGGAACTTGCATCCATATCTACACCCCCTGCGATCCAACGAAATCGCCACTCACCATTCATCCAGGGTCCTCTGCGCCGCCCTCTGTGCGGCACCCTTCAGAAGGCGAGGATGCAGCGACACCCATCGCTGTCCATCGACGCCTCCGGGGCCATACACGTTCTCCGTGATGATCACGACGCCCGCCTCCTCCGCTAAGCAGGAGTACTCCTTCAACTTGGACACGCCGGCCTGCTCGTAGACCGTCGGCAACTCCTGGCGCAGCAAGGTCCCCAGCTCGGAGTATGCGACCTGCGGGACGCCCTCCTTAAGCCGCTGCTTCAGGACCTTGACGAGCGGCCGGAGCGGCGGGGGCACGCTGCGCTTCGTGAGGTCGACGGGTGGCGAGGGGCTGCTTGAAGGGAAGGCCGAGGAGAGTGCGTCCGTCGACCCCAGTTTGCTCGTGAACGTTGGAGCGTCCGCGCTCAGCCCCCACCGAGCGGCATCGGAGGCGGCGAGAGTGGCCCAGGTCTTTGGTGGCACGTTCAAGGTATCGCGCTTCGGAGACGGACTTGGGCTCGGTTGCTGGTATGGCGTATTGAAGTAGGAGTCCCTTGTCTCGGTGGAGGAAGGGAGGATGACCGGAGCGTCTGCTTCTGGATCAACCGCCGTCACATCGCTCGAAGGCTGGATGGAGTAGATAACGTATCAGTAATCTGAAGTGGAATCATTGAGACGCTAGCTTACTGTGCCAGAGCTCAGCGGCAATCCGAGGTTGCTCGCCGTGGGTGATGAGGACTCCCCTGGCACCCAGCTCGGCGCCGTTGGTCGCAACAGCGCAGAGTCTGACGGCACACTCGTAGGTATCGGTCTCTTCTGGGTTGCTGGAGACAGAGGAGGCGAGGCCGGTATGTGTCGGTTGGTGCGCGTCGCTGTGGGTTCGCTCCGCGAACGGAAGTAGTCGGCAATAGTGCCACTTCGCGATTTCGCGCCGTCCGCAGACGGCGCCTCCGGTACGACATCGGCTGGCCAGGAGTAGACTACGCTAGCCTGCGCTTTGAGGCTCGCATGTGCTGCGTGTGGCGCCAGTACAATCAGCCGGTACTGTCGTAGACACAGTACTGACACTGCGTATACGAAGTCTCTATCACCCGAGATGAGGATGATTGTGGCGGGAGCTTGGGTATCGATGGCATAGGCCATCATGTCCACTGCAATCAATGAGCATCTCATCACAGATATTGGCAGAGGAGTCGCACCAATCATCATCTTGTCGGCGACGTCTTTACCGCCGTTGTGAGGACAGTCGATCAAGGAAACCCCGCAAAGCTGCAGCTCAGAACGCAGAGCATAACTCTTCGGCGATGACTGCTCGGGCAACTCCATATACGCTTTGAACGTCTTGACACTCCCATACTGGTGGGCGATGCGGCGTATGTTGTTGGCAATGATGCTGCCAGACACGTTGGATGGCACTGCACAGTTCTCTGGACAAGGCAATGTTGAGACCGGGTCGTCAGCGATGATCAATGGAATGTGGCGTCGACCGATCGACGGTCATTGTTCGCGATGTCACGCACCATAGTCCCAAAAGACTGCGACACTCTCCGACGCTGGCATAATGGACCGCGGAAAGTGCAATACTGGTAAAGGTCTTGACAACGGAGAACCCTGCTTGACGGTGGTCAAGCGCAAGAGCTCCTGCCCGGCGGCATTCCAGAAGCCGTGGTATATGTAGATGACTACACGTGCAACACGCGCAGGCGAACGCGTGTCGTACAGCTGATTGAGGCGAGGAAGGGCAGTGTTAGCGGTGGACCCACAATGTGACAGTCGCTAGTAACGCCGTCACGACCACTGGCAGGGCAGATGAGGCACGCGATAAGGACCGGAGCAAGACATCCTCTTGACGCATGTCCACGACTGGGTGTTGTCCACGCTGAATCAGGACCGCGCTGTGTGTGGACGACAATGTGAAGATCATGTAAGTAGGAGCGGTGCCGCTTCCAGCGTTACAGTCGAGTAACGCCTGTCACATCACTACGAATCGGGGCCCGGCACTCATACGCTGCCACAAATGCAAGAACGGTGAGTGATCTTTTGCCTACATTGTACCTTGGTCTGTTCTCTTCTGCATGGTGCATCCGGAACCGATCCAGAATGCCATGTTGGCGGGTGCAGCAGCCCTCGGCGGGCGGGCCGCGCGTGTATCAGCAATCGGGGGTTGCCGTTGCACCTTCTGCCTCAATGAGGCATTCTCTGTAGTTTACACCCGTGCACACACCGCCTGGTCTGGACCGGCGGATGGCATGAGGCTGGGACATCTGATCCAAAGGTAAGCATACCATGCAGTTGAGCGGAGGCAAGGCTCACATCTTGATGCTCACTACTACTAAGCTTGCTAACAGTGGGCTGGGCCTTACCACCACCTCCGGTCTCCCCCGTGCTCGTCGCAAGTAAGCCCAATAGGGCGATCACCAGGCCGATACTAGATGCTGCAGCGTATCGCTTCCTCCAGCACTTCTTGGCCAGGAGGCGGGGAATTGCCAAAGAGTAATGGACCCACCGTCCGCAGTGACTGAATCGGGAAGTGAAAGGGTGCTCCAGTACCCAAAGGCTGATATGTGTGAGGATCAAGAGCAGGCATAGCATCGAGTCTACATCTTCATCCGTCCTCGGAGGTGAGCATCCTGGCGTTTCGTCAATCAATATGTATCACTTATGATCATGATGGTCAGGTGTAATCAGCTATGTCCCGAAGCCAGTTCAAGCGGCTGTCCGTTCCCGTCCTGCTGCTCAATGCGGTCCTTCATCACAATCGGGGCGTGTCTATGGGATCAATGCCGGTCGCTTTATGGTCAATCTTTGTACCGATACGTAACGAAGACCCATTGATTACCTCGACGGTATGTATTGCCTGCGATCATGCACGCGGTCATCTGACCCCTGCCCCGACAACATTGTCGGTAAAAGCGAACGCTCAGATCAGCCATCGCAATGCCTTTGCGGTCCTCGTCTCACCTCTCTGAGGTCTCAAGACCTAGACTCCGTCTGGCTCGCGAATCAGACCGTCCGCTCAGTCTCATATGCCGTCTCATGCGTCCGGACTGCGCATACTGATACTGCCGCCGTGAGGTCTCGAGGCCATAACGCTGTCAGCTCATCATTTGAATGGTACTCGTGATGGCCTCTGCAAGCGGGTTATAACATGGCTACATGGATGTTGACCTCACAGACGAATTTGCCCGCCATGATACTCGGTATACACATGCACTACCCTCAAGTTTACAAGGGTCTAGCGAAGATCAGTATACGAGAACACATTGTCTGTACGAGTCGAACAAAAGCGCCCTTCTCTACCAGCCACGGCCTTTGCTCTGCTCAGAACTCTCCCCTCAAAGCTGACAAGCGGCGGAACAAGACAGGCGTTATGCCTCCCTACGGTCCCGTCGGCGTCGCTGCCGCTCTCGAGGCGTCTGTCAGCACCAGTGGGTCGCTCACACTATTCATCAGATGTGGTACCGATCTCAGGCTGGCAATCCGCGACAGCCCCCACTCCGACCCTTTTCGAGCACGAGTTCTCCGCGAGGGACAAAGTCGCTCTTGTCAGTGGTGCGAATCGCGGACTAGGGCTTGAGATGGCCATGGTGCTCGCGGAAGCAGGTGCCCGAGCGGTGTACTGCGTCGACCTCCCGGAGAAACCAAGTGAGGAGTGGACCAAGGTCAAGGACTACCTGGCACGAATGAAGGGAAAAGCTGGGGGGGAAGGCCGCCTGGAATATTTCAGCGCAGACGTGTGCGATCAGGTATCTCCGAAAATGAACAATGAAAGAACGGTTCTGACAGTGTCGCAGGAACGTCTGTGGAAAATCGGGGAAACGATCGGTGACAGGGAGGGCCGTGTGGATGCTTGTATCGCCGCTGCTGGTATCCTCAATCCGGACACCGATTGTCTCGAATACAAGTCTAAATCTTTCCAGAGGGTATGCGGAATCGGTGATCAGTCTCGTGCACCGTACTGACACAGGAATAGGTAATGGAAACAAATGTGAACGGCGCACTCTTCACCGCACAAGCAGCAGCGAGGCAGATGGTTCGCTTCGACAACGGTGGCAGCATCATCTTCATAGCGAGCATGAGCGGAAGCATTACTAACAAGGTAAGGCGACCAATTGTGAACATGCTTCCGTGTATTAAACTATACACGACGCAGGGTTACCGCTGGATCTCATACAATACCTCCAAATCAGCGATTCTTCAGATGACACGTAGCATGGCTTGTGAACTCGGCGAAAAGCGCATCAGGGTCAACTCCGTCAGTCCTGGTCACATTTACACGACGTGAGTCCGCCAGCTTCGTGCCTCTCCTGGACATGTGTTCTCATACGATGTTCATGCAGCATGACCGCGGCTTATTTCGACACGGATCCGCGCCTGCTTGAAGTGGCCTCAAGCTCCAATCCGCTGAATAGGCTCGGCCGACCGGACGAACTGAGAGGAGTCGTGACGTGGCTGGCCAGTGACGCTTCCACCTTCTGCACAGGCAGCGAGTACGTTACCACGTCATACTGATGCTGAAACATGCTCATATAACGCGCCTGGGTAGTATGCTCGTGACGGGCGGGCACCATGCATGGTAAACAAATGGATGTTCAAGGGGTTGAAAGTGATCTTGTACTTGGGATTATACGCTCTGACTAGAGTTTTGGCGATATGCTCTAATTTTGTTTCTGCAGGTCACGCAAGTCACTTCAGTTTTGATGCACAATGTTGTGAAGTTTGAACGAGGGGCGGTTAGGTGCATGTCGAGATATTATATCGGTAGAGATACCTTCCGCGCTTTCGTTGACACCAGTGGCTCAGTGCGCATTGTGAACACAAAGAGAGTATGATATTGCTGCGGCGAGTAAGTGCGAGAGCACTCGATAACAATGAGAGCGTGAGTCGACACTACGAGAAAGCAAGACGTTGGAGTATGATGCGAAAGTTGATAGCGAGTCTCTAGTGACGAAAGCGTCCATGCGAGGCGGAAGTAACGAGTGAGGCGACGGTCAACAACAACAATCGGAAGCGGGGCAGCCACAACAATCGCAACAACAGCGGGTCCAGAAGTTCGTTACGCATGACCACTCACACCACTGGAATCCCAGACACATGAAAGGAACTCTCCTCGACGCTGTCTTCGGTTTCTTGGTGTCTCTCGGTGAGATCAAACGTCATGTTGTTGGCCATATACGATCCGCTGCTAGAATGCCCGTTGGCGTGCGCGTGGCCGTTGCCGTTGCCGTTGAGATGGCCACTGCCCTTGACAGTAAGGGAGCCAGCAGAGCTGCGCTCGCCGGTAAGTGCTGTGGTGACGGTGTCCTTGATCTTTTTCAAGACTAGGTAACGAAGTTTATCGTCAAAACTAGAAGCATAAATTCACAGAGTGCGACTCACAGGATGGCCGCGAAGAGAGTGTCGCGCGCGACGACTGCCTGCTGATGGTGTCGGTCTTGCTCGTGCTGGCAGCTTTGCGGTGAGAAGTAGCGCCTTGGCCCTGAGGGCGAAGCTCGAAGATCACGTCGCCCTTGTGGTTGAAGACGGGGTTCGCGAGGCAGTAGGCGTGCAGACCGGGGTAACCGTAATGCCAAATGCCCTCGAAGGCCTTGAGCTCGTGGAGAACCTGGGACAAGTCGATGGACTTAGGCAGATTCTCGGAGAGCTTCTGGCGAAGGTCGGGGAACATGCTGAGGTGGTTGTGCCCAGACGAGGCCTCGATAACAGGAGTCAACGCTCCGATGACCTTGACGTTGAGGCCGTCGAAGTCACTCTGAAGGCTGATGATAGCGCTCCACTTGGCCGTCGACTTCGAACTAATAAATCCACACCATGAGTATCAATGATGCGATAAATCGATAGGACGCAGACGGACCTGCCCTGCCGAGTCGTGGACTTGAAGGACATCTCGAGATCAGTCTCGCCCGAGATCTTGATGTCCATGGATCTGTTCCTAGCAGCCGTCGGGAGCTCCAAGTAGTTGCGCGTCGAGCCTGATGACAAATTCATGAGAGATCGCACTTCGAATGAAGAGCAAAGACGTACAGAGGACGGAGTAAGTGCCGTTGTCGATTTCGCCGGTGCCCTCATGCTCGTACTTCCAGCCGTCGCGGTGCTGCCACCCGTACTTCATGAACCCAGCGTGCTCGGAGATCTCCTCCCACTTGCACTTCTGCGACTTCCTCCACTGGTGCTCGGCCCAAGTGGTGAGCTGCAGCTGCCAGACGCCGTCGACGACACCAGAGAAGAGAGGAATGACCGTAGTGCGGGAGTTGATGAGGCTGAGGAGGTCCAGAAGACGCTTCTCCATAAACGCCGAGCGAGAGATGCAGACAGTACCGTACGAGACGCTCTTCGAAGCGCGGATGAGGAGGTTCGACGAGTACTCGAGACGAAGAGAGGGAAGCGGGCGGAACTCGGTCATACCGAAGACAGCAATGGCAGGCTCCAGGTTTCCGGAGACTTGAGCCCAGTTTTGGCGAGTTATCTCTGTCTTCGAGTAGACGTGGAAGTGCATCGCGGTCCAGGAGATGGACGTCAAGTTTGTCTTCGCCTTCCAGACGGGCACGGTGTGTATGATGTTGTGACCTGACTGCGCAAGAGCCGGCAAGTAGTGGCCTTGGAGGTAGTGAACTACAGCCTGAACCTGCTCGATGGGTCGGTGTTCGTGCGTGTGGCCGTGCGAGTGGTGGAAGAGACCCTCGAAATTGGAGAACTCGTAAAGGAACTCAGCATCTGGAGTACAAGATCAGCATTATGAGTGGTTGAAGCTTGGAGGAGACGTACGAGTGAAGTCCAGGACGATGTGCTCGAGGGTGCGATCCTGGTGCACACCGTGTTCCTTGTAGACGAAGGAGTCTTTGTACCGCGTGATCCACGACTCAGAGACTTGGAGGTTCGAGTGCACGACCTTCTGCAAGTCCACTTCGAAGGCAAGGTGCCAGTTCTCGAAGTGGTATTTCTCGCTCCTAGGAAACAGACCGTGAGTCACTGAGGACTCAAGAGCATGGTCCGAACTTACTCGCTCCAAGGCAGCCTGTTCTTCAGGACCTTGAGGTGACCGTGCTCGAGGTGGACCCAGACGATAGCACGACCATTGCTGAGGAGGCGCAGGCTGAGTGGCTTGAAGCGAGCGTTGAAGAATTCGTCGTAGTGCCAGTTCACCAGGGCGTGGTCGCTGTGCCTGTGGTTCTGTGCGCCGGTCCAGAGTGACTCGAAGAAAGCGTTGGTGCTCGACTGCGAGATCGCGATAACCTGGTCGAAGCCGTGCATGTTGCAGCGCGTGATCATTTCCCTCCACTCAACCACGCGCGTGCTCTTGCTCTCGCCCGACATGATCCAGCCTTCCTCGTCAAACTCTTCCTCTTCGAACCCTTCGTCCTGGACGGTGATGGAGCCCGTAGAAGTGATGGGCCAGCGGGAGTCGACGAAGTAGATGACGTTGAGGTCGACCGTCTGCAGGATGTCGAGGTAGGTGGAAGAGAAGAATTCGACGATGCGCGTGCAGTAAGCAACAGCGATCTCGTCGTGCTCCTCAAAGCCGCTGTACTTGCAGTGAGAGTGGTAGGGGCGGGCAGCTGCACGATAGTGTTTCCGTAAACATCGAGTCACTCGGGAGAAGACATCAACTTACACGCCAAATCGAGCACGCAACGAGTGACAAAGCCATCGAACTCGTGGGTAATGTCGACGAGAACTGCAACCTCCCAGCCGTTATAGCGACGGTGAGGCTCCCTGTAGAATGCGTAAGCTCCACCGCTCTCGAAAAAAACCATCACACTTACCTAGTGAAATCAGCGTCCTCGTAAAAGAGGACCTCATCCACGCTGAAGTAAATAATAGCCTCCCGGGAGCACACGGGCTTGACACGAGGGGCACCGAGGCGGAGGTGGAAGTGCCCATCCCAGTCCGGGAGCGTCCGCGAGGTGCTGCGGTACTCGGCAAGGCAGAGCGACTTCCAGTCGTCAAGCTCGCTACCCATGAGCATGGCAGCCTTCAGCCAGACGGACGACAGGTACGCGTTGATCTTGTCGACGCTGACGCCGTGAATGTCGTCGACCTCGAGGACGGTGCCACCCATGAGGGAGTAGTCGATTGTGAGGCGGTAGCGGTCGTCGTCGAAGTCCGGGAGGGAGAAGAGGACGTGGTTGCCGGCCTGGTGCAGGAAGACGAGGTACTCGTTAAGGTAGTGAACGAACGCGTCCCGCCCGATGATGACCGCGGGTTCGGCGGACACGAGCTGAGCCTCTGCAGCGTACAAAAGTCAGCGACGACTCGCACGGACCAATTGGGGAGCAGCGTACTCGGCAGGTTGAGAGTGATCAGCTGGACGAGGTTCTGTCCGTTCCCAATCTTCGAGTCCTTGCCGCGCAAGCTGCGGGTATCAAACGAGATGCGGAAGGCGATCTCAACATTCGCCAAGGACTGAACGCGGTCCCTATGCAGAGCGTCAGCGTCGTACTTAAGTATCAACAGAACCAAGGACCCACTTGTCAGAGTAGTTCATGCCCGAAGACTTAGAGTAGTCAAGGCGATAGTAGCCCTTCTTGATTTTGAGACGAAGGATCGCATCGTGGTTGCAGATGAACTCAAGGTGGGGCTTGCCGAACGTCGCGTGGAACATAGTCTGGTTCCTCGAGTAGGGCGGGACGTAGGAGTATTCTGCGAGACCATGCGAGTACTCTGACGTTGCAATAGATGATGAAATAATGCCATAGAGCTTCTTAGGGTATGCACGTACTGAATTGTTCCGCTGGCTTGTCTTTCCACTCGTGGGATTTGATGCAATCGACGGCATTCTCGTAGAGAGCCGTCAATTGCGCATTCATGTAATGAACGGCCTGGGGAGCGCAGTTTTCACCAACGCACATATCGAAGGAACTACTGCGTGTACGATTGTAAGCTCAGCACTAGACGAACGAAGCGAAACTTACCAGAAAGAGTGATGCGAAGTGTAGCGTGAGGTATGGACGAGATGACTCGGCGAAGAGCAGACATCAGAGACCGCTCAGCATTTATAGTGTGCCCTAGCCAGATGGGCTCCGCGGAATGTTGGGGCATTCTCGGTTCGGTGTTCTCGAAGTATGGTCGGCCCATCAACATCGCCGCGACTTTGCAGGGTCCATAGCTTGACGTTCGGAGCTATACTGAGGTACAAGAAATGTCACTACCCAGATCCAGCACGACATCGTATTGAGGGTCGCCCTGTTGCGACAGCATTTACGGTAACTCAGCGGCCGCAGGGAAGACCTGAGCTGCCATGATTGGAGCGAAAATGGATCTAAGCACGATGGGGAAGCGGGAAGCGGTCAGGCCGCCGGGGGCACATCCAATCCCACAATCCGTCCTGACGCCTTGAAGCTGTTCTGCTCACCTGATATGTCCACAGCAGGCTTGTGTTCATAGCACGACGTAGAATTCCCAGATGTCCCGTAAAATCTACCTCTCTAAATTATGCGTCTGAGTACAAAGTTTCCGATACGGCGTTTCCGCGGGGCAGAGGAGGGCAGCAATGTTGCCAGCATTCATGGGACAAAGTGCCAGCTAACCTCGTCAATGGAGCGCTCGCTGTCCGTAGCTGTCGGCCCCGCGCATCAGGTCACAGCAGGGCGAACAGCGGGTACAATCGGTCGTGAACCGAGTTGCACGCCGTTCCGGACTTCAGTAGCAGCTATGAGTGGCGCATCAGGGGACCTGTCCGTACTGTCTAAGGTCTGGATAGGTCGGTGTGGCGATCTTTGCGGATACCAACGTGCAGCCTAGATGGTCAATCCGCTAGACCGTCCGAATTGGACAAATGACATGAGAATGGACGACTGTTATACTCAGCTGTGGTTAGACATTGTGGATCCTAGACGAAGGCACTCGCTATAAATATAGTGGAGAATGTCTCACCGGCGTGTAACTCAGTCCGACGAGAATTACTGAAAAACATCACAACAAGATGGTCAATGAAAAGTGCATGTTATGGAAGTCGCGTACTTGCGGTCGCCATCCGTTCCACGCGCCTTGAGTGCCATTAATCTGCTCACACGTCCGTGCGCTCCGGGGTGCGCCTCGGGCAAGCGAGCAGATACGGCGTTCAAGCCAGGGTTGGGTGCGAGGATCGCTTCCCCGCCGGACCATGTATGACAGTGGACAGCATGCGCATGTTTCCGTGGGCATGAACTCGAGGGTCGGAAGGCAGCGGTGGCCGCGACGTGGACGTTGCTGTCAACTTGAAGCCAGGGCCGCTGTCAGCTCCTTCAACTTTGCCGAATCACCGACGCCATTCTTGGACTGCGTCGCAGGCTCAGCCACAGCGCACGTGACCGTTCCAGAAGAGACGGGCGCTTGGTTGCGGGACAGCACTTGCCACTCACTCTGACTGGCGTTCACTGCGAGAAGACCTACTGCGCAACCTTCATCTGTCCGTGCTCGCAATTTTATAGGGCGTGTGTCTTCTTCCACACCTCAGCTGCCAGCCGGAGCCCGAGTCTTGTGGTTGCCTCCGTGGAGCAGTCAGACAGTGGAGGGTGGCAAAGCACCATGGGCGGACCCAATCTTGAAGTCTTCAAGTTTGCTATCTACGTCTTCTTCCCTGTCGCCATGATGCTGCATTATGGAGATCCAGACTGGTACCGAAAACATGTCCTGACGGTACGCACATGCGCACATACCCTCCCTGTGTGAACGAACCCCGGACTGATGCATTTCCGGTTAGTACAAAGACAGAATATTTCCGCCGGATGAGCGCCTCGTAACAGTACGTCTGGACGAATCCCTTCCTGCATGACAATGTATTGTAATGATGCATATTCTAATATCATCCTTCTGGTGCCAGACACTGCCGACGGACCAGAGCGCACTTAAAGCAGAGCTTTCGAAGATACGGGAGCGGAATGCGGAGCGACGAGCGAAGGAGCGAGAAGAGTATTCAAGCTAGGGCATGCCTGAATTGACGTGCGGCACCTCGAGTGACACATGTTTCGAGTGATTATTGCGTCTCTTTACCCACCGAAGTCGCGGCTGACGACTTATGACATAGTCGTTTCTGTACTACGCACCCGGTCGTCGTTGCACATTGTATCTATATATCTAGCACACATCACAACATCCCACTGCTCACCGTGAGTCCGTGACTAGCAATCCCTGGTGCAAGTTTTTGGACTTGACAGTGGCCCCATAATGTCAACTTGGCGAGTAGTGTTTGGGATCCTCCGCAGGGATGCAAGTGGATACCCCGAGGCACGAATGTTCAAGAATTGTCTACGTCCGCCTGGGAAGACTAATGCAAGTCGACGTTGGAGGCCGGAGGCCGTGCGTGACCGATCCCGCTGCAGACCAGTGGATACAGCTCGGCGGTACTCAAGTCGTCGAAAGTCGAGACTCGGAAGTAGTCCACCGCTGTGTCGTGATCGGCCCGCTACCAAACATTCGGATCAGGTCGACATTCGTTTGAAGTCTGTTGACGGACACTTGTGACAACATAGTACTCTGAACAGGCATCCATTGTCATCGTGTTGCATGATAGAAACGAGGGTCCTTCCGAACCGATGCAACAAACTGAGGACGAGCTACAGATTGGGCGGAGGACTTGAAGGTCACAACAATGGCTCGGTAAGGGTCGGTACATATGTGCGCAACAGGTCAGGGGTTCCAGCCTAGGCATGCAGTCACTCTAGATCTGTGTTAAACACGAGCTCTCGATCACCACTCAGGTCCTATTGCGATGCCCCATTCCCCGTACCATCGTCTTGTTGGTTGTCTCCACCTTCGCCGACAGCCGGAGTCGGTTCGTCATTCCCAGTGTTACCATCCATCGTGTTGGCCGCTTCTCCCGCTTCTCCCTCTACAGCCTGTCCCATCGTCGCACTCACATTTGGCGCGGACGACGGGGTATCATTTCGATGGCTGCCGTTAGGAAGAGGGCTGTTTCTCCCGTCGATCATGGATGTGCTTGGGGTGCTCGATCGGAACGGATTTGCCGTGAAGGTATTGGGGGACTTCTGGGAAACTATGCAAGAAATACGACATCAGCATTCAGGGCGTGTGTCCGGAAATGATAGATCTCACAGAGCGAGGATAGTTGTCCAGGACGGAATGTGTGCCCCTTGCTACCGTTCATGCTGTTCATGCCGCCATTCGAGAGAGTGACAGAGGTGGAACCTTCACCCTGAGGGCGCAGCTCAAAGATAGCGTCGCCCTTGTCATTGATAACAGGGTTTGCAAGGCAGTACGGCCGCAGCCCTAGGTAGCCATAGTGCCAGGCACCCTCGAAGGCCTTCAGTTCATCCAGAACCTGGGACAGGTCGATCGTCTTGGGCAGGTGGTCGTAGAGCTTCTGGCGAAGGTCGGGGAGAGTACCGAGAATAGTGGGTCCAGGAGCCTCGATGGTAGGGGTAAGGTCTCCTATGACCTTCACAACGAGGCCGTCAGACTCGCTCTGGATGCTGATCACAGCAGACCACTTGGCTATGGCCTCCGCGCTACAATCCGGGAGTCAGCGATGTCTAGGAACAAGGGTAGGGTGGAGACCGACCTTCCAGATCGGACCTGGGAGTTGAAGGACATGCCGAGGTGAGTCTCGCCCGAGATCCTGATGTCCAGAGACCTCTTCCTAGCCGCTATGGGAATCTCGACGACGTTGCACGTCGAACCTGAAAAAGATTAATGAGCGGAGATGCGCAGGAACCGAGTATTGCCTTACAAGTCGCAGAGTAACTGAGACCATCACTTTGAGTGGTATCCCATTTGTCCTGACGCTCCCAATTATACTTCATGAGACCAGCGTGTTCAAGGCTTTCCTTCCACTCGCACTCCTGCGTCCCTTTCCACTTGTTCTCGGCCCAGGTGTTGAGTTCCAATGTCAGGCGAGGGCCGACGATACTGGAGAAGATCGGTATGAGGGTTGTGTGGGAGTTGATTTGGATGAGCCCATTCAAGATACATCTATCCAGAAAGGCCGACCGAGTGAAACGGATCGTTCCGTACGAGATCTTCTTGGAGACACGGATGGTGAGGCTGGAAGAGTATGGGAGACAAGGAGCAGGAAGTGGACGGAATTGGATCATCCCGAGGACGACTATGACCGGCTCCGCGCTGCCAGATGCGTGAGACCAGTTCTCGAGAGTAATCGTCGACGCGGAGTAGACGTGGAAATGCATGGTAGTCAAACACTCGACAGACATGAGGCTCGTCTCGACCTTCCGGATCGGAACGGTATGAATGATGTTGAGACCCGACTGCGCAAGGCAGGGCAGATAATGGCGTTGGAGGTAATTGATCACGGTGCGGACTTGGTCCCCAGAACTGGCCATGTGTGTCTGGTCGCGCGATTGCTGGAACAGACCTGCGAAATTGGAGAACTGATAGATGAATTCGGCATCTGTTCGTAGTCGTTCAGCGAAGCAAACATTTGATCAAGTAGGAAACGTACCGGCAAAGTCTAGCACAATACATTCAAGGCCGCGGTCTTCGCGGCCTCCATGCGCTCTGTAGACAGAGGTCTCCTTGTATTTTGTGATCCAGAACTCGGAGTCTCCGACTTCGGGCAGCGGGACTTTCTTCAAGGCTACCTCGAATGCAAGATGCCAGCCGTCGACGTGGTACTTGGAGCTATAAAGATTAGCAGATTATCAAAGAAAGTCAGCCGCCAGGTCGTCGAGCGGAACAAACTCGGTACTTACTCGCTTCTGGGAGACTGGTCGCTCAGTACTTCGAAATCACCGTGTTCGAGGTATAACCAAATGATGGCCCGCTCGTTGCTGAGGAAACGCATGGTGGCAGGCCTGAAATGCGCACTGAAGAGGTCCTCGTATTGCCATTCCACGAGAGCATGATCTCTGTGCGTTTGGCTTTGCGCTGCTGTCCAGAGATACCCGAACAACCTATTGATAGTTGACTGAGATATTGTGACGACTTGGTCGAAGCCGGAGATATGACAGTCGCTGATTGTCTTTTCCCACTCGAGGAGATCTGGACTGCTGTCCCCGTCAATCACGTCGACGTCGACGTCGTCATAGCTGGGAATGGAACCCGGTGCAGCAATGGGAGAACGCGAGTCGGAGAAGTAGATCACGTTGAGGTTGACGGCCCCCATCATGCCGAGGTATTCCGTGGAAAAGAACTCGACGATGCGAGTCCACCAGATCTGGACGCTCTCGTCGTGGCCGTCCAAGTCACCATACGTGGAATGAGCGGGGCAAAGGCGAGCGGCTGAGCAGATAGCGCATCAGGGAAGAAAGGGACTGTTTGAGATAAGACAGACTTACACGTCGGGTCGAACGCGCAGCGGGTGACGAAACCATCGAATTCATGGACAATGTTAACCAAGACCGCAATCTTCCAGCCACTGTACTTCGGCGGAGGAGGCCTCCTATACTATCATGAGCCCGGCCGATTCTACTGGCAACGGTGAGATTATAGAGCGCTTACTGAGTAAAATCCGCGTCCTGAGAGACAAGGACTTCATCGACGCTGAAGTAGATGATGGCCTCTCTGGAACAAATGGGCTTAACGCGAGGGGCGCCAAGTCGGAGGCGGAAATGTTCATGCAGGTCCGGGCGCGAGTGCCAGGTACTGCGATACTCGGCGAGGCATAGGGACTTCCAGTCGTCGATGTCACGGTCCCCGCGGGCGAGCATATCAGCCTTCAGCCAGACAAACGATAGATACTCGTTGATCTTCTCTACCCCGATGCCATGGATCATGTCGACATCGAGCAACGGGCCGTCCAAAATAGAATAGTCGATCGTAAGCCGATATCTCGCGTCGTCGGCATCAGGAATGGAGAAGAGTATGTGATTGCCGGCTTGGTCGAGGAAGTTGAGGTACTCCTTGAGGTAGTATGCAAATGCTTCCTGGCTGGTGGTCATTGCTGGAGCCATGGAAACGAGGCGAGCTTCTGCGTGCTCCAGTCAACACCATTGAACTTGGAGGCAATCAGGAAGACCGCCCACTCGTCAAATCCAGAACGATCAGTTGAAGGGGATTCTGGCTGCGCTTCAAAACCTCGTCGTCGACAGGCAAGCTGCGGGTGCTGAAGGGTACACGAAACGAAACTTCGACATTCTTCAACTCTTGAGGCCTGTTCATTTGCAGCAGTTCAGGGTTATCATGGTCGCAAGACAAAGGCTCTGAACCCTCACTTGTCAGAATAGTTGATGGCCGATGCTGCGGAGTGGTCAAGGCGGTAGTACCCGTCCTTGATGATAAGCTGCAGAAGCGCATCATGGTTGCAGATGAACTCCAGCTTTGGCTTGTCAAAGGTTGCCTTGAAGAAGACTTCCCTTCTCGCGTTCGGTGGTGCATAGGTGAATTCTGCAAGAGCATGCGAATATCCTGCAATCGTAACGGTCAGTCCATCGGAAGCCAAGTTGAATCTGCCATTTACTGGATTGCTCCGGGGGCTTTTGAGAAGGGTTGTGTTTCTTGAGACAGTCGATGGCATTCTCGTAGAGCGCCCCCAATTGCGCGTTCACGTAGCGAACGGCCTGGCAAGCGCAGTTCTCGCCAACACACATAGCAATTGAGATGCTACAGACATGAGAGTAAGCGTACTGACAACGCAACGATGCCGGTCCTTACTGGGTCCTGAGGGAACCTTGTGGAGTTTGTTCACGGGGCAGGGAGGCCGGAGTGCTTGCTGAGCGGTCTGAGGGATCGATGACCTTGCTGAGGGAGAGCAGACAGAAAACCTGCACGGTATATATACTCGACGGGGTAGATGGCCGCCGTATCTAGAGTCCAGAGGTCGGTCTTGAAAGACTTCTGGAGATACTATTAACAGCGGGCGTTGAGACGCCTTCGTTGAATTCGTGATGTTAGCATCGCACATTAACTGACGGACAGCAGGTATAGACAGCCATACTTAGTATTGATTCAAACGCAAACCCCACATGTCGCCGATTCTTGCAGCTAGTTGAAGGAACAAACGGTATCATGTCCGCCAAATTGGATGCAGGAAAGAGTCGAGAGTGCATCCGCTGCAAACACGACATGATCTCTACGTGGCATGTTTTGTCCACAGAACGCGATGGACTGACCTGATGCAGCACGATCCCACTCATCCTCCACCCGCAGTTCATCTGCGCCACAGCATGTGCCTCTGGCGAATGAGAGACCCTTCCGTCCTCATTTCACGGCAGTCTAAGAATCTGGGAGCAATATGTCTGTGTCCTGTACAACGTTGCGGTTGACTTCAATGAGCAGAGCGCACGGCGACACAGGCAGTGGGAGAACTATCGAGATTCAGAAGTTAATGCCATGCTGCCAACGAAGGCCCAGGAAGAACGTACCCAGACGCCAGGCAAGCGCCGTTGCATGAAGCAGGCACACATTAGCCGCGGACTCTGTGGTTCAAGATAGGCATTGGAGATGCTCTCATACCCATGTACATTAGGAGAGGAAGAAGAACGACTCACTGAACAGGGCGTGCCTCGACGGTTCCGTGCCGATAAGATCAAACTCAGGCCCATGACGTGGATATCGATTTCGACTCTTAGGCCCAGCCCACTGCCAGCAGGTCCATCTGCCCTCTGCGTTAGGGCCCGCAATGGGCATTGCATTAGACTTACCATAGATAAGGTGAACTGGACGAGAAGCAACTGACGGACTGACTCACTTAGACGTCCTGACGACTGATCCGACTTCTTCAGGTGGTCGATAGTGTTCCTGCGAGGCCCCGCGAGCGAAGTCCCCGTGTGGTCCTTGCCAGCATCCCAGGAAGCTTAGGAGATGAGCAGGGTGTAGGGCATGTGCTCAAGGGAGCAAATGCTATACCTGACATATAGAAGAATTGCAGATTCAAAGACCCGCAGTGCATCGCACAGGCAATGTTGCATTCGGAAGTACCTCCACGTCCTAGATGGGAATCTCCCAGCTCTCACCGTTGCACAACACGTCCCAGTGTGTCCGTCCCTCCACTTTTCTCTCCACAATGCCCCTATACTCCTCGAACTCCGCGAGCGAGATTTTGAAGCCTCCACACACAACGAAGACGACCGTCCGCGGTGCTCCCGAAGCAGATGGTGGTACGAGTTTTGTAAACAGTTCGGGTGAGTATGCCGGTACGAGCGTAGTCGAGCAGGACAACTCGGCAAGTATCTTGTGTTCGTCTGTGATGCGAGTGTCAAGCGCCATTCAGCTCGGATTCTCTGAGGGACCTACCGGCGAAGAGCAACCCAGCCTTCATCGCTAGCTCGTCATCCACGCAGACGCTCTTGATGCCGCCCTTCCTATCGAGCGCCATGCGGACCGACCCCGCGGCGGGCGAGCTCGCGCCCAGTGACGTGGCGCGCGAAGTGAGAGCGGGTAGGTGTGCGACGGTCACGTCATGTTCGGGACAATGTGCAGGGCGGACGTCTTCTGCAGGCTCGGCTGTCGTGGGGAACGCGCCAGGGTTGAGCGCGAGCGACTGGTAGAAGCAGTTTGAGCCTGTGGTCTCCAGCGCAACGACAGACACTATACATGGAGTCAATATTAATGAGATGTGATAGAGATGCGTGGAGATGCAGGGCTGACCGTCGTCCCATCCGACCGACTTGCATCCCAGCATGACGCCAGCGCAGAGGCCGGCGCCGCCGACGCTGCAGAAGATTGCGTCTGGCTTGATGTCCTTGGGCAGCTGTCGGGCGAGCTCTGCTATCATCGAGCTATGACCTTCCCAGAGGAGGGGCTCATCGTACGCAGGGATCATGACACTGTTTCGCGGACATGGCCAAGACGGACGTCATCAGTTGTGCTTTTTATGGGTCAAGCGATGAGTCGTTCGTACGCGTTTGATTGAGTTTCGACAGCCTTCTCCGCTGCTCGCAGGGCGTCGAGGTATATTTTTCCTGCGGTCACGACCTCCGCGCCTTCCCGCTTCAAGAATTCTACGGTGGATGCACTGACGCCTTCAGGGAGGAAAACGGTGCACCGAAGGCCAAGGGCCTTGGCTGCGCATGCAGCGGCGAGTCCGGCATTTCCTCCGGATGCAATAATGACATGGACGCCAGGTCCATGTCTGCGACGTGCATGCAGAACGAAGTAAGAAATCCCGCGCGATTTGAAGGACTGTGCGGGCTGGAGGTACTACAGGTACCACGCGTCAGCCTGAGTGCCGGGTGCCATGTAGATAAACCGTACCTCGAGCTTCAGATACACATTGCAGCCGAGGCGAGCAGAGATGTGCGACGAATAGACCAGTGGGGTCTCGAGCCAGAGTTTCTCGGGATCGCTATCGGCTGCGGTGGTCATGATCGCCTTTGCACCTGTGCCGTTACGCTGCCAGCGCGCGTGTTCTTGTACTACTTGTTTGCTAGCTTACTCAGTCAACCGGGCGGCGTTAGTAAGAGGCGGGCATCGACTCAACGCGGGAGATGCTGATGATGAAATCTGCAGTTATAAAACGCAACAAGCAAACTGTGGTTTGGTGTCACTTTGTCACTGTGGCCGGGTATAGATCCACGTGACCGTGGTATGCCTTCGGGATCGCGATCGAGGGAGCATACGCGCCGCGCGGGCTGCCCTGCGCCAGCATCAGAACTGAACCGACAGAAAACAACACCACGCACCCAGTCGCCAATTAAAGACATGCTTGGAATGGGTATCGGCGACTCCCAGCGGGATACCTCCTATTCACCGTGGTCCGAACCTGTTCAACTGCTCCCACCATGTCCATGTGCCCCTGCTCCCCGGCTTCGGCGGTCCGCACGCTCTTCCGGCGAAATATATACGGCCTCCTCCTGCGCGAACGCTCCCGGAGAGACCTGGACTCCTCCTGCGGTCTGCGATCGACATGCGCTTCAACGACGGTTTCTGGCTCCTGAAGAACGGTGTAAAGGGCCACTATGGCCTCCAGGTCGTCCAGGCGCTCCCGGACGGCGATGGCTACAGCCTGCAGGTATCGACCAAGCCAATCCGTCACCGGGGGGACACGCTCGCGGGTGAGTAAAGCATACGAGGCTCATACATTGTTGTGCCGTATGAACGCCGTCGCGCACCCCCAGGACCACTTCTGAGCATTCGCGTCCATTCACCCAGTGAGGGAGTGATCGGCGTCAAGATCGACCACTTCAAACATGTCGAGCCGAAGCCAACCTTCGAGCTGTTCCCCGACGATCCGCCTGTCCCGGCCGCAAGGCTCGCAGACGGGATTGGCTCCTGGACAATCACAAGCGGCGATCTCACCGGAGAAATTACGGAGAATCCATACACCATCGCTTTCCGTTCTCCCCAACGCGTCCTGACGACGTCCGGAGTGAAGCATCAAGCGATCTACGACGTTCCACACAAGTGGACTCTGCAGAGTGCAGCAAACGGATCATGTCTCACGACTGACTTCAGCTCGAATCCTCATCCCGAGCGAGTTCCTGACAACGTTCGGTACACAAGCTCAGAGCTGAACCTCTCTCCCGGAGAACTCATTTACGGTATGGGAGAGCAGTTCGGTGCTTTCGTGAAGAATGGTACGCCACGGTTGATCTTACGCTGCTCCGTGCGACTCACAATTGCGGCGTTCTAGGCCAGTCAGTCAGCATATGGAACCAGGACGGCGGCACGTCCAGTGAACAGGCGTACAAATGTGTACCTTTCTACATGACGAACCGTAACTATGGTGTCTTCATCAACCATCCTGGCGAAGTCGAGATCGAAGTAGGCAGCGAAAAGGTCAGCAGGGTTGGCGTGAGCGTCGCCGGCGAGACTCTTGAGTACTTCATCATCTACGGTGCCACGCCTCTGGAGGTGAGCCTCCCGCGATTCATCCGCAGCACATCGAGTCGCCCACTTACCCACCCCAACTTATAACACAGATCCTCGAACGCTACACGCGCATCACCGGACGGCCAGCGTAAGCCCCTCGAAGTTGCCTGCGTGACACTCGCATGCGATTATGACCGCCCGGCCAGGTTGCTGCCCACATGGACGTTCGGGCTCTGGCTGTCGACGTCCTTCCTCACGTCTTACGACGAGAAGACCGTCTCAGGCTTCCTGCAGGGCATGCGGGACCGCAACTGCCCCGTCCGCGTGTTCCACCTGGACTGCTTCTGGATGAAGCAATACGAGTGGTAGGAACTACTGCGGGCTTGGTGCTGAGCTTCGACGTGACATGTGTGCTGTCAGGTGTTCGTTCACGTTCGACCCGGATAACTTCCCGAACCCGAAGGCATACCTCGCGGACATCAAGCAGAAGTACGGCGTTAAGATTTGTGTATGGAGTGGGTTGTTTATCTTGAGGAGCCGCGCGATTGTTCTAATCCTATTCTGATCCCGAATTTCTCAGTCAACCCCTACATTTCGCAATTGTCGCCCATCTTCCAGGAAGCAGTGAGGGAAGGCTACTTGATCAAGCGCACAGACGGAACGCCGTGGCAGTGAGTACGGCCTTCGCGCTCCAACAACGCGTGTTGACGCGTTCCTTTACGTCAAGGTGGGACTTGTGGCAGCCAGGACTGGGAGTCGTAGACGTGACGAACCCCGCAGCGCGGAAATGGTACCAAGACAAGCTCGACGCCTTGATTGACCTCGGCGTGGACACCTTCAAGGTGAGCACGCGGTGCGAGACGATATCTGCGGTATCTTGACGCGTCGTACTCCGCAGACAGACTTTGGCGAGCGGATACCGCACGCGCAAGTAGTCTTCCACGATGGCTCGGACCCCATGCGGATGCACAACGCGTATTCGGTCATTTACAACGAGATGGTCTTCGCGGTTTTGGAGAAGAGGTTCGGGAAGGGCGAGGCGGTCGTGTTCGCTCGTGCCGCCAGTGCGGGTGGCCAGAGGTACGTTCAGCCATGCTCGATGAAGCTGTGGTATTGAGGGTTTGTGCGCAGGTTCCCGGTGGTAAGTTTACTTGCCCGAACGTATGCACCGGAAGCGTTACTGACTTCCCGACCAGCACTGGGGCGGCGATTGCGAGTCGACGTTCGAGGCCATGGCTGAGTCGCTGCGCGGAGCCCTGAGCTTGACGGCGTCGGGCTTTGCGTTTGCGTCACACGACATTGGAGGCTTCGAGGTGCGTAGAATGACATCTCCAAAAATCCTTGTTAACGTTCGGGATGTATGTAGGGGCATCCACCACCAGAGATTTACCACCGATGGGTCGCGTATGGGCTCTTCTCCTCCCACTCCCGGCTCCACGGTTCGATGTCGTACCGTGTGCCATGGCACTACGGGGAGGAAGCAGCGGTATACATGGCGCGTTTCCTCGATGCCAAACACCGGCTTATGCCCTACTTATATATGCTTGTAAGTCTCAAGCACTAAGGTCGAACTCGGACATCTCACACATCCCACGCAGACTCTGACGGCGCGCACGCACGGGCACCCACTCCAACGAGCCATGTTCATCGAATTCCTCTCCGACCGCACCACACACTACCTCGACCGCCAATACATGCTCGGGCCCTCGCTGCTCGTCGCCCCCGTCTTCGTCCCCGAGGACGAGGACACGGAGTACTACGTCCCCGCGGGGCGGTGGACGTCGTTCTTCCACCCACAGCGCACAATCGACGGGCCCCGGTGGGTGCGAGAGGTTGTCCCGCTCAACGAGATCCCCGTGTATGTCCGGCCGGGGACGCTGTTGTGCCTCGGGCCGATGGGCATCGGCCGGCCAGACTATGAGTATTCGAAAAGCGTGGAGGTTCAGGTTTACGAGTTGGCGGATGGGCAGGTCGTCCACACAGACGTGCCTGTTGGGGATGGTTTAACCGTCGCGGGGACGGTGAGGGCGGAAAGGAGAGGCGGGGAGGTGATCGTGAACATTGTTGCTGGGAGCGTTGAACTGACGTCTGCGAGACTGTTCATGGGTGGGCAAGAGGTCGTGGCGGATTTGAGCAAGGGACAGACGGAGGTCTCCTTGAAGTTTTGATTGTAGGAAGCGAACAAAAATGTATGCACAACATACCCTGTACTATAGGAGGCGTCACAGCAATGCGGGGCGTTCGACTGTACCATTTACATAGTCGGAATCACCTAGGCTGAATATACAATTCGCCCATACATCCAGGGCGCTCATTCCGTAGATGACCGTTGTCTCCAGACCTCCTCCGATGGGCTCGCCTGACCTTCACAGCTGAGAATTAAGGGCGTGTTTGGGAAGTTGGCATGGAGTGGACTCGACCACCGACGGCCGAGCAGCACCTCCTTACAAGCGCGTAGTCGGGTGCGCAGAACGGAGAGCCTTTTGTGGAGCTAGAGAGACCGTGCACTGTCGAGCGAGGGCGAGAAAGCCACGACTGGATCCGAGCGACACGGGATACAGTTATAGCCTATTACTGGCGGAGTTCCTTCCAAGCTTGCTCGGTCTTCTGCCGGCGCAGTGTCGCGTCCTCACGGTTCCGAGTGGTGCGCGCGATACGCTGGACCCGAGGTATTCAACGAGATATACCCTGCGACATCAGCGGTACCCCGGGCTTACCTCTTTCCTCAGGCACATATTCAAATCGTGCTTGGCCTGATTGCAGCCCCCCGTCCACTTCAGCCAGTTGTTGGCGTGACAGGCGTCCAGTGCTTGGATGAAGTCCCTGCAGGCTGAATGGTAGCGGCCGAGGTAAGAGGCCAGCGCCAGGCTGTGTGAATGACAGTAGAGAGAACGCAGAGACGCACCAAGACGCTTGTTGTCGGTCTCCAGCTGGGGATGCATCGTCGGGGTCGACGGCGGGTGCTCTGGAACAGTCAGCCCTCAGCACATTCGCACAAGACGGTAAGATATGGCTGTACCTGCGTGTCAGCAGCCTGACCGGCTCAGGAGACAGGTGCTCGGGAGGACGCGCGGTGAGAACGCGGACACGAAAGGAGGGCGAGGATGAGAAATGGCCGCGACAACGATTAGTGCTGGCCGCACGTGATCCGTCGCGCTATAAAGTCGATCGCACCGGAGCGGAGACCGCCTCTCGTTTCCCCCTCCGTCTCACAATCTACAGCCATGGCCAAGTTCGTCCAGGATTCCACAGACGATGTCTGCATTGCGACTATCCGTGCCCTCGCCGCGGACGTCGTCGGCAAGGCGAACTCTGGTCACCCGGGTGCGTATACCTCGCTCGGTTACGCTGTACGTCGTCTCTGACGCGGACACGGTGCATATCCAGGTGCTCCCATGGGTATGGCACCGGTCGCCCATATCCTCTTCTCTCGGTGGGTGGACCAGCACTGTTTCCGAATATTTCTCTCATGTCCCGTATTTCTATAGCTTCTTCAATGCCAACCCCAAGAGCTCGAAGTGGTTCAACCGCGATCGATTCGTGCTCTCCAACGGGTACGTTATAGTCTGCGTCTCTACAGACACATACTAATAATTTATTCAGCCATGCGTACGTTACCTCCAGAGCGATCTGTACAGATAGTACATTAACAGAATTGCAGCTGTGCTCTGCAGTACATCCTACTCCATCTGCTCGGCTACAAGCTCTCCATGGATGACCTGAAGCAGTTCCGTCAAATCGACTCGCTGACTCCTGGTCACCCCGAGACTGGTCACACGGACGGTATTGAAGTCACCACTGGGCCTCTCGGTCAGGGATTCGCGAACGGTGTCGGTCTGGGTATTGCACAGGCGCACCTAGCTGCGACGTTCAACAAGGACGGATTCGACCTCGTTGACAACTACACTTATGGTAAGATGACTGGATATTGAGCTAGCTCTAGTATCTCACATGATGGTTAGTCTTCACCGGTGACGGTTGCTTGATGGAGGGTGTCGCTAGCGAGGCAGCCAGTCTTGCAGGGCACTTGCAGCTCGGCAACCTGATCTACGTGAGATATCCCTGTTCTTTTCGTATCAGTCACTTCAGCTGATTACTCCGACAGTTCTACGACGACAATCGTAAGATCTGGCTTTGTGCTGCTCGAGAGAATACATCCTAATGCGCTTCTAGACATTTCTATTGACGGTGACACCGCCGTCGCGTTCACGGAGAACGTTGAGCAGCGGTTCCTCTCGTACGGCTGGCAGGTTCTGCACGTCAACGACGGTGACCGGTACGTCGCTGGTTTTGCTCCTTCGGGCTTCTGCTAACGATCATCCAAGCGATCTGGAGGGTATTTACAATGCCGTCATTGAAGCACAGAAGGAAAAGAAGAAGCCTACCATCATCCGCCTGCGAACGACCATCGGTTATGGTTCGAAACAGCAGGGCACGCACGGCGTTCACGGTGCTCGTACGTATCAGCACCTTATTGCGACTCGGCAGTGTCTCATGACTTCCTCCCATGCAGCGCTCAAGGCCGATGATATTCAAGCTTTGAAGACCAAGTTTGGTCTCCCTGCTGACAAGACCTTCTACGTCCCGGATGACACATACAAGGTCTATGCTGCCAGTGCTGCACGCGGCGCAGCCCTCCAGAAGAAGTGGGATGCCCTGCTGGCTTCCTACGGCCAGAAGTACCCGAAGGAACACGCCGAGCTCACGCGCCGCATTGCTGGCAAGCTTCCTGAGGGCTGGGAGAAGTCGCTGCCCGTCTACAAGCCCGCAGATGCTGCCCAGGCGTCGCGTAAGCTGTCTGAGATCGTGCTGACCGCAATTACCCCCATATTGCCTGAGCTCATGGGTGGTTCCGCCGATCTGACGGGCAGTAACCTGACGAGGACGAAGGCTATGATCGACTTCCAGCCCGAGAGCACTGGCCTCGGCAGCTACAAGGGCACGTACCTCCGTTTCGGTGTACGCGAGCACGGCATGGGTGCCATTGCAAATGGCATGCACGCATACGGCGGTATTATTCCGTTCGTCGCGACCTTCATGGTGAGCATCTCGCCGTACTGGCCGTCTACTTACGTACTGAGATTAACATCTTCGCCGATTAGAACTTTGTCTCGTACGCGGCAGGTGCTGTTCGGCTGTCGGCCCTCAGCGGGCACCAGGTCATCTGGGTTGGTACGTGCTCGCGAACCGTTCCCCATTGACGCGCGCACTAATTCCTTTACGCAGCTACACACGACTCGATCGGTCTGGGCGAGGACGGCCCCACGCACCAGCCCATCGAGACTGCGGCGCACTTCCGTGCGATGCCCAACATCGACTTCTGGCGTCCGGCCGACGGCAACGAGACGTCGGCGGCGTACTACATCGCCCTGACGCGCAAGCACACGCCGTCGATCCTCTCGCTCTCGCGGCAGAACCTCCCGAACCTCGAGGAGTCCACGATCGAGAAGGCCTCGAAGGGTGGCTACGTCGTGCTCGAGGAGCAGGGCGAGGACCTCACGATCGTCAGCTCGGGTAGCGAGGTCAGCATCGTGCTGGAAGCGGCCGTACAGCTCCGGTCGGAGGGTGTTAAAGTCCGGGTGGTCAGCCTGCCGTGCTGGTCCATCTTCGACCTCCAGCCTAAGGAGTACCGCCTGAGTGTCCTTCGGAGCGGTGCCCCGATCCTTGCGGTGGAGGCCCTCTCGGTAAGTCGAGCACACGTTGACATTCTAAAAGATTGGAAGCTGATAACATCGCGTGCACTGTAGCCCTTCGGATGGCAGAAGTACAGCCACGAGGTGAGAGGTCCTTCCGAATTCTATGCAGACATATATTGACCGTCACCTTTACGCAGCAATTCGGTCTGTTTGGCTGGGGTGCGTCTGGTCCCTACAAGAAGGTCTACGAAAAGTTCGGCCTTACTGGCAGCAGTGAGTACCCTCGCGGCACGTTGCATCTCCAAGGACGTGCTCCTGACATTTTTCCGCAATAGACATCGCATCGATCAGCAACAAGGTCATCACCTTTTATAAGCAGAAGGGCGGCGAAGTTGTGTCTCCTCTGGTCAAGGCCCTCTGAAGAGCCAGCAAAGACAGCTTGTCTAAGGGTAAATGAGGTCACTCGGGGCATGTAGAAGCAATGTATTTCTGTACTCTCGGCATAATCCAAGCTTAGATGGTATTGGCGTACATCCCTGAACATGGCGGGGTGATAGAGTGACTGGCAGGCCTCAGGTGTCTGTCTGGTGATGCTTCGGAGAAGGTTCGCATTAGACCCGCGCATTATACAAATGTAGAGGTGCAAATTCTAAGGGTCCGGTCTGCAGCGGAGCATGCCTCCTCATCCAAGCGGGCAAGCAGGAGCCGTGCCGTTTACTTCTTGGACAGAACCATGTTGTCCCAGGCCCGCCTCTCGAGTGCCTCCTTCTCTACGTTTTCTACATGAGGCTTGAGGTAGCGGACATCCTGGAAGCGAATAAGGACATGTGGTCGATTGAGTCAACCGTACACTTTACCTCTTCAGGCTTTGTCCACTTCTCCTTGGGGAGGACATCATGGAGGACACTGCAATGCGAAGCCTGCTTCAGCCGGAACTGGCGGTCGTATGCCTCGCGAGGAGTCAAGCGTGTCAGAGCCTGAGGAACCAATATCAGACCCCGTGACAAACGTTCTCTACGAGCATGCGACTGACCCGCTGAACGTCCTCACGCTCCTCAACGACTAGTGTTCAGAATAGTGAGCTCATTTGCTCAGGGAGGGTTTGAGACTGGTCACGCACGCAGGTCATCGTATTTGTAGCCGACCTTCCGGTACCCAGCCAAGTTGGCGTACCAGTCAGCAATGGGCTTCATCCATCTGTAGAGTCCCCTGGTCTTGAGGATGGCAGGGGCGAGTGAAGGGCCGAGGGGACCGCTGAGGACCATGGCGAGAGTGTCTGAAGTTGAGCCTTACCCGGCGTCGGGCTTGGTGACGAGAGTGCCCGAGCCTGTGTGGCGCTGTTTGCCCCCGGTGGCGGCGCTGATACTTTGATTGCCCGATTTGGCAGCGATGGAAGGTCTGCTATAAAATCGCCTCTAGTCCTCTCCTCCTCCAGACGCCTGTCTATCCATCTGCCATCTCTCTCGCCCCTCCAGACCGAACATTCACAATGGCCAGCATCAAGGAGCGCACCTACATCATGGTCAAGGTGTGTCTACTCCCCACCGTCGAGCCGTGCAGCAGACGCTGATCATTTACCGCGCGCGCAGCCCGACGGTGTCCAGCGGGGCCTTGTCGGCAACATCATCGGCCGCTTCGAGCAGCGCGGCTTCAAGCTCATTGCTCTCAAGCTCGTGCACGCTACCCCGGAGCACCTTGAGAAGCGTGAGCATTTGTTGTAGCGTTCACCGAAGCACGCGTATTGAGCCTTTGTCTCTCTCCAGACTACGCTGACCTCAAGGGCAAGCCCTTCTTCCCCGGCTTGATCAAGTACATGGCCTCTGGCCCTGTTGTTGCCATGGTCTGGGAGGGTCTTGACGCCGTCAAGACTGGCCGTGCCATGCTCGGCGCGACCAACCCGCTTGCCTCTGCTCCTGGTATGTCTCTCGCCCACTGTTCGTGTTTATCGCCCTCATCTCGCGTCTCCAGGCACCATCCGTGGTGACTTCGCTCTGGCTGTCGGCCGCAACATCTGCCACGGCTCGGATGCCGTCGAGAGCGCCGAGAAGGAGATCGCTCTGTAAGTTGTCCCGCTTATTCGCCTGTACCAGTCCCTGACAAACATCGCTCCACAGCTGGTTCCCCGAGGGTATTGTGCAGTACAACCACGACCTCGCTCAGTGGATCTTCGAGTAAACATCATTTTGGGGCGCATAACAGCATGGGTAGAATTCTGTAACAAAATAGAAACATCTGTATACCACAAGTGGCAGGCTATCGGTGCTCGGGAATTGTCTTGCTGGGTTAAACGTGCCGTGAGTGAGCACTGGATCGATGAGAAACCCTCGAGGCCCGTCCCCTACACGTTGCCTGACTTCCACGCTGAAGCTGAAGCTTCTTGACCCTGGAGGGCCTGCCAGTCGAGCCTCCATGCCATGGTGTACATCTCGCTCTGCTACGCACACGCGCATGCATCAACGCGAGTGTTCGTGCTTGATGCATAAGTATGTATGATGGCACGCGAAATCTGAATCGCGTAGTTGCGAACTTGCGTATGTTCGTAAATCAGTTCGTTGTCCATGATACACGGATCCGGTGTTTACTGGTTATTGCTACTAGTACAGATGATTGGCGGGTGTAGGGAGGTGTGTATAATGGTGTGAGCGTATAAGTTAGGTAAATGGTCCTCCAGCGCAGGCTCCAAGAACAGAGGCGAAGGGATGCGGAGGAGCTGACCCACTCGAAGGTATCGCCGTCTTCAAGTTCATGGCATATCAACGGGGTTTGAAGAATTCGAGTGATGGCGTAATGCATGTAGGAGCACACATATCGCAGTGAGACGATCTGCAGAGCATAGTATCTGTGAGCTTCGGGTAGTAGCTCTGGGAATAGGGATGTCGACGTACAGAGACAGCCTGGTTTCATGTTCTCAGTAGCTGCTGCGCGGGCGTGGCTCGATAGGCAAGCAAGCCGTAGGCTACACATTTGAAAAGCTCAGCTGCAAGAAGCATATGTACTTGTGCGCCTACGTACGTGATTGGCAGTCATCCCGCAGCAGACATGACAGTGTGAAGATGAAAACGGCGCCCACGAGCGCGAGGGACAGCACGAAGCATATGGTGGAGACGAGCGTCACGTCGTCGTCCTCCGGCTTGAGGTCAGGATGCACGTAGAGCCTAATGTGGGAGCGCATGATGACTGGAGGAGGACGAGAGGTTGCGAAGGGCGATTGTGAGGCGAGCTCCGCAGGGCAGGGCAGGGAGACACTCCGGTACGAAAACTGGCTTTATAGCACCCAAGATCCATACAAGACCTGGCACCGCAACTCAGTGCCGAAGTTGGCGATATCAACCTCCATGGAACACATTGGCGCATGATCGGATCGGATACTACAAGGAGACAGGAGAGCGCCATGCAATTCCGGTGAAGGCGGGACGTATTGTTCTATCGACACTCGTGAGCGGATGACAGAAGTGCGCATTGACGGAGACGTACTGGTGAGAGGTTGTTCACCGGATCGGTGCGAGTAGACAATGGAGAGGCATCGGAGATTGGCGAAGAGCCCCTGTCGTATCCATAGCGAGAACAATTGCGAGCATGCCATGGCGGCCCCCCGTCCTTGCAGCAACCAGCTGAAGCTCCGGCGCGAACGGCCTAGCCTCATCGAGCGTTCCGGTGCTATATTGCAATGGACTACAACAGCGGCGTGCGGCGTACGGCGATGGTGAGCGACTAATTGGGGCGCATATCGGCGTGCCGACGCTGTGGGCCCCGGTAGCAGGTTGATCGCCATACTTCCGGCTACTAAACTTCACGACCACATCCACAGAAATACATGGTATTCTGGAAGTCGGCGACAAGCTGTCTCAGTCTGCACGTAGTCCAATGCGCCAAAACGGAACGCTCGAAGAATGACTCACCTTCATCGTCATCTCCAGGTCATCTCCGCTCAGTCGTCCGGTCAGCACGCACGCCACAAAGGGCGCGGAGAGGGGATGCAAAATGGATTCAATGGTTGCTGTTGGATACAATGCTGATAGGGAGTACGACAAGCCGATGCGCGGGAACAAATGCAAGGGTATGATGTGTACAGTACCGAGGTCATGCCAGTATCCCAATACAAAAACGAATAAATATGTGACGACGATGCGATAAGGAATGACTACTGTTCCGACCGGAATGTCCAGTGTGTACCCCATGGAACCCTACGGCTTTCAGCAAAGTAGGCGCGTCGAGTGACGCCGGCAATATGCACCGATCACGGACGGGCGTGGGCAAAGCAAGAAGTTGGGTACCCAGAATACCACCAATCCGTCGCCGAGCACTGAAGATATGCAGCTGGACATGGGGGCCGGAAGCGTACCTCATCAGCGTGTCCGGTTCGTCATCCGACGACGAACCGTGCAGTTGGATACTTTGGAGGCATCGCGGTGCACTCGTACCAATGAGCTCTACCGCCCGGGCGCGAGAATTGATGCCATGTCCTGTTCGTTTGCCGCGCTGAGCTGTCGAGAGCGCGCCTTGAGACGAACTGTAAGAGTCATACACTGATCAGTGAACACAATTCATGGGTGACATATGACGGCACGTACGCATGCGATCGAAGCTCAATAAGACTACCTTTGCCGCGCCGGAGGTATCGCGCGACACGCCGTCGGGCTGAAGCATGGCCGAGCGGTCGATCCAGTGCTCGTCCTGCCAGATCGCGGCGCGGAGGATGAGGTCGTCCATGTTCCGTTCCCAAGACGCCTCATCGCCGGCGAAGTCGACTTGTTCCGTCCGGATGCTGAGGGACGACAAGTAATTGCCCCTCGACGTCTGTACCTTGAGCGAGGTCGTGTGAGAGCGGATGTGCGAAGTAATGTAGTCCAGCGCGGCTGTGGCAGCCTCGCCGAGGGCGGTCGCGTTGCTCGCGAGGCCGTCGAGCTCCATGACCACCGGGAGAGGTATGACCACGGTCCATTGAAGGCTCTCGACCAGGGTGGAGACCACCGGCAACGAAGACAATAAAATGTTCGTGTCGATGACGAGGATCGTGTACCCAGGCACGACCCGGAGGGTGCTTTGAGGGCGTGCCGGCTTGTGGGGCTGCGGGCCACGAGGACGACGTCGAGGGATCGATGGCGAAACCCGACCCTGTGCCGAGGAGTCCAACAGGCTCTGCAGATATCGCCGGCGAGCCTGTAAAGCAAACTCAATGCATGCGCTATCCTGAGAAACTGACGATGCTTACCTTCAGCGCCTTGATTTCAGGCGCATCATTCTCGTCATCCTCACTGCCATCTGTCAATTCCTCCGCGGCAAGGCCCTCATCATCGTCGACGTCCATCGAGTCTTCGTCCCATCGCCGGCCCCGAAGGCGTCTCTCCTCCTCCTCACGCTCTCTCTTCTCTTCCTCCTGCCACTGCGCGACCTTCGCTGCAAGCACGCCCTCGACCTTCCACTGGCCCCTCTGCTCCTCGTTCGCGGCGGGGTAATACGCGAAGCCACCGACGTGCTTCGCGATCTTCAGGCCGGCGCGCGCGACGCGGATCCAGCGCTTGCCAAGCTCGTTCGCCGCCTCGTTTTCCTCCCGCTCGTCCTCGATGATACCGTCGAGCTGGTCGCCGCCCTCGCTCTTGTCTAGAACCTCGACCTCGACGTTCCTGTCCTCGACGTTCGCCTCCTTGCCCCAGAAGCCCATGGGGTAGACGCGCTTGCCGCCCCATCCGAGACCGCGGAGGCACCAGTCCTCTGGGAGAGGCTTGCAGCCGCTCGTGAGCAGGACCGCGCTGTCACTGCGCTCCTTCTGCTGCTCGCGGTACGTGACGCGGCGCGGGATCGCGGTAAGGAACACTGCGAGGTCGGCCCAGGGGATGAACCGCTCGAGGACGGCGAGTGCCTGTGCATCCTTCACAGCGGTGGCGAGGAAGGTAAGCAGGATCGTGATGTACGGGTTGAGAGTTGAGCGCGCGAATGGCGACGACTTCCGCATTGGCTTCCGGAGGGCATGCGCGAGCATCGAGAACGCGAATTGCATTCCGAGCTTGAGCGACGGTGGGACCTCGGGGCCAGTCGACGCGCCCGCCTCGGAGAGCGCAGGCGACATGCTCATGGCGTCGAGCTTCCGGTCGGCCTTGCGTGGGGCGGCGCCTTCGTCGTCGACGTCCATCTTCCTGTCGTCGTCCTCGGCCTTCTTCGCCATGAGCTTGACCTTGCCCGCGGACGACGCGGCCATGGCTGGGCTGACGCCGGCGCGAGCGCTGACGCCGTCTCTGCCGCCGATGCCAGCGACGCGCCGCAGGACAGCGGTGGGCCGCCCGTACTCGAGGATGGCGCCGAGGTTGATGACGGCCATCATGATCCAGTCGCGCTCTTCGACGACTGCACCGCCTGAGAACGTCTATCAGCTCCGGACTGATCTAACTAGAGATGTATGACTGACCTTCGATGTTGAGCTTCTCGTCGAAGCGGTCGAGGACGCCGCGGAAGTCGTCCATCTGTATGTGCGTGAAGAGCATACCGTGGAGGATGATATACAGATCGGCGACGCCGGCGTCGGGGCCTTGGCGACGAGTCTGGGCGGCTGGCGACCAGATCTGGAGGATGGCCTCGCGGGAGGTGCTGTACGGATGCACTGTAATCATGCTATACATACAAATGTCAGACATCAGTATTCGCAATATAAATAGAGCGACTCACCTCTTCACGAAGTGATACATCCCCCGCAGCTCCTCGCCGCTCCCGTCCCTCTCCCTGCAGAGCAGTCCGATGTGGTGATGGAGCTTGCCCGCACCCGGCGTGCCGGCGAGGCCCTTCGCATACCACTCGCGCGCGATCTGCCTCCAGTGCTCCTTCTCCGGGACGAGCTCCATCGCACGCGCCGCCGCGAGGCCGACGCTCGGCACCTCGAGGACCAGCCTCGCCGCACGTCCGGGCGACGGCGGCGGCGAATCGTCGATGCGTGCGTGCACCTCGGGTGCCGCCGGTGCGCGCAGTTCCGCACGATCGGAGCTCCCACCGCCGTTCGGTGTCGACGGGCGCTGGGTGTCGATCTGGGAGTCCGCGCCGGGCGCCATGGACTTGATGAGGAGGGTCATCGGGGAGGGCGCGGGCGCGGACAGGAGCGTCGTGGCGGTCACGGTCTGCTGCTTCTCGACGAGCGCGCAGTACGCCATTTGATACCGCGAGAGGTCGCCGAGCGCCTCGACCCAACCGCTTCGGAAGTCAGAGAGATTGCGCTCCTCGAGAAGAGCGCAATAGAAAGTGTATGCGTAGTAAATGAAGTCCTGACACACAATGGGAGATTAGCCACCATACCTAATCGGGCGAGGATGACGTCTACCTGCAGATACTCAAGAGCGACGTGTGAATTGTTTGGCGGCGACGCTGCTTGGCGGAGAGACTCGAGGAGGCGATGGAAGGCATGTGCCCACAATCGCGCGATGAGGTTGTATTTGGTCGGAATGTTGCGGAGGGAAGCCGGGACAGTGGGTGCTAGCGTGAGCGTAAGAAGGTTCTGCACCTTCTCTGCGAGCCTACAGATCGGTGAGCGACACGCGAGCGAGGAATTTGAAATCGATTAAGACATACTCTTTGTGGTCGACCAACAATCGCTTCCACTTCTCCATATCATCTTCACCACCTCTCACCTCTGCGCCACCTGCCAAGCCCCCCACTGAGCCTGGGCGGCCCTTGATGAGGATGCCCACTGTCTGCGTATTCCGATTGCCCTCGTCATCTGCGTCCTTGTCTCGCTGCTCACCGAGGATCTTCTGTTCAAGTGCAGTGATGCCTCGATAAAGCTTCTTGAGCTGCATCGAGAAGGCATTGGTACTCGACGAACTGTCCTCTGAGCGTCTTGCATTGGGGTTCTCGAAAAGGCCCGAAGGGGCGGAGGAATCGGTTGTAGCGGACGAAAGAGTGAAGTTGGAAGAGAGTGTGGAGTGGGCGTAGGAGGCGGAAGACGTTGACGAGGCGGAGACGTAGTCTCCGGAAGACTTGGGTGTTGGTGTCGGGCGGTCAACATGTGGGCGGTTGGCTGCGGCGTTTGGCGACGCCTGTGGTCGGGCTAAAAACCGAACTGGATCGTCCTTACGGTGGTCGAACAGCTGCCTGTGCGAGTCGGGGGCTGCTCTTGACTGTGGAGGGGCCTGGCGCGGTCCATGTGGCGCGGGACCCCGCGGAGCATACGAGCTCGACGCGGCATCAGACATGGCTTCGGGCTCAGCGGTGAGGATGACCCTCCGTGGACTGTCAGAGTTGGGGTTGTAGAGCTTGCCTGGGCTGCCGGAGGATGGGCCCGCCTGAGCTCGGGCTGAGGGGCGGGGAGAGGAGGCGGCAGTTATCTTAAGGCGTCGCGAGAAGTCATCAGCATCGGCCTCCATCGCGGATGGCGAACTCTGGTTGACGACGATGTTGGGGCTTGGGTGTTGCGGAGCGTGCGGTCGGCGAGGGGAGGGCGCACGCGTTGGGCGGGGAGTCGAAGAAGAGCCTGAGGGAGCGGGAGCTCGGTCGGCTCGTTCGCGTGGTTTTGTTGCACTACAAGCGCAGTCGCGGCGGGTCAGCGGCGCATGCAAAATGCGGACTACGGAGCTACGTACGCGGCCTGCCTGCGCTGGAACGCGACAAATTTATCTGCAATGTCTGTTGGTTGCGCCGGCCTGCGGGGTGCGGCCGCGGCTGTCTGTTGCGGCGAGTCGGACATGGTGGTTGAGAGCGACGACGGGGGGTCGCGGTGGGTGGGATGAAGGAGAGTGAGGCGGGGGGAGGAGGAGAGGAGGCTCTAGCTGCTGCGGTGGGTCGAGTGTAGGATCGCCCGTTCTGCGGCCTGCGGACAACTGCGCAGTCCCGCAGCCAATCTCGATCGATCGTGACACATACCGCGCCCGGTCACGCGTTCGTCACACCGCGCCCCCGCCGTGACCGCCCCGCCCGCGTCCTGTCCCCCGCCTCCGACTCACTCGCCCTCCAGGCCACCCCTCTCGCCACCTTCCGTGTCCTCCGCACCGCGGGACACAGCGCCCGCGTCGCCTGCCCACTGGACCATCGCAGGCCACGCTCAGCCGTCCGCAGCCCCGCTTCCCAGCCGGTAGCTTGTGTGGCCCGTGCCCCTGCTGCCCACTGCGCACGTCTATCCCAGGAACGCTATCAGTCACCCGCACTCGTACAATCTTCCCTGTCCACTCGACTACTCCTGCCCGCCGTGTGCGACTGCTTCCCTCTGCCATGGGAAGTATCGGGGACGTCACATCCGCGAGTGACTCCCCCGCTCATCGTCGCGCCGCCCAAGACATTCGCGTCGGTAGGGAGACGCCCAGTGCCCACCGGCTACCGACAACCGTTGCCCTTGCGCTCTGGCGCGCAGCTGCTGTGCGATTGTCCGTCATCGGATTGGCTCCTCTTGCCCGGGACCCCGGACGCGCAAGTCGCGCGGGAAATGCCGAAGATTCCCCGCTCTCAGGTGCGCTCATCCGTTCACAACGACCATGTCCAACCGTACTGCGTGTATACTACTGGTACAGCGATGATCATAACAAGCCCCATATTCATTGACCCCCTTGTAAAGGCACAGCCAAAACCCAGAGAAATGCGACCGCCGTCGTCTACCATGCCCGGTGGCCACCGTCTACGATCATGCTGCCGGAAGTCAGCACAGACCGAACATCCAGGAAGGAACGGCACTCACTCGCTACCCGTGCAGAACGTGCTTGCGTCGCTCGCCAGCCAGGTCACCACACCCCTCAGCTCGTCGGGTCGCCCGATCCGGCCCATAGGGTTCAGATCCGACCACTTCTCCACCAGCCCCGGATTCTTGTCGACAAACTGCGCGGTCATACTGTATGGAGTGCGTCAGGGGTGTGTTAGGCACGTCAAACCGCATGACGTGGATACGCACTGCGTGTAGATGTGTCCAGGGCTGAGCGTGTTCACCCTTATGCGTTCGGGGCCGAGCTCGCAAGCCATGCTGCGCGCCATCTGGAGCACGGCGGATTTCGATGTGTTGTATGACACCCATGGCTCGCCCTGCGATTCCGTGATCAGCTAGGTCTACACCTCGGAGGGATGTAAACGGTACGTACTCTGTTCGTGATCGAGCCACTCATACTCGCAATCAGAGTAATACTGCCTCCGTTGCCGAAGCGGCGCATTTGCCTCCCTGCTGCCTGCGCCGTGAACAGCACGCCGTTTACGTTCACGTTCATAACCTAGGACTGCGTGAGCCTCGTGGCGCTAGGATGCTTGTCTGCGGACATGGTCACCTCCTGGAACTGCTTCGCGGGATACTTCAGACAGTCCGTATGCGGCTTGAGAATCCCAGCAGCGGCGATGCACGCATCCATCCGTCCCTCCCGATCCCCAATCGTCTCGCCCACCTTCCAGATCGCCTCCTACGCACCCACGTATGTATCAGCCCACCCATCCCACCGACCATCGCAAGCCAGAGACCCACCTGATCAGTCACGTCCACAGAGACGTACTCCAAGCGCCCCTCGCCCTGCAGGCCCGTCATCCTGCTGAGATACTCCTTCACCTTCGTCCACTCCGGACCGGGCTGCTTGGGCAGGTCGACGCAGTACACCGCGCGGGCGCCCGCCTCGGCGAGCGCCATCGCCATCTCGAGGCCGAGGCCGCGGTTCGCGCCCGAGACGAGCGCGACGCGGTCCGTCAGCGCAAACTCGTGCGAGAACAGGGTTGGCTTCGCCGCTGTCGCGTGCGCATCCCGCTCAGGCTATGGCGTGGTGGCGAGAGCATTGGGACTCACGATGGTCGGGGAGCGCCTCGAGCGCGGCGGCGACGCCGACGGGCCCGTACGGAGGGAGCGTGCCCGTCTTGCTCTTCTGCTTGCCTGGCTGGAGCGGCGACGCGTCGATGTCTGCGCGCAGGGCCTGTGCGGTGGAGAACCGAGCTCGCGCGAGAGTTGCCAAGCCTGCGGGACGGCCCCGCGCGCCGAGTCCATGTCTGAAGCTCTTCACGGCGAGAGACATGATGTCGTTCGCGTTCGGCCCTACAAGAAACGTCTACGGTCTACGGTCAAGTTCTACTGCTCTACCACTGGAGGTGCCCTGTATGCCTTTCCCGCCGCCCCCTCGCCTTTTGTACGCCCGCACCTCCCGTCAGGCTCCACCATGGCACGCCGTGCGGACCCAGAGAAGTCCCAGCCAACGCATCCCGCAACCCGCGATCCATACTCAGCCCAGGGATCAATCCCGCACAGGTCATGGGGAGGAGACGGCCCTCGTCGTCGCGCGGTCACACTGCGCCCGTGCCCTGCGCGAGGGTCTGGTCGCCGTGTCAGATGATGATTGCGGCCGCGCTCGCGGGTCTTCTTCGCAGGCTGTTGTGCGCGTCCTGCCCGACATTGGCTGTTTCTGACCGGCCCTTACGTTGGCGTGTCGGCGCTGCGACCCCGGGCTTGATGCATTGATGGCTTACTGTGTTGACAGCCTTGGCTGGGGGCTTCCGACGTGCGTGCAAGATTGTATGGTCGTGGGCGCTCAATAGTCTGGAGCGAGACCGGTCATCAGCCGACTAGGTGCGGTAACTTACCTCCTTCTGGACTGCGTTGTAGGAAAGCTGACTACGGTGTAGGGTAGATGGTAGCAGAACTTCCCTAAGGTACTATTAGTAGCTCGAGGGGAAGTACTTATCAGAGTCTCTGCGGCATTAGTGGCCTTCCGTACAGTTATGTAGCGGCGCTCAAATGCCATGTCGCTTCCGAAGTCCATTCAATATGGCAGTGATACAACATGGGATCTTTACTCCTTCATAACGTACATTGTACCCAGGTGAGCAGCCCGCCAACGTCAACGGCCTCCCGTTCCTTCAGCGCGCGGTCCTGCCTCGACAGGTGATCTTTTATATCGACAACCGACAACGTACGTGCGCTCAGCACTGCTTCGCGTACGTGCCACTCGACTTGCTGCCCGAGCCCTCCTCGAGCTTGCCATGGTGCCCCTCAACGGTCTTGCGCTGCTGGAGGGTGTTCAGCGCATGCATGGGCGAGTCCGTCTTCGCCAGGTTCTCCGTAACCTCGATCTACGCCAGAAGCCATCAGCACCACACACACGAACGCAGACCGAGGCCGGGCCACTCACGATGTCGGCCAGGAGCCGATCGATCATCACCGCGCTGACGCTTTCGCGCACGACCACACGGAGGATCTGCACGTCCTCCAGGTCCGGCGCGAGCTCGTAGTTCGGGACGATCCAGCCCTTCGCGCGGAGCAGCGTCTGCACCCAGACCTGCTGCACGTCGGGGTTCTGCGCCTTGAACGCGTCCGAGAAGCGGAACGAGACCACGGGCAGACCAGGGCGGTAGTTCTATGTGCGGATGTGGTTAGACAAGACAATGGTTGGTGACTGGTCTGTGGCCTTACCTCGACGTTCTCCTCGTCGAACGTCCCGACACTCTGCGACGCAGAGCTGAGGAGACTCTCCTTCGGCCTGTGAATGTCGCTAAGGACAACGAACAAGCCGGTCTTTTCCAGCGCACGGCTGAGCAGACGGGCGTTCACCAGATCGTCGAGCGCGACCGCCTTGTACCCCTCGTAGCCCAGGTGCACAAAGTTGAAATACTGTGCGATGATTGGGTGTGCAGGCCGAGAGAAGTTGAGTGAGAAGGAGTACTCGACCGAGCCGAGGTAGTGCAGCTCGAAGATGAGGTCCTTGGGCAAGAGCTCCTTTGAGCGCCAGACGACCCAGCCTACGCCGACATACGAAAGGCCGAACTTGTGCCCGGATGTGTTGATGGAGACAACACGCGGGATGCGGAAGTCCCACTTCAGGTTCGGGGTTGCGAATGGCGCGATGAAGCCACCAGAGGCGCCGTCGACGTGGATGGGTACGGAGATACCTGTCTTCTTCTCGTACTCGTCAAGCAGTGCAGCCATCTCCTCAACTGGCTCGTAGTGACCAGTGTACGTGCCTAGCACAGGCACTCAGCATGCGCCGATTATCGCGTTCGGTAAAGCGACTTACTGCCAAGGATGACATACACGCCGATCGTGTTCTCGTCGACGTACTGCATGGCTTTCTTGGGGTCAAGCCGATAGTGGCTCTCTTCGGAGATTGGCACAAGACGCGCCTCAACGTCGAAATAGCGAGCGAACTTCTCGAGGGCGACCTGCGCGTTGGCACCCATGACGATGTTTGGGCCGGGCTCGTGGATGGACTTGCCCGCAGCCTTCCGCTTCTCCTGCCACAAGCGCTTCATGGCGAGACCACCCAGCTGGATGGCCTCGGAAGAGCCAGTCGTGGCGGTTCCGATGGCACTGTGGGCGCTGGGGGCGTGCCATAGGTCGGCGAGGATGGACACACAGCGCGTATGGATAACCTCTGCAGGCCATGTCAAGTTCATATTGACATCTGTGATGGTCGACTGGGTCACTCACGCGTCATCGGATATTCGTCCTGGTCAATGAGGTTCTTGGAGATGTTCTCCATCATGAGCTGGTCTGCCTGCTTCGGCATCCAGGTATGGACGAACGACGCGAGGTTCAGGGCGGGGGTACCATCAAGAGTAAGCTCGTCGTGAACGAGCTGGTAGGTGGCCTCGGCATCCGTGCCCTGAGCGTGAAAGAGTCAGAGAGGCATCTACATGTGCTACAGGCTTTGCCTGACCTTGCGCGGAAGCTTGTACTTGGGAATGGGCTCCGTGCCGTAGCGAGCACCATACGGGTGCACAATCTGGTGTCCATTCGAGCTCTGGACATGCTTCCGGCTTGGATGGTCTCGCGCCGCTTTGATGAGCGACTCGGCGTTGAGGTGCTAAAGGGTTGTTCAGTCTGGAAACCGAATGGATAGGCAGACCGCGCACCTTGGACAGGACCATGGTGGGCTATCGTTTTCAGAGGGGATAGACGGGGATGAGAGCGAATGTGCTAGACCGAGGGTGAGACTGGCCGGGTCTTTATAGGTGTCGAGAGGATGTGATGACCTGGGATGGGATGATGACATCATCAGTCAAACTAGCAGCTATTTCATTACGGACGCGTCGCCCTCTCCGTCTCGCTGTCTGTCGACCGTGCACGCGTCCCCGGCCGTCGTGCAGCATGTCTACCACGCCGCGCGTCACCTGGATGCTGTCCAGAACCTCGGTCACGGCGGCGAAGACATCGCAGGGGGTACAATCGAGTCTCGACACGGTGGCGGCGAGACAGTGACGCGTCGAGCCACAGCACGTGCACGCGTCGCGTTGTGCCTGCCTCGCGCTTGCACTTCTGCTCCCATCGGAAAGCCACCTTCCCTCGTCTGGCTCCAGTCGTGACCGCCATCGCACGGCCTGTGCATCATCGCCCGCTGCGGACACCTATTTCACCCTCCAACTGGCCCCGGACTGACCGAATGCGCCCCACGGGACCACGCCTGCAGGTACTCATCTGCCAGTGTCCACTGCTTCGCGACCTGGACAGCTATAGAACAACGGATTTCCGTCAGCGCAATGCAGTCGAAACAGTCGTGATCTCCATTCACCAGTTCCTGATGTCGCTGTTTGTGGAGAGAACGTGCGTGAGTCCATACGTGCGTGCGCACGAGAACCCGTCCCTGACCACCACCATCATACCTTAAGGCAGCGCCCCAATCACGACAGCTTCACTTCGTCTTTGAACCGGGCTAACAATAGCACTCATTGCTCCCTTTCCATACGCGTACGGCCATCGACACCCTCTGAGACTGATCTCGACTGTTCATGAACGTCAGTTGACGATTGACGAACTCACCGGGTTCTCTGGAAAGCACCTAGATGCACACGAAGCAAATGCAGTAGTCACATACTGCGCGGGCACTGTCAACGATGAGAAAAGGAGATTGCTCAGCTGTCCGCCTCATCAGCATCGAGGTGATGGATATGGATTCAGTCGCCACGTCCTGTCGCTATGTATGCGCAGCAACAGAAGTGTCGGACAAAGTTTCAGGGTACACGGAGTGAGCGCCATGGTGCACATTCGACGTCCCATAGGGGGTTTGTTCTAAGGGCCCATAGGGGGTTTGTTCCAAGGGCAGTGCATGGATCGAACGACCGAAATATTCATAGCGTGCTGCCTGGAGGCCTGAGGAGCTACTAGCCACCCTGGGTCACGGAGCTTTACCTGACGTCGATGGCAAGGCGCATACCCAACAACATGAAGCACTACCGGAAAATGAGCGAACGGTAACACTCACAGTGATGATTTGCAGTCATCGCAAGCCCTGCAAGTTCCCTTTCGCACTGTCGACACAGACCATCCCGACCGGCGACGCGACCTCAAGCTCAAGCTTTGAATTCCCGCTGCACGCGCTTGACATTCATCGCTGTCCCGAGTCCGAGAGTTGTAGCAGCTGCAGACAGGAGGCGCGCCCTTCGATGGTCCGTGAGGCGATGCTTTATGTAAAAGATCTCTGTTGAACCGTGTGGGTGTTCGTGAGGAGTTCTGAGCCAAGCCTGTCAGACGGGCCAAGCGAGGACGCGTCAAGAGCCAAACACGCGCAAGCAACCGCGACGCGTCTCGTCTTCGCGTCGCGTCACTCGCTTAGCCGACAAGCCCAACTCACACTCGCGTTGCGCTGGCCACGAACGCGTCTTTGCTCTCGATATGTTTCCCCCCGACCCTCTGTAAGTCGCAATATAAACCTCTCTGTTCTGTGATGGCTGATTCCGTCGGCAGGCCCGTTCCAGAGATACCGCTCACGCGGCCACCGACGTCTGTGCTGCCTCCGACGCAGCGGACGCCGTCTTTCGTGCTCGGCGCGTCGAACAGGTCGTATAAGCACCAATATGCGAACATATACTTTGCGCGACTGCAGCTACTGAGGAAGTACGTGCTTGCGAGAGCGACGCGGAGATGGAAGGACGTCTCGGGTGAGTGTCGCGCTTGTGGCTTGCCGAAGTCTCGCTGCTGAATACCACCTACACCGTTCCTTTGACTAGGAAATCCCGTTTTTGTGTCCCGCGTGCTCGAGGTCATCAAAGGCAAGCTCTGCTATATTATAGGCACGGTCTACATGGACATGCCTCTCAAGCCAAATGTCCTCCAGGACATCGCACGAGACGTATGTGGCCCTTGTGTTACCCCAGTATCGCGCCCCCTTTTGATGTCGAGGCCACTAGCACTCCCTCCCTGCGCCACCACCGCGCACAAAATACTGCAGCCCTGACGACCAAGTCATGCTGGAGGATGAGTCCGGGCGCATCTTCCTCGTCGGTGAGCGGCTTCGTGCGGCGAGCCTGGTCACCGGCGTCATCGTCGGCGTGCTCGGGATAGAGACGAGCGGCGGCGAGTTCGAAGTCGTCGACGTTTGCTACGCAGGGATGGCGCCGCAGCCGTCGCGGGGGCTCGAGTGGGGAAAGAGCGCGCAGAAAGACGAGAATATGGAAGTTGATGGTGCGTGTGGAACGTATGCTGGGAAATGCGATCTGATCAATGCAATGTAGGTGCTCTGGGTGAGGAGCACGATGACGAGTGGGTCGCACTCGTATCCGGGCTTGAGATCGGCGCCCCGTCACCTGCAGACGCACAAATACAAATGCTCGTTGAATATCTAACAGGAGAGGCAGGAGGCCCAGATGACCAAGCCACGTGTTCTCGAATATCTAGGCTGGTCATCGCCGGAAATTCGTTCTCACAAGCTGTGAGCACGAATGCTAGCACGAACGACGACCAAAAGGCCGGACGAGACCGGAAAGGAGTAAGTCTTAAGTCGAACCCAGGCTACCCCTGCATGCCACTAACGTCTCTCGCGTGCAGCGCCGTTACGGCCACGATCCGGCTAACTTCTCAATACACCCGACACTCACGCTTTCCGCGCACCTCCTTGACATCGCGCGCTCCATGCCTGTCCACATACTACCCGGTGCCTCGGATCCCGCCGGTACGCTCCTACCTCAACAGCCCTTCCCCCGCGCAATGTTCCACGGCGCGTCCGCATATGCCTCTTTCTCTTGTGAAACCAACCCGACGTATATTCGCGTCGGAGCCCCCTCCACCTTCGTTCCACCCGTGTCCAACACTGGGAAGGGCAAGCAAAAGGCGTCCGCCGCCGCCACTTCTACCTCGAACGGCGCCGCAGCGAACTCGGGGCCCTCGCGCACGATACTGGTCTCGTCTGGCCAGCCAGTAGAGGACATGTACAAGTATCTGCCCTCGCCGCCACATACGCGACTCGCGCTCGCGTGCCAGTCGCTGCACTGGCGCCACCTCGCGCCGACCGCGCCGGACACGCTCTGGTGCCACCCGTACTTCGCGCAGGACCCGTTTGTGCTCGCGGAGACGCCGGACGTATATGTCGTTGGGAATCAGCCTGCATTTGGGACGAAGATCATCTCGGAGCGTGGGTGGGGGAAGCGGCGCGGGGGTGGGGGCGACGAGGAGATGGAGGTGGACTCGGATGGGGATGAGGTGGAGGAGAAGGGCATGGAGGGGGAAGGTGGGCAGAAGAGGTGTAGGGTCGTGCTGGTGCCTACGTTCAAGAAGACGGGTGTGCTGGTGCTTCTGAACTTGCGGACGTTGGCTGTGAGGACTGTGCAGTTCGCGGTGGAGGGGATGAGCGGGGCAGCAGAGGATACATGATATGCAGTCTATAGGTGGGCCTAGCTGATTTTATTGCGGTATTGTCACGGCCGGTCTCTCTCAGTTCTGATGTTCAAGAATTTTGGTTGTCAGGATTTGCACGTCGGCTTCGGTGGTTTGCCGCGTGCGATCTCGGGGGAAGTGATGTACAACTAGGTGTGCGATTATCATAGCTATTAAGAGTGCGGCGACTGTATGTGACTACTAAGCGTCCACATTGTCTCCCGCCCGGACCGCTCATGCATACAGAGGATCGAATGGGAACCGGGTGACGTGCGGCAGTCGAGGTGCACCAGGTGTCGGCGGCACGTGCATTTGTCCTTCTTGTCGCCGCAGCCCTGGCGTCGGAGGGACCACCTCAATGGCGATGCCGTCCTCACCTTCCTCCGCCAACACCTCCATCATATCCAAAGCGTCCAAGGCGTCCGGTGTCGGCGTGGGCGGAATAATGTCGACGGCTATTATGTCGAAATCGTCTTCGGGCGCGACAACGACGAAGTTGGGCAGGTCCATCGTCTGGTCAAAGAAGCCGGAATCCGACACATCGACGACTCGTTCGTGCTCATTCAAAAGCGACTCGGTGAGGCCAGGTGGCCCCTGGGTATATGATTGCACAGATTCAGCGGAGATTGTCCTAGGGTTGGGCAATCTGGCTGGGATAGCGATGCCCGTATACGGGTGCATAGGCCCTGGCAGCAATTCGACGAGTCGATCGTCTGCGTCGTCGTATGCTGGAAGTCCAAGGCCGAGGCCGGCACGCGTGTGAGATGCCTGCTAGACGTCAGTAATATTATGGCTGCGTATTCACGTCTACACTCACATCTTGTGTTCGATGATGCAGGTGTGGAGAGGGATCGCTGGGCGACTGTCCAAGGCTGAGGTCGACGATGATCGGCTCGTTGACGGGCGTGGCGACAATCAACGCCTGCACCGTGGTTGGTGTCGAGCTCGTTCTGCGCAGCACCGGCGGCCGAATTGCAAGCTTAGACTTTCCTTCCCTGCGGTTGGTGTCGCCCTCTCCTTGTTCAAGTCGTCCGCGTCGGAGGAAAGAGAATATATCCGGGGCAGAGTGACGCCTTGGGCCCTGGGGTTCAGCGACAGAGCGGAAGAATGGGTGAAAGCTCATGGTTGTGAGTGGGTGGTTCTCTCGACGTGCAGGAGTGCAGGTGCGCTATCGACCGTCCGGTGCCGACTTATGTATGGCCGCCTTACGGCTTGGCCTAACGTCGGTGCGTATCCGCGACGGGATGGAGTGGTGCGTCATCCGTGTGCGGTCCAGGATCCCTGTGTATTGCGGGATGACATGTTCGAGGTCAACCCCTGTAACGGCGGTACGGATGTTCATGCAGCGGATGCAACGTATTCGTCAATATTGCCGCGACGCGTACCACGTGACCGCGAATCTTGTCTAGGACGTGGCGGCCGAAATGCGAAGACTCGGGCATGCATTGGACCGGGGAGGAGGAGGAAGAGGGAGAGGAGGAGAGGGTTCCGTTTACCCGCAGTGCACATGTGTTCACCAGAGGGAACGAATGTGTGCTACATAAAGAACCGGAATATACTTGCGCAGAAATTTGTCCAATGCTGAGCATGATTTGCGTCGTCCGGGCCCCTTACCTCATGGATCTGCGCCCCCAGCAATACTAACGAACAGAGTTTCGCAATCGAACAATCCTGGTGCACATCGCTCTGCTTGAGAGTTACCATAGCTCAGCAACATAACATCGCTTACTCTTAGGTAGTATGGCGGTCAACTTGAAGCATCTCTACCCTAGAACGCACGAAGTGTCCCTGGGTATCCTGATTTCGTTAGGAACACGAGGCCAGACTTGAGTCTGATATTGTAGCTCTCTGAATACGATGAAGTGTATTGCCTGCCACAGTGCCAGTTCCAATGCTGGGGACTCTGGGAACAAGCGACTGCACTTGCCATATGTGGGAGTTTCCACGTGTTTCTGATCGTGAGTGGTTGGCGCCCGTATACTGACTTCACGCCCACCGAGCTTCAGGCGTCGCAGTGCGACCGCTCTAATTATCTGGTACCTAGCATCTCCTCTCTAGTGGCCTAGCTTCACTGCAGATACCAAAGACACCCGAGAGTTTAAGGAAGATGCTTGCCAGCCTGCCCCAGAAGATCGCGATTCCCTTTAACCTGCTCGGCGATGAGGCCAAGCTCGCATTCCGCAGCCACCCTGGGGGCATCGCCAAGCTGGCTACAACTCGCGTACGTTGGCAGATACTCGTATATAAGATGCAGAAAGCCTGACTACCAGCCTTTTGCAGCATATCTTGGAGACCGATTCATATTGGGATCAAGTACGTGCGTATGCTCAGCCGGTGTAGAGGTCGCTCATGAGTTCGCAGTATGTCACTCTGTTCGATTCAGCGTCGGACGTATTCACCCTAATCTCACACAACGATGGTGCGTACATCTTAAGCAATATGGAGGTCGTCCTGACAGTTTCCGGCAGTCCGTCGCGCTCTGTATGACGCGCCAGAGAACGTGGCGATGTTAATACGCGTTGTTACCTCCCGCCTGTTCAACCTTGTGTCGGACCACACATTCCCCAGCGCTCCCAATACGACGATGACTTCATTCGCGTCATCCTTCATGAAGGTTACACACCAGCGCAACACCACTAAGGAGGCGCTGAACTGCATACGAGTCCTACAGCGCGTCCTTCCGGTGGCCTTCGAACTCGAGAGCGAGACTAGTCGGCTGGAAATGGAGGTTTTCTGGAAGAGAGAAGAAGTGACTGCACAAAGCATTATGTCTTCTTCATCACACGCTGATCCGCAGTTCGTGATCGACGACGAGGACGACGAGGACGAGGGTGGTCAGGCCGGCTCCTCCACTAAGGCCCAAGCACCGGAAAGCAAGGAGAGACGCTACCTTCCTTCTCTAGCGGAAAAACTCTTCAGCTGTATTATCGATCTCATGTTCTGCTGCGGCTTTACTCTGCCGACTAAGCTCCAGGTGGACCACTACAAAATTAGCTATGTCATTTGGTACGCCACATTGCACTCGTAGTCCGATAGACAACCCACACTCACATCACACAGGGAAACAGGTGTTGGATCAACGGTAGATCCAGGACCCAGCCAGCCGTACGAGTCCAATCGAACAGAAGTGTTGCGACTTCTCCTTGTCCTCCTCTCGAAGCAGATATACGCACCGCCTGTTTCTCTATTCACCTGTCCTTCCCTCTACTCTCTGCAGTTCGTGCAGAAGACACCGAGGCGTCATGTTCTGACTGTCCTTTGTTCGCTCATGAACACTGCCCTGCATGCGCCGCAAGCTGGCGTTGCTAACCTCGTAGGAAGCGTCGCGGGCAAACTCCCCTACAATCACCTCGTCTTCAAGGGCGAGGACCCTCACAGCACCTTGATTGGAACGTGCCTCCAGACACTCTGCGTGCTCCTCGACTTCCAGAGTGGTACTGCTAGAGACGCTGTAGTAGACAGCGAAGGAGGTCAGTCGCATGCGCCTACTTCGAAGACCAATGCATTCAGGTATTTCGTGGCGAAACTGGTACGTATGGTCAGAATTGACAAAGTGATATGTATTAATGCATCTCCTTCAAGCACCGCCCCAACGACTTCACGTTCATACTACAAGGCGTTGTTGTTATCTTCGAACAGCAGATGGCTTCCATGAACAATTTGCTACCAGGCTCAAAGCGATCAGTCCCGTATATCGCTGAAACGGGTACGTACGATATAACATCACAAGAGGTTGTTGTGAACATGTTCCGTAGTCGTATTCTTGTGGAAAATGATCGATTTGAACAAGGTACGACGCTTACCTCTACTCGATTGTAGCCTTTCGTTAACAATCGCTCAGAAATTCCGCGCCTACGTCCTCGACTCGGACAAAGCTACCGATATACTTGCTTACCTGCTTTGCTATGGGATTGAGATCAAGGATAAGCCGCGTAAGTATGTCTCAATTCGTCGATTGTGTCCTGAGCCTAACTATGCGTCAAGAACAACACGGTCTGTGCCGTACAATTTCGTACATCGTGCAGAGCATCTCTGCGGAGCGTGCATTTGGTCAGAAGCTTGTCTCACCAATTAAGGCTCAGCTCCCGCAGAAATGGAGCAACCTAGGCACTGCGGCCGACGTCATGATTCATGTGAGAAGGCCATGTTCATCTACTCATACAGTGATTGACGTGGTGTACAGGCCATCTATTCCATGGTAGCGACCACGTCGGGTGCTCTCAACTCCCTGTACCCCGCGTTGATCATCGCGCTCTCTAACTCTGCCCCTTACTTCAAGAATCTCAGTGTCACTGCATCGACACGCCTCATCCAGCTATTCACCGCGTTCTCCAACCCCTCCTTCCTTTTAGCGGATGGAGGACACCCGCGCTTGCTCTTCTTCATGTGAGTCCCTGCCCGTGACGAAGCCCGAGGCATGACTCAAATATATGTAGGCTCGAAACGTTCAACTCTGTGCTCCTGCGGAATCTGTCCGACAACCCCAATCTGGTATATGGCATCCTCCATGCGCACAAGACATTCGAGGACCTCGGGACGTTCACCTTGGCTAGAGGTTTGCGCGAGATCCGGCGCATCCAGCAAGCCAAGGAGGAACGCGCGAAGGCAGGGGAAGGCAACGCGGACAAGGGCAAAGGCAGAGCGGACGAGCCGGACGAAGAGCAACCTCACGAAGAGAAGGCGAGGTTGTTGCGCAACGAGAGCAACGCTGAGTTCCCGTCGAACGCTGGCTCGACCGAGAACACGAGACCGAACTCAGAAGACGAGGCTGTCACCGCCATGCCGCTGATGTCTCCGACGCTCGGAGAACAGCCGCTGAGTGGGCGAGCAGCGGAACCGTCGGAGAAGGCTAGGGGCAAGATGAGAGCTGGGATGGCGATGTCCTTGGAAATGACGGGCAGCCTCGAGAGCCTTGCGGCGACAGCGGTCGGCCGCAATGGCTTCGTGCCCACGCAAGAATGGGTGACATCGTGGCAACAAGGGTAAGAGCACAGTGCGTATGTCGTTCGTTATTGCTAACGAAATTTCATCCAGTCTGCCCCTCGATGTCATTATGCTTGTCATCTCAGAGCTGCTTCCCAAGATCCAAGAACTGCAGAATTCACTGAACCCAGCCAACGCGAATGGTGCCGTCGTAGACCTGATCAAAAGTACAAACCTCCAACATATCTTACCCAAGCCCGGACCTGTCTCGGCGCGGCGCTTCGTGGTGAGTCTCTCACCTGCTATACAAAGTACTATATCCAAGCTCACGCTGCGTGTAGTGGTCCGATGCGTCCATCGTCTGGCTCACATCTCTGATTTGGGGAGAGATCTACGTCCGTGGGATGAGCCCGTTGGGCATCTGGAACTCAACCAACGTACGACTCTTCTTCGTGAAACATACGGAAACACAAACGCGGCCTATTACGGAGGCTGTCACCAACGCGGTTGGAGGTCTGTTGAGCAGGTCTCAGTCGTCACAGTCCATTGCCAACCGGCAACGACCATCCTGAGCTGTTCATCAGCAGTACCATGAGACTTTACTTTGCGATACTTGTAGGAATTTGTGACTCTCTGGTTGTACGAGTCTTGGAAAGAGTGTATATGCTATGACATATTATTCGGTCGTCCCCTCACTGGGTTAATCACGTATTACTGGGCGCTATTGGTGAGCGCCTGTGGCAAGAATGCAACCTTGTCCATTGTCTTGCAGCACCCGTTATGGACAGCTCTAAGGCGAACAACGATGTCCTACATCCAGAGCGTCGACTGCGCGCCGTTGTGCTAGCCATTCACTGATGCAGATTTGTGAGACTGCATGGAGTCCCAGGCAGTCTCGTCCATCGCTGCACTCTCCAGCCAAGACTTGGGCATATTGAAACGAGGTCAGTGCCCCAGGATCTCCAGTGACTATCATGCTGAGGAATTGTACTATGTCTCACAGCCGGCGTCGTCAATGTGGCAGACCTACTCCTTGCGGCCCCCTCTGACATCGTCAGAAAGACTCGGGCGAATGTTAAAGACATCGAGCGTATCCTAGACACCGTCTGCCATGCAATGGCGAAACAGCCTCGCGCGCTGCAGGATATCCCACATGAGGGCGACGAGAAGTTCACCACCGGTGATGAAAGGCTGGACGAAATCATTGGCGGGGGCGTTCGAACGGGAATGCTTTGGGAAGTTGTAGGGGAAAGGTGCGTGTCAGACTGCCACCAGTACCTCCAATGCTCTAACAAAAATGCAGTGCTGCCGGGAAGACGCAGCTGGCTCTACAGCTGTCCTTGATGGTGCAGCTCCCTCCCAGGCTAGGAGGCATCGACGGTTCTGCGTGCTACGTGACGGTCACGACCCGTCTTCCTACGTCTCGCCTCACCGACATCCAGGATACCCACCCGCTCCTCTCGCCTTCTCTATGTAGTCTGTCGGATGTCCACACCATCAAAGCTCCTGAGATTCCTATGCTGCTTCACGTCCTGTCCTCACGCCTGCCGAGCCTCTTGGACCAGCTACTATCTCAGCGCGATAGCAAGCCAGTGAAGTTGCTCGTCATCGACGCGTTGACCGAGCTCTTCCACTCGCACAACCGGGTCTCGAAGGACACTCTTTTCGAGCGGTCCAAGAACCTCACGGAAATCTCGACGCTCCTGCACGGCATCGCGAGCAAGTACCAAATCGCCGTGCTAGTTCTGAACGAGGTGATCGACGTCTTCGACCGGAGTTTGGACGCGGACATGGGGAGGCCTGGCGAGATACTCTACCGCGAGCAGTCTCGCTGGTTCAACAGGCCGGACTACGTCCCGGGTGGCAGTCGCAAAGAAGCGAGCTTAGGCCTTGTCTGGGCAAATCAGATCAATGCGAGGGTGATGCTCAGCCGTACGGAGCGCACGCGCATCGTGGACACGGACGACTATGAACGAGCCGCCAAGCGTCCGCGCTTGGAAAGCTCCCAAGCCTCTCCCGCTCAGCCCGTTCGCGTCAGGCGGCTGAACGTCATCTTCAGCTCTGTGGGCCCTCCGGCTGCGCTTGACTTCATCATCCGCAAAGAGGGTATCGTCACGCTGCCTGACGATGTAGCGCCGGAGAACACCATGCCGCCTCCGTCCGCGAGGAGACCGCCGCCCACACAAGTCCAGCCGACCATCGATGGCATATCACCGTTCGACATAGGTATTATAGAGGCGGACGGCCTCCTGCCGTCAAGTCCGTCTGCTGGAGACGTAGGAGGAGCGCAGACGGCGGTCGCAGAGGCAGAAGAGGGGCCACAGCAGGGGGGCGGCGACGAATGGGATGAGTATTGGCGGGAGGCGGATGCGCACGACGATCTGTACAATACTGACTTCGCGAGTTCCTCGCAGAGCTCGAGATTTGCCTGACGACGCAGATGTATATAGCAGTGTACTGAGGACCTACTGATCGCTTGTTCATATGCATATACTCATGAGTGCGGATCGCTGCCCGCAGATGTACCATAGATGTTTTGGGAATGCTTTGAGATAATATCGCAGTATAACATTGCACAACATATAGAACTACATCACATCAAAATAAGCTAGGCCATGCCACACAGGGCAGAAGATCGAAAATTTGCCTCCTATGAGGTCGAAGTGTCCAGGCTCTCTAAGCCATGGACCATGCCACATCCATCCGCACGGGCTGCTTCTGCGTCGGGCGTGCGTAGGCCGGCTTCGGAGCTCGTGGATGTTGCATATTGGCGGGTTGTTTGGCGGGTTGGTGCCTGGCGGGCTGCTGCTTGGTACTAGGCTGGTGTTTCCAGTAGTACGGATCCGTCTCGCGCTGGAACTCGATGATCTTCAGCGGTCGGTGGTTCTTGTGGAAGACAACCCGGTGCCGTTCCGGGGGGTTCGTGTAGGGCGTGAAGGGAGTGACGTCCGCGGGCCGGTAGGGCTGGAACAGGTCAAGGGTTATCCCCATCGAAGCTAGTGGTGCGGGGTGAGCTTGTGCAGATTTAAGAGCAGTGTAACGAACATACCTAGTGAGAACGCTAGCCAAGACAAGGTCAGAACTGCAATAGCAGCACTGCGTGCGTCCGCTAGTGCGGAGTAATCCTGAATGAGGCCGGAGTCGCCGGCGGCGGCTGCTCGGATCGTGAGGAGGATACAACCCACTATGCGTAGCGCACCAGTCAATTGGGGTCGGAGCGAATGAGTGGTCGAGGACGTACTGAAGCTCAATGACCAGATGAATCCGTCCACGATGAGGCAGCCCCGGCTGCCTTGATTTTTCACGCGGAAAACCCAGATTGTGCTGCGAACATCGGTTAAAAATTGAGTTCGCGGTGACAGCAACGTCGGACATACCGCATGAACACCAGCAGATCTGCGAAAACATGTAGAATCATCGAGAGTACTTCATAGCCTGTATCACAAAGGGTCAGCCACACGAGCAATACCGATGCGACGCGACTTTACCTCCGCCAGAACCAAGGGACAGAGCCATCGCAGTCAGACCGACCAGCAGCGCGTTTATCGCCAAAGAAAGAACTGCATTCGCCCATCAGTGACAATAAGCACGAAGAAAGGGATGTCTGCTCACATAGAATACATAACCGAAGGGCGAAGTAAATGAGAGATTCGTTAGTCACCGAGACAGACATAAGATGGATAGCGCTACAGAGGGTCGTAAAGTCGTAGACAGTGGTCGTACCAGCAGGAGCTGAGGCTCTTTCCAAGAGTCAACAGGAGCGTCCCAATGAGGCCCGCGTTCGGACATCCCAACTTTATACTGCATTGCTGCGCCGTGGCACCCGCTGGGACAAAGCACCAGTCAAAGGGTCCCGAAGTCAAAGCGTGAGCCTCGCATGTCGACTATAGCTAGCAAGCACATGCGCGGGCGGATGTGGTCGCTTTCAACGGTCAAAACCAGATCTGGCCGTCGATCGTCGGGTACGCAGATTTCGCGCTGACTGCATTGATGATTCGGCGAGCGTTTTGGGAAGGGCCGACGAAATGGACAATGGGAGCACAGGGGGCCACGCGGGACGGTGATGCGTCGTCCCCCCGCAATCTTCTCCGTTCATCTCAGGGCCTCAGACCGTGTCTGAATATCTGAACAGCCATCCGCTGCGGCCTGAGGCTAATATGAAAAGGTCCATGTCTCTGGTCAGCCTTCTCGCGGGTGGCTGACACAGGCTGACACGTTGAGAACGCCCCGACTCTGATGACAGCTATTTTCAGAACGTTGGACAGTCGCAAACGCGAGCGACATACGATGACTAAGCACTCCGCCCTTCGAGATGTTGGAGAAAGCGGCACTCGCCCCATCGCACCGCTCTTCTTCCCCACTGCACAGCTAGTAGGCCAGAACCTGCGCACGACGATGCGGCCCTCGCGTGTATGATACGGCCTGCGCGACGCGATCCCGTGCGCCTTAGACGCAGAGCCAATAAACTCGCAAAACGCGTCTATGGCTCCTTCCGACCTTGCTTGCGACGGGCGTCGGGATATCCGAGGCAGCGAGCCGTGATGCAAGCTCAATTGTGGGGGTGCTGTATGTACATACATAGTTGGCATGCATATGGTAGACTATCTACTACCACGAGAAAACGTGATCGCGACGCATCTCAATGTCCCGCGCACAGTGGCAAAACAGGCTCAAGCGAACATAGACGTGCGGAGGTGCGGCGCGATGGCGTGAGCGCCGCTTTCTCCAACTTCTCGAAGAGCGGGGCTCTTGGTCAGCGTATGTCGCGCGCGTTTGCGACTGTCCAACGTTCTGAAAATAGCTGGAAGCAGAGCAGCTCGGTCACCAAGGATTGCACACAAAGATACCGAGATACATACATACTTGGCGGAACTAGGTGATTCTGTCGCCAAACACCCGCAGAGGCTTTTAATAGTGCGAGCGACGCGTGAAGGTGCCCGAGCTGACCAAATGCGTGCTCCTACTGCTCTCAGACAGCCACCATCAGGGTTGTGCGCAGCCCGACAACTCTGACTCATGTGTGGACAAAAAAGGCGACTTGCGCGAGCGATGCGGAAAAGAGCAGTTCGGGGCGACGGCTCGGTAGCGGGGATGCTCAGGTTGCCATATATGGGTGGGTTGTACGCCGCTGTTGTGGTTTGTTTCCCGAGTCACGCCCACGAGGGTCGCGCCTCCCCTGCGGCGCACGGCCTGACGACTACTTCACCACTGTCCAGTCCCCACCCGCTTGCCACTCGACCACAACCACCACCGCTGCCCTTGTCGCCCCCCGTCGCCCGCACACCCTCCCACCGCTACTCGCATCGCCAGAATGAGGTCCAAGTTCAAGGATGAGCACCCCTTCGGTACGCGTGGCGCGCCCATACGCTGACCATCGACGCTTATCGAGCTCGTCCTGCTTATAGAGAAGCGCAAGGCAGAGGCGGAGCGCATCAGGCAGAAGTACCCAGACAGGATTCCCGTACGTCGTGGTGTCGTGCGCGCCGGTGACAACTGAGCTGAGCCGTAACTCGCTTCCCTAGGTCATCTGCGAGAAGGCAGACAAGACGGACATCCCGACAATAGACAAGAAGAAGTATCTCGTACCATCAGTGGGTGTCGCAGTCGCTCTGCTGAGGACGCCACACTGAGTCACACTACAGGATCTCACTGTCGGGCAGTTCGTGTATGTCATCCGAAAGCGTATCAAGCTGGCGCCTGAGAAGGCCATCTTCATCTTCGTCGATGAAGTGCTTCCACCCACTGCGGCACTGATGAGCGCGATCTACGAGGAGCATAAGTGCGTGGCCGTGTATCGATCTCCTAATGAATCCACTGACGACATGCCAGGGACGAGGATGGCTTCTTGTACGTCAGCTACTCAGGAGAGAACACATTCGGGTCGCGATGAGCATAGAAGTTGCTCATTTCCTTACGCGTTATCACTGCCTGGATGTACGTCTTCCCATTCGGACTGATAAGGAGTAGAAGTTGATGGAGGGCCGGGGTTGTGCTGCTCATGTTCGTCTACTATCTTGTCGATTGTGACGGCCTTCGTAGTTCCTCCTCTCGCTGCGCCTTCGTGCGAGACTTACTCGTCTTCGGAGGATCTGCCGTTGTATTTATATCATACCATCTCGCACCCGTCTCGCAGAACAGCAATTATGACTGAATGTATCATGACTTTTGACGACATCCTGCATGATACACCTGTAAGCTGCACAAGTGTCCGCAATCGCCCATTGGCGCGCAAGTGCTTGGTAAAGTCTAGTACTCTTGCCAGTGAGTCCCTATGGAAGAGCTCGCACAATTCTATGGTATGCCGCGTGTTGGAGTCTGAGCATATACAGGCGCAGGCGCAGACCGCAAAGGAAGCCAAGTCGACTAGCGGGCGATACGCCTACTTGAGATACTTGTTGAGTCGCATGAGGTGGTAGTTGATGCTGGACCTTGGTTTTGCCTTGTTCTTGTTCTGCACAAACCCACATGAATACACAGCATCGCGACTACATAGACAGCAGACGTACCGTAGTCTTTACGCACTCGAAAAGCGACTTTACTGCGTCCTGACAAGGGCCCATGCCGTGGACGTCATTGTACGTCGAAAAGCACCCCAGCATGGAAGCCAGCAGGGGGCCACAGGGCCCTTCTCTGGCCGCTGGAGGGGGGGGGGGCGTCAGCAACGCTGAGCAGGACGAGTGCAAAAGGAGCACGCACCTCTGCGCGGCCGCACCTTGAGCTCCTTGATCTGCATGGTGGCCTCCCTGTTTCTCCTCTATAGCCCCGTGCAAGTGATACTGTCTGCCTTGATTTAGCGGGCAGAGAACGACACGAAGGGGAGGACCGCCGGGACCGGACTTGGACGCGAGCTGGCTGTCTGGTGCAGACGGAGTGTTGCAAGCGCCCGAGGGCGAGTTGGGCAATTCCCGACGGCACTGAATCACATGATTGCCCTCCACGTTGCTGCGATCTCGGCTAAACGGCCGTGTCCAAGCTCGCCTCGACTCCTCAACCCGCTCGACACTGGCAACCTCCCTCTCCTCACCACTGTCTTCCTCTGAGACGTCCGAGACGATGGCGAGACTGAACAAGAACAACTCGGGTGAGCGGCGAAGTTGTCTTCAGTCACCGCGCGTGTGCTGACTGGCAGCGTAGCCGTGAAGCGCATCATGCAAGAGGCCAGGGAACTGGCCAACGACCCGTGCACGGACTATTCTGCGGCGCCACTCGAGGTGAGACTGCGCATTCCTGTATGGCCTTCGCAGACTAACACCTGAACATGACACTGGTAGGATGACATCTTTGTAAGTTTCTCCGCTATATGAGTGTATGTACGCCGACCAGACTCCTCGATGTGGTAGGAGTGGCATTGCACGCTGCGCGGACCGAATGGGACGGAGTTTGAGGGCGGGGTCTATCATTTCCGCATCTTGCTGCCAGCAGAGTATCCCTTCCGCCCGCCGTCGATCATGATGCTCACGCCGAACGGCCGGTTCGAGCTGAACACGAAGGTAAGCTTACTTCTGCTTGACATGCGCTTAGTACAAGAAGCACTGACCCGACGACTTGCAGATCTGCATTAGCTTTACTAGCTGTATGTCCTCGTACTGTCATGATCAGCACTGCCACTAACGCAGACTAGACCACGAAGAGCTGTGGCAACCTGCATGGGGCGTGCGGACAGGTATGTACACAGGTAGACGTCACTCTGCGTCGCGTCTGACCGACCTCTGCTGTAGCTATTGTCGGATTGCAAGGCTTCTTCCCGCTCAAAGGCACAGCGGCGGTCGGTGTTGGTGCACTCGAGTACCCAGTTGCAGAGCGCAAGCGGCTAGCTGCCCTGTACGTCGCGAGCTAACACATCTGCCATATGAACTCATCTCACAGGTACATCAACCAGCTCGCGAGAGTGGGTATGCCCCAAATGCAACTGCACGAACCTCGAACTCCTCCCCGACCCTCCGTCAGATGCCAGCCGTGCAGCACCGCCGAACGCCGAATCACAGATCACAGAAGTGCCAGCGGCGTCGCCCGGCCCACTCACGCCAGCCACCCCTGCTGTAATCGCAGACGTCAAGCAGAAGGCATCTGCCGACGAGCCGCCGCGCGCACAAGTCGATGCTCCCTCTCCTTCCATCCCCATCGTCGCGCCCCGTCCCCAGCGCCCCAGTCCGCCTCCATCAATCCTTACCACACCCATCGACACCACCCCTACGCCTCGGACCGTCTCGCCTCGTCCGGATGGCGCTTCATCAGCGCAGCTACAGCAGGCCGCTGGTCCCAAGCGCGACGCGCAGAGCTCCGGTCGGCCGCCCGTCTTGTTAGACACGGCTATCTGCGTTCTTCTTGTCCTCCTATTCGCGCTGATCGTGAAGAGGTTTTTGTGAGCGTGCGCATGAGCCTACAACACCGTTTCCTTTATGTCTTGGTCACTTGTCATCTCGCCAGCCGTTATGGGACAGTCATTCATTAGCATTGTGGGGCCCAGTAGTCCTGGGACGCCTGTGTACAACATCTCTACCACTGTATGATATATCAGATCGGATATGGATTTGTCGTTCGTTCAGGTCAGGAGGGAGTCTGACCACTCTGTCGTTGTGCACCGCACGGACTTCGGTGTCTTGCATTATCAAAACAAAGGCAGTACTTGCCTAAGGATCGACCCGAACATGGCATTCAGTAACAGCACAAATCCCATTGGACATATATACAGTACAGAGCGAAAAGGGAGCACGCAATATCGTCCGATTACTTTTTCTTCGGGTCTCTCAAGCTGAGAGTAATGAGGTCCTCATCCTCAATATTGTGGCTTGCGATTGTGTTCTGATTGGGCAGCATACGCCCAGCATACGACACTCGGATTCGAGAAAGTGGAACCGGAGGGTTGCCCAGATGCTGCAGAATACGGTCACGCAGAGTAGACACCAGAAGATTGAGCGGGATGTCGGGGACGGTGATCACCTTGCCGTCGAGCTTCCACTCCGGCTTGGACGGCTCATTGGGCAACTGGATGACCAACGAGATGGGGTGCTGGAAGAGATGGGTCAGTGAGGCTGCGATGATGCAGCCGTTCGTAGACTTACCGGATGCATGCTGATCCAGTCATCCGCTGAGTACAACGTCGTACCGGGAATCTTGGCGATCTTCTGCCGCTTCGCAGGGGGGATGTCATCCGCGCCGCCCTCCATCTGGTCTGCTGTCCGGACCATGCCTGCTTGCGGAGGCGTACCTACAGCACCAGGCGATCCTGCGAGCGCAGCACGAGCAGGGTGCATCATTGGTGCTGCAGCAGGTGGAGGCTGGTAACCGAATGGTTGCGGCGCGTCCATACCTTGGTAATGCAGAGGTGGAAGCATGACTGGGGGCGGCTGGGGAGGGTATAGGGAGGCAGGCTGAGGGCCCGAGGAGATGGTGGCCGCCGAGTACGCCGGGTCTCCTGGGGCGCCGCCTTGATTTGGAGGAGCAGGTAAGGATGTGGGAGCTGGAGGGAGAGAAGTCATCGGTGCCGGGACAGCGGCCGGGCCAATACCAGGGCCGATCGCCCCAACTTCTTGTCTGCATAGACAGTGCCGTCAGTCATAAATCCTATACGCAGGAAATAATCACGTACGGTCCGAGACCCTTGGCTCGATGAATAGCAGCGATCTGCTCGTCGAAGTTCACATTCGTGGAGAATTTGTCGAGAGTGTTGGCCTTGGACGCAGTATGTCCATCCCAGACAACTTTTTCCCTCTCCCTCCGACGCAGCCGCTCTTCCTCCTCTTCCTTCTTGCGTTTCTCTTCGTCTGCTTCCGCGCCGAAGATATCGACACGCGTGCGCGCGAGGTTCTTGAGGGACGATACGACATTGGCACCACGCTGCAACTCGGAGGCCTGTGCCTTGCGGGCTTCCAGGACGTCACGCTGCGACTTCCACTTCGGATCAAGTAGCTCGATACGCATGTGTTCCTGGAGTTCGTCCACAGCTACTTGCTGGCCGCAGATCGTGCATGTGGTCATCTTCTCGGAAGACTTCTTGCCGACTACAGTATGAGAATGAGTGAATCGAGTTACGTACATAGCAGACGGAGAGGTACGTACCCTTCGGCACGTAGTCTGTCCTGATCTTCATCGGGGCGCCCGCGTCTAAAGAGTTGGCTTGGACAGCCCTTGCCCTTTCGACTTCCCGTGCACGCTCCTCTTCCTCACGTCTGCGACGTTCCTGAGCTTCCTGATCCTCGTCGTCGGACTGTTCCATGGCGGCATCTTCCTGAGAGGCCATTCCAGCACTGCCTACAGCTGCTGCCGCCTCTGCCTCTGCAGCGGCTTGGCGTGCACGATGTGCCTCGACGTCCTCTGCGGTCGTCTCCATGATCATGGCCGCCATCCTCTTCTGCGCCAACGTCATGTTCTCGACTTCCTGGACGCTCATGGGTGGCGGCAGTTCGGAGGTGGCATCAGCGGCGGTAAACTCGATGGTCTGGACGATAGCGTAGTCGTGCCAGTCAATCTCAGCGAACGCAACTATCATGCAACATTAGCTTAGTGTGATGCACAAAGGCATCCTACGTACTTTGTTCCGCCTCTTTGTCGTCCTCGCGTTTCTTCTCCTGCTCGCGCTTGAGCTGCTCCCACCGAGCACGCTTCCGGGCGATCTCGAGCTCGTTCCAGCGGGCACCCTCTTGTGTGCGTTCTTTCAACTGGGCGAACATCTCCTTACTAGGGAGGAGAACCTTCGAATACTGCTCTACTAACCGGTTGAAATAACCAAAGAGGGAGTGAGTGGGCCGTAGGAAGTCGAATTGATAGTTTCGTCCTTCCCTGGCGGAGAGGGCAGCCAGGAATGCACGACCACGGCGAGCGGTGAACAGAGCAGTGAGTTTCATGATGTCCCTAGTCATATTTTAGCTAGACAGAAGACGGCAACATGAACTCGTAACTCACAAATCAATAGCGGTGATATTGGGAATGTTGAGTATGAACTCAGGCAGCGGAGGCTCTATTCCTCGGTCGATCACCTGCTCCACAACGTCCTCCACTTTCTTTTCATCTTTTCCGACCACTGGCTCGTCATCTATTTCTCCCCGGATCACCTTCTCCATGCGATGCCTATAGTAAGCATGGTAAGGGTCGGCGGGGTTGAGGAACGAGAACTTCGGGTCCTGACGCTGGTTCTCGCGGATTTTGTCTTCGAATTGAGGAGGGTTCGCAGACCGTGCAACGAAGGCTGCTGTGCGGTCAATTACCGCTGCATAGAGCGTCAGTATGCGCACGAAACGATGTCATAGCTGAGCACGTACACTTGATCTCTGGAGGGGGGAGAATGAGGCCACTGGCGAATTTGGGCTCCCTTGGTACACTATTGAAGTCGCCGTGACCATTAAGTCCGCCGCCATTGAGCTGCGGCGGAGGCATCATCTGTACGTCGACTGCGCTCATATCGGCGAGAGCTGAGGGTGCTGTTGGCGAGCGGAAGTGGACGAGGTCGCAGACTCGCAGAGGTCCGCGTCCACTTCAGCGCTTCAGAACTGCTCGGACACGGCTTAGTCAGCAGCATTTCTGCCTTTGCCATCAGCTTGCCACCGACCGACTTTGCTCAGGTCTGTACGGCGACAGTATGTTCGGGGCCTTCAGAGCAACACAACCAAGTCTCAGCGGTCTCCTTTGGTACGTGCTGAACATGATCTAGATGCCGTGGTTGCTGAGACTCGGACAGGAAGGTCCCGTGGAAGCTGTCGACCACGCGCAAAGCCAATGTCAGGACACGGCTGAAGAGAGTAGACACAGTCATCGAGGCGGTCAGAGCAAGTGGGGTTGAATGTGCTGCTCTCGTGAGTGACGAGGGCCCTTTCCCCATATCACGCACTCACATTCGTACCCAGACCAAGGCATTGCAGCTCCCCAAGGAGCATGAAATGGCACCCAGAGACAAGTACACAGTCTTCACTCGGCACGCAAGGGGCTACCGCAAGGGCATCCACAAAGTTCCCAAGTGGACACGGGTAAGAGACTATCTCGGCGTAACATCCATAACGGGGCTAACTTCGCAACAAAGCTGACATTGCGCCAAAGTCCAACGGGTTTCTAAGCCACGCATATGGCACCATCGGTACCATGCAACAAGCGATTATATTCGCATGCGTAGCCTACCCCGAGGTGATGCGTCGTAGCATTACGAGTCCTAATGTATTCATAACAGCACTAATTGGATCTTCCCCTGCTTGAATCCCTGCAATACCTTCGGCGCACCCAAGACCGTCCGGAAGACCTCGTCCCTAGTCTCAGGAATGTCCAGTAAGCGACGCTTCTTCGCATCCTGATACGAGACGTCGAGGATGATATGCGTCAGCGCGGAGGTGGAGAACACGTCTACGCATTAGAAACTTGTAAGCATACATTGACATGCGACTCTGTGCGAGCATGCGTACCTGTTTCGCACAGCAGCTTCCCTATCCTGCCCGGCGTGCCTACGGCCGCAGCTATCTTCGTTCTGCGCAAGTAGGCGACGTGCTCCTCAAGCTTGAAGTGCCTAGCAAATAGCTTGGCAATCTCCCCACCCTTCTCACCACGCAATCTCTTGTCCTTAAGTAGTCGCGTGACGTCCGCCACTCTCAGCGCCGCTCCAGCCAGAAATATCAACGTCGGTGACCCGTTGGACTTGGGTCTCTGCGACAAACGAGTACGCAGTGTGGGTACCACTGCGGCTCGGTTAATACCAATATCCGACGGTGGGAAAGACAAAACGTACTCTTGGTTATGAATTCCACCAGTTGGTCCAGATTCCTGGACCCAGTCCATTGTGTGGTGTCCGCTATCGAGCTCTCTGCCTAGGCGTCAACATTGAGAGCATGCTCCGAGGAGGGACAAAGGCGCATGTACCAGGAATTTGGACATCCGCCAATTCAATGCTCGACATCTTTGAGAATGTCTTTGCTTGCATAGAGGTCAGGTAGTCCGCCAGAAGCATAGGAGGCTGGGCAGCGATGGACGGTGCTTCGACAGGATCTAGTGTCTCTGCGAGCCGGCGTTTCTGAGGGCGAAGGATGATGCGCAACTCTGTAAGGGGTTTCCATGCCACTGATGCTCGATGGTCGCATACCTTCGCTCTGCGCTCCTTCTCTTTCGCCCGCCGTTTCCGTTTCTTCTCACTGACACTCATGGCCGTGCCCTGCGCCCCAGCTGCCCGAGGTTCATCCTCCTCCCCTGCGCTAAGGAATGCGCCGACATCGTCCCCTTCAGCCGACTGCCCTGCGTCCTCGTCCTCCGAAAGCGCAACGAGGTCATCCGGTACAAAGTCGTCATCCAGATCGTCGCCCCCTTGCCTGCTCATCTTGAGTAAGTTGATGCGCCGATGCGGGAGACCCCAGTTAAGATCAGTGGGTCGGCGGGGGTGCTGGCGGATTATCAGACAAACTCGAGTTCAAGGGTGGTCTCATGCGAATGCGAAAGCCTTCGAGAGGACCCGACTCGGACTGCTTTGGCAGACGAGCGCTCGAGGATCTCAGCAAAATCTTGATCATGTGATCTGAGTTAAGTACTTAGGCGGCCCGCGCGGCGCGCCACGCCAGGGCCGCGAGCGTCGAGCATGTTCGAAGTCCAAAGCGTCCTTCCGTCCAAACACTCAACACGAGCCTATCGCCCTCTGTAGGTTTGCCATCGCATTGTGCAAGTCGGCACGCATCGTCTCTCATCTTGGAGGATCGAAAACCCACCTACTTCTCGAGAACGTCGGCGATAGCTCGAGGAAGAACAAACGGGAGCTCCAGAAATCCTGAACATCCGTCCGACATGTCGTCTATCTCGAAATACATGTGGACCGGAACGATGCAAGACTACGTCTTGCTTGGTCTGGCAGCGCTATCCCTTCTTTGCGTGAGATACATTTGGGGACGGATGTGGTCGTGTGAAGGGAAAAGTAACGCGGACATACGGTCCCTCCGCGTATGTGTTTCGTCTGTCGTATCTCTGAGCTGCTTTTGCCTATCTGCCAATTAGCAGACACCGGAGATAACTGTGCCAGGGCATCAGGCAAGCAGTCGACGCGCCAAGCAGTTGTACGATGTATTCCTTGTTCTGGATGTCGAGGGAACATGCGAGGATAGATCGAAAGCATTTGACTATCCAAACGAGATTATTGGGAGTATTCGCCGTCGTTGGATAGACTACGGGTGTCTCTGACAGCTCGATCAGGAATGGCCGGTGTGCATCCTGCGTTGGAAAGACAAGGACAACGACGGATTCGCTGAGAACCTCGAGGTAGTCAGTGAATTCAGAAGCTTCGTGAGGCCTACATGGAGACCTCGACTTTCCGACTTTTGCACCCAGCTCACTGGGATCACCCAGGTTCGTCTCTAGAAAAACCGGACGAGCACAGCCAATGATAAACGACCCTCACTTGCGCAGGAGCAAGTGGATAGTGCTCCGACATTCACAGAGCTCCTAGACAGCTTCCGAGAGTTCCTCGAAGCCAACGGCCTCATCGATCCTGACACAGGCCGCCGTCTTGTCCGGTTCTGCTGGTGCACGGATGGCCCGCATGACATATGCGACTTCGTGGTGAAACAGTGCTTCATCTCCAAGGTCGAGAATAGTCGCTCTAGGTGGTCCCTCTGTCCTCGTGTTGATACGCTCCCTCGCAGGTCCCCATGCCGGCATGGATTACGGGGGATGTACTAGACATCCGCAAGGCTGTTCATATCCTGCTCGATGCTTCGGGAAAACCCTCGACCACCAGTGACCGGCCAGGGCAGCAGGTACATTCCCTTCTGCTAGCTGCGGAAAGTCGTATGGACCTGACAGTTCCTCCAGTACGCATTTCCGATGCCCCGTCGTGTCGCACTCACGATCCCGCGTCAATTGGCATCGTTGGGTCTTGCGCCATTCCAAGGTCGCCAACACAGTGGGATTGACGTGAGTTGTCGCAAGCCGCAATTTCACATTGCTCACTGGGGTCGCTGACAATCCGTCTGCATAGGACACACGGAACATCGCACGGATCCTAGCTGAGCTCCCAAAGCGAGGAGTGAAGCTTGAGCCTAACATACACATCAATCCCAGAAAGCGGTGGCCCTGGATGGGCAAACGAGGCAAGATACTGGAGGACTATATTTGAGTCCATGGAGCTTCAACTGCCGTGGGGCCGAACGCTCAGCCAATCATGCAGCATGCGTCGCTTCTCATGCTCCGTGTGCCCGCTTCCCATAAGTCTCTGCGCATAGCCATTCGTTCCTATATCTGGACGGGAGTATCAAGTGCCATTGGCAGTGTGGGAGGCCACTCAACGGCGTTGGCGTACTCCGTGCAATCTTGGATTCAACGTGTACTTGCAACTGCGTCATAATTAGTTTTCGCGCACTAACGCTTACCGATGGATCTTGCGAAGATGCCTCGATCTACAGTCGGTAGCACTGTCATCTCATTGGTTCTCCCGTACCTCATCTCCGTTCGTCGTTGGTGGGTGGGACTTGGGTGGGGCTCTTCCCACTGGTGCTGCGAATGACCATATGTGTACATCTGATTTGCAACGATAGAATACATTCTGAGCCGTGGACAAACGGGCGGATCACCCTGTCGTGGGTACAACCACCTGCCTTCGTCGTCTATATATCGTAGTAAGGAATGACGTCTAAGAGAATCGTGGTGTCATGGCAGCGCATAATCACTGAATTGTCGTTTGCAGTCAATATCTTGCTATCCTGAAGAGCTTTTACACTCACGAAGTCCCAGAGCGTTCCGAAGCACGGAATCTTCTCCATCTTGCACGCCTAGTTATGATCGGCGTTGAGTACGACCATATAGTATAGCGAAACCAGCACTCACTTGCATCATCTCGGAGTTTCCTTGCATATTGGAGGTGATGAACACGACTGAGAATTGTCAGGCGAGGCTGAATCGACGGCACCGAAGAGACTCGCCTTCAGCCTTATAGGAGTGGTACACCTCCCTCAGGATCTTCCGTGTATCAGGCCGACCTCCTCGCACCTTACTGTCCCAGAGGAGATATCGTTCAGGCTCGATGTTCCTGTTGATCAGACCGCTGATCGTAGGCCCGAACGTCTTCTCCTGGTCTGAGCCTACAAAGTAACCGGCATGAACGACCCGTGGTACGGACTCTTACACATCGCACACATACCGATCCAGATGAGGTACCTGTATTAGGGGAAGTCAGAACTCTGATATCAGCCGGACATTGCGTGTACGAACCAGTAAGGCGACTGAATACAGGTCGCTAGGGCTGCACCAATACCAGTTCCCGTGCAAATACGAATGCCCCGCCTGTAGAGCTTCGACGTGTTCGAGACACCAGCCAACTACCCGATCGTCAGGCATACGCTGTCACAGAAGATAATCTCCATCTGACCTTCAGCTCTCGCGTCCATATGTATTGCGGAGGATCGTTGACAAGACTCCGCGTGAAGTCACCTTCACGAATGGTGAGACGATGTCTAGTGTAGTGAGTCATGTATTACCTTGGACACCGCACACCATGTAATGATACTTGGAATGCGGGCCTTCTCTATTGCGAAATCAGTGTCCGTTATTTAGCGTCAGAAAGACGGGGCGCAGCTTACGAAATGATACCGAAGGCGTGATATTCCTTCACAGCACTCCTGCTGACACGACCCAAGAGACCTTGCTGCATCCCACGTTCAAAACGAATGACTGCGACTTTGTTGGATGGCTAATAATGCTGTCAGCGGCACGCACGACAGACACAGGAAGGACCGATGGAACCCGTACCAGCTCGATGTCGATCTTCACGCGCCGCGTGCAGATCCAAGGAAGGACGATCCAGAGAGTCATGCCCATCACATACCAGAAGTCCTGCTGCCGCACGATGTGAACGCCGTTCAGGTTCCATGTCCTTGTCGGTTCATTGTACAGATCCCCTAGAAGAACGAAGATCCCTATACAAGGGCCTGTCAGATCTAGGACGGCCTGAGAGTGAAGTAATCGACATACAGGACGAAAAGAGACCGGTCCAGCCCATGAAACGATGCCAACGCTCGAACACACTGTATTCATGTCAGCGAGGAACAGGATGGAGGTGATAAATTGGAACTTACTTGTGATGAGAGTTACGTACCCATGGGAAGCCAGCAACCATCGTAATGAAGAGAGAGAGGTTCGCTATGACTGCCCAGGCCAGTAGTGCGTTGGGGTAGATGGCATGGTCCACGTATACATGGACGGTTCTCAGAGTCAGCCAGATCACACCAGAGACGGCGCAACCGGAGTGGATTCCACCCAGATGCTGTGTATTTGGTCAGCCATATGCGGAAATCTCGAATGCGCTGAGCATACCTGCAAGACAGACGTGCAGCCCAGCCGCCACCACAACGGTGCCCACTGTGACCCATGTCAGTTCCCCTGCAACACTCTGGACATCGGCGAGGATGACGTACCTTTGCGAAGCATGCGTTCACAAAGCCGTACAAGCACCGCCCGAAGATCTCGTTCCGTACGAGGACGGAGACGTTGAAGTTGCCGATAGCCATGGCGCCGCCATATCTGTAGGCATACGGCCAGTGGCCCGACACAGCGAAACCGAACAAGATGATGTTCACGGAAAACGTGATCGTGAAGAGCTTCCTGCACGGACGATCGGCGCATGAGTTCCGCCCGTACCTATAGATCAGAGTATTGAGAATTCTTACCGATACATATCGTACCAAAGGACCCAAATGATCCATTTAGGGACATTCCTCTTCGCTGGTTTGCCAGCAGGCTTAGCAGGAGGGGGCGCCGGGGTATCCTTCTTCTCGGGCACGGGAATGACTTGAGCGACCGTAAGATCTTTCTTCTCGTCCTTGAACGTGACTTCGATGGGCCGAGAGTGGATGTCAGGTAGAGCACCCTTCTCTGCTTCATCATACGCGGGTGCAGGAGCTCTGGGCGTAGGTTCAGACGACATGATCGGATAGTGAGGACCGCAGCAGCCGGTAGCACTGTCCCGAAATGCGTGAGGGAGAGGTTCCAAGTCAACCACGGCGTAGTATGCGACCTTATATAGGCTTGAGACGAAGCCCAGAGCAGGTCTGGAATATACGGTGCAACCCACGCTGTCCCATGCGGTGGCGTCGGAGAATGGGTTGCTGGGCCAGAGACATAGCTCGTGGTACCACGTAGAAAGGTTCTCAGAACTCGGTGCATCCGGCATCCTGTATCTGATTCGCGCGCAGCTGGTGCTGCCGATGAATGCGGACCGAATTCTGTGAACAGTTGAGACTATTTCGAGGAACGAGAGCGCATAACACAGAATGGATCTCACCCGAAGGAGTTCACCGTGAGCAAAAGTCTCACAAACTACCAAGATGGCATCCGCGTCGACGATGGCGTCAGGAACATGTAAGTTTCCACACAGTAGCGCACAGCTACGCATGCTCCTACGATGCAATTCCCACTATGATGGTCTCAGCTGGGTATGATCACTTGTTTACAGCACTGACTTACGGCGTGTCATAACAGCAAAGAAGAGCCGGAAGGACAATCCGTGCTTCGACGTCCCAGACTGCTTCGATCTGGATCTCGACAACCGTGGAAGCACACAGGTCGGTTGACGGCTAGCAATGGAAGGAACGTTCCGTGTTCTGCAATCGGAATCAATGGAAAAGCGGTCGGTGAAAGTCTGCGATCTACGCGCCTCTATGAATCCGACCACAAGGCGGAGTTTGTCCGTCGCGCTGAAGCGGACCTTGTGAGAAAGACAGTATTTCTGTAGATTGTCGCGGCACCGTCCGCTCGCAGAAACCTTGGCGTTGATCTGATCGACTTAGACCTACATGCCCTCCCTCCACCCGTCAAACCAACATAAAACAGAGGCCTAATACATACATGATCCCGCATTGGTTAGGTTTTGTTGCGTCACCAAGCAATTTTCTTGACAGCCATACGTCGCGCAGGCTGTGCATTGGGTCAGGACTCAGAGAATATGTGTGATCTTGCCATCGAAGCTGACACGTTGAATCCCAGGAAAGAAAAAGACGGTTTGGCGGGAGCACCCCGGGCATCGGAGACCATTAGAAAGTCCGCCCAGGGTGGTTGGACGAATGGGGATGTGGAAGACCTATTCATAGAGCTGTTTGTGCTCAAGCACCGTACGTTATCGAGACCGACCCCGGCTACCGGTAACCATGGCGTGAGAGGACGGTGCCGAAAAGTGGAAACAGCGTCGGAGCCCTCTTTGAAGCGACCTGCGGCAGCGAAAAGGCAGTGAAGGGGATCGGAGGGACACGCTGAGTGAAAAGTCGTATATTAGCTCCGAACCATTCAGTGTGGTATGCAACCCACATCGTCAGCGACAGGGATACCCTCGACTACAACAACCCAGAGGCCGTCATTTCCTCTAGAGGTATACGAACCTCTGCGGGAGCGGAACCGCCGTCTGACCGCGTTAATCCCTCAACTGGTGGCTTTGAGAGCTAGAAGTGAAAACAGCCAGTAACGACGCGTGCGAAGGCCCGTTTGCAGACGCCCTCCCTTGAGAAACTGAAGTACGCACGGCTTCATCGCAACCGTAGGTAGAATCATTCATGACGAATCGAGTCTGTTCCAGAGTGGGGCCCAGGGTCAGAGCGGATATTGAGAAGACAACGAGCAGGCTTCTGCGACGGAGAGTCCTCGGTTGGCGAATCAGCTGCAATATCCTCGGACAGACTTTCGGCGATCGTGGGGGTTTATACTCCCATCGATTCCACCCTTACGGAGTTGTCGAGCGCACGATGCCACCGGGCTCTGCATCGAGCCAGATAAATAGTAGCATAAATGTACCGCATACGGGAAGTGCACTGACTAAGGCAAGGATATACCGCTGGGAGGGCGATGGGCGCGAGGCTGCGACGCAGCGTCAGATGTGTACGAGCTTAGTTGGCCTCGGCGAAATCTCTGAGGTGCTTGAGCTGCTTGGAGACCTCCTCCTTGAACATAACGATATCACTGCTATTCTTGATGATCGCCCGCATCGTTTCGTCCTTAAGACGATTGACCTTGTCCATTTGTTCGCGGTGGCTAGGGATTCGGGAAATATTAGCCTGCGCACAAAGTCCGCCGACTGAATCTACACGTACGCGATCTGTAGAGTTTGTAGGCGGGATTTGACACCGACGCCGTTAGCGAGGGCGGAAGTCCTGGCCTGTGCAAGATCTCGTTCCAACCGAGTCGCCTCTGCGTTGCTCACTAGTGCCTCTTGTTGAGCAGCCTGAGTCAGGATGTCGCGTCAGTAATGCACCATTCAACGGGTGCGCCAGGAATTTGTCAGTAAGGAATGAAGGACTCGCCTCTCGTAATTCGTCTGCCTGGTCGTTGAGCGCATTGACCTTGTTACTGATCTCCAGCACCTCCTCGTCCATGTTCTCGCACTCAAGCGTCAGCTGGTCGAGTTCATTATCCACTTTGATCCGCTCGCTCTCGACGTCCGCACGCTCTGTGCGCTTCATTTCGGCGACGCGGCTCAGAGTTGGCTTGATGACCCTCCGAATGTCTGCCCCCGAGAGCAGATGCTGTGGATTAGCCGCCGCTGAATTGAGGTCCAGCGTCAAATTGGTGCCCTCGAGGGGAGGGGGCAGGGGCGGGAATAAACCAAGGTTCGCCAAGAGGTTGGCGTACATGTCCAAGGCTTCCTCTGCATCCGACACCTTCCTCGTGAGCGATACCTCGAGCTTCACCAGGACCTGGTTTGTCTCTGCAATCTTGTGCTTGAGGGTCTCAAGATCACGAGTGAGAGTCTCATGTTCGGTGTTCATGCGGATCACCTCCTCTGGAGAAAGGTTCTGTTCCCTCACGACCTCTGCCAACCTTGCTTCTTCCGCCTGTATTTCTTCCAAGTTGGAGACTGAATCGCACGTCATTGTGAGTCGAAGGGGTCGGGGGAATGAAAGAGACTTACCCCGATATGCTATATCAGCTTTCTCTCGCGCCAGAGTGTCGAGGAGTTTCTTCTTCTTGGACTCACATCGCCGTAGAATCTCTTCGAACTTTGCTTTGTCCCGCGTTATGAACCCATGGTCTTTCTTGAGTTCTTCAATGGGTGCCTAGGCGTACAATTAGTAAAAGCGGCTATATGCCCATTTGGTTCACATACCGGCGCCTTTTCCAAGGCTTCCAGCTCGAATTGCGCACGTTGTAGATCTTCCCTCTGTTGTTCAAGCTGAGCCACAACCCTCTCGTCCTTCCTCGCTGTATGGAGTACGTGAGGGCAATAGACTTCTCACGTGTCACGCAACTTACCATATCGTGCTTCGAGTATCTTCTCCTCTTCCGGGAATACGTCCTTGCCTTCCAGAAACATCCCATATGCTAGCGTACAGTGGTCCAATGCGAGAGCTTGGTGATGATTGATATCCTCGAATTCGTCGGGTACGAGACTCGAGTCTTGTAGTGTTAGGTCTCTGCTTTCGAGGTAGCGTGTTCGAGCCTGAGTACCATACATGAGTCGGCGGGCAAAGTACGCGCTCATGCAGTCGACTGACCCTGCCCATCTCAGATAACCAATGAAGCACCCCCAGCAACAGTGGCCATGAATGCATTGCCGCAGGAGTCGTCAAGGTCCTGACATCGAGCTGACCTAGGTATGGGTATCGTAGAGCTCGCAGAGATTGAACAAACTGCTCCTCGAACTTCTGCTCCGTGAACGGCCACTCTGGATCAAGCAGGTTCACGAGATCCTGAAAGACGGCGCGGAAGTCTTTGCTCGTAATCGTCTGCAATACTTGCGGCGAGTAGTTCTTTCCATTGTCCAAGAGCCAGGTGACGATATCCTGTCGCATCTTCGCTTGGAATTGTCGATCTCGCAGAGGACGAGTGTCCTTGGTGGCCTGACTCCCGGAGGGAGCTGAAGCTTGAGAACCTCCGACCCACATGGATCCTCTTCGTGTACTACTGCAAACATAGCGATGGATGAGTTCGGAGACTAGTCCTGAGAGCAACGTCGCAGTCAGGACAAGGGACGACGCCAGGTACTATAAATACTGAGGATGCGCGCTAGTGTATGTATGACAAGCACATTACCAGTGTGGGGTATACATATCGCAGCTCAGCTTTGGACTCACCTGTGCAGAGGTGTGCGACCGAAGTTGGGCTTGCTTGCGCTTTGGAGTAACGGATTGACATTCTGCGAGCGCATCATGGATTGTCTTGGATTTGTCCCTGGTACCTGACTCATGACTGGGTAAGGACCCCTCATAGCCGGTCCAGCGAACGACATTCGACCGGTATGTGTTGGTTTCTTGACCGTGGACGGGACGGGGAGGTGAGAGCGGGCATTGTTATGAGGGTCGACTGCAGGCTGCATCGTCGAGCGGCGACTTGATTCATACATGGCTAGTCCGAGGCTTCTTGCGCCCAGAAAAAAGGGGGACAATGCCTGGAGCTGAAGCCTGAGTCTGGAGAGATGGGCGTCGAGGACAAGTGCGCGCGACCGCTTCAACGCGCCGCTGCTGAACGCGTCCGTCACGTGCACGTGACTCTTGGTGACATCCATGGTTCGTGGCTGTAGGTCGGAGTTGGCCACTCAACCGCCACTAGTACTGAAGTACGATACTCGACTCAGTCAACTGGACTCGCTCGTTGTCTTCGATTGCTTGGACTACCTCGTCAAGAGAACCACTGCCCCGCGAAGTGCGCTTCTCAGAATGCCAGCTTCAGCCAAGCGAGAGCTTTTCGGTGGAGCGATTACGACGACTCTGCCTACCTCAATAATCGACGCATCGTACGCATACCTCCTGTTGCATGAAGAGGATGCGCCTGATGGAGCTAAGCGATCTGCGACAAGTACCTGACACTCAGGAAGTCTTCCTATTCCCGGACGCAGACATCAGCATCATTGTTGAGGTCCTTCAGCGCGTCGATGCTGAACAACCCGCCGACATCGCGAAGTACGTCCGATAGTGATACAGAGGCAGTGAAGTTGACATCGGTGCACTATCAGGTTCCATTTCGATTCCCTGGCTCACGATAACGATGCAGTTGAACACAAGATCATCGAAGTGTCTCAGCTCTCGGGCGAGAGCAGTGGGAATCATACCCCTCTGCCCATCGTCCTGAGCGGAACACAGCTCGTTCGCAAATTCAACCACGCCCAGCCTGATGAGCTCCGAATATTGCTGGCCGTGTACCGTCTTCAAGACAAGAATGTCGATCTCGTGGTGTCTATGAACATCCCGATGAAAACTTCCGACGGTGCGATTGTCACTGAAGGCCAGTTCGCTGCTGCTCAGGAAACTTTTTCGATTGCTGCGCGATCCCTCCGAATTGTGGACTACGGCTTATTTGCCTGAGGAGGAGGGCCATACTGCCATGATGACTCGCTGATGCTGTGAAGGTGAGTAGCATGGCTCAAGTATGGTCGTCTCACTCAATCTTTGGCTAGCTTTCCACCTGTTGTATAACATGAGAGAATAGTAATATGATGTATCGAAGTGCGACCAACGACAACATCAGCAAAGAAACCCCATTCCCATACATACATGCGCGAGGTGAGGATTTCGATATGAATCTCTGTGCTGACTGTTTGCGGATCTAAACGTCTGTTCGCACGACGTCCAGTTCGAGCCTCATGTCTTGAGCTCTGGACTGTCGATATTGACAGTACTGAGTTCTACAGTTGCGCAGTCTGAACGGACCTACGGTACCAGGCCCTGGCTGAAGCGAAGGAGTAATCAAGAATGTGTCCATTAGCGATGTTGTTGCTGCGCCGCCATAAGCCAGTAAGTAGCTCAATTTGTTTGACAAGCTCTCATGTACGATAACCGGCGACAAAGCCCCAACACATGCGTACCACACGGCATGTGTGAATACCACTTGCGCTTTGTTAGACAGGTGCTCTCCCCTATGATATCGTGGTCTCACGACATACAATCCAACAGACGTAGCGCGGGGCGTAGGCAGTGGCCCTGGTCCTGGCAGCCGGTACAAAGGTGCGGATACATGGCCTTTTTCGACCGACTTTGAGTTCTGTCCGTTTGAATTCGATCTTGATCATCGCTTGACGACGACCACGCTCAACGCCGTCCGTCCGTCTAGGCTGGGCCTATCAATTTAAAAGGCAGCTGAAGTGAAGTGTCTACACAGATGTTTTTATTCTAGTCAACGTACGCATTGTTGCGAACTTGTGCGAAGACGTAGGGCGACGAGTGCTCCAACCGTACTGTTCCTTGTGAGTGACGCTTACCGCCTATTCAGCAATAGAACGTGTGTCATTGCTTATGTTCCATCATGCCATAGCCACTGCTCGATCCAAGGATTGATGTCAATGACTAGCATATGATGGACGTACACAGGTCAAAACCAGTGGTCTCTGTCGAGGCGCTGACAAGCCCATCCGTAATCGACGACACTATCGCACAGGATTCGCTGTAGGTTTCGGCGTTACCTTGTTATTGTGTCATGTTCACCGTCTCAAACGATGTGGGACGATCTTCGGAAGGTGCTCCCTATCCCCACAGCGCCCGCGTCTTAGGGCATCTTTCATATTTCTATCGAAGTATGATCACAGCAGTAGTGCCACCAACAGACGAAACCCAGGGTCTCGGCCATGCTGACCACAATTCTGATGAGGGTCCGACCGCACAGTGGCTATTCTTTGAACGTATAAAGCGTTACAAGGCCCACCGATCATGGCGAGTCGCCCTACTCCGGCAGGCGACATCTCGACGACGCACGCCATCCAGCCGACAGTTCAACTCACTTGTCTGGTAGCAATGTCCTCCATCATCGCAGAGGTCATGTCTCGCTACGTGGGAGTTGCATTCTTCGGTGGGTCTTCGCACTCATAGCTCGTGTCATTCATGGATCAACGAGCACTGCCATTGGACAGGATGTACCTTTGTTGCATTGTACGTCGTTCATTGCTCCCTAGCAAATGCCTTCTGAGGTATGAACTTCTATAGTCTATCCGGTATCACAACTGCGCAGTTCCTCGTCTTTCGGGCCTCCGAGGTTGTTGATCACCGTGTTCTCCGATCACTTGTACGTTGTATCGTGTATATCGTGCTATCGTGTTATGTTGTGTGCTAATGGAGAATTAGGTTTCCTGTCTGTGGTATGCAACTATGATGCTTCTGACTTGACCCTAATGTTCTGATCACTGGGACCATGTCCAGGGTTGTTGATGGAGTCCATTCTGCACTAGTGTCATGGCCAGCATATGCTTGGGCTGTTTCTGATAGGTCCAATGTTCTTGGTGTCCTCTATGGCAATGTCTGGTGAGTCAATGATGCCTATTGACATACTGATGACTCAAGCCTTGTGACTAGGTCCTTCAGGGTAAGCAATATATATGAGTATCTGACTGTCTCTCAAGTTCTGTCTTGTAAGCAGGGTGCTGCCCTCTTAACTGTGAGTGAACAGTAGCCCATTGAAATGTGCAGTGATATGTACACAGCTGAATGTGAGTTATAGGGTATATCCAACTTGGGAGTCAGGAGGTAACAAACATCACCAACTTGCCAGTGAACTATGTTCATGCACTCTACAGCATATATATCCACCGTATCTGGAAACGTAAGATATGTTGATCTCTACTTGGAATCAATCATTCACTACATCATCCAGTCAGCAGGAACAAATATCTTACTATACTGCTTGTAAGTCCTTCTATATGTTGCTGAACACAACTGTTACCAATCATTCCCTTTGCCCAGAGTATTCTCTCATGTGTGAATTTTGGTGAGCTAGCACACTTTGCTGAAGGCTTGTGAGGGCCTTTCTAAGCTGTGTTCTGTCCATAGCTTTGTCACTTGGTAAGCACTTAGTTGAAGTATGTCTCCATTCATCTCCCAGGCCTGAGCCACCTTCTTTTACAGCTGTGACATTTAATGCGTGAGCATTGCATAGTATCTCCCACAACATTGTCACTGAATCAAGCATTATCTAGGCTTCAAGTGAGGAATCTCATTGATGTCCTCTTAGCATTATATGTAGGTACATTTCTGCTAGCATGTGTGCTGGGGAGAATTGTGATGTTCTCTTTCAGCCTGAGATATATGCAAGCTTAGCTTGCTTGGCTGCTTCTGACATGGCTGTAGCTATCTCAGTCTGTGTGCTATTAGCACACCGCTCAAGCACAACTCCAAGGTCTGCTGTCTACAATTTAAACAGGATTCTGTTCTGATTTTGTTGCTCCAGAACCACACATGTTATACACACTCTGATGTTGCATAGTATTGAGAGTGGCTTGACAACAAGGTTGGACTTCTGTCTGGCTACACCTGGCATACAGCATGATTCACATTGATTATAGCATAGTATCAATGACTTGTCTGATCACAGTAAGTGGATAAACTATAGACATATACATTGATACTAACATTAATGTGCCCCAGTATGCAACACTGATGCCAAATAATGCATGCTTCCTTGCAATCTTCTCTATATTGCCTAAATGTGAGCTTTGATACTCCAGTTCAAGCAGACTCATTGACAAATGACATGCAAAGTGGCTCTCAATTCCATGCTGGCTATGTTGAATGCAAGGACTGGTCTGAGGAGGTCACATGGCAGTGTCATTTTGTCACCTGGATCCATACCACTCCAAGGTCTCAGTCAGAACTCCTCTGCTGGGCATAAGGATCCTGCAAAGGTAGATACACTCCATAGTTGGCATTAAAATGCTCATATGTGTGCTGTAGATCAACATCAGTATCCATCAGGAGGTACAACACCAAATAGATCCATCTTCCAGTGGGCCATAATACCAAATAAAGGTTGACTGGCCATTGAGCTGGCCATGCATAGTCCGAGTTAGATGTAGGCTTGATCATCACACTGCAGTCGTGCAGCCAGTGGGGCAGTGGTGCAATGATCAGATGGAGGTTCAGCAACGTTGACTGAGCCGCTACCCATTGGAACGCCTCGGAGCATCGGGAACGGTAACGAGGACCAGTGAGCCTGACTCGGAGGGTCCCGACGTCGACATAACAGTGGGCGTAATTCAATGCCTCAGCGATGTGACGACACCCACAGTATCACCAGCCAGAGGCCCGAACGCGAGTACATTGATGCTCACTGCAACAGTGCAAAGCGACACAGTAACGTTGCCATGCACCAGGTGCTCTATAATGTAGTAGTTGCACTGCCAGTGTCTGCGGCGTGTACATGAGGACGTAATTTGGGACACGGCATTAGAAGATGTGTATGCTCATCTTGAGTGAGGATACGCCACGAGCGCGGTATATTGTACACGCAACTCACTGCTCAGGACCTCTATCGCAGAGCCTAGTACTTACCCTCGCAGCCGACTTGAACCTTCCCAGGATCTACGGCGTCTCAGGATTACGGCTGTTGGATGTTATGTGCCGGAGGCTCGGACAGCCTGCTCATCGCCACATATCCGTCCAAGCTGTACGTCATTTGACGAGAAGCACGAAAGCAGTCCCTGCGATGGAACCCAAATGGAACCGTAAGTTACCCCGCCTCAGCCAGGCTGAGAAGGGAGGCCTCATGCCGCTCGCCGGAGGCTACGGACTCAGTACTACTCAGTGCCGCGTGGTTCTGTGCGACCCGAGTTGTCCGGGGGGCGCTGTTTGGCAATTTTGTGGGCGCTGGGCTGGCGATAGCCCAAACGTGTCTCGGGAATTCCATCCATCCGCAGGACAACGCAAGTGATGTTGTTTCTCTGTTGTTCTTTGCCCGAAGAGTCCGAGTGATACTGTGCGGCGGTACGCCTGCGCGCTTGGTAGTTGTTGTTGCGACCAAGTTGCGGCGGCTCACCGGCCCGGGAGCGCTCGCTCGGACTGCTCTTCGATCGCGATCGAGCTCAACGTTAACGTTGTCAACGGCTGGGACGCGTCTCTGAACAGTCTTCCCAACGCTTACTGAGGCAGGCCCGCGGTCAACCATGGATCCAAATGCGTACGTTGGGGTCACACAGGCTAAGTATTGTCGTCTACAAGTTACTTGGAACTTGAAGCTTGAAGCTTGAACGTCCATCTATGATCTCCGGGCCCGGCATCTCTGTAACCCACTGCATTATGCGTTGTATATCGTACGTGGGTTCACTTTTTCATGCGAACTATTTGACAAGGATGCTGCTATCAGAAACCGTGAATATATCAAGGGGATAATGAGTCCCAATAGGTTTATCTCCGGGTACGGGGGAGAAAACAGCCTACATGTAAGCATTTTCAGTAGCTTCACATTACTTACCACTCGTCACACTTACGTCCCTGCTGGATGGTATTTCGCGACGAGATTGGATTGCGTTCTATGGAAATCACCATCCTGACTATCGTACTCATGAAGATCCTCCGACCGCCGGCGGGATCTGAGCGATGCGATGAAGCGGCACCTTTTTGAGTCACACTCCGTATCAATGACAATCAAACAAGTACTATGTACTCACGGCTTCTCCCATTTCACCTCGCGTTGAGAAGCCCTTCAAGGCCGCCGAACCTGATCCCATCGCCGCACACTGCATGGGCGCTTTCTTCTAACTTCGCGGGGCGAACCTTATAAGTTGACAGGACACAATGAGGCAGCCCATGCCGCCGTCCTGAGGCAACCAGTAGCTCGCCTATAGGTGTCATTCTACTTTCACTTCCCAGCGAACGTTTGTTCCCCTGTATCAGAGGCTTCTGAAATGAACACGACATCAGACCCACTCCAGGGTAATTATGTGGGAGTAATATTCATTGGTGCGTCGAAGCCATACACCCTATAGTCTCTACATTTCAACCTACTAACGCACATGTGTAGGTTGTATAATGGTTGCTTTGTTAGTCTCATATATCTACAAGTGTCATGGCCGATTACTTAGGCCGAGGGCACCGCAATAGCTTGTACGGGATTACAATCGCCCAGGGGTGCATGTTGTGGACCCGAAACAGCACCGATACCCTCGCTTTAAGACTACTGGCGCGTTGTCTGAAGTCACTTCTTAGATACGGTTTGAGTATTGACGACCATTCCTAGATTCTACTCCTCTGGTACGCAATGAGCCTAGAGATACGATTGCGACTACCCACGGAGGCATCACAATAGGCTTAATGACGGGGCGCACTATGCAGTAGCAGTGTGGTCAGTGTACCACACGGCCATCAGCGACAGAAACAACGTCAAGGGTATTATTTACAACAGCGCATGGTAGTACTTTTAACGACAGACTGTCCGTTTTCCAATAACTCACATCCGTCTCTCATAGGTGTTTTCGAGTGAGTAGTACAGTGCTGTACGGCCAAGTCGTAAATCGCTGATATTCCGCCAGAGCATCATCTTCTTGAGCGTAAGTCGGCGCTATTGATCGTTACATCGGTTGAAGTCCGGTCTCACACGTCCATCTAGGGATTAATGCACATTGGCATCAAGAGGTGAGTCGCTCCCAGTGCCTTGACACGACCGCCGTACATTTTGATTCTGTGTCTCTCTAGCATCTACATATTTCGGGCGTGGACCTGTGAGCGCTGCTCGTTCTTCTCCAAGCCTGCTGATCTCTGACAGCAACAACCGTTCTGTAGTAAGCAAGAGCAAGATAATTCTGGTTATCCTGGTAAGGCTGCCGTGACGGACATCCAGCGGGGCACTGTTGACAATGTTTTTCGCAGATCGGCGCCACTCTCATGACTTTCTGTACGAACCTCACCACCTCACCCTCTTGTGACGATCTGTGACTAAGCCAAACGTGTCCGACGCAGCCCTTTCAATGAGTAAGCCTATTGTACGTTGCTCCGTTGTTAAGAAATGATGCTTACTCCCATCCCCTAAAGCGATCGCCTTTTCACTGTGAGTCTCCGATCTCCTCTACGCTACCGGATGGAACACATTCACTCACATGTGCCGAAGGCCCCACGAGAACAACCTGATCACGCTATTGGACTCTGTATCGGTCAGCTCGATAGTCTCTTCCCTGATGCAACGAACGGCCGCTGATTTATACGCAGCGCGAGATATACGCGTCCCTCGTCTCCCTTGCCTTCTCCGATGTAGCGGTCTCTCTGACGGTCTGCTGGACCCTGGCCCGATGCCGTACTGTGTCGCGAAGGTTTGTCATCTTCGCACTACGAGTTGAGTTAACGCTCACATCTTGTATGCCGTCAGGACCGAACACATAATCCGCGTTCTCATGCTATACACCATCGAATGCGGACTACTCATGAGGTCAGATTGGTATTACATTGCGAGCCGACGAACATCTAACCTGTGAGTGACCCGCCGCAGCGTCTCATCCATCGCCTGCGTCATAGCAGTGCGTCATTCGTTGCCTCCTGGTTTGAGGGAAAGACCTGATAGTGTTCACAGTATGCAACACTCATGCCAGGCAATGCCGCATTCCTAGCGATCTTCTTCATCATACCCAAACGTAAGCCTCTGTCATCGTTTGTACGAAGTCATCATGCGATGCTGAATACGACGCAAACAAGTGGGCATCAACTCCTTGCTTGCCGTGTTGAACGCGAGATATACGCTGCAGGAGTCGGCGAACAGCGCTATTGGCTTCTACGACTCCATCATGCTATCCAAACTCGAGACTCGGAGCAGGTCATGGCGGGATCGACTCGGGATGAAACGCAGTGAGGTATGTCGAACGCGCGCGTCTCAATTGTAACGTCGAGGTGACTCTGTACGTGTACTAGAACTGTCACATCGTGATCAACGTCGAGAACGAGGTCAACGCACGAAGGCACGATCGAGAGCCGGCGGCGGATAATGCCCACCGACCCGCATGACAAGATTCGAGCGAGCACGTCGAGCGGAATGCACGCAACGTGAGCGCGCGGATAGACATTGTGCCAACCTACCGTGTAATACCTATGCTTCCACATATGTATCATAATCCCGTTATGGGCGCAGAACGCACTGCAGCCTAATGAACTTCGTTCATGGACCTCTATATTCTGCCATGAGCCTTGCGTGATCGCACTTTCGTCGCACTGACACGGGAGAGCCACAGACGTTCACGGTACATGCACCTCAAGCATCATTCAGTTCATACCGAGTTCATACCGGCTTCCGGCTTACAGAGCTGTCTCGTTGTCTTATCAGAACTATCTCGTTGCATTGAACTCTCAAGCCAAATGAACCGCTGACAGGCATAGATCAACCCGGAGCGGCACAGATGTAGTACGACTCACAATCGAAAAGCAAGATACATACGATGAATGACGTTAACCGCGAGGTGAAGTGAGTCACTCGCAGCCTCAAGAGCTATCCCTCTCTGCCTCCGCCTCAGCTTCCGGGTCTTCCTCTATACGCTCATTGACTATATTTGTCGCCTCCGCAACGGCTTTCGCTTCCTTCTTTCGCTTCGCCGACTCCTTGAGCTTCTCCCATCGCTCGCGGAAGCGCACGATCATTGCTTTCTGTGAACATGCGCATCGATGGTTAGAGGGACATGACTCAATGAAGATCACGGTCACGGACCTGCTTCTCGTTCTCAGCCTTCAACGTACGAACCTCTTCCTCGAGTTCCCTCACTCTTCGCACCAACTGTGCCTCTCGATCACGCCCAGGGTTGCCTGGATTGAGGGCTGCGACGGGCGGAGGCACGGCCGGCACGTTGATGTTCAGTGAGGCGAGGTCGATGCCTGGTTGACTCGGCCTTGGGTTGGGAGCAATAGCGGAAGATATCATAGCACGATGTGCCTAGATACCTTTCAGTCGGTGCCCGAAAACATAGAGTCGACAACACATACCTCCTTTCTGGCGAGGAGAATACTATCGCGTAGTTGTTGATCTTGTTCTTGCCGCATCTTCAGCATACCCTCCGCGGAGGCCAATCTCTTTCGCAACTCTTCGGTGTCTGCACGGAGTGTCTCATTCTCTCTTTTGAGGGTGTTCGCAGGCGTCTCTGCCTTTGACGGGATAAGACAGAACGAATCGGCCATATCGTCGTCTGAAAAGGCAGTTGAGATGGCTGGAACGTCGCTACGCTAGCGTCACAAGACGTACCATCATCCGCATGAAACTCGTCATCCCACTCATCCGGCAATGGCTGTACCGGTCTTGGAGGAAACGTACTCGGGCCTGCCCGACCGCTCTCGGAGTCCGACGTAGTTGCTGAAGAATCGTAGCGAGTAAGCATCCTAGATCGCGCGGCCTTCACTAAGCCAATTCCGCGCGAAATCCGTTTGGAGATAGCATCCTCGAGGTCCGTGTCACTACTGGAGCTCGCATCACGCCGACGCGAGCCCTCTGCTGGTGACGGAGGCGCAAGTGGCGCAGTGGCGAAGGCTACGGGCTGCGACAAGTAGTCTAGCATGCCCTCTGTGATTTTCCAGAATTGATTGAAAGGGTCGCCGGAGTCGCTCTACAGGCGTAAAAAATGTCAGTGGTGAGATCGCGAAGTGGCGGGCAATTGAGGTATCGATCCGCAGTACAGTCATGCAGTATGATCCCATTCGTCACTTCCGATAGCATGGTGATGTCTATGGGAGTGCAGAATATTGCCATACCATCAGTCTTCGCTACTTGGCTGGCCTCGAGTCGGTCAACTGAGTAGACCACAAACAGACCGAACATGTGGTGAGAGTCATGTCGATCCTCATATACACTGTCAGCGTTCTGGCCAAGCCTACCCGAAACAGATCACCCGGGTAGGAATGGCAAGCCACTGCTGTTCATTCACCCATAGGCAATTGCGAGCATCGAGCGATCGGTGTTCACGAAGTTGTATTACATGGTACTCACCCGTTGACCAAGGAGCATAAAAGACTCGTCCACAGCCTGCTGCGAATCAGACATCCGAGTCTGCGCTTGTGGCGGAGGCGATGGTGCAGTGGGCAACGTCACCGGACGCGCAGCATTCGATGAAGAGGGTGCGCCGCCGGTAGGTTTCTGAGGTAGACTGGGATCCTTGTTCTCCTCGCGCAGCTTCGCTATTCGCCTCTGGAGCTCCTTGCCGGCTTTTGAATGGTCGTTGCAGAGCATCCTCAGCGTTCGCTTGGTCTGCGGCCGAGCAAACGGTGCATGAGCGTCACGGCGACGACATACGTACAATTCCTCATTATCCTCACGTTCTCATCTGTCGCGGCCTCCACACACGCTTGGTATGCCTCCGCAGCCTTGTAATGCTCCTCTGCCGCGGGGATAAGGAGGCCTTGTGCGACATAGTCGTCCGCATTTGCAGCGTGTTGATGTGCCTTGGGAATTTTAGAATGTGGCCGGCGCAACACTGCCTGCTACTACATACCGTATTCAACGGCGAGTTGATTGAGGCCATGGCAGGGGTTGAAAGCAGCGATGGCGGTCCGCACGATATGGAATTGCAGCGGCTGTATGTGAGGAAATGGCTCGCACCGAGAGCGGATGTATTGAGCTTCGTCGCGTAAAGAGCACAAACACGCGCGAGGGACGTAAGTAGCGTACGTGGCTGAGTTACCGCAAGTGTCGAACTGGGCGCGTCTAACACGAGGTCACGCTACCGACTCAATACCGACTGCTGCACTTCTCTGCTTCCCTCCACCCCACTGCTCCAGCACGCGGGCACAGACACATCTCCCAAATCCCGTCGAGCGGCCGAGTCTGCGCCTGTGCCAGGTATGGCAGTCCGCACTTGGGGGCGACTGCACAGCCCGCCAGTCGGGACCAAGTCGGGACTGCCTGTTCTGGCACATCCGCCCCTCCGAGAGGCCTGGAAGCGCCCATAGCGAAGCGACATCCGACTACTAGCGTCACCATCCAATCAACATCAAAGATGTTCCGGAGTAGACAGTCAGATGAGGCGTCACGGTCCTCCGAACCCCGGATGGATATGGATGTGTTGGAGGTTCCGCGGTAGAGCGGTTCAGATTCTGACGGCACCGTGTCGGTATATATGAGCGCGGGATGTACCATGGACACATCAACTCCGTTCACAAGCAACTTGACGAATCACCGACCTTGAAGATCCACGCCAGTAACGACCATGTTTGACTTCATGCGCAAGAAGAAGGACGTACAATCCGAGGTGAGCGCTATTGTACAAGACGACATCCACTTGCTGAAGTGCATTTCAGCTGGATGTACCAACAGTTAAGCCTAAAGACAAGGAGAGGTCACGCCGCGCCTCTCTCATGTCGCCAGTAAGACCACGTTCATTCAAGGTGAGCGCGGCCGCCTCAGTATCAAGTTGACCACCAGTCTGAGACCCTACAGAAACGCGACCGTCCCATGAGCGGCTCCTTTATACCAAGCGATGTACGTACAAGCTTATTGTACCTGAGAGCAACGAAAGTGAACGGGCCTCCCAGGGTCCCCTCCCAGAGAGTACGGTCGCCAGACCATCGTGTTCCCGAGCACATAGCTCAACGGCAAGCTCGATCAATCTCCGCAACCCGTTCCTAGACGACGCAGAGCCATCAATGTCGGCCAGTCAGCTGGACCTGACGCGGTCCATGGGTAGCTCATACCCCGAACCACCTATGGCGAACATCCGCCATGTGGCACGGGGCTCGCCCATAATTGTCCATCCGCAGGGCGAGTTTGCGGAGGTCATCTACCCTCAACACACGGAAGCCGATGGTGTGATGGACCCTTTTGCGGATGAACATGCACTCGACCGAAGTCACAGCGGGATTGGGCAGGATGAAATTTCAGAGGAAAGCACTATGACTCAGGTAAGTCCAACTTCATGCAGTGGGGATATAGGGATTGACAGGACGCATAGAAGACGCCAACGAAGCGGCGGCGTCGAGGCAGCTCGTCTGCAGTCTTTCGCAAGCCTGTAGATTATCTGCACGTCAACATCCCAGTCACCGTCTTCAGCCCACCATTAAGTGTTTCACGCCAGGAGATGTGGGCGCGAGTGTAGTATAGGAGATGGCGCGGACACCTGATGGACTTCAGTATGGACACACTGTGACTTATTGCGCAAAAGTATTGTAAAGCACATGAAATTCGTATGCGATGCTGTCTCCTAGCAAACTGAGCTACGGAGAACTATGTATCTTTGCTCGTGTACCAGAGCGCAACAGGTTCCACCGTATGATCGCAAGCACTGCATGACGGCGATTGCAGAGTAACTTTTAACAAGCATCATACGGCCAGCTTCAAATTTACTTATTAGCTAAGTAACGTAGGAGCCGCCGTGATTGGCTGAAATAGTTACACCAATCCTAATAAGTACTTATGAGTACTTATCCCAGGGTAATAACTTACAAATACCCTTTCCAAACTCAGTCGCGTCAGTAAGCGCTCAGCAGCTCTTCGCGCCTCAGCTACTCCTCTTCTGCACACTACGCCGCCATGTTCCAACGCGATCCTCGTGCGGGTGTTTTCTTGGGTGGCGACAGAATATCTGGGCAAGATGTGCGCGATCAGAACGGTGAGAAGCAGCTTGTGAAAGGCCATGTCGATCTTCAGCTTACGCGTGCGCGTTCATAGTCCAGGCCGCCCAGACGATCGCAAATATCGTCAAAAGCTCATTAGGCCCCATGGGTCTCGACAAAATGCTGGTGGATAACATTGGAGTGCGTGGCGCGTGTTTCTTGAGTCCTTGAACTATGCTCAACTCGCACGACAACAGGAAGTCACGATCTCTAATGATGGCGCGACGATCCTTTCACTCCTTGCGGTCGAGCACCCCGCAGGCAGAGTGTTCGTCGACCTCGCACAAAAGCAAGACAAGGAAGTCGGCGATGGAACAACGTCTGTGGTGCTCATCGCTGCTGAGCTACTCCGGCGCGCGAATGAGCTTGTGAGGCAGAGGATCCACCCCACCACGATCATCACTGGATACAGGCTCGCATGCCGAGAGGCGGTCAAGTTCATGCAGGATCAGATGAGCGTGAAGGTGGATGCATTGGGCAGGGAGGCCCTCATCAATGCGGCGAAGACGAGCATGTCGAGCAAGATCATTGGAGGGTGAGTCGTGCTTGCGGCTTCTCCTCGTGGGGGTGCTTGCTCACCTGCGAGCAGAGATGACGACCTCTTTGCGCCCATGGCTGTCGATGCTATGCTGGCTGTCAAGACTATCAACAGCCGCGGTGACATCAAGTACCCTGTAAAGGCAGTCAATGTCTTGAAGGCTCACGGTCGCAGCGCGCGTGAATCGATCTTCGTCAAGGGTTATGCTCTGAACTGCACCGTCGCAAGTCAGGGTACGTACCGTCCCCTTCCGCCCGATTCCGTGCTCTTACGCATTTTTACTAGCCATGAAGACACGTATCACCAACGCCAAGATTGCGTGCCTTGACATCAACTTGCAGAAAGCTCGCATGCAGCTTGGTGTGCAGATCCTTGTGGATGATCCGAGCCAGCTCGAGGACATCCGGAAGAGGTGCGGACCTTATACTACATGGCCGTCTATCGGCTGGGACTGATCATCTACTAGAGAGTCCGAGATTACGTTGGAGCGTGTCCGCAAGATCCTCGCCTCGGGAGCAAATGTTGTCCTGACTACAAAAGGTATCGACGATATGTGCTTGAAGGAGTTCGTCGAGGCAGGCGCTATGGCAGTCCGCCGGTGTAGGAAGGAGGACCTGCGCCGGATAGCGAAGGCAACGGGCGGCACCCTTGTCTCCAGTCTTGCGAACCTCGAGGGCGAGGAGTCCTTCGAGGCGAGCTATCTTGGGACTGCTGAGGAAGTTGTTCAGGAGCGCATCTCGGATGATGAGCTCATCTTGGTCAAGGGCACCAAGGTGGTCAGCTCCGCGTCCATCATCCTCCGAGGCGCGAACGACTACATGTTGGATGAGATGGAGCGAAGCCTCCATGATGTCCTGTCAATTCTCAAGCAGACACTTGAGAGTGGTACCGTGGTCCCCGGAGGGGGTGCTGTCGAGACCGCGCTGTCAATCTATCTCGAGAACTTTGCAACGACTCTGGTGAGTGCCACCATCCTAGCAAAGATAGCAAACAAGCTCATGTCTTCCAGGGATCACGAGAACAGCTGGCGATCGCCGAGTTCGCCAGCGCGCTTTTGGTCATTCCGAAGACGTTGGCTGTGAATGCGGCGAAAGACTCGACGGACCTCGTTGCCAAACTGAGGTCGTATCATAACGCGGCGCAAAATGCTCCGGCCGGGGACCCGAAAAAGGCTCTTCTACGCTACGGTCTTGACCTGCTAAAGGGCGAGGTCCGCGACAATGTCACTGCCGGCATCCTGGAGCCAACTGTCAGCAAGGTCCGGAGTCTCAAGTCTGCTTTTGAGGCTGCAGTGTCGCTTCTGCGTATCGACGATGCCATCCAATGCGTAGCTGGTGAGTGTCTCTCCAGTGTGCCCGAGAATTGGGCGCGGAGGCTGACCTTGCCGTGTAGAGTCGAAGGGCGAACCAGACCCTCACGGACATTAGAGTGTGGGTATGTCCGGGGAGAGACTAGAACCAATGAGATTGCCGTCACCTTACAATGTATATTGTTACCGTGCACAATAATGAGCTGCATGACATGCTTAGGACCTGTATTGTGCCCGACGATGCGCCCTTATATTCTGCTTTTGGGCCGCTGAGACCATCCAGGGCAAGACCGCCGGACAGGAGTCACGGTCACGGCGTAACGTGAGTGGCACAATCATATCACGTGACCACGGCGCGGTTGGTTTGGGACACGCCCCGCTTGCGTCTCAGTCCCAACAAACGAGCCGCGGTGTGGCCACCATCGCTTTCTTCTCGACGTCCACCTCTAGCTTCGACCCTATGCTCTAGGAAATTAAATGCCGCACGAAACGCCCTCCGTGCATCTATGCCAACGTTTCAGTTCGCTCATATGGGCCTGTCTCGACGCCGATCTTCACAAGTCTGCATTATTCTATGCTGAACGGTACTATGTCCTCGACACCACAAATCATGACGCTCGTCACCTATACGCTACCGCACTTCTTTGCTCTGGGCAAGCGCATTCTGCTTTATACTTTGTCAGCACGGGGGGCGCGACAGAGTCTCGGTGTACTGGTTGCCTTGAGATCAAGTCAAGGTGTTGTGCAGCGCTAGGGCGTCATAGACAGGCTAGGGAGGCTCTTGACGCGAGTATACGCGATTCATCGTATACACCGAGTCGTGCGTTGTTTTGTTCACTCGCGGGCGCATAGACTCACGCGCCGCTTTGTCCGTGCATGTGGCCACAGTCTCGATGGGCTCAAGAACCACAAAGCCATTCCCGGAAGAATCCGTTCTGCACTGCCGCTCTGGGATGATGGCAGCCAAGGGAAACCTCATCGAGAGCGCTGCACTCAGCTTCAGGCAGGCCCTCGCTCTGAATCCGATGCTCTGGGACGCATTTGAAGGCCTGTGTTCTCTGGGTAAGCGATCTTCGTTCGTTCAGAAGGTGTCGAACGTCTGTCATGTACTTTGCCGTAGGCATGGTACCAGAAATAGATGAGCTCTTCCCGACGCGACCAACGCCCGTCAAGCAGGGTCAGCCGGAAGAAGCGAGGCCTGTCCCAGTTGCAACAGGTGCCGGATTTTTCACGCCTGACGCTGGCAACGGCGGTAACCTATTTCGCGCCTGGAAGCCCGATGCAGGCCAGCTGCAGCCGTTCCAGATGGGACAGCTCGGCCCTCGCGATTCAATGTAGGCGGATGGATTTCCTGTTCTCACAATCATATTCATGGACACGCTTCGCCATGTAGAGCCACCGCCGACTCGTCTTTCTACCCCGATACGTCCATCCTCCAACCAATGCGAGCAAGTAAATCGCAGCCGACGGCGTTGGCGGCTCACCCACCAGCTGTGCGTCCCCTTTCTTCAGCCGATGAGGCGGGCCCGGTGACCAAGAAGCTCCGCTCTTCTGTGCGGCAGCGCACGGCTCCTCCCTCCTCAAACGCGGCGGACTCGAAGATGAATCTGAAGTCATCCAAGTCTGCTGGCGCTCTGCACCCAGGGGCGGACGACCGCTCGAAGAGCTCAAAGGCACGCGCACGCCCGGCCCTGACGAATGCTAACATCTTCTCATCATCCGGTCGTCCTCCTCAGACTGCGGCGTACTCCAAGTTGCATGCCGCTGGCGCTGCTGTGGGGAAGCACTTGCGTGAGCAGCAGCCAGCCGCGGGCCCCGGGACAAGACGAAGTACGCGTCTCAACAGTGGTACAAGCAGCAAGCCCCTAGCGATCAAGGCAAGCGCAACGCGTGAAACACGCGTAATCTTATACTCACCGTGGCCATTGGTTTCGCATACAGCACACGACCATACGCGACCGCCGGCGAGCTCAGACAAGAGCCCGCTCAAACACGATGGAATCGGATATGGACGAAGATCCTCCGCCAGGTGGCGAGGCCTCACCTTCGCCCCCTCCCGCTCCTCAATCTCCACATTCGAACGCCTCGCCTGGTCCGAGCAGCTGGACGGCTGCACAAGAACGTACAGCGCAAGAAGCATACGAGCTCGAGCTTGCCGATTACCACATCTATGAGCTGATGCGACTATTCGCTCGTGCAACTAGGGCAATGGCCCTGTACGATTGCCGAAATTGCTTGGAGGAACTCGAGAAGCTGCCCACTACGCACCAACGGTCCGCATGGGTGATGGCCATGGTCGGCAAAGTTCACTATGAACTCGGCGAGTATGCTGCTGTACGTGTCTAACCCATTATTGTGCTCTTGAGACCACGACTCATTACGAGAAACTTTGACTATCAGGCAGAGCGCGCTTTCGAGGCCGTGCGCAACCTTGAGCCTTATCGCGTGTGGGATATGGAAGTGTACTCTACACTTCTCTGGCATTTGCAGCGAAACGTCAAACTGGCCTTTCTCGCACAGGAACTGGTAGCGACGGATCCGCGAGCGCCCCAAGCTTGGATCGCAGTGGGCAACTGCTTCTCCCTGCAGCGGGAGCGGGTGCAGGCACTAACTTGTTTCCGACGCGCGGCACAACTTGATCCCAACTGCGCCTACGCGTACACGCTCAGTGGCCACGAGTCGATCGACGAAGACCTGGATAGGGCCATCAACTTCTTCCAAGCCGCTTTACGTGCTGATCCACGACACTACAATGCATGGTGCGTTGATAACCTTGTTCCATATATGTCGGACTCTCCAGTTCCCCCGGTGTATGTCTGACTCGGGATGCTTATCTTTACGACACTCCAGGTATGGCCTGGGCACCTGCTATATGCGCATGAGCAAGATTCGCCTCGCCGACTACCACTATCGGAAGGCAGCGCAAACACACCCCCAGAATGCCGTGCTGCTGGGCTGCGTGGGCATGGTGAGTCGAATCACGCGAGCGAATGACGCTAGGAAGCTAGAAGCTTATTGCCTTTTGTGACGCCGTACGCAGGTCACCGAGCGGGCCGGCGATCGGGACAAGGCCCTGGACGTATTCAACGAGGCGGTTCGAATCTCGCCGGACAACGCGCTTGTGCGTTATCGGCGGGCGAAGATTCTGATCTCACTGAAGAGATACACGGTCAGTGCTAGTTGACTTTCTGGGAAGTGTGGGAGCGCAGTGACTGATGAGAAGGCCACGTTGCGGTGCACGACTTGCCATACGCGACGGACAGGCGGCAGCGGAAGACCTCGAGTTCTTGCGGGACACATCGCCGGACGAGTCGAACGTGATCTTCCAGCTGGCGAAGGTGTACCGGCTGCTGGGGGACAGCGTGAAGGCAGCGCAGATGCTGGCTGTGGCGCGGGATGTGTCGCCGAAGAGCGTGAACAAGATTCGGAAGCTGTTGGAGACTGTCAAGGATACGGAAGCGGGGTCGGATGTGATGGACGAGGGATGAGGCGGGCCGCGTGCGTTGCCATTGCGCGTTGGCTGGTGTACATAGCGGACTGTGTTCGCGACTATTGATTCTGGCGTGTTGTTGTACTGGTATGCGGCGGATGGTGTGATGGAGAGCGCTGCGATGAGGCGTTGTGGTTGGTGGGTCGCGTGCTGTGGCGAGGCGGGGTGGCGGGTGCAGGCAGCAGCCACCGGGAGCAGCCACCGGGCTGCGACTGGCCCGCTGCGACTGCCGCGGGGACCTTCGAGGGCGCCCCCGGGAGACGCCGGGACCGCCCGACGCAGTGGAGACGCCCGACGCCCGGATTGGGGGCTTGAGTCACCGTGCGGTCACGGATTGTTATAAGGCGTCGGCTGCCTCGCTCCTCGCCAGACTGCCTCCCATCAGCCACCATGTCCGCCTAGACACACGTTCCGTCCGCGCGTCGTCCCCCCGCAACCCCCTCTTCTTGCTACCCCCGCAGCCCTCACACTCTGGCGCGCCCGACGAACAAGCATGGTTAACACGTCCGTCCATAAATCCAAGAACGGCACCATCCTGTTCGAGCCCTTCATCGTCTACCGTATACACCGGTAACACCGCCCAAGCCCCCACCCCCGGCCTCGTACGTGTATGTCTCCCCGTCGCGCCTCGTGTGACCCCGCGCTCACCGCCGCCACCCAGAACGCTGTCCCCTATCCCTCTCGTGTCGCTCAACCGACCCCCGACACCGCATCCATGCTCACCTGCCCCCGTCTCGCGATGGCTTCTCAGTCGACCGATCCGTCTCCGCCCCCGTCTTTGTTCAGCATGGCCCGCAACAAGCTGCAGTACGTCGTCAGCACCGGCGTGAAGGACAGCTGCAGCTTGCACCGCTGGGTACTGCTCAAAAACTCTATCATTCATTCTCATCCGTCGGACGATGCTGCAGCTGCACCGGACGGGGATGATGCTGTACCATATGCGCTCTCACAAGGTGAAGCCGCCGACGCGCCGGCCGAGGAGCAAGAGGTCGCGTTCATGTTTCCTGACCCCGACGCGCTCGCATCGCCCGGGGCTGGCTCCAGCAGCGACTCGGAGAACGAGTGGCTTGACTCGCTTCTAGAGACTCTGGGCGGTGAGGACGACGACTTGGACGCGGACGACGGCGAGGGCGGTGTCTCGGTCTCACCTGCCGACGAGGACGACGAACTGCTAAGTCCCCTCTACTCGCCCATGTCCTCCTCAGACGACCTCGCCGACCAGTCCAGCTTTTACATTAACCCCCATGCCATTCCTCTTCCGTACCCTATTCCTTATCCGCCCCTGCAGCCGCTCGGGCAGCGGTGGCTCGAGTGCCATGATCCCCTTCCCTATTATGATGCGGACGATGTGGACGACATGCCGGTGCCCGACGCTATAGAGGACACTTCGGACGACGAGTCGGATGCTCCGGCTACGCCCTTTGATCACTCGACGTCGTCTCTGGTTGACCCTGCATCTGTCCCCCTTCCCATTGAGCGGCGGCGGCGCTCTGATTTCATCCATCCCCAAGTGTACATTGACACGGACGATTCGTACTTTTACCCGTTCGAGCTCGATCCGCTCCCCCCTCACCACGACGACGGCGTTGCCGTCGATACTGGCCGTGTCTACCGCCCTTCGCTTATTCAGGAATGCTAGTGTACATATTGCCCGCCTCGCACTGTCTCGCCTCCCCTGCCGCGCCCGATTACACTGCTCGTGCTGTTTCTGTCTGTGACTGACCCTGTCTTACCGTACTTATCGCATGCATGTTACTGGCCGTGCATCATGTTTATAATGCTCGTTGTTCGCTTTGTGGAATCCAGGGTGTTTGATATCGGACGTCGGCGTTGCATCACCTCAATTACGGAAGATCGCCAACCTTATTTGGCTTGGGCCAATCGCTGCCCCGCAACGCCCCCTGGACCCCGCTGCGATTGGTTGGGCAGGCGCCGTCGAGACCCCGCCAATGTCCCGCCGCGCAATCTCCACCCATTCTCATCCATGACGGCATCCCGCCCACGTCGTCACACTTCGCGAACACTCTGCCTCTGTTCCTGCTGTGGCTATCGAGCTGTACATTGTGTGCTACGTGCTATACCTGAAACGCATTCTCAGACTGATCCACCGCCGTCGCCCTGTGCATCAGAACCATCTCTGGAACAGCCCGTCTGCGGGGGCAGCTCCCAGAAATCTTCTGCATCCCCCGCGTCGCCTACACGTGCATATTGGACTGCTGTGTTGTTAAACGCCGTCGGATACGCCGCGCACGGCGGGAGATTGCGGGACACGAGATGCGGCGCTGCCAGGCAGCATATCAGTGCACTGTACTTGCCCAGACGCGCACGACGCAGGCCAGTGGGAGCTATCACTCACCCAGACGCCAGACACAAGGGTATTCGACGGACATCTTCCGCGCCGGAACGCTGTGCACGCCCGATACAGTAACGTCAGCCATACTCCTCTCCGGAGACTCGGAGAGGTCGCGCGAGAAGGGCCGCTGCAGGCACCCTGGGCACACGAGCCAGCCCAACCCATCATCTGCGCCTCACCTTTCGGCATAGTCGCTTAGGCGGTTCGCGATAAGGACGAGCGGGGAGAGGCCCGCGCCTGCCCAGTTTTCACGTAACAGGTTCTCGTACAGCTGCAGGTCGCAGTGCGGCATGAACGCGACGGTCGGGGCCGCCGCGCGGAAGCGGCCGTGCTGCACGGGGAGGGAGGTCAGCGAGGGCCGCGGGCGGCGAGCGGCGGCGACGTGCCCTGTCCTCCGTCAGCCGGGCCACGCCCAGCGCGGCTAGCAGCGCGATGTCCGCCTCCGCGAAGACGGGGTCGTACACGGATACGTTCGCGCGGTCCTGGGGTGTGAGAACGCGTCGGCGGCGTGCGCGGATGGCGGACACAGGGAAGACGCACGATGTGCAGGTCCTCGCATATGGCAAGGAGCAAGGCCAGCTGGGCGCGCGCGTCACGCGACGCGGACGGGCTGCCCAGGCCAAGGCAGAGCACGTTTGGGCACCCGAAGGTTAGTGCGTCCAGCGACTCGCGGACGATTTCTGGGTGCCGGCACGCTGTCAGCGACGCGTTCGGAGAGACGAGCACCACGGACGTTTACACTCTCTGATCCACTCGGTCTCGGCCAGCTCGTCCATCGTCCGCTGTAGCAACGCCGAGGGAGAGGGAAGCTCCCTCGCAGGCCTATTGCTACGCTTCTTCCGAGGAGCAGGCTTGAATGCTTCGGAGTACCCGAACGACGGGGTCTGTTGAGAGGTCATGATGACGAAGTGGGCTCAATGAAGGCGAGGAGGTCAGCGGACGGCCGAGTGCACCAAGTCAAAATGCTGTCGGAGATTGCCCGCGAGCAATTGTCCGGCAGCCACACTCTGGCAGCCACTGCCAGCCATCCGCAAACAACCGCCGGGCGCCTCCAGCCGTGCTATGTTCGCAATCGGACTGCGACGCGTTCCTATCTGCACATACATGCACACGAATAACTGCCATCTTGTTCCAGTGGAGCAGACCTCCGGTCGTCGGTGGGCTTCGGAGCGCCGCGCACACACAACACTTCCACCGAAGCAAAGGCGAGGCAGACATTGAATGAACTCGCGATAACGCAGCGTCCAGAGCTCGAGCTTCCCGCCCGCACACTCCTGTCCTAGCCCCACAGCGCAGCCGAGGATCCTCGACGCCGAGCCAGCCACACGCTGCACGATGCACAGGGACCGCCGATGCCCAGTCGGAGTCAGACAGCTAGCGTACTTGGGTCGTCTCATGAGACCTGCAGGTGAGAGCGAGCATGCGACGTCTGCGGTACAATGCGAGCAGACCAGGCTTCGACGCGCTCCCGGATTGGCTCGCGGCGCGTCGACGTTCTGGGGTTCCCCCGCGGTCGAGCCGCAGAAATCGCTGAAGACTCGTCCGCGACCACCGAGTCACTGATACTATCGATGGCCGGTGGGCTCGCCCACCTATTGTTCCCAGCCCGACAGACTTGGAACGGCGGTCGGGGCCTGTCCTCGGTTCCGTGTGGTCGTCTTCTGCACTGCGGGCAATGAATGGGATCAGAGCCTCCCATATATGGGCCGCTTCGCTCGAAGGGAGAATGCTGTGCGAATCATGTTGTGCGAACGCACGGACCTTGCCTTCTGCTACGCCACACGCGGTGGCACCTGCCATCTAGAGATGCTGTTGTGTTGTTGATTGACAGACGAATATCGGCGTAGTGGGTCATTGAGTCTCTCAGGCAGGCAGCCCGATGACAGCCTACTCTCCCAGGAGACGCATGACGGACCAAGCGTGGCATTCATATGAGGCTCGAGAACTAGTACGCAATTCATTGATAGCTGTAAAGTCGGCAGCAATACGCAGAACGAAGACACACTACCTAATAGCGATCGACATGCGTTTGAAGTCGCCGGCAGCGCGTGACATACGGAGCTTCGAGGGTACCGTACGAACGACACCGATTCCAGCGCAATTGGCGGTCGTTCTTCTATGACGAGCACTGTATCGGTACGCAGGCGCCCGCCAGGCCACGCCCAGCGGCACGGGGTGATAAGCTAGCCCGGCCTTCATTCAGCGTACAACCCGCAGGTCATCTGATATACAGGTGTGAGTACAACATCGTCATATCCGCCTTCCTTACGCCCTACAACGTCTGCACCGCCCAGAAGTCGTCCCCGATGTACGTCACCGTCTCGACCCCGACGCCCTTGTTCACCGTCCTCATCTCCTCCGTGCCCAGCTTCGTGATACCGATGCCCACCGCGTGCTCCTTGCCCTCGGCGTGTATCGCAACGGGCGTGCCCGCGGGCAGGGCGGCGTCAGCGGGCGGGAGGTAGCCGCCCTTCGAGGTCATACCCGGGCACATCATGTGCGCGCCCGCGAGCAGGAAGCGGATTGCCCCCCGGTCGATCCTCACCATCGGCAGCAGGAACGGGTCTGGCGCGTGAGGTAATCCGTCAGCGTGCGCGCAGCGCATACACCCGCGATCGCGAGGGCGAGTACGTACATTTGTGCAGCAGGCGCAGCGTGGGGAAGAACGGCTCGTCAAAGTGCTGGAAGAACAGGGCCTCGCCGTGCAGCGTGTAGATAGAGATATGGTCTCTGCTGTCGCCATTCGGTGGAGGTCGGGGGCGATCAGTGAGAATCGCGGTGTGGGGGCGAGGCGACTGACCATTTGACCAGCGTGAGGGGCTCCTTCTTGGGCCATATTTGCTCCAGTGTCTCTGGGTCGATCTTCCACTGCGAGAGCAGACCAGACCGTATAGATCGTTGGACGGATGACTTCAGGCTCGTCTGTCCCGAGACATCGCTCGACGGACTGAACCTGCACCGAACCGTCAGATCTCCACACCCACAGTAAAATTTCGCCATATCCTCTGCATACTTTTTGAACATCTTGCTGGTTGCGTCTGTGGATGTACCTAGTTGTGGTAGCCGATGAGATTGATGTTCAGTGGAGGCGCGAGCTGAGATGCAGTCCCGCAGATGTGACAGATCTGCAGATCAGAGTTCAGTCGCGCGAGATCGCAGATTGTCGCGAACACGTGCAATGGTGTCGACGCGTCGATGGCGCGTTGCACTCTAAAGACGCAGTACACGCCACTCCCTGCGGTCGCCCTGCGGTTTATAGATAGATTTCATCATCATCACACGCCACTCCCTCAGACGGACGCGCACTGACGGTACATTATCCTCATGTGTATTCCTGTCGTAAGCTACTTGTACATGTGGGACATATATGCGGGAACAGCGAGATGACGATAGCGCGATTATACACTGCTGCTGCGAGACAAAGTTACAATGAGGTAGGGGCGACGGGGACGGGGATTGGGGTGGTGGAGGCAGGGGAGAACCAGAATACAAATACGTTGCAGCAGCAGTCGAACCAAATTTGGACACCAAGTCGACGGAGTCTATCATACAGCGGCGCGTATCCGGAGCAGTCCTTCTTCAGATATCCTCGTCCTTGTCTTCTAGCTGCGACGGCTTCAACATGCCCGGGATGCGCATCGCCGCCATACGCTCTTCTTCCGCCTTGCGCTGTGCTTCAGCCTCCTTTTCTTCCAAGTACAACTCTGCGTTGTCTCCGGAGAACTCCTTCAATTGGATGAGGAAGTCACGCAGAGCGAGCTTGAAGCGGTTGATGTCGCTGTGGTACTCCGCCAAGTTCAACACGAACGTCTGGATCGGGCCCCTGGAACGCAGCATTAGTACTAGGCGCATTGCGGTGTAGTGGGAGCTTACAATTGCACGTGCGGGAACGCATTCTTGAGCAAGTTGGCGGTGTACTCCTTCAGGAACATCGAGTTGCCCATCGTCGGATCTGGCACTGACGCAGGGTCGAAGAGCGGCATCGAGATCTGATTTGTCTCGACCAGCTGGAACATGCGAGCAAGCAACATTGACTGTAGCTTGAAGCCGCTCTTGTGGTCGGTGTCGGTGAGCACGAAGAAGATGTCCTGTATGATACTGAGGAAGTACTGCTGGAAGAAGGCGTTTGACACCGCTGGGTCGGCACCGGCGAAGTTGTTGACGACCTCCAAGCACACTAAGCATGGGTGAGTCTCTGCTATCTGATCCACGCGAGGAAACACGTACAGTTCAGCCCAGTCTCTGCAATATCTCGCATCGTGTGCTTGATCGCCCAAATAATACTGTCCATGAACAGCTTAAATTGTTGCGGCGGCACCGTGAGCAAGGCTAAGCGTAACGGTTAGTTTCGTTCGGAACTGCATGAACATGGTCACGACGCCTACCTGGGAAGCAATTGAGGTTGATCGCCCGTAGCAACTTGAAGAAGCCGGCACGATGTTCTGGGAACTCAGCAAAGTCTTGGTTGATCATGTTGAGCGTAGGCTCGAACACAGCTTCCAGAATGGCGGGCACTTGAGGCGTAAGCAGAGGCTATCAAGCGACCGGTCAGCCGGAACCTCTGCAACTTGGGAACGCAAGTACTCACCCCGAGACGTCCAATGATTGTCGCCATGACGTTCAAGACCTCCGCATCTCGTGCTGCAGGCACGTTGCGGTTGTAATCGCCGAGGATGGCATCGAGCAAGGGAGGCATGAAGTTCATGTTGACGGCCTCGAGATCCTCGGCCTTCTTGATAAATGTCTCCATGAGCTTCAAGATCTCCTTCTTGATGGTCCGCAAGTACCGGACTTTCGGGGTCTTGGTCGCAATCAAGCCTAGTAAATAGCGAATCAGTCAATGAGCGAAATCGAAGGGGTCTTCCACCGCTCACCTTCACGCGCCACGGTTTCGCTGATGATCCCACTGACGGCCTTGTACAAGCCCAACATGTCGAGGAATACACGACCGATCTGCGGCAGGTAGAGGCTGCCAATGGAAGTACATGCCGCGACGTTAGTCTTGAGCACGTTCGAGAGGATCTTGATGTTCTCGTCGCTCGACAGGACGTCCATGTTTTGTGCTGCCTGCTGCATCAAGGAGTCCCACTGGATGAAGAGGCATCAGCTATCGCACTTATGGAACAGCGCATGGAAGGTACTTACGGCGTTGTTAGGCAGCTCCATCAGCTTAGCAATCAGCTTTTCTTGCTGAGGCTTGTTCGGCGTTGCCGAGATCATGTATCCCACAGCTTCGTAGAACGTATGGACCTACAATGGTACACAACAGTTAGCTTGTGCCAAGGTTCAGAGGCGCTGGTACCAACCTGCTGTGGCGACAGATCGACTGTGATTCTGTGTAACGACCGAAGGATGTCATCGACGAAGGGCTCAGACTCCCCCGACTGCTGCATGACGAAGTGCCGCCTGCACTTCTGCGCGATCTTGATGAACGTATCACATGCCATGTCTTGCACACCTGGACGGACGTTAGAGCCATATTCATACGGGAGCTAATTGCCGACAAGCGGGTGCAAGAATTGCGTTTTGCTGTGAACTCTCAACGTTCAGGCTTACCTTCGTGCGTTTCATGCATGAACTCGAAGAGCTTGTTGACGACAGTCTTCAAGAACTTCCAGTGCGCTTTGAGGAAACGAGGATATTGTCCGACGATATACATGATATCCGACGCGACAACAGCCTTGTTGTCCTTCCCCCGCTTGATCTCACAGAGACCTAGCAAGTCCTTGATGACCGTAACAAGGAAGCGCTTCTCCGTCTCCTCGTCTGTAGAGCCAAGCCTCAGCAGCACTCACGTGAAACGACGGACGACAGACGTACTCATAGCACCAGAAATGGAACCGATGGCCCAGCAGAGGGTGTTCAGGTTCTGCCAGGACCATTCTGACCCGTCCACCTGCTTGGCAAGCTTCTCGGTCAGGATATTCTCCGTATCATTCACGTCGAGATGCGTCAAGTAGACGAGTAGTTCGCGCATGGACTTGTAGAGAACAATGGTGTCGCTCTCCTTCATGAACTCACGAACGATCTCGCCTTCCTCGTTCTCGACGATAAGCACCTATACGACATCACGTCAGATGCATCCTTGACGATGAGACAATCGCCACGTACCTCCTCGGGCTTGACCATCTTCTCGATGACGACCAAGCGCAAGTTCGAAAGCACATCGCTGTAGATGTTCTTCCGGAGTGCGATACCGTTGAGCATGGACTGGCTCGAACCAAGGCTTAGGCCCATTAGCAAGCCACTCTCGCCAATGGGGAGCGCCTGAATCTCCTCGTACAGCTCAGAGACCAGCTTGAGCCAGTACTCCAAGCAGATTTTGAAGATCTCCCGCTCATCGACCTGGGATATCTTCACCATGTAAAGATGCGCATTGAGCAGGACGTCCCGGTTCGTGTCCGTCTCTACCGCACGTAAATGGTTTTGCAGGAAGTTCGACAAGAACAACGCGAGATTGAGAACCAATTCTTGTCCTGCGTCACCAGCGGCCGCGTATGCCGCTGCGATGTTCGTACTGGGAGGGATCATTCGGTTCACCGACGTCATGACCATCGCAAACAGGATGACGAATTTGGGGTCGTATTCGGGACCAACATTGAGAGCTGCGATCTCAGCGAGGCACTTGAGAGTGATGTTACGGAATTCGGGGGCCTCCAGAAACTGTATGCGAAGGCAGACGCGTCAGATCTTTTCAGAAGCACGCGTCTTAGCATGTGGTGGCTTACCCTGTTGAGCAGGAGGTCAATAATCGTTGTCTCAAAGATGTAGCCGAGGGGGATCCAGTTCAGGAATCTCAGCAGCGTCTCCAGAGTGGCCTTGATCAAGGTCGTCTTCTGGGCCTCCTCGAGAATCTCCGAGCAAAGTTTGAAGATTTCGGAGAACTCGCCACACATCTGATTCTTCAGGTGTTTCACTTTCGCTTGTGTCATTTGCTCGGCTGAGAAGTCGAAGATCTCCTCCGACAGTAGCTTCAATATGACCATGTTGTTCTCGCAAAGTGATAAGTTCGTTTTTGACGACTCCACGAGTTCCGTGATGAACGAGGGCCAATTCTGTGGCCACTCCTGCTTGAGGATCTACGCGCCATGTCAATTCCGTGCGTTCATGGTCATGGTCATTGCGACGCACCTGAACGAGTGCCAAGTTCAGCTTGTTCAAATACGTCTTCTCTCTCCGCATTGTTCCCTCATCGGACGACACCTTGACAGTGATGCCGACAACGAAGTTCCGGATTCCTGGAGTTTCCATTAAGCAGGACCAAAAGATCGCGCCTAAGAGAACTCACCTTGCCGCTGGCCCTCTGGCAGCGACTTCCACCTCGTCGTGATCAGCTTCTCCAAGATCTGAAGTCCGATGTACTAGGAAATTTTGACTCGTCAGCACGTCAATGAGGGCATGCACCGCGGACTACGCGCACTTTTGTTTGAGGGAACGATGAACGTTCAAGGACATCAGGCACTCTCGTCCACGCGTCCGGGTTCTCTTGAAACTGCGTCAAGACTTGTTGGGCCATTTGTTGCTGCACGAGGCGTACATGAGGTCAGCATTGCGCACACTCCGAGCAAGGATGTCGCACACACTTCCTGTCCTGAGCCCGAGTAGAATGCGATGACCACATTGTCCATGACCGAGACATCGAACTCCCGCGAGAAGTCCAAGACGCTCTACGCGATCTTCAGCAGAGCGACGCGTGGGCAAGCTCATGGACTCACCTCCATGGTGGCGAAGCTATCGGTGAACGCGTGCGTCCGTCGTCGTCGCTGTGGTGGTCGATGGAAAGCAAACCCGGCTTAGTTAGAACGTGCGGTGGCGGGGCAGAGGGTCACTGCGTGAGCAAGATCCGATGTCTGATCTCCGCAGACACGCTTTGAAACTCCGACGGCAGACGCGTCGCGGCTTGAGTCCGGGAATGTCGGGGCGACAGACGCACGGGACTTAGCATGACGCACCGCAAAGGTGCTCGGGAGTCGGCTACACGAGAGCCTCAGCTGCAGCGACCTACAGCACCTGTGCGAGCGTGTGATTTTCTTTCCACCTCCTTGTCGTTAACCACCATGTCCATCCCAGAAACACATCATGCGTGGCGCGTCGTCGGGAAAGGGGAGCCTTCCAAGGTCCTGCGCCTTGACAAAGACGTGCCGGTACCCAAGAAACTCGACAAAGGCGAAGTGTTGGTCAAGGTGCAAGCTGCGGCTCTCAATCCAGTGTAAGGCGCCCTTTATCTCTCGCAGCTGTAGCGTTAACGCTCCCTCAGAGCCTACAAGCTCATGAAAACGGCACCAAATTTCATTGCCAAGAGACCTTACGTCCCCGAGCACGACGTCGCTGGCATAATAGTTGATGCGAACGGGACCGGTTTCAAGGAAGGCGACCAGGTCTTTGGGTGGAGTCCTGTTGGTCAGTCGAGGCGGTCTCCCATGCTATCCACTTGGTTGTTCTGACTCCCCCTCAGCAATTCCGTTCAAGGCGGGAACCGGTGTTCTAGCGCAGTATGCCCGCATCAAAGCGGAGGAACTTGTCCCTCTTCCTGCCAATGTCACCCCCGTACAAGCCTCCGGAGTCACGCTTGTGGCCATGACTGCTTACCGGGCTCTATTTGACCTCGGCGGCCTCCAGCCTGAGCAGAGTGTATTCATCAACGGTGGTAGTACCGCCGTTGGAGCGTTTGCCATTCAGCTTGCGAAGGCTGTCGGCTGCAAGGTCACTGCAAGTGCATCCGCGAAGAATGAGGAGTATGTGCGATCTCTTGGTGCAGACGAGGTGAGTCTGCGCGCTCTCGAACACTCCAACGTAGATTGATGGCAACGTATTACCAGTTTGTCGACTATACCAAGGCTCCGCTGCATCAGACCTTGGCCTCTAACCCTCCTACTCCGAAGTTCCATGTCTTCCTGGAGGCGGTTGGTCTCCTGGACACCTCGCTTTATGCCCATAGCGAGGCATACCTTGCTCCTGGGGGAACCTTCATCTCCGTAGGCCCTCAGCCAAAGGGGTTCGACGTTGTCGGTCTAGCAATACTAGCATGGAAGGTGTACCTTCAGCCGCGCTTCCTCGGAGGCACCAAACGTTCCTGGAAGTACGTCCGTTCGATTTCAATGAGTATTGCATTCATGTTGATGAGCAACGCCAGGATCGTTCAGGCTCGCGCCAAACGCGCCGACCAGGAACAAATCGCAACGTATCTTGCTGAAGGTACGCTTATCCATGATCCTGAGTTTCCGCGCCTGCTCATGGCTTGTTTGTCAACAGGGAAAATCAAGCCCCTCGTGGATTCGGTTTACAGCTTCGAGGATGCTTTGAAGGCATACGAGCGTCTCATGACTAGCCGGGCGACTGGAAAGGTGGTGATTAAGGTGGATCCCGATGTCGCTGAGTGAGACGTGTACCGATGGTGTTCCAATACCGCCTCCGTATCTCTGATTATTGCTCCGGACAACCTATTTCTCCGGATGCCTTCCTCTTTGTATGATACGGATGACTATGTACCTCTACTTATGTACTACCAAGGCTAATTGTATAATTGTGGCTCGTGCAATATTGTAAGTAGATGCCTCCAACGACTTGAGTTACCCGGTTTGGTTGAGGCGTTTGATGTAATCGAGATCGGCGCCTGCAATCCTGCTTCGCTCCAGCCACCATCGCGTTCAGACGTTCGCCATCCGAGGCATCATGGAGTCAGCGACCTCGCGCTTGCTGGCGTCCGCTATCCAGGTCTCACAGGGTGCCGAAGCAGCAAGTAGGATTCTACCTCGTCTATGACCGCTCTAACACATCCGGCATCGTGCGCATAGAAAGTATTCAAAGCGTACTTGCATCCATGCGAGTTCGCATCGAGCTCCACCTCACCATCGGACGCTTCGGACGGCAGGACGCCGATTTTGTTGAAGTACCGTTTTCACAAGCATTATCGACACCCGACCCTTGATACCACTTTGACAAAAGCGAGAGTAGCCGGAGAGGCTCGCGCGATAATCAAATGCTTACGGTAAGTTTGGTCAAGCGTGTGTCGAAAATCCCGGCTGATCTCGAAATGCATAGTCATGGAGTGAATGTACCAGGTATCCGTATGGTAGACACTGCACAAGGCGTGTTGGGCCTTGAGTGGATCGACGGCAAAAGCATCAGGTTGCTGCTGGGCGGCGGAGCCGAAGGCGAAGACGAAACTACTGAAGAAGAGACTGAAGACGATTCCCATGAGATCGAAGAAGAGGATCCCTTCGATGAATACGGTATCTCGGAAGGTAGCTTTGGTCTCTGTGCACTTCGCATGTCTAAACCTCATGCGTGCTCGCAGACGATGCTATGCGAATGATCGGCACTGAAATAGCCAAAATGCATCGAGCTGATATCGTACATGGTGATCTAACAACCTCTAATATGATCCTCCGACATCCGTCTTCTGCCAAGGGGTTACAGCTGGTACGCCTGTTTAAACTCCAAATGTTCAGCCAGGTATCCAGAACTGATTGCGACGGGGCTACAGGTACTGATTGACTTCGGGCTGGCCTATACGTCGACGCTTGCAGAAGACAAGGCTGTTGACCTCTACGTGCTCGAGCGCGCATTTGCTTCAACGCACCCCGCTTCCGAGCTGCTTGTCGCATCCGTGCTCAAGGCATATCAGGAACACATGGGCAAAGAATGGCTTCCAGTATCGAAGCGGCTAGACGATGGTATGCGTTTGGTAGCAAGAGTTGGCATCGTTGTATTTGACAAAGTTCTCAGTTCGCCTTCGTGGACGCAAGAGAAGCATGGTGGGATGACGGAGAGTGGTTCGCGAGACGCATGGGGTTAGAAGAGTAGGACCGAATGTAATAATGTTATACTATGAACCTGAGAAAGTCGGCAGACCCAGCCTGATCACCGCACACGAGCCCATTCGATACTGGGTGACAAGAACAAGATGTGCGCGTCTAGCACTGGTATCGTGATCCGGGCGGATGAAGTACTGATGTGTATCTGGCTTCTCAGTGCAGCAGCGCCAAGGAGCCAGAAGCTCGTTCAACTCGGGCTCCTACGAGGCGTGTCGCGCACTATCACGACGGATCTGTGTTGCGATGGACATAGCTACTAGTGCTATGATCGGGGGTCTGAACATCGCGGGCGATGCTGGGATTCCCGGGACCGGGACCGCTGCTGGTGCGCTCTCAGAAATCCGCAAGTGTTGTGAGCAAATCCATGCGAACAAGGTCTGAGCTCATATCGTTAAGATGAGTTCCATCTCAAAGAGGGCCTGACATACATTCGCAGCAAGCATGTCGCAGACTATCAAACAAAGTCGCAGAATTGGCCGATACCATTACGATGCTGAGTGCCGCTGGTGTGCCGGACGCGTCCTTGCGCGATCTGTTGAGCGAATTCGATCTGTATGTGACACACGAGACTTGCAGACAGTGAATGACCTTCATCTACTACTACTACAGGAAGCTTTTTGGGATATATCATCGGGTCAATGCGTGGTCTCAATATTCGAAGCTCAAAGCACTGCGTAAGTGCCGCGACGCCTGTGCAGATTCAAGAGTATCTTGACATGCAACAGTTAAAAGAAACGAGATTGGAGAGGGGGTTACAAATTGCACCGCCGAACTCGACGTCATGATGAGCAAGTTCCTAGTACGTCTTGACCATCTATCACCAAGTTCAGCATCACGGACCTCTAGCCGCGATGAACCAGGTGGTTTCAGCCCTGCGACATGGTGACGCTCAGGCCCTAGGAATGCAACAGATGGAAGCTGGTCATGAGGAGATACGTGAACGGATTCAAGAAGTTCTTCAAGTCCTGCGAGACAGATCATCTCTCCAAGAAGCTGCTAATCTACAGCGACACGGAGAACCCGCTGCCGAGATGCTCATGAGAGAGGGACAGCAAGTAAGAATATTGCATCCGCCCTGACGACCTTCGTGATTGACCTACCACTTCAGCTTCTAGCTGAAGGGCGTGGCGACGCAGACGATCCAGTCTCTCTAGAAGAATACGGGGAATTTCGCAAGGGTCTGGCGCACCTACAACAACTAACAGACATTCTGCCTTCTATAAAACTACTCAACGGAGAGATATCCCGTATAGGGGACAGAGCAGTCGAGATTGGCGGACACAGTCAAATCTGGAAAGGTGTCTGGCTGGACGAAATTCCTGTACGGAACTTTAGCCTCTCAATGCCGAGTGTTGTCTTCTCACCATTACGTACAGGTCGCGCTGAAGTGTCTACAAGAAGTGCGAGTGTCTGCACGCGCGCAAAAGGTAAGTCCTGCCCACTTTCCTACGACTTCGATACCCAATATGAACGTGTACTCTGTAGCGGTTCATCCACGAAATCGAGATCTGGTCGAAGCTAAAGAACCCGCACGTTCAGCCACTCTTCGGGATTGTGACCAACCTGGGTCCGCTTGTTCACGTCGTAAGTTCCCTTCCGAGAACTCCGAGTCGGGGTTGCACGTTGTGACAATTCGACAAAGGTATCACCGTGGCGATCGGAAGGCAACCTGTCTGAGTGCGTGGAATGAGCACGACATATGTGGGTTGTCTTCGCTAATGGTGACAACACCAGGTATGCTGGACGCGTGAGGAGCGCGAATAAGATTTATCTGGTTGGTAGTCGCACCATCAAAGGTCAACTTCCATTTCATGTGTTGCACATAGTTGTGGGGTGCAGCGGGTGGCCTAGCGTACCTTCATGACAAAGATATTGTGCACGGGAACGGTACACTTCTTGTTGGCTTGGCTGTGGTGTTGATCTGACTGACGTGCCTGTCTCCAGTACGATGCGTAAGTGCCGCAGTGGCATTTATGTGATACCTTGTCACTGAACGCGTTGCTTGAAGAGCAACATCCTAGTATCGAGCAAGGTCAGTGTCGGAGCGATGACAATGGGACTGTTGACGTATGTGGGGTCGTCCAGGGGGAGGCATTGCTATGCGACTTCGGGATGGCTAAAGTAGTTGGGGACATCAACTCAACACCGGCAACTACGACACTCACAAGATCGGGGTCGACGCGTTGGCTCGCTCCAGAACTCATCTTCGAAGACACAGTTCAGATCACGACCGCCTGCGACGTCTGGTCATTCGGAATGACAATGCTAGAACTCTTTACGATGCGCGAACCGTGGGCGGAGAAGAGGCGAGATGCTCATGTTATCGCTGCCATGACCAATGGCGCGTTACCTAGCCGGCCGCAGAACATCCCGGAGCTGACGGACAGTGTTTGGGGGCTTATGTCGGAGTGTTGGGATAGGAACCCTGATGCTCGGCCCGCGATGTCCATTGTACCCACTCGGATAGCTACGGGGTGAACGGCTTGCGTCCCGCGCGGCAGTTTGGAGAACAACAACGGGTGTAGACAGCCTATTGAATAACGAGTCGTCTGCGTGGGCACTATGCAGGGTCAATAAATCGCGGTGATGCGGATGATGAAATGCACCGTACGTACGAGGGTGTCTTACGGTGCATCGCGCGTGCAACAAACGCCAGTTCAACGAACGTACGCTCACATCATTGCGAAACATGATTATTGCTCTTCCGTCGTGTGAGGACCCTCGTCTTACGAAGTTGAGCGGGGTCTATCTTGCGACGTTCCCCAGTGAGCATGATATCAGAGACTACTGTACCATGAATTGTGCTGCTGTGTACGCAAAGGACCGATGAAAACTAGAGTGAATTGTTATGCATCGGACGGGGAAGACCGGCGCGTTCAACGGCAGTTCAATCAAGGTCTGCCCGACCGATCGGATTAAACTCGACGTCGATGATATAGATAGGGGTACACACCTCGAAGATTGTATAGGAGTCACAACAATGCATGCGTCTTCTCTCCCTTTGACTTAACCATTCACATCCTGTACCATTGCTGCACGTCAACGAGACTGAAACCGGAATGGAGCCGTGTGTGCTTGACGCCAAATGGCACAAGGAGTTGAAGACATCTCGGTCAACGAGCCACCACCGCGTCGATTGCGAGACACAAGTACAATGATAGAGGGCGAGCTGGTTTCCTTCACAAGAGACCGCGAGGACAACGGGCCCAGGGGAGGAGGAGAAGCTTGGGAGCGCCTTCGACCCAACCCGGGCCAAAGTCTGGCGATCGGATTGTGAAGGTTTTCCCGTGCCACCTGTTGAACGTTGAGGAGTCTGCCACCGCGCGTCCCCGATTCGTACACAACTTGCGACAACTTCGACCTGACTTCGACCTCCGCTAATCCTGAAGAATATCATCACCGGTTCGCCGAACGCAGCGGTCGCGAATCTTGCTCCGGCACATACCCCAACGTCTCGAGCACGTCAACATGGTCTGCCATCACCAAGGCAAGGCCACGACCCGGGGAGACATCCACTAGACAACATATAGTTCGCGAAGTCGTGTCGCATTGATCACAGCACATGAAGAGGCGAGGGGGACCTGCAGGATGGGGCTTTGAGGCGAGGGGGAGCCGCACGTACAGGGGTGAACTCGAATGAAGGGAGGCTGGACGGAGAGCGCTACCAGCGACGGTAGCGTCCCTTTCCCTGAGCTGAAGGCGAGGTGAGTGCCCTCCGTCTTCTCCATTGCGGCGTCAACGAATGCCTAAGCATGGTTGTCGTCGGGCATCCCTTTCATTAGACAGACCACTGCCAGACGCCTGCCACGGCGCACTGCCAGCGAGTGTCTACTCCATACCAGCTCAACAACTACTCACCCGTTCTTGTCCTGTCAACACGCCGTCACGACCAAGTGGAGAATTGAATCGGATTAATTTTTCCATGGCATGTCATTCCCGAAACGATGGCAGGACGACTCGGTGTCTTCGGTATATCCGCATGCTGGACATACTACACCGCTTGGCCCCCGCGGCCTCGTACGAGCGTAGTCGATGCATTGCACCATTGCGGTTGGCATTTCGTGAGTACAAACCAATCTATCTGTTCTCTGTGCCACGCTGATGCGGTCGGGGACGTCCCGTTGCGAAGATAGGGTCACAGGACACGACGTGCTGTAGGGAACGATACGCCGTTCACAGTCCAATCCAAAGCCAGCGTGCCAGAGTTCGCCGAGGGATTTCAGTCATCCACCAAGTAGCAAGGCGCGCCCAGCGGACCAGCATCACAGGTGTCGCAGCATTGGTTGCAATCTCACGAGTGATGGGATCTGGAGGCCAAACCTTCGGCTGGGCAAACAGGACCACGGCAACGATTCTGGGGATAATCCCAGCCAACCGCCGAGCCGAGCCACATTTCGGGAAATGGGGCTGGACCGCGGTTGACCGGTGACCCCCGGATCCCAGCGAGTACCGCAGGTGCGCTCAGGGTACGCCGCCAACGACTGCAGCATCGACCGCACTCGCAGGCCCCCGTCCTTCAGCGTCGCGGGCCCTGGCGACGAGGCAACGAAGTAGGGCGAAGGCACGATGGAGTGACAGCTGTCAGAGTCGCAGCTCCACTAGTGTATGCCTCTAGTCGCTCTGCTGTTGCTGCCGGAAGGGTTCAGCGAAACGGCAGGCGGGGGATTGCAGTCAACCTCGGTATGCTGGCACGTACCTTCAGCCTTTCCAGCCCTCCCCCGACGGTATCGACAATCTCATGCCTCCCTCCAAGCCTTCGCATGTCCTGTCGCCCGACGCAAACCGTTCCCCGCTCGTAATCTCTCTGCATTGTCTTCGAGCAACCCCAAGCAACATGCGTTGAAGTCACCTTGTGGGGCGTCTAGTCTGTGAACCTAGCCTATCGCGGAAGAAGAGCTAGTAGGGATGGCAAGGAGGGCTCCCGATTGTCGCGTCAATGGGGGGAGTCTGCCTCGTCTTGCGTACTGTCGTCCCGTTGATCTTTCCTCCCGATGCTGGAAACCGTGGACATGTCTTCCGCAGCGTCGTCAGATGTGGGCGCGCAGAGCCATGTCGGCTGGTGAACGTGGTCTATCCATGGTGTACAGCGCCAAGGGCCTCGAGAAAGCGTCCGCGTCAGCGTGTACCGTTACCCGCTAGTCCGTGGATGAAGACGTCGCGCCACACGTCTCAGCCACATCGCGTGTCGCGGCCGTCGTCTTCACACGACGCTCTATACCTCGCTCAGTACTCATTTGACGGCCTGGGTGACCTCATAATCGGAATCTACGCATCAAATCCAGCTCAGGCAAGGTCTCAGAAAGGCCATATCAACGACGGAACGCGCGCAAGACCCCACGAGCGTCTGGACGGGTCGGAAGAACTCACACTAGCAGCAATACCGGTGAACAGGTGCCACAGATTGCACATTGGGAGGCTAGGGAGAGGGTGCTGAGTGAGTACTAGTGAGTACCTGATTTCGGAGTGGGACGAGGTATACATTCGTTCAATGTTCCTGTGTTGACCTTTTGTACTTCCAGGACGCTGGTTCGCAATATGTTATACCACAATCCACCAAGTTGACCCACACTCTGCTCGCGATATCACCTTTTGTTGGCTCCCGCTCCGTAGGAGGTCCAATTGCAGTTGATACAGTGTTCATGACTGTCTTGTACAATTCCGCACTGTAGGCATTCGTATTTCGTGTCAATCGCCCAGATGTACTCTACTGCGAGTCTACGTTGTATACAGTATTTCCATCCCCGCCACCAAGTTTCACGAGAGACTGGAGCGGAACTGAGTGATCATCGACGAACTGGAATATTGCATATACAGTGCATCGCGAGGAATCCACCTCAACAGTTTCAAACTCTGTGAGCTCGAACTCCTCCCTGCCATGTCCACCCATATAGAAGACATACCATTACTCAGCCACTCTGTAGCCTGCTCCACTCCTGGCACACGGTGAGTGCAGCACCCGTTCACCGGTCATGTTGCGGCTTGCCTGCGGGTGCTCCGAGCCGACTCCCCATCCGTACTCTCGTGAGGTCTTGCGCGCGTTCCGTCGTTGATATGGCCTTTCTGAGACCTTGCCTGAGCTGGATTTGATGCGTAGATTCCGATTATGAGGTCACCCAGGCCGTCAAATGAGTACTGAGCGAGGTATAGAGCGTCGTGTGAAGACGACGGCCGCGACACGCGATGTGGCTGAGACGTGTGGCGCGACGTCTTCATCCACGGACTAGCGGGTAACGGTAAGCGTGCATACTCAGCCCGCTCGCTTGCCGTATGGCGACACCGCGGCGCTGGCGACCCACCCACCAGCAAATCGGCACCCCGCGATCTCCTCATCATCGCACTCACCACCATTCGTCGCCGCCCGCCAGGGGAGATCCGGAGGCCTCTCCGCGCACCACTCGTCACGGAGACTCGGACCTCGATAGCTCGGCTTGGCTCATGGCGTCCCCGTTTATCGAGATGACCATCGAGCCTCGAGGGATCTCTTGGGCTGGGAGGAGGAATAGTGCGCTAGTGCTCGGCAGGGTATAGTGCGTCGTCGCTGCGGTGGCGCTGTTTGAGACTCCGGGATTGTCTGCGGGGAATGCGGAGCTGTCCCCGCGTGCGGCTGTAGCGCGGTCGCGACCTTGAACCCATGTCTCAGTCGACTACTCATCAACGAACCGCCCGTGCTGAGGGGAGGATGGCGTCTCCGTGTTGCGTCCTAACGATTCCTATGGGGCCCACGACAATGGGTACGCAATGAAGTGCGAGGCAGGGTGAAAACCTGGCTGAGAGTACTCGTCAGACTACGTCCAGGCGGTCAACCTTGTTTCCCCAGGCCTGGACAGTTACGTACGGGCTCCTGGTAGGTACGCTTCTTCCCCTTCCTTTCCCTGAATAATCCTGACTTGGACACACAGGCTGCACGGCGCATCGATGATATGCATGTGCGCATGCTGTATAACAACGAAACTTCACCTAGCTCTACTCGCGTCCCAATGCAGTGACGCAGCACGTCGGCTCCTCTAGAAGATTGCGAAGACCTGTGGTGCGCCTTCAATGAAGGACATGCGGATGCGGAGAACAGCTTCGATCCCTGCACGAGGACTCGGCACGACAGCTTCCGCCTCCGAGACCACAGGTGAGTGCAACACTCACTAGTTCTCTGATCCTCGCCACAAGCACCCTGCTGACGCGGCACATACGTCCGTCGCAGGAAGGACCCGCGTCTTGGAGCAGACGGCCGGCATGGCGTTGCATGGGCGGTGATAATGAATAGATGATTCCCCCAACAGTCACCCGCACCGGGTTCGCTGTTACGGCATAATTCCAAACCAACAGTCCAGTCCGCCTTCCCGTCTGAAACGTTGATAGGGCGGAGCGCGTGCAAGTACTGGAAGCCCACGTACCGCTCCAATTTGGTCCCAAGGGCCCAGCCCTCTCGCCCTCTGCATGTCGTACGTCCCTCGCCCGGTCTCGAGGTTGCTCCGCGTCGCGCGTCTTGGGAGCCAGGAACTAGGTACACTCACCTTCCTCGATGTTCTCCGCGTATGGCGTCTGCCCCGCTATCGTCCTCGCCGCCGTCCGCAAGTCTTCGTTGCAGTGCAACCTCGCAAGCTAGTACCGCGCGCGACAGTCACTGCTGGCTATTCAGCCCAACCAACCTCCGGAACCGAGCCCAAGGCAGGCGTCCATCCACGCAACCGAGTAGTGACAACGGCACAGGGAACGCGCCTCCCCGCATCCCTCGCGCTACGCACGCTTGGCCGCCAGACGGGTACCCTTGCCTTCCTCCGAGTCCCACCAGCCCGCGCGCCAGACCGACTCGGAGGCGCACCAGCAGCAGTCGTCGTCCCGTCGCGCCCGCGCCCAGGAGCATCCAGGCGGTCCCCAGCTCCAGAATGCGCAGACGCCAGCGCCCGGCATAATCCAGACAGGGCACGTTCGCTGAGTCGGCCTCCCTCGCGCGCGGAGATGGCTGCCCCCATTCACAGTCAGCGCATCCCGTCGCCCGATGCGTCGACGGGCAGACCCCACACCCCGGCCCCGACGGCGCAATCACCCTACCCCGCATTCTCGGAGACAGATTCGGATTCGCGGGCAGATTCGCGCGTCGAGAGCGTTCTGAGTTGCCGGAGGCGCTGCGATGCTTGCAGTGGACGCGTAGAGCTTTCGGGTGCGCTGCGCCGGGTGTCTCTCTTACGGCATTGTCGGATTGTTGCTCCCATGCTCGTCAGACAAGCTCGCGTCTCGCGTGTTTGCGAATTGCTCAGTAGAGTTAGCATCGTTCACACGAGAATCCAGTATGACACATTTTCACAATATTGTTACGACACAGATTGACAGACCAAGAAATATCCAAGCAGCGCGACGACCCGACGACTACACTACAGTACAGCAACGACGAGGTAGCCATATCCTATCTTACATGCTCACGCGACGACGGGCAATACGAAAGCGAGACCTGAGCAGCAGCATAGATGAGAGCATATCGACACGTTACTGTAACAGGTCGTCAGACAAAGGGAATCCGAACACACAAGGATGGGACGCACAGATATCACAACGTCCTCCCCTCACTTGCCGTGGCCATGATGCAGCGCCTCCGGCATCCTACCGTCATAGCGCATGTCCCGGCGAGGGTCCACCATAGGATGTTGCGCGGCAACATGCATGTCCGGTCCCCTGGATGGCGGCTTCTGGTACATGTGAGGCGGCGGATACGGCTGATAGTGATGTCCGGGGTGCATTCCAGGGACCGGGATGGGCTGACCCTCAGGTGGACGAGGCGCAGGGACCATGTACGGCGTGGCGTACTGTGGCGGATACGGCGTAAAGATGGGATAGTATGGCGGAGGAGGGTATCCGGGAGCCTCTCCTTCCTGGCCGCCGTGGCCAGGCATCGGCTGAGGATGCGGCGGAGGAAGAGGGGCGTATACAAGCTGCGGGACATAGACGGGTCCCTCACCGGGCTTGTGCAGGTGGGTCGGGTATTGGCCGTAGAACGGCGCGTAAGGTGCTACGTACGGGATGGGAGGCGTCGCGCTCGTAGCAGCAACGGCCGGCGGGATGACCATACCCGGCTGACCGTTGGCGTCGATCGTTTCGTCGACGCTGTTGGCTGTGGCCGGAGCGGTCAATGTCGGGGCACGGCGATCAGTGGCGGAGGACTCACACTTTCCATCACGCTTCTTGTATGGCCCCCGCTTGACCCCTTTCTGGCGTTCCTTGCGCTGGGAGTCGATGCACTCCTCGGCGATGCCGTACTTGACGCAGCGGAGGCAGGGGCGGGCATCGTCGCACTTCTTGCAGGCCTTCTGGCAGTTTGTGCAGGCGTTCTTGACCTGCCTGCGCTTGGTGCGGGGTGCGGCGGCGGGGAGGACGCCCGGCGGGAAGGGATACATGTGCATGGGCATGGAGGAGTAGGTGATTGGGTGCATGGTCATCTGAGGCTGGACGACGTCCGCCGATTGGGGCGGAGAGCCCTGGTGGTCGTCGCCGTCTGGATTGTGGTCGGTCATGATGGATAGGCTGGGAGCGCGATAGCGGGAGGAAGGCAGGCGGCGGAGGAAGGGAGGAAGACGTGAAGCGCTCCCGCAGGGAGGGAACGATGCGTGCCAAATGAGGCGTGGATTGACGCCTTTCGTATACGGGCTGGCACGTGCCGGGAAGGCGGCGGTTGTGGGCGGGGGCGGGGCGCTGGGCGGGATACGCTGCCTGAGAGACCATGGCCGTCAGTGCAGGGCGCGTCGAGCGACTCGGGGTGCTTACGCTGGGCCGTCACTGGGCCGGGTCGCTGAGCTGGGGGGCGCGGACTCCGACTCAAAGCGGAGGCGAAGGCGGGAGAGAAGGGCGGCGCCAGAAATCAATCCGCGCACTGCTCTTATGGCCCTGTCCGCCCGCGGCCCTCCCAGCGCCCTTCCCACGCCCGGCTGCCAGCTGCTGCCAGTCCCAGCTCTGCCGTCGCGCCCGTTACGTACCTCGCGCTCCGCTCTCCCAACTCCGCGACGCCGTCCCAGCGGTCCTCGTCTCGAGTCGTCTGCGAGCACCGTCGTCTCCTGTGCGGCACGCAACCACCAGCCCGCGCACCCGGACGGGACAGATCCGCCCTCAAGCATTAAGGTTCCCTGTACGTGATCCCGGGCTTCCACGCTAATTCGGCGTTTGCCAGCCCAGGCGCCAATGGCCTCCCCGCCATTACCCGTCCAGAAGCGATCCTCCTCATCGCGAAGTCCTCTTTTGGCCTCCTGACCCAAGTCCCCGTCCCTGCGCCAACATTCCCTTTCGGAGCGCGCGCAATTGGGAATCCTGCCCGTCAAACCACTGCGAGGCCCCTTGATTACCGACAGTGCGTCTCGCCTGCGACTCGTGCCGTACTGAAGTTTGTCGTCCCTGTAAAGCCTAAATTGACACCCGAACGCTGACGCTCGCCGTCGTTTGAAGGACGGCGTTCTGTGTGTCTGCGCAACCCACTAAGGCAGCGTCGCCGTGTTGCCGAAAGCGCGAACTGCCCGGGCGGACTCATCACGCACCCAGACTGCATGAAGCGGCCGTGCCAACGCGTCTGTATGACTGTCAGTTTCTTGCCATGGGCGGTCCGTCTCTATTCTCATCTACGCCTCATTGGCGGTCCGAAGTCCGTCAGTGTGTGGCAGCACAGCACAGGAGGCTCTACGCGCCGCGCAACTCACGGTCGCGCCGCGGCCAGCTCCCCGAAAACACTTCTCCGTCACCTCTGTTACGTTTGCTTGGTAGCGAGTTTGTCTTTACCGAGGACACCAGCCTCACGGACGAGGTAAGCCCACGATGTATTTACGCACGTTTCGTGATACACGAGGAAGCACTCTCCATTTTGTTCACACCTGCTACGACACATCAAGTGAAACGGAACAATGGCATGATTGATTTCCTGTTCTTTACTTCTCTCGCACGGCGAAAACCACGCAGCTATGCTTCCAAGTGTGTACTGGTGCCAAACTGGTGCAGTACTTGACTGACCGTCGTCGGCGCGCCTAAGTATGCAAGCGCCTCAACGTGCCACGTGCTACCAAACTCCCGGGAGGCGGGAGCTAGAACCATCGTTCCTGCCAATCCGACTTCTCCATTGCGCCCAACGAGCAAAAAACGAACATCGCCCGATCGAGTCTGGCTCAGTTCGGCATTGCCAGCACTTCATTGTCTCTGCATTCGCCACCACGCTGAAGGCAGGGCCCCGCGGCAGCCTCGTCAGGGCCATGGCGATGATGAACGCGGAACTCAAGCCGCGGTCATCTCTGATCTTCTCCTCGTCTCCGTCCCAATCTCATGCAACGCCTCTTCCGCACTTCGGCCCCCGTCTGGGCGAGGTTAACGTGCAGCGTCAAGAGGGTGCGGCGCGGATTGCGATCAAGACGCCGGGCATGATGACGGCCACATCGCGCGGGGTTGTACCGCACCTCTCGCGCGATCACGTCCGGCTTACGAGGGCGATCTGCTGGGTGCATGTCCCCTTCGAAACATTGTGAGATGCTTCTCCATTTGTGTCTGTTGGTCAGGCGACGGGTTCGTGTTGAATGTAGGACGTTGCTGTTGCGCGGTCCTGTTGTGTGTCGTCGTACCGCCGGTTTTCAAAGCGCGAGCCATAGCCAGGGTCCGAAGTGGAGTCTCCATATGTGCTCCGTTGGCGAACCTCCGGAGTCCGAGCGTTGCGTCACGGACGTGTGCATAAACGATGCTGCATGCATGATATAGATGCCCGTACGCCGCAGAGATGCTGTGGGTTCGCGACAGCCTGAGAGTTGCGCCAAAGAGGTTGGACACCTAATGAATACCTGGCTATGTCTCGCGCTGATGAACCGGTAGCAGGATCACACACTGTGCTAAGCGCAGACGTGACATTCGACCATCGCGCGAACTCGTGCGCCCGTAGTCACCGTATCTTGACATTTTCCGACTCTGATCAGCCTAGAACATAATCCGCCGCTCCCAATAACACAGCCAGGACCGCGACCGCTGCATCAGTTCCTCGGGTTCTCACCAGCCGACCATGTGCTGTCCGTGTCTGCACGGGATCCGTTTGACGGGAGGGACATGCCTGCCAATAACAAAGACTATGTTGCGACGTATTGCATTCGCGGCGTGCGGAAGGTATGTCCGCCTGTTGTCCGAGCTCCGATCATGCCGCTGAGCTGGAAAGTAGCTGACTCCAGAAGTGTGGGCGCAATACGACGCTGCGTGCAACCCAGACATCATCACCGCTCTCTCTGACACGCCCTTCACGTCTGCGCCTCACTCCAATAAACGTACACACAAGTCTCTCGAACGATCCACGGCGTGGCTCGCGAACCTGCTTCATTCTGTTGCTGCCCGACGGAGAGAGGTTGGGTCAGACGGGGAGCCGCTAACGGGTTCCCTCAGCAATGTCCTCGTGCACATGGCCGGCGGAGCGGTCGTTCAAGCGCGGAAGGCGTTCGCGGAAGGGCTCATGGAGGACCTCGAGGAGTTCAAGGCAGTAAATCCGAGTCCGTACCGGCGGCTCGACGACGGCGTCGCGGGCTATGTATTCGACCTCGTGCCCCTCCGCGCGGCCCTCTCTGCGCGGTCCAAGGCCGCGGACGAAGACCTCGGGGATGACGCTGACACACTGAAGCCTCGCGGGGCAATCAATACGCTCACTCCGACGTCCAGCGCTGATACCAGTGCTATGGACCCAGCGGCGCTGAGCGAGGTTCTCCGGGCGTCACTGCAGCCCCTGCCGACGCACAAGCCTCGCCTCGTCAATTCTGCGAGGTCCCCCCACGAGATGCTCCGGCTCGTACGGGATGTTGGCATAGACCTGTTTGACGCACACTGGGCGCAGCGCGCCGCAGACATCGGCGTCGCGCTGGACTTCGCGTTCCCCGTCGCTCTGGGGGATACGCAGCCTGTGGATGCCAGAGTTGCTGGTAGCCCCAGGACGAAGGTGCGTCCCGGCGAAAAGATGGATTTGGGGCACAACTTGTATAGCGGCGACTACGCCCACGACCACTCGCGCCTTGCTGCGAACTTCCTCGACGGCCGCTCACACGCGCAGCAAACGGCGGAGGGCTCGCCGGACGCCAGACCCGTCTGTCCTTGTGGTGCATGTTCCCCCCGGAGCCCCGGGACGCACATACTGCACAGCGCTCTAGACCGGACGTCATGGGAGGGTCAGGCGGGAGCAGACACTCTCGAGCCGCCGTTCATGCGATCGTACGTGCACCATCTCCTGCACACGCACGAGATGTCTGCGCATTCGCTGCTCGTCATGCACAACCTCTCCGTGCTGGACGCGTTCTTCGTGGGCATACGGAGCGTGCTTGAACATGCGGGCACGGAGGAGTTCAATCGACAGGTAGACTTGTTCTTGGAGACTTATGACGAGGAGATGGTGCTTTTCGACGAGGCGAAGGTAGACTGGGTGCAGGTCGAGATGGCGCGGGGGAAGGGCAGGCTGGCGAGGGAGAAGATCAAGCAGGCGGAGTCAAGCTTGGGTACATCGGTCGATGTATAGAGGTCGAGGCCTGTCTTCACATCTAGCCAGGCTGAACATTGTGCTGTGGTATCAAGAGTCGTATAATTGTCGAAATTCGCTCAATAGGGCCTCCATGGTGCTACATTTGGCTGATCGGGGCGAGTGTGCAGCTGTGTGGGCGAAGAGAACTCCGCGAACACCCACATCTGCAGATCTAAGATCCCACGTGCGCGGGACGCATCGCCGCCGACCGATCGCAGCGTCCGGCGCTTAAGTAGGTCTATTGAGTGGACTGGCCGGCGACGCGTCGCCTCCATCCACGACCTCCACAATTTTGTCTGCGACGATTCGACACGAGAACATACTATTCTTGTTAGTATCCTGGACGCCAGAAAGTCTCACCACTGCGACGGAAGGGCTGTTCCTGGCGGTGTACTGGGATCATTGAGAGATGGCACACGCTAGAGATGCATTGGTGAGCTTCTCTTTTCAATATGAGCGTTCGGGCTCTGAGGGATTTCGCGAAGTGGGAAAGCGGATATGACGAGTCTGTCGAGGTAAACCAACGTGCCCTGATTGACAAAGTTCTGGCGCGGTACTCTGCCGAGTTCACAAGTCGGTATATACTTCTTACTACGGCTGCGCTCCAGCTTACGCTGTCGCAGTATTTCGCGAACTTCTCCAGAACTCCGATGATGCTGGCGCGAAGAGAGTGGAGATTCGGTTCGAGACGAAGGCATACCTAGACCACAAGAAGGCGAATGGTGCCGAGGACGCACCGTTGCCTCCGCTTGACCAGCAGGCTCTGGATCGGAAGGCTGGCCTAGTGCATCAGTGGTCGTTCAAGAATGATGGCATGCACTTCAGAGATGAAGATTGGAATCGTTTGAAGAAGATCGGTATGTGCCTGGCCCGTCGTTGTCATCGTCTCGACTCGAACGCTTCGCAGCCGAGGGTAATCCCGACGAAGAGAAGATCGGTGCCTTCGGAGTGGGTGGGTGTTACTGTCTACAATTGCACAATGCGGTGTCGCCTCACGCTGTTTGTCCTCAGGTTTCTACAGCTTGTTCTCCGTCACGGAGGAGCCATTTGTAACGTCAGGAGGTCTGTCACGGGTTTCAGTATGCTTGGGTAGTCTCCGTTGACCAATGCTATCCACGTAGGTCAATGGATGCATTTCTACTGGAAGGACGGAAAGGATCAGGTACTGTTCCGCGTCTTTCCCCTATCTCAGGCCGCTCACAAGAAGTAGCTCTTTGTCAGACGAGGTAAACTTCCCAATGCGGAGGACGTGGACGACCCCTGGACAACATTTGAGATGACTCTCCGTGAGCCGGCGCCGATTCCGAAGGCGTTCGACCTCACCCGGTTCCTCGCATCCTCAATCACGTTCATGAAACAGCTCTCCGACGTCAGCGTGTACCTCGACGACACACGTATCTCGAGGTTGACGAAGCAGCCCGGAATCATGAAGTCCGTCGGAGTACCAAAGGGGTTGAAGAATACAGGTCCAAAGGGCATCATGCAAGTCCGAGATATACATACCACGCGTCAGTGATGAATAGTGTTTTTTCTCATCCAACCTGTTCACTGATCCCTGTGTAATAGCTTTGTTTATCCAGGCTGAACTCATCCGGTGGGTATACCTGGCAGGAAGCGAGAAAGTTGTACCACCAAAGCCTGCAGCAGCGACAGCGAAATCCAGCGGGTTCTTCTCGTCCCTGTTCTCCTCGCTTTCAGGAACACACACCCCTCAACGTGCAACTACGCCCGTTCCACCTCCCGTTGTGGAGCAGATCGACCCGACGACTGTCACCGAGACAAGTGTAATGCTCTCGATATTCTCCGCGGACGTATCAGTGAAGCTCGACACGAAGTTGAGATCTGAGCTGCATCGGTCGACCAAGAAGAACCCGCCTGCCAACATGAATCTGCACCTGATCTACGTCAGTGCTATCAGTTGATCACATCTTCATATACTTACTCTCAGCGTCATCTTTGTAGACTGGGAAAGACGAGTACGATGCGAGCAAGAAGGACGACGAGAAGCAGCCGGAGAAGACGGGCAGCGTCTTCCAAGGACTTCGTGCTGACATCGAGGGGTGAGTACGCTGGCCAGGCGAGTGTCAGAGGAGCCGCTGACAAGGCCACTCAGGACTGGCTCTGCGAGAATATTCATCGTGAACTACATTACATTGGGCCATTAGATTATGGCGCTGATGCTGAACCTTGACAGGGCCATGCAACTAGCCAAACGACGGGCATCGCAGGCCATATGGCGGCGAGATTCATCCCAACCGTCGAACGTGAATCCATTGACTTGATGTGAGTGGGGTGTATGTATGGCTGTCGCGTCCCTGATCGCGAGATTTTTCCATAGGGATCGCACAGTAGCCGGTATGTTTACGGCGTCTCGCCTATAGTGAATCGCCTAACTCAAATACCCTCAGTATGGAACGAAGAGCTGCTATACGTAGGGGGCTTCCTCGCTCGGGCTGGCTATGAGCTGGAATTGGACCAGATTCGTCAGCTCTGGGCTGGAGTAGCAGGACAGAACCCCTCTGCGAAACTTGACAAAGAACTGACAACTTGGTTGTGCGCGAGGGCACTTCACGTCATGAAGTTCTTTACCTTTCACCAGTCGACGCCCCTTGCCGAGGTGTCAAGGAAGATGGAGGCCGCCTTCTTCCTGTGCGGCGGACCTCGTCAGCCATTCCCACTTATCTCTACAGCAGGTGTCCGCAACGCGTCGGACGTACGCATTCCCGACGCGGCCTTCTCGGAGTTTGTGAAGGAGCTCCCTGTCATCCCCGACGAGGTGTTTTCGGGTGCCAAACGCATGATCGGTGCTCTGCAGGACCGCGGGATGGTCAAGAACATCGAGTTCATGGATGTCCTGCAGGAGCTGCGCGCCCGTCCGCTCGCTGAGAGCGAGATGATCGCCTGCTTCAAGTGGTGGATCGGTGTCCAGAGCCAAGGCGAAGCACGGACTCTCGGACAGGTTCGCACCGAGCTGTTAAACGCCGCCGTGCTGTGCCTTGGCGAGAAGGGGACCGCTGACGAGCGTATCATTCCGATGTCGTCCATCCAGACATTCCTCAATACGCGTACCATGGGTGCTATCCCCACGGACGGGCCCCTTCCTGCGCATCTGCTACCTGTCAGCGTGAGCAGACACCTTGACCCGAATCAGCTGGCGACCGCTTTCCCCTGGAGGGAATTCACCGCTATCGACTGGATACGGCACATCACCAGCGCAACTGAATTCGACGTTGACCATGACATGACAAAGTCTCCGCAATGGGCAGAGAGAGTCTTCCAGGTACTCGCGCGGATGTGGCCGAGCATGGCGAAGGGCTCCCAAGAAGAGACAGTGACATTGCTGCGCGGAAAGACGTGCGTGCCCACGTCGGCAGGTTTGAAGCTTTCGGAGGAGGCGTATTTTCAGAGTGCCCATATCTTCAAGGACTTGCCTATTGTGCATCTGCCTAGTGGCGCTCCGGTGAAGGGCGCATTGGAGAAGGTCCTGACGGCCATTGGTGTGCGTAGACATGTGGATCTACAGATTGTGTTCAACAGGTTAGTCTGATGATGCTCATGCGACGCGCCTACTCAACGGCCTATGTCAGGATGATCAAGACCGGTGACTGGACCACTGCGGATCTGGTGAAGTACCTCATTGCGGTCCAGATGACCTTGAATCCTGTCGAGATCGATCGCCTCCGAGTGACGGCAGCTTTCCCAAAGGAAGAAGAGGATGAAGCGGATAGCAAGCGGCTGCGCTATATGGCCAAGGACTTGTACGAACCCTCGGACGTCTTCCGACAGCTGGGGTTGCCGATCATTAACTGGGGACAACAACTTAGATGGCGAGCAAACTCGGAGGAAGGTAAGCATGAATCATAACAGCGTTGAGTTATGTTGACACTTCACCAGCAAAGTTTCTGTACAACCTGGGATTGCAGCGATTCCCCTCACTCCATGTCATCCTCGGACTAGCTGCCAGTGCGGACCAGAAAGTCCGCACTGTTGCGCTCAGATACTTCCTGGATAGTGTCGCGACGAAGTACTCGGATTACGATCCCAACAACTTCTCGCAAATCGCGTTCATACCTGCTGTCAAGGACGGCAAGCCGTATATGGCGAAGCCATCAGAGGTGAGCAGTGCCCACTATGTGCCCACGTCCGGAAGTGAACTTTACTTTTCCAGGTTTATGCGTCGTCGGAATGGGCAAGTTTGGGGTTCTCAACCGTCGACCCGAGTCTCAAAGCCGACGCACTCACGAAGCTGAAAATTCATGAGCATCCACCCACTGCGGCGTTGGTCAACCTGCTTCAGACGTCTCCCCCCTCCAATGAAGCCAGCGCTCGGGAGTGGTTTGGAGTTCTAGCGGGACGGATAGCAGGTCCGTTCGTGACAAAAGGTTCCCGACTATTGCTAACTTGTCACAGAGTTCACGCCGGCTCAGCTGAAGACGCTCTCTGAAATGCCCATCATCCCAGTCACAGCTCCCGGAGAGAAGCAGGCTCGCCTCATGCCACCTTCTCAGTGCTACCTGCGTGGACAGACCGAGGCGCAACTACATTCCAAGCTATTTACCTTCGTCGACTTTGGCACTCGCGCGAACCAGTTCTTATCAGCATGTGGGTCGAAGCAAGAACCGTCTGTCGAGGAGATCGCGAAGATCATTCTTGACGACCCGCGTAAGTTCTATGAACTCGCGGGCGGTCGCGATAGGTAGGTGTGCATGCCGTCGCAACGTGCTCGTATGCTAACGGAAGACAGCTACCTAAATGAACTTCGCAATATTGCGGTCAACCATCGGCTCTTCTCGGGAGCGACGATGACCCGTCTCAAGCGATCGTCGGTGTTGCTGGGCTCACGACGTGTGAAGAAGCCAAGGCCAACGGAGAAATCAAAGTCACCGGATGACCTGGCCGACTTGGAGGAGGACGACTGGGAATACGAGTACGACCTCCTCCCGGCGGGTCAGATTGTGGTGGCGGACGACCCCAATGCATATCAAGTGTTCGGAAATGCGATATTCACCGCGCCTCAAGAAGATCTCCTCGAAGGTGTGTATAGCTCCGCTTCGGAATGCTGCGCCCAAGTTGAAAGACCTTGTAGCGTTCTACTTAGCGCTAGGTAGCAAGATCTTGAGTTCCTTGGTGAAGCAGGAGCATCAGACGACTACCGAGGTGCCCAAGTCGCCGAAGGCTGCGGAGATACGATCTCTTATTCTGGAGCGTCTACCCTTGTTCCTACACGAGCATACCCATGCTGCTCCGCGCGTCAAGTTTAGCTGGCTCAACGATGACAAACACTTCATCGTCAGGATGTATGGTAAACTGACAGTTGTGAAGACGTTGCAGTTTGGGACCATTCGTGCAACTCAGATGCAAGAGTCGTCTGCTCTGGCCCGGCGGGATCAAGCGGGGCCCGTTGAGCTCCTATTGGCCCACAACAACCAAGTGGATATGTACGAGTAAGTGATGTCCGTCATGGAGCGGTCATTATACGGAAGTCTTGACACACCCTTCGCCCAGAGTGTCAAGTTCCATGTGTCGCATTCTCTTCAATATGCCCAAAGCCAATGATATCCTACTATTCATGACTATCCTGTCGACGGACTTACGGTCTTTGAAAAGACGTGGATACAATGGTGAGTGGTGTTGTGACCACCTCAATTCTCATCTCATCGTTTCACAGTGGATCGGATTCTGAGGCAACAGCAAGCTCAGCGAGCTGCTCAAGAAGAAGCCATGCGCAAGAAGGCTGAATCCACAGCACTCGTCCCAAATCACGACGTCAGCTCTGAGAAATCCTCACTCTCAGGGCAAACTGCAACGCAGCCACAAGATCTGTTACCGCCCTCAGCGGGCCCTGCGAGCACCAAGGCCTTTGACGTGGCTAAGCGATTGTCTGATGCTCGCCATTCTGATACCTGGAAACGCTTTCAGAATGCCTTCACCGGCGTCGGGGCGGCGTCTCCTGAACAAGCGACCCCACCACCGGACGCTAGACGAACGGGGGCTGGGGCTGGGGACAACGAGGTGGGCTTCGCCGTTGTACCGAGTGGCGTTTTGAGAATTGACCACCATCACACCACTGACAGTCAATATCCATGAGCGGAAGCAAATCCACGTCGCCTGTGCCTGTGGGAAGTGGCCCCGTCAAGCGCAATCCTCCGGGCTATGTAACACCAAAGAACAAGATATGTGAGTATCTGCACCACTTTGTATGTACCATCCCTTTTGACAGGGTCGACAGCTTCTGTCATCGATATGGCGATCAGCGCCTGTAAGGAGGAAAAGCAAGATCAGATCCAGTCACGAGAGAACCAGCAGATGGTCAAGGAAGCGCTCAATGAGGGCTATTGCGATGGTACAGGAGAGTCTCTCAACTTGTCCTTGATTGGTGAGTGCCGCCGTTTCATTGCAGGGCATCTGACTACATAATTCCTTCTGCAGGCACCATGGAAGACCTCAAGGTTTATGCTGCAAGGGGTATGTGCTTTGACTTCGCTGTATAGTCTCACTAATCCATGGTGCAGATGTCGCGAATGTCGCATCCATCATGGAGACCAAGCGCGATATGATTGCCCGCTTCATTTATGTCGTCCTTCCGCTTCTAGAAGTGTACAAGCTACCTCGCAGCAGCATACACTTCTACTTCGACAAGACTGGGCAGCGTATTGCGTTCAATCGCAATGCCAGCCTGTTCTTGAGTCTGCGGTATTTCGAGGCTTGGCGTACGTATCGCTTACTTAACGGGCATGCAGGACGCTGATCATGATGCATAGATGACAAGGATGTACAAGGAGGAAACATGAAGGAGGCTTTGATTTCATGGTAAGTAATCTCCTTGCTCGCAAGTCCAGGTTAAGCTTACGTCTTCGTACCAAGGTATTTCACGCTAGCGCATGAAATAGCGCACAACATCGTCGGGCCTCACAATTCGGAGCACGAGTTCTATTTTTCAGCCATTTCTGAGGCATCTCTACCAGCTTTCGTCACATTGCTCTCGACTCGGACCTGATGCAGTGTATATCTATAACGCACGACTCCACTCCGGACCCGGATGACAGACTTGATGTACTACCAGTTCTTATGGATCCTGTATTATTATTGTTTCAGGATAGGCAGTCTGATACTGGTATACTTATATCTGCATCATAGTGAGGCCAACGTAGTGCAGAACTGACAGAGGCTGCTAAAGCCAATGGGGGCAAAATGCTACTTAGTTCATCTGCATGGATGTCGACGTCGAGCAAGCAACTCAATTAAGGGCGGCTCTATGGCGCGCCGGGCCGCGTTCTTCGAGGGCTCGTTCCGCCACAGGTTGACGCGGACACTCAGCTGCACAGTCCGTCCCCGCACGCTCGCACCTCCTCTCTGGCGGGCATTCCACCCGGACGACTCCCGGCTCGTCTAAGATGAGCTCTCGTGAAGAGTCCAGCGGTTCTGAGGAGTACAAGTATTATGTTCAAGACAACTCCGAAAGCGAGGCATTGCTTCCACTCCCGGTCGCGACAGAGCACCAGCAGGAGTCCCCGCGCAAGCCGCAGACAACGCCGAGGTGTACTACGTCTCATTCTCCTTGGATCCTGTGCCTAGCTTTCCTTGGGGGTGCTTTAACATGCGTTGTTTTGCAGTACGTTGCCGGCACGCACCAGTGGTTGGGGACTGGTGGTCATCCCGCTGCTTCTGACCATGCGCACGTACTCGCTCCTCCCTACGTTGGCTCTACCGAGGTCCACCATTTCCCGCCTTCCTCACCAACCAACGCATTCCCTTCATTATTCCCTACGGACGTTGGTCATGCCGGACCTACCCCCACGGGCGCGGAACCCGCACTTATCGCCACCGCCCCTTCGTATCCCATTCACAGCGGTGCTGCTCACCTTGTATCCCCGGTGTTTGAAAAGCACAAGTCAAACCATACCGAATTCAGCCTGTTCAAGCATTGGGGCAACTTGTCGCCATGGTGGAGTGTCGGAAAGGGTGCTTTTGGCCTAGACTCGACTCCTGAGCCGCCGGAGACTTGTAGGATTACTGGGCTGCACTTCCTGCATCGTCATGGCGCTCGATACCCAACTGGATGGGGTGAGCGTACGGAACTGGCTACCATATCATGATATCAATGACTCACAACTTGCATTTACTGTGTTTCAGCGTCGTATGGTGGTCCGGTCAACTTTGCGGCGAAGCTGAACAAGTATGCCGATCGCTGGACCGCAAAGGGAAGTCTGGCCTTCCTTAACGACTGGTGCGTGTCATGATCTGTAGATATTGAACTCGTTCCCGCTCATGCCCTTGGGTAGGACCTACAAACTCGGCGAGGAGAGTATGTACTCAACGTGCTCTCTCTGCAGAAACCCTTTACTGATGGCAGACTAGTCCTGACACCTTTCGGGAGGCAGCAACTATGTGAGTCATAACACAAGCCATGTTGAGACTCATACAAACCCTACCTCATAGTCGACCTCGGGGTCTCCTTAAGGATGAAGTACGGTTTCCTGTTGAAGGTAAATCCTCCATTGCCCAGCCGAAGACTCACAACTGAAGTCATGTAGAACTTCACAGAGACCAATACTATACCTGTCTTCCGCACGGAGTCTCAGTAAGCTTGGTAATCTTTCCACATCAAAAATTGTGCTGACGACATGAGTGCTGCTCAGAGACCGTATGCTTGCATCAGCGCTCAACTTCGCGATCGGGTTCTTTGGCTACCCATTCGAGGGACAATACGAACAGAGTATTACCATAGAAGAGAACGGTGTATGCTTTCGCGCACTCGTTGTGTTGATGTCGACTCATTCGCGATGCTCAGTACAACAACACTCTCGCTCCTTACAAGACGTAAGATCCAAAAGTCCTATCTGAAATGAGGCCACTCATTCCATGACAGATGTCCGAATGCTGCCAACGCGGCGAAGGCTGACCGTGCTTACCCCTACGTTTCTCAATGGGTATCCATCTATCTCAAGAAAGCGCTCGATCGTCTGCAGCCGCAGCTGAAGGGCGTGGATCTGACCATTGAAGATGTCTACACGATGCAGCAGATGTGTGCATATGAGGTGTGTTCAATATTTTCTAACCCATCCATTAATTTACACCGGCTTCAGACCGTAGCTATCGGTTATTCGAAGTTTTGCGAACTGTTCACTGAAGAAGAATGGAAAGGGTTTGATTATGCGTGAGTGACGTGATGTCGTAGGTATCAACGGTGGTGGCTAACTCTGTCCCAGCATGGACCTGTACTTCTGGTACGACTCTGCGTTCGGAGCGCCGCTTAGCAAAGTCCTGGGCATAGGCTACATCCAAGAGCTTGTGGCTCGGCTTACACACAGCCCTGTCGAGACCCACAACTCATCTACCAACGCGACTCTGCATGGCAGCCCGCTTACATTCCCTCTCAATCAGAGCTTGTACGTCGATGCGACACATGAAGTCGTCGTATTGCATGGTAAGTGGTTGGGTTGCAGCTACAGCTCGATTCTTTGGTCTGCTCACATCCCGAGCAGTCATCACTGCGCTCAACTTGACGGCACTTGCTGCCAACGGCCCCTTGCCCGCTGATCATATACCCGAGAATCAGTCCTTCAAGGCCTCTAACCTTGCGCCGTTCGCAACAAACATCCAGTTCCAACGTATGTTCAATCAGCCGTGTAAAGTGGATCACAGGCTGATCCGCGACTGCTGGCCATGCAGTGCTGTCATGTTCATCCACTCCTGATCCGCAAATTAGGATCATCGTCAACGACGGCGTTGTTCCGCTGACAGGCATCAAGGGCTGTCCGCAGCAGAAGGACGGGATGTGTCCCGTCGACACTTTTGTGGCGGCGCAGAAGGAGATCATACAGGAGACGGACTGGGAGTGGGGCTGCCATGGCGATTGGGAGGTCCCACAGGGCCCCGCCTGGAACACCACGACAGGGTCGCCCCCTCCGCGATAAGATCTCCTGACTAGCCATTATTAGGGCATGAGGCGTGGACACTGCCGCGCGCCGGCTGCTGGTTCGCGCTCACCTCCGTAAGCTTGTTCGTGTGCGGGATGGCGAACGCACCTGTTCGGGTGGCTCTTACTGTTCATCGTAGACTCACTGGTTATACATTGGATGGAATGACATTTGTTATACCTATAAACATGCTCGAATGGCCAATGCGCAGAGGTTCTGTACGCGAGCGAGCGGCTGCCGTACGCGGTGGCTCGACGGCGGGAGCGAGACGAAGCGCCACAGGTAAACAAACACAACCAAACGACACGAGGACGTTCAGCGTCGACGCGAGAGGGATCCCTGGAATGTCAAGCCCACTGGCAAGGGCGTCCTCCATCTGACCTCCACGGCCAGCTGGCACCGCGAACGTCGTTCTCAAGCTATCCGCTTTCCTGAATTCTGTAACACCTATTTTCTCGTCTTGAGTCCCTCTGCCGTTGTCTCTGCACCGTCTCTCATTTGCTTCGCTCACTCGTTAACATCTCCATCTCATGTCTGCCCCGCCCTCCCCCAACATCGGTCAAGTAGCTCATGACAAAGGACGTACGAAACGAAGAGACAGGCCCCCGGCGTTGAACGTTGGTGACCCCAAGTCGACGTCGGACGGGGATGTACGATACGAGCGTGATCATCGCAGAGACGCGCAGCGGGTAATGACAGCAACCCCGTCTCCATCCCACTTGCTTCTGACTCTCCATTACAGACTGTTCCACGTACTCAGAAGACGGTCGGCCAGAATCTGGAGACGGATGCACAAGGACCTCGTTCGCCTTCGGCCACCTCGTCGCTGGATCCCTACTACTTCAGCGTGCAGAGCCCGCCTGAGTCCCCCATCCCGCCTCTACCTACGTCGCGTTCTATGCCGAGGACCCCAGAGATGCATACCGTGCACGAGCCGGTCACGCCCGGCAGGGATCCCGCTGCTATCGACAGGCGTGGGCTGGTGGGGGTGGGAGAGTTGGCGACCCCGAGATGGGTGCGGGGTCCCCGCCATGATGAGGTCGAGATCGACGAACAACTAGACGAAGTGGAAGAGGAACCGTCGCAAGGAGAAGATGGCGTAGTGATGGTGGACGAGGAGCAAGACTTGCCTGATAGTCCGTGGACCATCGAAGCGATTGACGGTGAACCGGAGGAGAACGATGACGTGAGTATAACGACGCTTGTTCCTCGTTTAACACGAGCTCATACATGCCTGTAGCTCCTCGAAGTGCAACCCATATCGCGCCCTTTGCGATCCAGGCGTTCCGTAGCCGATGAAAGCGGGGGCGAAGAGATCCTTTATCCTCGTCATCCTCTGCCCATTGACGACAGGAGACGCGCAGAAGGGCCGAATGCACACGTTCAGGATATGTCTTCATTGGAAGATGCTACTTTCTCAGCCGAGTTTGAGCCTGTTGCTTCCATGGCGCTTCAATCCGAGACTGTCTCCCCGCCCAGTGCTTTTGCGGCATCTACCAATCGGCCCCGCAAGCGCACCTCGGATGAGTTCGAGATGGATCACGCAGGCATGTTGGTAGCGAAGTCAACGATGGCGTCGAACACCCCCAAGGATAAGGAGAAGGTTCGCAGACACAAGAGCCTTGGCGTCCCAGCGGCGACCGCCGCCCTCGTTAGGGAGAAAGTAAAGGATCGACGAAGGGATACTCTGTCTATCAACGTCAAGCACCAGAGGCAGACTTCGGCGAGTTCTTCGTCTTCCAGTCACGGCGACGCTCATCCGTCCCGTCGCATTCACGCGTCTGATTTCTCACATCTCCCGCCGTCACCATCTTCGTCCTCTATCCAACAGTTCCTGAAGCAAAGCGGCACTGGTAGCAAGACAACCTCCCCTTCTCACCATCCGCTGAAGGAGAAGGACTCATCATCACACCTGCCATCCAACATGGTCGCTCATTCTCTCCTTCGCGGTACGCAGGAGGGGTGGTCCGACTTGGACGACCAAGCGACAATGGAGGCTCTGCGGAAGCTAGACGGGCTGTCGGGCCGGAGCGCTCGTGCCAGATCTAGCATTGGTGCTCACAGTCGACTGGGGAGCTCGAGCCGTCCGAGCACTCCTGCAGGTGCCTCTGGTCAGTGGGAAGGCATCGAAGGTGGCCGAAGCAGTAAGCGGCTGAGCACTCACGCTGCCAAGGATAGAACGAAGGGCGAGCACGTAGCGTCACAGCGTCAAACAGTTGGTCTCGGTATTGCAGGGGCGGAAGTCTCCGTGGAGACTGAGGTCCACGGTACTACGTCCCACTCTGGCGAGGAACTACACAGCAACTCACCACTGCCCGAGAAATCATCCCTCAAGAAGTCGAACTCCATTACACGCTCGAGCCTCAGCGCGAAGCGTGGTTCTGCGTCTTCGGGGACGTACACGAGCACTCCCACGACGAGTTCCAGGGATTCTGCCACGTTGTCCATCAGCACCAGTGCTACGTCCGTCTCCGTCTCTTCTGGCCGACAGTCGTCCAACAAGGCGAAGCGTAACAGCGCAAGCAGCGAAATGTCTGGCTTCAGCGGGGAGGCCAGTTATATGCGTGATCGCGCCGCATCTCTCGCTGGAGCTGCTGAATCCTCCGATGAGCAACGTGTACCTCCTGTGCCGCCTCTACCCAAGGACATCTCTAGCTACAAGCAGCAGCCTCAGACCCCGTCGACGGTGGTCTCTCCGGCGCCTGAGGTCCCAGGATCAAGCAGGTCGAAGCGGGAGACGGTCAGCGACATGAGATTCCAGTCATCGCTCGAGGTCCCCTCGTTCCCTTCCACTCCCTCGAAGCACGCCTCTCTCCAGGTCCAAAAGTCCGTCACGACCCCGACCAGCATCCAGAAGACACCGTCGAAGAAATGGAGTTTCTCGAATGTCATGGGCAAGAAACTGTCGAACTCGCCCTCGATCTCGTCGATGAATGAGGCTGCCGCCAGGTCTCCTGGTCTGCCTATCAGTCCTCGTACGTTAACGTTCGGAGCTCAACTGAGGAAATCTGTGTCCAAGGATCGTACGCGCTCGCCAACATCCAAGGCATCTGCTGACGATTGGTCACCTATCAACTCCGCCATGGCGTCGGCGACCTCACTGGCATCCGTGTCATCCGTTGGCTCGACCCGCGGCTCTCTTCGGGATCCCCTGTCGCCTGGAGCCTCACTGCATGCACCGTCGCAGACGCCGGATCGCTCGGTACCCAGCCGATCGGAAACCGCTTCGAGCGCCAGCACCAATGTGCCAGCTCAGGCACCCCTCAGTCCTTCGTCTTCCCTGCGCCGAGGTCCGTCTACAAAACGGCTCACGCCGTCCTCGATCCCATTCTTCCGCCGATCTTCCTCACAGTCGATGGCGTTGCCACCGTCTAACACGATGCCTCCACCGCCCTCCCCGACGTCTAGCGGTCTGGGAAGTGCGTCGACCCGCGTTCATCTACTGGAAAGTCATTCACCTGTACATGACACGAGCTTGACATCTCCCACGAGCTCATCGCATAAGAAGTCGTCAGTATTGAGTTTGGGCCTCCCGTCATTGCTTAAGGGTTCCAGCTCAAGGAGGAGTTTGCACTCGGACAGGGAGAAGAGCGATTCGAAGAGCGTCAAGGACACGTCAAGTTCGAAGGACTCCGACCGAGAGAGCAAGAAGAAGGACGACAAAGATCGAAGCGAGAGTAGGATCTCCGTGCTCATGGGTAGGAAGCGAGGAAAGGTCAGTCCAGAGATGTCCTGCATCGTGATGCCTGCTCATAGGTTCAATTAGACGCTGTCATCTGCTCAGCCGACTCCGAGGAAGGCGGAGCCTATGCCTCTGCCGCCGATGCAGATATCTGCGTTGCCTGCGGCAACTGCGCAACGAGTTGCCAGCCTGAAATCGACCTCTTCCTCGTCTAGTTCATCCAACCCGTCATCCTCGGCAACTGCGAGACTGGCCTCGTCACGAGCTACCTCCCAGACTGCTAGCTCCATGCAGAAGCAGTCCGATTCATCGCTTCGTGGTAGGAACCAGTTGCCTACTATCGCTGGTTCTCCTTCAGTCGGCAGCATCAATTCCCAGGTCTTCAAAGAGCCCAAGGAGCCACCTCCGTCATCGTCCTTGAACCCCACGTCGAGCCTCACAAAGGACACCCCTACGAAGATACCCCGCATCTCTAGCCGGTCCTCGACGACGAACTCTCCTACGCTTAAGGGCAATGGCGCCGGTCGCAGGGCGAGCCTACTGGTTGGTAGTTCTGCATTGTCCGGCTCACGTGGAAGTTCCCCCGCTGCCACGGCCGAGTCAATGAATGAATTCGGCGTGCTCGAGAACGGGCACGCTGCAGGTGCTAAAACTGCTACGACGCAACGTCATTCTGTCCGGGCATCTCCGTCGACTTCATCGCGTGTTCCTAGACAGGTGTCCGCCCCAACGTCGTCCACGACCAACGGCACTATACCGCGCAAGAACCGCGAGTCCATGTCGTTTGCAGGGTTACGCAAGTCGTCAACTGGCTCGGTCGCGTCCATCTCATCAGTTGCTCAGCAAAATGACTCTGGTCCTTCGCATCGGTTCTCTGCGTTGTCGCCTTCCAAGGGCCTGAAGCTGCTCAGCCCCAAGTTGTCATTGCCAACGTCCCGGTCTTCCAACTCCTCTTCGACGCACAGCATACAGCAAGCCATGGCATCGCCCTCATCGAGCAGGCAGTCGTTGTCAACTCCTTCCCCCGCACCTAGTTCTATCGACGAGGATGAGTTACTAGGTGACGAAGAGATGATGCAGTACATTAAGAGGCAACACGCAAAGAAGCTCGCCAGCGGCGCCAACCAGGAAGACCTGGATGCCATGCTGAAGTTTCCGGAGCCGATTCCGCCGACGACTGCCGTCACTCCCGCTGGTGAGTTATGCGTGCTGTCATGTGAATGCCGCTCACGTTGTGCACAGCCCTTCTCAAGAGTACGCAAGCTCAGTACCTTTCGGACTTCGAGAAGCGGGAGATGCTAGATTACCCCTCTGTCTATTGCTATGGGGCACACAGCGACAAGAAACCTGCTACTGTCGACAATGCAACGAACAACCATGGTTATGACGATGACCGTGGTGATTACCTCGTCGTTAACCACGACCACTTGGCCTATCGGTACGAGGTGATTGACACACTGGGCAAGGGGTCTTTTGGACAAGTGCTGCATTGTCGCGACCACTGCACGGGTGAATCGGTGGCTGTCAAAATCATCCGTAACAAGAAGAGGTTCCACCACCAAGCCCTAGTGGAGATCAAGATTCTGGACAATCTACGCAAATGGGTACGGAGGACGGCACCCTGTTTGATATGCTTCGTACTCATCGCTTCCACAGGATCAGGAGGAAAAGCACCATGTTATCAAGATGACGGAGCATTTCTACTTCAGAAACCATCTCTGCATCGCTACGGAGCTTTTGAGCATCAACCTTTACGAGCTCATCAAGGCGAATGGCTTCGTTGGCTTCACCACTGCTCTGATTCGCCGCTTCACCAGTCAGATGCTACAGTCCCTATCCCTGATGCGTCATCATCACATTGTTCACTGCGATCTAAAGCCCGAGGTAGGAACGCAATCCTTCAACGAACGAACTGAACTAACTTCGATCTGTAGAATGTGCTGCTGAAACATCCTGCGAAGAGTGCCATCAAAGTCATCGACTTCGGCAGTAGCTGCTTCGAGCATGAGAAGAGTGAGTGAAGTGTGGTCGATGTTGTTTGTAGTCATTGACCCCTATCTAGTCTACACGTACATCCAGAGTCGGTTCTACCGGTCTCCAGAGGTCATTCTCGGGATGAATTACCACATGGCTATTGATATGTGGAGCTTGGGTTGTATCTTGGCCGAGTTGTACACGGGCTTCCCAATCTTCCCTGGCGAGAACGAGCAAGAGCAGTTGTCGTGTATCATGGAGGTCCTTGGCGTACCCGACAAGGATTTCATCAACCGCAGCTCGAGAAAGAGGCTATTCTTTGGTATGTGACACGGTCCAAAATGTGACCAACCGAACCCTCATTGCCGTTTAGATACGTCTGGTGCACCTCGTCCGGTAGTGAACTCCAAAGGTCGACGGAGAAGACCCGGGACGAAGAGCCTGGCTCAGGTCCTCCGTTGTGACGATGAAACATTCGTAGACTTCATTGCAAAATGCCTAGTATGGGACCCGGAGCGTAGGATGAAGCCACAAGCTGCGCTACGCCACCCTTTCGTTACTGCGGGTCGGAGAGCGAAGATCACTAGCCCTACCCCGGGGACGGCGAGGGCATTGCTGTCCTCAACAGCGAGCTTCACTAGCAGTCGTAGCAGCAAGCAAGTGACGGAGACTCCGAAGAAATCCATGATCAGCGCGCCGACGCCTCTCACCGCTCGTTCAACACGGACCACTGGTACAGTACCGAACACGCCCAGCAATTCTAGTTCTTTACATGCCGGTCTCGGATCATCAAGGACGTATCGCACATCGCAGGCGCAGTCGATATCGTCGTATCACTCCAGTCGCACTATGGTATGTACACCTCCATGTCATCCTGGACATAATGTTGATCGCGCCCCTCAGACTGCGAAGTGATCACCTGTTATCTGGCTTGCAGGACTCATCGCCCCTCTAGCAGAGCTCGCCAGAAATGCATATATTAATCATCACGCTGACGACCTTCAGGCTGGTCTGGTTTCCTCGCTGCATACCCCTCGGTTTTCTGTATCTTATTAGTACACATCGCTCTGAACTGCTCGTTTGATGACGATTTCTTACGCCGTTGTTGTTATTCGCTCCTCATCGTTACTACACAACTCATACTCGCATACTCATTCTGCATTCCAATATATCATGCTTGGCTTATACAAAGTCAAGCAGTTTTCAATTGCTGGATCATACCGCGGCATGCATCGAGTGTAAGGGCCCAGACGACTTGAAGTGCGACCAGCAAATACAGCGATCGATAGACCCTCAGCTTCTCGAAGATAAGTGTACACATGTATACGACTAAATCTCAGCATCGCCAGCATCGTCCAAGCAACGCAGCTTCAAAAACACGTCGCTCCCCCAACCATCCAAGGAAACGAAGTTCAGCGAGCCCCCAAAGTACAGTGCATATAGGCGACTCATTGGCAGCCCGTACCCCAGTCCAGCGATTGTGCCCATCCCCATTTGCAGTCCACGTCCGGTCATCTCCGTGAAGAGCCCACCACCCATCGAACCAGACCCGTCAATGGCCGCGCTACCGCCTACATGCTGCGCGGCGTAAGGACCGCCGCCGAGCCCTGCATCTTCCCAGCTCCCACCTTGCGAGGCTGCCTGTCTCCCGGCTGTTGTGAAGGAGTAGGAGAAGATTTGGGCGAGGTAGGCGGGTGGGACACCGCCTCCTTGGTCGCGGATGCGGAGGGAGAGGAAACGTTGGTGGGGAAGAGAGGACGGAGGTGGAGGTGATATCGTGACGACCACAGGAGGAATAGATGCTGAACTGGTATACTGCTTTGCATGGCGCTCGACGGTTGCGCGAAAGGAATTCTTGAGGATCTCTGTGAGGATGTACTCCAGGTGGACGGGGATGTAGCTGGGGACATTATGAACTTCCGCTTTGCATCGCAAAGGCGAGAAAATAGGACTTACGCGAACGTAGCGTCGACCTCCCCGTCTATGACGATCTCCGGGTGTGCGCCTAGCGTCGCCTCACAGAGGTCGCTCACCCACGATCCGCACATACGGACCATGTTCTGTGGCGAGCAGAACTTGTGTACGATGCCGAGATGGTCCGCCGCCATCTCTCCATCCTCTAGGGACCGAGACAGAGCGATATGTTGCTCAGCGATGAGGCGCACAGCAATCCGGCTACGAATGGCCTCATCGAGGAAGGTACTGATCTGCTCTGGGGTCATGTACCGCGCACATTCCTGGAACCTACAAAGAGATGTAGCGGTGCACGAGCAGAACGTCTGTGGACTCACCCTTTGGCCATTGTCGGTATGTCATTCGCATGGCTGGAGACCACTGCGTCCAGCTGCTCGGTGAATCGTTTGTTCTCCTCCAAGCTGTTCACAGCGGGATGTGTCGATAAGAAGCGGAAGCTCTGGCGGTACCTCTCGAGGGTACGCGCGACGAATGGGTTCATACCCACGATGAACGGCAGGCCCTCCAGGGCTCGAGCACGCCTTGCCAGACGACGAGGGATCTCCGTGAGCACATAGCCGACCGACTTGAGGACCGAGTCTGGGGTAACTGGGTCAGCTAGAGAGAGTAGGGTCGATAGAGTGAGTGGACGAGGAGGCTGCTTCGCGTGCTCCTCGATCAGGCGGGAGAGCTCAGCGGGCGTGAATGTCGTCTCAGCATGGCCCACAGGCAGAGTTGCTAATGTCCGCAGACAAAGGCGAGATCGTTTTGCTTGGGGGAAGCGGAAGGTAGAAGAGCGAAGTGACCGCTGCATCGTAACCCATGGTGGGCAGCAGCAAGCGGGCGCTCAGACCCCCGGTATGTATGACTCGCGACTTCGATTAAGTTACCATCCAGCTTGCATCCAGCTCAAACACACCAGTACTCAGCATAGCGATATGGAGTCCGTGACAATGAAAAATGAGTAAACGACGGAACATAACAGAGGACAGGAGACGACGACTACGTAAGAACTAGTTATACACCTGGTACAAGGGTCTGTAGAAGACGGTTTAGACGCTGCACTGTCGCGAGGAGACAAAGGAATACGTACGTGCTGGAGAACTTCGTCCCTTGCCGGACCACCTTCTCGACCGCATCGAGGAAGTCACGCTCAGTAGCGACCTTCCTCCGCGCACGGATGGCGAACATGCCCGCCTCCGTCGCGACCGATCGCAGCTCTGCACCAGTCGTGTTGGGACACAAGCGTGCGATCAGGTCGAACCGGATATCCCGCTCGCAGCTCATACTCCGTGCGTGGATACGCAAAATGTGTGCACGACCTTCCCCGTCAGGGAGCGAGAACTCTACCCTCCGGTCGAGTCGACCGGGCCGGAGAAGAGCAGGGTCTAGCGTGTCCGGTCTATACTATCGTCAGGACATCATTCATGACTAGGTTCAGACGCAGACTCACCGGTTTGTTGCCATCAGCACCTTGATGTTGCCACGAGGATCGAAACCATCCAGTTGGTTGATGAGTTCCAACATTGTTCGCTGGACTTCATTGTCACCTCCTGCGCCATCGTCGAACCGTGCGCCACCAATAGCGTCGACTTCGTCGAAGAAGATGATGCAGGCCTTCTTGCTGCGTGCCATCTCGAACAACTCTCGCACCATACGCGCACCCTCACCGACATATTTCTGCACCAGCTCGGAGCCAATCACTCGAATGAAGGTCGCGTCTGTTCGGTTCGCCACAGCACGGGCGCAAAGGGTCTTCCCAGTTCCAGGCGGACCAAAGAGAAGAACACCTTTCGGCGGGTCGATACCCAGGTTGACGAAACGCTCAGGCTGGTAATTCCTCAGTCAAGGTCGGTTGAGCGGAAGCCGGGGAACACTCACGGATAGCAATGGCGTCTCCACGACCTCTCGGAGCTTCTCAATTTGCTCCTTGCATCCACCAACGTCGGAGTAGGTCACATCAGGCTTCTCCTCGACCTGCATCATGGTGACCGAAGCATCGATCTTGGGAGGAAGCGGGATCTGGATCTGATACTTGTTCCGGTCGACGCTACGGATATACAGTAAGTCTCAGCCTGCGTGAGGGTGATCATAATTGCTCACCCTACACGCATACCCTCTTCAATATCTGTTGGCGCAACACGTTCCCCAAGGCCAACAACGAACTTGGCAATCTGCTTGATGTTGATCACATACTTGTCTTGCTCGTCGGCTCCTTTCTGACCCTGAGTAGCCCCGGCAGGGTTGAGAGCACGCGCTGCTGCTGCTGCCTCCGGGTTCACGGGGATGATCTTGGTACAGCGCGCGACCTGCAGAGGGTGCTCTTCGCCCATGCGCTGCCGGTCAACAGGGAGATCCCACAGGTTGGGAGAGGCGAGACCAGTATCAGACTCCTTGATACCTACGCAGGTCGACTGTTTGAACCAGTGCGGATACGCTCTCACATGGAGTCACTTACCGAGCTTCTCGTTCACGCGTTTCTGCACGTCCTTGATCTCCTGATCAATCTTCTTCAGTCTTGCGGCATACGGACCTTGTCCCTACATTGTGGGTGAGTTTGTATTCACAGAAGCAGAGCGAAGGACATACGTATGTCTTGAGAATCTGGATGTCGCTATCATCCAGGGCTGCCGAGAGTGTGAGTAGTTGAGTGGACCGCAGGTCAACCGCGCATACCTTTGATCTCCTTCTCTTCATCCTTGCTGTCTGCCTTCTTCTCCCCTGCGAGGCCGTCAGTACATACTTTCGACGCGCGTTCGGCTACGTACATTTTTCCCAGTCACTGCGAGTTGAACGTCAGACAACATCACAGATAGAATGATACACACTTACGACTTCGGCGGCATGTTGAACTAGTAGGACGGGTGGGTGTGGAGGAGGAAGATGAGAGGCGTTTGTCATGCGAAGGAGGACGCGTCAGTCACAGACGCGTCGCCGGACATAACGGGCGCTATCTCCGCCACCTTCCATAGATGGCACCCTCACGTGCACAGCCGCTACAGTGGGCGTCCCTGTATCTGACGCACTCAGCAGCAGCCCGTCGTCGCCCTTCTTGCTTCGCTCAACACCATGGCTGGCGCACTGTCAAACGCAAAGAAACACCTTCCCAAAGTCGCAGATGAGGACCACGAGTCGCGCTTTGGCTCCGTCTTCGGTGTCTCTGGACCCGTCGTCATCGCCGAGAAGATGACCGGAGCTGCGATGTACGAGCTCGTACGCGTCGGCCATGATGAGCTCGTGGGCGGTATGTCGTCCAGACCATCCCTTGACAGAAAGCTTACATGGATCCTTTGCAGAGGTTATTCGGATAGACGCGGATAAGGCTACTATCCAGGTCTATGAGGAGACCTCCGGAGTAACGGTCGGTGACCCTGTGTTGCGCACAGGGAAGCCTCTCAGTGTTGAGCTTGGACCGGGTGCGTGCCCTTGAGTTCGCTTACAGAGGCTCCTTTGCCGACCTCCTTCTAGGTCTCATGTCAAATATCGTCGATGGTATCCAGAGACCGCTTCGGGTAAGGTGTACCAGCTCGGGAATGTTGAGTAGTCGTTCATCATTCATGTCAGTCTATCCAAGAACTATCGAAGTCCATCTACATCCCTCGTGGTATCAACACCGAAGCTCTTGACCGTTCACTACAGTGGGACTTTAGCCCTATCAACTACAAGGTCAAGCCTCACGTTTCTTTGCTTCGTCCGATGTCGTCAGCTCATTGGGTTACACCGACCATGTAGGTCGGCGACCACATCTCTGGAGGAGATATCTATGGAAATGTATACGAAAACTCGCTTGTCAACGAGCACAAGATCATGCTTCCTCCTCGCGCTCTCGGAACCATCACCCACATCGCTGAGAAGGGTAGCTATGCTGTTGATGTGCGTTTGTTGAGATCAATCCGTCGTACTGTTGTTGACTCTGTGTCTTAGGACGTCGTACTGGAAACGGAGTTTGAAGGCAAGACCACGAAGCATACATTGATGCAGGTCTGGCCGGTCCGCGCACCTCGGCCTGTGACGGAGAAGCACACTGCGGACTATCCGCTCTTAACTGGGCAACGCATCCTAGACGCACTTTTCCCGTGCGTGTTCGCGTTGGTCGCTATATGGCTCGGTTTAATGGCGAATTTTGGTTGTCAGTTGCGTACAGGGCGGAACTACCGCTATCCCGGGTGCCTTCGGTTGTGGAAAAACTGTTATTTCGCAGGCTTTGTCCAAGTTCTCGAACAGCGACATTATCATCTACGTTGGTTGTGGTGAGCGTGGAAACGAGGTATGAGATATGCATCCTGATGTGTGCTATGTCGAGACTAAAACACACTGTAGATGGCCGAAGTCTTGATGGAGGTAAGTACTGCGGATCCAGTTGACTCAAGATCGATACTGAACATTGGCAAGTTCCCCGAACTCACATTGGAAGTCGGTGACCGTCAAGAACCGATCATGAAGCGTACCACGCTCGTCGCCAACACGTCGAACATGCCTGTCGCGGCGCGTGAGGCATCCATCTACACCGGTATCACACTCGCAGAGTATTTCCGTGACCAGGGCAGGAACGTCTCTATGATGGCTGACTCGACGTCACGATGGGCCGAGGCGTTGCGTGAAATCTCTGGTCGGTTGGCAGAAATGCCTGCCGATTCCGGTTACCCTGCCTACCTGGGTACCAAGCTTGCTAGCTTCTACGAACGTGCAGGAAAAGTGACCTGCTTGGGAAACCCCGTACGGCAGGGAACTGTCTCCATCGTTGGCGCGTGAGTAGGCTTGTCTTGTGATGCTTCCAGCTCTCATTGGTACATCTTTGTGCAGCGTCTCGCCTCCAGGTGGTGATTTCTCCGATCCAGTCACGTCTGCGACGCTTGGTATCGTGCAGGTCTTCTGGGGTCTTGACAAGAAGCTCGCACAACGGAAGCACTTCCCCTCCGTCAACTGGAATTTGTCCTACTCGAAGTACCTTAAGGTTCTCGACCCTCACTATGAGACGACCGAGCCAGGCTTCGTCGAGCTGCGCACGAAGACTAAGGAGATTCTTCAGAAGGAAGATGATCTCGCTGAGATCGTGCAGCTCGTCGGCAAGAGCGCCCTCGGCGAGAGCGACAAGATCACGTTGGAAGTGGCGCGTATGCTCAAGGACGACTTCCTGCAACAGAATGGTATGAGCGAGTACGACCGGTTCTGCCCGTTCTACAAGACAAGCGCGATGTTGCGGAACTTTGTGGCGTTCCACGACGCCGCCATCAAGACTGTCTCGACGGGTGACATCACCTTCGCCAAGATCAGGGACTCTGCTGGTGATATCATGTACAAGCTGTCCCAAATGAAGTTCGAGGTAAAGTATGCGCCTATGTAACTATGTCCGTGTAGCTGAACGTTGTGTGCATAGTCGCCGTCGCAAGGGAAGGATCCAATCAAGCAGAAGATGGACGCGCTTCACACCGAGATCCAGGAGAAGTTCCGTCAGATGGCAGAGTAAGATACCCAGAAGACTTTCCGTGTTGTAGCGTCTCCGGCACATCGTTTGTCCACGTCATTGACCAAATTTGCATCCACCATTATTCTATGGAACGCTGTGCATCCCTGCCTCATGTTAATGAACCACCAAAGTCTCATGAACATCACGAGGTGCGTCTCACAGGTGATTCAACGGAGGCACAAACGTTCGCTGAACATGCAACGTCCACGTCCGTTGAGACCTCGAGACCTCGCTCGGCGTCATGGGCATTCTGGCATGCGGCAGCTGTGCATTCCAGATGCGCAGCACAAGCGCAGCAGCCAGCGGATGTCAGAACCCAGAACATGATTTGACGACTATCGTAACACATCTTCCGTTGCTCCGACTCCTGGCATTGGCCGCTGACTGCGATTGCTACGCAGCGATACGTTCCCGGGACGCCCTTCTTGTGTGCGGCAGACACCAATGCACCCATCGGTATCTAATTTTCTCCGCCCAATCCGAATGCGGACCAAGGGAGCCGGTGGCGGCAGCTTGCCCTGCTGCGGACGTCTACACAATGGGCGGAAATATAGACTGCACAATCGTTTGGTAGACTCTACTGTATCTCCCCTTTTGAACCACCATGTTGCTGCGGCATGCACTCATAGCGATACTTTGGGTCGTGCTCGCGACAGCTGTCGCCGCTGCCGACCTCCTGGTGCAAGACGGGCAGGGTCTAGCCACTGCAATTGACTCGGTGAAGCTTGATACCATATATCAGGAACCGCAGCTCGAAGAATCCGCTGGGGACGCTTTAGCGTCTGACCACAAGACACCAGATGCATACCCTGCACTTGAGGACGGGGCCTGTCCGCAGTCTCAGCAGCAGTCCGTGTCTGAGCTAGGTAGCAAGACTATTTACCAAGCCCTCAAAGAAAATACCCAGTGAGCCTCGACTGGCACATTGATTCGCTGAACCTCCCATGCTGAATTCAATGCCGTAGTTATTTTCAAATCCTCGCCTTGGTCAACTTGACGGCAGACATTGTTAATATACTCAACGACACTTCTGCCAAGTGCGTACCGTCTGCGTTTCACATTGACCACAATTCTGACCGATCAATATGTAGCATCACGTTTTTTGCTCCTTCCAATGATGCGTTCTCTAGGCATAGGACCCACGGACATCATGGGGATCATGGGCGTATCCAGGACGCGTCCTCCCGCAAACCAGACGACTCGATGGAGCATGCGCATGACAATAATTCACCGCAGCGAGATAGTCGTGAATTCTATTCCCGCTGATGTTACTGGCCACTATTGACTATCGGTCTCTTGCTCTCCAGACGATATGTATGCGACGTCTGGCGTCATGGACGCACAGCTTGATCTCATGCATGCGATTGAACATATCATAACATTGCCTCCCCGCACACCTGAGGCGGCTACTCTTCCATCGGGTTTGGTCGGCATCGTTCGCCGCGTTCTCCTCTACCACATTGTGCCTTTCGCAGTTCCCTCTGCCAGGCTGGGCGAACATGCTACGCTTGCAACGAAGCTCACTCTGCGTGACGGCTCGCTCGACGGATCAGCCATGCGCGTTCAGACCACCCCAAAGTTCATCAATTCATATGCCACACTTCGGAGAGAACTCCGAGTATCCAACGGTGGGCGCCGTATTTGACTTTCAGTCGTCCGGCCCCTGCGATCGGTTGTCTTACCATCAATCGGCCACTCATCCCGCCACCCACCGTGTTCGAAGGATTGTTCCTTCTATCGGACGTATTCTCGACCTTCGTACGTTTAGCCTTATAAATGCTATAGCCTTCGTTGCTCATATACGCAGACCTCGGCCCTTGCGCGCATGGGTCTCACCGACGCAGTCGACTTTCGCAGAGACGCCGATGATCCAGTGGAAGGGTCGGCTGGCGTCACAGTATTTGCGCCAACTATGTAACAACGCTTTCAAGAAGCTTCCCAAGGACCTTCAAACCTTTTTGTTCTCGCCCGCTGGTAAATTGGCCTTGGAAAAGCTCCTTCGACTGCATATTATCCCGGGATCAATAATTCATTCGGGTCAGCTCAATAAGGAGGCTTTCACGAACATTAGCTGAGACTCCCCGCAGACTGGGTGCACAATGGTTCTGCGAGGGGCGTAGACTACAAACACGCCGAGTCAGGCGACATCTACGACGCCAGTATGTTGAAGTAACAGATGTCCTTGCGCCCTCGCGGACTGCACCGTACCCCCGAGCACGAGCACGGCCCTCTGTCCCATTTCGTTCACCCCGAACACCATTCTGGACCCTCGTTCGCTGGCGAATCAGACGCAGCCCTTCATCGGCCTGACCCTCGGTCGCATCATTGCCTTGACCCGTCCAACGGCAGAATCTACAACTCGGATTTTACTGCGCCTGCCGTCGGACGATTCTCCGATGATGACAGCAGGTACGAACGACCGGCTCCCCATGAGCGGGATCCTCCTCATGTGTCTCCTGCGAGCCAACCGCCTCCCCTTCCGCTGTATGACAGTCGTCGTCCTTGGCACATGTCGTCTCCTGGCCACCGCCACCATCATCATCCGCATTGGGAAGACAGCTCGGGTTTCGACGTAGACCTCGATGGTCATCCTGGTCCAGCTCCATGTCACGATTGACCCCTTCACCTGCACGACCATCCTCACCCCTATGAGCTTCCGTCACAGCCTGATCGTCATCCTTACGCCAACAAACGCAAACTCGATCATGGCTTTAAGGCAGATGCTCCGCATCTAGATCGCGGTCCCCCGGAGCACGCAGAGCGTCCCGTTCTGCTCGACTCGAAGAACATCTTGGTATCGACACTTCTGAGCAAGCAGTCTGCTGATTTGCGTATGGAACGCTGGAGAGGCCATGCACACGGGCTGCGCAGACACTCTGCGGCCTTCTCATACCATACAGTGGTTTACATCAACGGACTCCGTGTGAGAATCGCCGACGTCGTGGCTCGAAATGGCGCCATTCACGTCATCGACGAGCTGTTGATTCCTGTTCACACTAGGACTTTGGGCACGAAGAGCAAAAATGCCGTGGATCGTCATGGACAGAGATGGGAGAATTGGCCGCACTGGCTACCTGCATGGGCAAGCCAGGAATGATTAATGAGGGCCGGAAGTCATGAGGCTTTCACGTCTCAGAGGTCGCGTACATCATGGGTGATCAGGAGGCTACGTATATAGCGTACTGGTCTCGTATAATCCATCTTCTGACTCACTAGTCTCTTCGTCGTTTGGCTGGTCGTCGTTCCCTTGGCTGTCTTTGAGCTGCTGCATATGCAACTTAACTGCGCGCTTGCGATGAGGCCGTGTCCGAACATGCCCCTTCCACTGCGCTCCCTCCTCAATCATCACCGGACGCTCCTCGTCGCGCGTACAGACTGGGCACATTACTTTTCGTCGCGGCACAATACTGTGGCAAGTCAGTTACAGGAACAATTGATGCTGTACCATAGCTACTCACTCCTTGGGTTTTTTCTCTGTTAGGAGATCACGAGCTGTGTTAGACAACAGCATCGGATCTCGGAGCTCTTCAGAGTTTAGGAACGCTATGAAGAAGTCAACTCGGTATGTTATCTACACAGACTACCATAACTTACCGTCAGTAATGTCCTGTGCGGGTTTGAGAATGTTAGCGTCCCAATATGTTCCAAGCTCTGTCGTGAGATGAGACACTGAGCTTTCGCGATGGGGTAGGTGGCAAGCCTCACCCGTTGCGTCCAGCACGTAGGTCGGGACCACATCATAGTCTTCCTCGGCTCTACTTAAGGCATTTGCTGTTCGCGCTGCAGGCAATAGTTTGTTGCGAATCCACATGATTTGGCGCATCGCGTATCTGCGAGTGGCCGTTTTCATGTTTTGTAAGGCCTCTTGAAAGGTAGCGTCGTTGTGCGCTGGAGCGCTGAGGTAGTCGTGGAACTCTTTGAAGCCTGTAGAGAAGTCATGTCATTGAAGATGTCAGGATGCGGTCACTGTTACCGATTGACTGATAGATTCCCAAGGTATAATCTGTTTCGATCGTGTACCTCTCCGGCTCAATCTCCTCATTCGACTCTTCCTTGGCATCGGGATGAACTGTGTCGGCCGATAATTGCGTCCCGAGAGTTCTAATCTCATCGAGGAGACCTTGCTGTACGTGGCCGTCTAAGTAGAGGCGACAAGCGAGCATAGTATTGACACACCTCCACCATCTGATCAATCCGTGAATCGAGACGAGGCTTCAGGATGTCAGGCTTCGCATATAACCAGAACAGCAGTGTGCGATATCTGTACACCAGTGTCATTTTTGCTATGTTGGCCCTGAGATCAAGTACAACTCACGCACCTCGCGCTGGGAGCGGCTTGCGACTGCTCTGCCAGTATTTCACTCGAAAGCCGGCCGGCCTCCTTTACGATGGTCAGCTGACGCAAGGTCTTCCTCGTATCTCTCCAGTGCAATCGCTGCGCGATTTGTGGATCAAGCAATGATAACAGCTGATGCATCGCTGAAGCGAGCTCAGGTTGATCCGCCGCCGAGGGGGACTGGGTGGGAAGAGCATGGAACAGATTGAAAAGTTCTGGGGGAAGCGAAGACAAAGACTTCGCAAGGCCTTCCGAGAGAGAAGAACCGTCTGCAGACTCAGGGGAAGTACTGTCCAGGGATACTAGACGATTTGGAAAGAGTAGGTGCTGAATCCAATAGGACGTTCCGCCGACTACTATCGGTACTTGTCCCATTCGATGGGTCTCATCTATCTGACAGATACAATTCAAGTCAAATCAAAGAGAAAGATGCATGCTACTTACAATGCGTGTTGCATCCTTCACCCACTCCGTAATGATATACTGTTCTCCTGGTCGTTTGAAGCTCATTAGAAGATGATCGACACCTCGCATCTCCTCCATGGTGATCTTGTTCGTGATGATGTCCATGCCAGAGTACACCTGCATTGCATCTGCATTGATGATTCTTGCACCGCGATATTTATGTCTCGCATTGTCGGACCTTTGGGACAGTGCCAAGGCGAGTTCCACCGCAAGCTTCGACTTGCCCACTCCCGTCGTGCCACAAATGGCGATGATAGGTCGCAATGAGGTCATCATGGGTTCTTCACGGGTGTCATTACAGACCATGCGCGAGAAACCTTTCGGAGAGGACAGACTAGGGGCTGGCGGGAGGATATGAAAGGACGTTCAACAGATATTGCCTTTTGCGGAGAGAAGTGTTCCGCTCGAGTCGGGCGCCTGTGCATGCCGATCTTTGGCGCCCGCATTCGTCCTTTCCACAGCCATGTCCTTAGCTCGCTTTCGTGCGGTGCCAGGTCGCGTCCACTTGTTCAATCTCTCCCCTGCCGCCAACTCTCAACATAAAGTACGCGAGTTTCTTGCTCAAAGGCACAGTTCAGCTCATGTCATCTCTCACAGCAAAAACGTGTCGGACGTGGCCAGGGCTCCGGAAGAGGCGGGACGTCAGGACGAGGACACAAGGGCCAGAAAGCGCGCTCAGGCAATGGGAAGCCTAAGGCTGGCTTCGAGGGCGGTCAGACACCCATCACAAAGCTTATCCCGAAGCGAGGCTTCGTCAATGCGTATGTCTATCCACATGTGCACGTCACACATTCCGCTCATTCTTCGTACAGGGAAGGGAAAACTTGGGCACCCGTCAACTTGGACCGGATACAACATTGGGTAGACCAAGGCCGTCTGACGTCCTCACCAGAAAAGCCAATCACTGCCCGAGAACTGCTGTCAAGCGGTTGCATCCACAACGTTCATGACGGCATTAAGCTGCTGGCCAACGTAAGACAGCTCGTGTGCTCCCTCATCTCACTCATGCCTCAATGTTCGACAGGGCGTGGAGCATCTCAAGACTCCCATCCACATCACACCGTCGCGGGCGTCCCAGAGCGCCATCCGCGCCGTTGAGAAGATCGGAGGGACAGTGATATGCAAGCATTACAATGCTCTCGCTTTGCGCGACTGTGTACACGGCCGGACAGACAGGACAGAGGCAGCCCCTACAAATCGTAGAGACATTCGTGCGTATCTTGATCCTTCCGCCTTCGAACCGCGCTTATTGGTCTTGTAGTCTGGTATACATCGTGGAAGAACCGCGGATATCTCTCACCTGTAGCCATCAAGACTATGCCGGCTGTCGAGGAGCGTCGGAAGGTGTTGTCTGAGCAGCTCACGAAGTACAAGAAGCAGGCATTTGTGCAACAGAAGTAGATGTATCGGCATCCTGGTCCCATTTGGCATCTTCGCTGCGTACCTACTTAGAGCTCCATGGCTATAATCACCCTTCCATTTTATCGGGGGATATACTACGACTACGCGAACGATACCGAGGGCTACCGCCATTGAGACGGTCAGGCGAGATGCTCCGACTACGAGAGCGGTAAGGCGATCTTGATCCAGACCTCGACCTCGATGGTGTTCGGGAACGGAAGCCAGAGCCCATTGGAGACGGAGGTCTGGCATCCGGGCTGAGACTGCCCCCCTTGCTTGGATTGCGCCCCCGGCTACGGCTGCTCCTGCGGTCGGGGCTGCGACTCGGACTGCTGCTCGAGCTTCGACTCCGGTCGCTTCCGTGCTCGCTCTTGCCCTCCATTGCGTCCAACAGACGACTTTGGCGTGGGCCCATTTCGCCGTTATCTTCTAGAACATCTCGCTTCGTAAGGCGTGGCAAGATGATGTCGCACACTCGTTCTTCTACCAAGAGGTTGTCCACAAATTCGTCCATGAATGTGAGCGAGTAGCCATCTAAAAGACTTGTTAGCTCCCATTCTAAACTAACAAAGAGCACCATACTCATTCCACGATATCGCAATTTCCGGTAATCCTTCAGTAACGGCTCGAGAATCTCATATACCTCAACCGATCTGAAGGCCATGCGTATATACATAGTTGCCAACGCTCGTAGGTACCTTTCAGTAGGAGAACGTTCAGCTCATTTACTTCTGAAATGAGATGACAGACATGTAACTTACTTGAATTCATCGGCTTGAAGGTACTCCAAGAGAATCTCTTTCTGCGGTTGGAGCTGCAGTAGCTTCAATAGTAGGCAGAGAAACTCGGTTGGTTTCTGGTTGCCATACACGCCACCTATGCACTTGAGCTCTATAGCTTTGTCAATGAGAGACTCCGCTGCGATTCAACGGAGGGTCAGACTGCGAAACCAACGAAGCCTTCGCTCAGCGCACCTGTAAGGGCGAAGCAATGCTCCTTCCAATATGGCGACTCATAGATACGGTTCCGGATTACGGTTTCGACTAAGTACTGTGTGGTCAGTATTAGAAACCGTCCACTGACGCGACAAGCATGACATACCTGCGGGTTCTGGCCATGGATGGCTTCTGCGCCGCGGACAGTGGTGTTGGCCATGGTCAAGGCGTTATTTGTCCTTGTTAGAATTCAAAGCCTTTGCCTTATTCGGGCCCAGCTACTTCAAGAGCTTCGCTCCGGAGCCTGGTCACTGTAAGGTTCGACTGCTTCAATGAGCAACGCTTTCTCTGGCTGACTTTTCTTCAGATTTTGTGCGGAATCACTTTACCGTAAAAATGCAAATGTCAAGCACCATCTCGCTGTTGGTCCTCGGGATCTGTATTGGTCCTCGGTGAAGCTATGTACCCTTCTGTGGCATCCGAATTTGTGTCTGCGCGTTGACCTCCTCTGACAATTGTTGCGTTTCAACGCGGTGATATTGGGCCCTTTCTGTGAGCATACGACATCTCGAAAGGATAAGCTTCTGTTTGACTGGACTGACAGCGACAGAGGCCATGTCTGTAGGTCGCTCTGGGATTACAGTCCAGCTACGAAGTTTTGGTCGTGGATACTGAGACCATCCTGTTTATCTGCAGGCCATCCTAAGACAAATGCTTGGCCACTCTTATCAGAACGTAGCTCGGATGCGGTGCATGACCGGTACGTCCTGCGAATTGGCACCCTCCGCCAGGAACTCTCCAGTTTACTCACAGATGATGTTACAGTATGCGGTTGCAGAACGGCAGTCATGCACAGACATGTGGTCGCATCTTCACAAGGCACGGCGAGTGGTCAGGCCGGTCAGGCTGCAAACAACTGTAAAAGGGCCAACTCTTCGGAAGAGTCGTCCATCTACTGCTCAGGGACACCGATGAGTTGTATATGAAGTGTCATGGGATTTGGTGAGTCAACCGCTGGGAATAGTCGCATGTTCGCTACTGATATGTTAGCCTCGCAAAACGAGGCTCGTCAGTTGAAGGGACCCTCTACGGGCGACATCAGTGTCATCGATGGGCAAGCTACGTGCCTATAGCCATAGTGTCTGGGTTTATGCAGCACGCATCTCTCGACGGATCAGCTTATATGGCTGATCTCGAGTTGTCATGTTGAACTTCGCCACGTTGCGGAGCAGAGTGCCAAACCTGGATACCTGGTTACCTGGATAGCTCGTACCTCACTCTCGAAAGTGGTCGTCGTGCAATCGGTCAGTGGCCGGCTTACTACCACGCAGCACAGCTTGCTGACTTCTGGGGTGCAGAGGCTGTCGGTGTTGCATTTCGGTTGGGGGAAACGGAGTCTGGCGATGAGGAGGCAGATCGTCGGTTTGATGTAGTTTAGTCAATGTACATAGTCGGGACCTGAGATCTGAGAGGCCGAAGCCCGTTTGCCTCCTAACATCACCGTTGGATTGCGTTGCCGGGTCGTAGGTATCGCTGTCGCCGACTTTGACGCACAGGTGCCCGAGCTCGCGCCTTCCTTACACCGCGACTCCCGCTGCCTTGAGCTCTACACTCAACCGCCATGGCGTCCGTCGAAAGCGTGCCTGTTTACATGCTTCCGGGCATACCAGTCGCTCAGCCTTCACATTTGGAGGGTGATGCAAGCCTGGCGACCGAAATCCTCCCTGGGCCGCCACCGCTAGCCTCGGTACAGCATGCCGGCCAACCTAGGAAAGACCACAGGAAAACCCTGACGGTGCTTTCTTACTTGCCCGCCTCTGACCCAGGAACCACTTACGCAGGGCACATGGCGGCCCCCCTCGCCTCCGCGGCTGAGGCAGAGGGCCCTCGCAGAAAACGGGCAAGGCTGGAGCGAAGGTGAGTCTTCAGCACCTTGGAGGTGTACCCGGGTACTAAGCAACCGGTTTTGCGATCTTCTGTCCCCTCTTGTCTTCGTGCAATCATCAACTACGTGCGTATCGCGTACAACTTTATGGCCCTCAGCTCTGTCGCCAGCAGAGCACAGCGTGCGTCGGCGCGCAACCTGAATGCGACCGCCTCCGTGATGGATGCGTCAGCCCACCTCGAACCCATGGCGTCCTCCTCTCATCTCGTCCCTGACACCGACCCTACTTCTCTTGCCCTCGACTCTGACGATCCGGCGTTATCGCGATCCAACTCCGTTCCCCTGGGTGAGGATCCAGTACCAGGACAGAGTCATGCGAGGGGAGGGCCTGTTGCTCGCAAGGATAAAGGGAAGGGGAGAGAGAGGGATGCGGCTGTGAGGATCAAGGAGGAGCCTACTCTGGGGACATTGCCTTTGAACGACTATCCGGCCACAGGGGTGAGTCTTAGTCTCTGATCTGCCGTCCGGGCTGTCTATGCGTCTTCAAGGTACGCTAAATCCCCGCATTCCGCAGTCAAACGAAGATCACTGTTCGTCCTGTCGCTCACTCGGGGACCTCGTCTATTGCGACGGATGCCCGAGGGCATTCCATTTATGGTGTTTGGACCCGCCATTAGAGCCATCCGATCTACCAGAAGGCGAGACAAGCTGGTATTGTCCGGCTTGTACATTGCAGCAGGTTTGTGTCCCCCTACCATGTCTCATTTTGCGGACTCGTCGACCTTTTACATCCCTTCTAGAAACCCCCTCCCAAACCGCCAGCGTCACTGAAGTTCATGGCGCCCCTCATTGCCGAGCTGCAGGCGCGAATGCCGGTTGAGTTCCAACCACCATCAGATATCAGAACATACTTCAAGGATGGTGAATTGCCATTTGCGAGAGGGGCTGCTGCATTTCTGACTACTCTTTGTATGCAGTCGCGACAGGGCCACGGGGCACCTATATGGATAGTTCAGAGATTCGACCGCCTCGCTTCAAGTAGGTCCCTGCACATTGTCTGGACTTCCTATCCTAAACACACTATACAGCCGTCATGGGCAACTGGAGGATCGCGATCCTTATCGTTTAAAGGACAGAAACGGGGAACCGGTCCTTTGTTACAGGTGTGGTACGTCGGCTTTGCCTCCCGGAGTAGCTGCCTCTGCGCCAGCTGCCAAACGCGCGAGGAGAGAATCGTCGAGGTCCAGTCATTCAGAGAGCGGAAGGAGCATAGTCTCTTGTGACTACTGTCACCTTCATTGGCACCTGGATTGCGTAGATCCACCTATGTCGTGTATGCCGCCCTGGGGTAAGAAGTGGATGTGTCCGAATCACGCCGACCGCATATTTGTACGTCTACCACATTGCTTGCTGGACCTTGCACACTGACATATCATGACAGCAACCGAAGCGTCGTATACCGAAGGCCACTGCAACCCCTATCGACATCACCAAGCCTCGCCAGTCGAATAACGGGAACATCGAGATCATTCAACTAGAACCAACACCTGCCGCACCGAGTAAGATGACCGTCGACGAAGTCTTGATCAATGGCCGGCGTTATAGAGTGCCTGAGAGGGTCATAACGTTGGATTTCTGGACCAAAGTGGGTCGTGGGCAGAGACAGTACGATGAGTGCGTGATTTCGCCTGTGAGCTGTCCGCTATTCGGCTCACATGAACCTATAGACGTACAGACGATACAAGCGCATTGTCATCTCCATTGACGTCTCTGACCTCGTTAGCTGGGGATGACGACGACCATATCCCCGCAATCGACCCGTCAATACCCTTGTTCTCGCTCGAAGATATCCGCGTTGCACAGGTGTGTCATATCAGTTGATGAAAGAAAACCACACTGAAGCAGCGCGACCTTGCAGCTGTTAGCCGGTCTGCATCTAAGTCATGGTGCACCAAGCAGTAGTACCTCCCCTCCACCGTTAGTGTCAAACGGCGTCAACGGCACGTTCGAGTCCGCGGGCGCTTCTCAGTCCAACGTCCGGGATGGCTCTTTGAACGAAACGAGAGGGCGGGACCAGGTTAATGGCGCTGCGAAGGTGAGTACTGCTGCACTCGGCGAACCTCTGGTTCTCATTTCTGTATCGCAGCCCATCGTCAAAAAGGAGCCGACTGCTTCCAATTCTGTCCCAGGCGCTGATACGTCCAAGGCTGATGCATCCAAGGCAAGACAGACACCGGGGATGCGACCGCAGTCAGCGAGACGGAGTGCGCGCGGAGACGATGATGACTATAGACCCAATAATCGGGTGACCTTACCCGCCGCCTCAGCGTCGGCGCGCCGGCCTCGTGGTCGCAAGGATGAGGCCAAGCAGGAAGCGAACCATGTTCATGCGACTGAAGCAACTGCGCCAGCAGACTCTGTCTCTCAGGCTGTCTTAGCCGGTAACCACGCACTGACTGCAAATCAAGTGGAACTTCCGGCCCCGTCTGGGACGTCCATCTCGGCGAGGCCAAGGAAGGGGAAACGTCGAGCACGGAGACGAGCGTCTCCGGGGCAGCTAGGCCCGCGCAATGGTAGCAACGCGAACGACGGGTGGGATACTGTCGATTCCGAAGAGCCGGATACCCCATTGGCCCTCTCCTTGACAAGGATCCCGTCTGGTTCAAAGCAGGTTGACCATGTCAAGAAAGAACCTCAGTCTCGAGGCGTGGCAAGCACTCCATCTGTGCCGAGCTCCAAGGTTTCTGCACCGCCAGTGTCCTCTACTGCGAAGACAGGGGAGACCACTCCGTCTCTGAAGATTCGTTTGCCGGGCCTCGCGCATCTTAATCGCGCGGCGCTTTCCACCCTACCCAAACCCACCGCATCAGCGGATAGCCGCGAACTGCCGTCGATATCTACTGCCCCTTCACGGGGCCGGGCTCCACGGACCCCAAGAGCTAGCGCTGCTGTCGCTCCTCGTGAGCGGCGTTCCAGTCGACGAGACCGCACGTCCACCTCCGTTTCGCTGCACGAAGCCCCTGCAGCTAACGATGCAGATCATTAGGGCCGCCCTCGCGGTTTTCCCTCAGTCACGTATGTCATGTTCACTGCTGCGAAACGTTGTCTGACGAGTTCTAGATACTCCCACTATCGTTAACCGCACCATTAAGCCATACCCTCTGTCTGGTCATAAGTATATATTGTAAACGGTATAGCGAGCTGTAATGTGTCTGTGTATGACTTGCTACAATCAGGGCAGTCGCTCTGGCCTTAAAGTGCTCACACAAGTTATCAGCTTCATTATGAACGGCCTTCACGTCGTCAGCATTTGTCCAGCATTGCAACATAACTCTTATATGTCTATTTAGATTCGGTGAACTCAGTCGTTACTATTCGTCAGTGTGCTGTCTCAGTGTGCTGTCACAGTGTGCTGTCTCAGTGTGCTGTCACAGTGTGCTGTCACAGTGTACCTGATGGAAGTGCCAGAGTTGCTGCAGTATGTCATCGTTATTCTGAATCATCTGGATGTACCACTCCGGTAGATCTATCTGGGGGCAGTACGGCACTTGTACCAGCTGCGTCTGATTCAATTGTCGTTAGCCATCTGCCTGCATAGGTTCATAGTCCGCCCTTCAAGTAATTATCCAACTGTAGATCTCTTTTCGGTCGCCTCCACATCAATTTGTCTCCTGGCGGTCGCGTCGTAACTTACATCTCGTGTAGAAGGAACGACCAATTGGCGCGTGGGAACTGTGGCCGGTACCGATCTCAGAGCCCGCGAAACTGCCAGTATGTACTGTACAGTCACCACTTGACCGCGTGCACACTATGGCTGGGTGCCGCATCGCTACTCTAGGAACGCGCACCGATCCCCCGCTCCAAGTCAAGGGCTCACATACACCAGCGACCTATTGCATGACCGTTGCGTGAATGAGGACGAGGACACGTCCATGACGCACCAAGCCGCCGTTCGGAGCGACTCGGATTAGGCTCCGAGTGGCTGTAGGTCGGATGCAATGGATCAATAGGTTCGTCCTGTACACGGTCACTACTGCTGAAGAGGTCTTTATTAGGGTTTGAATCATCCACAACACTCTGTTATACCCTCGATACGGAGGTTCACCCGCATGGAAATCCGAAACACCCTGAGGCGCGGATGTACGGGTGCGTTGCAAACCTTTGTAGAGCGACCACTAGATTGATCAGCTGAATGACTACACTCCGTGTAGGTCAATCTAACACCGGTAGAGCTCTGTATGGCTATGACTGTGAGGGCTGTAGGAGAGACCCAAGGGACGCGTCAATTTCGTCACTGGGGTGGTTCCTATCCTCCTTACTGCGAAGAGCATACTGTAGATGGATTTGAGTATGCTGTCATACATCACTACGGAAGATTCTATGGCACACGTACAATCTGTACGCCCTGTACTCGACGAGATGATACAACCGTACCACCACCGGTATGTGCATACCAGTAATATTCGGCAGCCGTTTGTCTCGAGCGCCGTTCAGACGCCGTGATGCCATCCCATCCTGCGAATCATCGCTGGCATTCGAAGGCGCCCCCGTCTAGACAGTTCTATCGATAGGCAGAGGCTGTCCGGGTCCACAGAACCTTATTATATGCAGCAACGAGGCCGCCCTCGAGGACGTGTGGTCTGAGCGTGGCTTCGCTCTTGCGGTTCCCGTCCTCCGTTCGTATCCTCTCATCGTCTCCTTTCTCCTCAATCACTGGGCACAATGTCTCAGCGAGGCAGAGGTTCTTGTCGCAATTTCGCCACCACAGGAAGATGTCGGTTCGGCGACAGGTGCAGGTTTCAACATATTCGCGATCAGAGCCCATCGTCGAGTGACTTGCGTTCCCCTCAATCCCCAGCCAGGCAAAACGTCGCTGCCGGCGCACCCTATCGCGTCTGCAATTACTACTGGACGACGGGCAATTGCTCTCGAGGTTTCGAGTGTTCCTTCAAGCACGAACGCTCTCCCGCGACTGCTTCTGCCGCCGCTCCTGCAACAGAGGAGCAGGATGAAGATCCCGATATCTTCTCTGTCGAGGGGCTCGCTGCGGGTAATGGGGTAACCCGTGACGAGGGGTATAGCCTGACACCCAGCGATGCACATAACCACCTCAAGAATTTCTTGGCGGACAACTTCCGGTTTGATAACGCATCGCGGGTGCAAGGCTTCGTGCGTATCCTTGCGAGCATCAATGACCGCAACAAAGCATGGGTGAGTAGGACACTTGACGATGTGTCCCGAGTCCAATAGTGACATGGTGTACTCATCGTTACACAGAATTCTGAGAGTGCTCAAGTGAGTTGAATCACGGTATCATCGAAGATGCATCACTCTGAAACTATGTTCCAGGCATTCCTCGACGCCGTGGTGAACGTAAGTGCACGCCTACTTGCGTGGGTAAGTCAGCCTAATAGCATTATCGCAGGGGAATGCACTTCTACGAATCGGAGATGTCCTACGTTTTGAGCCTGTCGACACCGCGATCGGCCATGGCCGAGGCGCGCTCTCTTTCCAGAAGGGATATTTTCCGATTCTCCAGGTAAGTTAGGTTGCCCTCTTGAGATCGATGAGAGCTGACTGATGGTCGCCCAGTATTTTGCGTCCAATCTAGTGCTGAAAACCACGATGCACAAGAACATCAAGTAAGCCGTGATATGTGCTGCCTCCGATGCAGAACTGATCTCGTGTAGTCATCTCTACATAATGTTGAAGAACAACTATGACATTTTCCGCACGGTGCTACACACATCTCTGGGCAAAATGATCCAGGCGAAGTCGTGGAAAGATCCGACAGTAGGGATACCACAATCCCTGCAGAACAGCCTCGACGGCGTCACAGTCTTCCAAACCATTTCGACCGTTTTATATCAGTAAGTCAACGAATCTGAATTCCTTCCATACATGTCAGACTTACGTTCATGAAGGCTCTTCACTAGGTTCAAAGATGCGGTCCGTGACCACCCAGACATCGTACAACTGGTCCTGGATCTAGCAGCTTGGTTTGATAGCTGGGCGGATGACATATCGGCAAATTCACCTCGCTTCAATGACCCATTATCCTCCTCTCCGCCTAATATCAGAAAGCTCACCATCTCTCGCCTCGAAGAAGAGATCGCGCGCTTGAAGACGATCGTGCGGCGTGAGTCTGAGACGGCCGAGAGACTCAGGCGGCCCACGACAAGAGTAGTCTTGAGCCTGGCGCAAAGGCGAGAAGCGTTGTACTCTCAGCTGGCGCAGACCTACGACCCGCCTGGGTCTCTTCGCCCAGGAGGGCCCAGGCACGATAACGACATGGACAAGATCGCTGATATTCGTATTGCGCCCACTCATGGCGAGCTGCTCTCTCCTGTCGCTCCGTATCTGCCGGTCTTTCTGCCTGACGCGCCCCATCACCTTCCGACGAGTTCGATGGACAGGCACTTGGACATTCAGTTCCGCTTGCTCAGGGAAGAGTTGATGTCAGTGTCTCGATCTTTCCTCCGTACTGTTGCTTACATGGATACAGTGCGACGACGCGTTCATCGCTTGCGGCTATCCAAGCCGATCTAGATGTTATGTGGCGGCCTCGGAGACGAGGTCAACGGCCTCTTACCAAGCTAGAGGAGATACTCAAGACCAACGGTGGCGCTTACCGAACAACGGGATACGACTCAGTCTTCTTCCAGGTCTACACGGGCGTGGAATTCTCGCCCGTCAAGGCGGAGCGTCGGAACCTCACGGTTGGCCTTAGTTTCGACACACCTGATCATCGCAACGCAAGGGACAAGGACTGGAAAAAGCGTGTCGATTATTGGGAACATAGCAAGCGCCTGCAGAGCGGCAGCCTTGTCGCCCTCCTCATCGTGTCTCATGGCAGCGCTAGGATCTTCCTCGGTGTCGTCAGCTCGTTCTCCGGCGACATTGCTGAATCGGCAAAAGCAAGTGCGGAGCAGGTTCAAATCCGCATCTCGTTCTTTGATGCCGAGGTTGAGCTGATGGCTCTGCGGAAGGAGACGTTGTCCGTCGCTGGCAATGCATCTCGCTTCGCGCTTCTCATAGACAACAACGTCATGTTCGAGGCTTCTCGTCCCTTCCTAGAGCGGCTGCAGACCATCGAACCGACGGAAATCCCATTCGCACGCTATATCGCCCACAGCGGCTCCTTGGACAACGTACCCTTGAATCCTCCCCGATATGCAATGACACCTCGCTTCACCTACAAGCTCGATTGCCTCGCCAAGCCCGGCCATGCTGGCCGCATACAAGCATTGAATATCTTGCAGCCTGGCGCTAATGACATAGCTCGTCGTCAACTCCGTGACCATAGTGTGCTTGACCCCAGTCAGATTGAAGCCGTCGTCAACACGTTCAATCGCGAGGTGTCTCTGATTCAAGGGTATGTGTCACGCTTCTCTACGCTGCATCACAGTATTGATAGTGTAATTGGGCAGGCCACCAGGGACAGGAAAGGTGAGGTCTTATACTTATGTCCTAGTTACAGAGCACATGCAACTTACCACATGGTGTATCCTGCACAGAGTTATACGGCTAAGGAGACCCTCCGTGTTCTATTCGCCAGCAAGATCAGACCTATAGGTGGGGTTGCGAGTCCTAGAGTGTCAATTATGAACTAATACGCAGACCATAGTCCTCATCGCATACACAAATCATGCGCTGGATCATATGTTGACCTCGGTGCTCGATGCCAAGATCACTACCAAGCTTGTTCGCCTCGGCTCTCGCTCCTCTGATGAGCGGATCGCAGAATATACTCTGGATAAGCTGGAGAAAGTAGCCGGAGGCTCAGACATGCTCAGCCGACCAATGCGGCGCCAGTATGCGGCGATGAAGGAACTCGAGGAGCAGATGCAGAAAGTGATGGAGTCAATACAACTTCCAACTCTGACCTGGGAGAAGATAGAGGAGTATCTGACGATTCACTGTCCAGAGCACGCTGAACACCTAGAGGGCCCTCCATACTGGATCACTGCTCTTACAGAGCAACTGTGGAAAGAAGAGACAGAAAACGGAGAATGGATCACTCAGCCAAAGGGGAAGAAGAAGACTGACAATCATCTAGCACGCACGCTCTATGGATTCTGGAAGAACGGTACGGAAATTGACTTCATCAAACCACGGCCTGCCACACAGCCGGCGCAAGCTGCGACACATGACCCAGAAGTTAAGACCTTCTTTCAACTTCTTGGGTTCGACACGCTACCTCCTGTACCTGGTACTTCACGCCCTATTTCGACTCTCCTGGAGACGGCGAATGTATGGCAAATGTCACAGACGGAGCGAATACTGTTGGCCGCGGAATGGGAGAGAAGGATCCGTGAATTGGCATACAACTCTCACCTGAATCGGTATGAGGAGTTGCGTGAACGCTACAAGGCGGTATGCCAAGAATACACTGATATGAAGGACGAGGTACGTGTCCAAGCCTTACGCTTTAGTGCTGAGACCTACTTAATGCTGTTACCTTGTAAGGCACGTCGACGCCTTCTCAGTCAGACGGATTTGATAGGCTGCACTACTACGGGTATGTTTGTACGGCTTTTTCTGAGTTCACATCCCTGACTCTCGGGTAATTGTGCTTCAATAGGCGCGGCGAAACTTACCTCGCTACTCAGCGTACGTATGCCCGTAACCACTATCTATTGGCGTAGCCAACTGACCCTATTATACACCATAGAATATATCACCGAGAGTTCTCATGGTCGAAGAGGCCGGACAGGTCCTGGAAGCGCACATCCTTACATCGCTTGTCTCATCCGGTGAGTGACGATGTTGTCTCGGAAAATTAGAGTTATTGAACAGCTTGTCATCATTCATCAGTACATCACTTGATCTGCATTGGGGATCCGCAGCAACTACGACCAAACCTCGCAACATTTGGTGCGCCTGTACGGCAGCTTGTATAGCATCTACCCGCTGAAATACTTGATAGCGTTGTCAATGGACAGTGAACGCGGCAAACAGCTCTTCAAGTTTGACAGATCGTTGATGGAGAGACTCGCCGACGGAGGCCTTCCAATGTCGCAGATCAATATGCAGCGTAGGATGCGCCCGGAAATATCGCATTTCATCCGGTGCGCAATCCTTGATATCCCTGATCGCATAGTACACTCATATCTTGGCCAGTACCATTCTGTACCCGACGCTCGATGACCATGCCGTCGTCCAGAGCTATCCTCACGTCTCGGGTATGCTTAAGGATGTCCTCTTCTTTACCCATACGAACAGGGAGAATGGTTCGGATGACTCAGTCTCCAAATACAACGACTTCGAGGTAAGTATTGATTAGATTTGCAGACTATGTATACTCATTCATATGTAGGTCGAGATGATCCGGGATCTCGTCTTATATTTCTTGCGGCAAGGAGTCTATAATGGTGCAGGAGACATAGCTGTTCTTTGCGCGTACCTGGGGCAGTTGCAGAAGGTTCGCGCTGCCTTGCAGAACTTGAAGATCGCTGTCTCAGTCGATGAGAGAGACCAAGACCAGCTCGCTCGGCAGGGTATAGACGAAGAGACAGCATACGAAGAGGTGCTCGTCGCCAAACATGTGTGTATAGCTTTGCGACTCAGCAAATGCCAGTCTTTGTTGCTGAGACTCTCGTCGATAGGTCCGGCTAGGGACCGTGGATATATTCCAAGGACAAGAGGCCAAGATTGTGATTGTGTCCTTGGTGCGCAACTCTGGTACATACGAGACGGGCTCGGCGTCCATCGGATTTTTGAAGGTAACTCTACCTCGGAGGTCTACGTTCGATCTCTTGGAGCTTGTTATTCATTCTTTGCCAGAGTTCTAATCGCATCAATGTTGCGTTGTCGAGAGCAAAGCATGGACTCTACATCATGGGAAATGCTGCGAACCTCCGCAAGAATGAGACATGGTCAACAATTCTCAATGAGATGGAGGCACGCGACCAAGTTGTCCACGGTGTTCCGATCGTCTGCCCTCGGCATCCGGATCAGGTTCGAACTATCACGAAAGCTGGGGAGCTAAGTCGGCTGTCCCCAGGTGGCGGATGCCTGCTGCCGTGCGCATTCCGACTAGCATGCGGTCATATCTGTCCATCTGCGGTGCGTAGCGTATTCAGTTGCTGTGATTTGTAATTTGCTTCATAGTATTGTCCTTGCAGTGCCACTTCGCAGTTGACAATCACTCGAACACTAAATGCATGGAACGTTGCACGCGTACGCCTTGTCCACGCAGCCACCCATGCTCAAAACGCTGTTCGGATGATTGTGGGGATTGCGAGTTCCCCATGTATGGCATCAAACTTCCTTGCGGTCACATCAAGGACCACGTTCCCTGGTAGGAGCTCTTCACAGCAGGTCTTTCTCTCGACAGTTCTGATATTCAACTCTAGCCATATGATGGAGACTCTCGCCGAAGTGAAGTGCCAAGAGCCCGTCCGGAAGCAGCTGACACGATGCGAACATTCAGCCACAATCCAGTGCTGTAAGGATCCAGGGACTGTGTCATGCTCGGAACTGTGCGGCGGGGTGCTCTCTTGCTGTTCAAAGACTTGCAAGTCTGCATGCTCTGATTGCCAGGCATCAACACTCCTGGCATCAGCTGTTCCTCAGGCTACCACTACTAGGATTACACGAGACCAACACAAGCCTCACCCATGTGATCGTCCCCTCTACTGTCAACATCCATGCGGACTAGACTGCTCCCAGGATCACCACTGCAATACGAAGTGCAAGCAGGATTGCCGACAAGAGTGCATTCACCACAGATGCCCGAAGTCATGCCACGAGCCATGTGCACCTTGTATGGAGCCCTGTCCATGGTTCTGCGCACATCAATCGTGTCCGGTTGCTTGCGGATCGGTGCGTCTGATAGGTTCCAAGCAGGAGCACGACTCACGAAACAACCATATGGATTCAGATATGCTCCCGTCTGCCATGCGACGAACCATGTATGAATCAACTATCATGCGGACATCCATGCCCCTCAGGTAAGTGTCTTGTACTTTACGTTTGTATCCCTATTCAAGGCGGTATATGTTAGTCTGCGGAGAGCCATGTGCAAATCAGATATGCATTGTCTGCTTGCCCGCCGAGCGTCGCGCCGACATCGTCGATTTCATCATGCAGAGAAGACTGGACGAAGTCGACTTATCCTCGAGCGATCCGAGCGAACGCTTGATCGCTCTGGCCTGTGGCCATATCTTCACCGTGGAGACTTTAGACGGACACTGCGGAATGCCTTCGTACTACGAGGTCGACCCCTTGGGCCGGTTCATTTCGACTAAAGCACCACCGATCAACTACCAGTCGCCTCCTACATGCCCCGCCTGCCGTGGTCCAATCACCGCCCTGCGCTATGGCCGAGTAACGAAACGTGCGACCCTCGACATCCTTGAACAGAACGTCGCAAGCAGAATGTCTAGTTCACTCGAAGATCTCTCGCCCGCGATGGAGCAACTTGCCTCCGACTTGCATACTATGCAGGAGTTAGCGAAGATCCTTCGGAAGGCAGATGAGGTACCGGACTCGGAGTCGATGCGTGCCAGAGATGCTCAAGGCAAATCGACTGAGCCTCTCAGCCCTGCGCTGCTGACTCAAAACTCTATGGTCACGGTTCACGGACTTGACAAAGACGAGGCCAAGGCGTGGCAGGATATTGTCAAGGGTCTCGTGAAACTGTATCGGCGCACCGTCAATGTGGCGAACACTCGCGGTGCACATGTGAAGGCGTACGAAGCAGCGCTCACGACTCTCTACCACATGGAGATGGCAGCAATCGCTGACGACCCGTCGCGCGCGTCGGATACGCCAGAGCAGACCGCCTTCGAAGCTGTCAATATGAAGGTCGGACAGCCACCCCACAAGGCCGATACACGCTTCCAAATCGACGCTTACCTTCTGTCACTCGAGTTGCGCTTCATGCTGGCGCAGGTTGCGTCGAGCCGTGTTCAAGCCCTTCCCGTTGCGTCAGACAACACACATCGTCAGCGCTGGACATCCTTCATTGACTTCGTCCTCGAGTCGTGCGTCGCAGATGCGGGAAAGGCTCTAACCATGGCACAGAAGTCATCTGCATCTCGTCAGGCAGCACGATCGGCTGTCTACATCATCCGTTCCGAATTCGAGAGATTCAGGTCACAAATCATCGAGGAAAGAGCGGAGATGGCGAGAACGGGCGAACTGACCGCGGCTCGTCGGCAGATTTTGGTGGCGAAGGTCAAAGCGAAGAGCTCGGAGATGTCGAACGCTGTATCCAGACGCGAGGGAGAGTATATCCGCAGCAGGCCATCGCAGAGCATGCGAGGTCTGATAGAGGAGAGGGCGTGGTTCAAGGAGAACTGCGGAAGGAAAGTCGAACGCTGGCGGGAAGAATGCCTCGAGTTAGAGAAAGTCATGTCTAGCGACAAGTTCTACCAGCCCCTCTCCCTTCAAGAACGCGAGGACATCGTCAAAGCTTTCGGATTCTGTGAGCCTTGTCGGCAGGATCTGTATGATGTCCTTTCTCACTGACTCGAATTCCCAGCGCACCGAGGGCACTTCTATAATTGCGAGAATGGGCACACTTTTGTCATTACTGAGGTAAGTCAACTTCACTACTGGATTCAATTGTACGCTTGTTTGACATATGCTTTGTAGTGTGGTGGTGCCATGCAGAACGCCGTTTGTCCTGAATGCAGAGCGCCCATTGGTGGAATGGGCCATCAACTGAACTCCTCAAACACTCGCGCAAGAGAATTTGAGGACATAGCACGCATCCATGGCTCTGCTGACGGCGCGTTCCCCTGGACGAGGGATGCGTAATGCCGTTCTCTGGAAGTGATCAGTAGAGGGGGTCGAGTGGATATCCGACGCAACTTCGCCATGTACCAGATGATCTTGGAGCGACTCAGAGTGATAGCTTGAATGTTCGACGCGATTGCACGTACACATGTATTATTTTTGCTTACGAACTTGATGAACATCGCAATTCCCTGCAGCGACACATCAGCATGAGCCTGCGTGCCAAATGCTCATCTCACTAGGCTACTGAGAAGTTCGTTCACGATCGGATGTCCGGGCTAGGAGTCAATGATCTTGTGCAGATTGTTAACACGTAGTCACCTAGTAGAACCTACAACATTCGGCTCGTCCCAAATTCATCCGTTAATGTCCCTATGTTCACACTAGCAGATGACTCCTGGGTATCAGAGAGTATCGTCACCGACGGTTGGGAATGACACTTCAGTATCAGTAGTCACTCACCATTTCAACGCGGCGCTCGCCCAGCCTGTGACTCCGCGGGACGGCAGCCGTGACATCGACCGGGCTCCTACCAGCTCAGATGAGTAGAGCATACGGAGCCTTGCAGTACGAAACACACTTGACTTGGACTTGTCAGCAAAAGATCTTCTTCAGGCTCGGACAGTCGTTGACGTCATGGCAAACGTTGAGCTGCCCGGCTGGGACCTATGGATGACTTTCGTGTGTGGAAGTCAGTAAACACCCCGGATGTTCGCACTGACAATGCTGTCTATTTGGACGACCATAGATCAGAAACGTGCATGTCCTTCCCGCAACGCTAGATGTTCAACGGTTTCGCGAATCGTTGCGGGTCGCGCTGCAGTGGTACCCGCATGCAGCGGGCCGCCTGAAAAGCGGCGGTGCTCGCTGGTCTGTAAGCCAGTCCTGCATTGTATGAAAGCAAGCCTATGTTCTGACGAGCGTACTTTATCTCTGGCTAGATACTTCTGACGCAGTCTACCGTCCCCATCGAGGTTACGGTCCTAGAGTCAGTCAACGTGGGGATCCAGGACGACCACGTTGTACAAGGCGACCTGAAGCGGTACTTGCATTCGGAACAGGGCGCGGCGGACCCCGCCAACAACGACCAGCCATTGCTCTGGTTCAAAATGACAATGGCCAAGGAACAGGCGGCAATAGGCGTTTCCTGGAACCACATACTCGGTAAGACTGCAGATCGACCCCCTGCCTCCAAATCGCAGCGCAGTACGGCTGACGCGCGCGAACGTAGGAGACGCGACGACTTTCCTGCGGTTCATGCGAACTCTGTCTCACGCATATCAAGGTATCCCGTTGCCTGACCCAGCACCGACGTTCGCGAAACATACATTCCCGATACCTCCGCAAGAGACAATCGAGCAGCACGAGCCTCTAATGCCGCATCTCGCCCACACATACCACCGATCTGAGCTCGCAGCCCAGTACGCGGGTATGAACCGGGACGTCGTGCGCGTCGACGTTCGAGTTTCGGGAGCGGCGCTCGGACGTCTCGTAGACGTGGTCCGTGCACGCACTAGGGAACGCGCAGTCTCGAGGCAAGACTGCCTGACTGCGTACGTCGTGACGGTCTTGAACCGGTGTGGCGCGGGGTCCATCGATGTCGTGGCGAACGCAGCGAGCGTGAGTACCTCGTTCCGGTGTGAGCAGCTGAGCATTGAGCCCTATTTGTGCGTTTGAGTATCGAAACATTGCCGCACCGTGGATCGATGCTGCGGTCGCAGGCAACCCGATCTATATCGTACGTGGTGTCCGTTTCGTCCTTGCAGTCCACGAGCCCAATTTTGAGTCCTTCGCAGGTCCGTACAGATCTCGGAAGAGGCGCTCAGAGGCTCAGCGACATCGCCCTGACCATCCGCCGGTCGATCGAGAAGTGGAGGGAACCCGCGTTCATCGGCGCACATATGTCCGTCGCGAGCCAGCTCATGCTCGGCGCGGCCAACGCCAGGCGCTCGATGTTCTTCGCCGCAGAGCTTGGCGTACTGTCTGTGAACTCCAACTTGTCGTGAGTGCGCAGGAACAGACGCGCGCGAATACGCTTCGCTGAGCAGCATCTAGCTTGGACTGGCAATCCGCGGATTTCGGGTATCCCAGCAGGGCGAGGTTTCATACGTCCGGAATAAATGAGAGGTACCTCCGCACGTTCCACGTTAACCCAGACCCCAAGGATCATGGGCAGGGAGAGAATATCGAGATGTCCTTCGGAGTATCGACTTCGCTTCGAGACAAAGTCGTGGACATGCTGGCAACCGAGCTAGATAGCACGGCGTTTCCTGTGAACCTAGACGTGTTATGAGATTCAATTATACCTAGCGGAGGATACGGGTCTGCGCTGCGACTCCCTCCGCACCTATATGCACTTCGAAGCCCGAGCACGATGTTAGACTTGTCCGACTCGAATAGAACGCTTGGAAATCCCAGGGCAGGCGGGCCGGGGTTCATTGGCGGGCCATAGTACATCATGGTGGCGTTGGCAGGCTGTAGGCATGGAATTCGGCATCAACCTGAATAGTTGTACGGCAAAGCTTGCGTGGCGGTGCTTGCAGCGCCGTACGGAGTCGTCGAGGCGATTGTATCGGCGCCAGGAAGGGAGCATGTATCACCGCTGGGTTCGACCCCTGGCCCTCGAGCTCCGTCCGTACTTTCGCCTCGACGTTGAGCTGCAGCTCGAGGTACGAGCACATCTTGCACTGCATTGTTTTTGATTTGCCGAGGTGCAGACGCGTCTTGGCCAGAGGTGCCCCCACACTTGTCACTCGTCGAATCAGGTATCATCACAGATGACTCCTGACGCGACCATGCAAGCGGAGACGAAGAATGGGTGGACCGGCGAGCCGCGGGAAGTGGGATACCAAGATTCGAGTCGCTGGAGCATGTTGAGGGCGGAGGAATGCAGTATGCGGTTCGGTGGAGAGCGCACGCGGTGGTCAGCGCGAGGGATGGCGACGATACTTGTGTGCTCGTCGTACGCATTGGACTGAAGATAGACCACTTTAGTCGATGATCGAATGGTTGCTACATCAGATGGGTCACTCACCACTACGCTACGTGCCATGCCCACCACTGCCGCTCGACAGTACCCGGGCCTATGCCAGTTGCACCGGAAGCCATCCAGAATGCAGCCCGGATGCGGTCACCCGCGCAGAGCGCAACGCATGCATCGCTAGGCTGCATACCTGAAGTCCCCAGTACGCCCGCTCGGCCAGGCACTGTGAAGGTAGCGTAGCGATGCTATACCGGAAGAACGGGATGTTTAAGCATGCCGCCGGGAGTGTTTCTGCAGCTGCTCGAAGACCTTCCTTATCAAAACATGGGGATGTGATCTGCGAGAAAGGATTAAGACGGGGGTGGAACCGTAGATGACGAGCACTCACCTCTTTCTGAAGGGCGGCTCGGGGATCCGTCGACACTCCTCACTTGACGCAGAACCAAGAATACTGAAGGTGTATGCTGCGCTCCATGCCACTGTATATTTGATCAGTCTACAGGCAGTCTGGAACTCGTCAGAAACACCTACCTCGTCATTGTACTCGCCGTGCTCTTGAGTCTGTCGTCTGCACTCTGCACCCGAGGCTCCGAAGGGTACTCAGGGCACTACACTGGCGCAAGGAGTACGAGAAGTTGATAATTCGAGAGGCCGAGAATTGAGGAGACAACGAGGGTGTGTCGCGCGTCGAGCTGATGGTGAGGCGAAGTGTCCGTCGCGCAACACCGTAAGTCGCGTCGGCATGTGACACATCCGACGCGTCGCGTCACGGGTGTAACTCTGTGACTCTGTGACCTGGGTATACATCATCTACGAGTCTTAGAGCGCGCAGAATCTGCGTGAGGCAGCTATGTAAGAGTTGGAGGGCGTTGTCCCTATGGCCACGCGTTCCTTCCCGTGCTGTTGGTTGTGCTTAGAAAAAGTTCAGGATTCAAAGGCGGGCAGCAAGTCGGTTTGCAATCGGTCATTGTGTGCCAAGAAAGAAACCGTGTCCGCCTGAAATGACCACAAGTATCGTGGCTTTGAGTGGGAGTCACCGTTTGCTACATCATACAAGTACACTGAAGGCGTTGACATACTTGTCGGAGATCATGAGAACCAGCCCTTCGGCTTATGGTCTCCGTCCTCCGTAGCCTCTCCATCCCTCTTCTTCCGAAGCTCCTCCAAGATGCTCTTCACACCTTCTACATCTCCCACAGCAGCCCGGCCAGCATCCCAGTTGACCACAATTGGCCACTTGAGAGCATGGAGGTTCTGCGTGGCGAGTTTCGCAAAGTCTTCAGTGCTGGTGGGTCGCGCCTCCACCGTCGGATGAGAGGAGACAAGGACGTCTGGTGAGACGCCGCCCGACGCAGAAGTTGCGGCTGGGATGTATGATAGGATAGTCCGTAGCTGATCACTAGTTGGGGGCTTGTTCTCGACGACCTCGAGATTGAACTTCAGAGGAGGCGCATTCGGCTTGGAGGGAGGGTACGGGGAAGACAACGCTGCGCGGAGGAGCTGCAACGCGGTTATAGACGGGGGAGAGGATGTGCTATGACTACACGCAATGAAATTAGCAAAGAGTAAGAGCTGACGAGATGACCAGGCTACGCAGAGACGTACAATATGGATATTTGCGGCTGTTACGACGAGCGATGAATGTAGGCAGTCAGTAAACGAGCGACACACGACTTACGACAGATCGTATGAATGCTGAGAACATGCCGTGAGAAGCGAATTAGTGGTAGGATGATTGGGGTCGTGAATGGGGAAAAGCAAGGTAGGAGGAGAATGTGAGTGACGACCCGGCCGATGACGCCAGTTGACCGCGTTGCGGCACGTGCATCAGTACGGCGCCCCGAAGAGAACGGCAATGTATGTATACTTACCTCTGTTTCTTGCTCCTCCTTCCTCCGCTCTCTTCTCCGGGACCAGAACATCTACTTTACCAGCTTGCGTGCGATGGCCAGTACGGTGGTCGACGCGGGGCAGCCGCCTTACGGGCGTCTGCAGGCTGCCGCGCATGATCGATCGCAGATCTGGAAGTCCTTCCCCACATCCACCGACATCCGCTCGCGGAACGACCGCACTTGAGCTTGGACTATCACAACCACCACGCTCAGCCACGCTCAGCCCAATCCGACTGCTCATCGCGGCCCCCATGCACTTCATCCGACGAGCTCACCATCCCCCTTCGCGGCCACGCGACCCCGCGAATGTCACCGAGGCAGAGCGCTCGGCGTACATATGCTCGACACCTCCATCTTGATACGCTATCTCTTCCTGCCATTGCGCTCGTGTGCCTCGCTCTCCTGAACTTGTGGACGACATATCTAGCGGTCTCTCGGTCAAGCCAGAGACCACTGATCCGCACTGTGTCTGCCTCTTCTCAGGTGCATCTCCGTGTTAGCGCTCCTGAGAGCACGAGGGTCTTCGACCGAGGCAGCCTTAAAGGTGTATGTGCCTTCATCCATTTCTTGTAGCGCGTCCCTGCCCTTTGCTTACATCCAACCTCAACCAGAGACCGGTGTCTTGTCTGATCAGGCTCAATGCCGTTATACCTCTGTGTGGACTGTGGCGGCTCGAAGGCTGCCGCTGTCATCGCCGATGAGACGGGCAACCCCGTCGCCCGTGCCCTCGGAGGCCCCTCCAACTTTGCATACCTCGGCTTGGAGGCCTTCGTTGCTGTTGTGAAGGAGACCGTCGAGAGCGCTCTCAAAGCTTGCGATCCATCTGTGCTGAAAGCCAATGGTACGTCTGCCTTCGGTTTGTCGGACGCATCCCTGTCTGACTACCTCGGCGACAGGAATCGATTCTTCAACACAGCTGACCCTTCCTCCTCCGGAAGGAAAGTCTTACCTGGCTGCCGCCTGGCTCGGTGTCTCTGGATGCGACTCGCCGCAAGCCGTCGCTGACATCACTCCTGCTGTCGAAGCCCTCCTCGGTGTCCGTCCGCGCGTTGCGAATGACACGCATCTCCTCGCTGCGCCTATGACGCTCTATCCCGACGTGACCGGTGCTGTAGCTGTTGTGGCAGGGACAGGTGGGATTGTCGTGAGCTTCCGTGAGGCGGTGCAGAAGGAGACCGGAGAGAAGGCGGGGCTGGAGGAGCTCGGGCGGTGTGGAGGATGGGGCTGGATATTGGGCGACGAGGGAGGTGGCTTCCATGTTGGGCGGGAGGCTATTCGGCAGGTGCTCGACGAGGCAGATCGGGCCTCCGTGAAACCCAAAACGACCGAGGTAAGCGGGAGGCAGAAACCACGCACACACATGCTTGAGTAACTAAACTCTACATACAGACGTCTACTCCATCCGAGAAGCCATGGGGTCTCCGCCAACGCGTTCTCGCCCGCTTCGGCATCACCGACGTCTACGAGCTCCTCACCATCGTGCACAAGCCCGACCCCGCGCCCATCTCCCCCTCCACACTTGCGCCCGCGAGCTCCGACGCGACACTATCGCTCTGGCCGACGCCGCCGACCTTCGACCCTGCGATGGCGAAGGACGGCCTCCTCCCGATGACCGCGATGCCGCGCGAGAAGCGGCTCTCCTCGCTCAGCCCGCTCGTGTTCGCCGCGGCGTTCGAGGACGGCGACCCACTCGCGATCCGCGTCCTCCAGGCGACGTCCAGCGCGCTCGTCGACCAGATCTGCGTGCTGCTCCGCACGGAGGAGCGGTCGTCTGAGGGAGAGCGCCGCATCAGGGCGGCGGAGAGCATCCTGTGCATGGGCGGCTCATTGAGCGGCGTGGACGCGTATCGGAAGCTGATCGTGGACGAGCTGGAGAGGAGGGGACATGTGTTCCGCCGTGTGCAGGTTGTGGACGATGCGGCGGCTGTGGGGGCGAAGGCTCTGACGCTTATGAAGACGTAATTGGGGGCAGGACGAGGAATGAACAATCAAGTATATGGATCTTTGTACATCTACGTCTGCGCGTGGGGCTTGATTAACTTTGGATAGTTCATGTAGGAACGTAATCATCTTGTTCGTTTTCGTTCTTGATAGCACAGACAATGACGCTGGATCTGCGAGAGGCATCATCACATTGGAGTTCCTGATGCCTATGCGTATACATCGTCGGCCGTGAACAACACAGACGGAGACTAGATGAAAGGATCCGAGGCCTGGCGTAGTACGTTTAACTCAAAGAGCCGTAAGACCACCAAGTGCGACCTACGATCAGGCAAGGTGTGCCAGTGATTGTTCCGTGCAATGTCGCGGTGTCCCATGCTCCCGAGGCCGTAACGTCCGCAGCGGTGCCGTGTATGTTACCATGAGGCTACGAGCGGTATCATCACAACCGTGGGCCCCAGGACGCCGACGTACTGTGGTGTGGCACATCCGCCCTCGCCCGCACCTGCAGGGGTTCCGCGCGATTGACCATGTAATGCATGAAGAACCTCTTGAAGCTATTAGACCCTCTGCACTCCGGCTGTTGCACCGCCCCCAACGTCCCGAGCTTCAGGGCTGAGATGATCGCAAGGTAGTTCTTCTTCTCCCCCTTCCGCTGCAGCTCGCGCAGCACCCGAACAAGCTCGAGGGTGAAGGCCCCGCGCTGGGTGCCCCCTCGGTCCGCCACTTCGTGGGCCAGCTGGTGCTTGCCGCATGCGGCGAGGACGACGTACGTGTGCTGGCTGACGCCCTTGGTACGGGGCTGGGTGTCGGGATCCGAATGCCGCTGAGTGACGCTGACTTTCGCGGCTTTGCGGACGATGGTCTCGTCGAGGTTGGCGGGGACAACAGGCGGGTAGAGGGCGACGGGGTACGACACACGAACGGACCCGGTGGCAATCCAGCCGCCCTGGGTCCAGTAAGAGCCCGCCCGTATCCACCCAGGTTTCCAGGGAGCCAAAGGAGTCCTTATACTCCAAGGGATCCTCGTCTGCCATGGATCGTCGGGGAATACGCCACCCGAGTGACAGGAATCGAGCACTACAACCTGCAACACAGTGTGAACGCGTACTATTCCCGGTAGACAACTCACACTTACAACATTGCATTTTTTCTCTTGTTCTAAATCTCCAAACAGCCGCTGCAACGTACGTTGAGGAATACCAAACACCGGGAAATCGTCGCCTTGCGTGAGCTTGAATGTGTATGTCCCTTCGTCGTACGGACATATCGACTCGACGAAGTCGGTGCCGCGTTTCTGCGCACCTGTTCGCGCGGTCTGTGGGATTGTGACTCGAGCACCGTGTCCCGCGAAGTAGAACAGCGCGACACTTCGCTGCGTAATCCTATGATTTTTGATGAAGATCTCTTCGAAGCTTTCCAGTATCTCCGAACGAGTCGCCACCTTGTCGTGGAGCATCTTGATGTTCCGTTGCGGGACGTGGAGGGTGTCCCTCAGGAACCTGTAGACATCAACGGAGTCATTTCGACAACCGTTCAGACGGCGAAATAATTCGGGGTCCTCGTATTCGTCGATACCAATTATTAGTGCCCATATGTCTTCTCCTTGTACTCGTTCCATGACTAAGGTCTGCATCGGGCCTTCCTGCTGTTGAGAGTATGAACGATGCTTCGTTCGTGCATTGCTGTACACAGAAAAAAATAATCAATCGACGTATGTTTAGAAACAGATGACGGGTACATTCAACCCGATACTAGGGGAAGAACCACTTACTAGGGAATGTAAACAGCTGGCATGCCTTGAATGAGGCCATTCTCGCTGGGAACCAGTGGCAGTTGTCCGTGGTAGGCCATGCACAGAGAGTGAGGGGGCATCAGGCATTCTGTGTGGACCGGAGGTTATGAGGATATATCAGCGCCTTCTCATCCGACTCCCATGCTATGTCAGACTGCATTCTTTGATATCGCTATGTCAGAATGTCGTTCAGGCCACACTGACAGCAAACGTTCAAACCACTTCAGGTATCGACCGTGCCCCAGGTGATCCCTTGACGACCCTGAGAACCATTGCGAGATTGCCACGTACACCGGGTGTAAGCACGCATGGAAGAGTTCCACTCACATAAGACTGAGTCAGGAGCCGATACGTATGCAAGCCCTTTGTAATCTCTAGAGAGGTGTGGATCTGTGGCCATGAAGACATTAGCCAATGCATCGAATTTCCAATGTTGGCGAGATACCTAGCATGGTCTTGCAAGCAAGCGCGATGAAACTGCTCGATGACTATGTATGAGAGCTTGGACAAGGCCTTATTAACCTTGCAGTCGACGACAGAGCCTGAGAATAATTAAGATCGCCACCAGGAAATGGCCTATCGGAGAGTAGTAACGCCGCGGACGTCGACGGTACTCTGGGCCGGCGGCGTTGATTCTTGTTCCGACTCGAAAGCAACAGTGTCAGTGAATGGCTTGGGCAGCATTCGATCTTGGTAAGAACTGCCTTATACTGGACAGACATGAAGAGGAAGCCCGGGCGACACCGCCGCCGCGGCGTCGAACCTTGTTCTGATCAGGTTTCATCCGACGGTGATAGGATCTGTATCTAGATCGTCCGGATCACTGGAGAAGCGCCACACGCAGGATTCGACGAGCCGTCGAAGCGAACGTTCGACATCAGCTCCTGCCAGTGCTGTTCAAGTGCTCTTGAATAACGTTGAAGCTTGCCGTCGCAGTGTGTCCAGTGTAGACATGGCGGCCATCCCTCTCAAGGATATCGTGCAGGAATGGCTTCGTCTCGACAAGGTGGATCTATAATCATAACCAATGCACTGTACATGATCTGACTGATGAGTCGACTACGATCCAAGAATCAAGACACGCGCAACGAGATTGAACGTCTGTGGAACGCGGGAGACTCTGTTGAATTGGAGCGGCGGTTGAGGTTTGCAGTGTCTGTGGATTCTTTGTCAGTGCGGTACGGCTTACTCCCGAACACGATCCTTTGTAGGAATGGTATTGAGTTCGGGACGGCAGGTAGGTCGTATATTAGTAGCAGGTCTCTCTGGCCTTAACAGCCTGCGATTTTGTCAGGCTTACGGGGGAGAATGGAAGCGGGCTTCTCCCGCATGAACGACCTAATCATCATACAAGCCTCCCAAGTCCGTACATCGCCATATCCTGTATGCATAAGACCTCAACGTCCCTTGATTTCGAATGGCTAGGGCCTATGCCAATACGTCTTGCGGACCGTCGGAAACGCTGCAGAGCGAGGGGTGGTTGTCGGACATGACCACAGACACCATTCCGAGAAATGGGCACAATTGACCGCTGCGGCGTTTCTCAAGAACGGTGTCAAGGTCTACCTCCATGAAGGCCTCGTGCACACACCGTTGTAAGCTCACTCAGAGGTCTGTATGGATGTAGCATAACCTGAAGGTTGAATGTACAGGGTACCGTTCAGCGTGAAGAAGCTGGGTGCTGCCTGCGGTGTCATGATCACAGGTGGGGTAATCTCCTACGCATATGTTCGTGAAATCCCATATTTACCAAGACATACGTAGCAAGTCACAATCCAAAGGCAAGTCTGAGCCTCCATGTGTATCATGCCAATGGAAGTCTAGCTTTACATATCTTTAACTTAGGACGATAATGGCTACAAGGTGAGCGTATCTCTTCGCTTTGAATGGCGCAAAATTCAACCTGGGCAAGGTCTACTGGGAGAATGCGGTCCAGGTATGTGTCGGTCCATCGGTTAGCTACTATGTGATTGACTCACGCCTCCCAGATCATTGAACCTCACGACAAAGGAATAGCAGCATCCATCAAGGCCAATCCCGAACCTCAGACGTGGGACTTCCAATCCACTCAGTCCTCACCACTCTGCCTCGACCGGACCAACGATATGCGGGAAGCATATTTTGCACATCTTGCCTCCCTCTGTCTCAGGAAGTCTGTCCCGATTCGTCTCCTCCCGGCCCATCGCATGCTGATCATAGGACGCAGATCTCTTAATGGGAGTACCCCTGTCAAGTTTGTCAATACATCAATGCACGGCGTTAGCCATCCTTTTGCAACACGAGCTTTCGAAGTATTCGGGCTCCCCGCTTTCGTACCCGTGGAGGAGCAGCGACTCCCGGATCCGGACTTCCCGACGGTCAGATTCCCGAACCCTGAGGAGAAGGGTGAGCAGCTTGTATCATATATCAAGGCCTTTTGACTAGCTAACTACGGTGCCCCGGTATTCAGGCGCTTTGGTGCGTAACGTCACCGCCGCGATGAGCCCCAACAGAGGCTTACGACGTACCAAAGGATCTGGCGATGAGCACCGCAGACAAGTGTAGTGCTGGCTATGTGCTCGCGCAGGATCCTGACGCAGATCGCTTCGCGGCTGCTGAACGAAGGTGAGCTATTGTCGCCGAAACGTTCGGTTCAGTGTCGCTCAAGCCTCGCAGACCAGACGGGAAGTGGGCCCAATTTACTGGTGATCAGCTTGGCGCGCTCTTCGCAAGTGCTGCTTTGGACCGCTACAAATCTTCTGGCAAGCCGTTGGGTACGTTTGCACTTCATGTCATCTCCATGGAATCCTTGAATCAACATTGGATATCACAGCGAAACTTGCCATGGTTGCGTCTACAGTGAGTTCGAAAATGATTGAAGCTATGGCACACACAGAGGGGTTCAAATTTGTCGAATGCCTCACTGGTAAGCGTTTCCGAGCGCGTGTCGAATCGTGCCGGAGAGTGATAAGTGTCCTGTAGGCTTCAAGTTCATCGGCAACACCGCCCTGCAATTGGTACAAGAAGGCTACGAGGTACCTTTCGGGTACGAGGAGGCGATTGGGTTCATGTTTGGCTCTGAGATCAGGGACAAGGACGGTGTGGCCGCAACGGTGCGTGAAAGCAGTGCGAGTCTTGATATAGGTCATGACACGGGGCCTATACAGGTGATGTTCGCAGAGCTGGTCGCTTCACTAGAAGTGCAGGGCAAGTCGGCCAGTCAACACCTTCAAGAGCTATACAAGCGGTACCAGAGTCTCCCGCTTTTCAGTTTGAGTGTGATACTGACATCATGCTTTCGCTAGCTACGGATTCTTCCAAGTGAGATCTTTGGCGTGACGAGGGCCCCGGCTGCGCACGCACTGACCTACTCACCCTCAGACGAGCAACAGCTACTTCATCTGCAGCGACCCTCCGACAATCCAGCAGATCTTCACAAGGTTACGCAACTACGACGGAGCGGTACGGCAGGCGATCGTCTCTTGCTAACCTCCCCACGGCTCAAGCAGCTCACACGAAGATTTCTCTAGGGAACTCCGGAGCGTCCAAGCTATCCGAAGACGATCGCAGGACTAACCGTCACGAGCGTGCGGGACCTCACGATTGGGTACGACAGCTCGAATCCGCCGACGTACAAACCCACGCTGCCGCTCTCGTCGGGCCAGATGGTTCAGTTCAGGGCTGAGTCGCCGGCGAAGGGGACGAAGATCACGCTCACCACGAGGTGTGTACCGCAAAACCATCGCATGCTATGATTAACAACTGGACTGACGCGCAACCGATGTTCAGGACAAGTGGAACAGAACCGAAGGTCAGTGACGTAGCCTCGAGAAGCAAAGCCGAGGTTAACGGGTACATGCTAGATCAAATACTACCTTGAGGGTAGCGGCAAGGATGAGGAAGCGGTGAGATCACTCTTACCGAAGGTCGTCAATGAGCTGGCCGACGAGTGGATGGAAGCAGGGAAGCATGGACTAGCTAGGGGTTAGGCCGAAAGTTGCTCGACAGGACGCTGCTGCCCTTGCCTGTCGTCCCAATTTGAATGGCGAGCAATTCGAATCGTCACACCAGTCAGAGAAGAGAAGAGAAGATAGACAACAGTTGAGCCTGAAACGAAAGCGACAGCAGCCAGTGGAAGGGTACAGTCGATAGCGTTCGAATCCAGTCAGCGATAATATACATGTGCTTCCAACTACTGTCCGGGGACTGCCTGAGACATCGCAGCTTGACCAGCTGCCGTTGCTGCCAGGCGCGATCGTTTCCTCTCCGCCTCTATAGAACACTGTCATCAAATACCTATCAGCATGTATCCAGATGTCAGACTTACCAGCCTCCTTCTCGCGCTCGATCTCCTGGACAGCTGCTTCGATTTCAGACTGCTCCAAGGCCTGGAACAAGAAGGACGCTGAGGACCCGTATATGGGGAAGAAACAAGAGAAGGACATACGGTGATCTTGCCATAGCTCTCCATGATGTTGATCTCAATGTTCTTTGCACCCGTCTGCACGACTTCGAGCAAGCTCTTGATTGTCAGCTTGATCGTCTCATCCCGGCTCAGGTCGTCCTTGTGGTTCTTCTCAAGGAATTCGCGGACTGTCTTCGAGGAGCGACCAATTGCATTTGCCTATACACGAAGTGACCAAAGTCAGTCAGGGCATGAATACGCAGGCAGGTATAACTTCACCTTCCACGCGCTGTAGGTTCCACCAGGCTCAGTCTGGTAAAGTCGAGGCCGGGTATCATTGGGATCGAAGCCAACAATGAGGGTAGACACTCCGAATGGCCGGACACCTCCAGATTGTGTGTATTTCTGCAGCTGCGTCAGAAGCAGTGGTACATAATCTGGCGACGACGCACTTGCTGGATACCGGCGATATGTCTCGTAATGTATTCCACGGTGACAGGATCTTCCACCGTTAGTCGGTGACTTTGACATTCTACACGCGCTTTGTCAATGAGGACTCGGCCATCAGCATTGAGACCTATTGGCGTATACATGAGTGGCGGAGCGAAGCATTTAGGGCAGCCTACTCACCGGCGAAGGCAAGGCATATATGATCATCAAGCATCGCGACCTTCCTCACTGTCCGTGGGTCCTGTAGCTGCAGGACCGACTTCTTCTCTACACCCAAAACGACGACATCCTTCCCTCGGAGGCCTACCTGCAGCAAAGTATGAGCCTCTGGGTCCCAGATGAGCGCGGGCAGCTTACAGCACATGTGCCTTTCTTGACGGCTTCCAGCGCATACTCGACCTACATCACGCGGTAACGTTAGTTAAGTCTCCTCGCACGAGTCTATACAGACTCACCTGGAACAAGTGACCGTCCGGCGAGAAGACGGTGAGGGCTAAGATGTTCGCCCAGTTAGACCCATGTTACTCGAGCCATAAGAATGAGCATACCGCGATCGTAAGACCTGGACATTCTGGTAAGCTAGTACGAGGATGAGACAGAGTTCGGATTGGGACAGAGCGAGACAGAGCTCGGTGTGTTAGTCGACCGACGCGCGTCGAGCTTGCGTCGCCTCGGTCACGTGTTGGACGCGTCGCGCCTGCCCAATGCGGCCCCGGCGCTGCCGCCTTCCTCACTGACCACCACTCCAGGCGGTAGCCACATCACCTAGCCGGGGCAGGCGAGGCCCAGACTGAGCCGCCCAGTCAACAACACCTCATCCTCGGATGGCCTCGTATGCAATTTGGGCTCATACCAAGTCAGCCTCGTCTTATAAGTTTGCATTCCAGGGCCTCCGCGACATGTCAGCTCTGCGGTGAAGATCTCAGCGCCAAAGCACTCGCGCAGAGGCAGGCCCATTACGATGAACACTTCTCATATGAGCGTGAAGGTACGCAGTGTCATACAGAGTCAATGGATGGTTAATCACAGACCGTACCCAGTACCTCATGTGCACGGATCGAGATCCGACGGGCTGAAAGCTTGGTTTACGCCCTATGTTGCCAACAAGGGCAAGCCGGAGACGCAGAATATATTCTGGTATCCCCCACAGACTCAATCACCTCCCCGTAACTTCAGCCCAGGTACCTCATGGAGCCTTCGCGTCCTCCCGTGCTCATGCCCGCCCCTTGACAGGACTTATCTCCGTACTCAAGAGAGCCTTGATCGACTCTCACGAGAAGAGCAAGACACGGAAGGCTTGGCTTTGTCATGCCCAAGCGGTACATATCCAAGGTGAAGGTTTCGACAGGACATGGGGCTGTGGGTAGGTCATACCGTCGTACCGGTAGCAACTTGTTGATTGACAGCTCAGCTACCGCAATTTCCTCATGGGCTGCGCGTCACTGATGGTTCAAACTAAGCAACCTCTATACTTCCCTCTATTGGATCATCCATATCCTCCGGGCGTTCGGAACTTACAGAGGCTCATTGAGGAGGCATGGTCAGCAGGTATGGATGATGTCCAGCCTTGCGTCCAGGGCATGAACTGTCTGTGCCCAGGTTTCGATCAAGAGGGCGCCCAACAGCTGAAACGACACCTCCTTGGCACCGGGAAGTACATTGGGACCGGAGGTACTTCGTCCTCGCCTTCGCGTGGCCTTTGCTCATGTTCCAACAGAGCTCTATGTTGCCTTCACGTATCGAGGGGTCCCGTAAGTAGTCTCAAACGCGTTCCCCTTTACATAATTCATCATCTGGCTAGATCACAGCTAGTGGACTTCGACTTGAAGGACGGTCAGTTACCGCCGTATTATTGTGACCACGGGGACTTCAACATATCGTCTGCGTCTGATTAGGTCCCGATCCACTGCTGAACTGGGTCCTGCAGTATTTCTCAGATGGGGCATCTGTACCGCGAGCAACACTCAGTGTAGAGGCATTGCGGGATGTCGTGATGGTCACGGACAAGATGCCTCTCGTGCTCCAACACGATGGTCATTCCCGGACCATTGTCGGTTGTGAGCGATGTCCCAACGGTTCCCTCAACCTTCTGGTCTTCGACCCGTCGAGGTCAGGTTCACCATTTTCCCTACACGTGCAGTAGTTGAGCCATCCCTGCATAGACATATTCCCGCGGAAATACGCGCGGCAGGTCTAGCGGATTGGCACAATGGTTCGTCGCGCATGGATCATGTTGACACAACGAACGATCTGCCAAGACATCCTACGGCGTCGAAAGTGCTGCATGAAGTCGCGCATCCCATACGAACCATCAAGTCACATCACAAGCGCAAAGCGGAAGATCCTCCAATGGACTCGTCCACGAAGAAACAACGAGCGGATCACGCGCATAACGATGCGGACGACGTTGCGCATGCGTATGAAGGTGGAGGGGCGTCTGCGGTTTATCCTTCTTTGGACGCGAGCAAGGTTCTCAGCGTCTTCAGGCTGGGACTGAATCGCCTCAAGTAAGGATCGCGCAGAGTCATCTGTTTCATGAGTTGGCTGACTACGCAGTGCAGGCGGAAGAACAAGTACCAGATCTTGTACTTTCCATTGACAGAACCCCTCAACGAGGAGCAGCGCTGGTCAAGACGCGATCTGACCTGCTTGAAGGTTGTGTAGGCTCCGGGTATTTGTCTTCTTGCTCTTGAATGGGTCGTTGCTGCGACCGAGTCGCCGAAGTCATTTTTAGATCATAGACTGAATTTCTTTTTTATGTTCGTTGCGAATTTGACCGTCTTGGATGTATAGGGACTATCGAACAGTAGTAATACGTAGTATACAGTTCTTGCATGGCATGTCGCAATACGCCTCGATTGCGATTGTTTGGGGAGCGCGATGTTTGTGTTCGCAAGACGATTTCAGGTCACGCCAATATGGCGAGATAAAGCAAGCGAATGAATCGATGAAGGTTCGCCATCGCTAGGCGACATGTGAGTAGTGTCTGTGAATGCCAGAAATTTGACACATGCATTTCATCAGAAGTTACGGGCCATGAACAATGTTCAACGTCGGGTGGTGAATGCTACGTTGTTGAGAATATACGTCAAGACGACAACCCATCATTCTCCAGCAGGGCCAACATGGCCCGTACGACCGGGTTACCCGAGCCTATGTCAAGCATTGTGCCTTCATCTATACACTGCTTCAGCTGTATATCGAGAAGTCGGCTGTCACAGGTCATCAGTACAAGCCACACCATTTCGAGCTTCGAGTACACATACCGTAGCTGATTGACGAGTACACCAATACGGGGCCAGGCTTTAAGCTTCACGAAAGCGTCCCTCGTACCGATCGTCAGGCCGCCTCCGATGTGGTTCACAGCGACGGTTCCGCCGAACAAGAGAAGTGCGTATATCGGAACCTTTGAGACCATTGTGATACAAGACGATCAACATGAACACTAAGACCAACCTCCGTAGCATCCCTCAGGAACACTTTGCTAGTTGCTTGCTTCTGGAAATAGACTGCAAATGATGCGCGCCATGCCGCCTCGCTGAAGAGGACAGACGAAGGGTGCACAAAGACTCTCTCGCCGCCCTTGAGATCGTACAAACGAAACTCACGGGCGGTATTATCGCGCTGCACGGTACCTGCCTGGACGCGGTCGAACTTCACTGCCGATCGTGGCAACACCGCCCGAGCGACTTGCGGCCACAGTGCTCCGAGGATCACCGCTTTCAACAGGTTCTCCTGCTTGGAGTTCGCGTTCAGCAACTGATCGTGGAGTTTGGTCGAAGGCGGGACGAATCCAAGCTCCACGAGAGAGGCAAAGAAATCTTGCCTGAGGGAGGTAATGTCACGGATCGTAGGCGGCGAGATGAAGTGCTACAAAAGGGAGAATTGTGGTCACGGAGAAATATTATAGCAAGTAGATACCACACACCTCTTCGCAGAAAGATCGTATACTGCTTTGCGATTTCCCCTGGTCGCGGAGGCGATGACATTCGTCATATGCGTGCATATCGGTCAATAAGTCGCTGTTGCCGGTAGCGAAACGAGCTCTCGCTCTAAGCAAAAGTCAGAGATCCATGGAACCTTTGAGATCCTGAATGCGCACTGGGTGGCTTCATCCCTCTTTTCCATTGGACTCACGAACAGAGGTTTCGAAGACAGCATTGCTGCTATTGTTAGGATTGATCCCAGGCATTGAAAAATAGTGCCCAGAATCATCATCTACGCGCTGTCAGCCATATTTACGATCGAGATGTCACGCTGGTCATACCTTCCCGAGCCTCAGGTCCACTGGTAACATAGCCTGTTGTAGTTTTAGCGTGCGTCACTGCGCGGACAGGTTTGCGTACCATGTGTCGCCCCAGTGGTGTGAGCTCTCCATCCGTCCCTATAGCCCCGAGATTCTCAAGCGTCAATAGAGCAGCGTCAACTGCGCTTAATTCCGGTGGGTCGATGGCACGAGAAAGGAACGCCTAGAATATGGTCGCAACGTCGCACTTCGTGCAACATCAAGAGACATACCTTTACATCACGATGAACTACCTTGACCGTCAGCGCGATACTGTCCAGGGAGACTCGTTGTATCTCCGGAACGGGGAACGCAGCCATCTTCTGCTCTTGCAATCTTGTATATAGCTTGTAGCAGACACCAGGTCGGGTACGGCCAGCACGGCCTCTACGCTGCTTCGCGGCAGCGCGAGTCACCCATTGTTCCTCAAGGCTAGTGAGACCTCGCTGCGGGTCGTAGCGTGTCTCCTTGACCTTCCCGCAGTCTACGACGTAGACAACGTCGTCGATGGTAATAGATGTCTAGTCGTCGTCAATGTGGGTAGTATCGAAACCTCTGGGATGGTTCGTACCTCTGCAACGTTTGTAGCTGCGACGACCTTCCAGCCTTGCACCGGTGCAAATACACGACGCTGTTCATCATTTGATAGATTTGCGTGCAGTGGTAACACGTGCGTCTCTGGGATACTTCGAAGTCGCTCCGTACATTGTCGGATTTCTTGTACTCCAGGCAAGAATATAAGAATCGCTCCTCGCTTGCCGGAAGTCAACACGATGTTTTCAACGAGGGCATAGACAAGCTGAGTGGTATCAGCATTTAATCTGCGGATGATGGGGAAACGCTGTTACATACATCGTAATCAATTCGATCCGAACGACTGATTGCTTGAATAGCCTTCACAGTTTCGTCGTCCAAACCTTTCGCGGCGAGATCATCATGAAGCTTCTTGCCTTCTTCCTCGGCTTCCTTACCCTTCCTGGTACGCGCCGACGAGGATGGTCGATAGTTAACATGAGACATGAAGTCCTCGAGATACCTGAACGACCGTCAAGTGAACTGAACATATGGCCGGGGGCCCAGTTACGTACCTATCCTCTACAGGGTGCGCGAAACCAGGTATAGCCAAGAGGGGAGCGTTGCCGAAGTACTTCACAAAGGTCTCATGGTTGATGGTGGCGGACATGAGAATAACTTTGAGCTTCGGATGAGTTCGCAATAGCTCCTTGAGCTCGAGCAAGAGGAGGTCCCCGTCCACCGAACGTTCATGCACCTGGTTTCATGGCTGCAATCAGTTACACGACTATGAAAGCCGTTGTATGGGGGACATACCTCATCCACGATGATGTGTGTCACATTCTCCAGCCTGTCTCCTGTACCAAGACGTCTCAAGACGACACCGGTAGTGCAGAAGAGTACCTTCGTTCTGTGGTCTTGCTTGCTCTCACCGCGAATAGCATATCCTATTGAGCCATCTTCTAGCCGTTCTGTAGAGACCCGCGCGGCGACTCCGATCGCTGACAACCTTCGTGGCTGGGTGACAATGATCGACGCGTTCGATCCTTGTCCGTCGAGTATCATTGAGTCCAATACGAATTGGGGAACTGGACATCCACCATTAGAGTATGGTATCAATCTCAGTTGTATCAGACGTACGCTGAGTTGTCTTCCCGCAACCTAGACACATTGGTGAGCGGGTGCACATCATTAGCAAAACAGGAAAAGCCTACCTGTCTCTCCGACCACCACAACGCATCTACTCCTTTCCAACATGTCTAGGAACTGGTCTCGAGCGGAAAAAGCGGGTAGCCTCTGTCTGACGGCAAGTGTTTGTAAATACTTAGCGTCCCTTGTGAGCTTGACGAAGTCCTCCTTCACGCGGGCATCTGAGCGGTCGTCCTGCCTCCGCACGACACGTTTCCGCCCGCCACTGCGCTTCTGTGTGGTTGTAGCACTCTGTACCTCCTTGTCGGCAGGGTTCGTTTGCCAAAGATCAGGCGTGAGGTGTTGCAGGACGACAGCCATGTCGGGGGGATCTTGATCTTCAATAGAGACCCACTCTTCCTCTAGCAGTCGTATAGCACCCATGATGACGCTTTCGCCTTCCTCAGGCAGGGAACCGTCCTTCATAGCAACCAGAAACCTCGAAACTAAGTGTAGTCGAATATACGCGGGGACAGAGGTAGATGCGATGTACATCGCTGGAGGATAGTCACGGCGGATCCTGCCAGACGATATGACGATGACGAGCTTGAAGGGAGCGACGGGCAATGGGACGACCAATTGATTGTTCTCGGCTCTGTAAGCACCGAAGGCTTCCAGTTCATCAACGTCGATGGTTTCGCCATACTGCACCGAGTCGGAGGACTGTCCTTTGGTGAGACTAGACCAGTCGTCGCCGAGCAATCGTCGGTTCAGGGCCGACACGAGTAGCTCCCAATTATTGGCTAGCGCCTCGTGTGTCATGCACTCCTTCACGACGTGAGCGGGCCATCCGCATTCTTTGATGGCCTTTTCTTCGGCCCAGCGTGTTTTGATATCAGCAGTTCCTGCGTGCGTAGCGGTGACGAACGAATTCGAGGAGTTGACAGTGGGTAGGAAGCGCTGGGGTAGGTCGCATTCAGGAACTTGGAGGATGAGATACTCGATGCAAGCTTGCAAAGGAGGATTCGATCGTAACAATGAGGACGTGATTGGAGATACTTGCGACAGCACCGTTATGGTATTGCGTGCCTGCCCAGGCTTGAACCCCAAAGCGGTAAGTTGTTGGAGAAGATGCTGGGTCTCTTCGGCTGGAATCACTACCGGAAAAGCGTCCTCCATTTCTGGATACAGCGCTATTGCCTATGACATCGAGGTGAGCAATTGTATGCGAATTTGTAAATTCTATACCTTCTTGATACTGTCCTCGACTAAATCCCGCAAGGAGCCGGCCATCTTCGCCTCCGGGGCGTTCTCAAATTCTCTGGAAACATGCTTTCCGTCCCTGGCAGTGTTGTCATCGAACGAGCTGGCTTCCCTCTTCTGGACAACTTTCGCTTGGCGTTCGTCGACCGCCTTGCGAGCTGCGAAAGGGTCGGCATCGTACATCCATTTCTGATGTTCTAGAGCGTTCTTGTGTTCAGCGGCCAGCGCGTTCCAATAGTCGCGCGGACCAGATGGGAGCACTCGATTGAGCTGAATCCCGTTACAAAACTGATCAAACCGGACGTATCCGTGACTGTCCATCCATTGAAACGAGGCACACTAACGCGATACAGCGCATATGTCGCACCCCAATGACGGGCTTCAAGCGCACTAGGTAGCACATAAGGAGGATGGGGCTCCAGACGCACAGTCTCCTTCTGAGAGGTTTTCTTGTTCATTCTGCTCAGAGTTACTGCGAAAGAATACCCGTCTGCTTGTTTCCGCTGCAGACAACAATGCTGAGATATTTTCTTAGTCGAGAAAATGAGAGACTCACTGTGTCAACGATAGGTTTGCCCCACCCGTTCTTTTGGCATCTAAGACACCAAGAGTGAGCTGGGACTCAGTTCGTGGGATACAGACTGCAGGCATGCAGTAACAGCCCACACAGTACCACGGATCAGATGCTTAGAGAATAGTGGCCTACCAACCTCTCGTTCAGTAGACTCAGCGGGTACTTGGAACCCGGAGGGAAAAGCGGCTTCTCGTCAGTGGATTGAACAGGCTGTACGAGGGGCGTCTTCGAAGGTTTGGATGAATTCCCGGTGTTTCCAGACTTGACGACTCCCCTTGGGGGCATTGTGGATCTGCGGACAAGAACAAGGCTCTGGGGAAATGTTGTAAAGCCTTTGCGGCAGTAACATGTGGGATGTATGCACACCAGAGAGTCAGAGACTGCGCTGACACTGACAATGTCCATCGGCTCCTTATGTCCAGTATTATCTGACTTGAGAGTCCGCAATCGTGAGTAGATGAAAACCACCGCTTTCGGGACGTAAAACTGAAGGATAATTATACTCCACCGGAGTCACAATAGCGTAAGGCATTTGAAACACCGATGAGTCCATCACTGTAACGTCCGGACTCTGACCAACTGAACTCAGTTGCAAGTCCTCACGCACATGAGCAAATGCCATGCATGTTCACCAGTGCTCTGCGCCGTCGCTGCGAATAATTATAGCGCTGCAGCGTAGTGACATTAAACAATATGCATGTAAGTACTAGTACGTACATAGACTCCCAGAACTGTGTTATCAGAATGCCGATACATAGCCTCATCGCCGAGCCGTCTTCTGAATGGGACGCGATACTTGCCGAGTTCGCAGCTCGAGGATCCCAGCTGCTTGCGCTGCGTGGGTCCCACTGTTCGCGGGTGAAGAGGTCTGTTCCCGGCTTGCGGAGGAAGGCCGTGGGGATTGCTGTGTGCCGGAGGGCCCTGCATCCTCAGGCCCTGGCCGACCGCTGTGACTGTCGGACGGGCGGTTTACGCTGAGGAACAGAGGTGAGATTGATCGTCCTACCAGCAATACAAAGGGGAGAAAGGACGTACTCGTGTTCGGACGTATACAGAGTCTGATCGGCGTACTCCATGTCGTCGTCTTCCTCTGCGCTAGATACCTCGAAGGGTATGGCCCCCTCTGGAGCAACGTAGGAGGGCGAACGAGACTGCTGCCTACCACGCGCATGCGCGACAGAAGATGCACGTCGCTGATGCGCACCCATGTGTCTTGCTCTCTTGTGCGGAGGCGTGTCCATGTCCTCGTTGTCCCGCCGCGGGGAGTCAACGGGCTCGGACTGTCGCTGACGGGGTGCTGGTCCTTCGGCTTGCTGATTTCCCGCTCCATCCTCAGCCTGCTCTTGTGCGGCGTTGCCGTCACCTTCTTCCTCGAGCTCGCCTTCTCTGTTTGGCCCGAAGCGGCGTCCCTGGCGTAGTCGACTGCGCTCATACAAACCCTTCTCATCCTGTCGGGGCGGGTTCTCCGCGACCAGCTGCTCGATGATGGGATCAAAGATCTGCTTGCGCTTGTTGTAGCGTTCCCGCCAGGACCACATTGTGTGACGATCAGCCCATTGTCTGTGATCAAACTGTGCATTGCCTGTGAGCAATGTCGAAAATAGCAGGAGAGATTGTAGAACATACTTGGTGAACGGAACGCGAGGCCACGAGTCGCTTGTAAATCTCTATGCCCCCACGGCCACCCTCATCTGCATTTGGCGTAACTGAGGCCAAGTATTCAGCTAGGTGCCGGTCATCTTCGGCAGTGAACGGTACACGCCTACAGACATTCAGAAATCAATTGAACCTCTCAGCAATGAGCAACGCACGTCCTTCCCGTGGGCTGTCCACCCATACCCCTGCGCACGGGCTTTTGCAGGTTGTCTTCACACTTCCCCGACTTGATGCATATCTCAATGAACGCTGGCTCCTCAACCCAAACAGTGCGCGAGTCCCAGTACTTTCTTCGAAGGAGTTCGAGCCCGACATATTGGACGATGATAATGTCAGCTTCCTTTTCTGTTTCTACCAATATCCCGCCATAATCCTAAAGGTATGTTTCAGTTTGGCTAATACCAGAGAGAACCAATGTAGCATACCGTAATCTTGTCTTCTAATGCATCCACCTGTCCCTTGGTCAGGGCTCCAAAGCCTGCCGTGTATAGGTAAATCCGCGCACTTCTCCCATTAATCTGGAGAAGTTCGTCGTCTGCTACACGCTGAATATGTGTCACAATCGAGTTGGAGCGAAAATTCGGCTTTAACTCACCGGACGCGCCATGGCAAGGAGCCCTTATGCTGCCAGCAACACCGTACAGACGAAAGCTAAGTCCGAGCGATCGAGTCCAAGACGCGGGAGGTTGCGCGCCGCGCGCGGAACGCGCTCGACTCGCAGTAGACAACGCCCATGTGACCGGGTCGCTGGGCTAGACGCTCGCACCGTGGTGGCCGCGGGCTTGTCTGTGACTCCCGCCGTCATCGAGGGACCTGTCCACTGCCATGGCCGATGCTGACCTCTACAACCTCGAGTTCCTATCTCTCGTCCTGAAGATTACCCAAGAGATCGACAACCACTCCGGCATAAATGACAAGACGTTGGCCGAGTTCGTTATTGACCTGCACGAGCAGTCGAAGACGCTGTCCGTTTTCAAACAGAAACTCAAGGATGCCGGCGCGAACTTCCCTGACTCCTTTGTCGAGAATGTAGATCGCCTCATTCTTCGACTGCATCCGAAACTTGAGAAGCCTCTTGCTGGGGACAAGGAGAACGTAGCGGCGGACGCAGGCGTTCTCGACGAAGGAAACAAAGAAGAAACGCATGTTTCATGGTCTCGCTCTGAAGGATCGGGGGTGGGAGCCTGGCACGGCGAGGGACACTGTCATGAAGGAGGTCAACGACCTCATGTCCCAGTTCAGTTCGAGGGTGCTGCGAAACGGGCAAGGGGGAGGCCTGCAGAAGGGGAGCGATCACCGAAGAGGTAGCGTACGTCTGGTTCACGTTCATCACCGCCCCCACCGCGGCATAGTCCTAGCCCCTCGCACGGGAGAGGCCATGGTGGGCGACGTGACGACAGGTACGGTAGGAATCCCGACCGAGGACGAGCACTGGACGAGCGTCCAGTGCTCTTCAAGATATAAAATGGCCGCGTCTTAGGCTTGAAGGACTTCGGAGCTTTCGTACAGTTTGAGGATCTCGCTGGCAGGGTCGAAGGTACGTCGCGACACTCACCCCTGCAATGTGCTTTGATCCTCACGACGAGGGAGTACTGCCACAACATCACCACCATTAAGCCAAAGTGGCTAGTGGAAGTTGCGCCCCAGTTCTACAAGGTTGCTGATTGGCAAACAGGATCAGCAAACGTAAGAAGCAGGAGAAGATTGCACCGTTGTAGAACAAGGTATGTCGACAATTGACGTTGATTCGCGCGTGCTCACAGGCATATCTAGTACGAGGAGATGATTGGCGATTGTCAAAGATCAAGAGTGGTGGTTGTTCGGTGTGTCGCTCACGCTTGTGTCAGTTTCAGCCGGATACTAATATTCTTCCCAGAGTCAAACATTCCGCTGAGCGTCATGGATGTGTGGTCTTTGTTATATCAGTGCTCTGTCGTATGTATTATGCTTGCGTGATTTTGCTCTTCAGGGACTACGAAACCGGCCGTAGCGAAACACGCCTCATCAAAGGAGTATAGATTCATGTATTGGCGAGGTGTTAATCGGGTCCTTGTCTAATAGAAACAATGATACTATAGCTACAATGCGATGTCCTCCATCAATGATCTGCCCGAGACGACGACTATCACGATGTCATGAGTACATCCTGCCCACCGGAAACCGTGGTATCCTGAGACGACAGGCCCTGCAAAGGCATTATCTCGAGTCCGGCGACCGCTGATCGTAGTGCACGCTCCCATGCCTCCTCGACGCGATACCCACCGGCCCTCATGATGCCGTCCCTGTCGCGCCTCACCGCTTCGCTCGCCGGATCATCGTAGTCGTCTCGGATGACGAACTTGTCCTCGTACGCGTACCAGTCATCCTGAAGCGGCACGTGCGGCACATCCGCGAAGACGATGGTCTGCGCTGTGCGCGAGCGCTGCAGGCGCGCGTGCGCGACTGCAGACGAGGAGTGCCGTGCGTTCGTGCGGCGGAGGGCCTCCGCGCGCGAGCGGGCGATGAGCTTCGCGGCGTCCTTGTCGCTCGTCTCGAGCTTGTCGATGATCTCGCGCCGCTCCTTTTCGCGCTCCTCGCGCTCCTCCTCCTCGATCTGCCGCAGGTCGAGCGCGCGCTGTTCGCGTTCCTGGCGCTCGGCGTCCTCTTTCTCCTTGAGGTACTTTTGGTACTGTTCTTCCCGCTGGACGTTGAGTTCGGTGAGCGCGGCGTTCTCTTGTCTATATGCCGTTATCCGTGCCTCTGTCTCAGGGATGTCAATGTCGTTGATGAGGTTGAAGGCTATGCGGACGGTGGCGGATGGTATTGCTCAGCAGTGTCAGCGATCGTTCGTGTGTTGACATATGCTTACCGATATCCTCGACTTCCTCCAAATAATCATTGTAAGAGTGTAGGTCAGGGAAGTCTTCTCTTCGCTTGTTGAATCTGGAGCAGCGCGTCAGCGGACAGATTTGGCGCGATTCAAAGCAAGCGTACTCTTTGGCCATTCGCCTCCGCACAGCAACCTCCTTCTCCACGCCCAAATCTTCGAATGTCTGCGGGGTGAACGCGAGTTTGCGCAGTATCTTGGCGCAGATTGGACATGGTGCTGGACCAAGTGTGAACAGTCGGTCAATACAAGACTCACACCTGTGGCCCACGGGTGTACATCAGAAGCAGGTCCAGTAGCGTACGAGCAACGTACATTTTGTGATAGCATGCGCTTACGAGGAGGCGCAGCTTCGGGTTGAGATACCTATCCGACTTGCATACCGGACATGTATCGTCCATCGACTGGGGATCGGAGAGCTTAGGTATCCTGATCAGAGTATGACGAGCTGGCTCACTGAGTATTCGGACACCCTGCCTGATGCATCCTTCACTCCCCCTCCGAAGACTGTGTTCGAGGTACTCTGGATCTGTGGTGTACTTGTCCGAGTGCTGGAACCCGTGGAGATGCCACCCTTTCGGATGACTGTTCCTCGCAGCCAACTACCAGGAACCGGCCTAGACATCTTGTCGTGTTATCAGAGCGCCAGTACTGTCTGCAGGATCTGAAGGGGGGGAACACAGGATGGCCTCTCAAGGTCGTTGTATTGGTGGATGTGGCTGAGATCTGCCAAGCCCATGGGCGCCTGCACGACGCCAGTTGCATTCACGCTGACAAATGACGACGCAGTAAGCTGCTGGTTTTGGAAATCGTACTGCACGCATTATGCGGCCTCTTGGTCATCCTCGACGAGAACACATAACGATGAGGCACCCAGCGTCGCCTGGCAATACTGCCCACGTCACTGCGTGGGATGTCTCTTAAAGCGACTCTCCTTCTCTTGGTGCTCTCCGTCGCCTCCGCTATCATACTGTTCAAACTACCTCTCAGTCGCATCTTCCCTCCGCTTGCTCTACGGACCATGTCCACCAACGGCACTACACCATCGCTGCCAAGGACCCAGGCCGAATGGCGCAAGGCATTGGACGAGCTCCCCTCAACGCCTGACAACATTCCGGCATTCTTTTTCGGACATGGCTCCCCCATGCTGGCGTTCCCTGAGGCGGATGCACGAGGGGACGCTGTAATGGAGCATATGGGACCGAAAGGCCCCCTGGCCACGTTCCTGCGGGACTTCGGGCCCGCGCTGCTCAAGAAGTACCAGCCCAAGGGCATCGTTGTCTTTAGCGCTCACTGGGAGACAGCGGGGGAGCGTGTCGGTACGTTCCTGATCCACACCTCATGGTACAGGCATGTATCTGACAAAATCGGCTAGTCACTGATTATGGCGACTCGAATCCCCTGCTGTACGACTATTATGGCTTCCAGCCTGCCTTGTATGAGCTCAGGTTCGACTCTCGTGGCGACAACGCTCTCGCGCAGCGCGTCGTGCAACTATACAAGGAGGTAGGCACCGCTTCCCACAAGAATGAGATGCGCGATTTAATGCGCTTCCTCCAGGCTGGCCAGCTGGTTCGCACCACCTCTAAATCGGAGGCACGAGGCGAGGACGGCCGCGGATTCGCCGGTCCTGGGCTTGACCATGGCGTCTTCGTGCCCTTCAGGCTGATGTTTGGGGAGACTTTCCGCGATGTGCCTATCGCACAGGTATCGATCGACTCGAGCCTGAGCGCAGAGAAGAACTGGGCAGTAGGCAAGGCGGTTGAAGCACTGAGGTTGGCGCCCAATATTCTTCTGCTCTAAATTAGCCTGACGGCTCTTATCACACCGCAGACGTGAGGGCATTCTCGTCATATCGGGTGGTCTGCTGGTCCATAATTTGCGTGACTTCTCGTCGTTTGCGGAAAAGACGGCAGGAGGGCAGGTGAAAGAATTCGACCGAGCCATTCTCGATGCTGTCACGGTGCCCGATGTGAGTGCTTCGCGCCCTTCTCGCTTATTGTCTGTCTGAGCGGCTGCCATTGTCAGGCCACTGCACGGAAGGAGGCGATGGTCAAGCTGCCGCAACACCCGGGCTTCCGCGCCGCACATCCTCGTGCTGAGCACTTCGTTCCGCTGTACGTTGCGGCGGGCGCTGGAGGAGAAGGAAGCGCTCGGGTGTTGGCCGCCATATTCGGGGCTCCCACCGTTGCGTTCGGGCTGTAAGGGGCTAGCGTGTAGCCATGTCGTCATACGTTAGCTGCATCAATGCATTTTGTTCAAATTTTGTTCGCGCGCCTGGACGATGTTGGGCGCGCACAGCGCGGGCGGCGGGGGAGACGAACATCCGAGCCCTCGGACGCGGGCCGCGCGCGCAACAGAGGCGATCGCGACGCGATCATCGCGTCGGGCATGGTCACGTGGGTATATTGCCACGCGGATCTCGCGCAGGTCCGCTTTCGGGAAGCGGCGACAAAACGAGCAGCCACGGACTCGCCGCCTTCGTTCGCCTCGCGTCCCGCCTCTTCCTCTGTTTCTCCCCCAGCCTGCGTCGCGCAGCGCGCACACTCCCCGCACACTCCCTGTCTCGCCTCAGCAGCCTGCTTCCCCGAAGTCCCACACGCGTCCACCGCGCCCAAGCTCTCTCCGAGATCTACACAGGTGCCCGCAGACACTGCCCTTGATCGCGGCGCCGTCCACCCTCTCGACTGAGTCCGCTTGCACCTCCGCCCCATCTCCGGTATAAAACTCCATCCCCTGATGGAATAACTGCACCCTACGCCGTCACCCATAATCCTCGCACAGGTGAGCGCGTACCCGCCACACGTGTTTGCGTCGGAGATCCTCCTCGTCCTGACAGCTCCTGTCCAGCCGCCCACCCCCAGGCGAGCAGGCGTTTGCTCAACCAAGCCGTTTAATAGACCGGGGTCGATGGACCGTCCTGCCCTGCCAACCTTTCGTTCATCTTCCCTTCCTGGTACCTCCAGTGCGCGGCCGTACACCGCGCCGCTGAACACCGCCATCCTCGACCGCAACTCGGGCTTCGCGGTTGGCCAGGGTCCCATTACGCCCCCGATATCACCGGGGCGCAGCGAGGAAGGAGACGCGAGTATTGTCATCGACTCCGAGCCGCGGTACAGCGGCGGCGGTACGCCGCCGTCAGACTACCCAGCCCACGGAACGCTTGCGGCAGCCGCCGACGAGGCGATGGACATCGACTCGGAGCACTCAGCGTCTTCGCCGAAACCTCCGCTGAGACGTCTTGAAGACCAGGAGAGTCATTTGACGAGGGGAGCGCTGAAGCTCACCGACTTCGAGGTCAAAGGCACCCTAGGTAGGACTTGGCAGAGTCCCGAAGTCTATGTGGCTCACTAGTTCTTATAGGCACGGGGACATTCGGTCGCGTTCTTCTTGTTCGACTGCGTGGGTCATCCGCACCCAACACCCAAAATTGCTATGCGCTGAAGATGCTGCGTAAGAGCGAGATCGTCCGGCTGCGGCAAGTCGAGCATGTAAACGCGGAACGGTATATCCTGTCGCGCGTCCGGCATCCGTTCATTGTCGAGTTATACGCGACTTTCCAAGACAGTCTCAACATCTACATGATGTTGTCGTATGTCCCCGGCGGCGAGCTCTTCACCCATCTCCGACGCGCACGGCGATTTACACCGGACGTCACGCGGTTCTATCTCGCGACGATTATACTCGCACTCAAGTACCTACACTCGTTCAACATAATCTATCGAGATCTCAAGCCGGAGAACCTCCTGCTCGACTCGCGTGGCTATCTCCGTTTGACAGACTTCGGTTTTGCCAAAATAGTCGACGACCGTACCTGGACGTTATGCGGGACTCCCGAGTACCTGGCACCGGAGATTATCCAGTCAGACGGTCACGGGAAGGCTGCGGACTGGTGGGCATGCGGCATCCTGTGTTACGAGATGGTCGTCGGGTATCCGCCCTTCTTTGACGAGACTGCTTACGGCATCTACGAGAAGATCCTCAAAGGGAAAATTCACTGGCCCCGCGAGATAGACCGCCTAACAAAAGACATCGTCAAGGCCTTCCTGCATCCTGACCGTACGAAACGGCTGGGTAACCTCGGCGGCGGGGCTCAGGATGTATTGGATCACCCGTGGTTCCGAGGTGTCGATTGGGATGCACTGGAACGGCGGGAAATCAGGGTGCGTCGATGCCAAACACCTTCGTCATTAGCTGTTTTGATGATGTGGAATGCAGGCACCCATCATACCACATGTAGCGTCGCTCGACGATACGCGGCATTTCTCGCGTCTGCCCCTGCCTCCCGCGGATGAAATACCGGGACTCATCAAGGAAGAGCACCCACCAGCGCTCCATCAGCGGTTCGATCCATCCGCGTACCAGTTCATGGAGTTTTGATCAACACCGGATCGATATCTATCACACTCGTTCCATGTTGTTCTCCTGCTACTTCGCAACCAGAGAGCCTCTCGAAGCCAGCCCGCCATCCGTCCGCACAGACGGCATGCGGGTGTGCTTGGCGAGGAGCTCTGCTTAACATATTCGCAAGATGCCTGCACTGTATAGCATATCCCCTCGTTTTGTCCCGTTCATCTGTATATTCTTGTGGTCGCCCGTGAAAGGATCCCTGGCTATTAGGCATTCCCTCCTGCAACTCGCTCTCGCTGTCGTTGGTATATTGTATGGTCTTACTAGCATACCCTGCGCTGTATCCTTCACACACCCTGTTGCTGTCTCCCTGTCCCCGTACTACTGTAGTCCTGAATCTCGCTGGGTCTGCCGCCTTCGTTGATCTGTATATATACCTGCTCTTGGCCCTCATCTGCGTCGTGGAATACAGTCGTCTAATGGTACAGCCACCTATGCATCCTCTTCTGATGACTGTGCTACCCAGAACATATGCTGGTGTTGTGCTCGCGCGTGTTCTGATAACATCACCGCTACTTGACCGCTACTTATGTAGCAGTTCATCCAGTTACGCGTGAGCAATAAGTACATCAGCCACAGTCCCATCACAGGCACAAATAGCCAATCTGAGATCGTCCGATCACTTTTCGTCCATCGAGCGCTTCTTTGCAGAGGCTTTGCATCCAGTCTCGCACGCCTTCCCGACTTATCCTCCTCATGGGCCGTCATCGAAAGAACCGCACTCACCTCAAGGGGGGTGTCGCCTCTAACCCCGCTGCTGCAGAGGGCGTTCCGAAGTCCTTTGTCATCAAGCATGGCCAGGTCGGCACCTCGCTCACTCAGCTTGTGCGGGATATGCGCAGGGTCATGGAGCCGTACACTGCTAGCCGTCTGAAGGTCAGTCTAACACACAGACATTCTGTGCAAAACACTGAACTCATGCACAAGTGAAGGAACGCACACGGAATAAGCTGAAAGACTTTTTTACCATGGCACCCGCGCTGGGTGTCACACATCTCCTCGCGTTTACCCTGACGGACGTCGCGCCGTCCCTGCGTATTGTACGCTTGTCCGCGGGGCCGACGCTCAGTTTCAGGATTGAGCGCTACAGCCTTGTGAAGGATGTTCTCAATAGCTCGAAGAGAGCGCGGAACATTGGTAGTGTCGAATATCTTACACCGCCGCTGGTGAGTGTAGATCATCATCATGCTTCCATTCTATGTGGTCTCATCTGCGCGAAGCTCGTGCTAGCATCCTTCCCTCAACCAGGTCCGGGAACGCCTCCACATCTCCCTCTCCTCATGAAGACCTTCCAGACCCTCTTCCCCCCGCTCTCCCCCCAAAAGCTGTCTTTATCCTCAGCACGGCGCATAGTCCTCATCTCCTACAACGCCGACCGGGGTACTGTCGATTTCCGGCACTACCTCATCACCGTCAAGCCATACGGCGTCTCCAAGCGCGTCCGGCGTGTCCTTGAAGGCGCCACGACCAAGGTGTCTGCGTCAAAGGGCTACCTCGACCTCGGGAACGAGAAGGACGTCGCGGACTTCTTCCTGCGGAAGAAGGGCGAGCCCGGACCGTCGTCGGACGGCTACGAGAGCGCCGCGTCCTCCGCCTCGAGCGCTGGGGGCGACGACGTGGACGCCATCTCGCTGGCGGACGACTACCTCGGGCGTAATAACAAGAAGGGCCAGAAGCGCGCTGTGCGGCTCGACGAGGTTGGTCCGCGGATGGAGCTCAGGCTGATCAAGATCACGGAGGGCCTGCCTGGGAAGGAGGGCAGCGTCATCTATCATGAGTTTGGTGCGTTTCGATGCTCGCTGGCTTTTGTTGCAGACAGCCGCTGACATGGATGTGGACATGCAGTTAAGAAGACGAAGGCTGAGGCTACCGCGCAGAAGGCTGAGCATGTGGCGAAGGAGAAGCTCAGGCAGCAGCGCAGGGAAGAGCAGGAGCGAAATGTCAAGCGGAAGAAGGCCGAGGCTGATGGCAAGAAGGCTGGCTCGGACAGCGCAGAGCAAGAGGAAGGGGAGGAAGACGATGGCGCCTTGAATGACGAGGAACTTGAGGATGATGGCGTCTGGGACGATGAGGAGGAATACAGCGGAGGAGAGGAGGATGAGAATGCGAGCGGAAGTGACGAGGAAGAGAGCAGCGAGGATGAGGGTCCTCGGCCACCACTGAAAAAACCCAAGCGGGGCAAACGGTAGTCCGAATCATTGACGTCGGTCATGTACATTGTATTCTCTCGCATCTTCCGTCGTGGTCTGGCTGCGCAGACCATAGCAGCCGTATGAATGGTGTCTGAGCAAGCGTAGTATATGGATGGCTTCTCACCGGCCTCGGCACTCGGTTTCCCAATGATCTATGTGGCAATGTACGGAAAGAGCTAAGGCGCATATCATTTCCTTGTCACTCAGTTATCTCTTGCCCGAGCTTCGGCAGCCAGTGCCTGCTCTAGTTCCTGCCCAAACAATAAGGTGAACGTCACGGCGAAGTAGATGTCCCCAGTCTCCTTGTCTTTGAAGACGTATCGAAGTTTGTGCGTCTTGTCGTCTATGTACTTGATCACACATACGGAGAAGCCGGGGAGGCAAACAGAGAACTCTGCTGACACGGAACAGTCAGCGTCATCACTCACAAAATCGGAATGCGAGATTCGCACTGCTGAAGTCAAGGTATGGGTTGAAGAAGTCGACGCGGTACTCTCTCCCCTGCTCGAACACAAGCTTCGCTCTGTTCTCCTTGTTCAGAGCCCACCTCCGCCTCTCCTTCGCATCCTCAGGTACGCCGATCTTCCGACGAACCTCCAGCCCGCTCCCCTCCCCACCCTCCTTGATGATCTCCGGCATCCCCGGTTCCTCCGCCTTCTCGCCCACCCAGAACGCAAACCAGCAACCCAGGCTCGGGCCAAGCAGCCACGGCCTGTCCGCATACGCATCGCACTCCAACCCGGGGTCGATGATCTTCTTGACGATGTTGAAGGCAGTGTTGAAGCCCGGCGGGAGGCGGTCGCGGATCGGGCGCGAGAACTCGTTGCCCCAGAAGGCGGAGTGCGCGGGGAGCGTGCGCTTGGGGATGAAGGAGAAGGCGATGGAGTAACGGTCGGACGTGTGGAGGGGGTGTGAGAAGTAGGTCGCGTCGGTGGGTGGGCAGGTACTTGGAAGACCTGAGAGTTGATTAGCTCTGGACAAACCGACTTTCAACTTGACAGTGCCCGATGCTGTGGTATCGCGAGCCCCAGTCTCGTTGATGAAGACATAACTTGAACATACCTTTGAAGTTCTTGATCCGCACCTTCACCTCCACCTTCATGAAATCATTCTCGAAGGCACAAGGCTCGGCCGTGTTGACGCGAACGACTTGCTGGGTATCAGGATCGAGAGACGGGCCAGCAGTCACCCGCAGACGATACTTGCCGTCTGTGATGCTCGCCGTACTTGAGACGGATGCTGAGCGGTTCCTCGGCGAGGGAGCTCCTGCAGTGCAATTGCCCGGACCTGTGACTGGAGTTACAGTGTCGCCATTGTGTCGGCCCTTGACCACGGACAAAACGGTGTCTGCAACCGCGGAAACCATGATCTGTGGACGTACGAGATAGTTCAGGAGACACTTCCAGTGGATCGCCCACAGGGGTCATGTCTCATGCGCATGGTTATAAAGAGTGAGTGGTGTTGCGGCACTGTTGCTGTCGCTACTGCGTCGAAGCTGTCACACTCCCATATTTCGTCATAGCGCTGTTTTGGTTGCTACATAATGTTATCCCCACCTACGTGTGAGCAGTACCACAAACATCGTCATGATACACGATTATGGGAACAGCCACGCACCTACAATTGCTCCGCCACTATATCCTGGGTCTGTAATGGATCCTGTGTGATTGGCTGGCATTACAGAGCGCTAATATATGAGCAAGAGTGAGTAGCAGGGAGCTGCATGGTACAAATGTAGAATAGGATGATACGAGAACTATGAACGCGACGGGACCGACTCCGGAGGTGTCGGTTTACTACTCCACATCTTCCCGACCCAGCGTTCCCAGAACCGTTCGACTCGCATGCGGGCACCATCCCAAGTGTCGAGAGCTGGTCGGGCATCGAGGTAGAACGAAAGGTTGCCGGCCTTGCCGGAATGGCCTGTGTAGAAGTCGATCACGTATCGGACGCGCGTTCCACAACGGTCGACAACCCAGTCATGGCGGTCGAAGGGCGCAGAGTAACTGAGCGCAGAGGTCAACTTCGGTGAACATCATAGAAGTCGACGGGTACGCACCCGAGAAGCGACTTCAACCGCGCCTTCGGTGTCAAGTCCTTCGGCCTCCCCTTGAAGCTAACGAGCTTCACTCCACCACACACGTCGCCGCCCTGACCCGATTCCCACTTCATGACCTCCTGCCATGCACGCTCATTCACGGCATTGTGGATCGGCACGATGACCTTCATGTCCGTCGCCTGGGGGTTGTGATTCTTCCGCGCCATGGCGGCGTAAAACTGTGCTTGTGAGGGATACACCCAGTTGCTGCCATCAACCCGAGGGATCGAGGATGTCTCGCGGTCTTGCGGCAGGGGTGCGGGTGCGGGCGGGTGAGCTGGCGCATCCTTGGAGGAGGATGGGAACAGGCTTGCCCATGTCGAGCGCTGCTGGTGGTCGACTGGACACTTTTCGGATGGGCCGGCGAGAGAGCTGTGGTCGACGGGGCACTTGTCTGCCATGGCGGTGAGCGAGTTTGTGACTTTGTGCGCAAAGGAGGACCAGCGCACAAGCGCCCGCGCGCCGCCCGCATCCGACTCTCATTCAGTCATGTCGATCAGCTAGCGCTGTGGCCTCCGTCATGCAATGCACTCACTTTTCTTTCTGTCCCCGTCATATTGCAGATGCAGCCAGCGAAATACGCATCTTCCTGCCTCGCACCGTACACCTCAACGACTTCGAGGACCAACCATCCAGCAATGCGTCATGGCAAGCGCGAGCCTGTCAGTGTCAGGTGTTCCGCGCGCGACTGCAATGCTTGGGTTTCTCCAGGACAGCGCTACATATCGCTCCCGGAATAGCGCTGCAATAGCGACAGCCGGAATCATATGCCCGAGCGCAGCGTCTGGTCATCATGTTGGCGGGAGATGTGAACGTGAGCCCCTAAGCTGGCTCGTTGCCTGTCCCATGACCTGTCCAGCGGATACTCCGGGTGTATAACATCTAGGAAAGCGACACCTCTCCTCGTACCAGCTTTGACCATCGGGGGCTCTGCTAGATCGTCGCAGTACACTGGGGCTTGTTCAACCTTCTTCAGAGACTCATCCTATCCTCGTTTGCACCGCCCGAACTGTTCAGCATGCCGTCCTCTCCGCCTGTCTTCAGCACTCCGCTCACAAAACAATTCAAGCTAAACCATCCAATCATGCTAGCAGGTGAAGTCCCTCGGGTGCCTCTAGCTCTTTCTACTTGATGAATTCTTCCGTACTATAGGCATGAACGTCGCAGCTGGTCCTAAGCTCGCGGCGGCGGTCACGAACGCAGGTATGGTCTATGATGCTAGTCAGCCTTGTGTTTGGTGTGACGTCTCTGCAGGAGGCATTGGTGTCATCGGAGGCATTCATGCTAGCCCGAAGGTGCTGCAGGGGATGATAGACGACTTGAAGGCCGAGCTCGAGGACAAAGATGCACCGTTCGGTATAGACCTAGCGCTGCCGCAGGTCGGAGGGAACGCAAGGAAAACGAATGTACGCATGTCGCAATCAGGTTCGTATGAGTTGTAACTCACTGACGTGCCTCTCAGTACGACTACACCAAGGGCCAGCTGCCCGTGCTCACGGACATCATTATCAAGAGCAAGGCTTCGTTGTTCGTCTGCGCTGTGGGTGTTCCCCCGAAGGACATGGTCGACAAGCTGCATGCAGCCGGCATCTTGGTCATGAAGTAATCACTAGTTCTGCACCTTACTGAGCTTGGACTGACACTAAGGGCCAGCATGATTGGCCATCCGAAGCATGTGGAGAAGGCACTCGCACAAGGCGTCGACATGATCTGCGCCCAAGGCGGCGAGGGCGGCGGACACACCGGCGACACGCCTTTCTCCATCCTCATCCCCGCCGTGGTCGACATCTGCAAAGACAAGAAGAGCCCACTCACCGGCAAGCCGATCATCGTCATTGCCGCAGGCGGCATCGCAGATGGCCGCGGCCTTGCTGCCGCGCTCTCGTATGGTGCCTCCGGGGTGTGGGTCGGGACGAGGTTCGTGGCGAGTGAAGAGGCGGGTGCGCCCCCGATACACAAGCAGCAAGTCGTCAGCGCTGGTTATGATGATGTCGTCCGTACCCTCATCTACTCTGGCCGGCCGATGAGTGTGCGGAGGACGGCCTATGTGGCTAGCTGGTGCGTCCGTATGTGCCGCTTGTTCGCAGGAGTTCTGATTTCCTCCTGTTGCAGGGACGGCCGGCAAGCAGAGATTGATGCTCTCACCGCCGAAGGGAAGATTCCGCATGAAGTAGACGTTGGGCAGCACCCTGAGCGCATGATTGAGAGTCGCTCATGTATGGCATCTATTCCAATTGTATGTTCATTCGACTAACATATTGAACAGGGCTCATGGGCAAAGTAGCTGCATCGATCAAGGTGAGTGTCGTCAACTATCACGCGTCTCGGATGCTGAAGTGCGTGATCTTAGGACGTCAAGCCAGCGAAAGCGATGTGAGTGTGTTTCACGGCTTGCCTGAAGCGACTGCTCTTGCACCTTACTGATTCATCTTGACCTAGTGTTGATGAAATGGTTTCGACGGCTGCAACAAGCCTCCAGAGGGCGACGAGCCTGATGAGCGTCGACCAAGTCATAGCACAAGCAAAGCTGTAATCTGGGAGCCACCACAAAGCTCCGTTCAGACATGGTGGACATCAGTATATTGTACACTGGGTTCCGGCTTTTCTCTAAGCTTGTAGAAATCTAGGATATCACGAAGCACTGTGGGCATCGATTGGACGTGGTGTGCTAGATGCCGCAAATCAATCCTCTTCCATGAGCTCTGCAAGTTCACGCTCCTCCTCTTCTGACATCTGGAAGGTAGGTGGGGCCGCCGTGCTAGACGTCTTTTCCAGCTCAGGTTCGGGGGTAGCCACTACGGGCGCCGGTGGAGCAGGATTCAGTAACTCTGAAGGGCGTAAGGTCGTCAGGACTCTGCTGCGACGGAGGCCGCGAATGCAACGCACCGCTCAATCTCCATTTCCTGATCGTTCCGTCAAGACTGGTGCTCACGATCCAGGGTTCAACCTTGAGCTGTCCTGCGGTGCCCTCGACCGGCGACGTCCGCATCCACAGGCGTAACGCTGTCAGATCGTGCCAGTGTGCGTCGAGCTCGCGAATGAGCTCTGGCTCTTCGAGCGTGGAGACGTCATATACTCGGATGACGCCGCCTGCTCCGGTGAGCAAGTATGGCTCTGCGAGGAAAGTCAGGGAGAGGGGGAGGAACGCCTTGACCGCAGTCGGGTGCGTTATGGGTGGAGCCAGCTTCAGAGGTTTCGCCGGCGCGGGGTGTGGGTGAATCTGCACCGTCTCATCCGTGGATGCTAGAGTGGCAGTTCGTGAGCGAGTTGAATATGGCCGATTGATGACCTTCCATACCTGTCCAGAGCTGGCCCTGCCCATACAACAACTCATTGATTCCCGTGCGGTGATAGTCGAACATCTCTTGCTCCGTGATTTGCCAACGATCCGAGTTGTTTTCCTTGGACACATCCCAAACCCTGATGAGTCCCATTGTATCCGCGGTGTACAACACGATGGATTTGTCGGAGACGGTGCGGAAGGCCAACGCTTCTACGGGACGCGTGTGTGCAGAGATGGATCCGACGGATTGCAGCGGCTTGCCGTCATGGTACGTGGATAGATCCCTATTGAAATGCGTGAACTGAAGTTTCTGACAATAGGCTCCATGATGAACCTACCATAACCTGACGATCTGGTCGGAGCCGCTCGACACTAGCAATCGCAGAGAAGGTATCGTTAACACCGCTTTGACGAAGTCCGAATGTGCCGCGGTCGAGGAAATCAACTCCTTCGTCTGCGTAGATCAAAAGAGACCGTCAATCTCGGAAAATGTCCTTGCAACCAGTGTGAACATACGTCGGTGTTCCACAATTTGATGGTCTACCGCGGATTTGATTAGTGAGGCACGAAGATGTCCAGACAAACTCATTACCTTATCCCATGAGCCAGTAACCATGACATCTCCAGATCCAGAGGTAAATTGACCAGTAAAGAATGCTAGACATGTCACTGGTGCCGAGTGTCCTCGGAATAAGTGCAGGGTCTTGCCTGTCTATTATCGGGAATTCAGCCAGCTCCCGAGCGCAAAGGATATATTGAACGAACCTCGAGGTCGAGTACCCGGGCGATTCCAGTGTTCTCTGCAATCCATGCGGCATTGCCGCGTATTTCAATTCCGAGAGCCTTCCCAGGTGTTTCTATGGGTGACCCGAGGGTCTTGATTCTTTCTGCTTTCTGCTTGCGTGACTTCGGACATCCTCATACTCAAGCTCAGGATTCATCTGCGCATAGCTAATCGCACATACTTCCTGTAGCACCAGCTCAGCTTCCGATCTGAACAGATTGGAGGAATCCGATGCTTCCATGTTGCGATCGTCAGGTCGTGCCAGCAGTGTGGTTACAAGTTGAACGAGTTCCCAATTTGGATTTTCTACCAAGCATCTTCATAGACGCTGGCTAGATCTCGATCTCATACATTCCCTTCACCTCAAAATCGGTCCCATGTAAGTAAGTATCGCCAATAATCCTCACAGACAGGGATCCTCTAATATGCATTAAAGCATGAGCCGTCTTGCGTCTTTCAAAGGACCCTCTACACCGACATCCTCCCCTGTCAGGGCAAAAGAACCCACAACACCGTCCTCGCCTTCCAGGCTTGCAGAATCAACATATCATCGGAAAGTTCGCACGCTACTACAGGAAATGCGAACTGTGACCGATACATGGGAAGACATCGTGATTTTCGATGGATTGAAGGCTGTAAAATCCCTTGTAGATGCAAGGACGGATCTAGAGTAAGCTCAAAGACGCTGTGATAACCGACAATCGCACTCACTCCAAGTGCTCTTTTAGCAATGTTCTCGCCAGCGAACGATCGACACAGCCCAACAGACATCTTGTGGGAGAGACACTATCTGCCATGGAAGACGACATTGTGAACCTCAGCGTCGCAATAGAGAAGCTCGTAAGCAAAGGGGTTCCCGACTATTAATACATTCGCTAAGCGAAGTCACACAGAAGAAGCAGTTCCAGAGGATGAACATCATCATCGACAACCTAGAAGGTGTACTCGTCGAAGCACACAAAACAAAAGGTTGGCGATTTGTCCAGGAGCCCTTATGGGTGTCTTGGTCATTAGAGAAGTTTGGTACGTCAATGATTGTTCTGTGTCTGCAATATCTCACATTGCGTCTCAACAGTGACGGCCATCCCCGACATTCTTGCGCCTTACCATCGTTCTCTGTTGATGCACGAGGAACTCGCCCGCGTCCTGCGAAGTCATGACGCCACCTTCGAAGCGTCACGACAGGCATTAGCAGAATGGGCCGCTCAACCGTACCTCGAAGATCATAGCTGGGAGACAGAATGGGAAGACCTGTGTGCAGCAGAGATCGACCGTTGGAACGGTCCAAAATAAATCGAAGACACTACACTACAACAGCGATACACACGGGCAGAGCACAAAACACTACAGATCGTCGTCGTCAATTTGAATCTCGTCCGCGTTGCCGGTGGCCGGTGGTGCCTCCGACTCCTGGCGGACGGGATTGCTTTTCGCGGATACAAATGCGGGACCCTTGCCAGCTTGTCGCTCGGCTTGTGCCATTGGGTCTGCCGGGACGGCCGATTCATCAACGGCATCACTCTGCCCTTCCTTCGTCGCCATCTGTGCAGCCAAGTAGGACGCTTCCGTGTTGAACTGGGCTTGGACACTCCGCTTAATCCGGAGCATTTCGCGGAACGTATCTTCGGACCCTGTCTCGATTTCGAAACTATTCCACTCCGCCCAGAACTTGGGATTGACTCTTGGGTCGCAGAATTGCGAGGCGTGGGCGTAGATGGCACGCGCACGGTCGATCTCGCCAAGCTTCCGCTCCATGGCGGCGAAGCGCAGACACATCTCCGCTGTTTGCTTGTCCGGCAGTACTTCCAATGCTCGCTCGTATATTGGTCGCGTAGCGGGAAGACCGAAGTTGGCTGTGGCTTTGGCGATGTAGACAGTGAACAGCTAGCATATCCAGATCAGCTGGAATTCTTGGCGTGGATGCAGCAGACGTACCTCGAACTTGTCCTCGTCCTGTATGACTCGTGTGGCCCGATCGTAGATGGACATGGCTCGCTTCGCTAGCCCGTGGTCCTCTTCGTACGCAGCGTACATCAGGAATATCGGTTTGCACGACTTCGGCGGGCACTTCTCCAGCGCCTGTTCGAAGAGATCTCTCGCACGCTCTATCTTCGTCTCGCCCTACGTTCGGTCGTTTAGTTACTATTACTGCGGGTTGGATGTATATGACCTACGTATCGCTTGATGAACTTGGCGAGGTAAATGTTCCAAATCTCGAACGAGACTGGGAACGTGAACAGCTCGGTACCCCTTTCGTATACCTGACACAAGCATTAGTGGCTTGACGCAGGCTTCTTTCAGGCCCGACGTACCTTGAAGCTCTCCTCGTAGTACTTGTTCTCCTCAAGGAATGCGGCGTAGTTGATAATGATTTGCGCGTTTGCTATACGCAGTTCGAGGATCTTGTCGTACACTGCCTTCGTCGACTCTACTGTTCCGAGCGACTCCTCGAGGTCGACATAGAAGGACCAAAGTTTGAGAGACTTGAACAACCGCACTTGGACGGATAGCGACTGCGCTGCGTGAGTATCAAACACACATAGATAGCGAAGAGCGTCTTACATGGTCGTGGTAGTTGATCTTCGTGTTCTTTGGTATCGCTGCTGCGCGTTGCATGACCCGGATGGCTTCATCGTAGTTCCTAACAACGGAGTCAACATCCGAACTCTTGATCACCACTCACTACTCACTCATGACGAATTTCCATCTCGGCCCATTCGCACCATACCTCGGCGAGCTCGTCGACGGCCTTGAAATTCACCTTCGTAGCCTTCTCGAGGACCTTGCGAGCACTGTCGAGGTCTTTCTCGGCCTCCCCGGTTGTACCGCCTTCCTCGTAGAACTTCGCAAAGTTGATGAATAGCCGATGGAAGTTGGCAGTGGCTCTCTTGGGGTTGACGGTCGAGAGAGCTTGGCCGTACGTCTCAGCCACCTGAGATCACATGTATTCAGCTTTTGCGAAGCACGTATACCTCCTCGCGAAACCTACCTTCTCGTCGTTTGTTCCCCAGAGGGCCACCCTCTTCTCCCACTCTTGAGTGTCGTTGGAATTCCTCCTAAGGAGCACATCATTGACCAAGAATGGTCTCCGATCCATGAGCTCCTCGAACTCCTTCATCTTCGTGTCTAGCTCCGCCTCCGTCTCTTTGACATCCTCTTCGTCCTCATCCTCGTCTGGGTCGGCCAAGCTCTCCATGAGAGCACTAATGAGACTCTCCGAGAACTCCGCGTACGCATCGAATATTTGCGTGAAGTCGCGGATAGTCAGAACGGACGCGATGCCGTTCTCAAAAGTCAACTTCGCGCGATCGAATTCGCCACGCTTGATCCAGTACGTCGCTAGACCCGTCCACAGCCGCCCCGCTTGGTCTTTGTAGAACTCCAGTCCGTCCTTATGCACGATGCGCTCAATGTTGAGCTTTCTTGGTCTTATAGGATCCTCATCCTCGTCGTATGGTGGTAGAGGCGTCTTTCCGTCAGAGCCGACTGCCACAGCAGGACCCGCGAACCGAATCAGTTGGCCGTCTACGGATGCAGGCTCCGTAGGGACGGTCGATGACTGTTGCTCCTCTTCTGCCTTGGCATGCGCTTCATGCGACTCGACGGTGGCATCAACATCCATACCGACCTCTTCAGCATGCTGCTCCACGACATCCAGGAAGTCCCCCAGTAGCTGATATGGGCTCTTGCCTTCTGGACTGGTGTACTCGCCTCTTGCTGCCTTTCGTGCCAAAGACAACAGCAGCTTCGCAGCATCGAGAGGCCGGGGATCCGGATTGTTCTCTGAGAGCAAGAGCGCAGTGTATCGCTCCGTGATGCTGGGGTCGACAGCGAGGTACCGTCGGTATACAGCAACGGTTGTGGTACCGCCTTTGCTCTCTGCCCAGAGGAGGTAGCGTGCCCATACCCGGGCATGCAGGGAAGGCGGTAGTGTTCGAAGAGCACGGTCGTACGTACGTCGAGCGTGCGTGTGCGAGAGGAGAGGAGGGCAGAATGGATGGTTGAAGATCGAAAGGTATAGCAGCCAGATTCGAGGCATCTATTTCGCTGTCAGGTAGACGAACTTTGTGGATTCATTGGGTTGACATACTTTGGGTAGCCACATAAGAGCACGTTCAAACGTTGCAACCAAAGCCTTCCACTCCTCCCACCCCACAACCCCGTCAAGGCCACCCTCCCACTTCTCCATGTCCTCCTTCTCATCCTCTAACGCCTCCCTCATCTCAGGAAGCTTCTTCCGACCACCAGCCCTCTTTTTGACCACGAGTTTGCCCAGGACGTATGTCATTCGGGTTTGTAAGTATGACTTCCATAGCTTGAAGGAAGTCGGGAAGTTGACGAGAGCAGCCTCATACAGGTACGTCAAACGCTGCAGCGACTTGCGAGAGGTCGGCGAGGCGAGAGGACCGAGCAATGCAGCGACCTCCGGGCTAAGGTCTAAGGGCCCCTCTGTCTTGAGAGACGCAGCTGAGGCTTCCTTTGTGTTTTGTATCGCGGTCCACCAATGCCGGAAGGAGAATGGATTCCGCAGGAGGTCCTCCTCCCGGACAATGTCCTTCGTCGAGATTAGATCAGCATTGCTCGTAGGAATTGGGACAGGGACTGTGAGAGGGAATGTAGACGTGAGCGACTCCAGTGAAGGAGTGTTCGTGACGAGCGCAGGCATGGTAGGCAGAGTGCAGGATGGAGGGCTCGTATGTGGCGGACGGTGCACGGCGGAGTGAGGACCGCAAGCAGGTCACCCTTGTCGCGTTCGAGCGCGCAGACGCGCAGACGGTGAAGTCAAGTTTTCCCACGGCGTGCGCGTCCAAAGCGCGTCCAACCGTGTACTGTTACATACCGCAGCCATTGCATTTCGACGAGCTTAACCACATTCCAGCTGCGCGGATCAGTCGTTCGAGATGGTACGCAGTGACTGATGGATCCTAGGCATCTGGCTCACGCTGCCGTAGCACGGTGTCAAACGAGTCCGCTACTCACGGGAGGCTCTCGAGGCCAAGAAGCAGAAGGAACAAGCCAAGCTGAAGGAATACCTCAGTCTGAATGACGACGTACTAGCGAAGGCATGCGCGTTGGCAGCTTGACAAGAATGTCCTACTGATGTCTCCGTGGTTCGATGTACACGCAGAGGAACGCCGGAGACTGGAGCAAGGACGCCTTCGACCTAACGACCCGTGTGCTTCATGCGAATGCTGAATTCTACACCGTGTGGAATTATAGAAGAGACATCCTGATTAACAGTATATTTCCGAATAGGTCAGTTCCTGATCTCTCGTTGCGGTCAGAAACATACCTATTGCCTTGCTCTGTAGTTCGCCTTCGGAGGTGCACGATCGCATCGGAGATGAGCTCTCCGTCACCACCTCGTTATTGAAGCAGCATCCGAAAGTATATGGGATCTGGAATCACCGTCGCTGGTGCCTGGCCAACATTCCTGACGGACCGTCAGACACCGACCTCGACGGTTGGCGTAAGACAATCTGGAACAAGGAGCTGTACGTAGTAGAGAAGATGCTTGACGCAGACGCGCGAAACTGTGAGTCACTACTAGTTGCCGTTGTGTTGGAAGGTACCCAGCTAATAGCCTCGGAGTTCATGCATGGAACTACCGGCGTTACGTTCTGGCGAACATGCCTATGAAGCGTCCGGCTCAGGCTGAGTTGGTCTACACCACGCGGAAGATTGAGGCCAACTTCTCGAACTTCAGCGCGTGGCACCAACGTTCCAAAGTCCTAACGTCTCTTTGGGAAGGTGGCCAACTGGACCCGCATAAATCGAAGGAGGAAGGTGTGTTGCTATCTGTAGCAGCCGTAGGTTCACTGACAATGGTCTCACGATATTGTGTGATAGAATTCGACCTCGTGAAGAATGCAATGTATACTGACCCTGGCGACCAGAGCGTCTGGATCTATCATCGGTGGCTGGTTGGAGCTGGTGCGCGTAACATGTCCGTGTCGAAGAGCACTTCTGATGCGAGCTCTAGGCAACGCTTATGACATTCTGCAGAGGGAGATTGCTTCTATCCAAGAGCTCCTGGATGAACAGCCGGACAGCAAATGTAAGAACACGAGGACATTCGAGAGCGCTCACTGACCAATGTCGACGCGCAGGGTGCATGGAATCGCTCGTGTTCTACAAGCGACTCCTGCTGCGGCACCACGCGCGACAACTCAGCGAGGCGGATCGGCTATCGTTGACTCAAGAATGTCTACGATTGCTGACTGGGTTACAAGATATCGATCCGAACCGCCGGCAGAGATACGAGGACCTGGGTAAGCCCATTGGAAGAGTTCTACTAGAAAGTCGTCCTTACGGCATATGCCAGCTGCAGACGTGAAGAAGATCAACTGATAGATTCCCTGATCGACCAGCAATTCATCGGTGTCCAAGCTGCGGTCTGTCTCTCGAGGCGTCACAGATATTGCAGGCGCACTCGCTCAGACTCGCTCACGGCGACTACTGCTTCCAATGGTGATACAACAATTGCTTTTTCCCCCTTGCTCCCATCGCCAAACTGTTACATGATGTACTAAGCGATAACTGCCCGTGTTTCCCAACGTCTTGTCGCGGAGGGGGGACAGGAACGACTAGTGCGACAGGATCGAACGGCAAGGCGTTCAGCACTTGCACTCGTTGGGCTTGCACTGGCAGCTGTCAGGGAGTGAGCATGCATATCACGTCGTGAGTGTGACTGGGACATACGCGTCGCCGCAGCTGCAGCTGCTCTGGCCGCAGTTGGCGGCGTTGACGGGGACGGCGACGTTCTGCAGATATCTCAGTGAGCCTTTCGTTCGAGTGGAGGGATAATGGTGTTACTTACGGTGAACATTGTAGAGGTGGTGGTGGTGGTGCTGTGAGGCGAAGGTGTGTTTGCGAGGTGCGTTAGGTAGTCTGAGACTGGAGAGACACGGTGAATGAAGGCCTCTTTTATATCTCTTCCATCGGCCGGACACGTGTGGCGCCGCACGAGCATCCAGATCAGTGATCATGCAGATGCAATGCAGATGACCCGTTGTAGCTAGCCGCCAGACGGTAGCCAAGCTACTGCTTCCAGAATCTCGTCCCAATTCATCCGCATCGAGGCGACCTGGTTGCTGTGGTTGCCCTTGGTCGTCCTGGAGGCTATCGGGGGTGCGTGTGCAGATGTTGCTCCACCCCTGTGTATTGACGCCGTTCTACCACCGCGCAGCTGTCCGACCCCCGGCTCCTAGCGACTAGCGACCGATATTCCTGACGCTGCTGTATGGTCAAGCCGGTCAGGTGGAAGCTCAGACGCCTCGTTATCCATAGGACGCAGACGGCATCCACGTTCGATGTCAGTAGCATGATTCATCACCCACATCGTACGCGATACCTGGTGCTCCATACCCATAAGCGTGAGGATGTGAAATAGTTGAAGGGCGGCCTGTGTGCCAAATGCCTGCCTCACTGCAATGCAATCGAGGTCCTACCAATTTTGCGCACTTCGTACAGATTATCTATTGGGGCAACAACTTGCCGACGAACAGTGAGACTCTTAATTGCCCTGATTGCTTTGCTGTTCGATGCGACTCACATTAAGATTTGCTACAGTAATTCAACACGAATCAACCGTTCTTCGGGGAGACGCGTCACGTCCACCACACTTCTGCACTCTAGGTCGCATGTCCTGAGGGAATTCTGCTATGCGCACTTCCCTGTTATTCTTGTCCAATGCTCGACAAGTCTAGATGTTGTACAAGTTCCATCGTCCTCCGGTGGGCGGATCGTGAGTTGTACCGATGTTATCCACGTCTTCAGTTCTCATCCTTTGGTGCAAAATTTGGAAGACGCGACCGTGTGTCTGCGGCACTTCCGTACCGACTCGGATGTCCAGCATACGTCCTCATGCCCGACCTCAGTAAGTCTGTACTCTGACAGCGTTTGACGGGGCTGAAGGGTCTGATTTAATCTTATCGTTATCCCGTCGGTGGCGTATCGTACCCGGGAATACAGTCGACGCAGCGTCTTGGCTTCCCAAAATCTCTAACTGCTCATCAGGGACCGCGTTCGGTACAGCGTTCAGAAAATGCCTCAGTTGACGATCGCCAGCGTAAATGCCTCGGAGACCCTGATCAGGATCCAGGATCGCATCCAGTCAGATGCTGCGCAAAGGCACAATTGACTCTGCTGCGTCACCCAGGTTGGGTTTGATTTCATTCACAAGAAATCCTTTACGCCGATTGGGTGGCTCGGAGGCTGCTCTACCCCGCCCATCCAGGTTACGACATGGGCCGATGCGTTTGTGCTCTATTGTGTCTCGAACTTCGCGGGTTCTCTTGTTCTTTGCTGACTGCCTTAAGAGTCGTTCCATGTGTCGGTAGCTTGTCCCTGGGAATGGCCGTGCAGGAATGTCCGGTCGGTTACCAGCCATGTTCATGATCATCGCTAAACTTTGTAGTGACATTCTCCAGACCACTGAACTGACCCTTCGCATTGTAGAACACGCGGCACCACTGCGGAACTGCCCCAAATCAATCTCTTAGTCCCGATGCATTAATGGGTCTCGAAGATGTCGAAGCGAAGACACTGGGGCCAATTGGTTCGCTACCGCTGCCGCGCTGTTCACACCACCGCGGATCTGGAATTTGGACTGATCTGCAGCTGAGTACGCTGCCCTTGCACTTCCGGATCATGCGCTGAGCTCCTTCGACGTTCAACTAGCTAAACTAGACTGGCGTAAGTGTGCAGAAAACCCAAGATGACCCCGCGAACCACCATACCCGGGACGGCCAGCTATTCTCACTCGTAATAGAACATCGCTTGGGTCGCGTGGTCAGCTCGGACGCCGGTACTGAGTGCTCTGCGTCCCCACGGGGATGGGGATGGCCCTCATCTCCCCACCCAAATCACTATCAGGCACTCACTATCAGTTGCGGTGCTCCAGGTTCAGCCGCCTCACGGTTACAGGGCCGCTCTCGAGTCTTCGAAGGAACTCGTATCCGAGCGTGGTCCTCAAGCTATCTTCCGCGGTGCCTGCTCCACGGATACACTGTCATAGGGGAAGCCCTTAGCCAAGCATGCATCTGCCCGCCGCTTTCCGTTCGTAGCGTCCCACACCGGGGCGACTACAGCGTAGGTCTTTACACGATCAAGAATACTAGCTGGACGTGCTGCGTATAGTGGCCAACATCTTATGCGTCTTGTACTCTATCAATGATGTTCGATCTCAAGCTCGCTGTGGCTGTTCAAACGTTCATGACGGATCCAGGATACCATGATTACGGATCCAGAAGTACCATGCACGGGTTCAATGCTGTATCTGTGCTCCCGTATTTGGTATTCGTTCTCCGTAGACGACTGGCATCCACTGCCTGGCGGCGCTCCGTCTCTGGGATAGGCTGCAAACGGGCATCTTATGCACATAGTATGATCATGATTCGACGGGCTTCGTACGACGTCGTCCAGTTTATTATCAAGCGGTGCGGACCCGTATCTGTATCTGCCGTGACCACGCTATGTCCTTATGGGGGTCTGCAGTCGTATTTGACATGCACGCCTCGTTCCAGGGTTATTCGCAGAAGCATAGTGCGTAGTACAGCGAGGCAAACATTGGTCTGAGCCCACCCAAAGCCCACCTGCTATTGATCGCGCGCTTCAAGATGGTACGACCGTGGCATCCTCGGCTCCTCTCCGTTCAGTTCGTGCGACTCTGCGAGGTGTCTCGTCGTGGCTTTCTTCGGAACTCAGCCACAATGCCTGGCTACTGAGGTTCAGAGTGAGCAGGATCCGAGGCGGCTCGAGATGCCGCGGTATATGTTCCACCATCACGCCCGTGTCGGCCACATCCCATGCGGGAGTCCTGCTGTGGCATGTATGCATCGCGCTGCTGATAGCTCGCGGACTCATGGTGATGGGGCGAGAGAGCGAGGCAGGACTCTGGCCTGTGGGGTCTTAACTTAGGCGTCATCGGCAATTGCCGCGCGTCCTCATGTTGGCAATGAGGCATCGAGCGCGTTGTGTAAGACTGTGAACGCCCAACGGGTCCGACATCTTTCCTCCTCTCTCGATCTCTCTCCGTTCTGCAGGCCCCTGCGGAACGCACATCATGGACGCCAACACAAGAGATAACGTCTTTTCACGAGGTCCTTCACCCCCGCCTCACCAGTCCTTTCAGGCGTCCCTGTCGCAGGTGAACGACCCGCACGTTTCCCCGGCCCCTTCTTACCGTGAACCTCCGCCCGCCTCGTCCACGGCTCACCTCGATAACCTGTTCCAAACGTTGAACGCGCCCTCTAACTCTCATGTCAGTCCGCAGCCAAGTCATAACGGTTCCAATATCTATGCTGGTCCGCAGGAGGCGAATTCGGGCCATGCCACCCCGGCTTCTGTGAATGCTGGCTCTATTTCTTCCTCTATGTCGGGCCCGAGCAACCAGGCCACTGAGAGGCAAAACGCTCTTCTGTCTCTGCTAGGAAGTACAGTGTCGGGACCGCCTAATGTCCAAGGAGCAGCCCCTGGCGCTCCCCCTCCGCCTCAGCAAGTGCCGACGCCTCCTGGCTCGGCCCCGAGGAGTGGTATGACTTCGAACGAGTCTCAGGGCAAGTTGTTGCTGGAGCAGCTCATGTCAGGGTGAGTACTAAAATTCACCCTTCTGTGTGGCGCCGTCGACTCGCGAGGGCGTGCCATCTGTGCGATCGGCAGCCTCCTAGCACGATTGGCACGCTGCTCCCTGGCGCTGTGTCGCAGCAATGCGGTGGAACTTCTTCGATCTGAGCCTCGTTTCTAACCTTCGTCGTTATTTTCTTCATAGAAACGCCCCGCAGTACAACTACCCTGAACCCCTTTACCCCAGCATTGCGCCTACTACGTCTGTTCCTTCGCCATCATACGTAGCAAACACATCTGAGGCGGGACCTCGTCACGACGTCGGTGACATCGCACCCCCCGAACCTTCGTCGAACATGTACGCTCCGCCGACGTCCGACATGCTGGGTCCCCCTCCTGCTCACGACCAACGCGCTCCGTCGCCCGCCCGTAAATCTCAATTCGAGGCCTTTGTTTCGCCATTCGAGGCGTTGGCGAACACATCTTCTGGCAGCAAGCGCAAGCCGCCGCCGCCGCCTCAATCATCCGGCATGCCGAGCAATTCTGAGGAATTTTCCTTCCCAAGTTTGACTATCGATCCCAAGCGAAAGTCTGTAGAGAATCTAATGGAGCAGCTCACGAGGGGGCCGGTACCCCAGCCTGCGCCTGTACAACAGATGTCTGTATACGGCCCATATACTCCCAGCGAGGAGTTCACGCCGCAGGCGGAGCCTGCGCAGACGCGTGCGTCTCGTCCACTTCCTCCCCAACCAGCACATGCGCCATCGCCTCCTCGCCTGTCGCCGCCGAAGCAGCAGGCCCAGGTGCGTCAGCAGCAACGTCGTTCTGCCGAGTCGCCTGTGGGTCCTGTGTATGGGCCCGCTCTTCCTGCGTCCGGTTCTGGGTACAGGAACAGCGGATCTGAAGGCAGGAGCCGTGGTGCTCCCAAGAACAAGAACACCAGTAGCCCGAGGCATGTCGATCACCGTTCGTCATCTAGCTGTCGCTTACATTGGTTATCACCGTTAGTTCGCAGGCACAGAGTATCGTCTTTGACGTAGCGCAGCCTCTGGAAGAAATTCAGGCTCCTCGTGACGCTGTGAAGACGACGGCCATCGCACTCGTCAAGGTCGATGCAACGTTCCTACCTGGCTCTACCATTGGAGCGACGCACTGGGTCGCATACGCCATGACCAAGGGTTAGTACAATCGCAATTCATCGTTAGCTGTACTGACCGCTGAGAAGGTCGTGTCCGCGTCATCTCCCGCTCAAGTGGAGACCGTACACTGTTACAGCTCCCCCCGCCGTTCCCGCCCCAGGCAGCCGTGAGCGACATGTCTGTTCACGGCAACCGTCTAGCAGGAGTGACGTCTGACGGTGGTTTCGTCGTGTGGGAGTTGCCTGAAGTAATCACTGATGACGTCCCGTATGCCGTGCCTGCCAGTCCACCTGTGGTTGCTGACTTATTATATCACTCCAGGGGTGCGATCATGCTCTGCGTTGAGCCCACAGACGTAGATTCTCTCCACGCGGTCAAGTGGCATCCGCAGGAGCCGGACTTGGTCGCCGTTGCGTCCGAGAAGACGGTCTACCTCATCAACATTGCAGACGCTGCCCACGCGTTCAACGGTGAGCCGATCACTCAGGGCGAACTGCACCGTGTGGCGCAGACGTTCTCGGTCACGTCTGTGAGTATATTTCTTCGACGGAAGCTCCCGGCCGTTGACACTGTGACGTCTAGCCTATCGTTGCGATTGACTTCGATATTCCGCGGTCGGCCCTTGCGACCATATCGGAGGATTCCACCCTGACGATGTGGAACATCAACGACCGGTTGCCTTTCTGGTCCCACAGGGTCCGTGGCGACGACACGCCGTCTTCATTGACCTTCGTTGAGAACGGTGTTGTCATCGGCCGCAAGAACGGCACCGTCTTCCAGCTCCTATCAATCATGGGCAGGCACGTCCTGTCGACCGTGAAGTTCGTGAACAGTGTCCAGGAGGATCCGGACATGTTCGGCCATGTCAGCTATGACTCGCGCATTCAGACCTTGTGGGTCGCCAACAACCGCCGGGACAGTCTGATTGCGCTGAAGGTCGCCTTCGACAACTCTGCGCCCTCTCCTGTCGGCGAGGACATCGGCAGGGGCGCGTACTTCGATCAAGTGTTGGAGTTTGGAGGACCGCGTCCGACCATCCACTTCGTCATTCTTACCGCAGATGCTGATCCTACCGGTGAAGAAGGACTGGCCGCTTGCAACGCGGCTAAGGTCCCTCCTGGGGAACTGGCTCTTGTCGCATTCTCTGTGCACGCGAGTGGTGTCGACCAGGTGCTCATCCGTAGCGAGTGGTTCAGTTCTGCCTTGGCGGCCGCCCCGGCTAGATTCCCAGCCTATCTGCCTCCGCAGCTGCCGGTAGGTGAAGCCAAGGCACAGCGCCCGGGTATCCCTCCGCTTTTGACCGGCGGTTCGCTGGCCCAGGCTGCTCCTCCGCCACAGTTCATGAACATCGCACCGAGGCGTCCGACGCCACCGTCGGAGGATGTCGAGGGCGAGCATAGTCGTGACGAGTCCGGGCGTCTCCAAGAGCCGAAGGGTAAGATCGCAAAGGGCAAGAACGTAGGGTGGAAGGACAAAGAGAAGGACAACGAGGGCAAGGAGAAAGAGGGTAAAGCACGTGGCAACGATCCCACCGTCATTGGCGACTCTCCGCTCGGCGTTGCGCTCACGAAAGAAATGCGGAAGGTGGAGGAGAACCTTCACACCCGTATCGGGCGACTGATCGGAAAGGAGCTTGACAAGCAACGTAAGCCTTTCTCCTTCGTACCACCACTTATCCGTACTGAATGGATTCCTCTACAGACCAACGCCTCGAGGATGCCCGAGCTCACGAACAGGCGGAGGACTTCGCGCGCCAGGAGAAGATCCTGAAGTTGATCTCTACCGAGCTGAGCAAGAACACGCAGCGCGTCGTCGAGATGGCCGTCAAGAACGAAGTCCAGAACTCGGTGCTGCCATCCCTCGAGAACATCACGAAGACTGAGGTCAAGGCTGCGCTCGGCAATCAGATTTCAAAGGGACTATCGGAATCATTCAAGCAGGTCAGTTCATTCATTACCTACCTTCCGGCGTCGCGCTCACCGCAGCACTTGACAGAACCTTCCCACTGAAATCGAGAGGATGCTCTTGCGCCCTGAGATCTCCTCGCAGATTGCACGTAACGTCTCCAACGCCGTCAGCCCTGTCATCGAGAGGCAGGTGAAGGAGACCGTTACAAAGAACTTGATTCAGGTATACCAGCAGCAGTCCAACATGATGCATCAAGAGTTGTCGCGTGAGATCCATAATGAAATCATGGGCCTCAAGCAGGACGTCAAGGGCTGGCAGGAAGCAGCGTTCCGGAGTCAGGAGGTAAGGGACGCTCCTTCGTTGTGATGCAATACGGAGGCTGACCAGTATGCTAGGGCATGATTCGTGAACTCGATCAGACCGTCCGATCCCTGGCCGAGCAGATGAGACTGCTCACTCACAACTCAGTGGCTCCCAGTCGGACGTCACCGAGTGGGACCGCGAACCAAAGCCAGGGTCTGTCGCAACTTCTCCGACAGCAGTCAATGCCTGCTACTGTACCTCAGCCACCGTACGCTGGTCAACACGGGCCCTTCCAGCAGTCGCAGATGCAGCCCGCGCCCATGCACCAGCCGTGGTTCAGCCATCCCATCGCGGCGCCGCAGGCGTCCCACCCGACCGCCCCGCCACCGCTGCCTCAGCAGCCGCTGCGAACGAGTCCACCGACACAGACTGAGGAGTGGGACGACACGTACCTTGCTGTGCTGGGCACGCAGGACATTCGTCAGCTCCGTGAGCTCCTCGCACGGTCGAACCCTGATGTCATCATGCCGCTCAAGGGACCTGGACCGTTGTCGCAGGCCGTCGTGCTCACTCTTGTGCACAGGGTACGTGCTCGCTTTCATGATACAGCGCCAGTCATTGACACGTTCGTCATTCTGCAGCTATCGGGGATCGTCGGCGAGACGTCGCCCCTCGACGAGTCCTTCAAGATCTCCATGTGGTGGCTGCAGCGCGCGTCGTCGACGCTGAACTCCTCGGTTCGTCGATGTGGCTCGTCACTGTTGAATTAATTCTAACTAACCTCCGTGTCTTAGGATCCTCTCATCTCCCCTTACGTCGCGCGCGTACTGCCGAGTGTCCAGCAGATGCTGAACACGACGAAGTCGCGCCTCAGTATCATCCCCGGTCCGCCAATCGAAGCGACCCGCACTATCTCCGAAATCCAGGACATCCTCAGCCGCAAGCCGCTGTAAACATGCTCATGTTGACCATCCGCCGCCAATGCTCTCTCTTCGCTCTCCCTAAACCTCAATGCTGCGCATGAAAGTAAGTTAGGAATATGCGTGCTCGCTATGACAGTCCGCTCTACCGTCGACTCCGCTACGCCCACGCGCTCTAGTTTTGCTTCACGACATGCAAACGAGTTTTGCTATGACCTCTTTACGCCCGTCATGAATCTTGCAATTCCGTCTTGGGTTCTGTGCTCTCCAGCTGTAAACCGTCGAAAATCCTGTAGCGTTGACATTTGACATGATCATCACGATCTTGACGAGAAAATACACATTTCTTGCATCATCTATCGCGTATAGACGTCGTGTGCCGTGCAGTACGAGTGACCAGACAGCGAGAATTGCCAGCTCGACTTGGTCTGGCCTGCCGCCACCAGCGCGTCACGACCGCTGCGTGCGGTGCTGAGACGCGCTAGCCACGTGGAAAGCAGCAGCCGTGCTGCGACATCCTCACCGACCACATTGCGTCTGTCTCCGTGAACGCGTCCCACCGGCCTGGTGCCATCTACGAAGAGCCTAAGTACACTACTCCAGCTGTTTCTTGATCCTCCCCACGTCCTTGTAACGACTCCGAACCTCTCAGACTGCGGACGACATGTCGAAAGGGTGGTTTAACCTTGATACCGTCGGCGGCACCATCCCGGAGACGCAGTTCTTCGAGGGCGACTCCGCGTTCCACTTCCTGGGGCTCTCGAGGACACAACGGCTATATGGCTTTGGTGGCTGGTGAGTGCTCGCGGGCGGCGGTGCTGCGAAGGTGTAGCCTGACTGGGGTCGTGTTGTGTGCGCGCAGCCTGGCGGTCGGGTTCGTCCTGAGTCTTCTGGGTGCTATATTCCTGTTCTTTGCGGATCTTGTGACCTTTGCTAGTGCGTATACTTGCTCGCTCTGGGCAGAGTATGTCTGTCTGACTATAAACGTTTGCAGTCCTGTATGTGTTGGGTACAGTAGTGTCGCTCATCGCCACAGGGTTCCTATTAGGCGTATGTCTCCGTTTATGACATTCCTATCCGCACACGCACTCACAGCGCACGTTATTAGTTCGCAAAACAGCTAAAACTCGTACGTTTGTTCAATAGCAAGCCGCCGACCGCTCGGTTGCTGACTGCTTCAACAGATGTTCAAGCCCGTTCGCGTGATCGCGACTATAGTCTTCCTGCTCTCAATAGTTCTCGTTCTCGTCGGGGCGTTCGTGATTGGGAGTGATGTACGTCTGCCGTGCCACCGTGTACAACACCGCTTACTCACCCGCCCCTCGCCGTAGGTCCTGTGTCTAAGTAAGCACCCCTCCCGAGCACATCGTAATCCCGCTGACACGCCCCCGCGCCGCCCGCCCAGTCTTCGTGTTCATCGAGTACCTCGCCTTCACATGGTATACGCTCTCCTACATCCCCTACGCACGCACAGCCGTCCTGAAGGTGTTCGGGATGTGATCGGGTATCGGGTATCGGGCTCTCGCACACTACGTACTGTTAATCACGCCTGCCGGGGAAGCACATATTTCGGTTCGATGTCTGTACGATGGAAAAGTACGCTTGCTGATTGTAGGGTCTATGGACGCTTCGTTTGGGCTGGAGTCTATTTATTAGGCGTCGCGTCTGGGATCGTGCGCGACACGAGCGCTGCCATTGGTCTTAGTCAAACAATTGCAAAGGTCGATGCTATCAAACCACTTTGCGTTGCATATACTTGTACACTTGAGAGTGACGCCACATACGAGTACAGTTAGTATCGAATGCCTCCGCAATGCCCATCTCCCTGCCTAGATCTTGAACCACAAACGGTAGCGATTCATGGACGTCACACTTAGCCACGGAAGCTGTTCTTCATGTTCCTCAGCTCATCCATGATGGCGCTGTCGTCAGACTTCCCGGTAGCGCTCCTGCACATGGATCAGGTCACGCAGATACACAATGGAGCCGAGGACACTCACTTCACCGGTGCGCTCTGCAGACGTGCGAACGGGTTCCATTCCTTCTCGTCGCCAATGGTCGTAAGGCCGGTCACAATCTTATTTGCCTCCACAATCTCTGCGAGCCGCTTGAGCGCGGTGTTGTCTGGGTCGACGGACTTTGCGAATGCAAGATTCCCTGCAGTATACTCGTGGCCGTTGTACACCACCGTCTGGTCGGGGAGCGTGCCGAGGTAGGTGAGCGCGCGGTGCATCTCCTCGCCTGTGCCCTCGAAGAAGCGGCCGCACCCCGCGACGAACAGCGTGTCGCCGGTGAACACGCCGCCGGGGTGGGACGACGCGGATGAGGTGACATAGTAGCAGATCGAGTCCTGTGTGTGGCAGGGTGTGGCGAGGCACCTGCCAGGATGCGGTCAGCACTGGTACGGATTGTCAGTCCACCGGCGGAGCGCGCACCGGACGCTGATCCCGTCGCCGACCTTGAACTCGTCCTTGTCCTTGACGAGCTGCGTCAGAGCGGGGACTTTGTCGCTGCCGCCGTAGATGGGCGCGTCGGGGAAGGCGGAAGCCTGTAACGCGCCGCGAGCGCACCTGAGTGCTGAGTGGTTCGGACGTCATACATGTGTACGTACGAATGCCTGGGTGCGGCGTCCGGCCATTCAATTCAGGCGACTATGAGAGCTTTGCGAGACACACCTTGTTCCCGCCGCTGTGGTCATAATGGTGGTGGGTAGTGATGTTCGCGACGATCTGGACGCCGGCCTTCTCAGCGGCGGCCTGCACCTTTGGGACGTCATACGGATCGACCGCAGCGGCCTTGTTTGTGGCGGTATCGATGAGTAGGTACGCGTAGTTGTCGTCGCGCACGGGGACTGGAACGACCTGCATTCTGGGTGTGGACGACGCAGAGAAGGGCCGGGCGAGAGGACGGGGGCGGATCAGTGAGCGAAGAGGGCGGGCGAGGATCATGAGTGACCAAGCCACGTCTGGGTCGCAGGCGCCTGTCGTTCCGTTGTTCGTCAGCTCAGCCACAGCTCGTCCTCGTCCTCGTCCTCCTCCTGCTTCCAGCTACCCGCGCCCTCTTTGCAACATCTTGCCTGGCGCTGGATGTCTGCAAACAGTCTGTTCATAGCAGCACAGATGTGATCATCTAGCACCTCGTATGGAGGTGCTTGATCAGTTGTTCGTAACAGCACCGCCGCCCAACTATCCCATGCCAACTGGGTCTTGAGCGACCGGCTCTCATATACTAGTACCCCCTGGCCCTCGCATTGTATCTTACGGTACGCATCCTTCGCTCCTGTGATTTTTCCTCTAGTTCGCAATGTCTTTGACGGTCAATCAAGTGCGTCGACTCCGAGTGCATGTACCATGTCATTAACGCTGACGAGCTACCGTTTCCAGTCCTTCACGTTTAGCCTTCCTGGGCTAAATGGAACCGTTAGTGCACATGCTACCCTACCACTTACAACCACGGCAGCCTTCTCAATCAACGCTACATACATCATCGTGCAATCAACCTCACCATGGACTGCGTCTTCCGTCTCTCGCGGTTGCGGCCATACTTGCTCGTCGACGAGCGGCATCGCAATGTGTATTCCCCTTTCAACCAATGGCACACACACAACCTGCACCGATTCTTCCCTTACTTCTGTATCGAACTCAACAGCAACATCGGCATCCAGTAACACCACTTCCAGCACAAGCAACTCGACCAGTGCCAGCACCACCCCGTCTAAAAGAACGTCAGGAACGTCGGGAACGTCGAGCTCGATAGCCGCTGTGAGCGCTAGCCGCGCATCTGCTTCATTCCCTTCCACTAGCACTTCGAAAGCAACATCTACCGTCGCATATCAGAGCGATATATCCACTCATCACTCTCACTCGGATGCCATAGCCGGAGGCGTCATCGGCGGGCTCGTAGGCCTCCTCGCCCTCCTTGGCCTGCTCCTGTGGTACCGCCGCTGGAGACGGAGACCCAAGGTAGCCCCGTCGGCCGAATTCATGGCCATGGCTGCGGCCATGCGCGAGGACCGAACGCCCACGCCTGACAGCACGCTCGCGCGGGACTCGATGGAGCCTGCTGAGCTGCTCCCGCGGACGGGGCCTGGCTCGTACAACACGGATCCGCTCCTCGAGAAGCTGCGGGAGGCAGTCGCGCAGATCCCGCATATCAGGGGGCCTAATGGGGACAGCGGTGGATCTATGAACGAGAAGGCGGATGATGTGTTCATGGCCATATGAGCTTGAGGACGGCGAGCTTGGTGATCAGGCTTCTTGGACATTCGCTTCTTGGACATTCGCCAAAGGGGAGTGTAGCGTTAGGACGATGGTCTCCCCTCCGAATGATTGATGGAGGTAACCAGTGATTTCAGACAGGGTTCAGAGCCGTTCGGGATTCTACTTACGCTTGCCCACATACGATAATAGGTCGTTGCACGGATAAGTGTTCACCGTCGTTGCTACGTTGTCCTTCGTTTAAGTTTGCTCTATCAAGCTTCTCCTGGTGCGCTGACCTTCTGATACAGGACGTGACGACGATGAGCGTCCTCGACGACCGAGTTACTGCCGCAGTTCCTATGCAATGCGGACTTCATGATTTCGCCACCGCAAGCTCGGGACTTTTGAAGCCCTCCGTCAGCGTCTGCACAGTTCCCCATTCCACAAACGCACTCGGAGACTGCCGCTGTCAGGTACGTCTTCCTCAGTGATCCAAGGTTCTTGTTGTGTGTGCACGGCGCTCTCAGCGCGTCGCCTGTTTCTTCCTATTCATGTCAAGGTTTTGACGGGACAACTCATCCTAGGATTTATGATGTCACTGGGCGATGGGCTTGTCTATGCACGCCCTGGGTGGTGTTCTAGGACCACTGAAATCTAGGGCTGCTTGTTCACGGCCATCGTTCTCGGAATATCATCAGCTTCCGTTGAATGAACATGATGGTGATGGTGATTCTGCCGTCTGTCTTACGGTGCACTGCCCCTGGAAGTTCGCACACCGAAGCCTTCATAGCTAAGATCTCGAGGACAATGCTGGAGTGACGAATCTCTCGCCCCTCACCACAACCTCAGAAGCGATGGACCTGAATAAACATTGGGGCAAGGTATGTAGCCGCTCGATGTGTGGTGAGGGCGTCGTTCGTTGCTTGACCATGACTCTCTCTCTCCCAGACCGCCACCGTCACGATCCCCTATGACGGGACTACCTACGATTTGCCATTGCCCTGTACCGCGAACTGGGGCGGCACTCAAGTGAAAATCACCACGTCCCCTTCTGTTCCAACAGATCTTTCTCAGCAGGCACTGACATATTTCTCTGGTGTTTGTGATATGAGCGTCGTTCCCAAACCGACCAGCTCGACAAGCCTTTCGGAGTCACTGCCAACAACCATTCCCTCTAGTATTCAAGCGACCTCCTCTTCAAGTACTAGCATCAGCGCAGCCACCGGGACACTCGAGCAGAATTCATCTACACACACAATGACAGCACCACAATCCCCTTCATCCGCATCCACACCCGCCAATTCCACCGCAGTGACTCTATCGAGTGTTCCGACATCTGCATTCCTCACTGGTAGCGAATCTCCCATTCAAAACGGGTCTAGTTCGACGTCACTTCCCTCGACTTTGATCAGCGGCATAAGGCCCTCAAATAGGGCGTCTTCCCCGGTCGCAACTAGCAACGCAACTGCGTCTCCTGACGGCGCCGATGCCAGCGCGTCCTCTCCGCGTCACAAGAGCACCGCTGCTATTGCAGGCGGCATTGTGGGAGGCCTGCTAGGCCTCCTACTTCTCCTCGGCTCTCTGCTCTGGCTCAGGCGGAGGCAGCGCCGGCTCAGAGTCCCGCCTTCCGCGGAGTTCATGGGCGTAGTCGGTGCATTCAGCCCAGAGCCGTTGCGAGCTACCCCTCGTTTCAAGCTTGCGCGTGACAGCTCGTACGAGCCGGGGGAGCCACCGCCACCCTTCATTCCGAGCGCATATAGCGACCAGTTCTTTGAGAAGGAGAAGGGCGCGGGTGGTGAGGAGGAGCGATCCGAGGGGGAGGACGACGCGGAGGGGTACATGGATGGATCTATGGACGAGACGCTGCATGACACCTCCTCCCATGATGAGAAGATCGTTGGTGAAGCGTTGTGACCCGGACGGACGTGCTTCGTAGTGTATTCTTTGCCCGGGCGGCATGTAATCAACAAGGACGACATCAAAGCCACGATGCCTACCCGTGCAAGGGGTCCCCGACATTGTGCAGATGTGTCAAGACTATGGACGTATCTAGTTCGTCAGTTCTCTCATATGTTTGATTGCAGAGTCATCTTACTGCGATTTAGTAGGGAATTGGACTTCTACGAAAAGGGTAGCCTTCTGCTCGCTATCAGACTGGGATAGACAGACAAGTTGACAGATGATCTCTGGCCCTGTCAAAATCGTGACCACAACACGATTGGATGCGACGCGATTTCCTGTATATACCGACAGCTCGCTGCGACTGGTACCACTTGCTCCTCCGCCTTACAGACGTACTTGCAGAGACGGGTGCTGAGGGCTGAGGTAAGCCATTCAGCCTGAGGTACGTATTTGCTCTACAATACCTCTGCCTGTCGTTGTACATGCTGATTTGGGGTACACTTTAGTTATCTGATCCATGAATAACATAATACCATCGGTGATAGTCGACACGACTTGGCAGGTCATCTACGACCCAGTCGAGTCGATAATAGCATCTGAGTGTATGTACCCTTTGGCACACTGAATGAAAGGCATTGCTGATATGCACCTTCGCTAGTAGGGTCATTTGAATCACAACAGGCGTCGAGTATTGATGCTCAAGCAAACGCTCATATAGCAGGCATCGCCCTGTCATCACCCCCACCCACCATGCCACCGATACTAGGGACGGTTACACCCGCGGATCCTGCGGCGGCGCCTGCCAACCAACCCGTTGGTGTTGCCATGTCCGGACCCACGTCCATATCCAGTACAACTACCACTGCGTATGGTCTGATCGCCCAATCATCAAGTGCATCGACTATCGCTACGATGCACGAGTCGAAGACACCGAATGGGGCCACGGGAACATCGGTGTCCAATCCGTCCAACACGCTCAGCACATCAGTGCCAAACATCACAGCCACACCGCCGCCATTGCTGGTGGTGTCATCGGCATGCTGGCCGTCCTGTTTCTTGCTTCAGGCGTATGGTTCATGTGGAGACGGCGAGGACGGAGAATTGCACCATCTACCTGGTTCATGGCTACAGGTATTCTTCCCAAGCCTGGGCTGGTGCCTGTTCAAAGTCGCTTCGTCCGCCTTGACGCGGGCGAGGACGAGGATCCGCCCCCTGCGTATGAGCGGGCCTTCGAGGAAGCGGCACCGACACATGCAGAGAGGGGAGCCATTGACGAAAAGTCGGAGAGCAGGGTGTCAAGGGAATAAATCGGGGACGAAGAAAGCCTGAGCGTATTAGTACCACTTGGATATTTTCGGTGACCTTCGTTCGCTACCACAAGGACGATTGCACACCGCCCGCTTCCGGATTGATTTTCTATTGCTCATATATAGATACCCACTGAGATAATACCCACGTTGTATAGCGAAGGGCTGTCTGTGCTAGCGCATGTGCAATGTCTAAAGCTCAGCGAACTTGTGACTGAGTAGTGATACCAGAACTGGCATGCATCACCGGACAGCGGCAGGGCGGGAACAGAGGCACATACCGTTTAGTACAATTGATCAATTCCACTGAGCGCGCAAAGAGCACTGACGAGACCCAATCCTGACAGCACTGACAACCTGTTGAGTTTGCACCTGTAACAGACGGCTCGTCTTCGCCCAACGCAAAACGTCAGCCTTCTTCACATTAGGTGATATACAATAGATTACAGTTATTGTACATTCTAAGATGCGGGATGGGGCCATCACTTGTCGGTTGTACACTAGTCGCTGAGGATGGCCTGTACGACATTAGCGACGCGCAATTGCCGAAGATCCGTGTACGTCTGCGATCCCGGATACAGTGAGATACTTCCACATAGAGAAGAACAAGGCACAACACACCTGGCCACATCCAACAAAGATGATAGGTTGACCGGTGACATAGGTCATCGACAGCGCGGCGCCCACCTGCACGTACACACCAAGAACGACATCAGCGCCGGATACGTTCAGTTCTCCAACAAGCGGAATGGCATCTCATCTCGAGAGATGGACTGCCTCACGAACCTTGTCATCGACGGTGTCCCACTTGGTGACGAGCATGCCGTCGATACCTCGTTCCCTGCCACCCGAGGACGCCGAGAAATCGCGCAGGGCGCGATCGAACTTTGTCAGCTGGTCGACGGCTTCGTTGCCGACTAGAGCCTCGCCGACGAAGATGATCTTGTCAGGACTGTTCACGGCGACCAACTGGTGGCTATCTCAGATGGCACTCCAGTTCTTAGTATGGACCATCTCTCACCTTAGCCAGAGCACGCATGAGGGGCTGTCAGGGTGAAGATGTAAGCACATATCCGCTTGTGCGACGGAGTTGTGTGGGGTACCTCGTTATCTTGCATACGGCCGGCCGTATCGATAAGCACGACGTCAAAGTCGTTGTCACGCGCTGCACGAACATACATGAGTGTCACTGGATTTAAGTACAACGTCGGCTTACCGTATGTAATGGCTTCTTTAGCTATGCCGGCAGCATCCTTGCCATAGCCTCGCTCGTAGAGCTCTACGCGGCTCTTACTGTTAGTCGCTCCATTGACACCCAGCATACTCAGGTTTCGGACATGCACTCGGAGCTGTTCGACAGCGCCGCTCCTGTTAAGGGACAACCCGACGTAAGCGACACATCACGATGTGACGCCGGAAGTTGACGCACCGGAAAGTATCGCAGGCTGCGATGAGCACCCTGAGGCCATTCTGGATAAGCCAGAAGCAAACCTTGGAGAGGTTCGTGCTCTTGCCAACGCCATTGACACCGACGAACGTGATACTATACGGCAGTCTCTGCTGCGTTGACGGCAGAGGTGACGAGAGCTTCGTGCGGATTGACAGCAGCAGGTCGGTTGAAGTCTTCGGCGTGAGGATCCTCGTGAGCGAATTCGACAGTGCTTGCCGAACAGCCGCATTAGTCGCTACAGGACAATCAATTGGATGTCTGTTGCCTCCGATGGCGGGGGAGCAAGCTTACTCTGGAACCCTCCGACTTTCTTGCCAACAAGGCCATCGCCCACACCTTCGCAGACCTTGTCTGCGATTTCCTTTGCCACATTCTTCTTCATCAGGTGCTGCTTCATGGCTTCCAGGACCGGCTTCAGGTCGTCTTCCGTGAGGACCTTCGAGCCGGTGAGCCGTGCAAAGATAGAGCCTAGTGCGCCGAGCGATCCTGGTGTTGCGCTAGCTTTCGCGCTTGGCGCGCCATCCTGTATCACTCTAGAAATGACATCATCTGCAGCGCTGAACTCCCAATCTTTGACTTCGTAGAGGCCATCCTGAGTGCGGGTGCCCAGAGAGCCTTTATCCACGAGTGCAGACAGGTCTAATGACCCAGCGTCACTTGAGTCAATCTTTTCGTAGCTGAAATTTAGCGAGGCCATATCGGACTCGGAAGGGGCTTCGTCGCCCCATTTGCGTTGTGCTTTCCCTTTGGGCTTGCGCTTGGTGGGCGTGTCGGAACTCCGAGATAGTTCAGCTCAATTTGAACGAGAGGCATAAGGACCACTTACTCGGAACCAGGATGACTATCTCTCCCGCTTCCTATGTCCGCACGGCCACCTCCGCGCTTGCCCATTCGTCCGCCTCTTCCCCGGAGGCGTGTCTTCAATGCCTGGACATTGCGTGCTATCTGTTGCTCATCGACAGATGCTTCGCTATCATGCAAAGGGACTGTGGAAACAACTTAGCGCGGGAACAGTCTGAAGTGGAGTCATTGACCCCTTACTCGTGCTAGGATCGTCGGAGGGCGGACTTGGATCGACGGTGGAGCGAGGGACATGGCCAACACGCGTTTTCCGGTCCTATTATCGGTCAGCAGGGACAGCAAGCCTCTTCGGCGTGGAGATTAACCTGAGCTGCCTTGTCTTCTAGGCCTCTGAGAAGCTTGTCAAAGACGTTGTCCCAGCCGTCGAAAGCCTTTGCAAAGTTCCACGTAGCGGCTGCCTGACTTGCGTTGGAAGACAGCGCTCCGGTGCTTGCGGCATGGAGAGAGGCTACGAACGTAGCCAGAAACGGCTGGAATAGCTTCACAAAGAGGGTCTTGAGGGCGGCGAGAAGCTCATCGACGTAGGTCAGTTGCAGAATTCGCTGGTATGCCACCTGCATTCGGCGGTTCAGCGGACCGGGTGCAGACGATAAGCAGCGCGGGAAGACGTACTACGAAAATAAGTTCGAGATCGTTCACGAAGGTCCATTTCACAGAGTAGCCATCCTTCTCGTACTTGTTCTCCGCCGTGCGGCCCTCGATGAGAGCCTCCCGGATTAGGGAGTTGACGGGTGACGCGGAGGACGCTACGGACTGGGATGCGGCGGGGGTGAAGGAGCGGGACCACAAGACGAGGCCGCCTGGAGGATGTTCTCGTCAGCTGTCGCAGATGCAGCGGCAGGACGCACCCTTGTGCGAAATGGAACAGAGGTCGAGCATGAGGAGAGAGAACAGGCCGAGGCTGGAGACGCGCACTCCGCGAACGCCGCCCAGCGCAGAGTCCGTCACGTGCCGACGCGTCCCGCTTATCCGGGACGCGTTTGTCCAATTGACACTTAGATCGACCCTCCGCCAGAATGGCATGGCTGGCCGCGTGCCGTACGGGGCCAGGGCATACAAAGTCCCCTGGCCCCGCACCCTATCGCCCTCCATCTCCCCACCAAATCCCATCATGGCCGCACCACCGCCCACCAGAGGCACTGCGGGCTCGCGGCTCGCGGTCACCACCAACTCTTTTGAGATCAGAATCGCAAGGGACCCCGGTCTCTATATGCATTATGACGGTGCGTGCTCGTCCCCACCACTGTTTTATTGAAGGCCTGCTCAATCCGTCGATAGTCGGCAAGTATTGTCCTCCGTGTACATTGGCAGAGTTTGTGCTATATAACTTGCAGTTATCGAACCGACGCTCGACAAGTCGCGGCGAGCGTTCGAGATCATGGACAAGGTACAACTCTCCTATCCGGAGATATTCAACCCACGTGCTGTCTACGATGGCCGCGCCAACTTGTTTGCGCGGGCGAACATTCCCAACGGGGAGGTGAGTTGATTGAAGCATGTAACGATCGAATTGAGCCTACACCTTCATACAGTATGAGGCGCAAATGTCCGCGAGGCCCGGGAAGGGCATTTTCAAAGTCAAGCTCACAAAGGTCTCTGCAATCAATGCACAGTCAGTGCGACGTTGATCACTGCTATGTGCTGTCTCTGGCTCACGTCATACATAAACTTGAAGGAGCATACAGCGCTTGATGGCCGTGGGAGGTGCTCAGCAAGGAGAGAACCTCATGGCTTTGAACCTGATGCAGATTGTTGTTCGCCAGGCGTCGAACATGTACGGTCCTGCGTATATATGTGACCTGGTGTTAAGCACTGACCTGGTTACCAGGCGACATGGGTTTGCACCAGATGCTCGTGCCTTCTTCATAGAGCGGGGCAACAAGGACTTGTCGATGGGACTTCAAGCGTGGCGGGGATATTTCCAGTAAGTCACGTTCATGTAGGGCGATACACTTGGTAGACTTTCCCTCGCACATGTTTAGGAGCGTTCGCCCTGTGCTCGGAAAGTTGTTGGTCAATGTTGACATTGTGAACTCCCTCGTGTAAGTGACTGTCCATCTGTTCTGTTCTTAATGCTCATCGACTGATGCAATGCAGATACCGGCCAGGTGAACTCACCGCCCTGGCGATGTCCTTCCTCAGACTGAGGGACATCCGGGCACTTGAGAGAATGAGCCCCGTGGACCTCCGCCACCTCAAGAGTTTCCTCAAGAACATCAACGTCACGACCACGACGTCTCGGGTCCGGAGGGGCCGCCCGATCAGAGACCTCGTGGACAATGGTGGTGGCTACGAGTTTGAGAAGGACGGGGTAAGAACAACGGTTCAAGTGAGTCATATTGCTCCTTAACCGATCTATATGAACTCACTGCGCGCAGGAGCATTACCGGCAAGTATATAATATTAACCTTCGCTACCCGGCCATCTTCGGTGTCCGTATCGGAAGAGACGCCGTTATCCCTGCGGAGCTCTGTGAGGTCTTACCAGGACAGCTGTATCGCAAGAAGATCCCGGCAGAACTCGGCGCCGATTTCCTGAAATTCGCGACGCAGAAGCCTGATGCGCGCATTCAGGCCATCCAGGACGCGGTCTCGGGCAGAGTAAGCTTCTAGATAATCAACTGCAATGTTGGCTGCTGAAATCCTGATGTGACTTCACCTGGCAGGATGAGGTGTTCAATTACCAGGGGTCCGACTTTGTACGCGACGCTGGCATGCGCGTGGACCCCGCTCCTCTGTCAATCACCGGTCGGCTTCTCAACCCACCCCGTATTCAATACGGCAGCGGTTTTGAGGTAAGCCCTCCGGTTGCCACTATCCGTTTACGATCGCCAGCTACTGAACATCTGTCTGTACGTTGCAGGCTATACAGAGCAAGCGTGGTGCTTGGAACGTCGTAGGGAAGAAGTTCCTTACGCCGAGCACAATCCCGACATGGGGTGTCATTTTGCTCGACGACAGGGCGGATCCCGGTAGAGCCGAACACTTCGTTGGACAGCTAAAGCGTAACTTGCAAGCGCTAGGTAAGTCCCTGTCTCATCCGCCGTATATTCCTTTATGTTGACTGCCACCCCATGAAATTAGGCGTCAGTATGTCTATTTCCTTATACAATATTATTCATATACTAACGGCAAGCCAAGACGTCGTGCGTGACCCGGTGCTACAGCGCGGCGGCAACGCGTACCAAGTATCCCAGGTGCGTCATTGATAATGATAATGCATCTTACCTGGAAGATGATCGAACCGCCGGCGCTGCAGGCACTTGACACATTGCTGCAACGCGCGACAATCGTCAGCGAGCCGCACCCGAGGACAGGGCAAACAAAGCCCATACCTCCCACGATCATTATCGCGCTACTGGCCACCAATGCAGCGGAGATACGGCGCGCAGTGAAGCATTGGGGTGACGTGACGCGCGGTATTCCGACACAATGCGTTGTAAGCTTATCTTCACCTCTCTATTTCGCTTCGTCGAAGCTTCATTCACCCCGCCTTGTAGCGCTCGGGAAAGTGGGAAAATGCGAAGGACCAGTATCTGAACAACGTGGCTCTCAAGTATGTTTGATGCATGTTGTCTTACTATACGTGCTCGCTCATACACCTTCCCCGCGGCAGGATCAATGCCAAGATCGGCGGAATCAACTCAAGAGTTGACGATAAGTCTTTGGTGCCACCAGGCACTATGGTAATCGGTACGAATATTGTTTCAGAGACCTACCCTGCTCACTTACTCACTCGCGATGCACAGGCATGGATGTCGGTCACCCTGGACCTGGTGTGACAGCTCGGCCCTCCGTGACCAGTCTCGTCGCGTCTGTCAACTGGGACTGCACGCAATACATCGCTTTCTGCGGTGTTCAGCCACCCCGCGTAGAGATGATCGCCAACCTCAAACAAATGCTCACGGTGCGGCGTTTCAACTTAGCCTGAATATACACTGACTCTCTCATGTTGATGTGCACCACAGGGGGCAGTGAATCAATTCGTGTTGCGCTGGGAAGGGAAATATCCCCAAAAGGTTGTCTTCTTCCGTGACGGGGTCTCCGAAGGCGAGTATGAGCAAGTCTCGCAAAACGAGATCCAGTCGATCCGGAGTAGGTGTTGCAGTGTAGCTGCACTGATCATCCACTCATGACTCGTCATGGTGCTTGTTGGTAGATGTCCTCAAGGACATGATAAAGATCGACCCCTCTGGCGTCGAGCTTAAGTCGGGTGAGAAGGCATTCGGGCCTGGCATGCCACTCCCGAAGATAACGTTCATCGTCGTCGGGAAGCGGTAGGTGTCTGATGTACAATGTGGTATGCCTCCGAGCTGAATGGCTTGTAGTCATCATGTCCGGTTCTTCCCGCGCAACAGGCAAGCACATACTACTGCACATATAAGATATGATTTCACCCTGACTGACTTCACTCAAGAAATGAGGCGGACAACTCGGGGAACTGCCCGCCCGGTTTCGTTATCGACGACCAAATCACGAACGCGAAGTACCCGGACTACTACCTTCAATCGCACAGCGGCATTCAAGGCAGTAAGTTATATTTGCCTCTTGAAATGCCAATGATTCACACGACTGCCCATAGCGAGCCGGCCCAGTCACTACATCGTCCTGGAGAACGAGCTTGGCTTACCGCCCGACACGTAAGTCATGGAAACTAGACATCATGATCGTGCAGTTGGGTTGAGTCATGGACTGCACAGTTATCAACGCCTCTCATTTGATCTGTGTCACGTATACGCAAGTGCGACACGATCTGTGTCCATCCCAGCACCGGTCTACTGTACGTACACGGTACCCCTGGTCATCCGGGTGTACGCACACTAACCCCTCTCACTTCGCCGACAGATGCAGACGTACGTTTATTTTCTCTCGCCAATTGACGTTCACCTCTAAGGTGACGCACACCGTGCTCTGTCCTCAGCGAGTCTGCGCGCGCGCCGAGAACCACTTCCCGGATGAGCTCAAATTCGGGGAGTCGGACACGGCGAGCACCGCAGGCGGCGGCCGGGCAGAGTTCGATCTGCGGCCCTGGGCGAATGGGTTCAAGCAGGCGACGATCAACATGTCGCGCCAGATGTACTACCTCTGAGGCCGGCCCTGCTCTGCAGGACCAGGCCTCAGGGTCAGTGGTTGCTCTCGGTGCGTGCTGTGGTGTCTCGTCTGTGTCTCGTCTAGGTGCGAATAGGTATGAAGTCTTCTGGCGGTGTACGATACATGTCACGGTCCCGTCCCTCGGTCTCCCTTCGGCGAAGTTCTAAATCCAAAGCCCTCCTACTATTGTAACTGTACGTCACTCCACCCCCTGTAGCGTCTCGATCTCTACCTGGCGCCTCTCGTCTGTCCACCTACTATCCACCATATGCCTTCTCGAATTGTCTTCGGTGTCTCTGGCGACTGCACCCTGTACGATACGAATATCTGCGGCGTCATCGGCGTGTACAATGATCGCAAACGCTTTCTGAAATCCGAGTCCTCTGGTGTCCATAGCAGTTTCAACTATCCCTTGTTGAGACCGTCCTTGATGTGAATCGGCAGGTGTAATGCATGTAGGTGGCAGGTCTTCCGCGTCTCACCATTGCGCAGCGCCAGTTTCATCGAGGCGTTGCCTTTGCATCCGCGGTCGTACATCCCGCGCGTAGTTGTGGTGCTATTCAAGTGGCGAGTGACATCGCTAAGGCTAAGCGCAGCTCACTGCGTCAAGATACGAGCATTGGCGGAAGGTGTCAGCCTTCGGGAGCCCATCAGAGCGCCAACATAAGTACGCCGGTCTCCTCGAATTCGAATCCTGCGTCGCACCGATGCCATTACTTCTATCTCGCAATCTCCAGCATGTATCGAGGGTCGTCGAAGCGACTCAAAGTGGGATATGTATTGCACTGTTTATGTCCACGGTGGCCGTCCGGCGAGACGTTTGACGGGATGGTAGAACATCGTTGTAACAGGCTTCTGTCTCCGCACGCGTGGCACCCACCCGCAGTGATGCATAGCGTTCGCCGCTCGAGCCCGCACGCCACCCACGCGAACCCCTGCTTCACAGACTTCATTGGAAACGTCGTTTGACGGGGAAGGGAGCGCCGCGAGCGCGATTGCGGCTGGAAGATGGGATGCCCAGCTACGTTCCTCGCAGATCAGCGGAAGTGAACTGGATCAGACACTGACACCCACCCGCATCAAACCTCCGAGCCACCATCCGTCCCCAGGTCTGGTTGGACCACACAAGCCGCTGCGAGGGTTCCGAGTCGCCCTCGTACGTTCTGCATGAGATCAGTGTAAGTGTGGTTCGAGGACGATACGCAGGCCGGCGGCGCTCAACCGCCGCTCAGGCGTGATTGCGTCAACCTAAGTATACAGAGCTCCAATTGACTGACCGGACTGCGCGTCGGTCGAGAGTGGAAAGCGTCCCTGGCAGCAGAACACCGCACCGGTTCTATCAAGGGCCTTCCCAACTTCCGTCGGTGCTGACCGTTGAACACGTCGCCGCTTCTCCATTAATCCCAGCCATAGCTCACAGGCACATCACCGAATCTAAGTAACTTAAGTTGAGTTCAATGATACGGTGTCCCGTCCCACCCACCGGTATCCACGCTACCTACCACGCCGTTCCTATTGTATCGCCCAGGATAGACCCGCCACCCCCGAACTAGCGCGGTGGCAGATGACAGTGCTGGGCCTGCCCCGGACGCGAGTACACTCAGCTGGCCGGCGCGCGTGCGTGCGCGTGCGGAGCCCGTGCGATTGTGCGATTGCACGAACCGCGCACAGGATCCGAGGGTTCACCGGATCCCGCGCAGACTACTACTAGGGCACTGGCACTGGCAGTCCGTGTGTGGCGCGTCCGCATCCGAGTCTGAATTGCCTGCCAAGTTCCAACGGCGGTTGCGAGATGTGCGATTTCCGGCCTGGGGTGGGGAGCGTCAGTGCACCGGAGCCTCGCGTGTTCCAGTCTGGCTGGGATGTGCGACGTACCGTACCGCGCGGCGGATGTATCGATGCTGCTGCTGCGTCGCGCGTCGCGATGGGTGGCGCCAATATGAGACCACGGACCTACGTTCGGCGAGGGGGGGAGCCAAGATAGGCACCCGGGGGAGCGCGCGGGTGGCATCCCAAGCCCGATTTCAACCTGCGGCGCATATACGAATCGCGGGCTGTCACCGCTGCTGTCAGCGGTACGTACCTGTGTCGTGCGCCGGATGCCGTGGCCTGCGGGTGGGCGAGCCCCATGCGAGCGTGGGGGCTGCGCTCTGCTTCCATCCGCGCATCTGCCACATACGCGCACCGCGAGCCGTCAGCAGGACTCGCACTGGAACACGGGCACACACGTCAGCGAAGCTTGCGCGGACGTTCGCGGTTCAGTTCTCGGTAGGCAGCACTCCATACGGCGTGTCGACGGACCACAGGCGTGGAAGATTCTGCAATGCGGTGCTACGTGAACTGGGGCGAGGACGTACGGCCGCTGCGCGGTGCGGTGCTTCTAGGCAAATATGTACAGTACATGTATGTAACAATAGGAGCCCCACGCCTCGTGCAGCGAGGGCGGATCGGGGCAGCGCGATACTGTAGCAGGCGATGGGGAGGTGTCGCACGATATGTACAATGCCGGGGGTATGGTATACACAGCGGAGCCTGACTCTGGGTCCATGGCAGCAGGTCCGTCCGCGTATCGGAGACGAGCACGCCCGCGCGTCGGCCGGGAAGGCAGCGGCAGGCGAAGGCTGGGTGATCGGGCGCGTGGGCGCCGGAGCATCGACGGGCGAGCTTCGCTGAATGGGCCGCGGCGGGTCGTGTGCCAGATGGGGCCGGGCGTCTCCCATAGCGATATTGCGAAGGATCGAAGGTGGGATGGTGCGACGGGGCGTGGACTGTCCGCGCACGCCGCAGCGCCTGCGATCAGAGGCGTTACGGGATGCGGGCGAACTAGAAGCGGCGATGCACGTCCGCGGTGAGCAGCGGGTGGCAGGCGGAGGACACTGGGCGACTCACGCTGGCGCCGGCGTCGCCTGCGGGGTCGGCGGCCTACCGGGGCCGTGCGTGCCTCGTCGCGCCTTTGGGGAGCGAGTTGCGGCGCGTGCCGCGCAGGTGGGCGGGCAGCGAGGGCGGGAGGCCGGTGGGCAGCAGCGGGAGGGCGTCGCCGCCGCCGATGGATCGCCGCTTGGCAGGCTGCATGTCCGCGCCGCCGTCCATGCGCGAGACGTCATCGAAGCTGCGCTTGCGCTTCTGTGGGCGGCGGGTGTAGGGCGCGTGCGAGAGGTCCTCGTCGAGGTCGGGGAGGTCGTCGTACTGGAGGAAGAAGGGGGAGTGGTAGGGCAGCGGCACAGGGGCGACGAGGGGCGCGTTGCAGGTGACATGCAGCGGCTCGGGTGCGGGTGCGGGAGAGGGGCTCGTGTCCCAGGAGAGGACGGAGGACGAGTCGGACGGTGCAGGGGAGACTGGCCGGCGCGTCAGACAAGACAATGGGGGCAGCGGATGGACTCACAGCCTGGTGCGGCGTCTGGTGCTGCATACTGGTGCTGCTCGTAGTCCTGCGCGTAGCCGTGGTGGTAGGGCAGGAGGAACTCTGGCGGGCCGAGGTTCCAGCGCGAGAGGGAGTGGAGGAGGTCTGCGCCGGCGGCGGCGCTGAAGAGGTAGGAGTCGGGGACGGGGGCGAAGGGCGGGGGGTGGCTGGCGTGCAGCGGGGGCTGGCGGGAGGGATACATGGTGGGTGGGGACGCGGGGGAGGGCCGGCTGCTTATATTGGGACGGGCCTGACTGGGCCATTAGCGGTTGTGACGGGGACATGGCGGATTTGCAAAGATGCGACTCCACGGTGAGACGAGAACACTCGGCTCTTGTGCAGTGCCAGTGGCTGGGTGGCAGGCCCTGCAGCCTCCCGCCGTCCGCCCCTTTCACACTCCGCGGCGCGTCTCCTCTGCCTCCATTTTCGCCCGACTCGGACGCGCCCTGCTCTGCCCGCCATGCTCGTCCCCCGCCTCCCCCTGCGCACCTTCACCACCGCCCACGCACACCCACCGCCCGCGTACCGCATCCCCAGAAACTCCCGCGGCTCCCTCCCCGTCTACACTGACATCCGCAACGCCGGCACCCGCCACCTCACCCTCATCCGCAACATCGAGGGAAACGCAGACGTAAGTGTCCCGTTTCGCTGCACCCATCACTCCCCACCCGCTCACGCCGTGCACCGCTCCCAGGCCCTCGCACAGGACCTCGCAGGCTCCCTCCACCCGCCAGGCTCGCCCGAGGCCCAGCGCATGCGCGTCCAAATCCTCCACTCCAAGCACGTCGTCCTCAGCGGCGGGCTCTGGAAAAACCACGTCGCGCGCTGGCTCCTCGACAGGGGCTTCTGACCTGGGACACTCGTCTGACACGGCTGGTGACACCGGTACAATATGAACCAACACCCTTAGCTATCTCAATCTGATCGCGCTTCCGTGTCCATACCCGTGCCACCCTGTCTGCGTTCGGATGTCCCTGTCCCATCCGGAGCACCTTCGCCCGCCTTCCATCCTGATCCTGATCCCCTCCGCGCCTGCCGCGCGACCCGCCCGAAGCGAACCGAAACCGAACGCAAAACAGCCGCGTCCACACAACAACCATTGCCAACTTGCCAAAAAAGATGCTCGACTGCGCCCGCTTAACCATTCACGCCAGTGCCATCGCGCGCGAAGCCACGGCGTGGCGTGCGGCGCCCTCGTGTGCAGACACAGACGACTGTCACAGACAAGGGTCCTAGCTACCGTAGCCCTGCCGCTCGCTCGAACCATAGCACTGCTGTATATACGCCGCTCCCCACGTTTACGCGCACTCGCCTCATCTGATCCTCGCCGCCACTCATCTGTCCAGCACCGCGCTTCTCCCGTGCCCGGATGCAGCATACCGTTGTCCATCCTATCGTCATCCGCGGCACGCGGCCGTCGCCCTATCCCAGTCATCTCCTTTGTGTGCGTGGCTTTTCGTGGCGCGGTGGGCACCGGGCCTGCGCAAATGAAATCTTCGCTAATCCGAGCCCTATCTCGCGCGCACGGAAGCCCAGCCATGTCTGCGCTCGCCACCGGCTGCTCACCTGAGCCGTCCTGGTTGAAAACTGACGGTCGGACCAGCGTCGCCGCCGCCGCGCACGCGGGCTCGGAATTCAGTTGACGTTCTCCCTCGCGATCCGCCTACGCCCAGTGTAGTCAGGTCTGCTTCTCCTGACTTGGCCATGGCTTATCCTCCGGGATCCACCCCGCCGCCTTTGTCAATGGCCGGGCTCGATGGCGCGTTCCTGTGCTCCTATTATGCCCAATGTTCTGCATATGCAGATAGGTATGGTGCTCAGGCGGTGGCGCGTACAGGCACACGCCCCGATCACGCCGCCAATAAGCGTAATGCGTGGCGGACGCATGAGCCTGATCGCGATCTGCCACTCGCCCGCGGTGCCTTTGTCAGTCAGTTGATTCGCCTCAGGCTCCTCGTCCGGACGCACACTCGCTGCCCTGGGTGGGGTTCCTGCGCGTCCGGAAGCCTTCTCGGGGGCTGCTTCGCGAGTTCGGTTTCTCCTGCGTGGGCGCGCTGACTCGGCCGGGATGCCAGGAACACAAGGATGGTCGTCTGGCGGACGAGCTTGCGCGACGTTTGGGTGTTACCCCGGAGATGCGATCGGTCCTAGTATTGACTGCGTCGGCCGCTCCCAGGCCCATGGTGCAGGCCATCTTGAAGACTTGGAAAGGGTCATACGCATGTTGCTTCGGGAGCCCACCATGGTCACTGCGAATGCAAGATGCGTTCGCATCGCACGGTGGATCCGAAGAAGGCTACAGAGCATATACGCATGTGTATGTCTGCGCGTGGACGTGTCGTGTCAATGACGCGTGATAATGCCAGACAGCGAGATGCAGCGGGACACTCACATCTGATTGCGGACTGCGTAGGTGTTCAAGAAGATGATTGAGCCTGAGTGGCGTCTGACTCTCCAGCGTCCGGCGCGGCCAGTCGCGCCCCGCACGAACGCGCCCTCCGTCGACTTCTGAACTCTGGAGCGCGATCACGACTAAGTAGCTTGGCAGGCAGCGGGACCACCGAGCTCCATGGGCAGCCAGACCTGTGCGATAGCGGCATGGTGTCGTTTTATGACGGTATGATGTTGACGTTGACGAACCCGCAACGTACGACCGCTGACGCCGCGTATCGTAAGTGATAGTCTGCCCCATCAGGATGAGGATACTGACTGCGCTGCTAACTTAGCGGGCTGTGACGTACCGGGTGACTTGTGCGCCTGGGGCTGGGCCTACTAGGCTCGGAACATCAACTCCTGGGCTCCCCAATCTTAGCTAAGTTGTCAAATACGCCTGTCCTAGGCCTGTCTGACGTCGTAAGCTGAGTGGTCGTAGTTCGTCTGGGGCTACGACTCGGAGCTGGTAGGTACTAGTATCGTGCACTTGCAGCTGCGACCGCTGTCGTCGGCGGTAGGTCAGTAATACTAATACTAATAACGAGAACGTCTCATGTTCGTTCTCGACGCCAGCGGCCTCGCGTCCGGGGATACACCACTGACGGCTCAGTTGATCCTGATAGCAGATCAGACCCGCGTCAGAGTGCTGCGACTTCGAAGAGCATGTACAATTGCGAGGAGAGGAGACATCACCCGCGGTGGGGCCTTCGCGCTTCGACGCCTCCAGGCTCCAGATTCGGTGCTATCTGCTGCTTCAGAGACCAACCGGCGTCGTCGTGTGATTGACACTCCGTTTGTCGTATCCCCGAGACAGGCCGTCGGGGGAGAAGGATTGTGGGTGATGCGGCTGTTATAAAACGAATGATGGGATGCGATTATTACAATGAGACGTACTGAGTCGTGGCCACCGCGGTGGGCGCGAGCCCAAAACACATCTATGATGCTCAACGCCTCGGAGGAGGGTCACTGTCAGACTGCAGGGAGATTTGATGGCGGTCCCTCGAACCTGCGGGTGCGTTGATGCAGCTGGATAGGGTCATATCAGTGAATTGTTGCAGGATGAGACCGGCATGGACCCGTCGGACGCACCCAAGTGAGACGGGATCTCTACGTATTGGCCATGCGCGTGTTCGGACGATATCAATGTTGTGTACCACTTCAATGAAGTCCGAACGGCGACTGATGATTGCCTGGAGAGAGCTGATGATCGCCATTCGATCGTACTGGTTACAAGCGCTCTCCCAAGAGGGCACTGGATCCTGGATAGCCCAAGAACGACTTGCGGCGGTGTGTTCATTCGCTCGTCATGATCCAGCGCAGGTACTCACTACGCCTAGCGGTCTTCCGAAGTTATTGATCGCGAGGCTCTAGTTTCATGCTAGAAGGAGGTTGCACGTCGATCTGTCGAATTCCATCCGCACGACGTCCGGCCGAATTGACGACAACTGTCTCAGTGATGGTTCAAATGATGGGCTGATTGCCTCTCCAGTGCAGTCACCTTGCTAATCGACAATGCGATTTGTCCCTGCGCACCATACGATGACCTCCACGCTGTGCCAATGTACACAAGCGGTTACTGCCACCTGTACCTGAGGATGATGAAGAACAAATCAGTGCGACCGATATACGGTATAGTGTCATTTCAGCGTTCAGACCTTCATACAGTTCGGCCTCGGCATGGGCTTGCAATGAGGACCGAGCTGTAGCGTTCACGACTCGAAATAGACCCCAGCTTCTATGCCGGCGTGCATCTCCAACTCTGTGACCGCCTAAACAGTATGGTTCCAAGACACTTAGGCATTGGAAAAGCCACGTTGCAAACTTGCCCTGACCGTCTGTCAACAGTAAGTGAGCAGACTACCGAAATCTGACGCGTAGCCCTCTTCTTGTCAGCGCTACGACGTGTCGTGCAAGGCGAACTACCGCGTCTGGATCACTGTCGGACGTTTGAACGGACACTGCGTGTACGCGCGCATCCGTGAAGCGCCCAGTGAAGTAGACCATACCCGTCAGCTCATACCATCTCATGAAAGCATGTATCAGATCAAACGCACCCAGCGCACTGCAGATAGACGGAAGATGATCGGAAATGAAGGCGACAGAGCTTGATCCCCTGCGCCCGTGCGTCAGAAGGCAGACGCTGCAGGCATAGAAAGAACCACTTTGAGTCGGCTAAGCATCGGTGGACCGGAGCTTATGAGAGCGAAGGCCAGACAGGTGGCTCGCACGTCGTGTCCTGCCCACCGGAGGTGGATCTGCACCTGCTGCGTGTGCATTCTAGGGACAGCATCCTGAGCGGTGTTGTGGATATGGTCGAGAGAGCGGTCGCCGATAACGGTGGACGCGAGCGAGTGTCGCAATGGCAAGGCTGCGGCTGGCTGCGGCGTTCGACGGACGCAAGTTCCGGTAATGTGCCGTCCACGTTGTCACCATGACGGATGCAGTCGCACTCAACAGCACCTGGACGGCATCACAACCCTCTCAATGAAGCTCTGTCCACCTCCTACATGCAATGTCGCCCATACAAACTTCTAGGGGATGTGTGCCTGGCCACTGTGATGGCGTCTGGGGTATATAACCCGCACACATGTCCACCCAAGAGCAACATGGAAGTACCCGTGTACCAGAGCATGATCTATGCGTTACATAGGGCCAAGTGATACACTCACCTCATTTCAAGTCAGAACTGCCAGTCTTTCCCGTCAACGGAAGGTTGTCTTCGTGCGCCCGCGCTGCAGCGATTCGAGAGGACGTGCGCTTGAGGATACTGGACATCTTTGCCAGACGCGAAAACTCAATTGAAGGAACTTGCGGGCACAGCCAGAGTGTGGTGGCAGAAGCAAGGTGCGACGCGGATGTGGCTGGGTGCGGGGGCGGGCCGGGGGACGATTGATCCGATGATCTGCAGGCCGATCGCAGAGTCAAAATGAGACCAACGGAAGGGCCGCCCATCCGGGACGGCGTCAGCACCGAGCTGCACATTACACGCCGTCTCTCTCTTGACTCAGTCAGACTCACGCCTGCGCACTTTCACCTCTCGTTCAGACGCGCTCGTACCACAGACAGCAACCATGTCGACCCCCACCACGTCTGGCGGCGCTACCCCGCCCGTGCCCCAGGGCGCGGGCAACTCTACCGGTACGCCTGTTCTCGCGCCGACGCGATCGTCGACGGGCAAGGATGGCACGAGCAGCAATCTCGGGACCTTTGGCGTAAGTCGCTGGCTGAACACTGTGGGTCGTCTGCTTCGGTTTGACATCGGACCCTGCTGTAGGTCAAGTCCGGACTTGCCCAGATGCTCAAGGCAGGTTCATCGCTGCTTCTCGCATCGTTGTATGAGATTAACCCCGAGATCAGGGTGGTGTTATCATGGACGTTGTGAACGCTGAGCAGGTCTGTCGTCTTCCCCGAATGCCCTCGGAAGGTGTTCTTACCCCACAGTAGGCTCGCATCGCGGAGGAAGCAGGCGCATGTGCCGTAATGGCCCTGGAACGTGTTCCCGCCGACATTCGTGCTAACGGTGGTGTCGCCCGGATGGTACGTCGTTATATGCATCGGCGCGCCTTCTCTCAGGCTCATACATCATCTTCAGAGCGACCCCAAAATGATCAAGGAGATCGTCGACGCTGTGACGATCCCCGTCATGGCGAAGGTGCGGATAGGGCACTTCGTCGAAGCACAGGTACGCCATCCTCCGTCGAGACCCCCTTCACGTCGCCGAATTGCGCTCGCAGATTGTCCAAGCCATCGGGATCGACTACATCGACGAGTCGGAGGTGCTCACGCCCGCGGACGAGGAGCACCACATCAACAAGCACGCATTCAAGGTGCCCTTCGTCTGCGGCGCGCGTAACCTCGGTGAAGCCCTGCGCCGCATCTCTGAGGGCGCGGCGTTCATCCGCACCAAGGGCGAGGCGGGCACTGGTAACGTCGTCGAGGCCGTGCGCCACCAGCGCTCTGTCCAGAGCGAGATCAGGAAGGCGAGCGTGATGAACGAGGAGGAACTGTATGCGTATGCGAAGGACATCCAGGCGCCGTTCCACCTGCTGAAAGAGACTGCGAGGGTGAAGAGGCTGCCCGTGGTCAACTTCGCGGCGGGTGGTATCGCGACCCCGGGTAAGTGATGTTCTGCGGTTTGCCATCCTGTCATGCTGATAAGTTACAGCTGACGCTGCGCTCATGATGCAACTCGGCTGCGACGGAGGTACGTCCCCGAGTGATAAATACAAGGCACAGTCCGTTCCTGACCTGAGATTTTATGATAGTCTTCGTTGGTTCCGGTATCTTCCACGTCAGTAACCTTGCGCGACACGGTGCCCTTGACATGACTGACATGAATTGACAGTCCGGCGATCCGGCGAAGCGTGCACGCGCCATTGTCCAGGCCGTTACCCACTACAACAACCCCAAAATCCTCGCCGAGGTGAATATACATATAGCACCACATGCTCAGAAATAGAGCTCAATGTTTTCCACAGATTTCCGAAGACCTGGGCGAGGCGATGGTTGGGCTGACCATGTAAGTCACCACGAGTTGAAATTCAGCAGTCAGACTCATGTAGTTTCGTTGCAGCAACGACAACCTTAAGGGCGGAAGACTCGCGTTGCGCGGCTGGTGAAGTGCACCCATGGCATTGTATTGTTTTCCAAGACTTGACTTTACGAGAACCCTTGGGCATGGGACCAGTGGTATACAGAGTAACGAGCCAGTTCATACATGGATCACTAGGGTATAACTATTGTAGCAAAAAGTTCATGTTGTATCGCATAGAATGGCTAAATCCATTCAGACGTACCAGTACCGCCATACGAATGGTATAGTTGTGTGTTCACTTCGAAGATGGTTGTGGGCGTCGGTGGTGCCGACGCGCGGACGTCATCGTCGGCGGCGTGATCAGAAACGCAAGCGGCAAGCCCGATACTCAGCCCGAGCACTGACGCGCGCGCACTCATTCTCTCAGCTCCAACCTGCTCGCCTGCACCTACCCAACCTCCGTGGTACAACAGCGCATGTCGGCTGTGAACAAACTCTTCTGCAGAGTCAAGTCAGGGTCCGAGAATAGCGACGGGACGAGCGGGATGTCGTCAGGCCAGCAGAAACCGGAGGAGCAGCTGAAGGCGTTCGTCGCCGTAAGTGACCTTACGCGTTTCCACACGAAAGCTCTGACTGACGAGGACGTCCATGCGTACAGGAGGATCCAACCTCGCGGTACACTTTTGAAGGCGAGCGGCATACACCACAGTCCGAGATCTGCAGGGAGGGCAAGGATAGGAAGTGTATCACAGTGCGTCACCTCAGTTTGCGTCCGGACCTGCGTTTGGCTGACACTTGCTGCCGCGTCTTGCTAGCTCATGATGCACTCCACGAAAATGTTCTCAGCCATGCAGGTGCGGTAATTACTCTTTTGTATCTGGGAAGACTACAGACGCATCCCTCCTCTAGGCACAAGGTTTCTTCTGTGCTCTGCCCATGGAGCCAGGCCGGACACACATGGAATGCAGACCCATACCTAAATCATAGTCTCTTGTAATACCGAAGCAATCCACTCAAGCCCTCATCGGACATTCCTTTTCCCCAGACAGCCGCGAACATCCCATTACTGCACCTGCGTCGGCAGTTCAGTAGGCACGCCGTTGTAATCTATCCCAAGTACTCCAGCCTTCGCCCGCTCCAGCTGGTCATCCGCAACGATTCTCCGCATCTCCGCCGCTCGCAAATCGAGACTCATGACTTCGAGCTCACGCATCACGCGCTGCGTAGCAAGCGAGCGCTCCGCGTATTCGTTGGCAGCCTTCCGGCGTTGTGCGTTAGCCTGTGCGATCTACAGAGCGGCGAAAAGGATTCAGGACTCAAGACACAATGAGCAAGGGAGTGCACGCACCCCGATGTTCAGACTCCTAATTTCCGGATCCTCATGCTCTCTCGGCCTAGGTTTCGGGTGCGTGGGCAGAGCTGGCTTGCTAGTGCTTGAGGGGCTTTCCACCGTCGGCGTCTCGACTTGCCTCGTCGGGCGGCGCAGGAAGGTAGGTTTGGCCGGCAATCCAGAGTTTGGATAGGGCGAAGAGGGCGTCGGAGGCGTAGGCGCGTAGTTTCGAGGCGCCACAGGTGGGGAGCGCGACCGTCGTCGTTCAGAATGAGGCGCAGGCTCTCTCGACACCGGCGCTGCTGGCATGGGCAAAGGCATGGGTTCGTGCATCTTTACGTCACCATCCCTGTCGGTATCGTGCGAAGTCTCTCGCATTTTGCCTTTCGCTTGTGCAGTCGGAACTGGGGCTTCGATCCGTGGCTCTGGAGATGGTGTCCTGCGCCTTATGGGGGTTGCTCGTGCAGACGGACCTGCGGACACTTGCCTGCTTCTCATTTCTACGGGAGATGGCTTTTCTCGTGCAGGCATGGGTGAAGGCGAGCGGCGCGCAGGGGTAGGCGAGCGGCGCGCAGGAGGCGGCGTTACAGTTGGTGAGCGGTTCCGTGGTGGTGAAGATGATGGCGACCGCGAGAGCCGTCGAGTTGGCGGAGAAGATCGTCTCGGCGGACTACGAGAGCGGCGGCGACGGACAGGGCTACGAGAGCGTGAACGTGAACGACGCCGTACAGGACTCAGCGAGCGAGGAGAATGTCGACGACTTGGCGGCGGAGACCGTGAGCGTCGATTTGAAAGTCCTGGAGAAGGCGACCGAGGTCGAGCTGGGACAATGGGAAGGGTCAGGACTTCCTGGACGTCCTCTTTTCATGGCGGACACAGAACGCACCCATGCGACGCGGCGGCGACTTGGACTGTCGCGGAAGCCATACTCTGTCCTTAGGGTCTCCTCTTTCTCGTGAGCGCTCCCTAGGGCGCGGCCTGCGAGTCCGGGGCGGAGGCGTGAGTTCCCTACGCTCCCACTCCCTCTCATACCCTCTCCGCTCGTCTGGCCTCCGTTCCCGGTCCCTCGTATCATGCTTGCGTGCCCTGTCCCACTCATCCTTGCTCCTCCCAGCATCTGCGTACCTTGGATCTACATGCGAGGGCGGAGGGTATCCACGCTCTCGCCATTCCCTAGTGCGCTCACGCTCCCAGTACTCTCTGTGCACGCGGTCGCGGTCGTCTTCGCGGCGGTCGTATGCTGCGACGTATGAGTCTTTGCTTGTTCTAGGCGCCCTGTACGTGTCGACTGGTCTCGAGGCCACGTACGAGTCCGCTGGGTAGCGCGACCGTGGTGGAGAGCGAGGAGGGTAGACTTCTCGTTCGGAGCGGTACCGATCACCGGGCGGGGGTGGCGGTGGGCGGTCATAGCCACGGTAGTCTGGCGGGTAGCGAGAGGGGGAGAAATCAGGCTTTGGAGGGAGGCTCATGGTATATGAATGGGGAGTTGCGCTGGAGAGGAACAAGCCAGATATGAGTGGTGCAGACAGTCAGTCCAGCAGTGGCAAAGAGCAAGCAGAACGCCTTCCATATGGGGTCGCGCTCTGTTGTGTGGTGTTTGGCTTGAGCGTGAGCGCGAACCGACTTCTGTAACTCAACGCCCGGCAAACCCCGGTAATCATAGCTGCAGTCCTTTGGTCCTTGTCATACATTTCATCGAGTGTCGGAACCCGACAAACCCAAGATTCTGAGGGTAGTAGATATTGGATAGACCGGTTTCTCCTCTGTCTGGACGCGTTCCTGGCGGCCCGACGTCCGTCGGTCATGAGAACACGGCTAAGCAATCGCTAGAAGTTACCGCATGCGGATGATGATGATACGTTGTGTCTGCTCTATCCCTGCTCCTATCTCCGTCTCTACAACCCCCACAGTCGAGAGATGTCCTCGACACAGGGAATCGAGCTCAGGCCCGTTGCGCACCGACAAGATGGTCAGTTCGACGACCTCACCAGTCGCAACGTTGTGGACAGCGCCAGTGGCAAGTCCGGGGACCCGGAGACTCAGCTTGCGTCAACTGCTTCAGTCATTCGGACCGGAGAAGATGGCTCAGACGTTGCTGCAGTTTCGCCAGCTCAGGCCAAGATCTACCGCTGGAGGAGTAGGATCTATTTCGCAGCCCTGTGCTATTCTTACTTTCTAGAGGGCTGGAACGATGGCTCTCTCGGACCTCTCCTGCCTAGAATACAGAAGTACTACAATGTGAGCACGAAATGGCATGAGTGAGTATTATAGGACACTGATTTGTTATGGCTTCGGCAAGATTGGCCTTGACGTCGTCTCCTTACTGTTCGTCTTTATGACTTTGGTAAGAGCGGTACCGATGGATGCACAATTGTCGATTGTCAATGAACACTCCCCCAGGGCTTTATAGGTGGTGCGATGGCAAATGTCTACCTGAACCAACGTATTGGCTTCGGCAAAGTCGTCGTTGTCGGTAGGTCGCAAACAGCAGCATAATGTAAACCGTGATTGACGCGCCGTTGCATCGTCTTTCAGGTGCAGTCCTGCAACTAGCTGGTTACATTATGATTGCCCCCGCTGGTCCGTTTGTCTTGATGAACGTTGGTGTGGCGTTCGCTGGTCTCGGTATCGCCATGCAAATGGCCCAGTGCAACGGGTTCGTCGGCAGCATGAAGCAGCATGTGCGTCTGCACTTCGCCATACTGCATGCCTGTTACGGTGAGGCCCCATTGGATTCAACGTAGGGGATCATGGCTGAGACTCGTCCCGCAGGCCTTGGCGCTTTCGTCTCACCGTTGGTAGCGACGCACTTCTCAACTGTCCGGCACTGGTCGTTCCACTACGTCATCGCGGCCAGTATCGCCGCGAGTAACATCGTATGTCTGGCAGTGGTCTTCCGCCTGCGTAGACAAGAAGGTAGTCGGCAGTATATGCGTGTCTCATCACCACTCACGCTGCGCCGCCACAGATGTTCTTGCCGATGCAGGCCAGGTGGCATTACCGGGAGAGACACCCGCTCAGGCTCCTCAGGCTCCTCAGACTAGCTCGGGCGGACGTAATGCATATACGCAGATCTTGCGCGTGAAGGAGGTCCATCTTCTGTCCATCTTCTGCTTGATCTACGTCGGTGTCGAAGTGTCGCTCGGCGGTAAGCCATGTCGTACGAGAGCGCGTTTGCGAAGCTAAAATCGGATGAAATAGGCTGGATTGTCACGTTCGTTGAAGAAAAACGAGGCGGAAATGCCACTGCCGGATATATCTCATCTGGGTTCTTCGGAGGTATGTGTCTGTTTGACAAACGACCTGCAACGATGCTAAAGAGGATATAAGGTCTGATGCTCGGACGAATCGTCCTTCTGTGGTTTAACCATAAGGTATTAACATCTTCGTCCCTCTGATTGTCGCTCATGAAGCCTCTAGCTGGGAGAGAGGTGGTCTATACTCACCTACGGAGCACTAGTCATCGTGTACGTCAATACCTCCGTATTTTGGAAGCTCTTCGCTGACCGACTTGACACAGCCTGGAAGTCACCATCTGGACGGTCCCTTCTCTTGTCGAGAATGCCGTCGCCGTCTCGCTCATCGGGCTCTTGATGGGGCCCATGTACCCAATCATGATGAACCACTCGACCGCGCTGCTGCCCCAATGGCTTCGCACTGGTGCCATGGGCTACATCGCGGGCATCGGGCAGACGGGCTCCGCCGTACTACCGCTTGTAACCGGACTCCTAGCGTCGAAGTTCGGCATAGGCGCGCTCCAGCCGTTGTGAGTGTCTGCTTCCGTGTCACCGCCGGCATTCGATGACGGAATTCTGCAGGGTCGTGTCGATGGTGTCCACTATGCTTGTCATTTGGGCGATGGTGCCGAGGGCGCGTCGCTTCGAATGAGCGTTTGCATTGCGGGCTCTTACCGCATTTGCACCCGATACATAGTGACAGTTGCCGTGGATTTTTGCATAAAGAAGATGGCTGTCCGAGGTAATTTCCGCCACGATGGTAGGTACTTCGAGTTCGTCGAGTGCGAGCAGAATCATATGCCAGTAGCTGGCGCCTTGTTGAACGGAGAAGAACGCGTCGGACTTGGGGAGCTTGTAGAGCAGCAGACGACATGTCTAGAAGTACTGTCCATGATACATCATCTACTTATGACAAGTTATTTGCAAAGCCGAACTCACTGGCAGGATGAGGCGAGTAATTACTTAGTAGTAAGTAGTACACAGCATGTTACATAATCTTGGCAAACCCTTCGAACTCAACGCCCGGCAGTTGCCGAACGATCGACGCCGTCGGGATCCAGATCTCTACTCAAGATTCCGCGCCGCAGCTCGAACTCAGTTACATTGACAAGGCTCACTACACTCTGGCTGGCGGCCTTCATTGGCCTTGTAGTATCAACACAACATGTCAACATCGCTGTATCCGCTCGCCTCGCTGCCTCAGATAGAGAAGACGCCGTCTCGGGAGGATGGCATACCAGACGGCCTGGAGGAGGAGTTGCGTGCATATGGGTGCAAGCTCATTCACGAAGCGGGTATTTTGTTGAAACAGTGAGTGATTACTTGGATATGACACGTCTCATTTACCCCCCGCTTCGCTCAGAAACCAGGTGGCAGTAGCTACTGCTCAGATCCTTTTCCAGAGGTTCTGGTTCGTCACATCTATGAAACAGTTCGGCATAGGCGTGCGTTACCGTCCAACATCTACCTGAGCTCACGCTGAATTTCCTCGGCTTCAGGATATAGGTATGGGCGCTCTCTACCTCGCATCCAAACTCGAAGAGTGCCCCATACGCATCCGCGACCTCATCAACATCTACGACCTGCTGCTTCAGCGTAAAGCCCACATACGGGCGCAAGCCATGGCGTCAAGACTCGCATCCACATCAGCACATCCACGCACAGAATTCAAGTATACCCCCATGTCATACTTCGGCAACACTTTTTACGAGCTCAAGGACGCCTTGGTCGTCGCCGAGATGCAGATCCTCAAGCGACTCGGTTTCAACCTCACCGTGGTCCTGCCCTACAACACACTCGTCAACTACCTCAGAGTGCTAGGCCTCACAAGTCGGGAGGACGTCTGCACCAAAGCATGGGGCTACCTGAACGACGCGTAAGTCCCCTGCTCTCCTTCTGTCCGTTCACTACTATCCACGCGCTTCCGCCGGAGCCAGGTTGCAGACGCCCGTGTATGCGCTCTACTCCGTCCCGACTATCGTTTGCGCCGCGATCCTGCTCACGACGCGCCACCTGGGCATCGGCCTCCCGTCCGCGCCCGAGAACTGCTGGTGGGAGCTGTTCGACGCAGAGTGGGAGGACCTCTGGAACGTGTGCGGGTACATCATGCGATTGTATCGTGAACGGACATCAGAAGATCATACGCGTGTAATGGGGATGGTGGCGAAGAAGGGCGTCCGTCAGTGGCTGGAGGAGCATCGCCCGGCTGGCGGAGAGGGGCATTGAGGGGCGTTTGTACGACATGTAAATTAGAGTGAGTTCTATGGTCGAACATCGTGTGATAATGACGCGTCTAGTTTGTTCCTTCGTCCCTCAAGCATACTCTTTCGCACTTCTGGTAGCAACGATCCCCGAGATTCGGCTCAATCTCGAAATGGCTACTACATGTGTCGACAGAGAACTTTTTGAAGCTTCGCGTCACAGCGTACATGTGTACTCATGGAACAGGGACCCTTCTACGAATGATCTGCAGTGACTTCAGTCACACAGCCAGAGTACGCGTCTCACTACCGACGTTGCAATAAGGGCATTAGATTCGGAGAAAAGACAACATCCTTGCATCGTGCAGATGATGAACCGGACACCAGCTACACAAGGGTGAAGGAAAACACTCAGGGACAGTATGAGACAGACGAGTCCGACAACACGTAGACTAGTGCTGTAAGCATAGATAATGTAGCAGAGAACCCCTCCAGAGACCACTTCCAGTCACTCTATGCGCCCAGTTATCCTGAAGAGTGGCGGGAACCCGAAGGCCAGCAAGGCGAGCGAACCACTCAGCAGCACCCGCCCGAGGACTGTTGAGTGACGGTCTGGCCTGGTGTAATCGTCGACGACTTGCCGGTACCGCCAACAGTTGACGAGCTAGAGCCCATGCTAACGTGGTGGTGTTTATGTCAATTGGGTTGATATGGAATAGTGGGGCGAGACACATACCGGTCCTTAATCTGCTTGGCCATAGTCAAGAAAGCCTGCTCGACATTGGTAGCGTTCTTCGCCGACGTCTCGAGGAAGGGGATGTTCAGTTGGTCCGCGAATTCCTGGATGGCACTCAGTGAGACTCTTGGAGCAGATTTTACCGAGACACACCTTTGCGGCGCTGTACTCCACAACCTTCTTGCTCGTCAAATCCGACTTGTTGCCAACCAGGAGCTTGTTAACACCCTCGGACGCATATCTGTCAATCTCCTGAAGCCACTGCTTAACATTCGTGAAGGTGTCTGGAGACGACGGGTAATGAGCAGACTCCTGGACGTAGCGGTGGTTGACGTACCGTTATCAGTCACGTCGTAGACAACAATGATACCGTGCGCGCCACGGTAGTACGAGGACGTGATGGTGCGGAATCGTTCCTGCCCTGTACGCCGCAAAGGTCAGAAGGGCTGTATATGAGTGGTTCGAATGACCTACCCGCCGTGTCCCACTGTAAAACAAGGTAAAGGTATCAGCATGGTCCTACAAGATGCGCCTGGACGACACGCGTCGCCGACGGAGCGCCTGAACGAACATGAGGCAAAAGAGCGCAACGCAGACAAGACAAGAGGCGCAGAGGTAAACTGGTTATCCAGTTGTCTGTGCATTGCTCCCGGAGCCGACGGCGCTCTTCGCCCATGTTCGAAGGAGTGTGACTTACAATCTGCAGCTTCACGGTCTTACCCTCCAGCTCAATCGTCCGAATCTTGAAGTCGACACCAATGGTACTGATGTAGCTCTCCGTGTACGTGTCGTCGGCAAAACGGAGCAGCAGACACGACTAGGGGTAGACAAATGTGCGTGAGCACAAGCGCAGTCCTAGGCGACTGCGTAAGGATGCGCGCGGGGCTTACCTTGCCGACACCGGAGTCGCCGATGAGGAGAAGCTTGAAGAGGTAGTCGTACTCGCTGGTATGCATGGCGGTAAGGTCGGTCGGGCGAGGGCGAGGGAGGGCAGGACGCTGTCGAGAGGGCGGCGGATGAAGGTGGTGGAGGCGTGTGTCAATGGGCTGTTGGCTGTGACGCGTGCTGTTCGGCGTGACCGGCAATCTCCTTTATGGGAGGCACTGTTCCTTCTCCGTTTCAGTCTGTCACACTCCGTCTCCCGTCGTAGCATGTTGCTGCAAAATATCGCAGCTCAGGGAGCGAGGAGACAAGGCTATCCAGGGTAGGCTCGCATGTACTGATTTTTGAACAGAGCCAACACCGCCGAGTTTGCCAACTTGAAGTTTGCCAAAGCGGTGCCAGTGACGAGCGCGCAGTCGGCGCCGAGGTCTACATACTTCGCCTTCTCAGTCGGGCGTATGCGTTCAACAATATGATGTAGACCTGCGTAAGGTACGCTCTCTTCCAGATCCAAATGCCGCCGAATACTCTCAGTTCGATGACCGCATCCGCTTTGCGCGCCCCGGAGACGTCACGGTGCGCGGCGGACAAGTCCAGCCTCCGTCAGCCGCCAGCACGGTGCCCGTCGTCCATTATCTACCCGTCGTTAGCAAACCGTGCTCAGAGGACAAGAAGTGATAGTACCCTACAGTTTATCAAGAGCGACATGGGGGCACCGGGAATTAACATCCCTATCACACCTGTTCCACGATATCAAGGAGCGAACGCCCAGGGCACGAACGGCGATGTCTCGCTGTCCAACTCCAATGAGTAGTGAGTCGTGCAGTGTTGCGCCTGTCAACGCGAATTGACCTTCCTCGTCCGTCAGCGCATATCTCGTAGATGTAGGGTGGGTCCTGGAGCACATCCTACATTCTTTGGCTCAACCCGGGCGTGCAATAGCATCGGCGGACAAACCTTCGAAGTGTTGCTCGACACAGGATCCTCCGACTTGGTACGCCAGGGTGATCTTTCGCTCTCGAGTTGCTGACTGCCTGCTGTTAATAGTGGGTGGTCTCGTCAAATTGTACGACGCAGGACTGTGCCGAGGTACCCAAGTTCGACACAACTGATACGGCCAACCTCACGCTCTCTGGGGCCGCTTTTCATCTCGGTTATCTGCTCGGCTCTGTCACTGGCAGTATTGTTGCCGATACCGTCGCTTTGGGATCCTATGAAGTTTCGTCCCAAGTCCTCGGTCAGTACACTTGCGATGTGTTTTATCTGACAGGTCTGAACACAGCCATGATCGTATAGCGCTGGCCAACGGCACTTCTGGTCTCGACCTCTCCGGGACAGGCTACAGTGGAATTCTAGGGCTGACCTTCCCAGCTGAGGCATCCATTGCAGGGACTTATGGACAAACTTTCATTGACAATGTCTTCGCGTCCCTGGACGAAGATGATCGCTTTTTCGCGTACAAGCTTGGAAGAAACAAGACCGATTCTTCGTTCGCTATCGGGCAGTTGGATCCTACATACGCAAACTCCTCGTCAAACTTCACCTACATCCCCGTATCTTCCGCCGGCACGAACGACGGTCAATATAATTTCTGGAAGGTGCCCCTCCAGTATATCACAATTAATTCGACGCGGTTCGACTTGTCGAAGACTTCGGTTTCTGGGGCGTCTACGAATATCGGGATCCTGGACACTGGTACTACGCTGCTACTCGGGCCTTCTGCAGACGTCGAGAGGTTCTGGCAGTCGGTGGGGAACACAAGGAATACGGACTCTGGCTGGCAGGTCCGCTGTAACCGCGCTGCCATCGTCGGGTTTGTTCTCGGCGACGGCGACAACCAGCAGGAATTTGTCTTGGATCCTGCCGACGTCAATTGGGAACCCGGCAGTCAACAGGACGGCTGGTGCATGGGCGGCATACAGGCCAACGACGGGGTATGGCATATTGGAAAATTAGTCATTTGCCGCTGACTCTCGTTCTAGGTCTTTTCTGGCGACTGGCTACTCGGTGACACATTCCTCCGGGTAAGTTTTCCTTGCTTCATGTGTTATCTCCCAGACACCGATTTCACATTGTCCATACGCAGAACGTCTACGCTGTGCACCATGCTGCTACGAATGCAAGCTCTCACAGAATCGGTCTTCTCGGTATGACAGACCCCACGGCCGCTCTCGCCCAATTTCGGGCTGTCCGCGGCGACGATACAACTGCACCCGGCCAGGTGCATTCGCGCGCGCCTCGCTCAACTCAACTAACTGGTGCCGACGTCTGCGGTGTTGCTGTTGTCTGCGGCTTTGTCTTCGGCGTTATACTGGCGCTGCTCCTTCACATTTGGCTCGAGCCACGTAGTCGCGGTCGTAAAATAATCCGGTACTGAATAGGACTCTACAATGTAGTGTTACATGCCGGCAGAGCTATTGTGAATACATGGAATCACAGAGTCCTTGTTGTACAGATGGCGGGAAGGTGTATACATCTCATTGTGAAGCAGGTCCCTTCTGACCTGCCGGGTTGTCGTGGCTGATATAGCCCGGTTGGTAACCCGGTTGATAGCCATTCGGAGGCGGCTGCATGTACCCAGACTGCTGGCCGTGTAAGCCTGGTTGGGAAATGCCCCGCCCCCCGGGCTGATGGTTTCCACCCGGTAAGGCAGGTTCCCAGCTGTGTCAAGGCTTGAATACGCTATACCATTGAGCAATGGAACGGCAGCTCACTTAGCCTGGAGCGGGATGTTCCATTGGCATATGGAGCACATCCAAATGCGGCTCGACTTCATCGGAACGAGCGGAATCCAGCAGAGCTCGAACCATAGCCTCGACTTCGCGCTGGTTACAGATACTACCGAACCAGACATGCATGAGCGAGATGTCTGCTGAACGAGTGGTGCGAAGTATTCGGGACTCACCGTTGTTACATCTGGGACACACCCTGGGTGTCTGGTCACCGTCCGCTTTGATCTTGGTTGGGCATCCGACTGTCAAATAAGAGCGGGTCAGACGAACGAGATTCTACTACTGTGAGCAGACCCTCAGTAAGAGGCGCGTACAGATGATCGGGAGGCAAACTGTCAGAAATGGTTCCGCGTATCAGCATGTATCACACGGTCTGAAGCAGTACACGCGCACAAATGAAGTCCATCACGGAGCGAAGCTGTTCGACGACGCTGGAGGATGCAAGATGAATGGTACAAGTCGAGTCGTGATACCAACGCAGTGGTGGTGTTGAGAGAGCGAGGAGGGCGCTGGCAGTCGAATGTGTGAGCCGCGCGCAGCGACCTGGAGTTGTGGTCACAGTGTGGTCAACTTGTGGAGCATCCTCACTCCGCATGCACAGCAACACTCCGTTACGTCAGCAGGCAACATCCCGGTTAGGCAACTACGTTCGCTTGGGTCTTTGCGAGACGTACGTTGCGAACTTGCTCTTCCGCGGATCACACCAGGCTGGGTAATTAAGCCGTGCTCCTGTGATGTCTGGAGTCAAAGAAAGACGAAGTTTCTCGACATAAGTGGTTGATTCCGAAAACTGACCCTTCTCAGTCAACTCAGAAGTACTAAAAAGGCACCAACCGGCAGTTCTCCACATGCTGGGGTGCGTGATGCGTCGAACCTATCTTTCTGGTGCCTATCCGCGGACCTTGAAGGACGCTCCGGGTGCTGAACGAAATCCGTAATCAAGTATTCCGCTCGGAGCCCAAGCTGCACCAAGTGGGGCATCGTCACCGACACGATGGTGCAACCCGGAGAGGTCCTTGTTGTACCACGCGACCGTGATTCTGTTACTGTACAAGGACTTCTGGTCTGACACATGTACGGTTCACGATGTCGCCAAAGAGGATATTCTTCGGTATGTCGCCGCTCTTCGAATGTCCGGTACTATGATCTGTTGCATGCCGCAGAATTGGGGTGGCAATGTCTGACCACTAGGTTAGCCTTCCGAGCCGCACACATGTCCTATAAATCTGGTGACATTCTTTCAGACATGCTCCGGAGAACGCACATTCGGCTGACTCAATAGACGAGACACGTAATCTGAAACGGGGAAGTCTCCCCAGTCGAAAACGGAGCATAGACTCGATCGTCACTGTCTTGTTCTGTCCATGTGGAGGTGTTACTAGGCGCATTATGTTCTTTAGTGCCGGCCTCCCTTGGTATGAGCGAGCCTGACTCGCAAGTCTATGTGGCGACTCACCGCCGTCCCGCGAACCTAGTGATTCATAAATGAGATGGACACCATTCGAAGTACGTCCGGTGCGCTATCTCGGTAAGCACTATTATGACTCATCACGACCGTATTACTCCCATGGGCCGTTGCATCGCAGCACTTCAAGTTGACGCTACGATCTCGCCGTCCGAGTCCTTGTGGCCCCGTTCCGCCAGCCTCATTAATGATTCGTCCCCCATACAGCGCGTGGTGGGCAGCAACCCGATTAAACAGAACCTTCAGCAGCATATTTTGTGGGACCCTGCCCCAGAAAACGATTCGCACCGTATGATCATGGTAGATGACGATGATTCGAAGGTGTAAGCCCGAGTGTTCGCTCGGGTGCCAGTGGCTAGAAAGACTACGCATAAGACACCGGAGATAGAGCACTAGCAGACGGGTAGCACGAATCTCCGAACTGCTGAGGGTGTAAGAGTACATTTGTTGCGATGCGCTGATTATTTGTCTGCCGGTATAAACTGGCGCCTCGCTGCTTCTCAAACATAAGCATGCGAGCCTAAAGCCTTCACGGCTGCTATTCGCCGAATAACGCTTCCCGGGAGCGCGGATGGCAGTGACTAAGATCAACTCGTCACGAGGAACCCAACGGTGACCGTAGCGGATTGTACTTGCTGTCGCTAGAGCAATGTGCAAATAAATTGAAGGTTCGACAGTGAATATTTGAATGACGAGCGTATGCTGACCTCACAGGTGACAGAGCACATATCCGATTGTAATCTAACTCGGCGGGCGCCGATAGACCACCTCGTTCCCTGACACGAATGCTACATAGCATCTTCTCTGAATTTGGTGCATCGACAGACGGTTCATCATTCTGATTCTTGATCTTTCTTTGTTGCTCACAGTGTCGCTTCGCGACACGCGTGCGGACTAAGCTACTCCAAGAATATATCCCGGTATGTGCACTTCAAGAACAACCAAACTCGTACATGCATGCGTCTAGACGTGCTGACTACGGCAGTCCGGACAAATAATGTTGTTAGTAGATACAGCTCTAGTAGAATGATATGTATCACATCGTCCCTCATATGCAATGTCGCGTATTATAGTAGCTAAATAGGTTTTGTGTGAGTAGAGTCCAAGAAGTGACCGCTGACCATGATGCTCCCTAAAATGGACAGGCTCCAAGACACAAAGAGATTCACATCCCGTTCCTCGAGCCTATGGATATAGAGAAGAAGCGTTACCGAATTGACGAGCATCTCCGCCGACAGCAGACGTCGAGGCAGCAGTCTGGTGACCAATGACAGCGTTCGGGAAGACCACGGCGCTGGCATCGAAATAGTGCGCGGACGTGAAATCCGAGTCGGCGGCTCCCGGCAGCAGCGCGGCGGACGAAACGTGCTGGTTGCCTGATATCTCGCCGCTGGCTCCGTAGCTCGGGTAGGCTTGCCAGTAGAAGACGTTGTCGAAGCCCGCGTCGCCTCCGCGCGCGTGGCTCGCGCCTTCGAACGTCAAAGGTGAGTGGTTGACCAGGGACGCTTTGTGGTGGAAAGCGGTGTCGAGGGACAGGCCGTCTGGAACGTGGTGGGAGAATGGCGACGTTGGCGACGCACGGTCGGACGACGCCGATCCTTCGTACATGCCCGTGCCAGCACTACTCGGCGGAGTTCCTGCGGGCCACGAACCGCTTGAACAAGCTGTACTCGGCGCGGATGCCGGACCCGCCAGAGCGACGGTAGAAAGTGAAAGCGATAGAGGAGGCACGCTGATAGGTCGTGCAAGGGGTCGTCTGGCGTACGGATGCTCGGCGGTCAATAAACGGAGGCCGTCGTCGTGAGGGCTGTTTGTGAAGCTACGAGTGCGACCCTGAGGCATTTTGGACTCCCATATCATCCTCACCGTCTGTTCTCGCTCTTCACACTTTGAGAACGTCCAACGCATCTCGCGGAGTGCTTGCAGACAGGTCTCAATGTCCTCCATGCTTCCGCCTTCACCAGCAAGAAGGAAGCCAGCAAAGAAGCAGCCGTCGCGGATGAAAGCAGAGTCGAATTGAAAGAAGTGGGTACCGAGGTTTCGTCGGAGAATCTGGACGATGTAACGGACCGTCGTCTGGCACTTTGCCCCTGCTTTGGCATACAGACGTGTGATTGCCTCGAAGTCCCGTGTTCGGCCAGACGTCTGGGCATCAGGAAGAAATGGTGCCTCGGGGGAGGGGCGTGCAACGAGGCGTTGCTTCAACGCTTCGCGGACAACGTTGACTGGGGGCCCATCGGTCAACGACCCCGCGGGCATCAAAGAGTAGAAATGACTTACGGCACTCAAATATGAATATCTGGATCCGGAGGTGAGTCCGTAATGAACATGACCAGATAAGGCGTAAAGCTCTCACCTGCCACCCATCAATAAACCTTTCAATATCCTCCACTTGTACAAAGCCATCCGTGCCGAGATGCCGAAGTCCGTCGAAGTCCTTCCAGCATTGATCAAGTATCTCCCAAGCATCGTGGAGCTTGTTCTCGTCGATCTCACGGCATTGGCGTGCCTTGGGTCCCGTAAGTGCAGCGTGGATATCACGACATACCGACGCGATTCGAATGGGGATTGCAGCATGGCGGGATGAGAAGGCATAGAGGGACGAAGTCCCCGAACTCTCCGCTGCCGGCGGAAGGGTTCTTTCGAAAGAGGCCAAATCGTCATCTGTGCTATAACCATATGCGCTTCGCTGTCAAACTAGGCTTCCGATACTCGATTGCTGAATGCACTCACAGCAAGATCCTGCCTCCCCGCAGACCACAAGTAACTCCGTCGATGACGTGAGCATACCAAAAGATCCGCGCGCGCACAAGCGCGTCCACGTATTCGCCGTGACCACTGTTCACGGAAGCTACGGAAGACAGGCTGCAAAGGGTGTACGCCTGGCTAATAGTGGCTTCATACATAGCCTAACGGTAGCCAATGAGCATAGGTGCCTTATCGATTCGTGTCTTCATGTGCTCACCAGTCGTTCCATGGGAGACTGCACCTCTAAATCAGGAAGCGCCGTTAAGACCGCCTTTGGCTGAGGTATGAACGTTGCACTCACCCTGAGTCAGAGGAAGGACTAGAAGAAGGGCCCTCACGCCATCCCATGATGGTTTTCGCAGAATGCTATGGATGTCGATGAGAAACAAAATTTCCTGAACCATCTCGTTGATGCGGTCCCTCCTCCTGCGCGGGCTCACTTGACCGTCGTAGAGCTCCTCTACGCCATACTCGTTTACGCCGAAACTAGCAGCCCAGACAACCAGGATGAGGGCGATGAGCTGCCCAGGCGCTTGTAACTGGTCTTTGTTCCCCTTGCAATATTCGTAGTACCTGTTACAGAATTCCACAGGTTCCAGTATAGGCCCTGATCCATCGTTAAGGCGTGAGTTGCGGAGGCACCTGTCAGAATAGACTCACGCTGCGTGTAGAATCGGTGGAAGAAAGGCGAGTTGAAGAACTCCGGCCGTAATCGGGGAATGACACTCCGAGGCGGCGTGACAGAATGTAGGGAGCTCTCTTCCCCAGCGTTCTGGCCATAGACGGCCCTGCACAGGGAGTATGAACTCGACCAAGTATAGCACAATGAGGGGAGACGTACTCGACTTGTTGCAGGCGCCTGCCGCGCCTCAAAAGTTTGACAGCTTTGACCTCGGCGAACTCGTCCCTAGATGCCAGACTATGTCAGGAACAATCCTCTCACGATACTCACGGCCGACTCGTACACGCATTTCAAGCCTCGCTCGCTGCAATTGGAGCAGGGTGGGTGTTGGCCCGATGGCGACATAGGTAAATCCTTCAGGTCGCATCGAACTCTGGATCATCGCTGTTAGTACATGACACGGCACGATGACACAGTAGCATTCAAACCTTCTCATACGACACGCGCCGCATGCTAGAGAACCATCAGACACAAGGATGCGAACGGATGATGGACTAGACGCACCGCTGTATTGTTGGCGTGTAGACTTGGGCTGGCCGGGTACTCGTTTCCCTGGACGAGGCGAGGTAGAGGAGGATCGGCTCGTTGTGGTCCTCGGAGACATCTTGGGAAGACCAAAGCAGTGGGCAGGCCGGCAACTGCGATATGGGAAGAACACCGGACGTGGCCATGAGGCGCGAGGGCTTTATAGGTGACGGAGCGACGGCTCCAAGGACGTCGACACGAAGCCATCGAAGTTGATGAGTTCGCCATAACGGGATTTCTCAACAAGTGTCCTTCCATACGACTATGAAACGCAAGACGTCTCAGAACGCCGGCGGCTTGGGGCAATCGCGCCCTCGACAGCATTTGGCAAACCGTCTGCTGGTGATGGGCGTCCAATGGTCCGTCAGAACCAAGACCACGCCCCTACCTTGGATGGGGCGGGGATTGGCTGGCGATGGCCACCTTCCCTGACCCCATTTACTCTAACTGCCCGTTGCAGCTTGGTGCCACCCAGTCACAGTGCACTTTCAAATTCGTAACGACATCAGAGGATGTTGCCGCATCCCGCACTGTAGGGCCAATCTACCTTCTTTGGCGGTGACCTGTCCCTCCCAGCTCAGCCGCATCGACCCCATTGCTTGCGGATCGCGAATTCAACGCACTGCTCCGATTAGGGGTGCACATATCCCACCACGGTGGTTGTGGTACGTCTCCGAGGAGTTAATCGAACACGGTGTCGACCGAGTCCCGCGACGCAATGCTGCCCTGCGAAAGTAATCATTCAGCGCTGACACGTCTTTTTCTTCGCTTGTGACGCTTCCGTGCACGATGTGATAACACGTTATAACCGTACAGCGGCAGGCTGGGCACAATGGTGCCAGCACGAATACAAGGGCACTCACAGGACGGGAGCACTGTCAAACACATCGCCGTTACAGTCGGAAATTCAGTCATTTCTGCACATTGGCATGCTCGCGGAGTTCGTTCGGCGACTGCCGCAAGCCGGTTGACGCCTCAGCGCTCAGCGTTTGGGTCAAGTTTGGGTTGATCCATGAACATGCATTCACGGGTGCAGCATCGTCGGTCGACTTTCGTGTGCGTTCTGTTGATTGTCAACTGGTTCTGATCCTAGTGACCAGGAAAGCGCGGTTTCTCGCTGCGCCGAGGTACAGACGGTGACCGCCTCCGTAGCCTGCGAAATGCATAGTATGGTCTGTATCTGATATCCAGCGCATTGACATCTTCCCTGACGGATCTTAACATGGAAGCCAAGACAGACCGTTGCATTCCCCAACGCCCTTTCCTGGTATACACGTGCCTATCTGGTGCTCACACCTCTCTGAGCCGCGCAAAGCCTCCGGCCTTCCGTATGGCACGTCCTAGTTCGCCGGCAGTGCGTTGATCAGGGTTGAGTTTCCTGTCCTTCGCCATATCTTCCACATCCTCCCCATACTTGTGAACGAGGCGTCGGAGAATTGCATTCTCGCCCGTAGACGCATATCTGGGTGGGCGAGCGCCACGCTCTTGTGACATCTCTTCCAGCGCTGTAAATTGACACCGCGGTAAGCGTCAATCGGCGACAGTAAGCATGCAATGTAATAGCGACGAAGATAATGAATTTCCGGACCAAGGAACAACTCACCTCGAACGACATGTGTCTCTGGAGCTTTTGATGGGCCCGATTTTGTATCTGAACCTAGTTCAACCCAGGGAGCTAATTGCTCGTCCCGCGAGGCATCCGGTAGATCCTCCATTATCTCGTCGGCGAGACCATGTTCCTCTTCTTTCGGCAATATGATGTCAATGACGTTGCCATTCTCATCTCGGACAATGCGGCCATAGCCTTTGGGTACACTCGTATGTGCGTTCACCACCTGCTGAGAGGTGGATGCTTCTGGCGTGACCGACGCATCCGCAGTATGGGGGTTGCCGGCATGGCTCGCAGGCCGCTCGACGCCTCCTGATGCTGTAGGGTTCAATGACGCTACGAGGCCCAGGGCTTCGTAGCTTCCACGGCGGTCAGGTGAAATGCGATATGTCGTCATTGAGAAGCACGGCGAACTAACTTTTGTCTGACTGTTTTGTGCCTATCCCAAGCGTCCTGAAGGACTTTAGGGGCACGTATAGCTGTTGGGAACGGAGACCCGGTCAGTAAGCACAACCCACGTAAAATGATGCAGCAAGACCCACGGACGTGGTTGCTTGTTGAGGTTCTTTTTTGCCCTACGAGAATGGTGCACTGGCTTGTATGAACCCGAGCGCGATTTTCTCCTCTGTCGCGGATTTGCCATAGTCGGTGTACGGTAGAAGCTGTCGAAGACCTGCTGATCCGGCGGAAGTGCGCAACAGAGCGAGCCGACTAGAAGCGGAGGCCGATAGAGCCTGACCGGAAGCTGAAGTATCTCAGCGAAGGATGGGAGAAGTTGACCGAGGACGATCAAGTGCAGAACCAAGGGTCGCTCGAGCGCTAACGGGCCCGCGCGATGTCGGCTGCGACCCAACGCCGCACGTGCTCGCAGGTCGCCGTTTGCCCGGGCACGGCCGCTCTGCCCGACCACGACAGCCATCTCTTCAACCTCATCGTCTACCGCGACATCTCGTCCGCACACGCAAGCTATGTCTCGCTACTCGCTGCACGTAGAGCCTGAGCACAAACGGCCCCTCACTGTACGTGTTTACGCGTGTTCTACCGCAACGTATCCGCCATTGACTTTAACCCCGTCCCGTGCATAGTTCGTGCGCCGCTGGGGAACCAGCCTGGGCCTGTGGGGAGCCGGCGCAGGGGTCATGGCCCTATACGTATGTGCCTTCCGACTGGGATTCTTCGTGATACTGAAACGTCGGCCTGTGTGCCGTACCAGTTCCTGTCCGTGACACCGTTGGTAAAACGGGAATTCCTTTCCAAGCTCCCTGCGGTGAGCAAGACATTCTTTCGATCTCGGCCCGCATGTCTAAGTCGGCTTTAGGTGGGCGGGTACTGGCAAGACAAGACCCCTGCGTCGGACAAGCCGTTCTAGAACCGTGTTCTTATCCGCAGCTTGAATAGATTTTGGGTCTTTGACCCGTAGCCCTCCGACGTGTGTCCCATGCAGCGGTACGATATACATGGCAGCGGCAAGAAGATGTCCAAATCGCTAAAGCTTGTTTGAGACCGGGCTGGCACCTCCACGGTCACCAGTCAGGTCGATTCCCAACTTCTCCTCCAACTGTTTGATTGCGCCCATCGAATTCCCGATGGGCACGTCTGCGGGAGGGCTCTAGATCAGTATGGAATTTCCAAGGTACGAGCGATCGAAGGACCGATGCGTCGACTCACGGATCGTCTCCATTCCAAGGCTCTGAGCCACTTTGAGGTTCCTGCAGTCTCGACCGTAAGATGATATATGTAAGCAGGGCCACCTAGCCCACTCACATTCCGAGGTCATCAAGGAACACGGCTTCGTGTGGCTGAATTCCGTTCCTCTGGCAAGCCAGGAGATAGATCTCTGGTTCTGGTTTCCTATGAGATAGTGAATGATCGTCGTCGTCTCGAAAGATGCCAGAACTCCGTACCTCATTCCCAAAGTACTGGAATCACAGAAATCATCGAACAAAGCCCGCAGTCGAGGCGGGGTCGGGCCTTCCTGCCAGCCTAGGAATGCGAGCTCGGATTCTGCGGTAAAGCCTGGATAGTCCTCCGCCGACGGCGGTGCTTCCCCGATGCTGTCAGCGTCGGCTTTCGAGAAGTTGTTCGTGAGCGCGATGACACGCCATCTGCCAACGCCTGATTGTGTCTCATGTCGAGTCAGTCAAGAGGCCTACCCAAAGGAGTGCAAGGTGGGAGGTACCAGCCTCGGATGCGGCTAATGGCCTTGACCACCACTCCGTCGAACGATCCGCTCTCACGCATCATGCGACCAAACAGCTGAGGGTACGCTTGAGTTATCGAAAGAGCGCAGCGTCTTGTCCTTACCTCTCTTCCATTGATATTGAGCGACTGGGGGAGTTTCGGGCACTCTGTCGAGGCGAGGGATCAACATTCTCAGAAGTTGTGATGCGCCACTAGTATCAGAGAATCACCTATCCCCTTCCGCTTGCAGTAATCCGCGTACCAAACGTTGTTCATCTTGGTGTCCGACAATTCCCGCCCGAATGCCTCGTAAAACAGGAACAAAGTCATTTCGCCCCGTTCGAACTTCTGCCAGGCGCCGTGTGCGCCTCGCCCGGTTCTGAGAACATAAAGCCCTTCAGTATGCGCACCACATTTTGAATTAGGTCGGATTCCACATTGCACAGTTGATATAATTGTTGGGGATTCCATACTCTCTCTCATACGCGGCGATGGCGAGGAGCGGGCTACGGCAGACGACGCCGCCGACCTGGAAGACATCAAGGTGAGCATTCGCGCCGTCAGAAGCAGGGTCGGCCCATTAGTAAAGCGTACATCGAATATTACTGCCTTCAAGTGCGGGGACGACATGACGCACTTGTGCTGCAAGCTGCCATCACGGCAGCGGGCAGCCACAAACTTAAAGCTTTCCGCTTAAAGACACAGGCGCCTATCTAGGTCGCCGGAGGATTAACACGTGGTCCGAAATGCGCGCTAGCTGCGCCCTGGGCGCTTGTCGACCGAGGTGAGATTGCGGGCTCAAGGTCGTCAGAGCGGGCCTCGGAGGCTCGTCGTGTACATACTGGTACCGGTGTCCTCTGAACTTTACGCTCTGCATGTAATTTCGCTGCGCTGTCTGCTGCGTATACGCTCTCTGAACTCTCGGACACCTCTTGGTTATGCTACCGGCGTACGGGCTTATGCTGCCGCTCCGCGGGATCGACGAAGGCGGAGCATTAATACTCAGCGGCAGCAACGTTGTGCTGTGCGCCGCCTGCTGCACGTCAATGTACACCGCCCACGGCATCGCATACAGGACGCCTAACGATTCTGACTCCATGGCAGAATCGCTCGAGACGCCCTATATGTAAGGCACCGAGGGAATGTGGTCCTCTCCGTACCTTCATCCAGCGCTTCTCGACACCCGCTCTACCACCGTCCACCATGTCCATACACTCGAACCATAGTCACCACCACCATCACCACAGCCGGCACCATACTCCCTCCGCATCCTACAGAGAAGCACCCCTCTCGGCCACACCGTCCTACGGCAGCGGCTACGGCGGCGGCTATGGCGATCGCGCCATCACACCTGCCGCCCCTCCGCCTGGGGCAGATCCTCAGCTCTGGCAGTGGTTCAGCGCGGTAAACGCGACGCATTCCGGAGGCATCACAGTACACGAGCTACAGAACGCTCTCGTAAACGGTGCGCAGAAACATTCTACATCGTGAATGCAGTTGTGCTAATCAGGATCACGTTGTGTTACGCGATCAGGCGATTGGTCGAGTGAGTGTCAGCGGTTCATGCGGAGAGCATTCTGCTGCAGGGTCTATGCCGGCATAGAGCGTAGGTTTGCTAACGGAAGCCGTTCTTGTAGAATTTGATCTCGACACTGTGAAGATGCTGATGAACATGTTTGTAAGTGCCCCAGTTTTGCTCAGCGTCACCGGCCATTGCTAAGAAAGTACTAGGACGTCGACCGAAGTGGGACGATAGGGTTTAATGGTATGTCGAACATAAAGCGCATCTGAAAGCGTATCTCACCACAGGTACAGAGTTCTGTGGCCTATGGAGATACATCCAGGAATGGCAGGGCGTATTCAGGCACTTCGACAAGGATCGTTCCGGGTCTATAGAAGGCTACGAATTGGCCGAAGCAATGCGTAGCTTTGGTTACAATCTCTCGCCTTCCATCCTTACGCTCATCGAGCAGAAATACGGTGCGTCTCCTAGCGGCCGCCCTGTCAGCGACAGCTCACCGTGTGACTAACATATATCATTACAGCATCTGCACCTGTAAGCGGCTACGGCCCGCCGCCTGGCATCACCTTCGACCGTTTCGTGCGTGCTTGTGTAGTAGTGAAATCACTCACGGAATCATTCCAGAGGTATGTATGCGTCACTCGACTCATGCTATGTTCGTTCAAACTAAAGCATTGATTCTTTTCAGGGTCGACACGGACAGAGACGGCTGGGTGCAACTCAGCTATGAAGACTTCATGAAGGTGCGTGTCTTTGTGACCCTGCGCCGCCTACTGTTTGCATCTGACTTACTTTGCCGGCAGATTGTTCTCAGCATGCCTTGATATTGGCTGCCAGGAGTGAACGGCGCGGGGATTCTGTGACTCTGTCTGAGTGATAACGATTTGTCGAGTTCTCCTTCAGTGCTGTAGCGATAATGTAGCGTCTGTTTATTTGTAGTTGTACCGTCAACTTGTACGGGCGTTGAATAGTCCCTTGAGCAAACGTTATCGCTCTCTCCGTGTCTCCCGGACACCTGGTGACGTACTCCGTATTAGCCATCATAATCATAATGCCAGCCGTGCATCTCGCCGTACGCGTGTTGTGCGGCCGGCGGGCCAGAGCATCACTTGTTCAGATTCGCGTATTCAAAGCAGTCTAACCAACGCCGGGCTGACCAAGGTCGCTGCGTCGGTTCAGGAGCTTTTGCTCTCATATGGCAAGGACTCAGGAGATTGGCAGAATCACAGTACTTCGCGGGAGCACTAGAGGGTCACATTGACGACGGGCGGGACGTTGATCCGCACCGGCACACCACACCGAAATATTGCGCGGTCGGTCGGGCACTTGGTGCCTGTGTGTACGCTGTAACTGGCGACGATGCATGGCCTGTCCTGTCCAGACGACCTGGTGAACATGACCACCTGCTGTGGTTCTTGGAGGATGGCTGGATCGTCGACGGTCGCATGGGTGAGGAGGAACTCGAAGTCGGGTGGCGCGGGACACGGTCTGCGCGTTTTCATGTGATCCGCCTTACTGGTCCCCGGTCGACGCTCCCCGGGATCAACCCCAGTATATTGCACTGACAACCACCCATGCTCTCTCGTCCGACCGCCATCTGCCGCGCCCCCTTTCTACCCCAGACGGCCCCGCACTCTGCAAGCTAGGACCTGCCACCATGCCCGAGTACAACATACCGATTCCATTCCCGGCGAATCCGGACTATTCGCGACAGGCCGTCGAGGTGCCGGGCACCAGGAAACCTGGGCAGACCGGTACGTAAACTGCCGCAACTCGGACGCGTATAATTGAGTGACGCATTCGTCGCAGGACATTACCGCTCCAGTAGGTGCTTCCTTGCACCATGACGCGTGAATAAGGTTACAGAGCCGTTGTCCAGCTGCATACCCGTTCATGACACTCGAATCCCCCGGCACTCTCACGACATGCTGGGAGATCTTCGAGGAGGGTCTGCACAGATCGAAGGGGGGACCTCTGTTTGGCCGGCGCCCACTCGTCTCCACGAGTCCTCTCAAGTTCGCAGATCATTACGAATGGGATTCATGGCATCGGATCGACGAGCGAAGACGAGCCATTGGGAGTGCACTCTGCAATCTCTTCAGGAAGGGAGTGTTGGGTGGAGGACAACTCGAGACAGTTGGGATCTGGAGCAAGAACTCCCCAGGTATGTCTGACATCTGGTCGCGTATCCTCACTCGTCTCATTGGCTGTAAAAGAATGGCAGCTCGTGGACACAGCCTTGCATGCATATGCCAAGGTAGGTGTTGCGTTATATGACACGCTAGGGAAGGACTCCGTCGGTAAGCATCTACATGAATCCGTGATTGCGTAATGCTTGACTCGAACAATTGTTCGTGTTCGCCAGAGTACATGTAAGTGCACGAGCTACACCGTAAGGGTGTTCAGATTGTTGAATGGAAGCACAGCATCAACCATGCCGAAACAACTGTAGTGTTTGCTACCTCAGACCACGCGCAATTCCTGTTGCAGCTCGGGCCTTCAGTTCCCAAATTGAAAATAGTCGTCATCATGGACGACATTCCAATCGAAAGCAAGAACATTTTGGTTGCCTGGGGCAAGGATAAGGGCATACAAGTTCTGGGTCTACTCGACTGTATGTGCATGACGGCAAATGCATCGTTATTCGCTTGCGCATTGACTCTGCCGCCCCAATACAGTAGAAGCGATAGGTGCGGCTGATCTCGTCGAGCCTGTCAGGCCGGGGCCGGGCCAACTTGCCACGATCTGCTACACATCGGTAAGCTATCCATCTGTCCACCTGGCAGGGAAGCGTGGCTAATTCACCGGCAGGGCACAACTGGAAATCCCAAAGGTGAGGATACTTTCGCGTGAGCGGCGTGGGGAAGTGGACTGAGCGCGATCAAGGCGCACTGTTGACCCATGGCAACCTCGCCAACGCCGTCAACGCCCAATTGACTGGGTACGTCCCAGATGGCGACGTTTGTGCCATTTCCTACCTGCCCTTGGCACACATCTACGAGGCACGTCCACCAAGTGTCCGCTCTCGACAAATTCCGGCCCGATCTGATCCTCATCATTCACAGCGTGTGATGGCTCTCTGCAATATTGCTATGGGCGGGCGCATCGGATACTCTACGGGCGACCCGCTGCGCCTGCTTGAGGACATGCAAATACTCAAGCCAACGTTCGTCGCCGCCGTCCCCCGCGTGCTGAACAGAGTGTATCAAGCTGCGATGGCCAACGCCTCGGCACCCGGCTTGAAGGGTATGCTCTTCAGACGCGCAACTGAAGTCAAATTGCAACAGCTGCACGCCACTGGACAGCGGACGCATGCCCTGTATGATCGCCTGGTGTTCAGCAAGGTTGGTGTCCATCGCTCGCCCGCGAGACGTCGTGCCTGATGTCCGTCGGGACAGGTTGCTGCCGTGTTCGGCGGTAGGGTCCAGCTCATGTCGTGTGGCTCTGCTCCCATTAGCGCCGCCGCCATGGACTTCCTCCGGATGGGTATGGGATGTGACCTTCTTGAAGGTACAGAACTCTCCGTGGTGAAATTGCTATTTTGCTGATGACCATGTGCACCGCCAGGGTAAGAGATTTTTGTGCAGGCGCTGCCTCTCAATGTTAACGTCGGGCGCACATCAGGTATGGAATGACAGAGAACGGAGGAACTTGTACGCACGTATGGCCGAACGACCCCTCATCAGCTGGCACCGTCGGCCCTCCCTGCGCCAATACGGAGATTAAGCTGATTGACGTCCCTTCCATGAGCTACTTTGCCGAAGACAAGCCATTCCCCCGAGGTGAAATCTGCTTCAGAGGAGACCACAGCTTCCAGGGCTATTACAAAGGTCTCGTCCGTGCCATCGAGTCCGCGTTCATGCACTGCTGACGTCCGGCGCAGACGAGAAGAATACGAAGTCTACAATTGACGCGGACGGGTGGATTCATACCGGCGATGTTGGCCTCATTGACGAACGTGGCAGATTGAAAATCATAGACCGTGTCAAGGTGAGGGCGGCCCAACCCATGCACCGATGTGCTTCGAGGCATGCTGACGGGCGGCCCTGTAGAATATCATGAAGCTGGCACAGGGCGAATACGTCGCGCTCGAGAACATCGAAAACGTCTACAGCTCATGTCCGCTCGTCGCGCAGGTCTTCGTGTACGGTGACTCACTGCAGTCATATATCCTCGCTGTCGTCGTGCCCGACCCTGTGCTCCTGTCGCAGCTGTTGTCTAAGCTGGGCAAGAATGTATCGTCGGATAACGTAGCAGGGCTGCAGGAGTCCTTGAGTGACCCGAAAGTGAACGTCGCGATCCTTTCGGAGCTCACGAAGACTGCGCAGGAGAACAAGTTGAAGGGGTAGGTTCTCGTCCTCTGGGGAGTCCTGGTTACTGAGCAGGCTTTCGCGTGCAGCTTCGAGATGGTGAAACGTATACACCTCACCATGGAGCCGTTCACCGTCGAGAACGGGTGCCTCACACCAACATTCAAGATCAAGCGGTACGCTTCTCTCCGTTCAAGTTCGTTCTACTGGATCGCGCTGACTTCCGGCCATAGGAAGGAAACTTACGAGAAGTTCAAGAAGGAGCTCGATGCGCTCTACGCCCTCCCTCTATCTGTATCATCCAGGCTTTGATCCATCGTGGTGTCGCAACATTTCGAGATTATGGTCACATACACGGCTTGTTATACGATAAATCTGTTGAGGCATCTCAACGACGTTACTCGGTGACTCACATAAACTGTCCTATGGCATATGTTTTCGCTCCTTTTGACTGGCGCGGGTCCGTTGCGTTTGTCGAATGGTTGCGCTCGCAAGTGATTTCGAACAGGCGATATATAAGACGAGAGACAGTATCGAGCCGAAACTTGGTGCGCACTCTCTGCATACACATCTCAGTTTCAGTTGAGGGCACTCTGGTCCCGGCCTGCATGTTGGACTTTCATGTGTACCGCGCATCAACCTGTAGGGCTACAGGATTCGCCTGAGATATTCGTAGACGTTGATAGCATCGCGACGGCCGCACGGGAATACATTCCCTGGGTAGACAAAACATCTAGGCTTTTGATCACTCATTTAAGTTCAATGCCCTGGACCCCAAGACATAACTTAGCACATGTACGCTGGATGTGTACATGTGTCGTGGGATGTTGGCGACTTCGATCCTTGCATGGGTGTGCGACCAACTAGATTGGACGTGCGCTGATCGTTAAATCGAGCAGACCTCGTTGTGCCGCATTGCTCGAGCATGGCTCGCAGATCTTCCCTGAAGGATGACCCCCACGGGAGGTGCGGTGAGACGATGTGGCTAGCCTCTAATTTTGGAGTTCGATACTGTTGGGCTTGAATAATGGCACTGGCAACGGGAACGAAGATCTGTTGTCTAAAAAATCACGCCCAATCTGGTGTCGCTGCTTGCTATGGGGGTCGCAGCCGCTCGGTAAATTGGCGGATGGGAGAGAGGAGATGTATGAAATGTGTGCGTGTTCGGACGCGTGGAGGACACGTGACCGCGACTGCTTGGGCACTAAGTAACTTACTAAGTACTGAGTGGCTACGCGGTCGTTCGACGACACAGCCATACGCGTCTACGGCCGCCATATATCTACCCTCGTATCACTGCGATGGGACTCAAGTCGTTCCTCCGCTCTCTATTTGCCCACTGCGGTCATGGTTTAGCCATGACGGGAAAACTGCAGTGGGCAAATAGCGAGTAGATGATGGCTACCCCCACAAAGAAACTGCAGCACAGCCAGCTACTCCAGCCAGATGTGAGCCAGCCGCTAGATCCGACTCGGAAGAGGCCCTTTGATATCAGTCACGGAGCTAGCGACCTTGACGCAGCTCCGTGACCAAGCAGATAGCATAGTGCAGCGACCGCAGGAAGCAGGGAGGCAAGGGGAACTGCGCGAGAAGGCGGAGAGAAGGGCAGCGGAAGAACGGAAGCAGATGGAGGTTGCAGAGAGGCAGACAGCGGAGGAAAGGGCCCGGGAGGCGGAGGGAGGAGGCGGAGAGGAGGGCGGAGGAGGAAAGGAGGAAGGCGGAAGACCTCCAACGAATGTTGAATGAGCTGCGCGCCGTGAGCGCGCCTCCACGATAGTATCTGTATGTACTTTGCTCAACTGTCACAGCTGCAGGCACCGCACCCGCGGCCACGCCGACTGACGGCCACGGCCAATCGTCAAGCGTCAAGCGTGCGCGTGAACGCTCGACTCACATTGCCATCGTCACCCCGAATGGCCTCTACTCTGCTGTTCGTTCTATTCGCTATTGCTCCCACCTTTGCCCTTATTCATCTGCAGCCCCGATCTGACGATATCCTTCCTCTCGATAACACATCTCGCTCCATGTTCATTACGACCTGCGTCGCTCTGTCAGTGTTGTACCTCTATGCTCGCCATCCTTGCTTTCGTGCTGTCGAATGTATTCACCGACTTATGATTTCATGCCACTGTTCACAATTACTGTCTTGCATGAATGATCGTAGAGACGCCGTACATACCGCGGATTCGTATAGTGCGCGATGCGACGGTCCATGCATATGGCAGCTGTGTAGGTACGATAGCACCCACCCGTCATCTTGCTATTCATCGACAGTAGTGAGCCTTGTTGCACACGAGGAGTACCGCGCGTATTGTCTCTGCGGTACAACAGCACATGCCATCCAACAAACGGTAGCAAGGATCTGGCATGAACTCGTTAGTGTCGGCAATGGCCTCTCCCTCAGATAAATCACACAACACGGAACTGCTACATACATTGATTTACTCGACAGCAACTGCTCTAATACAACAGAGGAAGGACTTCGACAGACGACAACAGACGACAAGAATGAGATGTAATCGGAACATGCGTGCACATCGTCTACAGATGCGAGGGTGAAGTGATGAGGAATCAATCGTTGATGTTGTCTATCATCAGGTATGGTGGAAAGGGGGGAAGTAGGGGGGGGGACTGCGCTCTTCTACCGGTCCAGATAGGAGAGAAAGGGAGTCTACCTGTGGCCGCAACGCCGGCGAAAGGAAAGATGAGGTGACGCGGATGCAGGGAGGAGTTACTTGGGGCTGGGGCGCGCACGGCGGCCCTCTGCGATCCGCCGCGAGAGCGTCGTGCCGAGAAAGGAGACGACGGCCATGACGAGCACCCAGAGGTACCGCAGGAGGAAAGAGTCGAAGCCGTTGGAGAAGGCGAAGAGCGAGCTCGTGAACGCGGGGGCGAAGGAGCGCGCAAAGCACTGCGTGAATCGGGTCAGCGAGCGATCTTCAATGATTGGGGAGGGGATACGTACCATGAAGAATTGGCAGAGACCGTTAGTCGAGCCGAGTGCCGACGGGTCAGGAGCTGCCTCTTTGACGAGGATCATGCTCACACTGACAGAGCCATAAGCACCGCTGGCAACCTCAGCGCGGACAATGAAGACTCACGAATACGCCAAACAAGCCGTCCTCGCCGTCAACAACAAGCCGGCGATGCCCATCCATATGAACGCCTTCGCCGCATCGCTCACCTCGCCCGTCGCCTCATCGAGGCCCGCGCGCGCAATGATGTTCAGCCCGGGCATGAGCACGTAGCAGAAGGGCCAGATCGCCATGAAGACATTGTACATCCGCGCGTGGTCGAAGCGCTTGAGGAGGTACGGCATGAAGAGCAGCTGGAGCAGCACGGACGCGACGCCGGACATCGCGAGCGCATAGCCGATCTGGTGCGTCTGGAGTGCGCGCATTAGCCGGGTGCGGGAAGGATGTCTCCGGACCCGGGTATAGTGGGATCTAAACGCACCTGGAAGTTGAGTCCGCCGCGCTCTACGGCGGAGTAGGAGAAGAGCACTGGGCGAGGAAGCGCGTCAGCTCGAAAGCCATGCGCGCCTAGGATGCAAGGACGCACCGAAGGTTACGTCGAAGCCGGTGTTGCTGGGTGGGGCGCACGTCAGTGGATTATGATGGCCGCGGCGGGCACGAGGCTCACAGGAAAGCGAGGGCGAATCCACTGAGGCAGAGCGCTTTAATCAGCGGGATTGACAGTAGATACCGGATGCCCGCTGTTTGTGGCGGCTTCTCAGGATCGGCGCTCCTGTGCTCAGACCCGACATGCCGCATCGGTACGTAGTCCCCCCGGTTGCATTTGCTGGGCAGCGTCTGCGGCGGGCCGTCAGTGAGGCCTCGTGTGCACGACAGGGAGAAGCTCACCTCCTCGAGGAAGAGGTACACGAGGAGCGCTCCACAGACGGAGAGGCAACCTGCGACGAAGCATGGCAGGAAGTAGGGGTACTCTCTGAGGAAGTCATAGTCGAATAGATCCGGAAAACGCTCTGCGGGATTGGAGAAGGTGCCGCCTAGTAGGGGACCGATGATGGCACCAAGGGGCCAGAACAGACCGTAAATAGGGAAGGCTATCGCCTGGTTGGTCGAGTCGGTGAGTTCTCCAAGCACAGAGTGGATGACGGCAATGTTGCCGGAGAAGATGCCGGCTGCGGGGTGTGAGGGACGACATCTCGAGCGGTGTATGATGCAATCACATACCTACGCATCGGGCCAGCAGAATCCCAGCCAGAGTGTGAGCAGTGCCGAGGAGCATAGTCGATAAGCCGATGCCCAGTATGCCAGTCAAGACCACCGGACGACGACCGATTTTGTCTGAGAGTATTGTATGAGCAATACGGTTAATCACGGTCGGAATTCCGGCGGCTGCTCACCAGAGAGCATGGCCCAGTTGTAGATACAGCATAGTTGCGAGACAGCAAAGCTGCTCTCGACCATTCCGCTGTAGAAGCCGATTTTAGAGGGGTCATTCGTCAGGTGTAGGCGTTCCATCATCTCATTGACATAAGGGAAAATCTGAGTGAAGGCAATCGGGTCGACCAGTCGAATGGCACAGAGCGTAGCCAGCTGGGCCCTCGGCAGGGGCGTAATGCGCTGGGGCGCGTCCTCGTACTCGAACTTTTGGTCCTCGAGGGCGCCATGGCTGTTTCCGACGTCTGCATCGTCGAAAAGGTGTCTCGCGGCCTCACCGTGCGCGGAATCGCTGGAGGAACCGGCCTTGAGGGACGCCATGACCGCGCTGAGCAGGGGGAGGGTTCGGCGGCGAGGGGGCTACACGCGCCATAGAAAGGGCGAGGACTTATAGCTGCCTAGCCAATGACGCTGAATTATGGAGATGGAGATTCTGATCACGGTGTAATCATTTACGTCTATAAACAAGGAGAAGCGGCTACTTTGCAGTGCGCGGGAATCGTCTTGTATCCCGCATCGGAAGCGCGAGTACGTCCTGCAGCGACATCGGCGTAATTTGTGCACCATGAGTGACCGACGATCCGCGCAGACCGTATGCTCGCGCGGGCCTCTCGCTTCCGCATGTTTGTCGCGACAAAGCACAGGGAGTGGGAGAGGCACCGTGGTCGGAGGAGCGGAGGAGCGTGTCTGTGCCGTTCGGCGGATGGGTCCAGAATATGGCGAAGGACAAACCTGGGTCACAGTACTGACCGGGTCAGGCAGCCTCAGGCAGCGTCAGCAGGGCCAATGGAGACGTTCCGTGCCCGACAGACGCCCACCGGCACGCGCGCCAAACAGCGCCAAACACGCAGCCACCAGCGACGCCGATCCGAGGACCCGCAATCGCCGCCCACCAACTTGGCCCTGGACGCGTACCGCCGCCGCCATTACATACCCCTTCCCGCTCACAGCCTGTATAACACCATCCTACCATGTCCGCCTGTAATGCCGACGACTTTGTCCTCGTCGCTCCCCGCCCTGTCCGCCTCGCCGCCCCCGCCCCCGCCCCTCCTTTCTCCCCCTTCCAGGGCGCCCTCAACCGCCCCCAAACCCGCGTGCCCGGCGTGCGCTTCGTCGCCGATGGCGTAGATCGCCTCAAGTTGGGCGAGGACGTCTTCCAGACCCAGGACGACATCGTCAGACTGCCCCCGCCCGAGCCTGCCGAGAAGGACCCTGTATCTCCTCGCGCCTCTCCCCGGTATGTCTGCCTCCCTGACCTCTCCCCCGCAGGACGCGATCGCTCCCGATCGCCGATGAGCCTCCCGGTACGTTCGAGCAGAGTAAAGCTGAATATCGTGACACTTTCTCCAGGTCCACCTCGGCCGAGGTTCTCGAGGAGTTCCTCTCCATCCTCCAGTCGTCGAGCTTCCGCTTCCAGCCCACCTCGCCCATCCTCCGCACGAACAATGGGAGTGCCTCGCACACCTTCTACTACCGTGCGTCCTCCAGCCTGGGTGGGTCCCACCCAGATGGGCTTGGGCTGTCGTCCCTCGGAGAGACCGCCGACGAGATGCGGAAGGATAGCGCTACGCCTGCGTACCCATTCAAGCTTATCGGGTCTGGGTCCCTCGGTTCGTACAAATTTTTCCGATGTTGGTCGTTGCCAGAAGCTGATCATCTGACGCTTGCCGATGCACCTCATGCAATCGTTCATCTGTACGTATTCAGCGTCGCCTGTGTCGCGCACGCACACGCGCAACCCCTTCCAGCGCCACCCATCCTACGAGAACGCCATCGCTGGCATTTTCCGTCCGCTCTCCGCGTCACCTGGGCCGCTGTCCCCGGGCTCACCTGCCATAGTCTCCATGTCCCCGGCAGCGGTTCCCCTGCCCCTGCCCACCCCCGACGAGCTAGAGGCAACCTCATAGAAGCCCGATCAGCACACCGGTCAGGAGTTTCTCCATAGACCGCTCATCTCACCACGTTCTTTACCAGCCATACACTATCTATAACCCTTACCAGAGCTATCGTCGCCCCTTTCCACCCGTGTATCTGTACCACTACTGTAGATCTGTCCATATTTACGGCGCACCATCCTGTCCACCGTATACCTCCTGTCTTCTGCGTTTACTCAGGCTCTCTTTTGTTTTGTTATTACCCTCGATTGATTTGCTGCTGATCCATATTTGCATAGCGTCTCGCGACGGCTTTGTCGTAGCTCTTTCCTGTGGTATAGTCTAGATTCGCTGTAATGAAGCTTAAGTGAAGAGTCGCCTTGTGTTATGCGTCTGCTTCTTGTCTGAAGACCGGAAGCTCGTCCTGCCGAATTCAAGTAGCCTCTGAGCGATCTAGCAAATCTTTTCGAATCACACAACCCATACAGTGAGTACTTACCGAATTTACGTTCGTGTTGTACCAGGGACCACGGTACCGGTATCATATGGCGCACCCTCGCACCATACGGTGACCATCCCTTAAGCTTCATCTTTACGTCAACCACCACCGTAGCATCGCAAGCTTCGTCATTGATGACCTGACTGAGGACTGGTACGGCGGTCGTTCCTGCATCAGAGGTCGCCAGAACCAATCATCGTCAAAATGCCAGATAGAGGGAAACCACCTGACAGTGAGGTGTACGTTCTACAGTACTCAAGGGGACGTCCTCCAAACTGTTCTGACGACTATCGTTCAGATCAAGCTCAGAGGCACGCGTGCCGAGCTTACGGACGGGCTACTGCACTGTCCTCTTCGCCGTCCTCTTCTTCCTCCTCGGCAGCTACGCTACGCTCTTCAGCGCGTTCTACCCGCACACCGGCATCCCAGTGAGTCCACACCCATACCCGTCACGCTGTTGCTAGAATGGAGTACTGGGGCACAGATCCTGGACGTGCTCGCGCGGGACACGCACTACAAGTACTTCTTCCTGTTCTTGATACCTACGACATCGTACTTCGTGATCGCGAATTGGGTCGGGTGGCAATACTACCGTAATTCATGAGGGCATGTGGCCAGCGCGGCCCAACAGTTTTGAGCCCTGCCTGCTTCGAGGCGCTCGGCAAGGAGATGGCGAAGACGAGACGATCCCCCGAGGTGCTCAGGAGATTGGGCAGTACGTGAGACAAGAAGCTAAGTACCGAGTTATAACGACGTAACGAGGCGAGTTCTCGGGACCTTCATTCCGCCGTTCTGCTCTTCTTCTTCCCGCTCCGTCTACCCTCCGTCTCCTCGTCCTCTACGTCTTCCATCGCGTCCCACACATCATCGTCATCATCCGCCTCCTCCCCTGCCTCCTCGGCACCCTGCACTGCTTGTGAGGCATCTGCACTCTGATCCCACACCACGACGGTCGGTACCGCCTTCATGTACAGCTTGTCTAGGACTTCGCCCTTGTGCTCCTGCTGCTGCCCGGGCTCCTTCGGCGGCGGGAACGTGCTGTGCAGGCGGAGGAAGCGGTCTTGCGCTACGGAGGCGAGGACAGAGGGCGAGTGTGCGACGGAGGACACCGCACCGGCGATACCTGTAGACACGAGTGTGTAAGTGGATTGAGGAGGATGAGTGGTGAGGAGGACAGTACTTTTGTACCCGTAAATGACGCGTCCGTTGCGGAGGTCGAGAGCAAAGAGGTTCGAGCCGTTATCTGAGACGAATACCTCGCTGTAGGAAACGTCAGTTCGGGATTCAGATACACTAGACGGGATACACACTGCTCTGCGAGCCCGTTCTCAACCATCCTGACTCCACCGACTTTCCCGATGCCCTTCCAGTCGGCTACCGGCCGGCGCGCGGCGCGGGTGTCGTACCGGCGTACGTGGCCATGGTGCGTTCCCACAAGTAAGTGATGTGAGGAGGCGGAAGATGAGGGTTGGAGGTATGTCAGGGAGGTGTTATGGACAGGCTGCCGCAGGCTTAGACCGTCATTGGGTACCTAGACACAAAGTAGTCAGACGATGCCTCGATGCATGGATAGCGAGCAACGCATACATTTTTTGCTCTCCAGACTTCTCCAGGGAGCAGTTCGCCGCCTCTCTTCCTCTTTTTGCTCTCGGCATCGGCAGGGATATTATCTCGGGGAGCGAAGGCTCTTTCGGTATCCCAGACGGACAACTCTACCTCATCACCCCCATACGCAAACGTCTGTGCGTCATGTGAGAGCCTCCACTCACATAGCCGCATAGGTAGCACAGAGGTTTGCGCTGACGGTGCAGAGTCCCCTTCTCCTAGGGTTGTCGCACGCAGCGCACCGTTCGATGTACATGAGAATACCCGCCTGTGTTCGAAAATCAGGATGCAAGGCCATTCAATTGAAGGGATACTTACTTCTCCGATACCGACAACCCGACGTAGCGTTGCCCAGGTTTCAGCCGCGCCTCCTTCCATTCAGCAACAGAAGAGACGGATTCGTCCTCCTGGATGCGGTATATTGACGCAGAGCCATCACCACGGGCTGCAGCTAACTTTGCTTGAGCGCGTCAACGTCAGTAACTCACATCCAACAATTGACCTGCATGACTCACTACTTTGTCTGTTCCGACGACGGAGAAGGCAAGCTTCTGCACGGGTACAGGCCTTGCCTCAGCTGGAGTGCTCGAGATTATGTGTACCTCCGGTTTCCATTGTTTTTCGACGCTGTCCTGTAAGTAACGGACAGATTTGACGGAGCCGAGCTCGTCGCCAGTGAAGAATCGAGGCATGGCGAGAGGTCGTCGAGAGAAAATGACGGTGCGCAGATCAGGATCTCGCTCGCGGGCGATCGAGCGTTGCAGCCACGTGCGGGTACCGGGGCAGTCCCGCTCGCAGGCCGTCTACCGTGCCGCCGAGGACGTCTGCTCGCGCGACCCACGTTCTCCTATTCATACCCACAGGCCGCTATGGAAGGACCTCTGAAGGAGCTTGGGAGACTCGAGAAGCTCGTATCTGACTCCTCCTGGAAGGGCAAGACCCCGAGCATCAACGACTCGCTAGACTCGCTCTTGCATTCGCTCCGCGAGGTCAAGGACAGGTTGCAGGTCGGCACGGCGACAGATGAGACGCTGACTATCCTGTCGAAGACCGTGGAGACGAGGAAGAAGGAGATAGATGACCGGCAGAAGGAGGTGTATAACGCGCTTGCTAAGATGGGGAAGGCATTGGATAAGGTCCGTCGCACAGATGCAAAGCAGTAGACACATACTGATGCCCCAAGCAGAAGTTCCATACTCCTCTGCCGACATATTCTCCCTTGTTCTTCTCTCCCGAAGCGAATGCTGCTCTGGAGCGAACGATAGCACTACATTTCCTCAGGACGGGCCAGTTCAACACAGCCGAGACGTTCATTGAGGTGTGTCCTCGCCTTCCCCCGCCTCTGGTATGCTGAACATGGTGTAGGAGTCTAGCGTTGACATCGATGACGATACACGGCGACAGTTCAAGAAGCTTCACGAGATCGTGACGGCTCTCAGGGAACAGGACATCGGCCCTGCGCTACAGTACGTACCAACAGTGGCACCGTCGCAAACCTCACGTTTACCCAGCCGCGTCCGCACAGATGGGCCGAGCGCAATCGAGAATTCCTCCACAACCGCTCCTCACCCCTCGAGTTCCTCCTCCACCGCTCCCGCTACCTACGCTTCCTGACATCAAATGACGCACGAGGACAGTACGCCGCAATCGCCTACGCCCAGGACCACTTTCCGCCCTTCTATGGCCAGCACGAATCCGAGATCCGTCAGCTCATGGGGTGCCTGCTCTACATGCCCATCTGGCGCCTGATAGCGTCGCCGTATGCCAACCTCGCATCTCCCTCGCTGCACCTCGACCTCGAGCCGATGTTTGCGAAGGAGTATTGCGCCAGTCTGGGGATGAGCAGACAGGTGCCTCTAAGGGTTGTTGGCGATATTGGTGGTGGTGGGGCGCTCGCCCGTATAGAGAAAGGTAGGAAGGTCATGCGCGAACGCAAGAGCGAGTGGAGTCATTCAGAGGAGCTGCCCGTATGTCGTTATTCCTGTATACCCTGGTATGACGACTGAGGATTGCTCTAGATCGAGATACCGCTACCACCGGAGAATAGGTACCACTCGATCTTTGCTTGCCCTGTCTCGAAGGAGCAGTCAACAGACCAGAACCCGCCTATGATGATGGGCTGCGGGCACGTCATCACGAAGGACAGTTTGCAGAAGCTCAGCAAGCCTGGAGGGTGAGTTGTATCTCAACTGTTCACATACTGAGGTAAATTGACTGACACCTTCCGCAGCCGCGTGAAGTGCCCGTATTGTCCTGTGGAATCGCAACTCAGCTCAGCTCTCCGTGTACATTTTTAACCCATCGGCATTGTCGTCTTTGTATCATGTACCATAGATCATGGACTGTACCACCACCCTGTGCATTATACATCTGTAACACCATCCGTCTGCTGGACTCCTACGCAATGGCAGCCACGCCGGTATATGTCTGAGAGTCAACTTTCAAGTTTTACATCGGCTCTGATGTGCTCGGAAAATTGCGTAACGGTGGGGCAAACCAGTGTAGTGGGTCAACAATGAAATGCGCTATGATTAGCTACACGTACTACTACTGTTACACGGCAATATCACATTATGCTTCTCCATGCTGTAGTGGTTTTCGTGCATAATCATACACCCACCCTAGTGAGGCATTGAGGGGGCTACGAGAAGATATGGCAACCCTCAAATTCCTGTAGAACCGCAGTCAGTACCCATACCGCATAAGAGCACAAGCATCTACTCACGTCCGCAGGGTCATTAAACCTCAAGTGCATATCGAGCCCACTAATTCTCTCCATCTCCTCCTCGCTCAGCATCCAGCTCGTCTCGCCCACGCGCAAGTTCAACTCCTGCAGGCGCACGTCGTCCGCCTTCGGGACGACCGCGAGCCCGCGCTGGACGGCCCACTTCAAGAGGACCTCCGCCTGCGTCTTATTGTGCGCGTCGGCGATCTGCGTGACCACGGGCTGCATGAAGAGGGAGGGCGCGTGGAGCGCCTTGGACATCTTCAGCTCGAGGAAGCTCTGGGGCCCGAAGGAGCTGTAGGCGGTTACGGCGAGGCCTTGAGACTGGGCGTAGTCGACGGCGCGCAGCTGCGCGTTGTAAGGGTGGATCTCTGGGATTCGGTGTCAGGTGGTCATGTATGGTAAGGGGAGGGATAGTGAGGTGCTCACCGATTTGAAGGATGGCAGGCTTGACACGCGCGTACTTCAGTAGGTCCATGAGCAATGCGCTGTTGAAGTTCGATACGCCGAGATGACGAATGAGCCCCTCGTCCACGAGCTCCTCTAGTGCTTCCCATGTCTCGCGAATCGGGACGCGTGAGTGCCGGACCTCACTCTCGCCATCATAGTACCAGCCTAACTTGCGATCGTATGTACGCAGCATAATACTTGCATAGGTAGTGAGTGCCTACCTGGAGGATACCGGGTCTCAAAGGGAACATAAGCTAGTGATATAGCTAAAAGAGCGTTTCAGCACTAAGGATTTACCGTAGGGTAAGTCAAGCACATACGGAAGTGAATGTAGTACAGGTCGAAATATTCGACGCCCCAGTCTTCGAGGGACTTCTGGACGGCAGCGCGGACATGTTCCATCGCATGGAAGGTCTGCCAGAGCTTGGAGGCGACCCAGACGTCCTCCCGCTTGACGACGCCGTCGGCGATAGCACGCCTCAAGCCCTCGCCGCAGACCTTCTCATTTCCGTAGTCTGTCCATACGTATAGAAGTCAGAGTCGTACTAGATGCACCAAGAGAATGAGATGTACCACAAGCGCCATCAAGGAGTCGGTAACCGAGCTGGAGGCTAGTGTAGATGGCCTTCGGAGCGATCTCGTCAGAGTGTTTCCAGGTGCCAGCGCCGATCTGTGGAAGCTGGCTTCCATCGAAGAGAATAATGGTAGGCTCCCTATAGTGTGGAAGCTTGGCTGGCTTGAAATCCTTGACCATGGTTGAGTGTGCTGAGTATGTTGTCGATACCGCTCATGACGAGTACGATGAACAACTTATACGACTACGGAGCATGTTCGGGTGGATGGCGGCGGGAAAACAGCACCTAGAGGCACGTCTACCTTGGTCGAGGGGCAGTGAGCCAGAGCCGGAATGCATCTGGCCGTAGTGGGGAGTGCACTTCCAGACTTTGCGCCGGCGGTGGACAAGAGTGGGCACCATGTCAACGCAAGTATTTCTGGCATCGGGGAGCGTCCAGAGCCTGGTCTAGACAAGCAAAGCTACCCCGGAACCGAAGACGACGGCCACGAAGAGCGCCAAAGCACGTACCAGGGGAGGAGGAATCTCGGGGTAACCGGGACGGGCTCCGAGGTAGTACTAGGGCGTGGGCAGGGCCAGAACCTGTGCGCAGACAGGCCTGTCTGGCTCTCGGATTACGGCTTTGGTGAACCTTGGACCAAAGCGTGACTTGACTGTGAAAATGAATGATTAGCATAGAGGAACGCAGCACAAGGCTGAGCCTCACCGTGACCACGTCGGACCATCTACATAGTTTCCGGTCCCCAGCCGCGTTCGAGACGGGTATCAGGCCGTGAGTCCAGGTTATCAACCTTGCAAGCCCTTTTTGAGCGGACGCAACGGAGACTAGCGAGTAGCCAAGAGTCGTAGCAGTTGAGGTGAAGATGTAGAGTTCACCGACGGCGCCTGACAGGGACGATCGTGTGGCAGAGCGCGTCCTAAGGCCTGAACAGAGCAGTCTAGGACATGAATGTATACGTACTACTAGTAAGCGACGGTACACCGCTGTCGTTCGTGATGCTCCAGCTCCTGCCCTAGCAAGCAGTCGAACGATTGCGCGTCACCTCTTGGGCTGCCCCTGTACGTCAGCTCGCCTGTCACTCGACGCACACCCTTGCCGTCGCGCTCCCTGTACACCTTCCACAGCCAACGGACGGCATGCTCCACGAAATAAGGCCCGACCAGATACCACTCAATCTCCTCGAGCGTCGGGCAGGCCTCTGCTAACGCACGCATTGCCGGGGCGACGTACTGGCGTTCGCAGAAAGCCTGCCACACGCGCATCGGCAGGTGAGGGTCATGCATCACCTCGTCGGGGTTGATAGTCTCGTTGAGTACGTCCTGGATGTCTTCTATGAATTGCGCAACTTCGGCGTCCGCGAGTTCGTGGAGCAGCCGGAGTTGCTCCAACGAGAACGGAGCGCCTTCCTCGATCTTGTGATGTCGAGCGAAAAGGTCATCCATTCCGTCGACCGATACCATGTACGGAACGTACACGGGAGGCTCAACCTGGCCCAGAAAATGCATAGGGTCCCCAGCACGCCAGCGAAGGCGATCCATGTCGCCACAACAGAATGACAGCTTACGCAACCTCGGCCACTTCCTAAGGCTCGCGGCGCAGGACTGCATGAGGTCGCAGAAGCTCCAATGCCAGTAGTCCGTGCGGTAGCCGAGGCGTAGCACCTCCAGCTGCGGAAATAGGGGCGCCATATCGTCCATGAAATCGTGGAACCGGGCGATCTTATGACCCCCCTGTTCATAGTCATCCTGGTCCTCGACTTCGATTGCGAGACCGGTAGCCGCGTACCGAGGCTCAGCTGAGCCGCTCGAGTCTCGCCATTGCGTGGCCCGGGGAGAGAGTGGGACGCGAGTAAAGGCAAACGTCCTGAAGGTGATGAATGCCCCATCGTGCGGTACGTGATCGCGGTGAGGATCGACGATGTCTACGGCCCCATTGCTTGTGCCAGAATCATTGGGGTTGCCCCAATTCCCGGTGCCGTCGATGAGCTTCAAGAGGCCCGCGAAGATGAGAACATTGTCGTCGAGAAGGAATGCCAGGGAGATGTTCACCTCCATCAACGTCGGGTGGCGATGGATGAACTGGTACAACGTTCGCGGATGGCTGCTGGCTAGCTCCAAGTTCAGAACCCGCAGCCTAGGGAAGGTGACTTTTTGCATATGCCCGCAGAGCCAGTGCGAGTGTTTTTCCTCGAACACCATCAGCGTGGTGAGCATTTCGTAGGGTGGGAAGACCGATGGGTACCACTCTGAGGACAGTGTTTTGGTGAAATGAAGCCGCAGCGTCGTGAGCAGGGGCCAATGACGGAAGTCAGGAAGGCCCTGCTTCTGGTCCCAGACGAGTTCAAATGTAGTCATGTCTGGACATAGCCAAAACAGTGCGAGCGCATGAACGTCGGCTCTCACGTCCCAGCAGCTGAAAGATCGTAGTCGGCGAAAGGGAAGACAGAAGGCCAGGTCTTTCCACATGTTGGCCTGCGACACGTAGAAGGTGTCTGTAAGGCGTCCAATCTGTATAGTTCTGATGGTGGTGTCACAGCGGTGAACAGAAGATGAAAGGAGGCGCAACGCACCTGACTTCGTTGGCGAGGTGCGTGAAGTTCTGTTGATGCTGGAATTGATCTAGGACGCGGACGAGCGCAGTGCTCGAAGGGAGAACAAGCTCTCGTAGCATGAGACGCGTACAAAAGCCACGCAGGCGTCGGTCAATGCGCAAGACAGTGTTGAGCCTGCAGTAGCGTTTCGGGATGCGATGGGCGCTGTCACTCGATTGGCAGTTCTGGAGAATATCCCATATGAGCTCCGAGGGGAGCGCGCTGAGGCTTGTGCGATTGAAGTCCATCTTGACAGAGATGGAACACAGCACAGGCGGCGAGCGAGGGAGTGCAGCATGAGTGCAGCGACTCGACGATGCGGAGCCAACGACTTGAACGGAGTTCAGTAACAGTGACGACGCCACCAGACGTGTCACAGTGTGACTGATCGCGTTGAAGCCCGTAGGCGCGTAGCACGTGCTTGACGCGCGGGTTGACTGCTGCCTTCGTGGCTTTGCCGACCCTCTTCTTCTCGTCTGGACTCCTCGCGTGAAGCCTTGCCTTGGTCGTCTCTTTGGATGCAGCTGGCTGATTTATTGGCTTGCGCTCATGTCGCGATTTAGGCCCGCCCGTGCCTCGTCTCCTGCCAAAGTCCCCAGTGTACCCGCCATCGCTCACGAGATACTGGATGAATCGCGATCCTCAAGTACGACCTTTCCCGAACTCGCTGGCCTTTCTCCGGAGGAGGTCGACTTTATCGACGCGGTAATTCAACGCGCGCCAGCCACGTCCACTACGTTTCTGTCGGCGTTCAAGGCGTACAACGATGTCCTCCAGGACCGCGGCCTCGATCCGCAGAACGAGGTCGTTTACTATGGGAAGCTCTTGAAACTTGGCCTACTGAAAGGCAAGAACTGGGGAGATAAGTGGCACTCGATTAAGCAGCAGCACGGCTATGTTGCTGGAGCAGCAGGCGGTAGCCAGCGGACGACGCGAGTTGCGCGAGGTAGTCCTGCTTCCCATAGGGTTACAACGCGACTGACAAGAGGCCTCGCCAAGACGGAGCTCGAGGACACATTCACGCTTCACTCCCACCCCAACGGCACACAGTCACCCCCGACAGAACAAGATATGACCGAGAACGACACCGCAATGCTACAATACCATGACACGCCCCGCCCTGCCCGCCGGCCGTTCTCTCCGGCGGTCACCTCTACGACGAACTCGTTAGGACTTCATACGGGTCCGCCATCGTCACGATACTACCCAAAGACAGCCTCTCATGCACCTTCCAGGCCTGTCCCCCCATGGAACGACGCAGATTCTGAGGTCACTGGCGACTCTGGCGCCCCGCCCTCTACGATCCCTCCATCGTACGGCGCTGCGATGAGGGACGGGACTCCCATGCGCCCCGCTACGCATGCCCTGTCTCGGCTAGCAGCGAAAGGCCTGAGCCGCCCTGCGTCGCCGTCACCCGCACTACCTACAGCGCCGAAACCAGTACCCACCGCAATTGAGCGTCGCAAGAGCGCCATCAATGAAGATGACGCGTGGAAGAAAATCAAAGAGGCACAGGATTGCAAGGAAGCAGACCGCTTCCGAGAAGACAAGCTATTAGAACGTTGTTGGGAGGTCTGGAAGCAGGGCTTTCAGTGGATCATCGTATGTTAGTCCAGTCTTCGACGTCTCCTCTGTGATTGAATCCTGTCCCTAGACGACCCATGAACAAATTGCACAGGCTCGCGATACCCTCGTACTCCGCTTGGCGTTACAGCGTTGGCGTCAACGCACCGCTGCTAACCAGGACATCTATGCTCACGTGTCGCTTCTCTCTAATAAACGGTGCCTGAAAGCCGCGATGGAAGTGTGGAAGGTCAAGCTCAAAGAGAAGAAGCAGGCGGACTGGCGAAATTCGATGCGCGCACGGATGAAGACCGTCCGCGAGCGCCGGGAAGCCAAAATCTTGAAGGATGCTTGGGCGAAATGGCGACAGTCCTACCAATCGCATCTCTCTGCGCAGCACTACAATGAACGTCTCGTGTCGAGATACTTAAAGAGATGGAGAGCTCGGCTGGCACTGCTGGATGAATTGGATGCAGCGGCGGAGCACCTGGAATACGTCAGGCAGGAGCGCCAAGTGGAGAAGTGTTGGGATCTATGGCGCAGGGCTCTCGGGATGCGGAGACAGGAGAAAGTCATGGCGGAGCGTGTTGACATACGCATCATGGGTCATGCCATGGATACATGGAGAAACCGACTGTACGTCAGTCGCACCTATGTGACAATTCATTTCATAACTTGGCTTGTAGAAACCAGAATCGTGTGGCGGACGAGTTCTACGATGTGGTGATTGTGAAGCGTGCCTTCGGGGCGTGGAAGGCTGCTCGCGATCGGATACGCGTAGGTGGTCGCTTTCATTTGCGTCATCTTGAAACTCACCATTGTCCAGGCACTCGAACATCGCGCCGCGAAACATGTAACACGTCAAGACGACCTCTTGGTACGAGCCGTTCTAAGAGTTTGGAAGGCTCATGAACGGGGGAGGCTTCTGGACCGAGTCAGAAGTACGCGGCTGCTCAAGCAGGCGTGGGTTGTCTGGAAAGCACGCCTCCAGAAGCAGCGAGAGCTTGAAGGTAAGCACGGCCTCCATGGCTCAACCAGGGCCTACGCCTCACTGTCCCAATAGACCTTGCGATGGCCTTCCATACGCGATCATCGTCCACCGTTACCACTGCGGCTCTGCAGAAATGGCGTGGAGTTTATAGCACACATCGCAACGCTACCACTTTTGCCGTTCACTATCACTCTGCGCAGCTGCAATACAAGGCCCTCCTGACTTGGCGTCTCCAGCTTCGAGCGAAGCTGAAGATGATCAAGCAGGCGCGCATAGCACAGAAGTTCTTCCTCCAGAGAAGATACTTCAAGCTATGGCTTAGCCGTGTGAAGCAGCAGCGATTGGAGCGGACGCGCAAACGGTTCGAGATGCGCGTGGCTCAGCGGTACTTCATTGGTAGGATACTTAGCTGATCCATTGCGAGCGGCAAGTTGACATAGCTTATCTCGTCAGACTGGCTGGTTGTAACTCAGAAGCAGCGACAACGCAAGGTTGCCGAGGAGATCATCCGGCAACGTATTGATATGGTATGTGCAATGCTCAGTCCTTCGAAACAAGGTTGTTCACGTGCGCCACTAGCGTATCATAACGGCTGCTCTGTCGCACTGGCTTAACCGCGTCGTCGACATCAAGGACCGCGAGCTCGAAGTGGCACAAATGCGCGACAAAAGGGTCTTGTGGTGAGTCATTTCGCCACACACTGGTCAACTACGAGAGCAAAACCGATGATGCTGGTCCAGTGCGTCCTTCAAAAAATGGAAGGCATTGTGCATACGGCATGTCGAGGAGCTGAGTCTCATGGAGAGCTACCAGGACATCAAGCGGGAAGGTTTGTATCCCACGTGCGGCTTGCTTCTACTCAGGCTCACAATCTATCCAGAGAATATGCGGCGAATGTTCTATCGCTGGCTTGCAGCAGCCAAAAAGGCGCGACACAGGCGCCTGTACCTCCAACAGAGAGAGGACGAGCTGAAGACCACTGTCCTCGCAGCCGCGTGGGACAAATGGAGGGAGCGCTTCCTGGATATCAGACTGCAACCGATCGTGAGTTGCTCCCGACGTACTCATACCCACTACGACTGATATGCGTCACAGGCGGACGACTTCCTGGTGCAGAGACAGAAGAACCCCATGTTCCGTGCCTTTGGCATTTGGCACTCAAAAACAAGGGTGAGTACAGGCAAGCAATCCACTCCATTGGACATTCATCTAGATGTCGTTGCAGTCGCTGCCTGCAGTGCGGTTTGACGCGTACCATACCAAACTCAAGGCATGGAAAGACTGGCGCGCTGCTATGCCCAACGCACTTCAGGCCAGGAAAGCCCGAGAGATCGATCGGCATAATGTACACGGTACGTACTGTCTTTGTACTTCTAGCACACGCTATCCTAACATCCGTACAGCTAAGGTCTTCGAAAAATGGCACAAGGCATACAGGACGAAAATCGAACTCAAGGCTGTTGCGTCAGTAGCTGACTTCTCTCTGAGTTGTACGACTGTACTGATAACGGATCGTCCAGTCGTGCGCGTTACCTCCGCCTCCCGAGTGCAGCTCCTCGCCAAGTCATCGAACGGCCTCGCACGTCGGGCTTCCCCACTCGTATGCGTTCCACAAGTCCTACGCTAGTATCTCCTGTCACACCGGCAGACCCACCTGTCGCTCCGGCAAGACCGTTCGCATTCAAGCATGGCATCGCCAGCTTGCTCTCTGCCCGTACAAAATCCCCCGAGCGAGCAGGAAGACGCAACATCCCCGTCCCAGGATCCTCACGTCCGAAGCTGTCTACCCGCGCCAGTACGACGCGCGCAACGAGTCCCGCCCCCTCGCAAGCATCCTCAGTCGACTTCAGAAAGGAGCCAGACCCGCCGAAATCACGCGCTCGCGCAGGGTCAACTGCTTCGGGCGGGGACATCGGGCGGAGCAGTCTCTGGCACGAACTTCGCGACATGCAGCTGCGCTCGCGCCCATTCTCAGATCGGGCTCGGTCAATCGAGCCGCCATGACAGTGCGGTGGACCGTTGATATATGGACGATTATAACTTATTGCACGTAAGCTATCGATACAGGTATGACAGACCCTCGACATGGATATATGTAGCATGTTATGCAATCCGCAATGGCCTTCGAAACGAGACGAACGACTGACATTAGAGAGTTCAACAGTCACTACCGGCCGCCGATCAGGCTCTTCCAAGTGTGCGCCTTCTCGAAACCGTTCTTGCCGAACTGGTCTACGGGCAGAACGTCAGTCAGTGCTACTAGAGATGCTTGCAGGTGAGCGACTCACAATCCAAGAGCGTCTGCTGGATCTCTTCCCGGCTTGTCATGACGAAGGGTCCGTACTGCACGACGGACTGCTCGAGCGGCTCGCCGGCAATCTAGACAGACAACATGTGAGCGATACAGTTTCGATGCAGGTGAACGCGGAGGGGTACATACTACAACTGCTTCGGTGTTGTCCGCCAAAGACGTGAGTTGCACGCCGTTCTCGTTCGCATCCCCAGAAAGCACTAGCGTGTGGAACGCTTCATGTGCATTGGGCTCCTCGCCTACCTTCAGCGACCCCTTCAAAACTGCATGGACGGGTCAATCAAACGCGCCAGAGGCTACTGGCCGAGCACCGCCGACTCACTGTAAATGAACGACGTCCAGCCCGCCGCTAGAAGCATCGTCATTAGCATGCCGTCGTCGCGCCTTTGTGACAGACTACGCTACGCACGGATGTCCTGGAAGACGGTCTTGTCCTTCTTGTCGATGATGACATGGAAGTACCAGCAGCCGCCGAGCGGGCGCACAGGCGACTCCACGCCGTGGCTCTTGCCGCTGATGACTTTGATCTTCACCCCGCCGTCCGGACCTTCCGGGAACGCGGAGGGGATCCTGCAAGCAGACGGACACGCGTGAGTCAACGCCGGCCGGCGAAGCGGGGGACCGAGTAACGTACTCTTCGGGTCCTAGCTCCTGGTATGTAGGCTCGACCATCTTGTATTGCTTTGGCAAGTCAATCCAGAGCTGCATACCGCGAGGCTCAGGGATGTCCGGGCCCTGCACGGGCATCTCTGCATGAATGACTGGCGGAAACAGGTTAGACTACATGGTGTGTAGAGGCGTTGCGATGCGACTTACTTCCGCGGCCCTGTGGACGGGGGCTGAAATGAATACAAATGCAATTGCACAGGAGGGCCTGCACTCACCGCACACATCCACTGAACACCACCTGTCTCAATCGTGCCCTTGTGACCGGCAGAGTCCTCGTGCCGGCTCGAGCTGTCGTTGAACGGAGCATAGGTTAGCATCCCCCCGTGCTCATCGCAGATGAGATGGGCATGACTTACCCCTCCAGCATGTAGGTGACAGTTGCCTGACCCCGGTGAGGGTGATCCGGGAAGCCCTGCAGATACCCGGTCAGTCGCAACGACCTGGGCGGAATCACGGATGATGCTCACAGCCCCCTTGGACACATGGAAGTGGTCTAGCATGAGGAACGGGGTGAGGTTTCGTAGCTTCATGCTCCCGATAGAGCGGCGCACGAGGGCACCTTCGCCCTACTCCAGGAATTGGTCAAAGCTGGCTCCGGCGCGTGTATAACATGAGCAACCCACCTCGGCCGTCTCGACGGCGAGGACCTTCTTCACAACACGCCTTGAAACTGAAGCAGCCATTGCAGAATGCGGTAGGTTGTCTGACTGCACGGAGTTAGTGAAGATGTTGAGCTGCAGGAGATCGTCGAATCGGATGGGAGATGTCGCGAGGAAGTATGCAAATGTGAGGACGATCGCAGCGAGGGCGACGGTTTTATACATGCATCGAAATCTGTAGAACGAATTGCGATGTGCTTATGGAGGGCATCGTCGGGGGCGAGAGAGAATATTTCTCGGATAGGCAGAACAGTCAGCAGGAGAGCGGCGCCTTGCCATGTCGGGCACATTTCGCGCACAACGCCCCGTCGCGCCCGCGTCTCGCACCACGTGCTGCGAACAAGTTGCCTCTTCCGTCTGTCTCTGACCAATCTGCATGACGAGAGCAGCCGTGCAGTCAAAGTCCTCCTCTGCGCAGACAAATTCGGTGCATCTAGCTCTATCTAGCTTTAGGCGTACATAGGGTGGCTATGACTGCCAGACGTAATACTTAGCCGGGGGCGTCGTTAACTAGTGCATCCTCGTAGTGCGCCATCTCGACATCACGAGAACATCGCCATACTGGCACGTTGGGCGCGTGTGCAGGTACTTTAATTCTCCCCTCTGCCCTAAGCCAGCAGCGCGCGAAACCCGCAGTAAGCCATGAACACTTCGAGGCCGCCCTCGTCAGTACCGGCGAGCCGATGAACCGATAAGGATGTCGTGAAAGGCAACGCGATGGAACACACGCGCAGACTGGCCATGCGGGGTTATACGCAAGATGAGGAGGTTTATCGCCGAACACAAGAGTTGCCTTGCCCGAGACGATGCGAGCTCACGCACGCCGGGAGATGTCAGGACGTAAACATGAGCATCCTCAGACACAATAGTCCCCTCTGAGACCTGCACTCTATACAGCCGTGCATACGCGGTGGAGGTGTCGTAGTACGCTGAGGGAGCACGTGAGGCCTGATGCGCCCACAAGTTGGGCGCTTGGGCGCTGTTGAAGGCACCGATGAAGATCTAGTCTGGCCGATGCGAGCATCAGTCAGTGCGGTTCCAATCGCACAAACCTTGTCGGCGCATCCTCCTTGTCTCCCACTCCCAGCTGCTCTCTCTGAGCCCCCAGCGTCGACGCCATGAGCAACGCGTCCAAGCACGCCGCCGCCGCCAAGCTCGGCGAGCTCATCGCCCGTCTGCCGCTCAACCAGCCACAGCAATGGGACGACGTCGAATCCACCGCGCGAGGGCTCGCCGACGAGCTGCGGGTCAAGGACGGTCAGAACCATGTACTTCCGCAGTGCCGAACCGTGCACCTGAGACGTTCGTTGTCATCCAGTCGAACAGCAAACTCTGCTGGGACGGTCCATGCTACCCCAGACCCTCACGTCTCTCCTCAAGGGCGCGTTCTCCGGCAGCCATATACCAGTCCCTCAATCGAAGACCGCAGTTTACGAGTTGTTACGTGTAAGCGCCAACCTCTGCATGGATCATGGTATGTGTGTTTGCCCGTCAGCGTACAGATGCCGAAACAAACTGCACATGTAGACGAGAACCGAGGCCATCTACTAGCATCCGGGTACCTGGACGCTGTGGTCCAGATGTTGGAGAACTATGCGATGCTGATACCATCTACGTCGAGTGAACCCTTGGCACTCTCTATCCCGGATCTGAAGGTTGTCAAGACGTCCATTGGCCTTCTCCTTAACGCTAGTATTGGATATGGTGCGTCGCGTGTATAGCTGGGGTACAGCATGATTTACAGGACCCTCAGAATTGGTGAAGGCTCGACTAACATCTATACGAGCTGCTATGACCATCTTGAAGCTGTCAATAGCCCTCTATCCTCCTGGCTCATGGCTCACCCATCCTGAGCTTCCAGTGGAGGGCGCATCTGATCCACAAGCTACCATCCTGGAGTCGTGGAACCTGAGAAGCGGGTTGTCGTCGTGGACGTGGAGGGTGATCTCGGAACTCAGGGACTCGGACGAGGAAGCACGTACGTCACTGTATCTTCCCGCTCGATAATCAGCTGACCCTAGAGGATCACATCCGAAGCTGCACAGACTCGCCAAATGTTCGGAGCCGATGCTCTACCCTATTTGGTGCGGCCGCTCAAGGCCTTCATTCCGCCATATCAGGAAACACCGGCTCTTTTCGTCGGATCGCCTGCTCGTCATGCGCTGGTGCAGCAGGACTACGATCTCTTGGAGGAGACTTGCGGTCTCCTTGAGTCCCTCTGTCTGGATGTGGACGAAGTGAGGCTCTCGCTTGGCCGCGTGCTCAAATCTCCTGATGGCTCAGAGGGTGGAGCTGCATGCCTGAAGGACATGCTCGAGTTCCTCGACAAGGGCGACTACCCACCCTATTGGTCTTCGGAGTCTTCATCAGAGCGCGCATCGATGGAGAAGGGCTTAGACATGTGCAAAGCCGCTATCGTGAAGGCTGTCGTGGAGGTCGCAGGGGAGCAAAACGAGCTCTGGGACGACTCTGACTCTGAGAAGCCTGGCGGAGAGTTCGTCAATACCATGGTGCAGTGGATTAGATCGCATGGAAGCCTCAAGGAAAGGCACCGCGAGGATCTGATCATCTGCGCAACGCTCAGTCTGGGGAACCTCGCCACGGGAGGCAAGTGACGCTATGGAGAAGCTGTAGCTTCAATCCGCTGATCCGCCTTCGTAGACGCACATTCTATTGCCCTTGTCAAGCCGCCAATCGCACTAGCACCCAATCTGGCTCAGCTCCTCGAGCCCTCGACAGATATCAAGGTGAAGCATGGCATAGTGGGGCTGTTGAAGCACCTCGCACAGGCACAGAGTAATAGAGCTGTCTTGGGTGAGGCGGGCATAATACAGAGGCTAGCGTCCTGCCAGATATGGGGAGAGGAGGCAGACATGGCGGAGCGTGTGCAGGTGTCTGCAATTGGCATAGCCAAATACATGTGTAATGCGAATGGTCAGTTGCGCATCCTCGAGCCTTTCCTGCCTCATTCTGACGCACCTCGTGTGGTTCCCGATCACAGTCGCAAACGTCTTCGCCCTGATCGCACAGCCTCAAGATGATTCGGCAGGCTCGGCCTTGAGTCAGATTCTGGCCCTAGTGCGTCGATCGGATTCTATCGCCGTCAAGAGCGAGGGCACCCGCGTCCTCGTCAATGTCATCAAGTCGCTGTGGTCGAGCGACTCCGCGTCCGACGACGGCGCGAAGGCGCAGAAGAGGAGGGAATGTATGGCGACTGTCGCGAACGCGAGTTGCGCGGCGGCCCTCGCGCAGCTCGTCGGACGCAGCAAGAAGTACCCTATCTTGATCAACGAGGGCGTGGTCGCGTTGTCGCTATTGAGCACACACGCGAGCGGAGGTGCGTCATTCGCGTGCGGCCCCGCTGACCTGCTGGCTGAGTGCGCATGGGCCTAGGCACGCTCGTCCTCGACGCGATAATGAACCCCCTGCCGACTGAGGTCATCAGGCAGCCGCAGTCGCAGCCCGTGTCTGCTATCCCAACGGAGGGATCACCAATCGCCGGGCCACGCACGGCGCTGGACATGTTGATTTCCGTCCTGCGGAACCCCGATACCATGCCTGCGGAGGTGCGGTCCAATGTGTGCGCACTCCTGGGACAGCTGGGGCGGAAGGGCGTGGTGGGCGAGAACCGTGCAGAGGACGTGGCGCGGATCAAAACCGCTGCGAAGGAGCTTCTGGAGAGTCTTGCAGCGGATTCGGAGGGGAACAAGCAGATGGCGAGTGCTTCTGCTAGACGCGCTCTGGATGCCTGGGCGTAGTAGATTACAATGCGGTGTATCTTTCTCGATGTATGTTGTATAACTCAGATCTTGGTGTATTGATACGATTCTGGAATGTGTGGATCGTCCCGTCGACCCTCTCGCATCGGCGAATAGGATCGGAGTCAACGGGATCTTCGCCTACCTAACTGTGAATTGTTGTTATACGTCGCCCGATCTATTCATTATGGAACACCATGACGGAAGGCACCCTTCCATGTCCACATTGTGTGCACCGCCTCGGCCTAACGGGTTTCCGAGGCAGTGGTACCTTCCTGCTCATCTGAAGCAGTCAGCACGACTTGTCGAGATGTGCTGCTCTCCGTGGCGCGCGCCAGGCGGCGGCCGGGGTCTGAGACAGCGTGTCGTCAGGTGCTTGTGATTCTGGACCTCATCAGTGACAGTCTGTAGTTTGCCGAATTCACTCCGTTCTCCGTTCTCTGAGGAAGCCTGAGCTCATGGGTGCACTGGTCAGCCAGGTGTGGACTGCTCGTTCGAGTCGTGTACCTCGCCTGCACTTCGCTCCTGACCCTGCCAAAGTACTCGTGAAGGCCCCGGTCACAGGGTCGGACGCCGATGAGCACCCCAGGGAGAGCCTAGATGCGTTTATCGCAGCGAGGTGCCCGAGTTTGTATAGCGACTTCGCTCCGACGTGGTGGTTGTTCAAGTAGGTCCCCGTGTCCACGTCACGGAATTCGCCCGTCGAACTGAAGAACCGACAGCGGACACCTACAGACGGCGTACGCGGTCGTCGGAGATTTCTCGAGAATAGATAGAGTTGAATATGATAGGCAGGTGACCTGGATCCATTGGACGTACATACTCTAATCCTTTCGGTAGGACCTTGCTTCGCACCCTGGATGGTGGTACAATGTACGTGTTCCAAACTTCTGGCATCAGAACCGCGTCTGAACGGTGAGAATCTCGTAGAGGACTAGACAGCACGCCTCCCGCCAACGAGCGCACACTCCCAGACGACACCCCCATCGTAGTAGTGCTGCACGGACTGACAGGAGGTAGATCTACATACGCTCCACTTCCGAGCAACGCTAAAGACGATTCCTCCGCCAGGTTCACACGAATCTTATGTCCGAGCCGTTCTAGCCCCGGCTTGCACGCCTGTCGAGCAGGGCGGCCTCGGGTACAGAGGCATTGTAGTCAATTTCCGCGGATGTAAGTGTTACACCCCCGTACGTGCACCCAACTAAGGCTTCTTTGACAGGTGCTGGTGTGCCTCTCACCAGCCCACAACTCTATTCCGCGGGACATACAGATGATATCAGGGTTGCTGTTATGCACATCGCGAACCGCTTCCCTAAAGCACGGCTGCTCGGCATAGGGTTCTCGCTCGGGGCCAACGTCCTGACGAGATACCTTGCGGAGGAGGGGACGCAGAGCCGCCTGGTCGCAGGTTGTGCGGTTGCTTGTGTGCGTTTTCCTATCTTCCAGCGAAACACTTCACTGAGATCTCCGTAGCCATGGGATTGTGTCAAGAACGCTGGAGGGTTGGTACCGCATGCAGTGACAACCTGCTTCTTGTTGCTCACGGTCCGTGTGATTATAACAGCCTTGAAGACAACTGGCTACACCGAACAGTCTACGCGAAAGCGATGGCCCAGAACCTGCAAAGGTTGCTCGGACGACATGCCAACGCGATTGCAAAATTCCCGGAGCACCCGCTAGCGAAAGTTCTGCCTGAGGTCTTGAACGACAAGTCGATGTCGCTCACGCAGTTCGACGGCAAGGTCACCTGCAAGGTTGGCGGGTCCTCCCCGCCGTTCCCCTTCCCCAGCGCATGGGATTACTACGCCTGGGCGTCGAGCCATGAAGTGCTCGCCAACATTCGTGTGCCGTTCCTCGCTCTCAACGCGGAAGATGATCCCGTAGTACAGGTTCTGCCCATCGAAGCGGGCGGGAACCCGTATGTAGCGTTCGCTGTCACCGAGAAGGGCGGGCATCTGGGGTGGTTTGGAAAGGTACAAGCGACCGGAGAGACCAGACGATGGGTCAGCCGCCCTGTATTGGAGTGGCTGAGGGCAGTTGGGGAAGACATCGTGGTCAGAGATAGACAAATCAAGCCTCTGCACGTCGTAGATGGATTCCTGAAGGAGGACGGTCGCGACGATATCGGATGCAAAGGAGTAGAGGGTGGCGATCATGTCGTTGGAGTAGAAGGAGAAGAGGGTCTCTTTGCTGGTCTGTAGCGTAGATGCGCTCACTCGCGATAGGTGATACAATACAGTGTCATAGGCTACATCCAGTCAGTAGTCTTGGTACAGTGGATATTATACTACTCAATCGCTGTCGCTGAAAGTCACTCGTTCTTCGTCCTCTTCCTCTTCTATAGCTGTTCTGTCATATTGGCTGATATCGACAGAGACTGCACCTTCGTCGATCATACTGTCGTCCGAGACTGCTAGGCTCCTGTCGCGCTCGAAGAGATGACGACCTATAGTGACGATCAGTAGTGTAATATGAACGTGATTTAATGGTGACAAACCTGTCAAGCGAGTAGCGAGCCTCTTGTACTCTTCCCTCTCCTTTGGTGTCATGGCTTTGAGCCTCTCTTCCTCCTCCCGTGCCTTCTTAGCAGCCAGCTCTTTCTCGAACTCGACCTTCCAAGCTGTGAAGCGGTCCACCGTGACGGGTGTTCCACGTGTTCGAGCCTCTTCCGCCTATCCAGAGCGGTCACTGGATTGCTACATCCAAGTCACATTATGCGTACCTCGATGGCTTGTCTCTCCGTCTCCGTCTCCTCCTGTCGTCTTCGCTCTGCTCGATTCCGTATAAGAGAGGATAGCTTTTCGCGGAGATGACTAGCGAGAGTAAAGGTCATCGCCATGCCGAGGTTCTCTTCGCCCTGGTCGATAGTTAGAGCAAAGCTGGGATCGGAAAGACAGAATCGTTGCACACCACATCTCGTAGCTCCGCCAAGAGGTTCGCGATGTCATCTTCCTCTATTGGACCCTCAAGAAGCTCTAGAGACAGTTCAGGCAGAGCGTCGGGATAGTCATCCGTGTAAGTGACTTCGAGTGCCAATTTAACTGCCGCGAAGACGTCACGGTCAGATGGAGACGAGGGAGTAGACACGGTACGCACTGTCTTCTTCGCCCTCTGTGGGATCGTCTGGTTCGACATCTATCCGCACAGCCCTTTCCGAGAGTTCTTCGCATGAGTCTCAGCCAGATCTGACATGCGCCAGTGGGCAGTGGGGACGCACTTGTGAGTTCGGTGGGATATATGGACTCGAGTACCTTGGCGCGTGATGTGCTCAGCCAGCGATTCACGTAGTGGGAGCGTAGTATACCTCGAATTCCTCTTGCAGTACTTCGGATGTCATTTTGGGGATGAATGCCGTCCAGAGCTACAGCTGGACCTGTTCTGCGAGTTAGAGGCCCGTTCGGTTGGGCAAACCGCACGCCCGCGAGACATCGATCGCCACACGGAAGGTCGCTGGTCGCGCTGGCCGGGGTCCATCCGCGCCTCGCAAACTTTCCCATTTCGGCGAACGAGCTCGTCGCTGCGTCTCTGCTCGAGTCTGCGGTTGCTACTGTCTCGGCGGCCGCCATGTTCGCTGCATTTGCACGATGCTCCTCTACGCCGCTGCGCCAGGCGAGGCTCCCTTCCAGCACAAACATTGTCGCGCGTATCTGCAGGTCGCTGTCCTCACAACCAGCGAATCCCTTCCTCCCCAACGTCGCTGGAAGCTCAGTGTCCATCAAGCCTAAGTGGACTGTGGAGGAGAACACAGGCCCAATATCTCAAGCCTGGGTTGTCATGCAGGGATCGGCTGCAAGACAGCACGACCAACCAGAGAAGTCTCCTGAAGAGATCTGGCAGGATAGAGAAACCCGTACAGTGGCCAATCTGCCCAAGCCTCATGGCTCTAAAGAGGGTGCGCTGTCATACCAATCATGCGTATATCGCGATTCATTGGCTGAATCATCATATGCAGGGCGTAGCACTTATGTCTTCAACGGGGATGTGGCCTCCGCATTCGGAAGACTGGCCAGGATTGTGAAAAACAATCGTATGTTCCTGGAGCTCCGGCAATACGAAAGGCATGAAAGGCGGGGTGCTAAGCGCAGCCGCCTTAAGAGCGAGCGCTGGAGGCGGCGGTTTGCCCATGAGGTATATCTCCTCACCATTGATGATGGCGTGTCTGAACGCACATCTATACAGGTGCGGATGAAGGTGAAGCTTGTCAATGCAATCCGTGCTCGGGGCGCGTGATAAAGGCCACCTCTCCTCCCCGTCTCCATTTCTCAACGTCTTCACTGTCTATATTTGTATGTGTCGCATGACTGCTGTATTGATATGCAGCGCAAATGACCCCATTGCGCGTTCTCTCCGCGCGGTTGCGACCCCGACTGTGCGTCGAGATTGTTGTGGACGTGAAGGGTCGGTTGGTTGTGATGCCAAGTGGCACGCCCGGAAGAAACGGCCGCAGCTTTCATACCTATTGGATTTGGCTCAAGAGCCTCGGAACACCGTACAGCGGTAGGTCGTGCTCGGCAGGATCTTGCGCAGACGGCTTGCAGGGCGAGTGTAAGCGGGTTTCCGTCGCAGCTGATGTGAATTTGAAGGCAGGTATCGTAAATCTTCGCGGGGTAGGCTACTGCCGTCTTCGACTGACCATTTCAGATCCACATTTATCGTCTTTGGCGGACACGCGCGGTACACGCCATCTGCCTCGTGCAAGGCACGCTGAGACAAGTCGAGATACGATACCATTGCAGCGCTCGCTGCCCCCCTCACGAAAGTGAGTGACGACAGCAGCTCTCGAGACCGGTTACTCCACATCCAGCGGGAAGGTCCGGTTGCTCTGTCTAGGGCACCGTATCTGGACGAGCTAAGAGGGTGGCTGCCATCACGACCTCGAAACACGAAGTTCACGCGTCGTACCTGCTGCCCGTTTAGAAGGTTCGGCGAATTATTCAGCATTTTTGATTGACTTTTCCGAAACGCGGCGTGTCGCACTGTCCCTCATCTCGCGTAGACTTGTGGGGGGCTCCAGGCCTCGCCTTGCAGGTCCAGCCGACTAAATAGAGAACGCTGTAAACATGCATCCCAAGTCGAGCAACAGAACGGCCACGCCTGGCCACGCTGCCGCTCGAGTGATGCGCGCTCCCTCCAGGACGTGATGTATATATGGGCCCAGCTGTGCCTCCATACTAGTAGCCCTTGCCCACTAGTCGATCCTGTATACGACGATACAACCAAGATGTGTCATAATGTACGTCTTCCACTTCGATTGTCGCTGTCTTTTCTTACTCAAGCGACGTCCAGATTATTGACGGCAGATTCCACCTCGAGTGCCAGCACTTCATTCCCATGTCTACGCGCACACAAGATTGCCTCCAACCAAACTGCCTCTTCAGCCGAAGGCATGCACACCAAGGAGGTGCGTACTTGCACTTGCGCATGGATTGCGATGACGAGAAACTGACCCGGGTACAGGCTGCAAGTCTCCGTCCTGCGTCAGATTAATGACACCTCCCCAACGGAACCCCATCCGCATGAGCGAGACAAAATGCGCTGATTGCGTGATGCGCGGACGCGCCGGCGCGATGAGCTGCACTTGACTTGCTAGTGTCACCGCCGTGCCACCTATCATGGACGTTCGCCATATGGACGTTCGCCGCTATGAGCTTGTACGACCCCGAACTTGTATTGTATGACCTGCGCCGGCGCTGGTGTAATAACGGACTCCACATTATACTGTATTATATCTATTCCTTATGCTATGTCTCCTGTAGCCCGTAGTACGCACACATATACGCGATGTTATGTTACATGTCATGGTCAATTCTACAGTGCTCTACCATGGATCGCTCTGGAGATAACGCGTGCACAACGCGTGTCGGATTGGTGTCCTCGCTGTGTGACTTGTCACGCGCGCGTGACGATTCGCGTTGTTCTCGATTGAGCTTGTCTTGTTCTCGGATCGCTTGTACTCGCCTTGTCCCAATCTTGTCCCGCAATGGATTATGGCTGGCCACCACCGGACGCAGCCACATTCTCTTGCATTGTGCTGTTTCCATGGCACCGTCTTGTGACCTCTTATTGTCCTTGGTACATTAATGCGGTGTAGTGTGCCACTGCCGTTTCCTATCTACCCGCAACCTGAGGTCCTGCACCACCACTGCCCTACTGCGACTACCAGTTCCCTAGCTTCGCTCTCCCGCTTCTGACCACGCTATGTTGATCGATCATTACAACCGTATCCAGGCTCTGATGAGCGTCGACCCCTTGGATAAGCTTCGAGTATACCTCTCGCAGGTGATCCTCCCGCCCATGAAGCTCGCACCCAAGGCGCCAGCATTGCCACCTTCGGGCCATCACTCGCATAAGAATGTGCTCTCCGTAACTCCTCAGCATTACCGGGTGCTTGAGAAGATGTATCAGATAGACTTTGCGTCGTTCAAGAAAGGTGCGAAGGAAGGTGCGGACGCCACTTGCTTGTACATATCCTCGACACGCTGATCTGATGATCCTCTAGTTTTGAACATGCACGTCACACAGGACAAGCTCCAGATGCTCGACCCGGAAAACGTCGAGAATGTAACGATGCCTTGCCCTCCTAGCTTTCAATTGCCAGCGCCTTCGCCCAAAAAGCCCACGAATCTCGAACAGTGAGTCCTTCGCTGCCCTCTCAATGATGCGCGAGCTCAAGTGGCGCACCCAATAGGTTGTGCCGCTGGATCTCTCTATTTCCCCTTGACTCCGCCCAGGCAGTGATGCACAACGTCTTCCCCCAAACGGAAGATTGGACGTTCAGTCAGGTCAAGTCTGACATCGACGAAGACATATTCCAGTCTTATATTTGGAGTCCGACCGCCACCGCTTCGGGCGTGACGGATGGCCTGGGCTCGGTGACCGTATTTGTACAACCTCCATGGATACTGTCACCGAAGGACTTTGAGTCCTTTGTGTCCTGCGATGTCGTGAGTCGGGTCGTTTCGACATATGCCAACATCGTGAACTGATGTCGTGTGGCGTGTCCAGCTTCGTCGCGTCGATGACTTCGCGCACATGGACGAAGATGATAAGACCTACGCCTACACTAGCAAGGAGAGACTCTGGGCGAAGGTGAGCAGTTCGCGCAACTGGAAGATGACCCGGATCATGACCTAACTCGTACAGATTTGGGACGAATGTCAGCGCAACGGGTCCCACTACTTCGTCCTCACGACTTACTGGGGATGGGTATTTGGTGTGTTCACAGCAGGTGGGCCGTCCTCCGTCGAATAAGTTGTCGTCGCTGACGAGATGCGCTTGTAGGTCGAACTGTGGGACTGATCTCGCATGTCATGAGCGATAGTCAGTCATTCCCAACAATCTTGGAAAGCCTCGTCTATTGGCTGTTGTCTGCCATGGGTATCAAGGGAGGCTGGGAAGTACCAGAGGTCAGTGAAGAGTCGAAATCCGTGGAGACGCCTTGCCTCGTCGGCGACATCCTTCCCCCCGCTTCGTTTCAATACGGGCGGGATAGGACAGCGCTCTTGGCGATATCGAGGCTTTCTTGACGATGAACGACGTTCTCACATTTTCGTCTCCCGTACGTAGGTTGCCGAACCCTTTAACCCATCGGTGCGAAACTTACCCGTGCCACGTCCTAGCCAAAGGATCCACGCCGCACCATCCGAGTCCGAGTTCTCGGCCCATAGCAGTGGTGAGTGCATCAACCGCTACGTAAGTGGTTGCGAGTTGACAGAGAACGCCTCAGCACGAGTCTCGCAATCAGACGTCGATGATTTAGACGAACAACTGACTGTCGAACAATATCTCACGCAAGGGTACTCAGCGGGCGCGCTTCTAAACGTGAACCCATTCGCACCACCGACACGCTATCGAGGGGAGAGCAATAGGGGTGTCCAGAATTGGATACCTTACGTCCGCGCGCCATCGCCATCACTGACCGAAGGCTCGGAGCTCTCCGCATCGACCATCAAGGACTACGGCGACCACGAGTTCGAGAACGGCCACTGGATGACGCAGGAAGGGGGTGTGTCCATGACCTCGCAAATCCATTACTCGTAACCACCTCCCAGCCCGGTATCTAATCTTACACTGGCATTTCATCCACCTCATCTTGATGTATTGTATGCATGTACATTCACTGTGATCGACGTAGATCGTGTATCGTTCCCTTTCCACCTGGTCGAAGCAGAGTGTTCGGTTTCGCTGTATAGAATCGATGTGTCGAGCATCACAATCATAGATGAGATAGAGTACATGCGTGTGGATGTCCGAACGCTCTGGCATCCAGGAATCAATGAAGTCCGGACTCCGGTGGACTCGGAGTTGGTCAACGTTACACGTGTTTTGCGCTCGGACCACGTGAAGGGTGGCTGAGGCCCTGGTACTGCACTGTCGACACAACTTGAATGCTACATTGACGCACCCGTGTAGCTGCCATCTCGACAGTCCTGTGCTATCGTCACCGTCTCTTTACAAACAGGCTGTCCTCCTCTCTTGGCTGACTGTAGCAATCTGTCAGAGGATTTCACAGCAACTTGAAAATTCGAGCCAGCATGGGTGCGACAAGCGTTCCCTCGAATTCATCCTCTCAATGGCTTCTGTCCGTCACTGCTCTCCGATACACACCCAGTCAAACGACCTCAGATATACCTCTTGAGAAGGAACTATATGACAGGGCACGAGGCGTCGAGTTCCTCTTCCGAATGGGAGTCGCCCTGCAATTGTGAGCACACATATGCTGCACACATGGTTGCTGTCCGACTTATACGATGACATTGTAGACCTCTTTCAGCTCTTTATACCGCAGCAGTCTGGTTTCACAGATTCTACATGCGATACTCGTTGGAAGACCACCATAGGCAGGTAAAATATATGATCATTCGTTGCGCATCGTAGTACCCTTGACACTGATACCTGTTTAGGAAGTAGCAGCGGCCTGTTTGTTCCTCGCAACCAAGACCGAAGAATGTGGAAGAAAGCTCCGCGACGTTGCAAAAGTGCTTTGCGCCAAGACCGTGAACATGTCTGTCGCGGAGATTCCTGATGATTACAAGGTATGTCGGGGGAGCACCTGAATGAGTGATGGTGAATCATCGTATATCAGGACTTAGAGCAATACCAAAACGCCATTCTTCTGACTGAGGAGGTCTTGCTCGAGGCGCTCTGCTTCGATTTTGTAGTGGACAGCCCTCATGCCGAGCTGGTGGACCTCTTCGATGTCAGACAGGACACCGCGGAACTTGAAGAATGCGCTTGGTCCATCGCGAACGACACGTAAGATTGTCTAGAGATAGCCTGCGCTAAAATAGCTCACTATTCGGCAGCGCGAGGACACCCCTGTGTGTTCTGTTTCCCGCACGCATCATTGCGGCGGCCTGCTACATCCTTGCCCAACATGTCATAGAAGGGCCTCAATCTCCGTCGTTAGATGTCCGAATAGCTTCTCCTGCTCCATCGGCGTCATTACCTACTCCCCCATCGCACAAGGTAGTGCCACCTGAGGCCTCGCGCTTTGCTATAGAACATTTCGGATTCAATGAAGTAGACTTGGTTAGCATCGCAGGTCCGTGGCTTCACCATTAATCTATTCAATGTCTCATACAGCGCCAGCAGAGGTCTTGAACATCATCCTAGAATTCTATGCCGCCCAGGACTTGCAGGCCGCAACACACCTCGGGCCGGTGGCGTCTGTATGTACCATTGGCTGCGCGCCCTCAATTGATCCCCTCACCGTCACCGTTACAGATACCTCCTCCACGGGTGTCCACGTCAAGGGAGAAACTGTACACCTCGTTTAGCCAGATCAACAGTCACCGACACTTGCAGCAGTCAGCGGCGGGTGGTGGTGATATGAACGGCTCACCAGCATCGACCCACGGTGCAAGTACTCCCGGAAAGCCTCAGTCGCGCGGTTGGAAGCCAGTCCGAGGGTCTGGTTAGCATATTCGAGCGCCTTCTATACCGCTTGTTGCTCGAGATGATTATCAGTCCCGTGCAGATTTGGCCGACGGTCCGCCGAAAGTGCCTTGCGCGAGAAGCAGGCGACGCGTTTTGCTGCTTCTGCGATCGAGGGGAATGAAGAGGTTCCATACCTCTTTGTCATCCAGTAGCTGCTTTCCCTTACATACGGAGATGCTATCGCCGAAGGTTCGTATCCACTACGATGCCGTCCATTGTCATGTAGGCGTGTACAATACAGCTGTCTTCCCTCATCGTACGCGCGCACGTCCCTGTCAATCAACATACGGAACGCCAACTTGAGCTCCGACCTCCGCTTGCTACCCCTCAGCCGCGGTTCTTCGTGCCTTCGGACCGGGATAGCCAAGATATGAGCAATAGGAACACCAGCTGCACTACTGAGGCCTAGTCATCGCCTTGGCATTCCACAACATCCGGGATACATACTCACAACGGGTCGTCGGATCATCATAGCTCGATGGTTTCCTTGTGCTTGAACTTCCTGCCCGCACGCTCAGCTGCACGGAAGCAAAACTGGTTCCCATGCAGTTCGAACTCTAAGTAGGGCGAGTCGAAGACGGTGCTCGCATGATCCGCATGCGTGCTCCCCACATCCACCGGGACCAAGGCCGCGCTGTTATCTGGTGCGGTCATTCCGGAGATGCCTTGCTCGGGCGGATCGCCTCGAGCGTAGAGTGGGACAGCGAATGCGAATACCGAGTTTTGCTTCGGAACCACTGGGCGGCTGCAATCAGAATGATCCGGGGGTGCAGCAAGACGATAAGGTCACGAACATTTCAGCTGATTGTTTCGGGTGACGATTTTGAAGGCATTCTCGGTCTCGTGGATGACGATGCCTGAGAGACCGACGAGGCAAGGATTCTTGCTCTGTCGCACTGTCGGTATCATGAGCCGAGGTAGCTGACGCCTTGAAGGTAATGCGTACCGGCCATTATAGAACCATGGAAGTCGGCCTTGACCAATTTTGCGTGCATAGCTGCCGAATTTGGAATAGCCTCGGTAATAGGTTGGTTGTTTGCACCTGAAGGCGCAGGCGGAAGCGCAAGAAGCTCTGTCATGTAGCCCATCCATAGCGCATGTAACGGCAGAAACAGCTGGAATCTGAGTGGTCTAGTGTGAGATATGATGCATTTCCGAGCACGATCATCGCACTTGGTCTCCTGTTGCTTGAGCCGCCAGAACGAGGCTTGTCGAACATCTCTGCGAGGAGCAGCCCCCGTTGCCTTCTTTGCCTTGTCCGACAATCGCCTCGCCTTCTTATCCTCACGTAGCCGTTTCGTTCTGCTGGTTCCCGCGGGATTTTCGAGGAGTATCTGGCGGCCCTTCACCCGACTTGCGTAGGTCTGGATAGGATTTGCAGATCTCAGTACATGATCCTTGACGTAAGTCGGCGTAAAGGGTGTGGTGCTGTTCAACTTCACCCGTTGGGTCTGCAACACTGGTCAGACGAGCAGAACGAGAAAAGAGATAGCACAGACGGTGATAGGACGCGTTTCAGTGTATATGTCTTCGTGTCGAGAGATAGCAGACATGGCAATAGCTTGCCTTGTGAGCAGAGTCCGTTCAAGCGTGTTCGAAGTAAATTCGACGGGGAAGCTGGATACACATGTATAGAGGCGACAATAACGGTCAACAGGACGTATTCACGTGTGCCCGGAGGAGGCAATCGACGGGTGAACGGTTGAGGAGGACTTCCGGGCGATCGTCTGGGTGCGTAAGAGGCACTCGGGGCATGCCACCGCCCTGACACACGCGCGTCTACTCCGTCCTCCGCCACCGCAGCCACCAAGATATGTTGTTTTACTCTTCTCCTCTTCAGTCTCGGGCTGATCGTGGCATACCCACTACCAGTGTTGTGTGACACTTGTCCAACATATCACTTCCCTTCGCGAGCCTTCCGCAATCCGCGCTGGGGCTAGAAGACGATCACCTTGCCATTCCAAGTCGCGCTGAGCGCTGAGCGGCATCATCGCGACGACTGCAGGGTCTGGCGAAGTAATTCCGTACACGGTACAGCTCCAGCGGAACACCGAACAGCTGTCTACCTCATCCTCATGTTACCAGGTACCCTCCGGCGACACCCACGTCGGCGGCCCGGATTTCTACGGGGTCAGTAATATGTCATTCAGGCATGGCACACCCTTCAGGCGCCCTCGGGCAGAGGTAGATTGGGCTTGTTGTAATTACACGTTTAGTTCGCGGTGCCGCTGCTATACAGTGCTAGCTGATAGCAACATTGTTGCGCTGACATACCTCGCTATGACATAGGTCGATCGTCGTAAGTCTAGGCACGTTCTAGCACATCTTGCCAGCTTCCCTTATGCCGGTCGCTGGTCGTTTCCCTTCTGTCATTCCCGTGAAATCTCGGGCTGCACGGTATGTCCCAGCGGTTTCGTCCTGCCATCGAACCTTACGCGTCTTCGTAGCGTCTGATAGGGCACTTACACGCGTCCTGAAGCTCCATCATTGTCCGTTATCTCTTGCATCATCTGACGGTTTCGGTGCCAATTTTCCAGCGGACGCTAGGTTGTGATCAGTCGCACAGTGTGCGCTGCTAATGGCTTTTGACTTATCGGTCGCGAACCATGAAACATTCAGCACCCGTTACACGTGCCTGTCGACGGTTTCGCAAGCTATGCGCCATGTCCACGAACACACTGCAACCTTGTCTGAGCTTTGCGAGTCATCGCCCATACCTCTTGGTGGCTTGATCACCAGCAACGCCTAAGTAGTCGCTACGTCAGACCTATCAGCAACTTCAGGTTCGTCAGCCTAGTCTCCATGCGAGGACGTACTATTGGCGGATCTGTGAATAACTTCGCAGCAAATCTCCGGAGCCTCACCGACGACGCCTGTCACCTCGGGTACTTGGGGCCGTCCTGCCGTCTGTGGTATATACTTGGTTTCTCGAATGACCTGTTCCTTATCAGGCCGTGGCGGGTATGTTAACATCCCTCCCGAACTAACGTTAACTATGTCCGAATCTACAGTGCTCTTGAGCATCAGATCCACTTCGGCCTTCCATTCACTCAACCTCGAGTTCCGGTGACCAGGAATACTGGTCGCCCGGTCGGACCTACACTGCATGTATGTATTGGCCGAGGAATCCGTAAGAGGAATGCTTGCTATCTGATACGATCGACCTATGGTGGCATTATATGTCCCCTGCGGATGGTCGCCAAACCGGTGCGCCGTCGGTCTGCCCAGTATTATGGCGTCCTTGAACGCCTGCTAACATGAACCTTCATATCCTTCGGCATGCTGCAATAGTTCATAACATTTCATGGCGGCTTTTATCTCAACATTGATACATTCTACAACACAAAGCAAGTTCCGACAGCAAGTCTAACAAAGGCGATATTATACTAGTATGCGATACAACGAAGTTGGCGTCGAAGCAAATCAACGGGCTCTGCCGGTTTGAATGCACACGGGACAGTAGTTGTCAATGACGGGCGCTGTGGCGGCGAGGAATGTGAGTGCCTGACTTCGCGTATCAGGGACAGAGAAGACTAACTGTACTGCACCGGGGACTGATGACTGCAGAAGCGAGCGTCAGGAAGCGGAACATTCGACCCCGAACGTTCAAGCGACTCACTATGGCCAGCAGCTCTTCGTGCACGCCGGAGGTACGCAATCGGGAGGATGGTTGGGACTGAATTTGCAGAAACGATCTTCGCACTTGATCTAGGCGCTAGTCAGCGAACTCAATTAGATTTTCGATTCGACGACGTCAACCTCTTCGTCGGGCTGGTAGTCTCACGGTCAGCGGTGGTCACTAGAATGAATGGCGCGGAATGCTTACCAAGTCAATATAGTGCGTACACTTCTTGTAGTGATTCCGGACACTTGATCGAAATGAGCCGAGAGGGCGCGGAATGACGACGCTGGCTTACCGTCGGTAGTGACACATGTTGAGAAACGGAGTGAGTGAGGCGGGTCAAATGTCTGGTGAAGGACACCGGGAGGAGGGACTCACAATTTATAGTCCACAGAGGACTGTAGGAAAAGGTCCGGCACTCTTTTCCAAGGCAGTCGCCGTCAACCGCGAACGCGGTGAGCGTCGATAACATCAACGTGCCGGTCCGTCGTCTTTCGGGCATATCAAGATGGCCAGGGCGGAGGTGGAATGCAATCTAAATCCGCTCATTATGGTCAGGATTAGACGTCACTAGGTCGATCGAAAGTCGTGACCGTGCCCCTTGGATCAACACTCCCTTTACGGAACTTGGTCCGGCTTCGGCACACTAAAGCTAAAACGTTAATTCGTAGTGGTTATCGTCAACGGCTGGTGGGTGATAGGTAGCCCCTCTCCTCACCGACGGTGGTGACGCCTTGTGCCAAATCGCAAACGCCTCATATGATGATGCCGCCACCGCTCCGGCGAGAGGTCCGAGTGCACTGTAGTTGACCTATCTATGCGTGCGTCATGGTTTGATTAGCCGCGAAGAGTGTACATTGTTCATAAATCTAGCATTCCGGGCATGAGCTCCTTCTCCCGCCCTGACCGCCACATGTATCTCAGCGTGCGAATAGTGCTAGCAACATTGGTAATCATGAAGCCGTACATGAGGCTCACTTGTATTCGCGCTTTTCGATGAGCAACGCGCGAGTGCTCCAGAGCTACATCGCAGATTTCATCGATATCATATCCGAAGTAGAATACACGGGGCGAGCGACGCATGCTATATGGAGCCAAGGCTGGAAACCAGGGCTGCGGACGGGCACCTCAGGTAATAGGCAAAAACATCCCCATCAGTGTGGTTGGCACGCTCCTCCGTGGATGTGGCTTAGTCGGAACTTGACGATCATTCACGTGTTGACGATAATGGGTGCGTCGGTGTCGGTCTGCGGGTTACCTGTTCTGAGAAGCCTATGGCGGACACTAGTGGGTCCGAAGCTTCGGAATGACAGTAGTGGTACATACTGGTTACCCAGCAAACATTCCGACCAGGTACTGACTGACTCCTTCCGGCGTCAATATGCCGACGTCCGAGAACACAAGGGAAATCAAGTCCGGCCTGCACAATCACCTGTGAGTAAGGAAGTCTCCAAGCAGGGGAAAGATATCGTACCTAGTGTAATCCACGCTAGGATTACGTGACATTTGTTCCGTGGACATCTTCATTTCCGTAGGAGGGGGCACGATCGTGGTCTCCGAAGTGCCATCTCGGGCAAGGGTTTGGCCACTAGCGGTCGTACCGTGCGAAACTTTGTCTGGCGGCGTGGGGCGATGCTGTAGCGTTGAGAAAGACAGTATCGTCGGGTTGTGCGTTGGAAGATCATATTGCGATAGCGGGAACAGTCGGTGGAATTTGTAGCTGAGACCAATGCATGTTAGCGGCTGTACCTGCCGGAGGGGCGCGCGGTAAACCAACCTCTCAGCTAGCGCATAGAACGGCTTGTTGGCTGCCTTCGCTATGATGGCCATTTGGTTGCTTCCCACTGCGTTAATCAAGCCGCCGCTCTCGACGACCGCTTCAGATCCCACCATGACGAAGTCGACACGATCCATGACGTATGCGACGGCGGAGTCTAGGACAACCGTGCATGGGATGCCAGCTGCCGTCAGTGCCTCGTGCGTCTTAAGCCTGCAGTGAGGCGCGGTTAGCTTCGCACTATCGGAGACACGACGGAACGGGCATACCCGAGCCCGCGCGGTCTCGCCTCGGTGACATAAACGGATATACGCTTCGTTTTATGGGCATGAAGCAAGGCCTTCATGACCACCCGTGAGTAGGAATGAGTGAGTATCTTCGGAAACGACTCAGAGCTTATCCGTATCATCCCAATGGGCACGACGTACCACCGAATCGTCTTTGATGAAACCGAGCGTCGCCTCTGCTATTTTGTCGCGGAAGGAGATCGCTTCTGCGGCATATTTCTGACCCTGTTGTACCAACTCGGTCTTGAGTTCTGCAAAACTCTGCGGGGGTAGTTCCATCAGGCAACAATTCAGTCAGCCCAAGGATGGGCAAAGGGGTGGCGCACATCGGACTCATGTGGAAACAATGTCACGAATGCAATGAACAGCTCACAGCCTGCATTCAGGCTGATCGAGTTCGGGATCTGCTCCTTCAAAACTTCGGCGTCGTCGTTCAGCGCCTGGACGAGTTCGAACATGGTACCAGCTAGCAGAAATCCCTCATCAATGCTGACGGGTAGCGCACGCGCATCTGTATCACGTACCATTTGATTTGAATATAGACTCTGTCAGCGTCAGGATGGCGGCAAGGGGGGGCGATAACTTGGTGAGTTAGCTTCAGCACCTTCAGCACTAACATTTGGGTGAAGACGCACCTCTTCATTCTGTATGATGCGCTGATAAGTAGCGCAGACGTCAAACTTTGCGCTTTCGTCGGACATAGACACTGCGATGGCTCCTGTGGATCTGTGGTCTGGTATGTCTTGGTCGGATACGGTACTATGAAGGAGCGCGTACACATGCAGGCTCTGATCGACTCGACTGGCATCAATGACTCCGGATCGTTCACGTGACTCCGGACCACGCGTCTAGACGGGCGCTCCGAGATTCACAGCCCTACGAGCCTCGAGGCTCGCAACCTCTCCGCAATCTCACCGCATCCGTCTTTGGTTGGGCGGCCAGTCCACATGCCCGTCACATCCTGGCTGCTTCGCATTCCCACCGGATATTTCTCTGCACAAAGAGACGTTAGACTATGCTGACTAGCTGCCGTTCTTGCGAGGTTAGTCCCCGCAACACGGTGACACTTGTCTTGATTACGACTGCTTGCCCGTCTGCGCAATCGCGGTGGCATAGCATGAATGATCATATGGTGAGTCTTCCCATGGTCTGTCCGAACGAGTTACCGTGTATGTGTTACTCGGTCTAAGAGGCGTGGTCGATATGTCACTCCGGTCTCAGTTCTAGTCGATTTGTCGACTTTTCATCTCTTGGAACGACTCGGGACCTGACAGCGGCTGAGATGGACTGCTTTTCCTTCGCGCCGTACCACGCCGTGTTCCCTACTACTACCAATTCGGAAAGCGGTAGGAATGCCGGGGAAACCTGCAACGGCATCCCTCCGCTCTCCTCGCCGTCAAGTGACACTCGACTCTTCGACGCTACGATGTATGTTGTCATTCAGCCATGGAAGCAGTGCGCCCTGTAATCTCGATCTACTCGCCTTGCGGGCGCACCTCGGCTCAGTATGGTCCGCTCCAAGATACAGGCCAGCCGAGAACCTTCGGCGACCAGTCGCGCCGCGGCCCAGTCATCGTGCAACCTCAGAAAATAGCCGAGCGCGCAGTTGCGACCACCGTCCATTTAAACTTTTTGACTACGTCGTCAAGAGCGCCGGATAAACACGACGGCATCATATTCGTCAATGCGGGTAAAAGCGTCCGCCGTGAGGAGGCTACAGTTGGCTGTGGACTCGACTTGGGACCGAGGTTGCAAGTTGGCACGGGTGCATACAACGGGACTGGGCGAGCTTGGGGCGAGCCGACTAGTGTGCTGAGATCTTCTGCTGCCGAGAAGGACTCTGAGGAGTGGCGGGGGCGGGAGCGAGTCCGCGGTACGGACACCAATTCGGTCATATGTCGTCCCTAGATGGTCGCCGTTGTAATGGGCGCCGATGAAACGGATCGGGATGTGCCACCGTTGCTACGCGGTGAAATTGGAAGATCAATGAACGCGATTCCAAGGCGCACCCCGCGGTGACGACGGCGTCGGGCGACCCTTAAGCGATAAACGCGGATAGCGGGCAATTTTGCCGGCAACTCGTCCGCTCTCGCTCGCACACGAGCCGGGTTGACAGGTATGGAAGGTGCGCGGTGCTGGGCGGGTGAGCTGGGTGTGCGGGAATGCCGGGCAGCGGTGGCAAGCATGCTGAACGACAGAGGGCGGGCCCGAGGAGGACGGCGCCCGCCGCCCGTAACGCCGCACCCATCTGCGCCTGTCAGATCTGAACGGCTCCGCTGGGAACAATCTCGGGGCCGAGTTTGGACCCAAAGCTGGCCGGAAAAGGGACGAGGGCGGATTCAGGGCAGGCGGACGGGCGGGGGCGTGGGAGTCTGGTAGGAGGGAGAGCCCCGATTTGGGGCAATCTCGTGGACTTAACTACAAAAAAGGCCGCTTGCTTTGCTCATCGAAACACGTTTCGTGTCTTTGCCGCGTCGGAACGTCGCACGAACCCATGAGACCGCCACCCGTTGCGATCGCCAGGCCCAATTTTGGTCGCTTTGGCGCAACGCCCGTCCGCCCTCAAAAAGCGCGAGAAATATCATGTCTTCCTCCTCCCTCCTCCATCGAGGCGTGATTGCCCAACGTCGTCCGGCGTCGTTCCCGCACCACTCTCCCGCGGAACGCGTTATCACCACCACGCTACACAGTGATACACATTGCTAAGTGCTGGAAGACGTCAGGCGTCTGTCCGCGCTCTCGCGGTGAGTAACTGTCTCGTATAAAATGTCTGCGCGACTCTATCTGGCTATGCATACCTCTAGGCGAGCACTTCATTAGTAGCGTCCTGCCAGTTTCGCCATGTCTGGCCCGCCACCGCAGCTGGTATTCAGCAACGATGTCGCCCACATGGACGAGTGGGCACGTCGTACGGGCATCCCTCTGACCAGCGCCGAAGCCCTGGGGACCAACTACGCGCGGGCGCGGCGGTGGATGCTGTCTATGCGCGCCGAACTCGTCCAGAACATGGGCTGGCGCGACGTTACTCCCCTGGACCCCCGCCTACTATTCGACATCGAGTGCCCGTCCCCGTACCGCTCGGCCAGGGGCCTCCCTCGTAGCCCCAACCTGCGCTTGCAGATACCGGTTCACGCGTCTTCTTTCTTTTCAAGAGAGAGACGAGTGCAGTGGGAGATGGTCTTCCATAGCGCGCTGTTCCCTCTCATGCGACATAACGTGCCTGCTATCGGCGACCTCCTCCACCTCATCCAGTGTCTTCTCACGGGCATGGTCGTCCTCGTGAAAGAGGAATGCCTGTCTGGTGGTGGTGTCGAGAGGACGATCCGCGCGTTGCCCCCGGTGGAATGGGTCGCCTCATATGAAGGGCGTTTGACGGAGATCCTTGGTTCCACGCACTTCCGACAACTCTTCAGGGCCGCAGGCGACAACCGTAATGCTTTCAAGCTCGAACGCGAGGGTTGACCCTGGCGCATCCTTCGCTGCCGACGCCTCTGCAAACATCCTGCCTCCTGGTGTGGCGGTTACTAAAATCGTGTTCGCGTCGATCACCCGGGTGGAGAGAAGCCTTCCACCGACCCGAAGCCATGCCTTCTGAGCGCGGCGCTTCGTACCTTATTCAAGCCCACACGTTGATCGTCCCCGTAATCCCTTGCTGCGTACTCTACGCCTGCCCACTGCTGTCGTTTAATCACGCTCCTCGACGTTCTCCTTCGTGCATATGTGCTTTCTTATACGGTATTATTGTCGCAATAATTATAGAGTAGACTCTGGGTCATCACGTATTATTACCTTACATTATTCTGCTCTGGACTCCTACGCATTCGCTCGCACCGCAACATCTTTTTGTTCTGCATGTATGTATTCACAGCTTTCGTCATGTCATGCCACACGGTCTAGGATCGTAGAATACACACGCTCCTTAATTTCTACGCAGTAGTGTTGCCCTGCACTGAGTATACGTTCGTCTGGTGGAAGTCTCGTGCGTTACCATCGCGCTTAGCCAGCCTGGGTGGGGTGGCTTCGTAAGTACGCCGGTCTAACCTCTAGATCTTATTCAGCAAGAGGGGCACCCTCTCACGTTCTTGAATTAAACCGATAGAGATAGGAGGCGCCGTAGAGTCACGAACATACTATGGGAGGCTGAACGCGAGAACAGGACGCGGTGCAGCGCGCATGGGAAATGAAATGGAAGCGGCTTCGAAGGCCTGGGATGACGAGACGCGTTCAGCGATACACGTTCCGTCACGTGTCACAGCAGCTGTGACCGACCGCGTTGAGTTGGATTGGGGCAACGATCCTTGAGCAGCTGCCTGCACTACTCGGAACTGCAGTTCCTATCCTACGAGCCATGGATGGCGCTCCCCCGCAAGAGGAGGACTTCAGCACCATCCCTATCCTTGATCGCTTGGCCCACAAGAACTGGAAGGCCCGAGTCAGCGCATACGAGGCTCTTGTCAAGACTTTCACAACGACATCATCTGACGACGATCCCGCTTTCAAACCATATCTGAACAACCCAGAACTCCTCAAGAAAGCAGTAACGGATGCTAATGCTGTAGCTCAAGAGAAGGGGGTGGAATGTGTCGTTGCCTTTGTGAAGTTCGCCGGGGAGAATGCCGCACGCACGCGAGAGGTGGTGGTCCCAGCACTGGTGGACAAATGCTTCGGTTCCGCACGAGCAGGAACTAAGGCGCAAGCGACGGAGCTAGCGCTTCAATATGTAGAGGTTGAGAATGGAGGGGCGGGCGTCACGGTGAGTCCAGTAGCCTTCGTGCGCCTTACGACTGTTCACGTCTCTCTAGGGTGACATTCTCCCTGGTCTGGGGGCGAAGCAGCCCAAGACGGTTGCTGGCTGTGTCATTGCTTTGAAGGAGATAATGCGGTATGTGGTTGCTACAGTACGTGCTGAACAGCGTGTCTCATAACGGAATGCGTATAGAGTTTTTGGACCGTCTGTCACTCCCCCGGGCCCTATCTTTAAAGCATTGCCGAAGATGTTCGCCCACACAGACAAGATCGTCCGTGCCGAAGGAACCCAGCTCACCCGCGTGTTCTACCAGTACATTGGTCCTGCAATCGAGTCATTCCTAGCAGATCTGAAGCCCGTGCAAGTGAAGGAGCTGAAAGAGGCTTTCGAGGGGCTAGACAAGGAGGGGAAGGGGAAGGGAAGCCTGAAGCCGGAGCGCTTGACAAGAGCAGCTGCTCGCGAGGCAGAAGCGTATGCTGCGGCAGGTGGAGACGGCGACGCAGGTGCTGGCCCGGTAGAGGGTGCGTGCCACAAGTCTGCAGTTACATCCAGGCGGCGCTCACGACTTCCACAGAGGAGATACCTGCAGATCCCCGTCTGTTTGTGGAGGAGGCCGACATCGTTCCAAAGCTGCCGCAAGACATGGGCAGACTCACGTCGTCCAAGTGGAAGGAACGTAAGGAGGTCTTGGACGAACTGCTTGCCCTCATCAATGCCACACAACGTATCAAGGACGCTGCTGAACTTGGTGATCTCGCTAAACAACTCGCGACTTGTGTTCAGAAAGACGCGAACGTCATATGTGTGATGGCTGCTGCTGGATGTATCGTAGGTCTTGCCAAGGGGGTAATGACTCCGTTTGGGCGGCTCAAGGAGGCCATCGTACCACCTATGCTTGAACGAATGAAGGAGAGGAAAGTGTCCGTCACGGATGCTATTGGGAACGCGTTAGATGCCGTCTTTGCGACCGTACGTCGTAACAACTCAGTCGTAGTCTTGACAAGTTACTTACGCCAACCTTTCTCAGACCACTCTGGCAGACATCATCCCAGACATCTTGCCTTCTCTGAGCTCGAAGAATCCTCAGGTCAAGGAAGGCACGCTCAAATTCCTGAATCGATGTTTGTCCACGTCACCTTCCCCTATCAACCCAGCACAAGTCAAGCCCGTCTCTGAAGCCCTTGCGCCTATACTCGAGGATTCCGTCGAGGGTGCTCGAAATGAAGCCGCGGCATGTCTCGGGTCACTGATGAAGATGGTCGGCGAGCGACCGCTCACAGCACTGATGGAGGGCCTGGCCGACGTCCGAAAGGCAAAGGTGAAGGAGGCCTTCGAGAAAGCTACTGTGAAGGCCAAGGTTGGTGCAGCGCCGAGGGCGCCTCCGCCAGCTGCGAAGGAACCTCCCAAGAAGGCTCCTGCGAAGAAGGCCGGAGCATCCAAGCCCTCTGCCCCTACGCCAGCTGAAGACGACGTACTCGTGGCGACTGAGAATAAACCTCCCCGGAAACCGCCTGCGAAGCTGTTGGTGAGTGCTGCAATGGGTCCGATTGCGTATCATACTAAACCGTTACCTTTGTAGGCGAAGAAGACCCCCGTGGCTGATGCCGGTTCCGCCCCCTCCTCACCTGCTGCTGTTGCACCACCCAGCGCTCCTGTAAAGAAGCTCCCCCCGGCTGCAGCGGGAGGCAAGTCGGCGAAGGCAGCGGCTCCGGGTGCTTTGGACACGTTCAAGTTCAAGCACACGCCAGAAGATGCTGACGCCCTGGCTGTGGAAATCATCCCGGCCCAGTTCGCTACCGATCTCGGGGACTCTGCTTGGAAGGTGCGGCTGGCGGCTCTCGAGGAGATGACGGGTTGGGTGGAAGGTGCCGCGCCTGAGCTCGATGCTGAGGTCGTCGTCCGTTTCCTGGGCAAGAAAGGTTGGAACGAGAAGAACTTCCAGGTCTGTCTCATTTGCTGTGGGTCGTACTAATCCGCTCTGACGCTATTGGTGTCAGGTGTCGGCAAAGCTGTATGGCATCCTCAACATCCTCGCAGAGGGTTGCCCGTCGTTTGGTCGATCGTCGGTTGCACTCTGCATCCCGCATCTCTCTGAAAAGCTGGGTGACGCGAAACTGAAGAGGCCGGCTGGCGAAACCCTCCTGTTGTTTGCCGAGAAGACGTCGCTGCAGTTCGTCCTGGGTCACGGTGCGTCCCATGAATTATGTGATTCTTCGGATTGTTGACCCCTGGAATTCAGCATATGAACCATTGTCGAAGCAGAAGGCTCCGAAAGTGCTGGCCGACGCTGTTGGGTGGATTGAGCAGGCACTGACAGAGTTCGGCATCGCCGGTCTGTCGCTGCGCAGTCTTGTCGACTTCCTTAAAGGCGCTCTGAAGAACTCCAATGCTGCTGTGAGGACGAGTGCGACGAAAACTGTTGTAACCGTCAAGTTGTTCGCGGGTCCATGTAAGTCCGATATCCCCTTTGGTAGACCTACCCACTGAGAGAACGCCAGCTATCAAGGATCTGCTGGAGGATCTGAATCCGCAGTTGCTCGGCACCATCTTGGCTGAATTCGATAAAGTTGAGGGCACTCCTCCACCGCAGCCAACTCGGACCTCCGCAGACGTCGCTGAGGTGTCAACCAGTGCGCCCGGCAAGGGTGCAAGTTCTGGCGGCGATCCACTTGACGACCTGTTTCCTCGAGTCGAGATCGATGGTCTCCTCAAGGGTACCACCATTCTTGCTGATGCTAAGAGTGATGCGTGGAAAACGAAGAAGGAAGCTCTTGAGACCCTACAAGCTACACTGGACCAAGGCGCGAACAAGAGACTGAAGCCTAACATGGGTATGTATGTGATCTATTCCTGTTAGTACGATTTATTAACGACGTATTTCAGGCGAGATTGGTCATGTCTTGAAAGCTCGTGTCACCGATAGCAACAAGGCTGTCCAGACCCTGGCCTTGGACGTCGTATCTCGCGTCGCCACGGGAATGGGCAAACCGTTCGAGAAATATACGCGCTTGTACGCCCTCCCAGTTGCGACAGTCCTTTCAGATCAAAAAGCCCCCATTCGTGCCGCTGCAGTCCAGACGCTCAATTCGATTGCTACCGCGTGCGAGGGCGTGGAACCAATGGTTTCGGGACTGACTACCGCTCTGGAATCTCAGAACCCTTTGCAGAGGTCCTCGCTACTCAATTGGCTCGCGGAGTGGTTCAAGGAGCATGAGCTGAGTCCTGGCCTCGATCTCAGCAGCTGGGTGGCACCTGTCATTGCCTGTCTCGATGATCGAAACGGTGATGTCAGGAAGGGTGCTCAAGCCCTGTTACCTACGCTCGTCGCGTCCGCTGGCTACGACTACGTCATGAGTCAAACGAGCTCACTCAAGCCGGCCTCACGGTCAAATGTCGCCCCCCTCATACAAGCAGCAGCGAGAGCGGCCGCACCTGCACCCCCTGCCGCACCTCCCACGAAGGCTCCTGCTAAAGTCGCTGCACACGCAAGAGCGCCGCCGCCAGAACCAGCTACCTCACCATCCCCTCCGCCTCAGGAACCCGCTCCCGCTGAAGCGCCCAAGATTGGACCTACGAGCAAGTTGGGAGGTGTACGTCGGAAGCTGCCACAGGGTACCTTACCCCGACCTGAGTCTCGTTCGGAAACACCGGATAGCATGTCGTCCCGCTTGCCGAGCAAACCAGGGATCGGGCTGAAGCGCCCAGGTTCTACGTTGAACGGACCAGCGAGACCGTCTGCACCACCAGTTGCAGCTGCACATACTCTGCCATTGATAGGAGACCATACTGAAGCGAAGAGACAACGACTGGCCAAGGACGCGCAGAAGTGGATCAACGAGGCAGGACCGACGAGGAAAGACCTCGCTGAACTCCTGCAACATCAGATGGAGCCTCACGCCTCGAAGGAGCTCCTATCCCTTCTTTTCAGTCGCGATCACAACGCAGTCAACGACCACGTCTCTGGCTTGACCATTCTACACGACTTCTACAGTTCAGTCCAGGCTGGTGAAGAGAAGCCCGGTTTCCCCCTGGAGACATTGCAGAGTGTCTGTCTGGCGAACTCCGACCTGGCGTTGAAATATGTCTCCATTAAGACGCATGAGCCTCAATCCAACTTGGTACAGAAGTGCCTGGATGTCGTCGATGCCGTCATTGGGTTCTTTCAGAGCGTCGACTACCAGATCGGCGACCCGGAAGCCCTCTGCTTCGTCCCGACCATAGTCCACAAGGTACGCCGAGAACGACTATCTTCATATCGCTTCTACAACTCTATGATAGCTCGGTGACGCGCGAGAGCCTGTTCGTGCTCGCGTAGCTCAAATTGTCCAATCGCTGCCCAAAGTGTATGCCTTCAGCCGGATGTTCCACCTCCTTCTTGAACACGGGATAAAATCGAAGGTTGCAAAGACACGTCAAGGGACTCTGGACGAACTCGCTGGCCTGTTGAAGAAGTTTGGAATTGCTACATGCGACCCTCCGAAGGCCTTCCCCGTAGTCGCAACTATGATATCGGACAAGGATGCTCAGGTGCGCAAGTCAGCCCTTGCAGTTCTGAGGTATGTTTTACGTCGACAATCTTGGCGCGAGACTGACTAGCGTCCTATGTGAACCTCAAGCGAAGCTTATGTTCTTGTTGGAGACTCGATCTGGACTTACGTCGGTCACCTGTCACCTAAAGACAAAACACAGCTCGAAGAACGCTTGCGTCGTGTCCCGGGGTTAGGTACCCCTGAGAAGGCGGACGGAGGTGCAGTGGCCACTCATGCCTCCCGTCTGCAAACAGGTATCCCGAGATCCGGGTCTCCTGCTCCTGGAATCGCGTCTTCTTCTCGCATCGGAAGGATTCCCCGGGCTGGTAGCCCCTCGATACCGGCGTCACGATTTGCTCGTCCTGCGTCCCCCGCGGGCACAGTGAGGTCTGCTTCTCCTGCGTTGACTCGCCCCGCGTCACCGGCCAAGTTCTCGAAGCTTCCTGGTGCTTCACAATTAGCAGGGCCATCATCGCCGACTGGTATCGGTCGCCCGAAAAGCCAACTGCCTTCCCGACTGGGTCCTCCAAAATCTCGCCTCAATGGCATACCACAACCTCGATCTATCGCTGCCCCACCACCAGACGAGACCGCCTACGATGAACCGCCTGCCCCGAAGCGAACTACCGGCAATGGGTACGCAGCAGAACCCATGGCGAACGTAGAGAGCATGGAAGATCCGCGTGCTACTGACGACATCACTGTCGTGATCTCGAGTATATTGAGCAACGACGCGACTCGTAGCGTCGACGCGCTAAAGAAGATCCAGAAGGTACTCGAGATTGGACCTGAGGAGGGCCCATCGTCACCGGCTTATCGAGAACTTGCAGAGCATACTGAGGGCCTCATCGAGACGATCACCTTACAGATGGCTCACGTTTTCGAGAGGCCCGACGACATCACCGTTCAGGAGAACTTCCGTCTCGCCAAGCATCTCATCCAAACCCTGAATGCTTTCTGCGATCACGTATTCCTCGCAGAATCCTTGACGGTGGAAATCTTGACGTCTTTGCTGGAGGAGTTGACATTGCGCCTGTTACAGACAGACAACAGTCCAGACAACAGAGTGAAGGATTTGTCGCGCTTTATCAACATGATCATTCTGCGCCTATTTGCGACTGGCCGTAGGATGTCGATTTTCCGGTGAGTATCGTAGCGCTTCGTACGATGGTACTCCTTTTAATTGCTTCTGTAGCGCACTGTTTGGACTCCTACTCCGGATCGTGAAGCCGTTTACAACAAACGGAATATCGACCGAGTCACAGGAAGCGAAGGTCGCCGAACTTGTATTGAAGTGCGTTTGGAAGCTGGCCAGGAACATTCCCCAGGATCTCGAGAAGCAGGCGCTCGACCCCGTGGAACTGTTCCCCGCAGTGGAACATTTCTTGCAATCTGTGCCTCCTAACGAATGGCGTGCAAGAGCCACAAACAAGGTGCCTTGTGGTGATATGCCTCTGCGGACGATCAAGGTCATCATTCAACACGTCGTTGGTAAGTGCAGTCGACAGGGTGGTTCGTCTCGAACTGACCGCACTCCATCAGCTCACTACGGGGATGATGTTTATGACATGCTGTCTGGGTCCTTCGACGACCCTTCAGCGACTATCGTGTACCCATACGTCTACCGCATCCTCAACTCTTCTACACGTACCGCGGCGGAGCTCCCCGCCAAGGCGAACGGTCTTCGGGAGGAAGTCGTTTCCCCGGCGTTGAGTCGACCAATCTCTCCTGGGACATCGTCTGTCACGTCTGAACATCGCGCCCCCTCGTCGTCGAGTCATGCTCGGAGTCAAAGTATATCATCCACAAACGGACACGGAGCGCATGCGTCTGAACCTGACCCTGACGAGCAATTGAACGTCATCATCCAACACATCTCTAGCGAGACGACCGGCGCTATGCACAAGGAAGGGATTACGGAGCTACACCAATTTCTGAAGGCCTACCCGCACAAAAGGGCCAAGGTAGACAAGATCCTCGAATCCACGGGTCCGGCGTTCCGCAAGTACATCACGAGGGCTCTCGCGAGTCGCGCTGCAGAAGATGACGAGAGAACCGTTGCAGTGGCAAGCACACTCTCGAGTCAGTCCGGTCGTCCATTTCCTGTTGAGCTTCGACTGACGTCGCTATTCTAGAATTGGAATCTAATGGTCGAGAACGGACGCAAAGCCTCGGTTACAGTCCAGGTGCGTGACATCCTTGTACTCTAGAAGCGTTGAAGCTTCATAGTGTCTGTCATAGATCATCCGGCGTCGGAGACCTCTCGTGTCGCGACACCGACGTCTCCTACTCGTTCAGAGCGTTCCCCGCGATCACCAGCACGGTCAAGTGTGGCTGAACTACCGGATGCGCAGCAAGAAAAGCTGTCGAGGCTTCACGACATTTTCCAGTATAATCGCACAAGCATCATAAGCTCTTCGTCTTCACAAGGCCGATCAACGCCGACAACATTCACTCGTGGCGCACCAGGTTGAACGGGGGCACTTTGCTGAGCTAGACAGGGTTTGTTTACGTTCATTTGCGTATCTGTACATTGGCATCATAGTATCGTATAGTGGGTTGTACTTAGTAACATGCTTCTATACCCTCGCATGGGCTGTATGCAATTATGTATTCATCTGTAGCACCGGACTCGGGATTAGAATCTTACAGAATTAACCACACAATTTTGACACAATTGCCTATGACGCGACTGGGACGCGACACGGGTGGTCTCGGGCGCTTCATACGTCTCGCCTTCATACCCATGCAGCCCCGGGCCTGAGTGGTCTAGCATCTATCTGCCGCCGCTCCCCCCTCCTCACTTCACGACCTGATCACGACCACGACCATCCCAATTGTATTTCCTAGCTATATCTAAACAACCATGCCTGCCTCAAAAGCTGCCTTAGTCGTTCCGCAAGACCTGCTATACGAACTGGCTCTAGCTCTCTGGAAGACAGTAGTCAACATATTCTTCCGGGAAATCAGGCCAAGAGGCGCATTCCACATCCCCCGAGATGGACCGGTCATCTTCGTGGCTGCACCTCACCATAACCAAGTGCGTCCCTGACAATGAACCTTGCTACGAGCTAACGCTCCCGAACCAGTTCCTTGACCCTTTGCTACTCTCATTGCAAGTTCACAGAGAAACGAGACGGAAAGTACAGTTTCTGATTGCAGCCAAAAGTATGAAGAGGAAGGTCATTGGGTTCTTTGCCAGGATGATGGCCAGCAGTAAGCCCCCGTCGCATCCGAATTTGATTGTATGAATTTGATTGCTGTGCAGTCCCAGTTGTTCGCGCTGCAGATGACGCCAAACCGGGAAAGGGACACGTCATCATCTCCGACGACGATCCATGTCTTGTCATTGGTTTCGATACTCGCTTCACAGAGGAGTTCGCTCCCCAAATGCAGATCATGCTACCCAAATCTGTCAACTTCGCTGTAGCAGAGGTCGCGGAGGTAATCTCGGACACAGAGCTTCGCATCAAGAAGGAATTTGGAGGGGAGAGCGGAAAGGGCACCGCTCGGATTCGCGAGAAGACGAAGGAGTTGCAAACACAGGGGAAGCAAGGATTCGACTTCAAGAAGCTACCTCACGTCGACCAGAAGGAGATGTATCATCATGTGTATCAATGTCTCACTGAAGGCGGCTGTATAGCTATTTTCCCTGAGGGTATGTGAGCTCATCACAATCACTTCCTTTGTTACAAAGTGCTAATTACGTCAGGCAGGCGGGAGTCATGACCGTACGGATCTGCTTCCCCTGAAAGCGGGCGTGTCTCTCATGGCATTGGGTGCTATGGCTAACGACCCGCATGTCAAAGTCAAGATAGTTCCTGTTGGCTTGTCGTACTTCCATCCCCATCGCTTCCGGTCACGAGCTGTCGTTGAGTTCGGGACAGCCCTCGATGTCCCAGCAGAGCTGGTAGAGATGTTTAAGGAAGGCGGCGCGCAGAAGCGGGAGGCTGTTGGCAAGCTCTTAGACTACGTCTATGACGCGCTGAAGACGGTTACCATCCGCGCTCCAGACTACGAGACATTGATGGTACGCATCCCAAGACGCTTTCATGCACATGGTCTGATATTTCGTCTTAGCTATGTCAAGCAGCTCGTCGTCTGTACAAGACTCCCGGTCAACATCTGACGCTCGGTCAAGTCGTTGACCTCAATCGCCGCTTCCTGGAAGGTTACTTGCACTTCAAGGACGAGCCGAAGGTACAGAAGCTGCGCAATGATGTCCTTAAGTACAACCGAATGGTGCGGGATCTCGGTTTGCGAGACCACCAGGTGCGCTCTTTGACTCAGTCGTCGGGAATGTGCACTCATGGCATCCGTCCACAGGTCCCTCATGCTCAGAAAGCCAGTTGGAAGGCTTTGGGTCTACTTTTATACCGGCTAGGTCTTCTCTTTGTGTGGACCATGCTCGCACTTCCTGGCGTGATCTTGAACGGGCCGATCTTCTTGGCCGCGTCGATTACGTCAAGGAAGAAGGCCAAAGGTATATTTACAGACTCGGCGACTTGGATCGCTACCACCGCTGACCACTGGAACAGAGGCCCTCGCTGCTTCGACTGTCAAGATTGCTGCTCGAGATGTTCTGGCGACATGGAAGGTGTTGATATCGCTCGGGATGACACCTCTGCTCTATGGATTCTACGCATTCCTGGCCACCATGACCGTCATCAGGGCTGGTGCACCGCTTGAGCTGAAGATCTGGACGCCCATTCTGGTGATGGTGACTCTGCCTTTCGTCGCATACGCTGCTTTGAAATTCGGTGAAGCCGGGATGGATGTCCTCAAGTCAGTATTCATTCTTGCTGTCGGATAGTGTTCGTGACAGCTTGCATTTAGGTCGCTGCGACCCCTCGTCGTAGCACTGATACCCGGCCAGTCTCGTTCGCTGGACCAACTGAAAGCAATGCGAGTAGAGGTGTCGAATCAACTTGCGGATGTAATCCGTGAGTTCGGCCCCAAGCTATATGAGGACTTCGATGCAGTACGTCGTAACGTTATCATTGCTGTTTCATATTTTCTGAAGTCGATTGCTAGAACCGCATTATGGTTCCGTCTGCAAGCGTGCCACCGTCTACAGGGGAGCCTGGTATATGGAGACGGAAGAGCGGCACAGGCGGTGTCGACGCTCAGGGCAACTTGCTCGTGCATCCCATGGTCAGTCCATGTACTTCCCTACTTTGCGGAACACTAACGGTCCGATAGACGTGGCTCGACGAACGTTTGTTCGGCTGGAGTCGGAGTGCATCTCGGGGCACGAGTGCCTGGTCAGGGACGCGTAGCCAGGATATCAGCAGGGCACCCAGTCCAGACGCATCCGAAGACGAGACCGGTGACTACGACAACGTTCTGGGCTACCTCGAGGGCCGATCTGCCCAGTCGCCGCGTCCTGGACGCAGTCACCAGAGCTCGTACGCCGACATCCAGCGGCTGAGGAATGGCACGGGCGATCACGGCGTCAAGTTCGCGGTGACTAGCACCGGAACCGAGGCCAATGATCCCGAGGGCCTCCAGTTTCGGCAGCGGGGTAATTCGCGGACTCGTAAGAGCTCGCTGTCGGATATGGTGCCAGTAGAGAGGATCGGTGCGTTGGACAGGAATGAGAACTTCCGGGAGGCTACGGATGACCTCAATCACGAGCTGGAGGAGCAAAAGGGTCATAAGGACGAGTAGATCACCGAGTCTGGACCTTCCTCTATCCTTCTCATCCTGTGTGCCCCCGTCCGGCCGCCTACAAAACTTTCCTCGTTGCAGCGAATGTAATGACACAGACCCGATAAACGGCATCACTATGAGCACAAGCTTGCTACAGTTACCTGACCGGCAAGCAAACCCTAACTGTACAGGTCTTCTCTTCGTTTCCCGGCCGTCAGTATCTCTACGCCGGTTTCCGTGATCCTGCAAAGGTGTCAGCACCGCAGGCCCTCATAATTGTGATGGTACGAACAGTAGCGTATCTTCAAATTGCGCGCTGGGTTTGCCGTCGACCGTAGTCGCGGTCCAGTTGTCTGGCCAGTGGACGAGGTCCCAGTTGTGACCAAGGTTGATCATGGGTTCGATGGTGAATACCTGCACGAACGTCGTCAGGACGCTGCCTGTGACAGTGAAACCTCGGCTAACCATTCCAGCTTTCATCGTACCAACAGCCTTGTTCTTGGCATAGTGAGGGACGTTGGGTGCACAGTGGAACAACTCGTGGATTCCGTGTCCGCAATATGTGCGCACGACAGCGCAACCGTTTGCACGGGCGATAGGTTCACTGTGGCAAAACATACGTCAGCATGCGATGCGCGCTGCCGCATACCGTTTGTACGAACATGACTTTGCCCAGGTCGCGGAAGAGCGCGCCAGGCTTGCAGATTTTGATCGCCTCGTCGAGTGCTTCACGGGTAACACGCACGAGTTTCTTCCAGTCGTCGTCGACGCGTCCCACAGGGTATGTCTCGTTCAAATCACCGTGGAAGCCTAGAGTCTCGGTCACTTTACGAGCATGTTCTATGATGAAGCATACGAACCGTCATAATACAGGGTAACATCTGGAAGATGGCCTATCGTTGAGCTATCGATAACCTGTATCGTATTGCACAGTCACTTACCAATGTTGATGATGTCGCCTTCTTGGAGTTTGCGCTTGTCAGGGATACCGTGGCAAATGGCCTCGTTGATGGACCTGTGAGTATGTCTTAGCTTATGTACACGATAACCCAAACGCTAACGCCTACGTGCAAACAGATTTCGGAAACCCGCGATAATTCAGGGGTGATGGATATGCATTGCGCTTGATAGTCTCGTTGTGGACGATCTCGTCGATCTCGTCTGTCGTAATGCCGGGTCGTACATGTGAGGCAGCGATGTCCAAGACCTCTCGGGCTAGCTAGTGAAATGACAGTCAGGTAAGGCTTGAAGACCACGCTTGCGCACTCACTCTGCAGACGGTCCGTATCTTCTCTTGTTCCTCCTTCGTGAGGATTTTGGGGGGCTGCCCAGCACGTCTGCTTTCTGAGGTTGGCTGACCTACAGAAAAGGCGCATCGTTATGGCAAGCTCACATCGTCGTTTTGACCTCACGAAATAATTTAGAGACAGCCCTACCATCTTCAGCGTAATCTGGTCTTGGGATGTGTTCAGGGACATGTCGTGTGGGTGACAATGGATACACTGGTCGCAGGGATCCCGTGAATTTGAAGCTACCAAACGGGTTAAAGGTACCATCTAGGGAAGCATCCTTCAGTACTAGCTGTGGCGCGAAGGCAGATGTGTAAGGGAATTTACCTCTGTTGATGTTGGGATCGTCCAGTAGCGGTTGTCTCGGGGTAGCAATATCGTGGATTAACTTGTGCGTTTTCTGAGGATTCCTGTGAGGACTGCGGATTATTTCGAGTCATGGGTTGCTTACCCCTACGTGCCCAGTCCCAATGTTTGTAAACCGAATGTGGAGGTTCATAATGGATGTCACTCACAGTCTGACTTGAAGCATTCTTGTCCGCAGAAGAATGAACCCTTGATTCCTAATCTGAGAAAAGTCAGTTCGGACACAAGACTGGGCCCTAGACAGAGCCGATCACTTACTTATGGCATGTCGGGCACTCCAGCTTCGAAGCGGGATGCCCGTTTGGGCATGTCTTACTCTGGCAAGGGACGTTTGTCGTACTCATGGGGGCGACGAAGGCGGTTGGTAGGAAAGGCGGTGAGAGAGACGGCGTCCCAGTTTGCGACTGACTGCCGCCACACGGGCGTCTGTTCGTGCGATCTTTGACATTGCCGTTTTAGTAGCAATTTAGTAGTAGGGCAAATTGTCGTTAGTTCATCCACAGGCGCCGGCGGAATCCACGAATCCAGCAGTATGTGGCCGGGCTTCTCATATGTCCTTTCCCCAAGCTCATGCTTCTCATGCTTGTGCTCTTGTCCACGCTGGAACCACATGCCGTTATCGCAATAGATCGATGTAAGCTATAACGCGTTGATTGAGTACTAGAATGGTGAGGAGTACATATTATACTGCTATGTACAGTATGTATACCCTGAGGATTGTGCGTTGAATGAACATTCAGCTGAGCATCGAGATGTGGCCTTGAGCTTGATATTGTGCGATTACCCTAAGAAGATGCATCGGGGCCATCTCTTCTATCTGCCCGTCTGCGTAAGTGAACTCCATCTGCCTCCGCCACTGTCTCATCTAACTGTGTCGAAGCTGGCACTATCCCATCCAGTCTCTCGCGCGACTCATTGCGCAACCGTTGTAAGTCGGCGTACGACCCCTGGCGCTCGCTCGAACGTGGCCTCGTCGACTCCGCCCCTCGCTGCTCGAGATAGCCGACAACGTTGTCGTAGTCACAGTGCTCGTGGATATCGTCGTCGGCCTCCCCGTCGTCCGAGGGTGTTACTCCAGCGCTCTCCTCTGAACTTCGCGACGGTCGTGGACTCCAGCCAAAGAGATGTTCGTCCAGCCATGTCTACAACGATTGGGATTCAGGGGGACGCAACATAATTCATTGCAGTGTCTTACCATTGGATGTACCAGCAAGGTGCCTTGTGCCCGTGATGGAGCGCCACCACTCCTGCGGCGGGAGAGGCCAGGCCGACTCACTGGTGTTACCAGCATACGGCGCTATTTGCGTAGTCAATATACGGATACCTGTGCCTATCTCGAACGGAGATGATGCGTACCTCATCAAAGTCGTCATATAGCTTGGGTGCGAACTCATTTACGACCTCCACAAGTTCATTTGTGACCTGTACGCGCATCGCCTTGAGCCGGTCGAGCGAGCGCGACTGACCAGGGATCAATGCGACGACGAGAGGGGGCAGTGATCTGGCACCCATTGCCGTCAGAAATGACTGCTGCCTCTAGAGAGAACCATACGCTTACTTCATAACGTCCACGCCAGCTTCACCGAACTTCAGCGCGGCATATGCAACCAAAGGCAGCGCGAGCATGACGAGCACCGGCGTGCATATCTGCCACTTGATTGGCGCACCGTATTTGATCGCGGCCATGGTCGCAATGAATGCGTAGAAACCGTATAACACCGGGGTCAGTCCGAGCGAGATGAGGATCTTCCATGTCGCCACGACGTCCCTGCCAGAGATCTTAACCACGGAACCGGCCAGCGCCTCTACAATGACGTTTGAGGGGCCATCCGGCAGTGGGGCGCATGTAGAGGGAAGCTTACCTTTGGCCTTCTTCCGAGACATTGCGGAGGCAGCCAGAAAGATCGGTGCGTTCAGCACAACGCCGGGAAGTGCTAACACGCTCCAGAATTGTAGTAGCCCCAGGCGATAGATGAGGAGTCCGAGGGTCTTCCAGCTAGCCTTCTGTGCCCGTGGTACCTGCGTTTGTCATTAGATGTCAAGATGCAAATTGGAGAACCACGGATGGACAGACCTGATGATCGCGGAGGCCGAGATATCTAACCATGCGATTGTACTTGAGCACGTCGTCACGCAGCTTCTTGACTTTGGGCTCGTCTTTGAAGTGCAAGTAGCCCTCAAGGAAGCGACGGTTCAACTCGACAACTTGGCCTAAACTCGTATGCTGCCCTGGGATGTCGTACAGGCGTCGCGCGGCTTGACAAAGCTATAGTACTCGTTCTTAGTCTGCGCCTGAATATTGATACTTAGCAGAATGCGCACCATCAGTGTGTCGTAATCAGGCGCTCTGACAGTCACGATCTTAAGCGCGTCGTAGATGAGGTTGAGGAGCTGGCCGACTGCTTGACGCTTCTCCGTTCCTCCTTGCCTGTACAGTGCCACTAGCTCTTGCGGAACGTCAAAAGCGGTCCCGAACTCCACCACTACTCTTGAACGGAATCGGTGCGGGTGGAAGTAGGACATCCCAACGGGCACAATCTGAACCTTGAGGCTAGGATTGTTGGCCATGGCACCCAGTGCCATCAAGGAGACTCCGGCTTTCAGTGGGAGCAAATCGGCACGGTCATGGCTTCCACCTATAATCGTACCCAAGTCAATACACTGAAAACAGTGGTAAACTAATGTGTAGAACGTACCTTCCGGGAAGATACCAATACAGCCACCTTCGGTCAGACATTGGTAGACATGGTGGTACATGTCCTGTTGGTCCAGATGCGGTATTTTCTTGAATTCCAACCCCGGCTCACTCTGGGCTTGGAGCTCCAATACCTTCTGGCGGATCTTGAGAGTGCCCTTCCCACCATCTCCGCCGAACTCCTTCTTAAGCTTGAGCTCCGTGTCGGAGATGACCTCGAGGACCTCTGCGAGCGGCGCATTCACGGACTTTGGGAGCATGATTTGCATGCGAGGGCCGAGTTCCTTCGTGAACTGTGTGCCGTGACCTACGACGATGCACGGGTCATGCTCAGATAGTGAGACGTAGCCTGTGCCGGGTTTTGCTTCATCCGCTGCACGGACCACTGGGACTGACCGACAGAACCACGATGTTCATGATATATCAAACAACAACCAACACGTACTACTCACTGCTTGAAACCATCCTCGCAAAGAAACCAATGACCCTCTGCTTCATGCTCTTGGCGGCTACCAGAAACTGCACCTTGCGCCTGGTCTCGCGCCATACCTCAAGAGCAAGCACCATATCTACGAACTTTTTAGAGTCAGTATATGCACGCCTCAGCGTCGCACGAGCATACTTGCTTGATTGTTGTGCGGCGCTGCTACGAATATCACCGGTCCCTCTTGAGGTATGTGGAACGCGCCTCTGGGTCTGACCTCGCGGAAAAATATGGTTATTGCGGACCTCCACAGGAACATAGCAGATGCATAGAGGAAGTCCGAGGACGTCGTGGGGCTGCGTTTCGTGCGACCCATGGTGGGCAGACCTCGCGGTCGGCGGTGTAGCTTGCGTCAAGTGTGCTGGTCACAAGTATGACGGCTCACGGTCGGGGGTTGGGAGTTGGCTTCGTTGGACTTGCCAAGGCCATATGTTACGCTGAGGCAGGATGCTGGCAGCTGCGGCGAGAGCTGTCGCCCGACTTCCCCAATCGCCTCCACTGGGGTCCGGGGCTCAGCCACGGTCACATGACCGAAGTCAATAACGCGTCTCGCTTAAGTATCGTGCGACGCGATCTCGGTTCTCCAGTGTACCCGGCGCCCGGGGCCGCTAGCCCGTACGAACAAGGCGATGACTCGGATTACCTGGCTGCAAGGGCAGCACCTACGTCTACAACAAGATCCCATACTTCCGTAACCATATCCTCCAATACTACAGTCGTGGCCTTTGCCCGGAGCGAGTCTGCCTTCAAGTGCCGCGTCGCAGTAGCGTCCCGCTCCTTCACCATGCCCAAGTTGTGATATACCACTGACAAGAAGTACTGGACATCTTGCAGCTGGCGGAACATGTCGAGCAACTCGTAGTCCTTCTCCGCGGTAACGAGATAAGGGATAGACTCTTGTAGTGATTGCGCTGATTAGAGACGCGTTGAGCGTAAAAACTTGGGCCAGTCGGAAGAAACACGCACGCGTCCAATCCCCCGCTGCTATGACGCATCTTGCGAAGACGAAACATGTCAGCGCACGCTGTTCAAGGTCGTCCCCGCCGATAACCTGTGTGGCGAACGTCAGCATAACTGTGAGCCGACACGCTGCTGCATACCTGAGGTAAAATCTCCTCAATAATCCTCCTACACCATTTGGTCATCCCCAGCTCCAGGGCGACATCCGCCAGTAGAACAAGTGCTGTCCGGTAGTGCCCGAATCTACACTGGAACTCGGCCTGCCATGTGGCCGTCAACAATGGTTCAACCCAGGTATACCCTTGATCCGCTTCCTGAGTCAAAGCTTTCAGTATTGAGATGCAGCTGGAGACTGAGGTGAGTCACTCACTTTCATCTGTATGTGTTCATACATCGGGTCCCGTATGCACGAATTCAGCGACATCGGGGTCCCGTTCCAATATTCTCGGCCTCTGTACACGCCGTGTGGACGGCGCTGCTTCAAAAACTCCGTGAACTGGCGGGGTTGCCCGCTTACATGTTGTGAGCAACCATCTACCCTTAATGTGTATGAGACAAGAACACTCACCGACGACTGGCGCGCAAGACGAGAATATGCCATATCTCGTTCGCCCAAATGTGGTAGTCCGTCATGTACAACCCTCGCCATACATCCGGATCGATAAGACTGGCTAGCGCAGCTTCGTACTTGCCTTGTCGAGCACGCTGGGTGTAGCGGAAAGCATCAAACTATCGTCGAGCAGCACTCAAAGGGTGGGACTCACATAATAGGCGCGATTAAGTGCGACTGTAAGCCGGTTGTTGTCTGCACCGCCCACTTCGGTGAATGCGGTCACTATGTTCTCCTGTATCTGCGCCAGTCGCGCGCAACCTTGACAAGCGATAGGTACTGATGATACTTATGTCCACGTTGCAAATCATACATACCGTGCAGGCTCCACACCACACTTTGTACGGTATGTGGACCCCATTGTTCGGCTTCGATGAACGGAGCACGCTGAAGATTGATCCAGTGGTCGTACAATCCTACCGTTTTGATGATCCTCTCAAACGCTGCAGTGAGTGGTTGTTGCTGAAGAGACGGTCGATTCGCTGATCAGCGTGTCGTGCCCCCCGAGCGACTGAGCCACATACATTGCTGATCTGCAGAAGCTTCTCAACATCGCGCAAGATCTCGTAGGGATGTAGATCAGGTTGTATATCGTTGATCGTCGGCTTTTGACCGTGCTCCGTGGGTGGCAAGCGGTTATATAGACTGCCCCGCCCAACGTCATGCGATCAGAAGGTATCACGATGTACCAGCACCTACCTCATGCAGGCCTGTAGAGTGAGTTTGTCACTGCACGTCCGAGCTACGCCGATAGCCTCTTGGAGGGTCTGATGTCGTCGACAGGGCGTGTTAGATGTGCTTGAGGCTGAAGGTGAGTGCGTCATGTTACCTTCCTACAAGCAACGAACTCGTGGTGCAGGTAGTGTCTCCGGGCAACACTGAGTAGGGCATGTTGCCGGAGTCCTCTTTGGAGCCATAGTCATTCAGCGTATCGGTTGATGACTAGACCAGATACGTACGAATCGTGAGCTTCGTGAAAGTGCTGCTCAAAAAACCGTCGCAGGTGTTCCGTTGCGCTGTTCTCTTCGCCGATGGCCGCCGCCTTTTCGTAACTACGCAAAATGCTACAGCTTGCACGCCTACGAGTTGCACCATCAGTCGACTTACTCTCCGAGAGCGGTCGCTACAGCGTGAGGTTTCTTGTCGCTCTGCGCTTTATGAGCCAGGTAGTCTGATCGCCGCGAGTGAGCAATAGCGAGGTCATGGATTGCATTGAATCGCACCCATTGTAAGTGCATCTTCTCGCGTATCTTCATAACCCGGAAGCTTTGTCGGATGCTGGTCTGAATGCTGACCGGCGTGGAAGGTGAGTTCTATCCAGGATATGTAATCCCGGTGCAGCTTGGAGAGCCCAGTAAAGGACAGCTTCCGAGAACTGATGTAACACCGATGGCAGAAAAAGCCAAAGAGGGAGCGGCGAGCCTGCAGCATATATTCGCAGTTAATTATTCATTATGCATCGCGTGTGGCCAGAAGGACTGACGAAGTCTGAGTTATTCTAGCAGTTGGTCAGCCGAAGGCAGAACATTTATACGAAAGACCTCACATCCTCCTCGTCTCTTTCCACATAGAGAGTATGTAAGTCTATGAACTGGCATGTAATCTTGTTCGAGACTCAGTACGAGTTGGACAAACATACTTGCGAAGAAGTCAGAAAGATCTTGCGGTCGTTGCAGTCGTAGATGCTATGGAAGAAAGTGTCATGCAAGGCCTTCCTCAGTCCAGTTATGTATACCTCGTTGGAGAATCTCTGATAGAATCTCTGTGCAGAGGGCAGGTCTCCCATAGGGCCTTTCATGATTTCGGTAGTCAGATCGCCAAATCCCTTCGGTTCCATTACCTATGGAAGGTGAAGCTCAGTAGCTTCCTTGAGTGCATACGCTCTTACTTCGGAGAGTTCGCGGATGAGGATGCGATAGAGATGAAGCATGAATGGTCCGGGGAGTGGCCCTTCTGGTGCATAATCGAATGTCTGGAATGCCAGTACGATAATGGCCAGGAGATTGACGTGATGAGGCCGCAGTATATGCTTGACAGGGGGATTAGCTGGATTTCGCATAACGTGTTACCTTGTGCGAACGGGCTGGGGTATATAGGAGCAGGGAGTGAGGGTGGGGAAGACGAGTGGCACGCGTCCGAACGCGTCGCGCGACGCGTCGGGATGTGATGCGTGGGAACGTTAACAGGACGCCAGATCTCTTTCACGATCGACTCGTAGATTGGGCGCTTCCTACTGTACGCTCCTCACTCTCAGGTCGCCTCAGCCTAATGGCGGTCAAGCCAAACAACAAGCGAAAGGCACAGCCATCTCAGGCGAGTACCGAAGCTGACTCTGTAACTCCTTATGCTGAACAATTTCCAGGGTGCCTCCAAAAAGCGCAAGCTCTCCAAAGACACAGAGCAGAAGAAATCGTCTGCGAAGTCCAAGGCGAAGGGCAAGGAGAAAGCAGCCGACAGAGACATTATCCCAATTCCTGTCCATGAAAACGACGCTGAGCTCTCGGATGAGGACCTGGATGCATTCGAGGAGTACGGTGCAGCGTTGGGATTCCTGAGCAAGTTGGACGAAAAGGGTATAGCCAGGTGAGCCATCATTTAACGACCACATCCCCGTGTCCTTGGTACGAGCTCTTTCCATCTCCCTAGGAGCAAGAAGGAGACAGAACGCTTGCGCCGCCTGCACAAACCCGTTCGTGTTGCTCCGAAGGACGACCTGCCATCCGTCGACTCTCACGATGAAGACGAAGACGAAGACGACTGGAGCTCTGGTTTTGGCGACGATGCCGAGGAGGAATACCTCTCTGATGCTCCGTCAGACGCCATGATTTCAGAGGCCGGAGAGAGCTCGCCATCGAGCGTCAGACAACCACGCAAAAGGCCCAAAGCCGACTCGGACGAAGAGGAAATGTTATATGAGAGTTTGCCGCGAAAGCGCAGGCCATCTTGGGAGCCTGAAGAAAAGACGGAGAAAGGCGTCGAAAGGTTGCCAATCAAGCTCTCTGACGGACGAATACAGAAGAGTAATGCCAAGGTTGTGCTTGACGCGGAGGAGATCGAAGGGAGCGAAGACGAATCCGAAGAGGATAGACCTATGCCCGAATGGAGAGTCGAGGATGTGTCTACCGGTGCTCGATTCGGGCGCCCAGCGGTAGTCGACGTCATTAGCAATAAGTCTCGCAAGGCTCGTATACAAGGTGCAAAGGAGCAAATAGCGGGCATATGCCAAGAAATTGTTGCAGACCCAGAGACCAGCGTAATTCATCCATTCCTACCTCATCTCTTTGACGACTTAACACGTTCATAGATGGGCCTTCTGAGACGGTTGCATACGTTCTCCCTACCCCAGATCTCAACGCCCTCTCACCCTGATCCCGTCCCAAACGACATGGTCATCCGCAAGATGACCATGCTCTCTCAGCTGGCCGTGTTCAAGGACATCATACCTGGCTATCGTGTACGTGCGCTCACCGACAAAGAGAAGGAGGAGAAGGTCAGCCAGATGGTTCAACGGACACGAGATTGGGAGCAAGGGCTTGTCTCAGTGTATCAGAGTTACCTCCGCGCGATGGAGGCTGAAATCAAAGGTGAGTGATGCATCGTTTTTCTCGTTGCACCACAGTGGACTCACAGAGTATCAGCGAAAAGTGAACTCGCCGAGATCGCGCTGCAGTCCATGTGTTCCTTGCTCGTTGAGGTCACACACTTCAACTTCCGCGTCAATCTGATGAATTGCGTGGTTGCGTACTTGAGTAGGAAGTCTTGGGACAAGGTACGTCGCCCTCGCCATGTTCCTTGCGACCGTATCTAGGTACTCACGCAGATTACCATCACCAGATGTCAGACCTGTGTCTCAATTCACTGATCAAGGTGTTCCGTGCGGACAATACCGGCGATGCCTCGCTGGAGATTGTGCGCTTGCTGAATCGCATGATCAAGGAACGCAAGTTCAACGTTCACCCGGATGTCCTCTCGTGTTTGTTCCACCTCCGCTTAAAGACCGAACTTGGTGTACGGGCGTCAGAGACCAAGGTTGACAGGGAACAGCTTGGGAAAGGGCCGAGGAAGGGGAAATACAAAAAGGCAGAGCAGCCTCATCTCAGCAAGAAGGCCAAGAAGGCATTCAAAGAGAAGAAGGAGATTGCAAAGGAAATGCGTGAGGCGGAAGCGGAGGTTGACAAAGAAGAGCGCGCAGCGAAGGTAGGTTGTGGAGCTTCAAGTTTCCATCTTCGTCGTCAGTCTGGGTGCTGAGGGATACCATCTTACAGCAAACAGAGACGCTCAAATTGCTCTTTGTTCTCTATTTCAGGCTCCTGAAGAATCCCACGCCGACACCTCTGCTTCCCGCGGCGCTTCAGGGGATTTCCAAATTCTCGCATTTGGTCAACATCGATTTCTTCCGTGACCTGTTGCAAGTCCTCAAAGGGATCATGTCTCGAGATCCGGACGGGACAGACGAGGACGCGAGGCGGACGGATCATGATACGTCAGACAGCAGGAGCGCGCAGTACCAATTGCTGTGCATCGTCACCGCATTCGAACTGCTGTCCGGGCAAGGTGCGGGATTCTTGCGTCATTGTGGTCATCGGTAGAAGCATAATCGCGGCTTGTGACAGGTGAAGCACTCGACATTGACTTGAGCGAGTTCGTCAATCGCCTCTATGCCATCCTGCCCTCGCTCGGCCTCGCACATGACGTCGAGACTGTACCCGAGGTTGCGTTCAAGTCGGACGTGCGTGTCTCCAAGCCATCCACGACTGCTGACATGCTGTTCCGTGCGCTGGACTTGGTGTTCGCCCCGCGGGCATCCTCGTCCGCAGCCCCACCCTGGCGCGCAGCCGCATTCGCCAAGCGGCTCCTCACCGCCGCCCTCCAGTGGCCACCCGCGACGGCCGGAAGGGCGATCGAGCTGGTCAGGGCGCTCGTCGAGAGGGATTCGAAGCTCGAGGCACTGTTGTCCACCGAGGATCGGGGCGGCAACGGGGTGTATCGCCCAGATCTCGACGATCCGCAACTGAGCAATCCGTTCGGGACGACGTTCTGGGAATTGCATGTCCTCGCTCGTAGACACTGGGACGCGCGTGTGCGCGATCAGGCCCAGAAAGTATTGCATATGACGTCCTAGGCTACTTGTACGTACAGGTACTACCTGAGTCGGGAACCCATAGCATGGTAGAGAGGAGGGAGATTAACAGCTACATTTATTTTGGCGATCGAATAGTTTCATTGCTACAAATAATCTCAAGGTACGTATTGATACAGCACCGAACGGAGCGGGAGTCAGGGGGAAGGGTGATGCGTACAGGTGGAAAAGACAGTTCGTTGAAACGTCCGAGGAGAAATAATCGAATTCGAAGGTGAGGGGCAGGCGTTCGCACGCTACGCCCGGCGCGGTGGGGGAGGACACAAGGAGAGTCAGTGGACACTCGATGGCAACACGCAGGATCAGATGGTTCAGAAAAACTTCTGCACGTCCCTTGATCCAATGCGGCTGGGACCGCGCGCTGTCGCCGTGTGGCTGAAGTCCATACCGGATGGCAGCACGAAGTCACTGCCGGTTCCTGGGACATGCGGTGGTGGCGGCTGCAGCTGCTGTTGCGATGTCGGTGGGGTGGGAGGACCCGCATACCCGGGAAACGCGAACGATGTCACAGGTGAGATGGGCGGGGATGCCAGAGGCTGTGGGTTGGACGCCGAGCGCCACGGGTACTTGTGGAACCCAATGAGCTCAACAGCCGGCGCGTGCGTCGCGGGCGCAGACCGGTCAATGGTGTACAGGATGACCGCGAGGACCTCCCTGTCAACGACAATCTGCTGCGAGATGGTCTGGACCACTGTGGGGAAGAATTACACGCGTGTTCAGTCAACATGAGGACAACGCGTGCAGGAGAGGAAGGCATCACGGGCGTGCTGCACACGTACTGGGTTCGAGCCACCGGCACCGCGTCAGGGCTGATTGCGGGAGGTGAGCGATGGGCATGGACGACGGGACGTCACCACCGGGCAGCATCGCTTGCGGCTGCTGAGGATTCAATTGCTCGAGTAGACCGACCTCGTGGCTCGTGCATGTCTTGCCTGCCCACGTCTTGGTGTGGCACTTTGCCGAGGACGCCCAGGGCGCCGCGAAAGACACCATCGCGTGGAAGCCCTGGAAGGCAGACAGGTTGTGGACGTCGTGCGAGGGATACTTCAAGTGCAGACGGAGCAGTATCCGGAAGGGCGGCGGACGCTGCCCGGACGCTGAGGGAGTGCCGGACGCGGACGTAAGCTTGTCGATGTCAATGAGGCACATCGGCGAACTGTCGGTCCAGAGGTTGATATTGCACAGCCGGTTGGGCGACAGGGACGTCAGAGGCATGAAGGTGAAGTCGGGTGTGTCAGGCATGGTGCTCTGCGGAAGATTAAACAGCGACGGGCCAAGAGTGAGCGGTTCGAGGTGGACCGACGAGGAGCGCGGACGAGCGATGCTAGCGGGCGTGACGGTGGCATAGTCCGCTCCGGGCGCAAAGGACGGGAGCGCTGGGTCAGAGTGATGCACGGACATGGTACGCGCAGGGGGGCTGAGACACTGCGCCGAAGTCGACGCGCCGAAGTTCATCGGAAAGGTAGAGAAGTCGGGCGCCGACGACGCTGAGGAAGACCACGAAGAACGCCAGTCGGGCGAGTCGAGGATGGCCGGCGGCGAGGACTCAGGCGAAATGGTGCCCTCATTGTGCTTAGGCGATGCGAGAAGGCCGTTCTCTTGAAATAGCTCTTCTCCGCCGGCGACGAGGTGAAACTCTGGATGAGGGGTCAGCCATATGTTGGAGTCAGAAGCTGTGCGGCACTGTCTGTGCGGACGTACGTGGCTCGCCTCTCCACATGTTGCGCAGTACCTGGATGTGACTCGCGACTTGCTTCTTTGACCGCTCGATGCCATGTTTCTTCAAGTGGTCCACCATGAACTGGTTGCGCCAGCGACTGCGGCCGCGGGAGTAGGTGGCCCAGGGCGACTCCCAATACTTGTGCAGACCTAGGATGGATAGCGTCCGTGCATCAGCTTCTAGCCCGTTGCGGTATACGTAAAACAGGTCTGACCGTCAACAAAAAGCACTTCGACCTCCTGGGACCACACTTCGCTGCCATCCTTGAGCAGCTTGTGGTGCTTACGCTGAGGTGTGAGGGACTTGTGTTTTTGGGGCTCGTTGGACTCCATGCTCGAGTTCGAGGTGGAGGAGCTTCGAGAGGTGAGGGCGCGAGGGGGCGTGCATTGAGGGTGAGCGTACCGTAACATTACGAGCGGAAGACAATAAAAGCATGTGAAATGGGTGGGCGATATTTGGAAGGTACAAAGGGAGAAGAGAAGGCAGGGCGGGGACGGAGAAGGGGTTATATATGCGAAATAGGCCCTCGAAGGAGCCGAGAGCGGTAGCGCCCGCCTGCTGATAGGATGGCTGTCGAGTGTGGTGATTGTGCAGAGCTACGATTCGGCGCTGGAGAGGGAGCCGAGAGGCGTCGTGATCCGGGTATGGGAAGGGCGACCCACTGATCTGGAGATATGCAGTTAGTCGCTAGGGGCAGCGGACGGCGTGTGGCAGGATCGGGCGGGTGGGCGAGCGTCCGATGGTTTGGGACGGGAATGGAAAACAAAAGCGGGGGACCCACGGGCGACCTGGACCCGGTGACTATTGCCAGCCAAGCTCCAGCGCAGATGTACGTTACGGGCGAACAGCAGCGGGCGTGCGGCGCTGGCTCTCCGGGGCGCCAGGGCGCGGCCAATTGCAGGATAGTGGCCGCACGCCCGCTGCGGCTCTGCGGGGTGTCCGGACAATTGGCTGGCGACAGGGGAGCCCTGGGCAGCCCTTCTCATGTGGTGTGCCGGCGACGAAGCGAATTCGCACCGAGCGAGCTCTCTTTCAGCCTTCCCGAACGGGACACCCGCGGCCGAAGGAGCTTGAAGCGAGTCGCCCAGAACGGACGACAAGGGGTCGGAACTGCGCCCGCTCGCCGGTCACTCGACGCCCTGCAGGCTGAGGCCTGAGGCCGCGCTGAGGCTGCAGCTGCGACCGCGCGCGGTGGGCGAGATGCATCGCGCGGTGGCAGATCGTGCTCGCAGCGGAAGCAAATCTGGGAGACGGCGACGCGGACGTACCTGCGCTGACCCGATGCCCTCGAACGAGCAGCCCTGGCCCGGCACTCCGTCTCAGGTCGCCTCCCGCCAGCGTACCCGGCCGTCAGTACACTGTCAGCTGTCTCGCTGCTGTGCTGCCCGCAGACGCCGCCGCAGACGCTGCACACAGCCTGAGGCTCCCAGCCTCTCCCAGCGCACGGCGCCCCGGCCGGTGTCCCTGCGCACCACGCTGCTACTCACCGCCCACTTGCCGCCCACCGGCTCCCGGGCCTCCGCGCCTTCAGCCGGAGTTGCCACACGCCGCCGCCCGCCACCCCGCCACCGGCTCCCCGGCCCTGGCCCCGCGTCTGTGTCGCCGCCGGCGCCAAGCATGGGCCGCGTGGAGGCAGCGAGTCTGGCACGCTCCTCGTCGCGTCTGGCGATGGGCTCGCACGAAAACCTCACGCACAGCTGGCTGCGCCAGAACATCCAGCCCTACACACACACAGACACCGTCTTCCACCACGTCGACGCCGCCCTCACCCGCTATCCGACCATCCGACCAAAGACAGACGTCTACAGTTCAGTACAGCGCCCCTGCGGTCTCGTGCTGCCATCCGTGCTCATCCTCTCGTCTTTTCGCAGCCTTTGACGACGGCCGCACCCAGCTCCTGCTCTGTCTGCACGGTCTCCTCCCGATAACATTCCGCGCCGCGTCGTACAACATCCCAGTCGCAGTATGGCTCACCAGGGAGTACCCCCAGCAACCCCCTATCGCATACGTCGTCCCCACGAGTGACATGCTTGTTCGCCCCGGTCCTGACATGGACGTCAGCGGAAGGTGCCAAGTCCAGTACCTGCGCAACTGGGAGAGGAAGCCCGAGGTGCGTCTCCATCTGCGACGAAGACGCGCCCGTGTGATGCTGACGTCGGATGCAACCCACCACAGGGGTGCAGTGTCGTCGCTCTCTTCGAAGCAATGCAAGACAGTTTTTCGTGCCTTCCTCCGGTGTATTCCAGGCCTGCGCGCGCGGCGACCCAACCCGCCACATCGCCCCGCCCGACGGCAAGTCCGGACTACTATTCGCGACCTCCACCGCCGGTACCTGGTGCGCATGCTCCTACGCCTCCACAGGCAGCATCCCCTGTCCCAGCTGCGAGTAATGATCGGCCTCCGCCTCTTCCTGCCAAACCGGGCACTCCCGCCATCAGTCCGGTAGTAGCGTCGATTTCCAGAACACCCGGCCTCCAATCGCCCGCACCTTCCCATGTTCACACCTCCACTCTCGGTGTTCTCGGTAATGTACGTTAATCACCACCGTCACTTTGTTCCCCGCTGACGTTCTGAGTACGGTTATGCTTATTCAATTTCCGATGCGAAGCCGGCCCTTGGCATGCGCCCGCCGCCTCCTGTCCCGCCGCATCCCCCGATGCCATCAGGCGTTCAATCAATCGTTAATTCGCCGGTGCCCCCGACATACACTCCCCATGCACCAGGTCGTTCGATCGATGTTCCCGCCGGCGAGCCCACACCCCTCTCTCGTACAGCCAGCTCTCCGGTACCAATCGGGAATGCTTACGTCGATCTGCGACATGTTCGGCCACAGCAAACCACTCAATCTGCATTGCCGCTGGGTCAATTCCCGCCCCCTATCCCACCTCATCCACCGACCTCGTCGGTCACCTCGATTGGGCCACTGCAGCCAAGCTACCCGCTGTCTGTATCGCCAGCAGGTAGCACGCAGACTGATGCGCCGCCTCCTGCGCTACCCCCGCCCTTCGTCTCTCCCCAGCCAATAGCAAGCTACGTGCCTCACTACCACAGGCCACCCGCCGCGCCCAGTCCTCCGTCTGTCCCCGCGCCTGCCCCCCCGCCCGCTCCGCACATCCCACCGCCCGACCTGCTCGACTCGGAGGACTTCTCCGCCGCGCAGGCCGTGGCGACCCCGCCGCCGTCCGCGCCCGCGCCGCCGCGCCCGCCGAACCCGGAGCTGCTCCGCCTGCACGAGCAGGTGCACGCGAAGCTGCAGTCCGAGCTCGCGTCGCTCCAGCAGGCGATGGCGCTCGACGCGGAGCGCCTGCGCGCGCACCAGGCGGACCTCCTCGCGGGCGAGCCCGCCATCCGCGACGAGATGGCGCGCCTCGAGGCCGTGCGCGACGTGTGCAGGACCGTCGCGGAGCGCATGCGCGGCGTCGTGGACGCGGGCGCGAGGAACGTGGCGGAGCTGAGGCGGAAGGGCGATCCGGAGGTTGACGAGCTCGTGTGCTCGACGACGATCGTGCATAATCAGTGAGTCATTTTGCGTTGCGTGGACGGGTCGGCTGCGCCGTGACATTTGGGAATGGTGATAGCCTGCGCGCACGGCGGGCATGTCAGCGAATGGCATGTTCTGTCTGCATGGGTCTTCGTTACACCGCTCGATTCATTGCTCTCCGTTATGTCTTCCATGGCGCGCTGATTTTCACTGACATGTCTTCGTGTCAGGTTAATCAACCTTGTGGCGGAAGATAATGCCATTGAGGACACCATCTACCATCTTCATCGCGCGCTCAACTCGGGCCGAATGGACCTGGAGAAATTTATCAGGGTATGTGAATCACTCTGAGCGGCAGACACGTCTCGCTGACATATTGCCTTTTCCAGACGAGCCGAGCACTAGCTGAGGAGCAGTTCATGAAGCGCGCTCTCATCGAGAAGATCCAGGCCGGCCTGCCCCCAGGAGACTCCGACATGAGGTGGACAATGCCAGCGGAGTGGAGATAGCCTCTCCGACTGAACAACAAGGACGAGAGTGTACTGCTGCGTGTCGTTCTTCGGGCGCGCACCTCGCTGGTGTGACCGCCCGGCAGAGTAGGGTACTCGCCCGCGGATCTGGACTACGTGGTTCAGGTAGTAGGGAAGCCCCGCTGGGTGGCGGGTTCTGATGCTGTACCACTCCGATGAATCTAGACCTTCCTGACCTGACCCTACCGCGTGGGACGATCAACGATCCTATGGCACCATCGGGACACACTAGAGGATTCGCAGAGTGCTCGCGGGTGCGCGACTGGCTGCCCGATCCGCTGCTTCTTCCGTCTTCGCGATCTAGGCCAGCAACTCAATTGTACCATCTGGCCTCCAAGCGCCTCTGCACACAATTGCAGCGAACCTATATCATACAGGTCTAGAGCCCGTGCGTCAGTCGGAAGTCGTAGCTGGCACCCTCGTTCGCATTGGGCACTTCGGACCCTCGTACTCGGCACCCTCGTTTCATAGAACAAATAAGTATGACATGGGTCTAGAACAACAACAGCCAGTTGACAGCTTCCGTCTACTTCGGAACAAGCATGGATAGCCACAGGCACCGTAGGAGATATAGATCGTAGTAGTACAGTCAGCAGTCTTGACAGAACATAGGTAGTAGGGGAGGACCCCAATTCCACAGCGGAGGATCCGACAGCAGAGCAGCACATGGACATGACGGAAGACGACAGCAGAAGTCAGGAATGGAAGAACATAAGTCAACGAATACATAGTTCAGTAGGCAGCAGGGGGGAAGGGGACCAGCCAGAAGTGAAAGGCGAAAACAGCGCACGTACGCATATGGCAACGACGCCCAATCAAGGCGCACTCTCAGCCGCTGCTATCTGCCTGCCTGCACCTGAGGGAGCACCAAGCTTTCCTGTACTCCCAACCCATTGCCAGACACGCTGTTCGTCACCTCCTTCGACTTCCTCGAGGTTGGTCCGAACGTTGGCGTTACCCTCGACGACGCGCTCGACGCGCTCCCAGAGTCGCGTGCGGGCGCTCACCGAATGCTCGTCCTGCAAAACGAGGTCACGCAGCTGGAGCGACGACAGGTAGGGCCGTGGCGCGGTGACGGGGTCCGTGTGATGCGCTAGTTCTTGGTTCCGGAGAAGGTCCAGGGCGATTTGCACCAGACCCGCTACGCGCTCGTTCTCTGCCGCGTTCTGGGCCCTTCGGCGTTTAAGAACCAAGGCACTCAGGATTAAGAGGGCGCTTCCTGTACGGCGATGGTCAGAAGTTGTAGTGTTTGAGGGTGCGCAAGAACAATGGATCTCGACGTACCAATGACGGAGGCCCTCCATTGGGTCCAGGCCTCACGCGTCTTTACGGTCAGGGTGCACCATACATCTAACGAGGGGTTCTTGGAAGCGATGTATCGGGTGCCACTAGAACGAGCTCGGTGAGCAGGAGTGCAGAATCGGCCAACGTCATGTACGCACTCTTTGTCCTCAGCCATGAAGATGACTCCCCAATCGACTAGCTGGGTGATAGCTTCGTTGAATGTGTCGTTGAACAGCGGGAGCAAATTGGGCTGCGCATCGCGTAATGAGCGAGGTTCCTGCACAATGATCCAGGACATACTTACCGACGTCTTCTTCATGCTTTCGTCCCTTAGTTTCTCCAGCTCCCTACCCCATTTCTTGGCTTGCGCTATCTCCGTGTCTTCGGGTAGGCTAGCACCCTCGCCAGAGCAGAGACGCTTGCCCCTCTCCGCGGCGAGGAACGTCTCGATACTCTTCCCCATTCCATTGATGTGCCGCCTACGTCGAGGATCTGCGACGCAACGCGGCGGGAATGCAACGGGACCAAGCCCGGGTAAGCCGTCAAACAGGGTTGAGACCGCAGAGTAGATCAACTCCGGGACGTCCACGTCGGTCGAGAACAAGCTCCTGGGACGCGTAAATGTCGTATGGGAGAGCTGAGTAGGGGGCGAATAATCGGGTACGGGCACGTAATATAGAACCGGGTGCGAACGGAGAACATAGCCGTTCTCGCACGTAACCGAAGAGGGCGTGCATGTCGCGTATCGGGGGCAAGGCGTGCACGTCTCAGGATGTGAGAGGGGCAGGAAGGTAGGAGGAGGGCAGGTCTCTACGGCATTCTCTCTCGCAGGTTGAGAATCTTCGCCAGACACCGAGGCCGTACCAGTGGGGACGGGAGACGTGGCTGAGTCCGTGTTAGACACGTACTGAGTGGTCCTGTTCTCTCTCTGGCACAGCTCGACTGCTGCAGCCCGTGCCCGCCTGTCTTCGACAACGGCATTCGTTGCAGTCCCAGCAGTGCAGAAGCCAATTCCAGAAGACTCGTGCTTGTAATCGTAGAGCATACCAGAGCTTGACAAGAGGAGCAACAGTATGATCAGACGAGTGAAGAGCGAGTGCCCCTCAGGCTCGCTTTCTGGCTGGTGCCGCACGACTTGTCCACCTTCCGAGATTCGCTTGGACACTGCGGCGACCTGTCCGTCGGCATACTCCTCGGATTCTGAGACAATGTCGCCCTCGGGTTCTTGTGAGCCGTCCATGACTACTGGCACCGCGGGCTCTGCCTCGACGACGGGGGACGCGATGTCCTGACGAAGAGCTTCCATCTGCTGCATTTCTTCCATGTCCGATTCGTCTTCCTCAGTCACCTGCGATGGAACGATGAACAGTCGTTCCTGCTTGACTTCCGGAGCAGCAGACCCCATCCTCGATCGAGAGCCCGAGCGTGTCTCACGCTTGACGTCCGGCGGGAGCTGAGGTTCAAAAGTACTAGAGGGAGGCTTGACACTAGAGCGTGGTTTGGCCGAGGACGGTGGCTTGCTAGAAGATGGTGGCTTCGCTCTTGGAGGCTGAGCTGGCTCAGTGCCCCTCTCAGGCGACTCCGAGACATACTTCGGTGGTGCGGACATGGATTTGCGCGATTTGGGTGCAGGCCGTGCCGACGCACTGGTACGACGAGCGCGTCGGGGCGGGGGACGGATTGGCGAGGAAGACTCGGCCCCGGACTGAAATATGTTGTTATCCTCCCAGCCCGATTCTTCCGGGAAGGCTTGTGATACGCGGCGCGTTTCACTGCCCGCATCTGTGGTCTATGGAGAAGATAAGAGCTTGTATCGACCAACAGATATCAGACATACACTCTTCTTACTTCTCCCCACCTTGCGCGGAGCAGCTTCTTCTTCGGGCTCGCTTTCTTCGACCAGGACGGGCTCTGCTGGTTTCGTGGACTTCGAGTTCTGCCGGGACGGGCCACCAAGAGAAGGCTGGGCGGATGACCGTCGTCTCTTCGCCTAGATGAAACTTCAGTAAGAGAGGCGATAGCACGGTAGACATGTAACGATCCGAGGACGCACAGGAGCAGGCTCGGGGTCCTCAGTCTGTTGCGGAGGTGCTCGTGATGAACGTCGTGAAGATTTTCTCGTAACGGGCTGTCCGTATTTTAGCATTGGCCCAACTGCCTGTGAACAAGTGGAGATCGCTTGCCTTCTTCCCCTCGTTAATCGGGAGCCCAGTGAGACCATCGGTTATACCATCGTCACTAGCTTGGCTATTCTCCTTCTTGATTCTTTGTCTTCGCAGTTTGTTCGCATTGACCTTGATCTCGTCTTTAAACAACTGGACAAGTTTCGGCTTGGTATATTGCGATGGATAGTTCACGTTGTGATAGCCAAATACGCCGAGCAGCTGGGCGACGGTGAGAGTGCTGGGGTCAAAGTCGGCGTCGAGGTACTCGCCGAGGGCGATAACCTGGGCGGCGGTGAGACGCGACATGGCGCGCGACGCGTGGTAGGCGTGTGTGACGGCAGGCGGAGGTGATGGTTCGTGTCGAGGTCACAACGCGCCAACTTTCTCACGACCGCGACAGCGCGTCTCACAAGATACGCGCCGTCGCGCACGTGATACACATCTTGCCACATTCCCCAAAGCTTGCATTGCATCTTACACAATGCACATCGCGCGAAGTCCATCTCACATCCGACATCTGATAGCCCATGTTCGGTTTCAACCGACTTGAGCATGTAGGTTCAATGTGAGTGCCTACAGTTATGGAGATTGAACAAAGCGAATAACTGATCCAACTTCACTGACTACTAGTATGATACATACGTGCGACCTCCGAGCCCGGGCCCCAGAGGAACCTTGAGGCCGCCTTCGATGACGACTGCGTAATGTCTGACAGCGAACATGGACAGTCATTCACTGGCAGAGTGCGCCGACGTGGGACTATGTATCATGCAATGAGGTACGTTGGTAGACACTGCATTGAAGGCGTAACGACTCAAGACAACTATATGGAGAGAACGTGACGACTCATATAACTGTGTGGACTTCGAGTTGATCTTCAGGAGTTGCAGTGGTGGACACGCACGGTAGTCATGCATGCAGCGTCGCAGCTCAGATGCTCCAATGAAGCACTTCAAGCAGGGAACCTTGATGATTCCACGTTCGTACGCAGTCGCTGTAGAAGTCTGAGTCTTCTGATGACATGTCCTCCAGAACCAGCCGGGCCTCCGGCGAACTGGAAGGAGCTCATTCTACCATAGGCGCGATGTAAATGAATCAGCGTAAAGCTTACTCCCTCCTGTCAAGACCTCGCTGCGCACTTGGGGGACCGCGTGGACGTCAAAACACCAAGACACGTCCGATTTGCGTCCGACAGTGCCGGACCTCGGTTTGGTACGCGCGTATGCGGCCGAACTTGCTCACCTCTGCAGGAGTCATCTCACTATCCTTCTTTGTTGAGACCTGCCGACGCACGGTATGCTACGGTATGCCGAGCTGATTCGTATGTCATCTTATCAGATAGTGGTGTGATCGACTTGCTCAGACTGCTCGAGCCCGTGTCTCGCGCCCTCCGCTTCCAATTCTCTGTGATAGACCGCAGGTTCCCCACAGTGTATTGGTCCGCTCCAGTCCGCGGCCGGCGCGAGTCGCTGCTGTGCCGACAAGATACGCGGCCTGTGGTAAGCCGCCAACTACTTCTACAACACATCTCGCTAGCATCACTGGGCCGACTCAGCGTCGTGAGCTCCTGACTTCTCCCCCTGCTCATTACCACCGATTGGACAGATGACGTTGCGATCCATGTGCCTGCATACTGCGGCCATGGGTGTGAGGACCTCCGCGGTTCATCCCCTGACTCGTACGGGCTCCGTCATATTGCGCCGGTACGCGTATAAAAAGGGCGATGGACGGCGCACTTTCTCCAGGCCCCAGTTCCCCCGCGACCTGACAGCCAACCCACACACGCCCAACACAGCAACCATGAGCACCAGAAGGATCTCCGCTTACCTTCCCGATGAGGAGGTCTTTGGGCGGTCTGCCCGCTTTCACAACTCTTTCCTGATTGCTCCGGATGAGGCTCTCGAGTTTGCCCGGAAGAACAGCGGCGAGAAGGGCTTGCCCGAGATCGCAGTTAGCCCCGCTGAGGGCAAGTTCCTGCACCTCCTGGTGCGCACCATTGGTGCGAAGAGGATACTCGAAGTCGGTACTCTCGGAGGGCAAGTTCACGTCTTTCACCATACTGTATTTTCAATCATTGCTGACCTATCGCGTAGATACTCCTCTATCTGGATGGGCCGCGCTCTTCCAGAGGGCGGCGAGATAATCTCTCTTGAGCTTTCAGACCATCATGCTCAGGTTCGTTCGTCATGCACGTCGTGAAGTTCTCTCCTGACCAGTCTAGGTTGCCCGCGAAAACGTCGCGAAAGCAGGTCTAGGAAATGTTGTAAAAATCATCCAGGGTCCTGCCGCCGACTCGCTCAAGACGTTGCAGCCGGGCGACGAGCCGTTCGACTTCGTTTTTATTGACGCCGACAAGGACAACAACTTAACTTATCTCCTCGAGGCTAAGCGTCTCACCAGGAAGGGAGCCGTCATTGTATGTGCAGCCTTCTGACTCCTGAATGCATATTGAGGTTCACTGACTTTGCAGATCGTCGACAACACCGTGCGCGAGGGCGCCGTCGCAGACCTGTCTAAGACAGACGGTCCGAACGAAGGTGTTCGCAAGCTTCTCGCTCACCTCAAGACTGACACCGAGCTGTCTGCTACGACTGTCTCGACGATTGGAGAGAGGGTCTGGGATGGTTTCACCTACATCCTCAAGCTGTAGAGCGCGCCTGCCGTCCATGGCCTTACCCAAGTAGCGTCACTGATACCGAGTCCAACCGAGTATGGGACCGTTGTACGATATCGTTGAGGAACAGCATGATATGTCGACCCAGTTGCATCTTCCGATGTCGGGAATTCGCTGTTGAGTCATGTGCGTAAGGAGTCAAGACTCAACATCACGATGGCACCTAGTCATAGGAGGGGGTCCGATAGGCCGTGCCTAACGTGACTGGTTTACGAGTCTAGGGGTCCGATAAATACGAGTGCATCTCCTAGAATTGCTAGCGATCCTCACCCCAGCCTGCCCTCTATACTGAACAGAAGTCACCAGTGATCGCCATGCAGCCGGAGGAAGATTGGACTCGCACAGACGTCTATCACAATAGCTTCCTTCTTGCGTCCGATGAGGTCCTTGACTTCACGAGGGCAAACAGCGCGAAGCACGGATTGCTGGACATCGCTGTCAGTGCGGCGCAGGGGAAATATCTCAACCTTCTCGTGCGATCGATCGGCGCGAAGAGGATTCTTGAGGTCGGAACGCTAGGAGGGTGAGTCTCTCTCCCGACCTTACTTAGTTACTACCTCAAACGTCTGTGGCATGTGTACTAAAGGAATCATCTTTAGGTACTCCTCTATATGGATGGGCCGTGCGCTCCCCGAAGACGGCCAACTCGTTACACTGGAACTCGATGAGAAGCATGTCAATGTAAGTGTCGGGTATATTACCTGGCTTCAAGTTGTCACACGCAACTGAACTACTCACTCGCAGGTTGCGAGGGAGAACATCGCCCACGCCAATTTGACGGACAAGGTGAAGGTCATACAAGGCGCTGCCGCCGACTCCCTGGTGCAGATGCCCGGAGACAGGCCCTTCGACCTTGTGTTCATCGACGCAGACAAGCCGAGCAACCTGACGTACTATCTGGAGGCGAAGCGCCTCACAAGAAAGGGATCAGTTATCGTACGTCGGGTATTATTACCATTGAAACGCGACCTGACGTTGACCAATACTATCAGATCGTGGATAATGTAGTGCGCAATGGCAAGGTGGCCGATCCCGCATATACCGATGCGAACGTCGAAGGCGTCCGCAAGCTCTTGGAACATCTGAAGACTGACCATGAAGTGGAGGCTACCACGATATCGACTGTCGGAGAGAAAGGCTGGGATGGCTTCACTTACATCCTCAAGTTGTAACGTAGCGTCGCACGTACTAAGCAAGAATGTTTTTGTAGCAGACTTGTTGCAAGAGCAAAGTGGAAGTGCCTTTCCCGTCGATGTGTTCCGAACAGCGCCAACACGCACATGTGCATCCCGCCGCAAACCTGCACGCACGCAACGAATATGCACTGAGCATGGCACTAGCCTGATACTATTGGCGATCAGTAGCTAAGTACCTATAAGCAGTGTGGGGAAGGTGAAGCCTTCTCCTCGCACGCGAGGGAATACGGTAACTGAGAAAACAAGTGGGAGGTATGGAGATCACAGTGTCCAATCGCAAGAGGGAAATGAACAACGAAGTATCGACGATACAGTGTCCGTGCACCAGTTCCAGAGGCGATATCACGACGGGCTAACAGGAACGAAACAGAAAGGTCCGTGAGTTCGAACGAATTAGCTGGTCCATCCCGCGCGGCGCGTGCACCGATAGTCCGTGAGATGTGTACTAGCGGTATCTCCTAAATAACAGCACTTCGTGAGAGCGAAGGGAGTAGAGCGGTGTCTCCCTTAGAGCGCGAGGAAAGTCGCGGCGATGGCGGCGACGCCAAAGAGCGCGCCGGAGGCAACGTTGGCGCGTGCGCCGCTCGTGGAGCCGGCCGTGGACGGTGAGGCAGAGGGCGCGCCAGAAGACGACGCCGCCGCAATGCCTGCCGCCGCGGCGGAGCCGGATGCAGGTGCCGAAGACGCGGAAGCAGACGACGACGCCGAGCCCGCGCTGCTGAGGGACTGGCTGACATCTTGAGGAACGACGAACTGGCCGTTAGCCGCGGCCATGTTGATAGTACCATCGGCGCTCATGACGCTCGGGTTGGCAGCCAGGAACGCACGCGTGTACCTGCCCATAGGATCAATAACAGACCAAGCATGAAACGGGAACGGTCAAGACGCACACAACGTTCTCGGCCATGAGGGACTGCGACCACCCGGGCATGCTGCCCATGTCCATGCTATCACCCCAGGTAGCGGCCATGGGGTTGCTGCTGATGTTGCTAGCGGCGTACATCGCTGAGAGCGTGGAGCTGTTGGCCATCATAGCGGGCATCATGGACGCAACGGAAGTGGCGCCGTTGTTATCGACGTTGGGCGCATTGACGACACCGAACATACCCTTCGGGCTGTGGATAGATTGTCAACCATCGCGCCACCAACTGAATGACCAGGATCACTTACCAGTGACCGGGGGTGCCGCAGTAGTAGAAGACAGGGTTGGTGTCGTTAACAGTCTCGGCGAAGGTGAAGCCCGCGTCGTGCGTGCCGGAAGCGAAGGCAGTTCCGTCGGTAGTCTTGTTGCAGGGGGAGAGCTCGCTGCTCTTCGTGACGGTGTGGTTGTTTCCACCCCAGACGAATTGGAGGGTATCACCGGCACTAGCGTTTACGGCGAACGGCACCATACGGAGGACACCCTGAGTAGGCGCGACGTAGATGGTGTGGGTCATGCCCGCGCCGCTAGCCAGGGCGCTGGCGGTCGCAGACATAGTGACGGTGGCGGAGGGAGCGTAGGAAGCAACACATTCTGTTGGGCCTTGTCAGCACTGTAATCGTATCGAAGTGTCAACTATAAATGCTTACGCTGCACGCAGTTCGAGTAGCCGTCACCGCCCCAGTTCGAGCTGCCTGATCCATAGGACATGGACATGGCAGCCGCACTAGACGTCATCATGGCGGCAGACGACATTGCTGTCTCCGTGGCCATGGCAGCCGAAGTCATCATGGCCTCGGAGGTCATCATGGCTTGCGAGGTCATCATCGCCTGAGAAGTCATCATCGCCTGAGAGCTCATCATCGCCTGAGAGCTCATCATCGCCTGAGAGCTCATCATCGCTGGCTGGCTCATCATCGCTGGCTGGCTCATCATGGCCGGTTGGCTCATCATGGCCGGTTGGGACATCATGGCAGGCTGGGACATCATGGCCGGTTGGCTCATCATGGCCGGTTCGGACATCATGGCCGGAGGGGCCATCATGGCAGACGACATCGCAGGGTAGGAGCCGTCATAACCAGAGTTGCCAGAGCCGGAGCCACCGTAGCCTGAGCTGCCAGAGCCGGAGCCGGAGTTACCCCTGGATGCAGCGTGAGTACCAGGGCTCATTAAGTGCATTGAGGGACGACTTACATATCCATGGCCGGCCGGGGAAGTGCAGACGCGTAGGAAGCCAAGAGCGCGGCAGCGCCGATTACAGAAGTGAAGCCAACCATCGTGGAAGCGCGCGACTAAAGGAAGGTGAGGGCTAGTAGTGATACCGTCAAGGTGTGTGCGTCGTCGTTGCGAGCGAAGGAACGCTATGAAACCTCCCAGAGGAAATCGACTTGTATTCTCTATCAAAGAGGGTGACCTGCGGATGCTCGTTAGTGGGCGGGTCCATGGCGGGCACGGCGAAGTGACGAACCTCGAACGAAGGAACGAAAGGGTCGAGAATCGACTCGACTAAGATAGGAGAAAACGAAAGGGAGGGGAGGAGAAGGTTGGCGAAAGGGACGCGGATGTGCGCATTTTATCGTGTCCGACGCGTGGACGGAGGCGTGGGGAGATCGAACACAGGGCCATAGCGACGATCGAGAAGATAGGTTAGAGGGGACATGATTCATATGGACGCGGACCTCGCGAGAGGAACCGGACGATGCAATCAGGGGATTGGTCGGTTTCTGCGCCTGCCCGGTGCCCCAGCCAATGCCCGCCGGCGCTGGGGGACCTAATCAAACCCCGCGTCGTCCTGCTGGTCTCCAGAAGGACATCGCTCCTCGCTTACAGCAAATGGAGGGCCTGACCCGCCCTTCCATCAGATCAGTCCGAGTTCGTCGGTCGCGAGGGGCAGACGAGCATCCCCGGCGTGTCCGAGCCCGAGGATAATATGGCAACTATTTTATGGATCGATGATCTTAGTCCCGACGCCCCGACTCACCGACGGATGCCCCGTTGAGGGTCTGCAGCACTGAAGCATCTCGACACCCGAGCGAGCCTCGGACATGATCGTCACAGTTTGAGTCTCCCCGGACAGAAACACGACGCAACGACGTGGTTGAGACGCAGTGTTGACCAGGCAGAGTGAGCGTGTTTACGAGAAACACGCTGATTCAGTGGTGATTGCAACTGTCCGAGTCCTGACAGGGCGAGCGAGCATCGATATGCTCCCGACATGGCAACACCTCTCTCACACGGTCACTCGCCACACCATCACCTGCGACCATGGCGACGACGCGTTGCAAGGCGCACCCCACCGCGCGCCTCGTCGGGCGTTCGGTATGCTCCTTCCAACCGACCAATCACAGCGCGACTACAGCAGAAGTCCCTCTGCCCTCCACAGGCGAGGCTTCGCGTATCGCGGGGTGTCTCGGTATGAAGTCTTTGTCCGCTTCTCGTCAATCGGATAATTGAATGGGCACAGAGTCTCAAAGCACTGTATTTATATACTCGCCTGAGCGTTGCGAGACTCTGCGTCCCTCAGGAAGCAGCATGTAATGCAACGTCTGCATATCACATAGCCCATTCACGATCACATAGCAATGCCCGGGACCGCCGCTCGGTTGGGAGGGATAGAAACAGAACACACTTACAACGCGCTGCCATGCTTTTCATCACCACTGATTCGACAGCTTACGTTCGTCGAGAGTGCGTTCTCGGAGTCGGGACCGAGAGATGCCGTCACCGAGAACAAGAGCCAGATACAGGGTATGATGCGAACTGTACTTCGCAAAATTGGCATCGTAGATGGTTCGTAACTGAGCATTCGTGCAGCTCTCTATAGTACATCAAGCTGTATCAGCGGCTACTCCAAAATCAAGTGTGTAGAGCGAGCAAAAACAATTGCAAAAGTAAGGGAACAAAGCACGCACGATTAGTGACTAGTACATAGGAATAACAGAAACCCCCGCCGACAAAGACCTATTGTTGACACACGGAATCTAGAATGACAGTGAGCTGTATCGGTAAATGGATGGGAGGAAACAAGTGTGAGCAGAAAGCATGACCAGCATGACCAGTCCGAGTGACATCAAACAGGCATAGACAACGATCCCTCAGACCCTCTGCGGCCTGACACTCCCCGGGAGGCCGATGCGGCGCCCCTCGCGGCTCGGTGCGCGCAGGGGCAGACCGGTCGGCCGCCTCACCAAGGGCGTCGGATTGCCCTGGACAGACTCTTCCGCAGAGCGCCGCCCCTCACGACTCGGTGCACGGGTTGGCAGACCAGTCGGCCGCCTCTGCAGGGAGGCTCCCCTCGGCTGCGGGGTAGGCACTGCGGGGATCCCTCTCTCCTGGCTGGGTTCACGGGGTCGGATGCGAAGCGGGGCCACCTCGGGCAGGGGGACGTCCTTGTACGCGCTGGGCGGGACAGGTCGCGCTGAACCGGTGCGCGACGGAGCACGCGGGGGCACAGGCTCCTCGTCATCATGGCCCTCGAAGCGTACGCGCGCGTTGCGCTTCGCGAGGCGTAGGTCTTTGAGACGGTTCATGTTATCGCGCGAAGGGACGGTGGCGTGCACCGACGACACGGAGTCTTGGAGGGAGCCGGATACGCTGCCGTCGCGGCGGGGGAGCGAGCGATCGCGCAGGCCCGCGCCCGGATTTCGGCTGCGCCCACGCTCGGGGATGGGGGAGGTGGCGGCGGAGCGCGGGATGGGAGATGCTGCGTCGTCACGGGCCGCGAATGGCGCTGTAGGTGGTTGTTGATCAAGGGAGGGCCCGCGCAGCCTGTTGACAATCTCGCGATCGCGTCCTTCGAACAGCCAGTCAGGGAGCTCCTTGGCGTCGCCGTTGGACTTGTCGACGTGGTATGCCTTCAGAGCTTTGGAGAGACCGGATTCTTGTCCATCAGGAGTGCCTGGACAAGGACGCCTTAACACAGACCACAATGAACAGAGTGATAAACGTACTTTCGCCGTTCTCAGTAGTCACAGTAGCAGAGATGGCTTTGCCCACATTTACTTTTAAGCTTTCCGCAGCAGTTGCTACACGAGTCCACAGGGAAGAGCCAAGCGAGCTTGGGGACCTCTCGGGACTGCCTGGCACCGAGCCAGGCGTACCAACTTGGCTTGTTGGACTCGTAGTCTTCATGTCGTCATCTGCCAAGCTCGTCTGGGACGAGGCATAAGAAGCATAAGAACGCAGAGAGTTCCCAGACGCGGAGGATTCGGATGAGGCCGATCCCCAGGATGTAATGGTCCCATCTGTACGTTTTCTCTGGGAGACATACCGCCTGAGAGACCCAAGAGGTCCATCTCCACCCTTCTGCGATACCTCGACCTCGCGCGCCTGCCATGCACTCGGGGCGGCGGGGAGGGGCGGCGGAGTCTCAGTAGGGCGGGCGACTCGACTGCGATCGAGCGAGCGCGAGCGCGGAGCGCCAGAGCGTATGTCCGTCATCGAGCGAGTGGGTCGCATTTGCGATGTGGGCGGAGGGGTCGGAGCAGGGCGGGAGGGCACATACTCGCGCGACATGTCCTCTCTGGAGAAACGGACATCTACGCTGGCGGTTGGTCGCCTAGCGAGCGAGCGAGATCGCGGGTTGGCGGGGAGGCCCACACGGGCGTTCGGGCGCGACGGGAGGGCCATGGCGAATTAGTGGTCTTGAGTAGTCTTGGACTGCAGAACATGCAAGGATGTGGACCCGGTCCGGGCGGGTCCGGAAGGCGGGGTTGCTCGACGCGGTCGGGCAGACTGCACAGCACAGCTGGCGGGAGGAGGACACTGCACGGCTAGTGTCCTGGAGGGTACCCCGAACGCGGGAGGCTCAGCCTGCGGGGAGGAGGAGGATGGGGAGGGGAACTGACAAACGCAGGGTCTGGAGACGGCGGCGGGCTTTTTCTCGAACCGTGCCTTCGCGACCGGGCTCCCTGGGCGCTCGAGCCTCGACTGCCTCTGCACGTCACACACATCACTCGCACTGCGGGTCCCGTTCTTCTCCCTCGTCACCCAGCATGCGGCCGCAGCGAGGCTCTCTTCTCCGTCTCTCCAGAAAGCTTGTATGAACGCCTCTGTCGCACCAGTGGGACTCCGGCCTTCCATCGCCCTCTGGGGTCTACCGTCTGCTGCTCAAGTCCGCGCAGCATCCGGCAGTTCTCATCTCTGTTCACATCCCTCAGACAGACGCGGTGCCGCTGTGATTGATACGTCGGAGGGCGGGCTGTGTACGTGGAAGGCATCGACGGATGTGTATACAACCAAGTCACCAACATGTCACTGGTGTACAGTAGCCACCGTGACAGCCACCCGCTCTGATCCTGTGGGAGACTGGTAGACGGGATATCGTCAGACGTGAGTCTGCGCATCTATGATCGCTGCGATTATGAATCGCAACCCACAAGGATAGCAACCTCTTGTCAGTGCCCTCCTGATACGCCGTTCAAACGACCCTGAAACGTTGAGCGTGGACGAGCGTCGAGCGCACATCATACAGAGAACGTGCAGCGGCACGCAGATCCTGGACACGCGGATATGCTTCTTTCACATGTCTCGTAAGTCGTATAAATAACAATCTACATCTACTCAATGCTTCCAGAGTATTGCATCTACGCGTGTGATCGTGGTGGAGTCCGTATGAGGGGGAAGCCGTAAGTGGGAAAAGCTATGGCTACACAGAAGTAACAAGTCTCAATGACGCAGGCCACTATACGCAGCAGTGTATATAACCTAATAACGACGAACGGGTTCCGGTTCACCGTGACTGGCGGATTTGTTCCAGGGCCACCAGTGGGAACAACAGCCGGAGCGTGCAACATCCGGGGACGGTAGTTCGCGATCAATGTTGGAGGACGTCATCGCGCCGCGTCTTTCGGTCAGACACGCCAGTATCATTGGCTGCTTGTGTGTCAATGATTGTAGGATGTTTCGGGCGGACTTGCGAGTGCCGTCGAACAAGGTCATGGAGGCCCCTTCCCTGAAGAACTCGTCAAACGGACTGATTCCGCGCAACTCATTCCCCCTCTCCTCCAATCCCTGGCTTTCGGGGCCCGGAGCGTGGACTACGAATATGACGTTGGCCGAGCTGTTTGGCCCGCATAGTTTGCGCAGGTTGTGACAGCTGTGAATGGTTTCCTGGCCCACCCTCCCGTTGAGGTCGATGACGAACACTACACCGACGACCGTGTTCGTTCCTTTGCTGTAGGACATTGTCAGGTCAGCCCTCCTCGTGGATTACAGAAGTCACTCACCGTTGATGCAGGTATTCTGCAATTGCGCGCTCCCCCTCTGTATCCAGCGCCGGTGTATCGACGACGTCGATATTTTCGTGACCCAGCCGTGTTTGTGCTATTTGAGCTTTTATTGTGCAAGGGTCGAGACTATCGCCGATACGCAGCGTTGCGCCCGTTGCTGCATTCACGAACTGTCTTCTGTGTCAGTCCTTCTGCTTGCTTCACTGATGAACGACTTCGGACTCACGGTCGTTTTCCCCGTGCCTGGCGGTCCCATTACACTGGAAAGGTGACCGTCAGATTCTGATATGCTACAACCGCCTAGATGTCGACTCACACAATGGTCCGAGTACGTTGCATGGTCAATGTCAGGGTCGAAGACGAACGATGCATAGCAGGTGAGGTAGTGGTCAATGTCGGTTGGTCTGGGGGAACCCTTGGCGATTAATCTCCCATAGTTATACTCTCTGCAAACGAGGCCATGGCCACCTAGTTTCTCTGCCCGTATCATAGCCACCGCCACCAGCCATTCGGGGACCACTCCGAGCGACGATGAAGCGCCAACGCCCGTCAACAGGACCCGCCATCTAATCCGCGCAGGGTTGTCCCTTCCATGTCGCGCGTGTCCCGACTAGTGCGGGTGGCACTGGGTTTCCACTGGTCCTTTCTGCCTCCGCGGCTAGAGTCCCCCGCATCGACAGTAGATGTTGTTGGTCGAATGCGAAGACTCGAAGTCTACTCCGCTTCGCAGCACCTCCAGATCCCACGAAGCCAACAATCTGTCGCACTTGACATACTCTGGCAAGGAAGCTTCGGCCACGTCCGTGTGGTATCGCGCAGTCGAGTGCGGCTGCCATATCCGGTGGATTTGCATGCGGCGTACACGAGGACGGGGGCGGTCGACTGCCTTTCGTAGCGGTATGTCCGAGGTCGACTTTGCGGCTACGGAGACGCCTCCCGCGGCAATCCTGCCGATCGCCCATTTTGACTGGCCCGATACACAATGCGATGATCAGCTGTGCACCGCGTCACCGCCCTCGAGCGAGGATGCGACCACTGAGGCGCATCTACGCCTCATTGGGATTGCAAAACCGGTTGCTGTTATCCTTACTCATGACCGTTGGCGAAAGCGCCTCGTACGTCCGAATATATCAGTCTTCCATAGGTTTGTGGCTCGTGGCAGTACCGGATCTTTTGAGCGGCGCAGGGTGTCTGTCTTAGAGTGGCGAAAATAGTGCATCTCTCCAAGGCTTGCGCACGAGATAACGTACCCCCTAGAACAAAGCATACCGTCTACATGGTCTTGTCCAGTACCGCCGACGTTCTCTCAGTGATCCGTTCAGTCAGCAGCGCCATGCTGCGCACACGTTGGCTAATGGCCGACCGGGGTGGCCCGCCTCGTTTCTTTGCACTACCTATATATCCACAACGCATGTGGCTCTTTGTGCTCTTCTGCGATTCCTTAGCACCCCTGGTGTGTCCCGCAGAGGCTCAGATTGCTGTTCCACCAGGGAGCATTCTTCCGGGCTTGATCGGCGTCATCCGCTTGGCTTGAGTACACTCACGTTGCTCCGACTTTTCCGACATACGTAGTACATCACGTTCTCTCAGAAACTGTTCGGCCACATCGTGGTAGTACTAGTCAAAGTTCAAACTTACTGAGTCGGATATTGGACAGGGCCTATCAACTCACCGGCCACTCCAATCGCCTCTTCAGGCTCAACATGAGAACACTAGTCGAGATAATTCTGACCTGAACTCCCGAGCGTACTGGTCATTTGAGACAACCACCGCTCAGCGCTCATCTACGGCCTTCGAGTGTGCAAGACGACTGACGTTACCTTATCAGGCCCTTCCCATTTGAATTTGAGTGGCGCGCAGTAAGTATGATCTGGATCTGGATCCCTTCGTTAGACGCCCATAATGGACCCGGGTCCGGTCATCATGCATCACTACTTGGCGTCGATCATCTGGCCGCACTGCCAGTGACTGCAGCGACCGCGTCAGTCCCCCTACACTCGTCTCAGGCTGAGGTACGTACTCTCAGGCCCATGGAATGACATACCAACGTCTTCATAGGACTCACAGACTAGTCTTGGACTTGGCATAACTACGATGGGTTCGGGTCAGAGCCATTCTGAGGAGCTCAAGTCGGAGAAGTTGTCCACTCCTCCCCCGCTGGAGAAAGACTCCCCCATCGTCGTTGTGGGCGCAGGGACATGGGGTGCGTCAACAGCGTTATATCTGGGCCGCCGGGGATACACCAATGTCGTCGTATTGGACCCACACCCCTATCCGTCTCCCATTTCGGCTGGCAACGATGTGAATAAGATCGCGGAGACAAGTGGGTGACAGAAGCCTCTATAAACTGTGGTACGACAATCTGACACATGAATCCCTAGTCTCGTGGCGACCTTCCGGCGGAGAGGAGGACGATCGCGTGCCCGTTGAGACGCACATCGCGGCCCGCACGAGCGAGGGGTGGTTAAACGATCCGGTATTCAAGCCATATTATCACGACACTGGGTTCATAGCCGCAGCCAGCACCCCAGATGCTTACGAGTTCGTCAAGGAGCACGAGATCACTGAGGACATGTCGGAGTACGTTCCTCTCGCCGGCACGGAGTTTCGTCAGGCGATGCCCGAGGGCGTGCTCACGGGCGAGTTTCCCAACTGGAAGGGGTTCTGGAAGAAACGCGGAGCAGGCTGGGTGCACGCGTGCAACGCGTACGTCAGCGCCGCGGAAGAAGCTCAGAGGCTGGGGGTGCGCTTCCTGACGGGGACACCGGAAGGCAAGGTCACGGGCCTGCTCTACGGTGACAACGGCGATGTCGTTGGAGTTACGACAGCAGACGGGAAGGAACATCGTGCGACGCGTACCATCATGACCGCGGGCCCATATGCGGACCAACTTTTGGACTTCAAGGACCAACTGCGACCTACGGCGTGGACACTTGCACACATCAAGATGGAGCCCTCTGAGCTCCCGCTCTACAAGAACCTTCCGGTGCTCTTCAATGTGGAGCGTGGTTTCTTCATGGAACCGGACGAAGAGCACCATGAACTCAAGATCTGCGACGAACATCCTGGGTACACGAACTTTAAGGGTCCGTGCCACGATCCTGCAGCCGAGAGCAGCGGTAGTATCCCGTTCGCAAAGCACCAGATCCCCGAAGCATCAGAGCAGCGTGTGCGCAACTTCCTCCGGGAGACGATGCCTCAACTGGCGGACCGGCCATTCGCATTCGCTAGGATCTGCTGGTGCGCCGATACACCTGACCGGAGGTTCCTGATCGACACGCACCCAGATCATCCGTCTCTGGTCTTAGGTGTTGGCGGGTCGGGTCACGGGTTTGCGCACATAACGAGTATTGGAGGCTTCATCGTGGACGAGCTCGAGGGAAGGCTAGAGAAGCGGTTCAAGGAAGCATTTAGGTGGCGACCAGAGACTGCTGTTAACCGCGACTGGAGGGATCTGCAAGGACGGTGGGGTGTAGAAAGGAGAGTCATGGACTTTGGCGAAGTCAAAGAATGGACACAAGTTAGGGACGGACGAGACTATTAGAGCCCTCCGCATTGAGGGTCGCTTAATCACAGGCAAGACAAACGCTGCCCACAAAGTCAGTGAGCTCTCAATTGTTCGTTGCTTTGAACTGTATTGTTATGACCGTCACAATATACATGCACAAACACCAATTAGACTGTACGTCGTCCTACAGCGTGGGGACGTAGGTGCCGTTCGCGCAGACGAAACCCAACTCAGGGTTCAACTCCGGCTCCGTGTCGATGCAGATGACTGTCGGTTGTGCCATCGTCTGCGGGTACACGTTGATATTGCTCAGCTGGAAGTTCTGGCACGAGGTGTTCGTGTTGCACTCGATGATGATCGCCTCGGTGTGCGTGAGATTCGGAAGTCCCACGTTGTACCAGCAGGGATCCGACGCGCAGCTGCCGTCACCAGGCCGAAAAGTGTTGATAGTGCCTAGGCGTCATACTCAGTATCAGCATAGCGACGGTCAATGCGTGCACAGGCGCTGTGAGAATACCTGTGAAGTTCGCCCACGTGAAGTTCTGCATGTCCACCGTCGAGTTGTTCGGACGATCGATGACGGTCCCGTTCTCGAGCTGAGTCTGCGGCCCGCCCTGGTTGATGTACGTCTGCGTCACGAAGATGGGGAACGTGACGTTGTAGACACGGATATTGGACCAGGTGATGTTCTGAACGAGACCCTGGCCGCCGATCCAGGATTTGAATCGGGAAGCGTACACACCATTCACGACGGTGATGTCATCGAAATGGATATTCGTTACGTTGCTGCAAAGGTACATGTGTGAGAGGCCTATCTCGTTGCGTGGATGCGTTGACTTACGCATAAGACGCCTGGTTTTGGCCAAGAGAACCGATGCTCATGCCGTGCGTCTGGTACCCAATGGTACCGCCCTGGAACAGAACGTTGTGCGAGCCGGACTGCACGGCAATCGCGTCGTCTCCGTTATAGATAATGCTGTTCAAGATCTTCACGTCCGTCGCCGTGACGTCAAATCCGTCGGTATTGAACGGGAAGCTACCCGTAGTCGAGTACGCGTCGATGATGGTGTCCGTGACTGTGATGTTACTACCGAGTAGCTGAACGTTCCAGCCGATGGGCTTGCTCGACTTCAGGTACTGAATTGTGCCATTCGTCGTGTTGAAGCTCATCAGGTGAGGGCGATTGACCAGACCTGTGCCGGGGTATGCATTCGCATCCCACCAGGCCTGGCCGTACGAGTAGATCCAGCCGGTTGTGACATTGTCGCTGCCGATGAAGTCGACTTGCGGACCGGAGAACGTGAACCAATAGCCGGTACCTGCAGCGTAGGAGGTGCCGTTCACGATGGACCTGAGCTCGTCAGCAAGGAGTCGTGTATGAGCGCACGTGCTACTCACTGCACGTAACTTATGTTCTGCGGAAGATGCAGGTTCCCTTGCACAACGATGGCCACGTTACTCAGGTTCTTCGCTGTGATGGGGCTGTATACATTGCTGCAGAGCGCCCATGCATTTGGTCAATTTGACCGTCATGACGGCGTCATTCTAGACTTACTAGTCTACGCCCTCGCTGAACACAATCACAGAGTTCTGAGCACACTCCGTGAACGCTGCCTGGATGGCAGGTGAGTCGTCCGCCGTCGCATTGGATGAGGCATACAAGGACGGAATGACGCAGACGTCAGGGCGAGACTCTGAAATAAAGCCATCAACGCAGCGGACTGAGGGATCCAGGGATGCGAGCGCCACCGCGAGAAATAGGAGAGTAGCGAGGCAGCTTTGGAACGACATGGCTGCAGGGATCGGAGGTGCTACGGATGAGTTGGGAAGTAGATCAGAGATGTCGCAGAGGGGTCGACACAGTCGTGATGCGTTTCCTCGAGCATTAGCCGGTTTATATGCTCTCCGGAAGCAAGGAACTTTGAATTACGTAGATCAATACACAGGCTGGTCATTCGCCGTCGCTTGCTGCCACGGTACCAGCAGTTGCGCCGTCACCAGACTATTCATATGAATATTCGTATTTTGCAGCGACGAGTGTGTAGTGTCGTGACGGGCCGCCTCGACACGAGTAAGGAGGATCAAGGAGGCTAGTGTGGATATACATTTGAGGCCCATCAGGAGGAGAGGAGGTCGACAGCGAGCGAAGGCGAGCATGAAGCTTGAGGCAGTGGTCGAGTCGGCGTGTCATGCAGAACGACTGGGCGGAGGAAGAGGGGCAAGAGAGCGGACCGTCGGTCCGCCCGTGCACAAGATGTCCATATCGGGAAACTGTAAGTATTGGGAGCTAACACGTCTTAGTCTCCGTTGCTGACCAAAAAGAGTTACTCTCGTTTTTGAAACACGTCTCGGACCTTCAGAATCATCACGCTCCTTCCATCTGCCTCTGCTTCATCCTGCCCTGGGGTTCATGCCGTTTTTTTCCGTCGAATCGGAAGCGACAGGCATCCACCGCATCTGGGTTCTGGCTGGTCCTTCGCCGAGTACACGGAATCGACATGTGTACTCTCCGAGGCGGTGTACACGCTCTGTTTGTGTTCGCCACGATGACGATCACCGGGTATCTGGCATTGCAAGACAACGGGCTCCTTTCGAAGCAGCTGCTGCAATATAACAGACGATGACTCCGCTGTGTTGTCGTGTCGGGCAAGTGACGCGCCGCGATCGAAGGCGTTCTTGTAGCAAGGATCCCCGTAGCGCAGCTCCCTTTCTCTACCCTTTTCGCGTGCCATACGATTAGGATCATGCATTGTCCACATATTGGTTGCAATAACGACGTTTTTCATCGCATCCTCGCCGCATATTTCCAAAAGCGCTTTGTAGCTCTCACCCAGAGCTGCGCTGGACCGATTTTGGGTGATGTCGTGCATGTAAACGATCCCGACAATGGTACGCTTCTCCTTCCAACTACATAGATTGTGAGTGTCCCATTTGTGTTCTTGGTCTGGCCCGTCAATGAAATTGTCTCACTCACAATTCTCTCAACAGCCGGATCAGATCACACTTGACCTGGGCGGGGTGTCCCTCCGACTCCGAATCCAGCCCAGGGATGTCGACAAGTTGTATTTCATGACCGCCGACTACGATATCTGCCCACTGTGCTTGGGTTAGTAGTGCATTCGAGGCCCGTGCCTTCGGCGAATATCTGTCTGCTAGCGGCCAGATTGACGAACTGCACAGTGGATGAATCTGTCAGTCCTCAAGCTTCAAGACTGGATGCCCGACAAGGTGTGTGTATCACTCTGGTTTTTCCCGTCCCCGAAGGGCCCATGACACTGTAAGGTGTTTAAGACAACGAGCACTATTTGACACGTTTCGTCACTCACAGTATGATCGGTTTGGTACAACGCATCTCCCTGTAGGGCCTCGATGAAAGGCGATGATCGGTTGCGTGGGCTAGTAGGAGGTTATGGACTGCTCTCCCTTTGGGACTGGTCTTATACCTCAGCTAGTTCAGCGTCTTGTGGCGACTAACCTGTACGCCGTTTTCCACAAAGTCTTCGCGGGACGCATCGGCCACTGAGGCGCAGCCATAGCGCCAATGAAATGGGCAAAGTCGCCATTGTCGCCGCTAAGGAAGGTACGGGATCTCGTGCAATCTACATATCCAAAGAGGTACCGAGGGTCCGATCCCATTCGGGGTGGCCACTGACAGATTTGACAAACTCAGATATCAGGCGTCTTGGTGGCTCAAAACATCGGTTTTCTGCCGCAGCAGCCCATTTCATGATCGAGCAAACGTCGGCGAGAAATTGCGGGGCGTGGGGCAGTGGTATACTACGCATTCCCGCGCCGTGACGTGGACCCTCCGATCACGAACCCAGAGAAATGAGCAATAGTTGGCCACCCAGACTCGAGAAGTACCGCATCCGGTATGTACACACCTCTCCAGCATGTAGGACACGAGGCTCGAACTCAATCGACCTTCTCTTTACAGTATACAATCCTCGGGGAGACATGTATCCGCGCGGGCTGAATCGTTGGGCCCTCGGCGAACATCTATGTCGGTTGGCCGACCCGCCGCCTCTACGACGAGTCGTGAATATAGCTGTGCGCATCATCATTGTCGATCGCTCTATTGACAATGCCGCCTGAAACCTTCAGACTACACCGAGCAACTCAGTCAATCGCAGCTGAGGGGACGCCGTGCGGGACGGCTTGTTCTCCTTGGCAGCAGCCTTCCATATATCTTTGCTCCGGCTCGTATCTACATTATTCTTATCGACTAACTTCCGAGTCGGACAACTGGTTGATGCTGAGATGGTGGCGTACACTACAAGGTGGATCAAGGGCGCCTTCCGTGGTGGAGGAGCAATGTTTCCCGCCCACTGCATGACGGTCCACGCCTACAGGCCACCTCATAGCTGATGTGACGGATACTATTTTCTATGTATCGATCCTCCGATCAGTCCGCTCGGCGGTGCAGCCTGTTGAACCTAGGTTTGATAGTGTACGCGCATGATACACTGACACACCAGGTATACTTACGATTGATACCTTAGACTATACCAATTGAAGTGGTGACGCCCGGGCCATGCAAGGGCACATATGGTACTTTGTTGGTACTTTGCCAATTAATCTCCGCCGCTTTCGAGTCGCTGTAAAGCCTTCACATTGGTATTCTGTCACTGCAGGCTTGAGACGTGATTCATTGCGCATGGATCGACTCGGACTCCGTCGAGGTCACTAGTGAAAATGAGATGTCCGGTTGTCCTCGTGTTTACCGTGGTCAGACCCGACCTGTGACCCGCCTGCTATCCAACCATCGTCTCCGCCATTTTGACTGTCCTCCTACCGCCATCTCCACGGCCATGCTCAACATTCGGAATAGCATCGAGCAGCCGACTTGCACAGTCGTTCTGGGGCGTTCGTCTTCGGAATAGGGGGAGCCCCGCCCGCTGATTCGCCACCGGCTGTGACATATAAATTGCGACATTCTGCGGGCGGGGATGAACGCATACCCACACTCAATTGGCCGGCCCTCACGCCCGTTATCCCGCCTTCCTTCTGACCGACGACTTGTTTGCTTCTTGACTTTCATTTCATGTCGTCTGCACTGCTCGCAGCACGGAAAAGAGCCCTGCTCGGCTCGCGCTCACTCGCCTCGTCGGTCCGGTGGGCGAGCTCGGACAGCAAGGACAATTACAAAATTGTTGTTGTGGGCGCTGGTATGTCCTCGATGGTGCTCGTGCGACCGACGCTGGTCTCATGAAACTGTTTTTGTGCAGGCTCGGGAGGCCTCACTGTAGCGAACCAGATCTTCAACCGGTTCAAGGCGGCGGGGACACCACTGAACAAGGGGGACATTGCAATTTTGGATGCGAACGAGTACCACTACTACCAGGTGCGTTGTATTGTGTCTCGCATGGTAGTTGAATGTTGAGGGACAACCTACCTCAGCCCGGCTGGACACTCGTCGGTGCGGGCCTCAAGCAGAAACTTGAGACCCGCGAGCCCCTCAAGTCCCTCATCCCCTCGCACCTCGCCCACATCCCCGAGAATGTCCAGTCCTTCTCCCCGAAATCTTCCTCCATCACCACGGTCTCGGGTCGCACTATCGCCTACGAGTCCCTCGTGGTCGCCACCGGCCTGAAGACCAACTGGGACAGTATCGCGGGGCTCCCCAAGGCCCTCGCCGACCCGTCCTCGGGCGTATCGTCGATATACTCGTACGAGACCTGCGACAAGGTCTGGCACGACGTCGACGCGCTGCGCTCCGGGAAGGCCATCTTCACGCAGCCGGCGGGTGTGATCAAGTGTGCCGGAGGTGAGTCCGAGTTTCCCGTGGCCTCCTCGTCATCCGCGCAGTACCTCATCCCGACGCAGCGCCGCAGAAGATCATGTGGATGGCGTGGGACCGCTACCAGAAGACGGGCCGGGGCGACCAGATCTCGGTCGACTTCTACTCGGGCATGCCGTCGATGTTCAGCGTGAAGAAGTACTCGGACGCGCTGAACGAGCTGCGTATGCAGCGCGGCGTCGGCGGCCACTTCGGGCACAACCTCGTCTCCGTCGATGCGGGCAACCACAAGGCGACGTTCAAGACGGGCGACGGGTCGACCGTGGACGTGGACTACACCCTGCTGCACGTCTCGCCACCGATGGGCCCGCTCGACGTCATCAAGAACTCGCCGATTGCGGATGAGGCGGGCTGGGTGAGCGTCGACAAGGGCACGCTCAGGCACACGAACGCGGAGTACGGGAACGTGTGGGCGATCGGCGACTGCTCGAGCTTGCCGACGAGCAAGACCGCGGCAGCCATTACGGCTCAGGCGCCTATCCTGACGGAGAACCTGTACTCGGTCGTTTCGACAGGCAAGGACCGAGGCGTTGTGTACGACGGCTACACGAGCTGCCCGGTGAGTGCACCACGCTACTTGAAGGGATCTCAGTAATTGACCAGATCTTGTTTTCTCTAGCTGTTGACCGGATACGGCCAGCTCATGCTCGCCGAGTTCAAGTACGGTTTGGAGCCCAAGGAGAGCTTCGCGAACTACCTCGGTGATCAAAAGACCCCGTCGAGGCTCTACTATCATCTCAAGAAGGATGTCTTCCCGTGGGCATACTGGAACCACATGGTATGTGCCCCTGTAGCATTGCTGTATAAGGGACGAACTGCTCATGCCCGCTGTAGATCCAGGGCCGGTGGTTCGGCTCGCATGGCTTCTTCCGGCCCAAGTTCCCGACCACCACAAACACCCCCCAGTAAGCGGTGTAGCCTTCGCTGTAGCATACCGATGTCGCAGGTGCCCTGCCCTTAGCGATTATGGAAGCGTGCGGGCGCCGGCGGCGCAGTCTGTAGGTGCTTCAATGTAAAATATCATATATAGTGGTAATTGCTTTGTATGAGATGAGACGGAAGTCATTTTCTGTACATATGGATGTGCATTTCAAATGGTTAGATCTCCATGCCACCGCGGACCTTGTGTCGTCGTTCACCTGCGTCCACATACGTCGTGCAATCAGATCACATTTATGACAGTCAAAGGTAGACGATATGCTGGTATTCAATGTTCTGCGCATTACCAGTGATGAGTACGGATACAGTGCGGCAACCGCTTGTTGTGTATGAGATACAGATTTGACCTATCATTCCGGCCAGTCCTCCAGCGACTCTAGAAATACCCGTACAGCCGATCAACGTTGCGGCGAGCCCATTGTGAAGACAGACTTGACTGTCTCGGAGAACGTGTGTTTGGGCCTTAATGAATTGTAATGCTAATACGGGGGCTGTCAGCACGGCGACCCAGGCCAACCTGAGGGAGCACTCACCTCTCCGAGTCCATACATGCGTCTATGATAGCTGATCCATGCAACTTTTGCTCCGCCACCTGGTGAATCGAGAGGTGTATGCTGCACAACCGCGGGCGTACCCCCCTGCACGACGTTAATCGTGATGTTGAACGCGCTGCACAATGCCATTATCTCAGGCTCGCCACCCCACGCGCCCGTGTCCCGCATCGTCGCGCAGTACCGCTCAAACGCGGCGGGGCCCATGATGCCAGTGTCGCTCGTCGAGCCGACGCCGTCCTCGCCGCCCTCAGAGGGGAGGAAGGGCATGAAGTTGTCAGGGTGCGCGAGCATGTATGCAGCGGCGGCGGCGCGGGTGTGGGCGTAGGAGGCTTGCTTTGGAGGGACGACGTGCAGGAGGACGAGTTGGTCGGCAATGGCGGAGAACAGACAGTGGCCGTCTGGGTTGATCTAGCAGCAGCCCCATGAGTAGTTTAACAACGAACTGGTGGTGTATGATACGCACCTCGAACATCCCGAGCCCGTTCTCGTCGCATACCTTGTTGACGGCCCGCTCCTCCTCTGCTGCCTCCCTCTGAAGACGCTCGTCCTGCTCCGGGTTGCTCGGTGCTTGCTGGTCTGCGACCGCCGCCGCCTTCCTCGCCTGCAGCCAATCAGAGCCCCATCTCAGCATCCTCAGCATGCCGCGCCTGCACGTCAACAGTGACGCACCATCCGAGCACGATGCCTGGCCTTGCTATCCTGCTTTTGGGATGGCGGCGACGCGGCCGGGGGTGGCGTGTCGGCAGCGTTGTTGATGTTCATCTCGTTGATGACGGCGGCAGACTCTGCGTGGACGGAGGTGTCCCGCGAGTCGAGCTGCGCCATGAGGTCGTCCATGAGTACGTCGTCGTCCATGTTCGGCTCGGGCTCTGGTGACTTCGCTGCGAACGGCGGTGAGAGTGCTTTCTTGAGTTTGCTGCGCTTCGAGCCGGCCATGGCTGGGAGTCAGGGTGGCGGAGCGTGGAGTGAGGGAGCCGGAGGGTGGGGCTTGTCCGCGGGAGCGGAGAAGGACTGGAGTACCGCACCGATCTCCCGGAAAGGCCACAAACTGGCCACAATAGGCAGGTCCTGTCGTTCGCGTGCCCGGCGTTTTCTCGCACACGTGACCGACGCGTTTGGGGACGCGCGGGCCGACGGGCACCCGATCGAATGCCATGCTCTCGTCTCTCAGTCCCAGGCTCGCACCGCGCATCCTCCCCCGCACACGCTTTCTGCGACCCTCCCCTCTATCGTTCCTCGCCGCTGCTCAACGCTCCGCAAAGATGTCGACCCGCGTACCGCTGATCTTCGTGAGCAGCCTGCTACGGCTCGCCTGCTCGAGAAGCGTGCTTATCGGTCGCATACTAGGGCACCATGACTATGGGCGAGCAAGGCAAGAATGGCGTTCGCACATCCGACCTAGGCGAGTGCCAGGAGATTATCGATGTCCTCTTCAAGCACGGCCATCGCGAACTCGACACTGCGCGGATGTACGCCGAAGGGACGACGGAGCCCGTGCGCGTTCTTTGCCTGCAACACCCAGACTCACTTCCGCTCATCGCTCCTGCCTCGCTAGCTCCTGGCCAAGTTGAAGTTTCCGAGCGATGCCACGGTAGACACCAAGTATGTATGCTTCTGGACCTGCCGGGGGCCCGGGGCCCATGTTTACTACCAAGGCTGACCCCCTCGCAGAGTGTACCCATCTAATCCCGGTGATCACTCGCCCGAGAAGCTGCGCGCGATATTTCAGACATCGCTCAAGCTCCTCTCGCCCCTCAAATCTCGTGTGCTCTACTTGCACGCTCCAGACCGTAGCGTTCCCTTCGAAGAGACCCTCCATGAGGTTAACGAGCTCTACAAACAGGGCCTATTGTACGTCGCTACTGTAATCACCGGAATCACGACTGATTGCTCTGCAGCCAGATCTTTGGCCTGAGCAATTATGCCAGCTGGGAGGTTTGTGTAGATTTGTCGCTATCAGCTTGTTGTGGTGCTAATTCAAATATCATCTACCTTCTACTAGGTCGCTGAGATCGTCAACATTTGCAAAGCCAAAGGCTACGTCCAGCCCAAGATCTACCAAGCGTAGGCTTACCACTGCCTATGGAGGAAATGTAGCATGTCTCAATGCCAGCATTACCGCCCACAGGATGTACAACGCCGTCACCCGCGACATGGAAGCCGAGCTCGTCCCCTGCTGCCGCAAGTTCGGCCTGCGCATCGTCGTCTACAACCCTCTCGCGTACGTCCCTACACATCCATCACCACGCGACTGTGTCACTGACAGATGCACGTACCAGTGGAGGCTTCTTCGCAGGCAAGGTAGCCACGCCCGACACGGACGCCCCGACGGGCGGGCGGTTCGACCCGAACAGCAAGATGGGCGCGATGTACCGCGCGCGATACCTCAAGGGCGGGTACTTCGAGGCCCTCAACTACCTCAAGCCAATCGCGGTACGTACCTCGGCCGCCAGCCTTCCTTCAGCCTCAGCCATCGCGCGTACCCACGCTCAACCCTTCCCCCCTCCGCAGGAGAAACACAACCTCCGCCTCACCGAGATTGCGCTCCGCTGGTGCCAGCACCACTCCGTGCTGACGCCGACCGACGGTGTTATTTTGGGCGCGAGCAGCGCCGCGCAGCTCGAGCAGAATTGCGCGGACTCGGAGAAGGGCCCGCTGCCTGAGGAGATCATCAAGGCGCTCGACCAGGCGAGGCTGATTGTCGGGGCGGAGGCGCCGCCGTACTGGCGGTGAATGGGAGGCGGTGAAGCAAATATAGTCTGCGAGTAAGGAAGAAGAAACGGAGGATGGACCTGTCCTATAAGCTGACCGATATGCTGTATTTGTAGTCGTCGAAGGTAACCTTCTGTATCTTGCGACTTTATGCACAAACGAAGGCAGTTCTTCGATTTGAGTTGCTTCTTTCAAGTTATATAAACAGTCAACACTCAGATTGGCATGACTGAAGCTGACATTGGTCAGCTGTTGACAATGCCATAGGCTGATCGGATGGTCATTTTAGAGAGCAAGCGGCCAGTAGGTCGACCAACGTCGAACTGAATTGACAAGCCTTCGTCTCCAGCCTAGTGAGGTCATACCGTAGCGTGACTGAGCGGCTGCGTGCGCCCACAGTAATTTAGATACAGTGTGCTTTCGAACAGCATCAAACATCTTCAACGCGATGCCGTCGTATCTGGAGCGGCCACTAGTTACTATTGGGACGGTGGTGCGTGTAGACGCGCACCAGGCCTAGTACCGCGCGCTTTGTCGAACTGAATAATGATTAAGGCATACCACGGTATACGTATGTTGCAAGAGAATGGACGGCGCACCTGGTCGAGAGACAATGGTCGAGAGACAACGATTGGCCGGGCGCGCTCTCATCATGATGAGTTTCACGAAGGCGGAGCCAAAGTAGTTCTGGAAGGGAGTTCAATCTAGCGGAGCAGAGGCCCTTTTCCCATGTAGCTACTCCATAGCATGTAGTAGAACCGACACGCAAGGAGGCACTCGTAGTCGAGTACGGTGGAGGAAAAGCAGTGGTGGCTTCGACGGGCCACGGCCACTGGCAGGCGGATGTGCGATGGGATCTTGGCACGATCACGATCATGTGACCGCGATATGCAGGTCTCTGGAAGAGTGTTAGAGTCCAGTGCGCTCATCCGTCGCCTGTGCCGCCACCCTCCAGCCGCCACCCCCTGCTGAGGCCTGAGGCAGCCGCGCTGCTGCATGCGTCTCTGCGGGCCCCACTCGAGTCTGGACACGCGAACCTGCCGGGGAATACCTACGCCGTGCAGCCCCAGCTGGCATCCATGCTGCCATTTCTCTCCCGAGTCGCAACCTTCACGAGGGTTCTAGTGCGCGCCCAGTCTCGTATTCTACGCCCATCCGCTTCTTCTGACGACATCCATGACAGTACTTCCCGCCTCCGTGCGTCGATGCCTGCTCGTCATCGTGCTCGCATGTGGAGTACCCAGTGCGCCGTCTTGATATAAGCCATCGTCGCCGCCGTTGCCTATCAGTTGTATTCTCCCTTCAATTGGGGCTTTCCTTTGCATCGTACGGAGTCTCCTCGCCTCCTCCCCACCTTACGACTTTTACGACGCGCAATGGCTGGCTCTTCGCTCGACAACAATCCGCCAAATGCCTCGCGCCACCTCACGGCAGGCGGTTCGGACTGGCTGTGGGCCGTCACCGCCATCATGGGTCTATGCGACCTCGCCATGATCGGCTGGTCATTTGCTGTATGTATGCCGTCACCCGTGCCACACTGGCAAGACCGTCCCCGAGACTGACTTGCGATGACAGAGGCCTCGAGGAACTCGAGTCTTCCACCAGATTGGTATTATCGTCCTGACCACTGCGACGATTGCATATTTCGCCATGGCATCCGACCTGGGTGCCGCGCCCGCGACTGAGGAGTTCCTCCGCGGCGGTGCCCCTGGTACGACCCGTCAGATCTTCGTGAGTATCGCCTGCTGATCGTCCTGAGGTAACACGCATACCGACTATGCGACCTAGTACGTCCGCTACATCCAGTGGTTCATCACGCTCCCGCTGCTGCTTCTTGTGCTGCTCCTCACCACCGGTCTGACGCTCTCCGACATCTTCACGACCATCTTCATGGGCTGGGTGTTGGTCATCTGCGGTCTCGTTGGTGCTCTCACCACCACGTCCTACAAGTGGGGCTTCTTCGTCTTCGGTCTCTTCGCCCTGTTCTACATCTGGTACGTCCCCCCCTCCCCCGCTCGCTCTGCGATGATGAACTAACACCTGCCTCAGGCACGCGCTCCTCGGACACGGCCTGCGCTCGACCTTCATAGCAGGCGGCGGCGTGCGCAGCGGCTACATCCGCACCGCGGGCTACTTCGCGCTGCTGCTCATGCTCTACCCGATCTGCTGGGCGTGCGCCGAGGGCGGGAACGTCATCTCCGTCACGGGCGAGATGATCTGGTACGGCATCCTCGACCTCTTAGCGGGCCCCGTCTTCCTGTTCTTCTCCCTCTTCGGCCTCCGCTCCGTCGACATGGCCGCGTTCGGGCTCTGGTCGGGCAAGTACACGGACACGGGGTACGGCCCTGGCGCGGGACACGCGAATGGTGCGGGACATGCGAATGGCGCGGGATACACGAATGGCGCGGGTGCGGCGGGCACGGGCATGGCGGCGGCGCCGGGCGCGAACGGCGCGACGGGTGTGGGTGCGCCCGGCGGGGCAGCAGCGGCCAACCAGGTCTGAGCAGGTAGTCTCGCTTCAAACCCTTTACCACCGTGGGTGCACGTGTGCACTGCACTCAGGAGCCTCTTTCCATTGTCACGACATAATATCGCGCGTGCTCTTCATGGGACCGTATTATCCACGAGCAGTCCCAGTGCGTAGTGCGCGTTTACTCCGATCCTACGATACGCCATTTGCTTTGCATTGATAGTGTACGATCGCCGTTAAACTGTTAATGACCCCTCATGTACGGCGCAGTGTCTGTAGATAAGTGCAACTCCAGTTTGTATTCTGTTACCAATGCAATGTGTGTTGTTGATTGTATCATACCCTAGTGTGTGACGCGAGGGCCTTCGAGGACACAGTTCAGTAACGTGTGCCATCATGGAGCAAGCCGAGAACTTCGTCACCCTCGACAGCTCAAGTCAGGTACTCCTCATATCACACAGTCTCAGCATTAATACAAGCAGTAAGCCTAACTCATAGAGAGTATGTACATACACAAGCACGTCTGCGATCATTACGGTTCTCTCGTCTTGACCCATCACCCACCATCCGACCCCGCAGGTCAGAACAACAGGTCATCATTCGCGTCGCCGTTGTGCTGCGGCGCGTCCGCAATGTGTCCTCCAAACGCATTGTCCAGCGCGGCATACGGGTCGCTCGCGGGCGCGACCGCCTGCGCGCGTGCGAGGTCCTCGTGGTCATGGTCCTCCGTCTCCGCCTCTCCCTCGCCGTCGTCCTCGCCGCCCAGCAGGTCCTGCGTCGCGGGCGACGTGGACGCCGTGGACGCCTGCGAGGCCGACGGCACGAGGGCGGCGCCGGCGTCGGCAGGGAGCGACGCGCCGTTTTGCCGGGGAGGCAGTACGGGGGATGGGGGGTTGACAACGCGCGGGTCGACGGGGCCCGGCACGCGGATGCTGGCGGGAGGCAGGAGCTGGGTGCGCGCGACGGGGACGAGGACTTGTCGGGAGAGAGGGTTGAGGGCCGGGCTGTCGGTGAGCGCCTTACCAGTCGCTCCGCGGATGAAGGTCTAGGCACACATGGCATGAGAAGTGAAGGTCATGGAGTTGGTGGAGCTGACATACCTCAGGGTTCTTGTGGTATATGCTACCAAGCGTCCCTGTATGCAGGAGCAGTTGGTCGAGCGCACCACGGTCCATACGGTCTGCATCCGTCGTGATCGCGGGCTTCTCCGCGAGGACGACCTCGCTCGCCGCCGCCGGGCTGAGCGCCAGCAACCTCCAATACATGAACCCTCTATCGCGGAGGTCGGGGTTGTCCACCTCCTCCGTCGCCCACTTGAGCACCTTGTGCACGAGCGCCTTGGTCGTGTCGCTGTGCGACTTGTATATGAAAAGCTTGACGGACGCGGAGAGGAGCGCGAGCTGGACCTCGGTCGGCTCCTCGAGGAAGGTGTACGTCAGGTCGTCCATGAGCTCGTCCGCGTTCTCGATCCGGTCGGCGAACTGCCCGACGATCCAGATCATGGCCGCTTTGCTCTCCGGCTCGTCGAGCGCGTCGAGGTTCGCGCAGAGCGTGGGGATGATGCCCTCGTACCGCCCCGGGTACCGTCGGAAGACGTCCTTGATGACGATCACGGCTTCCTGCACGACGTATGTGACTTTCGTCTCAATGAGCTCGAGAAGGGCCTTGATGCAGTCGTCTGCTGCGGGTTGCACCTTGATGGCGAGCCGACCTATTGAACGCACGGCCTTGCGCACGAAGTCAACGTCAACCTCTGATGCGTATCTGGATGATGCATGAGCTCCCTGCACAAGAAAATACAAGTTGTATGCACTCACTCTTGCAGCTCAGCAAGGACCTCGCGTGCGTTCTCTTCTCGGGCCAGGCGGTACATTATTTCGAGCTTGGCCAACTTGACATATATTGGATCATTGTACTTGCAGAAAAACACCTTGACGTCGTTCTTCAGCACTTGTGGTCTTCGTTGGATGATGAGCAGTATGTTCCGCAGTGCTACATATTGTACTTCCGGTCCAGACGACAGTAGGGTCACTGGCATACAGTGAGCTATCCGCGAGTAGACGGGGGACTCAAATGTGCTGACCTAATGGCGGTCCCATCTTCTTGCAGATGTAGTCCATCAAGCGGCGATTTTCCATGTAATTCATGAGATATAGCAGGACTTTGATAGTTGTGAGAACGACGGCAGAATTCGCGTGTTGTAGCTGGACGATAACCCGTTCCGCCATCAACTCAGCGTCCTCGTGCTTCTCGGGGACGTAGCGCAGCAATGAGTCGAGAATGTAGATTTGTCCCCACCTGACAGACAACACGGTCAGCTACCAGACTGGTGAAACGTAGGATCATGACATACTCCGAGCTTTCGCCCACTGCTGCTAGTAGCTTGTTCGCAACTGTCAAATTCAGTTTGAAGATGACACCATCCTGTCGGTCGCCAATCTCTGTCAAGGCAGCAACGGCATTCGCCACGACGGTAGCGTTGGTGTCCAAAAGGAGGTCACGTAACAGTTCCACGAAGCCATTACGTTCACATTTCCGTGGGTCGGCGTTGTATAACTTCGCCACGCAGATGGCAGCAGTCTTACGGACATATGGGTCGCGGTCCTTCAGAGCGTGCCGTAGCGGATCCTCAAGCTCTTCTACGACAATGGGAGCGGGTATGTATGACATTGTCCGGATTGCGAGGGCGCGAATCAGCGGGTTTCGGTCTTCACAATCCTAGACCGTCTCAGCCGCACCGTACACAGGTTGTAGGAGATGCTCACCTGCAGGAAATTAGGCATCACAGCACGTATTTGGTCGGCCTTTGACCTGCCATAGCAAACCAGAAAGAGATACACCACTGGACGTGAAATGAGATCATCTCGGGATATCCGGACAAGTAAACGTGGGCGACATACTCTTCTTGATCTCAAGGGACGGTATGCCTAGGCATTGGATCACGTCGCCGAACAATGGTGACACTAATGAAACACATATACCTGAGACAGCTCCAAACTATATGGCGACATGTAACGCACTGTCATTGCCCATTGTGATGTTAGCAACTATCTTCTTGAGGACCGTCTTCCGCTTCGTGAACTTCTTGTCCTTGCTCTCTGCAGCTTGCAGCTCAGCGCGGAATTCCTATATGTACGGCATCATTGGGACATATACAGTAAACACGATCTGTGTTTACTCACCTGTATCTTTCCCCTCTGGAAGAACTTGGCATCTTGGGCACCCTGTCCGCTCATGGTGTGCTGTTAAGCCAAGTATCGGTCCAAGTCTCCTTGCCGCTCCCCGGTGGTCCGTGTCGTGTACGAATGCCCAGATTGGTTATGTCGCGTCGAATGGGGACCAGACAGAGTTGAGCGTAGCTAGCGTCGCTGAAGAGTCGCTGGTGCTGAGCAGTGAGCACCGTGTCGAGCGTGAGTGGGTCGAGATGATCTCAGGAGCGGCAGACAGGCGCCGGCAAGTGATCGACTCCTTCGACCCGGTCCACCACCACCGCCGAAATGCATCCTCGGCGCGTCGCTCTCCCTCCACCAGTAGCTTACTCTTCCAAGGCATCTCTCGACGCAGCAGCACAGTCTGATATCAATGGCATCCTCAAGCAACTCAAAGCATGCACCAGACGTTTGCAAACGGCCTATGCATCCCACGCGCTCGAGCTGCAGGTCCTCGAGAGGTTGTACTACAAGGGCAAGAACCAGCACCGTACCGCGCTGTTCTGGAGAAGCGTAGTCGAAATAAGACGGTATGGCGCCCGTGTAGAGGAAATGGAGCTGTATGGACTCGTCGAGCGAATGCGGGTTTCGTTTTGGGGAGAAGCTGCCCTACAGAAGTGAGAGTGTCCGAATCGCGCTACAGGCCAGCCTCGTTCATATCAATGCAGCACAAAGCTCCTCAAAGGGCCATGGACCCATCATCCCGATGCTGTCACGGTAATGTTTGTACTACAGCGATGCTCTGAGGCCTGCTCGCTGCTGAAGAAGGTAGCCATATCCCGTGTATCATCGTTTTCTTGCTCTGAAGTCCGATAGGCTCAGGAGCGGTTGTCGGCAGCATATCAGTGAGCACAGTTGTCATCTCGTCTGCCGCGTTGCCTGAGACATCGTACACAGTTCCCTCACGCTGGTCATGCAGACTGCCGCCTTCCTGCAGCTTGTCCTCACGCTGGTCGCTATAACTTCCAAGTTCAGTTCGCTGCTCACTGAGATTCAGTCGTGCATGGAACTCGCTCGGGTTGTTTGCTATCAGATGCTGCAGCTCATTGACGTGAGTCTGTTCTCTGAAGTACACGAGCATGCCCTCATGCCTCAGAACAGCCCGAACTAGCTCGCAAGGAGAGCCGTTCCCTACCGAGTGAATATCTTGGACAGGAGACGACAGCAGCATCACAAAGCCAGACGGAAGCCCTGCTTTATAGTCCGGATCGGACCGTCACTGTCGATGAAGACGTCGGCAGCGTTTTGGTCCGGCGTGTGACACGCTCGGTCGTCGAACTTCCTCGGGCTCCTGTGCCGCCAGCAGATGCTACGCCCACAGAGTTGTCTCCGCCTCTGCTAGAAGACCTCAACATGGTGTCTCCCACGATCGGTTAGACTCACAGTCCTGCCACCCTCGTCGCTAGCTAATCGCTCGTACAGTGACCACCGTTCGGACCATCTCCGCCCGTGAAAACGGTGCACCCTCGAACGGCGGACCTCCTCAGATTGCACAGAAGCGGAAGAACGAAAGCACAACGTTACAGAAGAAAGCGAAGAAAAAGAAGAAGCGAGATGAGATTGACGACATATTCGGGCTATGACGCACACCATCGCCCACGAGAAAGCATCGCCAACGCTTTGTAGATGGGCCGGATGCTAGTGTCCGGTGACTTCAAGCCAGCATGTCTACGACGGCGGATGTTGGCAGCAGCAAAAATATAGAGCACCTCCGTATGCATTATGATTAACGACGATAGAACGGGCCTTCTGCTGTATTATACCTACATCACAGTATCATAATAATATCGCACGAGCATTCGTACATCAGAGATCGGGAGGATGAATTGTACCTCTAGCTATTAACTTACGTGGATGACCCAGGCAAACCAATGACTTCGACTTTTCATATATTGTTGGTATCACACGTCAAACATAGATACGTCAGAAGGCTGCATCTGGCTGTCATCACATGCAGGAGCGACGTTGGAGATGTTGGCCAACGAATGTTCTGTTCCAGGAGATCAGTGTTGGAATATCTTGACGTCGTCAGTGCGGTACATACCCATGTAGGGCAATGCGAGCCCAAGCTTGTTCGCGGAACTGAGGATGATGTTATAGGACGTCTTCAGCTGTGCATGTTCCTCGACGTGTGGTCGCTGTTCCTCAAGCATCGCAGCGACCATAGACCAGCACGGCTGAACAAGCGCTGATGAGAATCGCTCAGAGAGGGTCACCAAGAGACTTACACCCAAGATTGGGTCCAAGAAGTGATAATCATCGTCACGCAACTCCTTCGTGATCTACAGAGAAACGGTAAGCCAAGTTCAATATACGAGTGCCTGGGCAGAGTACATACGCCGACAATCTCAAGAACAGTGCTCAGACACTTCGCACGGGAGTTCGGATGATGTCTTGCCAACACTCGGTGCAACTCCGCGGCCGCCGTCAGCGACAAAATTGTGGACATCTTGAGCGCCAACGCCAACTGCCTATGCCCAGCAAAGCTTGACTTCAGCGTGCTCACAGTGAGCGTTGAGTTGTGCTCGAGCACCTCCTCTAGGCGGCCCCAATAGTCGTCGTACCACTTGGTCTGTTCGTCGAGCGTCGCCTGCGGATCGAAGGTCCCCAGGTTCACAACGATTTCGGTCCATCTCGCTGCAAGCCGACGACTTTCCTGGAGGAGCGCGAGGCTCCTAGCACGCAGGACGACTAAGTTGTTCTTGGTCATGTACGGGAACATGTACTAACCAGTCGGGGTCAGAACGCGTTTCGCAACAAAATGGGAACTATTCACCGGTAAGGTGTGGAATTGTCGGTCGTAATCTTCGGTCAGTAATGAGGGGTCGTTGAGCACCATCCCAGCAGCTTTGTCGAGGTACAAGAACTGGCTCAGCGCGCAAATTTGCTCCTGCGCTTCGTTGAGAGTATTTTCGAGGGTAGCAAAGGCCTCCGCCGTGTGAGTATCGAATCTTAGATTGTTATGCAAGGTGACCTGCGCGGCCTTCAAGAGCTGCTCCCGGCGTTCGGGCATCTGCCGCTTGAGGAGGAAGTAGATTGCCAGGATGCAGTGTACTTGCAGCCGCGCAATTGGAGGCGGTGCGTCGAGCATGGCCCGCTTGATGAGCTCAAGCTGCGTTGTCTCCACTGCGCTGTTCAAGGTAATTCGGTATTGCAGCTGCCAGAAGCAGCAGCCGATAACTTGCGCGGTATAGACTAGCACTGGGTGGACGTGCGTGCCCGAAACGTCTCCGCTGGCGATGGCCTGCAGTTTCGCCTCTGTCAAGCTGACACCGAGCTGACAGTGGTGAGCGAGGAAAGTGGCACGGCTAAGAGACCGATCGTGAGCATGGCAGCAGCGCATCTGTGAAGTCACTTACTAATCGCTCAGCTCCTGCAAAGAAACTAGAGATTGACTGGAAGAGGTTGAATGAGACGAAGCACTTCCGTTCGACGGTCTGAAGTGTTCAGCAGTATTGAGGGTATAACTTGAAGATGCCCCTAGGTTCGATATGATATCTGGATATGCGATGTCGAGCACGCTGCTCTCATCCGGTACGAGTAGAAGCTGTGAGGACGGAGGAAGGGACGATGTCATGATATCGTCAGCCTGAATGTTATTTCCTATACATATAGAGGTCAATAAAGGCGCATAGAGGTGATATGCCCTCATGCATACTTGGTTGGTCTGGAGACGATCCCTGAGACTGTCCCTCATAGATAGCTAGGCGAGTCTCCAGTTCCCGTGTACGTGCCATGAGCGCCTCTGTTAAATGACGCTGAACATTATCTTCGTAGAGACATCCCTGCTGCTTCCCAGCAACTTCGCATGTCGTACAGTAGGGTCGCTTAGCGTCGCATTTCTGTGCAGGGTACGTCAGAAATGTTCGTTCCAGATGTCCTGTAACCAACCTACCTTCTTCTTTCGCCTGGGTATGGCTTCGCTTCAGCGCGCATGCCTGAGTCGAGATTAATGGATTACTCACCGGCAGGCAAGGCATGCGTTTCCTTTCTGAAGCAAGGGGCCTTTGGGCTGGGCCGGGGCTGTGTCCACGTAGGCGCATTCGATGGGCCTGCGAGCGTTTGAACACGGTCCGCAGACTGGGCTGATGCCGTCGCAGCGCTATGCATTGGCAAGATGCCTTGGGTGTTAAGCTACGTCGTATCTGCGGCTGGTGCAGCGATGGATGACCTACCACTTTGCGGCTCCTGAATTCAGCTGGGATGTGAGCGTGACAACCAACTAGACGGTTGTTGCACAGCGACTCTCACCTGCAAGCTGAACAGGTTTTTGTCATGGCCGTTCGGGTCCAAGCTGGGTGCAAGCCTGAGGGTCGCTGATCCGGTACTCACGTACTGTTAGCATTGCTTACGATCAAGACCGGCAATGGGCGTCAACGCCGAACTTGAACGGGCGCGTCGCGGCGCGCGCGAATCCTCGGTCACGTGGCCGAAACGCGACCAACAACGTTCCGCTCCACGCCTCACTCGCCTTCACCTAAACACGCCTATCTCATCCGCCCGCCTTCGCGCTTCCTCCGTTCGCGTCCTCCTTGTCCTAGCTCACTATGTCCAGTGGTGTGCTGGTTGATGTGGGCGACACGCGCTCCCCCAATTCGACCACCAGCGATGATGCTGACGCAGTCAACACTGAGTCGGCAAGGATCTATTTCGGGCCTCTCCAATCTCCTGAAAAGAAGTTCGCGTCTACCTCGAAGTTCAGGACACCTGTGCGAAGATCTGCGAGGCTTTCCTCGGTGCGAGTGTGCGAGCAGGCGCACGTGGACGCGCGTACCCAGGAACCGGCACCAACTAGGTTGGATTCGGCGGAAGGGGCGAGCTCATCTGCTGAGGAGGATATTCTGGAAGACGGTAAGCACGCATTTTCCGGGTCATTGACATAATCTCACTTCAGCGTAGAGCCATCCTTCATACTGGCCAATAAAGTTCTGCAAGCCCATGATAACCCCTCGCCTCCTCCCAGTCCTTCTACGAATGGCGAAGCACCTCTGCCTAATCCTGACATTCTGATCGACCTAACCGACGGGAACGAACCTATGATGACGATTGCATCCAATGTTGATCCTCTCGTTCCTGCGCACCAGGGGAGCGACGCAGAGGCGAACATATCTCAGCCAGATCTCATCAACTTCGACTCATTCTCGACGCCCTCGACGACTCCTCGCGTCGGTACCCCAGACTTACACACATTTGCTCAGGCAGCGTCTCCTCTTTCTGGCAAATCAAAAGCCACGACTGTCGACGATCTGCTCTCTTTGTCCCCCATGGGCGTGTCCCCTGCACCCGAGCTGGCCGTGGAAGTGGTTTTGGCCACAGCGGATGCCTTGACTCCTACTGCCGAGGAAGAAGAGCAGGTACTCCATGCTCTGATTGATAACGCTTCCGTGGCAGACGCGCCTTCACCATTGCCAGACCAAGTGCCGGTCCAAATGCGCGTGCCAGATGTATCTACCGCCAACATTCCTGCGACGGTCTCGCAGGTAGCTATTCCTTCGCCAACATCCCAACCCCATACTCCCGTCCGTCGATCTTCGCGCAAACGATCAAGCATCAGTCCAGCCAGACCACGCCCCATAACTGAGACGTCTACGTTACTCAACCCCCCGGTCTCCAGTCGGTCGGGCTCGTCTCCCCAGCCGAGCTCCACTCCTTCGCTAGTTTTCCCGCCATTAGGAGTACGCGTCAAGAAGAGGGCAGGCAGTCGAGATGTGGCCCCTAATGTCGAGGGTAGCTCAGCAAATCCTGTGGACACCACACAACTGGTAGACGAAAAGCGACCAGTCTCTCCTGGTAGAGAGGCGACACGGAAGCTGGAAACACAGCAACACCGCAGGTTGGGTTCATTGTCCCCCACGTCTACAGGACTTCTTATGCAGTTGCTGCCTAATGCCTCGAGTGCCTCGACTGAAGAGCAGAGTCCAGCAGCCCAAACCGTAGTGAGCTGCACGCCTCCCCCCGACTCCGCGAATTTCGAACCGCCACACATTATTTCCCGTTCCGCGACCCCGCAACCAGGTGGTCAAGTGCAATCCCCCGCTGACGCTCCCCAATCAACACCCATCGCGGTCGAACCGTCACGCTCACCCGCACGTCGAATCCCCATCCATGAAGCCATCGCACAGGGGACATTTTCACCGCCCAAACAACAGTCGCTCACAGGGGGTGCTAAAGCCAACTCGACCTTGGGCCTACTAGGGACCCCTGTGTTTAGGCGACCTCTTCAAGCTCTTGACGATCCCAAGCGTAGTCCTGCCAAACGAGTACCGATTTCACAGGCATTTGCGCCGTCGACCGTGCCTTCGCCTAACAAGGGAAAGGCTCCTATACGGTCATCTTCTCCCGTTCGTCCCGCCCCCAAGGAGCGAGCTCGTAGCAATTCTGTTGAGTCTGTCGCTCGACCTCTCTTCGAAAGAAGCAGATCTGCCGAGCCTGCAAGACCGTTGGCCAGTAGCTTCGCGAAGCCTTCTTCGGCAGGCAGTAGCACCCTCAGGAGCAACGCTGCTACGTCGCTACCATTCCCACTTGTCCCATCATCAAGTCGCGCACACCCATCCATTCCTGAGGTCGATGAGGGCGAGGCAGACACTCGCACAACAACGCCGCATGAGCGTGTGCGGTCGAGAAGTCCCCCAGGCTCAAGTCCTGCGAAGCATGTGTCCTTATTGCGTCAGCCATCCGCCAATGTCACCAGTCGCATACCGCGCATTGGTGCAAAGCCGTATGCGAGACCGAAATCGAAGGAACCAAGCCCGACTCCGGCTCCAGCTCCGGAACCCAGGCCACCTAAAGTTCCAAGACGTGCCCTCGGCGCAGCAGGTGGTGTAGTGAGTGTTGTTCTTCTGTTGCTATTCCTTCGCTCATCCATGCATCTATAGGTACGACCGTTCAGAGCACTCCAGGCGGGGCAGGGGAGCGGTAGCTCTGATGACTCCTCTCCTCGCTACGGCCCTCCAGGTTCTACGCACAACCCGCTCAACGGTTCAACTACTCAGCAACCTCCTGTCGCAGAAGGCTCACGAGTATCGGCGTTGAAGCGGAAGCGAGAAGGGGAGAAATCCTTGGTTTCACCACCAGGAGCTAAGCCCGTCGTCGTTATACGAAAGGTTGTGCCAGGCATGTTTGGTCAGTCCTCTTCCTCTAAGGCTGGCCCAAGCACGGCGCCACCAGCCGGAACACCCACGGCGGAGCCGACGCCCCGGGCAAGTCCGCAGAAGCCAAAGGGACCTATCAGGATGCGAAAGGTTGCTGATTGGAAGCCACCACCACGAGAGCCTAAGCCAGGGTCCTCAAAGACTGATGCCACGCCGCCTGTAGTGGATGAACCCGCAGTGTCGCCACCATGTGTACCCAAACCTTCGCCTGAGCCCGTCTCCAGCTCTCCACCCTGGCCATCCAGTACCGAGGTGACGTCATCAGTCCCCCCAGTAGATCGAGATGCCGCTATCCGTCAACCAGTGCCCTCGCCACTAGCGCAGACCACCGAACAAGAACCCGACCCTCAATCGAATGGCACCCGTCGTTCGAGTCGTTCGCGCAGAGCGGTCACCAATCCGACGACGGATGTCTTTGGTGTTGTTAGCGCTGCCCCTGTCCGCCCGCTCAACGTTCGGCGAAAGCGTCCGCCACGGACCGACACAAGTGCCTTTGTTGGGATGACCGCCGCAGCTCTCAGGGCGCTCACAACATCGAACACGCAGAAAAACCAGCAGCAGGTGGTGTCCCTCAAGACGGAGGTGATTCGCAAGGACGGAAAGAGGCCTGGCAGTCCGACCACCAAGGTGCGAACGATACTCGAGAAGCAGAAGGAGGTCAAGGCGCAGCAGAGACACGAGCGTGCTGAGCGGAGAGCAAGGAGATCTTCGGAAGGGACTCAGGCGAACGAGTCCCAGGCCGACATGTCCGTTGACCTCGGTGATATGAGCACCATCACTGTGGACGAGAATGGTGTCCCTGTACGACATCGACGAGGTCCCGGAGACGAAGAGGACTACGTCACGCCGCCACGCCCTGAGCGGCCGCTGAAACGCGAGAGGCTGGATCCTGAAGTCGAAGCCAGGGATGACAAGAGAGTCAAATGGGACCACGGACTTGCGACCAGTGTCTACCTCGACGAAATTGCACCGAAGCCGAAGAAACCTGCTGGTTCCGACGTCTCCAGAAAGGGTTGCCTGGCTCCTACTGCCAAGGTCAGATTTATTCCTTCCACCCCGCACGATGGACGTGTTACTGACTATCGTGCAGAGCTTACGTCTCGACACCCTGGGCAATGTGCTAAACGCTGGCGGCCCTTTACTGAACCTCGTGCGCGAGGATGTCGTCGTCAAGAAGTTTGTTTATGATGATGACGAAGATGCTCAATCTGAAGTACCCGAACCCGAACCCGAACCCGAACCCGAACCGACCGTTCCTTTGGAGATCAAGCCCAAGAGCAAGAGCAAGAAGAACAAACCCTAACATCACTTCGAGCGGCGGTATCTCACCCCTCTTTTGTTTATAGGCTCAGTATATACATAACTACTCCATCCAGCGGCGATTCCTCTCGTTATGTGGCCTCATACCTATACCGTCGATCTGTATTATGTACTTCGCTGTCTTGCTGTCGTCGCTGTTGTTTGTCTTACGGTGGGTCGTGAGGAGACTCATGTGAATACCTCATGTATTGCTACAGGATCTATACCGCTAGCTTACAATCTCGATCTTGGTGTATGTAATTGTGAGTGTGCTTTTTCACCAGCAGGTCTACTTACTTTCCACCCCGGTAAGCAATGTTCGGGGAGGCCTGATTGACGGGAAGCACGAAGACTTCCGCCAGGTTGACGTGCGGCGGCCTTGCGGCGGCCCATACGATCTCCTCTGCGATATCCTCCGCTGTCACTGTAGGGATATCCGTCAGTCTGCTTCCATGCGGCATGAGTTGAATCGATACTTACGAGGATGAAGGCCCTCGTAGACCTTGTCCGCTGCAGACTTGTCGCCACGGAAGCGGACGATAGAGAATTCGGTCTCAACCATGCCTGATTGATACATTAGAGAAAGTTGCAATCGCGCGCAGATCCCTGCTTACCCGGCTGGATCTCGGTGACGCGGATCGGAGTGTCAACGACCTCCTTCATGAGCGAGTTGGTGAAGGCTCTGACGGCGTGTTTCGTCGCACAGTAAATGCTGCCTCCCACGTATGCTTCTCGGCCTATGGGCTCGTTAGACGGATCGGTGCAAGAGCAATTTCGAGCCTCGGCTTACCAGCCACGGAACCGAGGTTGATGACATGACCAGACTTCTTCGCCTTAAACCCTAGAGCAGAGTCAGCAAGGTGGAAAGCGGCGGTTTGCGACATCCACTCACTCTTTAAGAAGAGCTGCGTAATAGCGATGAGACCGAAGACGTTCGTGGCGAACATCGCCTCGTAGTCCGAGGGCGCGATGTCTCCTACACGCTCAGTGCCGTACACAAATCCGGCGTTGTTCACTACCTCCAGGAGTTAGACTGGGATAAACACAAACAGCGTAGCGGTGTGCTCACCGAGGATGTCGACATCGTGCAAGTCCTGCGGGATTTTGTCGAAGAGAGACGCGACCTGCGCCTTGTCCGCGACGTCGAGCTGGACGGTCGCGAACTTGCCCCCTTGCTGGAGGCCCGACTCTTTGTGTGCAGAAGTACACGCCTCGGCGACCTTCGCGAGAGCATCTACGCGGCGCGCGCAGAGGATCACGTTCGATCCACCCTGTTCCACCAGCCTGGTCAGATATCTCTTCGTCTCGGATAGAGTAGCACAGGTTCTAACCTTTGCGAACAAGATGGCAGTCGCCTACGCTCATCCCAGGTCAATACCGCCGTACCAGCGCCGCACGGAACTCAATGACTGCTCACCGCGCCGATACCCGCGCTCGCGCCAGTAACGAGCACGGTTTTGCCGAGGAGACGAGAGGCGTTGAAGACGGACATTTTGCGCGACGATATGGCCTTCCCAAGGATCTGTCTATGTATCGCCAGAGCCCGCGGAAGGAAGGGGAGCCGTGCGATGACTGGGAAGTGCTATCGATCAGCCGGCGCGCGCATGTGCCCCTTTCTTGTGCGTATCCTCCTCACCGTGCATTATTCCGTCATCTATTCTAAGACTGTCGACACACCAGCGGTTCCTGACCCAGCGATACACGGAGGCGTTTCGCACGGAGTGGATAAACGGAGGGAAGGATGCTGGTGGGCGATAGTCATCAGGAAAGTGGCACCTTGCCTCAACGGCCTCAAACGGCCTCACCTGTCTAATTCGTACCTAATTTGTCTCATTGCCTCACAGATCTCTGACTTGGCTGGCTGTGATTTTGCATACTTACTGATTGACGATACAACTCACTGATCGACGACCCTCTCCTACGATATCGATACAAAGGATGCATTACAGTAATATCTATGGCGACACACTATTGCCACTGAGATACAATACCCTCGTTCCGGGCGCTGCTCAAAATCAGATCTGCGTTCGCCGCCGGTGTAGGCAGTTAGCTCATCGCGGGCATTCTGCACTTGGGCTCATTGTGCCTGTGCCTACCGCTCGTTCGTGAGTTGCTGCACCTTCACCCGCCGTGTCCGCCGTCTCGTAGGTGTGTTGTTTTCCACCAGAATGCCCATGCTCACCGTTATGCCGGCCCTTGCACTTCATATCCGTTTGCCTGGCGGGTCATGACCGTACGCGCAGGGGTGCCACGCTGCGCCGCGTCTTCAGCCGGTACGTGCGGGTGGTAAACGGGTACGGGTCAATCGTGGGGTACAGTGGGTCGTGGCGGGTCGGTCGAACAGATGACAGCAGGTTACTTAACCTGCTGTCAAGTGCCAGGGCGGGCGAGTCGGCAAGCAGGTATGTGGGCAAGCAGGTGAGCAAGCGCACGAGCATGCGGGAAACCGAGAAAGTGGGCAAACGGGTAGGTTCTTGGTCGAGCAGGCCGGTCGGAGTGGGTGTATGGGCACTGGCAAACAGGAGAGCGAGGACATACCTTCGAGCGTTCATGCTTGGCCTTGTAGCCCTCACCGCGCCCTTCGTTCTGCTCCTACTCAGTCCAACCCTTATCTGCGTCGGGGAAACGCGAGCGGTATCTTGACAGATCACCGCATGTTGGCTTGAGGATGTTGCGGGGCAAGGCGGTCGCGTCGTGCGGGGAGGTCGTTATGGTGCGCGTACGCGGCTGGCGGATGCGCGTGATGCGCACATCGTCGGTCGCGCGGGCCATTCACCTCATTGACTGTATGGGTGGTTGCAAAGGGTCCCGGTGACTGACGAGGCAGAGAGCGACGTTGGCCGGCCATAAGCAGACAGCGCTGTTGCCCGGAGACCGTTGAATGTCTGCCCTGAACTACATTACAACTCCGACCTGGCTCCGACCGCCGGCGCTCCGAGTCAGCGCGCACGCGCGGCCTTGCTTCGCTGGCACTTACCCTCACATCACGCAGTCGCGGGCGCCTCGTCTCCCAACATTGACGTGCAAGACAACCCACAAGCACATCAAACGTAAGGTTCGTGTACACAAGCGTGCAGCAAGCTGATGGCTGGTACCAGGGAGGGCACGTCAATGAGTGAGGGCTCGGGCGGGCGAGCGAGCAGCGGGTGCGGGTACAGCCCTTGGGCATCCACCGCCTCTACGAAGAACACAACGGCAAGCATATGCGTGGTGCGCACGCCTTGTTCCCGTGACGTCAGACGTGAGTAGGTGGTGCCCCACACGTCCCGCGTCTGGTTAGCGGCAACTTATTATGTGAGTTTCGTTTCGTGATTCGTTATCCTGTATATGCATCTGACCGGGAGCTTTGCGTGAAGTACAGAGCGTGGGGGGTTCCAACACTATATGGCGAAAGAGTGCATATGATTTTGTATATGGTCTGTTCATGGCCCCGCTTTCGTCCTGATTCTGACTCAGTGTGTAGAGGCCTGTTCATCAACAAGTGCATGTTTCTCAATTTCGATGCATCGTGCTCGTTGGGCTGGGTGGTGAGTGAGTTCAATAGGTTGGGCTTGAGGTGAAAATTATTGACGTGTTCGGTGTGTACTATAGCGCGACGATCTGGCGCTAGTACAAGAACTGGCCCGCAAACAAGGACGAGGTTGTTGCGGTGACTGGTGTGTGGCCCCAATGTGTTCTAGACGTGTCGGAGACGCTGATCAGCATTGCACAGTTGATACTCATGACGATTGAGCAGCAGCGGACAGCATGTGGAGATGACAGGGCATGAGTGCGCATCGGGCGACCTCATGGGATGTGGATGCCCTCACGGAGCTGGCAAATAGGGTCGCTGACCGCATCTCGGAGTGGTACCGAGCGAGGAATTAGGACTGCTGTTGTAGGATACAGCTCAATTGAATATATTTGTTGTTTCGTTGCACTGTCTTCCGGCTCACCTAAGTACCTCATGTGTCTATGTGCCCTATGAGCCTCATTGCCTCATCACGTCTCAGATGAGAGATAATCTACTCAAATGAGACTTGAATGAGGCAGCCCGTCTCAAACTGTCTAATTGCCTCATTGCCTCAATGAGGCAAAATAGGCAGGTGGTGCACATTCCTGATGTATGGACGATCGCGAGAGCGACTTGGACGCGGCGCGCTGGTCTCGCTTAGTGCACTGGCTGCAGAGCAGCCATGGAATGGACACAAGGGAACTCGCTGTCGAGGCTAGAAGCGTGGAAGGTGCGTGCATCCGACATCGTGCTGGACGTGGTCAGCAGATGTATAGTTCGGTGTAGGTGCGGGACGAGGTCTCTTCGCGACCAAGCCATGCCCGGTATGCGAGCGGTCTCAAGCGATGTATGTCGGCAGACTTCCTGACGTATCCGCACGCTGCAGCCCTCTACTACCTTGTTCACAATACCGAAGAACGCGTTGATCAATCTCAATACGCTCAAATCGCGGTACCCACAAACCCCAGAGACGCGACTCAATGCCGTCCAAATCATTTCTCTGCACCTTCTGCTGCATAGGCCCGTCCAAGAAGAAGACTCCCTCGATCCAGCGTTTGGACCCTATATCTCTACGCTTCATCGGAACTTCACCAGCCACCCACTCACCTGGCTCGTGGAGCGACGTCGCAAAGGTAGGCAGATCACCGAGGAGTTGATCCTCAAGAACCTTCCTCCTAGCGTGACCGATGCCCTGCATACGTTGTACGCTCGCTTCCTCGAGGACTATCAAGTCATTTGCCTCTACCTCGTAAGTCGTCCGAATGGGTGCCTGTCCAAGTTTGCTGACTATCGGAGTGCTTGCAGAATAAACATCGTTCAGTGCTGGAAACTTCGAGCCGCCCGAAGTCACAATTGCCCATGCCGTACGGAACATCTACGTCCACAACGCTTGTAGGCGATTATTGCTGGGCTTGGCTCAATGGTTGTCCTTTCATCAGCTCAATGCACGGTTGATGGGTACTGATTCCGCATCCTCAGTGAACACTCGGTCTATCTACTACCCAATCAAAGATGCAGACCCTGAAAGGGACTGCTTGACGTTGTGCCCCATCCTTGACTTTGCCAACCACAACGAGACGACGTCGCAAATTACGCCGATTATCCAGTCAGCACCACGGACCCCAGGTTCGCGGACATCCTCTGGAAACTTCACATTCAATTCTTGCTCAGACAATGCCATTGAAGAGGGCCAACAACTGTTCCTGCGATACGGCGGACATTCGAACAAAACGCTGTTCGTGGACTATGGCTTTGTAAATCGCTTCTCGCCGGGGTCAATAGCAAGTGGCCACTTCCGCGGAGAGGTGGATGTACAAGACCTTGTCGAAGAACTGATCCTGGCAGTCAAACCCGCGCGGAGTAGCTTTGGGGGTTCTTGCAAGGGTAGCAACGTGAGCGACCGGCTGACGAGCACATTGCAAGAGGAGGGATACTGGGGGTACTATCACTGTGTATATACACGTAGGCTATCACTAATTATGATTCATTATTCAACGCAGCGAATGGACGTTAGATTCGTCGCCTCCACCGGCACACCCGTCCTACAGGCTCATCACAGCCCTGCGACTGATCCAACTCGTATCTACTTCCGACGCGGGGGCAGACTTCCCGTCCGATGCTGTCATACAGCCTTGGAGAGACGTGCTGAACGGCCGAAGAGAGGTTATATCCGAGGAGAACGAGGAAGGCTGGAGGGACGCATTGCTGAGGATCTGTGAAAGCATCAGTCTTCGCGCACGGACGGGATTAGAGGCATCCACGCAAGACTTGGCAGGGACAGACGGTTGGGTGGCTTGGATGCGGGAAAACGTTTTGTGTCTCTGGCGTGAAGAGCTAGAAGTGGCGGATGCCGTCGCGCACAGCTTGCGCGCAGGAGAAGTATTCTGACAGTGCCACTGCCACAGTACTGACCAGGTACTGACACGCGGCGCTGTGCTGCATTGCCTGTGCATGCAAGTTATGTACACCACGGTAGATTGGCTTGACGGCCTCGTGGCTGCGGAATAGAGCAAGTGCATATGTCATGCAAACGTAAAAATAGCAGCAGAGCAAGGGTACAGTATCTTTGTCGCCAGAACACCGTCCCAGTCCCCTCTCGAAGGAACCTTTGTCGAGGTCCGTCTACTAGGGAAATGACAGTGTGCGAAAGGCATAGCCCTTCATGCCTACGTCGAGAGCCATGCATGCGTGCAGTGCGGTATACATAAACGGTCTATGGCCCGCGGTTGTAGTAACTGGCATCAGCGCTGGCCGCACTGGCACTGATTTGTTACTCTGCGGTCGTATACACAAGTCAAGTGCGCAGCAGCAGCTCGAGTCTAGAGTGAGCTGAAGGACAGCGAGAAGAGGGCAGCTGCGTACGGGGCAATGCGCTGTATGAGACGATTGGTGCCCTTCGCGAGCAGGAGTGGGCTGGCGGAGGGCGGGCTGACAAGTGACGGTGACAGGGCGCAGGTACCGCACCTTCGCGGCCGGGCGGCACATACAGCGCTTACATAATCCAATGCAGGTTGTTTCGACGACCTGAGCGCGCTCGGCGGTGGGTGGCTCGGGCTTCTTGCACCGCTCTGCCACAGTCCCATCCCTCTACGCCCTACAAAGTCACGCCTTTACGACCAGCACCGCTTGCGCATCTCAGCCAACCACTCTCAGTATCACGACGCGGACTCTGTCCGCCCGACCATCCTTGATCTTCGTTCTGCGAACTAGTACTGCGCCGATCATGGCAGTCGAACCACTGTTGAGTACGAGAGCGCAAAAGGCGTTCGTAGCCATTAGTGCGTACTCTATTATGGCTGCTGACTGTGGGATCTGAGTATTCACGGCGCCCGAATCACAGTTGCCGTTCGTGCGTAGAGCCATGTGCGAGTCTGCGCGAAGTTTAACAGGGGTCTTTGCAGAGGCAATCGTGGTGCTTGTCATGATCTCTATCACCTTCAGATCCGTGCGTTGCGTCCCATCTCTGCTTGACCACCACGACTTATCAGGATACTTTGTTCCAGGTCGCGGTGGCGGACGATATTACCTTCAATACGCCCCGATACAAGGTGCGCTTCCAAACCACCAATATTCCGCGACCGCGGCTGAAAATGATCGGCAGACGCTGCCATGTTACCTTGCAATATTCATTCTGGCAGAGTACGTGGTATATTTGAAGGCCACCCTGGGTTGACTGACCGATTTTCAGAGTCTTCGAGATGCTGATGGCGTTCGATGCACTGAGGCTACGTAATGTCATCCAACTCATCGGTATCCTTTGTAAGTCGTGCATCGCTGGAAAGGGCACGTCCCTGAACTCCTTCGGTTTCTACAAGGCTTTCAGGCAGCTATGCTTGTCTTCGCCTCCATCCAGATCCATGAGACCCGGGCAGCGCTGGCTACGCACCTGGATCTCTGGCACAAGGTCGAGCCGTTCCTCATCGTATCGCCCATAATGATTGGCCTATCCTGGTTTGCGCTCATGTGGTTCGTAAGGGAGCTATACCATGAATTCGGGTATGTCGCCGCACCACATCCGCATCAGTGGCGTGAGTTCATGTCCTCCGTAGCTGGGCGATCTTCCATGTCGTCGGTGCAAACCCTGCGATGAAGACAATGTATCAGTACTACCAGATAATGATCTGCCTCCTGAAGCTGGACTTCTTCGTCTTCATAGGCGTTACAATGCAGGTCAGCTACAAGTGCAATTTGATACCTGATTGCCACTGAGATTCTCTGCTCCAGCTTCTCATTGTCGTGCTCGAAGACGACACTGCGGAGTTCGGTCTCACTGTCGCAGCCATCCCTATAACGATGATCCTGCTCATCATGGCTGGTTACGCTGTCCAACGCGAAATCAAGTCGTGAGTCTATCTCACAAATCGACGCCGACGTCAGCTGGCTTATCATGCATGCTATCAGGTTGATGACCATCTCACTGGTTCTAATGCTAGCAGCTCAAGTCTATTGTACGTGTACCCTCCACAGTTAGTCGACAACTGATCTCATGCAAAGAAAAATTTCTAGTCAGTGAGTAGCCGTCTCGTACTGAATGAAGTTTAGTAGCTGACACCCATCGTATCAGTTTACAAGCTTTACCGCTTCTATGACCCTGCATCGGAACAAACGTATCTGTCAACGCGCGCAACCCTGACAACATTCAGTATGTCGTCTCCCCATCCATCATTCAGTCATATTCACAGTCATTTGCCAGCCATCGTCGCATCGATACTGCTCTTCGCGACATTCGGCATCGGCTGCAAGTGCTTCCACGACTTCGACAGGGGTTTGATGAGCAGCAAAATGCACGGTCAGTACTACAAGCCTATCGCGACACAACTAAAAGAAACTCTACTCGGTAATTAACATCCTATTTACCTCTCAGGGGTGACGTGGGGGAGCAAATACTTACCCTCTATTTTCCACGAACGCCCAGGCGAACGCTTCATGGCCGACCCAAAGAGCTCGTATACGTCAGGGGGCCCGCTCGACTCCAGACGGCTGTCGATAGAGTGATCGGCTCTCCGATGGGAGTGGGTGTGCGCGGGACGAAGGAAGGAGTGTACGACCGTCTGTTACTTTCGATCTTCGATGGGGTGTTCCCCGCTGATACGGTGTTGGGCTGTTGGATGGACTCATGCGGATCTCCTACGATGCATTGTTATGTTGTGCGATGACGAACTCGCTCATGATTCTACCTATTTTATTAGATCTACGCCGATGTACCATACCAGTAGTTACTCAATCGGACTGTACCGCTTTGTTAGGGCCAATGTCTCGCGATTGCTTGCAATCTATCGCCGTGCCTAACCTCTTACCTGCTACCCTGTCCGTTGCCAGAAGCCATCGCGGTGACCACGCGCTGCAGGTAGATATAAGCCAATGATACTAGGGTACTCCGGAGATGTTGAACATACTGGTCACTCGCCGGACGCGCACCAAGCTCTCAAGTCGAAAGACGTCCTCGACCTGGGTTTCCCAGTCGACGCGGGCTTGCTTTTGGCGGACAACTTTGTACTAGGAGGAACAGGTCCTCCTTTAGTCTCCGGCTTGATGCTACCCCTCGCAGTCTCGCTTGTTTTGCCGTCCGCGAACAGCGATTCAGAGATGGTCATTTGCTTATTCGACTTGGGTGTTGGTCGAACAGACTGCTCGCGCTTTCTTGATTTGCTTCCAGAGGGCGGTGCAGGTGGAGGGGGGATGCGCAGCTGTGAGATTGGCTTGAGTGCCTTCGCTTTCGGGGGCGAAGCAGCATCCGGATCCGCGGTCGGCGGTGTTTCCTCAACACGAGGATGCGGCCTAACTCTCGGACTGAGCACTGCTATTAGACGAGTGTTTGAGACCGTGGTGCATTAGGAGTCGACGGCTAGACGTACCGATATCTTTCTGGCTCCCTGGGCATGCCTTCGTCGTCTTCACGGCACTCTGCGCTGTCCTCGCAAATGGATTTCGTGAGACCAGACGCTCCGTCTCGGGCGCAGCCTCTGAACGCGTTCTTGAATCGGGGGTCAACGCTTCCTCTCGCTGTTTCAGACTTGCTTGCAGGGCCGTCATGCTCGCCTTGACGTCTGCACGGTCGCAGACGCCCTCTGGCACGGACAGGGGGTCCTCCAGCGGCACATCGAGCTTCACTTTCTTTCGAGTGTAACCGAAGCAGGGTGTCTGCGAGTATCCGGCGGACGCAGGCAGCAAGCTCCAGTCCGGTGGGAAGCGAAAGAGGATGAACCGTGTGTCTGTGGATCCGGGAGCAGAGGAGGCACGTTTGCGTGCATGACCGGACGTGCTGTACCTGTATCTGCTGATCGGGGATTCTAGCAGTCTGTTGGCAGCTCCAAGCGACAACAATGACACAGTGCGAGGTGGGAGGAAAACATCCCGGCGGTTACCGAGCGAGCTCGAGGGTCCTTGATCCCGGGCCCGACTCGATGCAGGGGCCGGCTTCTCGTGCTCTAGGCGGTGAATCCTGAGTTTGTACGGCCGTGCATGTGCGAATAGAGACTGTTTCCGGCTTTGTGCGAGCGCGTCCAGGGTATCAAGGGCATCCAGGAGTGGAGTAGGGTGGAAAAGCCCATCATGGGCACATGGTCTAAAAGAGTCGACTATTTGTGGTCTGCAAGGAGTCCCTCTGATGTCTAGTGGCCGTCAGCTTGCCATGATCCCAACCATCGAGCGACTTTGTCACTCACCGACCACGGAGAGCAGTGGAAACATGGGGAGACAGTTGAAAATATCGTCATCTATGTTCATACAATTGCGCAAGCTGAGGATGCGCAAGCCCCATGGCCCACGTCTATATGGACCAGAAGGTGTGTTCATGGTGTCCTCATCCTGACATATTGTCAAAGTCTTTGCAAGGGTCTTTACACCCCAGGCACCAAGTGCGGTACCACTGGCATCAAAAGCACAGAGGTTATGCAAGTCCTTGAGCAATAGAACATTCTGGTCTGTAAGCTCTCGGCAGCCAGGAAGCTCAAGGATGGTCACGAGTGCGAAGTCAGAAGTGGGCGGGATGCGTTGCAGTAAAGGAAGGTGGGCATCAGCAAGGGGGACTGTGTACAAGCGCAACACTGCAGGGAGGTCGTTGTAGAGTTGGATGAGCAGCGCCCAGAGGCGTGGATCGACTATGGCCAGGTCAAGTGGTTGGTCTGTTCGGTACGAGGGAATGAGCTCGCGGAGAATGTCGTATGCTTCCGGAGTCTCCGGAGGGCTATAGGTGAGGCGCAGTGAGCCCAGAGCGTGGATTTGGTCCGGATAGTCGAGGAGAGCCCGGATGCAAAAGTAAGTAAGCGATGGCACATGATTCGGGGGTTCGCGTGTCTCAGCTGCGAGCTGGTAAGGCGCGGATGTTCGTGGTGCTTGTGGCAGCGTAGTTTTCAAGATGGTGGTGCCCGCGTCGTCAGAGGTGCGCGTTTGGCGTGGCCGCCACAGTCGGATGGGCTTACTCATCAGCTCCCGGTGTGCATGAGGTTTGAAAGAGAGTGACTGAGAGCAAAGCCGGGCATTCCACGGACACCGTTACTGTAAGGTTGGCCTCATTCAGATCCATCCAAGGTGACGCAGTGTGACTCGGCGTTACTCCGAGGAGTTATCCAGTGACACCCAGAGCGCCCGCCGGCGCTCTGCCTTGAGCGGGAGGAGGCTTGATCGTATGTATACGCCAGAACGTCAAGAGAGTGTACTGACATCGCCCGAGGCTATGTGATTGTAATTAGGTACGACCAGGACACATTGTACTGTTATATATTATGGAGCTTGTAACTATTAGAGCAGTAGGGAATGTTTCCGTGATTCAACCTGAGTATTTGTGTCAGCTGCAAGAAGCTCGTTCATTATCGTGTTTGGTAGGGTGCGATGGCTATGATACTTCTTCGATGCCCATGCGGCTTGTGCGCCGTTAAAGCCCTTGTGGTACGCGTCCATACAGCGGCGGGAGCGCGTGGTATATCTGGCATCGGAGATCAGCTTCTGATCATGTCGTGCACAGACTCACCGCCGCATGGCCACCAACGGAACACTTTCGAGCGCGTTCAAGACGTTTTTTCGAAGGTCTTCTTCCTTGGACGATGGGGGATTCAGCCGGTAAGTTCGCTTTGAGTGTCCCCAGCACTGCTCTATGAAATTGAGCTCGCAGTGAAATTTGGGAAGGAAGAGAACATCGACGCCGCGAGCTCTGCAGGGGGCCGTCTCGACTATTAGGCTTGGGACTGCCTTACATAAAATCCGGTTCCTCGAAGAGCATACGACGACAGTAGCAATCCCTCGTTCCAGGCACACATTTAAACCCTTTGCACACGGCGCACTTCTTTGACATATTCGTGTAGCCTCGCTCTTCAAGGATCTGTGCCATCATCAGCCTACTCATTGTGCCAGTCAGTCACTATATGCCAGTGACTGACAGATATTCGTGCACTCACATTCTCTTCGGCTCATACTCTGACTGATTCCTCTCCTTCTTAGGCTTCTTCCTCACAATGCCAAGGTTTGCAAATCGCCAGGAGTTCTTGCGTTTGGGCATTAGGCAGGAGAGTGCGATCGTAGCAACAGGTCTCTACTGGTACGCGGTGGGCGCTTAGCCACCGGATATGTTTCGGAGTACAGAAATTCATACTACATTGCCAATTCGCCGCGCGTGCAGATTCTGCGAACTATTCCAACACCAGAGACATCAAATAAAGATTAAATCGTTACTCTTTTCATGGTACAGTGCGAGTAAGAGATGTAGTACGATATTTCGACTTAATGTCACACTTTGTAACGCTCGGCCATTCCCGTTGGATGGATCTGAGCGAGGCCAACCTTAGTCAGTTCTAGCGGACGACCGACGCGGCGCGTTGCAACCTTGTGTTCACCTTCTCACGGTGCGGCGACACGGTCATGTGACCGCGATACTGATACCGCCCGTCCCGCTCGTATCCCGAAAGACACCACGACTCGAAGGTCGTAACCTTGCTGTAACCGGGATACGCACCGGACGACCGTTCACTCACGCAAAGAGCAAGACAGTAAAAGGAGAGTGCTCGTGCCAGGTAAACTTGGACAGCTCAATAGTCAGTTGGACAAAATGAGGCCGCACTCTCTTCCATACGCCGTCATGCGTCAACACGGACACTGCTGCGCCGGGACCAGGATATGCTGTCAGCGCAGTAGCGACAGCGCTTCAGCCGTGTATCGGCAGAAGGTTCACAGCCAGACGTATCATGCAATGCGCGTATACCGGGGGACGTGGGCGTACGACCCCTTCTATACTTGGTGTAGACATACACTCCCGGTTCCCGACAGCATTGGTGGTACCACAAGTTCGTCAGCGGTAGTACACGACAGGACTTGGGGATTGCCAGTTCCAGCGCCATCAAACATATCGACCGCAGTTCGGAAGCGAAGGCGTTAGTTCGAGTTTGGAGAGTTTCGGGAGACAGCAGGGCGCATTTCGCAGCGCAATTGCCATGTCTAGATGTGTCGGTGGAGGAACTGAGGCAAAGACGGAGCCTTGCGGAGGAGACGAGCGGCATCACGAGAAGAGGGTGGAAGCGGTTAGCGAGCGCTTCCTCGGGCCTGCGCAACGAGTTCCCACGGGCGTGAAGGCAGTGAGCAAAAGAGAGCTGCGACGCCCGCCCCGCTTCCATATCACCGACAACGGCTGGCCCCCCAGTCCCCTCCGCGCAAGGCTCTCTGCTTCTCTCATCTACCACCAGTCTGTCGCTGGCCCTTCCACTCTTTAATCACCGTCCTTGTCTAGCACCTACCACCACGTCTAGTACTATTCGCCTTATCCATGGCCGCACCTCCAGGATATGGTCCTCCGAATCCCGGCAACCCCTTCACTGACCAGGGCTCGCCCTACGGAGCACCCTTGCGCCAATACCCCGGGGAGAATGACTTCGCGAGTCGCAATGCCAGCACTGTGCCCCTCACCAACCCTGCCTACTTTGATGCGCCGAATTGTGAGTTTCGAGATCTCAATCCAAGTCCCCTCTGTCCTGCGTCCTTTCATACCCAATGTCATGCTTCGAGAGTATGCTAACCTCACTGCGTGCTCAGCGGCCGCGGGTAGCGTCGAGTCCATGGACGGGTACGACCGTCCGTACAGTGATTCGATGAACTCTCGCTTCAGCACTGGCACTACGGACGGTCCCTACAACCCTTTCGCCGACGTGCCTGGCTCGGATGAGCCATATCCTGCGTGGACGGCTGAGCGCGATATCCCCATGTCTGCGGAGGAAATCGAGGATATCTTCCTTGACCTTGCCCAGAAGTTTGGTTTCCAGAGGGACTCCATGCGCAATATGGTGAGTAGTCTCGTGCTGCTCTTCTGGTCTCATAGCTGAACGCTCCGTTATGATCCCAGTATGACTTTTTGATGCAACTGTTGGACTCAAGGGCGTCGCGCATGTCTCCCAACCAAGCCCTCATCACGATTCACGCCGACTACATCGGCGGGCAACACGCCAATTACCGCAAATGGTACTTCGCGGCCCAGCTCAATCTCGACGATGCCGTCGGACAGTCGCAGAACCCTGGGTTGCAACGACTGCGAAGCGTCAAGGGGGGCAAGGTGCAAACGACCAGCACGAAGCACCTCGACAGCGCTCTCAATCGTTGGCGTAACGCTATGCACAACATGAGCCAGTATGACCGCCTGCGGCAAGTTGCTCTTTGGCTCTTGTGCTGGGCAGAGGCCGGGAATGTCCGCTTCACTCCGGAGTGTCTTGCGTTCCTCTTCAAGTGCGCCGACGACTACTACCGTAGCCCGGAGTGCCAGAATAGTGTGGACCCAGTCCCCGAAGGACTGTACCTCGAGACCGTGATCAAGCCCCTCTATCGCTTCATGCGGGATCAGGGCTACGAAGTCGTCGAGGGCAAGTTCGTACGGAGGGAGAAGGACCACCACGAGATCATTGGGTACGACGACATCAACCAGTTGTTCTGGTACCCGGAGGGTATTGCCAAGATCATCCTTCACGACAACGTACGTGCGTCTCGATCCTGCCAAGTTGTTGTGACTCACGCAATTCCTTCCACGTAGACGCGCTTAGTCGACATCCCACCAGCTCAGCGATTCATGAAGCTCGGCAAAGTGAACTGGAACCGCGTCTTCTTCAAGACCTTCTTCGAGAAGCGCTCCCTCGCTCACTTGCTCATCAACTTCAACCGCGTCTGGATCCTACACATCGCGCCCTACTGGTTCTTCACCGCGTTCAACTCGCCCAAGGTGTATACAGCGCCCAATAAGACCGACCCGTCCGCTGCCATGACGTGGTCCGCCACAGCTCTGGGTGGCGCCGTCGCGACTTTCATCATGATCTTCGCTACGCTTGCTGAGTTCTCCTTCACGCCGACGACCTGGAACAACGCCTCTCACTTGACGACCCGGCTCATCTTCCTCCTCGTAGTCCTCGCTCTTACCGGCGGTCCGACTGTGTACGTCGCGTTGGTCGACAACACCACGTCCAACATCCCGCTCTACGTCTCCATCGCGCAGTTCGGCGTGTCCGTGGTAGCTACAATCACATTCGGTATTCTCCCGTCCGGTCGTATGTTCGGTGACCGTGTTGCGGGCAAGTCGCGGAAGTACCTTGCGTCGCAGACCTTCACTGCCGCCTACCCGACCCTGACGTCCAACGCCCGCTTCGCGTCCGTGTTGATGTGGTCGCTTGTCTGGGGCTGCAAGTACGTTGAGTCGTACTTCTTCCTCACGTCCTCGTTCAGCCAGCCTATTGCCGTTATGGCGAACATGAGAGTGCAGAACTGCAGCGACAAGTTCTTCGGCACTGCGCTCTGCTCGAACCAGGTCAAGTTCGCATTGGCTGTCATGTATGTGATGGACCTAGTGCTCTTCTTCTTGGACACGTATCTGTGGTACATCATCTGGGTCGTCGTCTTCAGCGTGTGCCGTTCGTTCTACCTTGGCTTGTCTATCTGGACGCCCTGGAAGGAGGTGTATACGCGCATGCCCAAGCGGATTTACGCGAAGCTGTTGGCGACTGCGGAGATGGAGGTCAAGTACAAGCCCAAGGTGAGTATCGTGTGCACCGGTCATGTTATGCGTTATTGACCAGTGGGTTGTGTAGGTCCTCGTATCCCAGATTTGGAATGCGGTCATCATCTCCATGTACCGCGAGCACCTGTTGTCGATCAACCACGTGCAGAGGCTGCTTTACCACCAGGTCGATGGAGCGGATGGTCGCCGCGTCCTCCGCGCACCTCCGTTCTTCACTCACAACACCGGCCGAGAGAGCGACTTCTTCCCTGCTGGTGGCGAGGCACAGCGCCGTATCTCATTCTTCGCGGCTTCCCTCACGACGGCTTTCCCCGACCCATTGCCCGTTGAGTCCATGCCCACCTTCACGGTCCTGGTCCCGCACTACTCCGAGAAGATTCTCCTGAGCTTGCGAGAAATCATCAGGGAGGAGGATCAGAACACTCGCGTCACGCTGCTCGAGTACTTGAAGCAGCTCCACCCCATCGAGTGGGACAACTTCGTGAAGGACACCAAGATTCTTGCCGAGGAGAACTCGCAAACGAACACCGTCGACGGCCACGATCTCAACGAGAAGCACGACAATCGTACCGACGATCTTCCGTTCTACTGCATCGGTTTCAAGACGTCGGCGCCGGAATACACACTGCGGACCCGTATCTGGGCCTCGCTCCGCGCGCAGACGCTCTACCGGACTGTGTCTGGGATGATGAACTACTCGAAGGCCATCAAGCTGCTCTACCGTGTCGAGAACCCCCAGATCGTGCAACGATTCGTAGGCAATACCGATCGGCTCGAACGCGAGCTAGAGCGCATGTCGAGGCGCAAGTTCAAGTTCACCGTCTCAATGCAGCGGTACGCGAAGTTCAACAAGGAAGAGCTTGAGAACGCCGAGTTCTTGCTCCGTGCCTACCCGGAACTGCAGATTGCGTACTTGGACGAGGAACCTGGCAGCAATGGTAGCGAGGCGACGCTGTTCTCCGTCCTCATCGATGGTCACTCGGAGTTCGACGAGAAGACTGGTAAGAGGAAGCCCAAGTTCCGCGTCGAGCTGCCCGGTAACCCCATTCTGGGTGACGGGAAGTCGGATAACCAGAACCACGCCATCATCTTCTACCGTGGCGAGTACCTGCAGCTCATCGATGCCAACCAGGACAACTACCTGGAGGAGTGCGTCAAGATCCGGAACATCCTGGGCGAGTTCGAGGAGTACGGCATCTCCAGCCAGAGTCCGTATGCGCAGTGGGGTCAGAAGGAGTTCAAGAAGTCCCCGGTCGCTATCGTCGGTACTCGCGAGTACATCTTCTCGGAGAACATCGGTGTGCTTGGCGACATCGCCGCCGGAAAGGAGCAGACGTTCGGTACTATGACTCCTCGCTGTCTGGCGTGGATCGGCGGCAAGCTGCACTATGGACATCCCGATTTCCTCAACGCGACGTTCATGGCGACGCGTGGTGGTGTATCGAAGGCGCAGAAGGGCTTGCACCTGAACGAGGACATCTTTGCCGGTATGACTGCATTGGCTCGTGGCGGTCGTATCAAGCACGCGGAGTACTACCAGTGTGGTAAAGGACGTGATCTCGGTTTCGGTACCATCCTGAACTTCCAGACGAAGCTGGGCACGGGTATGGGTGAGCAGATGCTCAGTCGCGAGTACTATTACCTCGGCACCCAGCTACCTCTCGACCGATTCTTGACGTTCTATTATGGGCATCCTGGCTTCCACATCAACAACATCCTCGTCATCCTCTCCGTCCAGGTCTTCATGATCACGCGTGAGTGTCGTGTACAATATCGCTTACCGGTATACTGACGTGCTGTCTAGTGTTGTACCTGGGAACACTGAACAAGGAGCTCTCCATCTGCACCACAGACGCGTCTGGGAACGTCACCGTCGGTCAGGACGGCTGCTACAACCTTAGCCCAGTCTTCGACTGGGTCAAGCGGTGCATCGTGTCTATCTTTTTGGTGTTCTTTGTCGCATTCTTGCCGTTGTTCCTGCAAGGTGTGTCCCCATCACTCGGTCTGGTACTCGCGTGCTAAATACTGGTTTTAGAATTGCTCGAGCGAGGCACTGGCAAGGCGTTGGTTCGACTTGGCAAGCAGTTCCTGTCACTCTCCCCTATCTTCGAAGTTTTCTCGACTCGGATCTATTCGCAGTCCATCGTCAGCAACTTGACATTCGGTGGTGCTCGCTATATCGCGACTGGACGAGGTTTTGCGACAACCCGTATCTCATTCACCATTCTATACTCCCGCTTCGCCGGTCCGAGCATTTACATGGGTATGCGCAACGTCCTGTTGCTCACGTATGCGACTATGTCCCTTTGGACGCCCTATCTCATCTACTTCTGGTTCTCGGTCGTGTCTCTCTGCATCGCGCCCTTCGTCTTCAATCCCCATCAGTTCAACTTCCCCGACTTCATCATTGACTATCGCGAGTTCCTTCGTTGGATGTCCCGCGGCAACTCGCGCACGAAGGCGAGCAGCTGGTACGGTTACTGCCGTCTGTCGCGTACCATGATTACCGGTTACAAGAAGAAGAAACTCGGCCACCCCTCGGAGAAGCTCTCTGGCGATGTTCCTCGTGCCAGGTGGCGGGCGGTGCTGCTCTCTGAGATCGTCTGGCCCATCTTTATGGCAGCCCTCTTCATCGTCGCCTACATGTTCGTCAAGTCCTTCCCAACCAAAGGCAAGCAGAACCCCAGCCCTCTGATTCGTATTGCCGTCATCTCGGTCGGACCTGTCGTCTGGAATGCGGCTATGCTCTTGTCGTTGTTCTTTGTATCACTGTTCCTGGGACCGATGATGTCGGGCTGGGCAAGGTTTGCGTCCTTCATGGCAGCATTGGCGCACTTCCTGTCTCTGATCGGGCTTATCGCGTTCTTCGAGTTCTTCGTAAGTCGACATTTCGCATCGAGCTTGCATATGCACTAACAGCGCATCTTAGTGGTTCTTGGAGCTTTGGGATGCCTCGCACGCGATTCTCGGTGTCATCTCCATCGTCGCAGTTCAGCGCGCGATCCAGAAGATCCTCATCTCGGTGTTCCTCTCGCGTGAGTACAAGCACGACGAGACTAACCGTGCATGGTGGTCTGGGAAGTGGTACGGCCGTGGTCTCGGAAATTCCGCCCTGTCGCAGCCTGCGCGTGAGTTCGTCGTCAAGATCGTGGAGATGTCGCTTTGGAGTTCCGACTTCTTGATGGCGCACATCTTGCTCATCGTCCTGACGCCGCCTACGCTCATCCCCTTCGTCGACATGGTGCATTCGACCATGATGCGTATGTCTTTTCTCAACGTTTATGTGACATATGAGACTGATAAAGTCCCATAGTTTGGCTGCGTCCCTCGAAGCAGATTCGCCCTCCTCTCTTCTCTACGAAGCAGAAGCGGCAGCGCCGTTGGATTGTACGTCTCGACAATTATTCTCGCCGTCATGGTGTACTGACAAGTTTCACTCTAGGTGGTCAAGTACACGGTCATGTACCTGGTTGTAGTGGCAGGTCTCGCTGCGCTCGTTGTGCTTCGTACGTCTTTCTCTGTTGCCAATCACATTGCCTCCAAGCTGACCTCGCCTACAGCTGTGCTTTTCCGGGATCGCATCACGTGGAACTGTACCGTATGTCAGAACATCTAATGTCCCTCGCCCTCTTTGGTCTCGGTGATACTAGGACGATTCCGCATTACGGCGGAACCTTCGACAGACATTCATTGTATATCCATATACTCACCCTTGGCAATCTGTGTAATACCAATAGAGACTTATTTCATTGCATGCATCGTATCGCAGTCATGTTGTTCATCATCCATACGTCTGGAACAAGGGCCTCAACCAAGTACTACGACATGAGAACAGTCATCGAAATTGGACGATCGCGTATGCTCTGGCGTACGTTGCTGTCGTTGCGCAAGACCGTCGCGTTCGCGAGTGGAGCTTTTGTACTGTCCAGAGATCGACGCTATTGGCAGTTGTGAGACAGTCCTGACATGCAACGTAAGTGTAACATGCCTTGATCGCTTGAGTCGTCTTGCGCATTTCTTGTAACACACAAGAGTCGCGCCTGCGGAACTCGTTTTCCTTCCCTTTCACCTTCTGATTCTCTTCCCGTTCTTTGCAGCGGGTAAAATCTGCACGCAGTCTTTCGATGATGAGCTCCAGTTGCAGGACGATCGTCTCCGTGGAGCCCCTGGCGAAGGCATGCATTGCCGCCTTCAGTTCGCAGTTTTCCTTCTCGAGATCCTCGATCTTGCGGATGTTCGCGACGGCTAGCTCTTGCGAGTCTTGCATTGTGCGGACCTTCTCTTGCCACGCTTTTGCGTCAGTGGTCCGCCGGGTGGCCTCGCGTTCCGCTTTGGCTTTGGCTTGGGTCAGGAAAGCGTTCTCGTTCTGCAGCACAATGATGCGGTCCTCTGCGCGCCGCGCTCGTGCCTGCACCTCGTGCCGGAGCTCGCGCTCGGTGTCGAGTGCGGCAGTGGACGCATCCACGCAGTCGTTCATGCGCCGCGAGGACGAGCGGACTAGTACTTGCAGAGATACGACTTGCGCGCGTAGGGATTCCTTCTCCGCCGTCAGGGTCTGCATCTCTAGGCGGAGAGTGCCTTCCGCTGCACAGCGAGCGTTGCGTTCTTTCTCCATCTTCAACACTTGAGACGCGAGCTCCTCGACACGCTGAGCAAGCCCGACAACGGCAGTCCCTTGAGCGTTCGTTCTCGGCTCATCGACATCGGATGGGATTGGGGCCAACGGTGTCGCGAGATCGAAAGCCAGCAGGGGAGCACCATGGCAAGCAGCATCTAGACTAAGGGTCTTCTTCTTGTGAAGTAGTGGGAACGGTCGTGCGGGGCGCGAGTACCAGCCAAAGTCCCTAGATTCGCCACTTCGGAGAGGACTGAAGGTCGAGTGAGGCGACAACGAAGGCGGCAGCCTCACGGACTGGGACCGTTTGATGCCGGCTGTGGCTGTCTTCTTCAGCCTGTCTAGTGTTAGGCGCGACCTAGACTCGGGCGTGGTGACTGGGGCGGGGAGGAAGGACATGCCCGTGGACCAAGAAAAGAAAAGCAGAGCACAAGGAAAGCAGCAAGCCAGAGCTCAAGATTGTGCGTACCGATGACCTGGGACGGATGGAGACGTCTGCCACCGCTGGTAGCTGACGGACGGTGGGTCGGTGCAGGTGCCAGCCTCCTCCCGATCTTCAGTGCACGATACGGCTGGTAAGCACCATGTACAAATCCAGAGATAGCGCTATCTATATGTACGCTCGCATTCGTGGGCAGTCAAGACGCGTCAATCCGCACAGCGCAGTAAAGAGGGAAGTTCGTACCATACCGATCCCGCAGGGCTATGTTACAGGGGAGGTCTGAAGCCCCCGGCCGCGCTGAACGAAGCTCACAGAACCAGCTCTTTAGTAGCCTGGTAATTGGGCTTGCTAGGGCTGATGAGTGAAACACCGCGCCGCGAGAGTGGGAAGGCAGTAGCAGCCTACTAGCAGGTGTGATAGGAGGAGGAGGAGGAGGAGGAGGAGGAGGAGGAGAAGCGTAGGCACGACCGTGGCCGAGGGGAGGCCGAAGCATGATCGCGCCTCCCGACGACGCGCGCCTTCGAGCGTTCCAACCGAGTTCATTGTACGGCTATCCGGTTGCCCTCCCACCTTTCCCTCCTCTTCGTCGGCCTCCAGCACTCGGAGGACCGGCGGTATCTGCCCCCATGGATTACTTCTCCAAGTTTCTTCGTTCGACGACCCAGCCAAGTCCCAAAGTCGAGGTTCGGTTGTTCTCGGTTGACGCGATACGCGGTGCTGAACACCCACCAGGTCGATCATGCGCAGGAATTCCATAAGTCATGGGTGCTCATCAAGGTTGTTCATCCATGAATCTGCGAGATAATACAAGAGACTCACAGCGCGGCAGAATACGTTGATACATCCCGACGAGCGGCAGCTCTCGCGAGGAATCGAATCGACCGACGTTCCCGCTCATCTACAGTCTATGGTCGATTCCCTGGTATGGGAGTCGACACGGACCGAGGAGGGGTATGTCATTGAGCTGCTTGCTTGGTACCATGGAGCTCACCCACTCCAGAGCCACGGGTGCTTGCCTAGAGTACTTGCTCAAGAATGGTAAGTCCTACTCAGATTATGCCACCTTCAATCCATGTTGATATGTTATAGACGTATTGGGGACCCTTGTCAAGCTCAGCGAATCTGACCGTCCTTTCGGCACGCAAGCAGAGGTTCTAAGAGCGGTCCAGAACATGGTCGTTCTCCTAGACGAGCAGTTCCTCGTGCACTCGGCAGTTCACAAAGCCGTACTCAGACTGCTCAGAAACTGTGTTGGCGACGACATTCAGGAACAACTCGATGGGCGTAACAAGGTTATGGGTGCCGCTGGTAATGCCGTCCGTGGCCAGCCATCCGAGTATGAGGAAGACCGTGCGTGCACCACACATTGGCCGTGGCTCATGCTCACATTCCGCATACAGTGGTTAACCTATTATGCATCCTGTGTAGCAGGATCCGAACATATCGAGAGCTGCTCATGATCTTCTTCCACGACAAGCACTGGTATCATCCAGAGCCTCTTTTTGCAGTGGAAGAGGAAGACGAGGATGAAGAGGATGAAGACGCGGAGACCTTGGCAGACCAGGACGCCCCAGAGCCAGCGAGTGAACAGGCCGCAGATGCGTCAAGAACACCGCGCCCCGGCTCTCCATCGCCTTCACAAGAGACAGCAAGCTCCGCGCCCGCATCTTCAGTGACAAAGAAGCCTGAGTATGAGTTCTTGCTCTTCAACTACCTGCTCCGCTTCGTGCACCGGGAAGGCCGTATCGGGGACTTCGCGCGCGCTGGCCTGCTGTTTCTTATGGACGTCGCCATGTCTCCGACCGGTCCCCATAACCGGTCCGCGGGAGACGGTATACAGCTGTCATCCTCGACCTCATCATTAGCAGACTCGCAGTCAGATCCTGCTACCGATGCAGGCCTCGCGCTGGCGGAGTACATCATTGACGGGGACTTCTCTGAAGTGCTGGCGGCCGGTGTCTCTGCAGTGTATTCCCTCCTCCCTTCGAAACTTGAGGTTCGGCCTCCTGCACCTGCGGAGAACGTTTCAGGAACTGCCATGGTTTTGGGAAGCTCAGCCGCTGAGCTCTCGGCCGAGGAGAAGGAGAAGCAGGAGGAGATTCGCGAGAAGAGCCGCGCGATGGGCGTAGAGGATGCGTCCAGTGTGGAATTCAAGTCGCGTCTCGACCACTTCCTCAAGCTCCTCGAGTTTCTGCAGGACGTCCTCCGTCGAAACATCATTCGCGAGACCAGCGACGATAGCCTCGACCCGTCCGCGCTTGTCGGCTCCGCAATCGTGCAGTCCATCCTGGACGCCATACGGAGGGTCTTCCTCGAGAACGTGCTATACCCTTCAATCCTGGAGTGCTCAGACGCGGACGGCAGCGCCGTCGCCGTCATGTCCTACATCGACATCATGATCCGCACGCTCCAGAACGGGCAGCTCGCCGACCTTCTGGTCGACTTCCTCATGAGCGAGGACAACACCGAGCTCGCGCGAAGCCGCATTAGGCATCAGCACCAAAACACCCTCACCCTCAACGGCAATATGCCGCCTGTCACGCGTGCACCGGCAAACGACAAGGAGAAGAAATTGCGGCGGCGCAGGAGTACGGCGATGGTGCTCTTGGAGATGGAGGCCCCGGACGCACGACGACAGTCGGAGTACTTCACGTCGATGGGCCGCTTCACGCTGAAGGATCTGTTGCTAAGCAGCCTGCGATCGAAGTCCCAGCCTACGACCACGGCTGCCCTACAACTATTGCAGTCGCTGTTGTTCCAGTACTGTCAGCTTTGCGTAGACCGACTGATGGTCGTCATCCGAGACCCGTATGCCACCAGCTTCCCGCAGCCAGCAGCTCTGGAAGCGCTCATGCCGGAGAAGCCAGCCGCGACCGAGGAAGACGACGAGGAGATGTTCGTGTATCCTGGTGCAGAAGACTCTCCGTTGGGTCGCAGTGCAAGCCCAGCTCCGGACAGCTCGATGCTCTTCGTGCAGCCCGACACTACGTACTGGACGCACGAACGCGAGATGGGCCTGTACCTCACCCTCGTCTCGCGTGTGGACCCTAACCACAACGAGGATGCCTTCAGCACGGGGTACGAGCACTACCTCCGGGACGCGCTGCTATCCATCGAGAACTCGATGTGCTTCCAGCAAGACATGGATCCCGAGGCGAGGTCGAAGATGAAGCACAGGCTGAATCCCAACGATCCCGTGCTCTCTCTGGTCCTGGAATCGCTGCGCAGGTTCTTCTCGAACACGCCAGAAATGAACATGGCCCTGACAGGCGTCCTCGCGACTCTCGCGACGTGTCCGGACCGCTCACTTGCAGGCTGGCTGACGTTCGCGCCGAAGGAAACCGACGCAGGACCGAACGGAGCAAGCGCGGATAGCAGCGTGTTCACGTATGGGGACGATGGAGACGACCGCTCAGTCGACTTCCGAATTGAAGAGCGACTGGCAGCGGAGTCACACTTCTTGCCCGCGTCTAGCATCGACGAGCAGTCTCGCCCTGTCGTGCACTCCGTCTTCCATGGCCTCGTCTCGCAGCTGGAGCGCTACCGGCAAATGGTAGACAACTTCGACCAGTACCTGATGGAGCGCAGGCAGGGCCTGTTGTTCAACGAAAATCTGACCGATGCGCTCACGCTCGCCATCGACTTTGAGGGAGGTGCGATGCCCAAGTCAACAGCTACGTTGTCTGCGACCGGGACTGCAGTCCCTGAGCTTATTACGCCTAGACCGAAGCCAAAAGCGAAGTCAGCGTCGTCCACTCTCGTGTCCTTCCTCACTCCCAAGAAGAACAAGTCACAGAAAACCCTCCTCTCAGAGCCTACCACGCCGCCGCGGGGCGCTGACCGTGCGGTCGACGCGAGTCCATTCGGGCCGCACTACCAGAAGACCGGCGCGATCGTCGTCGAGCCGTTCGCTGCGCCTGCGCCGTCTTCAGGCCCCTGGACGCCAAAGAAGTCGCGGCGGTGGAACGCAGACGAGGAGGACGTCTTCGGGTCGTCGGCACAGTGGGGTGAGAGCCGGTTCAAAGCAGAGCACAACGACGAGGAACTTGAGAGCACGGAGGACGAGAGGCAGGTAAAGCCCGCGAGCGTGACGCTGTCGAGGTTGCTGGACAATGTCGTAATTTTGGAAGAGTCGATCAAGGAGCTGGTCGCGATCATCCATGCGAGACGTAGCCTTGGGATCGACTCAATTCGATATCTGTAGATTTAGTACATACTACCTGGTCTCCCTTCGGACATGTGCATATGCTTGGTTCGCATTCATATACCACACGAGCTTCAGACAGATCGACGAATACTTAGCAATGACAACATGAGTACGAAATACATACAATAGCGGTGGTCGTGAAGGCATATCGTACAGTCGAGATCCACAAAGTCCACAAGAATGGGCGCGACATTGAGCATCATCTGGCCTTGCGTTCCTTCGCAGCCGCACGCCCTCTCTTCTTCGGTGATGCCGCAGCGTCCGTCTCGCTGGACTTCGCCTTGTCGCTGAACAAGTTGTCTTGCAATTTCGCGAATTCCTCGTCGTCGATTTCCGGCATCTCGACAGCGCCCTTCTTCGCCCTCTTCGCTGGTGGCTCCTCTTCATCGTCTGCTGCCGCCTTGCCACGCTTCTTGCCCTTCTTTCCCTTCGACGGCGGTTCGGCGTACTTCTCCGCAAGGCTATCGAAGAAGTTGTTCATGTTCTTGCGCTTCTTCAGAATGAGGGCCTGCAATGCAGAATGGTCCTCCTCTGCTGTCTCGCCACCGTCCTCCTGGACATCCTTCCCCTTCCCCTTGCCTTTACCACCCTTTCCCTTCCGCGCTCCAGTCTTCCCGCTGCCGTAGAACTCGTCCCAAACACCGAGCTCCTTCGCGAGCTCCTCCGCCTCCTTGGATTCCTTCTGACTCTGCTTCTTGCGGACGAGTTTCCCCTTCTCGTCCTTGATACTCGACTCCCATTGCGGGAGTGACGGGAGCGTGCCATCCTTGATGAGCTTTGAGATCATCACGATGAAGCGCGCTTCGTCGTCGTGGGTGGAATGGGGAATGTGATTCATCATCTCGCCAATGGACCCCTTCGCATCGACGTAGGCCTGCTTGACGTCCTCTCCCTCCTCCAGAGAACCTACGGGCCATGAGTTTTGAGCGCGATTGATATGTGCGCACGACTCACCCTGATACTGTTTCTTGTCATCATCGAGCTTCCCTCTCGTCACGCTGTCGAAGAGCTCCTCGAAGTATGCTTCCCAGCCATCCTCTCCCGGCGAGAGACCCGCCCCCTCATCCGTCTTGCCCGTCTTGTCGTAGCGCGCCCTCCGTTTCTCATCAGAGAGCACGGTATATGCGAAGCCAACCTGCTGAAACCTCAACGACGCGTCGGCTTTGGCGGTTTCACTCGCGGTAGCGTGTTTGTCAGGATGGTGTACTAGGGCAAGGCGGCGGTAGGCTTTCTTGATCTCGTCTGGCTTGGCATCCGGTGAGATTGAGAGCACCTCGTATAGATCTACGTCCTCCTGATCTGGAAAGAACTGTGAGATAGGATCCGCGCGGTCGTCCATAGTGAAAGTTCGTCCACGCGAACGATGGTGGTCGAGGGTGAGACGCGATGGGCGCCTCGACGCGTTTACTCGCTCTGACGCGCTACACGTGATACCGCGTTCTACCTTCGAAGCGCGCGGCCCTGGTCGTTGTATTGACTTTCTCCAGCCCTAGTCATAGGCTCATACATTCCCTCGCCGTTGCAGTGCTACAGATGACATGGTACGTGATACATTCTGCCCAACGACTTTCGTGATGGTTACATGACTATCTTCCTTACAGTTTACTTTGACTGGTTGATGTTAAGCCGAGTTCATCAGCTAGAATTTGAAGGGCCTGTTTCATGATGACTTTCGTTAGAATCACGTAGCATCAGCATGCAGGTCGACGTACCAAAATCTTGCTGAAGTATCGAGCGGACGGGAAGGGTCCCATGACGAGCCAGAAACCCGGCTGACCAGTGGGTCTGTAGCCCTTTCTCATCTCCCCTCCGTCATCCAGACCCTCCATCTGCGTGCCGATGCGATCCAAGATGGACTCTCCAAAGACTGCTTTGATGTTCTCGGTCAGAGGCAAGTAGCCCGTCCTGTGCGTGGGTGAGCTCATGCCTCCCGAGTCCCGTCGGATCTATAGCGGCTTACGCGTATACGACGACGTCGGCCTCGGCTTTTGACCCATCGTCGAACACCACGCTGTCCTTCTCAAACTTCGCGATCTCGCCGCTCTTGACCTAGCATCGTACATTTTCTGGTATGGTTCTCAAGCCTCATGATGGGCAAGCTTACCTTGACCTTGCCGTCGATGATGAGCTTACCGCAGCCTCTGTCCAGCACTGACATGATCCAGTTTAGGCGACCCTGTCTGAAAGCTAATGGCCCACTTACTAGTGCCCGCCGTCATTCGAGCTAGGACATATCCGATCAAGCCGACCTCGCCTCCACCTGGTGTAAGCTCCCAGGTTAGTTGGTAACCAGCGTTGGTCAATCCATCGAATAGATCCTTGTCCATGCCCTTCAGCCTCGCAGTGCCTCCCCCGACAGCCATCTTCATAGCGAGGGCTGGCGGCATGGAGTTGCTGAGGAAATCCGAGTCCTGGATAGCGTACTTCTCGTTGTACGTGGTCCCGAAGAGGACCTTGTCCACGGTGTTCGCAGAGACTACGCACGTCGGGCTACGTTGCACCATGGTGATCTTTCGGTGTGTATCCATATCAGCTACGGTGACTTGAGGACTGATGACGTACTTACGCTGGAAGCGCCTTTGGCAACAAAGTCAATGCATAGGTCATGGGCCGCATTACCCTGTCGAAAAATACGTGACAGTCGCATCACTTTTCGTCGGATTGATTGGCGGAACTAGACTCACAGAGCCAACAACGACCACTCGTTTTCCGGCAAAGGGGGCTGCCCCACGATGGTCGTCGGAGTGATACACGCTTCCAGCAAAGTCACTCATGCCCTCAACCTTGGGAAATTTCGCAGGACCATTACCCGCTGCGAGGATGATATGCCTCGGCTCCATGTACACCTTTTGCCCATCTCGGTTTACTGTCACTTTCCAGCATTTCTTGTCCTCGTCGTAGATTGGAGGTCCCTCGGTTGTGCTTGACTGCCAGATGCGCAGATCCTGAGCCTTGGCGTAGAATTCGAGGAAGTCCGCTACTTTGTCCTTTCCGATGTAGTTGGGGTACGTGGTTCTTCGGTCCTCCCGTCAGTCGGGTGTCTGTCATCTGTGTAAAATGACTTACGGCCAAGGTTGATAGGCCACTGGCGCAAAGGTGAGGATCGTCATCTATCTCCACGATGTTATGACCACTTACTCGAACAGTGATGAGCTGACGTCTGCGTTGTCAGGTTGGGGTATCTTTATGCGCATCGTATTCTCAAGACTAGTGATACACCCGGGACACTCTGAACGCACCTGTTCCTCCATACGTGTGCGACAGTAGGGTTCTTGTCGATGATGAGGGCCCGCACACCCAGCTTCCGAAGGCGGGCGGCGCACATCATGCCTGTCTGCCCGCCACCAACTACATCACAGTGAGTTGATCCGTTCGCGTATACGGAGATCACGATCTCACTTCAGGGCCTGCCTTGGATGTCATCAGACTCACTTATGAGGACAGTCGGGTCCTGATCGATCGCCGCCAGTTCCTTCGCCTTCACTTCTTCGTAGGTCGAGAGATCGGGGAAGAGCCCCGGCGGACGACCGCGCGGTTCCTCGTGTCCTTTGATATCCTCAAGGGTCAAGAAGACAGCCAATGCCTTCCACTCGCCGTTGGGATTCTGGACGACACGGAAGAACCCACGGCCACTGGCTGGCGGCGAAGTGAGCCCAAACTCGAAAGCTCCCTGCACACCTTGCTTTGTGGGGTCGGAAGGAAGTGGGAACGCAGCGGGCGGCCCCAGGGTAGACGATGCTTCGATGCGGACGTCGTGTAGGCCAGCGCGCGCGAGTCTGGTGCGGTCATCGACTGTCTCGGACAAGTATGCCTTCAGGCTGTCATGTCCTCCGAGCGACTTCACGTCCCATTGGAAGCATAGCAGGTCTGCACAGGCGTTATATCGTCAGCATGGTAGTTAGGATGCCGGGACAAGACTCACCTCTCAGCCAACTCGTGGGGAGGAATAGTTTAACGAACGCATCGACGTCAGCGGCTGCGGCTGCGTTCTGGAAGCCTTCAAGCCACCCGCTAGCGACAGCGTGAGGGTCGAGGGAGGTCATGGTTAGGCTCAGGGGGATGCGCGGATGTCTACCGATGATATGGACGCCACAAAGCTCTTGCTTGCTAAAAGAGTCCCGGGGCTGGCAGGCTAGAATTCGGTCTCCGTATCAGACATCTGATCCAACTCAATGCATAGCATGATGGCTCTTCTGGCGGGTTTGGGATGGGCGTGGCAGCGTGATGCTGCGTACTTATCTCAGTCGATAACCACAGAAGCTTGATCAAGACACATCATTCCAAGAGGGGGATGACTGGGCGCCGTGATCTGCAATTCTGAGAGTTCACATTAGCTGGCATGTAATCCCTGCAGCTGCAAGTAGAACGACGATCATGGCATGACCGCAACGTTAACGTTACCGGAGGCTCGACACAGGTCGTGAATGCCTCACTCACTTGGTAATCTCCCGGATCCCGCTGCGGAACAGTTGGCAAGGCATCCGACTCGGACTCCGGGATAAGTATGTACGATCAGTCAGACGTACATATCAATGCGGCTGTTCATTTGAACAGATAGACTTACGAGAGTAGCCACCTTGATCACAGTGTCTGGCCTTCTGCGGCCGGGTCTCCTGCTACTTCCATGTTGCTAAACCCCTTCCTAAACAAATGTGCACAGGCGGAGAGCGTCGGGCCTTTGCCCGGCGTTGCAAGTGGGACACTCTGCCGGTTGACATCCAGAGTTGTCGGCACGGCCGCACGAAAGTCTTTTTGTCAGTACTCAGGCGGCCGGCTCAGGCTATCGGTCGCAAGAAATAGTCTTGACTGTATTTTTCTGAACCCGACAGTGTCGAACAACCGGCTAGAAGTTTACAGATCTAAGGAACTAGAGGTTGTTGACTCCTCTACTTCACTCAACTTGAAGGGGCTGCATGGGCCTCGACCCGGCCCTCGACTCGGTGCCTCATTACCCTCGCTGTCTGGAATCTTGACCTATTCCTCTCCAACCACTGGAAGAATTGCATATGTATATGGGTCGCCTGCCTACCTCACATGAATGCATCCTGAGTACTAGCTATAGTACCCTTGCACCGTAACAAATCTAATTGGGCATGGTGCAAGCCAGCAGGCGAGCTCGAGACTACTAAAGCGAGGATGCTCGGGGATGGCTCGGCGTCCGCTTCAACGCCTGCCTAATTAGGAAGGTGTCCCTCCCACCTGGGTGTTCCTGGTATACGGATGAACGTAAAAACAGAAAATAGCACCGGCCTCAGAGGGAGGAAAAACATGGACAATCAGGTAATCGAAACCTGGACCTCACGCAATCTTCGCAGAGGTGCGAAGCGTGCGCTCTACCAACTGAGCTAATTGCCCATGAAAGTCAGGTGCCCTGCGAATCTCAAACGCCTGGTAACCGCATGATACGTGGTTTTGCTTTCTGTAGCCAGCAATAGCGACTCATCTCTGGCAGAGTTCTGACGTGCGCAGCTCGATTTCGTGTACTTTTCCGCACGACAGAGCAAGCCTTGTGCGTGACTGCTATATTGACAGTGTTTCTGTGGGCGAGGGTCCATATGCACGTGACGATGATGTCGCGAAGCAAGCGCCGAGTGGCACTACCGTGACGGTATTACTCGCGCCCAAGTCGCGTCCCATTGCACTTAGTGACTTGACGGTATCTCTTCTGCGTCCCATCGCTCCTTGCATCCCAAGCTGCAGCATGTCACTGCGTCGTAACCCAACGCAAAAGATATGCATACTTTCCAAGATTACCCGTCGCAGTTATTCCTCGCTTCCTAGACCGTACCGCTTTCACGTCGGGGCCAGCTGGGCGGGCAAGCCGCCAGATCCACAAATGCGTCGTTTCAAGACAAAGCCCTTCGCACCGGACAGCGACATTGGCCAGTGGAGAGACCACCTGATCGCTAAATATCACTCACCTGTGGGCAACCATATCGGCGAGGATTTCTTCTACGTACAGGACGTGAGTTGTTGTGCAGTGCTCTTCTACGCGCGTACTGAACAGTCTTCGCGCTGCAGATGCGAAATCAGTCGGTAGGTAAGCCGCTTCCAGGTTGACTTATCTCTCTGATTCGTCTCTGTGTGCTTGTCCAACACGCCTCTGTTTATGTCAGGGCGTGTCGTTCGGCGTAGCGGATGGTGTCGGAGGCTGGGTTGACTCCGGAGTGGATCCTTCACTATTCTCGCAAGCCTTGATGTATCACGCCCATCGCTATTCAAAGGCCGCATGGGCAGGAGAACCAGAAACCGATCCTATCCAGGAGGCGGAAGAAAGACAGCAGGTAGAGGGCTGGGAGCTGAGTCCGGCGGAGTGTCTGGAGCTTGCGTATGGGGGTGTACTGCGTGAACGCGGCGTCAAAGCAGGTATGTAACTTGACCCCATGCGCCTCGTGAATCCTGACGAGCTCGGAGTATCTCTCGTCACCATGTTGTAGGCTCTAGTACTGCCTGCTTGCTCACACTGAATGCTGCGTCCGGGGTACTTCGAGCCGCCAAGTACGTCCTAACACGTCATCGCTCTACTGCAGTAATCTCATGTCATATCACAGCTTAGGTGATAGCGGCTTCTCTATATTCCGCTCATCGAACGTGGTCCACCAGCAGCGCTCACAGCAGCATTTCTTCAATTGTCCAAAGTAAGGCGAATATCGAACTCCACTCATCATTCATAACGTCTCTGCAGACAGCTATCCAAACTACCACAGGGTACGCCAGGTTTCTCTCGAGCCGTGATCGACTCTCCTCGTGAGGCCGACACTTTCGAAACCAAGCTGCGAGACGGTGACATCGTCATTGCATACGTGAGTGTCGTCGGTCGACTACGCTAGAATCAAGGATTCACCGGTGGTCTCCTCCCTCCTAGAGTGATGGTCTTGCGGATAATGTCTTCCCCGCGGAGATGAATACGATATGCACGCTTGTTTCGCGGCAATATACCAATTCTGCTCCGCCGCCGAGTCCACAGCAGGAAGGCGATACCGATGAGAAACAAGCAGTACAGGATGTACGTGACAATCTCACAGAACTGAGCAACTGATAGACGTGGGTCTCATGACAGGTCTCGGACGATGAGCTGGTACAAACGATCGCCGAGCGATTAGTGGAGTATGCTATGGCGTGTATGAAAAAGAAAAATCGCGCGAGTCCCTTCGAGCGAGCCGCGGCAAGGGAAGGCATGTACTTCCGTGGTGGAGTAAGTTGACCGTTCATGCACTCTCTCGGACGACTTTGACACTCCTGCATCTGCTGTAGAAAGAAGACGAGTAAGTCCTAGAAAGTTGGTTCCGTGAATGTTATCCTGACTGTGGAACCCAGCGTGACGGTTGTCGTTGCACTTGTCAAGGAGACATGATAATCATGACTCTTGTCATGCCCTTGGTGCTATATCATATCCCAGAATAAGCATACGTTCCCTGGATCGGCCATGGACATTCCTACCGTCCAAGCATAGACCCTATGCTAGCATAGTATTGTATATGTATTGTACATTGGTCGGACTTCACAACCTAATTCTTTTATCGGACTATCCACACGCTCCATGCGGTATTGGCAGAACCACTCATGCAATCGATTTCTGGTGAAAGCAACGGACATGAACCAGCGCGACGATCGGGGTGACATGCGGCTCCAAGGTCTGCGCGAGATCAGAGTTGGCGTTCGATGAAGCTTTCGATGACTCCGGCGTGCGTCAAGGGATATTCCTTCAACACGACCTCGCCATTCTCAACGAAGGTGTTAGGCTGCACGAAGATCTTGCGGGGCTAAGGGTGAGAGAAGTCAGTGCCGAGTTAACCCGTCTCAAGGGAAGAACCGATATGATAGCCGGTGCTGGGAACGTACCAGCTTCTTCTTGAGCACCAAGTCTCGAATCTCGCCCTCCCAGCCGGGCAGGGGAGTCGTCAGCTCCGTGTAGTACGCACGCGCACCCGGGCCGTCCGCAGTGCTCTTGCGCACCTGGAGCTCGATGAGAAGCTTGCCCGCGACCTCACGGCCGTGGGTGAGCACCTTCTCCTTATCCACCTACAAGGTCAAGGTCAGGGACATCGTGGCTACTGCGGCCGTAGGACAAGTTACCCGGATGTAGAGATTCTCTAGCGTGCCGTCGGCGCCGCGGACCTCCTCGAGCCGTGCGATGCCTGACTTGATCAGGTGTTGCGTGATGCCGAGCCTATGGAGTGCGTCAGTCAGCAAGACAGACGAACACAGAAGGTTTACGAGTAACTCACCGCGCTTGCATGTGTGCCTGCCCGTGCTTCTTCGTGGCTGGGTCATAATACTCGAGAGCACGAAGACCCGCGCGGGCCATGAGCAGGAAGGTGACGTATTGGACGTCCTCCACGTCCTTCTTGTCCGTGTACTGCGCACACAGTCAGCTCCCACATGACCAAAATACCAAGCTTGGACTGCGCTTACATTGAAGATCTTGAGGATTGCAGGTTCGCTAACGACTGATCGACGGCTTAATGACCCCCGCAGCACCGGGACTGCTGTAATGCAGGCACTCACGGTAAAGTGCCACTGTCTCAGCTCTGCATTCTTCCATGGAAGAGGACACCTCGCCAAGGACGGAACCTGGTGTTTGACCGGGCTTGTACCAGGACGTGCTTATTCATGAGGCGTTGTGAGACCACCGACTATCCGGATCCTGACTAGTATGACTTACATCGGCTTGCCCGTAAGCGGGTTAGTGATCTGTATCCGAGGTAGGGTCATAGGCCTCTAGCTCAATCGATAACGGTGTGGTCGTACCTTCGCAGGGTCGAAGTTCTTGGTCCCGTCCGCATTCTCCTGGAACAATTTGCCGCTCCCGTGGCCGAGCAATTCATGGTTAGCAACCTGCAGCTCAAAAGCGCGGGAGTCCCATGCGTTGTAAAGATCTACATCATCCGGATGGATGAATGTGAGTTCCTCGTCTATACGTGTAACTGAGTTTAGACGCTCAGTTCTGCGCGGATACACGTAAACATACTAGGGGCTTTGGCGGCAAGGATATTCTGCGACGGTTGAATGAAGGCCGAACACAACGTGGTCTAGGCGTAAGACTCACTGCCAGAGATACGTTCTTGAATCCAACGGATTCCCGAATCTCGTAGTAGTTCTGTATAACTCTTGAGCATCAGCTGTGAGCCCTGATGATCAGTTCCTTACTGGGATCTATGTCGTGTGTATCATGAGACATCAGAACGGCTGAAAGATATAAGAGCGGAGAAACATACGTTGATACCAGCCGGGATTCCTAGCGGAGCGACAGATGAGGCTGGTCAGGATCACCATACTCGGGAACATATGGAACCTCACTTACCGCCCGTTGCGAATGTCAGAATCTCCAACGCCGTGAAATCGGGCTTCCGGAACTTGTCGACCTCGAAGTCCTTTCCCCAAGGAAGCACTTCGAGAAGTTCGGGCGCCTTGGCGACGAGGGTGTCGTATTTCGCGCTCATCGCCTTATTGACGATAGCGGTGAACCCTATCCGAAGGACTTGTTACTAACCGACCTAGCACTAGATCGGGGCCAAGGGTAGCTTTTACCTTCCCATTCAGCGCGACCGCCGTATGGGTCAACGTAAGTCTCGATGAAGCCAATGTAGCTCTCTACGACAGGTCCGACGTCCTTCACCCATTCCGTCGAACCCTTCTTGTGAGCTTCAATGGAGCCGGTCTCGAAGCTAGCAATCGGTTAGTATGTCCCGGTTTAGAAAGCTGATTGAGCATACGATTCGATGTATCCGTCGAGCATGGCTGCTTGATGGTCATTTGCGACGGATTTCTTAGCCTAAACCTTTTGTGAGCGGTGCAGATGTTAAGCTGCCCATGTCCCGTACCTCCTTCAGTGCGGCTGCTGCTTTTTGCAGCGGCCCTGCAAAGTCACCGTACTCGATAGTGAGCTGTACGCCCTTGGCCTTGATCTCGATTTCGTGCAAAGATGCAGGCTTAGGGTTGGCGGACGCGACCAGGAGAGCGAAGCTGTCAGGACCATCCTTCCTGACGCTATGTACCAGAATTAGCGAATGCTAGACTTTTTGTCATCGTGGATTCTCACCGAGTGTTGAGCACGTCGATGCCAAGCTTCTCTGCAGTGGCTTGTATAGCAGCCACTTCATCGTCCAGGATGGGCTCGCCAGGGTAGTAGTTGGAGACATGACCCTCACGGCGCTTCCCAATGAAGTTACTCGACTCGGGGAGCAGCTGATAAATGTGGTCCTTCAGCTAAATATTCAAACTCAGTACAAAAATCTACGCAGGAAGTTGAGCCTCTTCGTCACCTCGTTCCATAGAGGCAGCGCCTCCGACGCATTCGCGGATTTCTGAATAACAGCAGCGAACTTGGCTTCCGGGACACGAGGAACAATCTTCGAGAACCCAAATGATTTGTAGTTCACGAGATTGCTGAGAACCTGAGTGGTGTACTGCATGAGGTCTTCCCATTCCTCTGACGTCAGAGCAGACTTCTGCTGCAAGCCAGGGAGGTCTGTAAGCTTCCCCTTGTCGCTGAAGGTCAAGATGAGCAAGTCATAGAGCTTCTGTGCTTGCGGCGTCCATTGCCCTTGTATGATGCGCGCGCCTGCCCAGGAGGCTTGGCCAACGTAGTGGGCGTACTTCTTCTCCTTTGGCCTGTATGACCGTGGAATCGCATGAATAAGTCTTCGGTCGTCTGCATGTCTAGGACTTACGTTAGTTGCGCAAAGGACTTCGCGACGTCCAGGCTGCATAGTGGCGCCGAGCGATCCGCGAAGAAACGGTCTGCCGCGACATTGACCATTGTTCGCAAAGTTGACGGTGATTTCTGAAGCGTGAGTGTGTGTCCCTTGCAAGCTACGGGGCGCAGATGGCGGGCAGACAAGAGACGGCTGCGAGCCACCAGCATCTGCAGCTTGTCCCTGGCGTGATCAGATGCAAGCACGAGACTCTGGCTGAAGTGGCTTCGGAGGCATCTGGCAATCGCCGCACCCCGATCTCCGATGCCCTCGATCAAGATTGTGCCTCTACGCACCTCCGCCCACACCCTCACACACTCTCCAACCCTCGGCACAACTAATCACTCAACTATGTACTATTATGCGCTCGAACAGCATCACACGCGAAAATATTATATACACAGGCACAAGCAAGGGGATACAGAGGGGGCAGCCGACGCAGCCTGTCGGCAACACCTTACTTCTTTTCTTGCTGCTGTCGAACAGCATCGCGCACGCGAACGTAGTTCGCCCACAAAGCCTTCCATTCGGTCTCCAGTGTTCCCTCGCTGGCCTTGCCAATCCCACCTGCCCTGTCCGCGGCAACACCAGCCCAGCCCAATGCCCGCTCGTAGCATTCGAGCGCCTTCTCCGACGCCCCTGCGGCTCGGGTTCCCTCGATGAGGATACCCATGAGATTCCATGCTTCCGCTGCTGTGCGGCGCGAGTCTCTCAGCAGGCTCTTGGCAGGCCTACTCATTGAGGTTGACTTGGCATAGTCAGGCACCAGCGGCGTATCGGAGGATGGTGGGTGAGGGATTTTAGATTCGGGCGCGTCGGGATGTATGATAGGAAGGCCAGAGAGTGCAAGAGCAACGCGTTCCGAAGACTCGGCCGCACGTGTGAGCCACTGCAGCGGTACCTCTTGCTTCGCCCTGAGAACATGCTCAACTTCCGCAAGATGAACCGAGAGAAGCGATGAGCGGTGCAGGAGGTACAATGCATGCAAGGCCCGAGGACGCGACGCAGATTCGAATGACTCCGGTTGTTTGATGGACCGCAGAAGGTCAAGCGACGATTGCTCCAGAGACCGCGCCTGTTCGAGTTGTCCAGATGTCGCGTAGAACACAGACAGGGAGACGAGCGTGGAGGCGAGCGTCCGCTGCGCAAGAGGAGAGGAGGGAGCAGAGTCTGGGACGACTGGCACAGCAGCGGCGGCTTCTGGGCGTGCCTTGTCTTGCACCAACTGTATCGACCGCGCCCACCATGCCAAAGCGTCTTCGGGGTCGTCTAGGCGTTGATTCAGATCCCCGAGTTTTGACGCAACACGCGCCGCGTCGATGCCCTTGCCAGGAAGGCTGGCCCATACTCGTTCGAACTCGTCCCTCGCCTCGAATACACCTTCCTTCGTCCCCATGCGCTCCATGATATTCGCGTGCCAGACAGTAAGCTCCGTAACCGTCTCCGGGCGCACCTTCTTCGGATTCTCCATCGCAGCGTGGATGGCGATACTGAGGAAATCCTGAGCGTACTCCAGCTCTGCTGGGACGGCACTCAGGGTGCCGCTCTCCGGACGTACGCGGCCGCTGTACGCTTTAGAACCGATGACGCTGGTTGTGGTACCGGGCCCCCAGTTCTGGGCCATCCAGGCCGCACGCACAGCTACACGGCCTTTGAATCCAAGACCAGGATCCGTCCCGCCCTGTGCCCCTCCAGACGAGCGTTCTGCTTCGAGATCCCACTCCCACTTGCGGACCTCCTCGTCCTGCTCGGGTGCAAGTGCTGCGTTCTCCACCCACATGTGGGCAGCTGCAAACCCTGTGCCCACCGTCGTGCCCACCGTGACCAAGCCTATGGCGGTGAATTTGACGAAGCGGTAGAAAAAGTCGAGCGTGAACGTTGTGTATCTCGATACGCTGTCCTCTACGAGCACCGACGGGGGTTCGGTCGAGTCCGTCTTCCACGGGGTGAGTCTGCCCTTGCCCGTAGACTCATAGCGGCGAGGTTGAAGGTGTTGGCGGCGAAGAGCTGGCCGGGATGCGCGGAGGACAGCTGATGGTGCCTTCGCAAGCATCGGAGGGCGTGACATAACCCGGCGTGACCCACGACGCGCCCTTTTGTGTAACGCGTTTGATCGCGCACCTCCGCGTCACGCCAGACGCCGACGGCTCTGCTCCCGACCGTCACCTTCAGTCGAGCCGGCATTCGCTTTCACCTACAATTGAGCTGCTCGAGTGCGGCCGCTTCCACGATCACCTTCACTGAGTACTGTATATTGGACTAATAGGCCTTTCCGGCTGCTTTTGAACGCTACCGAAGATGAAGTTCCATATCGACGACTTGCCGGTACGACATACGCTCCCGATACTCTTCGCCATGCTCACTTTATGCAGATCATCTTCCCTTATGACAGGATATATCCAGGTAAGCTACACGCTCAGTATCACGGACGTCCGCTCATCAGCATACTTCAGAACAATACGCGTACATGTGTGACTTGAAGCGTACTCTGGATGCGCAAGTAAGTGAGGAGTTCCTGTCCTTGATCACAATCTCATCTGTTGCCTCCTGCCATAGGGTCATTGCGTGCTTGAGATGCCTTCCGGAACTGGGAAGACCGTATCATTGCTTTCCCTCATTGTGTCCTACCAACAGGTGCGTGGGATCATTGTCTTTGAATCCAGCACCACCTGACTGTGTCGTAGTTCTATCCCGCGAAGCGGAAGCTCATCTATTGCTCTCGGACGGTGCCGGAAATTGAGAAGGCACTGGAAGAGCTTAAACGACTGATGGCATACCGTCTCTCATGCGCTGAGACTGAGGACGAGAAAGAGAAGGAGCGCAGCTTCTACGGCATTGGCCTTACTAGCCGGAAGAATCTCTGCATTCACCCAGAGGTGGGTGGTGCGCTGGCTTCTCCTACTTGCTTCTCCCGAGATTAAGGGGCAGGCATAATTCGCCGTGAATCACCGCTGCTTGTCCCCAGAAAACTTGTTTAGGGTCAGTACCGAGCACGTGTCTGAACTTGGTTTGCTTTGCAGGTATCAAAGGAGAAGAAGGGCAGGGTGGTCGATGCTCGCTGTCGGGATCTTACGAATTCGGCGGTTTGCGAGAAGGGCCGTCAGAACCCCGGTTCTGTCGAGCTATGTGACTGGCATGAGGTCCGCTCGCAGCCCGCGTGCTACAAGACTCCCACTAAATGACTCCTATCCGCAGAACTTAGGCAAGCTCGAGCCAGGGAACTTGATTCCCCCAGGAATTTGGACCCTTGCCGATGTACTCCAATACGGCCGTGATAACACCGTGTGCCCATACTTCTTGGTCCGACGGATGGTGAGTATCCCCACCAGTTCTCGGGCATATGCATTGATCTGTGGAACAGATGCCTTTTGTGGATGTCGTCATCTATTCCTTCCACTACCTGCTTGATCCGAAGGTCGCAGAACAAGTCTCGAGAGAGATGTCAAAAGATGCCATAGTTGTCTTCGACGAGGCACATAACATAGGTACGTGTTCTGGGAGGTCCTCGTGCCACATAGACGCTAAACTAGCCTTTCCGAGCGAAGATAACGTTTGCATTGAATCGCTCAGCATTGACTTGACAAGGCCGATGCTAGATTCTGCGGCCCGAAGTGTCGGCAAATTGGGTGAGAAAATTGAAGAGTACGCCCGTGGTGCTGTGGAAAGGCCGCATGATGATAATTGTTCTCGATAGGATCAAAAAGACCGATGCGTCCAAGCTTCAGGACGAATATGCCAAACTTGTGGAAGGATTGCAGGAGGCCGCCAATGATCAAGACGCATTCATGTCAAACCCAGGTGCGTCGTGTGATCTGCCGGTGATGCACTGTATCACAACGTGTTGTACACGTTTTCAGTGCTTCCGGAGGATCTGCTGAAAGAGGCCGTGCCCGGTAACATACGCAAAGCGGAACATTTTGTGGCATTCCTGAAACGCTTTGTCGAGTATCTGAAGGTGAGGCAAACCGAGCCTGGCGTCTGCGTGTTCTTAATGAGGGACATCTGTCGACAGACTCGGATGCGCGTCTTGCATGTTGTTGCGGAGACGCCGTTGTCGTTCTTACAGCATCTCAAAGACATCACATACATCGAACGCAGGCCGTTGCGGTAGGTCTTTGCTCTCGCGCTGTTCTCGTCGCTTCCTCAACGCCAAGCGACTAGCTTCTGTGCCGAACGTCTACAGTCTCTCGTCCGGACGCTGGAATTGAATCGGCAAGATGAATATTCGTCTTTGCAGAAGGTGGCTTCGTTCGCTACTCTGGTGGCGACTTACGAGAAAGGTAACCTTTGCGACTTGGATTCTCATGCCTCTGACTGCGCGTGCAGGCTTCCTTCTGATTCTTGAGCCGTTCGAGACGGATAATGCCACCGTGCCCAACCCTATTTTTCACTTGACGTAGGTAACTACGCTGCTGAATGTGGCTGTACTTTAACCGTGCTCCAAGGTGTCTAGACCCCGCCATAGCGATCAAACCGGTCTTTGAGCGGTTCAGCTCTGTCGTCATTACGTCCGGAACAATCTCGCCCCTGGACATGTACCCAAAGATGCTGCAGTTCACCCCTGTCGTCCAAGAGACATACCCGATGACCCTCACACGCAATGCGTTCTTACCTTTGGTACGTCACGCTGTCACCGGCAGTCGTGGCGATCTTTACAGTGTCATTCAGGTCATCACTCGTGGAAGCGACCAAGTAGCGATCAGCTCCCGGTTCGAAGTGCGAAACGACCCCGCGGTCGTGCGCAACTTTGGAAGTATCCTCGTGGAGTACAGCAAGATCGTTCCCGACGGCATTGTGGCATTCTTTCCGAGCTACCTTTACATGGAGTCCATTGTCGCGGCCTGGAATGATATGGTCAGCTGGCCCTTATATCTGAGCCCGATGACGTCTAATTTACCGGCAGGGAATTCTGAATGAAGTTTGGAAGAACAAGTTGATTTTCGTAGAGACTCCTGATGCGAATGAGACGAGTATCGCACTCGAAAATTACCGCAGGGTACGCATGCGCATCAATTATCTCCCCGCTGCACGCTGATTTTCCGCCTTCGACATCAAAGGCATGTGATAACGGTCGCGGCGCAGTCCTGCTTTCTGTCGCTCGAGGTAAGGTCTCGGAAGGCATCGACTTTGATCACAACTACGGTCGCGCTGTGATCATGTTTGGGTGCGTGGCTACCGATAACTACCTACGCTTGGTTATCAACTCTTTCTCCAACTATTCAGCGTTCCATATCAATATACGGAAAGCCGGATATTGAAGGCGCGCCTTGAGTACCTGCGGGACGCCTACAGAATCCGAGAGTCCGAGTTCCTTGGCTTCGACGCAATGCGCAACGCGGCACAGTGTGTCGGGCGTGTACTTCGAGGAAAGACGGATTGGGGCCTGATGGTTTTCGCGGACAAGGTACGCTGTCGATCCTATTCATATGTGGGAAGTGATGTTGAGGAATTGTTCCCGCAAGCGATTTGCACGTGCAGACAAGCGTGCAAAGCTGCCTCGATGGATCAACCAATATATTACCGAGACCGCCTCGAATCTTTCCACAGATATGGCTCTGACTCTATCAAAGTTGTTCATGCGCACGATCTCACAAAACCCCAACGAAAACCAGACAGGGGTATCACTGTGGACTCTGGAAGATGTCGAGAAGGCCCAAGCCAAGCAAAAGGAAATGGCTTTGGAAGCTGAGCAGCAGCAGGATCAGCCTATGGACGAAGATGACGACTACTACGGGGACGGCGGATTGGACGACCAGATTCTGGGCGAGATCGACCTCGACGTGTAGAGCGTGTGTATGTACGTGACTTTTCATGATGGTGTATGGAATACAGGATATTGCTTTCATGGTCGTCGGGCAGGTCATTCATCATGTTCCGGAACATCGAGGGCATTTGCCCACTTCCTGCAGAGGCTGTCATTGCAAGAAGCTTGTCGACGCGGGGATACTCACCTCGTGTGTTGTAATGCGCTCGGGCTGGCTGCGGGTCAAGTCAGGGGACCAGCGCGTCGCATGCATGGCTGTGGATGCTCACGTATAATACCGTCGACAGCGACAGTGTGTGCCTGAGCCGGGAGCCCCACAGGATGAAGGATGTGCAGAGCTAATGAAACAATCGCGGGAATTGCAGTCGACGTGGGTCTCGCCGGTGAACGTCAAATGACCACATTGTTTCGACTTGTAGAACCTCAGTTGTCGGTGACACATCTACGAAGGCCGATCGCTCGATGGGCGGATCTTCTTGGACAAAGCGGGAAGACTCACTGCGGGCGCTATCGTCGGCGGAGGTAGGACGTGGGCGAGATGATTCGAGGAGGGGGCGACCGGCGGTCCAAACGCTGATCGACGAGCACACCGGCTTAAACTTCGATCGAGGCTGACCACGTTCCAATCAGGACTAGCGTCGCCGTCGGTTCAGCAGGTCGAGTGGCCGCGGCGGTCGCAGCGGCAGCATAAGAGTGCGACAAATGTAGCCACGAGCAGCTCCATTCGTGCTTATAAGGTCATAGGAGGCAGCGATGGTCGGATCTAAGGCGGTCCGAAATGTTCGATAGCACCTACGTTTACATGCATTTCTGCGCGGCCTTCCTGCGCGGCCTTCCTGCAGCGTCTGCTGGACAAGGTTCGCCCCATCTGTCTGATCGACCATGAGGTCCATGAGAAGTATGATTATCCACCAGAATATGCGGAAGCACTTGCAGGAAGATCTCCCTCCCTCCCTACCCTTACCTCAACTCCACGTGAGACGCGCCTCGTTGCAGCTCCGAAGCGCTGACAACAATGTTTGCCTCCTACGCCCACATCTGCCCGTCTCCTTTTTACGGATGGCGTGCTGTGCACCGCGTGGTCACCCTGAACGCTGTCGTTCTCCATGGCTTCCCGTCTCGCCATGGGCACCTCGTTGCGCGTGGCCTGTCTCTGGCCCAAGCCAGGCTCGAGAGAGGACGAGACTCATTGAAGTCTCGTTCACTCTTAATGGCGCGCTGCACCCCAGGAACGACCGCTGGGTAACCTTATCCTAGCCATCGATATCACTAACGTGCAGAGTCCGAGATGTCGAGGCTATATACGGATGCAACGGTGAGAGTTTCCCTCTCGGTCTCCCTCGTGCTCGTCCGCACGTATGGTTCTTGCCCATCCTGTCATCGACGGTATCTCTTCTGTTCGTCTTGTGAACCCTCCTCAAGCCTTTCCTGCGCTCCGTCGTCATCCCTCTTCTAGAATGGCGTTCCTCAGCATGCATTGAAATTGTTCAGACGCTTCGCCGGAGCGCTACACTTCAAGAGGCAACCGCTAATTCGATAAACTCACGACGGGTGACCAGCCTTTCCTAGGTAGATAGTTTTCTGCTCATTCGACGCTAATCCTAACCTGTGCTACTCCGTTCTGCTTTATATTCCAATTCATTCCCTCGCCGCCATTACAAACAAGTCACGGCATTTCATTGGTCAGCACCTACGAGCCAGTGGCCGGCCCCCTTCATCTTCCAAGTGTCCGGTTCCATCAGTTTTTCCCGTTGTAACACAGGCGCGGTGCCCGTGAAAAACGAACCCTACAATTGTTCTATCCAACATATCCACTCACTTCTTGTCGAGAGGTTATGAAAGTAAGGTCTTCCCCGATTGACTCATGCTATAGGAGACCATAATTCCCGGCACCGGCGGGCACATGGGCCCAATTAGTTGTCTGCATGCATCATGCCTTCACCCCTCGTGCGGTTTCGCAGTCCATCTAAGCAGTGGAGCAGGTGGCTGGCAATCGCATCGCTTGTCCGAGCGAAATATCGCCGGTGAGTCAATCGCTCTAGCTGATAAGTTCAGGCCTGTTAGGCGGTCTATGTAGATGTCCTTCCGGTCTTGATCAATTACTCGGGCCGAATACTGACATACCATACGCATTAGTCGATGCAACACTCGGGAGATTGGCCCCTCTGCATCGCCTTGGGACCGTACGTACCGTTCAGCGCAGCGGCGCCAATCGACCTGTGAGCAGTTAATTTCCGCCCAAGCATCTTCCCCGCAATGTCATGATCAAATGGTTGTCCGAGACCGTCGCTGCTGCCACACGTATCGGCCCCGAGGAAATAAGAGGCTCCTATTCGAAGCCCCTTGTGATCATTCATTTCCTTGACACCGTGAACATCCCCTATTTCGCCAAGGGGCCGTCTAATTTCGCTGTGGTGAGTCAGTTGGTCCGTCTGCCGTGCCAGGGGCTGAGTTGTTCCTGTTCATCCGACCACAGTGACAGCTACAACGCCACCACCTACTGAGCGGCCCCGGAAATACACCGGACTTCGACTGTTCAGCCCCCGAGTGAGGCAGCGACGCAAAGTATCGCGGGAGAAGACCCGCACATGTGCTATGTTTCTTGCGCCATATGGTCCGTGGGTTTGTTCGCGCACCACTCGCATGCTCCAAGTCAGAACGGAAAGTAGTTCCCAGTCCGTGTGTCGCACCGAAGTACCACGATCCACAATCGATAGAACATACTCAGGACAATGCCGCGACAAAAGCTGCTTAGCAGTTAGCTCGAGGAAGCCCATGGGTGGCTGGAGATCTCCGCGACGCAAGAGCGTTGTACAGCTTCCGGACGCCAGGAAAGACGACGTTGAGAGGGAATGCATTGTCGTTTACGCAGGACCGATAGTGTGTATCTTCATGCCCAGTTCATAGAGAAGCGCCGGGGTGACCAGGGGCACACAGCAGTGTCGACGTGAGGGAGGCGGCTGTTGCATAACATCACGACGACAGGATATCGTACAAAATTATAGTTCAACGGCAGTAAATTAGGGGACACGAATGCGAAGACAGCATGAAGACAACATGCCAACCCAAGATGAGGGCGCAACGCGCCGTACTATGAGGTACTAGGAGATTCATCTGACATTCGTGAGAGGTCCTCCTGAATCACTTCTTTGATGTTTCGTATTGGCTCGCCCTTGATGACCTTCTTGACTTCTTCGGCGTCCAAAGTCTCATGTTCCACGAGAGCAGATGCAAGCTGATCATCGGTAGTAAGAAGAGAAGAGTCTGGGTCAGATGAGTCACCGGTGACAGGAGGGGTTACGACGTACTCTATGCAGCTCGTCCTCTTTTGATTTGAGAAGCGTGGCGACTCTCGATTCACCCGCAATGAGCAAGCTAAGAAAAGACTTGTTAAAGGAACCGTATACAAGCCAACAAGCAGCGAATACTCACTCGCGTATCTCGCGCTCTATCTCGTCGCTCTTCGCAGGACTAATCGCGTCACGATCGCCGTACCACACCGGACCAACCTTGTCGGAGTATCCCCAGTTCTACGGAGCCGACAAATTATGATAATGTGCAAGATAACGTCAGCCATGAGTCTGATAGAATGAACCACTGAGATTAGGGCACTTACCTTGACCATTGCGCGGGCGGTCAGAGTCGCATGCCTCAGATCTGATGACGCGCCACTCGTTACGTTCGAAGGGCCGTAGACTGGATCACTCAGTGTGTCAGAGGATACAAAGACATCCGGTCAGGCGAAGTTGCTACGCACCGAGTTCTTCGGCGACGCGACCACCCATGCACACGTCAATCTCAGCGAGATACTGCTTGAGAGAAACCGAATAGCGATCATCTTCAGGTAGCTGACTTGTCTGCGGGGTTCACACCATCGTGAGTCTGCGGTCTAGGGTGTGAAGTACGGGGAAGGAACATACTATACCGAGAGCGTGGCCGCGCGGCACACACGTAACTTTATGAAGTGGCATCGCGCCGTCTGTGTAAAGCGCCACCAGGGCATGGCCACCCTGTACAGGAACTCAGGACCCCATAGCACGGAGAGATACCTCAAGTATAGATTACCTCATGGTACGCAGTCATGCGCTTGACCTCGTCGCTGATATAAGCCGTCTTTCGCTCACTACCCATGACGATCCGGTCCTGGGAGGTGGGGACGTGAGGACGCCCGCCATCAACTTGTCTGCGTAACGCACCTTGGCCCATTCGAAGTGCTTCAAATTGACTGCTTTCGCGCCACCCCGGGAAGCTTGCACCGCAGCCATGTTTACCATGTTTTGCAGGTCTGCGCCCGAGAATCCAGGTGTACCACGGGCGAGAACCATGGCGTCGACACCTACCCAGCGAAGATTGAGAATTGCATTGTCATAAAAGGCGAGTCAGGGTTCAGCGAGACACGTACTAGGCTCTGTGGTTACGTCCTTCATGTGGTGCTTCAGGATCTGGACGCGTCCCCGCACATCCGGCAGAGGCACTGCGATATGCCTGTCGAAACGACCAGGTCGCACGAGCGCGCTGTGCACGACAAATTCCGGTGAACAAAGACAGTCTGGTGAGCGAACAGAAGCGTACGTACGGATCCAAACTGTCAGGGAAGTTGGTCGCCGCAATGACAATGACGCCCTCGTTTTGCAAGAAGCCGTCCATCTCAACGAGCAGCTGATTCAGGGTCTGCCTCAGGTACTGCTGGTCACGATTGGAACGCTTTCCTCCTATCGCATCAAGCTCGTCGATGAAGATGATCGCGGGCTCTCGCTTGCGTGCTGCGGCGAAGAGGTCACGAACACGCCTCGCACCCACGCCAACGAACATCTCATCGAAGTCCGAGCTGCAAGGCAAACATAGTGATCAGTATCCATCGACCGTGCTGCTAGAGTGTGGCAGAGAATACCCACCCAGAAGCGAAGAAGAATGGGACGCCGGCCTCGCCAGCCACCGCACGAGCTAGCATCGTCTTACCAGTTCCAGGAGGACCAGTGAGGAGGATACCCTTCGGCAACTTGCCACCAAGAGTTGCGAACGTAGTAGGGTCCTTCAAGAACTCGACTACCTCTTGCAGTTCCTAAGTAGCACGAGTTTTCAGTTACCATCTTGAGGACAAACAACCGTAATGGGCGTACATCCTTCGCCTCGTCAACACCGTGAACGTCGCTGAACTTGTAGGTCTTGCCCTGCTGAGGCTCGAATTCAGTCGTCCTGGGACCAGCCTTCATCAATCCTGAGTTCTCAAGCAGTACGGCCATGAGGACGAGGAAGACTGTCGCCGTTTTTGTGTGAACATCAGAATGCAACAGAGCAAGACGTAAGCCTTACAGAAAGTGGCGATGATGCTGATGACCAAAAACCTGACTAGCCGCGGTAGCCAGGAACTCTTTTCTGTGTGGATAGGGGCGTCAGTACACGCACGCCAATGACAAGAATTGAGCAATGAGAGAAGCCGTCCCATTCAGACACCGCGCATGATGCAGCCTACAAGAACTGCTATCAGGTGGGTGCACCGACTCAGGCCATCAGGTCAACCATTGCGACCTCCTGCCTGCCGTGCGCGAAGGCCCCCTGCGCTGGGCCGAATCGACTGCGACGGCATACATGAATCTGCCCTCGGTTCGGTGAGCATACTGATGTATGATCGCAGTTAATGGAGGTATCCATTTCCCATTTGTGCGCGGGACGCAACAGACGCGCCCCAGCGGGAACGGGATCCGAAAGACGTCAAATTGAGCTGATACTCACGTTCCGCTAGCGTGACCACTATCGGACTGGTAGGTCCGCCTAAACCGCCGCTCAGAGCCGCTTGCAACTTTGCTATGTCGGTGTTCAGCGGTGCGGAAGCAGAAGAGGCAGCGCCTTGTCCCGCGAGGACCGCTTGCGCAAGCTTCTGACTGGACGTCTGTGTGACATGGGTAGACGTGTTCGAGGTCGAGAATTCCGTGGCCGGGGTAGCATCAGAGGATGTCGCTTCAGATGACGCATCAGACGATGCAGCCGTAGACGAGGTAGCGGCAGAAGCCGTTGCAGCAAGGATAGAGTCGCGTCTCCGTACGGCAGCATCCACAGAAGAGGCAAGTCCATTCTTGAGCAAGGCGTTGAGGTAGAATTGGAAGGCAATGTCCGAACGTATCAGAGGGTTTGTTGGATCCTATTGCCGCGTCAGCAGGCCTGCGCGCAACTTCTCTGGCACAAAACTCACAAACTCGCACATCCGTTCCCACCGTGCGATGACAACGTCATAACCCGGCTTCACTCCCGTTCCGACCAGTGCTTCAAACAAAGCAATTTGCTTATGGACGTCGTGCGGGTTCGCGCTTGCCTCAGCTTCCATTTGAGCCACTCTGGCTACGACCACTGGAGGTGGTGTAGGTGTAGGTTGCCGTGAGAAGATGGAACCAAGAGATATGTGTCTTGCATGCTGAGAGAGGAGAGATTGTCTATGTAGAACACTAGATGCCTGAAGATTTAGGAGGGTGAAGGGACGACACGAGACGGAAAGCGAGCGGGCCTGAGGTAGCGAATGCAAAGGTGCTGTCCTGGTATGTCGCACCTGGGCGCGAAGAGCACCCACCAACTGCAGACAGTCAGCGTCGCTCGTAAGTCAAGAGTGATGTGCCACTCACCAAAGATGGGAGGCTCATTGGCCGCCCTGTGTGTCGTCGGTGGACTGGGGAGAGGGAGGAGGAGGGAAAGCAGATGAGTCGAGGCTGAGTCGATGAACAAGCCTCAAGCCGCGCTGGGGACGTGTGTGCACGTGGCCTTTCCGGCGCAACGCCGACCAGACGCCGACCTACTGCGTACGCCGACTTGGGCAACTTGCTCTACTCAACTCCAGCCTATGGCTGCTCACAAACTATATCTCTGGTTGATGCTATCACGCGCTCTGTGTTTATGCCGCTCATGAACAGTCCGGGCAAGCACCCACAATCATCCACCACTCAGCCGAAACCGCCGGCACCACTAATGGTATATTCAACCAGTACTCTCTCGAGCGCTCAAGGCAGACAAACTCGACAGCACCATATAAGTTAAAGACATCACGGAATCCACCGGACCTGTACTGTTCACATCCTCCGCTCAGAAATTCAGAAATCTATCATGTGCACCTGGAGTAGGTGGTCAAATGCAGGGAACTAACAGGACAGTGATGTACGATCGGGTCGCGGTGTATGACGTCGTTTCTCATGTATTCCCCAAGGTTTGGACCAGGATAGACACGAAGTCGGGAACGCGAGCGCGAATCGTGTGTGCCCTTCACTTCTCGTACATCACCACATCTACCATGAGCGACCTCACCAAGGTCACCCCACCCAAGGAGTTGACCGAGGCGGAACAGCATGCGATCTTCCAGCATGTCTCCCGCCGACTTGCAGCACATCGCAACACAGCAGAACTTTACGCAGTTGCGGAATACACCTTCTCCACGAAATCTCAAGAGCAGAAAGACTACATCAGGGACTCGTTTCTGGAGCACCTAGATCGTTGGGGACAAGACTTGCTCAAGCACGTATGGTATGCATGCCAGGAGCCTGGTGGAGGCAAGTCCATCAGAATCCTTCACCCCTGCCTCTGTGAACCCCATTGAACAACTAGGTCCTGTTCCCGAGCTCTCGCGCTACTCTGACACCTCCATCGCTGGGCTGCCACTCTTACCTGACAAGGCCGCCGTCAGGAAGGTCTTGTCTACTGTGCTTCTTCTCCACATAACCAGTCAGAAGAACTACTCAGCGAGAGCACGCGCCTTTCTGTTCTCATTCACCGCTCCCGACGAGACAGCGGTTGCGGGCACGCTCAAGGACCCAAGCCGTGCTCTAGAAGAAGCACAGCGGAAGACCAAAGGTGCCAAGGAAGAAGCGTCTGAGCAGACGAAGACACTACGCAGAGTCGGTATCGGTCTGGGTGCGGTAGCTGGTGGTGTCCTAGTGGGAGTCACCGGCGGGCTAGCGGCTCCTTTGGTCGGCGCGGGTATGGCGACTGTGCTTGGATGGCTGGGCGTAGGCGGGACAGCGGCGGGGCTTCTCGCCACCGGCCTCGCGAGCTCCTCCGTCGTCTGCGGCGCGTTGTTTGGCTATTATGGGTCGCGAAGGATGGCGGATACCGTGGGCCGCTACCTCAGGGAGGTCAGCGACCTTGCCATCGTCCCCGTGCGCAAACCTCGGGATACGTTGGGCGTGCGGCTTTGCGTCAGTGGTTGGCTAGATTCGCCGGCGGATGTCGTGGCTCCCTGGGCTGTCTTTGATGGTGACGACACATTCGCGCTACAATGGGTAAGGAATGGCACTGCTCGAAAGAGAGCACGAAGTACTGATATGTACGGCTCGACCCTATAGGAGGTCCAGGCACTCCAGGATCTTTCGAATGCCTTGATGATCCTCATCAAGTCGCGAGCTATGAAGTATGTGAAAGCGGAGATCATCAAGCGGACGGTCTTCGCGAGCCTTTTTGCGGCATTGTCGCCCACCGTCTGGCTCAGCCTCACAAATATCATCGGTTAGTGAACACCCATACCTTGCCTCACAACGATGCTCATGCCGCCACGCGAGCACAGACAATCCCTGGATGACCGCAAAGTCCCTCGCCAGCAAGGCAGGCAAAGTCCTGGGCAAGCTCCTCGCACAGCGGGTCCTCGGTAACCGCCCCATAACACTCACAGGCTACTCCCTCGGCTCCCTCGTCATCTTCGAAGCCCTACAATACCTCGCCTCCCTCCCGCCATCCGAGACCTGTGACCTCGTACAAGACGTTTACCTCTTCGGCGCACCGGTATCGACCGACGAGGCGCAGTGGACCGCCGTGCGCCGCGTCGTGGCGGGCCGGCTGGTGAACGGCTACGGCGCGAACGACTACGTCCTCGCGGTGCTCACACGGCTGTCCAGCGTCACCTGGAACGTGGCTGGCATGGGTCCCGTTCCTGTCCAGGGCGTCGAGAATGTCGAGTGCGATGAGGTCGACGGGCATCTGAAGTGGAGGAGCATGGTTGGCCGTTGTTTGAGCAAGTGCGATGCGCCGGGGATCGTCGCCAAGGAGGTCGCGAAGCAGTTTGAGCTAGATACCGGAGCTGGGATGGATATGGACGAACATGAAGCAGAGAAGATCGTCGAGGAGGGCCTAGGAAATGCGCCGGACGCAATGAAGTCGTAACGGGGACGAGAAGATAAATAAATGCATGCGAGCTCTGCGTGTAGTGCATTCGAGCTCATTGTTGTCTCACCAGTGACAGAGAAGGTCCGAGCAACGTTGGGTGCGATAGATAGGCATTCTGTTGCTTATGAACACCCCGTCAAGAATATCGTTTTCGAATGATCATAGCGTTAAGCAAAAATAGTCAATGATACAGTTCAAGGTCCGTGTCCGAGATACACAACAATGGCATATGCGAAAGTCCACAATGTACGACATCAGTCCATCAAGCTCAACGGCGAAGGTATCACAGCAATGAACCGAGGTCAGAGAGGCTGATTCCCGCCTCCTCCAACAATTGCTAGAAGGCCAATCATGATGAGCACACGAGTTAGCGGGAGATGCACGGCGGAAAAGAACCCACTTCCAATTCACTGCTATCAATCGGGCATTCGAAGGTGAAGCTGTTACTGATGGTGGGCTTCACGGACACCGCCAGAATGCGGACGCCAACCTGCGCACATAATGTACATCAGCATTACGTTCTGCATGAAGCGAGATCCGATGCGCACCGTCGCTTTGTAGTTAATGGTGATGTCGGACTTCGAGGACCCCGGGATGACTCCGCACTTGTTGGCCAGGTCAACAAGCACACTTGTGCTGGAGGAGCCAGTGATGTTGTACTTGAGGTCGAGAGGGAAGGTGACATTCGTCGTCTCGTCCGTCTTGAAATCGACGTTCTTCAGCGATCCACCACCCACAGCCGTGTTGTTAATGGGATAGAACAGCTATGACGTCCAGCCGTCAGCCACACTGACGATGCTGATCATTGATGGGCGACTCACGTCGAGTTGCAAGTCCGTCAGCTCGACAGAGAAGTAGTTGGGGTTGTGGACGCTGCGCTGCGCTTCAGCCACAGGACGAATGGACAACACGTAGAAGGCACGAACCTGGCATTGACGTCGAGTCCGATGACAAGGGCACTATTTTGTACCGAGACCTACGATACGCGAATGAGTATGGTCCACGAGTTCTGAGTAGGACTGCAAACCGGTGATGAACTGTTGAGGGACGGTGTGCCAATCAGAATACTCGGGGGTCTGACCCACTGTCATAGCAGTCAATTACACATTGACGTCGCATCTCGACTGTATCACATACCAGGACCAATGACAAGACGATGCTGATGATGAGGAAGACCGCAATCATAATGGTGCAGCAGAAGAGCCGTCCGAATGTGGCCAAAGCCCCTCCTCGCGTCCAGAGACCTTCACTGTGTTCAAGCCTCCATCTCCGCATGTTCCTGGAAGTCCTGGGAAAGGCAAGCCACCATCAGCCAGAGAACAAAGGATCAAGAGAACGCGGCGTACTTGGGACCCGAGGGCTTGTTAGAGTAGGCCTCATCCGCATCCCGCTCAAAGACACTCCTATCCCTCTCCTTGTTTACACCAGACGGGTCGTCGGTGTAGCCACCCTGATTATAGCCTCCGCTGTCATAGTTGTAGCCTCCTTGATCGTAGGTCCTGTGCGGCTGCGCGGCAGCAGCAGCGTAGGGGTTGTAGTCGTCATACTGTGCCGGCGGATACTGCTGCTGACCATATGCATTCTGGTACGCCATAACTGTTGACTAGTGTGGATGGTGGGAGGGGAAGGGTAGAGCGAAATGGAGGCCGGAAAGAAAAAGCGGCCTGCGCTCGAGTGCGTGGAATAGCCTTGTCGTCGCGCAGCAGCCACCGCCTTCCCGCTCTCAGCCCGCGCTCGAGCCTCGCGCGTGACGCGCCACAATCGGAGTCTAGATCGAGATCAAGATGCATGGTGGGGATGAGGTCACCTCAACACGTAGTACGTACAGTACTTAGCTTAAGCTTATCAGGGTTACTACAGAAGGTCGGAACGTCCATTCATAGCCTGCCGGCCTGAAGCTTGGAAGCGGGATGCTAGATAGCTCAGCTTGCCGAAAAATCCTGCTAAAGTTGCACCATTCAAGACACAGATAGTAGTATACACACGGGCATCGATGATGCAGAACGGAACGTCGCTGGTAGCACACATAACGTCGAAAAGGGAGACATGTACACGGAAGGCTTCAACGATTGGGTAGAAAGGGTGCTCGCTGTCCTCCTGGCGCTGCGAAAGACGTAGCACGAGATGAGCCCGAGACCAGATTTTGATTCTGTTGTTGCCCAGATGATCTGGCGCTCGGTCCAGAGAAAGATTGCATATTCGACGGTCCTGGTCCTGGGAAGCGTTGCGTCTGCAGCACTTGTTGGTTGCGCGGCGGCTGGAGTAACGCGCGGTTCGATGAAGCAGTCTCTCGCGGTCGATTCGGCGTAGAAGGTATGAAGCGATGAGAACTACTAGATGCTTGCAGCTGAGGCGTAGCAGGAGGTCGAAAGGAAGCACGCTGTTGCAGAGACGTTCTCGGCATCTGAGGCGTTGGCGGTGGCGGCATCTGTGTCCTGTCATCACCGGCGTTCCTGAAGTTCTCTCTCTGGATTGGCCGATGGTCACCGGAGGACAGCCCTGGCTCATGGTAGCCTTCCGGAGCGATAGGGTGGAAAGAAGATGGACCCTGAGTGGATATATGCGTACGTCCAGACGACTGTCGGGCTTGAGATTGTCGTGCCAAGGCATGCCTAGGAGCTGCCTGTTCATGGGACAGCGTTGCTTGTACGACTCCCGACTGTGAGGCGTGTGTAGAATTATACGCGTATTGCCTGGGAGAAATTCGTCAACGAGAGTCTGACCGAGGCAAAGTCACGGTCCAAGATTACAAAGGATGCATACTGAGCGAACCGACTGGATCCCGGCCTATCTCTGTGTGGGGTCAAGACCTGATCAGGAACATGTGCGGCGGGCGCGAAGGTCGGCTGCTGACGGTCAGGCGGAAGTGTTAGTCGATCTGGACCTATCGGTGTGACGATGGAACGTGGGCTGGAGTTTGTTTGCGCGCCGCTTGGGTGCCTGGGCGCCATGGTGTCATTGGGAAGGCGCATTGAGAATTTCAGCACTTACTGGTGACTATATACCATTCGCCGTTTCCCATTTACGTTGGGGATATCGGAGGGCATGCCTTGATACTCAGTATGTTGCCGCAGCTGAGCATTTTCTACCCTCAAATCCTCGAGTGTCCTAGCATGGATGTGAGATTCATGGACGACTCGTACACGGAGTCCGGTACTTCTTCATAGCCTTGAATTCGTTCTTGAGACGATCGATAAGCAAGCGCTGCTGTACGTATTTATTCTTGTAATGCCGCGCCAACGAGGCGAGGGTCTCCATTTGAAACTAAGCTCAATCAGTGCTTCCGACAGTCACGCTATGTCATGCTTCCCAGACATACCCTCGTTGAAAAGGCCACACTGTCCAGAGCTTGCGGTACGGAACGGAACCAATCCGACATAGGAGCCTCCAGCTGTGTTGCATTGGCCGTGTTGAGCGGTGCATAGAAGCTAACATGAACCTGTACTCACGTCCCTCTGCAGCGGCATGAGCTGGATTCCTTGTGCACCGCACTGTGCACAGGTCTGGTCGGCGTCTGCAGTGTGATGTGTGGGAGCGATGGGTCCAAGATAAGTGCGGCGTGTTCGGGATGCGATAGAGCACTCACTCAGATGGTTGTTGCATACTACATGCCCGCACTCAGTGAGCCAGAAAGGGACGGGCGGCGTTCCTGCGTCTGTCTCGAATGGCAGATGGCACCGCGCGCAGTTCACGAACTCCCAGAAGTCCAGTTCGGGCTGAGAGATATTTGACATCGTCAGTCCAGACGGAACGAGCTGATGCTGAACGGCCGTATAGCGATGGGAGTGTGGTTTATCGCGGTGCACGATCAGCGGAAGCAATGGCTATGCGATCGAATGAGATTCCGGAATACAGACAGGCAACTACACTGTCCGGAGTGGCCCCCTGCAGGTAGATGGGAGTTGCAGTAGCAGGAGAAGGCTGAGAGCTGAGTTAGCAGGCTGGAGAGGGCAGGATGAGCGTTACAGTCGCGTGACGCAACGCGACGGGGAGCGCGTCGCGGACTGGCAGCTCGATCACAATGACGGGCGGCTGCTGCAGCGGGTGTCTTTATTCAATGCATGATCCATCGCGAGACTTCCCTCTCCCGCATAGCCCCTCGGACGGTACCCTTGGTTGCCTTCTCCTCCCAACTGCCTAGGCGTCGCACACTCTCGTGCACTGCACTCGTACGAGGCATCAACAGTATCACCAGAATCAAAAGCTCGCCGCGAAGGCAACTACCCTAAGCGACTCCCTCGTCTTCTACCTCTGCGCATCATGGAGAGCCATCGGCGCAGGCTCATGGAGAAGGATGCTGAGCGTACGGGAGGCGATATCCAGGCTCCGCCAGTACGGGACCGTCCGCGAGCTCAGAGCGAAGCAGCGGTACCGAGAAGTACACCTCTTCCCCGGAGAGACCAATCCCGTCGCGCGGAGCCTGTGCCGACCACTCCATTGTTGGACGCTCATCCCTCGAACATCGGGTCTGCAGGTAATCCTAGCACTCAGACGGCTGTTCTTCCTAGTCCGGACTCCATACCACCTCCAGCCTTACCTCACCCTCCAATCAGCTCGAAAGGCTGGTCCATCTCGGGCCTGCAGCGGCAGAACAGCAACTTCCAGGATGTCCCTCGGGTCTCGTGGAAAGACGACTCGTGGATCACGAAGGCCGAAGAGTACGAACGCCAAGGCATGCCGCTCATCGTCGAGGATTGGCACACTCACCCGAAATGGTGCGCTGGATTCGACGCCGACCGGCTCGTAATTAATGACGGGGACAGTGGTGAGCATCATGCTAGCCTGTCGTTGTAGCCATTGGTCGCTGAATCTGGATGTGTTCACGTCAAGTTCTGTCGGCGCGTAACGTTCAGGACTACAAGGATATAGATATGACACTTGCCGACTTCATTGATCACTCCCGCACGGCGACGCGGTCCGCATCAAAAGGTGAGTTGAACGTCTGAATTTCGCATTCGTTCGCCGGAGGAATATCTGCTGTTGCATGAATTGTCACATCTTCGCTCGTCGAAAGCACAATATTGACGGTAGTGCCCCAGACCCGCCTTTGTACGCCAAGGACGTCGACTGTCCTCAGGCATGGCGAGAATGGCTATTCTCTGGCGTCCTCCCAAAAGGCATACAGCCAGGTGGAACCGAAGACCTACTGGGACATCTTCCCGTCCTTGTGGGTAACATCTTGCTTCGACCGTCGGTCTCAACTCATCTCCTTCAGGGACGAGTTGAGACGATCATGTGTTACTATGGGATCGGCGACACCTTCACGCCCTGCCATAAGGATCTTTGTGGGTCCACGGGCCATAATCTCATGTGCCACACGGAGAATGGCAGCTCCTTCTGGTTCATGACCTCCTCGGATGTTGCCCCAGAGGCCGCGACGTACTTCCAGGAAGAGCTCGGAAAGGAATTGGACTGGGAGAATCATGCTACGACACTCGACGAGCTCGGGAATGCACCCTTCACCATATACATAGCCGAGCAGAAATTGGGTGATCTAATCATCATTCCGCCGAGAAGTTGTCATCAAGTCGTCAACCAGGGTGGTCTTACAATGAAGCTCTCGTGGTCGAGGATGACAGCCAAGGGCTTGACGACGGCGTTACTGTATGAGCTGCCTATCTATCGGCGGTGCGTACTCCTTTGGACTGTCAACGTATGTGCTTAAACTGGATACCATAGGGTTTGCCGACCAGAGATATATCGTACGAAATCCGTTCTGCACCACTCGCTCCGCCACTACACCGAGGAGCTGGCCGGGTATTCACGATTAGAGGCCCGCCGGATGACCAAAGAGGCCACCGTTCTTGACTCATTGGTCTCCCTCTTCGATGGCGTGGTCCGTGAGGAGTATGGCGAGCCGACTGACGACAAGAGCGATGATCACGAAGCTACAATGAGGGACATATCCGGTCGCAACGCCAAATCGCAGCGACGTCTTTCATCGTCGTCCTCCTTACGCGCCAGGGGAAAGGACGACAAGGACGAGTCTTGTACGTTTGCATGCGACTTCTGCGGAGCCGATATTTTCCAGAGCTACTTCAAGTGTGACCAGTGCTGTATGCCGCCTGCTGCTGGTATGCAGCATGAAGGCGATTCCCTCGTGATATGCCCCAGTTGCTACGTCGAAGGGAGGTCCTGCCGATGCACCAACATGACACCTACACAGCGCTGCAAGACACAAAGTCTCCTCGACGATCGGAACAAGGCTGTGCACGTACTCCAACAATTGGGCTTAGGCGAAGATTCGCGTATAACTGTTCTTACCCAGAAGTGAGTCGTGTATGGCTATGTATGCGATGATACTGACACGTTATCACAGGGATCTGAAAAACGGTGACGATGTCTGTGTCTTCCAGGCCGCATGTGCCCTGCGCACACGTCGAGCCCAGTCTCTGAGCAAGGTCATTCTCTCAATTCGTCACCCTTGCATCTCAGCTAAGACATACATAACACCGCTAGCTGGATGAGCGTCGAACCTGTCACTTCAGTCACATTTCGCATCAGCTTCCGTACCTATCGACGATCTACTGCCACGGTTGTCACCACTCATGGTGTCTGACACACCTCCTAGAATCAGGCATACATGCATCGGAGGCATTCCTCGCACTCCCCAAGGAACTGGGAAAGGCGGACAACGGCCAGTGGCATCAGGTTCACGGCCGGGCAAAGCTGAACTTCGGTAACATCAAACCAGCCTTGACCAGTGTTGAGAAGACCGGGACCTTCGCGCCGGAAGCGGCCAAACTTGGTGCGAGGCTCGTGCTGGCTGCGCTGAGATTCAGGAACTGCAGGGCTGTGAACAGCATGTTCACGGTCCCCGGCTTCTATGATCATGATGTACGTTGGCGTACCTGAGGTCGGTCCGGGCCTGAAAACATCGTTAATGAGTTTACAGGTGTCAATCAGAGAGTCCGATGTGGCTGCGCCCGTTGACGACCCTCAAGTGAACACAAGACAAGACTCTGCAATGACGGTCAGCCGCTCGCAAATGCCCATTTCGGCGGCTCTGCGTGTACGCTCGCCCGGGCCTGGTGCCCAGGACTCTCCCGAAATGTTGTTTGCACACGCCGAGAGCCCCATGCCCGACGACGTTGTCATGTCAGACGAACAGGCTGTCCAGGCATCCGGCGCCAACGTTCGACCTGACGCGCCCATGGGGATGCCCACAGGCGCTCCAAGTGAACGTCCGCGGACAACGAACTTGAAAATTCCTTACGTCCTCATACCCCCTGGGCCTTCTGAGCTAGCTAAGAGGAAGAGGGCTCCAGCTGAGGTGACCCAGCTGCCGCCAAAGCGAAGGCGGACAGAGGTAGTCAGACCTCGAGGCAAGGTGAGACCGACCGTCCAAGCTACCACATTTTGACAATAGAGTTGGAGGTTGACTTCACCACTAGAGTCCTAATCCCGACTACGTTGACGATGACTACGGGGGAGCCCTTGTCAACGTTATGCAGTCAGCATACAACCAGCCACAGCAAGAAGTACCGTCAAGGCGCCGGCGGGCGATACGACGAGTCCAATCCCCAGTATCTGAACCCGACGACCCGATACCCCGAGGCAGACACGGCAACCCGCTGGTATCTCGCCCTCGGCCCTCACAAATCAAGCCTTCACCGACAACAGATATTCAGCGTCATCGTGAGATGGTCGCCTCCAGCTCGAAGGTGTCCAAGTCCAAGCCTCGACGACAAGGGTATCCGGGACCGTCCATCGCTGCATCATCGCAACCACGGACCAGTGTTGCTGTCGACCTCGCTGCACAGTCGTCTGACGCAGACACTACCAACAAGCCTGTGCTGATCCGTGCACCCCGGGGTAAACCTCCTGGGAGGCCAGCCAGCTGCGATGTTCCGCCTGCGACGAGTCATGCGCCACGGCCTAAATTCGCGAGGAATACACCTCGAGAACCTGGCCAGGTTGGTAGCACCGGTGCTGATGCTGTCTCAGATCTACAGAGACAGTTACAGCAATCCGAGACCAGGCGACTGAAAGCTGAAGCTGAGAAGGGCCTCGTTGAGAATAACTTGGCGATGGTGACAGAAGATCTGAAGGCCATACAGACAGTATACAAGAGATCGAGGGAGGATCAATTGGAGCAACGTGGAGTGGCTTCCCACTACAAATTGCTTCACGAGCATTCAGAGCGGGAGCTTAGGGACGCAAAGGACGCCTTAAGGGCCAAGGACCAGCAAAGTGCGGAACAGACAAAGCAAAGTGCGGAACAGACAAAGCAAATTGCGGACCAGACAAAACAAATTGCGGACCAGACAAAACAAATTGCGGACCAGACGAAGCAGCTGCATGACTACCAAGAGGGATTGCAATATTTAGCGAACCAGCTAGAAACCCACTTGCGTTCTGGCGTAGATTTTCAGCGCCATGTAGCCGTTCCCCAGGATCTGCGACTCGGACCTATCGTCGTCAACAACATTCGACAGTTGGCGGATCAGGTCGTCAACGTTCTCATCACAGAGTCTAATGCCAGTGAACTCCGACCACAATCCCAAGTCCCAGGCCCGCTGAGTATCGGGATGCCGACGCCAGGCCCGTCTGCAACGCAGTTTATGATCGCTCCTCCGCCTCAACCAGTACGTCGTACAGCCCTCTAGCATACAGATACTCTCATTGAACCATGCTTAGACTTCGTTTGGTCACAAAGGTCCGTGGACCGGAGGACGGCTTGAAGACTCCAGTCAGATGCACATGAATGGAGGGCAAGGGCGCGGGTTTCCGAATGGCTGGAGAGGTAACGGGCATAGACTATATCCCAACCAGAGTCGTGGCCAGCCGAACCGCCGGGGAAGGGGTGGCTACGCGCCCAACGCGTCTCCAGATCGTCCGTATACGAGGTCTTCGTATGGCGCCCCGGGCAATGACCATAGGGAATGGGTTCCGAACGTGGCTAGTAGACGACGATCGTGGGCCCCCGACCGTGATCACGAAAGGGGGCAGCCGGTCAGCAGTCAACGACTGTCGTTGGAGGAACGCTTGCAGCCCGCTGACGGACCCAGGGATCGTTCAACCTCCCCGCCCGTCCCTTCGAGTTCCCGTCAGAAGTCCAGCGAACCCCCGCGGCGAGAGCTAAGCACCTCTTCAAGCCGTGCACCCTCAAGGTCTGTTCGCGATCAGAGCCGAGAACGTAAGTCAACGCTGATAAGTAGGTTAACAATGCGCCACGACTTACTCCTGATGTTTAGCTTCTCCGATGCGAGACAGAGACTCCCCATCCTGGTCACGAACGCCTGACTCGCCACGGTCTGTGTCGCAGTCGCATGGATACTGGGAAGACACGTACGAAAGAGACGAGAATGACGATGGCGACGATATTAAGCGATCGTCGCCCCTGTCGAGTTTGTCCTCATCCTCCGGTTTAAGAGATGTTCGTAGCCCAGGTGAGCATCCCCATCCATAATACGCGTGTCATACGATTTCTTACGCCCTATGTCTGGCAAGACCCTGGGTACAGCGACACCGATCGTCGAACCCCGTCTCCTGAACGATCCTCTAGTTGATCAATCCCCCAAATCCCTAGTGCACTTGCATGACAACCCCCAAACTACTGAAATGTGTTTGTTCTATTCCAAAGCCATCGTCCTACCGCATCTATGATATCGGCGACACTGTATTATTACGTTGTAGAGTATGCATAAGTGTACCATTACCTCGATGGTTATATCGCGTGGACGCCCCTCCCTCAGTTCGAGTCGTCTCATCCATGTGAAACCCCATGTAGATGTTGCGTGTACTACCATTGCCCGATAACCAGGGACATCGACCAATGCCAACCAATGAACAAATTTGTGCGGATTAAAGAAAATATTAGAGACGCTCTTAAGTTGTCAAGCATGAAAACCGGGAGACATGATAGCAGTGAGGAGGAAATGTGGACAGGTATACGTAGACGAGATCAGCAGTAAAGGAGCGTGAGCGTGAGGGCGTGAAGATCCAGAGGGGGCGAGAGAACGTGACGAAGATCGACGGAGGGCTCAGCCACACCGGCATGTAAGAATGTTCCAGAGGGTGTTTTTCGGGGGCTCCGACTCGGTCTGGCCCTGGTATCCGCCGCCGTTGGACACTCCTACCTCCCCTCCTCGCGCACGCACGTTGCTCAGGGCAGGGGGTGCTGCACCGACGGAAGAGACCATTGGTGATGCACGGCCGTACGGCTGCGTTGCTGAGTACTCGTCCACCGCCTGTTCCCTTACGAACGAGTCGTGTCCGGGATTGGCGTACGGATGTTGCGCACTAGGTTGCTGGCTCTGTCGGCGCTGCATGGTGCCGATAGGGACGTCCACATGGGCCGCGGCCGAAGACATTGGCGTTATTTGCCCTGGAGTCGACAAGCCGCCAGGTGTCCCAGGGACTACACGGTGCTTGGAACCATGTCGTACAAGGGCAGGCGATGGTGGTACAACAACACCCTGGCCGCCAGTTTGTGACACTCTCCGTCGGTCGTCGCGCGCTTGACGGTCCACATCCCGACGACGATCCTGACCCGGGCCCGGAGCCGTGTTCTGGATTTGGGAGAGGATCTGGTTCTGACCCTAAACGGCGAGGTGAGTACCTCGTTGTCTCCTCGTGTCACGCTTCTACACGTACCAATGATGCTTCCCAGCCCTTCCCACCTTATCGGAAGCAGCGAGTGAATGCACGTTCGCAGCGGGTTTGAATCAAAAGCTTACCGTTCAATAGGTTCCAATCATATACTCCGTCGTCTACGTCACTGTTGTTCTTCATGACCTTTGCAAAGAGCTCGCGCAGGAAGTCGTAGTCGGGAGTCTCCTCAAAGCCCAGTTTCCGAACATAGTTGAGGTAGATGCCGAACTCCTCTGAGCAAGCGATGAAATCAGTCGGCTTCGCGTTACAAAAATACACGACGCACCCGGAAACCCGTCACAGAGCTCCTTGATAGGAGTTGTCTGCTTCTTCTCACCGATCTTCTCGTACTTCTGCTTGTTGGTGGCAGCTTTGAGACCCTGCCAGGGCAGGCTCCCTCTGAGGAAGTACATGAAGACATGACCTAGTGACTCGAGGTCGTCCCGACGAGACTGTTCTGGAAATATGTGCATTAGGTCGCAGGCCGCATGAAATGAAGGGATTCCCATACCTCGACCCAGATGGGTATTGATACTCATGTACCGTGCCGTGCCGCTTAGACTCTTCCGTTCACGGTAGGGAATGTGCTGCTTCGTCTTGGGATCGCGGTACTGCTTGGCCATACCGAAATCAACGACATGGATGACTGCGGAGCAACGCACTCAGAATGGCAGGGACTCTTAAAGACTATATAGCCTTACTATTCGTCGCCTTTGTTCCTGGCCGGCCGATGAGGAAGTTGTCGGGCTTGATGTCGCGGTAGATGAGGTTCTTCTCGTGTATTGTCTGAACGCGAGTGATCTAGGGCTGCACGTCAGCAGCGCATACCCATCACTGAGAGCCTCGCCTTACCATCTGCCGCGCAGCCATGCAAACGGTCTTGATGGAGAACTTCCGGCCACACATGTCGAAGAGATCCTCGAGACTCGGGCCGAGGAGGTCGATGACCAGGATGTTGTGCAGTCCCTCCTGCCCAAAGTGATAGATTTGCGGGATCCCCGCTGCATCGCGCTCCGTGTCAGAGCAGGGCGGTGAAAACAGCAGTGCACACGCTACTCACGGCACCCCGCCAATATCCGGTACGACCGACACTCATCTCGAAGCTGCGGCGCCTCCGCTTTCCTCGGTTCCTGGCAATGAATGGCTGATGAGCACGCAGCCCGCGTTAGAGAAGGCAACCGCGCGTACAAACTTGATGGCCACAGTCTGCGAGTTGAGCAGGTTGGTGCCTGGACACGATGCAGGGATGAGCAGAGCGTCCTTGGGCGGACGGTGACGCTTCACGCCGGTATTGCGACCATACCTTCAAAGATGACCCCGAAGGAGCCCTCGCCGATCTTCTTGCCTACGCGATAGTGCACGCCGACGATGTTCGCGGTGGAGGAGGAGGAGTGGGCGTGCGAGGCCATGTCGGACAGTGGGCTTGACGGCGGCGAGGAGGAAGCTGGAAGGCCAGAGGCCCGACTCGACGTCGAGCCTCTGCTGTAACCGTTGCCTATTATCGCTCTCGGCACTTCCCGGCCGCACCCCCGGCTGCAGCGCTCAACGGGCGCTTGGCAGGGGCCACACTGCGCACAGCGTGGGCCACGGCGCGCACAACATATCGCACAGCAGGCGCAGGTTTCAACGTATTACGGGCATGGTACGGCATGTCACAAAGTAGTACACAACAGGTCATAACACGGCGTGGGGGAGGTATGCGAGCGAGGTAACCAGTGGCAATGAGATGGGTACAGATGCTGCGGGCAGGGGGTAACACAAGTACGTACAAGACCCAGACAGCGCGCGAGACTGACAGCGAATACAGATGCGAGCGCACATCAGGAAAGAATACGACGAGAAGCAATACTGCCTGATCGACATGCCCTCCAAGTCCTCCAAGACAGTCTCTCAGCCGGGTATCCCATCCTCAGCGGCGCACTTCATCGGAATTCAAAGCATGATGTAGTGCTTTCCGGTACGTGGACCAACGAGAGCTGTTGGTAACTGTGCGATGATCTGTCAGTACAGTACGGCATCTCGCAGGACAGCTTTACTCACGGTTCCGAGTTTTGGTGGAAGTAGAACCCGCTCATGGTGGCTACAGGGGATGAGGGCACGCCGCGAGATTGCGACCGGCCTTGCCTGTTTGCTCCCTGGTTCATCGATGTCCGCCGTGCACGAGATCTGAACCTGGGCTTGTCGGAAGTCGGAAGAGTGGACGGATCAAGGGACGTGGGAGATTGGGAACTGTGGGTACTCGTGGAGCTGGATTGGTGAGGGTTGAAGTCGACGCAGACATAGTAGAACCCTACATATCAAGGTGAGTCAGCAAACAAAATTCAAGATGTCTACTTGACAGGACATCCATGACAATGAGCTTGAAATGAACATACCTGCGAAACTCGCCCCGTTGATATCCTGTACACGGTGATCGGGAACCAGGAACTTCTCCTTCCACCTCATGAACACTGCGCCCCGATTCGCGTCCTTCATCGTCAGGTGCGGCTTTTTCAATTCATGCCGGACGTGTCGGAAGGCAGGGAAGCGAGCCCAATGAACCATATCATCCTGCTCCGTCGCCCCCCAATTCCTCGTCAGGAACCCGTACCGACTCCCGATGATCTCGGCATCGAAGTATGTGGTGAGCTCAGGCCAATCATCCGTCAACCCGCGTATGCGCAGATAGCCACACAAATGGGATGACGCAAAGTCAACATCCTATGGCAGCCAATTGTTTCAATCCACAATTGCCCGTAATCACACAATTCGGACACTGACCACAATGGTAACATTGACGTCGTAGCTGTTCCTGCCGCTCTTCTGCGTGCCCTGAAATGTAGCGCCAGGATAGAGACAGTGGTGACCTTGCGAGCGCACTCGCAACCGCGTGATGTCCGACAATGGGTCAGGCGACGCAGCAAGCGCTGCCTTTGACCGAGCCCTACTGCTAGACGGGGTAGCGAGCTGGACCGGCGAAAGTTGTGCTGTCGATGATGGTTGGGAATGGTGAGGGGGGATGGACTTCGTATCGATGGGTGCAGGGGTCGGGCGAGCGGGAACGTGGACGACAGGCGTCTCTGGCGGGGCCGGTAATGATGCTGGGTGTTCAACATGGACAATCGACAGGGCGCTGGTTGACGGACGGTCCATGTCTTCGTCTTCGTCAAGGCCACGGTCGACCGGGGAATGCGACGCATGAGGGATAGACTCCCTCCGTGGTGCGACTGGTGCCTCGTTGCGTCCGCCTTGCAGAGACTCCGCGCGACGTAAGAGCACCCGTTCCATGGTGAAGTACTCGACGGTCGACGGGGCCTCTGCGCGGTGGGGGACGAGACGGGTGTGGCATGGCCCGCAGACAATGGAAGTCTCGCTGGAGTCGGGGTCGCCGTGAAGAAAGAAAGCAGAATTGGGAGAGTCTGCTGAGAGGGGGCAATGGCAGGCGGAGCAGAGCTTGACCTGCCCCTGGGACTGGTCAGGGGACGGCTGGTCGTGTATCGCGGGAACGGGGTGCTCTGATGGCATAGTGTGGAGGAAAGCGAGGATGTACGGGGACGAGGACGGACGGGGGAGCCTAAAAGCGTGGGGAGAGCGTGTGGGAGCTCGACAGCGGTGGACGAAGCGGCGAGAGCTTCGTGTCTGCACGTGCGGCAATCACCCAGATACGCGCACGGCCAGTCGCAGCCCTCCACCCCTCCTCCTCCCTCCTCCTCCATCCTCGACGCCCCGTCCAGCCTCTGCACACACCGGCGCCCCATCGGTCGTGCGTCCTCTCTACGCCGCCCACGGCCCTCCCAACTGCACCGCATTGCCGTGCGCGGGCGTCCGCCACCCTACCCAGGCGTCTCTCGCACCGCTACTACTCGACAATGTATCCGAAGGCATCTCCCTCGTTCTCGGCCGCCTCGTTTCGGCTCTCGCACTACGCTCGTGGGCACGCTAGCCGCCCGCGGGAGATCGCGATTGACGGTGCCGTCCCACAATTGACAGTCTCCCGGACGTTTCCTCCCGCCGCGCACCCCTTCGGACCTGCATGACAAGAGCGAAGGCGATGCGTCGAGCGGGGCGGCTCGTCCGCTCGTTTCACCACGTACCTCGGTCCCTGTCCGCGCCTCTCGACGCGTCCCGCCAGGTGCTCGAGCCTCGACGGGGCGGGCAATGGCATGACGTCCGTCCTCGTCCTTCTGCTCCATGCGCGACTACCCAGCGAGGCGCGCAGCGAAGCGGCTGTTACGGACTCTGCTTACGGTCGGAGAACCCGCGGCGCTCGATGTGCCATAATCGCATGTCCATCGCTCTCGGGCGTCGTATGTCCACCACTGGTTTGCCACAGGTACTTAAGCTCGCGCTCCCGACACGCTCGCCCCATCCAATCACCGCCGCAGCGGGCGAATGCGAATCTCAGCGCACCGCCGGGAATCTACGCCTTGCTGATCCCAACACTCAATTTGCCCGCATCTGTGGTCCCCAGGCATTCCGCGGGCGCGCGATCATGTTTCCGTCACCCACAGTGCACATCGAGCAGCGATCGAGCCCGGACCGTGCGTCCTGTTCCACGGATCCTCAATGAATCACTCCCGTTCCGAAAATGCTGACCTTCCATTGCAACCGATCCGCGTATGATCATAGTGATGCAGAGTAGTGATATATGTATACTAAATGTCTCTATGCTACGGCGCATCCCCATTCGTGTCGTGCGGCGTGCGTGTCGTCAGAAATAAAAGCTCGTACATCTATCGTGGAAATCCTACGGACGGAAGCTACTGCTTCTCGACGTCGGTGATCTTGCGGCCCAAATCCTCACCACCCGCAATTGTACGGGTGTCTTCTCGTGATATTGACGTCTGCGTCCTTTCTTGTGTTGCGTCATCGTCGCCAGCAGACGGGTTGACCGGCATGTCGCCTGGGTTGCCTTCTGCGACAGCCTCCGCCTGGCCCTTCTCAACGTCGGCCACGTTCGGCTGCTGACTGCCCCGGACGACGTTCCGCTTGAGCGTATATCCACGCAGGAACAAGACTACAAGCGAAAGTGTCAGATACACTCCTCTCACACAGGCCCGAGCAGGCAAATTACCTAGGATAAAGCCAACACCAACGATTGGCGTGTCAACGATCCAAATCGTGCTGATGGCCTCGCAATATGCCTTCATAAGAGCAATGCGGGTCGGCATGTCCTTAAGCAGAGCGTGAGCACTAGACAGACCGTGCTGGCCCCACAAGTCATCACTCACGGAGATCGACCCAATCTGCGGGACAAACTGGTTCAAATTCGACGCAGACACGTTGATGTCCAGCCCGGGTATATCCTTGACCTTCCGTTGGAGGACCTGCCCATTCAATCCCACCGTCAGCCCACCGCAGCGCCGGCATGACGCAAGAAAAGGCACACGCACCCCCGAGAGGATCGCGTCGCCAATCGTGACACCCAACGTTCCGCCGAGTAGCCTGCGAACCGGAGCTGTCAGTCGGAGCGCGCGCGGAGGCCAAAAGCCGAGCTTCGCACCTGATGAAGCCGAAGGTGGCCGTAGTGGTAGCCATGTCCTTCAATGGCATTGCTGCTTGCAAGCCGATTAGGGGCGTCTGGTGGCAGAGGCCGCGCATGAGCACTTGTCATCCATCGCGCTCCTGGCGCTGAATCGATATTACTCGCCTGGAAGAGACATCCCAGGCCAAGGGCACCAATGAGAGGGATGGCTTCCTTGACGCCGCTGTCATGCCATTTCGCTTGCGTTAGTAAGCAGCTAGTACGTGAGTTTGTGGGCGTACTTTGACGATGACTCGCTGAGCATGATCATGAGGCCGTAGCCCAGGGTGAACATCCCCCATGAGACCCACATTACGGGTCTCCAGCGGCCAGTCCTGGCAACGATTTGGCCGGACACGACGGACATGATCGAGGAGCCTAGGGAGTAGGGGAGCATCCTGCATTCGGCGGTGAGCGTCAATAAGTAGGTAGCTGTAGCAGTACGCACCTAACGCCAGACATCGTGGCCGATGCGCCAAGCACCTGGTAGTAGACGGGCAGGTAGAATGTACCGCTGAAGAAGGCGATGGCGTGGAGGAAGACGGTGATCAGGATGAAGGCAGTCGTCCGCACCTATATGAAACAATAAGCAACTACACTGACCCCAGATGTCTTGATGAATATTTACCTTGAAGAGGCGCGGCGGAATGATGGGTGACCTCTTCGTGTATATCTCGTTCACCGTAGCGAGGAGCAGCAGGACAACGCCTATTACCAGCGGCGCGATGGCAGCGGCCGAGTCCCCTGATCGCAGACATTATTGTGAGGCTAGGAAGACTACCACAAAGAATAGAACTCACAGGAGTTCTCGCTGAAGTTGAAGCCAATTAGTACACATACAACACCGCCGATGACCAGGATCAGGCCGACGAAGTCGAATTCCCGGACATGCTCGCGAAGCGGTTTGCCGTGGTGCGGGTTGAGGTTCAGGAAGAAGTACAAGATACCGAAAGCTAGTCCACCGGTCGGCCTACGGTCCACCGCGGTCAGCAGAACGAACTACGGTAGCTGCACTCCAGTGCTCACAGGTTAATGAAGAAACACCTATGACGTAGGGATGTTCAGTGGGAACTCTTGTCTCTTGTCTCTGTGTGCTTACCATCTCCACGAGACGTGCTCCGCAAATACCTATGGATTTTCCGTTAGATACAATATCAGAAACACCCAGGGAAGCTACGCACTCCACCAAGGAGGGGACCAATGACACTGACGAGCGGTCATGAGTCAGCGAACGACGAGCAAAGGTCTAAGTACGCGGGGTTTGCCTCACCTTGCGACTCCCCAAGTTGCTCCGATGAGACCCGCGTATTTCCCTCGGCTATGCGACCGTGAGTGAAGTGGTAATCATGGAGAACATTCCACATACTCTCGGAGAGAGACAATATCTGAGATGGTGATTTGTACGAGCTGCATGATGCCACCACCTCCGATACCCTGAACGGCACGGCAGATGACAAGCCATGTCATGTTCTGAGCGGCACCGCATAGTGCGGACCCGATCTGCAACACATAAGTCCTTCAGCGATAATCCTCTTGACGGAGAGGGGGCGCGGCACTGACGAGGAAGATCAGGATGGAACCAAATAGCACGGGCTTCCGGCCTACATTGAAGTCAGTCGATGTACTTGGGAACGTATTGAAAGACGCGGACCGAAGATATCTGAGAGCTTTCCGTAAACAGTCGAGAGGGCGGCGGCGGCAAGCAGATATGCACTGCAAATTGTCAACGGCTGCATTCGCGAAGTATGGACTCTGCAAGAAATACCTTCCGACCCATCCATAGTCCCGACCTCCACCAATTTTCTCGACAATGGTAGGCAAGGCGGTAGATACGATCGTCTGAGTGTGTTTAGTAAATAGCCGTGACATCAGGGATGGACGTAACTCACCTGATCGAGCGCGGACAGGAACACAGAAGCCATCAATCCAAAAAATACGATAGGTAGCTTGTTCTCTGGCAGAACCTGCTGTTCATTTAATCTCCAGTCTGGTTTTGTTTTCTGAGGGCTAGCCAGAGAAGTCGGGGAGGTGGGAACATCCTCCGGAGCTCGTTTCTCGTCCAGGGTAGCAGCCTGCTGTGCCATGGCTAGGGGTCTAGGAACCTAACGAACGCAAAGGTAACCGGACAAGCCAGCTGGGGGAGGGCTCGAGGGACGCCTGGGGGCACACACGCTCCGCACAATGCGGGTGCATACCATATATTTGCCGGTCAAAAGTAAGCGGAGTCCCCACCATCCCTTCCAACAACATTCTGCCGTCATGCCGCTGCGCCCCCATTGGCCCGCGTCCGTGCAGGCGCTAGGGATGCCGGGCGCTCACTTACATGTTTGTCTTCCGCTGAGGGGCCCCACTGCGCGAGCTGACTGAGTCAGTGACTGATCACGCTGAACGTGCTTCAACTCCTCCCCAGCATGTCCTGGTCTGCAAATTCTCGATGCACCCCTGACCCACCTTGAACGGCCGCGCTACTCGTAGACGCATTCCGAGTCATAGGCGGCACAGCAGCTGACTCAGGAGCCCGCGCCGTGGGCTTGCGTGTACCAAGCCGGAAATGAGACAACCAGTTGCCTGTCCGGTAGGAACGGGCCACCTCCTCGATCACGTTATCCATATGAGATCCTGCGATACATAGGGAGATCGCTGCCAATTATAGCCTCGCCGACCATGCCGTACTCGATCTTCTCATCACACGTAACGGTACACCTGGCTAACGACTCTGCGTAGGGTCCTTCGCAATGAGGCTACTGGCTGCCTTCGGTGTGACTCCGAGAGCGCAGGGCCAAGGTGGACCCTGCGAATCTACGTGAAGTATCCAGGTGAGCAACGACCGCAAGCAAGTACAGTATTGACAGTGTCCAGCGAACGGGGTCGCTTCTCGCACGCGTTTGAGATGGTGGCCGTTTGGTGGCCGAGGACCATGCGCAGCTCTTACGCGCCGACGCCCTTGGACATAAGTACTCTCCTAGTCTGCCGTATATTTGCGGAAGGCTATGCATGACAGTAGATCCAGAAACGACGATTGGTGGGCGGTATGCATACGTACCTGCCTGCCATAAGTTTACTATACATATCCGACACGCGTACCCCACACTTCGAATGAGGATCCTTTGGCGCGAACTCATAACTTGAAGGTTCGTGCTGCGCCGACCCTCATATACATTCACCCACTTGTAATTACTCAGTACTCAGTACTCAGCACTCGGCCATTCGTCACTTGCGAAACACCAAACTGATCAAGGTCCATGGGAATTCTCAGAGCGAGACCGTCCTCGATCAGCCGGAACAAATTTTGTGTTTGGCAAGCCTCGACCTGCGCGGTCATCGCAGTCTCCGGATTCCATTATGTGCCAGTCTCGGGCATCGCTCTACCAATCAGGCAGGCTAACTGGCGGGATTCTGGTATAACTTCCAGAGCAGAACGTAGTCAGGACCGGCTTTCCTTCCAACCATGCGTCAACGGGGGTCTCATTTTGTACGTGACATCATCATGCTCGACGCTCAGTGATTGTCGGGGCAAAGAGTAGAGGATACAGTCACCGCCATACTACACCTCTATGCTGCCGCAGCCGTAGATCCCGTTCCCATGGGGCTGACGTCGAGGCGAAGGACTTACCTGCTTAGGTGATCGTCACTATCATTTGCCAGCACGTTGTGACTCGTCCTCGCTGCTCTCGCGTGTCCCATCGATATTCGCCGGAAATTACTAGAACACCACGCCTTCAGGTTCCCGCTATAGTAATACTAATAGGAGCGAACGAAATGACAAGGCATACATCGTCCGATTTCCCTGCGCATCGTCTACGAACCTCAATGCTAGTATATCACCGTTGATCTTCTCGTCTTCCGAGCCCAACGATGTAAACAAGCACCTGTATGTGCATTGATGGTATATCATGGCGAGCAAGGTCTCGGAGTGCCAGCAAGTGTACTTACGAAGGACGTTATTTCCATTCTGGGAGGAAGGCATCGAGGGATGAACGCATGCTTACATAATTACACTTATCTAATCCTAAGACCTCCAAGAATCTTTGCGCTCGCGTTTTCACTCAGGACCACCACTCTCCTCTTTCTTCCACTCTCCTCCTCCTCTGCATCTCACCTGTCCTCGCAAAATCATGGCCGATCAATCCACGATCCCTACGTTCAAGCTCGTGCTTGGTACGCCTCAATCGCTTGAGTGGCATACGCGCTTTCTGACCTGCTGTGTCCGACGCGTTTTCTCGATCGATACTCGCATTCCGCGTTCTTTGTGCCCCCCTCGCCTCCTCTGACATCCCGGACCTCGTTATGTCGCGCGATGGATACTGATGGCATGCAGTTGGTGATGGAGGTACTGGCAAGACCACCTTCGTCAAGGTATGCTCGACGCGTTTGTCTACCGGCCTGTCTGATCGCGTACTGATCTATCCCCTCCCATAGCGCCACTTGACGGGTGAATTCGAGAAGAAGTACATCGGTATGCCGCGATAGCTCGATGCATGCGAGACGTGTCGTGTCGTCGCTGTTGCTCACGCGCCACCCTGTGCAGCCACCCTCGGTGTCGAGGTCCACCCTCTGTCCTTCTCGACCAACTTTGGCACGATCTGCTTCAACGTCTGGGACACTGCCGGGCAGGAGAAGTTCGGTGGTCTCCGTGATGGCTACTACATTCAGGGCCAGTGCGGTATCATCATGTTCGACGTCACTTCCCGTATCACGTACAAGAACGTGCCTAACTGGCACCGCGATCTTGAGCGTGTTTGCGAGAACATCCCGATCGTGCTCTGCGGTAACAAGGTCGACGTGAAGGTGCGTAGGGATTCTTTTGTTCATGGCGCGCTGCGGCTGACTGCGCACGATCTTGCAGGAGCGGAAAGTGAAGACTGGTCAGGTCACCTTCCACCGGAAGAAGAACATCCAGTACTTCGAGATCTCTGCGAAGTCCAACTATAACTTCGAAAAGCCGTTCCTGTGGCTTGCGAGGAAGCTTGTTGGGTGAGTTCATCGGATCCGCTTTATAATGTCGATCCGCTCAACTGAACTTCGTCCAGTAACCCGGCGCTGGAGTTCGTTGCTGCACCTGCGCTCGCACCGGCTGAGGTCCAGGTTGACCCCGCCCTCATGGAGCAGTACCAGAAGGAGCTTGCACAGGTACGTTCTACGATGATTTGTGACCGATTGGGTCTGATCTCTGGCCAGGCCGAGGCTGTCCCTCTCCCGGAAGAAGACGACGACTTCTAAACATAATGAATGCGCGCCTTTCATCGCTTTCCCCTCGGCTTATCGCTCGTACACTCCTCTGTGTCCCCATACTGTTCCATATACACATTACATTGCAACTTGCTACTCCGAGATCCATCTTCAGTTACGACACCACTGTTATGAATAATTGTGTATGCCAGCATTCGCCCAGAGCGTCATGTCACTAACGTACGGAGGTCGATCGAAGGCATTCAAGTGTATGAATCGAGTTTTTGTAGAATCAATTGAAAGGAAGAAACGTAGTCTCGCCGCAAGACCCTCCACGTTCACGTGCGAGGGGTTTGTGTCGAAGTTGAACGAACCTAGGAAGAAACGAGGGATTTTTTAGTTCGCGGACACGAGAGATCCAATTGAGCCGCCTATGCGTGATACTTATACAGTGAGGGCACGGAGTCAGATACAGGATAGAGTATATGTAAGAGTAGTGATACATTCGGGTCGTCTTCGTGTTACAGCGTTTACATTTGTGATGCCAAGTTCAGCAAACCCCTATTGAGAACCTCAGTCGACAGATTGTCTAGGCCGAGGGCATCAAGAGCGCGTTGTTTGATTCTCAGGGGGGCAGTTGCGAGTTTTCGGAGGGCCTCCTCGTTGCGGATGCCTATCTGAACGAGGCGCGGCATAGCCTCTAGCATATGCATGGGCATGGGAAGCGACAGGAGAAAATCACGGACGGCCGCGTCGCTGCCGCCACTCGGGCGTGGCGGCGGGTCATATCTGACAATTAATGGCTCAGGCTGGCGCTGAGCCTGAACTTGAGGGGGAGCTTGGGGTCGCGGCTGTTCTTCAACATCCCTCTGCGGCTAAACAACATCAGTTCGCGCAGTGACAGATGCAAAAGTTGGGTTGTACGTACCGCAATTGATGGGAGCTGGAGTGTGGAGGAGGCCCGAGTACTAGTGGCTTGCCTGGATGGGCCACGCAACACTCCCACATACAATCGGCACCGTGGCTTTGGGCGAGCTGCTGCAGGCTGTGGGTCTAGGACGGCCTGCTCCCTGTAGACGCGCTTCTTGGCGGCTTGTTGCTTTGGGGCACGTTTGACACGTTCCCTCTGGATGGATTTCTTGCCGCCAGTGGGACGAGGCGCAGGCTGGGGAGTCGGTCGGAACACAGTCTATGGGGTGTCGATCAAAAGACACTGCACCTTCGCGGGCCGCGACTCTGACTTCGGTCGATGGCTCGCCAGCTTCGGTCGATGGCTCGAAAGTTTCGCGAACTTCGTCGTGTACGCCTCAATCGGCCACGGTCCGTCATACTGATACATCATCACCCAGTGTGAGGCCACCTGCGGGGCCGATGGGTATGAGTAATATGCAATGAATAGAGCATTAGTGTGGACGCACGTCATCGATATGTTCTTTCTTCGCGTTGGTGGGTTGTTTCGTCCAAGGGAGCGAGACGACGAGGTGGCGCTCGACAGACTTATCTATGAGTTTCTACATAGACAGATCAGTGAGCGTCCTCCAAAGGCTGTGCATCAATTGACGTACCACGAAGTCATCGAACTCCTCTTCGCTGAGATTCATCTGATTCCGCAAGGTATTGTGCCCGTTCTGAGAGTGTGCGGCACACTGGGCGATCTGACGCGGTCGCTTGATCTTGTATTCTAGAGCGAAGACTCAGCAGTCAGCAATATAATGAACTAGGATTGCAGTAATCGCATACCAAGAGCCTGCCAATCACTGTAATCTGACGACATGGCAAGTATCCTCACACTGCAGGTGCTAGTACTGTGAAGGAGTGCCGGACTCGGAGCGACTGCGATGGGCTGCTACAGGATGTGTGTGATTGCGTACACTCCTGTTTGGTCAGAGCCCGATGAATGCCGCAGATTATGTACAAGATAAGGCGGCTCAATGCCGTGAGTACATCGCGAGTTCCGACCTGGCAGAAACCTTGCAGTCACAAGGTCAATGCCCCCGTGTGCGTTACTTGACCGTTGTGGGCTTGAGGGTCGCTATCATGACCGACTGGAGTCGCCACTGTCGTCGGTCTTTCCCAATGATTTACCTGCTCGCACCGAGCCCCGCTGGTCTTACGCTGTAGACTACTACCTTCGCACGCGCTGCATAGTGACATCGCTCGAGCGACGTGCAGTCGAGGACGTACACGATATTCGTCAACGCGCAGGTGCACACTCAACCCAGCCGGTACATGATCGAACACCCACCGATGGGACAGTACACTTGTGCTTTGGCAACAGTGATATCCATGCTTCATGCAGAGGCAAACTTAGGTGAGGTTGGGATTCGCGAGGGTCCAAGAAGACAGATGAATCCAGGAATCCGATTAGAAAACTGCTTTCCGCTTGCGCCCTGTATACTTCGAGTCGCGGGGAACATCTTCCTTGCCTCTCCGTCGATATAGCTACGTGATCCGCTTAGCTGTCATCATGATATAGGCTTGTAGATGGGACGTACCTCTTTCTTACGAATGATCCAGTCCTTATCCTTGATACTTTTCCGCTTTCCGTTCTTATCCCTCTTCCTCTGACGCTGTCTTGAAGCCTCGAACCTAGCGTGGGCCTGGCCATCTTCCTCCCCTGCCTCTAGACCTTTCGGTATTTGTTGTGCGCCACCGCCGCCTCCTACGTACAGACAGAGGAAGACCTTGCGCGCCTTGTTCGAGTTTGGATAGTCTACCACGACACCGCCTCCAAACCCTGCCTTCTGCGCTATCGAAGTGATCAACTGGACTTGGTCGTCTGAGGTGGGATAGAACTGGAGGACTGCTCTAGAGGGGTTACGTAGTGCTGCGTGTAGTGTAGTGAAGAAGCGTGTCAGGCGGTGCGGAGGAGAGGAGGTTGGATGTGATGTCTCGGCGTTGAGTAACCATTGGATGACGGAGATACTGAGAGCATGTCAGCAGAAACGATATAAAGTCGGATAACTACTAACCTGATGGCACCGTCGAAGCTACCTGGCCGAAAACCGAAGCCCTGACCAATGTCTTGTAGGAAGAGATCGCCTTCGACTTCCCTCTCAAGCGCGACCTCTATAGGCCATCAGTTGAACGGCACGATACGTGGGAAGACATAGAAGATATACCTAGCATGCTCGGCGCGACGTCTACGCCCACCCATACATGACCCTGTTCGTCCAGGATCTCGCCTGAGAGCCCAGATCCGCATCCGATGTCGAGCAGGAAAGCAGGCTGGTCCGACGGCAAATTGAGGAGTTCCAAAGCACGATAAGTCATGTCGGCTTGGATCTGCTGTATACGAGAGCTGCGGTGAGATGAGATATGGCACCTCATGGTAAAGTGAGTAGACGCACTTGTTCGTATACTTTTTGGCTTCGGTGTCGCCATAGTACTAAGCGAAGACATGAGGCTATCAAGCGTGTAGGAGAATAGAGTTGCCTACAATTTCTGGTGGTGCTTGTAGCTCTGGACGGGACATGTTGAGGGCGGCAAGCGGGTGGAGAAGAGACTGGCCAGCCGTGCGGTTTGCGCCTGGGACCGAAATCTTCGGGGATGCTCGACTAGATCTCGATCTCAGATCTACAGCAGCCCCGGGCGCCTGATTATGGGCGCCCATGCGGGTGGACAAGCGCGTCGCGTGAACTTGGAATCAGCCACTCCTGCCCAACTCCTGCCCGGACACTCTCCACGGCCCTATTTCGTGCTGTCCCTGTCTTCGACATGCCGCCGAAACGGACACGCCGAACACCTCCTGCACAGTCTGGACTTTACGCTGGAGAGCGGCTCAAGCGCGCAAAACTCACAGACAGCAGAGGCTATTCAGCTTGGGGATGGGTGGGGACGGAGGTGTCTGACGCATCCCAAATCGCTCTACAACATCGGTTAGCCACCTGTGGCTTCTCGGAGAACAGCTCACATCCTCTATGTCTGAACCGCTACGCCTCTGCCAAGTCGCCATCCATGCAGAAGAGTTGTCTGAACGGTGGCGGAAAGGTGGCAGAGGGGGAGCTGGAGGATGATATCATTGTCATTTCGGACGATGAGGCACCCAGATGTACCAGTAAGGCTTGCAAGTCAAACCCGTATTGTCTCAACTATCTTGGCCAAGAGAAGTGGGAAGATGAAGGTGAGAGATACCGAATAACGAAGACACAGAAAGTCGTGACAACGCTCTGTCAGTGAAAGCACGCAATGCTTTTCTGAAGGCTGCCAATCTCGGAGAGAATCCGGCGAAGCACTCCAGGAAGCCAGGACTTCCCGTTGGTTTGAGAGTATGTGAATGAGCTATCTTTGTTTGAGCGCGTCTTGACAATGGCTTTGTCTCGTTAGAACCTGGGTGCTACATGCTATGCAAACGCATACCTACAGGTCATAGTCTCGTAACGTTGAAACTTCTGCGACTCAACTTCTCTCTACAGGTATGGTTCCAGGACTTGCCCTTCCGCAATGGCGTCTACAGGTGCCAGTTGCCCGAGGATGAGAAGTTCAGCTTGGAGGTGCGTTCCTCACAGTGGCTCTCCGATCAACAATTCACTGTTAGTAGGTTTCACCCATTTTTCAGCTTCAAGTCGCGTTCGCAGCGATGCAAGAAGGCATGGAGAGCGCTTTCAACCCCGTCAAGTTGGTAGAAAGTCTGAAACTTCGGACCACGGAGCAGCAAGACGCACAAGAGTAGAGTTCTAATCATAGTTGCTGCGCTATGTGTTTTCACACATTGCCTCTAGGTTCTCAAAACTATTCATGGCCCACCTCGACACTGAATTTCAGAAACAGCCGGATCCGACACTCAAAACGCTGGTAGCCAATCAGGTATGAAGCACGATGCAATTCCGTCTGTCCGCGGTCGCTCATGGTCGCTCATGTCAACCAGTTTCAAGGCAAACAGACCTATGTCACAACATGCCAGAAGTGTCAGTATCGCTCAGAACGGAGTTCGGACTTCCTTGAGCTCGAGGTCACAATCAAGGTTTGTAATATGGCAGGCTGGCAACCTCCGTCTAACGTCAACTACAGAACAATTCAACACTCGAAGAACGAATGGCAGCTGTGCTCGAGCCTGAGATGATGTCCGGAGACAACCAGTATGCCTCGCCGTCCTTCCATGCCTCATCAGTCACCTCATGTGCCACAGGTACTCTTGTCCGCGGTGTGAACGCCTACAAGATGCGAAGCGACATATGGAGCTCAGCTCCCTCCCTCCCGTGCTCCACTTCTCCTTGCTGCGCTTCGTGTACGATCTGTCGACCATGGAGCGCAAGAAGAGCAAGCACAACATATCCTACCCAACCACGATCGATATGGACAGGTTCCTCGGGCCTCCGGAGTCAGGCCCTCGGAAGCGACGGCGGAGAGGTGACGATCAGAAGACTTTGTACCAGCTGCGGGGCATTCTGTTGCACAAAGGCGCCAGTGCATATCATGGTCACTATGAAGCACAGGTGTTCGATGTTCAGTAGGTTCCACCCGTCTATTGGTGCAGCACATGTTTTGACTGCGTCGTGCGAAGCACTCAATCATGGTACCAGTTCAACGACGAGACAGTAACCAAGATTGATTCGCTCGTGGGGAAAGTACCAAATGGTACTCAAGCTGGCTCGAAGGCGAAGTACGTGAACTGCGATGCTGTTTAAGTACTACAAGCCTGAGGCAGTGATTGTTTCAACAGGAAGAACTCAGCGCCAACAACAACCAATGGCAAGGCCAAGAAGACTCCCCCATCCGCTGAGAGCGATAACAGCGACATCGAGATTCTGGAGTACGTCTTCTCATTTCATGCATCGCGGCTAATGTGAACACGGCGCACAGACAATCATCGCCCGCAGAGACAGACAAGCCTTCGCTCGATAGACCAGTGTAAGAGGATATACAATGGTCCACATGCGAAACAAAAGATCTGATGTTGTATAGGTACATCTCATCCAAGGAAGCATACATGCTCGTCTATTCCCGCGTTGACAATGTCAAGTCTGCTAGCGCAGAGCGCCCTGCGACGTCCACTGGCACAGGCCAGGACCATCATACAGCCGGCATGTCCCTCCCGAGACCACCCCCGCGAGCGGAAGCAGCTGTTGCTGCTTTGAACGAATGGCAAGCGTCGGCATGTAAGGCGTACGACGACAAGTGAGGACTGGTTGCCCAGACTGTCGCTGACTAGACTAACACACGAGACAGGAAACAGCAGACGCTGGCTCAGTTCGACGAGATACGCCAGAGAATCATGAGCATCGTCAAGTCGTGGAACCTCACTTCTCGCGATCAGGTACGCACCACTCACTCGTTGACCGCCGCTACTTTACGATTGTCGTGTAGGAGTGTGTGGTGGCGAGCCGGCAAGGTCTCGAATCGTGGATATCACGCCATCTAAAGCCACTATCGCCCTCAAAGCCTGAGTCTGAGTCTGAGTCGAAGGCCAATGATGAGACAGCTAGTGCCTCACCCGCGGAAGACAAGGACCCGGACTCGAGTAAGTGAAAGTTGCACGGAGGCCTCACAATCTGAATATCTGTAGTAGAGCCCACTAGCGATAAGGACGTCATAACCATGTCGCAGGTCTTGTGCGAGCACGGTCGGTTGGATCCCAGCAAGGCTGGTGACATGAAGCTCATAACCACGGTGTGTCCGTCTGGTAGTCTTGTGCGAGCATGCAACCCGCTCACTCGAAACAGGCAGCGCACCGACGAATCGCTGTGGAAGAGGCTTGTGAGCTGACACCAGCTCTTCATCCTCTCAATGTATGCGAAGAGTGTGTCGTAGCTTTATTCAACGGTAGGATCTTGTCTGCCTGTCTTCCATGCACTGACGTCTGATGTTCCGTATGCAGAGAAGCTGTATCAGGTCGAACATCCGCGCTTGGTGGATCAGTTTGACAGTATTTCGGCGGTTGAAGAGGATGAGCCTGGCTATTGGATATCGAAGCAATGGTTGAAAGGTATGCCGCACACTGGAGAGTCAAGACCCAATCTCATCGTCGACCAGACTGGAGACTATCGAAGCCGAAGATGCATGTCCCGTCGGGACCAGATTCTCCTCCAGATGCCCCCGACTTCGTGCAAGACGTCAAATGCGAACATGGTGGTCTGTCTGCTAACATCACTGCTCGCCGGCGAATATCTCCAGAGGTGTGTCTCGTGGTCGTAGGAAGCCACTGTACTGACGTGCCGTACAGGCGTATGTTATTCTGAGGCGTCTTTTTCCAAGCTGGGAAGCATTGTCGACAGACGCCGAACTGTGCCCAGTATGTGAAGCACTCCTACATATCTCTAAAGAGGACAAGCGCGAGTTTCGGAGACAAGCCGAAGAGGAAAAGGTGCGAAATACGTATATCTGGGCATAGTAGCTGCCAACAACCGATCACGTAGGCGAGGCTCAAGCACATGTACGACAATGCATTGAACGGGAACACTGCCTTGCTCGAGAACACACCTTGCGCCATCGTGCCTGCTCAGTTCGTTCGAGCATGGAGGCAGTGGCTCCTACGTCCGGCTGAGGTTTCCCGTCCAGACAAACTTGATAATTCACTGTTTATCTGCGAGCACGGCCTCCTAACCCTAGATCCGAATGTCAACAGCGACATGGACACCTCAGTCACGATCATTAAGCGCACTGATTGGGCTACTATCGAAGAACTGTAAGGTTTACCACGGATACTAGTCACCTCACTTGCTCACGTTGCATATACAGATACACCGCAGGTCCGTTGATCGCGATAGAAAATACGGGTTCAGAAATCGAGCACGAGCTGCCAGTGTGTGCACCATGTCGCCTGAAAAGGTACTACGAGCTTACAACAAGGTTGCTGCGTGCTAACACAATCGCTAGGAAATCAACATTTGATGTCACTGAGATCACCATCCGCATCCTACGTCCTGACGCCCCAACACCTAGCCCCGAGACCTACTCCGAAGAACCAACAGCAGGACGAGTGGCAGAGACGACCAAACTGTCTACACTCGTGACGTATGGCTCTCGGAAGAATGGGGCGTTACGACAATCAAGCAGGATTAGGCAGGTGAAAGAACAAGGCAAACGCCGTCGGGTCACCATCACGAGTGCTATGTCAGTGAAGGAACTCAAAATTTCGGTATGTGGCAGTGTGGAGGTCTCATTTTGGTGACTGACGATGTCATGCAGCTCCAAGAAGAACTAAGTATCCCGGTGATATCTCAACGACTCTACTACCATGGCCAAGAGCTGGATGACAGTTCTGCAAAACTCGCATCTCTGGGTATCTTATCGAATGATCTGCTGGATCTGCAAGAACAGGCCGAAGATGTCGACCTACTCAGTGATTCGGACAATGAACCGGGGGAGCGTCATAGGAAGAGGAGAACAGAGGGTCAAGGCTTCGGAGGCACACTTCTCGGCGGGCTCCCCGCTTCTGACATGGAATCGCAAGCAGTTGCCCATGTTCCAAAACCTTCCACGAGAGCTTGCCCCGCTTGTACCTTCGAGAACACCCTCGACTCCGCGGCTTGCACCGTCTGCGAAACTGTGATGTAGTGGCTCATGCCTCTGGTAGGCTCGGGGCCAAGGAGGAGGTCACAAAGTCAAGATGTACGTACATACATAGTGGTTAGTAATTACAAGTTCGGCGGTAGCAATGGTGCTTTTTCTACAGAACGGAAAACATAATACAGCGAATGACTGTGCGGAGGAGAGAACGTCGAACCATGCGTGCAGTCTATGGCAAACCCGGGATGTAACACATAATATAGCAACTGGTCCGCGACACGGGAACTAAGATGTAGAATAAAAGACGGGGACAGAGGCTGGCGGAATGGAGATGCCATAGTGCGGCGACGTTGTGCCCATCGTATGCAACCGGCTAGCGTCTGCAGCGCCAAGTTGAGACTCCATGATCGCACCCGGCGGGATTGGCAGCCTAGTGTGCTGTGTTTGCTGCTGCAGCAGCGAGCTCGCAGTCATCAGGACATCCATCTCGCTGGACAAAGGCCCGATCATGTCCACCGCCTGGGCCACTGCGGACTGCGTGGCTACCGACACATCCTTCACCGTAACCTGGGCCGCAGAGGTTTGCGACGGAGAAATACCGGCAGAGACGGCGGCCACGTTGCGGTCGGCAGCGACCTGACGAGCAGCTTGGAGCACGACTTGCTGAGCAGCTGCCGTCAGGGCGTTCGATTGGGACGTGCCCTCCTGTGCTTCTGCAGCCATCTTCGAGTTGATCGCTTGCGCGGTCACCGTCAGGACGTGTTGCTGTTTAGCAAGCGCCTGCAGTTCGGGCCCGACATCGTTAGGAGAGGCTACGACTTGTGACTGTGCCTCCTGTGCGACTCGCTGGGCAGCGGTGGTCAGCACTTGGACCACTTGGGAATCAGGGGCAACTACAGGAGCTATAGGCGTCATTGTCGTCTGTGCTCGAAGCATTCTGTCAGAAGTATTAGTTGAGTCAAGCTACAGACGGCAGCAACACGACCGACCGAGGTGGATTAGACTGCCCGACCACCGTATCGCTCATGACACGGCGAGGGTTTTGGATGTCACCGACCAAAGACGGCCGTCGTGAAGGAGTGAACGTCGAGTCCACTGATGCCATAGGGGCAATGGTCACATGCACCGTTTGGGATAGGAACTCCTCTTTGCCGTCTTGTATGAACTGGCGAGTTACCGTCAGACTAAGCGAGAAAAAGGAAAAGAAAACCACCAACTCTAGCCTCAACCGTGACGTCGCAGTTCTGAGCATCGGGTGTGGGTATTCCGGACAATACATCATCTTTCCAAGACAACCATGACGGAAGTGACGGAGAGCTATATTTAACGGGCATATTGGTCCGCGACGCTTGAGGGTCCCAAATGCGTGGAGCCCAAGACCACCGCAATCCGACATAAGCCACCCCAGGTGGTGTACCGGCCAATCTCCGCTTGAAAGGACGAAACATCCAACCAGTGTCGGTTTTCTTCGCATCGACATGCCAGATATGGTTGCCCTTCGATTTCGACTTCTTGCCATCCTCGTTGAACCGAGAGATATAAGGCTGGTTCCACAAGAAGTTGCGGATCTTTACGCGTGACGTATCGGTGAGCTCGGGGATAGGACAGCGAGAAGACAAGGATGCACCTTTTTCATCGGGATCTTTTCCTCCGGATAGCCCTGGCGGGCGAGCTAACGTATATTGAGTGATGCGCACTTGTGCGAGCAATGTGCAACGTACCTCCTCGAGGAATGCGTTGGTGAACGCCTGAATCCGGAACTTGAATGGCCGAAAATCAGGCGATTCGTCGAGCCGTTGCATCTTCTTGGCCATGAGCGTCTGGTGTATAGGCTCCCCCTTCGCGTCGGTCGCCTCCACTGTAGAGATCGATCAGTACCCTGAATCTGACGATTGCCGACTATAACGTACGGTTCGAGCAGGTATTGTCGAGGAACTCGAAGAAGATGCGCTCAACCTCGGCACGATACTCCTGTGGGACTTCATTTGCATGGCCCGAGGCTGTCGATCCACCCTCGGCAGAAGGTGATCCGCGGCTCATGCGCCGTTGACCCCCACGGGGCGGCTGCATAGAAGCCGGCGGCCCCTCGGCACCGACTACAACGTCCGCTCCTTCAGCTCCGGCAGAGGGAGAGTGGTATTGTGAGTGCGGGAAGTCGCCGAAGTCGTCATCGGAGTCCTGCCCATCCATCTCATCATCAAGCGCGGGGGACGAAGCACGAGAGTACATCGCAGCCGCTTGGCGCGCTTGCATGATGTCGTACGGAAGGTTTGGCGGTTCACCTTGTTGATGAGCGAAAGACGAGGAACGCGAAGAGCGCACAGAGTGATGGGAAATTAATGAGGCAGACGATGAAGATGCCATGGGTATTGATTGCTGCTGCGATAACAAGGTAGCTCGAGTAGGCGAATGGAATGCAGGCGGCGGCGGAAACTGCAATGAAGACGGGCCGCCTGCAGATACGCCAGACTCCGGGATCCGCACCAAGACGGCGCCGGCGGACAAGGAGTGTTGATGGTGATGAGTGAAAGATGCTGACGGGTCTCGCCACATGCCTCCAGGAAGTGAAGGATTGAAGCCAGTAGACGGCAGAGCAGTAGAAGGCACGCTAGATGCGATGGGAGATACGTATTCCGTTGCAGTGCGTGCCAGACCCGATAAACTGTCCAGTGTAGGATACTGTACACCCGCTTGCAACGGGTGTGAGGAATTAGGTGGGTCCGACGCAAGGGCCAATGGATGAGGGGGTATCCCAGCAGAGCTTTGTGGACGTGAAGTGGAGCCGGTCGATGATAGCGATGATGGGAGGGAGGATATATCGCTCAGCGACGATACGAGCGGAGGTGGTATCGTAGAGGGAGCAAAGGCAAAACCAGAGGAAGCGTGCGTTGAAGTCGACAAACGCCTGGCTGGCACCGCGGGTATGGGCTGTGGTTCTTCTTGAGGTTCCAGCTTCATGGCCTTCATGGCTCGATCGCCGTCTATAGCAGACGCGCCACGTTTTCGCGAGAGGTCAGAGGTGTCGTACATCGCGTTGGGGTCGAGTTGGTTGGACGGCTGGAAGACCGAGAGCGCATTTAAGTGCTGGTGTTGCTCGACGTCCAGCCCAGCTGTGACTGAAAAGGTCCGCTGCTAAGTGACATTACGCAGGCGAGGGAAGGGCGACCAACCAGATGCATCAGCTATTTTCACTTGAGAAACGAGTTCTGCGACGAGTAGTACATTCCGCTTCAACTCATCTACGATCTGCTGCGCATCCGTGGTAGAACCCATGTCGCAGGCTTTGCTAGCGGAACTCGCCGTACGTGCAATGCTAACAGAGGAGGATCAGTGTCAGCAATTGGCAGGTAGACTCAATAGCGGAAGGGATTGTTTACTAACTTTTTCAACATGGTGCCTAAGGCGAATAAATGCGGACTCCCTTGCTCCGGCGAGTCTTCATTTGCGTTTGCACAAAGCTGGGCGTCATAACGAGGATATGGAAACCCAGGGTCAAAGCTTGATGTCGCAGGTCCACTACTCGTAGATGAAAAGCCTAGCTCCGAGCCAGAGCTTAATAGTTCTGGGGGTGACCCTGATGACTCGGTGCGGCTTTGAGATGCATCAACGCCATTAAGTGCGGAAACAAGGGAGGACGGTGTAGCAGAGAACGACGGGGCCACGCCGTTGACAGCAGGAGAGGAAGCGTGGGATGGGCTTGTCGACGCAGTCGTCGCGCTGGGTGATGAGGCGAGGCGAGCGACGTCAACTGCGTCGAGACCGTTGATATGATCGAGTGTAAACGAGGTGTTTTGGCCACCAAACTCTGCCATAAGCCGCTGCGTCACCGCTGCGTCTGCAGCCGTCTCGGAGACGACCTCCATGGCAGATCCTTTCTGTGGTCGAGCCGGTAGATTGCCCAGAGACAAATCCGGAGGAAGGGAGATAGCGTGGGCGGTATCCATCTCGGGCTGATACAGAGTCGTCATGTGGGGATGAACATGGGTGACGGGGGTGGCAGGGACGGTGCCATCGACTTGCGAAGACGACATCATGTTCGGGAACCCCGCCGCGTTACTGTTGGTTTGAAATCGCTGAAAAGACTGCGAATCGAGAGTTGCGGCTGTAAGTGCAGCGTTCGCCGAGGATTGCAGTTCCTGTTGCGAAGCCATGATAGCGGCGGTGCAGATGACGAGTACCGTCCGTGCACTGGCCTAACAACAGCAGGCGTGCCTGTCAAGCACTCTGATCGCCTCGGTAAAGTCTTGAACTCCCCGACCTAGGCAGCGGTGGAAAACCTGGGTATGTCACACAATGGCTTCACGAAGGGTCCTGATGCCACTGACGAGCGAAAATACCTCCGCAAGCACGACGCGAGCGGTGTGGGGATCACGACGATCGCTGGAAGGGTCCTCGTATCCTATCGTCTGTCGGGAGAAGCAAGGCCGTAGGGCTCGAGGGGGGCGGTGTTGCAGGAGACGAGCAGGACCCTGTGTCGGCGGTCGGGCGTGCTGAGCAGCGGGCGGAGGATGCGAGGCGGATGGGATGAAGTCGAGACCGTAACCTGCACTGGCGAGAGGACGCCTTCCCAATTAGCCGTAGCTGAGAATTCATGAACTCCGGTATTGGCTTATCTAATCAAACAGTAATAAACACCGCAGATAGCAGCCACTCCGTCTTCGCGCGCCACCATCGCCCGCTTCGCGTACACACCTCTCCGTCCTCAGGCTCGTCCTCGCCTCCCCTTCGCCGCTTCTCCTCGCAGGCCCCACGGCCCAGCCCTCCCGCCGCGGCGCTGGGCTTCACGGCACCGTCGTTTGGCTTCTGGCTTGCTACGACAATGCACGGCGCGCACACGGCCCCAGCCACCAGGCGGCGCTTTCCTGTCGAATCAGGATGTCGCGTTCGTGCAGCTGGCGAGGCCTGGGCCTTCCCGCAGGTAGACCTGCCATGCAAGTCATATAACACCTGGACACGATACCCGTCGATAGTGCCATCCGAACATCCTCCCAGACAGGATAATGTGAAGCTCCGTCTGCGCGTGAAGACACACTATCTAGCGCTTGCCTTCCCATCTCCCTCCAGTCGCCTTCCCGTGCCTTGGCCACGATGGGACTCGTGATAGATGTGAGTAATCGCGTCGCATACATTGCTACATCAGCCATTGCCTTTGACTCTCAGGCTCTGTCCACCCAGACGTAACGGCACAATATCCGCATAATGCAGCGGAACGCCTACAGTGTAGCCGTCTATCACCTGCACGGGTAGTCAGAGGATGTGCTTCGACATCTCAGCCGCCTCAGCTCTAGGCCCGTCGTCCGCATGTCGTTGCACCTTCGCCTCTCCGCTGATGAGGTACTTTTTAATACCATATCCGTGCTAGCGGTATGCAATGGAGCGTCCGGACGTCCGATGTTATGGCTTATGGCCCGAGTCGATCTGCAATCGCCGGAAGTAGCAATGTACATTCCGCAGATGTGTAGCTGCACGCATTGATCTTGGCCCGCCTCGCCATTGCCAGGCGATCCTGTGCATGTGTCCGTAGATAGTTGTGAAATAGACCAGAATGGCCCGACATTTCGGCGTGCTTGTCCCACCGGACTTGAGAGAGTGGCCTTGATTGGGCCGATCCAGTCTGTCGCCCACGCACGATCGCCCTAGACGCCCATCGTGCTCTGCCCTCTGCATCCGTCCTGCGCGTCGCATACCCGCGATGGCATCAACAAGCAAACAGTACAAGGCCATAGGCGAAGACATATGGAAGGGCAGGACAGAGAAGATCGTACGTTCTTGCTCCGGGCTGCATACATCATGTCCCTGGCGCACGCGCAAGCCTGACTTACTGAAGACATAGAATGCAGAGCTGTTTGCTCTCACATATGGAGCCCTCGTGGTACAGCTCATACAGGACTATGAAGATTACGCAGAGGTCAACAAGCAACTAGAGAAGATGGGCTACAACATTGGAACGCGTCTCATCGAGGACTTCCTTGCGCGGAGTGCGATCGGACGCTGTTCGGATTTTAAGGAGGTCGGGGAGGTGGTCGCGAAGGTGCGTAGACGTCCGTTGTGTAGACGATCGATTCACCATGTGTAATCGTTGGACAACACAGGTCGGCTTCAAGTCTTTCCTGAACATAACTCCCACCGTGATGCATGCCGGACCCCTCCCGTCCGAATCAACACGAAGTAGCACTCCGACTCCTTCAGCAAATGCAGTAGGGTCGTCCTTCACGTTGACCCTGGACGAAAACCCTCTTGCGGAGTTTGTGGAACTTCCAGAGGAGGCGCTCGAAGGCGGGTTGTGGTTCAGCAACGTGTTGTGTGGTGTCCTGAGAGGTGCTCTGGAAATGGTAACGCATGCTGCACGTTTTACCCCGCTCTCGACCCCTCTGATAGCGTGTCCTCTCTTCAGGTTCAGATGCAGGTCCAGGCGAGCTTCATAGCAGATGTGTTGCGTGGCGATGAGACCACTGAGATCCGAGTGACGCTGCTCAAGTACTTGGAGGAGGAAGTGCCTGTAGGAGACGACTAGACGTGTGTACGCGCCGATGTACAGTACGCTAAATTATTCCACCCCTGGCCCAAGGAGCTCGATGTATTGCAGCGTGAATATCCAGCGCGGTGAAGGACTAGTGCAAACAGCAACATATGATTCCTCGCCCAACACGTCGCACTCCGACCACCCCTGCACTCTCTCTATGCGTACCGCACGACCCTGTTGAGCTTCCTCGCCGTGTGCGCGTTGGGTCTTGATCTCTGGCCCCTGACGGGGAATCCCAGGGCGTGCCGCAGACCCACGTAACTCCCAATGTTACGCAAATGTGCGATGTTGTCCCTGATATCCCTGCGCAGCTCTGCCCCAATCCTGAGGCCTCTCAGCTTATCGCCGGGGAGCTCCTTCTCCGGGTTGGAAGCATCCACAGTCGTAGGTCGCCGTGGAGCGGCGGGAATCGGTTCTGACAGCCGTGGAGGGACGTAATCCGGCGTCGCGAGCGGAAAGTGCGGTAAGGTGGATGCGGTAGATGGCGACGAGAGGAAGCCCGTTAAGCTAGTAATTTGCGAGGGTGTGAGCTCGCGAATCTTGCACCTATCATGTATTTGAGTACGAGCACAGAGCCTAGCGGCGGTGAGGTGTCCAACGCCGTAGAAATGGGTCAAGGCAAACTATGACGCCGGTCAGTACCCGAGCAAGAGGATAGGTCGGTGCGCATACCTTGACCAGCTGCTTCTCTGGCAGCAAGGTACCAAGGATGTGCACCATCCTGTATGAGCTGTGGTCGGCGCTCAGTCGTCCAGCGTGCAAAAGGATGGGAGACGCGAACAAGCGCCGGTGAGACGCCGGGCTACTTCGGTTTCGAACTCCGAGCCGAACCACTCGAACAGCAACCATCCACTGACTCCTTGGCTGACTCTACTCGCCCTCCCGGTGCTGCATATCTGGTGTGACGATGTCGAACAACAAGGCAGAAGGAAGGCGCGAGGATGCCTTGGCTAAGCAGCGCAATCAAATGCGCGAGGAGTTTGAACGGCAGAAGCAGTCTCTCATCAACGAAACGGAGAAGGCTCGCCCCTCATCCAACCGTTTCGTCGGCCAGAATGACTCCATGGAGGATACGCTCAAGAAGAGCACCGTTGGTCTTGTCAAGCTAGAGGACTTCCAACAGCGACGGAAGGAACTCGAGGAGGCAAAGGCTAGAGAAGCTGCACGGACGAGCGAGCTGAAGTATGTCGTGTTTCCATTTGAGTTGTCGTTCTAGCCCGTGCGTGAGCAGTCCACTAATCAGAAGTGGAGAATTTGTTTAGAGATGAGCAAAAGAAGGCGAAAAAGCGGAAGAAGGCGGCAAAGTCAACGCTCTCCTTCGCCATGGACGAGGAGGGAGAAGGCGAGGATGACGCCGACAACGGAGAGCAGCCCGCTAAGCGGCCCAAGTCGCGCAAGAATCCCAATGTCGACACGTCGTTCTTGCCTGACCGCGAACGCGAGGAGGCAGAGCGACATCAGCGCGAGGAGCTCCGACAGGAATGGCTGAGGAAGCAAGAGGAGATGAAGCAAGAAGAAATTGAGATTACATACTCATTTTGGGATGGCAGCGGTCATCGTAAGAGCGTGATGGTGAGTCGCCTTCCGTAGAGTAGCTGGGCACGGCCTGACCACGTAGAACATGCACGCGGATTGTTTGCCCATCCCTGCCTAGTGCAAGAAAGGCGATGAAATAGCTACATTCTTGGAGAAGTGCAGGCAGCAATTCCCTGAACTTCGAGGTGTCAGCGTTGACAATCTCATGTATGTGAAGGTAAGATGTTCGTCGACGTTAGTACCGCAGGAATTATTGATGTCTCCACAGGAGGACTTGATCATCCCACACGTGAGTTTGCATGCACTGTGTGTGTTCTGTTATTGACGTGCACCGTAGCACTATACCTTCTACGACTTCATAGTCAACAAGGCCCGTGGCAAGTCTGGCCCGTTGTTCAATTTCGATGTTCACGACGATGTTCGCCTGCTGGTTGACGCCACCATTGAGAAGGACGAATCGCATGCGGGGAAGGTCGTGGAAAGAAGTTACTATCAGCGAAACAAACATATATTCCCTGCGTCGAGATGGGAGGTGAGCATGTCATGCGGCAGTGTGCTGTGCGATACATACTCACAAGGTACAGGTATACGAGCCAGAGAGGAATTACGGGAAGTATACGATAGCTTGATCGTCATCGCAAGACCTCTACTCGCAAACATATCTATCGTTCTCGTACCCGCACGTCTTTTGTCGTTGCATCATGGCTTTCCCGTGTTTGTACGTCGCTCGCTGAACTATCAGCACCGTGAATAGTAACTGCGCTATTCGCTCTCCATGCCACATGTATCACTATTCTACGAGCCAAGGTCTTCGTTGCCCCTCCGCCGGAGATGTTCTCTTTAAAGTTGCCTAGGCCAGGCTCATAGACTTCCGTCTACTCATCCGGCGCAGGATATATATTATCAACGGCATCGTGTAGTAATACTTTGCTTCGTTGCGCTAGTAAAAGACATGACTAAGAATTTGTTTTGGATAAATTTTGTATGGCCGAGATAGCTCAGTTGGGAGAGCAGTAGACTGAAGGCAGGAAGGTTCCAGCAGCTGGCTCGAATTCTAAAGGTCGGGCGTTCAATCCGCCCTCTTGGCAATCATATTTTTATTTTACGTGTGCTCGCAATGGCAGAGAACTCACGAATCGCAGGGGGACTCACAAAATCCGTCTCGGGAGTTGAAGCCAGCATAGACGCCGAAGGCAAGCCGATCACGTGGTCGGTATCTAGTGACGCTCCTGTGCATGCAGTCGTTCGAAATCCAGAGTGGCGATTGAGTCGGATTGTCCCTTCCTATACTCGCCTCCTCTGTATTGCGCCGAAGATGTCTGGTGCTGGTCCTCGCGAGAATATTTTCCCCACCCGGATGGCTTTGACGAATACGAAGCTGCGCCTCAAGGGCGCACAGACAGGCCATTCGTTGCTTGCGAAGAAGCGCGATGCCCTTACGACAAGGTTTCGGGCGATTTTGCGTAGGGTCGATGAGGTGGGTGGTTACAGCCATTGGGACATCGCACCCCGTATCAATGAATGCGCTAGTGCTTACCGTCGCTGATGTGCGTAGGCGAAGCGGAAGATGGGCCGGGTCATGCAGTTGGCGTCCTTCTCACTAGCAGAGGTCACATATGCCACAGGAGACATCGCGTATCTGGTGCAGGAACAGGCAAAGACCGCAACCTTCCGAGTGAAGGCGAAGCAGGAGAACGTCTCTGGGGTCGTCCTTCCGACGTTCGAAGTGGATCGTGTCCCGGGAACAGGTCAGTACGAAACGTACATTATAGCTATTGTCTTCTCAATCTCTGCCCTGCAGATTTCAACCTGACCGGTCTCGGACGCGGCGGACAGCAGGTCATCCGAGCGAAGGAGGTCTACGCTAAGGCCGTTGAGACACTAGTGGAACTCGCATCCCTTCAAACAGCATTCATGATTCTGGACGAGGTCATCCGTGCGACAAATCGCCGTGTCAACGCAATCGAACACGTCGTCATTCCTCGATTGGAGAATACCATCAAGTACATTTTGAGCGAGCTCGATGAGATGGATCGTGAAGAGTTCTTCAGGTATGGATCCTTCCCTGCCTAAATGGTACGTCTCGCTAACATAAGGCACCCAGGCTGAAGAAAGTACAAGGCAAGAAGAAGCGAGACGCAGAGACAGCGGAAACACAGCGGAGACTGCTTGAGGAGACACAAGAGTCAGTAGACATCACACCTGAGCTTGGCGGAGGAGGTGGAGACTTGCTTAGCAGCAAAGACGAGGATGTCATCTTCTGATCCAACCCGTTGACCTTATGTATACCAGCTTCTCTCTCCATATCTGCCTTTTTACACATTCGTCTCGCATACTTTCCATGCCACGACGACAGTGAGAACGGTGGCATGGTAGATGGCCTGAAGGCCCATATGGCATATGATGTGCGTAATGGCGCATACATACATGGTGTATTTTGAGATGCAATGCGACAGCCGAAAAGAGAAGAACACAAACGAACACGCAATCACTACGGTTGTTTCAAGAGTCAGAAAACACAATCACTTTCATGAGGGACTGACTCACGTCAACCATCTCCACATCCTCACCCGACTTGCCGTTCTTCTTGCGGTCTTTCCTGTCGAGAATTGCCCGCCTGCACCAGCCATGTGCCCTCAGAGGGTGGACAGACAACGAGTGTGCTTTTACATACCTGTCCTTGTCCAGCTTGATCGTAGTGATGACAACATTGCTGGGGTGGATGCCAATGGGTACCGTCGCGCCGTTCGACTTGTCGCGCTGGACACGGTCAACGTGGATCACCCACTTCTTGCGGTACACCTGCGTGACCTTGCCCTCCCGACCCTTGTACTTTCCCCGCACGATCCGCACCTCGTCGTCCTTGCGGATGGGTAGTGACCGTGCCTATGGAAACGCATGAGCGTTCAACCTTCACGTCGCAAAGTGGGGACATACGTTGTGCTTGCCGCGGAGCTCTTTGGAGAGCGCCGAGGACATGATCTTGCGGCGGACAGACGAGGGGGCGGCGAAGTGCGCCTTGCGCGACTTGCGCCGGGAGGAGGAAACGTCTAAAGTACAGAAAGTGTCAGCACAAGGTCGGCCTACCAAGACGACATCCAATCCGCCGAGCATGCATCCAGCCTTCAAATCCACCCAGATCGACCGTTTTTTCGCGCTCTAGCAGACCGACGGCGTCCAGGAAAGCAGAACAACAGCAACTGACCAGGGTTGAACTTCATCTTGAGGGTCTTGAGGGTTTCGTCGGGGGCGGGCTGTATGGCGTTGATTCTCTTGCAGTGCCCGAAACGAGGAAGGTTCTCACGGGGGCCCACTGGATAACCCCTGACACCCCTACTCCGGCGATCGGTTGTGGGCGCTTACTACACACTCACTTGCAATCACTTCCGTCTCGCTGCTTTCATTGCGTCTGCCCAGCACCATGTCTGCGGACGAGAGAGTGCGTCCGACAAAACTGAAATTCAAGGGGGAGAAGACGAAGAAGAAGCGTAAACGAGAGGACGGGGATGAGGGCTCCAGCAGCCGGCGTCGACGAAAGGAGGACGAGGAGAGCCCCGAGACATGGGTCCTCCCTGAGCAAGCTATGGAAATCCGTGGTCCGACCTTCATCACGCATCCTTCTGACCCTTCACCTATCTGCATCACGTACGATTCCACTCGCGGGCGAATTGTGCTTCATTCGCTGGACAAGGACAAGACAGAGGATGCAGCAGAGCCGGTGAGCATCCTACAGCGCACTCCTACCGAGGTCGCGCAGGTGTGGGTGACAACGCGGGTTGCCGGCTCTCTCACTATAAATCTGCGGACTGGAACGGGAGAAGGCAAATTCCTGTCTTGCGACAAGCATGGGCTGGTGTCTGCAGACAGAGAAGCTCGTGGGCCCCAGGAGGAGTGGACACCCGTTGTGTTCCCGGATGGGATGGTAGCGTTTCAGAACATCTACGAGAAATATCTGGCCGTTGATGAAGTTGCTGGAGGCACGCTAGCTCTGCGCGGGGACAGCGACGAAGTGGGCTTTGCGGAGCGTTTCTGGGTCAAGATCCAGAGCAAATACAAAAGGGAAGCGCACGAGGAAGAGAAGAAGAAGGAGGGCGTGATGGATGAAGGCAACGTAGACGAGGCTGGTACAAAGTGAGTCGTGCTGACGCCTTTCGCCAGTCTTCAACTGACACCGTCCGGTCAGTAAAATGTTTCAGGCTTGGGGTGCCGGGAGATCTGTCACTTCCGCAGAAGACAAGAAAGAGGTACGTGGATGTCATAGAAGTTGCGAGGATGGTTCTGACTGCTCTCGCGCAGCTGAAACGCGCTAAGAAAGAGGGGCGGCTTGCCGAGGCAATGTTAGACCGCCGTGCGAAGTTGAAGAGGTAAGCTCGTCCTCTGCTGAAGTTCCGCGCGGCTCACCTGCTTGCAGTGACCGCTTCTGTTGAGTCGCCCTCCCCGGACATTATACTGTACTACTTGTGTAACCCATTGCTCCTGTTTGCGTGTATCAATAGTAGACTTCTGGATCATGAACCGACGTTCGTTTGTCTGCGCAATGAAGCCCTGGTGCGCGAATCTAGTACCGTTTGTCTTGGAACCAATGCTATCAAGTGACCCGTTATGCATGCATTGGCAGGGTGAGCACTGAGAATGGGATTAGGTATTTAGCAGGCCTGCAGGTGGCTGCGCGCGACGCGTCTGAGGCGCACGACCACGGGCGTCTACACGTGCAGCGTACAGGAAACGCGGCGCAAAGGCGCTCATTACTCGCTACGCGTTTTTTTGCCACATCTCATTGCGACTCCCACTCGCGAGCCATGGTGAGACATTCGACAGTCGTTGAAGCATATGGTATACTTGGGATTGAAGAGGTAAAGTACTTCTCTCAGCGAGTGTCAGAGTAAAGCTGATATTTCTATCACCATTCAAGGATTCATCGCTGGAGGTGGTCAAGAGCGCGTACAAACAGGTACGTGATACATGTGCAAAATATCGGATACTCGCTCAAAACGCGTACAGCTCGCGCTCAGGACACATCCAGATAAGAATCCGGGGAATGAGGATGCCACCGCCCAATTTCAGAGAATCAGTGAAGCATACAACGTACTCGTCAAGCACCTAGATCGGTCGTCGTCGCCTCCGCGCAGGCCACCACACAGCCATTCGTATAGCCCATTCAATGACGATTCTGATGACTACGACGAATTTGACTACTACGATGACTACGATGACTACGACGAAGACTATGAGGACCTGAACTTCTACATGTGCGCTGAATGTGTTGTTCGTCCAAGCAACGTGTTGACAGTGGCCACAGGTTCTTATTTGAGGAGCTGCTGAGGGGGAGGGCTAACCGTTACGCCAATATGCGTGAGTTGTACACATTCGACTGCTCAATCGTCCTCACTCGCTTTTCCAGGCTACAATCGCCATAAGCCGACGGCGCCCGAGTCTCCAGAACAGTATCAGGCGCGCATCTCTCGTATGCGAGAGGAGCAGGAACAAGCAGAGGCTCGTCGCAAGCGAGAGGAGGCTGCGCGAAAGGAGGCGCAACAAAGGGAACGGGAACGGGGTCAGTCTGCGCATTGATAATTGCGTCATGGACAATGCCTCACTCCCCACAGAGAGCAGACAGGCTGAGGAAAGACAGAGAGTCAAGGTCGCTCAGAAGAAGGCTCAGGCCGCCGCTTCCCAGAAGTCGGTTGAAGAGAAGGCTCGTACTCGGGAGCAACATCTCCAACGTCTGCGCTCAGAGATTTTCGCCGCCGCTCGTCGTGGGGATTCGGCGCGAGTCAAGAAAGGCGTCTACGAGGATAACGTCGACGCTGCCGGTGGTGAGATCAGAAAGGGCGGTGAGAAGTTTGTCGAGACTCTGCCCAATGACCCGCGAGAGACTTTGTTGCACATCGCTGCGAAGTGTGGCGATGCCGAGTTGGTAGAATGGTTGGATTCGCATGGCAAGTTGATCGCACTCTATGTTGAACATCGACTGATGTATGGGCGATAGGTGCCGAGTCAGATGAACGAGACGGGCAAAATTTCGCGGCATTCCATGTCGCTCTACAGGCTGGACACATTTCGGTCGTCAAGTATTTCATATCCACCTACGAGCCTCAGGACTCCGATCACGAGGACATCTACAGGCGACCTGAGCCTAGCTCGCTTCTCAGACTTGCTGTGGGTTCACGTGAACCGGAAGCCGTTTGGACGGTACTTGAGAACCGGCTAGCCACTCAAGAAGACATAGTTGCAGAGTGGCCATTCGTGAACTCTGCTGCTGGCAAGGCGACCATTGTCGGAACAGGCGGAAGGAAACAGGAAGGCAAATATGAGGAGATTCGGAACCTCCTCGTCACCTACGGACACCTCCCGCCTGAGAGCCAAGCCACGGAGCCACAGTCGTCAGAGGCAAGGACTACGAATGGTCGCGCCGTAAACGGCGGAACCTCGCGACCAGCCACACACTTCAATTCCCGCAAGTCGCCGTATCCGTCACCACCGCCAGAAGCAGGGGAGGATGGCTATGCCCATCAAGATACATCGAGTTCAGGGAGAGGATACCGTGGTCAGCCACGCTACAGGCGACCGTACAAACAGTACCACCAGCACCGCCACGATTCCCCTTCCACGGCCTCCGACCGCGCTTCGTCCGACGAGATACCTCCCAGTCCCGTCACCGATGCGTCTTTACAGAACCAGCCACCGTATGCGCGGGGGCGTGGTCGTGGCAGAGGTGGCTATCGCGGTCGAGGCAGGGGCAGGGGCCGTGGCGGAGGCCAGGCTCCTTCATAACTACTCTTTGACTGCTGGATCCCTTCCCTGTGTTGTCCTTGTTCCATTACCCCAAAACGGCCTTCACTGCGCATGCCAACATTCATGACCTGGGCAGCCCGTCTTTCTCATTTTTACTCTTGAGCGCTTCGACTCGCGCACGACCCCACGTACTGTTCAAGATCACCGTAATTGTCACCACTTTGACTCATGCTGACTTCATGAAATGCTCTGTACACATAGTTCTCCGTCAAGCACGCATCCTCTTCTGCAAGTCTCCTCGCATGTACCATTTACTTTCTCGCGCACATGTAATAGATCACCAAAATGGTATTACATAATCATCCTGCTGACAAAGCCTGTTGTTGCATGTCCACTGGATCGCAGTGGCTCCGGCTTCGCACCGTACACTCACGATCGCTCGCACTTCCACACAAGACTCACCCACTGCGAACAGTCATATTCACAACATGGGTCGGCTAGCAGAGATGCAGAGGAAGCTCCTGGAGGTATGCGCGTCGACTCTTATGTGTATATGCCGGTACTGATCCCCAGTAGCAAATGATGGGCCCAGAGGCAATGGGTGTCGCGAACGCGAACCTAACGTGGTCAGACGAGAAGGTCTGCAGGAACTTCCTCTGCGGGACGTGCCCTCATACTCTCTTCACGAATACAGTACGCACTTTAGCCAACAGACGTTCGTTGGTGCTAACACAGCAGTAGAAAATGGATTTGGGAGCATGCCCTAAGTCACACACGGAGCGCTTGAAGACAGAGTTCCTCCAGGCAAAGGAAGCAAACCCGAACGACCCCGTCTTTTCGCGCTTCCAAATGGAGTACGAGTCGAACATCTTCGCCTTCGTCGACGAGTGTGACCGGAGAATCCGTGCAGCGCACAGGAGGCTTGAGAAGACGCCTGAGGAGAACGCGAAGACAACAAACTTGGTACGTATGCATCACACACTTCGATTCTCCTTTGCTGATAGCGCTGTAGATGAGGGAAATTGCTGAGATTGAGTTGGCTATCCAAGGTGGAACGGAGAAGATTGAGACATTGGGTATGTCACAACCGCCTTATGAGCAATATGTTTCGGAGCTGACTGTGTATCACAGGTGAACAGGGCAAGGTGGATGAATCAATGAGGGAGATGGCTGCCATTGAGGCTTTGAAGAGTGAAAAGGCCGACAAGGAGGTGCGCCGAGTCTCTTTCACGGACGACCTTGGGTTTGATGACTGAACTGCCAAATCAGCGGGAGCTTCAACAATTGACAGACACTTCGGGTGCATCTGGTCACCAGAAGCTACGTGTATGCGATGTCTGTGGTGCATACCTGTCTGTCCTCGACTCCGATCGTCGTCTCGCTGACCACTTCGGTGGCAAAGTGAGTGCTTGAATATGTGGGTGTCTTTATGCTGTGCTAACATTCAGTATCTAGATGCACCTTGGCTATCATGAACTCAGGAACATGTTGGTGAAGTTCAAGGAGGAGCGCGAGAAGCGCAAGATGGCACCTCCTTCCTCCGTGCCCTCGGGTGCGCCAGCTGGGGCCGCCGGTGGCGGTATCCCTCCGGCGCCCAGTGGTGTCCCTCCTCGGGGCGACTTCCGCGCGCGAGACGACTTCAGGGACCGGGACCGTGGATTCGACAGGCACGGCCCTCGTTATGAGTAAGTCTCCGCTATCTAGGGATGGTGCATGTCTCAATTGACCATGGTCGTAGTCGAAGGGACAGGGATCGTTCGCGCTCACCAGGGCGGCGCCGCTACTGATTATTTGGCTGCTACGATTGTTATTTGGTGTATTGTAGTCACGTATTCGAATTTTATTCAGTGTCATGTAAGTCAGTCTGCTTGCAGCGAGTCGCTGTTTGAATGAAAGACCCCGTGTGTGTCGGAGCGCCCGCACCGTAACACCAATGATCGCTCGACGCTGTCGAGTCCAGAGTCAGTGCAGTGTATAAAAGAACGATTGACCTGGGACCCTGCGATACATATTACATGAATCATTCACCATCGGAAGGCCGACCTGTTCTACCTACGTACCAACTGACGGCTTTGCTGGGCAACGTTTCGTGGAGCAAGTTTCTGTTTAGCTTGAAAGCTTGAGCGTCGGACGGCGCGGCGCGTAGTAAACCAACCTCTGTGCTCCTCCTCTTGCGGCTACACTGTGGTACCATAGATGCCGCCAGCCATACTCATAAAGATACGCAAATATCTGAGACCGGACGGCGACAAGAATGCTATAAGGATCCGCAGACGAAGGAAGCTCATAGGTGCCCTCTGGGCAAGCTTGCCATCCGTTATGTACGTCCCGCTCGCGTACGCGCTAGTCAAACTGTCTGACAGTTGAGAAGTGTCGTATTGCTTGCAGTGGGATACCTATGGATGCTCTCTATACCGTTTCCTGCACTGGGACAGAGGACGTATATTGACGAGAATGCGCTACAACCAGGCCAGGTTCGTGGCGGCTTCGAGGCAGTGACGAGCCGTGCTGAAGTCACCTCCACTATGCACAGGTCAACACCCACTGGAACTGGGATGATGTCCATCGCGCAGACCGATACCTTGAGGCGTTGGAGCAACTCCGAGACAGGAATGCATCAAGCGTTGAGTGAGTACGCACACGATCTCGTCCGCGAATATGTTCGTTGAAGCAGGCCCGTACAGAGTTGCTGACTACCTGGCGACAGAGTTTCGAAGAGCTGGTCTATCTGCCGACACCCAAGAGTACTCATTCTTCACAACGAACGGGGTGAGTACTCTCGCTCGGTCTTCAGATATCCGCCTTAATCCGAGCTCTATAGTCCAAGACTGGAGTTAACGCCTACGCCACCTTCTCGTCTCCTCGAGCCTCTGGCACTGAGGCTATGGTCATCAGTGCCTCTTGGTTGAGCAGAACTGGTGAGGGCGATGGTACGCTCAATCTACGGGGAGTGTCTACCGTATTGTCTCTTGCTTGGTTCTTGAGAGGTTCGCTACTGCACGATGAGACCCCTGTGCCGCGCTGACTATGTGCAGGATACTCGCTTTGGGCCAAGGACCTCATCTTCGTTGTCAGTGACGGCTACCTGGAAGGCATGCAAGCGTGGGTCACAGAATACCATGGGGTATCACAGCCAAGTAAGCTATTCAGCTCGTTCAGCATCGCTATGAGATGACCTCTGCAGATTTGCAGGCTGAACCTCTAAGACTGTCGTCTGGCGTAATCTGGACAGCTCTGAACATCGATTACCCTGGACATTCATTCTCACATCTGGGGGTGTTCTTCGGTCAGTGTCTTCAGAATCAAACGCCCAATATCATGCTCATTGTGAAGTTGTCCAGAGGGCCTGAATGGTCGTCTTCCTAATCAGGATCTAATCAACTCCTTCCAACGTATCTCGCTATACACGGGTGGCGTGCCCATGCTCGTCTACGATCACCGAGACGACGTAGAAATCCTGGGTCTTCCTTCCTGGACTCCGGAATCCATCAGGGACAATAGCGAGCTCAAGGAGTACGCTCGTCGGGCCAAGAACGTTGTGCGACACGTTGCGTATCAAGCCAGAGGACAAGCGAGTGGTGTGCACGGTTTGCTCCACCAGTGCGTCCGCCCCACTTTCGTACACTGATGCAGTACCGACTATTCTCACTAAATGCTCATAGATTCCGCATTGATGCCATTACACTTTTCGCCGTCCCTGCGACAGGTCCACATGGTTTCCATGCCATTGGCCGGTACGTCCCATGCCACGGGAAATTCGAAGCCCTTTCTCATTCAAATGCCTTCCAGAATCGTCGAGTCAACACTGAGGACCATGAACAACTTGTTGGAGCGCCTTCACGCATCATTTTTCTTCTTCCTACTGGTGGGCCCGACGACATTCCTGAAGATCGGCAGCTTCCTTCCGAGCGCGGTGTTGATCAGTGTAGCGATGATGTTCTGCGGGCTGCAGGGCTGGGTGAAGGCCGGCTGGGTATGGATGCTGGACGAGGCACAAGCCACCAAGGACGAGAAGGTTCATAAGCGTGTTGGCAACGGAAGATGGTCGCGCAGACAGAGGCCTGTTCTCAAGGCGGTCATGGTCATGGCCGCAACGCACGGGCTTGGAGTCGTCGTGTTCTATCTGTTGACGCGTTCGTGGTATCTCCACAACTCCACGGTACGCATGCCGTGTGTACAATTACGATTTAAGAGCTGAGCGCCAGTGTCTCTCTAGGTCGCACCGCTCCTCGTATCCAGTCTGCTTGCCGTTCTTCCCCTCACCTCTTTGCTACTCTTACCAAAACAACCGGCCCAAGAAGCACCGCTTCCGGTGATGTTAAAGTCCCTGAACCTCTGCCTCACCTCGACAGTGATATCCATCCTCTCCGTACTCAACTTCTCCCTCGCTGCGGTCATAGCTTTCCTGACAGGCGTGCCGCTGTGCTACGCCTCCTCATCAGCTCGCTCAGAGTTGCGGATAGCAAAGTATATGGCGTATACGACTCTCGCGTTTGGTTGGGTGGCGCTGCAACGGTATGAGGTGCTCAAGGCTGTCGCGAATTGGGAGCTCCTCGGAGTATGGTTCGCGCCCTTCATGTGTATAGTGTATGCACCGCTGGTGTTGCAGGCAGCACTCGTGTGTCTCTTGCCCAGCGAAAGCGCATGAGGTGCAACGTGTAATCTTTAGCATATTCTGTAATGTCATACCAGCCCCGAACTCCGTCCACCTTTTCTCCGCTGACGCGAGTGTGAGGTGATGTGTTAAGTATTGCAGGTTGCGACCATCGCATCGCACTGCAGAAATCAAGAGCAAAGCATAAACTTACAGACTAATAAAGATAAGGACTAGTCATACAATGCGCCAATGACCGGTGACGACCCAATTCACTCATTAATGTCCATGGGTGCACCCGGTTCGTCGCCAAAGAGATCGTCTTCTTCTTCCTCCCCATCTTCTCCGTCCTTTTCGATGATACCATCGGTGTCGCCTTCTTCGGGCACGACGCCCTCCTTCCTCATCCTCTGCTTCTCCTTCAGCTCGTCTCGCTGGGCGAGCTTCATGTCGAGGTCTGCTTGAAGCTTCCTCAACGCGTCCTCGAATCGCCTCTGTAGAGATGTGAGCAATCTACTACGCGCAAGCCAGAAGACAGTGGATGACAGACCTTGATGAGAGGATTCGCTGAGCTGGCAATCTCACTGCCCTTCTTCGCAACCGCCGCCTCCAAGTCCCTGATCTCCTCATTGAGGAGCTTCCTTGCCTGGGCCTCGTCATCGTCATCATCGTCATCCTCGTCATCCTCTTCGCTCTCCTCTTCCTCATCATCTGCCTCCTCATCATCCGCTTCCTCTTCATCCCCCAAGGCGAGGTCAAGCTCGGCAGCAAGTTCCTCGTCGATGTCCCCCTCCCCTTCGCCTTCTTGCCCTTCGTCACCCTCCTCATCGCCTTCGCCGTGGTCTAGACCAGGGGTTGCTGCATCTCCTGCATCAGAGCCGACAAAGCCGGGGGTAGTGGGGTCCATAGGGTTCTCTTTCTCGATAAACTCCGAGTCGGAGAGGTCAGGGTTTACATTCTCGAGTACGTCTGCGAGTGCATGAGAGGGTGCGATGCCCAGTCAGCTTCGACACTCACCATACCGGACCTGATCTGCCAAGGCGTCTTCTTCCAGCAGTCTTTCGACCTCTTGCTCAACAGTCTCAATTGTCTGCAGGTGGGAGCGGTCAGTAATGATCAGGCTTCGGAGGAGAACACGCACTCGTCTGTTGACTCTCTTCCGGAATCGTCGTTTCCGAACATGGTGGAGGGGAGGTGTGAGACCGTGTGGCCATATGAACTCGTCGACATTGAAACCCTTGTGGCTCGTTAAACCATCTTCGTTCTCGATGGGCTTATCAACGACGAGCATCTGTATCAGATACCTCGTTAGCGTTGATATGCGTCGGACACAGCAAATCGCGCAACCTGACATATGTCTGCCACTTTGAACATCTGTTTGTTGTCCAATGTCTTCTGTGCCTCGACCATGCATGGCAAGTCGACGAGTTTCGCCGCATATGTTTTGTTGCCTATGTGGAACACAGCTCGTCGCGAGTCTTTGCAGCGACGCGTCAGATACCAGGTGCATGAAGCAGAGAGTTCGCTTACCCTTGAACTTGAACCATACGTCGTTGCTGATGTCCCGCGCGGCGACCATCTTCCTCAGCCTGTCACAATCCTCTCCGGGCGGCATTCGCAATACGAACTGCTCTTCAAACACCAAGTCCTCATCGTCTGAGTCTAGTTCCCTGTCGTACGGCCCGAGGAATGACATGCCAGGAGCATTCGCTGCCGCCTTCTCGCCCAGCTTCAGCTTGAGCTTGGGCGGCGGCTTATTCCTGTTCAAGGCGGAGCGTGTCGTTCGTCCCTCCGAGTAGTCCATGGTGTACACTGGAGGCGTGCTTCTTCTTGATGCTGCACGGGTCGCACGAAGAGCTGCCGCTGCCGCTGCACGGGTCGGACGGTAGTCCTGGTCGGCGTCCTTGGACGGACCAGAGTCGTCCGGATCCTGGTCGTGGTCGTGGTCGATGTCGTCTACGTCGTCGACAACGATGAGATCGTCTTCCATGGCGGCGAGGTCACCTGAGAACGGACACCGAGTTTAGAGTCGTGAGTACGCCGGAGGCCGAGAAGCACAAGTCCGAGTGCGTTAGGCGCGAGTTGGGCGCGAGTACTTTATTTAGACGCCGCGACGCGCGTGTCACAACGGTGACAAAACCACGCGCGTGTCACTGCGACGGCGCCTGTCCGCGCTCGTCGCTGCTCTCATCCGGAAGACGCAGGCCTCGCACATCGCAAATGTCGCATCCCTCGTCCTCTGCCCCTGCTGGAACGCAAATAACGCTGTACATATGGCCCCCGCACGAAAATGTTCTCTCACTCAATGCCGCAAGTGTCGCGGCCCTGTTCTACACCCAGCTCGCCATCCCGGGCCAGTTCTCCGTAGCGTACAGCGCCAACCCGGACTCATCACCGAGTGGTAGGTCGGTCAACGTCTGTCCTCCGGTGGTCGCTAGCCGAACTGAAGATGTTTATAGGACAACTACCATATCTAACGCATGGAATGCATAATGCGACCACGTTCGCGTCCATTGCGAAGTATGTCACGCAACTGCCAGGCGCACGCGACGTGAATGAGTCGCTGAATACGATGGAAAAGTCGCAGTTTGCGGCGCGCATTGCACATGTACAGTCGGACTACGGGGATCTTGTGGTGTGTTACATCGCGGCCTATGGAGAGGGCTTAGCTTACCCTGACATGTAAAGGCGCATATGCTCTACTCACTCCGTCTCAACTGGAGGAGAGTGACAAGACCTGCGATGGCGTCTATGCTGCCGGTGCCACAGCGCTACTATGTCCCAAACCGTATTCGTGAATCTTATCAGCCGCGGTTGGAAGCTGCAGAGCTGTGGGACATCCCCGGCATTGAGCAGGAGGAAGAGGAAGACAGGATATCCGCGCTTCGCAGGGATAGGCGGAAGAAGAAGGAAACGAAGGCGCAGAAGTTCAAACGGGTGTTCGAGCGTGAAAAGGTGCATCAGGTTGTGGAATCCTGTGTGTTGTCACTCACGCTTCACAGGTCATCGAGAAAGCCCGTGCCTTCCTCTCGAGTTATGCGACTCTCCTAGGAGAACGGCGATATTTCAATCCGCATGCCGATAGGTAATGTTATGTGGCACTCCAAGCGTGTTTGTTTCTCATTTGACACATCTCAGCCCATCAGCCTTGGACATTGTCTTTGCTGCACACACGCACATCCTAATGAACGTGTCATTTGCGGACCCACTACTCCAGGGCTTATTGTCCGAATCATACCCGACCCTCGTCGCGCACGCCCAAGCAGTGCAATCTGTCGCTTTCCCAGACCCCCAGTCGTTCCCACCGACAGCCCCGCTCGACCTGTCCCCATCTCTGAAGTCGCTGCTACCAACGCCAGCGCTGCCCTCATGGCCGTGGACGAAGCGAACAGAGGAAGTGACGGAAGAGGAGAAGCGGTTCAGGCTGGCGCGGTGGGGCTGGATTGGCCTGGCGGCGGCAAGCGTGGTGTTCTATTTGGCGTTCCTGAACCCTGTGGTGGTTGTTGTAAGCAGAGATGAGGACGATGAGGTTGACGAGGATGCAGAAGAGGAAGAGGAACACGAAGATGAGGAAGAGGATACGGAGGAAGAGGAGCGCGAAGAGTCAGGGTAATGCGTGAAGTTGTGGACTGCTAGATCTTCTTCGCTACTCGACCATATAATGACGACTATCTGCATGCTCAGCTCTGAGATCTGATACTCAACGTCTTCGAATACCAGGACGAGTAACTTACAGACTGAGACGCGTCGTCCTCTCGTGATGCCCATGTGACGGTGTGAGATCGCGCTGGCGCCACCGACGCGTTCCCCGAGCCTCCCCCCGAACCCGTCTCTTCCACTTAGCAGCACACCAGTGCGCACTCCCTCAGACTAACCTCTGTTGAGCATCTATCGCAGAAATGGCTCCCATACGACTTCGCCACCCGAAAGGCGTGACCACACTGCAGGTCGACGTCGACAGTGCTTCCGTGCTTGACTTGCAGCAGCAGATCTACTCAGTCACGGACATACCTCCATCGCAGCAAGATCGTCGGTATCATCCCTCTGCTCACTTCAGTAACGATATACGTCTTAACCATCTTTTTCCTAGTTAAGTCTGGGTACCCTCCGCAATCGCTCACGCTCATACCGGAACTCCCGCTCGCTAGCCTTGGGCTGAAAGGTGGCGATCAGCTTATGCTCATGCAGAAGGCGGGAGCATCGTCTGCACCATTTCAAGCATCTCCTGCACAAATTAGTGCGCCTTCATATGCGCCACAAGCAAGTAGGCCGCCGCCAGCTGCGTCTCCGACCGTAGGCGCAACGCATGCACGAGGACCTGATTCCGTGCCCACTGAAGGGGGATACCTGGTACACCGAGTATGTGGCCCCCACTTACCGCCGAGGACTACAAACTGAGTCGCTCATCATCACAGATCGTCCCAGACGACAATTCATGTTTGTTCTCCTCCATCGCCCTCGTCTTTGAGCAGGACATGAGCAAGGCGCCGATGATTCGACAGAGTGTGTGGTGTGGTCTGTGCGCGCGGTGACCGTAGCTGAGGGTGCTTGAGCAGTTGTTGCGGATGCGATCCGGAGGGATCCCAACACATGGAGCGACGCCATCCTCGGGTTCGTGCGCATTCACTCGCCTCGGTGCGGAGCCAGCCTGACCTCCCATCTTCCAGCCGATCACGAGAAGACTACATCTCCACGATCCTGAAGCCGTCTACTTGGGGCGGTGCGATCGAGCTGACTATCCTCGCCTCGCACTACTCCACCGAGATCGCATCAGTCGACGTCGAGACGGGCCGCGTCGACCACTTCACCCCTCCTCCCGCTTCCGACTCCGGTAGCAGGTGCATACTGGTGTACTCCGGTATCCACTACGACGCGGCGACGCTCGCCCCGATGCTGGACGCCCCTGCGGACTTTCACCAGACCGTCATGCCAATTACAGGCGAAGGAGACTCGGACCCCGTCATTGTGGCTGCGAAGAAGCTGGCGGATATCTTGAGGGCGAAGAGGGCGTACACGAATACCACGACGTTCACCATTCGGTGTCAGGTGTGTGCGCGGGTCGAAGGGCCGCATGTCGTCGCAGGAGTACTGATCGTCGCCGATACGCGATCCGCAGGTATGCAAGAAGGGCCTCAAGGGAGAGAAGGAAGCCCGCACACATGCTATGGAGACCGGACACGTCGAGTTTGGAGAGTACTGAAGGACGAATTGCGAGAGCTGCCAGGCAGTGCAATGATCGAAGCGCAGTCAAATTCAAAGTAGCGGTATCGCACCCACCTTGGATGTATGTATCTCTATCTGTGCCAGTGTATTGTTTTCTCCAGAATTGGATGGCTGAGTGCTCGAAGTCAGATTGTTCGTGTCCTTGGGAGCCGAGTCTATAGCTTGTTGGTGCAGAATGCATGTTATTACTGTGGTAGGAATTGATATGGCATGTGCATGTAAGTGACTATGCAGATGCCAGTAAATAAGTACTTGGTAGCATCGCTACAGTACTACGTCACAAACAAGTTGTACCTCCAGTCGCCGTGGGCCCTTTGCCAGGTGTGTGGAAGACGGTCCCGAGAGTATACTAATCTCGGTGGTCAGCAACGGAGACTACGACGGTCCGTGTTTTCCCTGCAGTCATGCAGAGCTTGCGACAGTTGCTCTCTTTTGTCATTTAGAACCAGTTGGAACGGAAATGGTTCCGTAGCATTGGTGTGCCTTTTATGGCAATCCCAACACCCCGGGCGCGCGTGAGCGCGTAAGCGCCTGACCATGTTCGCGTACATCTTGTCAGTGTCACGGCGGTACCACATCCGCTCCGTAGGCAACTCACAACTGTCACTCCGTTTCTCGGCGCATCGCTGACATTGACACGGAATCCATCAGTGCGGACGCGACCGCCGCCGGTGATATTGAACAACTGCGCGATGCCACCGAAGCGCGCCGCGAGCGGGAAGGCCAAACGGAAACTGGAGGAGAGCCCGGACCCCGAGACGGAGTCGTCGTTCGGGACAGAGTCGGACGCTGAGGCGGAGGCGGCGGAGCAGCCCAAAGCGAAGGGGCGCGCGAGCAAGAAAGCGAAGGTGGATCCGAAGGGCGCTGGCAAGGCGAAAGGCAAGGCCAAGGCCACGGCGCCCACCAAGAAGGAAGGGGATGGCGGTGAAGGGGGCACCAGCGAGCTCGCGCCGAATGGGCAGCCCACTAACAAGGTCGTCCCCGTGCATGTCTCCTTCCCGCCGCGCGAGGAGTGCCGCGTCCGCATTGCGACGTGGAATATATGCGGGCTCGCCGCTGCCCAGAAGAAGGTACGCTCCTTCCTGCTCTGCTCACGCGGTCTCATCCGGGCTCTGCGCAGGGATTCAAGTACTACGTCGACGCGGAAGATCCGGACGTCCTCATTTTGACCGAGACGAAGGTGCGTTGATGCTGTTATGCGTTTGCGGGGTTGGGCTTGGCTGATAGCGCAGGCCCTCTCCTCGAGGTCAATAACGAGCCTGTAGACCCCGCGCTCTCCAGCCGGTTCCCGCACCGCTACTGGGCGATCGCGGATAAGAAGACCTACTGTGCGTCCCGCACGCTCTTCACTGTCAATGAATACGGAGTTCATTAACCGGGCATGCCGTTACTCTCATACAGCGGGTACGGCGATCCTCTCGAAGATCAAACCAATATCGGTCAATACTACCCTCCCGGGGCATCCTGACCCTGCGGCAGTCAAGGGCCGCATCGTCACGCTCGAGTTTGCGAGCTGCTGGCTCGTCGGGACGTATGTCGTGAACGCCGGGACGGGCTTGAAGGTGCGCATCGTCGTCTTCTCAGGTCACGTAGCCGTGGTGCTTATACACTCATCATGATGCTTCTCGCCCATGCTGCTACGTGACGATCGCGGCCGCCGTCTGCCTTGCCTGCCACACTTGACGCGGGCTGGGTGCGGGGCCCACAGACGCTAGACGCGAAGAAGGAGTGGAACAAGCACTTCACGGCGTACATCCGGAGCTTGGACAGGCAGAAGCCGGTCATCTGGGCCGGCGACCTGAACGTCGCGCCCACGGAGAAGGGTGCGTCCATGTCTATTTCCTGCGGGCACGCTCGAGCTGACGCATCTTCGACTCTTGTGGTGCTGCGCACGCTCTCACGGACACGCCTGATTTGCCTCGACGTGCTATGTATGGCGCTGTCCTATCACTCTTCCTGTTCGACTTCCGCGCTTCTGGCTGGCGACGTCGTCAACTCTATCATCATTGGCATGGAATGCGGAACATGCTCGGACACATGGCTGCGCGTGGCGATGGACGTGTGTTGGTGACTGTCGGACGGCGGGCTGGGCGTAGACTTGGCCCACCCGAAGCCGAACTGGAACAAGACGCCCGGGTACACAGAGGCGGAGACGAGTGCGTTCGCGCGGATCCTCGACCCGAGTCTCCCGCCGCCGGACTCCGAGCCCACGTCCGAGGCCAATGAGGGGGCGAGCAGCTTCGTGGACGTGTGGCGGAAGACGCATCCCGACCTGCGACATTACACTTACTTTGGCTATCGTTTCCAGTGCAGAAGCAAGGGTATTGGGTGGCGGCTAGATATGTGTGCGTGCACTTCTTCCGCTCTTCTCCCTTGCGCTAGCGTTGTTATCCATCTCGAACATGCGGAGTGTTCTGAGGAAGGGGACGGCGGGCTAGCAGCTCCACAGATAGACGTCGACGGTGTAGGATGCTGACGCGTTTGCTCGTCTTTTGTGCAGTTGTCGTCAGTGAGCGGCTGGAGGACCGGGTGAAGATGTGCGAGATCCGGAGCGAGATATACGGCGCGTCCGACCACTGCCCAGTGACACTGGAGCTGGAGGGCGCGCTGTAGGGTCGAGGGTCGCGCGATGGCCGGGCGTGGATGACGACAGTGTGGTAGCGCGTCGGAGGCCAGCATGACGTAGAACACGGATGTTGCGCCTGTATGTTTGTCGGAGTGCGCACTGGCGGGCTTATCTCGGGACGACGTGCGAAATCACAGACGAAAGCAGACCTCGAGGCGGGCGAAGGAATATTGGCTCCGGGGTATGACGACGCAGCACGGTCGGGGATGTGCGCAGCAGCGGGATGGACGAATGACAACGGGGGTCCTCGCTGCAGCGTCCGCGAGACCGCAGGCGCAGTGATAAGAGCCGATCGTATTGGTGTGGAGTTGGACGCGACGTTGAGTGTGCAACCGAGCGCTCGCGATGCGGGGGAAGCCACCCCCAAACATCCCGCCAAGCCAAGATGCGCTGCCAAGGCGCCCGCCGTTCGGTCGAAGGCCGTTTTGTTGGGTTGTGCGGCAGGTCGAGGTAAGACGACGAGTGGCCTTACGCTGGCAGCGGCAGAGACGGCGGCGACAGAGACAGCGCCACGGAGTGGGGGTCTGGCGTTGAGTAGCAGGCGGGCGACGACGGCGGGCGGCCGGTGGCGGGTGGGGCGGTGGCGGTTACCCGAAATAGACTGGGAACTCTGTCGAGGCGCCCGCGCTGTCGAGGCGGTCCAGCGCAGATTCCCACGGGGAGGGCTGATCTGAAAAGCCTGCGGACTGTCGACTCCCCGTCTTGCCTCTTCCCCGACCACGCTGCGGAGCGAGCTTGGTCTCTCTCTCTCAGCCCCCTCAGCCTCCTCCTGCCTCCAGCCGTACGATACCCCCGCTGTGCGCTGCTACATTCCCCGTAATCCCCCATGGCCCACCACGACGCCTACCATGACGCCCAGCACCGCGCCAGCCACCTCAAGGAGGCCGACGCGTTCGAGACAGAGGAGCTGGGGATCCCGCTAGACTCACCGACCCCCGTCCCGTCGGTCTGCGGCCTGCCACTGAAATACGTCTCGTAAGTCGCTGTCCCAATTTCCCACCTAGGCGCGTCACGCACGCGACCGTGTCGCCCTGCGCCTGCCTTCTCTAGCAGCGACCATTCCGCCCCTTCTCTGCCGTTTTCCGGATACTAATCTCCGTCTATATGCAGCCTCGTGACTCTGGCAGTCCAAAATGCCCTCTTGACGCTCATAATGCACTATTCGCGCGTCTCCGCTGCGCCCTCAGAGACATACTCGGCAGCTGCAGCCGTCCTCATGACTGAGCTGCTCAAGGGCTCGATATCCCTCCTCGTCGCCTTCTCTCGACTAGACTGCACAGGCAGCTCACCTGCCTCATCATTATGGAACCCGCGCACGCTCTTCTACCGCTTCAGACGGCTTGGCAAAGAGGTCTTTCGCCCGGATTGCTGGAAGCTCTCTATCCCCGCTATCCTATACGTCATCCAAAATAATCTCCAGTTTGTGGCGGTGTCGAACCTGGAAGCGGCGACGTTCCAGGTGAGCTACCAAATGAAGATCCTCACGACCGCAGCCTTCTCCGTCGTGCTTCTGCGCAGGAAGCTCAGCCCTACCAAGTGGCTTGCGCTTCTCTTCCTCGCGATCGGCGTGGGCATTGTCCAGATCCAGGGTGGTAGCTCGAACAAGTCAGAGTCGGTCTCGCACGAAATGAACGCCCTCAAGGGTTTCATGGCCGTCGTCGCAGCTTGCTTCACATCAGGTCTCGCCGGAGTCTATTTCGAGATGGTGTTGAAGAACTCGCCTGGAGATCTATGGGTGCGCAACGTCCAGCTTTCCCTGTTCTCCCTTCTGCCTGCACTGCTCCCGGTCATCGTATCACGGAACATTCCCACTGCGCCCGGCGCTCCCGTCGTGAGCCTGCAGTTGTTCGCGAACTTTGGCGTGTGGGCATGGGCAACCGTGGCTGTCCAGGTCTTGGGCGGCCTGCTTACTGCGCTGGTGATCAAGTATGCGGACAACATTCTCAAGGGCTTCGCGACCAGTCTCAGCATCGTCATCTCCTTCCTCGCATCGGTCGCCCTTTTCAACTTCCGTATGACCCTGACGTTCATCCTCGGCTCGACCGTCGTCCTCGTCGCCACATGGATGTACAACCAGCCCGATGCGTCGTCGTCTACCTCATCAACCGACGGAAGTGCCATCACTGCAGGGAAGAGCTGGAGCTGGCGGTGGCGGCGCCCAAGCCAACCCTCTCGGTCGTCTTCGGGCATCGCTCTCGCGGGCGCGGCGCTCTCTCGTCGTGCATCGACGTCATCACTGTCATCGCTGTCGTCCTTCCACATGGCGAACAGGAGCAATCCCACGTCCCCCGTCGAGCGAGATGCTCCAATCCTTGGGCAGCTTCTCGAGAAGAACCTTTTGACGTCAAGCAAGAAGCAGGATGACCCAAGCCGCCTCAGCGTCGTGCTTTCTGCCTTCCCGCCCCTTCGCGCACTCAGCCGTCTCCTGTCGTCGCGCTCGCATTCATACACGCCTCTCCCCACGACGAGCCCCGGGTGTGCGCCCACCGCGTCCGCGCTCGTGTTCTCAGCAACGGACAACGCGTATGCCTTCCCACCCGCGTTCCAGCCACAGCCAGTCCCCGCGACGTCATCGTCATCGAGCCTCGCCGCGCCGCATCCACCGCTGTCGTCGCGCCCGCCGAGCGCGCTCTCGCACGCCTCGCGACCGGCCAGCGCTGCGAGCCACCACGCGCCGTCGCAGTCGGCGCCGTCGGACTTTGCGGCGCATACACACCAATGATGTCGGCCATACCCTGCCCCGCTGGGCCCGCGGGCGTTTCTCTTCCCGCCGCGCCTCAGCGCTAGTCGACATCATCCTGCTTGTGCACGCCCCGCACGTATGCTCTCCCTTGCATAGCACGGAGCACATGCGTAGCCTTCCCATGCCCGCGCCGTACGTAGACCAGCAGGCCTCTCTGCCACCGACGGCCGCGCCTGCACCAAGGCATCAACCCCCTCCCCATCTGCGCGTGCATGCGAACACTTTGTTTACAGTTGTTCACAAGAAAGAAATGAAGGGACTGTATTTTTATTAAATCTTGCCTTTCTTTGCTGTCTGGACTACTACTCAAACGCACACTCTACTTGCCTATCTACCTACCCACGTACCTGCACCCCGCCTCCAATCACAATGTTCGTTGCTACATACACACCTCGTACTATCCCGCCGCCCTTACTTTACGCCGCAACCCTTACTTTTCTCCATTTCTGTACATAACGCCAGGCAGCGCAACTGGACCTTTTTTGGTTTCTCTTCCTGTTCGAACCGCGCAGTGATGTACTTGACGCTGCCGCTGTGTGCTGGGGCCGCATCCCTCCCTTTTCGCTTTGTTTCTTGTGGACTTCTTGTTCCTTTTTTTGGCGGTCCCGGTGCCCAGAGGGTCCTTAATTCTTCGCCAGCGTACACTTTTTGTGTTCTGTGCTTGTTACGGATGATACCGGTGCGCGGTGCTGGACTGAATGAATGAACACAGATAGAAACGAAACGCATGGCTTTGGTGTGATTGCTGGGATGACGGTCGTTTGTGCTGACTGGATCTCTGTGCTGAAGGGCGGCTGGTGCCAATATTAATAACAACAGGTACCAGAATGGTTGGTCGATCGTTGTTCGTCGATGTATGAATTGCGTATGCAGTCATTGAAATATTGATCGCTGCGCGACCACTCTATTGGGAAGATGTACTACGACAGGTTCACTGCCGGTGTGGACGTGTTGAACGTGTTGAACGTTGAAGCCGGACGATGTCAATCGACCTTGATTGAGGCCAGAAAATGTAGGCGCAAGATGTCCGCTGACATAGCTCGTTGACCAATCGTGTATTGATTGCACTACTCAATTCCATTCAACTGCGGTCAATAGATCCCTCGGTACGTGTGTCATTGAGACGACTAAACTGGTTATACAATATACACCACCTTCAGCGAGTCCGTCCTGGCATACTCGTACATCACCCGAATCGGGAGCCTGACGGCCGGTGCATTGCCTCAGTGCTCCCCGCTAGTAGTCGCGTAGCGATCCTCGAGGTCCTCCTGTCCACCAAACCCGCCCTCGAAGTCGCGCTCGAGTTCGCCGGGCTTGCTCGCGCTCTGCGTCTTGCCCGCCGCCGACGAGCGGAGTGCAGCGAGCTGCTCTTGTTCCTGTAGATGGGCAGCACCAGAGGTTAGAACGTCGGTGTCTGCAGACTGCTTGATGTAGGGGATATGGACAGACCTTCTGCCGGGCGTACTGCGCCTCCGCTCCTTGCTCCCTGGCTTTCCAGGCGTTGTCCTGGAAAGTCGGACTCGTCAATCACCAGCCTGAAAGACCCTCCGGCGATACTATAGTACTCGCCTGGGCTGTTGAGCCTGACATGACTAGCTGGCTGCTAAGACGATGGTCGTAGATGTAGATGTTGCTCCGAGGTATTAGATGAGAGTACCGGTTCGAAGTACAGTCTCGCTGCAGCCGAGCGGAGACGTCATAGCCTACTTGGTCTGCTTTGGGATAGGCGCGGTCACATGATCGTGTTGTATTGCGCGCAACGCGGCGTTGGTACGCTAGACAAATCATGAAGTTACTGGAGTTGCTGAGCACCGTTATAGCATTGCGGTAAGCCGAGAAATGATTGAACAGTCTGTTTTATTGCTTGCACTCAAGTTGATACAAAACTGACGCTTTCGACTCGGAGAGACCATAAGTACTGCCAGTGTTCATTCCGCGCATCACTCTCCGAGTCATCGGATTACGCACCAAAGGACGTTGTCTCGGTCGTGCGATTGATGCATGACCATGGCGCACACGGCGCGCGGCGTACTCACTCAGGTGGTGGCACCGCGAAGCATACTTATTACCGAGCTAGTTCAGCTGTAATCGACTCGATGAGCTGACCTCGATGAGGCCCTCCACGTGGGCGTCGATGTTCAGTTTGTGCTGAGCTTTGGCTTCTCGCCGCGGTGGAACGGCTGAAAGGTCTCGTAGACGAGTTCAGCATGTCTTACGAGTGGAACGACTGAAGCAGCTGACAACAGCATGCCCGGTGCCGCCCAGGTGGTTCGTCAGATCCGTTTTTATTAATATTATGCTCAGCAGCTCGAGTGTTTCTGTCTGACTTTATTTCTGTGGCCCAAAGCTGGCCCCCTTGTGCATACGTGTTATGTGTCGGCATGCGATTCCCTGAAATGCGAGCGTAGTATGTCGATGTTCTGCATCAAGAATGTGAGCTCGCTGTATCCAAAATCAATTTCTATCTCGATGGAGGTACTAGGTCGCCTCCTGGCTGCGTATCTAGCTAGCTAGAGTATGGCACTTCCGCGGTCATTAGCAGATGCGCGCTGTACCGTGGCAGAACCCCACAGTACGACCGATGGATTTACTAGGGTACGACACAATCCGAGTCGCGTCTACCGCATGCTCTACCTCGCGAAGGGCAGATGTAATCGGCGAGGAGAGGGGCACTGGGAGACATGTCCAAAGCCCGGGTATAAGCACGTTCGACATATCTTCTCTGGGCCCTTCGCAGCCAAGCCATGGCCAGGATAGCAGTGGACTGCGACAGCGACCGGGCTGAACGAGGGCATGTATTTAGGGGCAACAAACGCACCGAGCGCGCGCACATCCTCCTGCATCGTCTTGGGAAACTGCTTGAGCCTCCTACACTTTGCATTTCGGTATACCGCCGCCTATCTGTCTTGCATGTGCAGGCATCTGACAGTGACAGGTCATATCATCAATTGACGGTCAACGGGCGCAGCCATATGAGCCTCGCACAGCTCCCGCATGGTACATAGACTGACATTCGCGGCGACGCCGACGGTGACTGCGAGTATCCATGCACCTTGACAGTTCCATCAGTTGATACCAACCATCTCGGCGGACGTGTGCCTGGAAAGGATGTGCCACAAGGTGCGGCGAACGAGCTCATCCGGCGGACCGCGCGTTGAATACGAATACATTCGCAATGACGTCGCACTCTTCCCGGTACGCCCGAGCGGCTGGGTGTGTCGACAGAGCGTGCTGCAGGGAGGATAAGTATGGACGGCGTCGTCGATGTACCGCCAGCCCGCGGCCGTGCGAGGACGGCGAGTAGCAACGTTGGCCCTGTGTGCTGTACGCAGCCCGTTCTGGCTGCCTTTGAATCCCGCCTCCACAAACGTTCACACATGAAGTTTCGCGCCTGCTTGAGCATGCGTCTCATGCAATCTCTGCCGCATCCTCGAAGCCAGCTGCGGCATACCATGAGGCATACCAGAAGGTTCACGCGTGCGAGCAAGCCATTCGGGCCGCTGAACTAATACCGCTGGCTCTGTTGGTTAGGCTCCACACATGTTCTCTGTACCATACTCATGAGCGCGGTATCTGAGGGCAAACATAGCAGCACGCACCCTCTTTTTATCTTGGTGGCCAATCTCCGCCGCGTCGTGAGAAGTAGCGGTACATACTTGGAGTTCAGGTTGTCTGAAGGCAGAAGTCAACTTCGCCTATGTTCCTCCAACGACGAAAGCCAATGCCGCGACTGGCGGTCGAGAACAGTCCAGACACTCGAGCGTGTCGGTCCTGGGGATGTTCGATTATGACGTTGGGTTTTTGGCTTGCTGCGGCGTTGCCTGTGTTGCGAAGACGACCAGGCCGCTACTACCGTGTGCAGTCCGATGGAGTGGCCTCACGCCCCTCAATCGATCGTGCGGAAAGCTCCCGCCGCCGCTCGGAACAAGGTTGGCTGGAAATTGCCTAGACGACAGGGCTCGCATTGGCAATCCCAAGTCCCCGTACGCATGACGGAATGTGTTGGGTCATGGGGGAAAAGGGGCGCGTGAATGTGCAGGAACGCACGGAGAACACAGCTGAGCGCGTCTCTGAGCATCGCGAGGACTGCGATGAGCATGGCGAGGGTCACAGGAGAGCGAACGAGGACGAGGCAGTGGCAGACCGGGTTTGTCGAGCAGCAGGCGTCCAGCGCGCGGGCGCTCGCGTCCGAAATCAGCTGGACGTGCGCGTGGTGGCAGGTCGATCGCGCACCGTGCAGCCACCGCCTCTTCCTCTCGTAGGCCCACATGCATCAGGTCTGCTGCACGCTAACTCAGAGCCTATGCAGTAGCTCGCTATCTGCTCTATCATACTAGAATGTGTGATACACAGTCGCATTGGACAGATAGATGATGCGGTATGTTGCGCATGGTTCCGTTTCCCGACTGATTCATTACTTTCCAGACATTTGAGCCGTGCCCGACTGCGCGCGTTGCCTACACACAGAGTGCCTGATTGGTCGAGAAGGAACCTCAGCGAAGGCCTTAGCATCACAAGCCCACAGCGCCCCGTGCAGCATACCGCGGGGGCAGCTTCTCGCGGGGGCAACCTTCTTTGTGTCCGAACACTGACAGTTCGTCGCTACCCCTTCTCTCCATCACTCCCTTCAGGTCCCGAGAAACGCCATATGTACGGTCTTCGATCGTAGTAGGATGCCGCTCGGCAGGCCTCCGCGAGGTGCTATATAGCCCTCCAGTCATTCCATCCTCCCAGTAAGCTCCGTTACGCCTTCCTCGTTTCTCGCCACCGCCATGCTGGTGCCTGTCCTTTCTTTGGTGTACGGCTTTCTGGCCTCTGCGCCCGCTGCTCTCGCACTAGGGTCGTCATGCACCTCTGCGCTCAGCGGCGGGACCGCTGCAGCCACAGATCCCTTTTGGATGCAGAACATCAAACACCAGGGAACTTCTGCCTTCAATTCGGACCCTAGCTCCTACACCGTCTTCCGCAACGTCAAGGACTACGGTGCCGCTGGCGATGGTACTACGGACGATACAGCTGCTATCAAGTGTGTAGTTCTCATACACTGGCCGCCGTGTTGCTCACCACCCTCGCCTTAGCTCTGCCATCTCCGCTGGAAGCCGGTGTGGTGATGGGACCTGCGCGTCGTCTACAGTCACGCCCGCTGTGGTCTACTTCCCCCAGGGTACCTACAAGATATCGAAGCCGCTCATGTGCGTCTATCTCGCGCCACGAGACAGGATGCTCTACTCATGCACGATTCAGCTCGTACTATTACACGCAGATGATTGGTGACGCACGGGTCCCACCCACCTTGCTGGCGTCATCTGACTTCTCGGGTATTGGGGTCATTGGTGAGTGAACCGATTGAGGCGGTTGAGATGGGCGATCTCGCCAGCATCTCCAGGCGATCATTCCGAGAGTGGACCCGATCACTGGCGTCTCGGAACCGAACTGACCTCCGAGCGCCATGGTTGAGCATACTTGAGGATGACGGTCGCCTGTGCTCGCATCCGTTCTGGTTGCGAGCTGTTGTCTGACGGCATCGGCACTATCCCTTGTCAGATGTGGACCCGTACATCGACGGCGGAAATGGCGCTCAGTGGTACAACGACACGAACAACTTCTACCGTGCCGTCCGGAACTTCGTCATCGACCTCACCGACATCGACGCGGCTACGAGCGCCACTGGCATCCACTGGCAGGTCTCGCAGGGCACGTCGCTCTACAACGTCGTCTTCCAGATGAGCACCGCGAGCAACACCGCCCACCAGGGTGTCTGGATGGAGAACGGCAGTGGTGGTATGATGGGAGGTACGTCAGACGCGTTCTATCGTGCTCATTCGGGATGGGTGGCTGATGCTGTCTCGCGGCGATAGACTTGGTCTTCAACGGAGGAAAGTATGGCATGTGGGTCGGTAACCAGCAATTCACTGTCCGGAATGTGACCATGAACAACTGTCAAACTGGTGCGCATCTGCATATCCAACGTCGTAATACACCAACTGATTTCCCGCCAGCTGTCTACATGGACTGGAACTGGGGCTGGACGTTCCAGGGCGTGACGGGTGAGTACACCACTACCAACGGGTCCGCACTCACCTCAATGTCATCGTCTGTGTAGTCAATAACTGTCAGGTTGCCTTCGACGTGATGACCGGTGGCACGACCGAGGACGCCCAGACCACGGGTGCGTTGGCAATCATCGACGCCACCGCGAGCAACACCCCCATCTTTTACCGCACCTCCAAGGCCTCCAGCGGCACGCTTGCGGGCTCGGTCGTCCTCAACAACATCGTGCTGAACAATGTCCCCACGGCGGTCACCGTGCTCGATGGCTCCGAGGTCCTCGCGGGCGGCACGATGACGATCGACAGCTGGGGCCAGGGCAACGTGTACTCGGGCACGGGCAGCTCCGCGAAATTCACCTCGGGCGACATCACGGGCCCGACGAAGGCGAGTAGCCTCCTGTCGAACGGCCAGATCTTCGGAAGGACGATCCCGCAGTATGAGGACTATGCGGTGGATCAGTTCGTTAGTGTCAAGGACCAGGGCGCAAAGGGTGACGGCACGACAGACGATACGTCTGCGCTGCAAGCTGTGTTCGATAAGGTATGGCTCGAATGACCACCTTGCCTTACATTGTCCTGACTTTCGGTGTGTTACGTGTTAGTACTCCGGATGCTCCATCATCTACTTCGATGCAGGAACCTACATCGTCAGCAGCACGCTCCAGATCCCTGCAGGCACGCAGTTGGTCGGCGAGGCTTGGGCGGTCATCATGGGCTCCGGCTCGGCCTTCCAGGACCAGACCAACCCCTCGCCCGTCGTCCAGGTCGGCGCGTCGGGCTCTTCAGGGATACTGGAGATCTCGAACATGATCTTCACCACAAAGGGACCTGGTGCGTTCCTCCCCATTGTGTATATGCGAGTCGGCGGACTGATTGTATCTCGCATTAGCTGCTGGTGCGATCGTCGTTGAGTGGAACGTCAACTCACCGACACAAGGTGGCGCTGGTATATGGGATAGCTACATCCGGTTCGTCAAACCGTCGCTCGAGAGCCTACATGATACTGACATGGTGATATCCTAGCTTGGGAGGTACTGCCGGTACGAACTTGGAGGTGGCGCAATGCCCTTACACGCAGGCCGAGTCGTCGTCTTGCTTAGCAGCCTTCCTTGGCTTGCACTTAACGCCCAAGTCAAATGCCTACCTCGAGGTGAGCCTTCCCCTGTTGAGATGTGCAGCCGGAGATACTGAGGCTTTGGCAGGGCACTTGGGTCTGGCTTGCGGATCATGATCTCGACGACACTGCTCAGACTGACCTTTCGCTGTACAGCGGCAGAGGTATCCTCTCGCAGTCCGCCGGTCCAGTCTGGTTGATTGGTACTGGTGAGTTCAACCAATACCCTTCCTTCCTGGCCCTAATACTGATATCTGCTGCTCTTCCTAGCTTGTAAGTCCTAGACCGGCGAAGGCGTAAACATCCGTACTGATCCTTCGCATAGCTGAGCACCATGTTCTCTATCAGTACAACATCGCCGGCGCAAGCGACCACTACATGGGCTTGATCCAGACGGAATCTGTATGTCGATGCTGCGCATAACAGTGTCCCACGGCTAACGGTACTTCACTCGCTCAGCCTTACTACCAACCAACCCCGGCGCCTCCGTCGCCGTTCTCGATCGACAGCGCCTACGTCGACCCAAGCTTCCCGTCTGACTTGACCGCAGCATGGGGTCTGTACATCCAGTCGTCGACTGATATTTTGGTCTTCGGTAAGTCCTCTACATACCGCATGTACTGCGTCTCTGAAGCTTTGCTCCTACAGGCGCTGGCCACTACAGCTTCTTCCAGCACTACGCCCAGACCTGCCTCAAAAGCGTGAACTGCCAGACGCAGATCGTCAATGTCGACACCGCGTCCACCGGAATCAGCATCTACAGTCTCTCGACTGTGGCCGTGACCAACGAGCTCAGCGTCGGCGGCTCGCCCGTCATCACAGCCAGCAACAACGTCGACGGTCTTCAGGACACGATCACTGCCTGGACGCAGTAAGGATTGCTACGTCCCGCACTGTACCGGCCCTGATGCTTGTATATACCACGCCTGCCGGTCCGCACGTAACGTTGCGCCCCCGGGTGTCCTTTCTTTTGTATTATCGCTGTCTTTCCCCGGTTGTGTACGCGGCTGAAAACCGCTGTAGTAGTCCTTGCGTTCTCTCTTGCATGCAATCACGAATCATCATACATGACGGCATTGTGATTTCAATTGGAGATCCTGCCCTTCGTCAAAACACTCATACTGCGTCTGTTCTACCGAAATTGTGTGGCCATTTGCGGCATTGGCAAAAGGCACGTTGTGGTCGAACCAGGGTCGAACAGCACTGAGCGCATTGTGATTTTGCATGGAGATAAGTTGAGGGTTGCAGCACATCACAGATTGCATCTTGCATGGTCACGGACAGTGCGGTGTATAGCATTTGAATTGCAATTGGACGGGTACAACACGATAATAATACATCCTCCTCACGCCGTACATCATATACATATTCACAAGGTCCTGGCACGTAATCGATGCTGACGGGAATCCGGGGTTCAGCGGCGTACTTGGCCTCGACACCCTTCTTGATGGCTGGTCGGCACTGTTAGTAGCTTCGCTCGAGAGGACAAGATAAAACAGCATACCTTCGCACGTATCCTTCGCGTCACCGAAAAGCATCTTCGTACGTCGGCTATTTAGCAAGCGTAACATTAGTCATATTCGGAAACACAAGAAAAGAACTGGTACTGACCATAACCGCTGGACATCCCGCGCTTCATGAGGACGACCTGCTTGCTCTTCCACACATGCAAGACGGGCATGCCCGCGATGGGCGAGCCAGGCTCGAGCGCAATCGGGTTCACCGTCTCATTCGCACCGGTGACGAGCGTCACATCCGTGTCGCCGAAGTCATCGTTGATCTCATCCATCTCCAAGACGACTAAATGGATGGGCTCGGATTGATATTGCAAAATGGAGAAGGTTGGGCATGTACTCACTATCGTAAGGTACAGATGCTTCTGCCAACAGGACGTTGCACTGCCCGGGCATGCTGGAGGGGCATAAGTCATCAACGCTGGTCCGCGGGAGTGGAGAGAAATGACCCGGGACGTACCGTCCAGCCACTGGATGGATGGCAAAACGCACGTTGATCCCCTTCGCCCGTAACGTCGACACAATGTCCGAAATTGCATATTGCGCCTTGGCTACAGCCATGCCGTACCCCACGACCTGAATAACAACATGATGTATCACAGAAATAACCATAATGATTTTGCCTGACAACATACCAAGATGACATTCTCAGCATTCGCCAGGGCGTCAACCGTTTCATCCAGCGGTGGTCTAACCTTCAGCAGGATGTCCGAGCCCGCGAAGACCTGCTGCTTGTCCACGAGCGTCGCTCCTGCAGCCTTGTACTGTTCATCGAGGAATTGCGCCTGTGCGCCGGCATTCTTCTCTACAAGCACTTGCTTGAACCCCTTCTTGATGAGCGCGGTCACGTTCTGAGGTGTAGCAGCCACTCTCCGTTCATCCGGGTAAGTCTCGAGCGGGACTCCGACACTCAGCTCCGAGTAGGGGCGACCTGAACTTGAATCTATTCATTTTCATGTTGAAAGGCTAGTCCAACTGCACATGATCAGATCGAACGACACGTACCGGTTGTTTCCTGTGTGACGCCATTGGCTGTTGTAGCGCTACTAGCAGCCTTCTCTCCATTTCGTATCGGTGACGAAGCGTGGTAGAGACGAGCGCGACAAGAGACTGTACAGTGGGGCCGTCAGCGATTATCTCCCATGTCGCCCGCCAACGCCGCTGCGAAGACTCACCTCTCCGAAGATGTGCACTGGCAGCGAGCCTGCTGGCCAAGCGCACCACTGGTACACTCGCCGTGGCACGAAGAATGAGCCTCGAGCTCATCGCTGCGCACGCTGTGGGCGATGGACGGGGTCGATCTGCTCGTCGGTTTCAAGAGAGGTCTGTGTATGTACGGACCTGTAGGCCGAAAACCCCCAGGTCTGTTGACCTACCGACGGGGTTACCTGGCTTCCCCCATACTATTGCCAGTGATTCTACTGATTCCCATTGGGAGGGCGATGATCCTAAGCATGGTCTCGGTCAGTCACACTCCCACCGACCGGACATGTGCCCTTTCTGCCGTACCGAAGCCGTGTGAGGTGCTTCCCTACTCATATCCATCCTTCGTGTGGTCCAACCACGGACTACGGTCGAGCGGGGAGAATCGACACAGTCGTAGTCAAGCTTAAGGTCGTGGTCGTGCGCCATGCAATCGACATGATGATTAGAGACAGTTATCCTACCCCACACCGCTCAGGTCGATTTACCCCGCACTCACGATCTCAGATCGGAGATATCGCTTGCACCTCCACGGCCCCTTACAGCCAAGTCGACATAGTACTATCGTCTACGCACAACATGCGCACATGGTGGTACTGATACTGTATTATAATAACACTGTCTACCATCCAGTACGATATCGATGAGCAGTATGGCGGTGTATTGTGCCTGAAAGAACTGCTTCTCCCCGGTGCATTCACACGGAGAGCAGTCAGCTTTCCTACGCTCTTTGTCACACTCGGCGGACGCAATCCTTGCCATGTAGCGGTTCCTTAGGATACCAGTCACACAGCGCGGAGACCGGACGTTGAAGGGCATCCGATCCTTCCGGGACGACCCTTGATCAATTGAGCTTGTCCCTCAAAGGTCATCGTCGCGTTCGGGGTCGACGGTAACGAGTCATGCATCCTTCTCGGAGTTGTTTCGCTGTCGAGACGGGATCTTAGTCGCATGCGTACAGATCCATGCACGGCGAGGAACAATACTGCGTGCGATTACCATGAGTCGTCGACCTCACAGGTGGACCGAACGGCAATCATACACGACGATCAGTCCCAGCACACTTACTGCCATTAGAATGTCTACCTGTCCTCCACGATCTCCAGTTTGTCTATTACTTCTCGTTCCCATCTTGTCCACCCGTCGTCATCCTTCTCGCCTACGTCTTTCGTCGCTTCCTGGATGGCTTCCCATGGTACGCATCCGCGATCGGTGTCTTCCGTAGGTTCCAGGGCGAACCTCCCTTGTCGTGTTCGTGTCAAGGTCACGACATGCGCCGCCGAGCCCACCGCGTGCCCAAGGTCGTGCACAATGGACCGAACATACGTTCCGCCAGACACCTTCATGCGAAGAATGAATGCCGTTGGAGGCTGTGGGCTAGGTGCTTCTTGTTCGGGCTCATCTTTGACTTCGACGGCCTGCTCGACGCTTCGCAAAGCGCTTTCTACGGCTTTCTTCTGCTCTTCTGTGAACTTCTTCTCTGGGTAGCGATAGCCATGGTCGCTGTCCTTCCACTCGATGAGCTCGAGCTCGTGAACGGTGACCTTGCGCTTCTCGATCGGTCGTGGTAGGGGTATGCCCTTCCGCGCGTATTCGTATAACGGCTTTCCGTCCATTTTGAGAGCAGAGAATCTACTCAGAGCTTGAGGAGTGACTGACAGAAGTTAGAGTAGAACTTACATTGGCGGACTCTGCATGAGTTCCCCTCGGAAGTCCTTCAAGGCTTCCTCCACGCTCTCTCGAGTGACATGCCGCCATGGTGCGACGCGGACTTGAGCACCCTCACTGTCGTAGGTGTCCGTCTCACAACCGAGTAAGCACGTAGTATGGTATTCCTATGAGGAGTTCAGTATGGGATCGGGCGCAGGAATAACGGTTCACGCACCTTCACACAGTCCAGGAACTCGCCCAGCTTTTTCGTGGCCTTGCCAATGCCGACAACTAGGACGCCTCCGTCACGCTAGAGTACTAGCAACGAGATGAGACACATATACCGAGAACGCCATCTGCCAACGGATCGAGGGTGCCGCCTTGGCCGATCTTGACGGCGTACTTGACATGCTTCGCCTTCCGCGTCTTGCCTTTCTCCTTCTTCAGCTCTTTCTCCGCTACAAAGAGACGCGAGCTCGCGATGAGGGGTTTCAGAGTGTCTAGAACAGACATGGAGGTGGGCCCAGAGGGTTTGGCTACGCCGAAGAGGGCAGATACCGGGAGCGAAGATGGGGCTTTGGGCATGACTGGTGCTTGACGAGGGAGCCGGGACTTGATGGACAGAGTAGGGCGGAGAAAGAGCAAAGGTCGCGCAGCGCGCATGAACTCCAGAGTTGCACCAGTGTGGATCGCATTTAAGCTTTCCGAGGCAGAAGTCTTCGGCGCAGAACCCAAGATCTTTGACGCCCATAGCGCCGATTAAAAATACGAGTTGCTCAGCCCGCCACTAACGCGGCACATCTTCAAGGCACATCGTACACAAGATCACGCAAGGATATGTCAGGGAGAGCAGAGAAATACAATAGAGCGATCTAGAATGCGAGTGTAATATACATGCGCCTTTTTTACTTGCAGGTCCACATCAGTCGTGAGTATCGTAAGGATATCAACGCCCAAGAACCCTTTAGTCGACCTCCTCGACGCTGGGGCCCTCCTCGCCGCCTGCTGAGTCACCGCCAGGGAAGCCGCCCGGTGCGCCGCCGGGGAAGCCGCCAGGTGCGCCGCCAGGGAAGCCACCAGGTGCGCCGCCACCCGCAGCGTAGAGCTTCTGCATGATGGGGTTTGCGATCGCCTCGAGCTCCTTCTGGCGATCCTCGTACTCCTCCTTCGATGCCTCCTGCGATGCGTCAAGCCATGAGATGGCATCGTTGACGGCGGACTCGAGCTTGCTCTTGTCGGCCGGGTCGAACTTGCCCGCGAGCTTCTCGTCGGTCAGCGAGTTGCGGAGGTTGTACGCGTACGACTCGAGGCCGTTCTTCGAGGTGATGCGAGCGGCCGCAGCCTCGTCCTCAGCTGCAAAGCAGAGTCAGTATAAAGCAATAGATGCGCAGGAACGTCGACTCTACTCACCCTTGTACTTCTCGGCCTCGTTGACCATGCGCTCGATCTCCTCCTTCGACAGGCGACCCTTGTCATTGGTGATGGTGATGCGGTTCGACTTGCCGGTCGTCTTGTCGGCGGCAGAGACGTTGAGGATACCGTTCGCGTCGATGTCGAACGTGACCTCGACCTGAGGAACACCGCGGGGCGCGGGAGGGATGCCGGAGAGCTCGAACTTGCCGAGCAGGTTGTTGTCCTTCGTCCGTGCGCGCTCTCCCTCGTAGACCTGGATGAGCACACCAGGCTGGTTGTCAGAGTACGTCGAGAAGATCTCCGACTTCTTCGTCGGGACCGTCGTGTTCCGCTTGATGAGGGCGGTCATGACACCACCCGCGGTCTCGATACCGAGCGAGAGAGGAGCGACGTCGAGGAGCAGGAGATCCTGGGTTTTCTCCGAGGTGTCACCAGAGAGGATGGCGGCCTGGACGGCGGCACCGTAGGCAACGGCCTCATCGGGGTTGATGCTCTTGTTGGGTTCCTTGCCGTTGAAGAAGTCCGACACGAGCTTGACGATACGCGGGATACGAGTCGAACCGCCGACGAGGACGATCTCGTGGACCAGAGCCTTGTCGATCTTGGAGTCACGGAGGACCTTCTCGACGGGCTCGAGGGTGCTGCGGAAGAGGTCGTTGCACAGCTCCTCGAAGCGAGCACGGGTGAGCGAGGTGTAGAAGTCGATACCCTCGAAGAGCGAGTCGATCTCAATGGAGGTCTGAGTGGCGGAGGAGAGGGTACGCTTGGCACGCTCGCAAGCAGTACGGAGACGACGAAGGGCACGAGGGTTGGAAGAGAGATCTGGTCGGAAGAAGTCAGTAACTCAACTCAAACAACTCCGAGGAGCGCAGGCTTACCCTTCTTGTGCTTCCTCTTGAACTCCTGGACGAAGTGGTTGACGAGACGGTTGTCGAAGTCCTCACCACCGAGGTGAGTGTCACCAGCGGTAGCCTTGACCTCGAAGATACCCTCCTCGATGGTCAGGAGCGACACATCGAAAGTACCTCCCCCGAGATCGAAGATGAGGACGTTCCGCTCACCCTCGGTCTTCTTGTCGAGACCGTAAGCAATGGCAGCCGCCGTCGGCTCGTTGATGATACGGAGAACGTTGAGACCGGAGATAGTGCCCGCGTCCTTGGTCGCCTGACGCTGCGAGTCGTTGAAGTAGGCGGGGACGGTGACGACGGCGTTCGTGACGGTCGTGCCGAGGTACGACTCAGCAGTCTCCTTCATCTTGAGGAGAACCATGGAGGAAACCTCCTCGGGCGACTGTAGACAGAGTTAGGTGTGCATGCGATGACATCATAAGACTTGAACACTTACAAATTCCTTGTCCTCACCGCGGTAGGTGACTCGGATGTAAGGCTTGCTGCCCTTGTCGAAGACGGTGAAGGGGAAGTGCTTGATATCGGACTGGACCTCGGCATCGGCGAACTTGCGACCAATAAGACGCTTTGCGTCGAAGACAGTGTTGTGGGGGTTCATCGCGACTTGGTTCTTCGCGGCATCACCGATCAACCGCTCGTTGTCCGAGAACGAGACATACGAGGGCGTCGTGCGGTTACCCTGGTCGTTGGCAATGATCTCAACGCGATCATTTTGCCAGACACCGACGCAACTGCAAGACAGTGGTGAGCGAACACCGAAGCAAAATCAGAAGCCGGATGCTACTTACGAGTATGTGGTACCGAGATCGATACCGACTGCCTTTGAGGACGACATTTGGAATGAGAATAGACGAGTTTTGTGGTCGTGAAAGGGGATGAGGAGATGTCGTGAAAGAGTAGAAATTCAACGCTGAGGGAGAGTCGGGGGCGGCGCGCTCATCTTATATACAGGCTGCATTCGGAGGAATTCCAGCACGTTCTTACCTGTTCCGTGACCATCCAGCGCCTTCGCGCGTCAGTGGCCACATGCACGTGATGCAAGGCAATGCGCGCTTGACGCGCGAGTGGCGCGTCCTTGGCCGTACAATGCTCCGGCAACAGTGTCTCGTCCGTTCTTCCACCTTCGCCGGCCTCCTCTACGCATCCTGTTTCGTCGCGCCGTCACCTCCATATTCCGCGATGCCAGAGTCGCTCTTACGCCTCGCTGACGCGTAATTTTGCCTGTGCACTTCTACAGATTGTCTTGCGGAGGCGATGATCATCTATGACTGTCCTCGGAAGAACTCTGACGGCTTCGGCCATGCACGAGTACGCAGTCAGTGCAGAACCTAGGGTCCAACTGGGAATTCTTATCTCCCCGAGTAACACAGCCTAGTGCGTGCTACACGCGTTCCGTGCGTGTATCGATCGGTGCGGTTATGAACTCGGACCATACGCGCGCAATACGTCGTCATTCCTACATTTTGAGAGATCACTACAGTGTACACGTACGTCTGTCTTTAGTAGGATGGCCGTTGTCTGCTTTGGTCAAATGGTATCGTATGTCATTCGCTGCTCCTACTAGGCAGCCATAGCTCTGCGTCGACGTCTCAATTCAAAGGATGCATACTATGCTATCATTCTCCCGCAGCACTCTTCTTCCGTGAGATGACATTCCATACTCTCGGGAACGTCCCTCTTCTCGTAGATGGTATCAACAGATGCTAGATACAATGCGCGCGAACTCCGTGCACAGTTGCGATCGCGAGCGGCCCAAAGCTTGGACTTGGCGACTGTTCTAACTTACGGTCCCTCGACGCAGCGGTTACTCATTGAATTGTGGATTCCATGACGATTTGGGGTATACCTCTACAGCCTTTCCGAAGCTGTTTTCTTTTGCGCTGCCGTGCTGCCAATCTGTGGGCTGTCACATTGCAATTGGGAATGGCGGCTGGTGGCTGAGTACGACGCGTCAGCTCAAACGGGGCTTTTGTCAACGATAACTTTGACATGTCTATATTAGGGCATAACGCTCGCCTAACTGGGGCCAAATTTTGTCACTGCCGCGACTTGCAAGTTGCCACCGCCAGCGACGACTCGGGACGTGCAAGCGATCCGGTCATCGACACGTCTCTCCAATGGCCGCCTACCCACCGTCCTTGAGCACCGTTGAGCCTGCAATAGCGTCTCCGGCTCCATCCTCCTCAGCCTCCAAGTCGTCCAATGTATTCCACCGAATCGCGTCGTGGCGTTACTCGCTCGGCCTCCCCAACCCAGGGTCAGTCGAGAACCTCCAGAAAGAGGTCAAAAGTACGGCCGTCTCCCACTTGTAGTCGCAGAATACTCACAAATCCTCAGGCACGCTATTGACGAACTTCTTTTTCGACGGAGGGAGAGCGGATCTCTCGAAGAGCTTGTCGGTCAACCCCATCTTCCAGGTGACGCATTCATTTGCGCTGGGTTCACAGACCGCCGCTCCATCATATAATTTTGGGGCCGTCTTCGCAAACAACAGTGTACGTTGAGACGCTTCTGTATGACCTGGCTTTCAATGTCGTTCCTAGGTCTTCTTGCAAGGCAGCGTTGACCATGAAGGCAACGTCAACGGTCGACTAAACCAGGGATGGTCGGCGAACAATGTCACAAAAGCGCAGTGTCAGGTACGGGTTGTATACTGGTCTCTCCTATCATGCGTACCCATGCATCGTCTGCCAGCTGTCATCGCAAGTTGGGCACAGTATGCTCCAAGCGGAGCACGACTACCAGGGTCAAGACTACTCTGTTAACGTCAAGGCCATCAATCCCTCACCAGTGGACGCGACTGGCATCTACATGGCTAGCTACATGCAGTCGTTCACCAAAAACCTGGCACTTGGTGTCGAGTTGCTCCACCAACGGCCAGCGCCCGACATGACGGAGACAGCTGCGTCGTACCTCGCGAAGTACACCGGCACGGACAAGAACTGGATCGCCACGGCCCAGCTCCAGCCCGCTGGGATGCTGCAGGCGACATACTGGCAGAAACTCAGCGAAAAGGTGGAAGTGGCTGCGGACCTGCAGGTTATCGCCGCCCCTGGTCGGAGAGACGCCATTGCGACGCTCGGCACGAAGTACGACCTTCGCATGTCGACGTTCAGGGCACAATTGGACTCTACTGGGAAGGTGTCTGCGCTGCTCGAACAACGGTTCGCGCCGTCGTTCGCGTTCTTGGTGTCGGGAGAGATCGACCACTTCAAGGTCAGTCGTCGTCTCAGCCACTCGTTGCTATCTTTCGCTTACTGTTGTTGCTTCTGCAGAACGCGGCCAAGGTTGGCGTGGGTGTGATGATTGAGAGCCCGAGCATGACCCCGGAGGAGATGAACTCCATGATGCAGATGTCCATGCCTCCTACCCCTCCCCAATAGTCCGTCCGTACGCTACCCTTAGAGACATTAGTATTTGCCTGCCCGCAACGCATCCCCGCTTTACGTCCCTAGTGTGCATGTGCTTTCTTGCTCGCGTATAATGACAAGCCTGCCCAGAGATATATGTTGTCTGCCAGTTGTACATTCGTCTCGGGATTACACCCGAACATGGCCTGACGTCACACCAGCAGGCGCGGCTCAATGGCAGTCAACCTATATCAAAGCCACCACCACTATGTATAGACCGCGACAACGCTAGTGCTCATTGTCTTTCTGAACCCTTCCCCCATCTCAGGACAATGCCGGAGACGTTATTGGAGATCAAGGACCTCGAGTGCCCGCGGCCGAACGGGGACCCCATCTTCTCGCACGTCAACTTCTCTGTGCGGGAGGGCGACATTCTCATCGTGCAGGGGAAGAGCGGCTCTGGGTACGTCGCTATTTCAACGTGCAGTCGCATTACACCTGTAACAGTCACCTGGCAGGAAGTCCACGATTCTGAAATGTCTGTCGCATCTTAACATATACCGTGGCGAGGTGCTCTATAGGGGAAAGTGAGTCTCCAAGCGTTATAGCCTCGGGCGCAACTATGACTGAGACTGCATATTGTTAGAGGCCCCAAGTCGTACGGTAAGCCTTGGAATATGCGACATCAGCTACCCGCGAACGAACAGTTGCACAGGCATCCCATTCTATCGCACGCGCGTCCTATACGTCCCTCAGCGGGCCTCCCTACTTCCCGGCACTCCTCGGGATTTCATGAGCGCCGTCACGTCCTTCAGTTCGTACAACAAGTCCGACGGGGGGAAACCCAAGAAGGGCAAGGCGCCGACTATTGCCCACGAGACTATTGAGCTAGCGGAGTCGTGGGGCATCGACGAAGAGCTGTGGGATAGGATATGGAGCAACCTCAGCGGAGGTGAGATGCAGCGCATTGCACTGGCCATAGCAGTCGGGATGAGGAGTGCCGAGATCCTTCTCTTGGACGGTTCGTAGTGCCCGTTTATCAACGCAGTGTACATGTGCTCACGAGCACTGTAGAGCCTACGTCTGCACTTGACCCGGATACGGCGTCGAGTGTAGAGGAGTTCCTGAAGTCCGAGATCAAGAGGTCAGAATCGAACCTGAAGGCGTTGATTTGGGTCACGCATTCGGAAGAGCAAGGAAGACGTGTAGGCACGCGTTTCACCCATCTATCATCAGGAGGTATACGAGAGGAGGACGGGGATTCTATAGTGTAGATATAGTGCAGTTCATAGGGGGTAGTGCAATCAATTCATATACATATGTAGTGCAAAACGAGTGAAGGGCTAAGTTACGACCTGGCTATGATACGGCCAAGATACGACTGGAATGCGCATAAATGCTTTCGCGGTCATTTAACGGCTATAGCGTTACTGTCAAAAAAACTCTGTGCCGGGCCCTTAGCTCAATCGGTAGAGCTTTGTACTTATGGGTTACGTAATTTCGAGAGGCAAGGAAGGCGTATAGGCACGCGTTTCACCCATCTAACATCAGGGGGCATCCGGGAGGAGGACGAGAATTCTGCAGTGTAGTTCAGTGAAGCTGGCTACGACAGTGGAATGCGCGTAACTGCCTGCGTGGTGATCTAATGAGCTTCAAGTTGGCAAAGTATCCAGCGGACCCTTAGCTCAATTGGTAGAGCTTTGTACTTATGTGGTTACTTAAGATAATGCAAGGGTCCCGAGTTCAATCCTCGGAGGGTCCAGTGGATATTTTTTGCATTTATCAACAGTATCCTGTGGTACAAGATGATGTCTGATGATGTTCCTGTCGTCCGAACGCCGAAACGACATGCAGTGCAGCCCGCAGAGTGCGCCGTCGCGCGCATGAGTTGCCATATTTGGGTGCAACGCAGAGCGCCCACGCGCAACTTTGAACCGGCTGGTGTTTGCGCGGGCATCGTGCATTGGGGATAATTTTCTAAGCTCTGGAACCTGGATAGACGTGTAACAGTGTGTATCTAATGTGTGTGTATTAACTTTCAGGGCCCTCACGTCGGATGTGCCAACAATACAGCATGAGCAACAAGCTCATTCCTGCGCGTGGCTGAAGTTGAGCGTTTGAGCCCGCGGACTTTTGCGAGCATCCGGAAGGCTAAGTCGAATAGTTGCAGGACACACAACCTGGAGCCAGAACCCGCGACGGGGCTGCAGCCCGGGATTGTAGTAATATTTGTCAGCCGTGTAGACAAACACTAATAGTAATACTATGAGCAATGCTGCCACGCGCACACGTGATACACCGCAAGACGCGGGACGCAATGCGCCGATGCGCGACCAGGCTAGCTGCAGTTCTCTTTCTTCCCTCACATATCCGAGCTCGTCCCCTTCTTGCTGCTTGAACATGTCCAAGCGGTCCTGGCGCGACAATATCCCCGACATGGCAGCGGCTCTGAAATGGGCTGAAGAGATGTCCGCCAAGTCTGAGGCCTGCGAGATAGAGCTGAGCCCACAGGCACGCAGAAAGGAAAGAATGTTCAAGGAGCTTGCCGAGGCTCAGCGTGTCATCTCTTCTGAGGATTCCCAGAGGATTTGGACACCCCCGGGCGATGCCGAAAGACAGGAAAAGGCCACCTCAGCGAACGAGCAGCCCTTGCTTCAGGTCGCTCGTTTGTGACGTCTAATTTTGTGACACCACCACAATGACTGACACTATGTCGCCATACAGATGTCACCGACCGTGTCATGTATAGAACTCAAGGCCAGAATATGCCAAATGCGCCGGCAAAGCTATCAATTGGTGACTTCAGTGACACGAGCCTTAGCGTCCCGGATGCAGAGCGTGGCAAGGTTGATGAATTCCCGACGAGCAGCGAACTAGAAGGCGTGCCCCTGCATGTCACGGCGGCGCCGTACGTTCAGTGAGACACAAACTTGGCTGAGGCGGGTGAAGCATAGGCTACTGAATGATTCGTAGACCGGTCGTGAACATCGATCAGCGTGATACACGTCAACAATGCGTAGATTGCCGGAGCGATCTGACGAGTGAAGCCGCAACAAAGGCAAAGTCATTTACTTCTCAAAAGCTGCGGGAGCACCAGTGCGTATGCGCTGCAACATAGAAAGTGCGTATGTACTGAAGATATATACAGGCACATATACCACACAATTACCGTGCAGCTGGCGAGGTTCTGGAAGCATGGAGAGACCTGGAGCGTGATGATGCCAGGTCGGTGGTCAGCAGGTGGTTGCCTGTTGTGTCGGGCGGATGGGAAGCCGTACCGAAGGTAACGTTGATCGAGAGGGGCCTCATATATGCGTTGCACCTCACACCATGGCTGGTCATACTATGGTACTCCCCGAGCGGCTTGCATGCTCATTTGTATAGAATCAAAGCCCATGCTGAAGATCACCGCATCGCTGCCATTCGAGAGACAAGCGTGAATGTGAGCACTGCAGATTTCCAGCTGTAAATTGGCATAGTAGATTCAAGTGCCTGCAGAAATCTCTTTCGCGCGGCCGCAAGTCCGGCCGCATGCCTGCGAAGGCGACTATCCGGAAGTATGCAGCCCGGGCTGCACTGCTGCAGTGGGTCCCGGACAATTTGGGGCAGCTTCTCCGTCCTCCCGTCCTGAAGGAAGGGAGTTATACCACTGCCCTTGTGTTACGGGAGCCAAAAATGCTACCGGAGGCGGCACTCTTGTCGACGGCGGCGCGTCGAGCGCGAATGGGTGACACGCGCAGGGCGGACGCAGTGGCAGCGAGGTGGGGATGTTGGCGGGGACGGCGGCGGGGCGCAGGGCGGAAGACGGCAGCGATGGTGACAAGTGACGGACGCGACGCGTTCAATTCTCGGAGGGTCCATTCTTTTTGCCTGATCGACAGTATTGATCCCATCAAGGACGAATCGTTCAACCGTCATTCATTCGTCATGAAATGTCACTACTGTCGTACAAACACGTAGCTGAGATCGTAAAATAAGTATTGCGCCTGCGCAACGGGCTTTACCAAGTGACCGAATCACCTCGTCATTGTGCGTTATGGGATTGTACAGGATTGTCCACAAAAGTCTCTCCTCGTCGTACACGCTCCATCCATGCCGCGACAACATCGACCGTCTTCATGGTAGGTGTCATTTTGGACAACAGTGTCGTGTATACATGATTGAGCTGTTCTTGCAACATTGTCTGAATAGTCTGATGGGTGTTCAGAAGGAGCGGCTCCATATCATCGTGGAGCGACTGAATGAGCGACGGGTGGATTCTGCTGAGGATTTCTTCCAAGGAGGGGACTTGCTGCAGGGGCGCAGGTGGTGGTGGTGGTGGTGTTAGTACTGGGGCCTGAGTTATATAACTCTGAACGGCAGCACTGAGAGCCTGTATCTCAGCCTTGGTGGCTTCAATTACCGTTCCGCTTGTCGAATGTTGCTGTTCAAGCTGTCGACATCGGTCAGCACGCGACGCCGAACATCCCCGCGTTGTCTACTCACTGCAGCGATACGATCGCGAAGGAGCTGATTCTCCTTCGCCAGGCGAGTATGCTCCTGATCTCTTGCATCCATCTGTGTAATCAGGGTTGCCACTTCACCAGCCAACTCTTCTACCTGATTGCCAGTTGTTGCCAGTTCAGTCTCTACGCGTGTGAGGTCCGGATGAGGGCCTAGAATTGGGGCCGCCAGAGCGGGACTCTTCGAGCGGATTTCCACCTTGGGCTTGCTCTGCGTTTCCTCCATTCGAGATTGGACCAGGCTTACGACCTCTTCAAGCAAATTGTGATCGCGCTCGATAATCTCATTCTCCAGGTCCGATACACGACCTTCCATGTCCAATACGCGATTGTGTAATTCCCCTGCCCCGCCGGCGGGAACGCCATTTGGCTTGCGAACGTCCTCGCTGACCGCAATCGTCGCTTCACCGGAAGATAAGCGTCGACGCTTTGTGGGCGGCCCTTCCTGTGTTTGCCACCCAGGAGGATCTATCTCCATATGTGATTCCGGTGCGACAGTCGCCTTTGTGCGTAATTCTTCGTACTTCTCGTGGAGTTTCTGCATGTTCTTGCTGAGGTCCGCAATAATGTTATGTACCTCCTTGCGGAATTCATCCATGCCCGGCGGCGAATTCACCGTCGTACCCCAGAAGTCGGCGTCGATCAGACGCGGCAAGACTTTGTTCAAGTCGTTCTTCTTAGCGTCAAGGCGCCCAGTCACCTCCGACAAGTGGTCGTTCAGACGCGCTTGATCTTCTTCGGATATGCCATTGTACCGCGCAGAACGAACCAGGCGCTGGTATTTCTCCACCTCCTGAGCCAGTTGCATGTGTTCAGCACGAGCGATTGTGGCATCCGTGAGCAACCTGCAAGGCTCAATGAGATGACGAAGCACCGTAGAAAACCGACAGACGTACTTGATGCGCTCGACCCACAGATCACGCTTCTCAGTATACGACAACTCCTTAACTGGTGATTTGGCAGCTGTAGCCGCGGCACCCTCACTCGATAAGGATGGCGGCGGCGGCGGAGGCATTGAGGGAACCGGCGGCGGTGGCATCGCGGATGACGGCGCAGTATGTGGCTTGATACCGTTCGTTTGCACGCGGACTTGTGAGATGGGACGGAACCGGCTGTCCAATGAATTCATGGATGTCGGCGAGGCCGGCGATGGGTCGCGCATATGCTCAGAGGGTAAGCTCCCTTGGCGGTTGGGGGCCGTGCTCGGACTGGCACCGCTCGCAGACCGCGGACGACCAACGCTGCCACTGGAGCCAGATGGTCGAGGGCCGGATGGAGAAGCAACACGTGGTGGATCTCTATGCGATCCTTGAAAGGTATTGTCTGGTCTGCGAAGCGGTGCGCTCGCTGAAGAATTACTACCCGCACGATCACGACCGAATGCATTGTCCGGGCCAGGAATGTGTCTCTCGTGGGACGAAGGACGTCTCGGAGATGGGAGGCGCGGTTCAGGAAGGCGGACCGGCGTCTTGGAGCGAGGCTTTGAGGGGACGCGGGGGCCGCCCGGCGGTGAGTGTGGACGCGGAGGAGTGCGCGCACGATCGTGTGGGGATCGCGGGCGGTGGCCGACGCTGAGCGCGGGCGAGCGAGGCACGGGCGACATGCGGGGTCGAGAGGAAGACGAGGTCGCCGGTGGTGAGCGCGCTCGCGGCGGTGTTTGGGCACGAGGCGCAGAAGGTGTCCAGGGATTGTTGTTGATTGGGAAAGGAACTTGCCGTGGACGTGCGGGCTGCGCCAATTCCCAGTCCGGGTGGTCTGGATGTACGTACCAGCACTCGTCCCAGAGCCGAGGACAGCCAAACCGGCCTTGGTACCGCAGCGGGTTGCCGCTGTTGTCAAACCACTGCAGACTCCGTCAGACGGGATTGCTATCGGTGTCTGTAGCTGACGTACATTGCAGCGAGTTCGGAACCTTGACATATCGGATGGGCCGCGTGTTGTGTGGCAGCTGGCGGATGGTCGTGGACTGGGAGAGCAGGCGGCGTCGCAGCGACTCGCAGAGCAACGACTTTGCAAAGCTTTGCAAGCCCACGCGCATCCTATTCGGGCAACGCCGCGCGCGCCATCACACGCTGCCGCCCACACAATGTCGCTTCGGCGGACACGGCTACCGTTACCCGCTAGTCCGTGGATAAAGGTCTCGCGCCACCTGCGCGCCACACGCCTCAGCCACCTCGCGTCTCGCGATGTCGCCTTCACACAACGCTCGATGCCTCGCTCAGTACTCGTTCTATGGCTGTGACGACCTCGTTTTCGGAATATACGCGTCAAAATCACCTCAGGGAAGGTCTCGGGAAGGCCATATCGACAGTGAGCGCCTTGCAAGACCTCCAGACGTGTCGGCGAACACCCGCAGACATCGCGTGTTGGGATACTGGGGTAGACTGTACGGCGACTAGATCGCGGTATGTATTTATAGGGAAAGCTTGAGACAGTATACACAACCCAGTTTGTCAACGGTCAGTTTGGCAGGCGATGATACTGGTGGTGAGGATGCCAGCTTCTTTGAATCTTGTCACACTCACAAAACATCATGTACGCTGTGTGATGTATTCTGGTAAGTACATAAGCGTGGAATATGAGCACATACATGGGACTGTGTATGATAGTCATGAAAGAACACGATTGTATCGGCTTAGCAGCTGGACCTCCTGCCGGCGCTGGCGTTGGACACAAGGTCGTGTCATTAGTGTTTCACATATCAAGGTTGGGTTTGAACGTCTCAACATGGTGTATTGCTACATTCAAAATTGCGAACAAGTATGCTATGACTCCGACGGGACTGAGCGGGGCTTGGCACCACAAAAGTGCAGAAGGACAGAAGGACAACTCACTAACATCGAACAATTTCTGCCCTTCCACCCCAGCAAACGTCATCCTCGGCTCGACCATTCCTTAGCACCCTCTCCTAGCGTCCCAACACGCGATGTATAAGACCCGTGCGCCAGTCCTGCTGTCTGCGGGTGTTCGCCGACACGTCTGCCAGTGGAGGTCTTGCAAGGCGCTTACTGTCGATATGGCCTTCCCGAGACCTTCCCTGAGGTGATTTTGACGCGTATATTCCGAAAACGAGGTCGTCACAGCCATAGAACGAGTACTGAGCGAGGCATCGAGCGTTGTGTGAAGGCGACATCGCGAGACGCGAGGTGGCTGAGGCGTGTGGCGCGCAGGTGGCGCGAGACCTTTATCCACGGACTAGCGGGTAACGGTACACGGCCACTCAGCGTTGCCGCACAGTATGTATAGAAATAATCCGTAAAATGCATGCAGCATTGGGCGACTACAGCTCCCCAAACTCCCCGTCGAAAACATCCTGCGCAACAAGTCCCTTTTTCACTTTCTTGGCCATCCTCTCTTCCCTCGCCAACGCGTCCCAATCGTCCTCGCCTCCGTCCGAACCCTCGTCAACACTCACCCCACGTTGTCGCTTCTCGCCGACCACCTCCTCTGGCTGATTCTGCTTCAGCCACTCACGTTTCTTGCCCTTGATCTCTTTTCGCTTCAGCTTTTCCTCCTGCTTGACGACCTTGCTGCTCCAGGCCGCGTTAGCTTTCTTCTTCTTCTCTCGTTCGTGTTTGCGCTTTTGAATGTGTTCCGTGGACACTTTCTGCTTTTCTGACTCTGCGAGCCGCTTTGCTTCGCGCTGCTTGTCTGCATACGCATAGCTGTTCCACTAGTGTCCGGTTACGCCTGAGATCAAGCAGACATACAAGGGCAACTCACATCAGCGTCAGCGTCTTCCCAGCCGGCCCTTGACACATGATCCAGCTCCGGCATGCGAGGCAAACGCAGCAAACCGAAACATTTGGCCACACCAACGAGATCCAGGTCTCGTATTCGGAAGATGTACGATGCTTCGTGCTTGGAGTAGGCCCGTACGAAGGACACATAGGCCTTGGCTGCCTTGTCGTTTAGACCTCGATCGGTCAAAAGCGTCTGCCTGATCTTCGTTTGCGCAGTCATCACCTCTGGGTCCTCTTCCGCGTCCGAATTCGGGTCAAGAGGGGGGAGAACGCTGCCGTCTTCAGCGAAACGTCCGTATTCGATCAGGGGTATCTTGCGAACCGCCAGGAAGTCTGTAGTGGGACATGTTCGTCAGAATATATGCCCGTCAACCTAGGCAATGTGTGACTACTCACCAACGTAATCCCGCTCACGCCCCACCAACAAAACCCATGCGCGTCCGCTCCGACCAGCACGAGCAGTACGACCACAACGATGTGAGAATGCTTTCGTGTCGGAGGGTGGGTCGAACTGAAGCACGACGTCGACGTCGGGGATATCAAGCCCCCGCGCTGCTACATCTGTAGCCAGGAGAACAGAAGGGGACAAGGGCGTCGCGGGCGAGGACTTGAAGTTGTTGAGGGTACGTTCGCGGGTAGCTGGCGGCAGATGACCGTGGAGCGAATAAAGTGTCGTGTTTGGTGGCATGAAAGACGGCAATATCTAGATACAAGATGAGTATATGCAGATATCGATGTAGAAACCACGTACCCGGTAGAAGTAATCCACGCAAGCGCAGGTCGCGAAGTACACAATGAATCGCGAGGACTGGCGCTGTGACACCTCATGGCAAATGATCCGTGACAGCTGGACAAGCTTCTCCGACGACCGGCACGACACATACATGTTATGCAAGCTAGGCGGGCATGAGAAGAGGTAGTCTCATATGCAGGGGCTCGCTTACTTCGCCGGTATTCGCCTTTCCTCAAACACCTCCCCTCGAACAGACTTCTCTCCGCTGGCCTTGTCAATCTTCGACTTCTTGGACTGCACTTTGACCACAATTCGAGCAGGATTGCGGAGACCTGCGCGAACAAGTTCGGACAGCGCGTCTGCATCCGTCATGGTAGCACTGAATAATCCCGTCCGACGCTGCTTTGGCAAATGCGATAGGATGCGAGTAAGCGTGGACTGGAAGCCCAGATCTAGCAGCCTATCCGCGCGACGAAGTCAGCACAATCACTCTCGACATGTTGGACGTACGCACCGGTCTGCCTCGTCAAGGACCAGTACCTCCAGCTCTTTCACAGTCACGACATCCTTTCCCTTCCCCAGAAGGAACTCTTCTATCCGCCCTGGAGTACCAATGACGATGTCCGCGCCTGTGTCTAAGAATCTCCTGACATCCTCGGCAGGGGACGAGTCGGAAGAGATGAGTAACAGCGGTGGAGGATATGCGGGTTTGCTGCTGGACGCCTCCTCTTCATCGGGCTGTGGTTGGCTAGACAGGAAGAGAGAAAAGACGGAATGGATCTGGGTCGCGAGCTCTCTGTATGGATGTCGTGTTTGCACTTTGTACAAGAGCGATGACTTGAAGAGCATACCTTGTGGGGCTAATGATCAACGCGCCTACCTCGTTCTCCTTGAGTTTGCGCTCTCTGCGTATGAGCTTCTCGAGAACTGGGATCACGAATGCCAGTGTCTTTCCCGAGCCGGTGACAGCTTCGACCACAACATCCTTGTGCTTCATGAAGAGTGGGATTGTAGATGCTTGCACAGGGGTCATTCGCGCGTAGCCCATCGAGTTTATGACATCCATACTGGAGCGTCGGTCAACCAGGGGGCAGCAGCATACATGTCTGGACGACGACTCACATCCATGGTGTCAGCGTTGTCGGCAGCGACGCCCACGGGCCAGCATAGGCATTTGAGGACGACATGGTCGCAGCAGGAGGGTGGCGCAAAAACATTTGCGATCGGTCGAGCCAGAGCGATCAACGGGCCGCGGGCCGCCGGGACCAACGAACCACCACAGGCTGAGTCCCAGACCCCTGGGTCTTGTCCTTCCCGACCGCCGTCTGACGCCAGCCCGACGCCCACACCACGCCCTCGACGTCCGCGCCGTCCACTCCCCGTCGCGTCCGACTCTCCTGCGCGGCAACGCCCCCTACGAGCCCTCACGAAACGCGGATGTTGAGCCCTGATCTCGATGGTCGGACTCCTTCCCATGCTTATAGAAACGGCGCCTCGTCTCCTCTGCATTCGGTCGTGCTGAGCCATGAGTACATCTTCGAGGCCCTCGTCAAGTCCTCGGATGACAGTGCCACGCTCGACTTCACACACAAAGGCTTGACGGATGTGGGGGAGGCGGGTGCAGAGGAGATTGCAGCCGTAGGCCAGGAGGCGGGGGACAGTTCGACGGTTGTGAGGTATGAACTCATGTCCGAGTACTGTGGCGAGACTGCTCACAGCATCGCTAGGATTGCGCTCGCGTATAACCGTCTGACCACGCTGCCCATGGCGTTTGCCCTCATTGCACGCCTACGGTACCTTGTTCTCAAGAACAATAACTTTTCGGTCTTTCCTCATGTTGTACGTGCCTTTGCCTCCGTTCGTTCAAGTTGTATTTATTAAGCCTGTATGTTTGAACGCAGTTGACTGTCATGCCTTCTTTGGAGATTCTCGACATCAGTCGTAACAAGATTAAACGTCTACCCAGTGATCCAGGTTCTCTCGTTAACCTGCGGGTCCGTGTCCTAGGTCCACATCTCCTGTGCTTGACTGACAGTGTCGCAGGTATTCTCTATCCTTCGCAACAAAATTCAGAAACTCCCTCCGTCATTCACTCAGTTCCAGGAATTGACCTTATTCAAGGTCGATGGGAACCCCCTCGAATGGCCACCGAAAGCGGTCATGGATTCGTCTGAGAATCTGGACGACCCACAGGCCATGAAAGAGTGGATCAAACGGTTGCAGAGGTGGATTGAAGACAACTCGTCCAGCCGGAAGATGAGCGAAGACTCCGTACTCCTTGATTCTGATGCGGTCAGGTACGAACGGTGTCACATGCACACCTACTCTATTCACATGAACCTTCCCGCAGCGAATACAGCCTGCAAGCCACCTCGGCGGCTTCGTCTTCCAGGGAAGAACTCCACACATCCGCTTCTTACCACGCCCGCTCTTATTCCGTGGAGTCGGAGTTGTCGACATACTTCCAGCTCGATCGTTCCCAGTCGAGTAGTGAGCCATCGAAGCCTCGTTTGAACTGGCCTCCGCGGCTGCAGGTCAGCAATGGCTTCCCGACAAGGAGCGCGGTGCCGTCGCCGTCGCGTTCTGTGCGTTCACATTCGCGTTCGCCGGATTCCTTGTATCCCCTGGATGAGTTGATCCCGTCTGCGGACGAGGAGTCGCCCAGTGGCGGCCTTGAGCGTCTGGCCGCCAATGGCTTGACCCAGACCGAGGCCATCAGTGCCTCTAGGACCTCTAGCATGACAAGCACGCTGACTGTGAGGAAGGGGTCACTGGATGCACGGCCAGCGAAACTGCAACTTACTACCAGCCTTGACCACATTGATTTACCACCTCCTCGTCCCCTCTTCTTCCATAGTGGGTCCAATAGCGCGTCCAGGTTCGTTGCCTAGTCTTGCTTATTTCTTCTGCGTGGTGTAATCAGTGACCTTACAGCTCACCGAATCGCGGGCCAGACGAACCAGCTTCAGCATCACCTATAACCACAGCACCAGAGCGGCCCGCACCTGCCATGGACCAGAAACGCAATGCCTACTTCCGACGGCTCTCGGCACTCACCCCCCTCAACCTATCGAAGACGATTCCAGAGGACCTCTTGGCTTTAGTCGATGCTGTGCGGGGCATTCTCTTCGGTGTCTCGCAGATCTATCAGACCCTCCAACATTACACCGTCTACGCAATCGACGAACGACTATCCGCGGTGCTCATGAAGGTCCTGGACCCTGCCAGTGTCTACATGACACAACTGATCACCGCCCTCGACCGCTTTGATACGATGAGCCGACGGACAGTGCCTCCGCCGAGCGTGTGCAGAGCGGTGGTCGAGAGTTGCAGGGACAATGTGACGGTGTTCGGGAAGGCGGTGGGGGTGCTGGCGTTGCAGCTGAAGGTGCTCGCGACCCACGACGACGTGCGGTATACGCGGCAGATGCTGTTGACGCTCTACGGTGCGATGGCAGAAATTGCGACGTCGTGGCAGGCCATGGCGAGTCGCATCGAAGCCGTCAGGCCTCTGCTGTGGGAAGGTAGGCCACCGCCGGTGGGAAAGGGGTACGCAGCGCAGACTCAAGCCTCGCGCGTCGCGAACGGACATGGGACGGACTCCTCAAGGTCGCCGATCTCCGCCCCTGCTCATGGCTCTTCCTTCGCATCCCCTCTCGACTACTCGCGCCGGCGTCAAAACATGGCACCGCCGACCCCAGACGAGAGCAAGACGCGGATGTCCCGCCGCCATGCGGGGTCGTTCAGCTCGAAGGATGTCGAGAAGGGGAGGTGGATCCCGTCGAACGACATCGTCCCCTCGTTGACCGCTGGTGTATTGACCGGCGCTGCTCCGCCGATGCCCGTGCCACGCCCGCAAAGACGAAATGCGATGACGCCCCTCTCTGCGTCGGGGCACTCATTCTCGGGCCTTACCGCGAACGGTTCGCACCATGCAAATGGCTCGTCCACTGCGGGAGTCAACCAAACGTATTTCACCGTGCATTCAAGGCAGGGATCTGGGTCGTCTATGCTTCCGTCTGCGTCTGTGCTTGCGCTCAAGATGGCGCAGATGGAGGCACCGTCGAACACAAGTACCCTGGTTGACAACGAGGCCATCGAGGCGATGAAGCAAGCCTTGGATGCTGCGCCAACGATTTGGAGGACGATAGCGGAGATCATGGCGGGCACGGACGATGACCAGGAGGAGCTGAAGGACACGCTTGCGAAGGCGAAGGAGATAGTGGAACGGCTCACCAAGAACATAGATGCACTTCAGGATGGTTCAGCATCCGTGGACAAGCTATCAAAGCCTCTCCATGACGACGCACGCGCTTTTGCCAAGGTAGGTTCTCGTCAATGGGAAAACAACCCAAGCAGCATAGCAGACTCACTGACCGTTGACAGATGGTCATCCAATTGTCGAGTGCTATCAAGACGCACATCGAGGCGCATCCGCTATCCGCTGAGCTGCGCAACAAGATTGGGAAAGTCACCAGTGCCACCGAGGAATTCGTTATTTTGTTGCATGTCTCCTCGTTCTCTCCCGCGCCCACACCACGGCCATATTCACCTATGGTGCCCATGGGTGCTGCGCCGAGTCCACTCGGGGTACCGGACGATAAGCTGAGCTTGAGTGCCGGTATCACGCGCAGTCGCAGCGCGCTGCAGTCCAACAAACTCAGGCCCCCCAACATGCGGGACCCACCACACAGCGCACAACCACACCAGACATTCGCCATTCCGACACCGCCACGATTTGGGACGCCCAGAAGAGATGGTATCGACCATTCAACACCTGTGCAGAGCTAGCGGTGCCCATCCGCTGGCGACGTACCCCTTGGGCCCATTTGTTGAACTAAATTATTCCATCTATGACACTTCACGCTTGCAGCACTCACTACATATAATCCTTCCTGCATGTTATCTACGCATAGTGTAATCTCTCTTTCAATGCAGCCCGGTGGGCATGGTCATCTATTATTACGGTGCAAGCAGAGCGACTGTCCCCGGAACGGAAGGCTATATGCAAATAATGACTACGTTGCGTCAAGATCCATGCGTGAATTTAGATGGTGTGCCCCCCTATGAATGCTTCGCCCTGGCTGATCCTCTCCGAGAGTTTCCCGCCACACTCGCGTCCGCACTGGCTACGATCCGATTGATCTCGGCTCTGATTTCCTGGAGGTTGGTCTTCAGTGTTTTGGCATCCTCGAACTTCCGATGAGCTTTCGCCTCCTCGACGAACGTCTCGAGCAGCGCTTCCTGTTCCAATAGTGGTTGGAGAGTGCGGGCGAGTTCCGAATCGGGATCAATCTGGGACTCTTCCGGCGTCGACGTCGTCGAGGCTGGTGACTTTGTACCGTTGGTTGCTTTCGGTAACGACTGTACAACAGTGAGCGGGATAATCACAGTGTGATGTCAGCAGCACATACCTGAAGTGGAAACATGTTCTTCTGCAAGAACTGGTTCGCACGACTGGCGATGGCCGCTTGTATGCGGTCCTGCGAGCTACCAGGACCAGCTGCAGTGGGAAGTTGTCGTATGCGCTTTGCAAGAGCATCATATTGCCCAAAGGCCTCCAACAGCCTCTTGCGGGCCGCAGAAGCCTCCGGCGTAGGTTGCTCGCGCTTGCTGAAGTCGGCCGTCATCAGTTCTGAACATTACAACAAGGTAAGAGCACAGTCACAGACCTCAGCGTAAGCATGAGTTCCTGGAACTGCGGCAACGAATCTTCAATCTCCTTCTCGAGGCTGATGAAAGCCTGAGCGGATTCGTGAGCGGGCGCCTAATATGTTGCAGAGAACCTACGTCGTAGAGCCTGAAGAAAATCGGTATGCTGCGAGACTCATGCTTGTATTGCTCACGACTGCCGGGTGTGGTGAGACCGGGTTTCAACTCCAAATAGTCAGTGTGCTCACAGCAATACTGGTCGGCAGTCCCGGCATATCCGCACACCCTTGAGGAACTTCTCGTCCTCACTCATTTTCTCCTCTTTCTGACCTCTCGCTTGGGGTGTTGCACTAGGCCGGCGGCGTACCCCATAATCCACGCCCTCACTGACCTCCTCTATGCGGCCCGTGTTCGAGTCAGCAACGAACAGTAGGGAACAAGGCTGAGGACGCTGTGGGACTTTGACCGGTAACGAGCATATGATTCGCCCGCATAGGCGACAGTGATGTTTGCGATTTGTCAGAGGATGGAAGGCTGAGCTGAAGCGAATGAATGTGTCAGGCCTTCCTACAAATGACGTCTTGGTGATAAAGGTGAACTCACTTGCAGAGGGGACAATGTGTCACCAAGGCATCATCCTCCCAAGGCGTTATGGTCTGTTCTGTAGCTGTTTGAACGCATTGTCAAATTACGGCCTTCCGACACGGGTAGAACAGGCCGAACTCACCTCGAATATCGTTCTTGCCTCCCGAGGCAACCTGAGATTGAACGACATCCCTCCACAAGTCGCTCGCGCTCTTACTCCGCAACTCCGAAAAGTCCATCTCGAAGATGGATGATAACCGCTTGTTGGGACGTGGAGGTGGACGCTTGTCACTTGTCAGCTTCTCCTTCTCTTTTTGGGACTCAGATGGGAAATGCAGATGCATGAGCTTTTCAAACCGTCGTTCGAGCCTGGTACGCTCAATGCGCCCGACGTCACGATTCGCCTTGCGCGCTTCAACGAACTCGTCTGTACGAGGACGATATACGCCCTTAGGTTGGAAGCCTGGGCGGTACGGCGCGGGAGACCGTGCGATAGAGCGCTCGCGTCCAAATTGAGGCACAGCAGGAGATGGCGGTTGAGTTGTAGATGGGCCCGGTGCAGGGGACAACACACGCATTTGAGGTCTAGGAGATGGGCCTAGTGAGTGTACGTGAGGTGGGGTACCTGGCGAAGGAGAAGTCGGAGTCCTGGGCGTCTGCACCACGGTATCCTCAGGCGAGCTTGTCTGCCTCGGTGCGATGTCAAGACTCGGAACTGCGGGTAATGCTCTTTCGTACGCAGCTGTAACAGAGGGGGAGGGAGTACCGGAAGATCCCTGGCTGGGCGTGTGCGCGATTGGAGGTGGCTCGAGTTGTCGTGACTGCGTGGAGGCCATTGACGGCGTGCGCGAATGCGTCTCTGCTGGTCGCAGTGGGGATGACGGTAGCGGGGGCCGCGCATTAGGGTTGCGCAACGGAAGATGGCGGAATGTCGAAGTCTTCCGCGGGGAGGGCGGTGGTGCATCAGTCGAAGCGACAGAAGTCGACGGCCCTGCAACTGGTTGTGACGATGAAGACGTGCCGCCATTCGGCAGCGATGGCGAGATCACCGCAGCGGGTGCCACAGATAGCGTAGACGGCAATTGCTTTTCGTCGGATCCATCGACAGAAGGGGTTGGCGGTTTCCCGGGAGACGGTAGGTACGTAGGTGTGTGTAGTGAAGTAATGGCAGTAGGCGGAGGGGACGCGACTGAAGGCACTGGTGACGGTGTCGGAGGAGCTTCCGGTGCAGGGTTATGTATGACGCTGGTACTTCGCACAGGAAAGGAAAAGATGGTCGAGTCGGAATGACCGGAAGCAGCCTGAGGAAAAGTGTCAAACATGGACGCTGGCCTTGACATGCCAGCTCTCCCAGTCGGCGACGAGCTGGGGCGTGCATGAGATTCAGCATTTGTCAGGCTTCCCGTCCTCTGGTGGAAGGCCGGCTCGCTGTTTGTAAATCCATTGCTGACCACGGACGAAGGACGCGGCTGCGGCGAGGCTGCGCTGTTAGACGCAGACTGATTTGAGGTATTTCGCGCATGTCTCTTCGACTGTGCCAGGAATCGTCAGGTGTGCAATCAAGTGAGATTGAACAGCCGCGCACCTTGTACGGCTGGTATGGAACATAAGGTGCAGGCGAGGTCATGGCGGTCGTTGAAGTCGAGGACCACAGGATCGTAACCTAATATTCGTGAAGCCGTAATGGAGGCGATGAGCTCGGACCAGCTGTCACCGCCGCTGCTCCCCGGCAGATCTACAGGCAGCAGACAGGGATGGAAACGCGAGGTTTGTTGCTGTTGGTAGACAAGTAGCAGCAGAGGGCACTCACCTACGCTGGAGGTCGAAGTGGGAGGACGGTCGACTGTGTACGCGACCTGGCCTGACGCGCCACCGGCTCGCGCGGTCATGCGGTCTCCGAGTACTCGTGCCCACGCGCGTCGTCCAGCTTGACCACAAACTACCATGTCTGCTCCCACAGGCATCGCCGTCTCAGAAGAGCTCTCCTCTGTCTTCGCAAGCGCAATCGAATCTCAGAACGTCCGATTCCTCAAGATCTCCATACGCAATGGTCTCGCACAGTCCCATCCCTATGTGACTGTCCGCGCAACTCATGCTGCTGTGCACCAGAATCTCTCCAACCGGACGAGACCATCGCGCCCTCCGGGACTCTCGAGCAGGATCTGGATAGGTTGAACACTATTGTGGAGGCCGATATCCCTGCCTATGTGCTTGTCAGGCTTGATGACCCTCCTTCGGAATGGCTGGCGATATACTACGTGCCTGACACCGCGAAAGTGAGAGACAAGGTATGGATGGCGATGAGTATCCTGAGCCGTGTCCTCACTCTATGCCAGATGCTGTATGCTGCTACAAGGACGACCCTTACCAAGTCCCTTGGCGCAGCTCATTTCACGGATAGTATATTTGCGACAAGCAAGGATGATCTATCTGCGGACGCGTATTCGAAGCATAAGCAGCACCTTGCGGCCCCGAAGCCAATGAGTGCGAGGGAGAAAGAGATCGAGGCTGTCAAAGCCGCTGAGCGGCAGGCGGGCAGTTACACCTACGAGGGCAGCAATGCCAGAAGGAGCCATGTAGCTTCGGGCGTCGGCTTCAAGTGGTCGAGTGAGGCAGACGGCGCCGTCAAGGAGCTGGCATCTGGGTCGGGCATCTCACTGGTGGTATTGGTGAGCCCAGTCCATCAGAACAAGCACAACCTGCTGACGACTGTGCTGTTAGCACATTGATGCACCGTCAGAGACGATCATACTATCGTCCGCTACGGATTGTCCCGTAGAGCAACTGGGCTCTTCTTTGCCATCTTCAGAGCCTTGTAAGCCCGCCGACCGACGTTCCTGTTTTGTCCACATTTCCGACATAAATATGTTCTAGCGTATGCCTTCTTCGCGTTGCCGCTGTCGCTCACCTCTTCACAGCGAGAACTAGGTATGTCGCCGTGTCTAGTCTCGTCGATGCGTCAGGATCTGACAGCGTTCGCAAGTCTTTATATACTCGTGCCCTTCCTCGTCGCCTGTCAAGAATCGTATGCTCTACTCATCGGGAGTCGGCACAACCACTTTGGACGCGAAGAGGGTCCTAGACCTAGCGGGCAATGAAGCCACCATTGTACCACGCAAGATCGAAACCTCAGATCCTAGCGAACTGGACGAAAAGTACCTTGCCGTAGAGCTGGGGCGCGATGGATCTGCGGCCACAGCAGCAGCTCCTGCCATTCAATCGGAAGAGAAGAAGCCCTTTGCGCGTCCCAAGGGTCCTGGTAGGAAGCGGTAGGCTGTACTGTACACCAAGAGCTGCTATTTGTACGGTATGACGGTGCCCCAAATGAGATGCCGGCGGAAGGAAATGTACACAACTTGTACATACTGCTTGTACTGTAGACAGCGAATTGCATTTAGCGTCACAGTGTCAAGGCGTGTCAGTTAAAGATCCTGATGGCAAGCCTCACCGCACATCGGCACTGCGGCCGACGCAAGGCCGCCGCTGTCTTCGGGAGGCAGTCTGAAGTCGTCGCCTTTTGAGGCAGCTCTGTTCGTCACATGTGCCATCCCGGGCGCAAGAACAGAATGACCCATCGCATATGCGCCGTCAGAGGGCCTCCCATCCGCTATAAGAGTCGCAGCGGTCGAGCGCGCAAGCCTCTCTGTCGCCGTCGTCGCGCTGCCCTACTCCTCCGAGATGCTCGCCGCGACGCGTTCTGCACGTTCTGCGCGGTTGGCGCCTAGGTCGTCTGTGTCTTGTCGCGTTGGTGCGCCGTCTGTAGCTGTCCTTGTGCGGCTGCGCGTAAGGTGCTATAGTGCTGGTGGTACGCAGGCTGAACTGCCTGTCCCGAACAAGGCGAAAGTATGGGACTCGGTTGACGAGGCGGTCAGAGATGTCAAGTCGGGCGATGTCCTGCTGAGCGGAGGTGCGCTTCTTACCACTATCCCCCGGTTCTCATCGACTAACCTAGACCATAATACAGGCTTCGGTCTGTGCGGAACACCAGGTTGGTTGGATGCGCAGGCTTTGCTTGGGTACGCGTCGGCTGACTGGGTCCGTTAGACACCCTGATCGGTGCTCTGGCGAAGCGAAAGGAGGTGACGGACTTGACGGCAGTATCCAATAATGCGGGCTCAGGAGAGAATGGACTCGGTATGTACATAGCACTCCGCTGTGCACTTACGTGCTGAGATCAGGCGTCAGGAAAGCTGCTACACTCCGGACAAATCGACAAGATGATGGCCTCGTATATCGGAGGGTGCGTCATGCCGTGTAATACCCACTTTACTTCTCACTTACCACTTGATAGGAACAAATACTTTGAGTCCCTATATCTCGAGGGCAAGATTTCGCTCGAGCTCATCCCCCAAGGCTCGCTCGTCGGCCGGCTTAACGCCCACGCTGCGGGCATCCCTATGTTCTACACCCCGACCGGCGCGTCAACAGCGGTAGAGCACGGGACGATACCGATCCGCTACAAGCCGGGAGGTCTGAAGGAGGGTATTGCGATCCCTGGGAACAAGAAGGAGGCGAGGGTGATCAATGGGAGGCGCTTCGTGCTCGAGCCGGCGATTGCGGCAGACGTTGCATTCATCAAGGCATGGAAAGTGGACGAAGTCGGGAACTGTGTTTTCAGGTGTGTTCCGTGTGCCCGTGTGTGTGTGAGGGTACTGAGATGGTATGATGCAGATATACGGCAAACAACTTCTCGGCAACAATGGCGCGAAACGCGAAACTCACGATCGTTGAGGTATGTTTTGAGTTACCTATGACATTTGGTGCGCTGACGACCACTGTGCAGGCGGAGAACATTGTACCGATCGGCTCTCTCTCCCCTAATGCCATCCATGTACCTGGTATCTACATCGACCGTATCGTGAAGGCGACCGCACCAAAGCAAATTGAGATCATGACCCTTGCGACGAACGGTCAGTCAGAGGACTCTCAGCCGCTCACCCCAGAGAAGAAGGTCGCACAGGAGCAGAGGCACCGGATAGCAAGGCGCGCCGCAAAGGAGATCAAGGACGGGTTCCACGTCAACCTGGGCATCGGGATGCCGACTCTTGTACCAGAGGTAAGTGACCCCGCTGTACGTTTCTGCACTCCGACCGAGCCGCGTGCTCTGCCGACAGTTTCTAGAGAAGGGCGTGCGAGTGTGGTTGCAGAGCGAGAACGGCATCCTGGGCATGGGACCCTATCCGACTAAGGAGCAGGTCGATGCGTGAGTTGTACAACGTCCGCTCTAAATCCGGCTTGATATGCTTACCATGGCTGACTAGCGACATAATCAACGCCGGGAAAGAGACCGTTACGCTGCTGCCTGGTGCCTCGGTATTCGGTATGTTACCTGATCATTCTGACCACATGAAGGCAACATGGTGACGCCGGACGCAGACTCTAACGAATCATTCTCCATGATTCGAGGGGGCCATATCGATGTTGCCATCCTTGGAGTGAGTACCGGTGGATGTGCCTTGTGAGAAGAGAAGCTGATGCTCGATCGCAGGCCATGCAGGTGTCCCAGGCGGGTGACATTGCCAACTTCATGATTCCTGGGAAGATGGTCAAAGGCATCGGAGGGGCTATGGACCTTGTCTCTAACCCCGACAAGACGAAGGTCATTGCCGTCATGGAGCACTGCGCGCGCGATGGAAGCCCGAAGATCCTGAAGGAGTGCGCACTGCCGCTGACTGGGGCACGGGCAGTCAGCCAGATCATCACGGAGCTAGCGGTGTTTGACGTGGATCGACACGCGGGCGAGCTGACGTTGACGGAGGTTGCGGAGGGGGTGACGGTGGACGAGGTGAAGGCGAAGACGGGGTGCGACTTCGCGGTGGCGAGTCACCTGGGGTCGATGTAACTACTGTTCCTGCTTTGCCTGGATACGATGTTCTGTTTCGATGTCCGCGACGCTGAAAGAACATATACCCCATGGGGCAGGGGCGATAGTGTTGTGCGGAGGCCGCTGGGTGGGCCATGTTCGGCCGCGAGGGCGCAATCCGGAGCGCCGGGAGCGAGGTCCGTCGGGCGAACCGAGGTGACGTCGTGACCCAAACGTGACGGCCGTGTGCTGGTTGGCTGCTCGCACCCGGCTTGAGTGGTTCCCTAGGCCGGTGCTCCGGCTCACGTCTGGAATACGTTCTTGCACCTCTGTATATAAGTCTTCTCCGCAATGTCTCTCCACCTCTCCCACCCCGCATCGCGTGTTCCCCGCTCGTTCGACCCGTTGCGCGCGTCGCACATCCACCCCAGACGAGATGTGGGCACTCAAGTCAAGCAGACCCGCCGTCCGCAACCTCCGCAGACCTCTCCTCGTCGCGGCGCGCGTCCGCTTCTACACGGTCGTCCAGGATGCCCCCATACCCAAGAAGACCAAAGTATGGGGTTCCGTTGAAGAGGCTATCCAGGACGTCAAGAGCGGCGATACCGTCCTCTGCGGAGGTCCGTCCTAGCACACGCCCAGCCACAGACGCCCATCTCACATCCTTTCGCAGGGTTCGGTCTATGCGGTATCCCAGAAACTCTCATCGAAGCCCTCACTCGCCGGAAAGACGTTAAAAACATCACCGCCGTGTCCAACAATGCCGGTGCGAAGGACCTTGGCCTCGGTACGTCCGACCACGAGCGGTGTTAGATCGGATGGCGGGCCTCACCTACGCCTCCCCGCAGTGAGATTGGTGCAGTCCGGGCAGCTCGAGAAGCTGATGATTTCGTACCTTGGCGGGTGAGTGCTTCCGTTTCTCCCGCGTAGCTCACGTGTGACGCCTTTCCAGAAACAAGTTCCTCGAGCAGAAGTACCTGCAGGGCGAGGTCGGCATCGAGCTTGTACCCCAAGGAACGCTCGTCGCCCGCCTGAAGGCACACGCCTCGGGTTACCCTGCGGTCCTCACTCCGACTGGCGCGTACACCGCCGTCGAGCGGGGTGATATTCCGATTCGGTACAACCCCGGAGGTATGGAGCATGGTGTCGCGGTCCCAGGTAACAAGAAGGAGGCTATGGAATTCAATGGTCGGAGATACGTCGTTGAGCCAGCACTTGCTGGTGATATCGCGTTCGTGCACGCATGGAAAGCGGATGAGGTCGGCAACTTGGTCTTCAGGTAGATTCAGATTTGTTGCGTCACGAGTGTCCGCTGATTGGACGTGCTTCTAGATACACTGCGAACAACTACAACGCAGTTATGGCCCGGAATGCGAAGCTCACCATTGTCGAGGCCGAGGAGATTGTGTGAGTAGTGTTTATGTCGCGATAGTGCAAGTCCTGACATTCTACCAAAAGCCCTGTCGGAAGCTTGTCGCCCAACGCAATTCATGTCCCTGGTGTTTACGTCGATCGGATAGTCAAGGCTACGGAGCCCAAGGCGATTGAGGTCCTTGCTCTCCGTCAGGAAAGCGAGTCGCTTTCGCAGCAGGACGGTGGCGCGAGCAAGGACAAGGCAGCACACGATTGGCGGCATAAGATTGCCAAGCGGGCTGCTAAGGAAATCGGTGATGGATTCTACGTCAACCTGGGTGTGGGCGTCCCTACCCTTGTCCCCGAGGTACGTGTGAAGCGGACATCTAGCCTCTGAGAACAGATTATTGATGTGCTTGCAGCACCTTGAGCCTGGTGTTACCGTTTGGGTGGAGAGTGAGAACGGTATTCTCGGCATGGGCCCTTACCCGACGAAGGACGAGGTCGACGCGTACGTGTCTCGCTGATCACGTCCGACTGCCAGTGTCTGACGGTGTCCCTATCAATTCAGTGATATCATCAACGCCGGAAAGGAGACTACCACGCTTTTGCCTGGCGCCTCCTGCTTCGGTGAGCGCGGTCATTAACAGCGTCATGCTCCGTTGTGACTTATACCGGAACAGATTCGATTGAGTCGTTCGACATGATTCGTGGTGGACACATGGACGTCACTTGCCTTGGTGTTCGTAGTTCTTCTCTCAGTGTGCGCGGGGATCTTTGCTGAAATAGCTCGTGGGACAGGCCATGGAAGTTTCCCAGGCGGGCGACATCGCGAACTTCATGATTCCGGGCAAGCTCGTGAAGGGTGAGTCCGAAGGCTGCGACCCACTAAGAGTCTTGATTGACGTCGCGTAGGTATTGGTGGTGCGATGGACTTGGTCTCAAACCCGGACAAGACGAAGGTCATTGCACTGACGCAGCACTGCGCCAAGGACGGCTCGCCGAAGATCGTGAAGGAGTGCTCGCTGCCCATCACGGGTGCGCGCGCGGTCAGCATGATTGTCACTGACCTTGCGGTGTTCGATGTCGACAGGAAGGCGGGCGAGTTGACGCTGCTTGACATTGCGGAGGGCCTCACACTGGAGGAGCTGAAGTCTAAGACGGGCTGCGACTTCAAGGTGTCGCCGAACCTTGGTACCTTTTAGAGCAGCACACTGTGTAGCAATAGCCATATATTTATCGTCGCAATACAGCATTTCAGGAGCGCACGGAATGATGAGCGTGGCGGGCGTTGATTGGGCATGGTGAGGCCGCTGCCGCAGTGTTGTTGTGCGGGGAGGATGCTGCGGACGCGTGAGACATGACGGTGGCTGAGGGGCCTGCGATGGAAAGTCGGTGCATCTGAAAGCGGGTTGCGTCCGGGCGTTGCCTCAAGGTCGAAACTCACCGTTCACGCTCTCTCTCCCAACGGTCGCCCTCGTCGCCCTCGACCTCTCCCTCCGCACCCCCGCCTACACACGGACGCACCTGCGGACACCCGGAAAAGCTGGTCTCCGACCCGGCGCTACGCGTAGGCTCGTTGCATATCGCCTCGACGCTTGCCGACTTCTCTGGCTCCACCATATCAGGTTACAGTCCAACTGACGACCACTGCCTCGCACGCACCTTCTACTGTGACGCGCCGTTTGTCCGAGCTGGCAGCGCAGAGTTCTGCAGAGATGAGCTGGCTCGCGAACCTATTCTCCTCTTCGAAGACTACTGTGAACTCGCGGAGGGCTAGTGCCATGTCCTCGACACATGACGCCTTCAGCCTGCCGACTTCCTCGCCCGGCATCCATCCACACCCTGACGCCTTCAACGCAGAGATGCTCACATCCCCGACAAGTAGTGGCTCGTATTCGTACCCGCCGGCCTCGTCGCGGGGGTCCTACGACTATGTTCCGTATGTATATCTCCGCTGTTGTGCCCGCCACTGCTCAATGCCTCTTGACCGACGTCCCTAGTACCGGTACACGGTCACGACAATCCTCGATACTTCCCCTCCATTCCAATGCTTCCCTGCCGCCTCTGCCATCATACCCTCCGTTATCGCACACGTGGGATCGCCTCCGTCGATGGCTCTCGCGCGAGTACCCGGAGCTGGGGGACACTCTCAACTACGGTATTCTCCCCCAGGACCTGCAGCAGATCGAGATGACACTGGGCATGCGCCTGCCAACGGCCGTGCGGGACTCATACTTGTGTGTCGACGGGCAGGAGGCGGAGTCCGCAGCAGGGTGTTCGGAGGGCTTGTTCTTTGGCCTCACGCTACTCCCACTGGAGGACGTCCTGGAGGAGTGGAGTTTCTGGAGAGAAGTCGACGACGACCCGAGTACGGGGGCAAACCAGCGCCTAAAAGAGGTTATGCAGTCGATCCCTCCGAAATGGGTCAAGCGGGAGTACACCTGCAGGGGTTGGATCCCGCTTGCCACGGACAAAACTGGTAACTATATCGGTATCGACATGACCCCGGATGAGGAGGGGAAGTCGGGGCAGGTCATTGTCTTTGGGCGTGACTTTGACACCAAGGTCGTGATGTTCAGAGGAGAGGGCGAGGGCGGATGGGGCAAGTGGCTTGCGGGCTTCGTGGACGATCTCGAGAGTGGGGAGGGTTATGAGCTTGGATCGACCAATGACGGGAGTGAAGGTAGCGAGGACTCCATTGGCTACGAGAGCTACTTCTTCGACGGTGTTGGCGGTGGACAGGGTGATACCGGTGGTGACGCAGGCACTGGCGGTCTGCGGATGACAGGCGAGTACAAAGGATGGCGTGTCCTGGAAGCTTGGGCGGACCGTAGCGTACGAAAGTGGCAAGAGGCCGGACTCTACTCAAACGATGCATACCCACCATGGGAGAAGGGCAAGGTACGGCCAAACGTCTACTTTACACCGCTTTGATCGTAACATTTCTCGCAGGGGATGGAGCGATTTTCACTCGATCATGTACCGTTAGTTGGGGCTGGCGGCTCCGGCGCTGAGGTCCCTATACCTGTCTTCTCAGACGCATCTGGGGAGACGACGGCTCTGACTGCGGCTCCGGAACCCCTCCGCAACGCCACGAACAAGAGCAAACCAGCAACCCGGCAATCTGTCCCGACTATCTCAGTCACAAAACCTCCGGCGCCCTTGCCCTTAGAGCTGCCTACCCCAGAAGCTATCGACTCCCCCATCTTCGCGTCACGACAGCTCCCTGACGACATCGAAGCGGGCACCGCCATACGGGAGTTCGACGCATCTTCCGTATCGTCACCTCCTGCTAAAGCGTCACCCCTCTCGTCGGCCACATCGCCGCCATTGAAGTCTATTCGCGTGCCTTCCCCTCCCTCGAGGTCGCTAACAGATTCGCCGGACACAATACACGCAACCTCGCCCACAGCACCAATACCTGATCTGCTTACGCCAACATCACCAACTACGCCAACACCGGCTGCCCCCGCCCCGCTGGTGGCAGCAACGGTCGATTTGGAGTCATCTGCGAACTCAGGCGAAGACTCTCCAGTTTTGATACACGCGGACGACGTCGAGCCTGAAGATCCTATCCGCCTCGTCGGCGGTGGAGGTATTTCCGGTACGGTTGACGACTCGATGCAGAACGACATTGTTATTGTTGACGACCCGCAGTCGGTGGAACTCAAGGACGTTGATCTGAACGGGCCGGCCTCGCCGACCGCGGCGGACACGACGCCCACCAGCGAGAAGCGGAAGAGCATCACCGCGAGCCTGAAGAGCTTTGGGCGGAGGAAGGACTCGGTCTCGTCGATGAAGGGGAGCGGCTGATAGCTGCAGAGAACTCTTTGGCAGGGCTGGACATTCGCACCACATCATTGCTTCCTGGTTTCCGCACTCATTATTTTATGTTTGCCCTCGCTTGTACGTACAGATGCATTTTTCCCGATACCCGTAGTCGTCATTTAGTGAACAGTGTCTTTGCGCGCACGGACACCACTTATTATGCGCCTGGTTTGTGCAGCGGAGGCTTGATCTCCGTGTTGAAACAAGTAGTAGCAGCTGGCTAAGTAGCGGCATTCGCTCTGTCATGGTCTGGCACCTGGGCAGAATGCACCTGGAAGTATATTATAGTCTAACATCTTCACGCGGAACACTTCCAACCTCTACTTAGCTGCAGAACATCAAGCGCATGAGCAAACGCGGGAGTCTGAAGACGTTCAACTTCTACAGATCCCATATGGGGAAAGCATCTTCAGGTGCCGCTTCGGCAAGTCCCGAGCGTTCAGTACGCCGTACGGTGGCTGCAACTCTTACTCTCGTACTCTCACCTTCGAGTCTTCGAGTGCCTGCCTCTCTGTGCTTCTGGTGGCCCAGGACTCACTACACGTCCTGCGTTTTTGTCGTCTCCTAGAGTGAGCAGCTTCTACACTCTTGCCCTTGTTTGCGGCTCTCGCTGCCGTTCCCGGTCGGCCACACGCCGAATCTCTGGAAGGGTGCCCAGTAGCCCGTATCCCTGGTTCCCTTTGTATCGCGGCAACATTAGACAATGTCTGAGTTGGCGGAGGCTCTAGTAGAAGACCGTCTCTTACAGTTGCAGTAAGTCTCCTTGCGCCGCTGCACACATCACAGATGTTGGACGGCATACCACAGGGAAATCTCCAAGCGGCGGAATCAGTTATTGCAGGAGATGTATCAACTTATGCAGAAGAGGGAGAACTTAGGCTCTGCTATGGTGGTCGAGCCAGGCGACGGGCAGAGCTTGCAGGTCTTCCTGGAGAGATTCGATCTGCAGAAACAGTGAGCGCTGCATTTGTGCGCGCATTCTTGGTTGGCTGATCACAGTTCAAGCCCGGATACTGGATGCATTGCTTCCTTGACCGATGCTGAGATATTTGGCGACAAACTCAGCGCCGCTGACGATGGTGGCCCTCAAGGCGATGAGTCCAATCCGCATGTCCAGGATATAGCTGAGGAATCCACAATATCTGAACTTCCTGTTTCTCCTCGGGTCCTTGACCAACCAGAGCACGCCACTATCGCCGGGGTGCTGATGGACGACGGAGAACAATGGATGGAACTCAGCGCTGGCACCAGCCCTCCACCTACTGGGAATGTTAATGATGACCGAGGGTATGGCTCGGACTCGGACGTGAAGCGAGGCACCAAGCGGAAGCGATCCTCAGGACAGTCCTCGGAAGAGTCTGCTTCCGGACCCTCCCGCTCTCGCTCGCGTTCGCACTTCTCCCACAATTCACGGCCGAGATCACTGTCAGCCTCCACAGACGAGCTATGCCTGCGTCCCGAGAAACTGCGCCGTTCTCCTTCCCCACGCTCTGTGGGAAGCCCATATGCACAAGACCAAACGCAGCCCATGACACTTTTCGGTGGTGAACCCGAAGAAGACTTCAAGGAGGACGTGCGAGTCGACGAGACGTCGTCCGACACAGTCTCTCACTTGTTGCAAGCCTCTCCGCCTGAGTCCTCCAGGCCCAGTCCTGCCTTCGAATCAAAGCGACGGCTCGAGTACATTACAACCCCTCCTCCTGCGGCCCCGGTCGTTTCGTTCAACTTCGTTTCTGACACGGGTACAACGAGCGAGGTTCCGGCGTCACCTGCAAAACCGAGGCTGCCTCCGGATTTCGTTCGTTTCAAGCAGGAGTACTCGCTGCCTCCTCTCAGTGTCCTCCCTGTTGAATTCCAGCGCAAGGGCGTATCCGGTCGGCACAAGAAGAAACGAGACAAAGACAAGCATGAGAAGGGCGGTGACAAGGGGGAACCCAAGAAGGATGATTGGCAACCAATCGGCATACACAAGTGGGGAGCTCTTGTTCGTGCCAACCCGGTCTGGAAAAAGCTCGCGAAGGCGACGAAGTGTGTAAGCACCCACGACTGGAATGTACGTACATCATCTTGCGCGCTCTCTTTGTTGCTCACAGTGCACCCAGGTTGCTTACAGAGAGCTGAGACTGATCCGCACTTTGGAACGAGTCGAGCTGCTGAAGGAGGGTAGTGGATGGAGTTATCGCCAGCCAAAGAAGCAGAGAACTCTAGGTGGAACAGCCAAATCTCACTGGGACTACCTCATGGACGAGATGGTCAGTCGAGTGACTTCAGCGACCACATAGACGTCCACTGAACTTCCTTGGCAGAGATGGATGCGCATCGACTACCGTGAAGAACGACGATGGAAGATTGCGCTAGCGTACAACCTCGCTCATGCTGTCATGGAATGGCACGAGGCACAGTCATTGGAGGAGCGCGTGCGCCGTGGCATCTGCGTACTCTGGAAGAGGCCGCGCCCGGAGGAACAGGACGAGGATGCGAACCTACGCGACGATGTGGAGATCCCCGACATGGATAACGACCGCGGAGCTGATTCCAGAGAAACCAACACTCCTGCTAACGACTCTGATTCCGAAGACGAAAGCGATGATGAAGGGGACAAGGACAGGGCTAATGTCTACGACCCCCTCGCTCCCGATAACCTGGCGAGAGACGCAGTGGAAGGGAGCTCCAATCCGGATCCTGGTCCGAGCTCCTTCAAGGTTGGTCCCGCAGACTTGAGGCCTAAGACAGAGGACGATGATGATCTTTCTGTCTTACGCCTGCCTGAGAGTTCGAGTCAGCGTAAGGTCATGGACATCGACGGCGACACACCATCTCCGCAGAAATTAAAAGGCCTGTCTCTTGTCGACCCTAAGCACGAAGAGAACGCTTTGCAAGCCATGAAGCTGCACTCAAAGGATCCCACACTCGTTGCACCGTATTCAAAGTCCAAGGCAAGGCGCGATGTCAGCGCGTACGGCCCCTTACGTGACCAGATCCTGAGCCTGGAAATGGACAAGTTGGTGCTCGACCTCGATGACGCCGAGCTCGTCAAGGGCATGACCGAGCTCTCGACGGATGACAACGCACACCACAATCACGCTACACACCTTCCCCCCGCCGATCTGTCGTCCATTTTCCCCGACCTTACGCCCTATGGCATGCTGGAGCCGGTAACTGGAATAGTCTTCGACAGGAGGAAGTCCGAGAAACCGCGGGTGGACAAAGACGACCCGAACAAACGCATTGACGATACATTGTACAGCAAGTTGACGCCCATGAGCGACTTCATGCTTCAGAAGCCGACCTTGCTTGGTGCTCTGCAGCCGTCGTCCCATTGGAGTGGCGATCACTGGGAGACAATCGAGGAGATGCCGGTGACACTGGACTATGACTCCCCGATGTCTCGGACAATCGAGGACAGTTCATGCAGTAAGTGGCTTGGATGAAAGTATTCAAGGTAACTCAACCTTTGCAGGTCTGTTCGAGGGTCTGAAAGCTGGCTCTCCCTCTTCGCACTTGTCGCTCCTTCCTCATGGATCCAAAGATTCTCGCAGACGTACCACCGACGTTTTGTGGACTCCGCAAGACGACGCACTCCTGAAGCAGTTCGCTGACATGTACCCGAACAACTGGGCGCTGATCACGGATGCGTTCAACTCATCGCGGGTGACGATAGCTACGGACAAGAGAAGTGCAGCGGACTGTTTCGATCGCTGGAACACGCGGTGGGGCAGGTCTGACACCGGTGCAGACGATGGTCGTACGCAGACCACGACGACGCAGATGACGACGCGATACAAGCGTGCAGCGAGCAATGCTGCTGCTTCGTTGGCTGCCAATACGGCGACCTCGTCGGGCGTCGACGCGAAGAAGCGAAGGCATACCCTCATGCACGATGCAATCCGGAAGGCGATAAAGAAGAAGGAAGCCTCAGCTAAACAAAATGGTACGGCCTCTCTGTCCGTTATGATTGATGAGACATTCAACGCAAATACTATTTCAGCGGCGACGCAACGCAAGCCTGCGGCGATTCACGACACTCATGGCCAGTACAACAAGCTGCCCCGGTACACGCCCGCGGAACTTAGTCGTATTAAACATGAGAAAGAGGTACGCGGGCCCCGCGACATCAAGGTGCGAAGGAAGAATGACCTGATTGTTCATCAACAGACCCTTGTGCGCGAGCAAACCCAGCAGCGACAACAGGTTGGTGTGACAAGGATGTTCATGCGTAGCGCAGCGCGTTCCTGACTATTCTTGGTACGTGTTATTTCAGGCGCAACTGCTCCAGCAACAGCAACAACAACAGCAGCAGCAGCAGCAAGGGCAGCCGCCTCAACCCCAACAGCCGCCTCCGAATAGCACGCCTAGGCCCGTGGCCAACGGAGTGCCGCAACAGCAAGCACCGCAAGTCCCCCAGATCCGGACGCAGGTCGGCATATCGCAGCAACAACGACTGTCCAACCCAATGGCCCTAGCGAACAGCCGCCTCTCGCCGACGCAACTCATGCAGGCCCAAGCGCAGGCCCAGGCCCAAGCCCAAGCTCGCGCGCAGGCCCTCGCACAAGCACAGGCTGCGCAGGCCGCACAAGCACAGGCGCAAGCGCAAGCGCAGGCTCAAGCGGCGTCGAGCGCGATGAACGGCGCGCACCTCTCCCCGCCGTACGCCGCGCGGGCCACGAGCTCCTCACCGGCGATCCCTCAGCAGGCGTCGCCGCCGCGCACGTCTGCGACGCCCGTGAACGGCGCGGCGGGCTCCTCGCGCCCGTCGTCGACGCAGCCGCATGCGGGGATGGCGCAGGGCGTGCCGCGCCAGACGACTCTGGGGTATTACACCCTTCCGACGATGCACAATACGCAGTTCACGCAGGAGCAGCAGATAGAACATACGATGCAGCTGCAGAACTTGTTGCGGGTGAGTGTTTTTGTGGGTTGTGGCTGAGCGTACTGGTTGCTGACGGCATGGTGGTAATCTAGAATGCTGCGAGCATGACCCAGAACGCGCAGAATAACGCGTACCAGCAGCAGCAGTGATTGACTCTCTGAATCGCTTTGTGTATGACGGATGTATTGTGCTAGACGTGCAATAGTGATGTGTTCCTTCTTGTAGATCTCTATATATCCTACTCTCACCCGACTGAATGAATACTTGTCGAGCGCGGCGACCAGGGACGCAGAACATCCCGAGAATGAACTACAGTGGACGAATTGGACGCACAGCGTATTTTCTGTCTAGCAATGGCCCGCGGTTGCCGGATACCTTTAGCATCGACATCAAGAGTATGATTGAGTTGCAATGGATTTGAATTGATACTAGCCTGACTCGGAGGCACTTCTACCATACACGCTGAGCCTGTTCTGCACGCTGTCAGATACTGTCAAGTAGGTCATTCACGGCACGGCATGTATCGTTTTATGGCTTCAGCGGTTCGTCGATACTCATCATTGGCGCATCGAGGCTCCTCGGTGGACCCCGCAGTTGTGTACGGCCTTTCTAAGTGAGGAAGGACAGGACCGTTATTGATATTGAGCGAGGAAGCCCTGAAAGTCCATGACAAGCAACGTCCCCCCTTGACGTGCAGAAGCTCGCTTCATCTAGCGAATATCAAAATCAGTCAGAGGGGACGGTAAGGAGACAGCCTCAATCAGGTCGTACATATGTGCGGACATGGGACGGCGGAGATGCGACTGCATGAAGCAGATCTAGAGTTCGTAGCGACGACAACTCAGTGACCCACGTCAAAGAGCTGGCCCATCACAGATGTCACCTTAACCTGCCAGGCAGCTGGCGGTGAGTAGCACGACCGCTACTTGCGCAGCTCGGGGTGAGAGCGAGGGTGGGAGAAACACACAGTGCTGCCGCGCGATGCATATAAGCTCGAACACACATCCGGGTTGGTCGATGATATGCTTCCGGGCTACTTAGCTGGGACGTTGCAGTAATCGATATCGCGGCCACAGATACAGCAGCCACGCTCCTTCGATAAGTCCTGGACGACGCATGCGCGTTCGCTATCCACACACAAGTCGTCTAACGTTCAGCCAGTGCATACGCGCTAGCCATCTATGTATACCTCAGCGCAAGTGAAGCAGCGAAGCTCGGGAGAACGCACCGTACGGCAGCGCAGCGCCGGGAACGAGGTGACGGCCGTCGAAGCGTACACTGGGATCATGATAGGGTCTCCTCTGAGAGCTTCCGCGCCTCGAGGAGGGCTATGGATAGACTGTGCTACCGGCAGAGGCGGCAGGTCGCAGTGCGGAGGGAGTCGTAAGAACGTCGAGTGTGCGGATGCGGCGTGTAGCTATAGCATAGGAGGATACTTATTTGTGATCGATGGAGGGCGAGGTGCGCGTGCTTTCGTTTTCGGGGAGGTAGAGACTCAGAGGCGGGACGTTGGAGGATCGCGATCACACCGCTGACAGTTGGGAGAGTCGCCGAGGAGCATGGGCTTGCAAGCCATGTGTGACATTGATGTCGCGCGGACCCGCGTTGGGAGAGGAGACGCATGGTTGCTAGGTGGTTGTGTGAACGGCCGTACGTACAGTACATTCGCCCATCGGGGGGCATCATTCCGACAGACCGGGCGTGTACCGATGATGTTTGCACACGCATCTCTGCGTTGTCCGGGCGCAAATAGCTTGGGCGCGGACAATCGGGACCACTGGAGGTCACAGAGGGGGGAAAGACGAGGTGAGGCTGAGTGGTTAGCTGAGCGGTCGCCACAGCTCGGAGTGTCGCGCTCGAGGAGACGACGGTAGCGAACCACGGGACCTTCCTAGACGGGCGATCGACACCGAAGGGTGCGGGCGTTTCGACACAAACGCCTCGTCCACACTAGTGCCGGCTGGAAAGTATGTGACCGAAGGCCAAGGGGAGGCCGAGCAACAGGCCCTTCTGCAGCTTTGGCGGTGGCAGCGTTTCGACCCAGTCCTGTCCTCGAGACCCCGGTGCCGAGGGGGATGCGCGAGGGCTGATGATCGCGGAGGCACGCGAAGGGCTGGAGAGGCCGGGGCGGAGAGATGTGCGGAGGTGGGCGTTGGGCGGTCACACCGGTGCGAGGACACGCGAGCAGCAGGCGGTGTGCCCAGGGTGTGCCGGACGCGGCAGGGGCCACGGACAGCACAGGTGACCCGAGGCGGCCATGAACGCGGTGAGAGGGCGTGCCCTGCGAGGATGAGTGGGGATGCGGGGAGGGGAGGGCAGCTGGGCGGTCGAGCAGCAGGGAGCAGCAGGGCGGCGGGGAGGCGGTGGGCGGGGAGACGGTCGACGAGGCGGTCGAGTGTCCACGGCGGGGCTACGAGGCCGGCTGCCCGGCGCGTGGTGCGATTGGTGGAGGATGCCCGATATAGGCAGGGCATGCAAATTCAGGCGCAAGCGTTGGACTCTCTTTCGACCGGCCGCCACTGTCCTCCTCCTCGCCGCGCAGCCCGCCTCTCCTTCCCCTCGCTCTTTCGCCCCGCCGTCCTCGCCCCCGCCCCGCCCCCGCAGCACTCCCACCACTCCCTGCTATTTTCAGCGGCCGACTAGGGCCCCGCGGGTCAGTTGCGTCTCGCATCCTTTCGCTCTAGTCCCCAGCCCGCAACCGCTCACACGCCGCTCTTTCTTTTTAGTGTCCCCAGCCATGGCCTTCCGCTCTTACGACCCCGTCCCCAATCCTGCCGCACGCGCGTCCAACCCCGACTTTGACTTCGAGCTGCACTCGCCCCGCATGGGCACCTTCATGGGCGCTGCCCTCAACGACGAGGCTTCCTCTCTTGACACCCGTCCATCATCTGTCACCGACGACTACTCGTCCTCCGTTCGCGCATTCAACCGCCAGTCCCAGGCCGACCCGTCCTTCGGCCTCCACTACCGCGACGACCCACATGACCCGAACGCCTCCGCAGACAACCTTGGCCAACCACCAAAAGAGTTTGCCTCGCCGACATCGCCCACTGTTCCCTACGCGAACTTGAGCGAGAAACGCCGCGATCCCACCACCCAGTATGCGTCTCCTCGCCAGCGCTCGCGCAAACGTGCCATCCTGATCGTTGGTGCCATTGCGCTCATCATCATCATCGTGGTCGTGGTCGTCGCGGTCACGCTCTCCGTCCGTAAGAAGTCTTCCCCTGCTTCGTCGAACATCTCCTCCGGCTCCGGCTCGTCCAGCCAGAGTGGCGGCAGCGGCAGCGGCAAGAGCGGCAGCACCTCGTCCTCCATTGCCGTCACCGGCGGCGACGGCAGCACGGTCACGATGGACAGCGGCGCGACGTTCACGTACTCGAACAAGTTTGGCGGCTACTGGTACTACGACCCCGAGAAGCCGCTCACCAACAATGCCCGCGCGCAGTCCTGGACGCCCCCCATGAACGAGACCTTCCAGTATGGCACGGATAATATTCGGGGGTGCGTCCGGACGCCGCGTCGCGTTACGACATGAGGCTGATTGAGTGTGTCCCCCAGCGTTAATCTTGGTGGTTGGCTTGTTCCGGAACCTGTAAGTGAATACGATGTGCTTCTTCGGACCGTCTCCCTGACGTGCTGCTGCTCGGCCTAGTTCATGCAAGTATCTGCTTATGCCTATAGGTAACGTCGGTTGCTAACCTGTTCGATGTGCAGTGCACCCGGTTTGTACGAGCCTTATGCGAACTCGTCCTACCCCGCGGTCGATGAATGGACGCTAAGCTACAACCTCATGAACGAGACCTCGCAAGGTGGTCTCGAGGGTGTCTTGACCAATCACTACGAGACGTTCATTGTACGTGTGTGCTTTTCGACGGGATGGCCTTGACCTCATCGCTCCATCAGACGGAGCAAGACTTCGCTGAGATCGCTGGTGCTGGCCTCAACCATGTCCGTATTCCTATTGGGTACTGGGCTATTGAGACGTGGGCTGGTGAGCCGTTCCTTGCCAAAGTCTCCTGGACGTGAGTGTTGTTGGTTCGTGCGCTTGTCGTCTGCTCACAGCTATTGTAGGTACTTCCTCAAGGCGATCGAGTGGGCTCGCAAGTATGGTCTCCGCATCAACCTCGACTTCCATGCGCTACCTGGTAGCCAGAACGGCTGGAATCACTCGGGCAAGCTTGGCACGGTCAACGTGTTGTACGGCCCCATGGGTCTTGCCAATGCACAACGGTCCCTGGGTTACATCCGGATCCTTGCGGAGTTCATCTCACAGCCCCAGTACAGCAACGTCGTGACCATCTTTGGTGTTACCAACGAGCCGATGGGTACCCAGATGGGTCAGGACCAGCTGTCTGCTTAGTGAGTTCTGCCCTCACGACACATTCGACGCCTGGGTTGCTGACATTCCGTGCAGCTACGTGCAGGCCTACGACATCATCCGTACTGCGAGCGGCATCGGCGAGGGTAAGGGCCCGTACATCCTCTACCACGACGGCTTCTACCAGCTCTCGCAGTGGGTCGGCTTCCTCACCGGCGCGGACCGTATCGCGCTCGACAACCACCCGTACGTCTGCTTCGGCGGCCAGACGTCTGACCCGTACTCGTCGCGCCTGACCGTGCCGTGCGACACGTGGGGCGCGGATGTGAATACCTCCATGACCGCGTTCGGGCTCACGACCGCGGGCGAGTGGAGTAACGCGATCAACGACTGTGGCTTGTGGGTGAACGGCGTGAATGACGGCAGCCGGTATGAGGGCACCTTCGACACCACGGCGGTCACGGGCGATTGTACCCCGTGGACGGACTACCAGAACTGGGACGACACGTTCAAAGCGAGCGTTGAACAGTGGGCCCTGGCTAGCATGAGTTCTCTCCAGGTATGCTCTCCCACGTACCTATGCCGAAGGAGCTCGTTTGCTGATGGCTCATACAGAACTGGTTCTTCTGGACATGGAAAATCGGCAACTCGACAGTGACAGGCAAGGTCGAGGCGCCTCAGTGGTCGTACCAGCTCGGGCTCCAGGAGGGCTGGATGCCCACCGACCCCCGCCAGGCTGACGGCGTGTGTGGCAACACCAACAATTTCGCGGCGCCGCTCTCCGCGTGGCAGACGGGCGGCGCGGGCGCGGGGAGCACGGCGGCGGGCGTTGCGGCGCAGTACGCGTGGCCGCCGGCGACGATCAGCAACCCGGGCTTCGCGTCTGCGGCGACGGCGCTGCCGTCGTACACGGCGACGGGCGGCCAGGTCACGCTCGCGGTCCCGACGTTCACCGCGTCGAGCAAGACGGTGAGCGCGAGCGTCGGCAGCGGCTGGGAGAACGCGCAGGACACGGCGCAGAAGTATGCGGAGATCGGGACGTGCGAGTATCTGTTTCCGTGGGTCGGTCCTGCGGCGCCGCCGGCCCCGCTGTGCGGGGGCAACAACAGGCGCGGTGCGTATGCGGAGCCGACGCCTGCGCCTGCGGGCTCGTCATGATCGGGACGCGCGGGCGGGGTGCTGTGGCTCGCTCTCTCTATTCTGTGGGATGGTGACATGCGGACTGAGACGGACTTGGTGTCGAGTGTTGTGTTATAGTAGTGCGTGTGTAGCGCCGCGGCCCCTCAGGTATACATAAGTACGTGCGGGCGTCGATGGACTCGTCTCTCTGACTCGGTTTGTGTGTCGTGCAATCATGCGGCGGACTCTCTTTTTTATCCTTAGTCTCATCTCTATCTCTACTACGACTACCTCTCTCTTGACAATCTCGCACGATACGATCAGCGCGGCGGTAATTACTACTTACAGATTAGTGTACGTGGCGATGATGAAAGCATAGTCTGCTGTGTCTGGGATCTGAGGATTTGGGTGAGCTGAGGCGAGTACGTGCTGCATTGTATCATTATGGTTTGGACCTTGTATCTCAGGATGCTAACATTCGTCTTCTGTGCGTGTACGAACCCTTTGATTTCTCGTCTCAAGATACTGTTCTGTGATTCCGTGCGTGTCTCATGTTCTGAAACCGGCCAACTAGTTGCTCATGGTCTTGCAGTACTACAACAGCAGATTCATGATGCGTGGATTCAGGATGTCGACCGTGAGACAAGCCGGCGGACCGCGTACATCTTGCTGTGTGTGACGCGTCTCTGCGGATGTTGTTGTCCATTCTGACGCTTTCATAGTCATAGCACTCAGTAGTGGCGAAGCCTTCCCGGGTCCCGAGGGGCCAATGAAAGCATCTACCAGAGCGCGTCGGTGGCTGCTCGTGGCATGCAGACGCGGTCACATGTTCGTGTTGAACGTCAAGCAACGCGTCAACCGGTTGTCAGAAGCCACCCAAGCGCCCGTCGTCCCTTCCTCCGGAATGTGGAACCGCGTAGTGCGATTCTGTGGTACGCGCGTCTCATCTCTTGAACAGAAACCTCAGACTGCTGCTGCAGCTACTTGGAGCAGAACAGGTCGTTGCCTGTGAACTAAAGGCATCAAGGGCCAATGTGGGAGGCTTGTCTTTTGCACAGTGGTGGCACAGCTATGCAAGATTACCGGTGTCTTAGCGGTGACGGACTCGTCTGACGAGTTCGGCGTAGCTGCGCAGATCGGATAAAGATAGAACGTGACGAGCCGTCGATGTGAGTTGTACGTGTCCGAGGCTGACTACTATGTTTCTATGCTCCCTGCCGGACCACGCACCCGAATGATTGCTCCAACTTCTACTTACGCGATGTTTCTGTGAACTCTTTCCTGTCAAGGCCTCACAGAGTGGAAGGCGTTCATGTGCTGCTGGTATACTCATCGGTCTCATTGTATACAGGATAGTGACATCTCCGGGTTCTTCAAGCATTGCAATGTATCCTTGTACGGGATGTACTGTGAGTAGTCTGGCTCTCCGAGTTGTGTCCGACGCTGACAGTCCATCGCACTGCGGCTGCGCTTGCTTACCATAAATCCTTGTTTCAGTTCAACCCGCTTGCACGGCGTCATTATGGATCCGGGCAAGCGTTTCTGGCGACGGTGGAACATATCCCCAGTCTCCTGGGAGGTGTCGCCGTGCCAGGCGATCTCCGATCGTTGTACAGTACTTACGGTGCCGTACTTCGCGAGCTTCCTCACGACGGTGGAGCCTATATAGCTCTGGAACTCCCGCGTAAGACCCATTGAACCTGCCTTCTTTCCGTCACTCCTTTATCGCCATGTTGGCGCTTTTGCTTTCTTTGGTGTATGGCTTTCTGGCCTCCGCTCCCGCTGTCCGTGCGTTAGGGTCAGCTTGCTCTACTCCGCTCAGTAGCGGGACCGCAGCGCCCACGGACCCCTACTGGATGCAGAATATCAAGCACCAGGGCTCTTCCGCTTTCAATTCGGACCCTAGCTCTTATACCGTCTTCCGTAACGTCAAGGACTTCGGTGCCGTCGGTGATGGTGTTACCGATGATACGGACGCTATCAAGTGAGTCTGGTCGCATCTGAGTAGTTTGAGGCACAGACTAAGGATTCGCCTTAGCTCTGCCATTACTACCGGCGACAGGTGCGGGAACGGAACCTGCGCCTCGTCCACCCTCACACCTGCAGTCGTCTACTTCCCTCAGGGTACTTATTTGGTCTCGGCACCGCTGAAGTAAGTCTATATCTCTGTGGATGCATTGCTCTACTCATACGACGTAGCTTGACCTATTTCACGCAAATGATCGGTGACGCCAAGGTCCCGCCCACCCTGCTCGCGTCGGCCAACTTCACGGGTCTGGCTGTGATTGGTGAGTGGAACAGTTATTACAGGCTCTTGAGCACGGTAGTCGAGTATGATGGACTAGACGGGGGCTCGGGTCTGGAACCGTTCTGGAACGCATACTCACTTGACGATATCCATTCTCAGATGCGGACCCGTACCTCACGGGCGGAGCGAATTGGTACAATACCACGAACAACTTCTACCGGGCTGTGCGTAATTTCGTTATCGACCTCACCGAAACTCCCGCGAGCGCGAGTTCGACCGGCATCCACTGGCAAGTATCGCAAGCCACGTCACTCCATAATGTCGTCTTCGAGATGAGCACCGCGAACGATACGGCCCACCAGGGTATCTTCATGGAGAACGGTAGCGGTGGTATGATGGGAGGTTCGTTGGTTCCTCGCTATGATGTAGAGCTATGGGACGGATGGCTGATGCGACAACGCCACGGTAGACTTGGTCTTTAACGGAGGCAAGTATGGCATGTGGCTGGGCAACCAACAGTTCACTGTCCGCAACGTCACCTTGAACAACTGCCAGACTGGTGTGTATCTACACTGTTGCTACGGGTTACTCTCTGACCCTCCACCAGCTATCTATATGGCTTGGAACTGGGGCTGGACGTTCCAAGGCATCACGAGTGAGTGCGAGTTTACACCCTCGTACTTCCCGTATACGTAGTGACCAATTACTGTCCAGTCAACGGTTGTCAAATCGGCTTCGATGTGATCACTGGTGGTTTGGCCAATGCTGCGCAAACTGCGGGCGCGATGGCGATCATCGACGCGTCCGCGTCCGACACGCCCATCTTCTACCGGACCTCCGAGGCATCCAACGGCACGCTTGCCGGTTCGGTCGTCCTCAACAACGTTGTTCTGAACAATGTGCCCACTGCCATCGCCGTCCTCAATGACGCAAACGCAGTCCTTGCTGGTGGCTCGATGACGATCAACAGCTGGGGCCAGGGCAACGTGTACTCTGGCACTGGTGGTTCGGGGACGTTCACGGCCGGAGACATCACGAACCCGTCGAAGGCGGGCAGCCTCATGGCCGGCGACAAGATCTTCGGGCGCCCGCTTCCTCAGTACGAGGACTACGCCGTGGAACAATTCGTGAGTGTCAAGGATCAGGGCGCGAAAGGCGACGGCTCGACGGACGACACCGCTGCGCTCCAGGCAGTGTTCGACAAGGTATGGCACCAGATATCGTCCGAGGCCGGCTATATTGTGTTGACTGTCTCCTAGTACGCCGGTTGCGCCATCATCTACTTTGATGCTGGAACCTACGTCGTGACCAACACCCTCCAGATCCCTGCAGGCACGCAGATGGTTGGCGAGGTGTGGGCGTCCATCATGGGGTCTGGTTCGGCCTTCGAGGACCAGAGCAACCCTCTGCCCGTCGTCCAGGTTGGCACGCCGGGATCCTCTGGTATCATGGAGATCTCGAACATCGTCTTCACCACGAAGGGTCCTAGTATGTCGTTTATCGTGTCTTGTATTCGTGCATATCTCAGTGAGATGCCTTGACAGCTGCTGGTGCGATCGTCATCGAGTGGAACGTCAACTCACCCTCCCAGGGCGGCGCAGCCATGTGGGACAGCTACATCCGGTATGTTCGATCGATTGCTGAGGGTATGCTTGACATTCACACCGGTTGCCTAGTCTCGGTGGTGCTGCTGGCACTGATCTGCAGGCATCGCAGTGCTCTGACGTACAGTCAGTGGGCGCGCCGTCTTGCTTCGCGGCGTTCCTTGGTTTGCACCTGACACCCAACTCCAACGCATATATTGAGGTGCGCTTGCTCCCCCATAATTGTACGGTACCCGGCTCTGATGCCTTTGTAGGGCACCTGGGTTTGGCTCGCCGACCATGATCTTGACGACGCTGCCCAGAGCAGCGTCACGATTTATAGCGGTAGGGGTATCCTGTCAGAGTCCGCCGGTCCTGTCTGGATGATTGGCACTGGTGCGTTCGGTCATGTTCCTACGGCTCACTCGTCGTCATGCTCACACATCCTATTGCGTCTCTTTCTAGCTTGTAAGTCGTAGCTCATGAAGGTTCCAATAACGAGCTGACTATTTATGTAGCCGAGCACCATGTTCTCTATCAGTACAACCTCGCCGGAGCTCAAAATCACTACATTGGCGTGATGCAGACCGAATCTGTAAGTCCTCGCGTCGTACTGCGTTTCGGCAGGTCATAGTCTGATGTCCTACCCTTGTCCAGCCTTACTACCAACCTCTTCCCATGCCCCCTACCCCGTTCTCCATCAATGACACCTACAAGGACCCGAGCCTTCCCATCGATCTGACTGCAGCGTGGGGCCTCTACATTCAGTCATCAACTGACATCACCGTCTTCGGTACGTCCTTCGCCTATGTCACATCAGCACTGGCAGATAGCTTAATCCTGCTTCTGCAGGCGCGGGTCTTTATAGCTTCTACCAGAACAACGATCAAACCTGCCTCAGCACAACTATCTGCCAGACGCAGATTCTCAATATCGACTCGTCGTCCACCGGGATCAGTCTGTACAGTCTCTCCACTGTCGGAGCGATCAACCAGCTCAGCTTTGGCGGCTTACCTGTCATCGCGGCCAGCATCAATGTCGACGGCATCCAGAACACTGTCACGGCATGGACGCAGTAGAGAACGTCGCGCCCGACGCTCATCTCCATGCTCATTTATTCTATACCTGAGTCGCGCAGAGTACTGTGCTCCGGGTGTCCTCTCTTTCAGTACCGCGGTCGGTTTTCGGTGGTGTGCATACAGTACACATGTACCCTTGTCATTTCATATGGATATAGAACGTGAAGTCTGAGTTATGGGATGTCAACCGTCGCCGTCCGATTCTCCGAGTGCCCCGGCCGACTGGATTATGCTTCGGCACGGGCGAGATGGTCAGCTCCGTTGAGACAAAGGTCTAACTGCGGACCACATTTGGCCCATAGAGATAATTCCGGTCGCCTGTTTCAAGCTGCGGAGTTGTCGTCGAACACTACATTTTGAGAATCGAGCAAGGAGGGGAAACGCGCACACGGTTGAGGCACGTGACTGACGCGCGAAGTGCGTAAACGCCAAACAAGGCCAACGCGACGCGGTGTATATGATCGCCACGCTCGGACCTTGCCCGACCTCGTTCTCCCCCCATCTCTGCCGTGACACCATACGATGGCCCCCGACATGAAACGGACATATACAACACGCGCTTCTCGCCTGCCTCTCCTTCCATCTACGCCGCCATCGGACCTCGCCTCGAGCTCCCCACCCCCCGTGAAGCGCAAGCGCTCCTTCCTCGAGGAGACCACAGTCCAGAACTCTCCTACACCCTCATCAAAGAGGCCACGCAAGTCCATATCCCTCCTTCCCAAAGGGAAAGACGCGCAGAAGGGGAAGAAGGGCGTGTCTGACGCGTCGAAGAAGCAGCAGAAGCTCACCCAACTGCACTTCGCTCTCGACGTGACCGTTCTCAAGACGTGCGAACATTGCGACCTTTCGTATACGAAGGGCGCCCCAGACGACGAGAGCCTCCATCGGAAGCATTGTGCGAGGGTGCAGCGTGGCCTCGAATGGGGCCGCGAAGAGGAGCGGGAGGCGTTGAAGGCCAATGTCGAAGAACTAGCCGCAGGCGTCAAGCTGAAGAACGGCACCAAAGGTCGCATGGTCTTCTTCCGCCCAGACGTAGGTGGCAAGATTGGTACTAAGGTATGTGACATCCTTCCTCGAGGCATGTCCCCAGCAGTTCTCACAAGACTTGTCCGCCTCTGCAGCTCGCCACGCTCCTCGAGACAATGAGCCTCGCGCTATCCTCCCCGCCGCTCTCTGCGGCCGTCCTCAAGCAGTGCAAGATCTACCTCTTCCTCCTCCCCACCTCTTCCAGCACATCCCTTACCCCGCGCGAGAAGATTGTCGGCTGTGTGATCGCGCAGCGCATCTCCACCGCCATGGCCATCGCGACCGACGCCGACGTCGCAGCACGTACCTCTACACCTGCACCCGGAAGCAAGGCACCTGTGCGCCGACCGCTCCATAGCCTCATACCCGTCGACACGTCCTCGAACCTATATGTTCATCCCGCCCCGCTACCGACGCCTATGGGCATCCCGCGCCTCTTCGTCTCTTCAGCCCACCGTCGCCTCGGCATCGCGACACACTTGCTCACCGCTGCGGCCAAGAATTTCATTTTGGGTTGTCCTCTCGACCCGACGAAGGGCGAGATTGCATTCACCCAGCCCACCGGGGCAGGGAAGTCTGTCCTCGAGGCGTGGGGTAAGGGCGGTATACGCATCTACGAAGAGGAGCAGGGGCGATGAGTCTGAGACTCTGCACATCTAGTATTGTACTTGTGGTTATTCATATGTATCCCATGCATCTCTCTGTATAATAACGTTCGCCGACGTCGTTCTGTTTCAGTCTCGCTTCGTGGTATCAGCTCGGGTGAAAATGACTGGTATTCGATACAATGTTGTTATATCGTAATGTACTACTCATACAACGTAGCGTAGACGTAACTGTGAAGCGAAGTATACAAGCGTAACCGTTCATGAGATGCGTAGCAATCATCAAATACACGACAACCAGAGTGACCCTTGCATTCGTTCAAGCCTCGACTTGCACCACCTGTGTTCCGCTGGAGAGTGTGCTCGAGGGAGCAATGAAGACCCGCTTCTTGATTCCTCCGTCGTCGGGCAGCCTGGTCTTGCCACCGCTGAGCCACCTGTCGACCTCAGCAGCGCACATGCGCCCCTCGTTGATACCCCAGACGATCAAGGACTGGCCACGACGGCAGTCACCAGCAGCAAACACGCCGTCGACGCTAGTGTGGTAGCTCTTCGCCGGCGTCTGGATGTTCGACCGTGCATCCTGCTTGACGCCAAGAGCCTTGATGGCATCAGCCTCAGGACCGAGGAAACCAAGGGCGAGGAAGACAAGCTGAGCCGGGAAGAACTTCTCGGAGCCGGGGACCTCCTCCATCTTCCAGCGTCCTCCGCTGTCCTTCGTCCACTCGACGCGGACAGTGTTGAGGCCCTTGAGCTTGCCATCGTCATCCACGACGAAGTCCTTCGTAGAGATGCAGTATTCACGGGGATCTAAGAATGTTAATCATGAGCCAATCGATCGCGTATGACAAAACCTCGAAACGTACCATTGCCAAAGTGGGCCGCAACTTCAGTGTGTCCATAGTCGGTACGGAAGATCCTGGATTGAAACGCAGATCGTGAGCAGATGTTCATTGCATCGCGGGAGAAGATCAAGCTCACCTCGGCCATTGAGGCCACGGGTTGTCTCGTCCCCGTGCAGCGGGTGGCTTCGGGAGTAGCTCAAAGTTCGTCACCGATTTGGCTCCATGACGCATCGCGGTACCAATGCAATCGTTTCCGGTATCACCGCCACCGATGACGATGACATCCTTGCCCTTCGCATTGATGTAGTTGCCGTTCTGCAGCTCAGAATCGAGAAGGGACTTCGTGTTCATCTATACGAGGCTGGTCAACACCATCCCCGACAGAAGTCATCGCTGTTACGTACCTGGAGGAACTCCATAGCGAAGTGAATGCCGTCGGCTTCACGATGAGGGATCTTCAAGTCGCGGGGCCACGTCGCGCCAGTGCACATGATGACAACATCGTTCTCGGCGCGAAGGTCATTGATATCGATGTCCTTTCCAACGTGCGCGTTGGGAACGAATGTCTACAAACGAGTTAGTTTGCATGATCTGGCAACTCGTTGATCATTGAATACACACCACGCCCTCGGCGGCCATGAGATCCAGGCGGCGCTGCACGACCGACTTGTCGAGCTTCATGCTGAAGCAATATTAATATACGTCTCTCGCTCCGGACTGCGCAATACACTCACTTCGGAATGCCGTACATGAGGAGACCACCCATGCGGTCATTACGGTCGTACACTGTGACGGTGTGTCCCGCCTTGTTCAATTGGTCGGCGCAAGCCAAACCTGCTGGTCCAGCCCCGATGATAGCAATCTTGCGACCCGTGCGGAACTGAGGGATTCTTGGTTGCATCCATCCCATTTCGAAGCCCTGGACACGCACTTCAGTCAAGGTTGAAGACGTAAGAAAGAGTCCGAGGAAACACACCTTGTCAATGATGGCACATTCAATGCTCTTGATACCCACCGGCTGTTCGTTTATACCCAACACGCACGCACCCTCGCAAGGCGCAGGGCACACACGACCCGTGAACTCGGGGAAATTGTTCGTCATCAGAAGGCGGTTGAGGGCATCCTGCCATTGATTCTTGAAGACGAGGTCATTCCACTTGGGGATGATGTTGGAGATCGGGCAGCCGGTATCGGACTGGCAGAACGGAACGCCGCAGTCCATGCAACGCGCGGACTGGTACTTCAGTTCTTCCTCCGTCAGGCGTGTGGAGATCTCCCTCCAGTCCTTGACCCGCTTGCGTGGGGGACGATACGTCTCCGTCAGTCGCTTGTACTTCATGAAACCACGGGTCTTGTCAAGCTTGTTCAGGCGCTGCTTCGTCGTGTTGTCGTCCACCAACGAGTCCTCCATATCGAGCATGGCAGGCTCGTGACGACTCTTCGAAGACGAGCGCGTGGGAATGATGAGGGGACGCTCCTTCGGCGTAAGGATGTCCTCGAGGCCTTCCGAAGCCAGATCAACCTGGCTCGCGGTCCGCGACGGGATAAGGTCGACCACGCTCTGCCGCATCTTCTCCTCCTTCGCCTTGACAGCCTGCTCCTCAAGTACACGCTTGTAATCCATAGGCATGACGCGGACGAAAAGCGGAAGCAGATGGTGGAAGTCGTGGAGGACGCGATCTGCGACCTCAGATCCGGTGTAATGGCGATGGTCCTCGATCAAGCCACGCAGCTGCGCGATCTCACGGGGATCGGTAACCTTTCCAAGTTCCACCATCTCCATGTTAACCTTAGAGGCGAATGTGTGCGCAGTGTCTAGAACGTAGGCGATTCCCCCGCTCATGCCGGCGGCGAAGTTCCTTCCTGTGCTTCCGAGAACGACGACACGGCCACCAGTCATGTACTCACAACCGTGCTCACCGGTGCCCTCCACGACCGCGTTCGCACCGGAGTTTCTGACTGCGAAACGCTCCGCGGCGACTCCACGAATGAACGCCTCTCCAGACGTCGCGCCGTACAAGCAGACGTTGCCGACAATGATGTTCTCCTCGGCCTTGAACGTGGACTGCTTCGGAGGGTACAGGATCAGGCGACCACCGGACAGACCCTTACCGACGTAGTCGTTCGCATCACCCTCCAGCTCGATCGTGATACCAGGAGCGAGGAACGCGCCCAGAGACTGCCCGGCGGAACCGCTCATGTTGATGTGGATAGTGTCCCTGGGCAAGCCCTCCTCGCCGTACAGCTTGGAGACACGGTAGGAGAGCGAGGTACCGAGAGCGCGGTCGGTGTTCGTGACGTCGCATTCGATATGGACAGGCAGGCCCTTGGTAAGCGCAGGCTCCGACTCGTCGATGAACTTGTTGTCGAGGCGAATGTAGAGCTTGTGATCCTGGGGGCGGACACGGTACGTGGCGGCACCACGGCGCATCTGCCACGCGGGCTTCAAGATCGCAGAGAGGTCGAGGTGCGCAGTCTTCGGCGTGCGACGCTCCTCGTTAACCTTGAGCATATCGGCGCGACCTACCATCTCGTTGATGGTACGGAACCCAAGCTTCGCCATGAAGCCACGGAGCTCCTCGGCGATATAGTAGAAGAAGTTGATGACTTGCTCGGGCTGGCCAGCGAACTTCGCACGCAGCTGGGGGTCCTGGGTAGCAATGCCAACGGGGCAGGTGTTCACTGTTACAGATGTTAGAAAATCGCAGGATGCGATGGTGAGATCTAGACTTACGGTGGCACTTCCTCATCATGATGCAACCCATCGCGATGAGAGGAGTCGTAGCAAAGCCCCACTCCTCGGCACCCAAGAGACAGGCGATGGCGATGTCGCGACCCGTCCTGAGTTGTCCGTCGGTCTGCACGGTCACACGACCACGTAGGTCATTCAGCACGAGAGTCTGGTGCGTCTCAGCCAAACCGAGTTCCCACGGCAGACCAGCGTACTTGATACCAGTCCAGCGCGAAGCACCGGTACCACCGTCGTGACCGGAGATGAGGATGTGGTCCGCCTTCGCCTTCGCGACACCACTCGCGACGATACCAACACCAACCTCAGACACTAGCTTCACGGAGACGCGCGCGCGAGGGTTCGAGCATTTGAGGTCGTAGATGAGTTGCTTAAGATCCTCGATAGAGTAGATGTCGTGGTGAGGCGGGGGCGAGATAAGACCCACACCAGCGGTCGAGTGACGAGTGCGAGCGATGGAAGTCGAGACCTTGTGGCCGGGCAGCTCACCACCCTCTCCGGGCTTCGCGCCCTGGGCCATCTTGATCTGCAGCTCGTTGGCATCGGCGAGGTAGTTGGAGGTGACGCCGAAGCGACCGGACGCGACTTGCTTGATCGCCGACCTCATCGTGTCGCCGTTGGCCAGGACCTGCGAGCGCTCCGCGTCCTCTCCTCCCTCGCCAGTGTTCGACTTGCCGCCGAGGCGGTTCATGGCGATCGCGAGGGTTGAGTGCGCCTCCATCGAAATTGAACCGTACGACATAGCGCCGGTGACGAAACGGCGCACGATCTCGTTCCACGGCTCAACCTGTTCGATGGGGATCGGCGTGGCGTTCTCGTAACGGAACTCGAGTAAGCCTCGGAGATGTACGTGGCTGGTTTGCTCGTTCGCATTGGTAGCGTACGCGTCGTACGCGCGCTGGTTCTTCTCGCGCACCGCGTCTTGGAGGTTCGCGATGCCAGAGGGATCGTTGATGTGGGCCTCGCCGCCAGAACGCCAGTGATAGTCGCCAGACTCGGGCATGCCCGGAGGGAGGACGGTGTCGCGGGTCGGCCAGCCACGCTCGTGCATCTCAAACGCGTCCATCGCGAGGAGGTCGAACGTAGCACCTTGGACACGGCTCGCGGTACCCGTGAAGCACGCCTCGATGACTTCGGTGTGGAGGCCGAGTGCCTCGAAGATCTGCGCGCCCTTGTACGACTGCAGGGTGGAGATACCCATCTTGGACATAACCTTAAGGATGCCGCTGTCGACTGAGTGGCGGAAGTTCTCCCGAAGCTCCTCGAAGGTCTTGTTGTCCTTGACCCTGTGAGAGACGGTGAGCAAAATTTAGCGCAAAATCCATAAATCGAATACTCACAAGCCCTCGCGGACTACCTTGTGGATACACTCCATGGCCAACCAAGGGCAGATACCATCCGCACCGTAGCCCAGGAGAACGCAAAGGTGGTGCACCTCACGCGCCTCACCGGTCTCGACGAGCAGGGCGACCTTGGCCCTCTTCTTCTGCGCGACCAAGTGCTGGTGGACACCACCGCAGGCGATCAGCGCAGAGAGGGGGACACGGTCCGGACCAGTCGCGCGGTCCGAGAGGATGATGACCTTCATGCCCTCCTCGATCGCCTCGGTCGCCTCGCTGCAGACGCGCTCGAGCGCAACCCGGTATCCGGGCAGGCCTTGCTCCTTCGGGAATGTGATGTCGATAACGCGCGACGGCCAAGTCGAGTACGCGGACTTGAGGTGCTTCATCGCGCTCATCTCCTCCATGGTGAGGATGGGCGAGCGGAGGAGGATACGGTGGCACTGCTGTGGGTTCATCTCGAGGAGGTTGCCCTCAGGCCCGATGTACGCCTCGAGGGACATGACAATGCTCTCACGGATCGGGTCGATGGGAGGGTTCGTCACCTGCGCGAAGAGCTGGCGGAAGTACTCGTAGATGAGGCGGCACTGCGTCGACATGCACGCGAGGGGCGCGTCGTTACCCATGGAGCCGAGTGCCTCCTTGCCGTCGGTGACCATAGGCATGAGGAGCATGTTCAGCTGCTCGACGGTGTACCCGAACGCGAGAAGCTTCGGGTCCGTGCTGAGCGAGTACTCATCGATGACGGGCTCGACAGACTGCGAGCGCTTGACGCGCTTGACGATATTCGGGACCTGCAGGACATGGGTCTCGATCCACGACGCGAAGTTCTGCTTCGAAGCGGTGTTACGCTTCAACTCCTTGTCGTCGACGATACGGCCCTCCTCCGTGTCGACCAGGAGCATGCGGCCGGGCTTCAGGCGCCCCTTCGAGACAACCTTCTCGGGCGGGATGAAGACGGCGCCGACCTCGGACGCACAGACAATGATATCCTCGTTCGTCACGACATACCGGCAAGGCCGCAGGCCGTTCCGGTCAAGATTGGCACCGCAGTAGCGGCCGTCGCTGAACGCGAAGAGCGCGGGACCGTCCCACGGCTCCTGCAGGCACGCTGCCCAGTTGTAGAACGCCTTCTTCTCCGGCTCCATCATGTCGTTCCCCTGCCACGCCTCGGGGATCAGCATCATCACGGACTCGGGGAGCGTCAAGACGCCGTTGACAACCAACAGCTCGAGCACGTTATCAAACGCCGCGGAGTCAGATCCACCAGACTCGATGATCGGGTACAGTAGATCGAGCTGCTCGCCGAAGTGGGAAGAAGATAGTACACCCTCGCGTGCGCGCATCCAGTTCTTGTTGCCACGAATGGTGTTAATTTCACCTAATGAGGGAATGGTCAACGCCAGGCCCAGTAGATCCGCACGAAGTTCTCACCGTTGTGGGCAGCCCATCTCATGGGCTGCGCACGGTCCCAGCTGGGGAACGTGTTCGTAGAGAAACGAGAGTGCACGAGTGCGAAGTGAGAGCAGTAGAGAACATGGTTCAAATCGTGGTAGTAGTTGTAGACTTGGGGCGGGGAGAGCTGGCCTTTGTAGACGATGTTCTTGCTCGAAAGCGAGCAGACGTAAAAGCCCTTGGAAAGGGTGCTTCACAGCGCTTTAGCCGTGCTATGGGATAAGGAGGGAAACGCGACTCACATGCTGTGGGTAGCGTGCTTACGGAGAACGTAGAGCTGGCGTTCGAAGTGCGTAGCATCGAATGCGCCGCCGCGGGGGACATTGCCATCCCCGTAGTGGGAGCGGAGGACTACGAAAGGCTGCAAGATGGCAGGCTCCTTACTAGCAGCAGCGGGACCCAGGATCGTCCCGTCCGTAGGCACCTCCCTCCATCCCAAAACGCGCAAGCCCAGATCCCCTGCAATCTTAGAGAATACAGCCTGCTGCTTCTGCAGACCGACAGGGTCGTTCGCCCTGAAAAAGACGTTTCCGACAGCATACTGCCCCGCATCGGGCAGCTCTGCGCCGATGTCGCGCTCGACCTCGCGCCTGAAGAAGAGGTGGGGGATACCAGTCATGACACCGGCACCGTCGCCGTCACGGCTGTCTGCGCCCGTCGCCCCACGATGGGTCATGGCGCAGAGAAGCTGTCTAGCGTCGGAGACGATCTTGTGGCTCTGCTCGCCCTTGATTTGACAGATGAAGCCGACACCGCAGGCATCCTTCTCGTACTGATTTTCATACAGACCCTGGCTGGCGGGCAAAGCGCCGTCGAAGGAGGCGGGGTCGCGCTCTACGGTGTGGAAACCATTTTGGGTGTCATCGTCGGACACGGATAGGGGGTGATCCAGAAATTCAGATGGTTGGGTATGAGAGTCCGCGATGGCCATAGAACGAGAGGTGAGCTCAGTAGACGACGGCGGGCAGGAAGGGCTGGGTGTGCGACGGTTCCTGCTCAGGAGATGGCGGCGGAATGGGCTGTGAGACGGACGTGGACACAAATTTCTAGCTTGGAGGCTGGCGGATGGAGTCACTTGGAGAACGTTCACGCCCGGCCACCCGAGGGAATCCGAGTCTGCCAGGAGAAAGCCAATATTTCTGTTCCGGAAAACCGATCGCCACACCGCTCCCGCTCCCAGGCGCCCGCCCCCGCCACCGCACCCCAGCCAATCACCGGCCCCGCTCTTGTCATGCCCCCGCGCCCACGGCTGTCCGCCGGAAGCCAGCACACTGCCCGTCCCCGCTGCCCGTCCCTCCACGCGCTGAACTCGTCGCGCGACAGGGCGGGAGATCGTCTCACGCACAGAAGGCGTCGATCGCAAATGACAATTATCTTGCCGGTGGCCTCTCGAAATCAAGGTTCCAACTCATTTCTTATCGCATCGACGGAAAGATGCAAGGCACTCCTGCGCACTTCGTCGATCAAGGAGGATGAATTGAATATGCGCTCATATACTTGGCCCGCCGGCCGAAATCCCCAGACTGCGGGCGCGGGACGCGGGAACGGAATGAACCCGGCCCATCACCGAAATTCATCAAATTCAAATTCAACTCGCGGAACTGAGAGAGGAGTTAGAGCGTACTGCACCACATATGCGGCGAGAGCTAGTGAGAAATGCGCGGCACTCTTCTCGAAGGTCGATGGAACGGCATCGTTGAGACATATCTGGGGGACATTAGAGGGACTTGGGGAAAGTGTCAGGCCAAGCGGGTCCAACGCACCAGGCGGGCTGCTTCTGGGCAGGGTTGGTCCAGGTTGCTCTGGGGGATGTCAAGGCAGTCATAGCGCTGAGTCCCTGAAGTATCGTGCTACGTCAGTACGTTCAGGGGGGGCCTTAATGGCTGCTCTCGAAATCGAAGTATCATACCATGAGCGATATTTGTACCTACTTCGGGATTCATACCTACCCGGCGACGTAAATAGTCCCTTCGAGGTTGTAATGTGAGATGGTGGTGTCATGCTTGGAATACGACGTGAGTTAGTTACTGAGCGAGGCAACGCCCTGAGTCATTTTAGCCTAGAGGTGGTGGCAAGCGAGCATCGCCACGTAGGGAAAGCTTTAACGAAGTACCTACCAACAACCCAAAGCCTATAGAGTCCGATTCGGAAGAGTGAATGCTCCAGCAGGCCGATAATAGAGTGGGAGCGTAACTTCGCAAGATCATGCCTACACAGTCTGCCTTCACTTTTGTATTGCAGACCGGACGGGAACTCGGTAGACCGCGCAAAGACGGCTACCGCTACCTGCATCGACACGTGCGCTATCGCGCTGTAGCCACCGCTCCGTTGACCGCACCAGAACCAAACCAGAACGGATGCAATTTGCACCGATACGTATGGAACGTCATGCACCCAATCGACCCCGGATTGACTGGAGATCGCCATCAAGGACCTCAGAGTGCTTCTAGCGTGGAACGAGATCCTCACCTCCTCGCTTCGTCATTCTTGACGTCCACGAAGTCGGACCCGGACACCTCGTCGTCGGTGGGGCAGTCCTCTATCCGATGGGCGGTATGCAGAGTGGATGAGCCTGGACTCGACCGGGGGAATGCGCGTCAGAAGCGCGACGGCGCGTGCCGTACCACCCATTGACTCCCAAAGTATAATCCTTGGGAACTACACTGCCCTGCTGTGACGCACTGATCCGTGGTAGAGACACAGAGAAACTCGCCGATGCTGTAAGTCTGCATGCCATGTACAGCGCCAGCGACTGCGCAGCGTTCCGACACGTACTGTACACGAGGTGCAAATTTTCCGAGGGAAGAAGCCTAGCCAGCGCCATCGTGTAAGGCGCAACACACTGCGGCTGTGTCCCACAGGTCAGCATAAGACGGGCCGGAAAGGGAAGTGCAGACCTTTGTGGTGCCCATTATACTGACGGACGGTCTCGCCTGAGGCCATTTCCCACAGGCGCGCCGTGTGATCTGATGATGCTGCAGCAAGGAGGGAACGGATTTAGCGGCTGTAGGGAACTTCTGTACGTAAGGGCCCATAGCATACCTGTAACTAGATACGCTGAGTCCGCGCTGAAGGCACAATCCCAGACCCATCGTTGGTGCCCCTGCAAAACCTTCTCCAATCGGAACTCGTATGACGGTGTTAAAGACCATATCTTGACTGTCGTATCCGCGGAGCATGTAGCCAAATACCTACATTATGGAGAGTTGAGTAGGTGTGTCAAGGAGCTAAATGTGTTCCCTACTTCACGTCTGGACTCAGAAGACATCTTGTCAAGTATTTGCTATGCGCCTGGAACTTCGTGACGGCTTGGAACCGAGGCAAATCTGAACGTTCCTCATTAATCTTCCAAACGTAGCATTTGCCCTGTCTCGATGTTCAGTTCCGTCCGTTACACCGCAATTAATCCATAGAGTGGACACGCCTTGTAATTTCCCGCAACGAGGCAGGATCCATCCGACGCAAGGCTGATAGAGCGCATTGGGGTATCGCCAGCTGGGGTCTGAACAGTTCCCCTGCGTCAGCATCGACACGACGAAGTATTTATGAGAAGAAACGTACCAGTTCGTGAGTACAGATGTTCTCTGAGAGGTCCCATTGTTTAATTCGTCCGGCCTGGTCACACGAAATGAGTTCCCCCTGGTTTGGATGAACCACTACGTCGTTGACTGCGACGCGTGAGCAATGCAAGGAAATCTGCACACGGATGACAAGCATTACCGGGAGCCTCGTTGTCATAGTTCCTGTGGAGATGCGCACTCCTGAACGGACCGGTCAATCAGGAGAACAACGCAGAGACCTCCAAATATACCGAAGATCCCAGATCTTGATCGTTCCATCTTCACTTCCAGTCACCAACCACTTGCCTTCGCTATGGAAAGATACCGAAGTGATGTTTAAAGTGTGTCCTTCAAAGGTGATAAGCTGGATAGGTTTAGCTGGACCATGCTGGTTCTTGATTTCCAGATAAACCTACGGGGGTTGAAGACGTGCTTGCGACTTCGTAGATGTTGATCTTCTTGTGGATCACTGCAGCCAGCAGGCGCTTGCTGAGAGCCCTTTCACAACTGGATTTGGGCAGCGAGGGACTGAACGGACTCACTCCGGAGATATTGCTAAACGATTCACTTGCTGTTGGGGTGCAGGAAGAGTCCATTAGTTCGCTTCATGGGAACAAACAAACATCGCCCTCACTCCTGATTCGTCTTTCCTCGCGATCGTTCTGGAGCATATGCCACTCCAAGCCTCCCAGAATCGTATATCGTGATCGTACGAGCCCGTCGCTAGGATGACGGACATGTCATGGCGAGGCGCTGCTGTCGTTCTGGATGATGTCGAAGGCATGGTGGTTAACGGCAAGCTGCAATTGTGCGGGTACACACAGCTTGAGGGAAGGCGCGCGGGGATCCGATTACATAATCACCACCGCGCAGTGACACTGTGCATAGACGACTGCCATACCCGGCGTGCCTGGGAGCTTTCCGGCTCCTTCGCGCTCGCCAGCCACCAACGCTCACCAACGTCTGCTTGAACTGCCACCGCTCTGCTAGGCTGTCTTCTCCGCTTTATATACCTCAAGTCAGCTAGCCTGCCGTGACTGGCGACTTGCATCTACCGCCTCGGATGGCTCGTCACTGGTCTTCTTGCAGAGCATGAAAACTCGAGCGCAGCAACGTCGACGTTATGCTGCAATCCAGTCAAGTCTCGGACATGGGCTGTGCTCCGAGACAAAGTCGAGATAAGTGTCCCAGTGACACCTGCCAGGCGGTCTGACTCATTGGCCACTGAGATCTAGGCCCTGCGGTCTGTCGCATGGCCGAGTTCGGCGTGGTCGATCCTGTAGCCTGCTTTAAATTTACGTACAATACGCAGCTCGTGGAGACGCTTCTATGATTCTTGCCAGCTTTGACCTCTCTTCATATCGAAATTCTCCCGCGAAGCTGCCCCCTGTGTAGACTCCCTCCCTGGCCCGTCAGACTTTGGCTCACCCATCTCTGCTTATGGCCTGGTGTTTTACACGGCTGGTCCTTCTCTTCCTTGTCGGGGATCGCTTCTTGGGGGCAGACCTTGGCGCCGACGATCATACATTGCAATGCCCGGTTCATTCTCCCGGTTGGACCTCCTTTTCCTCAACATGCTGCATCATGACGAGATCAAAAGTCGGCGTGTCCAGCTTGACATTTCTCCAGCTGGTACCGAATGAGCTGTCCCGTATTCTCTCATGCGCCTCTTCTATTCAGGGATTCATTACTCACTGCTGGTCTCCGGTGAACAGACTGACCCTCTGCTCTAGCCCCTCTTCCCCGCTCATGATCGAAGGTGTATAAGAGGAACAGCCGTCGTCCCGGATATCGACAGCCAGTGCCCGGAACAGTGTCCCACTCGTCCAACCATTGCAATGGACAACATACAGGTATGTATACTTCAGCTATTGAAGCCGCCGTCGATGACCATGGACTTCAGGCTGGTAGCCGTGTTACGTTCTACGAGGGAAACCAGGCAGTGCACGGTGAGGTGCAAGCTATTGAGACTGTCGAGGTGTGCTCCAATGTTCACGTCGTCTCTCGTGTTCTGATGAATTACAGTCTATGCAGGTCGCCGTCATCAAAGTCGACGGCACCGACAACACTGTTAAAATACCGTCAGTATTCGCTCATGGTGTTCGTGTCCCACTGCTCATGGACTCTCAGAATCAATATACTTACACGCATTGGTTGAGCATCGCATTCTAAAACTCACGGACTGGACTAGCACATCGGACTGCGTCATATTGTGGGACTTTACCGAGGTTGTAGCCATTGATCTTCCGCCCCTAGACTATCAGCTTCTCCCGGCTCTAGATGTATCGATTGGAACGATTGCTACTGTCTTGTATTGTACGGACTTCTTCGCGCAACATGTACGGATTCGCTGCTGATTGTCAGTGTGAAGAAGACAGCCTCTCGGCCTTGAATCATGCGGCGTCCGCTACCCCAACCCCAACCGTGGTGGTACATGCGGCATGACCATGCGCTTGGATGACGGTCTGGAATCGCGTCGACTGAGGAGCACCTAACGCGTTTGGGTTTGGGTAGAGGGCAACAAATCAATGGATGTAGTAATCGGTATGTCACTATCGTGCGATTCAGCTCAACCAATCACTCTCTCCAAGTGTGCCGCGCGTATCAGACTATTAGTCTCATGTACACGTCACTGGCTACCAACCCTTGGGAACCTCATTCCGATCAAGTGCGGCCTAGATAATCGGTGCGCGATTATAGGAACACCGATCTCGTCCGGGACCCCAATCATGTCTAGCGCCAGAAGTCGGCGAAATCTCAGTGAAGCGCAGTGAACACAAGCCAACGGCTTCGGTACCGCACCTGCGCTCCTCGGTAGTGGACAAAGAGGACGCTTCCATGCGACATAAATATTATTCTGTAGCGTTACCAGCTTTCTTGGTGAAGGGGGGACGCCAATGACGGTCGTTGCAATCGCGATCGTCCAACTGGTGAAAGAGCCGGCGTTGGGTTCCGGCCACGTGGGGAAAGCACAGATCGGGATCGGCGCTCACGATCTCTTCTATTCCTGTCACAGTTGACTCGCACAGGGACGGGGGAGCTTACCTACCGCTTTCTCTCATTCGCTCTGTATGTCATATTGTATGGCTTGCATCAGCTTTCTCATGTCGTCGAATGCATCCCCGGCGAGATCTTTCAGCTATGTGCCAAGATCTTCGCCTTGCGACCTTGCGGAGTTCATCGACCCACCGACAGCGTAATTGTGGTCTTTGGGGCAGACGAAGGTGAGCGATGAGTCTAATATTTCTCTGCTAACAGAGTCATTGTGCGGCTAAAAACTGGAAGACGTGTCCCCTTGCATTTCTCGGAACTTCTTGCATACATCATATTCGCTCTTTGTCGCATGCCTCGAGATATATTCTCGATTGCATGCGCGGAGCCGTCAAACCTGCCGACCGTGAGACGGTTCGTTCACATGTCACATTCGCTCTTAGTACTGACTGAACCGCAAGTTGTTGCTTGAATGGCATAGTAGAAAAAGTAGGGACCGTCGTCACACGGAATGGGGTCTTATCGCGCCCATCGTCCTCGATATGCTATCAACAACGTTCGGAAGTGGACTGTGCATGTAAGATTATACGCGCCTACTGCGCGACCTATTTCTTGCACCTTGACGCAGTCGTTGTGATCCCTGAGCAAATTCCCACTACTACCAACACACGCACATCATCTAGCCGAGAGACGTCATGCACTGCAGCGGCAGCCTCGAGCTCGGCAAGGGAGCTCCCGCGTGCCACTTTGGATCCATTCAGAATAGTTGCTTTCACAGACCTCGTCGAACGTTGCCTCAGAGAAGCCTCGATCATCACAAAATTTTGCGCTCCCATGCTGACGGCGACCACGGGTAGGGTCGTCATGCTATCGGCATTTGAAGGTACCTCGCCCGAGCCCCCAGAATCTGTGCTACGGTCCGCGGACTGACGCCACCTCATTACAGGCATTAATGAGAGCGCCTGGGTCATGACCAACACCATCGGCGCGGGGTGTTCAATGAGACGGCGTCTAGACTATAGAGGCGTCAAACTGTCCGTCGTCCACATGGGTCCCTTACTAGTACGCATGGAGCTTGCTTCAATGAAATCAACAACAGCGCATAGGCGGCGAGAGCTCATACACGGCAGTGCACGCACGGCATAATTTCATGATGTAGCATGTCTATGGCAGAGAACCTCTTGGAGAAGGATCAGGCACAGCAACGCGCAGTGCCGTTAATTAGCAAACCGTTGCTACGGTACATGCGGCTACCTTTTCACAGGAATGGACGTGGGTGGCCGTAATAGTCAAGGTGCAGTGACATATTCTCAGGCGTCATGCCAGTGAGCGAGTATGCAGCGAATGTACGGAAATGCATCCCCGTTCTGATGCGAACTATAAGGGCCAGGTCAGCCTATGACGCCTGCAACATTAGTGTATCTGAGTTAACTCACTATACACCAGCCATCTGAGGTTTTCGTACAATGTCATATTACACGCTGTGCTACTAGATGGGGCATAATGAGCGGCGCCTCTCCACATTTCATGCAAGTGCTGTACAACGCCTCATGCAACGATATACCAGATAGTCTCATTGCTCTGCGCGCTCCTGAAGCGATTCACGCCCTGACGCAATATCAATGGCCCGCTGGCCCCAAAGTTGGCGCACCAACTTCGACGGCGGCCGTCAGTGTCTAGTACAGTACTACTGCTCCCCGTAATATGTCCGTATAAAATGGAGGATCTGTACAGTGAGTAAGTATTGACATCCGAGTTGACACTGTCCCGTGTGCTGGATACGTTACTAATCAGGATCTTTTCAATGTCACCTTGAAATCGACCAGAGCGGACTGAGCCTGCTCGCTGTCTGGTCATGGACCTCACACGGTTCTGTTCCTGTACACAACGACAGATCTTCCCCGACTTGTGCTTACATTAATTACGGAACCTTGCAAGAGAGCACGTAGCACGTTGTATTCATTGATGCTCAGTGCCGAGTCTTGCCTTGATACGTCTGAAGCAACTGTACTGACTCCACCGCCACGAGGCGACCCAACGGCCACCGGTGATCTCGGAGTGCGGGATGTGCCGAGATTGCGATCTGACCGCCACCCCACGGGCGCCTAGAAGACGTCGCCTGCCGGCACCGACCACGCCAGCTGTCAGACGCCCAGTGGTGGCGAGCAGCGGCACTACACCGACCTGTCGACACTGAGAACAAATGCATGTCCTCGACATATCAGGACGGTGGTCTTCAAGAGCAAGCCAACTCCTTCTATGCCGCGCTTGCTCGCACAGCGACCCGTAGCCTTGCTCTGTACTTCTCGCGTCCAGTGCGGCTCTTTCGACCAGCGAAAGGTATGATCCGTCTATTATCACAACTCGAACTAATCTCACTTAGCAATAATCAGTCAATGGATGGCAGACTCTCAAGAACTTAGCGCTGCAACATGGACAATCGCTTTCCCCGCGCTATCTATCATGGTTGGTCAAGCAAGAGGGGGTACGTGAACCAATGTGCTTCATCCGGATTGAACCACTGATCTAACACCCACTGGCACAGTTCATGGTCATCCCGAAACATTTCATCCCTCCTATGATTGTCAATGGAGCTCTCGGCTATGTGTTATGGTCCACATACTCTGAAGTCTACGACCTTCTCGAACCCCGCCTCTCAGACAGCCCGATCGCGGTCGCCGCCATATCTGGTGCTGCTGCTGGCGGTATGCAAGCCATCGTGGCGGCACCCGCCGAGAATGTCCGTCTTGCGATCGAAGGGGGCTCGTCATCTGCCAGCGGCTGGTCTCACGCCTGGAAAGAGGTCTTTCGTGGTACCAGAGCGCCCTCGACACAGTCTCGACTGGACGAAGTGCACGAGGCTAGACAAGTGCGCGTTTGGATGAGAGAAGTCGGAGACATGGCCGGGCGTGGTTGGAATGGATGGGCGTGGGGCTGCGCAAAGGACATATGTGGTACGGCGACTTCTGTTTTGATATGTCACGTCACTCAAATATTCCCTTTCATGCTTGCGGCACAGGCTTTGCCCTCTTCTTCTCTATCTTTGAGATAACAAGACGCGCCGCTCTTAGAGCGAAGAAGGTCACGTACCGCTTAACACAGTCTTCGGAGGCACGGAGGAGCACCAGCGAACCTTTGCGCAAGCATGCTCCGAGGACTGCTCATGCCATCACTCTAGTGACCGGCGGAGCACTTGCCGGGTTGGCATACGAAATGATCTGTAGACCATGGGATGTGGCCAGGAAAGTGGTGCACACAGACAGGGTGGCTTCATCGTCGCAGAAACATTCCGCCTTGAAGATTCTGTCGCAAAAGCTTCGACAGGACGGGTTGCTGTCATTCTTTCGCGACCCACATCATGTCGCGTCTCACGAGGGAATGTCTATGACACCTCTTCGTCGTCGACTGTACTCTACTTCTCGTACCGTGGCTCGTGTCGGTCCGTGGGGTGTAGGCTTTCTCGTATGGGAAGCATTCGGACCTGGTATCTCGTAGTAGTGAATATGCATGCTCATGTGCTTACAGTGGCTAGCTAGTAGCTCTGAACGAACGGTCCTTGCTGTGGCACTACGTCCGATGGTGACGGAGAAATTAACCGGTGGGGATATTGGAAGATCCATCATAATCACGGAGGCTGAGGATAAGATTAGTCCGTATCAGCAACTCACCTTTACCTAGTGTGTTTGATAGTTTGTCTCGCTTCACCCGACATTAATTTCGTCGAACGCTAAACCTCCCCAGTGGGTAACTCGGAATCATATTCAGAATGAAGACATAGTTTACTCGACTTCGAAAGCAGCGGAATGGCCCGAACACTCACGAATCACGTATCCATGTAAGAACCTGAATGGCCTGGACCTGGCCATTGCTTCTCCCGCTTGGAGTGTGTCCGGGTGGACGCCATTACGGTTACCGTTAAGCTAGGCAAGTTCCTGGCACTTGGCCAGTCTGTTGCCATACGCAGATCTGGAACTCTCGCCTCGCGAATCGAGGAATACAACAGGAAAGTTTGCTCCAGGACCTGGCGCATCCGAGTGTGGGGAATCCGAACCATTAATATTGGCATGCCGCATAGGTCAACTTTAACAGACAATATACTGAGGCAGAAGTCGTCTTCGAGACAGTGATCGACCATTCACTGTGGCTCCGACGGTTGCAGAGGCTGGTCCGACACCATCACCCACTGGCAGGCACGGCATTTATGAATTAAGGGCCTACTAAGGCTGCTCCGTCCTTATAAGAATACATACATGAGTGACACTTCTGCTTCGTTTATCACACGCACGAACCTTGTCTGCAATCTCGAGCGAGAAGGTCACCTGCGGTTACAGGCTGGCACGTCGCGGTGGCGCGCTACGTTGTGGAGATGGTCTGGCCTCAGAACGTGAAGAACAGCTGGAGTAGTCGCTCCAACCAGGGTCCGGGATGCGCGGCGAAGTGTGCAGGCCGTCAGCGTCAGATAACAGCTTGGCAACCAAAGAGTAGTACTATATCCTTCTGCGTCCGAGTCGGTCATATCGAGAGTTCCGTCGAAGAAGAGCAGGATATTACAAGATATCGAACGTTCCGCTCACCGGTTAGCAAACAGGCTGGGCTCAACGCTGCCAGTCGAGAGTGCGAACGGTTCATCTTCGAGGCAAGATGCACGTCGAATCGGCCAAACTAAGTACTGGTCAGGATATGATCGTGCCTTCGTAACAAGCCTCCTTACTAGTAGAACTTGAAGGTGATGGGCAACTACTTACTAACTTGCTTCTTCTGCACACTGGCAGCACAGGGACACAGTCGGATCTTCGAGCGGCTGTCAGGCTATGATTTAGGCGGAGCCTAGACTCGAGGGAGGCGACCAGAGTCGATCCGCGCCACAGCGTCCGCGTTCAACTTGTTGCCCCCACTGGCATGAAGTCAACGAAATTAATAGAGTCACTTGTGTTTGAGATCTGTTGAAGCCCCCTCCGCTGAATCCATCATGTAACGAGGACCCGTAACGACTCCCTACAGAGTACCGTCAAGTACCAAAGCTGGAGTCTGCACGATTTCCCGAAGCTGCCGGGTGATGTCAACGCTCAACGGTCTCTGAGACAATTAAGACAGCTGACTCCTACCCGCAGAATACTAAGTCGTTTTTCGTCCTCGTGCCAGCTGGCAGAACAGCCATCTGCTTGCATAAGCCGAGGTGAGCCTGGGACGTCTCATTCGGTGAGTGTTCATATGACCAGCATCTAGTTACTGCCTGCTGGCCTTAGTAGGCAGCATGCGTGGTTCATGTCCGTGCATCTCACTGGCAGAGTATCATTGACGGGTACAACTCATCGCTTGGCCTCCCATGTATGGGGAAGTCGTGTCATTGATGTTGGAGCCGCTCGCTCGATCTCGCCGTGGAACCCATACGATGGATCCTTGAAATACCTCGGACTCGGACTTCTGACTTAATTCCGCGAAGCTCCACAAATGTCGAATTCTGCACCAGCATCTCCGCCCGCCGCAATAGCTGAATTTTCCACCCTCAGCAGGCTTCTGATTCAAGCTATCCCCGACGAAGGACGGACTGTGTTCGTAAACATTTCTCCGCCCCCGCCTTTGCGTCGCTGTGCACGATCCGATACAAGTACAGACGATCATGTATTCGTTCGCCGTTCGCAATGCAACGAAGATTCATTCGCAGCGCCGAGATGCACGGTCTGTAGCCATTCGTCCAGTTAACGGAGGGTAGCGGTGAGTACATCACAATTGGACGGAGTTACTGTCTTGCAATTGGTTCAATCTTCATGACGCTGGGGGCGGAATCCAAGGGTCCGTCCCAGCGGCGATCCGAAGGGAAGCTGGACGGACCCATTTCATGCATACTATGAAGGTTCCTTTGACAACATCTACTCAGGGTTGGGCTTCCTTGGGAATGCTGGAACAACGCAGCCACTGCTCGTCTCGGACCACCGGTCATCACCAAGTATCCGGTCACCAACGTTCACTTCTTATGGCCCTATGGGGCAATACCCGCCATATTCTGCTCTCGGTTGCTCTCGGTTAGTCGGACCTCATTGGGCAGAACTGGGAACGTGGTATCGAACCCGTACACATTGTCCAGATAACAAGAGGAAGGCTTCGGTGATCAGAAGGATTTTGGACCCGGCGGTATGTTCACAGCCGTCAGACGTGGACGGGAAACGAGTTAATGTGTAGCATAGAGCTTGTCTACCTCGGGCATTGACGCGTTGAAATACTGGAGGACATTCTCTTTCTTGCGCTCTCGTTCCTCGCGCGCTCGCCACGGGGATGGTGCAGGGGGGTATGCGCTCCTCGCCTCACGACATCAAAGCGAAGACCTGCTGGCGGTGGCGATGCCGCTCAAATGCCGCGGTTGCCCGTAGCGACCTAGGCTCTCAATGCGCACAAAGATAGCAAGTAATTCCACGGCTCGAGATACGGGTTCTTCCGGCTGACCTTATGTACATGCCTGCCTAGCTCCAGTGCGCCTTTGCTCGTGGAATAGGCCAGCAGCCCATGCGATCTCGTCGTCTGTGATGCTGCCCACAGGTAGGCAGGTGGGAGTATACACATCCTTCGCATCGGCCCAAGTTGGTCACTCGTCTTACACGTAAGTTCAAATCCGCAGTCATCGCGAAATTCTCTTCGCTGACAGTCTCCCGTGAGCATTTGAATGTAGGCTCTTGCCGCATGTAGTCATCTGACCCGCAATTCTCTTTCTGACGCCACGTCTTCGACGCTAACCGCGCTTCTCACTCGGCGGTGGCGCCTTTTATAGTCAGTACTCCTGGGCCAATGTCTTCAAATGACGACGCTATCTCTTTCGGCAACCTGCGTGCTGCACAATAATCTATCTGACAGAGTCTGCAGACGCGCACAACCACTCAGCTATAGGCTGAACCTAGGCTGAAGGGACGGTACCGCATGTCATGCCGTGAAGTACGCTTGTACTATACATATGAGGAAAATTACTTCTCTGACAACTTTCTCCACAGGCGTTATGCACGGAGTCCAGCGAAGCGGAGAAGCGAGGTGTACCAATTGTAAACGTGCCGCACAGTAAGTTCCGCGAACTTGCTTGACTGCTAGGCGATGGTAAGTGATTTACTAGATGGGGCCTCACCAATAAGATAGCGCGGTATTGAAAACGGCATGCCTCCTTCGCGCATGTACTTTCAACGAAGGCGATCGTCGGGTAGTAGCGCACTGGTATCTCTCCCTGAAGGTAACACGGCTGCGAATAACGACCACCGCGCCCTTAGGCTGCTCTCGCATTTCCCCGTACCAACTCCTGACCGTCGACTGGCATGCATCGCATACTGAATCGATAGCAATAGCGCTTGGACAAACTCTCATAGTATGTAATGGTCCAGCGCTGCTCAGCTCGCAATGCTAATGTCATATCCTGTTTTGAAGACCACAACAATGTCGGACGTCTCGAATGTTTCTGACCGAAAAGTGTGACATATCGTACTGTGATTCACTTTCTTCTGGCAGGCACAACTCGCAGACAGCCCGGTTCCAACGGCTGCAGCAGGTCATTGATTACGCGCCGCAAACGCGTGTATCCAGGCCGAGAGGTGCCCTTCGAACCTTGCTTGCTGAAGACGGATCACCGATGGGATGCCCGCAGGGCCCGGCCACGTCCAGATGCATGGCGCTCAGGCTGGTCCCTTCACATCACTGATGTGAGAATGCAAATGCTCCTCGATGGCGGTAGGCTGGTCGCATTTCGCACGACGATCTGCACTGCACTGCGGTGGTTATTCTCTAGATGTGAAATTCCCGGAACTCGCGACCTCTTGTGCATGTGTCAACTGACCCGGGATCCTCGGTAATTCTTGCCTGTGCACACAGCTAGACGCAGCCCAGTACGTCGAGAACACTGGTGGCTTTGTTGCGGACGCACGCCCATAGCCCTGGAGCCGAGGGTTCGGCCTCCTGGGTATGGGTGGACAGAGTTCCTCGTTCCCATGCGGAACACGGAGGACCACGGCTAATGGGTACACGAGCGCAAAAAGTATCCTCCAACATTGAGTAGGCGAAGAGCGCACAGACACGCTCTCTGCGGTTGAGGTCCAATGCCGCTGACCGAGCGATTGGCTTAGACTTGACGTCCTCTGTGTCCCATACTTAATCATGGCCGCTAGTAAGGCCTCGCTGTGACTTACCGCAGTTAGTAACTTACACGGCTGACGACAACATACTACTAGTGCCTATGAAGTCTATTAGTAGGGTGGCGCATGAATGAAACCTCGACGGTGTCCGGATACAGCTACCTAGACAGCGAAGACTCCGTGCAACTACACACGCGTCTCGTTTGTTCAGAGGTAGCTCCTAAGCTTAGCGGATTGCACCGTGACGAGAATATATAAACAAGACAAGTTTCGTTGCTGCTGCAAGTCACATATGACCGTATCAGTGCCCTTTGAAGTGCCAATGGCTGCTTGCGCGCAATGCCTCGGATTGAAGTTGAATTCTTTGATTTGTGAACGACTAGCGGTGCGGCCCAAAACATGCGAAGCTTCTGGGAGCTTCGATCGATCGGGGATGGCGCGCGAGGCCGTAAAAGGCAGCAGGCGCGTCCTCCGCGTGCCACTCCTCTAGTCTTCCTCATCTAGCCTCCTTGACTGCAACTCATAGCCACCATGCCCGTCTGTACAAACAGGGGATGCGGCCAGGACTACGACCCGAATAACAACAAAGGCGACAGCTGCACATACCACCCAGGTGCACCAGTCTTCCACGAAGGGCTCAAGTCATGGTCGTGTTGCAAGGATGTGAACAAGCCCGTGCTCGATTTCGACGAGTTCATGAAGATCCCGGTTCGTCACAGCCAGCTTGAAACCAAGGTCCTCCCCGTATTCATCTCGCACAGGGATGTACGAACGGCCCGCACTCAGATGCCGCACCCAAAACCGACACTGCCAAGCCATCCAGCGGAGGCGCGAATCTCAAGATGACAGAGACCCAGGCAGGCGGGAAGGAGACATACTCTACTACGCTCGCCCCGCAGCAGATCGCGCTCTCATCCGTGGCACCAGCCCCCGTCGCCCCCGAGCCAGAGCAGGAGGAGGAAGATGACCTCAACGCGCCCGTCGCCCCCGACACGAATTGCAAACGGATTGGATGCAAGACAGTGTTCGAGAGTGACGAAGTAAATAGGAGGGGCGACGGGCCTGGAGCAACGTGTACGTACCATCCCAAGGCGGTAGGTACCTCCGCCTCGGTTCTCCTCAGTGGTGCACATTTTTACGAAGCTATGATCCGTGAAGCCGATCTTCCATGAGGGTAGCAAGGTATGTGCGAATAGCCTACAGAGCCAAGCAGGATCCTAGATCATACGGCAGGGTTACTTGTGCTGCAAACGTCGCGTGCTCGAGTTCGACGAATTTCTCAAGATCGAAGGCTGCAAAACCGGCCGACACTTGTTCGTGCCCAAGACCAAGGATACATCTGTACGTCACAATTACGCGGGTCATCGCAGTCCGTCGCTGACCTCAGACTCAGGCGGAGCAGTTCACGGAATGCCGCGTCGACCACTATCAGACTCCGGCGGACGTCCACGTCTCCGTATTTGCCAAACAAGCAGATAAGGAGCGGAGTATAGTCAAGATCGAGGAGAACTTCGTGAGTACCCCTGCTAGCTATCCTAGTCACCTTCCGGACATATTTGGTGACCGTGCGTTTTTAGATTCACCTCGACCTGTATCTCCCGGCGTCGAAGCGGTTCAGGAAGTCGATCGAGCTCTTCGGGCCTGTCGATCCGTCGGCATCGTCATTCAAATATTATGGCACAAAGGTTTGTCTTCTGCGAACCTTATGCTGCATGCACCGATGCACCGATGACATTGGCTCCAGATTGAGGTCAGCCTCAAGAAAGCGGATGCACGAAGCTGGCCAGTGCTCGAGAAATCGACGCGAGATCTGAGCAACATCAACATTACATTTGGTGTCGGTGGCAGGACGGGTACGATCGGCGCGAAGGAGATCATCTTAGACGACCAAAGCAAGGTCAAGGCAGCCCCGCTGCCACCGAAGGCGTAGCTGATACGAGGCGAAGTGGGATTAGACATTCAGTTCAGTAGGGATAGCGTGCTCTACAGGAATGTGTAGACTAGTCCGGACAATCAAGATGTGCCTGTAACTCTAAGCAAATGTTGTAGGAAGTGTTACAGAATGCCTGGCTTCTCTATTCGTACGAACGTCTGAACGATGTCTCCTTCGCGGAGATCGCTGAAGGATCCGAAAGCTATGCCGCACTCCGTGCCCTTGGAGACTTCGGTTACGTCCTTCTTGAACTGTTTCAGCGTCTCTATACGACCTGCGGAACATGTCAATACATCTCCCATGATGGCCCATGATCGACCTTCACGCACCTTCGTAAACTGCCTCCCCGTGGCGGATCACCCGCGCCATCTTCGTCTTCTCCACTAGGCCATTCAACACACGGCATCCCGCGACTTTCATGGTCTGTTTCGACTTGACATGAATGTCAAACAGCTGCAGCACGTTCGCCTCTCCCGTCACGCGCTTCTCGACGATCGGCGGGAGCAGCTCGATGACCTTCGCCGTCACGTCCTCCATCAGACGATAGATAATCGTCGAGGTGATCCATGGGACGTGCTGCGAGGCAGCTACGCTCTGGACGGGGCGAGGGACGCCGACCGAAAAGGCGACGATCAAGCCTGTGAACGGGAGGTCAATAAGGAATTCATATTATCCGTCAGACGACCATCGGCCGCACGCACCCCCCGCAGCCTTCGCCCTCATGACATCCGACTCGGTCACATCGCCTACGGCGGTCGCGATGATCTTGGTTCGCGCGATGTCGTTACCGATCCCCTGCAGCGCACCCGCGACGGCCTCTGCGCTACCACTAACGTCCGCTTTAATGATCAGTCGCAGCTCCTTCGGGCCGTCTTCCTTGCGATCCTCCTCGAGCTCTTTGCTGGCTTTAGTTGCAGCCGTTTCCTTCTCCTTCTGGTCCCTATCCTGCCGCCGTTGTTCGTTCAAGAGCTCGACGTCGCCCAGCGTGGCATTCAAATCGGCCATGCGCTCGCGATTTGCGAGCGCCTTCTTGATATCCGAGTCGCTGCCTTTGAGGACCTCGTCTCCTGCATTCGGCAGCACCTTCCAGCCTGAGACAGTAACGGCCATCCCGGGATACGCGACCTTCACGGGCTTCCCATTGGAATCATGGAGCAGGCGGACCTTGCCATTAGCGAGGCCAGCGATGATATGGTCAGTCGGCTTCAAACATCCTCGTAGGACCAAGACGGTAGCCACAGGTCTGAATAGATACTATCAATCCAACGTGGACCTTCCACAAATGACGGGCTTACCCAAGACCCTTCTGAACCTTGGACTCAATGACATAGCCTTGTACGAGACCTTCCCGCTCCGCCCGAAGATCTTGCATCTCCGCTAGGGCGGAAATGGTCTCGACGAGCTGGTCCAGCCCTTGCCCAGTGATTCCTGAGACCTGTACGGAGGGGATATCTCCGCCGAACGTCTCCAGCTGCACTCCCGCCGCCAACAGAGCAGTCTCTACCTTGCTCTGAGACGCGGAAAGTTTAGTATCATTGATCAACATATTTTTACTAAGTACCCACCGGTTCCACACCAGGCTTGTCGATCTTGTTGATAGCCACGACGACACTGACCTTCTCCTTGTTGATGAGCTCGATCACCTCGCGCGTTTGCGGCATGATGCCGTCGTCCGCCGCAACAACGAGGACGATAATGTCCGTCACGCCGGCACCACGGGCACGCATGGCTGAGAAAGCAGCGTGCCCTGGTGTGTCTAGGAACGTGATAGTTCGCGCATCGCCGCTGCTGCCACTGGCGGGCACGGGGACAGAGAAGGCACCGATATGCTGCGTGATACCACCCGCCTCGCCTTTTGCGACGGACGTGGACCGCAGCGTGTCCAGCAACGTCGTCTTACCATGGTCAACGTGCCCCATGATTGTCACTACGGGCGGACGGATGGGGAGAGTTGAGGGCTCAGGGTGAGAAGGCCTGTGTACACAGTGGGCATATGAATACCATGGATTGAAAATGAATGACGCACGGCGGGTATATGTCGAAGGCCGCTTCATCATCGACGACGGGGTTCCAGCCAAATTCCATGGCCAGAAGTGAAGCATACTCAGACGTCAGAACTTGAACTACTCGTCAGACCCGGGCTCACCAGCGATCATACAAGATGTACTCACGATAATCGTATGAAGCCTCCGCGTCCATGCCTACTCTTATCATTCTTCGGCGCAGAGTATCCGGCTTCACCTTCAGGAGCTTCGCGAAGTTGCCTACAGTCACCATTGTAGGAATGAAGAGATCTCGCTGAACAGCCCTAGGTTTGCGCTTGGTTAACTTTAGTTTCTTCCCTTTTGCCTTCGCCTGGACGTGTTGGCCATCACTGCGCGTACGAGACCGTCTTTCAAGAACGACGTCCTCTTCACCTTGCTTTAACCTCGACACCACCGAGCCTCGCTCCTTCTCTTTGTAACGGATGTTCCTCTCTACCCGGATTCTAGGCTTGGCTCGAGGGTCTTCGGAAACGAGGTCCACATCATCCTCCTCAATCTCCTCCTCTACCTTCTGCTCCTCGTGTGCAGCCTCAGTCAGCTGGACTGTGTCGGCCTCATCATCCTCTTGGTCCTCACGGTCTTCCTCCAAGACCTCGTCCTCGTCCTCGTCCTCCATCACAGCCTGAGCATCCTCCGACTCCCTCTTTATACGTTGTTTACTGAGGATGTTGCTTAATAATCCTGGGCGCCGCGAAGCCGTCGAGGGCGACTGCTGAGCACTCGGGCTTTTCCGCAGCTGCGAACGTACGAAATCGACAGTATCACCCATTCCATCGGGTCGACCTTTATGTGGAGCAGCATCCCTCTGATGAGGCGCTGTGTCCCTTGACGCGAGATGTGGAAGCACGTCTCGCTGTTGTTGACGAGGTTTCGGCAGTGGCAGTGGGCGCGATGCTGCCATGCCGAGAGGAATAGTGTCAAATTCATACTCCACAGTTCACTAATGAATGCATGACACGAACCAGCACCCGTTTTCTTCTCCCGAGATTCCGCAGGAGTGATGCGCCGAGCCCACGAACGGGCTTGCGGGGTAGAGCGGGAAGACGTCTCCTGAGGTTGCTGAAAGGTGTCTTCCTGGGGCGGTAGTCGTGGTAGGGCCCATGAGCGTGCTCGCGGGACAGCAGACTTTGACGAGGAGGCAGCAGGCGGGGCATCAGGACTCTGAGAAGGACCTGGCTCCGGCCTCGCCCACTTCCCTAGGGGTCTAGGCTAGCACTCCGTAAGCACAGTAGACATGAAAACCGGAGTACACCTACAGCAGGTTGAACAGCCGTGGAAGCAGTCCGGACGAGCGGACGCTTCATACGGACGGCACGGCGTGTGTGATGCATGGCTGTTACTGTAGCACGGCAATGCCTTGTGAACGAGCGGGCGATGGGTCTCTTCAGACTATTATAGAGCCATAGAGGAGAAAGGCGAGTGCACTGGACCGAGGGCCGCTGTGGCTGGTGGCGGACGCTGCAAATGCGACTTCCGCCGATCTCGCCGCTCCCTGCCAGCGCGCCGATCACGTGAACGGTGTAGGCGCGTCGCGTCGCGTGCCTTGCCGACTTCGTGCATCGTCATGTCACTTCGAGCGTAACTTACATTGGAATACACATATCCACTGCTCCTCATGACAGTGCTAGTCTCGGACTACGATAGCATATAAATATATCCAGACGGAATACAGTTGTGCGTGCACAATTAATGCTATCGTTCACTACCAGAACAGACACCGGTTCTCCGTAGGTGGATTCAGCTACACAAATTGGTTAGAATACGATAACACCCAGTGGATGGCGCTCACCTTCGCCTTGGCTGAGCAATTGAAAGCCGTCGCAAACTCTGGGATATTGAACACCGTGCCATCGACGCGGTATTGATTCGGCGAGTGCGGATCTGTGCGAACGCGGGCAACCTGTAACCCAGACAGCGTTGAGTATTGCTGTCGATGTAGTACAAGTGAGAAGCGAGCTTACCGCCGACTCGGTTTTTATGTTCCTTGCCCATCCGCGAGCAAATGAGATGAAGAACAATTGCTCTCTACCGCGTCCATCGAATCAGTATGGCAATGTAGATCGATACGCTCGGCCTTACCTCGTGAAGTTTAGTCCAGGGAGAAGGTATTCGCTGCCGTTGGCGAGACCAGAATCATACTGCGCCTTCCAAGCACGATAAGCTTGGATGACACCGGTGTCGCCGATGTTCTCCCCGGATGTGCTGTACCCCAGAATCAGACGATATGAGACAAAGTTACACCATTTACATACAGATTGCCCTACACAGAAGATGTCAGTTAGACAGGACATGCGAGCGATAAACATCTGAACACACATTGACGTGGATCTTACCGCCCTTGCCATCATCGATAGTGTACTCTGATCACCGTCATTATTTTACTGATAACCGTGATTTAAATGTAACACGAACCGGAATATTGCTTGACGATGCAGTCCTGCCTCTCTTTGAAGCCCTCGCTCGTAGCGTTCGTCCACCATTGCTCAAGCTTTCCCTGCTGATTGTACAGTCTTCCGGCGGAGTCGAACGCATGCTAGAAAACATGGTAAGACGTGCAGAGCTCCAGTATATTGACCAGTCGTACCGTGAGTTCATGCGCAGCCACCTGTCCGAACGAGCCATATGACATGTATCCGGGCCTAGAAGAGTCAATGCATTAATGTACATCTCACACCACCATCACACAAACTGACCAAACCCTGGAAAAGAACGGGGGCTGCAGGATTCCAGCGGGGAACACGATCTGGCGGATTTGTGGGTCAATACAACGTCAAGATGCGAATACACGAGCATACCTCATTTGCTGGCGGGTTGAAATACGCATTGACCGTCGACGGGTACATCTCCCAGGTCTCAGGGTCCCTCTGCTTGCCAAGCTTCTGCCATGTCAGGTACTCCTCATTCGCACTAACGACGCAAGGTCAAGCACAATTATGGAGATATGCATGGCAGACTTACTTGCTGCTGAGAATGTTCTCGAGGAAGGCCTCAGAATCGATATACACGCGCGAGTAATATGCAGTGATCGACGCGGGGTTCTCAGTGTCCGGAGATAGCGGATAGCCCACTTTCACGCGGATGGCGTCGGCCTACACATCGTTAGCCACGCTCGTGGATGAATATCTCGGCGTCTATACCTTCTCGGCGGCAGCAGTCGCGCTCTCCTCGTCCATCCACTCCACGTGTCCCAAAGAGCTCTTGAACGTCTCGATGATGTCTAAAATGGATCCATGAGTGTTGGTAAGAGCGCGATCATGAGCCTCCCCTCACCCTTGATGATCTGGGTGCCTTTCTTCTTCGAGTCGCCTGCAAACGTCTCGTTGACGAAATACCGACCAGTAGCAAAGCCCAAAGCCGCCTCCACATTCGTCGTGCAAAATTCCGCCCGGTCGCCTACGGCGCCTTTCTTCAAGCCCTTCAGGCGCTCCTCTAAGCTACGCACGGCCTTCCACGCCTCTGTGTCATACCCGAGGTATGGTGCCAGCGCGAGGGCCGCACGCGTCACGAGGTAGCCTTCCAATGTCTCGGCAGTCGTCTCATTGAGAATGGCTGACAAGGACGACGGGTACGTCACAGACGTCAGGATGACGGTGTTCGGGAAGTTGCGCGGAGTAAATGCTGCGAAGTACTCCGGGAAATCGATCTGAGGGAGCTGCGCCGTGAGGTTGTCAACTGGGACAGGGTTGTAGGTCGCAATGGGGTCTTGGAACAGGATGTCACTACAATGTGGTCAGCATGTAACGGACGAACCGCTATGTAGGATGCTCACAGGTCCAGACTGGCATTGGCAATGGCCTTTTCGAACTTGATGATATCCTTCGCCACCTTGTGAGCCTTCTCGGGATCCATAGGTTCGGGCTCATCGTCATCGCCGTCGTGGTCGCCATCGTCATCGCCGCCCCATGGCGGCCAAGGCCAAGGTGGCCATACGCGCAAGCGCTCTTGGTAGACAACTTCGCCACTTACAGGCATGGAGACTTCGCGACTACCGATGTATTCTTCTTCCTCCGCGAGAGTAACAAGAAGGCGCTCAAGGACCTCTTGGTAAAGGTCGACGAAAGACTCCTCTTCGTAGTATTCCTAACCACGCATCCCTCAGTCAGTATTGAACTGAACAAGTATTGTTTAGATCTTCCAACTGACCTTGGAAGGGAGGCCAAGCTCGGGCTGACTGAACCAGAGTGTCATGAAGTTGGGGTCAGTGCCGACGTCGCCCTCGATATCAGCAGAGAATAGACCGTCGATACCCCGAGTGTGAAGATAAGCAATGGCCGCCGTCAGCCCAGTCACCTTCCTCTCCAGAACCCGGGCTGCCTTGGCGTCGACTGTAGTAGTTTGGCCGTAAAGCAACCTCCTGATCTTGTACGTGACAGTCGCTAGAGGCTCAGAGCCAAGCTCGTCCAACTTATCCTCATCCATGCAGGACGCATATAGACCACGTAGCTTCTTCATGAGCTGCTCGTCATGCGACGTAGTTAGCGTGGACGGTGAGACGTATGCATCGGATGTGAGAATCTCCTGAAGCACCCTGCGATTCTGTTGCGCAAGGGCTTCGAAGTTGCCATAGACACCCTTGTCAGATGGAATTGGGTGCGTCTTCAGCCAGCCACCATCTGTTGGGTACTTCACTACTAGCCACTGGATATACACAGGGGCAAGACGCACTGGCGAAGTCATAGAAGTTCTCACAGGGATCTTGGCTAATGTCCAACGAGGAGAGGATTGACGACGACAGAATGATGCAGTCTGAAGACAGGCATGTAGGCTACACGGGCCACGGGTGAGGCGAGTCGAGCGGGAAGCCCAAAGTGCACGCACCTCCTCCGGAGGACCGGTCGGCACAGGGCCAGGTACACTCACCGTGCTCGTCGAAACGGACGTAGAGGTCGCGGTCTGTGTCTGAGTCTGCGTCTGAGTCTGAGTCGCAGTCCCGTAGACTGTGGACGTGACTGTGACGGGCGAGTCGCCGCCATGGCCCGTGTTAAGCTTATGTTGCGCGCCGGCGAACAGACCGATGAAGACGGAGCTCAATAGCAAGAACAATAGGGCGACCACAAGTAGCACTTTAGTGAGCGGTGTCAATGGCTCCTGCAAGATAGACATGAAGGATGATTGCGGAGGCTGTTCGTCAGCGTCGGGGTGGTCTACATCCTGTAGGAGCGGGGCGGTTTCTGTGGGGAGAAAGGAGGTCACGTCGGGCAAGTTCATCTTGAGCAGGATACAGGACAACTCTAACCTTCGTCCGTAGACGGCCTCGCGTCGCGAGTGTCCGCCATTGTCGAAGAAAGGGCGGAATGAGTGCCTCGAGGGCAAGAAGACGGAGGGAGAGTGGCCACTGGGCGTGGTCGCCGCACTCTCTCACTCACGTCGGAAGCGCGGCTCTATCACATGACCGCACCACAACGGGCAACATTAACGCGTGAACGCGCTGCGCGTCGCGTCATTCCGCTGCTCAAGTTGTAAGTACGCGTCTTCGATACATGTTTCAGCGTACCCAGAGCCTAAGGTTCTTGTGACATAGCAGACCGAACATGTACATATCGTTCTATAGACACAGAGAAAACCTTGCCCACCGATTTCATACTGAACTTGGTACATTATCAAATGTTGGTCAGCCGTGTTAGGGTTCCCCTCCCCAGGGCTTCCCATAACTCCTCGCAAGGTAGAATGTCATTGACTCGCTGCAATACTCAAATCCTTGCAGTCCGGTACACCCGTGACTCCCAGAAGTCTATGGTCTAGTCCCCGCCTCCGGAGAAGGACCAGAGGCCAACTCCGGGTCTGCAGAACAAGATTCAGGTATTCTGTACTGGGCCAAAGAGACGACTCGAGCGGAACTCACCCCCCTCCTGAAGAATGATGGGAGAAATAGTCAAAGTCAACATTAACTATGCATGACGGCATGAGTGACGCAGGCTCTCGTCCTAGGTTAACTTAGAGGCAGTGCACATACCGGACATCGCCAATACAAGCTGACAGCGTTGCAATCAGTAATCTATATACTCCACGGGCAAGGATAATTACAGGCTTACAGCTCTTTCCTCGAGATTGAGGTCACGAACGACATACGGCGCCTGCGGCGTAGGGTCCTCCGGATCTGGTGGGAGAGAACTGAAGCGGACGAAGTACTGGCCTTGGCATGGAGTCAGATGACACGGCTCATGCAAGGGCTTCGACACCTTCAATACACACCAGTATCAGTGAACAGCTACGCGGTTGGTTAGTACAGCATGCTACCGGAGTGTCCTGAAGTGGGACATTACCTCACGTCCGAATCCTCTAAAGGCACGACGAATGCTTGCAATTTCTTGTACCCGCGCATCTCGGAGGAAGAAATCCCACGCAAGGAAACCTTCGTCTATTTTGGCGAGCTGTGTGAAGACCTCGATATCTGGTTCCGGCTGCGCTTCGGACGCGACCGAGAGAATACGTTGGGTGCTCTCCCTTTCATCAATGAGCCAGGATTACAACACGGCTCGTACGGAACCGACCTGAGGAACAAGTCATATCGTCTACGCCACGGATGCCATGATTGCTGCACCTCGCCAAAGGTATCGAGCACAGGTTCACCTTCGGGTGTGTACGTATTGTAGTCTTTGAGCCGTTGAACGAACATCCGCGAGTTTATCCATGCAAACGGACGACGGACCTATATCATCGTGCATACATAAGTCAAGAAATGGCAGCAGACGAGAGATACGGACCCAGAGAACGGGTGTCCCGTAGGGATCCATGACGACTGCACGGAATGGCCGATGCGTGCGGAATATCTGACGCCCAAAGGCTGCGAAGAGTCCGCGCGGTTCTTCAGCAATGTAACCCAGAACTTCGTCCTTCGTGTTAGCTGTGTACGATCTGAGTAACCCTGTGCCCCGTATAACGATGACAATGGTACTCACTGATGACATAACGGTTGGTCTGTTCAAATCCCATGAAGATGTTTAGCATTTCTATCTGCCTGAACGAATGGTTGCGAAGAGCTGCACTCGCTCAGGGGGTGCTACCATAGTACTGCACCAACTCACCTTGTAACAACCAGCTCCTCGTGTCCTAGCAGAAGTCTCTTCAGCCCGTCCTCCGGATCGCTGAAGGGACCTCGTTGACTCTCGTCCCAGAGAGGGGACTCCTCTGACGAGGGCCGGTCCTCGTATGAGGAGCCCTTGAATTCATTCGGATCCCTTGACGATGATGCTCGCAGCGGAGTAACTCGAGGGCGTTGCCTACTCGCCCCGGTGCCCCGTTCGGGAAACCTGGAGAGGGCGTACGCGCGACTCGAGACAAGCGGTCGCAAAACGGATGGAGTTCGAGGCAGATTGAGCAGCAGACTCGTTGACCTTGCAAGAGCCGTCATTGTAGCGTACGGGGTACAGGAGCTAGCATGAGTAGCGTAGGGGGCGGAGGCAAGCTCAAGTGCGCGCACGCGCGGCAGCCGGCGTACATGCCCTCGGAGTCTCAGCCACATGCACGACGTCTTCGATCGGCGAGTCCCCGCGCTTCGCCGGCAAGCGAGTCGCAAGTCGTCTTTCACAAACACACCTGCGTTGGCAGATGCTCCGTCCTCCAGCGACACAGCGGCCCTCGCTCCATCTTCTGGGCCGCTCGCGTCCTCGCCTATGCTCGCCTACTGCCATTCGCAGGCCTGCGCCTCAGGCACGCACCCTCTTCGGGTGGTTCAGGAGATCCAAAGCTGCGCAGGCGAAAAAGGACCCCATCCCGGTGCTCAGTCAGGATGACCTTTTCCACCCGTTCTCAAAGTCGCCGTTCCCTGCACTTCGAGCTCGTGGAGAGGCGATTCAGAAGCTCGCACCGTGTCCTGTATGCGCTGCAGAAGCGAAAGGTGCCAACGGCTCGCATATCCACACGCACGCCCAGCCGAAGGCGGTCAAATTCGAATGCCCCGATTGTGGATGGCCGACACATTGCTCAGAGGAGCATTGGAGCATGGATACAGAACACAAAAAGTACTGCTCAAGGTTGAGGGAGGCGAACGAAGATGAGCATGATTTGCGGAGTGGTCGGAGAATGCGGGAATTCGAGCTACCAGGTGCGGCATACTCTAATACTGAACCGTATCATGAGTTTCATTTCCAATGTGTCACAGGTCCTCAGGACTCCGAGGCAGCTATTTCTTTTGCCAACTGGGATGTCTACTGGTACACCCGAAACTTCCCGTCTATGGACACGGATCGGGCACGGCGACATGCGAGCAAGCTACTCAGCTACCCAATTACAATCGGCTCCGTCTTACATCAGTTCAGTGGATTGACATTGCGCAATCAACGGCTTACGCCCGAGGGCAGTCGTTCTTTAGCTGGTGGGTATCTCATGGCTATGAATCCGGCACGACATTGACAGTTCTCAGCTCTGCGGACTACACTGCATGTTCCTCCTGGGGCACCGGAAGTGGAGGCTGCGGCTGCATTAAAGCCGCAGGCACGAATCTTCATCCTGGGTGCTCGGGCGGAATCATCGTTACCGCCACATGTCTGGGAGCAGCTCTGTCTACTCTTCCCCTCTGCGCTGTTCCACCTCTATTTCATTGGTCCTCAAGTCTCACTACCAAGACCCGCGAGTGAGCTGAAGAAACCAACCAACAAGCCGCAGCAGCCAAGCTCGGAAGGACAGCAGTCATCATCAACAGCCTCTTCCTCGGAGAGTACGTCGCAGGCGGGGGAGAAGCCTGCAGACGAGAAGCCGGCAGACGAGAAGCCTGTCTACGTGCCGAACATCTACGAGCCTCCTACTCCGGCTCCGATCGCCCGACTGAAGCGCACCAGGGAGTCGATCAAGGAATACGGCGTCCCTTCGTACACTGTTCCCTACACGCCGCAGCTTACCATCACCGGCATGCAAGCGACGTACATGGACGTGCACGCACATTTCCAGGAGTCCTACGACCCATACACCGATTGCTTCGTCCTATTCTCGCCTGGGCTTGGATTCCCATCGCCAAACTCGACATCAGAGGTCACCGGAGAGCCTTTGCTGCAGATCGCTTCGCCGACGGAGTGGGGCCCAGTCATCCCCTTGCTGCTCGCGAGCAAATGCCCCATCTTCGTGACTGGCTTCTCTCCTGCGGATGTGGAGAGGGACGTGAAGTCACTCTCGACCGCCCCTGAGGTCGCCGGCGAGTTTGACTGGGTGATTACACCGGGGCCGAACGCCTTTGGGAGCGAGAAGTGGGAGGTAGCAGACTTCGATCCTCGCGTCATGATCAAGACGAACTGGGGTATCTGGGGCATCCGAGGGAAGAGGAGGGACGTGCAGGAGTCGAGGAAGTGGTTCTTCTAGACATCGCAGTACACACTTTAATGCTACTGTATAGCATAGCATCCGTCATTCTACGCTACCTTACTCCTCAGTCCTCTTGACCATTATGAAGTAACTCAGTGAGCGTCTCTCTGAGTCCCAGCCACAGACGCGGTTGATCACGTGTGTCGCGTTTGTCGCGTTGACCGTGGCGCGTTTAACGAACTCACGAACTCCTTCCACCTCGCCGGCCCGACCTTGGGGGCGACTGCTGGCATCGCATATTCTGCGCCCTACACCCTGCGTCAACCCGCAGTGACGAGTACTCGACACACTCAATGGTCTATTTGCCCCCACCACATCTTGCGTCAGAGACGCGTCCTTCCTATGGCGAGACCTACGCGAGGATCCTTGCCACCCATCGTCGCTCCCCCACCACCTCCGCATCGTCCGTCATCATCCTCGTCGCTCCCGATGTCGACGCGCTTTGTGCAGCTCAGATGCTGGCTGAGCTCTTCAAGCAGGACGACGTCATGTACCGAATCATCCCTGTCTCTGGGCATGCCGAGCTTGAGCATATGAAAGACGAGCTTGCCACCTATTCCGACGTAAGTTTTTACACTTTCAGACGTCAAACGGATCAGTAAGAAGCACGACCCTGATTGTGTTCTTCCAGCTACACACCTTGATCCTCCTTAACATGGGTTCCATCCTCGAGCTGCCCTCCCCAGACTGGTTCGGCGACTTCGATCCACGGTTGACAGTGCATGTCATCGACTCATCAAGACCTCAAAACTTGCCGAATTTATTTGGGGGCGGAGAAAATGGTGAGCGGATCATCGTCTGGGACGACGGCGGAGCAGAGCATCTGCAGGAGGAGAGGAAAGCATGGGAGGCCCTCACTGTAAGTCTCGACCGCGGTCTCATCCGGACCAAAGAAGGCTCAATGACTGTGGATGATATCAGTATGAACCGGAGCCCGACTCTGACGAGGACGAGTCAGACTTTGGCTCGGAAGAAGACGAGGAGTCGCCAGAAGAGGATGAGGATGAGGAGGCATACGAAGGCGGGAGTCCCTCTGGGCGCAAACGAAGATCACTAGGCGAAGGTGATTCTTCCAGAAAGCGACGCAGGCTTGAGGCGAGTGTGCGGTCGATATATGGGTGAGCGCACGCTTACACTGACTTACAGCGCCGCTCGGCTCGTATGTCAAGAGAACTTCGAGCGGAGTACTCAGCCCGGATAGGGAAGCATTATATGTCCGGGACGTGGCATGGCCAAAGCGCCTCCGGTACGATATATATATTGGCCACTGTGCTAGAGCGCGTCGACAACGACCTCCTATGGTGCGTCTCCTTAGTGTCGATCCCATCATGCTATCTCACAGCCCGCATCACCAGGCTAGCAATACTGGGCCTTACATACGACTACTCGACCTCCCGAATATCGCGAGATGACTACGACAAATACCATTCGATCTATTACGACGAAGTCGCACGTCTCAATCCCCCTCCACCTGCATCTGCCGCCGCGGACTACGACTTCAAGCCGCAAAACCCCGACGATACGTCCGTATATGCCTCAGACGAGCTACGATTCACGATGTTCCGCCACTGGAATCTATACGATGCGATGTATCATTCTTATTATGTAGCTAGTAAACTCGGCATTTGGAAGGAGCGGGGGAAGAAGCGACTGACGGGATTGCTCGCGAAGATGGGGTAAGTGTCGAGCACCGGCTTGCGTGTTCCCAGGCACTTTGCTGATGCGTTCCGACGGGCAGTTTCTCAATACCAGAGACACAGCAGCCGTACTCCCACATGGCAAAAGACCTGAAGCTCTCCTTGCGCCACAAGCTCGACCAGATCGCCCCGGAATACGGCCTCGTCGAGCTCTCATATCCCTCCTTCACGCGCTGCTACGGCTACAGGTCACTGCCTCTCTCCGCCGCCGACGCTGTGGAGGCAGTCTCCGCGCTGCTCGATGTAGCCGGCGGCGTGCGGATGGAGATCGAGGTAGAAGGTGCGCGTAATGGCGGTGAGTGGTTCGGCGGAGGCCACGTGTGGAACGGCGGGAGGCAAGGTAGGCGAAGAGACGAGGAGCGGGAGAACATCCCGCCGGGCGGCGCTGCGAGCGTCGTGAAGACATCGAACGCGCTCGCGACCATCGACGGGAAAGAAGACGGGGATGGCGCAGAGCTGCAGTGGTGGGTGAAGAACTTCTGGACTGCGTTCGATGCGCTGAACGAGTAAGCATCTCGTTTCGCATCTGTCTATGCCTCTTTTCCATTCTGTCATAGAGAGGCGGTGTTGTTCATAGCTAATGCGTGTTCTAGTATCGTTCGGCTACGGGAGGCACTTCCTCTCTCCATGGCGCTCCACCGCGCGATTATGCGCCAGGGTTCATCCATCATCGACAAGCACGACATCCGCACACTGCGTGGGCACCGTGTCGTCGTCCTCTCACAAGGTCCGGATCTTGCCCTCTTCGCACACCCCGGTGTGCTCTCCCGCCTTGCGCTCTGGCTCGTCGAGGCGCTTCGCGATCGCCTGCAGGGCACCCAGGTGGCATTCTCGCGGAGCAAACGGAAGAGCCTGCCATTGGTGCTTGCGTGCATGAATGAGAAGGAAGGAACGTACATTGTCGTGGGTGTCATGGGTGCCCTGGATTTTGGTGACGTCCGGAAGAAGTATGTATCACTGGCACTGCAGCGGCATGACGATGGCTGACGGTGACATGCTGTCTAGTGAGTTTGGTCTCGCCTTCCTGGACGCAAGGGAACGGTGTAATGCGCGGACGCGTCACGGTTCGTTTGACACGAGCGTTCTGGAGATTCAGAAGGACGACCTCAAGGTCTTCCTCGAGACGTTGTGCGAGCGGCATTGATGCCACTGCGAGGATAGCGACGTCGATTGCCCAGATGTTGGCCATGCCTGAGCCGTATGTATTGAGTAGTCCGTGGTTATAATGTGCACTCGTGTGTTTCTTGGCTTCATGCATATTCATTGCTTTCTAACCTAGCAATATATAGAGCGTGTGCAACTTCCCAACTCAGTACATTCTAAAACAAGATGTCTGCTCCGCCCCTACAGAGAATACACTTCCGACATTTGACTCGCTCCAACTTTTTCCGAAACCGCGGTGAGCAACACAGTTAGAGGACGCCTTTCGTGCTGGGGACATCGCTGCCGCCGGTCCTCTCGATTGCTTGGCGGATAGCCAGTGCCAACGCCTTGAAGGCGGACTCGGCCCTGCACAGACTAGTCAGGCGGATGCTAACAGCGCATGGTACTGCTGAGGGACCCACCGGTGGTGATCGTTGTCCCCGCGCAGGACATCAACGTGAAGGGTGACGCCGGCTGCTATTGAAAACGAGTAGAAGATGTGTGGGAACATCTCGGTGGAAAGGTCGCCAATTTTCTCCCGCTTTAGGCCAAGGTCAGTGAAGCAGTACGGTCTCGAGCAGATGTCGATGACCGCGCGTGAGAGTGCCTGAAAGCCCCGGTCAGAATTAAAACGAGAGAGAACAAGGCCAAGACAATCACTTCGTCGAGCGGGGCGAACCCTGTGCCATATCTGCGGATGCCGCGCACTTCACCCAAGGCCTGCTTGAATGCGGTGCCCAGAGCGATCGCGCTGTCCTGTGCAGGCGAACGACGTTAAGTTGCGCTGCACAGACACCGTGGGGGACTACATATCTGCAGTGTGGTGATCGTCTATCCAGAGGTCGCCCTTGCATGACATCGTCAGGGACATGCCAGAATGCTTCGCAAGGGCATGGTACATCTACATAGCGCGCCAGCATCAGAACGACTGAAGCACCTGTGCCGACGAAACGGCAGAGCGCAGGACGTACATGGTCCAGGAACCCAATCCCGGTCGAGATTTGGATCTCTTGCGCATTGCCGGAGCCTGGCTGACAGTCGAGGTTGATGAAGACCTCGATCTGTGTCTCGTTCGTCTTCCTCTCCAGCTTCGCGGTTCTTGCGGCCATTTTTCTAGAGCAGTTTGTCTAAACTATGTACCAGCTAGAGACTCGGAGTGCAGAGCTTGCCAGTCTTCCTGAAGCGCTGAGTCAATCCACGCCGGCTGTGTTCCTAGTTACCGCTTTTGGGCAACTATGATGGCCAGTCGGCATTGCACGGCCCGGCCATGGGAGAGCCACAACGGCGGCGCAAGTTCATCCCGACCAAACCACTTGGGCCTCGGCCGCAGGTCGTGCTCGCCATCACTACTATTGTACGCATATCCGGTGAATACGTTGACGTCTGTTTGGCATCTCACACATGCGCATCAGGCGTCTGCGCCGTTCCAGATATGTTTGACATTCGACGCTTGGTTACCACCCGTTTCAGGTTCGTGACGGTCAGCCTCATAATTCGCTTCAGCTGCTGACCTTCAAATTGCTAAGAACCTCTCTGCATCACCGGCCTGGGCAACTGTTTGTCGCCCCTGTGTGTATGCAAAGATTGACTACTGCAACCTGTGTCACCGTTTTCTCATACTCGTACAAGCAACCTGTGAGCAGAGTACTTAATACTCCTACCGGCCAGGCGGAGCGAAGCGAAGCAGTCCCTTGTTGCTAATACCGTCGTAGGCCAGGCTCGCATGACGACAGTGAGTCTGTAATAGCTTGATATCTGATACTAGCATCCTCGTTTCTGCGGCACCGAGTGTCATATGCGACCGGTGTGTCTGTCAGTCAATTTCAGATCCGCTGGTTTTACGGCTCAGATCGACGTTCGTCATAGTCTAGACCAGCTGAGCACGTCGATGGGCGGCAAGACGTGGAAGGGGTGCTGTTGCCATGTGAGTCACTACTGTTGTGAGCTGTTGTGAGGCGGGATGCAAACCCACATGGATGATACCAAGCAAACCTCGTCGCATGTGCCGGAGGGTTCTCGGATAGGGGCTCTCGGGACAGACTGGGTCGGGTGACATCATGTACCATCGACGAGCGCTGCCAATGCGCGAACGCGGGGAATCGCACAAATTCATGCTACTCATCTCGAGCCCCCGCGAACTTACGCTGATTGGACGTACGATGCAGTACGTCGGCGTCCTTCAATTTGATGCTCAGTGGTACTTACTGGGTATTTATCAGGTCGGGTGCGATCCCGCAAAGACATGCCGTCCGGATCGACCTTCGTGGCAACGGCAATAAACCAGCCTAACTACGCGCCGCAGCCAATCTGCGATCGCGATCGGAGCCAGTGACTGCATTGACAGATCGCGAACGGGAGATGGTTCACTCGGTCTTGTCCGTCTTTGTGCAGCAATCTCGGGGTGCATCCAAGGTGCATCCAGAGCCCCCGCATCGTGAGCTGTGCACGCGTTCATGTTGTGTGACCTCTCGGCGTTGTGAGCACAGAACGGCGTGGCAGGATTTGCTGAAAACCAGTTGCCACCGTCATCCTGCAGCATATCGAACGGAGCCTTTATCCCCCTATACGCCGAGCATCGCGGACAGGTACATACGGGCGGCTGTCCACATGAACGACATTCCGCTCAGCTTCGCCGGCGAACTCTTTGCCTTCGCCGAGAGGTCAGAACGCGGCCTCGGCACGTCGCTAGGTGCCATAAGAATAGGTGCGTAATTCAGACCATTGGCGGATGTAACTCGTCGAAAGAAACCTCTGATCGATGCATGTCATTGCGGATAGACTATATGTTGATGCATGCCATTGGAATAGACCAATGGCCGATGTATGCCTTTGAAATAGACCACGGTCGATGCGTGCCATTGAAATGAAATGCATTCAATGCTGCTGGTCGGTAACTATAATGGGGTAGTTTACCCCGCGGATCTTGTGCACACAGAGCACGGCTGCGATCGCAGGCAGATCATTCTTCCTAAGCATGAAGAAGCACGAACAACGCCCAACCCCAGTCTTGCTTAGCATCGATGGTTACACCGAGGTACCGCTCCGCCCTTCCGTGCCTGAGCAGATGCCCCGAACGTGGCTGGACGACGGGGGGCTAAAATCGTATCAGCTTCTCCACGGCGTCAGAGACTGGCCTAGCAGATACGTTCTCGGCGCAGCTTCAGCGCAAACCTTCCACTCTTTTAACTGACACTGCGTGTCCCCGCGAACGCCTCTGGACAGGATCCACCTCGCCCGACGGTCGACACGTTCCTTGCCCACCCGGGTCTCAAGCCCTCGTCCGCGCGATCCAAGCAGCGCACAAAACCATGACGCAACCGTCCATCATCAGCGTCAACCTGGTCACCGTAGCTCTGGAGAGCTTGCTCTATGGCATCTTCCTCACCTTGACCTCGACCTCGTTCTACATTCTCATCAACCGCGCATTGAGCCAGCAGTCGAGCCATGGAAGGTCCGGATGCTCGTCCCTCTTCACCCCGGTGATGTTCGGGACCATAGCTATCACCCTCACCGTCAGCGCTGTGAGTATCACGCCTACAATTTGCAGCGAGGCGTCTAACGGGTCTATAAAGCACTGGGTCATGACCGTCGTTCGCCTCTTCGACGCCTTCGTGAATTTCGAGCAGGGGCAAGCGGCATTGCTATACTACGCGGATCTCGCCCTCACCACAGAGATAATCAAGACTGCGTTTGTCGTTACAACGCTCATCATATCTGACATCCTACTGGTCAGTAGAACAGCACGTCATAGTGGACCCCGTACACTCACATCGCGCATGCGTCGTTGCAGGTCTATCGGTTATGGACGGTCTGGGGCTATAATTATTACGTCATTATAATACCCTCCCTCACCGTACTTGGTTTGTCAAGTGAGTTGTCCGGACACCTTTCCGAGCACGAAGCTGATTAAACGTGCCCGGCACCTCAGTCGCGGGTCCAGGTGTAATATACCAGCTCTCCCAGCTCAATGCCACCAGCTCGGTGTTCGTAACAGAGGTCAACCGCTGGATCTCAGCAGACTACGCGTGCACGTTCGTGTGAGTACCGGCTCGCACACGCAGTTAATCCTGATCTGATCGGTCCCACTATCCAGTACCAACGTCTACAGCACATGTAAGATATCCGCTTCTCATCCTGTAGGATTCGAGACTCATTGTTAGTGCAGTTGGGATTGCTTGGAAGGTATGGCATGTACGCTCACCAGGCGGCAAATCGTATGGCGGTGGGAACCTTCAGGTAAGCACCTCTGAGAACAATGTACATGCATGGCCTGTAACGAGCTTCCGGTATAGCGTGTACTCGCCATGATAGTTGAGAGTGCTGCTCTGTACACGTACGTCGTCCAGCATTCTCTCCGCTTTCGAGTCAAGCATGACCATTCCCCCGTAGCTCATACGCCGTCTTCTTCTTCGTCGCCTACCAAGTCAACAATAACATACAGTTCACCGCGATCGACACGCTCTGCCCCATTGCCGGGATCGCCTTCACGATGATCAATGTCCGCGTCGGCCTCGGGTGGGGCCAGCGCGCACACCAGTCCTCGCAGATCTCCTCAGCCGGGATTGCATCGAGACGCGCTGCGGAGCAGTCATTCGCCATGCGTCCCGTGGCGGTCGACATTTCTCAGGTCGTGCACAAGGAGGACGACATGGGGCAGCCTGTCAAGATACGGACGAACGACTACAGCGTCTGAGCGGTCGTGTCTCGCGTTATACCGGCACTTGTTGGGGTGGAGGGCTTCTTGTAGAACCTTACTGTATGTATGTTACACAGCACGACTTCGTGCGGCGGACCTGTAATCCCAGCGCGTAATTTGCGTAGTTTGCGTACCGGTGAGCTTCTGCGGCGCGCGCAGATCGTCACGTCCCGCAGGCCATCTACAGCGGACCGACAAACGGCCCTCTTCCCTCGGCCTTCACATCCATAACCCTCCACAGACCACAGCCCTTCCCATCGTTCTGCGCGCCGGCGTAACAGGTCCACCAATACTTGGCGACCATGTCCCTGCGGGCACCGCCCGAACCAGCTTCGGCCTGATCTGTGCCTGTGTTACAGTTGGCAACATCACCGGTCCCCGAGGAGTCGTGTTTCCCTGGCAACGGCGCGGTGTAACGGTTCTTCATATCCGGACGCAGGATGCACGGCACCCCGCACTTGCAGCGCGGGGTCGTCTGGGCACGGAAGTCTGGGCGGTAGAAACGAAAGGTGACGTTGATCCGCGCGTTGGACGCGTCGCCCCTTGCCGAGGAACGAAAGCCGGGCAGCTTGTCCACGTCATTGCGCAGTTCAGGAGGGGGAGGGAAAGGCGGATAGAAGAGGTCAAGGCTACTCTGCGGTGGGATGGAATGCTTGTAGCGCTCTTGAGTGGATGAGTGCATGATCATCAGCTAAAGTGACATTACATAGTGAGCATTGGGTGGACAGAGACCAGATTAATAAATCCGCACAGAATTATGGGTGAGGGGAACATTGAAGGTACGGGCACTTCGCTCATCTTTCTCGCCAGTAGGTATGACCTCACGTAGTCGGAACATCCTGCTCGTCCCTTGTCACGCAGTTAGTCTCGAGCCACCCTGACGACAATGGACGAAGTTGTTGCCTACATACCTAAGCTCAGACTAGCGATAGTCGGATATGGACCGAGGTACGTCAGTTGGTCTGAGTGCGGCCCCACGCTCTCCTTGGCACCCTCGTAGCAGTTGGATGCCGCGACGTTCGCTCGCCATAGGACGTGGTCAGCCGTTCCATTCTCGTCGTGATCGACCTCGCCAGCCCATTCGAGAGGGTAACGCTGGCGTTTGTGCATCTCCGCGTTGACGACCCTCTCGATGATCTGACATGCTTCCTCCAGTGCCGGGGGGAACGGATCAGGTGGTCCCGTCGTGCGCCCGTTATACCTAACTATCATTCAGAGCGGCTAAACCGGCGAGTGGCATGACGCATACCAGTATTGGGCGGCCTCCTGCATGTCAAGGGAACCCTTCTCTGCGGAAGCTTGTTCTGGCCGCCTCACGAAGAAGGACGTTCGATGTGGACTCTCGACTACACGATCGAAGAGCCACCATTTGTTGCGCTGCCAGCCATCACTCATAGAGAGCATGGTGTAGAAGAGCCTATGGATATATATATGGTTAGTAGGTACACTTCAGAGCCCGTCACGGGAGGCCAACTATAGATCGAACACCTCTAGTCTATCTTGACAGTGGCCCGAGACGGGAAGGTAAACCGGAACATACCTGCACGCAAGCTCCGGGGGCAAGATGGATGGGTGATATGTACATGGTGTATGCTCCTCCACAAGGATAGGCGTTCCCAACGTAAGCGGAGGAAGCTGGGCTGACTTCTTGGGAGCCTCTTTGGAGTTCGGGGGACGCAGTAGAGTCATGAATTCATCATTCGTGACGTTCCTTCTCTTCAGCGGAGACTCAGGTCCAGGATGTGATGGCGAGCCATCTGTCTCAATGACAGTCTCAGGGCCCTTATTAGTCGGCGAGGATAACCGGGTGAGCGAAGGTCCAGGAGAACCACGACTGTCTAGAGGTCTTTTCGAAGAGAATGAAGAGGATATTACAGAGTCACTGGAGCGCCTGGTTGTGTTGGTATGTCCTATTGTCCGTGGCTCGGAGCTGCTGGAGGTGCCGCTAGAACGGGGTTTGGAAGGCGACCCTCCAAGCCATTCGTCTAGCCCCGCCGTTCGCTTCCGCTTCCTTCCAGGTATGGATGAGGTCCTGCTTCCTACCCTCTCTTTGAGTAGTTGGAATGCCTTGTCCACGTCACCGTCACACTCGGTAAGCGCGTCCAGTAACATGGCTTGGTCGGGCACAGAGGGCCCGAGGAGACTGGCCAGCATCGCGAGCAGGATCTCGGTGTCCATGACCATATAGTACTAGACAAATGGACGGCAGAAATGATTTAGCGCGTCGGGCTTGTTTGTGGAAGCAGGAAGTGGCCGCTGAGAGGGAGCGTATAGCATTGCACCAGCTCGACGCGGTCGCGGGCGGACGAGCGTCGAGCGCCATGCCAGACGCGATCGCAGTCACGATCACGTGCGCATCTCTTTATGGCAAGTCTGACATCGACGACTGCGAGTCCTCGGAGTCGGGCAACGACTCTGGCTCGCACCGCCGACATATCCTCTGCCTCTCCCGACCATGGATACGAAGGAGCTGCCGCCCTTCTCTGTGCCCACAGATAGCCGTGTGCGGAAGCATACATACAGGTCAACGAGGGTGAGTGGCCATACTTGACGATCAACCGCTCTTTACTAACCCGGGTCCACCTTCAGCTGATAATAGCTTGCATCATCGTTCAAGTCGTCATCCTCATCTATCACCTTGCTGGTGCACCGAAGAGTATCTCGAGTCTATACAGCTCGTATGCACCCGAACCAGACTTCTCGCACCTTGCTGAGCGCTGCGCCCATATCTCTCCCATACCTACCAGTTCGTTCGTGCATCGTCAGCAGGCACTCGCCCAAACACTGCATGAACTGAATGCTTCGGCATACATTGCTGAGCCAGGAGCAAGTGCTGCGTACTTTGCCAACCTCTCTGCGTCGCACTGGCATCTCTCAGAACGACCTCTGCTCCTTATCGTCTCACCGAAACTCGACTCGAACGAGCAGGTCCACGCTCAGATCTCTATCCTGACACCTGCATTCGAATCGACGCGCGCGAAGCTTCTCTCAATCCCTAGTAACGGCGAGATTACCTATCCCTCTTGGCCCGAAGAGGTCAACCCATACGAAGTCGCAGTCTCCGCTGTGCCGCAGCTGAAGGAAGGCACAATCTATGTGGATGGAATGCTACGCAGTTTCGTCCTGGACGGGTTGCAGAAGGCCGCTGCCCGATCGAATGTCCTCACAGCGCCTGTGGAGATCCGAAGACTACGGGAGAGGAAGAGCGCAGAGGAGCTCGAGATTTTGAAGTGCGTGAACGAGGTGAGTCCCCTTCACAATTATCGGCTCTACCCGTCAGAGCTCAATGTTACCCAAGGCCACCGTCTTGGCAATCCGTGCTGTGAGGGAGAATGTCAAGATAGGCGTACGGGAGTCGGAGGTCAGTCACCTTATGTCTGCGGCTCTAAGCGCCGCAGGACTCAGCAATGGTGGCTGCCTTACCTTGTTTGGCGGTGAGTACTTTCAGCCATATCGTACATCATCACTCATGAACAACGTGCGCACCCAGAGAATGCCGCCTTGCCGCATGGGAGCGGGACCGACCGCGTCCTTGGTGCGCACGACTTCGTACTCGTCGACTGCGATGCTGGGCTGCACGGCTACCGCAGCGACGTGACCAGGGTAAGTACATAAGGAACGCATTTGCACTACAACAGCTAATTGTTGAATAGACGTATGCTCTACCGCAGTCGACGATCCATGCTACTCATCTGAGAATATGGCAACTGGTGCATTCAGCACAAGCTAATGCACTCGCGGCAGCACAGAATGGTACTGTCACCGCTGAGGTAGACGCAGCTGCCCGCGACACGTTCGCAGCGCAGGGATACGCCCAGTATTTCACACACAGACTGGGACACGGTATGTCCACCTCATCATGGGCGCTGGGGACCTGACTTAATCGTGATGTATCCCTAGGTATTGGGTTGGAGACCCATGAGTCGCCCTACCTTCGCGGCGGCTCCGAGGACGTGATCCTCACCGGACACACCTTCTCGGACGAGCCTGGTGTCTATATTGAAGGCCAGGTTAGTCAATACGCTGCCCACGCTAGGATGCGCTTCGACTCACCTCTCATTGTCTCAGGTCGGGATCCGGTTGGAGGACTGCTTCTACGTGCACGAGAACGGCACTGCTGTCTTCCTCACTGCAGGCGTCGGTGGCGCGGCAAGGGGTCCTTGGGATCCTTGAGACCCTTGGTTGGAAGGTGCATTCAGCTGATTGACGGGCCGGTCATTGTATTGTATTTACGACATTGGATGCTGTGTGGGATGGTTCTCATTTACCATGTAACGTGCGTGGGAAGCTCGCAAGTATTGAGGAACATCGCGGCTGTGGCTGAAGCTCCGGTGACTGCAACTCATCTGCATACCAAATTGCTACCACCAATGGCCCCACGCAAGACTCGCTCTCAAGCTGCCGCAGTTAACAATGCAGACAACACGACCACCTCCCAGAAGACACGACCTCAGTTCCCGCCTATCTCGCCGAAACGCCGTCTGCAGCCTCGCGCGATCTTGGAGGACCAGATCATCTTGGTCGACGTATGTCTCATTCCGAGGAGCATACCGCGATGTTGAGAGCGTCATAAGGGCTTCATGGCACCCGAAGAATGCAAACACTACGTGCAGTTCATTGACAGCCAATCACTAGAGCTGACACCGCCGAAGAAGAGAGGCGAGGCGGTACGAGTGAACTGTGAGTACACGACGCGGTTGGTTTCTCATGTCATAGTGACAGTACTTGCTGAGGAGACTGTAGACCGACTATCTGTGACCTCCACAGAGATGGCCGAGCAGCTCTACTCTCTACTCTCCCCGCACCTCCCTCCATTCCCGTACCCGGCCTCGCTCAAGCGAGATGGCGCTGAAGCGCGTGTGGTGCACTCGTTCAACTCGAATATAAGGATGTACAAGTACACTCCAGGCCAGCACTTTGGGTGCCACTATGATGACTCGGTCCGCGATCCGCAGACCGGCGCGAAGTCGGAGTGGACGCTGCTTGTGTACTTGACTGGCATCGAGGACGGGGTGAAGGGTGGCGAGGTGTGTCTGTTTGCACTTTGAATGTCGGCCATGTCTCTTATCAGTCCCACATAGACCATCTTCTATACAGGTCAGAAAGGCAAGAGGGGTACGGAAGTCATCACTGCCCCCTTGACCAGGGGGACAGCCCTCTTACATCGGTGCGTCCTCAACCTGTTGTCGTTGTGACTTACACTCACCATATGATCTCTACTTAGACATGGACACGAATGCCTACTGCACGAAGGCTCGCCAGTCATCTCCGGCACCAAGTACTTATTACGTTCCGACCTGATGTTCATGGACTGAACTGTGCCCGGAAGCTGCATGCGCCATCTTGAAGATGAAGTACATGCATGTGGTCACCTTCGACCCTTGCTCCTCTTTTTCGTCGGCATGCCCGCCTCCACGACATCATCATCTCTGTCTCTGTCGTCCCGGCCACCACCATCCCTCCGTCGCTTATTCCCGTGGCCGCCCCTCATCCCCTGGTCCTTCATTTCATTGATCGCTACCCTGCCCGCCTCATCCACGCGCTCGCGCAGCAGGGCAATCTCCTCCGCGTCTATTGGCCAGAGTTCCATCTGCTTGCCTCCTAATGTCCCTTCGATACGTTGGATGAGCTCGACGTCGTACTGCGTGACCAGCGTGATCGATTTCCCAGAGCGGCCTGCTCGAGCTGTACGACCGACGCGATGGATATAGTCCTTGGAATGTGTAGGCACGTCGTAGTTTATGACTACGTCAACGTGAGGGATGTCCAAACCACTGAAGGAAATATGAGCGTTGGGTTAGGGGCTGTGGTACTATTACTGACCGGCTCGCAACATCAGTCGCGACCAGAACCTTGCGCCCGCCACTCTTGAACTTGGCCAGAGCCCCCAGACGCGAGCTTTGGCTGAGTTGACCGTGCAGCGGTACGGCCGGGAAGCCGAGCGTCCGTAGCATGATCGACACCCTTCAGAAAGTAAGTGTGAGCGGCGGCCACAAGTGACTGACAGCGGACATACCGTTGGGCATCATGTACAGTACGAGTAAAGATGATGATGGAATTTTGAGTGAGGGAGTTCGCTAGGTAAATGAGGTGTACGTCCTTCTGAGGTAATGGCATGAAGAGATAGTATTGCAGTAATGTCGATACAGTAGAGTACCTGCATGCGTTACGGGTAAGTTTACATATAAGAATGGACACCTCTAAGACGTACTTTTCAGATACTTCAACGCGAACAGGGTTAGACAGACTGGCACGTTGTAGTTTCTGGACCTTCGTTGTCATTGTCGCCGAGAATAGGTAGGTCGTGCGCTCTCTTGGGATAGCCTTCAGAATTGTATCGATGATAGGGCCAAAGTCCATGTCAAGTAGTCGGTCGGCCTCGTCCATTACCTGTTCTCAAGTAAGGGGACGTTCGGGAGAGTGACAAGAGAAGCTCACCAAGAACTTCAACCCTCGCAAACTGAAGCCCTTCGTGTTCTCTAGGTGATCGTTCAGACGTCCTGGAGTAGCGACCACTATATGGGGTCGCTTTGCGAGTGCGACTGCTTGAGACATCATGTCCATGCCTCCAACAATTGTTGCGCATCTGACCCCCATGGCGGCGCCCAGACCCTCGAACTGCTGCGATATTTGGTACGCAAGCTCTCGGGTCGGTGCGAGGACACATGCGAATAGACCCCTCGGTTCCTCCCATAGCTTCTGCAGAATAGGAAGAGCAAAAGCGGCAGTCTTTCCAGAGCCCGTGGAGGCCACGCCGATGATATCTCTGCCCTGCAATGCATGCGGTAGAGCTTCAGTTTGGATGTCCGTAGGGGTCTTGAAGTTGAGTTGTTCAAGGGCTTCAAGAAGAGGATCTATCAGACCCAAAGACTTGAAGGTAGGAGTGGGTACTGAGGACGTCGAGGCCTCCTCCGGGGCGGGCATGATGGCAAGGCCGGTCTGAGCGAAGTACTCGAGTAAGTTAGCACCAGGTGAAGGTTGGGTGAACGAAGTGCAACACTCGTCGAAAGTTTGATCAGTCGGAAGGTAGAGATGGCTGTAGGGGATAGATTTTATGATTATTGTCGAGTCATAAGTCACTTTGCCGGAGTGGTTAACGGGATCGCCTGCTATTTATAGTCGTTAGCGGTTGGGCTTTGCCCGCGAGTGTTCGAATCGCTCAGGTGACGCTCTTTTTACTGCTTCCTTGTCTATCCCCAGTAAGTACTCTCAACGCGGGCAAACCAGGTTTTTCGGACTCCGAAAATGTCAATAACATCGGTCCCCCATGGGAACCTTTTCGGAGAGCTTGACCGACGAAAATGCTTCCCCTTGATTCATGTTCGTAGCATGTTCGCTGGAAACATGCGTTTCCGGCCTCCGAACATGCTGTCTACTTACGAACATCCGTCCACGTTGCTCATCGATGTGTTAGTCTCCTGTGACATCATATATGGAGGCCGTAACACTTCCCGACGCTGACGATCGTTTACGCAGTGTACACCAACCGCGGCCATGGCTCAACGACAAAAACTCCAAAGAAATGAGTACATAAAAGTTAAAGTAGGAAACAAGGGCAGTAGGGTAGTAGGGCTTCACAAGTTTGGTGGTCCCCACAAGACGCATCTGCCACTGGCGTTACCGCTCGCAACCCGATCGACGACACTAGGATGCGAGCAAGTCACTGCTTGAACAGCAGAGATCCTGTGGAGTACTATCAAAAACTGCCAGCACGCTACAGCATGGTGCGCGCTGCTTACTTGGTCGGATCTGCCAATCGAGCCACCAGTTCGCCCTACATCGTGATGAGGCCATGTCAAGATTCAGTGCCAGGACGCATGCTCACCCTTCCCGAATATATGTCTAGTGAACGCTTCATGTTACCGATCTATAGGGTATGATGAGTGAGTACGTCCAGCGGGAGATGATTGCCAGACGTGTCTTACCGTAAAATGCGGGTAATAATCCGGATTGGGCGACCACTGTGCTTTGAACACTGTTACCCACCTCCCCTAAAGATCGAGCTGTAAACCTCTCTGGCAGCCCCGTAACGTCATAACACGTACCGTCTGGCAGTCATGCCTGAGCTGGCTGAATGGACGAGAGGAAGGGAATGTGGTGTTGCTTTTGAGGATGGAGCCGCTGAAATCCCACGCTTGAAGTAATTGTTAGCAACGCGGACGCGTCCGAATCGTTGGATCGTAAATATCAACGCACATCGAATGAGGTCGTCATAGCAGGTGCTGACAATGTATTTTCCTTTTGGATCCCAGTATGCTGAGCTCACAGATTTGCCATGCCGCCATTCTGCGCGAAGGCAGCCCTTGCCTTTGGGCGATCCAAGGTAGTCGGTGATGATGTCTTGGTCGAAGTCGTTCGGGTTTTCTCTCTCGCCGTCCGTATCCACTTCAATGTCTCGCAATTTGCGGGTATCCCAAAGTCTTCCAATGATCGATGATGAGATGACCGAGTACATTGAAGACTGCTTGACGAACCTACCTCATGGCATGGCTGTTAGACGCTGCTACTAAGTAGTGCGGCGCAGTAGGGTTTATGCTGACCGTCCCGACTTTCTTATCAGATACCTGATACCAACGCGCCTTTGACCTGTCCTCTCGCAGATCCAGATGCGTCAGACCGCCCGCTGCGTCGGATATCCACAGTTCGTTCCCGGCCGCAGGCAGGTCGATGCAGGTGATGAGGGTGTCATCCATTGAGAATACCTCGGTCGAGATGCCCGATGTGAAGGATAGCTTCCGGACAGTGCAGTCGTACGCACTCGTGAAAACCTTGATCGGCATAAGCGTCTCACATTCCACAAACACGTCAGAGTGCTCACACTATGTGCGTCAACTGGATCGAACTTGATACTAGTGATTGACGACCGTGAACTTGCAGGCCAATGCAGTTGCATCCGCCAGCTCGTCCCAGCCGTTTCATCGGCCGCGGCAGACACATCATCGTCCGCATCTGTAACATCCTCGGTCGGAGCTCGTGCGTCCCATATGCTGAGGGCGCCGTGGTTGTCTAGCAAGCGCGTTAGACTTTGCCACGCCCTCGGTAACGTCGAGCTCACCTCCGAAGAAAATCAGGTCCTTTGTTGGGTCTGGGTGGTATGCCGCACTATAGACTCGCTCTTGGGTCACCTTCGCACGGGAGACCACCTTCAAATTCCCTAGTTTTTCTCGCAATTCTGCCACAGCAGCCTTCTCCTTCGCATTCTCTTCGATCACTAGGTCATCTGGATCTCCTACACGTTTGGGATATACCGTCTGAACGGCCGTTGTAAATGTTGATCTAAGGGAAGACAGTTCGTTGGGCTCTAGTTCCTGTGCGACGTCCTGGAGATCCAAATCATAGTGGCGGGGCTTCTTCACCTGTCTGGCTTTCTCTTCCGCCTCCAGTCGTTCTTCTTCTTCCATGGCTCGCCTCTCTTCCTCTTCTTTCTACGAGCGGCATAAGCAACGCCCTGGCCCTTCATCAAGAATCACTACGATTCGCACCTCTCGCTTACGCTTCTTTGCTACGCTTTCGTTTGGATCTACGACTGGTTTCCTGAGACGCACAGACTGTCGGACGGGAGGAGGGGCCTGCTTCTCTCGTTTGGTCTTATTAGCGGCCTGGACAGGTTTGGCGGTCGGCTGTGCAGTTTTCTCCCGCTTCTTCGGTGGGGGTAAATCGGCAGTGACATCCAAAGTGGCCAGGAGTGCACGGTTCTTCGCAATGTTCGCCTCGCGCTCCAACTCGCTAACGGCCGGCGATGGGATTTGTGATGAGATACATTAGGGATGAGGTACAGCTCTCAATCACTCACTAGTCTGAGTAGTCAGACATTCTGGTAAAAGGGTGTACTCGGTTATGGCTCTTGTAGGTAGGAACAGTTCAGGATCAAGTTGTGGCGCGAGCAGGGCGGCATGTGATGCGCGGGAAGCGGAAACCGCGTCGGTCACACTGCGCGTGGCGACGCGTGAGTGTGACAGGTGGCGTCTGATGAGTGTTAGCCACCCTCACCGCCCGACTCACGAGTGAAGAACGTCGACGGCTGACAAGGATGAGTCTCTGGTGTTGCAAATAAGATACTCGCTAGAGATAGCGCTCATTGAAGCTCTCTGAAAAATGACACGAAGTATACATACAAGCAAAAAACGGATACTACAGTAATGTCATGCAGGAATAGCCTCCCTTCCCATGTCTACTACGTACGTTGTCCGACCGCCTCTCGGGAGCACCATCACCTTCTCCGCACCATGCAGCTGATATGTTTCGCAGCTCGGTATGACTGATGTCCGCATTCTTTGCTTACCGGGAAGCGGAAGAGCGTTCACCATCACCTTTGGTAGCGATAATTCCCCATGATGGAGAGCGATCAGCGTGACTGGCGACGAAAATGTCGAGCCGTCCTATGATTGCTTTTGAGCTGAATACAATTTTCAATCTCATACAGACTCACCTCTGCGGAGAAGTCTCCACGTTTTGGTCCGCTGACGAGCCAGTCGCCAGTCATGTCCTGGATGTCATATCGCAGTAGATATTGTGCCATCTCCGCGTCTTCAGACGGGGCCCAGTGGAAAGATGTCGTCACAGTCACCACGGCCGATATCGGTTGGCCTGCGAAGAGCGGTAGGGCTTGACCCGAAGGCTGTTGAGAGAATGGATTGGCAAATATCCGTAGCTGAGCAGCTGCTAGGATCTACGAAGGGAGAACAAAGCCAAGTCAGGCAGGGAAAAGTACAGCATGGTAAACAGGACTCACGTGCATCTGCGGTATATCCACTGGAATGATAATGTCTCGCCATTCGTCAAAGGAGGAGTTAAGAGGTCTGGGCTTCCCTAGGATCTGGGAACACGTTGGCTGGGCTTGACCTTCATCCATATAGTAACACTGACCTCCTTGAGTCGTGCGAACGCCGATGCAAGTTCGCTGTTCTCACTCAGGTTACCTGGGACAACGAGCTCCCCGGTGACCCCATACAGCTCGATCCAATCCACGCTCTTGGAGAGAGCCTCAACCAGTCTGTCGATGAGGAGCTCACGATGTGGTAGTAGCGAAGGATCATCTGCAACTATTTCTGCTACTGCAGCATTGATAAACGACTCCACCTCTTTCAGAGCGTCCGGTACATTAGTCTACTGTGCTTGAAAGTCGCGCGATACTCACCTTCTCGGAGCATTCGATATGTGATGTGCAACTTCATGGGGTCCCGTGCTTAAGGTGAGGTATGCCCGTGAATCTCAAGCTCACAGTCTATATTGCGAGCTCACCTTTCCCGCGTACAGTATCAAGCTGGAACAGAAACTGGCCCGATTGAGCGGGCGTCACGGTCTGACGGACGATCAGTAACAGAGCGATAACGAGAGCACGTAGTCAACTGACCACTATATCGGGTTTCTGCGATTGACAGCTTACAACGCTGACACTGTCCGCGTCTTGTCTGGACGGCTTCAACTCCGCTGAGCGTATGCGGACGTGTTGATGTGACGTAGTGGACAGCGTAAAAAGACTGAATAATCTGGGACTCAGGTGTAAGCCAACAGCTCAGTAAGTAGATGAGCCGTGTACCTTGTGCCTCGGAAGAAGTCTTCGACATTGGTGGTGATAGGCAAAGACGTGGCCACGAATCGCGCGATATTAAGTTTACGGCTCAGGTTAGGCTCGGTGACGGTTGTGTACTCGATACTGACGTTGACTCTCTGTAGATCATGAGTGGCCATCTATACATCCTCCGCGAGGGACCGACTGACCAACGTGTGATACGAGGATGCATCGCTATGCGGAACAGCGACCGTCACAATCTGCCGCTTTCCAACGTCCCGCAGGATGATCGCGTCGTCCGCAGCCTCCAGGGTAGCATTATCCCCTACAACATGCTCAGCACACGAAGAGCTGTCCGGCGAGGCACTGACCTCCTTCGTCTATAGCCGCCTCCTGGCAGTGAAACTGCACGCCGGACGGGGAGACGAGCCTCAAGGTAGCCACCGATATGTCATTCCTGCCTGTCTGCAGGGACACCGTCATGTACGCAGGCGTGCCCAGCTCGACTGGATGGACATCAGAACGTAACGTGACCCGCAAGGCACAACATGGACCTACTCCGCTTCGGTGGCCGCAAGCGCACGTCTACAGCATGATGATCCTTCGGGATCCGGACCAGAGCCGGTAGGTCCTTCGGCCTCGTGGTCTTCGACAGAGCCGCTAACTTGGCCTCCTTCCGCTCGAAGACGACCCGTGACATCTTCACCTGGCTGGACTGCAACGCGAACATGCCTGGGGTGGACGACTAGTGGGCGTCAGTGGGTGTATTACACACGTAACGGAACAGCTCACGGGGCAGAACAACGTGAGTCTGGTTGATCCGGGTTGGATCGACGACACCCGCGCGGAAAACGTGAGTTGGGCACCTTCATGCCCCGCCAAGACCGCGACGATTTCATCGACAGGCAAGTTCTACGTTACCGGCTTAGTATGATGGTGAAGTTGACGCAGTAATGCGACCTACACATGGTAGTTGATTGCGCACAGTCACTTCCAGGAGGGCACCGTCCTGATCTTGTGCCAGTCGAGCTTCGCTTTCCGCCATGGTGACGGACAAGGCGGGATGATCGGGGTACAGCATATCTGAGGATAGCGCAAGTTGTGCGGGAATACATAGTCAGTGCGAGTTCAATGCGGCACGCCCAAAACCAACCTGCTTGCAGCTCAGCCGCGGCGTGTCGCAGACTCTCAATCAATCCAGTGACATATGCCTTGTGATCGTCGACGTCCATGAGTAACTCCGCACCCATGTCCTCCACGTACGCCTTGAGGAAGTCGACGACGATATGGGCCCAATCGGCATCCTTGGCCTGCTCTGTCGACGTGTGGATGCTCAGGGCCTGCATCCGCATGAAAGACTCGAGTGAGGTCCAGCCATGGGGCGCATAGTGGGCAGGCAAATTCTTATACGTGTCGAATGCGCTCGAGAGACGATCCCGTACCCTGTGCTTGCTTCAGTACAGGCGACGACGGTTGGCAGGCGGGCTTACACATCCAGAGCGGCAAGATTGCCGTGTAGCTTAATCGCGAACTTCCGTCGACCTGCACTGGCGTAGTACTCTATAGCACGGTTGGTGATTGTTACGTATAGGTCAAATAGCGCATCCCGGTCGGATATGGCCGCTAGAAGCTCCTGCCTAGAGATTGTCTGCGACTTTCGTTGGGATTGAGTGGTCCGTGAAGCGGGTGCTGAGAGGGCTATTGAGAAGGGAGGGCGGGACGGCAGGTGACCAGTCCGAATGCCGATGATATCGAGCTAATTCCAGGTAAGCAATGATTTTGCTTCGCAAAGGAGCAATTTGGCTGACCTGTTGCTGTGCAAGCTCCATGAGCTCTCCCTTGAGAGCGGAATATCGGGCTTGTGATGCTTTGCTGAGATTCACCGCGGACACCCATGTGTCGCATGTATCTGCTACGCTCAATGCCGAGGAATATATCCAAGACTCGATGAAGAACTCCGGTAGCGTGTCCTGTGAGGTATGCTGAGTTAATGTACACTAGATGTTGGGAGCACGGCCTACCTCCAGCTCGCGTAGCCGTCTCCCGAAGTTCGTCAGAAACTTCTCGGATCTTCTACATATCTCCGCCACCCTCCCAAGTTTGCTCAGCAAGATGCACTGCCTGGCCAGCAGATATATGCGGAAGTCGAAGATGGAGATGGTATTGCCTAGTATGAGGTCCCGATACGGTTTCCTTGTCGTGGAGAGGAGCGGAGCGGAGTCGTCTTCGGGGTCGGGGTCTATCAGGGAGCCGAACCAGGATAGGTTCCTGTCCCGGACAACTTTGAAGAAGGCTGCCTCGAGCTCGTTATATTGTTCTAGAGCATCCTCAAACAGGTTGATGCCTTCCAAGGATATCGCAAGGCTTTCCTGATTATCACTCAGCGTCTCACAGCTTGTGTTGCTAGGAGAGCCGCGTACCTTTAGAATGAAGAACGTACAGAAGTTCCACCCGGGCATCTGTATCTGTCCTTCCGAACGCTTCATTTCCGCCTCCCGCTGCGTGAAAGCTGAGTCAAATGCGGCAAGGATGCCCTCCTTAAGCTTGGTGATGAACTCCGCCCAAGCCGCAGGATTCTCGAAGTCGGATGCCCAAACGAGCTGTACGCATCTTGCCCGAAGCTCAACACGCTAGAACAGACAACCTCCACGCAGCTAGTTGACTCACCTGTCCTTTTTGTCAAGGTTGAAGTCCGCCTTGATCTTGTCGAGTACGGACGTCTTCATCTGGAACATGCGCTGTTGTGCAGCCCTGCCTTCTGGTCGGACAATGTGCACTATGAGCCATTCCTGGTACTTCCGTTGACTTATAATCGTGTGCCAGTCTCGGATTTGCTTCTTTATGGTGTTCTTGTATGTCTCATTGTCCTACACGCGACTGTGTCAGTCAAAGCCAAACAGAACGACGGCACATATTACCTCGCATACGACGAAGTAGAGGTTTAGCAGAGGCTTCTCGAGTAGGGTCTGCGGGACCTGAGACGTATGCTCTTGCTTGACCGATTCCAGCGGTGCAATCCTAACATTGAGGTCTTGTATTGTTTGGGTGCTTTGTGAGCTCCGACCAGGCCCTCTCCAGACCAGTGTACGCAGCGGGAACTGGCATAGCAGAGCTGCCCAGACTTGTTTCCAGTGGTCCGTTGCTAGGAACTCGCGCGAAGAGGAATACGTCACCAAGACACCTTGGTTACTCATGTTATGGACGTGATGTTACTGACTGTATTTGAGGTTGGTCGGTGTCACCCAGGTGCTGGTGTCCTGTAATCACGCCTCGCCGATCCTAGTCGCATTCGTCCGTGTCGAGTTTGAGCACCTTTGAACGATTCAGGCGGATGCAGGCGCAGTCATTCGGGTGCCGCAGATGATGTACAGGCAGTAGAGCGTAGGAGGTCGTCAGACTCAGTTGCAGCGATGTTCTGGTACGCACCGGAGTGTATGCGCCGGACGAGTAGTCGGGCGCCTGTAGCATCATGGGCCGATCGTGTTCGCGTCTGTGTCATGCCACAGCCTCATGTCGGCGTGCCGCGTCCCTCGAGCCAGCTGACGACCACCTCAGTGGCACCTCTCCTCCCACTCAGTAGCCAAAAATGATAGTACGCACCGATTCGTTCTGTCTAGAATTAGACACTCAATGGACATACTTATACGCATAGTCAGCTCCCAGGGCGAGAGCCATGTTCTTGCATACGAAGGCTGCCGCCATGATGGCGTATGGGTGGTTTAGCCTGAAGGGACTAGCAGTGGACCAATTCATCAGCTCCCAGAAGGGTGGGCACAGCCAGTTTCTCACTATCATTGGGTACGTCCGTCTGTATACTCGTGATTCGTGATTCGTACATACGTGCTGACCGACGGCTTCCCATGCAGACTCTGGATGGCAATCACGACCATGACGTTGGGGCTAGCATCCGACGTATGGCCCTCAATCACGAGTACGTCGTGCGCTCGTTGCCCAGAGCACTGTCTAACGTAGAAAACAAGTGTTCGGGAAAATCAAGAGACTTGTCCTTATGGTCGCTCTACCGGTGAGACGCAAGTCCTCTGACTGTGAGACCACGTCTCACATAAGTGCCTTAGATCTCTACCATCGTTACATCGGTATACTGGACCCTCCTTATATTCTGGACCGAAATGATCCTCGCTGCAAGGCCCCTCCCAATCGACTCGCCCAACCCTGATGAACTCGTGCCATCATTCTCGGAGCCCACAATTATGCGCATCCCACTGCGGATCGACCTGGCGCTTCACGCAGTCCCAGCAATCTCGCTGCTTCTGGATTTCTTCTGTTTTGAGCGCAGGTACTCGCGCGGCCAGGCCATATATGGTGGCATCATCATGACGGCTTTGGCTTGCTTGTCGTATGCGCCGTGGATCGAGCACTGTGCCAAAGTCAATGGGTCTTGTGAGTGTTCTGCTATACATCGCAAATCTCATCCGCTGAGCCACGTCACCAGTCCCCTACCCGTTCTTGACGGAGAGTCCGTTCGATGTCCGGGTCATGATCTATGCTGGTCTGAGCACGTTTGCTCTGGTGTTCTTCTGGATTATGAATGCATTGCATTCATGAGGATGTCCAAGTTGTTGATAGATCTTTCTGTGTCCATGATCCGTGTGGTAGACTAAGACAACATCGACATTTGCTAACAATTGCTCTATAAGACTGTCCGTGCATTTATATGAATCCTTTACATGTGGGACCAGTCAGGCACGAGCTGGCACGAGCCCCGATCGGTGATCGAGGGTTTAAGATCTAAATCTGAGTTCTCTATGACTTGGGTCGGCAGTTTGACTCCGTCTGCACTCACCGCCATTCGACCTTGCTGCGTCTGCTTTTCTGGTACTCTGTTTTCTCGAAGCCGCGTTAGGATACTCCCAAGGCTCAACGGAAATCAAAATGGCGACCTTGACAGACAAGAAGAAACTATGGGGTGGCCGGTTCACGGGAGAGACGGATCCTCTGTACGGTCGCATAGTCTTGCCAGGAGAGATGCCATGTTCTCATATTGATTCCGCGTCTTTTCAGTATGCACGAGTTCAACCAGTCTTTGAAGTATGATAAGAGGATGTACGCCGCCGATGTCGCGGGGTCGATCTCCTACGCACGCGCTCTGGCGAAGGGCGGAATCCTAACTGAAGATGAGAAGGACAAGATTGTGGATGGTCTGACTCAAGTGCGCGCGGAATGGGAGCATGGAGCAGTGCGTCTTCATGGAACCACTCAGTAGCGATCCAATAATGGCTGCTCTCTAGTTCAAGATCCAACCCGGAGACGAGGACATCCACACCGCGAATGAGCGCAGGCTCACAGAGCTCATCGGCCCCGTCGGAGGGAAGCTGCACACTGGTCGCTCCCGCAATGACCAGGTCGCTACGGACATGCGCCTTTGGCTGATGAACGAGGTGGAAGAGATGGTCAAGTCGGTGAAGGCGCTCCTGCGTGTCATGGTCGAACGCGCGGCAAAGGAAACCCAGTACCTGATGCCAGGTTACACCCACCTGCAGGTGCGTTTCACATCCGTCTATGACATGCATGCTTGCTGAAGTCGCCTTAGCGCGCTCAACCCGTCCGGTGGTCCCACTGGCTCCTATCGCACGCGTTCCCCCTCCAAGCGGACCTGCAGCGGCTGCGGCAAATGATCCCTCGAATTGCCGTCCTGCCCCTCGGGAGCGGTGCCCTCGCCGGCAACGGCTTCGCACTCGACCGCGATTTCCTCGCGCAAGACCTCGGCTTCCAGTCCGTCGCGGAGAACAGCATGTACGCGATCAGCGACCGCGACTTCGTCGTCGAGTTCATGATGTGGGCGAGCCTGACCATGACACACCTGAGCCGGCTCTCCGAAGACTTGATCATATACTCGACGGCGGAGTTTGGCTTCGTCAAGCTGAGTGATGCCTACAGGTACGATATTTCGGTCTTCTCACAGGAAAGCGTCGTTTAAACAGGGTTTGTAGCACCGGGTCGAGTATGATGCCTCAAAAGAAGAATCCAGACTCCCTGGAGCTCATCCGAGGCAAAACGGGCCGTATCTTCGGCAACGTAAGTGTGCGATGCTGTAAGTAGGGCGTAGTGCTTATTCCCCTTGCAGATGTCTGGCTTCATGATGTCCCTGAAGGGTCTGCCATCCACGTACAACAAGGACCTGCAGGAGGACAAGGAGCCTCTGTTCGACACAGTCGACACAGTATCAGCCGCACTCAAAATTGCAGAGGGTGTCGTCGCAACTCTTGAGGTGCGACATCATGCTATATGAGTGCTATGTCAGAGCTAAAACAGCGTTTAGGTAAACGCCTCCGCAATGTCCGGAGCTCTGCAAGAGAGTTCCGACATGCTCGCTACTGATCTGGCGGACTACTTGGTCCGCAAGGGGGTGAGTGTACACTGCGGACTTCATCTGACCTGTCATTGACAGTCGAGTAGATCCCCTTCCGCGAGACGCACCACATCTCGGGACGTGCCGTCGCGCTCGCAGAATCTCGCAAGTGCTCTCTATCCGATCTTACGCTGCAGGACTTCAAGTCGCTCAGCGAGAAGTTCGACGAGGACGTGAAGAATGTGTTTGACTTCGAAAACAGTGTGCAGGCGCGCTGCTCTATCGGCGGGCCGCACAAGGCGATGGTGGAGAGGCAGATTGACGTGCTGCGCGCTGCGTTGGCCGACTGAAGCCTTCGTGGCAAAGGCGCAGCGAGTTGGAACGGTAGCTGTGACGGCACAGCTAGCCTGTCCGCACAAAAATTGTATCTGTACACCCGCAATGCAGAATATTGTGAAGATAGCTCGAACATAGAATGGCTGAACGAGTGGGCTATGTCCAACCCGCCTCGGCCTCGAAAAGGATGCGACCGCGGCGTCGGGCGCCTAAGTGGCGTCTATGGCAACTGGCAGGACTGGACGGCATCACAAACCGGAGTTGCCACAGCCACTCGCACTGCCCGCTGGTGTTCAAGAACGCCGCGTCCCTCCCGCTCTTTCCCCAGCCCTCATAGGACTCACAGCCAACCCTTCGCTTGTCCCTGGTGGAAGCGGCATTGATTGTTTGCTCCTGCCTTTGCTTTGATTAACGCCTTCGCCACCTCCCATCACCTCTTCTAACCGCCCATACACAACCTCTTCCTCTTTCTACTACCCCCTAATAGCTCGGTGCCATGGCCAGAGACAGACTCGCAGCGCTGAGGGTGAGTGCATCGTCGAGATAGGTACCGCCGCCGACACGTACTGAGATGACGTCCCCAACGCCAGGCTCAGCAACAGACCCACACGTTCGTCGACACCGCTCGTCTGTCTATCGTGTGCTCACGAACTCCTTTGCAGCGACTCCTACCCCATGCAGACTCAGCCAAGGCTACCGTATGGCGGAGCTGCAAGCACGGACAGCTTCGACTCGGCGGCGAAGGACAGCACGACTGCTCTGGGCGCAACAGACAGCATGTCTGCGTTCTATGCTGAGGTGCGTACAGTTTGCAGACCGCGACTCGTGTACATTGCTCCAGGCTGCTCTTCGATCCTACTCGGTCCTCTGCCTCGTACGTTTCAGGCTGCATCGCTCGTCAGGGTCAGCGACGGCGATGGCGAAGCCGTGTGGAGCATCTGGCGCTACGCGATGAGACGCGTAGCAAGGTCGGCTCCGACTGGCTGAAAGTTTCGTCCTGAGACGTACTAGCTCGCAGCCCGATGTTGTCGACGTCAACTCTTGCAGCCGTCTCTCAAACAGACCATATGTGCTTCCTAATCGTGTTATAGCTGCGCTCGTGGTCCCGCCTTGTTGATGGTGGCACAGGGACCGCCTGCTATGTAGCGCTCGTACTGGCAGCGTGCATTGGCACTCGTCACTTTCGCCTTGAGGCTCGGTCCTGCCCTTCTGGTCTATTCTGGGACGCATAACCTTGCTTGTAGCACGACGCGCATTGGGGACGAACGACTTCGCAATCCTTGCGGTGTCAATGGTTCGTACGAGCGGAGTTGCCAACGGGTGACCACTTAATGGTCGCGTACTTTCCGGACTTCACTGTAGTAGCCGTAGATCGAGGGTGCAGCCAGAGTCACGGACCCCGTCTTTGTCTTCAACGAGCATGGGTGCTCACATTGTCATGCTATAGATCTCCTCCATCCAAGATGACCTGCGGACGTTCAATGATAACGTCAAGCGCATCAGCGACCTCCACTCGCGCTCGCTTGACAACACAGACGACGCTGCTGCGCAGCGCGTCGCTCAGCAGCTCGATGAGCTCGTCCAGGATACCAGCGCACTCAGCGCGACGCTTAAGCGGCGGATCAAAGCGCTTGAGCGATCACCTGGTGCAGGACGGGACGGTCAGATCCGCAGGCAACAGACAGGCTTGGTGAAGCAGAAGTTCGTGGAGGCGATCCAGAGCTACCAGAGCGTAGAGCAGCAGTTCCGGTCGAGGTACAAGCAGCGACTGGAACGCCAATTCAAGATCGTCAAGCCTGATGCATCACCAGAGGAGGTCCGGGCTGTTGTCAACGATGACCAGGGCGGCCAGATCTTCAGTCAAGCTGTAGGTTTACCTATGAGCTCTGCATTGAACCTTTCCTGACGTCTTGGCAGCTCATGAGCTCGAACCGGTATGGCCAAGCACAATCCGCGTACCGTGAAGTACAGGAACGGCACGAGGACATCCGGCGTATCGAGAGAACTCTGACTGAGCTCGCTCAATTGTTCAACGACGTAAGTAATGTCTGTACAACGACCGATGTGAATAGGGGACTTACGTGTTTCACTAGATGAGCGTCCTCGTTGAGCAACAAGAAGAGCAGATCAACGTCATTGAGACAACAGCAGCAGCCGTTGAGAAGGACACGGAGCTAGGGTGAGTTCACCTATGGGCATGCGCGAAAGGGTGCCTTTTGCTCATGTATCATATCTGAATAGATTGAACTACACGGAGAAAGCTGTCGTGTCTGCGCGTGCAGCACGCAAGAAGCGATGGATCTGCTTTGGGCTCCTCCTTATCATCCTCATCATCATCGCCATCATCGTCGTTATTGAGGTCCTCAAGAACCAAAAGAAGTAGGGCAGCGATGGCGTGTACCAGATGTTGGTTGGTCCGCACGCAAGTGTATATGTTTCTCTTTTGCGCTCTCGCAGACCCAGACAGGACAAGGACGGTTTCTCCGATGTAGTCCAGTTTGTGTTTATTCTTTAGCTACTATACATGGAAGTTACCCTACACCAGATCTCGTTCCTCAGCGGTGGGTCCATGTGCACTAGCGCGAAGATGCCCAACTCGTTGCCTCCTGGCCAACTCAACTTTCCTATACCTTCTTTTTATTGGTCTGGTGCTTGCCCGCCTTGTAGATTACATTTTGAAATCCTCGGCGCGCGAGTACTGGTGATATTCTGGAAACACAAGCAATACCCGACATGCTCGCGACTACCTCGTGTTGTTGGCCTGCACACGATGTGGCGAACGAGAGCCTGATGAGAACAGCGTGTTTGACACAAGGTTGCGGCGCGGCGTAGGCATGCAACAGTTGCGGTTCAAACAAACCGATACGAGATTGAGCGATACCGACTCTTTGACACAGGGACAAGTCCACCTTAGGCAAGCAGCTCCACAGGTTGGCAGTCCGACCAGGTCCCGGCAGATCCAGAACGCAAGGGGTACGCAATCGCATGCCAGCGGCCGAAAGATGTGCGAGATGCAGAGACCGAAGGAGTGTTTTGAACATCGAACCGGAGGCTTGTGACTTCGACGCAGGCCTGAGGACAGCCAGTAGGGCCAATTGTTGGAGCTGTAATTACCCGCTTCTCACGGAAGCGAATGCATGAGAGCGACAAGAGCATAGACCGTTGCTTCTCGAGAGACAAGAGCAAAGACAACCGCCCGCGAACAGACAAAATTGCAGTTCACCTGAGCGACGCGCCGATCCGCGCACAACAGAACTCGACCCGCTGGTCCCGCCTGGGTACCTGGTGACCGATTGTTTCCGTTCTGTTTCCTTGTGCGGACTGAATGGTGTCCGAGCGCGCCTTCCGCCGAACGCTGTGTTATGCATTGACACGAGCCGCTTCCGCTGGATAAGGCGGAAAGACGCGCCGGGCGGATAAGCACAGGCGAGGGACCGTCGCCGGATAGGGGGCGTCGAGAGGGCCTGGGACGCTGTGGACGACGGCGGGAGCGGGTGGCAGCTGCGAGTGTGCGGTCGGGTGAGGGTCGGAGGGGCAGGAGGCCAGGCGAGGAAGCCAGGAGAGGCGGAGAGAGGCAGTGGCGAGGCGCGGGTCGGAGGAGGAGAGGAAGCGGCATGTTGGGAAGCCGGGGCAGATCGGGCGGGGGATCTTTGTCATATCGTCGCAGCGCCTCCACGTGCTTATCTCAGATCCCTGTGCACGACGAGCTGACGCGTCCCCTGCCTACCACCTTATAAAGACCTCCTCGCCCGCCTCCTGCCTCCCCCATCTACCGCCCCCCATCTCTCCCGCTCACCGACGCCCGAGCACCGTAAGTGTTTCCCGCTCGCCCCCCCACCAGCTCCGAGCATTGCGGCTGACAGCTTCTCTTCCGTCCAGTGATCCGTCGCTCTACACCCTCCGCCGCTTTACGTACGACTACAGCGACCATGCCCGCCAAGAAGCGCTGCCAACTTCAGTCTGAGCCCCGCTGCAACTCTGCCGTCCTCCGCCTCGTCGGCCAGTGCCCACATTGTCGAGCAGAGTTCTGTGGTGCGGTGCGTAACAATGCTTTGCTCGCTTCGACCGCAAACTAATGATAATACCTCTCCCCCTTTGACTTGCAGCATCGTATGCCAGAGCACCACAGTTGCCAGAACCTGGAGAGCTGTCGACAGCAGGCCTTCGAGAAGAACAAGGCGAAGCTGGAGAGTGAACGGACGGTAGCGTCCAAGATGGCGATGGCATGACCTGCCTGCCCGCCTACATCCTCCCTCCATCCACTGCCTCTTCTCTACCGGCCCCTGCTCCTCCTTGCTCTCTCCTTCACACACCACCGTCACCTCCCGCAGGCCAGGTCATATCCATCGCCATTTGCATTTCTCTCCCATACATGGATCGCGCTTACCATCTCACGGACGCATCGCATATATTAATGTACACATCTACTTCATGTCCATGGGTATTCCTGGTGACACATGTTCTTTACACGTCGGTGGTCTATTTAATGGGATGTCTCCTCGCTGCATAGAGCGGTTCTATCTGGATACATTCGTGTGCTCATTGTGTGATTTAGAGCTAGTGCGAGCGCTGAGGCCGTTCGGTTCGGTGTTGTCGGTAGCGGCGATGGTAGTTCCCGTGTCGCGGGGTTTTATGCGACAACAATGGGGCATTGTGTACCAGTACTTGTCTACCTTTGTGTACATCGCCCCCTCTACCATCATGTTCTACACGGCGTGTACCATCCACACGAGAAGCATGATTACACTCAGCAGGCGCCCCCAATGTGCGCTATCCACGGGCGCATCCCGTTGCTCGGCGTGCTATCATCCAATGGGGAAAGCATGCCAGGAGGGTCTTCATATACGACGAGGGACGCAGGAGCGGAGGTTGGCGGCGCGGTCATTGAGCGGATGACTGGGTGGTCGCCGCGCGGTGCATCCTCCAGGTCCGTCTAGCCCCGTCGCCGCCTGCGTCGGCTGCCCCATGACAATTACTGTAATGCGGAAGACAGACCGGGGCGCAGATGAGCTTCAGACACGTCCCCTATCGCGTAATCGCGGACTCCGGCGAGTCAGATCATGGACTGATAGTTACGACCTACCGCGGACGCCCACCATATAAGCTCTTCTCACCCGTTCCTGGCGCGAGCACGACGTCCGCGATCCACAAGTGAGCTCTCCCAGCTTGGCCGTGTTTGCTTGCCTCGTGTTTTCTGAGCAGGCGCATCAGCTATCCCGCAATCACGTGTGTCGCGTCCCCGCCTCTTCTCCTCAAATACCCCGCATCTCGTTGGAGGCGCATCTAGAAGCGTGAGTCCGTGCTGCCGCATTGGCCGTCGATCTCTGGGTTTGCTGTGTCCTGGGCTGCCTCTAATCATAATGGCGAATAGATTGAAACAGGTTACTGACCACTTGAGCGGGAATAGAAAGATGTCGACCGTGCAAGTCGGTGAGTCACCTCCGCTCTTCTATATGCCCTCCACGCCGGCGTGTCCTCACACGGTATTCATATCATTCCAGAGAAATGGGACAGCGTTCCTCTGGCTCCCGCTGACCCGTATGCTGTCGCAGTTCCCCCGAGACTGCACCGGCATACTAACGCGCGCTGAATCGACAGCATCTACAAGCTGACCTATGCCTACAAGGATGATACGTACCCTCAGAAGGTCAACCTCGGCGTCGGAGCATACAGGGATGATAACAGCAAGCCGTGGGTGCTGCCCGTCGTGAAGAAGGTGCGTTTGCTGCTCCGCTTCCGGGAGCGACCTTGCTTATCCTGGGCGCCCTATCATAGGCGACGGACATCCTCCTGAATGACCCTGCGCTCGACCACGAGTACTTGCCCATCACCGGGCTTCCCGACTTTACGAACGCCGCTGCGCGCCTCATCCTGGGACCCGACTCCCCCGCGCTCCTCGAGGGACGCGTGTCGAGCGTGCAGACGATCTCAGGCACAGGTGCGAACCACCTGGGAGGGCTGTTCCTGAGTCGATTCTATCGCTGGGATGAGGGCACGCCCCGCGTGGCATATCTGAGCGATCCGACCTGGGGTACGCAGCGTGTTCCTCCGTGTTTTGTCGCTCCGGATCGTCTGACTTTGGTCTGGCTGCATTCAACGCTGTCTCCATCGACGCAATGTAGTCAACCACTTCCAAATCTTCCGTGGCGTTGGCATTCCGCCGGAAACGTATCCGTACTACGACCCCGCCACCATCGGTCTCGCGTTCGACAAATATCTTGCCTTCCTCAAGTCGGCGCCCCCACGCTCCGTGTTCGTTATCCACGCGTGCGCGCACAATCCCACCGGCGTGGACCCGACGCGCGAGCAATGGCTGCAGATTGCGGAGGTCGTGCTGGAGCGCGGCCACTACGTCTTCTTCGACTCGGCGTACCAGGGCTTTGCCAGCGGCGACCTTGATGCAGATGCCTGGGCTGTGCGGGAGTTCGTGAAACGCGGTGTGCCTCTGTTGATCTGTCAGGTACGTCACACAAGCAGTGCGAGATTATCACCGACCAGCGACTTCATCATTGTGGGTCTCGCTGACGTGATGGATTGCTGTCGTAGAGCTTTGCGAAGAACGCCGGTCTGTATGGCGAGCGTGTCGGCGCACTGCACATCGTGTCTCCGTCGTCGGAGGCTGCCGTCCGGGTCAAGAGCCAGCTCGCAATTTTGACCCGTAGCGAGATCAGCAGCCCGCCCGCGTATGGCGCCCGAGTGGTACGTCCTATTAACTCTCCCGTATGAAATAGGAGACCGAGTCTGACCGACGCAAACTTCGCTCCGCCCAAAAATTTCGCGCCGCCTTTGCTGACATGCGGGTCGCAAATTGAACGCTGTTTTGTGGCTCCGCTGTGCTGGATCCACAGATGGCGCTCATTATGAACAACGCCGAGCTTTTTGAGGAATGGAAACGCGATATCAAGACCATGGCCGAGCGTATTATTACAATGAGGAAGGAGCTCCGTCGCCTGCTGACCGAGGAGCTCAAGACACCCGGCAACTGGGACCACATTGTGAAGCAGATTGGGATGTTCAGGTGAGTGTGGAGACGCTCTGTGCCGTCATGTCCAGCGCGCTGTCCATGAAGGAGTGGCTCGGTCGCTGCTTCGTCTGCATCCTGCCCCACTCCTGCATGCGCCAGCAGCGAGCCGCGCAGTGCGGTGCACGAGGCTCGCCCGGCGCCCGAAGGCTGGATGGGGCGGATGCATTCCAGCTGAGTACGGCCGCCCCGTCGGGATGGGCACATGGGGATATGCCGAGACTTCCATGCGCGAACCCTGTCTGCCCAGGATGGGTGATTAGCGCGGGAGTCTCGCGCTTTCTCGACCGCCGTGTGCGCCGCGCTGCGAGCGTCGAGCTGGGATGGGGCGCGGATGTCGGTGGCCGGTGTGTTTCTGTGCGCCTTTGTATCCGCTGCCGTGTTCCCCTGCTCGATCGGGCGAGACTGCCCTGCGCTGCGGACACTCTGCGCGCCTATGCAGAATCGCGGAAGGATCTGAACCCGTCACATGCGCGGCGCCCCCGCGGAGCTGTGATTGGGCGAGCGCGCGGGCCGAGCGGCCCAATTGCGATCGTCGGGCTAAAGGGACCGAGCTTCCGGCGGTTTCCTTCCACGCGGCTGACGTGATACGCGTCTGTGCGCGCACGCTGCCCTTTCTCGGCGAGGCTGCGACGTGCTGCTGACACTTGTCCCGCAGCTTCACTGGGATCACGACCGAGCAGAGCCTCGCGCTGACGGAGAAGGCGCACGTATATCTCACGACGAACGGGCGGATCTCGATGGCGGGGCTCAACAGCCACAACGTCCGGTACTTTGCAGAGTGTCTAGACAAGGTGGTGCGGGGACAGTTGTAGAGCGGCGGGCGCAGATTGGGCCAGGCGGTGGGGCGGGCGGCAACCAATAGGGGCGTGTATGAGCCATGATTGTATTGGCCGGGCGAATTGTATTGCGTGTGGTACAGATGCCGAGTCGGCCGTCCCGAGCGGGAGGGGGCCTTGGCCTGATATGGGCGAGGCTGCGGGCGTGGGAAATGACGTCGCGTGAGAGTGCCTGGGAGGCGCCGTCGAGCCGGGCGCGAAGGGCGAGAAGGCGGATGACATCATCCGGGCAGCGCAAATGGCAGTGGCCGACTGAGCGTTGGCTGCTGCTGCCGCACTGATCACTCGCCCGCTGCCACCTGTGGCTGCTGCTCTGTCCTTTCCCTTTCCAGCACCGGCCTCTTCTCGTCGCCCTCTACGCCGGCCCTCGCCCGCCGCCGCTGCCCCGCCCGCCGCCGCCGCCGCCGCGTCGCGCCATCCGCCTCCGTGTCGCCGTCCGCTCCGCCGGCTGCCGACGCGTGCCCGGACGTCCTGCGCCCTGTTCTCCGCGCCCACAGCCGCGTCCGCGTCTGCGCGTGTCCGCCCCGGTCGTGTTTGCAACATCCCCCGCCTACTAATTGCCCCCTCCAGCCCGCTGTCCGACATATGTTCCACCACCCACCGCGCCATCTCCACCGTCTCCAGCCTCGCACACGCCTTCTCTCTTGATTCTCTACCACCAGCTCGCTGCACTTGCCTCACATCGAGCTTTCTGTTGCGCCGCACCTGTCCGCGTGCGCCCAACTTGGTTATTCCGCACCTGCCTTCCTTGTCGTCTCCCATCACCCAGGGCCTGCCTCCCCAGTGCGTGCCCCTATGCAGCCTTCGTCGCCCGCTAATCATCTGCTAAATTATCGCCACAGCTGTCCCGTTCATGGGAATCATCCTGTCATTATTCTTCCCCCGCTTGTACATGACCACCGATAATTCCGCCTCGAGCGCTTGCAGCTCGTCCTCCCGCTCATCGACTTCTAGCATAGGATATCCCCGCTCACCTGCGCCACCCTCTCCCTTTTCCGACGTCCCGTCGTCCCCGGGTTCCACCAATCCCTTCGTCGAGCAGCGACAACAAGACAGAGCTCCGTACAGTCCTCATGCCGTCGGATTGGGTATCATTGCACCACAGCCAATCGTCGGGCCGTTCCCAACCATCGGACGTCCGTCAATGTCGCCGATACAGGCGAGGTCGTCACCGTCATTGCTGCGTCAACGGAGACTGTCCACCGGTCCCGCTGACCCTGACAGCCCGGTCGATTACTTCGTGTGCGATCTTCAGTCGACCGAGGACGCACAGCTTCCACCTCAATCGCCCAGTATGGCAGCGTTCCTCTCGCCGACTGCCGCGGACCTGGCAGACCCCCTGGGAAGTGCATCAAGTAGCTCGGCCGCTGGTCCTCGGGGCGCCGGCCTCCAAATTGCGATCCCGCCACCTCTCCTCAGCAACTCGACATCGACGCCGTCCCCGCCTTTGCTCCCGCATCCAGCGGCCGACGCACTGCCGTCCAGAGCTGGCCCCAGCGCTCTCGCCATTGCCTCTGAGCAAGCACCACCATTTGGGCAGCAGTCTGCTTTCTTCAACCTGGATGACGCGGCCTTCCCGATGGGCACAGACGCCATCCCAGCGTCCGATGTTAACCTGGACTTCACCGAGTTCGATTCTGACGGGCTCAATGCTCTCGAGAAGATTTATCTATTCTCGCGGAGCCGGGCTGGCTTCCACCGCGTCTTTATCGTGCATGCTCTACCAAGATACCTGGGCGCAGAGGACGTGGAAGGTGTGCGTTACCCCAGCCGCGAGCTAGTAGAACAGATTGCTCCCGCGGACGCGGTTGAGTATGTGCTCCCGTTGCTCAACGGCCTCGCTCTCGACGACGGTAAGTCTCATAATATGACGTTACTGATCGGTCACTCACGGCGCGTTTTACGTACATTGTACCCTATCTGTGATTGGCTTGTGCGCTGCCGTCAACTTGTCGGTTCATCTCGCTCACCAACTCATGGATCGCATATTAACACCGGCCTATCGCCACCCAACCCTGGATCGTGTGTTGCACGAAACCACGCATTCACCATCCTGCGTTCAACATTACGTCGTTGGTGTGTACTCGCCCCCTTCGATTACATGTTGATGCTTCCCAGACGAGACTGTCAAGGAAGCCCTCGCTTCCGAGCTCGTCAACATCATTTGGTGGTTCATAACCCACTGCCAGCTTGTTGAGGATGAGGGCCTTCCGCAGCCTGCGGAGGTCAGTGATGCCACGCCACCGCCACACGAGCAGCAAGCACCGTCAGATGAAGCAGACATCATCAGGATCTCCGTGCAGGCCTTCACACCTATTCTGGGAACGCTGCTCCTAAGCCAGAACGCTCTCATCGGTACCCCCGCCCGTAACGCCGTCGTTGAATTGCTCAAGCGCATCTGGCATGCCGACGAGCGCGAGGCGGGCCGGCCTCCACACCCTATCGGCGACGATGAAGTGACGCGGCCTGATTATGACGTTGGTCACCTTCAACGCCTTGAACGGCGCCTCTTTGAACAAGAGATCGTTTACCAAGTTGTCATCGGCATGGGTCGCCTTGACTTGCCGGACACGGAGGAAGGGCCGCTCTCGACGATCTCGACACCGCGCAGTGTTGGGGAGCACCGCCGTAATACCTCGGAATCGCAAAGTCTGGACTACCCGATGCAGACGCCACCTGGGCCTGACACCTCTACAGCGGGATCGACACCGCTCGCTGCACCTACTGGAACTGCGCCTGACTCTTATTTCCCGGCGTTCCCGCACATCCACCCAACTGCGGCGCCGGCCTCCTCCCCCTCGGGTCACCTGGCTCAGAGTGTAGCGGAGGAGCGAAGGTCGATGGAAGGCATCATCACGCCCCCCGCATTCCAGCTGAACCTGCCCCCGCCTTCTCCTCGTAGGGAGGTGGCTGTCAACACACCCATTTGGGGTATTTCCTCGACCATGCAGACGAGTCCTGAGCCTCAATTTGTTGTCGCCGAGTCGGTGCTAGCAGCCAAGTCTGCGGAGCTCTTATCCCTGTCGTCTCCTGTGCTCTCGCCCTCTCCGCCACCCGCTCCCACATCATCCATCGCTGAGGTCTCTTCTGGCTCGTTGTCCTCAACATCCATCGGGTCGGATAGCTCTACGCCTTCTCTGTCATCGTCCTCAACATCGTCATCGTCAATTTCGACGAATTCGTCGACATCCTTGCTCACGCCCAGTAATAGCCTTTCGCCGTCGGCAGCCCCAGAGCCGGTCGTATCCATGTCATCAGGCGAGACTGAACTGGGCCCCTACTCAGGGATCGCGGCAGGCGCCGAGAAGGATGTCGTCATGGCGCTTGAGCCGGTCGCAAGTCCCGCGCGATCTCTGCAAGACATCAGTCGGGAGACTACCGAAAGCGGCGATTATTTCTCGGGCACGGAGACACCTATCGCGGAGCCGCAGGAGAGCAGAGGAACAACGTTATCCGCATGGCTCAGCGCTGGCCTTCCTGAGGGCGGCGATGTGTCCATGCAGGACGTCAGCCCGCAGGAAATTGAGGCGGTTGGCGAGGAAGAGGGCGATATCAGCGAGGAGGCCGCGATGGGAAGGCTGTCGAGTATGAGTTTGATGGCGGCTGTAACCGCGGGTGGTACGTGTCGTAATCTTGGGTGGACCCCGTCCATGGGTCGCTCTACCCAATGCTTGTATCGCCTCCCGTTGGACTGACGTATTTTGTTGTGTATGTTTTAGGTGGCCTGAACGAGGAGACGAAGAATGTCTTCGTTACCGAAGTAGAACGGGTCGGACGCGATCCAGTCTACTGGGTCAGGCGCGAGGCCGCATTCGCTGTTGGCGCTTTGGCCAAGGTTGTCCCTAACGAACTCGTCACATCTTCTCTGGTATGTAAATCGGTATTTGTCTGGCGATGATCATTTGGCTAACTTCACGTTAGCTTCCCCTCTTCGAGTCCCTCTACCAGGACCCGACTTGGCATGTTCGACACTCTGTCCTGTTCGCCCTTCCTGCGATCCTTTCCAAACTCCCGTCGCCTCGCCGTCGGTCTCTGGCTCTCGAAGTCGTCCTTCCTCTAGCGTCAGACGAATCTCCCACCGTCCGATCGGCGGTTCTGGAGTCTCTTGGCGAAGTGATTTACGCGTTTCACGGCGAAGAGGGCGGGCCGCCTGCAGAGCTTCTGAATGTGTTCCTGGGCGTCCGAGATGGTCGCATACTCCCAAACCGACGTGAAGACGATAGCCACCCACCCGTCTACCTACCAGGCTCTGGACCGTCTTCCGAGTCGGGCTTCAGCGACAGTGTCGCGTCGATAGAAGGCATCAGCACACACGATATCTATGACGATCCCGCACGACCCCTCGTATGCGCTTTCAATTTCCCAGCCGTCACTTTGACCTTGGGAAGGGCCCGCTGGCCGGAGCTGCGCGAGTTTTATCGCACACTTGCGCGTAACCCATCCTACAAGGTCCGCCGCACACTCGCAGCGTCTATGGGCGAGATCGCGAAGATTGTCGGACCCGAATACGCAAAGGAGGACGTTCTGGACGTTTGGTGGTCCAGCATTGGTGCCGAGGAGACGGAGGTCCGCCTGAAGGCTATAGAGTGCGCAGCTACGTTCGTGCGCGCTCTGGCCGAGTCGCAACGCGGTGAAGTCGTGCGAAGACTCGGTGAGGCTTTCACCACACAACGGCTCAAGGGTTGGAGAGAGCGAGAGGAGGTCGTCAAGAGCCTGCCGTCCTTCTCGGAGATTAGTGGTCTTGACCCAAAGGTGCTCAAGGATCTCCTGATGGGTGCTCTCGGCGATCGCGTATCGGCGACTAGAGAGGCTGCGATCGCGGTCGTGAGTATTTAATTTGCCCATTGCGTCAATGTTGCTCAGTTCTCTGCAGTTCCCCGCATTCGTGCGTGCATGGCAAGCTACTCCTCGCTTGATGGAGCAGGTGGAACAGCTGCGCTCCAGCATCAGAGCGCTCGCTCGCTCGGACGCGTATCGTGAGCGGACGACGTTTGTTACGTGCGAGCAGTCTCTCCTCGAGTCAAACAACAGCGACTTCATCATCCTGGACAACGAATATTGGGAAGTATTATCCTTGCTTACTCAAGATCCCATCGTGGACGTCCGCATACGAGTGGCACGCTTACTGGGAACGATTTTCGGTACGCTTCGTCTCTTGTGGCCGAGTGGGGACAATGTACTCAGTCTCAACTTCCAGATCTCTATAACAGTGGACAACACTCCACGGTCATGAGCCAGGTGCTCAGGCTCACCGCACCTCTGCTAGACGACAGTTCTCAAGACGTCCGAGCATTCGCGGTATCCGTCCACGCTGGAGGTGTGCATCCGCAACCGCTGGTACCGGCCGACGCTTCTCGCAGCGCAGTCACCTTCTCACGGCCTCCACCACCCACACCGAGCTGATAATGGAAGGGCGTCGGTATGGTGGATAATCGTCCGCCAGCCCTCCCACACCCCGCTTCCTCAATGGCAAGCCAACTTGGGCAGGTCGTTGAGGAGCTGCGCTAGCAGACTCTAGCTGTAACATCAGGGCAGGACGCAGCCGGAGGTGACCATGTTCTAAACTTGGCGTGCGACTACGTGTCGTTGGCCGAGCGTCAGAACTGGTTTTGCGCTGCACTCACTGCTCTTCGAGCTCACTATACGACCGTGACGTCGATGCAACGGCCCACATCCCCCACGCGACACATCCTCTTGTGACGAATGTATCCTGGACGAAATCTTGATTAAGTTATCATGTACGCTAGCATCCAGTGGCCTTCACGCAGTGCATGGCATGCCGTAGAAGATATAGTTTAGATGCTGCCTCATTAGTTATATCTTATTATCGTAATACATTTCCTGCATTCATATTCATCTGAGCCATACCCGTGCGTGCTGTTGGCGACGTGGAGCACTAGTAAGCACTCTAGTATTGTAGAGTCGCTCTCAAGTCGCTCTTTCGTCGCGCTTGCGGCAAACCACCCATTTTGAAATGCAGCATCCCGAGGCATCCTGCCGATCGCACCCTCCACGTGCATACATAAGCCCGGAGGACTCCCGGAGGTTGGCTTCTTGAAGACCTTCCTAATTCGGAAACAATGGTGGCGTCCATCTACAAAGGAGCCCGCATGGGCGGTTGCGGGGCAACATGATGGGCCTTGTCAAGCGCTTGCTGCAGACCTTTCCTCTTACCGTGTGTCCTGCTTTTATCTTCTTCCTGCACGGACGATGAGGCTCTGCTGAAGTCGAGTCTGCATGCGTCTGTCTACTGTTTTCTAGCCTTGCGCGAGCAATTGAATTGCTGTGTCTACTCCTCGTCCAGTTATCTCTGGGAGAACTGGCTGGTATTGCACGAGATCTCGACCTGGAGTGCTCTTCTCCTCGGCAGGACCTATCAATCACAGAGCTTAGGATCTCATTCAGTCATGCTTGTCACTACGCTCGCGAACGTCGAGCTTCCGCCGATCTTTTCTAGGGTCAGGCTCATCGCCTTTGGTGAGAATGATCTACACGCACCTCATACTGTTGCTCTGACCGTACGGCCGTTGACAATATCAGCGTTGATGACGATGCTGAGCTTGGTGGGGACAACACTGCTGTGCGTGGAGCTGTTCGTGAGGGTGGACGTGACAGACAATTCCCAACGTGAGTTTTCACCCATTCGTATTTGTCCTATCGTCCTCAGCTGTCGCCTAAGGAAACATTGTTCTGCTTCTCATCCTCATCAATTCCTGCACATCTATCATGTTCCCGGCCATGTAAGTGCGTTTCGTTGGTTGCGTGAGGTTCGTGTTTCATGACAGTATCAGGCTCCTTGTCCAATACACTCCACTGTGGGAGGCTGCCCGCCTACTATGCCTCGTCTTCTTCCAAATTGGTGAGTTGCAGCCTCTAACGCATGAGCGTCTTTCTCTGATACCTGATCAGGTTCTTCTGGCGTTTTCACGGCTTGGTATGCAGCCTTTAGATGCCCGGATCCCGGTACGTTGCCAGAATCTTTCATGGCGGAGCAGTCAGCTTATACCGACACAGTGGCTACATGCAGACGCATCAACATGGCCATTTTGGCTAGTGTCTGGGTCATACCAACTCTGCGTGAGCTTTGGCTTGGTTTGAAGCTACAGAACACCGCTAATCTCAGGCCGATAACAGTCTTGATGTACTCCGGCACCCTGGCTGCGATGGTGTACTGGGGCTGGAAGCATCCAGAATTCCAAACCGCTGTTCTGCGCGAGAAGCGTGAATCCGAACTCCCCATGATGTCGCCACCACCCGAGCAATTGCGCATCAGGTCCAGCACGTTCGCTGATTTACTTGAAGCAGGAGGCATGGGCTCTAAAGCGCCCGACGTACCTGTTCCTCCACTTCCGCACGCTCCCGAGGCGCAGAAACGAAACTCGGCGCAATCTGCCAAGTCAACTTCCTCTCGATCGTCAAATTCTTCTGGAAGATTGACCAAAGGGAAACCGAAATATTTCTATTAGATCTCGGACATCGTTATACCCTCTTAGTCGAGCTCTCGTGTGTAGTTACGAAGCGACCCGCGTTCCTAGAGTCCGATTCTGTATCGCTGATTGAATGCCGAGTCGCCTCTTTGTTCGGGTCAGCGCACCGAGTTTGTTCAAATTGTTGCGCTGTTGCGGTACTCGTCGTTCGGTACCGCCTGGTACCGCCGGATCCATCTGCCCCAGATCTGACCTCACAGGGAGCCACGTGCGCTGCGCAACCAAGCAGCTTCTTGCTCTTCACCGCAAGGCGACTTACCGCCGTGTCGCAGCGTGCCGCTGGCCCCAGCCAGCTCACTCCAAGCCTCGTCTTGTTCTCCATGCTTTCTGACCTTTCTTGAGCCCCGCGCGACTACCATCCCCTGCTTTGGCGTTAGTGACCTACCGAGACTCGGACACTCGACTTTCTCCTCCCGTGCCACCGCCTCACCATGACACACTGGGACCCGGCCAAGATGAAGGTTCGGCACTCGCATACAGGTCTACTGAAGAAATTCTGAACCTCGTCATATAGTCTCAACTGCGGGCGACCGCACAGCGGTTGGGCCAAATGCAGGACAGGATGGACTCACAAGCCCAGATCACGCGGAGAGACATCGCCACGCTCTTGCAGCAAGATAATGTCGCGTTGGCTCGTGCGAAGGCGCAGAAGTTGATGAACGAGGATGCTCTGAGCGACCTGCTACAAACCCTGGAAATGCATGTTGGGATGATTGTTGGGCATTTGGGGGAGTTGGAGCGGAAGTAAGTCCACACCTGCCATGCATGAAGTCTGTCCACAACTCCGTGCAGGGATTCGCCTAGTCCTGTAGTATTGGAGGCTGCTGCAAGTATTGCCGTCGCTGCCCCGCAGATTGATTCCAAAGGTATGGCATGTAAACACTGTCTTACCGACCCGTCCCGACCCTATGGGTGCAGAGCTTCGCTCGGTACGCGACCTTCTCGCTCAGCGACTAGGGCCAGAGTTCGCGCGGTCCGTGAACGAATATGTGTCTACAAGGGTACATGTTCCACGTGTCTCGTGTAAGGCCTTCAACTCACCAAGGCCTAGGTTCGTAAGGCACTGTCGACTCGCCCAGCGTCGGCTGTAAAACTGGATCACTACATGTATTCCGTCGCCAAGGCACAGGGCATTCAATGGACACCATCTCCGTCACCTCAGCAGATGTGAGTCTGTCGCGTACTCCCAAATTATAGATGTAGTGACCACCAACGCGTACCAAGAGTGAATGTTATCTCGGAAATGCTCGATCCGACCAATATTCCCGTCGTGGACTTGACGCACCTTCGCATCCTTTGCTCTCAAGGTAGGCTCTTGTGTTAGTGAGTCCGTGTGCGTCTCATGACAACTCCTCAAGGTCTACCTGATGACCCTCCTTGGCTCAGACCCAAGGTCTGGAGGTGAGTGTATTACTGTCGGTCCGGAACACTTCTGAACATTTCTCCCAGGCTCTTGTTAGGCACACTTCCTCCTGCGAAGGAAGCGTGGAATGAGTCTAGTCGCAAGAGTCGGGACAATTACTACGTATGTACCTTCATCCCTCATGTAAATAATCGTCCTCATGTCGGTGCAGGACCTTGTGCGTCGGCTGCTCGAGCCATTCTCAAGCCTTCCACCTCCCACTACTCCTCTCACATCACTTGATGAGTCTCTCATGAACGCGTCAAAGGAGTTCTCCCAAATACCGCCGAGGCTCATGCTTGGTCTGCAAGAGGCTCCGGACGATGTCCCACTATGTCCTCTAGACGAGGCCGCCCCTGATGACATCAAGATACCTTGCGCACAGGTTCTGGATGAGCGTCTCCGCATGATCCGCGAAATGCAAAACTCTGACGATGCGGCCGCGCCAGAGGTACGGCTCGACAGCACACCTGAGATTCGCCTCGAGGACGCACAAAGCGACTCTTCCGACGACGACGACGACGACGACGACGAGTCGTATCGGGACGCGGGATCGGCTGGCTCTGCTCCTCCGTCTCCGTCCCCATCTGCGACCTCCGTCCATTCCTCCGGCTCGACGACGTTGTTGCGCTCGCGTACGATGGGTGCACACCCTAAGCACGCATCTGCACTGCTTCGATTACTGTATCTTCATTCTTGTCTTAATCCCGCTAACCAGTCCCCCCACATCGGCTCTTTATTGATTCCTGTCTACTCTGCTCTTGTCGAAGAAGTTGTGCCCGAAGATGCAGCACACGCGGAAGCGGACACATTCTGGCTCTTTGAAACGCTCGTTGGCGAATTCGCGGATCTCAACGATGCTGAAGGCGGGAGAGCATGGTCACAAAAACTCAGCGATCGCCTGTACTTGGCAGACCCAGAGCTGACCGAGGATTTAGTACGTCAGACATGTTCGCTTCTGCAGACACATTTCTCACAGTTCAGCAGCAAGTCAAAGGCCTTGATCCCGCACTTCCGCACTACTCATTGTAAGTCATACTAGATCTCAGTATGCTATGTTTTACATGCTAAGTTTCGTTTGTAGCCGTTGGCTCATCCCGGTGTTAACGCACACACTGTCTCTCCGACCCCTTCTCACTGTCTGGGATGCCATCTTATCCCGGCCGACGAGAGAACGTGATAGCAATCCGAAGTTAGATTTTCTTGTTGATGTATGCACGGGTATGCTGCTTCGCACGAAGAACGTTCTGCTTCGGTAAGGCTCAATTCGCGCTGAGGAAACTTCACCACTGAGCTTCTGTCGTTAGATTGGGCAGGCCTGAACGCAAGGCCATGGGCTTGTGGTCCGACGAACTCGCTGCTATTCCATCCACACCGCTTGCTGCGCGAGAGTTGGAGGATGCATTCGCAGAAGGCATGACGTTCCTTCAGCAATTCCCCCTGGAAAGTGCGGGCGGGATTGAAGCTATACTGCAATGCGCATGCGACCTCGCGCATCAGCGTCAAGTCATGCAAAATGGAGCCAAAGCGACAGGCACAAGCTTCGGGGCCCGCCTTCGAGACACTGTCTGGAAAGGTTTCGCTCAGACTGCTCCCATATCCGAGTCGGAGCACGAGGACAGCGAGACTTCAGACGAAGACGAAACCGAACCTGAAACAAGCACGAACGGCCAGCCGAGCACCCTGACGGCTCGTCTGGCCAATACTGTGTGGCGAGGCATCTCCAACGAGAGCGCGATGGATGAACCTCCTTCACCAATCTCTCCGGCCTCTCCTATGCCGCCGTCTCCTGTCCATTCGCCAGCCCCGTCAACGAGCTCGAAGGCTCTCCCTTCTCCACCCTCCGAGGTTACCGAAGCAAGCAGTGCGCCGGCAGGATCGTCGAAGTTCTGGGGGTACGCCGAGAAGCTCAAGGAATCGGATGCGGCAGCTACGTTGGCGAAAGTCAGTACAAACTGGAAAGTCAAAGCTCTCGACGTATGGAGCAAACGTGCGACTGGCGCTTCGTCCATGTTCCTTTCACCCCCTTCCACTGCCCCCCTTCCACGAACTCCTGACATGGATGCTCGCCGCGCTTCATTCAACGACGACTACCAATCGAGATCGCCGAACGAGAAACGAAGGGGCGGGTCTCTCCCTGGACTGCCACCGCATCTAGAAGGATACTCCCCCCCTGCTCGTCCCGCATTCTTCAGGCCACCGAGGGACAGCGTCATGTTCACCGGCGGCCGCCTGCCTTTTTCGCCCACAAACGGCGAGTCGTCGCCCGCGTCCGATACAGGTTCCATGAGCAGTGGTGGTGTCCGCGCTTCCCTCACTTCATTTGGAAAACAGCAGGACCAGTCAAGGGCCGCGAAGGGCAAATCAGGACCCCGTCCCCTGCTGCTTAACTCTGCATCGCTCATGACAAATCGCTCACCTGCTACTACGCCGTTATCTGGTTCGTCTGACAGGTCCGTGGACAATATACGCGGGTCGCGCTCGCCCGCGCCTCGGGATTCGATGTCGTCATATTCATCGTTCTCCCCGGTACATTCTCGTTCAGCGACGATCGATTCGGACGGCAATAGCAGGATTGTGCCCCTTCGCTCGGCACGATCACCGATGGCGAGAGGTTCTCGCAGGGTCACCCCCACTTCTTCGACTACATCAAGTCCGCCAAAAGTACATCGCCGCATGGATACTGAAACTTCCACTCAGCTGGGCAGTGACGATGGTCATAGCAGCAGAGGGTGGGGTCGCGTCGATGTATTAGACTCACCACCGACGGGCTCCTCCTCGCCACCTCCGCAAACACCTGCCGACGCAACATCCAGTCTCAATCGCGGCGTGCGAGTGAAGGCGCCAACGTCGAGGACGGGGTCTCCATCAATTGATGACACAGGCCACATGAGTTCAGACGTCGAGGCCAGACCCGCAAAGGCGATGTATCCTCTGCCACGACTGTCCGTGGGTGACACGTCGGATTCGTCCGCCACGCAAGCCCCGCCACGCAGTCCTCGCTCAAAGCAGAAACGAATCCCTCCGAAGTTATCGACGACTCGCTCGCGAGAGAACATCATCGCAGAGAATGGGTCCGCCGCTCAGAGCAATCTGACAACTGGATGGTCGGAGGACGAAGACGTGGACAACGTCACGACTCCACGTGCTATGTCCTTCCAGTCCGAAAACCCAGTGTCCACGTCTGCGACTCCGCGCAACATCAGGCGTGTTCGGAAGACGTCCGGCGATGGCAATGGCGAGGTGCGGGCACGCAAGCTCTCTGGGGAAGGACGGGAAGTTCGAACACGCAAGGTGTCGACTGACGGGCACTCGCCCAGGAGGCGGAAGCTGTCAGACGAAAGGGAGGCTACGAAGCAGAAGCGGGAGAGTTCCGCCGACGAAGGAGACGATGAAGGTTACAGAGACCTTTTGAGCGCGTATGAAAGCGAAGACTAACGCTATGTCACGTCTAACGGTCACTATCGGTCTGCATCCACACTGTTGTTTGCTATGTAGTCGGCATCAGTTTTGAGCGTATTTAATTGTTGCATGTCTGTGCGATGCTGTCCGTGGTGTCATCGAATAGGAGTTCGTGCACCCCATGATATACCTCCAGAAGAATAGGGAATCGCGGCATGATGTTCTGAGGATACTGCTCAGTATGATATGGAGTGGTGACACGTTGCGTGACTGACCTCGAATGGCACATCGATCGTGACTTCCCCGTTAGACGACTGCTGTATTACGGCCAGATAATAGTGAACAGACCAGCCGCGCAGACCTTCGTTGATGACAAAGTCTCGCAAGGTAGTGAAGGGTATGAACCTGCGCGACGTGAACAGCGGTATGAAAGGTAGTCCTCTCTGCGTCTCCAGCTGTAGGCCGAGTGAACGGAGGACTACGACAGACTCTGACAAAAGTAAATATTCATTTGCATGACACAATGATGGAACTGAGTCATTCAAGACGCACCCCGCAAAACCTGAGTGCATCTAGTGTAGGCGTAAAGTGTGCTAGCGGCAGCCAGCCCGGCCTTGAATGCACTGTGCCAGGCAAACTTTATATACTCTGAGTGATTGTAGCTCCAAATGAGTGAGATTTTTGCTCACAATAGGCCATAATATGGCGACAACCAGGCACACGACCATGTCGAGCCAGAAACATTCAAACACGGAATGTGCAGTCCGATGAGCACCTCTGCACAAGCGGGTGTTTTCTAGCCTATATTCCGACCATGCGCTGTTATGGATCACAGTCAGCTCGGGATGATCTGGCAGTGGGGCGGCGGAGCGCATGCCATGAGCTGCGCTGAGAGCCGTGATGGCGGCAGCAACTTCGAGTTGCAAGCGGATAGACGCTCGCAGTCTCGTATACGTTCCCGTTTTGGCGCAGTTCTCCCTTCGTGCCATACATCGCGCGCTGCCCTTGCTTGACATCTGCAACATAATCCATGCATGATAATCAACTCGTACTTGTCGACATTTTTTGCGCTCTGCAGGGACTATGCAGCCTGAGCGCAGCCGCTCTTGAAGTCCCCAAGCTTAGCAACTAGCCTTCAAGTTGACCAACGGTGTTCAAATGACGAATCCATCCGACAAGGACGCCTACTTGCTCGTGGTATAAGGCTATGATGTCCTCTTGGATACTTCTGGAATGCATGTGAACTGATTGTACTGGGGCTTTGGCATCGGCAACGGTCTAAATCCAAATGGGACTGTCAGCCTCGCGTAGCCTGGTTCACAATTGCCGTTCTAGCCCAACGACGAGGTTGCGGTGTCTATCTTCAATTCTTCCCTCCATCTGCTTGCGGCTTTATCTTGCTCTGCGCAGGTCGCATCATGGTTCTGGGTAGCCAGTATTTCTCCGCTTTACTCCAGGCCCTGAGCTTGACTCAGGGTCTTTACAAACCAACTCCCAGCAGCGCGAGCAACCCTATTCTCTCATCTCCTGGACAAGCAAGTGCTGTGGGGAGCATAAGGTCCGCGCAACCCATATCGCAGTCAGACGACACCCAGGGCGCAAATCCCGATACCTGCACGCCGCCATACTATCCAGCTCTCCCGGTCGAGAATCAGACATTTCCTCCATTTGATCAAGCGAAGGCGAACGTGTATCGGTATAGACAGCAGCAGTCGGTCAATCTGGGGTCCTGGTGCGCACATGATCCGCTTGTTATGTGGTTGTTCAACAACCTAACGCACTGTTAGGTTTGTGCACGAATCATGGATGACACCGTCTGTATTCGCTTGTGCTTCTGGGCAACAACTATCGGAACTGGATATTGCGACTGGGTGGAACTCTACAGATAACGCTAGGATGATTCTGGAACATCACTGGGATACGTTCATCAACCAGAGCGACTTCGAGTACCTGGCAAGCATTGGGATCAACACTGTCCGCCTGCCCATCGGTTACTGGAGCCTTGGCCCTCAATTCTGCCAGGGAACACCGTTCGAAAATGTCTCGGATGTCTATCAAAACTCATGGCCAAGAGTGACACGAGCGATCAGTATGGCTGGTCAGGCGGGAATGGGTGTACTGGTCGATCTACATGGCGCCCCGGGCAGTCAAAACGGTCAACCCCACTCTGGTGTCTCCGACGGCGTCACTGGTTTGTTCGACAGTCAACCCAACATGGACTTGACTATAGCGCTTTTGACGTTCCTGGCGGAGCAACTGGTGAACGTCACCAATGTCGTGGGTATCGAGCTTCTGAACGAGCCTCAGGATGATCCGGGACTCCCGAGTTTATGTAAGTTGACTACCCCTTGACGCTACGCTGAACCTCACATGTCGCAGATGACCGTGCCATCGCAAGCATGAGGGCCGTATCACCACAGGCTGCATCCTTCCCCCTCTATATTCACGATGGCTTCAACCTCGACCAGTTCAGTTCCTACGTGGCCAACAGGACAGACTTCGTTGTCGTGGATCACCATTCTTACTTCGTCTTCACGCCCTCAGACGACGCGGAGCCAGCCAGTCAGCACACCACGGACGTGGAAACGTCAATCGCTGACTCCTTCGCTGCTGCGTCCACGGAGGCGCGACGTAATCTTGTCGTCGACGAATGGTCTTGTGCTCTGACGCCGGAGAGCCTCTCGAGCGTATCCGACCCTGATCAAGCACGCAAGGGCTTCTGCGAAGGGCAGATGAATGTTTACACGAACATCAGTGCCGGATGGGGCTTCTGGGGTGAGAATGTCTCCGTTGTTGCAAAGCCACATCCTGACACACTCGGTCAGCATACAACAAGGAAGATTGTTCGGACGACCCAGGATGGTGCTTCAAGGCGGCAGTGGGGAACAGCCTTCCGTCAACATTCTTTTCCTATGGTCAAGGCCCGCTGACGAATCCAGATCAGCTCCCTTCACTGGCTGACCTCATGGGTGATATGAGCTCACCGCCGACAAGCGTCGTCCTTGCTAGTGCTCAGAGCTCGCCCACGGATGCATCAACGACGTCTGATGATGCTCAAAGCGATATAGCGCCCCCAGCTCTCAACCGGCGATGGCGCTCAAGACCACGTACCGGGGGCCCCACTTCCTGGCGGCGACATTCTCCATCTTGGTCACATAGAAGAGCACACAAACGCGGCTACGAGACAGGAATGTCGCCTGAGCAGCGGGCGATCGCGAAAGGGTACTCAGACGGGTTCTTCACGGCCAAGATCTTCGCGCAATACGGGATGTCGAAGCTGGGGTTCACAGGACAATACATGAACGACAGTATCGCAACACTGGGACCGGGAGTCATTAAGCCCGGGACCGAGGGCAACTACCAGGAGTGGTTCATGAAGGGATTGCAGGACGGGGAGAACATCGTCATCTCGCATATAAGCCAAACGAACTTAAACCTGACTAGTACTTGATGCCCGGATCCTCTTGTTGTGTTGCATATTGTTCTGTATCTTTCTTACTAGCAGTCCAATGGATTGTTGCCCAATTCATCTTGTAAATGAATTGAACGACTCGGCGGTTTCAAGTCATTGACAATGAGTCCGTATGTTCCTTCCGGCGCTTATGAACTCAGTATGTCCCCGCGTCGTGCCAGTGACCGGCGACGACCATGGCTATTTGCCTATGACCTTGTAGTATCGCTACTCACCGACCCTCGCTATTTCTACGTGCTTGCTGCCCTAGTTGTCGCTGGAGATGCTGTTCTTACTCAGCTGATCATACGCTTCGTGCCATGTAAGTTGGTGTCATGCCTACTACATACGAGGCGACTGACCCTCCGTCGCAGACACCGAGATAGACTGGGAGACGTACATCTATCAACTGGAGCTCTACTTGAAGGGAGAAAGGGACTACTCATTGATATCGGGGCCTACAGGACCTATAGTGTGAGCGCGAGATTGTAGTGCAGTCGTATTACGTCTAGCTCATTGCTCGTTACATAGATATCCTGCCGGACATGTCCATATTCACCACGCACTCTTCCGCCTCACAGACTCTGGCAACAACCTCAAGGCCGCTCAGCAAATCTATACTGTCTTGTACATTGCGCTGCTCGCCCTAGCATGCGGAATCTATGGTCGTGCAGCAGGTGTGCCCAACTGGGTAGTCCTGCTGTTGCCGCTCAGCAAGAGGTTGCACTCCATCTTCGTCCTGAGGCTCTTCAATGACTGCTGGATGGCGGTACTCGCCCATGCCGCCGTTTTGGCGTACGCCAACGCGTTCGACTTGATGGGCACAGTTCTCCTTGGGTACGTCCTTGTATACACGCTCTCTGGTCAGGGTTAACACAGGGACGCCGTCAGCTGTGCTCTATCAGTCAAGATGTCGGCGCTGCTCTACCTTCCGGGATTACTAGTCGTGCTCTTCAAGAAGAACGGCCTCGTGGGTACTCTGTTGCATCTCGTGCTTCTTTTGTCTACCCAAGTCGTTGCTGGGCTCCCGTTCTTGCTACAGCATCCCGGCTCATACCTCAAGTACTCGTACGAGTTCTCTCGCGCGTTCCTCTACAAGTGGACCGTGAATTGGCGGTTTATCAGTGAGGAGACCTTTCTGAACCAATGGTGGGCGCGCGGACTCCTTGCGGGCCATGTCGCGACCCTTGCTACCTTCGGTCTATGCCAATGGTGCAGGCGGGAAGGAGGGGTATGGGCTGTCATAAGCAGTGGTTTACGAAATCCTATGCGACGTCCAGAGCGCTGCCATGTCACCAGCGATTGTGAGTTGTCGGCACTTCGCGCCTCACATGGAACTCACACCTACGCGTGAAGTTACGACCACGGTGCTCTTCACGTCCAACCTCGTTGGCATCTTGTTCGCGCGATCCTTGCACTACCAGTTCTACTCCTGGTATGGTATGCAAGTCCCTTTTGTTGCCTGGAGGACCAAGTACCCCGTCATCGTCAAGTACGTGATTCATTATACCTCCCATACACGTCTCATACACGACGCTCACGTTTGATCAGGTTATTGCTACTCTTCGCTATCGAGTATGCGTGGAACGTATTCCCGTCAACATCGCTGTCATCCGCTCTTCTATGTACCGCCAACGCGGCTCTAGTAGCTGGTGTCTGGTTCGGCTACCCCGAAGGGATCTCTCCAGCTCCTCCTGCGGATCGACAGAAAAACGAATGATCATGACGTCTATGTGTGGAGCAGTCTGCTAATGGTACATATGCGCAAAGCGGTCGATAGCGTCTAGTATAACAACACCCCCTCACACCCTTGATCTCCACTTTCGCCAGAGCACAATGGCGAAGCAGGTAGCTAGCAACGAAGCTGCGGAACCCAACCAGAAGGTGGTCTGCCAGCACTGGATGCCGTGGCAGGCGCCTTCCCCTGGTGCTGTGTGACTGTCGGCGACAAATGCATACAGGTAGGAAAAGGCGGTCGTGCCAAAGAAGCATGTGTAAGAGACGAAACCGAAGTTGCGGCCTTGGTTAGGGGCTCCCCATATAGATGATAGAATGCTCGGGCTACAGCCAACCATTAGTGTGAATAGCTGATGCGTCAGAGTCAGACGATATCGCGTACAGAGTAGTGAATATTGCGCCGTTCACAATTCCAGTCGCGAGGCTACGGGCAATGTCAGCGTAGCTCGCCGAGGATCCGAAGTCTCAGATCCGTACCTGAGAGGCCAGAGGGCTTCTTGCGACCGAACACCGACTATCGGCCACAGCAAGACGATCGCGAACAGCAGTGCAGCACCTGCCATGAAGATCATCCGCGTCACATACGGCTTACGAGGGAAGGCCCAGACGCCGTTGGCGGAGTAGGTGGGAACAGGCGATATGATGTCCGCGAAGGGTCCGAGCAGGAGGCGCGTCAAGGTGTCCGATGCTGCGATGAGCTGGACCTGGAACGAGATGTTCCCGGTATGTGATGCACTGGGAAGGGATAGCACGATCATGCCGATATAGGACTTGATCATCTCTGCCTGTAATGGACGTCAGGAAATGTGGGGATTGTGAAGGGCTGTCTGAGACGTACGGCGCCGACGACAAGTGAGATTGACGAGGAGAACAACCAGAAGTTCGGATTCTTCAGTAGCTCTATCGCTGAGAGGTGCTCAGGCTGCTCGGCACACAAGGCATCCAGACCAGTCAAAGACTGTAGGGACGATGTCAGCAGAGAAGTCTCTTCATAGGCTTCTGCGTCGTCGTCGGGGTCGCGCTCCCTCGCGGTGTCCTCGGACGTGCGTGCAATCGGGAATTCTGCGGCAGCTGGTCCGGGCAGTATCAGGGCTCCCAAGAAGTTCACGACGCCGGTCAAGATGGCCAAAAAGGTGAAGAAGCGTGTCACGTCTAGAACGCCGTCAGGAGGCGTGAAGAATTCTGTGGCTACCCAAGAGAGGAACAGCGGTGACAAGCCGAATATTGCGAGACTTGTCCCAGATGCGAAGCCCATGAATTGGGGAAATGTTCTCGTCGCTGCGAAGAGCATCGACAAGTATCTGCGATCGACTTGTGAGCTAGCCATCATCACTGCGAAGCAGAGCAACTTACGAGAATATCAGCGCTATCCCAAGTGAACCGAAGTAGACAGCCAGCTTGGGGACCGCCGGGGACGATGCTACGGATGTTCCTTCTGGTGTCAGAGCAAGTTGCCGGGCGAACATGCCGTATCCGAATGCAAAGATGATGGATGCTATCAGCGAGCATACTCGCGGCCCGTAACGGTCAAGGACCTTGCCGACAGGAACTGCGGTGGCATACTGGCCTACCATGGCACTGGCTGTCATTCAGCATGTCTCATGAGCGTATCTCGTAGGCATGGCTCACGCTAGTATGATAGTGCTCAGCTGTGGCTGGGTCAAGTGCATCCGCGCTACAAGGGCGGGCGAGATGAGCGGGAACGTGTAGATCCCTCCGGCACATATCCTGTAGATTTCGTCAACCTCGGGCGTCGGCGACCGAGCGGTTACTTCATAGAATAGTACATACGCGTTCGCAGCAATAGAGCAGGAGATGAGAGTGAGTCGAAGTTTGTCATATGACTTCGCTCTGGGTGACGAGCCATCGCGCATGATGTCTCAGCGACAAGCCTGTTGAGACGTGAGTCCTTATGTCTGAGCCATGTACCATTCATAGTCATTCATGAGGCATACCGGAATCGAGACTGCGGTCGAGTCTCGAATACTGGATTCCTGCTACCCGCGCCGTATACGCTGCGAAGTATGCACTCCTGCGATGACGTAGCGTATAGACTTGGTTGCCTGCGTCGAATCTCAATATTATTACAGGATAGTACAATCGAGATTGATCAGAGCGATGGGAGACTTGGTTCGGAGTGCCCTGAAGTCACTGGAGTGCGAGAAAGGTATACGGTACTTACGGGCGCTCGTTGATTCATTTTCCTTTGACAGGCACCGCCACACGCACTATCGAAGCTGATCCGACCTGCCTTTGCCAGCCATACCGCTGACCCTCCGTTCACAATGCCAGGCTCATATCCGCCAGAGGTGAGAGCTGGTGAGAGACTAGTTTCGCTGAAGTTCAGTTGCTTGCAATGGTGCTGACCGAATGTCCGGCAGTAGGCTGTATGCAGCTGCGCGGGCTCAAGGTGCCTGGTGATTCGTGAATACGCGACGTCGACATGGATAAGCGATAATAAACATGGTGGCAGTGACCCCTCAAGCTTCAAGCTTCAAGCGTCGGCCAAGAACAAAGGTCCCTGGGCCTGAGCTGTACCGACGACGGCACGGCACGAGGGGCTTGCGGGGACCGGCGACGTTCCTGTCATTTCTGTCTTGCGCACGACCACTTCACTTCTCGTCCTCCTCTGGCTTTTCCGACTCCCTTCCTGCGCTGGGCTTCAGTGTTCCTTTCTAGCCCACTGCTGTTGATTTCACGTCATTAGGACGTCCATAGAATTCCGTCATGTGGCCACATCTCCGCGCTGCTTCATGCCTCGTCGCTGCCAGTTTGATACCGCAAATCGTACACGCTGCCTCGACAAAGGCGACGATTGATGACAATAACGGGGACTCTGTGACCGGGCGAAAGCCAACGTATTCTGCCAACTGGAACTATGGTCCAGATTGCCCAGGATGTTACGTCCAGCCGGAACAGCAACTCACTTTCGACCACTCATGGCACGACGTGACTGCTTCTCCGATTGATGACAATGCACGGAATGTATCTCTTTCTTTCAATGGTGCGTTTCCTGTCCTTCTACGACACGCTGGTATGAACAGTCATCCGACGTCAGGAACTGCCATCACGGTATATGGCATTGTGCCTCCTGTGGTCACATATGCCACGACGTATGTCAATGCCAGTTTCTGGCTCGACGGGCACCATGTTGGCACATACGAACACGATCCGAGTAAGAGTAGCTCGACGGCATTCCTGTACAACGTGACTGTGTACCAGAGTACATCTTTGGCCTACGCAGAGCACAACCTAGTTATCGTAGCGGGACGTGATGTCAACGCATCGTACTTCGCTTTCGACTGGGCAGAATATACGTGAGCTCAACACCGTGTGCCTCTTTGATAGTTGCACTGCTAACGGATCCTCAGTTACGACCCTGACCACCCGACCACCTCAACGTCGACTGCAACTAGCTCCACACCATCTGGAGTTGTCACATCAATCGCAGCTTCCTCAGCATCGTCTCATAGCTCAGTGGGACCTATTGTCGGAGGAGTCGTGGGCGGGATCGGTGCCGTTGTCCTCGCTCTACTCTTCTTCCTCTTGTGGCGTCGTCGTGGCCGGGGGAAGGCAGGAGATCGCATTCGCCATGTAGCAGCGGAGGAGTTGAGGAGGGAGGAGATCGAGCCGATGCGCAAACCCGAGTCTGATCTCGAAGAAGGCGTTGCCGAGATGCGCACACCCGATTTCACGTCAGCGACGCCTTTCTCCGCCGCGCTCACATCTTCCGCGGTCTCGTCTCTTCCTGTCGAAAGCGACGCCTCCCGGAGGGGAGGCTCTGTCGCGGCCATCGTCTTTGCCTCCAATGCGACATCGAGTACAGCCGACTCTCCACGGACGATGCCTAGCTCCGGTCGTCAATCGAAGAGCGCAATGCAGCGAGCGGAGCTGTCGCGCCAGATGCGTGACATGGAGGACCAGGTCGCCGAGCTGCGCCGACGCCAGTCCGCGCGCCCGCTTCCGTCTACTCATGTCGCGTCGCCGTCGACCTCTAGCATGCCCAGCCAACAAGCCCACTCGGAGCTGAGGCAGCAGATCGAGTCGTTGCAGCTGGAGGTGGACAGGCTGAGGGCTGTGGGCGTGATGGATGAGCCTCCACCGGCGTATGAGTGGGCTGATCTAGAAGAGAGGGTTTGAACCGTTTTTATTTATGTTATGTTGACCTTGCAGTTTATTGGGCATATACTATACACGACGTTTTGTGTTTTCTTCTCTAGCGCATCGTGATCTACGTATGGACGTGGCCACCGCTGAGCATAACGACAACGAATTACGATCTTTCATGCGAGTATTCCCGATCGCTCTTCACACACACGGCCATCTGATAGACTTCTCCGAACAGGCTCACCGTGTACTTATGTCTTAACGATTCACTTGCATGCTCTCGAGACGCGGATCCGAGACTCCCGGAGACGGACCTTCCTCGTAGGGTTTCGGTTCTGTTGACTCGGGTTTGGCCCGACTACATGCCGTTGCCAGACAATGCGTGGTGTATCTAAATGCTGTGAGGGGCTAGCTCAACTGAGCGACGTCAATTGGATTTATCGAGGTGTGTCCTCTCATTGATGCATCTGACTAGGGCTGCGTAGCATCGTTGCGTCGCTGTTGGTAGCGCCGGGTTGTTCATGCATGGTCAACTCGGCGGATTACTATACCAAAAACCCGAACTTACACTCTGGCTCGTTTCCGATGATCCGTGTGAGACTGGTCGCCATGCTGTCCTTTGCATTAGCGTAGGATACGGTCATGTCGTAGGTCCAGATTCTCATCGGCACTGTTGGCTCATTGACCAGGCAACGTCGGTGCACAGGCTCTACTACGGTCACACAAAACAGCGCCCATGCTGGTCCACTATATCCGGCGAGCTGTTGAGGGTTCGTGAAGCGGAATGAACGTCCAGATACTGCGTCCCTAACGTACACAGAACATGTTTGTGTCCGTCTCCACACTCCTTTCGGGCGTAGTCCTTCTATTGACATCGTGGCCTACCTTCGCTGCAAACAGTAACAGAACCATCGATGATACATATGGGGATTCGGTCACCGGACGACTCCCAATCTATGGGGGTCTGGGTTGGAATGATGGGCCGAACTGCCCTGGATGTGGCCTTCAGCCATCCCGGGAAGCGACGTTCATGAAAACGTGGCACGACACAACCTCGCATGATCCTAGTGACGCTGTGCCTCACACGGTTGGGCTCCTGTTCAATGGTACGCAGCGAGAGGTCTCACGGACCAGGACATAGGCTTACATGTATTTGCCAGGGACAGCAATCTGGGTCTACTGCATCATACCTAACGATGTGGCCCACGGCGTAACCACATTTGTCAACATGACCATTGCCTTGGACGGCGAGGTGGTCGGACACTACAGCCACGTCTCGGCCGCGAATTCCGATACATACAACTACAATGTCACTATATATAACAATACAGGCCTCGCCAACACACAACATCTCTTGCAGATGACAGCGATGCAGGACTCGCAGGCATCTGTAATTCTTTTCGACTGGGCCGAGTACACGTAAGTGCATAGATATCCCGGCGTTGACGTTGCTCTGACCTGCGTCGTTTTCGTAAGTTACGACGATGGTTTGGAAGAATCCCGTACTACTTCGACAGTGGCAGTGTCTACATCCATCCCAGTGATCGCTTCGGTAACGTCCTTGTCGAAGCATGGAACCACTACTTCCACCAACAGCCGTGCATCGTCGAGTGCCTCTAATGTCACATATACTAGCCAAGTGGCAGGCATTCAGAGCAGCAGCCAAGGTACGTGCCTCGAGTATGTGCATTCGCTCCTCTAGCCAACAAAACCCAGGTTCTCTCTCGCGAGCAACCATTATCGGCCTATCCTGCGGTATAGGATCTGCCGTCCTTGCCCTCATCACCATTCTATACATTCTTCTACGTCGACGTGCTCAAAATGTGGCCTCGCGCGATGTCGGCAATAACGAGCTCGCGGGCAGACATTTGGCAACAATAGTTGATCCGTTCGTGGATCAATCACTCGCCGACCAGTATATGCCGGGCCCTCCTGCCGTGTCAACGATGGCACAGTGGATACCTATCTCTTCTGCTAGCCCTACTAGTACCACGATGCATGGTACTGCATGCGGCTTCCCAGTGACGGTATCGGTAACCGCGCCCGCCACTGTCGGTGACAACGAGACCGTGCAGCCAGACGCACTCGAGGAAGCAAGAGAGCAGGAACGATACGATAGACATATTCGCAAGTATAGGGATCAAGTTGCGGAACTGCGCAGACTGGCGGAATTGTCTCGAGGCAGACTAGCCGCTTTCGCGCCAAATGGATCTGGGTTCAGTCGAGTGTAGCCGCCCTGCTGGCAGTGTCTCCCGAGACTATTATGTATTAACCCAGATGAGGGCATGTCCCACGGTGTCTGATGTTCCGACCGTCTATGTATGCACTGCTGTGTATGTGATCATTTGGCAGTGCCAGTACTTACTCATTGGGTCCCAGTGTTACTAGACGTCGACGCGCCTATAGTTTCCAGCTTCATAGCTGGCGGCTTAGGTGCTTTTGTTGGTATCGGATCCGGCGTCACCATTGTTATTGGTTTGCTTCGACGGCGGCGGAATAATCGCCGCCACGCAGAACGCCTTGCGGATGCACAGACAAGCTGACAGCAAATCACCATTTCACTTTCGGGACATCTGCCTTCAGATGCCACCGCCTCCGCCCGCGCAGACCTTGATGAAGTTCAGGTCCGTGAAATCCAATGCCAACCCTTGATGCTGCACGCCTTATAGTATCATCGCGAAGGTCGAAGACCCACTAATAGAGCTGCATAAAATGGTCGCACTGTAACATTGTCATGGCATGCTGCCCACCGCGAACCGGGGGGCGTCCGAGTCGGAGCATCTGCGAGTACATTCCACCATGGCAAGCGACTCGGGTCAGTCCGAGTACTAGTACACCTTTCGTTCGCATCTTCCGCATTCTTGTCCACGTCTATCTCGGGCATACCGTCCGACTCATCTCTCACGCCATAGTAAGTATATAGATATAGCGTTGATGCTTAGGCTGTGAGCTTGATTGTTGTTCTGAAGTTCAAGCCTTGACTAAGTCTCCCGAGTTCCCCTGCACACATCATCCGCGGGCGCGCCGGTCGTGGTACCGCGAATCACGATCGCAACACACAAGCTACTTGCGGTGAGTCGGTTTTCTACTTATAGCTAGTGGCACGGCTATCATGATGGCTGTAATACTCAGGCTTGCAGACTACGGAACGAAAGTTCTACAGCGGGGAGCTCAGCTCCATCTTCAGCTGCGAAGTTCAATTGCGATGATCGGAGGCGCCGAGAGCAACACGCCACCACCGTTCCAATGACTAAACTAGTTCCCGGTCTTTCGGTCTTGAATCCACAGAACCCGATCGCCTTTGTCGGGCGGAACACGATATCAGTGGATCTGCCGGCGGTCTATAGCTAGTGGCCACGCAGTGGGACGCGGACATAATGATAGCGCACCAGAGTGACAATGAACGCTTCGTTCGGCACCATACTGGCAGTACGGCGGCGACGGAACTACTGTCAGTGATGTCTTACCCTGATGAGGGCCAATTAATCGCGGGAACCACATGGACTCATGGTGTAGTTCCTTGTGATGATGCCACATCTTGACGGCGTGCGAGAATTGACACGGCTGCCAACAGAGTCAGCCGGGTGCAGAGAATGAACCAGAAGGTGCAGTGTAGACCACTCGGTCAGCCGTCTTCGATGTGGTGGTTTGTTATGTCTGGGGCGGCTCTGATGCCCTGAAGGACATTTATGTGGACGCTTGCGCAGTTGCTGCGCTTCCGATTGAATGAGTACATTCATTCAGGTCGCCGTGCGATGTTGACCCCACACTCCTTTCTACACTTGCAGCTGTGGTCTATTAGTCTTCTGCTACTCATTCCTCATGCATCCTCCATAGCCTGCAACAGAACGATAGACGACACTGACGGCGATTCTGTCACTGGCGTGCACCCGCGCTATTCGTCCTACTGGAACGACGGCCCAAGTTGCAGTGGATGTTCGGCACAACCTGAGGCGGATGAGACTTTCCATGGCACCTGGCACGACACGACCTCCAACAATCCAATGGGCAGCCCTGCGCACAACGTCAGTATAAGCTTTCAAGGTAAGTGGGATTATTGCTCAGCTTTCCTGTCAGATCTCAGAATTCAATTGCGCTTGGTAGGCACAGCAATCTGGGTATATTGCGTAGTCCCAAACTACATCTTGAATGCCGATACACTCGTGAACATTGATTTTACCCTGGACGGTGAATTCTCGAATACGTATACGCATTCACCAGAGCAGTCGGACACATATGACTACAACGTGACGGTCTATAGCAACACGACCCTCAAAAATATCAAACATACTCTTGTGCTGACGGCAAAAGATGACTCACCATCCATCATCCTGTTTGACTGGGCCATGTATACGTGAGTCTTGAGCCCGCGTGTCTAGCCCAACTGACGCGGCCCAACTGACTCGAATGTGCCCATTAGGTTCGAGGACGAGGAATCTGAAGCCTCGACCTGCCCATCTCAGACGCGGGTCCCAGCGACGACAGGGAGCACAACCGCTGCTACGACGCCGACATCGAGTACAGCCGCCGGTGCAGCGGCGACACAGATCCAGAGTACAGACGCTGTTGCAACGGCAACACCTGTACAGGCAAGCATGAGTGAGTCCTTGCAAACTCCAGCGTTCGTTCAGCATAGCTGAGATACCGTTGCAACTAGCTTCGCATTCACATAATCACATCTCCGCCGTGATCGGTGGTGTCATAGGCGGTGTCTGTGCCTTGACCGTCGCGATACTGTTGTGTTTCTATATCCGCAGGCGTCAGTTGCTCCCAGGTCGTTTGCCGTTGAAGGATCGCGACAGCTTGGACGTCAAAGGGGAGGAGGCTATCATCGAGCCATTTCCATTATATGCACAGACATACGCCGCTCCTCGGACACATGCACCAGGGCATCTGCCCATGAAAGGAAGACTTGCCACAGCCGCTTCGTCATGGAGGTGGCATGCAAGTACCACCCGTAGCTTGGAGCCCGGACCATCGATCGAGCCGCCCACCGTCGCATCCTCCGGCGGTACCACAATCTCGGGGGGGAGATCACGGCGCGAAGCTCTTGCGTCCCAGATTCGCGAAATGAAAGAGGAAATCAGGAGGTTACGTGAAGTCGCACTGCGGACGCCAGTGCCCAAGGCCGACCCACTCGCGGATGCATCGCTGAGGAAATCGTAGCGTCGCTTGAAACATCGTCTTCTTCGCAGGTAGCTGTTACAAAGCACGACTGCAATGAGATTGAAGCACTGATATAGTCTTAGGTGTACAGGTTCATACCTTTGGAAGAGGTATCACTCCGGCCGACGGGTAGTACTTTCCGAATCCCGGGTCATGGCCACCACGACTCGGTGACGGCGGCACCAGTGGCACAGCGTTGCGAATGCCCTTTTTCTGGACAACGATACGCACCCCCCTACTAGTATGGACAGAGCATGTCTGCTTCTATATGTATATGGTCACATCGTCCGTCTGTCCTGTTCATTGCATGGGAGAATAGGAACAGTAGCATGTTGACAAGTCCGCAGTGCGCGGCCAGTGCTCGCGGTGGTACGTCACGGTATCGCAGATCTGAATCTCAGGCCAAGGGCGGCGGTGTTGTGGGCGCCAATATTGGCTAAGTATAGTCTCCCCAGGCAGACGTAGACAATTCCTTCAACCTTCGTGCCTCAGGATATCCTTGTCTGACGATTATCGATCCGTCTTTACTACTGCTTCTTTGAGCTCACGAACCAAAGTCGCCTGCTCTCCTTACAGTCTCATCAACATTTGTCTCTATGAACACCGCATCCGACCTGGCAGATGCTGGCGTGACGCAAAAGATGTTCACAGGCAAGAAAGGAGTGCGTACTCCTCCATTCATCACCATATCTGAGGCAGTGTGAGATGATTGTGCGCGCGCAACCGGTAAGTGAAGCTTGAAGCCTTATGAGTGAGAGAATCAATCAACCGAGTTTTGCAGAACCGAATGGGAGGCTTCGTGGCGTAGCTCTTGAGTCTTCCCAGCTTGTTTCCCAATTGCCTCGCTGGCGTCTGGATCTCAATATTCAATAGGCATCGGATGAACAGCGAGCAAGACCGCGTGGCAGTGATATCATGAATGAAACCCCCGTCTGGGGTGTTTTCGAAGACAGTCCGGGGATCGCCTTTGTCCCGGTCTCGCCGTCACCTGAGCTGGTGCGTCACAGTTTCATACTCTCCGGTCCTGTGTTTGCAATCTGATGTACCTCAGTTGCTCGCTGCTCGCTGTATGGAAAGTGATGCCCATTCACTGAAGCGACTATGTATCAGCTGTCCTAGACCGCCTTTTGACATTGGGATGGTTCGACATTCACCGAGCGTCAGATCATCCTTGATTCATCTGTCATAGGAGTGTTATATGCTGCCCTGTCGCTGGCCCATCTCAAGGGTACTACCGCGAGCTCCCCCGGCCTTTGGCATTCGTCAGGGTTCCTTTGTCCGCGATCTTTTCTTTTTACCTTGTGCTTCCTTCCGCGCAGACATGTCTCTCTTTCAACAATTCCTTTCGTTGTCTATTTATCTTCTCCTGGCTCTTCCTCTCCACACCGCAGCAGCCGCCACCAACAGAACGATCGACGACACATATGGGGACTCCGTTACAGGCATCTCTCCCGGCTATTCGAAATTTTGGAATGTAGGACAAGACTGTGCAACGTGTGCTGTTCGCCCTTCGCCAAACCAAGCGTTCATGGGAACATGGCACGATACGACAACCAACAATCCCATGGACTATGTGCCACACAACGTGACGTTGACCTTTAACGGTACGTTGCATGTACGTTTCAGGGCGACTCGCCTCACAATATGATTCCTAGGTACTGCTATATCGGTCTACTGCATCATAGCCAACTTGGTCGAGTCAGACATCACCACGTTCACAAACATATCCTTTGAAATGGACGGTGCGCCGGCGGGCCACTATGTGCATACCCCGAACAAAGGGAACTTCGAGTACAACGTCACCGTGTACAGTGTCGCGGGACTCAGCAACGAACAGCATACCCTCATCATGACGGCGGCGCAGGGTACTAGTCCGTCCCTCGTGTTGTTCGATTGGGCAATGTACACGTACGTCACACACATCCCAGTCGATGAAGGTCTGACAGTATCTAAAGATACGACGATGCCGAGGCGTCGACATCGAGTGTCGACGCGTCGAGTCCGCAATCGGGTACATTGATATCGCCCTCTTACACTACAACGACAGAGGCCAACTTGACCACTATCCCGCCTGACGTCTTGACAGTCACGCTCACTGCCTCGTCAAAAACCCCTGGCTCTCTCGGAACTGGAGGCTCCTCAGCGAGCAGTACTGGCCCATTGTCGTTCCCGTCCTCGTCCTCGAGCACTTCCGGTGTACCCAGTGCGACAAAGACAGGAGCCGCCGTTGGTGAGTACCGCCTCGGTATTGGGTCAACGCAGGACTCATCAGCTCAGTAGATGGGCAAGTGAACATTGTGTTCGGTCTCTTACTATTTATACTCTCGAGTTGGGTTCTTGTATGAGGTTGATGCCGCAACGGGGCCTGTTGTACTTAGTTGATCGGTCAAGAGTTTTCCTTCGCGAATCGCTACTCAAAACGCACACCGCATCGGCGAGTATTTCTATTAGCGGGTGTGGCTGGCTGTTGTACGGACGTAGCGAACATTGCTGCCGGGAGATCGTGTAGTAGAGGTCGGTGAGCTGGTATCATATTTCGAATGTAGCATTCGGTACGAATCGATGAAGGTAGAATTGAGGATGTTCTCTCTAAGACTGAACTGTCTGAAACTGGTAAGTGGGACTTGGTGGTCGGCCATATTATCATTGACACGAGTATATGATGGGTTGAAACACGGCAGGCACCGCCCCGAGTTGCCAGGCGCCTGGGTGCACAGCCGCAGTGGGAGAGGGAATATAGAGGGCGATTGATGGCGACCGCCCGCAGCGCTCTCGGTGACGAGTTCCCTGACACTCGCCGTTGAACGCATCCCTGGACTGGTTCCTCGCTCAGAGCTGGGTTCTCTGCTGCTGTGTCTCTTGTAACGTCAACCGTTGAGCGGTACCCCTTCCTCTCCTTACGATTCGGTTTTACGGCATCATGAACAAAGTATTCGCAGTCTATCGTTACTTCGTCTTCGGTGAGTCTGCGCAGTCTCTGCAGCGCCATAGGACCGACTCGAGACATGACGATCCCTCTGCAGCTCTCTTTATTGCCTGCAATATCGGCATCTTGGTGGTGGCGGCTAAGGACATATCGCTCTCTTTTACTTCGAGTGATGGCTGTGAGTTTTCATTTTTACGGTCCACCTAACACTTGTCTCATCGGACGACCCTCTAGCCACAGTCGAGGTTGATGCGCTCCTGATTGCTCTGGGCAGTGTGGGATTGGTCTTTACATTGCCTGTGTGAGTGGTCATCGCGCTCTGAGCACTCCACAACACGGGATTGACGGACACTACAGCCTCCTTGTCGACGCCCTGCGCAAGGAAACTGTCGTTCGACATGTCTGGTTTGAGTGCTTCTGGGTCGGTCTCTTCTGCCTGTTGCAATTGTGTACGTTCCTGTCAATACCTGCTACGCATTTGTTCTCACGAATCCATTGCAGCGAGCGCTGGTGTCGTCACGCTCACTATGTCGGGCATGGGTGAATGTGCCTTGTACCAGAAGAGTGCGTATTCTGCCAATATAATATGAGGCACGGGCAGCTAACCTTCATCTTCCTAGATGGCGTCACCGTCATCGGCTCCTGCGACTATTCCACCTCGACGCTCCTTATGGCGTTCACATGGGCCGCTGCTGCCGACCGTGAGTAGGAAGGTTCTGTTACTCAGGCTGCTCGCTGACTCTACTTGAATATAGTCTTGCTCTACCTCTTGACCGTGACTGTCATCGCCATTTTGCACCAACAAGATGACCCTCTTGTATGGAAGGCTTATGTCTCTCAGTACTCCTGGTTCGCTGTCCGTCATTCCTTGGGCAGTGAGCCGCCGACCCCTTCGCTACCGGTACAGTCCGTCCCGAAGTCTGGTCAGTCGGAGTTCTCCAACCGGATGGTGGCCCCGAGACGCGACACCGACCCGGAGAAACAAGCCCCCGCCTCCCTGCAGGTGCCACCCCAGACCTCCCTCCCCCGGCGCCCCTCGCTTGAGAAGTCTCAAAGGTCGCCGACATGGACACCCCGCCAACTGCAGCTATCGGCCAGCGTTCCTCTGTCGCCGAAAACTGCGAAGGCCATCCATTCTCGTCGCGTGGAATCACCCGCAGGTGCCCCCGTCAACCGCACCTACGTTCCCGCGACGCGTCCGAGGGAGTCCACGAAGAAGGTCCTCAGGCTGCACAGGCCGCCCTCATTGGACTTGTCCCGTATCACTCCCCCGCGGTAGCCCATCGCGCCTGAGGATACCAGCACGTACCTTCTTCATCCCCTTGGGGCTCCCGGTGTCCCTTTGTGGGTAGTGGGAGATGGGCAGAATGGGACAGGCGTGCTGGTATGCACAGCTACGTTGCGTTGTGCTCACGACTGTCCACGACTTCATGCCCACGACCGAATGGTCGGCGAATGACCACTTGTCACTGGTTGTAGCCCGTCGCATGCGGCGGGTCTATGTCTGGCGGCAAGTATTTCGAATGACTGTAGCCGTAGACCAGTATTGTAGCATCTCCCTAATGCGCGAAGTTACTTGCACGTTTAATTTATTCGTCAGGTCTAGGCTGTGCGTCCTGACAGGACGCTCAGCTCTGACCATATTTTCGATGATATATGCACACCGGACTGAATCTGAGTGAGCACGTACTGTACAGGAAATTTGGCTTGGCAGCTAGGATGTGGGCCAGCCGTCCTACGGGTCTCCAAAAACCAACCCAATCTGGCTCTCAAGGAAGGCACACTGGGCTGCTCTGTAAGGCTCGATGGTCTCTGTGGCTGTCGCATTGATGACGATCTCGTTGTCTCCCGTATATGGCGCCCACTCCACCACGGCGCCTTCGTAGTTTGGATTCCCGGTCCAGACAAGAGACGTCCAACGGTTGATCACCTCGCGAGTGGTCGCGACCTGGCCTGGGGTCAGAGGCTGATACAGGTTGTCTGTCTCGGCCGTAGCGAACACCCAGTAGAGCTCGTCTGCGTGGCAGACCTGCCCGACGCATGTCTCGGGGTTTGGCGTGAGCGGCGAGCCCAGACCAGTGGCGAACACGACCTTGAACGAGTTGCCCGGGTTGGTGGTGTTTGTCTCGAGGGACGCGAGGTACACCATCGGGCAGTGCACGGCGAAGTCGGTGATGAGTTGCGCGAGTGTCAGCACCGCCCCTGAGATCCCGTCCTCTGCTGGTGCGGTCTCGTACGGCCAGAGGTCCGTCGCGTTCAAGATGGCCTGTGCGCCAGTTGTGTTGAACGCGATCGAAAGGTACTCCGGGAAGATGGAGGCGTTCGCGTTCGGCGCGATCGAACTCGGCAGGAAGTAGCAGTACTCGCATTCGTTGCTCGCCCAGATGGTCGGCACGCGCGCGTACACACCGTCCTCGATACTGGATGCGATGTCGGTGAGGACGTAATCACCGTCCACGGCGATACTCCAGGAGATGCCAAGGTTGTAAGATGCCATCGCTATGTCACCGGCAGGAAGCTCCTGCACGCATTCAGCCACGGTGTCGTTGAATGTAGATGAATTCGAAGCGCATCCGAGGTACTGCGCAAGCCTGAGTGACATGTTTTGGGCGAGTGGTATCGAGAGGAAAGGGTCGCTCGTCCCGAAGTCTGACTCAAGGACAGCAGCACCTAGAGGACGGTCAGTCTCCTGGTTTCGTTGTGATATGTGAGGTCTTCCCACTTACTGAACAGGCCTTCTGTGTAGGCGGGGTTTGTGCCGAGCAAGTATCTCGTCATGATGCCGCCGGCGGACTCGCCATAGATGAGTACCTTCGTTGGCTTGTATGACTGGATCAGCAGAGCGACCAACAAATCGTTCGAGCTCTACTTACATCCCCACCAAACGACTCGATGTTGTCCTGAACCCACTGCAACGCGAGAAGCGCATCCTTCAAGGCGGCATTAGAGGCGTTGAACCAACCGAACGCGGTAAGGCGATAGTTGATCGTGACCAGGACAACTCCCGCGTACGACACGAGGTTGGTACCGTCATAGATATTGGAGATGGAATTCCCAACGAAGCCGCTCGTGGTCATATTGAAGGGAAACGGTCCGCTGTCGCCTGTGTTGAGACCGCCGCCATGTACTGGGCGAATGATAATCAATTTCAATGACATGTCCGAACTCAAACGCCAAGTACTACTCACTGAAGAACATTACTGGGAGCTTAGGCGCAGTCTGAATCGAGTTCATCGCAGAGTCGACGACAGGCGAGAAGACATTGAGATAGAGACAGTCTTCGTTCGTATATAGTAGATGTCCGTTGTCCGCATCGGGTGGCTATCGCTCGTGTCAGTACATGCATGCCTAGAATCGTTCCTTTATTGCATACCTGAGGGCACATGGTCCCATACTCGAGCGCGGACCGTTCGGTATCAGCTTCAACTGTCAACGCAGTGGGTGGCTGGAACCTGGCGCTTCCGTTGGTCGACTCCGCGTATTTGATCCCAAGGAAACGGAACGTGAACTTGTCACGGTAGCCAGTCAGGACGCCAGCAGAGGGCGTGGAGAGCTGGATCTGGCGAGTGGTGTCATAGGAAGTGACATTCGAGCGCGTCAGAGGAGCGGAATTCGTGCAAAGGACAGGGAGCTCGGTGCTGAAGTCGATGTTTGGGTCAGGTTGATATCCGGCATCGGAATATTGGTAGCTTGGCGTGAACGCCGCGCAGCTGTTTGGAGCTACAATACGACACAATGAGTACTCTGCGACGCGAAAGTCGTTGAGCTCGAAATTCTCACCTTCACCGGCAATCCAGATCTGCTGCGTTCTGTCTAGAGCGGCACCATGCCGTTCAGACGTGAGCACAACGGACAAGTTCTGCGCCGTAAGACCAGCCGTCGTGTTCGGCGCGGGTAGAAGACTCTCCTGAAACTGATCGCAAGCCAGGGACGCTTCCTCGCAGCTGAACGCACTCTTCAAGTACAATGCACTCGCGCGGTTTGCGTTAGACGGGTCGAGATCATTATTTGAGACGATGACCACGTCTGTGTCGGCATATGTACTCCAACCAGCGACGAGAGTCGAGGGCAGGCTGAACAGACAGCCGAGCAGGGCCGCATAAAGCGATGGTGTGCGCACCATGGCGTCCAGAGTCCACGGTCGAGCTTCATGACTGCTCGGTCTCCTTAAATACGGGGGCCTGGCACCGCGAAAAAGTCAGCAACGGCCATGCAACTAGAGCAGCTGACTGTCATAGCATATATGTTGCGCTGCGACAATTCCCATCAGCTTGCAATGGACGGCCCGACGGGCGACCTGACACGGAGGCGTCGAGAGAGGAGTTCTGCCCATAAATTTCCGAGGAACGGGGTGCCGTCGATCAGGGCTTCGTGCAGTGGTATTCCCATGCAGCGAGCTCGCAGGCTAATTTGAGGGCGACGCAGAGAGGGAGCCCCGACATTGTCATGGGAAGACCTACGCAGGGCATCAGGTGGTCGGTGGCAACGAGTCGCATGTGCGCCAATCTCGGATGCCGACGGCCACTGTGCATGCGCAACTGACAGAACACTTCAGCTGCCAGTGCCTGTTTGCTGCCTGCGACCTGCTTGAGTACGCTACATGTAGGTTGTGCTTAACAAAGCGACGCGTCTCTGCAGCCTTGACGGCTATGACAACTGTCTACAGCTACTAGGTATGTAGTGCATAATTGGCGCTACATCTCGTCGGTAGTTGTAATTTCCATACTACCAGCGGACCGTCTTGCCGTGCCATTTCTGAAGTACACTGTATTCTTACATGCAGATACTGTAGATACAGGAGGACACACGAATCGACAAGCACAGTTCGGCAAAACGAAATGTAAGGTGAGTACGTCCGCCGACTCAGGAGTCAACAGCGACACCACGCGCCGCCTATGCAAGAGTAGTGTGCATGGCTAGGGGAAACGTGAGCAGCTGGATGGCGATGACAATACACTGAATTCGCTCACAATAAAGCCAACTACGCAGCGCCATCGTAAGGCATATTTGAGCCGTTATCATCGACTGTGTCTACGACTCGCGTGATGTTGACGGTGAGCGGGGGATACACCGGTGGCGCGTCTGCCGCAGCGTACGGATGTGCGCCCACCACGTACGGCTCCTTATACGAGTAGGGGACGCCTTCCACCGCACTAGCCAGCTCGTGCTTGCGTGGCGGGTACGACGTAGAGTGGGCGGACGTTGTAGGCAAGCGAGGCGTAAACCCGCTGCCAGTGCTTTGGCTATGGTAGTGTGCCTTCTGTGCCCATCCGAGGGCGACGCGGAAGTTGATCAGCATGAAGGTGATGCCGCAGATGGGGCTCCAGACGTCGATCGCGGTGAACTGCACCACGGACTGCAGCTGGAACTCGAGGAGAAAGAAAAAGTTCCAGCATCTGTTGTTGCAGTCGTTGGTGAGCCCACCGGGACGGCGATGTAAAGACCAGCGTGTACATACGTATGGATGAGTGCGCTTTCTATAACAATCGCCAGGACGCCCTGAGATGGAGGTGAATTAGCTTATCAAAGGGCCCATTGATTGGCAGTAGAAGTACCCTCAAATTTCCACCGCCAAACGACTTGCTGCGAATGCGGCTGCGCCAAATACGCCATGCGATGCAGACTTGGTAAGATGTGAGTTGTCGTGTTCTCAAAAATATCTGATGGCAAACGCACCGGTACAATACACGTTCGTGCTGTGCGCAAGTTGCCTAAGCCGACGGTCACAATGAACGAGCTTGCGGGCTGCTACTCACATAAATGTCATGACGCAGTCGCTCGTAATCCAGCGCCCAATCTCGCCGTGATATGCGTTCTCGCCTAGTTGATACAAGGAGAACCGCCAGCAGAGGCCTACTCCGCACACTGAAGAGATGCGATGAGAAACCACGGCTGAAGTTCGTGTATCACGGACACCTCACCAATCAGTCCAAACCAAGTCAAGATGGGGAAGATGATGATCCACTTGTTGTAGCCCCAGATGATGTACAGGCGGTAAATCTGTACGGGTGAGTCAGTCAATCGTGGTATCGCGAGACTCAATGCAGAACTCACAATCATGGCATCCGACGCCAGCACAGTGGCGAGAAAACATGCCGTTTTGGCGATCTCGGACGGTTCCGCGATGTTCGCATAGACGTACAACGGCTTCGCACCTCCCATAGATTCTACAAAGGCGAAAAAGAGCCGATAGACGGTGAGACTCCAGTGCTACAATATGATGTGAGTGGTTTGAAGGGTACCGCAGAGACGAACACGTACCGCGGTCACAGTGAGGGCGATAAAATTCGATGCGATGAACATCGGTGTTTTGTAGATCGAGCGGGTCGACGACCCAGTCTGCGCCGCCTGCGAGCGGGCACGCTGCACTAGCAGGAAAGTAGACAGCGCATAGAGGACCCAGAACACGCCCGTGAGGGCGCTCTCTATACAGACAGTAGCGAGGTTAGTAGTAACGAGCGACGGAATCTCTGGGTTGCTTGACATATTCACAGCGCTGGTTGCGCAGGACGGCGCACGTAAGATTCCTGTCCTGCACGACGGTCGGTTATGTACTTCGGAAGGTCTGCAAACAGTTGTACCCGTCAGGGGCTGCTATGGGGCGCCACCAACATCCGGCTTCGATGGGGATCCAAGATCCTGCGAAGGATCCGCCCAGAGTGGTCGTCATAAATTGTTCCAGGAACTCGGGGACGCGATGCCGACGCTGGCTGCGAGAACACCTTCCAGTTCTGGTGGCCGGAGCATACCCTCTTTGGGGTCGCCCCCGATGTGTTTGATCGGGCTCCGATCTGTCTTGGGCAAACTCGATCATGACGCACATGAATGGAAGATCCCTCCGAAAGAGAGTATAAGAGAGTTTAGAACCACCCCAGAATCGTTCAGCCTGAACGCGCTCGCCGACACTTGAAATGAATCGTCCGGCCGACTTGTTGAGGTGAGCGCTTTGTGCCGTCTTCTGAACGTCCTCTTGGCCAAGAGAAGATGTGCTTGGACTGTCAAATTGAGGTCAGATGCCTCGAGGAAGCGGTGTAATTGTCTAGAACGCACGTACTAATTTGCTCTCGACCCTCCGACAGATCGCACAACCTTAATTGCGCCCCGTTATGTCGGAAGAGGTTTGCGAAGACGCGGTCACGTGGTACATGTAGCAGATCGATGGTCTGGAAAAATCCGCCTGTCAAGAGTCTGCGAGACGCGTCAATCGCGTCCATAGATGCGGTGAGAGAGCGCATGAGTCTGGAGAAGTGCGGGAGACATGGTGGATGCCTGTCAGAGTTGGTAATGTCTGGGTGATGTCTCGGATCAGGTACGGTAGGCCGGTAGGGTCGGCTACAGGCACGGCACGACGTGCTATAGACATGGCGACCTCACCTGGCGACTACGGTCATCACTGCCGCTGCACTGCAATATTGGATAGGAACACATAGTGTTTATATAGAGCTTGGACGGCCTCGTACGCACCCTGTTACAGTCCCGGTCGCTGCATGACTGTAGCTGGCTGCTCCGCGTTACTCGCACACGAGAGAGCGATACGTCGCACCCAGGGAACAACGCGTCACACACATCTGTGAAAGAGCTCGTCACCCTACCCCTCGGCCAACTCGGTGATGTGGATGAACATACCTTCACCGACTCCATATGTTGGCCTGTCACCGAGAGGGTCCCAGCATACAAGACCGCCGGCTAGTCAATGGCGCCGATTCAGGGGCACCAAGCCCACATCGATCGCAGTCATCTCTCGCTCAGCGTCCGACCATCATTAATCTTTGCAGGTGTATGCATGCATCACTGGTCGCCAGTGGCGCTGGGGAGTGCATCAATTCGACCATTGCACCCGCTTCAGTGAACATCGTGTTCGGACCGAGTCGAGTGCCGCGGCCGTACTGTCAATTGCTGCTTCCTGCAGCACGGGGCACTTTCGCGAGCTTCCAAGAGAATCATGTATGGGGCACAAGATGGGGCAAAGTTCGTTGCCAACGCGTTATACGAACTTGTATACCATGTGTACTGATGAGTCCAGGCACTCGAGTGGATGATCTTGTGAAGACAGTACTCACTGAAAGAGTGCCCTGCTTAGTTCGGTGAGCAGGTGGGCTCAGTGTATGTTGCAGTTGATAACCCCAAGCAGTTGATCTCTTTGTCAGAGGGGAAGACGGTCTTCTTTGAAGTATTGCGGTCGACGTCGACTCGGACCTCCCCTTGACGTGAGTCGGGTCTACGATGCCTGGCAACATCAGTACGCGGAGTACTGACCGTTCCCGTCGTATACTCCACGTCTGAATGACGAGATATTCCGGGCAAGAAGATCGACAAGACAATAAGAAAGCAGTGCACCGAGTGAGAAGACGTGATCCCGCGAAGCAAACGGCCTCGAGACACCGGCGCTTGTTACCTCAATGGGGGCGCCTACGCGGTCGTCCATTGTTTTCTGGCCGCCATTGTTCTCGCTTTGGACACGACGCCTGCACATAAAACCATGCTTGGCCACGGCCCATTCGCTTTGTGGCCCCGGCGGTCCCGGATCGTTATAGAACCTCGACCTCGTCCCTAGGACCGACTGCTTTGTCCCCCCTTCCGCTCGTGCCATCTGCACTGACCCTTCTCGGGTGCATCTCAGGCTCATTTCCGTTTGACTTTTCGGACGCTAGCTTCTAGGCTTGCTGTGACGACGACGACGTCTTAGACCTCGCCGTGATACGTTTTGATACGTGCTCTCATATATACTGAACGCTCTGCGTCCCCTGCTGTATCTCTACTCTCGACCCACTCTGTAAACGCGCCACACAAGATGCGCAACCCGTTCATTCTCTTGCGATTCGTTCTTTTCTGCGAGTGTCCATGATGATCATGTCTAGAATGGTGCTGACGCGCTTCGATAGTCTTCCTACTGTACTTGAGCATCCTCGCGCTTGGGTTCGCGTCATGGAATATTGCAGCAGCGAAGAGGGCCTCTCTCAATGGTGCGTTCCTTAAGGCTATGCTGCGTATCACTCTGGCTCACTGTCTTGTGCAGAGAGCGGCGCACCTGTCTTCGTACTATTCAACACTATCCTGACTATAATATACTTGCTCTTGTATGTCCCCTCGCCGCGCAAGGTCTCACCATTGACTCATCACTCTTTACAGGGCCCTAGCAGAGCTAATATTCCCGTCTTTTTGGTCTCCGACGATTATGTTGGAGTGCGTGTGGGTAGCGGCCTTTGCGATTATGGAACTTGGTGAGTAGTAGCCGCACGCTCTAACAAGAATCCTTGCTCACCGTTCCCATTCGTAGCTGCTGCGATAGACATCACGGTCAGCGGGCCGATCATTGCTTGCAGAGCGGATGGTGCGTACATCGTGTATACCAGACAATCCCATGCTCACACTCATCACAGATGCCATGAGTGCATGCGCCTCATCGACTCTGCTGGTCGTCGTCACTTGGGTGACCAGCTCTCTTCGTAAGCCTTCTACCTTGGTAGCGCTCCACTGCATGCTCATGACTTGCGCAGTGTTGCTGTACCTCTTTGGTCTGATCGGGATTACGATCATGCACTCGAGCACACAAGCGGATATGTGGGGTGCTGCGATCACTTCCGTCCCGTGGTTCGCTACTTCCCAATCGCCGTCTTCGCCTCCTAGCTCCGGGAAGCAATGGTTCTATCCTAAAGATCCTGAGCGACAGGACTTTGAAAGCCCGGTATTCAAGGACGATGAGTCCCTGTTCACGGCGTCGTCCAAAACGCAGTCGATGTGGAAGCCTGCGGGCATCATCCGTCCTCCTTTCAAGGCTGTCTCCATCTCCGCTCCGTTCAGCAAGAGTGTGGAGAGCTTGCGGCCGACATGGGCGAAGGACGTGAAGCCCCGCCGCGGCGTCGACCCTCCCTTCCTCTCGCCGGGGAAATCCCAGAAGAGCGCGCCGCGCCTGAAATCGCACTGGAGCTCCTCCACTACGGTGTCGACGTACGCGCCTCCCGTGCTCCCACCGAAGACCCGCTCGCCTCTGGGCAGGCAGCGGCCCGGCGAGGTCGAGCTCGAGATTCCGAGCCAGATGAGTCTGCCTGTCATCACGCCATCGCCGAGCCGCCCCATGTCGTATGGGATCTTCCCGGAGGACGTGCAGGACCCGGACATGCCCATCAAACCTTGCCACCGCTCGGAATGGATCAGGGCGGATAGCGAATCGCGCTAGACGCGACTGGAGCGCTCCGCCGACGTTAATGCTGCGCATGAACACGAGTATACCACGACCGGACACTACTACTTGGGGCTTTGTTTATTTGGCGTCATTGACGAGCATGTATCATATATTCCACTCTTTGTAGCCAGTATCTGTACATCCTAGATAAATGTATATTCACAACACACTGTTTAATCTTCCGTAGATGGAGGTTCCTCGTCTTGCGGCTGTGCATGGACCTCGAGCTCGTGGATGCGCAGACGCAGCTTTCGGTTCTCTTCACGGGTATCAGCTAATGCGACAATCATTCCTTCCAGCTCTCTCCTCGTTTCCTCCAACTGGCGCACATTATCCTCCTCGAGTTCGCCCGCACTAACAGCGATACCTTTAAAGAGTCAGGTACAGGATGTCAGAGCAAGATGACGCAAGTCGGAGCCATACCTTGGACCAACTTCACCAAACGCCAGAGTCGAAGGATAATGAGCAGCCCTGCTAGCTCCCTCTCGCGTCCTCGAAGAACGACCTCAAGGACAAATGTCGTGACGATTACGACAGCATCAAAGAAGTGCAACGACGAATGCAGTGCCTGTCCGCCGGGCTTGTAATACCTCCAGCCTTGCGCCCATATCGTGAGAGGGATTTCAACGAGGAAGAACGTGGTGATGGCGAGCGAGATGTGGGAGAGCACGGTCAGCCAGACTGGCTGGTTGTCCTCGGGGACGCAGTTCTCCTTCAGAAAGGTGTAGCCGAGGTCGCCCAGGACGCAGGCAGAGTCAATCAAGACCTGTTTGACCAGAGCATCCAGAGGTTGGACGAGAAATCACGCAAGGAGTGAAAAGAGTACGAGCCAGCGTGATGACTGCCTTGTGCAGTTTGGGTGATTCTAGCAACTCCGCGGTCCACTCTTTCCAGGATGCTTCTTTGCTAGTACCGCCTTGGTCGACATCGCGGTCGTAAGAGCTGCTCGTCGGAAGAAGTGGTTCCTGCTCGGACATATTGTCGTGGCAACAGACACAGAGACAGAATTTACAGCGGGCGGTGGCCGAGGACGGCATGATGATGATGATGAACTCAGCATTTATATACCGCAACAAGCAAACAGACGTGCTAAGACGCGGTCCTACTATACTAAGTACAGTAGGCAAGTCGATGGTGGGGGTTCGGGGTGATGTCATGAGGCTTATGTAGTAATGGGCAGGCAACGGTGTAGGGCAGCATAGGGTGTGTCAAAGCAGGGCAACAGGTCCGGGGTAACGATGACAACAAAAGGTCCAAATCCTACTCCTCCTCTCGATACCTTCTCCAGCGGTCTACTTGTCTTGAAGTCCTGGGACCGGCCGCTCACCGGGCTCGTCGTGTCAGCCCCAACGAGGGAGTTCCGGGTTTTGCGGTCAAGCATTCTCGAGGCCTGTGGTGATGGTGGGTGAGTGGTGGCGATAGGGATAGGCCCGGCGTGAGCCTGGCTATGGGTTTCGAGGTGCTGCTCCGTACACAGCGAGCGCAACGGCTGGGCATAGCTGAAGACCAGTCGATGGAAAGCCTCGGGTGGCGGTTGGGTGGCAGGAATGCATCGCGACGAGGTCGGATGTACCCGCGGCGGCAGGGTTTGGCGTTCAGTGTTCTGGTCGACTCGACATTGCGAGACGACGGGCTATCGGCTGCGACGGGGAGCTGTCGACTTTAGGATCCTAGGCGAAGGAGAGAGCGTACGGAGACTCTCTACGTTGCCCGGTGTCCTCCCTTGGCCCAGCAAAAAGCGTGGGAAAAACTCGGCCACGTCGTGGTACGAGTCCAAGGAGCTCTGGCCGAGGACGGCAGACAGGACAGAGCACCGCGCGCCTGCCTGTCCTCGACGTCAGCGGGCGTGACAGGACGCGATTGCAGCGTGACTGCCGCGTCGCGTCGCGTCTCAAACACGTGTGCGCACCTCGTCTGTTTCATCCACAACACTCGAATCGCCGACCAGCACTGCGGCTCCAACGGTCTCTGTGAATAGAGCACCCTTGAATTGCTACAGCCATGTCACTTGCGCTCGCAGATGCCGCCTTGTTCTGAAGCGACCCCACACCTATCATTGAGACTCGCGTCGACGTCCCCGAGGCAGTGCGCAGGCCACCTACTGATGAGATGCTCTGACAGTTTGCAGACGCCGAGATGCCATTTGATCCGTATAAATTGTCCTGAAATACCCTGTGCGTCTCCAGACGTCCCCTCAGGACTTTCCTCCTGGACCCCCTTCGTTTTCTGGGCTCAGACTGAGTCGGCCCCTGGTTTCTTTCTTTACTTTCTCCCTGGCGGCCTTTCGTTCTTTACTTCTACCCGGTGTATAACTAGCTTGAAGCTTTTACTGCCACTATGGAATGGTGGTCTGTCTTCCGCACAGCCCGGAGAGCTGTTTTCGGTCAGTTCTCGCCTTCCGTTGCCAAGCCCGAACACGATGCTAACAATCGTCTGTAGGTGTACTGTCTATTGTCAGTTTGGTTTGGGCGATTCTTCTCTCTGTCTACCTCGCTCGCGAGTGGAAAGACGCGGTAGAGGCACAGCGTGAGTGATCCCGTTTGCTGTACCGATGGACGTTGCTCATCACAGATGGCGCAGGCGTGATCGTACTACTGATGATATGCATGAACGCCGTGTTCTCCGTACTACTATATCTTATGTGAGTACTCCTTTCCCGCCTGACCGCAGATGTCCTGAACGTACTATAGGATCGTAGTAGTTTTCGAATTTTGGCTCGAGTTTGCGAGGACAGGTTTCTTATTTGCTGCCCACCTCGGTAAGCTCCTCAGTCCCTGTCATCCGTGAGCGCCATTGATGATGCGGCTCTAGGGGTTGCTGTGTCCTTGACAATTGTAGGACATACGTTCGACTGTTCCGTCTTCAGTGCGTGCCTTGCCATGAGGAGATAACTGAATGATTGCTGAACAACGCGCCTTTGTTAGAATCCCAGAACATATGCACGGGCACGTACCGCTTCTCGTTATTCATGGAGTGGACGATGGCGATCGTTTGTGAGTAGTCCTACTTCCGACGTGGTTCCATCCGTTGACCATCCGCAGTCCTCCTGCACGCGATCACTCTTTGCTTGATGTCGCTTGTTCCACAGCCACGACCAGAGGAACTCATCATACCTAAGGAGAAGCTTGTACACGACGTCGAGGGGCAATTCCACGAAATCGACCTGAAGAGCGCGTCTGCCGCGCTCAGTCCCGGCCTCGAGGTGACTAAGGTGGAACGCGTGTCGGTCGCGCCGGCTATGCTCATGACCCTCGGCTCGACGCCTACACGCGGGCCATGGCACTATGCGCGCACGGCGACACCGGAGACACCCTCGCGATCCAACACGATCAATGACCTGCCTTCACTCCCTTACGGCGCGTTGTCTGTCGCTGGATTCGTCGGCGAAGGTACAGGCCGCGCGAGTCCCGCACCATCGTACAGTTCTACGGATCTAGCGTTCCCTCGAGGAGCCCCCACTCCGACGACACGTCGCATGCGATCACTGCGGCTGAACCGCTACGCCGTCGACCCTCTCGCGCGCAACGGCTCAGTGAACTCGCTGGCGCCCTCGTCCGACTCCTCCCATAGCGCGTACAGCCAGATCTCGAGCGCAACTATCGGCGGCTTCCCGCGTCCTCCACAGGCAGTCGTCCTGAAGCGATCGTCCTCAGACGCGTCTAGTCTTTCCCAAGGACCGAAGAGTGCAGTTCCGCACAATTTCCCGCCCCAGCTGCGTCCAGGCACACCGACCACCGCTCGCGGGTTTAACTTCCCCAGGGTGCCCACAGTCTATTCCCCATCGACGAACGGCCCCTCGCGCGCAGACACTGCGACGCCGGATTCGTTTCATTCCGTCGAGCCTAGTCTGTGTTTCATAGACCCTAAGGAGAGGGAAGGAGCTCCAGCCGGCGAACAGGACGAGAAAGCGAAACTGCTAGCGCGCCAGTCGATGGGCCTCACCCGCCAACCGACGCAGCGACTCCAGCTGCCGAACCCCTTCAGTCCCGAAGGCAAGATCATGCGCAGCCCCACGATCTAGACGCTTAGGTCTCTCCCATCGTCCAGAATACTCCTTTTCCGGAGGCGGTCCTCTGACAACGACACGCACGTCCGGCTGTCAGACGTGTGTTCCGAACCAGGAGACGTGTCAGTAACCCAGAGTGGACAATTCTCATCATCAAGGGCCATGGAATTTGTTGTTGGACATACGGCACCCATGTCAGTCGCTCCTGTCTCACGTCAGTCGAAGTCCATGTACATAGTCGATCTGCTTGCCAGGACATCGACTGATCTTCTTGCACTATTGTAGTTCGCAGAAGTCATTATGACCCTGTGAACACACAGCATAATCCGGCACGCGGTCTTCGGACAGGCCTGTTGACAAGGTCCAATGGTCGTACAGAGATGCCTTTTGCAACCCGAACACAACATTGATTCCTTGATGAATATCATTATTTACCCAATCCTGATGCCCAATGCGAAGCCTGCGATGAATGATGCCCTTTGCTGGAAGTCGGCAGTCAGGAAATCCGTGATCCACCTCAGGAGTGAGCCGACGTTGGGCGCTTTCTTCCGCCCGACTGCGTCTGTCGTGTAGAACAGGTTCTCGAAACGGGAGGCCATGCGCGGCCAGTCAACGCGCAGAAGGTTGAGAGAGCCTAGGTACTGTAAGGGCAGAGTTGAGTCTAGGTTAGCTGTGTACGTGGGTGCGCGATACGTACCTGGAGCAAGACAAAAACACCGCCGAGCATGAAGGCTACTGCCTTGGCACCTTTCTTGACGAAGACTCCCGCGCATATGCCTGCGACGGTTCCGAAGGTGAGCTCATAGTAGCTGACACTCGACTGTGGCGGAGGTGCTTCTGGAGACTGGAAGCCTGGCGATGCTTGACTCGGCTTGGACAGTGGCGTGGAATGAACCCTGCTGTTGGGTTGTTGCATCTCTACGACATTATAAGTGAGGCTCGTGGATGGTCTCCAAAGAACTCACGCTCGCAGAATATCGTTGGTGCAGCAAAGATCGAGAGACCCAAACCCACTCCGGCGACACCTCCTGCCTTGAGCCAGAATGGCAGGGCTCCTCTAGCTGAAATCACCGGATACGTTGATACAAACGGCGACTTGCTCGGATAAGATGCGTTGTTGCGCCATGCAGAGTGGGAGAACGCAGACTTCGGCCCGCTAAGTCTGCTGACGTCGCGCGCAAGGGCATGTCTGAGACCGCCGAAGCCCAGTTGCTGGATGATGTTTCGCGAGAGTCCTACAAAGCAGGACGACTGCATGGCGATGTAGAAGGTGGTGGTACGAGTTCAAGTTGTGCGTTACTCGGCTGCTCCTCAAGGAACCGCTGGCGGGGAACGCGCGATCGACATGCATGACATCACGTCAGCTGATCGCGCCAGTCACAGCCTCTGTCACGCGCGAGTGTCACCCTGTCCCAATTTTCGACTGCCTTTTTGGGAAAACCTCGATCGCTGTTACTCTCCACTCGGACGGAACGGGCCTGCTGCAGAGCCCTTCTCGCCATCACACATAATCATGGGCCGTCGTGCGAAGAACAAGCAGGCACCGCCAGTGCCTATACAAGACACTACTCCTCGGCCCTCTGCGAAAAAGCTCGGCAAGCGGAAAGCCGATGCAGATGCAGATGTTAAGGAGAGCATCGGCAAACGACCAGCAAAGAAGTTACGGGAAAATCATGAGCTTCCGACGAAGCCTGCGGTCGGGAAGGCAAGGGCTGGACTGGCAGAGAAGGTGACGAAGCCTGCGAACAAGCCAAAGCCAAAGAGACGGAAGGACGAGGAAGACGAGGAAGACGCCGAAGCGGGGAGCAGCGAAGGATGGGAGGGTGTGCCAGAGGATGGAGATCTTAAAGCCAAAGCAAAGTATGTTCTAAATGAACAGTTTTGTACCTTCCGAAGTCTCACATATTATGCCCGTAAGATCGCTCTTCCACGACAGTGACAACGAAGGGGTATTCGTCGGTGACCTGGAAGACCTAGATGTAGACGGGGAAGATGGCGAAGAGTGAGTCTAGAGTTCCCACAATAGCACCCCCGCTTTCCGAGATTCATACTGACATTTTCTCTGTGCCCCAAGCGACGACCTCTTACGAGGACCAGCCCAAGAGCTTGACCTGGGCTCAGACGACGAAGAGCTGGAAATCGCACCGTCTAAGTCAAAAGGCAAGAAGTCAAAACAGCACGAACGACCCGCCAAAATTATCCCCACTGCGTCAGACGAGTCTTCAGACGACGAAGATGACGAAGACGGGCCTACCACCATGGCGAACATGGAGGCTCGTTCCAGAGCTCTGGACGCGCAAGCAGCGCGCGAAGCTGAGCTTGATATTGAGGAAATGCAAAACGCGGCACAGGCCGGCGAGGATGATGATGAGTTCGCGGACGCAGACGAGGAGGAGGATGAGGAGATGGGTGGGGAGGGTGAGGACGTCGAGGGTTTCCATCTGCCAACAGCAGAGGAGAGAGAAGACGAGAAGAAGAGCGGCGGTCCCGATGTGCATACAGTACAGAGACGCATGCGCGAATGCGTGCGTGTGCTGAGTAACCACAAGAAACGCGCCGCTCCAGGACGGTGAGTAGTTTGTATCAATCGAAGGGGCTTGGAACTTATTGTACGAACCATGCAGATCTCGCACCGAATATGTCCAGCAACTCATATCTGACATTGCGAGCTACTATGGCTACAATGACTTCCTTGCAGAGAAACTCTTCCAGATGTTTCCCGTTGCCGAGGCATGTTTCCAGTTCCGAGAGTCTGGCGCAGACCGTTCTGACTAGTCCCTTCTAGGCAATCGAATTCTTCGAAGCCAACGAAGTCCCTCGACCAGTCACCATAAGGACCAACACCTTACGCACTCGCCGGCGGGATCTTGCCCAAGCGCTCGTCAACCGAGGAGTTAACCTCGAACCCATTGGCAAATGGACGAACATCGGTCTGCAGGTCTTCGAGAGTAGCGTACCCATCGGTGCGACCCCGGAGTACCTCGCAGGCCACTACATGCTCCAAGCTGCTTCTTCGTTCCTCCCTGTCATTGCCTTGTCGCCGCAGCCCGGGGAGCGGGTGCTGGATATGGCGTCCGCTCCTGGTGGTAAGACGACGCACATGGCAGCGTTGATGGAGAACACGGGCGTGGTATTCGCAAACGATGCCAACAAGGCTCGCACGAAGAGTCTCACGGCAAACATCCACCGTCTGGGATGCAAGAACGTCGTCGTGTGCTCGTATGATGGAAGGGAGTTTCCCAAGGTCATGGGCGGCTTCGACCGTGTGCTTCTGGATGCGCCGTGCAGCGGTACCGGTGTTATAAGCAAGGATGCTAGCGTGAAGACGAACAAGGTACGTTGGTCCTTACTCTCACTGTGCATTGCTGTAACTGACAGCAATGACTGCAGTCCGACCGCGACTTCGCACTGCTCTCCCATTTGCAGAAGCAGCTCATCCTCTGCGCCATCGACAGCGTCACGCCCGATTCGAAGACAGGCGGTTACCTCGTCTATTCGACGTGCTCCGTCACGGTTGACGAGAATGAGGCCGTCGTGGACTACGCCCTGCGCAAACGGCCGAACGTCAAGCTCGTGGACACCGGGCTCGAGTTCGGCCGGCCAGGGTACACGAGCTTCCGCGGGAAGAACTTCAACGAGAAGGTCAGCCTGACCAGGCGGTTCTACCCCCACGTGCACAACATGGATGGGTTCTTCGTGGCGAAGTTCAAGGTCGACAAGCGCCAGAAGGTGAAGGCACGTCCGGATGAGGGTGGGGCAGATGTTAAGGGAGGAGACGCCATGGATGTAGATATGGACGCGGAGGAGACGAGGTTCGATAGCGATGAGGACAAGCCGTACCTCGAAGGTCAGCCACTCCTTCCATTTACCAAGCTTCCGAGAGCTGATGTGTGGCCCGTCTTCTCATTTCGCAGAGGCCAAACGCAAGCGGATCAAGGCGAAGGGCCTGCGTCCACCTCCGAGAAGCAAACCGGCGGAACCGACACCTATTGCCGTGAAAGCAGCCGCATAAGCCTATCTGTATCTACTGTTCTGCTTTCGGTGGTTCCTTTGACTTACACGGGCTTTGGTATACGATCTTTGTTGTGTGATCTCTATACATTTTGGGAAGCGTGCGGGCGGCAGTGCGCAGATGGCGTGAATGAAATGCTCCGGCGCGGTCTGAATCAATGTCGCCGAGGCGGGTCTGACTCTGAGTCCTTTGATTCTGAGTCCCACCTGGGTGCGGGCATCCGCTTCCGCCGACGTTCACGGTTCACCGGCACCCTTAGTAGCCCTTAGTAGCCTTCACCCGCCCTTGGGTCCACATGCAGTCGTCATCGGACTGAGCTCGCCACACGCCGAAGAGATGATGAAACGTTCCGTTCTCTCGTAGCCCATACGAGGTCCTTATGGCACTCGCGCGCCGAGAATGATACGCCCACTTGTGCTTATCGCACGCGAGAGACACACAATGTCCGGCAATTAGCATTCGGTGCCGTGGTGGTATTGGTATACGTGCGGATAGTAGACTAAGAATACAAATACATGGTGGGATAGTGGATAGACTACATCACGAAGACGTCCGCAAATAAGCGATGGCGTAGAGAGTAGTCGGAACTGTCCTGTCCAAGTCCTGTCAAGTACAAGTCCCATGTGGAGGAGCGAGGGAGTCATGCGGAGAAGGTGTAGAGCTTCGTCCCAAGGACGCGCGAGGAGCCGGCGGCTTATATATGGCGCGCGTCGTAGTTAGTACACGGCAGCTTTCCTTCTGGATAGCGTAGAACAAGAGTCAGCGGATGGGCCGAGAAAGCTGCCAGCTGTCGTACCTGTATCGCCGCCCACAGCAGACGTTTGCGGAGACACCAACCAGAGCTATCCAGAGAGCATTTGACGAACCCAGAGCCATCCACACCTGGAGCACGCCACCGAGTATTGGTCGGATGCAGAATACGATATGTCAAGGACATCACAAGTGTCATACATCGCCCCATCAGAGATGGAGACGTGGCATCAATGAGAAGGAATAGCACAATTCAACAATTGATCTTGGACGAGATTTGAAGTAGAGTGCGTCATTGAACGTAAACTCACGGCATTTCCCCAGTTTAGCGTAAGCGCCCCGTCAGACTCGCTGCCCACGCGACGGCGCACTACCGCGGCCAAGATGACATCGACGAGGAAGACCACGGTAGTGAGCAGCGCGGCCAGAATGCCCGAGACGAGTGTAACGAGCGATGTGCTGCGCGAGAGGCCGCTGCCGGGCCGCCGATGGACCATGAAGAGCGACGAGACCAGGGCAAGGAACGCGAAGCCCATAGCTGCGATGATGGCCCGAAGCAGATAAGATATTGCGCTGTTAAGTTCATGGGCGTCCGTGCGCCGAACACATACCGATGGGGTGCAGGACGAGCACAGCGCTCGTAGCTTTGGAGATCGTGTTTGTGTTTAGGTTGAGAGCAGTCGCACCGATCTCCGTTAGAATGGGTCGTAGCCAAGCTGCGCTTTGGAACATGACGCCGAAGTGTCAATGTCATTGCCCAGAACCCTGGGTCATAGGGGCCAGAGAAGGAGATCGTCAACATTAGATATAGGATAGCGCAAGAACTCAGCGACTCACGAGACGTCGACTGGTGAAATACAGTAGCCCCATACGCCGAACCAAACACTACCAGTTGCCGTATGGAATGAGGAGGTCGCGTGCCCAACTAGATGGAGGGGGAATATAGCCTTGATTATGGGCACGGAGAGGGATCCCAAGAGCAGGAGCACAAACACCACAAGAATGAAGAATGGTACAACGTCCGCTAGCATGGTTCAACTACGGTCACCAAGGACAGAGCACGTCGACAGAGCAGGCCACAGGGACAACGCAGGTCGACAGCACGACGGCTAGGGTGTCATGGGCAGCCGAACAAGGGCCCTCTCTCCCAAATACTTACGGGACCGTCGCCCAGGGCACGGAGCAAGGCATGCTCGATGGCAGCGCCAGCACGTTTCCGACAGCACCCAAGCATTCCGCAGCTTCACAGACGGCATAACGGGCGACACGTACACAGCGAGGGCGAGGACGAAGGCGTTGTGCCACCGCCGACATACGCGACTTATGTTTGCAGAGACAAGGCGCGTTATAGCACCCGTGGGAAAGGCGCGGCGGAGCTGGAAACGTGAAACGGTCTGGAAGGGCGGTTGCCCGGAACAGAAAAGAAGCGTCATACAAGCGAGAATGGATCACGCCTGGATGCCAAGGACCCAGTCACGTCGAGCTCGCAAGACCACTGCTCGCACGAGCCACTGCCCCCCGCCGCTCGTGCACTGTCGTGCCCAGCGGTAGCGGGGGAGATGCGTGTGCGGCGTGCTCTGTCTGCAGAGGGCAGGGCGGCGGTGGCGGCGGGAGTGCGGCGCGGATCTGCGACAGGCGATCAGACGGCTAATTGCAGGCAGTTCTTTCAGTGCGCCTTCGATCTATTTGTCTCTGTCTCCTTGTGAACCGTCCCGATTTCCCACGGCCCACATATACCGAATCACAAGGCCTGAACAGTCCAAAAGGACAGCCCTCGGGGGCCCTCGCAGGGCAAATATACAGCAGCTATGAGGGTTGTATCGCGAACGCGGCGAGAGGGGACGCAGCACGCGGGAAGGGTGTGAGTCAGGAGGTGTTTCAGCAGAAGCGGAGGCGTCGCCTGATTTGGGTTGCTTAACGCGAAATGTCCAAAAGAAGTTTAGCTTTGTTTGTACAGCCTGCATAAGGGATAAGAAGGCGCTCTGTTTGCTCTCGTCCCTATCTCTTTCTCTCTCGCTCTCTGTTCTTCCTGCGTCCGTCAGGCCATACCAGCCTCTCTCTTCTCGTATACCACTAATGTAAGTCGTCAGTTCAGCATTCTCTCGTACTGCCTTGCACCGCGCGACGCGCTTGCGTCTTTTTTCGCGTTTTTCCACTGCCCTTTGTCCCTAACGACGCGTCTGACTCTTTTTTCAGCTCGCCCACACTACCCTTCGTAATGTCTGACGCCGCCGCTCCCGCCCCCGTCGAGGACGTGAAGCCTACTGAGGCCCCCGCCGCTGAGGTTGCCCCCGCTGTCGAGGCTACACCCGAGGTTGCCCCCGCTGCGACTGTGAGTCATCATGTGCTGCGATGACGTATCCATGCTAACGGTCGTGTGATCTAGGAGGCTGCTACGGAGGAGGCCAAGGCTGAGGAGGCCGCGCCCACTGAGGCCCCTGCTGCTGACGCGCCCGCTGCTGAGCCCGCTGCGGAGGCTTCTGCTACTGAGGAAGCTAAGCCCGTACGTGTCATTGTAATATCTATCGTTTCCGTCCTGACGTCTGTTTACAGGCTGAGGCTGCGAAGGAGGAGAAGAAGGAGGACCGCCCCAAGAGCCCCAGCTTGCTGGCTAAGCTCCTCGCTCCTTTCAAGGGTCACGAGAAGAAGGAGAAGACTGAGAAGAAGCCTAAGGAGAAGACCAAGAAGGCTGAGAAGAAAGAGGAGGTATGTGGAGTCAACGTCACCACCCAGTAGCTATGGTGTGCTCATCATCGTATGTGCAGGCGCCCGCCACTGAGGCGCCCAAGGAGGACACGCCCGCTGAGGCTGCCGCCGAGGCCCCCAAGGATGAGGAGACTCCGGCTGAGCCCGCCGCCGAGCCCGTGAAGGAGACGTAGGTGTCGAGATACTGCGTATGATGTTTTTACTGATAATCGTCTCAGTGAGACTGCGCCTGCTGCTGAGGCCCCTGCTGCCGAGGCTGCTCCTGCGGAGGGTCCTGCCGAGACTCCTGCCGAGGCATCCAAGGAGGAAAAGGTGCGTCGAGATCCTCCACAGCCTGAGTGATTGTCCTCAACGCGCTTCGCAGAAGGAGGAGAAGCCGAAATCGCCTAAGGTCACCCGCCGGTTGTCGGCTCGCGTCGGCGACTTCTTCAAGCCGAAGGCCAAGGCAGAGCCCACCACTCCCAAGGTTGAGGAGGACCCCCCGAAGCTCGCTGAGTCGGAGCCCATTGCTCCCCTCGAGAACCCTGCTGAGGAGGAGTCGGCGCCGGCACCCGCGGCGACAGAAGAGCCCAAGACGGAGGCACCTCCTGCGGCTCCCGTTGTCGCTGCTGCTGCATAAGGCAGGATCGTCTCATGTCGTGCTTAACGTTATGACCTGTCACGATGCCCTCCGTCCTTAATGTCTCCTGCATTGACGTCTCATCCTCACTCTCCTGGTCCACCGCTCATCCTGGATTGGCTTTCTTCTTCTGTCGGTTTATCGTACGACGCGGATCTAGTCATCATTTGCTTACCTGTTTACGACCATCTGTTCGTTCATACCTGTGCAGCTAGGCCGCTGTCACTCCACTAATCACGATCCCGGATAGCGTGTTATCCTCATACCCACTTTCTTTCTCTCGGTGGCGTGCTCCTGTGGCTGGTCTCTATGTCGTTCTTTGCATGGGGTAGTCATAGGAATATACAGTGCGCATTTTGCCATGTAACTGTGTTGATACAAGTGTGCTTGTGCGTTGTCATCATCGTCTCGCTGGAACTGCTGAGGTGTCCTCAAGTTCGTACGATTTGGAGTGCCCGTAGTGAAGGCGGCGCCATGGTCTTGTTCGTCATTGATGGCAACGGGTTGGCTTGCGAGCAACCTGCATACATGCTACTTCTCGTTGTAACGCCAAGCAGCAACCAGTCGCAAGCACTCCGTTTGAGAAAGACTGCGAACGCTCCGTCCGCTGTCGTGAATACACCATGCATGTGACCGCTCGAGTCATTTGGAACGCGACGCGCCCAATACGAATATGTGCGTTTCTGCAAGCTCAGGCAAAGAACCTGCTTTCCCGCACGAACACCCTACCCACCCTACGCCATGCCGCCAAAATCGTCTGCGGGCAAGGAGAAAGACCTAGCGACTGAGGAGGAGGTCCTCCAGGCGGTCATCCTCGCCGACAGCTTCAATAAGCGCTTTAGACCGCTCACGGTAGGCAAGCCGAGGGTACGTCCGAATCTTTCGAAGGCTGTTGGGAGGTGCTGAAGGTTATGCCTGCTGACAGTGCTTGTTGCCGATCTGCAATGCAACGCTGCTCGATTGGACGTTTGAGAGTCTGGCACTTGCGGGCGTGCAGGAGATCTTCGTGATTTGCAGGTCGTATGCAGACCTGGTGAAGAAGGCTATTCGGTGCGCACGATTCTGATTCTTCTGTATATTATATTGGCTCATCATGCCGTGCTTTTATTCCTTCCTTCTACGTGCGCTGGGCTACAGAGAGTCGAAATGGTCGAGACCGAGCTCCGGCCTGAAGATCGTGCCTATCATAACGGCGAAGGAGACATTCTCACCAGGAGATGCCATGCGCGACATCTACACCCATGGAATCATCACCTCCGATTTCGTCCTGGTCACAGGCGATCTTGTGAGCAACATCCGCATCGACGAGGTCGTCCGTGTCCACAAGGAGCGCCGCCGAACCAATAAGGATGCGATCATGACCATAGTTGTGAAGGAGAGTGGGCTGCAACATAGGACAAGGTGCGTGCTTTGCCCTTAGCGATGACCTTGCAGGAGCCTTACCAGAGCTAAACAGATCGAGGGGCGAATCCGGCGTCTTCGTGCTTGACCCAGACACCTCCGAATGCCTACATTATGAGTCCGTCATCGGATACCCTCCGAAGACTCACGCAGAGATACCGCGCGAGATCTTCGCAGAGCATCCAGAGGTTGAGATTCGCAATGACCTCATCGACTGTTGCATAGACATTTGCTCTGTCGAAGTGCGCGTCCCATCTCACCGTGTGGTTTACGCATATGCTGACCATCGCATCGCAGGTACCGTCGTTATTCCAGGACAACTTCGACTACGCAGATATCCGGAGGGACTTCGTCTACGGTGTCCTCACATCAGATCTCCTCATGAAGAACGTCCACTGCTACATTGCGAAAGAGGGCTATGCTGCGCGTGTCGCAGATACGCGTAGCTACGATGCCATTAGGTGCTCAGAACTCTTCCAAGATTCTCATGACATGCTGAGTGTTTTTGTTGCAGCAAAGATATCTTGTCACGCTGGACATATCCCTTGGTACCCGACAACAACCACCCAGGAGGCCATGCTTACGATCACCTTCGTGGAAATAAATACATGGCCAAGGACAACACCATTATCATGTCGAGGTCTGACGCAATATTCTCGCAATGTCGGCAAGTAGTGACCATCCTCTCCACAGAACCGCGCGAGTTGGGCCAAATACGCTCATTGGTGCACATACGACCATAGCTGACGGTGCCTCGATTTCGGGAAGCGTGATAGGGCAGCGATGCAAGATCGGTCCTGGCGCTGTGCTAAAAGGCGCATACATCTTTGACGACACCGAGATTGGAGCTGGTGCTCTGGTTGAGAACAGTATCGTTGGTTCCGGCGTACGAATTGGCGAGGGCAGCACTGTGCGGACAGGTTGCCTCATTGCCGATGGTGTTGTGCTAGGGAAGAACGCACGGCTCGCTCGCTTCGATAGAGTGTCAAGAAGGCGATACCTTGTTGACGGCGAGTCGACAGATGGTGAGGAGGACGAGGAAGAATGGGAGGTGGTCGAAGCACGTATGTGTTTTCGCTCTTCTTCCTTCTGCTCGTTCCTTTCGATAACATGTGCATTCCAGACCAAGATTCTGTCACGTCAGTGCTCGGGGAAGGCTCAAACGCCGTTGTTTGGCCGCAGTCACATTCAGAAGACGAGGACGAGGAGGTCGACGAGGTGGAGTCATACAATAACCAGCGTCTCATGCGGATAGGTTTGTCTTCGTCGTCGTTGACCACGCACACGGTGCTGAATCTCGTTCCAGGCGACACAGCGTCAGACATTGACCTCTCTGACGCGGGCTCAGTCACGGAGGATGAGTCGGACTCCGAGGATGAAGACGATGCTTCCTCGATTATGAACGGCCTCTCTCGCACATCCTCGATGACATCTGTCTCCCTGCCGGACCCAGACGTCTCGACCATTCACAACCTCCAAGCCTCAGCAGCCGACTCAGAGTTCCGCTCAGAAGTCAAACAGTCGCTAGACCGCGCCTTCGCAGAGGGACACAGCGTCGACAATGCCTCCGTCGAACTGAAGACGCTCCGTATGGCCAGTAACGTTCCTCTGAGAAGAGTGCGTGAAGCTGTCGTGGAGGCCATCGTCGAGCGCGTCCCGATCGTCGAGGGTGACGCCGCCAAGCAGCGGACCGAGATCGGGAGGATGGTCGCGAGGTGGGGACCGCTGATTGACCGGATCGGCGGCGTGGACCCTGTCGAGACTGTAGAAGTGCTAGCGGTATGTATGCTTCACTTTGTCCCGCTCGTTCAGTGTCTAAGGGTTGTTTCTATGCTTTAGTGTCATTGCGCGCAGTCAAGTCGTCTACCACTGTTTGGCCAGATTCTAGCCGCTCTCTACCAAGCTGACATCGTCGAGGAAGACGACATCCGAGCGTGGCACGCACAAGCCTCGTCCCAGGCCGAGGGCCAGAAACCTGGGCCCTACATGGACGGACTCGAGAAGTGCTGGAGCGTCGGCAAGATGATGATCGAGCAGTTCGACGAGCAGGAGAGCGACGACGAGAGTGGAGAGGGAGAGGACGAAGAGGAGGAGGAAGAGGAAGAGGAAGAGGAAGAGAAGGGGTCCGCCGCACAAGTCCCTGCGACGAAGGCAGAGAGCAGTGAGGAAGAGGAGAGCGAAGAGGAGAGCGAGGAGGGAAGTGAAGGAGGAAGCAACGAGGGCAGTGAGGAGAGCAGCGAGGAGAGCGAGAGCGAGGAGAGTGAGGTCACGAAGGCTGCGGTCTCCGAGAAGACGCTCGCCTCTGCGGACGTCCCCGCCACGAAGGTCGAGCAGACAGAGACCAAGACTACGGCTACAGTATCGACGCCCGCTGGCGCTGCTGAGCCAGCGGAACCAGTCTCGACAACACATGCAGCTGTAGTAGCGGCAGTGGATAGCACATCCACTGCCACTATCAAGCAAGTCGAGGTAGCCGATCCGGCAAGAAAGCAGGTTGCTGCTGCTGTGATCGAGGAGACGCAACGGACTGTGGTCGTTGCATCGGCGGATGAAGCTGCGAAGCCGGCACCATCAGGCCTCTCGACGACACCATTGCCTGCGCAAGCTATAGCGAAGGTCGCAACGGGCTCTACACAGCCTAGCAGGAAGACCAATAACGAGGAGGACGAGGAGGACGAGAGCGAGGAGAGTGAGGAGGAAAGCGGGGAGAGCGAGGAAGCCAGCGGTAGCGGCAGCGAAGGGTCCAGTAGTGAAGAAGGGAGTGGGGAAGACAGTACAGGCCGTGACGTCGGCGGTGAGGACAGCAGCGAGGAAGAAAGTGAGTAGATAGAACGGGATTTACGGGTATCAATGTGACGACACTGTATACTAATCATTCCTTTTTGTACCTATAACATCGCTGGACAGTCGTAGAACTGACATCGCGTCTGCGTAGTCTGTCATTGTATGATACCACCCATAGCGCAAACACACGCGATGGATAGAAAGAAAGCCCAGCTAAGCCAACACCGATATATCATTCCTATATAACAATTAGCTTGCGTGTCCTGCGAGCCTGAGAACGATGTCCTCATCGAAATCAGCAGCACTAGTATGAGTCTAAGCACAGCTTGACGCCCGAAGGTTCCGCGCCTGTCAGAATAAGAGATACCACAGCGGTCGCGTTGGTGTGTAGTCACGGATTACGAATTCTAGACAGACACGGTGACGATAGTTCCTTGGCCACTGTGCAGCCTGTGGGTGTACCCATCGCGAGTCTAAAAATGAGACGATGGTTTCAAGAATATCGTGATTCACTGCAATGGACAGATGTTGAAAGAGCCTCTCATGACACTCCAAGCTGTACAATACTTCTGAGAGCGTTGAACGTTTGAACGTTGAGCTCAATGAACCATATTCCTGGCCGCTGATTCAGAAACGCGACGATCTCGATCTCACACCGAAGCCCGCCGGGCCACGCATCATGATGATCGTACCCCTCGCACCCGGGGAGACGCTCGGGCGACTCCTGGTCCCCTTACACACTCGCGTGCACGGATGAGACACGGTGGGGCGACGTTGAACGGCTCCGGATTGAATGTGATGCTCGGACGGGAGACATGATCCTGTTGTGTCCACACCGGTCTCGGAGTCGCCAAAGGTAGCTCAAAAACGTCCGCATGGCCGATATAACATTAGAAAATTCGCTCAAATCTCCAAAGGATTATCTGCTACACAACGATAGCGGGTGAGTACGAGAATCAGCTACCGATCGTCATCGTACGCATCCCTTACACTAGGGCAGTGGGCCTTAAATTCAAAGTAAACGGATCCATCTCCACGACCATCGTGGCTCAAGTCTAGACACCAAGTGCAGTGAGAAGGCCGGCGATTACAAGCTCTGTATAATAATTGCCTTGCGACAGCTTGCTCGACCTGATTCATATCAGCCTATGAGGTATGAACAGACGTCACTGGCACCAATTGACTCACATCCTGCCCCTCAACACGCTCACAACCCACATACAGATGCGTCCAACTGAGTCGCCGTGGCATTCACGCTGGAGTACAGAAATGCTCCATGGTCCGTCAAGTCGTTGAACGCCGTATGCCCAACATCGAAACCGTTGTCGGCGTGGTTGATGAGCACTACGTTGATCGTGCCGTTGGCCGACGTTAGCTGCCAGCACGACCCGCACTCAGCGGTACCGCCTTCTGAGATGAACGAAGCGCCGGCGAGGTAAGGGAAGTAGGGGAGTTCGCCGAACGTCTTGTACGGTGGATTGAGCAGAGCAGCGCAGGTGACGGTGCTGACTGAAGTGGAAGACACGTCGTAGTTGGGTGACAGGTTCTGGTAAACCACCACCTCGGTTTGAGCGAAGATCGCAGGGGTCGCGGCGGCTGCCAGTAGCAGCAATGAGTAAGCGTAGGGGAACATCACGGTATGCTTTGCGACGGTAGAGACGAGTACAAGATTTGGCGAAAGTTCGTTGGCCACTGAGGCTACATGGTCAGCACATTTATACTCCTGCTAGCGTGAGTGCATGCTTACGACAGATATTACTAGATGCCGCGGACCCCATACCGGCTAATAGCTGAACGCAGCCTGCGCCCCGCCGAATGCTGTTCGAACTGACATCGTCTTTGTCGCGCCACCACGGACGGCGGGCAATAAAATACTAACGGTCTCACATGGGGCGGGCAAGTCAGACCGATATGGCGGATGCTGTCACGAGAAGGAAATGCTCATTTGTTGCATACTTCTGAGAAGACACATCCGTCACAGGCCGGAGCGCCGAACTTGGGTGTGTCGTGTGTTGTAGTCGCCTACACCAAGGGCTACAGAAACGTTGAGAGGCCTTCTGAGAATGTTTTAACCGGCAAACGTACTGGCTGTTCATGTGATGGCTAACTCACCAGGAAAATTCGTCCATGCCTATCACGCTCACAACTTGAAGACCGACAGGACTCGAGCACATATGACATAACACCAGTTGAACAACAGAATACAGTCGATCATAGTCCGAGGATCCCAGTGTCCAATTCTCAGTCCGTTACCACAACGCAGGTACTATTCAAATTCCCTCTTGCTGCCAGCCTGTTAAACACGTATGTCATTTAGTCATAATGCATCACACAGGTGCAAATCTAGCGCACCTCTTCCCTAGCAGTCGCTCACAAACCGCAGACCGACGCGTCAACAGAGGTGGCCGTCGCATCGACCCTTCCGAGGAATTCGGCCTGACCGTTCGTCAGCGCGTTCAGCGCCTCGAGCGCGATATTGAAGCCAGCGCCGGCATGGTCGATGGCGAGCACGTTGATGGTGTACACGACACCCTGGGGCGAGGTGTACGACAGCTCCCAGCAGGAGCCGCACTCCGACGAACCCCACCCGGCGACGGCGGCAGCGCCTCCGATGAAGGGGAAGGTCGGCAGGGAGCCGAACGTGTCGTAGGGAGGATCGAGGCCCTCGGCTCCGTCGGAGCAGGCGACGGTCAGCATCGACCCGTCGGCGTTGTCGTAGGTTTGGTCGTAGGAGACCGTGACGGTCGTCTGCGCGACGACGGAGGTGGCGAGGAGAGCGATGGAGGCGATGAGGGCGGTGAACTTCATGGTGAACGGCGCGTCGAGAGGCAGATGGGACACTCGCTGTCTGCGTTGAAGAGACTGTGCGATGTTGGACCCATCGGTGCGTACGGGGGCCTTTTATATGTTCTGAGCTGAATCCCTAGCTGAGGTCAAGTCCAGGAGATGCGCTCAGCGTGTAGAGTCATGACCGAGAGCAGCGGTGGGCTGGTCCCGCTGTGAGATGGGCAAGCATCAGCAGACCGACGTAGGCTGCCAGTCGAGTCCCAGCCAAGCTAGACTGCGAGAGCAAATTGCGCATATTACTGGCAGCAGCAAGGCAAGGCCGGCGACGTGCACGCCGTAAGCCTGGTAGCCGCGCCCAACGACGCCTAGATGTCGATGCACTGAATGAGAGTGAGTGGAGGTACTCCTGAGTTTCACTGGGTGCGTACCTGGCTACTGAACTACGATGTCTAGCGTCCACCGATTCGACAGTCCACATGACGAACACCGGGGTCAGATTACCGTCGCACTGCGAAGGTAGACAACAGGCAGTATGATGCCGGGCGGCGCGGGGTTCCAGTGCGCTGATAGCTCTGCAGAATTAGGGCTCGTCGCTCCGTCAAGTTTGGTCACGGTCATACCAGACGCTAACCAGACGCACCTGGCACCGCGTTGGCATCATTCCCAATGCACTCACCACTAAGACCTCGGGTAGGCTCCGCCACGGATAGCCTGCTGCCCAAGCTGCACCTGGTTCTTCTCGAGTGATTGGTTGCGGGTGAGGCCAGCCCAAAGACAGACCCGCCTGTGACCGTATGTCTCGAACATCCAGAAGGAAGAGCCTCGCTGGTGGATTGACGGCAGCCTGTCACCGCGTTGGCCAATGAATGTGCCTAATCGACAAGCCCGCGCTACGGCCTACGAGGAGTCAGGCGGGCCAGTAACGTCCGTACAGTCGGCGGCACGAACACGCCTGGCCCGGCATGCGCTGCAAGCTCTCGGCACACGAGGGTGTGCATCAACTTTGAACTGGTGGTACGCGGCCGGCCCCGAAGCACGTTCAGCGCTAGGAGGTCTTGGCGATCAGAGATTCGAAGTTCAAACGTCTAAACCTGGGGATGTGAGAACAAGCGAGGAACTGGCAGGCGCATGTTTAAAGATGCCCAATCACGACGACAAACCCAGGACAAACCAGGCATAACTGGTAGCTTTCTGGGCCGCCGATCGGAGAAGACGGTTGATCGACGTTGACGTTGATCGATTGGTCTCGAATGCAATGCCGAAGAAGTTCGCTCGAGCTTCTCAGAGTCGTCGGTGGTCGCGGTAGTATCAATCGACGAAATCCACGAAAAAGGCAGTAGCATCACGATTGGCGTACACCAGTCCATTGCACATGCGAATTACAGTGACAATATAACACTAGTCCATGATGCGGTAGTCCATGTCCATTCACTGTCCAAAAAATGTCCAAGACGTGATCATCGTTCGGGCTGGTCGTGCTTGGTCAGGGAGTCCTGCAGGATACACCAACACGTCAGCCTCCGCACAAACCCGCAGCACAGAGACAGCACCCACATACCACCGCCCTACAGGCCGCAGACCGACTTGTCGACCTGAGTAGCCGTCGCGTCCACCCTGCCAACGAACGTCCCATCGCCGCCGACCAGCGCGTTGAACGCCGTGAGGCCGATGTTGAAGCCCGCGTCCGTATGGTCGATCGCGAGCACGTTCACCGTGTACGGCGTGCCCGTCGGCGTCGTGTACTGCAGCTGCCAGCACGTCCCGCACTGGTCCGAGCCCCACCCGGCGATGGCCGCCGCGCCGCCGATGTACGGGAAGTCGGGGAGGTCGCCGAACGTCGAGTAGGGCGGGTCGAGCCCCTCGGGCCCGTCCGAGCACGCGACGGTGTCTAGCGACTGGCCCGCGTTGTCGTATGTCTGGTCGTACGAGACCGTGACGGTCGACTGGGCGAGTGCGCTGGTCGCGAGGAGCGCGAGGGCGGTGAACATGGCGGAGAACTTCATGACGACGGTGGATGAAGGGAGGATGCGGGTGATGGCGAGGATGGGTGAGTAGCTTCTTGGGCTTGTGCTGGTCTGCAAGATGCTGGGGACTGACGGAAGGGTTTCGAGCTTTTATACGCCCCTAGACGTGCCCGAGCCCTAGCGGCGCCACGACGAGAGCAGAGTCGACGTAGGTTCCAGAATGTCAATTGCGACGGTGCTCGCAGCCCGTTGTGAGTACAGGCATGCATCAGCAGACTGAAGTCCGATGGTCGAGTCGGCCCCATGGCGGAGGGCAGGTCCGGCAGCGTACGTAGGCCCAGCGAACGCGCTCCCGCAGATCGTGCGCCGCGGACCGACAGAATGAAGGCATTTCCTGACCGGAGACGCCGCGCTTTGATTGACAGGCCTAGCATACAGTGTGAAGCACGGCGGTAGACCGCCCACGCGGCCACATGACCGTGTTTTGGGACCTGAATCACGGTGTGCACATCGCGGTAGGCCAGTCATGACCGCCCTAGCTGACCGCACACGGCGTTGATGCGCCAGTACGAGGTGGACTGTAGGCAGGGCCTGACAGATCCGGGCGTTCGGGCCCAGCAACAGCAGGCCTAGGACGGGCCAGCTGACTCTTGGCACTGGATATTGGCCAGAATGTAGTCCCCTACGAGGCGCGGGTACACTTCACCGGCTAGCATCTCGTTGTGCTCCTCCGTGAGCACCTCCCATTCCCTCTGCACTGGTCCACCCTTGTCGCCTACATGCACGTCTTGTCCATAGAGCTCTGTCAAATGTCCCCAGATCCGTTCGCTCTGCCCTTGGTCGACCAAGGTGTCTCCTTTCGAGTGCAGGATGAGCCACCTCAGATGCTCTGCCCCCGGGCGCAATTGGTAAGAAGCGGTGTTCCACGGCGCGTATGAACGCAAGCGGCCGAATGTGGGCGCGATGAACCACGTCTTATACGCGGGGTACGTGACCAAGAGCGCGTCAAGGTCGTATAAACCCTCGGACATCACGATAGCGTGGGTAGCGGCAAGTAAGGCCGGTGAAGGCACAAGCGTGTCTGGAGTAGGTATTGGGGACGGTGGAGGTGAAGGCACGCCAGATGCAGTGGAAGATGGCGACGCCAGTAGCGGAGAGGCGTCCGACGCGGGTTCGGGTGGCTGCAAGAATATGGACGTGAGCATATGCGCCGAGCAGCTGTGGCCGATGAGGTAGAGCCGGGTCGGATCATACGGCGGTGTAGGCGCGGATGCTTGCGGACCAGACCAAGTCAAAAGGGAATGCAAGAATGCAAGTAGGTCCTCCGCATGTCCTGGATGACGAATGGGTGTTGAGGCGGTAGTGAGACGATAATTAGGGACAGCCACGGGGAAGTTGGTATGCGCAGCGAGTCGTCGAGCAAGCCCGGCGTGTTCGGCCTTATCCTCGCTGCAAAGCATTGGTGAGTTGCGTTCGATATACGGGCAAGCTTGGAGACTCACGAACGCCATGCGCCGCCGTGAATGAAGCAGACCAGCGGGGGTAGCCGCGTATCCAGGTTCTCCCGCCTCTTCGGGACGTACAAGTCGAACTCGTGCAGCGGATTCCTGGCATCTGTCGCGATGTACGGGATGTCACGGTGCTCATCCAGCACGGTGGTGTTCGGTTGCGATGACATCCTGTGCGTGGATACTGCGCATTGGGTATGGTGCGTGGTGCGTGGTGAGCATGAGGGGCAGGCCTCGCGGCACGCGGGACGCACTTACACCTCGAGCTCGCGCGGCGTACGCAGCAGGATCTCCACAGCCGCGATAGCCTTGGCAGTGTATGGGCAGTCGCAGACGTCGTCGAAAAGGAGAATTCAAGAGCAACGCGGCGAGCAGCATCCACGGCGCACGCAGCGTCGACCTCGGCGTACTCGACGGCGATGGCGGCCGGCGGTATCGGGCGCCGGCGCCGGCGACGGGTTGCTCGGGTTAGGGCCACGTGGGAGCGCAGCCCGTCCCACGTCATCGTGCCCGGTGCCTCTGTTATAACGCGCGGCGCTCACGGTCGCCTTCGATCCCAGCTCTCTTTTCGCCTCCCTCCCTCACCTCACTCATCCACCGCCATGCCTTTCACCGGCTCTGACATCTGCAAGGTGAGCAGTCCGCGGTTTCTGTAGTTATATCCACTGACCGGTCGTTGCATGACAGATCATGTCAGTTCATGTTTGAGCAGACTCATCGGCCTCCTGCTGACCAAGTCGGTTATTTTCTAGCTTTGCGATCATCCTCCCGCCTGTTGGCGTCTTCCTCGAGCGAGGCTTTGGGGCTGACCTTATCATCAACATTGTTCTGGTGCGTCTTCTCTTCCGCTGAGAGCCTGAACATATTGTCTGACGCATTTTACTCCAGACGTGCTTGGGATACATGTGTGTATCGGCCTTGCTCTCACCCCCTTATGCCGCTCACGATCACACTTCCACAGCCCGGGCATCATCCACGCGCTCTACATCATCCTCAAATACTAGGAGGTGGAAAGCGCTTCAACTTCGCATGAATACTCATGATCCGTTACGACCACGAACGCTTCTTGTATTCATGGACTCTTCACGCTGTTGTAGATCTACTAGTACTTTGACACGCCGCTTTGCAGTCTAATGTAGGATATACCCCTCACAACGATTCTACCTATGATTGTTGGGAGCTCTTGCCCTGACGGATGTGGATACAATTGACCAAGTTCATAAGGAAAGAGTGCATCAGCGAATATAGGGTGCTTCTCAGCGCTGATCACATACTGTGCCCTTTGGAGCTCAAACCGAACTACCAATCAGTTTCAACATTACAATTGAGTTGTGAAGTATACGTCTCTAAAAGAACACACTACGGAGAAACAGGCTACGCATTATACATGAGTACGATACCCCCAAACAAGGAGGATCTATCAGAGCGAGGCAGAGCAGAATAATGTACTGTAACGAGCATGCAGCGTTTGACGACGAGACAAACCATTAGTTTGACGGCGAGTTCACAATATTTAGTCTGAAGTCAGGTCGATGACATCCAAGGGATCGTACGACACCCTCTTGCGCTTGCGCGACGGAGTCGCGGTCTTGGACGACTGCGAGCTCGCAACGGGCTGCATCGCGGGAGCACCCGACCTGGTGCGGGACGCCGTCGCAGGGACCGCGGGGCGTGCATTCACCATTGCGGACATAACACTGGGAAGACGTCCCCCCGTACCAGTGCCCTTCCTCGCGGTCTGCTTCGTCCTCCTGCGCGGCGACGTCCGAAGGGTGGCGGGCTGACTCGCAGTGGATGCCCGGAGTAGGTCTATGCTCGGGACTCCAGTAGGCGTCTTCGGTAGAGTCTTCGTAGTCCGTTTACTAGTGCCCACTGGCAGCAGCTCGGGGAGGGGGTCGACGTTCCACTGGCCGCCCGTAGGCTGCTGATGAGTCTGCGTGGAGCGTTTGGAAGCAGGCGGCGGGGGCGGGGCGACGGAAGTACCAGTTGGACGGGATGAGGCGGCTGGTTGCGCGAGGGACGTACGGCCTGAGGGCGTTGACGGTGCTGCGATGGCGGGACGTTCAGAGGAAACCGACGACGTCGAAGCCGCGGGGGGTGATTGTGAAGAAATGTTTCGCTGTCGCATGAACTCGTGTAATTTCTGTACGGCAGCTGATCTATCGGGACTGGCAGTTGGGAGCGCGCCAGCTTCTGGCATGCGCCCGTCCATCATGTCTATGATCACCTGATAGTCGGCACCGAGGATCCTCTTCAATTCTTCGTAGTCCGGAGAGATCGAGGCAAGGATCGTCGCGCTTTGACTTTTCGCCAACTTCCACTGAATAGGGCGATGGATCGTGTCATCTTTCGTGATCTACGCGTACATGCATCAGCGGGTACGCTGCCGTGGTTTCGCACACGACCACTCACCAGCAACCCTTGTGGGACAGCCCTGAGCACTGACCACGTAGCGGCCCGCCGCGCATACGTGACCAACATCGACTCGAGGTGCTTCTTCCTCGCCGCACCGAGGCGATGGATGGCGCGGTCCCTCTCCGGGCTGCTCATCAAGAAGTTGAACGCAGTGGTGCAGTCCACACACTTGCATCTGTAGCTCGCCAGCATGGCCATGACGTCCGCCGGGACATCGTTCGGCTTGGGGCCGAGGACGCGTTTCCCCCAGAGCATGAGGACGGTCTTGAAGACCGCGCTGAACGGCTCGTCGGACAGCGAGAGGCCGTTCTCCAGCAGGAACTTGCGCAGCTCAGGCAAGAGAGGCACGAGGATGTGCTCGACGTACTCCGGCGAGAGGGAAGGCGGGGCGAGCAGACGCTTGAAGAGGAGAGTACAAGAGTCCATGCAATCGGTGCGGTGACATAGCGACAGGAGCTCGATGGCTTTGGTGATATCCGGCTCTGAACCGGTGCGAGCGCCCGTCATGTAACGCGGTCTCGCATATGCATAGAACTTGGCTTTCTCGACGATGTGTCGCACCACTTTCGATGCAAGAGACCGCACGGAGGAGCCCGTCCTCGATGGAGGGAAGTCGCCGGCATGGGCGCGAAGAAGGTTGACGAACTCCGACATATCGTTGTCGGTGTATGCCACGCTTGACCGAATGACTGGCCATACTCTGGGTGAGGAACTCGATGAGAAAGGACCGATCAGTCATAATATGGCACGGCACTCACGTTTTCTCAAGGAAATCAATGCCTCCATGAAGAATCGCGGTCTGAACGAGCCATGACAGGTCCTCTTTGGTGAGCGCGGTTGGCCGAGTCCGGAGAAACAACAGCACGGTCTCCTCGTAGAGCTTGGCAACACTGGGGAGAGTAGGTGAATTGGCCGGCCGAGCCCTGAGCTTGACTCCAACAAGAGGCAGCAGAGGAATCAGGACATGATTCATCCGTATTGTCGTGTCCTTCTCGCTTAGGCGGCCGGTAGGCAGGTTGGTCAGCTTCTTGACGAGCTGCCCCACAAGCTCATCGCTGTCCGCTGCGAGACACGCGTCCATATAAGTCATGGCTATAGCTGGCTCGGGAACCGGTTCCGATCTCTGCCACGGGTAGCGGTTCAACTTCACCATGGCACTGGTTGTTGTTTTGTATAGGTCGACCCGCCGAATCGCGGCTGAGAGGACGTCCATATGCATCTTCGTGATCCTCCTCTGGGCATCGAGAGAGACGTCCGGCTTCAGCGCCTCTAGTTTCAGCAGGTCTGCCAACGATAAGAGGAAGCTAGGATCAGAAATTCTGCACAGCTGAGGCACGATCCTGTAGCATCGCTGCCGTTAGCTCCCTGATACCGAGGGACGCCAAACAAGACCTACGAGTCTTGTAACGCTGGCAATCCACCGTGTTCCAAAGTAGTCTGTAGCAAGGCTCGACCGTCGTCTGCTCTCGGCTTCGCGAGGTGATTGATCGCGAATTCGCGTTGGGTGCGAGCCCATTCGAGGACGCCTTGCCTCGCCCCTGCGAAGTCTCCTGCCCACTTCTCCAGTGCATCCAAGAACTGAAAGAGCGGCTCATTATCTTCCTCTGTGTGCACCATTTCTTCCATACTGAAAGAGAAGTGATGGTTAACGCTACGTCGCATCGCGGAATCAGATCATATCAAAAGGCATACATTGGTAGCAGGAGTTGAAATCCGAATGTCTCGATTGATCGAAAGACGACGTCACTACCGAGGGTTTTGACACCTAGGGTTGCCTCGCACAATTTAGCCGTACGCTTCCACAGCTGAAAGTCTTGCCAAGAGCAAGCGACACTGCACAACGTTCGTGCGACCCGGCCTTTCTGTTTTGCATGGGCCTGTGAAAGATTGAAAAGGAACTCGACAAGCCTGCGATCCCGTTTCCGTGATTTTCCGGGCTGTAACTCTACCAGTTCGTCGAGCATAGAAGAGATGTCATCTTCGTATGTCTTATCGAGGTCGAAGTGTTGAGGCCGGATAATGAGAGCAGTACGACGACAGGCTGTGCGTCCGGTCCGTCAGCGAAAAAAGTGGGCAGCAGCAGTGGAATAGACGTACATCGCTTGAGCATGTCGGGTACATCCTACGGACGGCCATTGAGATACATCGGCGGTCGGACGAGTGGATGGTACGTACGTCTTCCATGGACTTTATGCGATGTTCTTCATCGAAAACAGAGCCCTCTTGAACCATGTAATGGGTATCGTTCGGTATCATATCCTTGTATGCGAACTCCACGTCACGTTGAAGGAGTTGGCCATTGAACTACAAACAGAAGCGTCAGTGGGTCTGTATGTCGCATGTTGCTCGCCTTACATCGGTGAGGTTGGTGATGGTAACAGATTCGTCGCATGTGTCATCGGTATGGTAGTAGCCCAGGTCTTCCACGGGAGTCGTTTGAAAAGCCTCGAAAGTAGCCAATCCGAGGCAGATTCCGCACTGCTGCGCTAGTCCATACAATACGGACACCTTGTGAGCATCAGGTCCCTTCAAGGTGTCGACTTTGAGGGAATCGTCGGGATAGTGGTGGTCAAGAAGATAGATTATCTTCCTTGGCGTGTCTGCTCGGATACTCCGCTTCCATGACAACAGAATGCGTCGCAGTTCAGCGATGGCAATGGAGTCATCGGATAATGTTGGTCTAGGTACGCTCGGCGCATGCAGTATGTTGTAGGAAAGCGCAAGACGATAACCACTAGTGATAGGCTGGAGTTCGTGAACAGCATCCGCGTGCCAAGAGCGCACTATGGTCTTGAGAGCGCTTTCCGCACATTCATCGTATACTATACGTCGTGATCCGTGCGAGATTTGCGTGGCACCCCCAGTGAATTTGGAGGGTAACACGACGTGAATGCTTGCGAACACTTTGCTTGATACATCGGAGCTGTGGGGTGACGAGGCATCAGTGGTACCGCGACAGCGCGTGATGTGAATGTTTCACCTTCGCTCTGGTAAGCAGCTAAGGGCAACGTGAGAGCGAGTCGTGTAAATATGCTCAAGTACGCACTTCGCGCCCTCCTCATGGAGTAGCAGATGAGAAAGCTCACAGCGAGGCTGACTTTCTGCGACGTCGACACCCAAAGCAGAACACACATCCCCTACGACGCGCTGCGTGAAGCCCTCCCAGGCTGGATTTGCGAACAGGACCTAGAGCACAAAACGCCGTTAGCATTCTAGCGTGTCGCATTTGAGCGAACACAAAGACACCTGATTGGCATTCATAGCCCATGCGCTATGTGTCGTATCGCCCAGAGTCTGCATCATCACCGGGTGACAAGCCGACTTCACGACCTTTGCCTCTCTTTCACTGAGTGGCAGACCGACAACGCCGATATCATCGGCGAGCAAGGTCAACCCTGGATTGGGCACGTCGGTGTACGTACGGTTCATCGAGTATGAACCTTTGAAAGTCTCCGCGAGGTCATCGACGAGAATGGTCTCCAAGTCCGCCTACCCTCATGCTGATAAGTCCAACCTTCTGGGGTGATAAACCTGAACATACACGTATATCTGTAGATGGTTGCGAGATAGATGGCCCTTCATCGTCATCGCTTGATTCTAGGTCGGGCGCGTCCTTGCTCCTACACATGTCTACGTCCTCAGAGTCATTAACGGGAGTGGCTTCCGTCGCGGACGTGGAACAAAGATTCCTTCCGCTCTCCTCACGGATGTGCGAGTGCTGTCGTGTACTTTCAGACAGTGACGATTCCGCGGAGCATTGATCGGCCGGGATGTACTCGTCGCTCACAATAGGCACATTGAGTTGTTCGTCCACTGAATCAGAATGAGTAACGAATGCGCTTGATTTTCCCACATCGCGCGCACCTTCATGCATCTCTGCTACAGTTTCTCCGTCGCTGGCAATCGACGGAGCACCCTCGAGCGCGTCATCGTCAATAAGCATTTCGTCCATATCCATGCTATGTGATAGACCCGTGAAGTTCTTGTCTAGGTATACTTGTGCGTTCTGCACCGCAAAGAATGCGAGCCTGCAGAGCCTACTAGTGCGTCGCACTGGTCGCCTTGCAGCTCAGCTCAAGGCCAGAGATATTGAGTCCAGTGTTACTGCTGAATGCGAGCAGGGATGTAAGAGGTTAAGCACGCTGCACGAGACAGTACTGGCAGTTGCACTACGACGGTGGGCCACAATTGTAACGCGTCGCGTCAGACCACGTGATTTGTGACAACCGCGTTAGATGGGTACTACTGGATCGTACTGCAGACGGCTGCCAGCGAGCCTCAGAGATCTAACAATTGACTAGCTCTGGATGCATCATAATATATATAAACATGCATGGATTAGCGTCAAGACAACAACTCGATGTAAGTACGGACGTGCGAAGCAACAAGCTACAACACATCACGGAATTCGCACTGAGTAGATATAGCCATTATCTCCGCTTGTAAGTGAATATAAACACCGAAATCGTTATAAACAGTAAAAAGCACTATAGCGCTAGCGAATTACACAAGCTCAATACAAGTTCGATACAAGCTCATAACATACTCACTACAATCTGTATGCAAGTCGATTGTAGAGCGTGGCAAGCTTCCACATCTCACGCAAGTCTTTATTCTGCGCCCGCGGTAATCCCATTTGTTCTCGTGCAAACCAATACAATTCGAGTACAGTATAACATGTTGTGCTGAAGAAGCAACAGAGAACACAGTACATAGGACATGAGGCCCCGGGACAGACCAACAGCACTTGCAAAAGCCCCGCCTAACGGTGTATAACGGCGGAACATCCTCGACATGACATGCAATTTATGTATGTATCGGCGTACACCGCGGGCGTGCATGGTCCCCGAGGGGGACGACGTCCATCGCCGTGACGCTCGCGACGATGCCGGGGATCTTCGCGCGCGCGGCGAGCCACTTCGCGACCTTCTCCGCCCTGCCGCCGTCACCAGTGGTGTACGGTACGGCGAGCGGTGACGCGTCGATCGCGGTGACAAGCTTGGCGTATGCTTTCTGCGCGCATGCCTTGCGTGCGGAACGCAGCTGCTCGCCGAGGGAGCCGACGAGCTCAGAGGAGAGCTGCAGCTAGGCGGTGACGAGTTGCGAAGGTGGTTCTGCCTGTCGAGGAACGCGCGGAGCCCGTTCTTGATCATGTCGCTGTCGAGTGTGCACGCGGCGTCACCCTCTTAGACGGGTTCCAACGGTAGAGCAGTCAGTAGCCCGTGCGGATGGCGCACTTCGTCTCGTGGGGAACAGGTAGTACCACGGACACACGCAGCATACAGTGCCGTGTGCAAGGGATGCTACCTGTACCCCACTCGGACTCATTGCAAGTGTCGGCAGTGGATCCAAACCCCTTAAAGAGACATCATCCGCCCGTCTGCACTCTGCCGGCCAGGCCCTTTGACGAATTCTCATCAGCTACTTATTCGCGCCAGACACTTTGTCATGCTCGTACCTGTCTGCTCCCCTATTCACCATGCCCACTCCCTACATGGCACTATGCGCGCTCGCCTCGTCGTTGTGTCCGCGCTCGTTGCCAATACTGCGGCTCGTGTATGCCGTGCTCGTGTGCGTACGTTCTGTTCGCACTCAAACACGCCATATACGTGCACGCGCCCGCGTGCGTCACGTTCGTACTCGTGTGTGTCTTGTTCGCATTATGGTCGTGCCCGCGTCGTCTTGGTCGTTGCGCTTGTGCCTGCGACCGCTGGTTGCACCTGCTCCCCACTGGCGCACATCGCGCGGGCGGTGCTTGCCTGTGTTTGTTGCGTACGGGGAAGAACAGGGTCAGAGAACACACCTAGCCTCGAGTCACAGCTGAAGTGCAAGTGGGCAACTGGAACTTAGGTGCGGCGATCCAACTGCGTGACGTGTTGAACAGGTTTAGGGCAGACAGTGACCCTAGTGGCAATTGCAGCGGAAAGATATGTAAGGCAGAATCTGACAGCTGGGATGTATACGCGTTGGATGATGCTTATAGAGTGCTCGCAAGGCGGCGCTGAAGTGAAATCTGGTGAGGCGGCTGCAAGCGCTTTATCGAGCGCTTGTAAAGTGGCGTAATATTTCGACAGTCTACAAACACTGAAATCACCTATAAACGCTGAAATCGCTTATCGTTCTGAAGGGGATTCCCTGATGGCCAACAACCATAGAACCATTCAGTAGGACTGCCACGTTCGTCACGGAAAGACCGTAGTACACACGTCAAGCTTCAGCTATCAGTCAAGTCAACGATACCCGACGACGCGCTCAAGCGTTATCCCTCTTCCGTTTCCGAGCTGCTTGTGAACTTGAAGGGATAGAATTACTGGCGTGAGGTGCCGCATGAGCGCGGGATGAATTGCTACTCGGGTTTGACCCTGAGGCCGTGGCCGCAACGGAAGCTGAGCTCCCCGATACCGCATGAACGGGACCCGCAGAGACCGAAGAGCTCGCACTTGAGCCCGGATCTCTCGATGATGATGCGGCAGGGTTCGTTATAACACGTCCAGCCATCATGTCCATAATGATATGGTGGTCCGCGCCAAAAATTCGTTGTAGCTCCGTTGCATTCGAGGAAATGGAGGTCAGAATAGCTGCGCCCCTTGCGTGGGTGGCATTCCATTTGACAGGCAGGTATATGGAGTCTCCTTTTGTGACCTATGTGTGCTCGTAGGTCAGGATCCTCGCGCAGGTCTCACTGCCTCAGCCGTACTCACCATTAAGCCCTGCGGGGAACCCGAGATCATAGACCACGTCGCGGCAGTCTTTGCGTACTTGCTGAGCTCCTGCTCCAGATGCTTCCGTTTTGGCGCACCTATCCTTTCTAAGCGGGAAGTCCTGTCGCCGCTAGAAGTAAGGAACTTGAAGACTTGCACACAATGTGCACATTTGCAGCCATGGTTTCGCATTCTGGCGATGACGGCGTTCCCCGTCTCACTTGGCTTGGGACCGAGGACCTTGCTCGCCCAGAGCATCACGATTGACTTGAAGGCGCTGTTGAAGGGTTCGGCCGATAGGGCAACGCGGTTGGTGGTCAGAAATTGGCGAAGCTCAGGAAGGAAGGGTATGAGGACGTTTTCGATGTAGTCCTGTCTATGGAACTGTGAATCCAACAACCGCTTGAACACCAAGCTACAACATGGCTTGTTCCCGGTTGTCAGGCACAACCGGAGAAGTTCCAGCGTCGTGCTACAGTTCTCATGACTCTTGTTGCCGGAGGCATAGTACGAGTAGACAGGGGGAGTATATGCTGTGAAGTTTGCCTGCAGAACAGCCTGTCGAACTGCTTCCGTGATGACGGATTCGACGGAGACACCACAGCTCGAAGGCAGCAGTCGGTCTCGGCGCTTCTGTAGTTGCTCTATGAAGTCGGTATATGTAGTCGACTGTGGCTTGGAAGCCTTCAGGGCGGGCCAAACTCTGCGACACTTCAGCATTGGATAGCCAAGATGCAATGACGCACTCACTTCTTGTGCAAAATGTCGATGCCACCGCAGACGACACAAGCATCCAAGAGCAAAGTCAGGTCACTGGGGACTGGTCGCGTGCCAGACAAGACGAAGCGCAAGCAGAGTTCGATTGTCGCCTCGTAGAAGTTCTGAACACCCGTGATAGCAGATTCGCCAGCTGCACGTGCCTTGACCTTGGCATCGACCAACGGCAACAAGGGCAACAGGACTTCTAAAACCCGGCGTTTGACAACAGCAGGATCGATATTGGCCACGTCAGTCAGACGTTGGGCGATCTTCTCGACCAGTTCGTCATTGCGCGTCCCAATGCACAATTCGATCAAACGCGCTGCTGTATGAGGAGTCATGAGGTTGCTCTTGATCGCCGAATTCTTCGTTGTCGTTGCTGTTGCGAAGAGATTGGCCTTTGCTATGGCACTAGAAAGGAGGTCGGCCACCAGGCTAGTCAAAATGGACTGATCCTCCACAGAGACTCCTGCCTTGGCTCTCTCCGTTTGAAGGACAGCGACCATTGCAGTCAAGAAACGAACGCTTGCGTCGGCCTTGAATTGAGGGACAAATCTGATAGTGCAAGGTCAAGGCTGCACAACGATACACAGACTAGGCAACTTACATATCACGGATAACGTGAAATCCGCCATTCCGCAAGGCGAGGTCAACGAGGACCTGGCTGTCATCTGGCCCTGGCTTCTCGAGGTGTTCCATAGCGAACCGACGCTGGTCGATGACCCATGCATCAACGCCTTCTTCAGACAGGGTAGGTTGTGTCGAGAACCAATTCTGGAGTTCGTCGATAAACTGGAAACGTTGAAAATTGCTCCGCTCCGAACGCAACATCTTCTGCAAACTAAACGCAAATCAGGCATCTATCACTGCTCAACGGACTCGTGGAACATTTACAATGAACGCATGGCCCCGAAACCGAACGTCGTGATCGATTCGTAGATCACGTCGTTACTCAGTAACCTGACGCCAACAGAGGCTTCGCATGCGGCCATGGCACGCTCGTAGAGTTGTAAGTCCTCCCACGCGCAAGCAGCATTGCACAATGTCTCCGCTATTTGCACTCTGTGGTTTTCCCGATTCTTGGCCACGTTCAACAAAAACTCCGCGAGCTTGCGTTCTCGTTTATGAGCTCTGGTAGAGTCAATCACTGAAAGATCATCGATGGCTTCGGAGATTTCATCATCGAAAGTCATATCCAAGCTGAACTTCTCGGGCCAGATCACGAGCACCGTTCGCCGATACCCTGCAAAAACATAGGTCAGACGTTCAGCACATAGATGTCATGGATTCTGAACGTACATCGTTCTAGCGAGCCGGCCCCCTGTGGGAGTTTGGGTTCAGAAACAGTCGTCAATCAAGAAGTGATGTGCGTACATTACCCATGTACCCTTCATACTCCTGATCATCATGCGGACCAGCCTCAACTTGATCCATGAGGTTCCGTGGGATCGTGTGATCCCGTCTTTTATCGTACGCCAAGTCATCCTGGAGAGGTACACCATCTAGCTGTGTGCCACCATGTCAATATCTATGGCATCCTCAGGGCGATACGACCCGCGTTTGAAGACCTACCGTGACAAGGTTGGTGACGGAAGCTTCCCGTTCATACACCTCCAGAAAGCCCACATCGTCCGGGTCAACAGAGTTATCAGAGTCGTCATAGTCGTCGTAGTAATACGCTCGTTTGCGGCGATGATAATTGCATCCATCGTCGTCTGCAGCTCCCTGTAGCCGACACTCGACACTAGCCATCCCAAGCTGGAAACCGAGCTGCTGTGCGAGGGCGTCCAAGATTGCTAGTTTGTGTGCGTCCACGCCCTTGAGTGCGCTGCCACTGAGATTTGCTTGCGAATACTTGTGGTCCAATAAGTATAGGATCATCCGCGGGACGCGATCATGATTTGCTTGCTTCCAAGAGAGTAGAACATGTCGCAAAGCATTGACAGCGGCATGGTTATTGGGCAAGGACGGTCGTAGAGCATTAGAAGTGTGCACTAGGTTATACGAAAGCGCTAAGCGGTATCCACTTGTGATAGGCTTGATTTCATGCATCACATCTGTGTACCAGGCGAGAACGGTGGTCTGAAAATCGCTCAGCACGGCTGTGTCATACACTGTAGACAACAAGCCATGCGAGACATGGGCTGCGCCGCCTGTATATTTGGAGGGCAGAACGATAATGATGGTCGCAAACATCCCGTCGGCCTTCTCGGTGCTGTATTAAAAGTCAGTCAATATTATAACCTAACCGCGTTGGATGCTCACTCAACGTGCGGCAAGAAGCTGAGAGGCGAGTAAGATCATTGAGTCAGGGGGACATAGGACGACGTACTGTGAACCGGTCTCATATAACAGCAATTTGTAGAGCTCACAGCGCGGCTGGCTCGCGGCCACATTGACCCCGAGTTCCGCGCACACGTCCCTCACGACACCTTGGAGGTAGCCATTCCACGCAGGGTTCAGACATTGAACCTATGGCAAAATCACATGTGCCCTCTCACGACGACGGTAAGGAAGCCATACCTGGTTAGCGTTCATCTCCCAGGTGTCACGTACTACAGTGTCAACCACAGTCCGCTCACCCTGACCGAAGGGGGCTTGCCTGCAGCCAGAGATGACAGCTGCTGCGTCTCGCTTATGCAGAGGCAGTCCAACCGCGCCAATGTCGTTCGGCAGTAGGTACAAACCAGGATTAGGCGCGGTAGGATATGCTCGACTGAACGAGTACGAGCCCTTGAATGCCTTGGCGAGGTCACCCTCAAGTGCTTTTTCCAGATCGCCCTACGTTTCATGAGATCTACGCGTTTATGAACGAGTCGAGAGCTCATACTCACTCGAATGTCCGTGGAAGGGTTTTCCACAGAAGGTTCTTCATCCTCACTCGAGTCACTCTCGGGGTCGTCAGAGTCGTCTTCCTCGACTCCTGACATATCGCCCTCAACCACCGCATTCTCAGAGTACTTCTGAGAGACGGGATCGACAGAAACGGCATCGCTAATGGGAACCGTACCCGTGGACTCGGAAACGTCTCCCATGTGGTCGCAACCGTCGACTCGGATGCTCTTGCTCTGTTTGATACGCCGTGGAGACCTGAGGGGTCGAAAGCTAAGCAGTTCTTGTTGGTCGAAATCTGGGTGGTGGTTCTAGAGAGTAATAAGGCCCTAGCGAGGACGTGGCAGAGAGTCCAGGTGAGCGTCGAACTAAGAAAGCTGAGGTCCGCTCGGTACTGCGCGCACGCGAGGCCACAGCAAGGCGTTCGCGTCGCTGTTGTGACAGCACGCACGTGCCGCTGTGACAGACGCGTCCGAGGTCGCGACAAGACTGCCATGTACTTACGGACCCGGTAGTCCTGCATATAAGTATTACTGCATCATGCTTGGGGAAAAAACTCAGTTTGATGTTCTTCTATATATCATAGTTGAATGACCATCTAGACGTGTCGTGATTTATCATACTACAGCGACAGAATCTACTTAATACATTCCGCTGATGTCGATGCACACTTCCGTTCTACGCAGACACCTCGTGCTCACTGTCGTTCAACTGGCCGGACCACCCCGCTCGACGCTCTCCAATGCTTCTTCCAGTATCTGGACGCCCCTCTCTACATCCTCGAACGAGTTGTACAGAGGACAGGGCGCCAGTCGAATGACGTCAGGTTTCCTACTGTCGCCCACCACGCCTCTCTCCGCGAGCTCCTTCAACACAAGCGGCATGACACCGCGGCCCGTAGGGAGAAACAGAAGCGACAGCTGAGCTCCACGTTCTTCCGGATTAGCAGGGGTGATGACTGTCACGCCCACCTTTGCTGTTTGACTGGAGCCACTCGCTTGCTCTATGGGCACATAAAAGCGGGACGCATGCAGCAAGGCCTCGAGGTATCCTGTGAGCCGCAAACTGCGAGAGCGGATAGGCTGCATGCCACCGGCTTTCTTGAAGACCTCTAGGGACCCTAGTACAGAGACGGTGGCGAGCACGGAGGGATTCGATTGTTGGAATCCTTGCGCCCCTCGGATACGCGCGAAAACAGTAGGCATATCGAACCTCGTGGCAGAATCATGTCCCCACCATCCCGCGGCTCTATGTGAGTCGAGTTGAGCAAGTCGTAGGTCCTTCACCAGACACGATGGTGTTGTTAACTGACTACACACCTGATTGGCTCATCTGCCCACCGTTCGTGAACATAGAGACCTCCGATTGCCCCGGGCCCTGAGTTGAGGTATTTATACGTGCACCATACAGCGAAATCGACATCCCAGTCGTGCAAGGAGAGCGGAACATTGCCAATAGCGTGCGCAAGGTCCCATCCGCAAACGCAGCCCTATATTGATGGCCTGAGCGTCAGACATTCGCTACTTAGAAGCTGAGACAACGCACTTGTTCCTTGGCCGCGCGGGTGATTGTCTCCATCGCGAACGTCTGTCCAGTGTAGTATTGTACCCCACTGAAGAGCACAAGCGCGATACTGGCACCTTCACGTGCGATAACGTCCAGTATGTCGATTGTCCGGAGAGTATACTCGCCGGGACGAGGCGACATCTCGATGATGGCGCTAGAGTCAAATCCGCGACTGACTACTTGCGAGGCGATCGCGTACTGCAGGGTTAGAGTCAGTTGGCTCCACATGGGGAAGAGGAGGACAAGCACACACCTGATCGGACGGGAATGCCTTCACCTCGCAGAGGATCTTGTACCGCTCCTTGGTAGGCTTGTAGAACGTGTTCATCATCAAGTTCAGGTTCGCTGTAAGCGTGCCCATGCAAGCGACCTCTGAGTCGTTCGCGCCTACACATGCCATTAAACTTCGCGTCCATAGAGCTCAATCCATGCCCACCTACGATCTCGGCGAGGAGTGGGTGCACAAAGTCCGCGATACGCATCCATTCACGTCCATGAGGATGGTCAAAATGACCCTCTACTCCACTGTGTACCCAAGCCGCGCTGGGATGAGCTCTCTCACACACTTATGCAGAAGAACACTCACCGCGTTCCCCACACCTGCAGCTCCTCCTCGACTAGCTGCTTCGACCGCTTCGGAAGCACACCCAGGGAGTTCCCGCATAGATACGTGCATGGTTGGTCCGCTGTGCAATCACGGGTAGAGAATTTGTCGGCGGCTCTGACAGAAATTTCAAAGCATGCTCACCCAATGCGGGCGCGAGAGTCGTCGCCTTCATCTGGGCATTTGTGGGGATGATGAATTCATCTCGGAAGATGCGTAGCGGGTCCTCGGCAGCCTCGAGCTTGAACTTACTGCTCGCCGGAGTGATTGTCGACATGGTAGTACCGACTACCGTAGAAGACCGCCCTCCTGTCCGTCCAAGAGGTCTTCTTTAAGGTCTGCCTAGGGGAGACTAACCGAGAGCTGAAGGAGGAGCAGCAGCAGTAGTGAGTCTAGTGACCGGCCCACTCGGGCATGGCCGAGCTCAGCGCAGGTTCTGTACGTAGGCGCGTCTGAGTCAGTCGCTGTATCGTTCCCTCGGGCCTGAGTTAACAGTAAGATTCGGTCCAATTACATGTTGTACTGGTAAAGATGACAATATACAGGTCAGGCATCGGAAGCCTACTGAGGTCTGACTCAGAAGTACTCAGATTCGTCAATCAAGATTATTGCAGATACGGTATAGTACTACACACTATACGTGAGTACGACGCGACCCGAATGGGAGTACCAAGATGCCATGCAGCGCTGAGCATGGATCATGAGCGAGGAATACGCGAGATTAGCAATCCGGCATTGGTTAGGCCCCAGTCATCGGTCAAGTCGATGATATCCGAGGAGGTGTATTCCCTCTTCCGCTTTCGAGTTGTCTGTGAGGAGGCAGACGTAGTGGCACTGGGCACTAGAGGGGCATTCGACGAGCTGCCACTCGGATTTGATGTTGGCATAGCGTTCACGGTTCCCGCAACAGCTTGAACTGTCGGTCCACCTGTCGGCGCGCGCGCGGGACCTGCAGGAACCGGAGGGTTCATACTTGAACTCGCAAGTCTCGATGCTGACGCAAGGCTCGTAGAGACACGCCCAGCCATCATGTCCGTGATTATCTGGTGATCAACACCGAAAATTCGCTGGAGCTCCGTTGCGCTCAAGGAGATGGAGTTCAAAATAGTTGTGCCTCGGGCGTGGGTCGCCTTCCACTTCACGGGCAGGTATATGGAATCGGCTTTTGTGATCTTGAAGGTGTACGCGAATCAGGATCTCCATACAAGGCTACGCAAACCCTCCACACTCACCGTCAGGCCTTGCGGGGAGCCAGAAATCATAGTCCACGTCGCTGCCGTCTGCGCATATCTGCCGAGCTCCTGCTCGACATGCTTCCGCTTTGGAGCACCTATCCTTTCCAAACGACACGTCTTGTCGGCATTAGCAGTGAGGAACTTGAAGACTTGCACACAATGTAAGCACTTGCAGCCGTGGTTCTGCATCCTAGAGATAATAGTATTCGCCGTCTCGCTCGGTCTGGGCCCGAGGACTTTGTTCGCCCATAGCATAACGATCGATTTGAACGCGCTATTGAAGGGCTCCTCCGACGGGGCGACGTGATTGGTGGTCAGAAATTGCCGGAGCTCAGGAAGGAAAGGGACGAGGACATTGTCGATGTAATCTTCTCTGTGGAATGTCGAATCCAGCAGGCGCTTGAAAACCAGGCTACATAGAGGCTTGTTCCCAGTTGTAAGACATAGCCGGAGGAGTTCGAGCGTCCTGGTGCGGTTATTTGCAGAGGACGAAGCGTAGTATGAATAGATACTGGGAGGGGCATATTGCGTGAAGCTTGTCCGCTGAATGGCCTGCCGAACGGCTTCCGTGATGATGGAGTCGGCGGAGACACCACATTCTGCAGGGGGCAGACGGTCTCTGCGGTTCCGTACTTGCTCTATAAAGTCAACATATGCAATTGCCGGGGACTTCGAGGCTTTCAGGGCCGGCCAGATCCTGGGATAGGTGAGCATCGGACGACCGGTACGCATCGACGTACTCACTGGTCAAAAGCTGGCTGAAGAAATCTAGCCCAGATAATGATGAAACTCAAGAGATGAAAGGATGATATTGCAGAGGTGTTGAGACGAGCGTTGCGGCGAAAGTCGTGGCTTGTTTGTCCTCCGCGTTCGCAGGTCCAGATGAACGGCCACAGCAAAGGCGTCGCGTCGCTACTGTGACTCTGCGCACGTGGTTGTGACAGGCGCGTGAGTGACTAGGAGCGACACCTTTGTAACAGCCCTGCTGAAGCAATATTAATGTGCTGAGTATCCTCCGTTGCAGACCGTAATTACCAACAAGTAAATTTGAGGCTCCTCGCTGGAAAAGATGGCACCCGAAGCGAGCTGCAGCGGCCAAATCACTCTGTCATGGCACCGGTCCGAGCTCAGCACAAAAGGCGCGTACTCGAGTATAAGTTATCCGAGTCAGTCCGAGTCAGCCTCTGGATCTCCGGCGTACAACGGTGGGCTCCTGTGTGGAGGTGAAGATAGAATTATTCAAAGCACATCGGCAACGAAGGTAGGTGGTATGTAAGATTAAGCAAACAGAGTACGATACGGCAGGAATGTGCAAATAAACGTCGAGAGATCCATTCAACGCCGCATACTTCGTCCATGTCCATTCGTCATCGCAGATTCATACCAGTAGTGAGTAGAAGCCCTGAAGACCTCAATTCTTGTTGTTCTTGACGTTGTTGCTGACAACAACACCAACGACAATACCGACGACGGCGCAAATGATGAGGACGATGATGAAGCAGATCCAGCGCATGCGACGTGCGCGGCGGGCATGTACGACGGCCTTCTCGGTCTGTTTCAACCTGGTGGGATAGAACTCTGTTAGACCCAGCGCTCCGTGCCACGCAGTTGCAACAAGTACGTACCCTTGCTCCGTGTTGTATTCGACATCCTGAGCCGTGTGGTTGATAGCATCGATCGACTCTTCTTGTTGGTTGACGAGCACGCTCATCTATCATAGCCGTCAATGCTGCAAACCAAGCGCGCTTGTTGCACATAATACTCACGTCGTTGAACATCTGCGCCAGTTCCTCGAGTGTGCGTTCAATTCTCATGATGTCCTGGTGCCTATCCTGAACTTCGCGGTATGCCGCTCTCGACTCGCCATACCGGGTTGTGTTCGTGAGCTAAGAAGACCATCACTTCAATATCCACCAAGACTGGATGGCTTGGATTACGCACCGCCTGTGCGAAGACTTGGTCACCTCCGCCGTGAGCGTTGTTCACAACCTCGTCTATCTCTTCCGGCGTGGCATCGGGCTTGACTGCACAGCAGCGTTAACCTGACGACGCCACGCTGACAGCAAAGGACGTACCAATTCGGAATTGGCGCTCTACTCGTTGCTTGTACCGCTGCCTGTAGTCCCTTTCCACTTGTTGGTAGTTCTGGAGGAGTTCCACAAACTTTGTCCGGAGCACGCCAGTCTGATGGACATTCGTTAGCTCCCCGCTGACCTCCCACATCCAGGACGCGAGTTGAGCGTTCGCAGCCAGCCTTGTAGCTCACCTGGTTATTTCTGATGCGCGCATCTTGTGGCCGGGGAGCAGGGGACTTCGAGAGTGCTTGGATACGCTCCTTTAGGTTATTGCTCAATTGGCGTGTTCTCGTCACAAGGTCATCGAGCAGAGCGGATGTCCTTTGGTTGGCGCTCTCGTCCGTACTGTTGAGGGCGCGAGAGTGCAGCTCGCCAATTTGTTGCACATTCGTGTTGAACTCTGCTATGCCATCTTGGATGGAAGATACCTGCGCAAGGGCGGCGTCGTCTGAGTTTCTCATTCTATGCCGCCGGGGGTGGCTCACGTACCTCCTCATAGAACCGAGCCATAGGGTCACCACCGTCCACCGCTCCGTTGCCATTCGTCGTGGGGCCTATCGTGGTAGGTGTTTGCACACCGGCCATTTCATGGTACTGCGGAGGTTGGCCATCCTGTGCTTCCTGCTGCTGCCGCTGAGCCTATGAATACGATCGTCAGCCACCGGATGCGGATGCTGGATGCGACCCGCGCTACGCTACAAGTAAGCGACACGAACCCTGAGAGCAGCGAGTCTGTCACGAGCCATGGCTTAGGAAGGGTATATCGCAGAGAAGGGCGAAGCAAGGGGCGGGGCGGCAGTGACAGTCCTGGACTGGGAGACGCGCCGAGGCAAGAGCAGCCGTGGGAATCAGCCCACATCGCGCGACTCGCCGCTCGCCGCGCGCGGTCAGCTTCTCCATCCGCAGTTGACTGTTGGACTGCCTATGCACAGCTTTCCTCTACGACTTTCAACGCTCTCATCACAGCCCTTCGCACTCATCCTTGCTGCCTGTAGGGATGTGGACGTCAATATATCTGCCTGTGCTCCCACAAAGTCCGTGGGATGCCCGACGAACAGCGTCCATTTACTCCAGTCTCGCCGCGACCACTGAGCTAGCCACCTCGTCTGTCAGGTGAATCGTCATCGCGGATATCTTGTGTAGCGCGTCGGTGTGTGGTAGGTCGATGCGGACGCAGGTAAGCGACAGACGCAGACTATAGTATATTACACTCGACTGATACCAATGTTTTGTCCATATGTGCGCTCTAGACTTGTCTCGGGATCGCAGCCAGGTTTTGTGGGACTGTATCCGAGCATCATTATGGGAAGTCCGGGATGAACGAGGCCCCTTATGTCTGCGTACGCAGCTATTAGACTATTGGCCCTCAACCCTCCCGTATAGCTTCATGCCGACGGCCAACACATCGAACTCCTCTGGTCGGACATATAAGGTGAGCGTGACCGACATTGGAGTCGCTTAAGTGTGTCGCGTAATCGAGAGCAATGAATCTACGGCACACAAATCGAATCCTCCGGGTCAAAGATAGAGTGTACAAGTCGACGTTCCTGGCAGTGATCACTGATCATCAGCGCTGCAGGATGCGACGAATATTGCAACACGCAGACCAAACCGAACTTGTCCTCGGGGAAGAAGCTGCGTTCTACCGTGCACGTTGGAGCAGACGGCAGAGATCGTCCAGCATGTCTGTGGTGTAAGTGCCTCAACTCACCTCGAGACTTGCGACCACCGGTAACTCCACCACATTGGAGGTACATTCTTACTACTCTTCCTTTTCCCAGCTGACTTGGCCACATCATTTTTGCGCGCAGATGTTCGACTAGAACACAAGTGCTGGAGCGATTCCCACAATTGTCGACAACGAGCAGATGCTTGCTGAGCTTGGCTCGTATGTCCTGTCCATCGCTTTTGTGCAATCTTGCTGACCAACCGCCAACCGAAAAGTACGCGCCATAGGCTGCTAGCTGTGCCAAATACCTACGTATGTCCTGCCGCTGTCTCACTTCGGAGCAGCCGCATTCACCGGCGGCAATACACCGATCGAACACACGATGCATTCCACGACTCGCAACTATTGCCTCGATTCGACCATAGAGCATTTCGGCAAACGTCCCTGGCAGGAACCTATCGGCGCACACCAATAGCAGCATGAGAAGTGGTCAGCGGTCCAAATTCACCAGGGTTGGTCACAGATACCCACGATGCCCGCTACGCCATTGGAAGTTACGCGTTAGGACGGCACAATCGGAAGTTACGCGTCAGGACGGCACAATCGAAACTTACGCGTCAGGACGGCATACTGGCAGTGACAACGACGGCCGGCATGTGGGTGAGCATACGTTCTTGCCTAGTCCTGGCGGCTTGTTAGTATGAGCTGGCCCGTACATATAAAGGTCAAGGTTGATCTGTATTATGACCAACTCCTGCAGACTCCACCATGACCCTGAAGATCACAACCAACCTCGGTGGGACAGCATCCCACATTGTCGTCGGGAAAGTCGCCGTACGTGCAACATTCATATGCCCCACTCCATCCAAAGCATGAAGTATATCTGAAATGACTGTGTAGCATGGCTTGATGACAATGACCAGGGCAGTGTGGGTACATTTTCGCAGTCCTACCTAGTTCCCTGAGACTGATGAGCCCGTGATATGTCTTAGCGCTCACTCAGATGAGGAACTCTTCGAAGCGATCAAAGCAGGTGTGGATGAACTCCCGATAGGCGCGAAGATGGTGTTGAATAGCGGTAAGTCTCTGCTCTCCCTTTCCTGGTCGCCTTTCTCTCCAGAATCCTATTGCTGACTGTCTGGCTGGCATGTAGCGGAGTTTTACGGGACACCGGACAATCAGCTCGCCAACCTTCAAATGCTCTCGCGATTTTACGAAGCGCACCCGGATTATGTCGAGAAGACGTTCCTGATGGTCAAGGTCTGCTTTGATCCACCTATGTACCCATGAGCGCACATTGACGCATACACACCGGTGCAGGGCGGCATGCACTTCGAAGGATTCAAATTCCGGGCAGACAGTTCGTACGTTGTGCTAGCCACCTCTCTGGCGATCAATTAGATAACCCTCACATGCGTTGACTGCGACAGGATGGAGCACCTTCGGAAGAGCATAGACAACTGTAACGCGGCGCTGCGGGGCACAAAGAAGGTTGACGTTTTCCAGCCTGCTCGTGTTGACCGCTCGCGGCCGATCGAGGAGACGATTCGGAACCTGGTCGTCCTGAAGGAGGAAGGGAAGTTCGACCACATAGGTTTGAGCGAGTGCAAGGCGGAGACCGTGCGGCGGGCCCATGCGGTGAGCACCTCACTGGAGCGATGGGTTCCAGGATGGGCGTTGACATACACGAGGATAGGTCCATACAATCTCGGTCGTGGAGATCGAGGTTAGCATCTGGTCGTATGAGGAAGAGACAAAAAAAGGTGCGTGCAGATGTATGACTGGTTTGCAGACGCATTTGGAGTAACTGTGCGTGTTACAAGTCATCGAGGCTACCCGCGAGCTCGGCATTGCTGTGACCGGATACGCGTAAGTCGTCCGTCACCCAATCACGAGAAGATAGTTTACGTTCTTGCCAGGCCTCTTGGGCGTGGATTCCTGACAGGACAAATCAACAGCATGGATGACATCCCGGGTCAGTTCAGCCCAGTCGCGTCATCCAAAACATCGCTCAACTGCTTCTGTCACCAGCGAATGATTTCCGCCGCATCATGACGCGCTTCAAACAGGTACATGGCTTCAGCTCTCACTGTCTTCTCCGTCTACTCACCTCCACAAACCCCTCGACGTGTAGTACTTCGACCAGAACTTGGCAAGCGCGAACGCCATCCGTGCCATCGCCGAGAAGAAGGGCGTAACCCCTGCTCAACTCGCGATCGCGTGGGTCGCCCAGCTTGGCCCACACGTCCTGCCGCTGCCAGGATCGTCGTACGTCTCACCCGTCACTCGTCCCCCAACGATCGCTCACGCCTGCTTCTCAGATCGAAGAAACGCACCCTGGAGAACTTGGCTGGTGGAGACGTCGCCCTGACGGAGGCCGAGGTAGCCGAGGTAGCCGAGGTGGTGGTGAAGTACCCAGTACAGGGCGACCGGTACTTCGGTAACGACGAGGCTGCAGGAATCTGGGGCTAGGTCGCAGCGAGCGAGCGATACAACGGCACTGGCGGGTATCGCTTTCCACCGGGAGCCGAGCATCCTGGAGGACCATGTACTTGTATTGGAAGGAATGACATTTGATCTGCACCGTGACTGTGGATATAGCGCTTCGTCGACGTCATGCATCAATGCATCACGGTGACTGGCCTGTCTGTCAAGGCTCTTGTAAGTTGTGTTCGTCTCACCTCTCGGCAGTCGTCACACCCGTTGGTCCATACGTAGGAACGATAGACACAGCCCGCGGCCGGCCAAGTTGCTGATCCACTTGGGTACGCTGCTCAATCACAGACGAGGACTCCAGTTGTCTCAGACTCTGGGTTCGCAGGCGGATATGGCATCTCAGGTGTGCACCTATGGCTTATTCGCAGCCAAGCCTTCAACCTTGAAAGGAAACCTGCACATGGGCCTCACACTTCACCACGTCTCCTGTGCGTAATCTCGCTGACAACCCGAACATACCACCACTAATATACACGTACTTACCCCCAGTTGAAAGTTCACAGTGCACCATTACGGGGCATACGCATGCGGCACGCTCTCATGCTGTCACAGCAGGGCGACAGCTAGTGGCACTGACAGCCACGTCAGGACCGTATCAGTGCATCACCATGTGCATGAGACACTGGTACTCTCGGAATTGCTGAGCCTGGGCATGCTGTCCGATGCTACGCGTCAGTGCGGCACCGAACCTAAACACTAAATATATGTAAGCAAGCGTTCCAGCGTGTCCGCCTGACTCTGCAGAGAACCGCTGCGCATTGATATTACGCGGATTCTCTGGTATATAAAAGTCGCGACAGAACAGGGAAGATTGACTGTGACTTGGCAAAGGACCACCACTGTCTACGAGTACTCGAACATGTCCCTGCATCAGCAAATCCGTCCGTTTGTCTAACACCTTCTAATACCATCTAAAACACCTAAATTCAGACAATTAGGCGTATCAGACGATTCAGACACGAGCAGTCGAGTTAGTAGATTCCTCTCTAAAACGAGACAGGTTTAGACACTTTAGGGCCCCTCAGAGTCTCAGACTGCCCGGAATTTCGAGACGTTTCAGACACGCCAGACACAATAGTATAAAAGTAAATATATTCAATCTCAACACCTAATCTACTATGCCATCCTGCTGTGTACCGATAAGTACGCCGGGTGCGACAAGCACATGCTCACAGGTCGCACAGGCCACGGCGCTCATCCATCTGTTGCAGGTGCGCAACAATCAAGCGGTCGGAGCGAACTGCCAGGGCGCTCGGGCCCAGTCGTTATCATCTTCGCACTGTGTCACTGGGCGGACACATCGTGAGCGCTGGGAGCGAGGGGACAAACATCGTACAGTGTAATACGCACCAGGTGAAGTCAACGGAACAGATTAGCGTCACCTGCTGGTGATGCTTGGCCAGCATTGAGGTCACACGCGGCGTTTGAGGCGGTTGCGCACGGCGGGCGTGCCGTGAAACAGCGAGAAGGTTGGTTTTGATAACAAGATCTACGACAACTTCTTGAACCTCGTGTGGACGGCGGAGCCCAAGGGTGACGGGGGCGGCGAAAGATGGCCGCGTTCCGGAGGATACTTCATGTCGAGCGAGGGCGGCGGGCAAAGCCGCGAAATGCACGAGCGAGGGCGGGTGCGAGCGCAGGGGAGACGGCGGTCGGCGGGAGTGTTCGAAGGGAGAGGGAAGGTCGAACGAGGGCGAAGTGGGCACGGCGGGTAGAACCGCGCAACGCACGAGTGAGGGCGGGTGCGAGGGCGTGCAAGACAGCAAGTGACGGGCACGTTCGGACGGGAGAGGTGCGTCGAGTGAGGGTGAACGAGCAGAACGAGAGGGCGGGAGAGAGGAGGATGGAAGGTGAAGAATTGAGGTACTCACCAGAGTTCTTCTGACTCCCTCCTCTCTACCAATTTCCCCGCTCGTCCCTTCGCGGTGGGCCGGTGCCGGTTGACTGGCCGAAGCCTCCTGCAAGGCGGTCTTGCAGGCGCAAGACGCGCAGTTCGTGAGCGTGGCGCGCGGGTCCTCGTCTGCGTCTGCTCTTGCGCGCGTCGAGCCGGCCGGTGCGTCGGGCTTGCGAGTGCGCTGGACTTCGGCCGTCCGCGTCGGGTGAGTGACCTCCTGTCGGGGCCTTACCGTATGCGCTGACGTGTCGGGCTTGTCATCACTCAGAGGGCGCGGCGGCGTAGTCTCCCGTAGGTAGCCCACTAGGACGACTTCTCGGGGGCGGAGGGTGGTCGTCGCGGCGGCAAGGGACAGAGTTTGGACAGAGTCCAGACAGCAACGCAGGCTTGACAGGGCTTGACGTGGCAACGGGAGGTTTAGGGCAGGCTTCCACCGGAGTTTGCCACCGGTCGGCGGTAAGTACTTACCTGCGCGCGGCGCGCGCACGCTAAGCCCGCTTGCCCTCACTCACCACTCGCCTCGGGTCTCGTCAACGAGCTCTCACGGACGGACGCTCGACTCTCACGCCGACACTCCTCGACCTCTGCCCCTCTCGCGCCCGGTCGACGGATGCCCGTGGGAATCGCGTCTGAGCGTGTCGAGTGCGCTCGATTCTCGCGTCGACCTTGACACCTCCCTACGCGGACGTCCACTGCTTGCAGCAGACCACGAGGTAATGCACGGTTCCCGCGCATCTCGCAGTTGCCTGGCCCCCGCTGACGCCTCAGACGACGACTGCCGTGTACTCGTCCAGACTCCGGGCCACTAACGATGCGACTCGCGAGGAGAAGACGCACGCCCGCGCACTGCACTGTGACCAGTCCGTCCGCGTCGTCACGCCGCTATAACACGGCCAAGCCCAGGCACGTTCGTGCTCCGAGCTCGAGGCGGGCGCGGGAGCCTGAGGGTCGACACAGATAGTCCACCGCGAAAGGACGTGCACCAAGTCCATGTAGTATAGTACTATACCATTGTATCTGGGTAGCGTCAATACATGATTTTGCCATTGAATAAGTTTGAGCACGAGAATTGGGGTGGAAGTCTAGACGAGACTTAGAAAGGTAAGGTATTTTAGACAATAATTAGACTGGCCAGACACGTTTAGAGGGTTAGGGCCTGTCAGACAAATCACAGCTTTGCTGATGTGAAGACCACGACCAAGCTCGGCGGGACCGCGTCCCACATCACCGTCGGAAAAGTCGCCGTACGTATACTCATCACACAAGCGCACAGCGCTGCGTCCACAATGCACCAAAAGACTGAGACAATCGTGTAGCATGGCTTGATGACGATGACAATGACCACCACGTACGTATCTCGTCAAGGCAGAACTTGCACGCTCCCGAGTCTCCGATATTGACCAAAGGACCTCTTGCCCAGCGCATCGCATGCCCATTCAGATGAGGAGCTCTTCGAGGCTATCAAGGCCGGGGTCGACGCGCTTCCGCCGGGCACCAAGATGGTGTTGAACAGCGGTCGGTATCCCGCCACTGCTCCCTTCCCCCGCATCGCTGATTGCCATGCCTGGCTTGCGTGCAGCGGAGTTCTACGGCCCGCACGCCAACCGCCTCGCCAACCTCGAGATGCTCTCGCGGTTCTACGAGGCGAACCCGGGCTACGCCGACAAGACGTTCCTGATGGTCAAGGTCAGATTCCGCCCACGAACCGCGGCCACTGCCCACTGACGCATACCCCCGGCTCGCTGGCAGGGAGCAATGCACTTCGAGCAGCGCAGAGCAGACAGCTCGTACGTCCTTCCCGAGTCGTCTTAGCGATGACCGGCCGGTGACAGTTCCGCACGCTGGCTATGGCAGAATCGAGCACCTCCGGAAGAGCGTGGACGCGTGCATCGCCGCGCTGCGGGGCACCAAGAAGATCGACGTCTTCCAGTCCGCGCGCGTCGACCGCTCGCGGCCCATCGAAGAGTCGATCCGCAACTTCGTCGTCCTCAAGGAGGAGGGCAAGTTCGAGCACATCGGGCTGAGCGAGTGTAAGGCAGAGACTGTGCGGCGGGCTCATGCGGTGCGTGGCTTCAAGCTGCCAATATGGCTTGTTGGGTTGACGGAGATGGAGATAGGTCCACCCGATTGCTACGGTGGAGATCGAGGTCAGCATTTGGTCGTATGAGGAAGAGACGAAGAAAGGTGCGTGCCGCCTGATCGTCCAGTGTCGCCACTGTTTGGGCATTCATGCGTATGCCACAAGTGATCGCGGCCACTCGCGAGCTCGGTATCGCTGTCACAGGCTACTCGTGAGTCGTCCAATGTTCATCAATAGTGGGGAGGCTTTTCTCAACATCGCGCTTCCTTTCAGCCCGCTCGGGCACGGGTTCCTGACCGGCCAGATCAACAGCCTGGAAGACCTCCCAGGTCAGTCCGCCATTTCCGAGCTTCGAGCACGGTTAACCCACCGCTTTGCGCACCAGCGGACGACTGGCGCCGGATCCTCACGCGCTTCAAAGAGGTACCGCCATTCTGCTGTAATCCACGCCTACTGCATGCTCACCTCCTCCTCATATGTAGTTTGACCAGAATATGGCAAGCGCGAAGGCCATCCGCGCCATCGCAGAAAGGAAAGGCGTGACCCCCGCGCAGCTCGCGATCGCGTGGGTCGGCCAGCTGGGCCCGCACGTCCTGGCCCTGCCGGGAATGTCGTACGTCCCTGGCCTATATTTGCGACGCGCCATTCATATTCCTCCTCTGCAGGTCGAAGAAACGCACGCTAGAGAACCTGGCTGGAGGGGACGTCGTCCTGACGGAAGCCGAGTTGGCTGAGGTCGCGGAGGTGATGGAGAAATACCCTGTCCAGGGCGATCGTTACTTCGGGGACGACGAGGCCATGGGGCTATGGGGCTGAAGCGGACGTGGGTCCGTCGGTGATCTCCTGAATGCAAAGTGGTCGGGCTTGTAAGATGTATCATTACCTGTGCGCCGCGTGTCCAATTCAGTGCAAACTCTGAGTGGGATGGACGTGAGCGCACGTACGAGAATCGATGTCTGCTGAACATTGCGCTCGCCTCCATTTAGCAACTGGTGGTGGCCCAGTCGAAGAGAATCGAGCAATGTACCCGCGAACGGTGCCGCTGCTTGCGTGTCCCTGCGGCGCATTGGCCGTCGCCACGGAATGTACACGGGTGATTTATACGTCGGCCCCACGTACTGGTCCGAGGCCCCTTCAAGTTCAAAGCTTGACTCGATTCACCGTGGTGCCGTCCTCGGACTGCAGATGCACCAAGCCATGTGTCAGGGATATTTGTGCGTGAGACGTATGACGAACTCGGTATGATGCACAGGGCATTGCAAGTACTGTGACCAGGCAGAACTTCGACCGGGGCCGTGGCGGGGCCTCGCCGCGCTTCCTGCCGGAGCTGCCAACAAACTTAGCGTCAGAGTATGTAACTGTAAGCACGCGCCTTTGCAGCTGGCCGTGCTCGCAGCGGCAATGTACCATGGCAGGGTCGGATTGAGTGACAGCTGAGGGACACGTTCGAACTACGGGACGGACGCGATCGGACCTGCAGGAGGAGATCGAGAGGCGGAGGTCATCGATCCATCCCCTCCGCCGTGCCGCGCACTCGCCTGCCGATCCGTAAGCACTGTCAGCCACTCTGTAGTAGCCCGTCTGCGTCCGCATATAAGGCGGCAGGCGTACCCGTCGCTGCCCTCACCATCCTCGACGCTGTGTCTTCCGCTGCACACACTGCTACCAAGATGCCGATCAACAACACCGCGAAGCTCGGAGGGACCGCCTCCGATGAGACCGTCGCGAAAGTCGGGGTATGTTCGCTTCCGCGGCCCGCGCTCACACCGCAGGCTGACACCGCCATGCACCCATAGCACGGCCTCATGATGATGACGTGCGTCCACCACTCCTCGCGCTGTGGCCCCGCCGCTGAACAGCGCCCGCAGATGGCGCGGCTCGGGCGTCGTGCCCGACGAGCAGTGCTTCGAGGCCATCAAGGCCGGCATCGACGCCCTCCCGCCGGGCACCAAGGCCCTTCTCAACAGCGGCGAGTTCTACGCGAACGACCTCGGCACGGGCAACCTCGAGCTCCTCGCGCGCTTCTTCGACAAGCACCCCGGCTACGCGGACAAGACCTTCCTCTCCGTCAAGGTCCGTCTGCTGCCCGCATCCCACTCTGAACATACTACTGAGCTGTCTGTGCAGGGCGGACGGTCTGCGCAGGGCCTTGGGCCCGATGGCTCCCCGGAGAACCTCCGCCGCAGCGTGGACAGCATCAACGCTGCCCTTCGCGGCACAAAGAAGCTGGACCTCTTCGAGTCTGCGCGCGTAGACCACAACGTGCCCGTCGAGGAGTCGATCAAGGCACTCGCGGGCCTCATCAAGGAGGGCAAGTTCGACCACATCGGCCTGTCGGAGTGCAGTGCTGCGACGCTCAGGCGGGCGCACGCTGTAGGCTACTTTGACTTGAGCGCTGTACCTGTCAAGAGCTGACGAGTCGGCTGTATGCAGGTGCACCCGATCGCTGCTGTCGAGATCGAGGTCAGCCCGTGGTCGTACGAAGAGGAGACCAAGAAGGTCATCGCCGCTTCCAAAGAGCTCGGCATCTCCGTCGTCGCCTACTCGTACGCCCCTCCCGTTCCTCCCCTCGCGCGAGACCGCTGACCCCCGGACCGCAGCCCCCTCGGTCGGGGCTTCCTGACGGGGGCGATCAAGAGCGTGGACGACCTGCCCGAGAACGACATGCGCCGGCGGTTCACGCGCTTCGGCGAGGAGTACATGAAGCACAACCTCGCGCTCGTCGACGCGCTCCAGGCGATCGCAGCCAAGAAGGGCTGCACGCCCGGCCAGCTGAGCATCGCGTGGGTCGGCTCGCTCGGCGAGCACGTCATCCCCCTCCCCGGGTCCTCGTACGTGCCCCTCCCCGTTCGTACGAGCAGAGAATTGATTGACGGGTGTACGCCGGGGCGTTGACAGGAAAAAGGAGCGCACGCTGGAGAACCTCGCGGGCGGCGACGTCGTGCTCACGGAGGCGGACCTCGCGGAGATCAATGCCGTCCTGGAGAAGCACGAGGTCAAGGGCGATCGCTACTTTGGCAACCCCGCGGCCGCGCACTTGTGGGGATGAGTTGAATGGGCGTGTACGTATCAGCACGATAGTAGTAGACTTGGAGGCCTGGGTGTATTGAGTCGAAAGGATTAGGAGTCCCAGTCTGTACATAGCCTGATTGTTCGCCTTCAACAAATGACAACGAGAGACGGTATGCCGTGTCTGCGTGTGGCTGAACCAGGAAACGAGGGGAAATTGACGCGGAAATTGAATGATGGGATGCGATCTAGACGCCGCCGCGGCTATCTAATCTGCTGTAGCCGGGCGAACTCTGGACGATCGACCCGAGTCACAGCCAGAGTCAGGCAAATGGCCCAGCACCCTCCCCGTTCCTCCTCCTCCTACCCCCACCGCGTCGCTCACCCCCACAGCTAGCCCGCACAGCCCGCCTATTCTTCTGCACGATGTGTGGAATCGTCGCGGCACACGGAATCGACAACCCCGCCGCGCACCGACCGCGCCTCATCGCGTGCGCGAAGAAGATCCGCCACAGAGGGCCGGACTGGTCGGGCTGCTACAGCGGCAAGCAGACCATCCTCGCCCACGAGCGACTCGCCATCGTCGGCGTTGGTGCGTCCTCCACTCTATTTGCGTGTCCGATCGACTGAAATACCATCTTTGCGCGCAGACACGGGCGCACAGCCGATCGTGAGCACCGACGGAAAGATCATCCTCGCGGTCAACGGCGAGATCTACAACCATGTCAAGCTGCGGGCATCCCTCAAGGAGCGATATGCCTTCAAGACGCACTCCGACTGCGAGGTCATCATCCCGCTCGTACGTCCCGTCCCTCCTTCCCTCTACGCACCCTCACTCACGTCCGCACACAGTACATGGAGCACGGGAAGGACCTCTGCAGCCTGCTCGACGGCATGTTCTCCTTCGTGCTGCTCGACGAGTCCGTCTCGCCCCCGCGGGTCATCGCCGCGCGCGACCCCATCGGGATCACCACGCTCTACCAGGGGCGCTCCTCCGCGCGCCCCGGCGCGGTCTACTTCGCGTCCGAGCTCAAGGCGCTCGTCGACGAGTGCGACGACATCATCTCCTTCCCGCCGGGCCACGTCTACGACTCCGCGGACGACTCCACCACGCGCTACTACACGCCGTCCTGGTGGGACGGCGACCGCGAGGGCCCCCGCGCCGTCGTCCCCACCGCGAAGGCGGACTTGACCCTGCTGAGGGAGACACTCGAGGAGGCCGTGCGCAAGCGGCTCATGAGCGAGGTCCCGTACGGTGTCCTGCTGAGCGGGGGCCTGGACAGCAGCTTGATCGCGGCGATTGCGGCGAGGGAGACGGACAAGGTCGCGCAGGCGCAGATCGAGGCGCGGAAAAAGAAGCTCGCGGAGGCGCAGAGCGGGCCGCCGTCGCCGATGTCGCCCGCCCTGGCCAACGGCGCCATCACCGAGTATGGTACGCGTCCCGTTCACAGTGCAGGCTTTGCAGTCGGGCTCATGACAGTGCGTGCATGCAGCAACGATCGCCTCTTGGCCGCAATTGCACTCGTTCTCTATCGGCCTCGAGAACTCGCCCGACCTCATCGCCGCGCGCAAGGCGGCGAGCTACCTCGGCACGGTGCACCACGAGTACGTGTTCACCGTCCAGGAGGGCCTCGACGCGATTCCCGACGTGATCTACCACCTCGAGACGTTCGACGTCACGACGGTGCGCGCGAGCACGCCGATGTACCTCCTCAGCAGGAAGATCAAGGCCATGGGCGTGAAGATGGTGCTGAGCGGTGAAGGGAGCGACGAGATTTTCGGCGGTGAGTGACTTGGGTGCGCGAGTCGATGAGGCGGGCTGAGCTGAGCGTTGCGTGAAGGTTACCTGTATTTCCACGCCGCGCCCGATGCGCCGTCCTTCCACCAGGAGTGCGTGCGGCGGGTGAAGGACCTGCACACAGCCGACTGCTTGCGGGCCAACAAGTGAGGCTATTTGCATACGCTCGATACCCGTATCCCTGTCTAACGTGTGTTAAGGTCGACTATGGCGTGGGGCCTCGAGGCACGCGTGCCCTTCCTAGACAAGAAATTCCTGGACGTCGCCATGGGCGTCGACCCGAAGGAGAAAATGTTCAGCAAGGGCGCCGCACAGCAGGTCGATGAGGACGGCTGCCCGCGAATGGAGAAGGTACCTCACAATCCAGTCGTAGCGTGTATACGGACATCTGAATTTTGCCACCCTAGTACATTCTCCGGAAAGCCTTCGACTGCGCGCCTGACGGCAAGGTCGGTCATTACCGTTATATCTGCTCGACCGCAGCCGCTAACGACGCTCGTTCCGCGCTAGCCCTACCTCCCTCGGTCCATCCTCTGGCGCCAGAAGGAGCAGTTCTCCGACGGTGTGGGATACTCTTGGATCGACGGGTACGTTCCCCGCTCTCCTTCCACCCGCTCTCCTCCCTCCGAACTCACCTCGCCTCGCACACACAGCATGAAGGACCACGCAGCCGCCGTCGTTTCTGATGAGGCGTTCGCGAAGCGGGCAGAGCGCTGGCCGGTGAGCACGCCGGACACGAAGGAGGCGTACTGGATCCGCGAGATCTTCGACGGTGAGTCATTCGTCCCTCTTATAGCCTAGCTCGTCGTCTGGACTCTCAACTCACTTCATCCCATGTTCTGCAGGACTCTTCCCCCAGGAAACGGCGGCGAGGACGGCAGTGCGGTACGTGTCGTTCATAGCCTTCTTTCATCTTACGTGAGGCCGTGATATGGACTAACTCACCGGTGCACGGCAGGTGGATCCCGCGCGGCGACTGGGGCTGCTCGTCGGACCCGAGCGGGCGGAGCGTGAGCATACACCAGGCGGCATACGAGGAGGAAGAGACGTCCAGTTAAGCGGACTGTACTAAAAGCGCGATCGTATACCTAGTTGTAGTACATTATAGATATAGACCAAGAGATCTAGGTGATAATGGGACAGTAAAGTTGAAGTGTCCGCATGTCAACGGACGCCCTGGCGATGGTCCTGGGAACGAGAAGGGATGCGCAATGAGCGAAGAGACGGTGGGATACCGAGCGGGAAGATGGACAAGAGCAGCACAACGAGGGTTGGGGGTCGACGCCTGAGTATTATATCGGAGCGAAAATGCATGAGTGAATAATGAGTGATACGGTATCATCAACTGTGGGTACTCGATGACAATGAGACGATGACGAAGAATGGTGGGGGAGAAGACGCAGAGATGAACAGAGAAACAGCAGCATACGGGACATCGAGGTAGACATGCGTGCCTGACATATAGCGATGGTGGCAGAGTTGGTCGTATATGTTATCCTTAAAAGACGTGACGAACATGAAGGAGACATCAACAGTGAGGCAAGTCCATGAGCATCTAAGCGTTCAGAGCATTGAGAGAAGGGTTCTGCGTGATGATCTGGCGGTATAGGCCTACGCCGGAGTCCTCCGACGGTGCGGGCGAGGACAGCTGCTTCGGCGCAGCCGCGGTTGTCGTCCGCGTGGCTGCACTTGTCTGCGACGTGTTGCGAGAACGCTTCGGCACGGGTGTCGTGGTCGTCGCACGCGTGCTCCCGTCCCAAGCTGGGCGGTCTCTCGTGACGGTGGCCTTCGTGACAGTCGCCTTGACCGAATGGTCCTCCTCGGAATGAGGCTGCCGCCGGCCACCAGCGGGTGTAACTTGCGTCCTGCGGCTCGCTGGACGTGCACCGCCGCTTGGTGAATCTGCAGCGACCAAGCGCGTACCGAACTTCGCATTCGCTGACGACTCGCGACCGTATGCGGTTGGTGAGCCCGCCGCGCCTCGCCGTGCAGCGTTTATTGCCAACTGCTTCGGCTTGATGGGCTTCTGTACGGTGACCTTGTCGGCGCCCCAGTAGGAGAAACTCATCTTGCTTTTCCGATCAGAGTCGTCGGAATCGTTCGCGGGATCATCGTCATCGTCTGGCATCGGTACAAGGCGCGGTTGTACGCCTGAATGTACTTGTGCCCGGGAACGAGCGACACTGTATAGGTACTGAGCACTGATTCAGAAACCGACTGCCGAGAACACTTACTCCTCCATCGACACGACACCTTCTCTCGGCTGCACGACATCTCCTATTGCCCAAGTCTCAATCTGTCAGCGTCGACAAAGCGGTGTATCAGCAACTCTGAGGCCTATAGACAATAGACTCGACGGGCACTGACCTTGAGGAACTTGTAGAGATTCCGAGGCTTCGTATGCGCGTTCCGCCGCCCTGTGGTAGCGTACTTCGCCTTGCCCTGCAGCTCTGGCAGAGAATTCGTCCTGGAGTTCGTCGAAGCTCCTAATGGCAGGCAAGTCGTGCCCGTACGCTGACACCGGAGCACGACATCATTGAAAACAACGAGCCACTGGTCCTTCTTGCCTCCCACACCTCCACTTCCGGACTGAAGAACGTCACTGAGACGTTTGAACGACGTCTTGCCTCTGACATTCTTCCCGTTCCCTGAAGTTGGCGGTGATGAGGATGGTTTAACGTCCGCCGCGGGATTGAGGCCGCCGACTGGCCTCTCTTCCATGAGCACCCGCGACGGCTTCGGCACCATGAGCTGCTTGACTTTGTCCAAGCCTTCAATACGCGCGAAGACGTCTCTCGTCTTGTCGCGCTCCTCCTTCTGGATCTTCTCGTCCTCAATGCTCCGGACGATCATCTCCACCTCCGCTACCATACCAAGCGTGCTCTCGTACTCGAAGGTACTCGGGTCTGTGTGGTATAGTAGGTTCTGGAAAAGCAGCGGGTACTTGAGCAGTCGTTGAAACGGCTTGGAGAGGGAGATGGCAAGCCCTGTCTCGCCCTTGTCCGACGAGTTCAGCTCCAGTCGCTGCAAGCACTGGCAAACCTTCACCCATTGGTCGGCATCCTGCTTCTTCGGCTTCTTGCTCGCGCTTGCTGTGGAAAGAGCATTGTCGACCTGCTCGAGTGCCCGCTCGAGGTGGAGGACATATGTCGCATACCCGTGAAGGATATGCGACTAGATATAAAACACAGCGACCATCAGTGAGTTAACTCGATTGTTCAACGTTGCACTCACGTTGCTCACGAAGACGTCCGCTAGTGACCGGACCAGTGGGTACTGCTCCTCGTACCTCTTCCTGAGGTTCTCGCTGAGTTTCATATGCCCATCCAGGATACCGCCTTCGATAACCTCCAGACATTTGCGAAGGTCCTCCGGCAACTCTCGCGCAGGCACCGCTCCATTTGTCACAGCCTCCGTCACCGTACTCTGGCTGCGCTTAAACTTGCGCAGCACGTTGGCCCCAGAGTTGGTCGTCGGAGCTCTAGTAGAATGTGCGCTGGGCTCCCCCGCGTACTCTCGATCGCGTTCACCGATCATCGACTGCCGGCCCAACGATTGCGTCGAGGCTGTCAGGTTCATACCTCGTGGGGGTGGTGGGAGTGATTGGTGGGAGCGCGAGGGGAAGGGTACGGTCGTGCCAAACTTACCACCTGTTGCCCGCGAGTGCGAGTTGTACGGCGATCGGGGGTGGTTGTGCTTCGCTGCCTGGCTCATGGCCGAAGTGTTCTTCCCTCGCGACGTGTATGTTGCGCCCATCCGGTCGTCTGCCTCTCCTTCCTCGTCCGAGTTCATCGACTCACCGTCGATGTTTGGATGCCCATCGTCCTTTCGTGGAGGTGTGGTATTGGCCTGAGGCGATGGGGAGTCAGACAGGAAGCCGATTGGTGAGAGGAATCGAGCTGCGATGGGGAGGTGCTCGAGTGATTCTCGAGGCGTATCCGAACGCGGGTAGTCCTCATAATCGAGAGGTGTGGGCGACGCGATTGGGGAAGTAGCAGAATAAGGGTGAAGGAGGGGATCAATGAAGGTTTCTTTCAACTTTAACAATTCATTCACATAGCTAGGTTTGATGTGTGAATGAATTTCGGACGGAGAGAAGACGCGAACACGCACCGTTCCTCGCTTGCAACAATCTCCCAAAGCACCTCCTGTCGCGTGCGCTCACGCTGCCCGATGTTCGATACAAGGTCCTCCTCCGCAACCTCGCTCCATGACTGCGCCAACAGTATCCGACTGCTGGCATTTGTCGTCTGGGAATACGGAGTCCCTGACCGCAGCGACTGGTGGATAGACGCGCCGTCGTTATAGCTCTTGGCGGTAAATGGAGACGGTGCCGTGCGTGTAGACGCTTGCCTAGTCGATCGAGCGGTTGATGCAACATCAGTCTTCGAGGACGCAGCTGTCGACGTCGACCCGCGCGTATCTTTGGCGTGAGCAGCCTGGAAACGCGACACGGACGACTTTGCGGGTCCAGCACTCGACGAGTCTGTCTCGGGTAGTGCACCCAATGTTGGTCCCGGTGTCGGTGGAGGAGAGAGAAAAGCGACCTTCTTCTGGATGTCGCTGGAGGTACCATTGCTCATGCTGCCATTCGTCGTCTTGCGCGAGCTGCGTCCTGCTGAGTCAGGCTCCTGCCGCACCGTTTTCGAGGAGCCTACTGACTCGTGCTTCCTTGGGAGGTTCGAGATATCCTCGAGCGGAGGATCTGCAGGGGGCAACGAGTTCATGGCAGCGATCGGGGTTGGTGTCGCCGAGGACTCGGTTGACGTGGATAGATCGTGCTCGTCCGGCGGCGGGGGGAGGGTGCGGTCAGAAAGCTCAGGCAGAGGTTTGGAGGGGTCTGTAGGAGTTGCCGCTGAGCGCTGGGGCGGCCAGTCGGGAAGCGGAGGGAGCTGGGGTATCTTTTCTCTGAGAACGTCGGTCCTGTCTCTGTCCTTCTCCTTGGTGAGGCCGATGCGGTTGAAGAAGGCCTTCATGGCACAAATACAGCGCGCAGGGCGCAAGGAGGGCGACGAGAGAGGTTGGGAGAACGTGGATACGAGGCCGACGGAGGGAGGAGGAGAGGTGCAGTGATAGGTATCACACGCGCCTCGTGGCTTTTGCCTCCGTCACGTCTGCGGCCCTTGGCTGCACATGCCAATGGCCGCTCATCCTCCTCGCCCCGCCCACAGCACAAAGCACCTCGCCCTTCTTCGCTACCCTTTTCGCGACCTCGTCTTCCACCTCGCACAGCGCGACGATGGCCTCACAAACGGCACCGCCCTCTGGCTCGGCGCGCAGTGTCTCTCCTTGTACTTAGCCGATGCGCTCAGACTCAAGGCGCCTCCCGCGCGGCGTCTTCGAGCCATCGAACTCGGGAGTGGTATTGGGCTGTCGGCGTGCGTTGTTCCGGGAAGTCGTTTGCCTTCTATCTCATGCGGTGTGCAGACTCGCCTTGTGTTCCATGGGCTGGGACGTGCTCGCAACAGATCTGCCCGATGTCATTTCCGCCGTGCTCACAAGCAACGTCGTGCGTAACGCATCGCAACTGCCTGGGGGCAGCGGCACCATCCAAGTCCGTGCCCTCGACTGGACGGTGCCCGCAGATCAATGGGTATGGGGTAACGGCACGTTCATAGGGTTGCCAGGTGGCCCAGGAACAGAACGTACAGAACTCGTCGAGACACTCGGGCCACCGTTCGACTTGATCATCTCCTCGGACACGTTGTACGCCGCAGAGATTGTACACCCGCTCTTTAGAACACTGCATGCCCTGATTACGCTCTCAGCGGGGCATGGTTGCCGTTCGCCACCGGTATATCTTGCCATAGAGCGCCGCGACCCGTCCCTTATCGACCTTGCACTCGCGGATGCCGTAAAACTGTGGGGTTTCGCCGCGGAGCGAGTGCCACACAAGAAAGTAGTCAAGGCATTGGACAAAGGCGGCGTGAAATGGGACAAGGAAGATTGGGAGGGCGTAGAAATTTGGAGGTTCACACAGAAAACAAGCAGCTCACCTGTATCCGCAAATGTTTAGCTAGTCGTGTTTTCGTGTGTGCAGGTGCGGGGAAACAACATCGATCTTTACAATGTAAGTGCAACGAGAAAAGAACGCGCGGCCAGGGGGGCCATCGTGTCGGGATGTAGGGTAAGTGGTCGAATTCCCGTGCCCATGCGGGATATCGCCATGGGATGAGTATCGTTGTACAGGGTAGTCATCGAGAGCATTGGGTATTAGACATCAATGTCGTTTCATTGGTTGTGGGCATCCCGTTGCCTATGAGAGCCTGATAACAAGGTTGCAGCAGGCGGCGATGTCTCTCGGATCCTGGTCTTCGCAAGTGCACTGGGTCGCAGTATAGCATGCGGTATTCTCATGATGAGCTGATGCCATTTGCCTGCACTCTACAGCATTCCTCAAGTCAGAAATGGTGTGTGTGTCGAGATTCATGAAGGCACCTACGGAGTATTACGACCGTCTGTGTCCATGTCCTCTCTGCGGGTGGCCACTAGTCTGAGTGTTCTGTCAAATCCGTGACTTGACTATATTGTCACCATGCATAAGGCTCTTCTCCGGGTGTATGAATATAGCTCACTCACCAAGTCTCTCCATGTTTCCTCTTCATCGTTCTCTGTTTGCAGCTGGTAGACCTGCATGAACCCCTTGAACCTAGAGAAAATCAGTCAGTATTCTGTTGCAAACTGGATAGCAATGAAGCGGATGCGAATCGGGGTGAATGTCAAAGTTAACACGAACGACTCACGTCAGACCACCGTCCTCTGTCACGTCCAGGAACTCCATCAGTTCCTCCTTCGTCGCCTCGTCAAACGGGGTGCCATTTGTGTCACGCGCCCATGTATCCAGCCCTTCTGGCGAGAGGTATGCCCCCTCAGGTGGTGAGAGCAACCCTGCGCCCTTCTTCGGCGTGGGTCGCGGCATGCAGTACTTCGCGAAAATGTGCTTCAGGCAGGACTCTAGCTATAGTGGAGGATCGCTGTGCGTCAGAACGCCGTCTTCACGGTAGCATAGCTGGCTCCAAACCTGTACTGAAATAGCACCATCATCGTCCAGTAGCTGGACCCCCTCAACACCGTTCCTGCGCCCCTGCCGTGTAGCTGGTTCCGGAGTCTCTGGGCGCGGCGAATCCATCCGTAACTCCTCCACGTCGCGGTTCATGCCGGGCATATAGAACTCCTCAGCGTAGCTCCGAGATACGAGGGAGTGTGTCCAAGAGGACGAGGAAAGCGATCGTCGCGTTCAGTGAGCGCGAACAAGGTAACTTGGGACGCGGAGAGTCGCGGTACAGATGATGCCTTCCACAATAGGAACACAGATCGACCGGTGGCGGCCCCGCCCGGGCGCTTCGGGCCCAGCACCTACAACTTACTCTTCGACGCCCATCATGGCTACAAAGGCGCAGCCTCTGTCAATCGAAAGCTTGCTACAGAAGCAGAAAGAGGAGAAGGAAGCGTCGTCCAAAGTATGTCCCGTTTTAACACGTCGTCGTAACATGCTCAAGGACCGCTCGTGTACAGCCCAGATTCTTGACTAAGGAGCAGCGCGCAAAACTCGCAGTTGAGAAGCGCGAACAGGAGATAAGGGAGCAGAAAGAGCGGGATGAACAAGCGAAGCGCGACCGTGAACGGTTAGAGCGAGAGGCTGAGGAAATCAGGGTGAGAGAGCGGGAGAGGGAGCGAGCGAGCAGGTACGGGGACAGTGGCAGATGTCAGTGCGAGTTCCTTATCGTATGCCTGCACCCTAGTAACGCGTCCCATCGTTTGCTTCTACAGACGGTGACAGGTATGAGCGGGACCGAGGCAGAGACGACCGAGAGGGCAGATATGGCCGACGAGATGACCGCAGGGACAGGGACCGACGACCACAAGACGACAGACGGTCTGGTTCCTACCAAGGTGTCCCAACAGGTCCTCGTGCAGAGCGAGGGAAAGCACCTCCGACTGGCCCTGCAGCGAACAACACCGCTTCTATGCCTCCGCCTCCTCCACCTTCCGGCAGCTCGAACGGAACCCGCACGTCTGATCTGACAACACCGTCGGAAGCATATGTACCGCCGATGACGGTTAACGAGATCGACGCAATCCGCTCACGTTACCTCGGCGTCGACAAGAAGAAGCGAAAGATCCGCAAGATGAATGACCGCAAGTTCGTCTTCGACTGGGACGAGCAGGACGACACGTACAATGCAGAGACGCCCGCGGCCGTAGGCAGCCAGCGGCAGGGCGCGCAGATAATGTTTGGTCGCGGGCATATCGCGGGCATGGATGATGGGGGAAACGTGCCTCCTAGTGGCAGGCAAAATGGAAGCGAGGGTGCCATGCAGCTGGCGGACCCGCTGGAGCGGAGGAAGGCGGCGAGGAGCGGCCTGGACGAGAGGCATTGGTCGGACAAGCCGCTGGAGGAAATGAAGGAGCGGGATTGGCGTATCTTCCGAGAGGACTTCAGCATCGCTGCCAGAGGTGCGCTGGTTCTCTCCATTACGCATTTTGTACTAACCGACTGACTCTATGCAGGTGGTCAAATCCCACATCCGCTCCGTTCATGGACCGAGTCTATCATCCCTCAACAGATTCTGGATGTCATTGATCAGGCTGGTTACAAGGAACCGTCTCCCATTCAACGACAAGCCATTCCTATCGGCTTGCAGAACCGTGACATCATTGGTATCGCAGAAACCGGTATGTTAGCCTGCGACTGGATATAGTTGGTTGCTCACGGGTGTCCAGGATCCGGTAAGACTGCTGCCTTCGTTATTCCGATGCTCGCGTTCATCTCCAAGCTACCGCCCTTCACCGACGAGAACAGACATCTCGGTCCTTATTCGCTCATTCTCGCACCTACACGCGAGCTGGCACAGCAGATTGAGTCGGAGGCCAAGAAGTTCGCAAGTCCTCTAGGATTCACTTGCGTGTCTATCGTTGGAGGAGTATGTCATCTTCTAGATGTTCTTGCCGGCGGGCTATACTGACATCTGCCATTGTAGCGTGCCGTTGAAGAACAGCAATTCAACCTGCGCTCCGGTGCCGAAATCATCATAGCCACTCCTGGTCGTCTGAAGGACGTCATTGAGCGACATGTCATCGTCCTCTCTCAATGTCGCTACGTCGTAATGGATGAAGCTGACCGGATGGTCAACCTTGGTTTCGAGGTGGACCTTACCTTTATCCTCGACAAGCTCCCGAGCGACATGATGGAGGGCGAGGACCAGGGCGAGCAGATGGATGTCGACGGCGAAACCATGATCAAGAAAGGAAGGAACCGCGTCACGACTCTATTCAGTGCTACAATGCCGCCGCCGGTTGAGCGACTGGCTAAGAAGTATCTGAGGAAGCCGGCAATCATCACTATCGGTGAGGCGGGTAGGGCTGTGGACACGGTCGACCAGAAGGTCGAGTTCGTTAATGGAGACGAGAAGAAGAAGTGGGTGATCATTATGTTGTTGTGTCGACTGGGCTCTGACTTCGCACGTCACAGGCAAAAGATGCTGGAGATTCTCAACAGTGGAATCTATCCCGCACCTATTATTACCTTCGTCAACCAGAAGAAGACGGCAGACATGGTTGCCAAGGATCTTCAGCGTGCAGGAGTAAGCATCAAGCTAGATGTCCCTGTTGCTGCCGCTAAATACTCACACCTTGTAGTGGAGCGCTGCGACGTTGCACTCGGGCAAAAGCCAGGAACAGCGAGAAGCCGCGTTACAGTCACTGCGTTCAGGCGACTCCGATATCCTTGTCGCGACCGATCTTGCAGGTCGTGGTATTGATGTGCAGGACGTCAGTTTAGTTATCAACTACCAGATGGCCAACACCATCGAGGCGTATGTCCACCGTATCGGTACGCAATCCCTATTTTTCGCGGGAATGCCGTTGCTCATGTGCACGTTGCAATATAGGTCGTACTGGTCGTGCCGGCAAGCAGGGTACTTCGATCACTTTCCTGACGAACGACGACGAAGAAGTAATGTACGTCCGCCCACTGCTTCGATCCCATCTCGCCTTATCTAACCACGTACAAATCACGCACTAACTATATTCCCGTGTCGAATGCAGGTACGATCTCAAGCAAGGTACGGTACCTTACGTTATCTCTTTCTCGTCAAGGCCGCAAAGGCTGACTGCTGCGGTCCTCAGAGATCTCGAAGAGCCCGGTGTCGAAGGTGCCCATGGAACTCGCGAGGCACGAGGCAGCGCAACACAAGGTGTCAAGGGAGATGAAGCGCAAGCGGGACGCGGACGACCAGGGCTAAGCGTCGGTCTGGTCGTGTGGAGGATCTGCGCTGTCGTGGAAAGGAAAACTTTCGTCACCGCGGGAGGGTATAGGGTATGGCAGCGTGTATATGAACGAACGTGTGGTGAGAGGCTCCTGCTGTATTTCACTGTTACGCTAGTCTGCTCTTTGGAGTATAGCTCATACCGCGAACGTCTGACGGTATCGTGCGCGCGCACTCCGTCCGCTCTGATGTTTTTGTCAAGTCAGAAGTCCCGGACGCGGCATCAGGTAAGAACTCAAATACCTCTTACTTCCTCCCAGGTATGTCAAAATTAAGGCGGCGACTGTCACTGTATATCATATCCCAAGCTCTGCGGCGAGACGCTGTTGAGCAGCACGGCCAATGGTCAATTTGTACTCCCGGGTACAGTTTCCCAAGTTGTTTCGTGCGCTGTCTCGTCATCCTCCGCCTATCTCCCTGGCCGGCTTTGACAGGAGACCCCACTCGCACTCTCCGTATGGCTGCTCTCGGGACGTCCGCGTCGGAGACGGAGCAGCCCGAGGACGTGTACGTTGGTGTACTCGGAGGGGCGGCGACAAATGATTGTAGCGATCGGCCGATCGGCCCTGCCAGTGGTGGCAGATACCGATTCGCGTGATCGCGGGACGGACGAGCACGCTAAGCGCCCGCCCGAATGCGTGCCTCCGGAGTCGCCGGCAGCTCGGCGGACGGCATACGGTGCGTTTGTCAAGTGCCTATCCTCAGAATTGCCTTGGGCTGACCCGCGGCCGATGGCGTCGCATCAATGTTGTGCTGACCTTGTGCGCATGACGCGTTCGCTCAATGTGGCCACACCTGCCTTGAATGGCCTGTGGCTGCGTTGTGTCGAGACGACTCCTGGGGCTAAGTGACTTAACATCGAGCACACAACTGAGAGATATCCCTAGCGTCTCAAACATGCCCCGTGGACGCCACAGATGTCATGGCCGCCTCGAGTCTCTTCAGGGTGAAGCGTCCCTGAGACGGCACAAAGATAAATAAAAATGGGGCTCCAAATCTTCTGATCAGTGCGGACAAGGCATGTATCAAGGCCTTGTCTACGCAGCCGCTTCGTCACTTCGTTTCTGCCCGCAGGAGCTGTGTCCTCACTCAACGTCAGGCGGCACAGACTAGGCTGATTATATCGACGGCGTGGAACCGGGTACGTACACGGGTACAAGCAAACAAGCACTCCATTCATACTTGTCTTTGGCGCACCCCGCATTACGGCACCGGATTCTCCTCCGCGTAGGTGTCGTTCCGCAGGCAGAGTGCGCTCAGTTGATCACCGAGGACGAGTGGTAGTCACCGGGACGCCAGTTCGAGGTCAGAGCGAAGCTAGCCTTGCAGTCAAGGGTCACATCTTGGCCTCGGATTCGCCCTTCACTTCGCGCGAGAGCCTACCCCAGCGTGCTGCTCGGACCTCGACACAATCCGTGCTCATACGACGAGTGTACGCACCGCGTTTTGATCGCTAGCCGAGATGTGATCCCGCGCGCCGTCTCTGCAGTTCTAGACTCGGGCGTGTGTCGTCGGTGCTGCCACGATGGCTCAGCTTGGTGTGTAGAACGTCTGTTGAGTGGTGGCTTGGCCCGGCAGGAAGTCTGGATCGCCGTGGGGCGCGCTAATGAACTGTGCTCGGAGCCAAGACGCGAGACACGACGGAGGCTATTCAAAGGCTATCACGAACGCTCCACGACGTATGCGCAGGCTGCAGAAGTTGGCCCCAAGGCCGTTGTCCCTTTGTACGACTGGCATTGGCAACACGGAATACAGGTGACCAGCCGCGGCTAAGCCCAAGCCACTGACTTGTTAGCGGCATCACCGCTTCTCGATCGAAGCCGCCGACTGTGCGGACCGTCGTAGCGCGACGTCGACCCGAAGTACCCCACACTTCCCTGGACCCTATACTAATAGCTACGTGTCCGCTACCCTCGATCGCGGCCGAGCGTGTCTGTGGGTGTCTTCGCATGTGTATTATGCAGACGTCGAGCTGTATTATGGCGCACATGCTCGCATACGTTCCGTTCACTCAGGCTATGCGAGCGTGCACACCCACCATGAGTCTCTAAGACAATTTAAATCAAACATTGCACTTCATGTAGCCCTTCGCTACCGTGATGTACTCACTTGCATCTAATCACGCAGCCGCAGGGACAACAAAGATGCCCAGCAGCACACGATGGCCCGACGGAACGCTGAACGTTCACGGGAGACGTCCTGGGCTTGCGCCTCGAGGCAGCCCCACTACCACGCTACCACGCGAGGATCACAAACAAACACACGCACACGCAGCCCCAGGAGAGGCTATGATCAAGCACACCAGTAGACTTGAGTGGATGAATTCGAGGATGATCCCGTCCGGGGGTAGTAAACAGCGCTAGCCAAGTACATCCGCAGTGGTAATCAACTATGGACGTCAGACGTTATACATAGCCAAACTCACTCGTATTCGGATCGCCAGTCGGGGACGTCAATGCGCTTAGCACGTATATGCAGTCAGATGTCCCCACCATGCATACGAGGGTGCAAACGACGAGCGGCCACGGTCCACGGTCGCCTCTCGAGGTCCGCCCGCCTCCCCACCTCCCCGCCCCAACGCCCGTTCCCAAGCCAGCCGCGGCACGCACGCAGCCGACATGCCTTCCGCCCCAAGCCTGTCAGCGAATCACACGCATCCTCGAGAGCGCGCCGTCGTTGGCTGCTGCGCGCATGGGAATGGGAGCCAGGGCCTCTTCCGAGTCCAGCGCACGGTCGTCCGGCAGGCAGGCCTGGGTCCGTCGGATGGCAGAAGGGGTCCCGCGGCGCTGGGAAGGTGCACAGTCAGATTGACATGCCTTGGCTGTCGATGGGGTCGTGACGCAGCTATGTGTCGACGAGCTTGTGTAGATGATCGGCCATTCAGTTGGTTGTCAGATGCGGAGGGATGGAGACCGGATCCAACCATGGTTCGTCGAGGGCCTACGCATTATACGTCGGAAGACGTACAAGTCTGTATCAAAAGGAGGGACCTTCTGGAGCGCTTCGTGGCTTCCGGCGGACGTCAGACGGAAAGACTCGGTTGGCGCCATCCCTCCCAGTGGGCTAGAGTAGACCTACTTACGGCAAGAGGGATAGGGGTACGAAGCCAATGCGAATGCGACGCCTGCAGGCAAGGCAAAGACCGCCCGGAGCCTGTTGGCGAGGACTCAGATGTCCTCTACCCGAGGTATGATAGGGCTCGAGCACATCCTACAACATCACATGACCAGGCGGACAGCGCCGGGGCGAGACAGCGATAGTAGCCGTGTTTGTGCGTTCGTACATGACGATGATATAATCTTTTATCGCACATGTCGAGAGTTTGATGGTCTGAGACGGGCTGAAAATCTGTGCGCGTCGGCGAGCATTTCTCGGGCTACAAACTCCTAGACACTGCAGCAGTTGCGAGCGCTGGGATGGGCGTCTACGGTTGACCACGCAAATATCGAGGCAGTAGCACTCGGGACAGCACACAAAATCAGGCTTCAATCGTAGGTATTGACTGCGCCGTTCTCACACACTTTTCTGGCATGCGCGCGGACCGCAAACTGTCATAGTGTGCGATCATGGCGAGTTTGCAAGCTCGTGCGCGGCGAGACAGCGCCTGGCCGAGGATATAGTGAATCTCAATGTATTCAGCTCACACTCTTGCACTTTGGGCATCGTTTATGCCCTGCACGCTCACCTCGATGCACCGGATATCAGTTTGCGCATGCAATCCTGCAGAAGAGCCATTTTGCTGTCCCACGTTTGCGTGTTCAACCGTAGACGCCCATCCCAGCGCTCGCAACTGCTGCAGTGTCTAGGAGTTTGTAGCCCGAGAAATGCTCGCCGACGCGCACAGATTTTCAGCCCGTCTCAGACCATCAAACTCTCGACATGTGCGATAAAAGATTATATCATCGTCATGTATGAACGCACAAACACGGCTACTATCGCTGTCTCGCCCCGGCGCTGTCCGCCTGGTCATGTGATGTTGTAGGATGTGCTCGAGCCCTATCATACTAGCAGTCGAGTCGAGTCAGCAGTCATGTTCTGTGAGTATCGCGGAGGCTTCCCCCGCCTTCCGCAGGTGGTACTAAGCAGTGGGCTGAGTGTGGCTTCCTTCGAATCAGCAGCCTAGGATCCCGTCTTCCCGAGATCGACGATTGGCTCTCGAGAGCTGCGCCGTCTGAGGCTGGAGCTCCGGAGCCAATGGTTTCTCAGAGACTCCACTTGCTAATCCTGTGCGTCGCTGAGCTACTCGAATGCTTGATCGCCCATACCGCCAGCTGTTGTACGTGGCGTGCGCAACCCTGATGCCCAGGGTCCTCGACGAACGTGTCTAGGCTGCATTGACTTTGTTGGACGAAGAGCAGTGCGGCTGTATGATGCACTTACAGATTCCGTGTGGGTCGGGCGGCCCCGGGATGCAGAACTTTGATAGTTATGGAGGCTTGGACGACTAGTCGTGAGCTCAGAACGAATGGCGACGCGCACCTGGCTGTGGATCCGCGTCTAGGGTGGACTGCGGTGTTTGAGCAGCGCTGCTAAGCGCGACGAGCCCGGCTGGGTGGTATCCAGGTATGGGTGCGATGCCTGCCGCGGCACGGTGCCGTGCGAGTGTCGACGATACGCCGTGTAAGCAGAATGTATACCTGGCGCGGTGGGCTCATGGAATGCTTATGCAGCCCATGTGCGCCCGAGTTTGTCAGTGCGAGACGGGACCTCGAGCTGAACGTCTGGGAGCAATCAGGAGCTGGGCGGTGCGAGGCGGTATTGAAGCAACCGCAGACCGGTATCTACGGTTTGGAAGAGGCCGGACGGTGCGGGTATTGAGCGGACGCCGCACGACTGGCGGTCGGGGGCGAACAGCTTGCAGGGGTGCTGGACACTGACAGCGACAATTATGGGCCCGATTTGGAGGACGAGCAGTGCGCGGGGCACGGGCACGAAAGCGGCTGGGGCGATCGCTGGAGATGAGGTCGTGTGCCCAGCGGGGCGTCATGCGAAGCGGGGCTTGGGGCGGCCTTGGCGGGTGACCAGCGCAGATCGCAGCTGCATGGCCCCGCTTGGGCCAGCCAAGGCCGCCGCAGCCGCCGCCGTCGCCAGCAGCGAGCAGAAGCACCAGCGGCCGCGCCGCGCCGAATGGGGCACGTCCCCGGAGCACCGGCGGGCACCGGCGCGACGCCGGCCGGAGTGACGTCGACAGGCAGCCGATTGGCTCGCGCCATGCGGCCGATGACGGCACGCGGGCGCCCCTCGCTTGCCCGATCGGGCACCGTTCGACGCGGCTGCACGATTTTGCGATGCAGACGAGCCGGCCGCCACCGCGCGCACTGGGCGCGACGCGCGCGGGCAGCGTCGGGCAGCGGGGCGTGGCAGGCAGCGGGGTCGGACGCCAGCCAGGCTGTGGCTGTGACAGGCCGGGCAGCGCGAGAACGCGCGAGGAAGGTCGGTTCGGACGCGGATTGGAGCGCAGATTGGGCCGTCGACTGGGCGGATGCTCGGCAGGCGGCTGCCGGGCGCAGGCAGCGGACGTAGGGCGTTGTCTGGTGTGCGCGAGGCGTGCGCTGTGGCCTGCGGTGGCTGGGTGCAGTGGGTGCTGGCAGAGTCAACTTAGGGGTGTTTTGTGCAGCATGACGAGGATGCGTGGGGCGCGGGTCGGGGGAGAGGGAGCTCGCGTGGGGGAGAATTTCCGGACCGAGATCTGAGATGGGCTGCCGAGTGATGCGCGCCATAAACGACTGCCCTCGCTCTCTTGTGCAGCCATATCTCCCCACCCGCGTCGTCCCTCGCCCCGTCCTCACCGTCTGCAGCGGCGTCCCCACCATGCTCTCCGCCCGCCCCATGCAGCCCCTCACCCTCGCGATACCCGCCTCCCCCGCCGCCGACCTCGCCCACCCGCCCCTCGCCCACCCCGCTGCCGCTCACCCGTCACCCCGCAATGACATCTCTCCATCGCCCCCTGCCACCGCGCGTCCCTCACAGCCCACCGCCCCTTCAATACCGTTTCCTCCAGAGCACCACCATCAGCCTCATACCCCGAACGCGGCCACCGACGGCAGTGCGACCTTAGGCATTGCCCCCAAGGAGCAGGTTGGTCCCTTGTCCTCGCCGGTCGGTGCATCCGCTGAGCTCCGCTAACCGTCCCCACAAATGCGCTTTTCTCCATCGCTGCTAGGCTCCTCAGCCAACCAGGCGGCCCTCGCGTTCCCGTTTCCTCTCCACAGCCTTCACCCCGCGCAAGCGGTCCCCGTCTCCCAGTCGTCCAGGTGAGCCTGCCGCGAACCCTTCGCCGGACACCTTGGGCCTGCCGTCTCCAAGCCGCTCCGTCTTCAAGCGTCGACCGAGCCAGTCCAACACCCAGGTGGCTGCGTCCAACCCGTCTTCTCCACCGCGCGTGTCTCCCGACCGAGAGCACCCTCCACCGCTGCCAGATATGTCCGCCAGCGCAGTTGCTACACCAAACGGGGTGGCTTCTTCCGCCAGCTCCATCAATGTCAAGAAGGACAAGCACTTTCCGGGCCCTCTGCATGACTTGAAGCGGTTCCTGAACCATCACATGCCTCATCCGCACGGGCATAATCACAGTGCGTCCACTACTCCCGGTTCCATGCTGCAGACTCCGCCTGCGGATGCCAGCGTCGCCACACTCGACCAGCGTCGTGGCGTGCACTTCGACCAGTCGGGCTTGTTGGATGCAGCAGGCGTCGAGGCGCCTGCAGGCTATCATAGCACTGTCCCCGGCACACCGGCGAACAATGAGTCGACAGACTACGTCAACGGTACTCCGGAATCAGGAAAGCATACATCGCGCTTCTCGACCTTCTTGAAGAAGGATCGGAAGGAGAAGGAGGACAAGGATAAACATCTGAGTGAAGGACGTGTCCGGCCATCGCGCAAATCGAGCATGGCCAAAACACCCTCGCCAGGCGCGTCCGATGCGACTGGCAGCGGCAGCAGCAAGCGCAGCTCGCGCTCGCCGTCGCGGACTATCGACTCTCAGTCGAGCCCACCGGCCTCCGGCTCTGGCTCGCCGACCTCGACTGCGCCGACGACGGCCCCGCCCACGTCGGGCTCTGGCCACTCAGGCGAGACATCCAAGCAGTTTGCCGCTCCGTCGGTACACCGCGATGGGCATACGCCAGGCTACGTCGTACCGAGCCTCTCGTCCGCCACGCACGCGCATTTGAGCAAAAAGTACGGCAAGTGGGGTCGTGTGCTCGGCAGCGGTGCTGGGGGTACTGTACGTCTGATCAAGGCGCCGACGAAGCAGGGCGGTACGACGTTTGCTGTGAAGGAGTTCCGGCCTAAGCGGCAAGGCGAGAGCGAGCGGGAGTACCAGAAGAAGGTCACTGCGGAGTTCTGTGTGGGCAGTACGCTCAAGCACAAGAACATCATCGAGACGGTGGATATCGTGACGGATCACGGGCACTACTATGAGGTATGCGTTGGTTGTATCTCTGCTTGTTGGCCCGCTCACTCTGCGTCTAGGTCATGGAGTACGCACCATACGATTTGTTCAGTGTGGTCATGTCTGGAAGCATGTCGCGTCCGGAGATATACTGCGTCTTCCGGCAAATATGCGACGGCGTCGAGTACCTGCACTCGCTGGGGCTCGCGCACCGTGACCTCAAGCTCGACAACTGCGTCATGACGAAGAACAACGTCGTGAAGCTCATCGACTTTGGCACCGCGACGGTATTCCACTATCCGGGCAAGAAGACGACGCTCGCGACGGGCGTCGTCGGGAGCGACCCATACCTCGCGCCCGAGGTGCTCAACGCAGATAGCTATGACCCGCGCAAAACGGACGTGTGGAGTGTCGCCATCATCTTCATGTGCATGGTGCTCAGACGGTTCCCGTGGAAAATCCCGGACCCGAAGTCGGATGCAAGCTTTAGAGCGTTCGTCCAGGCGCATCCCGACCTCTGCGAGAAGCCGAAGGAGACACCGAAGATCGAGTGTGCGAAGCCCGAGGCGTGCAAGAAGCACCAGGAGAAGAGCGAGACGGAGGCAGAGCCGCCGCAGAACTCGACCGCTCCGTCGATCGCGCCTTCAAATACGTCCGTCGCGCCGTCGAATGCATCCACTGCCCCGTCGGAGAAGCTGTCGCGAGACGGCTCGCACTCGTCGGGCTCGGGAACGTCTGATGAGGAGTTGGACTCCCGCCGCAACATGCTGGGCTCGAGTGTCCTCTCGCGCTCCACAGCGACGCTGCCCGCTGTGTTCCTGAACAGCCCTACCGGTGCACAGTCGGATCCGGACCCCTCCGTGCGCACCTTTGCGCGCCCTGCCGACTCGACAGAGTCCCTGCCCGCCCCGCCGTCGCCACAACTGTTCTTCAAGCCTCCCCCTGTGCACTCCGATTCCGGCCTGACAGCCCTCGCGCTCCCGGCTGCAAGGATGGACAACAAGCGCACGAAAGAGTCCACCTCTAGCTCTGCGACGGACACGCAGAAGAAGGAGCGTGCGCGGGAAGCACAGCGCGTGTCCACCGAGGCCGCCCAGGGTGCTGTGACGGAGTCGCAGAAGTCTCAGTCGAGTGCGAGCGCGACGAGCGCGAACCCGAAGCCGTCGACGACCACGCCTACGCCGGGCAAGAAGGACCAGAACGCCACCATCCGGCCCCGGCGGCGCGCAGACAGCAGAGCCAGCGTCGCTACGTTCCACCAAGGCGGCGCAGAGTCTATCTTCCGCTTGCTCCCTCGCGAGTCGCGTTCCGCCATCCGTCGCATGATGTACATCGAGCCCTCGGCAAGGTGCACGCTCACCGACCTGCTCTACGGCAAGGGCAAGTCGGACGACCTGCTCTGCGGGTGCCACTCGCACGCGCGCGACAGCCCGGCCTGCCAGGACCACGCACACGCGCTGGAGGACCAGGACGACGGAGATCCGTGGCTGCGGAGCATCGCGCCGTGCTCGGAGCCCGGCGTGAAGCCGAACCACACGCATATCAAGGTGGCGGTCGACGAGAAGCAGGGCAAGCGGAGGTTCTTTTAGCGGGCCTCCGCGTCCTCGCACCCGTCGCCGCGCCCGCCCCACTCGCATTGTTCCCCCATGCATCACTCCGCATACAGCATAGGCTTGACTTCAGCTCTTTATTGTTCGTCTTCGTCGTCGTTATTGCCATCCGCTCGGACGCTTCTATATGGCATTTGTGCATAGAGCCCGCCTGCTTGCTTCATCTTCGTCTTGTTTGGGCCGTTTGTCTTGCATGCCCTGACCCCTCGTTTGCGCCCCGTCCGCGTCCGCCCTGCATGCGCCCGACGATCCTTGATGCCATAGATCTTCGCAGCCCGGCGGGGCGGCCCAAAACACATATGTACATGTCTACGATAGTGAAGTTAGAGAAAGTGCTCTGTACTAGTAATAAAGCCTCATCAATACTGCAATACATTTCTTTGAACAATCGTTTGCAATCCGCCTTTGTGCGTGTGCCTCGGCGGGGTGGTGACGACACGTAAGGGAGATAAGATGAGAGCATTGCAAAGGGTCTAGACAGACAGCGGAAATGAAGCTTTGAAGTACATGACACAAGTATGACAAGCAAGCAGGTCAAGAATCAGTACGATGCTTCTCCCTCGTTAGAGCTCATCCCGGCGAAGTTTAGCTTCGCCTTCGCCGTTGCCCTCTCTGGCAGGCTTCTTCTTCCCGTTGCCCTTGCCCTTGCCTTCCTTCTTCTCGTTACTCTGCTTCTCGCCCTTGACGCCATACCCAGCCGCACGTAGCGCATCGGCCAACTGATCTCCCGCTGCATCGAGCTGGTCCTGGAGATCTTCGCCGCCCAAATCGAGGTCGAGGTCGATGAACTCGATCACGAATTCGCCGTTGTCGTCCTCGAGTTCCTCGACGTAGACGTCTGCGCCCGGGCCCGCCCTCATCGCGTCCTTTTCCAGAAATTTTGCCAGGGCCTGGCGGATGACATCCCGCGGCAGCTTGGATTCTACAACTGGCTCCGGGGCAGGAGGAGGCGCGATGACGGGTTTCGTCTTCTTCGGCACCTTGAGTGGGCGATCCGCTGCCTGTAGCGACCTGTCTGCATTCTGGTACTCGGTCTCGTCGAGGACCTCACGGCAGCGGATGAAGGCTTCGTTCCGGTCGTCGACACGCGACTTGAAGCCTGGCACGCCGCACAGCCGCGGTGTCGCGATGTGGAGCACGTAGTGGCACGTCAGGGTCTCCTTGACGAAGAGGACGGTGTCTGTCATCGTCATCGAGCAGTGGAACTGCCGTGGGCCGACCGATCGTCAGCGGTATTCTGCAGCGCGAGAAACCGATCGCTGGCTGACCTGCACCTCGATCTCACGCTTCCTGCCCGTCTTGTCGCAGTACGTTCCGTCACCCCAGCGCTGTACCAGGTAACGTGAGCCTGCGCCACGGGCGAGTTCGACGTTTGCGGCAATAGCTGCTTGTTCTGCAACAGTGAGATCCGCGCCAGGTTCTGGAGTGGGCGGTGCTCGTCCGAGGGTATAGGCTTCCCACTGTCCGAGCGAATTATTAGCTATGTGTCATGCACAGCGATGCGATGTTGCTTACTTCCGAGTCTTCCTCGGGGGTATATTCGCCTGGCGAATGGTCGACTGTCGGATTATGCGATGGGATATACGGGTAAATTACTCACCATGCCGATTGTTGGCCTGCTGAGGTTGTTCGTGGAATTGGCGTACATGTGAATTGTGGCAATATGCGTAGGTGAACCAGCCTTGCCTGTGCTGCGCTCCCATTCATTCACGGCACGCGTGCAGCACCTGATGTGACCACTTACATAAAGACACTTGCCATTGAGCGGTTGCAAGAGCGACCAGCCGTATAGCGGCGATACATCAGGCTCCGGCTCGTCTGCGACAGTTGCAGCGCTTTCATCTGGTGGAGGCGGGATGAGACATAGGTATGCCATCCGGGGGCCCAACCTCATGAGCTCCAGGGCGTAATTCAGTCCCTGCGGGGGATCTGGCTGTCCAGAAGGCGGTCAATAATGCACCGCTGCCGCTCAGGTGACAGAAGGATTACGGACTGCAGGCGTGGTACCACTGCCCTGTTCCCTGCCGCCCTCGATGCCCTTCAGCGAGCCACTGTGCCAGCCTGTCTCGCCCCATTCCCAAGCCTCGTCGAGAAACTCTGGCTGGCCACCCTTGAGGCCTTCGCGCAGCCACCGGTCGGCGGTCTCGTTCAGGACGGGGAGGCCGTTCAAGTACGTCACGCGGTATTTTGGAAATGCATAGGGATCCTCTGGCAGCAGCGAGCGATGGAGGCTGGCCGAGACGAGGAGCGAGAGCGAGAGGGGGACGAGAGACAGCGAGAGCATTGTAGGCGTCCAAGCACTGGCAGAGAGCAGCCCGGGGAGGCTCAGCCACCGCGTTCGCGGCAGTCACGAGTGACGCGCGAACACGTTGCAGACGTTGTGGCGCGATTGGATCGGAGATCCATCGGAGCAGGCGCGCCCCCCGCGCGGCATTCTAAATGGGCTGCCTAATTGGGCGACTTTCATCAGAAGTGCGATGTGACTGATGGAATGGGCGTACGGGTCCCCGCCGAGACCGAGTGCAGTCCTGAGACTCGTGCTCGTCGCTGCTCGTCGACCTGCGGACGTCCATCGTCCTGGCACGGCTGCATCGCTCGTTCGCGCAGCCAGCTCACCCATTCCGTGCCCGGACGTCGTCGTGACTTATCGCGCCGGCTGAGGAACGTCGATTGGCATGTGAGCCGGATATTTCCTCCTGTTATCTGATTATAATGTTCTCTCCAGCCCATCAAACACACCCTGACTAACAAAGTCCGCCGAAAGAACAGCTATTTCGTTCCTGGCCAGGTGGGTCTCTATCAATTTGCGGGGAGCATCTCGCTTGTCTCCCGTCCCCCCCGGCGAGCACATTGGCCCTTCTCGCCTGACAAGGCGTCAAGGAGGGCGGCTGAGCTCGCCTGGCGGTCGACAGCATTACGTACGATTGGCCTGTGAATCTCGTTTTCATGGAAGGCCTGATTCTCTAGATAATAATCACTCTTTTCGGGAATATTGCACGCGAGAGAACTCTATTAGGGGAAATACTCGTTAAAACGAGGGCACTGAACACCTTTCGCGCTTCCCTCTTCCCCTCATCCCGCCTACCGTCCCCCGCCTCTGCACAACCTCTCCCCACCATGCCGGACTCGCCTTCGCGTGAGGACCCCGCCGAGGACAAGAAGGACGAGCTCGAGGACAATGGCGGCGAGCCAGAGACTGGTCAGTTAGGTTCCAACTCCGGCTTAGCAGCAAGCGCGCGTTCTCATACTCCCATTACTGTGTGCTCCTAGCTGAAGTCGAAGCATCGGCCGAGTCTGCACAACCCGCCAAGCGTGGACGAGGGCGTCCACGAGGTTCGAAGAACAAGAAGACTATTGCTGCAGAGGCTGCCCGGGCTGCAGGCAGCTCAACAGCAGGCGGGTCGTCTGATCCTCCAGTGAAGCGACCAAGGGGCCGTCCGCGCAAGGTTCGTCATCAGGCTGCTCTGTGGTCGACATCATGCGATCCTGATCCTCTCCACAGAGACCTGCGGAGGACGAGGCACCATCGGAGCCGAAACCGAAGCGTAAACGAGGCAGACCACCCAAGAACAAGCCCGCTGAGGCTCCAGCAGAAGCAGAGGGTGATGAGGGTGAGCCGGAGGCCGCGGCGCCGAGCGAACCGCCCAAGAAGAAGAGGGGACGACCGCCCAAGAATGCCAGCTCCTGAGTAGCTGAGTTACAGCCCGACCACGCCTCGCACGACCTGTCCGCGGACAGAGATATCCCCTCGACGACGACTATCCTACCCATCGAGCGATCGCCTCACGACACGCCACGCTACGACCTATCCCCCGCTCCGTATTCTCCACCCTTGATGCTATTTCTTATTGGCCTGTTATGCTACGGTCACCTTCGCTACTGTTTTCGGTTTTCCTCTTGTCGGCTATGTTGAAGAACGATAAATTCCCGTGTATCCGGATCTCAGAGAATGCATACCCGCCTGCCCACACCGGCTCGGGCAGTTGCAATCAACAACGCTTCCCATGGACTGCTCAGTACACGAGGGGCGCCCCCTCAACGTGAGTTCCAACGCTGGGATCGAGCCCCTCAATGGCCGCGGCTTTTCCCCAAAGCAACGCTCGATGATCCCATCTTGACATAACAGACTGCTATTGGTGCGTCCTTCCCGCGGTGACCTCGTGATTGGATATAATCAGACAATGCGTGATAGCAGTTGGTCCCAGATGCCCATTAGGTATTCGAGCTACTCTCGATTATACAGCCGGCGCCAGACAGATAGGGCGGCAAGACCGGCGAGGCTTACGCCCGTTGCAGCAGTTGCCCATCCTGCGTACTCCAGAATACGTCGCTGGTGGGCCACCTTGCGTCTGGCGGTAGAGTAGCTAATATCGGGACGGAACGTTACCATCGTGTAAAGAGGCAGCCAGCCTGCGGGAGACTTGGAGGGGAATGGCTCGCGAGAAAGAGACGGGATAAGGGCGCTGAATGTCACTGCCCTCGCCGTGAGTGAGTAGAGGATATTGTCCAACGCGTGGCGGATGAGGTAGGCAGGTGTCACGACAGAGTGCCGCATCTCCACGCTAACGGCGTGGAAAAGAAGTCGATTAATCAGCTCCGACAGCGATCTAGACCTTTAGATATTGGGCACGTACTAGTTGTCCATTGCGAGCTCAGAAATAGACACCAGGTCGGCGTGCCTGCTGTCTGAGTAACGGGCTAGTGCTTCCAGGAGACGATTATCTTCTTTCGTCACTTGTGCGGTAGGGTCCACCCCCTCTGCGCGCAATATAATATCCAGCACACGTACGTCTTCTAGCCCGCAATTGAGACCTTGCCCGTAGAAGGGTACCATTGCATGTGCCGCATCGCCGATGATTACGACACGATCCTTGTAATGATACGGCCGGGCCTTCAATTTTTAATTGAGTGTTTTAGACTGATCCAGATAATTGTATTGGAGTATTGGCAGACACACCTTAATCGACATGAGCGAGCTCCGTGGGTTTCGTTTGAAATCCTCCAATAAGGCCTGCTCGCCGATCAGCGGCAAGGCGTCTGGAAAATGAGTCTTGAAAAATTGAATGATGGTCTCGGGCGTGCTAAGACGATCGAATTCTGCGGTGGGAGCGAACAACGTGCAGGTAAACGTTTTGTCCTATAGTGCATGTGTAGACCTTCAGTTATCTCCTGGCTACCAGGAAGTGGAAATAAGAGCCGACGGAGAGTATTCTAACCTTGTTCGGTAGCGCTATGAGCATAAAGGTGTGGCGCGGCCATATGTGAAGGTGGTTCGAGTCAAGGAGGAACGTTGAATCGCCGCTGGGAACCACGGGTGGTCCCGTAGGCATCTTGAGCTCCAAGTAGTCGTGAGGAATATATTCCTGCTGGTAGTCCATCCTGAAACACAACACGCACGGAACACATGTGTCTGTTAGCGAACCAAGAAGCATACCAGGGTCGATAGAGAGGATTCCATGAGACGCGGTAGGGAAACTCACCGTACGACCCTCATCAACTGACGCCGTACGATTGAGTAGGCGCCATCGGCGCCCACGCAGAAGTCGAAATGCACTTCTCTGTTCTCGTTACCTGTGTTGCTGCGGACGGCCATGGTGCCTGTGTCGAAGTCTAACGAAACAACCTTGTGCTCGAAAAACGCAGAGACGGTGGGCACTGCTAATGCCTCAGTCAACAGGTCCTCATTCATGAATGCTCGGCCTATCGAGTTGATGCACTACCACGCCAGCGTCAGTAGAGCGAACCGTACGGCTATAGTATGCTGGCGCTCAGGAAGGACGAGGCGCACCTGCCCATCTCTGTCATATGGCTGGCTTTCCTGGCGGCCACCAACATGATGGATCATCCTGCCATGCATGGGAATGACAGCCTTGAGGAAGCGTTCGGCCGCGCTCGGGTGGATGGCTTCGATGGCGGCAATCCCGCGTGAGGATATCGCTAAATTAATAGAGCGTTGCTGGGCCGCTGCCTTGGAGGAGGGCAGACGCATGTCTGCGATTTTAGGGCGATTGATACACATCGCACGAGAGAGGCACGAGCTTGGCTATACCTGGACGACCTTCGTAGATCTCGACGGCCCAGCCCATTTTGGCGAGGGAAATTGCGGCGAGGCATCCTACCGGCCCTGCACCGACAACGACAGCCTTGCGCGCGGGGGGCTGAGCGGAGGACATCATGAGCTGGCGAAGGAGGGGCTAGTGGTTTCCGCGTCAGAAGTCTTTCGCCGGGAAAATCCGACGCGGTCATCAGCTCACCCGTGTAAGGCTCTGGAGTTGCTCTGTGCTGTCTGACTCTTATGCCGGTACGCCAAGCTGGCGGCGATTTTGTGGATAGTGACTCTGCACGGCGAAGGGAATGAATTACCTCGGATCTCTTGTTGCGCACTGCGGAGTGCGCGAGAAACGCTATCGGAGAGTAGCTTGTCGTTCGAGAAGTCGCAGACGTCGCAGCCGAGGGGAATTCAACGGCCTATGATGTCTGTCTGTGATCGCACATGCGGTTTGGGAGAGGCATGCACAATCAGAGTCCGCTGGGAGCATCTTCCTGACAAATAAGGAAGACGCCATCAGGCTGCGCGGGTGTGACGCGTGTGACTTGTCTCAGACATTGTGACGGTTGTGTGTGCGATCTCGATTCCGATTGGCACGTTGCCCTCCCTCGCCACCGGCCATCTCTTGCCCAATCTCACTACCAGGAATGAGCCCCAAGCGCTCCGCAATGAGTCGTTCATTGTGTACAAGAAGGCCCACCTCAAACCTTGTAAGACCGACCACTCGCCCGGCCTCGCCATGCGTACAGTTGCGCTCTTGCGCGCCGTCAGAGCTGACGGGTTACGTATTGGGATTTGCGTTTGTATTCATTTCTAGTCCTTTGCCAATGCGTTGCTCATTGGCGACCGTCTTCACGCTGGTCATTGTAGAGCCCAAATTCTCCAGTGAACATGAGAGTCGAAGCCAGTGACTCGGCCCTGTCTTCCGCTATCTGCAAGACTCATACCATGTGCACGACGGGTTACGAGATACGGTGTATTCTAAAACGTGGGCTAATACACTTTCCATAGTCCACGACACGCTCACCCACCGACTCATCCTCGACCGCCCACATATGACGGACATTCGCGCTGGCCTGCGATGGACCACACGTCGCGACCCTGAGCTATTCAAGTCAAGTGCGGCCGTTGTACTGCTCGTAAAATCTACTGCATTCGTCCCCTGAACTGTAGGTGGAATATCGGCTCCGCAGTATTCTGACGCCATGCACCCCATGCCTTGGGCAACGCATCCGCTATGTGGGGCTGTCGCACGTTGGGTCAGCACAATTGCTGCGAAGTGATGGTACCGGGTAAGCATTCTGGTGTGAATTATCGCTGGTATTGCCTCTTCTGCATTTTCAGCGGCCGTCTTCTCGTACTTCGTGCCCACAGCTATGATCTGTTGGCAGACGCGTGGCAGAAATTTTATACAGTTCATCCAGCGTCCATTTCGTCCCTGTTCGACGCGCAGAATATCAAGACGCATACTGGCCCCGACGTCAGTATAGATATTTACAATGATATCTTGCATAGGGTTTCACTCGCCCGAATGGCTTCGATGTTCACGCCGAGGCACCCTGTCGCAAGTCACTGCCATACGTCTGGTTCCTATTGCACTTGCAATGTTTCAGCGCTCATCAAAAGGCCGTACGTTGCGACCATGTAGACCTAGCATTACAGGTGAAAGCCCGGGGCGGTTGCCGGCTGATGCGGACAAGTGAGTATCATCCTCGGCGAAACCCCTCTGCTGCTCACTCACGGCATCTGTTTGTCGAATTTCTAGTCCCTCATTCTTGCCAACGGTGGACCAGGCGTCATCAGACATGCCGACTGTACTTCTGCAATTCTCTGCTTCCCTGTCGCTCTTCTTGGAACTAGCGAGGATTTATAAACCACCGCGAGCCTCATGTCGCCTTGAACACCTTATCCCGTGGCGACGACATGTCAGACCGTGTCTGATTCTACCCAGTCCCTGACCCGCGCGAGCTCAGGCAGACGACGTGCATGCCTCCAAAATTGTAGCGCAGCCACGTTCCAGGTCAAATCTATGCCGCCGCGCAATCTCCGCAAGTCAAACACCTCTGCCACCCGGTGGGACAGCGCCAATATATTGGCTGCTTCTGGTCCACCGCTGCGAGTTCGCCGTGTTCACTGCAGCGAGACTACCAAGGTGATGTCTCGATTTGGATATTCACTCAGTACATGCTATGATCCGGATCTCAGGCTTCAGGTCCACCACCTTTTACGGACAGAGTAGATCGACAGCTCTGCGCCTGCGTCCGCCTATCGGAAATTGTCAGCAGGGCAGTGAACCATCCAACCTTCACGCTCAAAATGCAATTCGCCAGAGTGACATCTCGTACGTCTTTCGTAATTGAGACCCGTGTATCAGGACGGCTCATTCGCGTACCAGTCACCTGCCAGCGTACTGCGGGAATGTCTCGCCGCCTGCCAGTGACCGTCAGGTAGCGTTATGCACCTACCCGCCGGCCCGGCTGTACGCTGTTCTATTCGCTAGAGCAGCCTGAGCTCGCGTACGGTTATCCTAGAGTCCGATGATCCTTCCTTCCCACTGAATAGAACGTAAACATGCCAGAGCCCGCTTTGAAACCCCTACTGTGAATATGCGCCGCCCCTCACTCTCCTGAGCCGATCCGGGACTTTCTATGGCCCTGTATGGCGCAATGACGTTGTTGGGTGGCAGTACACTGGCAGGTTTCAACGGGCAGTGGCTCGACTATGCGGGACCATCTAGTATGGCACCTGGGCGGCCCTTAGTATTTTTGTTCTCGACGAGAACAGCGTGCAGTCGACGTTGTTGCCCCATACCCAAGGCCTATATATAAGGAGCAGCGAGTCGTGGTATCGCCAATCTCTCTACGCGAGTCTACAATGCTGAACTCGGTCCCGACGCACGATGTGCTCCCATTGCATCTACGTACGAGAACACGCTGCAGTCGGCGCATCTGTGCGAGCGACGCACCCATGAGCTCAGAGCCATGACGCGTGACACATCACGCTACTTCGCTTCGAGGCTACGCTCAGCACCTTCATTGAACAAAGTTCACCCGTGAGTACACTGCACGCATGGACCTCTTCGACGACGCCGACCACGGTGAGTGCAGAGTTCAGCCCGCCCATGACTTGGGGTGCAGCGAGCACAGTGCTTTGTGAGATCTGGGCATCGGGGACTGTACGGTGATCGAGGCGGGGACTGCCGAACCGGCACTTGTGCGAAAACGTTCGGCGCCGGCGCGTCGACCTCGTCCATCTGCCAGTGCCACCGCCGGCCCTGCTCACCTCTCCAGCCTACGCGTCCTCCTCCGCCCCGCCCACGCGCACATCCTCCCGTTCGCTCACCTCCAGAGTGCCTTCGCTGCGGACGCGTATCACCGGTAGAGCGTCATGACGAAAAAGGTGGCGGGCGTGTCCAGGAGGAGAGGGTCCATTGACGTAGTGGACGCAAAGGTCGCACTAGATCTCGCGACGAGGCAGAACTACTCCGAGAATGTGTTCCTCTTCGTGCCCAACCTCATAGGCGAGTGCATCCCTCGTTTGCGTTGTGCCAGCTGCTGAAGTCGCTGCTCGTGCGCAGGCTACTCGCGGGTTATCTTAGCTGCAGTTGCGCTCTACTACTTGAGCTACCACCCCAAGTACGGTACCATCGCGTACTGCGTATCGTGCCTGCTCGATGCTGCAGATGGCCATGCAGCGCGCGCATTCAACCAGACCTCCAAGTTCGGGGCGGTGTTGGATATGGTCACTGATCGGTCGGTATCACCCCTGTCCTATCCTGTGTGCAGGCTGACCAAGACGCGTGAAGATGCACAACGTCGTCGCTGCTGTGCTATCTGTCTTCGGTGTACCCGGAATACGCAATGGCCTTCCAGTTCCTTATCACGCTCGACTTCAGTAGTCACTACATGCACATGTACAGGTATGTGGTCCACCGCGGAACATCCCGTCCATCATTCACAAGCTGCCTGGGATAGCTCCCTTTTGACAGGCTCACGGAGCCACAAACAAATTACTAGCGATGTCAGCAAGTTCCTCAAGTTCTATTACGACCCGGTAAGTAGCCAAGTGGCTCTACGCGGAGACGGTGTTAAGTGCGTTATCAGAGGACGCTGTTCGTGATGTGCGCCGGGAACGAGCTCTTCTTCGTCGGCCTGTATCTCCTCAAATGGGTTGACACCCCACTATCGGTATCGCTTGGCATGCCCCTGCCGTTCTGGGGTGCGTACACCTGGGCGGAGGCTATGACGCTGGTCTGCTTCCCCATCTGCGCGACCAAGAACGTCGTAAACGTCGTACAACTCTGGAAGGCGTCCAAGATCCTTGTGGGCGTTGACTTGGCGGAACGGGCGAAGGCGAGAGAGGAGGATGTCCAGAAGCCGAAGAAGACATAAACAGGACGCGAAGGACGGTTGCATACTACACGGCCGCCTCAGAGCCTCCTACCACATCATTATCGTACATGAACGCTGTGTACTGTACAGACTGTTTCTCTAATCTTGCGAGGGTTTCCGGGCCTCCAGGCAGCGTCCGAGTCGGTGGGCGGGTCGCGCTCGCTCAGCAGAGGGTCACGCGACCGAGAGATTAGCACGCGTGTCGCGCGCCTCGACGCAGAGTCGGTAATTCGGTTTTCGTGCCCGTGGCATCGCTCGTACCTTGCTGCCCGACCGCTCGACGGTCCTCCTCCTCCGTCTTGGATGCGCTCCCAGGTGCTCGCTCGTCGCACACGGTCCCTGGTCAAGACCCTGCCCGTCCGTCATCGTGCGCTCCTCTCGTCTACTCACGCTCTTCGCTATCCGCGCAAAGACCATGCAGGTGCGCCGCCCGCTACACCCCGACTTACAACACGCTCCTCGTCATCCGTGACGCCTTCCTCCGGTGAATCCGAGCCACCTGTCTCTCCGCCAGGGCTAGCTAGTCCTTCGGGGCCGCCCAGTGACGATGGACCAGGCGAGGAACCCGAGAAGTCACGGCGAAGGAGGACAGTAGTGTCTAGTAGAGACCCTGATCCCTCGCATCCTCTCCCCAATGGCATCGAAATTCTATGGACACCAGAAAACGACCCATCGTCATCCGCTGCTTTCCAGCATGCGTTGCCGCCCCCAGAGATCTTCGAAGAGATCCTGCATAACTTGCACATTACGCTGCATCCACAAACTCAGCACCGCGCGACGTACGCTTCACCCTCAAGTCCCCCTGAGGAGCCATCCTTTGCTCTGTACTGCCCAATAGAGGGCGGTGATGTATATATTGACGAGACGGTGCGTGAGATGGCGCGTCGGACGGGGGCGGAGGTCGTCGTTCTTGACTCCGTCCAGCTCGCTGCTGGTCCCTGCGGAGAGTTCGGGAAAGGTACGTCTCAACCGATACGATCACGTCCATTTGATTCACAGTGTTCGTGTGTTAGCTGCTTCTGTACTGCGGCTACCGAGTAACCCGCTGCACTTCCGCTCGCCTTCCTCCTCGGCTGCTCGGAGCCCCTCGCGCGCACAAAGAGAATGGGAAGAAGAAGAATGGGAGGAAGGCTCGCCCTACATGTCTATGGTGCCCTCGCGGATGACACTGCAAGTGCTGACGCCTTCGATATCGAGACCAGGACAGTCATTTTTCTCCCCCGCCCCGAGGGACAACGGGATGTCAAAGCTCAAGGCTTTCTTCAACGATCTAATCAATATAACTGCTGAATGTAATGCTGCTGAGGGCTCTTCTGCCTCTACTGCTCCCTCTAGAAGACCACGCATTGTCTATATTCGCGACTTCGCGACTCTTGCACCGTCATCTGCTACATGGTATCCTGCTTTGCTTGCTGCTGTCCGACAACGACGCCAGGGTCCGATCTCGCGACCGTCGTCACCAGTCCTCAATCCTACTACCATTGTATTTGGCATAATCCCACCCATAGCAGGAGCGACCTCAAGCAGCGCTGGCTCCGGCCCCTCGAACCTCATGAGCATGCTTATGTCGCAGCGGTCAACATCATCTGCTCCTACATCCGGCGACCGGAAGCCAAAACTTGAGTTTGGCGAAGACACGGCGAGCGAGAAGGCTCGGGAACGGCGGACGACGGGCCGCATGAAGCGGTGGGCGCGGAGCGGGTCTCAGGTCCAGGACATCCCGCAACTTGCCTCGCAAGAGGACATGGAGGAGGCGAGCGGCAAGGGAGGCAAGCCCGATATCGTAGTGCTCGGCGGCCAGGAGGGCCTTTCAGGCCTCCCCTCGATGCTCGGCCCCGCGCTGTCTGCCGCTATGGCCCGCGGGGGCGGCGGACGACCTGGCCCTGGCCCGTCGACCACCGAGACGAGCACGCAGTTCTTCCGGACGTCGTTGGTGCTCCCGAACGTGCGCACGGCGTCCCTCGAGAGGGAAACGCGGATGGCGCGTCGGAGGGAGATCACCGAGCTGACTATGCGCATGGGTGTCGCTGCCGTCGGGGGCGAGCTCGAGCCGCTTCAACGGCGCGTAGAGACATCTGAGTCGTCGGATCCCGTCACAGAGGGGTCGGAGGAGGCCACGAGCAAGGAGAACGTCGAGCAGCGCCTCTGGGATGACTGGGGCAAGCACATTGTCCCCTGGTCTACTGTGCGCCGTATCGCGGACCGGGCCGTTGGGCGGGTCATCGCTGAGCGGACTGAGCAAGGGTCGACAACGCCTTCCCTGGAGCCAACGCCGATTACCTGGTCTGCTATCTACGACGCTTGGGTCCGGCACCAAACCGCGGAGGGTCTATGGAAGACGCTGCTTGCTCCTGCGCCGGGACGGACTCGCGAACACCGCGATGACGAGGATGGCGATGAGAAGGCCACGGACGAAGATGCCGATGTGGACGAGGTCGTGGAACGCATCAAGCGCGATCCCGACCTCGATCCGCATGAAGCTAGGCTATTAGGCAGCATAGTCGACACCTGTGCGTGATTACACATACATTACCATGCAAATACTGATTAATTATGACAGCTTCGTTGACAACGACCTTCAGTCAAGTACACCTGCAAGATCACACTATCGACTCCGTACGGACCATCGTCTCCTTGCCTCTGTTACATCCCGCGGCGTTCCAGCATGGTCTGCTCAAGGAGCACAACATGACTGGATGTCTGCTGTTTGGGCCTCCGGGTACGGGTAAGACCCTGGTTGTGCGAGCCCTTGCCAAGGAGGCTGGCTGTCGCATGTTGGCGATCAAGCCGTCGGACGTCATGGACATGGTACGTTCTCGTCGTAGTGTTAAGTCTGTCTCCAGTCTAACGATCTGCTACAGTACGTCGGCGAAGGCGAGAAGCTCGTGCGCGCTGTGTTCTCGCTCGCGCGCAAGCTCTCGCCTTGCGTCGTCTTTATCGACGAGCTGGATGCCCTGTTCGGTGCCCGGATATCGCGCGACACTGGTGGTGGCATCGCGCATCGTGGTGTCATCACCGAGTTCATGCAGGAGATGGACGGCCTGAAGTCGTCCAAGGACAACGTCATCGTCATCGGCGCGACTAACCGGCCGTTTGACTTGGATGACGCTGTTCTCCGGCGGCTACCCCGGCGCCTGCTCGTTGACCTACCCGGAGAGAAGGAGCGGGAGGGTGAGTCAGAAGCGCCAGTGTATCGCACTTGTTCAATCTAGCTGATAATGTTTGCCGCAGAAATTCTTAAAATTCTACTCCGCGACGAGACATTGGCCGAGGATGTCGATCTAGAGGTGTTGGCAAGGAGGACAGAGAGCTTCTCTGGTTCCGATCTAAAGCGTGAGTACATGTGAGTACATCGTTGTACGAGTGGTACTCAACATCATATTTAGATCTCTGCGTTGCCGCCGTGCTGGATGCTGTGAAGGAGCGAGTTGAGGTACCGTGGCGTTCGTCGCATGGCACTGATACCACTACCACCGCTCCGACGTCGTCACCGAACGACGTTTCCAAGGTTGCGCCGATGGCTGCTGTATCGGAGAGCACTCCGTCACCCGCAGCAGTGGAAGAGCCGCAGGGTCAGATCACGTCGCAGACGCAAGTGCTTCCGTCCGAAGGTGGAGAGGTCACAATCAAGACTATGCCCTCAAGCGAAACAGCCTCAAAGGTCATCGACAATGCCTCCCTGGTCGTCGACGAACTCAATGGCGGAGACGAGGACGCCAGCAGCGCCGACAAGGCGGCGGAAGAGCCGTCGCCCGAGACTGCAGCGCTGTACACGCGGACTATCCACCTGCGCAACTTCGAGAAGGCCCTCAAGGAGATTACACCGTCTGCATCCGAGTCGCTCGGCAGTCTCGCAGAGCTACGGAAGTGGAACGAGGAGTTCGGTGAGGGGCGCAAGCAACGCAAGCAGATCGTGTGGGGCAAGGGCAAGTTCGGATTTACGATCGAGCCCGTTGACGATTCCGGTGCGGGACGCGTCATGACCAACGCTACGGAGGTCAAACCCACTGACTCGGCTGCCCACGCTGCACTTCACGCATCTGAGGCGACACGATCTGACTGAACAGTAAACCCGATTAGCACCTCACAATATACGTAGGACTTTAATGCAGCACACAGCACGACGGTACATATAGATCTGTATGGTAAAACGGTATTGTAGCAGCAATCTGCCGGTCCACCGGTTACCGACGACTCTTGCGCTTCTGAGCCTTCGGAGGCTCTGGTTCCGGCTCATCTTCGTCAATGTCCATGCTATCCTCTCGAACGGCTCTCTTCTTCTTGGCCTGCGAGCGCGAAGGCTGAGACGGCTGAGACGGTTGGGAGGGCTGCGACGCCCCTGCCTCTGCCTCTTCGTCCTCCTCGTCGCTCTCGGGTCGGTCCTGAAGTGGCCGGCGCCGACGGACATCCTGACCTTCTTTGTACGCGGCTTCCCCGATCCGCTCCAGCTTCTTCGAGTTGGCTTCGGTCGACCAGTTTGCTTGGCAAGTCGGGCAGTTTTGGGAGCGTTTCCTGTACTTCTCGAAGCAATGCGCGTGGAGGTGTGTGTGGCAGTTGTTAGTATAACACGAGACGCCGCGCGTGACGACCTGAATGCGATGGAACAGTTGAGCTAATTTCTGCAACGCTTAGATACAGGGACGCACCTCCATGCAGATGGTACATTCAATAATGTTGTTGGGGTACGTGCTCCGAAGATACGGCAAGAGCTCTATCATTGTTCGCATCGCAAGAGAATAGCGGCCTCGTCTGGAGAAGCATGCCTTTTCGAATCGGTGTGCAGGTCCGGGATAGACAGTTATACGAACCTGCTTTTGACGAGCCATCCTTTGGCCACGAAACTAGAAAGAACGACCTCGGCTTGCGACTTGGTTATGTTCAGATTGTTCGTTTCGCGCAGGGCTGCCATAGATGTTATACAGAAAGCTTCATTAGGAGCAGTCATTATTTGATGGAGCTGTGAGGAGGTAAGTTTAATGAGAGTGTTAGAGCACACTAGAGCACATTGGTGGCCGGACGCACTACTGCTTTGAAGTATGCAATCTCGAGAGCGGAGTATTCCGTTGCCAGTTGAGCGACTTCATCACCCTTACGATTCACCTAGGGGGCATTGATGAGGCTTTCAGTGTATCGCGCCTCTCACGAGAAACTTACGAGAGCACACATCTCCTTGCCCGTAATCTCGTCCGACATCTGGGCGAAATCCATGTTCAAGGGATTCAAAGCTTCGTTAATCTGGGTCACGAAGTTATCCCAGGAGTTCCGGTCCCCATTAAATTCTATATCAAGCGCGTCATTCGCAGCTGCACGCCCACCACCGCATCAGTCTCTTGTCAGACGCTACAGACTGTGGTCGCGCTACCTTTGACGGCATCAATGCACTTTTCCCAGAGCTTGAGCGCGACTTCTCTTGTCATGACTCTCCGCGAGAGCACTGCTTGCAGAAAGAGACACTGCACATCGTTGGACGAGACCATGGCGGCGAAATGGGTGAAGGCAACAGGCAAGAGACGCGTGAAAGACGCGACGCGACGCGTGCATGCTTTATTGGGTCAAAACGCGGGTCACGCGCATCGCGCCTCTCATGCAGGGCCGCTCGCCGCTTTCATTTGCAGGACGTAGTGCTGCACCTAGGCTGCACAATGCAGTCGGATATATTCAGAGTAGAGGCAAGCTGTGATTACATGGTCACGTTGAATATACGGATATCATGTTTCTCGTCGCAGCTTCCCAGACAGCCCTTCATTGTGTAGTACATCACAGATCATGACCAGACGTGTCCTTCGTAATTTCATCCCTTCAAACTTTCGGAATGCGCAGCGTCTTGCTGACCATGGCCGCCGCCATCGTCCCGAACATCGCACTGACGATGTGCACCTCCCCCTTCCCCCCCTTGGCTCCCCATAGCGTGATGCTGCCGAGGGGGACGCCCTCCTTGCCATGAATCCACCCCATCTTCGTCCAGTATGTGAGAACGGCGACGAGAAGCAAAGACATTGGGATGGGCAAGCCCTCGAAGTACTTGGACTTCCCCTTCGCGTCCTTGGGCACCGACGCGACCGTAGCGTTGAATCGTGCTAAGCGTGCTAGGCCGCAGCAGATGAACCCCGTGAGCACTACGGTGTCCAGGTATGTCCGCAGGCCGACTACGAACGCAAGTAGTGCTGGCGCGACACCAAAAGATATCTTGATGGGGAAGCACGCAAATCAGTAGATGGTGCACAGCTTGTAGAAACGGAACTTACCAGATCCGCCAGACTGTCTAACTCCTGTCCAAGCATGCTGCTCTCATTCCTCCACCGCGCAACCTTCCCATCCAGGAAGTCGAATGTTAGGCCGAGATACGGAAACATGAGGGCCGACCAAAGGTAGTCCTCGTCATTCGTAGCAAGATAGTTGGCGGACATGAATATGGACAGAGAGGCACAGACGCCATTCGATATTGTGATGAGATCCGCCAGCCGGAAGTTTCTACATACCATACACATAGCGTCAGCGTGACCCACTAGCTCCCACATGAGGGTCCGACGAACCTAACGAGTGAGAAGTGCCCGTCTGTGTCGAGGTATTGCTGCAAGGCGGCCGCCTTGGTAGTCTCCATCGCGTGACCGTTCGGCCCTTGAGAACTGTCTCCTTTCCCTGCTCTAAGGCTCATGCTGCTCTCCCGAGTACGTGATATGCAGTCGTCGACGTTGAAAGGTGAGATGTATAGAGTGAAGAAAAGCTTCGAGCTAGGCTTGCAGCAAGGGGCGCACAGGCAAGAGTCGCATGCACAGCTCGCATGGCGCACGCGCGTCACGGTGCCCACTGTGACTCGCCAGCCAATGACATCGCATGCCCCCTGGCCGGTGCCAATGCCATTGCCAGCCGTTCCATCGCCTGAGCCCAGAGCGCATCAGATCCAGAGGACGCGGTAAGGCCGCAATGAATGACACAGTCGAGCGTGCATAGGAAACATAGACAACAGGCAGAATCCAGATCATACAGACGAATGCACGGCACATGTCCGAGACTCCCGCGAACACTTGCGGTTCGCGATACAATCAACCCATCATAACAACATCTCCGTCATCCTCCTTCTTCCCGTTGTCGCCGTCTCGTTCGCGCTCGAGCTCACGACTTCTCGCCGCGTACTGGTTGGGATGCGTCACGCTCTCTCCTGAACCGACACCCTCACCCTTGGCCACACCCTGCCGTGCATGTGTGATCTCGAACACTCGTGTGCACGCGACATGGTAGTGTCCCGCCTTGACTGTGTGCATAATCTCCGGCAAATCTGCCGACGTCAGGCCCTGGCTGGAGTACATCGAGAGCAGCGCCGTCTGCAGATTGTCGGGCGAGAAGTGCCGGTAGGGACATCCGTGCGAATCGCCTGTCCCCGGCTGGTCCGACGTAAGAATCTGCTGACAGCTGTGTGAGGTACAGTGAGCCATGATTGAGTTCAGGGCATGTGTATTCGAGCTCACCTCTTTGCAGGGTAGTTGGCACGCTTTCCTTCCAAGCCGAAAGAGTGTCGGATGTTGTACCTATACTCCTTGTTGAACTTGTCGTCCTGAATATTGCTGAATGATCTTCGCCAGAATGAGATTGCCTCGTCTATGGAGAGACCGAGGACCTTGTCAGATAGTTTCGACGTCAGTGATGAGGCTGCAAGGGATCGGTTCGAGGATCACTCACCTTCAAGAACAGACCATATTGCAATCGACCGAAATGCTTCAGGTGCTTGTCTCTCCGGAGACATTCGTGGAGGTTGCGCATGCATGCGGGGAAGTGTTTCCTCGCCATGTCGTCGATCATATCTGCAGTGATCTCGTTCCCGCTACCCGCTGTCGCCGTGCTCCACTCAGACGAGACACCGGCAAGGAAGCCTTGCGAGAGGTTGTTGAGAATGGGGACAATGCGTGTATCTTCGTCCAGAAACGGCAATGCTTTCGCTGTCATCTGCAGAAGCTCAGGAAAGGGAAATGAGGGTCGTGGTAGCCCTCACCTCGAGTGATTTCATGAGACTGTTTTGAAACTCCTGGAAGACAATGCTTGACTGTTCGCGCGATGGTACGTACGCCATCCCACCCTTCAGGAACACCCGCCTTTTCTCTATAAGGTCTGGTACACGAGTCCATCTCACCTACAGTTTCTCTGTTAGAAGGCGGCTATAACCAGAAATGTGACGAAGCCCACCTTGCAGTATCTCTCTTTTGGATTGGGTTCACGATTTGCTGAAGCGGCTGCTGTTTGGAGCTCTTTGAAATGTTCCTCAACCTCATCCGCCGTGACCTGAGCCAGCATCAGAGAGCGAGATCGCACGGAATGCATTGCATAAATGTACCTCTTCCCAGCCAAAGTCGCGAGACTTCAAGAACTCTAGATTCTCTTCGCCGTCATCGGAGTCAAAGCGCACGCGAAACAGCGCCGTTTCCGCTTTTACGAATCGTCTCCGTAGGTCTTCCCTGCATTCAAATTAGACCCTAGTTCCTCTATAGGCCATATGAAGACTCACGAACGACAGAATGCCAGGCGGAGGACGAAGTGTCCTACGTGATCTTTCCTCCGCTGGGATTCCAGGTCCAATGTCCAAGCGGAGTTACTGTTCAGCTGGAGGAACTTATCGGATTGTGTGATGGTGATGTTCTTGAGCTCATCCCATGATCGGTTTCGGACGAAAGACGACTCAATCTCAGCGAGGATCCGCAGACGGTCAAGCGCACACGTTTCGAAGTCTTCAATCGTGATGTCTCCAAGGGGAGGCTTGTCGTAACTAGATCACTACCTGAGTATCTGCGGAGACGCGGGTATAATGACTTACAAGTTGAGTCGATGAGGATACCTTCTCGTGCCATGATTCTCGACTTCATTGATCTTGCTGAGCGTCTGCTGAGCAAGAAGCTTCTGTCTATCCTCTTTGTTTTGCATCCTGAGCGTATGTGTGTGTTCGAAGATAATGGATAGGTATTGGATAGGTATGAGGATGGTACAGCGGTGAGCAAGTTGACGCGTTCGAGCGCGTTCGCGGTCCTTGACGCGTGAGGTCACACATAGGCGCGACATGTCACACTCCACTGGCGTCACACCACTCTGGCAGCCTCACAGAAATTTGTGGCTCGACACGACAGTCCCATATAATTGGCAAAAATTGTACAAATAAACAACGACTACGTAGATGATATAATACACTTGAGCAGTCGTATGAGGGTGTGCATTTACAAATACATAACAGAGCATATACCGACAACGATAACATAGCGATTGGATCCACATCTATACCACAAGAATAATGTCGCAGCATTTACTGCTCTTGAACGGCTTGTGGTTGCCTACGAGGACCTTTGCTCTGCGCACGAATAGTAGTCGTCCTTTCGGGAGCGTCCGGGTCAATGTCGAATGTGACACCAGGTCGACGCCGTCGCCATGTCCCGCGGTCGGCGAAGTCGGCTTCCTCCTTGTTCCTCCACTCCTGCGCGGCCGTCATCGGGTCTCGCAGAGGAGGAGATAATCGGCCCGCGGTAGAACTTCTGGTAGAGTCAGCCCCTGTGACCGTATTGGCCTGTTCACAATGAAGCGTCAGCTTGTTGCCTCCAAAAAATAGGCATGAAATACTCACCACCGTTCCATCCACTGCCTCGACGGATGCTGCCGAGACCGTACGATGCCGCTTTGACAGCAAGCGGAATGGACTGAACATCTTCGTGGGGCTTCTACCATTCGATGTGGGCACCGTGTTCGAGGACGGTATCCCCATGCCCGCTGACGGGACAGTCAGATACTCCACCGCTGGGGCAGGTGGTGCCGCTTGCGAAGGCACGTCAACATGCTCCCGACGACGAGGCGATGCTACGGCATCATGTATCTCAGGCCCAGGCCGCGCAGATTGAGCGGGATTTGCAGGAGGAGGCGAGCGCACGCTGGGCGCTGCAGGCGCCGAATCCTGGCGCTTGCGGGGGCGTACCTCACGCTGGAACTCCGCAACGGTCTCCTGCATGGGTTTCGGTGGATTGGACCTTGAGCGGAAGAGGCTGATACCAGAGAAAAATCCTCCTTTCTTACGAGAATCTTTGTCCTTGTCCTTGTCCTGGTCTTTGGACAGCTTCTGCTCTGTTCCCCTGGACCGTGGGGGAAGGAAGCTCGAGGCATTCGAGTGCTGACGGGGCAGCATCGAGGGTGCCAAGGATGAAGGTGTGAGTAGGAGATCCTGCTCAGAGGCGGCCGGAGCTGGTTGGGTAGCTGAGCGACTCTTGGTATGCTGCGTGTTCGTCTGGACAGTCAACGGAGGACGGGTTGCGCTGGCCGGATAATGTGGCTCGGACGCGGCACGTGAATGGTGAGTAGGAGGAAGGGTGCTTGATTCTTGCGCGCGACGAGTCTGTTGCGTTGGAAACGTGCCTGAACGCGGTGGCGCAGAGGATGGTGGTACGACGGACGGCTGATACGACGGAGACGAGACGTCATATTGCTGCCTAGCGTTCGCAGTCGGCGCCAAGGGTGGTGCAGCACGAGGTGGACGCTGCGATGAGGCAGCATATTGGTCTGGCGCGCGCGCACTGTAGTCCGTGGTCGGTGGTTGATGGTGTCCACGAGCAGTTGTTGATTGGGATTGTACCATCGAGACGGGAGCCCCTCGTGGAGACATAAAAGACGAATCATGCGTAGGTGCAGAAGTACTGGTGGGAAGCGAAGGTCGGGAGGACTGCTGTATGCTGTATGGCTGTGACGCAGAAGTCGGTGGATTGGGAACCGTAGATGGTGCGCGGAACGGTATTGGTATCGGTGCAGGCGAGCGGTATCGAGTAGGCGGTTCTGGGTATCCTGACAATACATTAGGTCGTGCAGTTGGGGTCGTGTCCGGGCGTGAGGAGGCGTGAGGCTGCAGGCTACCAACACTAGTACGATGGTTCAATGTTTGTTGGTTATGCTGAAGACTGGGCGAGTATTTCGAAGGACCGTTTTGCTGAATCGTATCGGTCGAGCCATTCCTGTGCGTAGGCAAGTGAGACGACGAGTACTGCCTGGGTGTTGCATCAAGCTGCGCTGTGCTCGCGACGCCCGGGGAACGCCCGACGTAAGTTTGAGGCTGGCGATTAGGGGAATGTCCTCCGATGCCCTGTTGACTGGGGTACCCTTCTTGGGGCTGCCGCGTGTCAGCGTATCGTGCCGGCGGCGGGGAGGACACTCCTCCAGAAAAAGTGGCGGACCACTGGGCCTTGCTGTCGGGTCCAGCGGTTGGTGGACGAGCCGGCGCGAATGTTGCTTGCGCCACAGTGATCGAATGCGCCCCAGGAGAGAGTACAGAAGCCATTTTCGAATTCGAAGAATCCTGCGCGATATTGGTCTGGGCTGAAGGGAACGTTGACGTCTGATACTGGACAGACAGGTCCACTGGCCGCGCCCGAGGGGTCTTCTCGTCGGTCTGAGAGGTGTTTGTGGTCGCTACGCCAGGGACCCCATATGCGCCAGGGGCAGGCGCGCTACCAACATAATGCATGGGCTGCTGCTGCGCGTTTGCTGGCGACGGTGGATATGCACCTGGAAGACGCACATCCGACGTCGAGTACTGTGGCGTGGAATGCGGTTGCTGGCCAGGAGCATAGGCGCCCACCGCTGGAGTGGTCGACTTCTGCGGATAGGCTCGCTCATAATCCCTCTGAGTCGCTGCATACCTCGTCGCAGGATCTGTAGCCTGCGCCTGTGCTGTCGTGACACTTGCAGATGACATCTTCACCCCAGGACGCGTTGAGGGCGGTCTGGCGATACCTTCGACGGATCTGATAGCCTGTTGCACAGGATGAAGGTAGCCAGAGGCCGTGCCGTTGCTATGTGCATTTGCGATACCAGATTCGCCGGAGCTGGGTTGTTGAGCAGTTGCAGGAGCCTGAGTAGCATGGCGAGACCTCTTCGGCGCGTCACCGTAGTGTGATGCATACTCTGCCGATGTCGCAGGGTATGTGTGCGGTTCGTACTGGCGCGCAGGGTCCGGATACGCTTGCTCGTGCGGGCGATTGACGGTGGCCGTGCTCGACGATTTAGGTATCATGAGCGGCGTTTGAGGATCTGCCGGACCCTGCCCAGCACGAATACTGACTATTTGTGGTACATGACGTTGAGAGGTCAGACCTACGGGAACAGTAGGCTGGCCTGGGGGCGGCGCAGAAGTATGCAACGAACTTGACGCCGGCAACTGCGCAGCCCCTACGGGCCTGTACGCTGAAGGGTCCTGTGGCGGTGCCGCCTGCTGCGTGGACACAATATTGAGAAATTTATGCTGATCATCGATAAAGCTATACGCGCACCTGCTGCGTACGGGATGCTTTATAGCTTGCCGCGAACAGCTGGGCCTCTGTAGGCTTCGTCGTCGACTCAGTGGCGGACTTCGCGTGGCCCGGAAGGTCAGCATGTGCCCGGGCATGTTTGCGCTGCGTTGTTCATGATCAGTACAAAGGAACAGAGCGTATATATGCAACCCACGCGGTCTCTCATGCTCTCTCGCTCTGTCTCACTCCCAGATGGGGCGTGGGCATCCCTGTGCTCCTTCGTCGCATGACGCCGCTCAGATGGGCGATACTGTGGAGAACGGTAAGTTGCCGCAGCCCATACATATTAGCATACGACTCACACGTTCCCTTAGCGAGTGTTCCTGTTCGCTGCTCGACATCCCGGACTCTTGGCCACTTCCCTGTCCCGCAACTCGTTCACGATGTGACCGGTGATGGCGAGTAGAGCTTTTGTCGCGCTCTGAACTTCGCTGTGGCACAGCCATAGGCGCGGACGGTGGGTCAGACGGTCGCCGATGAGCCGCTGCTTGAGCCGCTGGGTCGTGGTAAACCATTGAAGCACCGGACGCCGCATAGCCATTCGGAACTGCAGCATGCTGCGCCGTCGCTATTGAGGACTGGCCCGTTTGCCCGGCATACCGACCCTGTAAGACAAGGTGTCAGTAGATCGGACGACCATGACGAATGATCACTACTTACCGATGCTGTGGGCAGTCTATCATCGACCTGTTGAGGCCTATATGCTGTTGTATTCGCCTGGACATGCGATGAGGCTCTCTCGGCCGCCTTGCGTTCCTCCTTCCTCCTACTACTTTCACGCTCCCTGGTCCGCTCTGAATCTCGGTGCCCTTCTCTATCTCTGCTCGCGCGTTCGACCTCCCGGTCGCGTTCCCTTCGACGCTCTCGATCGCGCTCTTTCTCTTTCGCCCGCAGACTCTCGGCCTCCTGCAGTTTTGCCTTCGCCTTCTCTTCCCTCCGCCTCTCCCTCTCTCGCTCCTTGTCGCGATCCTTGTCGCGCTCTCGACGGTGTTTAGACGATGAAGTTTCGCCGACTGCTTGTGAGGGGTCAATATAGTATGCCTGAGTCGACGCCGGCGCCTGGACCGTGGCCATGGTCGGGTACGCTGAGCGTGCATGGCGTGCGCTCCTGCTATCCTCGGCCATGGCTACACGCTCGTTTGATGAGCGAGGGCTTGGCTTATCTGTTTTGGTCCGTGCGTACGACCGCGATGTGTCGTCAGCGTAGTATGCTCCATGGGTCCTCGACGACGGCGTAGCTACCGGCGCAGCACTAGACGTTGCATTCGCCCCCGGATACGTGCCGTGGTACGAGGTAGACGGCTGCGCAGAGGTACGATGCTTGCTGGACGACTTGCTATGCGAGGTCACAGGTGCCGAGGGAGCCACAGCGTCTGATGTCTCTGCCCGCTTTGAGGAAGAGCGATGCTTGCGGTGGCCATCGGCGGTGGTCTGCTCGGCGTTGTGACGCTGGGTGGAGGCCATGGCCTGGCGCGAATATCCGGGTTCAGGTTCGTTAGGGGTCCATGACGGGGCATCCTCTTGTCGTTGAGTATGTGTAGTTCGTGTTCGATGCCGACTGGTCATGTCCAGTCACAAGAATGAATGGCGTATGTCAGGACGGACGACCGAGGTGGGTTTCCGTCTAGTTACAGGTGGGAACAGCAAGAAGAGCAAGAAGTTTGGGAAGAGGTTGCGCGGGAAAAAGCAGAGGACGGCCTTGTCAACATGAGGCAGAACGCTCGCCGGGAAGCGACCCACTTGCGGCCTGGGCGCCATGGGCGCTGCGCTCTGCGTCCTGTGGCGCTGTCTTGTTCGCGCCCATCCACCGGCAGTTCAGGCGCAACGGTCGGACTTGCTTGTTCGACGAGGCTCAACATTGTTCTCATTGCAATCCACAGTTGGCCCACTCGCTCATTGTCGCAACATTTCGTGTGAACTGTTCGGTGGTCGAGACCCGCTGCATGGGCTGAGCCACCTATAATAGACTCAAACTCGGACTCACATCGGTGGCATTGAGCTGCTGCGTGCACGGAAGCCAAGGTGTTCGTGCAGGGTTCCATTAGACTCTGATTGGCGACGACGGCCCAAAGCATAGGAATCCCTCTATTGGATGAGAACCCCAGCATGTCGTCAGTCAGCAAACCTTGTGTTGGGCCTATTCATTCGGAAGCCCGATCGGGTGGTGAGACGAGTACGCGCGCCCGACATAGGGCCACCCACTATGCCAATCTCGACTGAATGTCTAGGTAACTGGTTCGGTATACCTACTTCGACAACTGCTGCCACCCGACGCGATAGCAACTGTACATGGTTGTGATTAATGGACGCAAGCACAGATTCCCAATACATAAGGATACATGCGTGGAGCGAACAAACGGTGCGCTTGATCAGTGCGAGTGTCAAGTCCGAGATAGTCCCCCGAGTCCTTCAATCGTATGCGGAAGATGATTTCGTTTTCACCGTATCCCTCTGCCCCCCTTATCGTCCTCCCCATCCGTTGAGTTGGCCGCGCAACTTCGCGTAAATGGCAATCCCGCGCCGCCGATGGGCCACCTCGGGAGGCCGTACGGGGACAATGGGTGACTGCACTGTGTCTGAGCTACCGGCAGACAACGCATAAACCAGGTTTGCGACCTGCTGCTTCAGGTCATCCACCTGATCCTTGAGCTCGCCATTGGCGGGTTTCGGGTCTTGAGCGTCGTCTGCCCTAATATCGATGACTTCTCCGTTATACGTGCGAGCGGGAAAAACAGGCCAGGCCCGTACGCTTCTCGGTGAGAACGGCTCAGCGTACGAGCCTCGCCCACCCGGCGAATATCCTGCCACCGTGCTTGGTGCAGGTGTTGGATCGATGATTGGCTTGCCGATGTATGGTTCTATCTTGAGAGCGCTCTTTTCGATATCGCGCCCGCCCACTAGTATAATGCGCCTCCTTCGCCTCCTGTACCACCAAAAGAAGGCGCCACAGAAAAGGGCAAGCGCGCTGACTCCGCCTATGACCCCGCCAGCAATTGCTCCCTTGTTGACGTTCGAAGCTATACGAACCCTGAGCTGACCGTGATTGTATGTATGTAGTGAGATGCTCACATGTGGTAGATGTGCCAGATGTGCCAGACGAATTCTGGCCACGGTCCGAAGAAGAATGCGGATAATCGCCATGGTGTCCCCAGCGAGACCGCCTGCTTCCTCTGCCAGTCGAGTTTGTGCCAGCGGTGCTATTCACGAAGCTGGTCCAAGCTAACTCGTCAACCCGGTTGACATGTTCTCGGACTGGTCACTCACGTGTACATGGCCCAGTCGAAAAGAAGGACAGACGTATTTGGATCCTGCACTGGCACCATCGTCATAACTAGCGTATGCTCGGCATTCTCTAGTTCCGTCTTGTTGTAAATTGTGACATTGTATTCGACCTCTTCCTGGGCGGGGTTCGGTACATGTACGAACGTCCCCGATGCCGCGCCATCCAAGATAAAGCTGACATTGGTGAAAGCGACCATCGGCGGCGGGAGGGCGTTCAGCATGATACCATACACCCAGATGGCAGTTCCTGTAAATCCGTTAGGAAGGACACGCTCCACGGCGGACGGCAGTCCAACGCACCGGTGAATGTTAGAGTGATGTTGTGAGCCGTCGAGTTTGACGACGAATTTGAGGTTGCATCATGCCAGGATGCATCAAAAGTCAAGTTTGCTTCTGGATGAGCTTCACAGACCGAACAGGTGGGTCCGTAGTTCCAGTTGTTCGAGTAGACAGGCAAAAGACCCGTCACCGAATCACCATAATAGTCGTCGATTGTCCGATTGGTCGCAGTCGCGGAAATACGCGTGGAAAGTAAAGAGAGAAGGAATGGCCAGTAGGCGAATAACAAACACGGCAGAGACATGCTGCCAGGCCAGCTGGCGGGACCAGTGCTGCGCCTAGAAAGAGGGTACACGACGAGCGAGCATACGTGGATCGCCGCTCAACCACAACGTTTATGAAGGAAGCTCCGCGGAACGCAGGCGCCCTGCATCTATAGGAGCTAAGAGACCAGAAGTGATATCCCCGAGAAGACGTCCAATGAGGTTGCAAGTCGCCCTTAGTCCGCGTAGCCCTCCTCACTGTGGAAGCTTTCCTGCGCCAGCTACCGGATCGCGTAGTACGCAGAGGCCATTACTGTATTATCGCGGAGGCCATTACTGTATTATCGCGGAGGCCATTACTATGTTCTGCACTCTCCATCGAGGAGTCCATAGAAGGAATCGGTTTACGACCTGCGGCAGCCTTCCGAGCGCGGGATGACATACAATCGAAGAGCGCGAGTGGTCACTGATCTGATATGGCGGTCCGCAATGCCAACGGAATGCTCGACCTTGGCAACAACGCGCCATATTTGCCTGAGCTGACCGCGAGTGGCATCTCCATCTGTCATAGCAGTCTCATGGCCATGAGTGCGTTGCCCGGGAACATGATGGCAGTCGAACATACCAATGGGGATATCGTACATTTGAGGACTACAGCTAGTACCCCTGGTATGTGCATTGTGGACGCAGCAAGGCGGTTCGTTGTGGATCAGTGGACCGACGTACGGCATTTGCGGACTCGAACTGGACTCAGAGTCAGAGACCTATGCGCACAAGCAATTGAGGAGCCTAAGCACGAAGAACACACTAGCGGACTACCGCGCTGTTAGGACATTTTGCGGTTGGCGGGCATCTCGGGTACACTTCTACTCCAAATATAAGCTGACAACCAAGTAGGGACCTTCGTGACGAACGAGTCCAGGTCCTGTAACAGTTGCCTATCCACACGAAGCGATGACAGACGCGCATGTACTCACCGGTAGTCGAGGCCATGCAGTGTAGTGACACTGCGGTCCTGCACCAATCAGACAAAATCACAACAATCACATTTCTTGAATGATTCCTCATGCCTCTGTTCAGGGAGCGGATCGTCACCGTATGCCGGACACAACATCGCCGACGACCAGACAAAAAGCACGTCGCACTGCTTGGCAGTGGGTAAGTCATTGCTGATAACCAGCCTGTATTATACGCAAAACTCGACGCAGTCGTAAGTGACAAAAAGTACATGCATAGATAAGCAAAGATGTGAGCCAACAGTGTGACGCGACGACAAAGTGAGTCTCCCGGCGAGGGGTCAACGTCGTCTGCAACACTCCAGCGTTGCCGACAAATGCAGGATACATCGCCGCCAGATCCCAAGACAGGACCAGACGGGAGCCCTGGCAAGCCAGCTTGCTTTTACACAATTTTGACTCATTACCGACAGTAGACAGCGGAAAGGCTGGTGGAAGCAGAGGCTTCCCTGTCGAGACAATTTAAGGATCGTGTAAAGTTTTATGGACACTCACAGGACACACGATGTTGGACCGCAGCCGGGCCAGCAATAGAAATAATATCGCCTTTCACGCTCTGCTTGCATAATCAGCACGACAAGTTGAAGCAGATGAATATCCATGGCACTGGACGAGGAGAGAAAACATGGGAAGAACAAGGAAGAGGAGGGCTCTGGGGATTATAAGGGCGACGCGCACATGACCGCGGGCATTTTTACCACGGCTTGCTCAGACGGCACCGCCCGACTGGCCACAAGCTGCGACCCCTGCAGTGCGCCCGTCGTGTCTATCTTCGCGTCTACCTGGCTTTATCACACCTGCAACTGCTCAGGAGGGTCTTGCTTCGTCACTACTCACTTGTGCTCGCTGATCGCTCCTCAGCCTTGCCATGGTCCGTGCCGCAGACTTTCCGCTCTGCCTGCTGCGCTGACTCCCCCGCGCATGCGTCATAGAGCGATACAATGGAGGTGATTGACGAGAAGGTGAATGGCGGCCCCCCCATGGAGGTCGAGGAGATTGTGTCTGTCCGCGATCGTGAGCCGTGCCACTGCCAAAGTACTAGGAGGTCGCTCATCCGCTGTGGCAACCTTGCTAGACGACGCGTTCGCGGCGAAGCATATGCCCGACCTCGGCCATGACGTGAAGGAGTTCAAAGTGTACTCATGGCCGCTCACAAATTGGAAGAGATTGGAGAAGAAGATTACAAGCCCGGAGTTTGAGTGCGGCGGGCATAAATGGTGCGTGCATAGCTCTTCGGGCGCGCTTTCGGACTGATTCCGGTGCTCGCAGGCGAATACTGTTGTTTCCTTTTGGCAACTCTAACGCACCTCCCAATGATACTGTATCGGTATATCTCGACTACGCTGACCCCAAGCGAGCACCAGAGGGTTGGCATGCTTGTGCTCAGTTCGCGCTCGTTATCTCAAATCCTCACGACCCCACCATCTACACTGTTAGTCGTACGTGTCTTATTCCGTCATCCCTCGAGGCGTTCCATGCTGAGTAATACAGACGCGCACCATCGCTTCATTGCGGAGGAGTGTGATTGGGGTTTCACGCGCTTTAGCGAGTTGCGCAAACTCTTCACCGTTCAGGAGGGCCACAGTCGGCCGACAATCGAAGACGAGGCCGCTGAAGTGAGCGTCTTCGTTCGTGTGCTCGAAGATCCCACAGGAGTGCTCTGGCATAACTTTGTCAAGTAAGGCTCAATGATTTGGCATGTGATTAGTAATCCGACCTCATGTTGCAGCTACGACTCGAAGAAGGAGACTGGTTATGTCGGGCTGAAGAACCAAGGTGCGACATGTTACATGAACTCGCTCCTACAGTCGTTGTTCTGCACACGCTATTTCCGGAAGGCAGGTTCCCATGTCTATTCTTAGTGCAGAAAAGCACTGACATTGGCCTCTTCAGGCTGTTTACCAAATACCGACCGAGGATGATCACCCCACGGAAAGTGTCGCGCTGGCTCTGCAGCGTGTCTTCTACCACCTACACACTTCGGACCAGCCTGTTGGTGAGCCATCATCACAGAAGGGGTGATAGCAATGTCTCACATATTGGCATATACGCAGGTACTACCGAGCTCACCAAGTCCTTCGGCTGGAAGTCGCTAGATTCCTTCCTGCAGCATGATGTACAAGAGTTCAATCGTGTACTACAAGACAAGCTTGAAAGCAAGATGAAGGTAAGGGGCTGACGACCGGAATGACGCCACCGCACGTACTGATGCCGCACCGTAGGGCACTATAGCGGAAGGCGCCATTCAGAAGCTCTTCGTTGGCAAGATGAAGAGCTACATCAAGTGTGTCAATGTGGACTTTGAGTCATCCCGAATTGAGGAGTTCAATGGTATTAGTAACCTTCACTTTGTTGCGTTTGTACCGGCTGAACATGCAATCATAGACCTCCAACTCAACGTGAAGGGTCAGAAGAATCTGTACGACTCATTCAAGGATTACGTTGCAGTTGAAACCCTGGACGGTGAGAACAAGTACATGGCGGAAGGCTATGGTCTGCAAGAGGCGAAGAAGGGCATCATCTTCCAGTCTTTCCCTCCAGTCCTCCACCTCCAGTTGAAGCGCTTCGAATATGATATTCAACGCGACGCCATGGTCAAGGTAAGCTTACGATTATCTCGTATCATCTGTAGCTCAACGCGGATGTGTAGATCAACGACCGCCATGAGTTCCCATTCGAGATCGACCTCGGTGAGTTCCTGGACGAGACGGCTGACAAGTCGCAACCATGGGTCTACAAGTTGCACGGTGTGCTCGTACACTCCGGTGATCTGCACGGTGGCCACTACTTCGCGTTGATCAAGCCCGATCGCGAAACGAGATGGCTGAAGTTCGATGACGATCGTGTAACGCCCGTAACCGATCGGGAAGTCCTGGAGGAGAACTATGGCGGTGAGGCGCTGAATGGCTTGGTTTCGCCCATGCAGCGCAACCAGGTGCGAGCAATGAAGCGGTTCACGAACGCGTACATGTTGGTGTACATCCGTGAATCGGCTATCGACGAGGTCCTTGCACCGTTCAAGGAGGAGGACACTCCACCACACCTCAGTGCGTCAGAACACTTACCCGCATATGGCATATACTGACTGTCCGTTGCTCGTAGAAAAACGCTTAGATGAGGAGCGGCTACAGCTCGAGGCCAAGAAGCGCGAGCGCGAGGAGCAGCACCTCTACCTCACCGCCAAGGTCATCACCGACGAAACATTTGCCCACCACGAAGGCTTCGACTTGGCTACCTTCGACGAGCGGAACTGGCCGCCATCTGACCTGCCCACCTTCCGTGTACTCAAGAACGAGACGTACAGCACGTTCAAGCAGCGGGTGGCACAACACTTCAACTACCCTGAGAACCAGATCCGGTTGTGGGTACTGGTGAACCGGCAGAACAAGACGGTTCGGCCAGACACGCACATACCGGAGAATGAGCCGGCACTCAGTAGGTGACATAGGGACTGGTTGAGTGCAAATGTCTGACTTCTCTTCACAGCGGTTGAGGTCATCCGGAACAACATGGCCGTCCGGCAACAGAACGACCTGCGGCTATACCTGGACGTTCTTCCCGACCCCACAAAGGTTCGCTGCATCCTTGTTCTGTACAGATTGGCGACTGAAGGCGTTGCTAGTCGGACGCTCCCCAGGGTACTATCATGATCTTCCTTAAGCACTTCGACACGTCCAAGCAGACGCTCTATGGTGTCGGCAAGGTCCATGTGCAAAGGGCCAGCAAGGTCAGCGACCTTGTGCCGATGATCAACGAGCGATTGCGGTGGACACCCGGGACGCCATTGAAGCTGTTTGAGGTATGTCGTTTAGACAACATCATTTTCATGACGACACTGAGGATTGCATGATGAACACCAGGAAATCAAGCCTGGCATGATCGAGCTCATGAAGCCCAAACTCACCTTCACCCAGAGCGAGATCCAGGACGGTGATATCATTTGCTTCCAGGTTGACATTTCCGAGAAAGAGTATGCTGACCTAATCACTCTCGCTGGTCCTTACTCACTATACCTGTAGACACGACCTCGAGAGCCAAGGCCTTTACTCCAATCCGATGCAGTACTACGACTTCTTGCAAAACAGGGTCATGGTCGTCTTCAGGCCGAAGTTCGAGGAGCCGGATCACGACCATCCGGAGTTCAGCCTCATCCTCAGCAAGAAGCAGAACTACGATATCGTATGTGTGAAGTCATCTCTTTTGCTGAATTGACTGACCCTCGGCGTGCAGATGTCCGCGAAAGTCGGCGAACACCTACGACACGACCCGATCAAGCTGCGCTTCACCACGACGCACGCATCGAATGGCACGCCCAAGTCGATCCTCAAGCGGTCACTGAACCAGAGCGTCGCGGAGATCATCTCGCCGACAAACTACGTCAGCCCGCAGGCGACGACGGTGATTCTGTACGAGAAGCTCGACGTGAGCATCGTCGAGCTCGAGACGAAGCGCAGCCTCAAGGTCGTCTGGACGGGGATCCAAAACAAGGAGGAGTCGACGCACCCGTTCCTGCTGCCCAAGACGAGCATGGTCCACGACCTCGCGGACCACCTCGCGAAGCAGGTGAAGCTCACGCCGGGCGGGACGGGCAAGATCCGCGTGTTCGAGGTGTCCAAGGACGGCAAGACGCAGAAGGAGTTCACGGGTTCCGAGATGATCGGGAACATCCCGGACCCGGTCGAGCTGTATGCGGAGGAGATCCCCAAGGAGGAGCTGGAGGCGGACGACGCGGACAAGGTCATCAGCGTGTTCCACTTCTCCAGGGAGGTTTCCCGGACGCATGGCGTGCCCTTCCGGTTCGTCATCAAGCCGGTGAGTAGACATCACTCGCGTCAGTGTGATGTACGGCCACTGATGGTCGATAAAGGGCGAGAAGTTCTCTGACACGAAGAAGCGTCTGCAAGCACGCATAGGCGTGACGGACAAGGACTTCGCCAAGTACCGGTTCGCTCTGATCCAGCAGGCAACCTTCAAGCAACCGTCATACATTGAGGATGGTGGGTGCACTGCTCATTCTATCACGTCCCATAACTCACAGCTGCTCCTGCAGATGACACGATCTACGAGCACAAATTCGCTCCTGAAGACTGTCTTGGCTTGGATCACATCGACAAGTCGGGGAGGACGAGAATAGGGGCGGGAGAGAAGGCGATCGTCATCAAAGGCTGAACGGACTTCATCCCTGCTCTATCATCGACTTGCATCGTTCGGTTCGCTCTGGTATTTCTACTCATCACATGTACACTGCCCTCATTACCCCTGTATGACCCGCATAGACGAGAGTACGATGCTCTTGACCCTATTGCGATACGACTACTGTGAACATCGAGAGGAATAATGACTGTATATCTACTTTCGTTTCTTAGCCTTCTTTGACTGTTGTTGTGTGTGTGATGAGCTGCGTGTTCGGAGGAAGCGTAGGTGAGCACTACTCACAGACTTCGACGGAGAGCGAGGCGACGCGGGAGAACCGGGGCCCTCGCTGTCGCTCGCAAAGTTCTCGGTACTAGCACTCGGCGGGGCCAAGCTGCTTGAGGACACGGCAGATGCAGGGGTAGGGGGCACCGGCGTGGCAGGTGATTTCGGAATAGCAGACACCGGAGTGGGTACCGCCGATGCAGGAGTAACGGGCGTGGCAGGAGTAGAGGGCTCAATGGCGCGGTGAGAGCTCGAGGACACCCGGCCGTACTTGCGTTCTGCAGGTCATGCTCAGTAGCGAATTCGCGCCTGAATAAGTGCATCCTGACCTTTCTCCACCCTCAGGGCGGGGATGCGCTCCAGGAACGATCGCATACGCTCATTGGCCATCATCTCGGAAGCGGTCTGGAAGATGACTTGACCCCAGCCTTCGACATACGAGTTTGCCTCTGCAGCGACTTCCAAAAGCTCTGCCTCCATCTCCTTCTCTGCGCTGAGCAGGCTGTTCCACAGATCATCGCCAATTGAGCCTTTCTGGAGGAGAATCTGCAGAGCGGGCTTGTCCTCGCGGAGACGGAGGATGCGGGTGACGTCCGTCATGGCACGGCGGACGAGGGCCGCTTTGAGGAGCGACTCCGGAGCCGGCGGGTCCGTTTTCTGGAGGAGAGATATGTAGAGATCGCGTTCGCGATGCTGCGTGAAGTAGGGTTCGTAAACCAGGGCTGCGAATGTGCGCGATGTCAACGTGTGTGGCCGTGACTACATCGACTGAGACGCGCACGTACTGGCATTGCGCTTTCTGTACCAGGAGCTGAATGCCCAGAGACCGCCAAAGACTAGGACGACGTAGAGGATGGGGACCAGTATCGACGCCATGGTCGATGGCTGGAGGGAGGAGAGGCAAGGAGGACGGCGGTCTGATGCAAGTCTGATGCTTTGTGCTGGATTTGCTGGCACGTCGGACGCGTCGTGGCACAGCGCGTGTCATGAACTGCCTTTCTGGGTGGGCGTCTATGGCCTCATCCGCGTTTCGTCGTTTGTCTCGGTGGCTGCACACTGCATGCACTGCCAGTGCAGCTCATTCGTAGGTCTGTTGATGTGTCGTAAACATAGACGGCTGAACAGATTGCAGAATGCTGCCAGGGACGACTCCAGGACACCGGCATCCAGGATATGCTGTCATACCGGGCCAGACACGCTGGGAGAGGTCATGAGAGCAAGAAGATATGATCTTGTCCACGGTCCTGTGATTCCCTTCGGAACGGGAACGACGCGGCGGTCGCTGTATTCCCCTAGGTCAGCGGCGTTCTCAATGACCTCTACAGCCCGCACAATGCCAGCGATCCCGTACGTACGCCGTCGCTTGCCAGGTGCTAGGCCGCGCGGTTCCGTACAAACTAGGAAGGCGTCGGTGATGCGCCCCGCCCGCTCGAATATCGCTCGGTGCGGCGCCGGCAGTCGACTACCCGTCGTAGCCGGTGTGTGAGATCTCGCTAGGTCCGATCCCCTCGTCCGATGCGGCACGTCCCCCGCATTACACCCCGTATCCCAAGCGGGGTACGCGCCCAGCTGCCGAGCTCCCTATAAGCCCCCGCTCGTTCTTGTTCGCGTCCCAACCGCCCCTTGCATTTCACGCGCGACCTTCATCAGCTCCCTGTCATGCTTGGTCGAGTCTCCCTCCCACTCAAGTCCGTCGCACGGCGCAGCATCAGCAGCCAACGGTATGCATCTACCAAGGTCAGCTCCCCTCTGTTCAGGTCCAGGAGCATTCGACTCATGGACATGCACGTAGACGATACGGGAGGCACTCGAAGAAGTCATCCCCGCGCAGCAAGCTCGCCTTAAGCAGCTCGTTCGTGACTAGCCCCTAGGAGCTAAGACCCAAGTCACTGACTGCGCGATAACTTCTAGAAAGCGGAACACGGGCAGACCGTCATAGGCGATGTCACGGTCAGAAACCTGGTCAAGTAGTGTCACAAGTCGCTGACACTGCAGCTAGGTCGAGCATGTCATCGGCGGTATGCGCGGCCTCAAGGCCATGCTCTGGGAGTCTTCAGTCCTGGACCCAATGGAGGTACGCAGACACACATCTCGACAGCTCACACTTCGTTAACGTCTGCTGTTACAGGGCATCCGGTTCCACGGTCTCTCCATCCCTGACTGCCAACAAGTCCTCCCTGCCGCCCCGGGAGGCAAGGAGATCATCGCCGAGAGCATGCTCTGGCTGCTCATGACCGGTAAGGTCCCGACAGAAGCCGAGACCCGCCAGCTTTCGCGCGAGCTCGCAGAGCGAGGTGAGCTGCCCGACTATGTCGTCCAGCTCATCGACGCGTGCGTCCGTTCATTCCGCTTTGCAAGGGCATGGGTTCTGAGACTGCTGTAGGTTGCCGCAGACGTTGCACCCGATGACGCAGCTGGGCATGGGCGTCGCTGCGCTGAACAAGGAGAGCAAGTTCGCTGCGGCGTATGAGCAGGGGATCAAGAAAACGGAGTATTGGGCGCATACGCTGGAGGATAGTATGAACCTTCTGGCGCGTCTGCCCGCTCTGGCGGCGAGGATATACCGCAATGTCTACAACCCCGGTCAACCCATCCCAGGAGTGAGCAAGGACCTCGATCTCGTCGGTGCGCACAAAGCTCTCAATCCAGGGCGTGCGGGAGGAGCTCAACGCACGATGTAACAGGGAACTACGTGAACATGCTTGGATACGGGAACAACCACGACCTGACCGAGTACCTCCGACTGTACATCGCACTGCACGGCGATCACGAAGGTGGAAACGCGTCTGCACACACAGCCCGTAAGCTTCTCTGCTCATCGGTCTCTAGAGAGCTTGTTCTAACATGTTGATGCTCATATCCACAGACCTTGTCGGTTCGACCCTCTCAGATCCATACCTAGCGTACTCCGCCGCGCTGTTCGCGCTCGCAGGACCGCTGCACGGGTAAGCGAAACCCTCGCCCAATCTGTCTGGACCACGCGACTCACGGCAGTCCAGCCTGGCCAACCAGGAAGTCCTCCGATGGCAGCTCAACATGCAGAAGGAGATCGGCGACAACGTCTCGCACGACGACATCAGGGAGTTCCTCTGGCGAACGCTCAAGAGCGGACAGGTAGTGCCTGGGTGAGCTCGTAGCGCTCTCATAATGCTGTCGCAGGGTGTTGATAGTCGGTGGGATAGCTACGGCCACGGCGTGCTGAGAAACCCGGATCCTCGGTTTATGGCGCTCCAGAAGTTCTGCGAGACGAGGCCGGAGTTGTTGAAGGACCCGGTGATCCAGCTTGTCCAGAAGGTGTGTATTTGGACGACTCGTGTGGCTGGTGTCTGACTGTGGGCGATGTAGACGTACGACGTTGCCCCCGGTGTGTTGAAGGAGCACGGCAAGGTTGGTGACTCGACATTGCGATGCAACCCTCGTCGTTAATGTGTCGTCCTCCTAGACGAAGAACCCGTATCCCAATGTGGATGCTGCATCCGGATGCGTGTTGTACCACTATGGCCTGACCCAGTTCAAGGTACGCCCCTTTGCCGTATATCCCACCGGCATGTACCAATTGCCCAAACACTCAGTATTATACCGTGATCTTCGGTGTGTCGAGAGCTCTAGGTTGCCTAACCCAACTCGTATGGGCCCGAGGTAAGCACGAACAATGCACAACGAAAGCTGCTTATCCCCCTGACGCACCGAACAGCACTCGGGCTGCCCATCGAGCGACCGAAATGTGAGTATTACATACACAATTTTCATTGGAATTCGGTTCGATGCTGACGGGTACGCGTGCAGCACTGTCTATGGACGTGATCGACACTCTCGTGAAGAGCTCATGAGGGGAACTAGCGATTATAAATATGGCGTAGGAGATGGGGTATGCGAGTGCGAGCGGATCTTCGGGGATTCGAGGGGAGGCCATGTACTAACAAGCAACGAGGTCATTCGGGAACGGTTGTGTGTACTATACATAACGTCATTGCGTGCTGTCTCTCTGCACAGTCCTGAGCGACGGGCGAGCGAGCAGTCTGAGTGAGTATGGAGATAGACCGGGGGCTGGACGAGCGGTAAAGAAACGGGGCGAACGAAGCAGGATTCAGAGTTAGAGAGTCGGTATCAGGCCAAGGAGGAGGGCCAGAGAAGAGACGATGGGCGCTGTACAGACAGGAACAGTAATAATAAGACATCGGAAAGATGATACGAAGGATGTCCAGAACGAGGTGTATACAGGGTATACCAGTTCTCGAATAGCACTTGCACCCAATACCAGTGAAACTGTCCGCAAATAGCCACCAGGGCCTCCGTCGCTAGAACCGCCGCGGTGGCTGACCCTGGGTCGCGGGCGGCGGGCCTCGATACGACCCTGGTGCACCGAACGCGCCGTTCGGAGGGAAGCCGCCAGGCTGCCCCGGGGGACCCGGCCGAGGCTGTCCAGGGCCGGGGGGAGGGAAGCCGCCAGGCCCGGGAGGAGCGAAGCCCGCAGGTGGGGGACCGCCGTAACCAGGACCGCGCGGCGGGCCCTGCGGGGGGAAGCCTCCAGGCCCGGGAGGAGGGCCCTGTGGAGGGTATCCTTGACCTGGTGGCGGACCGCCCTGAGGTGGGAAACCTTGTGGCCCGGGTGGTCCTCGCATACCGCCAGGCATGGGTCCAGGATGAGGGCCGGGTCCGGGAGGCCCGCGCATCGGTGGAGGGCCCTGGCCTTGGGGGGGAGGCATGGTGTTCGCCCGCATGGGCTGGCCGGGCATCGCTGACAATGCGGGACCGGGATCACGGAGGGCGACTGGGGCAGGACGGCCACCGGGGCCTGCCGGGGGATGGCCGTTCGCACTGGGCGCGGATGGCGGTGGGGGATTCTTCTCGGCCGCCTTGATAATCTCGTCGCTGCATTGTCGGTAAGCTCCAGAGTTGGAAGAGATAGCGGAAAGGCATCTGCACTCACTCGAGTAGGTTAAGAGCAGCGCAGAGGACCACCCACTCGACGCAGTCCTCGTTTCCTTCTCCGAGAGTCTGCCACACAGCCTTCTCCTCCGGGGTCTTACCAGTGATGCTGATACGTGTACCACCGCCATTCGGACCTGGTGGGTTCTTCATGATCTTGCCGAACTCGATTCGTTTGGGCGGGATGTTGTGACCAGCATACGCGAAGTAGAACATGCTCCAGAAGGCTGCATTAGGGTTAGGCTTAGATATCTGGAACAGAGGAAGGTCGCTCGAGTCTGGAGATGGTAGAGAAAGCTTGTAGATGGGTGACAGAACTCCGGTGTTGGCAATCGACCATTTGAGGTTGCGAGATGCCTCGCAGCGGACAGTTCTGGTAGAGCCCTGGTGCTGATGTCCGGGATCCGACGCAGTCGTCTTTCCGTTGGCATTCTGGCGCGGAGGAAAGAGCTTCGCAACGCACAGATCGCCTTGCGGCGAAGGGGTAAGAAGGTAGTTCTCGGTATTCTGAATCCGATGTATCAGCGGCCCAGCCTCGTGTGCGAGCTCATCACGCTCACGAAGTTCGTATGCAGGTACGAGTACAGGATGTTAGTCGGTTGGCCTTGAGCGCGGGATATCAATGGCCTGCACAGGTGACCTTTGACGAGCGGTGCTTACCATGGGGCGTCACGATGAGCGTTGGCAGATGGTTTGGTATCGGGGGATGGTTCGGCGAGGTGTACACCGTGTATATGGCTGTAATCACGAGCGCCGTGAGCAAGCGAGGGGTTGATCAGAGCGTGGAGGCACGTACCGGCCATGGCGTCGAGCGAAGGAGTGGGAGGGAGAGGAGGGAGCAGGAGGACTGGCGACGGCGGTGCTGGGTGAGTTAGAGATGCTGCGCTACAGACGGCCTGGGAGCGCGCATCTGGTAACCGAGCGTGACAGATGAACGCGCCTCCGTCACGCGATCAGCCGTTATGGTCACACTCGCTCTCTCGCGGCTCATCGATTCTGGCAGTGTATTCGACACACTCAACGGTGTCGACCACCCTCCGCACGACGAGGTCGACACTCTGACTCCGCCAGCACACAGCCTCCAGATACGCTTTCCCCCTTTCTCGGCCGACCACCATGAAGGGCCTCAAGAAGACACTGGTCAGTTCATTTAATCTCACACGTTCCGCACGCGTCGAGTCCGAACCGTTGTCCCGCAGCTTCGCAGTAAATCGCAAGACTCGACGTCCAAGAACAAGGAGGCTAAGCCGTCTGCGAGCGCAATTGCGAACGCCTCGCCTCCGCCCCCGCCACCCAACAGCGCGAAACCATTACCGCAGCCGACTTCGGCCGTTGCGAGCCTCAACCATGTCAACAACAGCAGTCACTCGCTCTCGTCCGTGAACGGTTCTATCAGTCGTGCATCTACCGCCTCCATCTCGTCTCAGAGCAGCGATCGAAGGTATGGGGGCGCAGACAGGGCATCCCCCGCACCGCCTATCGTGGTCGTCAGCCCCGACGCCTCGGCTGACGCGCAGGAAAGACAGCCGTTCGTGGTCGAGTCTTCGGGTGGCCCAACTACCCCTCCCCGTGCTAACCTCAACCGCCTGCGCCCGACCGGCCCGAAGGACACCATTCCTATGGTGGGCAAGCCCCCTAGGAAGCAGAGAAGCAGCCGGTTTGTCGTGAAAGAGAAGGTTGAGATTGAACGTCTGGCACCTTTTATGGGTATGTAGTGTGCACCTCTTATCCAGATGTATCGCTGAGCGAGCGCGTGCAGAAACACCGCCCAGCGAGCGTCCGCAGCTGTTCCTCAAGAAATTGCACCAGTGTGGTGTTCTGTTCGACTTCAACGATACGAACTCGGAGCTGAAGGGCAAGCAAATCAAGACGCAGACATTGCATGAGATGCTCGAGTACATCACGACGCAGCGCGGTGTTATCACCGAAACCGTATACCCTGAGGTGGTCAAGATGGTGCGTGGCCCTGACTGTGTCGTCGCTGCGCATATTCATGTACTGCTATCCAGTTTGCTACCAACCTATTCCGTGCTATACCCCCACCTGTGAACCCGACAGGAGATGCATTCGATCCAGAAGAGGATGAGCCTGTCCTTGAGTTGGCATGGCCGCATCTCAAGATCGTCTACGAGTTTTTCCTCCGTTTCGTCGAGAGCCCCGACTTCAACACCAACCTCGCGAAGCGATACATCGACCAAAACTTCGTACTCAACCTCCTCGAGCTGTTCGACTCGGAGGATCCTCGGGAGCGCGACTTCTTGAAGACTACTCTTCACCGCATCTACGGCAAATTTCTCAACCTCCGTGCTCCCATTCGACGAAGCATAAACAACGTCTTCTTCCATTTCATCTACGAGACGGAAAGGCACAATGGTATCGCCGAGCTCTTGGAGATCCTAGGGTCCATCATCAACGGGTTCGCGTTACCCCTGAAGGAGGAGCACAAATCCTTCCTCATGCGCGTGCTCCTCCCTCTGCACAAGGTGAAGAGCCTGGCAATGTACCACCCGCAACTCGCGTATTGCGTAGTGCAGTTCCTGGAGAAAGACGCCGCGCTGGCCGAGGATGTTGTGATAGGTCTCCTCAAGTACTGGCCGAAGGTCAATTCGCCAAAAGAGGTCATGTTCCTGAGCGAGATGGAGGAAGTCCTGGACGTGATAGACCCAGCGGAGTTCCAGAAGATCCAGGTGCCCCTGTTCCAGCAGCTGGCGCGGTGTATCAACAGCCAGCACTTCCAGGTGGCGGAGCGAGCGCTGATGTACTGGAATAACGAGTACATCGTCAACCTCATGAGTGACAACCTGGCCGTCATCCTCCCAATCGTATTCCCAGCTTTGTACACCAACTCGAGATCGCACTGGAACCGGTGAGTGCCAGGCCGAGACGATGCAGTCGTTGACTAAATGCCCTATCCAGAACGATACACGCGATGGTGTACAACGCGCTGAAGCTCTTCATGGAGATCAACCCAGACCTGTTCGATGAAGCAATGCAACAATACAAGCAACGCAGAGTCGAGTACGTCCCGGCGGGTTTCCTGATGTTTCCGCAAAGTAACGTCTCCTGCCCAACTCTAGCGAACAACGACATGCAGTCGAGCGGTATGAAGAGTGGCAGAAACTGCGGGAGAAGGCGCTCAAGAACTGCGGCGGGCAACTGCCGCCAGGGTACGTGGACGTCCCGCCGCCGCCCCCACCACCGCCTGTGGACGATCAGGAAATCATGGACCTGACAATCGACCTGAATGCGGTGTCGATTGATGCGGAGGTCCCGCTGAACGAGCTGGACGAATCTGGGATTGAACGAGTGCCCATGGCTGATCCTGGACTCGATGTAAGCGCGGTTGCTCGCGATGGTCCTGCCGGATGGCATGAATATTGACTGGAGATGCCGCTCTAGCGTCCCTTCCCTGAGGTGGGCGTGGACCATTCACCAGGTGGAGTGGGCACGCACTCGAGGCGGAAAAGTGCGCTGCCAGGTAAGAGTGGCATTTCTCTTCCGGCGGACTATGCTGACGAGGAGTACGCTGTGCATCACAGTTGATCCGACAGTGCTGCATGATCTCCGGACGCACAGGAGTCTTGAGGACGCCGTGCCTACTCACGGGTTGGGGAACGGGTCGTAAGGCGGCCCAGGCTAGGCCTCGCCTCGTGAATAACTTAGACTGCGCATACAGTAGTCGGACAGTCCGTCATCCAAACGCGACATACATACATCTTTTACTGTTGCTACACCGCTTCCTTGTCGATATATCCGTCTTCCCCTTCGGCTGTCGGATCGTCTCTCACTTCTGTACTGTGCATGTTGTCGTTGCGCATGATGTACAGTCCCTGGAATATATGTACGTGCTCGGGCACACTGCGCGTTCTGCAGGAGGGACGGCTGAACATGCGATCGGAATCTGGAGTGCGCAGTGACGAAGGCGCAGCAGCCACCGAGTTAAGCGGCCGACTCGGAAGCGCTGCTCTCTCAAGTCCTCCACCTCCATCCCGCCCTCCGCCAGTCCCTCTGCCCCGACGTAGTCCCCGCTGTCCTCGTACAGAGGTCGACTCGTCGCCGACATGATGACGCCCATGCGTTATGTGATACTGGTGCTGGCCATCATTGTACGTCCTGGGCCGTGTCTCGCAGTCGCCACAGCATGTCTGACACGACTGTCCCGCCGTAGATCAGTTTGCACTTCATTCTGAGCTTCTCGCACGAGGAGTATGGCCGGGCTACCTCCATTACGCGCATCAAGGAGCAACTGCAGAACGCGCCAGGCTCAAAGACGTATGAGACGTACCCTGCGCCTGGAGCTAACTACTCGAGCAACCCGGAGAGGGTGAACGCTACCTTCATCCTGCTCGCGCGGAATAGCGACTTGAGCGGCATTGTCAGCAGCGTGAAACAGAACGGTGCGTGTAATCTCATGTGCAGAGTTATCACTCGTTCGAATGCCGTCCGCGCAGAGGATCGCTTCAACAAACAGTACAAGTACCCATACGTCTTCCTGAACGAGGAGCCATTCAGCGACGAGTTCAAGAAGTGCGTATTGATGTCATGGCTCTTCTATGCGTCCCTTACACGACCGCTCCAGCATGATTCTCGAGATCACTGACTCAAAAGTCGAGTTCGGCTTGATTCCCCATGACCATTGGTATCAACCTTCCTGGGTCGACGAGATGAAGGCCTCGGAGGCCCGCAAACAGATGATCAAGGACCAGGTCATTTACGGAGGTCTGTCATATCTCCTTCGTGTGCCTTGCTTCGTCTGAAAGTACCCGCCTCTCGCATAGGGAGTGTACCGTATGTTCAATGCCTAGACCCCTTGAGATATCATTGACCCTTGTACTTCAGCTACCGTAACATGTGCCGCTTCAACTCAGGTGTAAGTCAGCGACTCACTCACGCGAAACAGCTTGACTAATGTGCTGTGTAGTTCTTCTACCGGCACGAACTGCTTGCCAAGTATAAGTACTACTGGCGAATTGAGTGCGCATATCGTCGTTCTCATCAGACTGATATCGTCCTAAGTATTCGTCTATGTGTGCTATAGGCCCGACGTCACCTTCTTCTGTGACTTGCACTATGATGTGAGTCCTCGATCTATGCCATATGTTGGCACTACTGACAGCTCGTCCGCAACAGCCATTCAGAGTGATGCAAGATGGCAACAAGGTCTACGGTCAGTTCTCGCTATGCACTCGTCTATTTGGATATTGCTCATCCGTTCCAGGCTTCACAATCTCTCTGTATGAGTATCCCAAGACGATACCTACTCTTTGGGATACGGTGAAAGGTTTGACACCCGTGTTCTTGGTATGATAGACTCCTGACGATCCGCATGAACCAGAGTTTATCCACAACAACTCCGACCTCGTCCCACCAGGCAATGCTATGTCCTTCATCTCCGACGACAACGGCGAGACCTACAACAACTGCCACTGTGCGTAGCGAGCGACATTCGTGTGCTAGGGAATCAGTGCTTACATGGATCCGTTCAGTTTGGAGTAACTTCGAGATCGGCGACCTTGACTTCTGGCGCGGCGAGGCGTACACCAAGTTCTTCGATTTCTTAGATCAGAAAGGCGGCTTCTACTACGAGGTACGCTCTCCGTTCTCCCTCCACGCATATACACGACAGACTTAACGCTCATACTCTCCAAGCGATGGGGCGACGCACCCGTCCACAGCATCGGCGCTGCACTCCTCGCTAAGAAAGAACAGATCCACTTTTTCAACGACATCGGTATATTATTTTCTGAGTTTCCCAGCGTGGCACTCCATGTCTGACCGCGTTTATTGGCAGGTTACCGGCACAATCCCTTCCAGCACTGTCCACAGGGCGACCTGCACCACAAGGGCCAGTGTTGGTGCGACCCCAAGGAAAACTTCGGTGCGTGTTCTCTCGTCCCTAGCTGGCCGCCGGGTAACTGACGTGGATGTTTAGACTACGAGTGGTACAGCTGTTTGAAGCGATACGACGCGATGCTCTGAGCCGTATCCTCGTCCTTGTCTTGTGTACTTGCAATACGTACTGTCTGCCTATCCTTAATTCTATTTTCTTGCCATGGGACGGACACTTGAAGCTGTTGGTGACGACGGGCACACATGTTCCTCTCCAAATTTAATTGGGTGAAGGCTGTGTTTTGCCAATGGCACAAAGGCTGACTGTATAATTGCACTGATTATTACTGGAGTCACTGGCATGGCAACGATGCTGCTAGGCGCACGCCTGAAAGTGAAGTCAGCGTGAAATCCCATTGTTGGCCAGTCAAAGGTTGGGTCTATTCCCGGATCTGAGGCGTACAAGTCGAGGAGGATTGAACGTACGTTGAACATCCGGATGACTTCTTACGCTACGAGTCGTGCTGCTGCTCCATCATATCATACACTAGACTCGATTTGCCGCGGAGCTTGATGTTTGCTCAAGACTCATGATACAGTCAGTTACACAATGGTGCGTTGAACACTAGCAAATCCGACAAACAGACGCATGAAGCCTGCAAGCCTGCAGTCTGACTGACGTGACAGAACTGACTGGTAATCGTCCGATGCCTTTGATGACGTAGCCTGTTGGCACACCTTGGCAACGCAAAGCAGGCTCGCAGCCATATCTTACAAGATGGATTGCGAGTAGTACTGGTACTGTGGCCGGAAAGTCAGACGAGCCTCGACAGAAGCGGCAAGAGCCGACATACCGAATCGTATAAACGCGTCCAGTTAGAACCCAGAGACGTCTCAATGAGCCTGTTCACATGCTCTTCTACAGAGGCCTGTGTCAAGCCTTGTTGGAATCGCTCCCGTAATTGTGCCGCAGTTTGCTCGCCAAGCGCGGCGAAGCAGGGCAAGGATGAGTCTGCGAACATTGCCCAGGTCAGTATCTGTACAACCGACTACATGGGCGGGTATTCTGACCTTTTTGCATCAGCTCAACCATATCTACAAGCGGAGATGTTACAAACCAGAGTTCACTAAAAGAGATGGAGAGTATACGCACTGACGATCCGGTCGCAATGCTTCCGTGCCGCATCAAAGCCGTCTTTGAATGACCGCTTGAACTCCATATACGGTCCGCTGTTGAGCCCGCCCAGCACCTCGATGTACTCGAGCGGAAGTTTGAACGGAGCGGCCTCGAAGCCGATGTTCCCTGGTGAGTTCGAGAGCATGAACCCGAAGTCGATATGGATGAGGTGGCCGTCACGGTCGAGGAGTATGTTCCCGTTGTGCCGGTCCTTGATCTGCAATAAATAGGTGACCAGGGAATAACCTGCAAACATCGTTGGATCGTATCGCGACGAGACAATGATGACGAACCAGCTAATGACTTTGCAAAATTGCGTTGTGCCCTTACGAACTTCGCTGACGAAGGGTCACCATACGTCTAGATAGATGTAAGCCGTGCATCCGCAAGGGCCTTCAAACACCGCTCTCACCGATCTGAAGTGATCAAACAGGCTGACATGTCCTAGCCGTCCCAATGTAAGCCTCCGTGCATACTCCGCCTTCTTGATCGAGTGTATCGACACAGCGTCAGTGATAGTCTCCACCAACCCTGACGTGCTACCGGTTATCAAGATACGGAAGCTAAGTTCGAAGTTCAGAGTGGCGTATGGAGGGACGAGACATGGAACATACTATCGCACCCAGCAGGGGCAGTTCTCCTCCTTCCATATCTTCTCGAATTCCTGAATGAGTTGAACCGCGAGCTGCTCTTGTCGCAAGTCACCGCCAGTCTTGACGATGACAGCGACACAGTCCCAATTGGCTGCAGAACAAGTGTTATTCGCAACATCCCAGCCGTGATAACTCTCACGTACCCAGATGTCCGTACGGTGAAGCCTGTCGTATCCGACTCTGCCAAAGACATCAGCGCCTGCTTCGACACTCCGACCATCCGCCATACCTTCTTCGCCGCCCAAGACTCACTAAACACCACAGCAGAAGGGTCTGCCTTACTCAACTCTCTTCTGATAATCCGCTCATCTTCCACGGACTTCACACTCTCCCCGTCGCCTATCTTCAACATGCTCTCCCCCACGCCGCCTTCTCGCATCCTCGCCATCCGCTCCTCCTCCAGCGCGAGCATCTCACTCATGATCCGCTCGCGGATCGCAGCTGCCTCGCTCGGTTGCAGCTTCATTGGCATCGGCGCGGGGGTCTGCGGTACCGGCGTCTGAACCTCTTCGCCGCTCCAGGAGGGGCCGGGCATGACGCTCAGGATGGGCGTGCTCGCGATCCACCGGAGGGGCGCGGTGAAGGTTGACGAGTCGAGGGAGGGCGTAGGGGGCACGGGGAGGGGCAGCGTGGACTCGCGGACCATACTTGCATTCAGCTGGGCAAGCATGACCGCCGCGGTGCGCATGCGCTCAGAGTATTCGTCCAGGGAGAGCATACGTGGGGATCCACTGGGGCTGATGTCGGCGGGAGGCTCAGGCAGGAGACCCAGTCCTAGCGCACGACGAGAAATACCGGATAGGCTGTGTGACGGGGTATGGTTGGATGTCGTCGGGGCAGTCTCGATCATGGGTGTCTGCGGCGTCGAGGACGAGCGGGACCAGGTGACAATATCGAGGTCTCTGTTCTTGGGAGTGGGCGGGAGCACGATGGACTCAGAGAGATCGACTTCCCTCGCACGGAGGGCATTGTTGGTGCCGTACAGCTGCTCGACTAGATCGACTTCTTCGTCGTCGTCGATGGTCCCAGGGCTCAGAGGAGAAATGGGGAAGGCAGAGATGGTGATTGCGGGGGTATTCCGGTAGTCCTCGGTGTCATTGCCGATGGACGCCTCTGGTGCGCTGTTGTCTGCGCCTGATGCCGTCCTTGAATGACGAGGGATGGGCACGCGTCCGGTGAAAGCATCCAAGTCTTTCGAGGAACCCTCCTTCTCGACTTCCTTCAGAACGATCTTCTTCAGGATCTCCTTGTTACCTCGCTTGGCGGGATCAAAGTCAAGGTCGTCATGGAGAATCTCAATGAGTAAGAGATATGGCGCGCGTTCTGCTGAGTTGAGCACCACGCTTTCTCCTGGTGGTATTCGAACGATACGATGATGCGGTTGTGGGATGCCGCGAGATCCTGTCGGGGTGTCTGATGAAGTGCACCACATGGGCATGCAGACCTGAAGGGTGACTGTGAGGAGAATGTCAGGGTATGAGCAGGGTATGAAATACCTCAGTGGGCAGCATGTGGTTCATGCCAGTCAACTCTGCCCTTAGCGCACTGATGCGAGCGGGTTTGGGCACGACGAGCAATCGGTTGCAGATGTTCTCGAGGGCAAGGATGAACTTCACCTGCGCAAACGGATATGCACAAGCTATGGCGCGCTAGAGTTAGACTCAACGAACCTCAGAACGACAGTAATGGCTGCGGAGGAGGTGGACTTGCGAGGGGAAGTCGTACTTCCCCACCAAGTCCGCCGCGTGAACGCTAAGTGTTTTGGTGCGTCGTCGACTGCTAGAAAGGGTCGGTGTTGACTGGAAGGGTGTCGTGGCGGTCGGAGGCATATCGTTGTCTTCTTGTTGACCAAACGGATCTTCCGAGAGCCTGTACGGACGAATACCTTTCAGGAGAGGCAGGGCAGGGCTCGTCTGTGCAGCAATAGTTTGTCGCCTGGACGGGTGGGAACTCTCCCTCGCGAGGAACCTCAGGTGTCCCGGCGCGGGGCGTGGAGCGGGGGCCATCTGGGGAGCTGGCTCAATGCCATCGTCCGAGTCCGAGTCCTGCGGCTCTTCCTTCTCGTCTGTCTGGTCTATTGACGGTTCTCGCGAGACACCGCGGACGACATCATCGTCAGCATTCTCGAGGCTCTTGACCCCTCGGCCTTCCTCATCTATTCGGCCCTGCTCTATGGCAACTTCACCCATGATTTGTGTTAGTGCTGGCATGGCTGGGATCCCGGCCCAGACCATGCCAATACCAACTACAGCGGGCTGCAAGTGAGGGCGTACTTTCGTCCGCAAGGGACCCAATTGCGTTGGCAAGCTAATGGACGAGTACGGTGCACTTGACTGGGGAATGTCGCCAAATATAAGTTCGTGGCATTGATGCAAAACTCTCTGGCAGATGAGGAATGCCTGAGGATTGGTTTGGGGGGATGCGAGGTCTCTCAAGTGTGCTTGCATGTACCATAGTGTCTGAGCGGGCCGTCAGGATATATGGACATGACAGCATCGAGACAGCACACCAGCATGGCAATATGGGTAGACTTGTGGCAAGTCTCGACAACGAAGCATTCCAATGCTCTTGACTTGGACGGTCTCGTCACTAGAAGGTGGCTGTTGCACGACAGGTAATACTGGTTAGTTGCACCTGGCAAACATGGCGGTGATTCTTGCGCTCACCATATGAAGCCCCATACTTCGCGCAATTCTCTGGTGTCTAGCTCCCGAAGTCTCCTTGTGAGGTAGTACGTGACGCCGATGTTGTCCGCATAGATCCTGAGATACTGGAGGGCGACGTGGACGCTGAAGAAGGAGGGGGAGAGGAAGAGGCGGAGGAGGAGGGCATGGGACATGGTCTAGGGAGCATAGGGACGGGCGACTGGCCGCATCCGAGTTCGCGACTCACACAGCTCGCGTCTGGCTCGACGCGCGCCCGGCGACATCCCCGTGACCGACATCGACACGTCGCGCGAGCCGCGAGCGCGTCGCAGCACACCGCTCCTCTCCCGCAGCCATGCTGCTGCCCCTCCTCGCTCTTTTATTCGCCCCCCTCTGCCTCGCGGCCTCGTTCCAGACAGACCACGCAAAACTCGTCCAGCTCGCCGCCTCAAGCAATGGCGTCATCAGGCTAGACGAGCATTCGTACAAGCTTCTCACGAACCCCAAGAGGACGTGGTCCGCGTCCGTCCAGTTCACTGCCCTCGACAAGAAACGGAGATGCGGGCCTTGCAAGTATGTAGGCGACAAGACTACTGGACGAGCGCACTGACCGCTATCCCCAGGGACTTCGACCCGAACTGGAACGCGGTCGCAAAGGCGTGGTCTACGGTGCCAGCTGCGGAGCGCGACAACCACTTCTTTGGAACAGTGGACTTTGACCATGCGATGAGCATCTTCCAGCAGGTACGCGATACGTTGTGTCATGCCTGTTGCATACTGAAGCATGTCCACAGCTCGGTCTGCAATCCGCGCCAGTTGTGCAAGTACTGCCTGCTGTCGAAGGCCCTCGCCGCCCGGCAAGTGGGAGGTCGAACCCCATCGCCCTTGACTTCTCCGGGTACGTAGCGCCGGTTGTTCTGCTACTTCCATTCTCATAGTGTACCTCATTAGGGGTTTTGATGCTGCGCCTCTCGCAGAGCAGCTCTCGCGCCACACACCCGTCCCTATACCGTACAAGGCACCCATTGACTACTCGCGCATCGCCAGCGGCCTATTCGTCCTCCTGTCCTTCGTCGCAGCCCTCCGCTTCATCTCGCCCATACTGAAGTCGCGCTGGACGTGGGCCGCGATCACAATCATCACGTCACTGATCATGACGTCTGGCTTCATGTTCGTGCGCATCCGTGGTATGCCGTACAATGGGCCGAACGGCCAGTGGATCGCAGGCGGGTACCAGACGCAGTTCGGCCAGGAGGTCCACGTCATTGCTATGATTTGTGAGCCCTAGCCAGTATCTACTATGTTGCGTACTTCTCACGGACAACTGGGCAGATGGCACGCTTGCAGGGGGTTTCCTGATGTTGACGTTGGTCGTTCCGAACCAGTTGTCTCCTTCGCGCCAGCGTATGCAGATTTACCTGTGGACCGGTGTCATCTTCGTGATGTACTCCGTGCTCGTCTCCATCTTCAAGGAGAAGAACAGGGGTGAGTGTCTCAGGATTTCTGTACTCGTATAGCGATTGACTGATCGTTCTTGCACAGGCTATCCGTTCAGACTGCTCTTGTAGGACTCCCAGTAGGTGCAGTGTACAAAAGCGTACTCGTATCGCAGCTTTCGCATGTCCAGATCCCGATACTTATTTCGTTGTCCATTCCGTTCGAACGCGTGAGACGTGAGACGACACAATATCTATTAAATCAAGAGTCCAGAACAATGCGACAGAGATGTATGAGCATGCAAAGATGAATAAAATGTGATCGATTTCCTCCTTCCAATCCTGCCTAACGCAGATCATTACGACTTTCTCTAACTGCCCTGCTGCTGGGCAAACACATCTACGTATCGACTCCTTGCTGGCCGCTTCGCTGCACCCCTCGACCGACTAGCAGGCGGCGGGCCCTGGCCAGGTAGCGTAGCCGACATGGGCGTCGGCGGTGCAGAGCTGTCGCTCTCTGGTGGGACGAGGTTCGAGCGAATGCGCATCGGGGGTTTGGGCATTCCATCGCCGGGGTCGGTCGTTGCAGGCCGCGCTGGGGGTGGTGGCGGCGGCGTTGTCCCCGACGGTAGCGCCCTCATGGAAGTACCTGGAGACGCTGTCTGCGCACGAGGAGGCGGCGGCGGTTGAGCGGGCTTCGTAGCCTCCGCGCCACCCTGAAACGGATGACGTGGCGTGTTAGTACTGCTGACGTGGCTCAAACGAATGCAAGTCCTCACAGTCTTGTTGACCCAACGCTTGAGCTCTTTGTCATAATAGAACGAGGTCTCTTGGCCTAGGTTGGCTCTGACAGGGGCCGGTGTCGACTCTCGCTTCCACAGGCGACTCAACCACCCGCCTGGGGACGCAGCTGGGAGAACATGAATGTTACTTTCTGTTCAGACAATAGATAGTTCAGCGGTGCCGACGTACCAGGTTTCTCCTCGGCCTTGGCAGAATTCGCCTCCTCTTTCGGCACTTCCTTCGAAGGCGCAGGTACAGACTCGCTAGTCTGCTCGCCCTCACTTGCTCGGCGTTTCGCGCGACTGAAGGAGTTGCCCAGGCCCAAGTCATCCTCATCCTCCTCCTCGATTGACGCACGAGGGTCGTCAGAGAACGACCTCTGCGCCTGATACGCCGTGGGCGTCGCAGAGTAATCATCCATCAGCGACATGAACTGGCCTGACGTCGCAGTCGGCACCGAAGACTCGTCGTTCTGCATGAAGGAGGACGCAGTCGGGGTCGCGGCACTAGCGTCTGATGCCCCCCACCATGATCCCAGGGCCGGCCCGTTTGATTGCGGTGAGTCGCCATCAGCGCTTTGATCGTCGTGCGTCCCGTATCCGTTCAAGCTCTGCTTGGAACTGCTTCCGAAGGCGTGCACGTTGAGTGCTTGGCTGTACAGCGACGCGTCTGCGAACGTTGTCGTCGCTGGGTTTGCAGACGCGACGCGGGGTACAGGGGAAGACTTGCGACTCAGCGAAGGCCGCGTGTAGTCCATGGCAGATGAGGCACGATTGATCTGCGGCGCAGCTGGCGCTCGCAGACCCATCGCTGAACCTGTCCGGAATGGAGGCGGTGAACCCGCAATTTGCGCGAGATTGACAGTTGATTGATGCGGTGACGGGACAGCTGAGCTCGTTGTTGAGGAGATCGTACTGTACTGAGAGAAGGGCCCGCTGAAAGGCTGTTGCGGTTGCCGATGTGTTTGCTGGTCAGGTCCGGGGGAGTCCTCTCCGGCAATGAACTTCGTCAGGCGGCCCCCGACCCAGCTGCCGATACCATCGAGACTGGGTTTCGATACCTTGGACGTTATCCACGATCCTGACTTGTCGAGGTGAGGAGCGGCTACGAGCCTATCGTTGAGACCCCTCAGCTGTTCGAGGAAGGTCGGATTGATGTACGGCGAGTTCTTGTTGAGACAGTTTGAAATAGCCTCACAGTACCTATCGCTAATGAGCAACGACCAGTTCTGCGACCCAATCGTACATACCTGTTTGCCAGCTGCATATGTCCCATCTCAGCGAGACTAGCGGCACGGATCAAGCGGTATGGCTGCAGATGGGGGAGACCTGCAAACGCATCCTGTCCCTTCGCAGGCGGCGTCAAGGACAGCGCAAACTCTGCGACCTCGGAGAAGATCAAGGGGTCCGGATTCTTGGCGAAGTTCATCGACACAGATGGGCTTGGACTTCCAAGGAGTACCATCCGACTTGAGCTACCTATCCCGCCCATGGGAGACGTCTGCGGAGACAACAAGTAGCTGGAAGGGATTAGGCACATCGAATCGCATTGGAGACCTATGGCTTACCATGCATGGGCGGCCTCGTACCAATGATTTGCGACTAACTGATCTCCGAGAGCAGTCAAGGCAGATGATGTCTCGAATGTGATCGGGCTTGAATAGATCATAGCCACTGTGTCCGCCCACTTGGCCAGCACATCCGACGGAATGTTCATGGGCTCAGATGGACCAGGGAAGCTAGCCGATACAGGTGTGATCGAGGACGTCGAAGGGAGAGGCACTTGAAGCGTTGATGCCGTTGGTGCAAAAGGCTTAGGTGTTAACAGCTCCTGGACTAAACACAAATGAGCCTCAGGTCTAATTCGAAGTCAATCCACTTACTCGACGCAGGTCCATGCCCCGCGAAGAGGCTATAAGCCACTCTCAGAGCTTCACGACCATCAGTCGCTGCCTTCGCCTGCGTGCCAGGCGCTTGAGGCTTACTCGCCAGTTCAGTCCTGACGAACTCGGTGACAACCTCCTTCCATGCGTCCTTGTCTATACTACTCGCGATGACCATCGCATGCGCCCACAGCTTCTGGTCCGATGCGTAGTGAGATGCCGCCCGCCGGTCCCCTCGCAGAAGGAATTCTTGGATCTTATCCAGATGTGAAGACTGGAGAGTATGGGTAGCAATGACCGCATCTGAGGGATCCTGAGAGGCGGTCAATGACAGGAACGGTGAAACAGCCGCTAGGTTCGGCGATTGCAGGTCACCACTCAACGAGGCAGCCAATTGCAAGGCATCGGAAGCCGGTTGCGCTGCTCGAGGGGTCAGGGCGCTGCGAACAGCTGCATCAACATGCGGACTACGAACGACCAGTCAGTGGAGGTCATAGTGCGCAGCATCTGGTCATGCCTACCTGCCAGACAATCGACCGTCGTTCTCGACCATGACTCTGAGCAACTTAACCAGGATATGTTTACCCTCAGCACGCCGTCCTTCCAAGCTGTCAGAGTGGAAGTATCCGAGACCACGATTGAGCTCCTCGGCCCTCTCCTCCAGGTACTTGACAATGCGTGCCTTTTTCGTCTTGGTCTGCGTGGAGGTAGCCGTGCGGACGAGGCTTGTCGTTGGCGTGCCAGGGTCCGAGAACAAGGGACCAGGGTACGAAGCAGCCGACGTGTCCAGAGCCGAATCCGGAATGACATTGTGCAGTGTGTGGAGCTTGACCTCGGACGATTGACGAGAGGCCAAGGCGACATCAAACCCACCTCCCTCAGAGGACCCATGGAAGCACGTCACGAGCTTTCCGCCGAAGCCAAAGCTGATGACGGGTACTCTGACAGACGTCCTTCCTAGTGGGTCGTTCGCCCCAACGAGCGACGGCGACGGCGCATACATTGTCTGGGCCGGATAAGGTACAGTGAGCACCTGTGCCGGACTGTCATGTACTGTAGATGCGTGGGAAGCATACGCATTGGTAGGAGCGGGCTCGAAGCTGCTATTCATGCTGTCGCTCGTCTGTTGTCGAGTGTGTCGTGAGGGAGTGTACGGATCCTCTAGTATTGCGGAGATAGACGACAACACGGAACCGTTCGACATGGAACGCATGCGGTTGTTCGCTGCCGGCGCGTAAGGGTCATATCCTCCGCTGACAACTGAGGAAGGCCTTGAGGGCATCGTCGAAGGGGAAACGGCCCTTCTGGCGTCCGGAATCGGCGGCGGGTCGTAGGCATTGGGAGATACTCGTGTAGGAGGAGAGGCTGCTCTTCTAGGGTCGGGAAGTGGTGCGCCATATGCGTTAGCGGGAATGTTGTGTGTAGAGTCAGTCGTAAGACTGCGAGGTGGTTTCGGCGGCGACTTAGGTAGCGAGCCTTGGTATGGCTTCTCGACCTGTTGCCTCTGAACGCTCTGCACAGAGCGCACGGACGCACTGCCAGGAGACTTCGTCCGTTCAGGTGCGCTGTGGGCTGGTGAATAGGCGCCTGCATAATCAGTAGGAGATGTCGTCGATCCATACAGCCGTGCGCTACCGGTCGTCCATGGAGAGGCCCCTCTTTGAGAGGGGGATGCTACTCGCGGGAGCTCGTATGGGCTTGGTCCATGGGAAACATGATTCCCATTCACCGTAGGGGGCGACGCCGAAGGACCGGAGGTGTGCCTTGGTACATACGGGTCGGGACCAGGCTCAACGCCAGCCAACTCTTCTTCGCTCGGCAAGACCGATGACACTGGTGTCTGGTGAGGAACTGCGGCGGGCAGAGATGGTGATCCTATTGGGTTGGGAGGGAACGGTGGAACGGTTGACCGTGGCATATCATCCCACTCGTGATGGGCGTGCGGAGGCGCATGTGGAGGCGCCACAGCCTGATTCGAGTAGCTCGTCTCGGGGTGAGCTGCATAATTACCTGTCGAGGCATATCCGTTTTGAGGCGCATGAGGCATGCCTTGGTGGTTCACGGACTGTTGCGGAGAAGCGTATCTCTGCACGGGGGGTGGATGATACAGCGACGGCACAGACGGACCATACGCATCACTCGAGGCAGAGGCTTGCTTTCTTGGAGGGCCTTGAGGCGGTGGAGTCACCTCCGCCTGCTGACCAGGAGGTGGTGAGCCAGGATATATGACATGGCTCGATATGCGCTTTGTTGTCTTAGGTGGGGGCAGCGGGGGATCATATGCATTCGATGTCTTCGGACGATAGGGTGCAGCCGCTGCAGCCGAAGGGGCAGGGGCAGGGGCAGGCACAGTGAACGACTGGTCCGAGCGAACCCCGGCGGACGTCAGACTGTAGGCATACGACGACTCCACCTTCGCGCTATAGGAAACCGCTTGGCTTGTGACCTGCGGGTGGTATGGGTCGCCTCCTGACTCGGCGGTTTGTGCAGGTTTGTAGGCATCGTACACAGACTGCGAGGACTTGTACGGGTCGTACAAGGGCTGTGCGGTCGACCCTGGCGTAGTCTGTGGGGCGTACGAGGTGGAGACAGGCTGGGTTACTGGCTTGTAAGGATCATACGCGGTCGAAGTGTTCGAAGTCGAAGCGGTCTGTACGGACAATGTCGCAGCGCCATACGGTGTGTAAGGGTTATGCGCAGAAGTATTGTGCGCGTACGTCTGAGGAGACGTGTCATACGCTGACAAACTTTGGTTCAGCTAACTCCCGCCAGCAGATAGAACAAAACACACCAGTAGTGCCGTATGCCTGAGACGGCTGTACGTAGCCATTGGCCGGTTGATATGCACCATACAAGCCATTCTCCTGGTAGTTCTGACCTTGATATTGACGCGAGTAGTCCGCGCTGGTCGCGACCTGGGTTGAGCCCCCACTAGCTTCGTAGCCGTGCGTGGCCTGTGCAGCGCCATAGGCAGCATACTGGTCGGAAGTCGTGCCATTCAACGTGCCTGCCGCACTGAAGAAGTCCACGCTATCCGCGTTGCCGTTGAACAATTCAGAGGCAACGGAAGAGTCCTGTGCATGAGACGTCTCTCCACCACTCCCCGTATGCTGACCAGATGCGTCCTGAATGTCGCCCCCCAGTGCCGCTGCGAAAGGATCTGTGGCAGGGTCTGTTCCACCGAATAGAGACGCCGCCTCGCCTGCACTGGAGTCCATGATGAAAGCAGACAGTGAGTGGGAGAGGCAGTGAGCCTGGTTGGCGGGTGGGACGAGCTCGTAATTGGCGCTGAGTATGTAGAACACGTATATTTAGTCGTCTCGCCGGCACGCGAGCGCCTACGCGACCATGACCTAGAGCCGCAGCGTCGGTCACGCCGTACGACTCATACACTGTACGTACAGTATGTACATGAATTCCGCGCGCAACTGGCAGAGAATTCCCACTCGCACCCTCAGCCTCCTCATGCGGTATTATAATTTGCTTTATTCCACCATTAGCAGAGAACAACTGCGCGAATATACATAGTATGTAGCACCCGGGTAACGAATGTGTCCGAAGACGAGAGAAATACTAGTCTGCGGGAGTAGGTACTAAAAGATGCGCGATATACGATATAGCAACGGCGAGGAGCGATGTAGAGCTATGTCAGTCTAAATATGCACGGATGAAAGAGAGGATGCGATTATGTCGGCGTCTGGAGCAGTACGAGAGAGAGTGCTAAAAGGATATGTAGGGTATCAATCATGCAAGCGATTATACCAGAATATGTGACGGCTTCCGATCCAGTGACTATAGTCCCATGTACGATAATTACTTGCTGGATGAAGGTATCGCGGTGGCTTGAGCGTCTTTGAAAGACTCTTCCTTCGGTGTACTGTCTCCTACATTGTCAGAAGCACACTTCTCAAGGAGGCGCTCGACTAGTTGCAAGTAAGCACAAGGTCATTCAGTGGTGAGTACTCCGAACTCACTAGACGTTAGATGCTTACTGAAGGTGCTCGAATATCTCCTCATGTTCATGAGCTGTGGCCTGATATTGGCAATCAGGGCCTCCTTTTGTTCGCCTTCGACGACAGTCAGAGCTCGCTGGAGGACATAATCTATGGTACGTTATTCGGCAGTGAGCATGGTCCAGTGCGAGACGTGATATAACTACGCACTGGCATACTGGTCTTTCATCATCGCCAGTACAGGACTCAGTCCATCCGGACGCGGTGCCATCAGCTCGTCGATCAACAGCCTCCGGCTCTCAGAGTCCGCTGTGACAAGAACCTTCTCGCACACGTTGGAGGCGAACTTGTGCCGAGCCATATGTAGCATCTGTCCCCGAAGCTTGGAAACCACGACCGCGCGATCCTGCGGCTTCCCGTGCTCAAGCACAAATTGAACGACGTAGTTCTATGCAACCACATTAGCCAATGCCACAGAAGCTTGATGCAAGAACCGCTGAGTAACGTATACATACCCCGAACTGATCCTGCATCAGCTGCGTGACGTGCTTATGCAGTTCGTCCATCAACGGGCGAATATGGTCATCCTGAAGGTGCTCGAAGCATCTCTGAAGAACGCGGCAGCCGTACGGATGGGTCGCGAGCTCATACACGAAGCCTCTAAACGCGCTGACGAAGGTCAGGCGCTCAGGAGACACAAGCTCGATCAGCTTTTGGATGACCTGGGCAATGTGAACGTGAGCGGACGAAACCGGCCACAGCTTTGACGGCTTACATGGTTACCGTTGGCGTCCCTCACACAGCGCAAAACCTGACCCTCGAGTTCCTGCACGAAGGTACTCTGCTGGTCCGGCGTAACATACTCCACTGCCTGTGAAACGCATAAGCCTGACCAGTCCGCAACGATGAGGAGGGCAAGATACAGACCTTCTGGACAACACGACAGCCGTACATCTGTAACGACAGAGGCAGGACGTGGCCCTCCATGGTCTTCGCCAACAGTGTCCGCTGAGTCTGTGTACCATGCTCAAACAGCTTCTGAACGACCTGCGTACATAGATAGCTCAGAGCTAATCGGTGGGTGCACGGCTCTCGCGACCTACATAGTTGCCGAAGACGTCTTGAATAAGCTGCAACGCATGTAGCGGCACAATCTCGTCGAAGATTCTTTGTTTCTCTTCGCCGCTCGCTGTTTCAACCTTCTGCTGGATGAACCGTGATCCGTGCTGATCGCCACTGAACTCAACGATGTAGCCGTAAATGTCCTATAGTTTTCACGTTAAACACTCGGCAGATGGCTGTATCAGTGCATAGCGACGTACCTTGAGCTCCCACTTGCGACTCTTGTTCGCTCGGAACTCATCCAAAAGCGGGCTACGGATGGCAACGCGGTGGTCTGGTGCGACATGACCCCGTCGGCCACCTCGGCCACCGTGATGGAACTGGTGCATCTGTGGATGATGACCCATGCCAGGGGGGCCGTACACTGTCCCAGCGGGGACCATAACCGAAGGCTGGGAACCATATTCCCCAGGTGTGTGATACGCTTGGGGATGCGGCGAGGGCGTCGAGCGTACATTGGCGTACATTAGACCATGCGGAGCGAGCTGTTGTGGGGTGTACTGTTGGGGGGAGAGGTGAGCAGAACCGACCAAGAATTACGTAGCAGCAACAAACTATATCTCACTTGGATATCACGCTTCTTGTCGAGCAGCGGCGAATGCGTGGGAGGAGCATGGTAGACCATGGGCTGTGTTGGGTAGTAATATTGAGAGCCCATGGGTCGAGGGGAAGCGGCATAGTCGTAGAAAATTCCCGATTGGTGGTTGTGAATGTCGGGCACAGCATGGGGATGGAGGGACTGGGGCGTAAGACCAGGATACACGTTGGGAGCTGTTGGCGCGGCAGTGAGGGCAGGAGATGGCGCGTACAAGGTTTCGGACGTTGGGCGATAGGCATCGTATGAATACTGATAATCGACAGGCGCGGAAGGACCACTGTAGTAAGCGGAATAGTCTGTCTGTGGGAAGCCACTGTAAGGCGCTCGTTGTTGGACTTGTGGCGGAGCTCGTAAATGATGAGGGGACGGGTGCTGTCCGAACTGGCCACCCAAGGGTGAGGGCAAAGGAGCGAGCCCCTGCTGAGCTTGCTGCTGAAGCGCGCCGCTGTCATCCGCGGCGACCATGCCCCGGAAGGCCATGGACAAATCCTCTTCTACAAATGAGGAAGTCTCAAGAGACGCAGCATAGGGTTCCCCTTGACCTTCAGTTTGGACGAGCGGCTGCTGAGTTGAATAAGGCGAAGGCACGCCGTAGGCAGGCCGCGCCGAGGATGACGACGGGTACCGTGATGGGACGGTTGGGTCACGACCGAGGCCGCTACCGAACCTTTGCGGGGAATAATGACCCCGTTTCTGCGCAGAGCCTGCCACTGTCCCCAACGACGCGCCGTGGGGGTTTGCTACGTGTCTCTGGCGAGACGAGTGTAAAGGCAGAGAAGAATGGCCCTCCTTTGGTGGAAGCGCATGTGAGACAGCAGCCAACCTGATTATCTAGCGCAGTCAGCTTACCAGAGTTCCCTCTTTCTGTGAGTTCTCGACTACTTCGTCCCACGTTCCACTGGTAGACCTCGAGCCCCATGCATCTCCAAGGCTAGAACGGTAAGAATCCGTCTGAGACGTAGATGGGTCGTGTGCACTGCCCGACGACGACGTCGAGACGTTGCGCACTCCAGAGGGATTATTACCCCAGACCTGATAGCTAGCTTTAATGAAAGCACTCAAACATTGTTCGTGACACGTACCTGCCAGCCTGAGCTGAGTACCTTCAGTCCATTGGAAGCCCCCATCCCGGCGTTGAGTATACTTGCAGACGCTGCCGGCTTGCGCTGTGTGTGTGCCTGTAACATGAGACCGCTCAGTACAGCCATGAGTGGCAGAAGAAAGCGGCGTACGTGGCTTGGTGGACTCGACGGTGAATGTCCCCCAGAACGTGATGACGAGGCAGAAGGTTTTGGCCCAGTGGGATCAGGATTGGCGGCCATTGGAGTGCCTCTATGTATGGGATGAGCAACCAAGTAAAGAGCGAGGAAATCTGCTCTTACAAGGAGGTGCGAAAGGCGGACACGCTTCAGACGTGCTCTTCCGATCCGACAACTCAACGCCGACTCCGATAATGGAAAACACCGGAATAATGGAAGCAATATTAAAGCGACAAAGAAGTGACGAAATGGTCGGCGACACGGTCACGGGAGGAAAAGGAAGCAACTCGGGTGTACGTCGCGGAGTGCGTTCGTTCGCGTACGGGCGACGCGTCTCAACGTGCCGCTCACTCACCAGGCTGGCTGCCGGTATAGCAGGACGCGTCGAGATAGCAAACCTGCCTGGTAGTCCCAGCCAAAGTGGACTGGATGGGGACGAGAGGGTGAGGGCGACGTAGATTGAGGGCGCACCGCGGTCCTGGAGAACCAGGGATGGGATCTGCGGTCAATATTTGATTCCGCTGAAACCGCAGACCATTTTGGCCGGGCGGGCTGTCGGGCTTCATCAACCCTATGCCACGTGTCGCGCCTCCGTCGCCCCAAATGCCGCCGGACGGGTAAAACGAAACTCGGTGGAGGAAGACCAGAAGGCGCTGTGCTGCCCGACGTGGCAACGCCCGATCTCTGCTGCATATGCTTCCATCAGATCACCGAGCGACCCTGACGGCGAACTCTCGGTAAATACGCCGGCCACCCGCAGTCCGGCACCCGCCTGCGACGTGCAGGCTGGCCAGCAGCTGTGTCCAACAAAGCCATGAGCACAGGGAACGAGCAACAGCAAGATTTGGCATACCGCCACAGGCGCGTGTGCGGACGCGCCAGCCCGAGCGCGTCACGGCGAGACACCGACAGGCAAGCGACGTCGGGCTCAGGCGCGTCATTTCGACCAGCCTCAGGGTGGAAAATGAAATGAAAATTTTGGCGAGAGAATAGAGTTTGCGCTCTCCGCGGGCCGGTTGTCAAATCCAGATGCATTACTAACAGACGATAGATGCGATGCAAAACGTACAACCACTCTGTATGATGGGTATGCGGTAACATAAAGGAATGGAAAGCAGTCAGTAAAAGGCACACGAATCACCGTGAGTTGAAGAACCACGATGCCCGCTTGGCTGAAGGCAAACCTGCTTGTGAGCAAAACAGCACCCCGAACGACGTTACCAATATACATACCTCCGGTACTAAAGCAATATTTGGTTGGCACATCAGAAGCCTGTCGGACCCTAGTGATTTAATTGGCGAACTCACCCTGACTCCTCGTTCTGCAGCCTTGCCAAGGGATTGGCGTTGGCCCCGGCCAACGGCGGACTTGCGCTTGCAATGGCTGCACTGGCGGCGGCGGAGCCTCCGCCACCCCGCAAAGGCTTCGCGATACGACCGAAACTGAGCGTAGACGAGGTGGCCTTCTGGGCTAAACGGAAGTGCAGCCACGTCAGACCGAGATTACGCAAAAGAATAGTCCGATCATACCGCGCGCTTGATCGAGCCTCTCCTTCACTGCCGCTAATTGAGCCTCGAACTTCTGGTTCTGAACCGCGAGCCTGCGATCTGCGTCCTGGAGAAGCGCTTCAAGATTCTGTATCCGCTCGTTTCGGGCAAGAAGCTTGCGCTCCGCGATCCCCGCCTCCTTCTTGAGCGCGGAGTTCTGGTCGACAAGCTGCGAGAAGAAGGGGTTTGTGAGCGGGTGAACCCTAGGGCCCCGTTGAAACAGGTGCGAACCTGCTTCTGAACCACGGTCAACTGCTCGAGGTTCCTCTCCAGGAACGCCATCTTCTTCTGCTGCGCTTTGCTATTGCTGTTGCGGATGACATTGTTGTATTGCTCCTTGATCTCATCAAGCTGGATCTCCAGCTCAACCACCTAGTCGGAGCACGTGATTAGTGTTGCCTTGTTGATCAGGGACCGCGGGGATTCGTACCTTCTCGCAGCGATTCTGCAAATCTCTCATGAGCGACTTCTTGACACCGTCGAATTCGGCCAGTTGGACGCTGATTGCCTTTCTTGTGCGTTCGAGATCCTGAGCGCTCTCAGCGAGGTTCTTGCCACCTTCGATGCCCGCAGATGTAACAGCGAAGGCACGCTACAACACCCACCGTGTCAGCGAACAGCAACACAGAGAGCGACTCTAGAGAGACCTTGAGCTCTTCGTTGACACTCTTGAGGCTGTCGATAGTAGCATTGAGAGTGCGAACTTCGCTGGTGCGGATCTCGAGCTGTTGCCTGAGGTCTTGGACTTCGCTGGCGTGCGCATCGCGCTTGGCGACGTATTGAGCCTCAAGCTTGTTCTGTTGTAACGTGTCAGACTCATCAAATCACGAATCAGATGGCAGTCAATACCTTGAGCTCGGACATGGACTCCGCCACATCGACGTTGCTGACCTCCTCATCGTGAATTGTCTTTTCTGTAAACGCATTACGAGTGAGAAAGGGCGGCACCAACTCAGTTTCAAGCATCACTGACCGAGAAGTTCTTCGTACTCCGCCTCAAGAGCAGAGATACGAGCCTCGAGCTCATCACGCCTACGCGAGTTCATTTCATTCTCCTCCTGGCTCTGCCTGAGGCGGTCGATCGTCTCACGAATGAGCGACTGTCCGTCCGCCAGCTGCCGCCTGACGGTGACGATGTCATCGTACGACAAAGCGGACAAGCCAGTGTCGGAGTCAATAGTGTCGAGCTTCGCCAGAATCTGACGGAGCTGCTCGTCCTTCTCGGAGAACGTTCCTTGCTATATATGGCAGTCAATACTGTGATGTACGACTGCAAACAACAGATGCACCCACAGTGTCAAACTTTGCCATCATCAGGGCCATCTTCTCCTGCTTGCGCTTCTCTCTGTCTTCTGCAGAAGCATCCTTCTGCGAAGCCTTGAGCTCCAGGATGGTCTTCTTGAGCTCATCCAGCTCCGCTTTCGTGTCCTGGTTCTGCTCTTTGAGAATGTCAATAGTGATGACGCTCTCCTTATTGTCGTAGTCGAGGCGCTCCACTTGCAGACGGAACTCGTTGAGCTGTCCGGACATCGTCTTGTTCTCCTGCAGGCGAACAAGCGGCGTCAGCAAGGAATGCATCACAAGTCTATAAGTGGGTTACGTACCTTCGACAGAGAAGCCTCCTGCTCCTTGAGGAACGTAAGCTCCTCCTTGAGCTCCCCAACGAGCTTCTGAGCCGCAATGAGAGCAAACTCCTTCTCGGCGAGCTGGTCACTGAGCTCGTTCTCCCGCTTCAAGAACTCTTCACGCTCGTCCTTGTCCAGACCAACGACGGTCGGCGTCTGTGGCCTACTATCCAGTTCGCGCAGCCCCTCGATAGCTGGGTTCACTGGCGTCATGCTGCGTGCCGATGACGGCGTCGGCGACGTCGGAGTCTTCTTCGGCGGAGCGGCGGTGGCATCCGCCTTCTCGGATGAGGCCCAGTCTGCCTGCGCGACGGTACCTCCTGCGCGCCAGATGGCGAGCTCGGCCTCGAGAGCAGCGATGTACTTCTGGTAAGAACTGTTGGCAGCGTTGGCCTTCGTGAGGAGCGCCTTGAGCTCGAGTGGCGATAGCTCGGCATTGACACGAGCGGTATTCTTGATGGACTTAGCACGGATACCGAAACGAAGGGTAGACAGGGTCTCTGCCTCGTTGTAGGCCGATGGAGAGCAGTTGATGATGAGAGTCGTCCGTGAGTTACCACCGAGCGACTCTTGTAGGATACGGGTGAGTTTAGAGTCGCGGTAGGGAACGTGCTTCGCCTAAAGGGAGGTTACATCAGTGATGAAGCGCAAGGCCAGTTTGTTCACAAAATACCTTCGAGTCAGTGAGCGCGTTGATGACCATACCGAGAGCCGAGAGCGACTTGTTGATCTTCTTGGCTTCCTCAAGGGTTTGGCCGGAAGCACCCGTCTTTCCCACCTTCTCCGAACCAGCCAAATCGACCAAGTACAAGTTACCAGTCTTCTGAGCACCTGTTTCTGTGTTCCTTTGGCGAATGGTGACCAAGAAGATGGAATGTGACCGAGAACTCTCGGCGTTCATGTCTGACCACTAACTCAGCTACACCCGTCGTGGGAGTAAGCATTATGGTCACTCACTTGTTGACGAGACTACTCGGGCAGCACCACCTTGTCGCATGACCTCGTAGACTTCGCGGGCACTGCTGACGTAGTAGTCGGTAAGGTTCTTGACATAAACACCCTTTGACTTCTCCTCGTGTATTTGGAGGTTGTCGTTTTGCGCTGGAAGTCGCGTCTATGACCGTCACAGGCCCGAACAAATGAACAACACGCACGCGCAAGGAGATCACGAATCCTCTCTAGGTAGATCTCCATGTACGACACCTTCACGACATACTCAAGGTGGGAGTCGGACTCGACGATGGATTGGAAGATTTGCTCCGTGATTCGGGGAATGAGACCCTTCAGGTCCTGGGAGTCGATGTCCGCACCCTGAACGAACTATGGTGAGCTTCAAAAGCTATATGATCAACTACTGGAACGCACCATCATGGTAAACGTCTTTCCACTACCCGTCTGACCGTATGCAAACACGGTGCCATTGTAACCATCCAAAACATCTGGGTGCAGAAATGAGTCCAATTGAGCACGAACAATTGCGAAGGACTTCGTCGAAGCCACAGATGCGCGGTAGATGCGCGTAGAGTGGTCCCAAGACACGTACCCTTGACAATGCTGTACCAACGGTTAGTATCTATAAACGCAACCAACGAGCTTCACACTCACTCCTTGACACCGTAATCGAACACTTCGTGTTGCTGGGTGCCGGGAGGAAAGACCCTGTCGAACGTGAAGCCATCCTTCTCCGGACCAGAGCTCAGCTGCGCTGATCGCAATTGCACCGACTGAAGGTTTTCACTGAAGGACACGACGATATCTCCGCCTTCCCGAAGCTCGAGAGAATTGGGTGGTCGAAAACTACACAAGGATCACGACATTAGATGTAGAGCTGCAAGCACGCCCGCAGTACAACAGAGCCGTACCGACAGACGACCTTGATGTTCGTGGAAGACATTCTAACAGGGCTACAGGCGTACAGAGACTCTAGCTTTGGCTATCTTGCCGTAATGGATGCCAGAGGTATTGGACCACGCTGGCAAGGCGCGTCCTCTATGAGAACGGAGAAGGAGAGTGAGGGATGGCGGTAAGCACCAGCCCGCGGCTCAAGAGCAGCAGCACACGCGCGTCGGCGTCTATATTTGTCCCTGTTGTCAAGCTCGGAGTCGCGTTTACCGCGTCCATCCGGGGCGCGTTACATCGTCCCACGATTCCTCATTCTGGGTCTCTTCACCAGCAGACTTATGATATAGAGCAATCCGAGACCGGCGAAAACGGCTGGGATTCTCAATGAAGCTGTTAATCCATGATGATACAGAGTGAATGTCCGAGTGTCTATAGAGCTACAGAGTGGCGCAAGGATAAAGGAGCTGACAAAACCGACTTTTACTCGTTGTCACTGCCGAAGTTCACAGCTGGGGCACTTCGACTTGATCCCACTGTCGGGCGACGGTTGGTCAACGTCTCTTTCTCTGCAGCGTCGGCGGCATCGATCCACTCCGAGTAGATGTCAATAGGTTCAGTAAGGTCTGCAAACGCCGATCAGCGACATCAACATCGGTAATTGTGCACACGACGTACGGTTGACTTTGCTTTGGTAGCGCTGATCGCAGACTTTGCAGAAGAGTTGCGCAACGCCCTCTTTCCGGTCAAGCCTCACTGTGACCGACTTGTCATGGTGGCAGAACAGACATGTGAATTGAGTCTCTTCCGCCAGTATCAGTATGCTGCTCACAGAATGAGACACGATGTCGACTTACCCAAAGGCTCCTTCCTGCGGGGACCAGTTGGTTTGCGCGACGACTTTTTGCGCTTACCCATGAGCGCAAGTGACAAGATCGACCACCAGCAACGTAATATGAAGCCACAGCTAAGTGACCAAAGAAGCAGGTGGTTCGCACGGATGCTCGCACACGTGACTGGACGCGGGCAGCGAGCGCGTCGTGTTGAACTCCGTCGCGGCGTCGCCGGACACTACTTTCCCGCCACACCCGCCCACCATGGCCTCACGCCGCGCGCCGTCTACGCGCAGCCGGAGCGTTATCAGCACTATGCTTCCTCCCGCATCTACCAGACCACGATCCGTAATGGCAAAGTCTAACTCTTCCCAACGATCCAGGGTCGCCAGTCCTGCCGAAGACCATGATCATGAGCCGCCCGCACCTGCGCCCAAATCCTCCAAATCGCACGCAAGTACCTCTGCCCAGGACGAAACAGAAACCAACATTCAGGTAGTCATTCGGTGTCGCCGCCGCTCTGAACGCGAGATGGAGGAGAACTCGCCCATTATTGTCACTACGAACGGCCCCAAAGGCAAAGATATCACGATTGAAACCGCTGCCCCCGTGTCAAGCCTCGGAGTTGTCACTCTCCCTCCGACAAGAACGTATCCCTTCGACACCGTCTTTGGGCCCGAAGCCGACCAAGCGTTGGTGTACCATGAAGTTGTTAGCCCAATGTTGGACGAGGTGCTCATGGGCTATAATTGTACCTTGTTCGCATATGGGCAGACCGGTACAGGAAAGACGTACGCCGTGACCTCATATGAACCTTCTGTTGACCGATCAATGTATCTGTAGCTTCACCATGCAAGGCGATCTATCCACCACGCCGATGGGAAATCCCTCACCACAAGCGGGCATGATTCCGCGAGTCCTCTTCCGTCTGTTCCATCACCTCGAGTCCTCCGGATCGGATTACAGCGTGAAGATATCATTTATCGAGCTCTATAACGAAGAACTTCGTGACCTACTGGCCCCCGAACTCGCTGCGCCCGTCGGTTCGACGCAGCCCATGGGAATGGGCGCCCAGAAAGACAACTCGGGACAGGGCAACCTCAAGATTTTTGACGACGCGAGCAAGAAAGGTGTCTTCATCCAGGGCCTCGAAGATGCCTGTGTCAAGGACGCCGCGGATGCACTCGCGTTACTGACCAAGGGCAGTCAGCGGAGGCAGATCGCAGCTACGAAGTTCAACGACCATTCCAGTCGTTCACACTCGGTGTTCTCCATCACGGTACACACGAAGGAGACATCTTCAATGGGCGACGATCTGCTCAAGGTCGGGAAGCTGAATCTCGTCGACTTGGCAGGTTCAGAGAACATCGGGCGATCTGGCGCAGAGAACAAACGAGCTCGCGAGGCAGGTATGATCAATCAGAGCTTGCTCACGCTTGGGCGAGTCATCAATGCTCTTGTGGACCGATCCACGCATGTGCCCTACCGGTGTGTATCATTCTCTGCCGGAGAAAAGCCTGCTGACGAACGCATACACGTAGCGAATCCAAATTGACCCGACTACTACAGGACTCCCTCGGAGGCCGCACCAAGACTTGTATCATCGCTACCATCTCTCCTGCACGATCCAACATGGAAGAGACCCTCTCGACACTCGATTATGCTATCCGCGCGAAGTCCATCCGTAACCGCCCTGAGGTCAACCAACGGATGACACGTAACTCCTTGCTCAAGGAGTACGTTGCTGAGATTGAGCGTCTCAAAGCGGATGTTCTCGCCGCGCGCGAGAAGAACGGCATCTTCTTCGCGGAGGAGCGGTGGAACCAGATGATGGCGGAGCAGGAGCTGCGTGACACCGAGATGCAGGAAGCGCGCAAACAGGTCGAGGTGGTCGAGAGCCAGCTCCGGAACGTCCGCGATGAGTTCGAGCAGAGTATCGCCCTGCTGATGAAGAGGGACGGTGAGCTGAAGGAGACGCGGGAGAAGCTCCAGGCTACTGAGGGCGAGTTGGAGGTGAAGGAGACGCAGTTGAAGGTCGTCAAGGGTGCGTTGGAGGAGGAAGTTGTGGTTCGGCAAGCGCACCAGGCCACGGAAGGCAGGCTCGACGACGTTGCTACAGGTATGAAGAAAGTTGCTCAAGAGAGCTTGAGCGACCTCGGATGCCTGCACAACAAGCTCGGTAAGCTGCTCTGCTACGACATGCAGACGAATCCGCTCACGCTTATTCAGAGCGTAAGACGACTGTCATGAACTCGAACACGAAGGCTGTCTCCTCAAACAGCAAGATCCTTACGATGCAAGCGCAGGCACTGTCGACGAAACTTGACGCATTCATGAAGACGTCTACCACGCACGTCCAAAGGCTACGCTCCGGGTCCGAAGAATTCCAGACGAAAGAGCGCGAGGCACTGGCCGCGATCTCTCAACGGATCAACGAGCAGCTAGAGAAGGTCCGGGAAGCGCTCCAGACTATCCACGCTCGCGAAGAAGCGTCTGGCAGCGCAGTGGAGACAATCCAGAGTGCTATCCAGGAGACGCAGGAAAGCGTGAAGAAGGGTTTTACGGCATGGACGGAGGATCTGCGTCAGCAATGCGAGGCAATGTGTCAAGAAGCTGAGGCGTCCAGTATGGCGAGCTGTGCTAGCGTATGTAAACAGGCCCTTTTCATGATCATTACTGATGGACATATATGCAGGTAGAGACAGCGTTCAAAGCGTTGGGCAACGTCACTGACACCGTTCTCCGAGAGGCGCAGACCTACGTTGCGTCGGAGCGCAAGTTGCTGCAGGAGGCCAAAACCCTGGCCGCCAACACCACAAACGCAGAAATCCTCCGGCTACAGCAACAAAACGCCCTGCTCACACGACTGCTTGAGGCCGAGAAGACCAAGGCAGATCGCGCGAAGGACGATATGTTGAAGCGTATCTCTGGGCTTCTGGGCGACTTCACCGCTGAGCGTGACCGTAGCCTGAGAGAGGCGTTCTCGGCAATGACGGAGAGCAATGCATCTGCTGAGCAAGAGATGGTGCAGCTGGGCCAGGAGCATGGCAAGCGTCTGGAGGATGTCGTTGGCCGTGGCAAGCAGTGGAGCCTGGACTTGGAGAAGCGAGGAGCAGAAGGCAAGAGGACAAGAGACGGCGGCATCAAGGTAGGCTATGTCCTGATGTGGAATGGAGATCATATGGCTCACATTCTCTCAGACCATCAATGCTGCTCGTACCGTCATCCGCAGCGGCTTCTCCGACGTACAAAGTTCAGTATTAAGCTCCACCTCTCTGTATACTGAGAGCTTGAAGCGCCAGACGCATGAGTTGGGCACGACTTGCAACGAAGGTTCGTCAGCTAGCGTCTTGTGATGCACATTGTGATTGACGTGCGACCTGAAGCATTCGATCGCGTGTCTCGGGCCAAGAGGGCGAGAATCGAAGCCACCGACTCATTAGCTGCTGATGCGCAGTCGACATACCGCTATGTCCAACGTGGCATCTCGTCGACATCGCGGAACATTGAGGCCTCGACGAGTCGGATAGCAGGGGAAAGCTCTGGTCTATCTACTGCAACCGATACCTACGGTTCGGCTGCTAGTGGACACCTAGCAACTCTCCGACAAGCCACTCAGTCCCTCATCCAGGACGGGATGCGGGAAGACATGCCCACTGGAGCGACTCCACGGAAACGGAGTTGGGACTATGAAGACCAGTGGGAGCTCACGAAGAGCAGGGACGCACTGCTGAAGGAGTGGAGGAGGAGAGGGCACTCTCAAGCCAAGAGCGAGACGTTCCTCGCGGAACACCTGCCCTTGCCTGACGGCGAGGAGCCAGAGGGAGAATCGGAAGATGAAATGGTCGTCGACTCCGGAACTCCCGAGGAGGTGGTAGAGGAGAGCATCACGCCGCCCGCTGAAGACCTTCCTGGACCACCACCACAAGTGAAATCCCTCTCGTCTTCAGCATCCTCGGCATCCTCTTCGATACCCCCGCCTGTTGCTGGACTCAAGAAGCCGACGCAGGGAGTTTTCAGTAAGTCAGGGCTCCCACCTGTGGGAACGTTGACTGAACGGTCGACAAACGTGATAGTGGCAAGAGGATCTCGCAGGACTCAGCGATGATGTCCTATGTATAGCATAGATTCACCCTACACCTGTGTATTCTTTCCCATAACCTTATTACTCTGTATCGTATGTCCGGATGCCACGCTTTCAGTCACTCTGGATTGCAGCCTGCAGGGAGCTGAAGGCTAGGGCCCAAGGCGGCCCATGGCGAACTCTGAACAAGGACTCGGACGCGATATTGTGGGCGCCAGTGTGTCTTGCTTACGTCAGTGACCGTCCTCGGGCGCGGTGCTAGCAGGGCCTGCGGAACGACCCCCTCAGTTGACTTACCCTCACCCTCTGTATCACCATGGCCCAGGCAGGCATCAAGAGTACGTACCACAATACAATGGGCTCTGAGACGCGCTCACTTCGTAGTGTCTTGTAGCCGTGATTCTCCTATCCTTCGTGCTTGCCGTCGGGTTCCTGCTCATCATCCTCTCGTGCGCGCTTTGGGCGAACTGGCTTCCTCTACTTGTCGGTCAGTGGTTGCTATGTATACGTCTCGTGCTATACTGAAGGCAATCGATATAGCATTGACATTTGTACTCGCACCCCTACCCAACGCGTTGTCGGCGAGCTGCGGAGGTGACGAGTTCTCCGCGGATTATGATGGTCCAGGACGCGGCGACCTAGCTCGCTTTATCACCTCGACTATCGTCGTAACCGGGTTCGCCTTCCCTCTCATCCTCGCCCACGCAGACGTGATCCGCCCGGGAGCATGCGCCATGTCGATCATTGGGGGAGGGTACGTCGCGTCGCGTCTCGTTCTTATGAACATCCTCCAGCTCATACATTCTCCTAGATTGGTATATGGTACTATTCTAGCATACAGCGCTGCGTTCAGACAGGAAGACTCCGAGTATGACTAAATGTCCGGTCCACCTCTTGCTACCGCCTCGGGTCGCAGTACATAAGGACGTTGTAAGCCCTCCTGTACACTATCCTACACTGCCCTGTCTCCTTGACCCATGTGGTACACTGCCTGGTACACACAGCAACCGGAGATGTCCCGCCATTGGTATGTCACAGGCCTCCGACGGCACATCGTAAGCGTTCATGCACATTCAAAAGTGGGATGAAGTGCGTGTTATGAGAAGTCGGCCTCAACCACGGCCCTCAGATCTCCACGACCTACAGGACTCGTGGTGTCGGAGACATTGAGTGCGCGAATCTCTGCAGATACGTCGAACCGTCCACGAGACAGGAATGCGACCGGCAGCTCCGTCTCGTACGATTCCCCCGGTGCCAAGCGCCCCATGGGGATGCCTGTCAGAACTCCTTGGTATATAGTATGCTGCGCAGGCTCCAAGGCAAGGTTGGCGACGAGTACTAGTTCTGCGGCTACAAGGGAGTCAGTGATGTATGAGAGAACAGTGCAGTGGCTACTCACGCGCAAGATTCGTCACCTTCGTCCTCATGTAGACGAACTCGTTTGGCGGAGGAAGGTACTTTGATCCTGATGGGTCCACGTCTACAGGCATCGCAACTTCGTCCTCGTAGCGAACGAGCGACATCTGCACCCTTGCCGTTTCTGTGCGCAGTGCCTCAAGCATTGGCTGCGTCATACGTTGTTGCCGTAATGACAGCTCGCCCGAACGCATACCACCGGTCTAGACCAGCGTAAGCTTCAGCAACGGACTGTGGACGATCCCACTCACCTCTCGCCATCGTCCTTGTACCGTCTTGAAGAGCTCTTCACGGTACCAGAACAGCTCACGCTGAGCTTTCTCCTCAGCAGAGGAAAGATTGGACTTCACGACGACGAACTGCCTGTCCGACAGCGTAGGTATCGGTTTTGATGTCTGTTCCTCAGTGAGGAGGATTTTCCTAATTGGGAGTACGATACTACAGAGCGATCAGTATCACACTCAATGACCTGCTTGAGGGCACGTACCGCGTCGTTGAGCCAGGTGGTACGAGGACAGTCGTTGTCATATGGGCTGTGGTCATGGCACGGTGATTATGCATTCCTGCCCGTAAGCTGTGTTGGCACTCACTCGGTTCACTCCGCTCGAACGTCACCTCAAAGGGCGACCCGTACGTATTCCGCACATCGACAGAGAAAAGGCACCAGTCCGCCACATCCTCAACATCAAAAAGTGCTCTCCGAGCCTTGCCGGCCGGTGAGTCGTCGTCCTCTTCGGTTGTCGATGCAAATGCGGTGATCCGAGAATATGGAGAGATGTCCATGGAATGGCACTCCAGCATGTGGTAGACAGTCACAACGACTGGGTATGAGAGCTGTCTTGTGTGGAAGACGTCTGGCGGTTTCTCCTTCAGCGTCTCGTGATGCCGGTTGATATACGCGTACGAGACATGAATGGCACCACTCGTACTGAACGCATACGCAAGTTAGAATCACGTTCGTGATTTTCAGCAACATCAACCACACTCACCATCCCACCTTACCGAAGCACTTGACGGCCACGCTGGCCTTCTCGCCAGGGTCAACCCGAGAAGCCTCCCGCCCAGCATCCCATGTGAATACAGGTCTGTGGATGAGATCATACTCCGTCTCGTATGTCTCGAAGACGGACAACTCCCCCTCGGCGAGAATTTGTTGGGCTGGAGCAATTGTTGAGTCGTCGAACGTGATGCGGACGAAGTCAATGGTGAGGGACGAGACGTTCTCCAGGGTGAGACGAATCGTTGACCTGGGCACAACGTCACCTCAAGAACGGATGTTTAACAGATATGATCGACTGACGTTTCGCCGTTGTACAACATCACCGCTGCATGTGTGAGTGATGTCCGTCTTATTCGCAGCAGAGGCTGCTCCGGGACGACCTTACACTCCAAGAAACGGAGAGGCTGCTTCTTGGAAACTTGTTTGCTGTCCCGTTTGCTCATCCTTTTCCAAGGACGGGACTCGAGCCCTGCGTATTTCGCCCGACCGACCTCGGACTCGATGGCGCTGCGTCGACGTGACCGCGTCTCCTCTTCCTCCTCAGTCGACAGAGGGAGGATATATTCCCGGGGAAGGCCTCCGGGTGCTTGGACAACACACCCTCTGATTGTCAGGGTGCCGGGTTCAGCTGCTTTGCCAGTCATCGTTACTGGATGGTAGGTGTTTGCTGGAATGGTGATGGGCATTGCCTCCGACTCGATGCGCACGCCAGAGGTACTGTCAAAGGAGTTGAGTCACGGCGGACGGACGAAATCAGACAGAAGCATACCTGAGAGCAAGGCTCTCTAGCTGTAAGTCAAATACGAATGGGTTCCTGAGAGTCATCACAACCTCGAATCTCTCATTCTGCACCAGAATACTTTGCGTCTGGGCAGAGATAGAGGTGAGTCACGCTGGGTAGAACGCAAATAAATCACATTAGCTACCTGTCCTGACGCAACTTTGCGCGGGTTGTAGAGAAAGGGGTCCTTGACGCCTGTGAGGATGGTATCGACGCCAGACTGGTCATTCGCCTTGGCGAGGAGCGACAACGGCTTCTCGATGGGTAGGCGGATGAGAGGTAGTCTGATCGACATTGGTTCAGCCAGTGACCTCACGATTAGACGGTCCGACATACGACAGCACTTCAATACTGACGATGGGCTTGCCAGCCCAATATTCCACCGTCCGCCTGTCTCCTCTTCGAATTGCCGTCGTCAGCGCCCGCGTCGCAGTATGGTACAGATGGACTTGGTCGCTGTGACTCATGACCGGATGCAGTGACTTGAGAGAAGACAACGAGAACTGGGCCACGGAGGGGTAGTCTGTGACAAGGTCTCAACAACAGCCGGAATTCCTGATAACGCGACCGACCTGGCAGAGCCTCAGCGACGGCGATGGCTTCCCGGATGATACCAATCTGCAGCTCGGGCCACCCGAAGGGATCTTGAGGCGAGTCATCCAAGTCTTCCTCCTCAGCGTCATCAGCAGCGTCGCCGTTGGATGTCGCCGCAATAGCACCGATGTCTACGAGCTTGACGCTCTCGATGTCGACGCCATGGACCCTACAAATGTGCTTGATGATCCGTAGCATGCTCTCGTTCCCCTCCAATCTTGGATTCTCTCGCACCCCGACGGTCCCGGCTGTAGTAGAAGCGTTGCCCACGGGTGCTCCTCGAATCCCAAGCCCGGCCCCGTTCGGACGCGCCCCGCCGCTCTCTTCTCGGCCGCATACAATGAGATCCATGATGGAACCCAGCAGCTCTCGAAGGATATAAGCCTCTTTGCGAAGATAGCCTAGGGCACCAAACATGCCCGCGACTGTCTGCAATATACCTATGCGTTCTCGAGCAGCGAGGTGGAGCAGCCAGGGGCCGTGTACCTGGGAGAGTGTTGTCGCGATCTGTGTGCGAGTGATCCCAGTGATGGTAGTGAGGCGTTCCAGTTCAGCGTAAGATGCCTTCGTACGACCGTTCACCACGGTTATGGTGACACCGTTATGATCTGTACTTGATGATGCTGTACTGGAAGGCAAGTAGGGAGTTGTTCCGGGCTGAATCAATTTCCCGAAGGCGTGAGGGCCCCACCCCTTAGCAGACCACACAGCGAAGAGTAGAGATGTATGCCGGATGACAGATTGCGAATAAAGATAAGCCAGCAGAGGATATGTCCGTTCGTGTTCGGAGTTAGGCGTACTCTTGTGGTAGAGAGCAGTCGCCTGGGTGAGCTTGTCTACAATGTCCTGCCACGGTTCCTTTTCGTCTGCGCCGTTTGCCTGCGCGACACAATCAACGTCGATTACAAAATCCATGAGAATCAGCAATCAACCAACCGTTGCACTGCCAGATGACCAGGCTTCAATGACGGGGATGGTAGCCAGTCCCTCCAGAGCCGCTGCATGCCAGGATGTGTCGTGGGGTGACCCCTTGAAGAGGGCAATCGCTTCCGAATACCTGTGAAATGGGGCATAGGTGTTCCAATACCGTTAACCATTCATGTCCATTGTGACCCACCATATTTGTGAGTCCGCATGCCTTCCTGCGAGTAAAAACAAGTCTGCAAGCACCTTGAAGAGCCTCCCGTGCGACGAAGCCGCTCCAAGTAGGTTGGGACGCTTCTTCGCCGTCACTGGAGTAGTGGGCAGACTCGCAGTCCGGCTTGGGACGAGCCCGGGGCCAGTAGACATTCGCTTCGAAGCTGCAGGTGTCTTGGATCTTGCGGAGCCATTTGTGCTCAGATCCGGCTGACTGTTATACGACGGCAACGGAGGTAGAGAGTCTCGTTGGGGTATCTCTGGGTCTAGGGACCGCGGCATTTCTGACGCTGACGGAAGGGAGGGAAACAAGGAAGCGTTGAGATATTCATTCCCAAGCGGACTCTCTAGTGATTGCATCTGTCGCAATTGCATGAGCGGCATATGAAGCGGAATAACTGTACTGACCACTGTTGCAAAGTCCCCGAGGATATGGGAGCACAACCCAGCAAGTAACGTACTGATATGCACATGCTTGTTGGCCATCATGCTTGGGATGACTACAAGGCCTGGGAATTTATCTCCAAGATCCAGGTTCGCGTCGTGTTCCTCGAAGACGAAGCAGTTCTGAGAAACTGGGAAGGCTGCCTTGTGCAGCGACATATCCTTAACAGCAGACTTGAACGATGCCTGGATTGTGGGTAAAGAGTCGGCATGCGAGCATGAGGCAATACCAACAAGACCCAGTGGGAAGTCTGACGGCCGAAATAAAGCGAGGGCATTGTGGGCCGCAGCAGGAGGATGGGATTGGTAACTCAGGTGAACATGGCCGCTAGCGAGAGGGCTCGGCATGAACCGCGCTACGAGTGTACGCTTGAGCAATGGGCACAATTTAGCGATAGCCCCGAGAAATGTGCACCTCTTTCATCCTTCGACTCCGCCGGTATATCACCAAGAGGTATACTTTCAATGCTTCTGACTTCCGATGCCCACTGGTCAAAAGTCGACCGGCGAATGTTACCAACAGGCAGAAGGATTATTCGTACGTGCGCGAGAGACGCGAATGCAGGCGGGTCCATGGGAAGATTGCGAGATGTGGATCGACGTAAGTTAGCAGCGGACCGGATGGTAGCGTGTGGTCCGGGGTTCAGGCCTTCAGGTGAGGTCCGCCAGAGCGTGCGATGCAATCGAGGCCTTGTGAGGTCGTTGGTTGGTACGGTCCGTAGAGATTCAGGCCACAAGGTAGTCGTCGAGGATCGCGAGGAGGATGAAGACCATATGCTTGCAGCTAAGGAAAGCTGGGACACTGCATAGAGCTGAGTTCTCGACGGTGGCTTGGATCGCGACGCCAGTGAGCAGACGCGTATAACGCCCACGTGACCCATCCCGACCCAATAGATTACTCGCATGCCAGCTTGCAGTTCAGTACGACCACCGCGCCGGATGCTCTCGCACGACAACCTCAGAGAGGTAGCCCAATTCTCATTCAACTCTGATTATCTCTTTGGGCAACCCTTTCGATTCTCGTATACCGTTCAATCCGACCTAGATATGCTAGTATAAGAGGAAACTTCTGGGAAACTTGAATCTTACAGGCCCGATCAGTGCGGCGTGCTCTCAACTCCCGTGAAACCGTAGCTGTAGTTTTATCATATGCGATTCAACGACTGCTGGTAAGCATATCTTCAAGGTTGTGTGTATTTAGACATATTGACCTTCGAGTTCCGCAGGCTATGAACGACAGAGCTAAAGGAGGGGCAATGCTCTTCGCTTCCGCAACCATATTCATTTATTACACAATTTGGACACTCCTGCTAGTGAGTCTCCTGCGCGCAGTAGCAGCTCATGGAGGCCTCATTGCACTGTATCACAGCCCTTCTTCGACGTTTCCAGCCCCGTTCATGATTATTTCCCTTCACGAGAATGGGCTGTTCGCATACCAGCTGTTATCCTGGTTGTTGGCCTATCAGCTATATCTCTATTCCTGGGCCTGGCCACGATCAAGGAACAACAGCGGTGAAGTGTTCCACGCATACCGTGGTGTCCGCTCGCTCGCATTATGATAGCATGTGTAATTTAGAATATACCATACAGTCTACACAGACCCGCCATGCGTTCCACACGGCTCCTTCCGCTTCCCTTAACTCACTATTCGCCGCCCTCTCTCTGGAGCTGTATCTTGCCGGTGAGCAGCAAACAACTTTTCCTCTGCACGGAGCTCTGTAACCACCTGATTGACGAAGAACTCGAATGGCAGATTAGGAGGTGGTTCACTCATGCTTCGCGCGACGCGCATGAGCTGTTGCCACAGTTAATGATCCTGTCTGTGCGATGAAAGAAGTAGTAAAGCTAACCTTGGATTCGCCTCGCATGACACCTCGGAGCCGCTCCAGTATAGTGAGCTCTGACGATGCGTCAAGGACAACCGAGCGCGACTGGCGCAAGAATAGTAAGAGGTCGGCGATGGAAGCCCACAGGGTGGATGCTATAGGCTGTAAAGACATTAAGGGTGGCATATTCGCAATAAGAATGTTGCTTACAGTGCCGCTGCCCGCGTGAACTTCAGCTTCTAGAGCGCTCATCGCTCTCTCGAATGGAGGCCATAGTTCATTCCAGATCATCTTCGACGTGAGTAATGTCTCGGTTCCTGTATAGTCTTCCTCTCGTAGACTGCCAATGGCTTCAACAGACCGTTGCTTCTGGACCTCGACGTGTCCGGCAAGCAGGAGCCACAGTTTGATAGAGGCATATGCACCGCTGACATCAGTGTGGGCGGGACTCTGCTGCAGTGCTTGGTACGGCATTGCGACGCGCTGAAACCCGGCTAGTGCACTGCAATAGGCAGATACGAAGGTGGTGAAGAGGTCCAGGACTAGAGATGCTGATCTTTGGTGTCGACTCTGTAGAGCTGCCAAAATCAGGATGTTCCAGGATCGAAGAGTTGCTGTCCGTTGCTAAGTGGCGTGTCAGTACGACGACTCTGCCTTCTGTGGCAGTACTTACCCAGAGCCTTATTGCGCCAGTCTGATATTGGGCGATGTCGACCAACAGATTGGCTGCTGCGAGCAAGGCATCGAAAGTGAACAACGTAACATTGTCACGCTCTAGCTGGCTGTCGTGGCACAAGAACGATAACGTGTCCACACTGAGCTTGTTGATCTGTTCGTTGGTGAGAACAGCAGCCTTTGGATTGCTTGAGCCTACTGCGATCGTAGCGGACATCGCCTGATGTGTTGTGCGTCAGTGTCACCGAGCACGGATGTTTCGTTATTAATACCTCGAATGACGATGCAAGAGTAGCCCCCGTCGCACGGGCTCTCATGTTGACACCATCTGAGATCGTTTCCAATAAGACGAGCAGGATGGGGTTGACGAGTAGTACATCAGTGCCTTGTACGGCCCTTCGGTACAGCTGAGAGGTAACCTCAACAACACGCGTCAGGCTTGTCGCCGAGATAACGCAGCGGGTGAGAGTCGCTCGCAAGAGGGTTTCTAAGTACCCCAATAGATCCTGAAGGCCTCACAGTGAGTTCGGTCCAGTGCGTGGTAGAGACATGACTTACCCGGCTCTGAGCCTTATGGTGTTGAATGAGAGTACAGGCGAGGACGATGAGGGGGCTGGGATTGACGGTACCTTGAGGCCATTCTGCGGCTCGACGCGCAACGCCGGTGAGCCAGATGCCAACAGCTGAGTGTAGAGTTCAGTAGGGAAACGAGACTCCGCAGAATAGTACCAGTTACCTTGCAACATTTCCGTACTATACCCTGTGTTATGCACAACATCCACGTACGTGTACACGTTATCCACGACGCTTTGGAATGATTCCGGGTCGTTATCGAGGGATCTGGTCATTGTGTCACGCAGCAGTTTGTCCATGAGCTCCATCTGAATCGCAACACCACGAGATGCCTTCCCAACGGGAGTTAGAGCATGTCGCAGAGAGGCGAACGCGTCCGCTGACAGTGACCTCTTCGCTGACATGTTAGTGCTGTTAAGACATGGTGGTATGACAATTCAACTCACCTTGAACAGAGCGTTCATGATCCCTCCCGAAGCGAAGCTGGGTGACATATATCAGGGACAACAACCATGAGACGAAGGGTAATATCACACATCGATAAGACTGCAACCAAGAACGTCTTGCTCTGCTCGACCAGTACATCATCCGCATTTTGTTCATGATGGAGGTTCGTCATCAGTCTCAATACTGACTCGATAGCTTCGCTATTCTGCACTCAGAAGATAATCAAACATCTCATGTATCAACACTCACATCGGAAAGTTCCCTGCCATTGTCGACCACCTCTTGATGAAGATTTGAGAAATGGACAAGGCGAGCTGGCGGAGCTCGTGATTGTTCTCCTCAAGTGCCAGGTCCAATGTTCGGCGCACGGCTTTACGAAGGTTGGCTTGCAAGTGCCGGAGCGGCCGGCTGTCGAAGTCATGTTTGTATAGAACGATGATAAGGGACTTGAGAACGTTCTTGAAGGTGATGAACGGGAGCGCCGCTATGTCTTCGGTTGATACGCAGAGTTCAATGAGCACGTCCACGAAGATCGACCCGATGAGCAACGACGAGGTCGTCTCATCCTCAAAGTAGGGTCCACCAATCATCGAGGGCGCTACGTCGTATGATTGCGCGGAGTCCAGCACCAGCATCAGGTCATTGAGGCATATCAGCGCAGAGTCGGGGATCGAGCCCAGATCATAGAAGCGAACATGGAATCCACGCCCGTTCGGAGTGGGGACTAATGAGACCATCTGGTAGCCGAGTACTCGAACAAGCTGGTCCTTGACCTTCAACAGTGACGTCCGATCGATCGGTATCCCGCTGGAGAGCATTCGTAGAGCCAGTGAAAGCAAAGAAACCTACGGGCAATAGTATGAACAAACCATGCGAGGAGTAGGCGTGATACGACTTACTTTCAGTCGGCCAACATCGGGGTCAATACGTGCACGATTATCGGATGGTCCTTCAGAAGACAGTCCGTACATAGCCTGGGTACAAGCGGTAAGAATCAGTAGATCGCGAATAGAGACTATGCACACCAAATGATCCGCAGCCAATTCATCGTTGTCCCGTTGCATGAATTCGTTCTCGATCAAGGTCTCCGTCAACACTCCCCAAGGCAAGACTGACCACAGTTCAGAGATGCACTCTTGTTACACAGGTTATCAGGCACACTCACATTGCCACGTAGGAAAATGCGAATGAAGCTGGTTCAAAAATGAGACCAGCTGTGCACGATCCGAGATTGGCGACGTTGCTAGTACATCCTGCCAACATAGGGCTATGGCACCAAAGTGGGCTTGCAACAATGTATGACACCACGTATTCACAGCTGTCCTGACCTCTTCCTAGTGGTGACGTGAGAAGACTGAACAGTCTGAGGTATCACGCACGTACTCTATCATCCGCCCATAAGCAACCGAAGAAATGATAGAAAATTGTCGCAACGCTCGTTCGCCACTGTCGTCCTTCAACGTTGAAAGCCGGATTAGTGACGTCAAGGATTACGCGGAAACAATGATGGGCGGCCTGCAGTCTTCAAGCATACACATGAGCTTTAGATTTGCAAGGAGTTGTCAACATCATACCGTGTTTCCCATGGACTGTCGACGGAGAAGGCGCTATCGAGTAGGGCATGCAGAGGGTTTGAATCCACGACGAGGATACGTAGGAGGAGGGCTGGTCTTGTTAATGAAAGATCCGGCCGCTGAACGGCGTAAAATCGCCAGGCGCTAGGATAGCTGTGAGTCAACGGATGAGCGGATTCTTCGTCAGACTGACCAAGCAGACAGGACATTCCCATTTTGCAGGATGAAATTGTCGACCTCAAAGGACTCGATGAAAGGTGCGTCATTCACGAATGCGTTCAGGAACTTGGCTGCCAGGCAAGCAATATCGTCGATGTTCGTCTCCACATACTTGTTCAGTATGTCCATGAACGATGTGCTGATGACAACGGTATCTGTCATCGTCATGTTCCTCGCATGCAGTTTTCGCCTATTCATCAACATGAACCTAGACATCGAAAGTGGAAAGAACGTAAACTGACCTTGACGGCAACCCAGCGATTTCTGCTTCGTCTACGAATCCTAGATCGACCACATTTTTCCTTTCACAGCCATACAAGAGTAGGCAAATGGCCAACGAGTGCCTAAGAAACGTGATTCTAGAGCGTATACACTGTGAGCGATCTAGAGAGCCCGACGATACAAAGCCTCAATGCTCACATGTCACTGACATTGTCTCTTGCGCGGAGAGCACCAATGACCTGCTCCGCGAGTTGTGCATGGACTCTGGTAACCACCGTTTGAAGTTCCTGCCGTCCTACAGACCTCAGCCATGTAGACCACAAGACAGCTTTGATCAACAGAGAGCAATCCGCCAGGTCAGCATTGAATCGCGAGGCAAGGCCTGCCAGCTGGATGAAAGTTTGCACGGAGATGTCCACTCCGGAGCGCACGCAGAGACACAACCAATGGGTGGTTTCTCGTAATCCTTCTTGACTCGCTGTCGCTGTCTCCACGAGAACACGCAGTGCGCTACTTGCAGCAAGATCGGATGCATCTGCTACCGATCTTCTTGGCTCGACGACACTGCTGAAGCGTTGCGCCGTTTCTACTTCCCTGTTGAACAGTCGTGCAAGAGACGGCAAGGGCTACCCGTTCTCCTCATAAGAATGCGTATATCCCAAGAGACTCATGCTCATACCTCGAGATTCAGAGTCAGTGAAAGCGCTCTTCTTAACCACATCTTGAATAGGTCGTCGAAGGCCGTGAACACGACAGAGCCGTGGTTCAGTTTGACGATCATGCCAAGTAGTTTGTCCGCCGCGGAATGTTGGCGCTTCTGGAGCCATGTGAGCTCACAATAAATGGGACTCAATAGTAGCTCGTACCATTTGCCGATCATCAGCCTCTTTCCCAAGGAAGTACTCGTCCACCACGTCTCCGTCCTCAGCGATATCCAGGAGCACGTCGTATAACATTGTCGCGTAGCTGTCCACGTTCAGGTCGTGAAGTGCTAGCAGCCATGCTGCCGCATGCTTCTCGAGTAGCGTCCGGCGCGCAGCGACGTAGTCTCCACCGTTGGTGGAACTGGTCGTCGTGGGACGTGTTTGGGATTGAGAAGGCCATGTCGGCATCTCGGACCCTGCGCGCACACCGGGCAGACTGCGTCCCTTCGCGACATAGTCACGCAGCATGATGGCGAGATTATGATCCTTGAGAGGGGTTAGAGATCACTTTGTCTTCTGCACGGAGAGCACATTGACCACTCACTTCCGAAACCACCCATGAGATTACGGCGGCACATAATCTCCGCAAGGCATAGTCAGTCATGAAGCCATCCGGCCAGAACCGTCGCACAAGGAGTAGCAAGCCACCTTCGCTCACGGATAGGTCGAGGTCTGAGAGACAGGCTTCAACGGCGGAGACAAGCGTTTCCAAATCCGGGGAAGCCTCGAGACCCACAGGGAGTGGTGAGGTGCACAGTGCATCCCGATGATCGAATGTGTCGTCGAAGACCACAGGCTGGTTATCGACCCTCTGGAAGAATCCTAGATGCGCTAGGTGGACCAGGGCATACTTGGCCGCCGGCTCAGCGTACAAGTGCAGCTGGCCACCTAGTTGATCTCGGATGTGGGCTAGAGGGAATATCTCGTATGAGGAAGAGGAGGGATCGGCCGTAGTACCCGCCAACATGTCTGCCCGGTCGACTGCCAGGAAGTTAGAGGCATTCGGTGCTGTCGGGGTCGCTTCTACAACAGGGGCTTTGATTACGCTTGTCATCAAAGCAAGAACACGCCACTCGAAGAGAAGCGACACCTCGGAGGCCTGGAGTCCATTCTCTAGCAAGTGGTCTGCGAGGACCGTGGAAACTGGTAGCTGATTCGATGCCAGGTAGTTTTCGTATAGGGAGACCGTATGGTGTAGCTCGAATTCGTGAATAGGAGATTCTGTGGTTGGGGACGTGGGCTGGCCGTCCTTCGACACGACGAGGGATCCGAGGGCAACACCGTGCTGAAGAATGTTGAGCTGCAGCCAAAGAACACCATGGTATACCGAGACTTCTTCGTAGGTCTTCCGCGCAAGCTCGTCTTCATCCAGGATCAGATCGTGATAGTGGTCGTTGAACGACCTGCACAGCAAGGACCATTCGATTGTCACGGAGGTGTCATCGACCGCTACCGACCGACAGCGAGGAAGGGAGTCGGAGGCCCGCTCTAAGCAGGATGCATGAGCGTACTGTTTGCACGATATACATCGCAGCCCTTGCATGACGCAGCCCCAGAGCGGTTGGCGGCACAGCAAGCACAGTGTAAGGCTGAACATATTGACGGGGCGAAAAGTATGCTGCCCTTTGGTCACAGCAGCATTCTGCGCCTCGCGTCTGTGAGGCGCGATGTGACAGAAGCGGTAGACGGCAATCCTCTGTCTGTCGCCTTCGTCAGCCACCGAGTATTGTGAGAACTGGCTCCCGTCCGGATAGTCATAGCAGTCGAAGTGGACGGAGGTCATGCAGAACGGGCAGAGGAGACCAAATCCAGTGACAGTCCTGCCACACGCATTGCAGTCACCCCGCGAGACGCCTTCAAATAGTGCGGGCAGCCTCTGCACGTCGAAACGCCAAGGAACGAATTGGTGCGCATGTGGATTCTCTTGCACTCTGCGACCGTACACAGTACCTTGGGTAGCACGATTCGCGGATGCGGAGTATGAGATCAGAGGAAACGCTCTGGCAATCGCCAGGTGACCGAATGACCTTGGCCAGTATGAGGATAGGAGCGACAGCGCGGAGTACCTCGCTCTGGGCGTGTGGTAAGCAATGACTGAAAGGACATCCAAGTAGACGTCTGGTTTGGCTTCGATGATCCTGCCGAATAGACGGTGAAATCGGTAGATGACCGGCAGCTGTGAGGTGCCTGTATTCTCGACCTTCTCGAGGATGGCAGCAAGTAACGCAGGGATGAAAGACGAGAGTTGGTATATTGCGAGATCCTGCCCTGGAGCAGAAGTTGGCCGAGTTCCAACACCTGCAGCAGCAGAAGAATTGGACCACCGTCGCCAAGCCGAATCAGGATCGGGGGCAGGGCTACCGTCGTCTGCTTGCTCGACCATGATAGAGACCATAGGTGGCTCGTCTTGGTCAGAACTCCCGAACGTGGTACCTGGACAGTGACACGGTGAGTAATGCATGCAAACTTCACAGACAAAGGCATTTACTTGCTGATAGGGTGCTGGTGGAGTTTCGCAGCCGATTCAAATCATCAATCATGGGACCTATCAAGCCTTCCTCGAAGAAAGCCAGGAGACGTGCATGCATAACTGAGTCGAAGGTATGGAACGCAGGGATGGTGGCGAACGCGACCTGCGACAATACGCTAGGATCATGTCGGTGTGAATGAATAAGGAATTGCGCCACGTCCAGGGTCACAGACTGCAGAGCATTTGGTGGTCTAGAGGGTCGAGGCGAAGCTGTCCGGAAACGACAGTCCTCAGCGACAACAGATGCCAATGTCGCGATACACTGGGACAAGAGGTGCGTTGGGCTTCGCGAGCCCATAGCGCTTGTAGCGGAAGTACGCGAGCCATTGGAAGACCTCCGCCCGACGCTGCGCCTATTGCGCATAGAGTCCCTGGTTTTGGTGTTCGGATCGAGCATGGCACTACCTTGATACTCTCAGTACAACGTGATTCAGGAAACGAGCGGGCTAAGCATGCCTGTCATTCAATATATCCCACTTCTGCAAGGCGGATATGATCAAAACATCCTTGAGCTGGCTCATCAAGTCGAACGTGATGTCGGTCGTGAATACGGCGTCGTCCTCCAAGTCGCTATCGCTGTCGTCCGCCTGCATGCCCTTCATAGCCTTCGCCTCGGACTTGGTACGCCTGTGTTTGACGGCAGTTTTGACAGTCTGAACCACTGCGCCGAAGCCCTTCTCCGCCTGCGCAACGACGTTCTGGGTCACCTGCAAACTCGACGGAGGCAGGGGCCTGTTCTGCAACTGTGACAAGAGGTGCGCGAGTAGCTTCCGAGACTCATTGCGGGCTTTGCTGCTTCCCGGTGCCTCTATATGCTTCTCGCCAAGTTCAATAGGAAATTTCTCGACAGTCGGAGAGACGGAGATGCGTAGAGCTGGAAGGACAGATTGGGACAGGCTGTGAGCGCGGTTTCCTGCGGTGTCTAGGCCGGGGGAGAAGGGAATGCGGTCTCTACTTGCGTCGGCAACGCTTGTATCGACTCGAAGTATAGGTGTGGTCATGGTCGGAGTGAGACTAGGAGCATTTCAGGATTGGAGAGAACGCAGCAAGCTATGCCCTGAGGATCAAGCGTTCAAGTAGGTCGCTCAAGCGATGGTTCAATAGACGCCCATAAGTGACGACGCGACGCGTCCCAACGCATGATCGATCTGAGTCCGGACGCGTCGTGCAGCAGCTCAGTCAACTGGGTCCCACTCTCATCTCCTTTCCTTGCTCCGCATACATCTATCTCTACGCGTCGCGAAACGTGAGACGCAGTACCATGCCGAAGAGAGGTGCCACGCGTACTCAGAAAAGACACCAGGACACGCTCGTCGCCTTCTTCGGAAGTCGTGCCAGTGGAAGCCGTCAATCAGGCAGAGGACGCGGGTCCAGTCCGCCGAATGGGGAGCTCGACGAGGATAGCAGCCAGAGCAGCGACGTCGGAGCAATACGTTTCGAAGCTGCACATACTTCCACAGAGGAGGACGATCCGAAGAGCTCCCCGCGACGTCCTGTGAAGAAGCGCAGATTGAGGAAGCAGAGAGCTGACAGCGACGAAGATGACGAGACGCGGAAATCGAGCGAGGAGGAGACGGGTGTGCCTCCGACCCGGAAGCGTAGTAACAAGGCTGCCGGGAAGCGGAAGGAAGTTGTGGTCTTGGATGATGAGGACGAGGAGGTGCAGCCTCGCAAACGAAAGCTGGTGAGAGGCCAGCGACCACCTTCTCCAGAGGAAGATGAAGAAGACTTACTGAACGAGGTCGATGAAAATAGTAAGTGAGGACGAGCAGCGTGGCCTTACATCCACGAGACGCTGATTCTTCGGCCAGGGATAATCGAAACCCGCCTGCGCTCTCGTGATAAAAAGTCTGCTTTTCAAAAGAACTTGGAGAGGCTCAAACGTGAGTCAATTGACCAGCTCAATTGTCGTAGCTGTCTACATATTATTACAGGTAAGAAGCGGGGACAGTCCTTGGCTTCTGCGTCCGAGGACGAGGACGAGGACGAGCTCGATGGCGCGCCATTCGCTGTTGCAAGACCTAGCAAATACAACGGTGGAGACACTACGGAAGACGAGGTTGAAGACGCGGAAAAGGATGGCGCATTTATTGTCGAGGACGACAATGCCGTTGCGCCAGAACTTCCTGCCGAGTTCAGCATGAACACCTACCAAGACTTGCTACATCACTTCAAAATAATTTGCCAATTCTTCGTCCACCTTGCTGTACAAGAACCAGATGATAGAGAGTCTGTCAGACTGGACCTCGTCAAAAGTACGTGCTCCTCCTTCTCCCTGGCGTTCATGGCAGATGCTGAATGGGGCACCTGTCAGACCAATACTTCTCTGTACCCCTCCAAATCACTAGGCGCAAACTCGTGGGCATGCGAGACTCGCTTGTTACGTCGTCAGTCTGGCGGACAGACTACAAAAAGTCATTGGAGACATATCCAGACCTCGAAATATACCAGCTGGACTTCGCCGACCCAGGTTGCGACGCTTGTCACCTCGGCTCCCGAATGTCTACTCGAGTGGGTAGATTGAGTGGGTTGGCCTACGAACCTGATACTTTCGAGGTTCGTGGTAGTTGTGCTTTGGCGATCAAATTGTCCCTCACGGTTGACTCCCACCCACAATTAGTCATTCGAGGAGCAGGAAGATTCCGAAGACGAGGACCAAGGGCATGGTCACCGTCAGAAGAAGGAGTTCAACCTTGGTCGCTTCTGTGCGGCGAGGACGCGGGTCTTTCACAGATTCTCGCATTGGGAGGTCAGTACGACTAATTGCCTCCGCTCTGTATGTGGTTGCTCATCTGTATCCAGTATGCTCTATTCAAGGTACTGCATCAGGAAGTAGATGAGTTGCGCAATGGCGCCGGTTCTCGTGGCTTCGTTCGCGTCGCCTTTGCACGGGGCGTTGAACCTCCAGATGATCTCTCTGACGCCGACGGGATAATGGACTGGCTCGATCAACGAGGCGTCATCAACATCGAATGGCAAAAGCTGAAGGAAATGATGGAGAGTGCGCGAAACCTTGAAATGAAGGCGAAGAAGGGTGCAGACGACGATGACTGAGTTCGAGCGTGTACAACCTGAGGTAGTGTGTACTGGACGAAATATGTGACTGCTTGCGAATGTATGTACAGTTATGTAGGCCTTACTGTAAGAGTGATTCAGCAGGAATGCTCGCAGTCGAGTGTGATCGACGCGTCCGAGGAGGAGAGTCGGTCGGGGCCAGGCAGAGCGGGGACAGCTTTGGAAATTGCTGTCAAAACCAAGTCAAAACTGTGTCTTGTCTGTGCTGCCCGGCAGTTGCACTTGCAGTGCAGCCTGCAGTTCTACGGTTTCGGTTGATCGACCCATGCCGTCCTCTGCGCTGAACTTTGTAGCGCTGAGCAGGCGCCAAGCAGGTTACATATAGCCAAGGCCGATCGAGGAGGAGCGATGCAGGATGGCATCAAGCAAACGCCCGAGCACGGCCACGTTCCAGGACAGCCTGAGCATGTCTCCCCCGTATTGCTGCTTGACCAGCGCCCTCAATGACAGACTATGTCCCTCTCCCTGCGCCCGCCGTAACCTCAGCACGCCGACCCTTCTCCTTCTTTCGCAACATACGTGTACGACGACATGCGCGTCTCTGTCTGCTGGTCGGCCTGGTCACCATTATCACCACATTCATTCTATCCTCGGGCACGGTCCTGAGGGACCTCGGGTATCTGCTTCGCCCTGTATGGGATAAGCCACCGAAACCGTTTGAAGTCATCCCCCACTACGACCATCCAAATGTATCAGCCAGCGACCTGTGCGACCTGCATGGCTGGCAGAGACGACAAAACGATGTCACAGTATGGGACGCTACCATATTCAGTGTGGAGCTGGACTTGCTGGAGATCCGCATACGAGAGCTATACACCGTCGTCGACCACTTCATCATTGTCGAGAGTAACTCCACATTCACTGGGCTGCCCAAACCGTTGGTCTTCGCGGAGAATCGCGACCGGTTCGCATGGGCAGCCGACAAGATATTCTACCGCTCCATCTACCTGCCGCCCAACCCGCCGGGACCGGGACATGCAGATGCGACCTGGCAGAACGAGGGGCGCTCGCGCCGGGAGATTAACGACATCCTTCGCGCGCAGGGTGCGAAGGCAGGGGATCTCCTCATACAGGCGGACGTCGACGAGATACCCTCGTTCCGAACCATCGAGCTGGTACGCGCGTGTGAGGGGTACCCAGGCGTCCTGCATCTTAGGCTGCGCGACTTCATGTATTCGTTCGTGCGGATGCTACCGGAGGTCGAGGAAGGGGGTTCCTGGAGAGCATCAGTCAAGACATGGAACCCTACCGGGACAGAGTACTACGGGTACTCGCACGGACGGCAGAGCGACGTGATCCTGGCCGACGCGGGCTGGCATTGCTCATGGTGTTTCAAGTACCTGGAGGACTTCCGCTTCAAGATGCAAAGCTATAGTCATTACGACCGTGTCACACGACCGGAGAGACAGCTGGAGTCGTCCGAAATCCAGCGTAAGATCTGCGAGGGGAAGGATGTTTTCGATATGTACCCAGTGAGCATTGTGTTCAATCAATCATGGGCCCAGTACTTACCACCGCATTATTTTGCAGGAAGCGTATTCATTCGATAGCCTGTACCGGTTACTCGGCCCATATCCTTTGACGCATTCATACGTCCAACTACCTTGGTGGGCAGTGCAAAACGCAGAGCGATTCGACTACTTGCTTCGGCAGGATAGGTGTAGGCGAGAGCTGGGCACCGCTGACGATTGAGTGGTCAGGTTTTGGTTCGTTTGGAGGAATTACTGTAACTTGAACTTACCGGCGGGGGCAGGATGGTGATCATGGCCACCGCCCATTTAATTTATTGTATCATATCTGTATCAGTAGGATTCTGCTAGCAACTCGAGCGATGATGGCAACGAGAAACTCAGGTTCATCGCAAACCATAGTGTGACAGAAGTACTTGCAAACACAACTGTATGTAAGTTAACTTACCCTCATGTACGCTGCGCAGCTGCGGAGAGCGCCTTCGATGATCTTGACAAGATCTTGTGTGATGCGCCATCAATGCACGCACGCGGCGAAAGCCGACTGCAGGCGCCGGTGCACAATGTGAACTGCGTTGGCTCAACGACCACAACGTTCACATTGTACCCCGTACCCCTTGTCGTCTTCTCAAAGGATGTCCTACTATCCGCCTCACACGGGAACGGGATACCCGTACAGCTCCTACGCAAATTACCCTCAGACAGGGACATATCCGACAACACCGTACCAGACGTACCCACCTACAGGCGTAACAAGCTACGGAGCTGCATGGCCATACCAGGCGTATAGCTACTATGCGCATCCCCAGCAGCAGCAACAACAGCAGCAACAACAACAACAGCAAGCTGCGTCGACGTCTGCGAGGCCTGCAGCGACGACTTCCACGTTCTCGAGCACACCGACTGTGACGACTCCCGCGACGACCATACCTCCTCGACCGGCGCCCGCACAATATACATTTGCGCAGACGTATACCCCGTCTGCAACCGGGCTCACCTCTACACGGAGCTCAAGGAGACAGCCCACCTTCAAAGGCTTGTTTGCCAAAGAGCGTATGTCGATCCGCCTTAGTACACTTCGTTGTCTGACCCAGCAACGGTGCTAGTGCGCAACTTGATGTACGGCTTTGGCGACGACAGAAACCCCGCAAATGACACTGTCAACGTGATGGAGGAGATCCTGGTCGAGTACATCGTGGACATCGTGCGTAGTATCCTTTCGTAGTTGTGGCGTCCTTGTGTTCATGGTCCATCGCAGTGTCAGACTGCCCTCGCACCCGGGAAGAACAAGGCACGTCTGTCGATCGAGGACCTACGTCGCGCATTGTCGCGGCCAGCAGACTCGAAGAAGCTGGCCCGTATGGAGGAGCTGCTCTTCATGCAGGAAGATATCAAGCGCGCTCGAGCCCAGTTCGAGGAGTCGGACATGAACCAAGCCACCTCCTTCTAGAGTTGATCACGGCCATCATTTCCATACGCTGACTGTGCTACTGTGAGGACTTTGCTGTACTACTATGTGTATGAATAATCGTCTGACGGAACGCTGCGACCTTTGACTCCATCCCATCGTGTACATCTTGTCTATTGATGGCCCCAGGTCTCCCCAGGTTCGCCTGAGTGAACGATACACCCTGTGCGGTAGCGATCGCTATCGTCTAATGGGAGGCCGTCTTCCCACCGACGCTGGTCACATTCGCGGCCTTCCTAGACATCGATGTGTCCGCTGCCTCCTTCGCGCGCGTCACCGGCGGCCGTTGCGTGGCATACTGCGTCCCCAATGACTAGCATCGAGCAGAGTAGTGCATTGCACGACTCACTGTTCGGGGTGTATTCCCAGCGACACCAGCTGCGGTCCGGCCGGCAGTATTGATGTGGGGAATGAGATCCAGGGTGTTGGGCGTACCCCATTAGCGAAATGTTGACCGGAGCTAGTCTCCGTTGCCGACCATAAAAGAGGAGCGTGGATTTTGATTGTCGGACGTTCTCAACCGGAAGAATCCTTACGGGCCCCAGTGCCTCGTATTCAGGAGCTGTGGCCTATAGTGATTCAAGGATAAATCTTTATAGCGTCCTTTTTGCGCGCCCTTTGTGGTCATTATAAGAGCGATGCGCATCGATATTTGAGAAGTTGAGGTGTGAGCGTAAGGCCGAGAGCGTCGAGATGTATTGAATTCTTGCGGTAATGTACATATGACTATTCTTCCATAGCGTTCTCGTCACCCTGTTGGTCTGCGTCCGGGTTCTCTTCGCCCTCTGCACCATTGGAGCCCTCTCCTCCTTTTGCACGTAGCGTGTGACCTAATTTATGCGTCAATTTCCAGTTCCCGTGGAAGCATATGGTAAAGGTGTGCTCACCGCCGCTGCGATTGAGGGGCTTGGCGTATTGCTGGAGCCAGTCTTCCGACTCCCAGACTGTAGTGTGGAGTATTGGCCACCAGATCTTGCATGGACAAAAAAGATTTACGTACTGGCTCTGTTTCCTGCACCTTGTATTGGCGCCTTCACTTGTCGAGCAAGGTTGACCTTCAATACGCGGCCCTTAAGCTCGTTCAGGTCCATGTTGTCAATGGCATCCTGTGCATCGGCTGTAGAAGCAAACGTGACGAAGGCGAAGCCCCGGTGCTTCACCTCTGAGAGCATACATTAGAGATAGCTGACTTCAGGAAGGAGTGTTGATACGCACCGTTCGGCTGCGAGGGGTTGGTGGGTGCTGGTGGTATCTGCACCTCTATGATGTCTCCTGGGTAGCATGTCTCGGTCAGGAACACTCTCCACCCTACGATAAGGAATGACGCACCAAAGGGTGAGAAGGACTCAACGAGCACGGTCTCGTCGACATCGTCGCCAATGCCGCCCACGAAGACCGTTTTCTTCGTCTTGGTCCCCTCGTCCATCTCGAGCGTTGGCCGAGCAGCTCGGACATGGCCAGTCGATCCGAGCAGCCACATGTTTTCCCACGCCTCGATTATGAGCTTTATTGATTCGAGCGCTCCTCCGTCCCTCTCTTGGACTTGGCTCTGATAGCAGCGGTGATGGTTGTGTCTCCTATTGCCAATATTCCAACGTTTGCCTCTCGTGTCTCCGAAAGACGTCTGCATCGGGCGCGTTCTCTATCGACAGACTCATCTGTGGCACACTGCAGCCGATGCCTGGCTGTGCCGTTATTTGGGTGTGCCGCATCGTGCGCGATGCGTCGGCCGCCCACAGTGTGAGATTCATACTCTATCCGGAATCGTCATCGCTGGGCCATCACCGCATTCCTCGTTTTCTAGGTCAAATCTGTCACTTTTTGCCCTTGAATGGTCTCGCTCGACGCCGGCCTCCGCTGCCTGAGAACGCGCTACTGTATGCGCTACCCAAGCCGCGCCTCACGCAGGAACGTCAGGCCTGATATGGGGCTGCCTACCCGTCGTAGGCGGCTGTCAGCATACAGTGCGAATCGGACTCCTTCATGCAGTCAAGCACCACTTCCAGAAGCATAGCCCGTCCGTCCGGTGCCTCAAGCGGTGGATATATACACACCCCAGGTTGGCCCTTGTTTTGACGTCGGCCCCCGCTTGTGTTGTCGGGCTTCGAAGACTGGTCATCGCTCTGGTCAACATAAAGACCGACTTGCAGAAGACTGCGTACTTCGCTTCCTTTGTTCCCCTCGGCTAGACTGGCCTGCCATGCTATCGAGTTTCCGGTCATCTTACCAGTCGATGACCCGCAAGCGTACCCGCGACCAGCAGAGCGTCGCGTCTAGGCTATCCTCATGTTCTACCTCAAGTGGGGAAGACGAAGAAGACGATGTGAACCATCGCGTCTACCCGAACTGGTGTGGACATCGGCACATAATCCAGCGCCGCGGGTTTCGTTTGGACACATGCCGCGACGTGAAACAGCTATATCAACGATACTGGGAGAGCCTAGCATCTCAAGGACGCTGTGCACCAAACGATTTACCAGGTTATCTCCGGGCGTGTAGTGGAAGGAGTGATGATGAGCTATGTCCTGACGTCGGATTGGTCCGTGGTTAATTATTGCTTGTTGGGATCTACTGACTTACGCAGTTCTGAACCCTACAGCCCGAGAACCTATTTCGCGGTACTCGTTGCGTAGATGGTACACCTGTGGTCATCAAAGCGGTCCATCTACGCAGTCGTGAATACGATGTCGTGCGCTACTTGTCGTCACCTCCCGTCGGCGAGCATCCCATGAACCACTGTATTCGTATGTTGCCTTCTGTATCACTTGGTCTCGCATTGTGTACTCACGTATCGTAGCAATTCTCGATCGGATCGAGATACCTTCCGACGACATCGCATTCTTAGTGATGGAGGAATGGTCGCCGCATCTAGATGCCGATCCTCCACATACTCTCAAGGACTTCCTCGGGATAATACGCCAGCATTTAGAGGTATTATATCTTCCCTGCTGGCATACTACCTCGCGCGGCCAATTCTGACATACGATTGACATCTAGCACATCGCGTTTATGCACGCACATCGCATTGCGCACCTCGACATATCTATCCGCAATACGGTCACGGACAACAAGATGCGCTATGCATGCATAGACTTCGAACTGAGCCGCCGGTTTGATACGACCAACGCGCGGATCAGGTGCTTGCGTGCCACAGAGGTGCCTCCCGAAGTCGAGAACGGCGAATGCTCTGACCCGTACAAGATCGACGTCTGGGCATCGGGCATGTTCATACTGAAAGCATCGCAGGTGAGTGTATGTATCGACGCATTGGCTTCTTGAGACTCACTCTCCAGGATCCAGCTGACTGGTTTCCAACCACCTGAGTTGCTGTCGTTCATCACGCATATGCTAGACGAGGATTCAATACGACGACCGACAGCACGACAGGCACTATCTGTATTCAACAGCATATTCCGGACCACTGACACGAAAATCACGAGTCGTTGACAGAGTTAGAACATACTCAACAGTCCTGCCAGCGAGACTTAATCGTAGCCTACATCGCCTATATTATGATACACACAGCCGCGATGTAGCAGCAATACAACAGTAGAAACAAATATTCCAGCAGAGAAGAAATGTCGGGTGGACTACGTCTCTCCATCAGGGTCTGCAACTCCTTTCTCCAATCTCCGTCGCTTGCGTTCCAAGTACCGCTCGCGAGCACTCTTGACTGATTCCTCATCATTCCGCTTCGCAGCCATTCTGTTGATACTCTCCTGCTCCTCTTTCTCTTTCTCCTTGAGCAATCGCTCGCGCTCCTCCTCCATCTGCTTCGCGACTTCTCGTGCTCGTCGCTCGTTGATCTCCTTGCGACTTGCCGCAGTTCCCACTGCACGGTGGACCTGCGGCTGCTCCTCCCCCTCATTCTTCTTGATAGTCTGAAGACCGAACTTCCGCGTGTTCGGTGCTGAGAGGTTGAGACCCGCCGAGAGGAGCTCTCGTTTGTCGACGATCTGGTTGTCGTCGTTGAGTTCGACATCCTTCCCCTGTTCCTTTGCAGCTTTCGCCAGGTCCACGTCAGACTTGGGGACAAAGTCGACAGGCTTCGTGATCGTCAGGTTGGGCCCTTGAGGGCCGATGGCGGGCTTCGTCGTCGTAGCAGCAGCAGCTACCGCCTCTTCATGCTGTTGCTCGGACTCATCGAGAAGTTTGCGGTAGAAGTGAGCCATTCCGGAGCCAGCTCCCTTGTTCTTCTTCTTCTCGGCCTCTGTAGGAGAGTGGATGAGCTAACGAACCTACAGTAAACGGGGTCCGGACCGCTCACCTTCTCGCTGCCGTTCTTCCTCCTCTGCTCTCTGCGTCTCAGCGAGCTGGTCCTTGTACGATTGTGTCACGAAGGCCTCCTTGTCTTTGAACTCGTCACCCTCAGACTCTCGTTCTCGCTGAATCATCTTCTGTTCGGCTCGCAGGTGGTCAATTCTACGAGTAGCAGCAGACTGCAGCAGGTTGTCGATGTATTTGGGCTGCGATAATAGACTTCAGTCAATCAGCGCTCGTTGGCTTACTGAGAGGCACAATGCGGGGACCAATGCTCACCTTTCGCTCCTTCGCGTCCGCCTCCTTCGCCTCCTTCTGCTTCTGCTTCGCTTGCTGCATCTTCTCCCACACCTCGTCGTACTGGAAGACGGAGGAGTCCACCTTCATTTCCTCCTCCATACGCTTCTTCATCGTCTTCGACAACTCGACATTTTGCGCGACCAGCTTCTTGTTGGCTGCGACTTTACGATTGTCGGAGGCAGTGGGTGCGGCGTCGACGGGCTCGTCATCGTCTAACGATGCGAAGGCAGCGGAGCGTTTGAGTGACGGTGTCTCTCCGACAGGCTTGGCAGCGACTTTGGCCTTGCTGCTAGCGAGAGAGAATGAGACCTTCATGAGCGTAGATGTGGAGAGTGGGTGGAAGCTTACAGCGCGCAAGCGCCCATGACATTGGATTCGCTATGCCATGCTCACGTGCGTCGTGTTTCGCCGCTTCGCGCGCGTTTTGGCTCTTGTCTGCAGCGTTTGCCTTCAAGCTTCAAGTGTTTAGACCACCTCACAGCTCCCCGTTTATCCCTCGTCGCTCGCCATGCAAAGCAACTTCGATCGAAGACGTATCAATGGACCCGAAGAAAGCTTCCCTCCAGTCTATGACCACGAAGAGGAGGCCGAGTCTTCATGGAAGCCCGGCCAGTCGCGTCAAGGGCGGGCAGCAGGAGATATTCGACCTATATGTATGGTAGCTATCATGACATACCACTCGCAATACTCATTCTTTCGTTCCCCTCAGTCTTGAAGGCAGGACTTATCAGTCAGGCAAATGGGTCTGCATACATTGAGACGGAACACACGAAGATCGCTTGCGCAGTGTCAGTTATTACCGGCCGCATGTTTCCTTCACTATGTGTTCTGACAATGTCCTAGTTATGGACCTCGACAATCCAAGACTACTGTGTACAATGAGAATGGACGATTGAACGTTGAGGTCAAATTCGCACCCTTCTCTTGTACTCGTAGAAGAGCGCCAATACGCGTGAGTCCACTCACCATTCTTTTTGACGCAGAGCTGGAGCCTTCTGCAGGATGCAGAAGATAGATCACTGGCAGTCCAAATACAGCAGGCACTGCTGCCCGCTGTTAGATTGGAGCTTCTTCCAAAGTCTACAATAGACATCTTTCTCACCGTCATCGAGAATGACGGTATCGAAGGGTGCATTGCATCCGGCTCGGTCGCTGCGAGCGCTGCGTTGGCGGACGCTGGCATAGAGATGCTCGGCCTAGTCATGGCTTGCTCTGCAGTAAGTATTATAGCTTTGCTCAGGATAACGCCCGTCTCTAACGCATTGTAGTCGACCGTTGGGGAAGAGATATGGTTAGATCCTACAGCGCAGGAGGCTCAAAATGCCTCTGGCAGTCTCATTGTTGCTGGGATGCCTGCCCTCGGCACTCTTACGAATGTTTGGCAATCGGGACGACTGGCGCCTATACGAGTCTTGCAGGTCAGCTCCGTGCACGCTACAGACGATCGTATACTACGAGCTCATATAAACCATTCCCAGGGTATGGAAGCTTGTCAAGAACGGTTCGTAGACATCCACACGATAGTCGCACAGGCATTACTCGACAACGCACATAATACATGACGACCATGTTTTCGAGCACACCGTCACGATGATCTCGCCTTTTATGAGGTCGTACAAGTGAAGTTTCCCTCTTCGACTTGGCGCCGATTGATGGTTCATAGCTGAGCTTGAGCTGAGCACACGAGGAAGTCCCTGCCAGTCGCCGTGAGGGGCGTTTGCTGCGTTTGTTTCGCTCCTATCACCATTGACATCCTGGGTCAGGATCGTCGCCTTTTCCGTCCGCCCATGCATACACCCTGCCTTGCACGTAAGAGCCTGGTTTGTTACGGTGATGCGCCGCAGAGGGGGCGCGAAGTGTGGTACTTAAAGGTTGTCCTCGGACACGTGGGCATGGCTTCGATCGCCGTGTAATAACTTAGACGCCTGCTGTTCGGGCAACTGAGACGAAACGGAACACAAACTGTCTATGGTGCAGCTAGCCTCGTTGTAGTTGATCTTCGTCCACTCCCCTCCACCGCACATCCCTCGCTGTAGATTATAGGCCCACGAACTTGCCACGACTGCGGCACTGCATTCGCCGAAGTGCTGACCTCGTCCGATTCTATGAACCCGTCGTCCCCCACGCCTCTGTTCGATGCCCTGAAATCCCCATCCAGTCCGCACATCTCCAGCTCAAGCTATAAGCTGGCAGGGCGCTCGCCAAGAGCCTCGCAAGACTCAGACGACTCCTTGCGAGAGCTCGAGTACTCCGAAGGTCCATTACTTGCAGACGGACCGATCTCCTCGCGCGCACGGTCGTACTCCATTAGCGGGTTCGACTTCCAAGCCGACCTTTTACCACTCACAGCGAGTCTCAGTGAACCTGATACGCATCGTGGAGAGTCGCATCCCAAAAATCTCAGTTTAGCGAGTGGTGCGTGGCATAACGGATTCGACGAGACATGGTGGCTGAACCGGTTGGACGCAGGCATTGCACTCATCGTTGGGCTGCAAATTGGCTCCGGCATCTTGTGAGCATGCAACTGAACACTGTCATGTCTGTGCCTGATGCCTGACCCCGCCGGCAGCTCGTCACCCGGTGTAGTGGTCGCGAATACGCATAGTGTCGGTGCAAGTCTTGTTGTATGGCTAGCCGCGGGTCTTCTGGGATGGACTGGAGCAAGCAGCTTTGCGGAGCTTGGGTCGTCGATACCGGTGAACGGAGGTGCGCAGGCATATCTCCAATACGCATACGGCCCTCTCGTCGCATACCTATTCGCGTGGACAGCAATCATTGCACTGAGACCAGGTTCGTCCTCCCTCATTTCACAGGATGTATGCATTGCTTCATAGAGGGACTCCAGGAGGCAATGCTGTTATCAGCCTCATCTTCGCCGAATACATGAACCGGCTCTTCTTCCACACCGCAAAGGCTGAGGTATCGCCGGATGACATTCCTCAGTGGGCCATCAAACTCACTGCAGTTGCGGCAGTCCTTGTGGTGTCCGTACTATGTGTGGCTACACCTAATCTGGGCCCACGGACAGCTATAGTGTTCACGACCGTCAAAGTGAGGCGTCTCTGTCAGTACGTGTCGTGTGCGACCTCACCCCTCATCCATACAGGTAGCCGCATTAGTGCGTAGAGACAAGGATACACTCCTTACATGCCTTCGCTGATCCCTGACTCTACAGCTCTCTATCACTATCCTAGGGATCATCCAGTTGGCTAGAGGTCGTGCATCGACTTCGCTCACCGAACCGCTCTTCGCCGGCTCGAGCACCAGCCCTTCATCCTATGCGCTCGCGCTGTACTCCGGTCTCTGGGCATTTGATGGCTGGGACCAAGCTAACTATGTTGGTGGAGAGATGAAGAACGCTGAGAAGAATATACCTCGCGCGATCCACACGAGTATGATTATCGTCACAGTGAGTCTTGTGCCCATGGCCTATGCAGGCAATGTATTGAGAGTCGCATGTAGCTGTTGTTCCTGTTGGCCAACCTGTCTTACTTCGTTGTGCTCGACAAGGTACTATCACCTGTTCGCCTGAATTATTGGAGCTGACGGGACTGGGTGCAGAACACCGTAGGACGGAGCAACACAGTCGCGCTCGACTTTGGACGAGCATTATTCGGTCCCGTGGGAGGCGTCCCATTCGCATTGATGGTGGCTATCTCTTGCTTCGGTGCCCTGAACGGTAAAAGTGTCACTACCCGATTGTTGTTGAATTTTGACCTGATGTATCCAACCCCAGGCGCGTCATTCACCGCTTCACGCCTTATCTACGCTGCTGGACGAGAAGGCTACCTACCTGCGATGTTCGGTCGACTCAATAAGCGGCTCGGGACACCCGTGAACGCGATGTGTCTGCAGGTGACACTGACCCTCTTGTTCATCGTCATCGGCGGGGGCTTCCGCTCGCTCATCAACTTCGCGGTCGTGGCCTCATGGGCGTTCTACTTTATCACTGTGCGTACTCGTAGGACCACCTCGGGCTCAATAGCTAAATGCAGCTGGTAGGTTCTCGGGCTGGTGGTTCTACGGATTAAAGAACCGATGCTGGAGCGGTAAGTGCGCTTTCTGCGCGCGGTCCCGAGCACTGTCTGACGCAACGCGCTGTATAGGCCGTACAAGACGTGGATCACCACTCCTTTGATCTTCTGTGCCGTAAGTCGGGAGTCTCTGCCGCGGAGTAGGGCCTGCTTGACACCGAGACATAGGTGTGCCTCTTCTTGCTATGCATGCCGATCATAGCCGCGCCATTAGAAGCAATAGCGGTGCTCGGTACGTTGTGCGGCTTTCTCTGGTCCGATTCTCCGCGGTAATGACATGTCTCGGAAGGTTTCGTGCTCGTGGGCATCCCTGTGTACTACATTACACAGAGGAGTTCAGGGGAATCTGGGCTCGCAGGTGAGTGAATCATGTTCCGGCCCGCGAAGACGCGCTGACCAAGCGACCCGTGCAGGGAGCTTCACGAACCTCTTCTCGCGGCTCCGTGGCAGGCCAGCGCCCGGCGCGGGGTGGGAAGCAGTCGCGACCGAGGGAGATGAGCAAGTCGAGATGGCGGACGCGTTACGGACGTCTCGCTTATGAGATGCGTGCGCATGTGCAGGGGCCGATTGCGAGGATGCTACGTTACTCAGGAGATCTTGAGATGGGCAGTCGCGGAGCGATCGCGCGCCGTGGCCATTCTATGCGCGCGGGGGCCGGGGCCCGTTGCCAGTGGGACGACGCGTGAACGATGCACAGTACAGCTAGGTTATAATGTCGGGGAATTGGGTACACGTAGATTCCGAGCGCAATCCGAGGATGTGGTTGCTGTTCTTCTATCCCATCCGTTCCGTAGTCAGCGGGCCCATATTAATCAGACGTTCAATGAGTGCGGCTGAGGTGCGGCTGCAGCTGGCTGCAGCGATCGCGCTGTGCAAGCCAGGTGCAAGCGGCGCTGCTCCCACAGCAACCTTCTCAGTTGCGAAGCTACCTGATCCCCTGCACACCTCTGCACTCGTCCTGAGGCGCCATTCGTGCGCAATTGGCGCGCGAAATGCCGAGATTACCATCGTAGCAGTATCTGCCCGTTTGGGACAAGTGTGCTACAGATGAGTTGCGTTTCGAGCTTACTCAGCCCGTAGTCAGTTGGCGTAAGCTGCGTGATTTGTGCGGCAACGCCTGACGTGGGCGACGGTATAAGATCGCACAGCGGGGAAGCGCATCTCTCACAACAGCCTTCCCCGTGTACCACCACTACATCACTTGCATCGCCCCCCTCATCGTTGATCAGTAATGTACGGACTCGTCAGACGTCGCGCAGATAGGTTGGCTGACTGTGCGGTCGAACCAGATTACTCGAGATGGCCTCGCACACCTACAAGTTCGACGTCAAGGTGCGCAGAGTCTTTAGCTGATCCGAGAGTAGGATCTGAGGCGAGGTACATGGCGAATATAGATGACCTGTGGCGGTTGCTCGGGTGCCGTCGATAGGGCGTTGAAGAAGGCGAAGGCGGACGGTACGTCCCTATGAATAGAGATGTGTTTGTGTGCTTACCGCTCGCATCCTCGCCAGGTCAAGAAATCGACTCGTGGGACATTAGCCTTGAGAAGCAGGAAGTCATCGTGAAGGGTGCGGTCCCGTACGACACCGTCCTCGAGAAAATCAAGAAGACGGGCAAGGAGGTACGATTGCGTGCATTGTCGGCCGTGTCGTGTAGACTGATATGCTCGGGCAGGTTCGCTCGGGAGAGACCGTCGAGTAACTGCATTCAGGCATCGCGTCGCCGCACAGATAGTAGCTTGTACGTTGTGTATTAGGATACGAAACTAGAAAGCAGTGTTCCTGGATGCGTTGCATGTGTGCCAAGGTACCTGAATGGGCACATCGCCTGAGCCGTCGGCAGGTCCTGGGCGCAGCCTGGGCGTGCTTGGATATGGCTGAGATCTGAGATTGCTGCGGGAGGCGTCGAGCGCACCGCTGCCGCCTCGCTGCGGGCGGCGATGAGGGGGGAACAGACGGTGACGAGGCGGGAACAGACAGCGACGGGCGTGAATTTGACGAGAGGCCGGATGATCTGGGTGGGATCTCGGAAGAGGGAGACCGGCGACAGGTGCGCGCCTGTGGCGGGTGGCACACCTTAACGGGAGCCGTACACCGACGTCTACGCGAATACGTGCAGAGGGAAGCAGATGTGTCCTCTCTCTCGTTGAATTTCCCTCCTCTCTCTCATGCCGGCCGCCGGCTCTCCCTCCCCGTATAATATCTCCAGCCTATTCTCCTCACCGCCCCCGCCCGCCGCCTGCGCCTTAGCGACCTCTGCACGCTGTCTGCACGCCCAGACCCCCTCGCACTCGCGCCTGGACCCCTCTACGCACATAGTCCATCCCGGCAAACTGTACTTGGCTCCCGGGTGGTTCCAAGACGTACCACCAGCCCGTCCGAACATATAGAGCGCAGGCAGACCCAGCGCGCCGCCAGACTCCATGGCTACGCTCAGCACGACCTCCCTGACCCCGAACCCAACCACTCCGTACTTTGCAGACGACCGGGAATGGATCACCGCCTACCTCACCATCCACGTGCTAACCAAGAACAGCATGGCATATGCCTTCGTTCTGTGGACCGCCTTCGCCGCCGTTGTCGTGCTGTACGCCGCCTTCCATCTCACTGGTATCCGCGGGGGTTGGCTCGGCGCCCTCTGGAGCAAGTGGGCACTGCGCCGGAGGACATGGAGGAAGAAGCATGCTCTTAAGCTTGCCCAGCAGAGAGGCCAACCACATAGCCAGCCCCTCCCCCTTCCGTCCAACGCCCAAATCCTCACGCTCACTTTTCTTGTCTGCGCTACGCTGGCTGTATCATTTGTCGGGCCCGACTACTTCGCTCCGGGCTCTAATCTCCTCAACGTGCACAACACCACTTCCGTGCTTGTAGCCAGGGCTACTACGCTCGATCTCAGTGCCCTGACGAAGTACCAACCTGCCTATACCATCCGCAAGGCGTGGTGGACGTCTGGCAACAGGACGGGTGTCATTGCTTTCGCGCTGTTCCCTCTGTGTGTCCTTCTCGCTCTCAAGAGACCCCCGTTCGCCATCCTCTCGCTGCCGTTTGTCCTGCACATCCACTTCGACAAGCTCGCCTGGCTACACAAATGGATCGGCCGTCTCATCTGGTTCTGCTCTGCGATGCACGTCGCTCTCTGGAGCGTGCAGTTGATTCTCGAGCACAGGCCGAGCACCGGCAAGATTGTCTACACTTACGCATGGGGCTACACCAACTTCATCTACGGCTGGATTGTGAGTGCCTAATTTTGGAACCGGTTCGCAGCGGTTGCTGAGCGTGCGCAGGCGTTCGGGGTAATGACCTTGCTTGTATTCTCCTCATTTCGACCGATCCGACGACTGCATTACGAAATCTTCTATGGCCTTCACGTCCTCCTCGTCCCGCTCACGCTCATCTTCAGCGCGCTGCACCACCCGCCGGTGTGGTGGTGGTGCTGGGGCGCGCTGGCGGTGTGGGTGGGCGAGCGGGCGTGGAGGTTCGTGTGGTGGCTGAACACAAATGGCTACTTGGATGCTATTCTGGGACCCGCACCCACCAAGACGCTCGCACAACCGCCCGTCCGTGCGCCTCTCCCGCCCGAGCAGCTGGAAATGGCCCGCCTCGGCTCCCCGCTCTCCCCGCACCCTCTCCTCCACCAGAGCTATCCGAACTCGCCCGCGAGTCACGCCATGAGGCTCGGCGCAGACATCGCCCTCGCGCGCTCCGCGAAGCTCTCGTTCGGCGCGTCAGGCAGGTATGTCCCACCCGCAGGCTTCGCGCACGCCGAACTCCTCCCTGGGCGCACAATCCGCCTCCGGCTTATCACCCCGGGGTACTTGCCTTGGGCGCCTGGACAACACTTCCTCGTCCAGTGCCCTGCTATATCCCGCCTAACGACACATCCCTTTACAAATGCCACTATTTGCGACCAGGAGGCGCCGAACGAGGAGGGTCGGGAACTCGTCTTCCTCATCCGCGCGAAGAACGGGTGGACCAAGCATCTTTGGGACGCGGTCGCGACGATGATCGCTCGCGGGCAGAACCATACGCCTGGCGTGCAACTGCCCGTGAACACAATCGCGCCACCAAGAGGCGTGCTTCTCCGGACGTTCGTCGACGGCCCCTGCGGGTCAGCAGCGAGGGCGCGCTGGGGCGAGTACTCGACAGTGCTCCTCATCGCGGGCGGGTCTGGTGTCAGCTTCGCGTTGTCGGTGCTGCAGTTCATGACGCTTTGCATGTCCGGCCGGGACGGGCAGTATCTGGGCGGCAAGAAGGGTGGCTGGGGCCAGCCCAGCTTCAAGACGAAACGTGTCCGCTTCGTATGGCTCGTACGCGAATTCGGTACGTCTTAGCCCCGATCGTCATCGGTAGTACGCAGGGCTGACATCCGCGCCGGCGCTGCATAGGTCACATACAGTGGTGTGCTACACTGTTGCGTCGCTGCATGACGATGATACCTGCGCCTGAGCTTCAGGTCGACATCTTCGTCACGAATATCAAGGCTCGCCCGAAGCAGCAGCCACAGCCAGCGCTACACCGCGTGCCGTCCGACAACGACGTCCTTGCCCCGCCCGCGCCTCGGTTTGCGCGCCAGACACACCTTTCGCCGAACGAGCGTCCCGCGTCGGTCGCGTCTGTTGACAGCGACTACGAGTCGGACCCGGAGAGCTGTGTGGACCTCAGCTACTACACGGGCGAGTTTCATGAGGAGAATGGCGAGTTGGGGCATGAGGAACATGTGCTTGACCTGACGAACTTCGAGGGTGACGACGACACGGCGATGCCGGGTGAGACGCAATTCAACCAGTCGGTCAAGCGGGAGGGCAGGCTGCGAAGAGCAGCGTCGCAGCGGGCTGCTGGCCTCTTGAAGTCGAAGAAGAAGAAGCGCGATAGCCGGAACGACCACTATCCACCGATGCAAGCGCAAGGCTCCTCAGTCCGTCTTGTCGACCGGAATCCCAGCGACGATATGTCTCTTAATTTCGCACAGGAACAACGTCGAGACACACTGCATCCCATCCATACCGACGTCGATACACTATCGCCAGCGAAGTCACCAACATCCGCACTACCCTATTCCCCGATATCACCATTGTCCATGCAATCACCGCACTCAACACTCGTCCCCAGCTCCTCGACCAGCACCCTCCAAGGCTTCTCGGACTCGCCCACGCCCACGCACAATCCAAAGCGGTCGTCAGAGGTAAGCATGAGTGTGCCCGGTCCGTCTGGTGCATCCGGACACGTAATGACGCGTACACTTTCGAATGCTTCGCAGATGAGCGCGTGGTCCGAGGCGGGCAGCCTCGCGGCGCTGATCAGCGAGGTGGACGTGCCGCGCAGCAAGAGCGGCGAGCATATCAAGCTCGAGCTGGATGAGCAGGAGATGCAGGATGTCGGCTTGCTGGCGGAGCACGCGCGCCCCGGGAAGCCGAAGCTGGATAGGATATTGGCGGATGAGGTGCAGCAGGCTAAGGGTGCGATTGTGGTTGGATGTGAGTTGTTGTGCTACGTGCGCGACAAAGTTTCATTGCTGACAAGACGTGCGCAGGTTGTGGGCCTGTAACGCTCAATGCCGTCGTGCGTAAGATCATCGCGGCACAGATCGACCCTGGTCGGATACGCCGGGGAGACATGAGCGGGTACATCACGTTGATCTCGGAGGACTTTGATTACTAGTACCTCGCCCGTTCGCCTTGCCTTCGCCGACCTTATTTCTAGCCGTCGCTCGGCGGGCCCCTTCAACCATTACATATGTTTATTGTCAGTCCTTCGTCGTCGCTACTACATATGCCATGGACTCCTACACATACTGTATCTCTACTGCATTTTTATCCGTAGACTATGGATTTTTGTTCATTTTGGTCTGTGAGGAGATGGACGGAAAGTGCGCAACGCATGTTTGATGAGCGCAGGCGGAGCCTGTGTGCCGATCGCGTCGCGTCGCGTCGATGGACGAAGACAGAGTCCCTGCGTCACGCGCCAACGCGTCAAATCCTTGCCAGCATGTCAGTGGCTTTGAGAGGCATCGATACTCTCCTTCGCGGACCCAGGCTCCCTCCTCTCTCTGCTCATCTCCGTACTGGTAGAGGTTACTGCTTCCATCGACGGCCTTGCTCAAATATGGCCACTGCATCTGAGCCAGAGCAGATCACCATACCGGAAGGGTACACACTCCACACCGAAAATACCACCCGTATCCTTCTTCCGCCGGGGAACCAGGCGTTCCTGAACCCCGTCCAGGAATTCAATCGGGACCTGAGCGTCGCGTGCATCCGCACATGGAGCGAGCTGCTGAATGAAGAGAAGGAGGCGAAATGGAGGCAAACCCAGGAGAGGCGGGCGAAGAAGGCGGAGCGTGGGCCGAAGGCGAAACGGGTGAAAAGTGAGTCTGGGATATTGTGTGGTGCTGGATGTTACTTGGTTTGCTGGTTTGCTGAGACGGAGCTGCTTAGCGGAGGAAGGCGCTGCAGCCGTTGCGCCGGCAGCTGGAAGTGCACAAGAGGCTGCGGGCGAGGGTTCGGTGAAGCTTGAGGACACAGCGCCTGCTACTGCAGAGCCCGTCGCTGGGCCCAGCACGAAGAAGCAGCCGGAGGTATGCACACTCATCCTCCAGTGATTAACTGATTTTAAGACTGCGTGAACTACAGTACCAGCCTTACAGAAGCGTGATCCTCGAGGCACTGTCAGCAACAGGGCTGCGCTCCATTCGCTATGCGAAGGAGATCCCACTTGTCAAGTATGCAGGTCCCCACGCCTAGTCGCCAATTGCTGATTGGGCGTGACAGATACGTCATAGCGAACGACCTCTCGCCCTCCGCGGTCGAAGCTATGAAGCGCAATGTGGAACTCAATGGGCTCGCAGCACCAGAACCTACAAAAAGCGAGACCCCGGGTAAACGTGAAAACGGTCCTGCGAAGCCTCAACTGGGAAGGGTCAGAGTTAACCAGTCGGACGCTTGGTATGCACGGTCCGCTCCGTCGAAAGGAAGCCGTCTGACATGCATTAGTGCCTTGATGTACAACTACCGAACTGAGAGGAACCGTGTCGACGTGCTGGACCTGGATCCGTATGGGACTGCTGCACCGTTCATCGATGCCGGCATACAATGCGTCCAAGACGGAGGTTACCCATTCACAGGTCTCTCATCAAGCGAATACACTGACATGCTATCGTAGGTCTTCTCTGTGTGACATGCACAGATCTCTCTGTCCTTGCAACCGTGAACTATCCGGAGAAGTGGTGGGTTGGTCTCAATCCATACATTTATCTAGTCTGACCTCTGCACTACTTACAGCTTCTCGAACTACGGCGGCTTGCCCGTCAAGGCACAGTACTGCCACGAAGCGGTATGTTCGCTTTTGCTGTTGTATTCAATTGCCTTTTCTTACCCGTAAGTCACAAGGCCCTTCGACTCGTGCTTCACTCTCTGTCGACGTCTGCATCGAGATACGGTCGGTATATCCAGCCCGTACTCTCTCTGTCCATCGATTTCTACGTGCGCATATTCGTGCGCATCTTCTCAGCACCGATTGAGGTTAAGAAGGCCTTCAGGTGGGTAGATCACGCTATTCGAGGGCTAGAGTAATCTTCATCATTGCTCGGCAGTAAGACAGCAACATACTACATCTGCTCAGGTTGTCAGCACTGGTACGAGCAACCCCTCGGGAGGATTGTCGAGAATGTCCACCAGCCTAGCGGCAACGTCAACTTGCAGTTCAAGGCACACACCGGACCTCCAGTTGCTAACAACTGTCCAGAATGCAACTCAAAGCTGCATGTATGTGCAATTACTACGCTGTCACGCAGTGTGCTCAGCTATTGTAGATAGCAGGGCCGATGTGGTCGGGTGCTATCCACGATCCTAGCTTCATCGGGAGGGTGCTGGACCATGTCGACGCGAGTTCCTCCAGCTATGGCACCTCTACCCGTATGAAGGGCATGCTCACCGTGGCGAAGGAGGTTGGTTCCCGATATCATTGACGCAACCAACGCCCTGAATGCCCCATAGGAACTCACGCAACCATTCTACTTCACTCCGTCAGTAATTGCTGGGCACTTCCATTGCGTATGTCCACCGTTGGACGGGATGTCGTGGGTTGCATTGTCCGCGCCTCGATTCACCTACTCAACTATCTACCAGGTCCGCGCTACTCCATGCTGGGCATAAAGTTTCACGATCGCATGCTTGCCCCGGCTCCCTCAAGACGTCAGCGACCCTCGCGGACGTACATGACGTCTTCCGTTCCTGGATCAAGAAAAATCCTGTCCGGATGGACAAAATCTCACCGAATTCGCCTGCGATCCACCTGCTGAGCAAGGAGCCCAAGTACGTCATGTCCCATTGGGTTTCTGATATGACGTTGATTGTACGGTGGCAGAGCGGAGGCGAACTTCAAGCATCATCCGCAATCGGTCACATCATCATCCAAGGTCAAGATTGTCCGGTACCAAAACAACCCGACAGCGCACTGGGGCCCCGGGAAAAAAGCGGGTACGGGGCCTGCTCCGACAGGAAAGAGGAAACGAGAAGGCGACGACGAATAATCATATTGAGATGCGGTAATGCAGCAACAGCAGAAAACACAATGTACGTAGGGCAAAGTATCTGTGCAAAGCATATATAGTCCCCATGTCACACACTGGAACACTACGCGGGCGTGTACAAACGAGCAGACAAGAGCGAGCGGGATGAGAGGAGCGATGGGACGATACAGTCATATACTGGTCAATGGCCGAGCGGCAGCGGTTGATTCGCGATCCAGGGATGTTTCAGCAGTGCGGCAGCAGACGGGCGGGCCTCGTGGTTTAGTTCGAAAGTCGTCTGGAGGAAGCTCTCAGCCTCGGGCGAGATATCCGCAGGGATGGTCGGTTTGGCGGAAGACCCGATCTGTGATGAGCGAAGTGAACATGAGACGTGCATGGAACGGAAGAGTGCTCGGCAGCCCACCTTGAAGATAGCCTGCATCTGTGTGAGCTGTGCCCAAGGATGTTCGCCTGTCAGCATCTCGACAACGAGACAACCGACACTCCAGATGTCAGCTTTCTGCGTGTAAGCAGTCTGCTTGACCACTTCTGGTGCCATCCAGAACACGGAACCTTGCAAGGAGGGCCGGTGTGCTCGGTGACCTGGGAGAAGATCTGACGCGCACACCGATCAGTCCACAACGTCACAAGAAGGCGACTCTGCCACTCACTGTCCTCGACTTTCTTGGAGATGCCGAAATCAGAAATCTTGATACCCCCCTTGTTATCTACAAGCATGTTGGCACCTTTGATATCACGGTGGATAATATCTCGCTCATGTAGATAGTTGAGGCCAAGGAGAATCTGCCGGACCCAATTGCGCACAAGCGGCTCCTCGAACGCGCCATAATTCCGAAGGAGAGAAGTGACAGATCCGCCAGGGACGTACTCGAGGAAAATATTTAGATGATCATCGTCCATGCAAGAGGCTAGCCCGCCGGAACCATCAGTGGCATGGCATCCCATGAGTAAACGGCAACGTACATAAATATTGCACAATGTTCTCATGCTGCAGCTCTTGCAGGAGTTCAATCTCGCGTTCGAGAGCACTCAGCATGCTCTTTTTGCGCTCTTCGTTCGGTGCAGAGCCAGTCGGAAGCTCGACTTGCTTCACCGCCATGAGTAAGCCTGTGGAAGCGTCCATGCCGAGGTAGACCTTGCCGAAGGACCCCGCGCCAATCAGGGCCCCCTTGATCCACTTGATGGTCCTCTCACCTGGAACGAAGGATAGTACAGTCAGCTCAACGTCGAATAAAAGAGACAAAGGACATACGACCAGCGGAAATTGTCGTCTTCCCAGTCTCTTCCTCGTCGCTCAGCGCCGCGTTATTCTCCATCGTCCCATCGTCTTCAGACTCAATCTCTTCTTCCTCTTCCTCCTCGTCCTCTTCTTCCTCCTCGTCCTCATCCTCGTCCATGATGCTCTTTTTCTCCGCGTCGTCCTCGGCGTCCACTTGAGTCCACTCATCCGAGCCACTGTCAGGCTGAAGAGTGCTCTGACGTCGACTCTCAACAGAGGCAGTGATCTCATCGACTGTCATGAGACTTGCGGTGTCGGAGCGATCCCGCTTGCTTCGCAGCTCTGTAATATAGCTCATCCGCTTGGACGCGGTCGAGAGCGTTCTTGACTGGCGTCGGTTTTCTGGCAGAGGAGTGTCAAGATTCAACGACTCTGACAAGGACTCGGAGGGGAAGTCAACCGGGGGAAGGATATGAGGGCTGGACAGCCGTTTGTACGAGTCGTCCGTTTCCAGGTCGAATGAACTGCCATCGTCCGTCGACAATGACAGGCGAGGGGGTATGTTGCGTTGCTTGGTCTCCGGGGCCGGAGGGACAGGAGGGGGAGGCGAATGCGACCTATCTGGGATAACAGGAGAAGCACTCGCCACGGACAGCCTCGCGGATCCGCGCTGCGATCCCAGGGTACTGACGCTAAACCGCGACTCTGGCGGCGCATTCCAGGACGCTACGCTGTCACGTTTGTACGGCACGCCCGCACGCATCATGCTCTGCCGCCTTGTGCGCTCGAGCACCTTCTTGTCTGCGTTCGGGAAGTACTCCGGCAAATGCGTCGTGATGAGCTCGCTGGGCGGACGCTGCCCGAAGAAGTTGCGTAACTTGTTCGCTGGACGACGCGCACTGGCGGGTGTCTCGCTGGGACTCTGCGCTGGGGCCGATGTCGAGGCCGCCAGCTCAAGGGCCTTCTCGGGGTAGGGGACCCCCAGCCCGCTGAGGATGCTGATGGAGCTTGCACGCTTGGTAGCTTTCGTAGACATGGGCATGCGGTTAGGCGTAAGGAGGTCATCGTCACTACTCCGCGCACCGATGGCGGGACTGCCTGATCTCGGTGACGGGGATTTTGAATAACTTCTCCTCCCGATCGGCCGAACAATCAAGCCATTCTCGCGGGACGGGTCATCCGGAGGCGCATGGCATATCGAGAGTAACTGTGCCTCAGTCAAAGGCGAACCTGTACTGAAGTTGGTACCGGTAGCGACAACCAAAGCTTGAGACATACCAGAGACATCTTCACCGCTGTTCAAGTACACACCCCAACCTTCGACACTCAACCCTCCGTCCTCTGTCTCGACACGGTCAGTTCCACTCTCGCCATCCCCTCGCGAACCCAGCTTGTTGAACTTCTTCAACGCCTTGATGAGCATCTCAACGCCTCCTGCACAGTCAGCAACATTGATCGTCGCAGATTTGCCCTCGCCTGGTAGCGTGAACTTGACCAATTTGCGCCTGAGATCATCAAGAGACGGTGTGCTATGCGACGCATTGTTCTGAGGCGTGTTCGGCCGCATAGGCCCAATGATCCCGTTCCTGTTATATGGTCCTGTAGGGGGAGATGGTGTGCCCGATACCGCGTTGCTACGCCCGGGAGCAGAGGATTCAGAGATAGGTGATAGTCCAGCCTGGGTACCATTCGCAGCGTACGGATGTGTATTGCTTCCTGTCGATGGCCGGGGAGGAAGCTTCAGGGGCGGGGCAGGTGGTGGGTTATTGAGCGAGCCACTGCGATTATGGGCGTTGTTCTGGGCGTTGCTACGGTTCGACTGTGATATCGTAGGGAATGGCAGCTGCGGGGACTGAGACCGAAGAGGCGTTCGAGCGCCCTGTGATCCTGACGTCGGTGTGAGCAGGTTATTCGTATGCGGCGAGTACGGGGAGCCATCAGGTTGGATGGGTGTGCGTCGACCAGACAACACACTTGGTGGCAGCTGCAGGTTGTGCGGTGTCCGCGGGTTGGGCGGCAGTGGCGGTTGACCGCGGGGCGGAGGCGGTAGTGGCGGCAGATTAGAGCGGACACTATGCGAGGTGGTAGGAGTGCTATGCGTAGAGGAGCCGCTGCCGGGCTGCTGCGGCAAGGGTCGGATGCCATTCACATACCGCGCAGACGTCGAGCTGGCCGCTGGTTGCGTCGATCCCGACGATTCTGAACCGTCGCGAATGATCCTAGGCAGACTCGGGTCAGGCGAGCCCCCCGCAGGCGTGAGGTGCAGCGGAGCGGGCCGCCCGCTGTCAAGGCGGCGATGACCGTGTAGTCTGCCGAGCGCGCCAACGTCGCTGTTCAGGCTGTTGGAACGAGAGAGGTCGGACACCCGCGGGCGGTTCATGATTGATGCGAGTGCAGCATTGGCAGACGAACAGCGTTGCCTGAGGGACTTGACCCCGTTGAGGACGCGCAGGCGGTCGCCGACGCTGGTCATACCCATCTCCTTGAGGGTAACCTGGTCCAGCTCGAGCAAGACATCGCCACGGATGTCATTCGCACTGAAGGTGCTCGCGAGGTGCCCGCACCTGACATCGGAGAGCCAGCGTGCGACCAATGCGTCGTCCCATGTGCCCAAGAAGTCCGAGAAGGACATGCCTGGAGGAGGGTCGAAAGAAGAACCATTGGCGAAGCGGGACTGGCTATGGGAGGAGAAAGTGGGTGAGTTGGGAGACGAAGTCTGCGAGGGTGGCTGCGAGGCGTCGTCGAAGGGCTGGAAAGCGCCATTACCCGCAACGACCGCTGCCATGCTGGTTCAAGTGCAGCACGAGTGGACTGATTGGCCTCTGCAGGTGGACAGAGCGCGGCAGAACTGATCGACGAACTGCTAGCCCCGGCGGGATGGTCGCGTAGTAACCCTTGTGGCGCGTGTCGTCGACGTCAACGCTGGCTACACAGCGCGTGAGGCGGGCTGAGGGCCGTCGGCAGGACGCTGTGAGCAGAAGAAAGGCGAACGAGGGGGAGAAGGGTAAACAAAGGACTGGATGTCGAGGCCAGGGTGAGCGCGACGCCCGCGTTCGCGTGAGAGATGGATCTCCCGCATTGGGCGCGACGCGCTTCAGCCCGTCCACGCCCTGATCCTGATCTCCCCTGGCCTCCCCCCTCATGCTCCTGATCCTCGGACACACTGCTCTTCCAACCACTCAGCGTAGAGCCAGGCCTCAGCTCTGCTTGTCATCGCGGTCGCAGCCTGCGGGGTATTTGCTGGTCTCATACATGCTCTGTGCGACAGAAGCATTCTCGCGCGGTCGTCGCCTCCAACATCATGGTCAGCATGCAACGGCGCTCGACTGATATGAGGAAGCTTCAGATCAGTTAACCAGCCTGCTTCCCGAGCCCGACCGCCGATTGACGAAGCTGGGCGTTGAGGCTGATCACGCGCCACCCACCACTTGTCTTCAGGTTGAACGTAACCTCGAGCTCAGGCGTAATTCTGACTAAATTAGCGTCGAGTCGCCGTCGACTTCTATGGTGCGTGTCGAACTGACAAAACACCTGTGCGTCTGCCAAACAGTCGTCGGATGTCCATATCAGATACAGGACACTTGCAGGACACCATCAATATGAGACAGGTCGCCTCGCTCAAACCGTGATGTTCTATCCGCGCGCACTTGACTCCGGCTGCTAATACAACAGACGAGCACGAAGGCTTGATTCCGCTCGAGAACAGAGCGAGCTGTATCGCAGCGTTCTTGTGCAGTAACTCGTAGTTCAGGCGAGTCTGTTCTCACATTTGTTGTCTGACAACTCATCGCACGCGTCACAGCTATGTGTCCGTATATACGGAGGTGGCTATGAACCGTGAGTTCAGTGCTACTAAGGTAACGACGATGCTCTTGAGATGGTTGTAGCAGATTGTCCAATCAAGTATGATCATGTCATACAAGGCCTGAAGTAGGTGTGCGCTCATCCCTGCAATGACATGGTGTGCCGGTCAGCAATCGAATGTATTTGCGGAAGACATCGCATTTCCCTGGCTATCTCGTAGGTTCTATGTGCGAGCGGTGCCGCAAGTAGCTCGCCGCGAACTCATTGGCTAACTCTTGTGGCCAGGACAGGAAGTCACCATGCGATCCCTCAATGCCTCATGCATGACCGGAGCAGAATTGGGTGCCCAACGGGTACCGTCGTATTTCGCTATTCGGATTGACGTGAACGCACGCCGCATGCCGTCACCACTTGCCCGGGCGAGTTCAAATAGACGTGCAGATCTCGAGGAATGCCATTCGTTCCTGGACTGATATGATCTGTCAGTACTGCTCGGACGCACTGTGAGGCCGAGCGCGGCAGCTCACGTATTGATATTTGCGGTGCTATTCTGGTACAACCTCCTACAAATTTCTCCGACCTTGTACTGGACTCTGAAAATGAAGAAACGCTGCCCATGGAGACGATCGTGCTGCTTGCGGGACCGAACCAAGACCGAACAGATGTAGTTACAGCATCCGGCCTCCGTCATCCCCACCTTGTGGAGACTCTGGAGAGATGGTTTCCAGGTGAGCCACTTTCTGATGCGGCTCACTGGTGAAGTACTGTATATCCGCTACCCATAAGAGTGAGCGCGAAAATGAGAAAAGCACGAAATGCGTAGGTCACAGCTTGACATCTCGGTCGGACGAGTGGCAGTCACAAACCACTTCAGACAGCGAGTGCATCATCCGTCGGCGACGCCGGGACTTACTTGGTGGATTGGCGTGGTCCTGGATACATCGACAGCGTCGACATGTTGCGGTGGTGCGCCAAGCAGGCTGCCTGATATTTGCCCGATGTCAGCGCCTCGCGCGCACCGGAGGGGCGATTGTGATGTACGTAGTGAATTTTTACTCATGGAGGATGGTCGCTGCCGCCGCGCCGCTAGCGCTGTTTCTACATCCACATCAAGAGAAGTCGTTGGAATGGCAGCCCGTGGATTGCAGCATACGAGCACTATTCCAAGTGTCGACTCGCCCGGAGCTGTCGCGGACGCTTTTCAGAGCGTGCCACCAGCTGTCGATCCCGAGGCACGGTAGGCCCTTGTGAGGCATGTGAGGAGTGGCCGACGGCTTCGTAGAAGAGTACCTTTGCAAGAAGTTTAGACCGAGATGGGCCCCTCAATCAAGCAAGGCGCCGAGGTGGATTGCCCTAAATGGAAGAGCAAACACTCCGCGGCGGTGGCTGAAGCTTCGGTGAGGGCTGGGCGGGCTCGATCAGGGACGTCGTCGCGTAGCCGACGCTGTGATTCCAAACCCGGAAAGGCATATCGGTCAGCAGTGGACCCGACGGGCATGTCTGGCCGCAGTGCGCTGCGCAGGGCGGCGGGGGCGCTGGGCTGGCGGGGGCGCGGGGGGATGCCTGGGGCGTTGTGGGCGACAATATTGCAGCAGCCTGGCGGAGGGTGCGAGGGAGGAGGAGGGCGTAGGACGGGAGGTGGAGGCCGCCTCCGCCCCGGCCGGCGTCTGGGTGCCGGCGCGAGAACGGCCAAATAAAACGAGGCGGCAATTTCTGGGCCCTTTCCAGCGCCTGTTCGGCTGTGTCCCAACATCCTCCCTCCCTCCCTGCACGTCCCCGCCGTAATAGCTCTCGGGCTCTCCTCCCCTTCGTTCCTTTCCACCCTCTCCCTCTTTCAGGACCTTTCCTAGCACGGCTATCGCTCCGTTCTCTCGTCCCGTACCATAGCATATCACGTTCATCGCTCAGTCTCGTCTCGTCTTTCCGTCATGTGGGTGCGCACAGCGGCGACAGCGCTGCTGTCGCTCCTCACGCTCGCCCACTTGGGCGTAGCATCACCATATCGAGAGGACCTCGCGGACTGGAATCTCAACCAGAACAAAACTGCGACGGACGTCCTCGATTACTACTATCCGAAGCGCGATAGCTACACGAGCTCGCCCAATAACTGGCGCGCTCTCCCCTTCTACACGATCCTCCTCGACAAGTTCGCCGATGGGGACCCATCCAACAACGACTTTTTCAACTCTGTGTACGAGTGGGACTGGCGGGAAACGCAACTGCGCGCGGGCGGTGACCTTGCGGGCATGGTAAACAGGCTGGATTACCTTCAGGGAATGGGTGTCAGAGCTATCTACATCTCTGGAACGCCGTGGTTGAACGAGATCTGGGCGGCCGACAGTGAGTATCTGTTCGCACTCCGTGTATGCTGTTCGCCTCACGCTCCGCAGGTTACTCGCCACTCGACTTCTCCGTGGTCGACCCCCACTTTGGCACGCTCGAGACATGGCAGAATGCTATCGACGAGATTCACAAGCGGAACATGTACATTATCCTGGATTTCACCGTTGGCACCATGGCCAATCTTGTCGGCTTCAAAGGGTAGGCATCCATGCGTTCGCTTGCGGGCACAGCCTGGGCGCTGACTACAGAATCCGATTAGGTACACGAACACATCGGCGCCGTTCAGCATCGAGGAATACGAAGCTGTTTGGCTCGATCCAAACTATGCACCGTGGAACTTTAGCCGCTATGTCGATTTCTCGGTAAGTTGCTGCGCTCGACCTTCCTTCTGATTGTACTTATACCGCCGGCAGTTCGAAAATGAGTACAACAGCTCGTGCCAGATGCCCGTGTTCTGGGGAGACGACGGAGCGATCGTAGACGTCGACTGGAACGGCGGGTGCTATGCGTCAGAGTTCGACCAGTACGGTGATATGGAGGCTTTCGGTGTTCATCCCGACTGGCAGCGTCAGCTGTCGAAGTTCGCGTCCGTGCAGGACCGTCTCCGGGAGTGGAACCCCAACGTCATGGCGAAACTTACCAAGTTCTCCTGCATGGCAATCACGGCTCTGGACTTTGATGGCATCCGTATCGACAAGTCGACCCAAATGACAGTGGACGGTCTCGTCCAATGGACGTCGATAACGAGGAATTGTGCCGCGGAGCTCGGCAAGAACAACTTCCTCATCGTGGGCGAAGTTACGGGTGGTGACTACTTCGGAGCGCTCTATTAGTGAGTAGAGAATTATACCGGTAAATGCGCATCGACTAACGTGCACTATAGCGGCCGTGGTCGTACACCCACTGAGCGACCGGGTTATAACGACGCGGCCAACATGACCGAGTCAGAAAACCAGTGGTTCCTACGGGAGCAAGGTAGTGAGGGTCTCGACGGCGCCGCTTTCCAGTATTCCATATACCGCGGCCTGACTCGCTTCCTTGGTATGGACGGTGATCTGGAGGACGCCTACGATGTCTCGAAGGACTTCGTTACCGCGTGGGACGAGCTCTTCGTCGACGACGATATGCTCAACCCGGGCAACCATAATGTGGACCCTCGTCACTTGTACGGCACCAGCAACTTCGACGTCTTCAGATGGCCGAGCTTGGAGAACGGGACGGAGCGCAGCGTCCTGGCGACGTTCATCACTACACTAATGATGCCTGGTGTTCCACTGGTGGGTCTCTGTTGATCAAGCGTTCATGAATGCACATCTAACGCACTCACAGCTATTCTACGGAGAAGAACAGAACTTCTACTTGTTCGATAACACCGCTAACAACTATCTCTATGGGTGCGCAGGGCTGCTGGTTTATCTCTGCCAACGTTGCTCACATCTGCTCCGATAGGCGTCAGGCTATGTTCAGCAACACCGCATGGAAGCGTCATGGATGCTATAGGCTTGGCTCGTCGCAGTACTATTATCTCCCGATGGGCCGTTCCTTGATTGGATGTAAGGACGATTGGAACGCGCTTGACCACTTCGACCCGACCGCCGACACCCGCCGTCTCTTCGCGCACTACCTCCACCTCCGGACCAAGTACGACGCTCTACAGGATGGCTGGGATCTCACTACCCTCCGGAACTGGACGTACTCCATCGAGCGCCCAGGATCCAACGGCACCTCCACGGAAATGGGGTTGTGGTCTGTCTCCCGAGGTCTGCTTGAGAACTACCAGCCGACGGCCGGGAACACGACGCAGAAGGTCTGGATGTTCTACACGAACCAGAACGCGACTACCTCGTGGGAGTTCGGTTGCACGACTGACCAGTACATCAAGAGTCCGTATCAGAGCGGGAACACCGTCCGCAACCTCTTCTACCCCTACGAGACTGTCCAGTTGACGGATTCGGGGGAGTCTTACTATAACAATAGCCAGGCCCCGTGGTTCGGTTGCTTCCCCAGCATCACCTTGCCGCCGTTCGGGTTCAAAGCGTATGTACTCGAAGCAGATTGGGTGTCGCCGCCGCCCGCTCTCACAAAGTTTTCGCCTGGTCACGATGCGCGAGTGCCCTCCAACTCGAGCTCCATCGATATCACTCTGGAGTTCAACCTCGAGATGAGCTGCAGCAGCATCACGAACTCGATCTCGCTGAACATGTCGACTGCTGGGACTGGCATCATACCGACACTTGACACAGGCTCTGCGAACTGTGGGCCGGTCAACGGGACGCCTTCCGACGAGGTCTATGGAGTTTCCGTTTCTGCGTTCTCCTGGAAGGCGACGATCAATAACGTCCCGGACGGTGTGCTCCAAATCACCGTCAATAACCCGACCACGAGCGACGGAACCGCGTCTACTAACGTAAGTCGTTATGCCGTCTAGTCAATTCACACTTTTTGACTGATGTACCATCGCGATAGGCTACCGATCATCTGCTCATTCGCAAGGGTGCACCAGACAACGTCGTTGTGTGGGACAACGCGAGCTACGATGCTGGCGCCCTCCAGTACAGCGACGGCCAGTACACGTTCACCCACAAGGCGTACGGCGCGGACACGTTCCGGATGTCCACCAACTTCGCGCAGAATTGGTCGGCCTGGCAGTCGTGGGAGAACACGACGACGATCTCTGCGGAGAACTTTACCAGCAGCGACAACTGGTGGGAAGGGGAGCACATTATAGTTCAATGTAAGCCGTATGAATGCTTGCATGTGAAATGCGGTGCTGATCGCAGATTCACATGTAGACTGGAGCTACCTCGCGCAGACGTCGAGTATGGTCGTGCATTCGGACGTCAACTATGACAAACCGCGGCGCGTTCCTCAGTTCCTCGTCCGTGGCCCATACAACGAGTGGGGTTACGATCTCGGCTTACCTTACCGCATGGCCCAATCGGATACAGACGACGATTACTGGCACATCAGGATCGCTGATAGCTGGCCTACCTACGTCCAGCTGAACGTCTTCGGGTTCGACAACTACTTCTATGGTGACGTCGACGGCGATGGTGTCATGGAACGCCTCCCGCCGAACACGCTGTCGGCGAACTATCTGAACATGTCCAAGCCTCCGCACCCCTACGTCGCGTGGGACCTGGTCGTTGACGACGAATCATTGACCTGGTGGCTCGAGCCCATAGGCGAGTCCTCGGTCGGTGCCATCACCTTCGCCCTGCTCCTGGCCATTCCGTTCGCGACCGCCTCGTTCGCTGTAGGCGTCTTCATCTGGTCGTTCTACGGCATCAAGTACAACAAGTGGGGTGTCAAGCCGCAGAAGGACCACAGCAACTACTTCCCTATTCTCGGCGCGCTGGGTCATAAGTCGTCGGAGAAGGTGTCGGAGATGCACACACCGCTCACGGAGAAGATGTTCGGTCACAAGCAGACGGAGCTCATCGGTTGGCCTGAACTCAAGGACAAGCGCCGTAAAGTGCTGATCGCTACCCTCGAATACGAACTCATCGACTGGAAGCTCAAGGTCAAGATCGGTGGTCTTGGTGTCATGTCCAGTCTCATGGGGAAAGCAATGACAGATGTCGACCTCATCTGGGTCATTCCTAAGGTAGGGGACATCGACTATCCCCAAGGAGATCCAGCGGAACCTATCGAGGTCATTATCTTCGGCGAGCCGTACTTGATCGAGGTCGAGACGCACGTCCTGGACAACATCACATACGTCATCCTCGATAGTCCTGTCTTCCGCGCTCAGACGAAGTCCGACCCGTATCCCGCTCGCATGGACGACCTCAGTTCCGCGATCTTCTACTCTACTTGGAATCAGGCCATCGCTGCTACCGTCCGTCGCATCCCCGACATCGATATCTACCACGTCAACGACTACCACGGCGCTCTCGCTCCCCTCTACCTCCTGCCGAAGGTGCTGCCCGTTTGTCTCTCGCTGCACAACGCGGAGTTCCAGGGTCTCTGGCCGCTCCGCACAAAGGAGGAGATGAAGGAGGTCTGCTCGGCGTTCAACATCAGCAAGGAGCATTGTACAAAATACGTGCAGTTCGGCAACACGTTCAACTTGCTTCACGCAGCGGCTTCCTTTATCAGCGTCCACCAGAAGTCAATTGGTGTCGCCGGTGTGTCTGACAAGTACGGCAAGCGGAGTTGGGCGCGGTACCCCGCGCTGTGGACACTCAAGCACGTCGACTCCCTGCCCAACCCGGATCCGACGGATATCGCCGCATTGGACGAGAATCCTGTGAACGTCCGTGACATCCAGATTGACGAGAACGCTGAAGCGCAGCGCCCGGAACACAAAAGGCAAGCGCAGGAGTGGGCTGGTATTAAGCAAGATCCAAACGCCGCTCTGTTCGTGTTCGTCGGTCGATGGTCGAAGCAGAAGGGTGTGGATTTGATCGCGGATGTCATGCCTTCCCTGTGAGTAATCGCGCTATGTTTTCCCGTGTATGTGCGTCTTATTGACCGAAACGGTAGACTCGACAAGCGTCCCGAGATCCAATTGATCTGTGTCGGTCCCGTTATCGACCTCTACGGTCGATTCGCTGCTGAAAAGTTGGCGCGTTTGATGGAGCTCTATCCTGATCGCGTCTACTCCAAGCCCGAATTCACGGCTCTCCCTCCGTACCTGTTCAGCGGTGCCGATTTCGCGCTGATCCCCTCGCGTGATGAGCCGTTCGGTCTTGTCGCCGTGGAGTTCGGTCGAAAGGGTGCTCTTGGTGTCGGTAGTCGTCTCGGTGGTCTCGGTCTCATGCCTGGTTGGGTAAGTGTTGCGTGCTGTGGCTACATGCAAACGGTCTAACAGCCTTCGAATCATAGTGGTTCCCTGTCGAGTCGATGTCTACCGAACATATGATGTCGCAACTGACGAAGACCATCAAGATGGCCCTGAAGTCTACCGAGGAGGAGCGGGCGATGTTGCGTGCAAGATCTGCAGTGCAGCGCTTCCCCGTGGTCGAATGGCGGCAACGTATGGAAGACTTCCACAGGCGCAGTATCGGGACGAGTCGCAGACAAGCCGGTCACAACGCGTGGCGGCCCTCTGACGCAGAAGACGTTCAGTTTAACGGACATTACGCAATCGCGGAGACCGAGGACTGGAATCCGGAACATCAAGCCTATCCTTCACAGCCAGACTGGGATAACCGGAGCGTCAGCGATAGCCCAGCAATGCCGTCCTCTCCTGGCTCGCCTGGACAGTGGAGTCAGGACACATTGACCCCGGGCGGCGACCCTCACCTGGTCGCCCCGCGGTTCCTTGGTTCGGAGTCTCGCAGAGGCTCGTACAGATCCGATATCTCTGTCTCGGATAGCGACCATGGTTCTGTTGAGAGAGGCTCAAGACAGGACTTCGGGGACTTCCTTGAGCGAGCAAATCGCACAATTGCTCGCGACCGAAAGCATATGCCTGATCCTTTCCTAGACAGCAGCACCCCAAGCAGACCATTCACGATGCATTCGAGGGTCTCGTCGGTTGAGTCCATATCGTCCATTGTGGATGAGAAGCAGCATTCGCCGCTAAACAAAGCGATTGCATCTGTACGTTCTGTGTCGTAACAGCATCTTGTATGACTACTAACGACCTCCTTTGGTAGTTCACTGACGCAGACGGCGGTGTCGCGCAAGAGTTCGCGCAGAGGCTGCAGGGTTTGAACGCACATAACTCCAAGCACGAGCTTTCGATTGAGAAGTTTTTGACCAAGAGCGAGGAGAAGTTCTTCGACAAGGTGAAGCACGACAAGCTATCCAGCGCAGCAAGTGTTCGGTCGTCACGGCGAGACTCCATATGGGGAACACCTGCTCCCTCTTCGTTCGATCATTCTCGCCCGTCGTCTCCGAGCACACGCTCCTTCGCAGGAGACGGGCTCGCGACCTTGGACGACTACAGTGCTGCGCTCATCAATGAGGACACTGCCGTCATGTCGGGTTTGCAAGTCGCCATGTCTCGCGAGATTGGTGGTTGGCCACTGTACACCATCGTCATTGGCGTTGGCCAGATGCTCAGTGCGACAAGCTTCCAAATCTCCCTGCTCTCTGGAACAAGTACCCAATCCAATCTGGATCTCTACGTCATCGGAGGTATCTTCCTTGCCGCGACTGCTGTGTGGTACCCGTTGTTCCGCCTTAAGCCGTCCGTCTACGTCCTGTCAATACCGTGGATATTCTTCGGCATAGCCTTCTTCCTCGTCGGCTTGCCCTCTCTGACGAGCTCCCTCCATTGGTTGCATTACGACCTCGCTAGTGCGGGTACGTGGTCCTACGCAGTTGCTTCAGCGGCAGGTTTCCTTTTCTTCGGATTGAACTTTGGAGAAGAAGCGGTGCGTATGTTCTGTCTGTCGTCCTGTCTTGATACTGATGCCACGAGCAGGGTGCAGCAACAGAAGTATGGATGATGCGTGCATGCATTGTACAAGGTTCTCAGCAAGTCTGGGTGGCTGCTCTCTGGTACTGGGGCTATCAGCTTGACAGCGTCTCCGCCGGATATCTGATGCCCTGGTGGGTCGTGCTCATTGTCTGGCCTTTGGCGGTCATCAGCTGGCTCTTCGCCTACCTGATGCTGTATGGGCTGCCTGGTGAGTCGTTTAAGCCAAGTCAGATGCGAATGTCCATCTCACATTTGCTGCAGACTACTACCGTCAAGCACCACCAAAGGTACCTCACTTCCTGAAGACCCTATTCCGGCGCAAGATTGTCATATGGTAAGTCAGATATCTCATGGCTGCACGGTCGACACTGACGGTTGCTCCAGGTTCCTAATATCCGAGATTTTACGCGATTTCTGGCTCAGTGCAGTGAGTACTGTCTGCGATTAGCTCGAGCGGCGAGATGTTTACATGCGCGTCCAGCCTTACGGTCGAAACTGGAGTTTCCTGTGGAACCAGAGCATCCCGAAATGGCACATCCTGCTGCTGGTTATTGGGTTCTTCGTCGGCGTCTGGGCCATCCTCATGTTCGGACTGACGCAACTCAGCAAGACCCATACATGGCTGCTTCCCATCTTCGCTGTTGGTCTGGGTGCCCCGCGTTGGTGCCAGATGCTCTGGGGAACGTCTGCATTGGGCCTCTTTGTGCCTTGGGCGGGTAATGCCGGACCCTATGCTGCTATCTCCCTTTGGCTGTGGTTAGGTGTTCTCGACGCAGTCCAGGGTGTCGGTCTGGGAATGATCTTGCTTCAGGTACGTACCTGTTGACCCATCTGCTGCATATTCTGACGGAAGTCGTGCTCCAGACTCTATCGCGTTTGCACGTGTGTGCGACGCTCGCTGCAGCCCAGGTCGTCGGAGCTACTGTCACCATGATTGCTCGCGCATTATCGCCTGATGGGACAGGCCCAGGACATGTATTCCCTGATTTCGCTCTGTGGAGTTTCTCCGAGGGTCTCAAAGGTGCGTTTGTTTTCATCGCGATGTGTCATTTGCCTGACATGATATGTCCCAGCATCACCACTAGCGTCGTGGGCTTTCTGGATCGGTCTTGTTTGTCAAATTATCATTGTTTGCGGTTACTTCTGGTTCTACCGCAAAGAACAACTTGGTCAGTGGTTCTCGTGTTCATCCAGTTGTCGGATTCTGATACGCTACTGCAGCACGCCCATGATCACGACTAGAGCCCATGAGTTCCCTAGACTTTGGTATCTGCGACGGACATCATATTATCTTCGGTGGTATATCTCTAGCAGCAAAGGGACTGTTGTTTGTGAAGGACTTGTACTCTTTATCGTCTTACGACACACGCTCACTCACTATACACCCACGTATTATACTCTTGGATATCCGGTCACAGTAATGCAGTATAACCACTAGAATTCACTCTATATACGGCATAACATCTCTACGTTCGGCAGCGCGAGCACGTTGGACTTGGGTGCGCGTGTGGCTAAGTATGTCAGCGAGACAGTTGAGCAAACCAGCCACTGTGTACGTCCAACGTTCATCTTTGCCTACGAATTCAGTTGCCTGAGCCGTCACCTTGTAGACAGTCCTCGTCTCTTCCTCAAGCGATACGCATTAAGTTGCTGTACCGTGCGGTCGTACGCATTGACTAGCAATTTGTATCCCATCTCGGAACCAAGTCCTGGCCAGTGTCGGTGGCCCGGCGCCGTCATTCTGCTTGTGATCTCTGGGTGGGCAGATGGACGCGCCGAATTCATCCAGGCGGAGTAGATCTACCGGCTTTGCGTGCTGCCACGGTTTCCGTCTCCGTGAAAGATATGAGACTGGTGAAGAGGATCAGCTCCGAGTCGGTCTTGCAGTCACCGAACCGCCACGCACACAGACTCGGGCCCGGGGAGCACTCAGGCTCTTGAGCATGATGTCAGAGGCAACGGTAAACTCATTCAACTGCCTAGACATCGTCTAGAGGCGGCCAGTTCCAAATCTCTTCTTAGTCAATCGATACCTCTGTAAATGTACCAGGGACGCCCTTCACAGAACGCCATACATCGACCTTTACATCCATGGACTTCAGTCGTAAGATAGCGTCGGTAGAAAATCCCACATCAGTCAGAGTGACCGTCGCCAAAGGCCTCCCTTCCTTAGACAGATGGTTTATATATGCCTCGAGTTCCGGCACCATTGCGTCTCCACCGAAGCCTTGCTGAAGAGCTAGTGCGCGCAATCGTGGACAGATTGCATTATCGTCACACGAATTACGGAGTGCGGTGAGTATGTCGGGAGAATGGATGTCGATCAGCTGCAACTGCTGCAGGTGCTTGGTCATTTGCAGGTGGGTAGGCCAGATGTGCGGCGCGACAATGGTACGATCGGGATGTTCGCGTATGGTGAGCGACTCCAGGTGCCGTATATCCAGCTTCTGGAATGCGTCTCGAAGTGCGAGTGCCATGGAATCAGCCCTTCGCAATTCTAAGGAGCCCAGCTGCGGGACCTTGATCCGCGGGTGGCGGGCGCCGACAGGAGAGAGAGAAAACTTGAGTGTTCTGTAGGAGATCTGTTCGATTTCCATTGAGCGAATGTTGGATAGAGCGGGGATACGACTGAGGTCCGCAGGGAGCATATCGAGAGGAAAGTCGACCTGTCCTACTTCAGGGATTGAGACGATCTTTACGCGTGTCCGCGCCGTGACTTGCAGGCTACCCAGCACAGACGACGTCCAGGCCGAAGGCAGGAAACCGAAGATGAGTCTCTTGAGCTCCGGCAGCGTGATGACCCGTGGACAATTGGGAGTAGGGCCTACATAACGCGGGAGACCATCGAGCTCGTACTCCCAGCAATGGTACAACAATGATTCCAACTGGGGGGTTCTCTCCAGGACATCAAGGAAGGTGTCTACGTCAGGAAGCATGTCGCACTTCTGGTTTCGGAGGTCAAGTCTGGTAAGGTTCGCGAAGATGCTGGACGTCCAGTAGACATGGACCACGTCCAGGTCGAGTATCCGCAACTTCGGTGCCGCGTCGTCGAAGAGTGTGGTCCTGATAACGAGGTCACCCACGCCCTTGACCCACTCGCATATATCAGGCAATTGTAGGCTTAACGTCTCCAGGAACGGGGCAGGTTCTGCAAGGAGGTCGAACACGAGCAGTAGCTCTTGCTCGTTCGCCGCCTCCACCTCCAAAGTCTTCGTACGGCTTAACGGCAGCATACCTTGCAGATCCTGCAGTACCGGGTATGTCGACGACAGAGTGGAGCCATCTACCCGATAGTGTAGGTGCGTATTCCCAGATCGTACGAGGAACAGCTCCGCAAGACGACGCTGTCGAAGCGGGATGTGCGTCCAGAGGCGCGGAGTGGTGAGCACAACGGTGCGCCACTGCGTAGAAACCCGACTGAGGTCGAGGACGCGCTCTTGGTAGGACCCATCCTCCGTCACTAGCAGGAATACATCTGCGAGCAGTTCCTGGGGCAGGCGATTGATTGGCACAACGGAGTTGCGCAGCCGCTTGTAAGCGTACATTTGACACAAGATGTGGTGCCGCTGGTCGGCGAGATCGGTGAGTTTTTTGTTTACGCTTTCGAGCAGAGCGGAGGGGGACAGCCCCAGGGAGGCCTCGGGTGGTGTCTCTAGCGGTAGACAGGGAAGCTTGGCTTCCCTCTCTTCGTCGAACATGTTGCAGTGGGTCGGCCTTGAGTTGCAGTCTTCCTCGGCTGTCGCGCAACCCTCGCGAGGCTTCAGAAATATTCTAGATAACAGTGCAATGAAGTCGAAGCAAAGCAGCCACTAGAGTCTGGTTGGTACGCACCCCAACGTTTGCAAACCGGACGCACTGCCACGCCTATCGCGGGACGCTCGCGTTAAACAGATAGTTCGAAGGCAAGAACGTCTTACGACCGTTGCCTCCTCTCATGCGTCTCTGACAATGATGATGGAATTAGATCGCGATAGCATTTGGATAGCATTACATAATAGCAAGGTTTCTGCAGGGTCAGAATTCAGGCTCCGCCTTGTTGTGATCTGTTCGTCACCTACCGAAAACATCAGCTCTTCGAGTTGCCGCCACCTGGCGCTATAAACTTGAAATAGGCATACTTACAGTCTGTTGCCAGTCGGAATATATCGCAAGCTTGAGAGCCGGCGAACCCGCCTGCGCCATTCGAATTTATTCACCGCCGGCGGAAGCCAACACGTCGTGCTAAGCCTGAGACGCGGCGACTACGGGTGCGTACCCCTATGTACTGAGGGTGTTGCATTGCGAATGTACGCGCCGCAGGAAAGCGGAACAGACCCAATGGCCAGTAGAGGGGGGAAGCTGCGCGACCCAGCGTCAGAATGTCGAGAATCCAACGTCGCACAGTTCTGTTCAACGTGACACAAGTTCCCCCTATGACGCCCATGGGGCGATGGTCGAGGCTCCTGACAAGAAACAGCAGATCAGTGAAGGGCAAAACTAACAGCTGGAACGGGCTCACTAGGCACAGGAAATACGGCGTCATACCGAAGGGACAATCAACGGGTACATACCAGCAGCCGGATCGCACGTACACAGCAGGCACACACATCTACAAAACTTCATTCGCATCAACGCTACGTACATGACTATGGCACGCGTCCGGTCACAGACCGGCGGTGTCCGTACCGCAACGTCTGAAGTCTACGCATTACATAACCACAAACGCATACGCGCAGCGCGAAGCACGCAGTGCCCGAAGCGTCGTGATCAATCAGAGTCAGTCGAGTCCTTGATCATCATCATCACTATGCACCAGAGAAAATAGAGGAACGAGGAAAAAGACGAAGATAGCCTCGACGAGTCCCTGCGTCGAGGGATTAGATATTAAAGATGGAGCAGCGGTGCAGAATATTTGCGAGGTGCGGTGGTGAGGTGAGGTGGGGCGGGTAAGAGGGTTGGTTGGGTGAGAAGGGGGATGATGCGTATACTGTGCAAAGCGGGGTGCGAGATGCCAAAGACGTGGAATGCGATTCGGGGTTCTGCGGGGGACTTGCAAAAAGGCATTACGCGTCTGAGCGGGGCGGTCCGTATTTTAGTCGATTAGGGCGGGCTTCATACACATATATACGTTGGCGGGGATTCGCCTTCAACTGCATCCGAAAGTCAGCGCCGGTCCCAAAGCGGATAACAAGTGAAAAAACTCACAATATTCTTGTACATCATTTTCATATCACCACGTCGTCAGTTCTCCTTCATAGCCTCGCCCGGCCTCTCCCACACGAAGCCGGGGCCGTCAATCGGGCTCGGATAGTCAACCTGCATACCCAGGCGTTCACACATTGCTGGTTCGCTGTACACAGGGCTGCTCGGCATGCCACCATCTGCGCTTAACCCGAAGTTCATGCCCGCCTCCTCATCCGCGGGCGTCATGCACGACGAGAGGAAAGACGACGGTGTCGAGAGCAGCGATACGTTGTCGGTGGTCTGCGCGCGGCGCGCGAGCGGGCGCCGGGGCGTGGACGGGGGCTGCGTCATCGAGATAATCGGGATGGGGAGCGGCAGCGTGGCCGAGCGGGGTGTGACGGCCTCGATGTCCGAGCGCGACGACGGTGGCGCGGGGAGCGGTGCGGTCGGCGGGGGAGCTGGGAGCGGCGGCGCGAGCTTGCGCGACATGCGGCGGGCGTTGCTGTGAGGGGAAGAGAGACATCTCAGATGGAATCGGAGGTGCGGGCGAAGGTTACGCACCGGATCATCTGGCCACCGAGACTGCCGCTGCGCGTGCGCCCTGCGACGGTCGTGCCCTCCGGTTTCTCCTGCGAACGGGACTCGCTCCCGGAGCGCGCGCGCGCGGCCATGTATGAGTTACGCGCGCTACGGGGGACGCCGTTGCTCTTCATGGGGTTGACAGGTGATGCTGCGATTGTTACTGACGAGCGGCGCCTGCGAAGGCCAGGTCGGCCGCTGCCTTGGGAGTCCGACCGCGGTCGCGATTGTAGGATGTCGTTCGCGGAGCGTGGCGCGGCGGGGAAGTCATTGGCGGTGGGTGTAGTGTCGATCTGGAGCGAGAACGGGTCTGCGCCAGGGAGATTTGACTGCGACGCGCGGGGAGTTGTTGGTGAGGACGAGCCGGAGGTCTCGTGAGGCATGGGGGCGAGGAGGCCGGAGGAGAAGAACGAAGAGTAGAACGTGGCCATGGCGGGGGGAGATGGCGGGGCGGAGGGGTCGGTGGGGACAACACTGTCCGGGCGAGCAAATATATGTGCTGGATGGAGAAAGCGTCAGGTTTGGATGGGGAGGATGGAGCAGAGGTGGGGAGTCGCGCAGGCAACGGGGACTCACAGAACGGTGCGCTGAAGAATGCGCGAGGATACCCCTGGCCGGGCGAGGGACGGAATCGGGGCCGAGGTGGCAAAAAGGCGGGTGTGGCGGCAGCAGCGGATAAACACGCGCGCGACGCGGTGGGGCAGGTGGCGCACACTCAGACAACACTCAATACACAGACAGACACACGACGCGCAACAGCCAGGCGGCGAGGGCAGGAGGGAAGAGAGGCGAGGGGGATGCGAGCAGGGCTGCGCTGGGATTTGAACAGACGTTGCGAAGCCGCGCACAGCTACCGCTTCGCTTCTCCGTGCGCACAAACAACGCGTACACACCGCGTCCCCCACGTGTCCCGCTTCCTCCACGTCCAGGCACACTCCGTCTGACACCCCTCCGCAACCCCTCCGTCCACCACAAATTGCGACACACTTTCTCGTGCGCCCGCACCCGTGCTTGAGTGTGCCAACCTCGCTCTCCGGTGCTCAGCGTGTTGACCGCTCATCGTCATACAATAATATCACTGATATCACAGGATATCACTGACGGTAAACGTATCGCCTTCCCGCGCCGACAACCGTCGCGTATAAGTACGTGCAAACAGAAGCATCTTCTGGTCCCTCCGAAACTTCCTAACCTAACGGCCGGCCTGTACCTACCCGACTATTAGCTGTCTTGGCAACCACCCGTGCAGATCTACCTCGGTCGTCATGTCTCGCGACACCAGAGTCGTGCTCGTAACAGGTTGCAGCAAGGGTGGCATCGGGTTTACTCTGTGAGTGTCCCAGTCACACTAACACCACAATCTATCACCCTCGAGTTTGCTGGTAGCAGGAATGAAGCACCGGAATTTGGCCATCTGGTCTCTGTTCTGGGTTTGCTGAAGCGGGGCATGCTAGTATGTTGTGGCGGCGGCTCCATACACCACGCGACCTCTCCAAATCCGTTTGCGACGGTCACAGTACAGAACGGCCTTGCGAGGGCTTCTGATTCTGCCACCGCCTCGTGCGACAGCGCCCGCTGTCGTTCCTGCGCGAATGATTCAACGAAGGTTCAGGGCGCTTGGCCGAGTATGTCAGGTCGCTGGACCTATCTGTGCACAGCGAGGCAGGAGGGGCGCGAACGACGGGTCCTCTGCGCGTACCTGCCACTCGAATGTCTGGCAGCGACGTACACATTCCATCGCAGTACTCCCTATGGCCCATAACCTCTGCTACGGTGCCCTGTCTGAGCCTCTACGGCATTGGCATGTGCTCCACAGAAGCAGCGGCAGGAATGCAGCCTTGACTGGCAGGTGCCAGTGGCGGGTTTGAGCTTCTTCCTTGGTTTCGGCGACGCGAGGCATGCGAATGCAGCTATGGAACTACAGTAGGTCGAGATGTGCCTCCTGGCGTGTCGTCGTGTGGCGGTGAACAGTGTGAGGCTCGTCCACCTGAAGTGCGGAACGGCGTAGTCTAAGACGATGTACCGTCTGGCTTGTTTCGCCTGTCGTGCTGTTTCAATTTCATGCCGGACTCCCCCTTTTCAGGAGCGCATCAGGAACGTTATATATATTGACAAGCCCTCTTGCGATGCAGATGCGAGGAATTCGCCTCGAAGGGATGCAAAGTCTACGCCACTGCGCGCAGACTCGAAGCCATGGAGGGCTTCAAGCAGCCAAACATCGAGCGTCGTGCTCTTGACGTGACCAATGACGCAAATGTCAATGAAGTCGTTGCTAGTGTCATTGAGCGCGAAGGGCGCATCGACATCGTTATCAACAATGCGGGCTCGATGTGCCACGGTACGTACACCTGTTTCGTACAGACAGGACAGGGATTGAAACAAACTACATTGGTCAGGCCCGACATTGGACAACTCGATCGAAGACATTGCCGCCGTCTTCAACACCAACACCCTGTCCATCATTCGCGTCTGCAAAGCCGCCGTGCCTTACATGGTCAAGCGCAAGCGCGGACTCATAGTAAACATCGGCTCTATCGTCGGCGAGATGTACGGCTCTCCAACCACTCACTCTCAGTCCTCACTGACACTGCCTCCCGCTCAGCCCGACGCCCTGGTCCGGGCCCTACTCCGCCTCCAAAGCCGCCGTCGCCTCCTTCTCCCAGACGCTCTCGATGGAGCTTCGTCCATTCGGGCTGAAGGTCCTCCACTACTCACCAGGCGGGGTGCGCTCCAACATCGCGGCGAACGGCGCACCGCGCGTGCCGCTCCCACCCGACAGCCTCTGGGCAGCCTACCGCGATGCGATCCTCACGCGTGTCATGGCCAGCGCGGGCGGGCGGAGTGTGTCGTGCGAGGCGTTCGCGCGGGACGTCGTGAGGGAGTCGCTCAGGGAGGGCTGGTCTGTGGGCAGCTATCGCGCGGTGATGACCGCGCCGCCGGCGGGGCTGTATAAGGTGCTGGTGTGGCTGCCGAGGAGCTTGGTCCTTTGGATTTTGTGGAAGGTGGTTGGAGGGAAGCCAAAGGGGAGTTGAAGGGGAAGGTTGTAACTCAGACGTCGTCAGTGCTTACTTGTTTCGTGCTTATATGTTGTCTATCTAGGGGAGGTGCCGGAGCTTCGGCTGAGCTGTGTAGTACGTACTTTCTCGTAGTGTTCAAGTTAAGCGCATACTGTACTATAGCATCACTGGATGTCCATTCGGAGATCGTTCGAGCATACACGGCTGAGTGGATTGATTGAGCTACGGACTTAACTACGTACACATTATTTCAACTAACATAGCCCGGGCCATGCGCCGGCGGGCCTCAGTGACTCGTAAAAGGAGCCAATTAGGCAAGCATGTCTGGCTCGGCGTCACTTGACGCTTGGCCGGGCTGCGCTGTTCAGCAAACGAAACATACGGGATCCGGAGTAGACGGCTATGCGATGTTCTGCGGTGGGCAGTGTCTGATCTTACACACCTTCCTTTTCATGACTGGCGTGGAGGGTTGTGTCTGCAGCCTGGAGGGTGGTTTGCGTGTTTGCCTGCACTGATCCAATCCCATCCACGTGCAGGTTTGATCGGACGAACTGTAACTTTAAGTAGTTTGCGTCCGTACTGCTCGATCGATTCAGCACTGTCCTGCAGGTCGCTTTCAGGTCCACGAACTCCTGCGAACACTGCTGAGCCAACACTTGTCATCTGTCTGAAATCAGCTCGAACCCTCCGCTAGGCTGAAGTAGAGAGCAGACGGGGGCCTTCGTCGCGTACAAACCGGACAGAACCAACTACTTTACCAGTAAGTTCGAGTTCACCCTACTCCCGAGGATATCACATTGAGTACTGCCAGTCCTAGCTTTGTCTTCGTATCAACTCGAACGACATACTGAGGATGTCAGCTCCCGATGACAGCAGTGGCTCCCGTACGCGTCCATCCGAGTCGTTACTCAGGTTTGTCCCATTCCTTGTCACGTCACGATCTTATGCTGAGAGTTGTCGGCAGCTTAAAGCGTGCGATTGTACAGAGCTACAGGCCCGATCCAGCTCAGGAACAAATCTGTACGGAGCTCCTCGCGAGCCTGAGCTTGGACGAGGTGCCGAGCGAGGTCATGAATCCTGCTATGGATGATGCTCTACGGCAGGTGGAGGAGTACGTGCTACGGGCCAATGCGTTGATGACCATACTGCGGACCCTGCGAAACTCTGCAGTCCATATCAACCGCGTCCCAACCGAGCTTCTCGCTGAAATATTTTGGCACGCAACCCCACCGTCATCCGATCGTCGTACGGATATCGTTCAGCTCAACTGTGTAACCCATGTTTGTATGCATTGGCGTACGGTAGCTCTTGACGCCGCCAGGCTTTGGGGAGCGTTGTGGATTGCCCGCCAGAGCGACGTTGATGCATCTGACGACGAGCCTCCGAGCCGCATCGAAGAATATCTACGCCGATCAAAATCACATCCTCTTGATGTCACTATCAAGGCTCGCACGAACCTCAGGGCCACCGGTGTGGACAGCTGTATCGAGGTTCTCCGGCCTCACCAGCATCGTATGCGGGAATTGCATGTCATCACGCATCACTACGACATCATGCAATCTGTCCTGTCCTCGCATTTGGCTGCCACACGGCTGGAGGAGCTCAGGCTGGAGAGTGGGGATCCCCGGCTTGCGTTGGGGACACTCCAGCCACAGGGTCTCTTCGGTGGACATTCCCCTCCTTTGCACTCCATCCACCTCTCATCTGTGTCCGTGTCACTCAATGACGAGTGTCACATCCTGCGAAACCTGCAGCACCTCATCCTCCTGGGGCAGCGCATCCCAATCACCGAGATGGACACTTTGTTCGACATCCTAGACCATTGTCCTGACCTCAAGACCCTGAAGCTTCACAGTCACCCGGCATTGCCACGTTTGCCTGCACCTCAGCCCCCTGCCCATACGGACAGGGATGTGTTGCTGCCCTCTCTACAGGTTGTAGACATAGAGTGGCAGCAGCCCATGGTTGCTGGCTGGCTCCTTGAACACCTTTGCCTCCCTGAGACTGCCAATGTGACAGTGTATCTCCCCCACCCCGAGTATATGTCTAATCGTGCCGCCATTCGAACGGGCCTTTCCTCCATGCGCACCCTGTGGATACCTCCTACTAGTTACATCGACTCGGACCACAGGATGATTCTCTCGGGGTTCACAGATTCCATAGAAAGCTTGTTTGAAACCGAGTTCTCGCGACCCACAGGGCCCGCGTTGAGTATAAGTGTGGAGTGGCACATGGAGCTCGAGGAGGAAGCACCGGATCCCCTCATTCGTTTTATTCAAACAAAGGACGCCTCTCAGTTCAGCGCCGTCCACACACTGATCATTGACCACGGACTCTACCAAGACTTTCACCAACCTGATCATTGGGCTAGCCTCTTCGAAGTCGTGCCTGGGCTGCGGACGCTGCATCTCCGCGGGGTCAACAAAAGCCTGTCCTCATCCTTTGCCGCTCTCTGCGCGTCAGACATAGCACACGGTCAAAGTGCGATATCTGTGCGGCCCCGCCTGGCTGCGCTGCAAACCTTGGAGATAAAAGTCATGTGGGGCGAGTGGGAACTTGAAGAGGACACGAGGGCTGCGTTGACGAGAGCCGTGCGGCTCATGAGCATGGACGGTGCGCTACAAACCCTGCGGTTGGCCGTATCATCGGGTCGGGTGCATGAGGTATTGGATGTGGAGCTTTTGCGACAGTTCTGCACTGTAGAGATCACAGTAGTAGACTCAGGCAGGGATTGATGGGCACGGCTTGTACTAGCACGCCGGTTTGTTCTGTAGAAAGGGAGACGAAGAACTTAGAGCTCATGACGAATATATGCTGAATTTGGCTGCGTTCGATCACACGAACGGTGCATTGAGAAGCTTGCCACGGAGCGGCGGACGCCGTTGCGGTTCGTAAACAAGCATGCGAGGACCGACATGGTGATGAGTCCGAATCCCCACACGCCGGGGCCACAGCGCATGCTAACGCTCAGTAGCGTCGACTCTGGTAAGTCTCTTCAAGTTCGGCCCAGCGTGATAGCTTCGAACAAACTTGAAGGATCCCGAATTTATAGTGGTGCATCTTGCCGTAACGGACTGCTATAGCCTATCGCATCCGCACCCTGGCTCATCCAGTGAGAGACGCGCCCGCGCCCAGGTTGGCTGCAAGCTCGCTGCAGTTGGAGACCAACGTACGACGTTAACGTTCAACTGCGACTACTAGTTACTAGAGAACTGACCATGGTATGTAGTTCCTACTTCTGGACGGCCATACGATTGTCAATGGCAATGGATCTGTCGCGTTTGGTGGCGATGATGAATCGCACAAACAACGTGTAAACAATGGCAAGGTAGTACTTCGCCGGCGCCTCGTTTACGGTACCTACTACCGGCCGCGTGGCCCGTGTCGTGACTATAATTTTCGCCAGTCGCTACTTTGTCTGGAAACCATCCCTCTGGGACGCGCTGCGTGTGCAGCTAGTGAGCTCAGGCTGGTATTCGGGCATCCCGTTATACGTATTCTTCAGGTTCTGGTCATAATTCAGATCAACTCTGCTAGTTCTGCCCGAGTCGGAGTGCCAGTGCCACGTAACTCTTGTGAGGTGAGTTTGTTCGCTCTCCCATGTGGTACAGTCATGAATAAGTATGTATCGGACTTTCGGTCTTCTGCCCTCGCAGCGCTACATATAAAGGCACAGGCATCGACATCCTGCAGGCCTCATTGAGACGGCCGTCCGAGTCCCCACTGGCAACCTTCAGAGACCTCGGATCTGGCGTCCCGGTCTACCTACGACTATGTGTTACCATCTAGTATACTATGACGAGGAAAGGGAGGCCGCGAGCCCGCCTCCCGAGGCGACTCTCGGCCTCAAACCCTCCGCCCTGCGCGAAACAGTGGATACCAAGCTTAACAACTTATCGACGAGCGTTACCACCTCTCGCGGCGCATCTGCTCGCTACAGCGACTACGCAACTCCGTCGCGCCGATCCACCGCCTCCCGATGGAGCTGCTCGTCGAGGTACTTATTCCTGTTGCAATCGGCGGATGGGTCGGAGCAGGAACACGTCCTTTCCGTGAGCCACGTCTGCGCGCAGTGGCGCGCCCTCGCATTCAGCGTGCCGCGCCTCTGGACACACATCCCCCTCTGGCAGTGCGACCTCGCCAGACTGTTCCTCACATGCTCGAAGGACCTGCTTGTCACGTCTGAGTCGGGTATCGAAGGGTCTAAAACACTGTTGCAAGCCCTGCTACCTCTTGAGCGGTTGCGAAGCTTGCGTGTCGCTTTGTCAAACCCTTTTGACACGGAAGTCCTCCTCGAGTTCTTGACACAGCCTGCTCCGCATCTCGAGAATCTTGAATTGCTGACCAAGGACGCCGAGGGCGCACTATCCCCGTTGGACCACGGCGTGACCAGGACACCTACCCCTTTCCTTGCCAACACTGTGCCCAAGCTCCGGTCCGTCGTCATGGAGAACATTAGTTTTCGCTTTACATCCGGGATTTTTACAAACCTCACGCAGTTGAAGGTGTTCGACGTTGACGCCCACGTTCCGCCGGTAGATCTGTTTCTGAACGTCCTTGACCTGTGTCCGCATCTGGAGATCCTAAAGTATTGCAGCAAGCGGTGGTCCTCAGCTCGAACGGCTGCATGGGCACGCTCCCGACCCGTGGTACTTTCGCGGCTGTTGGAACTCGCCCTGGAATACCAACCGTCCGCATGGGTAGCGTTTGTGTTGGGCAGCGTGGACCTCACGGCGACGCACGCACGAGTGCAGCTCACGCAACACAATGAAGCAAACTTCTCGTTCCTACCTGCGGACATGGCTCGCGTTCCATCGCTGGCGGCGCTCATACGTACGCTCACCATCACGTTTGACTTCAACGATGCCCGCGGTACATTGGCGTCCAGACGTGCTGGAGGCCGACCGCGAGCCGATGGCCAGCATTGTACTTCGCAACATCAGATGGATATCCAATAGCATCGCGTGCCGGGCTGCATTCACGAAGCTCGATGTCTCGGCGCTCGAAGACCTGATCATCGAGGAGACCTCGAACAAAAGCTATCATATATTGCAGCGGGACAATTGGTCGTTCTGCCTTGGACAGTCGAACAACCTCCGCTATCTGCACCTGGTGGACTTGTCCTCACGGGAAGCCCAAAAGATACTGTCCGTGCTGTTTACGTCGGCGTCCGGTCAGGAGGGGGGCGATGTGATTTTCCCGCAATTGGCGACGCTGCAGCTCACTGGTTTGAGCTATGATGTGCAGACGGAACAGGCCCTTGTAGCTTGCTTGCAGCGCGCCTCCGATGCAAGGGTACCCTTAATTCTGGTGAAACTATCGGGCATGGAACTTTGGCTGAGTCCCTCTCTTGACCAACTGAACGGTATATACGCAAAACCGACTGTTGGTCTAGATCTCTGACTTTCATGTACTGTATTGTCCACTCAGGATAGTGTATTTCACTCACTTCTTCCTGAGAATGACAACCAACGTTCCGTACGGATACTCGAAGATGCCCTGGCTCTCATCTGTCCACTTCCTGCCCTCGCCCTTGCGCAAGATCTCGTCGATGTCCTGCACCACCTTCTCTTTCTCGTCCGGAGGCAGGACGGCGACGTAGCTCTTGCTCAAGGCGCGGTTGACCACAATGTCGCGCGTTCCCGGGAGGGCATACGTCCATGTCTTCTCCTCGGGCGGCTGGAAGAGGGACTGGTAGGACGGGGTCGAGAAGAGGGCGCGCCAGAGGTTCAAGCGGAACTGGGGCGTGCCCGACTCGTGCCGTTCGATGCGGTCGCGCAGCTGGGCGACCCATGCCGCGCCGTCGCGGTCCTCCAGGTTCCAGATGAGCGCAGCGACGCCGCCCGGCTTCAGCACCCGTGCGAACTCCTGCGCGGCCTTGTCGTAGTCGGGGCACCAGTGGAAGGCTTGCGCGACGATGATCGCGTCGACGGACGCGTCGGGCGCGCCGGTGGCGTCGAACGTGCCCTCGCTGACGGTGACGCGCGGGTCATTGACGGACGACGCGAAGACCTCGCGCATGCCCGCGCTGGGTTCGACGGCGCTGAGGGACTGGATGGAGGAGGAGAAGGCGGGTTGCGCGAGGAGCGCGCGGGTGAAGATACCGGTGCCTGCGCCGATCTCGACAATGTTGAGCGGCGGGGGGCTGGAGATCGCGTCCCGGATGTGCGAGATCGCTGCGGGCTGGTAGGAGGGGCGGGCACTGGCGCACGTCCGTAAGTTCAGTGCTGAACGCGCCCAGAGTGTACCATGGACACGCACCGATCGTACAGTTCGTTCGTCCCGGTCCCGAAGCCCTCCTGAGCCATCTTGTGTACCGTAGCCATGCTGCGCGAACTTCTCAAGGTGACGGAAGGAGAGATATGGTTGCTGAATCTGGGACGGGCGAAGATGTGCGACGGCGCTCTTATAAGGAGCAGGGCTCCCGGAAGGCGAGCCATATGTATGACCCCGTCGCGGGCCCGTCGATAGACGTTCTCCTGACCATCTGGTGCCCAATCAGCTTCTCACGGACGCCCTGATTGGGAGGTGCCTATTCTGGAGGCCGTGAGATGCACCACTGACCATTGCGCCTTCAGACTGCTGCTATGACTCGAGTGGTCGATGGCGAGATATTGAGGACGAGTCTGAGACAAGCCGACGACGGCAGGCTGCAGCAGACGGCCGATTGGACGACATGCGATCGTCGACGTCAGCAGATTAATTAGCGATTATTACGGACGCAATAACCCTTGTCTGATAAGATGGCCGGCTCGGCGGACGGACAATCTCCGGTCCCGCGACGCGCTCGGCGCACCTGCGCAGCGAACACGGTCAGACCCCTCGGCCGGAGTGCCTGTCCCTCCTCTCTCTCCTTCTTCTTCCTCTTTGCCAATCTCGGTGGACTGTAGCAGGGCTCGTGTTCGTAGACCACGACCAACATGTGCTTTCCGTGCGGGAAACGCAGCGCGTCGCCGCCACCACTGCCTCTGAGCATGACAGCGCACTCAGACGCCAACACGCTCATCGTCGGTGCACAAGGCCGTTCAACCGCTGTGACCCTCACCGGAGATTCCTTGCTTGTACAGAGAAATGCAGACAGTAAGCCGTCATACTCTCTTCTGTTCCTAGCCGAGCGGGTGATTCTGACCGCTGTCAATTTCACTATCAATTTCGCTTCGTAGAGCGCTGGCCCCGTGTGGAGAGCAATGCATACCATGTCCTATGGGCCGAGCTCAAGGGAGGACTATTTAACCTTTCGTTCCTCGCAAGGCGAAGTGCAGAATCTCCTCTCGCCCTCGTGCATGTCTCGGGCAACGTGCGGATTGATGCCCTTGAGCGCACAGCATCGTTCGCGACAAGGCTGATGGACAAGGCGTATGCGGGTACGTGCTCGACTTTAAATTGTTAGTGAAGTCGACCTGGACGTCCGCCTTACAGGACTCAAACGGCACAAGAAGCTCAAGGTCCTAGTCAACCCCAAGAGCGGGCCGGTCAGTTTGAGTCACTTGCGCAAGTGTAGCTCGTTCACATTGGCACTATCTCAGGGCAACGGGATTGCGCATTACAATGAACGCATCGAACCAGTGTTTCATGCGGCGCGGTGTATTGTTGATTCAACTTGTGAGTCTACCAAAGAGTGTGCTTCAATCCATGCTTACAATACCGCTCAGTCACGAGCTATGGCGGACATGCCCAAGAACTCATGAGGGAGCTTGACCTGGATCAATACGATGCCATTGTAGTGGTCTCCGGAGATGGCTCGATTCATGAAGTCATCAACGGGTTTGCAGAACACAGAGATCCAGAACAAGCCTTCCGCATCCCCATCGCACCTGTGCCGAGCGGGTCAGGGAACGGTCTTTCGTTGAATATCCTGGGAGTCCAGGTAATACTGACGCTTCATCCTCACATCAGTAGCCTCACCTCTTCCCTGCGCCGTAGGACGGGTATGACGTGTATGCGGGTGCCCTGAATGCTATCAAGGGTAAGCCTTGTCATCGCGTGTGAGCGCGTGAGATGCGCGGCTCATTCTTCGTGTTGACATAGGCCGTCCGATGCACATTGATTTGATGTCCGTCACGCAGAACGGTCAGAGATCGTTCTCATTCATGTCACAAACCGTCGGCCTCTTCGCCGACCTGGACCTCGGCACGGAGTGGATGCGTTGCTTGGGCTCACAGTGAGTCGCGGAAGTATCAGGCGACTTGCCCGCATCCTCACGTATCTTTCCGACAGGCGTTTTGTACTCGGGTACATCTTCGGAAGTAAGCCCAGTGAAGTACGATGTGTAGCACTGAGGCTGACGCTACGCAGTTCTTCGGAAAACACGCTGTCCGGTGCAGCTTTCTCTGAAGGTCGTTGAGAGCGACAAGCGCAAAATGGCACAAGACCTCAACACATATCGCGCCAGCGCCAAGGCACAATACGCGCAGCACTCCCCGATATCTCCGTCCGCACAGGCACCCACGCCATGGACAGCGACGTCGGGCTATGCGTCCACGATCGGCGGGACGACCGTCAACTCGACGACACCCCTGGAGCCGAAACGCCCGTCACCGGTGTCGGAGCTGGATGCGGACGGCTGGGTCACGTTCACGAAGCCGCTGTCCTATGTGTACGCGGGGAAGGGCCCGTATGTGTCGAAGGACCTGATGCAGTTCCCGGTGTCAATACCGGACGACGGGTTGATTGATGTCGTCGCGCAGGAGCTTGTATGTTCGCCTGACGATTTCTGACGCCCTCTTGCTCATTGGTATATAAAGACTACCCGGAAAGCAATGATCGACGCCATGGAAGGCTCCGAACACGGCGACCAATACTGGATGGACACAGTGCGTAACTCTTCCACCTTTTTACACTGCTCCTGACGCGCTCCTGCTCACAGCAACATTACTTCCGCGCGGCCGCCTACCGCATCGAACCGTACAAGGCTTCCGGCTGCTTCTCCGTCGACGGCGAGGGCTACCCCTTTGCGAGCTTCGAGGTCGAGTGCCATCGCGGGATGGCGACCGTGCTTAGCCCGTATGGCTACTACCAGGCCGAGTTTTATCTCCCCGAGGACGCGCCGCGCAAGTGATGCCTTGCCCCTCCCCCGTCGCCGCTCGGAGTGGGTGCATCTTAACTTATCCTTGTAGATGATTGTGCGTTATGCCGGTGGTGCGGTCTCGCTGACTGTCGGACTCTGTATGTCGAGCTGTGCTTGAGCTATCACTCATTTTCCTGTTGTTATTGCGTACGTACGCATACATAGTGTAATATCTAGGTAGTCACGTTGTGTGATGCGATGTATAGATTGGTTGTAGGACTTACTATGCGTCTCAGGTACACCTAGATCTTGTCTGACTGCGCAACATGCTGAGGCACACTCAGGACAAGGCCGTGCTGGAGGTGAGTTCTCTGCATTTGACTGGGCAGCTGTCTGGACTAAAAGTCCTGTTGGAGTTGCAGTGGTTGCGGGAACTTACCTGCGTAAACGGCACCAAGACACACCTCCAGGAACAACTTCGCAAATGTTCAGCGGTATTATAGCAGTCGTCTTGAGGCTCTGTACGGAGTCCTGAGACCGTCTGACGAGAGATCAGCGGGTGCCCTAGCACATATTCAGCGCTAACGTTGCAGGTATAATCGATAAGGACGCTCAGATCCGAGTCCCTCCTGACTACACTCTGAACGCTCACCTGCGGACCACAGAGTAACATTTGCTATGGCGCAGAATCGGCATCTGGCCACTCCTGACTCGGAGTATGCGGCGTTGCTCGCGCAGCTCCCGACACTTCCACCTGTTAGAGACGTACAGGTCTTGCGGAAAATGACGAAGGATGTCGTTGTGCCTACCTTGAATAGGATACGAGGTGCCAGTTTACCTGCAGGTGAATACTCTGCATGTGCATGACAAGCGTCTCCATCCGCCATTCTGATCCTGGTGTCTTTTGTAGAGACGAAGTACCGCGTCACAGACCATGAAATCGCCGTGGACTGCGGTACGATCTCAGTTCGATGTACGACACCAACGAAGGGCGAAGTATTTCCGTTGATGGTCTGGGTCCACGGTGGAGGTACAGCCCACGCGCGTTGCCTTTAGAGTTGATGATGATGCTCGTGCCTTTTTCCCGGGGCCAGGTTTCGTGACTGGGACCCTCGAGCCTGACGACTACCTCTTGCGCACTCTGAGCGTCGAATTGGGTATTGTTACCGTCAATGTCGAATACAGGTATCCGACCCGTCGTCTTTCCGCGAACTCCATCCTGACGCCTTGCTAACGATAAATAGGCTAGCCCCAGAGTTCCCGTTCCCCACTCCACTGAACGACTGCTATGCCGCGCTAAAATGGGTCGGTCCTCGGGCTGCTGGCTAGTCGCAGAGACTGATATCTGAACCATACCTCAGGCTGCAGACAACGCCGCTCTGCTTTCCGCGTCCGTTACCAAGGGCTTCATACTCGGAGGACAGTCGGCCGGCGGCAACCTCGTAGCGGCACTTGCCTACCGCGCCCGCGAGGACCTCTTCTTCCAAGGTCGTGCTCTCACCGGGCATCTCCTGCAATACCCGCAGGTCATACACCCCGATGCAGTTCCTGCGAGGTAAGCACTATGGCGCACGCCGCAGAGGTCAAGAAGATCTCAAGCTGGACTGGACCGTCAGATACAAGTCGGAGCTTCTCTCTATCGAGGAGCTGAAGGACGCGCCCGTCTTGAAGCGTGATGATCTTCTATTCTTCGCTCGTGAGCATGACGTCCTCTTACTGCGCTCTATGGACTAAATGCCTCCACCCGGTGTAATTCAGAGGCATATCAGGCGGAACCGTACAACCCAGAGTGCTCTCCTCTGCTCTATCCGTCGCACGCAGGCCTTCCGCCGCTGTATATGCAAGTATGTGGATGGGACCCTGTCCGGGACGAATGTCTGCTATACGAGAAGGTGCTCCGCGAAGCTGGGGCGGATACGAAGATCGATATGTGAGTCGCTGTCAGAGTTGCTCTGACGTAAAGGTTGACTTCCGCGCAGATATCCTGGGGTGCCGCACATTTTCGCGGCTATGCACCCCACCTTGTCTCAAGCAGTCAAACACGACCGGGACATGAGGGAAGGCATTCGATGGTTGCTGGAGAAGACGGCGCAAAGTTGACCTCTGAAAGACGTCATATACATTACACGAGTTGTCCGCGCGTCAGAACAAGAAGCTAGCAGACTCACTAACCGTGAACGAGAAATGCCAAAGAACCCTTGTCTACTATCCCATCCGGGTTGGACATGGTCGTCCAGCTGAACTTCTGTAGCTTGCTCTTGAACCAGCTACTATCGTCCCCTGGGCATTCCGATGCGCTTTGGACGATCACAACGCTTTCGATGGCATGGCCGGCGACAGCGCATGCTTCCACCAGCTCGCGCAGCGCAGCCACCGGAACCTCGCCCTCGAATTGTATAACCGCGGACCTAGGGAACGGCCACTGGGATTGCGCCGCAACCTGCTTCGTCAACGACTCGAGCAAAGGTCCGAGGTCGTCTCGCACCAGGTTGAGATGCTCAAAGCCCTCGGCCAAGTTCTGTAGTTCGTCTATGTCCAAACAACGGGGTCCGAGTCCGTCATGCTCTTCAAATGTGAGGGTGTGCAGAGCCGGGAAGTGCGTCAGCAGTGCCTTGGTCTCCTCGAGGTAATCATCTTCGTCATTGAGGCTGGGAGTGGACTGAATGTTGGCGATCTCTATGTGGGTCAGGCGAGGAGCGGTGAAAGCGGCGAGGAGTTTGTTGATGCCAGGAGGTGACATGTCCCGTATGGCAAGATGTTCCAGGGATTCCAGAGAAGGACGGGAGCCGGAGCCGCGGACCACATCCCTATCCGTGTCTTCGTCCTCGTCCTCGTCCTCTTCGTCTTCCTCGTCTTCCTCGTCTTCATCATCGTAGCCACCGCAGTCGGGGGTAAGACTGAGGGAGTGCAGATATGTCAGACTTTTCAGGATCTGCATCAGCTTGGGCCAGTTGCCGATCCCTATGGCTTCGTCAAAGCAGCTGCGCACGAGCGATAGCTTGCCTAATGAGGGGAAATGCATGTGCAACGTCTTGCCACCTGCCATGTAGGATATGTCATGAAGCGTAAAGGTGCGAAGCCTGGGTGCCGTGAATTTCGGGTGCAAGCACAGGCTGGTCTCGTGCAAGTCGTCGGCGGATTCACTGCTGAGAGATAATTCCTCCAGCAAGACAGCAGCTCCTTCCCACGTACTGACAACAGCCCCGACATTCTCCCAGTCGTGGAGATCAAGCTGGACGCGCTTCCACCTCTGCATATGTGGACTAAGCAGTGACTTCATGACCTCATAGGCCAACACGAACTCTTCGTTTTCTGCACAGGACCCAGTCTGGACGATGATGTCCAAGGGCTGTGTCCCGGACCGCGCCAATGCTTTCCTCAATGATTCATCGGGAGGGGGTGGGTCAAGTGGGACCCAGACAAGTGACCAGAAAATGGAAGTGTTGTCCACCAGAGCCTTCCATTGGCGGCACACTGCGGATGCGTTCATCCGGAGGAGGACGCGGGCTTCTTGATCGTCCGATACCATCATCCCGTAGATTATGCCGTGCATCATGACCTCTTTGAGAACGTCGAGCGGGATGTTGGCGGACGTAGGACTCGTCATGATCGCCATGGTAGTAAACTCCTGTCAGGAAGCTGCATAGTAGTACAGCAGATCAGCATGCATAAGTTCTAAACAAAATGCCTACTCACCGTTTCCGCTCGAAAGCACACAGGCTAATGACTCGGAGAGGTGCGGCGTCGCCGGCGCAAAAGAGTCGCGGCGCGGAGCTCAGCGTCGAGGATTTGCCGTGACGCGGTCATGTGAGCGCGACGGTCGTTGGCGCGTCGTCCGGTAGCACATGTTTTGAGGTTGCAGATCGTGTACTACTGGTACTTAGCACTGGCACTTGACCCCCAAAACTGACATAGTACACTGATCGATTTGATTACTTGGAAGTTGTATAGAGCAGTATACAACAGACAAAAGCAGCACCTGTACACCGTAGTATGTAACACTACCATAGTGACCCGGTGGCGAGTGAGACAGACGGTGATCCACAAACATAAAGACAGAGCGGTGGAGCTCATGAATGTCAGGACATAAATGATGATTGTCGTGGACGACACGCTATCAAGCTTTTGGGCCGTATAGTAACGTCACAGAGCCCCAGACAGCCGCGTATGTGTCGGACACTGACGTCCAGTTGAAGTTTTGTAGGTTGCCCTCGAACCAGCTAAGGTCATCCTTGGGACATTCCGCCGTGGTATGGACGGCAGCGCTCTCGATAGCATGGCCGGCAGTAGCACATGCCTCCACCAGCTTTCGCAGCGCAGATACCGGGACGACCTTTTCCGAGTGCAGTTCCAGGCTCTTCAACCTTGGAATGGGGCGCTTGGATCGCGCCACCCGCTTCGTGAACATCTGAAGCAGAGGCTCGAGGTCGACGTTTGCCACCTCGAGACGCTCGAGACCGTCGGCCAGATATTGGACGTTTTCGATGTCAAAGGCCTCGGCCGAGTCGTCAAATCTGAGGGTGCCCAAGGACGGGAAGCGTCCTAGGAGCGCTTTGGTTTTCGGAAGGCGCTCCTCTTCGTCGTCGGCAGACTGGTACGAGGCGATCTCGAGTTTTGAAAGCCGGGGAGCGGTGAAGGCACCGAGCAGCTTGTTTATACCGCGCAGGTTCATGTAATGGACGATAAGCTCTTCGAGAGCTGGCAGGGAGGGCAAGGAGCTAACGTCGATGTTGGCCTCATCATCCCCTTCATCATCTTCGTCATCACCGTCGCCGTCATCATCATCGTCGTCGTCGGCGTCCTCTGAATCAAGGCCATAATTAAAGGAGCGCAGGTTTTTGAAATTCTTGAGGATTCCCATGAGCTTGGGCCAGTTGGCACCTGGGGCCTCGGAGAAGCTGGAGCGTACGAGTGAAAGCTCGTCCAACGCAGGGAAGTGTTTCGGCAGCCTCGCGGAGCCCTTCATGAGCGCTATGTCGTAAAGCACGAACACGCGGAGTTTGGGTGCGACGAATGTCGGATGCAGAACGACCTCGGCGTAAGGGTCGCTGGTGCTCTCCGGCTCGCTGCACAGGAAGATCTCGTCTAGTGCGTCTGCCGTCCCTCTGAAGTGAGAGGACACGACCTCCTTGACGTTCACTAGGTCGTCGAGAGTGATATGGATCAGCTTCCACCGCCGGATGTGCGGAGTCAGCAGCTTCATGGCTTTGGTAGCTAAGCCAGACTCTTCGTCGGCGTCACAGCCTTCAGAGCGGATGGTGATGTCCAAATTTTGCGTCCCGGACCGCGCCAAAGCCAACTCCAATGACTCGTGGGAAGGAGGTCTGGCCAGCGAGATGTAAACGAGCGACCAGAGAAGCGGGGTGGTCAACGCTATCTCCCTCCATTGGCGACAGACCATGGAGATGTTTGTGCGAAGCTCTGCGCGGTCCTCCTTATCGTCTACGGTCATCCCGTAGATGATGCCATGCGTGAAAACCTCCCGGACAACGTCGAGCGGGATGTTGGCCAACGGGCCAAGAGCAACTGCCATGACAGGAACTAGAGTGCCTTCGTGCGAAGGGTTAGTGAGTGTAAGCCTGCAGCAAGACAGCTAGCTACCCACCGTCTGTGACTGAGGTCTCCGAGCCAGTGAGATGGGCGTCGCTGGCAGAAGCGAACTTGGACCGTTGCGAGTAACGCGAAGCGCTGCGCTTACGCGATCACGTGTGCGCGTCAGCCCATCTTCGAGTTCAAGGGCGCGCGCCGAAGTGCTTGCCAGCGACCGCGTCCATCGTCGGGGCATCGAAACACCAGACGCGAAAGCGATGCACAAACCGACTCTCAGCACCAGAGGTCGATCAGAGATACAAGGATGCATTGATTTTTCGTGCTATGCGCTATGTGCACTACATTAGCGTTGTATGATATGGTCGTGACATGCAAAGACAGCAAAGCCCAAGCAAAAGCTATGATACACTACGAGAAACACGACAGCATAGACCCAGTCCTCTACCACCAAACGCCGCGTCTAGTCGATCTCCTCCATCGCCGACGCCGACGCGCCCTCTGCCGGTGCCGGAGCGTCCGTCGACGCAGCGGGTGCCGTCTCCTCCTCGTCGACGTCGAGGCCGAGCGCGATCATGCGGTGGATGCGCTTCGCGAACGACGTCGGGTCGTCAAGCGAGAAGCCGGACGTGAGGAGGGCGGTCTCGAAGAGGAGGTACGTGAGGTCGCGCACGGACTTGTCCGCCTGGTCCTCCGAGACCTTTTTCTTGAGCTCGACGACGATCGGGTTGTGCGGGTTGAGCTCGAGCGTCTTCTTCGACGCCATGTACGACGACATCGACGAGTCGCGGAGCGCCTGCGCCTTCATGATGCGCTCCATGTTCGACGACCAGCCAAATTGGCCGGTGACGAGCACGCATGGCGAGTCGGAGATACGGTTCGAGACGACAACCTTCTCGACCTTGTCGCCGAGCGCTTCCTTGACGGCCTTGCAGAGCTCCTCGAACTGCTTGGCCTCCTCCTCGCGTGCCTTCTTCTCCTCGTCGGTCTCCTCGAGCTCGAGGCCCTCCTTCGACACACAGATGAGCTTGTGGCCGTCGAACTCCTTGAGCTGGGTGATGGCATACTCGTCGATGGGGTCGACGAGCAGGAGGACCTCGAAGCCCTTGCGCTTGAGCACCTCGAGGAAAGGCGAGTCCTTGACAGCAGAGAGCGACTCGCCAGTGAGGTAGTAGATGTTCTTCTGGACCTCGGGCATGCGAGTGATGTAGTCTGAAGAGGGTGGTTAGCGCATGGTCGATGACGCAGAGGCGACACAACTTACCCTTGAGCGAGGTCATCTCCTCCTGCGACTTGGTCGAGTAGAAGCGAAGGAACTCAGCGAGCTTGCTGCGGTTCGCGGCGTCCTCGTGGATACCGAGCTTGATGTTCTTGCCGAAGGACTCGTAGAACTTGTTGAAGTTGTCCTTGTCCTCCGCAATCTCGGTGAACAGGTCGAGGCTCTTCTTGACAAGGTTCTTGCGGATGACCTTGAGGATCTTGTTCTGCTGGAGGGTCTCACGCGAGATGTTGAGAGGGAGATCCTCGGAGTCAACGATACCCTTGACGAAGTTGAGGTACTCGGGGATGATGTCCTCACAGTCGTCCATGATGAAGACGCGGCGGACGTAGAGCTTGATGTTGTTGCGCTTCTTCTTCGTTTCGAAGAGGTCGAAAGGTGCACTGCATAACAAACATCAGTCACGGAATCCAGCGCATCGAGCGCCACACCGTACTCACCGCTTGGGGATGTAGAGGATGGCCTTGAACTCGAGCTGACCCTCAACAGAGAAGTGCTTGACAGCGAGGTGCTCCTCCCAGTCGTTCGTCAAGCTCTTGTAGAAGGCAGCGTACTCATCCGCAGTGATGTCGTTGGGGTTACGCGTCCAGATGGGCTTCGTCTTGTTGAGCTCCTCGTTCTGGACCTCCTTCTCCTTTATCTTCTTCGTCTTCTTGGGCTTCTCCTCCTCGTCGACCTCCTCGATCTTGGGCTTCTCCTCACTCTCGTCCTTAGCCTCCTCCTCCTCGTCGTCTTCAACCTCCTAAGAAACGACTTCTGTCAGCGCCGCAGTATGAGAACGCGCTGTGAGCATACATACCTTCTCAACCTCCTTGGTCACCGCCAGCTGAATGGGGTACGAGATGAACTCGGAGTGCTTCTTGACTATGTCCTTGATGCGCTTTTCCTCAAGGTACTCGAGCTGGTCCTCCTTCATGAAAAGACGGATCTCGGTACCACGGCCGAGAGGAGGGTTGAGGTTGTCAGGGGTGATGGTGAAGGTACCGCCGGCAGCGGACTCCCAGATGTACTGCTCATCGTCGTTGTGCTTCGAGATGACCTGCACGCGCTCGGCGACGAGGTACGACGAGTAGAAACCGACACCGAACTGGCCAATCATGGAAATGTCGGCGCCGGAGCTCAGTGCCTCCATGAAGCCCTAAAACAGATCGTCAGACCCGAAGTCTCGTGCAACAGCTAAACGCCACTAACCTTGGTGCCGGACTTGGCAATGGTACCGAGGTTGTTGACCATGTCGGCCTTGGTCATACCGATACCCGTGTCGATGAGTCGGAGAATCTTGTTCTCCTTGTCGGGGATGATACGGATGTAGAGGTCCTTGTTAGTCTCGAGGACCGACGGGTCGGTGAGGGAGGCATAGCGGATCTTGTCAAGCGCATCGGAGGCGTTGGAGATGATCTCCCGAAGGAATATCTCCTTGTTCGAGTAGAAGGTGTCTGGGAGGACGAGTTGAGCGGACGCGCGTCGCGCGATGAAAGGGAGATTACTTACTGATGATCAGGTCGAGCAGCTGGCTGATCTCGGCCTGGAAACCAAAGCTCTCGCTGGCCATTTTTGGAGACGGTGTGGGGGGCAGACGGGTATAGCTGGGATGTGGGCGTGGATGAGAACACTTGGAGGGGAGGGCGAGGGGAGACGGTATTTGTACGCGGCTCTCTTTTCATTCTCGAATCTTCCATCCGCTTTCGACCAGACTCGCACGGCGGAAGCGCGTTCGATCGCCTTCCATCGCCTTCCTAATCCGCAACCGCCCCGGCGCTCCCGCCCACCCAGCGCCTCGCGGATGGCCGTCCAAAGGCTGCTGTCTGCGGACGCACTCAGCACTGCGGACAGTTACGCACAGCTTACGCCAGGGAATCCATCACAGTAACGTACAGCGAACGGCTATCGTAAAGTAGTTACATTCCATTCATTTCCAGAGACTGCTGATACCCACACTCGCCGACATTCTCGAACCCTCGCCTCACGTCGCCAGCGCGCTCGCATCGCCTGTGGGTCCCAGTGTCCCGGAGCCCGACCGCGACGTACGGCCGCTGCTCACTAGCCCCTGCCTACCGCTGACCTTCGCCTTCAACGTCTCTACCATCGCTTTGAGCTCCTCAACCTCGTCACGCAGATCATCATTTTCCGTTCGTAACCGCTCTTTCATCGTTGCGAGTCGCTGAATCTCTTCTCCTGCGGTGGACATTCTGGCGAGACTCGATGTTTTCCGTGCGCCTTCCAGCTGCTTCTGCGTGGCTGCCAGATGGCCTTCGAGTGATCGTTCGCGTATACGCTGCTTCCTGTAAGCACGTCACGGTGAGTGCCTCGTCGTATGCCACTGTACACTGTAACTTACTCCAGAATCTGTGTCAGGTCAGCGTGTGTCCTTTCGTAGGTGTCGAGTCTAAGCTGCATTTTCCGGTACTTGCTGTTGGCAATCTGCAAGTACTCCGTTTGATCATTGAGCTTCTGAATGTCCAGTTCCCTGTGTTGATTGTTGTAAGGTGCAGAACAAGAAGACGGGCATACACACGCACCATAGGCGTTGAAGTGTGATTAGTTGTGCGATCTGCTTCTCGTAGTCGTGTAAGCGTTCGACTTTCGGCGCGTTCTCCTTGATTTTCGTCTCGAGCTGGAAAACCCTCTGGAGTGCTTCCTGGAGCAGTTTTCCTTGGGCAGCGAACGTTTCCTAAACGCAGACAAGTCGCATAAGAACATCTCTTCCACTTAGGCATACATACTGCACGTACCTTCGCCTCTTTGTCTGCTCCGCGCATAGCGGCAGCCTCTTTCTCCCAGTTAACCTTCTCGATTCTAAAGTCCTTCAGCTTCTCCTGCGTTTTCTTGTTGTAGTCGAGCAGCTGGTTCTTGACCGTGTTCGATTGCTCCTTATGCTGCTTCAGCTCCCGCTGCAGACGCTCGACCTCCGCCTTGTACTCGCGCAACTTGTTGCGCTGCGAACCCGGATGTGCCTATCAGTGTCCACTATTAGACCCCTCAGGTATATATGCACGCACCAGGCCTTGCCGTTCCACCTCTCCCGTCTTTGAGAACACTCTGTCCTGATATAGCCTCCCAATATGCTTGACGTTCTCCCTCGAGCTCCACAGCTCCAGGTTCAGCTCGTTCCTCAGCAACAGCACCTCCCTCTGCAGACCCGCAAGCGCCTGCCGCACATGCCGCGGGACCTCCTGCCCGCCCACGATACTCGAGCTCTCTGGAGTCGTCTCCGCCTGCTCACCCTCGACGACCTCACGCGACGGGGAGCGAGACCGCACGGGCGGGAAGACCTCCGTGGACCATGACGCCGACGGGTGCACAATCTCTACGTCCAGCCCAGACTTCAGCGCGACGGACGTCGCGATCATGTCCTGCAGGGACACGCGTGGACGGCTAGGTGTGCTGATAGACACGGGGGTGGAAGCGCCCTCGCTGCGAACGGTCGGGGAGGACACCGCCGATGGTGGTGCGGGTGCGGGAGACGAGGTGAGGACGGGCGGGTCGGGCGAGATGACGGCGGGCGCGCGCTGCTGCATGCCGAGTGCGGCGTTGCGCGAGTCGAGCATCGTGCACTCGCCGAGGATCCGCGCGGTGTCGTAGTCGGCCCAGAAGTCGGGTTGCGAGAGCTCTTCGGCTGGGCCCCGCCAGATGAGGTGTGGGTGAAGGACGTGCCCGCGCATCAGGGGCTGGCGATAGCTGATCAGCATGCGGACGGACTATTGCAGTGAGCGGGGCAACGCGACTTACTTCACTCTTACTTCTGATTTGAGGTTCGTCCAGCACTTCCTCCCAGTCCACAGCGTAAGGATTCTCGCACCCGAAGTCAGCCATATACTGTTTCGGATACCGCAGGAACCGAAGGGTATTGCACGGGTACAAATAATACAGCATAGTGAAGTAACGGTGGGCGGATGGGGCGGATGACGCGCCGCCGAGGAATGTCTGCTCAAGTCGCTCCCAATTGATATCTTCACTTATCGGCAGAGTATAAGCAGCATCCGGCAGGCCTTCCTCAACGTCGCTGACGTTTCCAGACTCGCTGGTGCCCTCCGAGTCCAGAGGAGGCTCGGACTGCGCGGGATCCTGCCGTTCGCGCCAGCAAACGACGCGTGCGAGGACGAGAACAAGGAGCGGGACGTAGCGCTTCAGTTTGTCGGTGGCTTTGACTGCAAAGATGGGGAGGAGTTTCGTGAGGACTGTCAGGGCGACGACCGCGACCGTTGACGAGTTATCGAAGAGGAGGGAGTGTAAGATGGTGGTCGTGAGCCTGTGGGAGGCAAGCACAGAGGCGACGTCGAGAAATTGTGGTTGGGACGTATATACATTGAGGAGTATGAGCAGTTGCAAGCGGGATGACGGAGACGTGAAGCAGTGGAACACCTCTGTTAGGAAATCCTATCAAGTGGTCGTGAGTACAGCGCCTTCCGAACAGCCATACACATGGCTCGAGAATCATATCTCTTTGCGTTCGAGAAATCACGACTAATCAGAGTTTGAATCCCGTAACGTCGAATACACCCGGCGTCCTCTGCGACTATAGCCCTGTCTTCCCAGCATAAGATCGCTTGAAGACAAGCGCCTTGCCTCCTACTCGCAGATTGAAGTCACAAAACATGGTGGACACTCACCTCCGGCCTTTCAAGACCCACCCTGATGAGCACGTCCTCCAGATTTGTCTTCCAGCAGCTCTTCTTCTCGCGCTGCTCCGTATCCAGTGATGCCCATTCCAGGACGTCATCTCCAGAGCTCTCGTTCAAAGCGTCCAGGAGGTACAGGTCCATCAGCCGCCGCCGGAATCCGCTCACCTTGTCCTGCTGCTTCTCGCGCTCCTCCTCAGACTCGTTCACATAGGAATCCAAGTCGAGTGCTGCGATGATGAGTCCCTTCGCATATTCTACGGACGGTGTAGGTAACCTCGGTTCTCGGAGCGCTGGTCGCAGAGTGGGTTCGAACCATGTAGAGATTAATGAAGACGGAGGTAGTACTGGGCGGAGGTGGTACAGCACACCGAGGAAAGGTTCCGTCTGTGTGAGGGAGGCATAGTCGTAGATCGCCTGGAGCTCGTCTTCGAGCGCTGCGACGATCGCCGCGCGGTCCGGAACCTCTTGCACGCTTTGAACGAAGCCGTCGACCTGCTTGAGGAGGTCCTCGAGCGTGGGTGCGTCGGGTGCGGACTCGAGGACGAGGCGGAGAGTGCGGCAGAGCTGGGAGACGTCCATGGCCGCTTGTAGCTGTAGCCTCGCATTGGCGCCCGTCGGGACCTCTTCTTCCTCTCCCAAATCCGTGCTTCGCCAGCTTGCGAACGCTGTCGTGCCCCTTGGCACACCCCTGACCATACTGTCAGTGACCAGAGTTGCTCTGCTCCCTGTGGATATTGATCGCCCTAGGAGGCGTATGCTATACAGCCTACGGCGCATTGGCGATACCAGCTAGTCAGACGGGGACGGCTGGGCACGCATGGCTTCCAGCAGTGCTCGTTTCATATAACGCGGCCCATGTATGGGGGGTGTGTTTCTGTCACTCGTGCGTGCTCTCTATGCCTCTTTCAGCTGCTAGGTGTCTTTGTCGCATCTTTGACCACGAGTTGTTCATTTCCTCGTGAGTCTAACTGGCCAGGCACTCCTGGGTCGCTCACGACGCGGGTCAATGGGTTCGACCGTCAAATACAGTCTCAGTATATATACGTATTGCCTCATGGGAAGACCAGAGTTGGCGCTGCAATCTCTCGTGGTGAGCACCGTCGGTTGGGATTGCAATTCTACATGACTATTGGTCAAACTCACGAGTGCTGTTCCTTCTCAATACCCGCGTCAGCCTTATTCCCCGAGTCGTCGTGCACAACCTCCGGACAGCATCCTACACCCACTCGACCTTGCAATATGTTGCCGTCCATGATCACCCTGCCCTTCACGTTCTCCTCCCTCGTCAGCCGTAACGCATCATCCGTAGAGTCAGTCACCATCTCCTACGACACAGCATACGACGACTTCTCCGCGCAAGTAACGAACCTTGCCTGCTCGTCGAACCTTACAAACCTCGGCTTCACGAACCTGGGGTCGATTCCTGGCTTCCCATACATAGGCGGCTCCTCAGCCGTCTCCAGCAGCGGCTCTACTGGCTGCATTACCTGCTGGGAGCTGTCGTATAACGAGACCAACATCAACGTTCTGGTTGTCGACTACGCGGACGAGGGGCTCAACATCGCGCAGGCGGCGATGAATGGTCTTACGGGCGGGGATGCTCAGGAGCTCGGGATACTGTGGGCGACGGCGGTGGAAGTCGATGTAACCGAGTGCGGAATGTGACCGTTGCATACCTGGTGCAATACGAACCGATGCATACCCTGAAACCCTGCATAAATCATATCTGTCTGCAAGTCGCAACTCGGGCTCCTTTGAGATCCACGATTCTTGCGTATTCGAAGGGCAGTAATTGTCATGGACCGTCTTCGCAAGTCAACTGTTCGTGCTCGACTCACTCGACCATCGCTTGCACAGATGGAAGGACACTTTTTCGGGGCACTCACTGTCTCGTTTCATAGGTGAGGTTACATTGTGTTCCAAAACCAGTTGATCTCTCAAGTAGATGCTTCTGCCTTACCTCTTCCCAAATACTTACCTAGCCCACTCCCCACTCAAATACCCCGCATTTCCCTCTACGCCCGTTTTCAACCCTCTCTACGCGTCCGCAGCCGATACGTGCAGAGTTCCTACCTTTCCCTTCAGGTTCAACCTAGCAACTCGTCATCCCTCTTCGCGACATCCTCGTCCCAATCGACCCACGCAAGCAAGACGCTATCTTTCAATGCATCTCCCTTATCCACCCACACGAAGAACCGTCGATCCAGGTTCGGATGGAATGTATGGACCTTACATGCCCAGGTGAACCGGTCTAATGCATCTTCCAACGATATGTACTCCAGCGATGCCGTAGGCCCGCGCGTGGCGAAGGGGTGCGTATGGGCTGGTGCCCAGCTCCGAGCTTGGGACCCCGGCCGGGCCCAGTCAGCAGCGTGTGGACCTTTGACAGTCTGTCGCGCTGAACCTCGTTCGAAGACGAGAAAGGCTGGTTCAGGGTGGACCCAGGGATGCAGGCCGCGAGCAATGCCGATGAAGTAGTCCTGGACGCCGTCGACGGCATTTTTTGGGACACGGCGCGTGGAGCGCTGAACGGAACGGGCACTAACACTAGCAGATGCGAGGAACGCAAGGATGCCTGGGAGCCACCCTTGATTATGCCGTTCCAGGAGAGTCTGTACAGCAAGAGCGTGTGTTCGTCCGGAGAGGCGGAGTCGGCGACAAGGATAGTTGGCCATGCAGGTAAGCTTAAGTATTCTTGCATCAGCGGGCAGGATGCAGCGCAAAGGCCTGTTCTGCGGCTTTCATTGGAGGTGGCAGAGAGGGTATCCTGGACACGACACAAGTACTCCTCGCAAGCTCGCGGAACAACTCATCGGTATCGACCCCTCCGTCCCGTCAGGTCCCGTCGCCCTCGTCTCCCTCTCCATCCCTGCTCATGGTCGTGTGCCAATGCGTCAGGAGCGATGCACCGAAATAAGCTGCTGTCCGCGTTCCGTTCCGCTCCCGCCTAGCCGCTATCGTTGCCCTCCTCGTCGATGGCGTCGTCGTCGTAAATGCCGGCGCCGTCGCCCTCGTTTTCATCGTCAGCGTCACTCTGGGACCGGTCAACTGGTTCGTTCTCCTTGAGCTCGCTCCAGCCCATGTTGGAGATTTGTAGATTCGCGACATTTAGGCCAGAATCCTCCGCCTTGAAACGGCACGAATCGACTTTGCACTCGAGGTCATCGTCATCAAGCGCGACGAGAAGCACGCCGCGATCGCGCCAGTTCTGCTCGATGGCCACGATGAAGTAGGTTGGGTCGTACTGATTATCATGTAGGTCCGCGAGCTGCAAATGACTGTCGAAGACGGCGCGTAGAGGTTGTCCGACGAAGTGTGGCTGCGGTGCGATGCGCACGCTGTCACCAGGAGAAGAGCCCGTGTCGATGCAACCGGTCTCGCAGATGCGCTGTAGCTCGCGCAACTCATCATCGGGAAGATCCACGAGGGTGTAGAGGGCAGCGGGTAGCAGCTCGCTCGGCTGGTCGCGATACCGAGCGACGGACGGTGCGGTCTCGGGAAGGCTGAGATCAGGTATATTCGCCATGGCTCTATGTGTAAGTAGCAAGGTAGGCAACTGTGGAATGAAGGTTCCTTGTGAGTGGAGAACGCAGTGGGTATACCATGGTCCCGTTCTCCGTTTGGACTATCACTACTTAGATGTATCAGCTGATGGCCATGATCAACAGTGATACACACGGACATACATCGCTTAGGCTTGAAACCTGAAACTTAGCCATCGATCATGAACGCTCACCCGCACATGCACAACACGAGCAAGGTTAGCACGCCAGCACTGGCGGCACTTCGAGTATTCGAAGTGCCGCGCAATGCCTGCGGCTGACTGTCCAGCCTCTGCCACATGGTGGTGCTGACATTGAAGCGAGCATGGCGGCGGACACGGTTGTGTTCGAAACAGCGCGGTCAGCCTCTCCAACTTGCAGGCATATATAAACCCACCCTCTTCCACCTTTGCACTCCGGACTCCTTTGCTCGCTACTACCATCTGTGCACGAGCGAAGTGGTCCCCAGCCATGGTCAAGGTAAGCCGAGTCCTTTGCCCGTCCTCCGGCAACATCTCACGTGATGTTACAGTTTCTGGATATTGTTGCTACTCGACGCAGTCGTCCTATGCACGTCAAACATGCGTGTCGGCTGAAGGACCCCTGAGTTGGACTTGCTGTAGTCGGGCATTGTACCGCCGCGTTGGGAAGTACTATATTTTGGAGATGACTCCGTGGTTGTCTCAGGTAGGTGGTAGTACATCCGCCGTCAGCATCATGCTCACGGCTGACTATCCTCGTCACAGCCGCCCCTCTACCAATCTGGTCGACGGCAACCTCTTCGACTGGCCGAAGAAAAGGCACGAGGCTCATGACGTCGTTCGTAACGTGAATTGCATCGCATCCTACGGGTCACACTGACACGGGTGAGTCGCTACCGCCCCATGGAAGTCAACGTTTATGTGACTCATATCTAGACCATAGGCCAGTTATCCGTGGTGATCCACTAAATTCGCCTAGGGGATCCAACCTCTCGGCGAGCCCCCGGACTGCGTACCACGAGTACGCGGGAAGAAGGGTCCGACCGCCAGCACTACTCAGGGCTAGGCATCAAGTCGAGTCAACGTGCACCAGAGGGAAAGCCCTCTGGTGCACGAATGCGTACTGAACCGCATAAAGCGGACGGAAGGTGCGCGGCAAATCAAGTAACCCAGGACATCCCGGAGGCAAAAGTCCTCCTCGGAGCACCCTCGCGCACTGGGCAAGCGTGTACGAGGCCTTTCTCCACAACTACCCCGCCTCGCTGTGGCACCAAAGTGTGTCATAGTGTCTCGAGATCGTCCGTCTTCGAGTGGCCGAGGACGCGTCCATGATATCGCCAAAAGTGTGGATCGTGCAGCATCTCATCCTAGTCAATATGGGTACGTTCTATCTGCCTGCGAGCACCTCGTTCAGCCCATCGTTGATGAACGGCATGTCGTCTTTTAGGCCAGTAATCCATGTTTACCGACCTCCGGGACACCCCCTCTCGGAGTGCGTCCAACCTGGATAGGCGTCACAGGGAGGCCGCAACAGCTCTTTTCCAAGGCTCAACGTAAGAGGGATTTCAAGTCGTGGTTGTGGTGTTACGCGGAGCGTCGGGATCGTTGGGAGCGGTCTCTGAGTCCAGTCAATGGGCGACAGGCGCGAGTTGGGCATCGCACGGAGCGCGGAAGTTGCTCGCCGCGAGCTGAGGGGCGGAGCTGCTATATATAATCAGAAAATCGGAGGAGGACCATAGGCATCGGTGCTGGTGAACAAGGACGCTGGTGGACGATGTGCGTGCGGCGGGACGTCGCGGAGCGTGGCGGACGAAATGAAGTTGCCGTGAATCTGCGGAGTTCTTGTAATGTTCCCAATACCGATTCTGTTCCTTCTCCACACACCCGTGGATCGTGGCGTGACTTCAGTTGCCAACATTCGTAACTTAAGTCGTACAGTAAGGTGCTACTTAATATTTATAGCACGGCCGGTCTCTATGGGCGTCTGGGGCGTGTTAACGCGCGCTAACGCCTAGAACGCGTCTTGCCTCAGACGCTGCTCAGACGCGTAAGTAGATACGCGAACCCCCTCCAAGCCTACTCTTGAGTTTCCCACTCGAAGTGGATCGACGTCCCTCTACGCCTGCCTATCTAGCAATAGCCATCCATTCTGAATTGCCCAGTCTGCCCCGAAGAAGACAGTATGAGCGCGGATTCTGAAGCAACCCTCGCCGGCGCGGACACCTTTGAGTGGAAGCCAGGTATGTCAGTTCGTCCAATGCCTACGCCAATACTGAATTCACTATTGAGCTGGTAGAATATGATAGTCTCATTGAGGAGGTTGCCTCCACGGATGTTGTCGAGTACGTCGCAGATGGCAAGCAGACCAGATCACCCGATTGACCCATGCCAATAAGCCTGTCCAAGTGGTCGCTCATCCGCGACATTATCAAGTATAAGATTGGCAAGGTGTGTTTCAAGAGTAAATCAGACGATTTCCTGCTCATGTACGGACACAGAACATTACATTGTTCCTGTCAGGAGAGGTGAAGCGCGAATACAGTCGCTCAACCGTGACAGCCCAGCCGTGTCAGGGCGGCGCGAAATTCCTGCCCTTTCCACCTCGCGAGCGCAATGAGGCAAACCCCAATGAAGCACCCAAGAACGCTCTTACAGAGCAGGAAGCGGCCGAGTTCAAGGAGGTGATACTGGGGCAATTTGAGGAGTTTGTGCAGTGAGTAGCATTAGTCCAGAGACTGAGCTAGCGAACTCTGTCTCAATTCACCTCTAGGAGCCCACCATTCACTATCCAACGCCTGTGCGAACTATGTGTACGGCCTACGGAACACTACAAGCACCTTGGCAAATATTTACGCGCAGTCGAGCGGACCCTCCTCGTTACCTCGACATGGGACGCCTTCCCCGCATCTCCCGACAAACCAGCCAACCAACCAGTAGTCGGTACTGTTCCCGTCGGTATCAACGCGTTCTCCGCACCCACAACACCCATCTTCTCCCCTATCCCCTTCTTGCATGAAGACGCTCGACGCTCGAGCTCCCGCAGTCCACCACCAAGTCCGCTCGTTCTGCCAGCGATCCAATCCGGCGGAACAGCGACAGCGTTGCCTCATGCAGGTGCGGAGGGCGCAGCACCACAGGCACTTGGCCTGGTAGACGAGCTCGACGATCCTAGCCCGGGTCACTTGAGCGAGCATCCGCAAGCTCTATCTGCGACGACGAACGTCACTTCGAAGCCGCTGTTCGGAAGTTTGGAGGAGCGATTTACGAAGGCGGAGACGGATGCGGAGGGTAGTGCCGTCGGTCCGGAGGAGAAAAAGCAGAAGATAGAATGACGCTAGGGGCATATGGAGCGTAGATCAAGGCGTGTATTGCTACATTCTGACTGAGGCAATGATTGCCGTTCTCTTGCGCCTGTGCGATCAAATGGTACAAGACCCGAGGGACGATGTACCAAGTAAGGTATAGATGGAGGTCATGTAAGGTCTTGTTTAATTTTCTCGAGCATTGCATTCATGCGTAGACGCATGTCAGGCTGACCTCGACCGCGGCCCCTGGATTGTCCACGGCCTCGTTGGGAAAAATTCGTGGTGCCGCGTCCACGCCCACGTCCTCGCCCTGACGTTGTCGAGTGGCTCGCTCGTTGTACGTCGGATCCCCGACCGCGGTGTGAATGGCCAGACTTGTGCGTATGCAGTGAATCCTTAGAGTAAGCCTGTCGGTGTAGATCTCGTAAGGAAGGAACATTGGCCGTGGTGTTTTCTGGACGTGTCTGCCGTTGTCTCTTGGACTGTGATGGCCCAGGCCTGGGTGCTAGTGAAGCACGCTCCGCGGCCTCGTCTGCACTGCCATCGATATTTCCGCTCTCTTCGCCACTAGTCTCTTCGCCGTCTGTCGAGACGGACGCGCTACGATCCTCCTTAAGCATCTCTTCGTCACTGTCCGCAGCGTCAGAAGCAGCATCGTCTTGATGATCCGCCACCAATTCTTCAATCTGACTACTTTTGGTTACAATGCCCTCCTTGCGTTTCTGTGCCTTCCACTGGCTCTTGATCTTTTGTGCCTCGACCCAGGACTGCTTCAGCTTCTTGGCTAAACGTGGCGCGAACGAGCAGCAGACACACATCAGAATTAACAGAGTCTGTGTGAAGCAGTGTACGCACCGCGATTTTCAGGTAGGTGGCGAAACGTCGGCGGCTTCCTCTTTTTTGACCCGTCCGTAGTCTTCATGATGGTTGGACGAGTGCGGACGGTGTATGGGTGGTGCCACGGTTCTGCGTGGGAGGATGGCCGGAGCTGCCGCAGACGAGAAGGGCCTGCGATGGATGAGCCCTGGATGAGCCGGCGCTGCGAAGAGTTTGGAAGGCGCGGATTACATAACTGTGGCTATAAGATGGCGGGGCCGCACCGAGTCCTCTCAGCTCAGACCGTCGCACTCCCCACCCCGCACTCCCTGTACCACCACAACCAACCCCCACTCAGTTCTTCTTCCAATCCGTTTCCTGTCTCTTCACGACCGTCGCATGAGCGTGCAGAACCTTAACACCTTCGGTACGTTTGCCACAACCGCTTCTCAACACGCGCTTATCGATCCCTCTCTTACTCGGTGCCCTTGCAAACTGGCCTGCAGACCCCTTCGCAGACGAGGGTGACCCGCTCGGAAGCACTCAGGACGTTGGATCGCAGCAGAATTATATCCATATCCGCATTCAGCAGCGGAACGGTCGCAAGACCTTGACAACCTTGCAGGGCTTGCCTAAGGGTGCGTCCTTTCTCCGGTTTCTTTCGTCACGGTTTGGCTCAACGAACCCGTGTTCTTCAGAGTACGATGCCAAGAAGCTCTTGAAGGCATTCAAGAAGGTACATTTACTCGACCGTGTGGGTGCAAATTGGAGGTGGCTGACTGTTCTCGTCTCAGGAATTTGCTTGCAACGGCACCCTCGTCGATGATGAGGAGGCTGGTCAAGTCATCCAACTCCAGGGTGATCAGCGTCTGAAGATTTCCACTTTTCTTACCGAGGAGGGCATCCCCAAGAACACCATCAAGATTCACGGGTTCTGATTGGTTCTGATTTGTCTTGTGCCGAGGCGGAGCTTTAGAGCGTTGGCATAATGCGGTCTTTTACTAGTACTTCCATCATCGTCCCGCTCGTTCCTCCCTCCATTCGCCTTTACGATACACCTGTGCTCGTCGTTACATGGTCTCTTCTCGCCAATTCCCCGTCTGTACTATATTTCGAATGCTTATCGGACTTGCATCCATGTTCCGATCACAATCATGACCACCGGTCATCGAAGGGCGCTGGAACCACTGAGTGTTGCGTAGACGGTATGCTGACGGTGTGTGGACCTTCCGAGAACTGTGTTGGAAGTTAATTGGCACAAGACTTATATGGACACTATGCTCTTTCTACCAGTACTGATCGAGCAAATTGGGATGACGCACAACAAATAGGGCAAACGTACGTCATAGATTACGACCTCGTAACCAGTACAGTGTCCATCGTCGGGCTTGAGCATACATTTTGTAGTATTTTTCTCAGCTTAGAAGGCAAGGCGCGACTCAACTGCGGCACGTTTGATCGGCACTCGACCACAATAGCTGGCATAACATAGGGTTTGGAAGCGCGAGACGGAGATTACTTGATCTTGTCCAGAGGCCTGGATACAAGGGCCCAGTAAGTGCAAGCCCAATGGTAATGCAAGAGTACGTACCGGTTGAAACCCCCACGTCTGCAAGGCGAAAGCGGAGAATTCATTTAGTGGATTCGTACATGCGCCACATAACCAGACGCACCTGTTCATGTACTGACGCCATGTGCGCACCCTCTTGACTTCGACTGCTCCCTCTTGGTTGCCATCGACGTGCTTGCCCTGATGCACGAAGTGAGGACTCCCAACAACTAACAGGAGCATGGTGACGCACCTTGGTAGTCCCGAAGCCCGCCAAACCCATCAAACCCATCATAGCGGCATCGTCGTCATTCGTAGCATCCATAGCCTCACCTTCCTCTTCATCTTCAGTTGGCATCTCCGACGTCTGCCGCGAGCGCGTATCTGGGGTACCGCGGGCAATGGGAGCTAGAAGATATGAGCATTGTGGGGCCAGAATGTATCGCGGAACACTCACTGGGATGCGAGCCGCTCGCGCCCGCGTCTACAGCATCGTGGCTGTCGTCTGGCCGGCTGTCTCGTTCGTGTGGACGATCCACTGGTTTGGCATCCCTTTCTCGCGGACGCTCGCCGTCCCGATAGCCGTCCCGCTCTCGTGGCGGGGGAGGAGGGGGACGCCTGCCGTCGCGTTCGCGGTCGTGGTCTCGCCGGTCTCGGTCGTCCTTCCTCCGGTCATCTCGTCTGTCGCGGTCTCTTCTGCCGTCTTCTCTGTCGCGGGCGTGGTCTCTACGATCTGCACAAGGGATGGTAAATTTTACAAAGAAGGGTGACGGGGGAGGAACGTCGTACCGTAGTCTCGCCTGTCTCGGTCGCCGCCTCTTCTTGGTGGGCTCCGGCTTCTCCTAACATCTCGGGGGCGTTCGTATCGATCTCGGTCGCGGTCCCGTATAGGGCTGCGCTCTCTCCCTCTGTTATCGCGTCGAGACGACATGGGGGACACTGGGTGGTCGGCGTGGAAGACGCGTTGGTGGCAGAAAGAGGTGTCGCAGGGTGTCGCAGCCACCCAACGACATGACTTCACTTGCCTTATGCAGACTCGAATGCCTCGTGGCTACCACACGCCTGCTCAATCGCTTGTCGTTGCACCGCGCAGTCACAGCGACCCCACAGCGACCACGCTTGCAATTCATACTGTTCACAAGGGCTCCATAGGACGCGAAACATTGCATATATTCGTACTCATTGCTGAATGTCGTGAGCTAGAACGCTGTATTCACGCTCACTCAAAGACCGCACAAAGCTAGTAGCACAATGTAGTATCCCAGAAGCGAAACCAATCGCAATAAGATTCGAAGCTCGGAGTAAAACCGTAACCGGTTGTAAGTACAGAGGGTACCGCAAGGGGGTCATAAGCAAATTCGTGAAGCAACGTAAACATGGCCTTTGGCATCGTAGACGGAGAAGAAGGTTGACCCATCAATGCAAACAATATCTCGCTACAATTGAGCTAGAAATCCTCTACGCCGGCGGGGCAGATTTCTCGCCGGCTGCGGCCGTGGGGGCCTCAGGCTGGGTGATGCCGGTGGACCTGCCTGACGCGAAGCCGAACGCCGCGTAGTCGACGTCCATGAGGTGCCAGAGGTAGAAGAACAAGAATACGGGGCCAGCGAGGATGTCGAGGATGCCGTACCAGATCATCTCGCCGGAGTTCGAGATGACGTTGCCGCCCTCGGAGCACGCCCAGCAGATGGGGTACGTGATGAGCATGAAGGAGAGGTAGCCCGCAGAGCGGATGTAGCCGGTGCGAAGGACACCGCCGGCCGGGAACGCCGTCCTAGTGCCGTGGATGAGAAGGGAGTACCTGCAGTGCAACCGCAGCATGAGTACTCGTCTGACTAGAGGATCTCCGAACGGACTAACCAGATGTAGATGAGGGCAGCGCAGCCGAAGGAGAAGTAACCCCACTTGTACGTGCTGTGCACCAGGGCACCGACGAGGCCGGAAATGACCACGACGATGCACATGAACAGGGTGGTTATGATGTCCGAGAGTGAGAGGCCGGTGGCGAGCAACACTTCCAGAACGAGAAGGGGGAAAGTGATGAACCACTGGATGTAGCGAACATACTGCAGGTACGGTAGATCCTCAGTCTTTGCTTGACATTCGCCAGTTCATGCACTTACCCAGATCTGACGAGTAGGGTCGCTGCCGTATCCACGGAACTCAACGAGGATGGGTGTAGCACCGAGATCGGAGGCCATCGAGTAGTAACCGAGTGTGAACGTTGCCAAAATGACAATGGCAATCTGGTGGAACAGACGAGTGCCTCTCGGGCGCTGAACAAGAGTATTAGGTCCGCAAACTACGTGTAGCGATCGAATTGATGGATTACCAGTAAATCCAAGCCAATCATAACCAAGAGGGACAGGCCGAACACAGAGAATGCCGACCACAGCCAGTCCGAGGCATGAGTGGTGATGTGAAGGTCAGCATTGGGAGGGTTGAGGTTCAACGCCCTGTTGCCACCCATTGTGATGACGCTGCTTTGGAGAGATGTGGTTACAAGAGATGGGGGAGTGGTTGAGAAGTCGATTACAGCTGGTCCCCGAGGGCTTGAAGAGCTAGGGTTCGGAGGGGACCACGAAGGCGCGGGTTATATACACAGAACACCAGCCAGGTGGTCTCACTTGGAGGAATGGAACAGCTCGGGCATACCCGTAACTGGTATACTGACCATACCAGTTGGACAGCGCCGCGGCTAGACCGTTGGTCATGAGGACGTGTATAGACATGTCTCGCTGAATGTTCTAGTCTCCCATGGACAGAGATGCGGTCGTCTTCGTAAGCATCTCGATACACTCGGACGCCGACGTATGAGAGTTTGTTGCGTCAGTGCGGTGTCTGACATCGCCCGAAGCCGACGATCCCACAGCACCGGTTCAGACATGAAACCGATGTGCGTCCTAATCCAGCCCGCCTCTCAGTACTCTAGACCGTAACGCAACGAGTCTGTAGCACTCACCTCTCCAGCCTCCTTCACGAACCTCGGCTGAATGTGCGCGACGACCGCTCGGCGTGTCTCTCAGAGAATGAAAGGGCATGGAATACCGCGGCCGTATGGTGGACGTTCTGTAACTTGCTTACATGGAAGAAGTACGAGTGGTCGTGGGCTAATGGGCTAATGGAAGAAGGGCAACTCGGACCACGCAGTGACCGGAAGACTTCACGTCATTGTGTCCAAGGCCAGAAGCTCCCCACGTTGCATCCGTATGTACTATTTGAAGATCACCTGCTGCAAGAATTGGGAAACTGGAAAGCTAATTGCGCGGCGAGTGGGAGCAGGAAGGTGTGGACTGAGAACGAGAAGAGTCCTCGCCAGGCTCGAATCCCAGGAGACGCGGTCAAGGAAGAGACGTAGACGCCCGCTGTACGCGCGAGTCTCCGACGCGTCGGGCGCTTCTCACGCTCCCGTCCTCTGCCACCCATGGCCAGCGGCGTCCAGAGACATGTCAAGGCGACCGCAGACAAGCTCTTGCGCTCTCAGTCCAGTAAGTCAGTCCTCTTTGCGCATCCGGAATCCAGTTTTTTATTGTGATGCAGCTCCAAGTGGCTTGCACGTCAGAGCCACGAATGTTCCCCGCACTGCAATCCCTGCAGACATAAAGCGGGTGTGCGTCAGGCATAAGATAGAAAACGTCTCACATGGTGCGTCCCGCAGTGATTTCACTGTCGACACGGCTGCTTACAATATCATCTTGAAGTCGCGTTGGATTACTGGCGCTTCTCACCTACTGGCCAGGCATGGCTTACCCTTACCTCTCCAACTTTCTTGCCCCACACCGTCAATGCTTTGAATGGCGCTGTCATCAGTGGCAAACTCCTTCAAGCAGCTGCCAGAGATCCGATGCCTCAGTCCCAGCTCGCTCGTACCCGCGGAGTTAAAGGACGCTTGGAGGCCGCTGAGCGAGGCATCATTACCGGCAGCGGACCAGATGGCGGAAGGACTGGCCAGGGGAAAGGCGTCGTGATCTATGGTCTCCCGGGGAAATTCGGTGCGGAAGCTGTACGGACATACTTGAAGGAGTTCAAGCTCGCAGCTTCGGAGGATGGGCAGAAAGAGATCGTCAAGCTCGAAGTCCCGTGCGTTCTCTCTGCCAGTCCGCAATTGTGTTGCTCACATATGATTTGTTACTATCCCACTGTCCTGCAGTCCTTCGAAGGCTACCTTGAAATCGCGATTTTATGTCCGGCTGGCATCTGTCGCAGAAGCTCACCGACTTGTCCGCCGATTCCACATGACGTTCTTCGAGCCCAATTATTACCAAAACAAGTATACAATACGAGCCCAGGTCGTGTACTAATACATCAGCGCCTGGCTACCACTCGGGACGATACGCTCTATACAGCATCCATCCCTTGTAGCTGCGTATGCTTGCATCACTTGCGGTGACTCTGAGACAGGCCATTCGCTTCTCATCGGTAAGCCGAGACTGAAGGGGGCTAACGGCGTGGATATGAAGCAGGTTTCGTGGTTCTATAAGACGATGTATGGATCGCGAGCAAGCTTGCGTACGGAGACCTATCTTTGGGGGAGACGAAGGGCGAGAGGCTTTGACGAAGACGCGGACAGGGAGACGGTGAGCAGGAATAGGGTCAGGCGGGTGTGCGTGTCTAAATCCCATTCATTGTCATTTGAGGGCGAGGCCCTGTTTAGACACTATCTCACTGGTTGCTAAACTACGAGAGATCGGTGCGAGGGAGTCTACCTAATCGTTGACTAGGTCAGGCGGGTGATAGATGGAGCTACGGCGACGGACAGATTTCTCGTTATTTCTTTCTTTCCTTTGAGGACTCCACCACACCGTACCATACACAACTCCTACGGACATGCGCAGCGACCGTTTTAGGAAGACGATCTGGAAGGAAGAAAGTAGAACGTTCGTCTTTATGTCTACATAGGGCCCTGCCCTCAGTGATGTTGAATGGAACCAACAAACAAACACGAGCAAGCTTTGTCGGATCCGGACAAGTGTCCGTATTTAGTGCGTACGAACGTGCGGGACGCCACGGTCCACTCATCCACGGAGTAGATGAAACGCTCTCTTCAAGAGCGCCCGGACTGTTATCTGAGGAACATTCTCGGGGTTCACTTCAAACGTTCTTGAGTAACAGAACCCGAGGATTCTGGATGTTTCCTTGATTGTAGCGTCCAAATTAAAAGTACTCACCTTCATCGTGATTTGTCTGGGAACAGTAATGGCGACAAACCGTTGCACAAGGGGTCGCATACAAAGGCCGAGGGACTACAGTACAAGCAAAGGACGATCCTTCACATTCGCGCGTGGTCATCGTCCATGCGTGCACGGGGAGCCTAGGTACCAGGACCGTCAGCAAGCACAGTCAAGAAACATCGCTCGCGACACGCACCGCTCTCTCGCTATCACCCTGATCGTCGGGTGAGCGAGCACGCTTAAGCGGGTTGTCCGCCGTCCCTGCCTCCTTCCAGTCACCACCTCCACCAGCGACCGCGCCAGGGCCGTCCTGAGCGTCAGCATAGCGCTCTTCGACTTCTCTCCTACGTTCAATTTCCAGCCTCTGAGCCTGGGCACCCCAGCCTCCACGCCCAGGATCGTAGTCCTGGCGATGCTCATCACGCACCTACACTCTACACGTCAGAACATGCGAAGGTGCTCCAGTGTATGACGACGCACTTGCCCACCGCTCTTGCCTCGACCAAACTGTCGACCCTCCCGGTAGCCAAGGTCGAGGTCGCACCGGATAATTCGCTCGTCCAACTTGGTCCCGCTTACGTACCGTAGACATGCAAGCGCTTCCGCATGAGTGTAGTATTCCACGAAGCAGAACCCACAGGGCGTTCTGGGCGGGTCAGGCAGTCAGCCTGCTGCTCGGAGCGTGTGGCGGAGAGCGTGCACTGACCTTGTGTTTCTGTCCAATCCCATGATGATACGCTTGATGCCACCGCCCTCTTCCGGGCTCGTGCATTTTGAGAATATCTCATAGATCTGCTCTTCTGTAGTATAAAAACTCAAGTTACCAATCTGCGCGGGAGTGCGTTAGCACGAGCGAAGGTAAAGTAGGAGAGGTTGTATGCACATATAAGGTTGAGGACCTCGCCAAAAGCTCGTTCTGCTTTGAGCGGTCAACTCGGGCCTGCGAGTCCTTGTAGTTCGAGGGCTGGTCGAGGGGCGTTACGACGTGGGCCATGGCTCCCCCAAAGTGCTCGTCGCTGTGAATTCTAAGGTCCTGGCTAAAGTTAAGCGCTCGAGGAGCGGTAGCTTATCCCACGTGACCACGAAGTCGCGTCGAGCCGCGTCAGCGCAAGACGCGACAGTCCTTCGACGAGCCCTACCACCAGAGTTCTCTACTTGGAATCCGCGACGACCATGGATGAAATTGGGATTGAGATTCAGAAGCAGGTGTGTACCCCAGCTCTATCTGCTGCTCCCGTTGTTCATAGCGCGTTCAGGAGCCGACCTTTGAGCATGTCGTGACCGAGAAGGCGGCACTCTTCCAGGAGCTCCAGGAGGAGGACTTGTATATCAAGTACAAGAAGTTGGCCCGGCATCTGGAGATGCTCGACATCCAAGAAAGCTACATCAAGGACGAGCAGGCAAACCTGAAGCGTGAACTCATCCGCGCACAAGAGGAAGTCAAGCGCATCAAGTCTGTACCACTAGTTATTGGACAGTTCCTCGAGCCCATAGACCAACAAACTGGGATCGTCGGCTCAACAACAGGGTCGAACTATGTCGTCCGAATCCTCTCTACCCTCGACCGCGAGTTGTTGAAGCCTTCTTCATCTGTCGCACTTCACCGACACTCCAATGCCTTGGTCGACATCCTCCCACCAGAAGCAGACTCGTCTATCGCCATGCTGGGGAAGGAGGAACGGCCTGATGTTACGTACCAGGACATCGGTGGTATGGACTTGCAGAAGCAGGAGATTCGCGAAGCGGTGGAGTTGCCGTTGACGCACTTCGATCTGTACAAGAAGATCGGCATTGACCCACCGCGAGGTGTATTGCTGTACGGTCCTCCGGGTATGTCTATGATCCTGAACACAAATCAAACAGTAGCGACTAATGATTCATTGCTAGGTACTGGCAAGACCATGCTCGTCAAGGCCGTCGCACATCACACCACCGCATCGTTCATCCGTGTCGTCGGCAGTGAGTTTGTGCAAAAATACCTCGGCGAGGGACCTCGCATGGTCCGCGACGTCTTCCGTCTCGCACGCGAAAACGCCCCCGCAATTATCTTCATCGACGAGATTGACGCCATTGCCACGAAACGTTTCGATGCGCAGACGGGCGCCGACCGTGAAGTGCAGCGCATCCTGCTTGAACTGCTCAACCAGATGGACGGCTTCGACCAGGGTAGCAATGTCAAGGTTAGTCCTGTGTCGCCGGTTCCAGGGGACGAACCTAAGATATGGTGTTCTTGCTTAGGTGATTATGGCGACAAACCGGGCAGATACCTTGGACCCTGCTCTGCTTCGCCCCGGGCGTCTGGATCGGAAGATCGAGTTCCCGCTTCCTTCGCGCCGCGAGAAGCGTCTCATCTTCCAGACATGTACGAGCAAGATGAACCTGGGCCCCGACGTTGATCTCGAGGATTGTCAGTATTTTTGGAGCCCGTTCGTCGAGAGCTCATGCTGACCCTCGTGTAGACGTCTCACGGCCGGAGCGATTATCAGCCGCGGAAATTGCATCCATCGTTCAGGCCGCAGGTCTGCACGGTATGTCGTCATTCTCGAGAATATCGATTCGCTTCATAACTCATCTCCTCCAGCTGTTCGCAAGAACAGATATGTTGTGCTGCCAGCGGACTTCGAAGACGCGTGGAAGGTACGCGTTGTTTGCTTGTGTTTGTCCCGTGTTCGCGCGTCTATAAATTCTCATTTCTCTTTCTTCCCACACACAGGCGAACGTCAAACGCGTCGACGAGACGTTGGATTTCTGTACGTGCCTTCACTTCCTTGCCTCTATCCTTAGCAACGCTGACGTGCGACCGAAGACCGGTGATCGTTTCGGTGTTGTGTTACGGTGTTGTGTTACTGGTGAGTGTACCCCGTTTGGCCACGTCGCGCAACGCTCTAACATGACCTCGACAGGCTCTCGTATGTGTATCATCGGACAATGCAAACCTCTTCGCATCCTTTCTAAGGCTTTCTTGTGAGCATCTCCAGAGAAGCTCCTTCACTTTAGCGTCCCACCGCCGTCCCACGGAGTGGCGCTCATTCTTACGAGCGAGATGAACGACGACTGTCTATCCCGTGCTTATTTTTGCCTCTCTCTTCATTGGCTTGCGGGCCACTGGGTGGGTCTTAGACCTGCTCACATGGAGAGAGTGGTTCACACGCGGGGCACATCTTTTCGCGTGCTTTCGGTGTATACTTTGACAAGCTCAACTGCGCAGCACAATCCGAAGGTTCAATGTACATATGGTGCGTGCCAGCATGTTCCATTGGGTTCCTGCCTCACTCACCTCTAGGGTTCTAGTTCAAAATATATTTCGGATTGTGAGTACGTGGTAGTGATTCCTGGTTTGCCGCGCCTGGGTTCTGTCTGGTTATCGCTCTCCAACACTCTGGGTGACGTCCATGTCTCACACGTTCATCCTCATTTTATGGGAGCAAGAGTGATATGTGCATCTTTCGCAGGATGTATTACCCGTCGCCTTGGCGTTCCCCTCAATGTAAGGGTGATCGAATATGTTTGACGGTGACATCTGTCGTCGCGTTCTCTTGCACTTCTGAGTACATATGTCGCGTGTATCGATGCAGTATATAGTGTACATCAAATTATATTTTGTACAAATGCTGGTACAAATTCCAACTGGGTGTCTTTTCGTCAATGATTGAGCGAATCAATCAATGTTTGGCTGGCTGTCCCAGCTCTGAAGCTCTTTCCGTGGCTATCTGTATCGCACGAGCGATGGTGGACCGCACACGGCCGTCTTCCATGGCAAGTAAACCCGCAATTGTGCAACCTCCGGGTGCTGGAGCGAAGGAGTGTTCAGCACCCGGACTGGGACCCAACGAACGGAAGACGTACTAGTCACCGAATCCTTCAATTGTGCCGGATGCATGCCCTGCTGCAGCGTCATGCGCGCAGCTCCTTGCAGTGCTGTTGACGATGTCAATACCCTTACCACCATGAGATCGGACAGGACGTACTCTGCGCAGCGAGTTCCAGCGCCTCCGCGCGCGGCAGGCCCATCATGACGCCTCCGTCGGCCATCGCCTCCAGGAAGATGCACGCAAAGGCGGGGCCGGAGCCCGCAAGTGCGGTGCACGCGTCGAAGTGCTTCTCCTCGAGGATCCGGCAGCGGCCGATGGACGAGAAGATGTTGAGGATGATGGATTCGTCGAGCTCTGGGGAGGAGGACGGGGGGAGGGTGCTGACGACTGTCATCCCTTCTCTGATCTGTGCGGCGTTCAGTGCATCGAGCGGGACGGGGTTGGTGGGAGGGGAGAACGACGGCGCACTTTACAAGGCGTGTTGGGCATCGCTCGGATCACCTTTGTCGACGGAAGGACCCATGCTGAGATCTGAGCGATGGTGACTCCTGCGAGGATGCTGATGAGGAGCTTGCCATCCAGTGCCTCCTTCATCCCCGGCTCGTTCAGGATGATATGTGCCTGCTGGGGCTTGCAGCTGCACGATCGGGCGTACCTGCATGAGAGCTGTCGCCCGTCCTGGCCATTGAGAAACTCACCCAAGGATCACCACACTGGCTGACTGGACCGCCTCCACATTCTTCCCTTTGACGATCTCAACCTGGTAGCCGAGGGCGCTGGGTGTGTTGAACGCTGCACGCAGCTTTTTGGCGCTTTCTTCCCTACTGACGCACGCGAGGAAGCGCGACGGGAGGGACTCGTCCTCCAGCTCTCGGGGGGTCAGTGTGCCCGGGGTGTGTGATTCCCACTTCGCAGCGGGGTGGAAGCCCGTCGCGGCCTTCGCGTCCAAGCTGGCGAGGACGCCGGAGATTATGGCGACGCCCATGGTGCCGCATCCTGGTCAGCTGCCGTCAGCACAATGCAGCGTGGAGGCGGGTGACTGGTGACCTAGAACGCAGAGAGTGTAGCCCATCGTGGGTGGCGCCGGGCAGGCAGATGAAGTAAAGGTGCAGCGCTGTCAGAGACACTAAAAGCAGGGATGAGGACGGCGTCCAGAGACTCAGACTCAGCGGGTGCAGCAGCAGTCATGTCCGGGCCTCCCAGCACACCCCCACCGGCCGAGTCGGGCCCAGCGACTGAGTCATCTCCGCGCAAAAAACATGCCTTTGTGACTGTCGGCTCTACTCGCTTCGATGCGCTTGTGCAGGCCGTGCAGACGGATGCGGTGTTGGCGGCGCTGCGCACGCGGGGGGTCTCAAGTCTGACGGTGCAGGGCGGCGAGGCGGTCAGGGAGTTCAACGCGGAGCAGCTTCAGGCAGCCACCGCGGGCGGCGCACGGTATGGGATCGACGTCGAGGCGTGGGCGTACAAGCCGTCGCTGCAGGAGGACTACGAGCGGGCGGATCTGGTGATAAGCCATGCGGGTACGACTCTCCGCGTCGCCTCGCAGTGTGCTCCGTACGCTGACAAGACGTGCAGGCTCCGGCACCATCCTCGACGTGCTCCGGCTCAGGAAGCCGCTCGTCGTGATCCCCAACCCGTCTCTGCTCGATAACCACCAGCAGGAGCTCGCAGACGCACTCGCGGACCTCGGCCATCTCAAGACGTGCACCGTCGAGTAGGTTCTCTTCCTTCTCCGCACACGACTTCCCACCCACACGCTTCTGCCTGCAGTACCCTCGCGCAGACTGTTGAGTCGCTGGACGAGGCCTCGCTGGTGCCGTTCCCCCAGTTCGACGGAAGCAGGTTCCGCGAGATGTTGGATGAGGAGATGGGCTACCCTCCCGAGCCGCCAAAATGACTTCGCGCGCGTCCGCGACGCGTCCGAGTCCCCGGCTTCTCCGCCAACCCCCACCACTGCTGATCCGTCCTGCTATCTGCACACTAGTCTTGTATCTGTACAACGCATATATCGATACCCGGGCATAACTTTATCAGCGGCCCATGCCTGCCGCCACCGCCGTGAAGGCTGTCACCGTGTCGGACGACCCGCAGGTGTACGAAGACGAGCACGTCCACTCTGTGTACGACGAGATTGCTCCCCACTTTTCGTCCACGCGCTACAAGGTATGCTCTCCGAGTGTTCAGCCTCTGTATTCACGGAGCAGAAACCTGTGTCGGCTAGCCATGGCCCATCATAGCACAATTTCTGTCGTCTTTGCCTACGGGGTGGGTCGGACTCGACTCTGGGACGGGTAACGGAAAATACCTGCCACTGCCACAAGACCGCCCGGGAAGCGTTTGGACGGTTGGACTAGACAGGAGCCGCAACTTGCTGGAGATCGCACAGAACGCAGGCGGCATACAGCGGGAAGTGGTATGGGGGAACGTCCTGGAGATACCGTGGAGGGCAGGGGCATTCGTTCGTATGCTCGGAAATCATCCTTACCCGTGCTAGGAGACTAGATCGTATGTTGTGTCTTACAGGACTACGCGATATCAATCGCGACGATCCACCATCTGTCCACGCCCGCGAGACGGAAATTGGCAGTACAGGTACGTTCAATATGTAGTGCCATTGCGTGCACGGGTTATATGAACAATTCTATGCAGCGATTGATTGAGAGTATCTCGCCCGCTCATGGTCGTGCTCTGGTCTATGTATGGGCTATCGAACAAGACGAACTCTCAAAACGGAGCATCCCGACGGAATGCAGTACAAACAACCCCGTCACTGATTCAGCGAAGGGAAAAGATGTATTCGTCCCATGGGTCCTCTCCTCCCGGTCTGCCAGCGAGGAGAAGAGCAAGATCCCAACATCTCACGACGCCACTGCAGAGGCAAACAAGGTCTTCAACAGGTACTACCACATGTTCGCGCAAGGAGAGCTCCGGCAGCTGGTGGAAGAGGCAGCGCGAGATCTAGGTCTGTTGATTGGCAGCGCAGGAGAGGGAAAGGGTGGAGACGGTGACGTTCCTGTTCGCGGACTGGAGATCGCCCAGGATGGGTGGGAGAGGTCGAACTACTTTGTAGAAGTGAGACGCTGGCAAAGCATTTCCTGACGACTATGCGTGTGTGCTGTCAGATCACACTCGAACATTCGACTTTTGAGCTTTCGCTGGAGGACGGGAATAACACCGGGACGACGAATAGTGCATGGCACAGATTCACTGCAAGTCCGCCATGAGAAAACCCGCGAGGGATGTTTTTGCGTGGATGTAAAGCAATGCAATGCGAGGACAGTATACAGCAAACTACGCATGGCCTACTCGCTGGCAGCCATGACTGCAGAGATCGCCCGTCAGTGTCCGGACACCACTGCACGCGACATAACAACTCACTAGCATTGATCAGATCACCACCGCTCTCCTTCAGCACACGCACGGCCTTCGCTCGTGAGCAGCCGACCTGCTGCATGACGAGCTCAATGTCCTTTGGCTCGACACCCGTCTCATCCACGGGGCCCTCCTCCTGCACCTCCTCGAGCTCAGGGATGTCATCGTCGTCATCGTCGCCGTCCGCCACACCGGAGGCGTCGATGCTAGGCACGCCCGCGCCGCCGCTGGCGAGTTGCTGCGCTGCGTTGAGCTGGGCAGCCTGGTTCATGTCCTCGATCTGGGGCGACGGGCATGAGCGTTGTGACCAGGAAAGCTAGGCCGAAATCGTACCTTCGCCTCGCCGAACACGATGTAGCAGTCGCTGTTGGGCGACTTGTACACGTCGGGGGTGGCGATCACGAACAGAACCTACGTCGCACGCACGACGCCGTCAGTCTCGCTCCGCACGTCTGCGACTCCGCACACGCACGTTCTTTGGCCTCCGGAGGGTCACCCGCGTGATGCCCTGCACCTTCTTGAGGCCCAAGCTGAGCAGCGCCTTGCGCGCCTTGCGCTCAGAGCGCGACTGGATCTTCTCGAGGGCGGCCTGCGAGGTCGGGTCCTCGTCGTGGTCGTGGTCGTGATCGTGGTCGTGGTCATGCTCGTGCTCCGAGTGGTCGGACTGGACCTCTTCGATGGTGGCAGACATCTGGGCGGAGAGTGACGCGTCAGACTCGGTGCGTGTCGCGGTGGTACATCCAGGTCAGAGGGGAGCCATCCATCGTCGGATGCAGCTCTCTCTATCTGAGACTGCGCATACGGGACGAAGACCTGCAGCAGACACTCACGGCGGATCTTTTGGTTGAGGATAGGTTCGGGGCCGAGCTCGATGCGATGGACGACGAGGAGCAGGGGCGCGGGCGCGCTGCGGTAACCCTAACCCAGTGGCGGCTGTTTGCGGGCGCTCAAGTTGCAGCCACTGGCATTTCCCCCACAGATCTCCAGTGGATCGCATTGCTCCCTGTTCTGTCTTTGCTCACTCCCAGTAGAGACGTCATGTGTGTTGGTATTCACGATATATAGAGCTAACTCAACATCTTCAGGGCCCACCCAATTGCTACACGTCGTCGAGTGTTGGTCGTGCCACAGGCAACTGCCCTACACTTCCGCAGAAGATACACCCTACCTACCGCTAGGTCGCATTCCGACGTCGGCGGTGAGTGCAGTTGTCGCGTTCAGTTACTTATGTTCCCTCATTCGGAGTGAACTCCAGCGTTCAACGCCTCCTCCTCAGGCTCCATCTCCATCGATCGACCATGATGGAGTCGCTGCAAGGGATGCCGTTGTCCTACAAACAGCCCGTCACAGCCCATGACCTGCCAGATGAGATTCTGGCCGAGGTTTTCTCGTCCGCTGTCTCGCCCATATCGCCCAGGCCGGGGGTAGTCGATGTTTCCCAAACTATCACTACATTGGCCCGCGTGTGTTCGTACTGGCGCACAGTAGCCGACCAGGATGCACGCCTGTGGACGACAATACTCATCCGCGGGACGACGACCGCTGAGAAGTTGCGCCTATCGGAGTACCTACGACGCTCACGCACATGCCCCATCAAGGTCATCGTTGCTCCTTTGCATATCCTGGACGATGACTATCGTTGCTGCATAACGGGGCTTCAGCCCCACATGCATCGTATCGTACAACTGTTTGTCAAGATGAACAACAGTTGGGTTATGAAGGAGGTCATCAATTGTCTCACAACCGCCGCGCCTCAACTCCGAGAGCTCACTCTGGGCCTCGTCCAGCCTGAGCTGGATGTCGACGCACTGGCCAATCCCTTCGACATTTCAGCACCAGATATTTGAATCAACGCTTCCCAATGGTCTGCGCTGTTTGACGGACACACGCCCGCGCTGCGTACACTCTGCCTGTCCCCCGTGTGGCTTTCGCCGTTGCCGTCCATTCTGCAGCTTTCGCCGTTGCTGTACATTCTGCAGAACTTGTGGCATCTGACATTGGCTGACAATCTCGAGTTTCCCATCTCCGCGGACCAGCTGTTGGACATACTCGGTCGCTGTTCCGAGCTGAAATCCCTCACTATACACCATATCCATCCGTACACCCTCAAAGCGCAGCAGCGTATCATCACTCCCCGAGTCGAAGAAACTATTGCTCTTCCTGCTCTCGCCCGTCTACTCCTCTTTGGGCAGGCCATCATGGACGCCAGTCGTTTCCTACGGCGTCTCTCCCTCCCAGCTGCAGCGACCAAGCAGATCACCACCGCCGTGGTTGTCGACAGGGTTCCCATTGAGAGCATACAGGATACACACAATGTTGTCTCTGCCGGCGCCAAGACCGACAGTTTCTCAAGTTTGGTACACACCCTCGAGCTTTATGCACCTTCTCCCGACCAATTTGTCTTCACCGGCTACGCCACTCCCAGCGCGGAGGTCTCCACAGACCACAACCCGTCAACCTCCACTGGCCGAGCGTTGCAGAACCACGAGGTGACCCTCAGAGTCAGACTCCCCTTCGCGCGTCCGGAATATACGTTGTCTATTCTCGAGGGCGTTCCCGCCAGAATGACCGCTCTGCACACGCTCGTTCTGCATGGAGCCCTGATCAGCATGTCGCACGGTAGTTGGGACTTTCTTGCACCGCCCATGCGGAACTTGCGCATACTGCGCCTCGTCGAGCTTACCGCGCACGATGTTAAGGAGTGCGTGACCGCGCTCTGCCTCGCGCCCGAAGCGAAGTTCGGGCCCTCCCTCACGCGCCTGGAGATCGTCTGCCCTGGCGGAGGATTCGACAAGCCGCTGAGGGATGCAGTGGAGATGGCGGTGCGAAGTATGAGCGGACGTGGTAAACTGGAGACGCTGGTCGTGGTCCCGGGCGAACAAGAGTCGAGCTCGGCGGCGGACTGGGAGAGTTTGAGGGAGTTGTGCACTGTGAAGGTAGGCGAGAATGATGGTGCGTGAAGGATTATGTGCCTCTCGCTGTCCTGGAGTCTGTTGGATCGGCCTTTCACATGTTTGTCGGAATCTCACTGCATCCAGTGTCGTATTTTCTGTCAATAGATTGCATTCTTTCTTGGTCTGCGCTGCACGGGACATTCGCGGCGGAAGCTTTGGCTGAGGATAGTTTTGGGGCCGAGCTCGATGCAACGGACGACGAGGAGCTGCCGAGCGAGCGCGCCGTGGTAACCCCAACCCAGTACCTTCCTCCTCCTCCTCCTCCCCGGGCGCTTCACTTAAGCGATCTCCGTGGTTGGTTCTTGAACCGTTCTTCAGGACTCCGAGTCGATGATCACTGCACATCCTGTGCGTGTCCTCGTCCTCTCTGTTGATTCTCTGGTCGGCCTCAGTGTTCACTAGTCACTGCGAGCACATCATCACGTGTGCGTAGGCACAAACTCTAACTGCAAGTCTGCATGGCGTTGCCTATAATAGGCTCGACGAGGGCTTGCTCGAGGGCACAGGGCGTCGCGTCCGTATCAAGCTCTCCCTTCTTACCTCCCCGTTGGCTGCCAGAAGGCGACCTTGCAAATAGTCGACATCGGCGTCACTATCAAGCATTCTGAGGACAACTTGACCGCGCCAAGTTTTCTACGCTCAGGCTTTACAGACGTGACATCCCCGCCAAAGCTCTGCAGTTTGGCGTACAAGGTGACTGCCATCGTGATCCAGTTGTCTGTGCTCCCTCATTGAGGTCGAAATATAGCATTCAAACGTTCACTCCTCCATCGATCGACCACGATGGAGTCGCTGCAAAGGATGCCATTGTCCCACAACCCGCGCGTCACAGTGCATGATCTACCGATCGAAGTTCTGACTGAGATTTTCTCGTCCGCTGTCTCACCCACATCGCCCATGCACATGTCGGGGGTAATCCACGTCTCACAAGATATCATTACATTGGCCCGCGTGTGTTCGTACTGGCGAATAGTGGCCGACCAGGATGCACGCCTGTGGACGACGATAGTCATTCGCGGGACGACGACCGCTGAGAAGTTGCGCCTATCGGAGTGCCTACGACGCTCACGCACATGCCCCATCAATGTCATTGTTGCTCCCTTGCATATCCTGGCCGACGACTATCGTGGCTGCATAACGGGGCTTCAGCCCCACATGCATCGTATCGTACAACTGTTTATCAAGATGAACAACAGTTGGGTTATGGAGGAGGTCATCAATTGTCTCACAACCGCCGCGCCTCAACTCCGAGAGCTCACTTTGGGCATCATTCAGCCTGAGCTGGATGTCGACGCACTGGCCACTCCCTTCGACTCTTCAGCACCAGCTCTCCGAACCATCGATTCCCGACGATGGTCTGCGCTCTTTGGCGGACACACTCCCGCGCTGCGTACGTTCTGCCTGTCCTCCGTGTGCGATGTTTTGTCTATTCTCGAGGACCCTCCCTCCGGAATGACCGCTCTGCACACGCTCGTTCTGCACGGAACCCTGAGACGCGCATCGTACGCAACCCAGGTCAGATCTAGAATGTCGCACGGTAGCTGGCACGGCTTCCTTGCACGCGTGCGGAACCTGCGCACGCTGCGCCTCGTCGAGTTCACCGCACAGAATGTCCAGGAGTGCGTAACCGCGCTCAGCCGCTCGCTCGAAGGAGAGCCCGGGCCCTCCCTCACGCGCCTGGAGATCGTCCGCCCTGGCGGGGGATTCGACAAGCCGTTGAGGGATGCAGTGGAAATGGCGGTGCGGAGTGTGAGCGGACGTGGTAAACTGGAGACACTGGTCGTGGTCCCGGGCGAAGAAGAGTCGAGCTCGGCGGCGGATTGGGAGGGTTTGAGGGAGTTTTGCACTGTGAAGATAGGTGAAGATGATGGTGCGTGAAGAATGATGTGCCTCTTGCTGTCCTAGAGTCTGTCGAATTGGCCTTTCCCGAGTCGGGACCTCAGCTGCGTTTGTCGTATTGGCTGTCAATATCTTGTATATTTTCTTGGGTACCAGGGAACAGAACACGAACCTATTATGTAAAGATTCCGCATGCCCACCGACCGCTCACGTCCACAGAATCGACGTCAACGAGCGCTGGTGCGCGTGCCTAATTCAGTGTTATGTTGAGGTTCGGCGGCGGGTTGTCCTCAGTGTAGTTGTTCGGGTTCGGGAAGCGCTTCGCCCAGTTCGGTCCAGAAATCCGTCACATACCGAGACCGCCAGTGAACATCTCGTCCGCCATGTTCTGGTCCTACTTCAGCACTGACAAGTCCAGCAGGTGGATACCATAAGGGAGCCTTCTCCTGGATCTTCGGGTACTGAAAGTAGCGGCACCTGTGTGATTGACTCCTTGTCATGTAAGTATCCCGGGACAGCACACAAGCAGCTGTCCGGCCGCGCTACCGAAGTTTGCATCCGATATTTGAGCTTTATCCCTCATCGTGGCCTCCTCGCCTATGCGGAAAACCCGGAAGGTCTACCGGAGGAGCGTCGAACGTGGTCTTCTACCTAGCGGCCAGCGGAGGACGCTTCACACCTTTCCCTACGCTTGGATTGGAGTTTGAGTGTTGAACGTTTGAACACTTGCGCCTTGCCTTCGGTATCTTGCACATATTCTGACTTCGCTCGGACAGCATGGGCAAGCGTGGATACGGAATGCTTGTGATCCATGCGCGGCGCAGTGTCTTGGGGTGCACCATCGCCTGTCCGTTCGCATTACGGTAACGTACATCTCGTCCTGAACTTCACATGTACACGTATGCGCCCCTCTGTCACGCACCTACTTCTGCTCCCCAGGATATGGCTTATAATCGACCTCCTTAGCCTCAAATACGATGCCCTTCTTGGTCTCCTCCCACGCATCCGCCTCCTCCCTCTTCTCATACGGGGGCAAGTATCCCTTCCTGAGCTCGCGCTTCCGCGCAGTGTCCATGCCCGAGCGCTCGTCGCGCGCCTTGACCATCTCGGGGGGCGGGCCCTGGCCGTCGGCGGTGTACGAGACCATGAGCTGGGGCGGGCCAAGGGGGAGGTCGGGGTGGGCGTCGACCTGCCAGGTGTGGATGGTCTTGCCGTACGTGCGCTGGATCTCGAGGATCGCGGGCTGCTCCGCGAGGTCGGTCACGGCGCCGTTAAGGGGCGCGCGCGCGTGCATCTGCAGGAGGCCGCTCTCGACCTCGTACTTGTGCGAGTGCCAGAGCGGCTTCTCGGCGGCGGGGAGCCCGTCGAAGAGCGTCTCGGAGACGATGTACTCGATGCCGATGAGCTTGGCGGAGGGCGAGTCGGAGTCGTAGATGATGCATTGGTGGAAGTCGGGCGAGAGGTGCGTGCAGTAGTGGTGCGCCTCGAGGTGCCGGGTGCGGTCGTGGCTGGGATTCAGCGAGGGCCGTGCTGAGTGCGGGGTACATATATGCGCGAGTGGCACTCACGAGTAGACGTGGAAGGCACAGAGGTGCTGGTGGATAGCGTTGATGGGCTTGAAGGTCATCATGGCGGTGCCCGCGGCGCTGTACGGCGCGGAGTGGTAGAGCGAGTGCTTTGTGTCGGTGTCCATGTCGGCTGACTGTATGCGGTGTGGTCGGCGGGCAGACTACGTCGGAGGCATGGCCTGCGGGGGGCTGAAATAGTGGTGAGGAAGCTTCAGCCACCGGCCATGACGTCGCACAGACATCATCCTGGGCGTGGACGCAGCGGCAGCCGCTTGTCCAGAATAGGTCGCGGGCATTTGCGTAGTGGCAGGGGGAGCCGTGGGGGTATAGCAGACCTGGGGTACACTGCGTGTCGTGACTCTGCCAGACCCCGCTCAGAGCCGCGGGAACTTATCGCGCAGAGGAAGCGCGTCGCCCTCGTGGCTCGCGGGCTTCGTCTGGGGGAGGGAGCATATGGCGCAGCAGGCGGAGGCAGGAGGAGGAGATCTCCAATTTAGCCACCTGAGTTGGCAGCTCACCGCAGACGCCCGCCGCATCACGCTCGTCCTTTGCCCGATCGCGCTTGAGGCGCATCTACCGCAACGCTCGCCAGCCACTTGGCCAGCCATGTGCTGGACAGACCCGCTCACGCTTGTCCCCTCGCACATTTCCACCACCACGCCGCCCTCCGCGTGCGCGCCCGCATCTTGTCATGTTCTCGCCGCCCACCCCGCGGCGCATCGCGCAAATACCAGGGCATGTGTGACTTTTTCTCTTCGACACTAGAACTTTGCCAGAAGATCTCCTTGCGCCGTCTGCATCGCTTCCTGCGCACCCGGTGCCCATCCCTACCATGCGCATCAAGACACCACAGCACTCCCTATATAGCCCCGTCCACCCTCTCGCGGCCGCTCACGGATGTTTCATCCCCTCCCCGTGTGCGCCGTCCCGGCCAGCCTGACCAGCCATGGCAGATAACCCAGAGGTCTCCCAGCTCATCCCGATCAACCTTGCCACCGTTTGCATCGAGAGCTTCCTCTACGGCATCTTCTTCGTCCTCTATGCCTCCTCCACCTACCTCCTCGTCCGCCAGGGGAGAGCAAAAGCGGCGGCGGAGCACGGCAGCGCCAACTCGGTCTACAGGGCACCCATGTTCATCGCGGCACAAATCGTCTTCCTCACAGTGACTGGTGTGAGTTATTGCTACCACGCCATCGTTCGCGTGACACTGACGATCACCTCAAGCACTGGGTACTCACCGTCTATCGGCTCTTCCAAGCCTTTGTCAACTTCCGCGGCGGAACCGCACCGCTGCTCTACTATGCCAACATCGCACTCGCCACCGAAGTCGCTAAATCCGCTCTTTTGGTCGCAACTGTTCTTGTATCCGATGCAATGATCGTACGGCAGCTGTCAGTCTATCCGTCCTCCGAGTGATTCATCCATTCCTCCAGATATACCGTCTATATATCATCTGGGGCTACAACAAGGCGATCGTTGTCCTCCCAATCCTCACCTGGTTCGGCTTGATCGGTGGGCATTCCCCGTCAGACGTCGCCCGTATACGAGGTGCTAACACCGCGAATATCAGCCGTCGGTGCGGGCGTCTGCTGGCGCTTCTCCCAATACAAGATCGGCGACAATGTCTACGACGGTCCGATCGGACGCTGGGTGACTGCCGACTGTTTCTTCACCCTTGCGTACGTGTACCTCCTTGCCCACCTATAAGTTCCCTCGCTGACACCGCCCCTCCCCCACAGCACGAACGTGTACTGTACCGGTACGTCCCCGCCCTCCATGATCCTCACGAGACAGCACCTGACATCCCTTCCAGTCTGCATCTCCTACCGCGTCTTCCGCACACGCTTCCGCTCCCGGAAGCACCCCTCGCTCGCCTCGCCGAACCTCCTCTCCGCGCTCGCGATCCTCGTCGAGTCCGCCGCGCTGCACACCGCGTGGAACGCGCTCTTCCTCGGCGCCTTCCAGCGCGCGTCCACCCTCCAGTTCACCGCGATCGACGTCTGGTCGCCCGTCGCCGGCACCGCGTTCATGCTCATCAACCTCCGCGTCGCCCTCGGCTGGGCACAGCGCGCGCACCCCACCGCCGCCTCCTCCTTCGTCGCGGGCACCGCGTCCACCCTCGCGCGCCCCCTCAGCGACGCAGGGAACACGAACATGAACTGGAACTGGAACTCGAAGCGCGCCTCGTACCCGTACGGCGCCCCCGCGCCCGTGCAGCCCCCGCCCGGCGCGCACAGCCCGCGCGCGTACCGCAGCGAGTGGGGCCAGACGCGCGCGCCCGACTCGCAGCGCGTGTCGCGTGGCGCGGGCTACGGCGCGGACCCGTGGCAGGACCAGCCGTGGGTCGTCCAGGCGCCGCACCCGTACGCCGCCGCCGCGGGGAACGCGCGCGCAGCTGTGCGCGTCCCGCTCGCGGTGAATGTGACGAGGGTCGTGGACCGCGTGGATGATCGGGGCTCGTCGCTCGAGGAGAAGTCGGGCTGGGCCGCGGGCGAGGCGGTGTAGGTAGAAGGGGTGTGGTGAGTTATATTGTTGTAGAGTACTTTGTCGTGGGTCCGGGTGTGGAGCCTAGCCGGTAGACGTTGAATTGTTGTGATACTACTTAGTCGGGGTGTGCGCTGCCCGAAGATACAAATGGATTGGAATGCATACATGCACGGCGCCATGATACTGTATCGGTGTCCGCAGGCTGAGTTTGCGGAACTGAAACAATCATCGTGAGTCTCAAAGCCTATGAACTATCAACGCCTGAAAGCCAAGTTCACAGCGTCGCCGCAGGAGACAGGACCTGCTGGAGCTCCTGCTGGACCCCGTCTGCTTCCAGGCGATCTTCCATTGGCTCAACCGAGACAAGCAAGTACTACTGCTTAGCTTTCTTCATGAAATTGGAGTACTAGGAGTATAAGCCTTGAAGCTCGATGGAAGCAAAGAATTAACAAAAGGAGGTTCACCAGGTACGCATCGCTCGACCTCGCTACGTCCACTTCCGCTCATCCTCAGGCTCGCTCTTGCAGCGATTCACGCCGCAATTCCTCCTGGTGCGTCTGGGGTACTTTGCAGGGACACCGGGGCTCGTCACATCCCTGGTACCTGCTCGCAGGCTTTGTCCACCGCTGCGTGGCAAGCTTCTCGAGTGCACCGTCGGTGTGATCGAACGCAGGTAAGTTCAGCATATGTACTCGTCATGAGCTCCCTTGACATTTCTTCGTCTACCATTTTACAGAGCAAACCGTGCTAGTGTACAAGCCGTGCCCATTAAGCTCAGTAGTCTAATACTGTGACATTCACCGTGCAGTATTGTCGCAAAAGCTGCATATCTAATACCGCATACGCCCGATATGATACGACCATACGCAGGGTTTGTAGCGCACCCTCCATGCTCATGAGCCGCACAGCTCTCGTCAGCGCATGCGCAGCCCTCGGGACCTGTTCGTCAAAGTCTTCCGCCAAGGCCCACGTGCCTTTGATCTCCAAGGTTTGCAGCGCAGCCAAGCGGGGCCGCACATATGTCACACTTTGACCGCGTGTTGTGTCTGACGCGCAGAGGGCGGCAAAGCATGAGTACAGGCTTCTGTTGACCTCGCGGAGATGCAGCGTCCGCAGCCCAGGCATGCATTCGAAGAGGCTAACCCAATGATCAATTAGGTAAAAGTCTCTGGGCTCGATAACCAATGAGTCAACGGCGCCGAACAGGGAGATGTCCCTATTTGCTTGCATAAAGTGAGTGAAGTGCTCGCGTGCTTCCTCCTCCCTGCTCCCGTTGTCCAGCATAATGCTCAACGCCGGTTTTGGGGTTCGCGGGGACTTGTAGTCGAACAGGTCTTCGACAGAATGCGTATATCCGGTGATAACTATGGTCCCGCTATTGGCTATCCACAGGGTGCGCATGGAGGACAGGGTTCGAATGGCGGCACGATGGGGCAGATACTCAAGGCGGGCGAGATGCACTTTCAGATTGGCGGTCTCAGGGAGGCAAAGGTGTGTAAGGAGACAGCCAGTGACCCTGGACTGCTGCCAGTCTATGTCTACAACCTGTAGAGAGGGCAGCAACACATCCCTGTCCGTACGGGCAGGGGCACGGGGCTGAGGTGCAGGCAAACGTGGCAATGCCGGGTGACTGTGAAGCTTCAGGGTCTTGAGGTCAGGACAATGTTCTAGGATGTCAAACAAAGTGTCCATCTCGGTGATTGGAATAACCTGCCCCAGGAGGATGAGGTGCTGCAGGTTTCGCAGGATGATAGACTCGGCAATGAGTGGCAGGGACACATGTGAGAGATGGATGGAGTGCAAAGAAGGGGTATGTCCGCCGAACAGACCATGCGGCTGGAGTGTCAATGCGGGAGGATGCTCGTGTGGATAAGGATCAACCTCCAGCCTGATCTCCTCAAGCAGCGGGGCAGCCATGCGCGAAACGCGGGGTAGGAAGGTTCGTATGATGTCGTGGTACGGGTCCTGTGCTTCTATGTGCAATGTCCGGACGCGATGCTGGTGAGACTGGAGAATCTCGATGCAGTCGTCCACACGAGTGCCCCTGAGGCACATGATAGTGACATCAAGAGGATATGATTTTGATCGGCGTAGATATTCTTCGATGCGACTAGGAGGCTCGTCGTCGTATGCATCAAAGTCGCTCGGGCGGTTAATCTGCAACGTTCTCCAAAGCCTGGCAGCGTCAAGGGCCACCGTACGCCAATGCCTACAGACATGGGTCACACAGTTGAGTCGAGAGATATCCCGACAACGATCGGATGACGGCGGGGTCGCGTGCCAAAATATTTCAGCGAGAAGCTCGGTCGGGACGCGGTTGATATGGACGGAAGAGTTCCGCAGGGTCCGCAGTTTTTTCATAAACGCGTTGGCCCGTAGCACGTACTCCTGCACCTGCCGTAGAGCGTCATCCATAGCAGGATGCATGACCTCGCTCGGCACCTCGTCCGAGCTCAGGCTGGCGAGGAGCTCGGTACAGACTTGTTCCCGACCTGGATCGGGTCCGTAGCTCTGTGCAATTGCAAGGTTCAAGCTGCAGATAGTGCTCAGTTAGGGATCGTGACATGACAAGGGATGGGGGCAGACCTGAGTAACGACTCAGATGGACGCGTACGGGAGCCACTGCTGCCATCGGGAGCTGACATCCTCATTATGTCGTTCGAATTGATAGGGAGACAAAGATAGGACTGGCAGTACTTGGTGTGATATCCTCCGAAGTAGGGTGAACTCGAACTTACAGGCAAAACAGTTGGTTCTGTCCGGTCTGTACGCGGCGAAGGCTCCCGTCTACCTTCAGCCTAGGCTATCGGAGGGCTCGAGGGTTGACAGATAACAGTGTTCGCAGGAGTTCGTGAAAGCGAGCTACGCGACAGCGCTGCAAATCGATCGATGCCAGCAGTGCTAAGTACGAGTCAACGGCGCGAATGCAAGATGCAGTTCGTTCGAGGCGGCCTGCGTCCAACCGGCACGTGGATGAGGATGTTTCCCAGGAGGTGCGGCGACTCGGACGGGCGACTCACTAGGTACATCGCGAGTACTATGAATTTCGCGTAAAGCTTTGTACGGACTTTATATAGCCCAAAAGACTCGGAACGCCTGAATTATTATGGTGTAGACTATAAAGCTGTGCATGTGCTCTATAATAGCGCAATTTAAAGGGCCGTGAAGACAGAAATGTTAACGAAGCTTAACGAGGTGCGCAAGTGAATGCGGGGCGGTTGAAGCGTGTAAATTTACCACTTCGCGACAAGCCGTATAATTGTATCCACTTTCACAACAGCTCAGAATAGAACACATAGCACACTCTGAGCCATCCGATGCGCGAGCTCACACAGCTTGCAGTAGAGATGGGCAAGATGACATCATGATTCTGGTGAGCAAATCTTGTATGCTACCGTGATATAACACAAGGATCACTACAATACAGAAGTCATACAGTGGCCGTTACTACGGATGAACTGCTATAGCCTCTGGACGGGCGACGTAGCCTCAGCACCTAGTAGGATACATCGCCGGAACAACAGGCACGCCGACGCCCTCGCGGAGAAGACGAAACGCACCTTTCATGAGTCAGAGAACGATGCCAGAATATGGCTCTTGCAAATGCAGGACCCGCGGTTCTGTCTTCCGCAGAGAAAGGGATGATCAGATGTATTGGAAATATACGTTGATCGTAGCACATTATGTGCAGCCGCCAATAAGCGAGACACACGCACCAAGAACGCAGCAGTCACGTATAGAACGCCTGAGCAGCATAAGATGCACCAGACATGCAGCACCGCAAGCCAACTTGTTGTGTACAACAGTAAGTTACCAGAGCGCAAGACAAACTCACCAATTAGGCTGTGTGCGCGGATACCGGGAGCTAGGGAGAGGGTGTATTCATGTTCAGATAAGAGTGTACCTTTCATCACTGCCGAGACTGTGTTCACGCGCGTCGCGCACGGTCAAGGTACATGGCACAAGGAAGGGACTTGAAGGGGGCTCACCAACTTGCAGACGGTCTTGACTCGGATAGCCCGCTCTTAAATGTGACGATGAGATCTGCGGAACTAGTGGACAGACGGGTCTCCGACTGAGTCGCTCACGACTCCAGAATTGATCGAGACTAAAGGCTGTGCCTCTAGTATTTCAGTCTGCTAAGCTAGGCCCCACCGGCGCGACGCAACCAGACTCTCCAGGCCCGGAGCCGTCCTATGCCAGAACGTCAAGCATACTCAGCTAACGACTAAGATCCGTGAAAGACTAGAGTCTAAGTCACACTTACAGTGACCATCGTCGCATAGTACTGTATGCACTGCAGTACTATATCGACCTCGGCTAGTAGCTGGCGCCGCTGATCCATGACCGTGACGATGCTGGTATACTGACATCAGTAGGGCTGCTCAATTCTCGCCGCCCGTTCGTCGGTTCGTCGGGCACCTGCCCCGTAAGGCAGGTAGCATCAGATCCGGATCAAGCCCGGCAGATTCCCGACTAATCCAGCCACCGCCTACCGAAAGCGGTAGGACCAACGAGAGAACGAGCTCAGGTCAGCTCACTTCCCGACTGTACATTACTTACGAGGTGTCGGATGTGTACGATACCCACAGAATATTTGAATCTTGCCAATTGCTATGGGATGCATGTACACAGTGTCGAGGGCTCGCTATCAATGGGCTTACATAATCACATAGGCAGTCAGCAGTAACTTTCCGTTAACGTGCGCGTTCACTGCTGTCAGTTCACAGTCTTGAATCTCGTTTCTAATCGGGCTATTAATCTCGTTTTTCTTCCCCTGCCGCTCTCTCATCTGTCCCGACAATAACCTACATTGACTGCTAAAAATGTTATGTAATGCATCTTACATTTACATTCTTTAACTTCGAAATCGCCGTTCACAGCTCTGCGACGGTAAACCAACCAGGACGTGAGCGCTTGAGCGCTTGAGCTCCGAGTCACCCTAGGCTCGTCCTCTGGCTGGTGCAAGGTCGTATCGGTCAGTGCTAATTATCGACGAGTCGTTAAGCGTCATTGTCGGTAGGCGGTGGCTGGATTAGTCGGGAATCTGCCGGGCTTGATCCGGATCTGATGCTACCTGCCTTACGGGGCAGGTGCCCGACGAACCGACGAACGGGCGGCGAGAATTGAGCAGCCCTAGTGGAGGCCCGGCCCGCTTGACTGATTGATTAGTATCCGGCGACAGCGTGACTGACGGCAGGGCTATCGCATTGAGGCTATTAAAAGCACAGGATAGTCTGTGTGCGTAGTGGGCCGCAAAGACAGATGAGTCGACGAGAGGCTGCGTGTAGTACGACAGACTCGACTTGGGCTCGACCGACGCATACCTAACTAGGAAGGTTGGCGCTTTGAACGGCTGCGTCGCGTGACCTGCTAAGTCCGAATACAGCTCATCTGGCTTGAAAGCTGAAATGCACGCCATTTAGTACTACTGCTAATACGTATGAGGTCTATGTACGAGCCCTGCATTCGGACTCTGAGCTTACCGGCCCTTTCTACATCTGTTCAGAATCACACAAAGATCATCTGACCGAGTGTAGCTCTGTAGCATTTTTACAAAGCCATTATATTATATTATATTCCGCCATTATATCTGCGCCCATTTATGTGGCGCGAAAGTCGATCTTACGAGCGCCCGAGTCTCCCGATGTACAACATCGCAAGTCCAACCTGATAGCCCTCGGGATCTCTGCCTGCAGCAAATCCGCAGGACAGGCTGCAGGTGTGCTATGGCTGCAGGTGTGCTAATGTATGTATGTAGTCTAGACCGCAACGAACGGACGAGTCTCGATCTCTCGTCGCGGCCACAGGGTACGTGTACTACCGCCGGGGGTTGTTCGTCTGCTTTCGCGATGTCTCCCCTCTCTGTCCCCTCAGTACTCAGTCGCCGCCGGATCAGCCTGAGGGCAGCCTCCCGAACAATGAAATTTCTTCAGCGTACGCTTCGCACTAAGACGTCGCAGTGACCGTTCAATTCAGTGCTATTATGACCAAGGCTTCATCGACGCGATCGTATGAGTCGACAACCTGTATCGTCTGCACATGTAGTTCAGCCCAGAGAGCAGAGTCACCGGGCTAAAAGATATTGTCCTCTACATCCGGTGGGCAGATTTGCATCGAAGCACCCCGCCGAGGAATCCAACGAGACACTAAACGAGGCGGACTAGTCCTGGCAGTGGCATAGCATCAATCAAATCTAGCTGGTTGGTCAGGGTACGAACAAGGACTCCGACATATAATCATGCCCCTGAAACAACATTTAGATGGGCCATCTTCAGAACCAAGAGTCGACGCGTCCAACAATTGGTGTTGGTAGTACTAGAATATAGCGTCCCGCGCCTCAGAGCCTCGACCCCGATGACCCGTACTTACGCTGCAAGAAGCTTTGTATCTCCTGGCCTACGAGTCATTGCGTACGTCAATTGTATGTTACACAAGAGCTCTCTCTGAAGAGACTCACCCAGCTCTCTTGGTGTCTCCTGCACAATCAGGTGTCCCGCACTAGGAAAGATGATATTGGAGGAATTCATCGGTCGTCTCCACACGGTCATCTCGCGGATACCGTCTTCCCTGCAGATCACATTGAGCACGTGTACTAAAGTTCTGCTTTTTGACCACTGGTGTACTGACCTCTGCCTCTGCTTACCCGGGACAATAAAGCGAAGCTCGACCCGCTCGTCCAGTTCATCGAGAAGATCCCATGTCTCGCACATGGTCAAGACGTCCGAGAAACCCAATGCTTCCTGTTGCATTGCGTACGGAGACGATAAATATTAGTCCACTAGACGTGCAATGTACCCGGCACAGCTGGCAGGCCTCGCGCACCTGAACAGGGGGTGTCTTCAACTTGATGGCACCGTCTCGGTCTTCATACAAAGCGTATTCCACGTAGTTGTCGAAGACTTCCGGGTCCCACGTCTGGAAGAAGGTCGATGCGCGAATGACGTTACGGGCGTTTTCGCTGGGGACAGCATCAGCGTCCGGAAGACTGATTGACTGCGGTCTGTAACATACCGAGATGGCCATATGCTCTCGCGCTTCAATGCGTTCACAATATAGGGAAAGGCACGTTCGTCAACGACAGGCCCGGAGCATGGATGAGGTACGATAGCAGGCTCGACGAGGATGAGGGAAGAAAACAGCGCAGGAACATCAATCGCAGCCCGAGCGCTGCAGCAGAGGAGTGAGTGGCACTCAAATGCCGACGGACATTGAGAGGTCTCAGCCATACTCACATCGAACAACCGCCAAGAGAATGGCCTACACCAACAACCATCCGCTTCCGGAGGCCGTGAAGTCGCCGTTGACGTGCAGTAGCATCTGGAAGTCGGGCGAGATGAGTAGGGAGAACGGAAGTGGAGGAGTGCTCAGGCATATAGTGTAGCATGAATTGTAGTATGTCGCGTGCATTGTCCCGGCAATCAACTGCGTCTTTCATTAATCCTTCGACAGATTGTCTAATAGCTCCACGCAATCTTACATATGCTGCCCAGATCTTGCTTGTTGACTAGGAAGGCGTCACCGTGGTTGACGGCCTCCCAGGCCCATACTTCGTCCACGAGAGGCTGAAAATCGGATTGTCGCTGCGCTTCCACGAGATGAGATATCATGGGCTCCCAACTCTACAATACTGGAGTATCAGCGTGTATACGGGAATAGACGTTGACCATTGGCTCTCAGCCAGCGCACCTCCTTGGGAAACCCGTTGGCGGGGAGAAGTAAGAGCGTCACACCCTTACGCGCATCGTTCCCTATGATTTCTCGCCTCACATAGCGATTGAGACAAACCCAAGGCGGTTTGATGCTGTTTGACTCCGGGAGTTCTCCGTTCCATTGCCTCTGTCGCATCGAGATGACCAGATTAGCAGCCTCTATGGCAGTTGCATCCCGCTTGTCTTTGTCTGCAGACGGCAGAGGTGCATCCGGTAGAGCCGCGTCTGGGCTTGACCTAGGGAGAGCGGCGGGTACAAGATGTGTTGTCAGCAGGAAGGATGACTCAGAAAAGGTTCGGGGAAGGGAAGGAAGATCCGGCAGAGCGGCTGGGTCCTGAACACCATCCAGCATTGGAAGTAGTTCCCTGATTCTTCGCGGACAACGGCGACCAGACCAAGTCCTAGGCAGTGATAGTCGGGAGCCCGTCGTGCCGTCCATGCCGCCGTTGGATGTATTGAGGTGTTGTCTATATAGGTGTTCGGTGCCAATGCCAATGCCAACGTCAACCTAAACACCAATAGCGCAGATTGAGTTTCCTGGGGCAACGTACGCCGGGAAACTCCGACCTACCTGCGAGAAAGGGACTCCAGTGAACACCTTCGAGTATCTGTGTCCCAGCTACGGACGTACATATACCATCCTCGAGCACAGCTTCGGCCGTTCAACTTTCCCGACGGCGTCATATTCACTCACGAACGCGTCGAAGGAGGGTCGCGGCGCCATCTGGCGCGCGCCGGCCGGGCTTCAGAAAGACCTCAGTTCCGAAGCAGAGAACCGAGCTCAGCTGACTTCGACCAAGTTCCAGTCACCAGTCGTTGAAGGCGCAGGATGAACCGATAGCGTACAGGAGCGCGGCCGAGCGCTGCCACTGGCACTGTCATGTCAGTTCCTCGTCGGTCCGATCTGGCGCCGCGTCTTGTCACGATCCCGTGATGCTGGTATCACGTCGGGTCACGCCCTCGAAGAACTCAGCGGTTCGCGCCTTCCTGTCAACCCCTGAACGGAGGGGAGTAGATAAGCAAAACCGGGTCTTGCGCATAGTAATGACGACCACGGGTCAGCGCTTCAGCAGGCACTTCAGGACGTCACGAATCTGGGCAGCAAACAGCAACTCTACCTGATCTTGGCTTAATGAGCCATTGCAGTGGTGTTGCGTTGCGACGTATCCTCCATAACATCCCGACGCCGCGAGTAGTTGAGATATCTCTGGCCTGAGCCGATTTGCTTACCTTCGTGCCATTTGAATAAGGGTTGGGACGGAGGTCGGCCGCCTCCACCCACCGGTATTGAAGACAAGTACCGACGCAACGATGGTTCGTCATCAGCACACCCGCTGTGTGCTCAGCCTGTGACTTTTCTTCTAATCGCGCTTGTCCCAGGTCGTAACGCTGACTTCATTGTCATATAGATATCGCACATTGCCGGTGTTTCGGATAAACAACATCAAAGTTTTGAATGCAGTGGGTTGGACTTGTGCTCGATGAAGGAGAAGATTTCTTTGCCTGAGAACAGGTGGACGAATGGAGTTCGTGATCGTTTTCCAAATCACGGTCATTATGAGCACGAACCTAACTCTTCAGGTGCTTCCATTACAATCAGATGGCCTGCCTGGGAGAATACGACGTTGGAGCTGTTGGCTGGCCGTCGCCACGAAGTCGTTTCTCTGAACCACTCCTCTCTGTCAAACGCATGAGCAGAGCGGAGTCAGCAACCTGGGAGTCATGAGATATCTCGATTTAGACTTCACCCCTTCCCAATCTTCCCAGCAAGGATCCATCGTAGTTCGACGCGCTCGTCGAGATCATCAATCAAGTCCCATGTTTCGTACATAGTCAACATATCCGTGTAGGTCATGGCCTCCTGCACAAGCATACCGTCTTATCAGCGTAGAACCTAGCAAGCGGCAAGATTAGAGCAAACCTGGGTGCTGGGCATCTTCAAAGTGACTCCCCCTCGCGGATCGTCACGTAGGCCGCATTCGACATAAACGGACAATGCGGCCGAGTCCCAAGTAGAGAAGAAAGGCGATGTTGACAGGTCTGCACTCGCTTGCTCTCTAGTAACCCGTTCATGCGTGTTCTGACTCTGCCCGACTGTTCGAACTTACCGAGATGGCCACCGGGACTTTCGTTTGATTGCATACACAAGATAAGGGAATGTCCTTTTGTCGACCAGAGGTCCCGAGCCCGGGTAAGCCACAACGCCCGCCTCTACGAGGATCAATGATGAAAATACTCTCGGTTCCGCAATTGCCAGTCGTGCGCTAGGTCAGAGAGGTCAGCGATATACGGTCATACATACGGCCTCGGACGTACATTGCACATCCTCCAAGTGAGTGGCCTACGCCGACCAGCTGTCGGCCTTCGAATCCGCGCGACTTACGACTTGCAGCGACGCCATCTGATAGTCGTTCGAGGTGGACCGGCAACGGTGCGGAAGACGGCAGTGTCGGTAGATAGTACAAAAGAAATTGCAGTATGTCACGGGCGTTGTCCCTGCCATCGACTGTCTCATCTTGGGTCAGTCTAACAAAGTCGAGCATCATACTGAACTGCCTACACATGCATGCAGCAGCGTTTCTTTCGTTGATCAGGAACGCGTCGCCATGATTCCACGGTTCCCAAGACCATACCTCGTCGATCTGGACCTGGGAAGACGAGTTATTCTGTGCGCGGATCATGTGGGCGATAGTAGGTTCCCAGATCTGTCTAATTGTCAATACCGCTCATCCAGTCTCGTCGAGAATAACGACTCTTACCTCCTTGTGGTAACCATTTGCATGCGCGAGTACGAGTGTCACGCCTTTGCCACCGTCCACGTTGTTGATGTCCCGTCTAACATAGCGATTCACACAAGCCCACAACGGCTTCGTGCTGTTAGGTAGATTCAACTCCCCATCCCAATAGCTATCTCTTATAGCAATCAGCTCCTTCGCAAGTGACACAGCACCGGCATCAGTCGCAACACGCGCTGAAGTCGCTGGGAGAGGAACCTCCGGGGTTGATCGAGGTAAAGCAACAGGCACTAGGTGAGTCGTCAATGTGTACGATGGATCAGAGAACTTCCGTGGAGGGGACGGTAGGGATGGGAGGTTCGAATCATCCGGTATGGCCTCAAGAGGGAGTAGGTCTCTTGGAGGACGAGGACATCGTCGTTGAGCTGGACGCTCAGGTCTAGGAAAAGAGAACGTCTTCATTGCCGCGGACAATCACAGACTCGTTTCGGACTCGTCGTGTGATCTTGTAAAGCCTCTCAAGACTAGACGTTAGTGCATGCAACCTGTACTTCGCTATATCAGACTAGCCTACGCGCTGTCCGTGACGACGCACCTCGAGTGTCGCACAACAATAAGAGGGAATGCGTCCTTCCTGGGGGTTCAGATTGACGAGTAGCTTATGACAGGAAGGCGTCGCACCGAGATCAGCCATTCCGGATCCGTCGGAGTTGAACACGCCCTAGCTGATCACCACGGTCATGCGCTTCGCATAAGCATATGCATTTGAGTCGGGAGAAGCGTGGCTGATACGCCGACATCCCCGCATGCCAGGGTTGTGCCAGGGCAGAAAGATCTGAGGGCGGTGGAAACATTCCGCTACTCCCAATCTCTCCCAATACCTTCAGAAACTCGAAGCCAAACATGCCCATACCAATCATCACGCAGCCTCAAGTTTGCAGATCAACGTGCATTCACAGCACCAGCCGACGTTCGCCGCAGCGGGTCACTGTCAGCTTGCAAGCGAGCTGCGGTGGTCCCACAGATCTAGAGGCACCTGAGGCAACCCGAGGAAGGAGATTAGCATGGCTCGATGTAAACGCTCACCACCGACATACTCACCTTGCAGAACGAAGGGCAAGAGCATCCGCTGCAAGGGTCAACGCTAGAGATCAATGAGGCCTTACATCCCGTCTGCTCCCTTGTGAGCGGTGAGCTCAAGTTAGCCCGCTCTACCACGAAGATAGAAATTATTCTGCTGTTCATACGCGTTTCCATATCCTTTAACACCACAGATAGAGATGTACCAAAATAAGCCCGCCCTCAAATGTTGAGCCCCTCTAGATGCAACTTGATCCCCAGATGGCAAAACGGTCCGGCACCATTACAAGCGCGAAGTGACCGAGCCGTACTGGTTCTGCAAGAACGCATCCAACTCCTCAGCTACCCGTCAACACAGATCAGCTTCACTACGAACTCGACATGCAAGACGCAAAGACATACCGAGCTGCACGGGGGCCTCCTGCGCAATGAGATGACCAGCCTCCTGGATGACTACATTGCTCGCGTTCGCCGGCCTGCGCCACGCGAGCTGCGCGCGGACCCCGCCATCGGTGCGCCGACCGTCAGTGTCGATATACGGTTCGTCAGCGAAGGTCTGCGCTGACGCTTCTGCGTCCTTTCCTGGCAGAATCCATCGCAGCGGGACGCGCGCGTCGAGCGTGTCGATGAGATCCCATGTATCGTACGTCGTCATCACCTCCGTGAAGGTGAGTGCCTCCTGAACCGACGTTGGTAAGTCAGCGAATATAGAGGGGTGAAGGGCGCACCTGGATGCCGGGCATCTTGAGCTTCACGCCGCCTTCAGCGTCCTCGGTCAATCCACACTCGACGTACATGTCGAGCACGTCTGGGTGCCACGTGGAGAAGAACGGGGACGCCAGGAACTTCTCCTTCGCCTCTTGGCTTCGGAGGACTGTCAGAGAAGCATACATGCGCGATCATAGACGTGGACGTACCGGGACGACCAGCGACTCTGGCGCTGTATCGCACCGAGGGTAAGCTTTATGGTCGCCGCGTTGACGAGCGGGCCCTGACGTGGGTAGGGGCGGATGATGGGGTCCACAAGAATCAGGGAACGAAAGAGGGCCTGCTCTGCAATAGCAGCCCGCGAGCTATGCCACCATGGGTCGTGTTAGGTGGGGAGACTAGGGGTGAAGCAGGCCTATGGCTTACAGAGTACCCCCACCAAGCGAGTGCCCGATGCCGACCATCGTCCTTTCACTGAACCCGCGCGATCGTCGTTCACGTGCAATGCTGTCAGTCAATCGAGGAAGGTGAAGCGGGAGCTCGGAGGATGACGCGCGAGAAGGCAAATAATGCAGTAAGAACTGGATGACGTCCCGACTGTTGTCCTGCCAATCGTCTGCTTCAAGTCAGCACACGACAGAGAGTAGTCCGACGACCTTACAGATGCCTCCTAGGTTCTTCTCGTTGACGAGGTAGGAATCCCCGTGGTTAACTGCTTCCCATGCCCATACCTCAGCGATCTGGTACGTCGAGCGAGATGCTTTGTGCTGTTCGAGCAACTGCAGCAAAGCTGGCTCCCAGATCTGAAGCAGCGAGTAGAGAGTGAGGACCGCATCAGCATTCAGTTAAGCCATGTGTCGCACCTCCTTGGGGAACCCATTTGCATGAGCAAACAGTAGAGTGACACCCTTGCTCTCGTCTCCCGGAGAGAGCGCTCTCCGTCTGTAGCGATTCAGGTTGACCCAGAGTGGTTTGCGGCTCCCTGGCTCCTTCAGCTCGCCATTCCACTGTTTGTACCGCACGCCCACGATTTCATCTGCTGTCTTCCGCACCGCCGCCTTCCACTTCTCCTTGTCTGGAGTCCAGGTAGGTAGCGTGACCGGTGGGATGTCTGGGGTCGTCCGCGGGAGAGCAGCAGGCACAAAGTGCGTCGAAAGCACCCAAGACGCGTCGGGAAAGATCCGCGTTCGAGACGGTAGGGTCGGCAGAGGACCCCAGTCCGCCGCATCATCGATGGGGACCAATTGTCTTGGTGTATGCGCGGACTGTCGACCTGGAAGTGTAGCGGGACGCGGGAAAGAGGGGCGAGTCATGGCTGCCACGTTTGCAATACTAACCACACTCGCGTTGGCGACACATAGTATGAGCTCATGAGGGGGTCAGAACGTACCTTCTACCGAGAGTCGGTCACCGTGTGATCAAGCGCAGAAGACAGTGCTTATTGCTCACCTTCGCCGGATGTGAGTGAGTGGTCGCGCGGAAGGCAACAGCATCCTCCTATTCGCAGCTTGTGCCTACGACTGGGAACGTGCTCACGCTCGATAGCAGCAAGGACGGCATAGCTGGCCTTGGACATGAGATTTCGCTCGGACGCGGGGTTTGGCCCTCCCCGGACTCGCCGCAATTATTGCGGGGCTCCAGCCCGCCAACGCGTAATCTCATGACCGACGCGACGCGACGCGTCGATCGTGTCTTGGATTCAACCACGATGGCCCCTCCGACCCTCACAATCCTCCGCAGCTATGCGCAACGCACGGACCCCAGCTCGCTTCCTGCCTCTGTCCTGCTCACCTACACTGAACGTACGCTCACGATATTCGACGCATTTCCAAAGTCGATCTTTCATTTCCTCGTCCTCCCGCGCGTCCTCCCGCCCTTGACTGCACCTGGGCTGGCCAATCTAAAGACCGTCCTGAAAGGGGACAAGGAACGAGCAAAGGAAGTCATTAGATGGCTTGCAGAGGACGCGAAACAGGTCCGGTCGATGATCGAGGACGAGATGATGAAGCGCTACCACTTCAAATGGGACGTCTGGATGGGCTTTCACGCAGTGCCTTCCATGGAGTAGGTCGACGTCTTTGGACCACTGCGAGGTCAGAGTGGCACTGAACTGCTTAGGCATATTCACCTGCACGTCCTCTCAGCAGACCTTTGTTCGCCCGCGATGAAGAACAAGAAGCACTACAATTCCTTCCACCCCGCGCGTGGCTTCTTCATCCCTCTGTCAGATGTACAAGAGTGGGTGGATGCTGAGCCGTCTTATTTCGCTATGGTGGGTATCTCACCAGCTCCGAGTGTAATGTTTCTAGATCGGGACTGTTTTGGCGTGCTCGAGATGACGGCTCTGAAATGCTCCGCTAACCATCGTGCAGATATCCCAACTCAAGCCTAGCCACTACGAGCCGCTTCTGAAGGAGCCACTCGACTGCTGGCGGTGCAACAAGGACTTCAAGGCCATGCCGCTCTTGAAGTCCCATCTACAAGAGGAATGGGATGTACAGGCGAAGCGGGAAAAGGCCAAGCTGGAGAAGAAGCGCAAGCGAACACCTGAGGAACCTAAGGAACATGGAGCGGGCACCGACGTGCACGAAGACGAGCCAGACCAGAAACGACGAGCAAAATCACATTCCGGGTCTCCTTCAGCATCATAGGTTTTCCTTCGGTTGCAGGTTGCGCGTTTCTAGCACCACGACGATGAGCGTTACACGGATTGCATTCTTCTCATGATACATCCAATTACACGGCGATGTATCGCCACCATCTACATGCTTTTGCTCAGTATCACACTTCGGTCGTTATACACTTCGTTCCTCCTGTGTTGTTCACTGCGGCTTCGGCTTGCGGTTGCGCTCCGTCGCCTCTCGGATGGCCCAGGTGAGCTGGTAAGTCCTGCAGGCATCTACGATAGGCAAAGCAATGTCAACGGCAAGAACGAAGTTACAGAACGAGCGAACACACCCTCGAAGGAGCTCAGAATCGTCGAAGTCTCGGGGTCCTCCTCGATGTCCTCGATGTTGTCAATCAACACGGAGATCTACATACCGTCATTAACAGCATTCAACATGACGGGCTCCGGGCATACGCACCTCAGAGAAGAAGGGATCATCGTCGGGGAAGCGATGCGACTCCTCGTGGTCGCTCCCGGGCTTGCGGATGTACAGAACCGGCTGCACGTACGGGTTGACGAGCCTTCGCACGGCGCTGTCAGCATCGATTCCAATGTAGCGACAGTTGTGACAACTCACTTGAGCTGGTAACCGTCCGCGTAAACCTCGAGCTCGCAGCTGTAGTCGTGGCCCTGAAGCGCAACCAGGTGGGTGAAGCTACCTACGGCACCACTCTCGTACTTCCTGCAGGACGCGAGTCCGGTGAGATCCAAAGGTGTAGGACGAGACAGCGCAAGCATATCTCACCAGGTCGCGGAGGTGACACGCGGGATACGGTTCTCTTGCGGGATAGCAGTCTCGTCGACGACCATCTTCGAGAGGTGACCGGCGTTCTCGTCCCACTCGAGCGAGTGCGCCTGGACAGTGTCCATGTCGACCTCTCCGCCGAAGTAGCGCGAGAGATCGCAGAAGTGTGTGCCCTGCTCGACGATGGGGCCAGCGCTGCAGATCGCGTTAGCGCACATCTTTGGAATCGCGAGGGGTAGGCGTACCTCTTCGACTTGTCCCACCAGTCTGGCTTCGCGATGGCCTCGTACGCGCAGGCGTAGCGCGCGATGGTGGCCATGACGGTGAGGTTGTTCTCATGGATAATCTGCTTCATCATCTGCACGGCCTTGAGGTACCTCAGCATGTACCTGTCATGGCCAAACAATCAGCGTGCCCTTCCCAGTGAATGCTAAACACAAGAAGACGAACCCGACCGAGCAGACTGTCTGGCTGTCGGTAATAGCCTTGGACACCTTGAACGCCTCCTCGATCTCGCTCGACGGACCGGTCGCGGCCGGCTTCTCCACGAACAGGGCGACGCCCGGGAAGTGCTTGAGGACCTGGAGCTCGATGTCGCGCCCGGACTGAGTGGTGCCGCGGAACATGGGCGGGCTGCCGACGACGACCGCGCGGGGCATGTCCTTGCGGGTCATGTTCTTGACGAAGTCCTCGAGCGTCTTGAACACGCGCGTGTGTTCGTACGCGGAGCGCACGAACGTATCGCACTTCTTCTGGAGCACCGCCGTCGCGCGCTCGACGGCAGGGTCGATCAACGCGACGACCTTGAGGCGCGGACCGAGTTTGCTGCGAGGAGCGGGTGAGCGTCACGCTATGGCTAGTTCGGGGAGCCAACCAACTGTTCGAAACGGAAGGAGTGGTTCCAGGGGCCTTCGTCGGAGCCTGTGGGGGTGTATCAGCTATCTGAATGCGACAGGATGTTGTGCTGTGCGTACCGAACATGATGTTCCCCGCTCCAACGAACAGGACGTTGAAATCATCGGGACCAGCGAGGTGCGACGTCCTGCGATACCAGGCATCGGCGTCAGTAAATATCCATCTCCATAACACAGGGTTCGACTAGCGAGAAGAGCCTGAGCTTCTTGTTTCTGTCTACCCCGGGTTGTGTTCCGCAAACTGCGATCTGCGATGGCAGGGCAGAATAGAAACCCCGTAATGAGGAGGGCAGTGATCGCCCAAGGCCTCGGTAGCGATGATCTCCAGAATAGCAACAGACGAGGCTTAGCAGAGGAAGGCGTACTCAACTTGTCCATGGGCACCAGCCTCGACGGGTCGATCGAGGGACGGCGGGAGGACATCTCAGACTGCCTCCTTTCGAGGACAGAGGCGCGCCGGCTGGTCATGCCAATGACCGGGGAGTCGAGGATGGCGGCAGAGGGGCGGCGGGAGGCCATGCTGGTCGTGGGTCGCAGGATGTGAGAGGGGGCGGGGTGAGGGTGAGAGCAGGAAGCAAAGTAGCAGCCCGCGCCTGTGAGGAGACTGGTGTGGTAGCTTATATCCCCAGATGATGGAGATAAGATTCAGGGTGATTGGGACGGAGTGTTCTGTACGTCGACGGGCGATCCACCTGGAGCATGGGACGCGTCGGAGTGTGATGCGGGTGGGTATGTAGCAATGCAAGTACTCGTGTCCCCAGCAGCGCATTCCTCAGCCGTATACTATATTTCATGTACAACCTATCTCGGCCGGGCACACAGTACGCGCAACCAATCGCGGAGACTCCAGAATGCAAAGCCAAGACGATTCATGCATGTGTTCCGAGGTGTACTCTTAGACTTCCATAACGTACAATACCACACTGAGAAGCAAGAAGGTATCCGAGAGAATACACCGGATAGGGGTATGGGGCGGTGGGTTCAGTGCGCTGTCGCAGCGGCAAAGAATGGGGGGCCAGCATTTGGGGCGTGGTCATGACGGCGGGGGACTCCTCTCCTGCGAGCGCGCAGCCGCGGCTCTCTGAGCGAGCTCCTGCTGCCTGCGCTCTGCTGCCTCCAGACGCGCCGTCATGGCGCGCAGCTCAGCCTGCAGCTTCTCGTTCTCCTGCGTAAGCTTGAAGACGTTGCTCGCGCGCTTCTGCACGAGCTGTACCCTGCGCACCACAATGCGTCAATCCGAAAGAACGAGACGCGTCGAGCGCTGAACCGTGCAGGTCGCTACTTACTCGGCGGGCTCGTCGCGCGACTGCGGCTCGGACAGGATTGACTCGAATGTAGACGTCAAGTCGAAGTCCGCTTGAGGCAGGTCGAGGTCTAGAATATGCGGCGACGTTTTGGGTTTGTTTGCTTCGGCAGCTTGCGCGCCCTCGGGTTCGCCATCGTGCTGTGTGAAGTGCTCCCTGCGAAGTCAGGCGTGAACGCCACGATGTTTCCTGACAGATCCAACCAACCCCAATTCATGTTCGTCGGTGTGTGCAGGCTGGTTGTCAATGGAGGCCATGGCGGGCAGTGGACGTGGATGGTGAGTCAGATGAGTTGGTTGTCACAGTTGCCATTGTGTCCACGACGTTCTGGGGAACGCTCGCGGCTCTGATCATGATGAGATCTCCCTCTCCGGCCCGCGGCACCAGCCGACGCATCTGCCACACTGGCCACAAGTACTGGTAAGTAATGAATCGCCTTCTATCCCCCCTCGAGTACGTCCGCAAGGTACTCTCCAGTCTTAGACTACGCGCAGGGTGGTGTAAAGCAGTACTGAACGAAGTAGAACCAGTCTTACGGCATTCGCAGTCGTACGCAACGCTTACGTCGAGGACCCCATGACGCGGACGCATTAGGCATCGGAAGAACTTGAAACAATGTTGGTTGGAATTCTAGTGGTCAGACACACAGATTATCAGGCAGCCGAATCGTCATCGCTCGCGGAGCTGTTCGAGACGGGCAGGAGACGGGCGCGCAAGGGCATAGCTGGAATAATGAAGAAGGCTCGAACGGTAATCCGTTCACTAGACGGGACAATGTTGAATCCAATAGCTTGAGCAGTCACTCGCACTGACGCCGTGGCTGGTGATACACCGAATAGCGGAATGAGATTCATGACCGAGGAAGAGAGCAATGATACAGCGATGTAGTGCGATGCTAATGGCGTCTACTTTTGGTATGACCAGACATTCCGGAGGACTGCAGGTGAATTAGCATCGGTGTTGGGAAAACATGGGTGAATACGCACGGCCCGCCTTGGTCGCCAATCGGTTCAGCGAATCGTCGCCCTCGCCCATGGCCCGGACCTGACCGCACAGAGCGAAGGTGGTGCCAGTCTGGAGAGCCCGGCCGTCCTGGTCGACGTCGCAGATCGTGAGCTGCACGGACGCGTGATCCTTAGCAGTGATAAGTCGGTCTGTAGGGACACTGGTCAGATCATACTGAAAAGTCCGGAAGACTGCATGGACTCACTGGTCGCCGCGCACTTGCGGGGGACGTAGAGATCAACGAGAACACCCTATTCGACGAATACCCGGTCAGAACAACAGCTCCTCTTCCTGCACTATGCCACTGACCTGGTCGTTTTCCATCTTGAGTTACGGCGCGTCGGCTGGGCTGGGCGGTACGGCGGTTGAACACGACGATGAGTGGGAAAATTAGAGTTACGAACTGTATAGTTGCCACTCCCTGCTTGTCTTCGTTTGTTCACCTTCCCAAAATAGGCACCAGGGGGAGGGTGCCTCGTGATTCTGAGTCATGTGGGGTGACGCACCCCGCCTCCGTAGACGCTCAGCACGGGCTGAGGCCTGCAGCCTGCGGCTGCCAAAGGGTCTTCACGCTTTTGCTAGCGACGCTGCCAGTCAGCTCATCCAATCTGCTTGAAACCATCACAAATAGTCTTGAAGTACCAGATCGTCGCCGTCTACTCTACTACGGTCATCTTGACCCGCGGGTGTGAAGCTGCGCCAGCTGCGTACGCAGCGTACTGCGCGACCTACTCCTGGTAGCACATAAGCTCGAACGACGGCCTTGATGGGCGGTGGTCCTCAGCCGGACTCCTTCGACGGTTCCCTATCCACTATCTCCGTCCGTACTAGTCTTATACGCACGTTATTGCTCGCTTAGGCCTGATCACAACAGGTCGACTCTATGGTTGAGATAAAGCACGACCCTTCGAATAGCCCTGGAGTACTGAGTCCCAGCACTCCGGACGATAGCAAGCATCGGCTCGTCTATAGCAAATCCAAAGTTTACGTGAACCCTACGGCATACGCTAGAGACAACATCCCAGGGTTCGTTGCACTTGTCAAGCGGGTCTGTGCAGTCCCTGTGATATATGAATGCATGCTCATTTGATTCCCAGGAAGCAGCGAGTCCAAGCTACCTCCTTGCTTGGATCCCAGAGACTCTATTGAACGAAAGGGGCAAGACTGAATGGGACAAATTCACGAAGGTCGAGGAGAGTACTGGCGTGGATGATGAGGACGAAGGTGAGCACATACAACCGAGGACTCTCACTCTGTGTTGACTGAACACATCTGCTCAGATGCTGTCCTAATCGACCTTCCAACGCGTCCGGAATCGTATGCGTTCTCCGTGCCGATTACGTCGATATACTCCTTGATTGTGCACTCTCCGTCTTTGTCGTCTTGGTGTGCGTATCCTTTACACCATATGACCTACTGTTTTCTGACTGTCAGAACAGATGGCTCCATCTCAATCAACCTCATAAACGGATCTACACTTCCGACACTGTACTTTCATGATGACGAGTCCCATTCGTTCACCACATCAGCCAAGTCTCCAACAACGGAGAATCCGCCCAGCACGTCTACATACCCTCCGCCTCCTTCAGACGCAACACCCGCGCCGAAGTCAGGCGTTTCTTGGGGTGGAGAGGACCTCCTGGGTCGCCTCCGTCACTACGCAAACATCATGCGTTCGAATCTCGAACCAACTTTATACTTGGTGGATCCGTCTCGCGAAGACATGGAGACTCACTCGACGCAACTGTTCTCTGACACGGCTGTTGACGATATTCTTGCTCAGTCTTCCTACGCCGACTCTCACTCCCCAGTGCCTGCTCATCGCCGTCCACGACCCGTCTCCTCTACTCCCAATCCATATTCTGCCCGTTCTTCCGTCTTGCATCGCTCCCTTCCCTCACCGACCTCGCCAAACGCAGCGTCCTCACAAGCGCGCATGGCGCTTCTGCAGTCCTTCTCACACATCACTCGCCACGCCGCCCATGCGGCTCAGCAAATCCTCTCGCACCCGCTTGCCAAGCCGATCGTCCCCCATTTGCCTGACCCCGTCAGGAGCCTCGTAAACGCGAACGGCGAGTGGGAATGGGGGAGCTGGGTCGAGAAGGGCGGCGTGGGCGAATTCGAGAGCGCGCGAGTATACCTCGCGCGCTGGGCGCGCATCGTCGCGGAGGAGGGCGAGCGCGCGCGGAGGCGGGAGGCTCAGACGTTGTCCTCGTCGGAGATGGAACAGGAGTCGTCAGATCTGGGCGTCTTTGAGCTCTTGCAAAGCACGGCGAACTTGCCCGTCCCGAAGTCGTCGAGGGAGCCGAAGCATCCAGTGGACGAGAAGATGTGGGAGAGCTGGTTTGACCAGGAGGGCAGGCCGAATATCCGCGTAGAGGAGATGAAACGCGAGGTCTTCCGGAGAGGGATCAGTCCGAAGGGATCATTGAGGAAAGAGGTTTGGCCATTCCTCTTGGGCATCTTCAAATGGGATGCCACGGATGCAGAACGGAGGAAGCAGTGGGAAGAGCGAAGGTCGGTCGTCGTGGTAAATCTTGCAAACGATACTGATTCGGTCCAGTAGGGCGCAGTATCACTCGATCAAGAATGAGTGGTGGGGTGTCGCGGAAGTCTTCGACCGCGCCGATGTGCTCGAAGTCAGTAGATAACCGCAGATCCACGGTGTATCATCGTATTCTGATGCGGCAGAATAGGAACGGCATCGCATTGACGTTGACTGTCGTCGAACGGACCGTGCCCAACCTCTCTTTGCTGGCACGGCGAAGACCCCGCTGGATGAAAGCACGGAAGACGAGAAGGGCATGCACATGCGCTACTCGATGATATCTCCGCAGCTATACGACATCGGGGCGCAGGCACCGACGAACGAACACATTGAGCGTCTTGGATCGGTGCTGCTCACGTACAATTTCTATGAAAAGGAGCTTGGTAAGTGCTATTGTTCACACTGTACTTTATCGGACTGATCATCATCAATGTGAAGGGTACGTGCAGGGGATGTCGGACCTATGTGCCCCCGTGTACGTTGTCATGGAGGGCGACGAGGAGTTGACGTTCTGGTGCTTCGTGGAGATAATGAATCGCATGGTTGGTATGACGACTCCCTGGTGATGACATGCGCTGACCGCATTGTTGTGTTCTTGTTCACAGAAGCAGAACTTCCTGCGAGATCAGAGCGGCATGCGGAGACAGTTGTCTACTCTACAACAATTGATCTCCGTCATGGACCCAGAGCTCTACCGCCACTTTGGTGAGTCCGTCGACTTGTGACGCTTGTCCACGCCTGAACGGCCTTGCAGAGAAGACGGATGCACTCAACCTGTTTTTCTGTTTCCGGTGAGTTCTCACCCAACCCAGCTGAGGGAGGAGCTCACGGGACCAATCAGATGGATTCTTATTCACTTCAAACGTGAATTCCCGTTCGAGGATGTCCTGCGCTTATGGGAAGTCATCTGGACAGACTACTATAGCAACCACTTCGTTCTCTTCGTCGCGCTGGCTGTTCTCGAATCCCACCGAGACGTCATTTTACGCTATCTCGTCGAGGTGAGTATTTTATGGTATCATTCGCGAGTTCTTTTGATGCTCATGTTCAATCCACCAGTTCGACGAGATCCTCAAGGTATGTCCCTGCTCGAAATTAGCTCGTGAGCCTACTGACCAAGTCCACTATCACCAGTACTGCAACGAGCTCAGCATGACTATCGAGCTCGACAGCACACTGGCGCAGGCAGAAGTCCTCTTCCTGTCCTTCGCACAGCTGGTCGCGGACATAGACAGACGTGCGGCAGAGGTCAAACCCCGAGGTAGCAGTAACGTCCGACGGCGCAACGCCGCCAGCGGGACGGCGGATGAGAAGTCCGATTCCAAAGCTACACCGAAACCACCAATATTGAGCGACGACCTCCGGGGCCTTCTTGTTGCTGGGCGGTGACCATATCGAAGAAGCTGTAGCATCCTAACTGTATCATACGTGTACGTGCACATTTGTAATATCACTAGACTCCCTCACTGGTTGTAGTTTGCACTGAGAGGGGACCGGAGTACCTCGCTCCAGACATGCAAGTGTCATGGCGAGGGCCGCGACGCCTACACAAGTATGCGCGGAATCTGGGTCGGCCCCTTCGCGGCTGTCGTGAAGACACCTAGTCCGCTCCCTCCTGACAGTGTCGTATCGATAACATGTTGTACTCAGGTCGCGAGCACTGGAACCAGTTTCAAGACTAGTTCGCCTGCCTTCCTGTTGCCCGATATGCTGAGGACAATGCTCAGTTCAGAGCCTAGATAAATCGAAGTACAATCGGAAGACTCGAGGGGTGGGGACCGGACTGTGGGTGTCGGCGTGTACGCCAAGTGCAGGCCTCGGATCTACGGTCTCACCGTTGCATATGGTATGTAACTTGAAGTTGTCTGTAGCTCGAGCATGTTGGTATGGTCCAAGGCTCACTCAAACCGCACTATCATTGACGTTCTCACCACATATCGCCTGTAGGCCACGCACATATCTAGCTGCAAGCCAAGCCCATAGGGCCAAGCATGAAATGAGACTTTCGCACAATTCAAAGAGGTAATACGGAGCCGCCGGGCCGGTGACTCCGGGTTTGTTCCGTCGTGCGCTTTATGAATGTCATTGAAGCCGCGAGAGCACTGGTGCCTACTGGTGCCTGCAGGCGAGGTCGTTCAGGTCGTCCCGACGACGCCCGTCGTTGTCAGGCAACGAAATGAGCTTGATATTCCGGCCCAATTGCGGCCTCCGTCTCGGCGTGCGTTCCTTGATGGGCCCTATCCGATGGCCGGCGTCGCTACGCTGCGACCATGCAGCATCCAATGGAAGATCATATAGAAATCTGCTTGGCCGCGGCCCATTGCGGAGTTGGGGCAAGGATAAAAGGCTCCAGCTTAGCAATGATTCCCCCAGTGTCGCGTTCTCGTACACCAGCCAGTCTGGTTGCTTTGCATTTCAGGTTACTCGGTGAGTTGCTGCAAACATGATGGCGTGAAGGCCTATGTTCGTGCGCTGACGCGGGGTCCTATGCAGATTCGCAGGTCGCCGGCCGTTCCATTCGTTTTGACTTCAATAACGTTCATCGACTGATACAACAAACTCCTTTCCAATAACTTTTCTTCGCCATGTTGTCCCCCAAGTACATTGCGCTTGCGCTTGTCGCCACTGTGTTCGCGTTGCCGTTCAAGCGTGAAGTGCCTCAGGGTGAGTTCCGCCGTGAATGGTTTGCACTTGATGCTCACGGTGATGTACTAGAGCACTCCCACGAGATTGTGCTCTCCTCCGTTCGGCCTTTGCTTGCTTTGAACAACCCTCAGAATATTCAGGACCCTGTCTTCGCTCTCCTGGGTGATGCGGCAGCTGCCCAGGGCGCTGGCTCAGTCACGGTACGTCGCGCTAGCTTTATTGCAGGTAGTTCGCTAAGGCTCACCCGTCGATCCAGAACCTCGCATGTCTCCAGCAGGCCGTCGCCGACCAGTCCTTCACCAACGCCAAGGCTGCCGGCAACACCACTGGCATGGTGTACTCGCTCATTTTCCGTGGTCTCGAGCGTAACACCGGTGCTGTTGGTACCGCCTCTGCGATCTGTAACGAAACCGCTACGAACCCCGAGGTTGCAGCCATCTCGCAGCACCAGGTACCTACCACTCTGACAATACACCGGCGGACACTGCTGACGTTCCTGGGCAGGATCCCGCCTCAGACAACGCAGCCGCCACAAACAAAGCCATCGTGCTCGAGTTGGCGAAGCAGATCGCATCCATTGGCGGCGACCCGACGCTCGCGTTGATGTCCGGCACGTTCGCGGCGGGCACGATCGGCGACCCGACCGCCAAGGGTAACACTTGCGACGACGCGAACGACCAGCTCGGGTGTATCCTCACGCAGAACCTCTTGGTCGACGACGCCACCACGGATGAGATTAACTCTGCTGTCGCCGGTATCAGTTCCGGCTCTGCTGGCGCGGGTGCCGGTGCTTCCGGCTCTGCTGGTGCGGGTGCCAGTGCTTCCGGCTCTGCTGCCGCGACTGCGACCAGCGCTGCTGACGACTCCAGTGCCACTTGCGGCGCCGTCGGTGAGTTTTTCGTCTCGAGATGTTCTTCCCGCCGCAGTCTGATGTGTGATCACCTAGTCACCGTGACCGTTACAGCTACCGGCGCTGCCGCAACGTCCAACGTCGCCGTTGCCTCGGTCACTGGCACTTCTGCTGCGTAAGTCTCTGGCCTGTCACTCTCCACCCCGTTTCTGACGATGTTCATCAGTGCGACGGCGACGGCGTCGACTGCTGCCTCGGCCAGCGGCAACCTGCAGACCTTCACCGGTGCCCTCGGCGGCATCGCACCGCCCGCTGTGACCGCGGGTGGGCGCGGCTTCGTCGTCGCGAACAACGACGACTTCGTCAACGTCGCCGCGGCGCTCGGCCGCTCGTGCGACGTCCAGCACAACCAGTGCGCCAACGCTGCGAACTCGGGCAGCCAGTCCGTCACCGTCTCGGACTGCGACCAGCAGGACACCCAGTGCAAGGCCGCCGCGTCCTGAGCGTCGGTGAGGATGTGAATGCGAAGGGACCCGGGTGGACTTAAGTTATAGCGGCCCACTGGATCTTTGGGCCGCGCACGGAAGGAGGCGGGGAGGTGCTCGCCTCTCCGTGCTTGTATCGTTACCTCTTTTGTTTTGTTGTCATCATACCCCGGCTGCGAATCAGATCTGGCTTGACTTGCATCCTTGTCTTGTGTGTGGTTCCGGTGAAGACGACCCCCTGCGCCCTGCTGCGTTGGCCTTGAGCTGGTGCATGTGAGGATTCAAATCAAGGCATGATTTATTCGACATCTACAAGATTTGCGTTCTGAGTTCAGGATGCATGGTCTCTCAAGCTCACCCTCTCCGCGCCATCATCGTCCTTCCACAGCACCCTCCCATCTTCATCCCTTCTGACCGTCTCCGCTGCGAGCTCTCTCTCCGTCTCTGTGTCCGTGTACTGCTCCGCGAGGGCCACTTCGCGAGCATGTACGGGCAGGCGGTCGTCGCGCGGGATCCGCGGCGAGTACGGGCGGTGTGAGTAAGGGGAGGGGAGGTTGGGGTAGTATTGGCGGTAGGAGAAGTAGGCTGCAACAATGCCCAGGAGCGAGCCAGAGAGGACATCGGTAGCATGGTCTGTCGCACGAGACGTAGTGAGATGCGGCGCGAGTATTTGGAAGGCACGAGTTTGCTTACGTCGGTAATCCATGGTCCGAGAAATGGCGATGAGCGCGGCGGCAGACAGCGGCGTTAGAGATGCCCATGCTTTCGGCTGTAAGTGGGATCGTGAGTTGGTAACTCGCTGAGCATGGTCTGCCCAGAACTCACGGCACATCCTCTCTTGTCGAACAGGTGGAGCTTTCCAGCGATGTAAAAGGCAAAGAAGCCCAGTCCCGCGAATGATACTAACAGCGGGGGTAACGGTTAGTTCTGAAGATGCTGGTGGGAACGGTAAACCATACAGCTGGAATGTCCACTGGGGAAGCTTCTCCACCCATCTTCCATCATATAGTGATCCGTCTGCGTACAAACGCTCGCATCGGAAAGTCCGTATGTTGGGTCGACCGAGCCTGGCTTAGGGATACATCTAGAAATAAGATCTACAATATAGAGTTCATCATCAGTCGTCCGTTTGGCATGAGGTATGTTCAGGGCACGTACCAGGTCGGGGGCGGCCCACGGTTACCTTGGTAAACTCTGTGATAGCTGCAGCTAAGGCAAGGCTAAGGACCACTGCGGTTGCCATGAGCGAGATGTCCGATCGACGACGATTCAGGGGACGTACGGCCGAGCGTGCTGTTGTGGAGGTCCCACCATGAACGCACGGTGAAGTAATTGAGGACGATCTGTAAGATGAACGGTGCAACTCCACATAGCATGTACAATGCGATAGGCTGTCATAGAATGGCTCAGCATAACCCAGTATAGGGCATGAGCGTACATACTGGTACTCGTTCGTGCACGGCAAAGCTGCCTTACAGTTAGACGAAGGTGTATATATGTGTGAAGTACGTTTTCCTTACGGATGATATAGCCTACGGTCAATTGCAATCAGCCCCGAACATTGGTCGTGTGTCTGATCAGGAATGAGCCTCACGTTCTGTCCTCTAGAGAGAACTGCCGCTTGAAGCCCGGTATGGTTTCCAGCACCAGGAAGATGAGCCTATCAATTATTGTCGTCAAATCGTACGACGTCTCAACGGGTTTCATGGTGCGTACCCTAAGAAGATTGTCACGATCCTGTCAGGTCCACATTGTGAGCAATTCCGACTCAACAGAGCGCCTGTCACTCATCATCATGTCAACGCGACGTACCAATCGGGCGCATAGCTACGGATGAGCAGCTTGAGGCGGTTCCGTTCAACCATGACGGCGGTTGCTTACGAGGTCTACGAGTATGAGCAGTGTGTGTGCAAACAAGTGTTATAAAAGGGCGGGCCCCGCCGACGCAAGGTTCCCATGGCAGAGACTGGGGCGTGGCAGAAACGGAAGGCAGTTCAATCAGGCAAGTGCCAGTACGCTCGGCGTCATTTGACGCTTGGCCGGGCTGCGCTGTGTAGCGAACGAAACATACGGGATCCGGAGTAGACGGCTACGCGATGTTCTACGGTGGACAGTGTCTGATCCTATCCACCTTCCTTTCCACGAGAGGTTGTGTCCGCAGCCTGGCTTGCGTGTTTGCCTGCAGGCAGAAATCCCAAGATCCAGAGGGCTATCTTGGGGCTATCTCAGCCACCGCTCCTCCTGGGGAAACTGACAATCTTAAGCCAATCCCCATCCACGTGTAAGTCGGATCGAATGATCTGTAACTTTGAGTAATTTGGGTCCGCACCAGGTCCGCACTGTTGACTCGGACTCGCACTGAGCAGCAACGATCGATTCCAGCGCTGTCCTGCAGGTCGCTTTCACGAACTCCAGGTCCTGCGAACACTGCTGAGCCAGCACTTGACATCCGACTGCCAAACCAGTTCGAACCCTCCGCTAGGCCGAAGTAGGGAGTAGACGGGAGCCTTCGCCGTGTACAAGCCGGACAGAACCAACTACCTTGCTTATAAGTTCGAATTCAACCTACTCCCGAGGATATCACACCAAGTACTGCCAATCCTAGCTTTGTCTCCCCATCAATTCGAACGACATAATGAGGATTGTCAGCTCCCGATGACAGCCGTACGCGTCCATCCGAGTCGTTACTAAGGTTTGTTACATCCCTTGTCATGCCACGACCCTATGCTGAGAATTGTCGGCAGCTTGAAGGTTGCGATTGTACAGAGCTACAGGCCCGATCCAGCTCAGGAAGAAACCTGTACGGAGCTCCTCGCGAGCCTGAGCTTGGACGAGGTGCCGAGCGAGGTCATGCATCCTGCTATGGATGACGCTCTACGGCAGGTGCAGGAATACGTGCTACGGGCCAATGCGTTTATGACCAGACTGCGGACCCTGCGGAACTCTTCAGTCCATATCAACCGCGTCCCAACCGAGCTTCTCGCTGAAATATTTTGGCACGCAACCCCGCCTTCGTCACAACGTCCGAGGTCGGATACTCAACTCAACCATGTAACCCATGTCTGTAGGCATTGGCGTACGGTGGCCCTTGACGCCGCCAGGCTTTGGGGAACATTGTGTATTACCCGCCAGAGGGACGTTGATGCATCTGCGGACGAGTCTCCGAACCGCATCGAAGAATATCTACGCCGATCAAAATTACATCCTCTTGATGTCACTATCAAGGCTCGCACGAACCTCACTGGCAGGGCTACCAGTGTCTACAGCTGTATCGAGATCCTCCGGCCTCACCAGCATCGTGTCCGAAAATTGCATGTTGTAACGGATCACCATGACATCATGCGATCTGTTCTGTCCTCGCATTTGGCTGCCACACGGCTGGAGGAGCTCAGGCTGGAGGGTGGGGATCCCGTGCCTGCGTTGGGGACACTCCAGCCACATCATGGTCTCTTCGGCAGACATTCCCCTCCTTTGCACTCCATCCATCTCTCAAGTGTGTTCCTGCCACTCAATGCCGAGTGTCACATCCTGCGGAATCTGCAGCACCTCATCCTCCGGCGGCAGGGCATCCCAATCACCGAGATGGACACATTGTTTGACGTCCTAGACCATTGTCCTGACCTCAAGACCCTGAAACTTCACAGCTATGGATTGTCACGTTTGCCTGCACCTCAGCCCCCTGCCCATACGGACAGGGATGTGTTGCTGCCCTCTCTACAGGTTGTAGATATAGACTGGCAGCAGTCCCTGGTTGCTGGCTGGCTCCTTGAGCACCTTTGCCTCCCTGAGACTGCCAATCTGACCGTGTATCTCCCCCGGCGCCCTGATCATCTGTCCAATCGTGCCGCCATTCGAACGGGCCTTTCCTCCATGTGCACCCTGTGGATAAGTCCTTGTTACAGCAGCATCACGATGATCATCTCGGGGTACACATATTCCATACAAAGCCCGTTCGAAACCGAGTTCTCGCGACCCATAGAGCCCGCGTTGAGTATAAGTATGGAGCATGCATATGGCATGGAGGAGGAAGCACCGGATCCCATCACTCGTTTCATGCAAATAAAGGACGCCTCCCACCTCAGCGCAGTCGAAACATTGATCATCGACCACGGAGACTACGAAGACTTTAATAACCCTTATCATTGGGCTAGCCTCTTCGAAGTCGTGCCTGGGCTGCGGACGCTGCATCTCGGCGAGGTCGACAAAACCCTGTCGTCATGCTTTGCGGCCCTCTCCGCGTCAGACACAGCACGCGGTCAAAGTGCGATGTCTGTGCGGCCTTGCCTGGCTGCGCTACAAACCTTGGAGATAAAAGACAGGTGGGGTTTGGCGAAAGAGGACTCGAGGGCTGCGTTGACGAGAGCCGTGCGGCACATGAGCATGGAGGGTGCGCTACAAACCCTGCGATTGGCCGTGCCACCTCGGGTGTGCATGAGGTATTGGATGTGGAGCTCTTGCGATAATTCTGCACGGTAGAGATCACAGTATTAGACCCCTGGAATTGATGGGCACGGCTTGTAGTGCTCTAGCATGATTTGTTCTGTAAAACAGGAGACGAAGAAACGTCAAGGGTGCTCATGATGAATATATGCTGAACTTGCCTGGCTTCAATCACACCGACGGTGCACTCAAGACGCTTGCCATGGAGCGGTGGACGCCACTGCGAACAAGCACCAGGACTGTGATGTCCCCGCATGCCGGGGCCACGGCGCATGCTAACGCTTAGCGTCAACTCTGGAAATTGCCTTCGGCCCAACTCGATAGCTTCGAGCTAAGGATCGCGAACTTTTAGTGACGCATCTTGCCGTAGTAACGGACCGCTATCGCGCCCGCACCGTAATAATTGCGTGTCGGCTCATCTAAGAGACGCGCCGTTGGCTGCAAACTCGCGTGGCGTCACAGTTGCTGCGCAACTGGTCGCTCGCAGTCATTCTATACCATGTAACCTGTAATAATGTACAACAAGCTTCGCGGTGAGAGGACACTGCCGGAGATGAGAGGTCCGGATCAGCAACCGGCGCGATTGTAAGTATGTGCGTTACTCACCATCCGCCACGACTTCCCCGCTGACCTCTGCGGTCAATCGTCTCGCCAAGCAACCTGCCCGGCAGCCCATCTATCGCCCCACATGACGCGTTTATGGTACACCTTGCGCAGCTCCTTGAACTCGCGCACGAAGTCGTCGATCTCCTTGCCGTTCGCGGCAATCGGCACTGGTTCTGCGGAGGACGCCTGAACGAATTCTGATGCGCGGGCTTCGGAGTTGTCGTCCTGCGCAATGGTTGCGTGGCGCAGACGCATCAGGAGGAATTGCGGAGTGAATCGCTGTAAGAGCGAGGATGAGTGGAAGTGGACATAGAGCGAGGTCGAGCGAGACGTACCTGGTAGACCTCCTTCTGTTCTTTCTCAATCTCCTTCCATCGCGTTTCAAGGCTCTTGGCCTCATCGAATGCAGCTTGTGTGTCGTTCCGCAGTTGGAACAGGCTCTCCTGCAGCGCGAGGTTGTTCTCTATACTCTTAGCACTCCAACATTATGAGGAAGGCTGAGCAGTCGTACTGGCTATTGTCTCGTTTGCGTTTCCTAGTTCAGCCTGGGCCTGGTAGAGCGACTTGACCTGGTTCAGCGAATGGAAGATCGCCTGGAAACAGACAGGGTCCAGGAGGAGCTCCTGTAGATCCTCTCTCCTGCGGCGACGTGGTCAGGCTTGACTGAGTTTGACAGTCCATGAACGTTTAGACTTACGATAAATGAGATAGTTCCGGAAAGTCTGTTAGCAAGGGTGTGGTCATGGCGGGCTACATGTCGCTGCCTCGGCCTGCAGCCACCGATAGAGCATCATGGCGCCGTATGTGACCGACGCGTGACGCGACGCGTATCCTCGCGTCCCAGCGCGTCTCTGGCGCCACCTGCGACATCATCCTCGAGCTCCTCCCTACGAGGCTCAGGCGAGGCTGCCCCACCGGCCAGAAGCCGCGGTCTTCATGTCCCAGTCTCCCAGCCTCGAGGCGTTTGCCAGCATGACGTCGCACTCCCACTGCTGCATCCCAATAAAAGCCATCCTCCCGGGCAACGCACAAACATCTTCGATTATCTCTCATAGGATACCCATAACATAGCCCATCGACATTTACTCTATCTTTTTTCTCATGGCGTACGCACACTACCAAACGACGCAGGGTGAGAAGTGGGGGACTCCTGAGGTATGTTGTTCTGTATCAGTGGATCAACATGGCGAAGCTCAGTGCCATGCAGTACAGATTTGGGGAACCGCCAACGCCCGGCTGGGAGCCCCAGGGACATTGGGGCGGTCAGGACTACTTTACGGCTCATGCATTCCGTGGTGACCAGTGCGTACAATACACACTGTATCCTTGAAACTATGGCTGAACGCCGTCACTGCTCATAGAGCGTTCTACCAAGCCGTCATGGGGCGAATGTCCTCAGCGGTAGGCGTTGGCTTCAACGAGGCACGATATTGGCATCGTCGTATATATGGCGGCCTGGTACGTGCATTCGACCTTCGACCGCTTACAATCCCTCTCTGAATATGCCTTGCAGGTGAATCTTTCGCAGCTTCTCCCCGCCGATATCGGCGCCGCAGCCGCCTACGAGGCCTACCGCATCTACAAGTACCGTCGCGCCGACGTCTTCGACCCGCTCGGGCAAGACATCGAGCGACAGCGCGAAGCCCTCATCGCCATCGCCTTCGCGGAAAGTGCGTGCATCCCTCCGAGTCATTCACCCATCCTCCGCTAACCGAGCGCTGCAGCGACGCAGCTCTGGCAGTTCACAGGGCGGGCACTAGACTCGTATGGCCAACAAGACGCCGCAGAGGCTGCCGTCGCGACGGCGGCCCGCATCGCCCGAAGGGTGCTCGTCCCGGGCGAAGGGGCGATGGGCTACGGCGGCATGAACGGAGGCATGGCCGGCGGGATGGGTGCGGGAGGCGGAGGGATGGGTGGAGGAATGGGCGGCGGGATGGGTGGAGGAGGGATGGGTGGCGGAGGAATGGGTGGCGGAGGAATGGGCGGAGGAGGAATGGGCGGAGGAATGGGTGGAGGAATGGGTGGAGGGATGGGTGGAGGAATGAACGGCGGGACAGGCTATGGCGGGATGGGCGGAGGCCTCGCTCCTGGCATGGCCGGGGCCAACGGCATGGGCATGGGAGGGGGTCCTGGCATGGGAGGCATGGGAGGCGCAGGACCAGGCATGGGCGGCGCGTACGGCAGCCCGGGCAACCCCGTCGTGCGCGACTTCGCCAACGGCACGGGCGGGCGTCCGCGGGGCCTCCGGCGCGTGAGCTCCGCGAGCTCAGTCGCAGGCAGTGCGGGGATGGGCCCTGGGATGGGCGGGCAGATGGGGATGAGAGGGGCTGGGGGGATGGCGTCGCCGGCAGGGACACCGATGCTTGGCGGAGGCGCGGGGGTCGGGATGGCGGGCACACCAGCGCCGCCGCCGGGCGAGGGCCCCGCAGTTGGTGGAATGGCGGGAGGGTTAGGCGGCGGTGCGCCCGGTATGGGCGCCGCGGGCCTAGGCATGGGCGGTGCTTACCCTGCAACAGGGGGCATGCCCACGCAGAACACAATGGGCGCGATCTACGCCCCCAACACTCCATACCCTGGTGCGTACGGCGCGTACGCACAGCCGGCCGCGGGGATGACTGGTGTGCCGATGGGCGGCGTACAGGGCGTAGGTGCGCCTGGCGCGTACGGCGGGTATGGGGCGTACGGCCAGGGCGGCACAGTGGTGCCACAAGGAGGGACGGTCATCATCGATACGGAGAGGAGGCCGAGGCGGCATAGGCATCGGGCGAGGAGCGTTGATATGCGGTGAGGGAACCCAATCTTGGGAACATTCTGGGATTTGGATTTGAGGATTCGTACGTTGGCGACACGGGATGACTTGACAGGCACTTGCAATTGGGCACTATACCTTACTCACTACTTACGGAATATACTCAGCGGAACATGGCCATTGAGTGCGTTCGTCTCTGACTCTGAAGTGTGATCTGATGTGGACGTTAAGCGGTTGTCGACCAAAGGTCATTGACAGGCCTGGATGCGTGCCGGACATTTCCTGTATGATATCAAATGTTGTGTTGTAGAGAAGCAGACGCGGGACACAGGACTGGTTCTACTTACTGTTGACATGGTGCACAAGGCACTCACAAGAGTGGATATTGGATTTGAACAACCTTTCGACGATTGCATCGAACACCGAACTGCGACTTAGCTGACGGTCGACGTAAGTAAATCAAAAGTGCATTGCAGTCATCAGATAGAGTGTGGGCAGTGCGCGACCTTCGGGACGGATCCTGCGGTAAGATTACACGTCTCTTCGTATGTACGCACGAGCGTTCCATGGCGCTTGCAAAGGGACGTCCCTATGCATAACCGTGCAGGCAAGCCATTGGGCGGCATCACCTAATTTTGTCCCAAAACATAGCATGGCCTGAGGTCCCATCATCTCTATGGTGCCCCGAGTCACCGCGTCTTCTTCGACTCCGGCGGTGTCGGTGTGCCTTCTCGCGTCGTCGTGGGCTCCTCGCCGTCCTCAACCATAGCGTCGTCGTCGTCGCCATCCTCGTCAGCCTGCTCTGCCCACCACCTCCCCGCCTGAAGGAGGATCACGCCCGTGAGCATGACGCTGCAGACGAGATGCGATGACGCGAGCTGGAATGTGGGCTCGTGGAGATAAGCGGGGAACGGGGGTAGGCTCGCTGATGGGGAATGTTGTGATGTGCTCCCGGAGATGGACGGAGTTTGGGAGGGAAAGACGAGGAACGTGAAATTCGTGGAGATATCTACGAGAGTGGTCAGCAGACGCGCGTGCCTACCGATAGATACTCACTTGGGAGTACGTCGTTTATATAGACGTATATTGCCGCACCGTAGAGGACTGTGTTTGGTGTCAGTTGTGAATGTATCAAAAATGCGAGTGAACACGCACATATGCTGCCCCCGTCAAACATCAAATTCCCGGCGCGTCCGTCACGCAGGCTCCATAAAATTGTGAGTGAGCCAACAGCCGCTACACCAGCGTATATGTAGGCGAGCCACGCTGGCATGCGTGCCAGCACGGCATAGTACGCAGCTGCTGCCCAGAGACGTGCATCCGTCTGCGTGTCGGGCGACTTCCAGAGCGTGAGCGAGTCGGCGGTCCAATGGGTGAAGAGAAGGCCTGCTGGGCGTCAGTGGTGGACTGTTCGCGCACGGCGAGCGCGGCTCTGTGCGCGGGGCTCTGACTTGGACTCACCGAGGAGAAAGGCGGTCGCGCAGATGACGACGCTCATGCGTAGGCCGGCCATAGCTGCGGGCGGGGGACGTGGCGGAGGGAGAGGTGCTGAGCGCAGGGGCTGCAGCGCTGAAGCGAAGAATGTCCCAGTGGTCGCGCGATGCTTGTGATAACGTCCTGTCACCGTAGACGTAAGCACTCGGCATCTTCATATTTTTGTGGTGCAGTGAGGATGGATTTTAATATGTGCATACATGGCTGATCTGTACGGCTCTAAAGTAGGCATGTCCACGAAGCAGCATGGTTGCGAGCATCGCGAGCGTTGTCCTCGGTGCACGGTCCACCTGGTGTGCGATCGGCAGAATGGGCGCTAACCAGCAGGAACAGCATCATGTGATCGATGTTCCTGCCTCGGCGCTAGAGCTCACGACATACTGCAACGACAGGCAACGACTCGGACCACACTCGCACTGACAGAGGCAGGGACTCTGTGTTCTGCTCTCAACAAAGGCAGCAAATTCTCGTAGCAGGCATCATGCAAGCTCTGAGACTGTGTACCCGGCGACGTGTCTGTAGCTTCACGGCCGACCTCCCTCGACGCACTTTGTCTGTTTTGCCTTCTGGGTCTTCCTCTTCCTCATCATCTCCCAAACCCTTACCATGGTTTGTGGACCCCTCTGGCCTACCAACATCCTCTCGACAGTCTCGCTCCGCCCCGCCTCATGTACGGCCATCGCTCCAGGCTCAGCATCCGCCGCTCCCGGCTGACGTCCCGCCAGAAAGCCCCATTGCTCAGCTTCATGCTGCACTGAGCACATCGCCGCATCTCGAGCCAGGCATGCTCCGCGTGCGCGAGCCGATCCCAACGGCTCTGGGTCCCGCTCTGCCGGATAGTCAGCCCAAGGGGCGACGAAAGCGCGGACGCTCATACGCGGGCGAGGGTGTCTACGACCACACAGGCGGCGTGTGGAGCTGGGTAGTGGTAGCGCAGGTCCGTCATTTGCTCACGTTCATGTGTGTGGTTTTTACGGCCAATCTCGTATAGGTGAAGGAGGGCACAGAAGATCGGGGCGCGATCGAGTCCGTGGTGAGAGTAGTCCGGAAAGTTGTACGTGTTTGTCCCTTCGCGCCAACGGCGACTTTCTAACACTGCAATATAGCTTCTGACCTCCCAGCCGCCTCTGCCGCTCCCCCCGAACTCCAAACGCAGAGCGAACGGCGGGTGGGCCATGATCGACGCTGGCGACTTCGCGGTGCATATCGTGAGCAAGGAGGCGCGAGAGAGGTTCTTCCCCGACGGCAGGCGCGAGTGGTAGACGGAGGACCGCTGTGTGCGTACCCGATAGCTGCTTATGTTTACGTGATGGGTATTGCTATCACCTGTTGCCTAGTATTGCGAGGTCTACTCGCCGAGGTGCGCATGCCCTATTGATTGACCCCTGGACCGGCTTCGGTCGGTCAGGACTACAAGTTAGGATATACTAGCCTCGTTGCAGAAGCAGCCCCTTGGGTTTGCGCAAGTCCTGCATGGCCGGCTCCAAAGCTGCGGCTGTTCATTCCTATGAGATCCGTCGGAGTCTGGGATGCGCGCTGGCTGCGTTCTGTGTACATCACATGTACCGGATTGCTTCGAGCAGATGCTATCGTAGAGAGAACGCCCGACGCGCAACGCGCAACAGTCACACACTTCACGCTGTGACACACAATTGCTGTTCAGTTGCTGATGCGCTCGTCTAACCTCGATGCTACCGTAGCGATCCGAGGATTCTAGCGACGACCTACCAGCAGTGTGCGGTATTGGGATCGAGTTAGTGCCAGTGACGAGTGCACAATGCCTACACGGACAGACGCTAGATTACTGTAATGCGACCTTGCTGGATGTTCACCGATGCTAGATCTCGTGCCCGGCGCTGACCACATATCAGTTTCAGATGTGCTGTATGACGCCTGCGCTGCCATAAGAAATTTGGCTATGTTTGACGTTGACTCGGAGCACGTATACTATGTAATTCAGGGACGCTGCGCATCCCTCAGGATCCAAGGCCGCCCCGCTCTCCTTTGCCCTAGTGAGTGTGTATATTGTTTGTTCTGCAACCTAGGGTGTGCCGCTGATTGCATGACAAATAGTACTATGAGCATGGATTCAAGTATCCTACCTCCGGAGCTCACCGACCACATCATCGACTTCGCATGGGACGATCCACCGACTCTATGGAGCTGTGCGCTGACGTGCCGCGCATGGCGAATCCGAAGTGAACTGCGCCTCCGGGACTTCGACGGGATCGAGCTCAACAGCGTGGCTGATCTGAATGTGTTGACGGAACGCATTGCCCGCCCTGGAAGCAGGCGGTTCCTCACCCCTATTCGCTACCTCTTTGCCTCGGAGGATCCAGAGAGGCCATTCATACACATCATACCTCTGTGCATCCCCGGGATGTTTGTCCCGAGGCTTCAAACCATCACGTTCGCGGACCTGGGGCGGCTGGAATCAGCGACCACGATGAATTTGCACCACAGCTTCTTCACCCTCCTCGCATCGTACAAGTCGGTGACAAGATTGTGTATCCAGGGTGGCTGCCTTCGTGAGACGGACTTGCGCAGGATTGTGGAGGCCCTTCCTTCCTTGAAGGATGTTGACATTTTGTCGTTGAACTTTGTAAGACCGCCTCACGGCGCAGGTCTGGTACAAGAACAAGAACGCGGTCGCTCCTGGAAGCGACACTCGCTGGATCACTTCACATTCTTGTGGTCGCGATCGGTGACTGGATTCGGGCATCTGGAGCTGCTGCAATGTCTGCAATTCTTCTCCGAAGCACGCCAGATTACGACCGAAGCAAAAAACGCGATGGCAACGTTTCCGGCAGGAAGTATGACCGCAGCTCGGTTTCCTGTTTCCCGCCTCGATCTGCGGGCGGCCGTTTACATGCGTGCTCCGGTGTTCTCGCTGCACCGTGAATGGGGCCGGGACGCACGTTATGAAAGAACCTGGGACGCGCCGGCTCCGAGTCCTCTGCAGACCATAGCAGGTGAGTTACCCCTCGTGCAACGCAGCATATAACACATACTGATGAGCCGAGTCGTCTGACGTGAAGATGGCACGAGCCTCATCCACAACATACATCTGGAGGAGATTGAGTACCAGTTCGACATTATGAAAGACTATCCCGATTTTCGAGCAACAATACAAGCGATCGTAGCCCTGCTCTCTCAAGGCGTTGGGGAGAAGGTTACCGAGATATGCGTGTACCTCGCCTTCTCGCCCCGCAATCTCCACGACCTCGTGTCATATGCCACAGCCGACGAGGGCCGCGCTGCATGCCTGCCGTCCCTCGACGACGCTGCTATACTACAGTTTGGGCTGCGAAATATCACCGCAGTCCGGCTTGTCATCCGACACGATGATATCTACGGCTCGGATGAGCCAACGGAAATTACGCCTGTAACCGAGGCAGCGATGAGGATTATCCCTGCGCTGTTCGCGCACTGGAGTGCCCGTGGGATGCTCTCAGTCAACGATCCCCGCGGGGCATCCGAGTCCCCGCCACCAGCCTCACCCCCAGCAAGACAAGGCGCGGACGTGACTGTTCCCGAACCGGCGGATGTCGGGCCCTGTATGGACAGTGACGCCTGACGTCGTGGCGCGCGAAGAGCCATGTACGGGTCCTGCTATCGTGAGCATGGAGGCGAGAGAGAGCTTCTTCCCCGACGGCAAGCGCGAATGGTAGAGGGAGGACCGCTGTGTACGTACCCAATAGCTGCTTATGTTTACGTGACGGACATTGCTATGACCTGTTGGCTGGTGTTGCAATGTCTCCCCACCGAGGTGTACATGCCCTACTAATCGACTCCTGGATCGTTTTGATTACGAGCTGATCACAATGCTTGGACCGACACCTCACCTACAACTGGTTCCGCGCTGCGCTTGACGATTATATTTGAGGGCTTGAAGCCCTCCCTGACAATCAATCCTGGTGACGTCCCTTGTTCCTATGCTCGTCGCGCTTGTTCCGTTGACTAGTTGACTATCACTGGCTCGCCCAGCTCCAACATGTCTCGTAACCAGCCACAGGAACTATCGACCACACCGTCGACTTCGCATTGTCCGGCGGCAACAGAGCAGTCATGTGCTGCATGCTCACAAGGACAGATGTTCAAGGTATGGTTGCTCAACGACCAGATGGTGGTCACCGACTCTGACAGTGTCGAGCTCGTCTCTGGCGCCGAAGCACCTAGCCAAACGGCACTGGTGTACTCGGCGTCCAGGTCCACCTATATATTACATTGCGCCCACATCAGGAATGCTTGTAGTCCCCCGGTGAGTAATGTGTTCGTCTATCTATTCACAACATGTAACGCCCCGAGCACTTCAGGCACTAGTAGAGAGTACCACCGAAAGGTGTGAGACTCGCGCCCTGCCTCTGGGGCTTACCGACCACATCTACTTCCCATGGGATGACTGGTCAACTTCGCTGCGCTGACGTGCCGCACATGCCAGCGGGCTAGGAACGAACTGCATCTTCGCGCTTACCGCACGGCGATCACCGTCAAGAGCGTTGCGGATCTCACTCAATTGACGCAACGTATCGTCCGGCCTGAAAGCACTCCGGATAGCCCAACGTCAAACATCACGTAGTGAACGGTGAGTGGTTGTTATTCGTGGTCTCAGAATTGCATTTCCTCCGCATGATCTGATATGTCCCTTGATGAACATTACAGGGTCGACGAGATCCAGTTCGAAGGACTCTGAGAAAAGGACACAGTGCCTCTCCCGCGCCTTGATGAATATCACTGGCGGCTGTTTGACCGGATGGGAAGTTGCCGTAAGTATACAGATAGGAGCTGTCATTGTGGTCGAAGTCTCCGCGCCCGTGAACATGATTTCATCGCATGCATTCCTGTCCATAGACCGGCATGTAAAGCCCATGTGCCCGATGGCCCCATGTCTAGCGACGACCTGCCAGCAGTGAGCGGGGTTGAAAACGAGTATGTAAGTGCCAGTGATGGGTATGACACCTACCATGAAGAAGTTTAGCTATATTTGACGTCGACTCAGAGCACTTAAATCATGCATTCCAGGGACGCTGCGTATCCCCCAGGATCCAAGGTCGCCCCGCTCTCCTTTGCCCTAGTGAGTGTATATTTTCTTGTCTGCAACCTGGGATGTGCCGCTGATTGTGTGATAAACAGAGCATGGATTCAAGTATCCTACCCCCGGAGCTCACCGACTACATTATCGACTTCGCATGGGACGATCCACCGACTCTACGGAGCTGCACGCTGACATGCCGCGCATGGCGACCCCGAAGTAAACTGCACCTCCGGGCTTTCGACATGATCAGCCTCAAGAGCGTCGCTGATCTGGCTGTGTGGACGAAACGCGTTGCCCGCCCTGAAAGCAGACGGTTCCTCACCCATATTCACTCTATGTTTGTCTGGGAGGATCCAGAGAGGCCATTCATACACATCATACCTCTGTGCATCTCCGGGATGTTCGTCCCGAGGCTTCAAACCATCACGTTCACGAACCTGGGGCGGCTGGAATCAGCGATCACGATGAATTGGCACCACAGCTTCTTCAGCCTCCTCGCGTCATACAAGGCGGTGACAGAATTGACTATCTACGGTGGCCGCCTTCATGAGATGGAGGACTTGCGCCGGATTGTGGAGGTCCTTCCTTCCTTGAAGGTTGTCAGCATTTCGGCGTTAAACTTTGTAAGACCGCCTCGCGGCGCAGGCCTGGTACAAGAACAGGAACACTGTCGCTCCTGGAAGCGACACTCGCTGGATCACCTCAAATTCTTGGGCTCGGTGACCGACGGGCACCTGGAGCTGCTGCGATGTCTGCAATTCTTCTCCGAAGCACGCCGGATTACGACCGAAGCAGAAAGCGCGATGGCAACGTTTCCGGCAGGAAATATGACCGCAGCTCGATTTCCTGTTTCCCGACTCTTGCTGCGGGCCTTCGTTGGGTGGTATGTTCCGGTGTTCTTGGTGCAGTGTGATTGGGGTCGGGCGACCTCCGGCGTGCAAGGAGGCCGGGACAATCGTTATGAGAACACCCCGGACGCGCTGCGTCGTCTGCAGATCACAGCAGGTTAGTTACCCTCTTGCAACTCAGCGTATGACATATCCTGATGAGCCGAGTTGTCTGACGCGAAGATGACACAAGTCTCATCCACAACATACATGTGGAGAAGATTGAGTACAATATCACCATTTGGGAAGACTGTCTCGATTTTCGAGCCACGAAACAAGCGATCATAACCATGCTTTCTCAAGGCGTTGGGGAGAAGGTTACCGAGATATGCCTGTGCCTCACCTTCTTGTGCCGCAATCTCGAGGACTTTGTGTCATATGCCACAGCCAACGAGGGCCGCGCTGCATGTCTACCGTCCCTCGACGATGCTGCTATACAGTTTGGACTGCAAAATGTCACCGCAGTCCAGCTTGTCATCCGAGGTGCGACAACGACATCTACGCCTGTGGCCGAGGCAGCGATGAGGATCATCCCTGTGCTGTTCGCGCATTGGGGTGGCCGTGGGATGCTCTCGGTCAGCGGTCCCCGCTGGAAATTCGAGTTCCCGCCACCAGCCTCAGCTCCCGGCGCGGACGTGACTGTTCCCGAACAGGCAGGTGCCGCGCCATGTATGGACAGTGACGCCTGACGTCATGGCGCGCGAAGAGGTCTGACGGGAGCGAGTGCGTCACGCGCGTTCCCTGCTCCTCTGCTCCTCCTTGCCCCAATATTCGCCGCGCTCAATCTTCTTATAACGGCCTCTGCCTGCGCTTGTTCTACCTACCATTTCACGACCCAACGCCACGACCCACTTCCACGACCAGCCACCTCTCTGAACCAACACAGTACCCATCATGTCTCTCAACGACAAGGACATCACCCTCGGCGGTAACAAGGGCGTCGACACTCACCCCGGCGTCGCTAACCCGACCAGCTCGTCCAACCACGCTGACCCGCTTGGCTCCAACTTCGTACGGATCCGCTGCGTCCTCACAGCATGCGCGTGCTGACCGCTGTATCCCGCAGGTATCGGATCCGACGTCTGATGACCTCGGCGCCGGCGCTGGCCCAAACTTCTCCGGCAACCGCGAGGCGGCGCGCAACTTCAGCAAAACCGCTGGCGTCATCGAAGGCCGTCCCGGCATCATCGAGTCCGTCAACATCGACCCGCTCAACGAGAACTCGAACAAATGTGCGTTTCACTCGCCTCTCGTGGTCATGGACTCTTAGGTGCTTACTGGGTCTGGCGTAGATGACGGCTGGGCGAACGCGACTAACGCGCCCTCATCGACTGGTGCCACCGTCGGCTCCACCGCGTCCTCGTACGGGGCTAGCGCAACCACCGCTGCGGAGAACGCAGCATCTGTCGCAACCGGTGCAGCCAAACTCGCATACGGACATGCAGTCGGCGACGAAGTGACGAAGCAGGCGGGCAAGGAAGCTGTCTGGGGCAAAGCAAGCAACTGAGGGACCGACGCTTGGAAGGGGATTACTCAACTTGTACATCTTGGGAATTGTACGTTGTAATGCATCACTAGGACTCATAGGCCCCCTTTTGAGTGACGCGGATCGATCTGCCATTGAGTCGGGAGTTGGGAACTGCGAAGGTTGAATGAGACAGCACTCATCGTGGACATTGAGCCGAGTGTCCACGTCTTTGAGCGAAGGCAAAGTTATAGCACTCATACAACAAGGAGACCACTGGGCAACCGTAAAATAACCAGACTTGTGGGGAGGATGTAGTTCACCCTACCATTGTCAGCCGGCCGCTAACCGATCTGCCACCCCTTGAGCTTGCGTACTCACGTCCCCATTACTCTGCTCACGCTGCCCCGTACCATTCTTGGCATCCTCCGTCCGCCCGTTGTGAGTCTGGCTCGCCTGTGGGCTGCGCTTCGGCCGCGCTGCCTCAACCAGCTTCGCGAACTCCGCCTTGTGCGCCGTCTACACCAACCCAAATCAACCCGTCAGCCCTTGGGCCACTCCCCAATGCCACACACACCTGATACGCCACGACGTCTGTCACCTCCCCTGCCTTCTTCTTCCCGAGGCCTGCGGATCCGCCACCACTGGCAGCGCCCTCCGAGGCCTCCCACTTCTGCAGCTCGCGCCGCAGCTGGTCGGGCATGTGCCGGTCGCTGGGCGTACGGTCGAGGTTCGCGTTGTAGAGCGTGACCCACCTGCGTATATGCTAGCGGTCAGCATCCGCAATGTCACAGCTCCCATCCCACAGAAAATGAGGTATGCGTAGATGCGGAGTGTATGTAATAAGGCTAGAGATTCTGTGAAAGACGCACTTTTGGTGTCGGCGGACCCATGCGTGCCGGTCACCCGTCGTAGGGAGACCATGTTCGTTCAATAGCTCTTGAACGCGTCTGTCCTTGAGTGTGTGGTACGAGACTGTCGGGAGGTACTCTGGCTCGTCGTCATGTTGGGCCGCCGGGGACTTGACGCTGCATCAATATTCCACAACGGAGGACAACGAGAGCGATCAGCATATGTACGCCTGCACCAGATGGACGCACTCCACGTACCGCTCCTTATCCCTCTCTTTGTTGGGACGACGGCCCAGCGCCGCGGCGCCGCCAAGGATCTTGGACCACTCCTGCTTCGCCTTGCCCTTGGGCTTGCGCGGAGAGGGAGGAGGCGCGTCGGTGAGCTTGCAGCTGCTGTCGATGTGCTGGTTGATGATCTGGAAGGGCACGCGTTGCTGGCACACGGGGCAGTCTATCAGGTCTGAGGGAGGTGGGATGAGAGTTTAGACGGCGTATATGCGAAGGGATGGTGAGGAAGGCGTATACCGTCGGAGGAGCCGGGCGTTGGCGGGGTGGAGGGCGTGTCTGGTATGCGAGGTGATTTGTTTGAACGCTGCTCTGTAAGATCCAGGTTGGATATGCGTTTCAATGTCGGCATGGGTTACGCACTCTTCATGTTCGGAACGGGTTGTCTCCTCTGAATCGCAAGGGTCGAGGGCCCTTCCACAATCTCAACCTCATCCGACGAGCTGCCTCCCGAGGTCCGAGCAGACCTCCTTCGCTTTCGTGGGTGGATCTCTTCCAGCGCGTTTTTTGAAAGACGCTGAACTTCTTGCTTGGCAAGGCGCAGTGTAAACTCCCTGAGCATACCAGTCACTGGGTGCCATAGGATCACAGCCCGGATCACAATACGCACCTCGCGGCAGCCCAGGCCTTCACCGCACTCTCAAGCGCGACGTTCTTCCTCAGCTGCGTGTCCGATGCTTGCTTCCGACAGCTTGGACACTCTTCCTTGTCCTTAAGGCAGTTTCGCACACACTGCAATAGCATAACGCGTCAAAACGTCGAGCCGTCGTGTAAGCTCTGGCAAATATGTCCAGACGCACCAACGAACAAAAGCAATGTCCACAATTGAGCGTCACAGGCGCGTCGTAGAGCTCATGACAGACGCTACATCGCAGGGCCTCGTCGAGGAGGCGGAGGCCGGGGGCGATATCGGAAGGGGGAAAGTCGGTCGGGTCGGGGACGTCTGCGGCGAGCAAGTCAAGCTGCGCCATATTCGATATCGTGTTCATGCTGGGTTAGAATGGGTAGCGGGGATGAAGCGGGCGTGGCGCGGGGAGTGAGCAAGGACGGGGACCAGACGAGGAACCGTGAACACTGAACGCGTCTAGAGCGTGACGTGACCGATCGCGACGCGTCGGCACGTGCTTGCATCCCAGTGGCTTGAGCCAGGCTCGAGACTCGACGACGACAACCTCGTCCCACCGTCATGGAGCTCTCTGCAGACTTCCTAGATCATTAACTGAAGGTTTCTAGGTACATTCAATCTGACTAGGCATTCGAGTGATACTATTTTCGCTACATCCTTCATAGTAGACCATTCGAGTCGCACACTCCTCTCACGTACTTTCCTGTCAGTGCGCTCCCTATAACCTGATCGAGTAGCTTGGTATTACTATCTCCACTTGACATGAGTTCAGAGTTAGAGCAGGTCATCAACTAAGGAACATATGTCGCCTCACATACCCGACCGTGCTATCGCGTTTACCTCCCTCAACTACTCTCCGTCTCCGTCTTACACACGCCCTTGCTCCTGGACTTGGATCCAGTCCCTACAATCCCGCCGCCCTCCATACCGACTATCCCAAGCAGTCGAGACTGCGATCGCTGTTGTCGGCCGTAATCATGGATCAGGAGCTTTCCTCCACCGAGCATAGTCAAGGCTCTCCGTGACTAAATTTGACCGTACGTGTCCAGGATGCGCCCTTGGACCTTGACCAAGAGCTGGCCACGAGCGGCCCAGTGCATGAACAATCGAGGGATAATCCTGACCGCCACATCCGTGGCAGGCGTCGGGTCGTCTCCAGAGTCATCTCGGATGTCCAACTCTATTGTGCGTACGTTCGGCAGCGCATCGCGCATCGTCTCCTGCAGAAGGGTCCACGGTGGCTGCCATGAAAGCCCTGTGGAATTCTCGGGACACGGCAGGAGGTTTCGCTCGTGGAGGTGAAAGGTGAGCTGTACGGTGTGGACGTTCCTGCCTACGCCCTGAGAGAGCATGTCTACAATTCTTCGAGTGGTCACGCGTAGATCGATGTAGTCTCTGTCGATGAAATAGATGTAGGTAGTGGTTTTGACGTGAATGTTGTGCACCAGGCTTGTAGCATCTATGGTCGAGAGGTTGAACATGAGTAATGGCTATGTCATGGTTTCACGGGCTTCTTACCTGCTGATGGCATTTGGCGGTCCTGCCAGCCAGTGTTGATGAAGTGTTCGAGCACTAGTCGAGAGATGGGCAAGTGAGCCAAGCGCAAAGTGAGCCAAGCGCATGTCTGCCAATGTCCGAGGCAAGGCTGTTATCGCATGCTCTGCGTACGTTGTGAGCTCCCGCAGCTCGGACCACAGACACAGACAGTAGATCAATCCGTAATATACTGTCGGTCCTGAAAGTCGAAGCGCCAGGCGATCAAGCTGCCGGCGGCGGCGTCCAAGCTCTGGGGACAGCGATGTGCGAGGCGAAAACGTCACATCCACGAGAGTCACATCGTCAAGAGCGGGAAGCGCGTAGACTACCCGGCGCAGGTTGCCCGCATCGTGGAAGTGGCAGTTTGACAAGCGCAATGTAGTCATCGCCTTGTACGACGAAAGCAGTGTGAAGGAACTGTGGTGCCAGTGCATAGGAGGCGATTCCCCGAGCCGCCGGCCAAGGTGGGAGAATTCGATCTCTCTGAGTTTCGGGAGGAACGGTCCGGGGATGTGTAACGGCACCGTATGTGCGAAATGTATCTGCGTGAACACCTCCGAGACCTCCATGACCTCCATGTCGCGGTAGAACTGCCTGCTATTGGGGCACCCGAGGCGTTGCGACAGGAGGGAGAGTGTCGCGACGCTTTTGATGCTGAGGATAAGGTACGCCTGAAAATGGAAGACGCTCCTCGGCAGCCAGTCTCGGCACGTCAGAGCACAGCTCCGCATTGTCGGTGGGTCGTCCCAGAAGAAGTTGATTATGACGTCCGTGAGCTCGTTTGGCAGTTTGCGCTCCATTGTGTGGCTGGCTATCCATAACTTAGTCAGTGGGACGCGCCGTGCACATAGCAAAGATCATGGACCTACCCAGGCTGGCTGTGGAAGAGGGGTCCGGCGAAGTGAAATTAACGACGGGAGGTCAACATCTAGATATTTATCAACCGCTCATGCAGGACTTTGCAGGAGCCCACGAGGCGTCGACCACAGCCTCACCCACCTTCGATCAGCGCCCCACGCACTCCATACAATTGCAACGACTCATCTGTTCTTGAGAAGCGTCTCCTACGGGTGCTGCGAAACCACCTTACACGTATATTTGAAGGCCTGTTGCTGCGGAATTCGACGTGGTGCCTGCGCGCCGCTGAGCAACCTGGTTTACATTGACTGCCTATTAGGTCTTAGTACAGTCGCAGTACGCCGCCGAGGGCCTCGGTGGTAGCGTCATGCAGCTACCTCGCCTGAGCGACTTTGATCAGAACCAATGCGATGGTGCTGAACGCAAAGCCTCAAAGATGCGCACCTCTCTGGCTGCTGATTCTACGCTCAGCACCCTCCGAGTCGTCGGTGTGAGGAAGCACTCGAGAACAACTGCAGGCTTGCAGTTGAGCATGCGCCTACGATTTGCCGCGTGGGAGCGAGAGTAGAGGCCGTGTGGGACCTGGTCTGCGCGATCACGCAGGGGATAAACGAGGGATAGCAGATGTACGTACGCGTAGTCAATGAGACAGTCTAGTCAGCGGCGCCGAAGTAGGATTACGCCATAAATAACCGCGACGACAATTGGGCATATTGTGCTGATCCCTCGAGGGTTTGCGCGCGAAGGTGATCAGGGAGTCGTTTGGGGCAGGGTAAAGTCCTCGAGTTGTCATCAGTAGCTGCTACAGAGTGACCATAATCAGAACGGCGTACGGGCGGAGCGGGTACATACTTACTGCTGTCTGATATTGGTCTCTGTGTCCTACGCCCTTCGCCAGGCTTCCTCGACTAAGGAGTCATCAGACACAGCTCGCATGTCGATTTACGAACCTTGGATATCATGTTCCGAATCCGTAGCCCGCCCACCAATGAATGAATTACGTCCTAGCTTCCGAATATCCGTCTCCGTCGCCCACGCCGACCTCCGCGCCGACTATTCCGCGAACTCGACGCTGCCACTTCCAGCGGACGAGTATGTGGACTCGGAGTCGTCCTCGAGAGATGACCTGACTCTCCCGGGCTCTATTCGTCAGGGCTGCACCCAGGACCCCACTTGCCTGTACTCGGGCGGCCCATCGACCCTGACCGCGAGCTGCCCACGGGCTGGCCAGTTCGCGAACAAATTCGCGAACAACTGCGGGATGATTCTGGCCGCCGCGTCCGAGGCAGGTGTCCGGCGTTCTCCTATAGCTTCAACATTCGAGTCGATGCACAGCTTGATTGTGTGCACGTTCTTGAGCGCATCGCACGCTATCTGCGAGGCTAGAGCAGGACGAATAGAAGGTGGTTGCGACGTGGACTCTGTGGAGTCCTCGGGACATGGCAATAGCTTTGGCGACGCGAACTCGAAATAGAACTGCATAGTGTCGACGTTCGGGCCTACACCTTGAGAGAGCATGCTTGAAATGGCCAGGATCGTCGCGCGTAGATCATCATAGTCTTTATGGATGTCATAGTGATAGTCTATTGTCTCGACGTGAATGTTGCGCACTAGGCTTGTAGCATCTGATGGGTGCCATAAGTCACAGTTATAGCATGTTCGGATAAACTTACCAACGGTAGGTACATATCGGATGGTGTTCACAGTGGATGTAGCCGTGAAGAATTATTTGAGAAATTGGGAGGTGAACGAAGTTCATGTCTGCCTGAGATGAGGTTGCCACTGCATGCTTTGCATCGATGTGAAGACACCTGAGTCCAGAACATAGTGTCAAGAGGTAAAGCAATTCGTTGTGTGCTATCAATCTCGTTGAGAATATTTTCAATGCACCTAGCTGCCGCCGCCGACGGCGCACAAGCTCTAGGGCGAGGGGTGTGCGAGGAGGCACGAACGTCACGTAACGAGAGTCGCCGCCCTGAGAGCTGGGAGTGCGTAGAGTAGTCGGCGTAAGATGCTCGCAACGTGAAAGTGGCAATTCGAAAGCTTCAGCCTCGTCACCGCTTTGTACGACGAGAGCACAGGCTGGAAGAAGCTGTTGTGCCAGTTTATTCGAGGACTGTGGTCTCCCAGGTCAGTGCCAATGTGAGAGAATTTTGTGCTTTCAAGCCTGGGAAGAAATGAGCCAGGTATGCGTAACGGCACCGTGTGCGCGAATGGTCTTGTCTCGTCCTCCCGAATCTGCATCGTGGTGTCCTTATCGCTGTAGAACTGCTTATTTTCAGGCCGGGCGAGGCGATCCGACAGGAAAGCTAGATCGGCAACACTTGTGATGACGAGTTTGTGGTATTCCCAGAGATGGCGCCTGCTCCTGGACAGCCAGTCTCGGCATGTTAGCGCACAGCTCAGCAACGTCCGTGGGTCATCCCGGAGACAGTCGCTGATGTCGTCGGTGAGCTCGTTGGGAAATTTACGATCCATCGTACGGCTGTCTGTTCGTGTTCAGTGAGGTTCACCGGGCCGTACATAGCAGAGAGGGCGCATGGACTCACTAAGGTTGGCTGCGAACGAGCCTGGCTCGCAGAGGCGGGAATAGTGATAGAGGCTCGGCAGGGTGGACGCCTCCGTCACAGAGGTCTTCTTGAGGGTCTGCCTAGGGGAGACTAGCCGAGGCTGGGAGTAGCAGTACCCGGGGATGTATGAGCGTGTCTACTGGTGTCACGGTGGCACTGAGCGTAGACGTGACGTGACCGATCGCGACGCGTCAACACGTGTGTACCGGCCGCCCGAAATGGAACAGAATGGCAGCCACCGTCGAGCTGGTCTAGACCCCGGCTGACGGCCAGTGTGGAGGCTCGCGCCCCTGCCCGGGCGATGGCAAGTACTGCGACCAACTGCCCAAGTCCAACTGCACCGTGTGGCTGACAGATCTACTCATCCACCTCCATCCACAGCCAGCCGCCCGCGTATCAGTCAAAGGCTCGTCCCGCAAAGCTCCAGTGCCCATTGACATTCGGTACTGCCACTGTGCCCTGCGAAAGGCTCCCAGTCTCGAAGAAGATGTCGCAGCTCCCGACGTGCGTTCTTGCGCTGCGCCCCGCTCGTCAATCGGCGAAGCGCAAGAAATACATCGGGGTCGTTCCTCAGGCTATATCGCGCTCAGTCCTCCGGATCGCAGTGGAGCTCGCGCTTTCCGTGGGCATCTTCCTGCTATGTGTGTTGTTGACGCGGCGGGTCCTAGGCATTTCCTCTCTGTCAACTACAACATATGGGGACCGAGCGAGCGCCATCGCACGTCCGCCATCCGAGGCACGTCCATCCGGACGTTGGGAACTGTTCCAACGGTCGCTGGACGACGCAGGCGCTCTCTCCGACTCCATCCTAGCCATGGACATCACCGATTGGGACATCCTACTGGACATGTACGACGAGCCCGAGGTGCACATCGAGCACGAATTGCGCAAGAGGGACTACGCGTCGGATGTCGCGCTGCAGCAGCCGCTTCACTTCAGTCTCGATTCAGTGCAGGAAGACGCTCATGGCCGCGACGTCGTAACGACTCCACAAAATCTAGTCGCTTCCTTTCGGCAGACGAAGACCAAGCATCGATAGAACCAGGTGTTCGTCGCCCAATTAGCCATGCCTTGGACTTTGCGGAGGCACACACTACGCCCATACGGCAGAGGACTTCAGCCTCGATTGTCCTGTCTTGAGATAGAGCCTAGACTCACTCCCATCGGGACAGTACGTGTAGTAGCTTCGTAGTAGGACGACGCATAGAACACACACTTGTATCAAATTCAGGCTTCTGCATTACTACTGTACTTGTCTTCACAGATTGTCGTTATACACAGAGCTCCCACATGCCCCGTCTGAGTCCACCGCTCAATGTCCCGCACGCATCGGCTTCACCTCCTGCATACGCTGCATCGTCTCGCGCAGCTCCGCCTCCGCAAACGCCGCCGCCTCCTTCGCGACTACGAGCTTCTTCTCCAGCTCGTCCGCCGACATCATCCGCAGCATGCCGCGCTCATTCGCCACCCCCAGCGTGTCGAACCGCAGGAGCGTGTTCCCGACCTTCGGCAGGCGCCCGCGCGCGTCCCAGCCGTTGTCGTTGAACGAGAGCACCGCGCGCACCGCGGCCGTGTTGATATCCCGGTGGAGCTCCTCCAGCTTGCTCAGCTGCACCTCCATCCAGCGCGCGCGGCGCTCGAGCGCCAGGGTGAGCGCCGCGACCTCGTCCTCGCGCACATGCCCGTGCCCGTCCTCGCCGCCGTCGTCGAGGAAGTCGTCGCCCTTGAGCATCTCGCGGAGCACGCCGTCGAACGATGAGTTGTCGTCCCACGTCTTGCGCGGCAGCAGCCGCAGCAGGTCCGAGATCGTCTGCGTCAGCGTCTCGAGCAGCTGCTGGAAGCTCGACACCGCGTTGTCGATCGCGCCCGACGGCATGTTGTTCGCGAACGAGCCGCCCCCGACAGAGAGCGCGGAGAGCGCGTGCACCAGCGGCCCGTACTCGAGCGGCATCTTCGCGGCGGGGTTGATCTTTGAGAGGTCGAAGAAGGGGTGCTTGTGGATGTTGAGGTGCTGGAACTCCGAGTCGAGATCTTGCAAGAGCTCCTGGACGGTGGCACGCTGCAGCGGCGGGGTCCTGTCCACCGACTGCGCGCGCGAGACGTTGGAACTGGTCTGAGCTCCACGAACATCGGGCAGACCAGGGGCTTCGGAGTTTGTAGAGGATGGAAGAGCTGACGTAGGATCGGAGTTGAAGTCGTCCTTAGGGATCTTAATAGGCTTCGCGTTCGGTTTGTGCTTCTTGGGCATCTTCGAGAGAATGGGCACTTGAACCTCAGGCTCGGGCACGATGATGGGGGCTGGCTGCTTCGGGGCTTGCTTGCGGCCAGCTGCCTTGTCCGAGCCTTGGTCAGCTTGCGCAGGTGCGCCTGGGGACTCATCATCCGCCTGCCTGCCAGGCTGAGCGCTGCCTTGCGTCTTCGCGTTGGCAGCTGCGGCTGCCTTCTTGGCCTGAGCGAGACGCTCCCTTTCAGCTTTCTCCTTCTCCTGGCGCTCCTGCGCAGCCCGCTCCCTCTCTGCCTTCTCTTTCTCTGCCTTATCCCTCTCCGCCTTCTCGCGCCCGAGTCGCTCAGCTTTCTCTCTCTCCGCCTTCTCCTCAGCCGCCTTGTCCTTCTCTGCCTTGAGCGTAGCCTGGCGTTCCCTCTCGGCGGCCTTTTCTTGTGCGATGCGTTCCTTCTCCACTGCCCGTGCTGCAGCTTTCTCCGCTGCCACCCGCTTTCGCTCGGCCGCACGTTCCGTGGCGGCGGCCTTCTTCGCCGCCTTGCGCTCGGCCTTCGCTCTTGCAGCATCATCGAGAGTGTCCGCGCCGGCTTCAGGGGCGGGCTCGGTAGACGGCTGTTCGCGACGAAGCGCAGGCTCAGTCGCAGTCGCAGACAAGGCGGGAAAATCGGAAGACGACAAGGCGGGGGAGGGGACAACGGAGGGCTCAACAGATGCAGAGGGGGATGTGGAAACTTCACGGAAGAGAACAGGGTGACCGGCAAAAAGAGATGGGACAAGGGCATGTCAGCGTCGAGGCATACTTGGGGCATCCTACCGGAAAGACACATGTAGAGCAGGGCGGAAGATGGGGAGAGGAACCGGGCCATGGCCACCAGGCATGTTACACATCAAGGCCGAAATAGCTGTTTCCGCACTGAAAGCACGGCACTCGGTACTCTGACCTGGGACCCGCCCTTGAAAGGGAAAGAAAATCGACTCACCATGTGCGGACCCGCTCGCTTGGGAAACTTCAACGCTGCCTAGCGATCCGTTCGGCATGCCGTACGAGTTGTGGTTCATCGCGCTTCCAACGTTTCCCAGTGAGCCGTCTTGAAAGGACAACCCGGGAGGGGGGCCATATCCGAAACGGTGAGACGAGAAGCTTTCAACCGAGGACGAGTTCGTGAAACCGTTGTCATGGGCAGGTTGCGAGATCACTGGCGATGCGAGCCTTGCAGACATGATGGCGGGATCATTGAACGGTTGATTTGACATAGGCTTGTATGGAGGATCTGGGTATCATAATGATGTCGAGAGCCGTAGAGTACATTGGTCCGAGGGGTACATGTGATCGAGGTCAACATACGATTACACATCACACAAGCAAAAGCATCCTACCAGACTGTTCATGGCGGAACTGGAACGACTTCTCACGACTAGAGTTGATAAAGTCGCGCAATTGCGCCTCGCTGACACCTGGGTCAAAGGGCTGGAACCGACCAGGGTGCTGCTGTTGGGGCGGTGCGTATTGGGGATGAGCCTGGGCTTGCTGGGCCTGCTGGGCCAAGGGCGAGTTCATTGCAGAATGCGGTCCGTGGATGAACTCCTGGGCCTGGTGTCGGTTCGGGAGCCATTGCGGAGGTGTCCCACGACGAGCTGGCGAGACCAACTCCGAAGAGTTGTAGTACGGCGCATGCGCAAAGTTGTCGGCGTGATTGAGAGGTGATGACGCATGGAGGGAAGAAGACGTCGACCCTTGACGGCCACGAGCGAAGGTGAAGCGCGATACTTGTCGTTCCTCGTCCAACGGCGAATATCGCCTTGACGGCACATCATCATTGGCGTCTGACCCGAATGGGTTGAAGGACCCAGTGTATCCGGAGCCCCCGGAGGGCTGCCGGTCCAGTGCCGGCTGACGAAGAGTCACAGGCTCGTATGCAGGGCGAGCTGGGTGCGCCAGTCCAGGCGGCCCCATCAATGGACCCGAAGCCGCGTTCTGCCTGAGCCCCGGGAAAGCATCCAGGAACGTACCGGTGAATGGGGTGTTCGGTGTAACATCCAGCTCGGGTAATACCAAAGCCTCATCGGCTCCTTCGCCGGCCAGTGCAGGGTCCAGGTTGAAGCTGAAGCCACCGAAGCCACCATCATCCCCGCTGAGCGTTTGTAGCATCCGGTCAAAATCTGGGAACGGGCTCTTCTCCATGATGGCTGGCACGGGCATCTCGCGTCGGGCGCGGAGGTCCTCCATGAGCGCTTGCGCCTGTGTCGACATCTGGTACGAAGACTGCGAAGGCTGGACAGTGACAGAGAGCGGCGATGACATGGTAGACGCAGTACGAGATGGTGGCGGCAGACCAGGAGGGGCGGTTAGGCCGGGAGGGACAGCCGGAAGACCGGGAGGTGCAGCCGGTACCTCGGTAGATGGTGCTTGTACGGGCGACTCCACGGGCGGAACATCTTGGGCTGCTGACCCACTCTCTGATTCGAGAGTAGACGACGTGGGCGAGCGGGGTGGAAGGGGAGGTGCAGGTGCAGCTTCTTTCTGCTTCGCAGCTTTAGTAGTACTGGGTGTAACAGGCCGCGCAGGTTGACCAGTACTCGCAGGTGTCGCAGGACGTGAAGACGACGCCTGAGAGGACGCCTTAACCGCAGTGGCACCTTTCCGGTCTCTCCCTGTCGCACGCGTCTCCACAGCACTGGTAATCGCAGCACTCGAGCGCTGTTGTCTCGTACCTGTTCCACCACGCCTTGTCTGCCGGGTTGATGCTTGGGCGGTCGTGGCAGCATTGGTGTTGTTGTGCAGAGCGGTCGTAGTTGTCCCCTGCTTCCCCCAAGCGGCTGCACGAGGCAACCCTGTTGTAACGAAAGTCAGCATATGAACAAGGGAGTCCGTGCGAGCACTGACCGTCCGCCTCATCGCCTTTCCTCGTGACGATCGTAGTCCTTGGTCTGTTCTCCGTATCTTTCATGGTGTGTTTCCTATGAATAGTTAGTCGAAGTATTAGCTTGCATGGAAGACGTTACGGACAGAGTCGTGAGGTCTTCTTTGGTAAAGCAGTCCTTCTCGTCTCCCCACTCGTGCAGATTCATACACCCATGCTCCGTACACGAGACACCGCGCAAGAAGGCCATACAGTACTTGGTCGTACCATAGCTGGCTCTCATGATTTCGTTACCGCCTCCCGGCGAAGGTGCACCATCGACTGCAGCAATTGCACGAGCGGCGTCTTCGCGACGATGATAGGTGATGTACAATCCGACGACCGGAGCACGGCCTCCAGGGGAAGTACGTTTGACAATAACGATCTTGGAGATCTTACCGTATTGCCCAAAGTACTCGCTCGAGCGTAACGTAGGGATGAGCTGGCATCTGGGCTCAGCAAGGATCGCGTGGGCCGATAGAGTGATGCGCACCTCCTCTTTCGCGAATCGGGGGCCCATGCCAATCACATAGACCACGTTGCGCTGTACAACGCGCACATTGGCAAGGTGCCGCCTACCCAGGGCATCCAACTCCTTCCTCTCGCGTTCCCGCTGTTTCTTCTGTTGCGTCAAACGTTTATGACTACGTCGCAGAGGAGGGAAATGAGGGAGACTCGTGCATGCAGGAAACCAAGGTCACTCACTCCTCTTTGTTGATGGGTTTGAACTGGACAGCCTCGTCGGTATACTCTCTCCGACATGCAGGGCAGCGCCGGTTCAGATTCTCCTTAATGTGGTGCCAGCAGAAGCGACAGATCTAGTGATGACCATACCGGTTGCTTAGGAGTTGGGCTGAGAGAAAAGAGCATATAGTCACACCTGGTAGCCGCACGGACAAGGCTTGAAGTTAAGATCCGAAATGTCCATCTCCTCCAAGCAAAGTGGGCACTCGGCATCCTCCTGAAGTCAGCCACTTCATATGAGCCTCACGAGGTTGTCAGAATGCACGCAAGGCGCACCGCTTCATCATCGCTCCAGTACGCGTCTTGAACCCCGGCGAGTACGTGCGACTTGGACTGCGTGGATGGATTGCTGGCATGCAGCGCGGGGGCAGGCAGCGGCGAGTGTGGATGCATTCTTGCAGACATTCCGGATGTATGAAGTGCGCGTAGAGAAGGCGATTCGAGGACAATACAGAGGGCGACGAGAGGCTGAGTTGAGGAACGCGACATCGAGGCGCCCGCGTGCTTTTCATTGTGGCGTGAGGACAACAGCACCAAACAGCGGACACTCAAGCGCTGGACAGTGGATCAGCAAGGCTTCCTGAGGAGACGAAGCAGAATGAGACTCCGTTCTAGATTGACGTCCACTGACTACGTGAGGCGATGGTAAATGCGAATATGTCTACTGGATCACCATGTCGTCCACAAATATGATGTACGTCGAATGGGGACAAATAATGTCGTCCTGAAGGCTAATCGCGGTGACACCCATTGGACCGGAACTCCAGCCATAGCCCGGACTACTTATATGCGAACTTGAGGCAAGACGGCCTCTGGATCTCCCACACTAACGCACGAGATGTATGTTAGCCTCGTCGCTCGCCGGCAACGGCATTGAGACTCCGCGTGATACCAACGACGGACACGGTCAGGCCTTATGTCGGCAGCGTCACCTATCATGCTCATAGCATGCTCGTCAAATGATAAACTTACATGCCGTGTCGCTGTCAGTAATTCAGTCAGCTGGCAGCTAAGTAAATAAGTAGACCGACCGTATGTCCGTTTGTAGAAAGCATACATAGCAAGTCGATAGTGGTGAGAACATGGTGCAAGAAACTCGTGGTACATGTCACAGGTCGAAGTCATCGTCGTCGAATCCTCCTTTTCTGCGCTGAAACTGGTCAACGGCACGTCAGGAGACTCCACGAGGTAATTAGTAGAAATATCGCCAAACGCACCACTATAGTGGTCTTCTTCGCCGCTGTCTTTGATTGTGCTTCTTCTGCCTGTTGAAGACGTGTTCAGTATACTGTGGCCCCTCACACAGTCAGACCTTAGAGCTAACCTGCTCCAGTAGATCTATGAGTTGATCTTCTGTCACTCTTCCTCGCAGTTGCCCCGTCTGCGCCATACGCAAGAGGATTGCCTCGATCTGTTGTGATCGTTGTGGACTGACAAGGGCAATGCGGGCCACTGCCATGCGGAGCGCGGTGTGATCAGGATATGGTACACGGGAGACAGGCTCCAATACATACGTCTTTCCCTCGCAGCGTTGTCTAGCACTGTCGCTAACAGATCTCTGCGCATCTGTTCCTCTGCCACTCGTTTTGCCTCCTCTTCGCCGCCTTCGCCGCCTGCCCCAGCATTCTGCTGGAGTTGGTTCATCCTAGCCGCACGGATTGCAGCAAGTTCGGGATCTGCCATGATCGCGTCGTTCCCTGATTAGTGGGTCAGAGTACCAAGCCTTCGTAAGTACCGATGAGAGGTGTATAGCAGCACAGCGTAGGCGCAGAAGTCTGAGAAGACTTCGCGTGTGGCGTCGAGCGATGCACATGCACGTGATGAAGACACCATACTTAGCTTGGCTGAGACGCCCATACTACAGCATCTTCAAACCGAGGAATGTATAGATGCGACGGCCATTTAAGATGCCGACAGTATGCTGATATCATGCTGTATCTCACCAACCGATGATCATACGCTTTGAGCGCAAGGAATGCGACTCGGTCCTGCCAGTGGCTATATCCATTGGAATCCTGCCAAGGCGAGATCCTTCGCTTTGTTTCTCCATGAACGCGTACTCGGCCGGTGCATTTGAGTATAAAACAGTTCTTCGACATATTCGAGCTTTGCCTCACTCTCGCTACTCATCCATCCGGTCGTGAGTAACTGTATTTCGAGAAAACTTAGAGCACGACGCGTCGCGTCGCGTCTCACGTGATGGTGACGGTCGGGATGTCGCGTGGGATGCGCGCCTGTGAGTCTTCCGTCTGTCTCCTCCTTCGACGCGTTTGACTCGACATTGTCTCTACAGCTCTATCTCCGATCACTCGTGTACTCCGCGCTGTGTCGGTTTCCCAGTCATACTGCTCTCATCAGGCAGCGCGGGTCCCGTACTGGAGGCGAGCAGTGGCAGTGAGGCGCTGCGAGGCGCGTGGACTGCCACGCCCGGCGGCTACTCGTCTCAATACGGACTACAAAGGGCATCGCTCGCATGTCTCCTTCGCGACAAAGGAGCCCCCTCGCCACCCACTACTTCAAGAGCGAGGTTTTCAGCAACCAGGGATGCCTTCTCTGCTCACACTCCTCCACATGCGACGCAAGTCCGATGCCCCGCCGCCTAGTACGCGAACCACCACGGAGAGTCCAGAGGAAGTCGCTGATAGGCTTGCCTATCTGAACCTCAGGCAGCAACAACAGCCGCCAGTAGCTCACAATGATGCCTTCGTTGGTGGCTTTCACCCTGCGGCCGTTGGTGGGAATGGGCCGTACGGTGGTCCCCGACGACCGACGGTCGCTCCTTCGTTTCCCGTCGCTCAGGCTCCGCCGCACCATGGTCCGCCTCCAGTGCCTTACAAGGTGCCAGACATAGCGATCCATTCTCCGGACAGCGGGCGGGGTATGTCTAGGACCATGGGTTTTGCATTAGCTGTGTCTGCGGTCCCCGGTGTATTTGGACCCCCGCGGCCTTCCGCGAACAATTTGCAGCGGCCCCAGCTGGACGTAGCGTCTCGACCGCACTCCGACCCTATGCCATACACAACCGTTCAAGCTGAGAAAGCACGCTCGGGAGCCACTCTCCCGCTTTTCAGCGACTCCGATGACCAGTTGCCGCTCTCCGTCCCTCCAAAGCCTTCTGCGCGAAGCACTTCCACAAATCTACAAGTTTCCATCTCCCATCCCCCAGGGCGCTCAGTGTCCTCACCTGCAGTGGCAACCTCATCTCCGTCCGACCTACCGGATAAAGTTACGTGCAGTGGCTTCACCAAGACCAAGAAGCCGCGGCAGTGCAGACGTCAAACAGATAGATCTGTACTCTCCCTTCCTGAATCGAATATTTGGTACTGTCACCAGCATCGCGCCGAAATGCTCGGACCTGCTACCTTTCGACTGGCCACCGGCCATTTCGATTACTACGCCTGTACTGTCTTTTCCATCCATGAAATATACTCCTCAGTTGACTAGCCCCTCAGTGTTTATTCCAGAGTATTTGAGCCCTGATGCTCGGGCGGCTCTGCGGCGAGAGATGACTAGGCCAATTTCTGAGAAGGACGGTGAGGGATATATCTACGTTTTTCAGTACCGAGGTATGTTTTTCTCTAGCAAACGTCTCGGTCGCGCGCCTTCTAAACCAAACTAAAGACAAGAACAATGCAAATCAAGATGATTTGCTCTTTAAAGCTGGTCGCACGAACAACCCAAAGTCACGCAACGGCCAATGGTCGAAGCAATGTCCTTCCATGGAACATCACATCGCACACGTGCACCCTCCTTCAGAAGATGGGAACGCGGCCAGCTTGATGGTCGCCGATCTCAATCCGGGACCTCCGGGCATCTGTTGTCATCGCCTCGAAACCCTGGTCCTCACCGAACTCGCGGACCTTGCACGTTATCAGCAGTACTTGCATCCAGAGTACCAGGTTGAGCTTCCCAAGCTCAAGCTCAGGTGGGAACACCTTGAACAAACAGTACGCGATAGGCAGTCGCCAACGAGGGCTCCGTGCAAAGATTGTGAGTTGAATTACTCCACTCACTGGCCGCATCGCACTGACTGTCGGATAAGGCGGTCGAAGTCACAGGGAGTTATTCACCTTCCCTCGTATCAAGTCGGGGCCTTACGTAGGCCAGGAACTCGAACGAGTGATCATTCCTGTCATCAATCGATGGGCGGACTTCTTATGCCTTCTCGCTATGAGGGACGAGTGAAAATGGACGACATCTATACCGACATTCACACTGTGGAGGTACTATTCCGGTGGACTTGTTGCATTTATTGTGTAATTCTAGGGGACATCCAACGTTCTGCTGTACGGATCACTAGTACCGAATCTATTCTGGCATCTGTCTGATATCGACTGGATATCTGTACTTATGTATGTATATTGCGCACATACTGGGAGGGAGCCCGCAGTAACCCCTGCGCCACAGAACTTTACACGGGAGCAACGCACTGTGTCCGCACCCTGCGTATTGCGACGAATAGCCATCCCTGCGGAGAATCTGGCTTCGAGAACCCTACGGAAAGGCTTTGGAGCGATTGCCGTACATGCTGCGAACAGGCTTTTCATACGGACATGCTCGCAGCATGTTCTATGGACTTTTGGAGACCAGTAGGGTCTTCGGAGTTCACGGAAGTTGATTTGCCCTCGGTGTGAGCTGCCATCCACCGCACTGGCCATTGTTCTTCAACACCTGCCTAAAGAGGGCGCAAAGCGCTTGCGCGCGAACGCATCTTGGGCGCCTATGAACAAAGAGGCCCTTCCGAAGCGTCCATGTCTATTGTTCGGGCACGTCCTCATTCAATCTGAGACGCGCTCAAAGTCGTATATAAAGGATATTCCGAGGATCCAGATGAACCACCCTGTTCTCCTTCCGCGCACCCTGTCTCTGAAGTCTATACCCGCCGTTGACCGGCTCTTCTAATCTCGTTCTGCTCTATTGAAGCTTGGGTTGCTCATCAAGTCACGACTAGTCTAGCACTCGCATCCTTCAATCTGCATTTCCGCTACATTACCACTCGTGCAGGAAAACATGATGCGCACTACGACTTTTTTCTTTATTCTCGCCTCCATGCTATGGACCGTGGCTCGTGCGACTGAGTTCCAGGTTACCGTCGGTGGACCAGGGGTATTGCGATACAACCCGGAGTATGTGGTGAGTAGAATTAGTTATATCCTTTGAGGAAAGCGCTGAATGTTCACACTGTATTAGAACGCCACCACTGGGGATACCATCGTATTCTCGTTTAGACAGGAGAACCACACGGTCACGCAGTCCTCCCTTGACAACCCGTGCCAACTTGTTGATGGCGGCTTTGATTCTGGCTTGTGAGCATTGTCGTACAAGCAGTTCACCTTGCGATTACTGACACATCCAGCAGTATACCCGTCGCTGCCAACAACAGTAATGGTCCTTTCCCGGCTGCTCAGTATACGGTCACAGACGACAGCCCAGTCTGGATATTCTGTCGTCAGGCGAACCATTGCCAGCAAGGGATGGTATTTGCCATCAATCCCGGCGATAAATTTGCCAGCTTCAAAGCGAATGCTTTCGGGAATAACACTGCTAACGCGACGACATCTGCCACTGCTTCGTCCGCGGGTGCAACTTCTGGCACCACAACCGATTCTGCGACTTCGGGTGCAGTGTCGTCGTCAGTCGTCGCCTCGACTTCAGCGTCGATTTCTGCCACTGCAACAGACGCAGCCATCGTCAACGTCACGACGACTGTTACAGTCTCGCAGACGGCACAGCCCTCATCCTCTGCGTCTTCGACGAGCTCCGCTGCAGGATCGACGAGCACATACGCGGAGCATATTGTCATCGTGGGCGCTGACGGAAAGCTGGCGTACGAACCTTCGAACATCACTGCGGCTGTTGGAGACATCATTACATTCCTGTTTATGCACGCGAATCATACGGCCACGCAGAGCAGCTTCTCGGATCCTTGCACGAGCTTGACGGAGACGAGTACGTCAGGACAGATTGGATTCGACTCCGGTTTGTGAGTGGACATGTACCATTAATGGCATACTTCTGTCGCTCACACATGTTATGCCAGTATGCCGGTTGCCAACGGTACCTCCGATTACCCTACGTACACTGTGGAGGTGAACAACGTACGTGTATTTCCTACGTCACCCCCACTGATTCATTCAAACTCACCTCCACCTCCAGACGGACCCAATGTGGGTATACTGTAAGCAGACGAACCCGCAAGACCACTGCGCGGCGGGTATGGTCTTCTCCCTGAACGCCGTCGCATCCGGCCTGGAGGACTACTCAGCTTTCGTCGATGCTGCGAAGCAGAGCAATGCCACGTCGGCGACGTCGCATTCCGGCAGCAGCCGCTCTATCACGTCCGCTCGCAATGCTGGCGTTGCGCTCACGCTCCTTGCTGTCATGATGGGCCTCGCCTTGTAGACGACCTCAAGGACTCGACTTACGGACTAACGACACTGAAGAACACTGATGCAATGGACTGCATGTAGCGATAGTCTGTACTTGGGATGTCTCGTAATTGGACATGTAGGCTTTATGGACCGATCCATTATTATTATTATCGCACGTTCCAGGGTGTGACGATCGAACACTTGGCAGCCGACTCGGCGGAAGGGTGAGTATGTACACAGATCGATCGTTGATCGAATCGCTCACAACGGTTGTCGCTGTCACGGTCCTTGTACGTACCGTCATGATGCTTCGAGAGTGGCACTGGTAAGCGTAGCACCCCGTAATGCGATTTGGAATGTGCTCACACTTGTTGTGCGACAGGGGATGTCAAATCGTTGATTCTGACACTCGCGTGACGACTCTCAGAGTGCTACGGCAATTTCGCCTCAGCTCCGATCGCGCTCTTCATGTGAAGATTATGCATCTCGATGTAAGCTCGTAAGCTGTCTGGTTGGAGTGTTCACTAACTTCTGGATATCGCAGCCCCCATTGCGACGCTCCGCACAGTACATTGTATGTCAAATGCATCCAGTCGATTGCGACGCCGAAGCGAGCTCGGGCCCCCTCACTGCACGCAACCGGCCGAGTAGTTGAACTTATCCCCCAACCTGGTCTGTGCGTTGTGCACGATGTCCGCCTCTGAAGAGACTCCAACTTCCAGCAGTGTCCCCTATGAAGTGTCCACAGAAACTCATCACGCACTCTCCGCATGGTTTTTGGGTCCCAAGGCGGAGAACAGCGATTTCATGAAGAACATGATGAGCGAGATCGTGGACCGCATTACTCGTGCCCGCTTGGAACACTTCCCTAATGATCCGGTATGCGTTGCCCTTGCCAGACGTCTTCAGAAATGACCCTAATCACGTACATCCGCCGTAGGCATTCATCACCGCGCCGACGCGGAACACTGCGCCCTACAAGCGCGAAGTGGACGACATGCAGCGCTATGTCACTTTCTTGACCGACCTCATGTCGAAGTATTCCCTTCCCTATTTCTCCCCGCGCTACATGGGCCATATGTGTTTCGATAATTCCCTTCCCGCTACGCTGGGCTACCTCGCCGCTATGATACACAATCCGAACAACGTTGCGATAGAGGCGAGTCCTCTGACGAGCTATGTCGAGCACTGCGTCGGGCAGCAGCTGTGCAAGATGCTCGGATATCGCACGACCGAGGATATAGCTGCGGAGGAAACGAAGTCCACATACAAAGGGTGGGGCCACCTCACTTGCGACGGGTCGGTGGCGAACCTGGAGTCACTGTGGTGAGTCATAATTGCGTGCGAAATACCTGTGAAATCCCCGCTTACGATTTGTACGGTAGGGTCGGTATGTGTAGCATACCATTCTAGTACCGGCCATCGAACTCATGGGCATTTTAGCGCGCAACCTCAAGTTCTATCCACTCTCCTTGAAATGGGCTATCGAGGAGGGCAACTTAAGTTTTGTCGCATCATCCTTCACGATACCCCTCACACGCAGGAGCGCTGGTTCCATCCTCTTCATGAAGGCCTTCACGCGAGATCTGCTCAACCTCAGGCCCGAGGTCATCCTGGACATCCCGTCTCGTCTGTCGAAGGAGTACGGTATATCACAAAAGTTCATTGACGAAGAGGTTGGAAAGTACCTCGTACAGACGATCGGGCGAGAGCCGCTAGAGAGGAGGTACTGCATCACACGGACGCCGAAGGTGGTGGTGAGCAAGATGAGCCATTATTCATGGCCGAAAGGAGCAGGTGAGACACACGTACACTTCGTATAGATGGACGAGCCTCATACTTCACTCAAGCCGTGCTGGGTATCGGAAAAGACAACGTCCACCAAGTCGATGTCGACATACACGCCCGTATGGATGTCGCCGAGCTGAACCAGGAACTGATGTCCCTCGTGCAAGCGGGACATTCCATATATGCCGTGGTTGCAATCATGGGGACGACGGAGCATGGTGCGGTGGACCCCCTGAGCGACATCCTCCTGCTTCGCCGTCTATTCCAGGATGAGTACGGCATCTCGTTCCTCGTCCACTGCGACGCCGCGTGGGGCGGGTACTTCGCCTCCCTCCTCCACCCTGCGCCCCCAGAGTACAAGGGTGGGAGGAAACTAGACGACGATGGCGTATACGTACCTCACCAGGCACTCTCGCCCTACACGGAGAGTCAACTACGGTCCATGCGCTACGCCGACTCTATCACCGTGGATCCTCATAAGAGTGGGTACGTCCCGTATCCTGCCGGGGGGCTCTGCTACAAGGACGAGCGGTCGAAGTACCTCATCACCTGGACCGGGCCATACATCGACGGAGGAGCGAGCGATGTCGAGTCCATGGGCGTATACGGCCTCGAGGGCAGCAAGCCAGGCGCCGCACCCGTAGCTGCGTACATCTCCAACGAGGTCATCGGGTTGCACCGCGGTGGGTACGGCGGGCTGCTTGGCGAGGCGATGTTCACGTCCGTGAAGATGTACGCGCACTGGGTCACGATGACGCTCGAGTCGGATACGCTCATCGTGATTCCGATGAACGTGCTGCCCGCAGAGCGCGACGGCAAGTTGGACGAAGAAGTCGGCGCACAGCTTGCGTTCATCAAGCGGAACATCGTCGACCGCCCCAACCGCGAGCTGGTGAGGGACCCGGAGGCGATGTACCTAATCAGGATGATGGGCTCGGACTTGTCCATCAACGCGTTTGCGTGCAACTTCCGGCTGTCGAGGGGTGGTCCGTCGAACAAGGACGTCGCGGAGGCAAGCTACCTCAATGCGCGCATCATAGAGCGCCTAGCGGTTAATCGCGTCGATGACGATGCGCGCAAGAAGCCTATTTTGCTCATGGGCACTGAGCTTGATCACGAACGGTATGGATCGTGCTTGCAGACGTTCAAGGACCGGCTTGGGCTCAATGCAGAGGACCCGCGACCGCTGTCGGGTCTGTGCAACGTGTCGATGTCAGCGTTTCCGACCACTGGGAACTTCGTACGGGAGTTAGCCGATGCATTTCGCAAGATCGCGGAAGAGGAGGTACAGGTATTACTAACCTCCATTGATCACCTCGGTGTTCCTGCGGCTGATAAGTATTATAGAACTGCTGGAAGCGAGTGCACGTTGCTCCGGCGATCCACAGCTTCGTTATGCAAGGAACAGAACAGCTGTTCCTTATCTATCTGCCGATGTTCAACTGGGGAAGTTATCGCCAGCAGCTCATCTTGTCCGCGAAATTGCCGCAAGAGGTCATGGATGCATATGCTCGGGCGCAAAGGGAGAATCCGGCTGCTGTCTTCAGCCTGCATACATCTTCGGAAGAATTGCTGTCGTCAATCTTGCAACGGCGAGATTGCGAGGTAGATATACACCAAGGCTTTCCCATGCTGCACGGGTACGTGTCTTCGTTTAGCAATTACGAGCATGACTGTTGACCGTCTGGAACCTCCAGGGTCGCTGGTGATCTGAACTCGTTGTCAAAAACCCGAGTCGGATTGACGGACATCACCGTTGTCAAGCACATCAAGCTCTCGCCGAGTGCGCTCGCAGATGATTACCCCCCTCTCATGCCATTCTTCCTGTACGGGTCGCCGAAGGAACAGCACATCGACCATGTGCTGCTGAAGAACGACAACGTTCAGCTCAGCTCTAGTCGCGTAGAGCTTGACTTCGGGCCTAGCGCCGAGCGCATCCGCAAAGAGATCGGCTCAGGCACCGGTTTCATCCTTACCTTCGACGACCTGCGCGAGCATGCGATGCAGCCATTCGGACGACGTCACAAACCAGATTTTTTCGCTCCCAATCGGACGTTCCGTGTATCCCTCCATATGGATCCGTTCACCAGTCATGGGTTAGAAGCTGTCGACATGCATCAGCTCTTCGATCATCTTCAGCTGGAGAAGCCAACGGCACAGGGCACTATCACCTTGGGAGAAAGCGTGTATCTGGACTATGCCCATCTCAACCGCGACACGGTCCCGCGACTCTGTATCACGCCTACGGAGCAATTGACTAGGGATCAACTGCTATTATCGGTGACCAAGGACTACCAGAAGATTGTCGACGATATCGTACGCATAGTATCGCACGAAAGCGCCGCAGCCGCACCAGACATTGACGAACACATCCTGGCTCGAGCTGCACTGCCGACAAAATACGCCCTGGGGAAATCGGGAGAAGGGCCCGGACACGCAGGTCCCTCCGCCGCAGGCAAGGTGCATCTCAGTCGGTTCACTGTATCTCACCTCAGCGACGTACATAGTCGGCAGCTGATGGTACGTACTGGTTGGAAAGACATGTTTGATGAAACGGTTGCGAATTGTAGGAGTGAGTGTGCCACGAGATAGTAGGCATGAGAGCATCCCTGTCACGTCGTGTAGTAGCAGCATGGTGTAGACCCACGGTAAACCAGCGACCGTAGGAAGCCTGAGTGGACAAGCCGTTCGTGCACTATGTGTTTGATGACCTGGAGCCACTGGGTAATTTATGAACAAGTTTCCGCAATTAGGTTGCTGATAGTATGCCAGTGCGAGGTGCGGCAGAACGGCTCTCTCGACACATTCCTTTCAATTTGCGTATCCCTATGTAGCGATGAAAATGAATGCAAGAGCCTGAAACTTGTCAATCATGTGTGTGCAGTGCAAACCTTTGAAGCTTTGAAGACTAGCCCAGACGTGACAGGAACGGCGAACGCGAAACGACAGACTCAGCTGAGAGCATGGGTACGTCAGGTGACGTGTTATGGAGCGCGACATGTAACGCGTTACGTCGCGTTTGAATCGCCGAACGACGGTGATCTGTCCCAGTCCGCCATCCATGTCGACGTGGTCGGTCACAGTACTAGTCTTGGGCTGAGCCACGACACCTTTGGCACACCCGCTCCCTCTCGATGCTTGCGCTTTTCCGGCTGGCTGAATTTTGGCTTCGTCACGGACGTAACGCTGTAGCATCGAACATTCCCTCAGTATGAGTCGCGGCAGATGTGCAGAGTGTAATGGACCGACCGAGTGGGACGAAAATGTCGGCTCTGCTATCTGCGTTGAATGCGGGACGCTCGCAGATCCAACGCAGAGCGTTCTGACCACTCACCACGACTTCTTGCCGGATACCGCCCATGGGCCGTGGACGACTTTCACGACCTCGCTGAAGAACCGGAAAGGTTGGACTCTTCCTGGTCAGAGCCAAGATGCTTCACACACGAGGAACACGGTGAGCATCTCTGATATAACTGCTCATACGTTTCCTGATGGCATGGGGCGGTGCGTGCAGTTGGCTATATATGAATTCATACAGACCTTGGCTATGAGGCTCTCAGCTCGGGGTGCCACTGAGCGTGCACAGATATTGTTCGACCAAGCGATGGCACGAGAACGGTTTCGCTGGGGACGCCAATCCAAGCGAATGGCTGGCGCGGCGCTTGCAGTAGCTCTACGTGAATCCAAGAGAAACGATGCTCTGCGAGACATAGCTGTAAGTAGACTTGTCATTACATGCCTTGCCATTTTCGGGCGTATGCTGATCAAACAGAGAACTGATTTGTTCCTTCTGTGATAGTATTTATTGGAAGAATCTCCGGCGGCTCTGGGCCGTGCCTTCATTTCGCTGGCCAGAATACTGTCGCTGAATGTATCTCCCGCCGACCCGACGGTACACCTGTCAACACTACACAATCACCTCGTCTCGCTAACGCAAGGGCCCTCTTCGAATCTCCCTGACAAGTTGCGGACGACTCTAGAAGATCTCCGCCCTCGAATGTTGACCATCATGCAGACTGCAGATTCACTCTGTGCACTCCTCTCTCGCACAGATGTACTGGTCAAGATGCCGCCTCCGCCCACTGCCTGTGCTGTGATGATGCTTGCAATCGAGGCCGAACTCAAGTCCTCGCTGCCACATACAGGCCTACTGGCCCAACTTCTCGGTTCCCGCTTCGACACAGCTAAAGTGACCGTGATGCAGCGGTACAAGATCATATACGATCTCGTTGAAGAGTGGATCCGCGAGGTACCATGGCTAGACGCCCACGAGCGCAAGAACGGCGGAACGGGCCGTTCGAAGGTCGCGAAGCGGGTCGTTGTTGCTCGGGGTCTCAAGGACGTGCTGCAGTTTCAGGATGAGATTTCCGCCAAGAAGATGGAGGCTCAAGCAATGCCGCGGCTCGATCTGGAAATGGAGAATCCAAGCACGGACGACAAGGAGGAACTAGAGGATGACCCGGACACAGACGGGCGCTGGCGCTTCTGCCAGGACAACCGGAGGAGAGGTGATGCAGTGGGTACGTCATCCGCATCTACTCACGTTGTCCGAAAAGACGTCGTCAACTCCCGTCCTCCCCTAAAGAAGTGGAAGACCTCGCACGAGCGCTCCGTCGCGCGGGCGTCGGAGTTTCTGCTCGACCCGCTGCGCTCTCAAGGCTCAGGGGGCTCAGGAGCGCAGAGTGCGCCGCCGCGAGCGCGACGGCCCAGCGGCCGCGCGGACCTGGACCTGCTCTCCCATATCCTCACTGCGGACGCCTCGAGCCTTCCGCACGTGTTCGCCAATGCGCCCAGTCGGCTGCAGCTCCTCGCCGCTTCCCGCGCATGCGAATCCGACATCCCCGACGAGGAGCTTTTTGCCGACGGCGAACTGGACGGTCTGTTGAGGAGCGCAGAGGAGGCTGGACAGCTGCGTACTGCGCTGGGATGGGATGAAGAAGAAGAAGACGCTTCAGGCCCTCCACTGCCGCAAAAGCAACGGAAGAAGAGGAAGCGTGGTGCGGACGAGGAAGACGGCGGTGGCGTCGGGGGCTCGAAGAGGATTAACATGGATGCGCTCGCAAAGCTCCTCGACCCATCCTTGGATCTGGCCGCCGAGTATGTCTTTGGCGACAAGAACGACTACCTCGCAGACGATGACGAAGAAGACGCCGACGACGAGAACGCCGAACACGCGCCCCGGTCGTTTTTCGACGGTGTTGAGGATCCCGACATGCCTCCGAGTGCGCAGCTCGAGGGCGGCGCAGACGAGGGCGAGATCGTCGAGGAGTGGCGGCCGATGTCTCCAGGAGGCGGTGGGTATGATGCAGACCGATACGTGTAAAGCGTTCTCTCTGTCAGTCCCCGATATCGCCTCCACAACCGGAGTTCATGAATCTATGAATCTAATATCGGTCAGTACACGTACGTTTGTTCCGGGTGCCATTCGCTGACGTACGTGGTTCACAGCATCCAGTTGGTGTATTGCAAGACTGGTGGAATCGGTTCCGGGGCTATATCGCCTCATCTCGCATCGCCAGCGATTCGATTTGTCGTTGGTCGTTTAGTAATTGTCTTCCCACCAAGACCCAGTTCCCATGTCTCCGGATCCCCTAGGATAGCATCCAATTCGCCTGCATGTAACATAGCCCTACATGGACTGAATCTCGCATACCCCGTACAGTACTGTATCATACCTCGTTACCCAGAGCGGGTCACGCTAGACATCGTAATTCATGTTGATATCGGATGATTCACCGCACTCTTCAAGTCCCCGCTGGTGTTCTTCAAACTACTTGCCACCGAACGCAAGACTGTAAGCAGCTCCAAGCACTCAACGTTGCAACATGGCGACAAATTCTGACGATTCCGACTCCGATCCATAATTTACAACACGATACAAACATACGTAGCTATAAGATGAGGTCATCCTCGACTGTCTAGGGATTGTGGTTCAGAGGCCTCTTCGACTACACCAGTCTCGACAGGCCGTATACCACTAGGACAAAACGGGAGCGCGTATGTGTACATCATACATCTTACGGTACTATATGGGAGAGGTACGAATGAAGAATAAACAAACGGACGGGGCGTACAAGATATAAGAGATGTATGTCACAGATGCGACTCGAGGATAGGAATAGGGGACAGTGGCAAGACAGCTCATGCCCTCTTCGCAGCCTATAGAGGTACGATGTCAATTGAGACGCACGTCACGAGGCAAACACTACTTACTCGTGCGCTCCGCGAGCTTGTGGTAGTGCCCCTAGCAGTAGGGGGCTTCCTAGCAGGCTTCGCAGCCGGCTTAGCCTTAGACGCAGGCGCGCGACCAGTAACAGCCTGTAACCCAAAAGTCAACATGTGGGTTGTAACAAGAGACCACATCTTGACCGAACCTTCTTAGCACTATCCCGCTTGCTGGGAGCAACAGTCTTCTTAGCCGGTGCGGCTTTCTTAGCAGGGGCCTTCTTGACCTCAGCTTTCTTGGCAGCAGGAGCAGCCTTTGCCTTGGTGGCGGTTGCCTTCTTCGTGTCTGCAGACTTCGAAGTAGCGACAGGCCTGGACTTCGCCGGGGCTGCTCTCTTGGTAGCGGGAGCAGCTTTGGCGGCCGGCTTCTTCGCGATGACAGGCTTCTTCGCAGTCTTTGCGACCTTCGTGCTCTTCGCGGGAGCAGCCTTCTCTTTGGTCGTAGAGGCCTTCGCCTTAGCGGGAGCCTTGGGCGCCTTCGCAGCAACCGGCTTGTTCTACTCCCCTATTTAGTATGCTTTTGACCACCACACGCATCATACTGACCTCCTTAGCAGCCGTCTCAGGAGGACGTTGAACCTTGGGAGCGAGCTTAACACGTCCGGAGGGGCCTATAATAGTAACATTGAGATTCAGAGACAACACAGCCCAGGTAGCCAAAGTTCTCACCCTTGGGCAGCGAGAAGATATCCTTCTCAGCACCCGATGTAATGGCCTTGCTAAGCTGGGTGACCTGGGCATTGCCTATCTCGATGTCGTACTTATCCTCAACAAATCTGACGGTCGTAGTCAGTCACAAAGCGAGGCTAACACGTATCATTCACCCACTTCTTGATCTGGTGACGGGACACGCCGGTGCGCGCATCTTCCTTGTGTGTGATGATGCATTCCTGAAAGAGACGACATGTGCGTTAGAAACGGATCTTACACATGCATGAAGTATGCTATGATGTCTAGGAAAGTGAGAAATGCATGACGAGAGGGGGAGGGGGATGACGAGAAATAGTGGCGCGCGGGCCACACCACGCCCTGCGCCCTACCCGTTTTGGCCACCGTCGCACACGAGCTTGCTCAGGTCGCGCAGCACGTTTCCAAGCACAGAAAGTAGGTGGCATAGTATCTACGGGGGTAGGATTGTGTTCACCTTGATCATGTCGATCCACGGAGGGTGCGTGGGGGGCGCACGAGGCGCACCCTTCTTGGTAGCAGCCGACTTGGCGGTCCTCGAGGATTTGGCGGCGGACATCTTGGAATATGAATGCTAACAGGGGTGTAATAGGCTTGCAAATGCTTTGGACAGGAAGGATCTGTCGATATGAAGGTCCTCCGAGGGTAGATGCGGAGGGGGCGGGGATGGTGGTGGTACGGGTTGAAGAGATGATGTTCAGACTCCGAGGCGCGTCCGGTGCATTCAACAAACTGTAATCGCGTGTCACGTGAGGCGTAAACTCAGGAACTCGCCCTCCGCGCTCTTTGCAGACATAGTCCAGGGTGTATAGCAGCCTATTTTGGGGATATGGGCGTGGGGGGACGCGTCCATGCTTCCTGGAGTGGAGAGCGAGCGAACAGGTCTCCAAGACGGCGTACACGCCTACCGCCCCGTTCGGGACGGTGTTTTGCGCTCATTTCGAGCCACTTCGGCACCGGATAAGAAGCAGCATGCTCCGTATGGCTTTCTCAACACGATCCGTATTTTTTGAGCTTAATACGGTGGGTGGCGGCGGCATGGCAGGCGTTCGAATGCGACGCCCCGCCCGGGCGATGTTCGACAGCAGGTGCCAAATTTGGAACGCGTTCCGCGTTCGATCTCGCGGTGATCTCAAGAAGGCAATCACGTGGGACGCGATCCCACTTGGCACTGATCCGTCTGCCACCACTCCGCCACGCTGCTCCGGGCCGCCAGCAGCTCCTCCCTACCAGCCAACACCCAGCCATGGCCTCTGCCGCGCCGCTTCCTCCTTCCCTCCTCGCTTCAGCACGCTCGGCCTACCGCGCACTGCTCAGAGCGTCTGCAACAACCTTCAAGGGCGATGTAGATACTAGAAATGGTACGCAACCGCAATGCGTGATCAGAGAGACTCATATGAACACCCGAATCAGCTTTCCGTCTGAAAATGCGACATGAAACCCTTGCGTGCCCACCAGCAGTCAGCGCACGACAGGTAGAGGAGAAGATTGGCCTCGCGCAGGAGATTTCAGACATTCTGCTCAGGAATGTTGTGCAAGCAGTCAAGCTGGAGGAAGCTAGAAGTCCGCAAGACCACGAGCGGTTCAGTGAGTCCTAGGCATCGGAGAATGTATGACGACGATATCAAGACTTACATGCGTCAACGCAGAGCTTCGTATAACGGAGCACACAGAAATGGGCACCAACGACACCATCAGGGATCCACCACAGCTGGAATCTAGCCGAAGCGCACGGAAACGCGTCAGGTAAGCACCACTCCGTCTGCTCGAATGTGTGTCGGAGCGATATAATCCTCACTAGCTCTTCAGATGCTGCCAAGACCAATGAGGTTGCACCTCAAATTCCGCGTTACTACTCTCAGCTGAAGAAGGCAGCCAAGAAACGGGTGGTGCCGGAGCTGAAGGAGGAGGACCTAGAGGAATCGTTCGTTCGAGGTATGGACTGTATGTATGAGTGCCTGCGCTGCATGTATCCACAGCTTGCATGTGTAGGCAGTGGTCCCGGTGGGCAATCCATCAATAAAACTGAGAACAACGTCCAACTGCTGCACAAGCCGACCGGCCTGCGCGTGTCATGTCAAGACACCCGCTCATTGTCGCAGAACAGGAAGTTGGCGAGACGTCGCCTGCTTGAAAAGGTGCGCTACGCTTCCCAAGACGTCTAGGAACTGTGAGATCTCTGACATGTCTATCAGCTGGACGCCTTGTATAATCCGGGCCTTTCGAAAGAAGGGATGAAGAGCGCCCTGCAGCGAGAAAGGGAGCGTCGAAGAAAGAAGAAGAGTAAGAAGAGATCCCAGAAAAGCAAGAACGCCACGGAGGGCGATGAGGACGAAGATGAATAGCGATTTGAGCACCCCGATCTTTGTTCATCTTGTTTTTTTTCTACTACGGGCTCACGAACGATGACACTGAGACCTTCAGCTGGTTTGTGGAACAGCTGGAAACGTCCTATCAAAACGCAGTCCGTTTGCTGCACTAATATACTACGCGGATGGGCCATCTTACAGCACGACATCCATGGAAACAGTCTGCTTTAGTCTAGGTCGCCTGATTTCGCAGTTGCAACTGAGTGGGCACCACTAAAAATCAGCAAGATCACCTCATAGCTCCGGATGTGTCAACATTTGTGGGCACGAGTGTTTGTACTTGCACGGCGTGTCATCTGGGCTGCGCTGGATGTTGGCAGTACAACGGTAACGTTTCGTCTTGGTATAGTGGCCTAGGTCATGTTCAGGTTATCGTACTAGTAGTGTGCATAGTTGCTACGGAGCACAAACAAAGTAAGAATGAGTCTGCGCCATGATACATCCGCCGTCGAACTGCAACGTAGCATTCTTCGTTCTTAGATGAAGCATACAGTCCAACGAGTAACATCAAGAATCTTCAACACCGCGACCCTCTACGGGTTGAGCGGTGGCATGGTACCCTTCCGACCCGCAACCGGCCAGAGCTCCACCATGGTCTCCGCATCCCAAATCCTTCCACCTCTTGCGACCCAACGAATCTCCCGAGTACCACTGATGTCACCCTCCAACAGGTCGACGCCAGGTTTGTATACGACGAAGTCTGCCAGCTTCCCTGGTGTGAGCGAGCCGAGCGACGAGTAGATGCCAAGCGTGGTCGCTGCGTCTGATGTCGCCGCACGGATGACCTAGTACATCTGGTTGAGAGCGTCTGACGGTGCAGGGGGCAATGATATTGCGTACCTCGTAGTTGGTCAACCCGCCTTGCTGGGTGAAGAACATCTCGGCGTGATAGTTGAGACCAAGCGGGGGCTCTCCGTGTGCACCGATGTGCGCACGAAGGCCCTTGTGGACCATCTTCGCGGTGGAGATTGATGTGTTGAATAGTGCGTATGCTAAGTTGAGAGTCAGGCATGTATGGCACCCGTGCAGCTGCCAGTACGTACAGTCTGTCGGACGTGCTGTCGACTCGGACAGGCGGCCTTCCAGGATGTCATGTCTTGTGAAACGTCGTAGCCTGAAGCGATAGTTAGATCCGCAATTATTGAGAGCATGACTGACGTACTTAGGATCATTGGGCAGATCTTCGGTCGCCCAGATATATTGCTCGCCCATGACTCCTCCATAATTGACGAGGTGTGTTGGGGTAGACCCAGTACCGCTCAACGCGAATAGTGTGAGGACATCGTCGTACAGAACCGGTATGGGCAGAGCGTGTTCAATCGTCGTCATTCCTACGTGCAGTGTCAATATGCGAAGCGGTGCATTGGAACAAATGGTCTTACCGTCGACGATATAAGTCAGGTCCCATTCGTAGTTCATTCCCTGACCCGAAGTCAATTTAGTTTGGCGTGATAGGACATAGAACGTACACCCTCAGGCACACAGAGCATGTTAAGCTCCCGGGCAGCTGTCAATAACCTCTGTCGCGAAGCACTGATACAGGAAGCTGATGAGTGCATGTCAGGCTGTCAGACATCAGCCAGCCTACCGTGCAGGCAAATTGTAGTTCTTGTACGAGAAGCTAGCCGGACCACCTTCAGCCTTGATCCTGATGAGCGCGGAACGTGCCTCATCCATATCAACAATCTCCTGGTGCAGTTCCTCCGCGGCTGCGCCGTATATCACGCCGCCGACCTGGAAGATACGAGGCCCAACCATCTGGCCACGCTCCAGCCTGAAGCGTTCCGCGAAACCAAGCACATTGTCAGCGCTGGGGCTAGAGCAAAGCCCGCTGCATTAGTCTGATGTTGAGAATGAAGCATAATTTACGGACTTGTGCAAAGTGGTCACTCCGTATGCGAGGAAAGTCTCCAACTCCCATGAGCGCGCAGGGTATAAAGTCTCGAAGCCGTTCCAGTGCGCATGGACGTCAATGAAGCCCGGAACAATGAATGCTACCGCGCAGGTGTGAGTAATATATACAGGCAGACGAAAAAGTAGTACGAACCTCCTTCAGCGTTGAAGACGGTAGCACCATATGGAATTACAGCGTCCTGTGCACCAACGATAGCTTCTATCTGGCCGCCTCGCGTCACGAGGATCGCATTTTCCAGAATGTCTGAGCGCAGGTCGCCCGATTCCATGGTCAGAAGGGTGGCATTCGCTATCACGAAGAAGTCAGCGCTGGCAAGCGCTTCTTCATCCGCATGAGCCGTCGAAGCGGCAGCCTCGTTCTTGAGTCGCCGGATGTCAGATGTGTAGTCCACGATGACCTCCTGAAAATGTGGGAGATTCCTAGTGCAAGCAAAGCCGACGGTTGGATCATCTCGTTTCGCGACCGACAAGCACGACTTCAGATCAGCCACGTCTACCCAATGCAAGTAAGCGCCTAGCCTTCCAAGTAAGCATTGGGAACTGTGTTTGGATGGCTTTTGCGCGGCTTACCGAGGAACCAGAACAGCTTCTTGCCATCTCGACTCCAGGTGACATCATGTCCTCCATCTACGCTCAGGCGCATGAGACCCTTCGTGGCATTGGCCGGCTTGCTCCAGACCGGTTCTTCTGCGTTGACCTCCGGCACGTAGTAGACATGGTAGAAATCGATGAACGCGAGGGACTTCGCCTTCACTGAGCCCGAAATTTCAGGGAAAGCAACGAGTTCCGTCGACATCCGTCCCGTAGCCAAGGTCTCGTGCTTGTATTTGTCGTACTCATCCGGGCCTGCGGCAAGGTCAATGACAAATGACCGTCGAGGTGCCTGGACGAGTAACTTCGTGTTTCGCTCCAGGAAGCGGATCTGAGTCTTGAGGAGTTCGCTCGTGTCGATCTCGGTGTCCACGAAATGCAGGTTCTTCGTCTCGATAGAAGTGCTGTCTTGGCCTGGAGTGGGTAGGGTGATCGACCCGAGCCAGAGACCTGCTCCCGCTGTCGCAACGACGTCGCCAGTCAAGTAATCGCCACCGGTCTTGACGAATGCGAGCTGCCTTCCCGCGCCGAGGCATTCGCATAGGATGGGAGAGTAGTATCGTCCGAGCGGCAGCCCAGTCAGCTCGTACGCCTCGCCCGAAGTTAGGTTGGCGATCTCGATCGTGGAGAAGTTCGTGTCCGACCAGCGCGCGTGGATGACGAGTTCCTCAGCGTTCACGACGAACGCAGGTGAGTAGTACGGTGCGTCGGGGTACAGCGCGGGAACACGCTCCGCGCGAGGGGCGTCCTCGCCCACGTACTGCACGTACGTCGCGCCGGAGCCTTGAAGAACGGCACGCTCTCCAGCGGTGTCCACACGCAGCTCCGTGAATGCGTGCACCCTCTGCGTCGCCTGAGTCTCAAGAGCGGTTACGTCGACATCGGCGGTTACTGTCTTGGCAAGGCGCTTCTCGATGTGTGCAGTGAAGCGTATGGGAGTCGGCTCGCCACCAGCTACCTTCTCCCCGAAGGCATTCAACTTCAACGGGACACGATAGATCTGTCCTGCCGCCCATATAATGACAGCGTCATCACTGGGCGTGAAGGCATATGATGGGTATGTGCCCATGGGCGCAGAGACCGTGCTCAAGTCGTAGGTCAGTCCATACCACACATGGTGGATCGTCCCCGACTCCAGGTCTCTGTAACCGTAAATCAGCATTAGACTCGCACTCTTTCGGAACGAGGGCGTACAGGAGCACAAGTGCCTCTTCATCCCGTACACGGCGCACGAACGCGAGAGTGCGTCCGTCTCGAGAGAGTTCGGGCCTGCTGGCGCCACCAGGGAACCGCCCAACCAAGGTCGTCGTCTCTTTGGATGTAAGGTTTGTCGAGAAAATTGCATAGATGCCTGCGTGGACGTCTGTCACGTCACGCGACGCTCAGTACGAGCAATCGTAGTGAGATCTGGTGGTGCTCATGCTCACCCTTGCTGTACGAGAAGGCACCATCCTCAGCGACGTTCTTGGAGTAGATCAAGGTATCATCGCCTCTCCATATGAATTGCTCTGGTCCGATCTGTTGCTCGCCATACTGCTCAGGGCTCCAGCCAAGGGGTAGTGTGCGCCCGACTAGACGTTTGCCGTCCCCGGCTTTGATACGTACGGACTCGCCAGGGGTAGGGACATCATACTCCCAACCTTCACCGGCACCAAGACTACGCGAAGACGTGTACCACTTCGTGGCGATAACTTTACTTCCAGAGGGATGAAACCTCACGTCGGATACCCAACGGAACGTCTCGTTGGTAACACGCTGGGCTTGAAGAAAGAGGAAGGTCACAGGTCTATCACTGCAACGTGTCCGCAGACATACCATTCAGGCGGCCCTCTCGAATGAGTCTGTGACGTCTCCTCTCTTCAGTCTCCTTCACACCGCTGGCGAGAAGGGCGTCCTCATCTTCGATGACCTCGAGCGCGCTGAGAAGTTCCTCCCTTGCATTCTCCGAACGCACGTCCATATTCTCGCACCCCGTCCATTCCGTCACCCATATGTTTTCAATTCCCAGACCTGCATCGCTCCTGAAGACTAAGCGGCCGCCTTCTGGAGAGAAGTGAGGATCGGAGTCATGCGGCACTCCCAGCAGAATAGGACGCGCTTTTGAAATAGCAGAGGATGCCAGCTGAGAATGCGCGTACGCGCCGGCCGGAAGGCAGTAGAGGTCGCCTAGCATGTCAAAGACAATCTCACCCGTCTTGGGGTGCACATCCAGTCTGAGCCATGTGCCCTCGGTCACATCATACTCGAGCTTGCGAGGGAAGGGATAGTCGGTGGAGATGTCCCAAGGAGTCTGCTCACGTATGGGCCAAGTGTCGTCCTTCCACTGGCTGCTAGGATCCTCTGCAGTTGTAGCTGAGACGCCTTCTCGCACCACAGCCAACCGCTGATACACCGACGCAGACAGTCCAGACAGGGTGGTTGAGAGGGCCGCAGCGGAGGTAAGTAGTAACACCGCTTGGAGCAAGCGAGTCCGAGCGAGCCATGGGGTCCTCCGAGGCACATTTGACGTGCTCCTAAGCCCAGATTTTGTGTCCATGGCTAGGAAAGAGCGCTTCACCGATGCCTAAGTACCAGTTGTGTGAGTGAAGCAGGCCTGTAGAGACACATGGACGATTCGCGGACGCACCACAAACTTGAGCCTTCACCTCGCCCGGCTACTCTATATGTAGGAGAGGATAGTCGGTACCGAGTGTTCAAGAATGCCTCTCTGTTACAAACGCCTCGCCGTTCAGTGGTCGACGGCGAGTGCGAAGCTGGAGAGACCGCGTCTGCCTGTCAGTGTGAGAGCTGCGTACACGGCGGTGGGATCGTCAGCGCGGCCCGCTCAGCCGGACTTCTGCATATGGCAAGTTCGCGACTTCTCTCAGGCGCCCAGGCGTCCTTGGTCACCGTTGCCAATTCAATCTTGATTCAATCCTCCTCAGTGTCCTCACGACACAGAATGGCCATTTCGTGGACGCTATCCCGTGCATGCGACGGTCCAAACCCTAGCTCGACAGAATCTTGGTGGTAGGCCAGATCGGAGAGTAGTCATCCTCACCATCATTGACAACGTCGGCGATGGGCCCCGTATCAGGCCCGCATGACAGAAGGCCTATGAAACTGGGTTGTTCGGTAGCCTGGCCTGGTATCGGTGTCAGGGCCATTGCATGTATCGGCCCAGTTTGACCTTATCTGGTCTTCATCGAGCTGAGGTATGATATTCTAGGCTGGATGACTACTAAGTACTAAGTAGTGTTAACGCTCCCTGGCCCTTCGCACTGCTTGGGTCACATATTAGCCCCACGGTCATGGGTCCGGCCTCCCGTTCTCCGGTATAAATATTAGTGCAGCCAATGGACCCGTCGCAGCATTACTCACCTTCGTCAGCAGCCTCTTCGATAACCTCTAGCATGCCCAGTCTCGAGCTGAAGACCAACGTCCCCCTTGAGGACCCGAAACAGTTTCTGCTTGAGTTTTCTAGCGTGGGTCCCACTTCACCGAGACTAGCACTCACGGCTGATGACTTGTTTCATCGATGTTTGCTGCAGTACGCAGCCAAGGCGCTCAAAAAGCCGGAGTTGTACATATCTGTCAGCTATCACTACAACGAGAACCTCACCTTCAATGGATCATTCGATCCGGCTTTCTTGATGACGGTGGTATGTTCCTCGGTATGTCTTGAATTCCGTATGTAACGCATGGAACGTTTGTCAGACGAGCTTGGACAACCTCAAACCCGGGCTCACGGATGAATACAGCAAGGCATTCTTTGATTTCTTCCAGGACAAGCTCGGGGTTCCGGGTGACCGAGGCTATATGTGAGCATGTGATTGATAGGGTCTCGAATAAACCTTTGCTGACGTCCTTCGTCTCATAGAACCTTCCTTGACCCAGGCAGGGCATTTTTGGGGTACGTTCGCAGTTTTACGTGACTTCGCTTGTCGCGCAGTACTCACCTGCGCTACCCCAAAGGCACCAGGCGACGACGTTCGCCACGATCTTCGGGAAATGATGATGTTTGGTTCCTCGTCGTCGCGGAAACAAACGTGGAAGAATAGCAGCTGCCTTGAAGTATGTTGTATGAATATGCCGAACGAATATACGTCCGAATTGCCCGTTTCGTTCCCCGGCATGACTGTAGGGAACACTCATCTCCTAGTATGCGCGGTAAGCTTCTCACCAGATTGGAGTCGCTTGAGGGACAGTCGCCCATGAGCTGACTGCTGCAAGCTTCGATTCACTGACTCAGGGCCTGCTCAATTCCAAAGGTTATCCGACGCCGAATTCGAATCACAGTCGGTGCAGCACTTAACCCACGCAAGCGAGGCGTCCGAGCTTGCCGGGGCGTTGGGATGCACGGGACCCCGCACCGCAGCAGGCTATACAACTACGAAGTGCGTCGATGCTCAGTAGCGAGGTAGCTTTGCATGTTTCCATGGCACCTTTGATCATAACTAACCCCAGACGCCACGAAGCATACATCGCGCAACCTTGGCACGCCCGGGCGGTACGTTTGTGTAGGCTCTGTGGATGCTCGTCAGACTACTGGTGCATCTACTATGATCGTGTTCCCCTAATGAACCGGATTTAATGTTCGCACGTAGCATCTCTGTTCGCTCGGTTGATGTTGAACCGCTCTGAAACAGGTCAGTTCCAGTAAGTATGACCTAATTCTGCGCACCTTTCACCATCAGATTGATGGAGCATCCCGCTCACCAGCTTCGGAGACTAGTGTGCGACGCGTATCGTGCCCCGGACCTTGCCCGGGCCTCTCGAAGTACCGTGAGTAAATATCCGCACACGGCCACAGATCCTGCGCGTAAGGAGAAGGCCGTCTGCATATATAGGTTACGGCTGAAACCTCGATGGGCATAACTGCACCTGCATCGTTAGTCCAGTCTCATCACGTTGCCATGCCTTGCCTTGAGCTCAAGACGAACGTCCAACTTAAGAACCCCAGAGCCTTTATTGCGGAGTTCTCGAAGGTAATGTGGTTGCCGCAGAACGTTGTTTGTCTTCAAATAGCTGACCTCAGTGACAAGCAGCTTGCGGCCAAGGTCCTTCAAAGACCAGAACAGTTCATCTCCGTGACGTACCAGTACCGGGAGTATCTAGCTTTCAATGGCACGTTGGACCCTGCATTCATTCTGGACATTGTAAGTGGATTCATGCCATGCCCGTCTCCAGCAACACGTCCATTGACCGACATGTCGTCGCGCAGAAAACTTTGGACAACCTGAGTCCCGAACTGAATGAGCAGTACAGCAAGACTTTCTTTGAGTTCTTCAAGGAGCACCTGGGCGTCGAGGGTAAACGGGGTTACATGTGAGTGTCGTCCACTAACGATCCATGCCTCGCTTACCATGAACTTGTATAGCACATTCGCCGACCTTGGTAGGATCAACGTAGGGTATGTGACCAACGCATTGGCGCAATTGGAGACGGAGTTACTAATGATTGTGTGTCTAGATACAACTCGACCACGATTGCCACCATCTTGGCAAATTAGGAGGATATTGATGGATTATTATGTCAAAAGTAGTGTAGCGATTGGCCTGCAATTATCGACGTTCATTGCTTGAGTTGCTACAAAGCAAATATAAGCGCATCCTGAAAATGTCGTTCTCCAATGTGCTATCTCGACGCATCAGGCTGTTCGTTGTCAGAAGCATTGAGATGTAGGGCAACGCGGACTTTGACACAAACCAGTGAGGTCTCGAAAATGTGTGAAAACTGAATGCTTGGATCGTTTAGATAATAGCCGTGAAACCCACGCTATTCAGGCAGGCGTCGGAGTTCAGCTTCGCTACACACTACTTCACTGTGCGAAAGTAGGTCGAAGCCTCTCGAAACGCATGATATCATTAGACGCCGGATGTTAGCGATAAAATCCAAGAAAGGAAATAGACTGTGCCTCGGCCTGCGCCGGTCGACATGCTTCAGGGCCTGTGCAGGTCGTGTATACCGCACCCTTCACCATCTGTACGCGTGCTGCCACGTAAACTAACTCTTTTGTATATCGCTCGTGCTTTCACGGAGACCGTCTAGCTGCTTGAAATGGCGTCCTCCCAAGGGCTGCATTCGTTGGCAACGATCATAAAGAGGTGCGTGAGCTAAGCTGACTACGCGTCAAGCAATCCGACTTCATCTCATCTGCTATTCCATCAACGGTGCAGGTTGGAGGCTGCAACATCCAGGCTAGAGGATCTTGCCAACCTACCCCCGTCCGGCCTCGTCACTGGTTTGCAGAATGTCGCCTCATCATCCTTGCCGTCCGCATCCTCCGAGCCCACTCCGGTTCCCCCTCCCCATGGACAGACTGCGCCCGCAGCTCCTGCGGTGGAGATTCCCAGGAGCGTAGAGGCTTTTGACGAGATGATCCTTGAGGGCAAGGTCAAGCCGTTCGTGGAGTTGACGAAGAGCTTCGCGGTGCAGTCGGTCATCGACCAGGTGCGTGTCATCACGAGACTAGCTATTGAGGTGCCCTGATCTCCCGTATAGGCGGCACTCGTCGAGAAGGAATTTCAGGACCTACGTGCCTTGCTGCTCCTTGCCGCAAACTGCAAGAAGCCTGACCAGAAGGCGTTTGAGGCGTTCCTCGTACCGTTGCAGAAGGATATCGAGGCTATCACTCGTGCTAAGGAGGCGAATCGGAAAGACCGCGATTGGCTGAACCACCTGTCTACTGTTGCGGAAGGAGGCACATGTGTTGGTTGGGTCACAATCGTGAGCATGCCGACGAAGCTATCACGATGTACGGACTGGCACCCTGACCGCCTTCCTTTCTCGTAGTCACCGAAGCCGGGCCCGTTCGTTGCTGAGATCAAAGACTCTACGCTGTTCTATGGCAACCGTGTGCTGAAGGAGTTCAAGGACAAGTGCGTTAAGTCAAAGTCATACAGCACTCGCATTGACGTGTATTCAGGGATTCCAAGCACGCAGAGTGGGTGAAGGCGTATACGTCTCTACTGGAAGAACTGCGCAAGTACATCGTTGAGTACCACACTACTGGTCTTGTATGGGCTCCCAAGGTGCGCCCCTTCCGCATCAAGTCCAGCCGCATCCTGAGAGCGAATGAACATCAAGGGAATGTCCGTAGACGAATATAAGGCCGCTTCGTCCGGACCTGCTACCGGTGCAGGTGCCCCACCACCACCACCGCCTCCACCACCACCTGGTCCCCCTCCTCCTCCGGTAGCCGCGCCTGCCCCGGCTGCTGGTGGTGTAGCCGCCGTGTTCGCTGAACTGAATCGGGGAGAGGATGTGACAAAGGGCTTGCGCAAGGTCGACAAGTCTCAGATGACGCACAAGAACCCTGCGCTCAGGGCGGGTGGCACAGTTCCGAGCTCAACGGGTCCAGCTGGTAACATGGCGTTTCAATGCATTCTTCGCAATGTTCACCTGTTATTCCAGCCATACCCAAGCGTCCAGTTAAGCCCACTAAGCCGCAGTCTCTTGCGGGCAAGAAGCCCTCGAAGTTTGCTCTTGAAGGCAACAAATGGATGATAGTGAGTGTTGCCCTGTGTCGACTTTCGGCCGCGTTGACCCCTGCGATCCCAGGAATATCAAGAAAACGAGTCGGCGCTCACCGTAGACAACGTGGAGTTGAACCAGACAGTGAACTTGTACGGTTGCAAGAGCTCGACAATTATTATCAAGGGCAAGGTGAACGCGGTCACATTAGGTTCGTCTGTCTCAGGGAGCTTGCCTGTGGCATGACGCTGATTGCGTTGCAGTCAACTGTATCAAGACATCGATTCTCGTAGAGAATGTGATCTCGGCAGTCTCTGTTACCAACTGCCCCTCTTTCGCATTGCAGATCACGGGAAGCGCACCGACCATCCAGCTCGACTCGACAGATTCTGGGCAGATCTATCTCTCCAAGGATTGTCTCGGCGTCGAGATCACGACCGCGAAGTGCAGTAGCATCAATGTGAGCTTGCCAGAAGAGGGCGAGGAGGAAGGTGTCTTCACGGAACACCCAATCCCGGAGATGTTCAGGACAATGATTCAGGATGGCAAGCTTGTCACGACTGCTGTGGAACACGCTGGTTAGTAAATGGGATGGTGGACAGTGCTGTAATCTGTATGGGTTGTGTTTACTGGATATGGATAGGCGGACATGATTAAAGTTAGTCTTTGGTGAAATGAACGTAGCGTGTTCGAGAACGCAATCTCAAATCCAGGACTCCGAGAGAGCATCCACTGAAGTGCCCGGATCAGATGCATCGGGAGTACTAGTAGAGTTCGAGGCGCCCACGACGTCTTGTGCAAGGCCGTAACCGATCGGTAATAGGCGGACACTGCTGATGCCATGCCCGCCTTGCATAGCTTTGCTTTGCTTCCACCATCCTCATACCCTAGCATACTGCCTCGCAGCTAGTTGTCATCTCTAAATTGTGCATTCTGCGTGGGATACTTCGTTGGACATAGCATGGACAGTGTCGGGTGGCATGCCAGGCAGAAGGCGAAACGGGTGAGTCTTGTGCGCTACACCGAGGTCTGGTTGTTCACGGGTCAATGTGCGGATCGGTAGGAAGAGGAGGGCGCGCGTAGTCCCCAGAGGGGCCCCGATGGCCGTTTCCGACCGGTGGAGGAGATAGGTCCCATTGACGGATCGTTTATTGGTGGCTTTCGTGTGCCCGAGTCTCCTGGGTCGCCGTTCGCTAGCCCTCCTCCGCCAACTCCTCCGCCGAAAGATGACTCTGGCCATTACTTCGCCAATGGACAACGTGCTTCATCCTACGGGACGACAGCTCCTCAATATGAGGCTGGAGATTCGCCCTTGCATCACCTCGCTCGGATGAGCGCTGTGGAACGATCAAGGAATTTGAAGGTCGCGCACATGGAGCCGTATCTTCAACTTATGGCCGGCCCGCTACTGCGCTATGACACCGTCGACAGGCAGGGTATCTGGCGTGGGGCGGCGCTGATCGTCAGTAAGTCTCTGGCCAGACTCCATTTGTCGAATGACCGCTTTACACGACTTGCCAGCCGCGGATGCCGGGTCCGACTATGATCCAAGCCCCATCTTGACCTATACTTGGGACCCGATACGTCTAACACACCTGTCTCGTAATGCGTCTCGCAAGTTCCGCAGTGGATTGTCGATGGATCTAGGGCCTCACCCTGCTGACCCGCACTCTACAAGCCGGCCAGATTACGACAGCATCCCTGCTGGTCCAAATGTCATCACAAAACACAGTCACGGCCAAGAGATCTATGTGTATGTTGGACACTCAGGGTAAGTTGTAGGATGTGTGAATGTGAGACGATTGAAGTCACATCATTTCCTCCAGTACTTTCACGTTCTGGCGTTTCATGTTGGAGATTCCTTTGGGGCAAAACGAAATGAGCATCACGTACAGCGTCAATCGTGGTCTACCCCTCCACTTCTTCGTACCAGGCCGAACAGAAAACCTGCGTTGGGCAGCATATTCAGTCAGTGTGCGAACACTCAGTCCTTCACGCTTATTGACTTGCGCAGTGTAACGGGTTCAGCTCAGGCGTGAATGCGAATGATTTCTGCGGGCCTGGATTCCACAGCGGGTATGACCCAGTATGGACCGATCTCCTAGCTAAGCATGCTGAACGGCCATTCCATGCTTTGGTGGGCGGTGGGGACCAGCTGTACTGTGACGGAGTCATACGGGAACCGGAAATGCAAGAATGGGTGTCCTTGCCCAAGGGAGAGAAGAAACAGAACTTCCCGCTGAGTGAGGAAATGCGGGTCGCGATCGACCGATTTTATTTCAACCACTATTGCCATACGTTCAGAAGCGGAGCCTTTGCTAGAGCGAACTGCTCGATGTGAGTATCGAATGCGCCATTGGGTACCACCATGTCGATTGACCAACGTTGCTATGACGCGGACAAACCAGCCCGATGCTGAATATGCTTGGTGCGTTCGTAGCCACAATATCATGAGCGCATACTTCTGATGCATGAGATGACAGATGATCATGGTGAGCGCAGCATAGCTTAACACATCGACAACCCTTGGTTGACGGCATTGCTCCACAGATCTGGTGAGCTATTGTTGGACCATCCCAGCGTTCGCGACTTATCGGCGACGAAAAGATCGACGGATTTGGTAGTTGTCAGTTAATCTCCTTCGCGATGCATTGACCATGGCTAAACATAGCGACAGATCCTGATGAACTCATGCTCTCAACTGTCTTTCGAACGTGCGTGCAATTCGTTCGGGAGATGCTCATGACTCGACCGCTTACTCTGTATGATTAGAATCGGCTCGCGAGGATATTTCTTCTTCCTACTCTTCCAGTGCTTCATCAATAGTATGTGCGGGCAAACCCTCTTGGTCTCTCACTCACATCTCGTGCAGTGGATATGGATGGCAGGGATGATCGACGACATCCATTCCAATCACTTATCATCGGAGCGGACGGGCCATTTATACCATTTCCCTCTCATTCGTTTTTAACATACCTCGGTCCTCAAGTGTGGATGCTATTGCTCGACTGCCGGTGAGTGTCGCAAGAGCTTTAGTTGCAATGGGTCTCACGACATCATGATATCTCAATAGTGCGGAAAGGAAGCTTGACCAAGTCTGTAGCGATCAGACATACCGCATAGTCTTTGGTCGGGTCAGCGCTATGCCAGCGGGCGTAGAACACCTCATTCTGCAGCTCGGTGAGTATGCTCAACTATTTGTCGGTGCGCCCTGACGCGTTGACTTTTTCTTCGGTAGGAATTCCTATCGCATATCCTCGCATGGTATTTCTAGAGAACATGTTGGAGTCAAAGATGAACCCCTTGACTATGTTGGGCCGGTCTGGGTCCTTGGGTCTCTCAGGATTCGTCAACAAGTTCAACGCTGATGCGGAGTTGCTTGACGATTTGGTGTGTGTAACCTGCTCTATAAGCACTGTCGTGTGCTCATTGAATGCCAGAATGATCACTGGACAGCAAAGGCGCATAAGGTTCGTGGCTCTTGACGACTACGCAGACAACTGTACCGCTGATGTCGCACTTCTCCTTATGCAGAAAGAGCGCAACTGGCTTGTGGAACAGATGCAGGGATATGCTTTGACGAGACACTGTCGTGTCACGTTCCTCTCGGGAGACGTGCACTGCGGCGCGGTGGGTCTGTTCAAGACGTTGCGCCAACAGAAGGAGGCGGACATCCCACCTCAGCTCGACCATCGATATATGCTTAATGTTGTGTCCAGTGAGTGCACTACGGATATTATCGATGGAATCAACTCAGTAGTTATTGTATAGGCGCAATCGTCAATACGCCGTTAGTACCCATTCGAGCATACAATGCTGACAGGGACTGCCTGCTGACGTCACACGTCTCCTAGTCCGCCCAACGCAGTCTTGACCATGGTTGCGTCCTTGGCCACGAAAACACATCGAACTCTACATCGTATTGCCACGGACGAGACGATGGTAAGAGCTCTGAGCTGGTCTGCAACCCCGATATACTCAAGCTGCGACATCAGGTGCCTCTGTTCGAGAAGGAGCCAAATGGCCAGCCGGCGAAAAGCAAGTTTATCATGGGACGACGCAACTGGTGTGCGGTGTGGTGGGAAAACAACGGTGACCTCGTCTTCGACATGCGGGTCGAAATCGAGAAGGGCATCGGACGAACTGCTAGGTAGCGCGGATCTTGTGATTTTCCTGACCACACACTGATCATCATTATCAGCTACGCTGTACGCGCACCGCCGCCTCGGTGGACAACGTCATGAACCACACAACAAATTCACTATCGTACAAGAGCACTAACAATTGAACACGCGTTTACGATAAGTTATTGTAGGGTATCATCGACGGCTCGTAGTCCGAAGTCCAATGCTTTATGTTTAGTAGTGCAGTTGAAAAGTTAATACCGTAGCGTGTTTTCATGTCATGGCTCGTGCGACGCTGCTCGGTCGTCCTCAGCCAGAGCATGGGCATGAGGCTCCACGTCCATTTCGTACTCCGAGTTGTAGGCACTGGAATCGTAGCGAGACACGACCTCAGGTATGTGAACGTCGGAGGCGACTGTCGGCGCAGGAGACGCAGCGGCAGTACCGGGTAATTGCTGGAAGTAGGGCGTCGAGGGGGTCCCAGGTGCCGTATGGCTCGCATCAGCCATAGCGTCGTCGGCAGGCACACTTGTTCGTACGCTCGTCGAAGCAGCGGCCTCCCCAAGCTTCCGACGCTTAGCTTCAGCGTCCTCTTGCGCCTTCCGCTCCCTTCGCCTGGCGGCTTGTGCCCGTCGTTTTGCCCGGTGGGCCTCCAGCTTGTCGAGCTGCGCCCTGTCCCGTTCTGTTACCTGCTTCTCTGCTTTTTCTGGCTTCTCCGGCTTCTCCGGCTTGCTCGACTTTTCTTGTTTTTCTTGTTTTTCTGCTTTGTCTGCCTTATGCTGGACCTACAGTGAACTCATGAGTACGCACACGGAGATTACGGAGGGATGTACGCACTGTCGGTGTACCCTGAGCCTCCTGTTCCTCGAGATCATCGATCGCTTTCTGCTCTGCGATAAATTCTGGATAGCGCTCACACATGGGTCGCCATGTCCGTGGCGACGGCTTCACGTCCGTGTCCATGGGGTCGGTGGACGACAGGACCGCGTCGATATCTGGCGGAGGCATGTAGTCGAAATCGGGGCCAGGGTTGATGCGTACCCTCGCCTCGTTGAATAGTGAGACGAAGGGGTAGTACCCGAGCGTGCCGTCGTCGAACGGGTTCTGTTTGTGCTCCCGGTAGCCGTCCTTCGCCGCCTTTTTCTTCTCGTGCGCCTTTGCGTTGGGGTCACGCAAAGGCAGGTAGTCGTACAGATCCTGGAAGGCGACGCCCTGGCATTCGCCGTTAACGAAGAATGCGATGTATGAGTCCGATCCGAGAGTAGGTAGGGGACGCATCGGCGCAGGCTCCTGTACGACAGTTTTCGTACCTCGACCGGTCGAGGGCAGGTTCTTGACGGTTGCCGACTTCTTCGTGGCGGAGGAGGGCATCGAGCTAGTGCTGTTGGCTTTCGCCTTGTCGGTAGCGCCCATGAGTGCGATCATCTCCTTGGACTGTGCGTACTCTAATGACTCGAAGTACTCCTGGCCCTTGAACTCAATCGCGATGCGCTCGCGCTTTATCCGTGCAGGGTCGTACGGGTCCTTGCGGTTCGGCGGCGGTCGATTCGCGGGGAGGGATATGTACATCCCAATCACGTCTCCGGGCTTGAAAGGCTTTCCGTACGGCCGTGGCCGCGAGAGGTGGACCTTCTCGCCCGTCTTGTCGCGGAACGCGTAGCTGTATCCGTCCGACCCAGCAGGCCCGTTCAGCGGGGCCTCTCGCCGCGCCCACCCCAGCCTGATGTGGCTGCCCTCGCGCCGCTGGCTGTCCGGAGGCTTCTCCCCGCCGCCCATCTCGACCTTGACCTCCATGTACCACTTCCCTGCCCGCACAGGCGCGTTGCACCGGGCGCTCCGGAACCCCTTCTCACCTTTGAGTCCGAGCCCGTCCTGGGTCACCTTCACGAACATACTCCTGTCCTCCCATGATACGCGGAACGAGGTCGGAGCGGACTCGATGGTCCGGAAAGGGAGTGCGGAGCCGGGAGGCGCGAGGCCGGCGGGGGTGTACCGGAAGTTGAGGCGGTTGTTACAGTGCGGATCTGTGTTGTGGTAGGACGAGCCAGGAGCGATGGGGATGAAGCCGGGGTGTCGGGATATTGTGAGACGTGGTCGTGCGGACAGGTCTATGTGACGCGTATGCAGGACCACATTTTCGGCCCCGGGTGTAGGCGTTGCGACACCTGGATCGGATGGCGCGGGTGAAGCAGCGATGTTTTGCGAGATAGCAGCGTGTTTGCGCTTGCGGCTGGGTGCGAGCGCAGGTGCGGTGGATATCGCTGCTACAGCTGGCGACGGTTCACGCGGCGAGCTCGGTGCCTCCATAACGGTACGCTGAGAAAACTTGTGCTGTTATCTACGTCCTCGGTTTCAAAGGGAAGCGGATCGTATCGTTGCGAGTCTGTGGCCCGGGAGAGTTGGAATGGGCAGACTGGCAAATTCGGAGCCGTAAGAGTGAGTCGGGATTGCTTGGTAGAGTCAGACTTGAGAAAGTGACGCTTCCTGTCGGATAGAAAATGCAAAGGTTGAATCTACGTCTGTAGCAGGCCAGTGTCAGAGCTAAGTATGTCAGGGCCTGAGTCGGGCGAAGAGGCAAAGACTCGATGAAAGAGTCGTGGTCGCGTCGCGTAGACGCCGGCGATCGTGAGCGGGCGATCGGATGTGAGATCGCGGGCGCTTCCCCGTGTGGCGGCGTTCACTGCTTGAGTTGCATTGCTTCAGCCCCCCCCAGCAGCAGTCAAACGTGTCAGTAGAAGGCAATCAAGTAGGAGGCCCAGTTCACTATTGTATTAACCAAGATGACAGCTCTCCGGTAAGTGACCCTCTTGTATCTTTCTGTCTCTCAGAGATTGAACGCGTTTCATTGTTAGTCGCATCCAGAAGGTTGTCGCCACTCATTTGATCGTCTCGAGCCACAGGTGCTAACGCGTTTCTAGGAACTGACCGATGTCAGGAACAGACCAGTCGATGTGAGCATCCTATCTGCTCGACAGCTCTTTGCTCACGCGCTTCACAGGGGCTCACTGTCGAGCCAGATGAAGACAACCTATACGTATGGAGATGCGCGGTGAAGGCATCGGTATGTATCGGCGAAAAGACGTCTCAAATACACTAGTACTGATAAGCATACACTTCCGCACCATCCAGTCGGACAGTCCTTACAAAGGCGGCACATTCCGCTTTACCCTCACGCTGCCGGAGAACTTCCCATTCAAGGCTCCTACGGTAATGCATTAGCTCTATTCAATGCACTAGAACATCGCGACAGAGAATTCACACTGCCGCTTTGATTGACAGGTCGTGTTCTCAACGAAGATCTATCATCCAGGTATCAACGAAGAGGGACACATCTGTGTTCCAGTCCTCCGCGATCAGGTGAGGACGGACTTTACATCGCACACCTAGGCCCGTGCATGACGCATCCTCCATGTTCCCCTTCACATGCATACACCGCTCTGACTGAAACGTTACGTACTCACGTCGGCAACCTTGACAGTGGAAGCCTACCGTAACTCTGTCTTCAGGTGTGCCTGCCATGCTGACATCTCGTGGGGGTATTGACACTAAGCGGATGTCGCCCTCCAGTTCTGGCCATCATCCAGGAGAAGGTCAATAATCCAAGCCCGGATGACCCGTTCGAACCTGAGATCGCTGCTGTATGAACATTTCAGCCCTCTTCCGTGGATCAGCACATTCTGATGATCTTGTCTCTAGCAATTGAAGAATGATCACGCGAAGTTCCTTGCGACAGCGAAGGAGTGGACGAAGAAGTAAGGGACACATCCAGCTACCGTAACATTTCTTTGACCTTGCTGACAGGTATGCAACGGCGTGAACGTCCAAGAAGCGAAGCCCTCTAGAATTGAATATGTCCGCAAGAAATTGGCCCTGAGCTCAGGTTGTACTACTAGCAGTGTTGTGATATCATATCCGTTCGAAAGCGTTGAATACTAGTAGACCGTTCGTCTCCCGGTCGCGGTGTAGTACTTCAGTGAACCTGTCCGACGCCCAATCGGCGTCGCTAGTCCACTCCATATTGGAAGTGTGGATGAAACTCGTCTCCCAGACAATGGTCGACACTCGGGCTCCTGTACCACCCACGATGCATTGATACATGATGGATAGCTGAGATGCCGTACCTGTTGGAAGACCACGTTCGACACGAAGCAGGCTTTCCAGGCGATCTGCCTCGGATGGAACAATACATACCTACAGGTACAGTAGCCGTGAAATCCAGGAGTTCAGTAGGTTCTCAGCCACTGCAGACGATGTACCTCGACGTCGCTGTTCCTTGAACTTGTCAGTCTTAGTCTTGTCTACCGGTGTGAGTAGCGGGAAGCGCGATCACGTGCGCATCAGCTTCCAAGATCGGTAGATTTCTCTTCCGACAATTGCGGCGACTGGTCGAGGTCGACTGGGATCACCCACTGTCAGTGAGACGCACTGCCTGGGCACTTTGCTCTTGTCTTTCGCCTCCCTAACTCTCTCCGTCATATTTTCTTCTTTCCTTGCTCGCGCTTCGCTTAGTCCGGTATTGCTCGTCTGTATTCGGAACCTTGAATGCGCTGGTGAAAGCCGGGAGAAGCCTCTTCGCGGTACCTGTTACGTCGACCACACGCTCGTGTTCAACACGTTGTTCGCTCCTTTCCTTGTCCCACTCTGCGTTTCCAACAGTTTCTTCAATTCTGATTACTCTGCTCGGAGGTCTGATTTGAAACCTGCATCTACCACTGCACGCTCTGTGCCACCTATTCTACATACCCGATATCTCCATCGCGCTCGCGGACACCTGATCGCCGCTTACGCCTTCGCTCCCCGGACCTCATCTGAACGTGTTTACAACGAGGCATCCGAACCCAGGGACAGCTACTTCGGTGACGCCGAGAACAATTAGCCATGTATCGTCTACGGTAAGCACGTTGTCATTGACCGGTATGCACGCTATTGACTAATTGCGGGCATGCATGCTGGATCCTTCACGCACCGAACTCTGACACTACGTTCTCCTGCCCACCGGCACCACAGCAAGAAGTCGGACGCTAAACGCGCTCAAGTCCCAGAGCAACCTCTCGTGGTCCCGCAAGCAAAATCTTCGCAGCTACTACCTACATTGCCTCCTGCGGATGACTTTCGGACGTCGTTGATACTGCCTGAGTGCGTACTGTCCTTACCATCTCACTATCTCAGCCCTTCTTACTTCCCGCGTGAATCTTTTTGTGTTGCTATCTATGTTGGAATGGTATAGTCTCACACGTCGCTTCAGCCTTCTTGGCACATCCTCCGGCACGCCCATCGCTCTGGACGACCTGAAGTCCAAGTTTGCCGAACAACGCGCTCAAGGCTCCCAAAATCAAGTCACCGAGGAAGAGGAGGATATGATCCTTGAAGCATTGGGACGATTGCATGCCAGAGCTGCTCGGACGAGAGCTTCCACCAGCAGGGAGGAGGCGAGCAGCGAACAGTCTACTTCTAGGATCGAGAGCCAGGATCTAGGATCCCACGTAGCGTCATCGTCGCCCACCAGAGACTCGCTGCAGTCCTCTAGCACCACCCCTACGGCGCTGCATAGCGCGACCTCCATGTCCTCTCTATCGTCGACGAAAGGATCCCATGTCAGCAGGCGGATGAGTAACAACTTGTTCGGATCTGGCAAGTTCCGGGACCAATCATATCTTCGTTCTGCATCCCACGGGCGTCGGGCGGGGGGGAACAGGCCTGTCCCGTCCGTCGCACCCTCCGACTCTATGATGAGTATGAGCACCGTCTCGAGTAGCAGGGCCGGGCAGAGCTCTATGTATTCGGACAGTCTCAGGCCAAGTACCCCCGACGGCAGCACTTATAGTCCTTCGAACTCCGTCCCTTCCAGTCCGAACAACGACAAGGCCTTCGAGAAACAGCGGACAGGACGATCGGCGCCACCAGACTCCGACTCGGAATCCGCTGCAGACAGGAAGGTCCTCACCACGCGGTTAAACAAAGCGCTATCCCCCGACGTCCTGCGGCGTGCATCGATGGCGCTGGACGAGGTCATCAGGGAGATGGAGGAGGAAGGTGACGACGAAATTGTCATGGAGAGAACTACGCTTCCTCACATTCATGGGGCTGCTTCGAATGGATCTGCGGGCACACCGGTATGTCGTAAATTAACCTACCCACATGGTGACATCCCATAACGGCTTACGCGTTCACCGCAGACGGAGCAACGCTCGCCCCTTGCGCTACCGGGGGAGTACGGCACAGCGGTCTCCTCCGACGACCGAGTCGTGCTCACGCCGACACAGATTCAGAGCACGACTGTAGAGATGCGGTCGCCCACCAGCTCCCCTGCCCCGCGCCTGCCCGGATACATCCCCGGTATGCCGAGGCCTATGACACCCCGTGAGTCGACGTTCGACTCTGACGACCAGACGCCATCGAATACTCCCCGTGCTACCTCCCCTCGTTTACCTGGCGCACCTCCGTCCCCTCGCGTCCCACAGACATTGTCCTTGTCCTTGTACAGGAGCAACTCCGCTGCGTCCTCGTCTCGCCAGTCTCCTGCGCCGGTTGTTACCCCTGTTCTAGCATCTACACCACCACTCTTTTTCAACCGAACCGTCAACGGTCGATACACCCCGGAAGATCGGCAGCGTAGTGGAACAAGTTCCCCTGTCACCGATGTTTTCGATTCATCTGCGCAACCTCGTCGCCGGCCTATGTCCCCCCTTTCTGCGCCTGCGTTCCAAGCGTTGACAAACCCCTCGTCACACCCAACTACACCGTCTAATGTGACGTGGAACACAGGCTCTCATTCAACGAGCTCACACGTGGCCGCCAAGTCCATGGACGGATCGCTGTACAGCAGAAACGGCAGTACTATCAGTGTTGGAGATGTTCTAGCCGATGGGTTGGAGAGGGCAAAGTCGACGTCGAGGTCCCTCCGTTCACCCGCGCTGCCGGAGTCACCTCTCATGGATCGCAACTATGGCCTGGCCATGGCCATAGAGTCTGAATATCGACCATCGTCGGCGATGTCGGGAATAGAGCTTGGGTCGCCCGTTCAAATAAACAACCGGCCACTTCGCTCTCCGACGCCGACGCACAGCCGACAGAAGTCTCCAATCGTGGCGACGTTCCCCGAGGCTATCAATGGCAGTTCGAGCGGAGACACTTCGAACATGAGCAGGCGGTCATCGAAGCAGAACCATCACTCTTCGTTCTCCCTGGGCTCGTCATCAGGGCTCCTTCTCTCTCCCATCGCTAACTCTTCGAGGTCGTCGATTGAGTCCGCTGGGTCCAGCTACCATTCGTGGGACGAAGATCACAGGAAGGATCGACTGTATGACCTCTTCAGCAACCTTGACCCGAACCACACGGAGTGGCACGATGTGTCTGCGCTGGACAAGTCCGCTTCGTCGACACCAGGCACCTCGCCGTACGAGAGCCTGGACATCGAGGATGCGGTGCGGAAGAACACAGGGTTGACGAAGAACGACTTCATTGCCATACAAGATAGGCTAGTGAAGGCCGCTATCCAGAAAGTCAACACCCCTGACGGACGAGCGCGCGCGAATTCTCTCAGGAGGCGGAGACCGTCGACGTCACAGTCGAATTATTCGCTCACTGAGAACCGGGTACGTAGTCCGTTGCGTCCTTCGTCGGCGTCACACTAATTGTTCCGTCAGGTTGCCAGCCCGGCTCCTCATGTGCAGCCTGTCGCCAACGCCGTGGCTTCCAAGGGCTCAGACCATCATGCAAAGGTCAATGCGTTGTTAGAGTCCGTGGTCGATAGCATTGAGTCACCACGTGCGATGGAGGCGACAAGTCTCCCCGCACCAGAACCGCATGTACAACATGAAGCTGTGTCCGCCAGCCCCGTCCGCCGCCATAAAGCACTGGCGGATGCTTTGTTCGGTTCTGAAGGCAACACCGAACGACCTCCGACTCCTGGAGCTCAGGCATTGCTATCGCCGGGTTTCGAGGGTCGCCGTTCTCGTGCACAGACTCCTCCTGAGGTCATTCCTGACTCCATCTCGTCGCCACCCTCTGTGTCGACTCTGACTCGAGCGATGTCGGCCGCGAAGTTGCCCATCTCTCCTAACTTCAGTATGTCGCAGACAAACGTTTCTCATGTTGACGCCGCGCGCTTGACCATGGAGGTTCAGCAAAGGGCAGAGGCTGCCACTGCAGCGCTCAGGAAGTCGCCGTCGATCCCAAAAATGGGCGAACCCACCAGCGCACCCCAACGCAAGCGCATCAACCCGAAGCAGATATCGTCTCCGAAGCTGGTCTCATCCTCGACCAGTCTGGACACTATTCCTCTGCTGTCGACCTCCTCCCAGAAGGTTTCGCGGTTCAGGAAGCTAACAGGCACTCTGCGTGCCAAAGATATACCCCCACATGCACTTGAACCATACCCTCCGGCGTCTGCTCCGCTCCCGAGCCATCACCCTCATTTCTCTCCGACGTCTAGTGCACAAACCGAGCAATTTGGCCCGAGACCGGTTGGTCGTGAACATGGCAAGACGTCGTCTCCTGATCCCAGTCCGCCGGCTTCGGCTTCACCCGGAATCAGGAGCTTCATCTCCCGTTTCCGTAAGCCCAGGGCTTCAGAGTCTTACTCGGCATCGCACCGCGAGAAGTCGTCGCCTTCACTCTCAGCGTTCTCACCATCATCGCCATCGTTCAATTCTCTGAATGCAGGCCAACCTCCCCGATCCGCTCCGGCTCTGCAAACATACTTCGAGCAACCCACTGCGAAAGTCGCACGCGTACCTTCAACAACGGTGATGGAGTCACGAAAGCCACCGCCGCTCGTTGATACGCCGCAAGCGTCTGATGAGGCTCAACCGCAATCGGACGACGCAGCTCTCAAGCAGTTGTTCGCCGCTGCTTCCGACCTTGGTTTGGACCAGGTAGAGCTGAAGAATCTGCTTGCTCGCTCCCCGTCGACGTCATCCAAACTGACTCGAGCCACGTCTGTGACCGAGAGCAGAAAGAGCCATCTTCCTGGTGTCCGCGAGGATTATGTGCCCGATCGATCCCCCTCTCCGACGGTACCCATGGGTAGATCCAGTACGGATGGCCATTCCAACAGACCTTCGCAAGATGGTTTCCGACCCTCAATGGACGACGTTCCCGAGATTACGCTTCGTCCTCCTCGCGAGGAGCCGGAGGCCAACGTTAACCCAATTGTACGGCGGACCATCATTTTCCCCTCCGACCCTCGTTCTTCGACTTTCGATCTCAATGCGCTCATGCGCAAGCAGTCTGCTACACGCAAACGACGTTCCGCTGGGGCTAACTCCACCCAATCCATTCGCTCGATTCACGATCGCGTACCAACGCCGCCTCCACACAAGCACACAGGCCGTCGTTTCTCGACGGACGGTTCTCCTCCGGTGCCTCAGTTGCCCGTCTCCATAGGGTTGCAGAGCGACCAGCTAGTTGCCCCTGGACAACTGGAGCCATCGAATTCTGCTTACGATTCACTGTGCGGCTCTCTAGAAGCGACCGAGTGTACGAAATCTGACTGTGTCGCTGACAGATATGAGATGTACACCGGAGAAGGCAAGCCCAACGGCGCTGCATACGCGGAACTCCAGAGTGGTTCTACCAATCAGCAGTCGGATGCGAATCCGGAAGCCGGACCTGCTCTAGAGCTTATCGAACTAGCTAATGGAGAAATGATCTGGTGAGTTGCTGCGTCATTCGTAAAGACCAAGCGCTGAGAGCGTCATAGGAATATCGTTAATGGCTTGCGAGACGATGACGGGGAGTCTTTCTACGGCGACCGCAGTAGCTTTGTTTCGGAGTACTCACGAAGAGATTCTACTGGGGACGGCCTGAGACTCTTCTTCAAGGGCCACGAGAAGAAAGGTTCGAAGGGCAGCAACGTGTCCACGGCCACACGCAAGCGGCACTTTCCAAAACCTGCTGTTCGTCCGGAGACCAAGGTAAGACCACTCGTGACTAAATGCTACGTTTCCGTTGACTCCGCCGCAGGTCTTCTTCAGCTCTTCGACACACATCGGACAGCTTATCGATAACCTTTCACGTGGCGTTGACGCTGGATCCTTCAATATTGCCCCCGAGTCTTCGCAAGCACACCACCACGCTCACTCCGCGTCTTCGTCGCTAGGGTCGGAAAGTGAATTGCGCTGGACCCTTGAGGAGAGAAGGCTTCAGCAGATGCTTGGTTCGCTGGGTTCAACTAAGTGATAATATCCCGTGCGTTGGACATCCTCGCTGTTATAATTATTGGTTTATGTTGCTCGTCTCTATGCTGTTTAGTTTCTTCGACAGTCTTGCTTGCGTCAGTGTATGGACACACACATCAATCATAATGGTCATATCGTATGGCTGAGCTACATGCCTATCGAGCACGATTCTGCCTAGCTAGCCTTCTACTCCGCGCTCATCATGAGCCTTGCGTCGCTCTCCGGGCAAGCCATCTGTTGAGGCACAACGCCACCAAAGCTTGTAACAACAGTGAATCGTCGTCGAAGTCATATTGCATGACTGCATAGGCGGTGCCAACAGGTGTGTTCCTCGTTTCGCAGAAGAACGTTGCTAGTCCAGTGTCGTGCAGGTATAGCTGGGGAGTGATTAGCAAGGGCGGATTGCATGAGAAATTCGCCATACGCCGTATGCATCTGCACGCTCGTGCCTGCGCCATTCGTATAATTGATTGTTAAATTGGAAAATCCGGATACTAGGAACAATAATTTTCGTCAGGTCAGGACGTGCTCTGCAAGCGGCGACATACGATGCGGTCTTGCCCTTCATTACCAAGTACGACATGAATTGCTGCCGCTGCTGTATGGTCGCTGATCCCAGCTGGTCATGCATAGACCAATCGAGTTGCGCGACGACAGTGCCGTCCCCTGTGAATACCTTGGGTCGACGAAGAGTTGCAGACCAATATCAACTGGTCGGTTCATCAAAGCGTTGGGTTGAACAAACATTCACCTTGGTTACAGTCTCTGTTCCGTCACGACTGGTCTTGAATTCAAAGAATATCGGTTTGTCGCGATTGTTATTGCTGATGGACGCATAGGTGTACCCGATTACGATGAAGTTGCGGGGGTCGCTATCTGCCGTCCAGAAGAGACGGTGAGGCTCAGGAGTAGTCATGGGGAACTGTTCGAAGGTGAGTTGATGAGCCATTCTCACAGTGCCCTCGCCTGATATACTCAAGCTACTGCGTAAACCCTCCTCTTTGGGCATTGACTGGGCTCGGCGATTCAATACGAGAAGGCGAATGCTATCGATCATTCTCTCAATGTCTGGTAAAAATACGTGGCCTATGGAAGCCGGTCGAAGACGAATCAGTCAATTTGAATCACGAACATGGGTCACAGTGCTGAGTGCATTGCCTCCAAATAGGAAGACCCAGCGGTCATATCATTGGCATTGTTTGCATGAACTTCTAGCCGTTGGTAGTTCTCAGCGGCCATGAAGGGTGAGTTCCTGGCTCAATCATATCTACTCCCGCGAGGCGCCTATATCAACTCCGTATAGTTGCTTCATAGAACACCACGCGAATCAACTGTATTGTCGCTGACAGCCTTATGCCAACTATGCGATTTGCGCATGCTGGGTTGACTCAGTAAAGCGCCATGTTGTGGGCAAAAGACAGCCCAATGCGACACCGTCAAGACTTCGCGATGGTGTCCTGGTTCGTGGCTGGATCATGCGGTATCAACCGCATGTGAGCAACCTCTTCCGTCAACGGCAACATCGGAACACCCTGGCGCGTGGATGGACCAGGAGAGGCTGGACAGTACCTCGGGTGAAGTATTGAAGCAAGCAGAGGACAACACGCGTTACCCAGAGTCAATTGCCCTATCAAGACGAAAAGGAAGAAGTCGAGCAAATGCTACGCAGTCGGAACGGCAACAATGCGCCCGAGCATCCGTGGCCATGTATCCATATTCTCGCCGCCTCTTTCTGTCTCTTTGGGCACGTCTTGTAATAGTGAGTTGGGTTACTGTCACTTACGACTTGCTGACTCAAGTTGTACTCCATGAGCCATAAAGATGACCAGCGGAACAACAGCTTCTTCGAAGAGCACGAAGAGCAGAAGGGGATGCGCACACTGCTTCTCGGGGCATCCAGATGGCATCCACAGGGCGCAGTCAAATTTGTTCGGCGGAGGAGTATTGTGACGTTTACGGCATGTCAGACATGCTCGCACTCACAAGGTATGCTATTTGAATTGTCTCCATTGTCAACCTCTCATTCGAATGCGAGATGAACGCAGACCTTTCGCTTCTTGTGTCCGCTGCTGGCGCAAATAACGAGGACCTGGTACACGGTTCGGTGCCTAGGAGTGATCCGGAACTTTGTGCAAACATGCGGGTGCGACCTGCTTGATAGCGACGCGGCTGTTTCTTCATCCTCGCCGGGTTCCTTTGGGACTTGCTACCGGACATTAATCTGGACACAGTATTGGGCTGTGGTGCAGAGGGCCGACCCAATTCTGAGGCCACTGCACGCCAGCATTTTGTCCGCGTAGGGTATCTGGACGGGTGACATGGGCCGAAGCAAGCTTACGCTCGGACACTCACAGCGTATCGTGTGCCGAGCCTTGAGGTCAACACGGCTGCAATGATATCCGTCCGACACTGCGGCGCCGATGACGCTCAGGCTACTAGTACCAACAGCTGCTAACTAAACATCAACAGATTCCATCCAATTATCACGATCTACATCCGGGATACACGTGTATTAACATTTAGACAGTAGCTGTCAAGTCGTGGAACCTTTGGCAAACAGACTGAGATAGTGCGTGCTTTCACGATTTATTTGAAGTTGGCAGTTCATCTCATTTACGACCGGGCATAGAAAGAAGGCAACAACTCTGAATGAGTGCGTGTACAACACCAGGTCCTGTCTGATGAATGAGGAACAAATCGCGGGCTCGTGTCGATGACTGTTGGCGGGTGCAGGCCATGCAACGGTCCGGCCAAATGCCCGTGTTGCCGTTTGTGTCGACAGGTGCTCACCTCCGAGTGCGGCTGATATGCCGTCGTATCGCATCCATCTCCTTCACATTCCCTATTCTGGGTGGATACCTTTGAACTTTCAGCCGTTCAATGGCTCACTCTCTTGCGACGTGGGCCTCCAATGACCCCGGCAGGCCTGGGTGTCAGTCTGCCCTCTAACATTCTCAGGCTACATGCCTCTTGTTCGTATGCAAGCAGCACCCGTAAGTCTTCTACACAGGTCCCGTTGTGACACCCGCAGCTCCTCGATCATGCAAACCCATGATTATGAGCGCTCCGACTACCGTGGGCAACGGAACAACATGAACGGCCACCATGTTTGGTAAACCATAGCCAATGAACATATCAATTGTGACTCACCGGTGCCGATGCATCGCATCTCGAGCGGTTGAAAGGTGGAGGCAGACGTTAAATGAACAGGCTTCGTTTCTGTTCTGTTACGTTTCCGGACCGGCACCTGCATTTAGATGTAGGCCTACCGAACGGGATTATATGGCTTGGGACTGACGGTCCGATCATTGGCGGGCGTAGAGCCCACCTCTGCGAGGATGATGTGACGCTGGATTCAACATTCTGTGAATCAATAGCCACTTATCACACCTGAAGAAGAAATTTTGTTTCAGACCATCGAGGTGCATACCCCGAGCGAAGTGGCAGACATTCTTGAGCGGGGTATGTAGACCAGATCGCCGACACACTCTAGAGTCATCGCATGATGTCATTGATTGGGCGTAACCTAGATATCGAACTGCACTGTGAATACAGCGCAGGCACAGCGGACACAGAATCACCATCCGCGATGCTTGGCCCAGTGACGTACCGAAGCCTAGCCCGTGGCACAAACGACGAGCTACAAATGGAGCAGCAAGCAGAATGATATAGCCGCCGACACTGTAAGATTTACTTACACTTGGTCCGCGGTTCCCACATGACAGCCCTGGAACCCTGGATCGCACGCTGCAAGTGGATGCACTGGTTCACGATTACGCACGTTTGAGATAATGGGTACGGTACAGATTTTTGATAGACACAACGAACGTTCCTGTTCGCACAACGACGACAATGCAAGACGACAAACAACAACACTACACGACACACCATAGATCAAGCATTAACCTTCCACAGAGGCCGCTTCCGCAACTTGCGCGTGACGTGGACCGTGCTCCCACCGTTATGTCCACCAAACGCAAGCACGACCGTCTCCTCCGCCCCTTGCCCACGAGCGATCCCGCGCTTCCGCAAGTCAATCGCGTCCTTCGCAAATTTGAAGCGCGCTTGGTCCGAACCTACTGTGGCTCAGTAACCGGGGTCTCGACTGTCGTAACCACGAACATACCTATTTGGAAGGTTGGCGACTCTACCGCAGCCTTGAACATATCAAAGGGCACAAGCGCGAAGATTTGCAACAAAGTGTCACGTCCGGCGTCAGACGGTTGCCCGTCTGGATGCGGCGAGATGGGCGTCGAAAGACCGCCTACGTTCAAAGTCTGAGGGAGCGTGACGACGAGGAAGTCGAACACGTCCTCCCTCAACCTCTGAGCAAAGGGGCCGAAAATTGCCGTCTGAGGAGGCATCTGGCGCTGCTCAATGGGTGTTGACGTCCCGTCTGATGGCGCAGGGACGGCATCCACGAATTGAAGCCAGGTAGAGATGTTCTCGACAGTGATAGACTGCCTGCAAATTTCGTACGCGTAGTTGCAGAGCTCGTCCATTCCACCGAGGAGGCAACCGGCGGCAAGCACGGACCGTGCATTTTGAGAAGTGATAGCCCGTATTGTTACAGAGGAATAGAGGTAACCCAATGCTGTATGGTTTGCATGAGCGACGGACTTTTCAAATGGGCATCAAATCGCACATACCAATGCTAAGACCCTGTTGATCACGGGATAGTCAGTCACGGAGGTGAACACTTCTAAAAGATGTCGGTACCTCTTCTGTTACCTCCGGCTCTTGCTCGAGGTTGAGATAAATATTGCACTGTCCAGTGGGTTGTGGCGTCGTAGACATCATGTGAGCCAGGAATGGCGAACGAGAGATGATGAGTGCGTGGAGTCGATAAGCGTGCTGATGGACGTGCTAGCAACCGGAGGAGACTTAAGCAAAAAGGAAAGCGAGCGATGTATGCAGTTGAGCTTACCAAATATGTATCCGCGTAACTCTAGGCAGACGGTACTGATCAATACAACGACGACTCGAAGGCTGCAATAGGTACGCACGCCTGTCTGGAATGCATTGTACAGATGATTCAATATCTCATCATTGTGAATCTGGAATGATGACGGCCTAGAATGTACCAATAGGTTGCGTGAGTAAGACACTCGACGCCGGAGAAAAATCGAGCGCGAATAAGTAGAAGTTGACCAGGGAATGTGCCATGCAATTCGACCATGGTCCTGTCACACAGGTACAGAACGCCCGCGTTTCGTACGAGTCGGGCGATACCCATACTCGGCCTGCCTCAGTCTCGGATATCGAGGGGTCCACTTACTGTGCATACCCGTTAACACCCGATGTTCCACCCGTACTTGTCGAGGGAAGAGACTCATCGCCATATGCTCCCTGCCTTGATGTATCCAGTCCGTTCACCGGACTGCCGTTGCCACTTCCAACATGTCCATTCATCGCTATTGGTGCTGACGTCGGTCTCAAAGTCGATGAAGCCAAATGTCAATTGTGGGCAGGATTCGAGGGCCAGCAAGAACGTCAAGTGGCGAGGAACGGTTGGGCCAGGAGCAAGCGAGGAATATGAGGAGGAACGACGCGTTCACAGGGTGGGTCTCGAGTCACAATGTGTGACGGTCACGGCCATCGCCTGCCGCCCGCGATGGCAGTGGCAATTGGGCGACATTGCAGCCTGAATTAATATTGACCTCACGCCCGCGCCCCATTAACTCGCCAGCCAAGTACGTAGCCTGATTACCCCCATTATAATACTCATTGATCAAGATTCATATTAACTCTTGTGGCTCGAAGATACGTATATGAAAGCCGCAGAATCGATGTTGACAGCCGTCTCCGACGCTCCGAGTCATGTTCTACTGACTCATCGGACTGAAGACAAGTAAGTATGCACTGTACATGCAGTATTAGTTGTATGGACAATCGTATCGCTCTCAGAGACAGTGACAGCAGTCGATCGACCGGGTGCGTCGCATGTGAGTCACATCCATCGTCGCCAGGTACCGGTACCGCCCCCGTGTCTGATACGACTCGATACAGTGTACACTGAGTGTACATATGTTGCGCTTGAATCGATGCTTTGTCGACAAAGGGGGTTGCAAGTCGACAAAACCTACCCCCGTCGCTCCTAGGTCGTCCCAAGGCCCCGTATTGACCGGTGACCAGTGACCGTCCGCACATCCATCCTAACCGCGTACGATGTCCAATGCCCTTGGAACCGGTTGTCTAGGATTATCTATACTTTCGCAGAGCCGCATATTTCCCAAGCAACGGGCCACACAACGGACCTGCGTATCGCTATCCGTAGCGGATTCCTCAGTCGTTCGCTTTTCCACAGCCGCTGCCGTCTGGTACCTCGATGCACCGGAAGGCGTGCAAGCAACGAAAGCTGTGTCCCCCGATCAGCTACGGTCATCCTTGGAGAGGACGCTGATTGACTACCCTCAGTGGGTTGGCCAACTGCATTGGGCCACTCATGTTCCCGACGGGGACCATACTCAACGCGCGGGACGTTTGTGCCTCACCTACGGTACTCCTCAGGACCCTGGTGTCGCATTCAACGTGGCGGAGTTACCAGTCACCATCGCAGCATTGGTCCCACCTGTTTCGGAAAGAGTACAGGGCGGGTTCTGGGACGCGACCCAACTGCCCTCCGGCGAACTTCTCCCCTCGACTCCGCTACCCCTTCACGATCTGGAGGAACACGTCGGTCTACCAGGACTCATGATACAGGTCACCAAATTCGCTTGCGGAGGCGTCGCAGTCGCCGTCAAGTTTGCCCATCCTCTTGCAGACGCACAGACGGTAGCGCGCTTCACGCACGATTGGGCCGCGACAAACCGCGCCATGGTGCTTGGAGTGCCCTTGCCAGTGCTGCAGCCCGTCTTCGAACCGCAGAATCTGGATAGGATGGCCGCTGGCGACATTGACGCTGCGCACGTTGACCCGGGACTATTAAAGAAGTCCCGCGCCCTGCCTAGGCATCGCTACGACTGGTGGGCAACCTCAACGCCGCACATCCCGGAGTCGCTGAAGGCAGCGACTGAGGTATCCGCCGCCGAGCCGATGCCTTGGTCCGAATGGAATGTGCAGGCGCCAGTATCCCACTACATCATACACTTCACCGCAGGCGAGATCCAGCGGATGTGGAAGGCAGCTCAGCCCGCGGCGTCCGCACAGACCGTATACGTTGTCAGTCGCCACGACGCACTCCTTGCTCATGTGTGGACGCTGGTGAACAGGGCTCGCGGTCTGGCTGAAGACGACCACCCCGTGCATCTGAACGTCACGCTAGGGTTGCGCAGCAGAGTATCGCCCCCATTGCCGGACAGTTTCCTAGGGTCACCGATCATCCTGGGACGTGTCTCGATGTCCGGACGGGATGCCTCGTCCGAGTCCCCTAGCGGGATCGCAGCGCGCATCCGCTCAACGGTCAATCTGTTCGACACCGAAGCTATTGCTGCGCTCCTACACGACATGGCCCACGACCTCGCACTTGTGCGCCTTTGGAACGCCTTCCTCGGTCAGCGTAACTTCTTGGTCACGTCCTGGATGCACCTCGGCCTGTACGACGTCGATTTTGGAACGCATTCGCGCGCACGATACGTGGAGGCTGTCATGCCGAGCTGCGATGGGTGTGTCCAGGTCATGGAGGCAGTGCCTGCCAGGGAAGAACACCCAGGCGCGGGAGACAACAAGGAAGGAGGAAGGCGGAAGCGTTGGTATGAGGATGGGGTAGACGTCTCCCTGCATCTCAATGCGGATGCGATGGAGAACTTGACGCGTGACCCATTATTACGAAAATATGAGGTATCTTCTGATGGGTGAGTATCAATTCGAGTCGTTGCGCGAACGAAGTAGCGGTAACTAATTGGTATTTCGCCTCAGCAGAAACGAGGACCTCGCGTGCGTAGAAATTGGGTGTCACGCCCCGGACGTCATCCCAACATTGACATAGAGTTGTATGAGACGGTGGAGAAGTTGTACGAGTTTTATGAACTCGTTTGAGACTCGCGCCACCTGCGAATCTTCGAGAGCAGCAGCCATGCCGAACCGCTTCTTCAATTGTGTGGCATGCAGTGGCTTCCTTTGATCGGCCCGCTCCCCGCCCCGCCTGCCCATGGCTGCGAGATTACCCAAAGTGTTGTAAGGGAATACAATTCCAGAAGGCATCGCGGATCGGCGGACATTACTGACTCGCACCGGGGTTGACGGTGTACAAGTAGGCGTGCGCAAGTACGCCTCATTCCTCGACATCATAAACGAGGGCGATGTGTGGCGAGGACCAGGACCTGTGACGCATGGTTTTGAGGTTTGCCAATAGGAGGTGAGCTAGGGAGATGACTGTCGTAATTGCTCGCCTCTGGAAGCTTTTCATCGAACCCTGAGGCGCTCATAGTATGCTTTAGGCGTTGGACGCTGGACACGCATTGCAGCCTCGACACACGGCCGGTCACAGTTTGCCTGACAAGGACTACTTATCTCTATACTGGGGCGCCATGAGTAATGCGCACGGATCATAGCAAGGTGTATCGGTGCGCAGCGTTCTTTACGTACCATACAGGTCATGCGGGCGAAGACATTCTTTGGCGACATGCGAAGGGCAATTCGCGACGCCAGTCCTGAGTCTTTCTGCCACGAACCTGTAGGCATTACATCGTGCCGACCAGGAGGGAATATGTCATGAAGACGCGCTACGCGATCCGTGGCGTGCGCGCCAGACGCGTGTGGTCATATTCACGTGTGCGTGACGCACCCGCATTGTCGACGCGTAGGACGAACGCACACATGTAGGTGACGGTATAGTATGACACGCAAACAGGCACGCATTCATACTCAGTCCCTGTAACGTGTGCATTGAGCACGAAGCAGTGGAAACCCCGCGAAAGCGTCAGAACGCGTCAAACCACGTACCTCTTCCCATACGATCCATCGGGGTACCCACTGTGTCGTTGAACTAGCCTAACAATGATAAGTATTACTATCCACGGAGTCGGACCACAATCGCCTATTACGTGCCATCGCCTTTGTCCCCGGAAAGCCAACGTAGAAAGTCAGACATATGCATCACTTCGCCATATGGGCTTCCGAGGTCTGCATCCGTCTCCGTAGGTCGTATCTCCGGCTTGGGAGGCGGAGGCTCGCGTAGTACCATCGATACATACGCATCCATCAGGTTGTTTTTGATGCCTGATCCATTAGCTCGTTTGCCGCAAAGGATCGGATACGATGGAGGCGCAGCCGTGTAGTGAGCTGTAGAACCGGGTCCATCCCTGAGCTGCGGGGTCGCCAAGGCTCTGTTAGCCAGACGTGGCACGCAATGACTGTACAACACTCATCGTACCATATGCGAGCGATCAGAGGCAAAATGATCGAGGTACGCTGCCGCTGGCACGACCCGGAAGAGACTGAATCCGCGCGACGTACAACGGCGAGTCAGCACCCATTATGTCCGTCCATGCGAAATGTTGAAAACCGACTTGCCTTTGGTACTCCAATGGTGTCGAGAACCCCCCGTCAAACACGTACGGGAAGGTCTTCGACACGTAGTCTGCCAGCCATCCGGAGAGACGAGGCCAGGGCGGACGCGGCGGAGCAGTCAGCTGCTGATGCGCGACACGGAAGGCGAGCGGATGGCGGACGCACCTGCCCACCTGCTAGGGACTGCAAGCCGGGTGTCGAAATCGTACACCCAGCTATCTCCTGCCGCCTGCGTCCGCTGCGGTCCGCCTTCGCGATGCGTCGGATCTTGCTCGCTGCTCTGCATGTGCTCGCGCGAGCGGAGAACGAGGATAACGTGGTAGTCCCATACTACCACGTCTTCCCGGGCCTTCTGGCTCCAGAGGGCGACCTACAGAATAGTCGACGTCTCAGTATGCACGGCCCGTCTCGAAATCGGGCGCGACGGGAGGCGGGATGCATGAGAAGCGAGGACAGACGGACCGTCTTCCCGTGGTTCGATATGAACACGACGGACGCCTGCCACGGCCAATCGGCATCTGCCCCGGCTGTCGAGGCAAATGCTTGGGCAAGCAGGTATACATTCTCTTCACAATAGCAGGACGTGTAGATGCTGTCAGGAGGGAGCGGAGGAGGCATGTGTTGCTTTTGTTTCACCGACATAGTCGTAGATTGAGATCAGGCAGTGGCGCTAATAGGCAGCAGCAGACAAGTCATTGCATGGGATGAAACCAGGTAAAGAAGCACAAGTACATGCGAGTCAATATGAGAAGCCACGAATCCTCCCGAGCGCACCGATTACCCAATATGTCGTATCCTAGAGTAGCCCTCAGGCTGGTCATATCATTACAGTCCACAGCTTTCCACCATCGTCGTCGCGGAATTGACGGAAATGAGCAGGCAGCAGGGTGATAGAGTACAATCCACAACACTCGATGACGACAAGTCATGGTCTGGACAGAGAGCACGGGGATCAGCGAAACGGAGCGCGAAGGAGATAGCGCGCAGACGCACCATGGATGGGTATAGTACATCAATGGGTATCGCGAGCACCGGCATCACCGCCTGGCGTGCGGCGAGCTGCCCGGCGCATACTCCAGCTGGTCGATGCTCCAGGTATTCTTGTTCGCGAAGACGTCCGAGACTCTCTTCTTCAGCAAGATGTCATCCAGCTCCGGCGACGACCGCTCAGGGCGGAACGGCACGAAGATGGGCCTCGGACCACTCGAGGCCGACTTCGCGCTCGACTTGGATGGCGGAGGCGCCTTCCGAGGTTGAGGCGCGCGGATCGCGTTGTGCGAGCTCGGCACCGGAACCGTCGCAGCGTCCGCCTTCAGCGTCGCCGGGATAGGACGGGGGAACTGCGACGGCGCGGCGGGCTTGGGCAGCAAGCCGGAGTTGTTCGTGAACGGGTGGGTCGCGAGGGGGTCGAAGGACGAGAACGCGGTCTGGGTCGACATTGTTGAGTCGGGTCAAAGCACAGTGGGACTCGGAGCAGCGGGCAGACGGTTGGATGAGAACCGGGCTGTTGGTGAGCGATACCGAGTAGTCTTTTGTAGATACGAGCAAGAGACGCGGAAAGGAATAGCGCGTCGGAGGGATGGAGAAAAGGAAGAGGCAGGGCACGGGAGGTTATATAGAAGAGGAGCTTGCGAGCGTGGTAGCCCGTGGCTAGCTGTGGCCACGGATGAGGGGCCCGGAAGTTTAGCGGGCTTGCAAGCGACCCTCCCTTGTGATCACATGTGTTTCTCGTTCCTGTTCCGTGCTGCGTCCACCGCCCATGCCAGTCGCGATAAACACCCCCGAGAACATCCGAAACATCCCCCTCGTCCTGCCTCTTTGGTCTGCGTCCAGGGCCTCCCAATTGGCTGGCCACTAGCAGTCCACTAGCAGATCACAGACGCATCTACGATTAATAGATGCAGGTACGCTTCCTCCGTGGACTCGCAGTATCGAACGCGCTACCACGGCACGCTCAGCGGAATCTGGACTGAGAGTCACATCCTAATTTGCACGGCAATGATCAGACTATGTCAGGTGCGTCATCGAGAGTTTGTTCGCGGACACGACTCGGAACGTATGAGGTAACCGTCAATGAGTTCGCTTGCGCGGCAACGACCTGCATGCGTCGTTGCGCCTAACGTCGAGGGTGTGTTTTACGAGAGCAACAACATAATGCCTGTCGGACACGCTGCCATCAACTGACGCTAGCGACATTGTCAGGCCGGCTCACGGCTGATGATATGCATAACAGAAACATAGGGCCGAAAAGCAAGCTCAACTGCCCGTTGGGGAATGTGATGTATGGGATATCAATAGGCCATCGGTGTGGTTCTTGCGAAGGAAGCAAGTCATCCAATGTACGCCCGCACCCTCTCACGGAAGTGACGGAACGTCGCGAGCCCATCCTTGTACAGGCGACAAGCAATTGTCCCCGAAGGTTCTCCCGAACCTTCACGGGCAAGCAAGACCCGCTGTCGCCCAACACAAACCCGTCAGCTGTCCCATTTTGTCGCACATTTTACAACTCGGTCGGAACATGCAAAGGTTGTAGTACGTCTTCGTCTCATGCAATCATTTGGCTTGACGCTCTCTTTGCTCTGTCTTGCCGTAAAGATATGGGATACCCGCCCTGTGGCACGCGCAGACCATCGCACGGAGCCTGCATGGTGGATGCACAAACCTTGTCGGAACAGACACGAATAGGAAGAAGACTTCCCAACAGAGTGGCCTTCGTACTGCACCCCAAAATGTATGTTCTCACCAGGTAGGGTGGTCCCCCGAATGCTATGCGTTTCGTCGTGGCATTCGGCTTCGTCTTTCCGGTCAAACGGAGCTCATCCAGAAGCGGTGAGACGCGCCATGATCTGTATCACTCCATAGCTTGCATTGCTCCCGTCGAGTATAATGTGTTCTGCGCACGAGACAGTGGCTCTAAACATACTACAGAACGAGATAGTCTAGGTGCTTGCTGTAAACGGCCAGTCATGTGTGATGCGCAGTGGAAACAAGCGGAGTGTTGGAAGTACCAAGGGACATCGCCTCCTCGTCGCTCCCACCGTCGCACCGTGCCCGACTCGGACAGGACGTCTGCGGCGCGTCGGTGAACCCCGAATGGCCCCAGGTCCAAGAGGTCGAGGCATACGCACGGGCTAGGGAGCGTAATGGGCGGGACGCTAGAGGGCTGGGGATGTGTTAATGACGGAATGGTGCAGATCCCAGCGTCGCGCGCACCCTTATGTAAGAAGGAAGCCTTCCGCCGTCATACAGGCTGCTCGACGCGCGCCGCGAACCAGATAGAGCTCGAAGCCGTGATGGAAGATCTATGTCCGCGACGGTGGAGTACATCATACTGTCGTCAGAGCTGCCAGGAATAGTCTAGTCCATATGCGGAGGAAGCCAGCCTCGCAGGATGCGCGACGTCCTCATGCGGCCGCGCTGCCTCGACCTCGTTCTGAACAGCGAACGCGGGGTAGCACACTGGTTGCACTCATGATCATGTTCCCGTAACTTCCGCGTGTCGCCAGGTGCCATGATCTCTGGGAAATGAAGACGCTAGCCTCCCGTTCAGAGCTAGACAGCAGGAAGAACGCCGTCCTCTAGACGTCCGCTATTCGGAACAAGGTCAATCGTGAGGTCACCTCGACGTTTTAGGCAGCCAGCGAATAGATGAATGTGATTCGAAGCAAGGTTCCGGCGCCAGGGGCATTCTATGAAGTGTATCAGTTTGGAGAAAGCTAGCCAGAACAACAGCAAGTCACCAAGAGCTTACGGTATTCTAGGTCAGCCGGAACGCCTGCATGCTGTTGTCGAGCTGACGTCTGTAGATGAAGGGGGATAAGCGCTCGTGCGAAGAGCGCCAAACGCGGTCACGCACCCACGTGAATGTAAGCGCCGATTGCCTTCCTCAGAAATTTTGGACTTTGAGCGGGAATTGGACCTTGGTCGGCGTTGGTCGCGAGCACCATGTCCACCACACTACCGCTCTTCTGGGACCTCTCTTCTGCTTCTGCGAACACGCGGATCGATGCCTCTGTGAAGCTCGTCAGTTCCCTCGAGCACTTCCAGTCTCAATTCGTGCCGAAGAAAAACATGGGCCGTGGAGAGGACGGGGCGGAGCAGAAGGGCGATGGCTTGGATGCCTTGAACGCGCAGGACGTATCATACTCGATACGTCGACTTGTAAGGGGACTGGCGAGTCCGAGAGAGAGCAGTCGGTTAGGTTTCGCAGTAGCGTTAACGGAGGTTAGTCCTTCGCGCAACTACTCTGCATTCGATGTAACATAGGCCTCGGTGTATGCAGCTCTTGTCCAAGATCGACACGGTGACATGCTCGCAAATTTTGGCCCTGGTTCTGGACTCCTCCAAGACCGAAGGCACCATGACCGGCCAGGAGGAACGCGACATGTACTTTGCTCGTCTTTTCGGCTTCATCTCCGTCATTCAGTCCGGGTTGCTCTTCCGCGAGACAACACTGCCATCGTCATCCAGCCTCGTCTCAAGCTTGGACAACTACAAGGAAGCGTTTGCTGAGCTAGTGGCCCTCGGCGAGAAGAAGTCCTGGCTGCGCGAGAGCGCTTGGTGGGCGATCGGTCTTGCCATTGAGGCGCTGCTTGCATCCGACGTCTCGTGGAAGGATGACGCTGTAGAATCCACTGTCAGCGTATTATTTGCGGAGAAGAAGGCGTGGACGCCCGAGAAGATTGCCCTCACGCTGAAGCTGCAGACTCAATTGCCCTCCCGAGACTGGCAGAAACTATTGTCGCCCACGTTCAAAAGTCCGGAGCTGCTGATTACAGGAAACCTCGGAACCATTGCTCGCATACTGAGGGTATGTTCGTTCACCGAAGCCCATATCCTCGTCGTCCTGAAGCATTTGTGCAGGAATCCAATGTCGACGATGACGAAGAATCCGACGTTCCCAAGTCAGGCGCTTGGAAGCCTCAAGTACACTTCGTTTGGGACATGCTCCTCGACCGACTGCTGTCTCCTCCGGCGCAAAAGGGCTCAAATACTGCTCCATTCCCTGACTTCTTCCGGATAGTAGTCGATGGTGATTTATGTTTGGTACACGTGCGGACAATGATCGCTAATGCTCGATGTTCAGAGTCTTTGTTCTCGAACACGTCTTCCCCGGAGCGCAAGTACTGGGGCTTCCAAATATTCACCAAGGCCCTTCCTCGCGTCAGTGCTGATGACATGCCCATGATTTTCACAAAGAACTTTATGCGGTCGTGGATTAACCATCTATCGAAGAGTGACCGCTATCTTCACAAGGCCGCGAGACAAGTGGTAATGTACCGTTTTTCTTACCGCTAGCTGGCCTGCATTCTGACTCTTTGTGCCAGGTGTCAGACATACAGTCCTATGTCAAGGAGAATCCTGCGCTTGGCTTCACCCTTATCTTGCAACTCACGGGTGTGAACGGAAGCCGTCAGTTCGACAAGCTAACCAGGACAAAAACGGTCGAGTCGATCCTGACGTCAATGGACAAGGACGGGGTCCAGAACTACATTGACTACCTCCTGAAGCAAATCAACGATGACCAGACCGGCGAGCCGTATGTCCCTTCCGAGCACGCGGCAGCTTTCCAATGGCGCTCACGCGATCACAACAGGGTTGACGCACAGGCCGTGAACTCCCGCCGTGCATGGATTATAGATCAGCTGGCCGCCCTCGTCCGCAATGGCGCGATCCCAAAAAGCGACGATTGGGTGCAGTCCATTCTAGACTGGCTTGCTGTCCACGGTCTCTTCGCCGTCACCAAGAAGTCCGAGAAGAGTCCCATTTCGGCGGTAGGTCGCTACCGCCCCCGATTCGCTGCGTGCATGTGCCTAACTTTCATCTCTGTCAGCTTCGCAGTGTGCCTGCACCACAATTCTCCGACGAACTCAGGAAGCTGTGCCGCGACCGCCTGCTCAGCTGTTTAGCCGACTTGACTGGGCATACCACTGCCGTGGAGAAGGGTAAGTAGTCGCGCGCTCATCGGTACGCGTTGGCGTCTCATATGTGGCCGGATGATTCTAGAGGACAAGACTATTGTCAAGATCCCCGCAGTGGCATCCGACGGGCGGTTCTGGGTGGACAGAGTGCTCTCCACTATCGAGAAGCTCGAGAAGGATCCAAAGCACGTCGCCGTCCTCGCTGAGCTTGACGAGGAGGATCAAGCATTGCGAAGCAAGGCGCGTCAGCTGGCCGCGCGGCTGAAGACGGTGGGTGGACACAGTTCGATACACGTTACAACATGCCAACAAGCTCTTTAGGTTCCGGGGCCTCAGCGGGAGGCCGCAAGAGGCGCCGAGCTTCTCCTCTCAGCTACCCTTCTTCACCACTACTGCGCCGACGAGGAAGCCGACGCGGAAACATTAGAGGTAGTGCTTAGTCTGCTTTCACGTGAGACAGCGCTGACGGCATGCTATATTACTAGAGCTGCATTGATGGAGCGACGCGGATGTTCCCAGTAGAGACAAAAAAGAGCAAGAAACCACGCAAGTCCACAGGCGGCGATGCTGGGGATAGCGCGGCTGATGTACTGGAACCTGTGGATGTGTTGGTGGACAACGTTATCGGCTTCTTGGAGCAGGCCACGGCGTACATGCGCGCGGTGGCCAATCAAGTGTTCTCGCTGCTGTCTGGTTCGGTCCAGGAGAGCACTATCAGTCTCATTCTCACCGTAAGTATTGTACGGACATCTGCTCTCTCGTCATATTAATAACGAAGATCAATCGCAGCAATTGGAGCGTCGTGATCCAGCTGAACTCATGGCAGTCGAAGACGAAGAGATGGAGGACGACGAAGATAGCGGAGATGAGGAGGCGGAAGAAGACGAGTCGTCCGAAGAAGCGGAGGACGAAGATGAGGACGAAGACGCCGACGAGGAAGAGGATCTTGAACTCCGGAAGAAGATCGAGGAAGCGCTGCGAATCAATGGAGTCGAGGCCGCGACTGGCGAATCTGACGATGAGAGTGAGGAGGAACTCATGGACGATGATCAGATGCTCGCCATCGATGAACAGTTAGCTGCAGTCTTCAGAGCACGCGCCACGGAGAAAAAGGGGAAAGGTGGGGCAGCATCCCATGATACCTTGATCCTTTCACTTATTCAGGTTAGCAGATGTCGACGCACAGCGGGAGGCCACACACTTCAAGAACCGCGTACTCGATCTCCTCGAGATATTCCTCAAGAAGCAGCCGTCTAGCCATCTGACGGTCCGCTTGATTATCCCGCTGGTAGACCTAATCGTGGGCACAGGCCCAGACGAGAAGCAGCTGGCTGACAAGGCGACTGGTATATTGCGGTCCCGAGTGGGCAAGGCCAAGGAACTCCCTTCGTCAGTTGACAAGGATGAGGCTGCGGAGGTGCTCCAGGAGTTGCATTCGCGAGCCAGGAAGGCACCATCTGCTGACGTTCTTGCTACTCTGAGCGCTTGCACCATGTATGTGGCGAGGGCGCTGCACCATGTAGGCGAGGACGCACCGATTGTCCGGGCCTACCAGGAGTCTCTAGTTGACTTTGTCACCCGCAAGGCCTCCCGGTTGAACACGCAATTCCTCCAGGACTTTGTACGCCGACAAGTGGCAGTCGCATGGGCACTGCGGGATGATCTCCTCGACGTCACTAGCAAGGCGGTCAACGCTTATCGGCAATGTCAAGTATTCCTGCTCATCCATGCCTTAGTCAAGGAGCTTCCGCAATTGGTGAGCACGAGTGTGTCTCGTGTCCCGCTAATAACGACTAACGGGTTTTGTAGGGTGACGAGAGTAAAGCCGACGTCCTTGCATTTTTACCCAAGCTGCGAACTGCTCTCATCGACGTCATCTCACAAGCATGCGACGAGTCTGAAGCGTCTCTTACGGCTGCTCAAATTAAGGAGCTCTTCAAGTTGGCACTGCTGGCCGTTCGTCACATGCGCCGTACAAACGCTAGTGCCGAAGAGTTGTTGGTCGTTTGGGACCCTCAGTCGTGGAACGATCTATCGACCAAATTGGCAGCAAACCCTCGCTTGATGTCATCCACGGCCTTGCAGACATCGTGCAAAGAGATAATTCGGGCTGTCGGTGAGTCTGCAAAGTCGGGCAGCGATAGGCCTACAAAGAAGGGCCGTACAGACAGTAGTGCTACTGCCAGTAAACGGAAGGCTGCAGAGCTCGAGGATGCTCCTGCGCCGCAAAAGGCCAAACCCAAAAAGGCTAAGAAAGCAAAGACTTCCTAGGTAGATTATGTATTGGATATCGTATGCATATGCTTCAGTTGCGCGACGATGTCCGTTAATTCGTGTAGATGTCTGTTCACCTCATCTGGTGGTGAGTGGATAGTGGCCTTGATTAGCCCAAGGCATTTGCGGATCCTAGTACAGCGCGTATGAGAGAGGCCAGGCCGAATGAGGTACGCGTGTCTACTGACCTGTTACGCCGCACCCTGCCTTCCGTGGAGGCTCGTAAGGCGGCCGATTGTGAGGTAGCTTCTTGCAATATCGACTCCGGCAGGCCAGCTAGTCGGGCACATTCAACGCCGAACGATTCCTCGGTGACGCCAGGGGTGAGGCGGTATAAGAATGTGACCTCTCGGGTTCCGTCAATCCTGGTCTCTTCAGTGTAACCCATATGTACGTTCTGAACGTCGGCAGGGAATATGCGTTCCATGTCTACAGCTAATCGGGGATAGTGAGTGATGAACAAAGTCCTGCATTTTGTATGCTGTACGAGGTGTTGTAGGACGGCATTCGCAATCGCCATCTGTGCAATACAAGTCAAACAAAGTGTTCTGTTCGATACCAAGGGAGGACATACTCCGTCAAACGTTGCCGTACCACGACCTAGTTCATCGAGGATTACCAAGGATCGCGCGGTAGCCATCTGGATAATATCACTTGTCTCTTGCATCTCAACCATGAAGGTCGAACGTCCGCGAGCCAGTTCATCAGAAGCTGGCAACAAGCTGAACAATGGAGGCCAAGGGTTGATTGTGTGGATCGACTTACCACCCATTCGAATGAGGATCCCATCCATAGGAGAGAGTCTCATCGACTGGGCTGGGACATAAGAACCGACCTGAGCCATCTGTGATCGACGTCTGGTTAGAATTACCCTTGTGAAGGATACAGACGAACACTAACGATGGCGCAAAGCGCAATCATTCTCACCGCAGAGCTCTTTCCACCCATGTTAGGGCCAGTGATGATCTTGGTGCTTGGCTGTCCGCCACCTATCGACACTGTATTTGGGACGAAGGGATCAGACCGTAACACTTCCACCATTGGATGCCGACCCTCAACCAGGTCTAGCACATCATCCTCTACGAATTCGGGCTTCACATAACCTTCCTGCAGCGCTACGCGCGCCAAGCCCAAGAGACAATCGCCGACGGCCAGCTTGTTTACGGCATCCCGGAACAGGGCGTAGTACTTCTGGGTGATCTCCTGCAGGAAGGACTGGTACGCCTTGTTCGCCTCGGCAGTCAGAGATTCTTTGTACTGTGCACGCTCTTGGAGTTTGGCCCTGACTTCTGGAGTGTGGTATCGTCTCACCGACCTGGTGCTGTTTGACAAAGCTACAGCATCGTCTCTAGACGGCAGGCGCAGATGGCACGACTCACCTGGACACCAGCTGCCAGTTGATAGGGATGTCACGGTTCTCGCTCTTCCCGATCTCTACAAGATACTGAATACACATCAGCGCCATATAATCCGACGCCGAGGTGAAAACATACCTCTTCGCCAGCCACGGTTGTGTACTGTAACGCAGGCTTTTTGATTGTCCTTCGGACTGTTATACTATCTCATAAGACGACAATCAAGTAGCAGCCGAACTGCACCCACTCTTGCGTAGCTCGTCCACGAGCTCCGACTCAACTACCTGAATACTCTGCTCCGAGTCGCCTTTATCAGCATACGCTCCGTAGTCGATGACGGGAAGAGACCGACCGCAGTGTGCACATCTATGTTAGGATACTTGTCTGGATCTGCCCATAGAAGTTCCATCTTGCCCTCCTTTGCTGCTTTGAGATTGACATTGTCGAGGATGTATCGCATCGGTTCCCGCAGCTTTGGCAGGGCCGCCGCGATCTCATTGAGCAGCGGCGACTTGAACAACGCATCCTGAGGGCTCGTTATGGGTTGAAAGGTCGACGCGACCCTACTGAGCGCGGGGAGCAGGACAGACAATTCCTGCGGGGTACACTGTTCAACCGACCGATTTGGCAAGTCAACAGTCAATCCTAAAGACCTGCACGGTGAACGACGCCGCAAGACACACCTTCCCGTATTGAATGCGACATAAGCCCCGCGCAAGGTCCGGCTGACGCTTCAATGACTCGCGCAGGAGGATCAACTTCGGTGTTTCGTCGGCCAGGATCTCCTCCACGGCCTCGATTCGTTCCTTCAGAATCCTGAACGGAACACGCAAATGTCAGTGACACTGACATATGGAGGTGTAGCGCGGAATCACGAATCAGAGCGAGCGCATTTGCTTGCAGGTTCGTCTCCCAGGACCACGCAGGAACTGCGGGATGATTGAATGGGATTACAAACCTCATGTCGACCAGCGGCCGTCCGACCCAACTTCGCAGCATCCGCGCGCCAAATTTCGTAGACGTCTGGTCAAGAATCCACATCAGCGAACCCTTGGTCGTGTAGTCCGTTTCATTTCGGTAGATTTCCCTGTCGCGCACAATCGCCAACGCTAGTTAGCTTGGGCTAATCTTCAATGTGAATCTAACACTGCACGAGGCAGCGATACTCACAAGTGCGTCAACGTGTTACTGTTGAGGAGCATGTGAGTGCGCTCTGTGAGTTTTGCGAAGAATTTGGTCTCGCGGAGACAGTCTGCCACACCGAATGCTGCCAGATACTTCGCCGCGTAAGCCAGTGCAAGAGCAACCAGCTTCGGAAAGTCGGAGACGGTTGCCATGAGTTGGCCTATCAACGTGAGACACGATAAATCCCCGTCAATTTCAAGTCTCCGCAGAGCAAACGGGGCCTGACAGACCTGAATTGTAACCTTCAGATGCCATAGCGGACTTGGATTTGTCCGTATAGAAGGATGTAAGATATGAAAAGGCCTCGGTGTAGGAGAGATCATGCTTGGTCCGCTCTGTACGGATTTTATGGTCCGGGTTTGTCCAGTCTGCATTCGAGATCCTTAAGAGTGGCGAATTACGATTTCGGAGTACCAGGAGAAAGACAAAGTACATACTGTGTGAAATGTGCGATCATCTTCTCGCTTGCCTTGCTGAGCTTGTCGTCGGGAAGGAGGAGCTCGTAAGGTTTAGAATGGACCATCCGTGTCTACATGAAGTCAGGATTGACTGCGTGTACAACAGCGATTTCGAACGCAGACTCACCTCTAGTTCAGTGCGCATGTGGTTATCTGGAACAGATTGATGAAGTTCTCAATCCATCGGTGATTCAAAGTAACATACCCTCGAAGTCGTCCCACATCACGTCGCCAGTGCTAGCGGAGATGACGATCACTCCCACTCTGACCTTTTCATCGGAGCCCATACCACCCATAGGTTCCTCGACTAAGCACATCAAGGACGGGGCGAATGTCGGATCGAGTTCGTCTACTGAGTCGATGTCATCTATGTAACTGGGCGGATGTTAATATAGGTAAGGAGAACTAGTAGTAAAGATGGACGTACGTTGCAGCGGTGTACATATGGGTTACTTCACGATTGAACAACTCGTTCCTGTTGTCGCCGGCAGCCTTCAAAGCGGCTGTCTCTGTTTGCTCGACTATGCCTACTTTGTAGCCTCGCGAGAGCAATCTACACTCATAAGGGTTCAGTTGAGCGCATCGTCCCGACACATGGATGCACCGAAAAATGCTTACTTTCGCAAGTAGATGTGCTTCCTATGCGGAGGTATCCAAGCATTGAGAAAGTTTCTCTTCGGGAAGCAGGCGACTCCAAGCTCCTTGGAGGCTATCCTTGCATCCTCGCCGTTGAAGATCATCTTGTAGCCGACTTCGAACATCAAGAGGGTCCCAGGATATCGTTCTATCAAATCCCGGATCTGCGAACCTAACGCATTCGTTGCCGTCCAGTCTTAGGAGGAGTGAGTGCGCACCTGAAGTTCCAAAGGAGTATACGGTAGTCCGCTTGGACCTATCTCCTCTACTTTCTTCTTCCGACTTGGTACACTCCGCGCAGTAGCCTTCCCTTTTTTCCTCTTTCTCTTCGATGTGCTCGAATTGGCCCACATTCCTTGCATTTCTGAGAACAGATGTCCTCGGCCTTCCGATTCTTCTCCGGAGTCTGGCTCGCCGGTGGCAGCAGCCACAGTCTGCGACTCGTCCTGTTCCTCACGGTATTCCTCATCGAGTTCCTCGCCTGTGTGCCTTCTAGTGAGAATACCAGGATTACCAAGTAGAATGCGCTTGGCCCTTTCGTGGCGTTCGTTCGTCTTGCGCCGTGTCGACTGGGTTGACGACCCAGGTTCGAAGCGCCAATGTTCGGCCAGGCCACCCGGTCGCGTCTGGCTGGTAGAAGGTACGCCTTCCCGCTGACGTTGAGATGAATCTGCAGTGAAGAAGGTACTGGTGGTCTTCGCCCTCTTAGGAGGTGGTGCAGCAGCCTCGTCGTCAGAATCTGCAGTTAGGTCGATCGTGGCACTAGGTCGCTTCCGCTGCTGAGTCCCACCGGGAGACGAACTAGCCTGAGAGAAGAACGATGAGATAGCCGCTTGCTTCGTCGGGGTAGAGGACGACATCGAGGAGGAGGATGCTGAACGTGAACGTGTGCGACAACAAGAAACAAAGGGCGCAGCCGGACCAAAATGAAATACTCGTTCCAGTTGTATAGGCGCCCAACATGCGTAATGACAGGAAGGCGGGAAGGAGCCAGCTGAACTCGTACGAGGCGCTCCTCTCGATGCCGAACTATTCCTTGGACAGTCGTAGCGTCCAGAGTGGAGGTGGAATAATGCTGCTGAAGTTTATCGGCAGGCTGCCCAAGACAGGCGTATATCACTCAGGGATTGTATCATGTAGGTGGCACAAACCGTGACGCCAGGCATGAGCATACGGTTACTACATGACGATATTCTGAGAGAGGATGGTGCCTCGCAGACATTGGGATCTGAGGGCTCGAGATGAATTTATCTTGAGGATAAATCATTCGACTGTGCAACGACTGTGCGGGTGATCCTCGCGAGTCGCGACCACGACCAGTCTGACGCGTCGAGCGCGTTTATGTCAACCGCCACAAGCGCGACACCCACGCCACCGACGCGTAGCCGCGCCAGGCACCCACCTGCAGGCGAGAACATGAACACGTTGCGCGGCTTCTCACTTTACATACAATGCGTAAAAAGCAGAGAGGCATTGCGAATCAATACAGGTAGTTGAACCGAAATGAGGCAGACGCAAGAGCACGGATTCACATCACCATTCAGGCTGATCAGTGCTGGTAAGTACGCGCTTCACCGTATAGTAACTTGCTCAAGGACTCTCATCCGTAATGAAGTCTCTGAGACATGACCGGTCTGACCAGTCTACATTTGTCCTCCGTCGGGTACAGCATCTCTCGCCAAACAGTCCGATAGAGCTCGATAGTGACCGCCTCGTCGGCGAGCGCGTCATCTTCTTGACCTCGCGCATGACCTCCTCCTCCTCTGCATACCATCCCATACTCTGTAACCACAAAGCCGGATACGGCGCGTCATTACACTGCCACCAGGAGCCAGAACGCGACGCGGTCAGTGGGTCACGCCCCCGCGTACCGGATTGCTCGATCGAGCTGCTGCGGGCGGAGGAGGAGCGCTGCCGCAGACTGCGATAAGTAACATTACTGTATCGCACACCATGCCTCCCACACACGCCCATGCTTCCTTTCCGCATCGTCGCGGCCCTCCTCCCGGGCGTCGCGCTCGCTGCCCAGCAACCTTTCGTGCAGCCTGCACATGATCTAGAAATACCATCGGACAACTCGAGCGCCCCATTCATCTTCAACGCGCTATCTGGACTTCTCCAGCAATGGCCCAACACCTACCACTGGAACGGGCACACGATCGTCCCGGGGACACTGGAGCCCTTCACTCTCCTCTACCATGCACGCAGGGATCCTGACATCCCAGATGCGGAGGAATGGTTCGCCTTCGATCCCGAGATGAGCTACGGGATCATGGGCGGGCGCGGCCTCACCTTCATGCTCACGTACCAGACCCTCCGACCGGTCAAGGTCATCTACTTCGACGGTATGAGTGCATCTCTGAGCGATTCCGGGTGGCTGGATAGCCAGGAAGTCATTCTCAGCGGGAAGGGGAAGGGCGATAACACCCCCATGGAGGGCGGGGGCGTCTTCGGTGAAGACAGACGTCTCAGGGGACTCTGCAAATGGGCACGGAAGTTCAACGTGGAAGGGATCGTGCGCATGAACGCCGGCTTGTGCGTCCTTCCACGTTCCTACTTCCTGTGCCTTGCTCACCCGTCCATAGCGAACTGATGTGGTGCGACTTTCAGTCGCCCTCCATCCAGCTCGTCAGTTACCTAAACGTTACCGCCCCAGGGACACCGTACTGGAACGGCTCAGGCTTTCCGTGGCCAGGGGGCCCCGGTCGCGGACCCGGTCGTCCGCCCGAAGACCGTCCCGATCACTTTGCTCCTTCCGCAGACCCCGACGACCCGCCCAACAAAGACCCACCACAGCCGCCCCGCCGCGGACCCGGCCGCGACCCGCACGGCGGGCCCTTCTCCGGGCCTCCCTCTCCCTTCGCGTCCACCTCTTTCCCGGAATGGCTGCGCGCCGCGACCGTGCGCAACCTCTCCCCGCAGCCACACGTCGCGCTCGACCTCGGCTCGTTCGTGACGTTCTACAACCCGCGCTACGAGAGCCTCGCGCATGCGCGTGCGTCGCAGAAAGGCATGCGCGAGCACCGCGCGTGGCTGAACATCTCCGACGAGGACGCAGCGGCGGTCGTGCGGGAGGTGGAGGACGTGCTGAGCCGGCCGGCCGGGGAGGGAAGCGGCATGAACTGGAACACACTCGCGAGAGACGTGGTCGAGGAGTGGGCGGGGCGGACGATGCAGCTCAGGGCGTTCCTCGGCAATGCGAGCGCGGACGCGAGCGTGAATGCTACGGAGACGATCCTCGCCGTGCGCCGCCTTGCGTACTCGCCGCTCAATCCGTACATGGACACCACATCTGCGCCGGATTCAACTGCGTGGACGTCGTTCTTCGAGGCGAGCCCGATGTCGGCTGGATGGTCTGTACCGTTCGTGACGCTGGGGACGAACACCTCGGCGCTCGAGCGATGTAAGTACGCTGCTACAACCGTTACGCATCGTTCAGGCGTGCGCCTGACCCCGCAGGAAGAGCTCCTGCGCGTGAGCGTGGAGACCGTGCTGAGCCGGCTCTGTTCTGACTACGGCAGTATGTTTGTAGAGAGCATGGAGGCCGACGAACATGCTCCCATCGACTCAATTAAAGCGCTGATCGCGGGCTGGGAGGACCGCGTCGTCGCCCTCATGGAGTGGCTCGACTGGACCGAATGGCTGCGATGCGACCAAGTCTGCGCTTCCGACGTGAGCACGCTTATTCCTTTACACTGACTAGAACCAGAGGTTAACATGATCGTCTGCAGAGCGTCTGCAGCATGCCTCTCTGGCCTGTCTCCATGTGGATGGGCCTCGGCGGGGGCATGCCCCGCAGACCTGGAGGCGGCCGAGACGACAGCGACAACCCGGAGGTGTGGAAGCCCAGATGCGTACCGCTCCGTGTTCAGCAATTCGGTTGGCCGCCTCGGAGGAACGCTGACCTCGAGCTGCTCCTCGCGGCCAGGCATGTACTGTGATCCACGAACCTTCTGCTGTTCCTATGTAACGTCTATCTAGAGTGTACTGAAGGGTGTTTGGTGCTGAGGATACTTGTACTTCATATGTTACCCGTGTTTCATTGTATTACTACACATACAAGGGCCCACATCCCCGGATTTTCGCAGTTTACATCAAGTTTACATAGAATATGTGTGCGGATGGATCCAGACGCAGACTGAGAGAGCAGGTCGGACTCCAGTCTCATACTCCAGAGCACCAGGACCCAGTTGGTCGGATTTCCAGATCCGCTCGTATGGTCCCGGCTAACGCAAAGACAGTTGACGTGGATACTGACACTGTTGGACGTTGCAAGGAAGCAACACGAACCTTTATTCCCGTAGCTGGATCGCGAAGCGCAGCATATGCCTTGAGCTCGCCCATAAGGTAGTTGATCTGCATACGTGTTCAATTCAGTATGCATTTGAACCACGAAGACAATAAGTCGGCGGCATCAACGCTGAGGCCTTTTGTTGTGTTGTGAGCACGCATCAATTACTGACGTGAGTGCAACAAGGTGGATGACAGTCCTCGGCGGTTCTGCCACCCATTGTCAATTACGGGCCTGATCTATAGGTTGGAGATGAGACATGCAGCACTACCCAACTGTCTCCGTATGTCGTGGTAGTCCACATCATGAGCTACTCGGGGAGTCAGCCTAGCCGAAGATCTCAGGAAAGACGGAACCACTCACAATCTTCTACCTCACCCCAAAGCTCGATCTGGCTATTGACCTCAACGTGAGCCGCGAGTGCTGCTTCCTCTGCCGTAACTTGCCTCTTGATGAGAGCAAGGGCAATCAGGAACGACTTGGATGTGTAAGTGATCCGTTCCATAGCTATTTCACAGACACATAAGCAACGACGAAGAACAGAAAAGGACGTCGAGAACGACATACCAGCCATCTCCCACGCGTCAAACCCTGACATCAGCTTGTCAAGTTTTTCGTAGGTCTCTTGCGGATGTGGGGGAAGCAGGAGCGAGTCTGTCGTGCTGATGCCGATTTCAAAGGTGGACTGCGCCCAATTGATTATTGGCCACCAGTGAGCTGACTGTAGCTTCAAAATGGCAGCTGGCTGAGTTTGGTGGAAGCTAAAGGATGGCCGTCAACCCTCAGATGGCGGTGAATATGGAGAGAAACGCACCATATTGTGTCCGTCTCGAAATACTTGAGCAGCTGTCCACGTACTTCTGCCCGAGTCTGCTCCTCGGAGAAAGCGTCAATAGCCCTGGAGGCAATGGACGTCTGCCCGAATTCTCAGCGAGATGGCATGCACAGGTAGTAAACACACGTACCATCGGCAATGAATGTGGCTTGAGCAGTGTCTCCTGGTTCTCCCACTCCGAGGCAATTAAAGTGGCGGCGAGTCTCTTGTTCTTCGGCAGCAGCATATGTTTCCCGCCCGGTGTCCGCAAAGGTCGCTTGTCCAGCGTGACGGCGAATGCATCTTCGCGCTCTTCGATGCCCACTGTTTTCCAGAACCGCTTCAACGTCGCTTCAGCACCTGACAGACGCAGTTGCTCAGCGTACCACACAAACCTGAAGCTAGACCGCTGCCTTACGGTTTGTCGCGGTGACTGCTGGCCCTGGAGTTGCCACTGAAGCATATCGTCTAGGGACACGCACGAAACGATGCTGCACGGTGCGTCTACATGACGACGCGAGCAGAGGGGCGAGCGAACGAGCGAGGCGACTGGCGTGCATGGATGGTCGCTCAGTCTGAAGTCGTCGAGCCAACTCGATATGGAATGAAGATTTGTAACCCCGCGAAGTTGCCGCGAAGCTTCTTGGGATAGACGCGCAGCCGTAGTACATACGTATACTGCAAGTCACTAGTTCGTCGAACAGAACTGTCAGGCATGTACTGGGCATGTATGGGCCTTTCATCGCATAGACAAAGCATGATATACAGCAGCTGGGATGAGCGATCCAATGACTCAGAACGCTCATTCATCCAACTAGATCGCCTTACAGTGTCACAAGTAACGCTGAGGACGGTCAAATTGGCAGTCCCGCTAAGTACGCGCCGCTCAATAAGGGAGGAAGTGGATTTCCGATGGGGTTTTCCAACGAAGAGCCATGTCCTCATAGTATCCCCCAACTCGTCGAAGCTCAAACAGGAGTGTCCACGCTGTAAGATAGAACCGAGGACTGCTTGCAGATGTATCAAAACCGTAGCCCGGCATGCTGCCCAATTTGAACGACCTGACACTGTCTGGGCTGCACGTTGACCCGCACGAGGTGCCTTCACGGTATGATGCTGAAGACATCGCACGCCGGGATCGTGGCCCCGTAACATTGCGGTAGTGCCCGGAACACAACAATAGTTCGTCCGTCCGTAGGCAGCAGCCAACGTAGCCGAGCCTGTGCAAAATGGCGCTTGCTCAGTCGAATTGCCGCGACCACCGTCCGAGAATATACGGGTGATGTAAATGCGACTAGGATGCGTATAGAGGTCGGAACGCCATAAGTCCGGACTGTACAATGCACAGCGCCGTATAGAATCTACGTATCGCCTGCGTGTCGAGTGGGGGCAGTAGGATCAAACCCTCTCTGGAAGACCTGACGCACATTCACGTTGATCCGGCTATTGCGCAGATACTCTTCGTAGACAGCCCAATCTCCGTCCGTGCCCGATTCCAAATGAGGCGGCAAAGTACCCTCCAGTACTCGCGGAACGCCTGCCGACATGTAATTAGCCAATGCGAACGACGACTCCAGCACTCTGGATGCAGCATCGTATTACTGACCGTGATAAGCGCGCCGACAAGCAGGACCAGACATGATAACCGCGTCACCCGAGCGTAGTAGTATTGCGGTAGGTTTGACCTCCCGGGTCAGACCTCCGATGAGAAATACTGCCGCGCATCCTAGACTATCAGATTCTGCGCTGAGATTGAGATGTCCAGGCACGAGGTCAAGCACGTACGATACAGAGACTAGCGGTGACGTTGCACACACTTCGGAACGGTCAACGTGGGCCATGAGTGTGTCCTAAGATCGAACGGCGAGCGTTTAGCTGCATACACCGTCGAGGCGCCGTACCGGACAATCCTACCTTCGTCTGATAGAAATTGACAATCCCCGCGTCCGGCTCTGGATGGTCCCCATTGGATGAGAAGCGCATGATACACTCTGATGCCACTACGCACCGTACGTCTCATGCCATGAGTCCCAGTCAGGGCCGTCCTCGCCCCAATCGCCAGCGGTAGAGTTATCGTCTTCAAAAACCCGATCCCACCTGACCGCCCGTACCGCTCGCTTGCACACCGAGCGCACTCCTTGATCGATCGTCCCCTTCCCCTTGGAGAAGTCGTACTGCTTCGTCCCCCAATGGTACGACCACCCTATGTTCGCCCAACGGAGTCTTGGTACTAGCGCAGACACGCGGAGCGGCTGGACGGAGGGTGACGGTGCGGCGGGAGGCTTCGGCGTACTTGAGAGGGTGTCGTAATTCTCCTTGCTCGCGGGCTCGTTGGACACTAGTCTTCGCGGACCAGGAGCTTCAGCCGCCGCCGACTCAGTGGGACTCGAATAGAGGGCTGCGCGGGGCTGAACGGATTCATCCTCGCACTCTTCTTTGCGTATTCTAATGTACTTGTTCCATAGACCGGATTCGGGGAGGACATAGTGCGTATCGAGATTCGTCTCATTCGGGTGACAGGCCTGCTCGCATAGAGCCCAACGCACGAGCCGCCGCTGTCCTTCAGGGTCAACGAAGGACGGCAGCAGGACTAGACCTGGACGAAGCCCATTCAGTAGATGAGTTGAGAAGCTGAGTCCCCAGTAGGGAGAGAACGTGCGTACCAGGTATGTCAGGGAAGATATACGCCCTTCTGCCAGTCGAAGGACCCGCATCGTTGTCACCATTTAGCTCGATCTCCCTGTACGCTACCGCGTCTGCTCGCCCATGCCATGCGCCTCTCAAGACTTCTTCCGCACGAGATGTATTCAAGGTAGCGAGGTCGAGAACATCAGAGAGGTCCGGGGGAGGGAAGCGAGCCTTGTATTTCTTCTCCGCCGCCCGGAAGGGCGTCCAGTCGGTCTCATGCTCAGCGTGCTGCCGACTACGTGCAGCTTTTAGGTGTCGTCGCCGTGCCTTCTTGTATGCAGCACTGTTCGGGTCATGGAGGTCAGAGGTGGAGGCAGCAGCAGTTGCAGTCGGCATTTCCGCTCGCGACAGTGATGGTCAAGTAGCGTTTACTAGTAATTTGTCTTCCGATCGATCAGAGCTTCTCAAAACCGCCGCACACAAACGAAGTCAAAATGAAGCAATGCTGAGAGTGGGGTGGTCATTGTTCAGGTACTAACTACATATGTATACTAAGCCGTGACGAGGATAACGTGCGACGAGACGTAAAGTAATAGCGTGCATAACATTACTTTTGCTCTATGCTGGACGATTCGTGAAGGACTGGATGCCGACGGACATGCGCGACGAGACGTGACAAGGAGGTCATGATGCGAGAGCGGGAGGCGACGTGTGCGTACGATGAAGCATGCAGCAGCGAATGCAGGAAGATGAAGACGACGACGGGAAGAGTGGGAACTTAATCCTTCTTCTCGCCCTCAGGCTTGGGGTCCTCCGGCTTGGCCTCGTTGGCCGCCTCCTGGTTGCGCTTCTCGTAGACCTTCTGGAAGAGGCCGAGGGACGCCTGCTGCGTCTCATTGATCTTCTCCCGGATGGTGTCAGCAGAGATGGTGGCGTCGCCAGCCTGGCCCTTGACAGCAATCTCGCGGAGCTCAGCAACCAGCTTCTCGACCTTCTCCTTCTCGGTCGCGTCGATCTGCTCCTTGAACTCGTTCATAGCTAAAACACCGAATGTGAGTGACCACTTCCAAGGATCTCTATGAGCGGCAACGTACCCTTCTCGGTATCCGAGCAGACAGACTCGGCCTTGTTGGCCTCCTCAATGACGACCTTCCTGGCCTTGTCTTCCTCGGCGTACTGCTCAGACTCAGCAACCATGCGCTCAATGTCCTTGTCGCTGAGACCGGATGACGAAGCGATGGTCATCGACTGGTCCTTGTTAGTCGCCTTGTCGCGGGCATTGACATGGACGATACCATCTACGAAATCAATCAGCTGCGAACATCGCAAACGAGATGAAGTAACGTACCAGCATCAATGTCGAACGTGATGTCGATCTGGGGGACACCCTTCGGCGCCGGCGGGATGCCGGTGAGGTTGAAGTTGCCGAGGAGCTTGTTATCCCGGACGAGCTCACGCTCGCCCTGGTAGACCTTGACCTCGATGGCGGTCTGGCCATCAGCCGCAGTCGAGAAGGTCTGCGTCTTCTTCGTCGGGATGGTGGTGTTCCGCTGGATGAGCTTCGTCATGATACCACCAAGGGTCTCGATACCGAGCGAGAGCGGTGTGACATCGAGGAGCAGGATGTCCGTGACGTTGCCCGCCAAAACACCACCCTGGATCGAGGCACCGATGGCAACGGCCTCGTCGGGGTTGACACCCTTGCTAGGGTCGCGGCCGAAGATGGTCTTGACGGTGTCAACGACCTTGGGCATACGCGTCATGCCACCGACGAGGATGACCTCGTTGACCTCGCTCGCTTTGACGCCTGCATCCGTAAGCGCCTTCTTGCACGGGTCAATGGTCCGCGAGATAAGGCCGTTGACCAATCCCTCGAACTGCGACCGGAGGATCTTGAGGTTGATGTGCTTGGGACCAGAGGCATCAGCAGTGATGAAGGGAAGGTTGATCTCCGTCTGCGAAGTCGAGGAGAGCTCAATCTTCGCCTTCTCCGCAGCCTCACGGACACGCTGGATGGCCATGGGGTCTTGGCTGAGGTCGAGGCCAGACTCCTTCTTGAACTCGTTCAGGATGTGCTGAACGAGGACGATGTCGAAGTCTTCACCACCGAGGTGGGTGTCACCGTTAGTCGACTTGACTTCGAAGACGCCCTTCTGCATCTCCAGAATGGAAATATCGAAGGTACCGCCACCAAGATCGTATACGGCGATGACAGCGTTGTCCACGCGGTCGAGACCGTAGGCAAGGGCAGCCGCGGTCGGCTCGTTGATGACACGCAGGACATCCAGGCCGGCGATTTGACCTGCATCCTTCGTTGCTTGCCGTTGTGCGTCATTGAAGTACGCAGGGACAGTAACGACGGCATGGCTGCGAACATATTGGCATCAAGTCGATGAGCATGACGTGGCACGACGTACTTCACTTTCTTGTTGAGGAACTGCTCGGCAGTCTCCTTCATCTTAACAAGGACCATTGAGGACAGCTCTTCTGCGGACTACAACCTGGTGAGCGAATGTTCAGCGGACTCAACCGGGAACAAACTTACGAAGACCTGTTTCTTGTCGCCGTTGTCTACCTCAACAGCAGGTCGACCATCAGACTTCGACACGACTTTGAAAGGCCTGCAAGCAAGTTAGAGGCTTCGGCGTGACCGATGACAATGCTACGCACCAGTGCTCCCTATCCGTCTTCACCTCCGCGTCGTTGAACTGACGACCAATGAGACGCTTGAACGCGAACACCGTGTTCTGCGAGTTCACGACAGCTTGACGCTTGGCCGGGAGACCAACCAATCGCTCGCCGTGTTTTGTGAATGCGACGACGGAGGGTGTTGTTCGTGCGCCCTCGGAGTTTTCGATGACACGCGCCGTCTTGCCCTCCATAACGGAGACGCAAGAGTTCGTTGTCCCCAAATCAATACCGACGACGGGGCCTGCATGACCGCATGAGACTTTGGACGAGGTTTAGGAGGACACGTATACGCACCATTGACTTTTGAGTTCATGTTCCGCGCGATCATGGACCGCGGGATGCCCTGTAATCTCTGTCAGTTTCAGCACGCTCAGACAGCCTGGGTGTACGCACAGCATAGTTGCCAGCGCGGGCAACAGAACGGAGGGAACGAGCAGCGGTGAACATGGCGAAGGAGGATGGATGAGGAAGGTGAGTAAGTGTGGGCGCGCCGCTCTCAATTTTTGAGAGCGTAATGCGTTACATAAGCGCCCGGGCGTTCCCGAACGTTCTGAGGGTTGTCGGCCGAAACCGTGTCTTACCAACTTTGAGCCGGGAAATTCACATTGTATGCTGTATTCACCGGATAGCTTACTGTGCATTGTCCTTACAATCACGGCGGGCTGCGGACACATGCGCTGCCTCCGTCGAGGGCACCGTCCGTCGGCATGCAGAGTCGACGCAGAGCCCAATGCCACCTTCTGCATTACGATTCGCTGGGAGCGAGAGCCAATCGGAAGTCTGAAATTCGTCGCCCAATGGTTGGCATGCGAAACTTGTGTGCTACATTCCAAAGTGAGTAGCGCTGTGCAGCCCCCTGTATCGCGTAGCCTATATTGGGTCATGCCTGAGGCTCGCAGACAATGTGCCGGCCAGAATACGCGTCCGTGCTCGTGGACAGACGGAACACGCACGCGCGGCGCGACGACGCGTCTGTGCGCCTACGCGCGGTCAATACGCGCAAACAGCCTTCCGCCGACGAGCGTCACTCAGCGTCTGCGGTGGCTGCATGCCTCTCTCCAGCCCGTTTAACTCTACGCACACTACTCTCATCCGCCGCTGAACTGGCTCTAATCATCGAGATTGATGTCTGTATGGCTTCCCAGAACGTCGCCCGCTCTCCTTGCTCGCACTGCTAGTCGCCAGAACCAGCTTGTGACCCTTCGCGTGCTCGCCGTCAGCCGGAGCCCACATCTCCCGCTAACGCCGCTGGCAGCCTCTGCGTTCTCTAGACGGTACGAGAGTACTCGCCCGTCATCCGAAAATGCTAGGAACGCCTCCACCTCTGCGACAGGGCCTTCTGCGGAACCCAAGCCCACCCCTCCTACTCCTAAAGAGCCGACGGATGCCGCACCGTTAGCGACTAGGGTATGGAAGAAAGTCAAGCACGAGGCGCAGCACTATTGGCATGGTAGCAAACTGCTCGGTGCGGAAGTCCGCATCTCCTCTCGGCTTGTGTGGAAGATTCTGCACGGCGAAATCTTGACCAGGAGAGAACGCAGACAGGTGCGAAGTCCCGCTATGTATCAATCATACTCGTCTAATGCAGCTGGACCGGAGTAGCTCAAGCGTACCACGCAAGACTTGCTGCGACTCATTCCATTTGCGGTCTTCGTAGTTGTGCCGTTCATGGAGTTCTTGATTCCGGTTGCCCTGAAGCTGTTCCCGAACATGCTCCCGTCTACATTTGAGGACAAGTTCGCGGCTGTAAGCGTCTTGAGATCGTTCCGTCGCATCATGCTGAGCTCCGAATAGCAAGAGAAGCAGCGGAAACTTCTCCGTGTACGTTTGGACATGGCGAAGTTCTTGCAGGAGACGCTGCGAGAGTCGGGTTTGAAGGCCAATGCACACATCGTGGGCAGCGAGGCATTCAAGGAGTTCTTCCGCAAGGTCTGTCTCTTCCTCTGCTAAGCACATACAGTCGTATGAACTACTCAATAGGTTCGGTCCACCGGAGAATCCCCCTCTGCCACGGATGTCATCAACGTCGCCCGCCTCTTTGATGACGATCTAACACTGGACAACCTTTCCCGTCCTCAACTTGTCTCCATGTGTCGCTACATGGGCATCAATGCTTTCGGCACGGACAACTTCCTCAGAGGTAACATCCGCCAGCGACTGACGGAGCTCCGCCGCGACGACCAGCTCATTGAAATGGAGGGCGTCGACAACCTCAGCACGTCTGAACTGCAAGCCGCGTGCCAGAGCCGCGGTATCCGGACGAGCGGTGTCTCTCCCGCCCGCCTGCGCGAGGAGCTCTCGACCTGGATCACCTTGCATCTGCACAACCGTGTCAGCGGTGTCCTGCTTGTCCTTGCTAGGGCATTCCAGTTCGACAAGAAGCCTGGAGACGAGGACGGCAAGACCGCGATCATCCAGAGCTTGGAGAGCGTGCTGTCTGGTCTGCCGGACAACTTGGTATGGTCCAGTCATTGCAGAACATGCGTCTACTAATACAGCACAGCTTAACGAAGCCGAACTGGAAGTCGAGTCGGACAAGGCGAGCTTCAAGCAGAAGCTCGAGGTCTTGCAGCAACAGGAGGAGCTCATTGAGGATGAGGAGGAGCAAGAGCAGAAGGAAGAGGACGCTCGGCGGGCGAAGAGGGAGGAGGAAGCTCGTCTTGCAGAGATGCTGCTGCCTGAGACTGAGGTGAGTCGGACACACTACTATCGTGCGAACACGTCTGAACGTAATTGCGTTAGCTTCAACCTGAGAGAGCTGCCGAAAAGGAGACGGATGCTCGCATGACCACAGAGCAACTGAAGGAACTCGCTGCCGCCCTGTCTGTGCTCTCGTCCAAGTCCTCTGTCCTCAAGGAACGCGATGAGCTGCACGCGCTCATGGAGGAGAACATGCAGGCTGAGGAGGTACGTCACGGCCTTGACCATCGTCACACGAAACCCTCGCTGATCCGACTTGCGCCCGGCCGTTACCAGCAGGATCCAAAGTCGCCAGCGGCGGCGTTGACGAAGCGCATCAGATCGATGCTCACCAAAATCGACGCACAGCTCTCCGACTACGACGCGCGTGTTGGCTCCTCGCTGCAGATGATCTCGTGTGATCCGCAGGGCCGGATCTCGGTGGAGGACCTCGAGAAGGCGCTTGCCGTCATTAAGCACAAGCCGGACGAGGAGGTGGGGCACAAGGTGATCGAAAAACTGGACGTGGACAAGGACGGGTTCGTAGAGCTCGAGCACGTCCTTGGTCTGGTCCGGGAGGAAGGTCTAGGTGCGAGGATATCCCGTCTCGTACTGAACGCGATCACTGACAGGGTCTCTGGCGCGCAGGCACGCTTCTCGATGACGAAGCACAGTCCCTCATTGGACAGGGCAACGAACTCAAGAACAAGCCGAGAAAGGAGGATATCGTGCAGGAGTGATCTGCGCCCTTACCTGTTACAGCCTAGACCTAATACGACCGATTTTCGATTGTGAGATTGACCCTCTCCAGACACGTGTGCTTCGCACTATCAATCTGTGCGTTTCTATTCACTTACCGGCGGCAGGGAGGATCGTCCCGCCAACAACTGATCAATGCACCCCCGAATTTCAATTCCCTGACATTCTAAGGAGACTAACTCATGTAGGAGCGACTGAAGACGCGGAGGAAGCACCCGAGGACAAGAGGGTCTTCCGTGCTCGTACGAAGGTGGACAGCAAGCCGCTATACGTCCGTGTCAAGTTCAGCACGCGCTACTGCGAGGAGGCCCATCACGCAGTGTTCACTGTTCGAGTCCGGTTTCGCACCGAAGCTCTATGCTGTCGAACAGGTGTACATATGATTGGACCATGATCGCCATGGAGGACAAGTCCGCGGATTACACGAGTCTATGAGTCGCGAAACAGCGAGGGCGGCGAACGTACGGCGCTAGAGCCTCGTGTGCGGGCGAAGGGGTTGGCCAACCGTCCCACAGAATGATCTAAGTAGCTGTCCTGGACGCACGCCGGCTACCTGCCGTGCGCTGTGAGCGCCGCTGTCAGGCCCAGTGGTTGTTGGACCTTCACGGCACCCTTTACCTCGACACATCCAACAATCGGTAAGTAGCTAGCATGTACTTCGTAATAGGAACACCCGCACTCGCTGACAAGCTCAACCAAATAGCACTGTGCCATCCTACTACCCTTATTCCTCCCATCGATGCAGTCTCCTTCCCTTGTCATTCATACCTATGTCAAAATCCACTATAGCGACACCTCCGAGGACCTCAGCTCCGAGGACTACACAATTGAATGCAAGCTCAGCGGCAAGGAGTATGCTCTCCGCAACACCATCGAGATGATCGCTGGTATGTTCTATCAGTGCACGTCGTCAGATTATACTCAGCAGTCTGCATGACCGAAGGCGGAAGGGCTGTCTTGAAAAAGGGTCCCTGGAACGTCATTCAATGGGAAGGCTTCGTGTATGGCCATGTCCAGCGGCTATGCGGGTTTCCTGTCGTTTGCGAACAGATGTTGGACTATGGAACGGATTCCACTCTGGCGGGGCTGATCTTGCGTCCTGTTGTCGTTTTCGATGAGTTGGTTGTCGACCACGGTACGCCTTTTCATACGTATGTGTTCAACGACTCACAGAATCCCTAGAGCCAGAGTTACCAGAGCCGCCGCGCTTTCCTTCCTCTGTGACGGCCGCTATAGGCGCTAAACTCGTGAGTCTCCGCGGTGGTGACCATTCGTTGGCTAAGTTTGTTTTCAGATGATAAGGATGCGACACATGCATTTCGAAGGAATCTTGCACACCGATATACATCCCGGAAATATCGGATTGCCGTCGTTTCGTGAACCGCCGGAGCTAGCATCAGCACTTCATGCGCGTCAGATAGACGACCTTCGACCTACCTTCATTGACTTCGGGCTGGCCCGCATAAATGGGTACCACCCCATGGTCGATTGCGAGTATCACACGCCTGAGTGGACCTACATATCTGACAGGGTGGTTCGCGGTCAGAGTAGGTTCCCGAACACGATACTTCCTTTGATAGTGGTTGACTGCCCATTTGCAGGTACGTATACGAAGGCCGATGACTTGGAGTCGTTGGCATACTCCCTCTTTGCCTTCCGACTCATGAGTCATCCGCCGTGGCACGCGGAGGCCACTGGCAACGACTTTGACGGTGTTGAAGACAGATCAAGTGACTTCCTAGCCACTAGGCATAGAAGATCTTCGTGCACGACAAGCGGTTGAGCCATTCCTGCTCGACCTCATCGACTACGCGAGGAGCCTGCAGCCCGATGACCGTATCAACTACTGGGAGTGGGTGTCCTTACTGGAAAATACCACATCTGTCTGATTTGGAGAGGCCCTTTGGACGTTGTCGTTGCACTGTCAGCTTTCATCTGTATCTTTGTTCTCGGTGTGAACTGTCTGCCACCCCCTTGTGTACAGGTATAAGATGATTGTGTACCAGTATTTGACATCGTTTGATACCAGTTATATGCCGGTGGGCTTTTAGCCGCGAACGGCGGAAAACTGATTTCCGTCAAGCTTTGCGGTCATTGGATTGGCCTAGCAATTGGAGCCTGGTACCTTACTTGGCTGGCTCGAGGCCCAACAAGTGAGTCTGACACGATCGAGGGTCGTTCTTGAAAATGACTCACTGGATGCCTTTCTAGTCCTATGGAGAAAGGATAACCCAACTACGTTGATGACGACCTCGTTGTGGTATGATCGTATGTTCATGATGCCACTTTTACTACTTACTTGAAATTCTCACATCGGAATGAATACATAATGTACCCAGAATCGTGGTGTCTGCCAGCCTTACATGGCATGGTCCCACAGGGTCCCCGAGCAACGATTGTCTGTGAGTCTTATCTCTGAGATGCATACAGATTGCAGGAGGAGAGATCTGTTCCGCCGGGTCGGCACCGCGGCGGCAGGGGCGTCGTGGGCGCAGATCAGTGGAGGTCGGAGGATGTTCACCTCCTACGCGGGCGCCTGCAAACCAGGGGATCCCGACTTATCGGAGAAGCCGTGTCTCGCGGACGCCACGGACGCGCACGAAGGATGTGCACCGGTGCGCGTGGCAGAGCCCATCATCTTTACGGTACTTATCATCACATTGCGGACGATCTCAGCGAGGAGTAGAAGTGGTTTCACAATTATCAGACGACGCTCCTGCGAGGATCCGGAGCACGGCCTCGCGAAGTCGACATCGGGCCATCTTTGAATCTATGGCATAGCAATGCAGGGGTCGCGAATGGATTGCAGCAGGTATTACAGTGTATGCTGAAGTATGTGATACAGTGTGGTGGTCGCGTCGTGAGCGAGCATATTGATTATACATAGCACAGATGCGGACATGCAGGAATAGCAGAACAGAACAGTATAGACTCACAGAACCCGGAAATAACGAGATGGAATTACATGACCTAAGTAGCGCGCCCAGACCTGAGATGATATTAGCAATAGAAGTCTTCTATTAGTACGTCTACAAGCGAAAATCGCATGGGCTGTCCATTCATGAGGCAGAGGTGGGTCATGGCAGGGCGGCTACGGGGAAGAAGAGCGCCAGACGGCGCATGGCCGCGAGAAGAACGTCGAGTTCGTTCGTAATCGCCATTGAGTCGTATTGCAGCAGCTCGATCTGCGTGCCGTTAAGTATGCGCGCGTAGACATCCGCTACAGAGCGCCAACACGTCTAAAGAACCATGTGGGTGAGCCGCGAGCGCCAACGGTGCAGTAAGTAACAGAGTGCTTACGCTGTTGATTGGGTCGAGGAAGGCGTAATCGTCCTCGTTCAATTCACGCACCAACGCCGCGACCGAGCTCGCCGCGTACAGGCACTTCTCGAACGACTGCGTTTGCGCCTCAATGTGGTCCCGGTGGAGGTGGATCGTAGCGGTGTAGATAAGAGTGTGGATCGTGACCAAGTCCACGTCCGCACGCGTCGGCGCGAATTGGTTCGTATGCCGGCTGATCCCAGGCAGATTGGCGGAGAACTGCGCGAGGGACATCTCGAGCGACCGCTGCCCTGCCCAATCCGACTCGCTCCTCGAAGACGCTGCCAATGGTAGCCCAGCGTCAGCCGGCGTCCTACGGAGGCTCGTGGGCAGCAGAGGGCACTCACATGCGAAGCGCGCGGTACGTTCGAATAGCATCACCGCCTTGGCTCGAAGGGTCACGTTGGAACTCGCGCCGCTGCTGCCTCCCGACATTGAGGAGCCGACGAGCGCTGGAAGGTTGATATTCGCCTCGGGGCTCTTTAACCTTGGTGAGCTCCATATACAATCACAAGATGAATGGAAGGCACTCACCATCGACATATCGAGGATGCCCATTGGCCAGGACGTCGCAATCTGCGTCCGCGGGTGGTCATCATCCGGGAGTGCCGACGGAAGACCGGTCGCGACAGACCACGCGCGATCGACGATGAATATCTGCCAGAACGCTGCGACGCGCTCCGCGTGCTCGACCGGGTCCTTCACTGGGGGCAGCGGGAACGTCGCGTCGGTCGGGAACGCGGACATGCCTGCGCCGCCGAGGCCTGACTGGATGTCCGACCACTCAGTCGTGGGGCGAATCTGGTGGAGGCCGACGTCTATCGCGAGTCGCGCGCTCGTCGACGAGTGGTAGTAGCCCTCGAGGACGCGCCCTTGACAGAAGAAGTACACGGCGATCAGTGACGAAGCCTGGAGCACTTGAACCATTCTGTCCTGCTGATGCAGCGCTTCGGAAATCCCGGCCAGCGCACGTTTTAGAAAGTAGGCTTCGAGCTCGCTGAGGTGCGGTAAACGTGAGAAGTAGCAGGCCATGAGGTAAATCGCGTCCATCAGTGCGGGGTGAGGTTGGTGCGGTGGGGCGAAGTGGAGGGATGCACGGAACCTAGCAAGGTGGCAGTCGAATGCGCATTGGTGCCGATGCGAAAAGAATATCTCGAGGCTGGCGAGGATATGTCAGTACGGGAGACGACGGTTACGCGCGGAATGAACACATACAGCTGCTGCTTATTTTTGCAGAAGGTCGATCGATCCTCCCACCATTTTGAGCCAGAAGAACTCGTTGCAGACCAACCCGCGATAGTCAGCTCATCAGTTACTTTGATGGCATTAGTGGGCCAGGGTAATTCGCCAGGGAATAGAGTATTTGTCGGTGAGGTTGGGATGGTCTGCGTCAAGTTGATGTTGGAGAAATCCTGATCCCAGTCGAGCGATGCATCCACAGCACCCGATAGAGGATCTGGACGGGCGCTTCGCGTCAGCACCGCCACCGATGATCGTTACGGGACGCGATGCGGGGCTTTGTCTCACTTACCTGTGAGCTCGATTGTGTCGTTCGATGGCGGCGAGGGCGATGGGGACAAGCTCGAGCCACTTGCGGACGACTCTGCCTGCTCGGACTCGAGTTCGCGCAGACGCGCCTCGAGCTTCGCGACCTTCTGCTGGAGGAGCTGGGTGCGGCTGACATGTTTCTTCTCGTGGTATTGACATTCGGCACCGCGATTAGTCTTGAGACATTGCGTGCAGACAGGCCGCAGTCCGTCACATTTCTAGCAGTTGCTGTCAGCGCGAGCTTGACGTTGATTACGTGAAGATGAACGGCGATCACCATCTTTCGTTTGCGGCAGCACAGACAGGCCATGCCGCGCTGGAGGGGCGTTACGGTCTTCATGGAGATAGGAGAGAGCAATGTCGGGGAGGGACACGGTTCAGAGGGATAGTGCAATGGAGACTTTTGAGGAGGGTCTGAGCGCCCTGCGTATCAAAACATCAAGTGTCGTTGGTGATTGGAGGAGCGCCGTTCGTGTGTCGTAAAGACGTCGGCGGTGGCAGCGAGGGAGGCGATGTGTGCGGACGCGGGGCAGAACAGGCTCATGTTGTCGGACGCGATCATTTAAATGAGAGAACATGGATCGCGAATTGAAACAGACCCTCGCGTCCTTCCGCGAGACACCGACCACGGCGCGACGGCCTCCTCCTCGCGCGTCTCGAGCAGCGCTAGAGCACCCGATCTTGGGCGCCCGGCACGCGATCGCATCGGGCCGCTGCCACCCGCCCGCGCGCACGACCGCCCGCACCTGGCTGTGATCGCGTCCTGTACTGCAGCAGCACTGCTCGAGCCCGCCGCGCCCCCGCGTCCGGGAATGGAAACTCGCAGCGTGGCAGGCGAGCACGGACGCGAGTCCGCGGACGCAGTCGATGCCACCTGACCGACGCGCGATCGGTGCTAACCAATTGCTATGCCGTTAGCTGCATCCGGCGTCTCCGCTAACTCTCCTGCGCCCATGTTCATCCTCATCCTCGCCGTGTCCGACGCTCTGGCACCGGCGCATTTCCCCCGTTATCTGAATAGTGCGCCTATGCAGCTCGACAATCATCAGGGCCATCGACAAACCTAAACTCTGCGCTGTGCTCCCCGCCCAGGCGGGTCCTACTCACCGTAGGCACTGCACGGCATGCGCCATAGCCCTGTACTCTTTCATCCCAAGGCAACAACCACGCCCTCGCTCTCATCATTGGTTCGCTCTGTGAGCGCCCTGCAACGTACCATGAGCTCGGGAGCATGGACGATTTGTTCTGCGAGACAATGTTGCTCATAGATATGCAAGAGAAGCAGTGCATAACACCCTTCGCTCGAAAACATATACATTCATCGACAATCGCCGACTACGCTTTTGGAGGCTGCGACGTGAACACCTTCCGCAAGTTCTCCCACACCAGTGTTGGTGCCTGCGCCGCGTCGATTGGTCTCCACAGGCCCTTCTGCTTGTAGTACTCAATCACCGGTCCCGTTTGCGAATGGAACACCGTCAGGCGCTTGCGCAATGCCTCGACATTGTCGTCCGATCGCTGCACGAGCGGCTCGCCCGTGACGTCGTCGACCATCGCTTTCTTCGGAGGGCTAGATTTTCACGTCATGAAATTTATTTTTGCCTGAGAAGGGTGTCCTGAACTCACCTGAACTCTCTGTGGTACGTCCTGCCGCTCGAGGGATGGATCAAGCGGCCAGTGATGCGGGAGATGAGCAATTGGTCATCGATGACAAGCTGCACGACGTGGTCCAGCTTCTCCTTGCGGGCTGCGAGCATGGCGTCGAGCTTCTCGGCCTGGGGGACCGTCCGCGGGAATCCATCCAGCACGAATCTGAGCGCACACAGGTGTCAACAACAACACTCACAGCGCTCCCGTCCGAGATTCGGAGTGCACAGGAACAGCAGCAGGCAGTCCGCCGCACCCCGAGACGATCCGGACAAATTCACGACATGACGTACCCGTTCTGGCACGCCTTGTTGTGCTGGAGCTGGTCGTTGATCATCCCGACCATAATGTCGTCGCTGACGAGCCCGCCGGCGTCCATGATCTTCTTCGCCTCGACACCGAGCTTCGTCTTCCGCGACACCTGCTCACGCAGCATGTCGCCCGTCGCCAGATGGCACACGCAGAATTCCTCACGGATCCGCGGAGCCTGCGTGCCCTTCCCTGCACACAAACAACACATTCAGCACGTTCCTGCGGGGGCGCAGGTCCGGGGACCCACTGCACACGCACCTGCGCCGGGCGGGCCCATGAGGATGGTACGGAGCTGCTGTGCTGGCGTCTTGCGCGTGACCGCGTCCTTCGCCTTCGTCTCCAACGCCTGGATCTTCGCGTTGAGCTGCGAGACGAGCGACTTGAGGTACTCGAGTTCGTCGGAGCCTGCCATGGTGTCTGTGGGCGGTGCGTGCGGGCGCCGTGGACCTGAGGCTGGGAGGTGGAGGAGGACGACTCGGGCGACGGGAACTCGACCGACGACGTGTGGGATTTACCGGCGCCGCGAAATGGCCCGAGCCCGAGTCTGCGGTGGCTGGTGGCGGGCTCGGCAGTTTGCGCGGGTTCGATCGGAGACGCAAGGAGACGCGTCGGTGGCTGCGCGACAGGTGGCGGCTCGTTACTCGACGTCGCACGCACTTGGACGGATGAGTTGAATTCGCGCAGGGATTAGCATGCTGAAAGTAGATGCCAAGGAGAGACTGCTTCCAACTGAGGCTAGCACTGCATGTCCCAGTTCCGACTCGACCCGTCCTCGGGATTCAGGGAGGAATGAATCGTACCCCCCAAAATACTTGACATGCCCGTCATGCCAGTGCCACGCAGTACTCACTCTATTCACTTGACACGCACGTCAGAGAACAACAGGCTGACAGTTGTGGTGGCGCAGAATATCATATACACTCAAACATCTTCTCTCGGTGCAACTCGGAGATTTGAAGAAACGCTTCTCGAGAGCAGGCCAACGTAGTACCTCCGGTTTGAGATCCGCGAACGAGGTCAGTGGAGTGGGAGAAGACGCCATTGGTATCGTCGCCAAATCATTGCTGTACTTAATTGTGGACGCGTGTGTGTAGCATCTTGACAGCATGCTTCTTGAAAGCAATTAAATCGCGCTACGTCACCGTTCCCGCCGCTGCAACTCACATGCGCTCAGTGTCTATGATTGTACTTGCCTCCGACTCTTCACGGACCCTACGTCGCCGCATGTGTCGCCCATCTAGAACACCAGCATGGATAATTAAATTACAGTCAAGCTCCATACAAGGGGGGCACGCTGCACGCTAGTCAGACTTCGTGCTTTTCGACTTCTTCGGCTCGGCGCTGTCGCCCGCGAGCCACAGCGCGCAGAACGCGAGGAAGGCGGCGCTCGTACTGATCGCGCCGGCGTAGTAGGGCCACGCGGGGCTCAGGAAGCGCGGGTACTCGTCGTGCCGCGGCGGGACGACCGGGACGACGGTCGTGCTCTGGAGGTAGGACCAGCTGCGGGCGGCGTCGCGCGTCAATACGCGTGCACGGAACTCGCTCGAGATGGCAGGGAGGAACGCACCCTTTTCGCTTGTAGTCAACGTTGAATTTGAACACGCCGTGCCGGTCGGGGACGCGGAACGTCAGCGAGTACTCGCCGGGCACCCCGGGCGTCGGCTGGAGCGCGGTCCGGATGTGGGGGTCCAGCATCGTGAACTCGAGCTGCATGCCGTCGATGCCAGAGTACGGCTCCCACTCAGCCGACGTCGGGTTGTACTTCGACACGCGGAGCGTGTACGTCTGTAACGGATGCGGGCACCGGGTTCAGCGCGATCCACGGCACATATGAGGTGAGCGGACGCACGACGCGATCGTTGATCGTGTATCTGTCCCGCGGCGTGGTTTCGTTGACGTGGTGGTGCGTGCTGCCGTCAACACGCAGCACACCCGTCTCTTGGAAAGTCCACGCTGCCACATCGGCAGCGAACTGCTCGTTACCAGGCTTATTTCCGCTGCAGGGACGCGTAAGACGGTGCGATGAACCGAACATGGTTGACTTACTCAAGCGTAGGCTTCTGCGCGTACTCATCGCTGAACAGATCTACTCCACCGACCCAGGTAGCACGTCCACCACCAAGCGTCTGGAAGCCAGCGACGAGCCCGAGAGAGCTACCCGCCCAGAGGCCCTCGCCGCCCTTGTCCGCAGCCTCCACAACCGCGTCCGCACCCGAATCTGCGTCTGAGTCCGCGGCGAAGCTCTGCGGTGGCGCATTCAGAATAGGCACGATGTGTGGGTTGCTGTTGAACGCGAAGGGGACGCCGGAGAACCACACGGGCGGCAGGCTGCCTGAGAGTACCGGATTGGACGGCGAGACGTCCACGGGGATTACGGTCGCGGGGGTATCGCGCTCAGGGAAGTGCGAGACCAGAGGCGTGCCTGGAGGTGGCAGGATGAGCGAGAACTCCGCTGCCAAGGACGTCAAGGGCGTCGCTTTGGGGGATACTGCGATGAGCAGGTTTGTGTTCTTTGAAAGGAGCGTGACCAAGGACTGGGGAGTGATGTCCGAAGAGTATGCTTCATACACAGTTGTCAGTAGGCTAGAACAAGCACGTCAAGCAAGATCCAACTCACTCTTAGACTCGGGCGCGAAGAGAATTACATGAGAATACTCAGGATGGTCATGCTCAATCACAGCGGGGTGCGCATCCTTAGGAGTCCTGAACGTCAGCTCATACCCCCGCGCTACAAACACACGTCAACCCGCGTCCTTCACCACGTCGCACATCACACACCTTCAAGCCCGTCGAAGAACCTCGAGAAGTTGTCCCTGCTCGATCCGGGGTCGAGCACGACCAAGACCGAGTTGCCCGTGCTGGACTTAGCGAGAGCCGCCGCTGCAAAGCCGAGGAACGAAAGGAACCTCCATGGCGAGACCATGGCAGAAGAATGCAAACACCGCTTGCGCAGTTGCCAGTGCTGGATGAGTTGCAGCCACCGCGCGACTGACCACGTAGACATTTCGCGGGGTATGCGCTTACGTAACACGCAGCGCGTAGCGCGACGCCTATTTTTAGCCTGCTTGTGACTGTCCTCCGAGTCGTTGTCGCGCTGCTTCGCCCTGGTTCAATATGCCTCTGCATGCAATGAAAGAACTGTCGACATGACGGGATCTCATATGAACGACGACGCTCTACACATTGACAAGACCACGCTCTTTGAGACATGGCCGAGTGGGAACTGCCATTGGCAGCGCGGGAAGGTTGTTATGTACAACTCGGCGGCGAACAATGTAGATCTGCGGGATGCGCCGTTCAAGCGCGCATTGTACTCGGTACTTCTGCACTAGCTCCAAAATTGCATCCTCCTAATCACTACAGTGACATGCCTCCGAGCTCGGGCTCTGCTTGTCCACATGAGGCGACCGCCAAGTACTGGAAGAACAAGTATGAGGATGCCCAGCGCGAAATCACTGCTCTACGGGTACGCGACGCGTCTTACTGGGTCTGTTACCTGACGCGTGCTCAATGCCAACGAATTCCAGCGTGTTCTCGAGATGAAACGCGCCGATGCGTCCTCGGAGATTAACAATGTCGACGAGCTCATCAAGCTCGTCCGCGAAGAGACGCGACGGCGTCAGGCATCAGATGAGGAGCTGGCCAGATGCTTCGCACCCATCAAGCAGGAAAATCCACTCCGAGACCCGGATCCGGAGGACCGCGCTGTGCTCCTGGAGAAGGAAAGGGCGGCCTTGGAGAAACGGGCCCAGGAGGCCGAGCAGCAACAGGCCGTCCTGAAGCACCAGGTGTGTGGACGCGCGTATAATTCGCTTCTAGTCCTCGTTGCGATGCGCACGAGCGGTGCTCGTCACAGATAGGCGTGTTTCGCTCCGAGGCGTCGGTTCTGGCTGCGGAAGCGCGTCAAACAAGACACAAGAGGTTCGAGCAGCTCAATCAGACGAACGTAGTCCTCTTCGAGGAAGGGTTCACCCCGCGGCCGATAACATGCACCAACGCTCAAGGTCAAGCGTGGATCAAGGCCATACCCCAGGTATGTCACAGCACCGCCGCAGTCCGACTCCGCTGTGTGACCGCGATCCTCATTGATGCATCTTGGACTTCGCAGGAGGCTATGCTTGGCAAATTGTGAGTTGACCTAACCTCTGTTTTGACTAGCGCACGCCCAGTCTGACGGGACAACGTTGACCGTGAACTGGGCCTTATGGATTTGTAGATTATTCTACCTTCCTCGTCCGCCGCATTCCCTTCCGATCCACGTGCCGGGCTGGGCGAAGTCAGGGTACTGGTTCCATCCTATGGGAGTGATGGTGGGAGACCGGGAGTTTGAGCTCATCGTTGAGACGGGCCAAAATCAGGTGAATGGGTTCTCCTGGATCTTCGCTACTCCACTGAATAAGATCAGTGGTGCTACGTAGGCTGCTATCGTAGCGCCCCTTGTCCTGGTTCCGACTTGCATTTGTCGGAGTGGATGGAGCTCGACGAGGAAGTAAGTGCATCATGAGTCGCTCCGATTGCAGACCGTCAATACTCAACGCAACTTAGACGAAAACGCTTTTCGTACGCCGAGTACAAAGCGAAGTCTTTGGGAAGGCCAGCCAGCTTCCGATCAACCAGCTAACAGTGGAGGCTATTCGGAAGAACTACGACGCGGGCGTATGGAGTGTTCCGTGCTACAGTCTTCACTGCATCGGATACAACACAGTGCTACACGCTGGGCTGCATTTCGCAGCCGCGAAAATCGCAGCCTCGAGTTTGGCGTGCTGAAGTTGAACACCTGGGCTGGGTACATCAGTGTCTTGCATTGTTATACTTGCTCAGAAATAACTCATGATACCGATTGATTAATGTCTTCTCTCTCGCCCACATTAATTGCTGTGTGTTTTGCTTCCGCAATGTTTATATCGAACGTGACTTGCGATTCAAACGACGAGGCCGTGGGAACGATGGGACGCCGGAGCCCTAACCCTGAATCTGGGCCGGCGACAGGTTTGTCAGCGCGCCTAACCCTTCCGGCGCCACCGACGGCCACACTCGCGCGAACCGGCGACCTCACTGTACATGTAAGCAACCTTGCCCTTGCCCTCTCCGTCGTCCCTCCCAAACTACAGGTAACATGTCGGGTTTCGTGAGTGCTACTTGCTGTCTTACTGGAAGTCATCTTCTGATATGTTTGCAGTTCTCTGGCTGGTGGGGATCCTCCACGCCCTCCCCTGCTCCTCAACCCGCAAAGTACGACCCGACAGACCCGAGGCAGAACCCTCTCAACCCCCAGGGTCTCAAGCCGTGAGTCCTCCTCCCCAAGCGTATTTTCACATCACTTATCATTGTCCCAGATGTTGTGCATGCCCGCAGACAAAATCCGTCCGCGATGACTGCTTCCTGAAGCACGACTCCTCGGTCGCGGACGAGAAGTGCAAGGAGCTCGTGCAGGCGCACATAGCTTGCATGCGGGGCTACGGGTTCAAGGTGTAGCGAATGCACACGGTGACGGAGGGCCATCTGCCGCTCGGAGGAGGCTACGCGACATTGCGCTAATATGTACATCTGCTAAGTTATCATCCATCGCTACTCAGTTAGATCAACTCTGGTCCCCGGGCATTGTATGGTCCACGGTTGCTACAATCGAGATGAGGGAGTACAGGTATCTTCGAGGACTACTCCATAGGTATGGTGAATTCCCACCGGCCCTCGGCCAGGCCTTCCGCTGTGTCGCGCAGCAGCATCTCGTGTCGCACTCGGACGTAGACCTGCATGATGCGCACTGAGTTTAGGCATGCTCTGACAGGTCATCAGACAAATGACACCCACTGTCTTATCCATCATACGTTGTCGGAGGCCCTTGATGGTGTCCTTCTCGACCGGTTCTTCCAGCAGCTGGGACAGGTCTTCCACTGCCTTCTCCAGATCACTGTAGAGAACGGATACCGAGACATGTCAGCTACCCTGCTGCAGATTTCGAGGCTTGAACCTACGCCTGGATGTCTTCGAAGATCTGCTTCTGGTTGCCCGACACGAGGAAGTACGCCATCGCATAGGACCACTTCAGCGTCCGGCGACACCTCGTCAGCTCGTCGACAGCAGTCTGCATGAACCTCGCCTATCCCAACACCCGTCAACGGCCTTGCAAACCCATCATTGCCCACACCAGCCTACCTCGATCCACGACAGGTTGCTGCTCTTTTGCACCTCGACGACCTTCTCCTCCGCGCGCTCGACGAGCTCCTGGTCGAGGCGCGACGAGAGCTCGTGATTGTTGAACCTGTCGAAGTAGAAGAGCCACTTCTCGAGGTTCTGACCGGCCGCCGTCATCGACTCGTCCTTCTCGGGCTCCTTCCACGTGTTGCACACCTCGTTGTTGTACCCGTGCACCTCCCACTTCTGCATGCACAACCAACAGAACTGGAAGTTGCAGTGGCGGCAGACTATCCGGCTGTGCGCATCGTCAGACCCGACCACCCGTAGCGGACACACGCAGGGATAGAACGACGCACTTGCACCCGCCCGCCTTCTCGATGCTGTTCTTGCAGTTCGGGCACGTCCGCGTGTTCGCCTTGATCCACTGCGACGTGCCCGCGTCCTCGCGCGCGCTCTTCAGCCAGAACTCCACGAGCTTGCACACGATCGGGCGGTGGTCCGAGTCGAGCCCGCACCCGAAGCAGAACGCGTGCCCCGCGCCGCACTCCACCGTCGGCACCTCCGTCTGCAGGCTCGCGCCCCGCCCGCCCGCGCAGAGCACCGTCTCCGAGCAGCCCGGGTGCGGGCAGAAGCGCAGCGTGGGGTGCGCGCCGACGTAGGACTGGAGCAGCAGTTCGCGGTACCTTGAATATGGCTGCACGCGTCAGTTACGGAACTTACGGTGAAGAGTAGGTATGGAGGGAGGCGTGCGACCGGGAGTAGACGAAGAAGCGATGTACAGCTCTGTGAAACTCGCATCCAGTACTCGGGTGGGCTGGCAACCTCACAGTCAACGGTATTTCGAGGCCCAGCGGGGAGGCGCCCTGTCTGTCCCGCTTCCGCTGTTACAATTGGACATAGCTCATGAGAGCGTGGACCAGACCCATATGAGTATCAATGTGTGCTGGGCCAGAGCCCATTGTGCAATAGCCTTCCACCGAAGAAGGCAGTGCCCCACACAGTCGCCCAATCAGTGCGGGGGATGGTGGGCAGCGTTCCGAAGGCAACTTCTGCGCACGGAACAGACATGAAGCACGAAACCTCTTCGCACATGCAGCCTTCCGGGTCGTCATGTGTTGCTGTGCGGTAGAAGCGACCATCGGAGACAAAGGACCCACATGTCAGCCGCAGCCATTGCGTGCAGGTCCCGCGCCAGCCATCTGATGCGACGCGGGACCCACACGCAGCCCAGACACGACCCATATATACACACACTTTGAAGAAACCCACGCACCGCTCGAACACAGGCTTCGCCACGAGCTTCTCGATCGACGGCTCGTCCACCACGATCCTGCACCCGTCCTGCATGCAGTTGAATAGGCACTGGCCCTCCTCCTTGACCTTGCCCGTCACGTACGTCGCCCAGCACGCCTCGCAGAACTCGTGCCCGCACCGTGATCGGAAGATGTTCGCGGGGTCGGTGTCGCAGCAGATCATGCACATGAATTCTGTCGGCGTGTCGAGGCGCGCCCGCTTGGACGGCCGCGGATTGGGCGACGATGGGGCGTCCTCGGGCTCGCCAGCATCGGCCAGGACGGCGGTGGAGTCGTCCATGAACCGCTCAATGAGGCGGTCGCGGTTCCATCGGAAATGCTGCAGGAGGATCGACGCAATGGGCGACTGTGTGCCGCGATGTGAGTGGGAAGCGAATATGAGTAGTATTAGGGGATTGCATACCTCGAGCCCGATGATGTTCGCCACCGTGCGGATGTCGTCTTCTACTCGCTGCTGGAGGCGCGCCGCAGAGAAGCTCTCGTACTCGACACCCGGCGACTTCGATTTGCCCTTGTCCTCGGGCACTGGCTCCTCGAAATCGGAGTCGTTCGCCTGCACAAAGGCGGGTGAATCACTGTGGCACCGAGAGGGCAGGGGAATGCCAGCTTACCGCGACATCGGAGTCGTATGAGTCGCTGGGGTAGCCGTCTGAGTCGTCGTACATGGTCGTTCAAAAGAGATAGAGTGTCGGGCGTGGATGAGAGCGTCGAGCAGTCACAGACGGGAGGGGAGGCCCGTGCAGACGGCGGGAACGCGTTTACCACAGCGCGTCTCTCTGCCGAGGCGTGGGCGCTCCCACCGCGTTCAGAATCATGATCTCCTGGTCTGCCACTGGTCATCTGCAGATTCCGTGCGCGTTCTGTCACGCGCATCGCGCAAGCACTTCATTCAATTCAGCAACATGTGCGACCCGAGCTCTTTTGCCTCTCGCCACGACCGTCTCAGCGCAGCTTGCTTCGACACGCCGGCGCGATGAGCCCTCCAACAGACTTGAAGGAAGTAGTGGAGTCGGAGATCAAGTACGTTTCGCTGCAGTGATTGTCCACCGCCTCTTCATGAACGTTGCATTGTAGGGAATGGCACTTCCGTATGTGAGCGACGCTTCAGAAAGACTGTTGGAGGACCTCAACGGCTAGGCAGACATCTATTTCCACCAGCGCAACGCGGACGAGCACCATGCCGCTCTTGAGCTACGCGACGCCGTCCTGCGCCTGAGACGCGATGGCGCATTCATTGCGGTTCCCCTCTTCCGAGTCAATACGGACCCCATGGGGCCTCATCCTGTCGGTATGTGGATGCCCTAAAATTGCCAATTAAGTGATTCTGACATGCCTCGCCATACCCAGGTTCGTATGAGATTTGGTGCCCGTCAGAGTCATTCGCGTCAGTCTACTCATATCTGTGCCTGAACCGTGGAAGCTTGAGGTGCGCATCGCCCTCTTGACTGAGCGGATAACTGTGCTTCATGTGGCTGCAGCATTCTGGTCCACCCATTAACCCGCGAAGAGGTATGTTACCCTATCAGATGCCCTGATGCTGTGTTGAACTGGCTGTCCTCATCTTACAGAGAAAGTCCGTACTTCAACAAATCTGCTGCGCATGTGCTCATAATGTCACCCAGGGACCATGAGATCCGCAACTCCTGGATAGGTCCATCTTTCCCCTTGGACTTGTCTATGCTGCCGGTCCTGGCGGACAATGTCCCTCTGCAGTACCCTAGCCTGAGTACGCATTATAGCTCAGCATCCACGTAGCGAACACTCATGTCTTCTTCAGAGCTCGGCTACTCTTCCGAGGCTCCGCCCCTGTCCCTGGAAGATAGACGCAAGATCGGTGCGAACATTGAGCGTATCTTGAAGAGCGAGAAAGAGGCTGCGAAGGCTCCGAGCGACTGAAGTAGTGCGGCGATGCCGACCATTTAATGCACATCGCCATTGCTGGATCTACATGCTGTGATATTTGTACACTTGCTGTCTCGGATTACCAGAATATGCGTGGTGCCCTTGTCAGTGTTTTGAATCGTATGCATCATGCGGATGTGATCGTACCGAGCGACCGCCTCCGGAGCAGACATGACTTCAACGAGGGTCATACTATACCCTCGCTACCGTACTCCGCTCACCAACCTTCCCAGTACTCAGGTACTCAAGAGTGTGTTACTTAGGACCGCACGGTGCAGTTTCCTCGAATCGCGCGCTGGCTGGCATGTGTGGACACTTCGAAGCCGGCGACCATGACTCGGTATTACTCTACCGCATACGCCCACCACCTCCGACTAGATCTACTTAAGAATCCCCTGAGATTCCCCGACCCACTTCTGTTCATATTCCACTGAAGTTTCTGCATAAAGCCGCTTGGAAACTTAGAGAGAGACGCAGTCACATCTACGATGGCCCGTCCGCGCCAGGGACCCTCCAGTACGATCGTGATCAAACTAGGTCCGTACTGCACCTTGGCCAACATCCATTCCGTGCTCTCTCTGACCTCCCATTCTCCGTTCGCAGGAACATCTTCTATCGTCCATGAAAAGACCCACCAGCCATTACTCTCCACCCTCTCCGCGGTGGTGGAGACGGTCGTGCACCTACGCGAGCAGGGGCACAAGGTCGTGCTTGTGAGCTCCGGGGCGATCGGGGTTGGGCTGAAGCGCATGAATATGCCGCATAGACCGAAGGGGCTGTCAGGGAAGCAGGTAGGTTTTGTCTGGTCTTCTCGCTCGGAAGTGGAAGGGAGGGTGCCTAGAGGGGGCGCTTTGATTGAGTTGAGGGATGGTCGGTACCGTGCGGATGCGACCAGACTGAGTGGCGTAGTGTAACTCTGGCTTCGGGACAGTCCTGGGATGCGGTATGTGTTGGATGGTCCCTGAGAACTTCTACAGGCACTCGCAGCCATAGGGCAAGGCCGACTCATTGCACTATGGGACAACCTCTTCGGGCAAGTGGAACAGCCCATCGCGCAGGTGCTCCTCACTCGAGGAGATATCTCAGATGTGCGTCTCCCGTTTGACTCCAAGATGCTATACTGACACCGGCAACCAGCGTACCCGATATCTGAATGCCGTGAACACATTCAAGGAGCTGCTGTCTATGGGTGTCATCCCCATTGTGAATGAGAATGACACAGTATCCGTCAGCGTAAGTGGTCTTGTGGTCTACATTCACGCCCAGCGAGGAAACACACATTCGTGCAGGAAATCAAATTTGGCGACAACGACACACTTTCCGCAATCACTGCTTCCATGATCCATGCCGACTACCTCTTCCTACTGACTGATGTGGATGGATTGTACACTGCCAACCCTCGAAAAGACCCCAACGCAAAACTTCTAGAAGTCGTCTCATCTGTGGCGTCTATTCGTTCACAAGGTACCCGTCTACGAGATCCCTGACTCTAACATGAATGCTGATCGGACGTGCTTAGTTAGCACATCAACACTGGGCTCGAGTCTGGGGACAGGCGGCATGGAGACGAAACTCATTGCCGCCGACATTGCGACCGCCGCCGGGGTCACCACAATCATAACATCCAGCAAGGATCCCAAGAACGTAGTGAAGATCATCGAATTCATCAACGCTCTCCGTTCCGGCACATCAACACCCGCCCACCCACAGTCGGGACGCTCGAGTCCTATCCCGTCGCTGCCCACTGTACATGCCGTCCCCACATCAGATTCCGCCACACCATCACCGCGCCACAGCACACCTGTTGGTTTGTTTCGACCCCCGCACACGTTGTTCAAACCTTCGCCCGCACCACTGCGCGACCTCAAGGCATGGACGAGCCACACGCTGCATCCGTCGGGCAGCGTGATCATCGACCACGGCGCCCATGCTGTGCTGTCTCGGAGGGAGTCTGGGGGACGCCTGCTCCCCGCTGGTGTTCTCGGTGTGCGTGGAGCCTTCGCCTCTGGCCAGGCGGTGCGAATGGTGGTGAGGAAACGGCTCGCGCACGAAGCGCACACAAGTGCGCCTGCCCCGCAGCTCGGAACGTCAACTCCCAATACACCTCTCCTGCTGGCCACCGCATCTATCTCATCGTCAATTTCTACCCTAGACCCGGGGTTGGAGTTGTCAGACTTCGCTGCGCATGCGCTCTCTCCTGTGGACGAGGAGGCGACGCCTTCGGTGACCCAGAGGGTACTGCTAGGGGAGGACCATGTGCTTGTCGAGAAGCCGATAGAAGAAAGCGACGAGTGGGAAGTAGAGGAGGTCGGCCGCGGTCTGGCCAATTATAATTCGGTCCAGATCGAAAGGGTCAAAGGACTGAAGAGGTGAGAGCCCTGAAATGATTCACGACCGTTCACATGCTCACTGCGACCCTCTGCCCCAGCTCGTACATCCCGCAACTGCTTGGCTACGCGGATTCCGAATATGTTGTAGAGAACATCACTATCCGTGTACCCCCCTGACATCCCGATGCCCGTCAACATTGTTATCTCGTATGCAGCGTTCTGCCGATAGTGCATCTTGACGTCGCAGTGGAAGGTGCCGAAGAGTAACCGTTAAAGTTTGTGGTGCGAGGATCAGCTCGTTTGCCTGCATGCTGGCGCGAGGCGGGTTGCTGTGCAGCCTCGCCTTCTTAACCTGAACGTCAACACTTGGCTGCCCACTCCCGTCTTCCACAGTGCACACGACGCACCCTCAGGCTCGCGTGCTGCTGTTACGTCAAATTCATCAAATTCGGCGCCGGAGAGTGCTTACGTAAAGCGGGGCTCTTCAAAATGCGCACAGATGGATCATCGCTTTTGTGAGCAGTGCCGTCGCCCAGGTTCGACCTCTTTCCAACTCACCACCCTACTCTTTCTCCCTTCTGATATATCCCTACATTATCGCTCTTTTGCATTGAATGCTCTAATAATACACGCTAAACGGACATGCTGCACGGCAACTCTGTCAGAATCCTGACTGGTCAGTCCATCAGGTCGCCCTCGTGAAAACTGACGACCTACGTCGGACGCAGGAAACAGTCACCCCGAGCTCGCCCAGGCCGTGGTCGAGCGGTGAGCCCAGCTTCGCTAGAGCAGCGGTCCATTGGACAGGAGATTCACGGAGACCTGCTGCAGGCTCAACGTCCCTTTGACTCCATGTACGGTCAAGAAGTTCTCGAACGGAGAGATCGACGTCAAAATTGCAGAGTCCGTCCGCGATGAGGACGTCTTCATCATCCAGTCAGGCTGCAACGACGTCAACGACAGCCTCATGGAGCTCCTCATCCTCATCTCTGCGTGCAAGGGCGCCTCCGCCCGCCGGATAACGGCTGTCATCCCCTGCTATCCCTACGCACGGATGGACAAGAAGGACAAGTCGCGCGCACCCATCACCGCCAAGTTGGTCGCGAACATGCTCGCCGTCGCTGGCTGCGACCACGTTATCACCATGGACCTGCACGCCAGCCAGATTCAGGGATTCTTCGACTTCCCGGTGGACAACCTCTACTCGGAGCCGCTCATGATCTCCTACATCAAAAGAAATATAGAGGGGTGGAAGAACAGTATTATTGTCAGTCCAGACGCAGGGGGAGCGAAGCGGTGAGTCTGCACCGCAGTGCGGCCCTCAGCGCTCGTGTGCTCACGCGTTGGCAGGGTCACAGCTATCGCGGACAAACTTGGAGTAGAGTTCGCCCTCATTCACAGGGAGCGGACTCGCAAGTCAGAGGCGGCGCCGGAGAGAATGGACGTTCTCGTGGGAGACGTGCGTGACAAGGTAGCGTATCTGTCAAAGCATGAGATTATGGACGAACGTGCTCAACGTACGCGTTTCAGGTGGCTATTCTCATAGATGATATGATTGACAGTGGCCGAACACTCGCGCTCGCCGCACCTCTGTTGAAGGAGAAGGGGGCGTCGAAAGTGTTCGCGTTGATTTCGCATGGTGCGTGACTTGTCGCTTTCTTCTATTTGACAGGCGAAGACACGTTCTGTAAAGGTCTGCTGTCTGAGATAAGCATGAGCATGATACAGGAGCTGCCGATCGAGCAGCTTGTGGTACGTTCGCCTGCCCCCACTGTCATTCCTCGTCGCTCAACGTGCATATCGTACCTCGTAGGTCACGAACACCGTGCCCCAAAAACGCCACGAAGAGGGTTGCTCGAAGCTTGTTACCATCGACGTTAGCCCTACAATCGCGGAGAGCATCCGTCGGACGCACAATGGGGAGAGTATCAGTTTGCTTTTCGGAGACTGGGCGGACGGACTGGCCGTCAACGGCGTCGGTAGCTACTGAGGGGCGAAGTTCTGCAGAGACAATGTATCACCTACATAGAATGTACTCATTACCGGATACTGCAGGACAAGTGTTCATTGGACCACGGCGGCGTGAACGCGATGCCGGAAGCTCTGGCGCATGCGCGTCTATTGAAATGCAACAGTAGGACGGGAGCAGGCAGTGTATGTCGAGACTGCGTTTAGCACTCGATTCTGTGCTGAAACCAATGAGGCATAATCATTCAGGGTTATCTTTGTCTCGACACTCACTGTTCATCTCTACGATTTCTCCACCTTCCACCCTGCGTCGAGCGCGTCCGAGATCAAGAACTCGTACCAAAAGATCGCAATGGGCACTGTTGACAGGTGCCACAGCGAGTGAGCATCAATGATGCGCCCCCACGGAGGAAAGTCAAAGAGCTCGAGCGACGTCGCGAAGATCGTCAACATGACGAAGAGCGCCGTGGAGGAGGCGTACGGCGGGCGGTAGGACCGTGGCCTGTGTGGGAACCGGCGGAGGAGGAGCACGGAGGATGGGAGCGAATATGCTAGCCACAGCAGATTGTGGATCATCCCGGCGGTGAGGTTGAAGGCGATGTTGTACGTGTAGTCGAACCGAGGGAGGAGGGAGAGGTAGGACACGTGCACAAGATATGCGAAGGAGCAAAGACATGACCATACAATGTATGGCAGGGATGAGCTGCGCCGGACTTCGTACCCGCCGGCTTCGGACTTGTACAGGTGGAATAGCCGCACAACGGTGTAGTACAGCGCGTATAGGATGGCCAATGCCGCCGAGAAATAGTCCATCTTCTCGGTAGTTGGGAGATCTGAACATCGCCGTGCACAAGATCAAGTACATATAGACTGTGCCAGATCGTACACGCACCTCGGGTGTGGAACACCGACGACCAAGCCCAAGCGTTCATACTGACGAACGCGAAGCGCCGGTAGTAGCCCTTCATCGGATGATTCTGAGGTATATTCCTCTGTATCCTCCGCAGCCCTCTGTAATGGGCCAGGAGGTTGAGCAAAGAGAACGCGACGGAAGCAGGCTCCTGCATGCCCGCTAGTCGCCAGAACGGCCATTTGCCGTGGTATTGCTCGACGGGCAGCGCGTTTTGTTCTGCATGATCCGTGATGGCGTGCATGCAGCCGTACTTGCAGTCATCAGAGCACGTCCATCTGGTGAGTCGCATTGGAAGGGGGACGGTGTCCGCCCAGGCATTCCAATTATCCTTGCACACGCGGGACTCGCACTTGGACACGCAGTTTCTGTAGTTCTCTGCGCGATCGCCTGCTGACGCGAGGACGAGACTAGGAACGCAGAGCAGCAGAAGTGTATACCATATGCGCATAATGAAGGGTGGATATGAAAGGAGCGGGAGGATATGTGATGTTGGTACAGCGCAGGACAGCCGCGGGGTGCAGAGTGGAAGTCAGTGTCGCGGTTGCCGTAACAGGACGAAGACACGTCCGAAATGGCTGTATCACGTAAGCAGGTGGCAGATCCTCTCACTCTGCACGTTGAAGACAACTAGCTGATCCGACCACTACCACGAGCAGAATCCTTCCAACCAGAAGTGGTATGTTGTGCTCTGCAATCTGGTGTGGTATATGCTTACTGATAAGTCTCAGAATTGCTGCAAGAGTGGCTTGTTTTCCGACTTGACGGGCAGCGCGGTGCCGTAGTACGGTGGCCTGCACTCTTGTAAATTCATTCTAGACTTGCGCAAGTATCAGGTAAGGCGGATTTATGTAACACAACTCATACTATCGCTGCGATACTAAAGCATACGCATTGCATCAGACGGCTCTCCGCATTCAGCGAGGGTCACCTGAGAACATGGTTCGCTCATATCAAGCAACAACATTCTCGTCAGCACCGTATTTCGATGATCGAGGCCCTCACGGTCATGCCGAACCAATCACAGAGCGCGTCAACGTATGTTTCTACCAGGTTTTTACCAACGTGCACCTATACAAGTAGACTGAATGCTCTGTAGCCGCATTCTCGTCCCATAGTCTCGTACTACTTTCCGAAAGGTGTAGGCGCGCAACACTATGGAGTGCGTTCAAGTTCCCGCGCACCGATCATAATGCAGAGCTCACTACTATTGGCAGGAACGGCACCCCATGAAGCCGCATAGATTGACTCTCACGAATAGCCTTGTCATGGGATACGGCTTAGACAAACAGATTCATCATATATATAATCCACGATCCGCCACCCAGGCCGAGTTGGAGGCCTACCATGACAATGACTACATCGACTTTCTCTCTAGGTATGTGTAGCTGAACGCTCTACCGTCGGGACAATACACTCATACGATACCTACAGGGTAACGCCGCAGAACCAGGTAGACATGAAACATCTAATCGATACTTTCAACTGCGTCGAAGACTGTCCAGTATTCTCGGACATGTACGATTTCTGCCGCATGTACGCTGGTTCATCCTTGGCAGCAGCGAGGAAGCTTTGCGCGGGAACAACTGACATAGCGATAAACTGGTCGGGAGGACTACACCATGCGAAGAAGGGCGAGGCCAGTGGATTCTGCTATGTGAATGATATCGTATTGGCCGTACTGGAACTTCTCAGGTAGGCTAACGGATGGTACAGGCGAGTCAATGTTGTTGGCATTAACGCGTTTTCATTGCTTAGATATCACCCTCGAGTGCTCTATATTGATATTGACATCCATCACGGCGACGGTGTAGAGTTCGCCTTCTACCACACAAATCGAGTCATGACGGTGTCATTCCACAAATACACCGGCGACTTCTTCCCAGGCACTGGGAAACTCGATGACAACGGCACGGGCCTTGGGAAACATTTCTGCCTTAACGTGCCTTTGCAGGACGGGATCGACGACAACATGTACCTGACGATCTTCAAGACGGTGATCGAGGACACCGTCACTGCATTCCGGCCGACAGCCATCGTCTTGCAGTGCGGCGCGGACTCCCTGGGCTGCGACCGGCTAGGTGCCTTCAACCTGTCGATCGCAGCCCACGGCGAATGCGTCAACTTCGTCCGCAAGTTCAACGTCCCGCTCCTCGTGCTCGGAGGCGGAGGCTACACCATCAAGAACGTGAGCCGCTGCTGGACATACGAGACCTCCGTCCTCGTGGGTGCCTCCATCCCGGACGAACTGCCCGTGACGATCTACGACTCGTTCTTCCGCGAGTCTCAGTGGAAGCTCCATCCGCCGCTCACAGGCAAGGTGGAGAACCACAATACGGCGGCGTCGCTCCAGCGTATCACGATCGCTATTCGGAACAAACTGCGGTACCTCCAAGGCGCCCCGAGCGTCGCAATGCAGGAGATCCCTCCGGACCTTGCGGGTTGGCTAGAGGACGAATCACGGACACGAGAGGAGAAGGAGGAGGAACGGGGTACTGCTCAGGCAGGCGAGACTAGAGTGGACCGGTCGGTTCTGCGCAACGAGTTTTTCGACGGAGACAAGGACAACGATGCTGATGAAGCGGATGACGAGCCGGTGGTACCGGCCAAGAAGACTACCACCCGCAAGCCGCGGACGAGCACAGGCAGGAGGGCAAGAGGAAGGGGGCGAGCCAGAGGGGCCGGGGCGTCGCGTACAGCGGCAGCGGCAGCAGCAGCAGCAGAGGAGGATGGCGAAGACGAGGATGAAGAGGAGGAGGCGCCTACCCCGGCGCGAAGAACAACGAGACCGAGAGGACGGGGTCGAGGCCGTGGGCGTGGGCGCGGACGCTCAAGGACTCAGGCTCAAGCTCAGGAGAGGGACACGGAGACGGAGAGTACGCAGCTCGAGGGGGACTCTGTGCCGGACACGGAGACAGACCAACCGCCGCAGGAGCTCAACGTCGTCTGAGTATAAGTGACTGCTGGTTATGACAGGAACGCGAGTCCGACAATCGGTGAGCTGGTCCGCTGACTGATGTGCATTTTTCTTGTCTGCTCACTCTTGAAGCCATGCGATTGTCAGTCAGCCCACGTCTTGGGAGAGGGGCTGTGCATACTGAAGTGGCCAGAGTGGGCGAGGAGATCATTGTTTGGCACCGCACGCGACCTCTGTTTCATCCTCGTATACCCGCCGGTAACCACCATCGTTAATGTGCGGATCAATCGTCTTGCAGAGGCCAAGAATGGGGCTACGTACCTTGACCGGACAGTAGGAGCTAGGGCGAGAAGCATGCGTAGATGAGCGGTAGACGATTTGGGCGAGCGCGATGGTCAGTGCTTGACGTATTACATTATATTACAGGTATCGCATAAGTTAGGATGCAATGCATCATAAGCAACAGACGCAGCTAGTCTCCGTTGCTGACCACAAAATAGAGGAAGATAGTCGATCTAAGACGCAGCCCGGTGCTGCGCCCTCCAAGACTAGGGGCTACGATTTTATTGAGCGTACCTTCGCTCCCAGCAACGAGGCGACTTCGAAGCATGCTACGAGTAAGGACTGGCCCACGACGTCCATGAGCGCGGAGTGGATTGGCAGCGCGTACATGTCTGGGTCGAGCTCCCACTTCCAGAAGTACTCGGTGATCCCACGGGCCAGTACGAGGGCTATTGCCACCTTCATAGCGATAATACCATCAGGCCTCGCTATGAACCTCAAACGACATGTGACGTACCGCAGTGCAATAGAAGAGGATCTCGAGGACGACGAAGATGAACGGGAGGTGAATCCAGCCGAAGGCGTAGATGAAGACGAGAAAGACGAGCTGGATGGGGAAGCCGACGACAAGTAGCGTAGTCATCACCAAGTGTGGGCTGGGGTGTACTTTGTGGTCCGCGGAGGACGGCAGGATCGTGATGGCTGCTGCGTGAAGTGCGGTCGATAGTCTCGAGACGAAGATTGCACCGACGCTCCCCGGCAGACCTGAATCGGATCCATACTGCGGTCAGCCGGCAAAATTTAAACTGAGAACGTCAAGGCATACCAGTGATGACGACAGCAATTAAAGCATATCCTTGATACCGGGTGACGAAGGTATCAAGGAGCAGCCCGGTGCCATTGCTAATGATCATCGCCGCGAACAGCGGCCACCATCCCTGCTTCAGTAGATGACTGACCTGAGGATTCCGGCGGACAGAGAAGGCAAGCCCTATGGCGATGGCGCTCAGACAGATGACGAAGATCAGGGGCAGCGGGGTGTTCTCGATGCGGACATGGATGAGGGATACAACACTGAGGATAGACAATGTGAGCATATCGCCCAGACAGCCCGCCACTGGAGGGGAGACATTATCTGGGGACGGCGAGAAGATCTGGGCTTCAGCGACGAGGTACATGCCCATGCAGTGAACTCACCTGGGTCGTATCCCCAACGACGGCACAGCACTATGAGCCCGCACATGAAGGATCCTAAAAATACACCTGATAGCGCACAGGAGCACATAGCAGCGGAAGCCACCATTATGAACCTAGGACGTCATCAGAAGCCGTCGGGGTTAGAGCGGTGCGAACTTACTCATGCGGCCCCGAAATCTTCTTGCCACCCTGAGGCAAGGATGGACGTGGCTTTCTGGGCTGCAACGATGAAGCGGGGAGCGAAGCCAATAAGGCCCTTTGCACTATAGAAGCAGTAGCATTGGCAATGGTACCGTTGCCAGTAGTGGGTATCGATCCCGCGGGAGCCGGGGAGGCCGTTATTCGTCCAAGGACGAAAACGACGCATGCTGCGACAAAGGATACCACGGCGGCTTGCACTTGCAGCAGCGTAAGGTTGCCAATGATGATTTGTCGACGCGTGTCCGCTTTGTCCAGCTCCCCTATGTTGGCGGCTGTACTTAGTCGTGCGGAGAGGTTCATCTCTAGATTGCCCTTTAGGTTAAGTACCACGGGAATGATCATGATGAGTTCATCCACACGGGATAGTTCCTTCCAATGCTGAGGGAGAAGTTAGCACGCCTGATGGCTGTGTAATTGAGGTAGGGATTCGAGACATCGAAGACAGGCTGGACATGCAGCTCGAGAGCGAAAAAAATAGTGCAATAAAAGACACAACATCCAAGACGCAGGGGGAAATGCAGGGCCGGCTCGAGCTGGTCGACTGTAATGGCATTGGTGACGTACCGACACAGTGGACAATAGTTCGCCGGTGAACAGCAGCCCGATGGTAGTGACAAGGAGTGTAGGTGAGGTCTATTTCTCCACAAGGTTCAGCACCGACGTGCGCTAGTCACAACACCATGTCTGAGGGCGTACCTCTATTACGAGGCTCCTGACTTGCGTCCAGGCTGTACCACGACGCGCGGGCGCACGCGGATCGGCTCTCCTTCCTGCCCCAAGCAGTGCGAGGTCGCCCTCATCAAGGCCATTATCTTCGTCGTCGGATTCGCTCGGGTCTGGTTCAGGTATGACGGACGACTGCTTGTAGCGGTGAATGTGGTCCGGGTCTGGTGTCACGAGCACGTCCTCGAACTCGGCGAGTTCTATGGTGTCTGAGCTGCTGCGAGAGGGGACTGGGGAGCCTGGGTTGACCATGTCTTGCGCGGGGTGCGCGTGAGCGTTGTCGCAGGGCCGAGAAGGATGGCAAGGTCTAGGAAGAGTCAAGACATCGCAGCGGGTGCATGTGCATGGCTGCTGGGCGTCCGTCCAGAATAGCCCTGACGCGCCCGTGGGAACCAGCTGCCTGTTTTGCTTCAACACGAATAGACGCCATGTCGGTGCTAACGGGCGCTTCCACGACTTGCTTCCGTTCGCGACTACGCTCGCAGGCCACTTACCGTGCTGCCCTCCCTGGCCGTCCACTCCAGCTCGTCTCGTCGGAGCAGACTTGGGGCTGGTATCTCTGCCGCCTGCGCGCAACAGGGCCGCCCAATCCGAACGCGCTCGGGCCATGTCACCGGCGGTATCGCCGTACGATCCACTACCAACGATCAGCTCTGTATTGTTCAGGAACCCACCAGACGCGGTTCCCCCAACCGATGAGCTTGAAGGTCTTCATGCGGAATTGAAGCTTCTCAGACAAAGGACCCTCGAGAGGGCCAAGAAAGCTGGCGAAGACCTCAAGATTATTGAGGAGTCTATGAGACGATTGAAAGAGAAGGAGAAGGGCAAGGCTAAAGCCTTGGAGAAGGTGAAGAAGGAAAGAGGCTGTACGTACTTTTACACATGTTCCGAGGCGACACTCTCACTGCATTTGCTTGCATTCGTGATCTCTGACATGCTGAATCGCCGCCACTTCGTGTCAACCTACACGCCATCTCACTTCATTTGTACCGGTACAAACTGCGCTGGGTGTATCTGCTTTGCTTTGGCTATATGAATATGCTGCAAAACGCCGGTCCTCTCCAACACTGGTGCCGTCACTTCGCGCGCGTCTCATAACAAACACTTGCTGCTCTGCGAACTACTGCTACGTGAAACTTGGCACTGGGTCATATGTCACCCTGGCTTTCTTGTCGCGGCACTGTCGGGATTCACTCAACCTTGGTGCCACTCCTCGCGCGTAATTTTCATCCCCAATGTTCAGTCACCCCCATCCCGATTCCGAATGGCGAGGATGCGGCGAAACCACCTGCGCCGACCCTACCCATACCTCCGCGGCCCCGCCTGCCTCCTGCACCACCTGTATCAGTAACGCCAACGCCAACTCCCGTCGTGGAAATGCGCAAGTCGTAAGCTGACATGACATGTCGATTAGATACGTCTCTGACACCTGTATAGCGCAACGGAGGATGCGAAGAAGAAGAAGAAGAAACGGAAACGCGACGACCTCAGCGATGCAGAGTCTGGTGAGAAAACCGGAAACTTCAACGGTCATGAACGTGCATTTACACTGCACGGAAATAGAACCTCCGAAGGCACGCAAAACTTCACCCATGCCTCCACATACGCATCCACATCCTCCCCCTGCACATGTACCACCACCGAAACCCAATAAATACCCATCGACATCCATTGCTTTTAACAAGGTACGTTGTCAAATACGTTTTCAGCGCAAGGACCTCAACATGTCTTCTAGCCGGCTAACGGCCAGGACTTCGCTCTCCCGCCACAAATCTCCTTGCTACCGACCCGACCTCAGCCACAACCTGTACCTGTACCAGGACCTAGCAAACCCACTGCCGTCCAAGATGACTTCACCAAGAGTAAGGTACCTGGCCAGCAGGTGCAGATCACAACGTTCTACGCGAGCGTCGAACCGTGGCTCCGCCCTATCAAGGAGGAGGATATTGGCTTCCTGGAGCACACTGGCGATGACGTGGAGCCGTTTGTCATGCCGACGCTAGGAAGACGTTACACCGAGGTATGGGAGGAGGACGATACGAGGCGGTATGGCGGATCATTGCCTGGTGCTGCCGCCGCGCGCGCGGCAGCACGCATTCGCCCATCGACTTCATCTGGTCCATTACCGCGATGGGAGCCGTCTACGCTCTCAGAACCTGATCTACTGACGGAGGAACGCGGGCACGGACCGTTGACGGAGCGATTAGTCACTGCCCTTATTCCTATGCACAATGCCACGGAGTGGAAGGGCGTGAAGGCCGCGGAGGAAGCAATGGAAGGCAGGCCGGGCACGAACGGTGCAGCAGCAGCGGCTGCACGAGATAAGCTCAATGTCGCTGATCTGGAGGACCGTGTCACGAACGTCCTGCGATTTCACGGTCTTATTGATGAGCTCGTGCGTTGTCTGACTATCGCTGCTGAGATTGAATCGCTCATGTGTTCGCGACTCGTTGCCGTTGATAGCCCAATTTCTCGGAGGCAGTCGACGACCCAATTGCCACGGCGCTGCGGCATGCACAGCGCGAGTTGCGCACGGTGCTCGCGACGAACAAGGTCCGTCGAAATCGTCTCGTCGCCATCGCCCGCGACCGGCTTGGGTACCAAGAGTACGTCGACCTGCGTGATACCATCGACAAGAACATCCAGGCGCTCTACACCAAGCTGCAGAAGAAGGACGGCCCGAAGGCGAGTAAGAACAAGAAGAAGAAGGTTTCAGAGCCGAATGGGCTCCCGAACGGCGCGCCACTCACTGGCATCAGCGCGTTGCCTCCGTGTCCTGCAGCTCTCGGGCTGACGCTGGACGAGGAGAGCCATTTGAGTGTTCCGGAGCAACTCAAGCGGCTCGTGGATACGCGCCAGCAGTGGGTGGAGACCATCGGCGGGGTGTTCGAGGAGAAGCAGACGGAACAGCCCGGGCGAATATGGGAATTCCCTAAGACCAGCGTATACGCCGATATCGAGGAGGACGTGCAGCGGGAGATGGCGCGTCTGGGAACGACTTCCGCGTCGGGCTCCAAGTCTCAGCGCGATGCAGCGCGGCCGTCTGCTAATGGCGTCGACTCACGGACAAGTAGTACTGGTGGCAAGGGTAAACAGCGAGCTTCGGGGGACTACATGGATATCGGCTGATGCTCGTCTCGCGTTGGAGACGCGGCAGGATGGACAGTGGATCCAGACTATCACATTATTCCTATTATTACTACTTTTGTCTGGGAGTTGCCTACGCACGCTATCCACCCAATTCATCGTCTGCCCTGCTACTGAACATCGCAGGAGTGGAGTGTACTCGTAGTCATGAAGCTGACGCTGGAAGGGCTACGAAGCAGCGGCCTTGCTTTTCTTAGACTTCTTCGACTCTCCATCACCTTTCCGCTTTTTCTTGGGCGGCGGTGCGGCCTGCTCTGGCTGGTCAACGTCCATTGTATCTGGTGCATCGGTATGTGCGAGTGAGCCCAACGGCATGAATCGGTGCTTAAGAACCTCCAGCGGATAGCGAGGGCGTGGGGGGTTCTTGTACATTGATTCGCCAGCCTCTGCGGATTCCGCCGCCGGGGTAGGTGCATCCGGCTTTGCAGCAACGACAATATGTTTTGCGATGAGGTTGGGTGCTGAAGCAGTGCATATATGCTCATTGGGCGTGCGACAGTCGAATGCTACGAGGAAGACGCACCTTGGTAAAGCTTCCCTCCCTTGCTTTTCCGCGGTAGCAAACAAGATAGTCGCTTAAGCTCCTCTCCGCCTACATGGTCTGACGGCGAGTCTCCCAGTGACCACACGTCGTAGGAGGCGTGTTTGCGATCAACGCTGCCTATACGTGAGGTCTCCGATGATGAAGGTGCCTCGAGCTTGATGCCTTGGAGGTGCTTTGGTTTGAGCTACAGCAATATTTAGCGGCATCGAACAACAGGAAAGCGAAAGGACGTACCCCCTGCGGCACGCGAACAACCCATAACTCCAAGTCCTCATCGTCTTTGATAGCATCCCAATCAAAGTCTCCTGAATCGACAGAGTGGTCCACGGGCACTGCGCCTGGAGGAGGTTGGTATGCATGGTTTGGATCTGTGCCTTCGTTCTTCCCGTGTGATGAGGTAGCTGGTCTCGATGGCTCAGTCACCTTCTTCTTTGTGGCCTTCGAAGTGGGCTTCTTGGCCTGCTGCACAACCTCGCTCTCGGATGATGAACTGGAATCACTCATGTTCGACGATTATCAGAGTGAATGGGTTCGCTGCAGGTCCTCGATTCATTCAACGTTCGATATGAAAGTGGCATTACCCTCGTACCAAAAGATAGGATATTAGTAACCTTGTCCTTGAGGGTCTATGTTGCCACTGCTCTGCGCGTGCCAAGTAGCAAACTTGTGTATGTCCAGTCGAGTTCGACAGTCGACTACTAGTAAAGTACATGTTCTTCGATCGCTCCGGGCTAAATTACAAGCGCCCGCATCACGTGCCTCTTGCACTACAGTCTACTGCATACCACGATTGAGCGCTGAGCGCTGAGCGATCGTTGACCTCAGCTCCACTGGCAGGACGCAACACAATCACAGAGATTACAATCGGTACAGATAGAAATTACAGCACACATCTACCGTACATCTTCAATAATACAGAACCTTACAGGAGGATACAAAGGGTACATGTCCATGATCATCGCCTTTCCCTGACCTTGACCCACACCGTGCCGATGACCATCAGCCCGAACCCAGCAATGAATGCAAACAAAACCAGTACGTCTCGGTAATAGTTGTCCGCACCGAACCCGAAGAGCTGTTCACCAGACCATAAGGAATCTGACAAAGGCACAGAGGGAGGGTGACTCACCGTCTCCATAATGAGACTCGCCGACACGTCCACGGGCACTCCATCCAACGAGTCCTTAATCATGAGGCCCGACCCGACCTCGTTGACGGAAAGTGCCTCCAGGTTGTACTTCAGCGGGCATAGCCACTGCAGCCAACGGAGCACTGGGGGAATGCTGCCCAAGTGAACGAAGAACCCGGCGTAGGTCATTTGATACAGCGCGAGGAGGGCGCTGAGGAGGATCGCTATGCCACCGTTACGAAACAAACACGCGAGAAGAAAATTCTGGGGCGTGATGCGTGAATAAGAGAAGGGGGCTGCGAGGTCGGGAGAATGCTTACGAAGAGCGTCATGACGAGCGTATAGAGGACGAGGATGAATAGGAACTTGAAGAAGTGCGCGGCATCATGTGCCAGTCCGACCATCCAGTAAGTGCTGAAATTATGACATAGTTCGAGTGTGAGCCGCTTCGTAGTGGGATACACTCACATCGAAGATACGATGATGGTCGGTATGACACGTAGAGGTACAACGTCAAAGACGAAGCGAGACAGCAGCCAAGCAGTCGGACTGTTGTTCAAAGCTGAGTTGCGAGTTAACATTGGGATCTATATTGAAACGCACCTGTAGTAGCCCGCAGATCGCTCTCTCAAGAACAAAGGCCGTATCTCCACGATATTGTACAACGCGCTGAGAGAGGAAAAAGCGATCAAGGCACCCTATTTGTCATAAAAATTCTCCGTTGAGGGTGAAGATATCGGTGAGGACGGTATGACGTACCAAGAAGAATAGACACCCGACTCTAGACTGGAACCCAGCGATGGTGACCCCGATCTTGTAGTACAGCCCGCCTGCAGATACCAGTCATTCAAACAAACCTCGGCAAATGCCCCAATTACGCACCAACAAAGACGCCGAGTACGCAAGACACCGCGATGTGGGTGAGGAAGAGCGTCTTGTCTCTATAGCCACAGTCAACATCCAACGATCAGCAACCACGTACCAGAGAGGCAACGTACCTGCGTAGAATTACCCACTCCCTACCAGACAACACCTCCAATTGCGTCAAGAACGTCGTCGCACATGTTCCCCCTCCGACCCTGCGTTTTCGTCTCGAGGTCTGTCCGTTCGCCCCCAGAGTGAGCACGGGCACGCTCGAGCTCGCGGCCTTCTCCACGTCCACAGAGTCAGCGCCGTTTCCATTGCCATTGCTCCCCTTGCCTTCCTCGCTCCCGTCACGGTTGCCGGTGCTCCCGACCGACTGGAAAAGGCCCACTGGAGGGTCGCTGGCGACGTCGAGGAGATAGTCGGCGACATTGTACCCGGTCGAGTACGGTATCCCTCGCGAGGCGAAGTAGTCTGCTGGGGCGAGCCCGCCCGCGCCGTAATAGAGCGCGCGGCCGTGCGAGAGGAGGATAATCTTGTCAAAGCACTGGAACAGCTGCGAACTTCGAGCAACGACGTCAATCGATGCCAGCAAACTCCTGCCCCGAAGGAAGCGCACCTCGGTTGATGGATCGACGCAATCACCGCCGTCGGGTTCTCGTTATCATGCGCCAGTCCCCGCAACACCTCGCCCACCTTCTTCGCGCTCACGGAGTCCAGCCCACTCGTCGGCTCGTCCAGGATGAGCACGTCTGGCCGTGCGACGAGCTCGAGCCCGATGCTGACCCTGCGCATCTCGCCGCCGCTGATCCCGCGCCGCTCGCCGTCGCCGATGCGCGTGTCGCGGATGTGCGCGAGGCCGAGCTGCGCGACGAGCGCGTCGACGCGTGCGCGCTTCTCCGTGTCGGGGATGGACTCAGGCAGGCGCAACCGCGCGGCGAAGAGGAGCGCCTCGGAGACGGTGAGCATCGGCGGGAGAACGTCTTGTTGCGGGACGAAGCCGATGCGCGGGGCGTGTACGGGCCCGTGCGAGGAGGGGAAGGACACGAGCCCGGTGGTGCGCCCGGATTTGTGCTTCCCCGCGAGGATTTCTATCATGGTCGTCTTGCCGGCACCTGGTAGATAAGTCAGAGGAAGCACAACTGACTCGGCGCGGACCTACCGCTCGGGCCCATAACGGCCATGATCTCGCCAGGCTGAACGCGGCCGCCGACATTGTCCAAGATCACCTTCTGGTCGCTGAGGTCTCGCCGTCCGCGCCTCCTGAGCATGCCAGACCACCCGCTCTCGGCCTGAGGTACGAAGTAGCTCATGTCCGACCACTCCACCGCGACGCCTCCGCTCTGGCCAGCGCTCTTCGGGCCCGCTCTCCTCGCGCGTCGCTGTGCCCAGAAGCCATACGCCAGCACAAGCAGCGCGAGCAGGATTAGCCCACCAACGACCGCAAGCCCCGCAATCACACCTCCGCCGAGGGGCTTCCCGCCGCGAGCCGTGCCCGACGAGCCTGTGCTATTGTTCGTTACGTCGTCGATCACGTCCTGCGCGACGCACTCGCCGAACGTGCAGCCCGTGAGCGTGAGCCCGCCCGAGCCGAACACGGAGTCGATCGTGTCCTGCTTGAACGCACAGCTCGCAGACCCGCCGGACGGCGCATCGCACGAGATGACGAGTTGGCCGGAGAGCCCGCCGACGATGGACGAGAGGCTTTCCGCGCCGCTGCAGAACGTCGTGTTCGCGACGCAGGCGCACGCGAGGCTCGCGCACGTCCAGTCGGCGGCGCCCGTGGAGTTGTCGAGGGTCTGCGTGCATGAGGAGGCGCTGCAGTAGAATTGCTCGACCCCGGCGTAGAAGAGCTGCGCGTAGACGGAGCCGGCGGGACCAAAGCCGGTGATGTTTGGGACAGGCGTGAGGGAGGGGTTGAGCGTGCGGAGGATGTTGAGGTTGGAGGAGAGCGGGAATAGCGCCTGGAGGGTTGGGTTCTAGCATATAGGGCACAGTCGTTAGTGTACGAAGACGGATATGCACAGGGAACGAGGAGAGAGGAGCGGGAGAGAGGAGAGGCGGTCATTTTCTCCAGTTAAATTCATATTGCTAGACCCTTCCCCGAAGGCGGGGGGCTTCGGAACATTGCCCAGCGTTGTATTTAGGTGATCCGCATGCGCTGCCTGTGGACGCCGTCGCCAAACCTCCGTGGTAGAATCCCGGTGATATAAAAAGAGTGATATTGAGTTCGCTCGACACTCCGCATGTCCGCGCTCTCGTGGGGAGTTTAGCAATGTGGAAAAAGCTTTCATTTGTACACATTTGTACAGAGGGCATGACCCTCAGTGACATGACAGGGACGGCCAAGCGAGCAAACAAGTGTACGAAGGGACGGGTCGTGGAGCACTCACATTGACGGCGCAGCTCATCTGCCCGGCAGCATATACCCTAGCATCTGCATTGCACACGAGAGTCTCGTTCGTCCCATCCGCAAGGCCCGAGGAGCCCGGGCTGTAGCCCGCTCCTGAGTATGCCGACTGACATACGCTAGCCGTCTGGCAAACGTTGCAACCGGTCCCAGTCCATCCGTCCGCGCAAGCACACCCAGTGATGTTCGGGAGGGAGCCCAAGGTCCAGTCCGCCAGCGGGCGGCCCGACCCCTGGAAGATGTTGCCTCCGCATGCAGGTTGCGAACAATTGCCTCCACCGAAGCCAGTCGGGCAGTCGCACGTCGAGCCGTTCAGCGAGCCGTAGTTCGCGCAGCTGGTCGCCATCTGGTTGGTCGTCGCGAGCGGGAAGCAGGCGACCCGCAAACCGCAGGACAATGTAAGTCAGGGTGGACGGTGGCACGACTCCTGGGCGGCGGGCGCGCTACTTGAAATGAACGGCGTTTGCGGGGTAAACGCGATCGTTGCTGAATCGAGATCCAAGGACGCACCCGGCACACGTGAGGCGCACGCCCTGCGTCCTGCGACTCCGAGAGAGAAGGTTTCGCGAAGACCCGCTGAGTGGGAGTGCGCAAAGCCTGTCTTGTGCTTGCATGAGAGCTAGAGCCCGACAGCTAGAGTGATGTGTTCATGGTTACTGGGAGCTTCGCCCCAGGTCGCACTGCGCGGAGCGTGTCGTCGTACACGGCTTCGGAGGGCCAAGTCGCCGTCCGAGTCGTGCGTGCGGGTCGAGATGGTGCTAGACCGCCGCCTTAGCTCAACCGCGTCCGAACACGACTCGTCCTGGAGGTAGCGCGAATACTGGTCGCGAATGCTGGTGGGGGCGGCTGATGGTTGGAAGTGCGGGACTGGGATGGTCCTGCACTTGCCTCATGGATGGGCGAAATGACACCACGAGTCGTGCCAAGTGCTAGTTCAGGCACACGACACGATCGACGAGGCCATCGAGCCTGCGTATAGTGCAACGAGCCGAGTGCTGGGCGATGGTCAAGCGAAGGTTCTGATGAGTGCATCTCCACCCGTTGGTGAATATATATACGCCTCCGGGCATCTACAGCTCACTCACGATTGACCCCCAGAAGCCACGTCTCCTTGCTATCCTACCGCACTGAGTCGATTGCACACCAGCGCAATCAGCGTCCTATCGCAGCAGGGCAAGTCGTACTCAGGGGTGAGAGCGAATCGCTGAATGCCGCTATGCTACATCTCCGGTCTGACAGCGAACAGCGTATTCGAGACGGTCGAGGCTCTGCTCGCGTCTTGACAACTTCGGAACATGTTGAGACAAGCTGAGCGGTATTCGAGCATGGTGGACACGACATGGACATGGACGTGCCTCTGCAAGTGGTATGTGCTGCTGGGACTTTGTCGCACGGGCGGACAGCGACGGGGAGGCCCGGGGACGGGGTGAGGAACGTGCGCATCAAGGGCTTGGCAGTGCGTGACACGACAGTCACGGATCGCGGACCGAGTGACGGCGTGACGGAAGAGTGGGCGGTGAGACTGGGCGCAGACTCCACTGGGATACGTCGACTGCTCCTGCCCGGCCCTGCGCTGGCTGCGCTGCCTTTCTTCGCTCTGTACCATGCTTCTCTGACCCGACTCGGTCTGGCAGGATCCCGCTCTTTCTCTCCTGAAGCCCGGTTCGGGACACCCAACAAGCTCCGGACATCCACACCCATCTCGGGCAACCCTTTGGTCAGCAAGCCCGTATACGCCCGCTGCCTCGCAAACGTTCAACTTCTCCAAGGGGCGATAGACGGGACGTTCTTGGTTCGTTCACCCACCCTACACTCGCTTGCCTTCTCCCCGTAAAACTCCCTCACCTCCGCCACTTTCCAGTCTCCCCTTCGCTCGCGCAAACATGTTGGCCAGCTGCAGTGGGCATCTCAGCCCGTCCCCGTCGACGGACAGCAACTCGACACGGTACTCGCACCTGAGTCTCCTTTCCTCCGCCTCATCGATATCCTCCCCAACATCGGCACCGTCGCCGCTTCCTTCGCCGTCGCCATCTATCGCATCCATCGGTAACAAGACGCACGCGTTCTTCGGCTCACCCTGGGAAGGCTCGCCTACGCCCGTGCCGCCCCCGAGTCTCCACAAGGCCGCCCTCAAGTCCAAGGCGTCCATGGGCTCGATAACGTCCCAGAGCTCCAGCTCCGCGTCCACATCCTCCGACAACGGGCACGGAGTGCAGCCGGACGAGACGCCCCGGATGCCCCAGGAGACCCCGCGCATCGAACAACGTGTGGTGCCCAAGCGCTCCCTCAATGAAGAATTCTTCGGGCCCTCGGCCCTTCCTACCCCTCATCCTACCTCTGCGCGGTTCTTGACGCCGTCTGTCTCCTCGCGCGAGAGCTCATGTTCTCCGCCGAGCACACACCGCACCCTCCCGCCCTCTGCGATATACCGCCTCTTCCCTTCTCGACGACGCTACGCCTCCGAGGACAGCGAGCTCCCAGAGCTGGAACCGCTGTCCGCTCATCGCCGGGAGTTCTTGCAGCTCGACACCGACGCGACGTCCGCTGCGCCATCCTACACGGACGCACTCACTGCCTCGCCCGCAGTAACCCAATTCCCCAAGATCCATCCGGACTCGCCGGAAATGCCGACACCCCTGCCACGCCCTACAGAGCACGAGCGGACGTCATACATCTCGTCGGACCGTGATACGAAACCGCTTCCGCCCGTGCCACTGCTCTCCGTGCAACCCGACCCCATGGTGCTCGAGCAGGGGACCGTGTTGCGGAGCACGTCCTTGTCGGTGCGGCTGGAGCGTGTGCTGGGCCAGGGTGCGTTCAGCAGCGTGTGGCTCGCGCGGGATATCGAGGGGCAGGTCGGCGTCCTGGAGCTGACGCGCAAGACCAGTCTGCTCCGGAGCAAGAGTCAGAAGCGGGGGCGACGGCTGGAGGGGACGAGACCAAAGACGAGTGGGACCCGCCCGAAGGGCCCTGTCTATATGCAGCGCGAGAAGAGGGTGAACGTGCGTGAGCGAGAGGGGAGCGATGAGAGCGTGGTGCTGGAGGACGCGGATGCGACGCCGAGGCTGGACGGGCTCGCCGCGGCGATGCGGAGGCAGCAGGAGGGGCGGCTGGTCGCGGTGAAGATGACGGAACGGACGTTGTGCGAGAAGAACTCGCGCTCGAGGGTGAGCTTCGTGCGCGAGGTTGAAATCCTGCGGGTGAGTCCACAGCCTCCCCAGAGCGCCTTGTCGGGGACTCGCTGATCCCGTGCCCAGCATATCGCCCACCCGTCTATTGTCTCCTATGTGCATTCATTCAGCACGCCGGCGCACCATTGTCTCGTGCTGGAGTACGTCGGCGGCGGCGAGCTGTTCGACCTGACCGACAACCCCGAGAGCCACGCGCGGCTGGACGAGCCGCTCCTCCGGCGGATGTTCGGCGAGCTGTGCAAGGCCGTCGGCTGGATGCACGGCGTCGGGCTCGTCCACCGCGACATCAAGCTCGAGAGTACGTCCCCCGCGCTCACGCCCACCCGCCCACCGCTCACCCCTCCACAGACATCCTCCTCACCGCATCCCCCTTCGCCTCCCCCCTCCCCGCGCCACACGCCCCGCTGATCAAGCTCTCGGACTTCGGCCTCTCGCGCTTCATCGACCCCGCGCAGCCGCTGCTCACGACGCTGTGCGGCTCCGAGTCGTACGCGGCGCCGGAGCTCGTCACCGGGCGGCCGTACGACGGGCGCGAGACGGACGCGTGGGCGTGCGGCGTCGTCCTGTACGCGCTCGCCGCGCGCCGCCTGCCGTTCGACCTGGTGGTGTCACGTGAGCGCGATGCGCGCGGGGATGCCGCGGCGAGGGTCTCCGCGAAGGGCCCGGCGGCCGCGAACAGCAGGGCGGAGCGGAGGGCGCTGTTGATGCGCATCGCGAAGGCGGAGTATGCGTGGCCGGAGGATGGGCCGTCGAGCGGGGGTGGGGAGGGTGAGGGTGAGGGTGGGGCGAGGCTTGCGGGGGCGAGGCTCGCGCGGAGTGTGGGGGTGCGGCGAGTGGTGGAGCGGTTGCTTGTGAGGAACCCCGGGAAACGCGCGAGGGTTATCGACCTTTGGGAGGAGGAGTGGATGCGCGGGGACGGCGCGCCCCTCGCGCCCCAGGCTGTCGTGCATGGCGTTGGGAAGGATGGCGAACCCGTGGAGGCAAGGACTGACCCAGACGCGACGCCCGTGCCGGCACAGATCGTGGAGGCGGGGCCTGAGGTGGCTATGGATGGAGACGCGGAAGTCGAAGACGACGATGGCCTGATTGTGGATGAGCAAGACATCGGACCGGGCAGCGTCGCGCACCAGGAACACTAGCCCGTGCGCTAGGACCTTTCGCCGGTCAGATGCGCGGCGACACGACAGCCCTGGGACGTCCAGGGCGTGTATGACGACTTCTCTGTAGATATTCCAAGTCTCTCCTCTGCGAGTCGGCTTGATGCAGCACTCACTTAGCCTAAGCTATTACATGTCTCTGTTGTTGTTGTGCCACTAGCGGTCGGTCTGTTTTCCTTCGTGCCCCTGGTGCCCAGTGCCCGCCCTCCGCTCGTTACCCTCTCTGGCTCATCATATCTGATTCTTCTCCCTCATCCAAGTGTCTGTTCTGTGCATACATCAACCGTCCCACCCACCACATCTATGTCGCTCCCGCCTGCCTGCAGTCGACTTCTCGCTAGTATATGAATAGTAGCTTACGGTTTCGCTAACGTTATTGTTGTAGGTCCCCTGCTAATACAGTGGGCATCGCGTAACCTATGTTGTTTGAGATCAGTTATGTCGGTGTTGTTGTTGGCCCCCTGCGTTTCGTTGGTCTGCTGGCTCGTATGTGCTCATGTAGCTCCGCTAGACATATAGAATATGTGTACTCCCAATATATTGTATCTTTGTGAAGCCATGCTCATTGCTACAGCCTGAGAGTCGATATAGAGTCCCTGCCCACCGACACAACTGCCGTGTAGGCCTCATACATTCACAAGATATCATATAGCACAGATTGAACCTGATCTGAATCCGCGTGCGTAAGATCCTGGCCGAGGAATGTCGAACTTGACATCGACGCGCCGTAGTACGGTGCCCCGAGCGTTATTCACTGGCACTGCCTAGGCTGGCATGTCGAGTATCGCCATGAAACAGTACGGACGAAATGGAGATTCGTAAACAACAGAAGGGTTTCCAGCTCACGGACTCGAGAGCATGGTACGCTGGGCTGTGCTGATCGCTATGAAGATGAGCTATATCCAAGCTATGTCTTGACCGAGATTGAAACGTACGCCGCGGCACAGGCGTGGTGAGGCTCGAGTATGTATACATACCGCTTCTCTTCGCCGTGCAGGGCAGAGTCGAAGACCAGATATGATACGCGTTCTCGGGCGTACGTATCATCTCAATAATTTTCTCGGTAAGCCATGGTCGTGATTGAACAATGGTGCATTGACATACCTCCGGTAGGTCCTTGATGCTGGTAGGTTTGAGGGAATCGTGGTCAGATGGGGGCTTGCTTGCGAGCTGGACAGGCAGTACCGTGACAGAACGTCTGTGATGTCTGTGAACTTCCACGGAGGTAGTGGCTGAATGGCAGAAACAGCCTGGCAAACGATGCGGCTTCGTTGGAAAGCACGACAAGCATCATCACACTAGGAGTTCGCAGCCGCACGCCGAAATTATAGTGATGCATGGAACACGGACAGATTCAACTGCCGCACCAGTTGTAGGTTACAGGGATCATACGGAAGGAAATGGAGGAAGGGAAACCTGCTGAGAGTTCGCTGTGATGGGGACGTCGACGTCGTCATATCCGAGCTCACCTTCCATGGGCCGTTGTCAATGGACGGTGGGAGGCCGCGTCAGCTGGTCGAGGCGCATATAGCGATCAACGGCGAGTGCGAAGCGCTAGCGTAACGTACCGAGAAGCAGGGAGCAGGAGACGGAGGGAGCACTTGTGCGAACTTCGCCTTCAAGCCAGTTGTTAGCTGCCCACCTCCGCTCGATATGGAGTCTGGTTGTCGTAAAACATGCACGATTCGGAGTGGTGCGACAGTGCTGCCCGAAAGAACACATTTCGACGATATGGAACAAGGTTGCGCCGCGAATGACAAGGTCGTCCTGGCCACAGTCGCACGAGGCGGGCAGATGACAAGCCGCCATCCAGCCACTGACACGACGTTGACGATTTTGAGTCCGTTCGTGATGCGGACCACCATGGACGAAGTGGAGCATCACTGAGAACGTTGAAACAGCGTGCGGCTCGCATGGCCCATGGGGGGTGCACTGGTGACTGTGCAGCTGACAGCAGCGCGGCCATGGTGACCAGGTCCGTGTCGTGCTCAGCGTCGCGCGTCCTGTGGCGTATTGACAGCGAGGCTCGAGGGCGGCGGGCGATATTTCCCCGCGCAAGGCGGCGGTCGCTCCACAGCGCCTGCTGCCCGGATTGGCCACCCCGCGCGCAGCCAGCCAATCGGCGGTCGCGCTGTCGATGACGATGGCCCCGGACCAAGCCCCAGACGGCCTGGACTGGCACCCGGCCCAAGGAACAGCCTTACTTATCGTCGCCGGCGGTGGCCGCGAGCTGCGTGGGTCGACGAGCGGGCTCGAGAGCACGTCCAGCCCAATGCCCGCCTACAGGCCGACACACTAGGAGAGCTCGGAGGACACGGCCGTGCGATATGGGCAGTCTGCAGGACACTCTAGACGAGAAGCGCTGTCAGTGGAGAGGCTCGAGTGATGAGGAGAACAGCGAAAGATTGGCGTGAGATTGCGACCCAGAGGCGGCCTGGTTTCCGAATGCGAGTCTTGTCAGGCTCCTCCCCATCCACTCTGGCGAGGTAGGGGGCCCCGTGTCGATAGTACAATACAATGTTCAGTGTCGCCACGATCCTGCCACTGTCCGCCACATCGTTTTATACCCCGCACCTTCCCCGCCCCTTCCCCGCCCCAGCCATTTCAAACTCCCCAATCTTAATCCCCTCTACCTCGCCATAGCGGCTGGCAGAAAACATTTGTAAACAACGGCCACCGGAGACGCCACATCCAAATGCGGTCGACGCGTTTATTATCTAAGCTGAGGTATTTACTAAGCGCCTGCGCAATACCCTGCGCGAGCGTCTGAGACGCGTCAACGTCGCGTCGCGTCGCGCTCGCCCTTAGCTGTCCACCTCTCGAGACGCTGCCATGCTATCTCCCACGATTATCAACGACATTCTTGTCTACCTACGCGCGCACGACACATGCCTCTCGGAGCTCATCCTCGCTGTCTTTCGCAACCCTCACTTCGCAACGCATGCATTCACTCAAGACATCGCTCGCAACGTAACAGACATCCTGTCTGCCTTCAGCAGACACGAGAAGACGAGCGACGCGTTGTACACGTGGGCGCACGACCACATGAAGCAAGACTACCATCAATCGGCGCTGCGCCTGGCTCAGAAGCAGAATGGCTGGCACTTCAGCGCGCTGCACGCTACCGCCGAGCAATTCGAGGAGTTCCGCATCGAAGATATGGCCAAGGACTTCCGCGACCTCGAACCGAGGCTCTGGGACCTTGTAGGCTACCTGCTGTCGGGCGAAGATGCGGACGCGACCGCCTCGGAGAGTGGTGGCGGAGGCGCCTCCGCGATGAATGAGGACGACTACTTCGCGGCCTTCGGTGACGACGGGATCTTCGCTACTACGGACGCGGATCACCCAGACGAGAAGCCGGAGACTCGAAGAGCACGTATTCTGAAGGAGCGACAGTGGAGCTTACGGTCTATTGTGAGTATTCTGCATTTCTGTCGTGCTCGTATGTGTGTCTGACCGTCCATTATTGTGCAGAGATCTGTAGTAATACTGTCTATCATCATGCAGACCATAAATCAACAATGCAATGCGCTCGGCGCAATTAATGGGCTGTTCTTTCACGCCTGTGTGACGCCCGACAAGGTGATCAAGGCACTTGCACACATGGGAGTCTCAATCTCCCCATACACTATCAACAACGCCGTCAAATCCCTTTCACGTCAAAGCGTAGAGGCAATCAGTGCGCTCGGCGAGTCCCTCATCTCCGCGTTCGCCTACGACAACTTCGAACTTAAGCTCCATACGGTCACGCCAACCATTGAGAATCCGGGTGGCGATCTCGTACACCTGACGTCCGGTGATGTGTTCCAATTGGACCACGGTGTTACGCGCGAAGATCTGCGCTGCTCAGCAGAGTTGTGGGCAACCTCCCCGCGCAATCCAGATGTCACGCCCTCGTCGCACGGGTTCGAGGATCTTCTGAATCTCCACCCGGACGTCTCGCACCCTAGTGGCCTGGACCGAACGGGTCGGTTCAATGCGTGGAAATTCATGTATGACCTGACACACTATGGTCCCGCGTATTACCGGCAGTTCGCTGGGGCTATTGGGCGACCTGAGCCGGTCGAGTGCATCCCGGTCAAGAAGCTTCAGCACCACCCCGCGCGTACGATGGAGGTGAACAATTCGACGGTCGACGGGAACATCAGCGCTATCGAGTCCTTGTGCGCGCAAGCGGGCTTAGGCTGCCCAACAGAGATCCGTCGTGATGGTGCCTCTGCGAAAGAACCACGAAGCGTCACTGACATCTCTGATTATGTTGTCCTCTTTCACGGCGACCTGGGGACGATGGAGCGTGTGCTATCGGCATTGAGGGCACGTTCCATCGAGGACAGCGCCTGGCGCCGCCTCCAATTTGTCGTCTTCATTCCCGGGCTATTTCACTTCAAGATGGCCTGTGTCGATGGAATCTGGCGGGTGTTCATCAAGCCAAAGGATGCACGCGGAGACAACATGTTGATGCAGTACATAGGCCTACTTCGACCCAAAGAGACGGGTAAGTATGGCTCCCATCCCACGTTCCGACAAATGCACGAAGTCGTACAACACATTGGAATAATTCTCCGCCTTGATGCGTGGCGTGTCGAGGCCTCTCACAGCAGCCGGCAGGAACAGTCTCTCGAGACTTGGGCAGCCGAACATAAGCCAGGGCTTGCGGAGCTATGGGCTGTTGCGCAGACTCTGGCTCGTGATTACGTTCCGGGGCAACGCAAGGGACCGCGGTTGTTTGAGCTGCGTAGGCAAGGAGCGCGTCGAGATGAGCAGCGGGAGAACGTCTTGTTGCTACAGGAGCTGCTGCTGCTGTACGAACAGCTATCGTGGGCGATGAATGCCGGAGATATCGGACGGGTCGAGTGGGTGCTACCGTCCTGGATCGCAGTTTTCAAGGCTACCGGAAAGCATAAGTACGCAAACCATATGACGAAGTTCTTTACGGATTTGCACAAGATCTATCCTCAGAAACTACGGTGCGTGACATGATGATCAGTGTTCAATTGTATCGAAGTTCTGACCCGGCGGGCTATACTCAGACATGCTATCCGATACAACATCCTCGTCAATCCAAAGGGGAAAGCCGATTCGTTCCGCGGTGTTGATTGGGTAGAAGAGTACAATAACCTACTCACGAAGGTGATTCTCTCACACATATCTTCGGGACTGTATTCTCACCGTGTGTGATGCACAGGATACCTATGGTGGTGAAGGGTCAAATTACACCGTGAACCGCATCCTTACCGAGTCGCCAAACATCCTAGTCTACCGGAGCTGTATCCGGAATGCCGAGCGCAACTACATCCTCAATGGCTTGACAACGGCACGAGGGCTGCCCGATATGACAGCCACATTCGCAGGAACCTTGTCACACATGAGTGCAACGCTGAAACCGAACAATACTATAGAGGGACGTAAGAGCGACGAGAACATACAAGACCCCGTGGCAAAAGGGATGGAGTTAATGATCAGTGATGCGACAGACAACGTGCTCGGTGGAGGCGATAGCGGAGAGGGTGCTGACGTGGAGGGAAGAGGGGTGATTGGGAGTATCACCGCAGATGATCTTCTGGGCGGTGTAAGCTAGCTATCGTGCGCGTCACTGTAAAAGCGTGACGTTGGTATGGGAGAGTGGATGCTGCGACTCGGACCTGTAGATCATTGTAATCAGTACCTGCACGCATACAACTTGAATGGCTGAGCACGCACTTTCGGGCTCTAACGAAGCCTGAGAGCGATGACGTGTCGCAGGCACTTGTGGGACAACAACAGCGTCTTGTTGATTTACAACCGGAGGCAGAGACCCTGACGCAGTGGGCAGCGCCGCAGAGCCAAGCCCTCGCAGTGCAATGATCTCCTCAAGGGTCAACGTGCGTGCATTGCGGCGGTAGCTGGTTGTGATGAACATCGACGAGAATGAATCTGGCAGTGCACTGGCAGTGTGTGGCGGCGATGGTGAGTGTCTCCCTGCCGGTGACGCTGCCAGCACAGGTTGATCTTGGACGACTGATTGATGTGGCGGGGTATGTATCCGAATCGGAGGGTCGCGCAACACGTATCGGGGGCATTTCTTGCTGTTCCCTGGGCAGTGAACAGATCAGCGATGTGATCATAAACACTGCAAAGTGAACAACATAAGGACTAGAGACGTACTGTTGTGCCCTGGCTGACCGCATGCACTGCACTTGCGCGGCGCAACCACACGACTGGGAGTTGTAGAAGCAGGTGCCACGGTGCCCTGTGTACCTTCGATTGCAGCAGCATGCGATGTTGCAGACGTGGTGGCTGGGCCAGAGGTACGGCTTCCACCCGGGGTACGGATTGCGAGAGGTGTCGATGTCAGGGGAAGGGAAAGGGGGAAGTGGCTGTTCCGAATCCCGAAGATTGTTAGTGACTGACAGCAAAGAGTAGATACTACACCTGTGACTCACCGCAGCAGGATCTCGAGCACCGACTCCCCATACTTGTCCACCCTGTTTGCCGGCCATTTGGTCTCACGCTTCATGTCACTGAGAGACCCTATCTTCTTGACACTCGCGCAGTCGACCAGCCGCGCAAGCACCGTCTCCGGCAAGATTAGATTTTCGGCGCGAAGGGAGTGTGCTGCAATGCCATACTCTGCTTCCGCGCGAGCGACGCGGAATCTATCAAGCGCAGTTGTGAGATCGCGTTTTGTTGAGCATTGCCGAGGCGCTGCTCTCCTTGGGCAGCCTTGACGCTTTCTTCGGCGCTGACGTGGCTGGAAGAGGTGCAATGGGGCGGTACCTAGCAAAGAGAGTGTTGTCGGGAGAGCATAGGGAGCAGCAGATTTGGGAGGGTGCTGCAGCGCAGCGTCCACAGCCAGAAGCGATATCAGGACAGCATTGCAGGTGGTCTGAGACTGGGACCAGCAGCCGGCGTGAGCGTGTTCGCCTACATCCGCAAACAAGGGCCAAACATACCCGTTTTGTCATTGGCATAGAAGGCCATAACCGGAGTTCTGTAGCACCCGTATTGCGGGCGTGTCGCTGCGTTGATCAGTGCATCCATCTCCGGAGATATCACATCATCCGCCGCTCGCTTCTTTGAGAAGCTTGCCTTCGGTTTCCGCTCAGCTTTGAACTCTGCACGCAACTCGTCCAGGTTGCGGGTCGGAGCACTCTGTCTTGCTGCATGTCCGGTGAGCATGCCATCTGTTGGCATCATGTTCTCTCTGCCACGCCTTGACGCAATTGCTCCCGCCTGGTCCTCGTTCTCACTCTCTGAGACATGACCAGCACCTTCAGGTTCCGCAACATTTGTTGTGTTCGCAAGACGCGTGACCTTTGCGCGGCGAGGGCTTCCTGGCGGCGCTCCAGCCGCCTTCCGTTTTCGTGTTTCCTTTGCCTTCTCAGCCCGCGCTACCACTTTCTCCTTCTCCTCGTCAAAATATTTACCTTCGACGAATAGGATCGCCACACCGTTGCGCGTCAAGTCCCGCACAGCGCGCCCAAAACGCTGCCATAGTGTTCGCAGGTCACATGTGACGCGCCATTGAATGACTAGCTCGATTGTTGCAACGTTGATACCCTGAAGCACAGAGGCGGTCTGAGTCAGCTGAATTCGTGAGTGATCTTTTTCACATACCATGCCGAAAGAATCAGTACAACATAGCCCAAATATGTCTCCATTTTTGTAACTGTTCAGGCAGTCTTCGCGGAAGGCTGACGTCATACGTGAATTGAACCAGACGATCTTGTGTCTCGCAGATCCTCGGAGCCGGCTACGTAGCTTCTCCGCAGCTGAGATTGAGTCCTCGATGCTGTCGAAGAAGATAAGGAACCGTGGTAGGTCATCACCTGGTTTCCAGTTGTGCGGGAAGATGAAATCAAGGTCGGCATAGGTGTGGAGCGCGTGCTGAATGCGGCGAACTTCAAGGTGAACATTTGGTCGGTCGTTAGAGCGCTGAAAGATGGCGCAGGTCCGTGGTGAGATGTGCATTGTCTTGAACACATCATTCTTGATGTCTGTGTCAAATGTTGCACTTGCAAGCAGGAACCGCAGCTTCGGAAGCATATAACGAATGCGGTAAGCCTTCTTGTAGTCAGCTCGGAACGAATTCCAGGTGCTGATGCAATGAGCTTCATCCCAGACCATACTGATGATCCGTGACGTGAAGTGTTCCTTCTTCCACAGCTTCTCGAATCCACCGCCGTCCTTCATCAATTCTTCTGGGTTGGCGATCACCACACGGTATTTGCCATCTTCTATTTCCTGTGCATATACTGAGTGATAGCTGCCACATAGATTACTCCAAACTCTTGCCTGGAAGAGCTTCGGTGTTGCAGTCTCTGCGCGCACCTCACATGCTCGGAACCCATGGCTCTCAAGCTCCGCAACGTTCTCGGTGCCGAGAAGGTTGAGTGGTGTGACAACAATTTGGATCCCGTCCTCGCGGAACAGGAGAGGCATCCAAAAGGTGAGGGTTTTCCCCAGTCCGGTTGGTGCAATGCATAATACGTCCTTCTCTCCTCTCAGTTGTTCGCGGCAGACTTCGGCCTGCCATAAACACGGGAGGCGCTTCAGAACAGCTTGGGTTCTCTGTCGGATTTCGGGGATTGTTGGTAGGCGGGCAATGATGCTGGACGACATGTCTGCAATGAGCAGGGACCTTCAACCGTGTCTCTTTGGACGCGTCGCGAGTCGCGACTCCCGCAACAATGGCTCTAATTCTCCACGTGTAAAAATGGCAGAAAATCATGTTTATTCCTGGTTGCTTTATTGATTTCCGGCGCCGTGGAGCTACCAAATGGAGGCATAGGACGCCGCGCTCCGGTGTTTACCAATGTTTTCTGCCAGCCGTTATAGGGAGGTAGAGGGGGATAAGGTTTGGATGCTCGCGTGGGTTTACGTAATACAAAGCATGTGATGTGATGTTGGGACTTGTACGTGACGGTACGAGAGACGATACTTATGTAGCACTGCACGGCCTAGCGACACGGGCCCCCTACCTCCCGAAAACGGATGGGGAGGAGACTGGAGTCTTGTGCGAGTCTCGATGTCAGCGAACGTTGGTGGTGCTGAGCATAACCTCTTATCTGTGTCCGCGCGGGTCCGCAGAAGGAGTCTTGGCACAGCACGGCGGGCAGACACAAATGCGGGCGTGCGCGACGGCGAGGTCGTCGAGGACGACGACCCCGGCGAATAAGCATCGGGAATAGAGTTGGGACGGTCGGGGAGGGGAGCCGGGCGGATGGGGCGCGCCTGCCGTAAGGGGCAGTCGCGACGGTGTGGCTGGGCGTGCCTCAGATGCCGTTCCAGACCGCCCATCACGTGCGCCCAGTCTCTCAACCAGCCCGCCCTTATATCCTCCTCCTCCCTCGCTGCCCACAGCCCCAGCGCGGGGACGTCCACCACCCGGATCTTCCAACGTCTTCCTCCATCTTATCCACCACGACCCGTGCTCTGGTCCGTCGCGCCTATTCACCGGATCTATTAGTCGCCCTCATATATTTTTCTTTGCCCGTAGGTCCGTATCGGTCGGCCCCCCTCGACTCTCCCGCTGAGGCCCCCTGCTCGTCGAGCACTCTGCGAAAACTCTTGCGTGCTGCTCCGCATAGCGCCGTAATACTTATCGCAGTGAGTGGCTCCCCTGTCAGCCGCAGGCCGGCGTTAGCCACCCAAGCTGACGCATTAAAACTTCGTCCAGCTCTGCGTCGTATCCGCGGCGCATTTGCTCTCCCGCCCCCTCCATCTCGTCCTTCTGTCTTCTGGATACTCGGACGCGGAGGTCGCAAATTAAGGCCAGCGTCTGCAGACGTCACGTCCCAAGTAAGTTCCGGTCTTTCGCCCGCATCTCACCCGAAAGCCCACTGGCTTGTGGTTCAATTCGTCCGAAGTGTCAATCAACCGCTGAACGTTTCTCCATCGTAGCGTACCACAGCCCCGGCTTTCGTATATGACGTCCCTTATGAGCTCCGTCGCAAGCCTACCCCAACCAACAACACTACCCTCCGCGATGTCTACCGTCGACCCGCCGCCCTCGTTCTCGCGGCACTCGAACAGCGCGGGCTCTCCTCTGCCCCGTATCCCGCGCCGCAGCCCGTCTTACACTAGCTCGCGCTCATCATTCACCATGACAGTCTCCGAGTCCCCGCCGAAATCAACCGTCTTGATGGTACAGCCCCCAACGCCTCCTCACGTCCCCGCGGTGACCATCTCTCAAAGCACTCGATCCTCTACTGCCTCAGGGTCGTCCAGCAGCTCCGATTCACCCATGCAGTTCCTCGTCCCCCGCCAGCGCCGCAGCCGGACGAGCTCCAAGATGCGCTCCCCTGAAGAGTCTACGCCCACTCCCGCCGTCCTCCGTGCACGCTCGTCGTCTCCATCAGAGCAGGTCGCTTTCCCAACAACGCACAAGGGTCCGCTCAGCCCCGAGACTCCCCGGCCATCATCCTCCGGCGGGAACAAGGTGCGCCCCGGCAACGGCACCGTCGCGACCAGCCTGCCGGAATTCCCGACCGCCCTCCGCGTCGAGCCGCCCAACCGCGCGGTCAGCGTGAGCGTACCCTCAAACGTCTCCGCTCAGCTCGCGCGCAAGAAGTCCGGCGAGCCCCTGAAGTCGTCGCTCAAATCGCGGCGCGCCGCCGTGCGCGGGGACCTCTCCGTCGTCACGGGCGAGGACGTGAGCGCGGGTGCAGGCCCGTCCCAGAGCGAGCCGGCGTCGCCGGCGCACAGCAGCAAGAGCGTGCACTTCGACTCGCAGCTCGAGCATGTCAAGCTGTTCCTTGCGGAGCAGAAGCCGCTCGCGGTGAGCAGGGACGGGAGCCCGACGACGGACACGAGCGGGACGGACAGCGACTTCCCCGCGTTCATCTACGGCGAGGACGACAAGCGCGAGCGGAGGGGCAAGCTCACGATGGAGGTCGTGAATATGCCGGCGAAGGAGGCGCCCGCGCGGAAGGAGGCGGAGTGCGCGATGCAGGAGCTGAGTCTGGGCGCGGACGGCGCCGCGGTGCAGGGCCGTGTGCGCGTGAAGAACATCGCGTTCGAGAAGTGGGTCGCGGTGCGGTTTACGTTCGATTGGTGGCAGACTACGAGCGAGGTCACCGCGCGGTACGTGCATACCCTCGAGGGTGGCGTGTACGACGTGTTCGCGTTCACGGTCCGCCTCAACGACATGCTCGCGCGGATCGAGGAGAAGACGCTTTTCATGGCGATCCGGTATACGGTCGCGGGACGGGAGATCTGGGACAACAACGACGGCGAGAACTTCCAAGTCAGGTTCTCCAGGCAGCTCGAGGCCCCGCAGCCCGCGCCCGCGCGCCCGGTGGTGCAGTCGCAGAGCGAGAGCGAGACGGAGAAGGAGGAGACGCAGCGCAAGAACATCTCCGACCTGCGCATCAAGCTCGAGAAGGTTGCCTCCGGCCAGTCGCCCCGGCGCAAGTCGCTCTCGCCCTCGCCCGGCGCGGACACGTTCAACCTCCGCTCGAGCACGCCGCTCTCTGCGCGCTACGACCTTTCCGCGTCGTTCAAGCGGCCGTGGAAGTCGCCGTCGCCGACGGCGCACACGCGCACGAGCACGTACCCCGCCGCGACGTCGCCCGGCGCGTACCACACGCCCAGCTACGCGCGCACCAGGCCGCAGCTCCCGCCCCGCTCGTTCGGCAGGCCCCGTGTCGCCGAGGACCCGGTGAGCCTCACGCGCGGCTCGCCAAGCATCCTCGACCCCGACGACGACTCGCCGCCGCAGGCGATCCCGAAGGTCGCCCTGTATGCTGGCAGCGACTCGGAGGACGCGGGCGCGACGCCCGTGCCGTTCTCGCGCATGCGCGGACGCAACCACCAGCGCGGGTACTTCGACTTGGACCCGACGACGCCCGGGGCGGGCGCGCGGAAGGCGCTGCCCGCGGCGTTCCGGGAGGACGCGGTGCCGCGCTTCAGCTCGATGGACACGTACCGCAGCCCGGTGACGGCGATGGGCTTGTCGGGCGTGGGCCTGTTGGGCCCGTGGCCGATCTCGAGGGGCGGCAGTGAGGAGTCGACGCCGTCGGTGACGAGCCAGTCGGAGGAGTCGAGTGCGTCGAGCTCGCCCGAGGGCTCGCCCCGCGGGGAGGGCATGTTCGACCTGCTGGCGAGGCAGGAGAGGGGTATGAGTCCGGCGAACGATCCCGGGTATCATGTTTTCCTCAATAAGTGAGTCTTGTCTGGGATGTGGGTTTCGTGGATGGTCCTGACTGGGGGTCCTCTCTGCAGATTTTGCTTCTACACGGGTCCGGACTCCCTGTTGGATGTTCAGGCGGAGGCCATCCAGCGCTCGCATTCGGCTTCGAGCGTGGAGGAGTTCCTCTCGTCCCCAGTCACGAACTACCACCTGTCCCCCGGCGCGACACCGACGCGCTCGCCCAGCTTCGACGACGTCGCATACATGAGCGGCACGTCGACGCCCACCGTGCGGAGCATGTTCGACTCGCAGACGTCCACCCCTATCTCCCTTGCTTCGTGATGACCACCAGGATCGCCTCCCCCTCCCCCTGCCCCGTCACCCTATCGCTGTGTTCCCCGATCTAGCCTTGTCCTTGTCTCAGTTTATTATTATTTCCTTGCATATGGTTTTCTGTCCCCACCACACACCCAGTCTATCTGAACCATCACCATCCACCCATACATACTTGTCCCTGCCCCCTGCGCGCGAGCAGTTAGTGCCCGCGCGACGCTAGCCCCTGCATGACGATCGATGATCCACGACTCTTCACGTCTATTTGTGTGCGTGTGTATGATAACGAGTTCAAGGAGCGTTCCAGCTAGAAGATTATGTTACGATGCATACGGTACCGTAGTGGGCTTGTGCATACGACGCCTGTTCGTGAGCGTATCGGATAGTACCTTACCTGTTGGTCCTGGCTCCATAGGAGCGCATCGTTCTCAGCCTTATGTTCGGACATACTTTACTACACATACTGCAGCACCTTCGAGGCCTTAGGGCGTCGTTGTACTGTACATATTCCTGCTGCATAGTATCGCAAGTACCGTATATCACACCCAATAGATGACACGAATTTATGACATACGAGTTCAACTCCTATCTGTGCGCACAATCGTCCCCCGACAGTGCGTGATAAGCAGGTGCATCCTCACAAGGCTTAATCATCATCAAGAGCAGCACAATAGGTACACGAGAAGGCGTACAGCAACTGACGTCGACGAGGTGTATGACAATCAATGTCGCCCGCCGCCGCGTCTAGGTCCCCAGCGGTTCCGGCCGCCTCTCCTGAACGAATCATCCCCATCTCCCGGGTACAGGTCCTCCTGAGACGGGAGCGGCCCATTCTGGCGGCCCACCATCCCTGGGCCGTCTGATGGGCCAAACCCAGGGATGTAGTCGTCCCCGCCATCCTGGATGCCGCGGCGAGGGGGGTTCGCGTCGTGCAGGCCAGGGTGCTGCTGCATCGAGCTGTCCCCGTCCTCGTCCTTGCCCCACCACTGGCCGCCCGCGCCGGTGAAGCCGAAGCCGGGCACCATGCTCTCGTCCTCGTCCTCCTGCCCGGCGGTGTCCGTGACCTCCGGCGGCTTCTGCCCGCCGCCCGAGAAGACGGACGTCGCGTCGCCGGGGCGCTCGCGGCACCAGAAGCGCGTCGTGTGGTCGTTGGACGCGCTCGCCAGGAGGTGCCCGAGCGGGTGGAAGGCGAGCGACCAGACGTTCGAGTCGTGCGCCTGCGAGAGCGTCGCGCGCGCCCCCGGCGGCTGCGACGGTGACTGCGCGAGCGTGTCGGTGGAGGAGGAGAGGTCCCAGTGCAGGATCGCGCCCTCTGATCCGCCGGTGACAAGGATGGGGTGCACCGGGTGCCAAGTGACAGCTGTGAGATCGTATCGTGAGCGAAGTTATTTCGGGCCAGACGCTCGGAGGGACGTACAGCAGACTTCCTTTTTGTGCCCCTTCAGCACCCGGAACTCCTTCATCGCGCGTATATCGAACACGCGCACGGTCTGGTCTCGCGATGCGCTTGCTACCATGTTGCCATTCGGAGACCAGGCAAGAGCTTGGACAGTGTTTTTGTGGTAGTGCCTGCACGTTACAGTCAGCACAGCAATATAACTCGTTACGGACAGACAGTACTGACAGCGTTGATAGACACGTCCCTGTCCTGGGATCCCAGAACTTGATCATATTGTCTTTGCTTCCAGAAACGAGGAGCCCCTTTGTCTGATGCCACTCCACGCACTTCACGTCCCATCCATGCCCTGTGGTTAATTTAGCACGGTGAATGATGTTGCTTCGTGGCGCATGTGCATTTACCTGTCAGCACACGCTCTTCGCGGCTTTCCTCGAACGACCAGATCCGTATCGTCGAATCGTCGCTCGCCGTCGCAAACCGCCCATCGTCGGGACTGAAACTCAGCCCTCGAATAGCTTCGCGGTGACCCGTCCATGCGGTCAGGTTGTTCATGTTCGGCTGAAAGTACTTGATGATACCGCTCTGGTCTGCCGACGCAAGATAGGCACCAGAGTGCGTGAACTGCATGGCCCGCACAGCGCTGTCGTGCGCCTGCAGAATGGTCTCGAAGTTGAACGTCAGGCCATTCCAAAGAGTGAACTCTCCACTTGTGGAACCGGTCAGCACCCGACGCCCTTCAGGGGTCCACTATAATTATCTTCTCGTCAGCGTAAGGTACGGGGATTCCCGGGGAAAACGAACCGTGACACAGTTGACGGGACATCTGAGCTTGTTGGTCGATGTATGCACGAACTTAGTACAGAGTGATGTTGAGGGGTTGTCCGGATATGCTTTTGGTGGCAGTAACTGTTCGTCGAGGTTCATTCAGCCCGAAGAAAATATATTTGCGAGCGCGTAGTCGTACATCAATGATATACGGAGGTGCTGGCCTCAGATATGGTACGTATGTCGAGTTGGGCCGTGACTTCCGTAGCTGGAGAGTGATTCGTCAGTGAGTCCTTGAGGCTTGTAGCAAGGAAGACTCACCAGTGCCCATCCGCCTAGAGGGCCACCGTAGTCGACGGTTCTCCTTGGCCTGACCTTCTTGACGGTCTTGCCGTCCATGAGTTGTCTAGCCATGGCCATTTCCTGGTCGTGTGTCCTTGCATCGTCAGGCGGAGGTGGGTTGGTAGTTGTTAGGTCTGCCTTTGGTGACCATTCTCGTGGCAGCAGTTCTGTCCGAGGTAGCACCTTGCGCGGCAGTAGGACGGGCAAGTCCGTGGTGGCAGACATCGCTCTAGAGGCCTCCCGGTTGGGGTCGCAAGTGTCGCAGCGACCTAGTCAATGTTGAAGCAGCAGGATGCACAGAAGGCTCAACTCGTTGTGTGCGACGGCGAACCCGAGTAAGACTTTGACTGCGGCGTCGACGCGAACGCGGCAATCGGGCGTCTAGGTTGGCGCGTGATCGCGTGACGACTGTGACTGTCACGGGAATCGCCGCGACCGTGACGATCACGACAATAGTGTCTGAGTCTGAGATCGCCCCGGACACGCTGGCTCGTCCTTGACATAAACGACAATCTCAATTCAAAAGCTTATGTTGTTCTATACTCTCTCCGTTGTGTATCCTGCTTGACAACAACATCTGATGGGGCCGTTACATCCGCCCGACGACTCGAGCACTCCCATGCCCAGATCGATTCGGCCCCGGCACCAAGTTTCCTTTCGCGTTGGGGACGTAATAGCGATGTCGACTAGGATCATGCTTAGGACGATGGGAGGCTCCCGTTATGCGTGTGGTGAGCTTCGAGTGCTATCGGGAAGGGCATCCTCGTTCCCTGTCAGCAGGCCATCACGCTGTTGTTGAACGTGCAGCCAGGCTTCGTTTGCGGCGGCGTGAGTGCGGATTCTCCCACAATCCTCGACAGCTAACGTATGTACTTCTTGCTCAGGAGCTTGAGATGGACATCCTTAATTACTCGATCCTTGCGGTCTTCACGGAGAAGCTTTCGTCGTTGGGACGCTGGCTGTCGCTCAGGGTAGCTGCCGCTGACCGTCAGCTCTACCCAGTGCGGTCTTATTTCGCTCGCCAGGCGGCAGGCGTGCCCATCATGAGATAAAATAAGCTCTATTTACGGCAGAAACTCCCATGAACCGGCGCTCTAGGTCATCGTCCTGCCGCCGAAAAGGACATGCAAGGTTCGGGCTGCCACAAGTCATTGCCCGTCCAAGACCTTCTGCCGTTCTCTCACTCGGGTGCCGTCAAGGGTGCGCGTGGCCAGTTATCTCGCGATCTGGGTATAAAGACGTTCTGCGAGGCATCTTGGGCCCTGGTGCATTCCCATCGCACCGGCCCTCCTGCTAGCCGCTCCACCATGCAGTTCCTCGGAATTTGCGCTGTCTTCGCCCTCTGCGCTTCAGCCGCCCTTGGTCAAGGGACAGTATCTGTGTCATACGACCAGCTGTACGACGACGGCTCCGAGTCCTTGAACTATGTTGCATGCTCCGACGGCCCCAACGGCCTGGAGCAATACGGCTACACGACCCTCAGCACTCTTCCTAACTTCCCGAATATCGGAGGTGCCCAAGTCGTTACGGGCTTCGGCTCGGCGGAGTGCGGGACTTGTTGGCAACTCGCCTACGACTCGTACACCATCAACGTCCTCGCCATCGACTCTACCGCTAACGGCTTCAATATCGCGCTGGAGGCGATGAACAACCTGACGAATGGTCAGGCCGTATTCCTGGGAAGGGTCAATGCTACGGCCACTCAGTTGGACGCTAGCGACTGCGGATTGGGCGAGAAGCCAGACAATCCTAACTAATCTATCGTGCGTTTAATTCCCAACGCGTTGCCTTCGTATTGACAGTAGTGTTCGCCCATCATCACTGTTACAGATCATACGCCCGAAATACGGACACTCATTGGACTTTGCGATCCGTTCATGGACGTTGCAACAATGCGCTGTAACCATGTATACTTCACTTTGCCAGTTCCTTCCTCTTCCGTAGCGGTATCACATGTGGGACTTTGGCGTTCTAGTCCAAATGAACACGCGTCCATCAAATCTTCAGCGGCGAGATACTGTTGGAATTCTATCTTCTTCTCCGATGCGTGCCATGGGAGAGTTATCGGTCGAGCCCAGATGACGCGCCTTCGGCGGCCATACACGAACCATCCGTTTTGTCTGGGCGCTGTCAATGGCGGCGCCTCTAGCACTTGTGGCTCACCAACATGTGCAATCTGCCACCCCAGTCTGCCTTGGAACCTGGTACTTACGCCGCTACTTAGTGCACTCCCTCCCTTTCTGCATAAGAGGCCGGGCAACATGACCAACGGCGAACGCATCACTAGCTACCCGAATAAGCATCCGCGATGCTCGAGGCCGCAGGCTTAGCGGACAGGGGCATCAGATCCCTGCGAGATCGCCTGAATATTACGTGACTCGAGGGAGCTGGCAATCGTGCGCACCTGTTCGCTCTGTGCCTCTGAGTAAGCTGCGCTTTGTCTGCGCGTGCCCCGCCGTCCAATGGCTGTCTCCCGTTCTAGGGGCCACCCTATTGATGTCTGCCCCCCCGCGATTTCCGACGACGCTGCATGCACCGCACCTTCGTCGGCCCCGAGAGGCTACATGGCTCTACGCCACCGATCCAAGTTGCCGTACATGCCAGAACCCGCTCCAGCCACGGCGGGCACTGTATCATCGACCTCTCAATGTTGCTGCGATCGTCGGTGACAACCAAGTTACTGCAGGTGTGTGGATCATACGCCTAATGGTGAGGTCTCCGAGTAACTGCACGCTGCCAGTGTGACACAGTCGGCCGGGCTTCTCGGAACTGCGGCAAGCGGCGAGCGAATTCAAGAAGGCACCCTTTCTACTACAGCGAATGCGGAAAGTGGTGGCATATGGCAGACGAACATGCAGTGAACAATTGTACAGTGGCGAAGTAATGCATCGGTGGATCGGGGGTTGCGCATCGCCCGCGTCGATTGCACCCATCGGGCGCAGCCCTGCCAACTGTGCCACTGAGTTGCGGTCTCGACCCTTGCATCTGGCATGTCAGATGCTGGCCTGATCACGGCGGAATTACAGTCCCAAAGCAACGGTTAAGTGACCTTCGAACGCACCCGTGTTGAATTGATGGAGTGATGCTGGGGTCTGCAATTGTCAGGAGGGGCCCACGGCCTGCTATCATAGACAGGCACGCTGAGCGGCGCCTTCCCGCCGAGGCAAAGTTAGAGTTCCTGCGCCATTGTCGACTTTCAGTGGCCCCAATCCACGAGAAGCAAATGACACCCTCCATACCGTTTTGGCAACATTCAGCGGAGGTCTCCCTTGGTCCGCGAAGATCGTGCTCGATCGACATAACCTGTCATCTCGAACCTAGCCACATATGTAGATCCTTGTACTCAGCCGGCTACCCTCGATTTGTGCTCGGGTCCGAAAAAGACAGGAGGCAGGAGGTACGACTACTCGTGCTTTGGAAGCCCCGCCTCGGAGAGGACCTGAGAGGACCCGGTGGATGCTCCGAGCAAGGACTTCACGAATTTCCTCGCCACTCGCGAATCAGTCTTCGCTGCTGTGATGCCAGTTCCCGTCGTCCGGAGACCGATATTCTACCGGCCCGACGAATGTTCAGCGCGTCGTCCGTACGAAGTCGGAGCTCTGATAGCGACCCGATAGTTGTCCTGTCTCCTGTCTTCCGTAGCCAATAGCGAAGTGCTGTGGTAAGGCCCAGCCCGCGTTGAGCCATATTTGCGGGGGATTAGAGGGGATTAGATAGATATGGTACTGAGACATTGCCAGTTCGATAACTTCCGCGATTGTGCACCACCTTCGCTGATCAGACCCTAATGACTAATGCTGAGTGTTCGCTATCAGTTGACAGGCTTAGCTAACTTCACCGTGAGCTGCAGCCACCTCCGCGACCGACGTCCTGTGCTGTGCGGTGGTGTGCTCTCCAAAACTCGTTCATTTGGTGCCCCTGCGACGGCTATAACTCCCCACACTTCGATGGGCAGCCCGACACCCACTCTATGAAGCTCCGTGGGTAGGCGGGTTCGGGTTGAGGCATGTGCCACTTGTGTGCCACTGCAGAGCCGAACTCCTTCCTAGAGAAAGCCTCGGTGAAAGGGAGTGGCGTCCGGGGACGCGCTAGCCTATTCTGGGAGATTCTACCCGCGAACGTACCGCACGGTCGAGGCCCGGTCACCGCATCTCGTCGCGCGGAGGCCGCACAGGAGACCGTGTGCGATACGATGCACGCACGCATCCTACAGCAGGCCGCCGTGATTGACAACTCCTGTCCAGAAATACAACGGTCACCAAATTAGGACTTGAAATTTGGCTGCGAGGCCCCCGCGGCGATCAGTAAGGGGCAGTCTCTGAGATCGAAATCTGTCCATTATCACTCCTAGGTCGACAGCTGCAGCCCGGTGCCACGCTGAATGGAGACGCAGCGGCGGGGCGGCATATCAGAGCGCGAGTCCGCCGAGAGGTACGCGCTGCTGAGCATCATGCGGCGGGTGGGACGGTCGGGACTTCGCGTTGGATAGCCTCGTGGTATGCGCGCAGATCGCAATCTCATCAGACCTGATGAGCACAGATCGCAATCTCGGGCGTCTGAGCGAGTGGCACAGGCGCTTGACGGGAACGCGACCCCTTCCGTGACTGGGCGCGCACAATTACCGTCGGAGTGGCGGGTCCCAGGTATCAATCTGGAAAGGAGAGCGTCGGAATACCGGAGGAAGGTTGGCTTAAAGCACCATGGAGGACCCCGGGCTAGCCGATTTCCGTCTTGTCACTCGCCCGGGCCTTGCACGCTTTGACTTGCCTGTAATTCCCCCATATGCCCTCCGCTCCGGCCACAGTACTTGGTTGGATGTCTCACGCAGCAAGCAGCTCAAAATCGTGGCCCACCTGCTCTTCTACTGACCTCCGAGGTGAAGCACCTCTTCCTTCCGAACCGTCACCTCCTACTAACCTGCAACATTCAGATACCACATCGTCCCGTGCAGCGTCCCCAGCCTTATCCGACATGCAACGCCAGCCGTATTATCGTACGCACTCGCAGCAGAAATCGACGTCCGAGCGTAGAGCTCAGAGGAACCGCGAGCGAGACCCATCGTGGGTCCCGCGACCACCGAACGCCTTCATTATCTTTCGCGTCGAGTACTCGCGCAAGCACGCGCAGGCCAACCGAGACCGCGCTCCGACACCCGAAAAGACACTCTCAAAGAGAGCCGCTGAAGCCTGGAAGGCGCTCTCCGCCCAGGAGAAAGCGCCGTACAAGCAAAGGGCGGAGCAGGAACGTCTTGACCATGCAGAAAGGCATCCCCACTACAGGTACAAGCCCCGCAGACACCAGGACGACGGTCAGGCGGGAACCGTGGCGATCTCCCGGCGCGAGCAGGTCGAATCGCTTCTGCGTCGTACCGCAAATCGGTCGAAGAGCGCCTCCTCGGGGTCGGAGTCTGCGAGCGACTACACGTCGCCTTCCAGTCCGGCTAGCGTCGACTATTCCTCGTCGTCCCCAGAGCCCCCCACCACGCCGTACCATGACGACAGTCCCGCGGCGTTCGTGCGACACGGAGGGCGATCCACGTCGATGCCTTCTCGGTCTGACGCGCCCCTTCATCACCATTTCCAACGTTCCCTGTTGCTCTCGGGGTGCTCGGCGGCTAGCATGCATATCCAACAGCCTAGTGTGCCCACGGGCGTGAAGCAAGAGTTCGCTTCGGAGCCTGCATCGCCATACGATATCAGCCCATTTGCGTGGCCCATCGAGCCCCTGGACGCCGGTTTCAATCTTTGGTCGAGCGACCTGAGCGCCGGGCTTGCGCAGTCACCATCGTCGATGCAGAGCGCCTCAGATGTGTATGCGCTCGAGGACACCAACATTCCAGTGAGTACATCGTTGCATTATGACGGAGAATGAACACTCATCAATATCATATAGTCTCAGGGGATTGCGATCCCACAGGAGGTGCGCCCACCGGCATCCACAGCGAACGCCAGTAGCTCTTGCCCCACATCGACAGGCCCCCTCTTGCGGCGGCGCAGGGCGGCAACGGCTTCTGGAGCGCTCCCATCTCCCCTCACTGTTGTCTCCTCATCGCTCGCCCACTGGAACACCGTGCCGGTCCCCACCATGGCCGTCTCAGGGCCGGGCCCAACAGCGGAGTCGGTCAGCGGGGCGCCCATGCCCACACAACCGTACGCACCAGCGGGCTATATGCAGTCGTGGCCGAGCGAGGCATTCACCTCGACTGAGGGGCTGGCCGTGCCCGCCAGCGAGATTGACTTCGACCGTACCCCGAGGTCGTCCGAATTCCCGATGAACGCGCGCGCGCCGTACGTTCCGCCCACGACTCAGCTGATCGGCGTGCCGTTCGGGTCTGTTGGGACCGCGTATGCAGGACAGGTGACGAGGCCGATGAATGCCGGTGCAGGTTCGTACAGCGACATGCAAGCAGAACTCGAGTCGTACACCATGGGGCTAGCCGAGCTGGGCATCCAGTCCAACACCCCCAGCATGTCGCCCTTTGGAGAGCTGGATATCAACGAGTTCTTCAATTTTGACGCGGACGTCAACGCGCAAGGATAGAGAAGATTCCAAGTGGCTTGTGAGCCGGGGGCATCTTCGCATGGACAGACGCGGTTTCCTTTACGCTGTTTCACGATTATGTTACGTGAGTTAACGACGATACGAGCTCATGGACACATACCTTGTCGCCTACTAGTTTGTATCCCTCCTCGTGGTTGTACATACTGTATCAGTAGCGTGTAGCATATGTTAGGCCTCGAATTCGATACCCGTATCATTAGAGAGTCGCTTGAGTTCAGAAAAAGGGTCGTAACGGTACTGTGGGCCTTAGCCTGCGCCCCAACTGCGCCCTCATGCACATGTACGAGTATATGAGACCGGCGATCGCACTGGCACGCTACGTCGTCGCCAAGCCTTTGATGAGCGGAGAATATCCTGGTCCCAGTCAGCGACCAATACCGACGCCGACGGGATACATACTATGAGTCTGATCGTTAATAAATATGGCGGGAGCCAGATAACGGACAAGCAGTCCTCACCGGTGGGCTGAGATGCGACAGCCAGGTGAGCTGCTAAAGAGCTGGAACAACCTACGGCTCAGATGCCCCGAAAGCATGCCAGTAAGTTAAGTAGTGGCCAACGTCTCCGTGACGGGAGCTCTGTGATCAAGATGTTCGGGAGTGGCTGCATTTGGTCGCGACACGGGCGGGCCGGTCTGACCCGCCTCACCCAATCGCCTGAGCGCTTATCAACCCCACACCTTGCTGCCAACGTCTTTCCATCACGACACAAACCGTCCTCGCCTGTACATTACTATTGTGCTCTGTATTTTGACCAGCTTGCATCTTTACGACACTTACGATGCCCCCGATACGACAAATCGAAGAGACAATTCCGGTCAAAGAGGTACCCGCTCCTGTGAGTTCCATATCAGTGACGCAATAAAGGAATCCTGAGGTTTGTCCTTCGGCCGCAGCAACAAACTGTGTCCGGCGCGACAGAGGTACCTGAGATAAACGGCTCTCCTGTGGCGTTCATCGCTCTTGTCGTCTCGCTGGGAGTTGTCGTCCTCATCTGCTGCGTCCTCGTCTTCATCCTCCTCAAATGGTACAACCCTACGCCTTACGAGCGCCAGCTCCGGCGTGCGCAACGACTGCAGAGGAAGCAGGCTCGTTCAGATTCGCCTCATAGCACCTTCCGCGCCCCGTCATGGCTATCAAGATTGATGGGGGTGTTTGGGAGGCGGAGGTCAGAAGGATGGGTGCGGGCGAGCGGCGAGGACGGCGATGAGTGGGACGCACGGGACGAATTACCATCTTATCGACCGCAAAGCGAACAGCAGGTGCGCGAGCTCGACCGGGACGCCGTTGCCCATTCCCCTTTACACATCGACACCCACCTCCCGGGGGGCGACGAGGACCCGAGTGCGGACTCGGTCGACCTCCATGCCCCGGAGCACCCAGAGCACACGACCACGCGCTACAGTGATCTCTTCGCTTCGTCACCATCACCGACGTCTACCGAGCATTCTGATGGCCCCCACACGCCGAAGGAGACCCGCGAGGGCAGGTTCAGCGTCCAGACCGCAGCGGGCTCCCATCGCCAGGGATCAGATGCGTCTAGCATACGGTCCATGCGCAAGTTTGAGAGCGGGACGAAGTTCAAGGAGGCATTGGAGTTCTAGGTATATGATCAGCATCTCTTAAGTGCCTTCTACGCTCTCACGATCTCTCAGGTTACTGCTCTCCTCCTTCCGCGCATCATATATTTATACCACCCACGCTGCCTGCGCTACCTCGTTTCGTGACGGATGTACAACAATCTCGGACCTCATAACCCACTACGACTGTGTTATACTTTCCGGTGTACTGATTTACTATTGTAATATACGCAAGTATAGTCGTGCTTTCGTTGCTTCATCGCAAATAATGGTCTGATGGTGCTTAGTTTACGATGCATTGAACTTGGAGCTTCTAACTGATGACTGCACTACCTCCCGTCGACCAAGTCCAGCGTCGATATCCCATACCGCCAGAGGACGACACCGCGCTCAGCTTGTACAGCACCGTAGCTCTGCCAGTGGAGGACGCGGCGGACAATGCCACCTATCTCATGTAACTATAAGTAAGCCCGCGTCGTCGGCTACCTCTTTTACCCGCCGAACACTGACAGTTCCGCTCTAGGTACCCTTAAGCTCGAACTGGCGTCTTGCAACAACCTCGGCGGCGGCTTCACGATTTAAGTGAGCTGTACGTCAAGCATATGATTTTATTTTGTAGATCGTGAGCTCTTTTCCGTGACCGCCGCCAGTGTGATGAGTCTAATGCTTCGAAAGTCAGGAAAGCAAGCGGGAGGACCCCAGTCTCTTCGGAGAACTTTTCGCGCCCTTCCTTTGACAGAAACCACGGCAAATTCGCAGCCCAGCCCGTGGAATCATTTGGATGCTAAAAATCTGGAAGTCAGTACTGGATGTACGCATAATGAACAGGGATGATTACCGCTGTCGACTGACACAAGGTCGATCGCCTCTCCCTAGAGAATATATTCACTGCTCTGCATTGGCCAGAGGAGCCAATCGGAACTACACGGTGCAGCTAAATTTCCCCCTACTCACTCGCTCGGGCACATTGTGCTCGACGAAAGCGGGAACAAGGCGCTTATCAGACTCTTCACGATGTCGCACGAGAACTTACTGACTAGGTGCTACGCTATTAGGAGCGCCAAGGAGCAATGCTTTGGACTATTCTGCGGCGGTTTGGCTACGAAGATACTTACAACGATTCACTCAAGGCGGATACCACTGAGGGGACCAAGCTCAAGAATTTTATGACGCTCGAAGAGGCCATTCATGATGCCTTCGACGACATGGAGCTTTGGTACGAGACAGTCCCGAGTGAGGTGAGACATCCGAGACCTAGACCTGAATCCCGCTCTCTAGCTATACATTGGACACAACAGGCGAATTGTTATCGGGACAATCTTGCGCTGCCTTCAACACATCAAGGTTTAGGTGTCCCCGAGAGGAGTACAATACCTTGCCCATAGCGGTAGCACCCTGTCGCTGCCAAGTTCAGACTGTCTTGCGATCGACGCAGCTTGCTGTCGCATCGCGCACTGCGTGTCTGGCGCAGCGGTTTGCCTCGACACAGTTCTTAGTGACATTAATGGCATGGAGGAGCTGAATGTTCTAGCTGAGGATGGGTCTCCTGGAGGGGGCTTGGCGTATGCTCTTCATTGTCTTGTCCCCATCTGCCTAAATCGTACCATCAGCTGATGGGCACCGTGGAGATGTATCACACAATGTCCCATGCAAGGCACGGGCTTTGGCTAGGTATACAGTCCAGTTTCCCGCTAGCGTGCAACGTCCCCAGTTCTCGTACAATGCCTCTTCAACAGCTTGCGCCAATGGATCGCTCACCACAACTTGGACCTCGGCCTCAGATCTACCCTGTACTGGTACCCAACTTTCTTATTGTGTGGTCATACTGATGAACTGACGTAACTTTTCTCCGAGATGTACGCGCGAATATCCCATGGCAGACGCGTATATGAGCGGTTACCATCTTGGAATATACGCATCGGCAGCCAACTTCAAGCAGCTGTACATACATGAGCAACTAACTACTAAGAGAGCCACAGTATTTACGGCTTCATTTCTTCTGCCGTTTTCTAGACCCCGCGAGCCACCTTTGCTCCATGCCGCCGTGCCGGATGGTCCGCCGCCTCCAAGGACGGTCCCCCACTGGCGATACAAGCGTTGTCGATCGCGGACACGGACCGATGTGCCATCCCGACGGAGCACAGACGGCACATCCGTTTCTCAGGCATCATCCTGCCAGTGAGAGCCTATATATAAGACTCCTGTGGGAGCACGCCCCAGCGACAGACTCCTGCTGCAGCTTACACGACCATGGTTGAATTCAAGGGCTACGCGCTGACAGGTTCGTAGCTCGTATCCAATGTTCGCCCCTGCAGATTTTGATCTTATGCTGCTTAGACCCCTCCGCATGGAGTACGCTCAGTCTGGTGAGCTACCCGCCGAAGACCTTTGAGGACGACGACGTCGAGCTCGCGATCACGCATTGTGGCGTGTGCGGCTCGGACGTGCACACGCTCAGCCAGGGATGGGGCAGCACGGGCACGCTCCCGCTCGTCGTCGGCCACGAGATCGTCGGGATTGTCACGAAGGTCGGCGCGAACGTGCAGGAGTTCAAGGTCGGCCAGCGCGTTGGCGTCGGCGCTCAGATCGGCAGCTGCATGAAGTGCAAGCGTTGCAAGAAAGGCAACGAGAACTACTGCCTGGATGGCATGATAGACACTTATGTGAGTGGCACCGAATGCGTTTCGGACGTTAGCCATACTCAAAGCGACGCGCACAGAACTCGTACTATCCCGACGGCGTCTTTGCGCAGGGAGGCTACTCGACCGCCATTCGTGCTCACCAACAGTTTGTCTTCACGATTCCGGAAGCAATCGAATCGAAGGATGCGGCGTCCATGTTCTGTGCCGGCTTAACTGTGTACTCTCCCCTGAGGAGAAATGGCGCAGGCCCCGGCAAGAAGGTTGGCGTCATGGGCATCGGTGGCCTTGGGCACTACGCCGTCCTGTTCGCCGCCGCCATGGGTGCGGAAGTGTACGTCTTCACGCACAGCGAGACAAAGCTTGAGGAAGCGAAGAAGATGGGCGCCACGCACGCTGTCAGCACACACTCTGATGTACGTCTCCTCTATCGTACGCCGCCTACTATAGCCCCTGACGCCTCTCCGCCCGACAGGACTTCTACAAGCCCTTCATCGGCGAGCTGGACATCCTCATCTCCACCATCGACGTCTTCCGCCCCGACCGGCCGCTGAAGACGTACATGTCGATGCTGGACGTGCACGGCAAGTTCATCAACGTCGGCCTGCCCGACAACGACAATTCGCTGCCGCCGATGCACGCGTTTGACCTGCAGCCGAGCGGCGCGTTCCTTGGCGGGTCGCACATCGGCTCGAAGGACGACTGCAACGCAATGCTGAAGCTCGCTGCGGAGAAGAACGTCAAGCCGTGGATCCAGGAGCTCCCTATGAGCCGGGCGAAGGAGGCGGTAGAGAACGTGAGGGCCGGGAAGGTGCGCTATCGGTATGTGCTGACGCAAGACATTGCCCCCGTCGCGTGAGGCTCGTGCGTCGGTGCTGGTATGTTTGCTTCGCCGGTTATGATGTCGAGTGTGGACGTCATCGTAGGAGTCGGCGGTAGAAGATGCACAGTAGCGTGTAATGTACCACAAGAAGCAGTACAAATATAACTGTTGAACCGAACAGCGGCTGGCGGGCCATCGCCATCGGAGCTTCGCAGGGAAGATCGCACAAGGAGGACCTGCAAGCTTTCGTTCGCGCTATGTTGGATTTAAGATGGGGTACGTGTCCAGATAGCTGGACATTCTAGTACACCTGCCGTATTAGTAAATTGGAAGCCCCACGCCGGGAGGACCCGCACGATCCTTGGCTCGATCAGCGCACGTTACACTTGGCGATCGACTCCAAGCAGTGGTTTGCATTCACCTTCCACTGCGACTTCCTCATCAACTCCTGCGTCGTAGTCTTGTATGTGTTGTCCGCCTGACAACACTAGAATGTCATCGACGGCCCTTCATATGCATCATGTTCCTGCCAGCCTGAGTTACTGGCTATACTTCGGTACTTCATATGGCCAGCTGTGGTTAGCAGACACCTTCGGACCGACCTCTCAGGATATCTATGTAACCCGTGCTTGTGTTGTGATCCACCCGAAATCTTCTGGTGCGAGTCGGAAGGTTGCCATATGTACATCGCGTCCAGCTTATCCGAAGCAGTTTGTCATGTCCGCTCTAGTCCGGACCTTGACTCGGGCACTTCGCGCGTCCAGACTACGAAGCGACATTTGGAAGATCCTCAGGTGAGCCACTAGACCACCTTCCAATCTGCTCTCATAGCTGGTCGTCAGGAAAACATGACACGCTCCAAACTCGGTCATGCGTGTTGAAACGTAACGATGAGTGCTCGCCAGAGCAGTAGGGTAAGTGGCACGCTTTGGATGTCCGATGTCGGAACTGGGCAAGAAACGTTCACAAAGCCAGGCGTTCGCCCCTCCTCGAGGCTCGATGGGTCGCGTCACTCGTCAAGGAGACTGTTCCGTGGATGGGTCTAGCGCTGGTTTGCGCCGCCACGTGCGCGCCAAACCTCGCAGTGGTGGCGGGCGAATTCACGCCATCAGCTCTGAGGGCTTTTGGCGGTTCGTCCAACTCATGCAGGGCTCGCCAGCAAGCTCCAATCACGGCGCGCATGTGCAATCGGATAGGGTCTACCGCTGAAAATATGTCTCCGGACTTCTGTCATCGCGTCAGAGGAAGAATCAGGCATCTTTCTGGCCCGCCCGGAGGCTACCATGTATAAGTTCAACGAAGGGGCGATTGAGGTCGCTCACCCCCTCTTATCTCCCCTGCAGCTCCACAGAAGAGTTTTGACCGTAGGCCGCTGAGATGGACCCTGAGAAAGGCCAGCAAGACGATTCCGGCATCCCTGTGCTCACCACTGACGAGGAAGTCCCCGGCACACGAGCAGTCGTGTTCCCCGACGATCATGGCGACATCCGCGAGGAGAAGTTGCAGCATCACCGGCCCAGAGGCGTGGAAATGAAGCGCGAGATGACCAAGGAAGACATGGAGCTCGCAGCGGCCGGCTATGAGCACCTCGATGAGCACAAAGGCAAGGGCAAGAAGACTGACGAGCTCGACAAGGTCGACATCTCTGAACATCATCTGCCTTACGACCAGCTCGGTGCGGCGCTCGACACCAGCATCGACACGAAGGACCCCAGCGCCTCGTTCGGCCTCACAACTGATGAAGTCAAGGCGAGGCTCGCGCGCGACGGGCGCAACGTACTCACCCCACCCAAGAAGAAGTCCGCGCTGCAGAAGGTATGTCAATCGAGACCGTGTTAAGGCAGCTGTCTGATCGGTTCCGTCGTACTCAGTATTTCGACTGCCTCTTGACCATGTTCAACATCCTGCTGATCATTGCCGGCATCCTCGAGTACATTTTGTTAGGCATCGACTTCAAGGTATGATGACCGGACAATTTGACTTCCTCGGCTGCAATTGGATATCGGGTTAATATATTTCTCACAACAGGACAACTTCCAAAATACGTACCTCGGAGGGATTCTCATCGCTGTCGCCTTCATCAACGCCTTCATCGAGTTCTTCCAGCTGCAGAAGTCGGAGGCTATCCTTGCATCTTTCTTGGCCATGATCCCACCTTCGTGTCATGTCGTTCGTGATGGGTCGATCACGTCTGTCCCGGCCGCGGATTTGGTGAAGGGTGACGTTGTGCTGCTGGTCGGTGCCTTTCACAATCTACATGAGGTAGTTTCGCCATACTGACAGGCCACACGTGGGTACAGCGCACGGGCGACAAGACGCCTGCCGACCTCATCCTCTTTTCGGCCACGGACCTCAAGGTTGACAACAGCAACCTTACGGGAGAGTCGGAGGCCCAAGAGCGCTTCGGAAAACCGGAAGGTAGCTCGCACAGGCCGGTCGAAGCTGAGAACCTGGTACGGAGAGCTATCGATGTGGTTGTCCATCCGGGCTCTGATGCCCGCTGCAGGTCTTCAACTCCACCTTAGTCGTCAACGGTGAAGGATGGGGCGTCGTCGTGCGCACGGGAGACCACACGCTCATTGGTCAGATCGCTGCCCTCACTGGAGGCGAGATGGGCAACAAGAGCCCGCTCGCCGTCGAGATGTAAGCTGTCCTGTCTACTACTCGTTCATCATTTTGAAGACTCACGCCGTCATGGTCGTCCTCAGCGCACGTTTCGTGATGTTGGTCTCAGCGATTGCCATCGTTTTCGCAGTCGTGTTCTTCGTCGTGGGCATTACTACGGTCTACAAAGGCAAGGGTGCTGAGACAGTCACCTTTGCGGTATCCATTCTGGTGGCCTTCGTACCGGAGGGTCTTCCTTCAGTCGTCACCCTTCTGCTGTCCATTGCCGCCAAGCGGATGGCTGCTCAGAACGTGCTGGTCAAGGATCTTCAGGGAGTTGAAACGCTGGGATCGGTGAGTCTGTTGGGACCTGTAACAGCTTTGGGTTATTCTGACTCGCCGCACAGCTCACTCTACTCGCCACGGACAAGACCGGTACTCTCACAAGGAATCAGATGACCGTGTCCAATCTCTGGAGTGGAGGCAAGATGTACACCGCCTTCCAGTCGAACAACGACGTGGGCGCGACCGAAGACTTCACCCTCGCTGCTCCCGGTATGCGCGAGATGGTTGACATCGCCGCGCTGAACTCGAGGGTCAAGTTCGACAAGACGGACGTGCCGTTTGACCAGCGTCAGATCCTAGGCGACGCTACGGAGACCGGTCTGACGCGCTTTGCGGGACGCCAGGTCGACTACGATGGCTTGCACAAGCAACACCAGAAGGTATTTGAGATCCCGTTCAACTCGTCAAACAAGTGGGCCCTGGTCATTGTGGGTGCTCTCAGTGAATGTATCATGAGCAAGACTGATGTAATGAAAATTATAGCTCAACAAGCCTCACGCGAGTGGTCGCTTGACGCTCTACATCAAGGGAGCACCTGAGCGTGTGCTGGCTAAGTGTTCCACGTATCTCAAGGACGGTCAGATGGAGCCCATGTCGGATGAGTTCAAGGCGGCTTATGACGAGGCCTATAACGTTCGTATCTCATTGTTTAGATGTCTTCTTCGCCAGTTGACTTCTAAAATACAGTACATGGCATCCCGCGGACATCGTGTCATTGCATGCGCGCAGAAGTTCTTGCCTTCAGAGCAGTACGACATGGGCTACGCCTTTTCAAAAAATGACGGCAACTACCCCAGCGAGGAATACTGTTTCTGCGGGTTGATCTCTCTCGAGGACCCGCCGAAGCACGGTGTGCGCGAGGCTATTGGCACGCTCCGGCTCGCAGGGATCAAAGTGATGATGGTCACCGGCGATCATCCCAAGACCGCTGAGGCGATTGCACGCAAAATCAACCTCATCTTGGGCGACACGAAGGAGACGCTAAGCGCAAAGGCGGGCCGTCCTATCGAAGAGATATATGAGGACGAGGTCGACGCGGTAGTTGTGCACGGCGACGATATCGACGGGCTGCAGGGTTGGCAGTGGGATCAGAGTAGGTTTCTGTCTTATGACGTGTGTCAATGCGCAGCTCAATCGCACTTCAGTCTTCTCAAAAAAGGAAATTGTGTTCGCCCGTACCTCGCCTCAACACAAGCTTGAGATCGGTAAGGCACTATAATATCATATCTGAGTATAGTGCAGGTTGCTCATACATCTCTTCAGTCAAACATGCTCAGGCGCTCGGTCACATTGTCGGAGTGTAAGACCACTCCATCGTCGCTATGACGGTGCTTGTTGGTTGACAACTCTTGGTTAGGACTGGCGATGGCGTCAACGACTCCCCGGCACTAAAGAGGGCTGATCTTGGCATCGCTATGAACATTTCCGGCTCCGACGTGTCGAAAGAGGCTGCAAACATGATCCTCCTTGACGACAACTTCGCGTCCACCGTTAGTGAGTGACTGAAAGTTCAATGGCTGCACCTTGTCCGTGCTGATATCTTTATTACAGAGGGTGTCGCGGAAGGCCGTCAGATCTTCGTGAACTTGAAACGCTCAATCCAATATACCATCTCGCACAGTACACCGGAAGTCATTCCGCAGTTGCTCTACGTCGTCGTACCCATACCTCTGCCGCTGTCAGCTATCCTCATTCTGGTCATTGGTATGTAAGTCGTGACGCCCCAAAGACACCTTTTGATTAATATATCAACAGACCTTGGTTTTGAGCTCTTCGTGGCTGTGAGTATCATGTGGTCATTGATGCTAAACCTATGCTCATCAATGCCGGACACTAGCTGTCTTTTGCTTGGGACAAGCCAGAAACGAAGGACGGGCTCATGCGAATGGCTCCACGAAAGCCTGTCAATGAACGGTCGGTCCTATCGTTGAAGAGGAAGGCTCTCCGCCGTACGAAGACGATTAGGCGCGACACAGAGACGGGCGATATCATCCAGCCAAGTCGGATATCAGCCCTGACCTCCAAATTCAGCAGGTCCTTTAGCCGAGAGTTTTGGGAAGACGCCACTGAACGAACGGAGGATGAGTCGCTGGTGGACGGCAAGCTACTCAGCTACGCCTACCTGGAGGCCGGCGTCATAGAGATGCTTGGGGCCCTCGTTGCCTACTTCGTTGTCTTCTACAAGAACGGATTCACTCCAACTGACTTGCGGAACGTGCAGTCGTCGACGAACATCAGTATGTCATCTTCCCTACACCTACACCTGGCTTAAGTCTGATGGATGAACGTCTAAAGCCTACTTCACCAAATCGAGTCCTGCCTTCGTCAATACGAGAGGCCAAGTAATCGACGCCTCCCAGCAGGTCGAAGCCCTTGGCAAGGCACAGTCTATTGGTACGTATCGTTTCATTTACTCCGAAAAGAGTCAAGATGACACCGTCACCACAGTGTACCTCTCGATCTTCATCATTCAGTGCTTCAACGTCTTCGCCGTCAAGGCCAAATTTTCCTTCCCATTCGGCAAGTCGATCATCGGCAACTACTACAACTTTGCTGGCATCCTCGCCGGAGCATGCCTCGGTATCTTCATCATCTACACGCCACCCCTGCACGTCGTCTTCGGCGGCTCATATCATCTATCGCCACTGTACTGGCTGATCCCTGCCGCATTCGGTTGCTTGTTGTTGGTCTGGTCGAGTTTCCGCGTCTTGCTGCTCAGGAAAGGTATCGAGCAGTCGCGCGTAAAGGACATCAAGGGCTTGATGATGTGTAAGTCCGCGATCGCGATGGACATTATGGTGTCTCAGTACTGATGTTATTGCCTCTACAGTCCCTACCATGAGGACCATGAGCATGCGGTCGAAGCACTAACGGATAAAGTCGTTCTCTTCTCGAACTTTTCACGAACTGTGCATGTATCTGCACGAATGCGATGGATTGTTGACAGCCAATAATACATAGTAGTGACTGGATGATGTCGCTTTGCTGTGTATCAGAGTTGGTCAGCCATTGGATCATGATGCATGATGGCTCAACTGTTGAGCCCATTCAATCATCGACCGACTGCCAACAGAAACGAACTACGTCGTGAACTGGACAACAAGATACTGTAGCGAACCTAACAACCCGGATGGGGGTGTGACGTGTGACAGTTTTACACGATCCGTCGCCGTGGCGGGGTTGACTGTGACGTGTGACGACCCGCCCTGAGGGCCGCTGCCCGTGACATGTCCGTGGGTCAGCCCGCCGCAGGCGCCGGCCCCCAGCGCTCAGTGACAGCGTCGGCGCCGGCGGCGGGGTCGGATGTGACAAGTGACCAAAACCGTCTCCGCCGCGGCGGACGGCGGGCTTGTGACGTGTGACATCCGGGTTGTTAGGTTCGCTACAGTACTCAGCCTGCTAGTACTGTACACATAACTTCGCCAATCGCGGTCACAAGGGCATCACTTAATGTTCACTACACAGATGGACCAATATCAGCACACCGCGTCTTGACGGCATCTGGGTTGTACGTACCACATATTGAAGTCATGACCAAAGCGGTTCTCGTTGACCGTCTCAACGTGTACGTAACGCGTACAACGCGAGCACGCGAACGCGTCGTTCCGACCCGTGTACTCTGCGTGTACTCAGCCTCAGACAGTACTGTATCGGAACCGCGCCCACAAATCCTAGCTGGTTGGGACGCCATGATTCAGACCGGGCACCAATTACAGTGTGCTACACGCTCCGCCAGGGGCACCTGAGATGTGTAAGTTCGGGATCAACTTGAAGGCCGGGTCTCAGGCTGAGCTCAGCCTCGTACATAGAGCCGCTTCAAGTTGCCAGGCATGCCCCACGCCATCCATCACTATCGCGCTAATCACTACCTGTCTTGAACACGTCTTCGGAAGATCATATTTTAGGTGCACCTGCTTGGCTCAGTGCAGCCATTCGCGGGAAGCCGGACTGGTGGGTGAAGTACCGAGACGGCAAGGTACGGGCGAAGTGGATGCAAGAGATCATGGAGCAGCAGAAGGACCTTCACCAGAGTTTGCAGCTTACTGACAACATGGTGCGTGTGACCTTAACCAGAATCACTGAGAATGACGACGTAGCGACTGCATGACAGATTAACTACATTATGGGCGAACTTGAGGCCTACGCTGCCCTTCGAGATCCAGAGACAGGCATTGAGGTATGCCGCTAGGTCCATACTATCCTATCTCATGCACTGATCAATGTTGCAAAGGCCGGCCCGTACGAGCGCATCTGGCAGTCAGACCAACTCATACCTGCATCTTTGAAGAGCGCCCTCGTTTCAGCAATCGCCCCGCTTGAGTCCGTCCCGGACTCGGAGAAGGACTGGCATCCCGGCTCTGACGGTAAGGTGCTCGACCTTGTCCATCCGTCACTCTACCCTGTCGTGTATGGTCGTACCACTGCCCGCGGTAAGGAGCCGCTCCAGCCTCGCGCGACAGATGTCGCTCCTATGTTCCGGTCGGAGCGATTCCAATGGCTGCCCTCGGACTTCTACGTCAAAGAGGACGGAACTGTTACCCTGGTCTCGCCGTACATCAACAACGTGCACCCAGAAGACCACAAAGCACTGACTGAGGTCATTCCGCGAGTGATGGAGAAGGCTGTGCCGATGTTCGAAAGAGTGCTGTCTGACCTAGCGCGGGGGAGACAGCTCCCCACGCGCTTGGATTTGAAGGGGCACAAGTTCCCAGAGTGCGTGTGGCCAGACGGCGTGCGTGTAATGTCATCCAACTCGGACACGCAGGCTGACTATTCATCAGTATGAGCCTGGTCTAGAAGAGGATGACCGAGCACGTATGTGCGAGGAGGAAATGCGGCTACAAACGGAGGACCACGAACGTTGGCAAGTAGAGTATGAGAGGTTCCTCGACGATCATCGGGAGGCATTTCTAGCCACTCATCCTGGCAAGGACGATGAATACGAGCCGCCATCGCTCGCCGAGCGGCCCGAGTACAACCAGAAGCCTTATTACGATCAACTGTCCGACGAGTGGCTGGATAGACAGGAGAAGCGCTGGCCAGATAGCAAGCCGAGTTACAATGGCGGGCTGGACGAGGTGAAGAAGGCTATCGACTTGCGGGGGAAGACGCCCCAGGTCATCGTGAAGCTAGCGAATATCATGCTGACCCCCGATAAGCCCGAGTATGCAGGCGGAACGTGGCACGTAGAAGGTGAGCAGTGGGTGCTCTAGGAGCCTTGGCACGTACATACGAAGAGTAGTTCTAACTCCTCACGCTTTCCAGGGATGGACAACGAGGCAATCGTGTCGACATTCATCTATGTGAGTCATCGTCCCACACATGCAAGCTGGTTCTGCTCGGCGAAGACTGATGACGGGTGAAGTACTACGACACCGAGAATATCACGGAGTCGACCTTATCCTTCCGCAACGCAGTGAACGAGCCGCGGTATCACGAGCAATGGGACATCTATTGCATGCAGCATCTCTATGGGATCCTACAGTACGTTTCTCGGTCTATCTGGGATGCACCGTTATATTATAATATCTTCCCCTAGGTTCGAGAAATGCGTACAGGTCGTCGGACAGGTCGTCACTAAGCAAGATCGGTGTATCGCCTTCCCCAACCTCTATCAGCACCTCGTCTCCCCGTTTCGCCTTGCTGACCCGACGAAACCGGGCCACCGCAAGATCCTCGTATTCTTCCTCGTCGACCCGAACATCACTGTCCCGTCCGCGTCGAGCGTGGCGCCACAGCAAGAGTCTTGGATCCGCCGCACCGTGGAGGATACAAACATGTGGTGGAGGCTCCCTACCGAGCTGCAGGAGATGATATGGGAGCGGCTGGACCCGATGACGGACGAGCAGGCGAAAAAGTATCGCGAGGAGCTCATGCAGGAGCGTACACTGATCGTGCAGATGGTCGATAACCAGAGGTTCGGGCGCGGGTTCAATCTATGGTATGTGGTCCCTGTGCTTTCCGCCAACTTGCGTACTGATGTCGTGGGTATGAAGCGAACACTAAGTACTGAGAGCTGATGTGCCAGTGCACCTATCAATGAATGTTCGACTCATGTTCACGCGATACCCTGGCTACTGGCACCCTCAGCCTGTGCACCTCTCGAATCCACGTTGTCCCTCCAATTAAATGGATCTGTACAATTATATCACGTTCAGCCCCCTCGGTATCTATCCTAAATAGCGTCTAGGCGCCTCCCACATCGTGGTGTTGTAATCCAAAGTGAGCGCCGATGACTCGATCGCTTTGCGTGCGACAGCGGCTGGTGGCTGAATGGATGCCTCGTCCGGTCCTCCTCTTCCTTCTCCACTTGAATAAATGTACGTACTGTACTGGGCAACATATTCCGAGTCAAAGTAACCTTGTTTGGGACCTTTGGGCAACAATGTACTAGTCGTGCCAAACAGGTACCTGCGACTCGAAGGACTCCGAGTCTTGACTCATTTCATTCTGCACCGCCACACCCAATCCGTTCTGCGTGCGATGGACACCATACGCGAGGCTGCTCGGCAATGCATACCTAGACTCATCTCCAGCATGGGACGTGTGATCTCGTACAGAGACGACCCCTCAGGCCTTAGGTAGCGGTCTCGAGTCGCCGCATCTTTATATGGCCCTTGGCTCCGTACCTTAAAGTTAGTGCTCAGGTCCCCCGACGATCGTCCAATCCAGCTTGCTTTGTTGTCAAAGATCGCTAGCCTCCTTTGTTTCACTGCAAGGATGACTTCGAGCGACGGAAATGCTCAGTCCTCTCCTGCCGACGCCCTCAAGCGATATAAACACCCATTCACCGAGGACGGTGAATGGCAATACTACGCCACGAAGGATGACGACCCTACGGATAGGGACACCCCGCGTACGCTTATCGAGCTGCGTATGTGCGCTTTGAGCGCAGCGATCCGCGAGAAGCCCGAGTGGTGGGTGAAGTTCCGGGACGAGAAGGTGCAGGCGAAATGGAGGCAGGAGATTAAGGTCCAGGAGCAGCAGCAGGGCTTGCATCGGAGTCTGCAGCTTACGGAGAATATGGTACGTCCGTTCACTTGGCTTTGTCTCTGGAGGACGACGAGTCAACGAGCATGCGCAGATAAACTATATCATGGGCGAGCTTGAGGCGTATGCAGCCCTTCGAGACCCGGAGACAGGCATTGAGGTTCGTCGGTACAGTGCGCTGCCAGGTTCTACAGGCTCCCTTTACCTTCGCTCCTTAGTTTGGTCCCTATGAGCGGATTTGGCAGTCGGATCAATTGATCCCTGTGTCCCTGAAGGCTGCTCTCATCTCAGCAGTCACACCTCTCGAGTCCGTCCCAGACTCGGTGAAAGACTGGCATCCAGGATCTGATGGCAAGGTGCTCAACCTCGTTCACCCGTCACTCTATCCTGTCGTCTATGGGCGTACCATAGCTTGCGGCTCACAGGAGCCTCTCCAACCTCATGTGTCGGACGTCGCAGCGATGTTCAAGTCGGAGCACTTCCAATGGCTGCCCTCAGAGTTCTACGTCGAAGAGCATGGCACGGTCAAGCTGGCGTCGCCGTATATCAACAACGTAGACCCGGAAGACTACAAGGATCTGACGGAAGTCATTCCTCGAGTGATGGAGAAGGCCGTGCCGATGTTTGAACGTGTGCTGTCTGACCTAGCGAGGGAGGTACAACTCCCCACCCGCTTGGACCTACAAGGACACAAGTTCCCGCAGTGTGTATGGCCCCCGCAAGTATGGTCTGCTTGCCCTCTCCTCGCTGGGGCCATGAACTCACTCCACTACATAGTTTGACTTGGAGCCCACTCCGGATCGGGAACTATGGCAGCATTTCCGCTCAGAGCACGATCGTCTCCAAGCCGAGGACCGGAAACACTATGAAGCAGAGAAGGACAAGGTTTTAGACGCCGCCTGGGATGTCTACCTGGATACTCGAGCGAGTGAGGACGAGAAATGGGCGGAGCCGCCGTATCCGGAGATGAAGGAGGTGAAGTATTTCAACCGGTTCTTCGATGAGTGGCAGGACGCACAGGCAGAGCATAGATGGCCAGATAGCAAGCCGAGATATGATGGTGGTCTGGACGACGTGAAGAAGACGGTGGACCTGCGGAGGACGACGCTCCAGGTTATCGTGAAGCTGGCTAACATCATCCTGACCCCGGAGAAACCGGAGTATGGCGGAGGAACGTGGCACGTAGAAGGTGGGCCCTACTTAGACTTACCCAGTGCGCTCCGTACCTTCCAACTTAAGCACCACGTTGAATTCAGGGATGGACAACGAGGCCATCGTGTCTACTTTCATTTACGTGAGGCGAATTGTCTGCCCTCTCTAACCCATTCCTGAGCTCACGGTGCATTGTATCATCATGTAGTACTACGACACGGACAACATCACAGAATCAACCCTCTCCTTCCGCAACGCAGTGAACGAGCCCCGATACCATAGCCAATGCGACTACTACTGCATGCGACATCTCTACGACATGTCGGCGTGCGTTAAATGTTCAACGCGCTTCTCAGTTCATCGCGTCTCACGTTCGTCCTCACAGTGATGATATCTGCGCCCAAACCGTCGGCGAGCTCGTCACCAAGCAAGACCGGTGCATCGCTTTCCCGAACCTCTACCAACACCTCGTCTCGCCATTCCGCCTCATTGACCCCACCAAGCCGGGCCACCGCAAGATCCTTGTCTTCTTCCTCGTCGATCCGAACATCAGGATCCCGTCGGCGTCGACCGTCGCGCCTCAACAGGAGCCGTGGATCCGGCGCGCGGTGGAGGGGACAGACCTCTGGTGGCGCCTACCATTCGAGCTCCGGGAGATGATTTGGGCCCGCCTGGACCCGATGTCGCAGGAGCAGGCGAAGAAGTATCGGGAGGAACTCATGAAAGAGCGCACGCTGATCGTGAAGACGGTGGATGAGCAGAGGTTCGGGCGATTATTTAATCTATGGTGCGCGATACTCTTTTACTGTGCGAGTGCGGGATTACTAACGTCGTCGGTGTGCACGGCCATAGTGAACACTGAGGGTCAGGTGAACTCGATGGATAGTAGGGTGTACGCATGGCATTTCCGCGAAGAGTGTGATATATAGTAGTGCTACTGCATTGACAACGTTGTGCGGAAGCCGACTGTGTACAGATTCCCTCGCTAGGATGATAAACCACCATCAACTAGAGCGTACAGCCTGATTAGGAGATCCAATGTCAAGTTGTACTGTATGGCAATGTGCACACTACCGCAACGCTGACTTGCGGAGCGAAGATTTCCTAGGTAGCCTGTAAGCCTGGGCAGCCCCATTTAGTCGGCATATACCCCGAGACTGCCTCTGCCTTGCGACGCCCACATGCTCGCGCTGTCTGCACATATGGTAGTCGCGCACAGCTGAGGCTCCTTGCGAACAGCCAGGTGGCGCGCCCCGCCGCTCTTCGCGTGCCTCGCACCCCGTCCCGCATGCTTCTCCACGTCGCGCACACGCGTGGCAAACGATCTGCGCTGCGCCGCCGCCACAAAGGGCGCCTTACACGCAAAAGCGGGACGTCGACCCCAAACGCAGGCTCGATCACCCCTGCACGTCCCAGACAGAAGCACGGATGGCATAGGCATGCGCCGAGATCCAGATCAGCTAGACCCGAGTCCAGATTGTGGCGCCGTGCTCAAGGCGAAGAAGCGCGGCCCTCCTCCTCCTCCTGTTCCGCCGCCGCCACCGCATCCTCCTCAGGCTCAGATGGAGCCGTCGACGGGGCCTCGCTCTGCAAGCGCTGGAGCTCGCCCAGAAGCTTTGCGAGGAACTCGGGAAAGTCCTCGCAGTCGCCGGGCATCCTGAAGCGCGGGAAGAGGGCGACGAGCCAGCGGGCGAGCTCCTTCGCGTCAAAGTCCTCCGTGCGCCGGTCGGGGTCGCCGACCTCGAACGTGCGCAGGCCGTGCGGGGCCGGCGGCGGGTCCGGCGGGCGGAGCTGCTCCGCGGACGCGATCGTGATCGAGGGGAGCTCGAGCGTGCGCAGCGCGGGGCATGACCGCGCGAGGACGACGAGCGCGTTTAAGGAGGGGACCGCCTCGGCGCGGTTCACGGTGAGCATGAGCGTGACGATGCCCGGCCAGGCGGTGGCAAGTGTCTCCACGTCGGCGTCGCTGAAGCCGAACCCGCCTGGTTGCCAGCGGCTTATGGAGAGCGTGCGCAGGCTGCGATGCCGAAGGAGCGGCCTGATAAGCTCGGTGAGTGGGACGCTTGTGTTGACAAAGTGTGGTCCGTCGAGGGACTCGGAGAATGAGAAGCCGTTGTCGGCGACCAGGAAGAATTCATCGAGGAGGGGGAACTTGGAGGCAACCTGGACGCACTCGGTGCATTCTTTGTAGGTCGCTTTGTTCGAGGGGTCGGCTATGCGGACTGTGCGGACGTGCGTGGACGAGACCATGTCGAGGATGGTCGGGATTTGGTACATGGGACCAGAGAGCGACAAGCTACGCAGGTTGGTCAGGCCGCTGCAGCTAGAGAACTCGTAATCGGTGAGCTCGAAGGACATGTCGAGTTCGTGGAGGCTGTCGATGGAGGCTAAGGTACGGAGGGATCGGGGGCCGAGTACGGCGTCTTGGACGTGCAGCTCCTCGAGGTGAGCGCAGGGGAGAAGCGGCGCTAGAGACGATATGCGGCCAAGGCCAGTGATGGTGAGGAGTCTCAGTTCTGGGACGTTGGAACACACCGTACTCAGACACAGTTGCACGGCGTAGTCCCGCACCTTGCGTGCGATCGCAGGCGACTCGATGTTTTCAGTCCCACTCCAGGTCTCGCCGCAGAACTCGAGCTTGACGTCCTCGAGAGTCGGTGTGACTAATGAGAGCAGACCAGTGTCCTGATTGGATCTGACTGTATGCGTCAGACACCGCAGACATGGGAAGAGAGCCTTGCCGGTGTTGCGGCGGCCAAGGTGGAGGAGCATAGAGGCCTCGAACGTGCCGAAGCCAGAGGAGCGGATTATGCGGACTCTTCTGGCATAATGCCGAAAGCGCGTCCACTCGTGCTCAGAGATAAGGTGGTTGAAGTGCTATGTGGGAGCATTCGCGAGGGCTTCTGCTGAAATCCATGGGTTGACTCACCGATACGTCCTGTCCGCCCGCAAGGCCACCCGCAAGGCCACCGACAGTGATGCCGTCGCCCTCCAGGTCGTGGGACTCGGTAAAGAGTTGCATTACGGGAAGCAGATCGTCGAGCTCTCGCCAGAGCGCATCGAGCGCATGCTCCGAGAAGGTCTTGCACACGAGCGCCATGCTTAGGAGGTCCTGCCTGGCGTCCTTCCTGCGCTCCTCCTCCTCTGGTGTCGGGTCGTCGTGGAGGACGTGGGGTCTGAGCCAGGTGAATATCTCATGGAGGATGTCGTTGTTCTGGAGGGCGCGATGAGAGCAGAACATGGAGAAGGGGGGCAAGCAGGAGAGGGTACACGGCCATGGATATCTGCCAATAGGGCAGACGGGGCGACACAGTGCTTAGATGGCCGAGGGCCGCAGCGTATGTTTTGTCCGACGGTATCCGCGGACATATCGTGTTGGTCATCGGTGCTCCCCCGATCCAGAGGCTTGCCAGATCCGTCCACTCGGCGGCCGTGACCATTCCGGATGCGGCCAGACACGTTCCACCGCCGTGGAGGGGGACGACGGCGAGCTTGGTGGGTCGCGTACGGCATGGCCAGCGGGCACAGGGGCAGCGAGCAGGGCCGTGTCTGGGAGCTGTCTCAGTCTCGCTGCTCACTCGCTCGGTCCCGCTCTCTCTCCGCCCGGCCGGGCTCCGGAAGCCGCACGTGCGCCCCGGGGTCGGTCTCCCAGCGGAGCCCCAGGAGCCGGAGATGCTGCGGACTTGGCGTGGTTCCCGCCACACTCCCGTCTCCGGAAATCTCGGACTCTTCCTGCTCCCATCTGCTGCTCTGCTATGTCTGGCATCCCGAACGACTCGGAGTCGTCCTCGACGCGTCCCGCCCCCGCATGGCAGCGTGCAGCCCAAACCATCCTCACGAGGCTCTCCCATGGCTCAACTCCGTTCATAACGACGTTCGTCCTGATCCATCTGACGGCGCCCGCCCTGGCAAGCTTGGGCGGTACAACGCTGTCGTCGCAGGTGATGGTACGTGTCACTCCCGTACACTAGCTGTGTTCTAGGATGAACGCTCTACGTCGTCGCTCCATGAGGAGAGCCCTGCATCGTGCCTTGAGGCATGACGCGCCGTATACACTCAACGCCTTAAGCCCAGTCGTGCTGTGACGCGTGCACCTACGACTCTTGTGGTTGAAGTCATCTACGGAAGGCAGACTTCCTAGCAGACGGCATCTTACTTGGCTGCGCTGGGACACCGCGACCAATACGAACTCGCCACGAGCCTCTGACTGGCAGATGTGGGCGAGGCTCTCCTCTCCAGATGACGCACCGGTGGCTACTCTATACTCTATGGCACGCGTTATAAGTACGGGCCCTCTACATGATGGCATCTGAAGCTAATTCTCCGCGGGTTTATCTTAGTATGCAACGGCAACGTGTCGTAGAAGCCGTACGGCTCAGCCCGTACTGTCCGGGCCCTATCCGCTGACATACACCTGGGCTGCAGAGTTGTCATATCCCGACGATTTGCTACACGCACCACCGTATGATCAGCCAGCTGACCCACATCCCCCAGCTCCTCGGGCGCGAATACTACCAAACACCCTTCGGCGAGAAATACCTCGTCCTCCTCCCGCTGCTCGTCCACCCGCTCTCCAGCCTCGCAAAGCGCCTCCTGGCACCCCGGCCCGCGCGCCGCGCCACGAGCGTGCTCAGCCTGGCGGGGTACGCCGCCACGCTCCTGCTTGCCGTGCACTTCCTCACGCACCGCGTGCACCCCGCGGACGCCGCGCCGCCTGTGCTCGCACTCTCGCCCGCCGAGCTCGACTACGAGTACGTCAAGTACGCGCTGCAGGCGTGGCCGTGGCGCGCGTGGTTCGGCTACGTCGCGCTCACGGCTGCGGTCGCGGGCCATGCGGCGGAGGGCGCGAAGGTCGTGTGGAATACGTGGCTGAGGGACATGCTTGGAGGGTGGAGGGGCGGCCCAGGGAGGGTGGCGGGCGTGGTGGCGGCGGTGGTCGTACCCGTGGTGTCGGGCTTGTGGGTAATCTCCTCGGAGCCCCTCATGGTGTTTGGCTCGACTGCTGTCAGATTCCATGCGGCGTTTACCAAGTCTTTGGTTTACCGATTATGAACGAGATTGTTCATGTGCAGAGCTTGATATGGATGTGCCAGTTCGAGAGTCGCGGAACGAACTCTCAGCAGACGGATGTCTGACTCATGCATCTCGATCAATGTCCTTTGTCGTCAAATATTGACCATCAAGAGGGCTCAGGTGGACATGAACTCTACCGACTAACAACTAGACGCGTCGTCCCATAATCATGACGCCCTTGGAGTATCTGGCCTCCTGCCTTCGTGCCAATTTGATACCCACACCATCAAGCTGACCGACTTCAATGTTCACTACGGGCAGAGTCAGTGTCTCATCAAGCATCCCCACTGCAAGGATCAATTAATGAAGCACATACCACAGGTTGAACCATCGCCCGAACCGCTGTTTGTCGACCGTCTTCACGTTCTGCGTGCGTTCCCCCATGAGTTCCTCGCGGTACCTCTTCGCCTGCTTCTCCGTCATCGGATCCAGCCTATCCCATATCATCATGTGCAAGTCCGTCGGTAGCTTCCACCACAGATCTGTGCTCTCCACCGCGCGCCGGATCCAGGCCTCCTGTTGCGGACCGACGGTCGTCGCGGACGGGATGGTGACGTTCGGGTCGACGAGGAAGAAGACGAGAATCTTGCGGTGGCCCGGTCGCGTCGGGTTTGCGAGGCAAAATGGCGAGACGAGGTGCTGGTAGAGATTCGGGAAGGCGATGCACCGGTCTTGCTTTGTGGTGACTTGACCGACGTTCTGCACGCAGGTTTCGTTGCTTTCAATGCCGTGCTAGTGAGGTAGTGAAGGGAATGGGGTAGGAGAGGACGTACGCGGCGATGTCGTAGAGACGGCGCATGCAGTAGGTGTCGCCTTGACCATGATACCGCGGTTCGTTGACGGCGTTGCGGAAGGACAGAGTCGACTCTGTGATGTTTTCCGTGTCGTAGTACTGGTGCGTCGTCGGTGAGTCGTGATACTGAATTGAAGACGCGGCACTCACATATATGAACGTGGACACTATCGCCTCGTTGTCCATCCCTGCAGCGCACAAGCTTCAGCTCGACGAACGCCAAACAGTAGCGCTCGCTCGACTGACCCTCTACGTGCCATGTCCCCCCTCCATACTCAGGCTTCTCCGGGGTCAAAACGATGTTCGCCAGCTTCACGATCACCTGCAACGTCTTGCCTCGTAGATCCACCGTCTTCCTCACATCGCCCAGACCCCCTTCATAGCGCGGCTTGCTGTCCGGCCACACCTGTGTGCCGACTTTGTCGAGCCACGCGTACAGAAATGTATTGAGATACCCGACGGGCCTGAAATCCGGGTACGGTGGCTCCTGCCAGTGCTCGTCCTCGCGGGCCCGGTTGGCCAACCATTTCGCGTGCGCGTCCTCCATAAATTGCGCCCGCTCCGTCTGATAGCGCCGCCGGTTCTCCGCCCTGAGCCGGACATGCTCAGCGTAGAAGCGGTCGTTCGTCTCTGGATCCGGTTCTGGCCGGTTCTGGCGGAGTAAAGCTCGCATTGCGTCAAGAAAGAATGAGGCGGACGCGTACCTCCACGCCGCCTGGCCAGATACACTGCGGGAACTTGTGACCCTTGAGGTCTAGCCGCGTGGGTACTGCAACAGGGACGGGTCAGCTTCCAAGCGCCCTCGGCCCGGCCGGTTTGACGCTGGAGGCACGCGAGATTATTGATTCTGACTCCTGACACCCCGACGCGGCCGTTTTTAGAGAAATATGTTTGTGTTCTCTGACACTGAATGATACCCAATCAAACAAGGACTCGTCCTCGCACGGTTCTCGCAGGTGAGTTGCGTCGGGACATGCTATGCAACTCCTTCGTACACCAGGCCTTCTAGCACACAACCTGCACCCGACGCGCTGTTGCATGCCCATCACCACATGACAGCGCCGCTCGTGACGGTTGAAACATTGACTGAACACATCGCCCACGGTGAGCACTTCCACCGCCACTTCTCACTCGGGCGCACTCGTCCCATCGCCCCGATCGGCCAACGATCGCCCCTGCGCAAGAGCCCGCCCCCGCCCCCAGCCTCGACAACTACAAGCCAAAAAAAAGTGGGTCGAGGCCGTCCGCGCTGGGGGCATCACCGTCCCGATCGTGCCTGGCATTGCGCCGATCCAGACGTGGAACGGGTTCATCAAGAGCACGAGCCTGTCGCAGCTGCTGCCTGCCGTGGAGAAGGTAAAGCTCGCACTGTCTTTGTCGTTACGCATAGGGCTCATACACGTATTCCGTAGTTTCTTACTTCGGACAGGCGTAACGAGACCATCCGACCAATCTTCTGGGCGAACCGCACGAAGTCCTACTTATCACGCACCGAGAACTGGGACGAGTACCCGAACGGTCGATTTGGCGACTCTCGCAGTCCAGCGTACGGTGGGCTCGACCGCTACAGTATCTGGATCAAGCAGTCGGTGCGTCGCGCTAAGCCCTAACTCGCTCTCTGAGTGCGACTGACACAACCTTCTATGCACAGAAAGAAGACGCGATCAAGCTCTGTGACCACCCGACGCCTGTCTGGGCAACCTCTTCCGCAAGTTCTGTGTGGGCCAGTGGTCAGACCAGGTGCCGTCGTCCGAGACAAGCGTGGTCGGGCCCGTCGAATGGGTACATGTACCAGAAGGTATGTTGCCCCGTGGATTTAGATGTGCACCCATTTACGGTTGTTGACAAGGATTGTCACAGGTGTAACTGGAGTTCTTCGTGTCGCCGGAGCTGCTGGACGCGCTCCTGCCACACATCGAGTGCGCGTGAACATCACGTACTATGTCATCAACAAGCGTGGCGACCTGCGGACGAACACGCACTCCGAAATCGGAGGTCACCTGTGTCCGCGACAGCGTCCACCTCAACTACCAGCACCATCTGCAGCCCCGCAGGTGCTTGCTGACGGTGACGCAGCTCGCCTGACACCGCGTCCAAACGCGACCTTCCAGGGCCGGAGCATGAGCGAAGGCAGCTCATCGCCTACCCTCTGAGAATCCGGAGCGCGAGCGGACATGCTGAAGCGGAATGGGCAGACGAGCCGGAAGGAGAGGGAGCGGACATCGGTAGCCAATATTGTACCTAGAGTAGCTCGTGCAATACCACATTCAATCGCATTTATTTTAGGCTAGACGACCGTTTCTAGTACTCTTGAGGATGCATATTCAATTCAGTACGCGTGGATTGATAAATTCATAAACAGCTGTGAACACGGGTGTAGATGTGCCCACTGCCGCCGGATGCACTCGGGTATTGTCGAGCCTGCAATATTCTGCGAGGCGTTACTTTGATATGGGGTATGGTCGTTGTTCGAGCAAGACTAGAGGCCAATGTGGCCGCCACAAGGCTGTGGCGCTCACGAGCGCTTGTGTCGTGGAGCAGGTTTTGGCGCAAGTGAAGATCAGGGTGAAGTCAGTAAGGTGTGGGACAAGTACTATGAGGCTCTACACGTCTAATGAAGCCCATATAACCGAAAAAATCCTGACTTGGAGTCGATGTATGGCCATTTCGTGAGCAAGACTTGCTGTGGCTGCGAGACGCTCGCAAGCGCTTGCAGAGCGGAGTGGGGTTTGCTGTGAGTAAAGGTGAGGGGAAAGTTAGTAAGATGTGGCACATTTAATATTAGACTCTGAATGAATATATGAGTCTATCCAGCCAATAAAATACTGACTCGGAGCTGGTGTATAGCCAATTCTTCAGCAAGAGTTCAAGCTGTGGCTGCGAGACGCTCGCGAGCGCTTGCGGGGCTGGCAGAGTTCACTGCAAGTAAAGGTGAGGGGGAAGTCAATAAGATATGGGACATGTAGTATGAGAATCTGAATGTATAACTAAGTCCATCCAGCTGAAGAAATCCTGACTTGGGGCTAGTGTACAGCCAATTCCTCAACAAGAGTTGCTGTGGCTGACGCTCGCGAGCGCTTGCGGGGCAGCCTGGCGGGGTTCGCTGCGAGTAAAGGTGAGGGGGAAGTCAGTAAGATATGGGACATGTAGTATGAGGGTCTGAATGTATAACTGAGTCCATCCAGCTGAAAAGATCTTGACTTGGAGCCCGGCATATGGCCAATTCCTGAGCAATAGTTGCTGTGGCTGCAAGTAAAGGCGAGGGTAAGGTGTGGAACATCTGGTATATTGCTCCTCATGTCCAGAACAGTACTGTCAGATATAGACATCTTAACCAGCCGGTGACATAGGGCCATTACTTCAATACTAGGACTTGCCTCAAGGCTATCGAACGGCTCAGCCGCACTGATTGATCTCACATTGCCTTTTTGGGTGCGGCCACAGCGCACGTGCTGTCCAGCCAAACTTGTACGTGCCCTTGCCAACTGCTCTTCCTGTCCAACTAGCTGCCTATACTAAAGCTGCCTATTCTCAAATATCTAGTATCTATGACTAGTATCCTCTAATCTACACTCTCTGATTCGGCAAAACATCAATGGCTCTCTATTCGTCGCAACAGGCTACCCGCTGCCAACGCCAAAATTGCCCCAATAAAAATGTCCAGAATCAAGGCCAGCTTCGTTTGTTGCGCTCGGCCTACCAGGGCATGGGAGCGAAGATGCTGTGCCAAACGTGCTATGATTATTATGTGCGCAAGGGCGCGCGGGAGGGCATTCGTACGTCATAGTTTGCCTACAGTACCGTCTCACTACCTGTCTAATATCAGTCTGTATCCAAAAGCGGTTGATGGCTTTCAGAGCGTCCCAAGCGTCCCGAGCGATGCTGGAAACGGTGCCTCTCGTTTTCATATTTCAAAGGATATTGCTGCTGCGCAGCGCGGAGGTATGTGTCTTGTTGTTCATGAACTCGTGACGCTCAATGGTCTGTGTCACAGAGGCTGCCCATGTTGTTGCCATTGGCCAAGGAGGGCGTAGCTCCAATGCTATGCTCCCTCCACCCGTTCCGGCTGGACGGGCCGGCCAGTTCAAGCCGGCTGTCCATGTCCCTGGCGGAGAGGTCTTCAACATCATGCTGCGTGACGCCGTTGCTATTAGCCGGGAAAGGAAGGGTACGAAACTCGGTTATCAATCTGTTCACCAATACTATCACCGCATCCGCGAGATGCTTCAACGCAACGCGCGAGACAGCAAGCTGGTCGGGCCGTCGGATGTGGTCGTGGTGAAGGCATCTATGGTGACGCTCGAGGAAGGCAAAAAAAGGCCGATACAAGTTGGGGTATGTCGCTTCGTCCATAATATTCTATGTTGCATATGCTGATCGCTGTTCAATGACACTAGACTGTCCAGGAGTCTATTGGCGACGTCCCTGTGCATATTGGTGCCAGGGCTCTCAAGGATCTGGTTTTCACAACGCTTTACAGCGTGTATGGAGAGTGGTCCCATGAAGCGTTGCTCACCTACGATGAATGCACACTTCGCAACAAGGACCGTGTCCCGATCCTTCCGCTCGGTGAAGGCGAAGATGACCGTGATGCACTTCCCCTAGCTGCCTCATTGGCACAGAAGGACAATGCCCGAATGGCAAAACCAAGAGTGGCGAAGGTCAACAACCTGAAGCCCATCGAGGTTGTTTTGGAAATCCCGTGGGGCACGTACACCAAAGCTCGGTCACATAAGCGTCATCGGGAGGCAGGTACAGTCAGTACATTCAATTTTCTGAGCTTGGCAGTATTTGAGTCAGCATTCACATGTGTCCGTATCTAGGAGCCCGAGAACGACGACATCCCAGACGATGCTGGTTCCATGTCGATGGTACGTACATCAAAGATCGAGGTATGTAGACGTTATGTACCGTTGCTGTTGTATTGCTAACATGTAGCCTAGCATCTTATGCCACGTCACTGGCGTAGTAGTGATGCTGCACTGGACTCGGCCAATGTCCACAACGAAGAAGCCGGTGTATCATATGCCACGACAGCGCCGGTCAGCAAGTCACCGATCATGCAAGAGAACAGTGATCGTAGCTACTATGATCGTCCAAGTCACCTCGCCGAGCGCAGTGTGGCACGATCACTGGTTAGTAGCTCATCGGGAAAGAAAAGGGGGAAAGAGGTAGCTGATGACACGGGCAGCTCAGAGGTGCGTACATCTCATTATGGATATGATTTGCATAGCTGGAATCATTCACGCTCCTATTTGTTCTCAGATATCATGGAAACGCAACAAGATGGACTTACATTCACCTCCATCTGCCCTTTCTGCTGATGCAATAGAGCGTGCTCTTCGTGGCCAACAAGGGCCATCGCGACCAGCTGCAATGGCATTGTGTACGCCTACATTTCATTCATCTGTGCAGACTGGACTTGCGTGATAACAGAGAGACGTTCTATGTGCAGTGTATTCTGTGAACATCGCTGTTTCTTTCCGCGTGTATCCAAACAAGACGTTTGCAGCTCTGGTTCGGGAGGGTGCGTGTTGTACTACGGCCTTTTCAGGGTGTTTTGCTGACACATAATTCCAGCCGGTGACTCCTCCTCCTGGAATTCACAACAACCGCCGATTGCTGGCACCGTATTCTATAGCCCAGCAAGTGCACCACAGCTAGGGGCGTTCAAAGCAGCATTTTTCGGTCAGACCAGCCCAGCGCTGCCAGATTTCCCATCATCAGGCAGCGTCGTCCTCAAGCAGATTTATATCAGACGGGATGACACGGAGCTTCGTGCCAGTGCTGCGAAGGTGCGCATTGACTTTGCGCCAAGTGGCCAACAAATCGTGGAGCTAGGACGGGAGATCTTATGTCTGCAGTGGGCATCTGCGCTTATGAACATTGTCTACGAGTTTCTCGCAGGCTCTGCTAGGCAGCCGCCGTTTCCCATTCCGGTGATGCGTTTTGTTCGCGTGGCCTTAGCGATTGAGGACAAGGAATCAATAGAGCGCAAAGTGTTCATGGTGGAAGAACGCATTGATCCACGGGAACACGGGGTGTGGCGTAAGTACATCAATAATAACTCCCCGACGCCCTTGCTGTCGACCTCGTGTACGCCGGCACTGCAGCACATCGCAGACTTCCTCGTCTTCTGTCAGCATGTTCAGTATATCAAGACTAGTGGTCTAGCATTTGTCTCCGATTTCCAAGGTATGAATAACGCCTCAGTTTAGAATTATTGAGAAATTCACACAGATATGTCTGCGCAGGTGGTACTACGTTGCTGTCAGATCCACAGATTATCACAGCACCGTGCGTCCATTTGCATCTTCTCTCTTCTCTACTACCTAACTCTATGCCTACAGGCAAGTCGGGGACGTGTTTGCAGGTGGAAACATCACGTCTGCATACACCAACTTCGTCGCAGAGCATGACTGCTCGAAGTTCTGCAAGTTCTTTTCCTTGGAGGAAGTTGGTATCCAGAGCACGCGACGTTCAAATGGTCTGGATACGCAAGCATCTTCGCGGGCGACTAATAGAAAGCCAGCTTCATTGGTAGGTGGTGTTCGGACACACCGGGAGGTGAGTGTCATGCTGAATCTGAGCGTGTGTGGACATAGTTCTGATTGATGCCTAGGCATTGCAGACCGCTGTTCCGTCTATCCAAGGCGTAGGGAATGGAGAACCAGAGCCGCTGTTTCAACCCACTCGAGTTGCTACTGGGTTACGCACAGAGCAGACCTCAGCCTCAGGGTCCAACGCCGTTCCAGAGCACGGCATTCTTCCTGGCGGTGCAATAGTGCATGAGGACGGAAGGGAATGATGGGCCCAACGCTGTTGCTATGTAATGTGATTATTTACATACAGACGTGCAGCTCGCACATTGATGTTTAGACAAGAACAAACAGTTGAAATTGGGGTGGTCTAGCAAACAGTACATGATGAGAACACCTCAGAAAAACCCAGCATCTTCTCCATCGTCTTCTTCATCTGTGAACCACCCAACAGCACTACCCTGAGCGTCAGGGTTCAAGTTCTCCGCGTCAGCATTCTCTGGCCCACTGAAGTGTTGGCCATTATCTTGAAGGTTCAGCAAGCCTGGCATGAGCATGATGGGCTCAGCATTATGCGGCTGACGGCTGTCTAACACGCTGGACAGAAGGAGGGCTTGTTCCTCAGGGTTCTGACGCTCTGGTGCTCGCATATACATCAGGAAAAATACCTCTGGTGAATTAGCAAGAACAACATGTTATTCCACAGCATTGCCAGTAAAAACGACTATTCTTCCTGTTCTCGTAAAACCAAACATTCCCTGGTCCCAGTGGGTCTATTATAGGAATACTCAATAATACCTCGAATCGTGAAGCATTTGTTCGACATACCTAATAATGAGCAACATGTTCTACAGTATACTCTGAACATTCACAACAATCTAGCAGTATATTCCCATTCACACAGAATACTGAAGAGAACATTACGTGTAATTGCATTGCATTCAAACAGTATTATTAATGAGTGTCACACTACACACATCCAGTATCCAAGATTACGAGTAGGTAGTAGGCAGAGAGGCCCATCACAACGAGACGAGTGAACAATAACAACCAATAGCAACATGACCGAGTACGTTGTCCTCAACAATGCTACAGAAACTACCCATACCAGCCAGAGCGGGGAGACAGGCGGTCTGTAGGACAAGGCAGAGAAATGCTAGCCGTCAACACGCCTCCTTTGCATGAGACCAGAAACACACTCACCCTGCGCAGATACAAGTCTTGACAACATTCTGGTTGTTCTGCAAACTCGCCACCGCGGTACTCAGCTGGCGAGTGAGTGTCATGGGCGTGCTCACGCTCGTGCATGGAAACAGACAACTTCAGGTTCGAGACTGTTTGCGAGGAGACCGGGAAAGACTCACCAAGCTGCTTAACCATGACACAACCTAAGTGAACACCAGTTGCGCATTGCGTTCCCGCGCGCTCAGCAAGTAAGAGAAATGGTGTTGCACAAACAGCGCGCGAGTAATCACGCCGAGCCGGCCCCTGCGACGGCCGTGAGCAGAGTACAGATGGACATGCACTTGTCCGCCTACCTGATGAGTCCGAACACGGGTTCGAGGCAGAGACGACGACGGCGTTCTGCACTGTCAAGCGGGTCACGTCGACCTCCTTCACGAGCAGCTCTGCGACGCGTATTTGTCAATTGGATCTGCAGAGGAAGTGAGAATGAGTAGAACGAGACATTATGCGAGACTTATACAAGACGCACTCGTCCTACGCTAGTGTCCCGATGAGCCGATCCCCCTATAGCGCTGGTGGCTTGTCGCCTCACAGCAGGCCGACGTCGGGATACTCTGTGTCCTCCATGTCGTCGATGCCAGACGCGTATACAGAATCGCCTCAGCATTACGGTCACCACGATTACTCACGACCCAGTTCCAGCCATCATCCCTCGTCTGCGCGGCCGCTGACGCCTTCGTCCTCACGGCCGCCATCTTCAAAATCCTATGACGCGAGCTTGCTGAGCATTCGGAGGGCGCGGAGGTACAGCCAGGCGATGCAGCCGTATCCGTCCCCATACGGCGAGCATCCGCCGTTGTCGGCAGGTTCTGAGCGACCTTCGAGCTCGCCACAGCCGGATATCAGAGGCTGCGCGCTGGCCGCCGTTTGATCATGATGGGGCTCGGACTGCAGACTGCCAGGAGACGGCTGGGTGTGAGCCAGTCAAGTGTCGTGGGCGAGACAAACAGCGAGCGGGCAGGAGAAGGCAGACAGCGGAGAGTGGCCGTAGCAGAGGGCGTGGAGGTAGGACTTGGAGGTGGGAGCGCCTGACGTGGCAGTGGCATCACGTGCTCTCCTCCGGTCGAGACCCGGGCGTTAACGACTTGGCGACTGAGAGCTACTGTCGTCTCGTCATCAACCGATTCAACGTCTCCCTGAGCGGTGCTCACGAAAGGTGAGTAGTACTTGTCTCTCCGCGAGCTCGTTGACGAAGAGATATTGGTAGGACTGGTGCCTATGTGCACCGAAGGTTTCGTCATGGTCGTGCACCACGCCCCTCGCCCCGCGCAGGCGCACACATACCCACCCACCCTCTCCTCTCGACCGCCCACCTGCGCGATCGCACACCCGGCGCCCTCGCTTGCACGCACGCGGCATGCCTGCCCGCCGCCCGGTCGCGCCTGCCCGCCGCCTGGTCGCGCCTCACAGGCGAGCAGAGTCGCACCCAAGCGACCGAGCTGCCCGCGCAGGCGACACGCACGGCAACCACAAACGGGCGCGGCAAATGCCCAGGGCGCAAGCACGGCCAGCGACCGGACACCACGCACACAAGGTCGCGAGCGAGCGAATGCCAGCAGAGACGGGTGGGGGCGAGGCCGAGAGCGCGTAGGCAGGTGAGTAGACCGATGAGCAGACAGGAGGGCAGGCAGATGGACAGACCGGGAGGCAGACCAGCAGGTGAGTGGACCGGCGGGAAACCGGGCAACCTGCCCGCACAGGCGACGCACACGACGACCAGCAGCGGGCAGGGCAAATGCCCCACACACAACAATGGCCGACGAGCGGTTGCTACGCGCGCAGTACAGGTTGCACGTACCCGGGATACGCACGGCGACCGGCAGCGGGCAGGGCCTACCCGCCCACTCATCTGTCTACCCACTTGCTCCTCGCGCTTGCGATTTCCCGCACGCATGCCCGCACGCCTACGCCCTGCTTGCCCGCGCGATTGTGCGCGTCCTCGCACGCTCACCCGCCGTCCGCCGCTCTCCTCGCCCGCTTGAGCCGTCGCCAATCCCGCACCCGCGCCAACCTGCGAGACCCGCGGATGACCCGTACCCGCCGGGCAGGTACCACCCTCGCGGGTACGGGTACGGGTAAGCCTCCGGTACGAGCAAGAACGTCCTCGATGAGTGTACTATATTCTACCTACATCACTAGTACCAAAGCTTGTATAGCTTTGATCTTGTATTAGTACCACCATGTTCGTTCGTCACTGGAATACAATGCTTATTTCTGTTCTGTATGTGAACCTGGCACCTGACGCAGTGAATGATGTCAATGACGCGAACATTACTTGGTATACAGAAACGGTTCATATCATACATAAGAATTCGCACTAGTATTGAGAATGTTACGAATGATTTTTGCATTGTATAGTAATCACAAGTATTTGCAGTAATGCTGTGAATGTTGCGGCGTTGATGCTAATTCCGAGGGGGATATTTTCCTGATGTACTCGAGTACCTGGAGGTAAATAGCCCAGAACGTCTCCATGGAGATTGCAGGCCGACCCAAGGCTTCAATGGCTTCCTCCAGCTTGCCTGCGATGTACGGTGGAACGCACTCGAAAACTGGATGATCAGGAGGTGCCCACAGTTCCTCGACCTCATCTACGAGGTCTGCTGGTACAGGAATCTGAGTAGCTCATTTGTGAGCTGAACTGCGAAGGTTAAGACCGAAGTTGTCCCAACCTTGAAGTCAACCACGTTGAATGCAGCCGGGTTCTGGGCTATCATTGTTGGTATTCCCTGCGGGAGAACCTTGTGTTTGCTTGCACGTCTCGGCGTCGAGTTGAAGTGTAGTGCCCACGCATCAAGCTCTGCTTGAAGCCAAGGGATTGCCAGCCAGCGAAATACGAGGCTAAACAGGATGAATCAACAGCAGTGGAGGATCGGTAACGCATGCATACTCACGTCTCAAGCTCATTTGCAGGATTATACCACCCGTTATCAATACCGTACTGAAGTTTGGCCTCAAAGCCAGGTTTCCATGAGCGATTGAGGACCGACCACATGATCTCTGGCTTGATGTTCATGTGGCCGCGCATCCAACGGTGTTGTAAGGTGTCTGCAAGTGTAGGATCAAGAGTATGGCGCATGTACGTCTGGGCATTTGCGATGCCAAAGTTCTCGCTGCCTGGATCGCTCTGAGTGACAAGGGGCACAGCTATGATGGATACACTGTCAGAGATGGCTCCGTGAAGTGTACATTCACTTACCGCCAATGCTACGCACAGCTTCCAGATAGTAGCTTGTGATGAGACGAGGATTTGAATTATTCCACCATATTTTCAGCCACTTGATCTCGCCGGCGACCGGCTCAATGCAAAGGTGGAGAAAAAGACCAAAGCGTGCCCATTTATCATGCTGGTCAAACGCCCAAACATCATTCACTCCAGCAGCCCAGAACTGATGGCGTTTAAACTTGCGATGCTTGCGTGCTTGGACGGCATTAGGCTCAAATTCCTTGAGCCACTTGCCCACCATTGACCTAACATGCGAATATGTGAGTGCATCTAGGCCCATCACTAGCAAGACGTACTCTGAAACTCGTATGTTGTACGTGATGCGCAGGGTGCTCGTCATCTGTCGGGCTCCATAGGTAGGGTACCGGGCTTTGAGAGCACGGCAGTACGGGTCTATTGATACAGCAGTATGGTTCTGCTGGCGAGTTTTGGGCAAGTTCCACTGGGCTCGTAGACGTTTGACCGTTGTATTGCTGATAATTGATCAGATATAGAGTTAGTTCGCAAGGTGGACGTTGGCCGTAAGCCTCATGAACGCACCTAAGGCCGTACACCTCAGTGTTGAAGTGCTGCTGGCAGCTCTCGGCGATCTTACTGTCCGACAGACCTAGAGTGTAGTAGTAGGTCACATGCCCACGTATGATATCCGCTGGAGCTGTGAAGCACCAAACGGTGAAGCTTAGACGGTAGCCATGCAACGGTGACAGAATAAATGAGTACACACGGCATGGCTTGTGTTGATTACGACGCTTCACTGGAGTCACTTCCTCCACAATCGGTCCGTCTTGTCTATTCAACGCATCTGAACCGTCGTGTTGAGTTTCAGCACCGATGTCTTCAAAATCCTCTTGCATTGCTGCACAGGGCTGGAATAAACGCAGCGTCTGCAAATGGCATCACCTCAACTCTAGAACTGATCATATTGATGCCAAAAAACTTACTTGCCGGTGTTATAATGGTCGGGTGAAGATGCGAAAGGGAACGCGTTGTTCACTCGATCAAATTGAGTACTAGCAGACTCAGCCCAGTGCCGGTGAGTCTGTGTGCGCCGCTCTATAAGCGCCCATCTCAACGTACCTCCCACACTCCAGGGCAGCCCAATATGCCTTGAGACCCACGCTGGACACCGAGAACTTGCTGTTGACGCGGCAAGGGATGGAGATGGTCGTCGTTGTGTCTGACCAAGATGAACGTGCCCAACGACTGGAACTGTCCATTGAGCCCCTAACCCCGTGCGCCCTAACCCCGGCAGTTGTCCACTCTCTGCACGCGCCACCGACCTGCTCTGCACTTGACCTCTGCACTCAATGACCCTCGCCTACGCAGCCTCAAAACGGATCCGCGGCGCCGCATGCCAGATGACAACGCGACAGAAGAGTACTCAGGCTACTCTCAGCGGCGCGCGCCGTGTCTCACTCAGACTCGGAGCGCGCTCTCTCGCCAACATCTTGCTTGACCTGTGCATTCTCCGCGCTTCAAGTTGTTCATCCGCCTACGACTCTCTACGACCCATCATCATCACCAGCAACGGCCCGTCATCAGCACCAGCGACGACGCCCGCCAGTCACACTCAAACGCGCCGAGTGTGCATCACCCGCCGTCGCCCCGCAGCGAGCAAACCATATCGCACGTCTTCGTGCCATCACCACCGGCTCTTCCTTGTATGCCAGTGTGCCGCACGCTATTGACTCTGATGCTGCCGACCGAGCTCTTTGCGCGCGCGAGCCGTCCGTCTCGCGAATGCCGTTGTCAAGCCCAGTAACCGTCTCGTCATCGTCTTGTCACCTCACTCATCTTTCCCCTTAAACGCTTGCTTCTTCACGACAGATTTCACCCATCCCCCACGGCACCGCTCGACACCGCGTGCGAAACCAAGCTGGCCAGCTCCGCTATTTCCCGGAACGACATTCGCATGCAAGGAGCCGGACACAACACACACTCTGGGCCCGCTCGGAGGACAGATGTTGGTGCGTTTCCTGATTGGATAGCCGTTCTTACTCACTCACTGACCGGGCGTACTGTGTTGCAGGCTCTTCGTCGGCGCGTGTGCCTCGCACCAACATACATGTAGCCCATGAGCTCGCGGAAGTGCTCAGGGCTAAGGAGGCTAAGAGGGACGATGGGAATGGTGATTTGCGCAGGGGTCTCCGGCGACGGCGTGAGAGAGCAGGGTGGAGATGAAGACGAGAGTGACGGGAGGTGAGCGTACTAGTTGATGTCCCCACACGCACTCGTGGGCGACGAGCGTAGCGATGATGTTGCACTCGCCCTCAGCAATGTCCTTCTTGCAGACGGCGAGCATGTGCGAGGGGAGGTCGGCGGAGCCGTCGCTGACGTCGACGGTGATGTTGTCGGGGATGGAAACAGGAAGAGGAGGAGGGACTTTGACGTGCTCGAGGACGGCAAGCAAGAAAGAAGACATAAATAGTAAGTAACCAGAGGCCATCACAGAAGTGTTAAACGCACCTCTGCCCGTTCGCAGCTACCTCGTCCTCGTCCTCGTTCAATGGAACATGAAGAGTGCCTTCTCGATCGGCACGCGCTTGGGGTGGGCGAGCCGCCTCGGGATCGCGATGGAGATCTTGGGCTCGACGTCGTGCTCCGGCGCCGTCCTCACACTGTCCGTCACCGTCGACCCCATCGCCGGGCAGCCTTGTGCCTCCGTCTGCCAATGACACCGCTGGCCCATTAGGAGAAGCCGCGCGAACGTTCAACGCACCGTCTGTCTCCTCAAAGTGAACGACCTGCTCCAGGACGTACACGTACACGTCCGTGCAGGTCGCCGCTGGAAGGGTCGCCTTGCGAGGACTGGCTGTGAAGGCGGGTTTGGGAAGGCGGGTTTGGATCGATGGGGAATGTGCTTGCCGAGCAATTGAAGGGTGTGGAGGTACAACTAGGCGATGCAGCCGTATCCGTCCCCACACAGGTGGACTTCGCACAATATTCAATGTATGTACTATGCTACTGAACTACACCCCATTGCTATCTTGGCATCTGCATGAAGGCGGCGTCGCTTCACCCCGTTCTCCCCAGGAGGAACAATCTCTTGGAGTGCCTGATCCTCGGGTGCACCCTCAGACTTGCGCTTTGTACCAAGCTTTGGCTGCCAACCACCCGGCCCGCTTGTACGCTTGGACACGACCTTGCGTACCCCAGGTTTGTGTCGACCGTCCTTCTTCTTCTGCTCACTTGCAAGCTGTCGTTGCCGGAAGTGTTCTGGAAGAACGGGGCTATTCTGGCATACAACTAACCTACAGATATAACGTCAATGAGGGAGGATGGCTCCGAGTAAATGGGCCTCCGACATACATGCAATTCTTCTTTCCTTTAGGACCTCCACGAGTAATGCGACGACCAAGTCCGCAATATTCCAATGGGCCCACAGCGACGTCGCGTCCCTTGACTACATTGATGAATGTATTCGCGTCGCGTTCAGCATTGGGTGCCAAGTCGAAGGTTCGGTCACAAGTGACAGCCCATGACTTGGATGTACCACCCAAAGACCTCCTATGTTGTATGAAATGCGTGAGCTCCATCGTTGCACGCTAAATACAGATTACTGAACGACCACATACCATGACTCAAAGGGTACCAGTGATAGCGGAAACACAGACGTAATGCTCCACAGAGCTTTTTGCGAACTTATGTTGTAACACCTGTACAGCATCGTGTCGATCTTGCACTCGCGGAGCTGCCGAGACGACAAAAAGAGAGAATCTGAATAAACTTCGAGGTCGAGGTGCGTACACGTATCCAGAAGCCCTGAATAGCTTCTCATCAGCTCTGACCGGCAAAAGCAAATGCTATAAGCGTACCAAGTTTCTGATACATAGCAGTGAGTGGGTCAGTCTTCTCCTCCGTATTCCCCAGCCCCAAACGTGTCCAGAATTCACGTCCAAAAACAAGATGACCGAGCGATTCGGTCTCCCTGATCAGCGCGGCCTGAACGTAGGTCGGCTCAAAGACATCGTACAGCTGGATTTCCGGCCCACGGATTCCTGCCACTGGTACATTCTCAAGACTCTCCGCCCCATCAGCAATCTGAGTGTATTCAGCAAGGATAGACTGATATGTAACACGTATCAGTACATGTATATGCATTTACAAACATGCATACCTCGTATGTTACTTGCAACTGCTTCATCCGCGCGGAAACTCTCACATGCTGCTTTCCGTGGACATGCAGGCGGTACGAATACTGGATACGCTGGTCTTCTGTCGGCGCAAGAACATAGCCTATGAAAGCATCCTTCATGAACGCTCTAAAAGATGCATGCAAGTCAGCTGATACGTTGAACATTGTGAAGCACCACACCCACGGTATCTCAGTATGTGCCTCGTGCGTAAATACCCAGAACGCAGCACAAAAACGGGCCAAACGCGACGGGGAAGCGAACAACTCGCCCACTGTGAGGAAGACTGACAAGCCTAGGTGGGAAATATTGTCAGACAATCACACACAACACACTTGGACCGCTCACCAGCTCTGAAAAAGACCTCGACTACCGAATACGTGCCTAGGCCGCCGCAAAGTCCTCCCATATCCTCTCGAAGGTACGTAGTGGCCAGAGCAGTGTGCTCAGCAAACCCACCCTTGTGCACCTGCACTAGACAATCTGCCAACATGTTAAGGAATCCATGGTAGTCGTCATGGATGTCGTGGTGTTGAACCGGCAGTGTCCCTTCCGGACGGACGACCCAATGCGGCTAATAGCGATGTTAGAATGTACATACTAAACACGACAAGCCTCACTAACAGTCCACAGCTGATCAAGAGTGAGAAACGCGACAATGAACTCTCCAAAGTCAAGGCCTATACCAACACGGAACCCTCGGGCCTGGCATCATGGTTGCACCTTGTATGAGTCCCATATACACAGCCAATGAAGTCGCAGGGAACACATACATTATCTACACAGCTAACCGCTGCGATCTCCTGGTCCCATTGTACGCGCGTATAGACTTGCGCCATACAGTGCGTCAGAAGCTGTATCTAAGAAAGTAATTGAGTTGCAGTGACATCGCATGGAGAGCAACGCGCACGATTCTCACCTGGAATGCAAGCTGACCTAAATCAAGAACAAGCGTGCGAGGCGTACGCTGAACATCGCAGAGGCACAGTCCCTCCAGAGACGGACGAGCACGGCCACCAATATGAGGCCATATTGGCTGCTGTGCGGACTTCGAACCGCGTTTGACTTTGGAGTTTGGCCCAAGCTTGTAAACAAAGCCTCGTTTGCCGGGGCAATCCTTCTTCAAACGGTCTTGTTCCTTCTTTGTCGCATCTGCCCATATTGCTTGCAGTTGGAGCGTCGACTCGGAGGTTGTCTCGACAGCGTCGAACCAGCGGCGAACAGTATGGTGACAAGCAAAGACCTCGGTGTATTCGGGCATTCCAGCGAGCAAGGTGACGCAAAGCAACACAGAGAGATGGACTGGGCTATCTAGCGAGTGCACACGACAAGGGTTCGAAACGTCACGTCTTGCAGTAAACGCGAACAAACGCGACGCGACGCGTCGCGCCTCCGGTCGTGTCTCGTCACGTGCACCGCGAGGACCGCAATACAGCAAGAGGTCGGGCGGGATCCTGTGCGAGTGAGCCACGAAAGTCAGAATTTTAGTACATATACAGCAACTAGTAGTATACAAGTACCTATTTCTCGATAGATTAGAGCTTACGAACTTCCGCCTCGACCACAATATGGGGTCGAGCAGGCGATGGTCGCAGGCGCCCAAGGTAAACTCAGGCGCCGAAGTGGCAAAGCGCGCATCGAGAGGCCGCCTCTCATCCGCATCCGTCCTCAGAAACTCAAAGCATCTCACCTCTTGACTCCTAGCCTGCTGGCCTCGCCGCGCCCGCATCAGACCCTCCTGTGCCGCAGCAGTTTCAGTTTCGGAACTGGGTTGAGAAGGGCGGGACGTTCGCGCCTGAGAAGGGTGTGTAGGATCACTCGTTGCGTCAGGAATGCCTCACCGATGTACGTTAGATAGGTCGCTATCACCTCTATGTGTCCTACGCATGCCGTGAGTCGCACTACTCGTATCACCTTACGCATGCTAACCTGTTCTGCTATTATCATGGGCAACGCGCACTCTGATCATGCGCAAACTAAAGGAGCTCGAAGACTTCATCGACGTCAGCGTCATCTGCCCGCATATAGGCGAGCGCGGCTGGCCCTTCGTGAGCGTCGACGTGTTCCCGGGCGCGAACCCCGCTGCGCGGCGCGCAGCACGTCAAGGACCTCTACCTCCGCGCGGCGCCGGACTATGAGGGCCGCTTCACGGTCCCCATCCTCTGGGACAAGCAGCAGAACAAGTCGCCATCGTGCGCTTCGACCCAATCTACGTCGGCCACTTCAAGTGCAACATCCGTACGATCTGTGGCGGCTACCCCGCCATCCATCGCTGGTTCCGCAAGCTACTATGTGCCCCGCCCGTACGCCACGCGGAGACCACCGACAACGTGTCGCCGCTCAGGCTCTCGACACCGTCTTCATTCCATCCGCCGTGTATGGCACCTGCGGAGGAGGAGGCGGGCCGCGGGCGGCTCATGATGCTCTTCCGAGTCATCCCGTGCGCGTTCGCAGCCCTCGCTGGATGGTGGTACGTCCGGAGGCAGACACGAGGGTACGTTCACTATGTGAGGCGCTCCGTGGCTTCTGCTGATCCTAGTATGCAGAGCCATTCGTCTACCTGACAGAGACACAGGCCCAAGATACGTGTCGTCGACACGCTCGCATCAATGCCCTACTTCATCGTGGCAGCATTGGGAGCGACACGTCGGAGACGATGGTAGAAAATTTTGATGCCACGACAAGCATGCGCACGCGCAGTGCGTACCGGTTGGTGCCTATCAACAAGGATGCGCGGATCCTGAGATTCGAGGATGAGGAGTAGGATAGGGGAGGTATATCGGTTAGCTATGTTGTCTCTTGATGTATGTACAGTGTAGTCTACTACCTTGCTTTCGCTGTACATCGACACTCATCTATGTATCATATTTATTTCACCTCAGCGCACCATGTTGTTGGCCATAGCCATTCGAAACCTGGCCTATACATACATAGTAATGTTTAACCTTATCGGGATCGTCTGAGTGGCGGGTGCGTTGTGGACAAGGGTGACATGAGTCCTACATACGGCGGTGGCGCGCCGAGGGGCGGCCGAGGGCGCTTGGAAGCTGACCCGTCCCTGTTGCAGTACGTGGGCAGCTGCGTCTCCCTCGCGAGGTCAGACAGCACCCATTCGAACATCGGCACCGCCTTCTCTAGCACTTTCGGGACGACATCGGTGAGTGCCCTATGATCTTCCGGGTGTATGTTGTTGATATACGGCGACAACAAGCGAACGGCCCCGTCTGCCTCGACGCGGAAGTCCGAGGGTAGCCACTGGAAGCGCTCAGATCTGAACATCGCAGCGATGTCAGACGCGCGAGGCTGGAGGAAGTTCTGAGTGTCGCGAGCGGCAGTGCGCCCGTAGACGACAGGGTACAGCGAAGGATGAACCACATCGAGGACTTTGCTGTCGGACCCTGGGTGCCAATCCTTCTGGGAGTCCGGCATGGACTCGAGCGGTGCGATTGCCGAAACGAGAGCAGCCTTCAGGGAGGCAGGAATGAGCTTGTCGGATTGCCAAATCCGCTCGTATGGACCAGACTGCGAGTAAAGGTGAGCGTAAATCCTATTTCTCTCCATGAGTGTACCGACACACCTCAATGCCAGCTTCTGGGTCTCGAAGGGCAGCGTATGCCTCGAGCTCACCCATGGTATAATTGATCTATTGCGATGTATCCAGTCATCCGGACGCCCCCGAGCTCACCAGTTGCGAAGACGCACCATATTGTCTGTAAGCTGCAAGTTACGAGGCATCTCTCTCTCCTGCTCCTTGATCTCCTCCCGCCACTTGGCCCGAATCTCCTCGTCCCGGAACTTCATCCACCAATTTGGCTTCGCGCGTATGGCCGCGCTCAGAGCGCACATGCGCAGCTCGGCGAGCGTACGCGGTGTATCCTTGTCTGTAGGGTCATCATCCTCGAGGGTGTAGTATCCCCACTCCGGATCCTCGGTGAATGGGTGCTTGTACCGCTTCAAGGGGCTTGGGCCTTGAGTAGGCTCAGAGTAGTCATGGTCAGTCGAAGCCATCTTCAATGCGACTTTCTGAGATATTTGCAAGCCTCTGCATGCACCTGGAGCAAGCCGGATGGAGGTGGGGTGATACGTTCAATGCAGAGCCGGCACACTAGCACCTGGTACTTTGACTTGAACTGAAGGTTAATACCAATTAATACAGCCCGTACGCACACGGCTGAAGACGTAACAGTAGTACTGTACGTACTACGCCAGTATCAGATCGGGGTTTTAACAAGACTCCGAGCTCCAAGACTCGTGAGGTAGAACGCAAGCGTGCATCGCCTGTGTGGACAGTGTGGTACCGCGATGCTGTGAAGGAGATAAGACGACCGCGCTCGGAAGATATGACTTGTGTTGCTCACCCAGTGGCACCACCTTCGTACGCGACGAGATTCTTGGCTTGGGTTACATTCAATTGCGCTAGCGAAGGTCGCTATCTACGACTCGGATCATGTTCTTAGCTTTCATTCTGAGTTGTGCAGAGTTGACTTCGTATGCAGCGCAGCACGTCATCAGACGGACACGTGGTTCGCGCTAGGGGATGCAGGCTGTAAGTAATACACATAGTGTGTGTGTATGTGGTATCCGAAGCCTTCCGAGTCGTGCAGCGAGCAAGTTGGGCTGCAATCAGCTGTGAGCCTCTCGTATCATGCTGTACGATGCAGAGTCAGAGAAATTTGACCAATACGAGCATAATTCTGATTTTGGTGAAGGACTTTACTAACCTATACTGGAGGTCTCGTCCAGCTGGCACGAACACACCTGGAGCAGATCGACGCGCGACGCGCGTGCTGAACCAGGGGGTGTGCACATGATCGTGTCAGTGCCATCTTACGCCACCAGATGTGTTTGGCGCTGTTTACCAAAGGCTTCGTCCCTGGGCCTGAACGTTGAACGTTTGAACGATTGAATTTGAACCAAATTGAACAATTGTTCCTGATCGGGATCGACGTCGACCAATATCCGCTTCCATCATTCCTTGTCAACGCTGCAATACCTTTGGAGTGGCTGCTAACAGCCTGAGGTGGTCTCATGAGGCGGAGCAGAGGGCCACGCATATATGACACACGTCGTTATAATGCCCAGCACATACTATGAGGCGTGCACTCTGCCTCTACGCTGCCTTGACTCTTTTTTTTGCTCCTAGGCTCTCCGCCGCCGCCGCCGCGGCGCAGGGCCGACTCCCCGTCTACACTCTACGAACCATTCTGTCAAGCTCGGCCGCCAAGCCTCTACCTCGGATTAGGAATGAGTGCAATCGAGACACCCATATGAGATACCCGTTGGACCGCTGCTTCTGACTGTCTTCGATGTGAGTTGATGCTTCCATGCACAATTATCGGAGAATGGTGCCACTGCTGACTTTGTCGCACCGACGCAGGCTGTTTTTGAAGTTGTGCTGATCTCTTTGCCTGGGTATATCTTCAAAAGTTGGCTCGAAACGGTATTTAGTCAACTTACTGACGCAGAAGGTCTGTCCTCCTAACAATGAACTCATGGTCGGAGCAGCAGATGTAGGCGTGTCTGATGAGTCTACTGTGGATCCAACCAATGCGGAGCACCCGACTCAGAGTGACGCGCGTTGTAATCCACAGCACTGGGAAGGCAAAGGCATTAGATCCCGCCTGACGTGTATCAGTGCTTGTGGAAGTGGCGGGATTGACTGTGATGATGTGGATGTGCGCTTTCATCAGCCCTCGTTGGCCACGTCTAGGCGGACGATTTGCTACTGTCACGCATGTCTTAAACTTCTACAGCTTTGGTGTAGCCTGAGGGTCGCTGATAACATTTGTCTAGATCTAGCGAATGAATCATGTCAACGTATCATTCTTCACGCCAGCGCTGTTATTTCCCAAGGTTGCCTTCTTCCTATCACCATGTGAGTGTGTCTTGCGACATACCTGCGAGCCTCCCATGCTTACTTCTCAATTCCCAGTGCAGCTTCGCGAGCTATGGATTATACCCATCTTCTTCGTCATGACTACCCTTGTTTCGAAGGCGTGCGTACAATCTTTAGGATGGGCACTGCGAATAGAGACGTATCAGAGGTACGCTCGTTATACATTACATCGCCGCCCATATGCCACACAACTGACGGTTTCGATCTACATTCCCTGCGATGCACATGGCATGCAATTGTCACCCCGCATGACATGGTTCCACAGAGCCATCGCAACCGCAGCAGGGTTCATGAACTCAAACACGCTGACCATCGCCCTCATGTAGAGCCTGGTGATAACCGTGCCAGAGGTGAAGTGGGGCACGGGCGACGACAGCGAGAGATGCTCGGCCGGGCGCTGACATACCTCGTCCTCCATTCGACGCTTGGATTGATGGTAATCTCCGCCGTCCGCCTAGAAGTCCGCGTCGCCGATGCTGAACGGAGCGGTTCTTTCACAGGTCCGCTGGAGCTATGGTGCGCCTGCCATCGAAAGTGGATCCCGAAGTCGCCGGAGGAACCTCGTCTGAGCTTATCCAGAGCCTGTGGAAACTGTCTACCCAGATCCTGAGCAGCCGCCAGAGAGCAACTCGGACGACAACCTGGTGACCACCCCCGACGGCGCATAAGCAGGACGAGCTTCTCACTAGAGCCACAGCTGCAACGCTAACGCGCCCACTCCGTCACCCCACGGCGCAAACGACAACTTCGACGACGAAGCCTGCCGTCCGCCCCTCCGGCGCCCGATCACGGAGCCCACGTCCTCGATATGGCACTGGTCGCGCTGTCGTCGTGGGGGCAATCGTCTTCGCGAACTGTGGACTGTCTTCTGCGAATGTATGACGATGCCGCTTTGGGCGGCGCTAGCGTCCCTCGTGGTCGCGTGTATCCCCCACTCCAGCGGACACTCGCGCATATGGAGAGCATCCGAGGCGCGCTTGACATGGCGGGCAACTGCTTAGACTCGATCCCGCTGACGCTCGTCATATCGGGCGCGTACTTCTACGCATCCCCGACCGTGGCGGTGACAGTGACGCGCGCCTGCCTGACTGCAACCCAACGCGATCCCCGGGGTCAGATTCAAATACTCAACGCGCACTGGCTCTGGTAAGTTATCCGGTCGCCTCGGAGTTTCTTTAGGCGAGCACTGACGCTGTGGGGAGGTGACAGGACGAGAGTGGGAAACGACGGTCGGGGGAGAGCAAGACGGTCTGCATCGCAGTGCTGTCACGAATGATCCTCGCGCCGGCCGTGCTGCTGCCGCTGTTCATCGGGGCGACGAAGGAGAAGTCGCAGCCGGCCTTTCTTCGAAGAGTGAGTGTGGCTCGAGCTTATCGTATTATTAGCCTTCCCCGTTGACCGCTGTCTTCTTGTCTTCTTCATAATCATCGCCCACTTCCGTGACCGGGCCACTACCGGTCTTTGCGCCACGGCCCCGTGTGCTTCTGTATCCGCCGTGCCGTGCCGGTGCGCCCTCCAGCCCGGTTTGTCGTGTGCAACGTCCTCCTGATAACTTCGCCACCGGCGCTCGCAGAGTGCATCGGTGGACGCGCTCTAGCGTCTGCTGAGCCGAACGGTGTTCTGGAGCTACCGCGTACGTCGTGACGCCCCCGAACACGATCGCGTTAGTGGTGGGTTTGTTATTGACGCAGCTCTGATTTGTGCCTGCACGCGCAGCCAACCACACCTGGACCCCTCCGTGACAGCTGTATTGTTCCTCTGTGCGCGAACGACGTGCGTTGTGCCGCCGGTTACTTACTACTGTCTGCTGTTGACATGAGAGATGTGCGTCTGGCGCTGGTGCCTCCTCGGCGAATCCCTGATGCGGCTTCATTGGATCCCTCCGCCGCAGGAGATCCGAGTCTGCATCGGGAGAGCAGGGGTTGTCTGGAACATGTTCTCTGTGGATGCGTAGCGAACGGTGGTCGAACTGTGGCGCGATACATGGGTGTTGTGGTTAGTATACGCAGGCTACTAGTAATACAGATTGTCGTGAAGTAGAGCCGCATCTGTCCATGCGGTCAGTCGCAGCGATGCAGCTGAGCAGAAGGAGCGAATCCGTCCACAGGCTAGAGGATGCCGGGGTGCAAGCGGCGGCAGGGGAACGTGTGCCTTTCGCGGAAGCGCAAAAGCGCCGTAAGCGACACGCGTTCCCTACCAGCCACACGGGAGGCGCCCCAGAGGCCGCCATGGCACGCGGAGTGGGCAATAGCTGGGCAATAGAGTTCAGCAGCGCGATGACCGGGCTAACTCCCTCGCCGGCTGCTGCGAGCGCGGGGGGTTGTGGGCGGCGGGTGGCGGAGACAGAGGCAGCGGAGGCATATCGAGGACGTGTTTGGGATCGGGAGGGCTAAACCGTTTTGGCAATCGCGATGGTGCGGGGGACCGTCCGCGGGGAGCGTGTTTGGGTGCGCGGAAGCTTAATATAGTATGTACTTAGGAGGCTTTAGTCGGGCTTACAAATATATACAAACCCCAACCGACCGAGGCGCACAGCTCTCTCACACCTCCCATCTGGTGTGGCGTCCTCGACGAGTGCTGAACCCATCTTCCTCAGCCCAGCAACACGCGAGCGCGGCCACTAACTCGTCCAGTGCACACCGCTCTCGCCATATCCACCACAAAGCTGTGTCAGCGCTGTGGCACAGGTGCATCATCAGACATCGCGCCCACTTCGTCCATATACGCGACCTCCCCGCGCACTTATCGGTCCCGGCGCGAAGACCTTGACTCTCTAACAACTCATCCCTCTACCACCATGATGGACGAGGGGTCTTTCAATGCCCAACAGAACGGCGGCGGTAAGCAGGCCCAGCGGGCGCGCAGAGTCCTCAACTGCGGGCCCTGCCGCAAGAACAAGCTCAAGTGCGATAGGTACGTTGTCGCGGCTTCTTTTCTCCGCCAAACTCGCTAACCGAGCCATTGACTTGCAGGAAGCGGCCTTGCTCATCCTGCCAGCTGCGAAGTACGCCGTCATCGTCGCTGTGATGCCTCATATTGAAACTGACGACACGTGTCGCCTGATTTGTAGAGAGCGAAACCTCTTGCCGCTACGAAGACGAAGGGTATGGTGGCGGCGGTCAATGGCGTTTCGTTGGGCCTCAGGGAGAAACCATGGAGACTTTTGAAACCGAGCCTGCCAGCGATCCTGAGCCCGAGCCGGTTGACATTCAGGTCGAGCAATCTTGCTTGTTCAGCAACGCAGTGCCTAGTGCACAGTAAGTGCACTCATGCCCTCTTCTGGCCCAGTTGAGCTCAACAACGATCATAGGAACGACGTCGATCTGTTGAACGAAGTCGCACAGGTCCGACAAAAGCTGGAGACCCTGGAGCGCGCGCTGAAACAAGGAAAGGAGGGCGCTTCTCATCCTGCAGTGGCCTCGCTCCGCGCTGCCACCCAGGAGAACCAAATGGACTTTACCAATGCTCCCGTTACCTTTGATGCGCCGTCTGCTCAGGCAGTCCAAAATACGTCTGGACTGTTCTTGGGCCCTACCACCGATGCATTTGCTGTCAATCAGGTTTGTCATATCGTCTCTGGCTTTGGCGTGTTGCTCAAGTTATCTATGTTTCGTAGTTCGTCGGCGGGCGATCCTCGCAAGGCCTTCCGGGCTACATGTCGGCGTATATGCCCGTCCTCGACGTGCGCCACCACGACACAGATCTTGTCGCCCAGTTGCCGGACCACAACACCGTGGAATACCTGATCAACCATTACTTCGAGTATTGCAACTGGATCTACCGCTTCGTTCACGAGCAGACCATCCGCGACGCATGGCGGCGGTTCCGAAATGGTCAGTCCATGACCCGCGTCGAGCTCGCCACTGTTTGTGCCGTTATCGCTATCACTATCCGGTATCTTCCCCTCGATCATTCTCTCTTCTCCCTTCTCCGCGGCGGACCGATCGAATTGGGACACACCTACTTCAAGGTGTCCTGCGACCTTCTCGAGCGTCACCGCGAGATTACCCCGATGCACAGGACGTACACGTTGGATCTTGTCGAGCTCGTCTTGGCGCAGACGCACTACCTCATTTTCTCGGAGAAGCGCCGCGAGGAGGTCTGGATCCTATGCGGAGAGCTGCTGACCATCACCACTGCTATGGGGCTTCACCGGGACCCTCAGAATGTCTTGCCGGTTGAGCTCGCTGAGCGCCGTCGCTGGGCGTGGTGGAACCTTATGCTCGTTGAGCGTTGGCACGCGTTCTCTTTGGGACGCCCTATCCGCATCTCCTCGGAACACTTTGACGTCAAGCTACCCGCGCACAACCCGAACTCTGCTGGCGAAGACAGGCGTTACCTGCCGAACATTGCCCTATTCAAGCTCATGTATGTCTCCGCGGCGACTTCGGACGAGGCGATGGCGAACATCAAGGTCACCCTGCCCATCTTGCAGGAGCGGGACAAGCTGCTCACAGACTGGTTCGACGAGCTTCCGAAGGAGGTCTTCCAGGATGACCGCAGCCTGACGGACAATCTCATCAGCCCAATGCCGGCTGTCCGCCGTCTTGCAGTTCAGAGCACCATCTTGCGCGGGTTGTACAACTATATTCGTTTCACTCTCCATCGCCCGAACATCCTCCTGCCGATGAGCCTCGACATCGCCATCCACTGCGCGTCTGACCTCATCGGTCTGATGGCGCAGGCGCACGACTCGAACACGCCGGGTCACTTCATCTGGGGTCCCTGCCAGACATTCTCGGTCGCAATGTTCTTCTCGCTGCAGATCATCATCAACCCCGCGCAGACGCGTTCGCACCTGTACCAGGGCCAGATCAAGAAGGCTATCACGTTGTTCAAGCCGGACTGCTGCCTGCCGGGCATCGCGGACGGCGCGGTCACCATCCTGGGCACGCTTGCGCCGCTGTTCGAGAGCGACCTGCTCGCGAACCCGACGCCGGAGGTGACGCGCGAGAAGCAGGAGATCTTGCAGCTGGTGAACGGCATGACGTACCCGCACAGAGAGCTCCCCGACTTCGACGCGTTCAACCAGGCCGAGACGTACGAGGGCGCCGAGGCGCCGTTCGCGCTGCGCGGCTGGAACACCACTGCGTCGTCGCCCACGCGCGCGAGCTCGTCTCTGTCGTCTTCTAGCAGCACCCGCGCGACGGTGCTTTCGCAGACTGGGTCGACGTACGAGGCGAATGGATATTCGGAGCCGATGCCGATGTACACTTGGCAGCAGCAACAGCAGCAGCAGCAGCAGCAGCAGGCGTACCCGAGGAACCCGCCGTCCGACTCGGGCCATACGCACTCGTCGCATTCGCCGCACTCGCCGCCCGCGCTGTCGCCTGGGGCCTCCTCCCCGGAGTCGAGCAACCCGTCGAGCCCCGACCTGGCGGCGCACGTCCCGCATTACGCTCTGAGCCCGCAGGCCACCACCCCGCCCGAATCGACTGGGTGGGCCCACCATGAGTACCAAAGTCAAGTGAACATCCACGAGGAGAAGATGTTTGCTCCGAATATGTACTACGACATCCCGAACGCGCCTGTCCCGACGATGCAGTACGGCGGCATGGACCCGAATGCGAACGTCATTCGCGTGCCCAACAACAACATGAACTTGTTCAACTTTTGAAGACGTCGCCTCCTCTGATCCATAATGTCTCGCATTCTCCGTATCTCCATATCATGATTCTCGCTCCTCGTCTCCTCGTATCCCGTTGCTTTCGCTATGTACCGTTGTACTAATATGTCAAGATGGTTGCGTCGGTTGCTCGAGTGGTGCCCAGGGTCGTTCTTGCTGCTCGTAGAGGTGGTCGTGGCTGCAGCTCGGCAACGATGCATTGGTGTGTTGCGATCTCAAATGCATCTGCTATTTTGGTGCTCACAACGCGCCACAGGTGTCTGGTCCTTGGGCAAAAACGTGCGCTATGGCCTCGAGTACTGTATGCTCTGAATGTTGGGTGTGTTCGTATGCTTTGCTCTCTACTAGAGCATGTGCATTGTACTTCATTACAGTTCCGTGGAGGACAATTAATTGATTATTTGCAGCATGGCGCTCGGCCACGTCAGCCGCTTCGTGTCTGCTATTGTCAGCCAACGAGCAGACCCTGCATGTCGCCATCGCCGACCCGTCTGGAACGCCATGGATTCGGGGGCTCATGCACGACCGCACCTGGGAAACGCTGAACGGCTTCTATGCCCGATGTTGCCCCAAGCCGCAGCGAGCTCTGAAATTCTCAGCGCGGAAGCGCAATATATCAGGAGAATCTGACTAGGCCATATGCTTGTTAAGCGCGAAGAATGTGACACTGTCTCAATACTGTCCGCTAGTTCATTTCAAAACTGCCCCTTACGGCCGTGTGCAAGATATCAACAAGTGGGTGGTTCTTCTTGCATACAGTCGCTGGTTCTCATACTGAAAATTTCTTTGCTTTGGCAGTAAGTGTTGAAAGCCGCGTGCATTGACATCCTATGTCGCAGGGCCATGATACACTCCACCGTTTGCGCGTTGCCTGCCAGACATGAAGGCACAACTGTCGGCGAAACATTGCGTTTCATTTGAGATGAGACCATGAACGCAGACTAAATCGCAATATATCAAGGATCCTCGCTCGCATTACTGCAAGGTTTGTCCTCTCAGCCATGGCATGCCTACTGCTCATGAGACTATATCTCGCGTATGTCTCGTATGCCTTGCTCGCCGACGCACAAGATTCCGTCGGGCAGCCGTCCGCCACAGAGATCGTCTGGGTGACCGACGTGGTCACACCGTCTATCCTCGACGCGTCGGCGACAGTCGCGACAGGCTCCGCCGTCCTCGAGGCCGTCGCTTCTGTTACGTCCCTCCTCCTGGCGCCCCCAGACTTTCCCCTGCCGTCTCCTCTTTCGGCTAGTCCTACCCCGTCGACGGAGCCTCTTGTTATACCGATAACAATACCGAACCCGACGACAGTCACGGACATCGCGACAGATACACTGACAGCGACATTGACAGAACCTCCTGTCACCGTGACCGCGCCTGCGGCGCCCGTAACTGTGACCGACGTGGTGACCATCTCGCCGATGCCCCCGCCCGCCGCCTTCCAGACGGCGTGGACCGCGCCCGCGCAAATGACGAACCTAACTGCGTTCAACATCACCTACTTCCCCTCGGGACAGAAGAACCTGCAAATCCTGCCCGGTGTCCCGGTGGACCCTAGCTTCTCTACGCCCGTCTTCCTGGCAGACGCTGCATCGGGAAATGGCTCCGCTCCCTCCTCGGACGAGCCGCAAAGCCAGCCCGGGACCGCGGTGATGCAGCTGTTCTACCCACAGGACTCGATCGATCCTGGCAATCCGGACACGCCAGAGGGCGGCGCGGACTTCTACGCGACGCCGCTGGATCTCGCGGGGTCGCGGGGCGTCGCCCTGGAGTACAACGTGTTCTTTCCGATTGACTTTGATTGGGTCCAGGGTGGGAAACTCCCGGGTATCTATGGTGGCAAGGTAGGCTGCTCGGGAGGCGACGCTGCTGTGACTTGCTTTAGCACTCGGCTCATGTGGCGAGCAGGCGGCGCGGGCGAATTATATCTGGTATGTCGTTGCGGCCGTTGTGCGCCTTGGTTGCCGTACTTACTTACCTCGGACCCGGTGTCTCAGTACGCACCGAAGGACAAGCAAACGAAGGCTCTCTGTTCGACTCCGCCACAATCCGTTTGCGATGCTGCGTATGGTCTCTCGGTCGGCCGAGGCTCGTTCTATTTTGCTGCTGGCAATTGGACTCGGGTCCGGCAGACGGTGATTTTGAATACGCCCGGTGAACAGGACGGCGGGTTCCTCCTTGAGGTCAACGGCAAGCCGGTCATTGATCGGTCTGATGTATTCTATCGCGACGCTGTTGCGGCCGCCAAAACTGGTGGATCTGGAACCAACAATGGCGATGGTGGCTCTTCGGGATCAAACTCTGGTGGTCTCCTCGGTGGGCTACTCGGTGGCCCCCTACGTATCGCCTTGTGGCCCGAGAGCAACTTCCTGGTGTCACGCGACGACTATGACAATGTGGTCCCGGATTGGCTCTCTTCAACTGCGATTCTCGTTCAAGGACATACGATACCCGCGGCTGACCCGACTACACCTGTCGAGCTGCTGCCGACCTTACTGCCGAATACGACGACGGTTCAAAGTACATCCACGACCACAAGCCTCAGCAAAACGGAGCCTGCTCCCTTGGTGCAGTTCATCACCGCATTCGAGACGAGTACAGCTGTTGCCTACCCCACCGCGGTTACAACTAAGGGGGAAAGTCTATTTGGGGTCGCGGAGGTGCAACAGACCGAGCCAGTCGGTTTCACAGGGTTGTTCTTTAGGTGAGCATAACTCCATCGGGTTGTGCAGGTCCCAGGATACTGATGGCTGTGTAGCACTTTCTTTGGGGGCCATGAACAGGAGTACGCTAGTCCGAAGGACCAGTATGCTTGGTTTAGCAACTTCTCAATGTCCATCGTTGCTTAAGACATTCGGTGTGTTGCCGGGAGGCCCACACTTTTGTGAGTCGTGCCACTACAAGTCCGTAAGTGCCATAAGTATTGCGTGATGTCAATGACATACCGACTTGGCAAGACCCCGGAAGAGCTTGAGGCGGTCAATGTTATTGCCCGCATCTGCTTGCAGGCTCGATCTGCTCTTGAGTTGCGATCTCCCACTACCCACGAAGGCTGCTTTCATGGCGTTCACTGCTATATATCTATGTCGCCTGCATCCAAGGTTCAGACAAGAACGTAAGTCAGTCCTCGCTCATGCGTTTGAGCGCGCCCGATGGGTGTATCGGGGTCTCCCGCGCGCACTGATTTATTGATCTCAGCGCTCCTGAGCGCGAGACTGCTAATTGAGGAGAGTGACTGAGATGAACCCGCGCCCTCCACTCCCAGCGATCTCTCCTTCTCACCCACTTCAGTCTTGGGCCCAGGGTACGGAAGCACGACGATATCCTTTTGTCGGGCTTTGAGGGTGCACCGCAAACGCGTGGTGGTCCTATACGCTTCGGGGGCACGGATCTACGCATCGGCCTCATCTCACAGCCTCAAACCGTCTCTGCTCGAGTCATCCGCGCAAGGCTGAGGACGACGTAGGTGTTGACCAGAGACCGCCAGCACGGTGCGTGTATCGTCGGGTATCGCCCTATTGTGCCTTCGGCCAATTCTGGGATCGTCGCGCCGCCGTACACGACTCCGGACTGGGACCGCCGTGACAGCCAGGGTCTTCCCGCCCACACAACTGCCTCTTACAGCTCATCTCGTGACGAATCGAGCATGCAGTATACGCCCGTAATTCCACCCGCTCCTGGTTCCCGTTCCCCAAGACAGCCTCCCACCGTCCCGACCCTCTCCCCCCACAGCCCGCAGGCCATGCCTCCCTGGGCCTCCCCGCATCAATTCCCCGTCTTTGTGGGTCCACATATGGTGGGCGCGCCCGGATCCTACTTCATACCTCCCGTCGCCCTACCGTCACAGCAGGCACCAAACTCCCCGGTCGCGCCTGTCGGCAGCGGAGGCTTTTCCGCCGACTGGACCGGCTTTCCTACAAGTGCCTCCGCCGCCCCCTCCCCGTACATGCAAGCAGGCTCGCCAGGTGCTCAGACGCAGTCATTTCCACCACAATCAGCACCAGGGACGGCTTACAGTGCGTTCCAGCAACCACTGCCTGGATATGGAGGACCGCCTCCCGGATATGGGGGGCCGCCTCCGGGATACGGAGGACCACCGGGATATGGGGGACCACCTCCCGGCATGCATCCAGCGATGTGGAGTATGATGGGGATGGGGATGCCTATGGCGACGCCGTTTGTTATGCCAACGGGCTGGCCAGGTACGCCGTTCGCCCATCAGGGAGCTGGAGGTCTCCCGCCACAGGCCGCGCCTGCCCCGCCGCCTAGTGCTGCATCGGCACCGCCGAGCGCGCGTGTGCCACCAATGTACGCCAACCAGTTCGACAAGGTCGACAAGTTTGCGGAGGGACCACATTGTGAGCGATCTGGCAACTGAGATGCACCACCACCTCTGATACACTCGATCGCGCAGATGGCCCTGTCTTGACTCCCGTCATGGTGAAGAAGGTCAGGGCGCGGCCAGAGCTGAATCCACTGCTCATGCCACCGCCTGAAGAAGGCAGCCACGACTTCATCAAATGGAACATGCTCTTCTCCACCGCGCAGTGTCAGCGCTCCTGCGACCCCGCCCACCGCTCGTGGTCCAGCGGGCGGAGCGCGCCCGCCACCTGGCCGCGCGTCACCTCGCTGCGGATCGTGTCGCGCGCGGTGCCCTCGCCGATCGAAGTCACTGCGGCGAACATGGAGGCGGGCGTGACATGCGGGGACGTCATCGAGGCGATCTCCGGGTTCATGAACGGCCGCTTGACGCAGACGCAGTACTCCAGCGCGTCGGACGCGCAGAAGCGCGTGCTCTCTGAGGCGTACTACCACAACCGTTCGACCGCGCAGGGCGTGCCCGGCGGCCGCCTCCCCCAGACACTCCTCCGCTTCGACTGGCTCGGCCAGGACACGATGTACGGCGGGTGCGTCGCGAACGAGCAGCGCATCAGGGAGCTCTGCGGCGGCCTGTTGCCGTGCGTGTATGAGTTGAAGACAATGCGCCGCTACCCGATGTCGGAGCAGGAGATCGAGGAGCATGAGCGGAGGGAGGCGGAGTCGGAGTCGAGGCGCAGCAGGAGCCGCAGGAGATCGCGCGCGACATCCAGGGCGACGTCCGTCGCTACCTCGCGAGTGGCCAGCGAACAGCCAGAAGAAGACGACGACTGAGGATGCCCTTTTTGCACACCGCTGGATCGATCACGCTCGGTGTATGTCCCACACGACCCTTTTCATCTTCGTTGTAGATACCTTTCCTTGCAAGCTACGTTATTTCTACTCTTCACGCCCATAGGCTTTGCTTTGGCTTGCTTTTCTTTGGAACCCAATGCGCTACTGTACGATATCCCGACTGCTGGATACCTCGCTCTCTGTACCGTCTCTCGGCTATCGTCTTGCAAAAACGCTCTTGTATCGCATATCGTCGTCCCGGTCCCCTCCAAAATGTAGCTGACTGTACCATAGCAATCCTAGTTTAGTTTTCTTGCGTATGAGACTGTTCTCCTAATTGCAACGTGGATGACATTAGGTGTGCACATCGAGTGCGATTACGGCCGTACATGTCGATCAAGATACTGAGAATAACCGCACTGCGAACGCAACAAGCACAGCAAGGAACGCCCAGAAGAGCATCAGCAACGAAGAGTCCAGCACAACGGGGCCCATCGCCGCCGCGTCCTTCAGCGCGCTCTCCAGTCCCGTCGCCATGGCCTCCATCCCGAAGTAGTCCGTCGCCCGCTTCTTCGCGCGCGCGGCCAACGCCTGCCTCTCCTCCACCGAGAGGCCCGCGATCTCCGTCAACGCCTCCGCCCAGACGTCGGGCTCGGGCGGGCGCAGCCAGCCGGTGCGCTCCTCTGGCGGGCTGTCGACGACGCTCTCCGTCGGGCCGCCGGTGTTGCACGCGAGCACGGGCAGGCCGCAGACCATCGCCTCGACGGGCCCGATCCCGAAGTGCTCGTTCGTCGGCGTGTAGAGGAGGGCGAGCGTCGAGGGCGCGGAGAGGAGGGCGGAGCGCTGCGCGGTGGTGAAGTTGAGGAGGAAGAGGACGTCGGGCGCGCTGGGGGTGGTGTCGAAGGGCGGGATGTTGATGCGTGACGTGGAGGGCGTGATGATGTTGAAGGAGAGTGAATGCGCTTTGGCGCGGTCGATGAGCGCGACGAGGGTCATCATGTTGTCCTCGAGGCGCGGGTCGTAGCCGCCTGGTACGGGATCAGCTTAGAGCCTGTTGAAGCTGGGAAGAGCGGATAACTTACCTGCGACGACTAGCCGCATCTGGTTAGAAGGCTGAGCAGACTCGCTATCTGTGAGCTTCTTCCGGAGCAGCGCGAATGCATCGACAGCCAAGGCAGCGTTCTTCTTCCGCTCGAATCTATTCAGCGAGAGTAGCGTTGGGTGGTCTCTACTCTTCGGCGCGTCTCAGTGCAGTATATGGTCCTGCCGCAGTGGGGGACGTACGAAGCAACGTCTAGGATGTCTTTGTCTTGGGTGTCAAACGAGGTTGCCTCGTACGCAGACAAGTTGATACCAGGGTATACGACCTTGGGCGTTGACGAGATAGAAGCGAAGTGTGTCTTGAATACACGAGCGGTAAACTTTGAGTTGGCCAGTATCACGTCGGCTTGTCCTGCGAGACTAAATTTAGCGTACTCCAGCTGCTGAATGATGGAACTAACTGGTTGTGAACTCCTCGAGCCGATCCATGGGCATGCGGTATACGCGCTTCAGCAGACTTCCTCTTCGTCTCCCCTTCCCTTCCACGAATTCGCCGTCGGCAAGAAGCTTGTCAGGGAAGTGACAATAGAATACCACTCGTGTCCGACCCAGAGCACGCAGCAGCGGGACACACGTTGACAACTGGTCGACGAAGTAGACGTCATACTTTGGTGTGGTCGGTCGGAGTAGGTGTTTGGTAAGGTGCAGTTGACGAGCATGAGAGAAGAGTATGTGGAATTTTCCTTTGAACGAGCGAGGGAAGGGTGGTGTAATGTTGTGAACCTTCAGGGTACCTGGAGAAAGCACGATAAGACCAAAACAACATGAGACGCCGCGAGTCCCGTACCGTCGCGTGTTTCGTCGAAACAATGGTTCGGATCATGGTGTGACGTGTATACGTCGACTTCGTGTCCGAGTTTCTGCAAGCCCAGGGCAGCGTCAACTACAAGTCGCTCCGCGCCGCCTGCATGGAGTTTGTGAGATCTGTCTCCGGTTAGACACGACATAAACCTACGTACCTATGCCCAAATCAGGATGAACAAACGCAACGCGTAGCTTCGCCGACATATCTGTATGTCAAGTCTTTGAAGGTCAAGTTAGCGTGAGTCTAGTACAGACTGTACAGTTGCCTCGTCGGCGAGTGGGAGGAAGCGTAGGACACGGTCACCTGCCTCGAGTTGTTGACGTGTCTTAGACAATTTTGGCGCCCAGCATACGGTGCGCGATAGGCGCTTGCTCACCGGCACCGTCCACCAGCTGTCCACAGCGATCATGAACTATTGAATCGGGAACCCATCCTACGGTCTACCCTGGACTAGTGACCCTCAATTTTCTGTTCTGCAATGCATGCTGCTGACAGATTTAGAGGGGCAGGCGCACGGTTACGGTATGATTGAGTTACCTCCGAAGACTCGTGGTCAGACAGCCGTGTCGAATGTGCTTCAGTATGGATTCGTGAGCGGGGCAAAACGTTCCAAGTGCGTACTCTTTTACTCCGACTGGTCTCCAACATCTCGTTCTTAAGACGTGATTGAGCTAGTAGGGTTCATATCTGTGCGTCCTATCCGCGACAGCCGCCCTGCCCTGCTGGCGTGAGCGTTGTACATCATATGCTGAAGGGGAAGACGTCCAGCAATCCCCATTCTCTTCATCAACGGAACTCAACTCTATGGTGACTAACAGACGCGTAGATAACAAGAATCCGCGGTACTTACAACGACCCTCGTTGTTGAGTCGAAGTCCCGTGTCGTATAGACCGCACAAACTGCATCGGCATATTCGGCGAAGTGACAATGCCGCGACCCAGAATGAGTAAACCTGCTCCGCGATGCACTAACATTTTCTACAGTTGAAGCCGTGGTACATGTTTGTTTCAACGCGCAGACCTAGCTCATCGGTTCTCGCTAGCAGGTCCATACTACACTCGACTGAGGTCAAAAGTGAGTCGTCAGTTTGCGAGCTTCCAAGCTTAATCTCACATTTCTCGATCCCTTTCCAAACAATGTATACAGGCGGAGTACGTTGGGCTCTTGTCTGAGCCTGTCTACAAGGAATTTGTACCCTCCACGCCGATCCTCAGTTCTGGTCGCCGCTCGTTTTACGGTTCCATCTCATCATGGGACCGCAAGACCGACACACTCAATTGGGCCAAATCCTACGCTCGGCATTCAATTATATGGGATGTTCTGTCTCGTCATGTCTATGCCCATTCGGCATGAACAACTTTGTTCGATGTTCAGAATCCCAAACAACGGGGGTAGAAAGGGTAATCGGCGAATACTGATTGGTACAGTGTATTATTGATCCGAGGGCAATGCGGGACGCTCACCTTGTTCATCCTCAAGGACCAGTTCCATGTATACGTTCATACTTTGGTCATACCCACCCTCTTGCGGCGCGTACAGATATCGACCGGCAAATCGGCACCGCCTACACGTTCCGCTGGAACGAAGTCTTCGCATTCTGGTGATAAGTAGCTATTTGACTGATGAGGAACGTCCTGGACGCTGCAGGTCCGCACAGCGTCTCACAGAAGAGCGGGATTACTGAATGTATGGGTGCGGCCTGATCGTTCCATGAGCAGAAACTGATCGATCGCTGTGACCACACAGGCGTCACTGTAGCAAATGGGCTTACCACCACGATCAGCCTAGGTATCGTCCTCGCCTGCACCCGGAGCTGTCTCAACGTTCTGCTCACCTCCAAACAGTCTTAGGTCATATCCGAGGTTGTTCTCACCCTCCACATCGAATTTGTCCGCAAGCAGGGCGTGTCCCCGCTACAACCTGATTGTTCAGGAGTAGTAATGCTCGTACATTGCAGTCGTGATCCTCGACGTATGTCTGCCACCGAAGCTACCACAGGTTACCACCTACCTTGCCCCGCGAACGCTCGGCCCGAACACGGGGTAAGAACAACCAAATCAAGTGAGGACCGCGATGCAACGCCGGCGGTAGGTAGTCGAGCCCTTTGTTCTACACCATGTCAAGTGATTGCTGACACTGCAATATCGTGGGTGATTTGGCCAACGACAGTGAGAGCTCATAATTGACTAGAGCTTCTGTCGCAAACCTAAACTACTGCGCTCGACAGGCAACGGGTTTCCGACAATTCTACCGGAACATTGTCCACTTCTGAAGTACGAGCTAGCCTAGGTTCGTTCAAGGAGATGGAAGCCCACGTGCGTTAAGCAGTCCTTCTCTCGAAGACTGGTTGTTCTTCCTCGTGAAGCACAGGGGTATAACCTCGGCTTCTCTCTCCAGGCGTATTCCCACCGCTGACAATGTTCTAATAGCAATCAGCGTGGATGCCGCTCAATCATGTCAGATTGCCCCATTGGCAGTTTGAGTTTGTGCCGCAGAGGAACACTCGACCTTGGAGTACTTGCGCGATACGCAATTACAGGGTTTCTCGGCATGCGCTATAGGCCCTCTCGGGAATATTCGCGGCCAACACAATTCAAACCTCTCGGAACCTCGGAATGGATACCTACGATATCCGTCAAGTCTCCCGCCACGGTCATTTCCGACAGTGACGTGAATCTCGACATCCTGGCACAAACGCCAACCCTGGCTGCAGCCCATGCCTGACCGCACCAGACTTCTTGTGATTGATATGTCGACGTCTGGCCTGCTTGGTAATCGCTGACCCGAGAAGTCAGATGCTGTTTGTCTTGTATAGTGCAGTGAGTGTATCCGGGCGGATTATCGGTCCAAGGATAAAATGAGCGACACGTAGTCGTCGCTCCCTTGTGTCTCTGCTCCCGCAGTCATAAGCAGGGCCTTCCTTTCTATTTTCTTCGCGTCCGCGCACCACTACCTTCAACATCGCCATGACTTCACCGACGGAAGCGAAACAAGTCTACTCCGAAGACCATCTCCCGGAGTTCACTCCCATGCCATGGTAAGTAGTCTGCGTGCGTACGGTACCGATGCTCATCGCTTCCCAGGACTTTGAGCGAGATTCGCGCAGCTATCCCTGCCCATTTCCACGTGCGGAAGACGTGGAAGGGCTTGCTGTACTTGGCCCGCGACTTGGCCATGGCAGCGGTTGTGTGGAGGGTCGCTCTCCATATCGATCCCACCTTCCGAAGCGAAGCAATGTTGCAGTACCTCACACCCCACGCGGCGGAAACTGCGCGTTGGTGCGCATGGGCCGTGTAGTATGTGTGCTCAAATTCTGCGCGGGCACGAGGCCTCATATGTCCGAAGCTGGTGGTTTCAGGGACTCATCTTCACTGGCGTCTGGGTCATTGGTCATGAAGTAAGTGCCGATCCTTAACTGAGTTTACATCATCGAACTCACTCTATATGGCGCTATTTGCAGTGTGGTCATGGCGCGTTCTCCGCTAGCAAGCGCGTGTGCGACATAGTCGGATTTGTGAGCGTGCCTCTGCCATGAAGATGAATGAATGACTGTCAGCTTACCACGGCAACGTTCATAGATAACACACACGCTCCTCTGGACACCATACTTCAGCTGGCAGATCTCGCACCACCGCCATCACAGCAACCACGCGTCGATGGAACGTGACGAGGTGTACGTCCCCAAGACGCGCTCCGACCTGGGCATCCCGAAGGAGGGCGACGTCGCGTTCGACTACGAAGACTATCTTGGGGACACGCCCATCTATACGCTCTTCATGCTTGTTCGCCAGCAGGTGCTCGCGTTCCCCGCGTATCTGCGTGAGTCTCGGATCTGATGATTGACGTCCGCGAGCGAATGACAAGCCAACCTGTCAATTAGTCTTCAACGTATCCGGTCAGAAAGGTTACCCGAAATGGACCAACCACTTCGACCGTGAGTCACCGCGATTGGTACGCCAGGTTGCGCCAGACAGCTAACTTGATATCTGCAGCGAAATCTGTGCTGTTCACGCAACGCCAGCGTGATGCCGTGATATTGTCGAATATTGGGATTGCATTCATGGTCTGGGTCGTCACGGAGGCGAGTAGGAGGTGGGGTGCGTCAGAAGTGGTCAAATTCTACGGCATCCCATGGCTTCTGGTCACTCACTGGTTCGTACAACGTGAAATTCGCGATACGGCGGCTCAGTCAGTGACTCTTTTGTTGACAGGTTCATCATGATCACCTACCTTCATCACACTGATATGGAACTCCCTCACTATCGCAACAGCCAGTGGAACTTCCAGCGGGGCGCTGCAGCGACAGTAGACCGCAACTTCCTCGGCTGGCAGGGCCGATTCTTCCTCCACGATGTCGCCCACTTCCATGTCATCCATCACTTCTTCCCTATGTTGCCTTTCTGTCAGTGCCTTGATATTCCGTATCATGAGAAGTACTGACCTCATGAACGCAATCAGACAACGGCGCCGAGGCGACCGGATATTTGAAGACATTCATAGGCGACCATTACCGCTACTCTGATAGGCCGGTCTTCCAGGCGCTCTGGGAAAGCTACAACGATTGTCAGTTCGTCGAGGACGAAGGTAAGTGCCCGCGAGCCGTCCATTATCTGCTGCGAAAGGTGCTCACATCGGCCTGGCTAGGCGACGTCCTGTTCTACCGGGACCGCAAGGGGCAAGCGAGGGTCCGACCTGCTACCCCCTTCCGCGCGCAGACTTCGGACAGCCCCCTTGCCCAGCAGGACACCTTTTGACAGCGCGAGCTCGTCCACGCAGAAGGGCGGTAGCTGTACGACAAGGGCATTGTGGCGTCCGTTCCTGTGAGCCAAGTGAACACGAGGCAGGTCTTCTCACAGCGATGTGAGAAATTCCTTTCTCCCGTGAGGGTTTATAGAATAGAAGGTCTCTGTGTGTGTTTCCTGTGTACTATTATTAACGATCATCGTGGAGATATGTTCAGTAGCAATTGACTATATGCATCTTCATTCTCTCCCATCGCTGGTCAACTCGACGCAAATGGCGGTCGCCCGACTTAGGCCAGATCATTGCTTCGTCTTGCGTGATTTGTAAATGATCCACTGCCACCGGAGCGAGCGTATCTTACGAACTCGGACAGTCTGTGAGACTGACAACAACATGAGGGCGCTCTATCGTCGTCGACGTGTCCTGATACCCACTAGTCTCCCATAGGCAGACCGCAAATACGCCCCTTTGGAGGGGAGGAGGACGGTCGTATTAGGGATACCCACGACCGTACATTCTCCATGCATGACGCCCAGCAAGTACGTGTGCCACATCATGGAGTATACGTACAGTGACATAGATTATGTACTCGGGCCGTAAATGAGCCGCACTGCAAGGCTTGACCAGCGGAATTTCCTTCAGGCATATTGTTCTCACTGAGTCCTTCCATCCACAACGCCAGTAGGTTACAAGTTGCGAACCGAGAAACTATTACACATGCGATATCCGTACAATGAAGATGTAAACAAGATGTCTGAGAAACCCGACAACGTGGAGATGGGAACGTGTGTGTGTACAGGGGTGCTGCGGAGGCGAGGCCCTGCGCCACGAGGCTTAATACTGGGAGAGACTGAGCACGAAGATATTCGAGGCCGCATAGCCTAGCCTTTGCTTCGCGTAGTGGTCTTTCCGAGACATGTCCTTGAAGTAAACAAATTCTCGGAGCCAGTCTAGCACGAGAACGTGAGCGGAAACATTGGGGCTGTACAGATTTCTCAGGACATGTACCTGCTCTGCGCAATCGCTGAGGCGCGTTGGGTTGTGCGGAGTAGTACGCAGACCATCCGCTGTTGGCCGCACCTCCAGAGGCCGCGTACCGCTTGATAGCATCCTGATTTCGGACGTGGAGCTTGCTGAGCTCTTCATCCGTCACCATCGTTTCCGAGTACCTACGTAGCAGTTCGCGATCAGTACTTTGCTCGAAGACTTAACGGCTATTCGAAGACGCACTCTCTCCAGAGTGTCGTGCAGACGTCGTTGAGGGTGACTCCCGTGGAGTTCTTCACGACGGTGCACCATGGGCTGATCTCCGTGATAATGATGAGGCTATCGACGCGGGGGAGGGTGGCGGGCTCGTCTTTGGCGGTAAATGGGAGATCGCGGTCGCGGGATTCGAAGTTGAACCCACCCGTCTGACCTAGTAGAGACGTCGTATCCGTGAAGTCCAAAAACGAACCACTAGAAATAGACATACCTGTAGACAGATTGAACGAGAGCTGGAAGCTACCCTGCTCTCCTGCTAGGATAGGGTGTAGCTCGAGTGAGACATTCTCGAGGAGATAGAGGTCTTGCTGAGTGAGAACTGGTCCAACTGTAGGGCAAGCTACTTAAGGATCTGAGAACTGAAAGTATTCGCCGCTGTACGCACAAGAGTTGCCCGGGGACCATTTGGGAACTGCGACCCAATCGTGTGCGCTCATCTCTGATACTAGTCTTGTCCGGCAAGCTCTGCACGTAAGCCGTTGTTCCGGGGAATGAGACGGTCAAGTGCTTGAGGCGTCCCGCCGTTTCTTAACGCAGGAGAGAATAGCTGGTCGGACTCGAGTCAGAAGAAGTTGGGCAAGGCCTTAAGGCGGTAGGTCCGTGGTCATTCCCGCAGTGGGCTCGAGGCAGTGGCGCCTGCATATCGATTGCTAGATCGCATGACTGATTCGTATGCTAGGGCTGTGTCATGAAATAGCAGATACAGCCAGAAAGCGGTGGAACAGCCATGCAGATATTCGAAGACCTGGAGATTTGTGCTGTTGAGAGGAATTGGCTTTAGGAACTCGGCAAAGACTCTGGTGGACTGTAAGAAAGATTAGATTAGATCTCTACGGACGCTGAGCGATCAATGTGCTCGATCGTGCACGTAATGCAGCACACTTGTTACTTGCTTTCATCTGCGCACAGCACACACAGACATCGACCATCGGCTTGGACTACTCTTTTAATCTACTTTCAGCTCTAGCATATCGCTGAACAATGGCTCCGAAAGGAGGAAACGCAAAGAAAGAGTCCGGCAAGGCCAAGAAAGCCGAGAACGAGGCGAAGAAGCAGCAGGCAGCTGAAGCTGACAAGGTGCGTTCCATGCTGCGCTCACCATACAATCACAATTGACAATGCGTCATGCAGGAGCGCAAGGAGGCAGAGAAGTGGTCAGATGGCTCTAAGGCAAAGAAGGGTGAGGACAAGGAGGCCAAACGGCTGGCAGAATTGGCTCGGAAGGCAGAGATCGCGAGACTCCTAGCAGAGGAAGAGGCTTCCGCGCCGCAGAAGAAGATTGCACCAAAGGCCGGGGCGAAGAAGGCCGCCAAGGCAGTCAAGCCTGCAGGACCGGGTGCAATCGCCGCTGGAGGCGTGCTTGGTGCTGAGCCAGGGAAGGAGAAGGAGAAGGAGGCGTCGCCAGAGCCCGAGTCGTTCGCCGCAACCGGCCTTGATAACGCACTCGATCTCCTTGATGTTGTGACGGCGAAGATGGACAAGGCTAGCGTCGGTCAGCGTGCGGCAGGACTGGAACAGCATCCGGAGGTACGCCCTATAGCTAGATCCGTGCCAAGGACCGTATTCATTCTTCACTTCTTCCGCAGAGGAGGTTCAAAGCAGCGTTTGAAGCTTACAAGGAGCGTGAGCTACCAATTGCCCGAGCCGAAGTATGTCTCCGTCTTGGAATGACTGTTCGAATCTGCTCACAGCATCGCATTGCAGCATCCGGGATTGCGTCTACAACAGTACCATGTACGATTTTGAGGATATATTATGCACACAGATCTGATCGCGTTGTCTACAGGAACTCCTCTACAAGCAATTCCAGAAGTCGCCCGAAAACCCGTGTGTCGCTATGTATTTTAACCTCCGCTTATTGTTGACCGCAGGATTCCAGCTTCAACCAAGTCACGGTGTCATTCGATGCCTCAAAGGATGAGAAAGTCGAGGCACTCAAGAAGAAGAATGCCGCAGTCGAGAGCAGGCTCAGGTCACCCTGATTACCTCGCTATACTTATGGTGCCCCGCTGCGCTGGAAATGCGCGAACGGGTCGGCACAGGGCTTGGCATACATGGCGAAGGATATATTTGACGCATGAATGTATAACGTGTAACATCGCTGTGTACAACACGAGTCCCACTGTATCGGAGTCTGCGCAACATTTCGAGAAGTGACATCCAAGACGACTCGGACTCCGATATAGCAGTACATCATCATTCCGCGCGGCGAGTGCATGGCTGCGCCTGGCTTCCTTTGTCCATTCTATTGTTTCTGTAATACGTTTCGAAGCCGTGAGGGTCTCATCGCATCGCACAGTACAGTCAGCTTGATTCAGCCTGTTCTCAGCCACTGGCAGGCGCCGCAGTGGCACTGGCAGCTAACGCCACAACCCAGGTGTGGATTACATAAGCGACATCTTTTTGCATTAAATCCTCTGCGATCCATGCTCTTCGTCACGACCCCCCTCACACGCTCTCCTCCACGACACTGCCCTTGCTCTTCAGCTTCACCACCTACCATCAACCATGAACTCCACACCTCCAGCGCGCTCTTCACCTCCGTCCCTCACGAGTAACTCTGGCCCGCCCACACCACGGCGCACGAATACGTTGGTGATCACGCAGCTACCTGCGACATTCTTTGAGCCAGTCGTGCTGGATGCGCTGCGTCACCACTTCGCCACGTATGGACCTGTCTACGCATGGGCACCCTTGAAATCTTTCTACAGGATCATCATAGTCTACCACTCAGAGGACGACGCGGAGCATGCGAAGGAGAGCTGCGACCATCTCATCGTTGGCGCGACACAGAGCAGGTGAGTACCATCTCTTGTCGATCGATCCGAACATGCACTCACAATGTTTAGCCCAGCAGTAGTTCTTAGAGTGTTCCGCGCTGATTCGACGACAATCTTGACACCTTCGGGCAGCGGCGAGGGCAACATGTACCTCCGCCCGCCAGAACACGAGAAGAACTTCCTCATCTCTCCTCCGGGCTCACCTCCCGTCGGCTGGGAGCCCATCCGGGAGGAACCGCCTAACCCCACGCCACTTGCAGACGACCTTATTGTCGCGCTGAAGAAGCTGCAAGTGCAGGAGGAAAGTCGGCATAGAGGACATGGCCCGGAAGTGCTGATTGAGCCGGATGAAGACGGCGTCGGAATCAGCGTGTATGTGGAAGACTGTAGTGGGGGTGAAGGCGGCCAGGTACAGGAGGAGCCCGAAGAGGACTGGGTGTATGGGGAGACCGCACCGGCGCGGACAAGGTGGAAGCCTGTGCCGACGGCATTGCCCCCCTCGATTCGTGCTTGAAGAGCTGGTGAGTCGGACGGTCCGCCTATGCTGCAATGCTTTCTCGCGGAAGTCCATGCTTCGTATCATGATGATACCTTTTACAGACCTGTACCTACATCCCCTAGGATAAAGCGGACAACTCATATTGCCTTTTCTCTGAATTCCTATGCTCTCCATTTGCCGTATCGTGTGTGCCTTCAGCTGACGTTCCTTTCGCATAGGTTCTCCATCTGGTCGCCGCTCGTTTGGCCTCCTTCTACATGACAGTGAGTATTCTTCTGCCATCTTTACTTACGAGATGAGAACCAATCAGACCTGTTCTGACTCCCAAATGGAGAAAACACCATTATTGCCAAAATATCCTTCTGAACTTATTCCCGTTGTGATCCGACAGTCTCGATGACGATGCTGACGTTCACACTTTCTGCAGGACTTCTATGGCTACTCTACAGACGACGCCATGCTTGGTTCATTGACGCCCTGACCTGCCCGCTCTATGTTCAATTGCATATGTACTATATACACTCATGGACTGTGTACTTACATACCCAGGTAATAGAAGGTTCCCCGTGGAGATTGTATCATCCCGTTGCAGTGTATGAGTATGTCGGCATCGTGGAACTTGCGACGAGTGTGCAACCATAGCGCAATCACGTCCCGAGCAGGTGCGCCGCACCTAGGTGGAGGCCCCTGGCACATAGTGCTGGTGAGCCAGCGAGCTCCTGAGTCCTACGTACTTACATGCACTGTTCCGATTCGTGCAGGGTCGAGAAGAGAACGGCGTACGTTATCCTTTAATGCTTCGACCGCATGCTCATTGACATTGTCCTCATGGTACAGTGGGGACTGCGAAGGCAATTAATGACGCCAGTACTGAGATACCATGACCGTCGGTCGCGATTGCGGACTTACACACATCATCAAGCCCTTGATGTCCTTCACGTGCAACTAGTACTGCTCAATACCTTTCCTGTGCAGCAAGACACGGAAACTCAACCAGACTAACAACAAGCAGCCGAATGCGGCAGGGATCAGCCAGTACAGCGGCCAAAGATGATATGAGCCGCCGAAACCGACGTGCAGCGGTGGCGTGTCTCAGTCTGCCTTATGGTGAGCTTGATCCCGAACTTACACATATCAGGTGGCTGAGCGTAGCGTAACAGGTTCGCGCCCGTTTTGATGCAGCCGAGCTGTAGGCATAATCAGGTTGGCCGTGTTCCAGTACTCGAGTCAAGAACATCCCCTTCTAGAAGATGTGAGACTGCAGCTACCCATAGAGCCCGATTCAGACCGGCGAGATACTTCGATACTTCGAAGGACGTCGCGGTCGTAACTGTTCGTGCGCATGCGTTGGCACTCAAGACCGGGCTGCAGTATCCTGTCAGTAAGTGATGAGTACGCTGAAGCTTCCTCGGAAGTCGGCCGGGTCGACTCGTTGCGGCGTCAGTCACGGTGCAGTGCGTGCTACTAGTATAAGAACTCTCTTAGCAAGTAAGAGAAAACACCGCGGCCAGCACGCGGCTGTTCTGAATATCTGGCGTTCTGACGTACCAACGCGGAATCGTGGCGTCTCTACAGAATTTGTGGGCGCGGGTTGGGCGCGGGACGCATTCAGCAAAAGTGACTCGTCGTGGCAAGTAGTAGTACGCGCGTGCGGGTCCGAGTCAGAACGACGCGTTCGCTGCGTTGAACACGCGGTGCGTGTAAACGCGCCCAACACGCGGCGCCACTGCTCATTCCACGCCCCCATGGCACTTGCCTTGAGCAGCGTTCTTATGATGACTGGCTGCAAATACTCTGTCTGAGTCTGTGTCCCGGATGATGTTCGACTTGGCATCAATGCGCCGTACCTGGCCGCGCTGTCGGTATTTTACCCGTTGAAGTCCCCCGCCGGCCCCGACAGGGGTGCCAATCACCGCCGAGTCGCAAAGCTGAACTCATATAAGATAGCTTGGGCGCGACCCTGGCGCGACACTCCTCTGATCCAGCAAGCATGTCTACCCCAAGCAACGATTCCATCAACGACTTCGACGATGAAGGCGGTCGCTTTCGACACCCGTTCACGGACGTCGGCGACTTCGACTACCTCGACGCGGACGATGATGATCCCGATGACAAGGATACGCCCCGTACCCTCGTCGAGATTCGTATGTGCGCGCTGAGCGCCGCCATACGCGAGAAGGTCGACTGGCATGTCAAGTATCGTGACGAGAAGATACGGACCAAATGGGCGGAAGAGATTCGCGAACAACAGAAAGATGTGCATCAGAGCCTTCAACTCACGGAGAACATGGTATGTTGCGTGGTGATACTGCTTTGCCGTGCTGATTGCTGTGGAGATCAACTATGTCTTGACTGAACTTGATGCACACGCCGCGATGCGTGACCCGAACACAGGCATTGAGGTTCGTCTCTGTGTACGTTCAAGTTCTGCTTCAATTCACACTGTAGCTGTGTACGCTTCAGCCTGGTCCGTACGAGCGTACGTGGAAGTCCGATCAACTCATACCCGCTGGCTTGAGGACGGAGCTGCTGTCCGCGGTTGCACCCCTCGAGTCGGTTCCCGACTCGGAGAAGGACTGGCACCCTGGATCCGACGGCAAAGTCCTAGATCTCGTCCACCCGTCACTGTATCCCGTCGTTTATGGCCGTACGACATCGACGTCCGGTGAATTGCTCGAACCTCGTATAGACGATGACATGGACTCTGTCTTCACGTCCGAGCGTTTCCAGTGGCTGCCGTCAGACTTCCGTGTCGCCGACGACGGAACCGTCAAGCTGACGTCGCCCTACATCAACAACGTCCACCCAGAGGACCATGTAGCCCTCGAGAAGGTGATACCCGCAGTACTCGAGCGAGCTGTGCCCATTTTCGAGTGGGTGCTCTCCGATCTCGCACGCGAGAAGCAGGTGCCGACACGCATGGACCTGAAGGGACACAAGTTCCCCGAGTGCATATGGGATCCCGTAAGAGCCTTCTGCTTGACCAAGGCTTGTCTATGCTGACAATGATGGCTGACAGGTTGAGCCTACTCCCGAAGGCGAGGAGGAAGAGGCTCTCAAGGCGGAGGTTCGCCGCCTGGAGGCAGCAAGAGATCCTGAACAGTCATGGACCGACTACGGCAGAATCATCAGGCATCAATGGTTGGACAAGCAATCGAAGACTTGGCCAGAGAGTAAGCCGGCGTACGACCATGGCCTGGACGAAGTGAAGAAGACTGTCAACTTGCGCGGACAGACGCTGCAGATCATCGTGAAGCTGGCGAATATCGTTCTCACTCCCGAGAACCCAGAGTACGGCGGAGGCACATGGCACGTGGAAGGTTACCCGAGTTTTCTTTCAGAATTGCGCGCATTTGACTGAGCGGACTTGGCAGGCATGAATAACGAAGCCATTGTCTCAACGTTCATCTACGTGAGCCCTGCCATCTGTTTGCTACGCACCGTGGTGACTCACCGCGGACCAGTACTACGACTGCGAGAATCTCACGGAATCCACGCTTTCCTTCCGCAACGCCGTCAATGAACCACGATACCATGGCCAGGATGACAGCTACTGTATGACGCATCTGTATGGCATTGATCGGTGTGTACTCTATGCAGTAGCCGTGCTTACCCTTTCGTTCTGACGGTGCCTCTTTAGGGACGACCGCTGCGTGCAGGACGTCGGCAAGGTCATCACGAAGCAAGACAGGTGCATCGCGTTCCCGAATCTATACCAGCACCTTGTTTCGCCCTTCCGCCTGGCGGACCCTACCAAACCTGGCCACCGCAAGATCCTCGTGTTCTTCTTGGTGGACCCTCACATCAAGATCCCGTCGGCGTCCATAGTCGCACCGCAACAAGCATCGTGGGTGCAACGCGCCCTTCCGGGAACCGTGCTATGGGAGCGTCTGCCCGTCGAGCTACAGGATATCGTACTGAACTATGCGGACTTTATGACCGATCAGCAAGCGAAAGCCTACCGCGAGGAACTCATGAACGAGCGTACGGCCTTCGTTGAGACGGTCGACGAGAACCGCTTCGGTCATGAATTCAATATGTGGTACGTACAACCCAGATGCTGTCAAGAAGCGTTGTGCTGATAGTGATCCGTCTCTGCAGTGAACATTGAGTGATACCCTAGTCTACGACCGCGGATGGCGAAGTCATGTGTACAGTACTATTAGCAGGCTGAGTATCTTGTTGTCCAGTTCACGACGTAGTGTCTCTGTTGGCAGTCGGGAGTCGATTACTGAATGGGCCCTTGAACAGTCGAGCCATTAAATTATGATCCAACAGCTGATCGACTCTGATACAGCAAAGCGACTCATCATCTGGTCCCTACTATGCATTATTGGCTGTCAAAAATCCGTCGTATTCGTAGTCGTTTTGACAACAATAGACCTAGTAAATTATCGTCGCTGTTGGTTGTTTGGCTGTTTGTCGGACTTCGTGAGCGCTTACTTCCGTCGGTGGCGTCTAAGAACAATGAGCGCGTTGACTCGGAGGACAATAACGAGGCCGGCAAAGACAACAATTGCGAGAAGAACAACACGGCAACCATGGCAATTATTCTCGTGAGTTCCATTTCAGGCTCATGGCGCACTGAGTCGTGCTCTCCGTGCCCCCCTCTCCATCCAACGACCACCACCCGCCTCTCTTTCCGCGCACGAGCTCGACATGTTTTCGAGTCTTCTTCCCTTAATTCCACTCCTTTGGACCTCATCTGTTGGTATGTGAAGGAGTATTATGGACGGCGAGGTCTTGCTTATTGATATTCTCTACGGACAGCTGCGCAATCTGTTTCGGTCGTCTGCGTTGCAGGTCAATGCCTGGAAGGATATACGAATATCACTCGTGAGTCTTTATATTCAATGGCACTGAATGGCTGACTGATGAACTGCAGTGGGAGCGACCTTGTCAGCGTCGGGGTACTCGACCAGCTTGCAACTCCTCCCGGGGGAGTATACATCTACGACCAACCCCGAACTCCTTCATGAACTCTTGACGTCCTCCAGCGCCGCGCTCTCCGCCAGTGACGGCTTCTCCGTCAACAAATCTGTCTCATTACCGTTCGACATCTCGCTTCAGCCCGGTGTCGCTGTGTACTCTGGTGCTAACTACTCCGGGGATGCCTCCTTCAACGCCCTCCCGACGAATGTCTCGACGAACAGCACGAAGCACCTCTCAGCTGGTTCTCTTGCGCTTGCTTCCGATGTTTGGATGTCGGTATCTGGCGCGTCGTCCAACGACCGCATCGTCTTGTGGAGCTCCGTCCCGGACGTCTCCCAGCTCCCCTCGAGCTCCCTGGGCAACTCGCTCACTCTGCTAGACATGCAATCGACCGCGTGCTCGTCGCCGTGCTCATCCGGTGGCATCTGCTCTACCTCTGGCAAGTGCGTTTGCCAGAGCGGCTTCACAGGATCGTCCTGCGAGTCCTGCGCGTCCGGGCACTTTGGGCCGAGCTGCGAGGCCTGTCCGGTGGGCTGCCTCGACTGCGACGACGGTATCTCTGGTACCGGCAAGTGTCTCAAGTTCAACGTGACCAACGCGCCCTCCACTTGCAACTGCGTCAATGGAGTTTGCAATTCGAACGGCCAGTGCACTTGCAATGCAGGCTGGACGGCTTCTTCGAACGGCACGGCGTGCGCGACATGCGCCAAGGGCTACTTCCTGGACTCCAGTGGCAACTGTGAAAGTGAGTCCTGCTTGTCAAAATTTAAAGTTACAGAATTGACAATTGTGAATAGTCTGTGCCCTAGGCTGTGAAGAGTGCGCCAACGGAACCGGTGACTGCATCACCTGCGAGTCCGGCTTCACTCAGAGCTCCAATGCTGCTACGCAGTGCATTGCAACCCAGCAGACGACGTCTGGCGGTACACAGTGCCCCGACGGCAGCTTCAGCAATGGTGCCTCCTGTGAACAATGCTCGTCTCTTTGCCAGACATGCACTGGCGCAACGTCCAACGACTGCATCATCTGTGCCACGGGCTCGTACCGATTTAATGGGAGCTGCCTCTCCGCGAGCAGCTCTGGAGTCTGCGAGAACTCGAACATGATCGCGAACAACAACAAGCATGAATGCGACAGTGAGTTTACATGTTCGCCCCACGTGTCTGAATCGACTGACGAGGGTACAGGTTGTTCCGCGAAGTGCACGAAGTGCGAGATCCCTAACTTCACGACCGCGTCGACGACCAACCAAGCTCAGTGTACTGGATGTGTCGCTGGTTTCGTGCTCTCTAATGGGACGTGCATCGAGAGCTGTCCGACGGGAACGTTCCTTAGCCCGAAGGACAATCTGACGTGCACTGGTAAGTGGATCGGAGCATGATCAGCCATCGTGGACTGATAATCCGTCTTACAGCATGCGACTCGTCTTGCGGTACTTGTGCGGGATCGTCAGACTTCTGTCTGACATGCACCAACAACCAGCTCGCTTCCAACGGCACCTGTACTTCTTCCTGTCCGTCCAACACCGTAAGCTCATCGGGAGCCTGCCTTGCTTGCCACCCCGACTGCGCGACCTGCACTGGGACCTCCTTTAACCAGTGCTCGGGCTGTCCTTCCGATCGGCCGGTACTGAACAATGGACGGTGCCTTCCTACGTGTTCACAGTCAGGATTCTTCGACACCGCGTCGTCTTCATGTCAATCGTGCGATTCCAGCTGCTTGAGCTGCTCCGGGTCTGGGCCGAACAACTGTCTCGCATGTTCGAGCTCGAGCCAGATTCTGCGCGGGGGCACCTGTGTGTCCGCCGGCTGTAGTAACTCCAGCAGCGTCATCTCTGGCTTGGGGCTCTGTCTCTCCGACCTCGTCGCGACGGTTGCCTCTGGAACGGCCTCAACGCCTCTGCCCACCATCACAGGCATCAACTCGAACACCAAGTCGACTACTGCGACCTCGCTCGCATGGTGGCAGATCCTGCTCATGACGCTCGGTTGCGCCTTCATCTTCCTCGTCATCGTCATTCTCTGGCGGCGTCGCATGCGCCGCAAGCGCGCACAGGCGACCATGGCGTTCGCTGCGGCCAAGCGGCTCGACCGGCCACGTGGCTGGCGCCTGCGCCTCTTGCGCTTTGGCGAGCGGCTCTTCGGGAACCACCACCCCAACCGCAAGTGGATGGTCCCAGACGAGGAGCGCGACATCAAGCTCGAGCGCATGCGCGGCGCGGAGGAGCAGAGACACCTCAGGACGATGGAGAAGCTCGGCGGCTCTTCCCGCCAGCCGTCGCCGCTGCCGTCTCTGGGAGACTACCGTGACGACGGGTGGGAAGCTCGCAAGGACCAGCGTGGATCGCTGGCGTCGATGTCGAACGAGTCGTTGTATACCCATATCACGGGGCAGCCCCGTCGTACGCCGGAGCCGCGCCAGCCTGCGCGGAATCCCCGCGAACTCCTGCCGTCTCGGTTCTCGGACACAACGCTGGGATCGCACGAGGTCCGTAGGCTGGAGAAGGATAGGGCAGAGCAGGACCGCTCGCCTACGCCTGCGCAGGAGTATGCGCGATCGTGGATGGTACAGGAAGAGGATACGAGCCGAGGTTCATATTGGCTCAAGCCCTCGAATACCGGCGGCTCCAAGAATCCGTTCCGACGATGAAGTCCTTGGTGACCTGACGTCAAGACCCTTCATGCATGATACTTTCGCATTTGCTTTACCCTTCATGGACCTCTGTACGGATGACACTTGACATTTCGCAACGACGTCTCGCACACGACTACCTCTGTCTCAATGTAGTATACTTACGCCATGTAATCATGCTGTAGCCTTAATTTGTGTCCATTCGTTGGCAATGGAGAGCTATATACCGTAGATTGCAAGAATAAATATCGGATCCGTGAGATTGAAACAGAGTAGAGTCGTGGCATAAGGCCGGACGTCGTGGCAGTGTATGTGAAACGCAGAGCCTGCTCAGCAGTTACACCCCGAAGCGTTTTGGCCGTCAAGACTCTTGCCCGGAGTGACGGTACCAGCCTTTGAACCGTTTGCCGGGGCTGGAGGGGCGGAGTCGACACTGAATCACCACGGGTCAGATATATGGCGAGACTGCCAACAGGGAGGTGCAACGTGCCTGTCTTTGATCTGTCTTGACATGACAATGAATGCCTCCTCGACGTTTGCGGCGGTCTTGGCGGACGTTTCGAGGAATGGTATCTGAATCTGATTTGCAAACTCCTGCAACGATGTTGCGCTATATCAGCCTGACGGTATGGCGTACGAAAGACAGGCACAGCACCTGTGCCGTGTTATACTCGACGGCCTTCTTCTCCACCAAGTCAGACTTGTTGCCAATAAGGAGCCTCTTGACGGTTTCTGATGCGTACCGCTCGATCTCCGTTAGCCAGCTCTTGACGTTCTCAAATGACTCTGTCGTGGGGATATGAGGACAGGCTCCGCCAGCAAATCCGGGAGAACGAACCGGGGTCCGTCACATCGTACACAACTACGATGCCATGCGCTCCTCTGTAATATGCAGCTGCAATTGTACGGAACCGTTCTTGGCCTGACAGTACGAGTTGAATGAATGGCGCACGGGATGGGGGGAGGTCTCATACCTGCTGTGTCCCACTGCCGAGTACAAGGACTCCGTTAGCAGTCTGTCAAGCATCCTTTGACGATGTGGAGGCAACCGCACGTCTACGGACCACCAATAGAGTGCTACGTCTCCTCGCGTACATGGCCACAGTGGACGCGTGGGTCCAGGATGTCCAGACCTGCCTCGAGGCCAGACGTGCCAAAAGGACAAACACTCACAATTTGTAGCTTCACCGTCTTCCCCTCCAGCTCAATGGTGCGGATCTTGAAGTCCACACCGATCGTACTCAAGTAGCTGTCCGTAAAGTTGTCCTCCGCGAACCGTAATAGCAGACATGACTGTGACAGAGGGCCAGGCTCAGTGACTGTCGCTGAATTTGACCGCGTACGCGCTTCACCTTCCCGACACCAGAATCCCCAATAAGCAAGAGCTTGAACAGATAGTCATAACCGTCGGGCATGTCGATCTAGCAGGCACGATAGTTCGGAAGCAAGGAATATGGGTGAAATGGCAGCGTGGATGGTCGGCCGACGCGATCTACGATTCAGGCTGGAGCTCGGGGTAGAGGTGGTGGATTCCCTGGACTTGTAGACCGTGTATGGAGGTATTGGGCTTGCCACACAGCTTTGCTGTGTGATGGGCGCGGCTTTGGTCACTCAGCCACAGCGAAAGCGCATCAAATATGTCCAAGTCTGCAACATCCCGCTCGGCAACTCTCTGGCGGTGCGCGGCAATGCGCGGCAGCGACGCCACAAGCGCTGATGCGCCAAGCACGTGGCCGCGGTAGGTTCTTACCATAGACGCCTGGTGGTCGTCCTCTTTCGACGACGACTGCTTGGTTTCCCGCCGAATACACAGTCAAGCTTCCAACTTTGAGTCCGATTGCTATTACACAAACCTAACTTGAACATACGACGCCTTACATGCCCAGTTGACCACCAACACTCCAGTCAGCCACAGGACTTTCTTCGAACCGAGGGGAGGAGGACCTCAACGCTTACTCCCAACCCTGACCATACTAGACGTCGAGCATGAGCACGCAAGGAACCGCATCCTCCGATTACTACGACAATGATCCAGAATTTCTCAAGGCTTTGAACGAGGCCGTCATCGACATAGATGACCAGCAGACTGCTCCCTCTCGCAGGACTCCGCCGCCTACTGAGCGACCGACTCCCGCTAGGCTTCCATCCTCAAAACGAGCACGCACACCAGACAGCGATGAGGAAGGGGTGAACTATCATGGGGTCCTCGGTTCTGTGGGCGCCGGTGGTCATAACACAACATACCTGGACAGTCACACTTATGGAGCGGCTCGTTTCGGGGAATTTGGCGAGTATATGGCAAGGAAGCGGGCCAAGCTACAGGTCCAAAACGCTGAGATGGACACGGACGAGGCGGATGCGACGCTGAGAATATTCAAGGGGCTACAGATTTATGTGAGTTTGCGTCAGTCTCGTGCTAGTCAGGAAGGAGATGGTTGACCATTCAATTTACATGTAGATCAATGGATGGACTGAACCATCCGTTCAGGACCTGCGCGAGCTTATCATCAAACATGGTGGCATCTACCACCCTTACCTGGACAAGAAGGGCTTGGTGTACGTGGTGTCTACGGTGCTCAAGTTGCTGTACTAACTGAAACCCTGTAGAACGCACATCATCACATGCTCTCTGACACCCGCTAAAGTACGCGAGTTCAAACACATGAGGGTTGTTCGTCCGGAGTGGTTGGTCGAAAGCGCAGAGGCGGGACAGCTGCTGCCTTGGCAAGATCACATTTTCAGGGCTGGAGAGCGCGTAGAGGCCTCTCAAGGCAGGAAAGTCGGACAACGATCGCTGTTCGACGGGTTTGCGTCTCAGGCAGTTGATGCTACGCGTAAACCTGGTCCGTCTGCAGCTATGCAACCAGTTTCAGCCTTCGTCGCGGATGCACAACCCGTAGCCGGGCCCTCGCGCATTGCAGACGCTGTCACGCCTCCGAGCACACCCCCTCGTACACCTAAGAGCAAGAGAAATGAAGAGTCCCCTCGACCGCTCTCCACGTCCGACCCGTCGACACCTGAACAAGCTTCTCGCGTTCCCGGTTACGCTGCACACAAGTCGAATATCGCCGCTCAGCGAGCAATGGCCGATCCTGCATGGCGGGCCGCGCACACGTCAGTGGCCCCGAACTTCATCGAAGGCTACTACAAGAACTCGCGCTTGCACCATCTATCGGCGTGGAAGGCAGAGCTGAAGAACCTCGTCGCGGAGGCCCAGGAGCGCATCGAGGACGGTACTGCATCTACGTGGGGCCGTATGCCGGACGGTGATGAGAGCGCCGTGAGCAAGATCATACACGAGAACATCGGTGGGAAGGTGAAGTCTGGCGGTGACGTCTCTATGAAGGGCGCGCAACTGGTCATGCGGTCACCAAGAGGAAAGGGAAAACCCAAGGCGACGGACGACGAAGAGCGGGTCATCATGCATTGCGACTTCGACAGCTTCTTCGTTTCGGCTGGTCTGCTTGACCGCCCGCATTTGCGCGGGAAACCTGTAGTCGTGTGTCATTCGCAAGGGAATCAGGGAGGAGCCCCGAGTACTAGTGAGATCGCCAGTGCTAGTTATGAGGCGAGAGATTTTGGCATCAGGAGTGGAATGAGGTATGACGCTTACCTACATGGCGGATTCAGTTATATTGAGTCGACCCCTTGCAGTTTGCAACAAGCCCGAAAGCTATGTCCGACCCTCATGACCGTTCCATACGAGTTTCAAAGGTACCGTAGCATACTCTTCTCGTGAAGGAATGATCTCTCATAGTTGCAACAGATACAAGCAGCTCTCGCTACAATTCTACACCATTCTGATGGCGCACGCGGACGACTTGCAAGCTGTCTCCGTGGATGAGGCGTTGATAGACGTCACGAGTAGCGTGGACAGGATCAACACCGAGTTGGCGCATAGTCAGGATTCGAACTCCTCGCTTGTCGATCCCGCGAAGGATTTCGCAGAGGCTATTCGAGCTCAGGTGAGGAAGGTGACAGGATGTGAAGGTAAATCATTCGCTCGCGATTTAACTGCCGTGCATAACTGAATGTTCCTCAGTCAGTATAGGCATTGCACACAACATCATGCTCGCCCGAGTCGCTTCTCGCCGAGCAAAGCCTGCTGGATCCTTCCACATCTTCCCTCACAACGCGCAGGAGCTGCTCGCTCCTCTGGACATTGACGACCTACACGGGTTCGGGAGCTCAGCCCATCAGAAAGCGTTGGAGAAGCTCGGAGCGACTACCCTTGGCGAACTCGCGAAGAGGAGCAAAGCTACGTTGTGCGAGGCTTTGGGTAAGGGAACGGGCGAGACGCTGTACAACGTGATACGCGGAATCGACCATCGGAGGCTCGAGTCTGACAAACCCCGTAAATCCGTGTCTTGCGATATCAACGTGAGTCTTCTCACTGGCTGCTCCGGGATTGCGTACTCATATCGCTCGTCTAGTACGGTATAAGGTTTGAGAACAACTCGCAAACTGAGGCGTTCATCTTCCAGATGGCGGAAGAGGTCGCGCGGAGGCTCGACAACATCGACATGCGCGGGCGATCTTTGATGTTAAAGATTCTGAAGCGGGATCCGAGTGCACCTGTGGAGGCACCGAAGGTATGTTAGCCTCTTCTTGTAGATCGTCTCCTGCTCGTAGACTGACATGATCTGTGACATAGTTCATGGGGCATGGGATATGCGAATCGTTCAACAGGCAAACACCGCTGATTGCGCCTGGCGGGCACGCGACGAGCGACGCCAAGGTTATCGGAGAACACGCATCGAGACTACTCAAGGGCTTCAACTTCGATCCAAAAGAGCTCCGTGGTATTAGCATACAGATCCAGAAGCTCGAGAAGGGTCCCGCCGCTACAGTCTCAGGGTCTGGGCAAGCTGTACTCCCCTTCAAGGCGAAGCCGACTAGGGCCGCGGTTGAGCCCGACCCGACATCTTCAAAATCACAAGCGAAGCGCGATGTTCAAGCAGCTGGTCCTAGCATCGTTGTAGAACCACCATCGCAGGATGAAGAGATTCAAATTGTCGAACGACCTCCCAAACTCATAGGTGCCACTGTCGCAGTCGATCTCCCGTCCTTCTCTCAAGTGGATATGTCGGTGTTCGATGCCTTGCCTGATGACGTGCGAAAGGAGCTCGAGACAGAGTACAACCGTCGGTCCACCACACCTGCTGCCGAAGCCGGACCCTCTCGCAGTCGATCAGCCTCCATAGCCGAAGAGCAGAAGCTCAAGATCACCGTGAAAGGCACGAACGTCAAGCATATCACACGGCAGCTAGCACCAAGGAACAGGACCGGTATGTCTCCGACCAAGAGCACGCTGTTCGCGAAGCGAGACGGGCCTTCCGGAATTAACGTCTCTGAACGGGACCTACGCAAGCTCGATATCGACCCAGAGGTCTTCGTGATGTTGCCCGCGGACGTACAGCGAGAGCAGCTAGCCGCGGCACGAATTGCAAAGGCACCGGGGGCAGCCGTATTCCACGAGCGAAAGGTGCTCAAGCCAAAGAGTCGATCGAAGTCCCAGTCCGTGCCATACTACCGGCCGCCCGCCCCGCGAGCGAAGTATATCGAGCCGCCGTTCCTGAAGCAGCAGGGCAAGGACGAGAAGCTCTACTTCACCGAAAAGGAGGACGTGCAGCGCGTGATCGAGACGTGGGTTGACGGGTTTCGGGAATACCCTCCGAACCAGAGGGACGTCGACTACTTCGCGAAGTACCTTGTTCAATGCGTGGATGGCTTGGGGTTGAGCGATGCAGGTATCGAGAAGGCGGTCGCAGTTGCACGTTGGTGGCTCGTGCTTCTGCGGAGACGCTATGGAGTATGGGAACATGCTTCCGAGGCGACAGAAGACAGTGCCGGGCGAGTCACTACAGAGGTCGTCGGCCGTGCATGGTGGAAAGCGTTCCGAGAAGTCAAAGCCAAGATGGATGTGGCTGCGAGGAAGAAGTACGGTGGATCCTTGTCCATTAGATGAAATGCGAATTGAAACGGCCCCCGCCAGTCTGCATGATACATAGGTAATACTTGCAAAATCCACTCCAGCATGAGTGCACTGTGGAATTGACAACACTCCTTCCAGTTCAGGTCATTGCATCGAATTCAAACCTGACCACCTGCCTCTTTTGGCTCAGTCAGATGAAGATTGGCCGCGATTTACTTCTCAACAGGCGCGCTGCATCGTACCCCTTCACCTAGGTTATCGTCGGACGAGGTTGATATGTTGGACGGATCGCAGCACACAAGCTCTTCGCATGCTCACGACTTCGAGGACGCTAACAAGACCTACTATGATAAACATGCTCACAAGTATGATGAGCGGCCCAATGCGAAGATCTTGGCGCGCAGACTCGCTTCTGCGATTCGCCAAATGTATCCCAACTTGTTTGATGAAGACAAGACGACGTTGATGGACTACGCATGCGGCACCGGTATGGCCACTCTCTGCTGCATGGATCTATGCAGAGGCTGACAGGATGAATTTGCAGGTCTCATCTCTCGGGAGCTATGCCCGTATGTCAAGTCGGTTGTAGGGGTTGACATCAGCCAAGGGATGGTCGATCAGTTCAATCTTCGGGCCTCGAACCAGGGGCTTGTCCCGGAAGAGATGAAGGCCGTATGCGTTGACTTGAAGCAAGACGATCATGAACTACGCAGCACGAAGTACGATGTCATAGTAGTAAGAGACAAGATGCACTTCGTGATTCGCGACGCTCATATTGAATAACAGTGCTCTATGGCCTATCATCACTTTTCATCCATAGAGGATGTGACGCACCTCCTCGCCTCCTTCCTCCAACCTGGTGGCTCCCTTCTAGTTGCAGATATCTATCGGAGCACTCTTCAGACGGATATATTCCCCCACGAACACGACGCTGGCGGTGACGAACACATCGTCGCCCACCAACGAGGCTTCGATGAAGAAGACATGGGACGGGTCTTCCAGACGGCAGACCTCGTGTGCAAGGACTTCAGTGTTGTGACGTCGGGGAAGATGCACGGGAAAGACGTCGATTTCTTTGTTGCGTGCGGCGTCAAGTCCGCTGCAGACTCATGAAAATGTTGCAAACCACTTACTCAGAGTTGGTGCGGATGTCAAACCATGTATGTCGTATGAATGCTGGGTCTCTTGCGGCCCATTGGGATGTGTCGTCGCACGTTCTAGGCTTGGCCAGAAAGAAAAAATATTGCGTGTGCCGGGAATCGAACCCGAGGCAGGGCCACTAAGTGTCGTACTGAAGCGCTTATATGGGAAGACCCTATGTTACCATTACACCACACACGCTAGTAATGTGGCGCTATTCTGTTGTATGATCGATCGGCTGACAGCTGCCGACGGTCGATCGCTCGGCTTGAGCAAAATATGATTGGCAAGGTGGCGGTGGCGGCGGCCGAGTAGATGTAGTTAGGGTTTGACGAGGTCAAGCCCTTATCTTGCTTGCTACCGCACTGTCGACAACAGACAGTCAAGACCAATGTCCAGAATGACTGTTGCTCTCAAAGAATCTGTGCGGCCAGCTGTACTCACGATTGCGGGTTCAGACTCAAGCGGAGGAGCGGGAATTCAAGTAGAGCACCGCTCATTTCTTGGTCGAAAGCGTCAGATATTCATTTGAGATCTAACGTCTGTAGGCTGACCTCAAAACATTCACTGCACTCGGATGCTATGGTTCCAGTGTCATAACCGCGTTGACGGCCCAAAACACGACGGGCGTCCAAGGGGTCCACCCATGTCCCCCAGAATTTGTTAAACAACAGGTACGCAGCGAATCAATATAATGCACGGTATCTCACACCTCGGGCTTAGCTACAATCTATACTAGACGACATAGAGCTGAAGGCGATCAAGACTGGAATGCTGCATGATGCTAGCATCGTTCATGTGACCGCCGAAACGTTGAAGGCATACTATGGTGCCAGTATACCGCCCCTCGTAGTCGACCCAGTGTGCGTTTCGACATCCGGGCATACGTTGCTACAATCCGAGGCCGTCGCGACTATGGTCTCCGAGCTCTTCCCGCTCGCCGCCCTCATCACGCCAAACAAATCTGAAGCCGAGCTGCTGCTCTCTCATTGCGGCTCGCCCTCCAAATTGGAGAGCGTAGAGGATATGTTGCCTGCTGCCAAAACACTGCTTTCTACTGGGTGTAAAGCCGTGCTTCTGAAGGGCGGGCACATTACGGCGACGATGAGCGAGGTGAAGAGAATATCCGCGGACCACCCAGAGATACAGATTGTACGTGAAGGCCTCCTAGGCGGGAACATGGAGATCCTGCAGATCTCGGAGGAGGACCCGTCGTCCAAAGCGCTTGTAATCGACGTCTTGCAAGAGGCGGACTCGACTACCTTGTTTGTCCGCCCTCGCGTTGAGTCGAAGAGCACTCACGGGACGGGCTGCACGCTCTCCTCTGCATTAGCATGTGCGTTGGGCCGCGGGAAGGACTGTAAGTAGAAACTATCTCCGGCATCTGCGTCGTTTGATCTGTGTCCGCTTTCACAGTTATCGAAGCAACACGATCGGCCACGGTCTACATTCACCTCGGCATCGAGACCGCGGATCCTATAGGCCAAGGACACGGCCCTCTGAACCACATGCACCCAATCGTGATACGCAGTGTTCCGCAGTACGTCACAATTGTCTCCAACAATGCCACTTATTAACATCGCGTTGAAGACCGACACCGAGCGTGCCGCATCCGTTGACTCGCATCCTGATTGATTCTTGTCGGGAGACATGGAAGGCGTACGTTGAGCACGAGTTCGTCAAGCAACTCGGGCAGGGAACCCTCGCGAAAGAGTGCTTCCTGCACTTCATAAAGTGCGCAGCATGTTCTGTCGCATTTGCAAAGTTCTGAAATGACATACATGGCATGCAAGACAAGACTACCTCTACTTGCGATATTACGCGAGGGCATACGCGTGAGTCCATGACCCATGACAAACAAATTGTGCCGATTGTTGACAAAGGGTCACCAAGATTGCTCGCAGCGAAGTCGTCGACGTTCTCCTCTATACAAGCGGCCACCGCTACAATCATCACCGTCATCAACGAAGTCACCATGCACCGCGCATACTGCGCACAATGGGGCATTACCGAAGACGAACTGAAGGCTACGCCGGAGTCGCCCGCGACAACTGCATACGGCGCATTCATACTTGACACCGGGCTACAAGGTCAGAGTGCCCCCGTTGATTCATCTGCGTTCGTCCCCGGCTTATACTTGACATAGGTGACGCCTCGCGCTTAGTGATGGCCCTTGTCGCCTGCCTACTCGGCTATGGCGAGGTCGGTCTGTGGCTGAAAAAAGAAGCAGCGCGGCCGGACAGCTGGGTGAAGCTGGAGAACAACCCCTACAGAAAGTGGATCGACGACTACTCCGGGGAGGACTACCAGAAGGCCGTAAAGCTCGGGCTAGGTGTGCAGGCTGCTCTCCGTCGGCCGTGTTCAGTCCGCTGACCCGTAAGGCGATGTAGACGCGATCGAGGCTATGGCCGTCGCTGACCCCCCGTCGCCTGTGCGATTCCAGGAGTGGCAGAGCACTTGGGAGCGATGTGTGCGGCTGGAGCAGGGCTTCTGGGATATGTCTATGGGCCTTCTATAAGCGTCGAGGAGTGTAAGATCTATGTGAAGGATGACGGATGAATACACGCAAATGTACAATAGTAGGCCAGTGAAATATTGACACGACGCGGCGAGAATGGTTCACAAGAGAGTCCATGTACAAGCATGGGGGCTACCATCGAGCCGTCAAATCAAGATTCAGGTTTTAGTGCCTACATACGTCGACGTCGGCGCAATTGCATCTCTCATGCCCATCGCCAACGGTGCCTCCCTTGGTACCCAGCAAGCTCATCTTGTTTGCGAGTTCTTCGGCACCGTCGTCTGCAGAGGGACTACCCAATGGAGATTGCAAGCCCCACTCGCCCTCCAGACCGGAAATTACCTGTGATATGGGCGGTCTCTTGTCACGGTCGCCATCCCAGCAAGCTTCCATAAGGGACCAAATGGTGTCGGATAGCTCGGGAGAGACGTCTTCCACAGGGCGCCGGGGCCTTGCACCCTGCACCACTTTCATCATGACGGTTGAATCCCTTTTGATTTCCGGGAAAGGTATCGTCGCGGTGAATACCTAGATTCCTATGATTAATGCATCCACCGACAAATCATTTTGCGGCATACCTCCCACATCACCATGGCGTAGGAGTAGACATCGCTCTCCTTGGTTGGCGCCGCGCTCGTCAGATCGAACTCTTCTGGGAGGGGTTGTGCAGCTCCGGCGACATCCAGCGGATCGTTGAACGAAACCCTGTCACGTTGGTGACAGTGTTCATCGGGAGTTCTAAGCACGATAGCCTAGTCCGGATCTCCTGCAGAACGGTTTGAGTCGATCTAGGCTCGATGAGCCTTAGGAGAACTATCACGACAATGATGTGTCTGCGAACTGGTGCAGGGGCAAGAGAGAATCTGAGAGTTGTGAACCCATGTCAGATCGTACGCGTCCCCTTATAATCCGATTCATGCATGTTACTATATTTTCCCGTGCCTGTGAGGATGACGGGTGTCACAGTAATGAGCTAGCATCTGCTCAAAGGTTGTTCGGCTGAGACTTCCATGGGTACGTTGTATGGACAGAACTCGTGTGCCTTGCGGCGCTGCTTGACGGGCCTTCAATGGACCATGAGATAAGACTGATAGCAGAGGTCTCTGTTAATCACGGCGCGAATAGACGTTCATGAGCACACCTCTTCCCGGTTATGTCTTATTCGGCTCTCCCAATCCCGCCCTTGTATTCGCTTTCATGTTTCATCTATGATAGGACCAACCGTCAGTGTTCCCGTTACGTTTCCATGGTGAAACAGTGCCCTAGCTTCACAATCCGACATCACACGACGTACCACACAGTGGTTTGGGGTCTGAAGCAAGATCGACATCCCCCATAACCGAACGTCCGATGCTTACTAACTTATAAGCAGCGTTATAAACTCAATTATAATCGCGCATTTGCACATTCACGCGACAGTACGGCACTAGGTCCGAGCCACCTTCTGTGTCGCTGAAGGATTTGTGGCATGCCAGCCAAACAATGTGCCTGCGAGATCATCATCTTTACACTCGCAACCACACGGAATTAAAGACGTACCGATGACAGATAGACCACACGAACCACACGAACAATGATGTTGTTCAATTGTAATGCCTCACTTTCGCGCTTGTTCCGAGACAACAATTGCTTGAAGAAGCCGGAATACGTATGTTGCGGGCTACTCCGAGTCGAAGGTGTCCTGAATAGGTAGACGATTCCCTCGGTGAGGACAATCCGAAGGCCGAGTCCAAAGGGAGTGGGGAAGCGTTACAGCTCGATGCCCGCGTCTCGTTCACTGACCACGGTGTAAACGCAATTGACGTCAGGACGTCAGAGAACCCTGCGGGCTTGGAGCCCCTGAGAATGCTGAGCAGATTGCGTGGTTGATATATCTCTCGTTCTGGTGTTAACGTCATAAATGTGAGCAACGGGAATGCACAGTGTGTACAGGTGGACCTGAGAGCAAAATGAAACAATAGCAAATGACAATGCACGACATCGCCGACACAGACGTCGTCACATTTGCTTATGCATCAGATAACGGCGAGGAGGGGTCTCGAACAGAATCAACGGTCTCTGTTTCAATGGCAATCTCAACCTCAGGACCAGCTTTGCGGGCCGCGGCGACGACAGCCTTCCCCGTTTTCACCCTTGTTGTTGTGCCTTTGCGGGCGCTCGGGCAGAGGCCATCATTGAGCTTGCAGGTATCACATCGAGGGCCAACGGGGAGGCATATTGTCTGCGTAGTCACGGCATGAGCGGTAAGGGTAGGCGGTACACTCGAAGCCTTACCTGGCCAAATCCTACCAGAAGTGCATTGATCTCGGGATGTAGCTCCAGCGGCAGCCATGACTGGAGGTTGAGGCTACAGGAGTGGTGAATGTGAGATTGAAAGGAAAAGATGAGGGCGGACTTACCGTGTTTCCTCAGGGTTCTTGGTCGGCGGCTTGTGCCAGCCCAGCCTGTTGGTGATGCGATGAACGTGCACGTCAACTCCTATGCCCACGTTCCTGTATTAATCGGTAAGCGACTCCGCGGATGTACTGAAGACTATCGCTGCCCACAATTTCCACGCGTCTTGCAGGCAGAGAAAGGCCATCTTCGGGCCAACGCCTGGCAGGGAGCAAAGTTCGTCTACCGTCTTAGGAACATCGGAGTCGAAATCATCGCACAGCCGCTGTGCGGCTTGTTTGATATACCTGAAAATCCGTTCAGCCACCAGTATGGCCATCGTAAGGGCACAACTCACTGCGTCTTGCGTCGCCAGAAAGCGACCTTACAGATAGCGTCGGAGATCACGGAGTCGTCCGCCCTGACAAGTGCATCCACACTGAGACTACCACCAACAGCCTCGCGCAACTTGCCGACGGCCGCGAACGTGACTTCGTCCTTCGTCTGGGAGGACAACATGAGAGAGATCAAAGTGGCAAACCGTTGATTCTGGAACATGCATCATTGAGATGATGTCGCCCAATGCGAATACGAACGTACTCACCTGCGGGATAGTCTCTTCTAGCTGTGCCCTATTACAACCCATCGTGTCGACAGGAGCCACAATGCGGGAACGCATCTCCTTGATGGCATTGTATGCTTCGGACCAACGGGCAGGGGTTGGATGCGGTGTCTCCAATGCTTGCTTGATAGGTTTCTGCTTCTTGGGAGATGTGGTACCTTCCCTCTTCACTCGAGTCGCCGGCTTGCGTTTACTGGTCCCTGTGGCTGGCGCGTCCACTGCGACTTGCAGCGTCGTCTCCTCGAGGCCTTCGAACTTCACCAATAAAGACCGAGCGTCATCGCGAGGCTCTGATGGCCCGCTCTCGACCTTTATGCGTTTTGACCGCCGCAGGGTCGTATGACTGCTTTCGGATGTCGGCGTGAGCGTCGAAACAGGGCTGCCGCTTAGATGCTCACTGGCACGCAGGAGTATGACGGGAGAAGCACTTCTCTTCATCGGAAGTCTACGTGATTGGAATCCTCTGACTGATGGTAAGCGGCAACGAAGCAGTGCCAGCTTTTGAGCGATTTTGACAAGACGTAGTAGTCGAGGTCAGTTTGAACAGGTTTGAACTTTGCCGCACATGACCCAGAAACAAGCGCTCAGAAGTACCGCTCCCGAAAAGGTAATACAACTGAAGTAATCGACGATATGCCCATCTCGAAGTGTTCATGATCAATGCCGTAGAAGGGAGCAATGTTGGGATGGGTGAGACATTTCCCTATCGTCGCCTTTTTGACGATATTCTGTCATTTAATGGCTACTACAACACTGCACACGAATCACTGGCAGAACGATGGCAGCACAATGCCAATGGTAAGATGTCCCGCGTCATGAGCATGATCGGGAGGGCGTCATCCTGCATTCGCGTGTGCCAACAGTCGACGGAAATACTGTCAAGCACGCACAGAACGAGGCTTAATGGTCTGAGCCTAGACATATTCAAATGCTCTACTCACCTGTGCCAGTTCCTTGCCACTGTCCGAGTCGCAGGGAGACCGCTAGACCGGCATGTCCTCTTCTTTGCGTGCCATGAAGGGCTGTTTCCGCGCCGCCTTCTATCTGACGTCGACTTCTTCCTGCACCTCTACGTTGAGCAATGGACCTGGAGACGACTCCCCTTTCATTGCCGCACCCGAACCTTCGAGCCGAGACATTGCTGTCGACCCAGTAGGGCAGAGACCGTCATTGAGACCACAAGATTCGCACCGTGGTCGTACTGGAAGACATATGGTCTAAGTGGCATGTCAGCATGGTCGCTGGCCCCGGAGGTCCGGAGCCCATCCTTGAATTCCGACGAACCTGGCCGAAACCTACGAATAGTTTCGTGAACGTCGGGCGCAGATCCTCTGGAAGCCAACCCTCCAGGTTCGATCTGTCCAAATGATCATCAGACGCTCGCGTGCAACTTAGTCCATGGCCGCCTTCATACCGTGTCTCCTCTGGCGTCTTCGTAGGACGGTCATGCCAGCCAAGCCTATTTGTCACGCGATGAACATGTACGTCCACACCTACTCCCGCATTTCTGCGATACGGTCATTATGTGGCCTCGCGATCCAAGGTCCTTGTGTAGACGTACATTTTCCACCCGACATGGAGTGCAATGATCGCCACCTTCGGACCGACCCCAGGTAATGAGCACAGTTCGTCGACAGTTTTGGGGATGTCGCCGTCATATTCGTCTTGTAAGCGTCGTGCTGTGCGCTTGATGTAGCTGCGGATCATTGCGATTGTCAGCAGCTATCCTTGAGATGATGAATGCCAACTTGGAGCATCACTTACTCCGTTTTGCGACGCCAAAATCCGACTTTGCATATCGCCTCTGAAACGGCATCGTCATTTGTCGCAAGAACAGCATCGACGCTCAAGCTTCCGCCGACTGCCTCGCGCAACTTGCGGACAGCCGCTGATGTGACTTCATCCTTCGTTTGGGAGGAGAGCATCAGCGACACCAGCGTCGCAAAACGTTGATTCTGCAGCATCGAATCAACCATGAGCACGTGCTAGAGCGGCATGATATTTACTGACCTTGGGAATGGTTTCCCCTAACTGCGCGGCGCCAGCACCCATGGTATCAACCGGAGCTACAACGCCTGAACGCATCTCTTGGATTTTGACGTATACTTCACGCCATCGCGCCGGGGAGGTGATGAGTCCTAGGTCCCGAGGGATTGCTCTCGACCTCTTGCGGGGGGACGACGCATCTCTAGCTGTTCTGCGACTCTTGCTTGGTCCTGAACTGCTCGACTGTGAGGAGGTCAGTGCGACTTCACGTCCTATGTTACGGTCGCGGCGGACCAGTATTGCACCAGCTCCTGCCTCATTCGATTCCTGTTTCGTGGCCGCCGCGTCCTCGACGCTGTCATCTCCGACCACCGAAGGTGCCTCAGTTCTGAGGCGTTTGGACCGTCTTGAAGAGCACAGGGCCTCTGTACCTTTTGGCGTTTCATGAGAAGTAGGCAGCTCAAACAGTGTGACGGCTGAGTGGTAAGAACTCGTTCTAGATGTCAGACTTGTCTCGGGCGGGGGACTGCGCTTCCTGGGCCTGAGCATCGACATGTCGACACAAGCAACTCGTAGCTGATGTGGTATGCCAGTGAAGACTAGGCATTAAGCGCCTGTCGCGATGGCGGACTTTGTGGGTCCACAGCGCCAATTCGGGATAGGCATGTGAACGATGGTCGCTCTTCGGAGTCTTCCCTCTCTAGACTTCCCTTGACCTCGGATCAAATCTCGCTGACAACGGCTCGATATCGTCATGGCCTGACAATGTCGACGCGATGTCTTCGGAGGACTCTGAGCCGTGATACAGTCGCATCCAACATCGCTACTACGCGTGTCGGTAAGTTACTATAGGATGTACCCCCTTATGTATTATTCAACACCCCCCGCCGGAGGATCCTTTGTGCAGGATCTATCATCTAGTACGGGCGCTGACGTCACTCCGCGACACGACTTCGCAACATCGTTCGTACGTCTAGTCAAGCAGCAGCGGTCCTCTTCGTTGTTTCACCTGGCTCAGACACCCAAGTCCGGAAACCAAGGATGAGTACGATCTACCCACTTGAGCCGCCGAAGGTCAAAGCCAGCGACGTCTGCTGAGGACGCTGGAAGGGCTTGCAGTTGTATGCATATTCGGGCCAAGCCCTGGAAGAACTAGGGACACATCAGAGGTGCAGCAGCGGTGTAAACATAAGACCCGATGCTAACCGCTCTTCGGTCCTCTGCCCAAATGCTTGCAAACCCTTCTAGGCCCTCGAGGCTGTCGAGCATATCCTCCGCAAGGGCAAATGACTGGGCTGGTGAATATTGCCCATTCTAAGGCAGAACATGAGTGCAGTCCACTGACGTTGCAAACATCCATACCGAAAGCATCTCCTCGACCTCAGGTACGAAACGCCGTAAATCAGGCAACGGTAATGCAGGTGCGAGATCCTCGTATTCAGGTTTGAACGCCCACTTGTGCCGGCGCACGAAGTTCAGCGCAGTGCGTTGATATGGCAGCGTACATTGCTTGTATGTGATCTGACAACCTATTCAGGCAATACGCGGAGCCATGTTCGAGAGGGAACGTACCGCGCACATCGCCATCGACATTACTTGAAGAGCAGTGAGAAAGTTGAGCTGTATCTTCATCTCCTCGCGTGCTGTGCATCGTCGTCTCAGACGATCAGTCGCGACGTAACGTGAAGGTGGACTCACCTTGCGTATCGAAATTCAGAATTTGATCGATGCACTCCAAATGGGCGTCCAGAATGCGGGACAAGTACCAATATGCGATGGTCACTTCCTCTCTGGCGTATAGATCCTGTTGGAGCCCAGACAGGATGATCTCCCTAGAGGCCGCTAAACGACGCATCGTGGCTATGCTCGGCATCACATCTACAAGGGCTTGTCCTTCGCTGTCCTGGACACGAAGATAAGCGGCGAGGAAGTAGAACTGCTGTTCGTACGACCTACGAAGGGCTCGCAATAGGGGATAAGTTGCAAGAAGAGATCAAAGACCTCGTGCCATTGCAGCGAAGCTTTCATGAAGTATCGACGCCTCCTGGGTGGATTATACGAATTCGCTCGCAGGTCAGCCGCTGTGTACTGCGAACGCAGTCAGCAGACTCGGCTCACAGCCGTCACAAGTTAGCTTCACCTTGCAGATACGATTTTCGATCTCTTTCTTCAACCACAGGGCAGAACTATCGTTGCGGATACAAATCTTGGAGAGGAAGGCCTCGTACGAGCATCCGACCGACTCCTGGAAGAAGCATTCTACCGACCACATAGGTGGTAACCGCCCCATGACATTGCCTCTGTCATAGACGACGGACTGCGGGAGCGTTGAGTGACGCCTCCGCACGTTCACGCCGTGCTCACCTGTGACAATGAACGCAGATATGCCGGATGAATCTCGTGTCGCGGAGACCATATTCTCAAGCAGCCTGCGATCTGATGCAAGTAAGAATGAGATTGGGGCCGTAACGGATGGTCGCCTCACCTCCCAAGTGGAGACGCATGGGTTATCGAGCAAGTGGCTCAGCTCTTCCCAGCCGTCTAGAAGCCGAGAAAGGTGATCCCAAGCTTGTTCTTGAGGTGGTAAGTCGATAATGCGGACTGGCATGAAACATGCTAAACGGCGGCTAATGTGCGGATCGAATACGAAGGCTGCAGGCGAATCCGGTGTGGGCTGCGTCAGACTTTGAGAGCGTATTCTTTGCAGCAGCACACGGGCATCGATGGACAATCTTCGGAGCTCTTTTTTGCTCAACGGCAGAGTGAGCTTGAGTAGCTGCATGACTGTCTGCACAGGCATCAGGATCCCTGTCTACGGTCCACGCTATGACATCCCGCACCTTGCGGAGTAGCAGCCTGTCGTGTAAGAGTTGGACGTCTTGGGCGGAAAGGTTTGAATACTGTAGCCACGTCAAGGCGTCGTCAACCTTTCTCAAGACGAAGTCAGCAGAGATCCCTTCTAGCAAGGAGACCTCGCTCTTCTCGCCCAACCAGTCCTCTACCTATCAGATGGAGTGAGAACTACGGGGGCAGGACATTCATGAAGGGCTGACATCATGGACTTTGCCTTTCGAGAGTTCTCTCCATGCGAGGTCACAGCTCTTCAGCAGTGCCATTACGCTCGCCCGCATTACAACGCTGAGCAGCTCTAGCGGGCGCCGCGGATCTGGAGGATATAGATACCGCTGGTGCCCGGTGATGAAGTCTGGGTTGAGGTCGTCCAGATAATGAACATAGAGTAGGGTATGGACTGTTTGCGTCAAACTGGCGCCTGCGTGCCATTCCATCTGACGCAACGAGCGTAAAATACATGAACGTAGGTAGCGGCAAGATGAATTGCGAATCACCTCGCACGCAAAGGCCCGGTCTAGGATCCAACAGATCTCCTGAGGCAACATGGGGGCTAATGGGTCGAATGGAGGACGTTGCTGTGACTCTGTGACCATCCCGCTGTCCATGCGTGGCTCTCCGATCTTTGTGGTCTGGTCAATAGCTTGCATCATGGAGCGCACCTGTCCGCACCTCGAAGGCACTCATCGCGTCTAGCAGCGAGAATGTGTCCGTCATTAAGAGTGCCTCTGGATCCATATCTATTCAAGCCATGCCCCCCTTCAGCCCTTGTATCGGAGGATCCGTGCACAAGACTCACCATTCGCTGCCGCCGCGAATAGCTTGGTCACATCTTCAAAGTCGCTCCCGCCCGGCAAGTCCACGTCCATGTCGTACATGTTGACGAATGAATTTCGATCACGCCCCCAGAGCCAAGGGCAGCAGAGCCAGGAAAGCGGTGTCGCCAGTTATCGCTCGCCGTAGTCAAGCTGTCAGAGACGGAGGACGCAGTAGGGCAAGGAGTACGGTCGGGCGTCTACGGCGATCGCAAACGCGACCTGCCAGTGCTCGACGCGTCGCGTCAGCTCCGTGAACTTGCATGTCACTTCTTGTCTCCGTCCGGCGATGTTGCCGTGCAACTCGCGACAGTCTTCGAGCATGTATTCGAGGTCATGCATTTCTTCCAGCTAGGTCCTATAGCAACGTCCAAGCACAGCCGGGCTCAAAAGTTATATTCTCTGGCATACAGCCGACAGGGATACCGCATGTGCGAACTGACAAGCAGTCTTCGCGTTAATTGCGCTCACGCTCGAAATGCTATAGCTAGGGAACTACCTCGGTGCACTCCTGAACTGGGTGAATCTGCAGCGCAATGCGCACCCGGACGACAGGCTGCTGTTCTCCATCGTCGGGTGGCATGCTCTGACTTTGCCGCAAGATCCAAAACTGCTCAAGGCCGCTCGCAGAGAAATGCTGGCAGTCCTCCTCGCCATAGGCCTCGATCCAGAGCGTTCCATTATCTTCTATCAGGAAGATGTATGTGAGCAGTGATCCTCCTACCCTTTTGATGTATCGAACCCTTGCCGCAGAATCCACATCATACCGAGTTAGCGTGGGTCTTCAATTGCATCACACCCATGGGGAGGCTCCAGCGCATGACTACATGGAAGGTACGGATTTCGATACCCCTCCGTGAGAAGTATATTGAGAGACCGGGCAGTCAAGGCTAGCGATATCACGCAATGCGAGAGACGAGTCGGAGGTCGACGAATCCCACCTGAATGCAGGATTGTTCACCTACCCCGTGCTGCAAGCCGCCGATATTCTTCTCTACAAGTACGCGGCTCCCCATGTCTTTGGCTCGCACGACTCACAGACGACAGGACTACGCATGTGCCCGTAGGCGAGGATCAGCAGCAGCACATCGAGCTTTGCCGGGACATCGCAGATACATTCAACCGCACGAGCAAACTAGCGCGCCCTTTCTTTCCGCTACCTGAGTGCATGATCAGTGCGTATCCCCTGTAACATCTGCCCTATGTTGTTCTGATGTCGGCTTAGGTCCGACTCCAAGGGTGTTGTCGCTGAGGGATCCGTCCTCCAAGATGTCGAAGTCAGCGCCAGACGAGAAGTCGCGTATCCTTCTGACGGACACGGCGGAACAAATTAAAGTCAAGGTCCGCGGTGCGGTAACCGACACGCCTATCGGTATCACGTACGACCCGCAGAGCCGACCTGGCGCTGCGAATCTTTTGACTATCCTGGCTGCTTGTACTGGCGAGGATGTCATGAAGGTCGCGACGCGGTACCACGACAAGGGCCATGGTCAGTTCAAGGCCGACGTGGCGGACGCGGTTGAGGAGATGTTCAGGGGACCTCGCGCTGAGTTCGAACGATTGAAAGGAGAAGGGGCATATCTCACATCAATTGCTGCTACCGGAGCAGAGAAAGCAAGGGCATTATCAGAAACAACCATGAAAGAAGTACGGTCGAGGCTCGGATTAGCTTAGGTATGATACTAAGCTGCTTTGTACAGGCTGTAGAGCGCTTTGCGCGTGTAGAGTCAGCGGGGCCGAATACATTGTTCTCACATTTCTTCTGCATATATGTCAGCGCGACACTCTCGCGGCGAGCAAAAAAGCGCACAATACCTCCAAGATACTTCAAAGGCTCTTCCGTACCGACCAACCCTCCCACCCCTCTCTTCCTCCTACCGCTCTCCCGGCCTTGATGTTGAGGTCCTTCTCAAGACCGACCTGGTCAAGGATGGCCGCAACCAAGATCGCGGCGGCCTGAGGGGCCCAATTCTTGGCGACGCACGTCAGCTTACCGGCGCCGAAAGCGAGGAGAGTGCGAGGCTGCTGCCTAGTGCAGCGCTGCGGATGATGGCGTGCGGGGTCAAATTCTCCTAGAGAACTGGCCCAACAGCTATCACGCTGCAGTGCTTCAATGTCAGCGGCGACGGTGAGTTGGCGAGTAAAGAATTGAGGTAAGAGTTTGGTGAGGATGGATGGACTTGTGACTGGCATGACGCGCGAGATGCGGCGTGTTGGCGGGTAAAGGCGCAGGACTTCTTGCATGAAGTTGTCCACACTGATGCTGTTATAACGGAGGTTAGTGTCTCTATGCGCAAGGTAACATGAAGGCCTAATGTCAAACCTATTATCAGCGAGGTTGCGGTATTGCTCGTTCGTCGGCTGCTTCAAGAGGGCGGCGAAGAGTCTAGTTGCTTCGACGTCATCGTATGCTAGGGATACGGCGACAGCGACGACCCTCCACATTGTCTCGTAAGTTGGGATGATGATTTCGATGGGATTGTCGTATGTTGGCAGCCAGCGGCGCAAACGTAGGTTGACCTCTTCCAGCAGCTCCGGACAGTATGTAGACGATTTGGACAATGTCCAGATCTTGTTGATTCCAACTGCTACTAGATCGAGGTCGTCCACTTCGATAGCGGACTCGTCCACATACCCGGCCAACAAGGCTACAAGGATCACGTGCAGGGTGATCCTTCGTATAAGAGTGTCGAATGCCACGATGGAGGGGAAGTTGGTGCATAGCAAGTGAACAGATACCATCTGTTTGGCGACGTATGCCAGGCGACCCCAAGGAAGGTTTCGCGGGGAAATGAGGGCGGTGGCAAACCTAGTGAACGCGTCTTCAGTGAAGACCTCGAACAGAGATTATCTCAACAACCTACTTAGTGAATGCGCCGTGCGCAGCAACGTCGCTGTTTACAAAGGTCGAGTTGATGTTGAATGCCCGCGCAAGGCGAGCGTTGGCAAGTGCTCGACTAGAAAGGTGGTCAGCGATATGGGCAGGACGGGAAAGCAATTGTTCAATATCGGCAAGGCTCGTCAGCCTCTTAGGAACGTGAGGCTTGGGTGAAGGATAGAGACGACGAGAGAGACAGTACGTGCATAGAACAACGAGGAAGGCATAAGCATACATGGGCACGGTGCTTTGAATCATATCGGACACCCAAATCGCTCATCCCGTCGGTCTTTTATAAGTACAGCTTACCAGGGTGCGAATCGTTTCTCGGCTCCATGCAGGGCATCGCGAACTCTATCAGACCCTCGTGCAAGCCAGGGCGTGAGTGCACAGTCGCCTTCGGTACGTTCGAGAAAGTGACAATGCCTAGTCTCCCATAGGCAGACAACTTTAGGGCGACCTCTCTGAGGGGAGGGGGGCGGTTGTCTAAGGACAATGCCCGACCATAAATGCGACATTCTGTCACCTGCTCGTTGCCGCCTCCACATAATATGACAAGGTTCGCCATACGTAGCATGGAAGCCTGCGGTCGCGCAGAAATGTTCCGTGTACAAGACACTGGCAAGCGCAGGACGCGGGTGTTTCCGAGTCGGTGTCAGAGAACTTGGGATTTTCGGTGAGCAGACTCGGAGTGTCATTGAACCTAGTACGAACCATTGTTCGGGACCCAGATGGATGGATGGAGCAGACATCAACCCTCCAAAAGAGGGTCTCGAATGCCAGTGTGCTGCTATGATGCGTGCGGCCCATCACGCAGCGTGGAAGCTTCAGCAACAGCGCGCAAGCTGAGGGTTGCTGTATGTCGGTTACCCGTTCACTCTGAGGAGGTACCTCTGCACACACCCGTTTGACGTTGATCAGGGTAGGGCTAACGCTGATGGGCGTGTTTACGATGGTATGTATACCGGGCCAGTGTAGCGACTTGCCAGTTGTATTGACAATCGACGGTGCCGTGAGTTCAAAAGCGACCTCCGCTTCTCGAGTGGCATTTGCTGCCGTGTGTTCGACAAGAATGCGATGGCAGAGATGAACACATGTACCATGAGAGCAGCGGCTCGGTGCCGGGTGGAGGATCGCGAAGCGAAATGAGTACGGCCGTACTTACAAGGACATATGGGCGTGGTGTGTGTTTCAAGCATCGCCGGTTGGCTCAGTGGCTGTAGTGGCTCTACACGGGAATGCGAGGCGGTTGATTTCAGTGGCCAAGTCCATTTGTGCGCTGGTTCAAGGCCGTCCCCTCCGGAAAATTTGGTGTCTGTCAGGTTCCCTCTCGGAAGAGAAGATAACCTTCAGAGTAAACTGACCCCCGTGGGCCAGGGAAGCAATTCCGCAACCCAGAGGTTGGGCCGAGTTAGTCTTGGGAGACAAGGACGGTCGTCAGCTCGCGCAGTGGATCGCGCCTCTCGCAAACTCTTCTGGCTTTTCACTTTTTTACAACGACCCTACGGTATACGGCATTACGCTCGAATTCGTGCTCGTCATACTAGATTGCGACCAACTCGTCGCAACTTATCGACACTTACTCCGAGTCTCTAACAGTAAGACTGCTTCCACAGCTCGGATCTTCAGGCTGAGATACATGGACAGGGGGTCTATACCATACTGAGTCGATTACAATCCATCACAGTCACAGTGCAGGCAGTTATACAACAGAAGACCCGGTTCCATAGAGTCCACTCCAGAGTTCGAGAAGCCACGAGCGAATCCGTCCGAGTCCATCGCTGCCTAGAATTATTCGATACCAGAGAACCAAGGTATGATTACTTGCTGTCAGGATCTTCCACGCCAGCGAACGCAGGGGATCCGCAGGCGTCGCCTAGAGCCGCAGGTACCCCACCAGGAGGCGACAAGATCGAGATGCGCGGAGATAGAGACGGAGCATGCGGCGACAGGGTCTGCACATGCGGAGACAGCGCCTGCACGGGGCAGGGAGATCCAGAGGCCGTCGACAGCGCGCGCGGAGAGAGCTTCGGCGAAGGCGGCGTCCAGAACGAGCCTGGTCCGGTAGCAGCCCCACTCCCAGTTGCAGCTTGCGTACTCCTCCAGCGCCCCGTTTGTGTGCACCGCTCGGCGGCTTCCATGACCTGCGAGTAGACGGCGTGGCTGAACCCGACGCATTGTAGGCCGATGCATGCCACACGAAGCGCGCCTGCGGTGTAGAGTTGGCCAGTTTCGTACACGTTCTGGGGGGCGGTGTTCTTCCGCGCGGTGAGAGTCTGTTTGACGAGGGCTTGTGTAGTCTTGTGTACCACGCGTGAAGTGGGAGGATCGAAGGCAGCACATGACCTGAGCAGGCGAGCGGGGGTGTGAAGAGAAGACGCACCTCACTCGACAAGCTCCCCCATTCTGCGGGCGAGAGCTCGTCGAGCCATAATGTCTTGTAGAGGCCGGTGTAGTACCAAAGTCCATCCTTGTTGTAGAAGCACTCTAGAAAGGCGTAAGCGAGGACGCGACTCTTCACTGATAGCATACGGACCGGTTGTCTTGTTGAGCTGTGGTCCCAGGTCGACAGCGATCCATCGATGAACGGTGGTTACCCGCGGATTGGTTGTACACTTAAATAGAGGTGTCAGGAAATAACCATGCTCCTCTCGCTCGGTGCACCAGAACGTGGCGTTCTCTTGCAGTAGACGATAGCCACCTATCCTGTAGGCATGATCAAATAAACCCTTCAGAGATACCTAGCAATGAAAGCTTACTGTTGCCGCAACGCCTGGAACATGTCATTGTGAGAGAGTGGAATCAGAACAAGGAGGAACTTACGACGGGTAAAGTAGTTACGAAATCTTGGAACGTGAACTGAGACGGGATGACAATTGGCTTCAGGACATCCACAGGCACGTCGGAGGTCAGTGGAAGGGCGGCCAAAACTGCATTCCTTGCATGCAGTCTATCGTCGGGAGGCGCAGTGACCGGAGCAGGCTGAAAAGTATGAAGTTAGTGGAGCGTCACCGCCGCCTATTACGCCACCAGCACGCTGGCGGTTTCTCGTCCCCTACCAGAGTTCCCGCGGTATGAATTTGCGCGGCTTGGGGCCGTGTAGTCGGAGAGTCCGCAAACAAGTGCGAGCTAGCTGGAGTTGTCGTTGGTGCAGATTGTCCGTCACTCGGTACACCGGGAGTGACCGGGTTTCTTGGGGGTGGCAAGACCGAACGCAGAATCTTGTGCAGCGATACTTGCCAATCGGAAGGACGAGCCTGTTGACTCGATGAATACGTGGCCAAGTACAGAGGACGATACTTACCGGTGCAACATTCGTCTGCTGAGATGTGCTGAGTTGTTCGCCACTGACTTGGGCCTTCAACTGTCGATTTTCTCCTTCCAGCCTCCGGAAGATCTCCGCCAGGTTTCCCACTTCGACCTGTACCTGGGCAAACACCCTCTCCCCTGCTGCGCGGTCCGCTCTGCCGCCAGTATTGTATGCGTGTCCGTTCTGGCGACTGAGCTGAGTTTCCAGGTCGGCCTTCTCATGTTCTAGCTTGTTGATAGTATCTGATTTCTGCCGGATCGAGATGCAAGCTTTCGTCAGGTGTTCTACGACCGCGTCTCGAGCGGAAAGCGCGTCGTTGAGTCGCAACCTCTCGAGACGCAATTCTGCAGAGGTGACCAGAGCGTCTCCTGTTGTATATTGAGCGTCTGTGCTAGACGAGTCGTTCTAGACGCATATATACGGAGTAGAGTTGTCAGCTGAATTGGATGAACACTAAGACGGCAGTGTCAGGACTGACCGCCGCGGTCTCGCCATTCGGAATCTCGTCAGGTTGCATTCCTTACGCAGCACAGTGCTCTGGGTGCAAGTATTGACAGGATGCCAGAGGATAATGCAAGCTGTCTGAGTAAGGAAGCACACTGGAGGTGGTAGTTTGCGAGTGACCGACAACTTGGATATTCAAATTCGAGAAGACCGCGCCACCGTGGCCCGGCGAATCCAATCACGTGCAGGCGCCAGAGTCACCACGGTTGACAAGCTAGTGTGCAGCAGGCTCGTGCAGCTGCCTGCCAGTGAGGCTGAGTGCACCCTGCACTTCAGATCGCAACGAGAGCTCTGAGCACGGAACGGTGCCCTCGCATTATGGGTCTGTTGGGCGTAGATCTCGACGTGCTTGTTTCCATCATCTCCTTCCTTTCACCGAAAGATGCACGATCCCTCTCCCGGACTACTCGAGCCCTCCACCCCATAGCCCAGAACCGCGCTCTATCTGTGGTGGTTCTCGACACGCCAACTAAACTCTTCCGGGCCCACGAGTACCTCCTTGGAGATGTCGAAACCCGATTGCGCTGTCTCCGAGTGCTCACGGTGACATCCCGCGCGTTGAAGCCACCGACTCGGACGGATGACGGCGATGCCGACGTACTCAGGCTGGATGCCGGGTCAGCTCGCGCGCTCGCGGAGCTCTTTGAGAATGTACCGTCGCTCCAAGAGGTTTCACTGGAATGTACAGAAGTACTCCTCCAATTGGAGCCCCGCATCTGGAATGCCTTAACCACCCTTACTGTCCTCGCAGTCGTCGAATTCAAGGATGCGCATGCAGGTGTTCTTGCTCGCCTTCGTGGATTCCGAGGCCCACTCCGCAAGTTGACACTTCATGGTTTTGTGGACCCTAATACTGCGGAGTCCCCGTCTACGAAGTTGTCATTTGCCGGCCTCGCAAATGCTTGGTGCGCCTATCCGCAGCTCGAGCACATAGGACTTTCCAATGTCGACATTGTAACCACCGATCCCGGGCAAGCGATATTTGCTCCATGCTACAACGTGCATAGCCTAGATATCTCACACTCTCGGGGGCCGCTGCCCAGTATAATCGATATATTGCCCAATATCCGGTCTCTGTCGGTATGCTATACCCGGGGACATACAGATGCCGACGTCGACCAAGCCGAAAAGTGCTTTGGCCACTTGACACTCGTCCGTTACCGCACTATTTACGCCCGCCCAGTGTTACCTTGGGTGCCGACGTCTGCCGTACGGCGACTCGATCTCGCCAACGTCGTCGAAACTGACACCAAACGGTATTGGAGTTTTCCCCAACATTACGCCAACCTCGTGCAGAAGACGCAGCCTCTCATTCTCTGCTTGTCCACCTGTTCGTCGACGGGCAGCGAGTTCTGGACGGGCGTGGTGTGCGGAGGAAGATTGAGATGTCTTAACGTTCGATTGCACGCAAACTGGCGGTGTCATACAAATATGAGCGAATGGCTGGTGCGTTGTCTATCCAAGTGTCTGAAATGATGATGAGCTCAGACATTTGCAGGACAAGGTTCCTACCTTCTGGAAGAACTCCAACTTGTTATACGTACGCATCTACATCGGCGAAGCAAACTTCCTCTCCCGCATGGACATCCCTGCATCGTTACGGGAGGACACCGCTGCGGCCATAACCTTCGTAAGGCAAACGACCTCAGAGCGTCTGCTCACCTGTGTCCCGTCGGTTCGCTTGATCGCTGTCAAGCTGATCGACGAAACGTCATGGTGGCGGGTGCAACGGAACGGCGACGGCGAGCCTGGTCGACGACTCGTGCCAATCTCAAGGGACGTCGGACATCATGTGGAGGCCTACCTGTATTCAGAAGAGTTTGAGCAGACGTTGGTGCTAGACGGTGAGCCTTATGGCACTCAGTCAATGCTCGGGCGCACTAAATGTTATGCACAGAGTCTCGGTTTGACCATCGCTGAGCGATAGTAGCCATCGGTTGCTCCCGAACCTGGTAGCAGAGCTGGACACATAATGGCATGGAAGCGTGGGCAGAGCGGTGTCGATGAATGTGATGTTAAGGTGAATACCAGCAGTTAAACCCCTGGAATGGGCACCCTTTCTATCTTCTCCTGCCTGCCCTGCGACTGTCGGCTGCACAACACAGGTAAGAGGAACGAACATGAGTGATGTGAATGCAAACGTACCAGCGGACTTCGCCTTCTTTGGCGCGCCCTTTCCTCGTCTCTTCGCCTCCTCTATGTCCGCCAGCCTCTGCGCCTCATGCCGGTCGTCAATCTTGAACTCTCCGTGGGACATGCGGTTGAACTTGGCGACGGTCAATACCGGCGGATAGTATTCGGCCATCGAGGGGCCGCGCAGGCGCGCACGAAGGTACTTCGCGCCAGTCCGGACGCCTGTAGGGTTATACGAGGTTTGGAATACAGCGCATCGCAGACGTGTGAGGGCAGCCAGCCGCGATGGGTTGACGGCAGAGACAGGGGCGGCCATGAGTGCTGCCAACGAGGTCGTGAGCAAGACGCGGCGCCGGACGATCGCGCAGGTGTCACACAGAAGCGCCCACGCCCGCAAAATATCGGTGGCTGCCACAAGGCTGCCACAGTGACTCTCCGTCCACCAACCGTCCACTCCCCTTAGGCTACAGCCAGTCCTGGCTGGTCTGTTCTCCCAGTGCTGTGTATTTCTGGAACTTGACTGGGCTGGAGCTGGAATACTGTTCACATTCCTCACCTCGTCCTCGGTGAGATGAACAGACTCTGCAACGCGATATGCTCGCGTTGCCGCCATGACCTCCTCCGACCGAGCGCTGCTGGATCCAAGCTCTTCAGCAGAGGGCGTTCAGCGACAGCTGTCAATAGGAGACTACCCATCAGGTCGAAGGCCATACCTCATGCCTCCGGCTTTGGTGCACCGCCGTTGAAGAAGCCGGAGACATCACCCCCCGAGCCACTTCTCTCGCATACCAGCGTCGAGAGCCACCTCGCAAACAACGTCAAGATGTGGGCCAGCGAGCAACGCCTGGTGTACAGGCTGGAGAGCTTCGGGTTTAGTGACCCCGACATCGGGCCAATGATAACCTGCTTCATGACTGCCGTCAGACAAAACGCGGTCATCTCTGCGCTCGGTTATGACGAAGAATACTTGACACGGATGGCGGACGACCTCTCGCAACCAAGCGAGAAGTTCGATATGCTCGACAGGTGGCTCACGAAGCTGCTCTTCGAGTGGGGTGACCACCCCGCAGGACGGGCTGCCCTGAAGGACGTTGTCACACCCTCCACTATTTCCAAGCTCTCCGAGCTATTCCAGGCCGCGGACATGTCGAAACTCATGAATTTATATCCCATGACGCGATCTTCACGGCGACGCAAGATCATCATGCACGTCGGCCCGACCAACAGCGGCAAGACGCACCACGCTCTCCGGGCGTTGGCTGCAGCGAGGACGGGGGTGTACGCAGGGCCCTTGCGGTTGCTGGCCCACGAAATCTGGGAACGACTGAACAAAGGTCAGATCATCCCGGCTGGCGTTGAAGCCGATGAGGAAGAGGTCGACAAAGACCCCTCGAGCACGTTCGACGTCGGTACTCAGCCGATCATTCGGAAGAGCGGAGACAAGCGGTATGCGAGGATATGCAACCTAATCACGGGCGAGGAGCAGAAGATCGTTGACGAGAACGCGACTCTCACGAGCTGTACCGTGGAGATGGCGTCCATCACGCAAAGATTCGAAGTTGCAGTCGTCGACGAAATCCAGATGCTGTCCAACCCGGAACGTGGCGGAGGCTGGCTTCGTGCCCTCCTGGGCCTCAACGCTGCAGAAGTGCATCTTTGTGGAGAGGAGACGGCTGTTCCCCTTGTCAAATCCCTCCTCCGCGACAGCGGTGACGATATAGTGGTGAAACGCTATGAGCGCCTCACCCCGCTTCGGGTGGAGGACAGTAGTCTTCACGGTGATCTAAGCAAGATCAAGAAGGGCGACTGCCTTGTAACCTTCTCCCGCAAGCAGATTTTCGCGCTCAAGAAAAGCATCCAGGCATCGACTGGGATGCAATGTGCAGTTGCATATGGCCGTTTGCCCCCGGAGATTCGCAGCGAACAGGCTGCGTTGTTCAACACGCCGGGTAGTGGATATGACGTGCTGATTGGTAGCGATGCCATCGGAATGGGATTGAATCTGTACGCGTTTCGATCACCATTGTCCGGGAATGAAGCTAATATGAGTGAACCCAGGAAAATCAAACGTATCGTGCTAGAAGCAGTCCATAAGTGGAACGGGGTTCGACAAATCCTTCTATCGAACTCAGATATCAAGCAGATCGCAGGTCGCGCCGGACGCTATGGGATGCACGGCGACAGTAACGCTGGCGGCACCACCACAACTCTGTACCAACCTGACCTTCAAAACCTCCGCCGCGCCCTCGCTGCCCCGATAAAGTATCTCAAGCAAGCTCGCATCTCAACATACGGGGATACGTACAAGGCCGTGGCTGCTGTGCTGTCCGCAGATACCGTACCGGTGACGATCGCGGACGTGTTCTACTACGTGGCGAAGCTGCCTCCGAATTGCGAGCTCGAGGACGTGCGCAAGATGCGCCTGCGGTACGGGGCCTTCAACGAGAAACAAGGGGACATGACTTTGGATGCCCAGTTAGTCTTCCACATGTCGCCCACGCCCTCCCATGATCCTCTGGCACAAACAGCTCTCCGCGCGGCGATACGCATATACTGCGAGGATTTCCGCGTTAGGCTGAAGGATGTGCTACGGGAAGCGAGCCTCCTCGAGGAGTACGAAAAGGCGATGCAAATTGTCAAGGAGGGGAGTTCGATTGGCAATACCCAGCACGCACTTGAGACGTTGGAGTCGGTGCACAAAATCATCGTCATGTACTTGTGGCTGTCCTACCGTTTCCCGGTGGCGTTCATCGACCAGGAAGAGGCCTTCAAGCGGAGGGACGAGACGGAGCAGGCTATGCAGAGGTGCTTGGAGCTTGTCAGCGTGGTCAAGCGAGGGAAGCAGCGTCCGAAGACCATCTTGAGGCAAGACGAACCGATTAAGTACACGACTCACTCCGCCCTCCGTCTTGCAGCCTTCCAGAAACGTTCGGACATCCTTGAACATCACAAGGATCTTTATCAGCGTAAGCCACGCCTTTCTAAATATTCAGATTCGTCGATTTGACGAGCACATCGTAGAACCGGGTGCCCCCCACGAGCTGAAGAAGGACGCGCGGAAGTAGGCTGTACCACGTGAGCGTGTTACGGCATCCGCCGTGGTTGGATTGGCCCATCCCCCTACCCCGATCGCACCTCACAGAACGCACCCACCTACTCTTACCTTACACTCCTTTAATACGCGTGCCGCGCTCCTAGACAGGCTGGTCCGACGTCTCGTGCGACCCCTAATCGCCACTCTACTCTGCTCCCTACGCGCAGAATGCCTTCCATCATCAAGTCTTCGTTCCTCGCCCTGCTGCTGCTCGTGCCCCTGGTCCACCCCTCGCCCGTCATCCCCACCGGGGCTACGGCGCACACATCCTGGCGGCTCCGCAACGACCCGGAAACTCTCCTCGGGCGACGCTACGTCGTCCAGAATCACGTCCCCTCCCCCGTACCCGCCTCAGACGGCGCCGCCCCGCTGCCTCCGCGTTCAACGTACGCAAGTCACCAAGCCACGTCGAGACGCAGCACGCGGTTCGCAAAGTATCTCGCCGAGCGCGCTGCGACAAGCGAGCGCATCCAGATCCCCGGCGGGACGGTCGTTAGCGACAACGAATCGGACGTCGGCGCTGGCTCGTCGGGCATGGGCACGAAGGTCACCAAGGCGGGGAACACGGAGTTGGACGAGGTGCCCTCGTCGAACCGCCCGTACAGCACGGCGGTGACGCTTGTTCCGCGCCCGAGCGGGACTGCGCATGCGAAGACGGTGGCTGGCAATACCACCAGCACTACCGCCAAACACAGGAAGGCTGCTTAGACGAGCTTGAGCGTGAGGGACGCGGATCGTGGTGGCTCTGGGAGCTCATCTCGGCGGCACGCTTTGGACATGACATAGAGCATACACTACACGACTCCCATTCACATATGTAGCTATAGTTCTGTTAATGACACCACTCGGAGCTCAGACCTGCATCTCGAGAGAACCACATTCACCACATCGCGGATGCCGCTTCTTCATCGGACGATGTCGATGTGTGATGCATGTCCGTGGCGTTGAACCCGTGTGCAGCCCGCCGATTGTTAAGTGTCCTTGCTCAACCCAAAGCCCGATGTTAGAGTACCGCTGGGAGGGAGCATTCACGGCTGCATATAGCCCATGGACCAACGCATCTCCAAGATTACTAGATATCGCACCTAGGGCTAACAAGTCTCCGCCATCCTCTGAGGGTCTATAGGCATCGACCCGTCCAGCGAGCCCATCTCGCCGAGCGTCCGCGCGAAGAGGTCGTTGAAGCCCATCTGCAGCCCCATCGTCTCCAGTGCAGCCTGGAAGTTCTGGTCCGCCGCGTCGATGTCGGCCAGCCACTCTTCCATGTTGTTCGTGCCCCCGATGAGGATGCTCCGGAGGCGCGTCCGGTCTGTCTGGCTAACGGACGGCATCCCGCTCACTCGCCCGGCGGTGTCCGTGCCGTCGTGTGCGGTCTGATCGGAGGAAGTGTCGACGTCGACACCGGTGTGTGCGGCGGGATCCCATGCTTGGCAGCGCAGAACGGCGAGCCATCCCTTGTCGAGCTCGTCTAGCCATTGGAGGAGCTGAGGGAGTGTGTCGACGTCGGGTCGGTAGCCAATGATGGAGCCCAGAACCTCGCCAGTCAGCCGGAGGAGGAGGGAGGTGCGTAGAGACGCGGATGGCTCTGCAGGAGGAATTTGGAGGATGAGTGCGAGGAGGGGATGCACAGCAGTGAGGTAGGAGGCGAGCGTAGGCAGGGTGGAGGATGGATGCGAGCTGCCAGGCCGTGAGGGGTTGAGATGGATCCCAAGGAATAGGGGCGCACCGTTTCTTGTAGTTGCGCGTTATGTCAAGAAGGTGATCTTCGAGGTAGTCTACGAGCTTACGCTCCTGGTTGGGCGCGAGCCGGTGGACTGTTGAGGCAGCATCGTGACCGTTCTGTGCTTGAATCGATGATGAACTGGGATCGTGTATCTCTGAGGAACTCATTGCAGGCTGCGAGACGCAGAAGTGTGTCGGAATTATCTGGTCAGCTATCCTGTGAAAGATCGTGAAGCGAGCAATGTGCGGAAGAAGACAACGTTAACCATTCCCAAGTCGCGTAGCGCGCGGGGGTACCGCAATGAAACGCGTGACGTCATGTCATCTGCCTCTCTCCGAAGTCCGGCTGCCAGGGCCCAGTCTGCTAACTTCAAGTTAGTGAACCTGGTTCATTCGACAAGAGCGGGTCCAGAAGTCTTAAGTCGAGCTCGATGTAACTTGTTGTCAACCCCAATACCAGCCTGACATACTTTACAAGATGGCTCCATAAATACTACGGGGACAGGCATTTGCTACATTCACTTGCGGAGACGACGGCTGAAGATAGAGCATAGATTCGATCATTCATGTTATGTATTGAGGCTACTGGCCCGATGGACTTACCGTTTTGGCTTGAACTCAGCGTCGTAGGTTTGGAAGAACTGCAGCATCTCCGTCGGATGGCTTCCGGTGATGTCGTGGAATGAATGGGTGCTGATGTAGTTCGTCTTCCCCGCACGAACGAGCGAGTAGTATTCGAGCAAGTACTGCATCTCAGACTCATCGATCTCGGCGTCTGCCTCCAAGATCTCTATGGCTTGCTTCCTGCAAACACACTGTTAGCATCTTGAGCCTTTGCCTTGGTCACCACTGACTTACTCGGAGATGTCCTCGAACTCCAGCTTGAGGCCCGCTTTCTGCGCGTTGCTGGCGAGCTCCGGACCGTTCACCAGTTGAGGCCCGGTGATCGTGATCAGCTGTCCGCGGACCTGGTCGCTGAGGCCTTTCGGGCCTTCGCTAGTGAGGACATACGCAGCAATAGTCGCGATGTCGCCTAATGCGACAGGTGCGAAGGAGTGCTGCTCGCCCACAGGCAGACGGAGCTTTCCGTTCTTCTGCACGTCCTTGTTGTATAGTAGTAAGTTTTCTGCGTAGAACCCAGCACTACGCAATGGTAGGGATGAGTCTCCTTGACGCAGAGACGACGGCTTGGAGGTGCTCACCGAATAATGCACGGGCTCGTAGCCGCGGATGTCTCAGACAGGCCCTTCGTCTCCATGAAGCGCGCCTCAATATCAATAAACTCGCGCATGCGCGGTTGATCGTCCCTCTCCGCGAGGTCCGCCCCCGCAGAGCTGAGCAATACTGTGTTCAGCACACCCGCTTCGCGCGTCGCCAGGATCATCTCCTCAGCGAGCTTCACCTTCTGCTTGTGCGCAGGCGGGATGAGCAGGATGGTGTCTGCGCCGCTCTCCTTGAGCGACTGGACGAGACCTGCAGCGTTGCCGGGCTTGTACGGAACAATTACCGCGCCGAGGTCCTCGAGGTCGTTGCACTTCTCGGGGTGCAGGGAGAGGCAGGTGACGGACTTGACCTTGGAGGTGAAGGCATCATCAGTGAGTATAAGTTCCGCAATTAAATGACCTGTCTGGCCATCGGCAGAGGTGATGCAGAGATTGCGAGACATATCCGAGCGGTGTGCTCAATGAAACGGTAGATAATGGGAGGGAAGAAGGCAGATATCAGTCCGTTTGTCTGGCATGTCTACCGCCGAATTTATAGCAGTGGTGGCGTTGGCCTGGGCGCAAAGAATGTCGGCGCCGACCGTCATAGATGCGGTCAGCATGGTGGTCTGCCGTAACAGTCAGTTTCCTGGGCTGAGCGCCACGACGCGTCGCGTCAGTGGCGCGTCACGGTCACGCGTACCGCGTCGGAGGGCGGGCGCTAGAACCGGCATCTGCCGCGTACAAAATTCTCTCGCTGGCAGAGAATTGCAAGCGCCGCTGCTCTTCATCGCGCGCGACGCGCATGCCCTCTTCCCTGCGCCTCAACTGAGCAATACCTCTCCTCAGGATAGGTTGTGATATGTGAGTCTTTTTCTAATCTATGCAGTGATGAGATCGCTGCCGCCCCAGTCGTAGCTCGAGGAGCTGTGACGAGAAGGCAGAGCATACAGCCAAATTTTGCACCTCTGAACCTTGTCATGACTGGCAACGCCTTGAACATTCTCTGACTTTCCTCTTTTACAGTGTGTATGTGTGTATCACTGTTTGGGTTATGGTTCAATAACCAGCCCTTCCGAATGGCGAGATGCAAGTGACGGACATCAGTGTACAGGTTCCCGACTAGCACAACGTGAGTCATTGTTTCGTTGGCTAAGCGATGTTCTTCGCGAGTACGGGATGATCCCAAACCGAATGCTTTTAGGAAGTGCCGTCTGAGAGCGCTCCCCGCAAGGGGAGTTGCAGCTGTCGAGACGCGGTTCTCTGATATGATGTCCGTTCGGCCTTGTACACAGTGACTGATTCGGGTCTTTTGACAGATAGTGGTGTCCTGTGTGTCGCGCCTTTCTAATCTGGTATGTGCACTGTACGTGGTAGGTGCCTATTATCCTTCGTCTCGTCCCCCAGTCGTCTCAGCTTTACTTCGTGTTGGACGTCATTGCATGTATGGTATCTGCTCTACGTGTGTTCGTAATCACGCTATACAGTTCTACCTACTTGCTGGTAGCGGCAGCTGTCGATGTTCCACGCCCTTCGCTATGTGTGTCAATCATTGTCAGGATCGGCGGACGACATGTACACAAGCCACGATGCGCCATCGTGTGTGCCTCGCGACGCGAAAGCCGAACCTCGATGTACCAGAAGTGAGTTGACAGCCTTCGCGAGGTAGCACGACGCGCTGAGATGGGCCTTGTATAGGATGTTCGCTCGACCTATTGTCAGCGTGAGACTCGAGAGGACCATCGCCTGCAGGACCATCCATGCACTTGCGGGGCAACGTCGATCCTTTGACCGCGATCGCTTGTAATTGGTTCGCGTGGTACATATTTCCCTCACGACAGTCTCAATTGAATTCTGCTGTTCAGTACTGTGGCCTAAATCGTGCGCCGCAGTCGTTGAATAAGTCCGGACTCATGTGTCGTACCCGAGCATGACCGGGATAGTCATCGCATCCTTCGTCTCAAGTATGCATTCCTCGTACAATGTGCATGCCTCCAGTGCAGTGGGCAGCGACGCAGTACTACATAGTAGTGTTGATGTGCTCATATTCTTGCTATTTCAATGGAGTTTGTGTGAACTGCGCAAGTGATGTGACGTACCGCGTGAACAGACGCCCACTGAATAGGGCCGGAGTTTGCCCAGTCACGGCTCACTCCTTCACCCTTACCATCCACGACCTCCACAACGCAGACGACGCTCAACGCCCATGGCGCAATGGGGTCAGCCTGGCTATCAGTACCCCATGCAGACGGGGTACAATCCGCAACAGTTCCAGCAAGGGTTCCAGCCTAGCGGTGGGATCGCGCCGCAGCCTACGGGCTTTCCAGGTCAACGACCCCCGGGCTTCCAACAGCCGCAGCAAACGGGCTTCCCAGGCGCGCCTGGGTTCCAGCAGCCTCAGCAAACGGGCTTTCCTGGCCAGCAGGGGGCGTTACTTCCTCAGCAAACTGGCTTCCCGGGTGCCAGCGGCTTCCAGCAGCGCGCCCCGCCTCCACCCCCACCGGTACCTCCGATCCCCTCACAGTACCAGCAGAATGCTGGCCCACAGAACAGCGGATTCCTTGGGCTACAGTCTCAGCCGACCGGTCGTTTCTCGACGGCGTCGCCCTTGCAGGCTCAGCCAACTGGGTACTCCGGTGCTGGCGGTGGGCTGCGTCCGCTGGTACCGCAGATGACGGGCTTCGTGGACCCACGGCTGCAGATGATGTCGACGACGTTCATGCCTGTCAACCCAACGACGCCTTACACTCCCGCGGGTGCGCCGCAGCTGCCATCAGCACAGCTAGGGGGCATGTCGCTCCAGCAGAACTTCCAACAGCACAATCAGACACAGCGTGGCAATGCGACGCCGAGGGTGCCCTGGACTCTCAGCAAGGCGGAGAAGAAGCAATACGATCAGATTTTCCGGTCTTGGGACGTTCAGGGGACTGGCTTCATTAACGGACAGACCGCGCTGGAGGTGTTCGGGCAGAGTGGACTGGACAGGAATGATTTGGCCAAGATCTGGTACGTGTTCCTACTCATACACTGCACTTCGGTGTACGGGATGGGCTATGGTCAACTCGCTAGCAAAGCGGTGTTTGACGTAAGAGCAGTTTCGAATTCTGCCCATGTACTTTGGGACGATGATAACTACCGCTTGACATGGACCTTGCGGTTCTCAACTGCGCGATCCGTGTCGGCCTTTCCCATCCCGTACCACACATCATCTCGTTCTGCGTTAACGGCTCGCTGACTACCTTACAGGGCTCTGGCAGACCACGACAACCGCGGCAAATTGAATCTGGCAGAGTTCCATGTTGCCATGGGGCTTATTTATCGACGTGCGTCCGCTCGATCCAACAGACTGTGCAGAAGCTGATACCTGTCCTAGGGTTGAACGGCAATGACATCCCTGACGAGCTACCTCAGGAGATGGTGCCGCCATCTCACAGAGATCTCGATGCGTCAGTCACTCTGCTTAAGGATATCCTTAAGAATGACACCCGCGCTCGTTCCCCGTCCAACATTGATTCACCGGTGTCGAGACTAAAGGAGCGTTCATTCAACAGCACAGGCGCCGCTGGTGCAGGCGGTAGGCAAGACGCAACTGTGTACAAATACACCGACGAGAGCCCGCCTGGCGGTTTCTATCAGCCTCGCTCGCGTCACGTCGACCGCAGCGCTGTGCGAACGACGTCGGACTTGGATAGCCCTGCGTCGGATTTGGACGAGATGAAGCGGCAGCTGGAGAACACGGCGAAGATGCTCGATCGCGCGACAGAGGAGAATGCGTCGAGGACAGCAGAGGATGAGGCTCTCGACAGGGAGATGGAGGACCTCCGCTATCGTGTTAACAGGGTCAAAGACGACTTGGACTACGTGTCGCGTGGGCCGAGGAGTCAAGCGAAGGACGAGGAGAGGCGTCGGCTTGAGCGAGAGCTATTGAAGCTTATGCACGAACGCATTCCTGAGGTGGAAAGGAAGATCAAGGATCGCGAGGAGCGACGTGCGAGGGAGAAGAGAGAGTGGGCAAAAGACAGGGATCGGCGCAACGAGCGGTTCGGCCGCTACGACGAGAGAGACGACCGGTACTCGTCACGCTACGACGATGACGATAGGAATCGTCCCTACTCGCGGAATCGGGACAGGGACTACGAGCGAGACCGTGACTACGACAGCAGGCCTTACTCGCGCAACAGAGATCGGGACTACGAACGCGACCGTGACTACGATCGTGACCGGTTGCGCGACTATGACCGCCCTAGGAGCCCGCCTGCTGCCCGGTCGCCTCCTCCAGCGCCGCCGTCCGCGCCGCCACCGAGTGCCATTGCTAAGCCGCCCCCGCCTGCGCCGGCCCCGACGAAGTCTCCCGCACCGAACCTCAAGAACATGTCCGGCGAGGAGCGCAAGGCATTCATCCGTGCGGAGGCGCAACGTCGGATGCAGGAGCGCATGGCCGCTCTTGGTGTCGCTCCGTCTGGCTCTACCTCACCCAAGATCGACACCAGCGTCGAGGACCGGCTCGCTATGGAGAAGAAAGAAGCCGAAGAGAAGGCGCATGCTGCAGAAAAGGAGGCAGAAGAGCGCCAACGGCTTCGCAGAGAGCGTCTCGAGAACGAGAAGGCCCTGAAGGGTACTCCATCGCCCGCCCCACCGGCGCCGAGCGCGTCGACCACGGCACCTCCTGCACCTCCTGCATTTCTTGCGCCTGCTGCTGCCCAGACCCCGACGCCTAAACCCACGCCGCCTCCAGTGAAGAGTAGAGCACCGGCACCACCACCTCCGCGGAAGGGATCTGCTCCCAAGCCTCCTGCTTCTCGCACAGCGCCAGCAGCACCCACGCCTCCAGTAGCATCTCATGCTCCGCCGGCACCCGCTCCCCAGGAGGATCCAGAAGATGCCCAACTGAAGGCCCGAGAGGACGCTCTCAGGAGGCAGCGTGAACGTCTGGAACGCCTGCGTCAGCTAGAGAGGGAAGAGGAAGAGGCTAGGCGTGCTGAGGAAGAATACCAAGCGCGTCGTCGTGCCTTTGAGGCGAAGGCTGCCGCACCCTCGCCTGCAGTCTCTTCCCCACCTGCGCCGCCGCCGCCCGCTCCTCCTGCGCCTCCCGCTGAGCCTCCTGCTGCGGTCACGTCCCCACCACCACCACCTCCGCCGCCTGCACCGCCAGCCCCTGGTACGCCAGCAAACAGGTCGACTACCAATCCCTTCAGCCGCATCATGAAGGACGGCCCCAGCCCTGGTAGCGCGGCAACGCCGACCCCGCCGGCTGCTAACGGCAGCACGAATCCTTTCTTCAAGAGCCAGGCTGCGTCGCCACTTGCAGAACCCCCGGTAACAGCTCCGCCTCCTCGTGCGCCGTCCGTGCCACCGTCCTCCAAGAGCCCTGCACCTCCTGCAGTCAAGACATCATATCATACTGCACCTGCAGACGACGACGAAGACTGGGACGAGATTCAAGAGAAAGACGACGAAGATAGCAGCGATGATGAGATTGATTCCTCCCGGGATACTCGCAACAAGCTTGCACAGCAGTTGTTCGGTAACATCTTGCCACCGTCTCGTCCTCAATCCGCCGGCGCTTCTGTATCGTCGCCCAAAACGGCGGCACCTCCGCAGACGTTGTCTCCTGCCCCTCCTGCCGCGCCTCCGCCGCCGCCTTCAGCCCCACCTGGACCGGTAGGAGATGGCGCCCCCGCGGCTCCCCCACCGCCACCTATGGCACCCGCTGCTCCCCCGCCGCCCGCTGTCGCAGCACCCGCACCGTCTGGTGACCGGGGCGCTCTGCTCAATGCAATTCAAGCTGGTGCCAGGCTGAAGAAGGCCCAGACCGTCGATCGCAGTGCATCAGCACTGGCCGGCAAGGTACTGGGCGATGCAGAACCCCCGGCGCATATTAGTGCTGCTCCAAGGGCGCCCTCGCCTCCTTCACCTCCGGAGTCACCGGAGGCAGCATCTCCGCCGAGCAGATACGACCCGTCTGGACTACCTGAGCCACCAACTGTGAGCGCGCGGTCGAGCAATAGGGAGTCGGTAGACTGGTATGCTGGACTAGCTGCTGATGCTGGGTCAGCGCCACCGGACATGTCGCGCTTGCCTTCCATGGCTGAGGAGGAAGAGCCTGCAACGCCCGTTCCGGCTATTCAGGTCGACGCCGCTGAGAACGATGCTATGGCGGATGTTGACAAATCAACCGGTGAGTTATCGACCGCCGTGATCATCGGTCGTGTCAATAGTCGCTGATTGCAATACAGAATATCGTGTCCGCTCTTTATACCCATACGAAGGGCAAAGACCCGAGGATCTCTGTGCGTTTGCTAGCTAGCCATGTTCGAAGTCAATCTCACAACCTCCACAGCATTTGCAGAAAATCTAATCATCAAAGCTAGTCCCTCGAAATCAGGAGGCGACTGGTGGTACGGCACTCTCCTTCGGGACGGTAAGGCTGGGTTCTTCCCGAAGACGTACGTCGAGAGGATAGAAGCAGGTATGTGGTGCTCATGTCGGCCTCATGTCGTACCTGGCTCATGGTCTACTTAGTCAAGGCCCGTGCTCTCTACTCGTACGAGGGCAATAGTCCTGAAGAGCTACCCTTCTCCGAAGGCGATGAGCTAACCATCGTGGACCGAAGCGAAGCCGACTGGTGGAAAGCTGAACGGGAAGGAGTTGTGTTCATCGTTCCTGCTGGATACCTAGAGCTTGAGGGTTAGTCGGCCAGTCCGTCCTCCTTGCGTCTTTTGTTAAAGTTGCTGGCAGGCTGAAGTTTTTCTTGTGTTTCTCACATATGTATCTCATCGTTTGCGTTTGGAAATGACAAAATCTCGCTCGTCGCTGAAGCAGCGCCCAGTTTCGTACTGGTACCCATGGCGGACAAGCAATTACCACAACTTCCTACGGACGAAGATCCACCACAAGGCCATACAGGAGACCTCACCCCGGGCTTCCCGTCAATAGAAACGGTACACGAGGGGGAGGCGGTTGACGATCAGGATGACGATTCATCTGATACTGAGTCTGAGTACCTTTCTTTCTCAGAGTCTGACGCAGGTGATACCGAGGAACATCTGACTGAAGAGGCACGAGCTGCAGACCACAATGCACGCGCCCTGGAGCGCCAGCGCGTGTTGGAGGCTGCAGGCTTTATCATCAAGGCAGATGCGAAGCCTCCTCCAAGACCCGTACGGCCCAGGAAGGAGCGCAAGCGACGCCCGCCACCTGCTGTCCCAGATCGCACCTATACCGACGCGCACTCCAGAGAAACCTCAGTCGACCTTGATGTTTCTGGGGAAGCTGACAGTTCTCTCCGTCTGGACGATGCGTTTGAACGGTATGAGGCTTTCAGGCAGGCGAATCCCAACATGAATCGGCTGTCGATGGTCTCAATGGAGAGTAGCACCAGCGGGGCTGTCACTAGTCCAACGTCACCGAGCTTCATAGCGCGTAGTGCTTCGACTGAACCCGAAAGTCGAAGCGGCCTCCACTTCTTGAGTATCTTCGGTCGCAAGACTCCTGGGAATGATGGAGAGGCGCGGACGATGCCTATCATTTCAGCACCAATATCCAGGGATAACAGTGCAGCTGGTGCGGAGGTAGACAGTGCATTTGGCTCGGTAGGTTACCTTCCCCATGTTCCTTGAAGTGACCAGGGTTCACGATCGTATAGACATGGGCAAGTCTCGTCGACAAGTCAGTACTAGAAGACATACCGACGAAGGAGCGACGCCGCCAGGAGGTAGTATAAGCAACGTACCCCGCTGTCTAGCCACTCATGCCTTTGTATTCCAGGCAATCTTCGAGCTGATCCTTACCGAAGCTGCGTATGTCCGGGACCTGCAACTTATCGTGGAGGTGCGCGAAGCATGTGATGTCTCATTACAGGCTCAGAGTTCACGATACATCTACAGCACTTCTACGCCAACCTTATGTCTGTCCTGGAGGACAAAGCGGTCAAGGTGATCTTCGCCAACGTCGAAGACATATTGCTTATCAACACGGTGCGTCATCACACTTGCGTCGCAGGTACGCTCGTCTGAGGGGAGACCAGACATTCCTGAGCGTGTTGGAGGAGAGACAAAAGGAGTGCAGGCTCTACATCGACCAGATCGGCGACCTTCTACGGAGGAACATGTCGGAAATGGGTGTTTACGTGGTACATATCTCTTCACGTATGGTTTCAATGTTGAGCTAATCGATATGCAGGAATACTGCGTCAACCAAGCGTATGCCGCGAAGGTTTTGCAGTCTGAGCGCGAGAAGCCCGAGTTGGCCCAGCTTCTGCAGGTACGTGTATTGTTGCGTTGTAATTCTGCCTTCCCTCATGTACTGTTCTCAGCGGCTAAGAGATGATCCCACTGCTCGGAATTTGGACCTATCCAGCTACTTGCTCGTCCCCAGTATGTCGCACAGTTTTGCATTGCTTTCATTCACTAAATCAAAGCCCGTAGTGCAACGTATCACCCGTTATCCATTGCTTATACGCCAGGTAGGTCAATACCCAGTCGTATGTCTCTGAACCTACTTCATTGTCGACATAGGTGCTTCACTACTCGGAGATGGCAGAGGATCGCAAGCATATCGCACAGGCTCTCGACATGGCGGAAAGGATCCTCGCCCACATTAACGAGACTATCCGCGAGCAAGAAGGCCAAGAGCGTCTGCGGACGATCTCCAAAGATCTCTGGATTGGACAAGGGTGCGTACGACACGCAAGGTTGAGCACCGTCTATCTGACGTCCTGACACTGCAAAAAGCCGACTGGACTTGACCGCGCCCACCCGTCACATGGGTCCCCGAAAGCTGCTGAAGGAGGGCGTGCTCATGAAGGCGAAGAGTGGGCGCAAACTTCGCGCGTTCCTATGTAGCGACATTTTGGTTCTCACGCAAGACCCCGCTAAGCAATTGTACCGGACAGTATGTTGTCGACTTTATCCATTTCACGAGATAGCATTCAATGCGCCTTATACAGCCCATTCCGCTCTCTGAAGTACGAGTGCAAGAGGTACAAGGAAGGAGGGGTATGAACTTCCCCGCTTCACAGTGGAACTCAGCTCATGCCCTTTCCGATAGATGATCTTGCATTCCAGATATCAATAGCCTATCCGCGCGGCGGGGACGCCATCGCTCTGCGTGCATCCTCAGCTCGGGACTGCCAAGTATGGATGCAAGCCATCGAGAAAGCCAGTGCCGTCTGCAGAGATGCAGAACAGAGGGCTAGAGGCCGTTAAAAATCTCGAAGGCTCGGGCCTTTGCTTACTATGCATGATACAATTGGCTTCGTCTGATAACGGACAACTTTTGAATGAAGTTTGCTTGCACGGTCATTCCATTGCTCTCATCTTTAGTTCGTGTACTATGTATCAATGCCCTAATCCTTGACGTACTAGTCCTAGTAGTGGCCGATTGACTCGGCCCTCTTTTGATCACCCATTCGCGATTGCCATCATTTGCCTCACTGTGGTACTGAGTACTTAGACGCCCATCGGCACACAGGTGCCGGTAAGTCCGGGCGTTCAGTATACTGTAGCGCAAACCCTTCAAACGTGACGCGCCTTGTTCACGACCACCTCAGCCACCGGTCGTATCTTGGTACCTACGTCTGCTACTTCCTCGTCTTCGCCTACGGTCCACTCTATTGACCTCGGAGTGTCGGGCTTGCTGCAAAAATCTGTTGCTCGCAGACCCGGATTATCGCCAGCAGCATCTGCACTTGCTGGGTCTCCAGTGATGAACACCTCGACCGACCCTCTCGTAGCTCTGCGGGGTGCTATCAAAGCCCAGAGCAACATAACATACAGCGATGGCTCGAATTCTACTAGCTCACTTGCATCTGCCACGCACATCGTTCTCTCTCCTACATCCTCCTTCCCGAAGTCCACTTTGACCAGACTGCGCAAGCCCGGCGCGTCCTCCGTAAACCCCACCCCGTCACCACGAACCTTCTTCACATTACAGGCTGTGTATCTAGCATGGCTACTCCGAAAGTCCTCCGTTGCGGAGTACGTGAAGCAAGCGAGGGAGCACGGGCTGACTGTAGGCTTCGTGAGCGTCACGGAGCGGAAGAACGTGGTGGATTGGTTGGAAGGGAAGACTAGTGAGCTCGATGGATTGGTACCACTAGCAAGTGAGCGATTCCTTTTTAACGTTTGGAACCTCAAATTGCTGACGGATCGTGTGGTAGCTGACTCTACAACACCTCCGGGCACACCACCGAAGCACAGAGGAACCGTTGCTCTACCAGCAACACCCTTCCCATCACACAGCGGCGACCATTCTAGCCCGCTGAAGCGGCGTTATGTCGCCGACATAGGGGACATCGAAGCCGTCAAGAAAATCAAGGCGAATGAAATTGAGCTTCTGGACAGAACGAGTGTTCTCCGAGGGATAAAGTCTAACGTGCGTATCTGCGACTATGCTCATGGGTAATGAGTATATTCTTACTTTGCCTGCGGTAGAACTTCTCTGGAGTGAGTCAGGCAATGGCAGACAAGCTCAAGAAGCTCCGAGACGCAAGCAAGAGCGGCACGCCGGCGATGTCCGCACCATCAACACCAGGTATGGTCTTCCACATGACTTGCAGTGGTCCAATGAACCAAATCTCTATGTCACAGATCCCAAAATGCACGCACGAAAACAAAGTACGTCTAGTCCTCGTTCTCTTAGGAATTCCGGCTGAGGGATTATTGCAGAGCATCAATATCCAATTATCATTATCTCATCATCGCCCACCGCTCTCATCACCATGCACAACGTGAAGCGCTTCCTGCAAGACGCCGTCTTTGAGCCATCGCAGGAAGCACGGGCGCGTGCAGCAGCAGAAGGCAACGCCCGTCCCGAAGACATGATACCCATTTACCGGAAGCGGACGGCAATAGACTCTTCTGGCCGCGAGACAGAGACACAAGCCCGGTGAGCGAAGCTAAAATTGCCTGTCTGCTACGCTGATCGGAGTACTGATACGGCGATAGGTACTTCGTTGTGGATGGCACGGAGGCATTGGCGAAGTTCGGTGCCGATGCATGGGACCGTGTGGTGTGCGTCATGACGACTGGCCAGGCATGGCAATTCAAGCCGTACAAGTGGAACGAGCCCAAGACACTCTTCCATCATGGTGAATGATAGCGGGACGCCGACCGACAACAATTCGCTGATGTGAATTTTTTGCAGTGAAAGGATTCTACATGACCTGGGCGAACGACCCTCCGAACCACAAGATACAGGACTGGAACGTTACCGAGCTAAAGGTGAGATGCCAGCCCGAACAGCGCTCAGCATATAGAGAAATGAACCTTGTACGGCGTGTAGATCGATCAGCACAGACGACACATCGACAAGTCCGTGGTCGCGCACTTCTGGAAGACCTTAGACACATGGACAATGACCAACAAGCCGTGGCTCATGCAAGGCTGAGTTGTGTACTATCTCATCCCTGCTGTATCTCTGCTGTCGCGTGTTGTATGCTATGTGACCCAGTTGACGAGCTGACAGCACGACAGTACCGTCTGCTGAAGACTTCAATTACGACGACGTAAGCGTATTTACAGACACCGCCTCGACCTGCGCGATCCTTCCTCTTAACAAATCTGCAACCGTCAGTAAGCCGCGCAGAACGCCTTCGTCGGGTCCCCGACCTGGCACAAGTTTCGTATGTGCGAAGTCGATGAGCCTAGCCACAAACGGCGGGCCGACAGCGTCCTCGATCTCGTCCTCATCCGTATCCTCGTCCTCTTCGTCTTCGCTGGTATCGCGATCTACGTCGGCTTCTGCACGCTTTTCTGCCTCGCGAAGCAGTCGGAGCCCTTCCCTTGCTCGCTCCCAATCAGCCTCGTAGACGATCAGCAGGCTCCCTCCGACCATCCGCAACTCGATGTCTTTCATCACATCGAGGATCTCCTCCACGTCTAATAGTAGAGCATTGAGAATTGGTAGCAATATCTCTGATGGTAGGCCGGTCGCGTGCAATGCACCTGCGCTCGTCGTAGGCTGCGCGGAGTCGGTAGGGTAGGCGGGTGCTACGAGTGGGAAGAATCGCGCGAAGCCGTCTGGGAGGTCTGCTGGCTTGACCGACTTGCCATAGGCCTTCGCCGTTACTACCGGCTTGTCTGCAGCCAGGTCGTAAACCTGAGCGCAGTTGTCAGCTGCCAGTGGGGAAATAATGTATGCGGTAGGAAGACTGACTTGGAACCCCGTAAGCCGCATACCAGTCTCCTTCGAGGTCGTCTCGGCGGCGACCCTCTCCATTCGTTCTCGCTTCTCCTGGGTGGCGTCCTCATCAAAGAGCACCGTGCCCAACTTGATATCCAGGATGTTCGGCTTCGCGAACGTGTGTGCGAGATTCTCAAGCACAATGGACTGTAAAAGATACACATGTCAGGACGTTCGACGTCGCTTGGCCCTCGTCGGTCGTGTACTCATCTTTCTCGCTCTCCGGGACGCCCTCCAGCGGCTTGATGGCGTTCATGTCCAGTCCGCCAGCCTCATTCTCGACCCTGCCCTCCAGCTTCAGGGTACCGTAGAACTCGGGTACAAAGTCTCTGAGGTTCTCGCATCGCGGGTCCGTTAGGAGGGCCTGATAGAAAGCGATCTCACTAGGGAGGGTGGGTTTAATGAGCAGAGAGCCGTCCTCGGTTGTCGTGACTCCCGGGTGACCGCCTACTTGGTTGGCGAAAACCTTGGACGGGGGTACGGACTCCATCAAGGTTGTGCGCAGTTCTATGAGCTGGTTCGGGGATAATGCAGAAAACAAGGCTGAAGCTGAGCGGACAGCGTCGGCGAGGGTTAAGAAACCTCCACTGTCAACTGGCTTCGGTGGCGTTATAGCTGTGCCAGATACCCAGCTGCTCGGCCTTCTCTTTTACGCATAGAACTCGCATCACAAACATCGGACGAGCTTGCGTCGCACGACATGGTGATTTGCAAAGGAATGGTGCGAAAGTCTGTGAGAGTATTGTCCAGAGCTCGCGAAGAACCCAGGCATGTATGTATGAAGCTAAGCGTAGGACTGATCCGGCAACTCAGAACAAACTCTACTCACAACCGCCATGTCCTCTCAACACGTCCTCAACCATGACGATAATGTCTACCTTGCCGTGACCGTGTCACCGTCTTCGCGATTCATGGCGAACCCGGAGCAGCTCGCCGTCCATCCGTCGCTCACCCACCTCGGAATGGTAGGTCAGTTGCGGGATGTACAGCTGCTGAGTGCACCCCGCGCGAGCTGGCCACATTCGCAAGGGGAGATCCTCTCTTCTCTCAACGGACTGGACGGCGTGAAGCACGTAGATGTGCAGGGGCCCCCGCGTATGAGGGCGAAGCGCGGTGATGAGCTGTAATTGCATTCTGTCAGCTGTGAATACCACTCCGCCTCCTATCCTGCTTCGCAGATTGTATTGACGCATGTTGGTGTAGATTGTCTTTCCGGACATAGTTCAAGGTCCACGAGCGTGACATAACGGTGCCGATCCTGACACTATGACTCGGTATTCCTGACCACAGGGGTTCTACTGTTGGGCAAACCCTCCCCATCGATCGGCTCTATAGCCCAGCGACATAATGCACGATCTTTGGTTACGTCTTCTGTGGTCGTGGATACACAATGCATCCACGTTGCATATGATGTACGTTACCCGGTTATGCGAGCGGCATCTGGCACCCTGAAGCACCGTCCAACTTAGACAAGGGGCGATAAGACCACACAACTTTCCTAGTGACCTCAGGCTCTGAGCAGTGAGCGTTGAATTTGGACCTGGTTTGGACAGTGTTTAGGCTGGCTGGGAATTCATCAACTTCACCGCTCCTGTACGGATCTTGAACTCGAATTTATCGGCGGATATTCGCTCGCTGCCCCGTGCATGGAGGCGCTAGCATTGAAATATTGATATTGAGGCCGGAGGCCCCGCCAGTAACCCAGTCGTAGTGTAGTCCGTCGCCTCGTATAATCACCACAGGTAGTCAAGCTAGTCAAGCAGCATCCGACATGCACTGCACATGAAGTCGGTAGAATGCGAGTGTGAATATGGTTCAGTCGAAGGCTGCGGGGTGACGAGTTCCTCCGGCATCGCGTTGGGTGCATCCGGCCACCGGCCGCCCACAACCTTGACCAAGTTTCACTAGACCTCCATATTCCCCAGCTTCATACTCCCTCGTAATTGGCTCACAGAAGCCTGGCGCCCTCTCTGAGTCCCTTTCAGAGCTATTGACTGTGACGGCCGAACGCTATGGCCTCGGCGAAGATCGCGACATTGCTCATTCGAGTAAGTCCGGGTTTTCCTCCTACCACCATGACCCGCCGTTGCTCAACTTCGCGCAGACTCTAGCTAAACCCATCAGTAACCAACTCAAGACGCAGGCGAAGCAGTCAGCCGTTATTATTTGGTTCTCTGTGGTGCCAGGCTGAGATTCGCGTTTGCGTAGGCATGAGACTTTCAGGACGTTCTGTGTGAACCTCGCGCAGCGGATGTACAGAACTGAGGTCCAGTTGCGAACGAACCTCCTGGGCGAGCCTGCTAAGCATGTCCGGCCGCTTTCTGAGACGCGGTGTGTTCGATGCCATCCGCTCTCGGAGTCGACCTGATTATGCTTCATTGCAGTGCCATAGAGAACGGTGCGAATGCGCTCGCAGAAGGATTCCTCTTCAGCGTCGCAGCCGCAATAATCATGGCCGAAACTTGGCGGTCGTCGCGAAGTCAAAGCAAACGACGAGATAAAGTGGACGACCAGCTGGATGACCTGGAGAACAAGGTTACGGCGTTGACGGAGCGGACAGAGTCGTTGCAGAGGATATTCGAGGAGCGTTGGGAGGAGGAGAAACAACGGTGTGGCTCCCCGCATGTGGTCTTTCCGAACAACCTTTGTTGATGCATGCCTCGCAGGAATGAGGAACTCGCGCGAATACTGGAGCGCGTGGTGGAGATTGGCTTGCGGGGTGGTTGGGCCGAATTCGAGAGTACCCCACTGCAATTGCCCCGCATTCAATTGGCACGGCCACGGTCCCCACCATCGTCAGCAGCTCAGACCACGGACCCAGGCGACTCAGACGCAGACGCAGCACCCCGCCACTCTGACAGCCCCAGGGATACATCTAGTTGATTCTCATGATTATTCGGACCATCAGCTGGGAGGAAACCTCGTGTACGTTCACGTCAATACCTGTGCTTCCATCGTCGGATTCTGGCAAACTGCCAATGGCTGCTGCTGCTGCTCAGGCTGCTATCGTCCGGTTGCAGGGTCTATGTCGCAGTGAGAGTCGTCTGCGTGGCAACACGATGGGTTTCTTACGGACAGCTGCACTCACGAGGAGTCTCCCAGGCCCGAGTTAATTGTCTGCTCGCAAGCCTAATAACTCGTCTGAGTACTCAGCATCAGCGCTTGCGGACTCCGGCGCTTCCAACTGGTGCTTCCTCTCGGGGAGGCGCGCGTCTGGGCGGCTGGCCTCAAGACGGTAAAGTACAGCCACCAACGATTGATACGTACTGAATGCAGCAGCTTGTCCAGCACTGCCAAATGCTTGGTATGTTCTGATCGGATACTTCTGCCTCATCCGCCCTCGCTATTCAGGTACTCGCGTGTCCTGCGCGTGTCGAGCCATAGCAATAACCACTTCTATGGCGGGGCCACACAGGGCCTTGCACCTCCTTGAACGCACACAAACCACCGACTGATGCCGTCATCAACGCGCCGTGGCCACGCGAAGCAGGAGCATCCTCGCTGCAGTCGTGCTTGCGCGGTCCTGATGTGTGTCTCCCCAATGAGCCGACGTCAATCGACGCAAGTCAGCGGGTAAGCCTCTGGTCCACGCAAGTTGTCTTATGTTGATATTATCTACTAAGTCCGTAGTCCTCAGAATTCTAGTATGGGTGGTTCATCACCTCCCTCAGCCTTGATGGCGCGATATGTTGAACTCTGTCAGCAGCTGTTGGCACGATCATCTCCCACTTGCGGCAAGAATTACCCGTGGGGTCCTATCGGTTCAATGCCTACCCCAGATCGTCAATAAGTATTACGATCATACAACAGGAGCTGACTCGTCGCTCTTTGTGTACGCCTTCGCAACCTTTGCCCAGACTTGTCTGCTCGCCCACTCGGTGACAGACTTGAGGACCGAGACTGAGTTGAGCGACTAAGGATATCCTCGGTGAGTTGACCTCAGTATAGCTATATGTGTTCGATATTCCCCACGTCATGAGAAGCTTCACCGGTGCAGCTAGCCATTTCGGAGGGCCTACCGTAACGTTGGCTGTGTACGCCTCGGTCCAGCCCCGACAAAATGTGGCACGAGATACCGATCCACCAGCGCCAATCGTACAGACACGAAGTCGCACCATCTCTGCTCCGACCTCTCTCTCCAATCCGGCCCTGGTATGTCGGTGATTATGCACCGTCTTCATCTGCTTGTCAACCTCGGTGATACTCTACTGAGTTGCCATGACAGCTTGAACGCTGCCCATAGATTTGTCAAAAACCAAGACAAGCACATTGCTGCCGCATGTTAAGCGCGCGGTCATCGCAGAAGCTCGTCGCACAGCATCTCCAGATAAGCTGTGAATTCCCCGCTCACGTATTCGAGGTTGGAGGACAGCTAATAGGCCAGCCGAATTCTTGCGAACTTGCAGCCGCTCAAGTCTGGAACACCTCGGCTATCGTAAAGGTACAATCTGGTGTACTGCCTAAAAGGTGTATGGTTGGGCTCATCTGATTTCACCCTACACGTTCGACCGCACAGCAGATATGTCATTCTTCTACCCCCGTACGCATCGGGGGCACGTCCGAGGCTCCGGAAGCCCGTTACCCGCAGTAAGTCTACTGTTGTAAACGGCTGTGCCTTCCAAAGCGAATGTGTCAACGCATCCCTCCCTCGTGTTGCGCTCGTGGCCATAATCCGCTGGAGTAGACCGCAACGCTAACCTCTGTCGGCATTGTTGAAGTCAGCGATGCGGGTACCGGCATAAGTTCCTCTCTAGAGTTCCGCGAATCGACTCATCGACTCATCGCACCGCCCCTCGCCTCGTTTGCGGCACTGTATAAGGGTCGGCTACACATCCGCCCAATGTAGACAACTCATCTGTCCCTCGGGATGTGGGCCTCGCAAAGTAATAACCAGCTGCCAATTGGTTATGACCCACATGCCGATTTCCCTTGGGACCTTCGTGGCTTCGAGGAGGTCCCTGCATACCAGGTGCGTGTGACATCACAATAGCTTGCTTATTGTTCTCTTAACGAAAAGCGTAATAGAACGCTCAGCAGCCGTTTCTGCTGTACCACCCTCACGAGCAGTCAACAAGCCAACTGTTCACCTACGATGAGAGCTGGGCTCCAGCGCCGTGCCCGGAGTTCGCGCAGGCTTATCCTCTGCCAATCGTGCGTGCGCCAAGCAGTTCACCCAACTACAGCCTGCTGTCTCTGTCACCGTAAATTGTTATGTCATCACCGATTCCCATCGGTAGCTCATGTCCTCGGTTTATCTAGAGCTACTCCATCTCCATCCACGGCGTTCACCGGGAGTCTTCCGACATCGCCGGATCCTTTGCTACGACCCTTGCCCCCATCCGAAGCTCAACCTCGTCTGCGCATCCCGCAGACGCCACTACCCCTGCATGCTCGGCGATCTGACACGATCCGGTTCGAGGTCCGCGGTTCCCTTGGTATTCGCGTGTGCGATGGACTGAGCGAGCATGCTCAGCCCGTACTCGACTCCAGCGGGGATCACGTTCTTGAACGCACAGGTGTCCGCCAAATCCATCTAATGATAGATGTACGTGGCTTGCATATTGCTTTATTGGGATTCCTCATTCGTCATATCGTAGTGGCCAGGATATCGACGTCGCGGCTCTTATGTTCCCGCACGAGAAAATGGGATCCCCATTACTCGAGGCCGTCTGGCGTGCCTTGTGTGCCAGCATATCAAGACCTACGTGCGTATATACAAGGTGGGCCACTCAATACTCGCATCACAATGCGGTCTTTTGTGTATGAACAACATATTATAGCGAGCACAGTCCAAGGGGCATCGGAACCAGCAGTGGGCCTTCGGCAGCGACAAAATACGATTGGAAGATCTGTGGCTTACTTCAATCGTCCACGACGGCAATGTATGGCGTCCAGAGATCGAAGCGCATGTACGATCGCTGTCATGATTAAGATGACGAGTTCACTTATAGGTATTGTATGCTGTATGCATCTTTCATGTACTATCAAAACCCGCTATTTGGGTCCAGTCATTAATAGCTCTCGAGTCGTTCTGTTATTCTCGAATACGTACCAAGATCATATACCATCACAACCTTTCGCGACACATAGCCAGCTTTAGTGCTGATCATGGCAATGCATATGCCCTTTGCATCGTTAGCTCTGGCGGAGGTCGGAGCTGTCGCCTGATCATTGAAAGTTTGTCGCTAGACTTGGGATCAGGGAGCCCGCATGAACGGTGGCCGTACAGTAAGCTTCCATGCATGGCGTGACAATCACTGCCTCTGTTAATGAGCCCATATCGTCCGCGCTACGGAACACTAAACAAAGCAGTCCGTGTGTGTTACAAGCTATCAACGATGGTACAATGTGAAACACAATCCAAATCCAAATCCAACGCAGACATGAGCAGAGCAACAACAAGGTATAAAGGACTTCACATGAGCACGCAACACTTCTTCAAGAAATCGCAGCAGTCATCCCACACACTGTGAGTACTCTGCACCTCCTCAGCAGTCTTGATAGTACCACCATCCCGCCGAACGGTGATGGTGTACTCGCGCTCTGCTTCACCTTCGCCCGGTACAGGGTACCACCATCGCAGTGTCTGACCGTCAACATCCCAACGACCCGCAGATACGTCAACGGAGAGCGCCAAAGACACAGCTGCGGGGGAGAACAGCCGGTCATACGTAGCCGTCGACGGGCCTTGTGTGAGGAGATCCGCCGTCGACACGTTACGAGACGCAAACGGAGTCGGCTCCTTGGATAAGGCGTCGTCGCTAGTCAGCGTCGTCGGCGTGTCGCATGTCTGCTCTGCAAATCGGGACACAAGCTTGTCGCTGGCGTAGTGTACCAGAGGGACGTAGATCTCGGTAGCCAATTCCTCCGACCGGTTGCCCAGCCGCTCTGGTGAGGGAGCATCCTCTGGCCGGACGCGCACGGTCAGCTTGAACTCCGCCTTCGCGATGTCGAATTGAATGTCTTTCGGCAGACCGATTATGGCGACAGGATACGGACGGCAGAACGCCTTGACGGCCCTTGCACCATCAGTCAGAAAGTCGAAGGCGTTCTCCCATCGGGAGAAAGACACCGGGTCATAGCTGACTCGCAAAGTCTCGTCCTCCGAGCCAGCGGCCAATGTGGTCAACGACAACGACGACGCCGCGGCGCTGCGAGTCATTACGCTCGGGCCCTTTTGCAGTAGGACCGCCGACGACGCATCGCTCAGCTCCATTTTCGGGCCGTCGCGCGAGCGGAGGTCATCCGGGCTCCACACGCTCAGGTCCTCCATATCCCAGCCGTCGCCCCACATGTGCGAGTTGTCCGGGCAGTAATTCCAGATGGTGTAGTTCAGCGCGTTCGGCCCGTCCGCGGCGTTCAGGCTCGCGTCGAGGGCCTTCTGCTGGCTCGAGTAGTCGCCCTTGTACTTGCCGTCGTCAGTGTAGCCGTACGCCTTCTTGCCGTCCATGTCGTACGGGATGCCGATCTCGCCGATGATCGTCGGGTACGGGCCAAGGATGGGCGCGTCGTCCTTGAGCATGCCGAGCTGCTCCTGGATGCACTTGCGGATGGCACTCTCGCCGATCCGGACGGCGGGTAGCGTGGAGGAGTACTTCCCTCTGAGGAGCCCCAGCGCGTCGGCGTTAAACCAATTCCAATGTCTGCTTACGAGCGTGAGTCCGTCGTAGTAGTGCGCGGAGTAGCAGCAGCGCCCATTGAGCTGGTCGTCGGCGATGGTCGGTGGCAGTGCGAAGACGGGAGGGGCTACGAACATGATCGCTTCCGGATGTGATTGTCGAATGCGCGCGGAGAATGCTTGCCAGTGCTCGAGCCAATGCGTTTGTATGAAGTGCGGGATGCGGTCACTGTCCGGGGTGCTGAAGTAGTCCGGCTGGAGGACCTCCCCGGACTCGACGTCCCATACTCCATGGAGAGCCCATATACAAGTACCCAGTTGCCACTGCGGGTCCCGCCGCCAGCCCCAGTGAGGGTGCACGCCATCTGGTTCGCTCTCCGGGTTCATCCAGACTGTGACGCCTTGAGGGTCGATGGTCTCCGAGCCGTCACGCGAAGGACCCATGCTGCCGAACTTCCACTTCTCCACCGTCTGCGCCTGACCCATGCCCAATCGAAGGGACTGTGCGGGCGTAGGGAATGTGCCCTTCTTGAGCGTCGACCCCTGCTTCTTCGGTACGGTATTCAGATCATCGTACCCGCAGAAGCCTTCATACGGCTCGTTCATACTGTCCCAGCCAATCACACATTCGTCAAGGAGGTCGCCCGCATCGCGAACCCGATCGGCCAGCGCACCGAACGCCGCGATATAGTGCGACTGCAGGTAGTCCTGTATGTTTTGTCCGTCAATTATGCACTTGGGCGCGTATTGTCTGCCGGCAAAGAACAGCGTGAAGAGCGTCTGCGAAGCAAGACGCCCGTAGTTCGTGCTCCATATCATGGCTGGCAATTCGACGGGCTTGGGGGCTGCAGGGCTGGGATATTCAGCGTGAATGACAGCTGCCTGTGTTGCAGTGAAATGTCGAGGGTTGATCCCGCACGCAGGAAGTGTCCAGAAGGGTGCGCCAGACCCTCCGGAGAAGCGCGACCACTACACAGGGTATTCTGTTAGCATACGGCAATGATCGACCTAATTGCTACTGACAATGTCTTGATGAGGATCCATGTACACTTTGAACCCATAGTCTTTGCATTTCCGCAGGACGCGGACGGTGTAGTCCATGAACTCATAGTCATACTTTCCGCTGGTCTTTCGCTGAGACTCCGGTCCACATGCGCAGCAGGAAGCCCACTCACGGTCCAGCATGCTCCAATGCCTCCCAGGTAACGACATATCTCAGCATATTGAACCCCCATCCTCTGAGCCGCGCCAGGTGCACGTCGGCAGAGCCGTCCTCGAGGTTGAGCGGCCTGCCGACGAAGTCATAATCGCCGCTCTCTCCGGATTCCCAGAAACCGTTGAGGATATACGATGGGCAGTCCACCGGGGCTTTATCTGCACCTGAGAGATTCACGCCTCGCAGCAGGATCGATCTCCCGGCATTGTCGACGAAGTGACTGTCAAGGGTATGAATGAAGTGAGAGGGTGTAGGGATACCGGTCGCCGGCGAAACAGAGGGTACTCTAGGCATGGATAGTGATTATGGAGCCGCTGGAAGACGAGACACCTAGCAGCCCAAGACTTGTTCAGTCCGTCCAAGAATAATACCACTGTCCAAGCTAGCACCAGATGAGAGCTGCTGAAGAAGCTTAAAGGAGGCAACCTGCAGTATGCACTGGGCTGAAGCAGCCACCGCATCATCTACACTACGGTTACATAAGCCACTTCATCTCCGAACCGCGTGCATATATCTCGACGTATGTACGGTTGCGATCGCATGAGCCACGAGAACAATGTAGTGAGTCGGAAGGACTTTGACAATTTGTGTAGTGGTGCTTTGCAGGCACCATACGTAAAAGCAGCGGACCAACATGGTGAGCATCGTATACAACATTTTCCGTCGGCCAGCTCCTCCTCCAGGTACATACCTATATTATCAACGTCGCGATCGCTGCGTGGACTCGTCCCTCGGCATGCTGTAGTATCATATCCGCTGGATGGTCATGACAAAGGGACCTACGCTGAGTTTCCTGAGTTGACAGCTTGCTTCAAATCGGTGCGTAATCGGGTTCTGCGAGGAAATAGGACCCTCTCACCGGATAGCAACACATATGCCTACGGCGCAAGACGAAGGATCTACCTCACTATAGGAACCGTCCGACGTCCCGCATGTCGTGCGTACCAGGTAATTGTGCGTAATGTGGGATACCTGAGTCAAGCAACTCTGCACGACTCCGGGTCGGAATCATCGACTTTGCGGGACGTTGGTTGCTGCGGGGAGCCTCACTCGGTCTACTCGTGTCATAGGTTGTCGGTGAGTGCGAATCCGTGTCAAGGAGTCGAGCGTGCGAGATGTCGGTCAAACATGGAGAAGGCAAGCTTCAGTAAGTGCCGTCCGTGTATTGCGGCCTCTCAGGCTCTCCCTTGCTTGTATAGCTGACATTACGATCTTCCAACTCTTTTCTGCGATTGGGGACGTTTCAAGGTACTGACATTCTGAAGGCTCATGCTAGCCCGTGAAGCATGCAATGGCATCGCGCATTGTCAGCCGCAGCTACATATCACACTTCGGACCCTTCCCTATCAAGGTTCATCTCGCGGATGACTCCAGGAATCGTTGACAACATATTACGACATGGGATAAATACAGTAGGTCTCGAACCTAGGGCCAGCCTCCGCTCGCGATGAGTCGGCAGTTATGTTATGATGCCTCTGAGTTGCTGCCATGTTGGCCAATTGCACGCGGCTGGCGTAGGTTGTGTTTACGAAGGCGTCAAGTTATCAGACAACCGTGCCAATGACTTTGTGACACGTACTCGATGACACAGTGATACATACTCAGCAACGTCTCAAGCGTATGGTACGCCGGAAGGCCACAGTTCGATTTCCGTTTGAGGTGGCTGCTGCCGAGGCCCGATCTGCTTACGTAAGCTGGTCTGGCCGAAAGTCTCGTTCCGATTCGTGCCTCCCCTCACTAAATTCACGTTCTGTTGAGTGCTACAGACTATTCTTGATCTGTATCGGGTTGAATTGTAGCTTCTGAATATATTGTGGGGAGTCCATATCTCAAATTTGAGCCGGAAGAGTCGGAACCTCGGTAAGCGCCGTCGGGTAACGGTCACACTTGGCGGTGGACGACGTCTTCATTGCGCACGGGGGCGATTGGGCGCAATGCTTTGAAACTTATCTGGCTGACTCGCAGAAAATGGTTGGATAACTCACATCGCTGCGGATGAAAAGAACTTAAGTGCAACCGATGTCCGCAGCCTGTCCAATTTAGGCAGGTGTGACCGTGAGTCTGGGGCGCTTACGGAGTTCCAGCACGCCGAGACAGACAATCCATACCACAGAGCACCCAAAATCCATTGGAAAGCCAATAATGCACTCAATAATGTCTCTTCATTGTCTCAGAGTACATGGGGGATGAGCTAATCTAAGGGAGAGCACAGACGAGGCCATGCAACACTCGGCCAGAGTGGCTTACGTAAGCAGATTGGGCCTCGGTAGCGGCCGTACCATGGCCGTATCACTGATGTTGAACTGTGGCCTTCCGGCCGACCTTACAAGCGTCACTAAAAGCGGTCGTGTCGAATGAATCATCATGAGAGGTGTGCAAGGCGCAGCGTCGGCAGCGAACCGCGAACAAGATCTTGACCTTTCGCAACTCTTATCAGCATCTCATTGGCTAGTATGTACTAACGCTGGGCGAGGGCGAGTCAGACTACAGTAGCCTGGGATCCTTCTCTTCTGTTGTCGCGGACATAGGCTACTGTTCGTTGGTAATTTCACTCCTGCATTGGTAAGCTTTCACAGGATTTCACGGTGAAACTGACGAAGCTGCCGCTGGGAATGGATACAATATAAGAACACGGACGCGTCGGACCGTGTCCTCACACCGAGACAACTTGAACATGAGCAAATTAACAATCACCTACCGCCGCGTTGGCGAGCTCGACATCAAGCTTGACTTATCCATACCGCCTTCAGCTACCGCAGACAGCGCCGCGCTGCCCGCTGTGATCTACTTCCATGGCGGTGGCTTGCTGTCAGGCAGTCGCTTAGAAGAAGATATCTACTTCGAGTTCTGGCTGAAAGGTACGCTGGGATCCTCGGTCCCCAATGTAAGGGCGGACAAATGGCACTCACGATGTACTCGTACTCCAGAGTCAACGCTTCGACGAGGCCTCATCTTCATCGCAGCGGACTACCGCCTCGCGCCTCCCTCGACCGCACTCGACATCATCGACGATGTGAAAGCGCTCTTCTCCTTCCTCGCGCGTCCGACGTTCTCCAAAGAGCACTTGCCCAACAGTGTATCGCTGGACGCCACGCGCCTCGCGATCGCAGGTTTCTCCGGTGGAGGTTACGTCGCGCGAGTAGCGGGCATCTACGCAGAGCCGAAACCGAAGGCCGTGTTGTCCATGTTCGGCATGGGCGGTGACTTCCTCTCCGACCACTGGCTTGCGGTGAAGAACACGTACCTAAGGTTCCCCGGTGCCGCCCAGATCACGAATGCCTCCGTGGCTCACCTCCTGGACCCGTCGATCCCTGCCGTAGCGGAGGCGACGCTCAGAGTGCGGAGCGACGGGATGGTGTCGGACGACGAGAACCGCTGGTGTCTCTTCATGCATGCCTGGCACAACGGCAACCTCCTCGACTTCGTCCTCGGCCAGCCAGTCTCCGCTACTCTACGAAGCCTACCGTACGCGGATCGCCTCGCGGCGATACCTCCGCGGTTGCGGCCGGCGATCTTGGAGGACCAGATCAACGCGGCGTTCCCGCCGACGTATCTCGTGCACGGGGTGAACGACCATTGTGTCTTAGTCTCTGAATCGGAGAAGACGTACCAGCGATTGCGGGAGGTGGGAGTCACGGCGGTATTGGACATCGTCCCGGATGCAGATCACGGGCTCGTTACGAGCACTGTCCCCCCGGTACCAGCACCGGGATCTGACGAAGCACAAGAGAGAGGCATGGACTTCATTGAACGAGAGCTGCGCAAATGATGCAACATTTCTGCTGCACGTAGGGGCAGGATATGCATGTACACGACCTTCGTACAGCCTCCGAGTCGAGTATCACGATGCTGGACCGCAGTGGTTGTGTGTATGTTCTGCATGTGGTTGACAATAACACAGGGGCTACAATGCCATGGTCGAAAAATCACATTGCGTACATGAGAGCTCGTTGCCTACGATGCTTGATTGAAGCAGATGTCATCCGGAGGGTCACAGGGAGCCCGTGAGCGTGTCTGCGGAAACAGAGTTCAGTACCATCGCAACATTGAGACCGCAACAATATGCGTGACAATACGACCTACACTGCACACCTCGCAAGTTCTACTATGTGATGGTAACTCCCATATATTCGCGAAGGCGGTACCAAATTGCACCGCGACTATCGTGGTCTTCATCCTGGACCATCTTCCAACAATTGTCGCACAATTCGCCCTGCTCCACCTCGTCTCCAATGGGGTCCAAGACGTTTATGTTCGCAACCAAACCGATTTGAACGATCACCTTCGCCATTGACTCAAGATTGGCTGTACACTCCTCTTTATCGATGCATTCAATGCTGACGTTGATCTTGGGCTGTCTATATAGCCAGCTGAATCGCCCCCTGGCAGCTGCCAGTAGGGCTTGCCTGCCATTGAGGCATCGTATGAGATCCTCTGGAGACAGTCGCTCCAGCGTACCATCGGGGCGCGCCACACCATTCAGCAAGAGGTCGTTGGGAAGCAGAGCACAGGTGTATAGCGCCGGGGGGGGGGGGGGGGGAGGACGGTGTCAGACTGCGTGAGACGTGCCAAGTTGACAGCCGTGATCGCGTCCTTGTCCTCAAAATTCATGTAAGGAATGCATCGTTTCCGGAGCGTAGGAGAGTCATAATAACTGAGTGGGAAACAGGTTTTGAGACGGGATATAGCACCTGCCAGAATCTGCTCGATCTGGTACTTGTGGCCCAACCGTATCAAGCATGCGATAGTCGAGAACGGTAGACACTTGTTAGCTGCAAGAGACATGCTATGATGCGGCGCGGCACGACCGCAAGGCCAGATTCTCAGCGACAACTTCGTTGACGATCACGACATTGCACGCACCCACAGCCATCGTATAAGGCAGACAACAGAATCTCCACGTCTCCAGGCACGTCATGCATCTGCACAACAGCGCATCCGTCTAGCATCTCTGACGACGGTTGCGGAAGCTTGAAGAGGTCGCGGAAGAAGGTGGAGTGTCGGGCGAGGAGACTCATGTGAACGCGGAACGATTGTGGCCCAGCATGTAGGATTACATTGCCATCTTCAAACCAGTACGAGGTGGAGTTCCCCGCCGGAGAAGGAGTTTCTGGCTGGCCTTCGTGACACTGCATCGCGAGGTGTCCTAATACAATGCGTTGCTGAGCAGAGTCTTGGTATCAGATGCCGGATTACAAGAAAGATGAGGTGGGCTGCCAGCACTGGAGTTTGGAACAAGAAGAGAACGGGACTATACGGAGTGAGAGGAGTGGTTGTGGTTAGTCACTCACTGCGCTGCGGCTGCTGTACATACTTGCGCAAGATCGGATCTGATGGCAGGCCGCTAGGCCTAAGTAGGCGCCGAGCGCAATCCTGCGCTCAAGTTCTCAGGCTCAGTGATCAGACATGGAGTTGTGGTCCACTTATTCAATATTCGTTCAGGCCCGGCGATGGAAGGCCAAGGAGTGTTTCTGCAGCGGCTGTGAGAACGTTATGCTTCTCGACCTGAGCACCGCGACCGTATCACTAGTACTTACGCATCGTGAGTGAAGACTAAAATGAGTACACATACATAGTAACCAATGACTCTGATGAGTGGGGGCATGATATGATCCAATAACTGCACATGCAGTGAGTGGGGGCCAGGCACAAAACACAACCAGAAGCTAGTAGTCGACGACAACCAAAACATCGAAGGCCGTCTCGTTATGGGTGGTGACTTCCTATCCGACCAAGTACTGGCTTGCGGTAAAGGTCAGTCAGAAGCACCGTAGGAACGGAACCCGCCTGCAGTACATACTTTGATAGACACATGTCACAACTTGAAGGAGGTGTGACCGTCTGAAGTCCCTTCATTGCAGTGGAGTATGCGTCGCGCAATGCCTACGAACGGTATGTATGTGTATTTGACAAACTCAGTACCGTAAGGTGACTCATGCTACGCACAGAAGCCACCTTATGTTTATAACGGAAACATGCCGGATAGGATGAGTGACAGTAGTCGTGATTCGCGATTGTCCGGTGTCACGACTCTATTGGCACGTCTGCGCGGGTGACAATGTCAAGGAGCATGAGAGCTTCGTTGCTATATGACTTGACATGGCTTACCTTGCGCATCTGGCTTGCCCCAATCCTTGACGGGAACTCCCATGTATTCCGGAAGGTTCGACCAAATGTACACGCACACATTGTTGTCGTCGTCGTCCAGCATTTGCCGGCAGCTTACGCACATGTTGTTTGTTTCGTGCTGACCTGCGAGCATGACGTTCAAGAAGTCGATATTGCTGAGCAGCCCCTGTCGGGCGATGTCCTTGGCCATCCTCTCCATAGCGGGCTGACACTCCTCCTCCTGGCTGCAATCATCACTAGTGTACATATCCTCTAAGAGTAGCCACTCAAACCGCGTCCTAGCAGCCCGAACTAAGCACTCCCTGCCATTGAGGCACCGTACAATGTCCTCCGGAGCTAACCGTTCCATTGTGCCGTCTCCGCGAGGAACCCCGTGGAGCAACAACTCGTTCGGAAGCAGCGCGCAGACGAAAAGTGCTCCCGGTAAGACGATACCGGTCTGAGTGAGCCGCGCCAGGTTCACGACTGCGACTGCGTCCTCGTCCTTGAATGACATGTAAGAACTGCGTCGATTGCGGAGCATACAGGCGTCCGCATATAAGGCCGGGAAACAGGTCTTGAGACGGGATATGGCACCCGTCAAGATGGATTCCATCTGATATTTGTGGCCTAGTCGTATGAGGCATGCAACCGTTGAGAACGGTAAGCGATTTTTTGCTCCGACATTGAACGTACTACACAATGCCGTACGGTATGATGGCAACGGGAACGGGATCGTGTGAGCAACACAAGCTGACAATGAAAAGGGCGCAATCCACGTACCACCCGTCGTACAAGGCAGACAGCAAAATCTCTATGTCTCCGGGCGGGTCGTGCACTTGTACTACGACGCAGCCGTCTATCATCTCTGGCGATGTCTGCGGAAGCTCGAAGAGTTCGCGGAAGAAGACGGAGTGTCGGGAGAGAAGGCTCGTATGGATGCGGAAACCACGATCCCCGGCTTGCAGGATAACATTGCCATCGGCGAACCAGTAAGCCGACTTTTCCATGGAACGGTTGGCATCTGGACGACTTTCATGAGACGGAGACTGCATCCCAGAACGCCTCGGTGGCAGGATGCAATGATGAGATATTATGATTGGGCAGAGTGAGGAGAATGTAGTAGGCACACGATGCTCAGCGTGATGGGTCCGTACCAAGACTCGAACTGAGCGATCGGAGTGACGAGTCAGCGCTATGGCACTGCCGGAAGGGGCAGCCTCTAGCAGCGCAGATCGAGATCGGACTAATGTAAGTATTATAAGTTACATGAGGGTATCCGTACATTAGTGACATAGCGCTACAACCCAGTCGTTCAGGCCGTGTTCGAAGAACTCAGTCGAGGACAACGAGCCCATCAAAGCTCCTCTTTGAGACGGCCTTCTTCAGCATGGTGTAGGGGTCGAATGCCTTGCGGGCCGTGGCCTGCTGTTCGTTCACCTTCTCCCATCCGTCTTCGACTTCCTCCACGATCTCCTCGGCGTCCGCCTCACCCATGAACACTTTCAGAAGCGCAGGGGAGAACCCATTCATGAGGGCAACACCCTTGCGGTCCGCCGTCACAGGGATCGCAGTCATTCCCGGACCTGGGTGTGCTGCCAGGTCCCAGTAGACGATCTGCGGGACCTCGTAACCCGCTTCCTTGTATGCCCGCTCGATCGCGTCGTGGTTGGTCTCCCAAGCACCAGGCTGTGCGGTCGACGCCTCGTCGAACTGCATGTCCGAGAAAACGAAAAGGGTCTTGATCATGTCCTCCTGTTTGACGTTGTTCTTGACAGCGAGAGGTAGAAGCAGATCGACGAAGACGGCGTGCAAATCCGTGTTCATATCCCACTGTGACTGCTGCATCTGCTGGAGCGTGCGTGCGAGGCCGTTGCGCTCGAAGTCGATGACCTGGAACTGCGGGTGCTGCGAGAAGGTGATGAAGCCATTGGAGAACGGGGGCTTGGAAAGCTGAGCAGTGATGAGAGAGAGGGCGAGGGCGACTTCCATCGGTCCACCCCACATCGAGCCCGAGACGTCGCAGACTGCGAGCGCGCTGTCGAGTCTCCCAGCCTCGCGCAGTCGCTGGACGAGCGACATCCACTGCGCTTCGAGGACACGCATACGCATCTGCTGCTTCTTGCGCATAAGATCCTCCAGTTCCCATGCCCCTTTCCAGTCGTCGCGCACCAACTCCAGCACATCCTCCACGATCTCATGCGGCATCAGCGTCGCGCCACTGATAGTCTTCTCACCGCTCTCGACCTGGAGTAAGTACGCCGCAAAACCCTCGGGATCGTGCTTGAAAAAGTGTACGCCGTTGGCATTCATGCAGTGGGACGCCACACGCGAGTACTGAATCTCTTTCCACCTCCCCGCCGACATCAGCGGCTCGGGGACAGCGAGCGAGCGTCGGAGCGGCGTCAGCACCCATCGCTGGTAGTAAGAGCGTAGGACATGTGTCTCGAGCGCAGGCAATGGCTCATCGCGAGATGCGTTGATGCGCAGGCCAGTGAAGACACCCGTGTCCCTCAGCAGGAGGCAAATCGCGGTGCTGAGGTTCGTGACACGATCATGAGAACGGTTTGGCGTTGGTGCCCACTTCCCCACCAGCGAGAGTCGTTTTGATAGGGCCCAGCACTCGTCAGAACCGTGGTTTTCCTTCTCCACCTGCTCGAGGAGGGAGACGTCGTGAGCGAGCTTTTCGGCGAAGAGACGCGCAACCATCACGTAGAGCGCACGGAACTTCGGCTCCTTGAGCTTGGTACTGAGGCGTATGTGGTTCGCCTGTGTCCGCCCTGACCTGCTGAGGTCCATCCCCTGGGCCCTCGCACGCTGCTCCGCGCGTCTCACCGCATAGCAGCTACGGGGCGCATGCAGAAATCTCGCAGGATGCCCTATAGGTCGTAGCTCGTCAGAGACTGCGAGGGCTACTATGTTGAGGAGATCCTTCCAGTAGCCATGCGACATGGCATCGTTACTCCCATTCGGGCGCGTACACCGGGGTTCGACGAGCTGGGGTAGGTTGGTGATGGCAGTCCGTGGATGGTTCTCGTAGAGCCAGCCAAACGCCCTGATTTAAACGCGTACCGCGTAAGCCAACAGTCAAGCGCAACAGCGAAACAGACTACTTACTGGTAGAAGACTTCCTTTTCGCCCTTGCCGTCGTGAATGCTTCGCAGTTGCCAGATGATACGCAACGTCAGCTGCGGATCCTCTGCCCATGCCGCGTCGAGATACAGCCCAATGTTAGGGCCAAAGGCGGACGGCCGGAGCGCCTGAAAGGCATCCAGGGCCGGCGAGAGCGTAGACAAGTACGCCGGCGCACCGTTTGCGGTAGAAGTCCGGTGGGCTGTCGCCTTGAGTGCGTCCATCATAGGGTTTTGCGCCACAGGTGCGGGCTCAGGAACAAGTTCATGCACAATCTGCTGCTTGACGGGCAGGAGGATGTCAAGGAAGTCCGGCGAGTAAAGCTCCGGAATGACGGGCAGAGTGACGTTTTGGGACGATGTTGCTGCTGGAGGAGGGGACATGTTGTGGCGTATCGAGGGACTGCTAGCTGCAGAAGTGCTGAACGTTGAACATGCATTCTGCCCGGCTTTTAGCTCAAGGGTTTGCAATTGTTCCTGGTGGCGCGTCATCGCCTTCGGTTGCCACGGCCCCTCAAGAGCTGATGACTCCTCGGCTCGCCTTGTTGACTCGAGCGGGCCGTGCCGTAGGAGTCAACAAGTGTAGAGCTTCATAGAGGACTCGGTACTTCAAGGCTTGCTACACCATTGGTCGTGACCTGAACAAAAAAGTCTCAACCGAGATGCGTTCACAGGCAGGGTCAAAGTAGTCGCCAATTGCAATGTAACGCCAATGGTCACTAACCAACTCAGCCTCGCCACATGATGAGCAAGCAGGGACCCGTACTCGCAGCTACGCACTGCATTCTTGCACCCAAAGACAGCTCTGAAGAGATCCTCCCCGCTAGTCACTATCGACGCGGAGCTCCCTGCGAGCAAACAACAGCAACGCCAAAAATAGACGTACGTCGCATCATGTTGTCGCCCACCGATAGCGAACCCGATGACTCGGCACCAGAGCATGAGGACAAAGATTTCGATAGCAACAATGTAGCGGCCATGCGCGTTGCCTCATGCAGAGTTGTCAGTCATAAGTATGTACAGTATATCACAGGATGCTCCTGACCTGTGCATGACCGGATACGTTATTGTTCAGTTCGTTGCTCCAGTATTTGGTTACGGCCGCTACCCATCAGTGCTTGTTGTGTCCCGGCGACGGAAGGATAGAGCAGACTTCCTGCAAGAGTCGGTTACATCCAAGTGCAATGAGGTTACCGTCGGTGCCTTGTAGTGTGGGCCTCACAAATGCTGTGGTAAATCTCATGTTTTCAGCTTGTTTGTGTTTCCCCAGATGCCCTAATCCGCGAATGAACAACAAATAGATAGTGAGTGCTCTAAATGCGATGTGATCCCCACAGACAGCCGAACGAAGGAAGATCGAAAGCACGAAGAGACAAGAAACCAAGAGGGGGACAGACTATGAGGTGATGTCTAGCCCCGTCAGCTCCTTTCGGATCTCTGCCTCCGTCTCGATCTTCTTCAGCTGTGTCGCCTCCAACCGCTCGCCCTTCTTCTGTTTCTCCTTCAGCTCCTCGATGGCCTTCAGCTATAGTATAATCAGTATACCGTCCTGGCCAAGAAGCGGCATGTCAAGTTCACCTTTTTGTTCAGGTTGCGAACCTTCTTGGCCATCGGGTCCAAGTTGCTCGCATCAGCACCCGGAGTGGGCGGTACCGAACCGTTAACAGGGCTCGCAGCCCCATTCGGTATACCGTTCACCTGTATCTCGATGGATGGCCGTGGCGAGTCCACTGCATCCACAACCGCTGCAGCATCCTTCTTGCCTTTCTTCTTCCGCCCACGCTTCTCTGAGTCTGCAGGGGCCCGGACGGGCGAGGGCGACGTCGGTGCGCCCGGGACATGCTTCCGGCCGTTCGCATGGATGCGCCCTGGCGCTGGGCTGCGACTGTACCTCCCATTCGGCGTCGAGGGCGCACTGGGGCTCGTCGAACCCGACTCGTCACGCTTATACGCTGTACTCGCCTCAAGGCCACGCGCGCCAGGAGGTCGATAAGCACCAGCGGGTCGCGCAGGGGCGGGCTTCGCAACAGCGGCGTGGGCCTGAACGCTCGGTGCTGGGGCAGGGCATGGAGGGATAGCCTGAGGGAAGGGCGGGAGCGCATCGACTGGAGTGGGCCGCCATGATGCCTGATACAGTTCCTCGATGGGATGGACATGGACGAGTGGGCCCGTGCAATGCCAGATCTTGATACCGTTATCCACTCGCAGGCGGGGCGAGAGCGTCGCGGTGAGAAGGAACCGCCCGCAAGGAGACCATTCGCAGTGCGAAGAGTTGGAGGCGTCGATACTCGTGACCCTGGTAAGTGAACGGCGATCATATATATCTGCCTTGCCTGCCAAGTTACCGAAGCCAGCTAAGGTGATGAGGCGTCCCTGGGGATTGAAGGAGACGAAGTTGGCGAAGGCGGTACCGAAGTCGTGAAGCGACCGGGCCCGTTGATCGAATAACATGGCCTTCGCCGGCATAACTAAAAAGGCTGCCTCAGTCTCGAGGCAAGAAGCGGGATGAAAGGGCTCACAGCCATAGATGACAGCAAACTCCTTCGAGTTCGGGCTCCAAGCAAAGTCATGGATGGGGCCTTCCTTGTCGAGCGTAATGCGGCAATCGAAGGTACCTGCAGCGCTCAGAAGATAGAAGCCACCGGTCTCGCCATAGTAGCTCTTGTTCGCCTGGTCCACTTCCGTCTGCGTGAGCACAAGCACCTGCGTGCCAAGGTTGTTCCACTTGATCGTAGACTTATCAGCCTTGAAGAACGTCTTCTGACACGTGGGGGGCCCGGCGAGACCCGTCAAACCGTAGATTTTCACGCTTGCGGGTGCGCCCTGCATGCGTGTGATTAAGGTTGTCGAGCTGCGCGGACGATCAACGCACCTTTTTCTCGGCGGCGAACACAGCCACCGAGGGATTAAGCCCAGGGCTCAGCACGACCGACGTCGCACCTTCCACCTTGAGCTTGTCGACCACACCAGCGGACCAGTTCGCCGGGTGGAACACCTGTATCTCCTGGCCGACCAGCCGGATCGCATGAGACTCCGAGAGGGTGTACTGCAAATCCCAACCCTCAAACGACTTCTGCGTGAATGCGACTAGCTCCTCGCCCGTCGACGCAGAGAACACGCGGAGGTTCTTGTGCTGCGTGCCATCCTCGAGTTTCGTCGGTCGCTCCCAGGTAGAGAGATACGTGCCGCGAGGAGAGAACGCGATGTCGACGATGTTCGGGAGCGGCAACTCCTGCAAAAGTTGCGCGCTCTCGGCCTGGAAGATGCGCACGCCGGAGGGTACCGCATAGGCGTACAGGCGGCCGTCGGCACTGTATTGGTAGGTGCGAGCCGAAACGTCAGGGGCCTGGAAGTGGTCGAGAGGCTCATAGTTTGGCGTTCCGCCCACCAGGCCGAGAGCTTTCTGCGAGCGGACTGCAGGCCGTAAGGTTCAGATCGAGACGCAATGAAAGCTGTACTCACATGCGTACTGTTGAGACGGTGCGGACGCCATTTGAATGCAGAAGCTTCGAAGCCGACAGTGAGGGAGAAGCAAGTGAATGCTTCAGCGACGGGTTGGACGACGTGGACGTCGGGGACAAGGTGTGTGGACCGTGTTCATGCGCCTGTCCGAAAATCGATAACCGGTCCTCCATGATTACGTAACAGCATTCTCATTGGTCTGCGCCACCTTTCAGCTCTGAGAAGGCTGTCTACCCAGAAATGGGTATTCATACGCTACAGCAGCTATCCCATATGCATAGAGTAGCACTGACATTACAGGCGAAGGGTCCATGGCAAGCAAATTGCTGACTCGAGGCTGACTCGAGGAGTGACTGATAGTATATGGTGAGTCGCGTTCCTGTACACTTCATGTTCGATTCACCATAGCTATATATTAGCCTTACTACATCATACTGCCTTGGTTTCGGTCTTTGAGTCTCATAGTTGAGGCACAGGCTTTCCTCAAGCTCCCGAGTCTGACTCGAGAACGAGAAAAGACCGTTTGTCGAACGTTGGCAGTGAGGCGCCCAAAACGCTACGTTGAACCGAAGTAAGTTACACTGTCAAGCGATAACATCGCGGGATGGCGCCCGCTATATGGGGATACGAAGGCTACAGTGAGAATTTTACAACAAACAGAGTAGTACAGTCATACAATACAACGCCTGAGTCTGGGGTATATACGCATTGCGTCTTTGAGAAAGCAAGTCCAAGCTGCGAGACCATTGCACGAGCGAGCTATATTGTCCTCTGGCGTACGGTGTCAGGACACTAATCACCAAGAGACAACATCTACCTTACCTTCACTGACGCCCAGTCGATGGTCAGACGCGCTATCCTATCGCGCAGGGCCAGTTGACATTTTGGGCACGTCAGTTCCTTGTGCAGGGGAAGCAACGCCGCTTGCAACAGATGTGTTGATAAGTCTATGGGTATCGTCAGCTCGCACTTCCCCCTCCTCACAGCAATCAACACTCACTGGGCTCCGCATCCCACATGACGTGAGCGATAGCCAATGCCCACGCCCGCGTCAAGGATCTCTGTTGGGTCGCTGAGCATTCCAGTGTCTCTGTATGCGTATTCGGGGGCTGGAGCAACAGGTGCTTCAGCGCCTCAATGCGCCCGAGGTGCAGGAAGAACAGCTTCCTGAGATAAACCGCGCCGATGCGCGTGGAGATCTCGTCTGAGAGCGTCGCGAGCTGGAACGCAAGGAGGTGCGCGGACGTGGCGGTGGCGGCGTCGGCGAGGTCGTGCGTCGCAGCGAGTGCGTAGGTGTCGATCGGATGCAACGGCGCGCACGCCACCACGAGGTCGTAGAGCGGCGTGCCTGCGCTGGCGAAGCGTTTTTCGGCGAGGCCGTACCGCGGGAGTGCGTCGAGCGTCGTGGATACAATCTCGAAAGAGGGCCGGTACTCGAGGGCGGACAGGCCGTAGATGGCGTGTAAGAGGATGTTGAGCACGTCGGCGGGCTCGGGGACCACGACGATGGCTGGCTGATCGCCCAAGGAGAGCTCGAAGGAGGACGGGAGGAGCATGGCGAAGCCGTTGTCGGACGCGGCGAGCACCTTCTGACAATGTACGTAGAAGAACACTTGGTCTTTGGAGACGAAGACGAGGTCTGGGGCGAGGTCATCGAAGGAGGTATATGGATGGAAGGCGTAGGAGACCGATACCGTTACATGACTAGAGGAGTCGTCCTCATCGGGCGACTCCGCAGGTGTACCGACCTAATGTCTCTTCAGTCGCTATCGAGGCGCAACCTTGGACCGTGGTGTACGTACCAAGATCTCCATAACAGCCTTTCCCTCTGCGTCGTCTGAGTCATCTGTCAGCCATTCTTCAGGTAAGTCCATGTCGAAGTCGAAGTAATCCATTGTGCGTGTCGAGAGGTGTAAGTCACTGAGAGAAATGGCAGCGGTTCGTCAAGAGCAACAACCTTTATCCCCCTATATACCATCTAGCAGCATCATGTGCATGGGGCGGTATGCCGACGACCAGCCCGCAGTGCACAGCGATTGGCGAGCAACGTCCGGGAATACGGCTGGCGTACGAATAACGGATAGAACGCTGATAGCGAGTCGCGGCCTCCAGAGGACGAGGGTTGACAGAGACCGGCACCAGTCCAGCATATTCTCAAGGTCTCAAGCCAGAGGTACGCTGCCCAGCCCTGCATGTCAGCGGGGTCGCCAGGGAGTGCAGTATAGGAGTGTTTGTCTGAATCGAGAGCAAGATCTGTGTGTTGGGACGCACACGGACTGAGACGGCGTATTGTCTCGGCTGAACCCAGGCCCACAGGGTCCCGCCTGAGGCCTGAGACCCCACGGCACCAACTGAGTGCGGCCAAGCACCGCTCGGTCGATGGGGGATCTGTAATAAGCGGAGTAACATCTCGCTAAGAAGTCACAGTGATTCACTTACGGGAACTAATGTATCTAACATCCGGTTTGCATTCGCATTGCAGTGACTGATTACTGGAGGTCATAACGAGATTGCTCATGGGGCCTACGGATTAGAGACTGTCGTAGAAGAACCTAGTATATGGTCGCAATGGGCTGCAACAAGCTTGGTGGCGAATGAGCTCTGCCTCTGCCCAGGCTCAAGCTCCGGCAGATGGATGGTCTTGCGTGGGACCCCTGGGACCATCGGGACACGATGTCTGCATTATGACCGGCTTCTTATCCATGACGCCATGACGCCCTGGGCGCTAGCAAAACTTAGTGTAGTAGCCGCTGGTCGTGCCGAAATCTGCCGCGGCAAATGTGGCTGGTTGCAACTCTGTTGACTTCCAGCTGCAGTCAAGGCACAGAGTGCAGCGTGAGTTGAGCGTAGTCATGGTTAGCGAGCCGCAGCGCCAAAACAAGGACTCGGGCATGATTGCGCCGTTCGGGATGGTTTGTTTTGTTTGTAAATCCCATTTATTGTCGCGTTAGGGCAAAGCCCTATGTAGACACAGTGGACTGTCGGTGTACTGTACTAGTATAGTAGGTCAAGACGTGGGGTCGACGGGAACATTGACTCGGTGTACCTCCGAAGAGGTGTTCGGGATGGTACATATACATCGATGAGTATGCTAGATGACAGATACTTACTATGCATTAATAAGAGTCGCCGTGACGATAGGAGAGACGATGCCGATATACGCGGTCCACTATGACTGGAAAGAGTGCAGATCCAGAGAATGGATGGTGTAGACTCGGATAAAGTCAGTCACTCAAGGGACATGATGGAGAAAGAAGCGAGGTCACATTGTGCGGACACACCTGGACAAACGCCTCCAGCGGGGCTCGGCGACGCAAAACGTTCAAGCGACCTCCGACGCGGCCAAGCGAACGCATGCGGGCGTGTCCACCACATCTCTGTACGTTCTCGTATACCCTTCGGTGCGACGAGTTTGCCTGAGCCATCACGCCCGAAGTCATGAAAGTCCGAGCCCTCGCCTCGGTGGAACGTTACAACCTCGAAGGCTGCGACACGTTCTATATTAGCGATGCCGGGCTTGGGCCTCACGAAGTCAGCGCAGGCAAAGAATAGCTAGTCAGTCGACGCAGAAGGTGAGAGGCCAACGACAGGCACACGATTTGTTTGTTGTTGGCGATGTCTTGCCAATTGACATCCTGTTCCAATATTCGCTTGGTGGTGAGACGGTCACGGGGGTCAATCGAGTCGGTCCTCTACACAAGGATGGTCAGGACATTGAACACGAGAGCTATTCGTTTTGTATCACACACCCACAACAGCAAGTCAACTGGATCCCTCCGATGGGTGACGAGTTTCTGTACGCTGTCGCGCAAGATCGCGTGTGATTCCTCGTCTTTCAATGCCAACACATCCACGGCCCAGAGAGACGCGCGAACATCTATTGAAATCCAAACGCAGCCGAGTTGCCAGATGCCGACCTTGTAATTGTAAACTTGCCTCCGCACCTGTTCCGGCGACAGACTCGGATACGCCAGCGTCCCGTACTGTCCACGGATAGTGACACGCTCGAGGGGATAACCCCCGTCTCTTCTATCCGGACGGTGAATAATGGTTGCAGCTAACGTGCTGCGAAATTGCGGTAAAACAAAGGCCTGATGGATAAGATGAGGATAAGCACTTGACACACCGTGTGGCTTGATGTAGGCTACGTTGTGCGCGTCGCACAGAAAAGCCGACTTCCTCGTTTGGACCCTATTCATTCCTAGGTAGGATCCAGCTCCGGCAACACATCTGCTACCCAAGTTATCTCGAGTTGAATAACAGCTCAGCGCTGCCAAGTAACATCCTTTTCAACTGGTTTGAGAGGGTGTCGGTGGCTCGCGGCGGGAGCATCCCGAGGGTGGGCCTGGAACGCGGTCGACGTTGCGCTTGCATCAGAGTCCACAACTGAAAGGTGCAACTGATCCATATCCGCCAGGTTTGCTGATAGCTCAAGCGCTCAAGCTTCAGGTCAATCATCCTTCGGAATCGGTTGTTTCTGGTGGACACTGCACGCACAGTGCAAAGTACAATCCTATGTAGCATTTTCAGAGGCGTCTCATACACCGACTGGGTATGTCTGGTTATGCAGATTACTTACTGGGTGAGGGAGTACTCTAGTCCATCCTTTTCTACGGTTAATGCTGGACCGTTACGCGTGTCGCCTTTGAGATTTCAGTGGTATGATTGATAGCTCTAACCTGAGCGCAGCCTGCAGACGGCTTGACGCGCTGGGTCACCCCGAGGAGCCCAATCACCTACCGTCGAGCACGTGGTCTCCGAAGAACAGCTGTGTCTTCTCTTCCCATGGATTGACCGAGCAGCAGACTTGCAGCAGACCGACAGAACCTGCAATGAATGGGGATGACAGCGAACATATGACAGATGCGGATTCTACAAGCTGTACTCGATGTAGTCACTACAGTGTATGGTTGCGTAACAATAAGGATATGTGCACACACTGACAATATGCGTCCGTCTCGCTCTACCTTCATCATTGAGCCATGCCTGCGCGAAGTTCGATTGGACTTCTGTTCATACAGTTCGCTCCACGACCCCGACAGCGTGCCTGGGGTGCGGACTACGGTCCTGCTTCCTTGACTTGGTAAGCTCTCACGATCAGCAACACGGCGTCGGACTATATGAAACTCACCAGAACCTAAACGTCGCCCACCTTCCCCTCGCACTCTTTCAGCTTCTCCCCATACTTCGCATACGTCTCCTTCCACTGCCCCAGCCACTCGAGGAGCTCCTCCTCAAACACCCCGTCGAACTCGCCCATCCGCGCACGGATGTTCTCCTCCAGGCCCTCCATCGGCACGATCGTCTCGCCCGAGTTGTCCGCCTCCGCGAGGAACGGCTTCACAAGCGTGTAGTGCACGACCCGCGCGCGCTTCCAGAGGTCCTCCCACATCGCCGGCTTGCGCACCTTGATCGCGAGGTTCGCATTGTACGCGTACGGCAGGCGGACTGCGGACGCCGCGTAGTACTGGTTCAGGAACGCCTGGTCGGCCTGGATCTCGTCGTACGACAGCGTCTGCATCTTCTCCATCATGTCCCGGAAGACCGCCGTGTCCGGGCGCGCGTAGATGACGCCGGTGTTAAACTCGAGCGCGAACCCGTGCGAACCGACGTACACGTCGGGCACCGCGCCGAAGCGGTAGGGCAGCGCGAAGAGCTCGTCGAAGTTGCGCAGCACGAGCGTGTCCGCGTCGAGGTGCACGACGGCCTTGTAGCCCGCGTCGTTGAGCGTCCAGAGGTTCAGCTTGGAGTAGGCGTCGAGGAAGCGCTTGTTCGTGCCTTCGCCGTTGTGCGGCGGGGCGATGCGCGAGACCGGGTGCGGTACAAAGCCAGTCGCGGTCGCGATACAGAGTGCTTCGGAGGAGACGTGCTCGGGAAGGTAGAAGAGGAGACGGGTCGCGGTGCTGTTCACGCGGTCGAGGGAGTGCCCGAGCGTCGCAATGGCGGTAGCGTACGAGTCGGTGTACATGCATGTCACCACGGCGGTCTCGTCGTGGGTCGGGGACTTGAAAGACTGGTAAAACTCATCGTTCAAAAGCGGATTAGGATTACTGCAGTCCGTTTGTTCAGCTTGCGCGGATCCACGCTGACGGACGGTCTACTCACAGTTGTTGGTAATTATCCAGAGGCGTCGGCCACTTCTTGGCTAATTTTGCGATTAAATACCCATTGTACCACACAGAGACCAAGATGACGAGGAGAATGGCGAGGATGCGCAATGCATGTGCGCGGTTAGCTTGTTTGAGCGATGCAACGTCTGTCCAGAGGGGCGTGTAGTCCTTGTACCGAGAAAAGATCCACATGAATGGTTATGACGGCGTGCAAATCATGAGCGTTCTAAAGCGTGCACATAGACATAGACTCAGGAGAGTGCGTGGCAGGTTGGTGGCAGATGCTGCGAGGCCATGTCCCAGCATTGCTCAAGAGCGCAGTACGCAGCACTTGGCGGGCGCTCATGTCCATATATGGGTCCCCGGCATTGCGGGAACTCGTCATCCTGGACGCATCAGCGGGTACACGGGCACTGCACGGGCAAGTCCTTTCCGAAAGGCGATATGCAACTTGCATGTACTTCGGTCAAAACCAAGAGACAAGACTTGATCAGCAAAAAATTGAAAGCAAAATGGGAAACATCATCTCATTTGTCTAACACAAAACACGATCGCGAGCACTGATGATACCTCAATCGCCACTTGAGGAGCATCCGACCTCTACGATGCCGAAGTTGCCCCCTCGCGTGATGTACGAGCCAAGAAACCAAATAACCATGCAATGCTATTATAGACATGCGTACTATATTCGTACAGTGCGAACCAATGAACCAACGATTGGACAAATATCTTCATGCGTGCAGAGAAAGTGCGGAGATTGCGACAAACAAGCGACGATTATGTTCGAGCGGTATGGTGATACAATGTGTATGGGAATCCGTAACGAGGGTGAAGAGGACTCCGGTTGGTCTAGGGGGGTCCGCGCGGCGCAGTCTACGCAGATGAGTCGACGGCCACCATCCTCGAAAGCGCGCTCGGGACGTAGGCCCCCCCGGCCATGCAGAAGGGCCTGCGCCTCCGCATGGGTCGCCCACAGTTCCTGTTGAGCAACATGCAGGCCACAAGTCTTCCCCTGACATGTTGATACCCGAACTCGGGCAGGAGCATGACAGGCTGAATGCCGGGCGGGATGACGACGGGCTTAGCAGGAGCGACACGGTGAGATTCTTGAGGGGATACGGAAGATGCTGAGGACTCTGCGTATACAGGCGGCGGTATGCGCGTACGAGAGGCGATTGGAGGAGAGGAAGGGGCCGAGCGATACGATGGGCTCACTACTGCAATGATCGGCTGGTCCATAAAGGGGTCCTCTGCGAGCGTGGTCAACGCAGCGCGTGTCTGCCGCGACGGAGGCGGCGGCGCTGGCCTGCGGAGGCGTTGGACGGAGGCGGTCTGCAACGTCAGAGTCGGCCGTGTGCGGGCGGCGGGGACGAAGAAGTTGGCGGCTTTGCCATGGGGATTGACGGAGACGTTCGGGAGTTTAGTGAACGACGACGCCTGCGCCGATGAGAGGGAAGAATTAGCGGCGAATGCAGAGCCGAAAGGCCCGTGAATGGAGTGTGCGCGGTACGACTGGACGGCCATTGCGAGCTAAATGCTGTAGACACGACGAGGACAACGCTGGACAATGCGCCAGGACAGTGAGTACGTCGTCTATTGAGCAGAGCCGCGGAGGACAATACCTTGCTGAGGCTCACCGGGGGATGCTAACGCACACAGCGAATGGTTAGGAGATAAATAGCGGCGAACGGTAAGGAGAGAACACAGAGAACAATGGAGGACAAACGACAACAATGGTGCGCTGTCGTCGCGTCGACGCGCAGGCGCCGTCACGGTGATCGCGGCAGCGCTTGTTCTTTCCCACCACCGTGACCATCAGCGATATACTTATATGCATTGTTCTCTCCTCATCTGCCTCGCCGCTTGCAGCACAAGCGTCGCTTTTCTGGGCAAGAACGCGCGGAAAGCCAATATAACAACGGAAACTTCCTTCTCGAGGCGAGGCATAGAGCTCGATGGATCGCGGCCTGGCCCACTGCGTCCTAGCGCTGTGCTTCACATCGTTGGCAACTATCCTTCGCGGCGATTCATACCTGGCAGGGTCTACATAACACGCCGCCGAACACGTCTGATCCGGGCTGCTCACATAGAATGTATCAAGCTCCAAGTTTCGGAGGGATCTTGGGGGCGGGGATGAAGACCTGGTCCCCGTGGCCGTCATCGATCTCAGCCGCTGTGCGCAGAACGCTGATGGGCTAGAACACCGGCTGAAACGACGACGACCGGAACGACAACGACGTGATATCAGGTAACGTGTGCAATTACAGTGAAATTTGAATAGATGATGGTCATTGCTTTGCACTTCCATTACCTCGCTCGCCGTGGTGTCTGCCGCGGTAGCGTCGAGTGACGCTGCTGTTCAGCGACATGGCCATCTAGCGCATGGATACTATATTGTCTCGTCTACGAAGGGCTGCTCGTGAGCCTCGTATGCCTCTACGCAGCCTCCACGCCATTGTAATGGCATAGCCATTGATACCGTCAGCGGTACCCACCGGGGCCGTACGTGCATACTACAGTCACGAGCGATACCTCGACCGAGGTGAGCCAGAAATATCGCGCTGGACAGTGGTCACTGTACCGGACGACTATGGTTTCGAGCAGACACACCTTGAGCACACCTGTGTACCGCGGCCTGTAGATCCGCTTACGCGAAGATGTTATGTCAGTGCTTTCGCGAATAAACGGTCCTCACCAGACTCGTCGAATCCAAACCTTTTCACGCGGCTCGGTAATGTGTACAGGGTACGCAGCCGAAGCCTCTTATTCTTAGTCGCGCATTTCACGAGCGCCGAACGCGGTGTGTATAATAGTGACAACGAAGAAGGCGACGAAGAGCCAACATCGCATGGTAGCCATGTCCACGAGGACTGGGTAGCACAAGCAAGAGCACAGAAACTCTCACGGGGCAAACGGCATTTGCTGCGGGTGACACGAGTATCAGGAAAATATAGCGACATTGCGTGGTCTGGACGTATTCCGGCCTCGTTCTCTGGGCATTAGCTGACGCTCTCGGATTTAGGGAGGGCTGCGAACGGTGCACGCAAGACGTGCTAACTTCCGTTTCCCTGGTTCGTCCGTTGCGAAGACTCATCTTGTCTGCGTAGGTGTACGGTCACCTTCCACACACAATGCCACATCCAGGTGAAGGTGTTGTTGATGCCGCGCTGTCTCGGATACTTTGACGGCAGGCGTTTTGTATGTGTGCACGTCAAGTGCACGTACGCCATGATCGGCGCTCTGCAGTCGGTATGTCACATCAAATCAGTGCCACATCCCATCACCGCTCTATGTATTTTGTATGATTTACGCTCAAGTTGACGGTACTCATTGCAGTGGAAGCCTCTGTGGCATGCACCTCTCCATCCACCCCCGAGGATTCCTGGGTTCAGCTCCGAAAGACCATCCCGAGCCCGGTTGGTCCAGGTCAATCAATGCCCACGACTCCTGCCGGACTGACACCGGGGCCGCGAACTCCTCTGTTTCGGGACCCCATGACTCAACATCCTCGCAACGAGGCTGTCCTCCAGATCTGTGCCTGGTGTTGCTTGCCGTAACGAAACGCCGGCCGTATCATCACCGCTTGCCGATCGTCACTGGGACTGACATGTTTGCCTCGAACGCTGGCCCTGGGAGCCTCGTGAGAAGTCGCACCACAGAACACACCTTGAAGCTCATGATAAATGGTGCGGTTGGTCATATAGCCTCGCGGGAGTCTGCTCGTTTGTCCTTGTCGCCCACAGATTGTGCCCACTGCTAGCGACTGTCTAGGCCACATCATGAGACGCACTACTGGTATTTACACGCTCCTGTTCGTTGCGTCCGTAGGGGCGAGCTATGCTCAGCCCGAGCTCCTCAAAAGAGATGTGTCTACCGTCTGCGAGGAGATTGCTGCTGCAATCTCGTCCGAGTCTGCTGTCTACTATGCCGGTGCGCACTGCTCTGGTATTCTTCCTCGGGCTCACGCTGACTCGGTGCATGGTGCATAGCGACTCTGCAGTACACTGCTGCCAACTTCCATTGGATGTCCTCGAGCACTCAATCTTCAACGTGCTCAGTCGAGCCAGGGAATGCTGAGGACGTCGGCGCTGTGGTCAGTTTCCTGCATTCCTCGATACACATCACGATACTAATAACAAGGGATAATAGCTGAAAATATTGGGCGAGAACCAGACACCATTTGCGGTGCGTAGCATAAAAGTAGCGCACTTGAAGCTCATCTCACATCCTTTTAGGTCAAGGGAGGCGGACATACGGCCAACCCAGGCTTTTCCTCGTCACCCGGAGTCGAGATTGCGATGTCGCGCTTTTCGGGCGTGACATACGATGTTTCGACCGGCATCGCGAGTATCGGGGCAGGGAACATCTGGGATGACGTTTACTCTGCTCTGGAGCCCTACTCCGTGAATGTGGTAGGTGGGCGTGTGAGCGGCGTCGGTGTAGCGGGGTTCACTCTCGGTGGAGGTAAGTCGGTTTGGACGTGATCATATCGATTTATGAACGTGTAACGCAGGTTTCTCGTTCAAGACGAATGAGTATGGTCTGACCATAGATACGGTCAGAGGGTTTGATTTGGTCTTGCCGAATGGCACAGCTACGTATGTGAGCGAATCCACGAACCCCGATCTGTTCTTCGCTCTGAAGGTACGCAGAACATCTCTGAGAACATGATCTGTGCTGATTGTTCCCTATAGGGTGGCTTCAACAACTTCGTAAGGGAACCTTACCTCCGAATGTGACGTTTGTTCATGCAGGATTCCAGGGCGTTGTCACGAACTTCTACATGGAAGCTCACACCCAAAGTGAAGTTTGGGTGCGCAACCTCGTTCCATAGCTTCAATCACTCTGACTCTTTTCAGGGTGGTGCTATTCTGATCTCGGGGGCACCGGACGAAGTCGTAGTAGCCACCCAGAACTTCTACGACAACGTCACAGACCCCAAGGCTTCCCTGCTTACCACTATCAACAACGAGATTGGCTTAGTGCGTGCTCCGGAATCTCTGACTCATGTTCATTCATTAACGGTTCGACCATCACAGCCGGTTACCGAGCTCACGTTGTTCTACAACGCACCGACTCCGCCGGATGGCATGTTCGACGAGTTCCTGGCTATTCCAGCATTCTCCACGGACATTTCGACGCGGTCGTACTTGTCTCTCGTTACAGCGACGCCCGATAATGCGACGCAATCACAGCGGTGAGCTTTGGAAGGTTCAGGAGGCGTCCCCGGAAACTCACAGACGTCATGTTATCTTAGCGGCTACTTCCACACGGTGTCTCTCTTCAACTTGACTGTCCCACTGCTTAACGCTATCGTCAACGAGACAAGTGTTCGTCTCCTCACGTCTTCACATTCGCATTCAGCTGATGTTACCGCATAGTTCTGGGCGAAAGAGCTAGCTCTGGATATTCCTGGCCTATTCGTCAGCTACGATATCGAGCCCTTCCTTCCGACCTATTTGTCATACGGATCCGACACCGCCTGGCCTCCGAGCCGAGCAACAGCGTTGCTACCCCTCAACATCTACTACTCGTGGTACTACGAGGAGAGCGATGCCCGTGCCAATGAAGTCATGGTCCAGAGTGCCGAATACCTGACCCAGTTTGCGGTCTCACAGGGCCAAGACGTAGCGGATGTGTCACTATATCCGAATTACGCTATCTGGAACACCACGGTAGAACGCATATACGGCGGCAACTTAGCGAGGCTGCAGAGCATCAAGGCGGAATACGATCCCAACAATGTCATGGCACTAGCTGGTGGATGGAAGTTTTAGGCCAGGGCGATAGTTTTTGGCTTCGCTAGTATTGATCGAAGGATGCACTTTGAGAGTGTAACTAATTGCGCGTATACAGTAACAATGGGCATCGGCGTAGCAGATGTGCTTTCCGACCGATTCTGAGGCGACGTCAGTCTTCGGCGAAGAAGACGACGGTGGCCGTGAGACCATTTCTATAGCTGACGTCAGGACGAAAGAACTACCAACGTGTGAATACACTTACTTTGTGGTGTCAGCTTGAGTGCCTATATCCCCGCTCATAGAGTTCCGTAGCAGGTGCATCGCAACGTTCCGGTCCTCGCTCCTGTATGATTCAGACCGTATGCCGACCGCCAGCGGCGTCGCGAGACAGTCATTCGGGGATACCGCGGGCTTTACTCTGCGGCGACCACCTTGTTCGCGCACACCCTTGTCGAGCCACATACCAACCAGACCCACCGCTTCCTCGCTCGTCAGGCGATCCCACATTGCGCGCGTGCCCATGATGAGGAAGTCGCCCGGCTGCACCGTCGTCGAGGTCACCTCCGGCTCTGCAGTGAGATACGGAGGTGTTAAGACGTCGGACGGAGTCGGCTTGCCGATGGATGCTTGCTGCAGTTGCCCACGGGTGACACTATCCCACTTATATAGTGCGTCCCCGAAGGAGCGCGTAGGTCCTCCACCGACGACGCGTCCGTTGTAGACGACCGCCTCTCCTGGGTGCCGCGCGTTGAGGCGGTACTCCTCCGCGAGGTTGTCGCCGTCCTGTTCCACGGTCATAACTTGGACCTGGTAGACCACATCGCCGTCTTTGTTGCGGGTGCGGCGCCCGAGGACAGCACGCGAGTCGCCTGTCAGTGCGACGTGGAGAGTCCTGCTGTGCGAGTCGTAGAAGCTCAGCAGCGCAGAGGATCCTGAGTGAGCCGGAGCTAGCGCGTCAGCATCGGCACCACCCGCGCTGTTCGAGAGCACCGCGTCGACTGAGCCGTGCATAATGTCGCGATCAAGGCGCTTGAAAGTGTCCTTGAGCGTGCGTTCTATGTCATCCGAAGACGGGGTAGGCGGAGTGTCTTGTGCTGGACTGTTCTCGTGCAGTCGGGAATAAAGATCGACAAGAGCGCCACCAACTGCGAAAATGAGGTTGTCTCGTAGCCAGACACATGTGGAGTGGCCATTGCGTCCGTCTAGTACAGAGAAGATAGACCAATACCCAGACGGAACGGGCACCACAGCTTCGGCATGCTCGCTCTCCGGAGGACGATTGCTCGTGCATGTCAGATACGGCACATTTAACTCTGGGTAAGACGTAATGTACCTACCTAGCGATTTGGGCCGTGTCATAGCGGTAGATTCCCGTGTGGGCTCCCAGCAGCTGCGATCGTTCCTGCAGATGACAGGACCTGGATCGCTCCCCATGATCTTCGCTGTGATTGGTGGAACTCTCGTAGTACGAGTACGAAAAGTGCGAGGTTGAGCTGTTGGTGAACAACGATTCTTCTTCTCTCCCCCGCGATTGATTTTCTGTGCCATCCAGGTACACAGACGAAGCAGACATCACGAGAGAGGCGACGCCTGCCAGACCAGCAAAGACCAAAGCTGTCCTACGCACGGTAGTGCGGGAAGTCAGGTGTGGTGCCGTCTGCCAGTGCAAACCTCTCCCCGCTGACTGGATGGTTGTGCCATGATATCGGGGTATCGAATTGAAAGATCTCCGCATTGCCATAAAGTTCCTGGTTTGAATGGTGTGGGGCTCAAGAAATTGGGCGTCATAGGCGGATATAAGACTTACTTGAACATGTTGGGGTGATTGACAGGCTCCGAGAGCTCGAGGGAGTATGACCTTGAACTTCGTGTTGGCGGTATACGTCGGAGCAACGTGGGCATGTGCTTCGATTCCTATCCGCAATATTCGAAATTTGCTACGCTGACTCGGGCGCGGCCTCAGGTTGTACAGCGCGAGATTTCAGGCAGGAGTACACCAAGTACTGGCAGTCGGACAACTTGATGCAGCTCAGGCTGGTGCCAGTGGCGGACCCACAGCATAATCGGAGATTGCATCTGAGATCTGTGTGGCTGAGAATCACGAGTTTGTGGAACGCGCCTGGAGGCTGATTCGGAGTCGTCCTCAATGCTCATTCAACGCGGTCCCCAGCCTGCGTTTCAGTGGATCCTGCAACGAAGCCGGGATTTCTGTTTGGTACGTTGATGCAGAGTTAATCTCAAACAAAACAAGAGAAGGGCAAATTGGGCGGTAATGAGAAAGGTCCAGGCGACCTCCATTATTCTAGGTCGTGATACGCTCGGGCCCCGGCCCAGCTGGGGGTTGGGGTGTTCGCCCCAACCCCTCAAGGTCGTAGCACTGCGAGCAATGCGGCGGGATGCATAAAAACACCACAGGCTGGCAGTACCACTTCACCTCTCTCCACTGCAGAGCGAGATGTCTTCCGTGCCCTTCACACGTACGGCAGAGGCGCCTCGGGCGTACGCCAAAGTATCTCTTCAAGTTCAGTCGTCGAAAGACCTACCTGAGGAGGAGCCTATCAACCTCAACATCCCCGACAACTATGTGCAATGGGTCCTCAAGAACCAGAAGGAGCGCCCTCCTATCACATGGCAGACGCTATGGGGCGAATTGAACTACCTCAGTTTGTCTATCTTGACCATCCCGCCTGCTATGGCCATCTGGGGCATCTGCAACGTCAACCTCCACTGGGAGACCGCTATGTGGGGTGTCATATATTACTTCGTGACCGGCCTAGGTAAGCGTCTAACCTACGTTCAGTCCAGCGACTACTCACATCGCCACCGAAGGGATTACGGCTGGATACCATCGCCTCTGGGCACACAGGTCGTATAACGCCTCGAAGCCTCTCCAGTACGCCCTTGCCATGGCGGGTGCCGGCGCCGTGGAAGGGTCGATCAAATGGTGGTCCCGCGGCCATCGTGCCCATCACCGCTATACCGACACGGACCTCGACCCGTATGACGCCAACAAGGGTTTTTGGTGGTCGCATGTCGGCTGGATGCTCGTGAAGCCGAGGCGCAAACCTGGCGTCGCCGACGTCAGCGATCTCAGCAAGAGCGCGGTCGTCAAGTGGCAGCATCGTTGGTACCTATACCTCATCCTCGGCATGGGCTTCGTCTTCCCTACGGCTGTTGCCGGCCTGGGGTGGGGTGACTGGGCAGGCGGATTTTTCTATGCCGCGACGGCACGTCTAGTCTTCGTGCACCACGTCAGTCCTCTGGCCTGTTTGGGATCCTACTTCTACTAACCGATAGGATTTTCGCAGTCAACGTTCTGCGTCAACTCCCTCGCACACTGGCTCGGGGAAACGCCGTTCGACGACAAGCACACGCCGCGCGACCATATGATCACGGCGTTTATCACGAACGGTGAGGGTTACCACAACTTCCACCACCAGTTCCCGATGGACTACCGCAACGCCATCAAGTGGTATCAATATGACCCGACCAAGTGGTTCATCTGGGTCTGCTCGGTACTTGGCCTCGCGAGCCACTTGAAGATGTTCCCCGACAACGAAGTGAAGAAGGGCCAGCTGACCATGCAGCTCAAGCGTCTGAAGGAGACGCAGGACCACCTGCAGTTCGCTCCGGATCACAACGACTTGCCGGTGATCAGCTGGGATAGCTGTGAGTTATCCACATGTATTTCAGCTGATCGACGAAGGCTCATTCAAACATGTAGTCCGGGAGCAGGCTCAGAAGAGAGCGTTGGTTATTATCGCGGGCTTCATCCACGACGTCTCATCGTTAATTGACGAGCATCCCGGCGGCCGCCACCTGATTCTCAAGTACGTCGGGAAGGATGCTACGACGGCCTTCTTCGGCGGTGTCTACAACCATTCTAATGCTGCGCACAACGTAAGTTCTGGCTTCCTCAGGGTCATTATGCTAGGCAGATCCACTAATTGATATCGAAAATTGCAGTTGCTGTCCATGAAGCGTGTGGGCGTCCTTCATGGCGGAGTTCAGCACGGGTTGGACGACAAAAACATCCCGCCTGCGCAGCGTCTGCGAGTCGCGCGGTACAGTGAACTACTATCCTCCTCGGGTAGCGCTTCTTCAACAGCGTGCTCAGATGTCGACGAGGAAACCCTGTTAGGTTGATACGCTATCGAATGATGATATGTAACGAGATGAACCTACTCGCCTCTCCCTACGAAATGACATGCTCCCGACCAAGCTTCTTCAGTCAACCTTCAGTTGACAGTGACACAGCAGTGCCAGTCAATTACAATGGCATCGCCTTGACGTAGCACTTTACGATCATCATGATTGAGCGAGCGGTGTTTCGCGAATTCGGTAGGTAGGGCCGGCCCTAATCAGGAGGCTCACGCACGGACTGTTGTGGCCACGGCCCTGGCTCGCCGCTCGAGTCGGACAGCAGATCAATGTACTATCTCAGGCTGTAGGCTACTGCTACACAATTAAGTAGCTGTTTTGTGGATACACGCGTACCTAGTGTGACTGGATCAGGATAACATTATTCCTGTCAAGCAAACACTGCAGTGCTCAAGCTCACTAGTGCAAGGCTCGTCTATCGACGCACTCACGAGTCACAGGCCACTCGTACGGCGGGACGCAGCTCGGAGTAGGCCAAGATCCGGGCCCGATGCAGCAGACTCCGCCTCAATCTGAGATCCTAAGCTGAGCCGCCCGCACCAGAAGGTCGGTAAATTGGAAACTACGCCCCTACGGAAATAGCCGCCGGCCGTAGTCCGCGCCTGCCCAATATGGCAAGTGCACTCTTGCCCGCCGTTTCGTGGCAAAGTACGACACCTGTGCACTGTATTCCGATGTATATAGACCATGGACTTTCTAAAGAGTGGCTGAAAATCATCCAATCAGCGTAGGAGACTGTATGGGTCCAGTACAACACTGAGTGCATGCCGTCACAGGCTGTTACGCGCAGAGCGCCCGCGTCACAAACGTGACGGCTGCCATGACATGTCCCAATGCGGACAGTCACAGTTCAAACATTCAATTGTGATTGGTCTGTCCGTTGCGCGCTCGAACGACCTCTTCCGAGGGGTAGTCGCAGATAACAGGTAAATTCAACCAAGAATGAATACAGACTTGAGTACAGTGGTATACTTAGGACAGCGCGAGTGTATACGGTAAGTATAGTTACGTAAGCGCGTGGCGGGCCTACCCGTTACGCACACCGTCTCTCTGAGTCGCCGTTTCACCTACCGACGCGTACGTGTTAGTGGTGGTATATGCTCGCACAAATCCTCTTCAAGTGTGATACGTGCGGCAGTGAAAAATGCCGCAAGACTGGCGGAATGTACTCGTGGGATGTGTGTGACAGGATGGTCACGTGCGCGTACGGTCCGTAGTACGGTCCGGACCCGTAGGGGCGTACTTTCCATTTTCGATATGTCCTCGCCCGCACGAATGCAGGGCCCGGCTCCAAGGCGTCACCTTTGCCTTTGTCTTCACCGCCTCGGACGCGCACGCGTATCTGCTCTCTCGATCCCCCATTCATCGTGCGGTGCCCCGTAACCCGAAATCTTTGCTTGAAGGATGACTAACGCGCCATCAGGGTCTAAGCGTCCGTACGAGGGGACCCATGACCGTGACTACGAGTCTCACAAACGGCCGAGGGAGCGAGAGGATGCGCGGGATTGGAAGGACGTTCACCTGAAGTCGCCGAGGAGATCCTCGTCGCACAGGAGCAGGGAGCGCGTCGATCGACGGGAGAATGATAGACGGTCATCAAGGCACGATTACCGCCCTCGAAGCCGGGAACAGGATCATCGCCGGATGCCCAGCGACTACGGCAGGGATAGAGACAAAGGCAGAGAGGGAGACGGGGACAGGGAAAGGCGTGATGACCGTGACAGGTATCGCGACAGAGACTACCCTTCTCGTAGAGATGAACCCCGTAGAGAAGATACCCGTCGGAGAACGCGGTCACCACCTCCTCGGGACCATAGGCGCAACGGGTCAGTAAACGGGTACACCCAGTCCAATGGGCATGCCCATCCTAAGGATGACTCAGAAAGAGAAGAAGGCGAGTGAGTATCACGCAGTCTGTACCCATATGTACGCGCTCAATCAGGACTTTTCCCTCGCAAGGATTTCGCCTAGGCATACGCCCCCGCCCAAGATACCTTCGCGCGACAGTCGCCAGCCAGTTCATACTCCAGCTCACCCTCCACAACCTCCACCAGCGCCAGCTGCGCCGGAACCCGAGATGGAGCTCGAACTCACGACGTCTCCACCCCCCGTAGAGGAGACTCTAGCTGCGCGGCGGGCGAAGCGTCGAGCCATTTTGGCCAAGTATGCCGGAATCGCGAGTGCTGCCCTCAGTCAAGGTGTCTCCCCAAGTCCTGGACCTAGTAGTGCGGTTGAGCCGCCTCCCACGAGTCCTGCTGTTTCTAACACTGCATCTCAGTCTCACAGCCCTGGTGCGACCCCCGCTCTCATTGACGTCGAACGAAGTGCACCGGTCAGTAGCGTCATAAGTAAGTCTTTCGTGTCGCATAGGATTCGCATTGGTGAACCACACTCTAGGCAAGCGGGTGTCCGCGTCGGTGTCTCCGACACCGGGCATCTTCTCTCTGGCTAAGGACCAAGGAGATGGACAAGTGAAAGGTCAAGTGCAAGATGGTCCTCACGAGCAGATATCTGCTGCCGACTATGACCCCAGTTTGGATCGTCGGGAAGACGAGAAACGAGTGCTCGGGGTCAAGGACGAACCAGCAGAGGATATACAACTAGTTGAGGAAGAGGAAGAAGAAGACGATGTGGACGACATGTTTGCCATTGCTACGACCAAGAAGACCAAGAAGGTCAAGAACGTTGTCGTGAGTATTTACTCTACGCAGGCACTTGCATTGCCTGACAGTGTTATAGAAGAAGCCGGCAGCTCCTGCATTAATCACGACGACATTGGACACCGCTGCAGACTCGGAAGGTTACTATCAGGTCATCTTGGGCGAACAGCTTGACGGTGGTCGCTACCAAGTTTTCTCTCACCTTGGGAAGGGAATGTTCGCCAACGTCGTTAGAGCGCGTGTCTTGAACTCTGAACCAGGCGAAGCTGTCAAAGAGGTGGCAATCAAGATTGTGCGTTGCCAAGAGTCAATGTAGGTCCCCAACTTGCGTCATTTTTTTGAAGCTCAATTCAGTGCTATCTAGGTTCAAAGCGGGTCAGAAAGAGGCCCAGATCTTGAACAAATTGAAGGAAGCCGATCCGGAGGACAAGAAACATGTCGTTCGCCTTGAGAGGACGTTCGAGCATCGCGGACATTTATGCTTAGTTTTCGAGTCTCTCAGGTGAGTGCCTTTCGCACCCGAGTGTTGCCATGGTCTCATTGCATTCCAGTATGAACCTGCGAGATGTCGTCAAGCGATTTGGCAAGGATGTCGGCCTCAACATCAAGGCGGTGCGTGCATATGCGCACCAATTGTTCCTCGCTATGAGTCTTCTGCGGAAGTGCAACATCATGCACGCCGATATCAAGCCCGATAACATTCTGGTACGTCTGCCTGTGGCACATGGGTCTGGTGACGGCCGATGGACTTTGATCTAGGTAAACGAACAGAAGACGCTTCTGAAGCTCTGCGACCTGGGCTCTGCCTCGGATGCATCCGAGAACGAAATCACACCGTACCTTGTCAGTAGGTTCTACCGGGCGCCAGAGATTAGTAAGGACGTTTCCCCCACGATAGAGGTCAGCTGCTAATGTTCACGAACAGTCCTCGGTGTTCCGTATGACCCCGCATTAGACATCTGGTCGATCGGGTGCACGCTCTACGAGCTGTATACCGGCAAGATCCTCTTCCCGGGACGTTCGAATAACCAGATGCTCCTTCTCATGATGGAGCTGAAAGGCAGATTCAACTCAAAGATGATCAAGAGGGCGCGTTTCGGGAGCATGTACTTCGACGAGTTGGGTGCATTTCAAAGCGTTGAGAGGGAACGAGTTACTGGCGCTGTAAGTCGTTGTCTTCTGGATTGCCACGGTAGTAGACTTATTTCTTGCTCAGGACGTCATTCGCCAAGTGCATATCACTGCACCCGCGAGGGATCTCAGGCAGCGCCTCATGCCCCCTGCGTCTGTGAAGATGAAGGACGATGAGGGAAAGCTGCTGATATCCTTTATTGATCTCTTAGACAGGTGTTTGGCCCTCGATCCGGCCAAACGTATCACTCCCAAGGAAGCGTTGGTGCATCCGTTCATAAGAGGGTGATTCCATGCGCGGATATGCAGACGAAGAGCTGTGGAATTTTAGGGTCGATCACCCCTGGCGAGTTGGCACCAGTAATTACTATCATCCGTGTATCCATATTTCCTTCCCGCAGGTGACCATATTTGTGCCTCGTAAGGAGCTTGGTACGACGTCAACGTTGTCACGTTAGGGTCAGCTGAGGTGGTCTTTGTTCAGGCTATCGGACAGAGTGCGGTCATCAGCTCATTCTTGTCCCGTCGCTATTCCGGCGTACGCGTCATATAAACCCGAGTGAACAGAAACCCATCGTCTTCCCTGCGAGCGTGCTTGATAACTTGGTCCAGTATGCCTCTTCCCCAGGGTCCCCTTCCGTCTTTCGACGAGCTGCCGAGCTTCCGTAACTTCCCTGGTTGTGCCTGGGATGTTTGGGGCAAAGACGATGAACTGGGCACCATCAACTTACTGACCGAGGATGTTGTGAGAGAGGCGGCAAAGGAGATCAAGTATGTTCGGGTTTTGGACTTGCGAAGAGCTCACTAATGACCTACGATAACCGCACGCAGGCTCGGCAAGACGATCTGTCTGAACTGGTATGATTATTCATAGTATGGCTCCGGAGAAAGTTGACGTATCTCCGTGTAGGCCAATCAACTTTCCGAGGAAGGTCCGTGATCACTCAACGAATTCGGGGTCAGGGTACTCAAACGTTCTATTCCTGCAGCCACTCTTCAATCGTCAGCCACCGAGCATTCAGATGTGGAAGAAGGGCGAAGACATCGCTGTGCATGACGACTCTATAGAAATTGTGCGCCAACATGTTTGAATCTGACTTTTGATGCATTTGTCGATTGAACGTCGTTGATAGAATACTCAATCGGGATCGCAGTGGGACGGTCTTCGCCACTTCGGTCTCTTGGAGCATCAAATATTCTACAACAAGTATGGCTCGATGCATGACGACGATCAGTGCTAACCCTATTCGTTCACAGCACTCCATCCGAGTTCTTCAAGACTGGGAGCCTTGTCCAGGATTTTCCGGATAAGGTAGACAACGACTTCATCAAATACGGGATCCATAGTGAGTCGGGGAGGTATCGCGGCGTAACCAACTCATTGATCCATCTGTCAAAGACTGGGCGCAGCACGGCATATGCGGGCGTGGTGTCCTCTTGGATCTTGTACGCTACTATACGGAGTCTGGCAACCCGTTGCCCTACGACCCATGGACGACGCACAGCATCCCGATCTCGGATTTGGAAGCTTGTGCTAAGAAGCAAGGCGTGACGTTCAAGCAGGGCGACATCTTGATTCTCCGAATGGGATTCATGCAACGGTATCTCAGTTCCACGCAAGAAGAGCGCGACGCCCTAGCAGGCAAAGTAGAGACTTTGTGAGAGGCATATCTCATGCTACGGATAGATGTTGACGGCGACCTCTCCCAGGGCCGGCATCGAGCAAGGCGACGAGTCGAAACGTTTCCTCTGGTAAGCGGGAGCATCTCATTGCAGAACCCTAGAATGCTCATCGCGATGCAGGAACAACCACTTCGCTGCCGTAGCATCCGACCAGCCTACTGTTGAGGTGAAGAGCCAGCTCACTCGATACATGTTGGTTTGAAGCTGACAAGTGCCCCTCAGAGTTGGCCCCCGCCGTTCCCGCATCACTTGCACCAGGTAATGTCCAACTGACTGTCCCGGTTCGATAGCAATGCGCTTACCTCTGACATACCGTGCAGACCCTTCTTGCGTATGTATCATTTATGTCTATGCGTTCTGAACGAGGCTGACCAGCGAGATGCAGCCTATGGGGTATGCCTATTGGTAAGTTTGAGGTCAAAGAGTTCTATGATCTCTGGCAGCTCATGGATGTATCTAGGCGAGATCTTTGACCTGGAAGCGCTATCGAAAGCTTGCGCTGAGACGGGACGATACACATTCTTCTTCACCTCCTGGCCGTTGAACATGTAAGTCGCGTGGACACGTAGGTTACCATCACGCCGACTCTCGCTGATCATACCTCCATAGATTGGGTGGCGTTGCAAGCCCGCCAAACGCTGCCGTGAGTGGACCGCCGTGCCTTGCTGCTGCGTTACTGATGTCTGGTGCAGGCCTATTTGTGAGAAGCTGACAGCCGAATTAAGTGTAAATACCAGTGGTCGCATTGCCATTGTAGCCAGAGACTTGTATGTATGCGGGAATGATATCGTCGTCGCTCTTCATTTATTATGAATGCTACAATGACCGATTGTCTTGACCAAGTGACAAAACAGACCGAGTTGACAATTGCTACTGGATGTACGACCTTTGTACCCCAAGCCACTGGTAGAAGTCCGAGCCCCAAGCCTCTACATTTCAATTTTAACTTTCACGACTGGTCCGTCGATTCATACGTCGACAACCGTCTTGGACGCGGGCCAACCGTCTTCACAGGCGGCAGACCTTCTGGATCCTCATCGTCACTCGTAGCCGCACTCTCGCTGCTATCTGTGCTCTCATCGCGGCCTGCAACGGCGCCGTACGAGGCCGCCTGCACGCGAGGTTCTGCGTGCAATTGTGACTTGGGACGAGCACCGTCGAGGGGTTTGTCCGGGATCTACGCAGGTTCTGCATGAGTGTTCGAGGAGATAGTAGAGCGAGATGAACGTACCGGGAGACGAGCGCAGTATGCCAGGAAAGTCGCGCAGGCTGCCATGATGAAAACGACGCGCAGGGCGGTCGCGTACGAGTCCCGCGCCGCACGCTGCAAGTCTGGGGGTAGATTCCCAACCACAGTTGCTGAGTGGCGGATTTTCGTGATTATCTGCAAATACTCGATTGTGAACATCGTGAACTCTAGGTCCTTCTAGACGCAGACACAGACCTTCTCCGCGTCGGGAGTCTGGATCCGTTTGTGGAGCTCGGTGTTCAGGATGCTTTGGAAGACAGCTGCGGACACGGCGACGCCTCCTACTTGGCCTGGAATAGCGAAGGTTAGGGGAGCGTTCGACGCAGCAGATAGCAGTCTGCGCACCTAAGCCTCGGAACACTTGGCCAAATCCGGTTCCGACAGCGACTTGCGATTCTATTCAAGCATCCGCATGAGCACGAGCGCCAGGAGAGGCTGGATGGGGTGCGTACCAGGCAAGTGAGCCAGGAGCGCGACTAGACATTGACAGATCAATGCACGAATTGCATATCGCAACAGCATTGCACCTACTCAGCATGGTTTGCAGAACCACCGCGTTACCGAAGCCCATTGGGATCTAGGGAGGATTTGACATGGTTCTCGGATATTACTGCTCAAAATGAGTGCTCACGATGCTGAACCACAGTTGGAAAGACGGGGAGTCTGCTTTCATACAGCTAAGCAGGATAGCAGCCGTGAAGGGGAACAATCCGAAGATGAGGTTGAGCGTCTTGTATCTCCCCGTGCGGTGCATCATCCATCTGACGCGGATATCTTATGAGCACTTCTCGACTGCATATGAGCGGTATGCTTACCCGGCGAACAACGACCCAAACGAGACCGAGAATGCATTCGGGATCAAGTGCGCACCTACGGACGCGTATCAGGTCACATTCAATGATTTAATCACGGGATGAAGACCGCACCAGCTTCGCTCGCACTCGTGAGCATCACCGTCTGGAACCACGTGGGGAAGTTGTAGTTGACCATGAAGTTGCACGTTGCGACGAGGAAGTTACTGATGCCCACTAGCACAGGGATCTTCTGCTTGAGCAGCGCAGGCGCGAGCACGGGCTCAACGGCGACGTGAAGCTCGAAGACGACGAAGGCAACGGCGAAGACGCCAGTGAGGATCAGGGGGACGAAGACGGACGGCGAAGACCACTGTTTGAACGCTGTTATGACGAGATGTTCAGAGGATGAAGGCAGGGGGCTTACCGGCTGCTCTTCACTATAGCGTGTGCTCAGGAAGATGAGGAGTGACAAAACCTATTCGTGCTGGTGAGCATCACGTCGATTGAAATTGAGGCGTACGCACGGCTCCCAGCAAGGTCAGACTCCCGCCATAGTCGATCCGCTTTAGTACTTCCTTCTTGCTCCTGGAGACTTGTCCCTAAAAAAATACGGGATAAGTTATCTAGTTGGGTGGTAGTCGTCCGATTGTGACGTACCGCAGTGACATAGTGCAGATTGACAGAGGTCAATGCGGCTGATATCAAGAACAGCGGAAGTTGCAGCAGGAAGGCCCAGCGCCACCCAAGTCTGTACCCCGTTGTTCAGTATAGGACAGCTAGGTCAAAGCGAGACTGCTGCCGTACCGATCGCTGATGTATCCGCCCAATGGCCCTCCCAAACCCATACCCAGCTGTGCAAAGATTTGAGCGCATATATGCTACGTAGTACGGGAAACGCACGCTATTGAACACAGACGCGAGGCCTTGCGTTAGCCCTCGGCTCTGATGTAGCGAATTCGGTCAGATGCACGAGTATATGCGCATACTTATGCTGGGGACGCACTCTGAGACTGTACATGTCGCTCGTGATGATCCTACAAGGTCCAATACGGTGAGTATGTCTCCCTGTGATGTGATACGGCCCGGACATACGTTGCAGTCGTGAAGATACCTCCTCCACCCAAGCCAGAAAGCTCAACCATAGTGTTGGTGCGTATTACATGGGGCGAGAGGACGAGTACTCACGAATCTCGCAGCGATGAGGGATTCCATGGTACCAGAGAACCCACACGCCGCGGTGCCGAGAGCTGCGAAGTAGACGGCCATCTGATTGGCATTTCTACGGCCCATGACATTGCACAGACGTCCGTACAGTGGGGTGAATGTCGCAGTTGCGAGAAGATACCTAGCATTTATGTGCACTTCAGTGTCACTCGTCTCGACCGAGTTATTGCGGCATGAAGACGTACGCCGTGCCAAGCCAGTGCGCTTGATGCGACTTGTTGAACTCCGAAGAGATGGAGGGTAGCACTCAAGAAGCCAGTCTCAGCTCTTGTACGTAGCATACTGTCGAGCATGGGAACTCACATGTAGTGACAAGTGTGCCTATGTACCATCAATTCACATGCCTGACGAATGACATGATGACGCAGGACGTACTGTTCAAAGACTAGACATAGGAGCAATCACAGCTCATGCTAAGTATACAGATCATAGTTGTGCAGAAAAGGCACATACGCAGAGAAAGGTAGCCATCCATATACCGGCCAAGATGCCATAACGCGTTGAACGCGAGATCTCCAAGGGGCCTACTCTTCTCTTGTCCTCCTTCGTGTTCGGCGGCGGAGATACCGCCGCCATTGCGGCACCGGGCTGGCTGGCTACCGCCTCGATGAGGGGTTCCCTCTCTCCAGCGGACTCGGGCATGACGGTATGTGTGCGTTCGCGCGTAGTCGTAGTTCAGTGCAGAGAGTTTCGCGCCTCTCGTTCTTCCACGATGCGAGCGAGGGTGGTGGTCCAGATGAAGGTCGTTGAACGAGGCCCTGATCCCACATGAAACTGAGTACAGGACGAAGTGTATATATAGTGGTCGTGGCGCTGGCAGGGCGTAAAACTAGCTAAAGAATGGCGTGCCGTGCCACTTGCCGCGACTCTGTGGCGGCATCGTCATCCCGTCGTGGGCGTCACTGGCAGACCAACTGCTCTGCAGCGTAGTGACATTAAGTAGTCAATATGCATGTAATTACTAGTATACGTACATAAACTCCCAGCATGTCGATAGAAGACATACACAGCAATTTCCATCGGTCAAATTCAGAAGAGCAACGGTATGCGAACGACATGATGTAACAGACTCGGAAGCAGCGGGACTGACCCAGGTACCAAAGAGTACCAGATAGAGCATCCACATCCCATCGCCGAGCCGTCTTCTAAATGGGACGCGATACTTGCCGAGTTCGCAGCTCGAGGATCCCAGCTGCTTGCGCTGCGCGAGTCCCAGACGGAGGCGTGTATGGAGTTCGCTTGAGCTGCTCCCGTATACGCAACTTCTCCTGTCGCGCGCGAGTCCCAGGCATCGGCATTGAATCCATCTCCGAGCCCAACGAGGCAGTGCGGCCCAGCTCAGCCGGTAGGACAGGAATCGCAGGCGGTCTGCCGGCGGATGGTCGACCTGCGGACGAGCGTTGCGCAGAAGGTGGTTGAACGTCTGACGCCCGACGCGCGGGTTTCGAGGCTTCTTCGTCAAGGTCTGCGTCATGCATCGGGAGTTGCGATCCGAAGAGGCGGTTCGTAGCTGATGTGTTCGGACCAAAAGACCTGGAGGCGTCAAGGCTCCTGTTGGCGGCAGTCCCTGGCAGTAGGCTCCGGCGTACGCGCTCGTCGTCGCTATCGAGGTCCTCCTCAAACGGGTGCTTAGAGGTTGCACTATGCATGCTTGCACCGTGACTCATCGCGAGCATCTTCTCAACATCTCTGTCGTCCTCGTCGCCCTCCTGAGTTTTGACATTCGTTTCGGCTTGCTCTCCGTCGCCGCGGCCCGGCATTCGTCGAGAAGGTCCTTGCCCCTCTTCCTCAGGCGAAGAATCAGGCTTTGCTTCTCGCTGATGGGATGGACCGGCAACGCCAACATCATTCCTAGCGGAGAGCTTCGACGTACGTGCTGCATCCCCAGCTGAGACGCCGCGAGGAGCACCTGCCTCTGATAAGAAGTCAGGTATCGGAGAGTTGGACACAACCCCGATCCTCTTCCCCTTGCCAGCTCGGCTAGCTACCTTCCGCGCAAAGAGGATGGCCGGTTTCAGTTCATGCGCTTGCGCACGCCGCTTCACGGGTTCTTGAGGCCAGAGCACTTCGTCTGCAATCGATCGTGAGGGTGCTGATCGTGGCTGCGAGCGCGACGGGCCAGCGACAGGGGCGGGGCCAGCGGCCTCTTCCTCCTCTCGAGCCACTTGAGTCGGACCGTCATATGTGCTTGGCGGAGCAGGACGGTGCCGCGGTTTCTGAGAGGCAGCGCCGACCAGTGTCGCTTGAGAGCTCATGGGGACCTGTGAGGGGCCCGGTTTAGCTGCCTGTGTGACGCGTTGATTGCTGCGAGAGGTTGGTTTGACGGGAGGCCGCCGGGCTTTCTTCGCGGGTGAAGAGGTCTGTTCCCGGCTTGCAGAGGAAGGCCGTGGGGATTGCTGTGTGCCGGAGGGCCCTGCATCCTCAGGCCCTGGCCGACCGCTGTCGGACGGGCGGTTTACGCTGAGGAACAGAGTTGAGATCAATCGTCTTACCAATACAAAGGGAAGAAAGGCCGTACTTGCGTTCGACTGTGTCGTCGTCTTCTTCTGCACTAGATACTTCAAATGGTATGGCCCCCTCTGGAGCAACGTAGGAGGGTGACCGAGACTGCTGCCTACCGCGCGCATGCTCGACAGAAGATGCGCGTCGCTGACGCGCACCCATGTGTCTTGCTCTCTTGCGCGGAGGCGCGTCCATGTCCTCGTTGTCCCGCCACGGGTCTTGAACGGGCTCGGACTGGCGCTGGCGGGGTGCTGGTCCTTCGGCTTGTTGGTTTACCGCTCCATCCTCAGCCTGCTCTCGTGCAGCGTTGCCGTCGCCTTCTTCCTCGAGTTCGCCTTCTCGATTCGGCGCTAAGTGGCGTCCCCGTATGATTCCTCGACTGCGCTCATACAGCCCCTTCTCATCCTGTCGAGGCGGGTTCTCCGTGACCAGCTGCTTGATGATGGGGTCAAAGATATGTTTGCGCTTGTTGTAGCGTTCCCGCCAGGACCACATCGTGTGACGATCCACCCATTCTCTGTGATCAAACTGAGTAATGACTGTGAGCATTGTCGAAAATAGTAGGAGAAGTTGCGGAACATACTTGGTGGACAAAACGCGAGGCCACGAGTCGCTTGTAGATCTCTATGCCCCCACGGCCACCCTCCTCCGCGTTCGGCGTGACTGAGGCCAGGTATTCAGCTAGGTGCCGATCATCTTCGGCAGTGAACGGTACACGACTGCAAACATTCAGAAATCATTTGAATCTCAGAGCAATGAACAACGCACGTGCTTCCCGTGGGTTGTCCGCCCATACCCCTGCGCACGGGCTTTTGCAGGTTGTCTTCGCACTTTCCTGACTTGATGCATATCTCAATGAATGCTGGCTCCTCCACCCAAACGGTGCGCGAGTCCCAGTACTTTATTCGGAGGAGCTCAAGCCCGACATATTGGACGATGATGATGTCAGCTTCCTTTTCGGTTACTACCAATATTCCGCCATAATCCTACAGGTATGTTTCAGGTGGGCTGATACCAGAGAGAACCAACGTAGCGTACCGTAATCTTGTCTTCCAATACATCAACCTGTCCCTTGGTCAGGGCTCCAAAGCCTGCCGTGTATAGGTGAATCCGCGCACTTCTCCCATTAATCTGGAGAAGTTCGTCGTCTGCTACGGGCTAAATATGTGTCACAACCGAGCTGTTTCAGCGCACGAAAATCTGGCTCTGACTCACCGGACGTGCCATGGCGAGGAGCCCTTATGCTGCCAGCAACACCGCACAGAGTCCAGACAAAAGCGAAGTCCGAGGGATCGAGTCCAAGACGCGGGGGGTTGCGCGCGGAACGCGCTCACCTCGCAGTAGACAACGCCCATGTGACCGGGTCGCTGGGCTAGTTGATCTGGTTCAACTTCCGAGCTGGACAGTAGACGCCCGCACCGTGGTGGCCGCGGCCCGCGGGCTTGTCTGTCTCCGACTCGCCGCCCGCCACAGAATGTTTCCTGAAACCATCAGGGCGACCAACATGCATGTAAACGCTACTTACAGTACAAGCCGCCATCGAGATACCTATCTGAGAACTTGAGTCCTCAAATACGTGCGATTGATTGCTCAAGTCGCTCTGAACTCTACCCACTTACACTAGCACCTCCGGCTTGCGAGGTCAAGTATGACGGCCTACACGGAAGCTTGGGCCACTGGGCCGCATTCCACCAGCTTCTACACGCGGACATACGAGGCACTATCTTCAATCGCTGTTCTCGTGGCCGTTCACGGCGCTGCAGAACACTCTGGTCGGTACACGCATGCCCATACGTCGCTCGCCGAACGGGGCATCACTGTCTTCTCGTATGACCAGCGCGGATATGGGCGTACAGCACTAGACGAGCAGCACAAGAGCAAGGATAGCGCATATGGCAAGACGTGCTGGGAAAATCAACTAGAAGATTTAGATTGGGCTGTGCAATACGTGCACACAAACTATGCGGGCCTACCGGTCTTCCTCATGGGCTCATCTATGGTGCGTACGGGAGCTGTTATGGACGCGTATCTCATTCTGACATAGCGCGTAGGCAGGAAGTCTGTGCTTGAGCTTTGTGACGCAGCCAGGGTCGCCGCAGAGACAATCCTCGGTTGAGGCTCTGTCGGGAATCATCGCTTCTGCGCCCACACTGCTACTCACCGAACGTCCTTCTTGGCTACTCCAAACAGCAATAAGGATACTTCGGTTGGTAGTTCCCAATATATTGTTGCCATTTAAGCATAATGGCGAGGTGAGCCCCGCTAGCGTGCACTACTTCTCAGACTTGAAAGGTGAATTTCCGTGCCAAATACGTAGAAACTCTCCCACAACGAGGAAACCAACAAGGCCTACCTGGAAGATCCTCTTGTTCGAGCACCTGGTAGTCTACTCTCCGTATATGATCTCATCGCCGAGGTGAGCAGCGTTATATTCGAGAAAGCCCATACAGCTTACAACTTATCAGGGGCAGCGTGTGTTGGTAGATTATTACAAGCATTGGCCCGTTCAGCTACCGGTGAGTAGGAGCATATTCTTTCAGTTGAGCAGTATCATAACTGTTCGGACAGCTTCTCGTGCTGCAAGGAACAGCGGATCTGGCACGTTAACTTCAGTCTAAAGTGAGGTGATGGAAGTACTTACTCTCGTGAAGCTGTCAGATCCTGCAGCGACCCAGGAATTCGTCGAGAAGCTCATAGCCGAGGACAAGAAACTTGTGTTGTACCCTGTGCGTGGGTTTCTACATCCGGATAGCCTTTTGGTCTGACGGGACAAATTCCCTTGTCGCAGGATGCACGACACGAGCTGCACAACGAACCCGTACAAACCGAAGTAGCGGATGAATGCATCAGTTTCATGGCACGCATTGCCAGCAGACCAAACGGTGGTCCCGAGTAATGAGCTGTGCATGCTGTACGTGCTTACTTTCTGTTCCGGGCGTGGGCCGGCTGTTGCATCCGGGTCCGACTGTCTGTTAACTGCGCTACTAGCGATATGTAGCACGCAGCTGACCGGGAGTACACGATTGCATAATGGAACAATGTCCTTGACTATCCAATACGACGTGTTTGCGAGTATCGAAGGACTGTAAACAGAGCGAAGATGAACGCCAAGCTCGTGTGCGACTCGCAGCGGCGATTGTTTGACGACCTCGGTCCTCGGCCATTGTCCGTGGTGTGCAAAGCTACACGACCATGTGACCGCGTTGTAATGTCCAATGGAACTGGTTCGTCTGTCGGGACCGAGCCAGGTTGCTGCTGGGCGCGTGACGCCCACGCGGTGATGCGAGGCGGGAGGTGGCTCACTGCTCAAGTTGTTGTTCCCGGACACCGTCCACCATCCACCCGCCGACGCCGGCCGCGATGAGCAGGCGACAATCTCGTGTATCCATCGACGTAAGGCAGAATGACACCCTCCTTGAGTTCGAGAACTGTGCGTATCTGCTTAGTTTCGTGCCAGCCGCGAGTACTGACCAGGTTCAACTTCGCCCGCGCCAGTCAAGAAGAAGTTTCTGCTTGCCAACAAGCACATCACCAAGTGAGTAATCGCCACCTTCACTACCGACGCTGCATGCTGAACTGCGTGGTCCATCCAGATTGAATTCAACACTGAGCGTCCGCATCGAAGAACTGAACGCCCAAATATCTACGCTATACGTCGAGAACCTGCGACTCCGCGCCTCCGAGATTGCGCTAGCATCGCAACTCAAGAAAGAGCGGGAGAAATCCAGGAAGATAATTGCCGACACAGAGGCTGCAGTGAGTCGCCCACTCCACTCTATCGCGCTACCCTTGTCCTTTCCCCGTTCACCGACATTGCCCCGCTCAGACACATAGCTTCATCAAACACCTATCTCACATCCGCAAGTCCTTTCACGTTCCCCATTCGAGACCGTCCGACTCTGAGGACTCACAATCACCGCCACCCCGAGCCAAACGACCTGTCATCAACCCTGATGCATCGCCCGCGCCAAACCGCCTCGCGAGGGCACCTACTGTTCCCGGCATAGTCGAAGACGATGAGACGAACGCGTCCTCACCAGAAGACCCTGACGCAGATGTTGAAGAGGAGGAGGAGGAAGAGAAAGAACCCACACCGGTGAAGCGGAAGAAGACCAAGTCGAGGTCGTCTGACTCCCGGCTCCCCATCGCTGTTCCCCCACTGCCAGACATTGATGTACGGCAGATCGAGTTCGAGGAACAGCTCAGCAAGGTCGGCAAGCGAAAGCCTACAAGGAGACAAAGTGGGCTCCTCACGAGCGTGTCGATCACCACTGTTACGCCGAGTGGCTTCAGCACCGAACTCGTGCCGCCACGACCACCAAGTCCGGCTTTTGGATCGCCGATCAGGAGAGAAGTTGGGCTTGCGGAGGAGGCGGATGAACGGAGAGCTGCGAACGGCGAGGAGGATGAGGACGAAGTGGAGGTGATACTACAGAGTGTGGCCAAGCGCGAGAAGAAGGAGAAGGAACGGAAGAAGGAACGGACGATAGAGAAGGATCGAGACAAAGACAGATATTCTTCAAGCAACAGTGAGCGGACAAAGGAGCGAGAGCGTAAGCGAACGCGGGATCCAGACGACCCTGCGTTGGTGGCCGAGGGGAGCAAGTCGAAGCTTAAGGATGTCACCAACTCACACCCAATCTGCCCTACGCTTCTGGAAATCGATGACGGTGAGCATCTATCCATACATTATTCTATGGATGATTCGTTTGTTCCACTCTCATGTTCATTTTACTTATCTCTGGTGATCTGGATAGATCGGGAGCGCCAACTTACACCAGAGGACGATGTACCGTTGGCGAGCACATCAAGTCAAACCAATTCTGCCACTCGCCCACGCGATGGCGTGGCTACCCCCGCACCGAAGCCTCGTTCACATCCCGCGCCTGTCTTGCCTCCTCCGCGATCTTCTAGCCCACAACCTCCCCCTGCTCCTCCTGAATCGGAGGCTGCCGGTGGTCGCGAGCGGCGTGTGCGGAAGAGCGTAAACTACGCAGAACCCAAGCTCAACACGTGAGTTAAAGTTTAGGCTGTGTGGACTGAATGTCGAAGTTAACCACCTTCGCGCCGCAGGAAAATGAGGAAGCCGGACCCACAGCCTCTGGGCACCACGAAGCGCATGTCCACTTCCTCTATTGACGGTGTTCGATCACGGACTTCTTCAGCGGAGGCCACAGGCGACGAGCCACCGTCTGGCACTGCGCAGGATACCGTACCGTCCGGCGCTACAGTCAAGAGAAAGAAGTCCCGAGTGTACGTGCCTTCGGAAGACGGAGAAGAAAGCGAGGGCACACAGGCTGACGCCGAGTTCGGTGGTCTCACGAGCTGGGTCAACGTCGACGGCAGGCGACGCAGCATACAGAGCGGATCGAGCGGCCGGCGTGTCGAGGGTGATGATGCACGACGACACAGCATGGCTGTTTAGCCCTGATGGGTGGGGTTTCCTCCACCCTCTCCTCTACCTGCCCTCCGCCTCCGTGCCTCCTCGCGCAACGCATCCGGCGTTTCCGTGTTGGCGTTGATGACCCACTATGATCTATGATTACGACTATGACACGGGCTCATGGACTCCTCTCATCGTTACTGTATGCGTGCGGGACTGCAGCGTTGGGTACACGTTTCCCTTCGAACTCCTCTCGTCCCCCCTGCTCCTGGTGCATATACTATGATTGATTACTACATCACCTTCTCTCCATCAACGTCATGAATGTTGACGAATCTCGGTTGAATTCTCCAAGTAGACTAGTGTATCATAAGTTTATCACCGTCGTCGTCTAGTCACGCTGTGTGGCCTGTTGTCTGTTGCAGCATCAATCTTCAACCCGTTCCTATGTAGTTCGTTCCATGACGCCGTCGTCTGTTGCGACCGGGCAAGCGTGGTGTGCAGATACTGTTGGAGTAGTACGCGTGCCGTCGCGTTCACGCGCTGACGACAACCCGCACCGCTCGCCGCAATGTGGAAGTATTACATTGCCTACGTATATGAATTCCTATTGTACTGAGTAGTATATATACGACTTGTTGCGAGCTCTGTAATTCAACCGTCGTCCTTATTCCTACCCGCTGCTCGACGTCTTAAAGCAACAACAGACACGAGTTAATTGCGACTAGATTGTCCGCTAATAGAACTCAGTCCGCAAACTTGACTCGCTTCCGGGGTCGTATTGAAGGCTCTGCACGCATTTCTTCGCCTCGAGGCTGGCCGCTGGCGTTGTCGGTGGATTTCGCTTGTTTGCGTGCTTTTGCCTTCTCTCGTTTCGCATTAGCAGCTTCTGTCGCAAGGGCTGCTTTCACTTGTTTCTACGACTCGATTAGTGAAAGTATATGGCCGGTGCTCGTGCAAGAAGCTTACTAGCTTATCCTTCGACTTCGATTTCTTTTGTGGAGGAGGAGTAGCCTTGGTACCCTTGAGTCCCTTTCAGTCCCTCGCTCTGCCAAGTGACGGATACTCACACTCACCTCGTGTTGTGTGTGCCGTTCCACCTTCTTCTTTGAGATGTCCTCCTGAGTGGCAGCCACTGAATGAGCTAACCTCAGCGCTTCATCCTGACATCAACTTCAGTATGCGAGATTTTTGGACGAGGGTGTGTAGTCGCGATGCTCACCTTGGAGTCAAGGAATTGTTTCGGTTTTCTATCCTTGCGCGCCATGGAGTACGCGAGTTGTATTCAGGAGGCAATCCTTGTCATATTTGACCAAGACGCTCTGTTCTGTGACTCGGCTTCTGTGTTCAGATGCTCATGCGGGCGGAAGAGTAAGTAGCGAACCGTTGGGCTGGGTCGAGCGTTGAGTAGAGCACAAATCTCGATCCGGGACCGGGCCCTACGTAATTCGCACGCGTGCCCTATTTGGCGATCAGCCACAACGCGCGGAGTGAACGCGCTCGCAGTCCGACATCGTTCAACTTGACTCGTCCCGCGCCGTGGCCTCGTTCTGCATCTTGCTTTCTTGACTGTCAGGCTGAGCCAACATCCGTGAAGAACACCTCCTATTGACTCCCCTAACGATACATCGCTTGCCTACATTGTTGGCAATCTCCACGAACAGCGACGAAACATGGCCGCCCCTTCTTCCTCCTGCTCTTCGTCTACGGAGGTCCGCGTGGATCTCGCCGAGCGGATTTCAAAAGCGCGTTTGGATTACGCGGAGCTACCAGAGGTGCTATGCCCATCCTCACGTCCATCGTCACCTTCAGCATCTTCCCGCGCCGAGGGTATGAAGCAGGCGATCATGGACGCCGTCTTGATGGCGAACAGCAATACCACGCACCCCAAGTGGGGTCATGTAGCACGAATGGTGAGGCTTAACTGCACTCGGCGAGGCTACGTCGGCGCGGCGGAGCGAGTGAGGATAGGGGACGTCCAGAAGGCGGAGATCCCGGAAGTGGAGTGGACGCTGCCGGAGACGGAGGAGGATTGGGAACGCTACGTGAAGCGATGGGGCAGCAAGTTCCGCTCCAGGGGCCGTGTGTCAAAGTATTTCCGGCAAGATGAGGAGGGCCAGGACGACCCTGCTCACTCGCCCACGAAGAAGGCTGAGATCATCCGGGAGAAAGTCACGACATGGCAGGCGACCATCACCCCCATGGGGGAAGACCCGACACCCACTCAAGATGAGACTTCGACGATAACGACTGCAGTAAACAAGGTCAAAGTGGATCAGAAGGGGATAGGCAGCCAGGGGACGGTGTCTAAAGGCTCTCTTGGATTCGCGATTGTGAAGCGTCCTACGGCCCTGACAAAGAAGCAGGGCAAAGGCAGCAACCAGGATGCCCTCCTTGCTGACGATGCGCCCAATGTTCCACAGTCTCCCGCCGACGTGCGGATGTCATCTTCCCTGCCACAGTCGGTAGCTACAGCTCCTGTGGTAGAATTGCAACCTCCTGCGCACATCAGTTCAGAACCAAATGCTATGATATCTGAAGTATCAGAAGTGGTATGTCGCCCTTAGACATGAGTAGTATTCTCGCTAACGTTGCTTGGTACAGTCACTATTTCCACCATCCTTTCCATCTCAGCTCAGAACGTCTACTCCTCCCCCAGGCAAGGCGAAGGCCAGACCTCCGCCAATCATCTCATCATCCCCTCTCTCATCACCCCCTCTAACCCATCACATCCCACCACCAATTTACTCTGATTCATCCTCAGCGCTGGTCAATAAGGCACAGAAGCGCGGTCGGAGCAATTCACCGCGACACAGCGACGCGATGGACATATCAGACGAATATCGCCTTCGTCGTGGCCCACCTAACAAGAAAGCGCGCAGAGCTGCTCCGGACAGTAGTTCAAGCGCGGCGATACCGCCCCCTTCGACGCCACCACCTCCCGCATCTTCCGCGAGCAATGATGCTGCACCATCCGCCGGAACTCACGGCTTGGGTAACGCGGACGGGCTTCCTCTAGAGCTTCCCACAACACCGGAGCGTCAGGCCCTTCCAACGCTCACGGAGCTCCTCGCGTCATCGCGCCGATCGAAGGCGCGTCCGCGACCCCCCTCACGGAAGACCAAGTCCGCCCATCAAACGCCACGAAGAGACGACGGGCTCGCCGCTGCAGATGCGGACGATGGCGCCGATGCAGACACGGACCGGGAGCCCTCACCCGCGCGGACGTTCTTCTCTTCGCCCGCCTCGGGCTCATCCTCGAGCTCACCGCGCTTCCGCCCGCGCTCTCCCGTCTCGCCCATGTTCTCGCAGAACCCCGGCACGTTCGCCCCCGCATTCGTATCCTCGCAACCCGGCGGCTTCCTCGGTTACGGCGGTACGCAGATTCCCGGGCCGCTCGCGCGCACAGGGAGCGGTGTCTTCGGGCTCGGCTACAACTCCCAGTTCGACGTGGAGGGCGGGATAAGCCGGGCCGCGGAGCTGTTGGATCGCGATGTGGACTATGCGGACTGGCTGCGGGACATACCCGAGGCTGAGGACGAGGCGGCTTCGTTGAAGCAGAGCCAGAGCGAGGTCGCAGTGTGAGATACAGAGGGCTACGGGCGTGTGCGTGGAGGTGTCGTCGTTTCTACTGCTCTGTCGATGGGCAGCTGCTATGGTTATATCTTATTTGCATTAGGGTCCGTCTGGCGTGTACGATTGTGCGATTAGGTGATGACAATGTCATTCGCGAGTGGGACTACTCCTACACGAAGTCTACTTAGTGGCTCGAGCGGTGACTGGGCGGCACATAGTGAGGTATGTGCAGAACCGCGGTTCTACTCGGCCCCGAGACGAGGAGCAGTTTCTCGACGTGCCAAATTCGCTGTGATAACCAGCCAGTTATTTATGGGCCGAGGAACAGCGGAGCAAGCGTTTGCAAGCTCAACCCTCAAATCTCAAGGTCCCAAGGACATCTCGCCTGAGGCAGTAACATGTCTGCCCCCGCTACTAGTCGTGTTTGGTTCAGTAAGCCGCCTAGAGGTCAGCTTACGGACTAGGCAATGCTCATCTTGGATATTTGCAGTTACTGGTACGTCCAAAGGCCTGGGACGGGCCTTACTCGAGGAGGTCCTGCGCCGAGGCGAGCGTGTCGTCGCCACGCTGCGCCGGCGAGAGGTCCTAGAACCACTCGCCCGGCGGTACCCGCCGGCCCAGCTTCTCGTCCTCCGCTTGGACGTCTCTAGCCACGCGGAGATCAAACAAGCGTTCCGGGCGACAGAGGAGCACTTTGGCCGGCTCGATGTGGTGGTGAACAATGCGGGGTACGCTGTGGAGGGCGAGATTGAAGCTGTTCCGGACGATGTGGCGCGTGAGCAGATGGAGGTTGCCTTTTGGGGCCCGGCGAACATCGTGAAAGAGGTGAGCGACGATGGAAGCTGCATACCGCGGCGACTGAATATTGACCTTCGTCCAGTCCATACGGTTCTTCAGGAATGTGAACCCTCCCGGGCAAGGCGGCCGTGTTCTGAATATAACTTCGGTTTGTGGGTATTCGAGTAATCCCACTCTATCGTACTACTGCGCGGCCAAATTCGGTGAGAACCTTCCATCGTTCGTGTTGCAGTCACTAAACGTCACACCTCGCAGCCCTGGAAGCTTTCACGGAGTCGTTCATCAAGGAGATGTTGCCCGAATGGAACATCAAGGGCGTCATCGTCGAGCCGGGAGGCTTCCGGACTGACTGGAACGCAGCGTCCCTCGTCCGAATCCCTGCCCCTCCGCAGTACGACTCGCCTGACTCGCCGACCGTGCAGTTCAGAAAAATGATTGCGCAGACGTACATTGGGGATCCGGCAAAAGCGGCAAAGGCGCTCGTGCAGATAGCGGACATGGATGAGCTGCCGCTGCGGATCCAGCTGGGCACGGAGTGTCTACTGGTGGTGAGGAACAAGGCGATGAAGACAATTCAGGACGGAGAAAATCACGCTGAGTTGGCGCACTCAACGAACATGGACGGGGTCGACAAGGATGCCGTGCTTGCGATGTTCAAGGAAATTGATACGTGATGCAGTTTGTGTATTCCTCCTGTCATTTGTGTTAGACTCCATACGGGTCAATGGAGCGAGTACTACTTACCAGGCAGCCATCGCCTACAGTAAGGTTACTTAGCTACACTCAAGCGCAAGTGCCACGAGCACGCCCCGATACGCGGTTGTGGCGGTTCGCGTGCCTGTCGCGTTACGCCAGATGACATTGAGTCTGACGTGCAGGATGTTGCCCAAGACACCGGCCATGTCCAGCACGATCGAACAATATCCGCGTGATTGTGTTCGCCTCTGATAAAAGGGTTTCCGGATATACAACGCTCATCTCCAGTTTCAATACAGTTTGATCATTTTGGTACACGAACCCAATAGCCAACGCTATGTAACTTAGTACAACATGAAGAGATGCGAAAGGGCGACGTGCAATTAGTACAACAACGGTGAACGGGCAACTAAGAATATCCAGGTGAGCAGAGCAGCAGATAGCAATAAGGTAGCGTGGATAGCAAGGCCAAGTGAAGCAGATGCGATGTGTGTATGTACAGCGAGCTGTCCGAGGGAAGTATACAAAGATGAGTGTCCAAGGTAAGCAAAGACGAGATGCGTGTGTAGATGATGCGAGGATGAGACAGGCCAGACAGCCTGAGGACAGATCGTGCCAGTGGCTGCCAACTTGAATTTTGAGCGGTCTATGCTGCGTAGCTTTGGCCGGACCGCGAATGATCATGCGATCACGGCGATGAGGGGCGGAAGGGGATTGTGGTGTAGGGAACCGTCCGGGAACGATGAGCTGCGATGTGGGGCGAGTGCGAGGGAGACCCGGATGGTCTGATGCATACGATGTGCAGCAGCGCTGTGTCGTTGGAGGGATCTCCAGATCTCTAGGGAGATGTTGATGCCTGGTGAAGCGCGGTACGAACCAAGGGCCACATTATCATGCGTCGTCGTTCGGCCAGCTGAACGCACGCGGCTCGACATCGAACATCCTGAGTTGGTCCTCCATGAAGGACCGGGCGTGCTTCTCTTCCGTGGACCGCTCCTTCTGGAACATCATGTGTGATGTCCTGACTGCCTCGCGGGTGGAGAAACGGGGAGACGAAGCGCCCGGCTTGCTGTACTCCGGCAGGAAGAAATCTGTCGGCGACATGAGCTTTAAGAATGCGTGGACAGACGAACCAGGGGACTCACGCTTGTGTTGGGCGATACCGGGCTCCTCGAACAGGGTATCCCAATTGATGCCAGCGAACCATGGGTGGCTCATAATCTCTTCAGTGGTGGGACGATTGGCGGGATCGGGCTCCGTCATCTGTGGAGCAACGGAGCGGTCAGCCAATATTCCCCAGACAGCCTCGTACAACAGACTCACACATAAGAGAAGATCCAGCGCCGGATGACCATCGAGAAGCTTGATGACGCTCTCGCGCAGTTTACCTCGAGTGCCTCTCTCCTGGAACGTCTTGTAGCTCCATTCAAAGCCACAACTCCTGTTCCAGGACCTGTCCAGGTTCGCGAGGAGCTCGATCCAGACGCAGCCGAGCTGCCAGATGTCAACCTTGTACCCATGCTCGAGGCCGAGATGCTGCTCTGGCGCGAGGAACTCCTCAGTGCCGACGACGTGGGATGACGTGACCTCCTCGATGGACTGGCCGGTCGTGCTAACCAGCGCTAGGCCGAAGTCGGCGAACGTGCATCGGCCGTGTTGGTCGAGGAGGATGTTCTCCGGTTTGATATCTCTATGCACGATCGTGACACGGTGTAGCTGCCACACCGAAATGAGCTGGGGAAGGGAAGAGTGCGCAGGTCAGCATTGTACGCGTCGCGTCGACAGACACCGAGTACATACCATCTCCGCACAATAGAATAGTTCCGTTTCCTTCATCTGCAGCCAAAACGATTGTGTGCGCAAGTGATCTATCTGGGCCCACCGGGCCTTGCAGTACAGATATAAAGTCAAGCTGGAACGACACAATTCCTACCAAAAGCTTTAGGACTACTTGTCACTCGAGATAACGGAGAAGGAACTCACCATGACGAAGTAAATGTTGTTCTTATCCTCCCAGCTGTCGAGCAGCCCCATCATCCCCGGCCATTGGTTTACCGCTATTACCGCCATGATGTCCTTCTCATGCAGAAGCATCTCGCGTGCCACGGACATACTCTTGTACGCGTCCCGTTTGCATATGACCTTGACGGCGAAGTGCTGCCCGTAGTGGTTCGTTACTTCAGAGACACGCCCAAACCCGCCGGCGCCGATGACGCCCTTGACTGTGTATTGATCGCCAGTAGACGGGCTCGAGAAAACGATGGGCTCCTCTGGCTCATCATCCGTGTTGCCCGAGTTTGTGTCCTCGGCTTCGTCGAGTGGTTCCATGGGTTCGCGGGCGATTGTCTCATCCCCGGAGTCGGCGTCGGCATCGCAGAGTGTGCATTCATCGGCCGTGCCTTCGTCTTTGGCCTGCAGGACAGCGTCTCCGCTCTGGCCATTCGAGTCCGCGGCGTCAGCGATGAGTGGCTCGACGCAGCTCTCCTGCTCGTCTTGGCCGTCGTAGACGAAGGGTGTCTGTCCTTGAAGTGCTACATGGGGTGCGTGCGTCGAGTCGGTGCCGTTCGTCGGTGAGGCGACGTCAGTGAGAAGGGGTGCTTGCGAGACGGCGGCCTTCCCATCGTGCAGCTGGACGTCCGTGGCGAGCGCCGGCGTCAAGCACTCGAAGGGAGGATCAGAGTCGGAGGACGAGGACGACTGGCCGGAGAGACGCGGAGATGAAGGGGCGACATTCCCGCCGACACTGACCACGGTCTTCGGTTGCTCAGCGTCGTTGGTATCCGAGGATGTCGAGGAGAGCCGTGCGGTAGACCTGGTCGCGTTGAGTCGTGGCCTGTCTTCGTCTATGGTCAAGTCGAACGCCATCTCGACGTTGTCGAGCACCGGGACAGGGAAGAGCGTGGACGGCGAGGGGTAGGCAACGTGCAGAAGCCTAAGGAATTGTTGGTGGCGGCCTAGGTTGGAGGAGGAAGTATGGCCGAGGCCAACAGACGCGACAACGACGGCCCCCGACAAATGTGGAACCGACGCGTTTTCGGCGTCCATGTCAGTCGACGCGTCCGGCCGCGTCTGTGCAGTGAAAGTGTATGCCGGAGGAGTGTGGCACGAGGCCTTGGGGGGGAAGAAAGCCCTGACGGACTCCTTCAACGCGTCCAACGCGTCACGGAACGTGGTCGGAGCACATGCAAACGCTACAATAGATCGTGCTGCCATAGCTAAGAACTGAACGTCTGAGGAGGATGTGTAGTCTTAGGATACGGGAGGGGTATGGGTCACTTGCAGCGCGTGATGATGATGGTCGGGAGCAAAGATGGGGGAAAGGGTACGGCGATGGGCCGCGCTTTATGCTGTTCAGCTTGGGAGCGAGCCACAGTTCCTCTTTGGGTAGGTGAACGGCGTGGACCGCCGCCGAAGCTTCTATTCAGAAAATAAGCGATGAAAGACAAAGCGTGCAGCGGCCCGACCGTCGCACGGGGTACAGCCCGTAAGATTATGTGCAAGATAACATGCATTAAGCTGATATATGTGAAGAAACTGGTCAATTATGTGCGTTGCGTAGAAACCTGCCAATAGAAGTTACCTTGTTTAGACCATCCATTGTACTCTCGTGGGTTTTAGATGGGTTATCTGCGACGAACAATCGATGTGAGAAATCTTATGACAGTTCGGTTGAGTGTTAAGGCCTATACCCATCACACTGAGCAGCCTCGTGGGGTTACCTGAGGCGATGAATTGCACGCTACTAGTACCCGCCTAGTTGAACATGAGTGGCGTTGTGCTTGCATCGGAATCCTGAAATGGCAGGTGGGTTGATCCGAGATCTCCCCAGATTCAGATGGCTTACTAATAGCCGCTCAATAGCGGTCGTGGCTTGGTCGTGGCCTCGTGGCGACGTGGCCACAGTGAGCCACAGTGGCACCCGCCGGGAGCTGCCGGAATGTCCCCACGGACTTACAGGAGTCTAGTACGGTCTTCACAAGTTTATCCCCGTTGCGCCATGTATTCCGAACGTCACATGTTCGCACCCATGCGGCTCGCCGACTGTGCAGCTCAGGAAAATGACTGCACAGACGTACATCGGGGACCCGGCGAAGGCACTCGTGCAGACAGTGGGTATGGATGAGCTGCCGCTGTGGATCACGCTGGGCACGGAGTGCCTGCTTTTGGTGAGGAAGAAGACGATGAAGACAATTACGGGGAGAACGATGCTGGGTTGACGCACTCGACGAACGTGGACGGGGTCAATTAATCATGCCGTGCTCGAGTTCAACTGAAATATCGACATGGGATGCAGTTTGTGCGTTTCTTGCGCTTTTCCCCTGCAGTTTTATCCGATCACACACACTGCCACAGGCAAAAGAGAACATCTCTTTTTGGCAAGCAACGGAGACTAGACACAGGCCAGGCAAGTCCTTCAGTCAACTGTCGCCCTCAGTGGTGCCACAAGCACGCCGCAACAACGCGGTTGTGGCAATTCACGTGGTTGTTGCGTCACGCCAGATGACGCGCTCGATGATGCTGCGAGGGTCGCAGCACGCCGGACTGCAACGTTGCAGCCACGACGTCAGCTAGCGTCAGCTGTGCGCTCACATCGCCGCCGCCGAGCTCGACTGGATCCACATCCGACAACAACGCGTGAAATGGCGGGCTTCCCATTGGACGCAACCCGCGCATGCGGGGCTGGTACGATCGACTAACGCGTCCAGCAGTGCCAGTCAATCGCGCGGCGTAGCCACTACTGGCCGAACAGGCATCCCCGCCCTACATATGTCTGCGCGGATATGCTGATCTAACAGCCAGTCCACACCTTTCATCCTCTACACCATGGCCGGCGGACAGCTCCTCGACGTCACCCAGGAAATCAAGCTCGATCACGACAACGTACGCGAGCTCTTCGATAGATACAAGGCGACCAGTGATGCCAAAAAAAAGAGGGCCATCGCCAACACGCTCATCCGCGAGATGGCCATCCACTCCGACGCTGAGTATGTTCTCCTCTCCCCGATGTGATGTCATACGGCGACTTATGTTGCCCACAGGGAGGTCTCCGTCTACAACGACTACGCGACCGTCGGCCTCAGTGACGTCGCGACACACAACAAGGAGGATCACGCTGAGGTGAAGAAGCTCGTCTACGCCGCAGACTCGCATGGCTTTGATAAGCCCGACTACGACGACGTCCTCGCGAAGGCCGTCACTGCCTTCGACGCCCATGCGCGTGAGGAGGAGACGGACCAGCACCCGACTCTCCGTCAGAAGCTTTCTGCCGAGGACAATAACGTGCGTACTGCTCTGTATTGATATATTCCGTGAGAGTCAACGCTGATCGACGCTGGCTGGTGTTGTAGAGAATCGCGCGCGCGTTTCTCAAGGCACGCACGATGGTCCCCTCGCGTCCACACCCATGGGCGCCCCAGACCGGTGGTATCGCACAGAAGGCTGCGGGCGCGCAGGGCAAACTCCATGACAAGGTCGTCGAGACCCTGACTGATCGTGACTTTGTCGACGTCAAGTACACACACCCCGAGTTCTGAGTGCCATATTCATACTCAGAGGTCCTAGGCTCAAGCCGCAAAGCACGTTTGTAACGATACTTGTACCAACAGCTGTAGGTTATGTTCTTGAATCTTGATGCGCGTCGCGCATCGCGCTTGGTACCATATGTACTGGAAGATTGTAATATGCAAAGCGGATTTTACTCACGATACGTCCATGCGAACTAGATCGCTGAATGCAGAACGACGATGGATGTGAATTCGCCATTGCCAAACTACGCTCTCAGCCCCAAAGACGCGGTCACGTGGGCGCGTTCGTGGCTGGCAACTGCTGGCACTGGGCAGTGACGGATGGCAAGTTCATGTCCGGTACATACGAAGGATGTTCGCGCGGGATCTCGTTCATCTCGAAGAGCGAAACGTCTGTCGATATACAGTTTAAAGGTGTATTTTCAGGCACCATTAGGCCTGATCGATTTTGGGAGACAACCACGAACCCAGGAAAATATCTACAGTAGTACAAGTACAACACGATGGGATGCGCGAGACCATGGGATGAGACATCAGTACAACAACAGAGAGAGACTAACAGTATGCAAGTGAGTAAAGCGAGAGATAGCAATAAGGTAACGGAGATAGCAGGTGCAGGCGGCGCGGATGCGAAGAGTGTACAGTGTGTGGCGGACTGTCCAAGGTAAGTATGCAAGGATGTGATGCGTGCAGCGAACTGCCCAAAGTGAGTATGCAAAGATGAGATTTGTACAGCGAGCTGTCCGAGATAGGTATGCAAGGATGAGATGTGTGCAGATGATGCGAGGAGATGGAGTGAACAACACGCCGCGCCGCGACGAGTTTGGGCGCCACATCACGTAGTGGTGGCGGGGCGCGGATGCAGATTGCGATGTAAGGAACTGGCCGGAGAACGATGCGTTGAGGAGGAGGGCGGACGATCATGCGATGGAGATGATATCAAGCACGCAGAGGATGCGCGCCGAGCGACTCGGCCGACGATGTTCGGCATCACTGTCACGGTGTAGTTGGAGGGGGATCTCTGAGGAGATACCTGGTGAGGCGCGGTAAGAACCGGGGGCGTACACTTAAATGTCGCAAGTCTACGGCGGTGGCAGAGCCCAGGCGAACGCATGCGGGTCGACGTCGTACATCTTGAGCTGTTCTTCCGTGTACGATCGCACATACTCCTCTTCTGGAGAGCGTTTCTTCTGTATCATCATGTTCGATAACCGGGTCGCCTCGAAGGTGGAGTGGCGGGGAGACGCGGCGCCCGGCGCGTTGTACTCCGGCAGGAACCAATCTGTCGGCGAAGTTGAGCGTCGATCGTCGCGTGAACAAGATGGACAAGTGGACTTACGCTCGTGTTGGGAAACACCAGGCTCATCAAAGAGTATCTTCCACTTGATCGTGCCCGCGAACCATGGGTGGTTCATGATCTGCGCGGCGGTGGGACGATTGGCGGGATCGAGCTCTGTCATCTGTAGAGCAACAGACCGGTCAGTTGATGTTCTCCATAGACAGCCTCGCTTGGAAGACTCACCCATAGGAGGAGTTCCAACGCCGGGTGACCATCGAGAAGCTCGATGACGCTCTGACGCAGCTTCTCTCGGATCCCTGGCTCTTGGAAGGTCTCATAATTCCACTCAAAGCCACAGCTTTCGTTCCAGGACTTTTCTAGGCCCCCGAGGAGCTCGATCCAGACGCAGCCGAGCTGCCAGATGTCTACCTTGTAGCCGTGCTCGAGGTCTGGCACATGCTGCTCGGGCGCGAAATACTCGTGAGTACCGACCACGTGGGTCGACACGACCTCCTCAACAGGGCGATCTGCCGAGCCGCGCAGCGCCAGGCCGAAGTCCGCGATCATGCATCGGCCGTGACGGTCAAGGAGGATGTTCTCTGGCTTGATATCTCTGTGGACGATTTTGACGCCGTGTAGGCGCCGCACCGAAGCGAGCTGAAGAAGAGTGAGCAGATCAGGGTGATGCTCATCCTTTGGAGACTGACAGCCACATACCATCTCCGCACAGTAGAACTTCTCCTCTACGTCCATATCGTCCCAGTCCCACTCCGTGCGGCTGGGGTCATCTTTAACCCACTTAGCCTTGGAGGCTATGTAGGTATACAAGTTGGTTCGACACAGTTCCTGCCAAAGGTTGAGGAACGATCGTCACATAGGATAGCGAAGGCACTTACCATCACGAAGTAGACGTTGTCCTTGTCCTCCCAGCTTTCGAACAGCCCCATCATCCCCGGGCACCGAGCATACGCTATAGCGGCCATGATCTTCTTCTCGTGCAGAAGCAGCTCGCGCGTTACGGGCATACTCTTGTACGCCTCCCTCTTGTGGATCACCTTCACCGCAAACCGCTGCTTCTCGTCGGTGGTGACTTCGGAGACACGCCCAAAGCCGCCAGATCCGATGACACCTTTGACCGTGTACCGGGTGCCAGTGTATGGGCTGGTGAAAATGAGGGGTCCCTGCGGCTCGTCGTCCGTGTATGAGTCCGAGTCGAACACCCCGTCGAGCGGCTCCACGGCCTCGCCAGCAGTTGCCTCGTCCCCGGAGTCGGCGTCGGATTCGCGATCATGCGCAGCTTCATTGGCGGTGTCTTCGTCTTCGGCCTGCAGCACAGCGTCTCCGTTCTGGCCATCCGTGGCATCAGCAATGAGTGGCTCGGCGGAGCTCTCCTGGTCGTCTTGGCCGTCGTAGAAGTCGCATACGAAGGGCGTGTGTTCCTGAGGTGCCACATTGTGCGCATGCATCGAGCTGCTGCCGTTCGTCGGTGAGGGGACGTCAAGGAGAAGGGGTGCTTGCGAAGCGGCGACCTTCCCTTCATTGTGCAGTTGGACGTCAGTGGCGAGCGCCGGAGTGAAGCACTCGAAGGGAGGGTCAGAGTCGGAGGACGAGGACGACTGGCCGGAGAGACGCGGAGATGAAGGGGCGACATTCCCGCCGACACTGACCACGGTCCTCGGCTGCTCAGCGTCGTTGGTATCCGAGGATGTCGAGGAGAGCCGTGCGGTAGACCTGGTCGCGTTGAGTCGTGGCCTGTCTTCGTCTATGGTCAAGTCGAACGCCACCTCGACGTTGTTGAGCACCGGGACAGGGAAGAGCGTGGACGGCGAGGGGTAGGCGACGTGCAGAAGCCTGAGGAATTGTTGGTGGCGGCCTAGGTTGGAGGAGGAAGTATGGCCGAGACCAACAGACGCGACAACGACGGCCCCCGACAAGTGTGGCACCGACGCGTTTTCGCCGTTCGTGTCAGTCGACGCGTCCGGCCGCGTGTGTGGCGTGATGGGGGATACCGGAGAAGTGTGGCACGAGGCCTTGAGAGGGAAGAAAGCCCTGACGGACTCCTTCAACGCGTCGAACGCGTTCAGTAGCTTGGAAGAAGCCAGTGTAGACATCACAACAGAGCGCGCCGCCATACCGAAGGACTGGAAGTCTGGTAAGGATATAGAGCCTTGGTGTGTGGGAGGGTATGGGTCAGCGCGCGGTGACGGTCGGGAGCAAGAATGAGGGGAAGGGCACGGCGATGGACCACGCTTTATGCTGTTCAGCTTGGGCCTCAGCCACAAGCCACACATCCTCTTTAGGTAGGTGAGCGGCGTGGACTGCCGAGGCTTCTATTCAGAAAATAGGCGATGAAAGACAAAGCGTGCAGCGGTCCGATCGTCGCATGGGACACAGCCCATGAAATCATGTGCAAAAGATCATGCATTATGCTGTTATAGGTGAAGAAACTGGTCAATTATGTGCGTTGCGTAGAAACCTGCCACAGAAGTTACCTTGTTTAGGCCATCCATTGTATTCTCGCGGAGTCCAAGCAAGTTATCTGTGCGACGAGTGGTGAACGTGAGAAACCTTGATTCAGCATTATCACAAAGGGAGATTTCGTGCTGGTGAATCTGCGCAGCCCCACGAGGTTCCTTGAGGCGATGGAATGCATGCTACGAGTATCGGCGTAGAACGTGAGTCACTGAGTTGGCGTTGCGCTTGCATCGGGATCTAGAAATGGCAGGCACGCTGATCCGAGATCTCGTTCTCAGATCTCACATTTCACTATAGCGGGCCACTGGGCCACCCGCTCCGACGCCCGCCATTCCGTCTATCTCGACTGCATTTCCAAGGATCAGTGGCACCATCTCAGTTCTAACATGTTGCGCGGAAGAGGTTGGCCCAAGATGAGTCCACGAGACGAGTACAATTCCGGGATAACTGCTCTACTACGACGATGCGCTGCAAGCCGGCGAACAAGTGCGTTTGAAACAGCAGTACGACATCATCATACAGCTAGTGATATGCAAGCGAGAAAAGCGACAGATAGCAATAAGGTAGCGACGATAGCAGGATAAGCAGACGCGAGAGCGCACGGCGAATTGTCCGGAATATGTAACGACGATGTGCCAATGTAGATGTGAGGAACGAGGATGAGATGGAACGACAACACGGCGCCGGGGCGAGTAGTTTGACGCTACACTGAGTGGATGTGAGCGGATGCGAACACAAGTGTGAGGAAGGTAAGGGGAGCATGACACAATGAAATGAACCGTCCGGAGAACGACGAGGCGAGACAAGGTTGAATGTGAGGGGGGTGAGAGAAGACGCGTCGATGCGCCACAGTGGGAAGGGGCCTCTATCGCGGCGAACTATTTGGCGAAGTATGCTATTCGCTTACGAAGCGGCGGCTTCAGAAAGCGTGAGTTCAATTGGCGGACTCAATGGGCCAGGCGAAGGCTTGCGGCTGCGTGTCGTACATCCTGCACTGGTCCACTACGTTGGCCCGAGCCTCTAGTCTGCTCGGACTCGTGCGCTGGACCATCATGCCCGATGTCCGGCACATTTCATAGGTGAGGAAATTCACCGAACACTTGCTCGATGGGACTTCGTAGTCCGCGAAGAAACGATCTATACGTGAGGTTTGTAATCAGTGGTTGCGTATGTCGATGGCTTCAAGCCAGGACTCACGCTGGTACGGAGTGGTCCCGGCGCTGCACCCGATGGCGCTCCAGTCCACGCCATCAAACCACTCGTGGCTCATAATCTGAACAGTGGTAGGCCGCTTGGCTGGGTTGACGTCGGTCATCTATGCATCATACTTTAGTTCTAGAGCGTGAGGTCGCTTCTCGTGTGAGGATGCTTACCGCGATGACCAAGTCGAGCGCAGGGTGGTCGCAAAGGAGCACCTCGATAATGTTGCGCACCTCCTGCTGCAGCTCTGTCGGGCTGAGGAGGTCATAGTACTGCTCCGGTAGGTATGCAGTCGCACTGATTTCCGAGCCTGCGAGGAGCTCAATCCACATGCAGCCGAGTTGCCAGATATCGACCTTGAAGTCGTAGTCAAAGGATAGAAGTTGTTCTGGAGCCATGTATGCTTCTGTTCCGCAGTTCTCGGACACCCTGGTGCGCTCAAAGACAGCTGGATCGGGATGGGTAATGGATGCTATGCCGAAGTCAGCGAGGATGCATCGACCGTCTCCATCGAGAAGGAAGTTTTCCGGTTTGATATCCCGGTGCATGATGCCGGCAGTATGAAGTTGCCAGACCGAGAAGACCTATGCGAACGTAAGCAGTCTGGTCGCGCGTTTCAAGCGAAGATTAGCAGGCACATACCGATTCCGCACAGAAGTACTTGTCTTCGCCGGGTAATACCTCCCATTCAGGCTGTCTGCGATATGGATCTTCACGAGCAAGGAAAGCCTTGTAGCTGATGTACCGTGTTAGGCTCCCGCGGCACAAGGGCTAGCATGAATGCTTCAGAAACGATTGAGTCGAGGAAGATGCAGAAGCATACCATGACAAAGTAGATGTTTTCTTCGTCCTCCCAACTTTCAATCAACGGAATTAATCCCGCACATGCGTTTTGGGTGACTGAGCTCATGATCCCCTTTTCGTCTAGTAGCCTATCCCGCATGTGGGCTGCCCGATACGCCTTCGCTTTGTGTACAATCTTCACCGCGAAGTAGTGGCCGTCAACAGTCGTGACTTCGAAGACGCGCGCGAACCCACCGCATCCGATGATGCCATTCACTTGATAGTAACGGTTCGTATGACGGTTGTAAAGGGCAGCGGGTACCTGCGGCTCATCGTCGTCCGTTGTAGCGGCTGGCTGGGTGCCAGAGTCTGCGTGGCCATTGAATACCGACAGGCCTGTGCCATCGGAGTCATCACCGGCGTCGGGAGGGACCTCGGTATAGGGCAGTGTGTCGGTGTCGTGGAGTACGCCAATGTCGCTCTCGGCAGCGATGCCTTCATCCTTGGATCCAAGAAATGCCTCAAGAGTTTGAAGGATCACGTCTACAGCGTCTGTGACGTCGCTCAGCAGCGAGTCAGTGTTGTAGGCCTCCTCCTCGTTCCCTGAAACCGCATCGGCGAGGTGGTGGCGTTGAATAGCCAACTCGGCCGTTTCTTCGTAGACCTTCCCCAACAAGGCCATTCGTTCGTGCAACACTAGGATGTGTTCTTTGTAGGAAGCGCATGCAACACTGTTGCTGGTCGGAAGGGGATCATCGAGGGGTAAGGGAGGTTCAAGGGTAAGGACCTTCTGCGGACCGTGGAGCTCGACACCGGTAGTCAGGGGAGTGAAGCACTCGAAGGGCGGATCGGAGTCGGAGGACGAAGATGAGGACAATGACGATCGAGAGGAAAGCTGACACGATGGAGGGGAGACTTGTACCGCAACGCTGACCATGATCCTCTGTTGCTGAGTGTCAATGATCGACGGCGTCGGGGAGGACAGCGGAGTCGATGAACGTACCGAGTACACGCTTGTGTTGGATTGTGGCGTTTCGTCGTCGATGGTCATGTCAAGCGCCACATCGACGTTGTTGGGTACTGTAATGGGGACCGACGTGAACGGCTTGGCTATCCTAAGGCCTAGAAGGCTGAGGATGTTGTGGTGACGTTCGGGGTTGGTAGGGGATGCATGTCCAAAGCCAATGGACGTAGCGATGACAGTTCCCAGCAGATGTGGCGACGCCGCGTCGCTGTTGTTATCGTCCGTCGAGGCGTCCGGACGCGTCTGGATCGTGGAGGTCATGGGAGGGATGTAGCGCGAGGCCCTGAGAGGAAACAAAGCCGTGACACGCTCCTTCAACGCGCCGAGAGCGTTCACTAGTGTAGCGGGAGCAAGCGCAGACGCCACAGCAGAACGCGCCGCCATACCGAGGGACTAGTAAGAGTCTGTATACAGCCTTGGAGTATGGGAGGGTACAGATCAGCGCGTGCTGGTGGTGGATGGTGGTGGAGGGCAAAGGATGGGGGGCAGGAAACGGCGGTAGGCGACGCTTTATGTTTGCAGCTTGGGCCCCCGCCACATCTCCGGTTTGGGTAGATGCAGCGGCGTGGACTGCCAAGGCTTCTATTCAGAACATAGGCGATGAAGGACAAAGCGTGCAGCGGATTGGCCGTCACATGCAGCACAGCCCTTAGAATTTTGTCGATAAGCATTCATCACGCTGGTACTATGGGCAGAAGCTACAGTCAGTTGTGTGCGTTGCGTAGAGACTTGCCAGTGGTTACCTTGTTTACACCGTCTATTGTGTTCTAGCTCACTTCGAGCAAGCTATCTGGGAAGCGAACGATTAGAAGGCTTAGCTCAAAACTAACACATACCGATTGCTCTGCACAACACGGCAGGCTTTCCTGAGGCGATGAACTGCATGCCGCTATACTGGAACGTGAGTTGAGCTTGCATCGGGATCCAGAAATGGCAAGTTGGTCCGATCGGATCCTTTTCTCAGATCCCCGCACAGGATGCTTCCAGTCCCATGAAGCTATGGCTGTGCTATGGTCTCACATAGCAGCACTAGCTTGGATCTCACTGTATACGTTCCTCACCCTGTTTGCTGGTCAATGGGCGCACCGGAAAACGTCTAAACTCACGTCAAGTGCACGTATGAAGTTGGCCGAATTTCCACACGTAACTTACTCGTCAAATTGCACTGCCATTGTGTCACATTCCTGAGTACTGAGTACTTGACGATGAGGGAAGGAGCGAGGAATCCGAGTCTTGTTGGGCCTCGATCCGCAACCGGCGCCAACCGCAAGCGCTGTGTTTGACCCACGTGAGCGGTGGCGCGCCCGCGACGGCGGCGACGCGATCCCCGGCGCCTACTCACGCGAAGTCGAACTCGGCCGTTCCTCCTCCTGGTCTCCTCAGGCCCGCATCGCTGCATCCCATTATAACACTTTGCCACACACGCGCTGGCACAACATAGCGGCCTGCAGCAGTGACGCCTGAGTATCTGTGGCGTGGCACCCAACTCTGCATCTCACCTTCATCCCCGCTTCTCAGCGAAGACATGCCAGGGGTTTCCCCGCGCCGCCCGTAAGTATCCCGGATATGATATTCGCTCGCCAGCCTCAGGACAATTTTTCTCAGACGTACCGGGTTCACGGATCAAGATCGTGACTACATGATCAAATACCTTGCGAAGTACTGTCCCGATCCAAAAGGTCGTAGGGGGAACACTACATGGAAAGCTCTGTACGAGAATGTATGCACCCAGTTCACGCTCCATGATCCCACTTACTGATATGATGATACCGCAGAAGAAGCGCAAGTGGAACTGGTCGCAACGTCATACATGGCAGTCATGGAGAGAGCACTACGTCAAAGATCAAGTTTGGTTCGATCGCAAGATACGCCAGCAACAGCAAAAGAACCCAGCGTCAGAACCGGCACCTCCTCCCAGTGCCAGGCCTCCATCATCCCAGGATTCGGTTGTGAAGCGGGAGCGTGTCCCCTTCACGGCTCTTGATGATGAGCACCTCATGAAATATCTTGCGGAGCATGCAATCATGTCTGAGGGGATCCTTGGAAGGAAACTATACGAGGACTTAGTCGAGAATGTGCGTCACCTTTGCCTTTCATTCTACTGTCCGTTGATATATCCTACGCAGGTAGATAGATGGCCTTGGGCCTCACGCCACCCGGCTCAGAGCTGGCGCGAACGGTACAGCAGACGGCGCGAACAGTTTAACCAATGGATTGAGCGTTACCAGCGTGACAACCCCGAAGGCGCAACTCTTGAGGCATTTTCGCCTTCTCAGAAACGACGTCGCAAACTCAAGAAAGCGGACCGACGCGAGGACGAGGACGAGCATAGGGATGAGCAGGAAGAGCAGGAGCAAGTTGGTGGCGAGGAGAAAGAGCGTATGTCCGCCTTGGCCCGGGAAGAACACGAGGTCGAGGAAGCAATACAAGCAGAGGATAGCGACCAAGTCAAGCGCGCTGACGGACCATCCCGAAGTGGCAGCGCTCCAGAGCATGCTGGCAAGAAACGAAGACGTAGTAGTGTCTCGAACGATGAGACTGAAGTCGCCAGGGGAAATAAGCGAAGACGCGGTGACGAACATATTGAAGATGGTGTGCCTGCAACCGCCGCGGAGGGCTCCGCACAACCTGTCCAGCGTACAGCCGAGGTAGAACCAGTGAGAGCCCGTGAGGACGAACGCACCAAGAGAGCGAACCAGAAGCTTGCCGAGAACCCTCCTTCGGACGACTACACTGGAGATATCTTTGAGCCTAGTGTGCTGAGCCGGAGCGATAGCGAGACCGAGGACGAGGACGAGCAAGTAATGGATCACCCGCCCATTGCAGTGCAGCGAGAGGAGGAAGAGGAAGCGGAAGAGGAAGCGGAAGCGGACGAAGAAGAGGAGGATCAGGAAGATCAGCTTGACGCATCTGATACTGGCTCGGGCAAGGGACAGCGTATGGACGTGGATGTTGAAGTCAAAGCTAGCGCAGAGCAACAACCGTGAGTGGTTCCTTGGTCCGTTGTTTCGTCGTATCTTGAGCTCTAACCTTCTGTTACTCTTAGGAATGAGCGTCCTTCAGCTCATGGCGCACCCACTCCCACCGTAGCTGGTCGCGCTCGCACGCCGCCAAGCCCGCTTTACCCCTCTCTGTCGTCTGTGCCTCCGCCTACTATGGATGTGGACGCTCCGTCCCTCCCGGGCCAATTCCCGGCGACGTCGACATCCGTTGGTGACAGAGATGCTTCTGTGGCTTCTGTGGATATTCCCCTGGCGCACGAGATACTCGCGAAGGCGCAGGCCACTAAGCGGGCCGTTCTGACAGTGTCGCAGAACCCTACGCCACCAGCAAGCTCCCCGCCAGGTAAGGATTCGCTCGCAGCGAGTTCTATACGCATACAGTTTCTGACAGAATGCATTGTAGTAGAAGACAGATCCCTTGCGAAGTCTAGGGAAGCATCGCCAGTACTCCAGCGGCCCGTTGCAGTTGACACCTGTGAGCTCCCTCAGCCTGGCCCTTCTACGGCTATCGACACCACCTCTCGCCCACCTCCTCGCACTCCCAAAGCTAAGAACAAGTACTTGCGGAAACAATCCGAGGACCCATTTACTTCCGTCACTACCACACCGGTCATACCTAGCTCCCGCGATACCACGCCATCCACCGTACAACCTCGAGAGCGTCGACTCAGACGCCCAAGGGAGCCGCCACGTCTCATAGATGGCCCGTATAATCATGCCTTCACCGACGCGATGGGTAGAACACCGCCGAGCGGCTCTAGGGCTACCGGTGTGGTGGTTGACGAAGACAGCGATAGTGAGGAATGGCCACCACGTAGGGGACGATCTAAAGGGAAGGCGAAGGCGAGACAAGACGGAATGAAGGACCGAACGCCTATTGTCCCTGCTAAGGTGAAGACAGAGCCGCAACATCCAGCTATTGCTCTGCGTCCTCCGTGCGGACCGCCTGCCAGGGCGCACCATATTTTCAGTCAACCCACGCAAGAATCCAGGGCTTCCCAATATCCTCAAGCGCAACCCAGCCCGTCACAGCATCACGTCTTCAGCCAGCCAACTCAGCAAGGTATCGAACAAAGATGCCTGCCGCCTCCAGTACAAGAACAGGCGACAGAAGCCGAGACGATGCCGTCGTTCAGGTTACCGAAGAAATATCTAGATCATCTGGAGCGAGCATTGACGAAGCACAGCCATTTATTGCAATCGAACACTGCGGACGCCGAAGACGATGTTATCACCAGCACGCCTGTTCGGCGACCGTCCCAACGTGGTGCCCCAGTTCCTGGCCCGTCCTCGGTCGGTCCCATTCACGCCGACGACGTCTCACGAAGTCCCGAGCTGGGTCGCAGTGTACGGTTCGACCCATCTCTGCCTGATATCAAAGGCAAGGCCAGGGATTACGGACCCTCGCCGTCACCAGTCCACAATAGACGGCACGCATCCGGTGGCGATGTCGCATCACAGGCCCTTCTCGAGGGTGACTCCGCCGGGAATGAACGTGTTCGCGTCCGACAATATTTGCCCGTTTTGCCTACGGCTCCGCACGGTGTCCGCTCCGCCGACGACTCCTTTGTTGGCACGACTTCCACCTCTTTCTCGTTCCGCAGGCCCCGCAGGCGAGAGTCTCTCAGTTTCGTCCACCAGCCTAAACCACGCTCCGCATCCGTTGAGCCGGAACCCGCGATCCAGATCAGCGAGGACGACGAGAGCGTAGTGGTCCATATCGGGGTGGAGACCGCCATACAGACTATGTCCGAGAATCATGGCTTTAACTCTGACATCGTCCGCAGGGTGTGGAGCCAGACACAGAGCCTCCGCATGGCCGATGTGGTGCTGGGACAAATGCGTGAGGCAGCCGAAAAGGCCGCTTTGCAGTTCCTGGAACAACTTCAAGAAGAAGGGCAGGGCGCCGCCGAACCAGACGCTAAACTGGAGAGGCAGCAACCTCACCCAGCACGCAGTGAATCCCCACGTCGTCCTTCATACCATGATCGAGAGTCGCCTACTCTGCATATCACCCCAGTGGAAGCGAACGATGATACAAGTCCGGAGTATTCGCCTCCCAAACCCACTCGGGCGGGCCAGTTTCTGCGACTGGTCAAGGAGGGGAGAGTGGACGAGGCCTTGGCTCGGGAGTTCAGCTATGCGGCGGGCATCTCTCCGTCGCAGACTCCTCTAAGGAGTGGACCCGACGTTGAGGTGCACAGGCTCGGCATGAAGCCTGCTTCAAGTCGATTCGAAGCTCAGAGCCAGGATGAGCAGCGTAGTCCGGTCCGGTATGACGAAGAACTCAGAGAGCATTCGCCTGACATTCCGCGATGGAAAGCTGCTACGATCGCTATGGGGAAGAGGTTCGGGCAGATGCTAGGCAACGTGGATGAGTAGAGTGCCATCGAACAGCGGATCTCTATATCGCCTAGTATGTACGTACTGTTTGCGGTGCATACATTGCAGATCCTTCATGGACGATTGCTGATTGTGTTCTGAACGGTCATTGGGTATTCTCGACCCGCTCGAGCACCTCAAGCTCACTGAACGAGAGCATACATGGCCGATGCGAGTGTCTGGCGTTCAAATAAGTCAAGAAAGACATCATGTTTGCGATTCGCAAGCAGTCGGCACCTGTAACTTGAATTCTCTTCGACCAAGTACTGTACGCGCGCTCAAGTGATGAATCGATGAGGCCCAAAACGTACGCGGCGTACTTACCTCATCGTACCCCTTCGACCTCAGTCATTCCTTCCAACATGCCAGCTCACAGAGCCCTCGTCATCTCCGACATACTCTTCGCCATCAGCGAGGCTCTGCGATCGGATGGTCCTGATAGGAAACAAATGCGACAAGGGCGAGTGGCACTAGCACAGGTGGCTCGTGTATGCAGGGCATTTGCGGAGCCTGCGACATCCGCTCTCTGGAGCCACATCGACAACATCGGACCTTTGTTGGCGTTGTTTTCGTGCTCTCGGAAGCTGTGCTGCCCCCCGCGTCAGCCTGGCCTAGCCAGCAACGACGGCTCGGATTGCACTGGTGCTAGGCTCATGCCCGAGGATTGGGACGACGAATATGTAGCACACGCTGCCCAACCCTTGCCACGATTTCTATGGGTGAGCAGGGTTCAATCTAATGTGGAAGTGAGGCAATTGAACTGAGCCCATCCAGGTCATCTCCGGCGAGATCACCGATGAAGAATGGTCCCGTTTTCAGCACCTTCTAGCATATATCCGCAGGTGCTACGATGATGATCGGTCCGCCTCTGGCATTTGTGTCCATCCCACAGCGCTCACACAATTCCACCGTCGCAACGAAGGCAGGCCTCTCCTCCCGAATGTCGTAGAGTTCTGCTGGAAGCAATGGTCCCTGAATGACACCAGCCTTCTCACTCTCCTCCCCCCTTCACTCCGAGTCCTCGACCTCAACTTCAGCTCCTTTTTGTGGTATAACAATACATTCACGAACCCCGATGTGCGCGCCAAGCAAGCGCAAACCCTGCATAGGCTTCTCCAAGACATCTGTAGCAGAGGAGATAATCTCGAGTCCATCGTCTTGCGCGGTCACGTGGAACCACGGTTACTAGATCCCTTGAACAACCTTCCGAACCTGCGACGATTAGACATGTCTCGATGTCCCGGCCTCTCAGCCAGCAATCGTATTCTCTCTCAAACATTCACCCAACTGCGCCGCCTACGGAGACTCCGCCATCTGTCGATCGATGTACAGGGAGTGTATGCCGAGGTCATGCACATGGGTTATCTGGGCGACTTCCCACAACTACAGTCGCTTTATCTAGAAGCAGACATGTTAGGAGCCATTCAGACGCTAACAGCCATGAATCTTCCCCATGTCCAAGTTCTCACAATCAGCCTGGGCGGACGGACCGAGTTTACCGTGGACCAACTCAGCGCGGAACTCTCTGCCCTACGGCTCCCCGAGCGACTGCCGCACTTGAGTTTCCTCACTGTGCGAGGTGTGCTCGTCCAGAACGAAGAAGAAGACTCCGTGGTTCATGTACTGCGTCCGCTTTTTGGACTGCGGGAGCTCGAGAGCCTTGAAATGACAATGCATTGCGTCCAGGGTCCACTGCTCGGTTTAGCCGATGAAGACGTTTGCATTATCGCGCAGAGTTGGCTAAGACTCGCCGATTTCCTTGTTGACACTACACCGCTCTCATACCAATCGTATATGGGATCCCAAATTCCGCGTCCATCGGTCACAGCGCTCGTCCATTTCGCGAGACACTGTCCACAGCTGCAGAACCTCACTCTGCCTACGTTCAAGGGTGGCGTGCTACCCGTGCTGCCGACTATCACTCCCCATGGCCTACGGACGCTATCTATCACTCAGACACTCGATGTCATGGTGGATGCCGAAGAAAATCTTGCCCGCCAGCTCCATACAGTATTTCCCAAACTGCTGCCGGTCGCTAGTCCGGAGGCGTGCCTCAAGTGGCACAACATCATGGAGCGCCTGGACGAGATTCGGCAAGGATCATGAAGTTTCATTTCTTATGCTGAAAACATTTTGAGATCAATATATCTACTTGCATCTGGGATCTTTAGCACTGTCCAACACGGGCTTCACCAGCGGCGGCGCGTCGTGCGACCAAGTCGAGTCAAGGGTGGATCGTTGAACGCGACGACAACGTGACCGTGTATGCACTCTTGGCGCCCAATCCGCCATCGTTGCACGGCACCACATACAACGTTGACCACCACTTGAGTCTTGACCACCACTGTTGCTTATTGCAGCTCTCCGACATACTGGTCGATAACGCGCGGCTACCGTGGCCTAGTCATGTAGCATGTACGCTCAGAGTCAAGTCCACTGTCCCCGCATGACAAACAGTGCACCATGCGGATCCGCGGACTTGATGGACGACGGTGCGAGCGTGACGCTGATCTCCATTCGTCCGAGCTAGACTACTCCCACTACTGTCTCCCAGCCTACACAGCGCATGATTCCTTCACAGTCCTGACATCTCACGGCGTCGTTGTCCCCGAGGCCGTCGAACTCTGCCTTGAGAACGCATGGAACCTCGCCCAGTCTAGCTGCATCACATGTGGACGAGGATGGTCAACTGACCAGTGACAGTATTGATCTCATTTCTCGCCGGCCGGGACCATGCAGGACCTTTTATGGCCGTCCTACACAGGCTACAAATGAGCACGCTGCCAGGCTCATTCTCGTCCGAGCCGTCTTCGTCTCTCTCAGACTTCTCTCTCGTCGTCAGCAATGCCTCTGGGCGTGGTGCTCTTCACGGTGTTGGCCATTGTGCGATGCGCGCTCGGTACTTACACCGACCCCAGCGTTCTCGATGCGTGTCCTGGGTACCACGCGACCAACGTCGCTACGTCGGGCCCAAACCTGACCGCGAGCCTTGCGCTAGCTGGTGAAGCGTGCAATGTCTATGGTTCGGATATCCAGACTCTTAGCCTGCAGGTGACATACGAGACCAGTGAGTTGTTCGGGTACTGTGTTTATCGAGCGCACGATTTACGCTTCTGTACTCTTACAGCAACGCGCATTCACGTCAAAATCACAGACGCTGATGAGACGCGTTACGAGGTCCCTGAATCTGTGCTGCCCCGACCGTTGGCAGACCCTTCAGTCGACCCATCCACCGCTGCGATTCAATTCAACTACACCGCCTCGCCGTTCTCGTTCACCATATATCGGATGTCCACCGGGGAAGCACTCTTCAGTACAGCCTCCCATGCGTTGATCTTCGAGTCACAGTACCTGCGCGTGAAAACGGACTTACCGAAGGACCCAAACTTGTACGGCCTTGGAGAGCACACGGAGACGTTCCGTCTTCCAACGGAGAATCTCACTCGGACGCTCTGGAGTCGCGACGCGTATGGCGTAGGCAATGGCACAAACCTCTATGGCAACCACCCAATCTACTTCGAGCACCGCCTGAGCGGCACGCATGGCGTGTTCCTCCTTAACTCTAACGGCATGGATATCAAGGTCGTCACGAATGACGAGGGATCTAGTCTTGAGTACGATGTGATCGGCGGTGTTCTCGACTTATACTTCCTCGCGGGCAGCGAGATCGACCCAACAGAGGTGACGAGGCAGTACGCTGAAGTCGTTGGCACACCCGCCGAGGTACCATACTGGAGCTTTGGATTCCACCAATGTCGCTACGGATACACGGGTGCGTATTCGCGAAGTTTGCACGAAATCGGAATCTCATTGCCAGTAGACTATGTCGAGGTTGCGAACGTGATCGTCAATTACTCGAACGCCGACATTCCACTTGAGACGATGTGGACAGACATTGGTATGTCATGCTTCAACTTGAGTCTTGCGTATATCTGCCTGAACATCGGCCCCTAGACTATATGTACAACCGTCGGATATTCACCGTGGACCCGGACTACTTCCCAATAACTCGGATGCGCGAGATCGTCAATTACCTACACGATCATGATCAGCACTACGGTATGTCGCATAACCACTGAGCACTCAAGTCGCGACTAACGCCTTCATCTAGTCCTCATGACGGATCCGGCCATTGCGTACGCGCCGAACGAGAATTACAGCACATTCGATCGCGGAAGCGCCGCGGACGTGTGGCTGAAAGCAGAAAATGGCAGCTACTTCCTGGGCGTCGTATGGCCTGGTGTGTCCGAGTTGTTCGGCCTATGCCTGCTCCGCCCGTGTCTGACGTATGATTGATCGATATAGGTGTAACGGTCTTCCCCGGTGGGTAGACAGAAAGTGTCCATTTGAATGCAGATTTGACGTCACCTTATCTGTAGATTGGTTCAACCCCGATATCCAAGAGTACGTCTGAGTTCGACATTACCTGGCAGTAGTGTACTGACGCTTCTGTCTTAGTTTCTGGACGAACGAATTCCAGCTTTTCTACAACCCTGAGTATGGAATTGACATTGACGGTGCCTGGATCGACATGAACGAGCCATCCAGCGTGCGTTTCCTGCCATGGATTTGTCATTCAATGAACTACATCCCATTCCACAGTTCTGCGACGTACCCTGCACGGACCCCTTCCAACAGGCAATCGAGAATGATGATCCCCCCGCGCGCACGACGCTTCCACCCGCGCCGAATACTCCCATTTTCGGAGACGAGTACAGAAAGAGGGCGCTATCGAAGAGGGAATATACAGGGCCAGAGAATTTGTTGAACCCGCCGTACATGATTAACAACGCTGCAGGTGACTTGTCGAACCGCACGTCCTACGTGAGTGACGCATTGTCAGGATCAGGGGCCAGTGCTCACGCTGATCGTGTACAGACGACCGCAACTCATGCGAACGGTATGGTTGAGTACAATACCCGTAAGTCATTCAGACCTCTGCTCAGTTCAACTGCTGACCCCTTGTAGACAATCTCTTTGGGACCATGATGTCCACGGCGACGCACAATGCCATGCTCGCCCGACGCCCGGGTCTGCGCACGCTCGTTGTGACGCGAAGCACGTTTGCGGGCGCAGGCACGAAGGTGCAGAAGTGGCTGGGCGACAATCTCAGCGACTGGGAGCACTACCGTAACTCGATCTCGGGAATTCTGAGCATGGCGAGCGTGTTCCACGTCCCGATGGCTGGTGCAGATATTTGCGGCTACGGCGACGATACGACCGAGACTTTGTGTGCGAGATGGGCCACCCTCGGAGCATTCTACCCGTTCATGCGTAATGTGAGATATGTCGTATGTGCAATAAAGGTGGCTAGAGCTGACATCTACCATAGCATAATACAATCGGAACCATCGACCAAGAGTTCTACCGCTGGCCGACTGTTGCACAGGCGGCCAGGAGTGCGATTGATATGAGGTGGGTCCGTAGCTTTGCATCAGTGGGGTGATCGCCTGACGTTTCTGCCTGGTGTAGGTACCGTCTCATCGATTACATTTATACCGCCTTCCACCAGGCCTCGGTTGACGGCACCCCCATCCTCAACCCCCTCTTCTACAAGTACCCTCAGGATTCTAACACCTTTGGAATTGACCTCCAGTTCCTCTTCGGACCATCCATTCTCGTCTCGCCTGTCACGGAGGAGAACGCGACTTCGGTCTCGATGTACCTGCCTGATGATATCTTCTACGACTTCAACACATTCCAGCCAGTCCGCGGCAACGGAAGCTACGTAGATCTCGAGGTCAACCTGACGAGCATCCCAGTACACATCCGTGGCGGTGTGATCCTACCCCTCCGAGCTCAGAGCGCGATGACCACCACTGCGCTGAGGCAGCAGGACTTCGAGATCGTCATCGCCCCAGGGCTGGACGGCTCTGCTTCAGGCTCGCTGTACTTGGACGACGGTGTCTCCATTACGCCTAACGCGACGACGGAGGTCAGCGTGACGTACGACAACGGCGCGGTCACGATCAACGGTACCTATGGGTATAATCCCGGTGTCGGCATCTCGAGGATTGTACTACTGAACGTGGACGAGCCGACTAGTGCAGCGCTGAACGGTCGGGACTTGACAGACTCGGTATCCTACGACCCCAGCACTAAGGTCTTGGAAATCACGGTCGACCTGCCATTCAACCAAAATGTTTCGGTGCAGATTGCATGACCCAGGGACTGAAGTACTTATGCTTAGCACGATGTTGTAATGTCGCAGTAGTGTATCAAAGCATACAGTGATACTTAGCAATTGTTGGACTTCACCTGGTTCCCGTAGGTGTTCCTGCGGCTGCACAGGAAGCCGTGCACAGGAAGCCGTGCAAGGACAGGACTTCCATTTAGGGCCTCGGGTGTTGATCCACGAAGCACGTGACGGCGGCGCGGTGAGCGCGTTGAGCAAGTTCAGCAAAGTTGGCTGGAATGGTTGAAGTTGTCCCTCTCAGGAGTTGCACTCGACGATCACCTTCCCGCCCTCAACCTCTGACAATTTCCGCTGCAGCTCAATCCTGAGGCGGGAGGCAAACGCGCAGCATGTCTGCTGCCCTGAACGCTCGGGCAGATACATCGGCACAATCTGCAGGGACTGTGCCGGACCTCTCGCTTTCCTCTCTGACCTCGGCGTTCTCAACTCCCGGTCGAGCCCTCAGAGTTCCCTCTGCGTCGTCTCATACAACTGCAACCTCGTCCGCACCTATCTCCACGCCTTCACCACCTAATGTACCCTCACTGAGCAGGAGAAGAGGCGATGAGGCGACACCCGCGCTCAAGCGACTTGGTCTGTCAAGCTACGAGGAGGAAGGCGAGGAAGCAGAGGCAGACGTGTTGGATACTCCGGGACGAGAGAAGAAATGGGAGGATCCTGCGACTACACCTGCGGCTGGGCGTATGAAACGCACCCGGAGCGCAGGATCCAAAGGTGGCGTCAATCTCACTTTGCGAGACCAAGAGAAGGTTGGTGTTCCTTGTCCCATGCTTCATTGAGCGTCTTCCGGAGGCTTGCTACGCTTCATCTCAGTAGGCCGACTGCTGCCAGCCCCACATGTGGCCAGGACCCCCATTTATTGGTGGGGAGGCCTGATCCTGCCGCCGGAGATTTTGGCATCTCTGTCCGGACGTAGACGTCCAAATTTGTCCGGATTCAATCAGGCCTCAGGAAGGATTGCCCGCTGCTGTCCGGACTGTGCATCAGGCCTTGGTACGAGCGGATTGCAGGATCAGGCCTCGTCAGCCATGCAACTCATGGTAGATATTGGGCAAGTGAGCATTCACAGTGCGCGGATAGGGTGGCTACTGGTCATTGGTCAACGATCTTGCCAGCAGCTGCGGTCCTCGTCGCGCACAGCGTGCTATGGCTGCTCGGCATTCGACGTCAGGGAAGTCATGACGCCGACCTTGCCCATGCAGCGGACGTGTAGGTCAGCTTCAGGCTCTGTTGCGACGCTACACGGACGGTTGAGGTGTCCTCACAGGATCAGGCCTCGCGGGGCTGGAGGAACCATGTCCGGATACTGACACAGGCCTCCGCCCTCATGGACTTCGATTTTGTTCGGATTACCTCAGGCATACCGCCTCCCTCAAATGGTCGGATTTTGTCCGGATTGGGATCAGGCCTCTCCCCCAATTGATAGGGGTTTTATGTGGCCCCGCGGATTAGATGTCCTGGCTTTCCCGCATGGACCAAGTGGTATCGTACAGTCGCGTGCCGGTACTCTTCTCATTTCGGCTAGCATCCTAGATGTGTGGCGGAAATTGTGACTTGCCACTCGTCGACCGCACCGCCGGTCATAAGTGTGCGGTCAACGAGTGGCACGTCTGGCTCGCCCTCATTCGAGCCTTCTTGCCCCATCTCATCTCCCACCCCCGCCGTTCAACTCTAGTGACTGAAGCGTTTGACATCCCCCGCAGCACATTGACAGCCTCAAGAAGGAGAATTTCAACATCAAGCTCAAGGTGCACTTCCTCGAGGAGCGACTTGCGCAGCTCGCTCCGGACCAGATCGAAGCCGCGCTCAAGCAGAATATCAACCTCAAGATCGAAGTCCAACAGCGCGGAATGGAGCTGAAGAAGCTCAGGAAGCTCGTCCTCGAGCAGCAGCGCGAGCTCGAGAGGCTCCAGCGTGGTAACGGCTCCCAGTCGCGTGCGCGCGAGCTCGAGGAGAAGCTCGAGGAGCGCGAGCGCGAGATCCGGGAGCTCCGACGGAGGAGAGCTGTCGGCCCCAACGACGGTGTCCTGAGGGAACTCGAGGCGCGCAACGCGGAGCTGGAGGAGGAGCTGGAGAACGTGCGTGGGCTCTTGGAGGAGAACACAGAGGAGATGGAGCGGCTGCGGGACTTGGTCGAGCGGCGCGGCGACGACTCCGCTGAGGAGGACAGGAGCGACAGGTGGCGGCGGCGGATCGAAGAGGTCGAGGACGAAAACGAGGACTTGCGCACGAGGATCGACGAGCTGGAAGAACTGGTCACCCACGGGAACGATGAGAAGGAGGACCTCGCGGATATGGTGGAGGCACTGAAGCTCGACATCGAGAATCTGCAGCGGAGACGGGAAGCCGAGTCCGTCGAGCGAAGTCAGAGCCGCGTGCAGATCTTGGAGGAGCGGGAGGAGCGGGAGGCAGTCGAGGAAGATCTGAATGCCTTCAGGGACAAGCTGGCGGCTGCGCATATTGAGCTCCAGCAGAAGGAAGACGACCTCGACATGAAGGACCGCGAGATCGAGGAGGTTGTGGCAGAGCACAAGCGCATTGTCGAGACGCTTGATGATGAGTGGCGAGGCGAGATGGACGAGCTGCGGGGCCAAGTGGAAGAGCTCAAGGACGTACGTTATGCCCCTTCTCTCTCGTCCATGCCTTGCTTACCAGTCTGATCACTGTTGTCTAGGTTCTTGAGCAGAAGGACGGCGAGAATAGGGATCTTCGCATGAGCCTCGCTGAGGTCGAGAATGGCATGGCCGAGCTCCAAGACCAAACTGAGATCGCAGTTGGACACCTCCAGCAGGAATCTGAGGAGAAGGACGCTGAGATCGAGGCTGCCAATCGGGAGATCGAGAAGCTTGGTCACCAAGTCTACATGCTGGAGGAGGAGAACGAGCGGATGAAAGACGCAAGTGATCGACTCCGGGAGGATGAGGCCGTAGAAAGGGAGCGTCTCGAGGCGCTAGCGTCCGCTTTGAAAGAGGTGAGATTCATGACACGCGGCGTGCCTAGGAACAATGAGCTAACACTCCCGGCACGTTGCAGAAAGTGGCTGGGCTCAAAGCACAGCTCGAGGAGATGCATGACCTCATCGACGCTCGCGACCACGACATCGCTACCTACAGGGCCCGCTCAGAAGAGCTCGCGCAACATGTGGAGAACCTTGTTCAAGAGGTCCAGCGCGAACGTGCTGCCCGAGAGCACCTAGAGGCCGACATCGCCAGAGCCGAGAAGGAGCATGATGCCGCTCTACGCGCTGAGCAGCGTGCCTTGGAGGCCAAAGAGTCAGCGCTGCAGTCTGCCCTCAACGACCTCGCACGGACACAGTCTATCCTCACGCAGCGCGAGAACGACCTTGCACAGGTGCAGTCTGCGCTCGAGACGCTGGAAGCTGAGTCGAAGAAGCTGGGTGAGACGCACACTACTGCTCGGTTCTCTCTTCAGCTCGAAGTCGATCGACTCAAGCGCGACTTGGAGCGGCTCGAAGACGAACTGTCGAGGGCTCGCAACGAGCTGGGCGACCGCGAGGGCAAGGGCCGCGAGCGCGACGGCGTCATCGACAAGCTCCACGCGGAGAACCGCGAGCTCGCGTCGCAGCTTGCGGCGCAGACGCAGGCGCGGCTGAACGTGTCCCAGAAGCTCGAGAACACCATCGAGAGCTTGAAGGCGGCCGAATCAGAGGTCGTGCAGTTCAAAACCAAGATCGCTGAGCTGGAGCAGAGGCTGGCGAAGGACCAGCGATCCCTTCTCTCTGCCGAGGCGCAGTACCGCGACCAGCTCACTGAGCGCAATACGCTTCTGTTGACCATCTACCAGTACATGGACAAGATCCTCGGAGTCGACAAGACACCGGTAAGTGGAGCTCCATTGTGGTGCGTGTCCGATCTCATGTACTCTACAGAAGAAGAATGGTCAAGCGGAGACGAAACCTTTCACGAACTTCGGCGTCTTCCACGACAACCTCATCTCACGCCTGAAGCAACTGAGCGAGATCCAGGGCCTCTTCGACAAGCGTGTCAAGGACGCCGAGTCCAAGTACGCCGAGAAACTGAGCGACATGCGCAAGCAGCTCGACTTCCGGTGGAAGCAGATCGACAAGTTCGAGACGAGCCTGAAGACCGTCGCCGAGGCGAAGACGTCATGGCGCAAGAAGCTCAGTGCGAGGGAGGGCGAGGTCGAGGCGCTCAAGACGACCGTCAGCGAGCTTCAGGCGCAGCTTGTCAGCATTCGCAAGCCGGGCCAGGGCGACTCCATGGAAGTCCGTGCGCTTGCTGCTCGCGCAAACAATGCGGAGAGGCGCATCACGAACCTGCAGAATCAGCTCCTGTTGTCGGAGGAACGGCTGACGACCATGAACCAGAAGACGGTCACTGCAGATTCGAAGTGGGAGGTGCGTGTCAAGGAGTACGAAACTCGATTGAAGAAGGCGGAGGAAGCCGTCAAGCGAGAGCGACAGGGCGCGAAAGAGCGCGTGTACGAGCTGGAAACACAGTTGAAGTGCGTGGGCTCTTGTCCTTTGCCGTCCTACTTGCTTATGGTGTGATGCAGAACGCTACAACGGCAATTGGAACTCGAGAACAAGCGCAATCAGCGTCTTCAAGAGATCACAGAGTCGAATGGGCTCAACAACAGGTCGCCCAGACCATCATGAATATAGGCAGGCAGGACCTCCCTTCGAACATTCCGTCCTTCTATGCGCTTTGTGTGATTACCCATGGGATCGGGCTCATTTCGACTTCTTCAGCTTGTACTGCTTTCCTCATGCTATCGTTCATAGATACGAATACTCGCAGGGACAGGATATCCGGCTACTAATTGTACATCTTCGTAGTGCCCGTACGTGCATATTGTATCAAATAATGCTATTCTTCCGCCGCGCTTATACCCTTCATGGTGATCTTTTCGCCCCTACTTATGGACTCCCCGTCATGTTCTCAGAAATTGCCGATAGTCCAGCCTCCATCGGCCACAATGATCTACAAGCTCTTATCAGCTAATGGGTTCCTATCCGCAGGATCGCTTCAGACATGCCTTGTTGGTCATGTAGCCATTGGACGCGAGAAGCAGGACGATGTCCGCCATCTCATGAGGCTTTCCAAGCCTTCCAATCGGGATTTTGCTCTGATCAAAGACCAAGGTGAGCACCTATCGCTACCTTTGGAATTGCAGTTGCTTACGCGGGCCTCAGGCGACGGGTTAGCCATCATGCTCGTTTCTGGATTGGAGGAAGTGAGCGTAGGTGTGGGCGCCGGCGCGGGTGGCGGGTGACGTCTACCTTCAATGAGTGCGGGTGCGATGGCATTCGTCGTCTGTCGTTTCATCCCTGTATCAGTTGGTGGGCGGCGCAGAAGAGCGGGTGGACGTACAATCCCGGTCTTGGCGTAGCGGAGGGACATCCAGCGGACGAGCCCGTGCAGCGCTGACTTGGAGGAGGCGTAGTGAGGGCCGATGACACCGCCGTTCCCTGCGGCAACACTGTGGTATGTCTGTACAAGTCGAGCTAGTGCAGGTGACACGGAACTGACCTTGACGTGTAGATCACTCTACCCCACTTTTGTTCCTCCATGAATGGGACGCAGAGTTGTGTGAGCTTGTAGAGGCGGTGGTGAGTGGCGTCTCCTCTTCAGCCCGTGAACTGACCGTACCAGGAAGTGCGTCCCGACGTTCGTCCTCCAAATTTCCTCGAACACCTCAGGGCTGACGTTGCCGATGTCGCCGCTCGGGCCAATTACCGGGCCCGCCACACCGTGATTACTGAACAAGACGTCGATATTGCCCATTGTCTGGACGACCTCGCTGTAGAGCCTCCGCGCATTGTCGTATTGCGACAGGTCGGCCTGGAATGCGGCAAACTTCGGTTGGGCACCAGGAGGTGCGAGTGTCTTCAGCTCCGTGATGAGCGTGTCGGCCTTCGCCGCAGAAGACTGTGCGTTGTAGTGCACAGCGATGGAGCAGCCAACACGGGCAAAGGACTTTGCCGTCGCCTGGCCAATACCTCCCCTGTGTCCACGAGCGTCAGGTTTTCGAGCGTACGTTGAGAGCGGGCGCGATGACGCACGTGCATCCGGTGATGAGGACCAGACGGCCCCTCAGAGACGCGCCGACGCCAGCCATGTAGAGCGTGTTCTCGGGTTGTGCAGTGGTGTTGGTGGTATCTGCGCTGGACTTGTGCGTGGGATCAGAGCTTGAGCTGCCTGTGTTATGGAGCTTGTCTTTGAGTTTGCTGAACATACGATTCGCGTACCGGTGGCAATGCCTGTGCCAGTGTGAATGGGAGACCTCACACGGGTGCCTTTTATATATCAGCGAGCGATAGAGCGAGGCTCATTCGGCATGACGAAATGAACATTCTAATTTCGCCGAGTGATTGGCATATGACGTGGTGTGTACAAGGATAGCAGCAAGCGGAGAGTCCACGGAGAGCCTTCGGAGGCCGTTGGTAGACCCTGCCCATGCAAGTTCAAACGTTCAACGTGGATACCCACGCGTAGTATACTGTTACTACACAGTCCGCGCCGTCTGAGTCCGTGGTGTGTGGAGTCATAGTACCTTTCTCTAGAGAGATGTAGCATTGTCAGCGGAGGTTCGGGAACAATTCATAGAAGACAGTATTGACCAATTAGACGGCTTGGTCCCGAATTTTATGTTCGTCAATCCGTATGCGAATTGACCGAAAACACAGAGACTCTGCGGGCTCTATTGGTTTGCAACGGAGACTATTTGAGAGCCTTGGACAGTATGCTACACTGGCAGTCCCTTCCCCAATGCCCACTACATCATCCCCGCGCCATTCCCATTTATCTTCGCCTTCAACAGCTCCAGCGCCGCCTTCTTGCCATGCGCAGGGCCCCTCGGCCTCTCCCAATCATACTCATTCACATCCCTGTCCGGCAGCTTGCCCATGTATCCCTTCATCGTCTGCGGCACGATGAACGGGAAGGCCGTGTACGCCGAGTGGGCGGGGTAGTACCCCGGCAGCGTGCGCGCGAGCATCCTGCCCATGATCCCGCCAATCGACCCATCCCGCTTGTCGTACATGCAGTCGTTGTATCCCCACGATGTAAGGTTGAACGCTGGAAAGGCATCTGGAGTGAGCGGTGGAGGCATTCATGGGTAGGCTTCATGCAACGTACGCGTGAAGTCGAGCGTCAGGAATCTGTCGCCCCGTGTGAGCGCGATGGCATCAGCGAGGATCGCTCGCGAGATCGTGAAGCCGGGGCAGAGCCCAGCACCAGGCATGGCCACCTTCGCTTCCTCCGCTTGCATACCGACCTGTCCACGTCCCCCTCAGTACGAGACCATGCAGAACTTCTCGGCGCTCGGACGTACATATAACTCAAGGTTCTCTATGTCGCCGTACAGCCTCTTTGCCGCCGTCTGAGTGAATGTAAGTCAACGGCATACCACCACGTTCGCAGGATCAAACACTCACATAGACCTTCGGGTCCGGATTCCACTCGTCGAAGTCCTTGTACGCTGTCTGCGTATCAGCACTCACGTCCACCTTCACAACGGAAGCACTCACGCTTCAACCCAAGATACCTCCTAAACTCGTTCAACTGAGCCGGACTCTGCGTCAGCGCTCTTCACTACAATTGCACCACGTAGAATCGCCCACCGAACATGTCCCCCATTTTCTCGACTGCGTGATGCCCATGATCTCGATGATACGAAGTGATTCAGGTATACCGCGCGCCTTGAACGCAGCGGCGGGAGCTTCCGTCGCATCGAACAAGATCTGGGCGAGTTCCTCTACATGCCCCGTCATCAGAAAATGTGAGGGTCTGAGAACGTGTCTCCCCACCGTCAGAGAAACGGCCATCCGGGCCACGCTTGAGCCTTGATCGCATATATGTTGATGAGCAGCCGTCCACCAAGCAAACGCAATCACCTACTCGTTGAAGCTCCTCTTCCTCACGTCCTTCGGCGTCTTCGACATAACCCCCCTCGCGGCCTCCTTGAAATCATTGATCGTAATCTATAAACGCGATAAAAGAGTTCAGTCAGTACATAAGCAGATGTCGCAGTGATGCGGTGATGAATACCTGGTCATTTGGTTTTCCGTGGAACAAATTGCTGAAGAACTTGTCCATCCACTTCGTGTCATCCTGAGAGCTCGTGGCATGCCAGCGATACATGAGGTTGAACTCCACAGATATGACGTTTCCCTCGCCCTGCGGGGTCCACGCGCGGTTGATATCCCGCATAGACTACCGGATAGCGTATACATGAGGCGAGCATCGATGTGAATGTCCGTCTCGCTGCACCAGGAGAACCACGCAATACGCACCTCAAGTAGCTTGAGCCTCCAAGACAAGCCATCTCGTGTGAGCCCGAGAATCCCGCCAACATAGTCACCTAGGACGATCTGCGCGAAAAAAGCGGAATTAACGAGTCTCGCGCGGTGGAATATCTCGTCGTCCTGCATCGCACGCTCTTTGTCGTTGAGCATCACAGGTTCCCTGAAGGTGCGGAATTCGTTTTCGGTATAGATCCGACCGGCCACATACTGTTGGCGTACAATGAATGGTCAGCATGGGTGTGTGGAGTAAAGAAGAACTTACGTTGTGATTGCGGCAGAAGAGGACGAGAAGGGCACATGTAGCAGGCGTCATGAAGAGTAGTCGTTTGTCGGCGAACACGTCCTCCCACAGCCGGCCGGTTCCATCCTTGCCTAGTGCCAGTGGCCACAGCGTGGAGGACAGAATGTGAAAATTATAACATTTGATGAACTCACGCCTGACACTGTCAACCTCAGCCTGGGAGCTTCCGTAGAGCGGGCTGAGATCGACGTAGCTGCTTGCGTCATTCACCATCCAGTCAGCATAATTCGTGTTGTAGATTGTATGAATGACAACGTTCGCGAACGCGAAGAACAGACCCGAGAGTCCGCCTGCACAGGAGAATGGAATGTCAAGACACGTGTGTCCTCATGACAGCAGCCAGCATACGTACCGGGATGTTCAGTGAAATCGTCCCTCTTCAGGAGCTCGTCGAATATAGCTTCAGCTTTGGGAAGAGACTTGTTCAGAGTCCCGCTCGTAGAGGGAACATTTCGGACGTAAGGCATGCCAGCCATGCCCAGCGTCGGCATGTGCACGTTGTAGTTCGATCCATCCGCGCTGCGGAATGCATACCGTCTTGTGTTGCTGGAAGTGGATTCGGGAATAGGCGCAGGGACACCGTCAGGGATAAAGAAGTAGCCTAGAGGAGGATGCGGCAGGTCGCGCCACACTGTGGACGCGCATATAGTCAGCCAAATCGCTGTATAGACGGAGATGTATACTGACAGAGGCGTATGACGAGCCCCTCAAACTCGCGCGCGAGAGCGGAATCCTCTGGGGCGCGTGAGAGGACGGTGAGGATTTTCTCCAGCTGTCGTTGTTGCGTTTTAGAGCAGGATACAAGCTCGATAAGATGTCAAACTCACGAGGAACTTGCGATCATCCAGGCCAACGCCATTGAAGGAGTTGATCAAATCGAGGTATGCGGGCTAGTAGACGGTTGGCCATGCAAGAAAGGCTGTAGAAAAGACGCACGAGATCATTGACGACAAAGCTCGGTCCGTGCAATACTAGCCCGCGTAGAAGTGACAAAATGCGAGCCGAAAGGCGGATCGGCAGAGTTATTACGCTCGACATATTCGCGAATCCTGGCGGAGCGTCGACCCCCGTACCGCGGATTAAGAACCGTCAGTACGTTCGCAAGAAACACAGGAGGAGGATGAGAGTCAATGGCATCGCAGGAGGAGGCATATTTATGTGTCCCGGCATCGAGACGTCTGCTTTAGACCAACGTCTGCCCAACGCGAGTGCGGATGCCAGTGGTCTCGCCCGGTCGGTATGTCAACTCGAGCCAGTGACGGACTCGAGCGCAAAGTTTCGAATCACAGAAGCACCGTGCGGTTGACTTGAACAGAATTGCGACGACGGCGTACGTAGATCGAACGAAACATAGCCTGGCGTCCTGCATGGCGGTCGACAAACAAGAAGAGCAGCCCGAGTCCAGGGTGCACGCGGGTGGAGGTCCATCTACGTCCAGATCGCGATCTCCAGTCGTTTGTCTTTGACTGGGGCGTGCGACGGGCTGCGACGATGTAAGTAAGTACCTTGCTATTGAACAGGGTTTATCATCTCCTTTCAAACACAATACGACCTGACTAACGATATCAGTGTTTTGTGTGTGAACGCTTCAACCCGGTAGCTAGTAACATACCTGGAGACCCCTTGGATCGGCTACATGCGTCTTACCGATTTAGACATGCTCTGACGGGTGCCAAATGCTTCTGCATTGTAAGCGCGATCATAATCTGTGTGGCTCTGGTGACAGAAACAGATCTAAGGTGCTCCGAAGACGGAATGTGAAGTGTACATCACCTAGAGCGTGAATGACAGGGGTCGTTGGGTGTTCCAAAAAGAGCCGAGACAGGTCCGACCCTTCAGTATTCTAGAAATCAATAAACGCGCCACTGCAGGCCGACGCCCCTCTCTCGGGGTGATGTACGGAGGTGTATGTAGTAATGGGTAGGGGTCGTTGTAAGGACTATGTCGTAGCGGTGTTCGGTATTAGTGCCTCTCGTGGGACATCGGAATGTATAGTACACGGTCGCAGTCGCAGAGATGAATAAAGGAAAAATAAAGGGTAGCATGTGTCGTCCATAATCAGCGCGTCCGGGTCTTCTCCTAGGGGCCCAAGCCGTGTCGCCGTGCAGCTATTATCGCCTACTTTATGAGTACGAAGCTATTCTTGAGCGTTGACAGTACTACGCGCCACTTGTCACGCCCACGATCTACGGCATCCTGGCTGACACGGATCCTCGGAAATAATATGCGGAGAACGTTGGCAAGTGCCACAGAATCCCGAATGCGTTTGTCCTTCACACGGGTTTTGACATGTGACTGCAGGGTACGGACATAGTCGCAGCGCTGCGCGGTTCGTCCGCCAATATTGACCGCCGGCAGCTTGAGCACCGACAGGCGAGGACACTCGAAGATGAAGTCGATAACGCCATGGAATGTAGGGACTGCGTGTGCCTCGTTTTCACCCGACCAGGTCAGAGTGAACTTCTCGAGGTGCAGCCAGGCTCCATGTGTCTTGCACAGGTCTTCGTTCGTCAAGGACGAACGGCCACTGAGGACGATCGTACAGAATTGCAGGCGACGTAGTTTCGTGAGCGCTTGCAGGAGGCTGATTGCAGGTATGGGGTCGCGGTTGTTTGCCTGCGTCGTATACAGTCTGACTGTGGTCAGCGTGTCGGCACACAAAGAGGTGAATGCATCGAGGGCATTACAGCGCTCATCCAAGCTGTACTTGATAATATCGAGACGTTCTAGTTGGCCGATGGAAGGTACCATCCCCGCCAGAACATCAAGACACGACGTGTCTGTGAATTTTTTCCCGCTCAGCCTCAAGGTGCGGAGACTAGGAAAGCCTGCAGGTAATGTTGGCTCTGTCTCCGTGAACACGCTGTCCAAAGGAAGAGCAAGATCACGAAGGTTGTCGAGCTTGACGAGCGCGGAAGTGAGAGGTCCCAGCCACGGGCCACGCGACACAAGCATCACTTGTAGCTGCCGTAGGTCGCGCATATGACCAATTGACACGATATGCGGAAGCAAGTCAAGGTGGCAGGTCTTGTCACGTATGCAGAGGGACTGCAGCCCCGGGGCTCTCGAAGGCAACGCGCAGAGGAGCCGGCCGACCGTACATGTCGCGCGATCGGTGCTCCGGTCCCACAGCGTGGTATCGTATACATCTTGAAGGACAACGAGCTTGCGCAGGCTAGGTCCAGCGAGGGAAAATACGATACAGTCCAGATATGGCGACACCGTGCACTTGACCTCATCGACCATCGGAAGGAGTGGTTTTCCGGGGTGTTGGGAAAGATAGAAGAAAACGGTCGGGTCGATCTCCTCGTTAGGAGGAAGGCTAATACGTCGAACAAACGCCGCAAATTGATGTAGACGACGCAGCCCTTCTTGCGTGGGGATGCCGGTGGTGAACTGATAGTACGAGGGGGTCAGTCACACAGATTCTCCATGCACAGTCACTTAACAGCAATCGTACCCATTTCCTTTGTATTACCCCCACTAGTCTCTTATCTTCGTCTTGATTCACGTTCAAGTCATCCTCCGAGTCCGGATCGCTATCATTGGTGTGATACGACATAAACGTGCGTCCATGGTCAAGAGACAGAGCCACAGAGAGCAGAGGGATAAGCGAGGGGAGCTCCCGCCAGAGCAAGCGCGTCGCAGGCTCAGAGAAAGCCTTTGAGGTGCGTGCGCAGTACGCGAGGGCCTTTTGTTGCTTTCCACGATTAACCCGGAGGTTGGCGGTGGAAAGCGTTGTGCGGTTGGAGTACGCTGACGGCCCAAAGTGTTGCAGGATTTGGTAGACGACGTCGTGGTTCTCCAGAGCTCTATGGGGCGCCATCCTGTCCGAATTAGTGCTAGCGACGACTAGAGCAGACCGCTGTCGGGACGAGGGCAGAACAATGAAATGCAGTGACCAGTCCACCGTACTATGTTATATATCATGGTGGCCCGGCGTACGCCGGGAGGCCACAGTTCGATTTCCGTTTGTGATGTGGCCAAGATGTGGCTGTTGCCGAGGCGAGATCTACTTACGTAAGCGGATCTGGCCGAAATCTTGCTCTAATATTCAATTGCTTTCCTTCTGTCTGAGTCTCGACATCGCATCGAGGTCGTCTGCCCGCTCGCGGTCACTATTACACGTATGCTGCCGCGTTTTATTACCAGTATCAGTACTTGCATCTTAATTTGTTACACTGTGTACCATCAAACGCGATCACATGACGTGTGTAACACGTCGGCGGCGTCGTGCGCATGGTGCTCGCCGAACATTATGTACAACGCTGGGAGTCTTCCACCAACCTGAAGTCAGAAACGTCTTCAAGAATAACAGCAATTCGTCCAGAATATGACCTCTACTTGGTCGGGTTACTATTCCTAAGCGTCGACAGTACTACGGCCCACTTGCCAGACGCCTTTTCCGCCGCAGATTCATCAACGGAGATCTCTGGGAACAAGACACGGAGAACCCCAGCAACCCCCTTGGGATCTCGAACGGCTTTGTTTAGGTCGCCTGCCGCAAGACCCGACGGCACAGCCTTGACGTTGCCACGGCGGGTGGTCTTGCCCTCGATATCTACTGCCGGAATGTGGACCACCAAGAGATCAGGGTGAGAGAATATGAAGTCGACGATGCAGTGGAAGGATGGTGCTGAGCCTGCGGTGTCGGGAACTTGCCATGAGAGGCTGAGGCTCCGTAAGGTTGGCCAGACCTCTTCGAGTTTGCGTACGTCAATGTCGGTAAGTGACATCTGCCTGAAGAAGACAATGGTGATGACCTGTAGGAATTGTAATTGCAATAGAGGTCGAAGGAGATAGAATGCCGGGAAGGGATCAGGGGAACCAGGGAAAATTTCAAGGTCCGCTGGCCACCGCACATGCAGGTCGAGGCGGATCCTTGTCAAGGTGGGAGCACATACACCGGCGAAGGCGTCTAGAAGGCTCTGATTCTCCGTGAATGTGTTCATGAACGTGTTGACAATCTCGAGGCGATCCAAGCGAATGGGTGACATGATCTGCGCCAGAGCATCCATACCGCCAAAATCATCGTGGCTGAGACCATCCAACCGCAGGTTTCGCAATTGAGGAAAGCCCTGAGGCGTCTCAAACGCGACCAACAACCTGTCATCAATGGGGATAGCGAGGTCGCATAGGTGGTCGAGTGTCGCTAGCGCAGGCATGAGGTGCACCAGGAATGGCCCGTCCCACCCGCAATCCAAACGTAGCGAACGAAGCTCACGCAGACCGCAAACCCATGACATGTCCTTGTCCAGCAGGGCAAGCATGCCTTCGTCGTACACATGGAGAGAGCGCAGCCCAGGTGTCTTTGAGGGCAATGCGCAAAGGAGCCGTTTGACAGCGCCAGCATCACGGTCGTCCGTTTGCTTTGACCACCCGACCCACCCCTCAGGCTCGAAAATGGTGAGCGCGCGAAGACTGCGTCCCGCTAGGAACATGACAATCATGTCGAGGAACGGTGAAGACGGGCACCAGAGCTCCTTGACCATTGGCAGGAGCGGCTCTCCCTGCGGGTTGGCCTGCGAAAGGTGAAACAGGACTGTTGGGTCGATATGCTCTCCTTCAGGGATGTCGATGAATCGAACGAGCGCAGCGAAGCGACTAAAGCGTTGCAGGCCCTTTTTCGTGGGGCCTTCTCTAGAGTACTGATACAATGATCATGGGCGTCAGTGTCACACATCAGACGCACTACAGTTCAACAGACCCATATGATCGCCTCATCGTCCGACTCGACGTTTATATCATAACTGCACTTGTCCTTGAGCTTGGAGAGACGCATACCCAGAGAGAGCAGCGGGACAAGCGACGGGAGCTCTCGCCAGAGCAAGCGTGTTGCTGGCCCACAGAAGGCCTTTGAGGTGCGTGCGCAATACGCGAGTGTCCTCCACTTTTTTCCTGGGGCAAAATCATGCAGGAATCCTTCGTCGAAGATTGAAATATCGGAGTCTGAGTCAGGCCCGAGGTACTGCAGTATGTAGGAGACGACGTCGATATTCTCTAGGGCTCGATGGGGCGCCATCCTTTCCGGGCAAGCAACCAGTAAGTTACCTACAGGCTACAGTAGACAGTTTGTCAGAACGAATGAGGAGAGCAAAGTGACGGAAGTCAGAGGAAAATACGTCGGTACATACAGCGTGAAAGTCTGAGGATGTCTGTCGAGGCCTTGGTCAACTTACGTCGCCGTCCGTCAACACGACACGTCGCGACTCGCTACGACGCTAGCGCGCTGACGCGACGTCGCCGCCACGGTCGCTAACACGGTCACGTGCTCCCCGACTGAGGTGGGTCCGTCAAGACGTCGACGTTATTTTGTCAAGGGTGGACATGCCACGGCTGTGCTTCGTCACCGGTTCCACACACGTCGTAATTGCGAGCGGAGCGAGCATAAATCGGTTAGTAGGGGGGTGAACCCAGGACCAAACAAGTACCTTAGTACGAATTCTACGTAAGTTACCAGACCAGTGAATATTCCGTGCAGGCGTCCTTGAATGCTCATTTTTCCCGTCCCCATCTCTCTAAACAGTCTCGTGAAATGCATGACAGCTCTCTTCTCCCGTTGAAACATCAGTGTACGCCCTTGCATGCCAGATACCTGTTGGTGAACGTTTGAACTGGCGTGTTTGACAACCTGCACCCCGAACATCCCGGGTGCTAACTCAGGCACTGGCACACGGTCCATCCTTCCGTGTTCTCCTCGTACAGTCTATAGCTGGCCTCTGTCGACCTCTGTTGCATCCATTATAGTAGTTCTCCATCTCGAATGCGCGTTTTTGCGACAAAAGTACTGCTTTCGACCTTCGGCCACTTCGATTGCAAGATCCGAGTCCTCCGCGCCATTTTATACAGCGCAATATGAGCCAGCGTACAGTATGTAGTTGTCTTGTCACTCCAGTTTGTTGTTGTATGCACTAAGCAAGTACTGGCACTTGTAGCGAGCCCCTCCGTATCACGGAACGAGTATGTTATTATATCGTACACCACAGTATGCTATTATATCATACACCACAACTCCAATCGTCTTTACAATGAGCCAACTCATCTCACGCGCTCAACATCGCGACAAACTTGGAGCCAAGCGCGTCCGCCGCCATCGGGTTCGCACCCGAGACGACCTCCCTGTCGATCGTGATGCCGCCGAGCTTCTTGCCGGCGGTGGACACCATCTGCGCGCCCTCCGAGGCGAGCGTGGACTCGACCTTGGGGATCTCGCCGCCCTGCATGCGCTCGACGAGGCGCTCCTCCGCGTCGGACCACGACGTGAGCTGGTAGCCCTCGTACGCGAAGCCGGGCGAGTTTGGCGCGTACTTCGTGGAGAGGAGCGCGAGCGGGCCGTGACAGATCGTAGCTGCGCACAGCCGTCGTCAGCGAAGCCCTGTTATAGAAGCCTGAGGAGAAGGTACGCACCGGTGGGCTTGCGAAGGTTGTGGAAGTGCCACATTATGCGGCCGAGCTCGGGGTTGTCGCCGAGGTCGCGGATGGGCGCGTGCCCGCCGGGGATGAACACGCCCGCGTAGCCCGCGAGCTCGTCGTCCGTGAAGGACGCGAAGGGGCGTGGGTTGTCGAGGTTGCTCTCCTGCGTCATCTTGTCGAAGAGCTCGTTCTCGTGGCGCCGCCGGAGCCAGTTGCCGTAGTAGACCATGAGCGACTGCGAGAGCGGGTCGATGTTCGGACGCTTGCCGGAAGGCGAGGCGAACTGGCAGAAGGGTGGGAGATTAGCTATGGGTTTGTGTGCGGGTGGGGGAAAGGCGTACCGTTACGTTGTAGCCCTTCTCGAGGAGCTGCTCGAGAGGCTTGGCGAGCTCGGTCAGGAAGACACCGGTCTCCTGGTCGGTGGTCGAGCCGTCCTGCTTGTGGACAGGGTACGAGTCGGCGTCGGAAAGGACGATAAGAACTCTTCCGGTAGACATGTCGGTGTTGATGGGTCAAATTAGGTGCGTTCGATGTGAGTATATGCGGTCGTCAACGGTCGTAAGTCGTCAAAGTGCAGATTTGCGTCCGCCAATCCGGCGTTGTGGTCATATATGCAATCCGCGGTGGCTACGCTCCTACTCAGAGTTGTGCGCGCCTGGAGTGGGTGGGACTAGTGACGCACCGGGGCATGTCACTGGCGGCAGGCTTGCGGCCAGTCTCCAAAGCGCATGGGGCGGCATGGTCACCCACCCCATCGGTGCCCAAAGAGTGGTGCGCATCCGCAAGAGTGACGGCGTCGCGTTGGTGGCTGAAGCTTCACGACCACGTGATATCATATACTACTTGTGCGTCCTCGTTCATTCGGACACTAGAATGCGCTCTTTTCAGTGATAGACCGTTGCGTTGTATTCTGTCATCGATTACAGCATGATTTTCGTACTTATCATCGAGGCTGGTTTTCACTGCAATGAGGAGAGAGTTGCGCCGACGGTGCATGCAACACGGAGGCGCCACCGTCTCGGAAAGAGGTGTGCTACTGCCAGTGACAAGCCAGTGACTGGCCCATCACACTAACAGTGACTAACTTACCTGGCTTGCTCAAGCATACGGCTGATCTCCTTGCGGGCTCCTATCGAGTCTTAATCCGCTGAATTAGCACGTCTTTTCTGGCCTTCAATTCAGTGTTTGTGCCCACGAGTGCGCCTCTCCACGCACTCTGCAGATCTGCCAGGCTGTCCGCCATCCGCACACCAGTTGCCTACCATGCCCCAGGGACCTTTCCATCTCTGCGGCGCTGCCACGCCGAGCCACTCTGACTGTCTGCCGTATGGATTTGTCGACGACGTCACAAGCAGCGAGCGGCAAAACATCGGCACTGACCAAGCTGCTCACAGCGGCTCGGGGATGGCGTTTCCCCAAGCTGCGACCGCCCAGCCTCAAATAGCTCGCAGAACGACCTACTCGGCTGAAACCCGTCAGCTCACCAACGTCGCACTTCGTAGCGACGATGACCACCAACGCACAAGACGCGATCGTGCTCCTCGGCGACTCGATCACCCAGGACGGCTGGTCGCCCTACGGCTTCGCGCAGCGGCTCGCAAGTGAGTGCTCGCGCCTCGCATGCATACTCGACAGCCTCTGACGAAAGTGCGCGCACGCCAGATGCCTACGTCCGCAAGCTAGACGTGATCAACCGCGGCATGTCGGGCTACAACACCGACTGGATCATCCCCGTCTTCGAGCAGGTGCGCACCCTCCCGTCCCCGTGCCCCTCCGCGCAACCCCCTGACAGGTCGCTGCGCTGCGCCAGTGCTTCGCGAAGCAGCACGACCAGCAGCACCTCCCCAAGATCAGGCTCATGACCATCTGGCTCGGCGCGAACGACGCGGCGCTGCCGCCCTCGGGGCAGCACGTCCCGCTCGACCGCTACGCCGCCAACCTCGCACACCTCGCGCACCTCGTCTCGGACCCGTCCTCGCCGTACCACGCCCCGCACACGAAGCTCCTCCTCATCACGCCCCCGCCGATCAACACCCACCAGTGGCGCGTCACCCTCCGCCAGGGGGAGCCCCCGAAGGAGCTCGACCGCAAGTTCGAGGTGACCGCAGAGTACGCGGAGCGCGTCAGGACGGTGGGCAGGGAGTTGGGCGTGCCGGTTGTGGATGTGTGGACGCGCGTGTGGGATGCGGCGGGGCATGTCGAGGAGAGGCTGAGCGAGTATCTGTACGATGGGCTGCATCTGAACGAGCATGGGTATGCGGTGAGTGGTACCTTGGATGGCGGCAAGGCCAGGACGCTGAGGAACAGTAGCTCGTGTATGAGGAGATCATCAAGGCGATCAGTGAGAACTACCCGGAGCTGCATTACGAGAAGCTCCAGCCCGTGTTCAAGCTGTGCGTACATGCTCTCTCATCCACTTTTGCGCGCTCTCACATTTCCCTGCAGCTGGGACCAGATCAACCCACAGAATCCGGGACCCGACCTCCAGAAGAGGGACATTTTTGCCGCATGACAAGTATGAGTGGAAGCATTTACTAGGGCCATGCACGGGACCTACTCCCCGCCACGACCCACCGAACGATCTAAATCGGACATGTAGCAGTATTAAAGGACCTTGTATTAGACACCTATCTGTGCGAACGAACGAACGAACAAGCGACTGATGTACAACCCCTGGGCAAGCGAGCCAGCGTCCGACGGCCTCTAAGTACGTAGTGCGGGCCTCTGTAAGCTTACATTTCCTTCCGTGGGCGGGCGGGCGCATACAGGGAGACTAGAGACTGGTGAGGGAATGATGGTGACATAAACCAGGTTGTGAATAGGGGCATAGGCCAAAACGGCGAAGATGAGACAGGGGACAGATGAGCATGCAGGGACGAGAGATGGAGAGGAAGTGCGTAGGAATTGCGTATCTACTCCTGGCCGAAACCGACCGTTTCCCTGCAAAGGCCGTTGTCAGCAACACATACCAGCTCTGGACGTCAATGAACACGTACTCCACCGCCAGCGTGAGCTTCTGCTCGAGCGTCGCATAGTCCTTGTACGGCGGGAGGTCGATGCGGTTGAAGCACGTGTGGCTCTTCGGCAGCTGGCTCGGGTCTCCGCTCTTCTCGATCGTGAACCGGCGCGGGCCGTCCGAACCCTGCAGGTCCTTGAACCCGTTGACGGGGATACGCGACGTCCCCGTCGCGAACTGCAGCAGCCGCGACTTGCGCTCCGGCGGCCAGCTCCGCACGCACTTCCAGAACCACTGTACGACATCGTCGTTCACCTCGTACCCGCGGTAGTCCGTGAACTTGCTCCAGTCGTCGCTGCGAACCGTGTGAGTAAACATGAGCTGGCAGGGAAAGAAGAGGGCCACGTACACATCGATCTCAGACATACCGCCGATGAGAAGCTCGAGCTCGCGCTCATCGAACACGTTGACAAGGTCCTGAGGGATCAGCTCGCTGAACCCAGACATAAACGCGTCGAACTGGTCCTTGACACGGCGCGAGATACGGTACTCCACGACGCAGTTGACGTACTCCTTCTTGTTGTCCTCCGTAACGGGGACGTCCTCACCGCCGGGCTTGAGCTCGACGGTGACCATCTCGCCGAAGCGCTCCTCCGTCGTGGTGAACGTTTCGTCGATCACGTCCGTAATGTCGTTCTCGAGCATCCACGTCAGCCCGCGGAACAGCTCTGCGTCGACGCTCTCCAGATCTGCGAGCGTCACCTTCTTGCGCAGGATCATCTTGTAGAACGCAGTAATGAAGTATGCGTCGAGGAAACGACGGTGGAAGATGCCCAGGCCCAAGCACCGCCCGATGAACTTGAAGTAGTTCAGGTGCTCGGGGTTGACGCCGGAGGCGGGGTTGATCTGGAGTGTGTAGTTATCGTGCGCAGAGTACTCGAACAGACAGTAGAATGGGTTGAACATCTCGTGCGAGAGCAGGAAGAAGAACTCTCTGTGATGCCTGTGAGCTATCATGGACGAACCAGGCACTCAGTCCACTCACCTCGAGAGACCACCATAATCCAGACCGTCCTCTCCGTCGAACTTGATCATCAGCCGCTTCTTCAGGTCGCTCGGCGTCTGCCTCATAATCTCCGCATAGCTGTCCTCGAAGATGTGGTTCCGCCGGACCTTGATCTGGCAGTTGCCCGGCTGCGCGCGCATCGCGGGCTGGCTCCTGAAATAGATGAGCTTCCTGCGGAAGTCGCGCTTGTACTGTGGCACGTTCGCGTCCAGCGTCGACGGCAGTCGCGGGTCGTCCCACGTCGTCGTCTTTGTGTTGTGATCCACGAAGTACACCCGCGCCGTTGAAGTCAGGCGCATCTCCCACCCAGACGGCAGCGGGCCCAGCTGCGAGATCGTCTGCGGCTGCAGCGCCGTGTTCTGCCCGGTCGGGCCCATGACCCGGATGATCGTCTGCCGCCGCGGGTCCACCCATGTCGTCGTGCGAGTGTTGTGGTCCACGTAGTACGGCCGGCCCTCGGGCGTGTACCTCTCCTCCCAGCCAGCGGGGAGCGGCCCGCCGCCGCCGCTCGTCTGATGCTGGCTTGCAGCGACCGCTTGAGCAGCAGTGTTCGCCGTCGGGGGGCGTGAGACGGGTGTACTGGTGTTGCTAGCTGTGTTGGTCGCCTCGAGCATGTCGTCGACGAGGATCCGGCGGTTGTGCTGGTCGCGCGCAGCGTTGGTCTGCCCGTCCTGGGCGTGCGTGTTCGCCCTCTGGCTGGAGGATGGTCGGTTCCATGTCGTGGTCCGTGTGTTGTGGTCGACATAGTACGTCCGGCCGAGTGGATCGATTCGGCGCTCCCAGCCATCTGGCAACGGACCGTACTGATCAACATGCGGGTTGAAGTTGCGGAGCTGCGCGTTGTTGTTGGATGCAGCATGGCCCGCTGCACTGGGACTGGTCGCGGGCACCTGCGTTTCGGCTGTTATAGCGGGCGGAGGAGTCGCAATTGCGCTGATCGGACGAGAAGGTGGCGGAGTCGGCTCAGGCTCTGCGGCTGCTACAGGTGCAGGCGTCACATGAGGCTGAGGCATGGTTGCCTGCACCGAGGCAGCTGTCTCATGGGCACTGGGAGTGCGAGATAATGAGCCGCCCGCGGAAAGGTTGTTGGTGCTGGCTGCCGCCGATGACGATGAGTTGAGCGACAAGCCCGAGAGCGTCTCGGTGACGCCGTTCACTTGCGACGGGCCGGGATTGCTGATGGGCTGACTGACATTCGTTGACAGGTAGAGGATGAGCTTGCCGTGGACGACAAGGTTGTCATTCGACCTCTTGAGGTCCAATGTGAGCATCTCTGTGATAGATGAATTAGTATGCTACCAAAGCCTAGGTCTGGCGTTGCCGCAGCCAATGTCACCACCAACAAGCACGGATGGCGGGCGACGAGACATTGCTAGTGTCTGTTTGAGTCGACGCATCCCCTTCTACCTTGCGAGGCCTCACTCTGTAGACCTCGATTATGGAAGGCTATACCTCCTGATCAACAGGGAGACCAAAGCTGCCGCCCGCAGGAAGGTCGCAGCAACTGTTTCGGGGTGCAAGCCGTGGTAAGGGCGCCTCAGGATGACAAAGGAGACTTAGCGGAGCATCCTGGTGTCCTGTGCAGATGACCAACATGCTACTACACTCGGGGACACCGCGGTGTCCGAGATGTAGTCCCACCCAGTTCCTCAGTCACCGCCGTTCGTGTAATGATGGCTGCGGCTGTAGAGCAGAACAGAACGACACACGTACCATGCCCGCCTAGCTCGAGGTCGATCACATCGGCGACACGAATATTCACTACACCCAAGAAGCCCTGGTCCCGCTTCTTGAACTTGCGTTGGTCGAAGATCTGAACCGCAATGACAGACGAGTCCTTCACGAAACTGCTATACGGTCAATCACAGCACTCGGGTACACAGGATAAGACATACATGTCGAAGCTCTCATTCCAGTACGGATTGAGCGTCTTCTTGATAACGCTAGTGGTGTGCGTCTGCTCCGCATCGACCGTAATGACCGCAAAGGGGTCAGGCAAGCGGAAGACTTCGCGCTTGGAAAGACCATCGGCCGCAACAACTGCTGAGGGTCAGCTAATGCAACTCCATGACGTTCCCCCGCCTCACGCACCCGTAATCCTGATCTTTTTCCTGTATTCGCGGTCAGACCAGGGTTCGGCTATGAAATACGGACACCTACGGTTGATTCTGCGCGTTCTGAGAGGCCGACATGGCTCGCCAGGAAACCAAGCCTCAATGGATTAAAAACAAGCAGATGGGAGGTACAGACGATGGGAGGGACGACGGACAGTGATGGTGCGCAATAGGAGGACTGAGAGGGTCGGGATGAGCTCAGCCACGTCTGGGCGCAGGCTGTGTTCCTGGGAGCAAATTCCGATTATCTATTCTTGGCCTGCCCACGCTATTTCGGGGCATATCGCGCTCTAGACAAACCCTTGTCAGCCAATCTGGAGGTAACAAATCGTCTTAATTAGTTGGAAATTTGCCCACTCGGCTACCATGCCCCGCTTCGGCGACCGTCTGCCTTCCCTCCCGGCCTCCTCCTCCCTCCGTATGTAGTCCTTACGCCTGGAGGTCGACCAAAATATGTTCTGGCCTTCAAACCTCATATATAGCATTGCTTGACTGCGGCGGTGGAGCAGGAACCTTTCCGTGGATGTGACTTCGGCGCGATGGTCTTCTGCATGGTCCCGTCCACAACGATGTATAGTATAAGTCCAGGACCTCCGCCACAGCCGTCGTCCAAACAATCGATCCATGGGATCTTCTCATACGCCCGCGAACGTGACAACTGTTGCCTCGTGGTGAGTTTGGTATCATTCCGCGAAGGAATGGCGATCATCGGTTTGGGGCAGTGAGTCAAAGTTGAGTCAACCCGATTACTTCGGAAGTGCGAGTGACTCTGGATTGAGTCCATCGCCTGCAGCTGGAGGCTTCAAGTTGGCGAGGGACTCCTACTTCACGCCAGCACCCTGCGCTGGACTGATCACTGCTTGGACAAACGTATCCTGCTGGTAGACGTACACAATGTCTTCCGAAGAGAGTCCCCTGCTGGGGCATACCATATCCGCTGCAGCAGACGAAGCGGCCTACGAAGAAGAGCTGCAAGATGATGTGTACAACCGCTTCACGAAGAACCAAAAACGCATGATCGTCGCGGTCGTCTCTTGGACGGCGTTGATCCCTCGTAAGTCCTCTGAAATTCTACATGCTTCAGATCTGGTCTGACAGCTCCAATGGACGAACGACAGTCTTCGTCTCCGAGTCTTTCGTACCTACCGTACCCGCCGTCGCAAAAGAGTTCAACTCGACCGGAGAGATCATCAAGTAAGCTTATTTATGCTGAGATTATCCTATTATTACATGGCTTCATTGAACATCAGTCTCGCCGTGACCTTCTCCATGGCGTCAGCCGCAATCACGAGCATAATTTGGGCGACATATTCAGGATTTTGTGAGTGATTTATAACGGACGTAGCCGCTCTTACCACCGTGACGCTGCTTCATTTGCAGACGGTCGCAGGCCTATATACCTAGCCTGCCTGCCATGCTTCTGCATCGGCTCATTAGGCGTAGCGTGGTGCAACTCAGTGCCATCGCTCATGCTTTGGCGTGTACTACAAGCAGCAGGCACGGCGAGCGGGATATCCGTCGGTGCCGGTGTGCTTGGCGACATTTACAAAGTCGAAGAGCGGGGTACTGCCATAGGCCTCTTTATGGGTGTAAGAATGATTGTATCATTGATCAGTGTCTGTTACTGAACTGAAACTTGTGCGCAGGCATCGCTGCTAGGTGCGGCTTTCGCGCCTCTCGCAGGAGGGATAGCGACGCATTACGCGTCGTGGCGGGTGATGCAATACGCGCTCTTCCTCGCGGGAGTGATTGCCCTCCTGTTGACGTTCGCGTACCTCCCTGAGACGAGCCACCCCGGTACCCTGGGCATTGACAAGCTCTACGAGCGTGGAGAGCTCGAACGCGGAAAGTTCAAATGGGTCTGGCTGAACCCCTTCCGCAGTCTGGCACTGCTGAAGAGCCCGAACCTTGTTCTGATCGTGCGTGGGGTTTGAGTGCGAAGTTGACATGTTGTTGAGGCTCAACCCATTTGCTAGACGTTTGCTTCGATAGCGGGGCTCATGACGGATTTCAGTGAGTTCTCCTGCATCTTACGGCAGCATTTACTCAAAACCCGCCAGCGCTGTTGATTCCGCTGCCTTACACTATCGTGAGTCCTATGTACCCAATACCCCACCAAGATTAACCCCGGCACAAGGGCGAGCGATACAATATCGACAACGAAGCCCTCGTAGGAGCATGCTTCATAGCCCTCGGGTTGGGCAACATCCTTGGCGCACCCCTGGCTGGACGGCTCTCCGACAAGACTGTCATTAAATGGCGCAAACGGCGCGGCGGCGAGTGGGTCCCAGAGGACAGGCTGCGCGCTGGCTTACCCGCGTTCGCAATCCTTGTGCCGCTCTCTGTCCTCCTCTTCGGTTTTACGGCGCAGTACGTTGATGGCACACTGGGCATTGTGCTGAACTTGCTGTGGCTGTTCATGAATGGCATTGGCGTAAGTCTTTCCAGTGGAGCATTGAGACGCCTGACTCTGGCGGGCTGAACTCTGGTTAGGTCGACTTGTCTCTGAGTCCAGTGAATACCTATCTGGTCGACATCGGCCGCTCGCGTAGTGCAGAACTCATGGCCGTCCAGAAGTGAGTACTATTTAGCTCGGCCCTGGAAAACCTCGCTCATGATACCATCAGGGCAACTCGAAACCTCGTCGTTGGGATTGCCACCTCAGGCATTCTTCCCCTGATTAACCGCTTGAGTATATCTTTCACGAACGCCCTTGCAGCAATTATTGCCCTCCTCGGTTTCTGGTGTGTCGCTTCTGTCTGATTGGTTTACGATCTTGCTGATAGTTTATCGCATCAGTTGTTTGTGGGTTACAGTTCGGTACGGGCAACACATGCGAACATGGGTCGATGTCGGATCGCCGGAGAGCTAGCTAATAGAGCCAGAATGACGGATCGCTCGATCGCTGATATGCAACGCTAGCTGCGGATCCAACTGTCATTGATTCATTGGTGTCCAGCATCATGTCTACCTGTTTGCCCATCCTTCCCACCCCCGAGTTATTCCTATTCCAGTAACACAACGACGTCCCGAACACTGAGATCGTATATATCTCACGACTAGACCCTAGATAGACTTTGAGCGCTGAGGGTATAGTATCCAGTGACGTACATCGCAGGCCTTCGCAGGCAGTGAAGTTACAGCGCGCGCTACAGTCGGGCCACTTCCGCCATGACCGTAGGCCCCGCTTTAGTCTTTCGAGGCACAGCTTTGCGCTGCACAGCTTCCCTCTCCGTCTGCATGTCGCTTGTACGGTGCAGCCGTATCGCGCAGCCTGCTCTACGCCAATAAAGTGCATGCCAGGGCGCAAGAACCCGCTGCAGATATCCCGGATAACTGAACAAATCCAAACTGCGATCACGGCCATATCTTCCAAGACGGAGGCCCCATCTGACCCGCTCGCTCTCGCCATCACCCAGTCGCGACTAGAGAACAGACCCATTGAGATGTCGTTCAACGACCTCGTCATCCAGTTCCAGGGAGCGTCGGGGCTGCCGAAGATGGACGTAGTGGGGTCCGCAGATCCCTACTTCGTCGCCAAGCTTGATGGCAAGCTGCAGTACATGTACGTGGCAACGTGTGTTCTTGGCGAGCGGACTGGCACTGACGAGTAACGACGCCGCGGAACAGATCATCGGTGAAGGAGAACACACTGTCACCCGCCTGGAACGAGGCGTGGAGGATCAAGAATGTTCCGCAGGGCGCGGTCCTGGCGGTGGAAGTCATGGACAAGGATAGCAACAGCCTGACGGACGGCTATGTCGGCCAGTTCAGGCTGGAGGTCTCGTCCGGGGAGAAGGAGCTCAGGATCGAGGACAGGGTGCTGAAGCGGAATAGGGGGACGTTCCAGCTCAAGGTCTGTCCACAAGCACACTGTTCTCCCCGCCACACTGAAACGGCACCCAGATGGACGTCGTGCCCTCGACGGACGCCGCGGCGTGCGACCACCCGTACCACTTCGACGGGCCGGTCCGCTACTCGCTGCACTACTCGCCGACGGTCGGTCGCCTGACGCGAGCGGACAGTCGGCTGTACGCGACGTGGAAGATCTACATCAAGGGCATCCGCCTGTTCTTCGGGGACGAGGTCCAGGGATGGAACCGCGACTACAGCAAGGCGCGGTCGATCTTCCAAGGCCCCACGTCGCTCGCGGTGCGCTCAGTGATACACACGGGGCACCGGATGCTCTACGCGCGGTCCGCGGCGAACACGTTCGGCGTGCTCGAGGCGCCGTCGGACATCCTGCACCTGCTACACGGGCACGCCGCGCCGGGCACGGACGGCGCGAGCGACCGCAACCCGTTCGCGCACCGCATCAAGCCCGCGCTGTACACGTACGTGATCTCGGTGGACGACGACTCGATGCGGTTCTCGGAGACGGGGGCGCGGTTCCTGGTGAACATGGCGTCGAAGCACGCGCTGCACTCGAACTGCGCGCAGGCGGTGCGCTTTTCGGGCGAGTTCCACCCGCGCCCCGAGGGCGGCTGGGACAAGTTCAGCGACGACATGTCCGACGAAGACGTCCGATGGGAGCTCGTCATCGACAACAAGTCCGGGACGTACTCCCCGAACAACGAGCTCTTCCCGAAACTCAAGCAACTCATGGAGTACAACTTCCCGACGTTCACCGTCATACCCCTGGATTACAGAGACCCGGAGCTCGCGCGCAGCAGCGAGGCATGTCTGGCGTATGCGACGTCGAAACGCGGTGTCAGCCCTGAGGACCTTGAGCCTCATGTACCACCTTCTGAGAAGGAGTCCTTGATTCAGCGCGCTTCCAATCACCTCCACATACATCGTATATCTTCTAAGGCGCCAGAGGACGCGGAGCCTGACTCTGAGCTCGAAGGGCCAGCGTGTACCTACGAGCATACGGAGTAGAGCAACCGTAGCACCGTACCTGATATACGATACCTGTCTTATACCTTGGACTGTATTGCGCTGGTGTCTGTATCAGTCGCTTGCTACCCATTTATGTTCTGTACTAACGACTCACCCGGGACTCACCTATCTATGACAATTTAACAAGGCAGTAGCCATTATCGCGAATAAATGTCTGTAACAGAGGAAGCGACGATGCATATCTTCGGATATATCAAGCAGGGTATGCGCGATCCCGACGACTAGATAACACTAAGAGCTACAAGTGCGTGCATGGGGGAGACGGATGATATTAATGTACAGTTCGTTGTCTTTCCAACCTGCGAATAAATGACCTCATAAATCATCATGTACGCCGCGCGACTGCCGCATATCGAACCGCTCACCATTTTGCCCTTTCGACCTCCGCCGGCCGGCCACGTCGCACAATACATTAGTCTTGTTCCATATCCGACTCGTCAGACTCAAGGTCCATCGCGTCCGAGTCCACATCCGCGTCAGCGTCCAGTTCTGCATGCTCCGGCTCGAGGAGGTCCTCCGCCGAGACGCAGCACGACAGCCGAGTGGGCACGAGCGGCGCGCGGACCGCGCTTGTCTTCCGATTCGCCAGCGGTCGGAACGTGTCTCGGCGGCGCAGCACCATGTTCGCAACAAGCTGTGCGATGGAGCGCATCGCACCCTTGCCGGGCGCAACGCCGCGCTCCATCTTCAGGTCGAGCAGCGCGCCTACTTCCTTGCTCCGCTGCTTCTCGCGCTTGCGCGCGCGCCGCGCCTCCGCACGCATGTCCATCGCGACGTGCAGGTCGTGCTTGCGCAGGCGCTTGGCGTCGTCGTCGAAGATGTCGTCCGACATGTCCATGTCGACATCGATCGCGCTGTGCGAGGGCGGCAGAAGTGCCTTGGCTGCGGCGCTCACACGCTCAGCCAGCTCGGCTTCTGCGCTCCGGGCGGCGCGCTCGGCGGCCAGAGCACGACGGCGCACGGCACGAAGCTGGAGGAACTCGTCAACCTCAAGCGTGGTTTGCGCAGTGTCCAGCTGAACATCGAGGAATTGGAGGTCGTCGTCGTCCGGCGACGGGGAGCGGGCTAGGGGTGGGTCGATGGATATCGGCTGGAGGAAGAGTCCTAGCCCCTCGGGGTCTTGGGGAGGCGGAGAGAGCAGAGATGGCGCGACGGTCTCGGAGATGGACCCTTCTGAGGACTGTTGAGGGATGTGGACCGGTAGGCTGCTGAGCGGGAGAGTTGGCGATGATGGGGACGGTGGCGAAGCCGCTGATACGCCTCCATGAGTGTCGGGGAGGTTGTCAGGTAGTTGGTGAGGCGGACGAGGAATGGGAGTAATGCACAAGGGGTCGTTGTGAGAATTCCGAAGATCCGAATATGCAGTGGGGGATAGCGATGTGGACCACGGGCCTTCTTCGGGAGATATTACAGTGTCGGAAAACGAGCTATCGGAGTCGTCGCTCGATGGCAGAAGTAAAGCCAACGGTGGTCGTGGAGAGTTTGGCGGTGGAGGATCACCGTCGATGTTCATCAGATCCGTTTCGCGGTAACTCGTGTCTTCGTGATCATTGTCGCCTGGCAGAAGCCAAGACGCCTGCTCTTGAGATACAAGTCCATCAAGGCCGAGTAGGGCCGGACGCACTTTGTGCGAGTCCAAGGCTTCCGGCACATAATGTTGAGACGAAGAGAAACTATCTAAATCTGGTAGATCCAGTGAGAGGGACCGCGGTCTCGGTGACGAGGGAGGAGAAAAGTCGTCGTCACGGTCACTGCTGGAAGACCAGTCACGACTGCTCCAACTGGGTGTGCTCTGACTCCGGAAAGAGCGCATGGGCGGTAGTCCCAGAGCAGAACTGTGATGATATTCCGCACCTAGCAGAGCCGGATTATGGGGAGCATGGTCGTCCAGCTCCATGTGCATGCTGAGGGGGGAGTGTGGCGCCCAGAAAGCGGTCGGCTCGATCTTCGTGAAACCTCCGTCAGACTCTTCCGGCAGGCTCGGGAGACTACCCAGGCTAGATCGGTGACGCGGGAGACATTCTTCGAAGCCAGAATCGCCACGCGACGGCAAGATATGTGAGTCCATGGCCGGATGGGTTGGGACCGCACTCAGGTCGGACAGCGTGCCTTCGAAGCTCCATCCTCGTGAGGGAGATACATGGGGGCGAGGAATCGAGGATCGACTGTAGGGCAAAGGACAATCATTGTCTTTCTCCGCGAAGGCCCATGGTACTGTGGCGCGCGTCGATGGGCCAGCATCCGTGGCTTCCAGAGACGGGGAACCCGAGTCATAGCAATCGCGAGCTCGAGCAGTATCTGTATCAACAGGGGGGAGCTCTGAGGTGCCTAGAAGATGAGTTGGCGGCGGTGATAATGGCGCACGAAAGTCAAACGGATCGCGCGACATGCTACACTGCATAGGCCGATTACCAGCGTCACTCGAGAAGTAGTCTGTCGGTAGGCCGTAGTGGGTATCCGGAAGCGGGATAGTCGAGCGCAGCGAAGCGTCCGTCAGCGGAGGAGAAGGGAATGGGTGGAATGAGGCGTGTTGTCCGGCGTCTGACGGTACCTTCGCTGGTTGCGAGACGACACGGCGTGGCGGAGAATAACGGTCACGTACGAGACACGGCGATGTGGTAGATGGGGCGCGTAAGTCCTGCGTGTCCCACAACAAAGTGGGCGAGGCGTCCACAGTTGTAGACGGACTTGCTGGTGGCGAGAGGATGTGACTGTGGCGCGTCGCAGAGAAATTGTCGTCAGCCGGAGAGGGAAGAGCCATGTACGTGTTCATTATACTGCCGTTGCCCGTTGCCGACGCTGGCGAGAGGCGGTTGTGAGTAATTCTGACAGTCGGCATCCGCGGGCGGGCAAAAGCACCGCTCGACGCAGCAAGGCTCGCTCACCAATGATCGTCCTATTTCCGAGGGGTGGATAGCCGGCCGTTCAGAAGGACATGTTCCTGCGCGAGAGAGCGTGGATGTTGGCGGAAGAGAAGCGATGCTGCCAGCAAAGCAGGAGGAGATGCTGGACGAGCAGAGGACTTGAGCCAGCACGCTCGACTCTGCATGGCACACTCCGCATGTTACCAAAGCCGCTCATAGGCGGGCCGCGACCCCGGCCACCGCCCAATCGGGTGCCCCGCTCGCTCGCACACTCAGCCACCGCAGCCACACGCCCCTTTTGCCTCCGCACCGCGCACCCGCCGCCCTCGCCCGCCCGCCCTGTCTGCGCACGCCGTGCCCCGCAGCGAGCAGCGCAATCGCCCCTGCTTGCGGGCACGGCGTTGTCTGGGGTCAGGCCCGCGTATCAGGCTAGATCATTGACATCAGAACGGTCCGAAGTACAACTGAACGCCTGCAGACGCTCTTGTCGACGGCCGGATGCGGCTCCCTTTCGTCGCGCTGCCGTCGCGCAGCAACGGCCATAGGTTAGCCCACTCTTGTCTCGTCGCCAGGCCTGCAGAGCCCCGTAAGCACTGCACAAAAACTAATTTCACAACTCCGTCCAGAACTGCACGTCGCGCGCAGCACCCCATCTCCCCGGATCCCAATTGAGAGGCACGATAGAAGGCAGTGCAAAACATGCGGACAACTCGAGGCAGCACACCCGACTGACCCAGAGTGGGTCCACCGCCAGAGTGATCTGGACGATGGGTATCTCCAGTCTATCAACATGACCGCTGACCATCGATACACATGCACACTATAGAAGTCGCTGGGCATACAAAGCGGGCTTCTACTGATCCAGATTTATACCGCGTTCCCCGCCGTCATTGTTTCGTCCATCAGGCTTAGCGTCAACGTGCCGCTCAGTACCTAGTCCCCGGGTGCGTGGATTGGGCGATACTGGGGTGTTGTTCGTCATGAATGAACTGCTTCTGCCGCGTTACGGAGTGATGGAGCATCATGCACTGGCCCTGTTCGATGCTCAAAGGGTGGGGTAAGTTCGCATCCAAACCCTGCTGCGTCCATTCTTCCTCGGCACTGCGAGGCCGTGTTCATAGGGTCCGTACGAATGACATTGGAGGGAGCCGCTGTTCCCAGGTCTCCTAGAGGTCAAAACGACAGCTTCCCATGTATAAGACGGCAGCTCGAAGCCATGTGAGGTAAACTGTGTATCAGGCAGCCGAATACCAACCGCTTGTAGAATCCAGACGGCGACGTACCTGAGATGCTCGGACTTCCCAACGATAAGCAGGCTACAAACGGGCGAGGCAAGACGAGTTGCGGAGGCCTTGTTTCGTATCATGTAACAGACGCCTCCTTGGATCTAGTGCAGGTCTGTCAGTGTCAGCCTGCTCCAGCAACTCAGCATGGAGATCCGACGGATCGACTCCGGAACATTGACATCCGGACACCCAGGGCCCGATACCCTGCAGACTGTGACTCTCAGGTCGAAGGATCTCAAGGGTCAGAGGACGATCACGCATTGACAGGCAAATCCGGTGATCGGGCAAAGCCAAAGTGGTATGGCCCAACATGCATATCTAATCCAACAGGAGTCGGCCACCAGGGCGGCGCGAGTGTACCATGCGTTCATGCGACGGCACCGAGAAAGAGGGCGACCACGATTGAGGACAGCAGGTTCACCTGCCATAAGGTTAACCTCGCCCTCGGCATGTACCGTTGCAGCGTTACGTGCACGTACCTGGTTGTTCGTAAGGATGTTCAATCCGCTCACTACCTTTACGTCCACATCCTTCGTAGGTTCGGGACTCTCATCTGTCAAAATACGTTTCGTGGTGTTCGAGAATCGCGTCCGCTGGATCGTCGCTCCCATGAAGGAGTCAAGCTAAACCGAGTTGAGCCGCGCTGTTACGAGTTTTCCAGTGGGACCATGCTCACCAGAGAGCCAAGACCGCCAGCTGCGGTTCCCCACGCAGCAAGCGGAAGCAGTATATTTTGCCAGTGCGCCCTACATGCACTGCTCTCCACAAGGAGCGATATGGCAAGCGTGATACCCATTACAAGCCCGCCACCAAGCGACGCGAATGTCCCAGTGACAGACATGCCTCCATTGGTGCCCGGTGGAACTGTTTTGAGCGTAGTGATCAAAATGGGTGGAGAGCGCGACAGGATCCCGAGTTCGGACGCGAGCGTATCACCAAGACAACACGCAAAGTGACTGGGGTACCACCTGGTGAGCCAGCAGACCTTCAGCGTGCGCTACAGACGTACCCAAGAAGCACAAACAGCAAGGGCCGGCTCCAGCTCGCAGACGCAGGCGGGGTCAGCGGGCACCACTCGTCAAAGTCATACGGCACCTGCGGGGGGAGCGCGTCCCCAAGCACGCCCCCGAGCACCGAACCGCGCACAAACAGCGCGCTCCACGCCAGGCCCGCCGCGAACGCGGACGCAGAGTTGCACAGCACCTGCGCTGCCGACCTATATCCCGCCTCCTGGTGGCCGTCCTCGAACTGCGTCTTGAGCTGCTTGCCGACCTTCGTCGCGCGCGAGCCGACGAGGTAGAACGTAATCAGGGACACGCCGAACGCGCGCAGCGGGACCGCCATCATGGAGAAGCCGACGACGAACGCGGCGAGTGCGCCTGACGGCGAAAGGGAGCGTTTGCGGAGGCCATGAAAGCCGAGAAACGCTGCGAGCAGCAGAGGCACGAGGGGCACGTCACCGAGGGTCATAAGAGCAAGAGCCGTACAGTATATTTGAGTGGTGGTGTGAGGCAGAAAGGCGGCCTCGTCGACGTCGTCGGTGAAGACGCGTATGCCAGCGTCTCACCGCTTGCGTGAAGCGGTTGGCGCTTTCCCTTCTTCGGCGGGAGCAGCTCTTCCTACAGCTGGCGTGGGCAGATGGTATGTGTCGCAGCTGAAGAGAGACATACTGCAAAGAACCATGCTCGAGGTCTAAATAATAGATTGAAGCCAAATATTCGACACTCAGACTGCAGGAGCAAAGAAGGGTCACATGACGTCGTCGCCTCACTGCCATCGATCTCGGCCCATCGCCTCAAATGGATCCCTCCACCGCTTCCTCCTCCTCCTCCTCCTCCTCCTCTCCACGCTTCAAGTTGACGATTGTCAAAGACGGGTCTTTGCTATTCGCTCTCTGAGTTCCGCTCCTCATGCATCAACCGCGTGCAAGTCTGCATCCCTTTCGTAGGAGTTATCGACCGCCGTCACCCCGCCGTCACGAATCTATGCCGTTCTACAGTATATATACTCTCTGTCACGTACATCTTGGTGATGACAACAGTAAGCGCAGAGTCTCCGTTTCTACCTGAACGCACTGACCATTTCCAGGAGTGAACAACAGCGGCCGATAGACAAGCTTTGGTCCGCTGTTGGTACACCCCTTCGATATCGAGACACGGCCTCTACTTTCAAGTACACAATTCAAGATGTACTACACATAAGTAGGTACAGAGAAGACGTCTCGCGGCATCTACTAGGGACCAGAAGTCATGGTCTCCATGCCGTGCGGTGCACTCGGCTTGCATGTCAGGATCTCGCGGATGCTATACTGTGCCACCTACTGTACGCAAGACGATTCTTGGTTCCGAGTTCATGAGTACGTCCAGTCTTTGAAGGTTCAATCAAAGCATCACCGATCGCTAGCTTACGTATTGTCAGTGTTCCGCACTGTTCCATCTTACGGTCGAGACTGGAAAGCTTCTAAGACTGGCTGTACGACAACAGCGATCGATTGGCGGCATCATTCCTTCAAGATACCATTGGCATTCGGCCACGACAGTCGGTGTTGGAACACCGACTGTCTCGGCCAAATATCAAAGGCGACTTGAACCCCATCTAGCCTGCCTGACAGTAGCGAGGACCATCGCATGAGGGCGTTCAGGGCCACGTGTAGTATGTAGCCCATCGCGGCGTTATGTTACGGCCGACAATGAGTTAAGACTGGTCAGGACTGCCTGTACCCTACCTGTACCACCTCCCCTCGAGTAGAGCGTGTACCCTTGCAGTCTCGTTCATCTATCGTCTGAAGTTACCCGTCTTCGATTGAACTATTATCTACTTCCGTCGCGGTTTTTACCGGAGCAGCCAAGATGAAGCACCATCGAGCATTGGACGTCCACGACATCGTCTGGAGCATCCTGCAGCACTTCGGACGCGTGCGAAGTGGGACTCTTCCGTACAGCTGTAGTGTGGATGTTGGGAAAGATTGGAGAGCCCTCGTCCACTGCTCACTCGTATCCAGGGCATTCTCGAGGCCTGCGATACACTTGCTATGGCGAGAGCTCCCGTCGCTTCTCCCGTTGCTCTCGCTCTGTCTGCACCTCAACAAGGCCGAGAGCTTCAGCGTTGTTGGTGCGTTTGATACCCGATGTGAGGAAACTCTATGGGTACGATTTTCCTTCCGCTAGCCTGTCGAAACCATATTAACAAAACACGCCGACAGAGGTCCAACAGCGCCCCTACTCAACGAGGGCTGGAGCGTTTTGCTCACTTCGCCACGTTCGTCGAATATATCAGCATCCTAAGACGAGAGCATATCGACCCCACTATCCTCATTCTCCTCTCCCAAACCAATCCAGACCAGCCGCTCCTCCCGATGCTCAGAGAGATCAGATGTCAGGGCACGGTCTCACCTTTCCTCGATACGACCGTCACACATCTTCTTGGACCCAGACTGTGCACGCTGCTGATCTATGGGAACCAATATCCGATGCTCGGCGCTGTGAAGACTCACGAGACGTACGCGATCAGACATATCCTACGCGAGCTGCCCTCCAAGGCTCCGCATTTGCAAGAGCTGTACATATATCAGCATGCCGCACGCGATGCTTCGCGCATGATGTCTATTGTCCAACTCCACGACCTACGAACGCTGCGCATATGGTGTCAATCGGAGGCCCGGGAGCAGTGGTTTGGACCCTTCATGTCCCGGCTGGCCAAATTGGAGCACCTCCGTGATCATGAATTGCCCTTGGGGCATTGGATAGCGGATACGCTGCCTACAGCCATAGGAGGCTTCCCTCAGCTACGAAAGCTGAGGCTCGATGGAGAGAGCCGTCAGGATATGTTGTGCTTGCGGCCGCTAGCGCGTGGCATGCCTCCTCTGCGGTTGGAACGTCTTGAGGTCGTCAACACTGTCGTGAACAGCTTCGCAGACGATTACGGGGCCTTGGAGGACTTGACCTCGGCGTGCGCTGACGCGCTAGCGATCGTCATCTTGGGTTTGGAACCGGGCAGGGACGCTCTCGGACGCCGTGGCCCTATGCCAGTGTTCAACTTCCTTCGACCACTCGTGCAACTGCGTCTCCTGCAGTTTTGCGATATCTCTTACTCCAGAAGCTTGACAATCACGGACGACGACCTGCGCAAGGTCCGCGGCGCTTGGCCTCTCCTGAAGGCATTTGTGTTGTCCTGGTCGCGCCCATACAAGGCGAGCACGGTACCTTCCTTCCGCGGCATCGTAGACTTCCTACAGGAGGCCCCTCATTTGATGGAGCTTCGGCTCCAGGCTATAACCATGGACGGAGAAGTGGCGCGGTGTGTCAAGGTCAACACTTTACCTTCGAATCTCATGGTCGAGGATGAACATATCCATGATCCAGCAGCATTCGCGCGGATTCTTCGCACATTATTCCCGAATGTTCGTGTCCGCGAGGGTGCCCTGGAAAATGCATTGTCGTCAAAGTGGAGCATAGTTATGTCGAGGTTAAGAGAAAACCCAACATATACGCACTTGGTTTACCGTGTTTCAGACGACGTCATAGCGAACTATACACAGTGACCTTCAGCAAACACGTTGCGATCTGACAACTGCTACAATAGGATGTAACTCTTAGCTAGTGAACGTCAATGTATTTCGCAAGTATTGCGCGACGGTCCTGCACTTGGACGTGCAAAGGTATCGCAAGTGAAGAGAATGTCCCGATTGAAGTTACAATGATGAGGGCATTATGGTCACACTTCTCGTCAATTGTCGTGTACACTGTACTTACATGGACTGAATACCTATTGTAAGGCTTCATGCGAGCATTGCCAACCTCACTGAATTAACTCGGCCTAAGCAGAAGCCGCCACGGTGACGCGCCCACGTGACTGTCTAACGCTGTCGCGACAACGCGTTCCCGAGGACGGCCATTGTTGTTCGCGCTACTGGCGACCGCCCGGAGCGGCGGAGCATCGATTGTGGCCATCGAGCAACAGCTCCTGGCGACTCTTGGGCGACTTGCTGCTGTCTGCTCCAATGTTCCCATAGATGGTCAAGTGTACGCTGGTTGACGACCGAGCGCGGTTTGCAGACTAGTCGGGTCTAGTGCGTTTCAGTTGTGCTTTAGCCGCATTGTCTTGTATATTGGCCACTCATGCCAAGAAAAAGTGAGAGTATAAAAGGACAAGCTACTATGGCAAGCCCCCCATCCACTGGGTCGATTTCACTAGACGCAGCAACTTCGACTACACGGCGACATGGCGTCCAACGATGATTACAAGCCGCTCACGCCTATATGGCAGTGCAACCCACCTCCTTACAGCCTCTCCGGACGGCCCTGGCACCACTATCCCTCGCCGTCGGACATCCGCGCCGCCAACCTGGACAACATCCCTGACGATGTGCTCACCTATACGGCTGGGGAACGCAAGGTCAAAGCCAGAGAGCTCCGCCGTTCCCAACTCGAGACGCTCTTTTGCGACATTTACATGCAAGACAAACGTACCTGGGAGAAGTGCGCGGCTGTCATGGAAGGCCAGCACAGCGGCGAGGGGCACGAGGATGAGCAAGACGAGGCTGTCGAGAGCGTCCTATGGGATAGGGAATCGGTCAGTTCGATGCATGAGCACATAGCGGAGATGCTGAACTGACCCTAAACGTATCGACACAGAGAAATCATGCCGGGGGTGAGCCCTCCGAGCCAGATCTTGCCACTCACCGTCTCATGGAGCAGTTCGTCGAACATCTTGATGGGACGGTGTGGCTAGAGACGGCGAGCGGAGAGACGGAGCTCAGTCTAGATGAGACTCAGGCGAATATGGCATACCGCGATAAGCTCGTACAGCCTGTGTTAAGCGAGTTTGCTTCCCTGCAGCAGATGCTATTTGACTCTTGTCGGAACGCGGAAGACCTGAAACTCAAGCCGTTCGGAGACTCGGAATACTATGCAGCAAGGGTGGAGCTGATCAAGAAGTGCTGGGATGCCGTAGAAGAAGTCATGTAGGGAGCCAATGTACCCGTGAGCCTTGATAGAATCGAGGCCTTGTATTGCCATAGAAAACAATCCGACTTGCTATGCTGCACGATGGACTCAGAGTGGCCTCGAGTTTGGGAGTTTGCGAGGTTGGTGGGCGTAGGCGCTCTGGCGACTCCGGTAGCGTGATCGTGCGTGCATGGCTCCTCGACGCGCGCTGGCTGAATGGACCCCCTCCTCCTCCGGCCACATCGACATCGTGTCTGTCGCGGCGGCGCGTCCAAGTCGGGTTGACGGCTGTTGACGGGCAGCCATCTAAGCTGCATACCAACAGTAAGGCCTCCTTCGACTCATAGACTTTCACGCTGTATGTAGTATGGACCTATTCTCCTCCGGCTTCTGTCACTTATCCTCATTCGTTCTGACAAGCTGTCCACTGTAGGTACTGGTCGCTCGCCCGGAAAGGATGGCGCCCCATCGAGCCCTAGAGAATATCGACGTCGTCTCCTACATACTGCAGTACTTCGGGCCTGACTCAGACTCCGGTCTCTCAGTCTTTGACGACGTCGACGTATTCCCTCGTCTTGGCGCAGGAAAACAGTGGAGGATACTCTCGTATTGCGCACGCACCTCGAAGGCCTTCTGTGGGCCAGCAACGCGCTTGCTCTGGCGAGAGCTCCCGTTGCTTGTCCCGCTGCTCTCTCTGGGTATGCGTCTCTCCAAGTCCAAGGGCAAGTTCAGTTATGACATGATCAACGAGTCGGACAATGGGACGATCATATGGGTGTGTTGAGCTGTTGTGCGTCTGATGTGGCACACTGATACTCATGATCATTGCATCAGTACTCCACAGGGGGCCCCGCGAAAAAGGGCCTGCAACGCTTTAGTCGCTTCGCTGCGCTCGTTCGATGCATCGACATCCCTGAGAAAGAGCATATTGACCCAACAGTCCTCTTTCACCTTTCGCTGGCCAACCCGCAGGGAGAGCCGCTCCTGCCGATGGTCGAGGAGCTCTGGTGCCGAACTTCACCTTTCCTCGACATGATTGTCATGTTCCTAGCGGGACGCAGTCTTCGCGCACTCACCATCCTCGCGCCTGGGGGGTGGTTGTTGAACTATGCGGCAGAATCGGACACCCGCAACGCTGGCGCCGTCAGACGGCTCCTTGGCGCATTGCCCTCAAAGACGCCTGAGCTGCGCTCTCTCTATGTGTGCGACACAAGCGAGGTTGACCTGCTGGACAATGACATGTCATGGGTTGGCGGTTTGCGTGAGCTTCGCTCACTACGTTTGGATTGCGGGTGGGACGGGCCATTCCTGGTGCACCTCATGCCTGCGCTAGCGACACTCGACCACCTATGTGACCTCGCTCTTCTCCTTGACGACCGGTTGGTCGCGTTTGAGACGCCTCGGGGCTTTCCTCAATTGCGAAACCTGCGGTTGGATGGTCAAAGCCACGACGATTTTGACGGTATGGATGCTCTGGCGCAGATCATGTCACCCATTCACTTGGATCGCCTCGAAATTGTTTTGGCGTTCGTGAACACGTTCACGGAGAATCATAGCCTTCTCGACGCATTCGCCGGTGTATATGCTCACACCTTGACAAGCATCCACCTGAGCCTAAGTGCGCGGATGCCAAGGGACTCTGAATTTTTCCCTGCTCCCCCTGTTCCTTTCCCGGCATTTTATCTCCTCCGACCCCTCTTGCAATTGCAAGGCCTACAGGTCATCGATATTCGCTACCACAGGCAGATGTCACTTACCGACATTGACGTACGCAAACTCGAAGAGGTCTGGCCATCCTTACGGAGCCTCAGCCTCTCTTGGAGAGTTCCCAACACCGCCGGCTCAGCACCATCCTTCCACTGCATCGTCGACTTCATATTATCTCACCCTGATCTCTCGGTGGTCCACATTCCGGCAGTAGATATCGAGGGCAGGTCCACCCGCTGTGGCGACGTCAAGGCTGTGCCGTCGGGTCTTGCGGCAGGCGACGACCTGGACCAGCGCATTCCAGATCCCAAGAAGGTTGCTGAGGTTCTTCGTGTTATGTTCCCAAACATTTCCGTTGACGAATTTGCGGCGGAAGTGGGGTCTGGTAAGTGGGGCGTAGTACTGTCGACGCTTAGGGATAGTAACCCGACCAAGTAAAGGTACTAGCGGACTCGGACTTTGGTTCAACGTGACGACATCATATGCTAGAATTGCTGTACTTGTAAACGTACATATCTGGCTTGAGGTTGGTGAGTGGTCGACTCTCCAATGACTCTCAGCGTTGGGCGGTCGCTGTGGCGATCACGTGTTGTACGACAGTCGCGCTGGCACGACGCGTCGGGTTCGAACTCGTCCTCGACGACCAGCTAGTACAGTCACTGAGTCAGACGCGTCGCGCACGCCTCTAAGCTCACCGTCGACCCACTCAGGCCAGACCGCTTGCTTTTCAACACTGGTACTTTCATATCTCGGCTACAATGAGCCACCATCGCGCTCTGGACAACCACGACATCATCTCCCACGTAGTGGAGTATCTCGGGCCTCCCGCGCAGCGCGATTGTGCAGATGTTGTCGATGAAAGCCTGTCGATTGCTCCTGGAAAGGCTTGGAGGACCCTCGCCTATTGCGCTCGTACATCGAAGGCATTCTCTAGGCCAGCATTGCGCGTCCTCTGGCGAGAACTCCCGTCGCTTCTGCCACTGCTCTCTCTCGCTGGTATATCCCTCATTAATGCAGAGACTCCTGAAAGTCTCCCTGAAGACGATGAAATAGAGATGATACGGGTACGATGACTTGCAGCTGTGTACGTCTCTACCGTCGTAACACTGACGTGTGCATCGTAACAGACTACGAACGAGATTCCGACTCCGCAAGGCATGCAACGCTTCGCCAGCGTTTCTGTCCTCGTTCAGCGCATTAGCCTCCCGGGGCTCACCGATCCCTCACTCCTTTTTCACCTCTCCCGGGCTGCTCCGAGTGGGTCACTCCTCCCGATGCTCAGTGAGATCAGGTGCATGACTACGCCATTCCTGGACATGACCATTCTCTGCCTCGCGGGACATAACCTTCGTGAGCTCGTTGTTCTTGAGGACAGTGGAGCATCCTGGGATCGTCCCCCGAACTCGCCTGAGGGTTGTGCTGTCAGACGGCTCCTTGCAGCTCTACCCTCCACGGCCCCCGGACTGCACACTCTTTGCATATACGACAAGGGCACACACGAACTGCCATACATAGCATATATCGGTCGTTTGCGCGAGCTGCGTTCGCTACGCCTTAGGTTCTGGCCGGACGAGCTCGTCGACTGGCTTGGACCCTTCATGTCCACATTAGCCAAGTTCGAGCACCTGCGCGATCTCGCTCTGCCGCTGGAGGACTGGGTGATGGACGAACTGCCTATCCCGCAAGGGTTCGCGCAGCTGCGGAGTCTGAGATTCGAGGGGAACGAGCACTCCGACTTGACGTGCTTATACCATCTAGGCAAGATTCTACCTCGCCTGCCACGACTGGAGCGTCTTGAGATTGCTAGCACCTACGTCAACAGCTTCACGGAGGACAACAGCTATCTGGACGGGATCGTCGGTAAATGCGTCGACACATTGACCACAGTCAAAATGGACATACGCCCGGGAGGAATAGATCTCGATCTCCCCAGCCCTGTGCCAGCATTCAACCTGCTCCGTACCTTCATACCTCTGCACCATCTCCAGTTTTGTTATATCTCGTACTCCGAAAATATGTCCTTCACAGACGTCGACCTACGCAAATTCCAAGGAGCCTGGCCGCTCCTGCAAACATTTGCGCTGTCCTGGAAGCGGCCCTACCTCCCGCACACAGCCCCTTCCTTCCACGGCATTGTCGAGTTCCTCCGGGAGCGTCCCCAGCTTGCGGTGCTCAAACTTCCGGTCGTGGACATCAACGGGAATTGCGTGCGCTGCAAGGACATCAAGGCCTTACCTCCGAGCTTCGTTGTGGAGGACGGATGCATTCCGGACCCAATCGCGTGCGCTCGGGTTCTGCGTACCCTACTGCCGCAGATCCGGATTAAACGGAATGTCGTGAAGAGCGCATGTGGCGAGTGGGCTACGGTCTTGTCGAGACTTAGGGATACCAACAAGTATGTTTGACACTTGTGTTACTCGGACTTCGATGCTCAGATCAGTACATACGTTGACGCACACATTCCCCACGTTACGATGGACAAGGTGCGATATGACGAGACGGGTTTCACTTGATGAAAGAGTCAGTGTGTTGTATGACAGGGAGTCTCTACAACGCAGTGCCTTAAAAACTAACCTACCGAGTGCTGCCATCCCATGTATTAAACGTTGATGCAAAAGAGACATCCGCCGTAGTAGGGGTGTGTCCTGGACACTAGGTCCGCAGAAATAATGGGACACAGCAAATGAGATTGACCTTCGCTATCCTTTGAGATTCCCCGGCTGGAATGCCACTTGCCACAAATTGTATTCGCTCAGCGTCGCTTTCCGGAACATAAGCGTGATGTCCTCGTAGTAGTCTTTCCAGTACTCATAGTTTGCGATGAAGAAATCTACAAAAACATATCGGGACTCATAGCAGCGCAGTAGAGCTCGTGTGCACTCACCAATCTGAGGCTCGAGGTAGGAGTAGTCGAGGTTGGGCAGGACCCATTGTTCGTACCAGAGCGTATCTTATAATTATGACGTGAGTCAAGGAGCCGAAAATTAAAACGAGATTCTGAGCAGACATACCGTTGGAGAACGACGTGCTCAGCAGTCCCTCCGCGATGTAGTAGTAGGACTACGCGAACGCTCGGTCAGGAGCACACACATACACAACCAGCAACCCACCTGAATACACGGAATCTGCGCGGCAAGCGAGACGACCCAATTGTAGTCCTTCGCAGCGACGAATTGGAAGTCGGTATACTGGTTGAGCGCCGCCGTCGCCGGTGCGTTCAGGACCACGCTCTCGTTCAGGCCGAGGCCCGCAGGCGGCGGGGACGTCGTGACCTGGATAGACGAGAGCGCGTACGCGCCGTCGCTCGCGACGTCGCTCAAGGAGCTGTTCAGCTCGGCGAGAGACTGCGCGGTGAAGGAGCGTTCGACGTCGAAAGCGAGGAGACGGATGCAGTACCAGTAGTCTTGCTGAGCACGTCCGACGTGGGTTCAATTCAGTGCTGGCACATGTGTATCGTGGTATGGACACTGACCACCTCGTACCATTGGTAGCCAGCGGTTACCGTCTCGTTCCCTGGCTGGGCGGTCATCATAGCTTCGATGAATGGGTTGTGCAGCAGCTGCTGCCATATGTCTTGATTATCTTGGATCAACCTCGCCACTAGATCGTGACTGGAGGGGGAGATGAGTCGACTGTGTAGTTTGTACGCATCGCGCAGGCAGATAACGTACGGATCCACAGCGTCTTGTCGAGGAGAAAGCGCCCTCTTCCGTGCGACCGCAGCGATCTCATGCTCAGGGACGCCGTATTCGGGGTGCGCAGCATACTTGCGCAGGCGATCGCGAGCAAGACGAGCTCTGGCCGACACTGCGGACGATGGAGTGACTACATACAGGACGGTGAGCCCGAGGCACAGGAGAGTGCGGAAGTGCATGGCGGCTCGTGTATCGAGGCAAGGCCCCACTCATACTCTTTTATATCACTGCTCCCGGACGCAAAGGCGGCAGACACTGCGCTCTTACATGGATGACGAGACATGAAGCTCGAAGAGCCGTCCGAGTTATGCCGTACAGCGAGGTCGACGAAGACAGGACGTGAGAGTTGCGGTGAATGTGTGCAGCATGAGCCGCTCGGGGCCAGCTCACATGGCAGTCGCGGGGCCTATTCCGCACGAAGGTACCTACAGACCCCTGCCAGACTTCGGCGCGGATAAGCCTTAGGAACACATAGACGACTGTATGCTTACCTGAGGGGGTCACAATAAATGCAGATAGGCACCTCGGACTCGCTGCTTCCGTCTTGTCGCTGTCCTGTAGAATTCATGGCCGGCATTGCTGTGACAGGACCTCTCCCATATAATCAGGATCATCTAGGAACGACTGCTCAGTATTCAGTGTTGGGTCGGACAGATGCGATGTAGGTCGTGCTTACAATGATACTTTCCTAGTGCACGTGTAGTACGCCGCCAGTACGGTACAGCACGCTCCAGCGGCGACATTCCGATTCCATAGCTTCTGGGACGAGCTCCAGGCGAGAGCTCAGTGAGAATGAACATATTTAATGTAGCGTACGGTGGTAACACGCACCATAGGCCAGCTTGCCAAAAACACTCACGCGAATCCGAGTCGTAGCACATACATACATACCTACACATCTGACTGCTGGCCCGGTTACTTTAGGCTGAGCAAGCTTGTCCTTACGTGTATACCATGAGTGGTCGACATACACCCCGGTCTAGTAAGAAGCGGGGCTCGAGTGTTGCCATAAGGATGAGATTCGGCCCACAATCGACTGTGGGCGTGAGCGGCGAGCGCATTGTCGCAGCCACAGTGACACGCCGCCACAAGCGATCTACGCCTAGGCGCCCGTATATATCTCTGTCGACTGCTTCCCGCCTCTCAACACAACGCCCCTCCTCGCATAATCCACGGATACCTGAACATCCAAGTATCTCGTGCACTGGATGCAGTATCTCTGAGCTAGACGAGGTCCCCGCTATCCGCGCGCTTGGCTACGCTCGTCTCCGCATACCTGGTCGACCCACATTAATGTCAATGGAAGTCGACATGTCCGCGCCGATGGACACTTTCCGCGTCTCAAGAACCAAAAGGGCGCGTTCACCCGCGTCCCCGAGGGCAAGCGAGCGACCCAGTGTTTGTTTTCGTCTGCTTCCGTGTCTGCGGGCTTGACGCAGGATCGCAGAAACGCCTCTCGATGGGTGGCAATGCGTGCCTCTCTATACCGGCCTTGGCGCCGCAGAGCCGCCACGGGTCGGAAGACTGGGTCGTGCAGACGCGCGGGCTGAGCATAGAGAGTCCGCTTGTCGCCCAGGGTCTCCAGCTGGAAGAGGTGCGGGGAGTGGCTGCAGGTGCGGGCGCGGAGAGGGAGGGGGAGCAGATGGTGGACACAACCATGGTGCGCTATCCCTGATGGGCGACGGAGCAGGTTCTTGCTCAATCCACTCTGCTCAGTTGGACGAAGACGTCGCTATGTCGTGTTCGCCGCCGCGGCCTCGCCTGGGGATCGACGCACACTCGGAGCCGACTCTGCCGCCTGCTGTCCAAGGGCTGCCCTCGACGTCTGCCTCGACTACCGATGTGCCCATGGCGACCTCTCAGTCTCAAGATCATACCGCGCCTCCTGCGCGGAAACAAAGATTCACCATGGGCCCGCGGGCCGACTGCGAAAAGTGTCGGCTGGGCGTGAAGGGGCACTGGATGCACTTCGATTGACTGGGGATGTGGGACTGCGGTCATGGAGAACCAATGCTGTTGTCGTAGTTGCTGCTGCTCATAGGACTTGTGGGACTGTCTGCATCGCTTCCATATTCTGCTGTACCTCACATTTACGCTAGTATGCCTCGGTACATGTGCACTATTCGCTTACTGTCGATGTAGATATTGCGACCGGTCATGGTCGCTTGCAACTCTATCTCTCACTGCACGATCACGCATCTCAGTCACTTTCGCGCTGTTCCTGGCAGCATACATATGTGAAGACAACGGGGACAAGCGGGTTTACGTGCGATCTGACTCCATTGATTCAGCGGGGATTGTCCTTTTGCATGCGAGGCCGGGTAAATCGCGCCCAGCACCGCATGCCCCGAGGGCTTTTCCGTGCGGGATCCAGTGTTTTCTGCTGCTGCAAAGTGTCTTGAGAAAGCAGAGGCAGGCGGGGGAGATGGCGGACAGACGCGTCGAACGCGCGGGCGTGGGTGGCGGGAGACGCGCGACTTGGCCGCCCGAGGGTTCCGCTCGTTCCACCTCGTGCTCGCTGCCGCCACTGCGCTCGCCGTCGCGTACGCTGCTTTCCCGGCCGTAATTATCCTTCCGGCCACCGTCGGGCACGTTCCGTCTGTAGCCTAGGCACTGCCCATCATGCCGGCCTTCGATCCTGTGCGCGATGCCGTCCTCAACTCCCCCGTCGTTCCTCCCAACGAACACCCGCTCAGGATGCACATCGACCTCCCGACCGGCCCGCCGACACGCCCCTCGTCGTCCTCGGCGGGCAGTGGCTATCGCACGGACTCCAGCCCGAGTGTGTCGACCCCTTTGACGCGCCGTGCAACCGACCTTTCCGTGCTCCTCAACTCTGACCCTCCTCCCCAGGAGACCCCGCTGTTCACGCCGACCACGCCGCGCGGACCGGCGACGCTCTCGCATATCCTGCACCACACGGACGCCGGGCGCAGCATGCCCGAGGAGCGCGAGACCCTCTCGAACTTTGCGCCTCTGCGCAGGCGATCGTCCGGCGTCGAGAGCGGCCAGGCGAGCGCGAGCATGCGCGACAACTCGTACTTCGCCTTCCAGGGCGGATCCTCGTGGCCTGCCGTAACCGCAGCCGTGACGGGCTCGCCGCTCACGAGCCTCGCGCTGCCCGGCTCGCTGCCCACTCCCCAGCCGCCGACGCTAGCACAGCTGCAGCCGCACCCGCCGTCCACACGCACACACGCCTCGCCCCCCGTGTCTGCACCCCCCGTCAACCGCTCCCCGGTCACGCCCACCCTCTCCAACATCGTTTCACCCAACCCCGCTCCAGCCATCCACCCCACCTCCCGCCCCTCGTCTTCCCACTCGCCCACCTCCATGCTGTCGCGGCCTTCTCCGGCTACCACCCCCGCTCCCCAGCGCAGGACGTCCGTCAACATGCCGCCGCCCCCGCAACCTGCGAGCCATCCAGTGACGCCGCCGCCGCCCTCCCCACGTTCACCAAAAGTGCCCATCCGGGCGCCTCCCCGCCAGGCCGCCGCACCCGCCCCCAGTCTCCCGCCAAAGCCCCCTGCACCCACAGGCCTAGCCAGTCTTCCGCCCAAGCCCGACGTCGACCCCCCGCCGCCGTTTGCTGTCAAACGCAGCGTGACACCCTACGCCCCCAAGTTCCGTCGTACGCCTGCGGCCTCTGTGCTCGTGCCGCTCTCGCCCGCGGAGATGGAGCGTTACCGCAACTTCCCTGGGGGCGTGGGCACCATGCTCCTCCGCAAACGCAAGCGGGAGGACGGCGATGTGAAGCGCGAACGCAGTGTGAAGCTTGAGGAGAGCGCGGACGACGAGGAGCGGCGGAAGAGGCGGAAGACTGGGGACGTCGATGTCGTCGTCGAGCATTGTGCGTGTCTCTGCGGCGCCCCGTGTGTTCGTGCTGACGATGTGCAGATAACGCCCGCCCGGACGTTGGCGTCTCGCAGCGCCAGGAGTCGGTTATCATCGGTCTCAAGAGTTTCAACAACTGGGTCAAGAGCGTGCTCATCACGCGTTTCGCACATCCCGCGCTGGCAGAGAGCCCCATCTCGCCAGCGGAGGCAGAAGGCATGGGCCGCGGCCGCGCAGGGGAACGTCCGGGAGGCGTGAAGGGCCGCGTCTTGGACATGGGGTGCGGTAAGGGCGGCGACCTGACGAAGTGGGCCAAGGCGAGGATCAAGGAGTACGTCGGAGTCGGTACGTCCTCCGTGCGCCTCTCAGTTGCGTGCCCGCTGACCCGCCACCAGACATCGCCGCCGTATCCGTCGAGCAAGCCAGCCAGCGTCACTCCTCCCTCCGTAGCGGGCCGCGTTTCAGCGCAAGCTTCTACGCGCTGGACTGCTACGATCACCTGCTGCGCGACCGTCTACCGCCTGCGCTGCTCTCACGCCCGTTCGACGTCGTCTCGATGCAGTTCTGCATGCACTACGCGTTCGAGAGCGAGAAGAAGGTGCGCTGCATGCTGCGGAACGTCTCTGAGAACTTGCGCCCGGGCGGGTCGTTCATCGGGACGATACCGGATGCGAGCCAGCTGCTGTAGGTCCAAATTTCGTTTGATGTTCCGCGTCGAATTTATTGATGGCCCTGCGTCGTAGGGAGAAGCTGGGTGCGCTGCCGGAAGACTCGAAGGACCTCTCGTTCGGGAACAGCGTGTACACGATCCGGTTCGAGGAGCGCACGCAGCGCCCGCTGTTCGGCCACCGGTACTGGTTCTTCCTCCGAGATGCCGTGGACAACGTCCCCGAATATGTTGTCCACTGGGAAACCTTCGTCCAGTGCGTATCCGTGTATCTGCCCTCGCAGATCGCTGACGGGCCCGCCCACGCAGGATGGCCGCGGACTACGGGCTGTACCCGACGTACAGAAGGGAGTTCCATCAGGTGTTCGAGGAGCACCACAAGCACCCCGAGTTCGCGCCCCTGCTGGAGCGCATGCACGTCGTGGACAAGAACGGGGAGAGCAAGATGGACGAGGACCAGTGGGAGGCGGCGAGTGAGTGCTTGCTTCTGTGGGCGTCGCGACGGACGGGCTGACGGGAACTTAGACATTTATATCGCGTTCGCTCTCGAGAAGCGGTGAGAGCGTGCGCGCTGTACTCCGCTTGACGGGCCTGCGAGCCGCCCTTGTGCATGGTGCCCTCTGAACAGCGCCGAGGATGGCCGCCAGTCCTGGATGGTGATGCTATTGTTCGTGTGCCGATTGGCTCCCAGAACCCAACACCTTTTGGGCGTGGCTCGCTCCCCGAGTCTGGCTTTCCCCTGCACCTAGCGGCGCGGGACCATAGGGTGTGTAGGCTTCATGCGGTTCGATGTGTTCTGAATCATGTAGATTTAACTTTTGTGCTATGCTGCTCTCCACGCTTGAGTCGACCCAGGACTTTCCGTATGTCCTCGTTTGTACCTACTGCTGTACTGTATGTAGCCATAGCGATGTCATCAATGTCTTTGCTCATGCAGCTCTCATCTCGAGGTTTTGTTCACGTGAGGCGTCTGTTGACGATTGTGCCAACGATGGTACTGATCTGATGCTAGTGCAACATGGCACAGTAGCAGCCCAAACAGCACATTGTGATTTGAGAGTAGGTAAGTTATGACACAAGATGGTATGCTCTGATACATTATCGTCAACGAAAATACGAAAGTTCGGAGGGTCCCGCAATCGGCAGTACAGTCAAGAAAGCATTGCAACACATCGCACCCGCACCGCGCGCTGTACGTGGCCTTACATGGCATACATCAACAACGACGCCGAGAGCACGGTCCCAAGCAGCGTCGCGGGGGAGGTCGAGAAGCTCAGCCGTGCGGAGGATCCGGGCACCGGCAAGAAGTGCTCCGAGTCGGAGGCCTGCTGCGCTGCGGATTGCTGGAGGACCGAGAGCATTAGATGTGTCATGAGAAGGCAGCGGTGCGCTAGACGCGACGCTGACCTTGAAGGCGACGAGCCCGATGAGGATGCCCGCGGCGAAGAAGCAGAAGGCGATGATCAGCCAGATGACGCCCCACACTGGTTCAGCGCAGTCAGCGAGGCTCGGAGGGGCGAGGGGATGTATGTAGAGGGGGAGACGGACCTTGGGATGGGCAGCACCCGCAGATCTCGGCGAACGCGGATGCGTCGGAGCTGTTCACTTTGCGGTCGATCGTGTCGTCTGCGGCAGGGTGGGTACTGGGGCTTAGGTCGGGTAGTGGCTGGATGATCGAGGAGACGTACCGATGATGTCCCATAGCACGTATAGACAGGACATGACGCCGATGAAGAGAATCTAAGGGACGGGACGATCAGCAGGTGGGTGTGTGGGTGACAGATGCCCGCTCACGAAGAATCGCAGGGCGACGCCGCCACCGACGAACCAGAACAGGACGATCAGACCAGCCATGCCGATGATCAGCACCCATGTCCTGTATGAAGCAGTCATAGAGCCTCAGCAGACGGGGAGATTTAAGAGTAATCATGCTTACAGCCAGTCCCTTCGTGCCCACCACAGCGTGAACACGAAGAACGCCGCCAGTACCAGCGACGCGACCTTGCTCGCGTTCGTGTCAAAGCCACATACGATCAGCGCCGCACCGATGAATCCCGACCCGAGGTATCCGGCGGGTAGGGTGAGCCAGGGTATGCCTCCGGACATGCGGGTCTCGCCGCCTTCTCTCGCTGGAGCCGATGTCAGTCAATCGGCTTTTGGTCTGAGGGTAGAAGGCCACGCTCACGGTCAAGTTCGATAGAGTGTATGTGTGCACATGTCAGGACTGTATGCGGAGGCTCAGTCGCGGACCGTTGTGTTCAGCTAGTAGAAAACGTACCACCCATGAAGGCATGGCTCATCTGCACACACCCTCAGCATCAACCATGCCGATCAGGTTCGTAGACTCACCTCATGGAATCCGACAGTGAGCAACCTACCATCACGCCGTCAGTACTTTCGCGGCCGGTCGCAGAAGCTCGGCACTCACTTGAACGGATAAACTGAGCGGCGCGTTAAGGAAGTGTTCAGGATTCCCGCCATGCCCATATCACGCCCAACGGTACATAGCACTCACTTATAGCCGACAGATACGGGACATGCCTACGTCGCTCCGTTGAACGGCCTCTCGCGGGTTTTAGGACACAGTGAACTCACCACAAGATCCCAATGGCAATGATATAACACCCAGCCACAATGAGCGTTACTCGCTGCTCCGCACTCGGGGCCAACGAGTCCTGCACGGACCGCGCGGTGTGATAGAACGTATGGTCCACATCCTCCGGGACGTACGGCATCGTGAGGAGTCGTTACGGTCGTCCAAGGATGATCAATTGTACAAAGCAAAGAGGCGTTGAGTTCCGGAGAGCCGTAGGGTTGGTAGAAGCACGAAGGCAAGCAAGTCGCCTTCTCGGTCAGCTTATTAAAACGCCTACGTCGTGCAAGGGAAGCTGCACAGCCGGGAGCGCAGCAGGTATAAACGGGGACCGCAGGGATGAAGGAGCCTCCGGGAAGCAGTGCGAGCGCTGCGCATCCTCAGTCTGGTGCAGGCCAAGCAAAGTCGTGCTCGTCGTCGCATTCAACAACCCCAGATCGGTCTACTCGCCAAGCCACACCGTTGTGCACCGCGCTAACACCGCTGAGGACGAACCAAATCCACAGTCACACAGGGATTGCGTGAAACGAAACACAATAAGATAGAGTATTAACGCTAGGGTACAAGCTACGAGACGATGCAAGACATAACAGCCGAAAGACGTCCGGACAGAACACACAGCGATAGAGACAGGAGATACATACAACAGTGAGCGTAGGTGCGAACAAAATTACAGCTCGTCGTCGGTGATCTCCTCACCCCTCTTTTTCCGCGCCATGCGCTCCTTCTTGAGCTTCCGCGCCTCCGACGAAGTGATCTTCTTCGCTTTCTTGTTCTCGATCTTGTTGCCCATCGCGTCGTACTGGATTTCTTCCTCACCGTCCTTCTTGTCGATACGGGGCCCGGCGCCCTGGCCCTCAACCCAGTTGTGGCCGGAGGCCTCAAGGTGGCCGTCGCGCATGGCCCACACCTCCTTGCAGATCGACTCGGAGAAGTCGCGGTTGTGCGTGATCACGAGCACACCACCCTCGAACTCCTTGAGCGCCTTGATGAGCGCAGCGAGCGACTCACGGTCGAGGTAGTTCGTCGGCTCGTCCAGGCACATGACGTGCGGGCGGCGCCACGTCGCAGCACCGAGCACGACCTTGACCTTCTGACCGCCAGAGAGACCGCGCATCGAGTTGTGCGACACGAACTCGGCTTCGAGACCGAAGTCCGCGAAGTGCTTCTCGATCTCGCGACGGACGAGAGGACGGAGCATACCGAGGCGCTGCGCCTCACGAGTGTCGACCTCGAGGACCTTCTTCTCGAAGCCACGCTTGAGAAGCTCGTCACGCGCCATCCAGATGTTCTCCGACGAGGAGAGGCCCTTGAACGAGATCTCGTACTCGTACGACTGCTTCAGCTTCTTGCGCGCGACGATCTCGTCGATGAGGCGCTTCTGGCCCTCGACGACGACGACACCGCCCTCCTTCATCTTCAGCTGCTCCTCCTCGGTGATCTGACGGTTCGCCTTCATCATCTCCTCCAAGTCCTCACCGGTCTGGTAACGCCACAACATGTACTCGAGCGGGGTCTTGTCGAGGTGGTTATCGATATGGTGGAACGCGTGCTGCGCAACGTAACCGATGACCAAGTTCGGGTGCTTCCAGATCTCACCGCCCTTGTTTGGCTCCAGGTCGCCGATAAGCAACTTGACGAGCGTCGACTTGCCGGAACCGTTGGGACCGAGGACGGCGACACGGGAAGAGAGAGAGACTTGTAGAGTGATGTCGTAGAGCTGCTGCACGGGCTGCGTTGGGTACTGGTAGCCGACCTTGCGCATCTTGAGGAGCGACTTCTCCTTGGTCTTGACACCCTCAAGCAGAGGCGGGTCGGGGAGCTTGAACTGGTAGTCCTCCGCTGCCTCGAGCGTGTAGTACGAGCGCGCCTCAGGAACCTGCTTCATGAAGGCCTCAAGGTTGCCCCTGTACCTCCTGACCTTGAAGCGGTTAATGTGGAGGACATCGGTAATGGTGTTGTTGAGGAAGCCGGAGTCGTGCGAAACGATGATGGACGTGCAGGTCTTGAGGCCGATGAGGTAGTTCTCCAGCCATGCGACGTTGACGACATCCAAGTGGTTAGTCGGCTCATCCAGGAGCAGGATGTCAGCTTTGAATAGCATCGCACGCGCGAGAGCGAGCTTCATCTTCCAGCCACCAGACAGGCTACCAATGGCCTGCGCCTGCCTCTCGTCGCTGAAGCCGACGGACGCGAGCGTCTCGATGACCTCCTCCTTGCCAGCCTGGATACGCGTGTCGGCAAGGATGAAATCGAGGACAGCAGTATCGGCCTCGCTGCCGTCGATGTCGTGCTCGACATAGAAAGTGCGGACCTCGTCGGGCGAAGGGAAACCCTCAACTTGACTGTCAAGCGAGAGTGAGTACATCGTGTCATAGCATCGCAGCACAGTATGATAGCTTACCCGTTGGTGATGGCACGCATGAGGGTGGACTTGCCGGTACCGTTGCGACCACAGAGACCGTAGCGATGTCCACGCTTGAGACGGAGAGTCGCGGTGTTGAGTAGGATCTTAGCACCGTAGGCGAGCGAGAACTGGCAGTTGCACAAGTCCTCACCCTCCTCCTCGTCCTCGGGGACCTCGTTGTCCTCGTCCTCCAGCGACGCGGACTTGACGGCCCACTCGTTAACGACCGAGATGGGCTCGGGCGTTGTGGTGGCGAATGCAAGGTAAGGAGCAAGCGACTGCCACTCGGAAATGTCGAAGTTCTTCGCGTGGACGAGGTTGGCAGCGAGGTTGGCAGCGTACATGACATCGATGGAACCCGCGGACGGGGCGGCAGCGCCGGCCTTCTTGTAGATGCCGATGAGAGAGTGAGCGAGTTGCTTCTCGTCGGCTGTCTTCAACGGTGGGAGATCGGAGCCGTCGTTGTCATCGGGGATCTCACCGACCTGGCGAAGAGTAGCGATGGCACGGCCAACAACACTGCGGGCCTCAGGGTCACCGATGCTCGTCTCGACCTTGAGGAGACCGGGGAGCAGCTTCGGGATGAAGGGACGGACTGTCACAGCGGAGTCTACGAGCTTGGCCATGTTATCGACGATTCTGCGAATGTTATGAGCAACGAATAGATCACGATTGGATAATGTACACTTACACAGCGACCTTGCGCTTGGTAGCAGTAGGCTTTTCATTAAGACCACGTGAAAGCAGAGGGACCATGAGTGAAAGCGTAGCGGAGTCAACCTCCGAAACGAATGTCGTAGCCGAGAGGAGGTTAATGGTCTTGGGAACCTCCTCAACGGGGTTGATCAGAGCCTTGATTAGTGCGGGAATGAAGCGTTCTATGTCCTTGTTGGAAACGAGGGCCGTGGTCTTCTCGAGCGAATCCTTGGCAGCCTTCTTCACGTCAGCCTTGGTGTCCCAGATCGCCTCAGCGAGGATGGGGACGATCTCGGGGGTGAGACGGCCGGTCTGGAGAGAGGCGCTGACAACGAGCTGGTTGAGGATCGTGAGCGCGCCAGTCTTGATCTGCCACTTGCCGGCCGTCTTGATCTCGTGAAGAAGGGCAGGGAGCACGAGGGCCGTACCCCATGCGTTCATACCCGCGACGTACGCCTTAACAGCCTCGATGGCGGCCGTGCGCGCAGCGGGCGTCTTGTCGGCGAAGTTTTCGAGCAGAGCAGCATAGAGACCAGAGTCGATGAAGAGCGGCTCAAGGGCCTTCACAGCGTCGGACTTCGCGAGGGCGGCGACGGCGTTTGCCGCGCCCTCGCGCGCCGCGGGGGACTTCTTGTCAGTAAGTGCCTTGATAGCAGCGTCGGTGAAGCCGACGGACTGGAGGGCCGTGGGGCCATCCTTTTGGGCGAGTGCAACAAGTGTCGCGGCTGCAGACTCGCGGGACGCCTTGTCGGAGACGAAGAGACCGGAGACGTCAAACTGTCCGTCCGCAGGCGCGACGGCAGCCTTGAGGGAGGCAGCGGGGGTAGCGGGGGAAGCGTTGGCGGTAACGGCGGGCATTTCGTTAATCTGCATGACCGATGGGACCGTCAGACCTGGCCAGCGAACGCGCGCTGTGAACCGCGAGGCTTACCTCTAACGATAGTTTGATCGTGGTGCGTGAAGAATGCGATGGATCGCGAGAGGACCGTCAAGGACGAGAAACACTTGATTCTAGCTTGGCCGGAGCCTGTGCAATTACTGTGAGCAGGGCACGGACGACGGGCTGGAGGACGAGCAGCGCACCTTCTATATGACAAAAGAAAGAGGAAGCCGGAGAGTGAGGATAGAGTTCGCAGCTGATCAGCCCGTCTTTATATACCATGCCCTCTCTCTAAGCGGGGTCTGAAAAAAAGACGCGCCGGCGACACGTGCCGCTCGCCCAGCCACCGCGAGACACAGCCTGGAGAGATCGCGCGCTAGGCGCCGGTCGAGTTGGAGCCAGTCGCCTGCCACCATCGTCAGCTCACCTGTGCATGTTCGCAGCACCAGCGATCCAGATCAACCGATGCAATGCGGGGTAACACTGTCGCTACCCCACACGCCGCCAAAGTGCACTAGGAACGCGATATATTACCGCCATCCGCGACTGGAACTTAGCTACATGCCAGCTGCAACGCGACAAGCACTGCTCCGCCCCCTCATTCCTCCGTCAACTTCGCAAAGCTCAGCGGCGCGAATTGCTGGCGGCAGAAAGTAGAACGGGTTTATCAGTCAGCGTGGATCCGGCGTGCCCATCGATGGGCCGATACACGGGACGGAAGGCACTCACATATCCACCAGCCTCATAATGCTTACTGTTCGCTTCGACCCAGTGCAGACGCAAGGCGTGCAGGAAGGCAGACAGGCCCTGTGCGAGAGCAGTAGTGAGCAAAACAGGCAAGGCTGGGAAGCCGCTTCGGCTCCAGGCAGATCTCACGCACCTCCATGATACACAAGATGAACACTGTCAGGACGAACCAGAGTACCCCCATCAGCACGAGCGCGATCCATCCAAAGAGACCCGGCATGTGGAGCACCCCAGCAAGGGTCATGTTCCACAGCACCTCGGACAGCTGGGCATGCGCGAGAGAAAGAGCCCAGAGACGGAGATAGGACGCAGTGTGCGAGATACATCCGAGGCAGAACTCAATGGTGTGGATTACCTGGTGGATGACCACTTCGCCGAAATCGTGGTGTTCCTGTCAAATTAGGCAGTTCGAGCAACGCCCAATCGACAGATAGTCAAGCAGCACTCACGCCTTCCTCTTCGTTTGCTTCTGCGATGGCTCTGCCGTTTCCTTCCTCTTCACCCTCAAGCTCCGTATCGGATACTGCTCGGGCGCCCTCATCGTTGCCCAAGTTGATATAACCCTGATCGTGGATCTTCTTCATCTCCTTCCACTGCAAGTAGGGCTTGGTGACGAGTAGCCATGGCACACAGACGAAAGCAATTAGCAACAGGATCGTTTGGACCGTGCTCTGGCCACGATACAACTGCGTCCCGGGTTTGATATCGCCAGGCGAGAGGAACATCCCGATGAGCATGTTCAGAAGCGACGGCGGAGGCGTGGGCGAGTTCTCCCAGTTCACACACCACTTGTAGATGATGCACAAGACGAGATACCCGAAGATAGACTGCATGAAGAGCATCTGGGGAACAAAGTTCGTCCAGATTTCGACGCGACGGTTGAAACGAATGTGGTTCGGAACTTGCAGGCAGATGGCGAAGGTCATCTGAATAGATCGAATAGAGATTGTATCAGTGTTTGTCTTCTGCTGCAAGGCGTGCTATACACACATGGATCACACCCAGCACGATCGACATCTTCATCTTGTATGAATTCGTGAAGAGGAGAGCGTTCTCGGCTCCGTGCCAGCCAGGATCGATACCCATGGCATAGGTGTGGCCATTGGAGACTGCGGTGCCGTTGGCGTCGGCCGGCCAATCCCATCCCGAGTGGAAGACGTGTAGCGACTTGGAGAAGATATCGTTGTACAAGAAGCCGGTGTACATCGAGAACAGTCCCATGAGCAGGATGATGTACCGGCCGCTGCATTGTATTGTTAACATCAGCCCAGAGAAGGAGTAACAGTCCCGCTTACAAGAAGAACGTCCCGATAATCTGTAGATGACCAGGTTAATTGTTGCACCATCTACGTCGAGAACGACATACCTCTCCCAAATCCGCCTTCGCCAGCTTGCGCTCCGTGATGATCATCAACAGGGCCGCAAAAACCGTAATAGCCCCGTGACCAATGTCACCGAACATGACAGCGAACAAGAACGGGAAGGTGATCGTGGCGAAGAGACCCGGGTTAACCTCCTGATACGTCGCAATGCCGTAGGCGTCCATAATCGTCTGGAAGCCCTCGGTGAACTTATTCGTGCGGATGTACGTCGGTGGCGTCTTGTTCGTGCGAAGCTCGTGCAAGATTGGAGGCACATTGGTGCCCGCTTCCTCCTGCGAAGATGTCAATAGCCTACACAGGAAGACGGCGCCTCGGACTTACGGTCGCATGTCTCAACGCCAGCTGAATTTGAGGGATGTCCCTAGTAGGACACCAACCCTCGGCGATGAGCGTTTTCCTTCGCACGTCATAGTTCAGTAGGTTCAGTGTCTCATAGATCGCCTTCTCCTTCTTGACGACGTCCACCCAAGACGCAACATTCTCACCAATCTTGTCGAGCTCCGCCCTTCGGCTCGCCCCCGTGTTGTACAACACGACCTGGAGGTCCTCCAAGCGCGCCGTTACCTCACGCATGGAGTCTGCACGCTTGTCCGCGTTGGCGTCGATGGGGTAGAGTGTTGCGCCCATGGACTCGGCGACCTTGCGGATCTTGGCGAGGAGGGTGTCGCCGTGAGCGAAGATGATGAAGACGTTCTTGCGTGTCTCTTCGCCCGTGACGGGGTCGACAAAGGGCTCGGCGATGTCGGTGTGGTTCATGTAGAGGTTGCCACGCAGGACACGCCAGAGTACCCGCTCGAACGTCGGGAGGCGCGAACGTTCAATGGTACCGGCGACGAACTCGAGGTCGAACTGCATGTTAGACGAGTATTGCTGCTCACGGTCCTCATGCTGGAGCAGGGGAGCAGAGCTATCGTCCAGAGAGGACCGTCCGTTCGACTCGTAGTTCACAGCCTGCATGAGGGTGTAAATGGCAGCTCAGCAAGGCTGGGATGAGACCGACCTTCTCGAAGAAGACAGCAGTCTCCCGTAGAACATGACGAGCCTCTACAAGCTCCTTCGTGCGTTCGCTGAGGAGCTGGTAGCTGTCGTTCATCTGGATTAGGCGCGCCTCGTGCTCCATCAACTTCGTGTCCAGCTCGTCCATCGTCTGCGCAGCACGCGGGCCGACAGTCAAGAGGGGCGCAGAGTCGTACAGCGGGCGAATTTGGATCTTCTCCTTCTCCTTCTCGATCTGAGACTGGAAAAAGCGTACACGGCGGGCCATCTCGTCGACCCGGCGGATCTCGCCCACGAAGGAGCGTTGGAATGGATTGACATTAGGGTTGAGCTGGCACGCCTGTCAGCGGGATGACGAGTGTTTCAATCACCGAATGGAACTCACGTCTTTGAACTGGACGTTTCCAAGTTCACCCAGTTCGGCAACGGTGTCGTGGGCGACTTCAGTTGGCACGATGAGCTGTACCAAGCTCATCGGCTCAGAGCCTGTAACGCTCTTCAGTCTTCCCAACTGTGGCCTCCATACACATATTATACTCACGAAAGGGAGACGGGTAGTCGTCCGCCATCTCGCCCAAAGCTTGTCCTGCTGGGCCCTAAGAGTGATGAAGGTGTAGGGGTCGTTGTGAGTTGTGACGAGTGTCGTCGGCAGCTAAGTACAGTCTGATGGGCGCTCAGCATATAAATGACATAAGCATGTCAAACTACAGAATTGAAATAGAATGCTATCCAATTATCGGAGTTTAAACACCGATCAGAGGATTCCTAGAGCATTGCAGCCGCAATTGGGATGGTTTCGTTTACATTTGCATGCATCATAACATTAAAGATACTGCGTTGCATCATATCCCTTTGAGGAAATTTATGATAACATGTAGCGTGACGCGCGTGTCGTCTGGTCACAGCGTCTCACCGCGTCTCACTGCGTGAGTGGGTCGCTATCCTCGTCCTCGACGAGCCTTCATCTCTGTCGACCCAGACAGCGACGATGTCGAGGTCGTCGCACCGCACGTACCCAATATCACCGTCTGTCGACCACAGCTATGCTGTCTCGCCCACCGCGAGCACGTTCTACACGTCCAGGTCCACCTACCCCAACTTCCTCTCGCTGCAGGACACCGTCCGCGTGCAGCTCTCGTGCGCATGGCGGGGGCTCGTCGATGCCTCCCGCTGGGACACCGTCATTCGGCTCATCGCGAGGTGCGCAGCGCGACACTGTCCGGCTCGTAGCCGCGGCCGCTGACCTCGCCCGCAGCGACTCCGAGATCCGGGGGAACGTGCTCAAGTCCCTGCTCCTGAACACGCTCTCGCTCGCGTCGATATACCTGTTCGACCTCCTCCTGTTTCCGCTCGCTCAGGGCGAGCACTATTGGCTGCACCGCAACGTCGGCTGGGCGTACCAGGTGCTCTGGCTCCTCCCGGTCGTCGGCATCTCCCTCTATCTCAATGTAAGTCCCGCGCGCATGCCGCAGTGCGGGCTGCACTGAGTGGGCGCTGACCCCGACGCGCAGAGGAACTGGTGCGGCCTGATCGCGAAGCGCACCTTCACATTGCAGCACGGCCCCCGCGCAGGCGCCGCGCCGCCCTCGACGTACACGGGCGTCCTCAACTCCGTCGCGACCTCCGCGTACGGCGGGATCATGGTCGCGACGTCGCTCGTGCTCTCCCTCGCGCTCGCGCGCGTGCCTGTGGTCGGCCCGTTTGCGGGCTTCGCGTTTTTCTGCTGGGTCGACGCGTGAGTGCGTGTTTCTGCGAGAGTATCGGTGAGAGCTTGGCTGATGGTGCTGTAGATATTATTGCTTTGAGTGAGTGGTGAGTGCGCGCGTTCGCCGGGTGCTCATGTCTTGCATAGGCATGTGTGGATTACAAGGGGACTCTCGCTGTCGAGAAGGGTGAGACACCTAGAGGAGCGTTGGGCATACTATTGGGCCTTTGGTGCGTCTTCGTGGCTGAGCCGGTTCCCGGTCGATTGTTAAAGACTAGATGCATTAGGCCTCCCCTCAACGGCCCTATGCATGTGGGGCAGCAGCCTCGCGAACGCGGCGCTGTTCGCGCTTGTCTTCCCTGCAGTACGTGCATGCTATCGCGTCGACACATCAGCTGAACGTGAACAATGTCTCACAGTACATCATCATGGCTATGCATGCCCGCCCTGCGCCGCTGGATCCCTTCAATCCAGCCGTCTCCGTTCCCTCTGGCGCGTCGTCTAGCAGTACACTCGAGGACATCCGACATCCCCACCCATTCGTGCCCATCCGACTGCCCATATTTGCTCTCGTCTTATGGCTGAACGACTGGGTTGTCCGGCTACTTAGCCTAGGCGGCGGCCGCGGGGCAAGCAAGCTGCCGGGGGTACCGAGCAGCGCAAGTCGGGGTCATCGCAGAATGTTCAGCGAGGCGGTGGATAGCATGGAGGAAGGCGACTTTGTAGAGCTGAGCCCGGTGACTGCGCCAAGCCCGCAGATGCGCTTGCCGCCGAGTGGGTCTGCTGCGAGGATGAGGATGAGTGGGAGTGTGAGTATGGGCAGCGTGGGCTCGTCTCCTCGACGGAAGCGAGACTGAGATTGTTAGACTGGGCTTGCTGCGTTCGGGCATGTCAATGTACATCTTGTAACCCTCATACATCACGCATATGCATCGCACGCTTTCTCATGAGGATGTTCACTTGTGTTCGATTGATGTGCATCAGCCGAAGCCGGCCCATTCGATGGAGAAGTACGATACTTCCTGTTTTTCGTCGTCCCATCCGCAGAACAGGTGCGCCTTCTTCGTCGCTGTGCCGAGTCGTCCGTGTGCGACGATCTCCATCGGCTTGATCGTCGATAGTGGCGAGCTGACAACGGTGGCGACAAAGTGTGAGTGGTAGCGCATAGGGTCGCCTGTATGCATGTCAGCCTAGTGGAACTCCAGAGAGTGGGCGCCGCAGTGCATACCGGGGTACACCAGAAAGTCGCCACCAAACCTGACGCCCCCGCCCATGAAGTTGCCTTTCTCCCAGAGGTCCCTGAACACACGACATTTTGCTCGCTCGTGCAGGTCGGCAGGGTAAGTCCATATCCCCGCAGCCTGTGCGTCTGCGACCGTCTCGTACGTGCACCCTTGCGAGTCGTACCATGACAGGTCGGAGGAGCTTCCGGGGAGTGTGACCGTGAACGCCGAGGCAGTCTGCGCACTTGGTGTGGGTGTTGAAGGCCGTTGTGCGACGGGTGCCGTAGGTATGGCGATGGACCCGGAGCCTGAGGCCTCGGGAGCAGCGACATCCTCGCCTTCCGCAAGAGCTTTCGCACGTGCAGCCGCCGCCCTCTTCTCCTCACGCTCTTGCCGCTTGCGCAGAGCCTCCTCCGACATGGACAGCTTCGCCGCCTTCTCTGAGGTTTCCTTGGCTTCCGCAAGGACGAGCTGTTGATTCGCGGTAGCGGCTCGTTCTGCGTCCCATGCCTTCAAGGCGTCGGCGGAGGGCGTCCGATGTGCTGTGGGGTCGTCCACGAGAACAGCGAGGTCTAGGGAGGGGTGCCTTGGTGAAGTCTAGCCAGGTGTGGGGAGAAGCGGATATTGGTTGCTTACGTTTGTCGACGAGGAGGACGACCTCCTCCGGAATGAGTAGGAGGGGAGGGCCGAGGAAGACATTTTGCTGGGAGAGGTGAGGCAATGTCCCAGTCAGGACGCCGCAAATGTGGTGTTCTGCACGCAAGGCAGCGATGTCTGGGATGAGGCTCAGCCATAGTCGTCTCACACAGATATCCGCTTGGTCATACCGTCAATGTCCCAGACATATGCTTTGTTATTGGAGACACGGAGAGGGATTTTGCGTCCACCCGAGCTCATAGTGGTAAAGGAGATCCCCGCGTCCTCGGAGTCTGCCTACGAATCCTCCGAGTCGATCGCGTCTGTTATGCAGGCACGTGTCAGAACGTCACAATAGCGAGCCCCGTCACGTCTGTGACAGACGCTGCAGTGCCCGAGCAGGCTAAGTAGGTCGCGCATAGAATTCTCTTCGTCCTGATCTCTACACTCATGCTTTGCGCTTTACGCTCGCAGTCGCACGCATTCTCAATCGGATGACTCTGCTACCGATGAGCTCGACGTCGTACTGCGTAACCAGCGTGATCGATTTCCCAGAGCGGCCTGCTCGAGCGGGGACCGTGAAGCGTATTCGTCAATGCGGACGACCGTCCGGTCTCTACCCGGGTTTCTCTCGTACGAAGCCAATTCCAAAACCCTGCTTTGCGCTAGATTGAGATGTGACGACCAGAAGAGGGGGCGCCTCCTCCAGAGTCGATACATTCTCGCAGCGACGATGCGGCGCGACGCAATGCAGCGGGGCTGTAGGGCTTCTCAATGTCAAGACAATTGCTCTTCTGCATACATTTGGCCGGAGGAAGTCCATCTGCGAACGCTACCAGAATGGTTTGAGGCCGCAAGCGCCTCCGTGAGGCCCATCTGACAGAAACCCACGCTGTCCCGATGCGCGGTAGTCACCAGGAGGAAGGTTCGACTGGAGCAGACCAGATTCAGGCTGGCCTGGTGCTCGTGCCGCAGTGCGTGTGTTGTGGCCGACTGTAGGTGGGTTGCAGAGGCTGGGCTGGGCGGCGAGGGCTCTGCGCGGCGGAGGGCAGCGTGGACGAGGCCGCGAGCGGTGTGCAGGCGTGTGTTGGGCGACGGGAGGGACGGCGGAGACGCGTCTGGGTGGGCGTGGAGTGCCCTGCCACTGTGGTGTGACGTAACAGTCCCGTCCCTGCGCCGATCGCACAGGCGCGCTGCGTGCGCTCATAAAGTGCTCGCTCTCCGCTCTCAGCCACCCATCCGCCATATAACACGCTGCCTCCCCGTCTCATCGCGCTCTCCCTCGTTCGTCGCATCATGGCACCTCCCCATACCTTTCAGTCAAAGCCCTCCGCAGCCGTGAGGCGCAGGCTGTCCAGCGTCGCCTCGTCGAAGCGTCCCAATGTACCCGGCTATGCCAGTCTGCAGGTCAGTTCCCGCCTTGTGAACTGCAATTCCGCTCCCTCATCTATCCCGTCTAGCCCATGTGGGCCGGTATCGCAGGAACCGTGGTCAACAACAACACGCAGTTCGAGGTCGCAATGTCCATCCACGACTCCGTTTACTGCACAGACTTCGCGTCGTCCGTCGTGCCGTACGACGCAACCAACCCTGAGAAACAGGCAACAGCCATTGAGCAGCACGTCCTTGAGATCCTCCGCAAATTCTCCACGGAACACCTCTGCAAGTTTCTGGGAGCGGGTGTGACCTTGAGTCTCCTCCGCGAGGTGGGTAGTCATCGCGCGAACGTCATTTGCGAATGGGACGCACCAGTCTAACGGCCGCTGACAGGCACCCAATTTGTGCACCCGCTTGTGGCTGGATCTGGACGTGGTTCCAATCGTCTTCAACATCAAGCCCTACCACACTGACTCTGTCACTCGCCCGAACATCAAGCACCGCATCTCCTCTACCACGGGCTCCTATGTCCCTTCCGGCGCGGACACGCCGACGGTCTACTACGACCCTGCACAGCTGCAGGATACCTCCAAGCTCGGCCCCAATGCGCAGACCAAGCTGCCGATGCCGCGCACAGTCGATGAGCAGGCCGACTCCGCCGCGCGCAAATGCATCATGTTCTTCGGGCCCAACAACAACCCGCGCCTGAGCATCGGCCCGCGCAACCAAGTCGCGGTCGACGCGGGAGGTAAGATCCACCTCGTCGACGACCTCGATGAGTACCGCAAGACGGTCGGCAAGGGCACGTGGAACGCGGTCATCAAGCTCGCGGACGAACTGCGCGAGAAGAAGATCAAGTTTGGGTTCTTTTCGTCTACCCCGCAGGGCGGTGAGTACCAGCGCGGCATTACCCCGCGTTTCCCCATAGATCCCTTTCATGAGCGGAGATTGATCGTTGCGCGTTTCTTTTCTATGCGTGTTCGCCCTTCTCGTGAACTCTACCACATGGGCTGAATTGACTTGACGACGCGCTCTCGGCTTCCCAGGAGGAGTCGCTCTCGTGAGTAGAGTTCATTTCCGCTTGGGCTTGTCCCTCGGCGCGAGAATACTAGGACGAGCACTGACAGCTCTTCTCGTGCCCCTGTAGATGCGTCACGCGCTCGTGCGGTTCTTCAGTGCATTGGACGTCGATGCTGCTTGGTACGTAACTTGCTCTCCTGTGCCTTCTTCCCTGGCGGCTGCCCCGTCAGTCCGGGCTCCATCTGACCCTTCGGACCTTGTCACGTACAGGTATGTTCCGAACCCGTCGCCGGCTGTCTTCCGGACGACGAAGAACAACCACAACATCCTGCAAGGCGTCGCGGACCCCAGCCTACGTCTCACTAAGGAACAGCAGGAACAGTTCGACCAGTGGATCCTCAAGAACGGCCTCCGATGGACCGCGGAGGGTGGGCCCCTCGCCAAGGGCGGCGTCGACATCGCCTTCATCGGTGTGTGCTTTCTCCGCCCGCACCAAGTCTTCTACAGGCCTAACTCCAGCCGCTGCTGTACAGATGACCCCCAGATGCCCGGCCTGATCCCGCTGATCAAGCGCGTGCGCCCGGACATGCCTATCATCTACCGCTCGCACATCGAGATCCGGAGTGACCTCGTCAGCGTGGAGGGCTCGCCGCAGCAGGAGGTTTGGAAGTACCTCTGGAACAACATCCAGCATGCGGACCTGTTCATCAGCCACCCCGTCAACAAGTTCGTGCCGAGCGATGTGCCCCCAGAGAAGCTCATGCTCCTGGGTGCAGCCACTGACTGGTCAGCGCTTTCCGTTGCTCAATTCATCGCGAGTAGCAGTCATGCTGAGACTTGCTCGTAGGCTCGATGGCCTGAACAAGCACCTCGACGCCTGGGACTCGCAATACTACATGGGCGAGTTCCGCTCGCTCTGCGCGAGGGAGAAGATGCACGAGCTGGCGTGGCCCGCACGCGAGTACATCGTCCAGATCGCGCGCTTCGACCCGGCCAAGGGCATCCCGAACGTCATCGACTCGTACGCGCGCTTCCGCCGCATGGCGCAGGGCACGGTCCCCGAGGACGAGATCCCGCAGCTGCTCCTCTGCGGGCACGGCGCCGTAGACGACCCGGATGCGAGCATCATCTATGACCAGATCATCAACTTGATCCAGAGCAAGTACAACGAGTATGTCAAGGACATCGTGGTCATGCGGTGCCCGCCCAGCGATCAGCGTGAGTCTCGCGCGTGCGGTGGTGGCGAACGGCTCTCCTGACGCGTCTCCTACTAATACTGTAGTGCTCAACGCGCTGATGGACAACTCCCGCTTCGCCCTCCAGCTCTCGACGCGCGAGGGCTTCGAGGTGAAGGCGTCCGAGGCGCTGCACGCCGGCAAGCCCGTGATCGCGTCGCGCACGGGCGGGATCCCGCTGCAGATCGTCCACGGGAAGAGCGGGTTCCTGACGGAGCCGGGCGACAACGAGGCGGTCGCGCAGCACATGTTCGCGCTCGCGACGGACGACGAGCTCTACGCGACGATGGCGCAGTACGCGCGGACGCACGTCTCGGACGAGGTCGGCACGGTGGGCAACGCCGCGGCGTGGATGTACCTCGCGGTCATGTACTGCAGCCGCGGCGTGAAGCTCCAGCCTAGGGGTGCGTGGATCAATGACCTCATGCGCGAGGAGACCGGCGAGCCGTACTTGCCTGACGAGCCGCGGCTGCCTCGCGGGGACTTGCACGTTCAGGCTTGAGCGTGAGCTTGAAGCTCGCACCGGAGTCGGTGGGGTTGGATCGGTCGTGAGGTGTTCTTGGATGGACCTTGTTGTACAACAGTGACTCGTAATGACTGGCCAAGCACTGCTCCCTGTATACCGCGTGAAACGTAGAAAAGCTGTAGAAGTAGATCGTCGTCGCTCTCCATTGAAATTAAATCGAATTATACACCACTTGTTTAAAACTGTTAAGATGCGAACTGCAACTTGCTGCCTTGTCGAGGATCCCGTATGATCGAGGAAAATCGATCTTGCAATGGAGCCTGAGGATGCTCCCTATTCCCTGGCCCGGGTAATCGGTGGTTGTAGGCAAAAGTTTAACGGATCTCGTTACGGATGCAGAGAGGGATTGCATACTTGACTGACAGATGCGTGCTGGGTCTACGGCGTTCATTCTCAGGTAGAGTGGACGATAGTTGACACCGCCACTCATCCACGCTGCCGCACTTCGACGACATCAAGAGCAAATCCGACCAGGAGCCCTGATCGAGGATAAACACGCCAGAACTGCATTAGCCGGTAGCGATCTCTCACGACAACAGCGGTGGACCGACTACCCAAGAAGTACTGACAGGTGTAGGCATGTCCGACCTCTGTAGATACCAATAAATGATCAATCTGCAAAGGGTGGAGCGGAGACGGATATGTATAGCTTGTCCATGGGACGGAGTGCATAATGTCAATGAGAGTCCAAGAACAAGGCACAAGGAGGTACGAGAGCCGACCTAGAGAACAACGTCGACACAGCGAAGATGTGTATGACGATAGATACATCAAAGATGGGAACGGGAGCTAGACGAGAGGATGGAGATCAAAGAGGAGACGAGTAGGATGATGCAGATGGAACCTGGCAGGAGACTGCCTCTTACTGTATGTTTACAATGCGAAGATATGTGAGGAAACCATAGCTACACAGCTAGCACCCGAGCATATCAAGCGCGACGGGGAAGCCAATGCGAAGGTTGGTGACGATGCAAGTGGCAGATGGACGGCCAGCGAAATGGCAGACGCCAGACCGCGGATGAGATGGTGGAGATGAGGAGAGGAACGCGGTGTGGATTTTCGTGTTTTCGGGGTCGAGAGACGTTGAGAGGGCCGGCAGTGAGAGGCGGCGGCTTGAGGAGAGCGATCGGCATAACGAGCGTATTCGGCGAAAGACGTACTGCCATGAGAGCATGAGAGGTCTTGGTGCATAGCGTGTAGGGAATTTGATCGTTCGTTGGAGGTTTACGTGGGCTTCGGTCTTCAGATCATGACAGGCGACATAGGGGTACAACACAGGCGACGGCGGCATGAGGGCAAGAACAACGGTCAGGAAGCGAAAGGAAGTTGGAAGGTGTAAGAGTGAGTCGATTGAGCGCGACCCAGTTCAGTAGGCCACAGGGATGCGGACGACGCCGTCGTAGGTCTCGGTCCTCCCGAGCCGACCGACCTTCTTGGTCTTGTACGTGACCGTCTTGGTCGGAGGCGGGCAGGGGCTGTCACCAATGTCGGTGTCGTCACCGTCGCTCTCGTGGTCCTGGCTTCCGCCCTCAGCGAGCATCTGCAAGGCGGAGTTGCCCATGCCTCCGCGGCGACCACGCGCCGCGTTCGCGGCAGCAAACATGTGGGTCGGGCCGCCGCTGGGCGCGGTGTTCCTCTTCGACTGCTGGGACAGAGCCGAGACTGTCTTGCCCTCGCCAAACGCGTACGACTTGGTCCTTCCGAACTTGCCCTTACGGAACTGGTCTAGGTCCTCCTTGCGGGACTGAGCGTAGTGGGGGTCATCCATCCTCACGTAGCCGCACGGCTGGCAGCGAAGCGCCGAGTCCTGGTAGTACTGGCTAAACCCGCCCTCGAGGATGTACACCTCAGGGTAGTGAATCTTGGGGTAGACATGGTTGTTCAACGCGCGGTCCTTGGAACGAAGATGCTTAGCACTGTAAAGTGGCGTGTCAGAGTTAACATGTGATTCTATCTAGGAAGGCAAGCCACTCACAAAGTAGGCGCTCTCTTAACACTAAACTCACAGTGGAAAACAAGGATCGTCTTCTTGCCCTCGTCGCCGCTAGTGGAAGGGATTGGCCGGGTCGAACCGGCGCCGAGCAGGAACTCCTCGACGCCCGCGGTGGTGTTGATGTTGACGGCACCAGGAATGTGCCCGCCGTTGTATTCGTAGTCGAAGCGGCAGTCGATTATGTGGTAAGTGGTCAGTCGCGGGTCGTATTTACCATCGAGAAGATCATTCATCTGTGGCACGATCGATCAGCGATCCCGTCACGGCTGAAGAAATGTGAAGTGGCTCACCGTCTTACTAGTAATGCGCATCAACCCGTCCTCCCGGACGCGGTGGCAGGGCAGAATCTTCCCGTGCGTTTCATTGTCTCCAAAGCCACTCAGGCCATTCAAGTACTTGCTGCGTGGCGTATCCCTCTCAGCGGGTTCATGCACCACCCGGTCCTCGCGGGCCTCAGTCCTTCTGAGGCCTTTCATCATGACCTCGGTGTCGCGACGCACCATCGACGTCGCACCCGTGTTCGAGCGGAAGTCCTCCGTGCCATCGCAACGACGGATGGTCTTGACCTGCTGGCGCTTCGCGTACGCCTGCGCAGGGGAGCTCATGTCGGCAGAGCTGTCGAACGACTGGCCGTCCTCGGAGGACATCGACTGCTCCATCATCGACGGGGGGAGCATCGCCGAGAACGCGCGGCGGACAGGCGGGAGGACGTGCCTCGGCAGGCTGGGCGCAGGTCCATCGCTCTCCTTCTCTCCCAACGGGACTGCCGAACGAGGGCCCGCGACGGTGCCGTCGCCAGGCGAGATCATCGCGCTGAGGGCGGGGCGCCTCGGCCGCTTCTTGTTGGTGTTCAGCTCGAGGGGTGCGCCAAGGCCACCCAACATAGGCTTCCTGAGGATCTGGGCGCTCGGCATGCGGTTGAGTTTGTGCACCATGGGGGACGACGGCGCGGGCGACGAGTCGAGGGCGGCCTCCTGCTCGAGGATGCTCTGGTGCGCAAGACGCGCAGCACTGCGCATCGGCGAGGACGAGCGACGCTTCTTGGGGAAGGGCTGGCAAGGGCTCTCGACAGGCTCCCCAGGGGAGGTGCCACTCGGCGGTGCAAAGCCATCGAAGTTGACCGCGGCCACATGCGAGAAGTAGTCCTCAAAAGTCGTGATCGTCGGTGCAGCGGACGTCGGCCCCGCGAGCGGGTTGTTGTTGACGTCGAACGCGGTGATCGTCGGCACGGCGGAACGCGGGCAGTCGCTGGGCACCGACGGCGACGGGACGTAGATGAATGACGAATCGACGTCCATCGCGTCGGACGCCGCGGGGGACGATGGAATGTTCTGAGGCTGACAAGAAGCAAAGCGTTAGCCAGGTTTGACTCCATGAGTTGCAATCGCGCCTGGACACGAGTGGCTCACTGGCCTGAAACTGAACACTGACCTCCGGCGCGACATTCGCGTTTTGACTGCTCGTGGCCATCCACTCGAACGGAAGAGCAGCTCGTTGGAGACGTTTGGCCGCGTTGTTAGTCCCAGTGGACTTGGCCACAGACTGCAGGCTGCTGACGGAACCGTTGCCGCTGGAGTTGTTGCTCACATCCCTACCGAAAAGCCTGGCGTTGGTCGTCATCGCGCGCGGACGACCGACGAAGGCACGCGTCTTCTCGACGGACTCGTTGTGGCTCCTGGTGCTTGGAGCTTGCATGCGCGTCGGGGGCGCGGGAGAAATGTCCATGGGCGCATAGTCCGGGTTCTCGCGCTCGCTCTCCAGGTCGAGGTCGAGGTGGTCGCGCGGCGGCGAATTGAGCGACATGGTAGAGGCGAAGGAAAGCTCGAGGTCGTCGGCCTCGGAGGAGAGGAACTCCTCCATTTCGACGCGTGTGGCCGGCTTCATCAGCCTCTGGCTCACCTTGCGAGATGGCGCGGGCGGTACATCGAGGAAGTGCTTGTTCGTGGCCGAAGGATTCGTGAAGCCAAAGAATGACATCTTTTCGATGCCAAAACGGAATGCAGTGCGTTTGGTGTTTTTGATCGTATACGGTGCTGGTACCTCTGTTCGGCGGGACGACTTCAGTATGCTTGGTATGCGCATGGCGGAGAGACTAAGGGATACAGCGACGGATAGTGATACACGACGGGGATAGTGATGTACAGCGAAGAACCGGGGAGACAATGTATGCCACAGAGAAATACAGGGAATGTCACCGGAGGGGGTGACAAGTGGGGAGAAAGCAGGACGGAAGAGGCAAAGATATAAGAACACGAACCAAACAGTGTGGCCCCCAACAGAGGTCGTGGCCCGGACGAATTGGTGGTTTAAGTATAGCCGGCTAAGGAATAGACGAGGTCAGCGAAATGAGCAGAAATGGATATTGGACCAAAACGTTGGAATTGTGACTGATCGGGCCCAGTGCATTGTGCATTGTCCTCGGGGCGTGACGTCTGGGTGGCCACTGGCGGGTGTGGCTCCCAATCCGGCTAGCCATCGGCTTTGACCACAGCCTAGCCACGTCGAAGCGTATGGAATAGACCGATTTGGACGAGATAGTGGCATGTGGATGTCTTTGGGGCGAAACCAAGCGGAGAGAGCTGCGACTTGCCTTGTACGTTGAACGAATGTGTGTACGGAGGAGGCCGCGCCTGTCAGGGGAGAAACGGGGTGGTAAGGACCTGCTGGTGCACAGAATGGTAGAGCAGCGAGCCAAGGGGCGTGCTGGCGTTCTTACGCGAAACGAACCAACGAAATAGGCAAACAGCGCAAACCACTTTGTGTACGTCTGTGGGTCCGCACCGGGTGCCCAAATAAGCGTCTGGCGGCAATCCTGAGCAGCGCTGGCTACACTCACGAAGGAAAGGGGTATGGGGCGTCGCCGGAATGTACAGACCTGGTGTGTCGTCGTGTGTGTCTCGGTTGGAGAGCAACACGCCCACACTCCCGCCCCTCTTATTTGTGCTTTGTTTGGTCCATGTTCGTTTTGGACGCGCCCCATATAGCCGCCCGTCTCTCGCCAAAGGTCATGTGACCGCGACTCGGCAGCGCGGTCCGACCCTGACACACTCCAGCCTCTAGGTATGCCTCCGAGTCCTTGCGCTCGTCTCTGCTATGTATGTCTTGCACCAGTCTGCTATGTTCGACGAACCGCATATCTCACATGAAAGGACCGTATTTCTGCACGTCGATTCTGCCCGCCAAGGGTAGCGACAGCGTACCGACGCCCGGCTTGACTTCAGCTGTGATATCATTCTAGGTACCGGACTCTACAGCCACAACCTCATGCACATGCCGTGGTGCTGCTGCGACCGTTAGCACAGGCACAAGCCGTTCAAAGTGGTACTGGCAATGGAGTTGCCGTGCGTCATTCATCATGCTGAACTGGCCAATTGTCTGACATGGCCGACCTCTGGCGTCAGCTCGACCACTTCGAGCTGTCGCGCGCAGCAAAGCATCGATGCGCACAGGGGCTAAGCCCAGGCTCGTGCTCCAGAAGGCAATTTCGCGCTTGTAGGGCGCTCTGCCAGACCATTGCGATGGAAACCGACGGAATACAAGAGCCTCGAAGAGACAAGAATTGCCAAATCGCCGCTTCTGCGCGGCGGAAGAGTCCCCTGTCGCGGTCCTGTAACCACCTCGTGTTCAATATATACCTGAACCGGATGAGATGACCCCTTACTACCCGTGAGCGTGAGGCTATGCATGACAGAGCCGCAGTGCTATAAATGCGAAGTCGGACGCGTTCAGGCAAGTCCCCGTTGCTTCCTTGGCGTCTTCAGCGTTCAGCTACAGCAAGTCAGTGTCCGACCGCCCGTTCGTCTGCAGCACAAATGCTAAGTACTGCCACAACTAGCAAGAGTAAGGATGATTGCGAAACTTTACACTTGCCAAGACTGAGACTCAGAGGCCTACAAACGACATAGACGATATGGATTTAAGTTATGAAGAACCCAATCCTTGACTCGTGCTAGTAGTCCGTGCAGCGGCCGCTGTTTGCTTACTCTTTCTCCCTGCTGCCCTGCCTGCTCCAGTATTGCCGCCTGCAGCCGCCACCGTAGACTGCACCCGCTTGCCATGACTTCGCGCCTTGCTCCTCCCGCTGCCCTCGTCCACGCCGTCGCCGATCGTGATGACGACACTCACAGTCGACTTTCCTCGAACCTGATACGTGATGTCCTCGTCCTCGTCGTCAGGAATAACTTCGTCCTGCACTTGCACTGTCCCCGTCTGCACTTCCCTACGAATCTCATCTGGCGCGTGAGGTAGGATGCCAGGCAGTGACAGCGTGAGTTGCATGAGTTGCGGGATGGCCGCACCCATGGCGCTCAGATGTAGTGTCTTATACCTACAAACGTTACACGTCGCGTTGAGAGCCGGGACGCGTCTGAGCTGAGTGGATGTGGCTCACCCGTCTTTCATGATGACATCCTTACACCGCCGCAGATACGCGCCAAGTTGCGTCTTACGCGTGATGCAAATGTAGTTCTTGCCCTCCGTGTGGGCCGAACGGGGTCCCGTCGCAGAGACCGAGGCTGGGACTGTAGGGAATGGACGCGGTGGGTCGAGTTTGCGGATGGTATGCCGAGGTTTAGAAGGACCAGCGACCGCGTTCCCGCCACTCTTCTCCGGCCTCCGCGCCTCCTGGACGTCCTGCTGGGCGGCCGCTGTTGGTGCCACCTCTTGCTGAGCCTGCGCATCGGTGGGTGCCTCTGCGCTCGGTAGTCTGTGAGTGGCACTGTCCGTCATGGTAGCGTGTGCGGAGTTGGTCCTGGGGCGTTTGTTAGGCCCCTCGTCTGGTGCAGAGTCAATGGTGCGTTTTCGAGTAGATGTCATTGAGTGCGAGCGTGCCCGGCCTCGAGGCTCGAGGAGCCAACGAGGAACTGGGGAAGTGCAGCGATGGCCGGTGATAAGGTAAAGCTATATCGGACCAATCTAAATGAAGGTGGTCGGTTAACTCACTAGATTACTATGTTACATTCTCAATAACCTAGTGCAGAATGATCGATATAGAAACTCCGTCAAATTGTGTTTTATCGGTAACTTGCGGTGTGCGATCGCTAAAATTTGGACCCCCGGCTGTCCACCCTCCTGGCCTCTCCCCCGTCTCGTCCCTCCTCCTTCGCCCGGTGTACCATAGCCCATTGACGGCGAACAACTAGAGCACGCCAAAATGAGTCAGGATCCAGCAGAGCAGAATATCCACATGTGGAAAATCAAGAAGCTCATCAAGAGCCTTGATGCCGCTAGAGGGTGAGCACGGACTCGTTCACTTTTGCGAGGACGATGCTCATCTGCAATACAGAGCTGGTACCTCTATGATCAGTCTGATCGTCCCACCAAAGGTGTGTGCGAGTACTCTGTACGTCTTTGCGATTCGCTGATTGAGTACCCGTAGGACCAAATCTCCCGTGTATCGGCGATGTTGACGCAGGAATACGGTACCGCCTCGAACATCAAGTCGCGAGTCAACAGATTATCTGTGCTTGCAGCCATCACGAGTACCCAGCAGCGTCTCAAGCTGTACAACCGAGTACCTCCAAATGGTCTCGTGCTCTTCGTTGGCACCATTCTGACGGACGAGGGAAAGGAGAAGAAAGTGTCCTTTGACTTTGAGCCTCACAAGCCCATCAACACGTACGTCGAGCTTTTAGTCATTTATGGTTGTTTGTGACCTCCCCCTCTACCAGATCGCTCTACCTTTGTGACAACAAGTTCCACACCGAGGCCCTCCAGGAGCTGCTTGAGTCCGACTCAAAATTCGGTTTCATCGTCATGGACGGAAACGGCACGCTCTTCGGCACTGTGGCGGGCAACACTCGCGAGGTCATCCACAAGTTCACCGTCGACCTCCCAAAGAAGCACGGCCGTGGTGGACAGTCCGCGCTGCGTTTCGCGCGTCTGCGTGATGAGAAGCGGCACAACTACGTCCGCAAGGTCGCCGAGCACGCCGTGCAGCACTTCATCACCAACGACAAGGTCAACGTGACCGGCCTCGTCCTCGCGGGAAGCGCGGACTTCAAGACGGAGCTCAGCCTGAGTGACATGTTCGACCCGCGGTTGGCATCGAAGGTCATCAAGGTTGTCGATGTCAGCTACGGTGGTGAGAACGGGTTCAACCAGGTAATCCACCTGCGTCCATCTACCTGAAGCACCGGCGCTGATCGATCGTGATAGGCTATCGAACTTGCTGCCGAGTCCCTTGCGAACGTCAAGTTCGTACAGGAGAAGAGGCTTATCCAGAAATACTTCGATGAGATTAGCCAGGACACGGGCAAGTACTGCTTCGGTGTAGATGACACGCTCAAGGCCCTCGATCTCGGCGCCGTCGAGACCCTCATCGTCTGGGAGAACCTGGACATTACTCGCTACGTCCTCCGAAACGCCGCTGGTGGTGCGTGCGATTGCATATCCGTTGCGTCACCTTCTCACCCGCAGTGTACACAGAGGAGATCATCGTCCACGCGAACAAGGAGCAAGAGAAGGACCGCGAAAAGTTCTTCGACAAGTCCACGAACCTGGAGATGGAGCAGGTGTGCGAGCCGCAGTCGCTGCTCGAGTGGTTCGCGGACAAGTACCGCGAGTTCGGCGCCAACCTCGAGTTCGTCACGAATCGCTCGCAGGAGGGCGCCCAGTTCGTCAAGGGCTTCGGTGGCATCGGCGGCCTCCTCCGGTACAAGGTCGATTTCACGAACCTCCAGACAATCGACGACCAGGATGAGGACGAGTTTATGAGCGACGACGAGGATCTCTGACTTTTGTGGTGGCTCCTTGGAGGAGCCCCGCCTGGCTGGGGCACGCCGGGTGGGGCGGAGGGTAGCGGCGTGTGGCGTCAGGGTGCAGGTCTGGTCGAGGAAACGCGGGTTGCGGTGGCGAGGGCAGAAGCTCCAGACAAGCGAGGTGAGGTGCGGGGCGCAGTTGGTGTCCAATCGCGGACGAAGAAGAATGGCGTCCAGAGCAGCACGACAGTCGCGCTCGGATCGTCGTATCAGCAAGTGAAGTCGATATACGCGCAGAGACTTTACCAGTGTGCGTGCTATTTCTTGCTTCACGTCCTTGCGGTCGGTTGTCTAACTTATGTTTGCTATCCATAGCTCTCCATTCGTCAAGAAATTGTTTCCGCAAACTCTCAACCGATGTTTCAAATATTGCTGTCATTGCTGATTCACTCGGTTCTGTATTGCTTTCCCTGTAGTGTTAGTATCGCCGTATGCATCGCTAAGTGAAGATCGATGCTTCTCTCGTCCTCAAGCAATCGCATTATGTATCGCTCTCTACCTCATCACCTGTCTGACAGCTGAGAACACACCAGTACATACACAATTACAAGGCAGATAAGATAAGTTACTCATCGAACGAGTCCGCAGACATCCCTGGCCACTTCACAACCTCGACCAGAATCACTACTCGGCACGTGCATGAACCTTGACCTTCAGCGGCAGCCTAGCTCCCTTCTCCTTTTCTGCCCTCACGAAGGGACGGTCCACGAGACCCGCCAGCTTGGTGATCTCTTCCTTCGGCAGCGCGAGCTCGAACTCGAACGACCGAACAAGCGCGAAGAGCAGGGCCTTCATTCTGCACAGGCAACAATCATGGTCAATATGCGGCCAAGGGTACCGACGCCAGGACATGCACGCACTCGATGAGGGAGAACCGGTAGCCGATGCACGCGCGGGGCCCGCCGAGGAAGGTGAGCATGTTGCCCCACACGCCCGGAATCTGGTGCGCGGCCTCGGGGATGGTGCCGGTCATCCAGCGTTCTGGCCTGAAAGCGTAGTGCACACAGCATCGTCAGTCGGGGATACACAATGCCACCAACATGACTGCCAACACACTTGAACTCATGTGCGTCCGGGCCCCAAAGGTCCCTCGACTTGTTGATCGGCATGATGGGGATAGCCACGCGGGTACCCTTCGGGATCCTGCGCGCAGCCCGCTGTCAGCCTCCGCAGGGCGGTGACGGGCATCTCGAAGCGCACTCACCGCACGCTATCGCACAGGTTCCCCTTGGTGTCGACGTACGGCCGCTCGAGGGGGATGACGGAGTCGCTCCCCGCGTTGCGGATCGTCGCGGACACGGGCGCGTACACGCGCATGGTCTCGCGGACGACCGCCTCGAGGTACGGCAGCGCGTTGAGCTCGTCCATCGTCGGGTTCTCCGTGGGCACGCTCCAGAGCTCGTCGCGGAGCTGGGTTTGGACGGCGGGGTCCTGGGCGAGCGCGAAGAGGCACCAGGCGGTCCCGGTCGAGGTTGTTTCGTGTCCGGCGACGAGGAAGCTGGGTGTATGCGCGTGTCAATGGGGAACTGGACATTCACCTTGAAGAACAGAGGGCATACGTAGGGACCTCTGCAAGATAACGTGTAAAATCAGTACGCAACCCCTCAGGACTAACCAACGCATGAGACTCACGTGCGAGCATATCTTCGTCCGACAATCGCTGGCTCTCCGGGACGTCCGTGCTCATATTCGCCTTGATTAACAGGGTGAGCAAGTCGCGGTCAAGCAAGCCCTTGCCGCTGATCTCCTTCTCGCCCGTCGCAGCGGCCGCGCGCAGGATCGCCGCCCTCTTCTCCGCGATGAGCTGCATCCCGATGCGCCGTGCGACGCGCTGCGCGTCTTCCATCCGGCTCGCGATCTTGCTCGGCTGTCCGGACAGGGCATGCGGGTTAGCTAGGCGTGCTAGCGGAGGGAAGCGCAGGGAGGACTTACGATGATGCGGGCGATGGGGAAGCGCGCGCGGAGGACGCCTAGGAGGGAGAGACCGCTGCCGGAGATGACCTGGAACATGACGTCGAACGCGTGCCGGAGCTCGTTGGGCTTGCCCTCCGGGTTGAGCGAGTGAAAGTCGTAATTGAAGCCTGCGTGCGTGCGCGTTAGCGTCCAGTACTGAGCGCATGAAGGCCGTAGGAGTGGACAATACTCACCTGCCAGACCGATAACATCGAGCGTCATGTTGTTGAGGCCGCTGACGACGTCCATTTGGGCCTCATCCCCGGTCTGGGCGAGTCGCTCTTGCCAGATGTCGCGGAGCTGGCGGGCTTTCTCTACGAAGACGTCGGTGAGGCCGCGGATTTGAACGGGTCCGAACGCGGGGTTCTGCGTGTGGCTGGTTAGCACTGTGTACGTGCGTACCGAAAGAGTGTTACCTACCAAGATTCTCCTCTACAGCAGGAAGCGTCTCGGGTGATCAGTGCTAGCTCTTGGCTGCACAGAGTATGCGCATTTACTCACTTGTTGCCTGTGCTGTTCGCCTGAGCACGTTCGGGCGACATTTGTTAGTTGTGTTCGTTCCAGTGAGGGTGATGTCAATGCTGACCTTCAACGACAAGGAGACCTACGAAATCATTAACAAGTAGATTAATGTGGGATCTGTGGGCAGGCTACGTAGTGCGCACCCTTGCCCAATATCTGGCCTAGGTTGAACCTCACGATTTCAGGCTTCGGAAAGTCATGCGAATGCGTAAGGACATGGTTGATCGCCTTCGTGTCCTGCATCAAGACTACGTCCGCCTATGGTCGCAGACCGATCAGTAAGTCAAGTCTCGCATACAATCGTGCTGAGCGGGCTACGCACATTCATGGATACTTTGTACCTGACTACATGCCCGTACCGGTCTACCCAGCGCTGCAACATAACACCAGGTTCTTCGGAGCGCATGTCTCCGAGGTTGCCATACAGCCAGCTCGAGCGGCGGGGGCCTGGCATATCGCGGAGGCTCGAGCGGTACCAGTCGATCCATCGCGGAGCGACTTTCCAAAGCGTGTAGAGGAGGATCGCTCCGGCTAAGGAGAGGGAGATGCTAGAGAAGGACATGGTGGTAGCCAACAGCGTCCTCGTTCAGGCGGGAGAGTGGACCATGAGAGTGCCTTCTTTATAGTGCGCTGACTGATCTTATTCTCACAGGTGTGGATCGCACAGCAGTGACAGCAATACGAGACGTGCATGAGGACGCGCGAAAGCCGACCAGCCTCGCAAGCCGGGGGCCGCCACTCTGCACACTGCGCCGCGCGCGGGCGGCACTGGCGCGGCTAGTGTTTCTGCAGAGGGAGTCGAGGCGAGTCGAGTCCGGGAACTCGACATAACTCGGTGATGCGAGTTATGACGAGGCGAGTTGCGAGTCAACTCGCGAGTTGCCCACCACTTAGCACGTGAGCACTGACCAATGGGAGAACAGACCCGGTGGCTGCGGCCTGCGACTGCAAAGGACGCAGAGACGGATAACGGGCGAACATGTACGCAAGGTGGACAACAATTATCACTATAGTAAAGTACTCTAAGCTTCCTAATGTACGCTACGGCGGCTACGCCATCTCCCGGGCTTGCTCGTTCGAATTATGGATGACTCGATCATCGAGAACAACGTATTGGCTAGTTCGTCAAAGCTCGTCCATCACCGCCTCAGTGATTGGGCCTTCGATCGTGTAGTCGTCCTCGCGCGCGAGAAGCTACGACGCGAAGTGAAGTCGCTCTTGCTTGTAGAAGTACTTGAGGATCTGTAGCGCCTCCATGACCTCCGGTGAGTCACACAGTCTGTTGCGGCGGAGGGTATCGGTCTCCTTGCTGGACGGGAACATCCGCTCGCAAGTGACCGCGGGTGCTTGAGCAGGGAGCACGTCGAGTGCGACACGATACATATACGAGTACTCCGTCTTCCGCTCCTGACATGAATTGTCGCGTCCGAGTCAGCACTGATCGTCGGCAGGTGATTGACAGAACCTTCAAACATACCCCCCAATATCGATGAGGTCTGCACCCTCGTCAATTGTGTCAGTGTTGTTATCTTTCAGGTACCTCTCTAATCCCAGTTTGACAGCTTGGTAGTCGAGGCAACAGGCCTCATTGGTCCCGCTCTCGGGAACACCAGCCTGAGCACTCGAGGTCGCGTTCTCGTTGTTCGTTGGCTCGCCAGGCTCTGGTGTCGCTGGCCGGGTTTCGGGGCCGCTGGGTTGTGCAGGAGAGTCTGACCCGGATGACGCAGACGAGGTCGGCATTGAGGCGGATCGTTCGATGCGGCGCGCAGCCAACTGACGCAGACCGGCAAGTCCGCGCCGCTGTGGTGGGCCATATTCGCGGCTCTTGGGAAGCTTGCGCTACGCCGGGTTGAGGCTTGACTAGCATGTCTCGCCAGCCCCCGGCGACGAAGTTGTTCGTCCATGCGATATTCGAGCATCTGCAGCGGGGCATAAGCGTGAATTAGTCACTTGAAATTGCGTTAGTATGGAGAATCGGACGCACAGCCTCTATCATCCATTGACGTGCACTGGCAGCTTCGCTGGGGTCCCGGTTTTCCTCGATCCATTGCGGAGGACCATAGCGACAGCGGTGGCCAATTCCAGCGCGACGCGGCGCGTACAGCGCGTTGAACGCATTCGCGTGACCGCAGTGGGGGCTGCCGGCCAATCATATGCGTGCGTACCCCTTATCTCAGCACCCCGCCTAGCAACTCGGAGTTGGCTCGGGGGTGAACTCGACTCGCCTCTCCATCAGCGAGTTACGCAACTCGGGGGTTCGAGTCGAGGCGAGTTGCGAGTTGACTCGCCTCTGCAGAAACACTAGGCGCGGCCCCGGCGGCATCAGTCATCCCCGACGACTCAGCCAAGCTCAGCCACTGAGCGACTGCTGTGGCCCAGCCTCAGCCTGTGGCTGCGCGAGGTCAATGTGGCCAATTCGGGCGCCGATCAATTGTCTCTGGTGAGCGCCACAGACGCGTCCAACGCGTGTTCTGGCAGGAACGCCAGCTCTGGAGGAGGGTCTGCACTGTGCACATGCGATCCGCCGCGTCGACGCGTCGCAACCGCGCGCTGACGTGTCCTCATTCCAGCCAGACCCCCAGAGACGTCGGCAAGCAGACCATCTTCCGCCCTGCAACGCCTGGCAGCCACGTCACGCTCCGCCAAGTTGACCGACAATGACAGGAAGGCTAGAGGAATAATCAACGACGTGCTCGGGTCTCGGATGGCTCAATCACGCTAGGGATGCAGCGATGCATATTCGCCATGAAGGACCATATCATATACACATGTACGCTAAAGCCTACATTGTCCGCCGTCGAGCCAAGCTGATTACCGCTACTTTACACAGTATACATCACATACAGTACTTCGCTCACGAATAAGGATATCAGCGGCGCAGACAGTACGTATCGTAATCTTTCTCCGGAGACATTCATTCTTCTGCAAGCGTGATGGCCAGCTGCATCTTGTCCGCCAGTAGGCGATGGACCTCTTTGGAGACAGTCACATCCTCTCTGTCGACCCAGATCTTCCCATTGACCCTCCGCTCGTCTTCTTCGTCGAAGCCGAACTCCTCGACGTCGTCGAGCAAGTCGGAAAGCATCTTGTGCGAGGAGAAGACGAACAACGAAACGTCCGAGTACTCCTCCTCCTCCGCGAACGCGCATACACTTTCACGCAGGAGCTCGTTCCAGTCCGAGATCTGGCCACGGACCCGGTCTGCGTCCTCCCAGTGTGCGGGCGCGCGGTCGACAGCAGGAACGTCGATGATCAGAAAACAGCGCGCGTTTGCTGAGTACAGGAACTGGACATGATCAATGAGCATGCCAACCAAGTGCTCGAGTCCACCTTCTTCGCTATCGTCCGGTTCCCTGTCAGGACTTCAGTCGCTGAAAACGCCAAACGTGCGGATCATACCACTCACAGGCAGTTGTAGCACCCCATCCAGAAAACTATCGGCCAGAGTACGTCAGCACATTGTTACAGCCGAGATCGTGCGCGCTCACCATAGAGTGTCTTGTCAGGGTCAAGAGCATCTTTCGGAGAAGCTTGGATACCGAGGACTTGCCCAACTTGGTCGGGGACGTCGTCCTCGACCCTCGCAGCATCCGTTGCGTAGACTTTGACATCGGCCGTGGCCGACTGTCCCCCCAGAAGTGTTCTCAGTTGACGATGCTAAATAAGCGCGATGTAAAGTCAACCATCGTGCACCTGTGGCGCGAGGTAGATGGTGCGTACCCATACGTCTTCATCGTCAACGCTAAACGTATCGCCGCTGCGTACGAACGCAGAGTCAGCACCACGAGGTAGGTGGCGTATGAGTCAACTCACAAATGGACCCAGGTCTCGAATTCCGCGAGACCCGGCCAGGCCTTCCTTTGGATCGCCACAGGGAGGATACCTACAATCGAGGAGCAAATCAGGGCAGGGCCGCAGAACTCCAACGAATATCGACCTACCCGACGGCGGGATTGCATTGTTCACCACCTTCAATGCAGTCAAGGCGTGCTTGACTGCTTTGTCCTCTGGAGCCACATTCACGCGGGCCGCATTCCCTACGCTGTGCCTCGCTCTCTTCTTCAAGGGGCTGAGCCCCGTGAAACCCTTCGGAGAGCTGCTGCTCTCGCGGCGGCGTGCCTGCTTTATGTGTGGCATCGAGCAGTTATTGCGCTTGGGGGAGGATGGGTGTGGAGGACAAGAGGCAGGGTGCGGCGAACGCGCCCCCGCCCGGGCATTGAACACGCTCGTGACCGCGTCCGTGGCCACAGTAGAGTGTGGCTCGTGCTTAGAATGGTTTGTGTTTGTGTTTCTTTTACGCGGGAAGTGTTGTTTTTGATGGGGCGACAAACTGCCTAGGACAATGGTTGTCTCACAGTAAGTGGCTTACCCGAATTTGATTGCCTTATGCTCATCTATGCTACCGCAGTTATCCTTGCGCGACGGCAAGAGTTGTCAAACATACCGATCAGTGTAATGAGTTAAATCCAGGACAAGCAGTAATAGGGACCGTGGCTCGCGTTCACTCATATGCGGGCGGCTCACCCCGCGTCTCCGCCTTCAGCTGCGCCATCTCCTCCCGCAACGCTGCCATCTCTCCTCTCAGCTCCTCCTCGACCTGATCGCCCGCCATCCCAGAAGACACGGGGGCCCGCTGTGAGCTCTCCTCCGCAAACGTGCCGCCCGGCACCGTGCTGCTGGCGGTCGATCGTCTTGCGCGCAAGGTCGCCACTTGCTGCCGGAGCTCTCGGGCCTCGCGCTCCAGGGTATATGTGGGCGAGGTACCGCTCGGGGTGAAGCTCATCGTGCCACTCGACTTCTCTGACACTACGAACGGGAGCGCGGGCTCGTCGCCAGCATACAACGGCTCGAGTAAGATTGTTTCGCGCTCTTTGGGGGATGGCGGCGCGACGAAGGGCTCGATTGCGCGGCCGACCTCGTTCTTCGCATGCTGCGCCGCACGCTTTCTCCGGAGGTAGACAAGGAGGAGGGAGCAGAGCGCGATGAAGGCGACGCCGCCGAGTACGCCGCCGGCAATCGCCCCGGCCCGGGAACCTTCGTTCACATATAAGAGAGGAAGCCGAAGGAGACGTTGAAGGCACTTACTGTGACTCGTCGTGGTCGTGTCATTATCATCGTCATCATCGAAGCTACGCCATTATGCTTATGGTTGGCTTGGGGAGTTCTTTACTGTGATGCAGCGCGGGACTTACGTGTACATGGCCCAATCGAACAGCAGGACGGATGATGAGGATCCTTGCACTGTATTCATGACTAATGTGTGCGTCTCGTTGCTGAGTCCCTCTCTGCTGAAGACCGTGACATTGTACTCGAACTGATTGGCAGCTGGATCTGCGGTATGGTTGTAGGTACCAGCCGAAGCCCCATCGAGCTCAAAGGTGACGTTCGTGAACGTCACGATGTCGGGAGAGCTAGCGCTGTTGACGAGGATGCAATATACCGAGATAGCGCTTCCTGGTCGGCCAATCAGCCCCTACTGCGCGAGATGAACGACTGGAAAACGTACCGTCGAAGGTGAGCGTCATTGAGGGTTGCGTGGGGTCCGTGCTGTTTGAAGTCGTGTCGTGCCATGTACCGTCGAAGGTTTCGTTCGCATCCGGGCGAATGGCACAGAAAGAGCAGTTAGGACCGTAGTTCCAGTTATTTGAGTAGGTCGGTAACACGCCGGTAACAGAGTCCCCATGTGTATCATCGATAGTCCTATTTGTTGTACCGGCAGAGACGACCTGCGAGAGCAGTAAGGATGTTAGGAGGACAAATCGCGTACACATGTGGTGGTGCAGGGATGGTGGAAGCATCTCGCGGGGCAGTGGCTGGGATGGAGATTTGAGAGCGGGCGGGTCGAAGGCATCGTCTGAACTCAATCTGACCATCTGAGGTTCGGATCGCTGCTGTTGACGTCGGAACATGATCTTCTATGTCTGAGGGTTCATATCAGTGGGGACAAATAGCTCGGCCACAACTCTTGACCGTGCTCAGACTCTCACGTCAAGGTAACACAACAAGGACAGTGTTGGCTCCTAAGTCTGCCGGGAGACATGGTCTACAGGCAACAACTGGGCAATGATATGGACTGAAGGAGATAGTAACGGAGAGATTCAGCGCACCAGTGGTCCCTCGCGCACTGACCATCTGTCAGTCGCATTTGGCGGGCCCCAAGGGGTGAGATGTCTTCTCGGCCTTGCCGAGCATAGCCCGACAGTACCTGTCTATTCATACTCCAACAGATATCACCTAGCGTGTGAGCAGATACAACGCAAGAAAGGGAGGGCATTCTCTTGTGACAAGTCGTGCTGCAGGAAAGGAGATGCCTCGTATTATCGTTTCGGAAGACGAGATGGTGTTCATCAGCAACGTACCCGTATTGTATTGCCTGGTGCTAATAGAGACATCGTATCCCCTATTGCGGCCATGATCCGCGCACGACGGCGAGATATGTCATGTACGAGAGTTCTATGCCAATGCAATAGTAATACTAAGTGAGTCGCAAGCAAACGCAGGTCAGCCGCGCTTCAGCGACCACGAGCCGGCACACGCGTTCACGCACGCAGACGCAGGCAATAGTTCCACGGTAAGCATATTTCGCAATTGGCACTTGAAGGACCTGGATAGTCTCAGACTCTCGCGGTTGTTGGCGGCGGGGGATGCAAGCAGAACGCAGTCCGCCCTGCCTGCTCCGTTGAAATCCTTGGAATGTGAAGAAGACCGGTAGGTAGCCATGCCTCCAGTTAGAGATGATATAGAGCGTGCAACGAGCTCAAAGGACCTTGATAATCTGGCAGACGCCCCGTTCGGCGTGCAGGATCATGATCGGGGTAAGTGAGTCACGTGTGCTACAGTATGTTCAAGTCGGCGCCACCACGATCGCTCGACGACCGACCACTGCGTCTGTCTCCCACTCGCCTCTCCTCACTCTCGCTCTGTTGCCTGGTAGTATGCAAACTGCTCCATCGTATGCCAAACTAGTTCCGGAAACGGTAGGTCTCAAATCTTGCAGTTTCTCGTGAGTAACATCTGACGTATTCTTTTTTTTTTTTTTTTTTTTTTTTTTTTTTTAATTCACCGGGTTTAGACTCCGTACACCATAGGCACATGTAGAGTATAATAATAGAGAGTCCCTCGACGCATTCACCCGCCTGGTGACGGGGTGAACCAGAGGGCATCGCCCGGCTGTCCAACAGGAGACCGGTTAGGTACGAATTCGTCTGACAACTGACTGGCGTCAGCCGTAAGGCCAGCCGCCGAGTCTAGAAGCGAATCAATACGAGGCAGAGGATGTCGGTCTAGGACACGCAACATCTCATCCACCTCCTCGTCGGGAACATCACCGGCGTCTACCACATGACGTGGCATAGCATCAAACCGGGCAAGCACTTCTTTGTCGTGCTCCCACTGTGATGAAAGATGCTGAGCAAATATCTCAGCTTTGTCGTTGATTTCATCAAAGAATTTGATGACGTCATCGTGATCCTTAGAAAAAGGCTTATCGTGGATGCCTCCCTTCTCAATACGCCCCTTCAGATTGAGCCATTGTGTTTGGCGCCAAACTGTGTGGGCATGTAGTCGCGCCCAATTAAGGGTAAGCATGTCGCCGCGAGTTTCGTCATCCTTACATTTGGACAGGATCTCTGCCCACTCGAAGGTGGCTGCTAATGGATTCATATAGGCGAAATCCGCGATGTCACTGGGGGCCCAGCCTCGCTGGGTCCTACTGTAATAGGTGTCCACATGTCGCTGCTTCCACCCAAACGGGCCGATGAATGGAGAGCGCTTGTGCTTTTTAACCCGTATCCAAAACGGGCATTTGAAGAGTATGTGATCGCGGGTTTCTTTATGTCCGCCGCGTCCGCACAAACATTTGATTGGTCCATTTTTCTTGAACCGTTCTCGGTATTCCCCGCAAGGGAAGTGATTAGTCAGTAAACGTGCAATTTTCGCCGTTTTCTGATTACTAAACTTGAGACCTTTCGTCTTAAATAAGAACGATTGGTTACGGACATTGGATGGCTTTAGCTGCTTATGCCACCACATCTTGTTGCCCAAGTACTTATTAGGGCGAGATAGGATAGAGGGGTCGGGGACCCCTCTAACGTTGGCTTTCTGTACATGGTCCGGGTGTTTGTATTCCCGGGCCCACGCGCGTAACATCTCCCTTCGGATGCCTTGCTGGGCAAAAGAAAAGGAAACTATATCAGCAATCGGAACATCCCGATCGTTAACAAGGTCTGAAGCGAGTTTGTCGACTGCTTCATTCCAAAGAATGCCCACGTGTGATGGGCTCCATAAGAAGATGACCTTTCGATCACGCCTTCCTTCCAGGAAGCGTGCAGCTTCCTGGTTTGCCATGAGGGCGGCCAGCTGGCTTGGACCCTTACCCGGCTTCATGATCTTCTGCAAGTTACCAATGTTGTCACTTGCGAAGATGAGTGTTTCTGTGCTGCCTTCGACATGCTCCCAGACTTTGTTGGCTGCCTTCGCAGAGGCAAGAACCTCGGCATCGTAGCTAGTAGCGCGTCCGGCGCTAAATGCGCCTTCTGCAACCTTACGAAGTTCCTTTGTGATAATCCACGCAGAAGCACATCGCGTGTTGTCCGGGTTGTCCCGGTCAATGAGTGCGGATCCGTCAGTCCACATCACTAAAGTGTTCTTATCGAAGATAAGATCGAAGGTGCGGGGAGTCCAGGTGTCTTTGATCCACGCTCTGAACTGCTTGCTGATTTTTCCATCCTTCTTTTTCGGAGGAGGGTCGTCATGCTTCTTGTGCCGGTCTCGTTTATCTCGGCTGAAGAACATCTTCTGGATTCGGTTGTCATCTAGATCGATGAGCCGGTCTCCAGGTCGACAAGCGTCGCTGTAGTGGGAGAACTCCTCATTACTTCGTTCAGCAATTTTTGCAAACGCCCTTAGCGGCGTGCGAGATGCCTTGCGGCTGCCCTCGATAAAGGGCATAACAACGTTGAGTTGGGAAGTAACCCATTCCTTGCCAAGGATCGCCTTTGTGGGGTGGCCCTCGCCTAATGTTCGAAGACGAAGCGCGTAGCGCTCCATGTATCGGGTGATATTTTCCTTTAAGGGGACTAGGCCCGCCAGTGATTCCATTGCTCCAATGGGCGTGGTGCGGAAACACCCCGTGATCCATCTGCAAGCGCGAGCTTGGGCGGTGTGAAATTCACGAAGAATCCACCCAATTCCTTTCCAGCCCGGCTTCCACCAGAGCTGCGCACCATAGCAAATGAGCGGAAGCACATGCGCTATGTATAGTTGTCTCTTTTGAGCCGGAGTGAATCCGCGGAGAGAGTTACCCAGCATTGATATCGATGATACCGTGCTAGCCGCTTTGCATGCATAAAAACGAACATGCGATTTGAATGACAACTTCGGGTCGAAGTAGAACCCGAGGTATCTCATAGACGCTGAGGGGACCACCCTGACGGTTTGGTTCCCAAGTGATACCACCACATCAGGCCCGAAGGGCCGGTCTGGTCGCCATGGATCTCGGTGTTTCCAGAAATGGATACACTCGAGTTTGTCCGCTTCCGCAGATAACCCAAGCCTGATAAGGTCCAGCATTAGGGAGTGGAATATGACCTGTATTGTGACACAGTTCAATTCTACTTGGGTGAGGTTGGATAGGTTCCGAGGAACTGCAGCCAAGATCCCTCCGTCGTCCACAAAGAATTGGATGGAAGAGTTACCCGGCATCGGTTTCCCGACCGGGTATTGTTTATGTAACACCGGGGCAATATAGAATCCCGATGCAACCGGTGACAGTGACGAGCCTTGTCCCATTCCTAGTGGAACAGCGGTTGCCTCCGTGACTTTGCCGTTGAATAGGTATTTAGTAAACCTTCCCACGAAGTAGTCGGCAAAGAAATCACAGAGATCGTCTGCAAAGCCTTGCTTTCTGAATATTTCCACCATCATTTTGTGATTGATGGAAGGGTAGAACTGTGACACGTCCAACAGAAGCATGGACGGTGTCATGTTTCTGGCCCAGGCCTCGTGCACGAAGTGCACGACTTGCATGCCCGCATCAACCGTACTGTGTTCAACAGTACCGCCGAATTGGCATGGGTGTAAGATGCCGTACTTCTGGCCATCGAACTGCATACGCATTGCAAGAAGCTTTTCAAATAGCTTCCCGAACACGCTGAGGAGGCATATTGGTCGATATGCTTTGACTTTGCTATAGTCCGGCTTATTAGGCTTGGGTATAACAACCGTGATGGACCTCTTAAAGACGTCAGGGAATTTGTGCAGTCGGATGCACGCATTGTAGTATGCCTTGAAAAAGGAATAGACTTTAGATCCCCAGTTGATCGTGTTAATCACGTTCCCCTGTTTATCTTTTAATTCTTCAATCATGTGGAATATGCGTTTGCACCATTCCCAATTGACGTGATCTTCACCTCCGACTGACGTGTTAGACGTGTCAGCCAAATGTTCCGCAATCTCTTCCATGGAGATTTCATTAAAGGGACGCTTCTCGAATTGCTTGAACTCTTCGAGAATTGTCTCATCGACTTCCTTCGGGATGGAAGGAGTGAATTGCTCTCTAAACTCTGTTTGGAGTTCATCCTGCGATTGGATAACGGATCCATCAGCGCGCTTGATCTGCACGCTGGCATCCAGTTTCCTCGGCTTAGCCCAACTAACAAAGTTGGAGATAAGCTGGGGATGGCAATTCGACAACATTTTGTCGAAGAATTCCCGCTTGGCGCCTTTGGAAGCGCGGCGGAGAGAGTTGTTCGCTTTACGGCGTCGGTTATTAGCCCCTTCGTAGAGCTCATGATAAGTTTTGTACTGGTCAGCGTTTCTGCCTACTGTACGTAGAGCAAGGCCGATAAGGCCTCGCACTTTGTCACATTGTTTAGATGTGAGAATCTGGCGCTTGCGAGCGGCACTGCACTCGGCATTCCACCAGGATTTTGAACGGGCTGAGCGCTGGGGTTTCACCGCATTTCCCTTCCATGTCCGCTGGATGTAAGCGTACAGCTTATCTCCAGTTCGCTGTAGCTCATCAGCTGTCTCCCACCGAGTGGGGAGATCAGCAATGAGCTTGGCAACTGCTAGGCAGAACTCGTTGGATGCGGGTCCTACGCGTGCAATTATGGGTTCGGGCTCCGGTGAATCACCGGCATTCCATTCCCACGTCAACGGAGCATGGTCACTCCGGTGACGTGCGTGGGTATTGACCTTAAAGTTCAATATTTGGATGTCCGGTCTGTGCCAAACCAAGTCAAGAGTTCTTGCGGCCAACCTAGGGTTATTGGATTTCCAGGTGGCCGGCGCTGCAGGGTCATTTCCTAGGAGCACTTGAAGCTCCGTGGTTAAGTCCCATAAGTCTGAAATTGTACCTCCGTGAGGAGGATTTTCATTGCAGTTGCGTGTCACCTTGTCCCATGCGACGTGGTGCAGGTTAAAATCCCCCGCCATCAAAGTGATAGGCGGGAGGGAGTCAACGTGTTCGAGCAAGTGAGAGATCACATTGCTCGGCCCGTTATCATTGTACACGTTGAGCACATTGCAGGCGCCCTGTGGTGTACCGAAGGAGACCAGGAGACAGTCACCATGAGGTGCTGATCCGGTAATGATGTGGGGGCTAGCCCCGCGCCAGCGGCGATGCACATATGTGGCAACCCGGGACTTGGAGGACGCGCCGAAGCACGTGAAATTTCGGTGAGCAGTCGTATTCTCATACGAGTCCCCGTCCTTTTTCTTACTGGACGGCACATTTTTGATATGTCCCCAGAAGATCTCTTGCACGCAGATGACGTCGGCGTCTCTGTAGCGCTCAAGGAGCTGAGTCGTATTCTCAGCAGATTTCTGCACATTGGCAGAAACAAATTTGACATTAAAGGCCGGCTCAGGCTCAGCTTCATTGTCAAGGATGTTATCATTCGGTACTGGTGGTGGTACAGGTGCGATTACAGGTACTCCGGGAGGCTGTTGAAGCCACCGGTCAAGGAACTCGAGCTGCTCAGCATTGATGGGCTCGTCGTCAAAGTGCGTCGGGGTGGGCCGCCGCTCAACACGTGGAGGGATAGGGTTAGCTGATCCTCCAGCATCAGCATTCACGTTCGGTTGTGATTCCATAAGGCAACGTACTGGTGAGATTACGCAGACGGCCCCGAGGTTTCCCCCTGGGCGTCCGCCATCGCTGCGTCAGCCATTTCGGCTATTCTCGCGTCGGCCTCGCGCATGCGCTCATCGCGCTGCTTGCGCAGGGATGTGATTAACTTCTGGACTTCCTTCTTCACTCGGTCGTCCTGCTGCCTAGGTGACTCCGCCGCCTCAATCTTACGTGAGACCAAGGCTTTGTCGTTATTGTGCTTCCAGACCGTGCAACTGGTCCGGTTGGCTGGGCCGTGGCCTGCCCGGAGGCAGTTCGGGCAGTAGTGGTGGTCAGAGGGACAAACCGGGAGGTCATCCGTCCAGAACCGCGCTTCGGTGCAGCACGAGGCCTCCGCCGCGTGCGCTTCCTCGGTGTGATGCTCGCCGCACAGGGGGCAGCAAAGCTTCTGTTGCGTGCATCGGTCACTACCGTGACCCCATCGCCAGCACTTGGTGCAGGGTTTCATCGCGTTGCGCGCGTTGTAGACCTGGACATTATGACGCGTCCCGAAGAGGAGCACGTCTCTGGAAGCCAGCTTGTGGGCAATAGCCCCGCTGTGATAGTCCCGGACGAAGCATTTAAGCTGTCCAGTACTGCCTTGCCTCTCAACGGTAGCGCGAGGAGAGTTGGAGAAGGGGACGACGACGTCCAAAAACGCCTTCGTATTCTTGTCGATTTCCGCACACCGGACGAGCTCATGCCAGAACTCTTCCATGGTGACGTCGGCGAGCTTCCTCTGACCCGGGACGGCCCGAGCAGTGACAAGCGTCTTGATACTGACGCACGTGAGCTCGTGGATGTGCTCGACGTTCGCCTGAAAAAGATCCCCCGGGCGCTTTTCAGCGGCGAGGGCGGTAAGGAGCGCAGTCACCTTCTCGCGAAGGACGGCGAACAGCTCATCAGTCGGCCTTTCGGCGAACTTGACGATGACGTCTCGTCCCGAATTCTTGAGTACAGACGAGGCGGCCTGCATCATCGAACCCGAACTTCGGCAAGCGTCGTTGATGTACGACGTGAGGATCTCCAACGAACAGTCAATGTCGGTGAAGGTGTGGGGGAAAATCCGCACTAGCACGGAGCGCGAGTTCTCGACCGGGTTGCCCTGTTTCACATGGATCGGCGGGGGCTTCTTAGCAGGAGCAGGCGGAACCGGCTTCTTGGAGGAGGGCGTCCCTGTCGCCGGTTGTCCGGGACGAGCGACAAGAGCAGAAGACCCGATGGGCCCAGGAGGAGGCGGAGCGCCAGGGCGTGAGTACCCGGCAGCTTCCAGACCTTTAGAAATCGCGAGCGCGTTCACTAAACCGATGGAGGGAGCTAGTCCTCCGATTGAAGCAGCCTGACCCAGACGGGCCCAGTCCTGCGAAGAGTCGAGGACTATGGCCTGGGACATGGTGTCACCAGACGCAGTCGCCGTCGAAGGGGATTGGCTGCGCGCGCGCTTAGCCTTGGCTGCATCAGCTGCCTGGGCAGCCTTAGCGTCAGAGGGCGTCTGAGGGCGGTCCTTCCGTTTCCGGGGATCCGTCGTCTTCTGCTCGTCGAAGTGGACATGCGGCGGAGAGGGAGCCCTCTCCCGCCCTTTGCCCTTGGAAGAAGCGGTGGCCGCGGCATATGAAGCCGGACCTGCTGCGATACTGTCGACGCGGCCAGAGACCGCCTTCAACGTCGACCTAAGGCCATCTACCTCACGCTTAAGTTCGTCACTCGTGGCGAGGACTCCCTTGCTTATGAGGTCGTGGTCAGCGTGTACCCTTTCGTACAGCTGGTTGAAGGCATTGGCGAGCGGTTTCCTCCACTCGTCTCGCTTATTAAGCTGCGCGCGAAGCGCAGCGCTTTCCTCTCTCTCCTGGAAGAGAGCTTGGGCGATGACCTCGGACCCGGGAGGGTACAAGATTTGGGCAGACGCTGGAGCAATGTCAATCCAGGTCCGGTAGACGTTGGCGAGTTCCTGGGAGGCGAGGTGCCACCATTGACCCGATTGGTCCGCCCCATCGGAGGTGACGTCGGACACGTGTTTCTTGAACTGGGACCGGCCCGATTCAAGGAACGCGTGGATGTTGAAGAGGTTTCTGCGCACGGCCGCAAGCGCGTCTTCCTCATTCCACTTCCACGTGGTTGCTACTTCCGGCCACCTCGCTATGAAGTCGAGGGGCGGGGCGTGGAGTTCGGGGTCTACGGACATGCCGCGGTCTCCGGGGTCTTCCGGCTGCCTCATGGCGTTAGACGCCGGCTGGTCGGGGCAAAGGGCAGGGCTCACCATAGGGGAGGCCCAGCTTCGGGGTATTTCGAGTTCGCGCTCTTCGAGGAGGCTACTCGGTACATACGCTAGGCTTGCCGGGGGTGGTGTACCCTCGACAGAGCCATGGCGCGAGAGAGTCCGAGCTCGGGCAGGTGCTGAGACCTTTTCCTCGCTCGGAGATGGGCTATTCGCCTTAGGTTTGGAGTACGGGGTCTTACGACCGCCGTAGGAGGATCCGGTGGTGCCACCTGCGGCACCACCAGATACAGTGGTCGAGGCAGGAGCGGCTGGGGTGCTCTCGGGGGATAGGGGAGGGTCATAGTCAAACAGGGAGGGGGAGGGCGAAGGCATGGCGAAGGGCGCCTAAGCGAGATGGTGGTGGTACGAGAACAAGAAGCGGCGCATCTGACGTATTCGTCTCTCACAGGATCGGTCGCTGTGCATGTTCTCGACTCTAACCCTCAGAGGCACGCACCTCCCGGGTCCCATCACACTTGCCAGACGGGAATCCTTTCCGGCTCGTCAATACGACCTTGACAAAGAACAGTACGCGAACAGACCAGACTGGCTCGCTGTGGAACCACCGCAGAACAGTGGCCACCTCTCCCTCGAACTTGGCGAACGTATTGGCGGTGGCAGGTCTGCCGTCGTCTACTCCGTGAAAGCTATCCCCAATGCGTCTCGCATCGACGAATCTTGTGACTTGGACCTTTGCGTCAAGGTGGCGCGGCCGAACCGTTGTCGCTCGCTCGCTCGGGAGGCATGGATTCTGGAACAGCTCCCCGAGGGCGTGACCCAGGGTGTAATCACGCCGCGCTGCTACGGATTTTTTGCCGTCGATTTATCTCCTAGGCAATTGCCCTTTCCTCTCTGGTCTGGCGACGACTACTTCATGGATGCATCACCAGGGCACTGGGAAAAAGACGATCCCACCCAGGATGATCCTCTATACGACGACGACCGACCTGATGAAGTGCGGTGCCCGGGCTCTCCTCCCGGTGCTAGAGAGCTTTCCCCATGGGTCAATTGGCGTCCTGACCCTGGTGCACCACTCTTGTCGGTTCTTCTTATGGCTCGTGGAGGGCGGACATTCAGCATGGCCGAGGATGACTGGGATCGATCCAATCAGTATGTAACGTCTGCGCATGCATCTTCCATGTTCTGACTCCGCACTCAGCAAAGACATTGAAGACATCCTCGACGATCTTTCCGCCAAGTACATGTTACATGTTGACCTTCGCCCATCGAACGTCATACGTGCGCCGTCTCATACGCAAGAGTGTGGAGTGCACAAATGCGTACACAAGTGGAACATCATCGACCTCGCCTGGTCGACCGTCGATGGCCCCAAAGATGATGAAAAACTTGCGCTCATCTGCGAGTTGCAGAGGGGCAAGTGGCGCAACCGGTACTGGTATGCCTGAACGCCGTGCGTGAACCGGTATGTCGCATCCACGCTCAATTCTTTCGGGGTCTTACATGGTCTGCAAACAATCTTGAGAGCGCCATATGTCTCCTCAGGCTGTAATCTATTACACTGAATGCGTGTACTTCGTGATCAGTGGAGACTACCAACTGTCGGAAAACGCCTTCCATCCGCAAAAAGGTCGTGTTCAGAGTCTGCTTAGGGGACATAATCCTACGGGGTGGGCCGCCGGTCAGCGAGCTCAAGATCTTCAGTCTCTACTCTACCGATGTGGCTCGTCACCGGCTCACCGTCAGCGTGGAGCTCAGTCCTCGCTGCAGGACCTAATTATTGCGGACATTGCCACGGGGGGCCTCAATACAAAGGTATAGTACTGTACATACTGCAGACATCACAACAATTCTATCTGATCCTCGCTGTCATATATCTCGGTTCATAGGTATGGCGGCTCGGCCCTCTTCAAGCTTCATTCATCCACCAACGACAAAGCGTGCCCCATCCTTTCTCCCAACAGCCGATGCACCTCGTCGGAGATGGAGAAATCGGCCTCGCTCATCCATATCCTTTTATTCGCCTCTGCCGCGTCTTTCTTGTCGAATCCGAACTTGTTTGGGTTATCCAGCAACTCGGACAATATCTCATGGGACGAGAGGACGAACAGTGACGCATCGGAATGGCCGTTGGTGAACTCCCGCGCGGCGACAAGGAGGCGATCGTTCCAGCAACGTATGAACTGTCTCGCAAAGTCCGAGTCCCCCTGCTCGACTATGCTCGGTGCCCGATCTCCCGGAGGTACGTCTACGAATATGAAGCTTCGCGCGTTCGCCTTCGCGTACATGTTATGTGCATAGGCAAAAAGTGGTGACAACTCCTCGGCTATCGTATTTGGATCCGGGTGCTCTGCGCGGTCTGGGGCTTTAGTTTCGTGCGGCCTGCGTAATTGGATCGCAAATGAAGGAACTTCAGGCGCGATCTCTGTTCGAGGTGCGGCCACAGATTCGTCATCGCTCGTTTCCTCGGACTCGTTGTCACTGTCGTCTTCAGATTCATCGCCAACTGTCTCCTCCGATCCTTCGTCGACTTGACTCCCAGATCCGTCTTTGAGTTGGTCTTCAGTCGTACAATTCTCGGAGTTTGTGCTTGTCTCTCTAGATTCTTCCTCGGCCTGGTCGCCCGATTCTTCCTCATCCCGGTCTTCAAACTTTACCTCGTTCTGGTCTCCAGACTCGTCCTCACTCTGGTCTTCAGACTCTTTGCTGTTTTGGTCCTCAGATTCCTCGTCATCCTGAACCTCCTCGTAGCTATCAGATGTAAGCCAAGTGCGCAGCCGTGATGTATGGGGCCCGAGGCAACTCACCAACAATCATACAAGCCCAACCAGATGACTGGCCGACCGAACAGAAGCAACTGTGAGTCGTTGTATGACATTGGCTCATCTTTGTACTTACCGCACAACATCGTTGTGGGGTCGCAGGGATTCCTCGACGTTGACTGTTCCAAACAAAATTGCTCACTTTGGGCCGGCATGTCGCTCTTCGCGAATGCAATCCTCTCGGCATAATTCATGACTTTCACGGGCTCTCCGCCGAGTACCCTATCCCTCAGGTGCTCGTGCTGTGTCACGGAATGAGGCTTTTCAGTACAATACGCGATCAAGACCCAGGCTGCGAGTCACGTACCCAAGGCTTTACATTTGGATCATTACTGCAACTGAAGCAGTCGCCGCTGTGTACGTCCCCAGGTCTCAGCACAGTGCTACACCCGAAGAGTTGTTACAGATTTTCACGCACATGTGGACCCAGGTTTTGAACCTTGCCAAGCCCGGCCAGCTGTCGCGTTTGATTGAAAGCCGCAACACTTTATGCGCAACGGCCCGTCAAACAAGTCAACGCGTGTCGCCACTGCGCGAAACGTACCTAGATTTTGCTCTGTCTGGTCGTGCCTCTGAGTGGACAATGCAGGCTCGGCTACTCCGTCTGGCGACACCACGCTCGGACGGACTGGGAACTGCATGAGCATTCGTGCTTTCTTCTTCAAGGGACTTGCACTGGACGCCGTGGACGTATCGCTGCCGCTCTCTGAACTACTGTACGCCCGCTTCGCTCTTGCCATCGCGGTGTGCCTTCGTCTCTTGTTTTCTAACGGCGGTGAAGCGAGGAGATGAGCGAAGTTGGTGGTGGCGAGTCGAGGGAAGGTTCCTCAAGGTTTGGTACGGCGAACGCGTTCCACCGCGGGCCATTTAACGCGTCCATCAGCGTGTTGAACGCGTCACGAGGGCGTGTACATAATGATACCCGCTGCACACCGCGTGCACCATGCCGGACGACGTCGCAAATGGTAGCTCGTTTGTCCTAAGAAAGGAGATACAACAACGCAAGTTGTTGTCACGCAGCGGTGACGCTTCTTGTCTCTCGAACATCATCGTTTGTTCGACAGCGCTCGGGCGTGACACAGTATAATCGGAGCCTGTTGGGTTCACATTCAGCGCTATGACGCGCAGAAATGGCTGCCTCAAGCTCTCTAACTCAGTACAGTAGGTTGTCACTAGCTTGCTGTGGGTGATTACCACCTCAGAGTAGCTCACCGCGACAGCGCGAGCGCTTCGGCCTCCTACAGTGGCATTTGGTGTACTGCGATACGTTTGGCAAACCACATTCATCGTGAATTCGTTAGGCACGTATTTTCTCATGTACATGTAACGACCGAAATTCAATCTACATAGGTTTGAGTCAACAACTCTGAGTCCTGGCGCGCTTGGTCACGTCATGACGCGTCTTGGACGCGTCTGTGGCGTTCGTACATAGCACACGACCCACGTGATGATCGGCGCGCCGCCGAACCCGCGGCTTGAGCTGGTCCCTGGAAGTCTCGCGTGCGAACGCCCATCTCGCCCAAATCCAGCCTGAGGTTGCACTTATCGGCCAGGTTCCTTTCTCTTGACCGCCATGTTCTTGCACTCATGGGCATTGTGCGCTACCCTACTGACCTGTTTCAGCCGTGTAGCCGGCTGGCAGGAGCAGATAAGGATCAGCGCGGGGTCGAATGCAATGCGCCTGCCATCTCTCGCGTTGGAGGATACGTACATCATACTTGTTCACGAGAGCGTCCCGGGCTACGCAGTACGCGTTAAGAAGACCGAGTTCTGCGATTCTACTGTGAAGTGAGTGCGTTTGTCAGTGGGCGTATTCCGGCGACGAAGCTGACGAGAAGCACTACTAGCGTATACACGGGCTATCTAGACGTCGACTATGGGGCGAAACACATGTTCTTCTATTTCTTTGAGAGCAGAAGAAACCCACAGAAAGGTTGATTGAGTACACTGTTGGCTGTCGAGCCCTGACTTATGCAAGCGTGTGGTTAGACGATGTCATGATGTGGATTAACGGCGGACCAGGCTGCTCGTCGTCAATGGGTCTGCTCATGGAGCTAGGTCAGTGCCCATGCGCTAGCGGACGCGCAATTGATAGACCGTTTGCAGGACCATGTCAGATTGACATAACGGGCACCTCGCCCAACCGCACAACCTGGAATCCATACTCCTGGAACGCGGAAGCTAACATATTCTTCCTCGATCAGCCGTAGGCCACTCTGCTAGCAATTGCGCTCTGGGATGCATATTGAATACCTCACTCCAGTGTCGGTGTTGGTTTTTCTTACGCCGACTACGGTGAGACGGTCGAGACCACGGAAGAAGCAGCTCGGAACGTGCATGCCTTCATCAATATCTTCTTCCAGACATTTTCTGAGTTTTCTGGGCGACCGCTACATCTATCCGGCGAATCGTATGCAGGACGATACTTGCCTGCGTTCGCGAGCTACATACACGACCAGAACCGTCTCGCGCAGGCCGAAGGGCGAGAGACGATCAATCTACAAAGTGTCCTGATTGGCAACGGCATCACAGACATTTCTACGTAAGTGTTATCTCCTTGTGATTTGAGCGGAGAACGCTTTAGCCATGCCTGCAAGGTTATATCCTGGTAGATATGAGATCGAGTGCGGCACGGCGGCGCTGGAAGTGCCGTTCCAAAAGGTCAGCACTTGCGTACGGATGAAGATGGCAGTACGTCCCTTCTTTCCCGAGTCTTTGTGGAAGAAACTGTGCTCATCACTCCATACAATGCAACAGCTTCCACGCTGCCAACGAGCCATGTATGACAGCTGTATCGACCAATTCGATGCTATTGGCTGCAACGCTGCCGTGAACCTCTGCGACTCCGAACTGAGCACTGGATATTGGGCAAGCGGTGAGTCCTGTACGAGCTGACATATCAACGGTGATCTCAAAGGACTATGCAGGTCGCAACCCCTACGACATCTCAAAGGTACGCCGGTCTCCCCTGATAGTCTGACAGAGTCCTGCAACATGACACGCTCCCCAGCCCTGCGAAGGCACGAGCCTCTGCTACAACGAGAACGCCGCTATCAAGGCCTACCTAGATGATCCCTCTATCAGGAACCTCCTCGGCGTCTCTTCCCCGAACAACTTCACTGCATGTAGCAGCGCCGTCGGAACGGGATTCCGCGCACATCTGGACAAGTGGGCAGTCCCGTCCCAGCACTACGTCTCGAGCCTGCTAGCGCGTGGCATCAGAATCCTCATTTATGCGGGCACGTATGACTGGCAATGCAACTGGGTTGCGAATCGGATGTGGGTGGATAAGCTCGAGTGGGACGGTGCCGATGCGTGGGCGGCGGAGACTTGGAGGAGTTGGGGTGTGGATGGCAGCGTGGCAGGTGAGACGAAGACAGTCGGCCCGTTGACCTTTGCGACCGTCTTTGGTGCGGGACATATGATAAGTCTTACCTCTGTCTCGTGCATCAAATTTGTACTGACTTGTGGCGTGTTATGTACGTCCCTCATGACAAACCGGCAGAAGCACAGGCAATTGTGTCGCGGTGGCTCACTCAGAAGGACTTGTGAAAGTCAACTATAGCGGCGTATCTTTCCGCGCATCTATACAGTACGAGACATCTTGCACGAAAAGCTGCACGCATAAGCAGGAGGCGGTTCTCTTTCACTGCAATTTGCCAAAGCCGCGACCAGACACCGCGGGCAAACCAGGTTTTTCGGGCTCCGAAAACGCTAATAACATCGGTCCTCCATGGGAACCTTTTCGGAGAGCTTGACTGACTCCGAAAATGCTCCCGCATTTCTCATGTTCGTAGCATGTTCGCCGAAAACACGCATGTTCGGCCTCCGAACATGCTGAAATCGGCTGAAATGCATCATGTTCGCAGCATGCTCTGACAATATTCGGAGTCCGTAAAGGTTCCCAGGCGGGACTGATGTTCGTAGGGGTTTTCGGAGTTGGAACAACCTGGTTTGCCCGCGGTGAGAGTTGAACGGGGTGGGCGCTTATGTAGACCACGTGCATCGTGTCGTTGCCACTTGCCAGTCACTCGCCACGACGCGACGCGACTTGATACACGACTACGACCTTGCCTCTGCATTTGTACTGTCCGAGCTGTTGGCGCAAGTCATCGCTGCCGGAGCTGACTTGTGTCTCCTGACATCGTCTTGACTGGCAATGACAGAAAGAACCCGACGAAGTCATCGACTTGTGGACGAGACTACTACGCCGTGGCATCAACTTGGTCTTTAAATCGACAATAACTGCCGTTAACGTTCCAATACAACATAGAACCCAGTCGCCGTGCATGTTCTCTACTCTGGATATAATAGGCACCTGTCTTCCGAGTACTATTACACTTCACAGGCAGAAAACGTTCCCAGGATGTCAACTCGACTTCGATTATGACGAGCTTCGAACCAGGCCTGACTGGATCGCCATGTGGAAGTGCCATAACACGGTGGCCATCTGGTGGCCATCTTTCTCTTCAGCTTGGCGAACGGATTGGCTGCGGCAGATCTGCTGTTGTCTATGCAGCGAAGGTTCTCTACGCTACGCCAGGGCAAGACGTCCTTCCCTGGACTAAAGACCCTCTCATTGGAAACTTTCAAGCCGGACCTCTGCGTCAAGGTGGCGTGGCCGAATCGCTGTCGTTCATTCGCTCGGGAGGGTCGGATGTACGAGCTCAGCTCACCGAGGGCGCGCTTCAAGGCAAAATCACACCACGTTGCTACGGGTTCTTCACCGCCGAGCTAGACCCTGGCTTGTCGCGGTTTCTTCGGTCGAATGAGGACTTTGACCTCGACAGAACTCCTGCCACTGGGGATCATGGACTCGATGATTCCACCTGCGACGATCCTTTACTTGATGGTGATGACGACAATGACAACAACGCCGGCTCTCTGGTGGAAGGGAGCTCTGGCCATGGCTCAATCAGCGCCTGAACCCAGACGCACCACTTCTGTCGACCCTCGTCATGGCTCGTGATGGACCGAACTACAGCGCCAGCGAGGACGAAAGGTATGAATCAAACCGGTACTTGCCGCTCTACTTTGCCCGTTGTTGACTGATTCTTGGTGCACGCAGGGAGGACGTGTCGCAGGTCCTCGCCTTGTTGGCATCGTGGTTTACCATTTAACGCGACTTCCGCCCGCTGAGCATCATACGCGCACCGGCTGACATGCGGAAATGCCGTGGACACATTTGTGTGCACCAGCGGAACCTTGTTGACTTCATCTGGTCCATTGTCGACGATCCGAAGACTCGAAACAAGGCAGGATTTCTTCGCCGATTGCAGAGAAACAAAGAATGTTGACCATACTTCTACACCGATAGATCTGCGCGTGGCCCTGGGCCTTCTCACAAAGTTGGTACATTTGGTACATGACACGGTCGTGCGGACTTATTAAAGTGACCGTTAGGTGTAAGTAACGAGATTGATCCTCTATACGCAGTCCAGAGTCTAAGCTGATATTCAACGTTGTACAGATTTCAGCCACTGTCCCCTTCTATCATACACAGCGATGTAGTCAAATACAATTCTCGTAGGCCCTTCATTCTTGTTCAATGCGCGACATGGCGAGTGTGATCTTGTCTGCCAATAGTCGATGCACACCATCGGAGACGCTGACATCGATGCCCCATTGCGGATGTTCCGTCCATATCTTGCCGTTCTCCTCTGTTCGGTCTTCTTCGGCGAATCCAAACGCCTCCGGATCATCCAACAAGTCCGACAACACCTTGTGGGACGAGAACACGAACAGCGATACGTCTTCGTGATCACCGGCGAATTCTCGCGCAGCGGCATATAGGCGTTCGTTCCAGAACTGTATGAACCATCTTGCATCGTCTGAACACCCCTGTTCGATTATGCCCGGCGCACGGTCCGCAGGAGGTGTGTCGACGATAAGGAAGTTTCGCGCGCTCGCCTTCTTGTATAACTCGCCGGCGGAAGAGAACATCAACGAGATCGCTCCGGACAAGCACTCCAGTTCAGGGTCCTTTGCAGGGTGCAGCTGTGGCGTCTGCGCGCGCCTCCGTCGTAGCTTGAGCATGAGTTCCGTCCCCTTGGGCTCAACCTCTGCTTGCAGCGTCCCCTCAGATTCATCATTGGTGGCCTGCTCGGATTCGTTATCGGTTGTCTCGTCTTCGTCGTCGACCACCTCCTCGGGACCATCACGGACATGGCTCTCAGCTTCGTCGTCAGCCCTGTCGTCAGGAGAGTCTTCCCTGTGGCCTTCAGACTCTTCGCTTGTCTTGTCATTGGGTTGTTCGTTACTGCCATTTTCAGGGTCGACATCAGTTTGGTCCTCATACTTGTCGTTGGATTGGCCCTCGTGCTGTCTCTCGCAATAGCTCGGTCCTTCGCACTCTTCATAGCTGACAGCCACAAGGTATGTCAGTGGCTCTGGGTATTTCGGATGTTCGATTTGGCTCACCAAGTATCCCAGTATCCCAGCCAAATAACTAGTCCAACAGACGACGCGTGAGTGCTCATACAAGCTTGCGTTATTTCAATGCTCACCGTATAGTGTTGACGCAGGGTCATAGGCCTCTTGCGGATCGGGGCCGTTAGTGCACAGGTCATCAATCTGCATCGTGCTGTCGCTCCACGCGGAGGCAATGTCTTCGGCGAGATTCTCGACTTCCACAGTGGCACCAGAACCGTGCAAGCGATCCCTCAGATAGTCGTGCTGGGCCACAGAACTAGGGTAAGCAAGACGCACGGTCGAAGTCGGTGGCTGTGTACATACCCAGACCTTTTCTTGCTGAGCATGGCCCCTGCTGAAGTGATCGCCCCTGCATAGGCGGGTAAGTGTTAGTGTACGTCTCTATATATAATGGGCTGACCCCACTCACAGATGGACCCATGTCGTGAAACCAGCTAGACCTGGCCAGCTGTCGCGCTTGACCGCCACAGGAAGTACGTCCTGTATAGCTGTACATCGAGGAGGTCAAGTCGGGCGGCTCAGGCGTCGTTGGAAGTGGGCCTACCTATGCCTGGTGGGGGTTTGTCGGATCTCTTCGGCATAGACAATGCAAATTCGACGACTTGCGTCTCTGGCGCCTTAACCGGACGGGCGGGGCTGCCCATCTCGATCCTTGCTTTCTTTTTGATAGGGTTGGCCATGGCGGCCGCCGATGAACTGCTGCCCTCGCTGTCCAGCATGCGCTTGTCTCTGGCCATTGCGCCGTCTCTTCTATTTCTAGACTGGTGAAGTAGTCGAGGGGAGGAGTGGGGATGCTGGGGGTTTGAGGTCAAGAGGGGATGCGGCAAACACGTCCCCAACTCGCTCTTATAACGCGTCTACCATCGCGTCTTGAACGCGTCACGAGGGCGTGGCTCGCTGGAGCCACAGTTGATCAACAACGACTCAGCCATGGACTACAGCGCAGAATGGCATTCCGCTTGTGTACGGATATGTCAGTTCCCTTGTGCACGGAAAGGTCTGTTTCGCAGCCACATTGTTCGGTGATGTCACGCAGCGGTGACGCCTTCTAGTTTTCGACCCATCAAATCCCGTCACATCCCTCGTCCCAGCCTGCTGCATAGTCTGACCTTGCGATATACGATTGGGCGTCCGCGCAACGCCATCTAGCCCGTTGCAAGCCATCCTCAGTGCGTGGTCCATGCAGCGTTGCGCGACTTCACTGACCTCAGTCGCGCGATGGTAGTACCCGACCCAAGGGTTTCATTTGGATCTGTGCGCGCCGAACTCGTCATCGGCCACTCGCTTCCTGTCAAGGCTGCCATGAGGCAGAGTGCTTCTGATCGATTCGATACGGCCGGCTAACATGTGGCTTCTTCAAGGTAGTACTAGTCGAGGCATGATGCATGATGGGCCACTTGAGAGGAATCAAGACGTCCAACAATGGGCCAAATTTGGGTAGCCACTGCTGGCTTGAAGGTCAGATGCGATGCGTCTGAATCGCCTATTCCTGGAACGTACCTTCGCAACGTCCCGCCAGCCAGTTTGGGCTGATTGAACTCCACTCTAGGAAAGCAGTTTGCGGAGTGGCTTCCTTCACACTATTGTGTGTAGGTCCGACTTGTCATGCAAGCATTGTGCACACGTATGATCCAAGCCGAAAAGTGCAGCATGAGCGCGCTGAAAGTCCAACGATACTCATCGTATAGCAAGTGACGGTCGCTGGTGCCCAATGTCACCGAACACGGTCTGAATCTATCCGGAATGAGTACCTCGATAACCAACACCAGTACTGCCACCCCACCTGTCTCATCTGATCGCAATTGCCGTAAAGTACGATGCTTTGTTTCGCCGTTCTCCTGTTTGGGCAGATGTGGAGGTCTCCCACAACATTGCCTCCGAGTCCAAGGTGCGCTCCTATTAAAACGCTTGTCCGGATGTTGGTCTGATGTGATTGTGTCGTAGTCTTCGCCGGACAAGCCCCATAGGGAGGCCTCGGACGTAGAGACTAGACTGAAGTACACAAAACATAAGTGTATATATGTAGACGCTCCTAGTACAAATGGAACATCGATCAGTTTCGCTATGGCCAGATGCGCCGCGACAGACCGGTACCGCGCTTTCGCGTGCGCCGACTGGTGAGTCCTTCATTGACGATCTCGAGACGGCTTGCCGGCTCCGCTAGTTGTTTCGGGACGATATCGCAAAGTTCCCATATCCGACCCGTATCAATATATCATAGAATCAGTTCCACTGCTCGGTGCCTCTTCTTTCCCCGCCTTGAGTCTCCCAGTACTACTACTCGCACAACATGGCCGACATAGCAACAACATCCTTCCTTAACACTCTCAAGTCTGCCTTCCCCTCCCCGCCACTCACTACGCCAGAGGCAGTTCTCACCCAGCCCTGGTACATCGTTGCCGCCGTGTCCTTCAGCGCGAGCCGGAAGCCTGCTGCCGTCCCTATCGTCTTTGAGTTTGTACTCCACGAGCTGGAGGCTGCCCAGCTTGTGGCCGGCGTGCGCGCGGACTCCGAGGAGGGACTGGCGCAGCGGGTCAAGCTTATAAGCAAGATCCGTGAGGCATTGCTGCATTCCGGGCTGTTGAGCGGAGTGCCGAGGGTGAGTGATTTGGTGCGTCCGAGTCCGCTACCATATGGCTGACACCATGGATCCGTAGATCATAGAGAGCTTAATCGCTCTGCATGGGATTACTCCAGAGGAACTGCAGGCCAAGGAAGTCCTCCGGTGAGCATCTTCCGTAATCTATCCATAGACGAATTCTCATCCGATGTGGCCACTGGTACAGAGACCGCACGAAGACGATCGCAGACTACGAGCAGAGCGGCGAGAAGCTATTCCGCTCTATGTACCGCGAGACCGCGGACACCGTGCAGGGCCTGCTCGACCGCACGTACCCAGACCTCGGCTGGTTCTGCAACACCGTCGGCTATGGCATCACTTATGGCGGGACCGATGTGCTGACGCAGGTGGAGGTCTCCTACGCCATTGTCGCTGCGCTGATCGCCATCGACGCGCCGCGCCAGATTACATGGCATCTGGCCAACGCGCAGCACGGTGGAGCGACGTTCGAGGAGGCACGGGCTGTGAGGGAGATTTCGGTGAAGGTTGCGCAGGCGGCGGGCGTGACTTGGTCGGATGGTGTTCCGGAGGTGACGGCTGTTGAACAGCACTGAGACGAGAACAACAGGCAATTTGTAGCACAACTAACTCACCCAGGAACCTATAAGTATACGCAATGACCATCATAGAGGGTCTTGAGGACGAGCTACACGACTGAATGCTCGATGTCGCGTTACGTTTTGTTCTGGGATGATGTACTCTAGCTAGTAGCTCGAGCCTCGCGTTGTCCACATTCGAGACAGACACCTAGAGACAACTTTGCGTTCACAGCCGGTGGCTTTCACCACCAATCCATCGCAATCTTCTTGACAGCAGCAGGCAGTGATGTGTACTGTGACTCAAAGTATCAACTTTCCATGGATAGCGACTCACGATGCGACAATCGAGGGGGAAGACGGTCTTCTACGGCGGCGCGCATCTGGTGTCACGTGGGTCGCGTTCCGCCCGGCGGGATTGCCTATTTTGGAGGTGGGCGAGGATCCACTTGGCGAGTGGCCACTGAGTGGTGAACGATGCTACAAGTCTACACATGCGAGCTAAAGCGAGGCAAATTAGGGCAGAGGCTCGGAGAATATGGAGGAGGATGGAATCACCGATGAGTGTAACCGTGTTACGTGCGCCGCTCTGTATGCGGAAGCCGGTTAGGAAACCGATTAGCACATTTATAGTGGAACTCGCCTTCTACCCAAGGACGTCAACGATAGCAGAGCTCTGACCTTCAACTGACACGATCACAGTCAACAGCATCGTAGGTGCTGGTGGCCACGCGAGCGCGCAGGAGCGGTACAGCAGTGGGAATCTCTGTAAGTATCCCGAGAGAGACGGTATCCCTGGAGAGACGGTTGGAGACCTGCCGGTCCAGGAGGACGTCACGCGCGACGCACCGCCCGTGACTGCGACTCAGCTTGCCTCTTGCCCGCCAAGTCGCACAAGTGCAGCTCGAGCCTCTCGACATCGTCGACCCAGACGTCCCACACAACGGCGGGCGTCCCAGAAGCAGCGGCCGTGGAGTCAGGCGGCTGGATCCGGTGAAGGCCGAACCGTGACGAAGCGCACTCAGCCCTTGACCACCGTCTCCCGCTATACCTCCCCACCGTCCTCAGCGATGGGCAACAGCGCCTCCTCGGGTCGCGGTCACCACGAGGAGACCGTCGACTTTGGCTACCTCACACCGCAAGGGGTCTACACCGGCCCGCGCGACTGGAACCAGTCAATAGTTGCACAACTCATCTGCGAGCGCAGGCTCGCCCCGTTCTACCGACCGCTCGAGGATTTCGACGAGTCATGGGACGATGAACAGATTCTCGTACATAGAAAGGAGCCCCCACCAGATTCCGATTCCCCCGCAGAAGCGTCCTCATCACGCATCGACACCGGCAGCATATCCTCCAGCCGGTCGCACAAACGCGGACACACAAGCACGACTTCGAAGGAGGTGATTCGACATCCAGAGGCGGCGATATACCGAGGGGCAATCGAGTGCCCGATTTGCTTCCTGGTGCGCCCATTGTCTTCCCGCTGACCTGCCGCACGACGCTTAGTGTTGTCGCGCGACCATCCCTACAGTACTACCCGCCGAATATCAACCATTCACGGTGCTGCGACCAGGCCATATGCACCGAATGCTTTGTGCAGATCAAGCGTGCCGAGCCGAACGCAACGCATCTCGTGTCCGAGCCCGCGGCCTGCCCGTACTGCGTGCAGGAGAACTTTGGCGTCGTCTACACGCCGCCGCCGTGGCGCGCGGGACTGGGCAGCGAGGGAGCGGTGAGGACTTCTTGCCGCGCTGATTGATGGCCCGCCGGTGCTGACATGTGTGCAGACACCGCCTTCATGGCCGGAGTCGCCCAAGCAGGCCGAACCAAGTGCGACCGCCGCGATGAAGCGGCCACGCAAGAGCTTTGGGGCGGACAGCCCGGAGGTCGTCACGATCGGTGCGTGACCTCGTTCTGCATCTATGCTGTCATACCAAGCCCTCGCAGATCATATTCGGCCGGACTGGGAGGCGAAGCTTGCGGCTGTGCGCGCGACAGTCGCGCGGCGTGCGAACAGGCGCATCATCATGCGCCAGGTGGGCGATCGGCTCATCCCCGTTGGGATCAGCAGCGGACGCGTTCATGCACTCACGCCGGAGGAGGGAGGGCAACAACCAGAGAATGCGGAGGGTGCTGTCGAGCCAGGTGGTGGTCGCAGCCGGCGCTCGCGGAGGAGACAGCAAAACCAGGATCTAAACCAGTTATTGGGTACGATGGGCATTGCTGGGCAGGATCTCGAGGAGGTACGTTATCTTGCCATCTCATCTGGAGTGCTTGTTGACGTTATGACTACAGCTTATGATCATGGAGGCAATGCGGTTGTCGCTGCTCGAGCATGAGGAGCAACAGCGAAAGCAGCAAGAGGAAGAGGAGAAGAAGCGGCGTGAGCAAGGAGGAAGCGGGGAAGGAGAGCAGAGCGCGGGCACGGGTTCGTCGTCATCGCCAGCACCGCTCGACACCACTTCTGTTGCAGCAGCGGCATCGTCTTCTGCAACCACCCCCGAACCTGCCCCGTCTCCGAGCAACGCACTCGCCTCGTCAACACCCATCACGCCTGTGAGCGAGTCACCGAATACGGGTGGCGTGCCCGTGCCCACACCTGCACCTGTCCCCGCTGCTGAGCGTAGTGCTCCCAGCCCCGCCTCCTCGACCACTCCCGACGCGACGGTCTCACCCTCGAGCCCGCCCACCGTAGACGACAATGCCTCGCAACCACATACGCCTCCGTCCGCATCCGAGCCCTCAAGCAGCAGCACCAACAGCCGTCCGGTGGGGTTCGACCGCGTTGACTCGACCGCCTCGTCGATGGCACCCGGTGCGGGTGGGGAGGCGTACGATGTACTGTCGTCTTCGCCGGAGTCCACGGTGTCGCACAAGCCGCTGTTGCGCTCGAGGCCCCCGAGTCCCGCGGTGATTCCGGCTGTCGCGGATGCTGCATGAGTCCTGGTCATCGAGTCACGAATATGACGAGAGGTAAGGAGGGAGAGACTAATGGTGCACTATCGTGGACGAGTTAAGGTTTTGAACGGACAGGAGTCGCCAGCCACCGTTGTTACTACCCGACGGTAGGGAGAGAACGGAATGATGTCCTTGCGCTGTAGTTTACTAGATTACCGTCATCCTCTGTGAATCTTTTCATCTTGTTGTTTGACATATACATTCTTTCCGTCATATATCCTGTGACAGACCTTTTGGATTGCGCACTTCGGATTTGTGCACGCTAGAGCGTACACATGAGGGCGTGATTATATGATCTGTGTATAGTACACGTGGGACAACATGACGAGGGGGCACATGGCAATGCGGGGATGTTGGGTCGAGGTGGGACTGGAGGGTGTGGAGTGGGCAGGTCGTAGGGACTATGATCGACGGTCTGCCCATACGGGTTTCTGAGAGTCGGGGTCTTTGAGCTATATACTCGTCCGTATGAGTTATGTGCCGCGTCGTAGTCGTGGATAGATCGCACCTGTGCCTCCACCTGTCTCCGCGTCTCACTCTCCATGGCTAGACGAGCGGCGCGGTTCTGGTCTACCTTCCGTCGCAAGTCGGGTGACATGGCCTGCATAGAGGACCCGTCAGCGTGTGCCTTACACTTCGGACCGCGGGCTTCGATGTCGGTTGAGCTGAATAGGTACTCACAGCGTATGTCTGTTCAGGCGAAGGTGTAGTAGCTGCCATCCGCGCACGCCGACGTCATTAGCACTCGCAACGATCGGTATCGCGTATGTACGCACCCTTCATAATTACATAGCCAATGCTCATGACTTCAATATAGTTGCGTCGTTAGAAAGAGCGCGAAAAGCAGACGTGAGCGGACACGAAGCAACGGGGGCAGCGGAGAGCGTACGCGCTACGGAGGCAATCGACATCCTGAACCAGGGGAACTTGGGCTCGGCCATCGTATCGAGTCAACTATAGCACTTGCAGATACAGGCTGAACCAGTCGATAGCTGTTCAATAGCGTGCGGGACACGGGTAGGTAGTACGACAGGGACTCAGACTCGGAGGAGGAGGAGGAGGAGGAGGGGGGTCCATTTAGCCACCGGCCGATAGCGCACGCGCGTCTCGACTTCTTGACGGTGACAGCGCTCACTAGCTACAACATCGCAAGCCATAGGACTACGTACTAGACTACCTCACTGCTACTACATTAGATGGCCCCCAATTCCCCTCCATCCCTGCCAAACACTCTTCCCAAGACGTGTCACCTCTTTCGGCCCTGGCCCTCTCACCAAGCTTTGGCGGGGCGGGACACTCTGCTAAAACCTGGGGGGAAAAACTCGAAAAACCCCCCAGGAGCCAGTGCCGGTCCTCCGGGCATCTGACAAAACTCACAGAGCGCCAGGCCATTGAATAACATGATTCCGTGACAACCTTGGGCTGTCCTCAAGATCCGCCAGACGGGCTGACGGGTGGGCAGGGATGGAGGGCGCCATATCGCAGAGCTATGTAGTAGCTTGTCTTGGTAGCCGTTTGGTAGGTCCCATAGCCCGCGACGATGATATAGTCGCACGCGGGATGATTTTGGGGGGCCCGCACTAGGCCTCTATCTAGACCTGCTCCTCGGAGGAGACCACTGCCATGGGGACAGTATCGTACAGCTGTAGGACTGTATGTGCGTACTCCGTGAGCCGTGGAGCGACTACATCATCATCATCTACAAAGCAGTCTGCGAGGAAGTGCTCCGACATGTGTTCCCGGCTTACGCGCCATTGCGGCATGCGGGCAAACTTCCCATCGTTGACGAAGGGTTCCAACTTCCCGCTCATGACACTGATGTTCAGATGAGCACTGTAGTAGTAACATGTGCACGTCATCTTCAACTGATCCCTGTATTCTGTGCTTGACAAGGACCAGCAGCTTGGATAGAACAAGGCAGAGGTCTCCTACCCATGAAGCAATTCCAGACAGGGCCATTGCCCGAGCCTCAGCCAAAGCCATGAGAGGCAGCGCTGGGCGCTGTAGGATGCCCGCTGAGAGAAATGGCGAGCAAGAGCCTAAGAATAGGCCCGTCGCTGTAAGCAACAACACCGTCCAGCGGGCAACACTGGTATACAGCCACATTATCATTCAGACCACTGCGCAGTCCGCCAGCGGGCAACACCCCTTTCGTATAGGCAAAGTAGTCCGCCATCGTACAGAGTACTACAGACGTTGTCATCAGCAACTGACCCGTCCATCCTCTGCAACTCCTTTGTCGAGACAGCTCCCCCCATGTCGCAAGAGTCGACACAGGAGAGGTTCAACTAAAGCGGCCCCGAGGTGCTTCAAATCCCTTTGGACATCACACAACAGGTTCCCGCAGCGGAGCATCGTACTACGTCGCAAGAGTCGACGGACACTGAGAGTCTCAACAGGCCCGATGTGCTTCGAATCCCTTTGGACATCACACAACAGGGCAGATGAGCATCGTACTGCGTCGCAAGAGTCAACGGACGAGAGGCTTGGCAGCAGGCCCGCAGTGCTTCGAATCCCGGACATCACACATCGGATCCCCTGACGGACTGAGCATCGTACTGCGTCGCAAGAGTCGACGGACAAGGGACTCGACAGGCCCGATGTGCTTCGAGTCCCTTTGGACATCACACAACAGGTTCCCTCAGCTGAGCATCGTACTGCGTCGCAAGAGTCGACTGACGAGAGGCTTGGCAGCTGGCCCGAAGTGCTTCGAATCCCGGACATCACACATCGGATTCCCTGACGGAACCATGCTGTAGAGTACGCCAGCGTAGGCGATGTACTCGTGCCGGGTGGGAATTGGAGTATTTGATACACGACAGTTTGGTAGAACTGCGTCGTCGTCGAAGGTTGTCTAACCCACAGAAATCAGTGCGCCATGCCTAGGTCGCCCAACACTCACTGCGAGGCCCGTCAATGCCGCCTGTAACTCTCGGCGACACCGTCGACTGTCTAAGCGCCGACATCCGACCACACTGCCATCCATCCATCCCTTCTCTCCACGATTTCGGCTTGTTCTCGTGGTTTGGAAGTCGCCCGGACGTCGAGAGAAGAACGGCGATGGTATTTGGAGTTAGGTGCCTGTACATTGCTCTGAAGAGCATTGGCCCTCCCGTCGCCGGTCATGACCATCGTACGGGATCGACGGGCCTACGCTATTCGATGTGTACTACTAGCCGTCTATCCTGGCAGAGAATCTCTCCAGCCTGAGCAGACCGCGTCACCCGCGCTACTCCAGGCGTAGTAACCGCTAAGCCTGCCAGAGAATCCCTCCCGCAGCTGTAGTCGGTCCCAGCGTCGTGCCCACGTCGCCTGCGCTGTTCCAGGTGTACTAGCCGTCTAGCCTGCCAGGGAATCCCTCCAGCAGGCCCAGTCTAGTGAATGAGGAGTGTGCGCAGTGGTTCGCATCCCTACATAGTACGTTAGAAGAATATGAAAGCCAGAATTTCAGATATACTGGAGTTGGCCAACCCGAGAGTTGGATATTCAGAATTGGGTCGAGCCGTTAGTCGTTCCTCATGGATCGTCAGCGCGTCAGCCACCCGCTCAGCGCTAACGTGATTCAGCTGGAACTCATGCTCATGAATGAGTCTCAGTCTGTTCAGTACGAACCACCTACTGTGTATGTTCGTGTGCCGCTGGCGGTGAAGACAGGGGATGGACGTACAGCATGAAGAAAATATCACACCTGACTTCTCTCGGGGCGGCGCTGCACAGCCGCAAAAGTTGCAGATGTTACTAGTAATTATAAGTTAGCTATATAGTCCAATTCGTACATGACTTCCACATTGACATAGCATATTGACCGAAAGTCGACTTACATAATATACTACTGTACGACTTGGTAGGGACGACGTAGACTTGGTAGGGACGACGTAGTCATGGGCTGATGATGAAGACATTCGGAAATTTTTAAACAGAACAAGGTATATGAGATGGCACTACAACCAATGTAGTCAGTCGGTAGTCCTCTGCGTCGGACTGCGCTGAGGCTTAACATAGCTGAATATCGACCGCGTCTGACCAGCTACAACCAGTAAGGTGACTTGCTGCCTTCGGGACTACGGAGAGCATGTCATGCAGCATACTCTAACCAGCTCATACAGGGTATTGGGCCGGTGTAAAAGTATGGGTAACAGAAGTTCGCTCTCTGGATTCTGCGGAGAGCCCTTTTTTATTACTTTGATCGACCAGGCGAAGTCGATGGTGTCCCATTTGTGCACAGACTTGTGACTGGAACACCGCACTTCTATGACAGTATTTATCGTTGAAAATTAACGTGTTCGAAAGGCAATACCCGCAGAGCGCATCCGCGCGGTTCTCGTTTATCAGGGAACATCTTCCTAATGCTGCCACACATTCACATTAAACTCCCCTGTTATTTACTTCATTATGTTGCAATGTAAGGATCAGTGCATCATTGTGATGATATTAGCATCAAGAATTGAATTGAATGATTTTGGTATTTATCTATTCACAATCAAATGGACTACTATTCAAAGGAATGCCTGCAAGAAAGTTGTGGTAATGATGCAGAGTAAGTAGGCAAGTATGTTCTTAAGAAAGCTTTTGACTGGCATATGCCACTCTGATGACAACCAGAAACAAAAATAGAAGAGTATAGACAAGTCAGGGATTGACCAAAACAGTAGATGATGGATGCTAACTGAAATCATTTCAGCCAATGTGCTAACAAGGATAAGGCGGGATGGGTATATGGAACAGACCCACTGATTCTATACCATATACCTACATGACCATTATATATCTTCTTAGGGTCTATTCTATAGGGGTGGTCCAAGGTAAATGTGGCACATTTGATGAATTAATTTGCAGAGATTAAAAGTCTATGGGCCATCAGAGACTCAGGGTGCATGACATTGTTGGCATAATGCACAGTATCCAGTATCCCATGCTGGTCAATATGCTTTGTGCTACACAGTGCTTAGAGTCCCATTGACAAGTCCCTGTTATTCCACTCTACACTTGCCAATAATGCTCCCGCAAGCAGTGAGTTCATAGAGATTGATTAAGGAACACTATCACTTACTTGAACTGCTGTTCTTACCCCACCCTTCTCAAACTCATAGCCACCACCATTGTCCATGAGATTGCTGATCACAAGGCCCCTCCAGACCCAAGATGCCATGGTCATGACATTGATGTTCTTTTTAAGGAAGCTCTTGAGATGGTGGAGGTCCACGGGGCTCATTCTCTTGAGTGCCCAGATGTCCCTCAGCCTGAGGAATGACATTGCCATGGTGGTGAGTTCACCTGGCCGGTATCTGTGCTGCATCAGTCAGTGAGCATTAAGAACAGATGGAGAGCCACTCACACAAGGTATTTCACAATGTCAACATTGACCAACAACTTGCCGAGCACGGGGCAAACACTCCTAAACATGTGCGAGGTAAAGCTACCAGATGTATTGCCCTACATGAAGGTGACTTACTGGAAATATCCCCGCCATGAGCCCTAAGCACACCCAGTCATCACAACAGGAACAGTGCAAATACCACATTACACAAGAGAGCCTCATGCTACTGCCACTTCTATAGTGACAAAATGCATACTCATACCTTACTACACATCCTATCAAAGCCTGACATTCCATCAAGTCAGTCTGTTGAGCTCTAGCTGCAGGAAAATCATTCTATGAGAATGGTGAGATGATGCCCATTTTTGCTAAGTAGCAGCTCAATGTAATGTTTGGCCAAAACTGGAACCCTGAACATTGGGCACCTCAATCCTCATGCCAAGCAGCCAGGGAAGAACTATGCAGTTATTTCTAAGTGCCTCCACATGTGTTACAGCCTACATAGAGGATCTCTGATCTATGCGATGCGCAGAGTTATTTTGCGCAGGCGAGACTGACTTCCTAGTTGGTCTGGCTCACCCTACCCTCACCTCAAAATGTTTGTGATATTCCTGGGACATTCTAACATGCCATGACACTGAGTGCACAAGGCTCATCAAGTGCCAAAGGTGTCCAAAATCGTCGCCCAATATAGTAGGTCTTAGGACATGGCTCTATGGTCATGTGACCTAGTACTTAGGTCTTAGGACATGGCTCTATGGTCATGTGACCTAGTACTTAGGTCTTAGGACATGGCTCTATGGTCATGTGACCTAGTACTTAGGTCTTAGGATATAGCTCTATGGTCATGTGACTTAGTACTTAGGTCTTAGGTCTTAGTATATTGTCCCATGGTCAAGTGACCTTGTACTTAGGTCTTTGGACATGGCTCTATGGTCATGTGACCTGGTACTTAGGTCTTAGGTCTTAGTATATTGTCCCATGGTCAAGTGACCTTGTACTTAGGTCTTTGGACATGGCCCACAGACACAGGGGCTAAGGGAAACTGCTTAGAGTTGGGTGCAGACACTTGGGAACATCACATGACTTGGGTGTTTGGAGTTGTGACTTGCTGGAGAAGTAGGGACTATGGAACAAGACTTAATTAAATAATGAAAAATGCTTTCATACACTTCTGCGTGTCTGCTGGAGCGCGAATGACGGTGGCTTCGCGAAGATCACAGTGGATCATGTAGCTGGCCGACAAGTCATCCAGGATATGTAAAGCGTCTCGCCTGCGAACACAGAAGAGTTGAGTCGACGTTAGTCGGAGTGAGACAAGAGGCACCGCGTTACCCACCGGTTGGAGTCGTCCACTGGCTCGTTTTTGACCACACCATATTTTGGCCCACCTTGCAGTGAGCCATTACAAGGACCGACAGAAGTGGCGCGTCGGCATCGGGGCGCCAGTCGACCCATGGAGAGAGCTCCCTGGCATACAGAAAGGGGTCGGCCGACTTCGCTCGGTCACCGTACAGAACGTCATCACGGGTAGGATCGTCAGATTCCCGCGCCTCGGATGCGTCAATGTAGAGGTCTTCACTCGTCCAGGGAGGGAAGGCTTAAGTGGTCGAATGCGAGGTCTATAGCGATGAACCCGTAGCAGCGCGTGGTCATTGGAGTGCGCCTTCGGTGAGCTGTTCGTACATCCATGCCTCTCCCGCAAGGGAACGACAACGATTCGGACGCGCTACCTTGACAGACAGCTCCAGGCCGAAAGGATCTTTGACGAACGGAACGTCATCTTCCGCAGGTGTGGCAGCGACGACCTGTGATGCGTATCTATGCGTATCTAGACAATAATATAGCACACCTTCCGTAGCCGATGCATTCCCCAAGTTCGAGAGAGGTGTCTAGCATTCTTCGGCACTTGCGCAGCGATCCACTCTGGGCTGCTGTGAAGTTTGCCACGATTATTGATTGGCCGGGACTCGGAATGAATCCCACCTGCAAGGATTCTGAGCGCCGGCAATATGCGCGTCCGTAAGGGTCAGAGTCGAGAACATGCAAGGGACTTAAGTGCTTGTTCTACACGATTTGATTAACGGTCGACCAGCCTGAGGGAGAGTATACTACCAGACTCTAGTCTTATAGCAAGATCTCGAGGGCGCAAAGCACAGATAGGGTATGCTGGTTCATGTAAGACACCGGGCAACAAAGTGACGACTGTTCCAATTGCTCCTCTGGAAATGCCAGATAAGAGCGTACTTCGCGTCATTGGGCCTAGGGTCATCAATTGCGGTCCAGACGAGGTCAATGATGTTCCACCGATGAACGCGCTTATGTCTCTGACACTCGTGCGTATCCCGCGGGGCGCGGATGACGTTGGATGCACGTAGGTCAGAGTGCAGAAGATGGCACGACGATAAATCGTCGAGGATTTGTTTGACATCTTCCCTGCACAAAACGGTTAGAGCATGGATGCTATATATAACTACCATACATACTGGTTGGACGGATCCTTATCATCCTCCACTAGGCTGAATTTAAGACCCCCGCGAGCCATCACAAGAATCGACAAGAGCGGCGCGTCGGGATTGGGGCGCCAATCGACCCATGGCGAGAGCTCTCTGGCACCGGGAGGCGGGTCGGCACACTGCTCTGCCTCGGGACAATCATCGTGCATCTGATCATCTCGAGTCGGATCGTCTTCCTCCCAATGCTTAGATGGTGCATCCATGTAGTAGTCTTCGCCCGACCAAAGAGGGAAAGGCAGTTGCTCGGGGACCAGTTCGGTGGCAAAGAATCCGTAGGAACGCGGCGTAATCACGCCTTGAGCCACACCTTCGATGAGTTGTTCGTATACCCAAGCCTCTCGAGCGAGCGAGCGACAGCGGTTTGGCCGCGCCACCTTGACACATAGGTCTAGGTTGCGAGAGTCGTCGGTGTGCGGCGCATCGGGAATAACTTTCACGGAATAGACCACGGCAGACCTGCCACCTCCAATACGTTCGCCAAGTTCGAGGGAGAGATGGCCACTGTTCTGCGGTGGTTCTACAGCAGACCAGTCTGGTCTGTTCACACACTCTTCGATCGTAAAGTCGAATTGACGAGACGGAAAGGATTCCCGTCTGGAAAGTGTGATGGGACCCAGGAGGTGTGTGCCTCGGAGGGTTACAGTCGAGAATATGCATAGTGACCGATCCTGAGAGACGAGTACGTCAGTTGTTACTCACGAGAAACTGCAAGATTTAAGACCTACCCTTTCCGGGACTAATTTGGCATACGAGTGAGCAGTTCGCATACTACTAGGCAACAGAGTGGGAGTGAGGAGAGGCGAGTGAGAGACAGACGCAGTGGTCGATCGTCGAGCGATCGTGGTGGCGTCGACTTGAACATACTGTAGCACACGTGACTCACTTACCCCGATCATGATTCCTGCAATGTGCATAGCAGCGCAAGCGCCATCCCCTCCTCCTGGCCGTGACGTGTGTGCCAGATTATCAAGGTCCTTTGAGCTCGTTGCACGCTCTACATCATTTCTAACTGGAGGCATGGCTACCTACTGGTCTTCTTCATGCCAAGGATTTCAACGGAGCAGGCAGGGCAGACTGCGTTCTGCTTGCATCCCCCGCCGCCAACAACCGCGAGAGTCTGAGACTATCCAGGTCCTTGCCAATTGCGAAGTATGCTTGCCGTGGAACTATTGCCTGCGTCTGCGTGCGTGAACGCGTGTGCCGGCTCGTGGTCGCTGAAGCGCTGACCCGCGTTTGCTTGCGACTCACTAGTACTGCATTGGCATAGAACTCTCGTACATGACATATCTCGCCGTCGTGTGCGGATCATGGCCGCAATAGGGGATACGATGTCTCTATTAGCACCAGGCAATACAATATGGGTACGTTGCTGATGAACACCATCTCGTCTTCCGAAACGATAATACGAGGCATCTCCTTTCCTGCAGCACGACTTGTCACAAGAGGATGCCCTCCCTTCTTTGCGTTGTATCTGCTCACACGCTAGGTGATATCTGTTGGAGTATGAATAGACAGGTACTGTCGGGCTATGCTCGGCAAGGCCGAGAAGACATCTCACCCCTTGGGGCCCGCCAAATGCGACTGACAGATGGTCAGTGCGCGAGGGAGCACTGGTGCGCTGAATCTCTCCGTTACTATCTCCTTCAGTCCATATCATTGCCCAGTTGTTGCCTGTGGACCATGTCTCCCGGCAGACTTAGGAGCCAACACTGTCCTTGTTGTGTTACCTTGACGTGAGAGTCTGAGCACGGTCAAGAGTTGTGGCCGAGCTATTTGCCCCCACTGATATGAACCCTCAGACATAGAAGACCATGTTCCGACGTCAACAGCAGCGATCCGAACCTCAGATGGTCAGATTGAGTTCAGACGATGCCTTCGACCCGCCCGCTCTCACATCCCCATCCCAGCCACTGCCCCGCGAGATGCTTCCACCATCCCTGCACCACCACATGTGTACGCGATTTGTCCTCCTAACATCCTTACTGCTCTCGCAGGTCGTCTCTGCCGGTACAACAAACAGAACTATCGATGATACACATGGGGACTCTGTTACCGGCGTGTTACCGACCTACTCGAATAACTGGAACTACGGTCCTAACTGCTCTTTCTGTGCCATTCGCCCGGATGCGAACGAAACCTTCGACGGTACATGGCACGACACGACTTCAAACAGCACGGACCCCACGCAACCCTCAATGACGCTCACCTTCGACGGTACATTTTCCAGTCGTTCATCTCGCGCAGTAGGGGCTAATTGGCCGACCAGGAAGCGCTATCTCGGTATATTGCATCCTCGTCAACAGCGCTAGCTCTCCCGACATCGTGACGTTCACGAACGTCACCTTTGAGCTCGATGGGGCTTCGGCTGGTACCTACAACCATACCGCAGATCCAGCTGCCAATCAGTTCGAGTACAATGTCACGGTCTTCAGCAGAGAGGAACTTAGCAACGAGACGCACACATTAGTCATGAATACAGTGCAAGGATCCTCATCATCCGTCCTGCTGTTCGATTGGGCCATGTACACGTAAGTCCCGCGCTGCATCACAGCAAAGAACTCCCCGAGCCAACCATAAGCATAATGGCGTAGCTTCGATGATGACGATGATAATGACACGACCACGACGAGTCACAGTAAGTGCCTTCAACGTCTTCTTCGGCTTCCTCTCTTATATGTGAACGAAGGTTCCCGGGCCGGGGCGATTGCCGGCGGTGTACTCGGCGGCGTCGCCTTCATCGCGCTCTGCTCTCTCCTCCTTGTCTACCTCCGGAGAAAGCGGGCGGCGCAGCATGCGAAGGACGATGGCAGTGCTGATCCTTATCTGCTCCTGACCATGGGCTACACGGCTGAAACAGGCCAGTAGGGTAGCGCACAGTGCCCATGGGTGCAAGAACATGGCGGTCAAGAGCAGGGCACCTGGCCGATAAGTGCAACCTGGATTTGGGCGAGATGGACGTTCGCACGCGAGACTTCCAGCTCAAGCGCTCAAGCCTTGCCCAAGCCGCGGGTTCGGCGGCGCGCCGATCATCACGTGGGTCGTGTATGTACGAACGCCACAGACGCGTCCAAGATGCGTCATGACGGCTTCCCAAGCGCGCCAGAGGACATCAGGGGTTTTGACTCAGTACTACTTATGTACTTAGTGAATTTCGGTCGTTACAAGACGATACGCGCCCAAGGAATCCACGATGAACGTGGTTTGTCACGTATCATGCACCAAATGCCACTGTAGGAGGCCGAAGCGCTCGCGCTGTCGCGGTGAGCTACTCTGTGGTAATTACCTACAGAAAGCTAACCACCCACTGAGTTAGAGAGCTTGGGGCAGCCATCTCTGCGCGCCATAGCGCTGAATGTGAACCCGACAGCTGTGCATGTGGCTGGCTCCGGTGATACTGCGTCACGTCGCGAGCGCTGTCGAACAAACGATGATGTTCGAGAGACAAGGAGCGTCACCGCTGCGCGACAACGACTTGCATTGTTGTCTCCTTCCTTTCCTAGGACAAACGACCTACCATTTGCGACGTCGTCCGGCATGGTGAGCCCGGTTTGCCGCGCGTATGTACACGCCCTCGTGACGCGTTCAACACGCGATGATGGACGCGTTAAATGGCTTGGGTGGGACGCGTTCGCTGTACTAAACCTTGATCAGACCTTCCCTCGAGCCACCACCATCTCCCATCATCTTCTCGCTTTACCGCCTTTAGGAAACAAGAGACGAAGACACACCGCGATGGCAAGAGCGAAGCGGGCATATGATAGTGAGGGCGGCAGCGATACGTCCACGGCGTCCGGTGCAAGCCCCCTGAAGAAAAAGGCTCGAACGCTCATGCAGTTCCCAGTCCGTCCGAGTGTGGTGCCGCCAGACGGAGTAGTCGAGCCTGCATTGTCCACTCCGAGGCACGACCAGACAGAGCATAATCTAGGTACGTCTCGCACAGTGGCGACATGCCTTGACTCACTTGACGGACTGTTACGCATAACGATACAGTGTTGCGGCTTTCGGTTATACGCGACGGCTGGCCGGGCTTGGCAAGGTTCAAAACTTGGGTCCACATGTGCGTGTAGATCTGTAACAACTCTTCGTGTATAGCACCGTACTGAGGCCTGTGGACGTACACAGCGGCGACTGCTTCAGTTGCAGTAAGAATCCGGATGTAAAGCCTTGGGTGCGTGCAGCCTAGACCTTGATCGCGGATTATGCTGAGGGCCTCATTCTGTGACACAGCACGAGCATCTGAGGGATAGGGTACTCGGTGGAGAGCCCGTGAAAGTGATCAATTATGCCGAGAGGATTGCATTCGCGAAGAGCGACATGCCGGCCCAAAGTGAGCAGTTCTGTTTGGAGCAGTCGACGTTGAAGAATCCTTGCGACCCCGCAACGACGTTGTGTGGTAAGTGCAGAGATGAGCCAATGTCGTACAACGACTCACAGTTGCTTCTTCTCGTTTGGCCAGTCATCTGGTTGGGCTTGTATGATTGCTGGTGAGGTGCCTCGGGGATACATCACGGCTGCGCACTTGGCTTACGTCTGATAGCTATGAGGAGATTCAAGATGATGACGAATCTGAGGACCAAAGTAACAAAGAGTCTGGAGACCAGAGTGAGGACGAGTTTGAAGACCAAGATGAGGAAGGATCAGGCGACCAGGCTGCAGAAGCATCCGGAGACAAGACAAGCACCGACTCCAAGAATCGCACGACTGAAGACCGACTCGAAGACGGATCTGACCGGGATCAAGCCGACGAAGGATCGGAGGAGACAGATGGCAATGAATCTGAAGACCACAGTGACGAGGAGTCCGAGGAAACGGAAACGATCGACGACGAATCTGTGGCCACACCCGAAGTTCCTTCATTCACGATCCAATTACGCAGGCCGCATGAGAACAAAGCCAAAACAGACCGCGCAGAGCACCCGGATGTGAATACGATAGCCGAGGAGCTGTCACCGCTGTTCGTCTATGCACATAACATGTACGCAAAGGCGAACACGCGAAATTTCATATTCGTGGACGTACCTCCGGGAGATCGGGCACCGGACATAGTCGAGCAGGGGTACTCGGACTTTGCGAGACAGTTCATACGTTGCTGGAACGACCGCCTCCTTGTCGCCGCGCGGGAGTTCACCAACGGCCATTCCGATGCGTCACTGTTTGTCCTGTCGTCCCACGAAATATTGTCGGAGTTGCTGGATAACCCAAACAAGTTCGGATTCGACAAGAAAGACGCGGCAGAGGCAAATCAAAGGATATGGATGAGCGAGGCCGATTTCTCCATCTCCGACGAGGTGCATCGGCTGTTGGGAGAAAGGATGGGGCACGCTTTGTCGTTGGTGGATGAATGAAGCTTGAAGAGGGCCGAGCCGTCATACCTATGAACCGAGATATATGACAGCGAGGATCAGCTAGAATTGTTTTGATGTCTGCAGTATGTACAATACTATACCTTTGTATTGAGGCCCCCCGTGGCAATGTCCGCAATAATTAGGTTCTGCAGCGAGGACTGAGCTCCACGCTGACGGTGAGCTAGTGATGAGCCACGTCAGTAGAGTAGAGACTGAAGATCTTGAGCTCGCTGACCTGCGGCCCACCCCGTAGAGTCAACTATGTCCCCTAAGCAGACTCTGTACACGGCCTTTTTGCGGGTAGAGGGGGTTTTCCGATAGTTGGCAGTCTCCAGCTCGCTTGGAAACACATTTCGCATTCTTTACACTGCACTTTGACAATGATAGCAGGCCATTGTCGAAGACTAGCACGTCCCCATGGCCGCCGGAGTACCCCGACGGCGTGATAGGTGCATCTGCCACACCACTGACTTCGCTTCGCTTGATACATGGACACTGTCGGAGTTGTATAGCAGTTAGTCACGAATTGCAGGCACTCAGTGTGGTACATCTGTTAGAGTAGACATGACGCTCTGAAGGTTGTTTGCAGACTGTGTAAGTACTTGGGAGAGTTGAACGCGGATGCAACATACCAGTTCATGCACGGCGTTCAGCAGCATACCAATATCGGTTTTTCCATTTAGCACTCTGCAATTTACAGATCAGCGCATACTTCGCTTCATCTTTAGGACCACTGGCATCGACAGTTGACCAGGCGAAGTCGATAGTGTTCCACTTGTGTACGCGTTTGTGCACTTTGCACTCTTGCGTATCGGACGGGGCGCGTATGACGTTGGACGGGCGAAGATCAACATGGAGCATGTAGGTGGCGGAGAAGTCATAGAGGACGCCTACGATGTCTTCGCTGCATAAGTTGAGTCAAATTAGCACGGCTCAGTACAAACACGGCACATACTGGTTTGACCGATCCCAATCGTCCTGAGCCATGCTGAATGTTTGCCCTCCGCGAGCCATCACAAGGACTGACAGGAGCGGTGCTTCAGGATCAGGACGCCAATCGACCCACGGGGAAAGCTCTCTAGCACCAGGAGGAGAGCCTGCGCATCGCACTTTGTTAGGTCGGTCGTCGTCGTATAGAAGGTCATCCTTGGTGGAGTCGTCTCTCTCCCAATGCTTGGGTGACGCATCCATAAAAAGTAGTCGTCGCCAGACCAAAGCGGAAAGGGCAGTTGCTCAGGAGCTAGTTCTACTGCAAAGAACCCGTAGCAGCAGGGTGTGACGACACCCTGGATCACGCCCTCGGAGAGCTGTTCGTAGATCCACGCCTCCCGAGCAAGAGAGCGACAGCGGTTCGGCCGCGCCACCTTGATACAAAGGTCCAGGTTATAAGAGTCGTCCGAGTCGGTGTGAGATGGATCGGGGATAGTTTTCACGGAGTAAGTTAGACGACGGCAGACCTGCCGCCTCCAATACGCTCGCCAAGTTCGAGGGAGAGGTTGCCACTGTTCTGTGGTGGTTCTGCAGCGAGCCAGTCTGGTCTGTTCACGAACTGTTCTTTCTTGATATCGAACTGACGAGCCGGAAAGGATTCCCGTCTGGCAAGTGTGATGGGACCCGGGAGGTGTGAGCCTCTGAGGGTTACAGCAGAGAACACGCATAGTGACCGATCCTGAGAGACGGGTAAGTTACGTCGGTCATTACTCACAAGAAACTGCAATGTTTGGGACTTACCCTTTCCGGGGATAATTTGGCCAACGATGAGTTCGCGGTCAACATATTGTACCGAGCAAGACGAGGAGTGCAAGAAGAGGCAAGTGAGAAACAGATGCAGTCACGGTGGTCGTCGCCGACTCGTCGGTCGATCGTCCTCGGAGCGATCGGTGGCTTCGACTTGAACATTGCACGGAATTACTTATACCCGGGGGGCAGTCTCCACCTCGCTTGGAAACACGTTCACATTCTGTACACTACATATTGACAATGATAGCAGGAAATTGTCGAAGACTACCACGTCCCCATGGCCGTCGGAGTAACCGACAGCGTGATAAGTAGGTACATCTGCCATGACACTTGCTTGATCTAGGAGCGCGACTGGAGCTGAATAGCAGCTATCACGAGGTACAGGCATTCAGTCTGGTATATCTATTACAGGAGACGTATGCTGCTCGCAAGGTTGTTGATGGATAAGGAAGTCGGCCTTACAGACTATGTAAGACCGAAAGGATTGAGCATGGATGCGACATACCGGTTCACGCACGGCGTCCCATAGCATACCAGTACCGGTTACGCCACTTGCTCTGCTGCAATTTGCAGATGAGCGCAAGTTTTGCATCATCGTTATCGTTGGGGCCATCGACGGTCGACGAGGCGAGGTCGATGACGTTCCATTTGTGAACGTATTTGTGCATGCTACACTCCTGCGTATCAGACGGTGCACGTATGACGTTCGATGGGCGAAGGTCAACATGTAACATGTACATGGTGGAAAGATCGTCAAGGATGTCTTCAATATCTTTGCTGAGTGCGGAGTCAGAACATGGAAGATGCATGCGCAGACGTTACATACTGATTGGATCGATCCCAGTCATCCTCGGCCATGCTGAATGTCCGCCCTCCACGAGCCATAAGAAGAACCGACAAGAGTGGCGCATCAGGGTCAGGACGCCAATTGACCCATGGGGAAAGCTCTCTAGCACCGGGAGGAGAGCCCGGGCACCGCGCTTCATCAGGTCGGTCGTCGTCGTATAGAGGATCATCCTGGGTGGGATCGTCTTTTTCCCAGTGCCCTGGTGATGCATCCATGAAGTAGTCGTCGCCAGACCAGAGAGGAAAGGGCAATTGCCCAGAAGATAGATCGACGGCGAAAATTCCGTAACAGCGCGGCGTACTCATGCCCTGGATCATGTCCTCGGGGAGCTGTTCCAGAATCCATGCCTCCCGAGCGAGCGAGCGACAACGGTTCGGCCGCGCCACCTTGATGCAAAGGTCCAAGTCACAAGATTCGTCGATGCGAGACGCATCGGGGACAACTTTCACGGAGTAGACGACGGCAGACCTGCCACCTCCAATACGTTCGCCAAGTTCAAGGGAGAGGTGGCCACTGTTCCGCGGTGGTCGCACAGCGAGCCAGTCTGGTCTGTTCGCGTACTTTGATCTCTTAAAGTCATATTGACGAGCCGGAAAGGATTCCCGTCTGGAAAGTGTGATGGGACCTGGGAGGTTCGTGCCTCTGAGGGTTAAAGTCGAGAACATGCATAACGACCGATCCTGAGAGACGAGCACGTCAGTTGTTACTCACGAGAAACTGCAGAATTTGAGACCTACCGTTTCCGGGGATAATTTAGCATACGACGGAGCAGTTTCCATACTATACCAAGCAACAGAGTCACGGTGGCAGTGAGGAGAGGCGAGTGAGAGACAGACGCAGTGGTCGATCGTCGAGCGATCGTGGTGGCGTCGACTTGAACATATTGTAGTGCACGTGACCCACTTATGTACCCCCGGGCGGCGGTAGGGCGGCGGGGGCGCGCGCGACAGCACACCGAGTCCAGCGCCATGTCTGTCCTCAGCCTGCACGCCAAACGCGTCTGCCAGATTATCAAGGTCCTTGAACTCGTTGCACGCTCTACATCATCTCTAACTGGGTGCTTGGCTAGCTGAAACCCGAAGCCGAGGCAGAGTACAAGGCCTTGCACGCTAATGCCTGGCCGGGAGTCCTGACTGCGCTTGCGCGTGCTCACATCGTCGACTACTCGATTCACTACTACCCGCCGCTCCATCTGCTTATCGCGAGCTTCAAGTATACGGGAACTGACTTTGACGTGGATATGAGGAAGGTCGCGGAGGACGAGGAGACGCGGCGGTGGTGGGCACTGACGGACAAGATGCAGGAGAGTTTCGTAGAAGGCGCGACGGGCAGCGGTGGTGAGAAGCCTTGGTGGCTGGTGAGTCTTACCCTCTATGCAATGTGTCCGGTGTGGGTATATGCGTATTGCAGGATCTCGAGGAGGTGTTCCGGTTCGAGGGAGATTCTGCAGCGTAATGCGTGCAGCGTCGGTGAACGACGAGTGTAAGCTAGGGCTGTACAGTATGGAATGCGCATGCCCTTACGACCAAGTTCCGGTCAAGGCACTGTCCATCTTTGAGCCGCTGCTGCCTAAGGAGTATCCGCGCTGTGCTGCGCATCGTCTAGCCTAAAGTCCTTGGCGTGGCACTGCCCAGGACGCTGTACGGTCTTCTCCGTAAGTATGACGACGTTCTTATACGGTCGTTCTCGAGTCGACCTCTACCATTCACCTCTAGCTCTGACTCCCTCCAGCATGCCTGATACCTCCGTGTCTGCGAATGTCTTGCTCGCTCTTCCAGAGGCCACCCTCCGAACACAATCTACACCGACAACAGGGACCGTCTACCTGCAGTACATCGGCGTCGCCCCGCCATCTGCATCCGCATCCGCCACATCCGAGCGCTCCATCTACCTCGTCGTGCGCCTGAACGACATCGAGTTCCCGATCGACCCCAGTCGCCCCGTCGCGCGACACATAACACCCGACGGCACACATGTCTACACGTTCATACTCGACGGATACACAGCGCAGAGTCTCGGCCTGAAAGGGGACTCCGTGCCCGTTTCGCTCTCGCTCAGAGGCCTCCCCGATCCCGCACGCGTCGATGCGATCGAGACGTTCGACCAGATCCTCGGACAGTATGCCGGATGGGAGGGCGCAAGCGGCGGCGTACAGCAATCGACGGGGATGAGCCTGCACGAGGGCGGAGGCAACTCAGAAGATCTCCGGGGACGGCTTGTGCTCATGGACGAAGCGACGGGCGAGATGGTCGGCGAGGTTCCGCATCAACTACCTATCCACGAGGACCCTGCGCTCGTGCGTGTGGATGAGGCGGAGGGTGCTAAGGGCGCAGCGCATGCGGCGCCGGTTGTCCTCGAGCTCCCGCCGGACGTATATGATGCGTATACGGGTCAACAAACCGCGGAGGGTGCCGCTGCGTCTGAGCTGACCGAGGCGCGGGAGATCTTCGTGCGCGCGATTCCTCCAGAGCAACAAGACTGGATGACGAAGTCGGCTTCGTTGATCAGGTGCGCATACATGCTGTCTGTAGAACGAGGAGTGGCTGACGCGCAGAATCAAGCCGCGGCATAGACTCGTCGGCCTCGTTGCTCGTGAAGGGGATATCCTCTGCCTCCCAGCTTTACATAAAACACTCAACCCCACACTCTCCGACTCCCGCAGACGGCAAGGCGCCAGCGGCGGGCGGGCCTCCCTCGAGGATGGCTACTATCCTTACGCATCCCACCACGCATACAGCCCTGGGCTACGCGCATATAGCCACCGGGCATGCCGCCCGGGTCAGTGCGAAAACATCCGAGCTTGTAGAGGGCATGATCCGGCGGGCGGTGGGCGGCAAGCCGACAAGCGGACCTTCAACGACAGTACAACGGCCCACGCCTGCATCGCTCACTAGCCCGACGCTCTCATCGGGCTCGCTGGTGCCGCCGCCTGCTTACAACTCCCATGCGCCGCCCTCGCCCTCCGAGAAGCCCCCGCTCCCACCTCGTCGCGACGGATCAAAGTCGCCGGCGCCGCCTCTCCCTCCTCGATCCGACGGGCTCAATCCTCCTGCTCTCACTAGCCAGCCAGCTTTATTGCTACCGACGGGAACCGACCCCAGCGCTCCTCGCCCGCCAGTCCGCACGCGCGACCGTCTCGCGCTCTCCGCGAACCTCGTGCTCGCGTCCGTCGACGAGTCCGCCTCTCGCCTGTGGGACGCAGGCAGTGTGCAGCTCGGCGCGATCGCCGGGCATAAGTACGGCCCCGACGCAGCGCGCACGACGGGGCTCGCGACGGGTACGATGCGGAACGTCGTGCTCGTGTATGTAGACGTGCGCGGGTTCGCGCGGAGGGCGTTGATCAAGAAAGCGGGGAAGCAGTTCGTGAAGGGACGTATTGCGGGGACCCGTACCCAAGGCCAGGCGTAGTCAGCTGCCGGAGCAGAAGGCATTTGTCTTCGAACGCTGAGTGTAAGTTGCGTCCGACTGTCGATCATATATTTCACTACTTTCGCGCACTCCGATATACCTCGTAATATCGCCCTAAAATAGACATGCCGGTCAGGCTCAGTGTCTTGCTTCTTTCCGACACTAGTCGTAGACTCGCATGCCAGTCCTTGAGACGCCTCACCTCCTTTTCAAGCTTGAATTTCTCCTCGCCAGAACGGCTGGGAACGAGCCTACACTAGTCGGTGACAATCTTTGAGTCCGCTCTTCTGACCGTAACGGTACTCGACTGGGTGACAGTAGTGAACATGCGTAGAGTGATCTGATTCGGTGCGCACTTGAGTCATGACCCGACTGGCAACCACATATCCTCCCTGCACTATCACTGTTGCGTCCCGACGAAGAGTTATCAGGCCTGCTAGAAGGACCTACTCCCAAGTCACCAGGGGATGTACCATAAGTGAGAAAGCGCACTATCATGAGTCGGACACGCAGCGGTGTTTGTACGCGCGAAAGCGGAACAGGCAGGAAGGCTGGTAGACGTTGTTGACGTGCCGGACAGAGATGTTGACTGATAACATACTATTCAGTTTGCACCCTATGGTCCGGCAAGGTTTCGAATGACGAGCGTATCGCAGCTCATCGAGTGCATTGCGATTTCTAGACCGTTTAGTCGCGAACTGCCGATAGACAGGTCTGTCTGACCACTTGACAGAATTCAACCCTCCTGCCAGGACCCTAGATCGATATGTACCGCCCAAAGGCATTCAATGCAGGACTATCGTCATTGATGCACATCAGCGTCTGGAAGAACACGATGCAGTCCGAACAAACAAATAAACAATGAAATTACAGGCCTTTTGACATCCGTAACAACGCTACAAACCACCCAAGCACCTCACCCGACGTCGACGCTCTCGGTCGATCCCCTATCACATATACGGCTGCTGTTGTGGCATGCCAGGCGGCGGTGGAGGCATCATAGGCGGAGGGCCCATACCAGGTGGCGGCATGCCCTGCATGAACCCTGGTGGGGGCATGCCTTGAGGTACGAATCCTGGCGGCGGTGGTGGCATACCCGGCATACCCATCGGCATTCCCTGAGGCGGCGGGGGCATGCCCATCGGCATCCCACCAGGCATCATCGTCTGCTGGGGAGCGAAGCCAGGCGGGAGTGGGGGCGCAGGAGCGGCAGCAAGCGCGCCGGCGAACTGGCCTTGGTACGGGCCTTGAGGATAGCCAGGCATCGCCGGGCGTGCACCGAACGCGCCCATGGCAGTCATGGGCGCAGGTGGAGGCCGCGCGGCGACTGGGAGGGCGTTGTTCTTGCGAGCCTGTGCAGCGAGCAGCCGCTCGGCGGGCGTACCGTGGCGCTCGCCCTTGCCATCTTTCTTGAAGGCGTACTGGACCGCGATGGCCTTGTTCATGAGGAACTGCCCGTTCATGGACTCGACCGCTGCGTCTGATGACTCGAAGTCGGTGAAGGAGACAAAACCGTAGCCTTTCGACTGTCCGCTGCTCGGATCGCGCGCAATCTGTGTGAGAGGGAATTGTAATTGAGGATACGGAGGAACCGGGGGAGTGGGACGCGAGACAGACGCACTTTTGCTGTCGTGGCCATGACGCCGAAAGCGCTGAACGTGTCGTAGAGTAACCGCTCGTCGACGTTCTCGTCCAGATTTCCAATAAAGAGGTTCGCGCCCACGTCAAGCTGCTTCTTGTCCGAGGATGCCTGAGATAGGATAGTAGAGCGTTAGATGAGAACGAACCTTCTTTATTCGAGGAGGTATAGCACGAGACGAGGATAGAGAGTGCACGGGTGGTGGCACGGCATACGTATATGCCCACAGGACAGGGGGTCTGACTATGATGAACAACATTGAATAAAGCGCGCTGCGGCTTAATAGTGGCAATTGCATCACTGGGCTACTACGCACGTAACGGCGCATATAGCAAACGCTACAGCATCCCGACTCGCTCGACGTTTCCAGCAATCCCGAGCTCGAGGGTAACACAGTATGGGGTCGTTCAAGAATACACGACGATGCGACTGCCTGAACATCACGTTCAAGCACAGCAGCATTGAATAGGCATTGTCGGTACCCGCACTGCATGCGACGCATCACAATCGTCTGTCCACCCAAGGCACCAGACTGCACCGCTGCCATCTCTCTACCCACATCCTCGACAGGAGGATAACGCACCTTGTTAACCCGTATTGGTTTTCCCCACAGCTTGATTTGATTCATAATCTTACAAGCGTATTCCGCATCCTCCTCGGTCAAAAACTCACAGAAACCGTATCCCTGGTGCGTCATAGATATCCGGTCCTTCGGAAGGTGCACGTTCACTGGTTACGAGACGCAAGTCAGACTGAATGAGGCGCATATAAGGAGGTATGCGAGTGCGTGCTCACCGACTGGACCCGCTTGCAGCATGAGCTCCCAGATGAGCGCGTCTGTACACCTCTCATCGAGGTTGCCCTGCGCGCAGTTTGGCGGTCAGCATCTCAAATTTGGCAAGAAAATGACATGTACGTACGAGGTATACTGTAGCTTCTTGGTTTCTGTCGTCCTGAGGTCGAGACATGGTGGTAGCGGTTCAATGAGAAGAGCGCTTGTTCGCGTTCGCAGGCGCCGGCGTCCTGTGGCGCTACTTACCATATCTGGCGTCCGCGTTCTTACTCAACTCCCACTGTTTGATCCTTGAAGCTTGACAGGAAGAGTCTTTCGTTGCACATTAGACTCGGAGGGCGCGGTCAAACCGCGTCAATACGATGTCATCATTGCCGAACTTGCTATTGAACGTTTGAACAGCTCCCGCCATCCTCCCCTATCCCAGGAGTACCAGTGCAGGGTGTATAATAACGACCTACCCGTACCTCAAACTTGTGACCATGGTTATTCCAAGGACAATTGCGCCGAGTATTTTCGCCCGGTGCCCTCTCCGCGGGTGTATTGGAGCCTGTCTTGGCAGCCTTCACTCAGGGCTGTGGCTTGTGAAGGGCTCGAGCATCGCGTGAGCTCAAATTGAGCCTGTCGCGTCGGTACGCAGCATACAGCATGCTTGTTCGTAGCTCTAATCCTTTGGCCAGCGTCGTTGAAGATGGTATCATTTGCCAGATTCCTGCCGGCCGTGTACTGCACCGTGGCGTCCGCACTGTGTTTGCTCCAGCAGAAAGACGGTAATGTAGGAAATGGGTTCGTTTATCGTTGACTTTGGCTATTGCTCGGTGATAGTCAATTTAAGGGCACGAAATATAGTGAATCGTAAGTTAGGATATGGTGGAATAGTTCACACTTTCACAGTGCTGCCAGTGCTGTTGGGCACCCGGTCGCATAACTTGAAGTATGCCGGCGCAAGTTAGTACGTTGGTTATCAACGAGGCACACCCTACCTCTATTATGATTTCGAAGTCGAGCCCGTTCCACGACTGCTCCTAAACAGTTTTGATAGTCAGACTTGCACAAGTTGTAGTGCGTGAGGTTTACTACATGGTCATTTCCACACATTTGCTTCCGGTGGCGGCCGCGTCGAGGAGGCGCTTCCATATGTCACGGCGTCTATACCTCTTGCCACATACAGCCACATACGCTGTGGGATTGACGCCCTGACTTTTCTCACTTTGTTCAAACACCGTGCAGCGACTCGCTAGTCGAGGATAGAACAGTACTAGGCCATGTTACGACCCTGCTACAGTCAGATCAGTGAGGTCGCGCGCCTCGCTTGCTGGTATGATTGCTGAAGCTAAGGGTCATTAGGTTCCTACTAGTTGACGATAACTCTGCCACCGCGCTTCGTCCCGTCGACGTCCCCGGTCCGGCTCGAGTCTCGAGTCGAGAAGGCTGTTCAAAAATCTTCAAACCATCACCATCTCTAGCCACGCTATCAAGTTCTCGCAAAACAGAGTTCAGCAGCAACGAACAACAAACGCTGCCTCTCCACTCTGCGTTCGGCCGACCGGCACGGCGGCCATATGCTGGAGGACATGCGGAGCTATGCTACAGATGATCAGGTCTAATTCAGCCCATCGTCTCGTCGATGAGCACACCGCACCTCCTATGACGGGATCCAGGACACCCTACCCCACCGGGTCCCATGCCCCGGCCATTGTTCCCCGTATACGGCCTGCGGCCAGCGTTAGCACTGCTGTAGCGCGCCGCCGACGTCGGACACAGGCCATTGACAGGGACCGGCCAGGCGGGGCGCGCTGGGCTGGGTAGGGGTGAGGCTCTGCGTGTGGACGCACGGGAGCACGAATGCGTTGGGCGATACGCAGGGAGCAGCTGGCTAGCCTCCTCTGGTTCGCAGCCACGCGAGGCCGAGCTGAGTATGGCTCTGCGCTTCCCTTTATAGATGGCACATGCACATCTACGGGCCCGCCCCGAGATCGGTATAAAGCCTGTCCCCGCGTGTCCGCCAGGCCCGGGTTCCCTCCGGCAAACGACGCTCCCGCTCGAGTCTACGCATCACGCACCGTGCAGCGACCCCGTAGCCCGCCATGAAGGGCCCGTCGTTCCTCCTCGTCCTGATCATCCTCCTGGGCGCCCTCCTGATGGCCACCGCGCGGCCGGTCCCCATGGAGGGTGTACGGCAGAAGAAGGCGTTGCGGCAGTTCCAGATGAAGCGTGGCCAGCCCGGTACCCCCGTCCGACGTCTGCACGCTAGAGCCTCGCCTTCGCCCTCCCCACGACCTTCCCCATCTCCGTCTAGGTAAGTTTCATCGCCGATCTCGACGTAGATGGAGTTCATCTTATGAGATTGGGAACCGATAGAAAGTATGTGGCTCCGGCCAGCCGTACGGCGGAACCACCACGACCAGCCAATCCTGACCTGCTCGGAGTCTGGTAAACGCGCTCTGTCGTCTTCTAGTGAACGTGGAACTCATTTCGTTGCATGATAGGTCCTAGACAGGGTGTTACCGCCCATTCTTCATGACGTCGAACTCTTGCTACGGACTCTTATCTACGATGATGAAGAGACAAGTATATGCCCATAACAGATGCGTTACATTCTCGGACTTTTTCTCCACGAACTTTGTTGCAACCAGTATAATGGGCCCGCTCCCGCTCCTATCCCGACGTTACGACCAAAATGGCCCTCGATGATAGCCACGCTGCGTGTACTACCTCTGTATACTACCTGACGATACTTTGACGGACGTCTCCTCTCGTACACCGGTTTCGGACGTAATGCCTACTCAGCTACAATGGACTAATGTATGTTTGTCATGTGCTGCGAGTCAACGCCGCGTGCTGGAGGCCGTCTGTCTACGAGACTTATGAGTGTTGGCGTCGACGTCGCCGGTGAGCGCTTGAGCTTCGTGAAGCATGTCTTCGTTCTGACTTTCCCAAAAGCGTCGCTCGTATGTAATTCTCGTAACTTCGAAGGGTGTTGTTTGGCCGATCGCCCCTCGCCCGATCGCTCGCTGGGTTCTTTGGCCTCGGAGGACAAATATCCGGGACAAATGCGTCGAGTCGCGACGTTCAGGGGTACGGGCTCACGGGCGCCTCCCGCTGGGTTCATCATATCGCCCACATCCACCCACCATCGCGCCTCCCAAACCCCATCTGCAGCCCCAGACCTCTCGCAGCGGCTGCGGCAGTCGTCCTCAAGTCTCAGGGTCTTGACCTTCGACAACATGGACAGGCGCAGTCATGACATAACAGAAACATGTAGATCCGGGTCGCCTCCCCGCGTCGAGCGCGACACAGACACCGGGGAACGCACTCCGTCTTAGGTTTATCCAGCCCACCGTCTGGACTCGACGGCCCGTCACGGTGGTGTTGTATGTATCCTCAAAATGCTTGGCCAGTACCAGGTCAGTACCCCGAAAAACGAGCATGAAAGACTGGGCGCACGACCCCGCAGTCGGCAAAATTAAGCCACTGCATCGATGCCGACGCCGAGCAGCGCGGCAGGCGGTTTACACGGCCTCTCCACAAGGGGCGTCCACAACTCTAGCGCCCGATATCGACCCCCCCCAAGCCAACCCCCCGGCAGGTTCTCGGGGTCCCGATAATAAGGGTACACGAACTTTTCTGAACACTTTTCGTCGAAGTGCGTTGTAACACGAGTTCTCCGTTATGAAAGGTTGTGCATTGGTATTGTGAGAGTCCCATAAGACTACTGAAGAAGCAGTTAGAGTGTACGTAGTTCATACGTCGAGTTGTGGGCAGTCTGGCCGCATATGGAAGTAGATATGCGTACGTAATAAACGCGTATGTCATCGCTATCCGTAAGACGCGTCGACGCGACTGCACCAACCTGTTGTAGCGCGCTTGAGCCACCCACACTGCTCACCGTCGCGGAATTGTATTCCATGCTCCATGACTACCCATCTGAGGACTTGTATACACCACCAACACCCGTAAGCCATGAAGAACGCATCAGGAGGCTCGCGCGAGGAGTTGGTTTGAGATGGGATTCGGAGGACGGGTCGGCGGATGAGGATACAGATTCAGTTGAGATAGATGGTGCCGACTGCGAGTCCAGTGGTGCTCCGGGCTCGCCGCTTCCTGCCCTCGACTTTTCAGGACTCGGAGGTGAGTATATTGTTGTATTCAATGGCCCTACATGACTGACAGCCCCGCAAGCATATCATGAATACGACGACCTCGAGACAATGACGCACCCTCTCGCCACGGCTACTATGCCACGACTTGCGAGACTTGTGGTCTGTCTGTCCAGGTCACGGACACGACGGGTGACTCAATGTGCCGGACGCATGTTGGCGAGCACATACTGCGTGCGATCCTCGAGATCTCAGAGGCAAACTTGCGCGAACAGGTGAGTTGGGCTGCCGAGCATTTCAGCGAGCCTTCGACTGACGCGTCAGCAATGTTCAGATTCATCCAGGGTACCCGTGCAGTTTCTGCGGACGAACCGGGTGCAATATAGATCTTACAAAGACAAGCTCCTCATATCAGCCGGCATCGAACTGTCCACGCGCACACAAGTTCTCTCTGGCCCCTGCAAAGAAGTACTCAGCGTGCATGCCATCGACCAACGTCCCTCTGCACTGTGATCTCTGCGAAACGGATCCTACAACAAAGAAGAAACCGACGTTCTGGAAGTACAACATATTCAACCATATTCAACACAAGCACCCACGGAACTGGGATGCAGAAGCACGTCGCACGAAGGGCCTCAGCGAAGCCTTCGTCGCGTCGATTCAAGTTGACATCGATCCGCGAGAGCTTACAGCAATCGCCCCGAGTGCAACACGCATCTATCCTATCCCTGATGCAGAGGCCGAAGTGCGATCGCAGCAGGACCGTCAGCCGCTAGCAAGCGTCCTGGCGACGCTACACTCGAGCATCGTGCTAGCAAACACATCAAGCTCTAGCTTGAACGCACGATCATTCTTTAGTACCGAATTTAGTTCAACTTATATGTGAATTATTGTTCTCTCTCTCGTAGATAGTACAGTATAACAAGCTGTATACTGCACTCCTAGTATATAGATCGGAATTAATACTTATTCGACCGTGTCATACTGTGCCTACGGAGGAACTTGGCTCATTGCGCTGCGAGTCACTCAGCATCGACTCAGCGTTGCCCGCGCTTTCGAGCGCTTAAAAGTGGGTTGGTTGCCGGCAGGTTTTCGGGGTCATGGCGCTCACTTTGCAGGGGTTAATATCATGAATCGTCGCTGATGGACGCCCCTTGCCTCTCCAGTCTCCAAAACGGTGCCCGTCCCCCGCCTTGGGCCACCAGCATTCGAGGACCCTGGACGAGCGGGCCTGACGCCGCATCCTTGGCGTCGAGCGAACCGCCTCCCCGGTGCGTCATCATGGCTGCATCTTCTGTTCGGCCTCGCTTACGAAAATCTTATCGCGCGCGCACAGACCACGTTGGTCATTTTTCGCGGTGGCTGAAGCGCAGCGCCGAACAGAAGCCCGGCAGCACGGTGCACCTGTGTAGTTGTGGCTTTCGTGTGTGGCGGCGAGCGATTACCGAGCGCAGCGATATATAACATCGCCCCGCCCCGCTTGCTCTCCCCGCCGGAACGTGTCCCTCCGTTCGCCCGTCCCCGTCACCGCCGCCCGTTCCCCTCGTCTGCCCGCAGACGAACGTCGACCCAAGACCGACCCTCGACCCCCATTCAACCACCGCCGACAAGATGCAGACCCGCTTGTTCCTCGTCCTCCTCGCGCTCTTCTGCGCCCTCCTCATCGACGTCGCCTCCGCCACCCCCGTGCGCGTCGTCAACGAGCGCCGCGTCGCAAAGCGCTCCCTCAGGCAGTTCGAGATGAAGCGCCACGACGTCTCGACCCCGTCCCGTCCCGCGAAGCGCAGCGAGCCCTCGCAGGTATGGAAACGCGGAGAGCCCTCCCAGGTGTGGAAGCGGGGTGAGCCTTCCCAGGTGTGGAAGCGGCATGCGTGAGTGGTCTGGTTGAGTGATGTCTTGCAGGAGGCTGATGGAGGGGTCGTCGTAGCATGCCCGCACCCACCCAAGCGTGAATGCGCTAAGCTCGCGCTTTGGGCTCCCCGATGATAGACTCATTAATGAATTCTTGCTTGCTTCATGGTGAGTAGCCCGTCTCTGCTGCTCCGGACCTTGGCTTAGTTGCATGCGCTTTCCGTGCATCCCCCAGCGTGCTTCTCGCTTCGGCGGATGTCCAATGATGCTACCACTATATCGTTACACCATAGACTCTTTAGACCCAAAACTCTAGACCCTCCTAACCAATCGCTGCTCGCCTCCGACCTACGATACTCCGCTCGTTCCCTCTCATGAGCATGGACACAATCAGTTTCGTTCCGGTACGGCTCCGAGTAGGCATACTTCTATTAACGACGGACCTCTTGCTACACTAGCGTACTGTACCCGAGGAGTGTGTTGGCATCGTGTCTTCGTCCTTTCCTTACGGTATGGGACCGATGTGCGTTGACTTACATGACCTCAGCCTATTCCGGACGTTTCGCTTGACATCGCAATGGACTATACTCGATGAAATTATTCTCCGTCGGCCCCGTAGCCTGTCACCTGCCAGTGAAGCTTTCGAGCCTAAAGCCGAAGCGAACAAGACGACATCTCGGAGAGATCACTCCGCGACAATGACCGGGCATGACATGACGTGCGCGGGCACATAGTCCCGCTCTTCGCGCGATCCCAGCCTAAGTGCGTGGTAATGGTCACATTGGTAACTTACAACGATAGGAGAGGTCCCCGGAACGGGCTAGGTAGAGGGGTCACATTAGGGCGATCTCTGGTGGCTGCGTGTATGTCAGAACGGACGGCCAGGGCTCGCCAGGTGAGAACACGACGTACCTGCCCTCTGGTCTCAAACGCGAGCCAGTCCCCGGTGCCCGTCGGGAGCAGGCCCATTGAACGGCACTTCCACAACCCTAACGCCAGTGTGAGGATGCTGCACAGGATGTACACGACCTTCTGCAGCACGAGCGTCGAGAATGCCTTCGGGGGCGCTGAGCTCGGCGCGAAGGGGGCGAACGCTGGGAGCCCTTGTGAATATTGATTTGAAGGCGGGTACAAGACGGAGTAACGCACCTGTGTTCATGGTCGCGAGGTTCTTGAACGGGCTGCTGAGGAGCATGAAGACGATGCCCATGCTGAAGATCTGCACGCCGCCCCCGGACATGTAGAGCATGAATGCCTGCATGGGGAGCGACTTCGCCGGGGAGATGGCAAAGTCCCATGCGCGTTTTGTCTTCAGGCTCTCATAGGACTGCTTGGATGTCTGCGAGGACTTGGGCTGCGACTTGTGCTGTTGAAGTGAATGAGTGTATGCAAAACTGTGTGATGTGGGGTGACGCACCGAGGATTGCAGCGCACTGAAGCCCGGCGGCGGAGGCAGGTTCTTCCACCTGCGTGACTCTGTATGAATACTCGCTCTGCTCGCGCTCTGCTCGTCTGCACTGACTTGGACGGGTCCATCACGGTCGTCGTGCTCGCCATGGCGGTCGTCGGCTACGGTATCGCGGCAACAGCTGGCCAGTAGAATCAGCCCTGCCTCACTGAGTGAACAGCAGTTTCAATGCCTGTTCGATGGTAGAGTAATGGTGCCGAGGCCACGGCGGTCAAGGTCGTGTATGTACTAGGCACTGTATGGAATGCACCCGCCCGCGGCCGCGTGCCTCCCAAGATAGCCTGATAACCCCCAGATAACCCTAAGATAACCCTGGCTGGCGCGCAATAAGTCTAAGAACGGCTGGATAAGTCCCCAAAGCGGGGGGACATGCCCGGAAAAGGAATACCGCGGGGCCGTTCAGGGCAGGCGTGCTAGCGGGCAGTGAAGCGGTGGACTGGTTGTTGTCAGGACTCCTCAAGGCAGCCTGGCCATCACTCTCGCCCGTCCTGCTCGTCGTCGGCCGCCGTCGTCCAAGCGCAGTCCCCCGCCCTCCTTGCTCGCTTTTCAACAGGTACGTCGTCCCGCCGCCGCCCCCCCGCGTCCGAGTAATAGCCCCCGCAGGTTGGTCTGAGACCGCGCCCTGGTTCGTTTCGCAGATAGAATATCCTCGACGGGCTATCCTTGATTTCTGAAGGCTTCCGCTTCGCCATCCTGCAGCACCCGCGCTGCGTACATCAAGGTGAGCAAGCAGCCCGCTCACAGCCTGCCACGCGACCGCACGCAGAGAAACTCCTATGCATGACAACGCGTTTCGAGACCAAACATGTACCCCCTGGGAACCGCGCTCGACCGATTTGGGATCGGACTGCGCTCCTGCGAGATGCTGACCACCGATCCCGTCTGCAGAACAACCTCGTACACGCGATAGATACCTAGGAGAGACATGCAGACGATCAAGTGCGTAGTGGTGGGAGATGGTGCGGTCGGCAAGGTGCGCCCCCTCTTCTTCCGTGTGCGAACAACTTAGTTAATGCTCTGCGGCGTGCGTAGACCTGCCTGCTGATCTCGTACACGACGAACAAGTTCCCCAGCGAGTACGTGCCCACTGTGAGTCTCCACCGCGTTACCACGTCAGAGCATATTCGATTGAAAACCTTGCAAGGTATTCGACAATTATGCAGTCACCGTCATGATCGGCGATGACCCGTATACGCTGGGCTTGTTTGACACGGCTGGTACGCCTGCTTTCTCCACTGCTCTGCAGCCGACCCCTCTCAACACAGCGCCTCCCTTGTTTTTCGCGCGCCTCTTCGCGTGCAGGCCAAGAGGATTACGACCGTCTTCGACCATTATCATACCCCCAGACGGACGTGTTCCTCGTGTGCTTCAGTGTGACGTCGCCACCGTCGTTCGAGAACGTGAAGGAGAAATGGTTCCCCGAGGTGCACCACCACTGTCCCGGCGTGCCCTGCCTCATCGTCGGCACGCAGGTCGATCTGCGGGATGACCCCCAGGTGCTGGAGAAGCTGGCGAGGCAGAAGCAGCGCCCCATCACCCCGGACCAGGGCGAGCGACTTGCAAGGGAACTGGGCGCCGTCAAGTATGTAGAGTGCTCGGCATTGACGCAGAAGGGATTGAAGAACGTGTTCGACGAGGTGCGTTTGTGCTGCCCGCCGTCGTCCCCCTTCCGCTAATCCGCGTCCCAGGCAATCGTCGCCGCGCTTGAACCACCCGTGGTCAAGAAGAAACGGCATTGCATCATCGTCTAAGAGACGACGACGCCGCCGACGCCCTCTTCTCCGCAATCCTGCAACTCACCAGCACTCACTTCCCTTCATGCCACGGTCGCGATATAGTTCACTTCGTCTCATGCTATTTTTTCCACACTCAAATACACACATCTTGCCCAACGCCCCCGTAACCCGTACACACCCGACGCGGTTCGCCCTTTCTGACCTTTCATGTCTTTGTCTCTACGTCGACGTCTCTGGCCTTTTTACAGTTTGTCCCCTTCGCGCGCGGGACGGCCCGCCGCCGGGCAACGGTGGATGTGTCTCTGTCGCGTGCTCACGGCGGCGCGGTCCCGTATGTTGATTTTGCCATTGTGTATTTCATATAGCTTTCAATTGGGTTAAGGGGGTTCTAATACCCATGAGTTGGATGACGTGCTGTGTGCGAGACTTACGTTGGGGATGGGCTGCTCTGGTCTTGCTCCGGCTCAGCGAGGCTATGTTTGCTGAAGCGATGTGCGGGTTGCCGGCGCTGGATCGTAAGTTCAATGCTCACTGAGCCGACACATGCATATGTACCAAGTATGATAATCAACGCTTGTACTCACTGCTTACTTTCCCGTGCATGAAGCCCTGCGCGCACTCGGGTCTGTCAGGCTTTGTGACTGACAGTGACCAAGGGTCGTAATTGGTATACATCTGTGTTGTGGTCTACATGTTATCGTGACAATGGGCATAACGAATAGCGCTACATGTAATGGGATGTTCGTGGCTGTCACAAGGAGTGCTTTAATTGTCATCGCATCAGGCTCAGAAGACGGCCCGCATTTTCTAGGCAATCAGTTCTGCAGGATGCTAGCCAGGTCCTGGATATTGTCATAGTGGTGAATATGAGACGCATCCGGATTTGAGTCCGTGGCATTACTGAGCCGAGTTCGACATCTACCGTCGAGCCAAACAAAAGTTAGTTGACCTATATGAACACCATGGCCCGGGAGCAGGAATTCGAAAGTGTGTGGGTTTAATTTATCTGCGCCCGCTGCCAATGGGTAGCGTCGACGAGGGCGAGCGCTACCGTGCACATCGTAGCGGTGCTCCTGGACGACGAGTCACTGCGGGCAATGAAAGGAGCTAGTCGCTGCGTCTCCCTTTCGGCCAGTAATCATCGCCAACATTGTGAACGCGTAGTGCATTATTCTCACCTTGGATAACCCAAGAATGATCCTGATCTAGTAGTGTGCATCCATGTGGTGCACAGTTTCAGTCGGTGTCGGCCACCACAAAAGTTCAGGTCATATGGTCTTGGTTAGGGTCGACCTGGACTCGGTCACCGTCAGGCTATATCAGATTACTCACCTGTCATCAGGCGAGCGGGCATGCGCTTTTCCAATGAAGAGTTCCTACGAGCTGGTTGGCCTGCCCAGGTATTACCGCCAGCCTTGCCGATGGTCGTCACAGAGGCGCTTTGCCTGAGGTGCGGCGCCGTCCCTAAGGTCGGGTGATTGACTCTATTTGGTTGATACGACTTTCGGCGGAGAAGCACTGAAGTAACAGTCCAAGCCAGTGTCAGCCGCGCGCTACAACCACTGTCACATCGCGATACCGATCTGGGTTGGCAGCCCCATCACCTTTCGTCCGTCAGAGTCAACTGCCCCAAGAGTTGGCTCGTACCGACGCGGCTGCTCGATAGACATTACACGTTCATCACTTCACCGCTGATACGTACACCATCACTAAGGATCACAAATCGAAGTCTGAGTCCGAGTCTTCCTCTTTCTGCCGTATATTCTTGCCGCTCGTCCTGTTCGTCCGCGTGCCCGCGGAACGCATCCGCGAGGACGGCTCCTCGTCGCTCGCATCGTCTTCATCAGAGCCATCCCCCCGCCGGTTGCGGCCGCGTTTCGGTATTTCCTGCGGGGTGATAGCGCCCGCAAGGAGCAGAACAGCTTCTAGCTCTGGAATAAAGGAAATCAAATGTTAGATGATAATCGAGGAGAGCAATGGCAGCCACAAGCCTTCGATTATGCGTTCGCGGTCTGCGCCCCAGGCGACAATCTGGTTGATCACGTCGCCGTTGCGGTAGATGATGATCATGGGTATGCGCGTGTCAGGCAAGTTGGGGATGCACTTGTCGCCGACGATGGAGACAAACTTGGTGTCCGGATACCTCTGCGCGAGGACACGGATATGTTCAAAAGCAACGTCACTCCGTGGTATGCTGCGCCGCAGTCAGAAGCGTGCGGAGAGAAGAGAAGCACATACTCACCCGTCCTTGTACAAGAAACACACCACACCCGTACCATGGCCTTCCGGCTTGCCCTCTTGTGCGACCTTGCTCGCCTCGGTCACCTCTCTCGTGTAGTCGTCCCGCCCAATCGGGTACACCCTCCCGAACCGTGCCTTTGCCCTTCTCCGGTCCTCTTCGAGCCGCTGCTTGCGGATCATCTCGATCATCCGCTCGGTCTCGTCATTGTTCACGTCCTCAGCAAGGTCGCGCAGCTCATCGTCGCTGATGTCCTCGAGCTGCTCTGAGAGTGAAGGTGAGGCCGGCGGTGAGGGCGAGGGTGGTGTAGGCGGTCGCGGCGGGAGGATGCCATGTTTCCGGAGAGCATCATTGCTGCGTGACTTAGGCAGTGAACAAGTGTGAGGCTCAGAGGCTGTTAGGGGTCTTACAACTCGGTGTCTTCGTTAGCATTGACGGCCATGTTTTTGAGATAGAGACCAGAGTAAATCAGCAGGTACGTATGATATGTGATGGGCGTAGGGGTTGAGTCGTCTGCCCGCAGCCACAGGCACAGTCAAGTCGGCGGCGCAGCCCACCGGGATTGTGGCGCTTCGATCATGATCGGGACGCGGATGCGGGACTTGGGCGTCTACAGCCAGTGGTTGCTGGCGTTCCGAGTCAGGTTGGAATCGGAAGGATCGGTCCTTCGCACGTTTCCTATCTCCGCTTGCGGCTTGCCCGTGAACACGATGGCTCTAGCAGAGTCTAGCAGTACTTATATGCGGCGTACAACTGCTTGTCTGGCAGAGTTCATGGAGCGAGTAAGGACGTCTCTGGTATCCATGAAGTCCAATTGCCTAACTCTGCCACCTTTCAAGGACACCGTGGCTTGCAGCCCTGAGTGCCGAAGACTCCGACGAAGTTACTCAATTGTGCTGAACGGTCTCACGAGAGGGCCGTGTGCAATGTGCAAGACGCCAGGCCCCTGTCGCTCCTGGCGCACAGAGACCCTGTGGGCCGTCTGATTGTGCCTTTGTGCTAGTACGCAATGGACATGACGGACCAAGGTCAAATATCAATAATAGACCTATCTACATGCACATGTAACTCAAATGCAGATAGCTGAAGGCCACTACCCACGAAAGACCGATATGTCACTACTGACACGCGGGTCATCCGGTCGTAGGTGATCATGATGCTTTCCGCCGGAAGCAATCTGACGACCATTCAACCGCAGGAATGCTCCGGGAGAGCACGCATACATCGTCACAATGCGCACCATGCTTCGCGATAACGTCGCTCTAAACCACCGTGCCTCACGTGCGAGAACGGGACACGACCCGGTTCTTACTCACCGCTGCCGGACGCGTTCCCACTGCCGTGTTCCAGAGACGTCTCTCCGGGTGGTATTCTCTTAATTTTGGACCAGGCTGACCTCAGGCACACGATACGCACACGAGCGCACCGCTGGCCTTATGAGGCTCCCCATGGCGCGGCGTATTTATTTGAGCCCCCCCTGAACTCCTGCTGACGATCCATAGACCCCGCGGTTCGCCCCCTCCCTGAGTCCGCCATGGCGCTCTTAGATCCCGAGCTCGCCCCGATGGATGCACAGGACGCCGCCGAAGTCGTCGAGCAGCTCCCGCACATCGACCACAACACTGATGAGCAGCCCCCTGACTACGAGTCCAACGAGAAACACGGTAGCGAAACGAATGAGAAGCACGAGAAGGCAGGCTCGCTGTCAAGCGGGGCTACTGTCGATGAAGTGGAGGTCGATGTCAAGCTTTACGACGAACGCGGACGTGAGAAGGTCCTCGAGACCGCAGAGGACTTCAGTCGGGCCCTTGTCAGCAGCGACGACGATCCCGACTTGATGATACATACGTTCCGCATGTGGTTCACCGGTGTCGGCCTCGCTGTGTTCGGTGCCGTCCTTGGAATGCTCTTCGTAAGTGCCGACTACACAACGCTGTTCACAAAACAGATGGCTGATTCCATCGCGTAGCAATTCCGGCCCCAAGTAATCGCTGTCTCTGCGCTGTTCCTTCAGCTACTAGCCTACATGATCGGTCGGTTCTTCGAGGGTGTGATCCCGGGCCCCGGGTCTCGCTGGAATAACGGCAGTCGGTTCTGGAAGTTCCTGAATCCTGGACCATTCAGTGAGTACCTCCCGATATCAGTTCTCGCTTTCCGTCAACTCAACAACATAAACTCTTCAGACATCAAGGAACACGTCGCCGCACAGATCCTTGCGAATACTGCTGCGTATGTATTACTTCAAGGATGACTTTCTGCAGCACAAGCTCACGGCACTACCAGCACGGCAGCACAGGCTGTCTTCGTCTTTGCCTCAGACGATCTCTTCTACGGTATCACTGTCAATGTGGGTACACGCCATTATCCTCGTGTCCCCTTGGCCTCGCCATGCTCACTCTAATCAACTAGCCTGGAAACGCCATCTTTACCCTTCTCGCATCTCAGCTCATCGGATACGGGTTTGCGGGGATGTACCGTAAGTCATCTCTCTATACTGATTCGTTCCTCGACGTTTACGAAGGCATCTGTGTATCCATCTAGGCGCGTTCCTGGTGTACCCAACGACTATGCTCTACCCGCAAACCCTAATTTACGTCAACCTCTTCGACGTGCTACACCGAGGCAAGGGCGAGCTTCTCCAGGGCAAGCGGTATGTGCGCCCGTTGTACCTTGTACGACACCGTTTGACAGGAGGAACGACATGCACACAGGTTCCGTTTCTTCTGGATCGTCACATTCTTGATGTGAGTCACTTTGCTGCGCTGTGTCGCATGGCTTCGACGTGATGCTGAAGTGTACGCTTCGGCCCCGGACAGCTTCGTGTACGAGGTGAGTGACTCATGCAGTTAGCGCGCGAATTTGTTTGATCGCGGGCTCATCATGCAAAATCAAACCGACAGTGGTTCCCTGAGGTGGGCCCCTATCCACTTTGCTTGCGGGTGCGGGTTGCTGAACAATGGTTTTCGTAGTGGATCGCGCCTCTGCTCGGCTCGTTCAACATCGTCTGTCTATGTGCGCGTAACTCGGACTGGGTGTCGTACATCTTCGGAGGCGCCGAGGGTAATGAAGGCATGGGCTTGATGGGATTTGGTCTTGACTGGGCCAGTGCGTCTCCTTCGTCTCCCTGTTTATCGAGCGCATACATTCAAGTCTTCGCAGACATCACAAGTGCGCCGTTCTACCAGCCGCTCGCGACGCAAATTTCCAGTGAGCCTATTAGCACCGATCGACTGCGCATTGTGCCTGCCCACTGCTGACTACGCGTCTTCAGCATACGTGGGATGGGCTATCAACTACGTGCTCCTCCCTGCTATCTTCGCGTCGAACGCATGGTGAGCTGGGATCGCCGGCCGTCTCGCTCCAACCTTCTCTCACGCACATATTAGGCACTCGCAGAACTTCCCGTTCATTTCCCAGGTAGGCTTTCCTTCTGTCGGCGGATTATCGGATGTCTGACATGAGGATGTGGCGCGTCTAGAACTTGTGAGTACTCTGCAAGCACGGTCGTCGATTAGGCGTTGACGCTCGTCTCACAATTGCGCAGGTTCTGTGAGTGTCTCTTGCGTCAGATTGCGCCAACAGCGAACTGAGACGCAAACCGCCCAGATGAGAATGGGACGATCTACGACCAGAATCTAATCCTGACGGCGTGAGTATTTTGAGCGCGCTGTCGTGTGGTGCTACCCACTTACGCCTATGACGCTTCAGCGACCAGAGTCTGAACAAGACCGCCTATGCAATCTATGGACAGCCATGGCAGAGCGGCTCCACCGTGGTGCGTACAGGGAATCATCGTTGAACGTGTCGTGGATCGTTAACTATGGCCACGGTAGATCTACAACTTCGGTGTCAATTTGTCTATCGGAGCGATGTTCGTACACATCGGCCTTTGGCACGGGAAGGAGGTATGTCTGCGCACAGTGCCCTTTTGAGTTGTGCTAATGCAGACGGACCCTAGATCTGGACAGCATTCTGGGACTAGTAGGTTTCCGCGACGCATCCTTGGATGAATGGCTAATGTTTTGGTGGGCAGTTTGAGGAGTAAGCCGGTTACCGACCTGCACTATCAGAAGATGCGAGTGAGTATATATGAGGCTGTACCCTCGACGTTCTTTTAATCATTGCATTGATTTTTAGGTCTACAAGGAAGGTGCGTGACGACGTACGTTAGATGAGCGAAGCTTGCTCATTGTCTATGTACAGTACCGATGTGGTGGTATGGCGCCGTGACTCTGGGAGGTGAGTTCCATCACAAGTGTTGCGGCCATCCTCAATGCTCACGACAGTCGTTAGCCTTCATCACCGCAAGTGAGTAACATGCCTATCACCCAAGGGATCGATAAGTCACACCATTGTCTAGTGGTCTGCGCGTACACCGAGCGCTCGGGGTATGAAATCTTTGGCATTAGCCTCACAAATCGTGCTCATGAGCGTTTGCCCCTCAGCTTGCCGTGGTGGGCGCTGATCGTTGCCCTCTTGTTCGCCGCTATGATCTTGCCATTCTATGGCGCTATGTACGCTGTCGCCGCGTAAGTGCCAAGCTCTCGCAATCCAGCCCACTGGGCCGAATAGCTGAACTGAACCGATTAGGTGGACGCCCGGTATCACGAATCTCTTCCAGATCTTTGCATCTGCTTTGATCCCAGGCTCCTCTCAAGGAAACATGGTAGGAAAATAATCCCGGCGCCACGCGGCATACTCACAGTCGTCTTTGCAGTACTTCGAACTCTACTCCAGTCAATCGCTCATCCAAGCAGCCAGCATGCTGAGTGATCTCAAGCTCGGCCAGTATACGAAGCGTAAGCCTATCTATCTTTCTACTGTGAGCGAATTGATTGTAACTTCTTGTGCTAGTGCCTCCTAGGGTTGGTTGATTGCTTCACGAATGCACTGGGGACATATGGCTGAACATGTCGTGTAGGTGACATTCGCTGTGCAGATGGCAGGGACAATCGTTGGCGCATTGCTCAATTGTGAGATATGGCCCGGGCTGTGCTCAAAATCTGTCACTCACATTCCTCTAGACGTCATCATGCAGACGGTTGTACAGAACGAGCGCACTATCCTGGTCTGTCCTCATCTTCTGATGCTTCGTCGACGACTAACGTGGTAGCTCCACAGCTGAGCAACGAGGGTACCCGAGTGTGGAGTGGGCAACAAATTCAATCGTACAACGCAAATGGTACGCGAGATATAGTTCGTTCGGAAACGTACTGAGTGCGCTCTGCAGCTATTCTCTGGGGCGCGTTGGGCAAGGAGATCTGTATGTGCAGTTGTTTCGCTACATTTCCCGATGCTCAGTCTGCGCTAGATGGACCAGGAGGCCCTTACTTCATCGTTCCCCTTGGCCTTGTCATCGGTCTCGTGCTCCCTATTCTCCCTTGGTATATCTACACGCGATTCCGTTGGACCTGGCTCAAGCAAGTTAACACGGCCGTCTTGGCAGGTACGCTACCTTTTGACGGTGTTGTAATTATGTTGAACAAACTCGCTTGCTCTTCAGCATGTATCGGTGATCTTGCTGGTGGAACCAACGGATATATCAACACCTGGATGCTGATTGGGCTCACGTCTCACTTCTACATCCGGAAGTACCGTGCTGGTTGGTTCAGGAAGTATAACGTACGTCGAATTTCGACAGACATGGCAATTTGCTTACACGTCATTACACCAGTATCTGTTCGGCGCGGCTGTCGATGGAGTACGTGCCATCATGACCAGCAATGGGGAACTGAATCTCACCGATCCACTCACAGGGCTCTCAAATCTTTGTCTTCATCTTTTCGGTAAGTTTGGCCTACATGAGCTACGGAGGCGCAGCTAACAGGATCTTGAAGTTCGCGCTAGCGGGCGCTGGTGGTGTTACCGTCACATTCCCGACGTAAGTGGCCATGCAGTAAAATCCGGTGAATAGTGGTGCTCACTCTGACCACCAGATGGGCTTTGAACCCAGTAGGAAATGCGGTGAGACTAGCGACTCCTATTTCATGACCTGTCACTCACGTAGAACCTCTAGGACTATTGCAAGGCCACGCAGCAGGAAGGTTGATGTCTGGACACGACGTTCGATTTTGCCACTGTTACTTCTTACGAGCAATGTATTACTTAGAGCAGATCTGAGTTCATGATGATATTATTTGAATTACTGATGTGCAATTGGCGCGTTGCGATGCACCAGATCGGCGCAATACAAATATGATGTACATGAGTTCTCAACGTTCACCAACCACAGGCCTCAGCAACGGCCCCAGACGAATAGAGACTGCCTTTGCGAATGACATAAGCCACACTTCACTTACGCTGGTACATACACGACGTGAATGTTGTGTGATCAGCGATATGGGTGTAACACACCTTAGGAATGGGCTCATCTGCATCAACCCTAAGGGTGGTCCCCTCCCTGGCAGCTGAGATTTCTCAACCATATCATCCGACAGCACATGCAGAAAGGCTGACGTCTGTTCATGGAGCAGTAACCGAAACATCCACCTGTATCTCGGCCTTTGATAAGTCCCCAATTGCCACTGAAGTAAGATGCACCGCGCCATCGGTGCTCCGTGGCAAACGTTCCCGCATGAAGGCCTCCAGCCACTCGATCTCTGGTCTTTCGCACTCCGTTAAGGGGAGCCATAGTGATCTCCCCACTTCAAATGCCTCGAAAATGATGAGACGAAGTCCACGGAAGCGTGCAGCGTTCCGAGTGATGATGTCGCAGAGTGTTCACAGCATGTGGAAAGATCCTTCAGCGAGGTGGAGGAAGAGGCCTTGCCTGAGAGCATGGACGTTCCAACAGACACCTAGCTACGTATCGTCCAGATGTGACATGTCCGGGTTTTGGATGTGGCCCGATGAGAGAAACCACGGGTGGCAGCCAGGCGTTTGGTCGGATAGACCGCCATGTTGAAATGTATGTGGTGTAGGGACCGACAGTGAGCTAAGTGGTACGAACATGGCACTAAATCGCGCTGGGTCAACATCAAGCGCCGCGGCGATCTACAGTAAAGGAGCATGGTTTCCTTTTGCGGAAGGTGCCTTGCCTGATTGGGACTCACCGCCTTGCTCGCGCCTAAACCGGGTTTCCTGCATCCCCGTCTCTTAGCGCGTATTCCCATCCTCAGGCATTCAAGGCTGCGATGGCGAGGCCTCTAACAAATGCCCCACACAGATTTCGTGCATTTAGTTTAGTTATCCCACACGTCTAATATCACCATCGGCGGGCACTTATTTTGGTGATAGCAAGGCTCTTTGCCCTACTAGTGTACCTAGCGGGAGGCATCTGCGAAGGCAGCTGCGATGGATGCAATGCGGCGAGCGAGGAGAAGGGACAGTGGGTATTGGATCTATGGCTAATGGGCAGAGTCATGACGCATTGAATATTGATGGCTCGACTGTTGGGCCCGTTCAATCATCGACCGGCCGCCAACGGATACGAACTACGTTGTGAAATGGACAGCAAGATACTCAGCCTGCTAGTACTGTACATATAACTTGGCCATCCACGGGCATAAACTAGGGCATCACTCAATGTTCACTGCACGGACGGATCATTATTAGCACACAGCGTACCTCGGACAGTATCTGGGTTGTACGTACCACATATTGAATTCATGACCGAAGCGGTTCTGGTCGACCGTCTCAACGAAGGCCGTACGCTCCTTCATGAGTTCCTCGCGGTAGGCTTTCGCCTGCTGATCTGTCATAAAGTCCGCATAGTCCAGTACGATATCCTGCAGCTCGACGGGCAGACGGTCCCACAGCACGGTTCCCGGAAGGGCGCGTTGCATCCACGATGCTTGTTGCGGTGCGACCATGGACGCGGACGGGATCTTGATGTGAGGATCCACCAGGAAGAACACGAGGATCTTGCGGTGGCCAGGCTTGCTCGGGTCTGCCAGGCGGAAGGGCGAAACAAGGTGCTGGTATAGATTCGGGAACACAATGCACCTGTCTTGCTTCGTGATGACCTTGCCGACGTCCTGCACGCAGTTATCGTCCCTGGAGAGGCACCGTCAGAACGAAAGGGTAAGCACGGCTACTGCATAGAGTACACACCGGTCAAGGCCATATAGATGCGTCATACAGTACCTGTCTTCCTGGTCATGGTATCGTGGTGCATTGACGGCGTTGCGGAAGGAAAGCGTTGATTCCGTGAGATTCTCGCAATCGTAGTACTGGTCCGCGGTGAGTCACCACGGTGCGTAGCAAACAGATGGCAGGGCTCACGTAGATGAACGTTGAGACGATGGCTTCGTTATTCATGCCTGTCAAGTCCGCTCAGTGGATGCGCACAATTTGGAGGGAAAGCTCAGGTAACCTTCCACGTGCCATTTGCCTCCGCCGTACTCTGGGTTCTCGGGAGTGAGAACGATATTCGCCAGCTTAACGATGATCTGCAGTGTCTGTCCGCGCAAGTTGATAGTCTTCTTCACTGCGTCCAGGCCATGGTCGTAAGCCGGCTTGCTATCGGGCCACGTCTTCGCTTGCTTGTCCAACCATTGATGCCTGATGATTGTCCAGTAGTCAACCCATGGATGTCCATTATCTCTTGGATTTTCGTCCTCCAGGCGGCGAATCTCCGCCTCGAGAGCCTCTTCCTCCTCCGATTCTTCGGCACTAGGCTCGGTCTGTCAGTCATCACTGTCAGCATAGATAAGCCTTGGTCAAGCAGAAGGCTCTTACGGGATCCCATATGCACCCGGGGAACTTGCGTCCCTTCAGGTCCATGCGTGTCGGCAACTGCTTCTCGCGTGCGAGATCTGAGAGCACCCACTCGAACATGGGCACCGCTCGCTCGAGCACTGTGGGGATCACCTTTTCAAGGGCTGCATGGTCCTCTGGGTGGATGTTGTTGATGTAGGGCGCCGTCAGCTTGACGGTTCCGTCGTCGGCGACGTGGAAGTCTGACGGCAGCCACTGGAAACGCCCGGACGTGAAGACAGAGTCCATGTCGTTGTCTATGCGAGGTTCGAGCAGTTCAGCGGACGTCGATGTCGTATGGCCATAAATGACGGGATACAGCGACGGGTGGACGAGATCCAAGACTTTGCCGTCGGATCCAGGGTGCCAGTCCTTCTCGGAGTCGGGAACCGACTCGAGGGGCGCAACTGCGGACAGCAGCTCCGTCCTCAAGCTAGCGGGTATGAGTTGATCGGACCTCCACGTACGCTCGCATGGACCAGGCTGAAGTGTACACAGCTAGAACGTGAATCGAAGCAAAACTTGAACGTAGAGACGAACCTCAATGCCTGTGTTCGGGTCACGCATCGCGGCGTGCGCGTCAAGTTCAGTCAAGACATAGTTTATCTCCACAGCAATCAGGATTCAGCACGGCAAAGAAGTATCGCCACTCAACATACCATGTTCTCCGTTAGTTGAAGGCTCGGGTGCACGTCTTTCTGTTGTTCGCGAATCTCTTCCGCCCACTTGGTCCGTATCTTCTCGTCACGATACTTGACATGCCAGTCGACCTTCTCGCGTATGGCGGCGCTCAGCGCGCACATACGAATCTCGACAAGGGTACGGGGCGTATCCTTGTCATCGGGATCATCATCGTCCGATCCGTAGTAGTCGTAGCCGCTGACGTCCGTGAACGGGTGTCGAAAGCGACCGCCTTCGTCGAAGTCGTTGATGGAATCGTTCTGGCTTGGGGAAGACATGTTTGCTGGATCAGAGGAGGTTCGCGCCCAAGCTATCTTATATGAATTCAGCTTTGCGAGGCAGTGACTGGCACCCGCCGTGTCGGGGCCGGCGGGGGACCTTAACGGGTAAAACACCGACGGCCCCGCCAGGTACGGCGCATTGCATGATGCCAAGTTGAATGTCTTTCAGGACCAGAGTCGCCCAGAACGCTTGTAGTTGGTCACCGCTCATGATCAGGTCAAGTGCCATGGGGGCGTGAAATGAGCAGTGCATGCACGGCCAGTCGGCCGTCGCTTCGCTGTCAGCGCCGCTGTCGTGGTCGACAGCTGTAAACGCCGCTCGACGTCTGCGTCAACTCATCACAGGCGTGACCAAGTGTGACTGACCAGTGCGTCAGTCCGCGAAAGCCACAGCTCGATCGTCCCGATCTGGTTGTAGTTTGATTGCTTGGACAACCTACAGCTCACTGTCCCTCTGTAGATCACTCTGTATCTTACTACATGTAGCTGTTGTTTGTCTGAAAGATATGTGGATATTAGTGTATGGTGACACAGTCATCGCGAAAACGGCGCCCAGCTGGTATAAGCCTTCACATCTTGTCAGTCATCACAAGTGTATTAGTGTATTGTAACTCCGATCAATCAATTACAAGTCCGAAAACACCCTGTTGAAGCCCTTATCGGCGTTCATCTGTCTGAGATACCCTGTCCACTGTCTGCTCCGTCATCCGAGGTCTGCACGGCGATGAACAGGTATGGTCAAGTCAATGTCAGTATTCCGCACTATGGCCATCTCTGACCCGGACTACGTATGTCCGATGTCCATATGTTACTAAGCAGCCACTCTGATCATCACGGTCTGTAGTGCGCGTACCGGTCGAGCTCTTCATGAGATCGTCTGGTCATGCTCGTTCAGGCCATTCGCCGACTCTGCCCCGACAGACGGGCCGGTTCACACCGGTCTCCAAGTCTCCAGATGTGACTGTCAAGCCCCACATTGTTCACGTAGTCTCGCTCGTGGCAGATGCGCGCCCGACGGATGTCTCTACTCCTACGGTCTACGTCTATCCAATCGACAACAACCAGTCCGGCGAGAATGATGCACCGCTATCTGATCACGAATGCCTAGTGCGAGAGGCTGAAGATCTCAGGCAGGAAGTTGCGAGCTTGCGCGCCACTGAGCAACGCACGACCAACGTCGGATCGGACAGCTCGTCTGCACCGGTCGACGTGCTGTCTGCTGCAGCGGTGTCCCTTCGACCAGCCATCCAGTCGAATGATACGGAGCTGAGAGGGGAAGTCGCATTACTGCGGGCCGAGGTAGTACGGTTGAAGGCGGAGGCAGAAGGAATCGCTAGGTTTATCGACGCACCTCCTGCATACGCCCACTCTACAGCGGAGGGTCATGCTTAGTTGGAGGAGGTCATGGATTACCGAGCCGTATCTCCAGTCCCCGAAGTCAACATTCCAGATTCACTGTCATTGTCTGAGGCTCGTCGTATACATGACAGCAGACGTTTACATCCAACCATTCGTATTGACGTCTGTCGAAAGACAGAGATGCAACAGCAAATCCCCGTGAAGCCGACGTCCCGACTCGCAAGCTGGATGGCTTTACGCCGATCCGCTCTGCGATGGTGTTGAATATGTGCGGACGAGGCTGAGAAATCTCCGAACTGACAATCGTCTCCGTCGTGGACATAAAAGCAGAAATCAGTCATAATGACGTGAGATGCAGCCGTTTTGTTAACACTACTTTGTATGTGTACACCGTTTACAGAGAACACATGGGACAGGATACCATCATGAAGTCCAAGAACGATCCCATCGACTTACTATGCATACGCAGGAGGCGGATCCCTGCCCCTCACAGTCCCCTCCGTTTCCGCCTTCAATCGTGCCATCTCCACCCGCAATGACGCCAGCTCTCTCCTCAACGTCACATCGATGTCCGTCGATCTCGACGACGCATGCGTAGATTCTGTGGTTGTGCTCGTAGGTGCTGACTGACTGCTTGTTGCCACTGCGCCTCCGACGACTGGTTGGCGCTCGGCACGCAAGGTTGCTACCTGCTGCCTGAGGGTCTCAGCCTCGCACATCATGCCTTCGTGGTTTGAGGGTGGTACGATCCATGGAAGCTTCTCGTTTGAGGGATTGGTGTAGCCGGTAGAGGCGAGGGGTGTCTCGTTGATTGGCATGGTGACTGCCGCGAGCAAACCCGGATGCTGAGCGCGCAGCGGAGGCCCCAGTGAGCTGGCATAATTGGGAGTAGGTGTAGGCGGGAAGGCAGGAGGCTGGGTTACCCCATGTTCCATCTCGGCGACTCTGTGCGCATTGTGTCGTCTCCGGAAATATATCAATAGGAGGATACAGATCATTATAAAGGCGACCCCGCCGACAACGCCGCCGGCAATCGCACCAACGGGCGAACCTTATCGCATCATGAGAAACGTCCACATAAGATTGGTATGCCATAGACATACTGTTGGTCGTCGCATCTACGATAGCACTCGTACTGCTTGGGGTGCCCGGAGTTGATGTTGTGGTGCTTGAGGACGACGCTGACGCAGAGCTACTCGACGCGCTCGACTCGCCGCTATCAAACCTTGAGCAATAAATTAGTTGTCAGCTTTGAGGACGGCTGCATATAGGTCGCGAACTTACGTGTATATGGCATAGTCGAACAGCAGGAGAGACGGCGCTGACCCCTGTATCGCCGTCATCACCAGTGTATGCGACGTATTGCTGAGACCTGTCTTGCTGAATGCGGTCGTGTTGTAAAGGTACGTTGGAGCACCAGGAGTGGAATCCGGAATATGAGTATAGGTACCAGCTATAGTCCCGTCCAATTCAAAGCTAGCATTGGTGAAAATGGTGACGCCCGTGTTAGCGGAGTTGACGAGAATGCAGTTCACCCAAATTGCAGTCCCTGCGTACAGACATGGCCAATGAGTGCTACTTCCGTCCATGTAAGAAGGAATGGATAGCGCACCTGTGAACTGTATCGTCGCATAGTGACCCGAGGTAGCATTCGGATTGTTCGAAGTTGTGTCATGCCATGTACCATCGTATGCCTCGCTCGCACTGGGCTGAACGGCGCAACCTGAGCACCCCTGCCCGGCATTCCAGTCGCTAGTGTACACGGGCGCGATGTGGGTCTCCGAGTCCCCCCATGTATCGTCGATTGTCCTGTTGACCTGCTCAGCGGTCACAAACAGAGAACAGACTGCAGCTGCGAGGATAATACATCCCGCCCGCAGGCAGAGACAGAGACACGGCAAAAGCATCTAGCTCGACGGGAGTGAGAGAAAGATACGAGAGACGTGAGCTGTACATACTCTATCGCGTTGCCAACTGTGATGTTCTGCGCGCGGGAAGATCACGGACGCAACATCAACTGCTACTTCGGTGCGGACCCTCCCCGTGTATGTCAAACTGTAACGCAAAGGTACGTACCCAGCAGTCCGGTACTCTTGATAGATCCGCTTGCTCCATTTTTCACGGAATGTGAGATTTCATCGTGTCTATGCATCATCCGGGTATGCCTCGGACGACCGCAGAGAACGCTCAAAGACCAAATAAGATATACATACATCCATGTGCGGTATTTGCGCACTGCCCGGAGCCTATGCATGCGAGAGGCGCTGTAGAGGTCGATGCTATTCATAGCCTGGCCGGCGAGCATAGCCCCATCTGTCAGAGCTATGCACGGACCTCATGTCAATGAAATGACTTACAAGGAGATGACAGCGATATGGATGTTTGATGTACGAGGGTGTAAGCCTGAGGCCTGAGGGTAAGGCCCGGCCTCCTCAGGCTGTCCTGGCGGGAGACCACATTGAGTTTGACGAGCCTCGGCCACTGTCATCTTCGTCTGTTCGCGACTCATCATACAGGCCTCAGCAGGCAGGCCTGCAAATGAATAGATCATATTAGTGGATAATCGGCACAGTGGTGACATGTGCGCGCCGTAGCTCAGCACTTGAGAGACTCAGATACCTCTCTGGGACGACTTGGACTTCTTGACCCTATACTGCGGAGGCCACAGTCTTACATGAACATCGGCTTGATGCGCTGTAGCTATGAATGTCAAGCATCTGGGGATTCCGTAGCTGAGTGCATGTATATGACTTGTATATATATGGAGCCATGCAAGAGCGCTACTTTTGTGGCGTGGGAACAAATCCAAATATGGCGTGGTCGGTAAGTAATGCTGCCAGTGATGGGACACTTCAGAAATTAACCACCACCTATGCTGAACGCTGTCTGATATTCACCCGATGGCCGTCGCACTGCAAGACGTCAGCGACACCCTACTACCGCGCAAATATCAGGAGGAAATATTCGCGCGGGCGCAGCGCAGCAATGTTATCGCTGCGCTCGACACAGGGAGTGGCAAGACGTACATCAGTACGCTTCTCATCAAGTGGATATCAGCGCGGGATGCTGGGCTCGGGAAAATCATCGTCTTTCTCGTCCCGAAGGTGGCTTTGGTAGAGCAGCAAGGAGACTTCATCGCCAGGCAGACCCCGCTGCGGGTCACCAAGTGTTGCGGGGCGACGGCGATCGACTTGGCGGATCGCGTGGGCTGGAAACGAGAGTTGGAGGACACGGATGTGCTTGTCATGACCGGTATGTGTCCGACTCTGACTCACGACTTGAATTGGGGAGGTCAGAAGAGCTGTAGATTGGTTGGGCCACACTCCGCATTTCTGCCGTACAGGCGGCAGGGGTCCGGAGAGTTGCACGTCGTTCTGCGCCATTCCATGCGAGCACAGACTGGGGAACCTCTCCTTGCTAGAGATTGTACTCATTGCACGATAGCTCAGATCTTCCTCAACATACTCACTCACTCGCACTGGAGCCTGGACAAGGTGAGCTAATGGCATGCGTCCTATTGGCTCCATCTTAATCGGCCTTCTAGGTGTCCCTGATGGTCTTTGACGAGTGTCATCATACGCGGAAGAATCATGCTTACAACGGTATTATGCGAGAATACTTCCAGTTCGCAGTCGAACAGCGCCCCAAGATTTTCGGTATGACCGCGTCGCCCATTTGGAATCCCCGCGACGCCGTTGAGTCGCTGGCGACTTTGGAAAGAAACCTCGATGCCAAAGTGATTGCGGTCCGCGAGCACGTTGACGAATTGATGGGCCATTCACCCAAGCCTGAAGAGGTACATTGACAGTATAATGGTCCGTACTGGGTTTGACGGCGTCCTCACAGGTGTTGCACGAGTATCCAGCACCTCTGGAAAGCTATCCGGCCTACCCGGAGTACACTCTCTGGAACCGTTTGCACCTGGACACACTCCCCCCTCACATCGACATCCCGGTGGAGAAGATCCGCGCGAGATACGACATCACGTACGCCAGTCTGGGCCCTTACGGCGCCGAGCTTTTCCTCTACACCGACATGAAACAGCGCATCGCGCAGATGCTATTGCAAGCCAGTGGGGCTGAACGCGATTTCTTATCGTTCGCATACCCCGGTTTTGGCTTGGATGACCTTTCGACGAAGCCTGGCGCAATGAATGTCGAGCTCCCACCGGAGGCGGAAGACTTGCAGGACGCCCTGATCGAATTCCGTTCGTTCTTCGAGGAGACGAACGACCCAGAGGCGGGACCGCTCACGGTCCATTTGAAATGGTGTTCGCCGAAGGTCCGAGAGCTCATCGACATTCTCTTCGAGCATTATACTGGGACATTTCAAGGCATCGTGTTTGTAGAGCAGCGTCATGTTGCAGCTTGTCTGGCGACTATGCTTCCTCGTGTGCCGCAGCTCAGCCACCTCATTAAAGCTGGGCAACTGATAGGACACGGGGCGGCCAACTTGGCTAAATCGCAAGTAAGAGGAATGGCGCTCCGAACACAACAAGACATCGTTAGGATGTTCCGAGACAAACAGATCAACCTGCGTAAGTGGTAATGCCGTACCGGGGACGTGGCTGACTTCTGTGGCGTAGTCATCGCGACATCCGTTGCAGAAGAGGGTCTTGACTTCCCGGTGAGTCTGTCATTCTGAGACATGAGACAGCGCTCATTGCGGAGTAGGCATGCGATCTGGTCATTCGATTTGATCCCCTCCAACACATGGTCGGGTACCTGCAATCCCGCGGGCGCGCACGCCACAGAAGCTCGAAATTCATTATTATGGTTCAGGAGGGCCATCTCACCCACGCCGCGCGCTACAAGGCGTTCTCAGAAAGCGAACCGCAACTTCGTCTCGTCTACCAGAACCGCGACGTACGTGACCGTAGCCCAGAACCGGGGGAGATTGAAGAGGAGGAAGAGCGAGACGACCCGGAGGACATCGCCCAACGAGAACGCTACATCGTGCCTCACACTGGGGCCGTGCTGACATACAACAACGCGATCGGTCTGCTGAACCATCTTTGCTCGCTGATCCCCCACGACAGATTCACTCCCGTCTACCTCCCAAAGTATACCGGCGACTTCCAATCGACGCTGCATCTGCCCTCGAGTCTTCCGCTCCCCCAGCAACACCTCACATATTATGGCCCGGAGAAGCGCTCAAAGAAAGAAGCTAAACGAGCTGTCGCATTCTTGGCCGTGAGGCAGCTGCACCAGCTCAACGTCTTCGATGATTTCTTGCTGCCCGCTCAGAGCGGTTCTACGGGCGATCACGAAGACGCCGACGGACGCACGATACAGGACGTCAGCAAAGTCCCATTCATGCTGACTGACGTGCCTGTGCGAGACCCTTGGACGCGAGGCGCCGTGCAATACGTGCACGCCGTATACCTTGATGGCATCCCTACAGCAGGTCTCGTCACCGGAACGCTTCTGCCCCAGGTCGAACTCGTCTGTCGGGGTACCTACGTGTCTATCGGAGACGGCGTGCGAGTGGACTTCGACTACGAGAACGAGTGGGAGCAGCGTAGGATGATGGAAGACTTCATGAGAATGGGACTCTGGTGGTGCATCACTGGAAGAGGAATCGCTCTACCACTGACGTGCTACCTAGTTCCAACCACTCACGATTCTCAGGTTGACTGGGCTACCATCGAAAAGGCGGTGGCGAATCAGTATGGCAACCCCGACTGGTCAACTGTGGGTGAAGAACATTACTTCCATACGCTTGTGATCAACAGGATGGAACATGGCAAGCCGATGCTGCTCCGCAAGATACGCACTGACATCACACCGATGTCTGTCCCTCCGCCTGGTTCTCGCGAAGCAGCCTATCCCACGTACAGAGACTATTGGATCCACAAGTTCACGCGAAGAGATGTTGTCCCCGAGATACCTGAAGATGGCCCGTGCATCGAGGGTCAGCCCTATGCACGCCATGCGGCATGCGCGTACGCTCTCGATAATTCAGGTGAGGGCCAAGCCGCACCGATGATCGTCCCCCTATCCATCCTCTACCCCATGGGCATGTGCAGATGGGCAGATATCCCCGAAGACGTCTTCCGCACCTTCCACGTCCTGCCCGAGCTATGCCACCGCATCACAGACGTCTACCGCGCGCGTACGGCTCGAGCTGAGCTGAGCTTGCCCCCGATCACCGACGATCTACTCATTCAAGCGCTCACCGTCCCGAGCGCAAACGCCGGCTTCAACAATCAGCGCCTCGAGACCCTCGGCGATGCCGTCCTCAAGCTCTCTGCCGTCGTCCACCTATTCAATCGCTTCCCGCATCGACATGAAGGCCAGCTCGACGCCTTACGTCGGAACTGCGTCTCGAACCGCACGCTCATGTCCCGAGCACTCGAACACAGACTAGAGCAATACCTCACCAGCGAAGGCCAGAGCATGCGTCTCTGGCGGTACACCTTGCCGCCAGATGCGGACCCATCGGAGACGGCACCCCAAAGGTACGCGCCGCGTACATACCCGCGTAGAAGCCTGCAGGATTGCATGGAAGCTACACTGGGAGCAGCGTTCGTCACTGGCGGAATAGAGATGGGTCTGCGTGCGGGCACGGCACTGGGCCTTAGTTTCGGCGGACCGTGTCCATGGAACATGCGCTACAGCGGTCGCATCCCTCCTAGTCCAGTGGCGAGCCTCTTCATTGACTTACAGGAGGTACTAGGGTACCAGTTCCGAAGTGGTAAGCTTTTGCTCGAGGCAATGACGCACCCCTCTTTCGGATCACTTGAGACGTCCTCGTATCAACGCTTGGAGTTCATGGGAGACGGTGAGTTATCCCTAGCACCATAGCAGCAGTGCCATGGCTAATCGTTTGACAGCGCTCATCGACGTCGTCGTCATGAAGTACATGTACGATAAATTCCCAAAGGCCAACTCCGGACAGCTCTCTTGGGCGCGCTCCCGGGCCGTGTGTGCGCCGGCTCTCGCCTCCGTCGCCGTCAAGCGCCTCGGCCTCCATAGGCTTCTGCTCGTCAACAACGTCGAGTTGAGCATCACCATCGGCAAACACGTACCTATCCTAGAGGAGCTCACGGACGAGGAGATCATCCACAACGCGTGGAAGCAGGACCCGCCGAAGGCGCTTAGTGATGTACTAGAAAGCTTGCTCGGCGCGGTCCTCGTCGATTCTGGTTATAACTTCGAGAGAGCGGCGAGTGTCGCGGAAGTGTGCATGGGGGGCCTGTTGTCAGTATTGTCGCCGAACCTTCCGAAGGACCCCGTATCCGAGTTGATGATATGGGTCGCGCAATCAGGATGCAGGAAGGTGTTCTTCAAGTGAGGAATTAGTAGCTTTGTCCAACAAATGTCACTGACGACTTTCCCTACAGAAAGAGTATGAGTCGACCGGAAACCAAACGTAACGACGGTATCTCTGTCGTCGTACACGACCATACCATCGTTGGCCCCGTCATCGCTCTCAATCTCTCCCTCGCGAAGGGACTCGCAGCCGAGCGCACCAGAGCCCTGCTTTCGGACCAGAACTCGCCACAATGTCTGGCGCGCATATGCACCTGCGCGGAGGACGCCGTTGAAGTGAAAGGGCGGCAAATTGCTATTGAAGAACTGCCGGAGGATAAGAAGGAGCTCGACGACGAGACGGAGGAGGGCTTCGCTGTCCTCGCACGGATAATGGATGGCGAATTTAGCGGGCGCGTCCCGGACACACCCGAGCTAGTGAAGCAAGAGGGGGAGACGTCGGACGAGGACGACTGGGCCGAGCTCGCAGAGGTCGAGGCCGTGCTCACCGTAGACCCCGCAATGGTCGTCGACGTGGATGCGCGGTCCACCGCCACACCGCCGGTGCCCGTCGTCGAGGTCGTGAATGTGAAGGCGAAGGCGAAGGCGGAGAGCGCCGCAAGTGATATGAACATCGACATCGATATCGAAATGGACCCCCCGGAACCGCTCCCGACTGCGCATGCCATGCTCACAACTCGCGCCACTGTCTAGTGTTTGCCCCGTCCGCGCCGCCGTCGCACCCACCGCCATCCTCGGCCCAAGTGTTTTCTTTCCGGTGGGCTGAGAACAGCTGAAAGGAAACACTTGGGCTGAGGATGGCGGTGGGCATGACGGCGGCGCGGCAGCGGGGCGGGCACTGGATATGTGGCTTGTATGCGGGGTAGGCAGGCTCACGGAACACTCGTACCACATCCATCACGTTCATTCTATGCACTTGAACTCCCCGACGGGTCGGTGGCCTCCGATGGGTCACCTCCCTCATTGGGCGATATCCTGACCAAAATGTCAACATTCCTCCATACCTCCCAATGAGGAAGGTGACCTGTCGGAGGCCGCCGACCTGTTGTGGGGTTCAAGTCTGCAGAATGTGCCTGATGGGTGCTCTGTTTGAAAATGCGATCTTATGTCTTTTTACGACGAAATGCCTCGTCTCGTGCTGTCACAATGTTTTATTATTCCCAGGATTTCTCACGTCTTGTAGCCTCCGATGTATGCAAACCGTTGAATGTCTTGTATCCAAGTTTTATACCTATGCGTCGCCGCAATGTTATGTACCACTTCTTGCACACATTGCCGGTCATGACGGTCCACTTATCAAGGTGAATGATTGCTCTACACCCTGTTCACGGTGTGCCTAGTACGCGGACAACTGCTACAAGGGGCACAGGCAAAGAATAGGTGTGGTAGTAGGTTCAACAACGAAAGGAGGTTGATTAGTAAGTCTGTCACGCAAAGCGGAAAAGCGCATGCCGGGAGAGAAGACAGAAGGAGAACACAATCGGGGGTATACTAGTATGTGTCCTTTCGCCAATAAACATGCTCGCATAACGTTCACGGCCACGCACACGCGTAAGGCGTGACGCACGCCGTCTACCTCGGAGACATCTAGGGATGGGGGTGTCGGGAGGGCGCGTGATTTACTGCACCTGCGCGCCGGCGACTACGAGGCCAGCCATGCCCACCATGGCCTGGTTGATGAGCGCGAGCTGGGTGCCCGTCGCGTTGGCGCTCGCGGACGGCGCGGCGCTCGAGCTCCACGCGCTGCTGCTCGACCAGGCACTGCTGCTCCAGCTCGAGCTGCTGCTCCAAGAGCTGCTCGACCACGCGCTACTGCTGCTCCAGGTGCTGGTCGTGGTCGGCGTCCAGTAGGTCGACGTGGTCGTGGGCGTCCACGCGTCGGTGGTTGGGGGAGTCCAGTAGGAGGTAGTCGTGGGCGTCCAGTCAATCGAGGTCGGCGGCGTCCACTCGCTCGAAGACGTGGTCGGGCTGGAGCCGGAGCCGTACGACCACTCGCCATAGATCACGCCCGCGCCCTCGTCGGCGAAGTACGTGAAGAGGCCCTCGGACATGTCGAGCCCGCCCTCGGGGCAGCCAGGGCACTATGGGGAGCGTAGGCATGCATGTCGCGCGTAGACGTGAAAGGGGTGACTTACCCTGTCCATGATCTGCGCCTGGGTGGTCTTGCCGTTGTAAGAGATGGTGATCATCTGGAAGCACTCAGCGCCATTGCTTTGGTCGTACAGCTAGAACCAGAAATTATGTTCATCGCATGGTCAGGAAAAATGCACAGGAAACATACGATCGAGTCCAACGCCACAATCTACAGGAACAGGTGAGCCAATGTCTACCGCCTAGGACAGGACACTCACAAAGTCACCAGGCACGTTGTTTTGTCCACACGAACCCCTTGCGTGGAGGCATTAGCATGAGGATCTGCGATCAAAGTCGGCGGTGCTCACAGTCCGACAGCGTAGTAGGTGAAGCGCGCATTCGAGTACGACTGGCGCTTCTCCAGCGCGACCGTCGAGTTTGTCTGATTGTGCGCGAGCCCGTCGTGGCGGCGGTGCATGTCCATGCGGTTGACATGACCAGCGGACGCCAGGGGCGCCAGAGCAGAGAGCAGGCTGATGCCGAAAAGAGTCGAGCCGAGCATAGAGCCGAACATAGTGAATACGGGTAAGAGCTCGTTAGTTAGGCGTTGTGGTTATGTGGCTTTTGGGTAAATGAGTGTGAGGGGGAGTGAGCGGGGCGGCGCAGGAGGGCGTCGGGGGAGGCGATGAGCAGAGGGGAAGAGGAAAAGAGGGCTCGGGTGAGCCGGTGGTCCAGACGCTCTCCAAAGGGGCCGTCGCCTAACGACCGCCAAGCCCCGCCACAACGCCCACCGCCTTGCCTCATTCGGCAACCCTCGTCGTTCCTCCGTCGAGGTACGCCCCGACTACCCGCGCAGCCACGGTCGCAGAGATTGCGCGAACCTCAGAGAGCGGCGGAGCAACCGTTTTTGATGCATGTACCAGTTGAGTCTTGGGCGGCAGTGTATTACAGTATGAAGAGTGATCAGGCGTCGCACTCGCTCGACTCATCTCACTTGACAAAGACCGTACATGATATTGCTACACAGAATCATACGCCGGAGGCGGGCCCTTGTACTCAGATTCGCTAATCATGTCCTCGGTCTCCCGTGCCACTGGCATGTTACGTAGCGAGGATACAGCCGCGAGCTGACCTGTGCGCTGTGAAGCAGGATTCACGGGAGATACAACTTGAACCAAGGTCACGGTCTGGCTCTTGTGCTGTGTGACAGGCAGCGCGGTGAATGCACTCCAGTTGTTGGACATACTAGAATAGACGAAGGGTTCGGGGTTGAAGCGTGCCCTTGCCGCGGTACGGTATATTCTTCGTCGTCTTTGCAAATAGACAACGATGCTGAGCCAGATCGCCACAAAAGCGATACCGCCGACTACGCCGCCAACAATGGCACCGATCGGGGCACCTGACAAATGTTAAGGGATGCAAATTCGAGGCTTACGCGTCTGTGGCTTACCGTGGTGTGATACTGTATCCGATGTAGTCGGCGAGGATGACTCGACATCGCTCTCGTCTTCATAGCTTCGAGACAAGATACTTCAGCTCTCCGTTCGAGAAACACTATTCGAAAGGCTCACTTGTAGGTAGCATAGTCAAACAGAAGGAGCGATGGTGACGATGGCGACCCTTGCGCAGTTGACATTGTGAACGTGTGTTGTGTGTTGTTCAGCGACGACCTGCTGTAGACAGGTATATTGTACTGATATCCATATGCGCTCGCATTGTAACTCGGGGGCGATTGATATGTGCTGGGGTCCCCGTCGAGATCGAAGGTTACGTTGGTGACCTTCGTGACCGGTCCTTGGGCCACGAGGATGCAGTACACTGTAAGAGTGGTCCCTGCATCCAGGATACCATTCACGAAAGAAAGGTAGTGACATCAGGGTGTGTGGTATGCGAACATGACCATTGTTGGCGTACCGGTGAATGTGAACATGACGGTGTGGTCTGTCGTATCATTGCTCAGCGCATTGCTGCATACGTTCGACTGCGTGTCGTGCCAGGTTCCGTTGTGCGCCTGCGCCGGGTCTGGCTGGGAAACGCAGATCGAGCAACTCGGCCCTTCGTTCCAGCATGCCGCGTTGGAGTATGTCGGCGTTGCTCCCGTCACCGAGTCACCGTACGTATCGTCGATCGTCCGTATCCCGCCCAAGGCGACTGCGACGCATTCAAAACCGATGAGTAACGCGATTATGAAGGAATGAAAGCGGGCGCAGCCCGGCGGGTGCATCGTCCCCGATGAAAGTGGGAGAAAGGGAAAGGCAGCGTGTCACCTTTGCGGCCCTAACGTCGAACCTGTACTTCTGGCCTACGTACACCATGTCAGACCTGGCAACGCGACATTTATGCAATCGGATCTACCGTACTGGAGATCACAGAACCCCCCTCCGCAGAACTTCTTGAGCCACATCATGATTGACTTTCGTCTATTCACTGTGTGGTTGTCCAAGCAAACGATCAGTACGTTCGCCGTAGCAACTAGGCCACACGACTCGCAGTGATGAACGAGGCCATATGCTCAGCGCACTGCACATAGCTGGAACAGTTGACGGTCACTAGAGATCCGACTCGAAGGACATTAGCCGGTTGCCGCGACAGCCTACTACCAGCCCAACTCTCAAGACCGCCATTGGTGATTATTGGGCGAATAACTCCAAGGGGGTATTGAGGGGCAGAGGATTCTTAACATATGGGGATGGTAGTCCCGACATTCCCGAATACGTCGCCGCTAGGGACACCATCGACCTGCTTCGAAAGACGGAATCTTCATTCTAGACTGGATGGAGCGTCAGCACATGGTGTTTTACCTGCTCCTGACGCTGCAGTGCCTGCAACGCAGTCAGTGGTCGCGCTCGCCGCCATGGCAACTTGCGGTTTGACACAATCTGCAACACTGTCAATGTTGACTCATCCTGTGCTGCTGCAAACGTGCGCTCGTGTTATGTGAACGTTAAACGGTCACCGATCAACGTTTCAACGTTCACGGTACCAGACAGTCGCTCATGCATGTACTCGTTATACTCGGTGCTTTGAAGGCGTGTCCAACCTACTGTAGGTGCCGAACTCTTGAATACTCACAGTGTGGTCGAGGATCGTGAGAGCAGTGTATACAACTACAGGCTGCAAAAGCCTTCAATGAGAGGGGCTACTTCGAGCTCGGTCGTAAGTGGTAGGGACAGGGCGAGTAGCGAGATAAACTCACCTATTATGCTAGGAATATGCAGGAGGCAAGTTCCTCTCCGTCTCCGACTCCAATCGAGCCACCTGCTCACGTAGCGCTGCCATTTCCGTCCTCAATTGTGCTTCGACGCCGGGATTCACGTCGTGGGGTGACGTGATTGGTTGCATACTACTGCCTGCTGCTGTGGTAGTTTGAGCGATGTGACGCGTGATGCATAACGTGAACTTTGTTGCGTACCGGTTTGCACTTCAAACTGACGTACGAGGCTGACCCTAACATCGTCTGGTGCCGCCTCGATCATGACAGATGTCGCATTGGTTCTCGGCACGAGTGAAGCCGGGGGCAAGGATTGATGTTGGGCATGGAATGGCGGCGCTGCGCTTTTGATGGAGGAGTCCCTCGAGCTCCCGTGTATCCCTTCTCTGCTGTGCGATTTCCGCCGCCGTCTGAGATAGACAGCGAGGCAGAGGTAGAGGATAATGAAGACAGCTCCGCCGACTGCACCACCAACAATGGCACTGATATGCGTACCTATTCAACGATTAGCTTGATACGTAGAGTAAGTATAGCTATCGCACCCTTGTGAGTTGTAGTGCCTGAATTGGCTGTGGCTGAGCTGGTGGACGATGAAGCATCACGCACACTGGTGCCGCTGGCGTTGGACAATGAATCACTACTAGCCTTCATACTGATAGAGGGCGTGGCGACATGTGTGTTCGAGGATGAGCTCGTGTCAGTACCTGTGGACAATGACTCGGAAGCGCTCGCGCTCAAGCTCGTCGTGGCAGTGCCAGGGAGCGGTGACCCGGAGATTACTTGCATTGAGCTTGTCGAAGTTTGACTATCACTCGCTGACGAAGTGGTAGGTTCCTCTTCGTACCTGGGAATCTGAGCATTTCGTCATTGTATGAAGCAAGCATTGTAGCGGACGCACGTGTAGGCAGCAAAGTCGAACAGCACAGTCGATAGTGTTGGGTTTTGTAATGCCGTCATCGTGAACGTATGTAGCGTGTTATTCAGCGGCGATGATGTGGTAAAGATAGCTACTTGATACGCAAATGCGTATGTGTCTCCCTTGAAGCTCTTGAAGTATTCTGAATAGCTGATTTCGCCGTCAAGATTGAAGCTCAGGTTGGTTTGCCATGCCTGTGGTCCTTGATTGACAGTGACGATGTACACTTGAAGGGAAGTCCCTGAAGGCCATAGACAGCATATATATAGTGCTGCATGAGCCGTACATCGAATGACCTAACATCGTCACTTACCAGTGAAGTTGAAGGTAACACTGTGACCAGCCGGATTATCAGGTTGGCCGGGACAACTATCCGTCGATGTATCGTGCCATGTACCATTGTGAATCTTTGACGGGTCTGGCTGGAGGAAACATGCGGTGCTGTTATTGAGTGCACATGAATCCCAGCAGTCGTCGCTAGAGTACGTTGGTACCACTCCTGTCACAGAGTCGCCATACGTATCGTCGATGAACCGCATCTCCCCGCAGACACGCAATAGTCGATGAAGAACGAACAAGAGGAGGTGAAGAGAGAACCGTGGAAACGACATATCCTCGATAGTTCTGGCGGGACAGAGTCCGGAGGGGGAGAGGACCCTCCCTATCATTTAAGCCAGCGGATTGCATCCGTATGGCCGCAAGTCATTGGCACCAAGATCGCAAAAAACCACCCGGCTGAGAACTTGTCAATATCCCGATTTTAGACATACTGTGACCACGCCTTCAATCGCAACACAGCGGAGCATAACGTCGAGAGGACTGACCGTTCGGTCTTGCCATCGTCTCAACTGACGTGTGATACGAATGACCAGTGCGCTGTTACATTGTTGCATTTAGACTTCAGAGAGACGCATCCAAGACATTGAAGCTGTACTATCTTGTCACTGGAAGAAGATGCGGTCGAGTGTAGTAGACTCGTTGACGAGCCTCGCACCGTGCCTCAACCTCCAAACGCTTCACCTCCTTCAATACCACTGCTTGTCTTCACATCTCTGACATCTTCCGTCGCCCTCAGAGCGTAGCGGATCGCCAGAGCGGGGACAGCTGAACGATTGCCCAAAAGTTCGAGTTTATGGTCCGCGTAAGCGCATAGCCTATGTAGCACGCACCCGACGGTGGTTGCGAAGGACTGGCGCAAGTCATGATGCAGCGGCGGAGCAGAGAATCTGGAGTAGTCAGAAGCGGAAGCCCATAGATGTGCAGAATAATACGAACGCAGCGAAAAGGTTCGCTGACGAGTGAGAGTCCAGTGAGAGTCGCCTGTACATCGCTCTCAGATCTCAGATCTTAAATCTGTGATGAGACGCGACGCGGAATTTCAATATTGTCGCCGCCAGGCAGCGCCAGGCCCGGGGTCGTCGCTGAGTGCGACGTCGCCACTTCTCAGTGATACTCTCACTCTGTAAAATGCCTGTCGAATTCGATCGCGCGGCTAGCTTTCTGGACTCAAGCAGGAATTGCACGAGGACCAAAGTGGCCCTGACCATTTACGGTGCCCTGAAAGGGAACGAGTCGGACCCAGTGGTCACTCAACGTACGCGGCCGTGACGACCGTCGACGTCGGCGCAAGGGTCCCAGGAGCTGGGTTTTCCAAGGTTTACTGCCCATGCATCAGTTCGGAACTCTATTCAAGTGAAGTCTCGGCGCACATGCGATGAGACTGTCGGACGCTGAGCCTGCGGCTTAGCAAGATGATCAGATCGGTCGGCGACGACAATGGCACCCGGTCTACCCAGTGGGTAAGCACGAACCACCCAAACGAATTGCTTGGCTTCCGACTAAACTGCATCCACATCGCACTGGGATCACAGTGCCTGCATGGGCGTTGACAGATGTGTATGCCCGCCGCGGGTGAAGCGGTGTATGATGTCGTCGATGTTGATCAACTTGTCTCCGCGTCCTCAGTTCTCCAACCACAGCTGCAAGACATACATGCATACGGTTGCGTTCAAGGACTATCGCACGAGCATGGTGTCATGCTGAATCTGGCCTATCGGCCTGAGCAGCTGAGTACGTACGAATATGGTCGTTAATCGGTCATGGTATCATTCTGATTGTGTTACAGGGATCGCACCGCACGATAGTTGATATGCCTGCCACGATGAACCTTCGCGCGCAGGACATCTTGATTGGGGACTACCCAGGAGCTATCGCCAACGCATGATACACCTTTGCCTCGCATCTCCCTTCCACTCCTTGGGGACAATGCCTTGGTCATGTTCCCCTGCCTCCCTGCACGCGCAAGTCACCTCTCTCGTTATTCTTCTCTTCTCCCTATCTGTCTTCGCTGCTTCGACCTATAGGACGATTGACGATACATACGGGGACGATGTGACCGGCGTAATGCCAGTGTATGGCTCCAATTGGAATGCTCAACCAGAGTGCATCGGATGTCAAGTACAACCGGATCCCAATTCGGCGTACCGTGGTACTTGGCATGATACGACTTCGAACCATCCGAATTCAACGACAGGTCACTCCATGACGCTGCAGTTCACGGGTGCGCGAAACTGGATGTCTTGGGATAATGCTTCAATAACCGTCGCACAGGGACTTCTATCTGGGTGTATTGCATTCTCACCAACTCCGGCGCACCGTACGTCACCATCGCCACAAACGCTAGCTTCGAGTTGGACGGCAGCCAAGTTGGGATTTATTCGCACCTCCCGGACTCTACTGCACAGCAATATGAGTACAACGTCACCGTCTTCAGCATGACGGGCCTCAACAACGTGGGCCACACGCTGGTCATTAACGCGACCCAGGGCTCTCAGGCGTCCCTGATTCTGTTCGATTGGGCCATGTACATGTAAGCCTATCTAGCGCTCTACTTCGACCTAGCGACCTATTAACAATCCGTCGGAAAGGTATGAAGACTCCGAGACAACCAGTTCCAGTAGTACCTCCACATCTCAGCTCACATCGGCTCCGAGTAGCGCGATCCCAGCTAGCACGATAACAAGCACGTCTTCGAGTCCGGGTCCAGCGGACCTTTTCCCAAGTGGCAGTCAAACGCCAGGTACCAGCAGTGGTCCATCTGGGGCTGCTAAACCAGGCACCACAAAACCTGATAGCAGCGGAGAGCAGAGCACTGGTACCGCAAAAACGAGTGGCCTTACAAGCGGAGCCGCTACGAGCACTTCGGGAGGCACTCCCGGGAACCCGAGTGGGACGAATGCAGTCGCGACTCAACATAGTAAGTTGGCATTGTTCGTTTCTCCGAGTGTTTCTCACTTTTCAGAGGGTACGCCTATCGATGCCATTATCGGTGGCATAGTGGGTGGCCTGTCGTTCGTAGCCCTCGTCGTTTGCCTCGCTATCTACTGTAGACGGCGGAGGACACACCAAAGCGTGGAGACAACGGGCTACGGAACGGTTGAACCACTGGTCTCTCCTCCGAGTTTCAACGGCGCAGGCGCAGTCTCCGCACCCAAGTCGCAGGAAAGGAATACAAGCACGCTCTCGACTGCTTCTATATCAAATACTGCGATGCCGCTACCTACGACAGGCAGCTCTTCTCTCGCCGCTCTCGCAGGTTCAGCGGATACCAGCTTTCCTGACGACAAAAGAGCAGAAGATATCCCCTCTTCACGGCGCGGCAGTCTCACCCGTCAGCACCAGAAGCTCATGCAGAAGGTTGCGATATTTCGAGCGGGACGCTCGGTGGGCGTGTGCAGGCCAGATGGTGCGTCTGCACCAGCAGGAGTCGGCGCAGCATCGTCGCTGCTACCCCCTGTCCCCAGGACAGCAGCGTTGGCCACGGAGGTAGTATCGCCCACTCGGACAGTTCCTGCCCCTTCATCGTCTGAACCTGCAGACACGGACGACGACGAGCTGGGAAGGCAATTGGCGTCAATGCAGGTGGAAAGGGCACGGCTACTAAGGGCCGTCGTCGGGGGGGATCACATCATATCCATTGGGCCTGTTGAATCATTCGATTACTCAGAGCCACCTCCTGCATATGCCACCTCGTAACTTGCGTTCTTGCAATTCACTCTGTTATATCATCATAAACAGCGTATCGTGTTGATATTGTGTTTGTTCAGTATGCGCAGAGCGTCAGGAGATGAACACTTCGAAAGTAGAGGTACGACACAGCTGTACCCTTCGCCGACGGCCCTCGTCTTCGCCCTCCATCTCTCCCTCACTACCCTCTTTCTCCTCCCCATCTTGCTTCCTGATCCTTCCGTGGCCCTGATAAGTTACAGCAACAGATTCAGGCGTCGTCTTAAAGCGAGCCGTGTTGATTACATAATGTTGGCTAACAGTCACGGCGTCGACGACCCTGTGTGGTTTCGATTTGGACGTCCATCTTGCCCTCCTTCTGCCACCGTCGCCAACGCAAAACCAGTCACGATGCACTGTCGCTCTCTACTCAACACACTCGTTTTTCTCTCTCTTCTGAGTCTTGGGCTTGGGCACCTGCACGCTGGGACACTCCGGACGAAGCACGGCGCGTCGTGGAGGCGACGAACGGAACGGACGCAGGCTCTGGACGCACGAAATACTACGACTCTTGAGAGACGTGTCGACGGGGCAAGGTTGACCTACTACGACGCCGGACAGAACGCGTGTGGCGGTTACGACTCGGACAATGACTTTGTGAGCTTTGGACCGCCTCAGCGCTGAAGACAAACTAACTTGAACTAGGTCGTTGCTTTGAACGCGCCTGTAAGCTGATCCTAGTGACTTACTGCACAGCTCTGATGCTCGGTGAAGCAATGGGATAACGGGGCGCACTGCTACAAACCCATCACAATCTGGTACGGCGGCAAGAGTACTCAAGCCAAAGTAACGGACATGGTGCATTTCATACCCATCTAGCCTTATATGTGTTGATAGCGCGTCCTAGTGCCCCGGATGCCCTTATGGCGGACTCGACCTTTCCCGTGGTCTCTTCGGCTTCATCGCAGACCTCGGTCTTGGTGTCGTCTCAGCGTCCTGGGTCTTCGACGACGACGGCAGCCAGCAGCCTCAAGCCGACTTGCAAGCCGCAGCCTACACGCCATATACGTCCTACTCGCCGGCAGACTCCCCCAGCACGACTCACTGGACGCCAACCTCGAAGTACACGCCGGCGACCACCTACTATGCTCCTGAGACCTACGCAAGCTACTCGAGATTCAGCACTGCGACGGCGGCCTCCAGCGCGCACTCTTCGGTCTCTGGCGGTTCGACTGGCAGCATGAACTCGGCGACCCCTTCGACGACGGCGACTGCTGCTCGGACTGTTGATTTTGACAAGGGAACTCTGAATCAGTTCAACATGGCTCTTGTCGGGCTCAGTGGTCTCGCCGAGGCTGCTGCCTGGGCCTGAAAGCACAAGACGCGAATTCTTGACGACGCAGTCTATGGTAGCCCGTGCTTGCATTCTCATGTTGCGGCTTGTATCATGTATTCATCGTCCAAAAATCTACGCCTGTCTCATGGCAACTCGGGAACAAGCCTGACGCCCATCTATTTCAGTGGCTACGATGCCGGACCGACACAGGATGGCTCCACACAATGTAACTTAAGTGAATGTCAGTGCCTAAGGACACCGTGCGTATGGGTACGTTACGTTGGCGACGTCGCATGTTTCGTGTTACTTACGCAAGAAGCTACGCACTGGCCAGCAATTTGGTTTGTATGTAGTCAGATCCGCGAGTGTGCTGATGTGTACGACGGTACTCACTCAGACTGCTCTGAGCCCACCAGGTTCGACACAAACTCTCGTCGTATGCGTGGGGGTCTGGCGAGACTACTGATCCTGCTTGCTGTCACTTCAAGTGATGACCGCCCAGTGCGGTTCCGACGGATGAGATCAATCATCCTCGTTCCTCGCTGCCACCGCTGCCAACACAGCCTCTGCACTGGTCGTGACCCCTGGATGTGCAGAGGAGTAGTATTGCATTGGTACGCTTTGGTGCCTGTTCTGGCTCGAAGCTCGAAGTTTCTTCTGATACATCGCATTTTGCAGTTTACCGAGTGAAAGACGCGCTCTTTTGGGCTGTTGGACTGATACATGCTACATTGTATCCAATGCAGGCGTTTGGATCCCTCCAATATGAACCGAGTGGATGACGCCGCACGGGAGGGTCATTCCGCCAGTTGCCTCTCCGCATTCTCCGCCAATAGCTGACGGCCATGTTTACGCTGTGCTTCCGTCTCTGCCTTCTCCTGCTTCCCGCTCTACTTCGATTATGGTATGTCTTAGCGGAGACGCGGACTATCGACGATACGTATGGCGACTCTGTGACGAGAGCAGCACCGGCGTACTCCAGCGCCGACTGTTGGGACCAAGGGCCGAATTGTACAGAATGCTTCCTCCACCCGGACGCGACGAAAATCCACAACGGCACATGGCACGACACATCGTCGAACACCTGTCACGGTGCGAATGCCAACGATCCTTACGAGGCGGGCCATAATGTCACCCTCAGCTTCATTGGTGAGTCATGGGGATGGTCTTTGAGTGTAGCACTGATACTGACGGTGTGTTTGTGTCGCATCCAGGGACATCTCTTACGGTGTACTGCATCATGGTGTCCCAAGGACCCACGACATGGCCCACGAATGTCAGCTTCAGTCTCGACGGCGAGGTTAGCTATAGAGCGTTTCCCGTCAACTCTGATGGAGATACATACGAATTCTCGTATCAAGTGCCAGTCTATGGTAACACGTCGTTGAGTAACACGCCGCACACGCACACGTTCACAATGACAGCGTTGCAAGGCCTGTCGGGATCGACTCTGCTCTTCGACTATGCTACCTACAAGTGCGTCCGCCCTGGTAGGGCCTCTTATTGACCAGACAGACTGATGGGGTTTCGGTTGTCTAGCTATGAGGGCGAGCAGAGCTCATCGCAAACGAGTCAGGTGCAGACGAGCTCTACGTCCAGTCTGGGCGCCTCGTCCACCACTAGTGCGGCAAGCACACAGAGTCCAGATCCGGCTGCAAGCCACCAAGGTAAGTAGCGACTGTATACCTGCGTTACGCATCTCTGAACAATCAGCAGTTGGCGCCATTGCTGGGGGCGTCGTTGGCGGGTTTGCTTCTATTGCGCTTTGCTTTTTCTTCGTGATTTTTGCGTGGAGACGATGGAGGACGCGCCACAGCAGAGATATGGTAGATGTCACTGCATTCGAACCCTTCGTCTCGCGTCCGGGTCCCGCGGTTCCTGTTCCCAACCCCTTGTTCCGAAAGGCGCCTCCGACTGCAATCATCTCAGGAGACAGGACCTACCAAACGGTTCCACTGCGTCCATTTTCATGTTATCGCAGGCCACACATCCCTGTTTCCTTGCTATCCTCAGCCAATTTGTCAACGTGTTCGGTCGAACTTCTGAGCTTCAAGTTGTACTCCCCCTGTTGTCCAATAGCCTACACATTCGTGAGAAGCATTGCTCGACCACTCTACTGATCAGAACAACCGCAGGCTGTCCCCGGGGTGTGCACGGTGGTGCGACGAGGGTTTTGCGGTGGGAGTATTAGCTAGTATGGTGCGGGACACTTAGTCACCGCTACTTTGTGACAGTGGCCAAATCGGTCGGGCAGCGCCTAGGTAACCCCAACCTAGGGGCGGTTACCGCATTTGGGCACATAAACGCCCGTTTGTAAGCAGATCGGGCGTCTGGATCTTTTATGGGGACGCTTGTCGACCCCGCGGAGGCTTGGTGGACGGGCGCCTGGGGACGGAGACCGGGCGCTACTGCCTGCGACTTGCCATGTTGGGTAACTGTACGTGACCTGGCCAAATCCATATCACCCAACTTCGCCAATTTTGAGAGTTGGGAAAATCCGTCTAGTAGGATTGTTCCTAAGGTCAATTGGAGCAATTCTACAAGAGGAATAAGGAATCGGCCAAAATTTGGCGCTTCCCGAAACCTTGTATCAAAGTAGCGGTGACTAAGTGTCCCGCACCATACTTGGTACAAGATCATGGTGCCAGTGGGTGAGCGCCAAGATTAGTACCGGTACATACAGCCTGGATCAGTGTCACCGAATCATGACAGTTGAGGCTGAGCGCATCACGGTGGACTCCGCACCCCTATTTCAATTTGGTCGACGAATCATGGCTCAAGTTGCTACTAGTATACGTACTAGACGGCAACAAACAGTCTGAACAGAGGCGTGTCAATCATGCCGCCCTTGTTTGAACGCTAACAGCTACTGAAGGCAGACGAGCCCAAGACATGCACTTGAAGGCGGTGGATTGCCAATGTGCGAATTTCGATGTGGCTGGAGGCTGAGAGGATATCATCAGATAGTGTTGATTCAGCGTTTGGCACAGTTGCTCACAATGTACTCGAGTCGTCGACGATTCGACAGGGCTCTTCGCATCTTCGCGATGTCAGTTGCGGTCGAAAATGAGAGTGTGTATCTAGCTAATTCTCCGATGAGGAAGGCTACCACCCCTTGTACCTGATCACATGCAATCACACTAATGACCGGGCGAGCCATAGGGTAGGCTCGACCACTCTATTAGGAATATGCAGGGGGCAGGTTCCTCTCCGTCTCCGATTGTAAACGTGACATCTGCACCCGCAGCGTCGCAATTTCTGTCCTCAGTTCTGCTTCGACCCCGGAGCCCATGAAGCTAGTCGGTGTGATTGCTTGCGTACTACTTCTGTGAGCTGTAGTACAGCGATCAGCCATGAAGCGCGTACAAGGGAACTGCATGCGTACGATTTTGGACGTCACGCAAGAGGCTGTCATCGTCTGAGGATGGCTCGAGTGTAGTGTTACTTTGCGGCGAAGCCGGGGGCACAGATTGACGTTCGGTATACAACGGCGTAGCTGAAGTTTGATGCATGGAATATGGATGAGATATGAATGGATCCCCTGCGCTCCCGTCCATCTCTTCTGTTTTCTTCTGTTTTCGCCGTCCTCGGAGATAGATCATGAGCCCGAGGCAAAGGCCAACGAAGGCAGCCCCACCGATTACACCACCAGCAATGGCGCCAGTGTGCGTACCTACTGTGGGTTAGCTGAATACTTAATTGAATGAGAACGTTGAACACACCCTGGCGACTTGTAGTGTCTATACTGGCTGTGGTTGCATTGGTAGTTGATGAAACGTCATGCGCACTGCTGCTATCGGAGGTGGAGGATGAAGTGACGTGTGCAATCGAACTGATGTCAGAACCGGTAGACGACAACTCGGACGCCCCAGTGCTCGATTGGGAGGTCGCTGCCGCACTCGACCCTTGTGCAAAGCTCAACTCAGTATGTGAACTACTTGATGGCGCAATGATCGGCTCACCTGAGATGTACCTTGAGAAGTGGTAATGAGCGATCTGAGTTCCACCTGACGTACGTAGAAAGCCGTGTACTAGAAGTAGACGCACCAGTAGGTAGCATAGTCAAAGTGTACAGTCGATGCGGCTGTGCCTTGCGATGCTGTCATTGTGAATGTGTGCAACACATTGTCCAACCACGAGATATTGAAGACGGGTACTGCATAGGAAAATTCATATGTCTCGCCAAGGGAGCTCTGGAATAACGTTGAATAACTGGTTTCGCCGTCGAGATTGAAGCTCAAGTTGGTTTGCCACGACTGCGGCCCCTGAGATACCGTGATAGCAAATATTGTAAGAGTAGTTCCTGAGGCCATGAGTTCGACACAAGCACTGCATAAGCCATACATCGCAGCGTCATGCAATACCGTGCCGACTCACCAATGAAATTGAAGGCGACACTATGACCAGCCGCATTGTTATCCTGGCCATTACATTCATTCGACGTTGTCTCATGCCATGTACCGTCGTATGCTTGCGATGCGTCCGGGTGGAGGACACATCCGGGGCAGCTCGATTCATTGTTCCAGCAGTTGGCGATAGAATACGACGGTATTATACCCATCTCGGGGTCGCCATACGTGTCGTCGATGAACCGCGTCTCTCCGGAGACGTGCAGCACATACCGCAGAGCAAAGAATAGGAGACATGTACATGCCAGCAGCATATGGCCTTAGCAGCTGAGTGTGATGAGATAGAGGATTCCGGCGTGGGGATGCGGCGCTGAGTCCGTAGCTGTCTGCCGAGTATAGGACCAGAACATTTGTATCTAGCATTGAAACGTGAGATCAGTGGTGGCGGAATAGTCAAAATTCTTCCTGCCTGGAGGGAGACACAGATCTGCCAATTCACGGACACCGTGCGACCATAACGCGAGTTGTGACACATCGCAGGGCGTTCGATAGGTGCTCGTGCGCATATTATCAGCACCTATCTGTCCATGGATTGGATATATCATCCTACCCATCGTATGTACTTGGGTAGAGGGTTGACCGTCAATTAGATGGCCCAGTCACGTATCACCGGAACCAATGGTGTACCAATTTCTCAACTGACGGTTGAACGACAGGACCAGTGCACCGCGGGATTCGTACCCACTTTGGAGAGACAATACCCAAATCGTCCGGGTTGTTTTGCTTCGCCATCATTGATGAAAATGCAGATAGTAGCTTGGCATGCAGTCGACGTTGAAGTTTCGAACGTTGGGTCTGACTGCCAGTGGTCGAGGTCATGCACTGACAGCCTTGCCTCCGAGTCCACAACTAGCAAAGACTGCCCATCAGTTCTAGCGATGAAGAGAACGGCGACACTATGAAAGGACTCTACCGTTGCCGCATTCTTCTAAGTAGGTCAACGCGACCTATGGCAGTCGGACTCCTAGCGCACTGCAGTGCTTGAGGTCAGCGCTCTTGACGCGCGCCTTTTAGAAGCTTCATCTGCCTCTACATAACGACTCGGAGGCTCACTGAGGAGAGCCCAGGGGTCCGCAAAGTAAGGCACAAATGGACCGTAAGAGGTCCGAGTCGATATCCAGACGAAGCACAACTGCGAACGCATGCGTTGCGCATGGTCGGCGTCCCTCGGAATATTATTTTGCACGCGCAGAGCGTTCCAATGACCCCCGAGCGGAATTATCCAGTAACACAGACATGAACGATGCGCAGAGGACACGAAAAGCGATGTGTGCACTAGTAACCCCTGATCAAAAATATTTACGACATGTGTACAAATGTGCCACAAGTCTATCAACTACTAAATGCTTCGGTTTCTACAAGACGATCAATGACGGCACCAAGCGTGACACGGTACAATGGCGAGACATTACCAAACGAGCCGCTACATGTAGGCAGGCGGCGGTACCATTGTGATCGCCTCTGTCTGTTCGCGAAGCCGCGCGATCTCCTCCGCCATCTCGCTGCGTAATGTCGCGAGTTGCGTCTGCCACACCGTCCCGTTCCGTCTTTCCGCAGTTGACGTGCTCCCGCCCTTAGACGACTGCTCGATCGTCGGTGGTGGGGGGTACGACTCGGTTGATGAGGGCAAAGGAGGCACGTCCGTTTCGGCCCCATATCCAGACGACTCCTCGCCCATCCGCAGGTTACTGCCCGAGCTTTGACGCATGACCGACCGCGCGTCCACCTCCGCAGACAGAGATCCAGCAGCGGAGAGCGTGCCGAGGAGGCCCGCGGAGCTGACCTCGCTGTCTCTGTTGAACCTGTGTGAGCTGGGCATGGAGCCGTGCGATGCGCGGAGGTCGGTCAAGATCATGACTGGCCGACTCCGTCGCGGCGCGCTACCGAACTTGACACCGTTGCGGGCGGGGCTCTTGCCTTTGTTCGGAGTGGGTGTATGCTGCTCGTCGCCATCGCCATCGCCATCGCCGTCGTCTTCGAAGACAGTGTCGTAGCGGCTTTTACGGAGGGTGTTGGGTGGAGACATTCGGACCCGAGCCCCCTTCTTGCATCGAACATAAAGAACGACCACGACGACGAGAATCACAATCACCGCGACGGATCCCCCCACTGCAGCACCAACCACGACACTCATATTGACGGGCGGATCTGGAGACTGTTATACACAACGTTCCCAACACGAAGATTCGTGACTACTCACCGTTGCCTGACTTTGAGTTTGCGGCCACTGTAGTCGTGGAAGAACTAGTGCTGGCGGATGTAGTCACATCTGAGGATTTTGAAGCCCGGGTCAGTGAGCCTACCGCTGCGACACAGTGGCACAGCACTGACCATGATGTTGAGCCGCAGTGGAGTTCACCTGACCATTCGATGTAACAGTGCTCCCGGGCTGCGAAGATGGCGTGCTGCTTTGCTCGGAGGAAGGAGCCGTGGAGGTACCCGTAGTAGACGATGATGTGCTCGGTGTACTCGAGGTCTGTGTTGAAGTCGTTTGAGATGAGCTCGTTGCGGGTATGGTGCTCGGAGTTGGGCTCATAATACTTGCAATCTGCTCCTCGTAGCTTCAGAAGAAAATCCGTGAGTATACGCTGATCGGAATGCTTCGCCCATATACATACGTGTACTGAGCATAGTCAAAGAGCAGAACCGATGCAGACGTCCCTTGTATAGCGGCCATCGTGAAAGAATGCTCTGTGTTGCTCAAGGACGATTGGCTGAACACGGAGTAGTTGTACTGGTAACCGTACGTGGCTCCACTGACGCTCTGTGGGAACGCAGCGGTACTGGTCTCGCCGTCGAGAGTGAAGGTCAGGTTCATTAACTCCGCCGTCGGCCCTTGAGATATCATTATGCAGTAAACCGTAAGAGATGTTCCTGTGTATGAGCTGCTCCGTCAAGACTACAGCCGAGGGTGATTTGCATGCCGGGAAACCGTACCAGTGAAATCGAAAGCGACGCTATGACTCGAGGTGCCGTTGACGTACGCGTTGTTACACACATTCGACGTCGTGTCGTGCCATGTACCGTAGTGCGCCTGCGATGGGTCCGGCTGGAAAGTACACGCCGAGCAGTCCGGGCCTTTGTTCCAACAGTCCTCGTTGGAGTACGTCGGAGTCGCCCCAGTCACAGAATCGCCATCCGTGTCGTCGATCGTCCGAATCTCCCCAGAGACGACGGCTACATATTGCAGGGCAATGAATGAAAGGATTGTGAAGGAGCGCAAGTTGAGGTGAAGGAGCGACATCATCCTCAGAGGGGGGTGGGGGTAACTGGGAAAGGAAGAAGGGATGTACCTCCCCTGCCTCGCAACGGCCAGAAGGTCTGGGAGCCAACAGATGTGGGCCACGGATGGATCAGATCCATGAGTTGACGTGTTCGTCAAGGAATGCAAGATCTGACTGGGGACGTTGGCATCAGCACGTCACACTGCGGTACATTAAGAGCAGCATCCTATCATAGGCCGCAAAGCGAATACACACTGGCAGGACCCGCGCATATTGGCGGTTGATACTTGACTATGGACCGAACACCATTGTCAGCAGTGTGCATCGGAATTGCGGAGGCTGGTGCTACGACCAGGATGCATGATCGCATCTATCAACGTAGGATGGTGTCGTGTCAGGATTTTTGAGGCGATGATCAACCAGGCATTTGAAGAAGTTGTCAAGCGTCATATGGAGGTGCACGCCTTGTCAACGGAGGGAACGACCCACCGATTATTGTGGCACTGGCGGTCGTTTGTGCTGACGTCTCTCCTAGGCAGACGTTGAAGATCTTGAAGGCCTCTTTGAGGGCGGTCTTCTAATGATGCTGACCTGTCTACGCGTGAGCGATAGTGACTGTCTCATGCATGCTTTACAGCAAAGAATGTCCTCCGGCGACTAGAAACATTCCCAGTGACCCAGTCCCAAGTCGCTTGATAGCCAGACGTCGGTGATACGTGGTTATGTTGAACAAGATATGATTCCGAGCAAATCTCTTATACATCCAACCTCTACAATCACGTACCGCAAAATTGAGCCCGAACCTCAGACCCATCTCGGCGGGTGCTCTGTATACAAAATTGACCTTGGGCTTTCGAGCCGTGAGCTGGTGCTTAGGCTTCTTTACGCAGCACGTCGACAACGATCTTTCTCAGGGCTGGCTTGTTGCTTCGACCGCCTGATCTGGGTCACGAAGGATACGACAGAGGACAAGAAAGCAGGCCTAGCACATGTCGACGAAGTGAGTAGTTGGCAAGTAGCTGCAAGTAGTTGGTAGTGAGCGCTAGTGAGCAACCGTACCACGCAGAAGCGCTCGTCGCGTGTACCGAGTCGGGATTTGCTTTATCGGGGCCGCACTCAATAAGCGGGACGAAGTCAACGCCCTACGAGTACTGTCACACAATCCCTTTGCATGTCCCTAACAACGCATGAGTTGAGCCCGGAACCTTCTGTACACATTTCATTCACAACTACGCCTATCGTACATTCAAAAAAAAACACAAAAACGCATCTACAACGTAAAAGGAGTACATACACATACACATTACCAATCGTATCGTCCGACAGAGCGGGCCAGGCGGGTGGTAACGAAAGGGTGATGGCAACGATAGTCACTGCACGGAGAGCAGAGAGCGCAGCCCGGTAGGCTGACGGGCAAGACAACACAACGGACAAGAGACGGCGAGGAATGGGGGCGGGAAGGAAGGGCGTCAGCAGCGACGGAAGCCAGGATGCCGATGTCGACTAATGTACAGGATTTGAGCGGGAGGAGAGAGGGACGAGGGCAAAGGCAAGGTGGTGCTTCCGGGATGGACGCGACGATCTAGATGGGTGCAGAGAAACGAAAGACAGCGCGCGTGCACCGTGAACAGTAAAGGGAGTCCGACGACATGCTACGACAATAGTACATGACACTCCGCGTGCAGCAGACGCGTGGTCGGCAAGAATGGAGTGACTCGCCAGCATGAGCTTCACGCTCAGTGGCAAGTGACGAGCAGGACATTCAAGCCCGCATCCTTGACTGCCTTCACCGGCATCTTCTTGCCCGAGCGGATCTCGCGCATCAGCGAGCTGCGGTCGCGGTGCATGACACGGCGGAGGGCGTCCAAACCCTGGCTGCGGACTGCGAGGTAGTCACGCACGTTCAGGAAGACCTGCGACTTGAGCAGCGCCTTCGCCGCGCGCATGGAATGCGGGAGCGAGGGCAGCGATGGGAATGAGAGAGGGGATGCGGCACTAAACGCGGACGGGCAGAGCCCGAGCTCGACGATGAGAGCTTGGAGGAGCCGCAAATGCACGGCGCCCGACTTTGCAGTCGGGTTGGAGAGGAAACTGGGGGATCGCTCGATTAGATGTCATGGGGCTACAAAATGTGCGTGACTGACCTGTTTATGAAGCTAACGGCGTCCTCGTAAGCTCCAGTTACCGCGAGGTCGCCTGCCTCGGAGACGTCGTCGACGATGGGACGCTCGCCCAGCCCAGCTTCCGTAGCCTCGATAGCCTGCGTGAAAGCGGGCGGTGAGGCGGAGGCAGCGGCCTTCTCCGCGAGCCTCTGCGCCTTCCTGCGCTCCTTCCTCTTCTTCCCCTTGTCCTTCTTGTCCGAGTAGTTTGCGTCCGCGGGCGCGGGTGCCTGCTCGCGCTGGGCGGCCGCGATCTTCTTCGCCTTCAATTTCTTGAACTTCCTCGGCTGGACGGTCGGTCCAGCGGAATGAACGGGGTGCATTCCGAGTGCGCGGTGCAAGTTGAAGCGTGTGGCTGTTGGTGTAGTGAGGGTGGGGGCGTTGGTAGGGCCCCGGGAGATGCTGAGCGTCGAGATCGCTGCAGAGAGCTCGGCCTCGATCTCTCCGCGGGAGTCAGAGGACGTAGCATCCGAGCTGGCAGGGGAGCGAGCCCTGCTCATGACGATGTAATCGCCGTCTGAGAAGACGGCAGGCGACCTAGCACCGCTGGTCAAACCGTGCTGGGAGACCATACCAGAGACGATGGACGAGGAAAGGCTTGAGACCCGATATAGGACCTCCTCCTCGTCGGAATAGAAGCCGTCCGAGACTGTGCCGAAGGAATCCGCCCAGGAGGTGCTCCCCGCAGCGGACCTGGCCGATATATAATCGTAAGACGTGGTTGAGGATGGGGAGCGTATCCCTGGGCTAGCGATCCTTGAAGACATGGTGAGTCGATTACTGAAAGTGTTGGGTGACTAAATGACAGTGCTAGGAATAGGGAGGCTGGGACCGCTTGGGCGAAAGGTGCCGGGATTGGGATATGGGATCGGGCGACTGCGACCTGGACGTCGCGACGGATCCCTGCGAGACGGTCAGCGGCGAAGTGGTGTGAGTGGAAGAGAGAAGACGGACGGGTGTAGTATACAAGGAGACGGAGAGAGCTGCGAGGCCCACACGAGGTGGAGGTGAGGAAGAAAGGAGGCGACGATGGCGAGCGCACCGTAGGCACGCAGGGAATGTCCTTTCCCGAATAGGCAGTCCGCAAGGCGACATTGCCCGACCCGTGCCCGATCCCCCCTCCCCGACTCAGTCAGATTGAGTTCCTTCGATATCTTGTCTTCCACTGGAGGGCATTTCCCCGAAGGCGTTTCGATGGTACACAAAACAATCGTCGTTTGTGCTGTAATCACTAACCCTGGACTAGGACGAAGTCGCGATTGCGCATGTCGACTTCAGCCGCATGAATCGAAGCCTCATGGCAGATATGGGCCCCTTCCACGGTGCGACTAGGAAGTACGGAAAGACACATGACAATTGCCACTTACAGACATGCGCGGCATGGTGGTCAGAGTTGTAGACAAGTCCACCCGCAGGACTCCGGGAAACTCTCGTAATGAGACGTTGAAACTTGAAGCTTGAAGTAGTTCGGCTCCGAGAAGGGCTTAAACTTCGAGCTAAGTTATCTCTGTGTACCTAGATCGCAGGACCCAGGACGCCCCGCTATACCTCCTGGATTGCCGTGAACTTGAAGAGGAAGGGGGTCCTCTGAGAGAGAAGCGTATGTCGTCCCCAAAATCTGTCCTGGCACTTTGAACACAAGCATCTAGACATAGCATTGCCTAGGCTACAGCCTAGCTGCAGCACCTCTGCGCGTAATAACAATACACACACGCACCGACCACGGCGGTGCATAAGCCTATTACAGCAAGCGGAATGCACGCGACTTGACTGCAGGCAAGACACGATGTGTGACGCCGCTCCAGCAATTCCAAATGTCTTGATCCAACCGAATTGCGGCGTATCAGACCCGGTTGCACCGGGATGCCGTATCCTACTATGGACGCAACAGTACATGTGAGTGGGGAGGCACTGCCGATCTCTGAACGAACCCTCATGAACGAATCTTCCAGTACACCACACTATTCCCCCAGCCCGCCAGCGCCGTCTGCTCAACCTCGACGCCCCTCTTCCATACCTTCCCCTGGAGGTCCCTGACCTCGTTCGCCTTCTTCCGCGCAAGCATGAACCGCGCACCGTCTGCGCCCTGCAGCGCCGTCGGAGATGCGCTACTTCCACGTTTCCCGTTCCCAAGCTGGTACTCATAGTTCGCGCCCCACGAGAGCAGGTCGCGCCCAGTCGCCCCGGGCCCGCCGCGCGCGAGCGTGTCCAGCGTGAGGAGGACATGTCCTGTCGGCGAGACTGAAATATCGTGCGGCATGATCGGCTGCAGGTTGTTGTGCTTCTCGCTGTCTGCGTGTCGCTTAGTCTCTCGTCTGATAGAACGAATCGGAATAGTACACACATTCGAGCAGCCCGCTCACGTTGCGTGTGCGGACTGGGGTGCCCTGTGCGTTGCTAAATTGCGCGTTCCCCAGGCCGCCGAACTGGCCGTTTCCGCATGCGAGCACGTCGATGTACGGCAGCGCACTGCCGTCCACTCTCTCGACCTTGAACAACGTCAGATCGCCACCAGCGTACACATCCAAGCACGTCGTGCGCATGCCCGCTGGTGTTGAACGCCAGAGGATCACCTCCGTCGGCACTGTGATGCTGTCGAGCGTCACCTCCCTGCCCAGACCGATCTGCCTACACGTTGCCGCACGATCAGGGTACTCGCAGACCACACGCAGAACACGATGCGTACCCAAACTCATTGGCGCCCCATCCAAGCACTCGTCCATCTGTGGTCTTCGCGAAGCTATTCCGCGAACCCGCTGCAATCCCGTCAACGTGGATGCCCCGCAGCGCAGGCACTTCGGATAGCTTGTCTGAAAACCGGATACTCTTGTCGTCGAGGCTCGCGAGGAGCTCTGTGTTCGCGTCTTTCACTTCATTGGAAGAGGGTGCTTGTCGGATGGAAGGCGTTGACTTCGCATATGGGTCTGCGATGCTTTTCGGGGTCAGCTCGACCGGGAGACGCGCGTGGCCGAATGAGTGCTCCGCAGAGGCAGGCGCAGGGATGTCGAACTTCCGGAACCCAAGTTGTCCGTGCGTGTTCGCCTTGAGCGTTACCGGATGAGCGAACGTGCGCCCAGAGGACGTAAGTGCGAGCAAATGGTCAGAACCTGCCGCGATGGCGACAAACCTGCGGAATGTCAGTCAGGAAGGCATGATAAATGCGCGTAGAAGTTACGTCACTTTTCTCCCCAGCTCAGCTTGACGTCCGGGACGATCTCTGCAAAATCTCTGTCCTCCTCCTCGCCCCACAGCCAACCTGTACCCCACCACGGGGAGCTCGCCGGCGTCGGCGCGCCAGGTCGGAGCACCTGCTGGCCGGACGAAGAGGAGAGAACATATATGCGTCCGGATGCAGAGAGTGCATATACGCGCGTCGGCGTAAGTTGCAAGCGGACGATGTTCTGGGATGATGTCAGAGGTCGCGCAATTCGACCTGGGAACAGATACGCACCTTTCCTCGCAATGTACGGGTCGGTTGTCCCGACGAAGACCCGGGGCGATCTTCGAAACCGCTACCCCACTGGTACACGTCTCCCCGCGCGTCGACGCAAGCGGCGTGTCGTTCGTGCAACGCTAGCTCGCGTAGCGCGACATTTTCGAGCCAAGCTGCTACTGCCGGTGCGCGAATGGAATCGGGGGATTCTGCATCAATTGACAGAGTATGTGATCTTACGTTCATCATGTATTTCATTAGCATACAGTCCGTCTAGGCAACAATGCGGGTGCGCACTTGTTAGAACCCCATACAAGTGTCTCCAATTTATCTTCGCTTTTCGGGAACGTCAAGGAAGACGAAGCAGCCTTTTCCTGGCTGCCAGAGATAGCAGTCGGCGGTGGTGCGTCATTGTGGACTGTCCCCCGAGTCGAATACCAGACAATCCCAGCAGACGCAGCAGCAGTAGAGGCCACTAGCACAGCGCGCGCCCTGCTTTTGACCGGAGCGGATACTTGACTGTGCAGGTTCCGAGCCGCGTTGGGGAATTTGAATGTTCTGCTGCCTCGAAGCATGACGGGGTCTGATGAGGGGACCCTGCGAGACGAAGATGGTGGTTGAGGAGTGACGATACCCAGACTTCACCGTGCCAGTGAGTGCCAGTGTAAGTGAACGACCACGTGATCGAGGTACGCGTCCGTGGCACACGAATGCTTGAGTCTCGAGTGTTGAGGTTTCTCGTAACTTAGGGACCGCGGAGAGAACGTGCAACGATTGAGTATCGCGTTTGTCTGACCTCTGTCAAATGCGTAAGGTACATACAAAAGAGTAGCAAGCTTCAAGTTGTATAAGAGTATTAGGTATGCTGACTAAGCACGAGCCACTCGTCTGTACGTACTTACGAGATTGTGAACTCCAACATCGAGAGCACTCTCTGGTCGTAATAAGTACAGTGGTCTGAATATAATGGGCCTTTGAGTATTTGGCATTACAGTATCATACGTGCGCATACATTTCCGGCGGTATCCGATGCTCATGAACGTACACATAAGTCGTAATCTGTACAGGCCCGGGTAACGTTCGCAATGTCGCGTCACGACGGACCGCTCAACGTGAAGATGCACGATAGTTTACAGGCATTGAGAACAGCAGCTCAGTGAAGATGTACACCGTATGCTAACGCTGTCCCTTCGATGATGCAAGGGATCCGGGGCCCGGGCTCACCAGAAGTCCAGCGTGTCAGCGCCATCTAGGCTCTTAATATGCCGACAAGACCCTTCAGACGCTCCACGAGTTCGGTGCTCGCCTCGAGCGTGCGGTGATCGAAGTCCACTAGGCGCAACTCCTTCAACCGTGCTCCGCGCGCATCTCGGGCGAGTAGCGTGTCCAGAGCAGCCGCCACGACCCCCTGCCTCAGCCTGGTATTTCCTCCTCCTCTTGCGACTGTGAGGTAAAGGACGTCAAGCTCTAGACATGGAACGGTGGAATCCGCGGTCGGGGCGGCCTGCGGGCGGAGAGCATTGAGCATGGTTACGATGTTCTGTGGACCGCCGATTTGGAGCTCCTTCAGCAGGGGATACTGATGAAGAATTTGTAGGCAGAGTGGAAGGTCCAAGGGGGTCCAGCCGACGCACAGAAACGTTAATAGGGAGGATGAGAACATCGAGAGTATCTCACGGATGACCGCAAGATTCGTGTTGTTGTTAGTTGCGCCAGTCGACATTGCGAACCGCATGAGCGCCTTGCATGAACTGCCGGGTCGGGGGTCGGCCCAGATGGCAATGCGAGAGTACAGCCCGCTCAGCATGATGTCAAGAGATTGTGTTGCTAAGACAAGGGAGTTGTATGTGGGCATCTGCTTGAGCATTGCGAGAGCAGGTGCCATCGACGGTATCGATTCGTCACGCCCAACGTCAAACGACAGACGTGTTGTTTGAGGGAACGAGAATCTCTGCAGGACGGAGGCGGTGGGCTTGAGCTGTAGTTCAAGTTTGAGAGTGCGTAAATTTCTCATAACCGTGTGGGAAGGGACACCCTCGTGGCTCGAGTTTCCAGCCATGACCTCGTCGTCAGAGAGGCGCTGTCTAGATGAAGATAGCCCTACATAGGAGGCCTGCAGCCATATAAACTCGAGCAATGGACAAGAGTCGATCAACGAGAACCAGGACGTGTAATCCGGTGTGTGCGCGGATAATTTGAGATACGTCAGGTTGCCGAGATGACCGGCGACGTCCACAGAGATGCCGTCCGTGAGCGCGAGCTTCCGAAGTCTGGCGGCCTGCACGGTGGATAGATGTAGGACTCCATTCCTTCCCAGAGGATGAGGGGTCCATAAGGCCGATACATCAAGACTCTCGAGGTGAGTCAGCGCACGCAAAAGATGCGCAACGGTCTGCAGCTCATGATTCTCGACCTGCACATTAGAGATATGCAGGTGAGCTACGCGGTGCTCCTGTCCTGCTAGAGACTTCAAAGCCTTATTGGGGCAGCCTAACGCGACACGGACGTCCACCGCGGCGGGTATGGAACGTTGGAGGCTCAGTTGCGCCGTGTCGAGTTCCCCGCGGATATGAAGGGCATTGAAGTCGATTGTGCTCCAAAGGATACTAGCGTTCAATGCGACCGTACGCCAGCGATGGCAAACATGCGTCGTCTTGATCCATCGGGTGTGGAAGCGTGGGTCATCGTGTTTGATGATGAGAATGATCTCAATGATCAGTTCGTCCGGGAGCTGATTGGCAGGGGAGGAGGAGTTGAGGATGACATGGATATCCCTCAGACGCCGCTGAGAGGGTTCAGAAGCGCGTCGCTTCTCCTCAACCTGGGGACTAGCGTTGTCGATTTGGCCGAGGGCCCACGAACGAGTTTCATTCCTAGACATGCTCGCAATCGTACGCAGGGTAGCATTATCCAATGCACCATAATTTGTGTCTTCCATCGTGCAGTCCACCAGTCTTTGACTCGTTCAGCGCACGGTTACATCAGGGGGAGTGCTGACTCCGACTCACTGTATTAGGGGTCGGCTCAAGCTCTCATTGTTACAGATTTGTAGTTGAATATCACAGTATGTTGAGCACTGAGTAAGAAAAGCATGAGTATGACTGTGTGAAAGTAGTAAGTGTTCAGGCATACTGCGATAAGTGTACTCCGAGTCGGATTCGAGAACTGCGGGTTCGTGGACCCAAATACGCGGCGTTTCCAAAGGCAGAAAGCCAGTATCTGTCAGTTTCGTGCCACCTACAACATGAGAAGTTCAGCAAATGCATATTGGTCGCAAGTCAACTGGAGCTTACACTGAGCTTCGTGGGTTGCGGATGGTAGGTAAGTATGCGCTTGGTAGGCGCTCGGTCCAACGAATCGATGCCTGTCACTGTCAGTGTTTGGTCAGTGTTTGCGCATGGAGGCGTGCACAGTGACCCGTGACGCCGTGACGGTGCGTGCGCCCGCGTGTGGGCCCGGGCCGGTGCCCTCCTCTACCGTAGCCTACTACAAACTGCTAGCGAGACAATCGACCGACCCTCCAAAAAGGTCGTATTTGCGGTCTGCCGATGGGAGACTAACTCGCGGAGGAGAAGGGGGAGGAGGAGTGTCGCTCTGAGTGACTACACGCACGTACCCACAGATTGCCCACAGAGACCATCTTCTACGTAAATAATGGGCGCAGGGTATCACATAATTATGCCTGTCAAGAGCATCATATCGATATGAAATCTCGGGCTTTCATTCAAAGTGTTTAAATACGGTTGTCGTCGTCTCAGGAAGCTAGCTGCAGCCCTGAACGACACCAGATTTTTCATGCAGTCCGTCCTCAAATGCCATTGCAGAGCCTCCGCGACGCAGTGGTCTATAGGAAGCGATTGGCTGGATGGTGAGTAGAGGTACAAGACGGCGCGAGCAGGGTGACCTGAACGAATTAACCATCCTAATTGGCAAAGATACTCGACGTTACACACTACTCAAACAGCGCCCGCTTGGATTGTTCGGCCCCAGCGAATGGTAGCTTGCATGGCGCAAAGTGGTGGTACAACTGATAGTCATAGTGAGTGAATCATTGCGACTGTGTTGCAGTCAAAATCGAGAAAAAGAAGTGCGTAGGCCTGCCCGATCAATCGACGACCTTCCTTCGAATTCAGTGTTACTGAGCGTAACGTAAGCCAACGTCACAGATAGGATGGCTGCAAACATACCTGCCAATAAAACAGGGAGTTCCCGCCGTCAGAAAAACCGAACACGTCTACAAGACCCCTCAACTGCTCCTTGACAGCGGCATCCACAATGGACTCATGAGAGCCGATAAAGTGCAATTCCCTCAGTCGCGAACCCCGCATACTCCTGTATTGCAGGAGGTCGAGGACCTCCTTGGCGGTCTCGACAAGGTCCAACGGGACGATGCGGAGAATCTTGAGCTCCACGCATACCACACCACCTGAGGTCGCGACGGTTCCCCGGAGAGCAGCCAGAACTGGGAAGACGCTGTATTCGTGGATCACTCGGAGCTCCTGCAGAAGAGGATATCGGCAGAGCAATTCTAGATAAGTAGGTGCATCCAGTCCATCGTTCCAGGTAGGATCGAGGGACAGGAAAGTGAGGGGTGACGATGCCAATGGCTCCGTAATTTGACGCATGGCCAGAGCCGTCTGCCCCGGGCGCGTTGGCAGATTTGGGACTGTGAGCCGCAACAGAGGCTCGCCTGAGCCATCCGGTGTCGACCAAGCATATAATTTGATGTCTAGCATCCCCATAACATGCATGGATTGGGTAGACGAGACGAGAGTGTCAAAAGTAGACATCTGTCTGACTACCGCAATGGTGGATGCCACCACCGATGGTATTCGGGAAACGGAGTTCACAGTCAATGTGATGCGCGTCGTCTGAGGAAACACCATTCGTTGGAAGATGACGGACATGCAGTCGAGGTCGAGCCGCAGCTTGAGAGTGCGCAGATTACACATAACCTGGCGTCGATGTACCCTCCCCTCATCCGAACTGTCTTCAGGTTCGAATGCAGGCGGCTGCAGCGAAAGACGCGTCTGCTCCAGGGAAAGGAATTCGAGATTTGGACAGTTCTTCATGAGGGAGAGCCATCCTGCAAGGTCTTCCACCGGAGTCGAAAGCTCGAGACGGTTTAGACTGGTGAGAGGAGTGCTCACACGCAAGCGAACGTTCTCCATCCAGATCCTCCGAAGTTGGGAACACTGCGAAGGTAGATACAAGCCGACCTCACTCCTGAATGAACGAATCGTCATTTCCAGCGTATCCAAAATCGTCATCGAGTTCAACCTAGGCGCAATCCGCGACAGCTCGTATTTTCCTGTTCGGGATTCGAGGCGTAGAGAAGCTATCCGGTGGTCTTCAGCATACAGGAGTCGCATCGCCAAATTGAAAGCATCTTGATCGATGTTGACATGCAGCAAGGCATCTCGGGAGCGTTGCATGCACATCTCTGCCGCGTCGATACGCCGGGTACGGTGATGTATATCGAACCTGATGGCAGCCCATAGAAGCGGAGCGTTCAGGGCAATGACGCGCCATCGTTGGCATACATGTGTCGCTCTGATCAACTGCTTCAAGTCGAGATTGGACGTCCCGGGGTGGACGTAGCGGAGGATCTCGACAAGCAGCTCGTCAGGGAGCTGGTTGATGCTAGTCGTGGAATTGAGGACCACGCAAAGTCTCTTCATCCGCAGTTGACTATCTTCAATGATTCGACGCGCCTCGTCGGCCACACGGTTCGCTTTGTCGATCTCGCATTCGGCCCACGAGCGCGTTTCGTCTCTGGACATGCTAACCACGGCGGCCAGTTCATCGGTATCGACCGCATGCGTGGTTGGGACGCGATCCGTCCTGCATTCATGAACTCTTATGGTATGGATTTCAGTTTCGTCTCACAGGTAAGAAGGCAGTAGACATACAGAATCACGCCGGGTGTCGGGCTGTCGCACAAATCGTCTGCCGGATGGCGAACGATAAGTTGAGGCACTGTGACGGCACGAGCTTCAGTACGTCTCTCCCGAAGTCACTGCTTGCGGACATACCGGTAGTTCCGAGGGTCTTTGCAGATGTCGACGGCGTTAGACACGGGCTGCTCGCAGTGCTTGTGGATGGCAAGGTGCGGCAGCACTGTTGCTGGTAGTTGCCTCCGCGTGCGTTCCAACAGGAAAAGCGGCAGAGTTCACGTTGTGGACCGTCTGGACGGCAGCAACACGACGCAGAGCGGAGACTCAGATGGATGGAGAGCTGAACCAGTTCGACTGTGACGATTGATCTGGGGTGCCTCGATCGAGATCCGGAAAGTGATCTCACCCGTCCTTTGCGCGACTCGACTGGCTTGCATCTCTTCACTCGCCCGGGGCACTGGCAGCGGTCGTGCAGTCTTCGTCCTTGTCAGTCAAACGACTTGCATCTCTCTCTTTGGCCACATAGTATCTGCATCTGCACCCCCTGCAATGGCGGATGAAGACACCACACGCCTTTGCGAACAAATTATCCGCTCGCATTTCGGGCCATTAACTGCAGTAAGTCACATATGCACAGCGACCCAATGCGCCCAACGCTCACGCCTGCCAGAAAGTGGCCTCCGTTCTGCTCTGCCGCGGACGCATGCCCTTGCCACACATCATCCGCTTCTCCGGGCTCAAGCCGCGCACCGTGCGCGCCGCGATCCTTGTGCTCGTGCAGCACAACGTACTCTGGCACGCGCAGTCCGACGACGAGGGCGAGGTCCTCGAGTTCAACATCGACGAGTGCCTCACGCGCCTGCGCTTCGGGCGGTACGTCTGGCAGACCGAGCAGCTCTTCGGGAAGGCGGTGCGGTGTTTCGCTGTCGAGACGTGTGCAGGGTAATTCACGCTCCTTCTACAGGCCGCGGAAATCGTTCAGCTGATCTTGGACCATGGCAAGCTGCGCCCGCCAGACATCATCTCGCGTCTAGCCATCTACGACCCAGTGAAAGGTCAGTCCACTTCATGATCCCTCGTTGGTCACTGCTGTTGACGCATAATCCAGCACGGGCCAAGTACTCGCAAGCACTACATAAGCTTGTCGATGACCATTACCTCAGACCGTCTACCGTCCTGTCTCATCTCTCACCCCGCGATAAGCGCATCCGGTATGAGGCCGAAGAGAAGGCGAAGATCTCAGGCTTCCCCACCGCGAAGGAACTGAAGCAGATGAAGGAGACGGCAGAGATTCGGATAAAGCGGGAGGAGGAAGAGGCAGAGCAGATTGGCATGGTATGTCATTGCAGTCCCTGTGACTCAAACATGCAACATAATACGTATAGCTTTGTAGAAACGTAAAGCGAAGGACCAGTCGGGGCGGTCGTCGAAGGTAGGCTTCCGTGCTATCTATCGATAGGTGTCTCAAACTCACTGACGAGACACGCTAGCGGAAAGCCGTGGAAGAGGATGAAGTCGACGTGCGTCCCCCTGTGTACCATCTTCGTATCACGAACTGAATCGTGCCTGCCTGCAGGACGAAGTCTACTTCCGTATCAACTCTGAGAAGCTGAACATTCATATTCGAAATAAGGTAATGTTGATTGGGTTCCCATCCGGACCTATCTGACGATGACCGTAGTTGGTAGAGACCGCGGCAACAGAACGGTTCAATGAGTGCGCAGGGCTGGTCGTGCGCGCCACGCTCAAAGCCACAGAAGCAAAGCAAAGAAGGCTCACGGACATCCGCACAGGTACCACCTATCTATCCACACCTCACACTCTATGTTCATCTCCATGACGTCTAGATCCGACATCCATCGCCAACATTGCAATGCAGCTATCTGACGACGACGACCTGTCTGCCGGGCTAGTCCTGCCCTCATCCAAAAAGCCCAACACCATTACCCTCCTCAAGGATTACCTGGGCATTCTCGCGTCCGCAGATAACCCAACACCAGCAGGCCGAGCAGCATCCTTCGTCTCGCTGAGCGGATCCAAGGTACAGGTAGAGTTTGAGATCGTCGGCAGGCGCCTCAGGCGACGCGTCTTGGAGGCTGTCACGCGGGAGAGGCACGGGGACGACGGCGTTAGGGTTGTCCGACTGCTCTTGGACACAGGGAAGATGGACGAGAAGCAGGTGCGTGCGCTGCTATAGGACGGCGGCCGCGGCTCATGACGAGGGCGCAGATCTCCAAAATCGGCATGATGGCGAACAAGGACGTCCGCCCGCTGCTGTCCGCAATGTCAGCGAACTCGATTATCAGCCTGCAAGAGGTGCCAAAGAGTGCGGATCGAAATCCGACGCGTATGTTTTATCTATGGTGCGGTGGTTCAGTGTGCACGATTGGTATACAGACTCACAAGGCGGCACGCAGGTATGTCGACCTCCAAAAAGCCTATGCTACTATCCTGGACAATCTCTACAAAACGCTATACAACATCAGCATGCGACGACAAGCAGAGGAGGAGGACCCAGCGGTAAAGCCTGTGCTAGAGAAGCGGCAACGCAGCGATGTTAGTCAGGATGAGGAGCGGTTGCTGACGCGCAACGAGCGGGAGACGATCGCGCAGTGGGAGAAGAAGAGGGAGAAGCTGACGGTGCTGGAAATGCGGGTGGAAGAGGCTGTGTTTATCCTGAGAGACCTCGCGCCGCTGGGCAGCAATGAAGAATGACAGGCGCGCTTTGGACCTGGACGTCGCGTTAACCGTCCTCGTGGATGACTGAGTGATTCTTGTCTGCATACACGCGGTGGGTCCTCTCGCGAGACGTTGCACGAGCTCAACACGCGTGGAGAATGAAGGCACTTGGGTGCGCGACGGCCAGCCATCGCCGCCAACGGCGACCGAGGCGAGGAGGGAAGGTGCGGGGGCAGGGAGGGTGAGTGCCCGAGCACAGGACACACCCCGAGACGCACGGACCAGGCGAGGTGGCTCCCGCCCAGGCGCGTGTGCGCGAAATAAGGTTCGCATTCAACAAGACGCGTCTCGACACGCACGTGACCCGCGACGCGTCCCAACTATAAAGAGCGCGGGTCGCGCGTGTGCCACCCACATTTCCCCTAGCCGCAACTCTAGTCCCTCCCCGCCCCGCACCCCCTTAACCCTAAACCGACTACCTATTCTTGCGATGGCTGTTGCTAAGACTACTACGAGGTCGAGTACCACTAAGCCCAGGGCTGCCAAGTCCAAGGACGTTAAGCCGAAGGAGACTAAGGCGAAGGTGCCCAAGGCAGCGGCTGGCAAGGAGAAGGCCCCTTCTGGCGCCGCTCACCCTTCGTTCAAGGAGATGATCAAGGTGAGCTCCTTTATCGTGTATGCTGACGTGTCGTTGACTGTTGTCGCGTAGGAATGTATCGTTGACCACAAGGAGGAAGCCCGCACAGGTGTGTCGCGTGCAACTATCAAGAAGGTATGCAACCATATATGGTACCAAGCCACATCCTGTCCTCACCTATGACTGCCATGTAGTACATCAGCGAGAAGTACAAGCTTGACCTCGAGAACAATGCTTTGAACGCGTCGCATCTTAACCGCGCTATCGCATCTGGCGAGAAGGAGGGTATCTTCGCCCTCCCCAAGGGACCTTCTGGCAAGGTCAAGCTCGCACCCAAGAACAAGCCCGCCGCCAACGAGGTTAGTGTTTCATCGCGTCGTCTCAACATCCATTCATCGACGTGTCGTTGTAGAACGCACATCCCGCTGGCGAGAAGCCAACTAAGGAGAAGGCCGACAAGGTCACCAAGCCCGCCGCGGCTGCTAAGCCTCTCAAGAAATCCGTTGCAAAGGCTGACACCGTGAAGAAGACCAAGGCTGCAGCAGCACCCGCAAAGAAGTCTGTCAAGGCTACTGACGCGGCCAAGAAATCGACGACAAAGGCTGTTGCCGCACCCTCGAAGCGGATGAAGAAGGATGCCCCCGCGAAGAAGGTCACCAGCACGAAGGCAAACGCCAAGAAGGTTCGTGCTTCTCGTGTTCACTGTGTTATGCAGGATTGTTGATCGTTGTCGATTGTCCGCTAGCCCGCTGCGAAGGCGGCAGCAGCCAAGGCGACGGATAAGCCAAAGTCCACCGTGAGCGCTAAGCCCCGGTCGAGAGCTAAGAAGGTCTGTCTCCATTGTCCTCCGTACGCAGCGATGCGCTGACTGTTGTCCTCCACAGCCGGAGTCGAACGTCGTGTAAGCGATGGATGGTCCTCGCGTGTCGTCTCTTTGGTCTATATTATTAGTTTCTGTTATACCTTATCTCTACCCTGGTCTCGTCGCCTAGTGTCACTGGTCTGTACGAGTATGCGTGTATGAAGAGTTACTTGGTCTTTGTCGTGCTCCCATCAGTTCTAGTCATGTCCGTTCGAATCTATGCCCTATCGCATCTTACACAAGCCACTTACAGCGAGCGACGTGTGTGTGCAGTGTAACATTGTAGCTTTTCCCTTGAGTTTGAAGGTGTTGAAGCTTTGAATTCTGTAAGACGAATGTGCCTATCCTCCGGCGAAGACCGTGATAAGCGCTCTCTACAGCGCTCCTCCCGGGTGGCAAGTTGTTCGCATGCGGCATGTGCAGGTAGATCGGACTCGCTCAGTGCCCATAGGTGTTTGAGTCTTGGGTGGTCACCCAGTTTCAAGGATCGTTGCTGGTAGGGCGGGAGGTTTTGGAGGCTGAAGGGTGGCGATGGATCCGGACTGAGTGCGCGACAAACCAGCCAGCATATCCACTCGCGCCATGTCGGCGTCGCGCGCAATGAAGTCGAGACGACGAGCAGTGAGTAATGACTCGTTGGCCTCCTCCGCTCACCTATTACAGCAATGCTTGATGCTTTACGTTCAACATCGCGACCCTCGCGGTGGACAACCAAGTAGACGGTACAGTCTGAGCGAGTGAAGGCGAGGGGCGAACTAGTGGGGGATCCCTCACTGACAAGACTCGCCAACACATCGTTGGCAATCACAGTCCATCGAGAGCTCCGCGAAGAAATCAGAACTATATATTTGGGATACCTGAATACATGCTACAAGGACGTGCGCATTGCAGCTCGAGCGACCGATCGCCAGTACAGAATAGAAGCGCTTGTGTCTTTGGTTTCGTATCCACGATTTGGATCATCCATGCTAATCGCATGCATTGTGTGCATATCATCCGGGATTCCAAATGGTGCGAGAGCATACGAGCGTAGTCCACGATGAGATCAGGCATTGAGCATAGACTGATGGACCGCGAACTGTACAAAGGTCGTCCAGGAGAGACGCGGAGCACAGCAATGCGTGAGTTCGTCGACGGGGCTTCATACGTTGCTTACGAGCGCATCGTCTCTCGCGCGGTGGTACTCGCAGCCCGTCCCAGCAGCAAGCTTCAGCACTCAGGAGCAACACCCTAGCTCCTAGCACGCACAAAGGGCTACAGCAGAGAGCCAAACATGAGCTTCCAAGCGACAGGGAACGAGAACACCAGGCGCCGACAGGCGACAGCAACAGCGGCAGCAAGCAGCAGGCAGGGAGAGCAACCCATCATCAGCGAGGAGAGGCTTCAAGCCGTCACCGACGAACCTCGGAGGGCCATCCATCGCAATCTTCGCTCCATCGTCGCAATTTGGCAGCGATACGAGAGGTTATTCAAGGACGTACAGGCCAAGTACGACAACTTGTCTTGTACATGAGGGAAGAGATGGTGGTCAATTGAGCCGTAATGGTAGTATGTACATTACAAGACGAGTGGGGGAGAGTGTGCTCACAGAAATATAAATGTCTCATTGCACCAACATTGCACACCATCGGGGGATCATGAACGTTCACCCGCACATGCAGAACACGAGCAAGGTTAGCACGCCAGCACTGGCGGCACTTCGAGTACTTGATCGACGACCGAAATGGAAACTGTATAACTCACTTAGTAAGTTGGTATACGGGACTTAAGTAGAAGCGCACGTGCCACGACGCTGCTCTCATCGTCCAGCTTCTCGTCGCCCTCCCTGCTTTCGACGATCTCTGAAAAGAACATGCGTGTCTCTATCGCAGAACTACTTGGCAAGGTACGGGTAACGACTTACGAGCGTAAAGAGCGACACAGCGAGCTCGTACTAACGCGTACTGTGCAGGAGACGTCGCGTCCACCCCGTCGCAGGCTGGGACGAATCCATCTAGGAGGAATCCCGTACGCCTATCATTATGGGCTGCAAGGTCACATATAGGGCCACTCCTATGAATGAATATCAGGAACCGTCTCCGTTTTGCGCTGGGTTTTGCGGGATGTCGCGTTGTTTGCGCTACGATTCGGCGACAAAGAGTGCAGGCCACGGGCCACAGGTAAGCAAGCGTCCTGCGTACACGATCCAAACGATCGAGTAGTTAACGAAAGCTGTCTTACAGAAAGAACTCGGCGTTGTCTGACTCGCGATTGGGTAGATGGTGTGGGGCTGCGTTGATTTTACCTCTCGAGGTTGCTGAGTGCGTCGGTAAGTCGACGGCTCGAATTGGCCTCCCATTCTGGCTGGACTGATATATGAACCGTCCACGCGTTAGACTGTGACTTGAGAGAGCGAGCCGAAGTGGTGGAGTCGGCGAGGACGGCGGCGACGTGTCGTCGGCTCAATGGACGCCATGGGCGCAGGTACGCAAACGTTCTCTGTAAGTGGTCTGAACGATGTTTTTACTCACGAAAGACGCTCTGTATAGTGGACATATGCTTGTCTCATTGACGACACGGCAAAGTCTCACGAGCTTCGAAGCTCCCTGTCGTTAGAGCGGCAAGATACGTTGGTATGTCGGCACTTTGTGTTCGCCTATTCGACACCGGAATCAGTAAGGCTGAGTAGATTTTTAGCCGTGTTGCACTTCAAATCCTGGTCGCTGCCCTCGGTAATATCGATCACACATTGCCGATGCGAGGGTCCGCTCTGCTCCGTAAGGCTCGTAAGTCGTAGTTGTGAGAAGCATCCCGCTCTGACGCTAATCTCTCATGTGCGGTCTTGAGGTCCACGAATATTGGGATGAACTCTTGGAAGTCCAAGTTGTGCTTGGATGCCTGTGTGGCATGCATCACTTGTAATTCGAAGTCACACTACCCGATTTCGTCCTTGATAACCGGCCCATCTAGGTCATGTCAGAGGCGGCGTTTGTATTTGCGTGAGGATGTGCACCCTCAGGTATGTCACAAGCTTTGACACACAAAAGCACTGGCTCACTCGGCGCACACCTGCCGCGCAGATTTCGCCCCGAGCGCTCTCAGCACAGGTTATTCTCAAAAGCTATCCCGTTGGCGACGAGGACATCCACTCTGGGGTGCTCGATTGCGCGCGTTTGATGGGGGCCAAGACCGCGTATTCCACGTCATTCTACACCGGCCTGGGGAACGTCTGGGGATGCTGCCTCGTAGGAAGATACCGATTCACCGCATCGCAACAGCCACCATGGCGTCATGGAGGTGACTATTGTCTCGACGCCCCTGTTCGCCCCTCCGCCGGAGACGCAGGGGCGAGACAAGACGGCGGGGAGGGATGAAGACGCTGGTCTCCGCAGGACAATGGGACGCCTGAGTCGGGACTAGCCCTGACACGCTTCAGGTCATCGGGGTTCAATTCACGTGACGCATGCGCGTCGCGTCATGATCGGGAGAATTTGTCGGTCCTTGCCCGTCACGGTGGCGCAGACGCCCGGTCTGGACGAGCCGTTATCGTGAGTCGCAGCGCGTCGGCCGACTGACCGTCCGCGTTGGATAGCTCGGAAGGGCCTGCTCTGGGCAGCAGGGGAGGGTGCTGCGCGCGCAGGTGTGGCTGTGCGAGTGGCGCAGTGGGTGGCGGGGACGCGTCGGGCGGGGAGAAGCGGAGGCTAGAGGCGTGACGCGTGACGGGGATCTCGATGGGAGCCGCGGCCATCAAGCGCGACTATTTTGGTAAGCGTGGCACGGTTACCGCCAGGGTCATGCCGCGTCCGTACAACCTCACAAAGCGCGTGCTCTTCTCGCTCGCCTTCCTTTCTCCCCGACTACCAACTCCTCTCGCCTCAAGCCTCCTCCCTTCGCCCGTCCCTCCCTCCTGCCTCTTCTGCCCTGCTTCCCTCGCTGGCCGACCCCTCCTGCACCGTACCCACATTTAATGGTCTGCACCACATGGTCGCGCCCGCCACAGTCTCACCCCCGCAGCCCCAGGCATCCGCCAACCACCACTATGGCACGCGCATCCGTTCAAACTCGGTCATCAAGCCCTCCATCCGTCTCCGCCATTCTGCGGCCTCTGCGGCACCCCCTCCGAGGCGCATCAAGCCCGCGCCAGTGTCCAAGTCCAAGCACGCGCCCGTGACTCCCGATGTGCCACCGCCGGACTGTCCACCTTTCCCCCCGGACCATGTTATGTTACATCATGACGACGCGAACAGCAAGGTCTTCATGGCCATAGGGCGTTCGTTCATGTCTGTCGTATGTCGTCCTACCGCTCATGCTGGGTTAACTGTGTATCTGAACTAGCCATCATGACAGAATAATCGCGCTATGACTATCAAGGACCTTGCTGAGATGACTATGAAGTACGGTATAATGTGCCAAAAGTGCGTCACCCCTTGGTCTCGTGTTGTGCCTGTATTCACAACGTGCATGTGCCCGGGCAGCGTGTCCGCCGCAGGCCAAGCTATCACCACCTATATCCGGAACCACCTTCAGCGCTGCGAAGTTCAACAGGACCACCCATTGCTTCTCCGACACGTTCTCTCTGGTACAGCATCCGATGATGATCTTCTGCCTGCCCTGCACTCCCGCACGGGTGGCGCACCTTGTTCGCTCAGCCCGTCCGACACCAGAATTACGAACTTTAGGCGCGGAACCATGGTTTGGTACCTGAGCAGGGCCGCCGGCGCGCCGTGCCCGTTCGCCAGGTGCGGGATTCGCTTGTGCGACTACACTGAGAGCGGCAAGGTTGGCAGCTTTCCAACCCACAGCCACGAGAAGAAGCGCGAGAAAGATCGTCTCCGCCGTTCGGAGCAATGTGGCCAGAAGCGGAAGCGCTTGTTACGCAGCGCGTTTGCTGATAAAGGATCAGACTCGGATTCTATGAGCGAGGAAGAGAAGCGGCCCCCAAAGGTGAAACTCACGTTGCGCCTTCGACCACTCCGCGCGTCTAGTTCTGGGGCCTCGTTGCCGGCATCTCCCTCGCCGCAAGATGAAGAAGCCTCTGCATGTCAATCGCAGTCGCACTCGCCCCCGGAGATCATTGACCTTTCCAAGGACGACTCTGACCTTGACTCGTCGGACTCCGAAGAGAACTCAGACGACGACGATTCGATGTCGGTGGATTCTTCATTGTCCTCTGACGCCGACGAAGAGATGTCACCTGCACCTGCCCTGGGCGGCGATGCGCTATCACCTTCCGCATATGGCGCGCACCCAACCTTCTCCTCAGCCTCCCCAGACGTTTATCGACGCTCGCCTTCTGCGTCTCCTCCACCAGACAGTGAAGACGAAGAGGACGACTATCACGACAGTATGACGAACTTCCGCCGTTACTCGCTGGATCGCTATTCATCCTGGGATGACGAAGACGAGGACGAGATGAGTCTCGATGACAACTTCTGGGACATCGCCAACGACGCGGAGACGCAGTGGGATAGCCCTGGCCCGCGATCACCTTCCGCCCAGTTCGAGGACAGTATCTTCGTCAAGGAAGAGCCGAGCGATCTCAGTGGCATTCTCGATGCTTGGGATGACCTCGACGCCAAGGGCGACCTCCGGGTCGTCGACGTCGTGCTCCGAGCCGCAGCCGGCCTTGACGCGGGTTTTGTCAAGCCGAAACTCGAGGAGATCGACCGATGGGAGCTGTCACATTTCGCCAGCACTAGCTCGGATAGCTTCACGACAACCCCGATAGACGACGGTACCAGCGATATCAAGGAGGAAGAAGTCGAGAGCGGCGTCTCGTTCCTGACACGGGGGATGCGAACCCCTACCCCTGACTGTGCCTCACTACCTCCGTCGCCGATTTCGCCCATCTCACCGTCCCCTCTTCCGTCGACGTCTTTCGTGGCAGAGCGCCGGGACAGCCACCTCATATGGCGCGACGCCGAGCTCCTAGGTCCGGACAGTCTCAAGCCGCATGATCTCGCTGAGGGCGACTGGCGAGAAGGCCGGAGGAGCAGCGATATCGCGTCACCCGTTGCCGAACAAACTGAGCCAACGGCTTTGGCCTCAACGGGCGCGTCGGGTGGTGCCTCTCCCCAGGGTCAGCAGGCACGTGTGGGGCCGCTACCACCGCGTTTGGACTTGACTGCGCCTGGCAGGCGGGAACAAGGTTATCTTGTTCCGGATCTGTCTTCCCCGTCCCTGCTCTCGTCGTTGACTTCGCTGACGATCCACACTCCCACGTCCCCCGAGGCGCCCAAGGCTGCTTCCCCATTGTCCTCCTCGCTTCAAGCTCCTGGGCTCGCTGCGCAGCATGCCTCGTTGCGGCCTGCTCAGGACGAAGAGCCTAGAATCATTCATACATGCCAACCATGCGATCCTCCCATCGTTGCCACGCAGCTGGAAGGTGCGTAATCGCAGCATGTGTGTTGGAATGGAAGCTTATTGCGTGTGAACAGGCGTTAGTGTATATCAGATGACACTTGGGTCATCTCTAATCTCCCGAAGGGTCGACACCGGTTTCGTTCAAGTCGATCCTCTCCTGAAACAGCTCGGGCTTTCATCCTCGTCCTCGCCGTTCCCGAACGCTATCTCCATAACGAAGGGCTCGCCGCAGGTGTGCGGTATCTGGTTACCGCTGGCCGCAGCGCGCGACCTGTGCAAGGATCATTCCGCGATGTCCATCTTTCTGGCTGATGAGCTGCCAGATCGCTTCCCCTCAACTCTCCAGGAGCTTACCCGACATGCGCACCCGTTCAGCAGATGGCCGGGCTCGTTTGGGCAACACTTCAAGTCGACCATCGAGGCGAAGCGCCAGTCGCTCTCGGCGCACCGTCTCGACTTCGGTGCTGAGGATCAAGACATGTCACACTGGGAGAGCGAGGAGCACTTGATCTCGGTGCAGTCTGCGTTCGCGCTGACGCATGCGATCCTCCCGACGCCCGCGACGTCCCTGGAGGAGCACCTGGTGCCTGGGCTGCCGCTCAGCCCTGCCGAGGAGAAGATGTTCAGGGAGCTGTGCTCTGATCCAGAGTGGGAATCGCCCACGCCCCCTCCGGAAAGCGCCGCTCTGGACCATGCAGAAGCGGCGGTCGAGGTTCCTCCTGCCGAGGCTTCTGCGAGCGGGAAAGGGAAGGAGCCACCGGGCCAGGACCGGCCACTGCGTCGGTCGAAGCGGGTCGCGGACGCCATTGCGAACCGGTCCAGGACGCGCTCGAGCAAGAGGGGCTCGCGTAGCTCGCTCTCTTGAATGTGTGCGTCGGCACACAGTGCATGCACAGAGGTGCTGCACCAGGTCTCGTTTCTTTCTCCCTCTTGTCGCGCGTTGCTTTTGCGTTACTTATTGTCTTCGTTTTCCGACTCGAGTGTCTCCGTGGCTTCGTTCTCCAGTGTGATATTGTGTTAGAAGTGTATCCCTACTGTCTGTTTTCCGCCGTCCGTGTCTTCCCCTCGCGTTCCGCTGCTCGCACCCTTTCGGCGTGCGTGAGCAGCCGGTGCTGCTTCGTGATTGGGGCAGCGAACCGACATCATTCATTCGGGCTGCTTCTGATTGACGGGCGAGCGGACGCCGAGCGATACCCTGCTCGCTGCGCTGGACAATGACCGAGTACGATAGAGGGACCCCCCACTCAGTATAGTGCTAAGCTCGTGTAGTATATGTTGGTATGATATGAATATATGGTGCCTATGCGTGTACTCTGGCGGACGAGCTCGAGGACTTGTCCGTGGGCGACTGCCGTTGGGCGCGTGACTGGGCGAACAAGAGCCGCGCGGCTATAGAAGAGCGGAGTTTGGCGTGGTCGCAGGCTCTGCTGAGTGCTCGTCGAGTCCCTCGCTCCCAACGACCTTCACCCTACTTAGTCCCTCCTATTTACCGGAGTCTCCCTACTCTAGTAGTCCTGGGCAGTCCTTGTCCACAAAATTCCCCAAAATTCACCCTATAACGACCTATAAGCCTTGCTCATAGTTACCCACGTCGACTGGCCGACCGGGCTCGCCCCTTTCGCTCTTGCTTACCTGCATAGCCTGCCCAGCTCTCAACATTCAGTAATTCCTAATACCCATCCTTTCCTGCGGCCAACATGTCCCTATCCGCCAACGACAACGGATTCTCTGCCAGGGTCAACTCGGGCAAGACCCCGCCCCCTGCGCCCTCAGCTGCTTTCGCGAAAAGGTGTGTAGCCCCCCCTGCTGCTTTTTCCTACCATTTGACATTGTTTTTCAGAGCGAGGGAGCTCGAAGCGGAACAGGGGATAGGTGCTAGATACAGGCCCCCCGCGCTGCGCGCCTTGGCCTCCGGCGGCTCACCTCCTAATAACGACCTATCTTCGTCTACGAACACCGCAGGCGACACCGGCCCCCTGTCGCCGACCAACTACCCTGCGGGCTTTAGGAGGGCGAGGGCGGGGACCTTGCCCTCCAACGTCCAGCTCGCTGCCCAGCGCTTCGCCGCGGCTTCGAGCACGCTGAGCAGCTCGACGGCGGCTGCCGCCGCCTCTGCGTCGACGGACTCGTTTTCCGAGCAGCTCCAGCGACAGAGCCTTGCACCGCCCGCATCGGCGGCACCCGTGCGACCCGGTTTACGTCACTCGGCCTCAGTGGCTTCTTCTGTGGCTTCCTCTGCATTGGGTGAGCGGAACAGCCGCCTCCGCTCTGGCTCGCTCACCCTCCCCTCGGGCGGCCTGTCCAACGCATTCGGCTCGTCCCTGTTCTCATCCTCTTGGATGCCGAGCCGCAACGGAGGCTTACCCGTGCTAGACGATCTGCGCTCTGTCACCTCCATGGACTCGGGCGCCGATGATTTCGATGTCCACACGCTGGATTATCTGGGTCTTGACGAGACCATGCGTCACCCGCCAGCTGCAACTATCTCAGAGCTGCGCAACCAGGCTCAAGCTGCGATCGCGGGCAATCTAGCTGCTAACCCGGCTAGACTTCGTGCTACCACAGTGTCGAACCCGTACAGGCCATCTGCGGGCTCTTCAATGCTCCCTACCCCCGGTGCGGAGGAGGAAGAGGAACTTTACGACGAACGGATGTATGGTAGGCATGGTCTCAATGCCTATCAGGACACGGAGGACGACTACCTATCGGCCGCGTACATGCCGAAGGGCTTCAAGCAGAGCGACCACCTCTCCGTCGGCCTTGGCTCACGTCCCCGCGCTATTTCGGTGGGCAATCTCGACGACACGACGCGTGCCCTCCAAGCCCGTCGTCAGGCTGCTGCTGAGGCGCAAGCCGCATACAATGATCTGCACATCCAGACGGGCCTCGGTGGCATCCTCCGCGCTGACAAGGGGGGTGCTCGCGGCGGAATATCTCCCTCCGTCCATTTCCCGAATGGCGAACTATCCAGAAGCAACTCGTACCTTGCCGCTCCGTCGTCGAACCAGAACCGTGCTACGTCGCCGAAATCGGAGGGGTCTTCCCAGATGCAGACTCCCACCCGCTCGCTCTGGATTGGCAACCTCGATAACTCGGTGACCAGCGAACAGCTCATTCACGTGTTCGCCCCCTATGGAGCCATTGAGTCTCTCAGGTTGCTCCCTGAGAAGGTATGCATCTTCCTATATCATATCCGTTCTCACCGCGCTAACCTTGTCCCAACAGGAATGCGGGTTCGTGAACTTTGTCGACCAGGCGGACGCGATCCGCGCCAAGGAGGACGTCCTGAACCGCCTGGGCGGAGACATCGGCATGCCGAACGGGCAGACCGTCCGCATTGGCTTCGGCAAGGCTGACAGTGCGCCGGTCGCTCCTGCCAAGGGCACGAACCTGAACAGCCCGTCAGCCACATCGCCTGGCGGTGTGCTCGGCAAGGCAGGGGGCAACAACATAGGTCTGGCGGGGATGGACGCGCAGCTGCAATCCACCCCGACGAGAGCGCTGTGGATTGGGTCGATTCCCTCGACCACTACGCCCGCGACTATTCTGAGTGTGTTCAGCCCGTATGGTCCCATTGAGTCTGCGAGGGTTCTCACGCACAAGAACTGCGGCTTCAGTATGTCTCTTTCTGTGTCTTCAGGAGTATTTCGAGACTGACATTGGTGCACCAGTCAACTTCGAGCGCCTTGACGATGCAGTGCGTGCTCGCAAGGCTCTCAACGGCCGTGATGTGCTGGGCAGTGACGTGGGCGCCATCCGTATCGGCTTTGCCAAGGTGCCCGTTAAGAACGGTTCAGACGGCACCGGCGGCCAAGACGAAGGAAACGGCCTCAACGTCCAGGGCGTCGGCGACCTGAGCGTCGGTGCGACGATCCATGCACTGCGCAACATCAAGGGCGCGACGACCATCCCCGTCGACCAGCAGGTCCTCAGTGGCGCAGTGGAGAACTACCGCTCGAACCTGCTGTTGAGCTTGATCGCCTCTGGCGCGCATGCCGGTGCCCTTGACTCCGCTGGCAAGCCCGCTGGATGGCCGGCTGCGGTTACGGAGCAGCAAATGGTCATGAGGGAACTCAGCGGCGGGAGCCCCGACGCGGAGGCCGACATCCAGGCCCTAGCGGGTAAGTCGTAGGTTACCCAGGTAAAGGACAGTACTGACTATCTTGCGCGTAGACTTCCGCCCTCCGATGATGTATTACACGACGATTCCGCTCGTATCTGAGAGGCCTCACAACAGACGATGGGATGCATCGAAGCTGCGTGAGCTCCGCAAAAGGCTCGACACGAGCACGATCTCCACGGAGGAGATCGACAACGTTGCTGCCGACTTCCTCGACGGCGAGATCGTCGATCTTGCTTCTGACTGGCTCGGTAACACGGTGAGTGGAACTAACTCACGTCGGTTCATCAATACTGATGAGTATCCATAGGTCGTGCAAAAACTGTTCGAGAAGTGCTCGCCTGCTCCTCGCCTGGCCATGTTGGAGCGCCTGTGCCCACATCTTGCTATGATTGGTATACACAAGAACGGTACTTGGGCCGCGCAGAAGATCATCGAGTGCGTGCAGACCCCAGAGGAAGTGGCTCTCGTCACGCAGAACCTGAGACCCTATGTTCCGCCACTCTTGTTGGACCAGTTCGGTAACTACGTCGTACAGTGAGTATCCGAATGTGTGCGCCCTGTATCGACATACTGATTGTAGAGTAGGTGCTGCTTGCGCTTCGGTGCGCCCGCCACGGACTTCTTGTTCGACGCGATGGTCGATCGTCTTTGGGAGATCGCTCAAGGGCGCTTCGGTGCACGTAGCATGCGTGCATGTCTCGAGAGCAGCCACATCACCATCAGCCAGCAGCGCCGCATCGCTACGGCGGTCATCCTCAACTCGATCCCATTAGCGACGAACCCGAACGGTGCCCTGCTCTTGACGTGGCTCCTGGATACCTCGAATTTCCCGTCTAGGTACAACCTGCTTGCTCCTCGCTTCACGCCGCACCTCTCGCACCTGTGCACGCACAAACTCGCGTCGCTCACTGTGCTCAGGATTGTCAACCAGAAGGTCGAGCCGGAGGCGTCCACCCAGATCGTTGAGGCTCTCTTCTCGTCTCCTGGCGATCATGTCCTGACCGACGTGCTCGGCGACCAAGTCAACGGCGTCGCTGTCGTCCACAAGATCTTGACGAGTCCCTTCGTCGATCCGGTTCAGCGCCCGAGTTACGTCGAAGCTACCAAGCGGGTGCTGATTGAGCTCAAGGTCATCGCTACCCAAGCCTATCGTCGTCTCATAGAGGAAGTCGGACTGCCTGTCCCCAATCTCCAGCCGACCTATACCACGAACGCTCCACAGCCCAACAGCAAGAACAAGTACACTGTGCAGAGCAACTACGCCGTGCCAGGGCTGCCCGCTGGCTATCCTTCCAACGACCAGAGCCTTGCGTCCATGATGGCCGCACTTCAGATGGGTGGGCAGAATGCTGCTTCGGGCCCGCCGCGCCTGCAGATCGACCCTGGCTACAGTCAGGCCCCTACTGGAGGACGTGGTCGCGCCTCGAACCCTGCGTCGGCGTTTTCGCCGTCGACCGACCCCTTCAACCCATTCGCGATGCGCACGCCTGACATCGCAAGCCCCAGGGGTAATGTCCCTCGCCGCAACGGCGGCATGCCGTCGGCTACCACGCCGTCCGCTATTCCATACGGCTCGCAATCGCCGAGCCTTACTCCCAACATGATGGGCATGAGCCAGCCCTCCTACAATGGCATGGCTTCCCCGCCGGTCCCTCCGCATCTCTACCAAGCGTACATGTACCAGATGTATCAACAGCAAAACCCTCCCTTCCACGCTTAGAGCACCAGCTATCCGCACCGCTATCGTTTTTGACGACTACATGACGATCTGTACCCGGGCCAAGTAGGTTCGAGGCATGAGGATACTCGTTTGTTTCTTCCGTTTCGCGTGCTGCTTCTCTCTTCGTATATATACAGATCATACGACGGGCTTGCCAGTTGTCTCCGGACTCGATACCCTCCCTGGCATCGCAGTCGGTATGCTCTCACACTCGTTGCTCATTTACGAAAGGTCACAAAAGTCGGACATGGTCCTGTTCGGGTGGCGTCGCTACTGACGCCATGAGGGGCGCATGGTTGGTTGTTCTCGCACTCTCTCGGTTTCTCTCACTCAATGTACAAGTATGGGAAGGCTGTAAAGTATGGCCGCATATCAATATCATATAGACCAAGCTGCATTACATCGCTGAGTGGCAATACGACCAGCGCGACGAGTACATCTAACGTTACAGAGACTGAACAGAAAACAGTTATCGTGTATTATGGCCTATTTTAACACAGGGAAACTGGTGACTGACGTCGACAATCAGTGGATGGTGCGCTATGTAGTGCGTAAAGCGACTCACTGTGGTACCTTTTCTTGACTAACCAGAATCTCTCTATGTGGCTCGCCTTCGGGGCCGCGTGCGAACGCGACGATGGTTCGTGACAATCACGGCCTGGATAGCGTTTTTCACCACCCGGCGGATGATGTCAGCCGCAATTTGAAGTAAAAGCGACCCGACGACACCAGCGAGGCCAGCTTGGACGACGTCGAGATGGCGCGTCCCACCATAGCCGTCCTCCTCGTATTCGAGCGCCGCGGCTCCGACCATTCCCTGCACGGCGCAGAAGCACAGGCTAATGAAGAGACCTTTCCTGGTGAACAATCCCCATAGGATTTCCTTCATCGGCGGGGCGTAAATGGTGAGTCGGATATGCCTCTTGAAGACGACGCAGTTGGCGAACGACCAGAAGAGCACGCATATGAAACCCGCGCTAGCAATGATGCCTGCACCCAGCAACCCGATGCGTGCGGTCTGGTTTAGGTTGGCGGTGGCATAGGCTTCTCCGTGCGGGCTCGGCAGGAAGCATAGGACGTAGGATCCTACAGCGATGGGTAGACCGAGGACTAAGGCGCTGGTTGAGCGGACGACGCGGCAACCGATGAGCAAGGCGTGCTCCTTTGGAGTCTGTGACACGCTGGAGAATATCTGCATGGCGTGGAGCGGCGACCCTCAACGACCCGCCAGGGAGCCTTTTATGTGAGTACAAAGCTGTTACATTGTCTCGAGTGATTGCAGCCACTTGGCATCCTGTCCGAGTCACTACACCTTTCATTGTCCCTCCAACTACGTGCGGATCCGCGAGAGCAAAGAGCGTTGCCACGTTACGTAGGCCTGCCCGCAAGCTAAACTTGCAGGGCTGGTGCAGCAGTCTTTCGCTGGCTTGATGGGCAAGAACAACAGGTTCTGCAGCCATTGAAGCAGATAGTTTGATGATGGCTCCTGTTCGTGTCGCCTTTGCTCGTGTAAGTCTGGTCTACGTTGCACTCGTTATCACGCCCCACTTCCGCTAAGTAGCATCTCAACGATTACGACAAATCCATCTGATGATACAGGTACAAATTTGAAGAGTGCTAAGGAGAACGACGATCATGGCACGGCAAGTGGCACGGAATCCTACTATGTCTGACGCCGGAGGAACCAACACTGGCACGGCTGGTCAACGAATCTCAGTAAGCTGTAGTGACGAAACGATATCGTGTGGCGACGCTGACTCACTGGAATAGGTTGACTTTCCTTGACTGGCCATTGTCCTCAGCTTGACTGGGCCTTCCTTCGGGGTTCGCTATTGCAAACGCGACGAGGGTTTGTAGTACCAGCCACGGCTTTGACAGCTCCGATCATCATCCGGCGGATGATATCGAGAACAACTTGAATCAAAAGCGAACCGACGACGCCAGCGAGGCCAGCTTGGACGAGGTCGAGACGTCCCGTCTGAATCCCACGTTTGCGGCCTTCCTCCCCGTATTCGAGCGCCGCCGCGCCGGCCATTCCCTGCACGGCGCAGAAGCACTGGGTGATGAAGAGACCCTTCCTGGTGAACAGTCCCAGCAGGATTTCCTTCATCGGAGGGGCGTAAATGGTGAGTCGAATGTGCCTCTGGAAGAAGACGCAGTTGGTGAACGACAGGAACAGCACGTATATGAACACCGCGCCAGCGATAATGCCTGCACCCAGCCACCCGATGCGCGCGGTCTGGTCCAGGTTGGCGCTGGCGTAGGCTTCTCCGTGGGGGCTCGGGAGGAGGCATAGGACGTAGGATCCCAGAGCGATGGGCACGCTCAGGACGAGGGCGCTGGACGAGCGGACGACGCGGAAAGCAACGAGCATGGCGTGCTCCTCTGGAGTGTGCGACACCCTGGAGAATATCTGCATGGCGGGGAAGCGGCGACTCTCAGCGACTCGCCAGGGAGCTATTAAGTACTCAGACATTGCATTGTCTCGAGTGACTGCGGCCACTAGTACATATTCCGCTGCAGTGGCATCTTGTCTGAGTCACTACCCGTTCCATTGTCTTTCCAACAACGAACTGATCCGCGAGAGCAAAGGAGTGCCACATTACGTAGGCCTATCCGACCGTAGATCTCAAAGACAAATATGATTCGTGACCGACGCGACGCTGTGTCCCGCCTTGGAGATTCTTCCCATTGCATCTCGTCAACCTAGTGTAAGTAAGGTCATCCACACTCACAGCAGGCGAGACGAAGGACCAGTAGACATATGCATATTAGGTTTGAGTTATGATACACCATAATCCGCATGCTACGTGCTTCACACGTGTACAAGAACAGGCAAGTGCCAGAAGCAGTCCGGATGAAGACGAAGTGAGACAATAATGATACAGAGAAACGGGGACAAGGCACGACCTGACGACTTGCCCGCCCTCATCCACACAGTCCAAGACAGCCCCTCTTCCTCCATGGAACGACCGCTGTAAAAATCAGTAACATCACGTATGAGACAGGAAACGACCTGAAGCTGTATCTGCAAAACGTCAGTACGGAACACACTTAGACTTGTCCTTCCCGTCGTGGGGCCCATCTTGATCTTGAGGCAAGCGTGTAACTTGATTCGCGCGGGCGTAAATCGTGCAACGACCCATCGCGCTTGGCTTCTAGATGCGGAAGCTGGCAGGCCGCCCGCACCGATGTGCAAACCTTCGCAACAGAAGTGTCGGCACAGAGGAGGCGAGGACGAGCCCTCCGCGAAGAGCTGCGTATCGTGCAGGTCGTGCATGCCGACGCGCGCGACAAGCTCCCCTCAAGATCATTGTATGCGCGCCTTTTTGACGTCTACGAGATATGATGAGCGGGTAATCCTTGCAGAATGTGGGTGGCGACATACCTGGCGAGCTCTGAGGGTTGCTGCCCTCATCCTCGTCTTCGTCAACATCAACCTCATCGTGCCCCCTCTTCGACGACCTACTTGAGGAAGATACAGTCCTCGACAGATCATGCTCTGCGCCAGGAAGAGCAGCAGAGATGTCTTCCGGGGATTCGAACATCCACTCCTCGTCTACGGCGTCTGCACGGGATGCGACGTCTAGAACACGATGAGCTGATGCGGCCCCTTGGAAAGACAACAAACTCACCGTGATCCTTTAGCAGTGCAACCGTCGGCTCATCGTCATATTCTTCAAAATCATCGTCAATAGTTACAGCGGCGGGATTCTCAGGATCTAGAAGCGGGTCGATGAAGTCAGGTTGAGATGGACAACGAGCAACGACCTATACATACCATTATCTTGTGTTGGGCCAGACTGGTCAGTACGAAGGGTCTCACCCGCATCGGTGTATCCGTCCTCATCGCGTTGTTCTGTTAAAATCCGATCAGAGATCAGCAACCCCCAACATCTGCAAACGACCTGACTCACCGGCATCATACTGATCAGCAGGCAAGGTAGTGAAGTCGCTGCTTAGGAAAGCGGGTGTTTCGAGCAGGTCGATGCCCTCGGACGGCACAGGGTTCGCGTCGTCGAGATCGGTAGCCGTCTCATCCTTGAAGGCCTGGCTCTCTTCGGGGTCCCCCTCTTCCTCCCCCCCGAGGTCCTCCGGCAGATCCTCGCCGAACTGCTGCTCGTCGTCCTCGGGCGCGACATCCTTCTCATCGACGTAGTCGCCGCCCTCCTCCGCATCTGCGTACCGATGAATCTCGTCTGCGTCGAGAACGTCGCCGCCCGCATTCAGAGCATTCTCGTCAACGTACTCCTGGACCTCTTCACTTTCGTATGGTGCGTCCTCCTCTCGTGCTTCCTCCTGTGCGCCTTCGTATTCGTCCTGTTCTGGCTCTTGAACCCCTTGCGTATCTCCTTGTGGCTCTTCTCGTGGGCTCTTGGGGACCTGGGTATCGACAGCTTCATTCTCACCCGTGTTTTGATATTCATGCGACGTAGCCTCCTGTTCGCCGGTGTCTTCTCCCTGGGCGGTTTCCTGTACTTCTTGTTCCTGTCTGTGCTCTGTTCCGTCGGCATTATTGTGCGACTGGGCTTCGTGCGTAAAAACAGTTCCTTCTGGTAACCGTTGTCAGATAAAATGAAAGTGACGTGCAAGGTCAACATACCTTCACCACGGTGTTCAGACGCTAGTTCACTCTCATAGGCTTGCTCTTCCTCGACTGCGAGGTCTAACCGGGCGATCTGGTCACGTAGGGCGTTATAACGAGATATGAAGCGGGGCATGACCCGCAGCTCAAGCCGTAAAGGCCCAGTGAGATCAGCACCGTCGTGCAATACGTTGAGGTCATGTAGAGTCACTTCATGTACGTGGACATTATCCTATGGCGGACCCGCATTAGCATCGTGGATCACATCAGTGGACTGAATGCGTACCTCTGATACGATAAGTTGCAGATCATATGCGTCGAGGACGAGCTCGTCACGTTCGAGATCGTACACGTTCTTGATGTGCTCCTCCTGTCGGAGCGCATCGAAGACAACAGAAAGCGCCTCGTAGTAGAGAGTTGGGCGATGATGCAGTAGCAACAGCAGAGCGCGTTCAGCTACGCTGCTCGTAGAGGGACTTTGCGAGCCTGGGCTGCGCACAGGCTGGTTAAACAGACAGCATTCCAAGGGATTCGAGGCCGAGGAGACAGTGAGGAGAACCGCGGGCGGCGGGTCGATGTAAACGCCTTCAGATATCTCATGAGGATCGGCCCCGAGGATGTTCTCGGCAGTCGTGGTCGCGTGCACGCCGAGAGCATTTGCAGGATGCTCCACAGGCGGTTCCTCCACCTCGTACGGGTCTACGGTATGATCATCGGCTTGCTCGGTCGGCAACGACGCAGACGGCAGAGGGGATGGGAGACGGTCAGCTTGCTGAGGGGTCGAAGAGCCATCACCTATGTCCTTGTTCTCAGCACCATCAAATTGCTCTTGGACAACGACATGATGAGAGGCGTCTCCAGCGTCGGCGGTGTTCGCCGTGGCCTGCGTTTCGCGTTGCTCGACCACATCGGCTGCTGCTGACTCCTCCCCGGGTAAGTGTACGCCGGCTCCGTTCATGAGTGCGATTTGCGTCACAACGCTGTCCGGAACCTGTTCGAGGTCTTGGGCAATGGAGCTTGCAGGTTCGTCGGACGGCTGCGCGTCCGACATCGGCGCAGTTGCTGCAGAGCCATATTCGACGGTCTGCGGCAGCATCGGGTGCTCGACGACCTCGCCCAGGCGCACTTCTTGGGCTGAACCTGCGAACGGTCCAAACGATGCCAGAGACAAGCCGCGTTCGTAGGTCGGGTCTACCTCGGAGCGAAAGTGAGGAACAGAGAGCGTAGACACACCGGGCGGTGGTGAGGCCTGGCGTGAGACATCCACGAGGTCGATGTCGACCACTTCCGCGTCGTTATCCCTTCCATACTCCCGCTCGTCCGCCATCTCATACTCGGTGATTTCATCATCGTGGTCCGCCATTTCAATCTCGACGCTCTGATCAGTGTGGTAAGGCTGGAAGCCCGCGTTGGTGCCTTCATCGGCCATGGTCGCCTCGACGGAGAACCAGGGTTCAGACGGCCCGTTTCCGGTGTACATCGGTATGTCTCCATCGCCGGAGTCGAACATCTGAGTGTCAAAAGTGTCCATGAGTGCCGTTGTCGACATAGATAGAGGTAAGAGGAAAATGGCGACGGGAGAAGGTAAGTGTCGAATATTGAGAAGCGAGAGCAAAGCGCGGCACGACGCACACGCGTGTTTAGGGCAGGCCCCATACTGCGCCACAACGGGCCACTTATGCGCCCTACTGACGTCTTACTTATGGCCCTAATTAACACCTCAATTGGTGTACATACTGTACCATAGACATAGACTACAGAACGAGAACGACCGCGACCCATTACTACTTACCTTTCCAGACGTTACTCTTACCAGTACAGCCCCGAACTGGACGACGACCTGGGTGGCGCGTTTCAACGCCCACTACTCACATGCTTGCTTGTAGCGGTTAATAAATGCCGCAGTTCAGAGATCATCATCGTATGCATCATCGTTTGGTGTACTGTGCATCTAGTCTAAAAGAGGAATTGACACGGTTGCTACAACTTAAGATCTTGCCGCAATGTTGGTCGGCACCTATACCACTGCAGCTGCTTCACAGGATGCTCCTTCATGCATCTCCCGCGGCGTCGGACGATACCTCGCAGACGGTGAAGATATATGCTGGGAAGTTGTTTGACTCCATAAATCTCCAGCTACTAGAGAACCGGGTCATAAGCGTTTCTCCGGATTCTGGGCTTGTACTGGACGTCAGCTCTTTCTCGCGTGAGGATCGCATCGCCTGGGATGACCCCCAAGTGGTCGACTTGAGACACGCGACAGTCCTCCCAGGACTTGTCGATGTTCATGTGCATTGTACGTACCATGCCGAGCTGAACGTGGTGAAGGAGACTGACATTGGATCCGTTCATTCGTCTAGTCTTCTTGCATACATACTCCGAGACGAGGTGGGATGATCAAGTCAGCAAGGAAAGCGTGGTAGAGCGTACTATCCGTGCAACTATCCATTCCAAGCGCACATTGATGGCTGGCTACACCGCCGTACGGTAAGCCTTCTGGTTAGCATGCCACTATAGCCACGTAGATAACCTGTGTGCAGAGACTTGGGCACAGAGGGTGCCGGAGATGCAGACATCCATCTGCGCAAATGCATGGCGGGTCCAAATCCCATCATCCCCGGTCCTCGTTACTTCACTGCCAACCGAGCAATCGTCGCGACTGGGTTCTATGGTTAGTCCTAATTGCGGCGGCTCCACCCTTCGCTGCGTTCTCACAGCATGGCACCACTTAGGCCCGAAGAGTACCATACACCTCAACCAGGAAGGCATCGAAGGCATTACCGGTGCTGAGGTTGTTGACGGAGAAGTTGAATGCATGAAGGCCGTGCGCAGGCAAATCGGCGCCGGGGCCGACTGGATCAAGGTGAGTCATTATTTGGTAGGTTAACCCGACAAGCAGCTACTCACAAGCCCCCAGGTCTATGCCGGTATGCCTCATGCACATCCCAATATTTTTCTTTGATCTCAGACAGAGGGACACAGAATATCGCCCCCGAACACGAATTCGCGACGTCTCGTACATCCTGCCATCCATCTCTATCGCCACATTCAACGAGAAGGAACTGGACGCCTTGATCACCACCGCCAACAGGCTCGGAGTCAAAGTCGCAGCGCACTCGTCGCACTGGCGGACCCGCCTCGCCGACAAGCCAAACCTGCCGAGCGGACCAGGTTTCCACTCTATCGAACACGGCGGGGACATCACATTCGACGACGAGACCATCGCCGCCCTCCGCGAGAACTCCACAGATCGCCTCAGCACGTTCTGGGTGCCCACCCTCTCGATATTCTACACGGAGGGCAACAATGGCCAGAGCGAAGTGTGGAAAATGGCCGCGCGGAATTTCGCGAAGGCGCTGCAATACGGGATCGACAACATCGCGTGCGGCGGAGATACTGGTCCATTCCCGCATGGCGACAACTCGCTCGAGATGAAGCTTATGGTGCGCCTCGGTGCCGAGTGGCGCAAGGTGCTGGGCTGGTGTACCTACGGCGGCTGGAAGTGCATCCGCAGTATGCGATGGGAGGGAAAGGAGGGCGCAGCGCGGTTGACTCGAGTCGGCAGCTTACAGGAGGACCAAAGGTTGGTGGGCGACAATGAGGTGCCCTTTGGTGTGATCAGGCGTGGGTTTGCCGCGGACATTATAGCTACAACTGGGGACCTTGCGACGAGCTTCGAGCGTGCTGTGGACAAATCGTCCATAACCTTCGTGATGAAAGGCGGAAAGATCTACAAGAGGGACGGAAAAGGGCTGGTGTAAAGCGCCATGACTATCTCCCTGTAGTACATAGTGTATTCGGTGAATTCATTATAACACTCAAGGTCTCAATTACTTGGGTTGCTACTCAAGCATCGCGCGCATGTCATGATCCCCGCACGTAAGACCCCCTTGTAGCATTCGACGTGACGTATGTGTCAGAAAGTCCTCGCAGCGCACGCAGTGTGGGTGTATCCTGACCATGTCAATTTTCACCTTGCTCATCGACTCGCCGACCCACTTCACATAAGTATGACAACATTCAGCGGCTCAAAGCTTGAATGCATAGTGCACCAATGTCATAATCTGCATATGATGGAACTTCCATGCGACGTACGGTACTAAGTAGACACAAGTAATAGATGCAAGACAGGCAAATGGACAGCACGACCAGAAGGCAGACGAAAAAGCCAGAATGTGTTCATCGCTTCTTGTTCTTCGCGTTGCCATTTGCCTTCGCCTTCGGCTTGGACTTCGCTTTCGGACGCTCGTCCACGTCAGATTCATCGCCATTGACTCTGCGTACGTCGGCTTGCTTCTTGTCCGCTACGATGAAAGTCAGCGCCCGCGTTTGCAAGCTCCAAGAGGAAGCTCTGAACGAACCTCTAGCGGCCTTCTTTTCCAGCTCATCCCAGTCGTCGCCCTCGCTCTCATCCGAGCCGAAATCAGAACCGCTACCCTCGTCGTCGCTAGCGTCAGAGCCGTCTTCAGAATAGGCGCTTTCTTCACCCGCAGAGCTCTCCGACTGTTCATCCTCAGCCTCGAACTCTGACTCTGAGTCTGACATCTCGTCAGCGTCGCTCTCTTCCCTACCTCCCGCACCGCCCAGGAAGCTCCAACCACCCTGCTGGAAGAACTCGTACGGATCTTCGTTGATGGTCTTCATGATAGGACCCCAGTTCAGGTTGACCGGGCCCTCGCTTAGAGGGATGTCAACGGAGCTAGCAAGCGGACAGTCAGTACAGCAGTGCACCACTAGATGAGTGACAGTACGCACTCGAGCCACTGCTTCACGTCATCGAGTTGCGAGCTTGGTATAGAGTTGATGTGCAGAGGTGTTTTGGTGAAGTCCCTGAAGATGAGTACCATATCGAACTGCTTGAGTCCGAATTGGACACGCTCCAAAGATGCAATCTCGATGTCGGCGAGTGTAACGACAAGGAAAGGTGGATCAGAGAGGTGGACAAGGCACTCCGTTGTCGGCTGCAGCCGCACATTCGTACGGAACGGCACACCTTCGAAGGAGAGCTCGCGGAAGGGAATATCCGGTTCGAGTGTATCCCCGGTCTACTCTTCGCGTCAGCGTCATACACAGCGCCACAAGGATCGACGATTGACGTACCGATGCTGTCGCCGCCTCTGCGATCTTCTCCGAGAACGAGCGGAATTCCTTGTTCACCATCTGCCTCCGCTTTCGTTCCTGCTGCTCGAGCTCGAGCTCATCCTCGTCGCCGTAACGGTACTTCCGCTTCCGGTTACCAGTCTCGTCGAACTGCACATCTGACGCCTCCCGGAAGAACTGCACGTCATGAGCCTTCTTCTTACCAATGATGATGGGAGCCTTGAGGTGAATGTGGATGATCACAAGGAGTTCGTGATCGCAAGGCTGGAAGAAGAGATGTTTGACGTTGCTGAAGAGAATGTCTATGACACACGGTCAACATGTCGACGGTATGTCAAGATGGGCTCTATACGTACCAACTTTCTGAGACCCCATCGGCGACTGGTATCTCAGACCGTTCTGATGAATTTCGACCTCACCCGGCAGTCGCTTGCCATCCAGCGCAGGTCGAATGAACACTTCTGGCAGCTTCGTGGGTCGACGGCCTTTCATCTCGACGAGAGACTCCTGCTCAATGACGTCGGCCATTTCCTTCTTCTGCTGCTCGCGCTTGTTGACCTCCTTCTTGAGGTCGGTGATCTGCTTTGAAAGCGTATCGAAACGGTGTCCATCTGCGGACCGATACGTGACAGAACGAATGAAGGTGGCGTCCGGGTCCTCGAACGGCTGCAAGAAGTCAACAAATGAGGCTTGAAGAAAGCGCACGCTGCACTCACTGTATCTTCCTTCTTTCCCGCGAGCTGACCTGGTGTCTGGAAGTTCACCCGCAAATAGGTGAAGTCACCTTCCTCGTTCTTGCTGACGTTCTTGATAGTATTGATGTGGAACGGCACAGCAAATCCGTGGATAGGGAGAATGATGGTCTGCGCTTTCCGGTCCACAAAGATCTAGCTCGACGTGAGCTTAGCTCAAGCTGAAGCTTGACAAAACGTACCCGTAGGCTTTCTGCCTCCTTCGGCAGAGCCGCCTCGCCCTTGTAACTTTGAAAGCGCTTCCATCCTTTACCCTCATTACGTCCAGTTCCTCCGCCACCCTCCGAATACTTCGTCAAACCATCCCCCTGCAGACGCTGATGTAGTTCCCTCTGGTGCTCTGCAATCTTTGCAGCAGCGGTTTGGATAGCCTCCTCCTGCGCTGCCCCTCGTGTCTTGTTACGGAGTACCTTTCCGCCGGCCATCTTGTTCTTCGCCGGAGACGCGTTCCCGTTCGCCTTCGTGGCAGGGGCCTTCTTCTTTGCCGGCGCAGGCGCAGACTTGACGTCATCCTCGTCGTCTTGGTTGAGGAAGAACATAGTGTCCTTGATTGACTTGACGCCAGATGTCAGACAGATCGCCTTCTCGTTGGAGACCTGGACGGTATCAACGAGCTGCAAAGCGTACCTAGGTCGAGCGTAAGCCACGCGCTCTTGCATAGTCATTGATACCTACTTTTTGCCATCGTGCTCAAGGTCAGTGAAGCCCAGCACGAGATTGAAAACCATGCCGGCGTGCAGTTTGCGTGTGTTTTTGGCGGAAAGCATATACTGCGAATCACGAAACTCCATACCGATCTACAGTGCATGCAATTGTCAATTCTTGACTCGACCGCAACCGTATTGACGTACCCCATGCCCCACATTCTTCGCAAAGTGCCTTTCCAACTCAGGTTTCTTATCACGAACATACTGCAACGCATGCTGATACACCTCACGTCCAACAACACCGTCCTTGAGCTTGCCCAGCATCTCAGATTGCAATGAGAGCAAAAGGGCGTAGATTGATTCTTGTTCCTGTGGCACTGTCAGCACATCCTTGTTCCAAGCATACGTGGGTCAAGTCACCTTCGAGGGGTCTACGATGAAGCTCCGGCCAACGTTAGCACAGTAGTTCCTGTAACGCATGCCGAGGCTCATCAGGAACACGCCCTTGTGCGCGATGTCGTCCGAAGATGAATCCGCGGCTGGGCTAAGGTCATAGCCACTGCTCGTTGTCTGTGACTGGATGATAGGGGTGTAGCAGAACTCTGTTGAAGCCCAGTCTACGTCGGTAAGCCCCTTGCCCTTGCTCCATACTTTGGTGTCTGGTCCTTTGGCGTTGTCACCCTCGCCATAGCCCAACCGTGTCTCGATCAGTTGAGCGAACGCCTCATGACTGATCTTAGACTCCTTGTCCAGGATAGTCTCGAGCTTCGTGACTGCGTAATATGTCAACAACGTCGACGTGAGGTTGGCTGCAGTTCGCACGACTTTCTGCTCGGCATGTCAGAGAGTGTATACTTAAACGTGGGGGGTGCGACTCACTAGCTCGTCATCATCCTTGACCGCGAGGAAGGAAGACACGGCGGGCGCAATTTCAGCAAGCGCCGGTTTCTTATCCGCTGCATCTAGTGCCTTCGTCCATTGGTCTATCAACTTCCCAGACCGCGCCTCCTTCGTCAACGTGCCGACGCGCGTGTTGGATATGTAAGCCTCAAGGAAGCGCGACAGGGCGTCCGTAGGGGGGTCCTTCGCTTTTGCTTGCACGAAGATGTCTATGGCTACCGGAGCGCCAGAGTTTTTGAGTTGGGACAAGATCTTAGCTGTAACATCGCAAGCATGAGGGGAACATGTCGAAGTGACAGGATTTGCACAGGTACCTTTGGACGCCGAACAAAGTATACAAATCCGGTCTTTGAAGAAGAGCATGAACGTCGAGGGGAATTCGTAACCCAAGAACCAAGTCTATACGGCTTGAGCCTCAATACCGTCCAACTGATGTCTCAGTGAGGACGCACCTGGAACGCAACACCCTTCCGAATCGGCTCATCCTCCGGGTTAGGATCGCCCGCAGGTAAAAATATAGCGTCCACGTCTGCTAGTGTGCTGTAGTCGCTCTCATTGCTTGCATTCTGCCGGTGATAAGTAAGCCATCGTCCTGAAATTGGAGGCGACCTGCGCACACACATTCCACGCGTCGAGGACTTGTTTGAGGCGTCGGTTGAACACAGGCGCATTCAGCTGCACAGCCATGACTCGCCTGGCTAAAACACGGTCGGTTGAGAGCGTAGATAGAGAAGGGAGGTGGCGGTTGGAGGTAGGGGAACGCGTCCTGTGGCCACCAGTAGACACGGTCGCGGCGGAGTTTCAATAGCGCGTCGATGTCACCCGCGCAAAGAGTCACACACGGCGTAGCCGCGTGACCCACCGCGGACCAGTGTGACGTCCCGAACTGAGAGCGTGACATGACCCTTACCTGCAACCATGAGCGCCAACCCTACTTCCCCGCTGTTCGGCCACGACAACTGCGCAGCTAATACGTAGGTCTTTATTCGACGACGACGACGACGCGCTCGTTGAAGGTCCACAGCCATGGTCTTGTCTGACTACCTCGTCACCGACGACCTCACTATCATCTTGGGTCTGGTCGCTGCCTGCTTGTTTCTCCTCCACAACCTCTACAAGCCCCAGTCTCTCGTGCATCCCATTCTCCTTGGTCGTCAGAGCGATGCCGCACGCGTCAGGCATCCTGGAGAGAGCGCCGTCTATCGAAACTACAGTACTGGAATGCTCGGGCGTGTAAGCAGGCGTTCGTTCTCGTAGCTTCAATGTGAATGTAACATCCCGGACATCGCAGTTCCCCGTGAGGCCTGGCAAAGATGAGCAAGTGCTCCTGGACCTCGTAAAGCCTGGCTCAGATGCGCCGCGGACGCTCTGGTCAACCAAAGTGCGTGACATGCGTTGTAAATTGTTACATGTCCGTCTCAAGCTGCGCGGCGCCAGATTACGAACCCAGAGCTGAGAGACCGGGCTGCGGCGTTCGGTACCGGGCTCATTTCGGCTGCCAAACTGGTCCCACAGGAGTCAAACGTCCTCTTGTTGCTGAACGATGGCATTGGTGCGTTACTCTACTTGTCCTATGTAGGCCCTTCCGTGTGCGAGCGCCTGTGGGCAGAGTACGTGTCCCGCCTGGCGTCAAATCCGGCGGCTTTGCCCGTTGTAAGGCCCCAATGCTTGAGGGAACTGTATGCGTTGTTATGTCCCAGCTGTTTCCAAACCAATGGGCACCTGCGTGCAGCCTCTGGAACTGCGCAGAGGCGGAGGCGGGGTTTCCAATGAGGTCGTACCTTAAAAGGCAGCGCCGGGGGCGAGCCCGTCTCAGCGAGACCCTAAGCGCGTGGCTGAGGTCGAATGGCAGAGGCTGCAGATCATCAGAACTCAGGACCAGACCGCATCCGCCTATGTGTATTCAGTCGAGGAGGATGCAGACGTATCGTTTCACCGTAGTGAAGCCAAGCGATCTCTCGCAACTGCAAACTAGCGGCGGGTGAATCTCGCTGAGTCGAATGTCGTATGGCAGGTACCGGTGCGCTGGATACGAGTTTACAGCACGGTACCTGGCAAATGCACGCCTCGATTGAGTCGGGGTCTACTGCGCTTGTTCGGGGCAAGGGAACTATTTCGCGCGGGAAGTCCGTCCATTGGGAACCTTCATTTTCATCGCTCCTTGCACACGTACGCGCACGAGGGCCGTGGCTTGCCATAGTGGATGATATCAATGCTGATGCAATATAGAGTTCCTCATCACCGACCTGGCGTTGGCTTCATATTCAATCCCGTCATTCGTGGTGTCCTCACTGTCGCTGCTGTCACCTGTCCTGGAGAACCACCCACCCTCAGTGGTTGTGACGGATGTAACATTGCTGCCACATTTGCTGGAGACACTGTACGACTCTCACGACAGTGCTCATCCTACCATCGTCGTGGTCGGCGAAGTGGATGCCAAGAACCTCCGCTCGGCTCAGCATGTCCAGCTACTGAATTGGGAGGACGTCCAGAGTGTTGGCTCTGCACAAGCGAAGTTGCCATTCGCGACTCAAAGTAAGTCATCGTCGCTTAAATGGATCGCGGCTGACCTCAATGATTCATCGTAGACCCACGAGATGTCGTCACGGTTGCATTCCACGCCAATGCACTTGGAGAACTTGAGGGCACACAACTTACACACGAAAATCTGACTGCAGGTGTGGCAGCGACGCGCAATCTGCTACCTCTGTCCAGTGCGATCTCATCGCTCGACACTATTATCTCCGCATTCTCTCTGTCTACACCGTACGGCCGCGCTGTCGCGTACACTGCTATCTACGAGGGCACTAGCTTTGCCACTCTAGACAGCACGCGACTCATTACAGGCCCACGTACGTTCCGGGATGTATCATGAGGGACGGGATACTGACTATGATATCTAGCGACCACACCCCTTGACGCGCCGTACTCACCCGCCAGTCTGCTGGCCGACCTGCGCTCTGTAACGAACTACCCGATCCCGTCGCCTACTGTCTTGTTCGTGACGCCCGCGCACCTGAACGCACTTTCCTCTGCCGTGATTGAACAAGCGCGCAAGTCGTCGTTCCTGTACTCCTTCGCATGGCGCCACAAGTATGCGTCGCTGCTCGAAGGGTTTTTGACGCGCCAGAGCCTCTGGGACCGCCTTGTGTTCGATGCGGCGCGTGTCAAGGTGCTCGGGAAAATAGCGGGGACCATCCGCGCTGCGGTCAGTGCTGGAGGTAGGTCTTCACGTCTACGTGTCCGCCCTGGTGGCTCACATGAGAGCAGGCCCCATTGAGTCGCAGTCACTTGTCCCCATGCGCATCGCGCTCTCCGTACCGATCGTCAACGCGCACGTCCACCCACTCGTCGCCGGCCCCGTCTTTGCGTCCCACCCGCTCGACCTGCAGACGTTCCCGGCGCAAGAGGCGGAGACAAAGGCCTCCGCAGCGGACTCTTTCGCGTTCACGTACCTCGCCGCGGTCGGCCCTCCCTCCGTGAACGTTGAGGTGAAGCTGCTCGGCGTTGACGACTCGGCCATCGAGAACGGCGGAGACCCCTTGGGGGCGCTGCATATCCGCGGCCCGAGTGTGGGCAAGCTGGTGCGCCGCCAAGATGCTGAAGTTGTTGAGGAAGGCGATTGGTGGGTGCCTATCGGCCAGAGGGCGAGAGTGGTGCCCAATGGCACGTTCAAAGTGGTCGCGATGACCTTGAAGTAGGTGCGCTCATCTCGATGACATACTGTATCGACCTGTATCGGCTTCCTTGTATGTAGTAAGTACAAACCCTCTGAAAGCTGTTAGATCGTGATTCTTGCGGGACGATATATCTCAATGCTACATAGTTTCACGCTGTGTGGATCTGCTGTTTAGATGAGAGCATCTCTTTTTGGTCAGCAACGGAGACTAGTTTAGATCCCATGTCATGTCCGGCCAATGTCCGGCGCTGCAAACAGCAGTCAACCGAAGCTTGTGATTTAGAGTATCAGATGCAATCGGGCATGTACAACGACTCGGAGGTTCCACTACTACTAGCCTCTAGATAACTTAGTAGTACATACCAGCCTCCTTCAAGTTCAGCTTGTGTCAGTCTTCTTGCCATCATGAGCTCCGATACGTTCCCCGTACAAACGGAAGCAGACGTGCAAGCCATACCAACTATCTTCGACGCGAAGACTTGCACACGCAAAGGTCTCTGCCCCGTAACTCGCATCAAGAACGAGAACGACCCGCTCGAGAGCCATTCACTGTACTTCGAGCAGCATGGCTCGGGTCCGGAGAAGATTGTGCTCATTATGGGGTGAGCGATTTCGTTAATTGGGCCATGAAATGGCCAAAGCTAAGCTGCGGTACAGGCTGAATAGCACGTCATTCGCATGGTTCCCTCAGGTGGACTACTTCAGCAAGAAGCCGGAGTGTTCGGTGCTGGTGTTTGACAACAGAGGAGTAGGCAACAGCGGTGCTCCTATGGGGCCATACACGTATGTTTGCGGCATGCACATGAGGTCTGAATGGCGAGACAGTGAACCGGGATTTATGCAGGACGAGTGCCATGGCAGACGATGTCGTCACGCTGCTAGACTACGTCGGGTGGACAGCGAAGCGGGACCTGCATGTCGTTGGGATCTCTCTTGGAGGGATGATTGCTCTAGGTACGTCCTTCGCACCTGTGCATGCGGACGACATTAAATAGGAAACTCAGAGCTGGCTACTAAGATTCCGGAACGCATCGTCTCCCTTACGCTTGCAGTCACCAGAGCAAAGCGCACCTTGCGTTCCGCATTTCCCTCGGTGAGCTGGATGTCGGACTCCGATGGCACGTAGACGAGCTGAAGTAGGACAGATAAAAGGTTTCACCTCCTTGGCAAGGTAAGCCGTTACGCAAGTGCCCTTCCACGCAACTCATGGAATACTCTGTCCTTTACAGACTCCTCGTGATCACCGACCCCGAAGCGAAAATCCCAATGGTGCTTGACATGCTATTCCCAAGGCACTGGCTGGACGCAAAAGCTGCGGAGGACCCTGAAAGTCGTACGAACCGCGAGCTACAAGTCATCGTGAGTCACCCTTTCGAGGTCATATCTCACCTCCTCAGTTAGCGTGCGTATCCAGGAGTACCGCCAGAGATTCGAAGTCACCCGCCCTCAGAAGCCCGTCGGTGCGCTCTCTCAGATGGCAGCGGCCATGACCCACAATGTCTCGCCCGAGCGACTGCACAAGATCTCCGAGTCGATACCGAAGGTGCTGATCGTCACGGGGGACCAGGACAACCTCGTCCCTCCAAGCAATAGTCATTATATGAAGGAGCACATGCCAGAGGCGGAACTTGTTCAATGGGAGGGCGTTGGCCATGCTATCCAGGTGCAGTGTAAGAACAGATTCAACGCACTGCTTGAGCAAATCATGAAGGAGGGACGGGACAGATTGGCGGCCAAGTCAGGATTGTAGCCCATGTACCATGCAGTGTATGTATGCCCAACCTGGGTTACTCCCCATGATAGAGAATTCGAGCACGCTACATGTGCACGTACCACACGACAGCACAGTCCGACATAGGGCTCGGCCCTACAGTGGACTAAAACCATCACGGAGACGAGAGGAAAAGACCTAGATTAAATCCCTACATTTCCTACGCAACCCGTCTGCGATAAGCATTTACTGAACGGGAGGCCAAAGACAAACCGGAAAAGGTGCCTTAAAGCAGCGGCGTCATGCAACAAGAGTAACCGGCCAGATGTATGCGAGCGGTAGCAACTGAAAAGTAGAAATAAGACGTCAGCACGCACCATACAGTATAGTCGCAACAGTACGCACGAGTGAACCATGCCCCACTACATCACTTTTCCCGAGCCATCTCCTTCAACTCCATCCCAACCTCCTTTGGGAACCGTCTGAAGTGCGCCATCTTCAGCTCGGGCTCTATCCGAATATTTGACGGGTAGCTCTCTCCCGCATCAGCCCTCCGTTTCATGAGGAGTTCAATGAGCGTCGGCTGCTTGATGTCCGAACGCACGGGCTCAGGTAAGGTGCGCTGAAGCGGGATGCCTTGCTGCGCCAGCTGGCTCTTGGGGATGACTTTCACTAGGCGAGGTAATGAAGGACGCATCGCTAAGGATAGGAGCTCATAAATCTTGTCCACAACACTGACAATGAGAGTCTCACTTACTGTCTGACCCTCACCCGCGAGCAGGTCGTAAGAGAGGAAGGTAGCGATGTCACACCAGAAATCCGAGCGTGACGCCACGCGCCAGAGCGATCATCGCGTCACACCGCGTCGTCACGCGTCGCGGGGACGCGCCGTGGGCGTCTCAGGCTTTCACTTCCTCACCAAGTCCGTCGGCGACTGCAGCATGCCTCCGAGACAGCCTGCGAAACAATCAGGAAGTACTGGGCGGAAGAGGAAGTTAGGGAGCGCTGGCACAGATGTCCCAGATGCTGATAATAACGGAAGTACTACCGCGAAGAAGCCGCGGACGAACAAGGGGTCCAAGGCGAAACAAAGAGAGCCGGTCAACTGGCCGGAATACTTCGACTCTGTAGGTTGCGACAGAAGTACTTGATGCCGATAGTGACTGATAGTCGCGTAGCTCTTCAAGGTCAGTGGGCCTTGCGCCGGTAGACAATCGACACATATTCACTGTATACACTGCGGCACCTAGATATTCAAGGCAAGTGACGTCGCGACCTCATTCATCGAGTTGTTCTGATCTGTCAGCTCATAGGCATTGAACACTGTTCTTGCGTTCTGCGCTTCCAGAAAGAACTTCGCAATCACTTTCCCGGTCGTCCGCCAGTCCGTCGAAGGGTTGCTGAAACAGTGGGTTTCGTCTCGGTTCCCGATCGGCGTGTTCACAGTATTCTAGACCATTAGATCTCTCTAAGGTTGCAGAATTAAAGTGAGTATAAGAAACAAGCCGCCATGTGTCTGGAATGTTCACCGAGTCCAGAGCTCTTCTGCCCGACACGGTCAACTTTGCCTACATTCCTAAGGCGGAACTTCGCATCCATGCCGAGTCTCAGGATACGTCGAAGCGGCGCGAGAACTCACCCGACTACGCTGCATTTGGCTCTCAGGGTGCCTCCAATTCGAGTGTGGGTGCTGCAGCTGATGACGACGAGCATGTTCTCGTACTCGACCTCCAGGAGAACTCAAGAGGGAAGAAAAGCTCTAACCCAGGGTAAGCCTGGCTTGCTGGTCTTGACTATGACTCCGGTTTGGACCATTGTTTCAGGTTTGCGCATGGGCTTCCTCCTGCGTTGACGCCAGAGGCCACTAAGAAACTCATCAACAAGAGAAATGAGCGCTTCATACAAGCTGTAAACGAGTGAGATATTCAGCCCTTCATCTCTAGTCGTGTCACTCACTATTGTATACAGGTTGCTTGAGGCAACGTCTAAGCACGATGACCCTGTTACGCTACTACAGGCTGCTGCACGAGATCACATTCCTATTGACCCGTCCTCGAGATCTTTCAACAAATTATCACAATCCGACTCGAAAGGAAACCAGCGTATCGTGCCAGACCCTGCAGATCGGCCAGCCGTCGATGCCGTCATCGAAGAGATAGAAGAGCAGGAATGGTACCAGGACCAGATTGTCGACAAACGAATCGTCGAAGCCAAGGACGGCCATATCGGTACGTCTCTCGGCACTATATTTCTGTGACACGAGTCTGTATCTGTGGCAGAGGAAATCGACCCTCCCCTGTCCGAGACCATTGCGCAAGCTCTGCGAGATTCAAGGAAGATCACCTCCTTGTACACGCACCAGGTCGCTGCAATCAGGGCATTGTCGCAAGGCAAACACGTCATAGTCTCCACGAGCACAGCGTCAGGGAAGAGCGTCATTTATCAGGTACGTGCCATAGACAATCGAGCAGACAAACGACTGAATCGGCTCAGGTTCCTGTACTGCGTTTCCTCGAGGAAGACCCGGCCTCCACGGCTATGTTCATATACCCGACAAAGGTCAGGAGTGAGATATCCCTGAGCAAATAATTGACTGACAGTATCAATCAGGCACTAGCCCAAGATCAAAGGCTTGCGCTTGAGCAGCTGCTATATACGTGCCCAGGTCTGGAACATATCAAGGTGTACAACTATGATGGTGATACACCACAAGAGCTCAGAGCGGGTATGTGCTTCGCCACGGATATCCCAAAGACTACTCATACTGTCTCCAGGAATACGCGAGTCTGCCTCCGTGATTTTCACCAACTTCGTGAGCACAGATATCGAGCAATGCATACAGAGGCCTAAAGTGAGATAAATCTAGGATATGCTACACGCTTCCATACTCCCTCACGAGGATCTCTGGCGAAGGTGCGCAGATTGGTACACCTTTTTGACAGGAAAGTTTCAGTGTAGCGTTGTAGATTCCTCAAAAACCTGAAACTCGTCGCTGTTGATGAGCTTCATTATTACTCGAATATCTTCGGCAGGTGCGTGAACGGTATCGCGATAACCTGTGAGACATATATGAATGACTCTGTAGTCACGTCGCCCAAGTCATGCGCAGATTCCGCAGAGTATGCGCAGCTGTCGGTAGTATGTCGTTCGTGTGTTACCTGCAAGCTATGCATTTCTCATCGAACGGGGCGTTATAGATAGGAGGACTCGTTTCGTGTCTTGCAGTGCAACTATCGCAAAACCTAAGCAACATATGCAGAGCATCTTTGGCATCGAGGTGCGCGCTCCGTTTCTATGGAATGCCTAAGATTGACGATGTTGTCAGGACGTTGAAGAGGTCACGGAAGATGGTGCACCATCCGGTCGTAAAGACTACCTGGTCTGGAATCCTCCACTCATAGACCCAATGGACGAGACGTCTGGTCGCCGCGGTTCACTAACAGAGGCAACCCGCTTGATGAGATTCCTCATGGCGCGTGGCATCCGTGTCATACTATTTTGCAAGGTGCGTGAAACGGAATCTTTCATGCGCTCATGATGAACATTGCCATGCGCAGATCCGGAAGTCTTGCGAATTAGTGAGCAGAAGTCTCATCAGTCAATGCTTATTCGTACTCAGTGCGCTCGTAGGCGATGAAAGCTTTGCGCTCTGAACTCGCAGCGGATGGCCGACAAGACATTCTGGATCGTGTGATGGCGTATCGCGGAGGTATGTGCACAGAGGCTTTCTACAGTTCACTGCTCAGGTGTACCTTGTTACAGGCTATTCCCAACATGTGCGTAGTACAGATAAAATCGATACTATATGCTCACCGTCTCTATAGGACCGGCGCAAGATCGAAGCAGAGGCCTTTTCCGGCAATCTACTCGGAATTGTCGCCACCAATGCCCTGGAATTGGGTGTTGACATCGGTGTCTTGGATGCTGTCATCATGCTTGGCTTTCCAATGGGCGGCCTAGCCAGCTTCGTGAGTACCAATGTCTTCCATGTCTCAAGATGTGTACTCATATCGGGAACAGCGTCAGCAAGCAGGTAGAGCCGGGCGACGAGCTCGTGATGCTCTGGCTGTCTTTGTTGCAGACCAGTTCCCTATCGACCAGCACTATGTCAAGAACCCCTCAGAGCTCTTCGATAAGCCCATGAACGACCTCGTCATTGACCTAGACAGCAAGGTCATGCTGGAGGCGCACCTACAGTGCGCAGCACATGAGATGCCCCTGATGGATGACGATGCAGTCTACTTTGGCCCGCACATGAAGGAGATTTGCGACACACGCTTGACCCAGGACAAGGACGGATGGTGTGTATTCTTCGAAACATCCGGACTGGCTGTACAGCTAACTGAGTGTTACGCGGCGGAGGTATCATACACACCCGAAGTTCCTACCATTCCCGGCCAAGCACATCTCTCTTCGGGGTGGAGAAGAAGAGAAGTACAGCGTCATCGACATAACCAGAGTAGGCAAACCCGGAGGTTACCCTCAAATCCTCGAAGAAGTCGAGGTTTCGAGAGCTCTCTTCGAGCTCTATGAAGGCGGAGTAGTGAGTTGCCCCGCCCGTGTTTCGGTTCGTCTCTAACCCAGTTTCCAGTTCATACATCAAGGATTGACCTTCATCGTATGCATGAGATCGACAACATTCTCAAAGCAATACTGACGATGTGCTTCAGGTGAAAGAGATCAGCCATGATTCGAAGATCGCTAAGCTCCTGCGTTCAGATGTCAACTGGATAACCGAACCAAGGTGAGTACATTGGCTGCATCGTTAGCACCCGTGTTCACACTATGCGAAGGGATTTCACGAATACCGACGCAGCTCAGACGTATCGCATTCGGGAAATCAAGGATTCGCCATGGCGTGCATATTACGGTCGTACGTAGAGTTCTCATTCACTCATTTCCCTCCTCACCTGTTGTACAGGTGTCGAGCTAAAGACCGTCGTCTATGGTGAGATATTTCCCAGTCTGCCCATGTGTGTTGCTCATCTTTCTTCACTTCAGGTTACTTCAAGATCAGGTCGGCTTTGCAACTTCATATCCTTGTCCCCAGTCTCTAACCTCAGAACAGAAACAAGGCTATCATCGACGCCGTTGACCTGGACACACCGCCTTATGAGCGCGAGAGCACGGGGATGTGGATGGACGTGCCAAGACCGACTCTGGAACTTATGAAAAACTCCGGCATCAATGCTGCGGAAGCTATCCACGCAGCAGAGCATGCTTTCATGAATCGATTTGCGCTAGCAGCAGACCTCAAAACTGAGTGTAAGGTCGCTGAAAAGGAATACAAGGCAACTACGTCGCAGAGAAAGCGTCCAGCTCGGTGAGTGGGACGGGACGCGCATGCCGGAAACCCTCCACTGACGGTATGTGGACTTGGTGTGGACCACCAAGCTTGATCTTCTACGACCCGACTGGTACAAACGGAGGCGTCGCCGTGAAGGCGTTCGACCACGGTATGTGGCTAGTATTGCAGCATACGCCCCAGTCTTCTCACTTGATTGGCAGTATCGGATCTCCTGCAACGGGCCCTAGACACCGTGGAATCCTGTCCCTGCCAGGAAGGCTGCGCAGCTTGTGAGCAAATTCACCATCACAATACCACGCGTGTCCTGACAATGATTACGACCCCCATAGGCATCGACAGCCCAACTTGTAAAGAAGGGAACTTGGTATCGTCGAAGACGGGTGCTTTGGTTGTTCTGAAGGCCATTCTCGGACGCCCCATCGACGTGGACCTCATACCAGAGTATCCCGAGCCTATTGCTGCGACCCAGGATACTATCATTCCAGCGGTGACAGTCCGTGCAGCGGAGGACATCGAGGTAGAGAAAGCTTGATCCGCATACTTTCGCGTGCATGTATCATATTCAAACGTCACGATGATATACTATGATGAAGCCTAGGCTAATGGATCGAAGTCTCCCCAGTCGTCCTTCGTGAGTTGTTTCTGCGTGCCATTGCTTGACCAAGACGGTTGCGCAGGTCGTGATGGTACAAGCGGGGCGCTCATGCTCGGGGGTGACGCGAATAGGGGAGGTGTCGACATTGTCATGGGCGGTGCGCCCATCGAGGTCAGAGGCAGGGTCGACATAGACGTCAGCGGCGGCGTCGCGGTAAGAGAGATGTTGTAGTTCGGGGCGGACACCTGACTAGGCGTGAACGACAGTGCTGTGGGTTGCATAGGTGCAGATCCTGATAGAGATGTCCTATGTTGTGCTGGGGCCGACATAGGTGACGAATCGAACGGTGTAGCGTTGAAGGCAGAAGAGGATATTGGTTTCGCGCCAAGACCACGGCTCTGCCTGTTGAGGGTGCCCCTTGCGGAGTTTATGCGCGTCGTCGACGGTCTCGGAGAAGAAGGTAGAGATTGAGCTTGTGAAGGCTGCGATGGCTGCGTTGCAGCCGGTGGTGGCGACATAGTAGGCGAGAAACCGGGACTCTGTATGTCTGGGGTCTATTGAGAAGATGAGCGAGAGATACACAAGGATGGAGACCGCATGCTCACCGCCGGGTTCTCAGTGAAGATACTTCCCCAGACATCATCCTCCCAATTCTTGGACGAGTCAATGAAGGTATCGGCCTTGACAGTTGCCACAGAGCCATTGCTTAAAGCAGTTCCATTGCTCACGAGGCTTTCGAAATCGACCGAACCGCCCAACGACGGTGCACTCGTGCCATTGGCAGCTGCAGAGGACTTGTCCTCGATGCGTTGAGAGTCGCGCAGATACTGGTCGTGTTCTCGTTCGACGCGGTCGCCGAGCTTGCGGATAACTTCCATGAACCGCTTGAACTGTGAGACCGTCAGGACTGGAATAAAGTCGATCAGTTATTGCTTATTGAACGATCAAGTATGATACGCACGAGGACCCATGGACATAGCCCATAGTTGTGGTAGTACTAATGTGGCAACGGCCTCGCGGTCAACTTTCATGCCCGTAGCCTCTTGCACGGCCAACGTTGCCATCTACGTTTGACTATCAGCGCTGTGCCCAACATATCCCCAGAGTGAGCTTACGGTGACGGCAGGTTCCTTTGTCCTGATCTTCGACAGAAGGGGGACTAGCTTTTGCGTTAGGCTCGTCTGGATGTACGTCAGCATCCGCAGACAGGCCCGCGCAATCTGGCTCACCTGGTCCAGTGTCTTGACCATCGCAAGGAATGTGTGCAACGTAGCGACTTTGACGGATAGGATCCGAGTCTTGGTGAAGACGAGCTGCAAGAACTACTCAGGGCCAGGAGCTGCGGGCAGAGACGCTGGCACGTACAGCGACACGAGGGAAGAGGACCCCTTGAACTTCTGCATAGTCTATAGAATCGCACAAGTCCGGCACGCATCTCAGTGCACGTTCTTGCACCTATTGTGGATCAGCTTCGGTCCTCTACAACGCGAAATATACTGACAACAGCGTGCTCGGAGTCAAGTGCGTTATAGACAAGCGGCAAGACGTCTGAGCGACGATCCAGTATCAGCCCCAATCGAGCCGGTCAACTTCAGATGGCTACTTACGCTCGCGAAAGACGGGTTTCTCCGTCTTCTCTTGAAGCATTTGGAGATTGTCCAGCAACGTCAGCATGTTTGCAGGAGGCTCCTTCAGTACGAATAGTGGTTTCAGGCCCGGAAGCACGAGCGTGGCGAACTGGCTTGATGATAGGATCTGGGAGATGGCGAATATATTAGGCAATATATACGGTAGCAGCTGTGTGTCTTTCATCTGTGAGAGGCTCAATCAGCTTGAGCCTCGTAAGACGGAACGAACGCACCTCCTCGAGTAGTGATGGCAGGATCTTGCGTATTCGAAGACCTTCAGAGAACTTATCGAGGACACCCATGAGACCCTTCATGAAGGATATCTTCTCTTCCCGTGTCTTTGCCGCGAAGTTCGACCGGTCGAGGAAGTTGAGCGTCGAGATGGGCAATGAGGAAAAGAATGCGTGGGTAGGGAGGGACCCGGGTGATGGTCTGTTTTGTGGATGTCGTCCGATGAGCGCACCAAGTAATGCTGTCTCGGATAATAAGAAATGGAATCAAGGAGTCAATCAAAGGCTGCGTACTTCGCAAGTCAGGGTCTAGGCGCTCCATGCCAGTCAAGGGCTTGCCAGCGTTTTCGCGGAGAGAACTGATACTGCCGTGATTCTTGAAGGGCGGGTTACCCTTGCAGTGCACCGCATACATCAAGCAGCCTAGCGAGTACATGTCCGACGCAGGGTCCAGGACCTCGTCCAAGGCGTATTCAGGTGCTATGAACAGGTCAGAGATACACTGGTACGCAGTACAGCTGAGATACGCACCCATGTAGTCGAATGAGCGCTGCGTATAAGGAGACACCCGTCCGTCAAAGGTCGGGAACTCCCAACGTGTGGAACCGCCACCTGGAGCGGATAGTGCGATCGTCAGCCCGAGGCCAGATATCTTCCAGTCTCCCTGGGATCGACGTTAGGAATGAGCAGCAAGTGATTATTGCAGGACTCACAGCGCTGTTAATGAGGACAATCTCCGGAGTTAGGTTCGTGTGAATGGTACGAGCAGAGGTATGCAGGAACGAGAGACCCTTGCAGACTTGCAGTATACCCTTCTGGATCTACAACTGGGTTGGCACACGAGACGTCCGTTCGGCCAATTTGAACAACACGTACCTCGATTTCATCCAATTCAACAAGAGGGGTATACTGGAAAGAGCCTGGTATCGATAGGTGAAGAGACGAAATCACTGGCTCGGTCGCGAAGATGAGTTCGTTCCGGGTCTCTTCCAGCGGCTCGACCATCTCTACGCACATGGGTAGCAAGTGAGAACGGAAGTTTATGGAAAATGGACTAGTAACACACCGAGAATACATGGGTGCCGCAGTCGGGAAAGAGCAGACGCCTTTTAATCACAAATTTGAGCTGTTGCGTACCGCGACATCAGTGTTCAGCGACACACCTCCGCTTTCAGCACCTCAATCGTCCGTTCTCTCGATGCAGGACCCATCCGGTCCATCTCCTGACTCCGCTTGTCCGCACTCCAGACAGAAACGCGCTTTCCTGTAGTCTTGTGGGTCGCAGATTGCACCCGCCATGGGCCGACATTGAACGGAGGCGCATGTGCAGCCGCAGTGGGCAAAGCAGACGTCGAGGGGCCGGACGGACCTGGAGTCGACGACCGGCTTCCATTTAGAGAGGGTCCGCCGATGTTATACGACTGCGAGATGTTCGTGCGAGCAAAGAAGGATGTCGCTGCAGCAAGCATGTTTGACTGCCTTCCTGTTCAAACTCTACGAGGTGATGTCCGCGACCCGCGCTGTAGGTACCACAAAGGGTCAAGCGGTTGTAAGGCTAGACAAGTGTATATAGCGAGCAGGAGGTGTCGGCAGCGATGCCTGCGGATTGCTGCGACACAGTCCCAAGGTTCTTAGCAGTAGTGTCGGGCACCGAGCCTCACAGGCCTGACAACTACGTGTGGATGTCAGCTTCAGCAGCGCCCAAACAAGCGCCCGTTGGACATTCATGTCGTACTCTCCGCCAACTCATTCTTAGGTACTTAGACAATCCGTATGGGCTTAAGTATGGCAATGGGATCAATACTCTCCAACGACGATACATGCGTATATCTCCCAGGAAATAGCCCGAGACTGCGGCGGATGCTGTGCCATCAGTGCGAATGAGTATGTACGTGACAAGCTCGCGGCGAAGAATTCGAACTCGGGAGAGACTCCGGGATCGAAGTCATGGCCCATGTAAGTATAGCACACAGGAAGACGTGATTCATTTCCGAGTAGGATGATATGCTTCATAAGATAGATATGCGGCTCTTCCTAGACCAAGTCGATGGCCAATGAATGAGTATCGTTATGTCTGACTATATCGACTAGTTCGCCGAAACGGGGAGCATAATGTCCCTCCCAGAGCGCCGGCGAGCGAATTGGCGTAGCGATCCTCAATTCCGAGAGTCTTGTGCCGCCCCGCAAGCGATCCTCCACGCAGCCATACAGGGCTCGCAGCATCTGTTCGACGTCCTCCTCGGCTCCTCTGTCGCACCTTACGGCGAAGGTCTTGAGCTCTGGGCAAACAGGCGACTGGCTTGTTGATGATCGCATGGCGACGAAGAACGCCTCGGGTACCGGAAAGTTGGACGCAATGCGCAGCTCGAGAAGACGCGGAAACGACGCGAGCAACCGATCCCACTGTTCGCGGCCCACCAGATTCGTGCCGCCGCTCATGACGGTGAGTGAGGCCAAAGACTGGTGGAAGATGAGAGGCAACTCGGCGAGCGCGTTCGGCAGAAAGTTGTCGTAACGGTCCTCGGCCGCCTCGAACGTGATACGGAATGCAGGGTTTCTGTGGTCCGAGCGCTTTGGGTCTGCGCGAACCACAAACCACTCGTCCCAGAGTTGGAGCCAGACTGAGCGGAATGTCTGCAAGGGTCCAACGAGGTACATGTCTTCGGGAAGCATTCCAGCCAACGTCTTCGTGCTGGCGGGGACGACAGGAGAGTCGTCGGGCATGTGAAGGGCGTTACCCACGAGCATGATGCGGGCGTCGGATGGGAGCGAAATCCGCGAAAGAAGAGCGGAGCACTGAGCGGAAGGGCCGTTGAAGTCAAGTGTCCGTAGCGAGTTGAGTTCCACTGGCCGGCGAGTCGGTGGCGGGTCAGTGGTTGGTACCACAGGACCTGCGCTGAAGAGAGTCAACTTCCGCAGAGAAGGCGCTGCCTCGAGTATGTCGACCATCGCGTCCAGGGTGGGCTGGCGACGTCTCGGTAGAGATCTGAGGCTGAGTGTTGTCAGGTTTGGTAGCACCAAGCCGTCCCAGTCAACGGATAGACTATCGAGAAACAGGGTTCGAAGCCGAGGGAAGTGAGCACAGTTGACACGAAGGTGCAAGGGACTGCTGAAGTCGAACACGGACGACAAGTTCAGCTCTGTCAGCCGAGGCATCGGTCCCTCCAGCATCGAGAGAAGGGACGCTTTATGCAGCGAAATCATGGAGTATGGCTGTAGCTCCATCTGAGCGATACGGTGAAAATGTGGGGCGAGGAGATCCTTGATCGGAGGTGCCTGGATGGCGGACGGCCGTACGGAGCGGGAGGTCGCGTCGTGGAGGATAACATGAATGTCCGCGTCCTTCGAGCGCATCAGGCAGAGTCGTACGAAGGGGATCCCATCAGTAAGATCAATGAGAGACCATGCCAGCGGAGAGGACACTAGAGTCGCGCGCCATTGCCGACATACGCCTACGATGTTGATCATCCACCTCGAAGTCAGTCCCCGGATTTGGAGGAATTCAAAGACCTTCAGGAGCACCTCGGGTGGAAGGCTACCCACGGGCAATGTTGAGTTGTAGAGCTCGCGAAGACGGCAGGCGTATCGGTCCGCATGAGAGATTCTGGAGAGGGCCCAGTGGCGAACGCCCGATGGCGACATGCCCTGGATCTGCCCTTTGTCTTCTTCAGTCAGTGGAGGTAATGTGTATGCGAAGTCGTCGTCTTCCGTCTGGATCTTCAAAGGGATTTCATGAGAGCGGTGCATGGTTGTGAACTTATCGCGCGGATCGTCGCTCTCAGCCTCGCTCCTCCGAGTCGATCGTCGACAAGTGCCGCTGAACCCGGGGCTCAGGCTGTAGTGACCGAGGTACCTGCTACCAGTTATGCACATTGCAGTCTATCAGTACTCTTCCGACTGATTCGCGTGGAATAGAATCCTTACTGATGTATGCTGCAGTATGACACTGTTTGACAAGCCTACTAAGTAGGAAGGTTTGAAGTTCGTCACGACGTTTGAGGACGTCGGCGTCGGTCTTCAGCGCTTCAGCTTCAGCGCTTCGGAGCTAGCCTGACATGGCATACTACATACATTAGTACATATTCAAAATGCTTTGCATTCGCACAGCTACAACGTACTAAACATTGTATCTTGGACCATTCTTGGTGAAGCAATTGCATACTGCGAACCTAACTTATCCCTCTCACTTCGACAAATACTCACTGGATTTGATCGACTTTGATCGCTCAGCTGCCCATTAGCGGTTCAGGAATCAGCATTGCTACGTTTCCAGCCACGTGACTGCGCCAGTGCCTAAATCGTGTACGAGATCTTAGATCTAGCTCAGAGCCTGCCTTGCTCAGGCCCAGGAGTCAGGAGGCTGGATGCATGTAAGACGGTCGACGAGGTACGGATCTCACCATGTATGTACGGATTATGTCTCACTTACGTAGGGCGACGCCCTCAGTGACTTTACATAAAACAAACAAGCGAACAAATAAATAAAAAAAGGCTCGCAGCGGGCTTTCCAGGAATCTGGCTACTGCCCCCCAACTACCCCACCTGCATCCGTAACTTACGCAGAAGCTGCGTCAGTCATGCGCGCAGTATGCGTTCATTTGGAGTCTCTTTGATCTAGATGCCATAGTCCGGGGACGGTCGCACGAAGACTCAGCACAGCCGTTACAACAAACTTCACCGCTCGCTGCGAATTCCCGCTAATGCTCTTGACTTGCACAAGGTTCGTTCGTTCGTCTCGTCTAGTACTGTCGACTAGTTCATAACCATTACCACAGGTGTTGAAACCTACGAGCCATATGACCGAGCATCGGCACGGCCTACCAGAAAGTGTGCTCCTTGCGTTGCCGGACGACCAGCGCGTGGTACTACAAGGACGTTCTCTACAACAGGTATGTGACTGGATATCTATTCAGACACTAGCATTTACACGTCAATCGTCGGATCCACAGGCTCTGCGCAACTGAACTCTCATCGTCAATATGCTGCCTAATGAGCTTCTCGTCGAGATCTTTCATCTCGTCGCGGCGGTGTACGACGGCAATATATGGAAGAACAGGGCCATGGGCGTATGCCGCTGTTGGCGAGACATCATCCTGAAGACACCCCTCCTATGGAACGAAATCGACTTGTCGAAGGACCCGCAATTCGTGAGGCTTTGTCTGGCACGTTCAGAAGACACGAGCATCAGCCTTTATCTTGCCATGCAAAGCCCCCATCCCAGAATCCTGGCAATACGCGACTTCCCTGCGCTCGTGTCCCTGCTGGAGTTACATCATCCGCGGATCTCACACGTCGACCTCTATGTTGATTGGACCCAGGCGGATCACCAGCACGAGGACCCAGGAGCGATGTTGAGGATGCTGGAAGCCTGCTTACCGGCGCTGGAGTCGATGTCTCTGGTGACGGGGCCCGGGCTTTCTTTGCGCTTGACGCGGAACTACCTTCCGAGGATCCAGAGCCTCTCACTTTCTGGCGTCACGATCGATTGGACCAGCTTGCCACTGCCGAATTTGACGTCCTTGAAACTATGTGACGTCATACATCCCGACGCCAGCCACCCTGGCTGCTTAGCCTCCCTCCTCGATGTGCTGGATACGTGCAATGGCTTGGAGAACTTCACGTACGAGCAGTGGCACGCGGTTCCAGGGCTGGAGCCAGTCGCAGCAGTCCACATCGTATCGTTGCCCCACATGCAGCGGTTCTTCGTCTCCGGCTCGCCAAGAGACATCTTGGAAATCCTCACACACATCTCTCTGCCGCGGGGTGCCCACCTCTCTGTCGAGTTGTTTGAGCTCGGAGCTGACCAAGATTTGGACATCGAGCATCTACCGATCCTGGCGGCTGTCTTGCCACGCAGTGCCACACGCTTGCCTGCCCTTGCGGACGTGCGACACCTCATGGTGTGGTTCGAGCAGTTCAAGCTCACCATCTATGCCGATGAAGATCGTACGGAGTTCTGGGAGTCGCAGGCTTGGAAGACGTCCGATTACAAATGTTCCCCCAGCGACGGAGATACTCCTGTCATGCCGGCTCTTTGCATGGCATATCACCTCCCGGGCTCGGAGGTCGACCATTATCTCCTTGTCAACGTCATGCGCGAGCTCGGCCAGTACTTCTCATCGAGCCTGGAGACGCTCATCGTCCACGGGATTATGGACATCGTCGAAACGGAAACGTGGGCTGGTGTGCTCGCGGCCTTCCCCCAACTGGAGTACCTGGAGGTCATCTCGCGAGAGTGCGACATGAAGTACTTCCCGGCCGCGCTCGAGCCGACGCCGACCGCGACCCCCTGTCGAGGTTTGCGCAAGCTCGTTCTGCGGTACGAGCCGAATGACGAGGATGGCGGTCTACAAATGCTCAACGCTCTTTGCGTCGCGTTGCAGAAGCGCGATGAGGCTCACTGTCGGTTGCAGTCGCTCAGCCTACAGGTGGAACCTGTAACCATTGACACAATGTACACGCCTTCGACGGCTGTCAGCCGTTTGCCAGCCGATTTCGAAGATATACAAGAGAAATTGGAGATCTTGGTCGACTCACTGGAGGTCATGCTATTGATCGATGGCGATTAGTGGATCAACCGGAACAGCGGTAGTAAATCGAGTGAGTGTAACCTAGTTGCGTGGTCCGCTTCAAGTTCACGAGCTAACAAACGAGCAGAACAGCACATCCTGCATAGTACACCAAACGCTGGGGGTATACGGTACTACGTCGCATCAGGCTTCCGTTGTCAAAGGCAGTAGCCGAGTATCAATAACAGTACTTAATGCACAGACTGAGCTACAGTCTGCACGCGCGGGCTCGTGAAAGTAGAGTTGCTAGACCGATAACGTGGCATCACTGAACATCACCGATGCTGCCTACGTAGAAGTTGTGACTACCCAGAGTACACTAGCCGTCGTCGTTGCCCACGCGCAAGAAGACTCTGGCCTGGAATTGACCGGAGGTGGAGCCTCTCGCAGCTGATCATGAGCGCTGAGCGCTGAGGGGTTATTGGTGCGGACATCCTTGACTGCAGCGCTTGTACAGCAAAGAAAGAAGCGCTTTACGCACCGTATAAGGTGTATAACTACGTGGATGGGGGATGCTCCTCCGTGGCCGTTACAAATTGGTCTGCGAGGAGCGTTTGAGTTGTACATCTTGCGAGCCACTATTCTCGACGACAGAACTTCGGAAGACCACATAAAGTGATCCAGAAAAGAGCACGCCCCGATGTAAGTACACCTTACACGAATTGTGGTGATTTCCCCGGAGCGGTCAGAGCACGTATGCATCTCCGGTAGGGGGTTTCACAGCCTTCGCACGAAGTAAAGATACTCAATACCCGTTGTACCGCTACATTCGAGACGATCTTGCCTGCAAGAAAACCCCACAAGCGACAAAGGGAACAAACGAGTTCTGGGCACTCCCGGCTTCGTGATCGGGCGAAGGGACATACATAGACCCTCCACATCTGCTGCTGATCCATTATGGTAATTATCAGACTTGTCCCATCAACGTATCGAATGCAACACTCACGAAGTTCAGGAGCGACGATCGTATCCTCCGGTCCAATCATCCCAACGAACAACAGCAACGTGGCGGTCAAACCACTCCAGATCCTCCTGCGCGAGCTCGCAACAGTCGGTCACGTATAGCTCTTTCACCGCCGATACCATAAATCCGGGTTCGTCTTCCCCAACGGAGCCGGACGCTGCGTGTGCGTCGTAGCGCGCTTGCAAGAGCGAACGCAGGGCCGAGCTGTGGAAACGCTTGCATCCTTGAAATGTCAGCGCCTTGATATATGGGCAGGCGGGCCATTGCTCTCCATGAGGCGTGGCGAAGGGACGGGAAAGCGGCTTCATAACCTCCGAGCTTAGGCCGTCGCAATCTTTGAACGATACTTCATAACACAAGTGCGGGCTCCGCACCGCGCTCAGAAGGAGCTTCAGGAGCGTCATGGCGTCTGTGATCCCCTCTATGTCGAGGGAATATGAGGCCCCAAGGATGGCGTTGTCATCCTTCGAGCACCGAGTGTACGACACCTTGGCAAATACAGGGTGACTGAGCAGTCGATGAAACTCCGCGAGGACGTTGCCTGTGATATCGAAGAATGCGACGCTGCCAAGCCGTGTGTACGTCGTCTCCAGGATAGGTGGTCCAGTATAGGAGCAATCCAGTGCGAGATCAGCGAGCCGGAGGTGAGTCATCACGCAATGCAGAAGACATAGCAGGAGGTCGACGAGTGGGAAAGGCGGGTGGTGCGACTCGTATTTTGAGATGCAGATGCTCTGGAGCGTCGGTGGCGGTGGGAATTGACTCATTTGAAGACACGGCTTCACGTACACTTCGCGGAAGTGTACACCCTTCATGAAGAGCTCAGTGAGTTCGGGGGTGTGAAATTCGCCAGTTATAGGCGAGGCGGCCTCGTCGCTCGCGGCTGAGTCGTCAATGATGGAGTCGAGGCTGAGTATCTTCAGCTTGTCCGCGTGTCCCACGAGGTCGATACGAGGAAGGGGAAGTGAGTCGGAATGGAGAAGTCGCAAGAGAAGGCTTCGCCACCTCTTCATATGCGGAGCCAGCACGTCCATGATAGCCTTTACTCGAGCCTTCTCCTCGTGATCCGTCCCCATGGGTGGCTGCCACTCGCGCCTGCGCGAGATGAAGATGTCGATCGGGAGCTCTCGCGAGCAGGCGAGGTATTTACGGATTCTCGCGAGCGGCAGTGGGCCGTTGGGCTCGTCGACCCAGATGACCAAGCGCGTCCAAAAGGAAGACACGTTCTCCACCAGCTCTCGCCATGTGTGACAGACGGAAGCGAGGGCCCATGGGGTGCAGTGTGACTCGGTATCGCGCACGGCACAGAAAACAAGGAGGAGGACATCTGCCGGGAGATCATTGACGGTGACCAGGGGTTCGCGGATGCCAGGCGTAGAGGGCTCAGGAGAGAGTTTGGCGGCGCAGCGATCAGACATGGCCTGAACTGGGGGCGTGCCTCACTGGGACGAACAGTTCATTGCTTGAGTAGCAAAAGGAGAAGAAATTGGTGACATACGCTCGGTGCGTCTGTTGGTCGGAGGAACGGACTGCAAATAACTTGAATGAGCAGAGTCACCACTGGCAAGTTCGCGTAGCGGCGTATAGAGTTGATGTCGCGTTGGCGAAGAGGTAGCTGTAGAGATAGCCAAAACGTCCGTGAGAAATATTCTGAAAGTGATATTTTCAAACGCTACGATGAGGTTGAGTACTTACTACAATGCCTGAGAAGCCCTGAATGGCGTTGAACGTAAACTTCGCTGTCAGCCAAAGCGTACACTGGCAAGTCGTACGTTGATTCGGTTGAACGTTTGAACGTGCAGGAGCTCCTTATAAGCGCCCGCGGTGGTTCCTTGCCGCTCGGGCGCCGCGCCATCCTCTTCCTTCCTCCGCTAGATTGACGGTCCCAGTCCCGGCGCTTGTCAGTCCCTTATTCCCACGGCTACCATATTCGGACACCGGTGACCTCCGGCTTCCTTAGTCCCCGAACGCGCGAAGCCGGCCCCCAGTAACTCTCTCTCCCCTTGGTCTTGCTGGACCGTGGCCTGCGCTCGGTCGCTCGCGCACCCTCGACGGCTGCGGGTAGACAGCAATGGATTTACGTGACACTAGAGTATTACTACATGTAGTAGAAGTAGGAACTATACACGAAGCAACTAGTATACGGATTAGAAGCAGTGTTTAAGTGTATGACTCAGAGATGTCCGCGAACTCGCCGTCAATGCTTTGCAGAAACGGCGCGAGGCGATGTATGTACAGCCTGAGCAACAGCCGTGATGCGGTATTAATTGTGTGCGTCCTCAATCCGACGGGCTTGCAGCCTGCATGGCTTCCCAGTTCGCCCGGATTGTTTCATCCTTCTCCAACAACGCTCGCCATTTCTTCGCAACCGTGAGCTTCTTGTCGCAGATCCTCCACTTCCCGCTCTTCTTGTATCGGAACACTCCTTGGGTGTCGGAGCGGCCTAGGTCACCTCCGAAGTACCTCATCGCCGCATCGTAGTCTGCGGCATCAGTCCAGGTGCGATCCTTCTGCAGCCTGTCAAGTATCTGCTGATATGACAGCCGCTCTCGTTCCTCGTTGCTATACTTGTCCCAGAACGCGTCTTCAGACGAAAATCGATCGCGTTCCTCGGCCAAGAACTGGGGGCGATATAGCATGAGAATATGGAGCGCGGAACACTTCACAGCTCCTGCTCGGTACGTACCTTCCAGTTGCCCCACTCGACCCTCAATGCATGCCAGGCATCCGTCTCAACTACCCCACTCCTCTTCTTGTAAACCTTGTCCCAATGCTTCACGGGAATCCCACGCCCTGCAATCGTCAACAAGTTCGAGGTATGCCATTCGCGGAAGAGGGATGGGATGTTGTCTGACAGATGGATTGCCGGTGGATCAGGGATGTGAGTTCTGTCGACATAGATGTTTTCGCCGTCAAGGCTGATGCAGACAGGTCGCTGCGGTGGATGTGGTAGTACCGGCGTGCTCAATGTCGGAGGATCGGAAGCAAGCTGTGGTGCTACTAGATGAGGTGGAACTGCAGTCCGCGGCGTAGACGGCGTGGTGGGACGGCGTATGTTTTGACTGTCAGTGCCGGTACTACTGACAGTCGGCACATACTCGGGTCCTCCAGGTCGCATTTCCGCGGAGACGTGCGACGTGGTCCCATGTCCGCCGTTGATCAAGTTGTCAAACTTTGTACACAACGTTTGCATGCGATTGAGGACCTGATCTTGCTTTCGTTCCACCTGGCTCATCCCGCGCTCCAGCCGGCGGAAACGAACGCCCTACATTGATAGGTGTCAGTCTCGGGCGGTGAGTTTCTGTACTTAGTATGCTATATTTCACTTACTGTATAGCTTGCGTTGTCGATCCCTGTGCTGGTCGCAGCATTGTTTCCAGGTACCAGTCCAGATTGACTAGATCCAGGCTGTTCGATGGGGTGCCCGTGACATGGCTCTGCTTGCTCCGAGCCATCGGGATTGAGCAGAGGTATTGACGGAGCTTGGCCCGCAACTGCCGGCACTACTGGATAGCTGGCGAGGAACGATGCTGACTGTCCGAAAAGGCATGCTACGATCACTTTCTCATCCTACGTTGGTCATCAACTAAGCTCGTACCCAGGAATCGTTTGCAGAGCAGACTGCATGCTGGATGGGCTGAGGTACGCGCCTATCGCTGCCGTGTTTGTTCTGATACTCTGCGACAGGTTCCCTGGGGCCAAACTGGGAAAGAATGCGTTTTGCGGAATGGCTATTTGACCGAGATGCAGAGATGTCTCCTCGCTTCCGTTTCACGGCCGGTTTGAAGAGGCTTGCAATACAGACAGTGAGTCGCAGGCTGCGTACTGAGTTTGAATGTGTACGTACCCCGCCCATTGTTCGCGGTCATCCGCAAACTTACGTAGACGTTCTATCTGGGCGTCACGATTGCCGCTCTTCGGCAGCCCATACTTGGTGAGCTCAGCGGCAAGCTCTTTCTTCGTAGTATTCTTTGTACTGATGATCCATGAACTGGTAAGTGCACGGCATCACACTAGTGCATAGTATCCAGCTTACATTGTAAATTCCACCAGCCCAATCGTGCGATCTGACCCTAGCGCTTGCCCCGGTTGTGGAAGTTGAAGAGTCTGGGGCTCGTTGTTGGTTGAATGTGATGGCTCGAGGGTATTAAAGGTGGACATAGGATAGTTGAACAGCGAAATAAATGCTCGGATGAGCACGTCGTAGTGTAACCAACCCAAGCCTGAGTTTTAGGGGCGATCGGCGGACAGCCCCTGTGAAGGGTCGGCTCGCTTGTTACAGACATGGCGAGAATGAGTCGCACCAGGGGGTTCAACTTGCCGTCCCTCACTTTGTTCACGATGCCTCCTCAGTGCCTGATACCAGACAGGGCTCTTTCGATTCTCGCTGAAACTCAGTCTTCTGTTCCGACTCAAGAAATCGAGGACGACCATGAGGCAGAAGTCGAATCACTTGTCTCTGGCATTGACCTTGACGACCGCATGGAGCAATCTGCATCTACTGGGACGCACTACTTACGCGAAGCTAGCTCAGTATTCAAGAAGCAAAAGCTTGATCAAACTGTGATGTCAGACAATCTCAAGAAGGCGTCAGCAAACGTCGTGGTGGATAACACACTAAATGAATATCGGCGGTATGTCATTCCTTCTATATGGCGTACTCAGGCTCAGGCTTAGTACTATTGACAGCCTATGGGACCAGTTCAAGTCCTTTTGTGCCGAGTTAGGCTTCGTTGACGATGCTCAGGTGATGGACAAGTACGCGCAGGATATTCCGGAGGGGCTGCCGTCGTGGATAGCAGTTTGGATTATGAACAAGTACGTCATTACCAGCAACCGACTAGCTGTGTTGTATTCACTGCAGCAGGGCGGATGACCTGGACATCCATACCGGCAAGCCGAAGGATCCCAGCGTTCCCCGTGTTAAGTATGCGACAGCTCAGAAGATGCGCGCAGCGATCAGCCACAAGTTCGGGCGCGACTTCGGGTTCGGTGAACAACCTTGGTCTCAAAATGCCGCGACTGGGACATTTTCGGGGAATCCCTCCCTGTCTGTGGTGGTCTCGCAGTACATGATAAGTTTGCAGCGCCGCAAGGTACGATGACTTCGGCACCGAAAAACATTTATGACTGACGCTGACTAGGTGCGCGCTGGCGAGGAGGTTACAAGTGCGCGCGCAATCACTCATGAGACTATGCGGCAGCTCTGGGAGTTCAATATCAAGTATTCGACTGATCGCAGGCGCACAACATCGCGCAAGCGGAAGGCTGAGCATCCAGAGGACTGGGCGGGTTACCGGGTTCGCCAAATGTTACAACTCCTCTACATTGTGTCAATGCTGTGTTTGCTCCGCTTCGACGAAGCATTGCGAATCATGTGGACAGATATCACTATGTTTGTCAACGATGACGGCATTCATTGTGTGCGGCTTGACCTCCCGTTTCGGAAGACGGCTCAATATGGAGGTAAGCGTTTGCACATACTACTACTAGCCTCTCCGATTATCAAGCTTTCCTGAACACCTACACTAGGTATTGCACCATTCCCCCTCTACCCTAATCAAGAACAGCCGTGGTTGTGTCCGGTTCGAGCGTTTGCAAAATGGTGGCAACTGTGCGGGGAGATGAACATCGAACGTACGGGATATATCTTCCGCAAGCGCGTTGGACGTGACGGTGTGAGTATCAAACCGTCTGACAGAATGGTGCATTCACGAGCATGCATATTTCCCTATACTTATATGATTCTGCCCTGCAGTCAAACGACAACTTCGTCCAGTGCTTCCGGAATAACCTCGTTGACATTCTGATCGATCCTCGGCCTTATGGGACCCACTCGTTTCGTCGCGGCGGGTGCCAGTATCTTGCAATGGTCAAGCGTTGGCCAATTCGTGACATCTGCACATGGGGCGGCTGGGCAGAGAACTTCGACAACCCTAGTACTATCTTCAAGTATCTCATGTCATGGGTGGATACTCCTCTCCTCGAGAGGAAGGACTATTTCAACCCCAAGAGGGCCACAGCTGACACTTGTCATCAGTGTGGTCGCACCTGCACATGCGCGTGAAGTACGCGAGTGGTGCCAGCAGGGGCGCTGGTTGTGGACCGCGCAATTGGAAGCTACAATAACATTCACATAGATACATACTGTATGCGCGTCGATACATTCAATCAAGGTTACAAAGCTGCTCGTATCATACTGTATGACGAGGAAGGCAAGTATGATGGTGATGCAAGGGTTGAGGGTCAAACATGCGAAAGGTGACGACTTCTGGAGGGCATGCGCGAGCATCGAGAACGCGAATTGCATTCTGAGCTTGAGGAACGATCTCGGGGCTGGTTGACGCACCCACCTCGGAGAGTGCAGGCGACATGCTCATGGCGTCGAGCTTCCAGTCGGCCTTGCATGGGGCGGCACCTTTGTCGTCGACGTCCATCTTCCTATCATTGTCCTCGGCCTTCTTCGCCATGAGCTTGGCCTTGCCCGCAGACGACGCGGCCATGGCTGGGCTGACGCGTGCGCGAGCGCTGACGACATCTCTGCTGCCAATGCCAGCGACGCGCCGCAGGACAGCGGTGTGGCCGCCCATACTCGAAGATAGCGCCGAGGTTGATGACGGCCATCATGATCCCAGTCGCACTCCTCGACGATCGCACTGCCTGAGAACGTCTATCAGCTCCGGACTGATACAGCTAGAGATACATCACTGACCTTCGATATTGAGCTTCTCGTCGAAGCGGTCGAGGATGCCGTGGAAGTCGTCCATCTGGATGTGCGTGAAGAGCATACCGTGGAGGATGATATACAGATCGGCAACGCCAGCGTCGGGGCCTTGGCGACAAGTCTGGGCAGCTGGCGACCAGATCTGGAGGATGGCCTCGCGGGAGGTGCTGTACGGATGCGCTGTGATCATGCTATACATACAAATGTCAGACATCGATACTCGCAATATAAATATAGCGACTCACCTCTTCTCGAAATGATACAAGCCCTGCAACTCCTCGCCGCTCCCGTCCCTCTCCCTGCAGAGCAGTCCAATATGGTGGTAGAGCTTGCCCGCACTTGGAGTGCCGGTGAGGCCCTTTGCGTACCACTCGCGCGCGATCTGCCTCGAGTGTTCCTTCTCCGGGACGAGCTCTATCGCATGCGCCACTGCAAGGCCGACACTCGGCACCTCAAGCAACTGCCTCGCCGCGCGTCCGGGAGATGGCGGCGGTGAATTGTCGATGCGCGCACGCACCTCGGGTGCCGCCGTTCCGCGCGATCGGAGCTTCCACCGCCGTTCTGTGTCGAGGAGTGCTGGGCGGTGCCATACTGGGCGTCGTTGGCATGCAAAAGGAGTGACAGGGAGAGGAGCGTGAGGGTGAGAGGGAGACGGGCATTGTCCGTCAATGTGGTCGCCGGGCGGGATCTGGTGATGTCGTACGCCGCGGAGGGGTCTGCCCTCATGCGATTGATCACAGTTGATGGGGATTGGTTTCTCCTGGACAGCGAGGGCGAGGTCTAATGATTGCAGTAGGCTGAAGTTCTTGAGGGTCGCTTGGAGGTGGCCCCGCAGCGTTGAAGACCCAGGCCAACCGGGAGCAACGAGTCAGGGAAGGCACGGGGGGTCAGCACCTGTCCCCGAGGGGCCAAGGTGAAGCCCTAGCTCCGTTCCTCCGTGCTGACGGGCGTTGCTCCGGAGGTGAGGGAGGCAGTCGCTGGCGGCACTGAGGGAGGCGGGATGCACGCTGGCACGATGGTAGCGCCGCTACACTGGCCAGTTCCCACGGTTTGGGCGCTCAATCCCCAAGCCTCCGCTCCGCGCAGGCAGCAACCTCGCAGTGGCAAGGTGGTACTTAACAGCCACAGACTAATACATTACGGCTCTGTATAGATACACACAAACCCTAGCTACGATCATCACTGGCATCATCGCTAAGGATTTCTATGTAGTCTCTTTGTGAAGCTAAGGCTACGTCAATGTCTGAGTCACTCAGAGTAAGGTCAATCACTTCAGAGCTCGTACTGCCACGCGACACGTTCGTCGAGCTTGCAGTACCACGAGCCATGGACATCGACCCTGCACGTCCGCGCAGCGCGTTGGTCAAGAGGCTCGTTCGTCCGCGCAGTGTGCCGGCCAGGCTCGGGCGGGCACACAATGTAGTTGTTGATCCGAAGCTAGGGTGGTGGCTGCATGATGATGGTGTTGCGCTCGCGCGGCGGCCACACGTCAAGCTCACATGGCTGCAGAAAAGTGCCGTTGGGCTTGCGTGGCCACGCAGTAGGCTCGACACACTACCGCGCGACGTCCTCGCCCCGTTTGGTCCACCGCGCGACGTCCTCGCCCCATTCGGTCCACCGCGCGACGTGCTTGCCTCGTTCGGTCCAATGCATGACACACTCGCCCCGTTTGGTCCACCGTGCGACACGCTCACCTCATTTGCGTTTGGTCCACCGTGCGACGTGCTCGCCCTCAGGCTGTTTGGTCCACCGCGCGACTTGCTTGCCCTGTTTGGTCCACCGCGCGATGTGCTTGCCTTGTTCGGTCCGCTGCGCAATGCACTCGCCCCGTTTGGTCCAGCAGGCGACACCTTTGCCTCGTTTGGTCTGCTGAGCGACACGCTCGCCTCGTTTGATCCACCCTGCGACGTGCTCGCTCCATTTGGTCCACCCCGCAACGTGCTCGCCTTGTCCAATCCATCGCGCGACACGCTCACCTTTGTCCGCTTCCTCACCCGACAGTGTGCATCTTTGTCTTCACCGTTACTGTTGCTATCCTGGCTCATGTGACGCTTCACAGGAGCACTTGGGACGTTTGCATGCTGGCGAGTGGAATCCCTACCATCCACTAGTACGACTCCTCGTTCAGCTGGAATATGTGCAAAGAATGTAGAATACGTACTTGTTGTGCCATCTTTGTTGTCTAGCTCCCACACATGTTGAACAAGCGTCTCGTGCATCGAAAACCGTCGCGAGAGGGCGCCAGCGTGCACTACTACGGTGCCGTCGTCTGGCCGCAGGCCCACTAGGCCAGACACAGCCAGAGCCGCAAAGCCGGTATCAATGGCGGTTACAAACCGGGCATTGTTTGAGCGACGTGGGCTCTTATCGGGATTGACATGGACAAGTCCCTCGAGCTGATTCTGTGACTGTGTCAGATAGCAGATTGTGATGAATGATTGACGTACCACAAGGGGTTCCTTTGCGGCCTCAGCCATATCCCGATTGATTGCACACTTGATGAGACTTCGCAGCACAACGCCTGGGAGTAGACAATTCCCAAAGCGTTCGATGATACCCGAGGGAGTGCCCCATGAGAAGTAGCGTTCACAAAGAACGCCGAGGCTGGCGACATCGGGTGGTTGAGCCGGGGTTTTCTCGAAGTCTTCCAGTGGCGATGTTACGGGATTTCGGTACAAGTCGACGACCGCAAGGTTTGGAAATGTGTCTGGGATACGATCCGATAAACTTTGATATCGCCTGCCTAGGAGCTTGAGGTTGTCCGTGCGCAGGGTGACACGTAGATCATCCCGCCAACTTGATAGGAACTGCGAAAGGGCATCGCCATGAAGCTTCCGGACGGCCTCGCACAAGCGTTCACCGAACCCGTAGCGTGCCAGGCCACATGCAACTCGAGGCCCAAAGCCCTGCAAGCCAGTCTGTAGGAACTGTGAGTCTCTGCACGTCGAGAGGAAAGGTGAATATACCTCATAATCTCCACCTGTAAGCAGTGCAAACAGGATCATACCCGGACGGGTAAGGCGAAGAGCTTGATGCTTGAAGATACTATCCGCGCTCACAACTGTGAGCATCTGATCCTTTGCCGAATAGCTGCGTAGAGCCGAGTGAGCCTCATCGGCAAATGTACAAGACACGATGCTTGTACTCACTTGCGGATGACCACCTGCGCTCCAAACAGCAATGTGTCGCTGTCATCTGTCAGCACTCCGTCGAAGATGCCGAACGAATTCATGAGCGCAAGCTCTGCCTCTGCTTCTCCTGGCGCCTGTGCTAGATATGAGACATTGAACGTAGAGTAAGAATGGATTGAGTACGTACCATCCACCAGTCATATCCAAACGCATCGATGAACTGCTTCATCGCCGCAACCATCCAATGACTCGTTTTGATGACCTTCTTTCCACGCTTCTTCGGGGGCCGGTCCTGGCCGTCAAACACGAACGTTGCGTGCACCAGGAGCCGGAGGAGGCGGGCCAACCGGAAGAACAGCGTGCGAAGCTCTGGGTTCTCGCCCGACTGGGCATGTCCGACCGCGAACGTATTCTGGACCTGATAAAGCCATATGCTGGATGCAATGAGCTCATAGCTGCAATTGATATCGAGAACAGCTCACCTTGCATCGATGCCGAGTCGGTATACCCGTTCTCCCTTACGCTGTTCGAACCCTTCGCGCACGAAGAAGTCTTCAATAGACTGACCAGTTGCCGCAGGCTTCACAGCCTTCATACGGCTTGTGAGATACAATGGAAATTATGTAAAATGAGAGCTCACCTCCCATAGCCCATGTACACCCATGGTAGCCGCTGTCCTCAGACTCCTGTACGAGACTGAATGTTGCCGAGCCTCGGGGATTGCTGTCCGAGTGGTCGTAGAGCTCTGCTACGAGTATCGCTGCCAGTGGCTGCTGCAGTGTCAAGCGGAGGGACTACGGAGGACCACACGTCCTCGTCGATGCTCGTTGAGGGATGGTGAGGGTAGAGGTAGCCAGTGGAGAGGTGGAGTGCGAGGTCGACGGAGGAGAGCCATCTTGGCCAAACGCAGCGTTACCCGCCCGGCCTGCCGAGGGACTGCGAATCTGGGACTGCAAAGGTGACGGTTCGCCCGGCCTTCCTAGGGGCTTTGGCGGGCGGGCGCGCCAGAAAGCACCCCCTCCTCAGCCCTCTTCGTACCGCTAGATTCGCAGTCCCATTGTGGGAAATTTGCAGTCCCCCGCGCCTGCCCAACGTGGACGAGCGCCTCTGGCCCGGTTAGTCAAGATGGCTCGCCTGAGTCGCCTCGCTGTCGGTTAAGTCTCGAGGCGCGGCGGACGGGCATGCATGTGTCCCGGAGGCGGTGAACTCTTACGTCTCGGACACGAACGCGTACTCCATTCAGAGTCTGTCTACGAGATACACCACGCGAATACCTCGCGTTCTACATGCCTCTTCACCTCGTTTACCTCCGAACCGGCGCATTGGGCCTGCGCTGGATTGCGCCGCCCCTTTCCGTGGTGGATTTCCCGCCGTCCTCGCCCGCTGACCGACCCTCGCCTCCTCGTCGCGCATCCCGGGGTCCCCGCTCCACCGCCCAGCGGAACACGTGGCGCCCAGACCGGGGCCTCACCGCCTTCCTTCCGCTCCCGGAACTCCCGCCCCGGCGCTTCGCTTCGTCCGTAGCGGGACTGTCAATTTACTCGTCCTCAGTGCTACTTCCTCCGCTAGATTGACGGTCCCAGTCCCGGCGCTTGTCAGTCCCTTATTCCCACGGCTACCATATTCGGACACCGGTGACCTCCGGCTTCCTTAGTCCCCGAACGCGCGAAGCCGGCCCCCAGTAACTCTCTCTCCCCTTGGTCTTGCTGGACCGTGGCCTGCGCTCGGTCGCTCGCGCACCCTCGACGGCTGCGGGTAGACAGCAATGGATTTACGTGACACTAGAGTATTACTACATGTAGTAGAAGTAGGAACTATACACGAAGCAACTAGTATACGGATTAGAAGCAGTGTTTAAGTGTATGACTCAGAGATGTCCGCGAACTCGCCGTCAATGCTTTGCAGAAACGGCGCGAGGCGATGTATGTACAGCCTGAGCAACAGCCGTGATGCGGTATTAATTGTGTGCGTCCTCAATCCGACGGGCTTGCAGCCTGCATGGCTTCCCAGTTCGCCCGGATTGTTTCATCCTTCTCCAACAACGCTCGCCATTTCTTCGCAACCGTGAGCTTCTTGTCGCAGATCCTCCACTTCCCGCTCTTCTTGTATCGGAACACTCCTTGGGTGTCGGAGCGGCCTAGGTCACCTCCGAAGTACCTCATCGCCGCATCGTAGTCTGCGGCATCAGTCCAGGTGCGATCCTTCTGCAGCCTGTCAAGTATCTGCTGATATGACAGCCGCTCTCGTTCCTCGTTGCTATACTTGTCCCAGAACGCGTCTTCAGACGAAAATCGATCGCGTTCCTCGGCCAAGAACTGGGGGCGATATAGCATGAGAATATGGAGCGCGGAACACTTCACAGCTCCTGCTCGGTACGTACCTTCCAGTTGCCCCACTCGACCCTCAATGCATGCCAGGCATCCGTCTCAACTACCCCACTCCTCTTCTTGTAAACCTTGTCCCAATGCTTCACGGGAATCCCACGCCCTGCAATCGTCAACAAGTTCGAGGTATGCCATTCGCGGAAGAGGGATGGGATGTTGTCTGACAGATGGATTGCCGGTGGATCAGGGATGTGAGTTCTGTCGACATAGATGTTTTCGCCGTCAAGGCTGATGCAGACAGGTCGCTGCGGTGGATGTGGTAGTACCGGCGTGCTCAATGTCGGAGGATCGGAAGCAAGCTGTGGTGCTACTAGATGAGGTGGAACTGCAGTCCGCGGCGTAGACGGCGTGGTGGGACGGCGTATGTTTTGACTGTCAGTGCCGGTACTACTGACAGTCGGCACATACTCGGGTCCTCCAGGTCGCATTTCCGCGGAGACGTGCGACGTGGTCCCATGTCCGCCGTTGATCAAGTTGTCAAACTTTGTACACAACGTTTGCATGCGATGAGGACCTGATCTTGCTTTCGTTCCACCTGGCTCATCCCGCGCTCCAGCCGGCGGAAACGAACGCCCTACATTGATAGGTGTCAGTCTCGGGCGGTGAGTTTCTGTACTTAGTATGCTATATTTCACTTACTGTATAGCTTGCGTTGTCGATCCCTGTGCTGGTCGCAGCATTGTTTCCAGGTACCAGTCCAGATTGACTAGATCCAGGCTGTTCGATGGGGTGCCCGTGACATGGCTCTGCTTGCTCCGAGCCATCGGGATTGAGCAGAGGTATTGACGGAGCTTGGCCCGCAACTGCCGGCACTACTGGATAGCTGGCGAGGAACGATGCTGACTGTCCGAAAAGGCATGCTACGATCACTTTCTCATCCTACGTTGGTCATCAACTAAGCTCGTACCCAGGAATCGTTTGCAGAGCAGACTGCATGCTGGATGGGCTGAGGTACGCGCCTATCGCTGCCGTGTTTGTTCTGATACTCTGCGACAGGTTCCCTGGGGCCAAACTGGGAAAGAATGCGTTTGCGGAATGGCTATTTGACCGAGATGCAGAGATGTCTCCTCGCTTCCGTTTCACGGCCGGTTTTGAAGAGGCTTGCATACAGACAGTGAGTCGCAGGCTGCGTACTGAGTTTGAATGTGTACGTACCCCGCCCATTGTTCGCGGTCATCCGCAAACTTACGTAGACGTTCTATCTGGCGTCACGATTGCCGCTCTTCGGCAGCCCATACTTGTGAGCTCAGCGGCAAGCTCTTCTTCGTAGTATTCTTTGTACTGATGATCCATGAACTGGTAAGTGCACGGCATCACACTAGTGCATAGTATCCAGCTTACATTGTAAATTCCACCAGCCCCAATCGTGCGATCTGACCCTAGCGCTTGCCCCGGTTGTGGAAGTTGAAGAGTCTGGGGCTCGTTGTTGGTTGAATGTGATGGCTCGAGGGTATTAAAGGTGGACATAGGATAGTTGAACAGCGAAATAAATGGCTCGGATGAGCACGTCGTAGTGTAACCAACCCAAGCCTGAGTTTTAGGGGCGATCGGCGGACAGCCCCTGTGAAGGGTCGGCTCGCTTGTTACAGACATGGCGAGAAATGAGTCGCACCAGGGGGTTCAACTTGCCGTCCCTCACTTTGTTCACGATGCCTCCTCAGTGCCTGATACCAGACAGGGCTCTTTCGATTCTCGCTGAAACTCAGTCTTCTGTTCCGACTCAAGAAATCGAGGACGACCATGAGGCAGAAGTCGAATCACTTGTCTCTGGCATTGACCTTGACGACCGCATGGAGCAATCTGCATCTACTGGGACGCACTACTTACGCGAAGCTAGCTCAGTATTCAAGAAGCAAAAGCTTGATCAAACTGTGATGTCAGACAATCTCAAGAAGGCGTCAGCAAACGTCGTGGTGGATAACACACTAATGAATATCGGCGGTATGTCATTCCTTCTATATGGCGTACTCAGGCTCAGGCTTAGTACTATGACAGCCTATGGGACCAGTTCAAGTCCTTTTGTGCCGAGTTAGGCTTCGTTGACGATGCTCAGGTGATGGACAAGTACGCGCAGGATATTCCGGAGGGGCTGCCGTCGTGGATAGCAGTTTGGATTATGAACAAGTACGTCATTACCAGCAACCGACTAGCTGTGTTGTATTCACTGCAGCAGGGCGGATGACCTGGACATCCATACCGGCAAGCCGAAGGATCCCAGCGTTCCCCGTGTTAAGTATGCGACAGCTCAGAAGATGCGCGCAGCGATCAGCCACAAGTTCGGGCCGCGACTTCGGGTTCGGTGAACAACCTTGGTCTCAAAATGCCGCGACTGGGACATTTTCGGGGAATCCCTCCCTGTCTGTGGTGGTCTCGCAGTACATGATAAGTTTGCAGCGCCGCAAGGTACGATGACTTCGGCACCGACAAAACATTTATGACTGACGCTGACTAGGTGCGCGCTGGCGAGGAGGTTACAAGTGCGCGCGCAATCACTCATGAGACTATGCGGCAGCTCTGGGAGTTCAATATCAAGTATTCGACTGATCGCAGGCGCACAACATCGCGCAAGCGGAAGGCTGAGCATCCAGAGGACTGGGCGGGTTACCGGGTTCGCCAAATGTTACAACTCCTCTACATTGTGTCAATGCTGTGTTTGCTCCGCTTCGACGAAGCATTGCGATCATGTGGACAGATATCACTATGTTTGTCAACGATGACGGCATTCATTGTGTGCGGCTTGACCTCCCGTTCGGAAGACGGCTCAATATGGAGGTAAGCGTTTGCACATACTACTACTAGCCTCTCCGATTATCAAGCTTTCCTGAACACCTACACTAGGTATTGCACCATTCCCCCTCTACCCTAATCAAGAACAGCCGTGGTTGTGTCCGGTTCGAGCGTTGCAAAATGGTGGCAACTGTGCGGGGAGATGAACATCGAACGTACGGGATATATCTTCCGCAAGCGCGTTGGACGTGACGGTGTGAGTATAAAACCGTCTGACAGAATGGTGCATTCACGAGCATGCATATTTCCCTATACTTATATGATTCTGCCCTGCAGTCAAACGACAACTTCGTCCAGTGCTTCCGGAATAACCTCGTTGACATTCTGATCGATCCTCGGCCTTATGGGACCCACTCGTTTCGTCGCGGCGGGTGCCAGTATCTTGCAATGTCAAGCGTTGGCCAATTCGTGACATCTGCACATGGGGCGGCTGGGCAGAGAACTTCGACAACCCTAGTACTATCTTCAAGTATCTCATGTCATGGGTGGATACTCCTCTCCTCGAGAGGAAGGACTATTTCAACCCCAAGAGGGCCACAGCTGACACTTGTCATCAGTGTGGTCGCACCTGCACATGCGCGTGAAGTACGCGAGTGGTGCCAGCAGGGGCGCTGGTTGTGGACCGCGCAATTGGAAGCTACAATAACATTCACATAGATACATACTGTATGCGCGTCGATACATTCAATCAAGGTTACAAAGCTGCTCGTATCATACTGTATGACGAGGAAGGCAAGTATGATGGTGATGCAAGGGTTGAGGGTCAAACATGCGAAAGGTGACGACTTCTGGAGGGCATGCGCGAGCATCGAGAACGCGAATTGCATTCTGAGCTTGAGGAACGATCTCGGGGCTGGTTGACGCACCCACCTCGGAGAGTGCAGGCGACATGCTCATGGCGTCGAGCTTCCAGTCGGCCTTGCATGGGGCGGCACCTTTGTCGTCGACGTCCATCTTCCTATCATTGTCCTCGGCCTTCTTCGCCATGAGCTTGGCCTTGCCCGCAGACGACGCGGCCATGGCTGGGCTGACGCGTGCGCGAGCGCTGACGACATCTCTGCTGCCAATGCCAGCGACGCGCCGCAGGACAGCGGTGTGGCCGCCCATACTCGAAGATAGCGCCGAGGTTGATGACGGCCATCATGATCCCAGTCGCACTCCTCGACGATCGCACTGCCTGAGAACGTCTATCAGCTCCGGACTGATACAGCTAGAGATACATCACTGACCTTCGATATTGAGCTTCTCGTCGAAGCGGTCGAGGATGCCGTGGAAGTCGTCCATCTGGATGTGCGTGAAGAGCATACCGTGGAGGATGATATACAGATCGGCAACGCCAGCGTCGGGGCCTTGGCGACAAGTCTGGGCAGCTGGCGACCAGATCTGGAGGATGGCCTCGCGGGAGGTGCTGTACGGATGCGCTGTGATCATGCTATACATACAAATGTCAGACATCGATACTCGCAATATAAATATAGCGACTCACCTCTTCTCGAAATGATACAAGCCCTGCAACTCCTCGCCGCTCCCGTCCCTCTCCCTGCAGAGCAGTCCAATATGGTGGTAGAGCTTGCCCGCACTTGGAGTGCCGGTGAGGCCCTTTGCGTACCACTCGCGCGCGATCTGCCTCGAGTGTTCCTTCTCCGGGACGAGCTCTATCGCATGCGCCACTGCAAGGCCGACACTCGGCACCTCAAGCAACTGCCTCGCCGCGCGTCCGGGAGATGGCGGCGGTGAATTGTCGATGCGCGCACGCACCTCGGGTGCCGCCGTTCCGCGCGATCGGAGCTTCCACCGCCGTTCTGTGTCGAGGAGTGCTGGGCGGTGCCATACTGGGCGTCGTTGGCATGCAAAAGGAGTGACAGGGAGAGGAGCGTGAGGGTGAGAGGGAGACGGGCATTGTCCGTCAATGTGGTCGCCGGGCGGGATCTGGTGATGTCGTACGCCGCGGAGGGGTCTGCCCTCATGCGATTGATCACAGTTGATGGGGATTGGTTTCTCCTGGACAGCGAGGGCGAGGTCTAATGATTGCAGTAGGCTGAAGTTCTTGAGGGTCGCTTGGAGGTGGCCCCGCAGCGTTGAAGACCCAGGCCAACCGGGAGCAACGAGTCAGGGAAGGCACGGGGGGTCAGCACCTGTCCCCGAGGGGCCAAGGTGAAGCCCTAGCTCCGTTCCTCCGTGCTGACGGGCGTTGCTCCGGAGGTGAGGGAGGCAGTCGCTGGCGGCACTGAGGGAGGCGGGATGCACGCTGGCACGATGGTAGCGCCGCTACACTGGCCAGTTCCCACGGTTTGGGCGCTCAATCCCCAAGCCTCCGCTCCGCGCAGGCAGCAACCTCGCAGTGGCAAGGTGGTACTTAACAGCCACAGACTAATACATTACGGCTCTGTATAGATACACACAAACCCTAGCTACGATCATCACTGGCATCATCGCTAAGGATTTCTATGTAGTCTCTTTGTGAAGCTAAGGCTACGTCAATGTCTGAGTCACTCAGAGTAAGGTCAATCACTTCAGAGCTCGTACTGCCACGCGACACGTTCGTCGAGCTTGCAGTACCACGAGCCATGGACATCGACCCTGCACGTCCGCGCAGCGCGTTGGTCAAGAGGCTCGTTCGTCCGCGCAGTGTGCCGGCCAGGCTCGGGCGGGCACACAATGTAGTTGTTGATCCGAAGCTAGGGTGGTGGCTGCATGATGATGGTGTTGCGCTCGCGCGGCGGCCACACGTCAAGCTCACATGGCTGCAGAAAAGTGCCGTTGGGCTTGCGTGGCCACGCAGTAGGCTCGACACACTACCGCGCGACGTCCTCGCCCCGTTTGGTCCACCGCGCGACGTCCTCGCCCCATTCGGTCCACCGCGCGACGTGCTTGCCTCGTTCGGTCCAATGCATGACACACTCGCCCCGTTTGGTCCACCGTGCGACACGCTCACCTCATTTGCGTTTGGTCCACCGTGCGACGTGCTCGCCCTCAGGCTGTTTGGTCCACCGCGCGACTTGCTTGCCCTGTTTGGTCCACCGCGCGATGTGCTTGCCTTGTTCGGTCCGCTGCGCAATGCACTCGCCCCGTTTGGTCCAGCAGGCGACACCTTTGCCTCGTTTGGTCTGCTGAGCGACACGCTCGCCTCGTTTGATCCACCCTGCGACGTGCTCGCTCCATTTGGTCCACCCCGCAACGTGCTCGCCTTGTCCAATCCATCGCGCGACACGCTCACCTTTGTCCGCTTCCTCACCCGACAGTGTGCATCTTTGTCTTCACCGTTACTGTTGCTATCCTGGCTCATGTGACGCTTCACAGGAGCACTTGGGACGTTTGCATGCTGGCGAGTGGAATCCCTACCATCCACTAGTACGACTCCTCGTTCAGCTGGAATATGTGCAAAGAATGTAGAATACGTACTTGTTGTGCCATCTTTGTTGTCTAGCTCCCACACATGTTGAACAAGCGTCTCGTGCATCGAAAACCGTCGCGAGAGGGCGCCAGCGTGCACTACTACGGTGCCGTCGTCTGGCCGCAGGCCCACTAGGCCAGACACAGCCAGAGCCGCAAAGCCGGTATCAATGGCGGTTACAAACCGGGCATTGTTTGAGCGACGTGGGCTCTTATCGGGATTGACATGGACAAGTCCCTCGAGCTGATTCTGTGACTGTGTCAGATAGCAGATTGTGATGAATGATTGACGTACCACAAGGGGTTCCTTTGCGGCCTCAGCCATATCCCGATTGATTGCACACTTGATGAGACTTCGCAGCACAACGCCTGGGAGTAGACAATTCCCAAAGCGTTCGATGATACCCGAGGGAGTGCCCCATGAGAAGTAGCGTTCACAAAGAACGCCGAGGCTGGCGACATCGGGTGGTTGAGCCGGGGTTTTCTCGAAGTCTTCCAGTGGCGATGTTACGGGATTTCGGTACAAGTCGACGACCGCAAGGTTTGGAAATGTGTCTGGGATACGATCCGATAAACTTTGATATCGCCTGCCTAGGAGCTTGAGGTTGTCCGTGCGCAGGGTGACACGTAGATCATCCCGCCAACTTGATAGGAACTGCGAAAGGGCATCGCCATGAAGCTTCCGGACGGCCTCGCACAAGCGTTCACCGAACCCGTAGCGTGCCAGGCCACATGCAACTCGAGGCCCAAAGCCCTGCAAGCCAGTCTGTAGGAACTGTGAGTCTCTGCACGTCGAGAGGAAAGGTGAATATACCTCATAATCTCCACCTGTAAGCAGTGCAAACAGGATCATACCCGGACGGGTAAGGCGAAGAGCTTGATGCTTGAAGATACTATCCGCGCTCACAACTGTGAGCATCTGATCCTTTGCCGAATAGCTGCGTAGAGCCGAGTGAGCCTCATCGGCAAATGTACAAGACACGATGCTTGTACTCACTTGCGGATGACCACCTGCGCTCCAAACAGCAATGTGTCGCTGTCATCTGTCAGCACTCCGTCGAAGATGCCGAACGAATTCATGAGCGCAAGCTCTGCCTCTGCTTCTCCTGGCGCCTGTGCTAGATATGAGACATTGAACGTAGAGTAAGAATGGATTGAGTACGTACCATCCACCAGTCATATCCAAACGCATCGATGAACTGCTTCATCGCCGCAACCATCCAATGACTCGTTTTGATGACCTTCTTTCCACGCTTCTTCGGGGGCCGGTCCTGGCCGTCAAACACGAACGTTGCGTGCACCAGGAGCCGGAGGAGGCGGGCCAACCGGAAGAACAGCGTGCGAAGCTCTGGGTTCTCGCCCGACTGGGCATGTCCGACCGCGAACGTATTCTGGACCTGATAAAGCCATATGCTGGATGCAATGAGCTCATAGCTGCAATTGATATCGAGAACAGCTCACCTTGCATCGATGCCGAGTCGGTATACCCGTTCTCCCTTACGCTGTTCGAACCCTTCGCGCACGAAGAAGTCTTCAATAGACTGACCAGTTGCCGCAGGCTTCACAGCCTTCATACGGCTTGTGAGATACAATGGAAATTATGTAAAATGAGAGCTCACCTCCCATAGCCCATGTACACCCATGGTAGCCGCTGTCCTCAGACTCCTGTACGAGACTGAATGTTGCCGAGCCTCGGGGATTGCTGTCCGAGTGGTCGTAGAGCTCTGCTACGAGTATCGCTGCCAGTGGCTGCTGCAGTGTCAAGCGGAGGGACTACGGAGGACCACACGTCCTCGTCGATGCTCGTTGAGGGATGGTGAGGGTAGAGGTAGCCAGTGGAGAGGTGGAGTGCGAGGTCGACGGAGGAGAGCCATCTTGGCCAAACGCAGCGTTACCCGCCCGGCCTGCCGAGGGACTGCGAATCTGGGACTGCAAAGGTGACGGTTCGCCCGGCCTTCCTAGGGGCTTTGGCGGGCGGGCGCGCCAGAAAGCACCCCCTCCTCAGCCCTCTTCGTACCGCTAGATTCGCAGTCCCATTGTGGGAAATTTGCAGTCCCCCGCGCCTGCCCAACGTGGACGAGCGCCTCTGGCCCGGTTAGTCAAGATGGCTCGCCTGAGTCGCCTCGCTGTCGGTTAAGTCTCGAGGCGCGGCGGACGGGCATGCATGTGTCCCGGAGGCGGTGAACTCTTACGTCTCGGACACGAACGCGTACTCCATTCAGAGTCTGTCTACGAGATACACCACGCGAATACCTCGCGTTCTACATGCCTCTTCACCTCGTTTACCTCCGAACCGGCGCATTGGGCCTGCGCTGGATTGCGCCGCCCCTTTCCGTGGTGGATTTCCCGCCGTCCTCGCCCGCTGACCGACCCTCGCCTCCTCGTCGCGCATCCCGGGGTCCCCGCTCCACCGCCCAGCGGAACACGTGGCGCCCAGACCGGGGCCTCACCGCCTTCCTTCCGCTCCCGGAACTCCCGCCCCGGCGCTTCGCTTCGTCCGTAGCGGGACTGTCAATTTACTCGTCCTCAGTGCTACTTCCTCCGCTAGATTGACGGTCCCAGTCCCGGCGCTTGTCAGTCCCTTATTCCCACGGCTACCATATTCGGACACCGGTGACCTCCGGCTTCCTTAGTCCCCGAACGCGCGAAGCCGGCCCCCAGTAACTCTCTCTCCCCTTGGTCTTGCTGGACCGTGGCCTGCGCTCGGTCGCTCGCGCACCCTCGACGGCTGCGGGTAGACAGCAATGGATTTACGTGACACTAGAGTATTACTACATGTAGTAGAAGTAGGAACTATACACGAAGCAACTAGTATACGGATTAGAAGCAGTGTTTAAGTGTATGACTCAGAGATGTCCGCGAACTCGCCGTCAATGCTTTGCAGAAACGGCGCGAGGCGATGTATGTACAGCCTGAGCAACAGCCGTGATGCGGTATTAATTGTGTGCGTCCTCAATCCGACGGGCTTGCAGCCTGCATGGCTTCCCAGTTCGCCCGGATTGTTTCATCCTTCTCCAACAACGCTCGCCATTTCTTCGCAACCGTGAGCTTCTTGTCGCAGATCCTCCACTTCCCGCTCTTCTTGTATCGGAACACTCCTTGGGTGTCGGAGCGGCCTAGGTCACCTCCGAAGTACCTCATCGCCGCATCGTAGTCTGCGGCATCAGTCCAGGTGCGATCCTTCTGCAGCCTGTCAAGTATCTGCTGATATGACAGCCGCTCTCGTTCCTCGTTGCTATACTTGTCCCAGAACGCGTCTTCAGACGAAAATCGATCGCGTTCCTCGGCCAAGAACTGGGGGCGATATAGCATGAGAATATGGAGCGCGGAACACTTCACAGCTCCTGCTCGGTACGTACCTTCCAGTTGCCCCACTCGACCCTCAATGCATGCCAGGCATCCGTCTCAACTACCCCACTCCTCTTCTTGTAAACCTTGTCCCAATGCTTCACGGGAATCCCACGCCCTGCAATCGTCAACAAGTTCGAGGTATGCCATTCGCGGAAGAGGGATGGGATGTTGTCTGACAGATGGATTGCCGGTGGATCAGGGATGTGAGTTCTGTCGACATAGATGTTTTCGCCGTCAAGGCTGATGCAGACAGGTCGCTGCGGTGGATGTGGTAGTACCGGCGTGCTCAATGTCGGAGGATCGGAAGCAAGCTGTGGTGCTACTAGATGAGGTGGAACTGCAGTCCGCGGCGTAGACGGCGTGGTGGGACGGCGTATGTTTTGACTGTCAGTGCCGGTACTACTGACAGTCGGCACATACTCGGGTCCTCCAGGTCGCATTTCCGCGGAGACGTGCGACGTGGTCCCATGTCCGCCGTTGATCAAGTTGTCAAACTTTGTACACAACGTTTGCATGCGATTGAGGACCTGATCTTGCTTTCGTTCCACCTGGCTCATCCCGCGCTCCAGCCGGCGGAAACGAACGCCCTACATTGATAGGTGTCAGTCTCGGGCGGTGAGTTTCTGTACTTAGTATGCTATATTTCACTTACTGTATAGCTTGCGTTGTCGATCCCTGTGCTGGTCGCAGCATTGTTTCCAGGTACCAGTCCAGATTGACTAGATCCAGGCTGTTCGATGGGGTGCCCGTGACATGGCTCTGCTTGCTCCGAGCCATCGGGATTGAGCAGAGGTATTGACGGAGCTTGGCCCGCAACTGCCGGCACTACTGGATAGCTGGCGAGGAACGATGCTGACTGTCCGAAAAGGCATGCTACGATCACTTTCTCATCCTACGTTGGTCATCAACTAAGCTCGTACCCAGGAATCGTTTGCAGAGCAGACTGCATGCTGGATGGGCTGAGGTACGCGCCTATCGCTGCCGTGTTTGTTCTGATACTCTGCGACAGGTTCCCTGGGGCCAAACTGGGAAAGAATGCGTTTTGCGGAATGGCTATTTGACCGAGATGCAGAGATGTCTCCTCGCTTCCGTTTCACGGCCGGTTTGAAGAGGCTTGCAATACAGACAGTGAGTCGCAGGCTGCGTACTGAGTTTGAATGTGTACGTACCCCGCCCATTGTTCGCGGTCATCCGCAAACTTACGTAGACGTTCTATCTGGGCGTCACGATTGCCGCTCTTCGGCAGCCCATACTTGGTGAGCTCAGCGGCAAGCTCTTTCTTCGTAGTATTCTTTGTACTGATGATCCATGAACTGGTAAGTGCACGGCATCACACTAGTGCATAGTATCCAGCTTACATTGTAAATTCCACCAGCCCAATCGTGCGATCTGACCCTAGCGCTTGCCCCGGTTGTGGAAGTTGAAGAGTCTGGGGCTCGTTGTTGGTTGAATGTGATGGCTCGAGGGTATTAAAGGTGGACATAGGATAGTTGAACAGCGAAATAAATGCTCGGATGAGCACGTCGTAGTGTAACCAACCCAAGCCTGAGTTTTAGGGGCGATCGGCGGACAGCCCCTGTGAAGGGTCGGCTCGCTTGTTACAGACATGGCGAGAATGAGTCGCACCAGGGGGTTCAACTTGCCGTCCCTCACTTTGTTCACGATGCCTCCTCAGTGCCTGATACCAGACAGGGCTCTTTCGATTCTCGCTGAAACTCAGTCTTCTGTTCCGACTCAAGAAATCGAGGACGACCATGAGGCAGAAGTCGAATCACTTGTCTCTGGCATTGACCTTGACGACCGCATGGAGCAATCTGCATCTACTGGGACGCACTACTTACGCGAAGCTAGCTCAGTATTCAAGAAGCAAAAGCTTGATCAAACTGTGATGTCAGACAATCTCAAGAAGGCGTCAGCAAACGTCGTGGTGGATAACACACTAAATGAATATCGGCGGTATGTCATTCCTTCTATATGGCGTACTCAGGCTCAGGCTTAGTACTATTGACAGCCTATGGGACCAGTTCAAGTCCTTTTGTGCCGAGTTAGGCTTCGTTGACGATGCTCAGGTGATGGACAAGTACGCGCAGGATATTCCGGAGGGGCTGCCGTCGTGGATAGCAGTTTGGATTATGAACAAGTACGTCATTACCAGCAACCGACTAGCTGTGTTGTATTCACTGCAGCAGGGCGGATGACCTGGACATCCATACCGGCAAGCCGAAGGATCCCAGCGTTCCCCGTGTTAAGTATGCGACAGCTCAGAAGATGCGCGCAGCGATCAGCCACAAGTTCGGGCGCGACTTCGGGTTCGGTGAACAACCTTGGTCTCAAAATGCCGCGACTGGGACATTTTCGGGGAATCCCTCCCTGTCTGTGGTGGTCTCGCAGTACATGATAAGTTTGCAGCGCCGCAAGGTACGATGACTTCGGCACCGAAAAACATTTATGACTGACGCTGACTAGGTGCGCGCTGGCGAGGAGGTTACAAGTGCGCGCGCAATCACTCATGAGACTATGCGGCAGCTCTGGGAGTTCAATATCAAGTATTCGACTGATCGCAGGCGCACAACATCGCGCAAGCGGAAGGCTGAGCATCCAGAGGACTGGGCGGGTTACCGGGTTCGCCAAATGTTACAACTCCTCTACATTGTGTCAATGCTGTGTTTGCTCCGCTTCGACGAAGCATTGCGAATCATGTGGACAGATATCACTATGTTTGTCAACGATGACGGCATTCATTGTGTGCGGCTTGACCTCCCGTTTCGGAAGACGGCTCAATATGGAGGTAAGCGTTTGCACATACTACTACTAGCCTCTCCGATTATCAAGCTTTCCTGAACACCTACACTAGGTATTGCACCATTCCCCCTCTACCCTAATCAAGAACAGCCGTGGTTGTGTCCGGTTCGAGCGTTTGCAAAATGGTGGCAACTGTGCGGGGAGATGAACATCGAACGTACGGGATATATCTTCCGCAAGCGCGTTGGACGTGACGGTGTGAGTATCAAACCGTCTGACAGAATGGTGCGTTCACGAGCATGCATATTTCCCTATACTTATATGATTCTGCCCTGCAGTCAAACGACAACTTCGTCCAGTGCTTCCGGAATAACCTCGTTGACATTCTGATCGATCCTCGGCCTTATGGGACCCACTCGTTTCGTCGCGGCGGGTGCCAGTATCTTGCAATGGTCAAGCGTTGGCCAATTCGTGACATCTGCACATGGGGCGGCTGGGCAGAGAACTTCGACAACCCTAGTACTATCTTCAAGTATCTCATGTCATGGGTGGATACTCCTCTCCTCGAGAGGAAGGACTATTTCAACCCCAAGAGGGCCACAGCTGACACTTGTCATCAGTGTGGTCGCACCTGCACATGCGCGTGAAGTACGCGAGTGGTGCCAGCAGGGGCGCTGGTTGTGGACCGCGCAATTGGAAGCTACAATAACATTCACATAGATACATACTGTATGCGCGTCGATACATTCAATCAAGGTTACAAAGCTGCTCGTATCATACTGTATGACGAGGAAGGCAAGTATGATGGTGATGCAAGGGTTGAGGGTCAAACATGCGAAAGGTGACGACTTCTGGAGGGCATGCGCGAGCATCGAGAACGCGAATTGCATTCTGAGCTTGAGGAACGATCTCGGGGCTGGTTGACGCACCCACCTCGGAGAGTGCAGGCGACATGCTCATGGCGTCGAGCTTCCAGTCGGCCTTGCATGGGGCGGCACCTTTGTCGTCGACGTCCATCTTCCTATCATTGTCCTCGGCCTTCTTCGCCATGAGCTTGGCCTTGCCCGCAGACGACGCGGCCATGGCTGGGCTGACGCGTGCGCGAGCGCTGACGACATCTCTGCTGCCAATGCCAGCGACGCGCCGCAGGACAGCGGTGTGGCCGCCCATACTCGAAGATAGCGCCGAGGTTGATGACGGCCATCATGATCCCAGTCGCACTCCTCGACGATCGCACTGCCTGAGAACGTCTATCAGCTCCGGACTGATACAGCTAGAGATACATCACTGACCTTCGATATTGAGCTTCTCGTCGAAGCGGTCGAGGATGCCGTGGAAGTCGTCCATCTGGATGTGCGTGAAGAGCATACCGTGGAGGATGATATACAGATCGGCAACGCCAGCGTCGGGGCCTTGGCGACAAGTCTGGGCAGCTGGCGACCAGATCTGGAGGATGGCCCTCGCGGGAGGTGCTGTACGGATGCGCTGTGATCATGCTATACATACAAATGTCAGACATCGATACTCGCAATATAAATATAGCGACTCACCTCTTCTCGAAATGATACAAGCCCTGCAACCTCCTCGCCGCTCCCGTCCCTCTCCCTGCAGAGCAGTCCAATATGGTTGTAGAGCTTGCCCGCACTTGGAGTGCCGGTGAGGCCCTTTGCGTACCACTCGCGCGCGATCTGCCTCGAGTGTTCCTTCTCCGGGACGAGCTCTATCGCATGCGCCACTGCAAGGCCGACACTCGGCACCTCAAGTCAACTGCCTCGCCGCGCCGTCCGGGAGATGGCGGCGGTGAATTGTCGATGCGCGCACGCACCTCGGGTGCCGCGTTCCGCGCGAATCGGAGCTTCCACCTGCCGTTCTGTGTCGATGAGGGCTGGGGCGGTGCCATACCTGGGCGTCGTTGGCATGCAAAAGGAGTGACAGTGAGAGTGAGCTTGAGGGTTAGAGGAGACGGGCAATTGTCCGTCAATGTGGTCTCCGGTCGGGATCTGGTGATGTCGTACGCCGCGGAGGGGTCTGCCCTCATGCGATTGATCACAGTTGATGGGGATTGGTTTCTCCTGGACAGCGAGGGCGAGGTCTAATGATTGCAGTAGGCTGAAGTTCTTGAGGTCGCTTGGAGGTGGCCCCGCAGCGTTGAAGACCCAGGCCAACCGGGAGCAACGAGGTCAGGGAAGGCACGGGGGGTCAGCACCTGTCCCCGAGGGGCCAAGGTGAAGCCCTAGCTCCGTTCCTCCGTGCTGACGGGCGTTGCTCCGGAGGTGAGGGAGGGCAGTCGCTGGCGGCACTGAGGAGGCGGGATGCACGCTGGCACGATGGTAGCGCCGCTACACTGGCCAGTTCCCACGGTTTGGGCGCTCAATCCCCAAGCCTCCGCTCCGCGCAGAGCAACCTCGCAGTGGCAAGGTGGTACTTAACAGCCACAGACTAATACATTACGGCTCTGTATAGATACACACAAACCCTAGCTACGATCATCACTGGCATCATCGCTAAGGATTTCTATGTAGTCTCTTTGTGAAGCTAAGGCTACGTCAATGTCTGAGTCACTCAGAGTAAGGTCAATCACTTCAGAGCTCGTACTGCCACGCGACACGTTCGTCGAGCTTGCAGTACCACGAGCCATGGACATCGACCCTGCACGTCCGCGCAGCGCGTTGGTCAAGAGGCTCGTTCGTCCGCGCAGTGTGCCGGCCAGGCTCGGGCGGGCACACAATGTAGTTGTTGATCCGAAGCTAGGGTGGTGGCTGCATGATGATGGTGTTGCGCTCGCGCGGCGGCCACACGTCAAGCTCACATGGCTGCAGAAAAGTGCCGTTGGGCTTGCGTGGCCACGCAGTAGGCTCGACACACTACCGCGCGACGTCCTCGCCCCGTTTGGTCCACCGCGCGACGTCCTCGCCCCATTCGGTCCACCGCGCGACGTGCTTGCCTCGTTCGGTCCAATGCATGACACACTCGCCCCGTTTGGTCCACCGTGCGACACGCTCACCTCATTTGCGTTTGGTCCACCGTGCGACGTGCTCGCCCTCAGGCTGTTTGGTCCACCGCGCGACTTGCTTGCCCTGTTTGGTCCACCGCGCGATGTGCTTGCCTTGTTCGGTCCGCTGCGCAATGCACTCGCCCCGTTTGGTCCAGCAGGCGACACCTTTGCCTCGTTTGGTCTGCTGAGCGACACGCTCGCCTCGTTTGATCCACCCTGCGACGTGCTCGCTCCATTTGGTCCACCCCGCAACGTGCTCGCCTTGTCCAATCCATCGCGCGACACGCTCACCTTTGTCCGCTCCTTCCTACCCGACAGTGTGCATCTTTGTCTTCACCGTTACTGTTGCTATCCTGGCTCATGTGACGCTTCACAGGAGCACTTGGGACGTTTGCATGCTGGCGAGTGGAATCCCTACCATCCACTAGTACGACTCCTCGTTCAGCTGGAATATGTGCAAAGAATGTAGAATACGTACTTGTTGTGCCATCTTTGTTGTCTAGCTCCCACACATGTTGAACAAGCGTCTCGTGCATCGAAAACCGTCGCGAGAGGGCGCCAGCGTGCACTACTACGGTGCCGTCGTCTGGCCGCAGGCCCACTAGGCCAGACACAGCCAGAGCCGCAAAGCCGGTATCAATGGCGGTTACAAACCGGGCATTGTTTGAGCGACGTGGGCTCTTATCGGGATTGACATGGACAAGTCCCTCGAGCTGATTCTGTGACTGTGTCAGATAGCAGATTGTGATGAATGATTGACGTACCACAAGGGGTTCCTTTGCGGCCTCAGCCATATCCCGATTGATTGCACACTTGATGAGACTTCGCAGCACAACGCCTGGGAGTAGACAATTCCCAAAGCGTTCGATGATACCCGAGGGAGTGCCCCATGAGAAGTAGCGTTCACAAAGAACGCCGAGGCTGGCGACATCGGGTGGTTGAGCCGGGGTTTTCTCGAAGTCTTCCAGTGGCGATGTTACGGGATTTCGGTACAAGTCGACGACCGCAAGGTTTGGAAATGTGTCTGGGATACGATCCGATAAACTTTGATATCGCCTGCCTAGGAGCTTGAGGTTGTCCGTGCGCAGGGTGACACGTAGATCATCCCGCCAACTTGATAGGAACTGCGAAAGGGCATCGCCATGAAGCTTCCGGACGGCCTCGCACAAGCGTTCACCGAACCCGTAGCGTGCCAGGCCACATGCAACTCGAGGCCCAAAGCCCTGCAAGCCAGTCTGTAGGAACTGTGAGTCTCTGCACGTCGAGAGGAAAGGTGAATATATCATAATCTCCACCTGTAAGCAGTGCAAACAGGATCATACCCGGACGGGTAAGGCGAAGAGCTTGATGCTTGAAGATACTATCCGCGCTCACAACTGTGAGCATCTGATCCTTTGCCGAATAGCTGCGTAGAGCCGAGTGAGCCTCATCGGCAAATGTACAAGACACGATGCTTGTACTCACTTGCGGATGACCACCTGCGCTCCAAACAGCAATGTGTCGCTGTCATCTGTCAGCACTCCGTCGAAGATGCCGAACGAATTCATGAGCGCAAGCTCTGCCTCTGCTTCTCCTGGCGCCTGTGCTAGATATGAGACATTGAACGTAGAGTAAGAATGGATTGAGTACGTACCATCCACCAGTCATATCCAAACGCATCGATGAACTGCTTCATCGCCGCAACCATCCAATGACTCGTTTTGATGACCTTCTTTCCACGCTTCTTCGGGGGCCGGTCCTGGCCGTCAAACACGAACGTTGCGTGCACCAGGAGCCGGAGGAGGCGGGCCAACCGGAAGAACAGCGTGCGAAGCTCTGGGTTCTCGCCCGACTGGGCATGTCCGACCGCGAACGTATTCTGGACCTGATAAAGCCATATGCTGGATGCAATGAGCTCATAGCTGCAATTGATATCGAGAACAGCTCACCTTGCATCGATGCCGAGTCGGTATACCCCGTTCTCCCTTACGCTGTTCGAACCCTTCGCGCACGAAGAAGTCTTCAATAGACTGACCAGTTGCCGCAGGCTTCACAGCCTTCATACGGCTTGTGAGATACAATGGAATTATGTAAAATGAGAGCTCACCTCCATAGCCATGTACACCCATGGTAGCCGCTGTCCTCAGACTCCTGTACGAGACTGAATGTTGCCGAGCCTCGGGGATTGCTGTCCGAGTGGTCGTAGAGCTCTGCTACGAGTATCGCTGCCGTGGCTGCTGCAGTGTCAAGCGGAGGGACTACGGAGGACCACACGTCCTCGTCGATGCTCGTTGAGGGATGGTGAGGGTAGAGGTAGCCAGTGGAGAGGTGGAGTGCGAGGTCGACGGAGGAGAGCCATCTTGGCCAAACGCAGCGTTACCAGCCCGGCCTGCCGAGGGACTGCGAATCTGGGACTGCAAGGTGACGGTTCGCCGGCCTTCCTAGGGGCTTTGGCGGCGGGCGCGCCAGAAAGCACCCCCTCCTCAGCCCTCTTCGTACCGCTAGATTCGCAGTCCCATTGTGGGAAATTTGCAGTCCCCCGCGCCTGCCCAACGTGGACGAGCGCCTCTGGCCCGGTTAGTCAAGATGGCTCGCCTGAGTCGCCTCGCTGTCGGTTAAGTTCTCGAGGCGCGGCGGACGGGCTGCATGTGTCCCGGAGGCGGTGAACTCTTACGTCTCGGACACGAACGCGTACTCCATTCAGAGTCTGTCTACGAGATACACCACGAATACCTCGCGTTCTACATGCCTCTTCACCTCGTTTACCTCCGAACCGGCGCATTGGGCCTGCGCTGGATTGCGCCGCCCCTTTCCGTGGTGGATTTCCCGCCGTCCTCGCCCGCTGACCGACCCTCGCCTCCTCGTCGCGCATCCCGGGGTCCCCGCTCCACCGCCAGCGGAACACGTGGCGCCCAGACCGGGGCCTCACCGCCTTCCTTCCGCTCCCGGAACTCCCGCCCCGGCGCTTCGCTTCGTCCGTAGCGGGACTGTCAATTTACTCTCCTCAGTGCTACTTCCTCCGCTAGATTGACGGTCCCAGTCCCGCGCTTGTCAGTCCCTTATTCCCACGGCTACCATATTCGGACACCGGTGACCTCCGGCTTCCTTAGTCCCCGAACGCGCGAAGCCGGCCCCCAGTAACTCTCTCTCCCCTTGGTCTTGCTGGACCGTGGCCTGCGCTCGGTCGCTCGCGCACCCTCGACGGCTGCGGGTAGACAGCAATGGATTTACGTGACACTAGAGTATTACTACATGTAGTAGAAGTAGGAACTATACACGAAGCAACTAGTATACGGATTAGAAGCAGTGTTTAAGTGTATGACTCAGAGATGTCCGCGAACTCGCCGTCAATGCTTTGCAGAAACGGCGCGAGGCGATGTATGTACAGCCTGAGCAACAGCCGTGATGCGGTATTAATTGTGTGCGTCCTCAATCCGACGGGCTTGCAGCCTGCATGGCTTCCCAGTTCGCCCGGATTGTTTCATCCTTCTCCAACAACGCTCGCCATTTCTTCGCAACCGTGAGCTTCTTGTCGCAGATCCTCCACTTCCCGCTCTTCTTGTATCGGAACACTCCTTGGGTGTCGGAGCGGCCTAGGTCACCTCCGAAGTACCTCATCGCCGCATCGTAGTCTGCGGCATCAGTCCAGGTGCGATCCTTCTGCAGCCTGTCAAGTATCTGCTGATATGACAGCCGCTCTCGTTCCTCGTTGCTATACTTGTCCCAGAACGCGTCTTCAGACGAAAATCGATCGCGTTCCTCGGCCAAGAACTGGGGGCGATATAGCATGAGAATATGGAGCGCGGAACACTTCACAGCTCCTGCTCGGTACGTACCTTCCAGTTGCCCCACTCGACCCTCAATGCATGCCAGGCATCCGTCTCAACTACCCCACTCCTCTTCTTGTAAACCTTGTCCCAATGCTTCACGGGAATCCCACGCCCTGCAATCGTCAACAAGTTCGAGGTATGCCATTCGCGGAAGAGGGATGGGATGTTGTCTGACAGATGGATTGCCGGTGGATCAGGGATGTGAGTTCTGTCGACATAGATGTTTTCGCCGTCAAGGCTGATGCAGACAGGTCGCTGCGGTGGATGTGGTAGTACCGGCGTGCTCAATGTCGGAGGATCGGAAGCAAGCTGTGGTGCTACTAGATGAGGTGGAACTGCAGTCCGCGCGTAGACGGCGTGGTGGGACGGCGTATGTTTTGACTGTCAGTGCCGGTACTACTGACAGTCGGCACATACTCGGGTCCTCCAGGTCGCATTTCCGCGGAGACGTGCGACGTGGTCCCATGTCCGCCGTTGATCAAGTTGTCAAACTTTGTACACAACGTTTGCATGCGATTGAGGACCTGATCTTGCTTTCGTTCCACCTGGCTCATCCCCGCGCTCCAGCCGGCGGAAACGAACGCCCTACATTGATAGGTGTCAGTCTCGGGCGGTGAGTTTCTGTACTTAGTATGCTATATTTCACTTACTGTATAGCTTGCGTTGTCGATCCCTGTGCTGGTCGCAGCATTGTTTCCAGGTACCAGGTCCAGATTGACTAGATCCAGGCTGTTCGATGGGGTGCCCGTGACATGGCTCTGCTTGCTCCGAGCCATCGGGATTGAGCAGAGGTATTGACGGAGCTTGGCCCGCAACTGCCGGCACTACTGGATAGCTGGCGAGGAACGATGCTGACTGTCCGAAAAGGCATGCTACGATCACTTTCTCATCCTACGTTGGTCATCAACTAAGCTCGTACCCAGGAATCGTTTGCAGAGCAGACTGCATGCTGGATGGCTGAGGTACGCGCCTATCGCTGCCGTGTTTTGTTCTGATACTCTGCGACAGGTTCCCTGGGGCCAAACTGGGAAAGAATGCGTTTTGCGGAATGGCTATTTGACCGAGATGCAGAGATGTCTCCTCGCTTCCGTTTCACGGCCGGTTGAAGAGGCTTGCAATACAGACAGTGAGTCGCAGGCTGCGTACTGAGTTTGAATGTGTACGTACCCCGCCCATTGTTCGCGGTCATCCGCAAACTTACGTAGACGTTCTATCTGGGCGTCACGATTGCCGCTCTTCGGCCGCCCATACTTGTGAGCTCAGCGGCAAGCTCTTTCTTCGTAGTATTCTTTGTACTGATGATCCATGAACTGGTAAGTGCACGGCATCACACTAGTGCATAGTATCCAGCTTACATTGTAAATTCCACCAGCCCAATCGTGCGATCTGACCCTAGCGCTTGCCCCGGTTGTGGAAGTTGAAGAGTCTGGGGCTCGTTGTTGGTTGAATGTGATGGCTCGAGGGTATTAAAGGTGGACATAGGATAGTTGAACAGCGAAATAAATGCTCGGATGAGCACGTCGTAGTGTAACCAACCCAAGCCTGAGTTTTAGGGGCGATCGGCCGGACAGCCCCTGTGAAGGGTCGGCTCGCTTGTTACAGACATGGCGAGAATGAGTCGCACCAGGGGGTTCAACTTGCCGTCCCTCACTTTGTTCACGATGCCTCCTCAGTGCCTGATACCAGACAGGGCTCTTTCGATTCTCGCTGAAACTCAGTCTTCTGTTCCGACTCAAGAAATCGAGGACGACCATGAGGCAGAAGTCGAATCACTTGTCTCTGGCATTGACCTTGACGACCGCATGGAGCAATCTGCATCTACTGGGACGCACTACTTACGCGAAGCTAGCTCAGTATTCAAGAAGCAAAAGCTTGATCAAACTGTGATGTCAGACAATCTCAAGAAGGCGTCAGCAAACGTCGTGGTGGATAACACACTAAATGAATATCGGCGGTATGTCATTCCTTCTATATGGCGTACTCAGGCTCAGGCTTAGTACTATTGACAGCCTATGGGACCAGTTCAAGTCCTTTTGTGCCGAGTTAGGCTTCGTTGACGATGCTCAGGTGATGGACAAGTACGCGCAGGATATTCCGGAGGGGCTGCCGTCGTGGATAGCAGTTTGGATTATGAACAAGTACGTCATTACCAGCAACCGACTAGCTGTGTTGTATTCACTGCAGCAGGCGGATGACCTGGACATCCATACCGGCAAGCCGAAGGATCCCAGCGTTCCCCGTGTTAAGTAATGCGACAGCTCAGAAGATGCGCGCAGCGATCAGCCACAAGTTCGGGCGCGACTTCGGGTTCGGTGAACAACCTTGGTCTCAAAATGCCGCGACTGGGACATTTTCGGGGAATCCCTCCCTGTCTGTGGTGGTCTCGCAGTACATGATAAGTTTGCAGCGCCGCAAGGTACGATGACTTCGGCACCGAAAACATTTATGACTGACGCTGACTAGGTGCGCGCTGGCGAGGAGGTTACAAGTGCGCGCGCAATCACTCATGAGACTATGCGGCAGCTCTGGGAGTTCAATATCAAGTATTCGACTGATCGCAGGCGCACAACATCGCGCAAGCGGAAGGCTGAGCATCCAGAGGACTGGGCGGGTTACCGGGTTCGCCAAATGTTACAACTCCTCTACATTGTGTCAATGCTGTGTTTGCTCCGCTTCGACGAAGCATTGCGAATCATGTGGACAGATATCACTATGTTTGTCAACGATGACGGCATTCATTGTGTGCGGCTTGACCTCCCGTTTCGGAAGACGGCTCAATATGGAGGTAAGCGTTTGCACATACTACTACTAGCCTCTCCGATTATCAAGCTTTCCTGAACACCTACACTAGGTATTGCACCATTCCCCCCTCTACCCTAATCAAGAACAGCCGTGGTTGTGTCCGGTTCGAGCGTTTGCAAAATGGTGGCAACTGTGCGGGGAGATGAACATCGAACGTACGGGATATATCTTCCGCAAGCGCGTTGGACGTGACGGTGTGAGTATCAAACCGTCTGACAGAATGGTGCATTCACGAGCATGCATATTTCCCTATACTTATATGATTCTGCCCTGCAGTCAAACGACAACTTCGTCCAGTGCTTCCGGAATAACCTCGTTGACATTCTGATCGATCCTCGGCCTTATGGGACCCACTCGTTTCGTCGCGGCGGGTGCCAGTATCTTGCAATGGTCAAGCGTTGGCCAATTCGTGACATCTGCACATGGGGCGGCTGGGCAGAGAACTTCGACAACCCTAGTACTATCTTCAAGTATCTCATGTCATGGGTGGATACTCCTCTCCTCGAGAGGAAGGACTATTTCAACCCCAAGAGGGCCACAGCTGACACTTGTCATCAGTGTGGTCGCACCTGCACATGCGCGTGAAGTACGCGAGTGGTGCCAGCAAGGGGCGCTGGTTGTGGACCGCGCAATTGGAAGCTACAATAACATTCACATAGATACATACTGTATGCGCGTCGATACATTCAATCAAGGTTACAAAGCTGCTCGTATCATACTGTATGACGAGGAAGGCAAGTATGATGGTGATGCAAGGGTTGAGGGTCAAACATGCGAAAGGTGACGACTTCTGGAGGGCATGCGCGAGCATCGAGAACGCGAATTGCATTCTGAGCTTGAGGAACGATCTCGGGGCTGGTTGACGCACCCACCTCGGAGAGTGCAGGCGACATGCTCATGGCGTCGAGCTTCCAGTCGGCCTTGCATGGGGCGGCACCTTTGTCGTCGACGTCCATCTTCCTATCATTGTCCTCGGCCTTCTTCGCCATGAGCTTGGCCTTGCCCGCAGACGACGCGGCCATGGCTGGGCTGACGCGTGCGCGAGCGCTGACGACATCTCTGCTGCCAATGCCAGCGACGCGCCGCAGGACAGCGGTGTGGCCGCCCATACTCGAAGATAGCGCCGAGGTTGATGACGGCCATCATGATCCCAGTCGCACTCCTCGACGATCGCACTGCCTGAGAACGTCTATCAGCTCCGGACTGATACAGCTAGAGATACATCACTGACCTTCGATATTGAGCTTCTCGTCGAAGCGGTCGAGGATGCCGTGGAAGTCGTCCATCTGGATGTGCGTGAAGAGCATACCGTGGAGGATGATATACAGATCGGCAACGCCAGCGTCGGGGCCTTGGCGACAAGTCTGGGCAGCTGGCGACCAGATCTGGAGGATGGCCTCGCGGGAGGTGCTGTACGGATGCGCTGTGATCATGCTATACATACAAATGTCAGACATCGATACTCGCAATATAAATATAGCGACTCACCTCTTCTCGAAATGATACAAGCCCTGCAACTCCTCGCCGCTCCCGTCCCTCTCCCTGCAGAGCAGTCCAATATGGTGGTAGAGCTTGCCCGCACTTGGAGTGCCGGTGAGGCCCTTTGCGTACCACTCGCGCGCGATCTGCCTCGAGTGTTCCTTCTCCGGGACGAGCTCTATCGCATGCGCCACTGCAAGGCCGACACTCGGCACCTCAAGCAACTGCCTCGCCGCGCGTCCGGGAGATGGCGGCGGTGAATTGTCGATGCGCGCACGCACCTCGGGTGCCGCCGTTCCGCGCGATCGGAGCTTCCACCGCCGTTCTGTGTCGAGGAGTGCTGGGCGGTGCCATACTGGGCGTCGTTGGCATGCAAAAGGAGTGACAGGGAGAGGAGCGTGAGGGTGAGAGGGAGACGGGCATTGTCCGTCAATGTGGTCGCCGGGCGGGATCTGGTGATGTCGTACGCCGCGGAGGGGTCTGCCCTCATGCGATTGATCACAGTTGATGGGGATTGGTTTCTCCTGGACAGCGAGGGCGAGGTCTAATGATTGCAGTAGGCTGAAGTTCTTGAGGGTCGCTTGGAGGTGGCCCCGCAGCGTTGAAGACCCAGGCCAACCGGGAGCAACGAGTCAGGGAAGGCACGGGGGGTCAGCACCTGTCCCCGAGGGGCCAAGGTGAAGCCCTAGCTCCGTTCCTCCGTGCTGACGGGCGTTGCTCCGGAGGTGAGGGAGGCAGTCGCTGGCGGCACTGAGGGAGGCGGGATGCACGCTGGCACGATGGTAGCGCCGCTACACTGGCCAGTTCCCACGGTTTGGGCGCTCAATCCCCAAGCCTCCGCTCCGCGCAGGCAGCAACCTCGCAGTGGCAAGGTGGTACTTAACAGCCACAGACTAATACATTACGGCTCTGTATAGATACACACAAACCCTAGCTACGATCATCACTGGCATCATCGCTAAGGATTTCTATGTAGTCTCTTTGTGAAGCTAAGGCTACGTCAATGTCTGAGTCACTCAGAGTAAGGTCAATCACTTCAGAGCTCGTACTGCCACGCGACACGTTCGTCGAGCTTGCAGTACCACGAGCCATGGACATCGACCCTGCACGTCCGCGCAGCGCGTTGGTCAAGAGGCTCGTTCGTCCGCGCAGTGTGCCGGCCAGGCTCGGGCGGGCACACAATGTAGTTGTTGATCCGAAGCTAGGGTGGTGGCTGCATGATGATGGTGTTGCGCTCGCGCGGCGGCCACACGTCAAGCTCACATGGCTGCAGAAAAGTGCCGTTGGGCTTGCGTGGCCACGCAGTAGGCTCGACACACTACCGCGCGACGTCCTCGCCCCGTTTGGTCCACCGCGCGACGTCCTCGCCCCATTCGGTCCACCGCGCGACGTGCTTGCCTCGTTCGGTCCAATGCATGACACACTCGCCCCGTTTGGTCCACCGTGCGACACGCTCACCTCATTTGCGTTTGGTCCACCGTGCGACGTGCTCGCCCTCAGGCTGTTTGGTCCACCGCGCGACTTGCTTGCCCTGTTTGGTCCACCGCGCGATGTGCTTGCCTTGTTCGGTCCGCTGCGCAATGCACTCGCCCCGTTTGGTCCAGCAGGCGACACCTTTGCCTCGTTTGGTCTGCTGAGCGACACGCTCGCCTCGTTTGATCCACCCTGCGACGTGCTCGCTCCATTTGGTCCACCCCGCAACGTGCTCGCCTTGTCCAATCCATCGCGCGACACGCTCACCTTTGTCCGCTTCCTCACCCGACAGTGTGCATCTTTGTCTTCACCGTTACTGTTGCTATCCTGGCTCATGTGACGCTTCACAGGAGCACTTGGGACGTTTGCATGCTGGCGAGTGGAATCCCTACCATCCACTAGTACGACTCCTCGTTCAGCTGGAATATGTGCAAAGAATGTAGAATACGTACTTGTTGTGCCATCTTTGTTGTCTAGCTCCCACACATGTTGAACAAGCGTCTCGTGCATCGAAAACCGTCGCGAGAGGGCGCCAGCGTGCACTACTACGGTGCCGTCGTCTGGCCGCAGGCCCACTAGGCCAGACACAGCCAGAGCCGCAAAGCCGGTATCAATGGCGGTTACAAACCGGGCATTGTTTGAGCGACGTGGGCTCTTATCGGGATTGACATGGACAAGTCCCTCGAGCTGATTCTGTGACTGTGTCAGATAGCAGATTGTGATGAATGATTGACGTACCACAAGGGGTTCCTTTGCGGCCTCAGCCATATCCCGATTGATTGCACACTTGATGAGACTTCGCAGCACAACGCCTGGGAGTAGACAATTCCCAAAGCGTTCGATGATACCCGAGGGAGTGCCCCATGAGAAGTAGCGTTCACAAAGAACGCCGAGGCTGGCGACATCGGGTGGTTGAGCCGGGGTTTTCTCGAAGTCTTCCAGTGGCGATGTTACGGGATTTCGGTACAAGTCGACGACCGCAAGGTTTGGAAATGTGTCTGGGATACGATCCGATAAACTTTGATATCGCCTGCCTAGGAGCTTGAGGTTGTCCGTGCGCAGGGTGACACGTAGATCATCCCGCCAACTTGATAGGAACTGCGAAAGGGCATCGCCATGAAGCTTCCGGACGGCCTCGCACAAGCGTTCACCGAACCCGTAGCGTGCCAGGCCACATGCAACTCGAGGCCCAAAGCCCTGCAAGCCAGTCTGTAGGAACTGTGAGTCTCTGCACGTCGAGAGGAAAGGTGAATATACCTCATAATCTCCACCTGTAAGCAGTGCAAACAGGATCATACCCGGACGGGTAAGGCGAAGAGCTTGATGCTTGAAGATACTATCCGCGCTCACAACTGTGAGCATCTGATCCTTTGCCGAATAGCTGCGTAGAGCCGAGTGAGCCTCATCGGCAAATGTACAAGACACGATGCTTGTACTCACTTGCGGATGACCACCTGCGCTCCAAACAGCAATGTGTCGCTGTCATCTGTCAGCACTCCGTCGAAGATGCCGAACGAATTCATGAGCGCAAGCTCTGCCTCTGCTTCTCCTGGCGCCTGTGCTAGATATGAGACATTGAACGTAGAGTAAGAATGGATTGAGTACGTACCATCCACCAGTCATATCCAAACGCATCGATGAACTGCTTCATCGCCGCAACCATCCAATGACTCGTTTTGATGACCTTCTTTCCACGCTTCTTCGGGGGCCGGTCCTGGCCGTCAAACACGAACGTTGCGTGCACCAGGAGCCGGAGGAGGCGGGCCAACCGGAAGAACAGCGTGCGAAGCTCTGGGTTCTCGCCCGACTGGGCATGTCCGACCGCGAACGTATTCTGGACCTGATAAAGCCATATGCTGGATGCAATGAGCTCATAGCTGCAATTGATATCGAGAACAGCTCACCTTGCATCGATGCCGAGTCGGTATACCCGTTCTCCCTTACGCTGTTCGAACCCTTCGCGCACGAAGAAGTCTTCAATAGACTGACCAGTTGCCGCAGGCTTCACAGCCTTCATACGGCTTGTGAGATACAATGGAAATTATGTAAAATGAGAGCTCACCTCCCATAGCCCATGTACACCCATGGTAGCCGCTGTCCTCAGACTCCTGTACGAGACTGAATGTTGCCGAGCCTCGGGGATTGCTGTCCGAGTGGTCGTAGAGCTCTGCTACGAGTATCGCTGCCAGTGGCTGCTGCAGTGTCAAGCGGAGGGACTACGGAGGACCACACGTCCTCGTCGATGCTCGTTGAGGGATGGTGAGGGTAGAGGTAGCCAGTGGAGAGGTGGAGTGCGAGGTCGACGGAGGAGAGCCATCTTGGCCAAACGCAGCGTTACCCTACCCGCCCGGCCTGCCGAGGGACTGCGAATCTGGGACTGCAAAGGTGACGGTTCGCCCGGCCTTCCTAGGGGCTTTGGCGGGCGGGCGCGCCAGAAAGCACCCCCTCCTCAGCCCTCTTCGTACCGCTAGATTCGCAGTCCCATTGTGGGAAATTTGCAGTCCCCCGCGCCTGCCCAACGTGGACGAGCGCCTCTGGCCCGGTTAGTCAAGATGGCTCGCCTGAGTCGCCTCGCTGTCGGTTAAGTCTCGAGGCGCGGCGGACGGGCATGCATGTGTCCCGGAGGCGGTGAACTCTTACGTCTCGGACACGAACGCGTACTCCATTCAGAGTCTGTCTACGAGATACACCACGCGAATACCTCGCGTTCTACATGCCTCTTCACCTCGTTTACCTCCGAACCGGCGCATTGGGCCTGCGCTGGATTGCGCCGCCCCTTTCCGTGGTGGATTTCCCGCCGTCCTCGCCCGCTGACCGACCCTCGCCTCCTCGTCGCGCATCCCGGGGTCCCCGCTCCACCGCCCAGCGGAACACGTGGCGCCCAGACCGGGGCCTCACCGCCTTCCTTCCGCTCCCGGAACTCCCGCCCCGGCGCTTCGCTTCGTCCGTAGCGGGACTGTCAATTTACTCGTCCTCAGTGCTACTTCCTCCGCTAGATTGACGGTCCCAGTCCCGGCGCTTGTCAGTCCCTTATTCCCACGGCTACCATATTCGGACACCGGTGACCTCCGGCTTCCTTAGTCCCCGAACGCGCGAAGCCGGCCCCCAGTAACTCTCTCTCCCCTTGGTCTTGCTGGACCGTGGCCTGCGCTCGGTCGCTCGCGCACCCTCGACGGCTGCGGGTAGACAGCAATGGATTTACGTGACACTAGAGTATTACTACATGTAGTAGAAGTAGGAACTATACACGAAGCAACTAGTATACGGATTAGAAGCAGTGTTTAAGTGTATGACTCAGAGATGTCCGCGAACTCGCCGTCAATGCTTTGCAGAAACGGCGCGAGGCGATGTATGTACAGCCTGAGCAACAGCCGTGATGCGGTATTAATTGTGTGCGTCCTCAATCCGACGGGCTTGCAGCCTGCATGGCTTCCCAGTTTCGCCCGGATTGTTTCATCCTTCTCCAACAACGCTCGCCATTTCTTCGCAACCGTGAGCTTCTTGTCGCAGATCCTCCACTTCCCGCTCTTCTTGTATCGGAACACTCCTTGGGTGTCGGAGCGGCCTAGGTCACCTCCGAAGTACCTCATCGCCGCATCGTAGTCTGCGGCATCAGTCCAGGTGCGATCCTTCTGCAGCCTGTCAGTATCTGCTGATATGACAGCCGCTCTCGTTCCTCGTTGCTATACTTGTCCCAGAACGCGTCTTCAGACGAAAATCGATCGCGTTCCTCGGCCAAGAACTGGGGGCGATATAGCATGAGAATATGGAGCGCGGAACACTTCACAGCTCCTGCTCGGTACGTACCTTCCAGTTGCCCCACTCGACCCTCAATGCATGCCAGGCATCCGTCTCAACTACCCCACTCCTCTTCTTGTAAACCTTGTCCCAATGCTTCACGGGAATCCCACGCCCTGCAATCGTCAACAAGTTCGAGGTATGCCATTCGCGGAAGAGGATGGGATGTTGTCTGACAGATGGATTGCCGGTGGATCAGGGATGTGAGTTCTGTCGACATAGATGTTTTCGCCGTCAAGGCTGATGCAGACAGGTCGCTGCGGTGGATGTGGTAGTACCGGCGTGCTCAATGTCGGAGGATCGGAAGCAAGCTGTGGTGCTACTAGATGAGGTGGAACTGCAGTCCGCGGCGTAGACGGCGTGGTGGGACGGCGTATGTTTTGACTGTCAGTGCCGGTACTACTGACAGTCGGCACATACTCGGGTCCTCCAGGTCGCATTTCCGCGGAGACCGTGCGACGTGGTCCCATGTCCGCCGTTGATCAAGTTGTCAAACTTGGTACACAACGTTTGCATGCGATTGAGGACCTGATCTTGCTTTCGTTCCACCTGGCTCATCCCGCGCTCCAGCCGGCGGAAACGAACGCCCTACATTGATAGGTGTCAGTCTCGGGCGGTGAGTTTCTGTACTTAGTATGCTATATTTCACTTACTGTATAGCTTGCGTTGTCGATCCCTGTGCTGGTCGCAGCATTGTTTCCAGGTACCAGTCCAGATTGACTAGATCCAGGCTGTTCGATGGGGTGCCCGTGACATGGCTCTGCTTGCTCCGAGCCATCGGGATTGAGCAGAGGTATTGACGGAGCTTGGCCCGCAACTGCCGGCACTACTGGATAGCTGGCGAGGAACGATGCTGACTGTCCGAAAAGGCATGCTACGATCACTTTCTCATCCTACGTTGGTCATCAACTAAGCTCGTACCCAGGAATCGTTTGCAGAGCAGACTGCATGCTGGATGGGCTGAGGTACGCGCCTATCGCTGCCGTGTTGTTCTGATACTCTGCGACAGGTTCCCTGGGGCCAAACTGGGAAAGAATGCGTTTTGCGGAATGGCTATTTGACCGAGATGCAGAGATGTCTCCTCGCTTCCGTTTCACGGCCGGTTTGAAGAGGCTTGCAATACAGACAGTGAGTCGCAGGCTGCGTACTGAGTTTGATGTGTACGTACCCCGCCCATTGTTCGCGGGTCATCCGCAAACTTACGTAGACGTTCTATCTGGGCGTCACGATTGCCGCTCTTCGGCAGCCATACTTGGTGAGCTCAGCGGCAAGCTCTTTCTTCGTAGTATTCTTTGTACTGATGATCCATGAACTGGTAAGTGCACGGCATCACACTAGTGCATAGTATCCAGCTTACATTGTAAATTCCACCAGCCCAATCGTGCGATCTGACCCTAGCGCTTGCCCCGGTTGTGGAAGTTGAAGAGTCTGGGGCTCGTTGTTGGTTGAATGTGATGGCTCGAGGGTATTAAAGGTGGACATAGGATAGTTGAACAGCGAAATAAATGCTCGGATGAGCACGTCGTAGTGTAACCAACCCAAGCCTGAGTTTTAGGGGCGATCGGCGGACAGCCCCTGTGAAGGGTCGGCTCGCTTGTTACAGACATGGCGAGAATGAGTCGCACCAGGGGGTTCAACTTGCCGTCCCTCACTTTGTTCACGATGCCTCCTCAGTGCCTGATACCAGACAGGGCTCTTTCGATTCTCGCTGAAACTCAGTCTTCTGTTCCGACTCAAGAAATCGAGGACGACCATGAGGCAGAAGTCGAATCACTTGTCTCTGGCATTGACCTTGACGACCGCATGGAGCAATCTGCATCTACTGGGACGCACTACTTACGCGAAGCTAGCTCAGTATTCAAGAAGCAAAAGCTTGATCAAACTGTGATGTCAGACAATCTCAAGAAGGCGTCAGCAAACGTCGTGGTGGATAACACACTAAATGAATATCGGCGGTATGTCATTCCTTCTATATGGCGTACTCAGGCTCAGGCTTAGTACTATTGACAGCCTATGGGACCAGTTCAAGTCCTTTTGTGCCGAGTTAGGCTTCGTTGACGATGCTCAGGTGATGGACAAGTACGCGCAGGATATTCCGGAGGGGCTGCCGTCGTGGATAGCAGTTTGGATTATGAACAAGTACGTCATTACCAGCAACCGACTAGCTGTGTTGTATTCACTGCAGCAGGGCGGATGACCTGGACATCCATACCGGCAAGCCGAAGGATCCCAGCGTTCCCCGTGTTAAGTATGCGACAGCTCAGAAGATGCGCGCAGCGATCAGCCACAAGTTCGGGCGCGACTTCGGGTTCGGTGAACAACCTTGGTCTCAAAATGCCGCGACTGGGACATTTTCGGGGAATCCCTCCCTGTCTGTGGTGGTCTCGCAGTACATGATAAGTTTGCAGCGCCGCAAGGTACGATGACTTCGGCACCGAAAAACATTTATGACTGACGCTGACTAGGTGCGCGCTGGCGAGGAGGTTACAAGTGCGCGCGCACTCATGAGACTATGCGGCAGCTCTGGGAGTTCAATATCAAGTATTCGACTGATCGCAGGCGCACAACATCGCGCAAGCGGAAGGCTGAGCATCCAGAGGACTGGGCGGGTTACCGGGTTCGCCAAATGTTACAACTCCTCTACATTGTGTCAATGCTGTGTTTGCTCCGCTTCGACGAAGCATTGCGAATCATGTGGACAGATATCACTATGTTTGTCAACGATGACGGCATTCATTGTGTGCGGCTTGACCTCCCGTTTCGGAAGACGGCTCAATATGGAGGTAAGCGTTTGCACATACTACTACTAGCCTCTCCGATTATCAAGCTTTCCTGAACACCTACACTAGGTATTGCACCATTCCCCCTCTACCCTAATCAAGAACAGCCGTGGTTGTGTCCGGTTCGAGCGTTTGCAAAATGGTGGCAACTGTGCGGGGAGATGAACATCGAACGTACGGGATATATCTTCCGCAAGCGCGTTGGACGTGACGGTGTGAGTATCAAACCGTCTGACAGAATGGTGCATTCACGAGCATGCATATTTCCCTATACTTATATGATTCTGCCCTGCAGTCAAACGACAACTTCGTCCAGTGCTTCCGGAATAACCTCGTTGACATTCTGATCGATCCTCGGCCTTATGGGACCCACTCGTTTCGTCGCGGCGGGTGGTGCCAGTATCTTGCAATGGTCAAGCGTTGGCCAATTCGTGACATCTGCACATGGGGCGGCTGGGCAGAGAACTTCGACAACCCTAGTACTATCTTCAAGTATCTCATGTCATGGGTGGATACTCCTCTCCTCGAGAGGAAGGACTATTTCAACCCCAAGAGGGCCACAGCTGACACTTGTCATCAGTGTGGTCGCACCTGCACATGCGCGTGAAGTACGCGAGTGGTGCCAGCAGGGGCGCTGGTTGTGGACCGCGCAATTGGAAGCTACAATAACATTCACATAGATACATACTGTATGCGCGTCGATACATTCAATCAAGGTTACAAAGCTGCTCGTATCATACTGTATGACGAGGAAGGCAAGTATGATGGTGATGCAAGGGTTGAGGGTCAAACATGCGAAAGGTGACGACTTCTGGAGGGCATGCGCGAGCATCGAGAACGCGAATTGCATTCTGAGCTTGAGGAACGATCTCGGGGCTGGTTGACGCACCCACCTCGGAGAGTGCAGGCGACATGCTCATGGCGTCGAGCTTCCAGTCGGCCTTGCATGGGGCGGCACCTTTGTCGTCGACGTCCATCTTCCTATCATTGTCCTCGGCCTTCTTCGCCATGAGCTTGGCCTTGCCCGCAGACGACGCGGCCATGGCGTGGGCTGACGCGTGCGCGAGCGCTGACGACATCTCTGCTGCCAATGCCAGCGACGCGCCGCAGGACAGCGGTGTGGCCGCCCATACTCGAAGATAGCGCCGAGGTTGATGACGGCCATCATGATCCCAGTCGCACTCCTCGACGATCGCACTGCCTGAGAACGTCTATCAGCTCCGGACTGATACAGCTAGAGATACATCACTGACCTTCGATATTGAGCTTCTCGTCGAAGCGGTCGAGGATGCCGTGGAAGTCGTCCATCTGGATGTGCGTGAAGAGCATACCGTGGAGGATGATATACAGATCGGCAACGCCAGCGTCGGGGCCTTGGCGACAAGTCTGGGCAGCTGGCGACCAGATCTGGAGGATGGCCTCGCGGGAGGTGCTGTACGGATGCGCTGTGATCATGCTATACATACAAATGTCAGACATCGATACTCGCAATATAAATATAGCGACTCACCTCTTCTCGAAATGATACAAGCCCTGCAACTCCTCGCCGCTCCCGTCCCTCTCCCTGCAGAGCAGTCCAATATGGTGGTAGAGCTTGCCCGCACTTGGAGTGCCGGTGAGGCCCTTTGCGTACCACTCGCGCGCGATCTGCCTCGAGTGTTCCTTCTCCGGGACGAGCTCTATCGCATGCGCCACTGCAAGGCCGACACTCGGCACCTCAAGCAACTGCCTCGCCGCGCGTCCGGGAGATGGCGGCGGTGAATTGTCGATGCGCGCACGCACCTCGGGTGCCGCCGTTCCGCGCGATCGGAGCTTCCACCGCCGTTCTGTGTCGAGGAGTGCTGGGCGGTGCCATACTGGGCGTCGTTGGCATGCAAAAGGAGTGACAGGGAGAGGAGCGTGAGGGTGAGAGGGAGACGGGCATTGTCCGTCAATGTGGTCGCCGGGCGGGATCTGGTGATGTCGTACGCCGCGGAGGGGTCTGCCCTCATGCGATTGATCACAGTTGATGGGGATTGGTTTCTCCTGGACAGCGAGGGCGAGGTCTAATGATTGCAGTAGGCTGAAGTTCTTGAGGGTCGCTTGGAGGTGGCCCCGCAGCGTTGAAGACCCAGGCCAACCGGGAGCAACGAGTCAGGGAAGGCACGGGGGTCAGCACCTGTCCCCGAGGGGCCAAGGTGAAGCCCTAGCTCCGTTCCTCCGTGCTGACGGGCGTTGCTCCGGAGGTGAGGGAGGCAGTCGCTGGCGGCACTGAGGGAGCGGAGGCACGCTGGCACGATGGTAGCGCCGCTACACTGGCCAGTTCCCACGGTTTGGGCGCTCAATCCCCAAGCCTCCGCTCCGCGCAGGCAGCAACCTCGCAGTGGCAAGGTGGTACTTAACAGCCACAGACTAATACATTACGGCTCTGTATAGATACACACAAACCCTAGCTACGATCATCACTGGCATCATCGCTAAGGATTTCTATGTAGTCTCTTTGTGAAGCTAAGGCTACGTCAATGTCTGAGTCACTCAGAGTAAGGTCAATCACTTCAGAGCTCGTACTGCCACGCGACACGTTCGTCGAGCTTGCAGTACCACGAGCCATGGACATCGACCCTGCACGTCCGCGCAGCGCGTTGGTCAAGAGGCTCGTTCGTCCGCGCAGTGTGCCGGCCAGGCTCGGGCGGGCACACAATGTAGTTGTTGATCCGAAGCTAGGGTGGTGGCTGCATGATGATGGTGTTGCGCTCGCGCGGCGGCCACACGTCAAGCTCACATGGCTGCAGAAAAGTGCCGTTGGGCTTGCGTGGCCACGCAGTAGGCTCGACACACTACCGCGCGACGTCCTCGCCCCGTTTGGTCCACCGCGCGACGTCCTCGCCCCATTCGGTCCACCGCGCGACGTGCTTGCCTCGTTCGGTCCAATGCATGACACACTCGCCCCGTTTGGTCCACCGTGCGACACGCTCACCTCATTTGCGTTTGGTCCACCGTGCGACGTGCTCGCCCTCAGGCTGTTTGGTCCACCGCGCGACTTGCTTGCCCTGTTTGGTCCACCGCGCGATGTGCTTGCCTTGTTCGGTCCGCTGCGCAATGCACTCGCCCCGTTTGGTCCAGCAGGCGACACCTTTGCCTCGTTTGGTCTGCTGAGCGACACGCTCGCCTCGTTTGATCCACCCTGCGACGTGCTCGCTCCATTTGGTCCACCCCGCAACGTGCTCGCCTTGTCCAATCCATCGCGCGACACGCTCACCTTTGTCCGCTTCCTCACCCGACAGTGTGCATCTTTGTCTTCACCGTTACTGTTGCTATCCTGGCTCATGTGACGCTTCACAGGAGCACTTGGGACGTTTGCATGCTGGCGAGTGGAATCCCTACCATCCACTAG